CTTGTCATCCGAATTTACGAAGACTCGAAGATCACCCGCACCGAGCTGACTGTCCGGTTGGAGCATGCTTTCCTGATTGGCACAAGAGCGCAAGATGTTGAGATGCGGAGCCGCTTCATGCGGATCTTTGATCGAAGTTTGACTCGGCTGGCTAGCTCGCGCTTGAGCTATGTGCTCACTTGCCAGAACTGGGATACTCTTGCTGACTCTTTCTGGCTTTCTCAGGCGTCCCAGTTGGTCCTTGGATGTGTCGATATGAACACCAGCGCTCGCTTGAATCCGGCTGACTTCACGTTGTATCCTATTTCATTCCTTTTTGGCAGCGGTGACAAGGATCCCAGGAAGTCGGATATCATGGTCGATGATCAGCTGGAGACCTTCGTTGCTGAGCGCAGACGGTTCATGTCTGACATTGGCGATGTCCGGGTTCGCGACTTGGTGGAGCCTTTGATTCAGCTGCAGCACACCGATTCCTCTGTTGCCTACAAATTATGGACTACCCTCTTCCCTCTCTTCTGGTCCACGTTGTCCAAGGAAGATCGGATCGACCTTGAGAAGGGCATGGTCAACTTGCTTACGCGGGAGTACCATCAGAGACAACTGGACAAGCGCCCTAATGTCGTGCAGGCTCTTCTTGAGGGTGCTGTGCGTGCCCGTCCACGGTTCAAGATCCCTCCTCATGTCATGAAATACCTCAGCCGTACCTATGACGCTTGGTACACTGCCGCGACATATCTGGAGGAGAGTGCCATCAACCCGATCATTGATACACCGACCGTCCGTGAGAGCAACCTGGATGCACTTGTCGAGGTCTATTCGGGCTTGCAGGAAGACGACTTCTTTTATGGAACTTGGCGACGTCGTTGCAAGTTTGTTGAGACCAATGCTGCACTTTCTTACGAACAACAGGGGATGTGGGATAAGTCTCAGCAGCTCTACGAGAATGCACAGATCAAGGCGCGCTCTGGTGCCATGCCATTCTCGCAGGGTGAATATTTCGTATGGGAAGATCACTGGTTAATCTGCGCTCAGAAGCTTCAGCAATGGGAGATCCTTAGTGATTTCGCCAAGCATGAGAACCTGAACGATCTTCTGCTGGAGGCAGCCTGGAGGAATATCGAAAACTGGCAGAGCGAAGGGAACCGCGAACAGCTCGAGTCTTTGATCAAGTCTGTCTCCGACGCCCCCACGCCGCGGCGCACCTTCTTCCAAGCCTTTATGGCTCTTCTCCAATACCACACGAAGAAGGAGGGTCTGCAGGATTTCAACACGGTCTGCGATGAGTCTATTCAGCTTTCAATCCGCAAATGGTTGCAGCTGCCGAAGCGCATCACGAACGCCCACATTCCTATTCTGCAACATTTCCAGCTATTGGTTGAGCTGCACGATGCCAGCCATATTTGCGGCAGCTTGTCTCAGACCAACGAGCGGAATCTGGATACCAAGTCTGCGGAGTTGAAACTGCTTCTTGGAACCTGGCGTGATCGGTTGCCCAACCTCTGGGACGACATCAACACCTGGCAAGATCTTGTCACTTGGCGTCAGCATATCTTCCAGCTTATCAACGGCACGTACCTCAGCCTGTTGCCCCCTCAGACAAACAACGTCGCCAGCAACTCTTATGCATACCGCGGATACCATGAGACTGCCTGGATCATCAACCGTTTCGCCCACGTCGCACGAAAGCACCAGATGCCGGAGGTCTGTATCAACCAGCTCAGCCGCATCTACACGCTGCCGAACATCGAGATCCAGGAGGCCTTCCTCAAGCTGCGCGAGCAGGCCAAGTGCCACTACCAGAACCCGAAGGAGCTCAACAGTGGACTCGATGTGATCAACAACACCAATCTCAATTACTTCGGGCCACAGCAAAAGGCTGAATTCTACACGTTGAAAGGCATGTTCCTTGCCAAACTCGACCATGTTAATGAGGCGAATGAAGCGTTTGGTGTCGCTCTCTACTACGATCTGCGACTTGCCAAGGCCTGGTCTGAATGGGGTCAGTACAGTGACCAACGTTTCAAGGCTGATCCAACGGACTATGAGTTGGCCAGCAATGCGGTCAGCTGTTATCTCGAAGCGGCTGGTCTCTACAAGAGTGCCAAGTCGCGGAAATTGCTCAGTCGTATTCTTTGGCTTCTCAGTCTGGATAACGACGAAGGCAAGATTGCAAGTGCGTTCGAGAACTTCAAGGGAGATACCCCGGTCTGGTACTGGATAACTTTCATCCCGCAACTTCTCACCAGTCTGTCCCACCGCGAGGCGCGCCTTTGCAAGGCTGTTCTCGTGAAGATCGCCAAGCTGTACCCGCAGGCGCTCTTCTTCCTGCTTCGTACGAACAGAGAGGATATGCTGAGCATCAAGAAGCAGCATGACCAGAAGATGAACCGAAACAGACAACAGCAGCAGCAACAACAGGGCTCTTCGCCAAGTACCAAGGCCCCTGCTGCCGATGGATCGCCCATCCAGAAAACACAGACAGCAACCAGCGCGTCTCCGGCCATTCAGAACGCGGGCTCTCCAGTAGTTGCGCAGACTCCCGCACAGCCGCCGCAGAGCCAGTCACCGGCACAGCGTCCAGCTCAAGTGCAGCAATCACCACGTCAGGGCCAGGGCCAAAGTCCCAGTCAACCCCAAGCTGGCCAGACTCCAAACCAACAGCAGCAGGGCAACCTGCAAGCGCCGGGGCCGAATGGAACCCCGCAGCAGAATCAACCCGCCGCGACGGCGGAGGGAGAGAAGGAACCGCTCAAGAAACCATGGGAGTACTCAGACGAGATCATGTCGGGACTCAAAACCGCCTTCCCCTTGCTCGCCTTGTCGATGGAGACGATGGTCGACCAGATCCACAAGAACTTCAAGTGCCCGCCCGACGAGGATGCTTACCGTCTCATTGTTGCTCTCCTGAACGATGGGTTGGCTTACGTGGGACGTATGCCTGGATCATATGCGCAGGACTTCAAGCTGCCATCTGCGACTGAAGCCAATATCACCCGATTCGCAGAGACCATTCTCCCTGCGCACATCCGCAAATCTTTCGAGGCAGACTTTGTGGTCAAGAAGCCGACCATGCACGAGTACATTCAGAAACTGCGTCGCTGGCGTGACAAATTTGAGGAGAAGCTCGACCGCCGGGCTCAGTCCGGATTCTTAGAGTCCTACTCGCCGCATTTGAGCGAGTTCCGTTTCCTCAAATTCGACGAAGTCGAGGTGCCAGGACAATACCTCTTGCACAAGGACAAGAACCAGGATTTCGTCCGCATCGACCGCTTCCTTCCGGACGTTGACTTGGTCCGGGGTATTGGTGTCTGCCATCGTCGCCTGAAGATCCGTGGACACGACGGAAGCGTTCATGCTTTCGCCGTCCAACACCCGGCGGCACGTCACTGTCGGCGTGAGGAACGGATTCTTCAATTGTTCCGCATCTTCAATGGATTGCTGGCGAAACGCAAGGAGAGCCGACGGCGGAATCTGTACTTCCACTTGCCGCTGATGGTGCCGCTTGCGCCACACATTCGCCTGGTCCGTGACGATTCGTCGTATATCTCCATGCAAGGCATTTACGAGGACTACTGCCGACGAGTTGGCATGAACAAAGATGAGCCGGTGCTGTTCACAATGGACCGGATGCGTTCTCTGGCAGAAACGAAGCAGAATGTATGTTCACTCCCAACTCCACTCTCTAGGACAGCAGCTAATTTCTCCCAGCGCACGCCCGATCAGCAACAGGTTCTCCGCACTGAGATCCTGACCGCAATCCAGGACAAATGGGTTCCCAGTACTGTGGTGTTGGAATATTTCCAGCAGGTCTACCCCAACTTCTCGGACTTCTGGCTCTTCCGGCGGCAGTTCGCCTACCAGTACGCAGCCGTTGCCTTCATGACCTACGTGATGCACATTGGCAACCGCTACCCGAACAAGATCCTGATCTCTCGCTCGACTGGCGACATCTGGGGTGCCGAGTTGATCCCAACCATCAACCCGGCCAAGGCGTTCTTCTACAACCCGGAGCAAGTTCCCTTCCGCTTCACGCCGAACATCCAGACACTCCTGGGCCCCATTGCCACCGAGGGCCTGTTCGCGTGTGCCATGATGGCGATCGCTCGCTGCCTGACGGAACCGCGCCACGAACTGGAGCAGCAGCTCAGCGTCTTCGTGCGTGACGAGATGATGTTCTGGGCAACAGCGCAGCACCGTGGTGTCCTCCCGGTGCCACAGCTGCGCGACCTGGTCTACAACAATAGCGAGATCATCGTCAACCGCGCCGTCAGCCTCGCCAGCCCGCCGGAGGGTAACCTGCCTGCCAACCAGACCACGATCGATTTGATCTCCAAGGCGGTCAACCCCCAGCACCTGGCGTCGTGCGATGCTTTGTGGATGCCTTATCTGTAATGATTGCTTCTGAGCCGTGTTTTCTTTCTGCATGGACGAGGGGTCGTATTTGAGCGGGTTAGTTAGTTCTTGGGCGCAGCTCTTCGGAGTGGATTTCTTTCTCGCATAGCGCTTCGGGGAGGAGCAGGAGTGCTTTTTGGATGGGATTCATATTGTATTTTTCTACTTTGTGTATTTGTTTGCTTGTACTACTGTTGAGGTTACGAATAGTCCTTAATGTCTTAACAATTTCTTGATGTTCATATCGGGCTTTGCAATGCGGACTGTGATTGGTTCGGGCACTCACTCTTATCCTACCGCCGACTGCCGTATCTCTCTCTGCCAACACAACCCCCCAGGAATAATGGCCCGACGATCCAAAGATACCGGGCTGTGCTCTCTAGCCTGTACCGAGTGCAGGAAGCAGCATCTCAAATGCGACGCTAAGAAGCCAGCATGCTCGCGTTGTGCGCAGAGTTCGTTGTCGTGCCAGTATCTACCTTCTCGTCGTGGCGGCCGTCGGAAGGCTCGTTGCCACGCAGATAAAACCACCGTCAGTATTCTGTTTTTCTAGTACCATCGGATTTCAACATGTTAAAACCAGACATCAGGCCACCTCTACTCCGATAATGCTCATGCCGGGCTCTGGCTCGGTCCAGAATAATGTCACGCCCAGCAGTACTCCATCGCAAAGACGGCTTCCACTTATGGCTATGGACCAAAGTCCATGGCCGGTGATGCTTCCACGGAATGATACTGATCAACCCCCCTTGGAAACAGCTGGTAGGTCGTGGTTCTCCGATGATCGGTTGCTGCGACTGTACTATGAGAACTTTCATGTCGCGCATCCCATCCTGGTGCCGAGCTCCTCATATAACGACCGGAACTACCCTTATTTTCTCCAGCTGGTGGTAAACTTCGTGGGGTCTCACTACATTCCGTCCAGTCCCAGACAGCAGTACAAGGACAAAGTCGCTATGGAGCTGGCCTCCAATCCAGACCGGTCGCCATGTATGGTTCAGGCGTGGTTGATCTACTCTATAGCCCTGTATTCTCGTGGGGAATGGTCTGAAGCTCAAACAGCATTTTCAAATGGCATCGAGATTGCTCTCGAGCTCGGCATGAACCGATGGGAATTCGCTTCGACTTCACAACCAGAACGATCACTGGAAGCAGAGAGTATGCGACGAACGTGGTGGGAGCTATATATTGTCGATATATATATGGCTGTTCCGCTCAAAACCATCACATTTCGCTGCGGTACTGTGCCACCGGAGGTGGGGTTGCCTTGTGAGGAGTCGGAGTATAATGGTGGTTGCGACGTTCCCAAACCTCGAATGATCCTCGATTTCAAGCGGAGAGTCTTTGCTCCCGAAGAGACCGTCTTTTCATCATTCAGCTACCGCATTGACGCCACAACGATCTTATGTCGGGTCTTAGTGCTGAACCGGCTGCGCGAGTGTCACCGCGATCACCTTCAAGCGGTGGAGAATGCGCTGGTCAGCTGGATCAACCACCTCCCACCCAAAAAGCTGGATATCGTCGATCCATACGGGAATGTGGATGAGATGATGTTCCAAGCACATCTGACGATCGCCTACGCCGCGATGCTACTGCATCTGCCCCGGAGTGATCTCCAGCCTATCTTGTCACAACCCGACGACCGGTTCTGGCCTGGAGCACCGGCCCATCTATCGTCGACTTTCACCCGTCTCGTGCACAGCATCAAAGCCACCGAAGCATCAAGGCGCATGTCGGATTCCATTTCCATTTGTCCGAATATCTCGAAACACACCCCCTTCGTCATTCCGGCATTGGCGCTGTGCGGGATGATCCAGATCGCCACATCCACTAGCCACTCGGAGGAGTGTTTTGATCACCACTGCAACCGCGTAACCCTGATTCTCGGGTGCTTGAAAAGCACCAAGCGAACGTGGAACCTGGCCGAGGCCGCCTACCACTGTGTCCGGTCATCTGCATCTGATATCTTGTCGGATTCGATGGAGAAACAGAATGCAGAGCCCCTGGATAGACTGATTCCGACACAGCAAACCCCGAGTGACCCCGAGCGGACTACTCCGGCCACACGAGCCGTCCCAAATGTCATGGATGGGCATGATCTCGTGCTCCCGGAGCTGTCGCCGGCGTTCCTAGACCCGACTTGCTACAATGCTTCATTTTTCAGTGCCATGCCTGAATTTGACATTAATTAAAGCAATTTGTGAGATAGTGGAAAATCTACCCATGATAATTACCTGAATGATCATAGCATCAGCCCCTTTCACCGCTATACACTTATCGTGTGGCAATCGCCGATTCAACTCGGTCGCCGATAGTTGATAAGCGTGATTGGCTCGTGCACGCGGGACAGACTACAACACTGTCGACAGGACACACAAGACAGCAATGCGGCCCGAAAATCACTCCATACTGTGAATAAATATAAAGGCGAATGATGAGACTTTACACGTCTCACCGTGTAGCCCGAGGTCTGAGATCTGTTTGGGGTGACGTATGGAGGCACAGCATATCTACGCCCCCAATCAGGCGGACCACCCTTGCGCCATGGCGGTTGCATATGTCGATAACCTCACGGACAAAAGTCATGCTCTCATTCGACCCGCTCCTAGCCGTTGACGTCTATCCGCCCGATATTGCGTCGATCCGGGGCAATCGCCGACTCAACCTTATGGGGCCATGGATAGGATCCTCTATGGGACAAGCTCGGAGTTTGACGTACCTCGTGCCCCTTATAAAGGCGCTTTCCGGATGGGTGGATTGAAACTGCTCAGTATAGCACTTTTATCTGATCACTCCTGAATCCACAAGATGTCGTCCATTCTTCCTTCCAGTCCCACCATCCAAATCGGCCATGGCTCGTCAACAAACTATTTCGATGCACGCATCACCCTCACGTCCAGATATGACCTTGACGAGCTGGTGCGAGACATTAAAGCTCATTTGGGGGAGTCCGGGGGGATTTCCTCATCGGATGTGAACGAGAAATATTTGATCTCGCTTGCTCAGAAGTATACTTCTCAGCCTAGTGACTGGGCGAAGTACTTCTACAACGACACAAGCAAGAACTATACTCGAAATGCCATTGAAAACATCAACCGAAAAGCCAACATCGTATGTTTCTCCCATATGCCTTTCCACTTTTAAGTCCTTAGCTAAGTAACTTATTTAGCTCCTCCTCGTGTGGAATCCCGGGAAAGGCTCCCCGATCCACGACCACGCCAACGCCCACTGCATCATGAAGATCCTCGCCGGCGAGCTCGAGGAAACAGTCTACCACATGCCAGACCAGGACGCAAAGGCCGAAGCTCCTCTGGAAATCAAGTCCCAGAAAATCTATCGTTCGAATGAGGTGACCTATATCTCCGATGACATCGGGCTGCACCGCGTGCGAAACCCAAGCAGCAACAAGGTTGCTGTCTCCTTACACTGTAAGTCTTAGCATTGGATTTAACATATGAGCTATTTCTGACCCTTACCAGTGTATACTCCCCCAAATGCAGCGGACTATGGGTACAACATCTTTAATGAAAGCACCGGCAAGGCTTGTTTTGTGCCGCAGGCTCGGTCTGTTGGTCATTCCGAAGGGGGGCAGAATAAGTGATGAGATATGAGATACCCATTATATTTTGCCATGCATTGGGAGGGTGCATTTAAGGAGTCACTGCCCTGGTCTGCGCTTTTCTTGGGCGTTTGTGTATAAGCGTTGTTTGAGAATGATATCCTGGCTGCTTTCATAGTTGTACAGTCTATACTTGAGTCCGTGCCTGGTCTGTAGACGAATAGAAATCATACGAGTACATATTCCATGTTGGCCTTCTGGGGTTTTTCTCGGATTCAATGCCATGGTAAAAAAAATGATGATTATCTATTTGATATGGTATCCCTACTAACTCCCCGAACGCCATGCCAGCAATCTTGAACGCAACCACACCTTATATCAAGGATGGCTTCTTCTTGATCCCCAGACTATTGATAGGAGGTTTCTTAGCCTTCTTCACTCTTGCAAACGATGCTGTTGGTGGGGGCATCGCGGCTGCTTGTGACGCCTTGGTATCTGGCACTGTTGCCGCAGTCGTTGGCTCTTCCTCCACAATGCGCTTCACTCTTTCCCCAGACGATGTCATAAATGCCCTGCGTGCCGCCTCCTCGTCTTCTTTCTCGGCTTGCAGCTGCGCCTCATCGACCTGATCCTCGACATGTGCTAGAGCCGTCTCGTCACCGCGCGACTCGTTGCGCTCGATCCGCGCATTTCGGGTCCGGATCTCATCTAGTGCATCCGCAATAGCCATCTCACGCTTCGAGTCCTGCATCTTCTCTTCTAGTTCAGCCATCTTGTCACGTTCCAGCTGTTCCTGCTCCTCGTTCTCTTCACGCTCGAGTCGATTGAGAGTTTCTTCTTCGGTTTCGTTGTATTTCTCCGATTTGGAGTTCCGCCATGGCTCGAAGTTGCGCTTTGCACCGCGCTCGCATTCATAGTCCATATCTAAGCAAGAGTTAGTTTTCTGGGAGTTCAACAGTCCAGAGAGGAAGGAAGGGCTTACTCTTGGGATCCGTGCGAAAAGTGATCTCGCCGCTGCAGCGGGTGCATCGGATGTAAAACCGGTAGATTGGGATGTTGAGATATTTTTCTTCCAAGTTTTCCTTTCTGGCGTTGAACTTGCGTCCTCGGTAGATGTATTCGCCGCAGTTGGTGCATTTCATGGGGAAGGGCGCCATCAGGCGGACGGTGATGACTTTGGGACCGGCTTTGCGCAGGTGCTTTGGCGTCCGCCCGATCGCCGATGGATCGAAGTCGGGCGGGTAGTACTTAGTGAGGACCTTGCGCTCAGACATGTTGGCGGTGGTTAGAGGATGGAAGGTGAAGAAGTGGTGTCAGAGAAGGTAAGAACAGAGAAAGCGAGTGGCGGAAGACCATGCGGAGAGTCGTCAAGTCACGTGACAAACCCCGAATTACCTGCCTGATTTATTGTATTGTTTCTTTTCTTTGCTTTTCTTATTTGCTTGCAGAGAGACCCCCTTGACCTTACCATTGTTGACCTTCACTTTGGATCTTACTACCATTTATTCTTGCCTACTTCTGGAAGAACTAGACTGCTGATCACGCACGGGCCAGTGTTTGTATCCCGCCCAAACAGAAACGCGCGATCTGCCCGACAATCGCCAATTAGTTGACACTCCTGTGCAATTTCTCCGACTGAGTGCAGCGCAGAGCCGATGCTCCATGCCGGTTGATGTCTGCCCTTTTATCTTCAGCCTGACGAGCTCGATCTACGGCGATGGAAAGGTTCCTGCGTTCCTGGCGACAGGACGCCTTGAACCGTGGCCAGCATGATTCGGCCATCTACATTGGCGACAAAGTGCTCGCGCTCACCAGTATGCTAGTACAACGCTTATCGACCCAGGCACATGCTGACCACTATCTGAAGACAGTGACTCCGACGCCTTCTGGCTGGCGCAGGTACATTTCTCCAACAACAACTTCACACGCGCCTTGGCTCTGCTCTCCCGCAAGGACCTCATCTCGAGGAGTACTGCCTGTCGATACCTCGCTGCGCATTGCTACATCAAACAAAACCAGTTCGAGCAGGCCCTCTCGATCCTCGGCGAACACAACCCTACAGACTTAATCCGCAACAACAATAGTCGTCGCAAGATCCAACACCTCAACGACCAAAGCCATGTCACACTCCGGAATGGGAAGGCAGCGCGCGGGGAGCGAGGAGATGAGCGAGAGAGGGAGGATACCAACAATGTTCGCTTCGAAGCAGCCATGTGCTACCTGCGGGGTCTTTGTTTTGCCAAGCAGAATGCGTTCGACCGCGCTCGCGACTGCTACAAGGACGCGGTGCGCATCGACGTCCAATGCTTTGAGGCATTTGACCAATTGATGAAGAACTCGCTCATGTCGCCCGCAGAAGAACTCGAGTTTCTCGAATCCTTGGACTTTGACTCTATCATCTCGCCCGATCCTTCTGTGGAGCAGGAAGCGGCTCACTTTACCAAAATGCTCTACACCACCCGCCTTTCCAAATACTCCTCTCCGAGCATCCTGGCCGACGCGACTGAAACCCTCTCCACCCATTACAACCTGGCTGAAAACCCGGACATACTGCTGTCGCGCGCCGAGGCGCTGTACACCCAATGCCGCTTTGCCGAAGCCATGGAATTGACCTCCTCGATTTTATCCACCTCCCAGTCAACCGATCTGACAACCTCCAACGGCCCGGGTATTCCTGCACAAAGCCATCTTGGGCATACTCCTGCGGTGTATCCGCTCCATCTGGCCTGTCTCTACGAAACCGGAGCCACCAATGCACTTTTCCTTCTATCTCATATGCTCGCGGACCATGCGCCAGAGGAGCCTTATACCTACCTTGCGATTGGGGTCTACTATCTTGCAGTGTCCAAGATCGCTGAGGCTCGACGATTCTTCTCTAAGGCTTCTCTGCTCGATCCGCACTCGGCGCCAGCTTGGATCGGGTTTGCACACACATTTGCCGCAGAAGGCGAACATGATCAAGCGATTGCGGCGTATAGTACGGCCGCACGACTGTTCCAGGGGAGCCATCTACCCCAGCTTTTTCTGGGAATGCAGCATCTCGCTCTGAACAACATGTCTTTGGCTCATGAGTATCTATGTGCCGCGTACGCCATGTCAACTGGAGCGGTCCCCGGGTCTACGCCTTCCCTTCCGGTGAATATATCGCCAGGCACCTCTCTGGGTGGTGACCCGCTCGTCCTCAATGAACTGGGCGTTGTTCTATACCATCAAAACCACCTCGACGGGGCAGTGGAATTGTTCCGACAAGCCTTGGCCTTGGCCACTTCTCTACAATGCGAACCCAGCGCGTGGGTGGCCACACGCGCAAACCTGGGCCATGCCCTGCGCCGCATGGGCCGATTGCTCGAGTCTCTGCGTGAGTTCAATGAATGTCTGCGCGTGGGCGCCGGTGGAAGCAGCATGGGATATTCGCCTTTCTTGGGCGGCGGTGCAGGAGGCTCCGCGGCGATCGCGTCCGCATCAGGCATCGGGGGCTATGAAGATCGTGGGCTGGTCGGGTCTCTCCACACCTCCCGCGGGCTAGTTCTCCTCGAGCTGGGCCGCACCACCGAGTCAGTCACCGCTCTTCACGAGGCAGTTCGTGTGCTTGGGGCCAGCGGGGGTGGCGATGCAGCGGGGGGTGCCGGGGTTGCGGGCACCCTGCTCTCTCGAGCCCTGGATATCTGGGCTTCGGAGGGTCGCGAACGTGACCGCCATTCCTTGGAAGAATCACTTCGATCAGGCAACAGCCGCAGCTCGACACGTTCCCGTGAGCAGCCACCAGATGAAACGCCCCGACGCCGCGGTGCCCACCAGGAATCCTACCCGGGGAGTGGACGGATGAGGTCGCGCACGTCGCGACTCCCGAAACAGCCACCGACAACGACACCCTTGGCGCGCGTGTTGAGATGGAGCTGGATGAAAAGGCTGACGGGCTGTTACAGCGAGCGTTGGAGCGGGTCCGTCCTGGTAAATCACGGCCCCCCAGTGCCCGCACCGATGGGGATGCGGCTGAGACCCTGGTGCAATCCGGTCGCAGTCGAACTGGTCGACATGGGCGGAGTCAGTCACGACAGTAATCCGCCAAATGGTGCGTACCTGGTTAGTGGGTCAGCTATTATTAGATACGCATGGGCAAAAGGCGTTGATGGGGGTTAAGCAGGCTTGAATGCCTGGGGCTTGGTTCTTTGTATGAGCATATCCGGGTTACGGGACCTCCAGCATTGTTAGATGGCCTATTCTTCCATACTAATATAATCACGAACCAAAAAGACCCCACAAAAAAAACAAAATGACAAGAGTGGGATTCGAACCCACGCCCCCTTGCGGAGATCAGGACCTTAACCTGACGCCTTGGACCAACTCGGCCATCTTGCCGGAACAATAGCTCCAGGCTCTGGCGGTGGCTTCTTGAGACAAATTTCCCAGACGTTGTCGTCACCGCCCCATTGTATACGCCATCCCCGTCGATCGGGGCTTGAGCGCCAGACCTAGCAGGCGGAGTGAGTTCTCGTGTCCGGACAAGCAGCCTCGCCTTGGCGGCTCCTGACTCTATTTCCGTCCCATCTCGTCCGCCCTCCATTTCTCGGCCCCCTCGACCCCATAGGCAGCAACGCTAACTGTGTCCTCCAGAAGAGAATTAACCTTTGCTAGCCCAGGGACCAGCCAGCGCCACCATGACGCGCCGGGCCCCACCCCGCTGCCGCCCTGAGGCTCAATCCAATGGTGACCCAAAGGGGCCAAGACCCTGCTTCGCCTCCAAGTAGTTTCAGGAACACTTTTCCTCTGGCCCTCACTGCCTCCACACTCCCTCCTCTCTCCTTTCCTTGTCTCACCCCACTTCTACATTCCTTTCTTTCTTTCCTGCTTTCTTTCTTTTCTTCTCCAATCCTGACGGTCGAGAATTGATCAACAAATAATGCTGCGTGCCCGAATCCCTTCTCCTGCGCCATAATAATGGCTCTCCCGAGCTGCTCCTTACCGCGCCTGCAACGCAGCCTCCTGCTGCTGCTCTGCGCCATCACCACCCTCTCCTGCAGCATCATTGTCACCATCTGGTATGGCATGAACACAGACCGCGAGTACATCCACCCCATCCTCACCCAGCTCATCCCCGCCGGCCACTGCGAGTGCCAGACCTCCACCACCTTCGAATGCTCCACCTGTCTCTCCTGCTCCGACACTGGTCTACGCGACCAATCTAGTCCCGCACCCGTCTGGCGCTTCGATTACCGTCGAGATGGTCGTAACCAAGCCCTCGACCAGATGCAGTGCCAGGCGGCCTTCCCCGGCCTGTTTGAAGATGTCGCGCGTGGCGAACAATACTGGCGGTCGAACGGTGCCCTGTCGACCGAGGAGCTCGACGCCATCCCCATACAAGAAGGTATGGCCCGCGCCTTTGTTTCCCACGGCAACCTCCACGTCGTCGCCGCCCGCGCCCGCGGGGAGGACCACCGCCGGAAAATCCTGGGCGTATTGAGCTCGATCCATCGCGCGCTGGCCGGCGATGGGGGCCGAGCTGCGAGGCGCGATATCGAATTCGTGTTTTCGGTAGAGGACAAGGTCGAGGATGTCACGCTCCCGGATCATCCTGTCTGGGTCTTTGCGCGCACGCCGACCGAGGAAGCCGTCTGGCTCATGCCCGACTTTAGCTTCTGGGCGTGGGACAACGACAATAATGCCATGGGGCCGTATGATCAAGTGGTCGACCGCGTCGAGCGTCTGGATATCCCCTGGTCAGAGAAAAAACCGCAGCTCGTGTGGCGTGGTAAGCCCAGTTTCGCGCCCAAGCTGCGTCGTGCACTGCTCGAGGCTGCTCGTGATCAGCCCTGGGGCGATGTGAAGCAAGTCGACTGGGCAACGGGCTCGAATTTGCTCAAGATGGAGGACCACTGCCAATACATGTTTATTGCCCATGTTGAGGGTGAGTTCCCCTTCCTGCCTTTTTAGTCTTGGTTGCTCCCTTGCTAACACCTTTCCAGGCCGGTCCTACTCTGCCTCGCTCAAATACCGACAGGCCTGCCGGTCGGTCATCGTCGCCCATAAACTCCAGTACATCCAACACCACCACTACCTCCTCATGTCCAGCGGTCCGAACCAAAACTACGTCGAAGTCGAGCGCGACTTCCGTGATCTCGGCGAGAAACTCGAGCCCCTCGTCCGCGACACCGACGCCGCCCGGCGCATCGCCAACAACAGCGTCAAGACCTTCCGCGAGCGATACCTAACTCCCGCCGCGGAGGCGTGCTACTGGCGCGCGCTGTTCGATGGATACGCCAGTGTCTGGAACAGCTCGGTGAACTCGTGGTCCGAGAGTCTTCACTACGAGCGCGGACTGCGCTACGAGTCCTTTGTTCTACTGGACAGCCAGCAGATGCTCGACTTCCGGGCCGAGACTGCGCCTCACGGATACAATTAGACCATTATACATAGACCAATGGGGCCAGTCCACCCAGTTTAATATGTTTGTTAATAGCTTGATTTGGGAGTTTGGGCACCACAGGCGTTCGGGATCACATCATGTTTCGGTCCCGTTGCTATTACCATGATACCATGTGAGCGTGAATAGATACTATCGAGAATTCGTTCAGTGAGCAATTGCATCTCTTGCTTGTGTACTCCCATGTAGAATGATCCAAGTACATACTACGGTTTATTGCAGATTCTAAGATCCGGATACCACCTCCCTCCGATCAGTATCTCAGCTTACGACTTGGCTCATTTAACTCTTGTTAGCACTCGTGGATTATTGACACAAGTCCCTGCCTCGAGACTGCCGCTTAGATGAATCCAGTAGTGTGTCAGTTTCAGTTGTGAAAACTTTCCTGTCCTATCAGCCCTATTCTGTGCAAGCCTGAACCGTTTCGGGGGCCTGGTCGATATTTTCGTGGTTGGATTTTCGGGTTTGAATGCTTGGTCCTTGATCTGCAGTTAACCAAACAAGCACAGACGTCTGGCTCCTGATTCTTGCGCGACAACGTTGTTCACAGAGGCCCTAGCCCAAACCCAAACGTGGTCCACCTTCCTTGATGATACGATTGCTACTCCCCAAAATCTGACTTTATCCTTCTCAATTCGGAAAAAGTAGCGATGACTTGTCAGACGCGGAAGATCAGTCATTGACCCCGTGGAACCCCGGACATGCTCCCTCGCTAGTACCTGTCACACAAAACCCGGTCCTCAGGCATGTGAGCCACAGTAAAACCAAGCCGGCCGCACCGTAGAAACTCAAAAAAAGGCGCATGTGACAGGAATAGAGTCTGGGAATATTAACGGATAGGTCTAGCCGAGACATTTGCGCTTTCACATCTTGGGTATGTCTTTCCGGTCTGCTGAGCTAGCACAGATAATGGAGCAGTCTGAATGTAAATACTGTTCAACAAATGACGCGAATGTGTTTATGACCCATGGAGTCATATCCTAGAGTTTCTATCACGGTGATTAAAAGGTGAATTATGTTAAATGCGGTTGTTAGACGGACAGGCTGGTCTCAGTCAGGTACGGCACCATTGCGGGTAGCCAACTTCCACCGCGACCAGCGGTTTCAGATACTGCCCGCATACTGCCAAGATGGAATTGTGCTCTCCCCACTATTTCAGGGATCTACGGATGCTGCTGTCTTTGAGAACTTCATTGATCAGCTCCTTCGGCATTGTGGAAGATGGTCTGAGCCGAAGTCCGTTCTGGTTATGGTCTGGTTACGAACAACCGCCTCATTCAATCGTTCTAAATCGTATCGAGGAAATGCGTAATGAAGTAGGAGTAAAGCTAGTGTATCTGCCACCTTAATCACCCGACTTGAATCCTATCAAGGACTTCTCAGAATCGAATGCATTCATTAGACGGAATTGGGAGCGGCATGAAAAAGACCCAGAACCAGGGTTTCAAGCTTTCCTAGAGTGGTGTATTGAGGCCGTTAGATCTCGAGAACAGAGTGCTCTAGATCATTTCCAATTTGCTGGCGAGGTAATTAGGACTCACAACTAGATAGCTTCGTATTCTTATACATGTTATCCGGTCATGGTACAGAGCCGAAGTCGTATCAAGCTGAGTAAATAAAATGCTCGCTTGTTGTAACACCTTCCAAAATAAACCGGCTGCCTTCGATGTCGTCCCAATGCAAGTGTCCTACCTCAAGCGCCAGCAACCTCTCGATCACTCATAGAATAGCACGGAACCTTGATTCTTGGCAGCATAAAGTCACTGTCTACGTGATACACTGTAAGGAAGTTCACCACATCTATGCAAGAACGCGGTTGTTTTATGTCGAGGAGATCGCTATCTTTTATGGGATGAGTTAACCCTCGGCGCTGAACAGAAATTAGCCAATTGACACTACTTAGCGGCCCTGACGGGGCACAGAGGACGATAAGCCACATAGAACGGCAGATAGAATTTCCCCCAGAATCAGAGGCCAAATCAGAAACAACTTAGGTTCTTATCTCAATCTCCATACTGTATTTTAACCCAGCAGTCTTGAACCTTCACTAATCACTATATTTGCCGTGAACTGATACTATCTTGTGTAGTTAACGACAGCATCTACATTGACCTCCCACAATGCAACATTGAGGAGAGCCATCATTGCAACACGCATAAGCGCCGCACAAATTGTTGCATTGAAGACAAGCTGGAAGAACTGTTACTTTGCTGGTCATGTAATTGGGTGTCAGATAGACTGACCGACGCACAACCAAATCACAATTTGGCTAGTCAGATAACATCAAAACTTTAATCGCTTCAATGAGTTAGGGTGCCAAAAAAGAAGCAAATGCTTTTCTGGGGCTTGAAGCAACGTAGAGCAGCTACACACAGTCGTCACATGTTCCAACAAGTTTAGCGGCTATCTTCCGCAAGAAACTCCACGCTGAATGGATAGTCCACGTATCCTAGACTGGTTTTCGGGGTGTAGAAAGACGGCCGGTCGTATTTGTTCAAATCTATGCCGTGCTGGATTCGGAATGGGAGATCCGGGTTGGCGAGGAAATGCCGGCCAAGAACAACCGCGACTTCGTTGTTCCAATATTCTACATCGACCGCGTGTTTCGCAGATGCGGGAGAGAATCCACCTGCCACGAGGACCGGGGAAGTCAGACCCCATATTTCCAGAGCGAAATCAATCCCCTCTGTCTTCTCAATGTCAACGTTATTGTTGACTCGTGACTCGATCACGTGCAGGTATCCAAGCTTCAGTTCTCGTAGTTTCTCAATAAGATATGAAAATTGAGGAATGGGATGAGCCATTCGCATTCCCTGAAAGGAACTCCAAGGACTAATTCGGTAGCCGACCCTGTGGGCACCGACAGCGTCGGCGACCGCAGTAGCGACTTGAACTGGAAATCGAGCTCGATTCTCGATAGTTCCACCCCACCGATCCTCTCTCTGGTTGCATGTGTCCTGCAAGAACTGGTCCAAGAGGTAGCCATTCGCACCGTGAAGCTCGACACCGTCGAAGCCTGCGCGCATTGCATTACGCGCCGCCTTGACGAAGTCCTCAACCGCCGCGTCAATCTGATGCTCTGACATCGGGATAGGTATGCAAGCATTATCATTCAGCGGGACCGGGCTTGAACTAAAAGTACAATGTCCAGCCTCTTCCAGCAACGAGGCTTGGTCCGCGGCGCGACCCGTTGCAATTAACTGGGCGAAAATGTAGGATCCGCGAGCATGCACTGCATCTACAACATTTCTCCACCCTTCCACTTGGGCCTCGTTCCACAGTCCCGGGGAGTTCGGGAAACCTCCGTGACTGGGTGAGATCAGTGTAGCCTCCGTGATAAGAAGAGTCCCACGAACAGAAGCCCGCTGCTCGTAGTAGTCAACGGCCATGGAGGATGGGATGTGCCCATCATCAGTGCGAAAGCGAGTCATAGGAGCCATGACCACGCGATGGGCAAGCGTCACGTCGCCTATGCGGAGGGGCGTGAAAAGCTTTGACATTGTCGCTGATGTGGCTTTTGGAATTGATAGCACTCTAGATCAGTTGTCTCAAATAACGTAGATACGATATAAGATGTTAATAATGTGCAAGACCAACAAACATCCTTGTCTCGGTCCAAGGTGGGAGCGCAAGAAAACGACAGATTTAAATTGGTTTCATGCAGTGTCAGCTACGTCAATGACTTCTAGCGTAAAGCTATGGTCAACAGGCGCGACCAGACTTTGCCCAAGTTAGGCGCCGTCTTAGAACGACCACTTGTCATTTAATTTTTAAGATCTTCCCGTACCAACCAGGAGACGGTGGTGTTCGTGGTGGGGCGTCAAGGTGCCAAAGGACTACGGTATGTCACATATTTTTTAACTTCAGAAACAGGCTAGATAAGGTCCAAATATTAATAGGATATAATCAAATCTTATATTAAGCTGCCGTTGCTAATAAATCGAGTTGTAATTTATCGCATTTCTTATGTGTTTTGATGCGGGCGGCTCGTCACGGAATCACGTTAGCGTTCGTTATCGGTTACCGATCCGCGAATCATGACGCTTACAGTAGACTGCAAATTAACGCTTACCTGCTGTAAGTACTTCACCTGCTGGCCTGAAGCTGTCGCGAAGTAATTATTAATATCGCACCTGACTAACTAACAAATTAGAAGTCTTTAGGACAGGGTCAGACATACTTCACGAATAACTCCCGTGTCGTTTGTCCCAGCGTAGTAGTCCGTGGAGATATCACACACGCCCCAGTATTCCCATGAATTTGATGTAATTGAGAAAATGCAACAGCAATAACATACGACGTGACTATTGGGAGAAAAAGGAATGGGGTAAGCTTAGGAATCTTCTCATGTTGTTGTGAGATGATATCTGTCTCTCGCCTTAGTTTGATTAAAGGTTTATCGGGTTTAATAACGTTTAAAACAATAATAACAAATATAATTGCTTTTATATGAGTTCACAGTAAGCGTCTTGGTATTCCCTATCTTGGTTCTCTTAGACCGCCTGATTTGGTGAGCTTCTTGCTATCCTAGGCTGAAATAGACTGGGCAGGTTTGGCAAGGCGAATGAGTAGATCCCCCGGTATGACCTCAGGGCTAGTTAGTGGCTCCAGGATTGGAGTTCAGAAGAGAATCGGGCGGTGGTAGGTGGTAGGGAAGATTGAGAGGAATAAGGGGGAAGAGAGACAGAGATCAAGAAATGAAGGAAAACAAAAGAAAGAGACGTTCAACTTCTTCATTCTGTTAAAGACCTACAAATACCTGCCTAGGGAATCCATTCATCTAATTGATCCCTCTGTCCTTTTTTTTTGCAGGTGGCCTTCTTCCACTGCGCACCTTTCCTTTCGTCATCAGGGGTACACTGGTTCGAGAGAGTAAAGTGGTGGTGGTACGTCGGCGCATACGTCTCATTGCCGTACACGTCTCCGCCATAAAAGAGATATCCCTGGCTTTCTTCACGCGGGATAGTGCGAATTTGGTCTGCAGTCCCAATAGCCCAGACCATTTGCATGCCTTCCAAAGAGATCATCAGCAAGTCTACAGCGGTTTTATATGAGGATAACTTACCCATCATCATATGTTGCGCTCTATGGCAATGAATCATCCATACTCCTGGTTCTGTGACACGAAATCTCCATGCGCGCCATCCATAAGGGACCCCCGCGCCAGCAACGGATTGGTACTCGTAAGTAAGAGTGGTGTCCCTCAAAGCAGGGTGCCATCCCAGGCTTTTTATCTTAGCCTCATTGGCCGAGGCGTTGTAAATTCCGGGGCCACTCCCAATATCGTAAAAATGATTCGCATGTGCATGGAAAGGATGAACGTCCTCGGATCCATCGTTTTTCACTATCGAACCGTGCATTTGAAACACGATCTCCAACACTTCCCCCGGCACCGCTGCAAAGGCACGGACATTCGGATCCCAGCCGCCATGTGCAACGGCGGCATCGTAGTTTGGCACAGCGGCTTCACCGTACTTGTAAATATCCACAAGAAGGGGGCTGTAGGAGTCTTTTTCAGTCCACGTGAAATTGTTGAAAGTCCAGATTTCCTGACCCGTCACGGGGCTGATCTCTTGCATAGTATTGAGGATCACACGGCGAGTGACCTCCTCGAGCGAGGGGAAACTCTGCTCTTCGGGGTATAATGGCTCGAGGGTGTATTCAAGCCAGTCATATGGAGGAATGCTCGTAAGGTTAAATGGTGGCGCCACTGGAGCTGCTGGAGGAGGCGATGATGGGTTCGAGTATCGAATAACGCCGTACCCGATGTAGGTGGACGGTCGGTCAAGGGTCTGGTATTGAATGATATAGTCTGTTTTCCCATCGGCCAGAAGCTCTTCAGTCGTTTTCGCCTGGAAGAGGACGTCGAACGTCTGGCCAGAGGCGATCTGCATGCGATCGATCGGGACGGGCTTGGTATATCGCGAATCGGCTCCGATTACAGTCATCTCGTGGTGACCTTCAAAGCCAATCATAAGGAACGAAAGTGCCGTTGAACTGATGAAGCGAAAACGGTACTTCTTGCCTGGATCCACCTCAATTACGGGCAGTGCGCAGACACCAGTGTTCTTTGGTTCGTGACCAATCGCAAGTCCAACGCCGTTGAGCAAGACTGAGCTCACCTCGCCGGTCCACGTAAATGGCACCTCTTGCAGACCGACCGTCATATTGTGGTCCGTCTTGTTGAAATAATCACTCCAGAGAAGAAAACGGTCCTCGTCATAGTCAAACGGAGGCTTACCGCAATCATCCACAATGAGTGCTCCAAAGGCCGTCACATCTTCCATTCCAACATGTGTATGGTAGAAGTATGTGCCAGCATCGTCGGGAGTAGTCTGGATTTCGTAGTCGAAGAAGTGGCCCGGAGGTATCGGCCATTGCGATGCCTGTGGTGTGCCATCCGAGAAAGGTGCCACTCGCTGGGCGATGCCATGCCAATGCTACATTTATATGTTAGGATAGGCGCTTAATTCCCTAGACTGCCATAGACATACTATAGTGATGTTGAAAACGTCTAGATCATTGTATACCCTGATCCAGGTGATCTCCCCGGGAGACAGATGGACTGCAGGCCCTGGTGAAGTGCCATTGACAAGCACACTCAATCGAGACGCGCAGGCGACAGAGACGTTCTCTGCGGTAACACGTAGGACATGTTTTGGGTGAAAGCTCTTGTCGTGGGCCACCAGCTTGCCGAAAGACGTAGTGGCTTGGAATACGAGGGCAGCTGCCCAAAACAGTATGGACCGCATCATGTGGCTCGCCTAAGAAGTTCTCGTTGACGGGTGATGGCTTTAGATGCTGTCCAGTTTATAATTTTCATATTCTATAGATCTCTCCAGCACGTGTTTGAATTCTGAATTCTCACCCGATAGGAACGGTAATTACTCTTTTTTTTTTTTTTAGCTAGGTTCTATCATGCCAAGATTCACGCATTGCGTTACCAGATCTTTACAGCCAACCTGGCATAAGCAGCACTGATCCGATTCTAAATCGGATATGTGAGACATCCAACAGAATTAATCATCGGAAATGATCCGATTTAGGATACCCATACAGAATGGCAATGTCGCCAATTGTTGGGGCCGCCGGGCTTAGTACAGAGGGTCAGCACAGTTACGAACTTCGCCGATATTCTCGGGCTGCGGAGCGGTGTCCATGCCGGCCCGTTAAGCCACAATGTCGCTCAGGAGGGTTCTCGACCCACTCGGCAATAATTGCGCAGAGAATTAGGTTTGGGCAGGAACAGAAGCGTCCTAGAGGCCCGTAAATTTGCCTTTGCCGCCCGAGTGCTTTCGGCAAGCTCCCGAGTGGCCTGTAGTTCGAAGTCTCTGTTTGGGATCCAGGTAACGCATCAACAAATTGGAGACAACATCGGACACATGTGCTTCCATAACTATGGATTGATGTCTCACTTTGGTGGAAATACGATTTCAAAAAATGCATGCCATTGCAACACGTGCCAACAGGAATAACTGTCTTGTAGGACGCAACAAGTACTTAATCTTGGCAAACTGGTAGCTTCCCTGTCGTTCATCTGCCCAATTTCACATTGCATGTCTAATAAACCTCGTGATTTCTCATCGTACTAGTGAAAATGAAGCTTTCCACTGGCCTGGTTCTGGCTGGCCTGTCCTTGACGACGGCGGCCATGAGTTCTAAGGAACCACCGCACCCTGCGAAGGAACCACCGCACCCTGTGAAGGTCACTCCCCCTAAGGGAAAGTGGTTTGACAGTCAGTTGAACTATTCATTCGTCTGCTACAAGAATTGAAACTGAAATGTTGATAATCATAATAGGGATCGTGGTGATGGTCTTGGAGAACACCAACAAGGATGTCACTTTCGGCAACCCCTACTTCCTCAATCTCACCAACATGGGCATGACGCTTGGCAACTACCACGGTATGTTATATTCTCTTTCACCAACAACGAACTAGATCTTCCTAACGTCTCGCTTAATTTTCAGGCACCACTCATCCCTCCCAGGTAAATAATATGTTTCCTGACCGGTTTATACCTGGTTTTAAATCCATCTAATACCGAACGCTGCAGCCTAACTACATTACCATGATTTCCAACACTATTGCTGCTGGTGTTTACGATGATGCCGACCACAACAGCACCGAGATGAGTCTGATTGACTTGTTCGAGCCTGCCGGTACGATGCACTTGACCCAACTTCCAATCAATTCTCAACCTCGGGAATTAGAGGCTAATTGAAAACAGGTATTACTTGGAAGGCCTACATGGAGGGCTACACACCCCTCAAAAACGGTGAATGCAACCCGATCTCTGAGGACGATTCCACACTCTACGTCCGGTAAGCATCCTATTCGTAGCAATAATCAACGTTATGAGACCGCTCATTGTGAGATAGCAAGCACAACCCCTTCATGTCTTTTGACAACATCCGCAACAACACTTCTCGCTGCCAGAACATTGTCAACGCTGAGCAAAATTTTGCTAAGGACGTTGCTATGGGTGCCGATGCTCCTATGTACATGTTCTACACCCCGAACCTTGACAACGATGCCCACAACACAAACGTCTCTTTCGCGGCACAGACCGTGCAGTATGTGATGGACACTATGCTACACAACGAGGAGTTTATGAAGAACACTTTGATTGTCCTTACTTTCGATGAGAACAGTAAGTAGCCCAACCCTTCCGTGGCAAGCGTCATTCAGTTGAAGTTATACTCACAACCCAAAGATATCTACATTAACGACAACTTCGGCCTGCCTAACTCAATCTATACTGTACTTCTGGGTAACGACACGCTTAAGTGCTATGATTGCGTTGACCAGCAGTATCACAACCGTGAGTATTCCCCGATTCAGTATTTTTTTGTTATACCGTAATTCTGATTTCTTTCTAGATTTCTCTCAGGTCGTGACCATCGAGAGAAACTGGAACCTGAGCACTATTCCCCAGCCTGATGGCAGCGGTGAGGGCTGGGACATGTGGTGGCGCCCGTTCGGTATGCTTCGTACCGCTGCCGACAAGATTTGCGCGTACGCTCCTTGCTCTGAATACTATAACGATGAAAGCCCGGCCCCAGCCGATGGTAATTGGGGAGACCAAGACTATTAGTGTCGGGTCAGCTTAAAAGGAAGGGTAGAATGGGTTCGAATTTCTTCCTCCTCTCCAGCCACGTGTTCTGTAGATAGCTTCCCTTTGTCAATCATACTCACGTCTACTATGCTCTCTCGTAACATACGATGACGCAATCGCGTGAGCCAAGGAGCTAGGTCAATTTTCCACTCGAAATGGATATCATAAATTGTTGCTTTCTTTCCAAAATATCCCGATGTATTTAGAATATAACGAAGTAAGACATCGAATCTTTCTTTAGTAAGTAGAAATCTTGGGCTTCATATACGGCGACGTTCTTCAATTAGTTTTGCCAAATACATATCTTTCGAGCACTATAGAACCTCCCCTTTTGACTGATCAACCTATCTAGAATCTTCTACTATATTTACCCCAAAGAGCGCGATATACAGGTGTAACGGCGAACGGAAGGTACTTAGATCCAAATTGTGGCCTATCAATACTAAGAATGCCGGTTCCGAAACTAAGGAAAATGGTAACTAAATAAGAGAAAAGCAAAGATACTAAACAATGGCTGATTCAACTTACACTTTACTGTGCCTCCGGTGTTTCCACTCTCCTACCGCGCTAGCGGAAATAATGTTAGTGCTTACTAGCAAGAAAAAGCTTGGTAAAGCTTAACACGGTCGGTGGGCAATCTTCCTTACCAGGGGTTGTAGAGAGTTTAATTTGCCTGAACACCAATCATATTCAACCCCTGGCCCATGCATCTAGAAAATACTCTCAAGTTGTCAAAGGGTGCTACATCCGATGTGCCGAGATCCGCAGTCTAACGGATGTCAGTAATCGGAGAAACTCCGAGCAATTGTTTGCTCCACTAGATGTGGCTTGCTATCTCCGAGCGGAGCTACAATGAAAGCAACTTCTCAGGCAATATTGACCGAGACCGGAAAAGACTGGTCAATATTATAGGGCCGTGACAAGCTGCACAATCCTGGAGGTATATCATGATCTTTCTGCAAGTGTGGTGTGTAAAAATTGTAGACAAAGATGGCATATTTGGCCATAAGTGTGCCTCCAGCAAACCACTGAAGTACGTGACTCTGGCAACAATGCAAAACTTATCTACAGACCTTTCAGCCTTGACCTAACGCTTCCGTACGGCCCCACTCCGGCGAAAGAAATTATTCCTTCTCAATAGCTGCAGGTACTGCACGACGTCTTAACGCTATCGTTATTTCAGCCAACCAGATATCTTGCCAAGGGAACGTGTATATTTTTCGAGATGATTCGAAACTCCGGACTCCGAGTCAGTTCACTGATGGAGTGTACATAAGGAGCTCTGCATATGCTGTGATGATGTGGACTTGGATTCATCGAAAGCAAATAGTTTTACCTTCTACATCCAACAAGATGAAGTCTGTCTTCGGATTGACGGCCGTTTGTGCCGTGGCCAACATGGGCTCGGTTCTCGCTGCCCCAGGCGGCAGTCCTTCCAGGTACAGTGCCCCTCTGTTGTCATTGTCAACATCTTCTCTGACTTCAAGCTCGGTTTGAGTAGCGATGTGTGGGAGAAACTGAGGGGCAATGTGAGAAACCAAGTGCTAAACAAAGGACCGCTGGTATTGACCTCCTGTTGCAGGTCAAGCATGTTATCTACCTCATGATGGAGAACCACTCCTTCGACAACATTGCTGGATACTGGGATTTCCATCCTGATATCGACAACCTGGTCCATCTCAAGGAGCCCTTCTGCAACCCATACAGTAACCCTAACTGGACTGTCTATGGCGAACCTTACTCAATCTGTGCTGCACCTAACGAGGGTTTGGTACCCTACGACGACCCTGACCACGACTTTGCCGGTACCAACTATGAGATTTTCCAGACCTACTACCCTACCAAGGACTCTGTTCCTACCATGCAGGGTTTCGTTGACCGAGAGTCTGCCAGATACGGCCTCACTCCCGGTCAGTCTGCTTTCGTCATCAAAGCCTTCGACGAGAAGAGGACCTCCACTCTGGCTGAGATCGCCGAGAACTTTGTTTTCTTTGATCGCTACGTGCGTACTCTTCCCCTCACTATTCAGGATCGCAATTGATTGACAGTTTGGGGAATTAGTTCGCTGAGCACCCTGGCCCAACCAATCCTAACCGCCAGTTTGCTACCTCGGGTTCCAGCTGTGGTTTTGTCGATGACACCACTCAGGCTGCTGGTTTCTTCAACAATGTGACTGGAACTACCTGTGCCATGTCTATCTTCGAATCCCTCTCGAAGGCCGGAATCTCCTGGAAGAACGTGAGTGTATTTGGCTTTGCCACGGGTACCATGAATTGACGATGTGCTGCAGTACTATGAGTCTGACATCGTTGACGCCTGGAACTACGAGTGGGTTCAGAAGAATGCCATGGACAAACTCACGCCCGCCGACAACTTCTACAAGGATCTCCAGGAGGGGACCTTGCCACAATTCTCGTACATCAACCCTGAATGCTGCACCGTCGATTCTATGCACCCGACTTCCAACATTGCTGCTGGCTCTGCCATGATCAAGCATTTGTACGACGCTGTCCGTAACTCCCAGTACTGGGACAACGTGTAAGTATTTAATGACGGACTATATGAGACATATCTGGGTGAACCATCGGCGGCTAATCAAATTCATATACAGCTTGATCATCCTGAACTTTGATGAGCACGGCGGTTTCGCGGACCACGTCGCCCCTCCCATGAATATCCCTATTCCTGAAGACAAAATCGCCTTCGACGGTGACTCAGAGGGATTCAACCTTACCTACAACTTTGACCGCCTCGGTATCCGGTAAGTGTTACATCTGTCTACAGCATTGTGTCAAGGAGAGACTAATCCTTTCCATAGCGTTCCTGCTTTCTTGATCTCTCCTTGGGTCCCCGCCAACATGTTGATACACGAAGAGGGTACCATGTATGACAGCAATTCTGAGTACACCCACACCTCTTTCCTTCATTTCCTCCAGAACCTCTGGGGACTTGAGGGTCTGAACAACCGCGTCCAGTGGGCCAAGACTTTTGAACAGGTCTTCACAGAGAAGCCCCGTACGGACGCGCCCAAGAACCTCACCCGTCCTGTCTGGTACGGTGGTAGTACTGGTCCGCAGCCCGATGAGTTCTACCTACTGAACCAGCCGTACTCCTACTACGCCGACCTCCCTTAGAGCAATTTTGAGTGACATACACTGGGTCTTTTGATCTTGCTCATTGCAATGGTCTTGCTGGGGAGCGCAAGCTGACGGGTCCAAAATAGTTAGCCGTTCCTGATGTCAAAATGGTCTGTGGCGCGTGTTTCTATCCTTCAAGATAGTGTTGCCAAGATTCTGCTCTCCATCTCCCGTACAAGGTCTTGCCGGCCCGTCTCTTGTTTCTTCTGAGGTTTGTGCTATCCACCCTATCATATTCAATAGAGCTTGGAGTTTGACAAGGGAACGCCCTTAGTGTCCATGTCTAAAAGGACAGAGCTAGGTAGAAAAGTTGTAGGATTCGCTAGAAGGGGAAGAACAAAGCTATCCACAAGATCGCTATCTATGTAAACGAAATCAAGCATAATCGGGTGTGCGAGGGCTGTAGCACTAGATTGTAAAACTATACTAGTTGTGACCATTCTTCGATACCAAATAATTTTATCAGTTGAAAGTGGTTCCTTACTCTTGTCGTTGGTAATGAAATATTATAAAGGTTTGGTAATCCGCATAGGTTGTGTCGAAGCTTGAGTGTACCGCCAATTACAGCCATTCTCAAAATCGCCTTGACTGAAGCACACTGAGAATCTCTTTTCGGGGCCCACTGCCAAGGCCTTAGCGCAGATCAACCATTAAGCTGGCCGCGTTAAACTGATGGACACCGTAAAATTCGCTATGTATGTTACAGTACCTATCTACGTAAAATTACATAAGCATCCGAAACGCCCATGGAATTCCCTGAAACCGCGGACGGTGGGTCTACAAATCGCGCGGAGCGGGCCGCTTGGGGCCTTGTTCCCGGACGATCTCCTAAGGAGACTCTCTCTACAGCCAGAGCTAAAGGAGCTGCTGATTCGAAAGTATGCGGATCGGAAACCTGCAGGTATATAACATGACATGAGATTATCCATTGACTAATCGCTATAGATTCCCGATATTACATGAATGACAGCAAACATAAACGATCGTGAAAGGATCTAGTTCTTCCATTAGAACAAGGCAGCGGCAGCAGCAGCGGCGGCGGCGGCGCATAGTGGTGCAGCGGTGATCAAAGGCTTCGCGGGAGCAACAGCGGCATCAGGGGTCTTGGTTGCCTGAGGAGCAGTGAAGGAGGCAACACCACCAGTGACCTCCAGTTCCCAGTAACTGATCGAGTCGGTCGGGATGTTCGTGGTCGTCCAAGAGGTAGAAGAGGCAAGATTTCCGTCAGATGATGAGCCAGTGATCGAGGCACTCCATGAGCAAGAGGCCGATTCGGAGTAGTGAGTGAAAGAGCACTCAGCTGTCTCAGCATATGTGGCGGTCGTTTGGTCGCTTGTGTAAGTAAAGGAGGCCGCAAAGTTATAGGTGGCAGGGCCCTGGATCAGGGTCCAGGGATGTTTGGCATCGATCTGGCAGTCGGATTTGGGCGCACCGCCCAGACACTTGATTTCGTAAGTGGTAGCGACCGCATTAATGCCAGCAACACTAGCTGCGGTGCTGGTGAAAAAAAATGGGCCGATATCATCACCAAGTCCTGAGTTGACACCGAAATAGCCGACAGTGGTGGTGCTCTCGCCAGCAGCCAAAGCAGCCAATGTAACCACGACAAACGAACTAATGCGCATTATGGCTTCTTGTTTCGTTAAAAGTATCCAAGAGAATAAAAACAAAAGCCGCAGCTAATGTGATATAGCAGAAACACAGGCAGTCACTTTTGAGACAGAAGAAGCGAATAGAAAGCAGGTCGCGAGAAACAGGACGGTTCCTTCTTTTTGAGCTGCAATCACAACGTCAAAGTATTACTTAGCCTTGCTTACGCATGTATGGGAGTACTCGGACCCTTCTAGCCCCATTCGGGATAATCTCTAGACTAGTCAAGCCATTGAATCCACCTGCATCTGGTGATTGGTGTAATAAAATGGCTCATTTTGGTCCTATATATAGATAGTCGGGCTTGGTAACATTGGGCTTGCCTACACAAGAATGAAGGTATCGAACTTTACGTAGAAGGAAACACCAGGAAGTGGGATGGGCTGTCACGAACTTACGGACGAGAGTATTTTGTCATTATATTCAGAATCTTTCGGTTTATTCCATTTCTGTCCTGGTGCATAGGAAGGGTGTGTTCGTGTAGGACGAGATGTATTGCTGGCAGAATGCTGGTCTTACTAGAAGAGTACTTTCTAAGTTTGCGAGGTCTCAATGCTAGGACTTGTAGGAATACGTTGTTGGCTAAGTTCTCAAGGGATAAAAAAATTGACCCTAGTAAGGTGGTTGCAGGGTCAAAAGCGCCATTCCATTTGATAGTCTGAGTCTCATTGCGCGACGCCGTTGCAACGGGGCCCCACACAGAGGGATAGTAGAGACTAGGAGAGTAGTATGTCTATCAAAATTCGGCGCAATGAGGCTCGTCAAACCATGAGGTCGCGGTTGGATATTAGTGATTGTGCCTATTGGATAGCAGCTCTAGTAACCGGTATCTACGCCACAGGCGACCTTGGCGACGTTGATCGTTAGAGTGCTGGCCTTGGCGATATAGAGATTTTTAAACTACATCGACTAACAAGAAGCGGGCGAGGGTTGTGGTAAGTGGCCCCCAGTTGTTGAAAGTGTATTCCGACAGAACAGATACAGATAGCATGGTTGTCATTTTATCCAATATTCAAGTAAACAAAGCAATCGGAAGGGATATTTGCGAAAGGGTACATTTTCGAAAATTCAATTTTAGAGAATGTATGCCGTCTTTAATAAAACAAGTAAAAGCGAGATAGCCACTAAGTTAGCACTAATTGATTAGCCCGACCTTAGCGTGGTACAAAGAATCGCGTTAAGCTTTAAAGGGCGCAGCGGCTGAATCCTCGTTTGAGAGAGCTCCAATTCAATTAAGACTATCTAGGGTAGTAGTGTATCATAGAGTTACCGTAGCCGAGTACTACGTAAAGGGGAGGGCTTTTAACCGACGGCAGATAAGTGTCACAGCAAAAAAAGCCACACTTGTACCGATGAGGTATAGCTCAGCCTCAAGGCTAAACAAAAAGCCGAAAGCGAGTCAAATGTAAGCGCTATAGCGCGAAGAGTGGAATTTGCGTCACATAGGAGGCATTCTCGGATTTATATCCGACTATTTTCCATCTTTTAGATCCTCGAATGTGAATCGATGTTGCACGGCGCTGCATAATCCCAACGTCATAGGCAGCCTAACGGTTCCTGAAATAACTAACATTATTTATAGCCAACTACATACAGGCTATAGCCAAGGTAATACATAGAGACCAGATAGAACCACAATTATCTAGGGGATCATGAGACAGATTTTCTCAGAAAAAAGCTTCATTGGAAAGTGAAAGAAATTCGCCTCACGGCTGAGAGTTAAGATGGCCAACCCCGAGACTTGCGGCGCAAAATTGCTAAGACTATATCAAGCGGACTCGCGTTCAAAATTGGTGTTAAGACTCTCATCGGATTCTCTCTACTTAAAATTAAGGAACAGGAGAGAGGCTACGCTATGCACCCAATGGTACAAGACTGGTATGGGCTCGCCCATGAAGTACACCAAAATAATACTACTCTGAAAACTGGCTAGCGAAACCAAGAAGTAAAAGATGGGTATTTTGGCCGAGAGACCTTTTGAGGCTCTTTTCACAGGGATTATTATAGAGGTCTCTCTCTACTCTATTTCTCAAGATCAATTGTACCAAAAGCCATTTGTTTCTTGCCTTCTTGCAAATAATATTCTCAATATTCGTTACACATCATCTAATACCGCCGCCACAATGCGGTTCACGGTCATCGTCACCCTCCTTCTCTCCTCCACGGCCCTGGCCTCTGCCTACGACGCCCAGCCCGCAACCGTAACCGCTTCAGCAGTCGCCTGGTCCAGCTCCTCTGATTCGTCCGAAACGAACCCGGACAGCAGCCCCACGCTCGTCCCGCACTCCATTGTCACGGCGATTGGATCCGCCATCCCGCACTCATGGTACACCGATGTCTTGCAAGCCACGTTCCGCGATTCCATCGAGAGTGAAATCCAGGCTGGCACCATGCCTGCTTGGTACAACTCCCTACCTAGCTTTGTCAAGGCCTGGGCTTCGTCTGAGGGTGTCTACATCGACCCCTTTTTGGGTGCTGAATTGACTATGCTTGTTGGCTCGACTTCTTCTAATGCCCCTGCTACTGGTGTTCCTGCGCATAACACTGCATCTTCTATGAGCACTGCGGCCGCCACTAGAACCGGTGCCTCTAGTACTAAGAAGTCGGCTCCTTCGTCTTCAACCTCGACTGGTGGCGCTCCAATTGCTACAGGTGGTGTTGCTGCGGGCATTGCTGGCGTGGCTGGTATCCTTGGACTGGCTCTGGCTCTGTAGCCCGCTGCCTGATAGATTTTGTGGATCAGTTTATAGTAGCTTCAGCTTAGCATTATACATTATAAATCCCTGTCTGGAGGCGGCGACGGAGGGTTACCTGCGGCCCCCTCAATAGATGATCTGCTCTAAGGGCTTGGCGGTGGAGCCCAGAAAGAGTGACTCAGTGTGTATTTGGTCAAGCCGATTTCGAGAAGGACTGTAAGTCTGTTTTGACTTTTCTCGTGATCTTTGTTAGTGGCGGCTTACTTTGACTCATTGATCATGTTATGTTGTAGACCCATAGAAGGATTCCGATAGCTGTGACTAGTGACCGCAAAGTAGTTCTTAGGCATCTTGAGCGTGAATGGCTCCGGCTCATCCCGTAATAGAGCACAATGAGGATCTTCATTATGATAGTTGAGCAACCAGATGATAACTCCTGGTCCCAACTACCACGGATCGAAGTTGGGGGGAGAGATCTCTAAAAAAGTGGCAAAGACCCTAGAAATTCTTACCTAAAGGAATACTAAAGACACAGCGTGATGACAGATTTGATCTAAAAAAAAGCTGGGCACGTAAAAGACATTGATTTCTATTCAAGCGAGGCAGTAACCAAAACTGATTAGCAAGAAAAAAAAGAAAGCATAACAGACTGCTCCCTCATCCTCCAATCTAGTCGAAGTGAATCCGCCACAACTCTCGATCACAGTCACTTATATACCCAGTTCGCGTGTGCAGCATAGCGGTATTATCACTGATGAGCAAATCCCCCTTTTCCCACTCGAAGCGCAGACAGACTCGATGGTCGTATGTTCCCGAATCAACAATCTGCACAATACTCTGATCGTCGTTTTCAATGGTGACTTTGCAGGTAGAGAACTTTGTCTTCGTCGAGTCCCACGGTTGATGCCAGCGTAGACATGGCTCTCCCGAGAGCGGATGTTTCACGACAAGCGGTACATTCGGGATTTTGGATTGCCAGAAGCCATCATTATCCATAGCCCAAGTTACATTCTCAAGCCGCTCGGCCGTCCATGGAATAGGCAGGTACCGGAAGAAGAGGCGTGAGCTGGCAAACAGTGTATATCCACTTCCTTTAGGCGCCGTGGCCGGACAAGTAAAGAACTGGTACCCGGGTGGTCTTTGAACCTTGGCAGTCTCCCCAGTGACCGGGTCCTGCACCTCTTCAAACTTGAACATGCCATCAAAGTGCATGGGCATTGCTTCATTTGATGTGACATTGTTCCCCATCTTGTCGGACCGACCAGCGTCCCGCACTTTCTGAATGATGCCAAAGCTCCAGGGAAGAAGAGTCCCTAGCTCCTCAGCCTTTTCGACATAGAGCTTTTCTTCGAGGGTCTCAGAAAACCCACGAAGAATAATTGGGGACATGCCATTTGAGAGCTTGCGGACCTTCTGCATGGGAATAGAGCGGAGAGATGGTGGTGGATTCACATTGTCGATGTCTGCAGGTCGGATGATGAGACCGCAGGGGTATAGGTGCTCGAATTTGACAGAAAGACCGTCGTCGACCCAATTGAACATGTCGGATTTTTCTCGAAAGTAATATGGTTGACCATTTTTAAAGATCAGATCATGCGTGTCGCGCACGTCTTCTGCGTGGACCGTGCGATATGATCCATCTAGTCCGACAGCCACCGACGAATGCCACGGGGTATATCCCAAAGCGCCTCGAACCTGGGGGATAAGAGAGATGGATAATTTATTCTCGCCAGCAGACTGGTGAATTGAAAGTCGCACGTAGTCTTTCCGATTTGCTTTAATAGCGGCCGCGAACATCTTGCCGCGAACAATCATTTGACGCGCCGTTTGAGCGATGTGTGCTTGTCTGGAGCGCTTCGACATCAAGTGGTTTTCTTCTTGGTGCGCCAAGTCCTTGGTCAGGAACTTGATATATCCGCGATATGTAAGGCAGGTGTCAGTATCGGTTTTGATGGCCTCGTCGGCGTCAAAGGTGGGGTCTCCAAAGGAGTACATCAGTTCCCGTCGTAGACAGTTGGCGTGTGCCAGATAGGATGCTTTCGCAGACTCTGATGACTCATAATGAAACCCCGGGTGCTCGAGAAGCTCGAAGAGACGAATGAATTTGACATGATGAAGCTCTTTCTCGATCGCCATCTTCCGCAACGCCTCTCCATAATGCCAGACAGTGTCATCGGAAACTCCAAGTATGTCTACTTCATGTCAGAAGCTTTAGTTTAATATTTCAAAGATTTTGCTCACCATTGTAGACGAGCCCGTCCGAGCTAATGTATACATCCGCACCAGGCTCATAGATCCGGGCGATATTCTCGCACAATCCGTTCAAGTGGAAAAGCGCCAGCTCTTCACCCAGATCAGGAAGCGTGCCAAGCACCTTGTCTCGCACATTGGGCGACTTGAATGGAAAAGCGGGCAGAATCATGCGGATGGGTTCCTGTTTCTTGATCTGCGCGCGCACGATCGGAATGAAGGAGTCAAACCCCTTCCAGGAGCCGCCCAGTTTCTCGTAATCAACTCCATAACTTTCGATGAGCTTCAGAATAGCGACGGACATATTGTAAACTTCAGGCTCTGTATTTGAAGTGGCAGCATGGGCCACGTCGCCGTTGAGCACATTTTGTTCCTGGCGATGTATGTGGACAATGCCGTTTGCGGTAACCCCGCTAGGTGTGGGGGTTGACCCAAATGACAGCGTCGCATCGTCCGACGAGACGGTGGTTTCTGTTCCATTCACAGGCTTTACATTTGTCCCCTTAGGAATAATTCCATTCTGATCTGTCGCCGCGCTATACGGGGCCGAAGACACGGCAGAGAGTGACGTCAAGACATTCATCGTGTTTTTGTCTCACAGACAAACGTATATCGCAGAAAAGAGGGAGCGAATAGACAACGTTTTTTTCTTCAACTTGTGAGTTGGAGACCAGGAGGAAGCGCATGCTCTGCCAGATCGGCAGGTGCTATATACCCAGGAGCCGAAGTTTGATCTGATCTGATCCTTGAGTCACATACATGTTTTGTGCTGATGATGATTCTGTCTAATCACTGTACTTCAAATTAAAGACTCCAAACTCACATAAGAGGCCTTATTCAGGCAGGCTTAACTCAGTTAGTTCTTTGCCAGTTAAGTGCGACCTGTACTTGTAATTCTCACTCCGCTTATAGAGACGAAAATGGAAAATGGACAAGAATTATGACGAAGGCTGTGTCAGTGACATTCGGACAATAAGGAAGATCAAATGGAAACTCACGGAATGATGGGAAGTACGTTAGCAGGGGCAACGAGTGATGGCTATGTATCCACGCAGTATCCAGTCTATTGAGCAAAGCTTAGCCTGAAACCAGTCGACACACTTCATTCGTATACGGTCAGCAACCAGTAGTTTCGGAGCAAGTACAGTTTCATGTGACACTTAGCAACGCATAGATCTAAATGTTCCACGGGGATCGCCTTTGCATGTGAGTAAAACTAACATGGGGTCGCTACCATGTAGTGTTGCGATGACTCGATAATCGCAAACGGGAACTACATAGTGAATGAGAAATAACATCTCTAAAGGAGCAATTCAAGAAACCTGCCCAATGACGGGCATAACTATGGACTTAAGTACACAGCGCCTTGACCGTCCTACAGAGAAACAGGGTGTGATAGAGGACCATGACTGAATTCGTCCTATCTGTCTGCTTTGAAGCATCATGAGGGAGACAGACATATCTGTTTGTACCTCTCAACCCGGTATTACTGTTCCAATTCCTTCCAGTCATACTCCATCACCCTCGCTATATTTGCTGCCATATCGGGACTAGTTAGCTGGCTGACAAGGTAAAGAGAGGCATCAAGGCCAGAGCTAATTCCGCCAGCAGTAATGAGCCTGACAGCGCCACCTTCAAGAAGCCCACTATCGATATAGCGCCTAAACTCCACTATGGTGGGGGCGGCGGCCACATTGGCTCGGGAGCATATATCGCGCAGGGTATCAAGACCGGTATGGTGGGTAGTGACTGTAACGCCAGCGAGAATCCCAGTTGCACCAAGTAAGAAAGCGCCCGTGCAGACCGAGAACAAAATGCGCTGCTGGGTGGAGGAGCGTTGCGGGAGGCCTGAGAACTTGCGGATCACATCCAATTCCGGCGCCCCAGCATCGAGCAACGCGAGAATCACCGAAGAGGTCCCACCAGGTACGACCAGGATGTCAAAACTCGAGATAACACCGGTCGCTTCGTCCAAAAGAAGATCCACGTTTACAGCCAGCGAGCCGGCAGCTCTGATAGTGGGCTTTCGAGCAATAGTTTGGATCTTGAACATCCGATCTGGGTTATCTGAGCTGCGATTGTGCGAGATATGAGACAGGATCTCCATTGGCCCTGCAAAATCGAGGATGTCTGCGCCATCAAAGACAATTACTCCAACGTTGTAGTACTGCTTCGAAGTGGCCATAGTTTTTCACATGCAATAGCACAGTATGCGGAACCGTAGGAAGATGACGCTGCTTGCCTTTGAATGCTGGCAGAAATCAACAAACAAGAGGCTGGATAAAAGAGAAAGTGATGGTAAGAGGTGCCAATGGCCTCTAACGAGGCGGGGCTGACTGGGCTGACGATGGTTTGTCACCATCAGATGCTGTCCCACCCCGATGGTGTCCGTCCTCGCCCATTTGGAGACTGGAGTGGCTCCGACTATCAATTTGTTTTGCTGCGTTGGGAGCTGGAACCCAAAATCCCTGGTCGTTGCTCGTATAGACTGCAAGGTAGCTCGCTCGCTGGGACGTGCAAGTATTTCCAGTGTCCATACAGGAGGTACAGTCGCCGATGAGAATATCTACAACGCGAGTTCACTATTCTCTATTCTTTCTCAAGGATTAAGATTGCTTTTGTAGAGTCCAAAATTTAAACGCTCAAATTTAGAGAAGTTAGGGCTAGCTCGGGATGTGGGCAAACCCCGCTCTCCCGGTATCGCCGCTCCTCTACAAGTTGGTCGGATTGGTGGGGGATTGCAACATATTAAAGGCGAGGATCTCAAGAGAAGGCCTTCCTATATGTAGAAAATACAGTGCTGTAACAATGGTTGGCCACCAACACTATGATGACCACTTCTCTATCAACAACATCCCGTTCGGGATAGGCTCGTCCGTCAACCACCCAGTCCCTCAATGTGTCACTCGACTTGAAAGAACCATCATCTTCCTCGGGGTCCTACAGCAGTCAGGTGCCTTCTCTCAAGTGCCCGGCTTACCTGAGGGCATCTTCAAGAAATCGACATTGAACGAGTATGCAAGCTTGTCGAAGGACATCCAGCGCGAAGTTCGAAAGCTGCTGCAGTCATATTTGACAGGTGATCTGCCTCCCAACAGCTCTGAGGACGTTGAAAATGTTGCCATGAATTTGCCTGTCTCTATAGGCGGATTCACAGACTTCTCATGTAGTCTCCACCACGTCAAGAACGCCGGCCGAGCGATCTTAAACGACGACGCGCCGCCGCCGGGCTTCTTCAATTTCCCTATCGGATACAATGGCCGCACAAGCACGATAGTCGTTTCCGGGACGCCAATTATTCGGCCACATGGACATTTTTATGATCGCACTGCACCGACAGAAACGAAGCCGATTATCTTCGGGCCTTCGAGAGCGGTGGACTACGAACTAGAACTTGGGTTTATTGTCGGCAAGAGCGTTCCACAACTTCAGGGATTGAATGCAAAGGATGCTGATGAGCATATATTTGGCATGGTCATTTTGAACGACTGGAGTGGTAGGTTGGCAGCTGTTCCTGATATCCCTTAGTTGACGTAGGTTGTTGACCTATCGTGTCTAGCGCGCGATATCCAGGGCTGCGAGATGGTCCCTCTCGGTCCGTTAAATGGCAAGTCCTTCGCTACAACGATTTCTCCCTGGATCGTCACATTGGAGGCGCTTGAGCCGTTTAGAGTTCCTGGTACTGAGCACAAGGTCTCTCTCGCAAGTCATTTGGAAGATGTAACCCTTTCCAGCTACGACATAATGCTGAAGGTGCATATTCTCGTTGGAGACCAGGATAACTTAATCAGCCAATCCAAGATTACGGATCTGTACTGGAGTGGTCGGCAAATGGCTGCTCATCTAGCCAGCTCGGGCGCCGATCTGCAGACTGGTGATATCTTGGGTACCGGGACTGTTAGTGGGGAGCATCATAGAAGTTTAGGCTGCTTGCTGGAAGCGACCAAGGCCGGGAAAGAGCCGTTTCCACTTGGGAATGGCTTGACGAGGCAGTATTTGCAGGATGGGGATGTGGTTCGAATGAGCGCTATGGCAGGGCTGTGAAGCGATGGGGTTGGGTTTGGTATGTGTTTGGGAGAGTTGCTGCCAGCACGCAACTTGTAGAATGTTGAATGTCAAGGAATGTCAAGGAAACTGTTCCTCTGATCTACAACATGTTTTCTGGGGAAAGTGCCCAAAGTCAGGTTAATTGTAGGGAATCTACTTAAATGGGGCCTCGGTTGAAAGGAATAATGACTTGTGTCCAACTGAGACACTTATTCGTGCTACATCATGCATATAAACTGCAATTCGCGGGTGAGATTGATATAAATGAAATGGCGTTAAACAGCCATGAACACCTTGGGCATTCTCCAGGACAGGGTACCGTCAATATACGCCAAAGACTAGTCCAGCGCCATGCTGAAGCGGAATTAGAAGACAAATGAGAGTTGAACAAAACCAGTCACTGTCAACCCCACAATGGAGGATGAATGTACTCTGCTGCTCGGTCGAGGATATTCGGCATGGTCCATTCCCCGCTAGTAGTACTTTCTGGTGTGGGAGGCGGCAGAGAACTGACAGAGGGTGTCATTCCAGCCGACGGAGGAGCCAACGAGGTATTTTGGTAGGTGTTCGACTGGTTAGAGAAGGAAGACGCGTTGGGAAAGGCACTGGTACCGCTGTCAGATCGGATAGACGGATTGCCCATCGCATTGAGGAGCTTTTGGAGAGCACGATGTGTCTTCGCCAGTGATTTGGCCCACTGCGTTTGAGTATCTGAATTAGGGACGGCGGTGGAAAAAGTTGGGTCCATGACGGGGGCAATGGAGGCTGGTGGATTTGGGGCACCTGTGATCGGGTTATAAGTGCCGACGCCGCGAGATGGAGAACCCAGTGTAGCAGCATTTGCGGCGACATCTCCTGCATCATAAACGCGTTCAACACTGACCCGTTCCGCGATAATAGCCTCTAACTGCCGCAAAAGGGTCCAGACTTTTGGGTTTGATTTGGCCTCCTCGATGACAGCCAAGAGGAAGGCGGAACTGATGGCTCGTTGCAAGGTAATCCAGGATCGGGCGGCATGGGTGCTGATGTTATACATTTCAATGTATGCCTCAACAGTCGCCATCAAGTTGAAAATGCAGTCCCCACGCAGGCTAGCGGTGTGTCCATCATTGCTATCGGCCGTCGCTTTGAGTGCTGGTCGGCAGAGCTCAGATGCAAAGTATGACGAGTGAAGTTTTAGCACAAGACGCTCGAGGTGTTGAGTGACGGTAGCGCAATGTTGACTGTCGCGCAAATAGGGCTTAGCATCGAGAATAATCTTCTGGATTCTTTCCTTGAAGCCTTGGATGCTTTCGAAGCTTATCTGTGCATGCGGACTAAGCATTCGGATCCGCACTACCTCCAGAACCAAGGAAATAACCTGGCAAAGAGATTCGAAATACAAATATTCTCCTGGCTTTGATCCTTCCCGGTATGCTATGGCGGGCTGGCTAACGGCTGTGGTCGAGGGTCGATCATAGGAAAGGGAGAAGTGGCTATCTTGCCACGCCATAGACCACCTGGTCACATCAGTCTCTGTGCCAAACGAAAGTGAATCGCCAGAAAGTCTTACCAAACGTGGCGTCGACGATATCGCTCTGCAGACGAGAATCTGCTTGAATCAACATGCAAACCAAGAGCCAATCCCATCCGAAGAGTCATGCCAAGCAGAACATATGAGATTCCAGGGTTCATGTTGTACGATAACACGTTTCCAATCACTAAGAGAGCTTGTATAGCTTCAATGTTCGGTTGAGACAAGAAATTGTTCATCCGCAGACATTGATAGGAGCAGCACACTGGGTCAACAATTAGTGAAATGTTGTGGCGAGAAGGTAGCATCCAAAAAAACATACCATAGACCTGGGATGTCAATTCTCTTTCTTTACTTGCAAGATCTGATGACTGGCATCCAGAAGCAAGAACGGCAAACAGCAAACCCAAATATGCGATGCTAACGCCAAACGGCTTCTGGGCCTCATCCGTGTCCGCGCGATAGACCCCCCGATTGAAGCTCGAGTCTGCAGAAGCAGTTCGAGAGTATTTTCAAATTCAGGAACATCTTCAAGGACCGGGTATATAGCGCCCGCATAATCTCTGTAGTAGTAAAACAATCTGTTTCGAATATTAGCGGCCATAGCCATAATTCAACTTTAGAGCATAACCCACTCTCTACACTGTTGATCCGTCGGAAGTGCACTGCAGACTGCATTGATGTCAAAAGTTGACATGTCCGACGACCATAGGTCGACAAATGGATAAGTTGCAGATTCATTATCGAGACCCAGTTTCGGGAGTATCTCGCCTTCCAAAAGTGCCTGGAGCTGGTCTGATCCAGATTTGTTGTTCAAGATGTAGGCCAGAACAGATCGTGATCCTAGGTGCACAGTGCCTTTCCCGAGAGTATTTGCCGCATGGATCCCCTCAACTTCGGGGGATGCGCCTTTTGACCGGGAGCTTGCATCTCCACTCTGTACACTGCTGGCCTCTATCGGCGGTGGATAGCCATCCTCCACGCGGTCCAGACCAACACGCAGACTCGAGATTGTCGACTCCATTTCCCTCAACCTGTTCCGCATGCTGTCCCATTCATCGCGAGCTATAGACACACGCCCACCAGCGCTAGCACCATTTGCGCGACTCGAAGAAGGTTCGGCTTTCGGATGTACCGGGTGATCGTCATAACCGTAAACCCCGGAGTGATCGACAGATGGGCTTTCGTGAATCCCTGGCGCACGTTTCTTGATAGGTCGTTCGTAGGAACAGATATCGGCGTGGTCGCGCTTGACACAGCCGTCGCATGGTAGGTTGCGATCGCATTTGACCTTGCGCGCATGGCACGGATAGCAAGCTTTCGGCTCGCGTGCCTTGCGCTTCGTTCTGATAATCGCATCCACCTGATCCTGCGGTAGATCATGCACAGCTCTGTTGGACGCGGACATGTTGGAGCCAGCGGGTGTAGAGAAAGATGTAGATGGCTGATATGGCGACGCCATTGCGTTTTGTTGTCAGGTTGCTGGGGCTGTCGGCAAAGACCGAAAGAGAGTCTTATCCGAGCAATGACGGCATAGGAGCGGAAGACCAGAAGTATCACAGGGCAAGCGGTTAGCTGGAAATTAGAGAATGTCCTATCGGTCCGTCAGTCGCGCATCGTGGATTTGAAAATCGCTTGGGGCTGGATTGCAAATCGGACGCGGTCTGTTCGATGAGCACGGGATGGAGCGGCAGATAAGATTGGCACGTGATGTGGGGCATCCCTAATGCGGAAGTATGCCCTACGTCAGCGATTTGGTTGTTGGGATTGCCGAGAGGAAATGCATCTGTCGCAACTACATCCAATTGATATCATATGCAGCCAGCTAATTATGAATTAAATCCAGGCACTAGGCAAACATGAGAGCCTAGTAGTTTAGACCTTCTGATTCTCAACATCTTCGGCCCGAGGCGCCTCCTCGGCTTGCTTGCAAGCTTTGACATGCTCAATTTCTCGTGCAAGACGAGAATCTCCCTTGGGTATTTTCCAAACCGAAGAACCCTCCTTGGAGAACCTGGACTCAATCTCTTCCAGGGTCTTGCCGCATGTCTCAGGATACAATCGAAGGACCCAACCGGCCATGAAGACGCAAAGAGTCCCAAACATCATGAAGATCTCCCACTGGATATTCTGGAAGCCGGGCGGCGTAACCAAACCCAGGGCAAACTTAAAGATCCAGTTGCCAAGTGAGGCAATACCCATACCCGTAGCTCATGTGCCGAGAGACCAGACCTCGGCGGCGTCTATATTAGCGTAGGTTAGTACATTCAACCACGCTAAGCTGTTAGGAACAACGCTGAAATGGAGCCTAGTGAGACTACTTTTCGATCTCATATTTGCTTGTAGAAAACGTCCATTGGTATACCAAGTAATCCAGTCAATAACTAAGCTAGAGGGTTGATCTCCTCTGAGAGGACAAATGCACCATTAAGTAGTCAAGAATATCGTTTAGGAAGAAGAAAGCTGAAAGAGTATGAACATGACAAAAAAGTGAAACTCACAAAGAAAGGATAAACACATAAAATGAAATAAGGATTGACGAAAATTGTTTTCCCCTCCACCGTCTGTGGCATCAACAATCAGGCCCACGCGTTTTGATTTCGCCGCTTCAGTAACCATTCATTCGAGTACCGCAATGTGGGCAGAATGGACTGGTTATCGAGGCTCCACATTGACCACAGAATCTGATTGTTGTTTCTGTCGCCTCTTTCGGAGGAGGGGTATTAGGATATGGCGTGGTCTGCTGTGCGTCGGGGTATACCGGTGACTGAGAGGCCAGAGAACGAGCGGCGTACTGTGCGCTGGGTTCGGCAACAGGGTAGGTGGGCTGGGGTGCAACGAAAGGCTGTGCATACTGTTGATTGGAGCCCTGCATAGTAGGGGCACTAGCATATTCGGTGGCCCTTTGAACACGACGCCGCCTGACACAGAAGATGATGAGGAGGATCCAGGCAACGAGTTTCAACACTGCACCAATTGCAAAGCAGGCGATCCCACCATAATATTCGGCGTCATTTCCCACACAGTTTTCATCACTGTAATAACTGTAGTAGTCAAAGCTGCTGTAGCAGTCTGAATAAGAGTTGGAAAGGTAAGTGCCAATTAGTGCACCTCCAATAATGAAAAAAACAACTGCAGATATAAAGAGACTAATTGGCCACCATTTTGAAATATGCCTTGATTGATGCATGCCTATAACAATGTAAGGTCACAATGTTGTAGTTTGTGGTAAGTAGTAGTAATGAAGACAAACAGAAGATGAGGCAGGTCTGACGGACGGAGGTTGGGGATGAGGCTGGACTTTAAGGCAGGGCATCTATGATTAAAATTACGATGCGGCTCATTGTGTTGTTGGACCCAATGGACCCACATCGAGCCGGAAGAACGAGGCGCATGTACGTGCGTGTTTAGCGTCTGGTTGATCCATCTCGTATCCAGAGATGACCTGGCCACGGTGTTGATTCCACGCAAAAAAAGGCCGATTCGCGTTTACCCTCCTATTTATTTCTATTCTAAGTAGTCTCACTACTATCAGTTACTCACTACTCAGTAATCTGCTCTATGCTTTCTTATTGTGCAATTTAATCGACATCTTCTTAAATGTCCCTCGTATAGACGCGGTTCCTATCACAGACGCAAGGATCTGATCGACATTAGTGAACCCTAATACGATTTAGTATCTTCCCGAACACGAGGTTGGCTCATTCAGAGGCTTGCGAACAGGGATTCGATCCAATAATGATTCGCGTACGGATTAGACCCTGTCGATTATACGGAGTAAACAAACTCGTATTCGACGATCGCATAGCGTTGAATATATTTAGATCAATCCGTTTCCTCTTCTGTCTCAACTACTTAATTGATACTATTATTGAGACCTCAAAATGATAATCTCAACCTTTGAGAATTTAAATGCTCAAATCAATGTATCAATGGTGATTGTCATGATATATTGACGTTATGCAGTTCTGATAATTGCTGTGCAAACCTAATTATGAACCCTGATCTCGAAACCCTCAGACAGTCTCGTATTCCTTCCACAGCCCCTTGCCTTCTAACTATCTTTTTCCTGAAGTGGTGATGCTGCATGCTACCAAGTGAATCTAGTAATCTTTTGACGGATAGCTCATCCTACTTCTGGGTGAACCTGGGCAGAAATGGAGAGAATTCAGTGGTCTGGGCGTCTGGGTTCTTTTGCCACTGAAACCGAGAAAGGTCCAAAGCAGGGGAAGACCAGGAGCGATGGCGATGGCGGATCTGGATAGAGAAGACTAATTATCATGGGTTGTTGAGGCTAGAGGTACCGCCATCCAATCTCTATTCCGCGCATCGTTCCAAGCAGTCCGTCGACATGAGGTCTTTATCCGAGCTGTACGGCTCCTATTGATTGTACTGTCTCACAGTCATCTTCTCATGTCAGCTCTGTCACTCCTTTCTATATAGCTAGCCGAATGGCCTTTCTTTTTTATAGAATCAGTCCCAAAACATTCATTCCTTGATCTATTTGACCGTCTCCATTTCACAACCCTACGGGATCATCCATTTCAAGAAGAAACTATTCGTGTCCCTGAAAGGATTTTTTTTTAATCAAAGCGGTTGGCGTTGGGCACCTTGGGCACTTAGCGCATACCGCGCTAGGAGAAAACGCCTAAAGATAGCTTAAGAAACATATGACATATTGGACAGTAGTCGAAAACAGAAATTTGTAAGCAGTTGCATTAGGTTAGCAAATCTAAATTAAGTTATGTAGTCATTGATGAGGTGGTTTGTGTCTGAGTTGTCAGCGCCGCTGCCCTGATAACTAGACATGCTTTACTCATTGAAAGATCACTTGGTCAATACAACTCCCTTCGCTCGTTTCCTCTCCTTCGTGGTCTCGCTCTTCCTCAGGCTTCTGTCACCTCGTTGATATCCCTGATGTCTCCGGGCTGATTAATTGGTCTGGAGAGCTTTTAGGTACTGGGTCTGTTAGCGATAATGGCTAAGAATGAATTCACACTCAGTAAAACCACCGGGGATATATATCCGAACCCCTTAAATCTGACAGAATTAGCCTAATTCCCCACCTTCTTCATGCGGGAAGACCTTTTCACAACAATCATCGGAGATATGATTCGACAGTAGCTCGGTGACGTGATCAAGGGAACAGATGGCATGAGCTCCCCCGCACGTCCCTCCTTGGAGTTGCGTGTTCCTGACTTTGACTTGATAGTGTCCTGTGTTGCTAATAATGACACTTATTGGTAGAACCCGACGCTGAGAGTTTGGCACCATTAGCTCCAGCCAGACTCCATTGAAGGATGTCAGGAACTATGTTCCCATCCGATTGGATTTAGGGTTAAGTGAACAGGGAATTCTCGAATCTGGAACTGTAGAGATGATATATAAGGCATTGTTGAAGGCAACCTCGCGCATCAATTTGCTGGTTTCTTATTCTTCGAGCCAAGAAATAAATCCAGCACAGTTATCATAATAGTCAATGGCATTCCTAGATCTGGAAAGTACCACCCTATGTATTTGCGGAGAGGGCCCAATAATCCTTGCCCCACACCCGATCTCGTCATCGCAGTACCCAGATTGCTCATTCTTGCCATCCCCTACTATTGTTCCTGCGTGCTCAAAGCGGATTTTCGCCAGGAAATGATCTGATTTGTTGATTCCAGCACTCGGCCGGGAAATTGACACGATGACATACTTTTCGTCTCTGCCGTGTCTTGTCAGTGCGAAGGACTTAAAATATCGCTTGAAGCACAAGGTCAATAATGCGCTTCTGAAAACATTATTAAATAAGTTGTCTCCCACTGACTATTGAACCTTTGAGCGGCCGAGTATTTCACGACATTAGAGATCTAGACTCAAAAATCGACGTCTGTTCTGTCGCCATGGCTGCCCCCGCAGAGAAGACGGCCGATGTGACAAAAGATGCCGGCATTGACACAAAGGCCGAAGGCACCTACTCCCCTTCGTCGGACAGCCTCGCTGAATCAGTGGGCATCAACGAGAAAGCTCTACTCCGGAAACTGGACTATAAGCTTCTTCCACCTCTGACGTTGTTATATCTACTTTCATACTTGGATCGGAGCAATGGTGCGTTTCCTAGATTAAAGACCCGGAAGACAAATACAAATACTGACTAGCCAATTAGTCGGAAATGCAAAGCTGGATGGCCTCACAACCGACCTCAATATGTGTATGTCATATTCTCCATCTCAAGAATCCGGAGACTAATCGGAGGAAATCCGCAGCTGGGGATCAGTATCTCAACGGCCTCACCCTGTTCTTTGTCGGCTATGTGCTGTTCGAGATCCCATGCAACATCATTCTAAGGAGAGCCACGCCCAGAATATGGCTGCCCACCCTCTCCATAATTTGGGGCGTTGTCGCTACACTTTTAGGAGTTGTTCAGAACTACTCCGGCTTCCTGTCATCACGGTTCTTTCTCGGTATCGCGGAGAGTGGTCTCTTCCCTGGCGTGGTATTCTATATGTCCATGTGGTATAAACGGAATGAGCAGCACTATCGCATTGCTCTATTTTTCAGTGCCGCATCGCTTGCGGGTGCGTTTGGTGGAATTCTCGCATGGGTCGGTTTTCTGTTTATAATTAGTTCGATATTTAGCTGACTATCTCCAGGGTATTGGGCACATGGATGGTGTGGGCGGGTATAGTGGTTGGCGATGGATCTTCATCTTGGTACGTTCCAGAGAGCATGCAGAACGTGATTCGAGCTAATGTTGGGTTTTTATCTATGCAGGAGGGTCTATTGACCCTCGTGATATCCTTCATAAGCTATTTTTGGGTCTACAACTACCCCTCGACTGCGGAATTTCTATCCAAGGAGGAAAGACAGTTCATCCAGTTCCGCTTGAAAAATGATAATGACGCCACGCGCGAAGAGGCCTTCACATGGTCCGCTGTACTAGATGCAGTTAAAGACCCTAAGATCTGGCTATATGGATTAGGATTTCATACCTTATCTCTGCCGCAGTATACGCTTTCACTCTTCCTGGTGAGCTAGCGGCCTTATCCCATTCATTGAATGCCGAAAGATTTCTAACACCTTGCAGCCAACTATTATCGAGGAGCTGGGATTCTCGGCCGCTGAAGCGCAGCTACTTACTGTGCCCCCATACGTGATAGCTGTCTGCTTGACTATCGCAGTCGCGGTTTTCTCACAGCGGACACGACTTCGGGCGCCCTTTATCATGGGCTCATCTTCAATTGCGTGTATCGGATATATCATGTTGCTTACCGACTCCCATCCTGGAGTGTGTTACGTGGGAACTATCTTCCTAGCAGCGGGCATCTTCCCTGCAGTGGCCATAGTGTTATCTTGGCCAGCGAATAACGTCTCCGGCCAGACGAAACGCTGCATCGCCAACGCTATGCAGATCTCTATTGGCAATTGCGGTGCGATCCTCGGCACACAACTCTACCGCACCGAGATGAAGCCGCGCTACTACCTTGGTAATGGGGTTGCGCTAGGATACCTAGTCGGCAATATCTGCGTCGTGGGGTTACTGTGGTATGTCCTACATCGGGAGAATTTGGAGAAAGAGCGCCTGCGGGAAGAGCAAGGATTGACTGCTTTGATGGGCGATATTGGAGATGCAGAGGGCGAATTCTTAGGCGATAAAGATCCCCGCTGGGTTTTCCAGACCTGAGGTACATTTAAAATAAGCATATGGATTTAAATAAAAGCTTTCTAGCAGATTTTTAACGGAGATTCGGACCATGAGAATTAGACTGTCCAAACAGTGCTAGACTGGGCCTTAATTCACCAGACAGTCGAAGCTAGGCTACGTTAGTCCTAGTCCCTATCCAGGATCTGCTGAGTCAAACGGTCAAACTTGGCTTCGGGCTGGCTTTCCGGTACTGCAATGTGAATTCAAAGGCTGAATTGGGCTTCTTACTTTGATTCTTATAGTATAAGTTGCATTATATTACGCTTTGGCGGCATACAAGATTGCTAAACAGGAGAAGAAGCCAAATGCCACACCCCTGGCGCGTTAATTGGTGTTCCTTACCACTGGCTTTACACGTATCAATAGGAGGCCGCCTTCTTTCGGGCGTACCAATAGGAATAAATACGCCTCATTTTTAGTTCTTATTATTGACTACTCAATTCCTTAATCTTCTCTGTACGTTTTGAATAGATCAGAAATTTCCCGAAATGATGGAGAACGCATCCATTGGACGACTTGGCGCTAAATTGAAGCCGATCGATCTCAAAGTCATCTTCCAAAAAGAGTCCCAACTTGGTTCGGGAAAAGCCTTACTCACATGACGAGGGCCTGTGTTGTCAGATAAGCACCCGGTGCTCGTCTGGAGCAAGGCCTTCCGTACTTTGAGAAGTTTCAGGAAGATGCCTAGGGCCTTCCAATCCTCGGCGTTTCATGGACCCACCCGGGGGCTCGTATTTACCAAGTTTACAGGGGGTCTTACTAATCGACAGCAGGGGCCTTTGGCTAACTAGGCCGCAGCGACCGCAAAGCGCGTCGTTATAACTCGATCAATTTTTTCAAGCCTATGAGCCCAGCGTCACGTTCTATCTCACGACGCCCTCGAGCAGTCATTTAATTACCTCGACCAAGTAATTATAAGTCTTCCACAACAATCGTTCTCTTAATATGGAGACCAACATTATCCGGCCTCTGGGTCAGCTGTACGTCTAGCGGTTTTGATCGTAGATGTGCATTTCACTGACAGGAAATCAGCGAGACATACCATTCCACTAGACAGTCTATGAGTCTCTATCCATTTGCAGCACAGACATGCCAGTATACATCCCCAAGTACCATGGCCACTGAGACTTGTAAGCAGGTGATCAAAGCAGCACTTGTGCAAGTCGTGCTAGCACACCCAGCTCTACAAGTCGGGATCGGCGCCGCAGACACCAATGGGCCCTCCTTTCTTCGGCTACCGTCTCTGGATGTTTCTAATCACCTGGAATGGAGGAGCCTGTCTCAAACGGCCCCCGCTTCCTACGATGACGCTGTAATCAAAGCCATTGAAAAAGAGCACACAAAGGATTGGCACGATGTAGCGACTCGCCCTGCGTGGAAACTAACCGTTTTCCAGAGTCTCGTACCCGAAGACGGGTCGGGGTTCACTTTCGACTTTCTTTTGGCGGCACATCATTCTATTGCTGACGGGATCAGTTTGGGTATCTTTCACACCTCTCTACTAGCTGCATTAGACGAGGCATCAGGGAATCTAGTCCAGGTGGAGGATTTGGTCATTTTGCCAGCAACCTCTGCCCTCACACCTTCACAGGAGGATATCATGAATTTCAAGATCTCAAAGTCGTTTCTCATTAAGACCCTTTGGGGAGAGTTTGCGCCCTCGTGGCTCCAGGGGAAACCCTCTGCCCTGCCTTGGACTGGCGCGCCAATCACTCTGCGACCTCGGCCACAACATACGCGGCTGATCACCTTCCCCGAAGAGGTCGTGTCCCGGCTCCTCGATGCCTGCAGATCGCACAAGACGACGTTAACCCCGCTGCTTCACGCACTCATCGCTGTGTCAATGTCGCAGAGACTGCCTGAAGAAACGACGACTGGGGGTATGGCAGCCGCGACAGTTATTGGGCTTCGTCCCTACGCAGATAAATCGAAAATCGCGCACGACATGGACCTTAATAGATCCATGGGCGACCTTACGACCGCTTATACACACAGAATCAGCCCATCCACGATTTCAGAACTGCGAGATGGCAGCCAAGGCTCAGATGATTCGGCGATCTGGGCCCTGACTACGAGGCTAGGCTCGGAGGTTAAAAGCCGTCTTGCGACGTTGCCGGAGGATGATATCATTGGTCTGCTGGCGTGGGTGTCGGATTGGTTCAAGAGAGCCAACGAAATGCAGGGCAAGCCGCGAGACACGACTTGGGAGGTTTCGAACCTTGGATCCATGCCTTGTCGGCCTGCTCGCACCGGAGCTGGAAACGATGGGTGGACCCTACGACGCTCGATTTTTACGCAGTCTGGTAATGCCATCGGTGCGGCTTTTGCCGTAAATGTCTCTAGCGTTGCCCAAGGCCCATTGACTTTGACGCTGACCTGGCAAGATGGCATTGTTGAGGGGGCATTAATGGATGGGTTGGCCAAGGACTTGGACTCGTGGTGCAAGCGGCTCGAAAAGTCTGGTGAGTTTAGGGCCTTTTGATGTTTGTTGTTCGGTCTGCTCTGGAAACGTGTTGGAATTATACGCAGTCACTTGGCAATGGGCTTTGCGGTTATTAAGGCCATCTAATTATGTAATCATCAATTAACCATCTACGCCATAAAGGATTAAATGAAAATAGCAATGAACTTTAGATTGAGTATATGTATGCAGTGCAATGCAACCTTGAAACGCTGGCAGAGGGAATCTTGAAATGAAACAATGCGAGAAAACGAAAAAGCATTTTGAAAAAGGAAATTACGCCTTGGTGGCCTTCTCCTCGTCGTCAGTAAAGGCATACCTCGAGAACCGGCGGATCTGCTCGCCCTTGAAGTAAAATGCATAAGGGATAGCACAGCAGGCAAGCGCAATGAAAGCGAGGAGCGAACTGGCCCACTGATAGCCCAGCCGGTTATACATCTGTTCAGTGAATAAGACAGTCGAAGCACCCCACATGGAACGGAGAAAAGTCTTGGCTGCAAGAGCAGATGCGGCTTGATGCTGATAGGTGTCCACTGTGAAAATAGTTAGCGACCTGATTATAAGTAACTTGCGAGGATATAGCACTTACCAAGATAGTTGTTAGCGGAGTTGTACAGGAAAATGAAGCCAAATCCCACGGGCCAGCCGCCAATCGCAGGTCCAATCCAGTGGAGTCTGGGGTAGGAAGTCCAGGCAAAGATGAACAGGCCGATGGGAATAAGCCAGCAGGACCACATCATTGGAATCAGACGCTTCTCGGCGGGGGGTTTGCCTCCATACTGGTGACAGAGCTTGATGTAGTGCTTGTTCACGAAGGGAGCGCAGGCAGCGCTCATGAGTACACCAAGGGCCAAGGGAATGAACATCAGGCCGGTCGACGATGCAGTCCAACCCTTGCCAGCCTGGTAAACGATAGGATAACTGCAAGAGCTTGTCAGTATTTCTGGCCGTTCAGCATCGAAATCTAAAGGAACTTACGCCACAAAGAACATGTACAGCAAGCCGTACAGGACGGACATGTAGATGGCAATGCATAGGACGATGGGCTCAAGAAAAAGCAGCTGGAAGGGGCGAAGGAGAATGATGCGCATCTTGTCTGCCAGAGGTCGCGCGTCGAGGTCGGTTTCGGTGACAAATCTGGGGTCGTTCTCAGTCTTCCTGAGCTTCGCCGCTCTCTTCTTCAGCAGAATAGGAGCATATGTCTCTGGGACGGTGAAGGTGATCAAAACCCAAGCGACGAAGGACAAGATCAGCTGAATCCAGTAAAGCCATCTCCAGCCACAGTTGTCACTAAGGAATCCACCAGCCAGAGGACCAATGGCGGGACCGATGAAGGGGGCAGCGCTGAAAGCTGCCATTGGAACACCGCGTTCTTCGTTCTTCCACAGATCAGACAATGTGCCACCGACTAGGGTCATCGGGGCACTGAAGGCAATACCGTCGATAGCTCGGCAGACAAGCAGAGTACCGATATTCTTGGACACGGCACAGGGAATAACGAAAATAACGGCCAGTAACAAAGTAAGGGCGTAGACCGGACGTCGTCCAACGACTTCGGACAATGGTGCGAAAACCATGGGACCGACACCAAATCCAACGACAAAGACAGTCACGGCGACAAAACTGACTTCGCGTGAAACGTGGAAGCTTTCCATAGGCCCTTCTAACTTGGCCGTGATGACACTGCTGCAAAACGCGACCACGAAGCAGGTGAAGGCGACGACCATGGTACAGTACCATTTGTATAGCTTCGACCAGTTCTTAGGATTCTCTGGGTCATCGATGGTGAAGGTTACCAGCTTCCAATCTTCCGTCTGGCCGTTGACCTTGGACTTGACCGGCTTAATGATCTCGCCAGCGCGAGTTTCGGTGGTGTACTCCCGAAGATCTGCGCCGTCATTGAGTTCGCGAATGGGGAGGTTGACATAGTCGAGCCCCTCAGGTTCCCCTAGGGAGGCAGTGCGGCTGGAGTCATTGGTCTGTGTGATATCAAGGCTCGGCGTCTCCATGTTGTCGGGTATAGTGGGGATGCAGATATTGTGACAACCTGGTACAAGGAGTACTACCAGGGGGAGGCTGTCGCATTCTTATACTCCTGCACCTCAAATCGCCTCCCCCTGGTGGAGCATTCCAAGGACGGATATTCGTCATGATGAGATGGATTCGCGTGGCATATGGATGAGCTTGGATGTTTTTCCCGGGCAGAGCCACCCGGCGATGGCTCGGTTGCCTTTTATGGAAGTGACGCGCTAGCCAAATCGGGCAAAATGCGACGAGCCCGCCGATTATGATTGCGAGATCTATAGATTCACGACAGGGGTTTCTGGAGGGCTCCGTAGTGTTGGATGCAACAAGGATAAACGATTTCAATGATAAAAAAAATCCATGACTGTCATAATGAATGCCCCAATAAAAGTAGGCGTGTCCGGTGTTTGCAGAAGCTCGTAGACTAGCTTTTAAACTTGTATATACTACTATTTGTGCTATGCTCATGAAGAACACGCTTTGCACGATTCTCGGGTTCAATCCTGATATTGTTATGAGAGAGCCCCTGGTACTTTCCCCTTGTGGCGAATTCGTCTAGATCGATTTTCAACCCAAGACTTGCGTACCTGTGAGAAACCTGTTACAAGGCTTGTGGGATTCAGAACGCCGTTCCGAGTTCCAGCTTGGCATTTTCTCCGTGGGTTTGATCTGCCTGCTCAGATAAGACTTTGCCAAGACTGATAGGAATTTCCGGCCTGCTCCCAGCTCCAGTTCTACAATCAAGTCAGAGCTGGGAGATCACAGCTTCAAGATTGTTCAAAACTCAAAAGACAGGGCACAAACTCTATTTTTATTCTTATTCAATCGGCAGCAAGGGTGTAGAAGTTCTTGGCATGATAAAATTTCAATCCCCTCGGAAGGTATTACCGCTTTAGGTAACTACCAGACTTGCCTTATTTGTACATCAAGATGAACTACTTGGAATTAATATTACGTCAAGCCAACACACCGGTAAAGAATGGTCTGGACCTATACTCATAATGATTTTTTATAGACTCAAAGGGGTCTGATTGGTAGGATGGAGTATTAAACGCTCCGCATAACGCGGTATCGAGCGACACAAAATCTGTGTTCAGACCGTTTATTTCCTGTTTCAAAAAGGCCTAGTTTGAATCTTGACTCCGCCAAAGTGATACGTGCACAATGTTCGGGCTCCTGTGCGCCATATTTGCGGGGGATTTCTATCACCTTGTCCTGTCTCTTCCGTTTAGCCAAAGTAATCATCGAGTCAGTCTCGCTCACTGTGCTTGGGTCCGCGCTATGTTCAAGTAACATCTCCACTAGTGCTCTATCCCCTTTTATAGAAGCTAAGAACAGTGGGGTGATACCGCGCGCCGCTACAGCATTCGGGTCCGCTCCATTTAACAACATCTTCTCGATGGACGCATGTTCCATCTCGGGATTGCTCTGACCAACATAGTCTGACCCTTCCGCCCAGACGTGTTCGGATGATCACCATACTCAAACGACAGCTTCGCAATACAATACCGGCAGTTTCTCATCGCTCGTGCTAGTGGTATCTGAAATACTCTTTAGGCTCGCCAGCCGACGAGGCGAGACACAGTATTCGGATCAGTCAGATAGTCTACGATATCCAACGGCAGTTAATGGAGTAATCGGAATAGAATCATCATCACGTCGAGGGTTGTTTTTACCATGTAGTTGCTGACTCTAAACTCAGAATGTAGTGTCCGAATTCGGTCTCCAATCACCACGTGATCCCGTCACGATAAGATAGATCGGGTTTAGCGCGGGGCTCACCTCATTTTTTCCCGCCAACCAAAAGATTCAACGAACAGGAAGAACACAACCAGGAGCACTTTTTGCTGCGCACTCCCCGTGACAGCCTTCACTTGACAGAGGAGGGACTCTGTCCGCTTCTCTCCTTCTCTCACTCCTTCACCATGACTTCCGCTCCCGAGACAACCTATCTGGCCATCCCCGGCTCAGTGGCGTTTTCTCGCTCCCGGGGTCGTGCCATTGCCTCGAGCCTCGGGGTTCAGGATGTTCGAGCACAGTGGGTTCACTATGTGCACACCGTCCAACCTCTCAAGGAATCTCAGCGTGCGGTGCTGGAGCAGCTGCTTCGTTACGGCGATATCACCGACGTCCCCCCTCCTTCACCTCCGACGATGGACAATTCGATACGTTCAATGTGTTCCCCCGCATGGGGACCATTTCGCCTTGGAGCTCCCAAGCAACTGGTATTGCGCATGTCTGTGGCCTGCGCAAGTACGTGAAACGCATTGAGCGGGGCCTGAAGGTTTCCTGCCTTCGCAATGACTCGGAGGATTACACCGCCGGGTACCTGGACGTTCTACACGACCGCATGACGCAGATCATCAGCCAGGATGAGCCCGACTTGCATCTCATGTTTTCGGAGCACGCACCTCAGCCCCTGAAGACCATCCCTCTGCAGGGCGGGGAGCGATCCCCCAAGGAAATCCTCCAGGAAGCAAACAAGGAATTGGGCCTGGCCCTGGATGAATCAGAGATCGACTATCTCGCCGAGGCATATGGTCCGAACGGCGCCATTGCCCGCGACCCGACCGATGTCGAGCTGTTCATGTTCGCCCAGGTGAACTCGGAGCACTGCCGCCACAAGCAATTCAACGCATCGTGGGTCATCGATGGGAAGCAGATGCCCAACAGTCTCTTTGGCATGATTCGTAACACCCACAAGAAACATCCCAAGCACACCGTCAGCGCGTACAGTGACAATGCCGCCGTGTTGGAGGGTACTGAAGCCGCATTCTGGGCACCTGATACGACCACTGGAGAGTGGACTCACACCAAGGAGATTGTGCATTTCCTAGCCAAGGTGGAAACCCACAACCATCCCACCGCGGTGTCCCCCTACCCCGGTGCGGCTACGGGCGCTGGTGGAGAGATCCGTGATGAGGGCGCCGTCGGCCGCGGCTCACGCCCAAAGGCTGGACTTTCAGGTTTCTGCGTTTCCGATCTCTTGATTCCTGGACTCAAACAACCATGGGAGCTCGATGTGGGCAGGCCGAACCACATTGCAAGCAGCTTGGACATCATGTTGGAGGCCCCCATTGGCAGTGCTGCTTACAACAACGAGTTTGGTCGGCCATGCACGGCGGGTTACTTCCGAACCCTACTCACCGAAATTGACATTGGCAATGGACAGAAGGAGCTGCGAGGCTATCACAAACCAATTATGATTGCCGGTGGTGTTGGAACTGTTCGGCCCCAGCACGCCCTGAAGAACCCCGACGTTGTGAAGCCCGGCTCCTTCCTGGTCGTTCTGGGCGGTCCTGCCATGCTGATTGGCTTGGGAGGAGGAGCCGCTTCGAGTATCACGTCTGGTGAAGGGTCCGCGGATCTTGACTTCGCAAGTGTCCAGAGAGGCAATGCTGAAGTTCAGCGGAGAGCCCAGGAAGTTATCAATGCCTGTGTGGCGATGGGAACGAACAATCCTATCAAGTTCATCCACGATGTTGGTGCCGGTGGCTTGTCCAATGCACTTCCCGAGCTGATCCACGACTCTGGTTTGGGGGCCACATTCGAGCTTCGCGAGGTCGACAGCACCGACAAGAGCATGAGCCCGATGCAGATTTGGTGTTGCGAAGCACAGGAGAGATACGTCTTGGCTGTCGGTGAAGACAGTATGAATAAGTTCACTTCTATTGCCCAACGAGAGCGCTGTGGGTTCTCGGTTGTTGGCCGTGGAGGTGGCACATCCGAAGAGGAAAAGAGACTTATCCTTCTCGACCGGGATTCTAAGGAATACCCAGCGCCCATTGATCTTCCTTTGTCCGTGCTGTTTGGAAAGCCCCCGCGCATGACCAGAACCGTGGACTCGCGCAAGCTGAAGCTACCCACAGTGGACTCCAGCCTCACCAAGTATCTGCCTTCGCTCTCCTCGAAGGTGGAGCTTGTGAGCGAGGCTGTCAACCGTGTGTTGTCTCTGCCTGCTGTCGGCTCCAAGTCCTTTTTGATTACTATCGGTGACCGGACTGTCGGTGGCCTCACTGCTCGTGACCAGATGGTTGGCAAATGGCAGACCCCGGTGTCTGATGTGTCTGTTACTGCCACCTCGTTGCTACAGGGCATCAAAACCGGTGAAGCGATGGCCATGGGTGAGAAGCCCACTCTGGCTTTGATTTCCCCTGCTGCCTCTGCGCGCATGGCCGTCGCCGAATCCCTGATGAACATCGCCGCCGCCGATCTGGTGGAACGTCTTAGCCAAGTAAAGCTGTCTGCGAACTGGATGTCCGCCAGCAACCACCCCGGCGAAGGTGCGGCAATTTACGAGGCTGTCGAAGCAATTGGTCTGGACCTGTGTCCTAAGCTGGGCATCAGCATCCCCGTCGGGAAGGATTCCATGTCTATGAAGATGAAATGGAAGGACCAAAAGTCTAATGAGGCCAAGGAAGTCACTGCACCCATGTCACTCGTTATCTCCTCCTTCGCCCCGGTAGGTGATTTCCGCAAGACCTGGACTCCAGCTCTTCGTCGTGTCGAGGACGTTGGAGAGACCGTCCTCATGTTTGTCGACCTTGCTTTTGGTCGCAGGACATTGGGTGGCTCGGCTCTGGCTCAAGTTTTCAACGAAGTGGGAACCGAATGTCCCGATGTTCGCGATGTCGATCTTTTCAGAGACTTCTTCGATGCGACTCAGTCGCTGCAGGACGCTGGCATTGTTCTGGCTTATCACGACCGATCTGACGGTGGTCTGTTGACCACTCTTGCCGAAATGATGTTTGCCGGTCGCTGTGGTGTTGAGATCATGATCGACAACATCTGCGCTTCTTTCCACACCAAGGATGTTGTTGACACGCTCTTCAACGAAGAACTTGGTGCGGTCTTCCAAGTTCGCAAGGAACACGAAACTCAGTTCCGGTCGTGTTTTGCCACCTGCGGCCCTCCTCCAGGTCTGATCCACAAGATTGGACGCGTCTCCGAGAAGACGAAGCAGGACCTGGTCATCTACCACAAAGCCTCCCTGGTGTACCGCAACACCCGCTCCAATCTGCAGCAGACGTGGGCCAATACCTCCTATCACATGCAGAAGATTCGTGACAATGCCGATTGCGCCGACCAAGAGTTTGCCAATATCCTAGATGATACCGACCCTGGTCTCTCGTGGAACCCAACCTTTGATCCAAAGGATAGAGGCTTGCCTTTCATGACCAGCTTGACCCAGTTCTCTCCTTTCACCAATAAGCCCCGCGTCGCCATCCTTCGCGAACAAGGTGTCAACAGTCAGGCTGAAATGGCCTTTGCCTTCAACACGGCCGGGTTCTCCGCCGTGGATGTCCACATGACCGACATCATCTCTGGCCGTGTCTCTCTCGCCAGCTTTGTCGGCCTCGCCGCCTGTGGTGGCTTCTCCTACGGCGACGTCCTGGGTGCAGGACAAGGTTGGGCCAAGTCTGTCCTGCTGCACGATAACACCCGCAAGGAGTTCCAGTCCTTCTTCGAGCGCGCTGACACCTTCGCCCTGGGCGTCTGCAACGGCTGTCAGTTCCTGTCTCGTGTCAAGGAACTAATTCCCGGCGCCAGTAACTGGCCCAGCTTCGAGCGCAACGCTAGCGAGCAGTATGAAGGCCGTGTCTGTATGGTACGCATTTCGGATCCAGACCCCTCGCGCCCCAGCGTTTTCTTAAATGGCATGGACGGCTCCTCGTTCCCCATCGCAGTTGCTCATGGCGAGGGCCGCGCGTCTTTCGCTGGCACCCCGGGTGCCTCGGCGCGCGACTTCGTTCGTGAGGGTCTCGCCCCCGTCAAGTACGTGAACAATGCGACCTTGAAGGCGACCATGAAGTATCCCTTCAACCCGAACGGTAGTCCCGAGGGTATTGCCGGTGTGCGCAGCCCCGACGGCCGCGTTTTGGCTATCATGCCGCACCCCGAGCGGACAGTCATCAATGGTATTGCTAGCTGGCTGCCTCCGAAGGCCGAGGGATGGGGTGATATCGGCCCGTGGGGTCGTATCTTCTTCAGTGCCCGCAGATGGGTTGGCTGAAGTAATTTTTGGTTGTCTTCTTAGTTTGACAGTTTCGTGTCTATATCTTTTCTTTTCTGTGGTGATCTTGGAGTGAACGGTTTGCATTGATTGTGAAAAACTTCATCTATCATCGAAGGACATGGGACCTGGGATGGATCCAGACCATCTTCAATATTCCCACACTTTCATATACCAAAATATAGCAATCTGAAATCTATTGAATCTTACGAGAATATTTGAATTGCAGAGAGCAAAGAGCTATAGTTCATTAAATTATCATTATCGTTATTGCGTAGAACCCATTAACGTCGAATCCATCCATTCGGTCCATACCCCAGTCCCAATGCATTTATTAGCCAGCACCAAAGAATCAAAATTTCACCAAGCCCTTCCTCCACTCCAACCGGTCAGCCAAAATATTCCAGCTCGGCTGTCCATCTGCACGAGCAACGCCTTTCAACCCATCGGCGATGAAAGAGACGAGGTGCTCGAATTGGCGCTGTACCGTTCGCAACTGGTAATCATATGGCGAATCCCGGAATGAGACCATCAGCGTTTGTTCATGGTCAAGGTCCTCATCGGAGTCAGAGTCGACATCCTCTTCCTCCCGAACTCTGGTTCGGCGATACGCCTTTGATATTCCAATATGACTTTCCTCCACCATCCGATCTTGGGCATCCCACGAATGCACGGTCTGCAGGTCTGCAAACCGGACGCAGAGATCGAGGAGGTTTATGATAGCGTCGTGAATCGGGGAAAGATTATCTGACAGGAGGCATTGGTCTTCGAGGGAGGACATGTAGACCTTGTGCGCGGCGATCATGGCGTCGACGTCTTCGGCGCTTGATAGTGCTGAGTGTAAGGTTTGGGCTGCGCTGGAGATGACGAGATACGTTATATGGCCGTATAGAAAGTCGAGGAACCAAAGTAAGTTGTGGTGGAGGGCATGTGCCAGTGTATCATCTGCGTCACTTTCCGTGGTGTTGCGGGCGTTTCGGAGGCGTTGTTTGACAATCGCGTACTTGGCTCGTCGTATCTGCATCAGGAAGACGGAGATGCGCTGATACGATTGGATTGCACCCTCAGAAATTATATTTGCCACAGGCCAGGGCAGAATATAATCGATTGAGATGGTCTCAAGGATTTTGACTGTTCGATCGTGGACTTGTCGGGAATGGGAAGAACCGCCATTTAGTCGAACGACCAGTCTCGATGGATCGATCATGCCTACTGTACTGAATGCGGCCCTTGTCACCTCGGTGAGTAGGAGTTTGTCATTCCAAGATCGACCCCTATCTATCAGCTCGAAAACTTTGGTGTCAATCATGCTGAGGACGCTCAGATCTTTCCCCAGGTAGACATGCTGGAGGGTATCAAGAGAGGCCCACAACCCGCATTGTTCGTCGAGCTCCTGTCGTAGTAACCCGGCGCTGACTGAGTGATTCGCATCCACCAGTCTCTCCAGAGCAGACTGGACAAGGACAGAGAAGGGAAGTGAGAGGGAAGAGGACGAGTGAGACGGGAGGACATTTTCCAGTGTAACGGCATGTTTGTCAAGTGACTCTTCCTGGAGTGCGTTGAGATGACGCAGGAACACCATGTTCTTACCGGTGGTAAAGACCTTCTGGATGCTGATTTCGAGAAACCGGGGGATGTTCTGGCCCCGAGGGCCCTCATCTAGGATATACCAGTCATGCCAGAGTGATCTCAGGTCAGCGTTTGCGCTATTCTCCCTGATAAAAAATGTGCAGTCTGCCGGGTCGATGTGCCCGCTTTCCATCCAGGCCTGAATTGATCGCATGTATGTTTTGAAGCATGTGTAGAATAGCTCAGCGAGAGCTGGCAAGGCATTGTCATCACCGAGGGCTTCCAACATGCAAATCAAATCATATAGCAGGTCCAGGCAGCGCATTGGCTGATCAGCCGCGTCTTGGCCCAGGCGAGCGATTAGATCCGCCAACAACCCCAGCTGCCGGGAGTGTCGGCGGACATCATCCAGGAGCTGCAGTAAGCTGATCGTAGACCCGGGGGTCAGATACTGGCACTGAATCTGGGAGAGAGATTTGTCGAATTCGAGTAGACGCTCTTCAATTCCTCGACAAAAGGTCTGCATGTAAGGAACTGATTGAGGTACCGTAGTGAAGCGTCGAACAACGTCTATCTTAGCACCAATCTCGATGAAAGAGCGCAACAAGGCTGATACCGCCTTAGTCGAGGAATGTGCAAGTGCATAGCTGCGATCTACCTCGATATCGTCGTCGAGGCGCCAGAAGATAGACGTTGGGAGCCCTTGCAACATGAACACCACCTCTCTCGCCAGTTGGAGTTCCGTGATGGTGCGAGAGGCGTCCTCTTTGCCTTTTGGGGTCGGCAAATGGTTCTCGGCTTTCCAGAACTGAGCTTTCTCAATGGAGACAACCACGTCTTCCTCCTCGACCGGCACGAATATTTCGTCGGGGACCACATACCCCTTTTCCAGGGCGTAAGAAGTTTGAGGCACGGTCCTTGGGCTGGACATGCAACTGGAGATGGACGAAAAGCCGTCATCAGAGGAGTCAGCTGCGAAGTCCACCTCTTCCCATATATTCTCGTCGCTGTAGGCGAGGCCCTGGGCATTCATCCCCGACCATGGGAGAGACTCGGGCTCTTCAATGAGATTGGCAGACGTCTTGAGCCAATCCACTTTGGAAAATACAGCCGGGCGATTGGATAGTTGCAGGAATAAACTGAGAATCTCCGGCGACCACGAGATCTTGCGGTTGTCCAGCTCCGATAGACGGATGCGCAGAGCATCGGCGAGCTCGTCTCGGTTCAGAACTTGGAACTTCTCCTGCAGCCCCTCCAGCTGCTTGGCCACCGCGAATTGATCGGTGCGTCCATGAGTTCCTGTGTGAAAAGACGTTTCTACGCGACGCTTCAGGCTCTTGACGCGGGCCGAATCCTGTATACAATCAACATCGGCGCCAGAAATGTCAGATAAACAGCACGTACCTTCTGATCGGGTGTGACCTTAGCAGTGGCAGCGATCAGATCATCTATCAGGGCGCCAATTCTGGCCGCGAGCGCCATCTTGGCAGGCAGTGAGTGAATGATGAAGTCAAGCAGTGCGCCTGGGCGGGCAGATACATACCAATGCACTAAGGCCCGATCGGGCTAAGCTTGCTAATCAATCGTCCTCATCATCCAATCCTCCCCTTTTTCAACAACCACACCCATCCATCCATCATGGCTGTCGCACGCCCCATTCGCATGCTGGGTGCAGTAGGCATCTTGCTTTGTCTATTCCTGGTCTTCCACCTGAACCAGACCCCGTCCGCCTTCGGCGGCAAACTCATCAACGGGATGAAAAAGGATCCTTTGCTGGACCGTACGTGTTTCCTTGCCACCCCGACCTTTTTTTGGCGATCGCCCCCTCCAGCGGATCAATACTGACAAGCAATAAAGCAACCGGAGAACCAGCAGGGAACTTATGGCGCGCCACGGAGAAAGACTACTCCCCCGACAGCCCCAACTCGGCCCGCACCAACGCCGCGCTCGTCTCGCTCGTCCGCAATGAGGAACTGGACGAAATGGTTTCCACGATGAAGGATCTTGAGCGTACATGGAACAGCAAATTCAACTATCCCTACATCTTCATGAACGACAAGCCCTTCACCGAGGAGTTCAAAAGAAGGACGCAGGCGGAGACCAAGGCGAAATGCCAATTTGGTAGCGTGGCCCAACTAGTCCCGAAGGAATAAAGACTAATTTATACATCTGCAGAGTTGGTTCCGAAAGAACACTGGGATGTGCCCGACTGGATCAACATGGATATTTTCACAGAGTCGGCCGATTTGCTGGAGGAGCAGAATATCCAGTACAGCCACATGATCTCCTACCACCAGATGTGTCGCTGGAACAGCGGCTTCTTCTACAAGCACCCGGCTCTCGAGGGGTATCGCTGGTACTGGCGTATCGAGCCAAACGTGAAGTTCTTCTGCGACGTTGACTACGACGTGTTCCGATACATGGAGGACAACAACAAGACCTACGGCTTCACCATCAACCTCTACGACGCGCCGGAAAGTATCCCGACCCTGTGGCCGGAGACCAAGCGATTCCTTGCCGCGCACCCGGATTACCTCGTCGAGAACAACATGTGGTCGTGGCTGACGGATGAGACTCGCCCCGATCACAACAAGAAGGCCCAGGGATACTCGACCTGCCACTTCTGGTCGAATTTTGAGATCGGTGACTTGAACTTCTTCCGCGGCGAAAAATACGAGGCCTACTTTGATCACCTGGATCGCGCGGGCGGCTTCTTCTACGAGCGCTGGGGCGATGCGCCCGTCCACTCACTTGCGTTGGGGCTATTAGAGGATGCGTCCAAGGTCCATTGGTAAGTCAAGTCATTGCACCTGTTGACCCCGGCTTGAAATCTTTTGTACTCACATGTTGTTTTCTACAGGTTCCGCGACATCGGATACAACCACATCCCGTACCTCAACTGTCCCAACTCGCCCAAATGTTCCGGTTGTACCCCAGGCAAATCGTACGACGGCGCCGACTTCCTCTCCAAGGAGGACTGCCGCCCCAGCTATTTCAAACATGTTGGAACGCACTAATCCTCTGTCACGATCCTCTTTGCATCGCCCTCTTCCCCCCTCTCCTCCATTGCATACCTAATGAGTATATTGCTGAAGTCGTGGGTCTCGTTTTGCACCTGGCGTTTGAGCGGACACATATCTACGTGATGGTTCTGGTGTTTTTGTTTTTTGTCTTATCTGTCAGGCCTACACAAAATCTTCGTGGTTGCTGCGGTAGCTCTAGAGTTTCCCCCCCACTGTTTTTTTTTCTTTTCTCTGTACTTATAAGATTGCACATGGCACTGTTTTTTAGTCCTGGCTACTCTCGATAATGTAGAAATATCCTTACTAGGTTTAGCAGGGATAATCCGGCTAAATTATTTTGTAGCACTTTACTGTTCATATGGCAGAGGTGCTAAAGGTGGCTGAACGGTAATGGAATCGAAATAGATTAAGCACCAACCCAAGCAAGGTACAAGAGACCTTGGTCCAGACAACAGCAGCCTAACAACACAAGAGATCTCAACAAAGAGTATGTATACAGTTTTCTCTCTTAGCCCGACCTTCCTCAGCCAGTCAGAAAGAGAGGGTGGTGACGGCAATGGCGTTGCGACGAGAGGCGTGGAGGGGTACTATCGGGAGAAAAATGGCGAAGACAAAAGAGACCGACGGTATGCATTTACTCCTCCTGCGGGTACAGCTCTTCCCGAAGAGCGACACCGAGTTCCTGGCGCATACCCTCCAGCGCCTCGAGGTACTGCTTGTACTGATCCTGGTTCTCAACCTTGGCCTTGACGCCTATTATGGATTGTTAGTGTGGGTTCCCATAACGAGGCGGGTTGTGCGTTACCCTCGAACACCCGCACGGCGGTGGGGAAGTCGTTGACACGGCGGGCGGCCTTGAGGGCGGCGGTGAGGACCTCGACAGAGGGGACGAGATCGTAGGCGAAGCAGTTGTTCAGGTTGCGCTGGGCGGGACGTTAGTCTGAGACCATTGGGCACGAGAGTAGATGCTCGTGGAAGATTTGAGACAGATATCGGAAAGATCGCAAATGTCAATCTATCCATCCCGAGATCGACTTCCTTTGCTTACCTGGAGCTCGAAAACGTCCTGCACACCATCGAATTCCTTCTCGAATCTGCAATTGGCAAGAACCGGTCAGCACACTGGTTCTCCGTCACAGGCCACATGCGGTAATCCGGGGCCGTTTGTTGAAGGCACAGGGTAGTCCCGAGAACAATCGCAAAGGACAGCAACCGTACCTAGCAGAGAATTCCTCGTATGTCTCGTCCTCGTGGCCGGAGCGGAGCTTGGGGGTGGTGCCGAAGGAGCGGGTCGCCAGGGCCACCGGGGCCTGCATCCGGGACCGGGTCAATTGGGGAGCACGGTAGAAGCTGGCAGGTCGGACGGCACGCGTCGCAACACGGAAGATGGACAGGGATGCCATTGTGAGAGAGTTGACCTGGATCAATGGAGGGAGGGGGGAGGGGAGAGGTGGTGGTGGGAGTGAGAGAGTAGCAGGGAGGTTAGGACGAAGACTGTACCGGATTTTGCCGTGGGAGTTGGATGCCTGAGGCTGGATGATGAGTCAGCTTTTCCGATGTGCCCGGCAAGGATTGTGGGAGCTGTGATTGGTGGGGAGTAGATGGGTGGTATGTGATGGTGATGACATTCTAATCATTTAGAAGGTTGAGAATAACTATTCAAAGTAAGTCTGGCCGTCTATTGTAGTATAATTCGATGTCTTGATGTATGGAGTGGTTGAGGTATATAGATGTGTATCGATGCGTGTCTCGATATATATCCACATTATGAGCACCCGACTGGCACTAGGGAATCCACACCCGACCGAATCGAAGATCGAGGTACTTTACGAATTCGACTTCTATTCCATGATTCTATTCTATGATCGTATCATAGAACAGCCGAGTCTACCAGCCGGAACATATTGACTCGGCCTTTTCGCAGAATACACCAGGATCATCCGTCCAGTGCAACCATCCGGTGCTTTTCTTTTCGATAGCCCTCAATCCTGCCATAATCGTAATTCCATTCCCGATCGACACTCCTATAGCTACGACATCCATTCCCGATCAACACTCCTCCGCAGTATACTAACGGGTTCGGCAACATGTGTTGACCCCTTTTGCGGCCACGCTAAACCCTTTCGGGCCCACCATCCAGCAAAAAGTCGCGCTGTTCCGTCCCTTCCCTTTCCCTCCACATCGTCCATTCCTTCCACTTCTCTCCCCTTGACTTTCTTTCCTTTCCTTTTCCTTCCTTTCTTTGTCGGTCTCTTTCGTCTTCCCTCGCGACCTTGATCTTGACCAGGTGCTTGGGCTTTCCAATTCAATTCGCCTTTCCCATCCTTGCCTCGGTTGCTCCAATCCAACCGACCTGCCCACCATGGCCGCTTTCCTTCAGAACCTGCCCCTGCCGACCCTCGATCGGCCCTTCGGCATCCACCTATGGCCCATCTTCGACAAGGCCTTCGAGGTTGTCGTGGGATACCCCGCCAGCGAGTTCAAGTTCCAGGAGGGCGTCACCCCGATGTCCACCTTCAAGGAGACCGCGACCATGCTCATCACTTACTACATCGTCATCTTCGGCGGCCGTGAGATCATGAAGAAGCGCAGCCCGCTCAAGCTCAATGCGCTGTTCATGATCCACAACTTCTACCTGACCGCCATCAGCGCTACCCTGCTGGCCCTGTTCATCGAACAGCTGCTGCCGACCATCTGGCGACACGGCGTCTTCCACGCGATCTGTGACCACCAGGGCGGATGGACCCAGCCCCTCATTGTGCTATACTACGTAAGTGGCATGCCATTGAATATCAATTGACGATACTGACATTGCTCCCCAGCTGAACTACCTCACCAAATACCTCGAACTGATCGACACTGTCTTCCTTTTCCTCAAGAAGAAACCCTTGACCTTCCTCCACACCTACCACCACGGCGCCACCGCTCTCCTCTGCTACACTCAGTTGATCGGCTTGACGGCAGTGCAGTGGGTGCCCATCACCATCAACCTGCTGGTCCATGTGGTTATGTACTGGTACTACTTCCAGAGCGCCCGCGGCATCCGCATCTGGTGGAAGCAGTACATCACTCGTCTGCAGATCGTGCAGTTCGTCATCGATCTGGGTAGGTGGCACAGCATCAACTCTATAATACTAGATACTGACGGGTTGCAGGTTTCATCTACTTCGCCTCCTACACCTACTTCAGCTCCACCTACTTCCCGTGGGCTCCCAACATGGGCGAATGCGCGGGCGAGGAGTTCGCGGCTTTCGCTGGCATTGCGATCATCACCTCTTACCTGCTCCTGTTCATCTCGTTCTACATTGCCACCTACAAGAAGGAGGTCAAGGTCGGCCGCCCGCGCCGCAACACCGGCAAGAAGTCTTTGATCGACATGAAGAACTTCGAGGTCCCTTCTCCCGCCACTCCAGCGGGTGCGCAGAGGAACGGCAGCGCCACGCCCTCGAACGGCTCTGCAGTTTCGACCGGCCGCTCGAACGGCCCCGTCACACGCTCTCGCAAGGCGTAAGCGGCTCAATCTGACCGAATTCAAATGCAGACGGAGAGGTTTGAGTCCTTCGCAGCAGGCGAAGCGTGGAGGTGCTGAATGGTAGAGTGATCCATCTCCGGTGGATCACAGCCATATACTTGTTTAATGAATGACCCCTTTTTTTTCGACACCAGGTCGATAGCCTGGTGGTTCATGCGGTACGTGCCTGGGCGTTTTTGCAGGCAAGAGAGAGCGGGCGTGACGCTGAAGACGCTATCTGTCGAAGGAACGAGGGAGGTTTCGGGAAGGCATCGAGGTATTCCCCTTCATCCGGGATCGCTTTTAGCTTCTTGGTTGTATTCTATAATGTTATCTTTCTTCTTCTGTTCATGTTTGTGGTTATCTCCTCCCTACGCCTGCTGGTTGCAGGCTTTTTTTTTTGCTGTGTGTACCTCTCGCCATGTTGTTAGGAAAAATTGTATTGATAGAGGTTAGCAACCAATCGAATAAAATGCAATCAATTGATGCCGTTCGATGGAGGTTTAGTGCTGCTAACGATGTGATGAGGGAGAGCAACATTTGAATGAAAGGGTAGTTGAGGGCGAGCCGGGACCGAGAACACCTCCAGAAGTGAGCAGTCCTAAGATGGGAAGCCTTCAAACCCTGGACAGAGGGCCACATCGTCCTAATATCAACAACAACACCAAAACAAAGCACAGTTGAAAGGGAAACGTTGAACTTAATAAATCAATAACCTGCAAATCCCGCCGATCCGCGCCTCACGTCTTGTGTAACCAACACCGAGAGCGAGAGAAAGAGGGAATATCAGTGACGTCTGTCATCGCAGAGCAACAAAACAATAACCCCCCAGCGTGGTCGTCGAGGAAACAAAAACCATCGACGGATGATCGGACGGGATAACCATGGCTTATATGTGCATGGAAACCGATAGTCCCATCCGCCTCATGGCGTCGATCCGCCAATCTCCCGGATCGTCATGCCCAAAGCTGTCATCAGCCAGCGAGTAGGGAGTTTGGAGCGTTAATGATCGCCCGTCATCGACGGTGCCTTGCTGACACGCATGCCCTGTCAAGCATGCGCGACCTTGAGAGGTGCAGGAAGTTCTGATGAACGAGCAGTTGCCCTGTCAACGACGGTGGCGCAGATGATCAGCTGTATCGTGAAGCTGTAAAGCGTATAGGCTTCATGTCATGGTCGAGTTCCTTGCCTCGGCTGGCCGACCCGGGCTGTATCCTATGGATGGATATGCAGAGGGAGCGCGCGGCTGCAGAGCATGGACGATGAGGTAACCTGCTATAAATAATTGAAACAATAGTGCCAAGCCTCCTGAGAATAGAACAATTCGCCGAACTGAGCACAGTCTGTGACATGCAAGGAGAACAGAGCCTCCGGTTCTTGCTCTATTGGGGAATGGTTGAGGTTGAGTTAGGGCAACCTCTGGTTTGGGCAACAATGAAGATGTCTGTCTCTAAAAGTTGATCTGCTTTCTTTAATCATTGTTGACAGTAGCCAGCCCCTATTGCCCTGTGGCATACTTACTGTGCATCCTCGTAGTCCCTTTGCTGCTGCTCCCTTTGGCCCCCTTAGTTACTCTACCCCTACCATTGAGGAACAGTCCCTGTCCTTTTTGTTTTGTTTTTATTCTAGGGCTACTATCCTTGATTGTCCCGACTGCCCTGATCTCAGCAAGGACGGTGCACTGACATGCTGCCGATCAGAGGCCGTTGCATCATATCCCTGTCAGAAAGGAGTTCGTCGGCATGGTGTGTTTGGCCTAAACACACTCCTCCCCCTCCCCCCACCCTGGGGTTTCTCCACTGGGCGCTTCGATATTATTATCCTGACCGATAGCAAAGGATTGGCTGCGGTCTTCTGGACCAGAATATAGCACATAGTCATCATCACCCCTGGAAGGCTAGATCCTGCGGGTGATTGGCGCCCAATGACTGGCCCTAGCCCAGATCGCCGCCCAGCGTTAGGCGCATGGTCCACAGCCAACGACAGCTCACAGCGACTCATCAGATTCCTTCTCACCCCCGTTGCAGCGCTAGGTTAGTTCCCCTCAAATGGTGAAGCGTAACGCGACCATGGTGAAACTTGTCGACTAACCCTATTAGTCTGAAGCAAGGGCCAGCGTTCCCAATCACATTGATGCTCCTCCTGGAGGGGGTGACTTTGTAGGGTTTCCTTGAAGCCTCCTAGCCCAGGGCAGAAGGGACCAATCCCACTACGCGCTGAAGGAGAACATGTTTGGCACACGTGTGCTGGGCATTATTATCCTTAAAGACCGGTTCATTCCCGGGTTCGTGCCAAAGGGAAAGACCATTCATTCTCTGCAGTCTCAGACCTGTGGGTGTAAGTATTTCTTTGCCTGTTAGGGCTTCTTTTTTCGCCCTTTGCATTCTTCGTTCGTTGCGGGCTGGTTTCTCCTTCATTTTCTTGTCTCTGTCTTGCTATTTCTCTTCTCCTCCTGTCCGCGACAGTCTTCTTTTCTATATACTATGATCACCTACTGCCCAACGTCGGAAGCTGTTGAGCCGCCAGGCAAGATGGACGAACCCACTACTCCGCTGGATCTGCACCGTCTGAGCCATCAAAACATGCACAAACGCTACGAGTCCGACGAAGAGGCTGCATCAGAGTCAGATGCCGGATGGCATGATCTGCCCTCGCTCATCGGCTCGCAGCCAGCCGCAGAGTCGTTTGATTCTGACCTCAGCGACGATGACCATCTGTCGGCACCTACACCGGGGAAGCCGCAACGGTCTCTTTCCGTTGACACCGTCAAGGAAAACCGCGATGCCGGCTTCGTCGATGTCTTCGATCCAGAGGACGACATGGTACTGGAGCTCAGCTCTCCTCCTGCTCGGATTGCATCCAAGATCTTCGTGCCACCAATCATCTATATCTCGCCCAATTCCCCGCCGAAGCAGCACTCGCGGTCCCGGTCGCCTTCTCTGGAGTCGGTGTGTTCTGTGGAAGACGCCGATATTCAGGTCGCAAAGCAGGTCACCATCATGCAGCCGTCCACGCGGCCCACGGTGGTGTTCATCAACTCGCTCGGCCAACGATCCAAGGGATCCAGACCTCGTCCCACCCAGTCTCATTCGCGAGAACCCAGCCGCAGGCGAGAGTCCCGTCTCTTCCCACCATTGACGAATATCAAGTCCAATTCGCCGCGCCTCAATGAAGGGTATGAGCTCAGATTGCCACGCACGATTCCATCCACCCCAGCAGCCATCGACGAAGAGACGCCGTCCACTCCCGTCGCCCACTCTGCCGCCATCCGACGGGTCTCTGAGGTTCCTCTCATCCCATACTTCCCACTTGCCTCGCCCCGCCCGCTATCTAAATATCTGCATCAGGCCCGGCCGCGAACTTCTGGGTCCGACAAGCCGCTGCCAAACCCAGCAGGACGACACCGCCGTCCCACAGAGCCAGGCAGACGCCCGCCATCCATCCGCAGCTCAAGCAGCAACAGCGTGCAATCATCATCCCACTCGTCCTCTCGCGAGTCCTCCACCTTCACAGTAGCCTCGGACACAGACGGCACCTCCCTGCACTCCCTCCCCGCATCAAAACGCACCTTGAACCTGCTGGCGAACCGCCCCCCACTGATGATGCGCCGCATGACTCGAAAGAATTCCATCGCATCAAGCACTGCCTCCATGAACAGCCTCCGCTCCGAAGCCAACAACAGCCAATCCCAGCACGCATCTGCTTCCTATACAAACCTCCACCCCCAAACTCAGAAGTTGCGCCACCAATCCGTTATGAACATGCATCTCCACTCGAACCCCATCTACAACTCCAATGAAATGATCCTGAACATGATGCCCGTGCCGCCGCTTGATTCCCGCCCCGTGCGCAAATCGAGCCTCGTGCGCAAATCCAGCCATCGCCGCCATGTGAGGCATAGCACCTCCATGCCTAGCGGCAGAGGATTCATGGGATTGAAGTTTGGACCCAGATCGCCTCATCGGGTTTAGCCTGCTGCTTTTTCCTTTGTTTTCTGTTATGCTATGCATTAATCGGTAATGTCTATATGTTTATGGATGGTGGAGTGGGAGTATTGTGATATTTGGCTTTGATTAATTGGAGTTATGGTTTCTTTGTTTCCTGTCTGGGGGGATTTGTGCGGGTGTCCTTGGGCAATGAGTTTTGATCTGCGGTGCGGTGTTTCTCTTGATCTTCTGCCATACTCTGGGGTGGTCTGTCCTGATTTGGTCGACAAAAACACTTTTGTTCTTGACTTGGCGTTGGAGTTTTTTTCCTATCCAGATTGACAGTTTACAGCGCTGGCTGGTGTTTGTCTCTTGACCTTGCAGTCATCATGTGTCTAGATGGTTCACCTGCAAATATGAGAATCAAAATGATACGTTCCTTATATCCGTCCTTCTTGCTCTAGATCCAGGTGTAGATGTTACGTGTTCCAATATTCTACATGAGACATAAACTTAAATAACTCTGGTATATTGTGCAATGAACTACCAGTCAACAAAACTCAAAGCAAAGATCACAAGCAACAAGATAAGACTACGTCAATGATGGTAGATAGGTAGGATGGGACAAACCAAAGAACAACAATATACTTAGTTGCCTGACAAGAGCAGAACTGAAACAAAACGGTAAAGACAAAGAAAGCACGCGATCTTGCGAAAAAGACCTATTCTAGCCGACGTCTAGTCTACTTCCGGGCCTCCAGGGCGGCTTTGATAGCTATACAGAACACCATGGATTAGCATCACTCAGGAAAGGAATTGTGGGAAGAGTACTCACCATCGCAAGAAGACTTGGCGTCACCGAAGAGCATCCTCGTGCCGGGCATGAAGAACATGGGGTTGGGAACATCGGCTGCAAGAAAGGATTGCAATTAGCATTCGCAATTTTTGACATTTGTCTCAAGGAAGAACTCACCGTATCCACTCGACATGCCGCGCTTCATGACAATAACCTCCTTACTCTTCCACGCATGCAGGACAGGCATGCCAGAGATGGCAGAGTCAGGCTCCATAGCAATGGGGTTGACTGTGTCGTTAGCGCCGATGACGAGGGTGACGTCCGTGTCGGAGAAGTCCTCGTTAATTTCGTCCATTTCCAGGACGACTTAATTCAATCAGTATGGGAAGTTAAAAAGCCATGACAGACCACCTACTATCGTACGGCACCGAAGCCTCAGCTAGCAACACATTGCACTGGCCCGGCATGCGGCCTGCGACGGGGTGGATGGCGAAGCGCACATTCACGCCGCGAGCGCGCAGGAGACTCACGATCTCAGCGAGAGCGTACTGCGCCTTGGCGACAGCCATTCCGTAACCGACAATCTAGAGAAGGTTAGACGGATCGATTCGTGGGGGAAGGATAACACGGACAATGATGACACTCTCAGCACTAGAAAGTGACTCCACAGTATCGTCAACAGTGGTCTGCGTAATCTCGCCCTCGATCTTCTTCTGGCTCTGGGCTGCTGGGGCTGAAATGCCTCCAAACAGAACATTTGTAAGAGACCGGTTCATGGCGACGCACTGGAAGTGTAAGCAATTTGGTTCTACTCTAGACGGCTTTGGCTATTCTCTTACCATGATGTATGATAGAATAGAACCGCTGACGCCGATGAGCGAGCCGACACTGGTTAGGAGTGGGTTGTTAAGCATCAAGCCTTCAGCAACGAGAGCGAAGCCTGAATAGGCATTCAACACCGTGATGACGACAGCTTCGAGGGGGTTAGCCTATACCTTAAGGGACAGAAGGAATTGAACGTACGCATATCGGCACCGCCAATGGCTGCTGTCGTGGTATAGCCCTTGAGGAAGCTGAGAATGGTGTTTGCACCTAAGCACGTCGCAGCAATTACCGGGCTTGCTGGTGCCATAGTGACAAACGCCCCCATTGTTGCAATGTTACTACCAAGCAGCGTGGAATTGATCACATGTCGACCAGGAAGGATCTTTGGCGTGGATTTCATTTTCCCTGCAAGCTTCATGAACGCAACAATCGAGCCAGTAAATGTGACACCACCTGCATAGGATCAGTATTGCGCCGAATAATCGCGATCATAAAACTCACCAATGAGGACACCCAGATAGGCAGTGACCAAGTGTAAGGTCGTGATGTCCGAGATGTCCATCAACACGCTTCCGATGCTAGTCAGCACAGCTGCCAGACCGACCACGGAATGAAGAGCGGCAACTGTCTGAGGAAGTCCAGTAGGCGTGATTCGACGACCGATCAGTCCACCTGGTAGTGGTTAAAATTAGGCGCCCAACAAATTGCGAGGCACTTACCAACAACAGCGCCAGTTCCAGCGACGGCCGTGAACTGTGTGAGGGTCTCGGTAGAAAAGCCCACTGCATAGAGTGAAGCAAGGATTCCTGAAACCACACCCAGGATACCGAAGATGTTTCCGCGTCGAGCAGTCTGCTGCGATGCGAGACCCGAAATTGAGGCTCCATAATATGTTAACTGGTGGAATTCGACAACGACAGAAAGATCATGACTTACCCATGCAGAGAATAGTGCTGACTAGATACCCACCCTGCACTAGACCAGCCATTCCAGTACTCGCAGCTGCAATGAAGCCACCACCAAACACGACAGCGGGAATAGCATAGAGCCATGGGTACTCCGGAGGATCAGTTGGACCTGTGAACACCGTCAGTGATGTCGCTCTAAGTGGATAAAAGACGACAAACGTTTGAACATGTCCAGCATGCGCTTAGTAATTACAAATCCGCCGGAGATATTGACAAAGGCCAAGAGTACGGAAGCAGCGCCGAGATATTCAGGTAGCGTGGTTGGGACATAACCACCACCCATAACGAATAAACCGCCAATACCGACCATCCCCGAGATAGCGTTGGTGACACTCATCAGCGGCGAGTGGAGAGAAGGGGCAACTCCCCACACAGCACGATAGCCAACCAAGCCAGCAAGACCGAAAGTCATCATGTTGCTCATGAAGATGGGGCCAGTTGCCTTTCCAAGAGCGAGGGTGGTGCCCATCGCACCCGTGACGGTGGCCACGTCTCGAGTAACCTTCTGCCACGGGGTCAATTCGAGCTTTTCCTCTTTTTTTGCTGCAACTGCCTGTGCATCGGGCTTCGGAGCCGGAGGAGCAGGTGGTGCAGCCGGAGGAATAATTTCGCCATTGAGAGTAACAATCGAGCCACGAACTACCTCGTCCTTGAAGTCGATTCCAAACGACTTTTCCTGAGGTGCCATGGACAGGAGAAGCTTGGTTATGTTGTTGGAATACAGTGTCGATGATTGAGTCGGGAGACGCGAGGGCAGGTCCGTGTATCCGATGACAGTGACATCCTTGTAACGGGCCAGCTCTCCTGGAACAGTGGCTTCGCAATTACCTCCTGCCTCAGCGGCAAGATCAACAATGACTGAGCCTGGTTTCATGGCCGCCAGCATCTGTGCCGATGTTAGTTTCCCAAGGTTGTCATTGCTGTTCCTATCTTACCTCTTTGGTGATAAGCTTCGGAGCCGGTTTCCCGGGGATCAGAGCGGTAGTGATAATGATATCGACCTCGCGAGCTTGTTCCATAAAAAGCTTCATCTCGGCCTCGATGAATTCCTTGGACATCTCCTTGGCATATCCGCCCTGGCCAGCGCCATCTTCCTCGATTTCAACCTCAACGAACTCGGCTCCCAGCGACTGAACTTGTTCGCGAACCGCGGGACGGGTATCAAAGCCTCGAACAATCGCGCCCATGCGGCGGGCCTATGTGGGGTTAATCAAGTCGCATCGTTGAATGTATGTTTAACTTACTGATGCGATTGCACTCAGACCAGCCACGCCAGCTCCGATAACCAGGACTTTACTTGGAGGAATCTAAACCAAGAGCGTGAGCAAAAGACACGACAGTGGCCACACCGGCTTATCTAACCTTTCTGCAAGAGCGCGTCAGTAAATTCCTTATCATCAATTGAAACGGCAGTCTTACCCAGCAGCAGTAACTTGGCCAGTCAAGAAGCGGCCGAAATGATTCGACGCCTCCAACACAGCCTTATAACCCGCAATATTGGCCATAGAACTGTAATTAGGTCAGCGCGCTCCATGACAGTAATTGGCTAGAGAAAAGCATACCTCAGGGCATCAAAGACCTGAGCACGCGAGATGCGAGGAATCCGATCCATAGCAAAAGCCGACACACCCCTCGCCGCGAGCGCACCGACAATGGCCTGATTCTGCGCGGGATAGAGGAACGAAATGATCGTGGAGCCCTTCCGTAGCGCCTGGACCTCATTGACGGGACCCTCCACCTGGGGATTGCGGACTTTGAGCACGATATCGCTCTCCGACCAGACAGCATTGCGGTCGACGAGGGTCGCGCCTGCTTTCTCGTAAGCTTCGTCTAGCAACTGGGCCGCCTCGCCGGCGCCGCGCTCGACGAGCACGCGCGAGAAACCCTTCTTGAGCAGCAGAGCGACATTCTGCGGGGTTAGAGCCACGCGCCGTTCGTTCGGATAGGTCTCCTGCGGAACGCCGACGGTCAATGCGGAGTAGGGCGTGGCAGGGACCGGGTCAGGCTTGGGTTCGGCGCTTGTCGTGGACGCAGCGCGTTTCGAGACAATGGGCCAGGGGCGCAACGGGGCCGAGACTGGCTTCGCGTACGAACGGGCCAGGGACGGGATTCGGCGAATTTGAGACACTGGGCTCGTGGGTGAGCGAGCGAAGGATGCGGTGGAATGGCGATCCCTTGGGGCAGGGCGGAGGGAGGCTTACCGGGATGCGTCACTGAGAGCCACTTCCCCGCGCGCGCACCGGGGGCTGCGAGACACGGCCCTAGCGCCGACCGCAGGGGCACCGGGACACTCATGGTGAAGGAGGGCGACTAGACCGCGACGGGTGGGAGCCTCACATCTATTGGGCCGAGGACGCGGGAAGGGGGTAGTGGTACCGCATCAGCCGGGGCTGTGTCGCGTGAGGAAGGGAGAAGGAGAGGGAGAAAAAATTAGAGAGAAAGAGGGAGAGAGTTGGAGGAGGGTGAGATCAGATGGAGAGTAAGAAAGGGAGTGTTCAGGGTAGAAGGGCGGTTGGTCTCGGCGAAGCGGAGAAAAGGATGAAGAGGAGAGGAGGAGAAAAGGAAAGGAAGGGAAGAGAAAGAGGAAGAGAAAAAAAGAAGAAGAGGGGAAGAGCCAAGGTAGGATTGCGAGGATGACACGGTGCCTTGCTCATTCAGTCCGACTCTTCTATAACGATTCCTCTACCTCTTCTGCTACAGATTATCCGATAATCGGATCTTCCAAAACGCGGGGGAGAGCCGAGCCGAATTCCCCACAGCAGGGAGGGTCCGATCGAGAGGTCAATCGATTCTGTAGAGCGCGGGACAATGATTACGGCAGTCTATGATCTCTTTTTAATTTCCGTATATCTACGAGACATCCAATCTCCCGACCGTACATCATTGCTCTCCCACCTCCTCCACCGTCTCCGCTGCACCCTTGCTATCAACAAAGTGCGCGATCCGGTCGCGCGGGAGCCACGCATCCTCCGGCATCACGAAGTACGAGACCAGCGCGAGGATAGTTACCCCAGCCATGATAATCGGGGCATCTGGGAATCATTAGCGAATTTTCCGGCAAACCAGAAGACACACATACAGTTCAGGGTCTGCCCCGTCACAGGGAACTCATATGGCGAGAACAACACAGCCACCACCCATCCATTCCAGAAAACGCCGATAAACTGGAACGGCTTGCTCCACTTCCCCAAACTCCACTGCGGCGTGGGGAACCGTTTCGGGGTGCAGACCAGCCGCCCGAGACAGATGAGTCCATAGGCGGCGGCGCTAGGCACGCCGGCTGCGGAGACGAGCGACGTGAATGCCACATTCGAGGGGAGAATGGTGCATGTGATAAAAGCCGCAACGGCCCAGACAACAATGACTGCATTGCGCGGCTGGCCCCCATGCACTTTGGAGACCCAGCCCGAGAGGGGAGCACGCCGTCGCGGGCGACGGCGAAGACGAGGCGGGAGGCTGCGATGATGGCGATGGCGGTGTTCTGCGGATAATGTTAGCAGCGTGGCTAGAAACGGGGAGGGGATCATTCTGACCAGCCACAGAGCGAGAATGCAGACCACGTTCATCACGACATGGCCGCCCTTGCCTAGAACCACGGCATAGAGAGGCACGAACGGTTGCGGGGACCCGAATTCCATTAGGGTATTGTTGTCCGGCTATTATATGGTAGGGTCAGCACTTGACCCGGACAGAGATGGAGGCACGAGGTATACTCACCGCGCAGAACAAGAACAGAATAATCGTAGCCAATCCACCGAATCCACTAACAACTGTACTCCAGAAGATGCCCCGCGCAGCAGTTATCGAGGCATTCTTCGTCTCCTCCGCCACGTGGCCCGACGCATCGAATCCAATCAAGATACCCGCGGTGGCGAGGTAAGACAGACACCAGTTCCAGCCCGCGGGGGCGCCGGTGGCGTTGTAGGTGGTCATGAAGGCTTCATGGGCCGTGCGGAATCCCCAGGTGTCATGGGCTCCAATAGGCAGCCAGATCACGTTCATCAGGAAGTCTAGCATGACGATCATGGCAGAAAGCCAGAAGACCCATTTGAAGTATCGGGCTAGATGGACGGGTGAGCACGGGTGGTAGGGAATATCCAGATGTTCACGTACGAGGCAGGAAGTTCAACAGCGCAGCGAGGGCGAGCAGCACCTCGGTGCAGATCCATTGGACAGCGCGGAACTTGATATCGCTGGTATCAGTAGGAAAGTCGACTTTGAACACAGTCAATTCCTGCAAGCCTGTCAGTTGTGCATTCAGGTAAACCTGTCAGAACACTCACGGAAAGCATGTAGTTGGCCGCAGCTTGGGTATTGCCTATAACCCCCATTAGCCTTTCCGTTCAGTGCTTCATCCTCAGGGGACTCATACTCGCACAGAACGTCGTCCAAGCGGTAGTACTCCACCACGCAACAATAAATCCCAGAAGCCGACCAAATCGAGGACCACCAGCCTCGGCCGCCCAGAGATAGATCGAGCCCGCTGACGGAGAGGCCGAGCACACCTCTGCGATGACGGCAGCCGTGATGAATGTGAAGACCATGGTGACTAGGTAACTCGTCCAGTAGGCGAGATTGCCCCCAGCAGCGATACCGGTGCTGTAGGTGACGCGCACACCACCGACGAAGTAGAGCGCCGCTGGGAAGCGGCATGTTAGAGGTGGGGTCGGACTTGAGAGGAGAAGAGCCCAAACGTACCAAAGGTCGTTGCGAAGTTCTCGACTAAGGTGTATGTCCGGTGCAGGACCTGTTCACGGACTCAGCATGAGCTGCCGCGCAGATGGTGGAACGCTTGACTTACCGGCTTGTAGCCCATTGTTCGCTGATAGTCGTATTAGCATGGTATTGCTTCACTGGTCAGATCCCTACTCACCAGCAAAGCTGCATCCTCTTTCGACTCGGTGTCACTTCGGTCAACCTCACCAACCTCACCCTCGCCGTCAACAATCAGGTCATCGCGACCGACAGCGACGTCGTCGTCCAAACCCATATTGGCAGCAAGTCAAAAAAACGAGTGACCGAGAACAGATGAACAGAAAGGCCCTCGAGTCTTGAACCGACGCGGCCGATAAAAAATTCCGGATCGCAGATCTTTACTGGTGAGAAACAATAGACAATAATGAACGATGTCGGAGGGGTCTGGTCCGCGCAGAGATTTGCCGGTTGGCTTTAGGCTCGGGCCCGTTAAGGCCAGAGCTTTTCAGGTTAAAATGGTGGAGCCGGTGGAGTCGGGGTGGGATCGGGCCAATCTACCGGTCTCGGGAAACATCATATCATAATCACTCATTCATTCATTCATGGATATATATATACAGTGGGTGGAGCAGACGGGGGGACTATATACGACGCCTGGCCCAGGACATCTGGTGAGAGTAGGCTAAGGGATCAGGATGTTGGACTGAATCTCGTCCAGGGTCTCGGTCCATCCTTCAGGAAAGGTCCGGCGCTTGAACCAGACCTTCTCCAAAAATTCGATACCCTTGTCGACGTTCTACGGCGCATCAGCAGGCAATTCCATCAGTGCGGAAACAGCACATACCTTGAAGCCGAACCGTTTGAGCCCGTGCATCGTTTCCCGGACGTATCCTTGCTCCTCCTCGTTTCGCGTTTCCTGACCACCAATAAACAATGGCCACAAGACCGCCAGCTGGCCGACGTCCTTGGAACACTTGCGGATCAACGTGAGGATGCGGGTGATCAGCGTATCCAAATAGGTGCGGTCGGAGATCCAGCCCGGACGACCGGCGCCAGCCACTTGGTGCAAATGAAGGAACGTCGCCTTCTCGTATGCTTCGATGCAGCCGACGTACTCGAGCACATCGGGGAACGGGTACTTGGCCAAACTGTCATCGTCCAGCTCGCCGAGCTGCTGCAGACTAACGGGTGTGGTGGCTCGCCAAGCGACCAATTTGTAAAACAGATCCTTGTACACTTGATCCTGGTGGTCCGGGGACATGGACCGTTTGTCTCGGGCGAAAACACTGATGGACGCTTGAATCTCCATCATTCCCGACCATGAACGCCGCAGCTCGACCAGACGCGGGTTCTCGGGCACGGATGACCCAGACAATGTCGGTGTCCCCAGATTGTATTCCCACCCACCCCCCAAAGTCTTCCAGTAGTTGCCTTCGACCACGGTGCCTCCGGGAGTGGCACAGGCGCCTGCCACATCGACGTAGGAAAGGAGGGAGACGAGAAATGAGCGGAGGGGGTGATTGGACTCGGCAACACGGTAGACCTCGCGGGCAGAGTCGCCGGTATGCGGATAGAAGAGACGGTTATAGATCTCGCGAGCGCCTTGGAGGTGTACGGCCCAGTTACCATGCTGGGAGTCCATCATCTGCAGAGAGTCAGTTCACTGTCCTGGCGCAGAAGGCACCACACAAACCTCGAACAAGCACAACAAGAGGCAGGTCGCAAAGTCCGATAGCCCGAGCTGCTGCGCCGGATCCACGTATCGCGTGCGGAATGTCTTGACGACCTCGCCGTATTTTCCCATCGCCTGCTGGAAATGCGTGTTCCGCTGCGGTCCCGGCGAGGTGTTGGCCAGGTGCAATGCGCCCAACGCCTGCATCGCGTTTGCGAGGGACGGTGAGGTGTGGGCGAAGTCGGGGAAGTGGCTACGGTAGGGGTTCATGTTGATGGAGTTATCGTAGATGAGGAGGAGGGTCGAGACTTGGTCGACAAAATGAGCGAAGTAGCGATCGTCGCGACGTTGAAGGGTCGTTGCAACTAGGCTTGCGGGCGAAACGGGCTGAGCGAACTGGAACCGGGTGGCTTGAGGCAGCGTGGTGGACGAGACGACGACTCCCTCCCTGCCGCCTTCTTCCCTTTTCATCTCTTGCTCAGATGCCTTGGTCCGTTTCTTCGGGGCCTCGGAGGGTGAGCCCTGGGTCTGTGAAGGCCCGTACACCTTGAACGTCACGCGGCCCTGGGTACCATCGCATTCCAGGCCGAGCCGCGTGCAGTTCTTGCATGCGGGCGAGGCCTCATCGCAGCGGACATGGCGGCGGCGACAGGTTGAGCAGCCGGTGAATCCTCGGTGGTGCCAGCGGCGAACTCGTTTCCTGGGCGCCGACGAGGTGTGGGATGGTGGTTGAGACGGTGGTGACTCGGACACGTTCATGGGTGCCACCACCGAGCGAATCTCCATGGGGAGACAGGACCGATGGACCAGTAGGATGGAGACATTGAAGACTCAGGCAAGGTGGCAGGGCGTACAAGTCATGATCATGACGGCGGTGAGTTGACAAAGGAAGGACTGAAGGAAGGGAAGGGAAGGCGGGCCAGGTTGTGGGAGAAGATCATTGCCGGGCGGATGGGTAGATGGATCCACGGTCTATCACGGTTGTTTACACTCTGTATACAGCCAAGATCCCCCTGTCCGAATATTATTAGCCCGTGATAGAAATATTCCCGATCTATACAACCAACACGAAGCACTGCTCCAAGGGTACACTATCCCCGTGTACTAGAGGTTGACAGCGGCTAGAGAATCCGTCAGGCATGCCACATGGATGATTCCATCCTAGTCCATACTTGTTAACTATGGCCTCGGTTCGGCAGCAATTGACACCCACTACTATTATTCCTGACGGATGGACACATCAACTACCTTCCTGGGGTGGTGGACTCTCCTCGGAATTCACGCCGAGTCCCCCCTCCTCGCCAGGGTCCATCATTTACCTCGGACAACGCCTTCCATTTCCACGAACCCTCCCAGACACCCTATCTCAACCCTGAACTATCCTCGATCATGGCTCAACAAGGCTCTAGACTACAAGGCAAAGTCGCCATTGTCACCGGTAGGGACACCCGCCACAACTCCGATGATACCCTATCTCACTCCCCCGCACAGGTGGAGGCTCAGGCTTCGGGGCGGCCATCGCGCGCCGTTTCAGCGAAGAAGGAGCCAAGGTGATCGTGACCGACATCAACGTCGAGGGCGGCGAAAAGGTCGCAGCCCAGAACCCAACCAATCTCATCTTCCAGCGCATGGATGTCACCCAGGCCGCCGACTGGGAGGCCGTTTTGGACGTGGCGTTCTCCAAATTCGGGAGGCTAGACGTGCTGGTCAATAATGCGGGGACGACATATCGCAACAAGGTAGGTTGTCATAACATTCGACGGAACAATACGGATGCTGTGCTGATGGATGATAAGCCCACGGTGGAAGTGACCGAGGACGAGTGGGAGCGCGTCTTCCAAGTGAACGTCAAGAGCATCTACCTCGCTGCCCAGACGGCCATACCACGACTGATCCAGCAAGGCCACGGCGGATCGATAGTCAACATCTCCTCGACGGGGGCTACTCGGCCACGACCGGGTCTGGTGTGGTACAATGCCTCCAAGGGTGCCGTCACCAATGTGAGTGGTTTCCTTCGTTGCATAGGTCAACATCCGCTCATCCAGTGTATAGGCTACCAAGGGCCTCGCCGCCGAGTACGGGCCTCATAACATTCGCGTCAACAGTGTTGCGCCTCTTCTCTCGGGCACTGGACTCTTCTCCATGTTCACCGGCATGGAAGACACCCCTGAGAACCGGGAGAAGTTCATTGGCAATGTGCCGCTGGGCCGGCTGACGGAGGCGGATGATATTGCGAACATGTGTCTGTATCTGGCGAGTGACGAAGGACGGTTCATCAATGGGACGGAGATGGTGGTGGATGGTGGGAAGTGCATCTAATGCGGTTTATTCGTGACCATTCGTCATTTCATAGACTTAGTCCATCGTACCCCGCATGAAGTGGCGCCATCCACGCTTGACGTTTTCATTATTCTCGCGGTCTTTTGCGTAGACGACGAGGGGTCTCCAGTGACATGCAGTCAAGCATGGCGTCCAACTTTCACTCTATCCCGGTCATCGACTGCGGCCTAGCCAACTCACCCTCGACGCGGCCGGAGCTCCTCAAACAGCTTCACCACGCCATCACCTGCGTGGGCTTCTTATATCTCTCTAACCACGAAGTCTCCCAGAAGACCATTTCCGACCTCAGAGGCGCACTGCCCGCCCTATTTGCTCTCGACGAAGCGACAAAAGAAGAGGTCGCCTTGCACAACTCGCCCCATTTCCTCGGGTACAGTCAAGTAGGCTCCGAGACCACCGGCGGGGTCGAGGATAAACGGGAGCAATTCGAATTTGCAACTGAGCTTCCCGATACTTGGCGTGAAGGACTTCCACGATATGAACGACTAAACGGACCCAACCAGGTATTTGAGATCCCGTACCAACGTGGTGGTTTCGTTACTGAAGAGACTACAGTGGCCCGCTCACAATGCAGCTGTCCGAGCTATAGTCCAGAGATACATCGATGAATTGACGCGACTCAGTGAGCGTTTTCTAACCCTTGTCGCCGAAGCCCTCTCCCTGCCAGCAGAGACGTTGTTTTCGTGTCTGTCGGAGCAGCATCGCCTCAAACTAGTCCACTATCCTGCGTCGGACCCTTCCGATCCAACCGGCCAAGGCGTCGGTCCGCACAAGGATTCGTCAGGATGGTGGACATTTCTCCTGCAAGCATCGCCCCCCGAGGTGAAGGGCTTACAAGTGCTGAATAAAACGGGGGACTGGATTGACGTCCCCGTTGTTGAAGATACATTTGTCGTGAATATCGGCCAGGCATTCGAGGTGGTCACACACGGGGTCTGCAAAGCTACAACGCACCGTGTTCTATCTGGTCCGCACGAGAGATTTAGCGTGCCCTTTTTCCAGGGTGTTCGGGGAAGTTTGACCAAGGATGAAGCCCTTGGTGCATTGAGACAACATTTCGCTGCTACGAAAGATTCCTCTATCGAATCCGCGGAGGGAACCAGCATTGACTCGGCCTTCCTCCGTGGTCGGTATGATACTTGGGGAGAGTCACAGCTGCGAACCAAAATTCGCAGTCATCGTGATGTGGGGAGGAAGTTCTATGCCGATGTGTTTGACAAGTATATCCACGACTCTTAGTCAAGCATGCTCTATACGACTAGTTATATCATCTAAAACTTAGAACCGCCGAGGCTCAGCAGTAGGCTTATTGCCCACGGCCTTCTCAATCTTCTCAATCACCTCGTCCGTCAACTTGTCCGCAACAGCCAGTGCGCGGATGTTATCGAGGACCTGCTCGGGCCGCGACGCACCAGTGATCATCGACGAGATATTCGGGTTCTTCAGAATCCAGGCAAGCGCCAACTGCGCTGTCGAGATACCCAGCTCCTCCGCAATCGGCCGCAACGCGGCAACCTGGTCCAGCTGGCGCTTCCAGGTCTCGTCGCCCAGCGTCTTGCGCAGACCCTGCACATACTTGTCCTGCGACTGCGCCAGTCTCGAACCCTCAGGGGCCCCCTCGACGTCATTGTACTTGCCCGTCAGCACACCGCCCTTCAGAGGCGAGAACACCGTCAGCCCCAATCCGTGATGCGCCTCGTAGAGCCAGCGGTACTCGCGCTCGACCTTCTCGCGCGCCAGCAGGTTATACTGCGGCTGCTCGACGACGGGACCAACGAGGCCGAGACGGTCGGCGATCCGCCATGCGTCGGAGATCTCGCTCGCCGTCCACTCCGAGGTTCCCCAGTAGAAGGCCTTGCCGGTGGAAATCAGATGGTTGAATCCGCGAACAACTTCTTCCATGGGTGTGTCGCGATCTGGGCGATGGGCATACACGATATCCACGTATGGGAGGTCCAGGCGCTTCAGGGATAGGTTCATGCCCTCGATGATGTGCTTCCGAGAGAGGCCGGTATTGTTGAGGGGTTTATTGGGGTTGACGCCGTTGGCTTGGCCCCAGTAGAGCTGTGAGAGTCAGCAATTGCACTCCGTCGGGGAGATGTGGAAAGCTCACCTTGGTAGAAATCACCAGGTCATTCTGCTTCCATCCATACTTCTTGATCGCCTCGCCGAACACCACCTCCGACTGCCCGCCGGCGTATCCCTCAGCCGTATCAAAGAAATTGACTCCAGCATCGTACGCAGCCTTCATGCACTCGAACGCGGTTTCTATCGGATAAGTTAGCCCGGTTTTATTCACTCGCGGAACTGAAACACACCGTTCCCCACATGCCCGCCGAAGGTGAGCCACCCGCCGAGGGAAATCACCGAGACCTTCAGACCCGTGCGGCCGAGGAAGCGGTACTGCATTTCAGGGAGGTCGGACATTGTGAGTGCGGTTTTTGCTCGGGATGAAAAGGGGGATTGATGTTGCTCGAAATCGGGGGAAGAGCTTATCTTTTAAGTCATTTCACCGACCATGACCAAAGCAAGGGCCGATGCGGGGAATGCCACGCAATTCCGTCGAGTCTTGTCCGAATCGGGTCCCCGGGTGAGCTTGATTAGCCGAATCGGTCCATTTATTTGTAAGACGGATTTGGGATTTCTGGATCCTTCCGTAGCGAATTGGGAAGGTGAAAAGTGCTGTAGTTCTGGACTGAGTTTGGTGGCGGGGTACTTGATATGCAAGAATAGACGAGGGGGCCGCCCCATGCAAAGCTTGGGTTGCTTGAATTGACCAGTAAATTCCCTTGTATGACCCTTTAACTACTTCCAAATCATTCAACTAGCATCTACCGAATAATTAGATTGAATGACAATACCACACTGCAGTTCCATCCATGTATAGAAATAAATAAACTCATGCACACGCCGTCGGAGCAGCATCCGGGCCATCGGGGTACTCAGGTCTCTGAGTCGGATCCGCACAAGCACAATACTGCGTCTTCTCGGCAGCATTCGCGCATGCACCCGCCGGCGCGGTAGCGCAGAAGCTATCTGTGTGAACAGAAGTAGTCATGCCGCGCGGACAGGAAGCGTAGGGCATGCAGAAGGTGTCGACGGTCGACGAGCCAGGAAAAAGGGTCATGCTGTACGACTGACCTGTGGCGCAGGTACAGTCGACAGCTAGACAATGGTCAGTGAATCCTTGCTCAGTTCTTATGAGGTTTCCATGCTCACCAGTGGTGATGGCAGACTTCTCCACCTGCCAAAGTGCCATGATGCAATGTTGTGGTAGTAGATGGCATCGCACCATGCGCACACTCGGTCGTGATCCACGCCGCAGTGATCGGAAAACAGGTTGGCTGCTCGACACAGTGATCCGGGTGCCACACAGACGGGAAAAATCCTGTCGGGCACTGAGTCGGGGCCTCGGGTTCGTGGCAATAGGCGGCCTTGACCTGAAGCAGATACTTGAATAGAATCCTATGGAGTCGAGGGGTTACTAGCTCTATTTGAAGTAATACTCCACTGGAGGACTTGTCTGCCCAAGCATTCGATAAAGACTAGAACATTTACTAGATAGACACGTTCCTTCAGCCTATCTAAAGTATGTACACAAAGAGAAAATATCAAGTCATCGTCCAGCGAAGAAGAATCCAGCTCCTGCCATAGATGCCCTCCCTGTTAGCAACATCACTGCATCTAGAACAAGTCTCTCTTGTGACGCAGGTGACCATAGTTATAATTGTGTGCATGCCTCCGGGCGTGATCATGTTTGACTGGTTTCTCTGGCGTATCATTCTTTTCAGCCTGAAAGACCACAGTGGTGGCCTTGCTAATTGTTGTCGTTGTGGTGGACTTGGTATATATCCTCCCTGTGCTCGTAGTGTAAGGTTCACCCTTGCCATTGACCATGACTATGATATCTTGTTCCATGTAGATAATCTCTCGAGTGACCGGATCGATTTCAACAGAATCAGTAGATGCAGGAGCCGGGTCAGTGGTCGTCGGATCTGCAGCGGCTTCGGCGGTGTTCATGACATGCAACTTGTCAAAAAGTGGGGTTGGATCAAGGTCCAAAGTAGGTATTGACAGATCAGGTATCGACAGTGACGGGATCGTAGGAATGCTTGGGACAGGCTCGGTGGTCGTAGTTGGGTGTCCGGGCAATTTATCAGCGCGCATAGCATATCCCGGACCCCATTCGATAGGCATATTCCCCGGCAGGCCGTCAGCATGCATATGAACATTCTCATGCTGAAGCTGCGGCGGCAAGTCAAGCTGACATTGGTTTTGATCTGTCTCGTTCTGCAGATCAAAGATATCGCAATCAGTGATCAAACCCGTCTCATTTGTGCAAGTGTTGACGGCTTTCTGCAGCACGCCGTCATCCCAGGCCTGCAAATAATCGCCGTGATACCCAAATCCAGTTGGGTCGCCATTGGCGAGAGTGAAGAATCCTTCTTTATCTTTGAATGCGTATGTGTTCCAGATAGTCTCGTAGAAGAGCGAGACTAGTCGGGTCTCATATCCTTCTGGACAGGTTCCATCCATGACAAGTGAGGGATAGGCGACGTGAGATTTGTGGTCCGGGGAATCGACATCTTTACCATTCCAGCACGATGGGAACATCAGCTCCAGCCGGATTCCATCGGTACAGTGCTCGTCCAAAAAAGTCTTGTTCGGTAGAAAATGGCGGTAAAGAGACGGCTCTGCCGCTTCGGCATAGTTCAAGCAGTTGAATCCAAGAGCCTTCTGGCGAAGAGCACGCTGAGATTCCTGGGCGCCCTTCCATAGGGACTTGGGAGGGTCTGGAACTGGCCAGGTGAAGTTGCGCTGGAATGGATCCCCTGCGATCATCCGGAAGCCCTGAGGGAAAGCAGTTACATTCTCTCCGTAGAGGAGGTAGTAGCTGATATCCGAGAGATTCGTAAGTGTATGTTCCACGTAGAGAACAGACCACACTTACGCAAGCATGCCTCCCACCTGCTCTACCAATTCGGCACTGCCGTTTGGATGCATAAAGTAGAGAGTAGGAGTCCAGTAAGCGGACTTATCTTGCATCACAGCGCAAGACGTGCAACTGGATTTCTGCAAGGTCTGTTGATTGGAGTTCATACTAAAGCCTGAATATCGTTAGCAGGCCAAGGCTCCAATGGATGTTGCGTCTGCTTACTTCCAGCGCCGTGAATGGAGTGCGCGTGCGATGCGACCTTTCCTGGGTCTATCAAAGGATCCAATCGAGCGACGCCAAGTCGCCCGCGACATGGCAGACGCCAGAAAGCATTAATAAAGTTCGGAAAGATCGTAAGGCAGGCCAGCAAGGTGGCCGCTAATCGGGTGTTGTGCATCATGCGATCTGTTGAGCCGCGTCCACGGGCTCAATGACCGCCAGAAGGGAGCGAAGTTTCAATGTGAAGGAACGATTCTCGAAGTCAACCGGTGCTGGCGCGGCTGAAGTGGTAGCAAAACGTGTATGTCTGCTGGCAGAGAAGTCGAGGGCTGTGCGATATGTCAGTCTAAGGGCACGCCATGGGTTTGTCCTTTTATTCAAGACTCCCGGAAATTGAATCCAGGCACATTATGTCGCAGGGGCGAATTCCAGGCGGCCAATTAAGCGTCATCCAGACGATCTCATTCGAGATCCCCAGGATCGATAGGGATGCACCCTGCCCGAGGAAAAGAATGAACCCTTGCTTCGGAGCTCCACCCTGTCCTCCGCACCAAATCGCACGAGGGGATAAACGGATTTAAGTCATAAGGTATGCAACGTCCCATGGAACCGCGTTCTCCAAAAGTAGAAGTAAACAAACAAACGTTTATCACTGCCTAGGGGCCTATGTGATGCAATTTTTTTTTTGCGCTATAACTTGAATAGGAGACTCGCCTCGATGATCACAGAGCAAATTAGTTCAGGAGATAAACAGCAGTTGAAACAAAAGAATAAAATAGAATGGTTTAAAAAAGAGCGACTGTGTAGCTGAGAGATATAGGGCTGAAAGGGAGTGTCTGTGTCAAAGAAGTAAAGTACAGTGGAACGGAATGAAGGGTTATCTCCAGATCAGAGATCTAGCAAGGCTCAAATGAAACACCAAACAATTGCAAAAATATCCCTGGGCCATTTCTCCTGCGATAACTATGGTTTGACCAACCGCTTGAACTCCTCAATATCATCATCTGTGTTTCCCGTCATGTATAAAATGAAATGAGTTGGGAGTGGCAGACCTCACGACGAAAATCACACATTGCTTGTAGACGAATAATATCCAAATGCTTTCTGAGGAGTTCCATTCCTTCCATCCGCATCGCAAATGTTGAAACGAACGAGCAGTCTCTGCCGCTCGGCCTCCCACTGCTCCGTCCGCGATTGGGCGGGGTGGAGCATCGTGAAACAGGATATTTTGGTGGGGCTTTCAAATGATCCTGTGCAATATGAACGGGAATGTAGAAAAGTGCAATATGCTACAAGCCTACGAATGCTTGTATTTGACTCGGCGTTTAGTCTCAGGTTCCGTGATTGAGTAATGCGTCAAAATATACAATCGAGATACAGTATCCAGCCAATTATTAAATACCTCAGGCTACGTATTACTTTCTGTCGAATATGAGAATCATGGCGGGGGAGGAGGGGCATATAAGATATGCAAGCTCTTTTTACCATCTTCGTCTCACCTTGTCGACTATATACTTCGGTGCTTCCCAAGTGAGACGTCAGTAGTTAAAGACCTTTATCAACTTCGATGTGTCATCGTAAGTGGTATCTTTGCTTTTGCGAGTAAGCTCCAGATTCCCAGCCCCTCTCGTCTTCCTGCCTTGACAACCTGTGCACTGAATCCTCCGTACGGCAACAGTCAAAGGTATATACTAGCTGCTAAACGCCATACAGACACACATGCTAAGTTCTAGAGGAAAACCCGCACTTTCTTCCCAAAGAAGCACCGAATATCATATCATTCCATGATGCTCAGCGGAGCTTCAATAGTGAAACAAGGAATTGTGCGCAACCTAAGATCTGTCTCCCAACAGCTCCAGCCATGCGGAGTCGACCTTTCGCTAAATCGCGTTTTTGCCTGGACATCGCACGCCACGATTGACTTTGACAATTCGCACCGCAGGCGGCTGATAGGTCTGAAGAGCGCTTCGACAACGAAACCGGGAGCATAAAATTGCCCCAGGGTGCATATCTCGTCGAATTCAACGAGACCGTTCGCATTCCATTAGATTGTATGGGCGAGGTTTTTGTTAGATCGTCTCTTTGGCGGTCGGGCGTTGCGCTCACAGCTGGGGTGGTGGATGCTGGCTATGAAGGCGCGCTTGGTGCTTTATTGGACATCAAAAACCCGGCTGGGGTTGTTTTGTATAAAAATGCTAAGTTGGGGCAGATTGCATTGCGTAGGCTTGAAGAGGAGGTAGCCGCTTATAGTGGTATCTACCAGTTTTCGGCGAACAGTCGTGGGCGCGATGGCCAAAGCGAAAGATGATTCAGGCAAAGTATAAATGCTGGATGCTTTACTGGGGTTTGGTGATAGAATTGATCATATCATATTCTGCAGGCCTGTTGTGAATATGGCGAAGATGGGTCTAAGGGTGGACCAATGTTGTGTGTCCATGTCACTCATATCAAGTCTGGCGATAAATACTAGACTATACAGAGCAAGTAGATTTGTCTAAGGTAGTGCCCCCATCCCGCATCTATATCCCACGGCACTTACAGGTCATAATGTACAAGTATACAACAGGACTTCGTCAGATCACGTCTTAACCTCATCCAGCGCCTTCTTAGCCCTATCAACCGCCTCCCGAGCCCTCCGATCAGAAACATCCTCAACGTCCCTACCACCCTCGATCACAACCTCACGCAGTAGCGATTCCGTTTCACGTAGAGATGACCGTCCTCTCTTCGCGGACTTCATCCTCCCAAAACCCACGTGCGACGTCCCATTTCTTCTGCTGACGACGTAGCGAGTAAATGAGGCCCACAGCTGCTAAGGTGCAGGATTCGTAGATGGAGGCGGAGGGGATGGAGACGTACGTTAGTGCAGAGAGGGTGGATGTTAGCGTCGTCGTGGATACGCTGAAAAGGACCAGGCTTTGTGCTAGAGCTTGGAGGGATGGCACGGTGGTTGTGAGGAGTTTGGCGCGGGTGTCTGGAATCTGGGTCGGCCAGGGGGAAGAAATGGAATTGTTGGAGGGTGCAGACTCTGAGAGTGAGATGGGTGGGTGTTCCGCCAGCAGACCTGCCTGGTGGTATTTACCCGCAGTCCAGATGACCTCGTGTTCGGAACGGCGGAGGAATCGCTTCTCCAGGATCTCAGAGGTGATCATGCTCACATCATCAACGCGCCAGAAGAGCTTCCACCAGGCCAGACCCCGCCATCGCGGACTGGCAAAACCGGCCTCGAGGGAGCTGCGCAGTTCTGAATGTGCCCGCTCAGCCCAGACGGCAATGCCACGCTCCAGGTTGGCACGCACCGTATCAGAAACCACACCAGCGGTCTGATGCTTGATGGCCTTCTCATCTCGAGCTAGCACGCCTTCGTCAGCCGAATCCAGAAGGGATTCGATGAGAGGCACCAAAGCCGGATTCAGTGCGCCATCCTTTTGGACCTTCGAGGAGGCAAGCCAGTCGATCACCGTTTGCACGCCGCTGCCATTCCATCCGCGTTCGTATTCGGAGACGTTCTGCACAGACTCGCGGAACTTATCAAGTGCTTTGCTTGCGCGGTGGATATCCACCAATGAAAGTCGGTCCCTACTTGGATTCTTATCTGCCAAGGGGAGCTCGATCGCTCCGCGGACAGAAGCCACCTCGTTCTTGAGGTCTGACTGGGCGACCAGCGAACTGTACGCCAGTAGTCCATCCACTCCGCTACCACATACAATGCTCCGATGCACAGGGTACCGCACAACGTTATGCCGACCAGAATGCGAGGTCTGGATGGTTACAGTGGGAACGAGGAAGGTGTCTGCAGTGAGGGTGGTGCCGGCAAAATCCGTTTCAGAGCCGAGCGTACTGACCAAGATCTCCAAATTGCCTTGTTTCAAGATGGGTGATGGGATCGCAATCGTCGGCAGCAGGTCATTCGAAATAGATTCCGAGACTTCCCCGTAACTGTCAAGGATGACCGATCCATCAGCAAAATGGCCTATAGTAAAAAAAAAAACAGAGGGCCCATACCGAATCAAAAGTCCCGGTGACGTATCAGCGTCGTTGGTCTCGAGGATATCCTCCCAGCTCTCGCGCGGTCGTAACGGGTCAGCGAGCAGCAATCGCACTAATCTCCGTGCCGAAGCCGCATTGTCCAAACCAAGAACTGGACAACGTAGAAAAGAAATCAGCGTCTTGATCTTAGGAAGGAAAGAAGACCGCCTGTTGATACTCACCAGCAACACGAATAAGAGGCGTCTCGGACTCCAACCCGCGCAGCGCAAGCTGTAGCCGACTCAGGCTCACTTGCTCGATCGCCGCATCACGCACCGCCTCCAGCGCACCGTACAGCTCTTTAAACCGTGGCGGGACAACCTTGCCTACGCCGATGACAGTCGATGTTGAGAGAGGACGAGGAGCAGGGATTGCAGCGGGATTCAGTGGGCGATGGGCAGGGTTGCTCTTTTCACCGCGGGCGTGGTTGTTGACGCCGGCACGCGTCGACAGCCGTCTCCATGCCGCGCAGGAGGGACAGTAGAAGACACTGTCTAGTGGACGCGACAGGCTCTTTGCGAGCACGCCGCGCAGTCGGGGAGGCATTGATTGGAGGAGAGGGAGAGAGTGAAACAAGGTTGGTTGAAGATCGGGAAGAGAAGTGCAGGAGGCGGGAAGGCTTGGCGGTGATGGATCCTTGGCTCAGTCTGTAAACGCCCAACGAAGTACAACAAGAATGAAGAACAACCCAGTAAAAGTGGACGAAGGGGGTTATGAAAGCTACAGTACTTTCGACTACTGGTCGATAAGCCGGCCTGGCAGTCATGAAAGTCAATTTTTTTTATAATCCTCGTCTATGGGATTCGGTCAACTCCAGCCTACAGCAAAAGTCTGCTCCAAGGCGATACACGCATGATTAACGAAGCCATCCAGTGGACAGCCCGGGGGGCTATGTATGCAGATCGAGATCCATAGCCAAGTGTGGAGGATAGATAGGGTATCGTATCGATCGTGACGTGGCAGAAGGTGGGTGCGCTGGACGACAGGGAAGGAAAGAAGAAAGACAAAAACATGTGCATAGATCGTGTCATAAGGTCAACTCAGCCCACGCCCCTGGCCGTCTCAGGCCTCCCTGGCGGCATCGCGAGGGCGACGACCTCGGCCCGCTCCAGCAGTCCTGAAAAGAAAGGTTAGATGGGTCAACTTTGGGAGGCTGACAAAACTTACATGCTGATTCGTCGGGCCACGGTTGCAAGCCCAGTATCGTTCGCGGCCTCGCGTTCAGCACGTTCCAGTGCCGCGCGCCGGTCTTCTTCGGTCTTACGGATGACCTCCTCCTGGCTCGGCGGCAGACGCTCATTTTGAATATCCACCATCCGCGCATCCTCGAAGTTGGTAATAGCCTGTTTGATGCCCTCTGCACCCAGCATGAGGGTGCCAGCCGGAAGACGACCGCCGGCCGCTGTCTTCAGTTCCGACACACTCTCAGACTGCTCGCGCAGCACTTGGAAGACCCGGGAGAGACGGCCAATGGCAAGAATCTTGTTTTTGATTGCCCGCCGCTTGAACTCGCTGACGTCGACACCAGCTTCGGGGATGGGCTCGATAGGCTCGGGCGGACCAGGAGGGGATGCGGACGTCGGCGTGTCGTCCTCCAATTCCTCTTTGGAGCAGGTGTTGAGGATGGCGATGAGCATGTCGGTGATCTTCTCTCCGACAAACGGCAACGACCAGGTGAAGACATCCATGAAATTTGGCAGCCAGTACGGGTGTGGAGTGCAGTTGAATTGCCGGATGTTCATCACGTTGTTCTCGTACTTGAGAACGGCCGCCTTGTTATTGTATACATCGAGGTAGTTGGGCGCACTGAAGATGGTCATCACACTAGGGAAGCCGGTCGTCCGCGTCTTTCTGTACATGCGGTACCCGGCGTCCTGCGCCTCGTGCGCTCGGATGATGGACAGCAGGTTGTTCTTTTCCAAAAACGCGCAGGCGGCCGGATACGAGAAGAAGTAGGAGCAGCCACGAACGCTGTTATGGATGAAAAAGTCACCCGTCTTCTCTTGCCCGAATTCCTCCAGAGGGTCTGCCCAGAGAATGTCGCACATGAGCCCATGCGTCGGAGGTTCTCGGAAGCGATCGATCTAGGGCAGCGGTCAGTGTGAATCACGCGACATATAGTTGCGCTCTACATACCGCCTTGATGTCCTCCAAAGTGTGCAGTTCCGGGCTGAGACCGCCGTGGATGCAGAGGAACTGTTTGTTCATGACCGCCGCCAGCGGCAGGGAACAGAAAGATTCGATGCAGGCCTCGTAAATCCGCTCGCTATACTTGTGCTTGCATTCCAGCTTGAAGGTGAAGTAGTCCGTAAGATGCCGGCACTCGTGATTACCGCGGAGCAACCACAGCGAATCCGGGTACCAAATCTTCAAGGCCCAGAGATACAGGACACACTAGACGTTGTGAGAGATGAGAAGATGAAAGGGCCGGAGCCACATACCTCGATGCTGAAGTACCCACGATCCACATAATCTCCCAGGAACAGGTATCTTGTTTCCGACGGGTCGCCACCGACCTCAAACAATTTCATCAAATCGTAATATTGGCCGTGGACATCGCCACAGACGGTGATGGGCGCATCCATCTCGAGCAGGTTCGGCTCGGACTTGAGAATCTGTGTACCTGCGTGAATGATCCATAGCGCCTGATCCTCGGTGAGACGGCCTTCGCGATAGAGGTGCTGTTTCAGGTACTGGAGGTTTGGCTTGGAGGGGTCATCGGGCGACCAGAACATGTCGTCCGGGGGTGTGCTTAGAGCGGGAGCTTGGACCTCTGGGCAGCACAGACATCCGTCAGCGATGGACTTTCTTGCAAAAGCGACCGAGGGGTGCTGCAGGCGTTGTTACCTTTGACCACGCGCTCCAGCGTCGACACCTGGGAGCCATCCTCCATCGTGTGCAGGGAGAAGTCGATCTCTGGGACCGGCTTCTTGTTGGCCACGGCATGTGCGAGAGTCCGATCCATGTTGGATGGGCGTTAATGGGGAGGGGGGAAGTTGAAAGGGCGATCGGAGATGGGGAGGCGTGAAGAGAGGGGCGAGAGAGATCGCGCGGAGACCCAGTGGCCCGGGGGAGTGTTCAGCGCAGGATGGATCTCCCGGGGGGAGGAGGGATGAAGAAGGAGGGAAGAAGACCAGGATCAGATGCAGAAAGTCGATGGATGGCAAAGGAGAAAGAAGGTCGCGTGGAGGGGCGAAGTGTGTTGTGAAGAGAATCAAGCACAAACAGGAGAAAGCCCAAACCAAATCTCAGCCCCAGGCCCCAACCGCGGGAAGATCTGCACCGGACTACGGTACACAGGGCATCCATCCGATCTTGCTATTGCCCTCGCTATTATTGTGAGTACGTACTCTCTTCTATTCATGTACAATATTCCATTAACTCTCTATACTTGTCATGGTGACCTCGGCCATCCAGCTACTACCCGCTCGGCGTTACACGGCAGTTATTCGGTGAGACCCTCCAGTCCCAACTAGAACAGGAATATATAGCTACCCATGAACACCCTGCACTTGATCCTAAGAAACCATGTATCTGTGGCTGGTTCTCGCCCTCTCTGTGACCGGAGTGTCATTTACCACTCCATGCATCTACCAGTCCTACAAATGCGGCTCGGCTCTGGCCGCTATTGACGGTAAAACATCGCCATTCAGCTCGCGGACCTGCTGAATTGACTACCAACCAGGCTATACCGTCGCCGAACTGGTCGCGGCCGTCAACCAGACTCTCACAATTCCCCCGCTCACTTCCACGCAGCTCCTGCAAGTGCTCTATCGCTGCATTGATATCAAGGGCAGCATCACCGGCAACTCATTCTGTATCTCTGAGTGTTTGGCTTCGTCGAATATGACCATGGACGACCAGTGCAGCATAACCCCGCCGACGAATGGGACAGTCACCGTCACTGTCACTACAACCGTCACGAATCCGGTCTCGCCATTCTGTTTCACTCAGTGTCAGACGTTCTGCTTCGGCAATCATGATTGTGACTTGAGATTGGCTCCCATAGCTGCTCCTGCTACGGTGACTCTACAGTAGTGCTGATTTGTGAAACATTTTATTACCGATTTTTTTATATACCCCATGGCGATGATGAACTGTATATGCGTAGTCCATTCCCAACGCGTTTGATTGAATGGATGATATCGTGATATTGCTGTTCGGAGGACACTGTATGAACAATTTCAACAGCAAGAGATAAGACGGTTGTACCAAATAGAGATTGAATTAAATATTGACTACCTAATGTATCCATAGGCATTGGTCTCAAATCTCTGCTTTCTTCTCTCCAGTACCCCCTCAAAAAGACAACACTCAACCAAATAAGCCAACAAGGATAAACAATGAGCGAATACCTCCTGATCCTACCGAAATTGACGGCGCACAGACGGCCTTTTGGTCAAAAGTGAGCGGACTCAAAGGGGAGCCCCGACGGGGGCAGTGCCACGAGGAGCGAAAGACCAATTCCACAACATCCAGGCAATGACCACATTGGTCAGTAGCCAGTCCAGCAATTCATATAGTGAACCACCGGGGATACTACCCGGGGCAGGGTGCTACATGATACATTGGTCGTTGCGCGTGCCGGGCTTGGTGTCGCAGCCGGCGAAGCAGTAGGAGTTGCCGGTGATATCGCCTAGAATATCGTAACAGTGGAATAGGGTTGCGGACAACTGGGCGGTCGTCAAGATTGGGATGGACGCTGTGTCATTGACGGCTGCTAGCAGCTGGGTAGAGGTGTAGCCTATGGATTGTAAGAGAAGTGAGTCAATGATATCGAACTATAATGGGACATCCCCTACCATAAGGAGCAGCAAGCAGCACAGAGCCGCACTTCAGCGACTGGTACTCGCAATTGGCAGCTTGCTGGGCATGCACTCCAGCCAGGAGGAAGCCGAAGAAGGTAACAAATTCCATCATTTTGGCAGAGGCGGTGCTGATCAACGGTTAATCGACTTTGAATCTGGCAGATGCGCCGGAACAGAATTGATGCCAGTGATGGCAACGGCCTTTTTATAATTAGCCATAGCTGTCTAGCCTGCGCCATTTCGGCTTTCCATGTCACACTCAAAATACAATTGTCTCGGAGGTTTGGGTTACTTTTGGCCTACCCTGTCTGTTGGTTTGTTCTTCATAAGAATGTTGAAAATGTACCGAAGGCTTGTGAAGACAATTTGAAGTTGGGTTTAACTTTAAGGTTGACGGCTTACGGACCGATGGGCTGTCAATTCAACTCGTTACACCGGACCAGGCACTTCACATGCATCAATAGGTTATTGCAACGTTGCACAGCCAAGATCTCCATGGGGAAGCCTCGTACTTCCTCGTCGGGGGGAATTGATGTAAAGTTCAGAAGGATAGCGCACCTAAGTCCACGCCTGTTTCTATCTGTTTCTATTAAATCCCTCAAGTAGATTTCCCCAAACTAAAGTTGATCTCAAATTAATAAGAATCTAATAGAACGATGCATTGCAGTGACGGCGTCTATGCATAGGATGCAATGGTTCCCTAGAGTCAGAGGCGGCGGCGGTTGTTGTATATAGACAGGGCCGGCAGGGAGTGAGTGATAGTTGACCGTCAAAATCACTTGTTCCCCTATCCTTAAAGAGCGGCGGATCGGTCAGGGCGTCGATCGTAATCGGAAGAACTACTCATGTGGTGGTGGTACCCGACGCGCATAGAGCTAAAGTGGGCCTATTTGTGGGCTCACCAATCTAGCAGGGTCTAATAGATTTCGCGACACGTACTACTATGTAGGGCTATGCACGATGAAGGGCGTCCTTACAAGCGAGGTGTCCCGTGTGTAGGTTTTCCCCTCCCTAAGGAAATTTGGCACAGGATCCGTGAACCCGCGACTGCAGATACTCTCCACTATGGCGATATGTGAGCGTCTTCCTCAGCGGTTCGATCACTTTACTCCACAACACAGCCACTCGGCAAAAGAAGGGGAAGCCGGCTTGAACGGTTCTCGAACCATTAATAATAATATATTGTTTCTTCAAAAATATTTTTAAAAGCGCTAGGCTCAAAGAGGATTAGGTAACTTTTTCAAGTTCATGTACAATAATATAATTATAGCAGGTCGTTCTGGTTCTGCCCAGCCTAATGGAGATGCGATCCAAGAGTCACTATGACGAAACAGAAATAGACCGTCCTGTAGCAGTCTGGTGTTCACCTTCTGCTAATTCTCTCGTACTTTCTGACCCTTCCTCAATCCTGCTGAAAGTCTTTCGGTTTCTCACATGAGATAGAACGATATTATCAGAGGCGGGCTTGCGGCCGAAAATTGAACCCCACAGTTCTCGACATGGCCCCAGGGAGGTGGTGATATAGACGACGCAGTTCCAAAATCCTTGAAGCGGAAGGACCAGTGCCTCAAAGTAGCACAATGCGAAGCTGATGTCGCCTGCACAAACGAGAGTGTAAACTCGGTTGATTGTCGAGGGGACCTATGCAGTAGAAAGGGATTAGCCTAGATATCTCGGGTTGGGCGCTTGTGAATGGTTAATTACCCAGGTAATGAGCAGTGCAACGAAGAAAAGCATTGCACATTTTGTATAAGCCCACGCGGCTGCATCCGAACTGGACATCTGTGCGCTGGTATTGACAGGCTTGGTTTGCGCGTGGTCGACGGATGAGACGTTGGCTGCATATTGGGCAAATCCTCGGCCTTGCGGGAAATCGTCCTCTCCTAAGTGAGACCGGGGGCTATCACCGAGCTTGTCCATCGTCTCACTAACGATGTGGACCTCCGTAGTTTTCATGCTCATGACAGTGGGCTGACTATGCGAAACCAGACTTCGGAGCTGTCTGCGTTTTTGATAAATTTCTGCTCCAATGGAGATGTAAATGAAGCCTGCGGCAACGAAAATCAACCTATAGCATGCATGAGACTCTGCCACATTTCCCATTCTTCGAGTTCACTCACCAGACAGGTCCATAGAAGGTGGCAATTCGAAGCATGTCCCAATCCACATCAATCCAACACCAAAGCTGTTTTAATCAAAAGTCTGTCAGTTGGTGGAGTCAATTTTCATGGGGTCTTTGTGGTAGGCTGACTGTGGCGGGCCCGTAAATTCTTCCTCGTGCCTCCGTTCGCAGAAAGGCGTAAATGATAGCCGGAATGAACGGAATCCCGTAGCAAAGAAGTAGGTACTTCCCCTCTAGGCTCCGAAGCTGGCTGGATGAGAACCGATGGCGAAAGGTCAGCCAGACATTACAGGCCATTGCTAACGTCCAAAGTGCATCTGCTGGCATAAACCTTTGGTATTCATCAATACGGATATCAACAATTATGGACCTGGTACTTCAGACTCACATCTGAATCAAGAACCCTTGTGTCTGACACAAGGCAGTATCTCTGCCCGCCTGAATACCAGACAAGGAGATGAGTGTGGAGATGTTGGCAATGATGTTCCCCCATGATGCATAGAAAACCATGCGATTGATTGGCTTGTGAAATGATGCAGATGCAGTATAAGTGCCAATGACGAAAAGAGCGCCGACAACGGAGAGGGATGAAGTGACTCGTTCAGTGATTTCGATCGCCCTGTTTTGGCTTGGAGTGAGAGACATGGTGAAAGGAGAACGAGTGTGTGCAACGAAACAAAGGACCTGCTACCGGGCCGCCCTTTTTCATTGAGATCTGGGATATGAAAAATAAAGTACCACTTAAATGGAAAAGAAATTAAAAGAGGAGGCGAAAGGCGTCCTGAATTCACTAGCGCCAGGGTGCAAAGATCTTCCAGGCACGGATGGCGAAAGGGGAAATGTCAGTGTGCCGACGGCTACTGAATAATGTGTTGCTACTGTAACGAACTAATGAAAGAGAAAGCCAGCAGTGATCAGAGAGGCTCGTGCACGCTTTGAAATTATGGCACGTACGCTCAGACACGGACTAGGAGATGTTTTGTTGAAGCGGAACCCACAGACTACTCCACTCAATGCCGCCTATCCAGGGTACAATCTCGTTGGCGGGTAAAGCGTGAACGGGGCCTAGTCCAGTTCTGGGTAATGGTTTGGTACGAACAAAATGGACACCGGGGAACCTTCATGACATCCGCCCGAGCATATTTTTAACTTCGTATTCCATTCTCCAAAAACGGAAGAAATTACTGAGGGCAAATGCCGTGAAAGACTCTAAAGAACCCTGCTTACTCGATCATGAGAATTCTGTCTGTCTACGAAGAATTCAGTTCAGCCAGGAGGCAAGAGGGCAAAAATGAGTTTAGAATTACTAGTTTCCCGACGCAAAGGGTAAAGTCGGTACAATCTTGGTACGTGCGTACAACACATGCCTGCTCATTCGTAGTATTGCGGATTAGCTCCCAGGTCTAGGAGTAACTTCAGCCATCATGAGCAACCCATTGAAAGTCTCCTGGCCGTCGTTGTTCGAAAACCTTTCCTTCCAAGGGTCGTCGGCTAAAGTTAGAGTCGAAACCCGCCTACATGATTGCCGACCATGGCAGTATCTTTTCCAAAAAAGGTTTTCTGATGTTGGGCAACCCCAGAAGTCAAGAAACCATGTCGATCGCGCTAGTTTTCTGGGTCGGGAAAGGATTATTTAGCAGCGGCCGGACATGATCCGTGGGCCGCTCCATTGGACCAGGATAAGCTTCGCTCCACCACAAATAGTTCAATTTTACAGGCTGGTCGATTGCCGCAAGGTTCTCTGGCGGCCATGTGTTGTAAAACCCGGTGTCAGGGGGCACACACGTTCGGCCGTTTTGGTCGGACTTCCTGCGATTTGTGGCTAAAGATCGCCTTTTGACATGGACTTTGGCGCAATTCACCCCGTGAAGAAACTTGCATCGTACTCCATGAGCATCCACCATCTGTCAACGGGAGGGAGTACGCGGCCTCGGAACATGCGGTGGAACGCCTGCCGCCTGGATCTCCGGGACCCTCTTTCGAGTCATTTTGGCGCCAGGGAATTGGTAAGCGGCACATTATCCTGGCATGTGTCGACGATCCGGTACAACTGAGATGATTCACAGACGACTAGCGCAGCCCTCCGGGAAAGAACAGACAAACTAGGGGAAGATCAACGAGGGAATTCGCACCAGGATGATTACGCATCCACGCCATCGCGCTGTGGCCAGGCTAGCAGCGATCGGGATGATTTCCCTTTGCGGGGGTTTTGCACTCCAACCAACACAAGAGAGGGGTGGTACTACCAAACTCTCCGCAGCTTTAATTTTTTGGCTGGATTGGGTGTCGCCAACTACCAAAAAAGGCAGGTAAGTCTACGCTTGGTGATTATTTATTGTTATTTTATGTAGCCAAGCCTCCCAAGGTCTTTCCATGAATTAATAGCACTTTCCAACGAACCACGTTGTCCAAACCGCCTTTTGCGTCGGTGACTGTGTCAGACTGGGCCATCGACTGACCACATGAACCTCGCTAATTTCCAGTTGCAAAGTTTATCCCATTCCTCTTTTCTTCCCAAACGCCATGATCGAATAGGATCAGCAATGCTCATCTAACCTCGTCCTTGAAAACTGAAGACGATAAAGGCTTAGAATTCCAATCGGTCAATAGTCTCCTTGGACTATCGTACGGCACAATTATTATTATTATTATTATTATTGCGGCGGTCATCCCGTGTCTGGCTCGAATTTCGCACTATGTAAGACATAGACCCACCAGTTCATTAGTCATGGAAATTGCTACCATGCTCGTCGGCAAGGTAAAATCCCGGACTCTAAGCCAGATTATAGTCTAGATCCAAACAATGGTATCCATTGTTTTTTAAATCTTCGGTGATCGGCAATGCAAGGTCACATTGGGCAAAACGGTCGCCATTCAGGCTAAACAAGGCTATAAACATTATCACCTCCTGGCCTGCCTGATCGAATTTGGGATCAAGCTCCGTCATGTAACTTCCTTTTCGTTGAATTCACCTGGGGGACGGTTTTGGATTCCCCTTAAAATCATCATTCACCCATTCAAGAAACTGCGGCAACTGTTGTAGATGGAACTCCATTGCTGTGTGCCACACCCCGGCATCAACTCGGCTATCAGTTGAGTAGGGCCTTGAAGAGCCCTGGGAGAGCGTTCTGAGGCCACGGAGTCTTGCTCGCTTGTTCCACCCGACGTCGAATTGGGAGTATCGGGGCCGACAAAATGATATGACAGCTCGTGCCGCCTCCATGCCAGAAATCTTTCAACAGCAACTTGCAACCAGGCGGGCGGATTGAGCAGTTATACGGTCGCTTTCATTGAAAGTGACGACGACAGCCTACCTCCTAATAAGCCTTGGCTCAATTGGGCCCGTACATGCAAGATTCGCGCTGGTCGCCCCTGTGATCTAGTCCATACCATGTCTTCAAGTATTCGGGACGTGGGTTTTGTGGATATGCACGAGAAGGTGTACAAATGGCCATTAGCCTATGGCTAAGCAACAAGAGGATGAAGAGGCGGGTAGTCTCAACTACGAACACTTGGATATCGGATATGGAGGGTCTATGCATGTGGTTGCTCACGAAATTCGGTGCTCCCAAGCCTTGCTCCCAGAACGAAATCCACGTGTATTGCGCCAGACTGCGCAAAGAGATCAGAAATCCCCAATATCACGTATATCTTAAGGCGCAAGTTCTGGGCAGGTTTGGACTTTTCTCCTTGAGCGTGGCGCTGATGTAAATTCTCGGAGTGTTACAGGCGATACTCCACTGCATTTGAGTATTCTGGAGTACTTTTCTCAGAGCGCGAAAATCTTCCTTGAGCATGATGCCGATGTACATGCCCGGAACGATGAAGGGCATTAGCCCTTGAGAATAGCAATTGGGAACAAAAGAGCGCCTTTTGTCAGACTTCTTGCTCATGGAGCCGATGCGACTATTGTGGACGATAATACTGGAAACAACATTCTGAATGTGGTCGGGCTGAGCGTCTCAGAAGATGAAAATAATCTGGAGATCATGACAATGCTCCTTAAACACGGCACAGATTTGAACCACACGAGTTACAAGGGCATGACCACATTGCTCTATGCTACTTCTCCTGAGGTGATGCCAGCGGACTTGGATGAGGATCTCCACGAACGGAAGCATATCTGTGGAGCCGACGTGAATGTCGAAACTGAGGAAGAGACCACTGCCCTACATCTCACGATTACGAACGGCCATTACGGCTTTGTGCATGGGTTTGTGGAAATGTTTATTGAGCATGGGATTGATGTGAACGCTGAGCTAGTGGATGGGAGAACTCCTTTGGATATGGTGGAAGACGAGGAGACTCGATTTACTCTCAAATATGAGATCGATTTGCTTCGCCAGCATGGAGCTCGGAATGGAGTCCGAAACGGTGCTCGACAGATGCCTCCGTTCAGTCAAAATATAGAATAATGATGTCAAACCTGAATATATGCCAATCCCAAATTGTATACGTACTTAAAATGTTGGTCTATAGATCTGCCGAGCACGTGAACCCCATCTCCCCTCGTGACCCTCTCAACCCCAAACCAACTCCAACTCCTCCTTTCCCTCTCACACACCTCTCTCTCTACCATGTATGAATCCTACCGTATGTTTCTCGTTGATTTCTCTCAGCGCCCTTTTCCTCCCACTGACCCAACCAACCAGGTCCCCATCCCCTGCTGGCCCAGGTCCCTTTGACCGTCTCACCCTTCATCAACCTCCCCACCTCTGTGACATTACCCTACACCTACAAATCCGTCTCGTCAACCCTCCCCCCATCAGTGACCGTCGACCCCAGCAACCCAGACTCCAAAGCCCGCTATGTCATCTCAAGCAGCGGCGAACACGCAGCACACCCGGACGAGATCATGGCCGCCTGCCAATCTCTCGAACAGCACCTGAAGAAGAACCGCAGTGATGCCAAAGAGGCCATCAAGGCATGGAAGGAATCCATCCAGGAACGAGAGCTGGCAGAGAAGCGGCGTGTTGCGCCCGGGTGGCTAGATCGCGAAGAGAAGTTGTTGCAGCCTAGCAGGACAACGGCGTCCCCCGGCTCACAGGGTAGCCCGGGACCGAGTTTGCTGGACAGCACTTCTGCGGATCAGGGCGCATCCAGTCTGCCGACTATGGTCCCGAGGGATGGGGGAGAGGAGCTGGATCGGGCATTCGGAGGGCTGGGTGTGAAATGAGCCCGAGCTGCTTGGATGGTATGCCCATCATCCAGATTGAAGAAGCCAGCCCATTTCAAAACACACCCAAACAGAACAGCAGCTGGCACCGGAATGTGCTCGACCCCGAGGTCAGTCAGCCATGTCGCGGAGTTAGGCCCCTCAGCTAGACGATGCGCCAAACCGGCTGCACGTCATGTTCACGGAACGACGCTCTATCTATTTGTCCACCCTCATAGTCTGGGAGCGCTCATACTTTGGCAACACTACAGCACAAAGAACGTGCCCTCGTCAGCTCTGTATTATCGTGAAGGCTCTCGGATCATCAACCGGGCGCATTCCCTCGATCCGAGCTAGACTTCCTATGCCAGCTCCTATAGCTGTGATTTGACGCCACTGAGCTATACATATAGTTCCAATTCAATCTTGCCGCGATCGAATACTGTACATCTCTAATCTGTCCTATCTCGACTTTACCTCAGTATCAGGGGGAGCCTGCGTGGGAGAAATACATATCGCCAGAGCACCCAAATAAAATCTCATTGTAGGTACCTTCAACATCTAGCTTCTTCTTTTAACATACGCAAGATAATCTAAATATCATATTGTCCTGTCCATACTACCTACGTAGTTGAGCTTGAGCTCCCCGTCAACCGCAACAGTAAATCCTGCCCAAAGCGGAAAAGCCCCACCTCCAGCTTCGACTCACCCAAATCATGCACCGCGCCTTTTCCTTTTATCTCTTGCCTCAACCACCACAAACCCCAGCCCCCACCAAAAGAAAGAGAAGCTAATTCCCGCGGCCCGACCAATCCCGCCGCAATTTCATCATGGAAACCCTCCGTACCGCCCCAGACACATCCTCCTTCGTGCCTCTCGCCGAGCACCAGTCCCGGACGCCGAGCTCCTTCCACTCCGGCCCGCCAGTGCTACACTACCACAGCGAGCGATGCAAAGTTGTCATTCTCGAGCGCGACCTCCTTGCTACTCCCGCGCTGAATGCGCTGCGCGGTGAGAGCGCCGCCGTGTCGGCCAATGGACAGACGCAGGACGATCAGGATGAGGGCGAGGGAAAAGACATTGCTATTGAGGGGGTGGATGCTTGGGTTTCGTCCGAGTGAGTCTTTCCTATATACTGTGCGAATTGAGCTGCCTACTTGCGTTCTTTCTCAATCTTTTTGTGGCCGGATTAAGCTGACATGCTGGTCAAATCTAGGAAATTCCTACTCTTCTCACCCTCCGCCTCGACAGGCGTCTCAATCCCATATCCCTCCATCTCACTACACGCAATCCAGCGTCTGCGCGTACCTGGCGCAGAAGACACCGAGGTACAGGGGTTATACATGCAGATCGCGACGCCGGACGCTGCGCCCAGCGACGAAGACGAAGAGCAATGCATCACGCTGACAATCGTGCCACCAAGCGAGCCCGGCACCGTGGGTGAGAACACCGCAACAGCGGAACCGACAGTTCTGACACCCTCTGAGGGCGCAACGCCGGACCTCAGCGACGCGCCGACAGAGACACCGACACAGATGCTGTACGCTGCTGTGTCAGCATGCTCGAACCTGCATCCTGACCCCGTGGAGCCCGGCGATGAAGACGAGGACAAGTATCTAACCGAAGAAGAGCATGGGAATGCGCTGTTTCAGGCTGGGTTGATGGCTACGCGGACGACGGATGGTGGACTTCCGCCGCCTGTGGACGGGAGCTCGGGGTGGATTACGGCGGAGAACATGCATGAGTTCTTTGATGAGGAGGGGAACTGGATTGCTGGTGGTGAGCCGCCTTCGCTTCCTCTTGGTCCTGGCGCGGGGACTGTCAGGGCTAGAGAGGAGGGCGATGAGGATGAGCAGATGGAGAATGATGATGAGACGAAGTGGCAGAGGACGGATTAAATAGTTGTTAATTGCATAAAAAGAATTGGAGTTTTGGCTGTTCCATTTTTAACTCGTCCTCTACATTTACACGGAGAGAGAGACAGAAAGAATTCATTTTTGAATTACAACTACCCTAGGATAGAACCATGGATATTGGAGGGAAGAGAAGAAAAGAGAAGAGAATAGAAGCAAAAGCGCACGTTACACGTCAAAGGCGAGCTGCTCCAGCGTCATTATATCAAAACCAAGAAGAAAGAAAGCAATTATAAAGTCCGCCTTGAAACTCCGAGCTGTGGCCGAGGAGCGGAAAACAGAAGAAATAAAAGCAGAAAAAAGCAACTCATTCTTTTAAGAAGCCCTCGCCATCGTACAAACTACCCGGCGTGGTAGCCCCGATGCCTAGACCGATACTCTTCCCTGTCGGAGTAGTGAGGCCCCGTTTTGTCGGTGAGTTCGGAGCACGGCGACTGGCCATGCGAGATGGGGGCCTGTAGTCATCCTTTGCAAGTGAACGAGGCGTGCTCGAGGCGTCATCAGCAGCTCCGCCAGGCGTATGGATAAAGTTCACGGTGGACTGTTTCGGCGGCGAGCCCTGACGAGTAGCATCTTCCCAGATGGTGACGCGGTCTTTCACCCGGTTGCTGTGCACGGGCGACGAGGGGATGAGGATTATTGAGTCGCGGTTACTGGCGAGAGTGTCTTGCGAATCACGGTCTCGACGATAAGAGCGTGCGTCGGTCCTGGACCGGTACAGGGACTCGTTGGACTTGGGGAACTCGTTAGAGGCGAGAGGTGCGCGCGTTGGCGAACCGGATGTGTTGGTGGTAGTCGTTGTCAGTGACAGGTCTGTGGGATTATTAACCTCGGCCACTGATTTGCTGCGAGCGGATCGTGGAGTTGATGGGGGTTGGCTGCGTGGACCTCTGACTGCCGTCTTCCGTGGGCTCCCAGGGACGGGAGATATTGGTGATGCTGCATTCTCGGACATGGTCCATACCGGTGGCACCCTCTCGGGAGAAGGTGTATGGGTTAGGGCACTAACGGGATCGCTAGAAGGCGGCAGAGAGGTAAGGATCACAGGCAGCATACGGTCTTTCTCGACAGGGGGTGGGAGATCAGCCGAGTCGCTGGGAGCGTGTTTCCTCTTCTTTGGCGGGCTCTGCTTGCACGGCTCTTCCGCCAATGGACCAAGTGACTTGGCGACCTGTTGTTGTTTGGCACGTTGGCTGCCGTACTTGCCGAGCTTGGAAGCATTGAGAGGCGAGGTACTATTCGTTGGAGTCTGCGTCTGTGGTGGTCGGTTAATTGCGCTTTCACGCAGATCGACTTCCTCCATCCGGTCGAGATCCTCTGGCTCCTCTTCGACAGTTGGCGAGAACGGCGGTGCTCCGAAGGTCACCGGGGGATGAATCGAAATGCGCACGCAGTTTTGTCTCCTGTGACCCTTTCGCTGCGAGCTCACACTCTTCATTGCGGACGGCGGAGGTCCCCGTTGAGACAAACTGGAACGATGCATTGGGCTTTGAGGACGATGGATCACCGGGTCATTTTGTCGGGGAGACTCGATTGTAGGAAGCACATTTCGATGTGACCCGGGGCCGAAAGGGTCATTTCTCCGCTGCTGTTCACTTTCGTAGACAGTCTCGCATTGGAACTGGCCGAACTGTGGCACAAACGAGCCTACCGAAGAGCGCCAACTGGTAGGACGCGAGCTGTGGAATCCAGATATTGAGCCCGAGGCCGCACTTCGTAAAGAAGAATGCCGATTCAGCGGATTTGATGACAAGGATTCACTGCGGCGTGGCGGCGCACTGTAGCGTTCACTGTTGCTGCACGAATATCGTTCAGTCATACTGCGCCGGGGTGTCGTGAGCTCTATAGACCTCGTGCGGGCAGACTCCGCGATAGAAGAAGAACGGACGGGAAGTAGATGTGATGGCACGGAGCTGTTTGTCGAGATGAAGCTTCTTCGGCCATCTTTGACTCCAACATCGTTGGCACTGAATGGTACACACGTCCCCCCGGACGAGTAAATGGGCGAGGTGAGATCGGTAATCCTGCTATCTTCTAAGATCGAGCTGGCCATGGTATCCAGGCTGATGGAAGATAATCGCATGGTCGACTCATTGGGGGCGTACGTATATCGATTCGGCTGACGTGCTGCTGGCGGTGGTGGAGGAATAGGCTGGTCGGGCATTTCACCCGCCGTCTGGCTGATGATGCTGGCCCCTCGACTCCGTCGAGATTCGTTGTCTTCGAAAATTCTGGGAGGCGGATCGAAGATGCCGTGGGGACCGTGATCTTCCAACAGTGGGAAGATACTGCTGCGGTCCCGTTGAGACGGCAGAGGCCATGCTGGTGACATGGGACGCATACCGCGAAACCCGGTGTCATCTTCGCTAATCTCCGGAGTGTGGTTTGGAGTCCGCTCTGCAGGCAGCTCGAGAGCTCCTTCCACCGCTGATAGAGGCACGTCGTCTTTTGAAAATGATATCTTGGGCGACGGGCTGGGCCATCGGTTGGGGTTCTCGCTCAAGGTGATCAGCGAGCTCAGCCGGCGGTGTTTATGTGACGACCTTGACAGCCGTTTGGAGCGAGAGCGTGACAGGGAGCTGCGAAGTGATCGAGCCTTCTCTGTGAGTAGTGGAAACGACGAGTCCGAGTCGTTTTTGGATCGAAGGAGGCTCTCTCGCGAGGCTACCTCGCCCCATTCTGTAGGTTTGCCGTAGGGCAGCTGTCCATGTTCTCTTAGTGCACTTCCCTCCTCGCGAGATAGCTCCGTCACGGTGTCTTGTCTAAGGGGATATGTGCTGACACGCTGCCCTTCGTTGATGCTGAGCAGCTTCAGTGCATGGCGCTCCTTACGCACTCTGACCCAGACCACGATCCCCACCACTGAGACGACAATGAAGACGGTTGCAGATGCGGCGGAGATGGCGACGACGGCACTCAAGCCCAGTATGAGGGTCATCTTGGCGAGCACCCGTCGAGGTGGTTGTTGAATCCGAGCAAGCGCGTTCGCAGCAGGGATGCTCCCTTTAGCCTGTCATCCGTGGATGTCGAGCAAGACGGCTTGCCCTTGCAGCGTTCGGCGCGTCTTTGCTTTTGTCTGGATGCGAGAAGCAGGAAACACGAGTATCACCCGTGATGAGCACAGCAAAGCCTCGAGGTCGCAATGGGAGAGGGTCAAATTGCCGGGCAGCCACTGCCGTCGTTTGTTATGGCGAGTCATTGATCGGACCGCCATGGAATGTAAACCGCGTCAGTGGCTAGGGCGTGAAGAATGTTGGCGGCCACACTTGGCCCCTCCCCCTTCCATTGCCGCCGGTGACATCGGGTTGGAATCTGCTCATCCTAGTGGCCCGTTACGTGGACTGGGGACTTCTCCCAGTCACTGGAATGAAGCTCTTGTCGTCAGCTTTCATGTGAGACCCTGTTGATCCGGGCCAGCAAGATGAATGGCCGCCATCCTGCTAATTGATCTTTGAATGCATGTTGAGAGCTGCGTAGACGAGGGCTTCATAGCACACAACTTTGCACAGCCAATTTGCTGGACGATTTCAAGATCGCAGCTCTCAATGGCCAAGCCTGCGAGGGTAAGGGAGCTGCTGAGATGACGCCTCGGGGCCCAGTTGCCATAGGTCTGGTCCCGGTGGCCACAGCTCCGCATCGTGGGAGTGTCAGCGGGCAAGACCGCTTAAATCTCCGCTCCGGATCGATTGTCCGTTAGATGTGTCCAGGTTTCGATCCAAGTACATACACGCTGACGTCTACTCGCTCTACACCTGCGCTGACCGGCGTCAACCGAAATCATCGGTCATCTGATCGTGCGAGACCTACATCTTCACCGCCCTCTTCCTCTTTCACTCTTCCACGCATGGAATCACCACCACAGGCAATCCTCGATTCTAGCCGATCATGGCCGTTCGCTTCGATCTTCCCTCCGTCCACGAATGACGTCCTCCTTGCTTGCATTGTGATGCACCGCACATCCCACCTCGCTCCCCGCCAAACTGGCCTGATCGTCTTGCCCTGGGGCACATAGCGTCATTTATCCACAGGAACCACTGGCCAGCAGCCGAGCGACACCGGCAGACAATGTCTTAGCTTTCCCCACCAGGCCAGGGCGTGTCCTATCTTCCCCCCACCAGCGTGGCTCACCGGTTGCTGCTGCCTTAGTGGCGTTATCTTCCAGAACTCGCCCCTCCAGTCCTATATTTCAGTCATCTCCCCATCGCGGCCCCTCGCTGGAAGTTCTTTTATTTATTCCTTATCCTTCAATTATTTCCATCATTGTTGACGCCATGGCTGCCAACCCGATTCAGAACGGACTCTTCGTCCACAACAACACTGCCCCGCCGGAGCACCCCAGCCTGATGAGCATGTTCTCGCTCAAAGGCAAGACAGCCATTGTGACCGGCGCAGGTGCCGGAATCGGTCTGGCGGTCGCTGAGGGTCTGGCAGAGGCCGGTGCCAACGTCGCCATGTGGTATAACTCCAACGCCAAGTGCGTGGAACGCGCCGCCGAGATCGCCTCCAAGTACGGTGTGCAGAGTACGTTGCGTTTCGATTGCAATTTTTTTTTGGTTACCTTACTGACTTCTCCCTAGCCAAGGCTTACCAGGTTCAGGTCACCGACCCCGAGGCCGTCGAGCAGGCCGTCAACCAGGCCGTCAAGGACTTCAATGGCCGCCTGGATGTGTTCATTGCCAACGCCGGTATTCCCTGGACTGAGGGCCCCATGGTCGATGGCCCGCTCGACCACTACCGTAAAGTGGTCGGCATTGATCTTGACGGTACCTTCTACTGCGCCAAGGCCGCGGCCGCTCACTGGCGTCGCCAGAAGGAGGAGGGCACCGACGCCAACGGCAACAAGCTGTCCAACTTTACCTACGGCAGCTTCGTCGCCACTGCCTCCATGAGCGGCCACATTGTTAACTTCCCTCAGATGCAGGCTGCTTACAACGCCGCCAAGACCGGTGTTATCCACCTCTGTATGTTGGACCATGGCCCAAGTACGTCATCGCTTTACTAACTGTTGTCAGGCAAATCTCTCTCCGTTGAATGGGTCCGGTTTGCGCGTGCCAACACTGTCTCCCCTGGCTACATCGCCACAGAGATCTCGAACTTCGTGCCGCAGGAGACGAAGAATATCTGGCGTGACAAGATCCCCATGGGTCGGGAGGGCATGGCCCACGAGCTGAAGGGCGCCTACCTATACCTGGCCTCGGATGCATCGAGCTACACCACCGGCGCCGACATTATCGTCGACGGTGGCTACTGTGCCCCGTAAATAGAATTGTATAAGGGTTTAATTTGCGCATGATCTGAGCACGATAGACGAATGAAATGACCAGAAAATTTCTTTGTGGTTCTTAATATGTCCTCAAATACAAAATCTCCCAACTCCTGGTATGAAACCAATGAAATCCGAAAGGCTTTTTTCAATCCTGTTCCCGGTTGTGTGAGGGATTGCGGCCCTAAAAGCGCCACGCGGTGCCCGACCCGTGCAACCCTCGCCCGAATCCTTGTCGCTGCTCTAGATGGATCCCTTACAGCGATACCGCGTTAGCCCCGATAAGCAAGCCCTCCCCACACCAACCAGAACGAAGTGTCACACCTTAGGTGCAGTCAAGCAGCATGAGCTAGGCTGCTGTCTTCGTGATCATTTTCGGCCGACGGAACATGGCCACTTGGAACCGGCTGGTGTCGCAGGAAGATGTTATCGGCCGCTCCCCCCATGAACTGCTGAACTGCCCAATCCACAAATCGTTCCACAAAAGCGCCAGGTCCATGGGCCTCTCGGATGTAAGCGGCAGGCTCCCACTGCGCCTCAGCGGAGTCGGCGGCTGTCAGGAAGACGACAGCGTCAACGTCGTCGTTGGTACGGGTGTTGGGTGAAGTCGCGTGGGAATCCTCAGCGATTTGGTCACTGCGACCAGGTGGGAGCTCCGCTGGGTTGACCAGTGTTGTATCTTGGCTTGACCAAGTGCCCTGGTTGGATGTGAAACCGCTGTAATCCGGGTCATAGTCGGCGTCATGGTGAGTGTTGCTCTCATCAATCGGACAAAATACCAGAGAGCTCTCAGAACCAGAAGCATGTTCCAAATAAGACGAAGAGGAAATAGAAGATAAAAAAGAGGGAGAGAAAGAGGAAGACGACGATGACGAAGAAGACAGAAACGACCAATCACTCACAGACTGTAGCTCATCAAGCTCATACGTGTTTCTATTCGGGAGATTGTTGATTTTCTGAAAGCGCCCATGTCGCTCACACAGGTTATTATTCCACTGCCGGATCTTGCGGCGCGACAGTCTGTCCCAACGGCGGACTGAACGAATACCTCGCTTGGTGCAGTTCCGGAAGGGTTGGTAGTACACGCATACGATGAAGAGGAAGGCAAAGAGCAGGCCGAACATCGGCATGGCAAGCGAGGCTTTGCCGATGTGCGTTTTTTCAGTGTGTGTGCTATTGTTGGTGAGGGTTGTGTGTGTGTAGTTATCCATGGTGAGCAGAATGATGCAGAGGGAACTGCGAATCGGGAGCTGTGTAGTGTCAGTGTGGCTGGATGTAGGGAGAGAGACGGGTTGGGGATGATAGGCAGGTGTGGAAGGATGGGATCGGTTGTTTCTACTTCAGTGGTTACTACCTGGCAGGCCATTACTACAAGCATCGTTCGATGTTGACTCTATCAGTTGTTTATTGACCAAAAGAGTGACATAGTATGCCTTCCCTTTTAGGCAACCAGTGCCTGAGGCATAATTATGCATACTATTTACCAATTCGAGTCAGCCCTAACCCGCCCTAAACCATCACCAAACGAATCACCCTGACCGCTCCGATGACTCTCTGTGCTATTGTGTTAGTGATCGAGTCACGCCCCACATCAGCCATGCTCCCGCTCAGATGACTCCAGTCACTTGATCGGGACAAAGAGACTTATAAACAATGGACCACCATGATCCATTCACGTATCATTGATTGTGGACGCGTTATTGTGTCTGGAACAGTGAATGTTCGGAATTGACAGTCGCTGCCATCCATGGATAATTGTATCGCGTTCTTTGTTTTGTTGTCAATGAGACACGAATTCACTGCCTTTCCCTCTGGTGTGATATAAGGACATGCCCTGTGGGTCTGCTGCAACTCTGCACACATTGAACCGACATCTATCCAGGCGCTTGGTTGCAGTATGGGAGTTGCTGGTACTATGACCATCACGGAGAAGCCACCAGGCAACCTGGCCCCGATCGACAAGAAGGCCGAGGCGGCTATTGTGGAGGAGCAAGAATGGAAGGAGAGGGAGGAGGGAAAAATGGTCGGCACCGTTCACCTTGATTTCAGACTCATCACTAACCGCCATTCAGCTGAATGCACTCCAAGAAGCACTAGACTGCACCAAGTGTCGCATCGCAGTCACTGAAACGAGCATGACTGCCGACATTGACGCGGGCATCTACATCACCACACACTACCCACCCTTCTTCGCAACCAACCACACAAGAGACGAGTTCATCTCTCCCCTCGACAGTACGACCCGACCCAAGGACCCATCTTACTGGAAACGCATCTCCATCTCCCAGCGCGAACAGTACTATGAGCAAGTCGAAACAAAGCTCACCACAGCTCTCTCCAAAAACCCCAAGCCCGACGCTGAGCTTGCTGTTCTCTTCGCACACTACCAGGTCGACTACCACGTCCGCCAACACTACCTCTCCCGATCGAGTGTGCTAACTCTCTGCCGTGATGCAGAAGACATGCACCAGCTGCGGAGGTGGCAGTGGGACATGGCCGACGCGGACGGAACTGCGCCATCGTCTGCAGACTGCACCTGCTTCTGGCCAAATCAGTGCCGTCACTGGGGGTGGTTCGATGACCAGAACCTCATGATGATGCATCAGGCGGCTATGTGGAGGCGGACATGGAGGGAGCGGCGGCGGCGACTGAAGGAGGCGAGGGCGAGGTGGGCGGCTATTATGGAGGAGCGACGGAGGCAAAGGGAGTTGCTTAGGCTCAGACAGAAGGCTAGCAAGGCTACGCTGACCATCAAGGTGTATTGTCGGGGTGAGTTGTGGGATGTGCGCCAGATGGAGCGGTTCGCGGAGGATGGGAATGTCAAGGGACGGATGGCGCGGAGTTTGGGAGCTTAGGGTAGGAAGTACCTTCAGGTTAGGAGTTACATGACTGAATAAAGGCTTTGATACTATTTCGCATGCTGAGCTGGCTCGTGTTCCCAAGCTGAGGTCTGGACTACAGAGCTTGAGATGGCGATTGTATTAATCCATGTCTCCCGACTTGTGGAAGGATACGTGGTCCTGTAAATGAACGCGTAGATAGAGGCTGGCTAAACTGTTGGGAAAAGTCTAGACTCTAGGAAGCTGTACGTTTCCGCAATGCTCAGGCCATGCAGGATCGAGTGTTTGTATTTGGGAGTATTCGGGCGTAGTCTAATACTCGGAGAATGTTGTTCACCAAACAGGTCTAGGGCGATGCAGTGAAGCTCCAAGTTTCAACTGCTCCGTCTCTCCATGCTGACTGCAGAACCAAATCACTCGGCGAAGGGTTGTTTGCTTGCTGGATGTCTCTACCCATCGGACTCACCGGACTCATCTCGGTTATCCAGTCGGGGATGTGATGTTGCACAAGATGGATTCGGACTGACGCTCAACTCCGCTCTCGTCCTGGTAAGACTTATTGCCGTGGGCGCGTGCGTATGTGTATGTCACTTGCCGGTGAACAGCTCGAAGCGAGCGGGCAAATACCTAGTCGGTCAACTTGAGCTGTCGTCAAGGATGGCGCGCACCGTCCATCTATATAAAAGGGACCATTTTTCCTGTCCGATATCTCAACCCCATCCACTTTCAATACTTACCACCTTCTCGCCAAATAATTACCCCCTCAAAATGCGTCCTTGGACCCTCCTGACCCTCCTCTTCGCCGCCCTAGCAATTGCCTCCCCGGCCGAGACTGCCGCCGACGACGGTGTCCTCGCGAAAGATGCAAATCCCAAGCGAGGACCCCAACCGGGCAAGGGCGGTCCCAATAGCGGGTGCAAACCCCAGTACCATGATTGCTTGAGGGTAAGTGCTGCGTTCTCGAACAACTGAACAGACGTCTAGTCAATGCTAACTCCTAGGGTGCAGCACTGCAACGGCGGACACCGCGAGTCGTGCGAAAAGGTCCGCTTCTCTCGAGTCCCTTTGGGGCCCGAAATCAGAGAATAGACATGCTGATGATCATCCTAGGACTGCCACCGTCATTACTGCTAGTGAGTGGTGGGGAATGGGCGTGGAGGAGTCTTGAACATCGCCCGGCAGTTTTCAACACGCTGAGGATCGTTCCGGAAGCATTCATTCATTGGTGATTAATATCTGATATGAGACGGGAGGGGCATGGATGGCATATCATGTATTTGACCAATACTACGGAGCCCCCGGCTTTCCTTCCTCGGTTTCTGGTCTTGCTCCGAGATCTTCGCGGCCGCTTACTTGATCCAGCCACTCTTCCAATCCAGGGTTGCGACCCACTCTGGCCCCTCCTGCGGCCTTTCCGAAGGGGGATGGGAGTAGGTGCATGTGAGAGTGAGAGTAGGAGTAGATGGACTGTAGAATAAAAGTGCCCGGGAGGGACGTATCTCGCAGGGGAGCAAGTAAGCGTCTGTTGGTCGCGGGTGTGGCTGGCTGCCGGGCGATCAGGACTGGGATTAGGCTGCATTTCGTCACTGCCCGGTCACGACCGCTAAGCTCTTCCAAGATTGTGGCACCAACACCACGCCGATTATTACGATGGACGGGGGGGGGGGGGGAACTCTTCGGAATCCGTCGTTCACAAACGAGTTATTATCATGACATAAATCGTTCCAATCACTTGCCACAATCCATTCTGGACTCGAACGTGGTAGGATACATACCGGGATGCCGGGCATGACGTAACTCGGGCTATCCCGACCGGCCGGAGGCACAAAAATGTCTGTCTCGCCCATTCCAGGGTAAGTCGAGAAGGAGAATCATCGCAGAACCGAATAAGAGCATCGAAAATCAGTCCCTAGGACTAGTAATCCCCGGACATCACTGTCGTCGCCCTCCGTGCCCAACCCACCTCGACCCACCGTCGTCCACCGCAAAAGTGGGTAGTCGCCTTACACCGGTGGGAACCGCTGCTTTATAACGTCGCCTGCGCCTGAGAACTTGGCTCCGCTCACTTCTTCCTTCCATCTTCCTTCTTCCCTTCCCTTCCCAACCCCCCATCCGCACCATCATCGCTATCACCACCACCACCACCATTGCCCCCCGCCTGCCGCATACACACACCATGTCGAAGACCAAGGTTCTGCTCGTCGGCGCAGCGGGTGAGACCGGAGGGTCCATCGCCAACGGTTTGCTCGAGGACGGCCATTTTGTACGATTGCCCTCTCCGAGTCGTGCCTCTTCCATGCTAATCAGGAACAGGAGGTATTTGCGCTCGTCCGTCCCACCTCCGTCCACAAGCCTGCGGTCATCGGGCTGCAGGAGCGCGGGGTCCAAATCCGCAAATGCGACCTGAAGGCCTCGGAGGAGGAACTGATCGAGGCTCTGGCCGACATTGAGGTGGTGATTAGCTGTGTCGGGCCTGCCGAGCAGCATGATCAGATCCCGCTAGCCAAAGCCGCCAAGAAAACGGGCGTCAAGCGATTCGTGCCCTGTGGCTTCATCACCGTGGCTCCCCCGGGAGGCGTCATGTGGCTTCGCGATGAGGTATGACCGAACAATCTAGGGGGACGGAATCGCATCGATCAACTAACGAAACTTTTACTCTTTACAGAAAGAGATTGTCTACAACCAGATCCGTCAGCTCTGGCTGCCATACACCATCGTCGATGTCGGCTGGTGGTACCAGCTCGCCTACCCTCGCCTCAACTCCGGGCGCGTCGACTATGCCATGACATCCGGGAACGATGAGATCATCGGAGACGGAAACACGCCCACGGCACTGACGGACCTGCGCGACATTGGCCGCTACATGGCCAAGATCATCCTGGATCCGCGCACGCTGAACAAGATGGTGCTTGCCTACAACGCCGTGTCGACCCAGAACAAGATCTACGATCTCATGGAGGAAATCAGCGAGGAGAAGATTGAGCGGCTCTACGTACGTGCACAGACCACTCGGCCCGATTCCTCAGAAATCCCTTAACTAACCCTCGGAGCATAGGTCCCCGAAGAGACAATCTGGAGCCGAGTGTTGGCTGCCCGCCAGGCCAGCGAAACATACCCCTTCGACCCGATCAAGTTCATCCCCCGCTATCTGGCCGAGTACCAGCTGTCGTGGGGCATCCGCGGTGACAACAACCCGGAGTATGCCAAGTACCTCGGCTACCTGACTTCCCAGGAGCTGTACCCGGATTTCAAGCCTGCGGATTTCCGCGAGTATCTCGAGTCGGTTGTGCGCGGTTCAGCCAAGGGTGTGTACACGGACCGGGTGATTTCCCGCAAACACCAGCGCCACTTCCCGCGCACCGAGTCCAGCGACTCGCTGTACACCCGCATTTTCCCTCGGACGGAGTCGAGCGACTCGCTCATGTCGCGATGAACTGAATGAATATTTCTTTTCTCTCAAACGCATACCCGGTCTCTTTTTGTTTTGTCGCGGCGAATGTCAGTCGTTTCGGATAACCCGTCCACCCATTCTTGGTAATGTTTGACACATTTACACGAATTTCTCTTCGACGGGATAAGCCTATTGCGACCCTGATTGGGGGTTTTTTTTGTTATGGCAAAGGCGTTTTGATTTTTCTTTTTCTTCTTTTGTATTTTGCAGTTTTCGAAAAGACAGTTAAGTATAGACGCTGGCCACACTGTGCCCTAAGAGGTGGGCCTCGGTGTGCCATGGTATAGATCTGGTGGCTTTACGACTTTTCTTTTTTTTATTTTGATTGCCGGGGAACTCGTTGCATATAGAAATATATCCCACTCTGCACTCATCTGGTGCCCTCCTTCCTTTCGCTCATTCTGTTTCTCTATCGCGCCTACCGTGACCATGGATCCGTTCTTCCTCTTCGTTCCCTTTCTCTCGCCGCCAATCTCTCGCTCTATACGGATCGTCTTTTCTTCTCGTGACGATGGGACTCGGTTGCCCTCGACTGGAGAAGATGATCCAGCTCCACCGCCAACCCAGCGCGCCTGATCTCCCTCCATCACCGCATGCCCAGACCGAACCAAGCGTCGCGCCAACTGTGACTGCAGTTCATTCCGATGTCATACCAACGGGTTTCGCGGACATCTACGACGAACTGACACCTCGGCAGGTCGGCATCATGAGTCTGTACTGGATTCTGCATCTAAGATGAGCGCTAACGGAGGTATAGCCATTGGGTCGGCGATTGGGACGGGGTTGATGATTGGCACGGGTAGGGCACTGTCAATGTATGTGAACCCGTCTTGTCTCGGGCGAACTTGGCTGATATACCATGATCAGAAGCGGAGTAAGCCATCCTGATACATTCTATTCAACACACTGACGCGATGCAGCCCGCAGCCGTAATCATTTCTTATACGGTCGTTGGGTTCACGGCCTACCTGGTTCTCTCGGCCCTGGGCGAAGTCGCTGCTTGGTTACCGAAACCCTTCACTGTTGCCGATCAAGCTGTTCGATTCTGTGACCCGGCACTTGGATTTAGCCTGGCTTCGATGTGAGTGCCATGCTATTCCATGGTCTTGAATCTTCTCTTTGACGACGGCATCGACAGCTTCTGGCTTAAATATGCCGTTGTCACGCCGAATCAGCTTACAGCCGCGACGTTGGTGGTATCATATTGGCTTGATGCTGAACGAGTCAACCCTGGGATCTGGGTTACGTGCTTTCTCGTTATTATCACAGCACTCAACTTCCTCTGCCGCGGCCTCCCCAGTCAGATGGAGTTTTATGTCTCGTGTTTCAAAATCGTGATGATGTCCGGCCTCATGCTCCTCTCCTTCGTCATCGCGTTGGGCGGTGGACCAGATCATGACCGCAGAGGGTTTCGATATTGGAAATACCCCGGTGCATTTGGGCCGCCCAACGAGAATCGCCTGATTGAGAAGTTCTATAGTACCTGCGGCACGGTATCCTCCGCGATGTTCGCGTATATCGGGAGTGAGAGAACGGGGATCATGGCACAGACCCCGTGTTTACACAAGGCGACTTCGCGCGCGATCAAGTATACCTTTTACCGAATCTTGGTCTTTCATCTTCTCGGGATCACGCTTCTGGGGATGATTGTTCCGCACAACTCGGTGACCTTGGCGTTCCACAGCGCAGCCTCCAAAGACGCCGCTGCCTCGCCGTTCGTTGCCGCGATATACCTGGCGGGCATTTCCGTCCTGCCAGACATCCTGAATGCCTGCATCCTGATGTTTACTCTGTCGATTGCAAACTACGATCTGTACCTGGCGGCCAAGGCCATGTGTGACCTCGCCTTGAAGGACCGAGCACCCGCTTTCCTGTCGCGCACCAACCGCAGAGGCATCCCCATCTACGCACTGGGCGTATGCTGCGCCGTGACGATGCTGGCATACCTGAATATCGGCCACGATTCCACCGTCGTGTTCGGGTATTTCGTCAACAGCGTAACGATGCTCGGTCTCCTAACCTGGATATCCATTCTCATCACGCACATCTCATTCGTGCGAGCCCGCAAAGCCCAAGGTGTCCCCGACGAAGCGCTGATCTGCAAAGCCCGCTTCGGCCTTCCCGGAACCCTTCTGGCTCTCATCCTGTGTCTGTTCATCTCGGTGACTATGGTCGTCGACTCGTTCAAGCTCGAGGCCGGTCGCCGGCACTTTAACTATAAATCTTTCGTGGCGTCGTACCTCGGTATCCCGCTGTATTTCATTTTGATTGTTGGGTACAAGCTGGCCATCAAGAATAAGCATGTCGCCCCCAAGGAAGCGGATCTGTGGACGGATAAGCCGATGTGCTCGGGGGAAAGAAGAGACTGAAATTGTCTCTGCCCTGAGACGTCGTCCGTGGCACTCCGTGGATCTTTTTTGGTTGTCTGGTTGAATTGTCAATTGTTTTCTTCTGTCCATCCCAGAGAGACCTGGGTTTGACATCATCGTAGTCCATGGCTTCGGGTGGGTAATTGGATCCTTTCATATGCATTTCATCTAAATTAAGCGCCCCCAGCACACCCGTGGGCCAAAAGCAGACCCTGTCGTATCGCAGGATTCTGCCTAAATGCTTAAAGCCGCTGCCGGCGTCTGTTCATACCCACTAGGACGGACATAGTCGGCGCTAGTTAGCCCTGAGTGCAATCATCCTCCCCACCATCACATGCCGTTGAGCCAGTCCGGAATAGGCTACATTGTACGAGTGGACCGAATCCATTAATTAATACTTTACGTTGCTTGGCTTATATTAGAGGGGATGGTAAGACCGGGGGGTCTCTTCTATCTGAGACACATGTGATGTGACGGGGGTGTCGTCTTCCGGGGCATCACATTATTCTTATTCGTTTCATTATTTTAGGTTATGCTAGCGAGGTGTTGGGATCCCCCAAAGAGAAGAATAATTGGGTTCATGATTGGGGCCGGACATGGTGACTCGTCGGCTCTCTGATAAATGTTGAGAGACATGTGAAGACAAGATGGTACTTCCCCCCTCCTACTAACTTGTACGGGCCCCCAAGTACTCCCCTCGTACTTACCTAATTCCCGCTCCACTTTCACGTGTATCTCATTCCTCCGTCCATCATTTGCTTCGCTGACCCGCCATGGAAAGAACACCTGCCCAAAACACCACTAGTCTATCTGCCGTGAGCGAGCCCGCCACTGCTCTTGCTGCCGCTCCCCACGCCACCGCCCCAGCTTCTTTGTCCGCTGCGACGGTCTTCCCCTCGTTGGAAGCCTCTTATACCGCCAGCCCGTCGTCCTCGGTGGCGCCGATATCTCCCCGTCTCCCTCCCCAGAATGCCCTCTCCTCCGTGATGGACGCTGAGAGCAACCCACCGCCACCCACAGACGATCGATCCCGTCGTGCTGCGAGCGTTTTGTCCATGGATGATCTCGAGGCCGCGCAAGCGCTGGAAGGTCTTCGTTCAGGTATGTCGCCTTCATAATACGAAGCTCGGCTCGGTGGACGGCAGGTCCTGTCCGGCTGTTTCGCTCGCTTTGATCCGATGCTGAACAAAAAAATTAGATTTCGTCCGATCTCCTGGAGCACACCGGCCGCCCGTCCCGACTACTGCTTCACCAGACCCTCAGCAACCAGAGCCGCTGCTATCCCTGCTGACAACTTCGCACCCGCTAATCTCCTCTGCGATAAACGGTTCTGTGTCCGCGTACACCACCTCGAAATCGTATTCTCCTCGTTTCAAGTCCAGCGCCGAGTTCATCGAGCGTACCATTGGTTCTCCCGTCGCAAGCACTGTCAATACAGTTGGCCGCAAGACCGGTGTTGAGAGCGGTCTGCGTTGGGCACTACAGCGGCGAGAAGCATCAGCCGACGCAAAGCGCAGCAAGCGGCGTAAAGTGAACGGCGTTGCGTCCCCATCCGAGATGGAGATAGAGCAGGGATCTGGCGACTCGACGCCCGCGACGCGGACTCGGAGCTCGTCAGATCTGTCCATGGCCGAGACGCTGCCTCCATACGATGAAATGCGATCTCCGCACTACGAAGAGAAACCAAAATCCGGTCGACAAATCCCGCCGACATGGCAGAGCCGACTGGTCATTTCGACGTCAGGGCTTGGAGTCGCCATGAGCGAGGAATCCCTGCGCAGTTTGCAGTACTGTCTGACTTGGCTGCGGTGGGCCAATGGCCGACTCGGGAAAGCGATTGTGGCTCTTCAGAATGCTGTGAACGAGTGGGAAGCTCACAAGGAGCGGCAAGGGCAGCCGCAGCATGATCTAGAGGACGGCGCTAATGGCGAGAGCGCATCTTTGCTGCAGCAGCGCATCCAAGCCGTCAAGGCGGACGTCCTATCTACGCTGAAGCAAGTTGTGGATGTCGTTTCCAAGTATGCCGGAGGCGCTCTACCCGAGAACGCTCGCCATCTCGTCCGTCGGCACCTGACATCGCTGCCACACCGGTTCCAGGTCGCATCGAGCTCCCAGCCGCCGCCTGACTCGCCCGCTGCGTCTTCCGATGACACCATCAACGCCCATCGGATATTAGTTCTGGCTCAAGAAGGGCTTGACATGATGGCCCAAGTGAGCGGCGTCGTCAACGACACGCTCGTCAGTGCCGAACACTGGTGCGAGCGCCTCGGCCGCAAACGACCAGAGCGAGACACTAAATCCCAGGAAAAGGCTAACCTGGCTTCTGAACTCGCGCCTGATATGGCTACTCCTGATGCCCGGCTCTATGGTATGGATATCAAGCAGCCTCTCCTCTCTGAGCCTGGACCTCAGGAGGACGTCCGGATGGCTGGGATGGAACAGACATGAACCAACCGGTCCGCCATTACGTCCTTCCTATCCTATGAACACTCCCTTGTCTCTCGTTAAGATAATCTACTTAACATTCCTATTTCTTGTGACGCTTTTATCATGATTGATATCCACTTCTGTTATTTCTTGCTTGTCATTCTTCCACTTGGTGTGGCCCAGTCCCTGCGAAAGAAATAGCGAATAGCGGCGTTTTTATGTTGTTTTCGATTTCTTACTTGTTGGAAGAAGCTCAACACTTCTTCGTTTTCATTTCTGTCCAGATTAGATGCAAAATTTCTTCTTTGATAGATGCTCCCAGACAGTTGAGGTTAGGTACTCGGTTAAGTGGAATGAATGCGGGCTATTCATTATTTCTAGTGCCGTTCGGGTTAATTCGATTGAGTTCATGATAGACAGTCCTAACTATAGTCCAGAGTGATTTTATCTCATTTCTCTACGAGATCCGTATCGGCACTGTAGTGTCGGATATCTGCTTATGCAATTACCGTATGAGGAGCCCAATAGAAACGACAGCTACAGGCTTTTCCTAGCTCCACCGGCAGGGGTTTGGTTGTATGAAAGAGTCGGTGTCAAGAAAATCAGAGAAGAGGTACTGCATTGTTTAGAAAGGGATCAAAATCATTATAGCTAACCTAAAGACCCTTAGAGTGAATCATGGCTCTAGTAGCTCATTCACCAAATGCTATTGGGATATCTGACGTCCGGCCGTGCTTTTCCTTATCTCTGATTAATACCCCAGACTATATACCCGCAAACTACTTTAGAGACACTGCGAATAATACGCATTCGCCGCTTTGCACGTGTACGGGCTCGCACACACTGTACCTCCTGTCCAGCCCAGTCCACCGCATTGTCCCCATTCAGCGACAGTGCCGGTAGAAGTACTTCCAGATCCCGTGGTAGTGGTAATGGTAGTGGTAGTAGTGGATCCCGAGGAGGAAGAGGACAGCTTGGTCTTGATGAAGGCCAATGCCTGTGCACCGTACTCGGCTCCGTAGCCCTGGTGGGTTGCGGCGTCACTGCCGTTGCAGCAATACGGATCCGTGGCATCACAGTACGACTGGATCTTGCTGGCTGACGGGCAGCTAAACCCGGCAGGGCGTTCATCGAACTGCATCTCCATTGTCAGGATCAAACTTGGGACGAGGAGAGGAAGGGAGTTCTTACGCCGCCAGCAGCGCAGGTTCCAACTTCATATGACAAGCCCGCTCTGAACAGCGGGTCACCCATGAAGATGGCCGCCTTTACCATATTCACTGCGGCCGCGGACAGCTGGACCGCTGTGTTGGTGTAGCCTTGGTTAGGGTCACCGCCGCCGCACAAGGCAGCATCCATGATTTCGCCTCCCTAAATGGCAATTGCATGATCAGAACGCGGGGCTTTCACCTAGAAGTGCTAAGGAGATCCAACGAACCTGCGAGTATCCAACCAGGACGAGCTGTGTGTCTGGACACTCCGAATTGAAGGAGTTCACGGCGGAGGCAACGGCTGCGATGCCCTGAGCGACTGAACTGGAGTAGCTGACATCACCACACGAAGCCTGCCCACCGCATGCCGGGTAGCTGATCGCCTCAGAGGTAGAGCCTGGGTAGGCATTGAGAACATCATCGACGACCGTGATGGATGAGCCGTAGCCGGGGGATACGGTGGTTTCGCGTGCACCAAAGACGTGGATGTTCGGGCAGCTTCGCTTCGCAATGTTAGCCTCGAGCGGGACAGCGAGAGCGCTGCCTGCGAGGAGAGAAAGCGTGACTGCCTTCGAAATCATGATTCCAGGGAGAAGAGAAGAAAGATAGGGATACTCCAGGAGATAGAGAGCAGCTGAGTGAAACGAGACGTTGCCTTGCGGATTCTTGTGGGTGGAAGTGGATGGAACTGAATCTGGTCTAAAGAACAAAGGCCATGCTTGCTCATTTATATAGAGGCGGCGTCCTCGGATGAGCTACACGCAAAGTCCCTGCGCGGAAGAGTTCTCCATGTTTCCGTTGAGTAGATCATCAAGAATCATAAACTGTTCCTTTTGGCCGAAAGGAAGGATCTCGCTTGACATCGAATTAACTTCAAATTAGTCTATTTGAGGTGCGGGAGACAATGCGAAGTTGAATTTAGCCGTGAAGAAATCGCAATGGCTACGATTATGCCGGATTGAACGCCGTATCGGTGTGGGGAAGACAAGATGATTTGACACATAATCCTTGGACCAGGGCAGGATGTGTGGACACAAACAGGCTATTTTGGCGACGGACAGGCTATATAGGCACAGGGTTGAATGAACGCATCTCCAAGGTGATTATCCATGTCCCCTTCCCCCGCATTGCAGTGGCTGGCAAAACCCCGGATGTCCCCAGGGTGGAGACGGAGAATCTCCCGTGAAGAAAACAACAGTTAGTTTCATCACAATATACCGCTAGCCCCCAAAGCGGCAAAGATTCGGCTCTATGCATTATGGTTTCCCCCTCGAAGAACAACTGTCTGATAAGGCACTCCAGCCCGAGAGCTCGATAGTCCGAGGTGCACAAGCTCAGAGTAAATAACCACATCAATAATGGCACAGGTTATAATTGGAATGCTGAAGTAACCGATCTGTCTTTTGGGCTGCCGGGACCATTACCCGCTTTTGACCAGTTAGGATGTATTATATTCTGCAGGAACCCCTGGCTCAGCCCATGATGCCCATCCGCAGCCATTTATAGCCGTCGCTAGACTGGTCAAAGCGCTGTGGCCTCCACGGTATTGTTGAAGCATGCTAAAAATGGGCAAGCAATAACTAGCGACGCCAACGGCCCCACAAACTTCCCGATTAGTACGTAAATTACCTTCCTGGAGTTCGACAATCGCAGAGTTCAACTTTCCACGGTTGTTTCGTCTCCCTACCAGTACTTCAAGATATAGAACCAGACAATACGGAAGTATCACATGATAACAGTGAAATTTTACACAATGGTTGAGGTAAGAAAGGGTATTTAGCGAGACTAATTACTCTTCTTCCTTTCGAGGATAAGGCTTCGCATAGTAATTATACTGTATTTGACTATCAAACCATGCTACGCTCGCCTGCTCTTGTTGGCCTGTAAAGATGGGCCAATCTCTAAAGACACTGCGAGTAGTAGGAATTGGCCGCCTTGCAGGTGCCTGACGAGCAGCATGTAGCACCAGTCCACCCTATACCGCCACACTGGCCATAAAGCGCTGAGCAGCTACCACTGCTAGTTCCACCGCCACCGCCACTTCCAGTGCTACCGCCGGAACCGGTGCTGCCGGAATTGCTGACGGACTGCGTGGCAGATCCACTGCCACTCCAGCCTTCCACAGCAATGACTTGGTAGCTGAGCGATCCCAGGTCCATGCCGAGTGACGCCCACTCTTGGAAGTGGTTCTCGATAGTGACCGTACCGCTGGTTCGAGGGGAGTTCCGGACGGAGATGTACTGGTTGAAAGTCGCGGTTCCATCGATGGATGGTTCGTTGACGCGCTGGTTCTCCCAGACTGTGTAGGTCGATCCATCGCTCGTGAAAGTCCCCTTCACCGTGCCGCTGGTGGGAGGGTTGCTGTAGTCTTCCATGACATAGTATTCAACCAGGGGGTTGGTGCTCCAGCCATAGACCGAGAGGAGACCGGTTCCGCCGCCAACGGAGAAAGAGCCACCAAAAGTAATGGGGCTTGTAAAAGGGTGTCAGTGAAATGGATGGATGGGAGAGCAAAATCACTGGTTACCTGGTGGATCCAGTGGTCCATCCTACTCCGACAACGAAGTCATCCTCAGTATCCCATGAAACTGAGAATCCAGTGCTCGACGGTGAGTAATTGACCGTCCCACCAGTTGTATAGTCCTGGTCATAGTTAATGGCAGACCGGCGGCTTAGGGTATTGCCTTGTCCCAGAGCAAAGTCGTGGGGACCACGATCAGCGATATCCCTCTTGACAGTGTCGGTAGGAGCAGCAGATGATCCTGCAACTATAGAGAGGGCAACAAGGGTAGATAAGAGGACCATGACGACAGTAGTTATCAGTATAGATATAGGCAATGAATCAATAACCGTGATCAGGTATGGGTATATTCCAGCGACTCGTCAGGGCTTTATATATTTGTGAGTAACAGTCTTCCGTTCGAGATAGCCAATATCCTTAGCCGGTAACTGTTTATTTATGTTAATTGATTCCTATAAAACCTTCCATTCGGGCCGATCTGCCTAAACCTCTGCTGCCAGCATAATGGACTTCCCCTCAAATCAAAAACTCTAATACAGCTGGCTTTATTGAGTAGGAATACATGGATGCGCGGATCATAGGGTTCAATAAGTTTCAACAACTTGGGTGTTTTTAGCCTAAATCAGGGATTTTTCAACTAGCAAATTCCGAGCTTCGCTGCCCTTGGGGATAATATAGATCAAGAGAATCTGTATGATCTAGTCCGATCCGTTGACCCGTCATCCGTTCACCCGTAATTCGCTGCATATTTGAGAGGCGCAGTTCAACAGGGTCCCTCATCTCAGTATTGATAAACTTGAAAACGCTGCACTAGTCCTAGTCTGACAGATTGCAGACAATAATGAGATCTTCTAGAACAGGCATGAGAGGTGTGTATGCTTTCTTTCTCGCTCATCCACTTCTGCCCTGTGGAGTCACATATAAAGCTCAATGCAAGCCGTGCTATTAGCGAACAAAAGATCTTATATAGTGTCAATTTCGCTATATAGACCATATGTGATGGAGACAGTTCTTTTCAGGGTTCCAAACGCCGATCCGAACTGCTATTAAAACTACTATGTTCTAGACCCAAATAAAACTCAACATGTAGCAATCTCTAATACCCTGAGAAAACAACTGTATATGCTACTGTCCCATACCAGGGTCGAACTCAACACTTGCAATTATATATTTTGGCCTTGGGTGACGGATTGCCATTTAATTCAAACGTCTGAAATGGCTTCGCTGTTCACATAGAGGGTATCATGGGTGCTAGTGAACCCATTGAACTGTGTTGCGGTGGTGCTAGTATATGCTGGCAAGGAACTTAATCAGTCAGTCAGCTTTAACTGGGCCAAAAAGACTCACCTCCCATATTCTTATACATGAGCCAATCGCCAACAAGGACCTCTGCATCCAGCACCGCCTCGCGAACAACACAGTCCACGCTATCACATGTTGGGCCCCAAATCGAATACCTATGTTCTCGTCTAGTCTTGGCCGTTGATTGTGCATCTTCCTTCTTCGATGATATCTTCGTAGATAAAGTAGGACGCTTGTGTTTTCCGTCTCGAACTAAATATGGTATCATCACCTCTTTCTCCATGATTACATTCATGAAATTCCCATAGACACCATCATTTTGATACAGCATATCCGGCACACCTGTCGCGGCTGCGCTGCCTATCTGGCGTCTGCGCGAAATCACCCTACATACCAGGGTATAGGCACTTCGAGCATAAAAGCGTCCTGGCTCAGCGATGGTGGTTACACCAGATGGGAATTCTGTGCGGACCGATTCGCGCAGCCGAGCGGCTGTCTCTTCGAAATGGCTATCCTGGAACCCACCACCAATGTCGAGTATGCTGGGGCGGAATCCGAGTTGCTGGGCCTGCGAGAATACCATGCGTGCGTGCGTGATTGCTTTGCAAAAAGATGCCGGATTAGTTGATCCAGTTCCTGAAAATGTCAGTTCGCTTAATTAATCGTAGCATAAAATCAGAGTTCAACCTCACCCACGTGGAAGCTGACCCCAACTACGTTTAGTCCAAGTTCCCATGCTCTTGAAAGTAGAGCCTGTGTGGCGTCCAAGGGAGCCCCGAACTTCTCACCCAGGCATATAAGCGCGCTGTCATCATTGGCATAGATGCGCAGCAGAAGCTGGGCGTGCGGCATGTGGGTCTTGATGGAATCCAGCTCATCAAGGTTGTCAAAAACGGTACGGCATACGCCAACCTGTCGAGCGAACACCAATGCCGCCGGTGCCTTGCACGGGTGGGCAAATAGGATACGTGCAGGGTCAATCCCAAGATCTAGCACGGCGCGCATTTCTTCGATCGAGGCGCAGTCGAAGCCTGTGCCTAGATCAGCGAGACGTTGGAGAAGGATTGGATCCGAGTTGCATTTGACCGCTGTTTATTGGAAAGAAATTTTCTCATTAACTCTCCACCTATATGTCTTGGAATTGAATGTGTGCCGTAAGGAATTGGGAGGAAAATTGAGGACGATACCATAAAATGGCCGAACACCGGGCAGGTTATGTGTCCAGCGATGATGTTGCCGCGACACCTGGCCGAGGTCTGCGACGAAGAAGGACTCATCACCACCAGCGACTGATGACGTGCCTAGTTTGGCGATATGGTTCTCGATTGTATGATCGATGAGCTTGTCTGGTGTAGATGTTCGATAGACCAGAGCGCGGAGTGCTGGTTTCCCGGGCATGATAATGTCCTGTGGTGCAGGTAAGAGATCCATAATGGCAGAAAAGAAACGGCTCAGGAGCACAGGGCAGAATTGGAGGGCTTTGAAATGAGAGTTCATTTCCATCACCCTACCATAAAGAGTACTATACCGAAATACAATTTGAAACATGTGGTAAATTCCAGAGTTCTCTGTTTGCTGGGTCAGCTGAGTATATAAAAAGCGGCATTTTCAAGAGACGAATTGCCGTCGCTGACCAAATTTGGTATGAAAGAATGATGTTGCGCTACGATCGAGTCGCACAGGGCGAAAGAGACGGGAGTATTGAGGTCAATATGGCTCCAGTATGGAGCCATTGGTGTGCTTTCTAATATATTTACTTATGTTGAAACTGGGTAAACAACAGCCTGCATTTTTCCGGCGGCTGGTTCACTCAACTAGCATTAATATTGTCAATCATCGATCGGATCACTAGTCGGTTAGTCCCGCAGCTCGGGCCCAAGCATCTCATCTGAGGCTATGTGATCGGGTTGTGTAACATTGCTTCAGTGGGGCGTACTGGGCAATCACATGGATGATCGTCGCACATGTACTCCAATTTCACTTGGGATAGATAAGTACTGATTGAGACATGTGGCGTCGTGTCCTGGAGATTCGAGAGAGAGAACTTTGGCAATTACAGTGCTAATTGAGCCGATATTACACTATGTTCTAATTTCTTGACACCAATGTGCAATTGGCCTTGCGTGAAAGAATAAAAGACCCTCATCCTGGACAATAAATGCAGGAACTGCTTCAACAGGTTACAGGACTGGTGGACCTGCGGTACGTGATGAAACACTATCATGGGCCAGGAATATTTAGGTAATTGTACCTTGATGAACGGTCCACACCAGTCTATGGCATACTGCTGATCTTGGAGTATGTACTGTAGACGGCACTTAGTCCACTCTCATTGCCGAGGGATCTGAGTTTCTGTCACACTGCAACGTCGGATTTATCGGTGTCGGGATGCTCGGCCTGTTGAGTAACATGTAGCTGTTTGAGTGTGCTGTGGGAGGCATCTTCGCCCGAGAATGCGCCTCATCGTCCCTCTAATACGTGTTCCTGCCATAACATCCAGGCTGCACATATGTGGAATAGAGGAACGCTGGGTGCCTTTTTCATTTTCTTGCTGTGGCTGGCTGATCTGAACAAATGCTTGCCTCAACTGAACTGATGGCACGGAGGTGCCGGTATTGTTGGAAATTTCATAACTCAAATTCTGGTTCTGTTTAAAAGCTCTAGGCTATGTCTATTTCCAAATTTGGATAAAAGGTGCTGGATCAGACAGAAACCATGATTAATGCCTAGGGTAATTACAGTTGAGGTTGTTGAACGCGACATTGCATGGGCCCTCCGAATTGTGGATTTTAGGGACTTGCCAAACAAAAGGTGATGGCCAAAGTGCTTATTTACTACTCACTTTTAAAAAAAGGCAAAACATAAAACAAAAGCCAATTTCTACCGTACAGATAGTCCCCGCCATCCAGTCCGCAAATGCCTAAGTCGATTGGCCAATTCTACTCTCGACTACCGTCATGCCTCCAGAGCAGGAATCTGCTGGGTGACGCAGTGCAGCACTCCACCTGTAAGAGGAATGGCATTAGTGTAAACCTGCTTGACGACGCGTTCAGGGGCCAGAGCCTGCAAGATTTCCAGAGCCTTTTGGTCTCTCTGTTCGTCACCAAACTTGGGAATGATCAGGCCGCCATTCACAAAGTAGAAATTGACGTAGCTAGCGGCCAACTCATCATCGGCAGATTTGACCAAGCCACGAGGGTCTGGCTCTTCAATGGTGTGGATTTCGAAATTGCGCCCCTTGGCGTCGGTCTCACGGCCCAGGATCTCGCGGATCTCAGTTGACAATTCTTTCCAAAGATCAGGGGCAATGTCGTGGGGCTTCGAGTAGACAACCACACCGGGACGTATGAAACGCGCCTCCGCGTCCATGTGCACGTCTGTGATGTCCACGTTGGGCCGCCCTGGGAACCAGATTACTTTCTCGATACCGAGCAACCGCTTTAGCTCCTCCTCAATATCGGTTTTAGTAAGTCCTGGATTGCGGATGTTGCAGACGATGCTACTCTCCGTGATCAATAGGGTTCCATCGCCATCTACCACCAAACCGCCGCCTTCAGCACGGATTGGGGCATCAACGCGTGTGACCAGCGTTGGATTGCGGTCGTGTTCAATCACATAACGCGCGAAGTCCGTATTTTCTTGAAGCGTCTTGTCATTCATAAGCGGCCACTGTTGGCCCCAAGCCACTCCCTCATCTTCCGGCTTCTTGCCGCCCCACTCGTTGAATCGAAAATTAATAGCAAAACGGCGCTTTGGAGATTCCCCTGTTGCATCACGCACATATACAGGGCCGGTGTCGCGCACCCAGCAGTGGTTGATTGGGGACGGGATGACGGTGACTCGGGAAATCTTGTTGACAGTTGCCTTGACCAGGGATTCAGCAAGCTTTATGTCCTCTGGACGGGCATACAGGCGAACTGGTTCGAACTCCGCTATGGCTGCGGCCAGCTGAATCAACTCGCCACATACTGCATCGTACTGGTCTGGTGGCAAAGAACATCGGGATGGAAATCCGAGAATAGTGGCTTCGTGACGATCACTTTCAGCCGGGAAGATAAACTTCCCTTTTTGAATCACCTGTGCTTTTTCGTCATTTGGTGTATGGAAAGTCGAGGTAATCGAGGTCTCCGTAGAGGATATGAAATTAATAATGGCTTTACGAAGTCTCTGGAAGAATCCCATCGTGGCTGATTCAAGCGACGGAGGTGTCTTGCGATGGTATGTAGGGGCTTGCTTCCGTTTAAATTGTTGCAAGTTAGGCAAGAGGATCGAAATTCTTTTTAACACAATTGGAGATTTGTGTAACTGCAGAGAGTTAGCATGGCTGGTTCAGAACATTGACGTTATATTGTTTGATATTGACCCGCTCAGCAGGAAGAGGGATAAGGATCTACCAGAAAGATTTGTCGTGGACAGCTAACGAACACGATGGTTGGAGAGAGTACTAGAGAGAAAAAGCAACGAAATTTACGGACTGCCCAATTTTATACCCTTTACATGGTCGCTGCAGAATTGACACTCGGCATATTCTAGGGAAACAATAATTGCAGGGTATATGCACAAGGAAAGGCACCGGAGCGCATACTGCCAGGAAAAGAAACCTTTCAATACTCTCGCGTCTCCACTAGGCTAATGGCTCAGACCCACCTAATGGTCCAAGAGCTACCTTTAGATAGTTGCGGATATCGACAATTAGGGACCGATCTCCCGTGCCCGCGCGGGATGATCTCCACCGGTAACGTTGCACGGCGACAACTTGGAGAAGTACAGGCCCAGCAGTGGGAAATGAGTGAAGAAGTACTTTCAAGATTATATCGATGAAAGCCTGTAGATTTCCTAGTACGACTATTGTACCACACTCTACCTGCACACCGTCATTTACTCCAACAGTGGCTCTCTCTCCGAGTCTTCACGCGCCAACTCCCCGTCAAGTGGCCCTCCATCAAGCCAGAGCATTGGCACTGCAGTCACCGCAGATAAGATCCCTAGAGTAAGTGTCATGACTTTCCATCCGTAGCGGTGGTCGATAAATCCCCCTAGCATAGGCCCAAGAGCCAATCCACCAAAATGCGCCATGTTTACTAGACTAAAGCCTTGGGCAACGGCGCCCTTTTCACCAAAAATACCCGGACAATCCTCTTCCATGCAATCTAGTACGCGCTGGATTTCGACCAAGAGGGCTGGCTCACTGAGATCAAGACACATGCCGACCAGGACGAGTATAGCGCAGAGAATTCCTTTCTGGTGCGTGGTATTGTCCTCGACTAGCCGCAGGCAGGTAAGGGAAGGAGCTAGCAGGGTGAAACTTGTGAAAGTAAGGACTCGGGCTCCGAATCGATCACATAGGTAGCCTGTGAGGAAACATGAGATGTCAGAAGGACTGCTTCTTGACCAATTGACATAGATCAACCTACCAAAAAAAGGCTGGAAAATTGCGGCACTTGCGGTAGGCAAAAAAATCATGCCAGCACCCAAGGCATTCCAGTGGAAAGTATTCTCCACGAAAATTGGTAGCGTCTGGAATATGAAGAAATTAACGAAGGTGCGAAAGGGAGGGTTTGCAGAACCACCTACTGTATCAAATGCAGAAATTACCAAGGCTCCAACAATCACAGCCCACAGGCTGATCAGAATTCGAGGCTGCCGCAACAACTTCCAAAACGCAAATGTTTGAGAGCTTACTCCCTTGTTGAGAGTTCCATCAACAGTTCCATAAGGTGCGTACCCAACCCAGCCCTCTTCAGATGCAGTCTCGGTACTGGCCGATGCGAGCCAGGTTTGGGCTATTCGTTTCTCGATAACCGCCAGCCGTAACAAGAAATCAAGACCAACGATTACAAACGCCATGCCAAAGACTGAGTAGTAGCCGCCAACATGGTATACCAACCCGCCAAGCATTGGGCCGGTCATAAAACCGAGATTCATAGATGTTCCAATGTATCCTATCATATGGCCGAGGCGATTCCTGTCAACTGCATCCGTCACAATAGCTAGACCGGCGACAGCTACCATGGCTGTGGCTGCACCCTGTAACACTCGTGCAATAATATACCAAATAACCGATCGAGCGAGGGTCAAAACGGCCATTGAAGCAAAAAGGAGACCTAAACCAAAGAGGTACGGGCCCTGACGTGTTCCTGATCTGTCTAGCACGTAGCCAAACACGGGGCTGCAGGCGAGAGCAGCAATAGCCTCGGAGACGAGCATCACACTGTTCCAATACTCTCCTGCTATAATGTTAGTAGACAGGACTGAGCTCCAGCGGCCACTTTGATAGCCACATACGATCTTCAAACGATATCCCAGCCCGAGTGACCAACGCTCTTGGCATGACGGGGACAATCTGCACTTGTGAGGTCAAAGACGGTTAAGGAATGACGGAGAACGCACCATAGCATAGAGGAAAAGGTCCTAGATAGTACATTAGCCAGAGGACATTTGAAAAGGAGAGTAAATTGGATAATACCGTGAACATAGATAGAGAAACGGTAAACACAATAAATGTCTGGGATGAGCGCAACTCCAAAAGCCATGGTCGCTCATTTGACTTGAACTTCTTGAACCAAGGTGCCATTATGGATCTTGATTTTAGCAAGTCTGATATGGAATCCGCAGAGATGACTGAATTATAAGAGCTTGACCGCAGACAATGGTATAGTCAAAGTAATCATATAAAAAGGTATGCAATTTTGCAAATTACTGATTTTTTTCTCAAAGGCGTGGGGTGAGGGAAGTCTCCTATTTGTCTCATATGTTTTCTTTTGCTCGCGGCTCCCTCCAGGTTTGGGCTGCAGGTCCAGCTGCATCACAACACAATTATAATTGGACAACCACGGTATAATGCGTTCAAATATTTAGTGATAGTGTATCATCAAATAACGCAATATGCAAGGCCTAGTCCTTCGTCATTGACACACATTTACTTGAGTATGTAGCATAATAATGTCCAGGAAAGCCACTCTGAGCCGAAAAATTGCGAAATACAATACAACAGAGCACGTTTAACTTTTTAAACCCTTCTCAATATTATATCAATATATCAGGGGGCAAACATGGTAGTTGGCTTTTTGTTATTGTTTGCCCCTTAATACATGTCATACCATTGGTGGCCTGGAGACTTCGGTTTGTTGAACGCTGCTCAGGCACTTCAATATCTCACAAACGAACGCAGCTTAATTTTAAAAATCTAAATAATTTTTGGACCAAACCTGTCCCTAACCATTGGGAATAAGCTCCAAGTAAAGTTAAGACAGACTTTGAGAATCCTTCTCTCATGGCTCTCAATAGGAGATCGAGGTCTTCCAGCCACGATTAGAGTAATTTCCTTTGGGGGCGGGAGTGTTTGACCACATCGTTTCCCTGTTGTTGGGTCAACAGAGCCTACTGTCGAGGCTGAAGCGGATGACGGAGATAGAGTCTTCTAAACACAACGATTAGATACCTTTCCAGGAGCAGGGAATTATGAGTGTGGTCCGTGGACAACATTTCCTCTGGCTCATTTCTGCCAGTGATTCTAATCCAGGTTAAGATTCCGCGTATCCTGTATTTTCGGGGGTACTAGGGAATGAAGATCAAACGCACGCCTGCTTTGTCTCTCATGTATATGTAAATATTATCAGTAATCTCTCAAGACGGGGATAGCACGGGCAAGTTTCAGCTGTAGGGCCGTGCTGGGATTACATGGGATAGCTGAGGATATTGAAAGCTGCATCTCCTTGAGAGTCGGTAGCTCCCATGTAAGATGCTGGACCAATACCGGATCAGAAGAGTATGAGTAGCTCACTTAATCTTTCAATGCGAGTATGAGCATAAATTAACCTCGAGGATGATCTAACTATAAGGAAAAGGTCCGGAATGGGGACCAAAGAGCCGCTGGTTTGCGGACGATCTGGCACTATCGAACCCCTGAAAGCAGAGATATACATAAGCTCAGGGGTGCCATCTTCGGCCCCAAAGACACGAACTCATGAGCACGTCCGCGGACTGTAGAGTAAATTTGCCTAAAAGTACCTCTGATAGCAAGTTCCAGGACCGGTTAAACTTCGGGATTTGGGTAAGCGTCGAAACTAAATCACATATCAATTGTGAGATACTTTAGTACCAAAGTCCACAGTATTAGAACCAGATTGTCCAAGGGTCTGCAATCGTTGGTAATCCAGAGAGTCAGACCCCTTAATTCGCCTAGTCCAGGATATCCACCTTTGAGGGGGGGAAATTCGATTCCCCCCATCGGCACGAGCGACCACAAGAGAACCCGGTGGGCTCTTTAACTCCGGACTCCGAGAGCTAGTACCTAAACCGCTTCTGGACCCCGCGAGCGGTTAATGCAGGGTGCCACCGCATCCCCCCCCCCTCTTTAGGGTTGCGGTAGACTTGCATCCGGGGTTGGGCCTCGTGGTGCCCGCGGTTCCAGAGGCTCCGACTAACGATGAGTCAACAATGATGTCCATCACCGCTTGTTCTCGAGGCTTCGCATCCTTGTCGGGTGGAGCCGAATAATGCGCACATAGGCACCAGAGGCGTGCGCTATAGGCAGCACCCCCCAATACGCCAGCGCCGAGACGGAGGGACCGATGTACTTTTGGGGCTAGTATATAATGTCTTTTTTTCTCGCTTGGTTTCTCGGCGGGTTGTTCTCCTCTCTTCGGCAGTTTTATTTTTCTGTCACTGGGCGCTCTTTCGCTGCTCCTACCCGCTTCAACACACCTAAAATCAAAATTATAAAGGTGTGAAACAACGTTGCAGCTATCGTGCTCGTGCACAAGCTCGGGGGGGTTTTTTTGCTTTTTGGGGGTGTTGGAAGACGTGAGGTACTCGCGACAGCCACAACACTCCTAATGCCGACATCACAATCACCTGAAGCCGTGAACGAGAAGCTCTCGACGGCCGCAGCCTGCAATGACTCCGACGGGGATACGCTCGACTCAGACAACTATGAATGTGGACGTGAAGAGCTTCGGAGTTCGAATCCGCAGGGTATGACCTCGTCGCAGCAGGGTGTCGATGTCGAAAAGGCAGAACAGGACTTTTCGGAACTTAGCCGCCAGTTCTCCAGCATCTCTCATCAAGCCCGTCATATTTCTAAGCAAGCTTCGCGAGCTTCCAAAACGGGTATCACGAACGAGGATGTTGAGAAGTCCGCGAGCTCTGCTGATTCGGAGGAACAATGGGATCTGGAGACTGCTCTGCGGGGCAACCGAGCGGCCGAGGTTGAGGCTGGGATCAGAGACAAGCACATAGGCGTGTACTACAAAGACAAGAAATGAGTATGTACTTGATTGCTAACTTATACTAGGTGTGATATGGAACAATCTGGCAGTGCGCGGCATGGGCGGCGTCAAGACGTTCATTAAGACTTTTCCGGATGCGATCATCGACTTCTTCAACCTCCCAGAAACGATCATGCATCTCTGCGGATATGGTCAGAAAGGCAAAGAATACAATATCTTGGAAGGCTTCCGGGGTCTCACACGTCCAGGGGAGATGGTCTTGGTTCTGGGGCGCCCGGGTTCAGGCTGTACAACGTTTCTGAAGGTGATTGCCAACCAGCGTTTTGGATATTCTGGAGTCGACGGCGAGGTTCTTTACGGACCTTTTGAGTCCGAGACTTTTGCGAAGCGGTTCCGGGGAGAAGCCGTGTACAACCAGGAGGATGATATCCACCAGCCAACTCTGACCGTTAAGCAAACTCTGGGGTTTGCATTGGATACGAAAACCCCGAGAAAGCGGCCGATGGGCGTTTCCAAGTCGGAGTTTAAGGAAAAGGTCATCAACATGCTGCTGAGAATGTTCAACATCGAGCATACCGCCAACACTGTCATTGGTAACCAGTTTATCCGTGGTGTCTCGGGCGGCGAACGACGTCGCGTCAGTATTGCTGAAATGATGATCACGTCTGGAACGGTGCTGGCCTGGGATAATAGCACTCGTGGCCTTGATGCGTCGACTGCGCTTGACTTCGCTAAGTCTCTACGTATCTTGACAAATATCTACAAGACCACCACGTTTGTGTCACTGTACCAGGCTTCAGAGAATATCTATAAGCAATTTGACAAAGTGCTTTTGATTGACAGCGGTCGCCAGGTATACTTTGGCCCTGCGAGCGAAGCTCGAGCATATCTCGAGGGCCTTGGATTTCGAGAAAAGCCTCGTCAAACTACTCCTGACTATCTGACCGGGTGTACAGACCCATTTGAGAGAGAGTTCAAAGATGGTAGGAGCACGGAGGATGTTCCATCAACTCCGGCAGCACTAGTTGAGGCATTTGACAAGTCTATCTACAGCCGGAGACTGGATGAAGAGATGCAGTCGTACCGCAATCAAGTCCAACAGGAAAAACAAATCTACGATGACTTTGAGATCGCAAATCGGGAGGCAAAGCGCAAGTTCACCTCTGCGTCATCTGTGTATTCAATTCCTCTCCATCTCCAGATTTGGGCATTGATGCAACGTCAGTTTTTGATCAAATGGCAAGACAGATTCGCACAAACTGTATCTTGGATCACGTCTACTGGTGTAGCTATCATTCTGGGTACAGTTTGGCTCAAGTTGCCAGAAACCAGCTCCGGTGCCTTTACTCGGGGTGGCCTTCTGTTCATCAGTTTGCTGTTCAATGGCTTCCAGGCATTCGCGGAATTAGGAGGGACCATGATCGGCCGCTCCATCGTCAACAAACACCGGTCATTCACTTTCTACAGACCAAGCGCTCTCTTCATTGCGCAGATTATTGTCGACACCAGCTTCGCCATCGTCCGAATTCTGCTTTTCAGTGTCATCGTATACTTCATGTGTGGCCTGGTCCTTGATGCTGGAGCTTTCTTTATCTTTGTCCTGATTATCCTTACTGGTTATGTTTGCATGACCGTGTTTTTCAGAACAATTGGCTGTCTGTGTCCTGACTTCGACTACGCCATAAAATTCGCCTCTGTCATTATCACACTCTTTGTCTTGACTTCGGGCTATTTGATCCAGTGGTCCGGTGCACAAGTGTGGCTCAGGTGGATATACTACATCAACCCCTTCGGACTGGGCTTTGCAGCCTTGATGGTCAACGAATTCAGTCGCTTAACAATGACCTGCACCGAGCAATCTTTAATCCCTAATGGGCCTGGATATGGCAACATTGCTCATCAAGCCTGTACTCTGGCGGGAGGCAAGCCTGGTTCGCCAATCATTCCAGGCTCCAGCTACATCGCGCAAACATTCAGCTATCTCACGGGAGACCTCTGGCGAAATTTCGGGATCATGCTCGCGCTCATCGTCGGTTTCCTTGCAGCAAATCTGTATTTCGGTGAGACCGTTCAGTTCGAGGCAGGCGGAAAGACGATTACGTTCTTCCAGAAAGAGAACAAGGAGCGCAAAGAACTGAATGAGGCCTTGATGGAAAGGAAAGCCAATCGCCAATCAAAGGCTGTCGAAACGGGCGAGAATTTGAAAATCTTGTCAGAGTCAGTGTTCACTTGGGAAGATGTTAATTACGAAGTTCCGGTGCCATCGGGGACCCGACAACTCTTGAATTCCGTTTATGGATATGTTCAGCCCGGGAAGCTTACTGCTTTGATGGGTGCGTCAGGTGCGGGGAAGACAACATTGTTGGATGTACTAGCAGCCCGGAAAAACATTGGCGTGGTGTCAGGCGATATTTTGGTTGACGGAAAGCCCCCCGGGACATCTTTTCAGAGAGGCACATCTTATGCCGAGCAGCTGGATGTCCACGAGCCGATGCAGACTGTGCGAGAGGCGTTAAGATTCTCTGCTGACCTTCGTCAGTCCTTTGAGACACCCCAGTCCGAAAAATATGCATATGTGGAAGAAATCATTACGCTTCTCGAGTTGGAGAGCCTCGCAGACGCAATTATCGGGACACCTGAGACTGGACTGTCAGTTGAAGAACGAAAGCGTGTCACCATCGGTGTAGAATTGGCTGCCAAACCGGAGCTTCTGCTCTTCTTGGATGAGCCAACTTCTGGCCTGGATGGCCAGTCTGCTTTCAACATCGTTCGTTTCCTCCGCAAACTTGCTGCCGCTGGCCAGGCTATTCTCTGTACCATCCACCAGCCGAACTCGGCATTGTTCCAGAACTTTGACCGGTTGTTGCTCCTCCAGCATGGAGGCGAGTGTGTCTACTTTGGCGAAATCGGACATGATTCACAAGTTTTGCTGGAATACTTCCGACGCCATGGTGCCGACTGTCCAGCAGATGCCAACCCAGCGGAATGGATGCTCGACGCCATCGGGGCTGGCCAAACCCGTCGGATTGGAGATCGTGACTGGGGTGATATCTGGCGTACTTCCCCCGAACTGCAGCAACTCAAAAAGGATATTCTCCAGATTAAAAAAGCCCGGAGCCAGGCAGTGCAACAGATTCAAACCCAAGATACCATTGAAACGGAATATGCCTCGCCGCTCTGGCATCAAATCAAGGTGGTTGGCCGACGCACAAACCTTGCTTTTTGGCGCTCGAGGAACTACGGGTTTACTCGCCTGTTCACACACGTGGTGATTGCAGTGATTACTGGGCTTGCATTCCTACAGTTAGATGACTCGCGTTCATCGCTACAGTATCGGATTTTCGTCATTTTCAATGTGACTGTGCTCCCAGCGATCATTTTGCAGCAGGTCGAGCCACGGTACGATATGGCGCGCTTGATCTTCTACCGAGAATCGGCTTCCAAGACCTATGGTCAATTCGCCTTCGCGCTCTCCATGATCGTTGCTGAACTTCCATACAGCATCTTGTGCGCAGTATGCTTCTTCTTGCCTCTGTACTACATTCCAGGCTTCCAGTCCGCTACCAGTCGAGCTGGCTACCAATTCCTTATGGTACTCATCACCGAGATCTTCGCCGTGACTCTGGGCCAAATGATTTCAGCCTTGACTCCAAACAGCTTTATTGCCTCTCAGCTGAACCCGCCCATCGTGATCATCTTCTCGCTCTTCTGCGGTGTCGCAATCCCCAAGCCTCAGATGCCTGGCTTCTGGCGCGCCTGGCTGTATCAGCTTGACCCGTTCACCCGTCTCATTGGGGGTATGGTGGTAACAGAGCTTCATGGGCGCGAGGTCGTCTGCACAAAAAGCGAGTACAATCAATTCCAGGCACCATCGAACGAGACGTGTGAGGAATATATGAAGCCATTTTTCGAGCGCGGGGGACCTGGCTATATTCTCAACAACGCGACACAGGCTTGCGAGTATTGCGCTTACAAGATCGGAGACCAGTTTTACTCGAATTTCAGCATGTCTTTCAGCAATCGCTGGCGGGATCTGGGTATTTTCATGGCGTTCATTGGATCTAATCTCATTATCTTATTCCTGGCGGTAAGTGATTGATACCCTCGCACGATTACGATGATGCTAATCTGCTCCAAGTCTCGGTTCTTCAACTTCAACCGAAGATAACATCAGTATTTCAGCAATGCAAAAAGGGGAATAGCGGAAAGATCGGAAAAAGTTAGATATTATTCAACCAAAAGCAAACGATATAGAGGTAGTCTAGATTGAGATATGGCATGTACTGCCTTATTATTATATTCCCTGTCTCCGTAATGATAACTTCCCCAAAAAACGATCGACTTGGTTCTCCAGATGAATGACCCCGGATTCCCCACGCAACCCCCACGCCGCTTGACCGTTCCAGGAAGGACTCGCTGGCGATGATCATCGTCCAGCCCGTGTTTCTATGATCAACGCAACTCCTCATGCGCATGCTCCGATGCAAACCCACCTATAGCAGCCCGGGGTAGGACATTCATGCGGTGGCAAGCTGGCCCAGTTCTCGGGTTTGCTCCGTGGGCGTAAGATTCTTGGGCCTCTCTGGTATGACGCATTCCTGGCTGCGCAGGGATATCGCGGTGTAATTCCGACTGTGAGCTCGTCAGCCAAGATCAGCGTGATGGGTCTCTTCCCCGCAGATTGTTCCATTTCCCTTTGTTTTGACTTTGCGGAGAAATCATATACGAGTCGGTGGGTGAGTTTGGAAAATTATCCTGTGCTGATGGGATGCGAATATATTTCTTGATTCCTCCCAGCTAAATCTTCTTGTTCCACAAGACATCCATCTAAAACTCGCACCTATTCCTTCAATCCTCCGTTGATACCGCCTGGGAAAAAATTATCAGGATGGTAGACAACGTTACAGAGGCCCCCTCCAAGAGGGACACTGTCGATGTCCCAACCACCACGCACTGTGAAAGCAGCCAAGCTCGGTCGAGATGGAAATCTGTCAAAGTTACCGACGGCGACACAGCCATGGCACTTTTTGATGACCCAGATGAGTTACATGAGGATATCGACCCTGCTGAAGCAAGGAAGGTACTTTGGAAGATTGACTTTATGATCCTACCCTATCTGGCCGTTTGTTACGCGTTTTTTTACATTGATAAGGTCTGTTAATCGTGGCTCCCAGGACTTGATCCTGCTATATATTTACATTTGTTCTAATTGCTCTATGGTGCAGACAACGTTGAGCTATGCGGCCATCTTCGGGATTGAGGACGATCTACAGCTGCATGGGACGCAGTACAATTGGCTGAGCAGTATTTTCTACTTTGGGTTTTTGGCTTGGGCATTTCCTACCAATTTCTTAATGCAGCGTCTTCCGATTGGTATCTCCCCAGATATATAAGCCTGGGTCTGAATGTTCTAATACTCCGCAGGAAAATATCTAGGCGCCAACATCTTTATGTGGTATGTGTAAACCCCGATACAACGGATTTATGGGGCCATCCACTGACTTGTTTTGTAAAGGGGCGTGTTCCTCATGATCCAAGCAGCATGCAACAGTTTCAGGACCCTAGCCGTCCTCCGAGCCCTAGGTGGAGCCGCAGAGGCGTGCTCCGATCCGGCCTTTATGCTGATCACCAGTATGTGGTACACACGACGCGAACAGCCCGTACGTTTGGGACTCTGGTACACAGCAAACGGGTTTGGAATTGCTCTCGGTGGGCTGTTGGGTTATGGCATTGGCCATATCCGGGGTGCCTTGCCTTCGTGGAAATACGAATTTCTCATCATGTAAGTAAACACCCTTTCAGCCCTGCGTGTCTGGATGTTGATTTCCTTCTCAGTGGTGCTCTTTGTGCTACTTGGGGCATTGTGATGTTCACTTTTCTTCCCGACTCGCCGGTCACGGCTAAAGGTCTCAGCAAGGCGGAGCGTCGAATTGCCGTTGACCGGTTGAGAGCGAATCAGACCGGTGTGGAAAATAAGCACTTGAAGCCATATCAGATTCTCGAGGCATTCAAGGATTATAAGCTCTACATGTTCTTTATTTTGGGGGTCGTTTGTGCGTTTCCCTTCGACTGACATCTTTCTGCTTCCTCTAAACTGACCGTCTATTCAGGCAATGTCCCCAATGGAGGTATTTCCAATTTCGGAACAATCATCATTGAAGGCTTCGGGTTCTCGACTTTGGTCACCACTCTTATGCAGGTAGATATTATCCTTCCTGAGATTTTCAAATGAGCCGAAGTTGACAACATCCATCCATTTAGATCCCATACGGCATCATCATTGCCCTGTCAATTCTCACCTGCGTTTTCCTCAATGACCGCTTCGAAAACCGGCGTGTTATCTTCGTGCTCATATTCCTTTGTCCAAACCTTGCAGGAGCCTTCGGTCTCCGCTTCGTACCGTTAGATCAACGTGTTGGCCGACTGATCTGCTACTACTTAACAGGACCATATAATGCGGCATTTGTGTTGGTCTTGAGTATGCAGATTGCTAATACTGCTGGTGCGTATTTCATTCCACATGGCTATATCTTCCCAAACATTCTTTTACAGCTTTTCATACAGGCCACACGAAAAAGGTCGTCACCAACGCCGTCCTCTTCCTGGGATATTGCACCGGCAACATCGCCGGACCATTTTTCTATAAAGAGGATCAGAAGTGAACTTTTCCTATTCATTTTGATATTGGATACACTAAGCTAACGGAATAAAATATAGACCGACCTATTCTCTCGGTATCTGGTCAATGATCGTCTCACATCTCATCGAAGCCTGCCTGATCACCACACTCGGACTTCTGCTCCGCTGGGAGAACAAGAAGCGTGACCGCATCCAGTCTCAGATGGAGGGTGGTCTCGAAGGACGAGATTTGGATTCGACGGCGTTTTTGGATCTGACGGACCGAGAGAACCTCAAGTATGTCATTTCTTCTGGACTGCTGTTTTTGGTTTGTTGGGTTATGCTGACAACCTTTTTCTTTGGACAGTTTTCGATACATTTACTGAGACATGTCATGTTTCTAACCGGGCTTGGTAGGGAATTTAATATTGGATGAAACCACGGATCGGTAAACTGGTGGTTTATATCAGACAGTAGTGTCATCTCCACCTCCATAGCAATAGTGTGACTTGACAAAGTAGAAAGCGACCACAGCATGAATCTAGCCACCAACACAGCTTTGTCATTCAACAATTCCAAGTATCTTGTAGTGACTCCGGACTTCCGCACAAAAGAGATAGTGTATTCGATTCGAGAAAATATAAACAGTCGATTCGCAAGAGGTAATAATAATACATCCGCCAAAATGCCAAAAGAAATAACTCCCTGCTCGGATCACCGCTTGCCCATAAATGCCCTCTTTTGCTTGATGTAACTGTCCACGAGATTCTCGACACTGCGGCGGTCGTGCTTGCGGTCTCTACAGAAAGAAATCAGGGTTAGCAAAGTCCAGATACAGGACAAACAATTCCTAACGCACCTCATATGGAACAAGCGCGCCCTTCTGCGCTTGATCTGTGATCGCTGGACAATCTCCACACTCTTCACATTGGGGCTGAAAGCCTTGATAGACATCTCGACCGGAACACGCATGAGCTCGTTCCGCAACAAGAACGAGGTGTCAATGCCACGCAACCGGATGCTCAGACAGACGCCATTGAACGGGTCACCATTCTTGAATGTTACCCGCAGGATATCACCAGGCTTAACACTGCGCGGGTTCCGGCGGTAGTCGAATAGGGCCTTCCGTTCGCCCTTGGGGTCGAGGACCGACAATTGTGTCTCGGTGAACTTGGCCACAGGATCTTTGCATGCAGCACGGGATGATGGCGGAGGAGGGTAGATTTTGATTTTCTTGGGGCCTTCGGACTCCTTCTTCAGGCGCGATGGTAACTGCGACAGGAACTGCTCGGGGATGTTCGACGGGAGGGAAGTGGGTTCGCGCCTCGCGGAGTAGATCGTTGAGATGCACCGACGGCTGGCAGACTGATGGATTGAAGGCGTCAATCTGAGGCAGCTCAACTGCCGCACGAGTGGAGCGGCCATGGTGATGGAGTGTGTGTCGAAGATGCTGGGAGAAGCGGAAGTTCAAGTTTTGGGGCGACCCGGGCAGAATGACCACACCGCCCGCTGATTTTCTCCGATGTTCAGGAACCCGGAGTCGCGCGCACCTCAACAGTTCAATCTGTCTTTGCTGCAATTCATTAACAATGGCGCACAGCGCCATGGGCCGGTTACTAAGTGGCCAGCGCACGCTCTGCTCGCTGCGCCAGTCCGTCTCTTCCTTGACCCAGACTCGCGCCATGGGCACGATGAGAAAAGGTATATACGGTTGGCGGCCACCGTTTCCAATTGAATTTGCTAACAAGCGCTGTTTTGGAATACAGTTCCGCCTTTCAAGCCAACACAGGTTGAGGAACTGGACCAGGCCCTACATCGATTCCGAGAAGAACTCTTTATCCCCTTCAGTCTCCCCGGGCCCCAGCGAAAGACCATGTTCAAGCAAAGCAACGCCCAACGGTTGCTAGACGATCCAATAGCAGTGGACATCAGCGAGAACGAGCAGTACACCTTAAAACCATTGAATAAGGGCGCGATGCCGAAGCGAAAGGACGCAGTCAAAGTGCTGGACCTGATGGAGAGGAACAACACCTGGGAAAACCTCTTCCCTTTCACCGTTGGCCTCGAAACCGCGAACCGAAACTTCAAGCCCGATCAATGGGAGCGGATCATTGCTGCACTCGGCAAAAACAACAAGCTTCACCTTGCCGTATCATGTGCCCGGTATGCCAAGCGCACCGGTCTGCGCCTCAGCGATATGGACGTCGTCCGTCGTCTATTCTTTGAGATCCACCGTACTGCTCAGATGACCGACTTCGAGGACAAGAAAACTACAGATGCGCTCTCTCTGGCACACCAAGCCGTTAATATCATGGAGCAGAACCCAGAACACGCCGTGAAAGATGCATCGCGAGACCCGAAACGCCAGCCCTTTGTGATCGGTACGCTGCTGGAGCTAGCTGCGACGCGTGCTATGCTTGACTTAAACAACGTGGGAGGAACCGAGCAGGTTTTGATGTACGCGCGGAGGCTTCTGGCATGCTGGCCCCTAGGGAAGTTCACATTTGATCCCGAACACCAGGATCCCCAGTCCATTGACACCCGGTTGATGGAGGAGATTATCGTCTGGAATGGACTCAACATGGCAATCAAAGTTCCCGGTGTGGCACCAGCTAAGGATGTCTATGCCCAATTGAAGCAACGGAAACAGGATGTTGAAGCATTGATTAAGAAGCGTCTTGGTTCCCTGTCTAGGGAAGAAGCGGAGAAGAGACCACTCCCTGGATACCGTCAGGCTGTTGTGTTTTTCCAGGATGCCCTTCCTAAGCCCAAGGCTACCATGGAAACACCCACCCAGCGCGAGACTGGAAAGGTTGAGACTCCTAAGGCTGAGACGAGCGACTCATGAAACCATTTGGGCCGTCTATGCACTTGTATATTACTATCGTTTCAAACTTTATCTTGGATTTGGCCCCGTACTTCAAAAATGAAGATGCATTTATTTCCGATATTCACAACTGCTACGTATCCAGACATGTCCACAATGCGGCTGTATCTCATACATCGAAAAAGAAATGAACGCTAATGCACGTCCGAGCTTGGTCTACTTGATCAAACGTATCAAGGACACAATTCCAGGGTGTTATCATTGCTGATACGTCCCTGAGCGACAAGAGTTATAGACGGAGCGACAACGGCAGGGCCAGCCACAGTGATCTAGATAAAGTTAGTTCTTGCGATCAATTGCGCCAGGTGGACATCTCTTACCTGTCCCTCTACAAGCCCATCCCCGGATGCCGAAGATTCCGAGATATTGGTCAGAGTGATCTCGGTGCTACTCAAAGGAGCACCAAAATGACTCGGGCCATGCAGGCGTCGATAGTCGAAGGCATTAGTCTGCGCAACTGCACCCGCAATACCTGGTGCAGTCAGTGCATAAACAACACGTGCGCCGGTAAAGATCCGAAGATCAGTCAACTGCTCGCAACTCAGGCGGGTTGTGGGGCTGGCGTCGAAACGATGGGAAATGCACAACAAACGAAGTTTGTCGAGAGAAAGCTCCGCCGTCGGGCCAACTTGTGCGATTCGGCTGAAGATATTCTGCGATGGCATGTGCCCTGCATCCAAATTCCGTGCTTGGAGGCAACGCCCAAGACGAGATATTGGCCCAGTTTGAGGTTGCATGATTTTGCGGTGATAATCTGACATGGTGCCTGACGACGCAATGATCACTGTGGGAGACACGCCTACGGTGGCCAAAGCGAAATCTACCTTTTCCCCGGCAACTGAGTTCAACGCAATGGATGCGTTGGAGAATAAGGCAGACATGATCTGGCAGAGAGGGTAGGAGCGAGAAAGCGAGTCAATGGATAGAACGACATCGTCTGGGTTCAAACGTTCCGTTCGAGGCAATGCGGAGCCCAGAGCACCAACAGCAGACACGAGATTCTATATTTCGTCAGCACATTCGCGAATGAATCGTTATGAATCAGAAAAATACCTCGGGTTTGAATTCAATGAATTGACCGACTTCATCGGAAGAGGGCCAAACGGTGCTCACTGTAGGGGTCGTTGTGGTCGGGTCGTAGCTGGGCACTTCAAAGCCAGCAAGATCCTTGCCTGCCTCGACCAGTTCATGCCACACTGCTACCTTGAAGCTTTTCTTGGCGTCTTTAGGAACCTCATTCCAGTCCATATGGCGACTGCCAGACTTCGCGACCCAGAGTGCCAGCGACAGTTGCTTGTTCGCTTTCGAAACCGCGGACAGGTCGAGTGACCCTGCCTCTGCAATCAGAACATCCGCCTGGGCTTCCTTCAGGTGCGCGGACAAGATCTCGAGCGACAGGTTATGGGGAACAAGAACCGTCTTGAAGTCGTAAAAGGCACCCGCTAGATCGTAGAACATTAGCGCCAATACCACTCGGTCGGGGAACTTCCGTACCAAAGATAGCAGCCAACAGCTCAGTGGAGTCCGTTAGGCAGACTGCCACCGTCTTGGCCTTTGCTTTCTGAAGGTGTTGACCGATCACATTGATTTCCTGCGTCACCTGGTCCAGCGAACGCTCGACCATCTCCTTGCCCAGCACCGTATAGATCTTGCCCTTCTTTCCAGAGGGTGTCCCATCCTCTTTCAGGGCACCGCGTACAGCAGTCCTCCAAATATCCCGCAGGTCACCTCTTCGCCCGCCGGTCCATTTGGGGGCGCCGGGGTCCTTGACGTTTAATCCGAGACGCAGCGGGAATCCATGCGGCGTTTCCAAGCTTCGGTAGGTTGCCGACTGGCCTGACAGGCGGACCGGAGCTGCGGTGGACTGACGAGCCAGCAGGAATGGGTGAACATCCGGGTCTTTAGACGAGAAGACGGAGTACAGCGCAAATGCGGCTATGATACCGGCAAAGACGGTGGTGTAGACGTTCCAGTCCGCCAGTACATTGGCGACCAGAGCATCCAGCTGCTCCGCAAGCGAAGGATGAGAAGCCATGGCGGTGTTGTGTAAAAGAGCACTGTGTACAGTATGACGTGTGAGGGATCACGGGGGGGCAGACCGGATGCCGGGACAACCGTAAATCCGGCGATCCTGGTCGCGCCTTTCCCAGCCTCCAATCCAATCCAATCCGACCCGAAAACATTCGGCCTGCGACAACTCCTTCCGCCGCCCACCATGGCTTGCTGAAGACTTCCCGACAGTTTAGCGATACTCATTCGTCTCAGGTAAGTGCAAATCCCAGTTTTGGCTCCAGGTAAGTCCCCGCATACCCCCTTACTGTTGTTATGGGCGCAATGATTGACAACCGATGTACAGCTATTTTTCTCTCGTCTGCCCCTTATTCTCAATTCTTCTGTTTCCTCTCGTCGACCACAATGGCGACCCAATCACTACCCTCTACGCCTAAACCGGCCTCTGGAGTGGCCACTCCTCAGTCTGGCACCCCGGGAAAATGGCGCCATCCCCAGTTGAACGAGATCGTTCGGCGGCAAAATGCAGCTACCTTTGGCGATAAGAACGTGCGGAAGTTGGTTTGGAATGGAGTTGCATTAGTGATAGTTTGGGGGTTGGGGAATACGCTCAAAGTATAGTAAGTTGAAAGCCGTTTCCACGGCCGTGTCTACGATATACTGACTGGACCGACCTCGCACCAGCTCGCGCCAATTATTCAACAGCAACCCGTTCTACGATGAGTTCGGACTGGTCTTTCTGCAACTGTTTCTCCTCTTCAACATCCTCGCGGCCTTGTATCCTCTCTTCCGGCCCAAGGACGATCTCTCCGACATCCCACTCACCCCCACACAACGCGCTCTTCTTGGCCTAGATCCCACGGTGACGCCGCCAGTGACGCCTGGGACCACCTTCGTGACCCCTCCGCGATACCGGCTTTCGACCTCGCGCAAGGCCAGTCCGGCGAGCCGACAGAGCGTCTCGCCGATGTCTGCAACGCCCAGCTTCTCTGACCGTCGCGTCTCTACCGGGTCGCCTTTTTCGCCGGCATCGAGCCCTCTGCTGCATAAAGCTACTTTCAATGGAGGTCGCGAAAGTGGTCGAAGACAGAGCATTGGGTCCGCGTCACCTCTCGCGCGGTCCTCGTTCGGGGAGTCCAGCGTTGGGCCTAGTTCTCCGTCTCCGCTGGGAGGTAAGCGGAGGAGTTTGGGTTTGAGTAACAAGTGGCTTTATGAGAGAAGTAGAAGGCTTTCTGCTAGTAATGGCGCTCTTTGATTTTTCCTGGGTGGGTTCGGCCTGGATAGGTGCGCATACATAATGGTGTTCTTAGCGATAGTTGGTTTCTTATTAATTTTCTCATGAATGAGACCTCGAGTGCGTACGAGTAAACTGGTCACGAAGTGGAAAGGCGGACATGGCCCAACCGCGGTCAGCCAAGAATCAGGAACACCAAACCAAACAACCACTTTGCGCTTCAACCACCCGCCTCCGACAGCTGACCTCCCCGAGCACAGAATCAGCGCAGCAGCTACCCATCTACATGACGACCCTTTCGCTGTGATTACTTCTCCTCTCTGCAGCGATGGGGGCCTCCGAGTCCAAGCTCGTCTTCAAGCAGGGCATCTTCCGCCTCTCCGAGGAGCAGGAGATCCCTGCGGACGACCCTTACTGGACCAGGGTATGTTGGCTATTCCTGAGATTTGATCCCCAAAATCATCGGCGCTGACGGTCTGGGAAGTTTTGGGAACTCCCCGAATCCACAGAGGACGTCTTCAGCCTATTCACGCCCGCCGATATTCGACGAACCCGAGACCGTGCCTTATCGAACTTTGAAACACTGCTCTTGTCAGTAACATCTCGCCTGATCGTTCTTAAGAACCATCCTTCCTTCCCTGACCCCGACCTGGCCCCCGACCGCGATGCGCTCAACTGCATTCGCATCCTCACCCGGCTCCTCCCCTTTGTCTACGAAGCAGAACACCTGGAGGAATGGGAAGAGAAGTTCTTCTGGGCGCGGCGAAGGAAGAAGACCCGGCAGGCCCAGATCTCCGGGGAAGTGCTTTTTGACGAAGCACAGCCAGACGACCAGGACCGAACGAACCCGCGCACCGAAGAATATGAGGATGTCAAGCCGTTGGCCGAAGAGTTAATGGATACCTTATTGGAACTGCTGTTCTTTGCGGATTTTACTATCCCACAACTTCCAACGGCGAAAAGCAAGATCTCGTACTCGATCTGGCAGAGTGGTGTTGGCTGCAATACAGCGATGGGATCGAACAAGACCCTGGAAAGCAATCGATGCGAGATCCTGCGGCTGTTGTTGACCATCACCGGCAAGGCCATGTACATGCCTTCCAGTCAGTTGCCTTTTCGACACCAACTCCTGGCCCAGACTAACTCGTTTTAGGTACCTTGCCTGTGCAGGGTGTCAGGGCTATCACCTATATGACAACCTGCCAAGACAAACAGTCTGTTCTGACTCTCCTCTGCTCTCTTCTGAACACAGTATGGTCACCCACTATGTTTGACTTTGCGTCGCTGATCTGTACACAGGCCATGAAATACAACCCTGCATCATGGAGAGTCCCGTACGACCATGTTGTGTGGAAGGATCCGAAACAGATTCTAGTCATATATTGCTTGCAATTGCTCCTCGTCCTTCTTTTATATCCCATTCCAGAGGATGGTCGGGGAGCTCCACCGAAGAACTACTACCGTCATTACTTTGGCAGACTGCATCGGCCCCAGGATTTCCAGTTCCTGGTGGATGGGATGACGCGGATTCTAGACCAGCCAGTATGTTTTCCTGGTAGCGCCTGCTGGATCTTGTTGACATGAATATTTCTAGATGCAGGCTACAACTTCCTATCTTCCCGGGAGTAAAGGGCCGGTGAAGTGGGCGCCGGAGATGTTGATCCTGTTCTGGGAAACCGTGCAATGCAACAAGCGATTCCGGTCGTTCATCGTTGATTCCAACCGTTCGCACGATTTCCTCATTCTGTGCATTTTCTACGCCATGGAGTATCGACTGGATGCATCCAAACAAGGAATTGTTCGGATGTGCATTTTCATCCTCCAGACCATGAGTGTTGAGCCCACGTTTGCCAAGAGCTTAAACAAAAAGTTCGAGGCCCAAGAGACTCTGCCACAGTCGATACGCCTCATGAAATTCCGAGGCTCGTATGCCGACTTCCTGATCATGGTTCGTTTTCTGCTAGTCCCAAGGCATAGAGCAGCAGCTACTAACCTCCGTGCAGTCAATCCATACGCTCATGACAACGAGCAAGGGAAAACTAGATACCGTCTATCCCGCACTTCTGGTGGTCATCAACAATATCGCGCCATACATCGAGCACATCTCTCCGAGCGCCTGTTCCAAAGTCCTACAACTCTTCTCCTCGATGTCGGCACCCAGCTTCTTGTTGGCGAATGAAACTAATCATACGCTTCTTGCATCATTGCTTGATTTCATCAGCACTGTTCTGGAACACAAGTTCTCGGGTGTGTTTTCCTTCACTCTTTCGTTTTCTACTTTCTGACTCTCTCAGAAAACCCGTATCTCGTGTATGCAATCTTGAAATACAGGCAACGATTTGAGGCTGTGCGGGCCTTCACACTGGAAAGTGGTCAACAAGAGATCGAACGGCAGAATGAGAGAAGAAAAGCTGGGGGTGCCCAGAGCGACGTGGTCGCCAGCCCATCGCTTTCGCACTCCGAGGAAGACCTCCACACTCCCTCTGGCGCCCGGTCGCCCTTGACTCGTATCCCTGAGGAGAACAGTCCGTTTTCCATTGGTGGCGATGATGATTCCGATGATGATGGGGAAGGGCAGCACACGCCATCCCAGTCATCTCCCTCCATTCAAACCTCGCGAAGGCCATCCGTCTCTTCCACTGCGGAAGAAAGCAGTGTTCAACAGTTGAGGATTTCGGAGAAGGCACGGGGTAAGATGCCGGCAGGACGGCCGGGTCTTTCTCGGCAAAACAGTATGACCAGTCAGAGCAGCATGTCTGCTCTGTTCTCTGCCCCTTCTGCTGGCTTCACGCCGACTGTCCCCTGGGTAAGCTCTCTTCCCTTTCTTAGGCAAGCAAACATATTGACACTGCTCTAGCTCGAATCATGGCTGCCAGAGCTCCCCCTTCACACGACCCTAACCATCATCTCCGCCATTGCTCCTCATATCCCCGATGTAGCCCTCGAGTCGACTGCCAACTCCGAGGCACGGACCCTCATCACCAACCTCCCCTCTTTCGTCCACGAGCCGCAGGTCAAAAGCATCATCTCCGAGCCCACGTCGATCCGCGCACAGCCTTTCGAATGGTCTGCGCTGTCGATGGGCTGGTACGAGTCACTGCTATGGGGTTTCATTTTCTCGAGCGAGATGGTGGTCGGTTCAGCCGCGGGCGCAACACCAGGCACCGTGGGTGTGTGGAATGGCACATCGATCCGACTTTTCAGGGTTCAAGAGGCTGCCGCCCAGGGCCCTACGCTGTTTGCTCCCAAGGGGGCCGTCGATGCCGTCGGAAGCAACCTCGTTCAGCGCATCGGTAACCTCAGTCTCAGAGGACGCAACTCGATGTCTCAGGAGCCCCCTAGCAGTACGCCGTCGAGTGTTCGGGAAGTGTAGCGTGGCTGGCCTCTCTCACGCACGTCAGGTTCACCGGCTACTCGACTCTGCTGGGAATGGCTGCAATTGGTTATCATGGCGGCTTCTTGCAGAGCCGATAGAATTTAGCATCTAATGATTCAATGACCAATCGAGTCCCATTCCGTATTATGTAGATTCGTAGAATGGTGTGGTACCTCCTGGTATTTCGAGGTCATGTTTGATGTGCCCAGCTCGGGGATGACCGACCACGTGCACGGCCCGCCAAGGGGTGTGCAACATCTACCGATAACCATCACCAATTCCATTCCTGATGCGGCAGTAGCACCATGAACCCGTCGCTCATGTTGCTACTCTCTGGTTTTGTTGTTGCTCTCTTCGCCGGCCCCGAGCCCGCCATCGGGGCCATTACGTCTAGCCTACAGAGCATCTTGAGGAACACCCATGGCAGCAAAGAGTACGGCTATCCCACGGACCTCACCCGAGATATCTTGCCGGTAAGAGCGATGTCAACCATTCATTGCTTGTCGGAATCTTGTTAATAAATGAATGCGTAGATTCCTGTTCATTCTCACAAGTGAATTATCCAGTCTCTCCCATTCTAATGGTGACTGACGCCGTCCCAGTGATTACTGGAGAGATGAACCCTTTTGGACCGGTACGCGAAAACTTACCTTATGTCTTTTCTCCTGGCACTGATATACTCATCTTCCCAGGTCTTTCCAAGGGCTGCACATCCACTGAAGCCGATGTGTGGCTATACAATGGCACTCTCTACGTCCGTCTTTTGACCTGTTCCCAATGCCATTCTAACTGCAGTAGGTTGGCCATGATCAATCCGCCTTAACAGCGGAACGAACTCTAGCGTCTCTCTATATAAATCCGATTCTGGATGTTTTGGAGCGCCAGAATCCCGAGTCTCCCTTCGTGACGTCACCCACCAAGAAGTCAGTATCCTGCGCAAGATCCTACCACACGCTGAAAACCAGAAACTGAATGGACGACAGCGGCGTCTGGGACACCGTCCCCGACCAAACACTCTACTTCTTCATCGACGTGAAAACATCCGGGCCAGAGACCTTCGAGGCCGTCATCGCGGCTCTAGCCCCCCTTCGCGAGAAGGGCTACCTCACCACCCTGAAGAACAACAAAACCATCACCAACGGCCCAGTGACTATTATCGGCACGGGAGAAACCACTCTGGAGATGGTAGCCCCGATAGCAGACCGCGATTACTTCTTCGATGCACCACTCGCGGGCCTGAATGACCCCAAATACGCCGAGATCACATCCTTAGTATCCCCCATCGCATCAACGGACTTTGAGATGGCCGTCGGCACAATCACCGCTGATACAGAGCCCGTCCTGACAGATGATCAGCTCGGCGCTCTTCGTGAGCAGATCTCTACTGCCAAGGAACGCGGCATTGGCGTGAGATACTGGAATACGCCATACTGGCCTGTGCGGACAAGGAATCTGGTCTGGAGGACCCTGATTCAGGAAGGTGTGAAGCTGCTTAATGCGGATGATCTGGATGCTGTTGCGGCGTACTTCTAGAGAGGGTCTCTCGAGTGTTTAACTATTTATCTAGAATGGTCTGTATGTGTACTCTTTAATTACTTCAGGTTCGAACCCGTCTTTATCATGGTCATTTTTCGAAGCATCTCTCTGGGCTATTGAAACTCGACCATCCCTGAATTCCCCAGTTTTTTGTGATGTTGCTTCTGGATAATCCAGTATTATTTGCTGGTAGAAACTCAACTTTCTGATGAATCTGGGGGATATTCCCATCTTGGATGGGTTTGAAGTTGGGATAGATGTGAGGACATAGGGTCAAGGGGAACTTCTCCGCGATGGTGGTGGGTGCACAAGAGCCAAAAGAAAGAAAAGTCTAAAAGAGAAGGCCGGAAAGCAGACAAGAAAAGTGCAACCTGCGTGACTGCTTTCCTTCCTGCAAATGTTTGTTCAGTCTTTTGTTTCTTTTGCCTTAGCAGGCCCGGGATTCAGGCGTGATTCAGACAGGTCATCTAGGCACAAGAATGCCAGGTGCAATACAGTGAGTAGACTTATTTCTTATTATGCCCTCTTCTATTATCAAAATCGCAAATCATCCAACTAACGTTAACTCTGTATAGTTCATTGGTTCCTGGAATATATGGCGGTAAATCACGTGACCTAGACGACAACAACGCATCGCCGGCAGGGACTTTTCACAGCTTCACAAAAATTCTGTTCAGTACGATGTCTGTGGATGCAGATCTGGGGGATCTCCTAGCTAAGGTGCTCCCTATAGGGGTCGAGCTCACTGTGCGCCACGTCTCATCAACACCAAATCCGTCCCCAGCACTCTTCGCCGCAGCTCCAGGCCAGAACACTGAGCCGACATTCTGTGAAAATCACTTTCTGACCATCTCAATTGATCGTCCTGGTGATAATGGAGGCGAGACTATCGTGTTTGGAATGGAGGTGATGGTCTACAACACGGCCCACCTAACCACCATCTTCGTCTCCAAGGCCGACTCCACCGGACTCCTGCACCTATTGGAGCTGCCGCGCAAAGTCTCGATTTTGAGACTCGTCTCCACCACCTTTCTCTCATTTCTTGTGCGGACACGCCAGCGACCGGGTGTGCGCCTGGTTGTGTCATTGTTTGCGCGTGCGCAGAACCAGTACTTGTTCTCCGGCAGCATCGAGAACCCCACTAAACACGTTCTAGATGATCGTGGTCTCATTAAATGGTGGTGTCGAGCCATCGACCCGATTCTTCGTGAACAAGAGCCCGAGTCTATTGCGTCGGAACCCAAACGCCTCGGTCAAACGGCCGAGGCTTCCACAGCCTCTGCGACGGCGTACCTGATTGTTCCCGGCTGCGACAAATTCGAAACCAGAACCTTCTTTCCAACCACGGCCAAGTCCGACACCCAAGAGCGTCCTCGATGGCTTACCAGCTACCCGCTTCACCAACTGTGTCCCGACCCCAAGGCTCCTCCGCGCTGCTTGGTTCCTCGTCTTCCAGACGACCCTAAAACCCGTTTTCTGATTGATCTGGATGACGAGCTTCCAGAACCAGCTGAAGGTGAAAATACACTCTCTGATACCGGTCAATGGCGCAGCGTGAGGTCTTTAGATCAGTTTTGGGAGATGATGTCTTTCAGGCAGGAGTGCGCTGCCGGCCGGTTGGTGGGCTTTCTATGGCTCGTGATCAATCCTCCAGGTTTGGTAAACTCGATATCCATGGCGAGCCAAACATGCAGCTCGACGGAGGCCGGCCAGATCAACGATGGTGCTTCGGAATCGAAGAACGCATCAAACTACGATAAGCAACAGAACAGTTCTAGCGTCCATGAAACAATGGATGCTCCGGTGGCGATCTCAGATACAGCATCAGCTCCTGAGGAGCAACAGCAACAAAATACAACACCTTCTTTCGACCGTCACCCCGTCGGATCATCAGCTGAACTCCGATCCCAAGGCCAAGCTGCCGACGCCAATCCCTTCTACTGGCCAGAAGCCGGGAGGGGACACGTGGTGCTGAGCGAAGGCGACTACAAGAAAATGATGGACTCGTTCCTGGAATCCTTCTACGACGAAAAAGAGGCCATCACCAGCACCAAAAACTATGTCAACCATGTTGCTTGCCTTGCAGACCAGCTCTTGTGGGGCAAGCGAATTGTCGGCAATAGCATGTCGGAGAGTATTAGCACTCAGTCCTTGCAGCCGAGCAATGTTTTGGATCTTGGATTGGTTCGCAAACGGAAGAAGCCTGATGCTGAAGTGGACAAGAGTGCCGCTGCCGAGGGGGAGCGGGCGTCGAGCAAATCCCAAGATACTTCTCAAGGGGTCAATATGCTGAATGCCAGTTTGGTTCGGAAAAAGAAGAAGACATAGTTGGAGTGGGTCCAGCTGCATAATTACTAATGAGACATGTGTATTCCACGTTTGAGAGGAGCAACAGAATGAGATAGTTCCTTTGATCCAGCTAGAACCCATATCAATTATCTCAATTTGTTATCTTATGACTAGCCCATAGGTAAATCCGACGTACTTTTCAAGCCTTGTGCAAAAGTGAGTACCAGATTGAATACGGCATCTTCTATACTGGTTCAGTGAAGGTAGCAGAACCTTGAGGGTGAGACCGAATGAATAGACAAGGTGAATAAAGAAGCAGTATACATAGCCTTCCAGATGTGTTTGTTCCCTACCTCTTAAGGCGTAACGCAGAGGTGAAGCGGTGGGACGCGAGGAGATACATATGCAAACTAAGCAATTAGAACAATACTTTATTGAAGTGTGTAGCGAAAGCTTAACATCGACGCAAGGGAGAACCAATGGAGAGAGTGCTAAGAATACAAATATACAAGCGGGAAAGAAGTGAAGCAATGGCAAAAGTTGAACAGCGCCAGCGCTTGGCCCAAGATGTAGACCAATCCAGAAAAGAAGGCGTAGAAAGTCCTGGCGAATGAAAGACAAGAATTTGGCTACAAAATCTTTAAGTTTCTAACAAGGGTATTCCCCGCGCACGAAAGTGGATCTTTCCTTTCACTTCGTTTCGGGGCATTAAGTCACATTACGCCGTCTACACCACCCGTGTCACGAATACGAGGTCTTCTGGTCTAGATGTCGTCCATGACAAATCTGGTTGCGAGGGCTGACAAACGAGTCACTCGCAGCTTCTTATATAGTCTCAAAACAATTCCTCGAGGTTACCTTTTGCGTGCCATAAATTCCGACTATACTGCTGTGAACCAGGACTAAATTTGCAGTAGTAGATCACCGAAGTCAAGCTCGAAGTACACTATCATAAATGGCTGCACAACCTCCTTTCATCTCTCACATCCTCGAAACATGTCTATACGTACGCGATGTCGGTGCATCAGTTGATTTCTATAAATCCGTCCTAGGTACCGAGCCTTTTATACAAGCAGTGCGTCACATCTCACTCCACTAATATCAGATTCTTTGTACTACGAATATTAAACTAATCTGTCTAGCCTCGCGTTGCCGGCTTTAATCTCGGATCCACGACTCTTCTACTCTTCCAACTCGGGCAGACCTCTAAGAACATTATCGACCCTAACGGCGGAGTCATCCCGGGTCACGGTCCTAGTGAACAGATCATCTCTTCCCTCCGCTCCGACAACCCAGGTAACAGAACTTATCTAAAGCAGCATTTCTGCTTTGCCGTCGATAGTCCTGCCGACGTGGTACAGTGGGATGCGTATCTTCAGAAACTCGGCATCCCCGTTACTGGCCGCATGGACTGGGATCTTGGTGGGAAAAGTGTTTATTTTGAAGACCCGGATGGACATATTGCAGAAATCGGGTCGCGGGGGATTTGGAAGCACTATTGATATTTAAATCTGTTTAATCTAACAATTCTCTGTATACTAAATGGGCAATCTCGTCTCTAAAGCTCTGAATCCTCTCGATCTTAGTTGTCATAATGGTCTCCTTCGTTCAGCGTGCGACGGTCCGTATGGCACTGACTGCGCTCTTCCCTGACCAACTGTTATTGGACCACTAGCTGGATATAATTTGAGGTCTCTACTCGTCGCCTGGACTCGGAAGTCGATCCCTTGTCCTTTCTAGAATGAAGATCAAGGACTGGTAGAGGTTGAATGTAGTCCTTGCTAGCTCCTGAACATCATTGCGGTTGAGAATTTGAGGCAGATATTCGACCAGCAGCCTATGGGATTCCGTTGCGCCATCCCTAGAACTCTCCAAAGCCCGTCCATCGACACCCTCTTCGTCTGAATTCTTCTCTTATTCTTGAATCATCTGAATATGGAGACTAGGGAATACCTAAACTTAAGCCGAAAAAGCTAGAGAATGCCAACCTGCAGTATCTAGTGCCTTTTTCTAGGTTCTTTTGTTGCGCCGCGGATTGTGGCTCCCAGAACGGCGCTATCCACAATGGTCCGGACCCACGCCTGACGAAAAAGCAGCCGAACTGTACACACGTAGGTCAGAGCTATTTATTTGCAGTCAATTGGAACAGTAGACAGCAGAATAATCCCAACTACTGCCAATATCTGATTCTAGTTGGTTCGTACTGCGATGTACAGTCTCACACGAGGCGGTGATCCACCGGCAAAACCGAGATTGACCCGCTCCTTTCCACTGGTTCATTTTTTCCTCCCGCGCACGTCCACACGGACGAACATGATTCTCTTCTCCCTTGAATGTCGGTGACTGTGTGGCCTGTCCGGTCTCATGCTAGAGCCATTGCGTTCGCCCTTTCTTGATGCGCCCATCGGTGATGGCGCCCTCGTGCGCCTCGCAACGGGTTGGATCGGCTTGATCTGGTATACCACGGTGCTGGCGGTTTGTGCCCTGGGCTATTTTCAGATGTATGAAGGACCCCGTCTTATCGATTTAGTCGAAGCTAACTTTTTTCTCCTTTCTAGAGAGCAGCATTTCCTGCGGCGGCCACGACAGTCCCCTCTTGCGACCTCCTCTGACGCCCCCCATGTCACGGCCATTCGCCCCGTCAAGGGCCTCGAGCCGCACCTTTATGACTGCCTCGCGGCTACCTTCCGACAAGATTACCCGCCCGACAAGTTGACAGTCTGCCTTTGCGTGTCGTCGAGCGATGACCCGGCCTACCCGACACTATGCAAATTGGTGGCCGATTTCCCCGAGGTGGATGCGCGAATCTATGTTGAAGACGACGACCCACTGCTACAAGACTCCAGCAAGTATGCTCTAGGACCAAATCCCAAGATCCGCAACATGAGCCGGGCCTACCGTGAAGCCAAAGGCGACATTATGTGGATTATCGACTGCAATGTGTGGGTTGGGAGAGGCGTCTGTGGTCGCATGGTGGACAGCCTGTGCGGATCGGCGAGCACCAAGAAATACAAATTCGTGCATCATCTACCCGTAGTCGTCGACGTGACTGGGGAGAACAACCTGCAGCAAGAACGGCAGGCACTCCTGGATGCCACTCGTGGAAACAACGCAAAGACCGTAGCTGCCCCGATGCTCTCCAGCCGTCCTGAAGACGGGTTCGCCGCGATGCTGGCAATAGGAGGCGGTCGGCTCGAAGAGCTGTTTCTCTCCTCTGCGCACGCGAAGATGTATACCGCCATCAACACTGTGCTCATTGCGCCGTGCATTGTGGGCAAATCCAACATGTTTCGTCGCTCCCATCTCGACTACCTCACGAGTCCGTCGCCTACAGACCCCCACCCCCGCCACCCGGGGATTGACTTCTTCTCCGACAACATCTGCGAAGACCATCTGATCGGTGACCTCCTATGGAGAAGGCAAGTGCGCGAAGAGAAAGAGCGCGGTGAGCACTGGGGCAAGCACGCCATGGTCTTCGGGGATCTAGCCTTCCAGCCTGTTGCCAATATGAGTGTACATGCATACATTGCTCGTCGGGTGCGGTGGCTGCGTGTACGCAAGTTCACCGTCTTGCTAGCCACGCTTGTCGAGCCAGGCACCGAATCATTCCTCTGTTCAATCTACGGCGCCTGGGGAGTCACGAATGCCCTGGCACCATACCTTGAACAAAAAGGCGTGCAGTGTGCCTCTTGTCTAGGCACCTGGGCTGCGTTCTTTGCATTCTTCGCGTTCAGCATGGTCTCTTGGGTCTTTGTCGACTGGACCTTGTATGTCAAACTGCATTCCGCCAAGACAGTCGAGATGGACACACACACACCGTCCTTTGCACTGCCCAACTCCTGCAGTCATTCTACACAAATGACTCGCCGTCCTTTCCTCCAATGGCTTGCTGCATGGCTAGGCCGGGAGCTTCTAGCTCTGCCAGTCTGGATTTTGGCCGTCTACGGCGGCGTGACTGTCGTCTGGCGAGAGCGGCAGTTCAAGGTTGGTTTTGATGCGAAAGTCCGAGAAATTGAAGCCGACAAAGCCGCTCCTATTGAGGGCTCTTACTCCGCTGGCTTGGTGTCCAATGGCGTTTCTGTATCAACACCGAGGCGAAGCTGGATGGAAGGCAAAGTCCGCTGTGACTAATGTATAAATATTTGTACATCTATACCGAAATGATCATTTTTAAAAATAAAATGTTCCTTAGTCCAGCACTATTTTGGCTTTCAGTCCTCTAAATCTCCTTAAGTTTCTGCATAAAGCCATGGATCCTAGAGTAACTCCTTTGCAGTACTTCGTTCTCTATAGGAAACCCTGAGATGTGTTCTTCCCTTCCGGCCAGCTTTTAGGGGCCCAACACGATATATTTGCTGGTCGTTATGTTGCAGACTCCGCTGCAGTGGTCGCACTCACTCGAACAAGACTCTTCGGCTATGTCTGACCCACCAGATTATCAAATGCCAAAGAATAATTGATTCTCTTACAATTTCCGCGGGCTCTTTCCAAAGATAGCATCCTGAGGAGCGGCATTTGCGAAGGCTGGAAAAGCGCCAACCGGGACGGAAAAGGCTGAGGAGCTTCATTGTGACGAGGTAAATAGATGAGGATATATGGATTGGAATGTGTTGTTGAAAACAGATTGATCTGATATTAGGAGAAAAGCACTGGTTGTACGTTCGGCTTTACATCCCTTAAATTCCTAGCCCTCTTCTGATAGATGGCCAGTTGATTGTTGGATCCTGCTGGGAGAAAGATGAAGCTTCGATACATCATTCTCTGGAAGGTCTTCTCGCTATAAAAATAGGAAGAAAAGAGTAGATTGTCATTATTGCATAAAGAGAACATGCTCCAAGCCAAAACTCACACCACCAATATGCAGCACAGTTCAGCTAAAACCACAAATTACTCTAGAAACTTTTGAATGTCTGATAATAGGAAGGCTTCAAATATTGGAATCATGCAGATCCCTCTGCAGCACCCTCTGCAGCGTTCGCACTGCTCTCCAGTCCCGCCGCCCCTTTCTCCGATCCCAACAGCCACTCAACAACCTGCCGACCTGCCGAAATCTCGCCCGCGCTCTCGGAAGGCTGTTGATTCTGGCTCTGGTCTTCCTCGTCACCGATTGTCATCTCAATTTCTTGCGTCTGCTCAGCTTCGCCCTCGTCCTCGTTCTCAGCAGCGGCATCCCATGCAGCCCGCTCCGCCAGGAACACGGCGTCATGACCAGCGTCGTTCTTGACCGCAATATCAGCGCCGGCTTCGACAAGCGCCTTCACGCATTCCAAGTGCGTGTTCAGTGCTGCCCAGTGGAGGGGCGTGTTTCCTGAGTAATTGCGGTGGTTGACGAACGCAGTGCGCAGAGCGGTGTCTTCAACGGTGGACAGTTTTTGCAAAAGAAAATTGAGGATATCTGGGTATTCATTAGCTTATAATCTATTGAAAAAGAAAGAGGTCGGGAATGCATACCGATATTCCCATTCGCAGCGGGAAAATGCAACACGCATGAGCCTGTTCCGCCCTCGTTTTCGTCCTCAGTGTCGATGGCAGATGCCACGATCAGAGACTCGGCGCAGTTGTGCTGGGCAGCTTGGCTGGCTAGATCAGCGGTCAGGGCCTCGAGGTCGCCTGCCCGGGCATCATAGATGAGATCGTCAATTTGCTCAAATGAGAGTGCAATTGGCACTGCAGCCTTTTGTGTTGAGGATGGGCCGGACATGGTGCGCTTTTTCTCTTTCTTTTCGCTGGAGGATTCGAAGTTTGATATTTGCCTCTCTTCTTTAATTACCGGTACAAGGCGCACTTTCCTTGACGCTGATCAAATTCACAGACTTCTCCGTATCTAGCTGATCTCCTCTGGCTCGTGCAATGCGGACGGCAGTGGTTATGAGCTGGGACGTTGTTAGCAGTTATGTCAATTAAGTCGGATTGGCAATGTTCCGCTATAACCACGCTGGCAATTGCCATGCATGTTCGGATGGAAGTGCCATTTTAGACTCATTTCAATGAGTGCACTTACCTTTACCACAATCTGCTGAAGTATGCTCTGGTTTACAAATACAAAAATGTTGCCGCCGAAGAAACTTCGATATCGGGGACCACGTGACCTGGTGGGGTGAACAAGAAGTATACAAGCTCGAATACTTCCCATTGATTGCGCTTACTTGGAGTTGAAATATTATTGAAATATGATCAATATTATTAATACAGCAAAAATACAATAGGCATCCACAGCCTCTATTCACATGCAATTCTCGGAAGCAATAGACACAACGCCGCGACTCCCACCGCCTGGTGTGGAATGGTATATCAACAAGGCTCCCAAATGCGAAAACAGAATCACCGATATGCAAGATTCCCGTCAGATCAATCCCGCAACCAGGCCCGGCGTTTCTCCTCCTTCTTTTCCCGTCGCTTCTCTTTGAACATCTTCAGCTCCTGCTTGCTCAGTTTCTTAGCGCTCCGCTCCGCACGCAGACTACGGCCGTCGTGACTATTCGCTGCGCTATCGACGTCAAAAAAAGCATTCATCTGTCGTCGGGACTTGTTCTCGTCGTTGTGGGTTTCTGCTGTAATCGAGGCGTCCTGCCACCGGCCCGTGAATCGATTGAACATGCCCGTGGCCGCGTACGCCGCGGTGGTGTCGCCCCGCGCTGAGGTGCTTGACTCCGGCTGTGCTTGCTCTTCGTACTGTCGGGCGTATGAAGCATTCGGATCGTAGTCTCCGTGAATCGCAGGGTTGTATCCTCCTAGCACAGGGGACTTCGGCCTTGGGGGTGGCGACAAGGAAGACGCCTCCGGTTGTGTGCCACGAGCCTCCCCTGTCCCGGGCGCTGTTGCGGATGCTGCATCTGGTACGCGGGGATTCTCCCACTGAGATACTCCCGTGAGCCGGTTGTAAAAATAGTATGCTTGCGCATTGCCATCCCAAACGGGTTCCCATCCATCGTCTTCGGCTTGGCCTGGGTGTGCTTCGTCGGGAAGAGGTGGAGGGATCTCGTCTGGCAAAGGCGGTGCAGATTCCTGGTCATCTTCTTTGGGGTCTGGTTGTGGTTCTTCCACCTCCTCTTCGTCTGGTTGATGCCCCGGGTCGCGTTTCTCTTCTGTCTCGGGGTGTAATTCCGGCGCGGACGGGCTGCGCGTGGCACCCTCGTCCGGATGAGATGCAGATGGGTGTGGTAACGATGTAGACATTCTGGAGACTATTAAATGGCCCGCTGGGGTTGTGAGGCTGGCTGCAGATCAGATCCGAGGGAAAGCAGCTCGCAAAGCTGCGGCGCAATGCGAGGCTCACCGCCCTGGCAGATCGTTTTACGCCTTCTTTTTTTGGAACAGGTCCATCGAGCACGTAGGACGTCCCAAATGTAAGTGCAAAACACGAATAATCTCTGATTGACTAAATCTGGCATTCTCAACATCCTCAAGGGCGGAGCTAACTAATAATCGACAGATACAAAATACAAAAAAATGCGATGAGTGGTAAAAACCCTGTATGTGACCTGTGGGAATTCAGATCCTTTGACAACGAGGTCTAATTTCCTATAGTTGCCATTGTATTTAAGAGGTAATAGTATGCTTCAAGCAACGTATGGTATTCCCAAAGACAGATTCCTAAACTGATAAAACTGCTATTTCATTGGATCCTGCATACAGCATTCCCAGCTATAGCCTATCCCAGCTAACTACCTATTCCATGCTTCTGGATATCCACCAGAAGACGTAGATGACTGCTGCATACCCTGCATCGTCGGTGTCGGCGGGCATTGAGGTGCAGGCTGCATTTTAATGCAGACTATCTCATTGACACCCAGATTCTCACAAGATCCACGATGGATTTGCGGGTTCCACGCGTAGAGTTGGTTGAGGCCGCCCATATCTGGATGCATGATGGCGATCTTCATGCAGCTGTCATTGGCCTGAACTACATAGTGAGACACACCTGTCTTGTATTAACGAAGATGCCTCGATGACCGGACGTTATCTGTATCGACAACACTCACAAGTAGCAGCTGGTGCCATGACTTCCGCAGACCGAGTAAGGTCCGCGCTAGCTAGCGGCGAGAATGTAATGCAAACAGCCAGCACGATAATGCTAGTAAAGGGAGGAGCCATTGTTAAGAGTTTCGAGATTAGATCAAAGGCAAGCGAATGATTTGATGTATGAAGGAAGTGAAGTACGGGGCAGGTGCTGTACCCTTATTTATATCTGAGCTCGATTGCACAGTCTACTAGAAAGTTGAACCGAGCTCATCAAAGCCTGCTATAGACTTGGTGTCACCAGATCAATTGTTTCACAACCCAATCTGAGCAAGGCAAACTAGATGCCAACCTTCCAATCAATTTACTCGTTTATCCTTGTATTGACTCTATTATATCCGAGCTGGAACATAGATCTTGGCAGATTCTAGAAGAAGAAGATAGAACATGTCTTTTCCTAGAAATCCCAGTCAACAGTGTCTGCAATCTAATTCTCACTGTCTCGAGTATGCGTTGATGGCCAAATTCTCATACCAGCTGAAGAAGCGGAGAGCCGGTTTTGCTTAGGCAAACTGCACAACCTTTGTGAAAATATTAGGAAATATTGTATTCTGTCTCACTTCCGAGATTCTCTATTTCAACTGGTTTAACCTCAGATGCCCGTTCATGCTACAGGTCTATCTAGGTTTTGCCATATCCTGCGAGTTACACGCTCGGAGAAACGGAAATTTGATTGCTGCGAACAACCTTTTTGTTTGGTCACTCAGATTGACCTGTGTCTCCTGCCATTGATACAGTATCTCTCGACCCCATCTCCGCGAACTATAACCACATTCATGAGTGTTGCAAGGGTTTTATGTAAGCTAGATTGAGATAGTTAACCAACCCTCGCAAAATTAGGGCTTAGTTCGAGTGAAGCTCTTCAAATTCATGCTGTGTTCAATGTATCTAAACCACTCCACTCGTCATTTGAGGATAATTCCAGTTACCGCATTATTAACTGAGTTACATGTCGCAGGCTCCATATCTATGAAGAAGGCAGTAGAATGATTATATTATCTGCCTTGGCAATCGACACCCATGGTTAATATTCGCATTCGGAAGTAATCAGATAGCCCAGTGTTACATACAGCCTTATAGATACAGCCTGTGCTTGTCGGCATCCACATTGTATATTCAATCTTTCAACATAGCTCTACGCTATATGGTATATCCTTTTCGCAAAGGGTGGTAATTTATAAACAATTCAGTCTGACAATCTATCTATAATCTCTCCCAGTCCATGAAACAGCATCTCATCTATGTAGATCCCAAACAATGTCACTCAAACTCATGCAGTAGACGCTCAATCATCAGCCATAAAACCATTGTCAAGTCATCATCGATTACCACCATAGTCTCCCAACAGCCTCAGCTTCCCAAACCCCAAAACCCGACCACCTCCTTCCCACTTGCCGCTCCTCACGCTGCCTCTTGTCAGGATTTTCATCATCCACCCAACTCTCCCCCTCCGCAATAGTATAAGAACCTAATTTACTCGGCGACGATGAAGAGTGCAAAGCTGTCTTAATCGCAGAAGCCATGGATCTTCTCTGGTGTGACTTCGGTCCTTTTCTCAGCGTAGATGCCTTTTGCCTTTTCTGTTCCAACGATAGTTCAGATGCAGCTCTTGCTTTTCGACCAGACCCCTCCTCTTGAAGTGGCTCCATCGGCTCCTGTAGGGATTTCGTTGGATGGTCAGGCGGCTCTGGTGTGGCATCTAGCCTAATAACAGGGTATTCTGGCATCGAAAGCGCCTGCACGACTTTATCACTCCCGAAATTCGAGGACAGTCTCTCATCAAATAAGGTCTGGATACTGATGCTTCCCATGCTCTGTAGCTTGTTCTCATCCGTCTTTGTTTCTGTGGACTGAGCTGGTTCGTCGATCGAATGCCGTACAATTGTGCTAGAGGCGGAGTCGATACTATCTGTGTCTCCTTGTGCGAAGGAGACTGTTTCCGAGGTTTGATTGATCAGGTCGTTGGAGTCTTCCTCGCATGGTTTTGAACGTGATAGTCTCCTAGAGAATCGGTTGCTTCGGAGGCGGCGCACTATCGAGGAAATAAAGCGCATTCTGAAGAACCGTCTAGATGAAGCGTTGCTGAGAATATCAAAAATATGACATGAGAGGAGTTGATTGTGCCAAAAAAATGTAGGAAGAAGATTGATTTCATGAGACATCTAGAATGGGCCCGTGTGTTGGGGAGCAGTCGTACAAACATGCGCTATCTAGATTATAACTATCGGGTTCACTGGATTATAGCTGCAGTGAAACAACTGGCATTTCGGAGAAGCTCTCATAGCTTCAAGATTCGCATATGTTTTACGAATCGTGTCATCCTGCCAACAACTAGCTCTGCACTGCGCTACAGGTCTTGCAACCTGAGATGAAACTCCGAGTGTGTACATACGGGATGTCTGGACAAAAACAGATTTGATCTACACGTATGTAGGGCACAAGCCAAGCATTCTCTAGAATGATCGACAGAGCTTGCATGATTGACTGTGGATCCCTTTTTGACCTTACAACACAGGTGGCTGGGGCTGTTAGACACATGATGCAACTGCCTTTCGCTTGATCAAACTACGGACAAGATTATTCAGTGTGGTTGGGCCGCCTTTTTGAATGTAGGAAGAATGCCACGGGTATTACGTGGATATTTTGAGGGAATTTCTCGCAAGACAGTCCATTAAAGCCTAAGAATGTTAGTTCTGCTGGAGAATGTTAATTGGCCTTATCCCCTGCCAACATGCCCAGTGGGAGACTCAAGCATCTTGGCGATGAAGCGAGCCTTGCTACGGTTTAAGCGGGTATTAGTAGGTTACTCTGGAAATGATCACAGATACTATATTGTCTTATATGAGGTAAATCATGAATATAGAAACGGTGCTCTTGCAATGTAAATTCCAACGAGCTCTATCGAATCTTTCAAAACGGGAATGCTGCACGCTCAGAGCTTGCTAGCAGGAGCCGGGCTGTACAAAGACTGAGTCCGGTTCATGGCCTCCAGGGCCTCCTTCTCGATACGGTCGAGCAGCACAGCGCAGGTTGGGATGTCATGGATCAGACCAATGACCTGACCAGCAGTCCACACCTATAATAGATAATGTCAGATTTGTCTCTAGAGACGAGCAAGAAAAACTTACACCGTAGTCAACGTCACCGTTAATGAAGACCTGGCGACCCCGCTTGCCACTGACATAGGGGCCAATCTCGCTGAAATCGCCAGTCGTGCTCTCGCGCTCGACCTTCAATGCGTCTTGAGTCACCTTGTTGGCGAAGAGCCGCGAGGTGTTCTTCCACCGGCGGAGCACCAAGGCGGTATCGGTCTCCTGGGCGTTCACGATGGCCTCCTTGACCTTGTGGTGAATGGGAGCCTCGATCGTGCTCATGAAGCGAGTGCCCATGTTGATACCCTCGGCCCCGAGAGCCAAGGCAGCCGCGAGACCCTGGCCATCGGCGAATCCACCCGAGGCGATGAAGGGAACACCCAGATCTTGGCGGGCGCGGCTCAACAGAATAAAGTTGGTGATGTCGTGCTCACCGACGTGGCCGGCACACTCAAAACCATCAATCGACAGGAAGTCCACGCCCAGCTTGACGGCCGACTTGGCGTGCCGGATGGTCGTGCACTTGTGCAGGATGATTGTGTTGGCTTTCTTGAGCTGCTCGATGACGGGGCCTGGGTTATTGCCGGCTGTCTCGACGATCTTGATCCCCTCATCTATGATGACTTGCGCGTATGCCCCGTAATCTGGAGGCACCATGGCCGGCAGGAGGGTCAGGTTGACGCCGAAAGGGTACTTGGTCATGGTCCGACATCTCCGGATCTCTTTGCGCAGATCTTCGGGGGTTGGTTGGGTGAGAGCAGTGAGCTGGATAGCACATTAGAGGTGTGTTTATCGTGGTTTCCAGAGGGCAAAAACGTACTATACCGAGACCACCGGCGTTGCTAACGGCCGAGGCCAGCTCGGCATATCCGACCCATTGCATACCTCCCTGCACAACGGGCACTGTAGAGGCTGTCAGTACTTTTCTTATCAATGGCCACATCGTCCATACCCCGGATGCCGAGTTGGCGCGTTAAAGCCGTGTTAAAGGGCATCTTGAAAGACAGCAGTCGCTACCGGATGAATTTGTTATCGGGCGTATTGGGCGTATATGGGGTCGGCGCGAACGAGATGCAATTCAAAGAGCGCCGAAAAGTTCGTTTAATGCAAGAAGAAGGAATAAAAAGGTGAGACGACGTGATTAAAAAGCACCGAGCTCCCCCAGGCGTAGCCGCGGACAGAGGCTGTGGGGGCAGGGCGAGTTGCCGAGGTCCCTGGACCGGCACAGTGGTGATTATGTATTCACCGATTACGATATGTTCTTGGGAGGACCGAGAACACTATTGACCCCAGCGAACACCGTCGTTATGCCGAAGATGCAAGACCAGTGTTGGCTGCTTCCTACAAATATGTACAGAAGATGATTCTGTCTTTTGGAAGGGCTGAGGGCGGCATGTGACTACTTTGACTTTGTCCCGTGCCGGACCAGAACCAGAGGTACGAGTATCCGCATATAGAATAAATTGGACAGTATCTAGAGACAGTAGAGGAATAATATGATATATGTTGCCCTGATATGAAACCCTTCCATCCCATCGACAGGGAAGAACGGGCGATTAACGACGGGATGCTCCTTCTCCAAACCTCGTCGATCCCTCTGCGGTCGCGACAGAATGCCGAAACCAGTGAGGGACTGCAGAACACATCGACATCATCCCAGCCCGGAGGGGGTTGGTCGACGACGTGTGCAGAGGCTCGTGGAGAAGGGAAAGAAGGGAAAAGTCCCACGGAAGAAAAAGGAACAAGCGACCGGGTCGCATCACCTGACTGGAAGAAGGATCTTCCGCCGGTCGACAAATGCCGATGCTGTGATTGGTGGGCATCACATGACCACTCACTCCCGAGGTTACCGTTGATTCCGATCGTTCGCGAGACTCTCTTGTCCTGAGCCTCACCTTGCTGTGTCCCTGCCTCAGCCATGTTCTCCCAGAAGGTTGCCCAGCAGTCGCTGCGACGGCGTATGTGTCATCTCTATTCCGTTCCACTGTGATCCCTCTGACCTGACCATTGCCCCAGTTGCCGTCCAGCAGCCCTACGCCATGCGGTGGTCCATGATGGGCGCCGCTTCACCCGCCGCGGTCGCCATTGGCAAGAATGTCCAGATGAGGTTCGTATCTCTCATATCAATGGCAATTCGTCTCTCCCAATTTCTCCCGCCATCAAGTTCTTCGTCATTGCGGTGACTGACCCACGCGAAACAGACACGCCACCTCTTCCACTAATACCGAAGACCCGACCCAGATCCTGGCCAAGCAGCGCCTGAACCGTCCCGTCTCCCCGCATCTGTCCATCTACAAGCCCCAGATCACTTGGATCGGCAGTTCGTTGCACCGTATCACGGGCATCGCCCTCTCCGGCCCCCTGTATTTGTGGGCGACCGCATACCTCGCTTCGCCGCTGTTTGGCTGGCACCTGGAGTCGGCCTCGATTGCCGCCGCTTTCGGTGCGCTTCCCGTGGCCGCCAAGATTCTGCTGAAGACCGTCATGGCTCTGCCTTTCACCTACCACTGCATGAACGGCGTGCGGCACTTGCTCTGGGATACTGGCCGTGCCCTTTCCAACCCGAGCATCATCAAGACTGGCTGGACTGTCGTGGGCCTGGCTGTTTCTAGTGCCCTTGCGCTGGCTCTCATCTGATTGCGTCCTGCCTCGTGTCCTGAGTTTCATTTGTGTTATTAAACTTTTTCTTTTCCTATCTTGATATACATGAAATTCGAACTGGTGTAAGATCGCAAGGTGCACATTCTTTTTTTCCTTGTGTTTTCTCCTTCAGGTGTCTGAACGGTTCTAGGGAGTATAGTCCAGGACCTTCAGCTTGATTATTACCAAAAATCGAAAACTGCACTTGCTTCACTATTTAGAACAACACCATGACTTCTTCCACTCTGCAATACCACCCCAGATAGAAAAACCAAACTTCTTCACCTCGATTCATTCGCCCTCTCTCATGGTCCCAGTGCAAATTCGAATTTCCGCATTTCCTCAAGCAATGATCCCAGTACAGCAAAAGGCGATAATATATCACATTAGTTTGCAACACACAGTATAGCCAAACTTGTTGTCCTCAGTATGCAGAGAGGGACTCCGATGCTCCAAAACATGATCTACGTCGAATTAAGGAGTGGTCTGCTAGGACATAAATGCAGAACTCACCTATTTAATCTGAAGCTCCTCAACGCCAAAGAAAAGTAAATTCGATTCAAAGTGCCTAAGCAGGACTTGGCGGTGGGTTCGGAGGAAATGGTCGGGGAGAAGGAGGATCTTGCACGGAGTGGTCACTGGTAAACATCCCGACGTAGATCGGAGAGGGCCCTGTCGTAGATGAATGGATGATTGGTAGGGAAGCCATCGAGCTGTAGATGCTGGCCATTTTTAGATGTTTTCAAATACGGAGAAACGAGTGTATATATCTGGAGCGTGCAAAGCCCTAAAATTGTCAAAAAGAGTGAAGTCTTGTTGAAGAACAGGATGAAAAGAAGACGCTTGAGCAAAACGACTTGACAGGGCGGATAACCTCGATTTAATAGTCCTTCCTGCACCGCAGAGAAATGGTCTGCCCTGACCACGTCGTACACCGCCATCTTGTGGAAGCCGTTTGGATCTGGCGCTTCCCGATTTTTCTCTGTCCATCTCGCCACACAAAAGCAATAACAGAAGATCTGGCAGAAGCAGCTGCTGCAAGGGCCCGACGGGAGAATCCTGATCCTATACACTAGTGAAAGCCGTTGGCTGGGGGCAGTGGTCACACTCGGCTGGCTCGACCATGTGAAATGACGACCATCCGTGGAAAAGCACAACAAAAACTAAACCAAAAAGAGGGTGAAAAATACAGCTCTCTCTCATGCAGTGGCCCATTCATACACGGTCCCCGAAGATCCTTTCCCCGGACCGTCCCTTCCGGCGGAAGCTGCAGAGTGACACCGGCGGTCTGAGCCGTCGCTTCTGCCGGCTTCTTGCAGCAACGCCGAGATTCATGAAAAATGGCTGGTAATAGACTGTCCGGAGCTGGCGGAGCGGCTAGCAGCTGAACGGCAAATCGCTTGGACACATCCATTGGCATTATTTCTGGATAGTGTCAATTTTTGGTTTGATGATTTGTCGCTGTATTTCCAATGATCGACGTCTCGGTAAAAGGCCTTGAGGATAGCGACAGACAGTATCGAGGAGGCATAATCAATCTGTTGACTGATCTAAGACCCATAGACCGTGTAGTCTCAACTCTGGCCTGGACCAATAGAGTACCTAGACGACAAACATCACCTGCACGTGGACCACGACTTGTTTCCGTGACACAAGACAAATGACCCAGGGAGGATAGTGTCGAAGTACCTATACTGCCAATATCCGGCCGCATCACCAAACATGCAGCCTGCTTTCGTATCCAGCGGTCAGAGAAGACCGCCGAACATTCGCCGTGTCAGCCTAGAACCTCCCTGCTGCTTCCAGACTGTCTTACAGGCTTCTGCAGCGGCTAGCCTGTTGTCTGGGGGGCGGATGCGCTTAGAAATCGTTGTTCAGCGCCTTGTGTCTTCTCTGGGCCAGTCAGGCTGCTGGACTGATGTTACCTGGCAGCTGTCACTGGGCACACATGTATCCTCTGTATGGTGCCATCCGTCCTGTGCCATCCATAGAAGGATATTGCTGGAATTGATTCCATTTGGAAGCATTCATGGGGAAAGGGAATTGATCGCCAGACATTATTGTTCAAACCCACCAGCGGTGAAGACGAGTCTCCAGGCGTTGTTGAATAATGTTGTGCCAGGTATACTTCCGCGAGTGGTGGCGCTATTCCCAAACAGGTTAGTTCCACCAACCCGAAATTCTTCCCTTTCGACTCGGCTTCAACCACAACTTGTCAGAACCACACCCTCCATGGCTTCGACTGTGTCTGCTCGCGCGGCCAGGTCCGCCTGCATCGCCGCGCGCACTGTCCGGCCCGTCGTGCCCACACTCTCTCGCCCCCTATCCACGTCCACGGACGGCGCGCCGACCAGTGAATCCGACAAGCCCCGATGGTCCTACACTCCGCCGCGCGCAAAGGCGCCTTTCTCCCTCCGAATGAAGGCCAACCGCGTGCACTGGCCTGTCAACTCCGACCCGGCTCTTCTCGACCTGTTCTATATCCGGATGCTGGGGAATGGTGGTGACAAGATGCTCTCGGAGGAGCTGAAGTGGCTCACAGTGACCCATAAGAGTTTCGATCAAGGACGCAGAGGATTCAATGATCGACTGGCCTTTCTAGGTACGAAGTGATGATATAATGGTAGAGACGGACGGGATCTGACCCTGAGTAGGAAAACGGATCGTGCAATTGCAGGCCTCGCTGGCTCTCGTCCAAAACCCCGAGACGACCCCCGAGAGACCCCTGACCGACAAATTTGGTCGCACGATATTCTCCCACCCGGCATTGGACGGACTGCACAATATTTCCCTCGAGAAGAAGAGCTTCCTCACGGATCGGAAAAAGCTAGCAGACGTGGCGCGAAGCTACGATCTGGAGAAGGTGATCCGATGGAATCCGAAAGATGTTCGTTGGCCTTTTCGTATCCTGTTTCTATTACGATCTCTCGTACTGACCAGTCCGACACAGCCCGAAGGACCCAATGGCTTGAAGACCTCCGGCTTCGATTTGGTGTTGGCACACACTCTGTACGCCGTGATCGGGGCGCTCTCGTTGGAGCAGGGTGGACAAGTCGCCAGCAAGGTAGCCAAGGAGCGGATTCTCGCTCCCCTAGGCATCAAGTCGGTGTCTTAAAAAAAGAAATGGGAGGGACTTGGGGTACGAGGATCCCCGGAGCATTGTCAGGGCGTTATTTTTTGTTTTCTCCACGTTCGTCTGGGACTGCCAGGACACTACTAGTTCCTCTCTGCTGTACATGTACTTTTAGATCAATCACTATATAACTTTGATTCTGTATGTCCGGTTCCTCTGACACCGCCCAAGTAACAGTAGGTACAATACTCGGCCAGTTCTTATGGAACCCTTCCAAAGGATTCGTCTTCGCAACTCGGTATCGCAAGTCTAGTAATTGAAACACTGACGGTCCTCTGACAGAATGCCAAAAGGAACCGCAGAAAAATCCGGTTAGGACTTTGTACTGCCTTGCACTGTCTGTGGAGAGCGTTGGAAGAAGAAGAAGAAGAGAAAGAGGAAAACCGAAAAAGAGATTTTGGTTTTGGGCGGTCGACCAGGCCCACGCTAAACCCCATTAGTCCGACCCGGCTCAATCGCCCAAGCAGACCAAACTAAGCTGCGCTCTTGCCTGTCTCGACCGACTCTCCTTCCTACGTCCACGATCTCCCATTGTTTGTTCTCTCGACACTTTCGCATGCTGCCGTAGGCGCAGAATGTGGCTTGGTTGTCTCTCCCCCATCCCAGACTTCACCTAACCCCTCCTCGCCCTTTCAACACACTGCTGTCCTCTTGACCCGCCCTCCCCTCCGCCATGGCGTCCGCTCTCTTCTTCCTCGACCTGAAGGGCAAGGTGTGTTTCTCCTTTGGGGCATAGCGGAGACAATCATTGAATTGATGCCCGCTCGCCCTTTTGTGATCAGGCCGTGCTGACCCCGGGGTAGACCCTTCTGGCCCGCAACTATCGCGGGGACATTCCCATGTCCGCAGTCGAGATGTTCCCGACCCTCCTGAACGACGCCGAAGAAGAAAGCTCTGCCGTGCCGCCCTGCTTCTCCCACGAAGGAATCAACGTACGTGCCACGAATAACATGCCCCTCCTATTGCGTGGCTGATGAATGTGTGTCTGGACGGTAGTACCTTTATATCCGCCACAGCAACCTCTATATTCTCGCATTGACGAAACGAAACACAAATGCCGCCGAGATCCTACTCTTCCTCCACAAGCTGGTCGAGGTATTCACGGAATACTTCAAGGTGTTGGAGGAGGAGAGTATCCGCGATAACTTTGTCGTCATCTACGAATTGCTGGATGAGATGATGGATTTTGGGTATCCGCAGACAACGGAGAGCAAGATTTTGCAAGAGTAGGAGCCCTCATGGAGCCCACTGGCTGCCAATTTGGTTGCTGACGAGTGCTGCTAGGTACATCACCCAAGAATCACACAAGCTGGAAGTTCAAGCCCGGCCACCCATCGCAGTCACAAATGCCGTCTCATGGCGTAGCGAAGGAATTCGCTACCGCAAGAACGAAGTCTTCTTGGACGTGGTCGAGTCTCTGAATCTCCTGGTGTCGTCAAACGGAAACGTCCTGCGGTCCGAGATCCTGGGCGCGGTCAAGATGAAGTGCTATCTGAGTGGAATGCCCGAGCTGCGACTCGGTCTAAACGACAAGGCCATGTTCGAAACGACGGGCCGTGCTACACGGGGCAAATCGGTGGAGATGGAGGACGTCAAGTTCCATCAGTGCGTGCGGCTGTCACGGTTTGAGAACGACAGAACGATCAGCTTTATTCCACCGGATGGTGAGTTTGAGCTTATGAGCTACCGGCTGAACACGCAAGTGAAGCCATTGATCTGGGTGGAGTGCGTGGTTGAGTCCCACTCAGGGTCACGGATTGAGTACATGCTCAAGGTAAGTGCATTCAACATCACGTTCCTCCACACTGGTAACACATATTCCCTTCTAGGCCAAGGCCCAATTCAAGCGCCGCAGCACAGCCAACAACGTTGAGATCCTTGTTCCTGTCCCCGAAGACGCAGACTCCCCCCGTTTCCGTACCAACATCGGCACGGTGCATTACGCTCCCGAGAAGTCAGCCATCATCTGGAAGATCAAGCAATTTGGCGGCGGCAAGGAGTTCCTGATGCGAGCGGAGCTGGGTCTGCCGTCCGTCAAGGGCGATGACGAGCGCGGCGGCGGCATGACCGGTGGCTTCGGCGGCAGCATGGGCGGTGCCGGGCAGATGGGCAAATCGAAGCGACCTATCAACGTCAAATTCGAGATCCCCTATTTCACCACGAGTGGTATCCAAGTGCGGTACTTGAAGATCACAGAGCCCAAGGTAACTAATCCAATTAGCCTTGATAGTGCTTGCCAGAAGAGACTGAAATGCTGACGAAAACTCCAGTTGCAATACCCCTCCCTCCCCTGGGTCCGCTACATCACACAATCGGGCGACATTGCCGTCCGCATGCCGGACGTGCAATAAAATGAGGAAGACGGAAGGTGTTTTCTCTTGCGTTACTAGATGATCGATCCGTTATCAATTTGTACAGCCCGCCATAATCTCGTTCTGTTCCTGTCTTTGATTCTTCTCCCATGATTGAGACCGGCCGGTCCGATAGATAACCAAATGCGCTTATGCTTAGTTACCTACCCTTGTCTCTTCTATTTATGCTGGATGCGGTTTGAGAGACACCAAAAGCATAGTTAGATGGAATGATGAACTGTTGTTTTGTTACTGGTCTATTGTGGCTGAGACGCACCGCTAGGGGTTTCCACCGTTCGATCGATAATCCGCTGGCAAGAAATTGACGCTGGCCGTAAGATCGATACTAAGGTGGTGTTCTTTCCCGTAAGAAAGGAAAGGCATAGAGAAACATGTAGGTGTTATGGTATCAACGACCTCAACCTGGTCATTTTCTATATCCTATCTTCCTCACGACCCGCCTCCGTCTAGAACTGATGAGACGTAACATCGGTCAACAGAATTCAAAGGAGCAACACATTTGCCATCGGCCCAGAGTCAGATATCTGCGCCAGTTACCTAGAGGCATCCCTCATTCCAATATCCATCATGTAGACGCCCCATGTGCTTGGAAGAAACCAACAAAGTCGAAGAACGACCTCTTGTACGTCCGTTCCATCGTGGTGCGGTTCACAGTCTGAAGCCCAAAATGTTGCTCATACGTGCTGAACTCCCAGTCATCCAGAGCAGACCACGCCAGGGCACCAATGATGTTGATGCCGTCCTTGTGAATGCAGTTTAAAACTTCTGTCAGGTATGAGATGTAATAAAGCGAGCGGGTCAGATCTTGTCTCTGGTTGGCCAGCGGAGCCTCTGCCTCGTCCCACGCCGGGTATCCAAACTCGGACACCATGATGCCGCTGGGTTTGTAGGTGTCCCAGATCCAATTCATGAAAGAGCGGAAGTAGGTTGGCGTGTAGTAGACGTTGGATGCGGAGTAGAAGCCGATTTCCCAGTTATTGTCGTCTATCAAGGTCGGGACGACGCACATTGGCCACAGCGGGTTCGAGGGATCTTTGGCGCAGGCATCGATGCCCCCCGGTGGCTGTGTGACAAAAGTGGTGGAGTATGGATCAATGGCATAGAAATCCGCGGTGCCTTTGTACCTAGCCAACTGCTCTTTAGTGAGCTTCTTGGACTGATTCGTGAGCGTAGATGTGACACTCTCTGGCAGGTCCTCGCCTAGGAATATAGGATTCGAATAGATGCCAAGTAAATACTCTTGGAAACGGTTGGCAGCAGCGACATCGGATTGATTATTTGGGTTCAGCGGCACTCCAAAGTTGTCGGCATTTTTGTACGACACCATGCCCTTGCCCCCCATATCCTTGTACATATGGTAGACCTGTGCGTTGGCCTCGAGCATGTTATAAGCGCCGTCGAGATTGCCTGATTCGTAGAAGGGCTCGTTGATTGTGATCCAGATAGGCACCCGGTCGCCATAATGCCCCATAAGAATCCGCGCGTAGTTCACGAACGAGTCCACAAACGTGGTGTTTGCAGTGCCAGAGTTGAGGGAAAAGTATGCGTCCGGCACGTCACCTCCACCCATGACAAATTCATATGGCTCATCAGCATGGACCATAGCGACGATCGGCTTGACACCGTACTCAAGACAAGTATTGATCACATCGTTGTAGTGATCGATACCTTCCTTGTTAACAGGTGTGCCTTTAGCTCCAAAGGGCAGAATCCGTGACCAGGAGATTGTAAGATAATAATATGGAACGCCCATGGCTGCGATGCGGGCGATGTCCTGCTTATAGAGATAATAGTTCCAGTCGGCGACGTAGTTGGACTCCGAGCCAGGTGCGAAATTGAGATAGTCCAGGACGCTCGGGGTGCGGCCTTCATCCTGAAGAGCGCCCTCGATCTGGCCAGCCGAATCAGAGACTCCGAAGATGAAGTGCGAAGGGAAAGTCATGTTGGGCTCGAGTGCACCGTATAGGAACCCGCTGTCCGGAGGCAAAATCAAAGATGCCGATGGGATTGGCGTCGGTGTCACAGTAGTCGAGATGCTGAATGTCGAAATGGAGATGTTGGGCATAAATGGTGCCCATCGCCGATTCCACTCAGCTTGGCCGTATGGGTTGTCCCAGTCGGAGGCGTCCACTCCCTTCTTCCAGGTGGTTGTCACAAGTTTTGGGGGCAGGATGGCGCTCATTGAAGCAGACGGCATGTAGGTCGTCACAGGGGATGTCCGGGGGTTTGGCGTGGCATATCGCACGGAAGTCATCGCACTGAAGGTATATGATGGGCGAGCTTGGGTGGCTGTTGCACCTGCGAGCTGAGGAGCAGCATGAGCTACAGCTGCAGCCAAAACCGCTATGGTCGCGGTAGTTTTTGGCAGGTAGAGCTTCATATCAACTGGTAAAGCGCAAACGTTGGGAAGAAGTCAAATGGCGATGCTCTGTCGATCTCCCAAAAGGAAAACATAGCAATTGAACGGGCCTGGTATCGTAGATTTATAGTAGTCACTGAGAAGCCCGTGGGCCTCCTCAGTTGTACCTCCGCGGCCGGGGATAACAGCGTGAGGAAGGCTAAGGTAAGGTTAATTTCCCGTCGCGGAGCTTAAAGTGCTTTAGTTTCCCCGTTCTATTTCCCATTTCTCCGCCTGTTAATGAAATGTAAATAGTGGAAGATAATTATTCTTTTACCAGATACCTTATACATAATTGTCCTGGGACGGTTTGACTTGCCAAGTCGAACACATCCATGTTTTAAACTATGGGTGAGTATGAGAAAGCTCAGCTGGTTTCATGTAATATAGATAATGCCGTCAACAAGCAAAGGCTAGATTCGAAAGACTCGTTGCATGAATGATCATCTAGAAGGACTGCTTACCTCTTGTCAAGTTCCTGTGACGAATGGCATGACTGTAACCTCACACCATATCCATCTGCTCCAAGCGAGCAATTTCCCCGTTTGAATTGTGGTAATGCTGGTTCAAATCACCACCCCTTGAAAGGCGATCGTCCCTAATAGGAGAGATACTTGGAGGCGGAGACGGGGAAATATCGGTCATTCGTTGACTGAAGTGGGCCCTAGTCATTGGATCCCCGCAAACTTGAACCAGGCAGGGTGTCAATTGAAAAGGTGTTTGTACGATCGTGGCCTTAGACATCGGTTGTCGTGGCATTTCCGACCAGACGCCACTGTTTGGCCTCCTGCCCAATTAATTTAAGTACCAGAAATAGTTTGACGCAAATGCCCTGTCTACTAGCCCCAGACCCAATGATATATAGAATTCGAATTGAAAGCGCCCCCATCGTGAGTGCTTGCCTAGTAGGAAAACTTATAGACCCCCTCTAGAATCAAAACCAGCGCCTTAGTACCAACTTTCTCATCCTTTTTCACCGAGTTCCGTTCTCAAAATGACGGGGTTTAACTCGCGGAACCTAGCCAAACGGGGTTCCAAGCATGCCAGGCCACTCCAACAAGGGGACCTCGTCTTCCTCCAGAGCAGCGAAAGCCAACCGTTCGCCTCAATCCATCCAATGGGTCTAACTTTCTTTATTACGGGCAGTAGCAAGCGCTTGTACTCTGTATTCGAGTGTCTCATCTCCGGCGATCATAAAGAAGTAAGCTGTGCCGTCAATGCAGGCGACTGCCGAGGTATATAGTTTAATATCACAAATAGGCGTGCCTCCATACCATACCCCGAACAGCTTGGCGATGAAGACGCTCTGAATCATCCACAGCGTATTAATTTCCGCGATGTAAGATGCATTTACTTCGTTGTCGAAGACATGGAGCCCCTGGGCAACACTATCAAATATGTTAACCGAATAGAACGCTTGAACTGAGCCTGTATGGTTGTGTATACATACGAATCACTTTCCGTTGTGATCAACGCGTTTTCCATGCCATTGGAGATAGTGGTAAGTCCACTCGCCATTCCCGCCGCTGCGTCTGCTTTATGGCGCCTTGAAACCCACTTCCCTCAGTGAAACGCCCTAGATCTCCGGTAAGAATTCCGCCCGCCATTCCAAAGACGCCTGCTAGGATAGTAATAATCCAAGTATCGTTAATTTCCTTGAGAAGCGTGATTTTTGTCAGGATACCATGATAGGACGTGGGTATTAAATTACTGATGATCCTTACCTGGTTTTGCGGTTTATAGTCCAACGGACTGAATACGCCCGAGAGGCTCAATCCAACGCATTTCGCAGATCTCTGTCAACTCCACATTTGCGATCATCCTCTGTGCTGTTGGCAAGATGATTGTCACTTTCTCCTTCCTGTTGAACAAACCTATTAAAGAGCGTTGTTGATAAACAGATCTAGATATTAGAGAGATTTTGCAGCAAGAAAATTACATGTTCGTCCATTTCTGGATGGTCTGAAGACACTGAGGTAAACTGCGGGTCGCTGGTGGATTACGTTAGAGATACCTCGGTAAATTTGAGGATTGGCGAGGGAAGCGGGGATAATAGTTGCGGGGATAATAGTTCTACGAACTTATCTGTGTTTTGCTTGCGGAAGCTGACATCTACCATGGCCGAGGACAAGATCATCTGTGTCATAGGAGCCACGGGAAACCAAGGCGGGTCTGTCGCCCGTCGGTTTCGTCACGCAGGTTTCCGTGTCCGTGGCTTGACCCGCGATAGATCGTCCTCCGCAGCACAGAAGCTTGCAACAGATGGCATTGATGTTATGGAAGCAAACCTTGACGATTTGGAGAGCCTCAAGTCCGCTCTAAAGGATGCTAATGTCATATTCAGTGTTACAAACTACTGGGAGCCGTTCTTTCGCCCGGACTGCCGTCAGAAGGCCAGTGGGTTGGGTATCTCACCTGCTCGGTTCGCGTACGATGTCGAATATCAGCAAGGCAAAAATATTGTCGACGCAGCCGCAACGACGTGTGATTCTCTCGACTCCAACGGTTTCCTAGTGTCCACGCTCAGCCATGCTGCCAAGTCAAGCCAGGGAAAATTCATGGAACTGTACCATTTCGACTCTAAGGCGGATATCTTCCCCTTCTACGTTAGAGATAAGTATCCCGACCTTGCGGCCAAGATGTCCTGTATCCAAACAGGCTACTTCTATACAAGTTTCAACATCTTACCTGACTTGTATTTTGGCAAGGCAAGTGATGCTCCTGCAATCGAAGAGTTTGACTGATGATCGTCAAGCTCCCGGATGAGAGTATTGAAATGAGGTTCACCACAGCCCCAGACAAAGTTGTGCCGCACTTAGACCCTGTCGGGGATATGGGCACCTTTACCTTCGCTGTCTACCAAATGCCTCCCGGGAAAGAGTACATGGCTGAAGGGACAACTTGTAGTTGGGCGGATTGGATCAAGACTTGGAGCGATATAACTGGTGTGCTTGCGTCTTATCGACAAATCACTCCCGACGAAATGATCGAAATGACTCCCGATCGAGACTGTGGCATCGAGGTAGCGTACATGTTCTCTTATAGCACGGACCCAGGATACGATGGAGGTAGAGCTCTTCTCACAGCCGCAGACATTCGCAAGGCAAGTTAATAAGTGCCACTAAACCCAGCATCGCTCACTCTAACATAAGAAGGTAGACTGGTATCGAGTGCCCGATGACGAGTTGGAAAGAGTGGGCAAGCCGCCAAGATTGGACCGTCGTTTTAAACAAGAGTAGATAGGTAACCTTAGCAAATGCTTCGGGAACTTCTAGAGAAGATCACGAATACTCACATTCTCTGGTTTAATATTAGTAAAAATATTTAATAACAATAAATCTAGCAGACAAACGTGTCTCAGGCCACAAAACTTCCTGCTACCACTAAGGAAAATCCGACTTCGACCAATGGCCACATCAGAATTTTTGAACCAAAAAAGGCGCTACTGTACAATAGGAAAATAGGATTAGCTAATTCTATATCTTCAAACAGATTTTTATAAATTTCTATGGCTGTTGAGTTACAACCTGTCGAAGTTGGCTTGTTTTTGGTGTTGAAAATGGTGGGCTGAGAGGGTGAAATGGCAAGTTGAATATGCTTAAAGGGTGGTTAAATTTCATCTCTTGATCAGAACTAGAAGAGATGAAGTGGCCGGTGGAGATGTGCTTAAAGGATTATCAATTTAATCACCCTGATCAATCTGGGAGGTGGAGCAGTGCTCAGGGGGGGGGGGTGTAAGTTTGACCATTCTCTAAGCAGATCGGATAATTTGACTACCTTTAAACCACATCTCTAGTCTCCATTCTACTCCGGAAGCAACGATCAAGGTGATTAAATTGACCACCCATTAAATACATTGCAACAATACATTTCAACCCATTACGCCGCGTAGCATCTAGTGTATGGTTGATTTTCTTCCTGCTTTAGAAGAAGGGTTTAGTTTGATTGTCGAATTTGGACTTCTCTATGGTGTATTGGGTCATCATCATTTGATAGACTTGATAGAACTGTGCTCCTACCTACTTCTGACTATGGATAGTCAACGTCAGGTCCTTGACGTCCGTAGATTGTTTATGGTGATCCATAGACGTCTCATTGTCATCTGAGATCACAGAATTCCCAGATTTTAAGTCCTTTGCGTTTGTATTCGACACTCCCGATACTTTGTATTCCATAATATAATCGAGTAAATATATCGTAGTCGATGTTGCTCAGTAGAACCCCAATTCATGGGGGTCTCTCGTCAAACTTAATGGTAAAGAGGTAACCAAACCCTCTAGGGAATGGTGTGGATAGCTTCAGGTATGTCCTACCACAGTATCATGGCGAGTCCGGGCTCATACCTGTCAAAAATGCTACAATATTAGACCGAAAAATACATGGGCTCTTGACTAGCTAGAACAGCCATTTTCATATTTTGAACCTTAATCTATTTGAGTGGCGCGACATCAAACTGGTTTGCAGAGACAGCACCATCCGAGACGATTAGACCTATTCCACCAGCACGGTAGTCATCATCCGTTGCTTCTAAGCTTGGTCCGCCACCAATAGAAGTTTTGATGGTACTGCCTTCCACAGCCACAGTAACCTCATATTGTGTATCAAGCTTCCAATCAAATGCTGCTCTTGAAAGCTCGATTTTCTTTTCATCCCGTGCCTTGACCAATGCTACGCAATTCCCTTCCAGCAACAATAGGGCGTAGTAGCGATTGAGTCCTCGCGCCCGAAAGACAATACCGGCAGGTCCCCCAAGGCGAATCGTAAGCCCGGAAATAACTTGGTAGTCTGTCCAATCTCGGGTTCCGTAGAGGATTATTCCCTCGCCGCGATCCTGTGCAATGTAAAATGGGTCTGAAGGATGATGGGTGAAGAAGTTGTTTGCACCATTGACCCACGCTCGTTTCCAGAACTCCCCTGGCGTGTTTGATGGTCTTCTTAGCGACAGGCACGGTGTTCCACTCCAGTTCAAGCTATCCAACCACACCAGGCCGTCCAGGCGCCCATCGGGAACCGAAAGAGCTAGTCCGACTTGCTGGATGGGTTGACTGTCTAGAATATCTGGGATCCTCCACTCAAGTATCACCTCCTGGCCGGGCTTGACCGTCACCAAAGGTCCGTCAACGGTACCTAAGTTGTCATTCGAGCCATAGACCTTAAGCCTCAGCCGAGACTCGACTGGTAGAGTATTGGTTTCCTCGGCTCGCACCACAGCTTTCAGGTGTTGTCCGGGATATAGCAACGGCGATGCCATCAAATCATAATTCTTCATTTTGACCACCTCTGGTGGGGAAAATGTCTGGGTAAGGATTTCAACAGGCTCGACAGCGTTTGTAACTCCGTTCAAGTGAACGGCAAGTCCGGGGCGGTTCTTGTCATCGACTGCTTGCTTGACCTTGACTAGATCTGGGAGAGAATCATTGCGAGTCGCCTGAAAGCCCTGAACACTCCCGGGAAGAGTGAAATGGAACTGGGCGCCATCTTTTGGGGCAGACAGCGGTGCTTGGCCGGCAAGTTTGCGTCCCAGGTTGGCCACGTCGTATGCAATGCGAGCTGCATTATTTATCGAATAGCCTCCATCGGCGCTAGAGATGATCGCACGATCCGCCAACGGCCAAAGCCAGTCAGGTCCTCCCTCAAAGGCAGCTAGGCCATGCATAATAGCCACGAGGCACCCAACGTTTCCTGAATTGCAGTCGGTATCCCAGCCAGCGGTATTGATGATATACATGGCCTTGTGGAAGTTGTCGCCGGCGTATAAAAGTGCCATAATCATCAATCCGTGGTTTGGGATAACATGGCACATGCCAGGGAACTTGTCGTAGCCGTAAACATCCTCGATTCTCTGCCGGGTTTTCTCCCAGTCGTCATCCACCTTCACCCAAGTCTTAATATCGCTGATTAACCGCGCAATGAGCGAATCAGTAGGCACAAAGCTGAGGCCTACTTCCAACAAATGATTTACATCTTTAGAGACAAACGCCTCAGCTTCCATAGCGGCCCATAATTTGGCTGCGTAAACCGATTCACCGTCATGGCTCACAGAACCCGCAGCATCTGCAAGTCTTGCAGCCAACGTCGGATTACCTGGTGCCACTAACGCCCAGCCGTCGATAAAGATCTGGGCGCCTATCTGCTCTGCGACGGCGGAACCGTTTGTTTTGATGGCGCCACTCAATGGGGCTGGAATTCCATGTTTGAGATTGCGATACGCAGTGTGTTCGGTCGAGATACCATTGCCTCCCCACCAGAATACAGAGCGGTTTTCGATAACGTTGTTGAGCCAAGTCTTCCCGATCGCCTCTGAGGACAGATCGGGGGATACTCCGTGCTCTTCCAATGCCCGCAAAAACACGAAGGTGCCGGACACATCATCATCTGTCACCACCAAAGGCATGTCCAGTTTCTGGTGCACGTAGTACCGGATCGGCCCAAGCTCCTTAAGGATGCGATTGTAATGCCATCCTTCGAAAGGTCGGCCTAGGTAAACGCCGACCAGCTTGCCTAATACGCCTGCATAAACCCTTTCTAGGTAATCTGTAGTCAGGGCCGGCATGACAAGCAAGTTTGAATTTTTCGTAGGAGATTGCAGAGCTTCCTGATTTTTCAAAAAATATTGCTTTCCACCAGCAAGAGAAAGAATGAGGTAGCGTAGCAGAGTCCAAGCAAATATAAAGCCCAGAACGATGATCACTAGCATAAAGCGGGGGTACGTAGGCTACGTTGTCCTAAACGAAACGAGCTTCGATGATAAATGAATATCGCGCGAGCGGTTGTTCGCAGTTGCCGTAGTACCCGTCGTCAGACATAAGCCCGAGTCGTCTAACTACCAGTCTGGGCACTTGGGAAGACCAACGGTTCGCGAAGTGGGTCCCGCGGTTGCTTGTATCCGTCGATTTCCCCGAAAATAAACCCGAACGTGGGGTAATCAGCCATGGTCCCATGACAAAATAGTCCACGGAGTATGAGACCCCGGACTTATATTAGGAGCTTATGCCATTTCGAGCTTCCAACCCCGTGGGGAAAGGTAACTCTAATACAAACCAGGCAATCATAGGCACAATCAACGGATTCCGGGGATATGGAAGGATCGTGGTCCATACGCTAGATGGGCACTTACATACTTCCCCGCATACGGTCTACTTGTAGATGATAGACTACGGAAGTCTGTTCTATGCTCTCATATGAAATCAAGCCGCGAGATGTTATCCCTTGCGTGGCTACGCCGCCGGTATATATATGACCCGAGTCCTGCAAGTGACACCATCCAAAATAACCGTTATTTATCTTTTATATTGCACATTTTATGACTGTATATTGAGCCAACACCTAGCTAGCAGATATGGCACCGAATGAAACTTCGTTGATGGACGCAATTGAACTCAATGGAGTCAAGCAATCTCAGGCGCTGGACGCGGCGGCCGAGATAGCAACGCGAGATGAACACAGTTTGAATTTCTGGCAGGCTGTTCGACGTTTCCCCACTGCAACTTTTTGGGCTATCGCCCTGTCTTTTACTATCATCATGGAGGGTTATGACACAATCTTGATCTCCAACTTTTATGCATACCCCCAGTTCAAGAAGAAGTATGGGACGTACTATCCAGGCCTGGACGAATGGCTCATTCCCACAAGCTGGCAAGTTGCGTTGAGCCTCGCGCCCACATCAGGCAGCGTAATTGGTCTTATCATCAATGGGTTTGTCACGGAGAGGTTTGGTCACCGCAAGGTGATCATGGCCAGCTTATCTGTCTTGTGTGCTTTCATCTTCATCCCATTCTTCGCACCGAATCTCCCGGTTTTGCTCCTCGGCCTGATCTTGTGCAGCATTCCGTGGGGGGTCTTCGGGATCTTGGGTTCCGCGTATGCTTCTGAGATATGTCCACTGGCACTTCGGGGTGTCTTGACGTCTTTTATTAACATTTGCTGGGTGATTGGCCAGCTTGTAGCTGCTGGTGTTTTGCAAGGTCTTATCAACAATCCAACGGAGTGGGCTTTTCGCATCCCTTTGGCTCTTCAATGGATGTGGCCAGTTCCACTCTTTGTCCTGGCTTTCATGGCTCCAGATTCTCCCTGGTGGCTCATCCGAAAGAATCGGATTGCAGAAGCCAAAGACGTCTTGACCCGACTCTCTTCGCAGGATACGAGTTCGGAAGAAATTGAAACGAAGTTAGCTATGATGGTTCACACGAACAACCTGGAGGCAGCCACAAAAACAGAATCTACTTATTCGGACTGTTTTCAAGGGACAAATCTTCGCCGGACAGAGATTGCGTGTATGGTCTTGATGGCACAAACTCTGTCAGGGGAACAATTTGCTTATGGAAGCACCTATTTTTTCACCCAAGCAGGCCTCAGCTCTTCAGACTCATATAAGCTCAACTTTATCGGCTTTGCGGTCGCCTTCGTGGCAACTTGCTGCTCATGGATACTGATGCGATGGTTTGGGCGACGGTCCATGATCATCGGTGGCATGACATTGATGACCATCACTCTGCTCATCATTGGCGCTCTTTCATATCCGGCAGCCACGAGCAACACTGATACTTGGACTCAGGCAATCTTAACTCTGGTTTGGCTAGCCATATATTCGATCACACTGGGCCCGCAATCATTTGCTCTCGCAGCCGAGATCTCGGCCACAAGAGTTCGCTCTCAGACACTATCTCTGGCGCGAAATGCTTATATTTGCATGAACCTGATTACGGGATTGATAGAACCGTATCTCATCAACCCCACAGCGGCCAATTTGAAAGGAAAGACGGCCTTTGTGTGGATGGGAATTGCCACGCTTTCTATTATTTGGTGCATATTCCGACTTCCGGAGACCAAAGGACGAACTTATGAAGAGCTTGATATTCTTTTCGAAAAGGGTACGCCGGCATGGAAATTCAAGTCTGCGGACATTGATCTGATTCGGGATGCAAGCGAGATATCTGGACAGGAGAAGGTGGAACACGAGCATGCTTGAATTTCTGTATTCCAGTAAACAGAAACGGTATCTGGGCTATTCTAGCTTTGGTGTCTGGGGAGATATTTATTTGGAGGGCATTACTTCAACGTATTTCTGACCTGTGAGAATCGTCTGAACAGCCAGGGCGTAGGTCCTAAAACCACTGAGTGTAAATCAGGACCACTTACTATGTGCATATCAGGGGTTCTTCTATATTGTTTACTACCCATACCAATCTGTAACCTATAATCGTAAATGCAAAACGTCGCTTGTATGGAATAGTCTCGTTTTTGGGCCGCAACTCGCTATAAAGATTACCATTGTCGGTCTTTTCGTTCGGCTAGAAGACTACGGGACAACGTGGTGCTTCTTAGTCTTCCTGAAGCTGCGCAGGCAAACTTGCCTCAAATTTGTCAGAGAATTGAGCATCGTTCAAAATGCCAAACTGCTGACGTGTCATAAGAAGCATCACAGTTCCTACATATAGCAAGTACCTCCAAGTAGTGATTCAATTGGACCAGTCAAATACCCACTGGAATACACACTAGAAAGAGCAATGCCACAAAAAAAAAGCTGAGGATGGGATGGAAATGAGGGAGACATATATGACCGATGAAAATAACAGATGCCATGAAAAAAGCTTGGGGGTATCTCGATTCTCAAATATTCAATCAGACAGAACCGAGGGAAAAGGAAGGAGAAGAAGAGAAACAAGGAAGGGGATAATCATTGATCTTCGTACCGCAACGCCGGGATCATTTTATTCAGCTCAGCGCCCGTCATCATAGTCAAGTAACTTGCTTTCTCACAATCATAGAACGCCAGACCAGACCAGACTAGCTGTATGTGAAGCTCAGGGGGACAGTGGTCCATTCGCAGGATGATCATCCGGCGTCTCAGGCGGCGGTAATGGGAACCCATCGCCACGTCCAGAGGCAGCTGCTTTCGCGAAGCCTTCACGAGCGAGCATGGTATTCAACACGGCGCAGTTGTACGCCGCTTCGCCCGGCGGCACGACGATGAAAATATATGTGTTATCTGTGAACCTCCCCAGAAAGATATTAAACTGCGGGGTTTTGGTATGCATAACCACAAACCCGGCCGAAGCAGGTGTCGTCAATGTATTTCGCGCAGCGCAATGCTTAAAGGCCTTCATGATATTCGATAGCCGTTCATGGCGATCGAAGATAGGGTTGAGATCGCCTATCGTCGAGGAAACAGAGGTAACCGTCAGGAAAGTCGATCTTTCAAAGAGAATAACCTCCTCGGCGTCAATTTTCTTCGCGAACGCCGAGAGAAAGCGCTCGATAACCGTCAGGTTGGGAATGAGTTTGTGCACGATGCCTGCCCAGGCTTTGTACAGCGATTGGTCCCAGATACTGCTCGCGAAAGTGTCGATGTGGAAATGGGCGGAGCGGGAGCGGATGAGGGCCGAGCGTTCTTCGTAGATGCGTTGGCGGTGCTCAGCCTGGATGAGGTCCATTTTGTGGACGAGACAGAAGACGTAAGCGTAGGGGCTGAATTCACGGAGGGCGTCGATGATTGCGCTGTAGGTGTCGAGGTCGCGCTCGACCTCGCGGGATTCGATGTCGAAGACGTAGATGAGCACGGCGACGTCGGAGAATATATTGCCTCTTTGCGAGGCGAGGTATGTTTCCATGAATGCGTCTTGTCTGTGGCCTCGATTAATATTGGGTTGAGACAGGGACAAGGGTAACTCACCCTCCACAATCCCATAGGTTGAGGGTTAGGTTGCCCATGAACTTGACATGGCTGTGTTCCACGTCAATGGTAGCCCCTAGTCGCCGCACGTCTTTTGCGACGTAATTGCTGAAGATGATTGAGCGCATGGACGACTTGCCGGAGCCGCTCTTGCCCATTAGCAGCACCTTTCTCTTCTTCTTGCGTGCATCCATGTTGGCGAGCTTAGGTGCGGATGCCCCGCAAGAGCGGGGGCACTCGGGATGTGAGGGAGAGGCAGCTCAGGGCCAGCTAGACGGACACGCTGGGACGACTACTCGGTGTCAGTAGTTCGGCTAAGTCATGACTTGGACTTGGGAATTGGAGCAACGAGACGGTGCATGAGGGGGCAGGTGACCGAGTGCTGCATGGATGCGGAGGGGCCGGATCAAGGTTGACCCGGGCACGTGATCCGACGAGGTATACGAGGGCCAGGACTCTGGATGCCGGGTGATGGAGTCACTCATTAACTAGTGCGGTGGTGCAAGTTACATGGATTGTGGAAAGCTGCACAGAAAACAGGCAGGTGTCTTGGATTGCCGGCGTCCCGTCATCAATTGATTTCATCTCATGCAGATATGGATGCAGTAGTGATAGCTAAAAACGCAACAGAGATCAAAGGTGAGTGCCGATATCAGCCGACCATGCAATGAAGCCCGGAAGAGCCAAATGTACCAAAAACAAATCATCAGTTATAGGTAATAAGAAAGTCGTCATCAACAGTTCATAAGCATGCCCTCATAGTGAGAACATCGATTAGCGTGAGACTCGTGGGACATTATTAAAAAACGGTGCCATCGGATCGAATCATGATCGGTGGTTCTTTGGTGTTGGGTCTGGAGACCTCAGCGATTTCACGGCCGCCCTATAAGCCAATCGGGGTGAGCAAGTCTTTTTTCTTTCTGTCGCTTCTCCTCCGCGAGGGAGACTCACCTTCCATGTGCCTGCTTCCAGCATCTGCGCCAGCGTCAATTGGTCCTCCGCAGCTCGTAGCCCCAATTGGGAGTTCACCTCGTCGAGGAGCTCGTCCAAGAACCCAACAGTAGCGGCGCGCCACTCGACGATCACATCATCATCGGTGGAAAATAGCGGAACCACTTCCATGTTGGGCTGGCCTTTAATCCGGGCGTTTTCGTGGTAGGATTCGATGCCACGCTCCAGATCTCGAGGCTTGAGGGTCATCAAACCCATATCGATGAGAAGCCCGCCGTTGCGATACTCTGGCAGGCCAGTCAGGAGATCTCCGCCGGCGAAGTGGATATGCATTAATTTCGACATGGGGACCATGATGGAGTAACAAAGCCATTGGGTCAGCTTGTGGAAGGGGACTATGCTTTCCCACGGCTGCGCCGGGGGGAGCTGGGCATGTCCGAACACACCCAGGCGTCTCCGATGGATATTCCGTCAACCTGGGTTCGAGAGGGCGGCCAGATTGGAGAGAGCCCATCCATGAGCACCGTCCATAACGTGGTGATTGGGACAATGGGCACGGAGGAAGCCAGGGTCGACGGGTGGCTGAGAAGGTAGTCTAGCATGTTTCCTGGTCGGGCATCGACCCCAAAAAAGTCCTGGTTGTTCAGCGCCTCCGCTAAGCGTACCAACAACCCCGCACGGCCCTCAAGCCCAGCCAGCGGATTTGATTCGGAGTGCTGCATACCCCTGGCCAATATCTCCACCGTCACTTTCTTCAGCCCCGCTCCGTCCACCTGGCATGGCTCGGTGGGATCGCTACTGAACAGGCCCGTCTTGAACATCTCGAGACTCGCCACGGCCAGACCTTCACTGCGCGAATAGATCTTGCCCGATTCTTTGGATTTGTAGGACCATCTGTTTCCCGCGCCCGCATCCAGCAGGACCGAGACCACAAAAAGATCGATCAAGCGACGGGTGCGCTCCTGCGCGTCGATGCGGGAGGGCCAAGACTGAAGCAGCTGCTGGATGCGTGGGCGGCCACCGATGTCGAAGTGCTGCCAGCGGCCGTGCGGCGGGATCGACTCGTATTCTGGGGCGTAGTCTCTCTTCACGGGTAACAGATTAGCTTTGTCATCGGAGGGGGTTTGATGGATGGACTCACTTTGATGATGGACACGACGTACGAGGCCGTCGCCTGGAACTTGGAGAGATCGACATCAAAATGGTTCAGCTGATTCTTCTTGGCCTTGTTGAACACGACCGTGGTCCGTTCGCGCACGGCGTGGATGCTGCGCAGATACGCGGCGGGGTCTAATGCCGGGTCGGGCGGGCGTGCAATGGGCATCTCGGGGATGGAGGCCGGTAGAGCACTGCCCTTGTAGCCGGGCGAGCGCAGCGATGTGTTGGATGTGCGGGCGCTGTTGACGGAGACAAAGGATTCGCGCTCGTCCCGTTCGCTGTGCGCCGACCTGGTCGAGTCCTTGCGCTTGAACAGACCCATGGTGGGAGTGGTAGAGGCGAAGGGGGATAGGAGGGAAGATGGGAATGAATGAAGAAGAATGAAGGAGGGGGAAATAATGGAAGGAGGTGCGATAAGGCGATTGGGTAGCTGGTCGACCAGAATAATGATCCATCCCTCTTCACTCCCTCCTCATCAGCTCACTACCCCTGATCCCCTCCCACGGGAATTTTCTCAATAGCGGGGCAGATCCCGACTACAATTACTTGTTCTGATCCTACCGATTGCCTAGAACGGAGACCCAAGCGCCACTTGTCCACCCCCAGTGGATAATCGACCAGTCGGAAGATCATTTCCCCTCAAGCTGCTGTGCAAGGTTGGGTCTTCCGTGGTCGTTATAGATCGCGCGATGATGAGGCTTTTCCCGAGTAGTGCAAGCACGGACTGGCGTACCAGACATTCCCAATTGCCCTGTGCACGGGATCTAGAATCCGGTGGGTAACGATCTGGTCTCCATCGGTAGACCAGGGTCTCCGGTGTACTCCGGGCAAAACCGAAGTTGGTATTCGTCGACACCTGCACATATTTCCCCGGTCAGCACTAGGCCCGGGACTCTGCAAGGGACAAGTGTCTGAATTTATTAATAATGATGCGCATAGCCTATCGATAGGGAGCCGACACAATCCCTGCAACCTACTACATAGTGTCAGCACGGACGCTGGTTAAGCTGAAACTACCCTGTCGTGGGGTTGTCCGTGAACGTGCCAAATGCTGGGCTATCGGAATTTACTCTGCAACTCTATGGCCCACTCTGTCTATTAACTCGTTACCGCGCGGCTCGTGTCTACCCGAAGGGGCAGTTGATCAGGTAGGACCACACAGTCGTTTGTTTCGTCTTTGACTCTCAATCAGTGCGCGCGTCGGGAGGCCGAAAATCCGACTGTGGCTTATAAAGTGGACATTGCAGATTTAAAAAAAAAAAAAAAAAAAAGGCAGAAAAAATTCTGACAGCGATAGCAGAAGAGGGGCGTAAATAATCATGATGCATTGGTGGCTGACGAGACTAGACCCATCAACTAAGCTCTGTCGGGCAGGTCCTGGATGGGAAATGAAACGGCCAGGCTGGGAAATCATGTCAGATAGTGAGTTGAGCAAAGGATGAGGGCTGCATACGTACTTCCTCCCCAATTGAGGGCCACACCCTGTAACATCAACGGGCGAACTGCCGGACTCGGTCACGCTCGACAGGCACTAATGCGGGCACAATCCACGAACCGGTGGTCAATTCGAGGAAAGAATTTAGGGTGCGGAAATCAGAGTCATGAAGGCTCTATAATGTTCGTGAAGGTCACAATGGCCATTGTTCTGGGTTGAGCTACAAAGTCTTAGTGTTGATAGGGTTTAGCTGCCGGCGTTCTATGTGACCATCACTCACATAAGTAGCCCCTGGCGAGGGAATTTGTCCACCGTATCCTCTGTATAAATATACTTGCTCGGAGCTATATACACATTGTTGCAAATTCAAGATATATATATATCATGGATATATGTCACACTGGTCCTGAATGATTGTTGACGGTTAAATAGGTCGCACATCTAATCCGAGTTCCAATGATTCTTATACCCCAATGGTTGCCCTTCGCCTGATTTGCACGTCACTTATGACTGACTGTATCATCTCTTCAGTCCTATAGTTCTCACCCGGACACGGAAGATCACGTGATAAATGGCGTCATGTGGTCTGGACCCCACAGGGAGATTGTCTGTCTGGTACACATGTTCACGTTTCTGAATGCCGTGCGTGAGATGGACCACGCCCTCTCTCGTTACTAATTTGCTCCCCCTGTCCTCAGAATGGACGACCTGTCCGGGCTGAGTTGGTCGTCCAACTCAAATGCGCCCCAAAAACCACCCCCCATGAGCTCTGGCCTCTTGTATGCCACCGCGCGACCAAATGGTACCTCCGGCAGATCGACTCCGGTGTCAACAACTTCAAACCGCTCCAGCTCGCCAGCGAAACCGGCTCCATCGGCTGGCGACAGCTTTGCCAACCTCGTCTCCTTCGGGCCCTCCGCCGGAAACAAGAACTTGTCCTTAGTCGAGCAGCAGAAGCGATTGCAAGAAGAGAAAGCCAAGAAGGATGTGGAGAATCGCACTCGCTTTGAGGCCCAGTATGGAGGCCAAAACAACCAGTTCTGGGACAGCTTGGAGCAAGGGCGCTCCCACAGTCCGGCCGTCAGCACCACCAACGCTCCTCCGCCCGCCGCGGCCGACGACGACGACATTCTCGCCGCTTTCAACTCCGCTGCGCCGGTAGACGCGTCGACTAATTTCCCCATCCCAAGTCCCAGAAGCGATACGAACAGAGTACAGAGTCCAGCTAGCGGAGGAATTACCATGCGTGATAACACCGAGGGGGTGGCAGCGTTTGACGACGATGACCCATTCGGCCTCAACCAATTGAAGTCCAAATCTGCTCCACCCCCTGCAGCTGCACAGACCGAAGATGACGATTTTCTCGGCCTGCTAGGGAAGCCGGTCTCTGAGATTCCGCGTCCGGAACCACCTTCACCCGCTGCCGGCGTCTCTCCAATGCCGTCCAACGAGGCTGACCGTGCAATTGCAGAACTTGTGGACATGGGGTTTCCTGCCGACAAAGCACAACAGGCGTTGCAAACAACCGAGTCTGGGACGGACGTACAGGCTGCCGTTGGCTGGCTTCTTACACAGGCCCATTCTCAATCACGGCAAAAGTCCCAAACTCGCCCTGCAGCCAATGGTCCTCCGGGTGAACGACCGGAAAGAAACAACAGACAAGCGCGCGATGCCCCTTCCTGGATGCGCGAAGATAGTCGGATTCAAGCCTCGGCGGAGAAGGATCCGGCTCAGCTGGCGTCGCAATTTGGCAACAATCTGCTGAAATCAGCCACTTCTCTCTGGAAAACCGGAAACAAAAAGTTTCAGCAAGCGGTACATGAATTCAATGCAGATCATGACCCCAACCAGCCCAAGTGGATGAGGGATGCGTCCCCTGCACAAGAAGAGCCGTGGACACAATCACAACCCCCACATGCGCGAGGCGAGCCTGCCCAGTCACAAGCAAATGGAAATAACTGGACCGATGAGGCACTTCTTCTTGAGTCTGGAGACTCGCGACCACCTCGAAAACCTACTCGTCCACGTGAGAGTCCCCAGCCTGACAACGACTTACGCTCTCCTGGCACTGCTCAGCCTTCACTGCGGTCTAGCTTCCTTCAGCGGCCATCAGACCAGTCCCGAGCAGACTCCAGGTCTCCCCTGTCTCGAGTTGCAGTGGAACAGCAGTCAGCGCATGCGTACGTCAGTCCAGCAAGACGGAGGCGGCCAAAAGCACCACCACCAGCAGCCGAACCAAATGTTGATCTGTTCGAGTCTCCTGTTCCATCGTCATCCTCTCGGCCCACTCCCCCAACACAAACTCCGCGTTCCTCGAAACCTTCAACTCCCCTTCCGGTACGCTCGAAAGCTCCGCCGCGATCCATACCACCTGTATCGCAAGAGGCTCTTCAATCTACACATCGACACCGGGAGAAGGCCTCAGAAGCATATAAACGGGGCGATTATGCGGCCGCACATCAAAGTTTCTCTACAGCCCTCAGCATGCTCCCTGACAAACACCCAATCACCATCATCATCCGCAGTAATCGCGCTATGACCGCCTTGAAAATTGGCGAGCCCAAGTCTGCCATTGATGATGCAGATACGATCCTGCAAGTGATTGGTCCATCCAAGGGTGAGGCTGAGGTGATCGAGCTTGGGAACGGCGAGCCCAATAAACAAATGAAGGACCTCTTTGGCAAAGCGCTGATGCGCAAGGCCGAGGCATTGGAGCAACTGGAGCGTTGGGTGGATGCTGCTCAGGCATGGAAACTGGCAGTGGAATCAGGCCATGGTGGAAGCACCAGCATCCAAGGACGCAATCGCTGCGAGAAAGCGGCTGGTATTAGCAAGCCACCTCCAAAGGCCCCGGTAAGGAAGAAACCCACTCCTGCACCTAGGAAGCCGACTTCTGCTCTGTCCGATCTGACCGGTGGCCCGTCAACATCTGGCCATGACTCGGAGGCCGTCAGCCGTCTCCGGGCTGCCAATCTTGCCGCTGACCGCGCGGACGAAGAGAAGTTCGCGCTTTCGGAGAGCGTGGATGCGCGACTCACGACATGGAAAAATGGCAAGCAGGATAACCTGCGCGCTCTACTCGGAAGTCTGGACACAGTACTCTGGCCCGAGGCCGGATGGAAGAAGATCAACATGTCGGAATTGGTCTTGCCGAATAAGGTGAAGATCCAGTATATGAAAGGGATCGCCAAGGTGCATCCCGACAAGGTACGGCCATCTCTTTCCCTTCAAATATCAACCGCTCGTCACTGACCATTTTGCTTTCTAGATCTCCACCACCGCCACGACAGAGCAGCGCATGATCTCTAGTGCTGTGTTTGGAACGCTGAACGAGGCATGGGATAAGTTCAGGACGGAGAACAACCTGTGATTCCCTCCTTTTTTTCTCCTCGCGTTGCTTCATATTTTGCATACGGAGCTCATTACCCCCATCTTTTGCAACATACACATCGAGCACACCTCATATCATGCTACATAGAATTAGAACAGTGTCTATTTTGAGCCGAGCACGGCTATTCGGAATCGTATATGATCCAACAACTATATTACAACGTAGCCCCGTCACTCATCCTTCGCATCTGTCCCTTGCTGGGACTGTTCCTGTGCCTCCTGCTCCTCTTGCTGCCGCTTTGCCCTAGCCTCCTGTTTCATCTGTCTTTTGCTTTTGGGTGCGGCAGTTGCGTCCGCACCCGTCTGTGCTGATGGCCACTTCTCTCGGCATTTCTGCTCGTCCTCCTCCGACCACTCCCGCGGCAATATGGCGAAGACCAGGTATGATGTGTGGGTTTTGAGGTTATCCTCTGTCCGATGCACTAATCGGCCTAGGCTGTATGAAGGAACATCTGACGGTGCTTGGGCGGGTTGGTCCATGGCCGGGGTCTTTCTTTCATCCACCCCGGTTCCACCATCTGCCTCGGCCTCGCGAAACCGTCGAGTGCGGTCCTCATCGCTGCGTAGTTTGGCCACGGCCTCATCCACAGACCTAGGGACCACAAGCGCCCCGCGCACACCCTGCGCATCTAATCCAATGCGCTCCCGCTTCACGTCAATCATATGATGATTCACCTCGACCATGGTAATAGACAACCAGCCCAGCTGCCGCATAGTGCTAATCGTGCGCTCCGCCTGCTCGAGACACGGCGAGAACGTGCACAGGTACGCAGGAGAGGACGGGTCTAGCGGAGACACCGCGCCAGAGGGCGGGTTGCGCACGAGATGTTTCAGCGCGAGCCACGGCGCAGGCAAGTCGAGGAAGATGGCGTTGGCATTGGGCGACCTGCCGGTCTTGGGGTCGTCCAGTAGGAAGCCATCTTCGTAGACGTCGCGATGCGTCACCTCCACAATCCCGTCTAGTCCGTGCTGGCTGATTTCCTCTCTCACCCGCCCCGCGCGCGGTTCATGGAACTCGTAGCTGCACACCTTGCCCAGCCGTCGTCGTTTCGCTGCTGGCGTCGCGGAGTCCGGATATCCGTTGAACACGGCGCGGACCGACGCATGCGTGAACGATCCACTCCCCGCGCCAGCTTCGATCACCGTGTTTCCGGGCCTGGCGCGGAGGCGGTGCAGGATGTAGCTGTAGTCCGGGGTGTAGACGACCTGTGTCCGGTGTGGAAGGGACAAAGTCCAGGCTTCGGGAGTCGGGGCCACAAGATGAATGAACCCACTCGCAGCAGTGACGGGTTTTTTCAGCGAAGACTTCTCATCATCCGCGCCGGTGGTCGTCCCCGATGCATCGAGGTCATCGGCTTTGCGCTTCTTCGCCGCGCCGGACTTTCGGCCGCGCGAGCCCGTGTCGACGACGGAGGCGATGATCTGCGATCCCCATGGCTTGTTGATGAGCGTGCTGTGCGGAAATGAGCCGAATCGCGTGGTCACTACCTTGCCCTCGTCGTAGCCCTGGTTCTCGTCGTCGTAGGTGCGGAGGATCGCCGGGATACTTTGGTCGCGGCGGAGGTGGAGCAGGGCGAGGCCTTCTGCTTGAGCGGTTGATCCGGGGGTTAGGAAGGGCGATGGCATGGTGGATTGAAGGGGTGCACTCGCAATGGGCGATCGAACCAAGTTCGTTCTCCGCATGGGAAAAAAAGTACGTACATGGGCTGATTGCCCGATCCGGGTCCCCGTTAGGGCTCAGGGCTCCGCCCCCGGTACCTTCCTTTCGATGCTGCTTGTTTGACTCACCCCCAGCAGCCCCTCGATTGCGCCTTCCCCCTTCCCTTCTTTATGACCTTTTCTTCCCGTCTGTCTTCTTTCTCTCTCTCTTTTCTTCCTAAACAGCGCGTCCGACCCCTGTCCCCAGTGCTAGTCTTTGCCCGGACCACCATGTCTGCGCGCCAGCAGCCGCCATGGCGCCAACCGCCCTCGAATCCAGACGTCAACCTCCCTCCCTTGAACGTGTGGAACTCTCTCACCAAATCCAAAACACCGTTCATCCCAATCGACCCAGCGGGCAAAAAGGTTAATTGGTACGCCTGCGGACCGACGGTGTACGACGATTCGCATCTGGGCCATGCCAGGAACTATGTGACCACCGATATCATTCGGCGCATCATGCGCGACTACTTCAAGTTTGATGTTCATTTTGTTATGAATATTACCGATGTGGATGATAAGGTATGCGGAATGGCCTGCCCCGATTGACGATACAGCATGGATTGATCGTGTTGTAGATTATTCTCCGCGGTAGACAACAGCATCTATTCAACGAATTCGTGGCCGTGAACCCCACCGTCTCCGCCGCTGTTTTGGACACTGCGAAAAGTGCATACACCGCCTACCTGAAGAAAAACCTGCCTCTCCTCTCCCCCGATCTGGCTCCGTCTCGCTATCAAGAAGAAGTCGAAAAGGTGTACGCAGTCGTTTTGAATGGTGGCGCATTACCAGGGAATGAGAAGCCGGGTGACGATGAGGCCAAGGTTAAGATGCATATCAAGACGGCTGCGTCGGCCGCCGAGGTGATTGCGCAGGCTGGAACTCTCGGTGACTCAACCGACACTACTGCGTTCGCCAAGTCTTTCTATTCCGGAACGCAGGATATCCTGCTGCCTTACTTGGATGCTCTGAAGGGCACCTCGATCGACGCGAACGACCACAGTATCTTCACCAAGTTGACGAAGAAATACGAAGCAAGCTTCATGAAGGACATGCGCGACCTCAACGTTCTCGACCCAGACGAGCTGACTCGCGTGACGGAGTATGGTGATGAAATAGCTGATTTCGTGGAGCGCATCGTGCAGAACAAATTTGGATATGTCACGGCTGATGGATCGGTGTATTTCGATATTGATGCCTTCGAAGCGGCGGGTCATCCGTACGCGCGGCTTGAGCCATGGAGCCGTTCCGACAACAAGCTAGCCGCAGAGGGGGAGGGTGCATTGGCCAGCAAGACCACCGAAAAGCGCGGAGCTTCCGATTTTGCGCTCTGGAAGTCTTCGAAGCCAGGGGAGCCGAGCTGGTCCAGCTCCTGGGGCAAGGGCCGTCCCGGTTGGCATATTGAGTGCTCAGCCATGGCGTCAGCCCGACTGGGCAAGCAGATGGATATCCACTCTGGAGGCATTGACCTTGCATTCCCGCATCACGATAATGAATTGGCTCAGAGCGAGGCTTACTGGGATGACCATAGCCACTCGCACGACCAGTGGGTCAACTATTTCTTGCACATGGGCCACTTGTCCATCCAAGGGTCTAAGATGTCGAAGTCCTTGAAGAACTTCACTACTATTCGCGAGGCGCTTGGGCGAAACGATTGGACATCGCGCAGTCTGCGGATTGTGTTCCTTCTGGGCGGCTGGAGAGATGGTGTCGAGATCACAGAAGAGCTGGTGAACTTTGGCAACTCGTGGGAGGACAAGGTGAACAATTTCTTCCTGAAAGTGAGGGATCTTGAAGCCCTTCAGGGACACGCATCCGGCACCGACAGCACCCTTGCTGCTGATTTGAAAGCAGCCCAGAAGGCTGTGTACGAACAGCTCTGCGATTCGTTCAATACTCCCGCTGCGATGCAATCAATTTCGGAGTTTATCACAAAGTACAACTCTGCCGATAAATCCACCTTGAATCTCAAGGATGTGGAGGCTGCTGCTAGGTGGGTGACGTCTATGGTCAACATCTTTGGCCTCAATGGTACCGCCGCTGCGGACAGTCCCGAGATTGGCTGGTCGGGCATCGATGTCCCCCAAGAGGCCAAGCCTTTCCTCTACCCGCTTTCTTCCATGCGCGACACCTTACGACTGGCCGCACGCGATAAAGCCGGTATCAGCTCCAAGGAAATCGAGGAGGTTCTCGCTCGTGATTCTGCACCTGCAGCCGAGTCCGAGATCGCGAAACCCTACGCAGCGGTCTATTCCAATTTCCGCACAAATGTCAGCGCCCTGCAATCATCCGATTCCATCGCCAAAGAAGTCCTGGCCCTGTGCGATCGCGTGCGAAACGTCGACCTCTTCGATCTCGGCGTTTACCTCGAAGACCGCGACAACCTCCCCGCCCTGGTGCGGCCAGTGACCCGCGAGATGCTTCAAGCGCGTGAGGAAAAGGCCGCACGAGCCCGCCAAAAGCAAATGGAGAGACAGAAGCAGGAGCAGGAGGCCCTCAAGCGGCTGGAGAAAGGCAAGCTAAGTCACCTCGAGATGTTCAGGACGAATGAGTACAGCGCGTGGGACACAGATGGTATTCCGACGCACGATGCTGCCGGTGAGGAGATCACTAAGAGCCGGGCGAAGAAGCTGCGCAAGGATTGGGACCGGCAGAAGAAGGCGCATGAGGCATGGTTGGCTAGTCAGTAGTACTCATTACCTGTGTCGGTCTTTGTTTGTGTTGCATCGCGGGGCGTTTATTCCGGTCAACCATTTTCACTATAAATCTTGAAAAGTAAGACTATCAAATAAATTCCTGATTTATCTAATGGAGCACTATGTAACTTGAGTTGATCCATGGTCCGTCCACTGGGTGGTTAGATAGTCCGGCTAACGTGCCTTGTTCGTGACGAGGTATGCCTGTTCGTGACGAGGTAGGATGACAATGCGGGATGTCCACGTCAGTGTGCTGCATCATTTCCCATTATTTCTCCCGCCTGATTCCTCATTATAGTTGACTCCAATTTTATAGTCCGGCACACCTTACCGCTACAGCATGGCTACTCCGTCCGGCCTCGATTACATGCGTTCCCGCACAGTGGTCGACTGTGACACGATGGACGAGGAGGGTCAGTAACTGAGGGGTTATCACTACGCCGTTATCAATCATGCTCACTGTTTGCCTAGTGGCTAAGACCCTGGGACCCTTCCAGGACTGCACATCGAACCAAGTACTCTCCCTCCCTTCTAGTCAAGTATAGCCGCTGACTTCCTATACAGGCCATTGCCTTCGGCGAGCTGTCCAAACCAGCTCGTAACGAAGTGATTATTGCCGCTGTGGCAGACGCAAAGATACTGCATTCTAAATACTCCTCGATCAGTGTTGAAGAATTAGCCGTGGAGATTGCTGTGTGTTCTGCACTACAACTCCCTAGAATATAGACTAACCACAAATCGACAGATGGTTCGGCTAGCTGTGGGTATGTCCAAACATATCTATGGACGCGTCCATGTGCAGACGAATCCATATTACTCATATTCAACTGAGAAGACCGTCGTCAATGCCCTGCGTACGTGTAGGAACTGCCCCAACCACTTCTTACTCGAGTACCTGACACGTCAATGAACTCCACAGGAATTGTCCAGCTATTTCAATACATCCAGCCTGACTTTGACGTCTCCCGCATCGCTATCAAGATCCCAAGCACCTGGGAAGGCATGATGGCGTGCCGCACCCTCGAGCTAGCCGGCGTGCGCACGCTAGCAACCACTTTGTTCAGCATGGCCCAGGCAGTGCTAGCAGCTGAAGTGGGCTGCACGTATATTGCACCTTATGTCAACGAGCTGAAGGTGCAATTTGATACGAGGTGAGTCGCTGACTAGCAACTCGAATGACTCTTTCCTCTATTTTTTCTTAACCTAACTGCCACTCTGCAGTCTGGTCGACAAGGCAAAACTGCTTCCACTCTGTGTTGCTATTCAGAAGTACTACAAATACATAAATGCAACCACAAAGGTCCTACCGGCGAGCCTGACCTCGACAGAGGAGATCTACTCTCTCGCTGGCGTAGACCATCTCACTATCGCCCCCCACCTCCTGGCGCAATTGACAGAGCCTGCCCCCACTGGTACCAATTCGTTGTTCGACGAGGCACCTACAGTGCCCATTCGAGAAACTGACACGTCTTTTCTTAATGATCCCGCCAAATTTCAAATTGTATTTGTCCGAGATTTGTTTGGGGCGAGTCATATCAAGTTGACTGAGGTATGAATGAATGAAAAAAAAAAAAAAAGAAGATGGGCTAATTGAAGTATGTGACAGGCCGTCAATATTTTCTGCGATTTCCAGATTAAATTGGAACAGATGATGAAAGTTGCGGCCGCGTAAAATTTGGGCTTGAATTTGGAATATATTCGAGTCGAGTGAAGTTGTAGTCGCTTTTTATATATTTCTGCGGGGGCAGATCGAAACAGCAGTACGGAGTAGGTAGTCTCCTCTCCTATCAATTGATGCAACAAGAAGCCCTTTTTGAGCTGTACACAGCAACCCCTTGACTTCTTTCCTATCTTCTAATTAGCTTTCTTGCACGTTTTATATGCATCACGTGACCAGACGTCATCCATCTTCGTTGCGCCCGCAAATCTCCAAATTCTCTCCAATTCTGCCGTTCCACCTACATAGCCCCTGTACACTGGCCTCGATGTACCCTGTACAATACATCCAAGTCCAAACATTGTGATTGGCATCGAGGGGATTTCAGCACCATGTTCCCTTCACAGGTGGCCAATTTCAACATCGAGGCCGTGAGTGGCATTTGCGGGTGAGTCTCGCACAGGGATGTTACACTATAGTGTGCATCGAGTTGCTGCCATTGGTTACCTATCTCACTAACACACATACCAGCTCCATATCAATTGCTTGCTGGGTCGTCGTCTTCTCCCCGCAAATTATCGAAAACTTCCGCCGCGGCTCAGCAGACGGCCTCTCGCTGCTCTTCCTCATCGTCTGGCTAGCGGGCGATGTATTCAATATCCTCGGTGCCATTCTGCAAGGCGTGCTGCCCACAATGATTATCCTGGCTGTGTACTACACTCTCGCGGATATCGTGCTGCTGGGACAGTGCTTCTACTATCGCGGCTTTAACATTACGAATGAGCTATCTGCTTCTCCTACACCGACGTCAGATGCTACTGCCACTGCTAGTGTGGAGCAGAGTGATGGCGAGGGTAGTTCCACGCCGGTCCCAACAGAGCAATCAGCTCTGCTTCCTAAATCCACGATCACGTCCCCATCCAATAGACATATCCAGATCCAGCAGCCGACAGAACACACACATCATGCACACGAAGCTCAGAACGGCGCACGCCCTCTTTCGTCCTCCTCGTCCACACGCAACATAGGAAGAAGACACTCGGCCACATCCTTCCACGATCTCCTCCACTCCTCAGTAGACGGCACGCACCTCTCCCCCGCGACGCCCTTCATCGAGTCAGAATCAGAACGAGTCCTCTCCCAACGGACCCGCCGCCGCATCTCCTCCCTGCAAACAGCCCTATTCAACGCCACAGCCATTGCTCTCGTCTGCGCGGCAGGGATTTTGGGCTGGTACGTCAGCCCGGGCTCAAAGAGCTCCACTGACGAGCCCGAGCCTCTTGCCATGGATACGCTTGGCCAAGTGTTCGGGTATCTCTGTGCGGTGTTCTATCTAGGATCGCGACTGCCACAGCTTCTTTTGAACTTTAGGCGCAAATCGACGGAAGGCGTCTCCTTGCTCTTCTTTCTCTTTGCCTGCATCGGCAACTTGACCTATGTCTTGTCGATTCTAGCGTATTCGCCCGTCTGCCGTGGTTCCTCTGAGGCTGTGGCTGTCAGTCCTGTGCAGCATCATTCCCATGTACGCTGTCGGCCTGGTGAAGCGACTGCTATATATGGGCGATATATACTGGTTAATCTGTCTTGGCTGGTTGGCAGTGCTGGCACACTGTTGCTAGACATGGCTATTTTTGTGCAGTTCTTTCTGTACAGCAGTTCCAAAGTTGAGGAAGAAGATGGGGAGTATGAAAACCGCGCTTAGGAGACTACATAGTTGCTTACCCAATATGCTGAAAATAAATGGCAAAATATCTGGGACGGATCTACTTGCTAAGGCTGTCTGGATGTATATAGATGATGAAAGGACGTGATAAGTGGCTGTTTGATGATAGAAGGCTGTGTCAGCTGCATCATACCCTAATGATCACTGGCGACCATTCGCCACCAGGTGATGGTGGTTCCCTCCGCCAGACAGAGACCCATCATGCCCTTGGTGAATCTCCGAGAAAATGGATAGCAAGACCAACGACTGGACTCAAAATAGAGACAAGATACCCAACCAAGGCAGTTGGCGCCAATCCCTGGTCGCTAAGGCTAAGCTACATATCTTTTCCGGGATCAAACTAAGTGGCCACTTACAGTAATTCACATTTGTATATGGCTCGGTAATTATCTAGAAGACATTTGTTGCGTCACTTTTGAATGACATCCTGAAAACAATGAAATAACTTTTCATAGGCAAATAGCAAATCAGAGGTTACTAATCTTGAGTACCGTCTTGCCAAAGCTTCCTCCAGTGAACATGGAAAGGAACGCTGCGCCAGCCCGCTCAATGCCCTCATATTCAGTGTATCGTGACTTGATCTTTCCCTCCGAGATCCACTTCGGCATGGTCGCCCAGAAGTTTTCGATGTTATCTGGGAAGATGTTCTCATCCCAGAATATGAAGCCTTGGATCTTGATTCGCCGGCGGAAAATCTCCGAGATGTTGCTGACACCATACTGCTTTCCGATAGGCTTGTTATATTGCGATGCCTGTAAAAGTAAAACTTAGCCATGACCCATATCTCCGAGCCCCGACGAAGAAAGACAAACCGCCCCGCAGCTAAAAATTCTCCCGAACCATTTCATATTCTCAATTGCCGCTTGAAAGTGGTCGCCTCCAACGTTTTCAAAAACCACGTCCAATCCATCCGGTGCCAGCCGCTTGAGTGCGTCATTGACAGCTTCGTTATGATAGTTGAAGCCAACATCGGCACCCAGCTCGTTCACAACGTAGTCAAGCTTATCATCGGAGCTCACACTGGCAATCACCCGCAACCCTTCAATCTTGGCAAGCTGGACCACGAGCTCTCCGACCGAGCTCGATGCAGCGTTTACCCAGATTGTCTCGCCCTTTACCGGATTTACGAGGCCGTAAAATGAGTTCCATGCGGTCATACCAGCCAGACCCAGCGTCCCGACATAGTGTTTGAGGTCTAGATGGTGAGGATTGGTCACCTTCCAGACGAGCGGCGACGCCATGGGTCGGGCGTCAATGAGCTCTTTGGGGACTAGGCCGTACTCGGCAATGGGCAGGATCCCTGCAATCAAGCTTCCCTCTTCGAAATCGTCGTTGGCGGAGCGGATGACCTTGGCAATTGAGAAGTTGGTTATGATTTCATCGTTCACATAGCCTGGCACATAATCGATGGGACCAGGGCCACGCATGCGATCTCTCTGATGAAGGTCAAGCCCAGCGATGAGGAGCTTGATCACTAGGCCACCCGTTGTGGGAACTAGCTTTAGTGGTCGATCCTCAATGATGGTGTTGATACCTGGCTGGGGCAGTCCCGTTGGCGGCTTTTTGAACACCCATGCCTTGTTTGAGATCAAATCTGCCATATCGGATGTATTTATTGCGTCAAAAACGGCTTACAAGGTTTCAATAATCAATGTGCAGCTTGGCCTCGCAAAACAGTTGACAAAATTAAAGAGATTTAAATCTCTGTTTGTTTGACAAGCATATATAAGCATGTGGTGACGTTATCCGGCCGCATTCTAGATCCCACCAGACTTAACAAACGTTCCCCAGACTACAGGAGCCAGCGATCAGTTTTGGGAATATACTGAGTCGCACCCAAAGCCTCCCTGCGAGTCTCTGTTGCCCGAATCCGTAAAATCACTACACGGGTGTATCGCGAGACACATCCTGACAATTATTAATTTGCCGCTTTACAACTGCTCTATTATCTTTTAGTAAGATATAGTCCATTCCGATAAAGTGTGAGAACCCAAGTTTTCAAACCCGTCCGAACCGTCTCCGTGCCGTCTCCGTGCCGTCTCCGTGCCGACCCCAATACACCGGACGGATAAGGTTTCCAGGCCACTTACTAAGACCCCCAACAATCAAAAGTTTGATTGGTCGACAAGACCAACCTACCATTCAATAAGCTCAACTTGACATTCAAGCCGGACCAATGTTAAGAGTACATCATAGCCTACCAAAGCTCTCAAACACCCTAAACACCCTAACTAACCTGTGATTAGCTGCTGTTGCAGCCACCATATCCTCGATTATCTTTACACTTTGTGCCGCGTCACTGTGGCGGGACTATCGAAAAGAGCAATGCAATAGAGTAACAACGATGTCATGAAAAATCGTTGATATATTTGTTGCCTATGAAGGTCTCTCAGTTCATCAATTAGTTCAGCTCTGTTGACATTTTAAGTTCCATATTCCACATATCTAATAACCTCCACGAAGATGTCGCTCGATGAAGTTGTGCCAGGTACTTGCAACTGTGGGGCCATCACTCTGCAGATTGCGAAAGAATCATTCCCCAGCTCAAGTTTGATCTGCCATTGCCGAAATTGCAAGGCATCATCGGGTTCATTGTAAGTAGTGGATCAAATTAGCTACGCGCTATGAACAGATTGACTTCAAGTTGCAGGTTCTCGTTGAATCTCATTGTACCCGCAAATGCAGTGGTGATCAATGGCAATCCAAAGGCGTACACGGAAAAGGAGTGTGATTCTGGGCATCATATGGATAGGTGCTTCTGTCCTACCTGCGGCTCGTAAGTTTCAGCTTCCTGATATATGATCGTGGCACGAAAGGTATACTGATCTATGTGTAGGGCTGTATACTCTGCAGTCTCGGAAGACAGGAAGAACCTGTTTATAAAAGGTGGTTTATTCGCAAGGGCTGGATGCCGTCTTCCGCCGCCTGTCTCAGAGGTCTGGCTTCGACGTGCAGAAAAGTGGGAAACGCGATTCGGAGATTGTAGCCTACTGGAGTGAACGTGAATTACCTTAACAAAAGCTGTTGTATCCCTATCAATTCCCCCCGCGAATTCATTTGTTATGTACCAATTTGTCCTGTTTATGCACGCGCGGGTATACTGTTTCAGAGAATCGGCTAGGTTCTTTTGTGCAAACAATCCAAACGGAGTGGGGTTTCCTAGCGATCTAATCAGATCACCAGGCTCTAACTTCTCTTCATTTGCAGTCATCGTCTGCCCTTCCAACATAGCACAGAAGGCTGTTTTAGACCAGTGGGGAGCTAATTATAGTAGGCAAAGTGCTTTTCTATTTCTCCGCTTGTGTTATTTGCCGTGATTTTCATTCATTACCAACGTTTGTCAAAAGCTAACACTCATCGATAACTGCAGAAATGCGCTTCAATTCCCTTGATGACATCGCATCACCATCGCCGACTTATTAAGATTGTTCTGGTATACGATGATCGAAATATTATCAATGACCTCGACTACAGAAAGGGGCGTGCTAGCTTGCGGCTTTCTTTGTTGGATTCTTTTCCTTTTCCACATTACTTGCTTCTTAGTCGGATGGGGGTTGCGCTTGGCAGGGTATGATCCTGACGGGAGGCTTTTCGACATTATTGACTTATTTATGATATCACCGTTGTGCTCAGCGAAGCGCTTTATTGGCCATAATCCCGACGAGGGTCTTGTCCATCTTATTGGCTTCTGGATCAAATCAGCGTTTCGCTTAGTTGGCCTTGACCCTAACAAGAGAAAACCGAATGCTTCACCAAAGAAAGATCAAACTAGATCTGATACGAGCGCCGCAAAAACAGCGAGTTGCTTACCAAAACCCAATCACGACGACCCTGATTTGACTAATCTTCTCAAGTTTCTCGATCGGAAAAGGCGTCTTGAGGTTGAGATCGAGATTCTCGAGGAAATGTCGCGCGGTAGTGAGGCTAGGATAGCGTTCCTTAGTTCAGAATATAGCAATCGAGGATATGGCTCCGCTTTGGAGGGTTCATACAGTGCACGACTGTTAGCTGCTATCTAAAATTCCTACTATCTGGTCTTTTACTCACCCCAATGCAACTGAACCTGGAGAATGTATTATGACATCTTTACTCCGTGAGCGTCCGTCACTCGCAAAATATATAATTTCCAACAATCTTTGTTACAAAACGCCGAGGATTCAATATCCCCGATGGCATAAACATGTGTGAACCGAGTAGGATAGGCATAAAAACCAAGCCTGATTTAGATCGATGGAAACCGTTAACGATTTTTGACTCGAGGTCGACTTTATTTTCCATTGAAATGTAATCGATATATAATTCCAACATGCTACAAAGTGTATAAATAGATAATCAGGCTATTCCGCGTAGAATATATTTGTGGGCTCAGCATGTGCCAACATTAACCAACAGCACCTTAACAACCCCCTTTAAATCATAGCATAAAGAGAGCGACAGCAACCGCGGCACCACTAAGCACAATCCCTTCAGCCGTAGCAACCGGCATAGCCGCGTTGGTGGTTGGACTTGCTGATCCCGAACTCGTGCTCGACGCCTCATTAGTCGAAGGCCCTGTCATAGTAGCCGTAGCCTTCGCCGATGCTGAAGAGACCAGACTCGAATAGTCACTAGCCGTGAAGGGGATCTTTGTGACACAAGAGTTTTCCGTAGACCGCTTATTCTTGGCCATAGAGGGAATCCCGCTAGGGAAGATAGGGGCTATGCTGACAGTTGTTTGGTCGGCAACGCAGCAGTAGGCAACGCCGTCTTCAACGTCCAAAGCGCCGTAGCAGCATTTAGAGCGATAGTTGCCCCAGCCCTGAGGACAATCTGTTGCCGTCGTGGTAGCTGCGAGGTGTGACCACACTTGATGGGATTTTAACGGGACTGCGCATGACGGGTCTGCGCTTGACGGGACCGCGTTTGGCATCACTGCGATTGAAGACTGCGTTTGAAGACTGCGTTTGACAGGTGACACAGGGCATAGACTGTTGTAGATAAGTAGAGACTCTTCTTCGGTCTCTTCTTCCCTTTCTCAACTTGGATCTCCCGTCGACTACGTACTCACATTGAATTCTTTATTGATTTTCTTTCTTGATCTGACATCCGGTCACAAAATTAACAGGAGGCCTAAAGGACTAACAGGGCGCCTAAGGGACTAAAAGGAGGCCTAGGGACCAATAGGAGGCCCATGGGACTAGCCAGAGGGCTGAGGGGCTAACTAGAGGGCTGAAGAACTAACTGGAGGGCTGAGGGTCTAGTGGAGGCCTAAGGCAAACCCGTTTGCTTATACTTTAACCCCGAGATTGACGCCCCGACTTCAGACGCGATTGTAAATTGAGTGCAGGATTTCAATAGCCGATGCTCTTGACTCGCGTATGAGTTGAACAAGGCTTCTTAAAGCAAAATGCCATCTCACATCCTGCTTCAGAACGCAACCATCCTAGTCCCATCTCGTGAACCGAATGACTATGTGGTGCCCCTACGGAGCCATTCATTATTGATTACGGACAACAAGATCTCGCAAATTGAACGAGATATCATTTCTCCAGCTGGTACGGAAATCATTGATTGCACTGGCAAAATTGTCTCTCCTGGCTTCATCGATACGCATCACCATCTATGGCAGACACAATTGAAAGGGCGCCACGCCAACCAGACCCTGTTGGAATATATGCTAAGCGGTCTGTTATAAGTTACCTTTCCAATTGAATGAAACCTCCTTCTTAGAGCTAATTATAGCCAGGACTCTTGCAACATGCCAATTATGCACCCGAGGACGTGTTTTGGGGTGAGCTTGGAGGCTGCCTCGAAGCGTTGGACGCAGGTACCACGACAGTTGTAGATCATGCCAACATGAATGTATCGCCGGCTCATAGTAAGTATTATTTTGTCTTGCGTTATTTGTTACTAAACTTCGGTACAGCTTCAAATGCAATCGAGGCGACGGCGTCATCCGGGATCAGATCCGTTTTCTGCTACGCACCAACTATGCGTGTCAAGTCCTTCAAACCTGATCTTACCGTTGACGGTGGTCTATTAGATGACTGGGTAATCGATCATCTGAAGTACCTGGGTGCTACTGCTCCTTTTGGGGACGAGCGGATCCAGCTGGGGTTGGCTTTTGATGGATTCATGCTACCGAAAGATCAAGTTATCGCTCTTTATGCAGAAGCACGAAAGCTCGGAGTAAAGGTTATCACATCTCATTATGTAAAGGGATATTTTAGTGAGTGGAGATGATATCATTCATCTGGTTTTAAGGCTGATGTGGTGACAGGCAACAACTCGCTTGTCGATGCCCTTGAATCATATAATCTCCTGGGGCCAGATATCCTTTTTTCACATGCCACCAATCTTACAGAAACCGACGTCTCAAAGCTCGCCCAAGCGAATGCGTGGATCTCCACGACACCTGATACTGAGTTGCAAATGGGTCACGGCAATATTGTTTGTTTCCGCGAGGGCTGCACTAACATGTGCGCTTTGGGAATTGATTGCCACAGTAACAACTCCGGCGATATGGTCTCACAGATGCGGCTTGCTCTGCAACATGAGCGATCTAATCGCAATGAGAAAGTCATCGCCCAGGGCAAAAGAACCATGTCACTGAACCTTTTCGTTCAAGATGTTTTCCGTCTTGGCACTATGCAAGGAGCACGAGCCATCCATATGGAAGACAAGCTGGGATCGATTGAAGTTGGGAAATTCGCAGATCTTGTTGTCTTTGATGGCAATAGCCCTGGAATGGTCTGCGCATCCCAAGAAGACCCAATCGCAGCTATCGTTCTTCACTCCTCGGTTCGTGATATTGATACTGTGATTGTGGATGGTCAGATCAGGAAGCGCGATGGGAAGCTGCTCTCTGTTAAAATCGATCCATCCATGCCCGACGTGACCATTCCAAAGCAAAATGTGGAGTGGAACCAGGTTGCCAAGCAACTTATTTGGAGCAAAGGACGGATTCAAGATGCTATGGTAAAGGCAGGTGCTAATGAGCCTGAAAGTCTGATCAAAGCTTTTACAAAGATTTTGTACCTTGATGAGAGCAAGTTTGTTAAGTTGTAAATGGCCTTCATCTTGAAAACTTCAACTTAAGCCATAGTGAAATGTTACATCCTGATCAAGTCGGTACATTTCTATATTCTAAAATCCATAGCCTATAGTATGGCCTCAGATGCCTCTGCTTGAGCTGGTCGGTCACCTTCTGACCAAGGTCCATGAACCTGCAGCTATTCATCAGCTACAGCACCGCCAAGTTAGCTAAAATAGAGCAACAGGGTGTTTTAAACGGCCCGATTTACACCTAACTGAAACTCTTGAACGAGACCTCTGAAAGAGAGCATGGTAAAAGCCAAGAGCGGGTTTCATGTACGTAGAAATGGTCAAGTTATTGATCAAAAAGAGGATATTTGGATCAATGCAGTTGACGAAGATTTCGGTTAGCCGCAAGTTGGGGAGAAGCCGAAATGGTCAAACTATTCATATAACAAGGTGACAGGTTGAGGCAGAGTTGTCGATTAGAATTTGTGCCTCAATTATCTTTCGTTAAGCTCTCTTCAAGATGCTTCACCTCGGCCTTCTCTGACAGGTCATTCCGAACGGCGTCCTTGCCATCAAAGATGATATTCACTTGCTCAAGGGTAATCCGACTTGTCTCAGGATATGTAAAGAACACCATAGCAATCTCGAGCAAGATGATAGCGTCGATGATGCAGTAGTATCTCCAGCCAATGTTCTTCAAAGCTACGGGATTTAAGTAGTTGAAACCAGTGATGGTCGCTTGGACCAGAAGATTCTGAGTGCAGATGAGCTTCGGGCGGATGTCGTAGCTCATGCACTCGACAGTATATCCGGTCAGGATGCCATTCCAAGTCGATGAGTAGAAGCCATTGAAGATGAAAATAAATGCAATTACCGCAATTCCAGCTCTGTGAACGTCGTGGATAACGTAGATGGCATTGCAAATTGTCCACGGGAGGAAACCGGCAAGGAGCATGCCGGTCAAGGATCCAAGCATCATAGTTCGCCTTCCGAACTTGTCAACAACAAAAGCACCCCAGAAAGCCCAGCCCATGTTCCACATGGTCAAACAGCCGTTGATGATGCTCTGCGTGCGTGGGTCGGTGACGCCGACACCCGTCAAGACAACCACAAGATAGTAGCCGATGAGTGTCTGACCGGATGCCTGGGAAGCGACACTACAAGTCAACACAATGTAGGTCCGATAGCGGTTACCGCGGGTACGGATGAGATCGAACCAGCTACCGCTACTGTTCTCTTTCTCAAAAGTGAGTGTCTTCTGTATCTCATTGAACTCGAAAGATGCGAGGGGGTCGCTCTCATTGCCGCCACAGTGGTTTTCAACCAGGATTTTAAAAGCCTCCTCAGTCCTACCACGCGAGATGAGCCAGCGGGGGGACTCGGGTACCCACCAGGTAAGGCCTAGAGAGATGACAGATGGAAACATTTGGATCAGGGACACCGCGCGCCACGACCAATTGCTCTTGATGGTCAGAGTGCCCAAAGTGACCCACGCGGCGATCGTTGCGCCAAAGTAGTAGAGTGTGTTAAGGAGAGTCGACAACTGCGCTCGATGCTGGGGGTGAGCAAGCTCTGTGACGAGCATTGGAGCAGCAGTGTATTCAAAGCTCAGTCCGAGGCCGATGATACCACGGGCTGCGGCGAACATGGGCAACCCCTGAGCAAATGACTGCAGGAACACTCCCACTATAATAATCACAGAACCGATGATGATTGTGTACCTTCTCCCAATCTTCTCTACTAGCCACCACAGAAAAAACTGCGAGACCACTCCGCCGAGACCTTGGGTGCCGTTGAAGATACCAAGCTGGCCGCCGGTGGGATGATGGAAGTAGGCTTGCCAGTAAGTCAGAGTCTGCATGCCGTTCATGATGGACCCATCCAGGCCTTATTTAGACTGTTAGCGAGACTTTGCCCGCGTTTCTGTGTGTCTGTAGCTCCTTACCGTTGGTAGCCTGGACCACAAGAACAACACTGAGCCACAAGTAGAGGCGTCGTAGGTGTGGGTATTTGTACCATGGTCGGTCGAGAAGCTCGCGCACATTGATCGTGGTATCGCCCCGGTCGTTGTTGACGACGAGTTGGTTCTGGCTCTGCGATGCTGCCATTGTAACACAGACATTCGCAAACGCGTACCTAATTGGTGTTATAGAGGTGATGACTAGGGCACAACTTGATGTAGATGCCAAGACCCGACAATACTAATGTTTGGAGCAGCCGATACACATATGATAAAGGCTCATATCTCCGGATGCAAACCTGGGACTGTGATATAAATACACCTAGGGAAATGCTGCGCCAAGTGTAGGTTTCTCTGGATCTTCCCCGGATTCTCAGCCCGGGTAAATAGGGCGTGGGGGTAGGGAGCGGCTGATCGGCAGTTGGGGGAATGTCGCCCTGACCCGAACGAACTTTCTCCACATGCCCACGCTGAATTCAAAGCCTGGATAAATATGAAAAGGGGGTTGAGTGGGGGTTGAGTGGTGGGGTTGGACGGTGGGGCTATTTGCAGCACAACCTCCGTCCCTCCTTCGATTTCATAGACAATGCCCTTTTTCTGTCTTCCAGTCTAGATTAATTTTGGTCATGGCATCGCCCATAAAAGTCGGTATTGTAGGCTACGGCTTTTCAGCCAAGTGCTTCCACTTGCCCTTCATCCTGCCCAACCACGAACTCGAAGTGTACGCTTTCCTTCAGCGCGCTGCGGCCCCTCAGATGACGCGGCGTCAAAGTCGAAGCCCTGGGGTCATTGCACCGTGGACTTCCCACAGGCCAAACACTATCGGACTGCCGACGAGTTTTTCGCCGACGTTGCCATCGAGCTCGTCGTTATCTGCACGCCTAATCACCGTGAGTTTGTGGAGAAGGCGCTCAAGTCAGGGAAGCACGGTAAGGGGCAAAACCGAGACATCCCTTTTTGGACTCGAAAACTAACCACATATTCCAGTTGTTGTCGAGAAACCGTTCATGACCACGAGCGCCGACGCCGACGAGATAATTGAGCTTGCCAAGGCACAAGGAAAGGTCCTAACGGTATTTCACAGTACGTGATTGGCTCCCCTGCTTTATCGGCTTGGAACTTGATTCTTGGCCTTCACTTGTACGTGACTGACGAGAGGGTCCCTGGTCTCGTTATTTGAAGACCGAAGATTCGATAGCGATTTTCGCACCTTGGAAGACCTTGTGAAGAAGGGTGCCCTTGGTGATGTTCGAGAAGCCGACATCCATTTCGACTTCCCCTCACCATCTTGGATTGCCGGGTGGACCCAGAAGGAGTATACCCCAGGTGAGGGTATGATTTTCGGCCTAGGTAAACAGGACCCTCTCTGTCTCTCGTGCCCGTGTATAGTTTGTTGAGACCCTAAGAAAAGGCACCCACACGGTCGACCAGGCCCTGCATCTATTTGGGCGCCCAACCTCGGTAACGGGCTTCCTCCGGTCCAACCGCGGTGTTGACAGCGATGTTGACGACACGCACACCATTATCCTACAATATGGTGGGGACAAGAAGAACCTGCTTGTGACTATCAAGACAGCCATCGTATCGCATATGGAGAACCAGCTCCGTTTTTTTGTGAGAGGAACGAAAGGGACATACCTCAAGGTTCGAGCAATCTTTACCACCATTTCCCAGGAGCAGTAGAGACGCAGGCACAGCCTTTATGCGAGCAGGCTAACCAGAGCTTTTTCTCCTTTCCAGTTTGGCACTTGCCCTCAAGAAGAGAGGGCTATCGCAGCGCCAGCCCAGCCCGCCATAGATCCGAACTTCGGCGTGGAGGACGAGCACATCTGGGGTACCTTAACCACGACCACGGAGTTTGACGGCGCGTATCAGACCTGCGATGAAGCCACAGGCCGCTGGGTTGGCAAGTGCCCAAGCCTGCCGGGCTGGTACCGCGGATACTATGACAACGTGGCGGCGGCGATTAGGGGACGAGAAGAAATCTGTGTCAAGCCTGAGACAGCAAGGGACGGATTAAAAGTCATCGAGCTGGCGAGAGAGTCGCATGCCAAGGGAGCCACTATTCCCTGGTCATAGATGGAGGGAATATCGGCAGTGAGGCCTAATATTGGAAGGGGGTTCCTGGGGAGTAAGAATGATATTTGCAGAGGCAGTTACTTGCTATCGAATCAAGTTCCATGTTCTCCCACGCTTGTCAGCCCTCACTCAGTTGTCGTTATGACTCTGCCCTGTAATTAATACACTATGATACTAGAGTCGACCGCTGGATTAACTTCAAGTCGCGTATGGGGCACATCCTGAACCACTTCTTGGACGAATACAAGACGATGAAACAAGTGCGGTCTGACGGCAGCGCTGACCCTGCACTACGACCGGCTCCCTTCCTCAATCGGCGTGGGTAGCGTGTCCATGGAGGCGCATACCTCTGGTGAACCTCAAGATGAATAGGCAAAAGTACAAACTTGTGGAATAGAATGAATTATTGACCTGGATCTTCCACGGTAGGTAAACTGCAGCTTAATTATTCTAATCTAGTTACCCCTTTACAGTCACTCCACTACTACACCTATCACAAAGGATTCTCAGAATAATAGATCATGACGCTTATTGCAGGTCCAATGGCTTTGCTATTGGCAACTGCGTGACCGGCACGCCCGCTTTATTCATTCGCTCGACCTCAACACGTTTCATCTTTTCCTGATACTGTATGGCTTTATTAGCAGAAGTCGTCGGCCAGGATTGTCCTGTCTTCCCCCAGCAGAGGCGTAGAAAAGCAAGGAGGCCAGATATATACGAAAACGTACCTCTACTCGTCGTGGTTCGAGCAACGCGCGGGGTGCTGTGATCTTCCACTCGGGCAAACCCTCAGGTCTACCTAGATCTCGAAGTGTCTTCTGCTCAACGAGACTATACTCCTTGGGATCCGAACGGTTGAAATTGAAGGGCTCCTTGACTGCAACGGGTGGGTTCGTGATAACTCGCACGGTTCGGAGCAGATTCCGCGAGGCTGAGTGAAGCATCAGAGGATGAAGGAAATACACATCGCCGACCTTGCCGGTCGCTTCGTGAAAAGATTCATCGCGCGTGGCCTCTGGGTCGCTGATCCACTTCATCCACTGAGTACGGCGCTCTGGACCTTGGAGGTCCGGTGTGCCGTTGGGCGCGAGGAACGGGGTCGTTCCGGCTGGGTGGTCGTACTATGTTGCCCGTGCGTTAGTATACCTTCCGCTATCTGATTGAAGCGAGCTGTGTCTCAGTGCCAATCCGAGGGCAGCCACAGGGGAGGACGATATACCATGTGTTTCGCCACCAGGCCAATTCCATCGGTGCAGATAACCGTACCACCGCCCTTGGGCTCAATGTCACTGAACAGCGGGATGACCAGGAGTGCCTGCTCTCCACTGTCCAAGAAATGCACAAACCAATCTCCGTCATTATGCCAGTTATCAAGCGTACGAAAGTCCAGCGGATCTGTGGGTTTGAACTCTGGCTTTCCAAAGTTGACGATCCAACCGTCCCTCCAAGTTTTGCACCAATCCGCCATCCTATCTTCGCCGCCAATGAGCTCGCACATGACGTGCCATGCTTTCGGCGCAAAATCCTCGACACGCACGCTAGTATGAGCCGGCATGTTCAACTTTTCGGTGGGCCACGTGGATTTGTCGTCGGGCGAGGCGCCCAAACGAGTCCATAGAGATGAGGTAAACTGCTCGGCGGCCTTTCTGGAAAAGCATCCTTCTACCTTGATGAAACCGTGTTCCAGCCAATGCTGCTTCTGCTCCTCCGTGAGAGAGAACTGGTCCTTAGTCGAAGAGGGCATGGCTAACGGCTACTAGGCGACGGGGATTATGTCTGTTCTGACTGGATGATGCAACACCTGTGTTTGGTCTTGATGCCGAGCTGACCATCCACCGTCCCTGGCTGTTTATTATATACCACGGCCGGATCACGGTGTTCTTGGCCATCAGCTTTTACTCCACACAGACACACTGACTATCGGTCCACTAGGATCCAACCCCGCGCAACCCGATTGTCCGGCATTTTATCCGCCTTTAAGCCTGATTAACGAAGCATATAGATATATAGTTAGTATCTACGCCGGTAGCGTGGATGTACTCCACGTATATAGCCGGCGGGGGTTCCCGCTTTGTGGGGGTGGGCTGTTTACACCATCTGATGCGGGGCTCCAGATGTAATTGTCGGGGCAATCCCACTTTTGAGGCAGCTAGTGTGGCTTAACCTAATTTATGAAGTAGGTAACTAAGTGCATCGCAGAACATGACAGTATACTATGTGCCACCATTTAGAGAGCGTACGGGCCTCTGGATTCTGAGAGACTCCTGTATACTTATGATAAGGCGCTAAATCGATTGAGCTATATCTACAAGGACTTGCGAGGATAGATTTGCGCTAAATATTCCGAACTAAGTATATTTAGCTAAACTCGCCGTTCCGCATCTAAATCCGTGGTTTCCATTTCAACCACTGTTTGCTTATCCTCGAGAACATGAATGTCCACATTTGCCACTTGAGCATCCTGCCCGTCAAAGATCTTCGCAATTTCTTCAAGGGTAGGCCCGCGAGTTTCAATAAAGAAAAAGAAGACGAAAATGACTTCGAAACAAAGCCAGCCCTACGTAGTGTGAGTAGGGAAATGCACATTTCGAGGGTACCAAGTAGGAAGGAGTAGAGTGAACTCACGCAGTATATCGAGTAGAAGCGCCACCGAGGTTGCAATTGGCTTAGGCCAATGGGGTTGATATATCTATGGAAATCCGTATCAGCTGTGCATCCTGACAATCGACTATAGCAATGAAAAAGACCAGGGGGACGAGAGCATAGCATAGGTGAAGTGAGCAAGGTGAGAAGTAGGCGAGACTAACTGGTTGAAAACCAATCCCACCTGGACGAAGAAGTTCATAACCATAAGTCCTTTTGCACGAATTCTATATGGCATAATCTCGACAGTATATCCGACTAGTAGACCTGACCAGGCGATATTGTAGAATACTCCGTGGAGGAAGATGAAAAAGATCACAGTTTTGCCAGCTGCTAGATTATGGTGAAGGTCGTAAAGAGCCGAACAGGCAGTCCAGAGGACGAAGCAAACAAACATCCCTATCATTTGCTTACTTAGCGTTAAAAGCTTATAAAAGTTCAGAGCACTCACCCGATGTTGCTGCGAGAAATAAAGGCCGACGGCCAACTCTGTCAACAACAGCTGCACTAATAAGGCCGACAATCAACTGTATGATATTAGTAAAAGTCTCTAAACCTTGTTTGCGGCGACTTACCGAAAGTATGGTTTTGCAGCCATTGATCTTGAATTGAGTGTCCGCGTCAGTGACACCAATGCTATCCATGACTAGGGCGAAGTAGTAACTAGTCAAGCCGTTGCCACTCCACTGAGAAAAAAGACCTAGCGCGAGGACTAGAAGAAGGCGATATGTATTGCCCTTTGTTCGGAAGAAGTCCAAGTAACCACTGGCTTTCTTGGCCGCGAACTCGAGTCGTAGTGTCTCCCGAATCTCGTAGAATTCAAATAGCACGTCTCTATCTGATTTGTTTTCGTTAGCGTGATATTTGGCCAAGATATCTAGGGCCTCCTCATCTCGCTCCTTCGAGAGAAGCCAACGCGGGGATTCAGGAACAACCCAGATGAAGATAAACAGCACTAAAGTTGGCAACGCTTGGAAAATAGACGGAATTCTCCAAGACCAGTTGTTCTTGATACTAAAAGTGCCGAAGGTTATCCATGTTGCGACAATGGATCCGATATCCCAGAGTTGATTGTATACTGTTGTGACTCGCCCTCTATGTTGCGGATGGCAAATCTCAGTGAGAAGTAGAGGCGCGGCGTTGGAGACTATGCTGTTTCCGAATCCAACAAAAAAACGAGCGGCAATAAACACTGACAAAGATTAGATTGTTTCGAGTGAATAGAGAACTTCATGGCATGGAACATACTAGAGAAGTTTTGAGCTGCACTTTGGACTGCAACCCCAACAAAGAGTAGCAGACATCCTGTTATGATCGCAATGCGACGACCATAGTGATCCGCTATATACGGACTACGCAAGAGTGAGAAAGAGGCCTGCGTTTTAGAGCGATATCGACTCACGCGAAGGGTAAGCCGGCAAGACCACCAATGCTATAAATGGATCCAAACAAGCCCAGTATCGATCCCGTTGGATGGTGGAAGTAATCTTGCCATATATCCAGGATTTGTAAACCATTTAACATAGATCTACAGACATGAGCAGTCAGATTTTGTGACAATGATAAAACATGCAGGATAGTAGGTTAAGTACTATACCCATCGTAACCTGTTGTGGCGGACGCTAAACACAAAACCATAGCCAGTGAATAGAGTTTCCTCATGCCCGGATCTTTGTACCATATTACTCGGCGAAATTGATGTGTTTCAGCAACAGCAGCATCTTGCTCTCTCACTCTCAACGGCTGAAGAGAAGCGATCCCAACCATGATGTCTGAAGTGGCCCGGAGAAAAGAGGACAATCGATCACTAGAAAGTTCGGAGACAAGCGAGGCATACACGAGAACCAACTCAAGAAAATCAGAACGTGGGCGTTAAATATACATATATACGCCATAGCACCATCTTTAGGGGTCAGCGTTCCGGTTAAATTGGAAGCGCGGACTAGCGCGGGGTTACGTGGGAGACAGCAGCTAGCAACATTCCCAATATGCATCGCAATGCTGCACATCAGAGGTCGACACTACGCATGACAGTTGAACATGGGTCCCTACACCCCTGGCGCCTAGCGTGCTGAGAGACTGACTCTTTCCTCCCATCTGAATTAACTAGGTTTTAGCTGGCCTACATGTTGCAGCATCGAGATGGAAAGGAGGTTGACATGAGGAAAGAGACGTGCAATGGCTAGCTTCCCGCCTCCACCTCCTCCATAGCATCCCCACACAATAACCAAGACGCTAACTAGCTGGCCATTCGACGAATCAAAGCCATTCGTTACACTAAGACCGCAATCACAGGTCTTTTACCCGGATCTCCCCACTTCATTCCCTCGGCAAAACCGGGGTGATTCAACTTGATCGTCCATAAACACATCTCAACAGACCATTTCACGTCAAGACATGGTTGCAGTGATTAGATTTCACCACGTATTGAAACATCATATTACGCCATTTCTTTACCCCAACGAATAAATTGGTGATTAATTTGATCACCTTTCAAGCATATCTTAGTTTGTCATTTCAAGCTGGAAGCATTGACCAGAGAGTTTCGATTTGACTACCCCAGGATTGACTCCAGGATTGACTGAGTCGTCGGTATCTGATTTCTAAGAGCTTACAACTTCCTAGAAGGTGGCCGCGAGTTCTTTAGAATAAGCTCTCCCGGTCCCTTTGCCAGCACTGTAACCTTTCTAATGTAAATAAATAGAAAAAGAAGTACAAAGAGGAACCACCACAAGATGTTGAAAAGTGATCGATCCTTTCAACAGACCCCACTGCACATTTGCCGCAAAGTCTCCTACGAGCAAACCCACTAGGTACAACGTCGGCCACATAGATGACGCTAGTCGTATTGTTGGCAGGAGAATGAGACTAGCGGGGAGAGGTCATAGAGCACAAATGTGGACCCTCAAACGGCTCCATCTAATTACCCCAGAGTTCAGCAGATTAAGGAAGTTCGTAGCCGAGACTGTATTCCTAGGAGCATGACATGGCCCGGGAAGATCGGCTCAGGAGGCTCAGGAAGCTCAGGACAAGCACTATAAATTGCCAGACATTTTCGTGTGTATATGTCACTATATTGATACTGATACAGGATTATTGATATTCCTGGGTTCATTCCTAATAGACTAATGAGCCTTGGCATTATGTTCCGAGATACAATGAAAGAGTGCAAGTGATGATATCGATTTCGAGACGCACTGTAAAACTCTAGAGAGTGGGCGTAAGCTCCAAATTAACTAAATACATGCTTTGGGGCCACCATGTTTCACTAATATCAGCCAACTGGTGAAACAATTCCTGAGTCTTCATCAATGACACAACCTGGCCCAGCTCCCACTGTCCAATACCACCAATCCACCACACACCATCCAATAGCATAACTAAGACCAGCCAATGGGCAAAGATATCCATGGCTAGTAGTTGTGTCGTATCGAGCGAGGGTGACTCAGTCTTGGGCGAGCAACCTGCTATCCGATTCTCAGGACTCGCCTCCGCGGACGGTGAATCGAGCGCTGACTGAATAATGTTGAGATACTCGGACGGGACTTTGTTCAAAAAGGACAAGATGGTCCGTCGGAGTGCCTTCGGCGATTTCATTGATGTCACACTGATCATGTACTTTCCGACCCATGGCGAGACTCTAGAAGATTCATCAAATAAAACGGGGTCATTGCTAGGGCCCTCGGATACGTCGCCACTTTCTCTTCTAGATAGGGCGGCAGATGCACATTTTCCAAGTATGGGCAAAGTTTCCAAGCACGCGCGGAGCTCTATTTGGTCGCAAGTAGAAGACTCCGGTCTCTCAAAACGAGCCGCTATAGAATCAGCTCTCCTACGTAAACTCTTAAGGGCTCGACTATACGTAGACGCGACTAGCGGAAGAAATAGGCGCTTCGTGTTTTCGGATGGACCGTCCTGTGGTGACAAATCAGGAGTGCCACTTAAAGCCATTGTAGGTAGATCTTGTGTAGAAACAGCCTGGCTGATACTGGCAGTCCGGCTTTTATTCGTAGCGTTAACGATGTCATTCAGAATTGCGGTGGACGCTGTATGAGCTGCCCGTGTGAATGAGATCCATTGTGAGTGTTGCGGAAGCACCTCATTCGGCAGCTGCCGGCCACTTCGTTTTGCAGTGGCGGCGAGATATACTCTTATGGAATGACTGGCGGAGGCATACAAGACCATTAATGCCGCGTTTGCGTGAACGTTATCGTACCAATCCGAGTGAGACATGGCCGCTTGAATGTGCTGGAGAGAAGCTCTGTGGTGGCGCTCCGCAAGCTTGAAGAGTTCCCGGACCGTAATTAGGGTCTGGCCATCCAGAGGTGTCTTGGTTTGCTTAACAATATCATGAGACTTGCATGCTGCTGCTAAGGCTAGCAGGGATGACATGACAGGCTTGTTATTGAAAGCGAGATTTGGTATTCCTACGGAAAGAGCGTAGAGATCGAGATGGTCGAATGGTATAGTTTGGCTAGTGTGCGAGAGATAGTGGCTCAAGAGACTGAGTTCTGTCGCGTCCAGAGTAACAGGAGACTGAGAAGTTGACGCTAGTTTCTCTTCATCCCTGTTGAAATTGGAAGAACAATAAGGAGATGAAGGGTGAGAAGAGACACTGGCAAAAGAACCAGGGACCGAGAGGTGGTCACCCGTAGATTCGATCGGCCCCTCGGAGCGCGCAACAATGATTCTGGGACTCGTGAATGGGAGATTCAGATCAGAAATTGACCCATCCGGAAATTCCTGTTCGTCCGATGAACTGGGGTCACTTAGAAGGCTCTGATACCGACAACTGTACATGCGCTTGGCACATCTGGAACAGCTCGGCCTCAACTCATCGCACTAAGGAATACGATCAGAACATGTTGTGTGGATTGACGAGAATTATGACCCACCTTCTTTCGCTGTTGTTTACATCTGAGGCAACCATTCCTGGATTTTGCATGTGCTTTTCGGATCCTGAGGCCTATCGCCCGCGTCCCCGATCGAGTCGTATCGCTAGGCATATTGTTGATAAGTGGAGGATCTCAGAATCAAAAATGTCTGTGCTGACAGGGTTAGGGTTGCGGTTGATCAGAGAAAACCTGAAGCGTATTAATCACAGGCTCTGGAGCATCGCTTCCTTAGCGTTGAGGAGTAAACCCTTGGGTCGATTCGAAAGTTCGATTAAAAGTCCACTCCTGGAGGTTTATTGCTAACCAGGTCTGAGGCTGAGTTCGCCACGGTCCCCCCCACTTGGGCTGATGATTTGGAATGATGCATTAAGGAAAGCCACCCACATGAGCGAATAACCTCCTTGGCGTAATCAATACTAATGAATACGACAAACCTAAAACGTACGCAGGCGCGATTCAACCACCGTTCAATTAATCTGGTTGATTGTTCTTCCCGACAGGCGAAGTTTACCTTTAGGAATTGCTTCATGCTGTAACCCCATTGACTAGTCTTACTATGGGAGCGTATCTGGGGTACCATCGAAAGAGATAGTAGATAACGCCATAGCGTGCTATCATCCTAAATGGTAAGTCCTACGTATATACATAAAGACGGCACGATTGTCCTACAAGAAGTTTTTGGTATTATTAAATTTATAGTTCTCGGAGAAAATTATTCATTTTTATAGGCCGAAACCGTCCCTGAAACTCGACAAATTGCAAAGGGCGCGAGATCGTCTTGATCAACCCCATGTGTGCATTCGTATTTGAAGCAAACGTCAGTATACACCAACACTGAACTGTTGTCAGTGCCCACTAATCTGAATCAAGTAGCTAAAAGCTGACAATGAAAATTAATGTCGCCATTGTCGGGGCCGGAATAGGCGGGCTAACGTGTGCGATTGCTTGCCGCCGAGCAAACCGAGCCCTGCAAGTCACTGTCATCGAGCGAACGCCGGAAGTTTTGACCATCGGCGCCGGCATACATATTCCACCGAATGCCTCCCGTATTCTGGCAGAATTCGGTCTACTTGAGAAGCTCAAAGAAGCTGGTGGTTATCAACCAGATTTTTTCAGGCTCAGAAGATACTCGGATGGTCGGGCAATTGCAGAGAAGCCGCTTAAAACCAGGACTGTGACGGAATACGGAGCAGAATGGATGTGAGTGACTAAATGCGATTGAAATTCGCGTGATTAAGAGAGAGGTTAACTAATTCAATCCACCTGAAGAGCTATACACAGAGGCGACTATCAGCGAGTTCTTATGGAGGAAGCCAGCGCCCTCGGAGTGCGCATCATGACAGGAGCGGAGGTTGTTGATATCGTTAGAGCCCCCAGCGGACAACAAAATGTTGTACTGAAAGATGGGAGCTGTCTGGGCGTTGATGTGGTAATAGGTGCAGATGGTGCGTTGACCTTGTTTCCGACCTGAATTAATTCCATTGCTCAGTCTCACTCTCAGGGCTCTGGTCTCGTATACGCGATATTGTTCTAGATCGGTCTTTCTCACCTGCCGCTACGGGTGATTTGGCCTATCGTGGTACGTTCACCCACGCGCAACTAAAAGCTCAGAAGAACGAAAAACTGGATGACCTTCTGCAACAATCAGATATACAAGTATGGCTGGGGTCGGGGAAGCATGCGGTATTCTACCCGCTGAGAAATCGAAAAGAATATAACTTGGTATTGATGTAGGTGTCTCTCATGTTCACTCTTCGATAAATTCTGACCGTGCTTTGAAGCGTGGCCGATGACCTCCCTCCCGACGCACGAACTTTACCAGGTAATTCAGAAGATATTGCTGCCAAATTTGTCGAATGGGATCCAATGTGTGCTCTGACTTTCCATACATCTAGTCAACATGTCTGACTTGTTTAGCCTAGCTGACATCATCTCGATCATGAACTCGCCACTGCAATGGAAGCTCTTTCACTTCAAGGAGCTCGATCAGTGGACAAAGGTATATGACCTATTTTCCTATAGTACTGGACCGGATGAGGGCTGATAATAAGGATTCAGGGAACGATTACGCTCATGGGGGATGCATCACATCCAACTCCCCCTTATCAAGGTCAAGGGGCAGCAATGGCTGTCGAAGACGGTGCGATTCTAGGATTGTTTCTGGGAAAATTCCAAAAGTATACAGTACCTGCGAGCCAAGATGACAAAATGAGACTTTTGTCTAGTTTATTTGGTTTGTACGAAGACCTGCGCAAGGATCGAACCAAAGTCAATGTCGAAGGCGCTGTGCATACTCGGCACTACTACCATCTGCCTGACGGTCCAGAGCAAAGAGCTCGTGACAAGGCGTTGGCTGAACTTCCATTAAAAGATTGGAAATTTTCCTGCTCATTCAACTGGGGTGATGCGGAGTATCAGAGGAGTCTACTTGGATTTGATGTCCTTGCTGATGCGGTAGCCAAGTATGATGATTGGCAAAATGCCATTTATCGAATATGCGCTTTGACTATGCCAAAGAATATTTTCATTCCGTGAAGGTTGAGAAATTGTTCTTCCTGATGACACGAAGTGTGGTGCCTCTTCGACAACCCTGATTTAGTCTTCATATACTCAGCCAGCTGCACATAGAACTTTTAGTTACGGATAATCAATAAAGACAACTTAAAGGCTTCAAAGTTGCAGTCAATTAATTCAGGCTTATTCTAGAAAGTATTATGCTATCTCTTTCTATTTTAGATACTATGTAGTCTTAACGTCTCAGTTCGTTCACTAGAAGGACTCTCTATGATCCTAAAGTTCCAACTATTAAGCCCAAGGAATATCGGCATCATCACGACTAGCAAGATAGTTGGCATTAGCGACATTTAAGACGCCATACACATCCGTAAGCTCATCTCTGCGTCTAAAGTATTGAATTCATCGTCCGTAGTGCGGAGCCACGATAACTAGGCTCAGCATACACATCTTCTGATGAAATGCCAACACGTTACGTACCATCTGACATTCCATTCCATTCCAAGCACTTGGGCAGGTCGTTCGACCTAGGATGATTTGGAGCCGCAACTGCCACCAAGACGCCGCCAAGGCCGAGAATAACAAGTAAAAGCCTCATTTTAGCTGAAGGTTGAGGCTGAAGATGGACAGAACGCAATGACTTGTTTCACCAAGAGCTCGCCGTTGAGGCGAAGATGTGCCAATCTGTGGGCCTGGCGCCGGGGAGGTCGGAGAGGTTGAACAGAGTAGGTCGGCTAAGATGTTTGCGGTGAGCCTGGCAAGTGAAGGATCGGCGGGCGATTCGAGGTCCGTAGTAGAATGTCCCTCCGGTATAGTAGATGCTAATGCCGTTGACTAGTTTTGAGGTTGCAAGTCAAGGTTGGAGGTAGTCGATTCGATTGGTTATCTTCTGCAACGGGCTATAATGTGGGGGTTGGCTGTCTAGATGCACTCTACTGTTCACTAGGACACCGGAAGTCCTCACTGAAGCGATACTTACAAAGCCGAATATTCTCTAGTGCTATACAGTAAGAGTCTGCCTCAAGATATATAGGTGTTGATCCTTGCTAGGAGATAGACTATCGAGCAATAGGTTCATTGTATCTCTCTTTCCTTTCTTCTCGTACTATGGAGTCCCCGGCAACATCAATATGACAAATTGAGATAACAGAGTGCATATATGGGTATAGCAAAGCTTGGGCTATACGATGTCGAACGGATCAAACTTGGCGTTTCTTAATACCGCACTTGGTCAAACACTCCTCAACAGTGATAAGGGTATACCCCGGGATAGCATCCCTCACACGGTCAATATCTTCACCGGCAATACTCTGCCCAAATGTCCTAGCAATCACATCATCGGGGAGGGAAAATGTCTCATCCGCGACCAGAGAAAGTCCAAGGTCCTCAGCCGTGAATGCTGCCGTAATATTGGCAGGCTCACAGTCCGGATTCACTTGCGTGTGGAACGAACCGGCCGGGAAGATAGTCATCATTCCGGGGTGGAGCTCTGTACGGATGACCCGTTGCTTGCCATCGGAGCCAAGGACCATCCCCTCGGGTACCATTTCGGTGATCACACGGCCAGAGTTAAGGGCGAAGAGCTCGGTAGCACGAGGGTGTAGGTGAAGGAAGGCCATGCTGCACGCTATTGATGTTGTGAGTATGAGTTGAAAACCGGGGTATTCTTCCTAGATTACCTGGCAGTTGCGCGATACTCATGGAGGCACCATAACCAACAAGGGCTGGGAAGGTCTTGCGGTTGGCGAACGGGGTGTCTCTGTTTTTTGTGAAATCATAGACAAAGTCTTCATCCTTCGAAAGAAGCTTGTAGCGATCGACAGCACTAAAATATTTGATTAATTTGGTTTCATTGATTTCAATTTCAGAAACTAACGTGTCCGCGAGTTGCAGCTGAGCGGTCAAGCTGAGCTCGGTTGTGCGTTTGGACATATGTTGAGGTGCTGCATTTGCCGGAAGAGCAAGGGCAAGGGCAACGACAAGCGTAGAGCTAAGTGCGAACTCGGTGAACATCATCTTTGTTAGAGGTAGATCTAGAAAGATTCTTGTATAGGCGATGATAATGTGTTGCTTGGTTGGTGATCTTGATGGTTGAATGATCAAAAGGAAAGCGATCAAGGCCCTTATATACCTAGATTATTCAAATCAGCACTTGATTCAAAATCAATTGCCATGGTATATTCCAAATGTTCTTCCGCTTGACTTACGGGCTCAGCCTCATTTACTTCGCATAGTTGTTCCTCGTACACCACAGATCATTCTCAACTTCGCCAAGACACCCGATCCATCCAGCGCAGATCGCCATGAAAGCGCAAGAAAATATGACAGGCTGGGAAAAATGGCCTCTCTACCAAGTGACCATATTCGGCCTTGTCCCGTAGATTCATGGTAGTCAGGTGCAGCTGCGAAAAACCTAAACACTAGAACTCAGGGTGAATATGTGCGTGGGCAACCATGGAATAGAGGCAATTGCCCGAGTATTCTCGGTGCTGAGCGATATTAATGACAAATCAATGATGAAGGGAGCTCATTGAAGACTTTAATCCAGACAGACAGTTCCCAGCGTGTAAGAAAATGGATACCAGAGCGGGCCGCCTGTGTGGATGTCGTATTGGCTGCTTGGCTCGAGCGTATTCATAATACGACTTCATGGAAGCCGACGGGCCCCTACATACATATCCCCAACGCTATCCACTATAAGCGTATCCACACTTGGGGCCTAAGCCACGAATATATACCTACTAGTAATAACTGTCAAAATCTGGACATACGACGGTCCCACGTGGAATTGTACATCACGAAGAAATAAATCACTGATTCAGATAAAACTGGGAAATGCCCGACAGTTTAGAGGGCGTACTAACTAATAAATGACTACTACACAATAGGAAATATTGATGAAGGGCAAATCCCCGTACGTGGCTGTAGGAATTCCAATTTTTGACAATAACTACTGTATGCCATGAATATATATATCATGTATGCATATATTCCCTCTCTTGAATAGTTCAATAATTTCAATTTCTTTATAATAATCTCTGCTTTTACTATAATGCAACTAATCAATTAATTAATTCGAAGGTAATGTAGCCTTGGTAAGTTAAGTTAGAACCTTGTGCACTATAAGATGTATAACGCCTGTCTCCCACGGAAATCCAAGATCTACCTGGGATTTCTATTTCAAACTAATCCCCAGATTGCCCCCCTCTATATAAGAAGACTTCCTTACAGATTTTCTTTTTTTTAGGAGAGGAAAAAAAGTGACTGACTTAGTTACAGGTCAGGCATCCGCATCTGAGATTCAAGGTTAAGATGAGATGTTGGCTCGTCTTCCTCGGCAAGCTGTAGAAAAGTGAGTAGTTATTAGAAACACCTACGACGCACACATTTACTGGAATTCGAACGGTTGAGCATGAATGATCAATCAGGATATCATAAACACCTAGCGCTGGATGCGAATACAAAAAAGAAGCATCATCAGACTCAGCTCGGCGGGTGAGGCTCGACCTTCCCCTTCGCAACCTCCTGCCAATTCGTGCTCAGCGACGTTCCCTGGCTCTCGACATAGCTCTTCATCATCGCACGGCGGGTATCCGGGTCCGCACCGGCATACAGTTTCTTAAAGAAGCCATCCACGGCATCGCCGCCGAGTTCAGAGTCTGCAGACTCAGCGTCTGACACGTCGTCTTCACCATTTCCTTCTTCATCAGCGGCCTTCTTCTTCTTGTCCTTGGGTTTCTTCGCAGTCAACGACGATGCAACTTTATCCCAGTCCTTTGCGCCGTGGCGCGAAGAAGTCGGGTATGCGGGACCGGATGAAGTAGATGGAGCAGCCGCAGCCGGCCGATCAGCGAGAGTCGTTGTCGAGATTGACGTGGACCCTTCCAGTGCATTCCATTTCTGGCCAGCAACTTGCTTCCGTAGCGTGATTTCGATCTTGGTGCTCATCACCGAGACTTTGGAGGTGGATGGATCGATGCGCGCATAGAGCGGGTCGAGAGTGAAGGCGTAATCTGCGCCTGAGGGGAGTGGGAATTGAAGAGACGCCTTGAGAACATTATTAGTATGTTGATCGTTTTAGCTAAAGGGGATACGCCTACCGAGTCGTCTTTTAGCTCCACCTCCACGCTTTCCTTCGCTATTCCCTTCACGTACAAGGTCACCACCACTGAGTCCTGGGATTGATACCATTCGTGCCGGACCTTCTGTGGGGATGTTGGTCCAGAGCTGGGCTTGCTTGGTTCTGTAGCAGCTGGCTCTAAGCTGGAACCAGGATCATTCGACACAGTTGTAGGAGCACCGCCACCACCAGCAGTCTGCTGCACTGACTTGCCTGCCCTCAAAGCCTCCCACTGCGCCTTCAGCTCCTTCTCCGACGGCACCCGGACATCTCCCGGAAACTCCGGCACAGAGACAATGGTCTGCTCGTGCCCCTCACCCAGCTCATTCAACTTGCGCCGAACCTTAGCCATCCAAATAGGCAGTTCCGCAAACGCATTCTTCTTCCCACCCGCGCCAGACATGGCAGCCTTGATACCCTCCGATTTGTCCTTCTCCTCCTCAGTCTTGGTCTTCCCCTCCACAATACCAAAGACAAAAGCCGCATCGCCAAACCGCTCGAGCTGGTATAGGGCAACGCCGCGGCGCATCTGCGCTGCGAGGATGAGCTCGCGCTTGCCGCGGTCTCGGGCGAGAACTAGTGCGATCTCGGCATCGTGGAGCGCGGATTTACTATCCGGGCCGCCGTCTGCAGGCTTGAGGCGCGAGTATGCGGTTGAGCGTTGGAGGTAGTAGGGTGGGGCGCGGGGGAGCTCGGTGAGGGCGCGTGTGTAGTGCTGGATTGCGAGGGGGCAGTTGCTTTCGGACAGGGCTTTCTCGCCCTGGCTGGCGGCGTTCATGGTTGGTGGTGTTTAGTTTGAGGTGGTGGAAGAAGTTGAGTTGGAGGTGGGGAGGAAAGAGCGGAAGTGGAGAAAGAAAGTGGTGGAATCAAACAAACACAACAGATATTACATCATCCCATAAGAAATGTTATTGTTTATTTACAGAGTGATGTTGATTACTATCGCTAACTAACAGTTGGACTATTAAGAGTAGAGGATTATTAAACGGCTCACATCAGCGCCTCGTTGCTGTATTGCCGGCTGTATAAACCCAACGCGCGGATGGGCCAGTAGAACTTGTAGTTGGGATAGGAGATCATGCTAGACGCGATTAGTATGCAGGGTCTGAACTTGCAAGCAGGAATATATACCAGGATTGGTTGAAAACACCCTCAATGGCCTCTTGCAGCCACTCACCATTGCGCTGCTGGCGAGCCATCAGCAGCTTCATGCCTTTCTCAATCGGCTCCTTATGCGGGTAGCGCGCCTCCATCAGTGCCAAACAGGCCCACGCCGTCTGCACGACCTGCGACATCTCGTGCTGAACGTAAACATGCTTCTCACTGCTGAGGTACGACTCGCCCCAGCCGCCATCGGCCTGCTGCTTCGAGATCAGGAAATCGCACCCGCGGCGGGAGTCCTCGCTCGTCTCGTACGTCTCGCCAATGCTGGCCAGACTCTCCAGTGCGAACATGGCCGCGTAGGTGAAGCAGATGCCCCATGATCCGTACCAGCTGCCATCTGGTCGTTGCACGCGCTTGATATATGCCACGGCCTTGTCCTTCGCGGCGCGGATTTCGTCCGCGCGGTAGTCGGGGTAGTATTTGCTGAAGAGTGACAGTGCGGTAACAGATGCGGTCGTACACTCTGGGTAGTCGTAGCCGATCATGATACCTCCAAATACTTCGGCGGCGTTCAGCCACTCAACCTTCGGCGAAGCACGGGTCGTTTCGTACTCCGTAAACCCGCCGGATGGGTTCTGCATGAGCAGCAGACAATCGACGCTGTCCTTCAACCGCTCAACCGAGATCACCTTGTCGAAGTTGTGCATCTCCTGCAGCTGAATGGCCGATCGCAGACCCTCGGCTGTGCAGTCACTGACTGTATAGCCCTGGGTCTTGGTGCTGAAGGGCCAAGCGCCCTTGCGGTGCTGACGATAGCATTTCTCCTGGTCTGGTACATTCTCTCGGAGCTGGTGATCTTCGAGGAATTCCAGCGCACGATTCAACATCGGCCGCCACTTAGGTTCATCTGCGAACCCGGCGACGACAATTGCCTGGGTAATGAAGGCCGTATCCCACACTTGCACGCCGTTGGTGCCGTTCGCCAACATTCCCTCGTCCTTCATCCACATGTAGTCATTCAAACGCTCTCGGTGCCGCCGAACTGAATAGCTGTCCGGTCCGTCATGGACATAGCAAGCCACCATGTTCATCGGGTTATTGACGGGTCCCAACCCCGCGTAGTCAGTGTTCTCATCCTCCATACGGATCAACTCCCAAGTCCACTCTTCCGCACGGTTGACAATGGCCTGCACGCGGAAGAAGGGGTTATACAGCCGAACGAGCACTTCGTTGATGGAATTCAACAACCACGTCTTGGGATAGTAATTATCTGCTTCGTGAATTGAGTTGCGGTGGGCCGCAAAGTCAATGGTATCGTAGGGCTGCGTGTACAGCTCTTGCCGAAGCTGTTTTGTGAATGAATCCAATGGGTGGCTGAACTTCTTCGACCACAGATAGGACATGGGCAGGAAGACCTGGCGCATGTGGATCCACCAGCGCCAGGGCGCAAAGGGGACCCAATCAGGGAGGAGCCTGAACACTTAGCAAAGGCATATGTCCATATGAAGGGAAAACATACCAGATCTCGGGAGGAACGGGGTTCACGCCCTCCCACTCCATCACACCAAGGATGCTCAGCCAGAACTTGGACCAATGGGGTCCGTAAAGGGCGCCGCCAAACTTGTGCAGCAGGCCCCGGGCCTTGACCATACGAGGATCGTCTTCACTGACACCCACCAAGCGAAGGGCCACGTAGTTCATGCAGGTCCCAAAGACCGAGCTGTGAGCTTCAATGTGCAGACCCCAGCCGCCATCCTCGGGGTGCTGCCGGGCAAAGAGATAGCGGGTGATCTCCGTGGCATACTCTGGAGGAATAGGGGTGTTGGTCACATAATAAGTGATCAGAATGCCCGGCAGCAGGAACATGGGGCCACCGTACTCGCAGGCCCAATTGCCCGCGTCGAGCTGCAAGCGCGAGAAGAAGGACAGACCATTCTCCGCGGCTTCTAGCGGCGTCTTTGCCTGTGGCAGCTCCGGCAGACCCTGCGTAAAAAAAGTAAGAATGGTGATCCCTTTTCAAGGGGAAATAAGAATATTACCGTTGGCATGCCCAGGTGGTACTTGTCAGCTATAGACTGGGGCCAATCTTCAAGTTCCTCGTCGGACTCCAAATAACGCCATGTCTGGCGGCCTTCCTCATTGACCAGACGCCAGCGGGCATAATCGGTCTTGGAGTCACCGTTTTCATCTGCGGTCAGATGGCCTTGGGCGTCGGTTCTCCACGGTCCAATTTGAAACGCCATGGTTGCTTCTGAGGGAAGTGCAGGGGATGCGCTGTTTACAAGGGAAGGCCCGGGGAAGGTGCTGAGTCAGCAGTATCAAGACTGCCGTGTAGAACCAAGTACGAGATGGATTCTATACCAAGGCTGCGAGCGGATGGATTTTGGATGGGCAATGAGGAAGAAGAGAATGAAAGAAAAGCGTCGAAGGGTGGAAGAAGAATTGAAAGAAAAGGGTAGGGACAATGTCGCACCGTCCACGGATTCCGATCAGATAACCACATAGTTCATATATTTTTAGATCTAGATCAGTATCTTTATTATAGATGCCGATCATATAGCGTCTTCCGGAGCATATCGCACACTATGTGGGAAGTAGAAGTCTAGAGTGGCAGACTGGCAGGTCACGTTTCCCTCAACCTCTTTCCATCTCCCATCACAAGCACATCTGCCAATGGACCCCCATCCCTCCAGCTTCTCCCGAGACGCTCCGGTCCGAGAATACATCGACACCACTCTTACAGCCTTGCTCCACCAATTGTCCCTCCCCACGGCTGACAGCCACCCGGCCATCTCGCTGAAACGCAGACCCAGCCCAGCAGCATGCACCATCAACCCGAGCAATCGAGCGCTCGAGGGGATCCCCAGCGTCCAGGTTTGGAGTACATATTCCTGGCCCGGGAGAACAGCGTACGAGGCATGGAGATTCAGCAAGGCACTCCAGTCGGAAGATATGTAACTTGGTCACTGATACGCCATGCTTAGCGGTCGTCATTCGAGTGCTTTCCATCATCGAGCAAGCTATGCGCACGGGCAAGGTGATCTCCAAAAGGTAAGGTTCTTTCTTCCTGATATAGATGTGTGTGTGTCTGTGCGTGCTGAGTGCTGGTATTGCCCAGGGACATATACTATATCGACCCGGAATATTTCTGCTCTCAGACAATAGTCGACGGGGTGATTGACGACCTGGCGTATACGATTGGCGTGGATAGGGCTGCATTGCACGTTGTAAGATGGGTCTCGTTCCCCAACTTGAACGGCCAGGCAACTGACCGAGATCTTAGGAAGCTGCAGCAAAGGGGTTGACGGTGGGCTGCTTTCGTCTGAGGAAGCATGCATCGAGTGAAGTCGTGGATGCTCATTCGGTCTCAACGGTTGGGGTCATTTCCCGATCTTCAATGCTGACTGCTAGGCTCACTGACCCAGGGAATCCTGATCCCTCGAATGGAGGATGTGGACGACATTGATATCTCAGGTGTTCGATGGGTATTGGTGGTGGAGAAAGACGTATGTGCGGTTCTCCCGATGATCACAATGAATCAAATGTTGACCTAGTTGATAGGCAGTCTTCCAACGACTCGCGCGAAGCTCCTATCACTTGCATGCGGCATCGGGAGAGGGTATTTTGGTGACTGTAAGGCTCACCATCACCCAAACAATCCGGACTGACGACCGACCCAGGGCAAAGGCTACCCCGACCTATGCACACGGAAGTTCCTTCGTCGACTCTCTGACACCGCCGCACCCGATCTTCCGTTTTATGCGCTGGTCGACGGAGATCCAGACGGCGTGGCAATCATGTCGACATACAAATACGGCTCCGCGGCATACGCACACAACAATTTCCGACTGACTATCTCGAGACTGCAATGGCTCGGTCTACGAGTGACGGATGCAATCGCCGGAGTAGACTCGGTGGAAGACGGTGTTCTGCTCTCATTGACAGCTCGAGATCGCAAGAAGATCGTCGCCATGCTGCGGAACAGTCCCGTGCTGGCACGTAATGGGCCTGAGTTGGGGTGGCGGGCAGAATTGCAGTGCATGCTGATGTTGAACATCAAGGCGGAGATTGAGATCTTGTATGAGCAGGAGAAGGGTCTGGAGGGGTGGATTGACCAGGGGATGAGTCGACAGGTACACTGAGAGTACCCCGAGAGTTAGAACATCCCTGGAATATAATATAAATAGAGAAGTATCCATGAAAAGCCAAGTTTGCTCGTCGCCACTGCTAGAAATGCCAATTAAATAAACAGTACGCCGTCTCAAGGAAGAGCATCATCCATCCTAACCAGAGACAGAGAGAGGCATGCAAGAAACGAGGAGTATAAAAACAACCCACCCCATGTCGGTCACCATCAATTCACCGTTTATTCTTACTCACAACCCCAACCCCCTGCGCACCTCATCGCGCACCTTCTTCTCATATTCGGGTCTCCGCTCGCGCCACATCTTCGCCGCCTCCACATTCGCAGGACTCTCGTCGTTCGGTTCGGCGAGCATGCTCATCACCGAGATGAGGATCTTCTCCACGCTTTGAATGGGCGACCAGCGCTCCGAGGCGTGTTCGTAGTGGTTCGGATCGTCGCCCGGTGGGTGGAGGATGGAGATGCAGACCGTGCCATTGGGATAGACTATACCAGAAAGATCATCAGTACCATTCAAACCTTAAGTGGAGTACAGAGCCCAGGGAAAGCATAGCGAGGTGGAGGAGGAAAGGGAATAATGGCTTACCATTCGGATGCCACACCCCGCCACCGACGAACTTCATCGTCGGCGGACTGAGCGGGTAGTCCTTGGGGAACTTGAGCTCGGCGGCGAAAACACCGCCCTCGAAGGGAGTGCCCTCGGGTCCCTGGATCAAGGCTTCCCAGTAGAACATGTCGTCTTCCGAGACCGGCCCGGCGGTGATGCCCTCTGGAGGGTTGGTGGAGAGGTTTTTGTATTCGTGGAAGAGACGCTTTTGAGCAACGGAGGAGGCCATTTTGGTAGGATTGCTGGGAGCGAGATAGGAAGAGAATAGAGGAGATGTCAGGTTAGGGTGTGTGGTGAGTGAGTGCGGTGAAATGAAAAAGTTGGAGGTGAGTTGGGGCGTGGCGACGGAGGAATTCCGGGGGGCGATTGATAAGGGGAAAGTGGGACAACCAGAGATTGGAGTGCTGCACAGAACGAGACTGGAGTTGTCAAGGAATTATCCCAGGATATTCTGTTAATATGTCACAATTAATGGTTGTTGGGTAGGCCTAGGGTTATCAGGCTCTAATATACTATACATATCTATACGATCAAAACCAGTCAAAGTCATCGCCTCCCTCTCCCCCGGATTCACCTCCTCCCCACGGATCATCCTCGTCGCGGCCCCAAGGATCTTCCTGTCGCTCCTCCGGCCACACATCTTCATAAAAGCCCGGTTGTCCGGGTGCTGGCTGGTCTGCTGGAGGCACCCCGGGTTGTTCGGAGGACGAAGCCTGCGTCTGATCTCCCGACACACCCCGTTGCATAGCTTCGTATCCAGCCATCGCCCCGGCGCCAGCAGCCCCCGCGGCCGCACCATCTGCCATTCCACCCGCAGCACCGGCGCGACCGAGAGTACCAGCGGTAGCTTCACCAACACCCACTGCGCCAGCTTCGCCGGCCGCGGCACCCCCAGCAGCCGCACCTCCACCTGCGGCCGCCTCGCCCCCGACACCGGGGAACCAGAGCGGCATGAACCCGACACCACCTGCGCCGCTATGGCGACTGAAGTAGTCAAAGTCGACACTCACAGCCGTGGCCAGCATCACCGCGCGCTGGTCCAGAGTCATTCCTGCCTCCGGGGTTCCCTGGCTAGGCGCCAGCTGGTCGTCTCTCAGTCCTGCGGAATCCATGCGTAATGCATACACCCCAGTATCTGTGAAGAGCTCACGCGCAAAGCCTACAAAGTTGCGGTTCACGGATCCAATTAGTCGGTTCTCGGCAGATAGAAGCGAAAAGTCCCAAGAAAGAAACGGTTCGTCGACATAGGCGAATTGATTGTATGCGCCCTCGTTTTGAGTTGATGTCTGCGCCAGTTGCATCTGCTGCGTTTGGGACAAATCAGACTCGGATAGAGAAAATCGTTGGGTGCCCATATCCGTCGACCGATTTGGGGAGGGGTGATATGTAAAGAGGTTGTATTTTCGTCGCAGGGGAGCCCACTGCTGCTGTGCTTCACCGATGATTCGCATCTCATCAAAACTGAGTGGAGATACTTGGGCATTTGATGCCTGTAGAGCGGTGGAGGATGAAGGTGCGCTCGGAGTGAGATCGAGAGGATCATAGACTCGGATTCGGGAGTTAATCCAAGAGAATGGACGGTGGAACTGTCGAGGTCAGTGATTGACATATGACTTGCGAAGGCGTTCCACCTACCCGAAGGACCTCGTTCTCGTGCCGATCAAACACATGCGTCACGAAACTCCGATGTGTTCGGAACCATTGGCGCGCCATCATGTTTCCCATGCCCTTTTCTTGTTCCGCCATGTACCCGACGTGGTTTCCCTGCGCATCCATGATAACATATTTGTTCGCTTGCTCGAAACCACTGTTCACATGTTCGATCAGTCAAGGCGGAATACGCTACAAGCGCGCGCACTCACATCATAACATTCATCATCTCCAACTGCCGCTGGATGACAAGCCCCGAGTTCGCCAGGATGTTCGTGGCCGGGTGAGCTGACTTGAGCACGCCGTTGGGATCTTCTGGTAGATGCACAGGTGCGAGGAGTGTGTTTTGCGAGGGGTCGTAGTGGGGATTGTGAGCATCTTGCGGTTGGGGACTTGTAGGATCTGGCTGCGATGGTGTCTCTACTTCTCTTCGAGCTGGCAGGATGGGTTCTGGGCGGGTGATGCTGTTGCGAGGACCGCGCCGTACGCCGCGTCCGCGGATGCTCGAGAGAGCTCGACTGGGGATTGGCCATCGCATAGAGGGTGGCCGGCGTTTTACAGCCCACATGATAGGGTCTGGTCGATGTAGTTGAAAGAGCGAGGACTTCTTGGAGGTGGTGGGCGGAGAAGAAATGCGGACGGTTGAAGGCGGCAATTGCGATGACGAAGCTAGGTTATCGTCGATAACGCCATGTCTAGAAGTGTCCCTACGGTGCGGCCCAAACATGGAACAATACACTATTAACTGATAGGAAATATGACAATATTGCCGGACATTTTCTAGAATTTATTTCCCAGTCGAATTTGAGGAGATTCCATATAAAGTCGAGGCCAAAGTGGTTGATCCTTCAGATTTCAATCGAATGCAAACTTGAATCCCAGAGGCATTGCTCTCCGAAGCTCTGGGTACTTCTATAATTTGTTCCACAGATATATACATTCCTCACCAGTACCAAACTGCACCACCTGAAACCCTCACAGAGCTCCCTTGCGAGCCAACTCGATCTTCCGCGCCGCCTCCCCGTCCTTAAACCCGCCCTTGGACACGCAAATGGAACTCCCCTCGCCCAGCTCTACCTTCTCTTCGACATCGGGGTGCGGACATGGGCAGTGGTGTGGGAAATGAACGCAAGCAAGAGTTCCGGGGCAGAGGTAGTGGTCGCATTTTGCTGTAAAGCGGGAAGAGAGGGCGTCGGTTAGCGATATATCCATATTTCCATGTAAGAGAAAAGTGTACTCACATGCATCCCACGCCTTCTGGTATCGACTGCTGTCGCTGGGGGCATTCTGGTTCTGTTGCTGGCGCTCTTGGCCTTGGTTCCCGCCGAACATTTGCTCGAAGAAGTTGAATTGGGCCTGTGCGACGGAGGCTAGGAGGAACCATGCCCAGAGGGCTTTGTACCAGTTTGGAATCATGGCGGGAGACTGTCGTGACCCTGGTAGGAGGCGAATGGAGTCTTGGTGTTTGTTGATGATGAAATGAAGCCAGCTAGCTAACAGGAAGATCCGCCCACGTGACTAGTGCCAAGCCGGAGCGAAAAGTTCCCCTTGAGCATCACTGGATTGGATTTCGACTAACAACAACAACCACCAGCACAAAACCATGCTGCAGCCCCGACTGCTGGCGCCTCTCCGGGCGCTAGAAAGGGCAATTGGCCCTGCAGCCATCTCCAGGCAGCCCCTAGCCCGCCAACCACTCCTCCGCACGCTGTCCAGCCCATCCATCCTCCCCAAGCCGCCATCTCCCTTCCCCCGGACCGCAACACTTTCTCCTCTCTCCCAAGTGCGACATGCCTCGCATGCAGCGCAGGGAGCCTCCAACAAACACTCGCGCGATCCAGCAGGCAAGCGCCTCGGCGCCAAGCGCACGGGCGGCGAGTACGTCGTGCCGGGATGCATCATCTTCCGACAACGCGGCACGAAATGGTTCCCCGGCGAGAACTGCGGCGTCGGCCGAGACCATACCATCTTCGCCAAGCACGCGGGTTATGTGCGGTATTACCGCGATCCGCAACTGCATCCGGATCGCAAGTATATTGGGGTTGTGTTTGAGAAGGACGAGAAGCTGCCTCACCCACGCCACCAGCCTACCCGCCGCAGGCTGAATATGGTTGCTGTGCCAGCTCGACTGGACGGTGTCGCCGGCCAGTCGGATCTGGTGGCTACCGTCGATGAGACGGTTGGGACGCGCATCACGAGCGTGCAGGCTGTGAATGCGGCCGAGGGTCCGCAGTTGCGTCCCGGTTACATGTACCGGGAGGCGAATTGGCAAATTGGTCGCGCGGCGGAGAAGGCGGGGATTGAGGCCGTGCCGTATAACCGCAACAACCGGTGGCTGGCGTGGAGGAAGAGAAAGGCTCGTGCGGAGCGGGCGGCCCAGATGAAGAGCTTGAAGGGCAAGAAAAAGGCGGGCAAGAAGGCCAAATAAGGGTGTGGGCGCTTCTGTTTTTGCCTTGGAGTCCCGAGTACTGTAGCGATATGAGGATCTATATGCGGTCTTCCTTTTGTATTATAAAGAGCATTCACACCGTTTCGCAGTTATATTGAACTTCTACGAAAGCATTGCAATGCCTTGAAGCCATTGGAGGGAATGTTAAAGAAAGAGACTATGTGGATTGTGGTATCAAAATATCGACATCTAACACGAGAAAATCATTCATCAAATAACCGGCCCAGAATCAAACTCTGGCAGACAAACTCATTGCCAACAACTTTAGCATTGCATAAAGCATCACCGTCAGCAGCGACAGCGAGCACTTCCGACTTCCTCCGTTTCCTCCCGCCACTGCCATGGACGATTCGCAAATTCCTCGTCCTGGACTTGGGCGCGGCGAGCATAGTCTTTGCAGCGGCCTGGTCGGCGTCATCGACATAGATCCAGTCCCAGGTGGAAGGCATGCCTGCCTCGGACTGAGATTCAAGCATAGCTCTGGCGGTGTCCAGATCCGGGACGCGTTCAATGCGGGAGGCACCCAGGGCAAATGTGAGAAAGATGTAGGCTCTTCTCTTTTCTTCGGCCTTGCCGCGGCCCATGACCAGGATGACGGAGTGTCCATCGAGGAGTCGGGGTCGTGATGCTATTGTCTCGGATAGACAGGCAGTGTCTGGTGGTGTCGGGGTCAGGACTCGTGATTTGGTTACTCCGTTCAGGTACATCGATTCTCCAGCAGGGAGGAGGTAGACATCCCAATCGAGGACACGCCCTTTAGCAACGCAATCTTCGACCCAGCGCCCTGAAAGACAGGGAAGGTTCAAGGCCAGTGCCTGCATGTACTTTTCGCGGCGGGAGTGTGTATCGGCAATCAAACAGGCGAATCCTACTTCCTGGGCACTGGCAGTAAGGCGTAGTCCTCCACTTCGGGTCTCTGCATCTCTCGCCGACGCTTTGGTCGGAGTAGCAGGAGCGGTGATGGACGAAGTTTCGAACAATTCCGTGAATCCCTCATGCAGAAGGATCCCGCCATTGTCCATGATCAATTTGGTGACGTGGTTCTTGGTACTCTCGTCCTCCTTGTAGGATACGGCGAATGCCATCCCGGCAAAAATACCGCTGGCATAATGAGAGCCGCGTGAAAGTCGGCTACTCGGGGACGGACCGACCGATGTTCTCTTCTCCGGGGGCGTAGTGGGCTTGCTTTGTTGCGGGACGATCTCTGGCTGATACGTGAATGCTCGATCTTTGAGGTTGTTCCATAGAATCATATCAAAATAGATCCGTGAAATGGGCACCTTGATCACGTTTTCAGTGCTGTTCAGACCTCCACCGGGAAGACTCTTGCGCTGCTTGGGCCCAAGTATAACCGTGGAATGTCCGTGTATATCTGTCAAAGGCGGGAAGTCGCCCGGCGCTTCGAGGATTTCCTCTTTGGTGAGCTTGTGATCGAACCCACGGATTATGTGAGTGACCTTTGGAATGTTAGGCAGGTCGACCTTGACCGCATCTCCCTCCCGAAGATCAAATCGTTTCACAGCGCCCTTGGGAACCTCAACAAGGTCGCTATCCTCAAACTTGACCAGGTATTTGTCTTGTGAGACACCCAGAGGTGTGCCCAAACAGACCGCAGGGTAGTAGGCCCGTTGTAGGCCACTCCACGGCGCTAGAATTTGCCTAGGAGCAACTGGAGTGGCATCGGAGAAAAGTCTCCTTCCCCTTGGTGTGCGAGGACCTCGACTCATGACAGAGCGTTCCATTTCGGCCATCTCGTCCGAGTCCAGTTCGGTAAGTTCAGATAACACAGAGAACTTAGGGTCAGGAGGAAGAACTGGCCGCACAGGCGTTGACGCTGCAGGCTTCTGCGTTGGGGCTTGCTTTTCTTGTAACGGACGAGGTGCTGGCGGGGGGTTTGCCTCGAGACCGTCGGCGAATGAATTGTTGTGGAGACTCGACTTCCCAGACATTTTCGGATCGTCGAAGCCGAGGCTTTGCTTGCCTACGGACAGTAGTCTCGGGTACGTGGATTGTTTCCTCAGTTTCGGGCTCTTGTGGTGTAGATTGTTGCCGAAGGGGGGTGACAGTTTTCGGGGGTACAACGCGAGGTGTGACGGGTATAACAGGCTCGGATTCATGATAGGCCTGGCCGTCGTTGCCACGACGCTTTTTCCTAGGCTGAGTTGGGGAGCTTTCAATTAAATCGCGAAATTCTTGATCCTCATTCGTGAAGATTCCAATGCCCATGTCGAAAAATCCAGGCCCAACTTGGGGCGAAGCATCACTCGCAATTTCGGTCAGTCTTCTCCGTTGCCTTCCACTGGGACTGGACAGAATGATGCTTTTCAGAGGAGTTTTCTTCAAAGGCGAAGACTGAGTTCTGGTTCCAGATGGTCGAGGCTGGATGCGACGAATGTGCTCGCTGACAGGGAACATAGGAGGAAGATCATCATCCTCAATGTTCACCCCATCGCCGTTAGAGCCTTCTTCCCATGCATGATTTTGGGAGTGGCTGGGACTGGTTTCGGGAATGCTTGTCAATCGGGCCATATCGGCTGAAGATTTCAGGTGGAGATGAACAGGCGTTTCGATCACTCGGGATGGCATAGAAGACTGTTTGCTCCCGTTGTTCTTCGGGTTGCTGGAGTACAACTGTCTGCTTTCGTAAGAAGAAGGATCTTGGGGAGCCGACACCGGCATGTTGGGCGAGTGCCCTGTTGATGCAGCTGCGCCATGTGGTCGTGAGGGAGTGTGTCCGCAAGGTGGTCCTCCTTCACGTTGTGAGTAAGGAGGCGAAGACTGTACAGAATGTCGGACAGGCGAGACCTTGTGAACATCTGAAGAAGGACCGATTCGTACTTCATGGCCAGGTCGTGGATTCGCATCGGGCCTTTCCTCGTCACCCTCGTGGCCTATCCGGTCTGGGGAGGCCAGCGGTGATGGCTGGGAATCCATGACCATGATTTGTGACGGCGGGTTGGCCATTTCAAATTGTCCATCTTCATGAGCGTCGAACGGATCTTGTGTCCCATGCAGGATCTGGGAAAGCCGGTCATGCGCACTAGAAGCTGCAGCGACAGCGACGGGAGGACCGTTGTAGTTTTCCTTGTCCTCCTCGGTTGAAGAATAAGGGAACTCCTGTGACCGGGGTACTTGCTGGTCCACATCTTCGTGCTCTGTTTCCTCTTCACTGGCGCCAGTGTGCAGCATCATGTCGACATCCTGCGGCTCCTGCACAGAGTGTTCGGGCGAACCAGAATGAGTCAGATCAGAATGCGGAGGGGGCATAGTCGGCGAGGTCCTGGAAGGCGCAGTCAGACCGGCAAATTGTGCAGCAGCCTCTTCCTCGATTCTTCGTTGACGGCGTGCACGTTCTACAAAGCTGGACTCTTTGAAGAACTCGGGGTCGCTGTGGTCTTCCGAGGGCATATCATCGGCTGATCGGGTCATTCGCTCGCTGTGGACCCTCTCTCGGTTCGTCTGAGACTCTTTCATGGAGATATAGTTAAGGTTCGGCTCTGAAGAGTCTATCATGAAATCAACCGGCAAGCCTCTCAAGGGCGATGAGATGCCCGGGGCGAGGCGAGGCTGATGAATTGGGATGTTGGGCGACGGACGATCCGACGCGAGCTCCGGCTGTTGACCATGGACTAGTGGGGATGACGGGGCTGGGGTGGCTTTGAATAGTTGGCTCAGACCCAGGAGACCGCCGCTTGACTCGATATCACCTGCTAGCGGATTATTGCGTGGCATGCTTGGTGTTTCCGTTGGCGCACCCTTTGTGGGGATCTTCGTCGTTGTCCCGGGCGTTGTCAAGAAGCGCTGTGATTCCGGAAAGAGATCGGGCTGGTAGGCCAGCGGAGAAGACTGACTCGGGGCAGAACTGCTGTGGTCGTCATGATCCCGTGAAAGATGGGTCGCATTTGGTGCCGACTCAAATTGAGACAGGAGGTCGATATGGCCACTTTCTTCCTGGTGCAAGGTCATCATCGTTTCACCCCCCGCACCCGTCTGCGAAAAGTGTGGATGTATGGAGGAGGTATTGTTCTGGATGATGCTGTCGAAGACAGACTGCGAGACCACCTGAGTGTCTCCAGGGGCAGTCTCGCCATAGCTCATTTTGACTTGTGATTCGGTGCCTGCTTCGTGCTGGGCGCCGACGTTGGGAGGAACCATTAGGCTTGCTTCATGCTGGTGCAGTCCAGAGAGCGAGGGGTGGAGGTGGTCGGGTAAGAAGTTGGAGGGTCGCCCTGGAGTGGTGGATAGTGCGTCACCATCAGAACAGTGGCGGGCGTCCGGGAGTGAACGACGAGGAGTGGTCTGGGGACTATTCTCGGGTAGTGCAAGGGCTGCGAGGCGTGGCTGGGATGGGTCCTGCTCCTACGGAGATCAAAATGTCAGTCCAATGAAAACCTGCAGGCTCGGAACATACTAGGCCTAGCGCGACGCGTTGCAACTGGGAGATATCGAGGCTGTCCTGGGTTTCCATCGCCAAAGCACGGGAGACAGATGGAGTAAATCACGGACGGGCCATTTCCAGTGTTACTGAGCCGTGCCGTACAGATTGTGTGATTTTGCACTCTCCTGGAGTAGACACGATACCGCGTAGTGGGACGGAGAAGAGCAGAGTGACGCGCGACACGAAACACGAAAATAAGCACGTGATCGCGTCTCAATATTGCCTGATTGAGTATAAGTAGACATAACATTGTACCGTTGAAAGAACGTGAAGAAAGGAACGTGAAGAAAGAAATGTGCCTTTTTAACTCTCTTCTTCCCAAGCTTTAAATGAAGAAAAAAAATAGAGAAAAACTACTTTTCTCAAACAAGTTACTATGTATGGATACTATGTCTAACCCTAATCTCTTCGACAACTCTAGGTATCACAACTCGACTGACTATTCGCGCCCAATGGGCTGAATCAACGAATAGCTTGCCGACGAATTAACCTCCTGCACACCAGTCGACAAAAACAAAGGAGTCATCTTGCCATCCTCACTGAAAAAGATGTTCGGCCGCTCTCGTCGGTAATAGTCAATAGTCGACCCATCATCGAAATTAACTGTCGTATTAAACGCAACAGTCTGTGTATTGAACGTCCACGGCCCATTCCACTGCCTGGAATACGCATGTCGTCCCACATTAGGACCACTTCCAAACCCGGCGTCGGGGAGTAAGGAGTGGACCAGCATGTGGAAGTTGCCGCGCTTGTCTGTCCAGATGAATGGGTCTTCACTCGGCTCGGAGAAAATAGGTCTCTGTGGGTGCAAACGGGTATATGGTCCGTCGTACTCGGGTCCCGTCGCGATATTGATGAGTTCTGTGCTGTAGCAATCATCCCCGCAGCCGCGATATGCCAGGATAAAGGCATCGGAGTGGTCAGATCCAGTCCGATAATGCATCGGCGCAGGATTCGTCGTGTCCGCGTCCCAGACCTTGCTGTTTAAACCGCGAAGAACCTGACCATGCGGCTCCCAGTCCCGGAGGTTGCCAGACGACCAAGCACTAATGCCGCTCTCGCCATTGAGAGAATTGCCAGGGCCACAGGTGAAATTCACGCTCTGGCAGCCCGATGCAACGTGGGTGGGACAACCGATGTTGAAAAGCAGGTATTTGTGCTCTGCTTCACTCCAGACCACCGTTGGGTTATGCGCGAATCGAGGCACAATCTCCTGCTTGAATGTGTAAGGACCAATCGGGCCGGTGGTGGACTCGGCGCGAATAATGCGGCTGTAGGGAGACCAGTAGTCCAGTCCGCAGTCGTCCGTGAACTCGGACACGAACAGATGGTGAAGACCGGGGTCCTCAGGATCGCGGATGATGCCATTGCACCACGACGATGTGCCCTCGCCGGTGAGATTGTACCCATTAGCGCGTGGCCCGGCTTGGACGTCTAGTCTACCGCAGTCGGATCCTACCCAGCCGGGATCACAGACGCAGGCGTTGTTGGCACAGACACCGTTGAGAGAACATTCCTCGTCGGCGGTGCATGCACGGGCTGGAGAAATGAGGCTGGCAATTGTGGCGAAGAGGGCCAGATGAAGGAGAGGTGCCATTTTTGGAGATGTTGCCTTGAAACGGCCTTGCATGAGGGGTGGATGCGAGAATGTCTCTATTTAAATCATTAGGATCTGCATACTTAACTATACTCCTCGGGTGCTTTTAGAAGCTTCCCCGCAGTTGGAAACTGCCGATATGATATTCTCTCCTTACTTGACTCCACTAGAGGTCAATTCTCCGTTTCTGAACAATCGTTGATCTCACGCATAGGAGTGATGAGCAGCACAACAGGCTTTCTAGTAAATACCTAAGGGAATCTCCAAGGACGCCGACTGGTATAGCATTGAGTCCTAGGAAAAGTTGTGCGGTTCGGGTCATTGTTGACTAAATTACCCGAATCATCCGATGTTCCTGAATTCTACATTCAACTGTGACACAAAACCGGTGAGGTGGGAGGCAGGCTGTGATCTCTGCAGAGAATTGTTTTCATTATGGTCATTATGCTAGAGTCATACACATATCCCCCAATGCAAGATAAAAAGCCCAGGATGCGCAATGCAAGTTTGACAAAAAACACTAAGAGCACCTAGTCCAAAGCTTCAATCCCGAGAACGATTAGGCACCCATCGTTTGATGCTAAATTCCCTCACCCGGTAGCGACTGAGCGTGGCCCCGATATCACTGTCCGGTGAAGCAGAAGGAGGCGGCACGTCGACGTAGCAGACGACCAAGCTCTTGAAAACTTGAGCTTGGACCCGGTTCACGCAGTGCAGCCACCACCAGCTGCGAGCCTGCTTGCGTACAATATATTCTCGGCGTTCTTCGGTCTCAGACCAGTAAGCGTGGTCGTAGGAGGGGATGATAACAACGGCAAATTCGGCGTGTGAGAAGACCGGCCCGCGGTTGTAGAGCATGTAGTCTGCTCCGAACTTGACGCCAGAGCGCACGACCCAGCCGAGGGAGCGGAAATGGTGGTACACGACATATGATAAGATGAACGGGTCGTCGGGCTGTAGGGTTGATGACGGCGTTCGAGGAGGACAGTAGGAGTGGTGGCAGAGGAGTGGGAGGAGTTTTGATGTAGGGATTACAGTGTTGCGTTCGTCCACGACGCGTAAAGCACCCAGTCCGTACACGAGGAAGAATGTCTCTTCGTTGGAGAGCTGGAGATGTTCCTCGTTTTGGAGGACGGGCTCTTCATCTGCTTCATTGGCGTCCAGGACGGAGTCCGGGAGAGGGAGAGAAGTGGGCGAGTTGGAAACAAATTGCTTTTCCTGGACGATGGGAGCAAACCGTACGGTTTTGCCATTGGAGGTCGGCCTCGATGGGTCGACAGTCGCATCTCCGTTCAGTTGTGCGGCTCGTTGGGATTCCAGCCATTTGGTTTCTTTGGCGTTCTTGAGGGAGAATTTCTTAGTGGACGGTGACGGTGTTGCGGTGCCGTTAGCAGCAGCACCGTCTGCCTCCCGAGCCGCCGCCTCGGCCTCGAGCCTCTCTTGGATAGCCAGCTTCTCCATCCGGGCTCTCTCCAACTTCAGTTCACGACGCTCGGTCCTGCGCTTCCTCGTCGCCTCCTCACTCGTGTGACTGCCCAGCAACCCTCTCCTTTTCTTTTCGCGTTCTAGCCAGCTGGGTTCACTTCGGCTTAGATTACCTTTGCCAAAAAAACCCATCTGCCACAGGGCTTTGATTGCCGTTTCGTCTGTGACATGAACGGAGGAAGTGGCAGAGTCAAAATACGCCGTATAGACTTGCAGATTGGGAGGAGAGATAAAGAAGGTAAGATACGAGAGAGCAATACTAATGAGGGAGAGAGGGTTGTGGGGGATGAGAGGAGGGACAGGATGCACGTTTAGGGGGAGAGGGAAGCGATGGAGGTGTCTGTAGTTGGGTCTAGGAGGGCGGGCTGGACGAGGCTTGGGCCCTGCATGCCCAGCCTGCGGTGAGGCAGCCACCGGTTTAGGGGAGACCGGAGTGGTCATAGCTAGGGCTGATGAATGCGTGTTAGCAGAGCATTCAGGAAGCAATATTTCGAGCTAAGTGCGTTGTTTCTTCTCAGATACCGTTGTAGTCAATTAAGCAGATCATTGACAAACAGCTAGAAATCAAGGTGCCATTTGCCTGAGCTTGGTATTTTGCATCATCATCGAAGAAGGGAGGCACGAATCAAGATCACGGCAAAGGACTCACCAGAGGTGTTTGGAGTGCAGTTACTAGGAGAGACACAGGAACATGATTGCAGAAGTCATTAATCTGCCTTATGAGGTTCCAGTGACCTAAAACATTGTGTGTTTCAGTGCATCGTGTGTCAGTGCAAACAATTGTTGGCCGGGAAAAAAGCGAAGCGAAATTTAAGTCGAAGAGAAAAATGGTGCAGCTGACTCATCGAGTGGTCCGAGCGCCCGCTCGGCTTCAAAAAAATTCCACCGGCTGCACAGCTCCATTCACTCACAGCAGAACAACCCCCAACACCGCCAAGTGAGTATTCCTGCAGACAAGTACAGTAATGGATATGAACTGACCCTATGTTCCTGCGGCAGAATGCATCTTATGGTATGCCCACGACTGCGACCACTCCGTTCTTTCTCAACCTCCGAAGAAATCAGCACTGACCAGAACCAATAGTACGTGACCGACAACGAGGGCAAGCGGGTGTACACCCTCAAGAAGGTCCTGAACGGCGAGGTGACCAAGTCCGCCCACCCGGCGCGCTTCTCTCCCGATGACAAGTACTCGAGGTGCGTTGACATGAATCTCTTGGAGATCGGGAACCATGCTAAAAGTTTTGCCTCGCAGACACCGTGTCACCCTCAAGAAGCGTTATAATCTCCTGCTCACCCAGCAGCCCGGTACGGAATACCTCTTTGCCTCTATTCTGAGAGAGGGGACTAATGGATCGATAATACAGAGAACAGCGTTGCTACCCCATGAAAGCTGAACTGGATAATTGGGATGGGAAATGGGTGATGTTCAGGCGAATGGTGTTTCATAGCTCGATTTTTTGCTTCGGTGGACTCTTCTCGCTATCAGAAGGTCTCCGGGTCTTCAATATATGGATCTAAATTGGATCACATTTCACATTCATATATGCTTCTATAACTGTATATCCAAATGCCCGGTCCAACATACCGAGAGACATGGTCATTGCTCATGACAGAATGGCTTTTCTGCATACTCCCAAAAACGCCATTCTAAAAAATGCAAGATAGACTCAGCGTTTCCGCGAGTTGACGTTCCGGCCAGCCCCAACCCTGCCTCGGCCGCCGTGCTTGTTGCGCTCGCCCGTCAAGATACCGGGCAGGTAATCCTCGTCCATGAGATCATGCTCACGGCGACGCCGTCGCTCTTCCTCTGCGTTGGCACGCACGTACTCCTTCTGGTCCTCGGCGAGAACAAGCTCCGTGCCCCAGCCGCCCTTCCCGCCGCCGCCTTTCCATTTGCCGCTTGCGTTGCCTGCAATAGGCTTGGGAACGCTGTAGCGGTTGCCGCGGTTGTTCCATTGCATGTTCTTCTTCAGGTGCATAGTGAACTGGCCGCTGGCGGTCGTGGTGCACGAGACACGGGTGAGGGTGTCTTTGCCGCATCGGGGGCAGAATTGCTTGTTCATATCCTTGGTGGTGAAAAAACAGGCGTGGCAGCGCTTGATGAAGGATTTGAGGTGTTGGATTCTTTGGAGCGTAGTGGTGGATAGAAGGTTGAGGTTCATCTGAAGAAGGACGTTTTGACACTGGAAAAGGAATTAGTAGAGACCCAAAATTTCAGTGCTAGAGCTTGCTTACCGCGAAATCGGTAGTCATGGTTACAACTTGCATGGTCTTCGGTTCCGATGCAGAAGACGTCGCGCCGCCAGCCTCGTCATGGGCCAGTTTCTTCTTGTAGTTGGAGGGTGTAATCCACTCGCCTCCATCCGAGTCAGAGCCGTCCTCCTCCTGCGCGTCGGGATCATTATCATCCTGTGCGGTTTCAGAGCCACTCTCGTGCGATGTAGAATCCTCTTTTGTATGAGTATCTTTCTCGTTGTCTGCGATCGCGGTCTCTTTCACGCCCTCTGGAGTAGTCTCCACTGCACTCTCATCCATCTCCTCCGTCTGCTCCTCCTCCTTAACAGGTGGTCTTCCATTAACTCGCTTCTGGCCGGGAACGCTTCTTAGCCGCCAGTCACCTCCGTTACGCTCGCACTCGATCTCATAGGCCAGCGCCAGTACTTCCACATCGGTTCGGCTCAGCACCGCGCGGTCACCGGTTTTGCGGGCGAATTCGCTGATGACATTGAAGCTGTTCGGGGTGGGGGTTCGCTGCTTCAGGAAGGGCAGATAGAGGGTCTCAACACGGGTTCGAGCATCAGGATCACGGATCTCGTTGACCACAGAGGGGGTGGTGATGAGTTCCTCGCACTGAGCGAGCAGGGTTGAGAGCGGCGGGGTATTTTTCAGGATGGGGCCGGCGTCCAACACGATAGTGTGGACGGGCTTGGCGGGTGTAGGCGCAGAGTCAGCCATTTCCTCTGCTGGAGGATCGCTAATAGTGGCGATTGAAGCCAAGGAAATACACTGCGTCGACTGTCAAGTCGAGGGTTGATCAGTGAAGCGGAAGGAAATTTCTCAAGCGGTGGTCTGTGCGGGCTTATCTTATCGAGCGAAATATAGAACGGGGACTATGGTAACTACATGTGTGTATGGCGCATTGCTATTCTTGGTTTTCTAGTTTTCAATTCAATCAGTCCTTTTAAATTCGCCTTTCTTGGTCTCCGAATGAGTTAAAGCTTGGATTGGGTCAGCGCCACAATGGTTTCCTGCGCCGCTCGTTTCCCCGACGAGATAGCGCCGTCCATATAACCCTTCCATTCGTACGCCGTCTCGGTGCCAGCAAAATGAATTTTCCCATGCGCTGCTCGCAGTGCATCGTCAAGTTTGAATAATACTTGCGGGGGAGATGCTGGGCAAGGGCATCCCTGCGCCCATTGGTCCATTGCCCACTCATATTCGGATACGTTAATTGGCTCAGGCACGCTCGTATAGGCCCCGAAGAGCTTCCGGATGTGTTGCTTTACTCTTTCATATCGCTCATGCTGCTGGAGTTTAGACAGTTCACGACCGGGCTGGCCCACAGTAAAACAGGTCAAGGAAAACTGCCCGGTTTCATCCACACTACTGTCTCTCGAGACCGCCACTGGCCCTTTGAAAGACTGCAGGAGGCCACACAAGCCAGCGTCTCGCCACCACGGACGGTCGTATAGTAGCATGACTTTATTTGTGTACCCAAGTCGGTTTTTCTGACTGAGTTCAACCTTGGATTCGGGAAGCGCAGGGCAGAAGTTGATTAGGTGGTAAAGCGGCGTTGGAACGGTTACGATGACTCGTTTGGCTAAAATCTCGCCGCGTGCAGTTGACACAAGAACCCCAGTTGGTGCTTGCTGAATTTGCTGGACAGGAGACTTTAAAATGAGCGATCCTGGGCGAAGCAACTTTGCAAGACCCAGCGATAGCTGCTGGGAGCCTGATAAACAAGGAGTTAGTATAGTTCATCTCACGAGAGAAGAATGCACAAACCTTTGGCAAACCTCAAATATTGGCCGCCGTCTTTTCGATCGGATCGCATTGTTGACAAGCCACCGCCACGTCGGCAATAGTCAAGAAAGAACAGTGCGCTCATCTCGGAAGGTTCCAGCCCTAGCATTGCTCTTGTCCAAATTGTGGCTGTAGCGATCGCGGTAGGAGTCGCGCCTTTTTCGTGAAGCCACTGCTCAAGTGTAAGGTGATCTGGTGCATTTTTGTCCTTTCCGACACCGTAGAGGTCAAGATTTCTACTGACTTCATCCGCTAAATCTCTGATGAAGACCATATTGTCAACTCCGTTAGGTTCGGACAGCCTCTGCAAGGTCTTTAGCAAAATATTTGAGTTGGCTAGAAATAACCTCACCTCTGGTACTGAGCCATATGAAAATTGTGACACGCTGCCGTCGATATCTTCTTGTATAACCGATCCTGATGTATTCTGCTGTACAAGTTCGAGCCCCAACGACTTTGAAAGCGCGAATACCTCTTTCTGGTTCGTGTCGTTGATCCAGGCGGCACCCAAATCAATTGTCCGGCCATCATTCAGCGGTTCTATTGACAGTGTTTTCCCACCTACGCGATCCCGCGCTTCAGCCACGACGCACGACATCCCCGCTTTTTGGATCTCATGAGCCGCCGAAAGCCCACTAAGGCCGGCTCCGACGATAACAACGTCTGCCACTCGCCTAGTAAATTGTTCGACTGAAGCCGTTGCCTCTATCTCAAAGTGGTAATCCGGCCGAGCAAGTTTTGTAACCGGAATCAGCGTTGTGGTTGGACGATGACCATCAAGAAATTTGACGAGATGCTTCGAGTGTGGGCGGTTATCAGGGTCGTAGTCAACAATGTAGTACACAAGCTTCAGGATGTCAGTCACCGAGGCCCCAGTGGCGTCAAGACAGCGGCGCAAATTGGAGAAAGCCAACGCGATTTCGTCGTCTATGTTGGGAGGGACGACGTTGTTTTCATCCGCCCCAACCTGCCCAGCTGTGCAAACTATTCGGCCAGGGCCTTTGGAGGACGTAGCATGGGCCCAAATAGGCTTGGGGTCAAAGGTCTTGTACGGATCAAAGGAAATTACGTTCGAGCTCGGTTTCGTACTATGCGCCATTTTTAGAGAGTGGTGTCAATGTTTGCGGGGTTTGATGTCCAAAGTATGAATTGGTGTTCGTATTCAAGCGTGTTGAAAGACGCTCTATTTATGTCATGGGATATTCCATATCCGACGGACCGAGCACAATAGAGAAACGTGTCACCAATTCCGGAGGCATTGTGGCACGGGCAGAGGTGTCAGTAAGCTGAGGAGGGAAAGGGGGTGCTGCCGAATAACTCGGAGGCCCCGAATGCGGTGTTGAGCATCGGGCCCGAGAAATAAGTTTTCGGGAGAAGGCTCCACATCCGTATACAAGTCTAACGAGTTGAATCCTGCGACTCGGATACTTTTCCGTAGTATTGTTGAGCAATTGAACACACTATCTGTCTTCTACATAGAATACTCGCAAACATCCTTCAGCTATGAACGACCCGTTCCTCCTATTTGTTCATTGCTGGCAAACCCCAATGGCATGCGCAACAAACCATCAATGTCATCCTGCTGGGAATCCAGAAAAGGCTCTGCGTAGCCTGCTCCAAACAACGCAGCCCAGTTATTCTCCAAAGTATCTCTCGTATGATCATCAAATGCCTCTTGTATGTCCAAAATTGAGTCTAGTTTATCAGAACCTGAGCCTGCTGGATATACAGCAGGGTTGAACCCGGAGGCAGCTTCTGTTTGCCTTTTGAGTTGCTTTAAGAGCCCCTGATATAGATGCCAAACTGCCTCGGCACTGGGCCAATAATGTGATAGGCTTTCTGCAATCGGCATTAATTGGTCTAGGCGGGATTGTGCCTGGATGGCTAGCACTGCGGGTCCATTTCTGGCTGTAATCCTGGCTTCCAGGCTAGTCTGAAGTGCAGTAGCTAGTAGCATTGTCTGGCAAGTGAACCAGCATTGCCCGATAGACTCTTTCACCACCATGGTATTGAGCAATCCAATAAGTGCCTGAGCTGAAACGTGGCATGTGTCGCTGGATTTGTTGGGTGGTGGCCCAGTCATGTCGCCGGCCGTAGGATCTGCAAGTCTATGGAGGTGTAGTAATGCAAGATTGTAGTGTGCCATCAGCAGAAGTGCCCAAAAGATCGAGTTCTTTCCATGAATATCTGAGAGTCTAGACGGAAGTTGAAGGTACCATGTAACCAATCGGGTATCGAGGTTGGCTTGTGTCGTTCGGAATGACCCAGGGCTGTCGCGAAATCGACGAAGTGAGCCTGGCGACGACATTTTCACAATGGCACCTACGATTTCACACAGAGCCGCATTCTGTATACAGAAATCTATGTCTACCTTTGGATTCGTTCGTGAGTTGCATTCAATGAAGTCCTCGGCGCATAAAGATAATTGGTCGCACTCGTCAGGGTCGATACTCAACGGTCTTCCATGGTGCAGGCTGCCAAGAACATCAAGCTGATATATAGTCCACCAGACCCGCCTGTAGATACGCTGATCGTGAATTGGCATTCTAATGGCATTGGTGCCGTATGATGTGGTGCGATGCATTCCTAATCCAAATGCAATCCTGCACGCGATTCCGATCCAATAGTATGCATTTGCACTAACATCATCCACGCCTTGGAGATGCCAAGTAAAAAGCAATGCTGCCTGGATCAGGTTCAGACGGTCATTTTCATAACGAATATCGAATAAGCTCTTCGCACGGCGGAAGAGAGACAATTTCATTAGTGAGCGAGATTTCGTTACTCGTGGATGGTTCGACACATGAGCTCCAACAAGGAGGATCGCATGCAGCAGCAACAGAGGAGGTGGGTTCTCTGAATTCTCATATCGAGTGCGAAACTCGGCCTCATCAATGACCGGGAAGCCGGGGTGGACCTTTTCGAAAAATGATTCGATCAACTCGTCACGAAGTTCTTTATCCGGCAGTGTGCTAATTTCACGTTCAAATGAGGTCCGGTACCATTCAATTAGTGGTAAATCTGTGGAGGGCTTCCACGGTCGGACAGGTCGAATACTCGGGAAAGGAAAGACTAGCGACGAACATTGGGCTTTGCTGAACTGTGCTTCATGAGCTACCAGCTGCGAGATATTTGACACCGAAGTCCCCAAGTATGCGATCCGCATGTGCGTATGGTCATGAAAGATGGTCCACTTGGGCGCGTGGATGCCGTGATGATAAAATAAAGATAGAGCGGTTTTGGCAAGATTTTGATCGTAAACGTCCTCCTCGATCGGGGTCGAGGCCTGAGATTCAGTCTGAGGATTTTCATTCTGGGTTTGGCGGACCCGAATTGCGCTGTTGTCACGCCCAGTTGATAGGGAATGGGATTCTAAATCAAACGAGAGGCCTCCTTGGCTATTCAGAGGCGACGGCCGGTTCTTTCTTCTCCTCCTCTTGGACTTATGAATGGTTGCTAGGTTAAATCTGATGCAAAATCACACCATGTCAGTATTGTAAAGTAACGTTTAATAGCATCATGATCAATCACGTCTAAGATGAGATCACATCCTGAGATGGTAAGAAACTTACGTGCATTGAGCATTCTTTTTGGTGCAATTTGAACAAGGTCCCCCGAAATCAGCATCGCACCTCACTTTTCGGATGTAGCAAGTATCACAAGCGGGCATGTCTCCAGGCTGTTGAATCAGTACCTCGTCTTTCTTTTGGCCACAGTTTCGTCCCGATTCGCTGAAAAGAACGCCTCGGATAGTAGCGGCCCAAGGAGTCAAGAGAGGGCGGGCTAAGGTAGTTGGATACAGTGTCTCATTTAGAAACCATGTGTTGCTGAGGTCTGTGGTAGAAGAGTTGTCAACCGTGAACAGCAGAAAGTGCCCCCATGCTTATCCATTTGGTCCTTCCCCGCTTCCAATAATTGCTGATAACCAGCTCCGACCCTGACTGGCAGGGCTTGGGATCGTGGAGAAATAGGACCCACCACGATAAATATCGTCTCTGCCGGCCGTTAACTAAAGCAAGCTTTCGTTATTGATAGTAGACATTTATTATAGAAAACAGGTTCGCATTCGATCTTCAAATCCTATGTACAACAGTCGAGTTGTCACCGCATCTTGCTTTGAAATATATATATATGCCAAAGATAGTTGCAGTTACGGAAGCCGGCGCTCCTTAAATGCTCGACCTTTAATTGTCGGAATTGACTACTTGATCAATGACTTCAGTCACCAAAATTAGTTCTTCGTCTTGGAATGGTCTTCCTACAATTTGCATGCATACTGGTTGGCTCGCAAATAGCTCGGGATTGTCTAAGAATTTATTAACAAGTAGAGCTTGACGGTTAGTGAGGAATAGACTTACACATTTCATGAGTTCTCCTGTCGAAAGGATTGTTTAATGGCTTATAGTCCATTCTTTTCGGATCCGTATCCGCAGATATTCTGAAACCCTTTATGGGCATTGTCGTGGAAGGATAATCGAGAACGTTCCACAAGGATGTATATCCCCACCAACTCGGAAAGTTATGAGGGTAGCTCGTGGACGGATGCACCGGACAGATTAGGCCATCGATTGGTCGCCCAGTGCTGGCCATAGTCGATGTGGAGTTCCACCATTCTGCCATCTTGCGTTTGAATGAAGCCTGCTTCACATTGCAATCAAAAAGCTCCCAGATAGATAATGCTTTGATATCGAATGTCTCCAGGTAAAATTGCATTGCGGCTGCCATTTCCTCGCCACCAGATGCTAGTGCATCTTTTCCTTCCTTGAAGCCAGTTTGAAAGTACAGCTTCCAAGTGACTAGCGCTACCTCCCAACAGTCGAACGGCATTGTCACAGGTATAACTGTCTTGATGATTAAATTTTTGTCTAACATATTTTAAGGCATCTCGTACCTTCATGTCCTTGGCTAGTCAATCTTAATGTACTTTCCTTGATCGCTCGGAGAATAGGGGGATGAGGCATGCATACTCCATCAAAGGTCCATACTCCAAAGCTGTATTTTGGTACTGGGGGTGGTAACTCCCTCCAAGGTATCGGCACTATGCCTGGCTCAAAGTGTGCCAACGAGCCATGAGCATTGATAATCTTAGTGAACATCTTCAGATCCACTATATTGTGACACACTGGTCCACTGGAGACCTTGATGGAAACATTTCCCGGAGCCGTACTTCGAAGCCCCCCTTTAGGAATCCTATCAGCACTTGGCCTGATCGAATAAAGCCCATTGAAAGCGGCCGGGGCCCTGATTGAGCCCCCGATATCAGAGCTAGGGGCGATGGGGCTACCTCTCATGGCCACTAGGACACCATCCCCACCAGAGGAACCCCCGGACACAAGCTGGTTATTAAAGGGATTGGTAGTGACTCCCCACAATGGACTTCGTGTCTCAAGCATCATACCAGTTTGTGGCATAGTTGTTTTTGAGTAGAAAACTGCGCCGGCATCCCGAAGTATTGCCACCAGAGCAGAGTCGGCGGAGGCGACGACATCAAACCACGAAATATAGGCCATTGTTGAGCGACGACCTTTGAGATCATACATGTCCTTTATGCAAACAGGTAAGCCATGGAGAGGCCCCACGGTCTTTCCAGTTGTGCGAAATTGTTTATCCAGAGCAGCAGCAGTTTGAAGCCCCTCTTCAGGGAAAAATGCCGTTAAGCAATTGGTCTTTCTGGTTAGGACGGCATTACCAGATAAACTCCTAGAATATGCTTACCACCTGATGGGCAATTGCCGCTCTTATACAAAATGCTTCAGTCACCTCAGAACTCGATAGTTCCCCAATGGAGATCTTGCTTAGTAGCTCTGTTGCAGTTGCTTCAGTGATCTCCATATGCTTTGGGGTCAATAGCCCGCATGTCCTTGGCATATCTATGACGCTGGCACCTTCTGGCAGCCTGAGCTGCTCAGGGGTGAGTCTCCAGGCCGGTGGTATTGAATCATTTACTTCAGCTCGCGCTTTGAGGACTATTTCATCCTTTATCAGACCTAGTTGAGAAGACATGTACGCGAAAGGGCCCCTTGAACTGTCAGCATGTAATTGTTCACTTCCGTGCATATTGACTCGACGGGTGAGATCATTTTACCGTGAGAACACTAGGCCTAAAAACTAGATGGGGCGTTCTTGACTCTGGCAGAGTCTCACAGAGCGACTGATTGATATGAATCGGTTTGTTAACTGCGCGTGTCTTTTCAAGGTTGCCCAGTGAGATATCCTTATAATCAAGTCCTTTGCATTTCCGGGATGATGCGACATAACGAAGCACGCGAGTAGTGACCTAGCCTTTTAACTAATCACACGCCCAATGAAATACGCACATTCGTCGGCCCCGAATTAGCTAAGCTCGGGATATCACGACTAACAATAATAGGACCGGATGGAGGTTTGTGGGTCTCCGCCATCTCGGTAGCACCGACCTATCTCCACTTCCAGAGCTGCCCATCACGGAGGGCGCGAGCATGGAGCTAGCATTTTAACCAATCGGACGCCAAATGAAATGCGCACATTAGTACCCCCCTATTATACTCCACTGTAGAGAGGAACGTGCATATTAAAATTACGGTGAACGAGAGACATTGTCTACATATATCTAAAAAGGAAAAAGATCTACAAGAAGTTCGTGATCGAACGCAACCCGTCTCGTTTAGGACTTTCAGCTAAGCCACCGAAGATCGACCAGGACTAGCATACTCAAAAAGATAACCGATGCCCTCCCATATAACATTTCCCTTCCCCGCTTAACTAACGATAACCACACAATAAATTTCTGGCCAAGCAGCTTATTATCGCACACCATATCAATCGCCGCAAGCATTCGACTCATAACTTCACGCCTTTTCAACATGTCTAAATTATTTATCGGGTTTGTGATGATCGCTTGTACCTAAAGACTAGCTAATAATATTTTGACTAGTGGTCTGGCATGGCAGACAGATAGTTCTAGGTTGCGTCAAAAGTTTGAGGAATTTGGGGAGGTCGAGGAAGCGGTCAGTCACGAGATCCTGGTCCTCACTTTACCATGATCTATTGTCTAAGATATCATGAAGGTGGTGGTAATGGACAGGGAAACCGGACGCTCTAGGGGTTTTGGATTTGTCAAGTTTTCCAGTGAAGATGATGCGACTGCGGCCGTGAACGCAATGAATGACACGGAGTAAGTATTATTGACCTGTACTAATAGCTGGTGCTTTAGCTAATATTGGTTAGGTTCGACGGTCGTAGGATTCGTGTTGATAAAGCTACTGAACGCGGTAGATAATTTTCATATAGGTGAATAGATGAAAGCAAGATTTACCGTGAAAAGTCAATATTCGAAGTGTGGTGTATCTCAAGAACAGGAGCTATCGGATCGAGGAATTGTGGGTCTCCGCCATCTCGGTAGCACGGACTGATCTCCAGATCCGATCACCGCCAGACGAGATGGCTGCCCCCACAGTGATCCACGAACTGAATATAACCGATACCACCGTTATATCCACGGTTATAAAATCGTCGGCAGATCTGGCATTCATATCAAATTGCACCGAGAAAAAGCTCGAACCTCATCGGTGGTCTATCGACGACAGTCCGAAGCACTGCGGGACAGAGCCTACCTAATATTATTGAGAAAGTATTCCAGAACATCACACTCTCCATGATGAGTGCGGACAATTTTCAGTATGTAATCCATTTTTCTCACGAATAAAGCCCAGTCTGGGACAATATTTCTCTCTTTGCCTTCTCTCGCGAGAGCGACAATGATGCTTCGCCCAAACTGACGCCAGCCTTTTTTTATTCACCAGGTTTAACTATTCCTCACGTTTGCTCCCAACAATGTTCCTGTTACGATTATGCGAATGGTCAATCTCTACTCGTTTTCATAGTCTGTCCTGTTGATTACATACGGCGTCGCACTGATCCCCGCCCTGTGAGTTGTGAGCGTCGACTTGTCTGCGTATTTCTCCAGCCGAGGATCCTATAGCAGCAAATTCTCTACTATTCTCCGGAACGCGGCGAGCGATTCTCTCTGCCTCGATTGAGGTCGGAGATCAAAACAGCCAAGATCCACTTCCAAGTTATATTGCAAATTTTACCATTGTGCTTGCGAGTAGTACGGGGTTCCATGTTGATGCCGTTTCCGATAGGCAAAGACGACCATATCGTGCTGCTGAGCAACAAGAAAGTGACAACGATATCTGGAACACGGGTTATCGAAATATATTTTATCATTATTATCGTCCAGCTGTGATATTTGCTATATCATACTACAGTGATTCTGTAATTGGCGATTCTCAAGGTCAAGTCAGGCGTCGATTCTTGGAATCCAATATAACACCCTGACCTATCAGCTATTCAGGCATAAAAATAAAAATGAGTACCGTCTACATCTTGCAAGGGGTCTTTTTTAGAGAAAGGAATTCAATTTAGAAAATACCAAAACTTGAAAAGGAGAAGCGAATGAATGTGGCAAAACATACTGAATCAAATAGCTCAAAATCTACCACGGGACCCGCGTCATCGTAAAGGGCATCACACTCTTTGTTCTAAGCATTGGTTAGAGCACTTGCACAAATATTGATTTCAGATCGATCAACTAACCCTCAGCCGTTCTCCCTTTGTGATCTTCGGCGCTTGGATTACAACTGATTCGAACGACTTCTCGGCCCACGATGTGACGCTTCTCCAACTGGACATGGACTGGAACACCAACACCATCCTCCATGAAATAATTGCTTTCAGTAGCGTGGTTGGCATTGAAAAGAAGTATGGGGACAGATATGACGAAGAGAGCAAAGTAGGCGCATATCTCATTGAGATAGGGCGTACCCGCCGCATCAATGCCAAAAGCGGTCGCTGTTCCAGCAGAGAGAACTAAATTATATGTCAGTATGGAATATTTTCTCCATTACCCTGACATGTGCACTCACATCCGACAGCAAAACCCGACATGTGCGCGAGACGCCCGGGCTTGTTCGTCATGGCAGCGAGAATCCAGAACCCGGTATTTTGGAACATTCCGTACTGTGCCCCATATGCGAGATGGATTGAAACTGCTCCGGCATAAGCATGATCCGACCAATCAATTTGGGGACCAGTGGTTGATCGATCTAATTTCCATTTTGCTACCCAGACGACCTCTGCAATATTTGCTCCTCCAACCCATATAGCCATTATGGTTGCAACAATCATTCCACGCCGCCGACGAGACCCGAGCTGTTTGCTGTCGAGAAGATAACCAGTGGCTATCGAGAACGGAATTTGAAAAACATTAACAAGGACGTTGTTCAGATTTCTGGCTCTCGTCGTGAAAACAAATGCGTTGAATGAACTCTGATATACGAGGAAAACTTCAGCTGCAAAGAAGCAAGGAATCATAATTAGAAGCCTCCAGTCACTAAGGGCTTCTATTAATCCACTGAAAGTTTCCCGAAAGTTAGCTTGTTTGAAAGAAGCGACAGGGGAACCATCATTCCGGATAACTTCGTTAGGGTCGCACAGTAAAACTGCAAAAAAGGCGGAGGAGAGTTGTATCACAATGAAAATGATGTAGACAGCCTCAGGAACGCTTTCAGTAGCGGTTTGTCCTAGTGTCACTCCTAAAGAGACAATGGCTCCGATAACGGCACCGAGGGCGAGACTTAAGCAAGTTATCAGAAAAAGGAAATTTCTTATTGTGGCCACTGACTCACAAGGTCCATTGGATAGCACGCCATCTCCCTTTTTCTACCTCTTCCGGATAAGTCATAGCTGTAAAGCCTGCAGTACTCCAGAGCAAGCCGGCTGTGAAACCGAGATAAAGTCCTCCAAAGATTGGGAACCAGAGGTGACCGGTTTTCTCAAAGTACCAAAGCGCGCCTGTTTGTCCTCGGATGAGTTGGTTGTTTGAAACAGTTACAAAGCATAATATGTCACTGACCGATATAAAAGGGATACCCCGTGTTACCAATAAGCATCGATGTCCTGGGGCCGAGGAAGTTAATGAAGCACCCGCCGAAAATGGCACTGAAGGTGAACATTCCATAAAGCACTCCAGAACTGATGTCAAACATATAAATGGAAGCTGCTCCGCGGCCACCACCAGCACCTAGGCCCTAGGGCATGATAAGCTATAAATCTCTATGAGTTGAAACGAGAAGTACTCACAGTGATCGCGAGGTTGATCCCGGGGTTGCAAAATAAGCAAGCACTTGCAAGTAGGATTTGTATGTGGGGGCTGCCTGTTGTCAATATCATTCCTAACAGCCATTGTTGCAGCTATGTACCTTTTGCGGCGAAACCATGGCAGCTCAATACGTTCCGGCTCAGATACCGAAAGTGAGTCGGCGTTTAACGACATATTTTTGGCTACAGATATTTAAATCAGAGATTGTGAAATGAAGATTGCTTGCTTTAGTCTCGGTTGCTAGCTGACGGGGAAGAGAGTTCACTTTACATATTTTCTCATCTCTGTCCATAGTAGATCCTAAATTGATAAGTTGTTGGCTAGTTAGGAGATCCTATCAACCCCGCAATTACGGTATCTTAACCTTGAGATAAAGAGATGTCGGTCGCTCCGAGCATTGAATTTGTCTTGGCAAACAATAACTATTCATTCGAGTCGTTCAGGATCAATACCGTCAAGTTACGGTAACAAGGTAGCTACGAACATCAGATAGAATATTATGGCTAGTTGGCTGGCTAGAGCATTACTACGAACTTAACTATCTACTTCAAGTTCTGCACGCATTCTGGGGCTTTCCCATTAACATGGCACTCCTGACCTAGTACACTAGGCCTTCTCAAGACCCTAAGGAGTGTCCCTTTCACAACGTTATAACCACTTATTTGTGTTCAAAAGTCTAGGCGATGAAAGTAGACGGGTTGAGTTAGCGACTCGGGCATTTCTATGTCCGTCCACACGATCTTGTCGTAGCCAGGAGCTGCGGGGTGGAGTAATATCAAAGATGCGGCCGAACAGCTCGGAGGCTCCGAATGTCGGACTAAAGAAAGCAACGGGCCTGAGATGGAATGTCTTGAAGTATTCTAGCTCTCTATTGGACGATAAAATATAAAAAGGCAGTAGGTCAAACAATAGCAAATTTAAAATAATCCAGATTACGTGCAACCTTGCTCCTTCAGTAAGTGAAAAGCAGTCGGCTAATCGAACTCAGGCCTGGAACTAACTGTAATCTTACTCTAGATACATATAAATTACGTAGCAAATTTTGAAAGAAGAAGAACATAGGTTAAATTAATTATGGCCAACGCAGTAAGCTTTTAGCACCTCTCCTTGCAAATGTCTATAGGAAAGACTACCCACAAATAAGATAAGATGTTTTTTTGGCAACCCAAGGTGCTAACATGCTTAGAAACCGCTCAACCATGCGATAAATCATGTTGCATTATCTTGCACCGACCTAGAAGGACTGATCACATGGTATACTCGAGTTCTTGGCTTCGAGCTTGTTGGAGCAATCAGACATTTTAATCGGCAAGATCACCCTGAACCATTCAAGACAATTTTTGTTTCATACCCAGAATCATTGCAGGAACTGAAAATTGCCGTTCTTGCTAGTGGAAATGGTGTTGGCATTGAGGTTTTCCAGTTTATTGACCCGGAACCCAAGACCAGCTATTCAAATTTTGAATTTATGCGGGTGGGGTTCTTTCACATTTGTGTTACGGATTGAAATCCAGAGAACTTACTAAAAGATATCGAAGCTGCCGGAGGTAGGCAGGTGGGCGGATGGATGGATTATGCCAGGTACGGCTTAGACGAACACAGTGGCATATATACACAAGATCCTTGGGGTAATGTCATTGAAATTATGTCTATTAGTCTTGAAAGGGTTTCTGCAGCTGGCGCAGCAGTGGCTTGGAAGAATCAGGAACTACGCGACTCGGAGGAAGGAAATGTGTCTTCGACATTGTGATTGTTACCTAGGCATACGAAAGCTCACCTCCTTCTGATGGTTTCGCCAATTTACAGCAATGGGACAGAGACACAGAAACCAATTTCTCTTCAAATGTAGTTTGTCCCTAGAATTGCAATTGCGGCCAGGCACGCTCCCGTCATACAATTGGTGCAGGGTCGTACCAATCAACACGAGGTCCGAAATGAACTTCTTCCCTGCGGTGTTCGACACAAAGGGCTATTTGCGCTGTCATATTTGCATCTGGCCCACTTCTTCCCAGCCAGGAATTTAGGCACATCCTGGGGTTACCAGACTCTCTCAGAAACCTCCAAGTGGCTCGAGGCTACCAGCTCTGCCTCGCAGTCCAGAATGGCTAGTTACACTGCTTCATTCGAGATTTCCGGGCCGAAAGACTGAAAATCTTGATTCTCAGGATCTGTGCAGGCGATCAGCTATCGTGGTGGCTGATGTGATAGATCCATTACGGTTTTCGCGGCTCTCTCCACCATATCTATTTGATCGCCTACAATTTTTCCTTAGTCAATGTCACCATTGATTCGATTGTTTTGGCCTATGAAGTTATTGATTCGACGCAAATACTACTGGCCATGTAGGAGCGTCTAGAGTAGTAGATGTTCTAGCCCTAGCGGAAGACTGGGTCTCCGTGCTCGTTCTCCAATCCGACTCGTAGACTTCACAGACAGGTACGTAGGTCCTCCTATTGTTTTGTCTAGGATGTGGGGTAAGGGTCCCTTGGCAAGGAGGCGATTATCGGCAGGGATACCGGCCCAATGGGAGAGTCGAACTCACAGATGGACGATCCTCCACGTAGCTTGCACAGATCAGCTGGAATATGGATGCGATCGGAGACCAGAGTTATGGGTAAAAAGGTGGAGAACAAAAGTCCCTTGCTAATTGTCCGTGCGAAGAGCTTAAACACAGCCCTAACTCATGGGCAAGTGAAACTTCGGCGATCACTATTGATCTTGCCCAATGAATTACAGCACAATGACAAATTGGAGAAGGTTCGCTAATTGCTAATCTCCGCGGCAACAGCAAGAAGGAGGGGGGTGAGAACGAGCGAACTGGATTCGGCGTCGATCATCCGATCTATAGACTCTGCAGTGTCTATTGGCTTTCTGATGCATAATGATGACAGATCCTTGTAGAATCCCTGGTCCCTGGTAACCCGTAATCGCTTGCATCATCGTGCGCAGGCTCTCGACCAATAGGCTTGACTCCTTCTGAATGATCTGGAACATAGAGAATAGATCATTTCATCTGAGAGATGGTGAGACGCCGAGGAAATGGGCCCGGACGGCCACGCTCATTCTGGATGCCCATTATTGTCAATGCTGCTTCGGTGTCACTTTGAACTGTCGAATGGCATTGTGTCGTGTGCGTCAAGGGGCGGAGTGCAGAGGCGGAATTACGTCGGGCCCCTGATGCGTTTCTTCTCTCCCTCCCATGCGTCGTGTTTGACCACCTCGGAATAAGAATATCATCCGAAATCATTGCATGCCATATTAATGATCAATATCTCAGTCAATTATAGATTTTCCAAATTCAATTGTTTTTGTCATCCGAAACTCATGATATCAGAGCACCGAACGGAAAGAAGGGGGATTCTCTTATAAATAATTTTGCTTCCAAATCGCAGTGCTTCCAAATACTCTGAAGTTATAGTCTGTCCATAGTATAGTATGAACCAGCCACAATCGTCATATAAACACAGGGGTCCTGCAGGAAATATAAGGCCGTGCAGAAAGTGCGTTCATCTCAATCGGTAAACGTAACCCAGACGTAACCCCTTGCGCAACGCCACAACGCAACCCGGGTTCCTGTCTTGCAGGGAAAGCATCGGCCCGGGGGAAAGGTGAGCATGCAGGGGAGATCGTCGCTCATACAAGCATACAGTGGCTAGCTAGACAGCATCTCTGTGGATTTGCGCTCCGACCGTTTGCCAGTTGCGTTTCTTATGGGCCTGAGCAAGGGCATGGAGATCATATGTAGAGAGAAGAAAAAGGACCGCCTGCCCTCGTTCTTTTTCCCCTCAACTTGGCCCATTGTTCTTCGTTCGCTCGTTTGTACCACGATCCCTATATTCTTCATTGGTTGTTCCGTCCGCCGCGTGGATCTGAACGAGATTGTGTCGCCCGATCTATCTCGATATTGAACTCGAAGACTGTTGCTACTGGCTCATTATTCGAATCCTGCCATGATCCTACTTGAACCTCGTGATGGCCTCTTTCAGCGGGACTATGGTCACCCGTACCTGTCCTCGCGAGGTGCTCAGGAAATGGCTGTGAGCATCATCTTCACGATGTTAGCTAGCTGCTTCGTCGCCGCCAGACTATATACGCGGATAAGTCTGATGAAACGCATGGAGAAAAATGACTGGATGGTGGTGATTGCACTTGTGAGTTCATTCTATTCTCTTCGACGTGCAGACTAAACCTAACGAGCAAAACTCAGGCAAACTCGTTCATCTTCATGGGCTTGGACATTGTTGAAGCAACCAGTGGCATGGGTATGCACATAAAACTGATCCCACCGAACATCCTAGAGAGGCAAATGAAGGTGAGTACAGATCCAACAATCAGCAATTGAATTCTGATCGGAAAATAAGGCTTTCTGGCTCACCATCCCCTTCTACAATGCCGCCGTTCTGTGTGCCAAAGCCTCAATCCTAATGCAATATCTTCGCGTGTTCCCCACGCACCGCATGCGCGTCATCTGCTGGACCATGATCGCTATCCTGGCCATCTACGGCACCTGGGCCGTAATCAGCGCATTCCTGAATTGCCTCCCGGTCGCCAAGTTCTGGGATGACTCCATCCCGGGCTTCTGTCTCAGCAAGCCTGGTCTGTGGTTCTCTAATGCGAGCATGCATATCACTACCGACTTCGCTATTCTGATGATTCCCATCCCGGCACTGATGGCTATTGACTTGCCGCGGAAACAGAAGATTGCACTCATGGTTATGTTTGCTCTGGGCGGCTTGTAAGTTTATACTTCAGGTGCTAATGTATGGAAAGCTAACAAGTGTTGGCTATCAGTGTCTGCGTCACCAGTATCGTTCGCCTGACTGCGTTGAAGAAGATCGCCGATTCTTCAGATCCAACCTGTATGTCTACCGCACCCTCTAGCAAAACAATAGCTAACTTATATATCACCACCAGACGACAACGTCGGCGCGGCGTCCTGGTCCGCCATCGAATGCAACACAGGGATCATCTGTGCCTGTCTGCCAACCCTCAAGCCGCTTCTCGCCCGCCTGTTCCCGCACATGACCGCCAGCTTTTTTGACAGCCAGCCTACTTATGACAGCCATAGTATGTCAGTGCGGCACATTTCCGGGCAGTGGCACGACGATGCATCGCTAGGTGCACCCGCCGAGGACCCGGAGTATGGAGCCGGCGATCCAGAGAGGCTGTTGACTTTGACGCCCAGCCGCAACTTCAACTGTGGCCGAAGCAGCTGGTACAAAGATGAGAAGAGCCGCGATACCAAGATGCCTGTCGTTCATGAGCAGAGGGACGACAATCACTCCGCGTCGTCGGACTTGTCTTCTTCGCCTCGTAAATGAATGTCTAGGCCTTTGCATCCGTATTACCATGAGATAAATGTGTCAAGCCGCTGCCGGTGTCCAGGGAGCATAGCGAGATCCAGTGTTGGGTTCCCCTTTTGGACTACCACGCTCTCTGAAAAGATGGTGAACTGCTCAAATCGGAAAGTCCGTTTTTATTTATTTCACGTTGCGTGTTCCTTGGTGCAAAACCCTCTTGTATGCTTGGAAACGAAGTTTAGATATATAACCATAAAAAAAGCAGTAGATGAAAATACGTTATTGTCAGACCCTAAAGACCCAGAAATCAAGAAGCTAGGCCACCCGCTATGATGTGAGACTCGTACAAACGAAATCTAAATCAACAATGTCTAGCTCTAACCCAAAGCTTGCAGGCTCTAGAAATCAGCAAACTCTTTATCCACCTCCTCAAAGTGATCAAAGAAGCCCTTGAACATCTTAACTCCCAGCCCAGGATCGAGGCACCCTGTGGTCGCACGGATGCTATGCATGCTCAGCTGTGGAATACCACAGTCAATAGCCCGCATACCAATGCGAGCACTGGTCATAGGTCCGATAGTACCGCCGCTGCGCGAATCGTTGCGTATTTGGAAAACCTGCAGCTTTGAGCCGCAGCGGTCGGCGACGCGCTTCAGGATCGCAAAGCTGACGCTGTCCGTCGTCATGTGGCCGTCAGAGTCGGCCGAAACCGCCACACCAACATTGAGACGAGGGGCGTGATTCTCCAGGTAGACGTTAAGGAAATTGGGGTTGACTGCATGGATAACATCGGATGAAACCAGGAAGCTGTTGGCCACAGTCTGAGAGAAGAGGTTAGGACCGTAGGTGTCCGTCGCAAAGGCCTCGGTGATGCGCTCCATGACGCTGCTCATGAAGTTCGATCGGGCTCCTTGTCGCAACAAGCTTCCAATCTCCTCGTCGTCAAACATGCCAACCATCTTGACCGTACCGGTGGATGTGCTGTCCGATGATGCGATTAGTGCCTCCTGCGCAGCATAGCAGCAAAGCTTGTCGTCAATCCGGCCAGCGAAGATGAAGTCTTTCTCCAACCCACCGAGCTGAGCAGGCTGGCTATCGAAAAGCTCCAGTTCCCAGCTGACAATCGTGCTATAGTCGGTGACTCCAATCTCCTTGGAGATTATTTTGACCAGCTTTTCGGGCTGAGTGGAAGCAAAAGACCCGGGCTTAATATTGGAAGACGCGGTCGGAGCCTGGTGCTCAAACAGATCCGAGTTGTCAGTGCCAATGACAGGCACCATCTGCGTCTCCTGGTTGAATGGCCCATTCGCGACAGACCCAAAATGAGGTGCTAAAGTAGGAATCCGAGCAATCGGCCAATCCAGCTTGACCAGCTTGATCTCGACCTTGCCAGTCTGCGGATCGCGAACCAGAACCCGGCCTCCAATGCCAAGATCACGATCCCACCAAGTTGGGCCCAGGCCACCGGCATACGGAGCGACACCAAGCTGCTCAAAGCCTGCCTTGTTGGGCACCTTTGATACGGGCTTCAGCTTGGCTGTCAGGGCATCAACGTGACCAGCCACAATGGCCATACCATTGCCACTCTGGTAGTCTTGGCCAATGTTGAACGCGATCAGCGAGCTGCCATTGCGGCTGCAGTAGAACTTGCCGCCTCGCTTCAGCTCGGAGGTCCAGGCCTTGCGCTCAGAGAGATACTTGTAGCCGTGTTGCTCCAACTGCTTGGAAAATGACTTCACAGCATGGAAGATTGTCGGGTTGGAAGTCATGAAATCGCAGTACGGTTTCGAGTAGTCCTCGGGGCGGATCTCACCGGTAGGAGTTGGCGGAGCCGAGGCCTGGGGAACTGGAGGTGTAAAGGGATCCGGCAGCTGGGCAGACAGGTGGGAAGCCCATGGCCGGTCGAGGCCAACGGTCGGAGTGGGTTTTCTGGTCATGATTGTAGGTGCCGGGGAGAGTGAGTGAATGAGTTTGTTTCTAGAGTATTAGAGAACAGATTGAAGGTTGGTCGTGAGGGGAAAGCAAGGAGGCTGGGTGGCTTATCGATAATGATAAGGATAAGGGCTGCTATCACGCCGGTCTAGGATCGACTATAAACGTAATCATAATGACTGTAGCAATCAGTCAGATCAGATCCCATCAAATATGAGTAGTAGATTTAGAGTGACCATAGGAGCAAATATATACCTACACGTTAGCAGAGAGCAGGAGAGGCTCTGAAGCGAATGCAACGGATATATCTATTATGACACACCAAAAAAGCAGCCATAGTGTTAAGCAGGTATAAATTTGTGTCAATTACGGACCATGACTGGTGTGGAGCGATTTTAGATATTTACCGCGAGGCTTAGCTTGCAGAAAGAGGACCGAAGGTTATAGAGGCTTCTACTAGGGTCGTTTCGTGGTATAGCTAAACCAACCTACCTCAAAGAGACTATTTCTAAGGGTGAATTACTAGCAGCCCGAGGGATTCAGCCGAATGCTCCGTTGACGAAGTTGACCACATCGACTCAACCTCGCAAAGTAGGTGCCGACAAGGCCGGAATCTTCCTCCCCCCAAACAGCTACCAAAGGACCAGAGCTCTTAGGCAGAGAACAAGAATCCGGCACAGGCTTAACCCTAATTATGACCAACAAACAGCCAAGACCACCAACAACACAAATGGCGTCATTTCTATATCCCAATCGGCCCGTATGAGCGCATTTCAATCCGTTATTCGGCATGAAGATGAGCAGAAATGTCTAGCCTCCCCACTGATTGATAAAAACCCATCTGTTGGGGGGAGGGGAGGCAAGAGCCAAGCCAATCCACCACGAGAAACGGGCAGTGAACTCCGAGACCCAACTGTCCCTAAGGTCGTATGGACGCCATTTGTGCCTTCTAGCATCATCGATCCGCAAGAAGTGGACCACAGTCCACTTGACGGCCCAAAGGAGTAAGTCTAACGATCTGATAAGCACCGGAATTAGGGTCTGCCGGACTGCATAGATTTTCTCGGTGCTGTCGATCCATCCTCTCATTGTGGACGAAACGCCATTGGGGAGAAATTCTGGGACCAGCTTGATCGTCTTGATTGGCTGCGGGTCATTTCTCTTTAGTAATGGAGCGGAGATCGGAGCGAAGGGGGGTTGTCAGGGGGGTTTGGAGGGCTGCCTTCTATGGATGGGACGCAGCCGACTAACTCCGCTGTGGGAGTGAGTAAGGAAAGCTATAATAATAGATGGCTAATGGAGATGCCATTATGTATGTAGTTTTATGGTTGAGACATCCACTCCTAGTGGATAGGGTTAGGGATGACCGCCGAAACCGGACCGTCCGTTCTCCCGCTCCTTTTCCTCCCGGACTAAAAGATCAGATAAGAGCGACGATCTGATAATTCTCCCTCTCATTCCTCCCCTCGATTTCTTAGACTCGGTTTCCCTCCCATCATTATTCTTTTGGCTTCCCCCCTTACCATCTACGAGACTATACTCTCCCGCCTAGCAGGATTTGCAGAGAGTTCCCAGGGTATTTCTCCCCCTGCTGCTCTCTGTGCGGCTACCTCGCTTGCCGGCTTCCGAGCGCAATTCCGAACGTGACCGACCGCATCGTGCGTCCGCCCGACTCACCCACCACCCAACCCAGCCCATCCATGCTGACCATAATCCAGCACCTGTTACGACCATAAGGCTCTAGTGTAGTCATGGCCACTACAGGCGTGTCCATCACGCCTGCTCCTGTGGCCGCGGCACTCCCACCGTTGGCCCTCGCACCGGCGCCCTCTTTAGCCTCCAAGGCACCATCTGCAGCACCCTCGCCGGGACCGGCCACTCCCGGCTCGGTAACTTCCAAAGAATGGGTGATTCCACCCCGCCCCAAACCAGGCCGGAAGCCTGCCACGGACACGCCGCCCACCAAGCGTAAAGCCCAGAACCGGGCGGCTCAGAGAGCGTTCCGCGAACGCCGCGCTGCCCGTGTCTGCGAACTCGAGGAGCAGATCAAGGAGATCGAAGACGACCACGATAATCGTGTGGCCGAACTGAATGAGAAGATTGGCAATCTGTCGCGAGAGGTAGAACAGTGCCGTGAGGAGATGAATTGGTGGCGGGACCGATCCCATGCTTTGGAGAAGGAAGTGTCCATCGAACGAAGCGCCAAGGAGTCTCTCGTGAGAGAATTCCGCTCCTCCCTCGCCGGACCTAATGCCGGAAAATCCTCGACCATACCAGACTCTGTGCCTTTGCCGCCACGGTCGCGTCCTTCGACGCGGGGCTCCCGCATGGAAGACGTGCAACCGACCAGCCCTGACCACAACAGGAAAGAAGGACAAGAGAACGTCCCTTTGGGATGCAGCAACTGCTCATCGACACACTGTCAGTGTATTGAAGATGCTTTTGCCATGCCCATTGACTCGCACGCGTCCTCTCACTCGAAGTACCCGCCTCACGGTGTGGGCAGTGCCAACACCGAACCCGACATCAAGCCGGACCCGGAGGAGATGGAGATTGATTTTACGTCTCGCTTTGCCGCTGCTCCTGCTCAAACAAGTTTAAGATCCAACAACTCCAACTCCACCTCCAACTCTAACAATAACAATAACAACAACAACACATCTTCGCCACCTGTCGACCCCTGTGGGTTCTGCCAGGATGGCACGCCATGCATCTGCGCCGAAATGGCCGCACAGGAACAGACCCGCGGCCGGCACAACTCCTTCGAGAACCCGCGTCTCGCACCCATCCAGTCTCTCTCCCAATTTACACCTCCCCCATCAGACGGTGACGTCCGCTCCGAAGTCACCCTCCCACCAATCAGCCAAGCGACCAACCCCTGCGCCAACGGCCCCGGCACCTGCGCCCAGTGCCTCGCTGACCCGCGCAGCACCCTTTTTGCAAAACGCTGGCAGCTTCCAGGTCAGCGAGCGGAACTCCAACGGGAGGAGGCTGCTGCGGCGGAAAGGGAGCGGACGGCGGCTGTTGCATGTCCCGCAGCAGCAATGCCCCCGCCACAACGACCACCAACCGTAACAACCCGGCGACCATCCCTGCGCTCGCTGCCGCCTCCATGTCTGCTTCGCCGTCCCTAACCCTGACCTGTGCGGATGCATTCACCACTCTTTCTCGGCACCCGAACTTCTCGCGTGCAAGCGATGACATTTCCACCTGGCTGCCTAAGCTGAATACCCTTCCTAACCCACGCGACCTCCCTGTGGCACCAGATGGTCGCGATCGCGCCGCGATGGAGGTCGAGGCTGCTAGCGTGATGGGTGTGCTACGCTACTTTGACCGCCGATTTGCCGAGAAATAGAGTTGTCGTTTCCTTTTCTTTTCTTTCTGTTAAGCCTGTCCATTCCTTGTTCAGGTGTTTTGATACCCGCACATCGACTATCCCTGCTCCATCAGACGGTCGCGTTTCGTTCTTCCTTCTACACCCTTCATTGAACCTCCGTTTCTTCAACATTAAACACTCACCTTTCATCTATCCTCCAAAAGCACCATTGCTTCCCTTGTTTCCCGCACCAATTCTGACCGATATGAACATGGTCTGCAGTCGGTTCTGTGGTGGTTCTACCGGTTTGGCCCCTTAGACGGATGGTTTGATTTCGGTGGCGTTTTGTTTGATTGGTTATGTATACAATTTGTTTTTGATGAATGGAATGATACTAAGTAGATTTCTCTACAGTATTCTGGTAGTTCCAAGTTATATGCTAGATGTTGCTAGAACCAATACCAACATCGGGAAGAGCTAAATCGCCGACATCAGAAGACACGCACAGTTGAAAGCTGTCATGCCAATTCTCTGAAGGCGATACCAGCATGGCTGACCACGCCTGGTTGAGTCACTCACTGTCGCCGAATCATCCGTTCAGAAACCTCACCAGGCGTCGTACGGTTTCCATTTTAGGCTTGTTGTTGGCGGCGCCGGATCTTATGCATTGGCGCTTTCCTCCTCGAGCCTGACCCTGTATGATGTTGCTGCTCGACACACCACTTCTTATTCGCTACTCCCCTCTTTCATAGCCTAGGTGCATGTTTGCTACGCACTTGTATAAAGTCTTCTTCTGATCGGTTTGCCACCTGGGAGGACTAGGAGTGAGGGAATAGCGCTTGGAGAGAGAAGGGAGAGAGATTTATATTATATACAGAGATAGATACACGCATCCAGTTCCGGGGTATAAGAAGAAGAGAGACACGGGGAAAACAATACATGAGCGGCGTGGCAGGTCGAAGACCACATCTCCCAACCCTCCTGATCTCGGGATACATGAGAAAAGCACAAACGTACTTTTTTTTTGTAGAATCAATAGGGGCAGGAACCAATTAGAAAACAAGTATCCTCGTCACTCACAGACATTCCTGAAAGAAACAAATCCGGTTTTATACAAAGGTCGGATCAAAAGCGGCCACCGCTCGCGCGGCCATGTCCGCCTTTCATCGTGACTTCTTCTTCACTGCCACCGGCCACCCCACCGAGCAGGCTTGCGCCCCAAATGCCAGCAATTCCCCACATCCCAACACGCCAGCCACGGTATAGGCCCTCGATGCCTTGTCCCTGCTGGCGTTTCTGGAGGTGCTGGGGCGCAGATCTGCCGAGAAGCTCATGTGCACGCGCAGCCTCGGACGGGGTGACACTGACGCCTTCCTCGTGGACGATGTGCCACATAGTTCCAATAATGCCGCGGTAGGTACGCGGGGTGGGGATGATAGTCTCAACATCGGACGCGTCGAATGAGGCATTGCTAATGCTGCCGCCGGCAGATTTCTGGCGTAGACTCAGCGAGGTGTATGTGGCAATCTGGGCGCGGCGGAGGACGGTCTCGAGAGGAAATCGCACGGCGAGCTCGAGACCGGAGCTGAGGAAGGTGAAGAGGTTCCACATGGACGGGTGGAGAATGGGGTCAATTGAGAGGTAGGATTTGAGAAAGAGTGGGGTCGAGGTGGTGATGAAATTCGGTAGGCTGGAGTGGAGGACGGTGATGGGGACGAGGTGCGGTGGGATGGTGCAGTTGGGAGTGGGGAGCTGCCGGATGGCGCGAATAAGTGACCGAGGCCCGTGTGTGGCCGGTGTGAGCATTAAGAACGTGCGCGCCGTGTCGATTGGGGAGAGGAGCATGGCGGAGAGCGAGGATGAAATGAAAGAAAGGACGAGTGTTGCCATGGGCGAGGCCGCAGTCAGGATGTCGGCTGCCATGGACGAGGAGATGTCCTCTTCCGGAAGACCCACGATGGCGGACAAAAGGCTCCGGATGAATGTGTTGAGGGTGGGCAGGAGGAGCGAGTAGATAAAAGTCGCGTTGGAGGCCTTCCAGGGGGAGGTTGGTCCGCCGCTGGTCCAGAGCTGGGAAAGCACCTCCATCAACGAGTTGGGGTTCCGGATCGTCAACGCATGTTTGGAGGACGAGGCCGAGTCCGGTCGAATATAGCCGCTGCGGTCAGTGATGCGGTGCCGTGCCCGGCGTGACCGCGGTGTCCGCGTTGGTGTTGACGGCGCACCGGAGGTAAAGTAACTGCTCTCATCGTCGGACGATTCTGGTTCCTGTGGGCAAATGTTAGTTTCTGTGCTATATCAGCATGCGGAACAGACCATACCGAGTCGTAATCACTTGGTCGAGAGCCTGGAGTCGATCTCGGATCGGACTCCCCCTCGTCCGTTGCATCGGGCGTGACGTACACCTGCAGAATCGTTTTGGCGACATCGAAGGGCTGCGCCGTCAGAACGTGCGTATAACGAAGGAGTGCCCGATTCAGCACATCCCGAGCCCAGTCGGACACGGATGATGATGAGTCGAGGTAGTCGCCATAGTCCAAGTCTGGGACGAGGTCGCGCGCCGTGCTGCCAAACACCTGGGTGGATGACGCCGAGGTCACCTCGGTCGGGGCGTTGGCGGGCGATAGACCGGAGGGAGGGATATAGTAGGGCCGCAGGGGATTTATCCCTTCGCGAGACATGATGGGCTGGCGAGGAGGGGGGGAGGAATGAGGGATGAAGAGAGAGACGAAGAGGCTCGGGTTTAAAAAAGAGGTTGGGCAGTTTGTCCGGTTTGTCCGAGCTTTTTTCCTCCCGCAGCCAATGGACATTCACTCATTGCCTCTCCTCCGCCTCAGCTCTTCTTCTTCTTTCTCCATTCTATAACTAAACAATGGCCTTCTGGCGAGAAGTCGGCCTGCAACTACGCCATGCGAAATCCACAAATCGTTTGGCTCCATCGCGGAGATTCCTAAGTCAGTCGACACCATCATGGCGGACAACTCCGTCCAGTTCACGGAAAACCCTACAGCCCTCGTGGCCAGCCCAGCGCTCGTTCACGGCCACCGCACAGTCTTCTCATGGTCACATTACGCCGCCAAAGCCCGGCGAGGAGTAAGGACGTCCGGAAATGCTATGTCTCGCGGGTCATTAATGATTCACAGGATCAATGTATCCTTCATCGATAAGGACGGCACGAGGATTGACCTTCAGGTCGCGGAAGGCGACAACCTACTAGACATTGCGCAAGCAAACGATCTGGAGATGGAAGGTGCGCTGAAAGAATTCTGGACTATATACAATTTCTAACCCATGATAGGTGCCTGCGGTGGTTCCTGCGCCTGCTCGACGTGCCATGTTATCGTGGAAGACCCCGACATGTTCGATAAGATGGAAGAGCCTTCCGATGACGAAAATGACATGCTGGACCTGGCCTTTGGACTGACGGAAACCTCTCGACTGGGCTGCCAGGTCCTCATGAACAAACAGCTGGATGGACTGGTCGTGCGGTTGCCAGCCATGACGCGGAACTTGCAGGCGAGCGACTTTGAGGGCAAATAAGGGCTGGAAACCCCCTAGAAAACATCTTATAGTCCATATGGGCTTTGTACTGTATCTGAGCATGCATCTAGCAGACTTGCGCAAAGATCGTGAATGAAAAATCTCCTGTACTATGTCACAAGCAATTATATCCATGAACGCCAGAAACATGCCACGAGAGAACATTATTGCATTATGCCTCCTCGATATTCAAGGGCTTTCCCTTCTTCCCATTGATCAAGTCCAGGAACCCCTGCTTGCTGACCTCGTTGACGGCCTTCTCCCGCTCTCCCATACCGACAGTCCCCTTCTGGCGCTCATCCTTGGCAGCCTCCTCGCCACGGACCTGGGCAGCGCGAACAGCATTGAACAGCTTGACCACACCCCGCTGGGCCATCTTACGCAGGCGCTTCTCCTCCTCCGTCACGGCGCCAGTCATGCCTCTTTCGATGCCCATCACGTCGCGCACACGGCCCCGATCCAGCTCTTCTTTCTTGTCAGCGCGCAGCTTGGCTCGTGCTTGTTGGTCGAGCTTTTCATTTGCCAAATCGCTGCTCGTCTGGGCAGCATTTCGGCTTCGCGAGAGGACGGGATCGGCTCGCGCAGCTGTAGGGAGTTTCGTAGACAGGATCTTGGAGATGGAGGTGGAGAATGCGGTAGGGTCGTTGCGCTTTGAAACAGATTTGCGGTTCGCCCCTGTGGCTAATGTTTCAGAGCCGGACGAGTCGTCTTCTCCAGATGCTTCGTCGTCCTCAACTCCCGCATCCTCTTCCTCTTCTTCCTCCTCTGCGCCGTCGCTGGAGCTTTCGTCGGATTGTTGTTGTGGGGCAGGCGCAGACTTTGCGTGCTTTTTTTTGGAGGGCCGAGCAGCTGTCGAGGCCTTTACGGCCACACCGCCATCCTCCTCTTGATCCGAATCCGCGAGAGAGACGGCGGGGAAATCGGCCTGTTCCTCATCCTCGTCGGAGCTGTGATACTGGGCTTGCTTGCGAAACTTCTTGGGGCGGCCAGTTTTGCCCTTGAGGCCATCGAGGACCTTGCGTTTCTTGGAAATGGAAGGAGGCATTGTGAGACAATGTCAAAGTGAAGCAGTGAGCGTATCAATCCAGTCAAACTGATTTTCCAACTTTTTTTTCTGGGCGGTGAAGGCGGTCAGAGTGCCGGCTCCCCGATTGGCCTCCACGCTTTCGCCTTCCCCCTCCACACTACCTACGGACACTCTTCACTTCATCGTCAATAACCCACACACTCAAACACGTACACCGCAGTCATGGTTCTCCAGGATCTGGGGCGGCGCATCAACTCCGCCGTCAATGACCTGACGCGGTCAAATAACCTCGACGAGAAGGTAATTGCATTTTGCAGATGTTCAATGCGGCCACACTAACTCTCGCCTCCTAGGCATTCGATGACATGCTCAAAGAGATCTGCTCTGCTCTACTCTCCGCCGACGTCAACGTGCGCCTTGTGGGATCTCTGCGCAAATCGATCAAATCCAGCGTCAATTTCTCCCAACTCCCATCCGCGGTGAACAAGAAGCGACTGATCCAGAAGACCGTGTTCGATGAGCTCGTGGCGCTGGTAGACCCGCATGCTGAGCCCTTCCGGCCGAAGAAGGGCCGGTCCAATGTGATCATGTTCGTCGGATTGCAGGGTGCGGGTAAGACGACGACATGTACCAAGTTGGCACGCCACTACCAGATGCGCGGCTTCAAGACGGCGCTTGTCTGTGCGGATACGTTCCGTGCTGGTGCCTTTGACCAGTTGAAGCAGAATGCGACCAAGGCGAAGATCCCTTACTACGGTAGTCTGACACAGACGGATCCAGCCCTCGTTGCGGCGGAGGGTGTGGCGAAGTTTAAGAAGGAGCGGTTTGATATCATCATCGTCGATACGAGTGGTCGGCATCGGCAGGAAGAGGAGTTATTCACAGAGATGACGCAGATTCAGACGGCGGTGACACCAGACCAGACTATCCTCGTTCTCGACAGCACAATCGGTCAGGCCGCCGAGGCGCAGTCCGCTGCGTTCAAGGCTACGGCCGACTTTGGTGCCATTATTATCACCAAGACTGACGGCCATGCGGCTGGTGGTGGTGCCATCTCCGCTGTCGCGGCAACGCACACGCCTATCATTTTCTTGGGAACGGGCGAGCACCTTATGGATCTGGAGCGGTTCGAGCCTCGCGCTTTTGTGCAGAAGCTCCTGGGAATGGGTGACGTCGCCGGACTCATTGAGCACGTGCAGTCCGTAACAAGAGATTCTGCCGCGACGAAGGAGACCTACAAGCACATCGCAGAAGGCATTTATACCATCCGCGATTTCCGGGAGAACATCACCTCCATCATGAAGATGGGCCCACTATCGAAGCTCTCCGGCATGATCCCGGGTCTGTCGAATCTGACTGCTGGCCTCGACGACGAGGATGGCACTCTGAAGCTCCGACGAATGGTCTACATTTTCGACAGCATGACTGCTGCAGAGCTCGATAGCGACGGCAAGGTCTTCGTCGAGAAGCCGAGCCGCATGGTCCGCATCGCCCACGGCAGCGGCACCAGCGTGCGTGAAGTGGAAGATGTGCTTTCGCAGCACCGCATGATGGCCGGTATGGCCAAGCGTGTCGGCGGCCAAAAGAAGCAGATGCAGCGCGCACAGAACATGCTCAAGGGTGGGAACAAGGAGCAGCAGCTTGCGGCTATGCAGAAACGTATGGCTGCCATGGGTGGTGCCGGTGCCGGTGGACTCGGCGGTATGCCTGGGATGGGTGATATGGCCAAGATGATGCAGATGATGGGCGGTGGCCAGGCTGGCGGTGGTGGCATGCCTGGTCTCGGTGGTATGGATATGCAGAGCTTGATGAGCCAGATGGGTGGGTTGATGGGCGGTGGAGGTGGTGGTGGCGGTGGCCGTGGACGTGGACGGTAGTTTCCTTTCTCGGACTCTGGCTGCTGTCGCTTTGCATCTGGACCGGTGTTGAGGCGTTTTCTCTATCTCGTACATTCCGTGTATCTTACAGCTCTCGATATATCTCATGCGGCTTTATCCTAAGCCTGGTACATGCCAACAATCTTATGCTGAATTGTGATTATCTCCATCCATCCACCTAGTCCAGTCTCTCCGTCTTCCAAATCTTCTCTAACATATCATAGGATAGATCTCTCGCCTTCAGCGCCGTACACTTGCCCAACTCCTCTGCCCTTCCAATGGCATTCTGAGCAAGCACAATCCACCCCGCAGGCAAAACATTATCCTCCAGCACCCTACCAGGCGGGAGTCGTGAAGCAGACTTAGTAGTACCGGCACCAGCGCCGCGATCAAGCGGCATGCTGAGCTGATACCTCCAAACGACATTCCCATCCACGTAAAGCGAGTACGTGAGCACGGAGGCGCGTACAGAACCAGATTTTGAACCCAACTCATCAAGACCATCTTCAATATCAATCAATCCGAACTTACTGTTCCCATCGGGAACATACTTAACCGCCACGTCCTGGTCGTCCGTTTGGTAATACGACCGAATGGGGAGGTAGAACATGCTCAGCGGACCGACGCTGAACTCATGGACACCTAGCCCGGCGCCCTCAGCAAAATCCAACGGAGTGAGGTTATCCAGCGATGGATCTGGGAAACGCGTAGCCCCAAACTCATGGCGGTCGCCGCTGAGAAGGACGACACGGATACCGAGCTCGCGCTCTGCACGCCAGATTGCCTCGAAGACCGTGCGGCGCTCGTCCAGGAACCCGCCCCATGTATCTGCCGTGCCGACGCGCCAGTTCTTAGTGAATGGAACGCTAGAGGCGACAAATTTCCAGCGCACACCTACCGGCTCCGGCGTAGACAGGTATGCAAGGAGAGACTGGAGCTGTGCCGAGCCCAGGATGGTAGAGTTCTCCTGCGCCGGTTCGGAACGGTACGTCCGCGTATCCAGCATAAAGAACGAGGCCGGGCCATGCACGAAAGAGAAGTATGTTACCTCGTCCGGCGGCGCGAAGGCATTCCGCGGGATGGGCGGGTTCGCGCGCACATGGTAGTGGATGAAGGGGTCTGCGGCGGCGGGATACGGCGCCGTCTTGTTTCCGGCGGACCAGTCGTTTTCAATCTCGTGGTCGTCTAGCGTGTGGATCCAGGGGAGGTCGAGGGCGCGGGATTGGTTGGCCGCTGGGGTGATGGTCCAGGACGGGGAGGAGTATATGCGGCGGTACTCGCTGCGGTAGTGGGACATGGAAGAGCCAAAGCGGAAGGGTACATCGATGTAGATGAAGTCGCCGAGGAAGAGCATGAATGCTGGCCGAAGGAGAGTGGGTAGTTTGCTTAGGGCTGCACTCATCCGCTCGATGCCTGGGACGCGAAGCGGATGAGATAAGATGTTGTATGGGAAATTTGGTTTTAGGCAACTGGATGTAACGAAGCTCATTCGCGTAGCTGCTAAAGAGCCTGGTTTCGGGGATGTGACGAAGGAGCCAGTCTTGTTGTTGGACAGCGAGTAGCGGTAGTGCGTGGCTGGCTTAAGCTTCTTGAGCGTCACGGCAGCAGTGAAGTCGGTGCTATTGTCTAGCTTGTATATTTTGCCTTCTTCCATCCAGTTTTTGGCGGCCTCTTCTTGGTAGGAGACCACCACGGGCCATTGGGCTGGGTCCGGTTCACGAAGGAGCAGGTTGGCTGTGGTTGGGGAGATATAGCCAATGCGCGCAAAGGACACGTCGTTAGATGGGTAGAGAACCAATCCCCGGATTAAGAAGTCCAGAGTCAGTAATGCCAGTAGCACGTTGACCAGAGCAGTTGTCCACGTCAGTGCCTGGGAGCGAGCTGAAGGCAGACCTGTCAACAGGGTTTTCAGCGCGAAATCACTGTGTTTGGCCTTGACAGACGTGGATGGAATTTCTGCAAGAGCTTAATTAATATGAGAACATCATCTGTAGAAATGAGTTGACATACGGGAAGCGCATTTGCGAGTTTTCTCCTTGCGGCCATTCTGGCCACAGTCGTCTCGGAGCAGCGAGAAGAGGGTCGAGAGATACACCGCTAACGAGGTGAAGACAATCGGAACAAAGTGATGACCAGGAATCTGGAATGTATGGTCAGCAGTGATCAATCATTAATGACCTGGGGTTGGTGCGGACGTACCCATCGCAGAAAGATGAAGGCTATCAGTCGGAGGGTCGCCGAGCTGGTAGCGGCAGTGACTCGCCGCAAGGACGTCATTGTTCCAATTCAGCTAATTGCTGAACATCTGCAATAATTATCACAAGCCTTGTCTACACTCCGAGCCCGTTCTGGCGCAGAACTGTGTGTGTTGCAGAAAGGGTCCTTGTCTGTCGTCGTTTGTTTTGCCCTGGCGACTATGACATCATTCATTCTCCGGCTTCATCCACCACTACTTCTTCACAATCAAAACAAACTGATGACTGGGAAGCTGGGATGTAAATATGGTCAGCCATCGCTAGATAGATGCTGCACTACTAAAAGAAGGGAAAGTCGTGATTGGGAACACTCTGTTTACTCAAAAGTAGTGGACATGCTAATTTGGGCGTCGGGCAAAGCGGCTGATCGAAGTGCCGATGGAAAAGGTGTTCGATTATTGGGGAAGATCGATGAGATCATGGTTCCCACAGGGCAGTGGAATGGTGGAAGAGGGAGGTGAAAGGAAGACAGAGAAAGCGCTGGTGGACGGGAGACGTGAGGTTTTATACTGCCTAGGTCCTAGGTATCTATGGCAATCACGACCCCTGCCCCTGGTTCATCATATCCCGCAGGAGATTCGCCAGACTATCCGCCATCGGCCCTTCCGTCAGTATCTGTCGTGCTGCAACAACCACATCTTTCATGCCCATACTCAGGCACATCTCCGTCGCCCACTGCCACGGCTTCTCCCGTTGCCCCGGCAGGGCATTGTAATACTCCCAGCCCATAACCCCACCAAACGTCGGGAACTGCTCAATCAGCATCGCCAGAATCGGCCCGAGCTTCTCCCCCGGCACGTAGCCCTGCGAACCATTACCCGGGTTCGTCAACAGCCCAAACACCACCCGCCGCGGCGCCCAGCCCTGCGCAATCATCATGGCGTACATGCGCGGATCATCAGCGGGACCCCAGCCATTGTAGAACTGGGTATTGTACCAGCTAATCTTCGAGGCGCGAGCCTGCTCGAGCTCGCGATAGTCGAACCCCGAGAGATTGCCTAAACCCAGTAAAGCTGCGGCGACCGGCGCGAGGGTGATGATAAATGAGTCGCCCAGATCAGCCTTCAGGCGATCGATCAGCCGGATGATGCCGGACAGAGACATTTCCTCTTCGACATCGAGATCGAGGCCGTCGAGTCCATGGCGCCGAATGACGGCCAGTAGCGGGCTGTAGTACCGCTCGAATTGCTCCTGGTCGCCGTCTAGGCGCTGGAACGAGCCCGGCGCCGCGCCCCCTAACATGCCCATGACTTTCACGCCGGTCTGTTGGAGATGCGGCACTTCCGCCCACAGGGAGTCGTGGCAGGTGTCTTCGGGGGGGTCATTGTTTAGAGTGATCCTGTTTGGATCTTCGTTGATGTGGAATGCCGCAATGATGATATGTGTGATCCCCGTGTTGTTTTGCAGCAGCGGGCGCATGGAGCAATATTGTCCGCCAGGGATGATGGTTTGGTGGTAACAGATGATTCTCCGGGGCTCCCATGGCCGGCCGGGAATAGGTGGCATATTAGTTGATCAAGGGGGAGAGAGATGTATGTATAGAAAACAGAAAGAGAGTCAACGATCGGACGTGCGGGATAAGTCGAAGGCTAAAGTTGGCGATAAGCCGGGGGCGGGGAAGGAATGGCAACAAGAATTGCAGAGACAATCAGTTACAAGTACTTCATGAATATCGAATACGGAGTAGTTTTACCATGATCGATTTATCTTCAATAATACAGGCCATTCGTGCAATTAATTATAGCGGGGACCTATAAACGGCTCTATGTTTACGGATTGATTTAGGAGGCTGATCGAATGTCATCTCGTCCAGAGAAATTAGGACCCTGGATAGCGGCGTTGGAGAATGACATCAAAATTAAGGCGTCGGGTTGCATCCCCGGCGAATAGCAGTCCTGCCAGCCCTATCGCTGGCGATTTGCAATGAAATCGACAGTTGGTTAGCAAATGATGAACGGATATAACGGACCCATAGAAGCCATTGAAGCAATCTAGGCATTCGATCGCCTATCGAGGACTTGCGGGAGGCAATAACGAGTAGCCCCGGGAGAATATAAGAAGGCAACGCAAGGGCAACATCTTCTCATAGCCATACCTTGCCGTACAGCCCTAACGATGTCGCAATTTCTTATCCGTCTACAAAACATCGGGCGACGCAGTATCGCCACTACAGCGCACCCACAGTACCCCGAACACCATCACCACCCGAATCCAGGCAATTTTGCCAATCGGCCACGCGCAGAGCTATCAGAAATCGGCCATCACGGTGGAAAGAAGGGTGGCAAGGCGCGCGGTGGATTTCATGATATGGACCCAGAGAAACAGCATGCTATCGCGTCCAAGGGTGGGCGTGCTGCGAAGAAGGCGGTGATAGAACAGGAGAGGGCTGCGCGAGAGGTGAAGAGACAAGGACGCTCGTTCAAGCCGTCGGTGGTGCCTCCGGGATTTGAGGAGTGGAAGACATGTGCGTAATATGATACAGAGCGGAATGAAAGAAGGTTATGCGGTAAGAACACTATTTGGGCGTCGAGAGTGAGTAAACACGGATGCCTGATAAGGCACCGACGCGCGGTTATCTTCTTCTCTTTGTTGACCCTCGATAATAATCCTCCCAGAATTTCCTCGCCCCATAACTATCCGATCGCTGAGGATGGTCGTTCGCTAGCTATCTTCACCGCGTAATTACCCTCCACACCGCTCGCTCTGCAGTCCTTCCTACATCATCCCCAATCTGAAACGCGTCCGCCATCATGGCCAACGCCGGCTATACCTCGCCCTTCCCGACCTCCCACGACACCATCGGCCAGTCCACACTCGCCACGCCGCTTTTCATGCCATCTTCTCCTCCTCAGAACGCCTCAAGCCGGACTGCCGAATCTCCTTTCCGCTCTGACAGTCCCCAGCGCGTCCCCACAGACGGCGAAAACAACGGCCAAGATCGTGACGATGGCGACGCGCATCACTCCGACAATGAGCTGCAGCACCGATCACGTCCGGAAACGCCTGGAAGCCCCTCGGGCTCGGATTTGGATGCCCGTCTCGCCGGTTACACCTTGGATTTCAGTCGTTTCCCCAGCGGCCAATTCGGCGCAGACACGCGGCCGCTGCCGGAGTTGAAAGATGACGCGGGTGATAATCTGTCCGAGGTCGGTGGACCGGAGGACTTCACCGCGAATATGGAAAAATACCTAATGGGCGAAGACGAGGAAGCACCTGCCACTGTCAAGGCAAGCTTGCGACAATCTATACGGTCACAACAACATGACATTGAGGATGAGGCAGACTCTAGTGGCTACAGTGAGTTTGGTCCTCCAGTCGATATGTCGACTCCGTCGCATCTTCTGCACGGCGGCAGCGCTTTAACAAGGGACTCAGCCCATCTCGAGGACATCGAAGAGGAGCCGAGGTCGCCCTCTGTCCGGAAGCAATCAACAACATCGAGCCAGGCAACGGGTGACCGAGAGGAGGGCCTACGTCAACGGATCGCAGAATTGGAACATGCTCTACAAGACCGTGACGAGAAACTGCAGAGGAACCGCAGACGAGTACTCGAGGCTGCCTCAGCTGGCGAGCAGATCCGGCACCTTCAAGCTGAACTGCAGCGCAAGACCGAGCTTCTGGACAAAGAACTTGCCAAAGGAGGTGACGAACCACCTTTGCGACAGTCGACAAACGGCTCTGATTTAACAGGATTACAACAACAAGTACGGACGATGCAGCAACAGCTGCAGAACCGGGATTCGCAGAAATCCCTGGACGCCGAGCGTTTGGAGACTATTGCACACCTGCGCCAACAACTCAACCTGACCCAAGAGCAACTGCGGAAACGAGACGCTACCCTTGATGATACAGTTGCAAAATTGAGAGAGGTTACTCGGGCAAAGGAAGTGCAGCTACAGCAGAAAAATACCGAGATCGATGAGCTCAAGGCTCAGATGGATGATCAAGCTTTGGAGAATGAGAAGCTGGAGAGGGAGGTGGACCGCATTGACACCGAATACCACGACCTTGAAGAACGCTTCACCGAACTGGAGGACAAAAACCGACCCTTGGAAGAGAAGAACCACACGTTAGAGGCCGACCTCACCCGCGTGCAGTCCCGCATGTCCGCCCAAGAAAGTGCCCTCAAAGCTGCGGCTGCCGATCTGCCTGATGCGGAGCGCAACACCTATACTGAAATCCTCGATCTCATCAAGGACTTGGGTGTGAATAGTCCCCCCGAATCTCCCATGAAAGAAAACTTTTCCCACGGACAGGACGTACCACTGCGCCAGGAGAACATGCGGCTCGAACAGGAGCTCGAGGAGACCAAGGCAGCCCAAAAAGCTGCCGATGCGGAAGTCAGCCGGCTACGAGATCAAGCGACTGAAGCGCAAACCTTGATCAAGACTATCGAGGCAGAGAACTCGCGGCTCGCTGGCAAAGTGGAGGAGCTTACCATCGGCCTCAGCAATGCCCAGCACGAGCTCACCCAGACAAGGGAAGAACATGCTGAATCTTTGGAAACCATCGCCCGCCTCCAAGAAGACAAAACCCCCAGCCACCCAGCCCTCCCCTGACACCTGCTACAGCTCGCAACACCGCCAATCCGGAGCAGCACGGAGGACCGGCTTCAGACCGGGAAGCGTCACACCAAGCCCAACTCCGGAGCCTACAAACCGCGCACTCCACCGCTATCACGACCCTCCGCTCCTCGCACGCAGAGTCTATGCGCAAGATGCGCAACCTCCTCACAGCGGCGGAGCAGCGCGAAGCCGAACTTCAAGCCGAACTAAGTGCTATGCGCATCACATCCTCCGGCCAAGAATCCGAGCTGCGCCGCTCCTTCAAGGCAGAAATCAAGCGCCTTGAATGCATCATCGCCGCGAAAGACGAATCCGCCGCAGCTGTGGACCAACGAATTGCGATGTCAGTCGACCGGCGCGAGCGCGAGTGGGAGCGTCGCATACAGTTACTTCTCAAGGAACGGGATCGTATGGGTAAAGCTCTGCTGCAGGCTTGGGGGGAGAAAGAATTGGGGAAGGGTGCCAGTGCGTTATCTGATGGGAAAGAGAAAGAGAACCGGAGGAGGGATGCGGATCGGGGAGATGTGAAGCAGGGTCAGGCGTATCGGTATAAGTACGCTTCTAAGCATCAGTCTCGGAGTGGCGAGAACAAGGCATAGCATTGTGTTTTTTCGTGTCGTTCGATTTCCTTTAATGGGTCTACGGGTGGGATTTTGGGTGTTTACGTCTGTGAATGACCTGGCGTTTCTTCAATTTGATTTGGGGGGGGGTTGCATGTATCTCGGACTGACTTCTGGCGCATTGTGCTTCTTCGCGTTGGCAATAGATTAACTACCACTGGACGTCCTCATCGTCTTCTATCTGAACTAGTCAACCTTGCGTGCAACGTCAATAGTCTTTTACGGCATACTTTCGATCCAGGTAGTGTAGTCAATACTGGTCTCTGATTTCAAACTATCCATGGTAAACCTGAAATGACAGTCAAGCGCAAAAAGAAAACAAAAGCAAACAAAGGAAAACAAGCAATGCATCCAAGTCATCTAAGCTCTCGTTTTTCTCTCCAAATAAAAAGTCCCTATCGTTCCAGCCCGCTGACCTTATCCAAGCAAAAAACAAGAACGAAACCACCTCGCAAGATGTCTGTCCGGCAGACTTCTTCTACCAACCCCAGCGCAAGCATATTAGTAAAAGCCCAAGCTGGTGCGGTTCGCGCCACGGTATGTGCGCATCGCATCGGCAGAGGCCGAAAGCTGGGACTCATCCGCCGAGGCGCGTGGCGTAGAGGTTGACTCCATGATACAGCTCAGCGGGCCGACACCTCCTGTAGCACCGTATGTGGTGCTTCGCGGTCTACGGGTGCTTGGATAGATGACCTCGACGTCGTTACGGCGGGGGCAGCTGCAGCGGGAGGCATCGGGAAGACGGGGATGGATCCGGGGGCTGGGACAGCACGACTAGCATCGAAATGACGCTGGGATTGAACTCGTCGGCGCGCGTCCGGCATGTAGTGCGGCGGTGGGTTGTGCTGGCTCTGGGTGTGGCGCGGGATTAGAGTGTGGTCGAAGGGATAGGCGCTGCTGCTGCCGCGCATGAAGTGTTGGGGGGGTGGTGATAGGGTGCTTGGACGAAGGCTGTTGTTGCACGGGTGCTGCTGCGGGTCATGGCTGGGTCCATCTGGACTGTGCCGTTCTGGTGCCTCCAGGCTAGGGAGTATGTTCGTGCTGAGAAGGTGGGTTGGGTTTGGGTTTGGGGGTTGGCTGGGTGTCCGGGAATGTAGTTTGGGTGGTGGGGGTGGTGGATTGAGCGCGCTGCGAGACAGGCTGTTTGGGATCGTTTGACGGTTGGCTTTGTCTCGGAGGGCACAACCTCTGGGGCGTCGGCAGAGTTCATGGTCATGGTTCGTTCGTTGCTGTCGGGGAGAGCGGTTAGGAGCTGGGCCTTCGAATCGGCATCGTTTCGAGCTGGAGTAGCAGGCGTATCTGAAGATGTCTGGATAGCCTGATGCACCGTGGAGCTGGAGCGACTGTGCGGCGCAATTGAAGGTGTGGCCACTTGTTTCTCGACATCTGAAGCAGCGTTGGGATCGGCTAGAGCGCGGATCTGAGGGTCGAGAGACAAAGGGAGGAAGAGTGGAAAGGCTTTTGGCAAGAACCGTCTGAAGGATGAGACGGAAGACTTTCCCCTCTTGTGCTTGGTAGTGTACTGCTCCGGAATTGCTGGCACCTTGGGCACACTAGTTAGACCAGAGATCAAGCCTCGAGATTCGGATGCGGTTGGCGATATCATAATGGTGGACGTGCGTGAGATCGGGTACATTTCGCTAACGGCACTTTGACCGCCAAGGGAGATATGCGAGAAGTTCTCGTCGGGCGACACGGTCGTACCAGAAGGGACAATTTCACCACACTCGGAGCCAGGATCGGTGTTGAGGTGCAGCTGAGGCCGCAGACGAACCGGGGCAGGCTGGCGGATGCTTGGATGGCAGTTCACTTTGGCTGCCAGAGGATCCGGCGACCACCACTCTCCCTTGATTGTGCCGTCATGTTGGCGGCATAGATTCAGGATCTCGTTCTTGAGGGTCTCATCGCTATCCCAGCTGTGCCCGGAAAAGACGCTGTCGTCTCGCAATGTCGGCTGTCGTGTGTAAATCCCAATGAGTGAAATGTCGTATGGTCGCTCACAGAGCTCTCTTGCACAGTAGATAGTGCACACAGTTACCCTGATAACGATTAGTTTGTGCTTCGTTGACTCGAGGTTGTACGACATACAAAGAAACAACAGACACCACCACCGAAGCTCGATGTAACGAACAACCAAGACCAACTCGCCACAGGCCGGCGTCGGTTCCATCTCGGAGACAGTCGGCCTGCTGAGCGACGATGACGAGGCCGGATACGCTTGTTGCTAGCCAGGCCATGAGGTCCAGGCGGTAGACATAGGTGCAGAGATTGTGTAGCACCGTCTTCTGGGTACCAAAACCGCCAATCTTATTGTACTGCCAGGCAACAAGACTTTGTAATCCAGCAACTGGGATCGAGAGAAAAGACTGAAGACAGGTTAGTGAAAGGCCCTGACTGGGGGAATATTGGGATACCATACCGCAACCAGAGCCAGAACAACGCTCACTGTCATCTTTGAATCCACCAAACCTTTGCCATATAGGTAGAGCACAAGCACCCATTCCACGATCGATTCCAGGAGTAAGGCATAAAGCGCAACGAAGATCACCAACTTGGTCCAGCTGCCCTCTTTCCGCGGCGTGGCTGAGAAACCCGAAGTCATAGTTGCAGATCTTGATGGAACACACAGGCGAGGCGAGCTGTTGGACAGCCTCACCGCTGCTCCGCTATCGCGGCTCGCAGGCTTGGTTATAGACGAGTGTGGAAAGCGTGAAACTTTTACGCACTGCTTGAGGACCGACAGCAAGTGAGGAAATTATGTGTTCATATGCGACGTGAGTAATTCAGTGAGCAATTCAAAGTTAACAATCAAGCCTGGACGGGTTTGGAAGGACTAAATGTGGATTTAATGGCAGCATTCGCTCAGGGAGCGCGTCGACGCGAATAAGGTAGGCTGGAGGGGCTGGAATGCATCCTCCGAGGGGCGGGCATGGGAAAGAATCCAAGCTACGAACATGGCCCGAGCGAGGACTGGTCCACTGAGCTGGAAAGTAAATGATCCGACTGATCGACCGGAATGCCAGACTAGAGGAGCTGCCAATCGCTTTAAGGGATGTGTTTGCTGTGTTGCACGTATCCCTGTGGATCTGGCTTTCGCTACACGTCACTTCGTTTCAAATTCGGAGAATATGAACACTGGAGGGGGCTCCGGAATTCTGTCGTTCTGTCATTTTTTTGGTTCTGTGCAGCATGGTAGGGCTGTCCTTGAGGGTCACCAGGCTCGGTTTGGATGGCGTTGTCCGCCAGGGAGAGCAACCTGAACCCCTGGAAAGCTCCGTCGAGAAGTCAACTGTCATCATTGTACGCATCATGAATTTAGATGCGATAGGCTAGTATGAGCGATGTCGAGGGTGGAGGTCACTGCTTTATCTCTGTTTGTGGTCAAACACGAGTCCTCTTTCGGACCGCGCTCAGCCCTAAGACATGGCATCACGTGACTTTTAACCAGGGTCTCCCTTGACGGTTTAAATTGGGACGTAAGGATAAAAAGGCACGGAATGAATTTAAGTGCCTTCATGCCCTCCCCTGGGTCTTAACTGCGACATATGTAAAGCCGGGCACACAGGTTAATGACTATGAATGCAGTGTCACTGTCTTGCGATGGCCCTGGCTGTCTCTTTACAAGATGGAATGTAATCACTCTCCATGCCTGCAAATAACTCGCGACAAAGCGAGAAGATCTAGCACGGTCCATTCAGAATGTTTTTTGCTGCCTAATCAAACAAGGGAACATGGATGGCCTTGGACTAGCTGACGTATTCTCGTGCATAAAACGTCCTGCCCCGCATTTATTCAGGCCGATATGCAAAGCATTGAATTATGCTTATTACCAATTCTTTTGGCGGAGACGAAGGCTTATAAAAGTTAGGTCAGGTCTTGCAGACATGATAATCACGTTGAGTGGCACTTGTATCCCTGCTGGTGATCCAGGTCAACCAATCGTCAGGGAGAGGGAGTTGGGACTAATGTGCCGAGTATCACAATGACCTCTTGCGGAAAGACACGGTGCATCTCAGCGGGGAACCTAGCAGGAATGATCTAGTGGCTTTGTGCAACAATACGAAGTGCAGTCTTGCCCGTTCACCTAAAATATCCATAATAAATGTTTGGCTTTCCAAACGCTGAACTTTTCCTGGGAATGCATTGGGGGTTACTGCTCGGCACCAGTGAAACGTTAGTGCAACTACATTTCCTCCCCAAAAACGTTGAACATCTTCGGCCATCCAATACCCGTCCTATATGGATATGCAGCTGGCCGAAGGATCGCCCGTCCACCTCCAAGTTATGAACGTGCATATAGCATAACTATGTCCTCGAAGATTTAGCAGAGCTAGGATTCCCCTAGAAATACGAGGAAACCTCCATCATTTATCCTGCTCACATTCTATCTAAATTTTGGATCTGTCCACTATACGACTCATTTGGCGATGTTTCTTCTCGATCATCCTGATCCACTTGCCCTGTGTGGCATTCTACTTCTTAGTCCTCTATTGTTTCTTTGCTTTTATCCTTCACAGTCCGGTTTGCCTCTAATTAATCCCAAAAAAAAACTTGAGATCAGCGATAAAACCTCCAAAATACAGTTCGTCACGAATGCACGCGGTTTGATCGAGGCAGGCCTGCAAAAAGTATTTAGGACGAAAACCATTACCCAAAACAATGCTAACAATTCACGTAGTCAAATATCTTTCGCCTCTTGTCAGATAACGGATGCAGAATTATCCTGTCGCCCAAGTACGCAAACGAAATCCGTAGCCACCCCGCACTGAGCTTTGGCAAGGCCGTTGCGAAAGAGTTTCACACCTATATCCCTGGATTCGAGCCATTTAAGCAAACTTCCTCAAGCGAAAATATTTTTCAGGATGCAGTGCGGATGAAGCTGACCCAGGCCCTTGGTGTGTACTTCCTCTGCGGCATCTGGATTCGCACTAATGAAATATACAAGGCCAGGTTACAAAGCCTCTTACGGAGGAAATGACGGTAGCTCTTGAAAGCAACTGGTCAGACAATTCTGGTAAACGATTATTTATTTAAATCTTTGGCAGACATACTAATTCCTTCTCAGACTGGCATACCATCCCCCTCAAGACCAGCGTACTCAAGATCGTGGCTCGGCTATCTTCCAAAGTTTTCCTTGGCGACAAGATCTGCCGCAATCCAGACTGGCTACGAATTACAGTGGATTATACAGTGGATTCATTCCGGGCGGCAGAGATACTCAGGATGTGGCCAAGGGTCTTGCGCCCCGTCGTCGCGTGGTTCTCTGAGGACTGCCGCAGGCTCAGGAGTGAACTGCAAGAAGCAAGGGATATAATCGCACCGGTACTTGAAGAAAGAAGAGTGGAAAAAGAGGCGGCCCTCAGAGATGGAAGGAAGCCCCAACGTCACGTAGATGCTATGGAGTGGATGGAAGAAAGTGCCAAGGGCCGTCCCTATGATCCGGCCGTAGGGCAACTGATGTTTTCAGTCGCGGCAATCCACACGACGTCTGACATGCTGACACAAGCTCTATATGATTTGTGTGGGCGCGAGCAGTTGATTCAGGAGATGAGAGAGGAAGTGATTTCTGTCATCTCGGCGGAGGGCTGGAAGAAGACTGCCCTGTACAAACTTCAGCTAATGGACAGTATGCTGAAAGAATCGCAGCGACTGAAACCGATAAATATCAGTAAGCAAATGAGTCCATTACTTACTCCCAAAATTAACGTTCCTAAGCATCAATGAGACGTCTTGCCATCGATAACATTCGGCTGAATGACGGAACAAAGATCCCTAAGAATTCATATCTGCTAGTGGCAAATGAAAGAATGTGGAATCCTAAATTTTACCAGAACCCAGACACCTTTGACGCATATCGATTCCTGAATCTACGCAAGGTGTCTGGCCACGAGACCTCTGCTCAGTTGGTGGCACCGTCGCCAGAGCACATGGGATTCGGATTGGGGAAGCATGCCTGCCCCGGTCGGTTCTTTGCTGCTAACGAGGCCAAGATTGCTCTGTGTCATATTCTGCTGAAGTACGATTTAAAGGCCGCCGACGGTCCGGCTCCTCAGATTAGGAAGTATGGTCTTTCCGTAAATGCCGATCCTTTGGCCAAGGTCATGATTCGAAGGCGGAAGGAGGAAATCGTGCTTGAGGAGATTGCAGCCTGATGCACATATTGATTTTTCATGTCCAATTTGGAATTTCCCTGTCCTCTGTTTCTTGGGTATGCAAAATTGTATTTCTCGTCTGCTTGTTTAAATCAAATATCTGGGATATTTGGAATCTGCCGGTAAAAGTGAATGCCGCCTAAAAGAGTGCCAAGAAATGATTCAGAGGCTCATCTGGGATTGAACCGATGCCGAGATGTAGAGCAGTGATGACGGTATTTTATCAATGCCGGACCACCAACGTGCGCTAGGGTCTCCACATGGCCGGGGAAATCGTTTATGACCCGTTCCTGTCTGGAGTTCTCGGTGCTTGCAAGAGTTATTTATGTGCAAGGCTGGCCCAACGCCTGTTATTTTCTCAGTCACGTCTTGTTACAGTTCCAAAGGAACTAGGAACATTCGATGCATACGCATCTCTGAGGTCTGTTCAACCAATCCAATGCCCTGGATCCGCTTGGGGGCCCAGGTACTCGGCTATCAGGGTGGCTTTCAATTGGACCGTTCCTTGATTTGGTCACAATGCTGACGTTTTGCCAAGTCCTAAAGGAGCTGTCTAGATTGTCTGTTAAGCGAAGAACAACAAGCTACGTTGATCCGGCTACCTTCCCGAGATGACTAACGACGTTAGCTGCCGGACAACCAATCGCTTCCCAGACCCTTTCTTTCGTTCTATTTTTGTGCACCATTCCTCTGTCCGGATAACTAATATCTTACATTTCATAACCGACCAAATAATACATATACTGTATGTCTTCCCACGTAGACTGGACGTCTGAATTTGCCCAGAACAACGTGTTTCCATATCAGTTCGGGAAGCACGGATACTGTCCGTGACATGTTCAGAGCCCCATCCGTGGCCTGTCAGGAACTATCACCTCTAGCGCACTCTTAATGGTGGGGTAGTTGGTGTGCCGGTGCAAGCCTGCGACTTACATTATTGGTCCGGACTTACCGATACATATTGAGCCAATTGCTGCTCCAATCGTAGCGCCCAGACCTTAGTGCTAACTGCCTCCGTCGAGGACATTTCAGCCCTTCTATGCGGCTCTGGAGACCAAGGTGCCATAGTAGTGTCTCCGCACAGTCGGCAATGTTGGACTGGGTTGGGACTTCTGCGACTATACTATCCTCCTCGTTATAAAGTTAACATATCTTATAAACGATTGATTGAGTGTGGTAGGATGATCTCAGTGTGCTACATGAACAGAACTGTTGTAAAACCTGACACCAACTTCAGCAATTATACTGTAAGTATTCCCGCTGTTTGCTTGCAATTAAGACAACTTTGGAAAAAGGGGAGCCTTGCAACTAGTCATTCCGGACAGTGGGGTGGTGCAAGCTACATCATTGATCAGAGAAACAGGGATGCATGAACCAGGAAGCTGGGCTCATTTCCACATTTGGCTTACTCTGCTCCCATTTGACGCCTACACGTCCCATTTTGGAAGCCGACTGGCTAAGCGACAATGGTGGACGAGGCGCAGAGCCCCAGGCTATTCTTATACCCCCCCTCGTAGGTCTCTTCGGACGTTTCCTTTTCATGCTTGCAAACAACTTTACCATCTCTTTCCTTTGAGTGCCTGCCCAAGCAGACGTTTGTCTGCGTCCTGTCATTGAGTTCAAACAACTACACTCCTTTACCTTCGCCACATTCTATTCCTGCCAGTCTTTTTCATTCATTCATATCTCTCTTCACGATGGTGTTCAACCAGATTTTGACTGGGGCATTCGCCTTGTTGGCTCTTGTTCCAGCTGCTCTTGCCTTGGATCCGAGCTTGAAGACCAATGTTGCAGTCTACTACGTGAGTCTCCCTCATACTTCCCCTTGTTCTGACTCCTAAGCCAACATTACATTTAGGGTCAAGGTGCCAACCAACCTCGTCTCAGTTATTTCTGTGAGCAGACCTCGATGGATATCATCAATTTGGGATTTGTCAACACATTCCCAGAGGCCGTTCTAGGTTGGCCTGGGGACAACTTTGGCAATCAGTGTGACGGCGTGCTCTACCCAGACTCGGAACTGCTTTCGGGATGTCACCAGATCTGGGAGGATATTCCCGTCTGCAAAGCCATGGGCAAGACGATCATGCTCTCTATTGGTGGCGCCTATACCACTAACGAGATCATTCTCACGGATGAGATTGCGACCTGGTTTGCAAACTTCCTGTGGTACTCGTTTGGTCCTTATCAACTCGGCGAGACACTCTTCCCTCGACCATTCGGGAACGTCTCGGTTGATGGATTTGATTTTGATATTGAACACAATGGTGGAGCCGGTAGGTTTGCTTTGGTTTTCTAAATAACTCGGTTATGCTGACACAAACTCAGGATATGCCACCATGATTAATCAACTTCGTGAGCTCTTTGATACATATCCCGACCAGAAGTTCTACATCTCGGGTGCACCACAGTGTTCGATACCAGATGCGCAACTCGGCGATGCTATCGCCAATGCGGCTTTCGACTTTCTCTGGGTCCAGTTCTACAACACTCCAACTTGTTCGGCCGCTAATTATGTCAATGGAACTGGTAATTTCAACTTTGCCGAGTGGGTGGACGTGATCAGGAATAGCAGCAACCCCGAAACCAAGCTGTTTGTCGGTCTTCCAGCCTCTGAAGATGCCGCCAACCCAGGATACTACATCACTCCCGATGAGGCGAAGACTCTGGTGGAAGAATATATGGGTCTATATCCTGAGCATTTTGGAGGAATCATGCTGTGGGAAGCCACTGCGTCGGAAAATAATACTATCGACGGCTTCACCTACGCTCAGCATATGAAGCATATCCTCGGGGAGTGTGCTCCTCCACCGCCGCCGCCTGTCCATACCGCTACCCCAATTTCTTCGTCTTCTTTGGTACCTACGAGCACACCATCCGTTCCTGCTGTCTCATCAAGTGTCTCGCCTTCCAGCCCGGCATCGCCATCCAGCCCGGCATCGCCATCCAGCCCGGCATCGCCTTCCAGCCCGGCATCGCCATCCAGCCCGGCATCGCCTTCCAGCCCGGCATCGCCTTCCAGCCCGGCATCGACTTCCAGCCCGGCATCGACTTCCAGCCCGGCATCGACTTCCAGCCCGGCATCGACTTCCAGCCCGGCATCGCCTTCAAGTCTTTCGGGCTCTTCCGAATCTTCTGGCTCCCGCTCGAAGACATCAGTTCCGAATTACCCATCGAGCTCAGTTCCCGTGTCCGGAACCACTACTTCGAACAAGTCTATTCCTGCTGCTTCTTCCCCCGCTCCGCCCGATGTCCCTACCACTAGTGGCGGTGGAGGTCCGACTGGTGGTGTGAGTCCCAGCGCTCCAGTAATCACTAGCGCGCCTTCAGTCACACCGACTCTATCAACTTCAGAGCCCGTGACCATCACGACAGTGTTTGTCACCTCATACACCGACATCTGCCCTACGGGTTTCACCACCGTATGGACGACAATCACCACAACATACTGCCCCGGAAATGGACCTGCTCCTGCTACTGCTACCGAGACTGCCAGCGTGACCCAGCCTGGTTCGGGCCAGACGACTACTACTGCTTCAATTCCTGAAGGATGGACCACCACTGTCACCGTCTGCACGCACTGTGCTCCGACGCCGACAACAGTGACTCTCACTCTACCCTGCACGACGACGACTACACAAACGCCGCCGGAGACTGCCTCTACCTCTGTTCCCGAAGATTATACTACGACCGTGACGTTTTGCAAACACTGCGGCCCTACTGGCTCAACGGTCACCATCACCGAGCCATATAGTCTCACAAGTGCTCAGCTTACCGGTGTGCCCCAGATTACCCCCAGCAGCCAGTATTCAACTTCCAGGCCCTTCATCAGCACTGAATCTGGTAACTTGCGTCCAAGCAGCTCTCCAATGGTCGTTTCTCATCCCTGGAGCACCGCGTCTCGCAGTGCAGCGGCTCCTTCTACGACTCCGGAAGGAACGTCTCCCGTTTACATCGGCGCTGCTTCTCGCGCAGGAGTGGTGACTTCGTTTGGGGGCATCTTCGCTGTCTTTTTATCTCTTTTTATGTTGTGATGTAAATTTTCGATGTTCGATATTTTCCGATTGTATGTCTCAACTTGTCTCGCCTCACTATGATGATTCTGAAGTGTGCTTGATGGTAGAGTGGGGGATTATGAGCTTGTGGGATTTTCTTCTTCTCCCGGATCTCCGAACTCATTGGATAACTTCAGTTTTCAATGGTGGAGTGATTGTTTATTATTCAACAAATATATAATGTAAAAGATCTATAGAGTTGGATCATTAATCCGATTTCAACGGCTGTATAAACCACGTGATTCACAAAACCCTCTCTCCCCGCATTCACTTCCCCCGGACCTCGGCAGCAAAGGATCATCCCATCCTTTAAAGACAAGACTGTCGCAATGTGAGCTTGTCTACATTCTATAACTGTTCACCCCTGTTCATTTTCAGCAATGACTGCTACTGGTCCGCCGCTTAAGGGCATTCGAGTCATTGAGCTGGCCGGCCTAGCTCCAGGTATACCTCCAATCGACCTTCTCTAACAACAGCAGCTAAAGCAGAAATATAGGCCCTTTTGCCGGTCTCTTGCTCGCCGACTATGGTGCATCCGTTCTCCGCGTCGACCGTCCCTCCGCCGCGAGCGGGGATCAACTGACCCGATACAAGACCTCAATCACGATCGATCTGCGAGACTCCAAGTCGCGCGATGTTCTCCTGCGACTGCTCACCGCAGCCGACGTTCTCATCGACCCGTTCCGGCCCGGAGTCCTTGAACGCCTAGGTCTATCTCCGACTGACGTCCTCCTCAAACACAACCCACGCCTCATCGTCGCGCGCATGACGGGGTTCCGCCGCGACGGGAAATACAAAGACATGGCTGGCCACGATATCAATTACATTGCTGTGTCTGGAGTTCTATCGATGCTAGGCCGGGCAGGTGACAAGCCCTACGCCCCGGGCAATATCCTGGGCGACTTTGCAGGTGGCGGCGCCATGTGCTTCCTAGGGATTATCCTAGCACTAATTGCACGCACACACACCGGACGCGGACAAATTGTCGAAGCGAACATGGTCGACGGGTCAGCGTATCTAGCGACATTCCCACGCCTAGCGCGTCAGGCCCCCACGTGGAAAGGACCGCGCGGTGAGAACATGCTAGACGGCGGGTGCCCTTACTACGATACGTACGAAACCAAAGACACAGGCAAGTATTTCGCTGTTGGCGCCCTGGAACCACAGTTCTATGCGGCGCTACTACGTGGCCTACAGCTGGACCCGGCTGCTATCCCAGCGCGCGAGGATCATGCTAATTGGCCTGCTCTTCGCGAGATATTCACTCGCCGATTCAAGGAGAAGACCCGGGCAGAATGGGAAACGGTCTTTGACGGCACTGATGCATGTGCAACTCCTGTGCTAGAGCAAAACGAGCTCGAGGCTGCGGGCTACGACCAGCGGCCTGCAGTACATCTGGCAAGCACCCCGGCCTTACCCATCAAGGCGGATGAGGGCGGTTGGTCTGGGGGCGGACTGGCGCCTGGTGATGGCGGTGTGGACACCCTCACGTCGTGGATGGGATGGAGAGAAGATAAGGATTTCAAAATCCGTGACGACGGAGCACTGGTGGCCGCGAATGACAAGGCGAAGCTCTGAAGGTGGTGAAGATTTAGGACATCGACGTTGTATATGTAGATAGACAGAGAGACATTTTCTAAACGCGGCGGTTATTTCCGTTCCTGACCCTGTTGCGGAATATGGACGCCCAGAAACAGATGATGTCATGAGTGCAAATTTCCAAACACGACCACATTTCCAGCTGCGCGCTAGCGGGTGTGGCGCAGTTGAACTGAAATACGTATTGTATTTTTCAATTCAACCATCGTGCCCTAACTTCCAGCCATAACTTCTAGTAGTCTCTGATCTACAGTTGCAAACCGCATAGTCGGCGCGTTTCCTTGCTGGGTGACCAGTAGATCGGATTGCCGCTGTATTGAGTTAAGACACCCCGACACTGAATCTTGCGCGGAAATATATATCTGTAAATAATTCAAACTGACCAAAATTTTTGATTCGATTGTTCCTTAAGCAACAGAACTATAACATGTCATTCCAATTTCAGTTTCCTAGATGCATTGCTGCACTGACAGGCAAGGTGGCTGAACGTTTGCGGAGCGTTGCCCATTTGCTCTCCGGAGATGGCCACTTCCTCGGAGAAATACCTAGGTGATTCCCGAACGAAGCATGTTATCGAATATGGCATAGGAAGTCTTGAGAAGCTGTGTCAGATCTGGATAATTGGACAAATGGGCTTTTTCTTTGGCTGCCTAGGATTCCATTTTGTCGGGTTAGGGAATCTCAAGACGGAAACAGTTTGCAGTTCCCTGTAGCAGATGGAAGACGTACTTCAGCTAGAGCCTCAACGAGCCAAAAGGTAACCATGGCGAAGCATGCATCCTTCTTGACCTCCAACGCCCAAGAGGATTTTATTTAGACTTGGTGACCGACTGAATGCCATGCTTGTGGAGCTCATGATATATCATGACTCAAATTCAGAAAGACGTCTCCCGAGTAGGCTGTTCTCCGCATTCTGTCCATCAGCAGGGGTGTGTACAACCCCGCAGTCTGGACAGATGCATCTTCAAAGGACAAACCGCGGCAGCCGGGCCTCGGCAGCTGAACATTTCCAGCAATTCATTTGACCAGCATATATACATACTTGAGGCACTCGAATGAAATAAATTCCTTCTAGTCCAATGTCTAAGCAACCATGGCGTGCGCAGTCCCCACCCAGATGATCATCCTGCCTATCCAGGAGAACATCCCGATCGACGTGCTCTCCAGCAAAGAAGGCCAGATTTGGTCTCAGGTACTGAACATCTTCGAGAGCTGGCCCGGGTTCAAGCGTCTCTACTGGGGACGTAAAGTCGAGCAGCCGACACAAGTACATCTGCACATCAGTAAGTGCGTAACCACAACAGAGAGAGAACAACACGCGAATAAAATCGTCTAGCTCGAGATAACCTGCACCAGCATTACGCGCTGATCGCCTCACCTGAATGGCAGCAAATCATCCAAGACCTAATGCCTCTGGGCGTCGACAAAGCCACCGATCTCACGGTTCGCCATGCCATGATCTCGGAGTTCTCGCCTAACCCCCGAGCCCTGGGCAATGGCGCCCCCGTCAGCGGCACGGCCATTTATCTGACGCCTGATCCGGGGTCGTGGGAGAAGATGTGGTCACTGTGGACCAGCATCGTGGTTAACATCCCCGGCTGCATTGGCGTCACGGGTGGGTGGATGGTGGAACCGGTGGAAGGCACGAGCCCCTGCTATGTGGTGTATGTCGGCTGGGAGAGCATTGAGATCCACGATGCCTACCATGAAACCAAGGATTTCCGACGTCGAGTGAATATTCTCCGCGAGCATAACAAGGGATTCCGGGAGTATGGACATATTGCGTTTGCGCACTCGCGGAGTCGGCGGGAGGCGCATCTCTAGTCTATTCGTCCGTTGTTACTAGTCGTTTCAATCCATGATAATCGTCACAAACCCTTCCTTGATTCTGGTACATGGAAATGAAAATAATACCGTTTGCACCGCCACAATGGCGGTGCTCAGGGACTGGGGTTGACTTTTTTAGTACATCCCTACTTAGTATTGCCTGGATCAATGGGCTCCTACGGAGAAAAGACATTCAATCCGTCTCCTTCAATATGATGGATCTCCATATCAACCCAAACCCTATACATACATTGTCAAGTCTCCGTGTCATGATGTTTCAGTGGCGGTGCTGAGTCAGTCCGTATGGTTCCGCTATCCAAGGCCCCCAGCCAATCACGCCCGAGATGGCCAAAGTCTCTTGCGTACTCTCCCATTACTATTCCAATCTCCCCTGCTCGCCTCCGACTCCTGCTCACCCTCACCGTACCTGCTTCCCCCACCCCCCTGATCCGCTCCCTGATATCGGCTGGTTGGCGACCCTTGCCATCCCCGACTTCTCGCTCGCTGTCATCCTCTGAAAACCGCGTACTGTCAGCACCGACCCGAGGGGCAATTGGGTTCCGCCAAGCACCTGACCCTCGTGTGGGCGCCAGCCGATCTCTTTCCCTTGTCAACCACCTGCCATCGACCGTTTGCCAGCAATTTGTCCTAGATCACCTTGAATGAGCGACGCCTTCTGAGAAGCACTCCAGTCGAACCGATCCTGCAGCTGCATGTACTTTGGTGGGCGCTGAATCCGCAGATCCCTTCGCCTGTCAGCCGCGCGCAACGGACGCTTGGAACCCTCCTTTCGCTTTCAAACAGTTGGATCTTCTTTCTTGAGCACGCGGTTGCCGGCTGCGAGCTCTTTTCTTTGCCACACGGTCGCATCTGCCAACATCGCATGGCTGGTGTACAGCTGCCGCTCAACATGACGGACTTTCGACTGCCCGTCCACCAAGGCCCTCCTCCACGGAAGCCAGTGCCTGGAACGGTGAAACCACACGCTAAGCAGCCCTACGATACTCCACGGACTCAACTTGCTCTCCATTCAGCCGGCGCCCCCACCGCGCACAGCCGGACCCGCACCACCTCCTCCAACGTGCTGCCCTATTCTACCGGTTCCCAGCAGTACACGACCGCAACGGCTGCACCGCCGCTTCCACAGACGATGGCTCCTCCGATTAATTACCCACCTGGCCGACGCCTGTCCAACACGACGACATCCACCGCCTCCACCGGCAACAACCAAATGCCACAGGCAGGACCTGGAGGCTCGGACATTCGGCGCAGCATCTCGTCTCGCTCAGGCAACTCGCAGGTAGGGTACGTGGCTCTTATGCGGCGACAGAAGGCGACTGTGTGGTGCGACCGGGCGCAGCCTGAAGATCCGCGCGTGCGAGAACAGACGCTACGGGACAAGAAGCGAGCGTACCTAGAGGTTCATGGCGCGGGCGCCGGGCGGACAGGGACGTTGGCCAGCGGTAAGATTCGTCATGGACCCAAGGGTACGAAGGAGTTTTCGCCGTCGAATCTGGTGGGCGCGAAGGTGCCGGTGCGATTGAGCGCCAATGAAGTCGGAGACGCCGAGGACGAAGCGCACAGTAATGAAGGTGCAAGGCACCGCCGGACTGGCAGCGGCCGCAGCTCCCTGGGTAGCCAGCGGTACCCCAGCGGATACTCACGAGCACAAGGCACGATGGGCAGCAACAGCACGCCTCCCAATGAGAAGACGGAACTTCCCGACGTGTCAGAGAATACACCCGCTGAGATCCAGGCTGAGGAGAAGAGTCAAGTGTCGTCTCTAGTCCAAGACGACGGTGCCACCACCCACAGCAGTGCCACTCACAGTAGTGAGCAGGAAGACTTCGTGCCCGATATGGAGGCTCCAAGCGCTGCCGTCGCAGCCGCTCACAATGCCAAAAAGGTAGACGAGTTGCGACGCCGGGGTAGCGTTGACGAAAGAACCACCTCCATGACCAACGTGCGACTATTCGTGGCGAACCCGGATCTCAGCGACTAATTGCTCCCCGCCCGACGGTCATCTTTATGGGTTCTTGTTTCTTTTTGTTATTTCCCCCTTATTTTCTTATGATTTTGCCTGTTTCTCTCTCCCTGGTGGGATGATGCACATAATCTCTAACCTCTCTGGAACTCCTCGCTGGGCCGAACTGGGGCAGGGGTCGGTGGTGGTGCCCTTGCAATGTCTATATCTCTCTTGTCTTTAAGTTTGTATCTGTGGATTCGTTTGAGCGCCCCGTCTCGCGGCCTTGGTGTGCTGCTTCGGCTGCCTTGGCTCTTATCCTCGCCCTCTTTTTTGTGCCTGCATCCGGGGGCGCTCTCTGCCCCGGCGTTGCGTGTCCTAATAGTCTTTTTATTACTTTCCATTTAAGATCTGGGATATTAATTGTACAACGAAGGCTTCTTCATTGTTTCTTAGTCCAATTTGTAGTTCGTGGTCCCTCGCTCAAGAGTCTTATAGTGCTGATGACTCAGCGACGCGGTCGCGTGATCCACGCGTCTCTCCCTTTCGCTTCACCTCGACCGTTGCTTTGTATCCAGCACGCTTGTTGTCCCTTTGTCCCTCGTTCCTCCATCGACAATCCCTCACCATATCTTACAGAATTCTCTCACTCAGCTCTTTCCTCTCTCCACTCTCATCCATCTCACCTCACTGTCATTCCTCATGAACTGAATACACCTCCCGAATCCTCCTTCCTGCCACCGCGGCTTCTCTCGCACATCACGACGCTCTCTCATCCCAGTCTACCTGGGATCACCAATCCAAACACAAACCATGGAGTCCAACACGAGCCTCGAGCCTCTACCACACACTCTTTCCTTCCCCGCATCACCATCCTCAGGGCCACGCAAACGCTCAATCCACGAAGTGGATGATAGTGCGCGTCCTACCCCCGAACCCAAACGTCCACTCGTCCAATTTAATGGTGACAATCAAGAAAACCGAGACCCATCCATCTCAGCATCCTCGGAGACCAAGCCTTCTCCTTCTGTCGAGGTGGTAATATCACCGCGAAAGCCCTCTGGTGAGGAGACTGCTGCAACTACGCCTGGTCCTGCTACTACTCCTGCTCCCAAGAAGCGGAAGCTCTCTCCAGCCAGCAAGGAGGCGAAGCAACACGAGAAGGAGGCAAAGGAGCGCCAGAGACTCGAAGAGAAGGCTCGCAAGGAAGAAGAGAAGCGCGTCAAGGAAGAAGAAAAAAGGAAACGAGAGGCTGAGCGCGAAGAGGAGAAGAGGAAACGCGAAGCGGAGCGTGAAGAGAAGAAGAAAGTTAAGGATGAAGAGAAGGCTGCGAAAGAAGAGGAGAAACGCAAGAAGGAGGAGGAAAAGGAGAAGAAATCAAGGGTAAGTGAATGCAATTTTCTTGCTGCCTGCGCAATGCTAACTGACCATTGATCTTTCCAGTCGCAAATGAAGCTCAACTCCTTCTTTGTCAAACCCCCTGTTCCTTCTGCATCTCCCAGAAAACCCAATGTCACTGCTTCTCCCAGCAAGCCATCTGCCCAGAGTGACCCTGTTCCCACAGAAGCTGCGCAGGACACACAGACGGACTATCAACGCGCATTTCCCGACTTCTTCTTACAATCCCACACCACTCTCGCGCCTGCACATCGCTTTGAACGAGACGCAGATGCCCTTGTACATGTGCAGCAAACGGTCGATGCCTGTTTGAAGGCCAGCAGTGGTTCCGAGTCCCGTCCCTTCCGCCCATCCGAATTGTTCCAGATGATCTCGTACCGTCGTCGGCGAGGGAGACAAGCTGCCTCGGTGAAAGAGATTCTCTTACGCATGAATAGCTCTATGGACGGTGCGAGTGATGTTCCGGATATGAAGACGAACTCGAACCCGCAAAAGTTACTGCACCAGATCCCTATGAAGTCCCTTAAATTCGCTGAAGATGTCCGGCCTCCGTATCAGGGGACATTCACACGAAATGTTCCTGAAGATTCGGCCACAAAGTTGTCCCGCAATCCGTACTATCGGGGACTGCCTAACACAAATTATGACTATGACTCGGAAGCGGAATGGGAGGAGCCCGAGGAAGGAGAAGATCTGGACTCTGAGGAAGAAGATGAGGCCAGTGACGAAGGGGAGGACGATCTCGAAGGGTTCTTAGACGATGAAGATGATGCTCTGGCAGGAGGCAAGCGACGGCTCATTGTTGGCGATCTCGAGCCGGTGTGTAGTGGTATTCGGTGGGCGACAGGTATCATCGACCCCGAGTTTCAGCCTTACCAGATTGAAACCATCTCCGAGGCCGTCAAGTTCCCCATCAAACCGCTCTCAGATGAGTACTGGCAGAAGCCCCAACCCAATAACCCTGGTCCCACGAAGGGACGGGTTGCACCGAAGAGCCTGGGACCGCAAACGCTCCCTGCTTCTTGGGGGGCCCCGCGGGCCAGGCAACACCGGCGGTAGGAGCTGGCCTGCCAGCCACGGTGTCAAAGGCGAAGCGACCATTCCCACCAGAACAGCTGGATGAGTTCAAGAAGGCGGTAGAGGGCAATGATCTCAGCAAAATCGGGCTCGTCGAGATCTTGAAGAAAAAGTACGTGTTGATGTCTTCATTGCAACGTCCATGCTGACCCGTCTCGTTCAGATTCCCCAAAGTATCGAAAGATACCCTGAAGGCTACTCTGGACCAGGTTGCAGTTCGTGTGGGCCAGAAAGAAGCCGACAAGAAGTGGGTGTGCCGATGATTTGACTCGCAGCCAACATGTCGCCTCTTTACGAATACGAAACTCTTGCATGCTTATGAATGTTTACGATTGTGCGGTCTCCGCTGCTATCTGCTTCTCTCCAGTACTAACTGCTTCTGAAGCATCCTATTCCCAAGCCATCTGTACCTCTATGGCGTGTGTTATACGTTTATGGTTATGTTTGCCAACCAGTCCAATCTAGTGAACAATACAGACGACTACTATGTCATATCATTGTGTTCGGTGTAGAATGGGACTGTACCCATGCCCCCATGTTGCAACGGCGACACTGCCGATGAGAGTATGCAGGCAGGGGCTTATGTAGCTGCATTCTGCCAGATCTAGGAGCTCTGACGGATTGATATCAGCCCGTAGATTCCTTCGGCGAAGTAGTCCGTGACAATATCGTTTCTATTCATAGCAATTCATTAATGCAAGGCGTTCCGGCAGAATGTACGATTTGCCATTGGCCCTGAAAATCCCCGATCATCACGCTCGTGCCAACTCCGTCTTGGCAGGGTTCTGCTTAGAAGGATTCGTCCCAACTTAGTCAAGATGACGCTAGAATCGGGCTAAACGAGAATCCTTTGTAGATCATCCGCCACCTGCATGGGGAGCCAAGCCTGAGACTTGAACACTCTTGCAGGCATTGCACGAAAAGTTGGGCAGGTTTCCGCCCTGTCTGTGGGAGGCGGAATTAGTGTTGGTTGGGCTGATTTAGGCCAGATCTGGTGTTGTTTAACTCGACCCCACTAGCCATCCCAGACGCCTGAGGCCGGCCGTGTGGGCCTCAGTGGCAATGGGCGTAAAAAGACCCCGCAGAATTTCTTTTTTCGGCGTTTATTGGGTTTCCGAAGCTTACTATCGTAGTCACTTCTCTTCAGGGTCGTCATGTTTCAAAGCTAGCATGGCTGAGTGTGCGAGTGCCAGGGCAAGTGGGTCGGTTGGTGCTCAGGCTGCACGGCCAGGAACCCGTTCTTTAGGGTTAACTAGCACGCCTGACAACTTGCGTTCGGCAACTCGTTCATTTCTGTGCGCCACGGCTCAACCACGGACTCGGTGTTTGACACGGGAATTAGTTTAATTTCTCCAATGGTAATAATAATAAAAATGAACCCTTTCACTATGAATTTCTACATCGGGTAAGTGCGTGTTTCATGTTGACAACGGGTTATAGTGCGATATGAACAGGCCAGTGAACTACTGCTGTAGCTACTACGTAGGTCATAATGTCTTCATTCAAGCATGAATCGCATCCATTTTCCCAACTTCTTCACGTTCGTTACACTCCCCATGGTCAATCTGAGGGAGATCCTGATCGTCATACAGAACAGGGGGCCAGAATCCAAAATGGGGCCAGACGCCAATATGTGGCAAGTTTTGAAATCTGATGCACTGCCTTTTTTACGAGATGTAGTATGTCATTTATTTCTCGGAGCTAGCTCTGGCAAATTGTCACATATTGACAAGGATCACTTTGCCGGATGTACCTCCCCCAAACTGCCAAGCTGTATTCACCCCATGTGGCGATCCCTATAACGTAGCCATCTTACATCTGGCCTTGTGGGATGGACGGGAGGATGAGATCCACCGTCTGCTCTTGGGGTCTAATTGTCCCTTCTCGAGCTTCTCGAGCGGAGCGCATAAATAAAGGAGCTTCTTCACGCCATCGATGAGTTTTTTTTTTTCTTCATCCGCAGCACCGACAAGCTTCTTCCCATCTTCTTTCCTTGATTCTTGACGAATCCGTTGTATTATCAACTTTTTCTTTCTATTCATTCGGAGTTGATCTCCCTTTCGAATCCTTCGACAGTATTCCTTGACGTGAATACCATCAGATTACATTCTTGCATTCAAACACGGATTGATTCCTTGTTTTTATATCCAACATGCGTTTCTCAACTGTGGCTAGCATTGGGCTCATGGCTTCTGTGGCGTCGGCTGTGCCGCACCGCAAGATTCGCCGTGACACCGGTCCTCTGAACGTTGTCTACTGGGGTCAGAACGGTGGTAGTGCCGTCGAGAACAACGATATGTCTACATACTGCACTGGGCAATCCGGAATTGACGTTCTTGTTCTGTCGTTTCTTGATACTTTCGGCAATGGCCAATTGATTCCTAGCGGTACTTTTGGCCAGAGTTGCAGTGTTTCCAGCTCCGGTGAGGGCCAGGGCTGTGAGTCCATCGGCTCGGCTATCACGACGTGCCAGAAGGCGGGCGTCAAAGTGCTTGTCTCGCTTGGTGGTGCTTCTGGATCTTACGGTTTGACCTCGCAGTCGGAAGCTGAGACCATTGGTTCGAACCTGTGGTCTGCCTACGGCGGCGGCGGCAATGGCTCCGTTCCTCGTCCCTTCGGTGATGCCGCCGTCGATGGCTGGGACTTTGACATCGAAGTCAACAGTGGAAACGAAAACTACCAATACCTGATTTCGATTTTGCGCTCCCACTTCACCCAAGACTCCAGCAAGACCTATCTCATCTCTGGTGCTCCGCAGTGCCCGATTCCCGAGCCGAACATGCAGGCAATCATCACCACCTCGCAGTTTGACTACCTCTGGGTCCAGTTCTATAACAACCCCGGCTGCTCCATGCCCACCCCTAACTTCAGCTCTTGGGTTGCGAACATCGCCAACACCCCTTCCTCCAAGGCAAAGATCTTCCTCGGCATTCCCGCCTCCGCAGATGCCGCCACCGGCACCGCCTCCGGCGCGCAATACTACGTTGAACCCAGCGCTCTGGCAACCATTGTCAGCGGTATTGGCGCCAACAGCACTTCTTCTGCCTTCGGCGGTATCATGATGTGGGACGCTGGTTTCTCCGACGGCAATGTGGAGGGTGCCTGCACTTTCGCCCAGGAGACTAAATCTATCCTCACTAATGGGGCGCCCTGCTAAATTGGCGCGGGTGTGTTTGGTTGGAAGTTGAAAAACTACGCTCTCTTATATATTTTGTCTGGCCCCTGGGGTTAGGGTCTACGCTTTGCTATAGACCTGTCTCTATAGACATTTTGCATTTTGGCTGTATTTCTTTTTGCATTCAGATGGAATCTGCGGAAGACGCTCGTTGGTGAACATGTTTAACGCGGTATTGAAATTTTTGTTACTCGATATACCAATGAATATACCCCATCTCATTGTCAAGAAAATATTTCTTTAAAACAGGAATTCAACGTAGTGGTACAAAGTGTGGAGACCGAGAATGGAACTATCGACAGGACAGTATTTTGTAGACTATGATGACCTGGCTGGTTTTTAGGAAAGGGGGCATTGCATTAAAATACGGTGATGTTCTGCTATCGAAAGCAAACTGATGGCTCGGGGAAGACAAAGGACTCCGGGCGAAGCCCCTGACGCATGATCACTACTGGATAGTGATTGACCTGTTCTGCTGAGTAGTAAGTGGAGCAGCCCTATCATGGGACGATGGTTTCAACATCAAACTCAATTCAAGCGAACATATCCACTGCGGAGTACAGAGAACGTCCCAGAAAAAATGGTTCATTTATGTATCAAGCTTGCCAGGGTCCCGAGAACCAGTTTGATTTCGTACGGAGAATATATTAATGGCCATATCCACTGTGGAGACTTGATCTGTTCCAGAGATTCAGATTTATTGCCGTTCCGTACTTGAAAACCGAACCGGTTTGCGCTTACCAAGGTATGTGAAATCATCATTAATATATTCTCGCCTGCGCTGTCTATAAAAGTCTATGATCGGAGGGGGTGATCCTGAAATCAACATGCGATGTTACGTTGGGAGATTTGTACATGCATCACAGCTGGTGTAATTTAGCCGAAATGAAAGGAGCGGCTTGGGTTTCGGGACCTCAAATTAATCGACAATATTCTGTTCATCGATCGCCATGTGTACCTTCGCGATGTTATGTGTCCGCATTGCCGAGATTTAACGGAGGGGGTTAGCTACTAGCTATAAGCTATATCACGGGCGGGATACAGGATAGAACATGGTAAATTTGTTCGGCTTCAGTTTGGTTTGATTAGCTATCCGGTTTCGAGAACCTCGATTTCCAGTGTAAATCAAGTTTATCGAGCACAGCTCTTGAGATCGGGTAGAGCGCGTCGGAGTTCACCCGGCGACGGACCGAGCACTATCAGGTCTCCGACTATATCTGCTGAGAGGTAGCTTAAGTCTTGCTGCTTATTCCAATGTATTCGCACCGAATCTTTCCCTGGCAATTTTTTTTTTTTTTGGCTGTAGTTCTAAAAACCATTGTATGCCGACACCGGCGAACCTCCACCCCCGCTTCCCTGGCCGAAGCCACAAGAGCTAGGTCCCGGTCGTCGTCTTTTATCCCCATTTTCTCGGTAGTGTAAATTGGAGATACCGCTTCATTGTCATTTATAGACTGTTTGCGACGTAATCTAAGACCGTACGTCGGTGCAACGCCCTTCACCGATGGCGAACGCCAAAATCTCGAACAGGAAATTGATGTTGACGCCACAAACGCGGAAGTAAACTTTACTGTTCAAGAAAAGGGAGTTGTTTCGGTCTTATTTGGAAGCTGCAAGCAGCTTCCCCCTGCTGGTCTAATTGGCCGTTAGGGCTAACACGTTCATCAAGTCCAGTGCCCTTCTCTAACTCTTTTCGCCGACCTGATTCTGGGACTTTCCCATTTGTGGCAGAGTCAAGTAGTAAATTCCAAGAATCATCCAGCGGAATTCTCGACGTGCTGAATAAGATTGGCGGAGCCAGTCTCCAGTCCAAGCTGTACGGCGAGACTCTCAGCACTTTCATGGACACGATCAGTGCCTACTGGCGACAACTGTCTCACAATCCCCACCGCCCGATGGACCAATATATATTGATCAGATCTTGACCATTGACGTTGATCAGCGGCAGTCTGGGCGGCAGCCCATGCCGTCAAATCAACACTTTATGAACTCCCTTGGGGATACAGCTATATTATCTCTTCCCTTTTGCGAACAATCTCTACATATCGCGTGATATGTTCGAATCTTTGGGAAATTAATCCCGAATTAAAGAAAAAACTAACTCATAACTCGAGGTCTTTCGGGTTCAGGCGGTATCTGCTTTTCCGAGAAGTGCCCGCCTCTATACTGGGGACAGACGTTCGGGCACAGTACCACGAACGGGACGGCCTTTGACATTCTGACTATGGCATGAGGTTGTCTCGTTCTTATAGTGGATCCTTCTAAGAATAGTTATGCTTAACGGTCATCTCTCGTCGCGCTCTGTGCCATACACACGTGATAGCGAATATCGCTCCCTCTGCAGGGAAAAGCAAGGGCCGAGTGTGGGCGCATGATTTGCTGACGAGTCCAGGGAGTTGTGGTGTCGCCGGCTCGTGAGTGGCTGGGCAGGCCGGTGGGGGAGGAGGGTGCCAGCGCAGTCGTGCAGCAGCGAGGTGTGCCAGCGCATCCTTGTACCGGTACCTGTGCGTGCGTACTTCCCCCCTATCTGATCCCTACCAAAGTACCTGGTGTCAAAGTCCCTCTACCAGTCCCCTGCAACAGTCCGATTCGAGTCACTTGCCTCGTCTCTCTTTCGTTCTTTCTTCATGGCTTCCATGCCTCAACCTCCTCCTCTTGCTTCACCTTCTTCTTCTCATCCCTCTCGCCCCCTCTCCTCCTCATCCTGGACCCTGCCTCTTCGCTTTGCCCCGGTCGGGTGCGCCACCAGCCTGTCGTCATCCTCGCGATAGAGCCATGCGATAAGCACCCGCCCGCCGACAGGGCCAGTTTGCGACGTTTGCCCACGCCGGTCCATGGCAAGATGCTGGACTCTCACGGGGAGCATCGGCCCCCATCCCCCGCCTGTCTAACCAGTAGGTCGCCCGGTCGTGATGCCTGCCTTAGATCTGATCTGCTCCAAGCCGCCACGCGCGACCCACCGCCATGCGATCCGCCATCGCAAGAAGATCCCGCTTCAATCCCTCTGCCTCCTTCCCCATCCCAAGAAGGCATGCCAGCGCCCTCCCCACCAGTGGAAGTTCCTGTGGATGCACCAACCATGGGACCCGGCGAGCCGGGTGGCTCGGCCCGTTCCAGTCCCAGAATCAGGCCGCTCGACGGACAACCCGCGTCCCAGACGACCCCAGTGGCCCCTATGCCTGCTTCTTCATATTCCCAGGTTTCATTTGAGGATTTTGCCGCACGGTATCGCCAAAGTCAGCGGAAACAGGTCCAAAGAAAGCGTCTGGAAAAGCGTCTGCGCGCTACCAAGGTATCCATCGGCGTCTCGGCGCGCATGATTCGCATCGGGGCTTCGGTACAGCGCGGCCTGGTTGAAGCCCTAAGAAATGACGACAAGACCACTTTCGTTGCCCTGTACCACACGTTCCATGATCTTCATCAATCTTGTGGCACTTCGGACCGGCGCGATGACCAAGATTCCATGGATCAGCTGGGACCCTCCTCGGCGTCCGAGTTGCATCACTTCCCGGATTTCTTTCATCAGTTGAGCCCCCAGTCCAGGACTGACCTTCTGGAAATACTGCGCCTAGTTCGCTCGGATTCACAGTTCCTTGTCAACCGCCTGCGCAGCCTGACTTCATCCCAATTGGCCGCATTATCTTCTCAAGCAGCTGCGTTGGATTCTAGTGACCCTTCGTATCCATCTTCATCCCGCGGACGAGCTCAGTCCTACTTGAGCCGTGCCCATGCTCCCTCTACCTCCTTCAAGGACCATGCCTTGGCCTTTGAGAGGGCCGATCCCCTGCCTATTATGCTCTGTAACGTCTTTGCTGCTCCCGTGGACCTAGACACGCCCGAATCCCGATTGCGCGTGGAAGTGTGGTCCTCTGTCTGCGCCCAATTATTGGCCCAAGGCAGCAGTAGATACTACCCTCTCATCGGCCAGATCCTGTCCGCTTGGGCCGCTGGTAGTAATTGGAAGGCCCGCCCCAAATTTGAGCTTTACCTGATGGACATATTGCAAACTGGTGCCTTCCTTTTGGAGCATATAGACCCCCCTTCCGGCCTGGATTTTGCTGCGGAGCCCTTGGATCCTCTGCGGACTGACGTTGCAGAAGAGTTCTTTGCTTCCGCTGTGGAAGGCCTGTTCCGAGTTCTAGATGATCCTGATGCTGGCTTCCCTCATGCTATCCTGCAGTTTGCCAAGGCTGTCCTTCGCAAATTGGACACACCGGAAGGCCGCCATCGCTTTTTAGAATTTCTGTTTGTCCAGTGGTTCTTCTCCAAGTTCCTCTATGGCGCCCTGACATATCCGGAGGTAGGAACCTTATTTTTATGCTGAAGCTTTGCTGGCTGACCACAACTTGTCTATCGTCAGAGTCACGGTCTTCTCTTGGACTTTCATATTGCAAAAGATGCCCGTGAGAAACTCCTAGGCCAGGTGGGATTACGAGCTTATTCCCAAGTCTTCGCCGTCCTACGTTCCATGTGCGTTATTGCCACCCATATCGTACACCATCGCCTTCCAGTGATTGCTAAATAATGATAGGCACCACTTCTCAATTCCACGCCCGGCAATCAGAGACCGTGTGGAAAATATGCTTGCCCAATTCCAGACGGTCGGATCTCCCGAACACTCCACGATGGACGCTTCCATGGGTTCTTCTCAAGCACCCATGAAAAACTCCCCTTCGACTTTCCTGATGCTTTCCGCCGCGGACATCCACACACTATTGGTCGCTCTTTTTCCTAAATCTTGCAGTCATCCCTATTCTCCCACAGCAGCCCCAGGAGTTCCTGCTTGGACTTCTATCTTCTCACAGCCCCATAGGCACGATCAGGAGACTCCAGTTGAGCCTGGGCTTCTTCGTTCCAAATATGATCCAAGCTCACAATCACCTTCATACAGTGATTCCTTGTTCTCAACCGAAGCACGAACGGCTTCGCTTCCGGAAGACGGTCTTGGCCAAAGGGCAGCTCGTATTCGCTTCGAGCTAGCAGATTTGGGTGACCCAGATGAGCGTTTACTTCTGCAGCATCCCTCGGGTGAAGATTGGACAATCTTCTCTATTGCTTGTGATGGCTATGGTCTCACATGGAGTCTACTTCCGGATTGCAAGTCTGAACCCACAAAATCATCTGTCATTGAAAGTGATGATGATGCTCGGTCCACCACCCTCGGGCTAGAGGAGAACCATGAAGCATTACAGAAGGCCATTGTCCGACTTGTCAAAGAAAACCGCTCTCATGATCCTGATGATGACCCTTCTTCGCCAACATTGCAACTCGTTTACGGGTCCCTGCGGCAACTTTTCAACCAGGCCATGGCCTCTTGTCATCATGACTCGGACTTTGTTGGTGCCCACTACTGGTGGAATGCCGCACGGCAAATACGACAAAGTGCGAGCAATCCTTCATCGACCTCTGTGGATGATTCATGGATCCTGGGCCCTATGCATGATTCCTGCACTCGCTCCTTAAACCATTCCCAGGTCGTCATTGAGCGCTGCGAAATTGATTTCGTCTCTCTGGATCAAAGCCTGCTCCGTCTACAAACACAGCTCAAGGGTCTGATGGCAACTGTTTCCCGGGTCCGCAATAAGATGTGGTATATGACGGATGTTAAGAATTCCATGCGCTATGAAGATGCCAAGCACGTGGCCATGGCTCTCAAGACCATGATATACTCGGCGCGGCTCTTCAATCATTTCCCTGACGATTCTCGGTCCCGAACTGCCCGATCGCTGGGTGGATCTCTGTTCCAAAAGCCAGAACTACAGATAATGAACATGATGAAAGCACCGAGCAGCCAAGGTGGCCCGAACAAGCTCTCGGACGAGCAGGTGGATCTGACACGAAAGTGGCTCTCCCACAACAGCATTGAAAACTTCTGCAAGGGCGAGGAAAGAATCCACCGGTTTTGCTACGAGGTTCGGAATAGCATCAACCGCCTGGTGGGTGAGACAATGACCGAGGCGCCAGTACTTTGGGCGAGCGAACTTTTCCAGGCAGAGAGGGCAAAATACGAAGGCTATGGGGCTCGCGCGTTTCCGGGATTATCCATGCCCGACACCCCCCGACCTTCAACAACCGCCAGTGAAGATGCGATGCACGCCTCTCAACTGCATGGAACCAATCTGTCCGTACCAGATCCAATGTCTCGCATCTCCCAGGACAATCCGTCGCTGGGCCGCAATTCCTCCATCCAAAGCCTCCTTTCCGATAAATTGAGACTTCCGCGTGACCTTCCATCTATTGATGTGGGCTCGATTGGAGGCTCACTTGGCCGTGCGGCTTCAACGTCGACTGGTGATACCTGCAGCACGTTCTGGTCAACACCTCATCGACATCCCATGTATGCTGCTAGCGCGTCAAGCATATATTCACGGCCACCTTCCATGTTCAGTGAGGCTGCAACTCGGCTGCCCCGTCGCACCGAGCGCAAGACGCACGGCAAAGCAGTATTCATGGATGACGTGCGGCAGACATTGACCAGTCTTCTTCTCAGCGACTTGGGCTCTCCAGTGTGGAGCTGCGGCAGCGAAACGGATGCCTGGTTTACCAACACCCTGGACCAAACAAGGATCCGGGTGCAAATGGAACGACGGGCTAGGATCCAGAAGTTCTATGCTGATTATGACGAGCGGTCAAAATGCCTTGGGGATCAACAGCATGGATCTCAGAAAGGTCGGCGAAGCAGGTCTCTCGACTGTCTGAGTGGACGTGCACGCACAACACACATCGAGGAACCGTTGCCCAAGATACCCTTGGATGCTTCTGACGCGGATGGTCAGTCGAGCTTTTCATATCAGACGGTGTTCCATCGACTGATCGAAGTGTTCTCGCGACATGGAAACCCTTTCGTCAAACTCAATGCGTTGAGGGATCTACGGTCGTTGGTGATTGCATCGCTTGTCTTGTCCCATGAATCTAGCTGCTCGACAAATAGGATGAGCTCGTCATCTAGTGAAAGCGAAAGAATGCGAAACGGTCGCTCTGGAGCCTCGCGTCGGCCGACAACACGCCACAGCTTCTCGGAAACGACCAGAGCCACACTTCGCCAGGCCGACTCATTCGCAACCTCCTCGTCGCCGCCAGAATCTGTCACCTCCGGTTGCCGACAGTCCGACTATTCAGCGCCGTCCGAGGATCAGATCGTCTCAACTCTGCGCGACCTGATTTTGGAAGTCAAGCCCAAGACCCTATTCCGCGACCTTCAATTCATCTCAGCATTCGTTCCCTCCGATCAGCTGAACAAGACCGATCGTGGCACTGCCTTCCTCCAATTCGGCCTCGCCGCACTGAGTCTCAAGGACGAGATCTGTAACAGCATGGTCGAGATCGCAGACCAGATCGTCTCCCAGGAACTGGATCGGCGCCATCCGCTCCCTGGGTCCGAGTTCTACCCACGACCTGGCCATGCCATCGAGGATGCCGCGGGGATGTGGATCATCACCGCCAAAGAGGGGAATCCCGTCGCGCAACGCGAGCTGGCCATCCTTTACCTCACCCACCCCGAGCTGCTGCCACGCGTGACCCTGCCCCTCACTCTGCCGCGCGACACCTTCAAGGCAGAGATGATGTATCGCCGTGGGAAGAACTCCAAATCCGATCCACAAAGCATGTGCCTGGCTCTGCACTGGATGCAGCTGTCTGCCATTGGGGGCGACACTCTTGCTTGCAATCGACTCCGTGAGCGCGAGGAGTTTGATTCGATCGCGTGAGCGTTAATTCCTCCGTCGTTGTTTTCTGATCTATTTGTAATACAGCCACGTGAATCTGGATTATTCTGTTGGTGCCCTGTTTGTTTTTTGGATTATTTCTCTCTTTACATACCCAGCTGCGGGCGATATATTTCCTGTCATATCATATCTTTGGGGGTTTTTTTTGCGGCGGGTTGAGCCCATCTATAGCGGCGTTCCTGGGAGAATAATAATGAAGTGATGAATGATACGTTTCATAATCATCGTACCGAATCAGGAATGAAGGCATTCCAATGGCCGACGTCATACCCTTCGGCAGCTGATAGACCAAGCCCCCCACTTGACCGACCGCCTTCATCTGCTGACTTCGCGTCTTCTTGCTTTCTCACTTCCCCCTTCTCACTCTCCCTTCCTCGTGGCTGAGACACATCGTATTCACCTAAGATTCACTTGCTAGCCTGAACCACAGGGATACACCAGCTGAACAGCCCCGGACATCCCCGTCTGACTACGGCCAAAATACTAAAGAGGACCTTCTTCCCCTTCGCTCTTCCCACGTCCACTTGCAAATCGGGCGGCACACGTGCCTATCTTCATTCGCGATGACCACGGCACCGCACATGCCGGCTAAGGCGCACAGCTCCGACGATGTGCACCAGCGGCCAAGGGGTGAGAATCGCCTTTTTCGTATTGCCATACTCGCTCCCAAGAGCGGGGTTTCGTTGCGAGCCCCAAAAGAAGGACTCGAGTGAAGCTAACACTGTTCCTTCACCTACAGGCATCTTGAAAAACAGCCACTCCTTCCAGGCGGGTTCTGCAGCTGCCCCCGTTGAAACAACAATTACCCCACCTTCCATCCCGACGATCGCAGAGCCCCCCGACACCAAGGATCTCACGCTCCAAAACACCCTGCAGAACGCAGGCCGGCGTCGGCCCTCGTCCACGACAGGGCCCGGCTCCTCATCCCGCCGACAGTCGATGGCCAGCGCATACGACGAGAACTCGCCACGCCTGAAGTGGGACGAAGCGAACTTGTACCTGACGGAGCAGGAGCGGACAGCGAAGATGAAGATCGACGAGCCGAAGACTCCCTATGCCCCGCACTACGACCCCACCGAAGATGAGGAGGAGCTGCGGCTAGCGGAGGCGAGAGAGAGCTTGATTGACGCACAGGACGTTGTGGTTGACGAGCTGGATAAGACGACTAAGGGCGGAAACCACAAGAAGGGTGTCTCTGAAGATGATATTCCTGACCTGGAGCTTGGTGAGGCAGAGGAGTCGACGTCCGGCGACCTGGAGGGTCCGCGCATCTACCGGGACCGCAGTCTGAGCACGGAGTCGCACAAGGGAGAGAAGCATGTCGTGGTCGGTGCCGAGTCTAATGGGGGAGAAGCGCCGGGTGGTGATCACCTCCTGAACACCGAGGAAGCGAGGGAGAAGCACCGCCAGTTTGAGAATCAGCGGAAGAGGCATTATGAGATGAAGAATATCAAGGAACTGCTTGCGTGAGTCGATGTGATTGTTGGAGATCGTTTTCGCCATTGCTAATGTGATTCTAGTCACCCGGAGGATGAAATGGAAGAAGACGAGGACGATATCGAATCTGGCCCGCCGCCGGCTGTTCCTCAGATCCCCTCGCAGTTCCGCAATGGTGGACCATAGGCGGTGCGTTTACTGCTTGGGTTTGGTTCTTCCGCTGACGCTTTTCTCCCAATTGTTCCCTTCCTTGTATATTCCCCCAGCGCATTTCTTTTCCACAGCCGTCGTACTGTTCTTAGTGCCCATGTTTTGTGTTTTCTGTTTTGCAGAGATACAGATTGAGACATCCAATTCATATAGACAGGTCATTGACCTCGAGCTACTGCCAAGTCGAGTCGTAAAAGGGCAAGATTCAGTCTGTAGAGCAATTGCGAATCGGACGACAAACATCGGGAACAAAGTGGGGCCCGCGCGGGAAGGCCCCTAAAACTGATTGATAAAGCGATTGATTGACAAAGCAACCGTGGACTAGGTAACGAACTATTTATTTGCGCCCCTGGCCCCCGGTGCCACCACCACTTTTGTTTCCTTCCCCTTCCCACTTCTCTCGCCCAACCATGGCAGACCAAAAGCCTGAAGAGACTGTTCCCGCGGAGTCTCAGCCGGCAACGCAGGATGTTGCGCAAGGCAGCAGCGAGCAGCCTGCCGAGCCTGTCGCGACAACAGCAACCTCGGCCGAGCAGGCCGCAAGCGAGGAAAACATTGCGCCCAAGACCGACGAGGCCAACGATGCCACTGACGCCGCGACTTCTGCAGCGGCCAAGCCGGAAGAGCAGCCCGCATACCTCGTCAAAATCCCCGGCCTGGTGCAATTCTTCGACAAGCTGCCCACCCTCCTCACCAGCACTGGCCACGGCGAGATGTGGGGTGTGCCACTCAAGGGCCGCGACGACGTGCCCACCGTCAATGTGCTGATCAAGTTTCTGCGCGCCAACGAGGGGAACCTCCAGGCAGCAGAGGAGCAGCTTCGTAAGGCGCTCGCGTGGCGCAAAGAGATGGACCCGCTGGCGTTGGTCGCTACGGGAAATTATAGCAAGCTCAAGTTCGAGGGCTTGGGATTCGTGACGAAATACGAGGAGAACGAGCGGCCCCTGGTGTTTACGTGGAATATCTATGGTGCTGTCAAGGACATGACTACGACTTTTGAAAATCTGGATGAGTATGGGGCCTTCCCTCTTGTTGTCAGGTATGACTAAAGATTGACCTTGTGCAGGTTCATCCAATGGCGCGTCGCACTCATGGAACTCGCCGTGCAAGACCTGAAGATGAAAGACGCCACGAGCGTGATCGATTACGAGGGCGAGGATCCGTACCAGATGTACCAAGTCCACGACTATCTGAACGTGAAGTTCCTACGAATGGACCCCACCGTACGGGCCGCAACCAAGAAAACAATCGAGGTCTTCTCGACCGCGTACCCAGAGCTACTGCGCGAGAAGTTCTTCGTCAACGTCCCCGCGATCATGGGCTGGATGTTCTCCGCCATGAAACTCATCCTGAGCCGCAACACCACCCGCAAATTCCACCCAATCTCCAACGGCGTCAATCTGGCGCGCGAGTTCCCGGCCGCTATTGCGGCGCAGATCCCTACGGTCTATGGCGGGAAGGGTCCCGAGCTGTCGGAGGGGGCGAGGTCTTTGGCGCTGGCCGATGATACGGGTATCGTGGCTCGGGATCATGCTCAGACGGCTGTGGCTAAGCCTGCTGAAAATGAAACTGAAAGTAGCCCTGAAGTGCCTGCCAAGAATGACGAGCCCGCCCAGGAGGAGCAAGCAAAGGATGTGTCCACGGTGACCGAGGAGGCTACTTCTGCTGCGGCCGAGGTCAAATAGATGCTCTCGCTCTCTCTCTCTCTGAGTCTTTTGCGAGCCGTTGGTTGACTTGAGATACCCGAGTGGTGGATTACCCTCTTTTTCTCTTTATGATTGATCCAACCAGGATTGATCATTATTATTAATCCGTAGTCCATAATTGAACTCTTGATCTAGTGGCCTACACAAGATTCTGCAACTTCAGCTCGTATGTATAAGGCTGAGCTAGAGATACATATAGAGAGCAGCGAGGATTACTTCTACCGATAGGTGACGGGAAATATACATCTCAGCGATCAGCTTCAGGGTCACGGAGTGATTCGCTTATATTGAATTCCAATTCACCACCCATCGATCGCTTGGATCGAGCAGTCGTGTTGGATGACGATGTAATAAAGCTTGGATTCTACGCAACGACTGTCTCGGGGGGAAATAGTGCTGGAGCACTGCCCTCATAGTGGTCACGTGATACAGGGTCCGACCTTCCTAAGTCAGCTTATAGTTAGATGGGCTGGCCGGCGGCCGCCCCCCCCGCCCCGGCCCACGATAGTCCCTATCCGTTTAATCGCGACGTCCTCGTCGCGCCTTTATAAACGAGAAAATAATAAAGAAAAAACCCCAACAAAAATAACCTAGTAGTAGTGGACTACGAACTATTCACCCGGAACTGTCGTCGCCGAAGGGGTCTTTACATAGATTGTCGAGGTTAATGTACAACGCCTTACTGAATTGGGTGTAAATATCTACTATAACGTTGGAAACCTTCGTATTGAAATGCTTAGCAGTCCTAATATGCTCTATGCGCGCGTCGATCTCGGACTAGAATTCTAAGCCCTACCCACGATTATAATTCCAACAATCTGATTCGCCTATCCAGCACCAGGGCCATTATTAGTAATCTGATTTACTGATAACGTTAGATAGGGGTAGATTTACTCTTCAGAATGGACGGTTTCCTACGAATCAATTCATGGCATTATTGGCGGAGTTCCTGTTCGCTGTTAGTATGAACAACATTGGAGCCTAGTCTCTGTCGCGCGGGGCCAAGTCAGCCTCTCTTGAAACTTAATCTAGTAATTGGCTGGTTAGGTAGGTGTCCAGGTAATTCAAGCTAATTTTTTTTTGCCATTTCGCTCCACTGTGGTGACACAGACTCTCCAAATGAGACATCGTGGAAGGGCAATGCTTAACGAAAGCCATAAAATGTGGGCGGGCGCTGGACCGAAAAGATGGGCCCCGGTGACCAAGAATATTATTGTCTTACTCTTTTATTAGAACTTTGCCTAGGTAAGCTTCGCCGTGATAAGTAAGTCAGGCCCTCCATGAATAGGGTTTCGATCGTTCCCCTGGCGCCTCTCTTTTCTTTTCTCTTGCTCGTCGCCTGCTGCTAGATCGGTCGATTGTGTTTTGGGTGGTTGAATTCACCTAACCACTACTGTGCAATGCGTTCACCCTTATATAGATCCCGGTGGCCTCGGAGGAAGACCTTCTTCATTGCAGCAGTCTTGACGGCAACGAGCATACTCCTTTTGTCTCGCTACCACTTCCATTCAATGTCCTTGAGAGACACCGTAACGGTTACCTCCACGTATGAATGCCTGGCTAAATGTGAGAGAATTCTATTGTGACGATTTATTAGTGATTATTCCTATTCCTCACATGATGACCACTATTCTCTAGCCTTGAAATTCTCCATTCCGACACATACACACTCATCTTCGCTACAGTCTTGTGCAACACTAACAGCAACCCCGTCACCCTCCCCCATATTATCATCATCACCGCCGCCTGACTTACCCCTTGGTCTCTACGAACTTATTAAGCCCCACCTCCATTCAATCACGGCTAAGAATTTCACCAGTCGCACTGGGAAAGTGTACCAGCTTCCGAAAAATCCCAGGTTCACCCAGCCATTAGAAAAGAACATTCTTATCTTAGACGTTGAGAGTCGCGATATCGGAGGCCCAGGGGGTCTTCTTGACGAAGACAATCCCAACACCGACGCCTTGCAAGGTTTGACTTTCGGGCGACTGAATCACTACATGTTTGGTAAGTACATTGACTAATAATGGTTGTATATAATCACTAACCATCCACAGCCATGCTTCACGGATACGACTACCAGCTTGTGCAACTCCCTAATGACCCCACTCTCCACGGAACATGGAACAAGGTCCCAGCGATGCGTGAGGCCATAAAGCACTACGAATATGTTGTCTTCATGGATGGTGATGCCATCTTCACGCATCCCCATCTCCCTCTTGAATGGCTCCTCAATTACTGGGGGATTTCTAACCATACCACAATGGCCTTGGCCGAGGATCCCGATGCACCCCTCTTTTACAATTTGAAAAATATCGATCGAAACCTGAATACCGGCTTCGTGATCGCTCATCAAACTCCGAAAAGCGAAGAATTTTTCGAAGCATGGATGACTTGTCCCGATGAGACGCGATACGAAGGCTGCGCTGTCTGGAAACTGCAGTTAACGCATGAACAGGCCGTTGTTAATGAATATCTTCGGTACGACTACCCCGAGGAGATTCAGATCCTTCCCTGCACTGAGGCGAATCGCTATCCAGGCTCAGGAGATTGCGAGGGCGAGTTCGTCTCGCACTACTGGCCATTCAAGGAAATGATTCCAAGCGGCGGGAAGGAGGTAATGGCACAGTATTTCTGGCCACCCCTACAAAAAGCCTACTCTCACGACCGAGATAACCTGGTGGTCGCTATGAAGCGACATGATGCCCAAGAAGAATCGCTCAATGCGAATGAACCGGTTTTCGAAGAAGAGGTTCTCGATACAAATGAACCTGGCATGAAAGAAGATGCAGTCGATGTCAATGAGCCGGACACTGAAGAAAACAAAACAAGTTAATTGGGAAGAGTGGAATTCAATAAGCAAAGAGGCGTCACACGGAACTGGTTTAGCTCTATAAATATATATTTACATTCTTTTCAGGATAGTTACTGATGTTGTAGCTCAAAGAATGATTACAGTTATCCATCAGTTGGTATACGTAAGGCTAGATGTAACGGGTTAGACTCGTTCCGTGCGATAAGTTGTATAGCTGTCGTCCTGCCCAATTAATGACTCAGCAGAGTCATCAATAATAGTAAAATTATTATTAGTTTTAGTCAATATTAATTGAGCTCTTTGGTTTGGTGAGGAACGCTCAGAGAGTGTTTTGAAGTTAGGGTTGCTTCTACGGGAGACCGCAGAACCACCTGCGCAATTCGGCCGCGCTTTGACTTGGTCCAATTCTCCTTCACCTTCACGTCCTTGCTATTGTTCTGGTCCCATTCCCTTGCCCTGTCACTACTCTATCCCGGGGGTTTTTTTAATTTGGATTCTGCTCGAATCCCCACCGGGCGATTTCCCAGCATGCGACTCTGTTTCTGAATCATCCACCCGCCAGAAGTCGAATCGCATCCGTGCATCATCTTCATTTCTCCTCGCTCGCCTTATTGCATCCCCGAGCCATTCACTTTGCTCTCCGTTTCTTCGCACTGCATACAAGCACCTCCACGATGTCCGTCTGGAACCCAGACAATATCCGCGACGTTGCCGAGTCCGTCGGCATCGCCAACCTCAACCACGATGTGACCGAGAACCTGGCCCGCGATGTCGAATACCGAGTAGCGCAAGTGTTGGAGGAGGCTCTCAAGTCCATGCGGCATGGCAAGCGCACTGTCCTTACGACGCAAGATATCTCCCTTGCCCTGCGGGTGCTCGACGTGGAGCCGCTGTACGGCTACGAATCTATTCGCCCGCTGCGGTTTGGTGAGGCGTCGCTGGGACCCGGCCAACCGCTTTTCTATGTTGAGGATGAGGAGGTGGATTTTGAAAAATTGATTAATGCGCCCTTGCCCCGGGTACCTCGCGAGGTTTCTTTTACTGGTGAGTCGCACAGGAAGAGCAGGAAGAAGATTGGCTAAGATATCTCTCACAGCTCATTGGCTCGCCGTTGAAGGCGTGCAGCCGTCCATTCCCCAGAACCCAACCGCTGCGGACTCGCGCAACCTCGAGTTGGTGTCAAAGGGCCCCAATGCAAACTCCACGCTAGCTGCCATGAGTGGCACGGGCGACGTCGCTGTCAAGCCGTTGGTGAAACATGTGCTCTCCAAAGAACTGCAGCTGTATTTCGAGAAAGTCTGCAGTGCTTTTCTGGATGAGACCAGCGAGGATTATCGGACATCGGGATATTCCAGCCTGCGCGAGGATCCGGGCCTGCACCAGCTGGTGCCGTACTTTGTGCAGTTCATCGCTGAGAAGGTCACACACAGCCTCAAAAATATCTTCGTGCTGACGCAGGTCATGCATATGGCCGAGGCCCTGGTCCAGAACAAGTCCCTCTACGTGGACCCCTATGTAAGTCGGACTCCTTGGGCTCATGCAGGAACCTCCGTGAAGCTGACCGCTCCCAGATCGCATCCCTTGTCCCCTCCATCTTGACCTGTCTGATCGGCCGCCAACTCGGTGGAGCCACTGACCTGGATGAGCAATTCGCCCTGCGCGATTTGGCAGCCTCGCTGCTCGGCCTCATTGCGAAAAAATACTCTCATTCCTCTCATATGCTAAAACCGCGACTGGTACGCTCGTGTCTGAAGAACTTGCTCGACCCTTCCAAGCCGTTCGGCGCCCACTACGGAGCTATCATCGGGCTGCACGCTGTGGGGGGTGCGGAGGTGGTGCGCGTGCTCATCCTTCCCAATCTGAGCGAGTACTCCAAACTACTCGCTGATGGCTTGGAGGACAGCGCCCGTCGGCCAGCCGCCGAGCGGGTTCTCGTTGCTCTTCTGGCCGTGCTGGCATCGCTCAATGATGGCCGGCCGTCGTTGACTAATGGCCACCCCGCCGTTGTCACGGAGGAGCTCCGGTCGCGCCTGGTGGACCAGGTGGGCAATCTGATCGCGGACAAGATCGCGGAGGCAGGACAGGTGCAACTGGCGTATGTCATTCTCGAAGTTTAGACTTTCTTCTTTGGATTTGGTCGAATGCGGCCTTTTTCGTGTGATTGGGGGGGTCCATGCGGCCAGGCGTTGTGCAACTCGGGCGTTATGTGGGGACCTGCTTCCTTGTTTCCTGTTTTGGTTTTTTTTTATGCGGAGGGGCATTGGGTGCAAAATGTTCCTGTAGCTTCGTGACTATACCACTGATAATCATGGCCATTGACGGTGCAACCAGTGTTCAATTGCGCTGTACAGTAGAAGAATAGTACACAATCAACTACGTCACCTTCAGGGACACACGGTCACGATCGCGGGAAGTTAATTTTTCTGCCCTTGTACACCGCCCTTTCTCCGGCCTGGTCGCATGAGGCATTTCCTGCCCGTTTTTCCTTCTCGTCCTCAGTCAATATCGTCCCAGACGATCTGCACACTGCTGCATCCATTATTGACTTGGCAATTCGGTGTGTAACCCGTTCTCAGCTGTTGGGACACCAACTTGTTCCTTCTCCCCTCAAACAAATTCCCGGAGTGCCGGACTGACACGCTTCCGTCAGACAGAGTCTGCCCTCTATCCATCCGCTACGCCCCACGACAGCAGCGGGCCCACAGACAAATTTCCCAATTACCAACCCAACCACCTTGCAAACATTCCTCTCTTGCAACGGTCTTAATTTGACCAATTTCCCACCACCAACCAAAAAAAAACAGAGAGGTTCTTCTCTGTTTGCGTCTACCTGTTCGGTCGAATTCCATTCGACTTTTTTCCCCTCGGGCACTCATTGGGTTACTAGTTTGTGAGAGTCTGACCGACAGTCTCTTCCTACCCTAATCAATAGCCGATGTTCACGACTGTGGCTTCTCGCTACATCGTGCTGCTCTAAGCCGGATTTTTTTCCCGCCATCCATGAGCCCAAAGGATCTTCTACGATTCCTGTCCAAGCCCGCGAAGTAAGTGCCTTTTCTTTGCTGCCTGCCCAGGCCGAGCCGATAAGTCTCTTCGGACCAACAGCTCCGAGCCGGATCGGCTGCTTGGCCAGTGCTTCAATGTTCTCTAGGAGCAGCATTGGAAGAGACATCTCACACGCAGTGATTGTGTCACCAAAAATAAAAAGGAAGAACGTCTGCTAATATCTCGGCTTCCCTCCAGGCCTCGATAACGTGACTCCCGCTGGTCGTCACAACTCAGCTTCGTTTCCCAACGGTTTCCAACTCGCCCTTTCTCAAAAAAGCAGATACTCTCGTCTGCTAGTACTGATACTTTGACCGGTATCGGTATCTTCCAGCACGAGGGTACCCGACTGATAGTCACAATTTCTCTGCCGAGCATCTTTCTCTTCTCCTTCGCCTTCATCCCTCCTTAGCAGCCCTTCAGGCTTGTCTACACGCACCATCTGCCTGGCCTGTCCGCCAGGCTCACATTTTTTGCCCCAGGGCCTTCTCTTCTCAGACGAGCACTCCCCCCTTGTTCGTCTGGGTAAGTAGACAGTGCTTCTACAGCCTCAATTCTCTGCTTCCGTCAACCAATCACCAGGGCGGTCCGACGTCATACACATTTCTCTTTTTCATCTTTGCTGCTATATCAGCCACGGCTGCATCTGCGGATATGGTTTACATCGGTATTCCCAAGAACTATACCACTTCGCCGTCCTCGTTTGCCGGCACTTCTTTGACCATCAATCATGAAGCCACTCAGGACCTAGACTCGAGCGGTGCCTTTGAAGGTATGTCAAATTTCTAACATGGGTCTTAACAAGCTTCGTTTCTAACTGCCTGAAGGTCCCGAGAAGCTGCTGGAGGTGTGGTTTGCTCCCTCTGCCGCTGATCTGGGTGGCGCTGGTCCGGAGGGCCTGAAGAAAGTGCCCGGTGAGATCTGGAAGGACATGCTGGATCTGGTCAACTGCCAGGTGCTCTCGGTTGTCTCGTCTGAGGATGTGGACGCCTACCTCCTGTCGGAATCTAGCATGTTCGTCTGGCCGCACAAGCTGATTCTCAAGACTTGCGGCACCACGACCCTGCTGTCGGGACTGCCTCGCATCTTGGAGATTGCCACCTTGTTTGCAGGTTTCCCGCGCGCAACGGCTCCGCCCTCCCGTGGGATCTCTGTGGCTGCGGCACCCTACCGGGTCTTTTATAGCCGGAAGAACTATCTGTTCCCCGACCGTCAGCGTGGCCCTCACCGCAGCTGGCGTGACGAGGTCCGAAACATGGACAAGCTGTTCCTTAATGGAAGCGCATACATGATTGGCAAGATGAACGGAGAGCACTGGTACCTGTACCTGACCGAGCCTCACACTCTGCTCACACCCCCCGCTAGCCCTCAGGAGGCCGAGGAAGTTGTGACCGAAACCAAGATACTCAGCTTCCCGGGTGAGAAAGTTCCCGCCGTGGACTGTGAGGAGTATGATGAGACTCTGGAGGTCCTGATGACCGATCTTGATGAGGACAACGCGAAGCAATTCTATCTGGACAATGCCACTGCTGTGGCCGAGAAGAGCTACCGCAACTTCGACAAGGATGAAGGTGCCGAGCACGTGGACGTCTTCAGCAACACCTCCTCCGATCTGGATGATCCGGACCTTGAAGGCGGTCGTTTCCTGCCCACTGAACTGACCACCGAAGGTCACGCTTTGGGTACCGTCGTCTCCGAGTCCTGCGGTCTGTCGGACGTCTACCCAAAGACCCAGTTTCCGGACGCGCGTATCGATGCCTACCTGTTCACTCCGTGCGGCTTCTCCGCCAACGGCGTGGTGCCCGCACCGGATGGCAGCAAGGCCCCGACCCACTATTTCACCGTGCACGTCACGCCGGAGCCGCAGTGCTCGTACGCGTCCTTCGAGACCAACGTCCAGCACTCGCAGACCGGCCAGACCACCGCCGGTATTATCCAGCAGGTTGTCAACATCTTCAAGCCTGGCCGCTTCAGCGTGACGCTGTTTGAAACCAAGCCTGCCATTGACGAGGCTGCCGACGAAGCCAACGGCTTCCATGACACGGCCTACGTCCACCGCCAGGCTCTTCGTCGCTCTGCCAAGATGGAGCATGTCGAGGGCTACCGTCGTGTCGACCGCATCGTCCACGACCTGAACGGCTATGATCTTGTGTTCCGCTACTACGAACGCAACGACTGGAAAGGGGGGCTCCGCGGATCGGGGAGAAGGGTCTCTGCTAGGGGAATCGGTCTATTTCTCTTGAGTAGTGTGCCCATTTATTCTCTCCTCGTTTTCCGACCTTTCCAACCGTTCTAGCACCCATGCACTTGTTCCCTTTTTCGGGGTTTTGCACAGTTCTAATATTCGTTTCGTGTGTCTTCTCGCTAACGTACACACATCGCATCGTATCGCATCTTTCCGCTCTGAGCGACTCGTTCCTTTTTTAATTCAGTCTTCGTGTCCATGCTTCTGCTGAATGATGATATCAGCGATGTGACTTTCGGGTTATGTTCTTGTGATTTAGTGATTCCTACTCTTGTCACTCTTTTGTTCAAATCGACTATCTCTTCCTGGTCAACTCGTTTTCTTCGGGTCTGATCCGTGCGTCGAATTATCTTCACTTGTAGGCATTGTAGTTACTGCACTAGTAGCAAATCCCTATGTTGTCAATAGAACGTTTCTGCGAGAATGATTCACACATGAATGGGCGAGAAACTCAGCCATAGATGTCAGATATGCTATGCCTGAGGCGGCCTAAACCGGAACAACCATGTCCCGAGCTTTATCGCCCATTCGCAAGCTCCGGCAATCAGACAGACCTGCTTCTTCAGACACATTGATTTCTTCTCAACTCCTTTGTACGACTCGACTATCAGCTGACATCATCCGACGAGCTTATCACTCCCATTCCAATTGCGATCCTGCTGCTCGGCTCTCCAGCCAGGCGCAACAGCGCACCTCCCAGGTGCCGACCACTTCCTCACCACTATCATAATACGATATACTCGACACAGCACAACCTCTCAAAATGTCATCACCACCTCCTTACCAAACTCCAACAAACCCTCTCAAACGACAGTCCATCTCCTCCGCTTCCCAACCTCTCGCCAAGAAGTCTCGCATGCACCCCCTCCGCCAAACCTCCTTCCCAACCTCTGCCGACGCCGCCGAGCGCGGATTCGCCGCAACCAGCGATGCCGGCAGTGTGACAGGCAGTTTCACGGGGAGCATCGGCGACGCTAGTGCGGACGGGGTATTTGCCGGCGCGGCACGCGGCAAGAAGCGCGGCCGAAAGAGCAAAGCGGAGAAAGAGCGCGAGCGCGAAGATGCCTCGCGCATGGGCTCTGTTGATGTTGAGGGCGGCTCGGTTAGAGCTGGCCCTGTTGGTGGTGGTGCGGGAGGTCCTGATGATGGCGATGAGGATGATGATGATGATGAGGGGGAGCTGTTGGGGAGGGAGGAAGGGACTACTGATACGGAGGCGGAGAAGAAAAACCTTGCGTAAGTTTTCTTGCTTGGGTTACTATATATGGGTAGCCTGGATCTGACTGCCTTGCAGGGTTTTGGTTGATGCGTTCAATCCGATGCAATCTGAGCGGTACGATCTGTTCAAGCGTGCGAAGCTGCGGAAAGAATCTCTTCGTCGCATTGTCAACCATGCGCTCTCGCAGTCCGTGCCGGCTAGTGTGGTTACCACGGTGAACGGGTTTACCAAAGTCTTCGCGGGCGAAATCATCGAGAAGGCCCGCACTGTCCAGGCTGAATGGGCCGATGCGTACGATCAGGCTTCGCGTGCCGCGTTCGAGGCCGAAGAGGCCGCCGCTCAGACGAATTCCGCTGCTACACGTTCCAAAGCAGCAGCAACCACCTCTGCTGCTGGATCGGGATCAGCCTCTTTTGGCAATGGGGTAAAGAAAGAGTCTCCAAGTAACGACCGGACAACACCATCTGCAGCTCCTGCCCACAATTCTGCCTCACCTTCTCCATCGTCTTCCTCTCCCGCGCCCCAGAAAACTGGCACGGCAGACTCAAGCGCGAGTCCTGCTCCCGTCCGCCCGAAACGCGAATTCCGGTCCCCTCCCAATCCGCATCGTGGGCAGCTTCTACCTTCTCATCTTCGCGAGGCGCTCCGCCGTATCAAGCGCGATGGAGAGGATGGTGGCGTGGGGTTTTCGGGTCTGAGTATGGAAAATCTTGGGGTCCGGGGTGCATTTACATGGAATTCGGGGAGTGTTGGTGGGCGACGTCTGTTCCGGTGAGCTGAGTTGGCTTAGTCTTTCTATCTTGTTATTGCATAGGCGTGTTCGATCGGGTTTTGGGATTTTTTTTCAACCATTTCAAATAAATTATTGGCAGCTGGATCTGCCTATTTTATCTATTCGTGTGTCTGCCATCTGTCCTGTAGGTCGGTGAGGAATTTGCCGGCTTAGATCGGAGTCGCATCCCGCCGCAACTAGCTTTCAGGGGTTCTTGGCGGTGCGGCGGAGAAAGAGAACACAAGCCAGCAGATATTTTCATCGCCTGTTTCTAGAATATACCTGGTCTAATCAGGCCGTGGAATCCATTCTGTATTGTTGTAATTGCACTCAGTTCATTGTTATTCACGTGCTGGGAAAAGAAGCTCAAGTTAGGGCTGCACGATGTCTTGGCGCTTCTTTGGCCCCCGATCAAATGAACGACAATTGACCTTCATCATCAGCCGCTTGCCCGACGGACGTTGCAGCTTTTCTGGAGACTCAGCTCATTTGGTGGGTTTTACCGAAACTGAGACAAGCAGCGCAGCTGGCGTGCTCGACCACGGAAGAGCACGTCGAACGCCGCTTGGATGACGCTATTCCGCCCAGGGAGTTCGATTTCTTTCACGACCGCCACCGGCTGTGATAGCCCAGCCATGGACCAGGGGATGAAATTATTACATCCCACTGGATAGATCTTTTAATTTTCATTTTTTTCTCGGTCAAGGCCTTCTCTTGTCCCTCATGCAGAGAGCCTGGAGCCGGAGCGAGAGACTGGTCGAAGAGCGGATCGATGGGGCTCAAGCAGCCACTTAGCATCCATTGCACGTAGGGTGCAGGGAAATCCACGCCCAGTGAATCCGCTAGGGTCCAAGGCCCTTCTTGGCGGGGGCTTGACTCAGTTATGAGGACTCCGGCCATCTGCAATAGGCACATAAAATGTCGTCAGCTCATGGCCAGTCACTACTATCGCCGGTAGCCTCTTGGCTTTCGTGGGTTCCTGACACATGATTAGATTTGAATGGCGCCATTCGTCCTGGGTATAGGGTCATGCCGTGCATTTGCTTGCGCGAGCGTGGGCTCATGGTATATCCGACCCCCTTCTTTCTTGGCAGTCGTGTTCTCGTGTGTTGGTCTGATAATAATAGGAGTTGGCGACTCAGCGCCCCGGTTTGGTTGCAATTTTTGTCCATCCTGTCCACTCTTTACTGTCTGTCTATCGTTTCCCTGGAGCAGAAGTGAGAGAGATATAGATATCTCTTTTTCGTCTTGGCTCTCGTGGGATCTGCCACTCGTTCGACTCTTGTCTATTCTGTCCCCCGGATGTTCTGTTCGTGAATCCGTGGCTTTTTAACGTCATTTTGTGATTGAAATCATGTCATTCCTTCAACCATCCTATCTATATACCCGTCTGGCGGACGCGGTCCCAACAGCCCTACCATGGAGCGGAGGTGATTCTTCCGTGAAGGGAGATCCACGAAAGAGCGTCAAGTGGATTGATGTATGCTTTCTCTTAACTTTGTATCTGTATGACGTGCTAACCACATTCCCATGAGTTATAGGGGCTCCGAGGCATCGCCTCCTTTTTGGTTGTCATGACCCATCTTGCCCGAGCATGGGACTACGACCTGTTCTCCCCACGCGACACTGAAAATGCCTCGCCACGGGTCCTGCAGTGGCTTGTCCTGCGTATCCCCTGGCAGGGCCGTATTGGAGTCACCATCTTCGCCTTTCTGACTGGATACGTCTGCGCGCTGAAACCGATCAAACTCTCACGAGCCGGAGACAAACAGGCAGCGTTCACGACGATCGCGAAAAGCGCCTTCCGCAGGCCACCACGCCTCATTCTTCCTGCGACTATTGCACTAATTATCTCCTGGACTGTCGCTCAGTTTGGTGGCTTTGTTGTTGCCAATCGGTCCGACTGCTGGTGGTGTCGCTATGCATCGCCTGACCTGGCGCCGACCTTCTTGGATGAACTGATTCGCTTGCCGAAGAACTTCTTGTCTGTCTGGACGACTGGTTTTATGGCCTATGATGACCACCAGTGGGCGCTTCTGCCGCTGCTGCTTGCCTCGATGCTCATCTATATCCTGCTCACGGCGACCATGTTCGTGAAGTTCCGCTTCCGAATGCTGATCTATGTGGGCATGATGCTTTACTTCCATCAGGATGGCGCAAAGGACGTCGGTGAGTATTTTCTACACAGTCTGTCAGACAAGATAGCCTCTAACATGAATCACTACAGAAACATTCCAAATGCAAGCCGTCTACGGCATGCTCCTCAGCGACCTCAGCTACTCCGCCACCTTAAAAGAATGGATCGAGAACCACCGCTGGGGCCGCAAAGCGCTCAGCATCCCCCTCACAATCGTCGGACTCCTCATCGCCTCATATCCCGGCGAGCACCCAGAATGGGCGCAGTGGTCGAATATCATGCTCAAGGTCGCACACTACGCCTTCCCGCCAGATGTCAACATCGGTAAGCGATACACCGCCGTGGGCGTTGACATGATTATCCTGGCCATCTACCTGTCCCCATCGACAAAGGAGTTCCTAGCCAGCCGCTTGCTGCTGTGGCTAGGCAAGCAGAGCTTCGCTGTGTATCTGATCCACGGCACTATGCTCCGCGTTGTACTCGTCTGGATGCTGTACGGTATCACGGGCCAGCCCTGGGAGGGACCTGAGGCTGGTACGGACGATGACCGCGACTGGATCCAGCTGCGTCCGCCTTGGGTCGTGGCCGTCTCCATCCCTATCTGGATCGCGCTCGTATATGCCCTCGCTTCACTGTGGACTGCCTACGTTGATCCATTCTGTGCTCGGTTGACTCAGAAATTGGAGGATTGCATGTTTCAGAATGACGAGAAGGCTTCGCTGCCTTTGCCTGCTACGTCGCTTCCCATGCCGACGACATAACCTTCTTTTGATTCCGAGTTCTTTTGGCTTCTTGTTTTGTTCTTGGCCCGTGTGGTCTACTCTTGACAGAGCGGGTTCTGTCGATACCTAAGCATATACCTGAACGTAAATAGTTTATATTCTCGTCTTTCGTTTTTTACTTTTTTTCGAGGTTTTCAGTGTCAACTCCGAGCTTGTCAACTAGGAAATGAAGATACGCTGTACATGTTTACTTATATCGTTTCATGCGAGTAGCTATATCCAGGACACTTGCATAACAGCCAATGTAGATTTGAGTGGAATCTAGATAGTCCCTCGCGTTCAAAAGTCACAACTAGTAAGACAGAGAGATAATGCCCAGGTACAGCGCCCTAATTTACAGTTTATACACATCAACCAAGCCGGTCAGCTGCGTTTCCCACGCCCGTTCCGCTTGGATTTCTTCGCAGCAGCCTGTTTGATCTGCTGGTCCAGCCCCTTCTTCGCTTTCTCTTTCTGCTGGTCGAGATATCTCTGGTGAGCTTGTTGCCGCTCGAGGTTACGCTGGTCGCGCTCGGCGTCGTCCTGTTCTCGCTGAGTGCGCTCGTAGTCCTCAGCCCGCTTGCGGGTATTTTCGCTCAACCGAGGCGCCGGCGCCTTTGAGCCGTCAGCATTGGTAGCAGGCGCCTTTCCTTGAAACTCGCGAATCCCGTCTTTCATTTGCTGTCCCATCTTCTGTTGATAACCCTTGAAGTTGTTCACCCAGCCGTCGATTGCACTGGTTTTCTTGTCACTGGTCTCCAATTCGGGTTTCGTGGGCCCTGCGGCTTGGGCCTTTTCCTGTGCAAGCCGCTGTTGCAAGAGCTGGAGGCCCTTGCTATGTTGAAGGACCTCAATGTCTTCGACGTCAGAGGCTTTATGGTTCTTGGTAATCGCCATCTTCATATGCGTCCGGAAAGTTTTGTTGGTCATGATACGTGCCTGGCAGAATGCGAACGCGCCGGTTGCCACAAAGTAGAGCTGCAGCGCACTTGGGAAAAACGACATGAATACCAAAGAGATACCAGGGAGACCGTACATCATAGCTTTACCAGGTCCAGTGCTCATGATGTCCATCGTACCGGTGTCGCCTCCACGCTGTTGAATTCATAGTCAGCTATGGCAATCAAGGAGAAACAAAGCGTACACTAACTAACCTTGAATGTCAAAAACATCATAGCGCTGGTCGCCGCTGGCAGAATAAAAGTCGGATCGCTGACAGTTAAGTCGGTAAGCCAGCCCACAGACTCGTTGGCCAGGCCGGGCACCGGCAGGGAGGTCATGCCGCGGATGACACGGAAGCAACCATAGGCCAGTGGGATCTGAAGCATGGGGATGAAAGATTTGTACGGTACAATGCCATGTTCTGCCTGAATGCGCTTGATCTCCGCTCTTTTCATATGCATGTCCATCTGTCTGCCCTCACTTCCGGCACGCATCATCTCATTCTTGAGTGGGTTGAGGATAGGCTTCACGTTGTGAACCCTGGCGGCTGTGTCGGAGGCATCAAGCATCGGTTTCAACAGTGCTAAACGCACTAAGAGACCGGTACTCACGATACTCGCCCACCACGGCAATCCGGTCCAGAGATGGATGTGCTCGATCATCCATTGCATTATTGACGACGGTCCCCAGCCGTAGTCCAGGCCCAATTCCTTGAGGTACCCAACTCTCTCCGGGATTGACGTTATATCGGTCTCCCACAGATTAGAAACATCAGGGCTGCTTGGAGGCGCGGTTCCCTCGGGGATCTTGTCCGTCACGGCGTCGGAAGAGGTCGAGTTAAATCGAACAGCGGCTGGCCCTGCAGCCACGGCAGCCACTCGCCATGGCACATTGCGCGAGGTAGCCGGGGTCAATTGGCTTCGCAGGCCTGAAGTACGCAGACCCTGCGGCCGGAACGACGATATCTGCGGGAAGAAAACAGTCAGATGAATGCCAATTGGTTCCGCGCGCAGGCTGAGAACGAACCGATCGAGTTGATCGATAAGTTGCGACCACCCGCTGCCGTGCAGAGGCAGCGGTAGCAGACCCTTTCAGGCCAACTCCCAGCATTATTGTAGTTCGAACGAGTGATTTGGGGGAATGAATGGAGAAGAGCGTCCTGCCGTTTGTTCGTTCGGGGTGACTTTTTCTGCCGGGCGGTATGCAGGAAATCAATGATCCAGGCACGAAAAACACAGGGGAGATGTTTACAGGTAGTTAACTATACGCTTGAATCGTTACGGTAGTTATATGGCATGCAATCCATTGCGCCCGGCGCCCATCAGTCTATGTACACGCATTATATCCAAGAAACAGAAGCCAAGCATGCATTTTGTGTTGCTCCCTTGTAGATGCAGTTAGTTACTCTCGTTTCCCTCTCTTGTTCACTCTAGGGACGCGGAATCGTTCAAACCAGCCGGAGCACTGCGTTTCCGCTCCCAGGGTAGTTCCCGGACTTCGACACCGGGGCCGACGGGATGTGTGCGGCGGTATGTCGGGAAGATCTGTAGAAGGAGTGGTCAGCTCACCGCTACCAGCACGGCGGGAAGGATTGCATACCTTGGTGTTGGTCCATCCTAGCCGGAAAGCAGCCTCATGTGCAAAGAGCTCGCCGAATCCCAGCATTAGGCCGTTCACGAACGGCAGAAAGAGGTTGATTGCGGCGCCGCGGAGAACGCTCCAGAAGGTCGGCGGCTTGTACAGGATCATGGGGGAGCCCGTGCTTGATTGGTCTGATAGCTCGTTGTTTGCTGAGTAGTTCTCTGAGTCGGAGGGCACGGTCATGGTTGAGTCGTACAGCTCGACTGGCGAACTGGACGGGGCGTCCGAGGCCATGGTGGTGGAGGGCGGCGGCCGGGAAAGCGTCTGCTAGACACTGAGGTGTTGATTGGTTGGTTGGGTGGTCGGGTGAGATGATATGGCAGGGGGATTGAGGCAGGGCGATGACCCGGATAAGAATATCGTGTATTCGTGGTATTATTTGGCGCCTGTTGTTGCGAAGATGATGCCATCCACTTTTGGTGGGCGGAAACCAGGGATTATGTCTTATGTCAGCACCGCGGATTGCACTGTAACTACTTTGGGTACGAATGGAGATATTCCTAAACCCGATGAACTAATCAATAATCTAAATACCATCGGAAGAGACTTGGGAATCTATTGTAGCAAGCTGGGAATACTGGAGATCTCCAGTTGCTGCAAGCAAAGATCCTAACCACCTGGAGTTGCTGAAAGGTATACTTGAATAGAACTCACGCATCAAGCCAAGCTTACCCGGTATCCAGACAATTACAAGCATCTAATCCACTAGTTCCATTACCAGCAGCTTGCATCCCCCAACACTCGAGATCATACACCACTAATAGCTAGTACAGACTTGTCTGTATAGCTCGGGGCGGAACATCCCGTAGTCCGGCTGACCAATGAATGTGACGTACCTGCCTGTTTGGATCTGTCCTCTCTCCAACTCTCGTGGTTGCGCTTCGTTGCTGCTGCTTTTGATTTTCTGCGACTGACCCTATAATTCTCCCAAGACTTCTCGGAAACACCTCCAACTCTACTCTCACAAGTACACGCTTCCGTCCAGCTCAAGCATGGAGCACAACCCCGCCGAGCACGACGAGGTCGTGTCTCAGTTCTGTGCCATGACCGGCACCCAACCTGCAGAGGTGAGCTCGGTGTGATCTGCACCTGTGGGTGCTATTGCTAATCTCATATCTCAGGCCCAGGAATATCTCAGCGCCAATGGGTGGGACATGGAAGCCGCCGTGACCGAGTTCTTCGCCGAGCAGGATGAGGCCCTACAAGACATGAACACCGGGGGCGGGCGACAACTGGGTGCAGAGGGACCTTCTGGCGCGCCTGCTGGCGGCCGATCACTAGGCGGAAGAGCCGCACCGGCTGGATCCTCCGCCGCCGCCGAGTCTTCGTCTTCTGCCCCACGCGCACCGCCGAAGAAGAAGTTTGCGACATTGGGAGACTTTGCATCTGGAGGTAGTGGTGGGAACTCATCAGACGAAGATGACTCCACGGATCAGGATTTTTTTGCGGGGGGTGAGAAGTCGGGACTGGCGGTGCAAAACCCGGACGATCTGAAGAAGAAGATTCTCGAAAAAGCACGCCGGTAAGGTTCTACACTGGATGGGACATCATGGAATGTCGGGGAATTTCTAATCTTTTAGTCTAGAGCACAACCACCACCGTCGGACGAGCCCGAGACGCGACGATCGGCCTTTACAGGCACTGCCCGTACTCTGGGCGGAGACGAAGCCCCCAGCCGAGTGATCGAAGACACCACCGCACCTGCACCGCAGCGTACACAGCGCGTTCAGCGGACCCTCCACTTCTGGGCGGATGGCTTTTCCGTCGATGATGGTGAGCTATACCGGTCTGACGACCCCCGCAATGCCGAAATCCTGGAAGGCATCCGCCAAGGCCGCGCACCGCTCTCGATTATGAATGTGCAACCCGGACAAGAAGTGGACGTGGATCTGAAGCAACACGAAGAGAAATACGTGAAACCAAAGCCTCAGTACAAGCCTTTCTCCGGAGCCGGACAGCGTCTGGGCAGCCCGACACCCGGCATTCAAACCCAACCTGCTGCACCGCCCGCCGCTGCCGCACCGGGTCCTTCCACTACAAACGAAGCACCGAAACCAGAGGTTGATGAATCCCAGCCGACTTTGACGCTGCAGGTGCGTCTTGGGGATGGTACGCGTCTGACGTCGCGGTTCAACGCTTCACATACCGTGGGAGATGTTTACGAGTTTGTGACGGCTGCCAGCCCGGATTCGCGGATGCGCCCATGGGTGCTGATGACGACTTTCCCCAGCAAGGAGCTTGATGACCGAGGTGTTGCGCTGGGTGATATGTCTGAGTTCAAGCGCGGAGGTGTTGTGGTGCAGAAGTGGCAGTAAGAGAAGTAAGGGTGGGATGGTGTGCAAAAGGGGACAAGTAGAGTGAATTACGATGGCGCATTATTCGATACAGGAGGGAGGAACCATAGCTTAGATGAATCCTGAAACCGGTCATGTCTATCTACAGTGTCAATAATGTTGTTCTTTCAAGACCTCTGAAGTCTGGATCTAACTATAGTTAAGCCGTTAGTCAGTCACGCGATTGATAAGCAAGCCGATCCCGACAGTCGGCTCCCCACCTGATCTGGATTTCTTCCTAAACCTCTCTTGTGCCTCTGCCATTGATTCTCTCAACATGCCTTTGGACGGAGTCAAAAACGTCGTGCTGGTACGTATCCTCTTTGAGCCAACATTCACTGCCTGCCCATCGCTGCGCGCAGTAAAGACCAAAAGAAAAAAAGAGAAGCAACGCTGCAACCCCTCTGCTTATCGATAACGCCGACATCTTGAAACTGCGTACAGCAGGACTGACAACCGATTCCTCTCCAGGTTCTCTCCGGCAAAGGAGGCGTCGGCAAATCCTCTGTCACCCTCCAGCTCGCGCTGGCACTCTCCCTCCAAGGCAAATCCGTGGGCATCCTCGACATCGACCTGACCGGACCCTCGATCCCGCGCCTCGTCGGCCTCGAAGATGCTAAGATCACCCAAGCCCCAGGCGGGTGGTTACCCGTCGATGTGCACCCCTCCTCAACCTCAACAGACACTTCACAATCACAATCACAAGCACAATCGCCGCGTGGCTCCCTCCGCTGCATGTCCCTAGGCTTCCTCCTCCGTGACCGCGGCGACGCAGTCATCTGGCGCGGCCCCAAAAAGACCGCCATGATCCGGCAATTCCTCTCGGACGTCTATTGGGGTCCCACTGATTACCTGCTGATTGACACGCCACCGGGAACAAGCGACGAGCACATCGCGCTCGCAGAGCAGCTCCTCACCCTCTCCACCGCCGACGCGGCCACTGCGTCCCAGAATCATATTCCCCGCCTCGCGGGCGCGGTGCTGGTCACCACGCCGCAGGCGGTTGCGACATCGGACGTCCGCAAGGAGGCTAATTTCTGCGTGAAGACTAGCATCCCCGTGTTGGGGGTTATTGAGAATATGTCGGGATATGCGTGTCCGTGCTGTGGAGAAGTGAGTAATTTGTTCTCGAGTGGTGGGGGGCGAGGTTATGGCCAGGGAATTGGGGATTCCATTTCTGGGGAGAGTCCCTGTTGATGTGAAGTTTGGGGAGTTGGTGGAGGGAAGGATGGAGGGTGGTGATAGTGAAGATGATGAAGAACAGGGAATGCAGGTGGTTGAGCAGGAGGATACGCGGCTTCTCGTTGATCGGTACAAGGAGTGCTGGTCTTATGCTCGCTTCGAGGAGTTTGCGCGCACGGTAATAGGTGGTGTGGAGGGCACGGCAGGATCCTAGATTGGGAGAGGAAATGTTTGAAGCGATATCTAGATCTTATACGTGTGTTGCATTGCATTAATTAGACTGGGAGGCATTGTTATCTCGTGGATCAGGGGGTATGAAATCAAATAAGAGACATAGATCATTATCATCATCATCTGCAGTCATAACTCGTTAAATACCATCATGGTAGTAGACCGGGATTTTCATCGGCCAACATAGCGCGCAGTTTGCCCTCTGCAGACTGCAATCGCGGCGAGAGATCTGGCCCAGCAAATCGAGCACTCCATCTCAACCACCCGAGAAGGGAGCGCACAACCTCCGGACCACTCGGTCCGTCCTTGGCTTCCGGAGTGCCCCCCACGACTGGAACATGAGGCCCATTATTGGCTGACCCCGGATCATCGGCCTGAGCATCGAGATAAACCTCCGACACCACGGCCGGAGTGACCTGGATCTGATGGCCATCATGCTCAGGAGACTTTGCCAGCAGATCTCTGCTCGAATTCTTCGGCTTGGACGCAAACTCTCTCGTGACAGGCAGAGTCGGCAGACCCATCCCAGGCGTAGCATTCAGCTGCGCATCGATCGACCGCCGAACTTCAGGCGATGCATGCGCAGCAGCCGACTGCCGCAGACTTTCGACATATCCATAGAACGAGAACGGATGCAGTTCCCTCCTCGGATTGCCCCATGCAGCGGCAGCATGCTCATCATCAAAAATGACCGCCCCGCCCTCATCGGCGCGCCGCTCAGCGCTGGAACTGGCCTCCTCAACAGGCACGAGACCACCACCGGGCGCCGCGCGGATCTCCCCCAGCGGCGCGATGTGGCTGCCGTATTCATTAGCGAGACTTAGCTTGCTGCGTCCGCAGATCTCTGCAATGGAATCCAAGGTGCCCCGGATCTCGGGGTCGATGGCTTGCAGGATGCTCTCGATACTGAAATCCCCGTCCGACGGGCGTGGAGGGCCCGGTGGTGCGCGGGACGAGGGAGCGGAGCCCTTCGAGCCCGTGGTGAATGGGAGCAGACGGCGCGGGGACATTTTGGGAGTGCTGCCTTTGTCTTTGGCTTTGTCCTGCTCCGCATCGCCGGAATATGCTCTGACGAGCACGGGCTGGGTAGCTGCAGCTGGTTTTTTAGATGTTCGTGATGATGATGATGATGATGATGATGATGATGATGATGCTGGGCCTGAATTCAGGGCTGATTCCTGTTGTGTACGACGCTGCGCTTCTCTCTCACTGTTGGTGGACTGGTATTCTCGGGCTGCTTGGACTGCTGGCGGCGCGTAGGACGGTGACAGTCGGAGCCATCCTTGGCGAGGGAAGGACGAGGAGGACAGCCGGCCATCCATGACCCGGACGCAATGTAACTCACTAAGCGAAGGCCCGAGCAGAGACAGCGAACACGTTGTTGGCGAGGGAATACTGCATGTATGTGTTGGCAGAGGAAAAGAAATCCAGTTGGTTAGTAACAACAACAGAGAGGGTCACGGGGATTCACTACCCGCATCCACCGTGCATTGCTGGTTCACTCTCTCCCGATAGCCAACAGTACACCATGAATCCGTTCAATGTAAGCACTCTTGACAGACCCAACCCATTGGTCTCGAACCATCGTCACTGACACCTCTCTCCAGTTCGGCGACTCAGACGAGTCCGCCTCCGATTTCGACGAAGACCCCTCTGGCCTCCCCTTCCCGCAACCACTCTCGCGCGCATCATTTCTCGCCGCAGACTTCAACCCAGCAACTTTCCTATCATCTCTCACAAACCGACACCAAAGCCTCGAGGATCTGCGCCAGGAACTGCGCGGCCTAGAGCAGCAGCTGAACAAGGAGCTGCTGGACCTGGTCAACCAGAACTACCAGGATTTCCTCTCACTAGGCGGAGCGCTGCGAGGCGGCGAGGAAAAGACCGAGGGGGTGAAAGTGGGCGTGTTGGCTTTTCAGCGTGATGTGCAGAGTATCCGGGACAAGGTCGAAGCGCGGCGGCGGGAGGTGGAGGCGCTGTTGAATGAGAAGAGGAGGCTGCGGACCCAGGCGGACATTGGGAGGGATCTATTGGATTATGCAGATCGTGTGGAAGAGCTGGAGCACCGCTTGATGATTGGGGATAAGGACAAGTCGTCTCCGGAGGGTGCGGCCGAGTTGGACTCGGAGTCCGATGTGTATGCCAGTGACAGCGGGGATAGCGACGACGAGGAGTTGGCCGATGGAACGGCTACCGTGTCTCTGAAGCGACTGGAGCGGCACATCCAGAAATTCGTCTATCTCAAGTCGCTGGTGGAGCGCGTGGGCGCGGAGCATCCGTTCGTGGTTGCGCAGCAGTCGCGCGTCTCCAAGGTCCAATCGACGCTGCTGTTGGATCTGAAAACGGCGCTGGAACAGGCCAGTCATGCAGGCCAGAAACGCGATGGCCGGACCATGGTGGTTTTGCGTCTCTACGACCTCATGGGCGAGGACGTTAGTGCAATCGCTGCGCTGAAGAACCTCAAGGTATAGATTCTACATTAGAAGAGGGACAGAGATACATTGCATAGCATCGGCGTTTTGAACAACCATTTATCGAACAGAAATGATACCATCATACACCAAGTCCATTTTTCCTAATATGACACAAAAAAAAATCTGTACACGCCAACACGGAGGATATAAGAAAGCCAAGTAAGTAATTTACAAGCCGGTTAAGAGAGCGGGTTCCGGGGAAGTCTCGGACTGGAAGTCTCCGTTGAGACTGAAGCCGGGGCCGTGAGTCGAGCTCAGCACCACCTCGTGGATCTCCTTGTTGATGCGATCGTTGAGCCCTGAGGCATCCTTTTTGACCTGTTCAATGGTCGTGCGCAGGTTATCCCGCAATTGATCCGGCGAGAAGGCCAATTGCCCGATGGGGAGACGAATCACCGCATCACGTTCCCGGTAGACCGTACCGCCGCGGAGCATCTCCACGCGCGAGGCCACATCGTCCACCACCGTTCCCTGCTTCGCGCTCGGCATCAGGCCACGCGGACCCAGGATGCGGCCCATGCCGGCCTTGTTCAGCGCCGCCAAGCTGTCTGGGTGAGCGAGACAGCGGTCGAACTCGATCTTGCCCTCCTTGACGGCATTGAACACTTCATCTTCGCCGACCATCACCGCACCCGCGGCGAGGGCGTCCTTGGCGTGCTTGGATCCGGGGGGGCAGATGACACAGATCCGGGACTCGGTCTGGACGGCGTGCGGAAATCGGATCATGTTGCGGATGACGGGGCCGTCTTTCCTCGTTCGTAGCCGGATGTGAACTTCGTATTTCAAATTGGTGGGTTCACGGCCAACTTCGGCGGCCCGAAGGTATCTGCAGATCCGGATGTCAGTTTGGTTTCCACGAAGTCGAGGAAAAGACGAGCGTACCGCATCGCATCACACAGGGCAAACTGATCCATATCCTTCAGGTTTTTCTGTCTGAACTCCCTCGGCCCTCTCCGATCCGGTTTAACGGCCTTGTCCTTCCCCTTGTTTTTGCCCTTGCCCTTCTGAGCGTTCCCCTTGGCGCCTCGGACCTGCTGGAAGGCCGGGAAAAGAGGCGCCATTGGTGCTTGTCGGAGTGGGAGGCGACATGATGAGAGGATCCCGCGTGCTGCGGGTGGCAGCAGCGAGCTGGCGGACGACATGGCGACTGGCAGAGGATGAAGCGTGATGGGTCTCGTGTTTTTCGGCGGAAAGCTGTTCGGCACCGGAGAAACATAGCCCCGGGCAGTCCGTCATGCCCCTCCAAAAAATAGTTCCGTCTTGACTCACTCACAACTACAATGGCGTCCTTCGAATTGACTGTGGCCACGCGTGCCAACCATGCAGCTTTGCTGCCTGTGGTGCTCATTGCCACCTCTATCAATGAGGCTCGTTCCATTCCCGCCATCAAGATCCACTGCGAGGACACCGCGATGCTGAACGAGGGCGACAAGGCCATTGTCCAGCTGACCAGCGGCTCCAAATCGGTGTTTGGCACTAGCAATGCCATCCAGGAGCTGTTTACTCACTTTCCCTTCCTGCGAAGCAAGGATACGAAGCTGGTGAGTCTTTTCTCCGCGATAGTGTCTATACGGATACTATCGATATGTACTCTGTCTAATGCATTCACTATAGGAGGATGAGTGGATCTCCCAGCTCGACGCCTTCGCTACTCTGGATTTTAAGGCGCTTGATCCTCTTCTTCAACGCCTGAATGCCTACCTTATGCTGCGGTCTTTCATCGTCGGATATTCTCTCTCTACCCCCGACATCGCCATCTGGGGTGCCCTCCGTGGAAACCGAGTCGCTCTTGCGGCTCTGAAGAAGGGCTCGCTTGTGAACCTAACTCGTTGGTACAAGTTCTTGGAGGATCTGTGCCCGTGGGCCTCTTCTGCCGCCGAGACTTTGAACGCTGCCGCCAAGGAGAAGAAGTCTGCCAAGTCCAAGGAGGGCGGCAATTACGACATTGCTCTCCTCAATACCGAGAAGGGAGTTGTGACTCGTTTCCCGCCTGAGCCGTCGGGATATCTCCATATCGGGCACGCCAAGGCCGCCTTGCTCAACGACTACTTCGCGCACGAAAAGTACAATGGAACCCTCCTCCTTCGATTTGACGACACCAACCCGTCCAAGGAGAAGGAGGAATTCCAAGACGCCATTGTCGAAGATCTCAAGCTCATGGGAATCAAGCCCAACAAGATGACCTACACTAGCGATTATTTCGAGGAGCTGTTTGACTACTGCGTGAGGATGATCTCGGAAGGAAATGCCTATGCAGATGACACAGACAAGGAAACCATGTCTGCCCAACGTTTTGACGGTATTCCAAGCAAGCGCCGTGACCTCTCCCCGGAGGAGAGCTTGGCTCATTTTCAGGAGATGAAGCAGGGCACTCCCGAAGGCCTGCGGTGGTGCATTCGTGCTAAGATATCTCCAGACAACAAGAACAAGGCGCTTCGGGACCCAGTCATTGTGAGTATCTCCCCTGCACTTACTAAACTCCAACTCACCCCCACGAACAGTACCGCTGCAACCCAACTCCTCACCACCGCACGGGCAGCAAGTGGAAGATCTACCCGACCTACGACTTTGCGTGCCCCGTAGTAGATTCCATTGAAGGTGTCACTCACGCTCTTCGCACGATAGAGTATAGGGATCGCAACCCGCAGTACCAGTGGATGCTTGATACGCTTAAGCTGCGCACCGTTCAGGTCTGGGACTTTGCTCGGATGAACTTTATCCGTACGCTGCTATCTAAGCGCAAGTTGACCAAGCTAGTCGAGACGGGTACTGTCTGGGGCTGGGACGACCCGCGTTTCCCGACCATTCGTGGTATTCGCCGCCGTGGTATGACCATCCCCGCACTGCGCGAGTTTATCCTCAAGCAGGGCCCGTCTAAGGCGGTCACCAACTTCAGCTGGGACCTCATCTGGAACACCAACAAGAAGTACATTGATCCTGTTAGTCCGCGCCACACAGCCATTATGACCAAGGGCATGGTTAAGGCGACTATCACGGGCGCCCCCGCGGCGTATACGGAGGAGAAACCCAAACATGCCAAGAACGCGGCCGTGGGAATGAAGACCGTTGCCTTCAGTGGCTCGATTGTCATGGAGCAGGAGGACGCGAAGCTCTTCAAGCAGGACGAGGAGATCACACTTATGAGCTGGGGCAACGCGATCGTGCGCAAGATCACTACCGACGCCGGTGTCATTACCCACCTCGAGTTGGAGTTGCACCTGGAAGGCGACTTCAAGAAGACCGAGAAGAAGGTGACGTGGCTATCGACCGAGGGCCAGGAACTGATCCCCGTCGAGCTCGTCGACTTTGACCACCTGCTCACCAAGGATTCGTTGGACGAGGATGACAAACTAGAGGATTTCCTCAACCCTCACACCGAGTTCCGTGAGGATGCCGTGGCCGATGGCAACGTGGCGAAGCTGAAGGAGGGAGATATCATCCAGTTCGAGCGCAAGGGATTCTACCGCCTGGATCAGGCCTACGCGCCTGGGACTCCGGCGGTGTTCTTCAACATTCCCACGGGCAAGTTGAAATAGAGTATGTGGGATGATGATTACGTGAAAAAGGAGTAGATAACCACTGCTTGAATTAAAAAAGGACAAATGTTGTTTTTTTGACGACGGAGGAAAGGGGAATCCAATCGTGACCACGCCGTGTCTCATGTCCCCACGTAACGCAGGGGTTCTTAGGACTCGCATTCAATTGAAGACCTGCATTTTTGATATTGGAAACCCATCCTATGCATGATTTAATGACATCCTCCCTCTGGGACGCCTTTGCAAAGCTCAGCACTTATCTTGCGCGACCCTTGCACCCCGCCTTCCTTATCGTGCAGTCTTTCTCTCAAGTGGGTCGGGATAGGGCTGAGTCACGTGGATGGGGATCTGCAATGATCGACTGTATGAGTTCGGGGAGGGAACGTGTCCATTATTATTACATTATCGTATGGGAGGTCGTTCGGAGAGAAGAAGGAACGTGTAACTGAGTGAGTTCTATGAATCATGGTACCCTGTGCTCTTACTGCGCGGCTGCCAGCGGAATCGGGCATGACGTCGAAGACTGTCGGGACACTCGGGACATTCGGACGCCAGCATTGTGGACGTTGTCTGTTTGTACTATGTAGATAATTATCACAAATCAAAATCCTCAGCGGCCATGAAGCGACTAATGATCCAAGTCTGTATATCTTCGCGCCACCCAGCTGGTTGATTTTCCCCGAAGCTCAATGACAGCTCCCGGCAACGGATGTCCAGTCACAAGCCTGGTTCCACAGGGTCTTGCCGATGGAACCCTCGCGCGGATCCATGGCCACCGCAGCTACGTACTTACTTCCTCCAAACTCAATGCCATCTCCCCCGAGTCACCCCCCTCTTCCGGCCTGCTAGACAAGGTTCGTCCGGATAGACACCCAGCGTCTCCTACGTCAAGACCCATGAACACACAGGCTAGGCACAGAGTAACTAGGAGAGGGGTGTTTTCTGTGTCAGTCACGACGTCAGCATGAAAAGCTGTAGGAGTGGGCGTAGCAGATGTAAGGTTGGAAGAACAGTAATCCCTGCTTCTCTCTTACGCTTTCTCCCACACACACCCTCCCGCTCTCTCGCCCTCTCCTCCTTTACCTCACCTGTGCGAAGGGATTTGCTTTCTCCTTTGTATTCCTTCTGCTATACTCTCTCTTTCGTACTCTTCTTCTTCTCCCCTCCCCCCCCCCCCCCCCCCCTTTTCCCCCTTCCTCTTCCCAAAACCAGCCATTGTCCCTCGCTACACTCTTTTCCCGCCTATCCCAGTCCAAGCAAGTCGTACCCGAGATATGGCGAGCGAAGACCACGACGTCGAGCGCGCGCCCGAAACCCGCCGCAGCTCGCGCATCTCCCGCGCCTCGCTGAGGGAGTCGGACTGGTCGAATCTCGATGAGTACGGCAAGCTGGTCAAGTATGTGTCGACCTTCCGTGAGGCCGGAGTAGTTGACCAGGAAGAGGGCGATTTCGTCGAGAAACGCGTCTGGTATGCTCCCTGGAAGAAGCGCAGGGTCCGAGTGCGCAAGGTGGATGACGCTGGTGCCAAGTTTCCCGATGACTGGCTCATTACCGATATCCGAGAGGGACTGTCGAGCGAGGAGGCTAATCAGCGGAGACATCGCTCCGGGTGGAATGAGCTGGTCTCCGAGAAGGAGAATCCTATTGCGAAGGTCCTGTCGTACTTTCGTGGCCCGATTCTTTATGGTATGACTTTTTCTTCATGCGTTGATTCTGGGCCATGTCTAATACGGCCGTCTAGTCATGGAGCTTGCGGTCTTGCTTGCCGCTGGTCTGGACGACTGGGTTGACTTCGGTGTCATCATCGGTATTCTGTGTCTGAACGCTGCTGTCGGCTGGTATCAAGAGAAGCAAGCGGCCGACGTGGTTGCAAGTCTCAAGGGAGATATTGCCATGCGTGCCCTCGTCGTGCGAGACAACTCTCAGCATGAAATTCTGGCACGAGAGCTGGTTCCTGGCGATGTGGTATGTCTACTATTACTCCATGATCTAAGCAGGCCCTAATTATCCCACAGGTAATTGTTGGTGAAGGTCAGGTCATCCCGGCTGATTCCAAGGTAATCTGTGACTTTGACGATCCCAATGGTTGGGAGGAATTCAACCAGCTCCAAGAACAAGGCATGCTCGGCGGTAGCTCCTCCGAGTTTGAAGATGAAGACGAAAATAAGGGCGAGAAGGACAAGAACCAGGAAAAAGAAGATGGAGGCGAAGCTGAAGGTGAAGCTGATGGCAAAGAGAGCGAGCCGCAGAAGCCCCGTCGCCGTGGCTATCCCATCTTGGCTTGTGACCACTCGGCGATCACCGGAGAATCTCTGGCCGTCGATCGGTACATGGGCGACATAATCTTCTACACGACGGGATGCAAGCGTGGCAAAGCGTACGCTGTGGTTCAGACGCCGGCCAAAACATCCTTCGTCGGCCGTACTGCGACCATGGTGCAGTCTGCCAAAGGCGCTGGTCACTTCGAAATCGTCATGGACAATATCGGAACATCTCTCTTGGTTCTCGTCATGGCCTGGATTCTCGCAGCTTGGATCGGTGGATTCTTCCGTCACATCCCCATTGCTTCGCCCGGACAGCAGACGCTTCTTCACTATACGCTAATTTTGCTTATCATCGGTGTTCCCGTCGGTCTTCCCGTGGTCACAACCACTACCATGGCAGTGGGTGCTGCGTACCTGGCCAAGAAGAAAGCGATTGTTCAGAAACTAACGGCAATTGAATCGTTGGCTGTACGTTTCCCGTCAATCAGAAAAATCCATGTAGCTAACAATATTAGGGCGTGGATATTCTCTGCTCTGACAAAACCGGTACCCTGACAGCTAACAAGTTGAGCATTCGCGATCCGTATGTGGCCGAAGGCGTCGATGTCGACTGGATGTTTGCCGTTGCCGTCCTCGCATCCTCGCACAATACCGCGTCGCTCGACCCCATCGACAAGGTCACCGTCTTAGCTCTCCGGCAATATCCCAAAGCTCGCGAGATCCTTTGCCGCGGTTGGAAAACGGAGAAGTTCACCCCGTTCGACCCTGTCTCCAAACGCATTGTGACTGTTGCAAACTGCGATGGGGTTCGATATACGTGTACCAAGGGCGCGCCCAAGGCCGTGCTGCAGTTAACCAAATGCGCCAAGTCCACTGCCGATATGTACAAGGCCAAAGCTCAGGAATTTGCACACCGCGGTTTCCGCTCTCTCGGAGTGGCCGTCCAGAAAGAAGGCGAAGACTGGACTCTGCTTGGCATGCTGCCTATGTTTGATCCGCCTCGCGAAGATACGGCACAGACAATCAGTGAAGCACAGAATCTCGGCATCAGTGTCAAGATGTTGACGGGTGATGCTATTGCTATTGCGAAAGAAACCTGCAAGATGCTTGCTTTAGGTACCAAGGTGTACAATTCAGACAAGCTTATCCACGGCGGTCTAAGCGGCGCAATGGCTAGTGATCTCGTCGAGAAAGCAGATGGCTTTGCCGAAGTTTTCCCAGAACACAAATTCCAAGTCGTGCAGATGCTGCAAGAGCGTGGCCACTTGACCGCTATGACGGGTGACGGTGTAAACGATGCACCATCGCTTAAGAAAGCTGATTGCGGTATCGCTGTTGAAGGCGCCTCCGAAGCTGCACAGTCGGCATCAGATATCGTGTTCCTGGAACCTGGTCTGTCGACCATCATTGACTCGATCAAGGTTGCGCGCCAGATCTTCCACCGAATGAAGGCTTACATTCAGTACCGTATCGCGCTTTGTTTGCACTTGGAAATCTACCTGGTGACGTCGATGATTATCCTGAACGAAAGCATTCGAGTCGAGCTCGTCGTCTTCCTGGCTCTATTCGCTGATCTGGCTACCGTCGCCGTGGCATACGACAACGCCTCGTTCGAACTTCGCCCTGTGGAATGGCAGCTCCCTAAGATCTGGGTCATCTCCGTCTTCCTGGGCTTTCTACTTGCTCTGGGCACATGGGTTGTGCGCGGCACAATGTTCCTGCCGTCGGGCGGCATCATCCAGAACTTTGGCTCGATTCAAGAAGTGCTCTTCCTAGAAGTAGCACTGACAGAGAACTGGCTGATCTTCGTAACGCGCGGCAGCGACGTCTGGCCGTCCATCCACCTGGTAACCGCAATTCTGGGCGTGGACATTCTGGCAACCATCTTCTGTTTGTTCGGCTGGTTCACGAACCAAGACATGCCCACTGACCCGAAGGACCAATTCGTCGAGTCCGCAAACGGCTGGACAGATATCGTCACCGTGGTTCGCATCTGGGGCTACTCGCTTGGTGTCGAGATCGTCATTGCGCTCGTCTACTTCATTCTTAACAAGATCAAGTGGCTCGATAATCTCGGTCGTGTGAGGCACAGCAAGGGTGATCTCAAGATCGAGAATTTGCTGGGCCATCTTTCTCGCTTGACGGTTGAGTATGAGGAGCCTGGTAAGCCGAAGGGTCGGTTCTTCTTGGCTGCCAGCAAAGAAGAGGAGGATGTGGAGTGATACCAAATGGATGTGGGGTTCTTTTCCGCGCGTTTGTTCTCTTCTTTTTTTCTTGAAGATGGTTGCTACTTTATGTGCAGACTAGACGATGTCTATTTGGTCTGTACCTGAGTGAGATCGTCGATGACTTAGCTGATAATGTCCATTTATGACCGGTGTTTACGGGTCGAAAGACAGGGATGCTTATTTTCCCTTTGTTAATCACTTAATAATTCAGATAGTCCAATCGATACCTAATTTGTTCGCTTGTGTGTTTCGAGGGTTGCTCGTATTCTAGAGATGGTACACGCTTGCTCGGTGATGGCCCGGAGACCCGACGGATTCATTGATTAGAGGAGGGCAGATAAATAGATAAAGGCTGACAATGAGTGCGTGCTAGTGCTGATTGGGGACGATCGTCGGAATTCATGGATCCTACCTTCCCGATTGATCCTAGCGAAATGCAGGGGAGCTATATAGCTCGCTGCTCCAACCTAGCCGAGCGGGGTTGTCCGAATGAATGAATTAAGGTCAATCCCAGATTCCTCCCAGAACCCGAATTCCTTACGATCACCAGGGTTTGATGGGAAATTCAGAGTTCAAAATGTTGTCATATCCGAAGATCTCGATCGCAGCTGCGGCAGTGCTGGCGCACTCTGTCGCGGCCCAATTCGTCCCTGCGCCAACGGACTTGACCACGAAGCAGGGTCATGCTGGCATCAACGTGCGATACAAGGAAGTGCCCCCTGGGATCTGCGAACAGGATCCCAATGTTAAGAGCTATTCTGGCTATGCTGATGTTGAGGAGAACGAACATATTTTCTGGTAAACAACCTTTCCGATTGCTCGCCTGCACTACGGACCTAGAGCTTTGTTTCAGGAGAAGTGAGCTGACGAGCGCAGGTGGTTCTTCGAGACTAGAAATGGAGATCCGAAAGAGGTAGGTTCCGAGACCTCTTCCTGGACTACAAGGAAATTTACCAACAAGCATGTAGGCACCGCTAACAGTCTGGATCAACGGAGGACCGGGATCATCTTCAATGCTCGGGTTATTTCAGGAACTGGGGCCTTGCGGAGTTGATTATGAGGGCAAGGTATTTAACAATCCTTACTCATGGAGCAACGTGAGCAATATGGTAAGCGCCACCATTCATTATCTATAAACCTTGCTCAACAGTCACCAGCTCTTCGTCGACCAGCCTGCTACGGTTGGGTTCTCTTATACAATCCCCATTCCGGCTTACCAAGATGATGATGGCTATATCATCCAACTCCCTGATGAGACATGCCCCGGTTACGCCCAGGCATACGGGACATGCGGCACATACTCCAAGTCAAACGTTGCTTTAGTGCCCAATTCGACAGCAGGAGCAGCTCCGAATATGTGGAAGACTTTGCAGGGGTTCATGGGGGCTTTCCCACAGTACTCAAGAAATGGCTTCAATTTCGCTACGGAAAGTTACGGAGGTCATTATGGCCCCGTGTTCAATGGTAAGAGAGAGAGTCCCGGGAGATCATGAACGGGAAAAAAAACTAAGTTTGGAGCAGACTATTTTCTGGAGCAGAATGCTAAGAGAATTCCGGACTCCATTCCGATTGAGCTTGAGAACGTTCTTATTGGAAATGGCTGGTACGATCCCCTGATTCAATACCAGGCGTATTACAACTTCTCCATATTCCCCGGCAACACATACGACTATGACCCGTACAATGCGTCGGTGAAGGCCGAATGGTACAACAACCTGTATGGCGAAGGAAACTGCGTTGACCAGACTCTGCAATGCTATGCCACGGGCCGAGACGACATTTGTTCCGCGGCGGACAACTTTTGCGCTGATAAAGTCGAATCACTCTATGACAACTACTCCGGGCGCGATGAGTACGACGTGCGCGAGCTGACACCCGACCCGTTCCCGTACGGGTTCTACGCGGACTATCTCAATCGCCCTGATATACAAGCCGCCATTGGGGCTTATCAGAATTATTCGGAATACTCCTACACTGTCGGAAATGGCTTTGGAAGCACAGGTGATGACGACCGTGAATCTGGAACGATACAGGATTTGCGAAGGCTGTTGGAGGCCGGAGTGCAGGTCACGATGTATTTTGGGGACGCGTAAGAACCAGCCCTTATCGTGGCATGAGATATCTGAATTGTGCTGATTAGAATACTGACTAGTGACTATAACTGCAACTGGCTCGGAGGACAAGTTGTCGCAAAGAAAATCAACGCCCCAGGGTACGAAAAGGCAGGCTTTGTCAACATTACCACTTCCGACGGAATCGTTCATGGACAAGTCCGGCAGAGCGAGCTGTATAGCTTCGTTCGAATCTACGAATCCGGCCACGAAGTACCCTTCTACCAGCCCTTGGCTGCGTTAACGATGTTTGAGAGAGCTCTCTCAAGGAGGAATATCGCGACTGGAAAAGAACATACGAGACAACATGGCGGCTATCGGACTGTGGGACCTTCCACGAGCGACTACCGGGAGGGCAATAGTACGATCGTGCTCAAAGTGCTTCCGAGCCACGCTACTTACAACACAACTCTCAATGGGCCTAATCCTCTCTCCGCATCTACCAAATTGCGCAGAGAGAACAAGCAAGAGCAGTCGAATAGAATGTCGGGACGAGGCACGAAGAAGGGTAGTAGGCGGATGGTGTGAAGATAAATAGCTTACATTAATCTTCAAAGGGCAGAAAATGAAGCATATCACTATCTGCTATTCACAATAGATCCTGCTGCTTCTATCGGGAAGGAGGTGTTAGCGGCCCAGATATTTCCAAAAAGGGGACCTAGGGCCGTGGGCGAGTGACTGATGGGGTAGAAGAACGTGGATCAAATAACTCTACATAATAAAGGGTTATGGACATTGAATGAAGCAAGCTTGAAGAATATGTCGTACGAAAACTTGCCATACACTCGATGGACTTTTGATTAATTATTACAACACGTGACCTACAAAACCCTGATTATTGACAGCGCATTATCTCAAATCATGAAAAATAGATTCACTTGGTTGAAATATAAGTGTGATGCAATAAGGCCGTATATTATATGCAAGCGCATCATCAGAGTGTCTCCACCTTCAAATAGAAGCAATGCAAGCCCACAGAGTCCAAAAAGGCTCAGGTGGAGGGTTGTAGGCTGGTGGGAGGATTGTGAATTATGGGTATCATGAGACAGTAACCCAAGTGTAAGGGGAATCAAAAGATTTAGGAAGAAATTGAGGAAGAAGCAAAATGAAATGAAAAGGTTCTCTCTTGAAAAGAAGACTGGATGTGTAGCAAGCCCAATCAAGCAAGGTGGCTGACTATCAATCCGAAGAGTCTTGTTGAAGCTTTCGTCAGGTTATGTAACTTATAACGCGCTGATATTTAAGCACGGAACGGTCGACTGTGGTGGCGACCTCCGTGGTGATGTCCTCCTGCGTGACGTCCTTCGGTTCGACCATTGGCTTCACGGAGAGTGCTAAGAAGACCAAAAAGATCGGTGCTGAAGAGGTCGGGGATAAGGTCTAGGGCCGAGGAGTCCTTGGATTTGCCATCATCATTCTTGTCGTCATCCGAGCCGGGAGGGGTAGTAGTCTTAGGTGGCTTGGGATGAGTGGTAGTCTTAGGCGGCTTGGGATGAGTGGTATTCTTAGGCGGCTTGGTGGTAGCCTTAGGTGGCTTGGGAGTCTCCTGGCTAACTGAAGTGGTCGACGTTGACAGGGTCGTGGGTGCTGGACTCGAGGTAGAGGACGTGGTCGAGGATTGCGACGACTCGCCGGAAGTCGACGATGTGGGTGTGCTGTCTGGGAGATCGTCGCCGTCATCGGTTGGGGTTGCGCTCGGTTCGTGGGAGCTCGTGGAGGTGGTAGAGGTGGTTGTCGTAGTTGTCGGTGTTTCATTGCCAGTGGAGGAGTCCCCAGATCCAGATGAGGAGGAAGAGGAGGACGAGGACGCGGGTGGTTTGGAGGATGGTGAAGGATGCGGTGAGTTAGTTGACGAAGAGGAAGACGCCGAGTTCGACGCCGAAGTGGACGACGACGAACTGGAGAGCCCCGATCCCAGTGCTTCCCGCACACTATCAATAAAGCCACTATTCGCATATGCCTGTGTCATATCCCACATCATGACTCCTCCGAAGCTATCGAAGGTTTTAGCGTACTCGATCACGTCCTGCAACTGGGACGCTGGGACGTAGCCGGTGCTGGCGGCGGTCGAGCCGGCTGGCACGCCGAGGAGGACCTTGACGTCCTTGTTCTTGGATACCTTCTTGGCCCAGTCGTCCCACTGGTCGAAGTTGAACTTAGAATCCTTTTCGTTCTTGCTGAAGGCGTTGACGCCGCAGAAGTTGTTATAAAACTGTACCCACACGGCATCAATTGATACGGGGCCATTGAGGATCTCTTTGTCGGCCTGATCCGGGTAAGGACACTGCGGTGCAGCAGTTAAGAAGTACTTCTTATCTTTCTCAGCATCCATCAGGGAGCGGAGTTCATTCGCAAACGGAGCCATGTTCTGAACATTGGCCTCGAAGTCGAAGTCGAACCCATCCAGAGCAACATCTCCGAAGGGCCGTTTTGCGTCTGATCCGTCCTGCTTGGGCCCGAACGTCTCCCACATCAGCTGGGCACCAGCTTTCGCTTCATCTTCTGACGAAAAGCCGCCCTCGCTGTATGTGGCACCGCCGATGGACAACAGAATTGTCTTTCCCTGGCTCTGACAGTCTTTAATATCCTTACTGTGAGGTGTCAGTTTAGCTTCACACAAGAGCCATGTATCCTTACGCAATTTGGGGACAGTTCTTCAGCTGAGTGCCGGGAAAGACGTCACAGTCTTTACTCGTAACCGAGAAATCCACTTCTGGAGCGCCCCCTGCGCCATTGATCATCATATCAAAAGCCAGCGGGATGACCTGAAACCAAGTCAGTTCATCATTCATAATATTAACCCGCCTGTCATACATTGATTGCATCGTCTAAGATGCTATTCGTCAGCTTGTCTCCATATCCACTGGATCATGTCCAACTTACTTTTGCAATAGTAGGCTAGAGGTTGTTGTCCGTGACCTCCCGAGTTTTGGCCTGCAGTTAAAACCGATTAATTTTGTCCCCGAAGAATCTTATTGCTGTACACACCCCAGTAGACAGCTATGTTTGAAGATGAGTTCAAGTCCAATCCTGCCATTGCCTTCCCCAAAGAGGAGAGAAGCACCGCCCAAGGGAGAACGCCTTGATAGTTGTGCATTATGAATAAGCGGCGTCACAGGTAATTGTGACAAAAAAAAATTACTATTAGAGAGGCGCGTTAATAAACGGTTGGCGGCGTCAATGGTGCAGAAGGAAAGACAAGAAGTCGCAACAACTCTCGAAAAACCCAACAGGGATAGGAGTCATGTACCATGGACTAAATAGCATACTCCGCGTTGTTTTTTTGCATGGAATCCGCCCATAACAAAAGCCCAGCCTGACCCTTCATCTTGCGTCATCGAGCGCAACGCGTGCGAGGTATGGTCCACCATATCCACCCCAACAACAGTATTTGATAGCTTCGGGTTAGGCTTGCCGAGGATCTTCACCCATTGGACAGTTTGTTGTTTTGGCATTTGGTTGTGCTGATTGGATTGTGATGCGAGCCTCCCTCGTTAGGCTTCATTCCAAGCTCGTTGTCAAGGCACCCCGGAGGTTGATCGAAGAATGTACGGCGGGAGGGACAACACGATGCGACAGGTGGCGGGTCTAGGCCGGCTAGTTTACGTTTCTAGGGATGATATGCTTGGCGGAGAATGAACTCGCGCCGTCTTGAGAGATTCTGCATCCCTTGTCTGCCTTGTGGGGGTGGTACATTGCGCTAGACGGGTAGTCGGGAGATGCCACGGATATCAAGCCATACCCGGCCAATGGCAGATATGTTTCTACTGTGTATGATTCCAGAGTGTCTCTGAGCTTTGTGTTACAAAAGGAGGCCCCAGAATGACAGCAGGGGTGCCGTAGTTGACGATTTATATCGATGATAGCCTCACAGTAGATGGTACGTAGCTTTGAAGCACTATATGCAGCAGAAACCTTCCGTCTCTCCCTTATATATCAGTTCCTGTGTTACCCTTTCAGCGAGATTAAGACGATACAGCCGAATGAAGACACCAGCGGCGCTCGTGCAGAGTCGGCTAGCACGCTCCCAGCTTCGGTACTCGACTCCGGGTGCAGATGCAATGCTATATGGCGTGACTTTGTTTTTTGGTATCTCTAGTCCGTGTATTGAGTCTGGCCATTATCTTCTTGTTTTGTCAATCCCGTCGAAGGCAACAATCTCCTACTATAAAACTGTCGTATTAGAATTTTCCAGCCACGCGTGTCATGGCCGTTGAATGGGAGTGAATCCGTTCCTTCATTGTATTTATATAGTCCTGGCTATGCATTCTTCTCCTAGTCAAGCATTGGTATATACCAACAAAAAGGGTCGAATATAGATGTACTGTTGAGGTGGTTGCCAAATCGGGAAATTATATGTGCCTAGGTGTTTTTGTCTTACCTCTCCCGTTAATATCGGCCTTTCGTCGCACTTATGTTGTACTTGATAGCTTGCATTATGTGTTTTATTCACTACATCCTTACTGCCATCACTATAGATGCCTTATACGGCATTTGCCGCGTCATCCCAGACAAGCAAAGAAGGCTGCAACAGAAATATATCATTGATGCTTTTAATCATTATATCGACACACTACTTGGTGCCATAAGTTACGACCGTCTCCATTTTCTCAAATCTACAGATCAAGTCATCGAATATCCTCAACAGCCTTCTTGCTCAATAAGCCTGTGACAAGGACAGAGATAGACCTACCTCCGAATGCCAATAACCCGACTAACAGCCTCCTCATTGCTCATACCTTGATCAATCACCCCAGCCACCTTCAACACATCCACAACGCCTTCAATAACCTTCGGATCGACACCGCGTGTGCCCGATGTAAACTTCACATCCTTCAACCACTCAACCGCATCCTCCTTCACATACGTACACCCCAACTCGCCCGTCCCGAGGAGCTTGACGACCTGGTCGGTGTCGGATTCGAACTCCTTGATCCCCTGGTCAAGAGCTTGGAACAGAAGCTGCAGCTTCGGGTCATGCTGCGGGTCTCGGAAGGAGGACGTCGAGGCGACGATCATCCACGACGGCCAGGGAGTGAAGATCTCGCCAATTTTCTTGAGTGGCGGCTGCGTTTCGCTAGCTGTGGCGTGGAAGTAGGGTTTTGTGGTGAAGTGCTCCCACATAAAGAACTCCGCCGTGGGAGAGGGCTGATCTGCTCCGGTGACGCCGTTGCGGAGGGCGCCGAAGGGGCCCAGCGGGACGCTGGTTAGACTGTCGGCTTTCCAGCCCTGTTGCTGGGCGAGGACGAATGACATGATGTGGGAGCCACTGCATATAATTTATGTCATGTTAATCCCCCGAGTCAACTAAAAGTCCATGCTGATAGACGGATACATACCTCCCAGGACGACTAATCCCAACCCTCTTCCCCTGCAAATCAGACACACCGTCAATCTCGTTCCGATTCCGCCCCGTGACAATCGCCCACCGTAGCGGATTGTCCACCCAGTGTCCGACAACGGCGTATCCGCCATTCTCCGGGTTCGGGTTCGGCTGCGCTTTGCCTGCCAGGCCGGCGACCCAGCCCTCGGTCAGGCCAATGGCTATATCGATCTCATTTGCACGCAGCGATGTGATCATGTGACCCGTTCCCGAGGGGAAGGGGGTCAGCGCGATCTTGAAGGGGAGAGAGGATGTGGCGGGGGAGCGGAGGGCAAGGTGTAGGGGGGTGAGATAGTGCTCTACCATCAATTAGTCAATTGTTGGATGGGAGTGATTCGGAGAGGGAGAGTACCAGGCACGTAGCCGATGCGGATTGTGGGCTGACTGGCCATCTTGGTTTGGTGTTGTTAGAGTGATGGTGGGATTCGAAAGAAGGTTTAAAAAGATAAGATGTCATCCATCTCCCCGCTTCCGGAGGTGTCTTCCGATAGCTTTCAAGTGATAATCGTACATGTTATTAGTCTATAAAATATATAAATTTCATGGCCAGTAGCAAAAAGCCCGTTTCTTATCTACAAAGGTACCAATTGCTTGCTCTCACGTCATGCGAATGTCCTTCTCCGCCGAACTTCCCCCGGCCCGGTAAGAGGCCCGCGTAAACATATAGTACTGCACGCCCAGGTAGACATCGCACATGCACTGAAACATACCGCACAGCTTGAACGCCAACGGGATCAGCTCCTGGCTACAGAAGAAGTAGCTCATCTTCATCGAGTCGCCGATGAGCCAGGCTGCTAGCACGGACAACCGGAAACCCTGGCAAGAGTTTGAGCGGTAGTTGGAGATAATCTGGGGGACAGGGAGCGTGGCTTCGATGGCTAGGCCGATGTAGCCCAGGAGATTGATATAGAACTCGGATTGGGAGACCGGGGTGAGGTGGATCACGGTCAGCGCGGCAACCAGGTAGGCTAGGAACATCCAGTATCTAATGATGCAAATAATTTAGCATGGGATCGCTTTGCACGGCATAATACAGACTCACGGTTTGGTGTTCTTCCACTGCCAAAACTCGTAGGGTCGCGCAAACCCGCCATCGGCACTGCCGCCGCTGAAGGGCGTATGCTCGATCCCATTCTTCATCCCCGCAGATGGCCGATTCTCAAGCGCAACCTTGAGCAGGGTCCCCTGCACCAGGATCATCACGAGAGCCTGGGCTAGTAACGCGCCTGAATAGTAGGCGCCGAACCAATAGAAGACCCTGAAACCAATCCCCATCAACATTATATCCCCAACAAAAACTCATCACCGGAGTAAAGACTCACTTCAGAATCGAGGCGGAGAGCATGATGAGCGGGATGTCGAGCGAGAACCCGGCCGATGTCCGTGTGCGGTGGATGCTCAGAATCTGGTCCGCGTAGGAGGTCAGAGGAGAGGTGATGAGACTGGCAGACGTGGATTATTATTAGCTCTGGCTTCCACACTCAGATCGATGGATCGTGTTCAACGTACAAGACAGGGGCGCCATATTCAATGACCAGTGAGATGAGATTCATGATGCCGCAGATGGTCCGTGGGCATGAAAATGAGTGGCAATGGAACGGACGGAAACAAGAAACAACGAGTCCCAGAGAAGGCGGAACACGGCTGAACAGAATAGTCAAATCTGGCACAGGGCAGATTTGGAAGCGAGTGACTGGTGGGAAAGCAGTGAAGTTCAAGGTGGACCCAGATCGCTTCTTCAGGGAAAAAAGGAGCTTAGTAATCGGATCGATGCAACCGTTCACTAGATTAGTGTCAGTCGTATGCATTACATAAAAAGAAATGTGCACATCTGTATTAGGACTCCATAGAAGATTTTTGGGAGCTGTCAGCCCTATGGCTAGAGGGTCGCGTGACTTTCAGTTCTCGCCCTTTTTTCGAATCCTGGAAAAGCGGATCCCAAATGGAGGCGCAGAAGGAATCCCGGAGCTTGTTTAAGCCACGCCTGGGCCCCTGACCAAGCAGATGACGATTGGTAGGAACATATTTTTGGTGAATGTTACAGATTGATGGATTGTGCTAGATCATTCGTATGTCCAAGATTTAATCTACCCTTGACAAATAGTATGTAGAGTCAAAGTCATCTTCATTGTAATGTAGAAAAACTCGATTGGTGTAATTCCCAAGGTGATTGTGAGAAGAAAACAGAATGATAGGTAGGATTGGATGAAATCAACAATTCCAGATGCGCGTAAATATACATTCATTCAGATCTTGGGAAATCCGAGATGCCACGCCATTCCAATGCCCACACCTGGGTTCTTCACCACGGCATACGACGCCTTGCCGCCCTGCTGCTCATAGAATTCCAGCGGCGCCGTGCCAACTGCCTGTCCATCCGCACTGACATCCACGGTGGACTGTTTCGCCCAGGCAGCCGGCGGGTCGATGATCACCACGCGTCCGAGCTTGACGTCCTTCATGGTCTTCATGTACTCCGCCGTCTTGGGGCCCTTGGCGCCAATGTCCTCCGAAGACAACGCGCCGTCCCGGAATTGGAAGCGACGGTGGATGTAAGCGCCGCACTCGTAGTCGAAGGTCTCGCCGTCGTCCACATACAGGGAACCTTCGGCCTCACTGTTCTTGTTCAGAGTGATCACTAGGGTGTACGGGTCCCAGCGCATGAGACCGCTGCTGCGGCGAGGACGGTCTCGGCGGGGGATGATGTGACCACCCTGGATTAGCACAGGCGTCTTCTCGATCGGCGCGGGAACGGCGTGGGTCTTGCCGGCGCCCTGGTAGACCGTGTAGTCGAAGTAGTCGTAATACTTCTCGTCGTCGGCCAGGTAGACATGAGCAACGTCGACATCCTCGTGTACCACGGGCTTTGCAAGGATACCGGTGTTGCCCAAGTAGAGCTGATCGTCAATGGCGAAGCCCGCCTCGTCATCTGGGTGGACGTAGTACTGGGGCCGCACGATCGGGGTGCCGTTGACCGAGGCCTCATGGAAGGCCGTGTACCACGCTGGCAGGAGCTGATATCTCAGACGAATGGCCTGAGAGATAATGGATCGGTGGGGCTCCGCGATGAGGTACGGCTCACGGCGGCGGGTGTCGATGTGAGCGTGGGCACGGAAGAACGGATACCAGATCCCGGCCTGATACCACCGCGTCAACAAGTCTTTCTCAGGGTTGTGGAAGAAGCCGCCAACGTCGGCGCCAATGAAGGGGAAGCCTGCAATGCCGTTGTTGAGAACCATCGGCAGGGAGACACCCAAGTGTTCCCAAGTGGCCTGGTTATCTCCGGTCCAAGTGGCTGATCCTCGCTGGGCGCCAGCGAAGTACGAGCGCGTCAGAATAAACGGCCGACGCATCTCACCCTTGTTGCGCTCCAGGAGTGCCTGGTACGTTGCGTTGATCAGGGTGAGACCGTTGAGGTTGTGGACATCACGATGCTCCCAGTCGCCGTAGTGCACGTTATCCTTGGGCATGGTGGTTTCCGGGCCATTGAATACCGAAGGCTCGCTCATGTCATTCCAGATAAACACGTTGGGCAGCGAACCCTTGAACCGGTCATACTTGTGCAGGCTAGACCACCAGGGAAAGACGGCTGGGTTGAAGCAGTCGACCCAGTGGGACGAACCTGGCCAGCACCACCCGTCGTAGGCACCACCATCCTTGTTTTTGATGGCGAGGCCCTTACTGTTCAGCTCCTGCGACACAAAGTAATTGTCGGCGTTCTTGATGTGAGGATCGATGAGCACCACCAGCTTACGCTCGTGGTCATCAAGCTGTTCCTCCATGCCCTTCGGGTTGGGGAAGGTCATTGGATCCCAGGTGAAGTACTTGCGGTCGTCGGTATATTCGAGATCGAGCCAGATCACGTCATAGGGAATCTGGTACTTGTCGAACTTGGCGTCCACCTCCTTGACATCTTCGTCGGTCACATAATTCCAGCGGCATTGATGATAGGCAATGGCAAAGTGCTGCGGCAATTGCGTATACCCCGTAAGTTCGCCGTAGGTCTTGCTAATCTCTTTCGGGGAGGGTCCGAGGAGGATGAAGAGGTCGAGACGACCAGCCTCGGAGAACCAATGGGTTTGAGTGTTTGTTTTCGACTTGGTGCCCAGGGAGAGCGGGTTGGCAGACGTGGTTGACTTGACAATGTCGACCCACGTTTCGGCTGCATTGAGCCAGAAGACACCGACAGTGGAGTTCTTGCGGTGAGCCTGCATGAACGGAATGGAACCATACAACGTCATGGGGCTGCTGAGTTCGTACTCAAAGACATCCGAATTGTACATGCGGTATGGGTTATCGTGGTTCCCTTCGCCGCCTCTATAGCTTTATTAGCTCCGTTCTGGGGGAGACTGAAGATATGCGACTTACCGAGTCTGTTTGAGCGACATCGAGTCCGCATGCTCCGGGATACCAAACACATGGCTATAACCAGGGAAGGTGACATCAAGGGCAATACTTTCTGGACCACGCGGCTTGGAGTCAGTGTTGCCGCCAAAGGTCTCTTCCCACCAAGTGTTCTCTTCCTCTGGGGAGTCTTCTCCTTCCTTCTCCACTTTCGGTCTCCAGTGTTCCATATTCAGGAGACCCCGGTCGTTAAGTTGCACATGGGTCTGCCCGTCTCTCTGAAAGTCGACGCGGAACGGGGAGTGACGAATGACTGCCTGATAAGCATCGCCAGGGCCGTAGAGCACCTTGGTGAAGCCAGTCTCGATTTGAGCATTCAGCGTCGCCAATTTGCTCACTTCCAAGCCTCCGTTAAGAACCCACTTCCCAGCATCATCATACCGCTTCTTGTTCACCTTGCTGTCATGGCGGAGTTCAATCTCGCCCTTCAAGCGCTTCTCCTCGTCGACGATCACACGGGCAGCACCGGATTCGAGGAAGGACACCGTTAGGGGTAACCGCAGTTTTTCAGTTGCAGCGGTTGTTTTGATAAGGATACCAGTCAGTTGGCCGTCTTTGAAGTGCACCGTGGCTGGATCGAGTTCATAAGGCGAGGTCCACGAGTCGCCTTTCTCCGCAGCATTGTCGGCGTATGCCCGATTGCGTTTACAGAAACCCGATTGAGCGCAGGTTTTGAAATTCTCGTGTTTGACCGTCACTGCAAATCGCCGAGTTAGCCCAAGTAATTGCCCGCAGGGACAAGGAGCATGCTCACATCCGGGGACCACAATGCACCCGATGAGGACGAGCAGGGATAGCAATAGCGTCCAGCGGGACGCAGGCCGGCTGCGGACCATATTTCAAAGCAATTAAGCTATCACAAATCCCAGAAATGATCAGGTGGTGTCCTGCATCGGGAGGTGGTGGTGCAATTGCGTTGGGGTGAAAGCTCCAGCTGGCCAGACGAGAGATAGCTGGGGTAAGACACCTGAGGCATCTAACTCAGGCGGTCAGGCATCCGCGGCCAACACACCCCTCCAGCCCCACTAACAAGATTCTTCCTCTTTTCCTCCCACTTCTTTCCCTTCCAACTCTTCCACATCCCCGTTAATCCCATCCATTCCAATCCATCACAATGGCCGACGAGCAGACGTAAGCAATTGACCCTCTTTTCTTCCCCCAATGCCAGCGCTGGCTCCCCCTCCTTTGCCCAACAGCCAAGCTAACCGACTCGGTGCAGTTTCATTGCCATCAAGCCCGACGGTGTCCAGGTATGGATCTCCCCGATCCAGCAACTTCACTCAATGGGCTAACAGACACCTCAATTAGCGTGGACTCGTTGGCCCCATCATCTCTCGCTTCGAGAACCGTGGCTTCAAGCTCGTTGCCATGAAGCTCTGCTCCCCCTCGCAGGAGCACCTCGAGAAGCACTACGCCGACCTGGCCACCAAGCCCTTCTTCAAGGGTCTCGTTGCCTGTCAGTTCCTCACGCTTCCGTCTCATCCAACACACAGTTACTGACTTCCACCCTAGACATGCTGAGCGGTCCCATCTGCGCTATGGTCTGGGAGGGCAAGGACGCCGTCAAGACCGGCCGCAGTAAGTTTCTCTGCCCTAGGATTCCAGTCATCCACTAACCACGTCTAGCCATCCTGGGTGCCACCAACCCCCTCGCCTCCGCCCCCGGCACCATCCGCGGTGACTACGCCATTGTAAGACCCCAGTCCACCGCGAGTTTCCGTTCATGCTGACAATTGCACAGGACGTCGGCCGCAACGTCTGCCACGGCTCCGACAGCGTCGAGAACGCCAAGAAGGAGATCTCCCTCTGGTTCACCGCGAGCGAGCTCATCAAGTGGAAGTCCAGCCAGGCCGCGTGGGTCTACGAGTAAATTACTCGTTCTTCCGCCGACCCTACCAACGCCTCGTCTATGGTAGCATAGAATGCAATGGCTAATAGTTACGGAAAAAGAACCATTTATTATATACACATATGTACGATATCCCTGATCTACAACCCTAGCCCCTCCCCAGCAGTCTCCTGGCTATATTTGCCGTTGGCGTGAGGACTGTCCTTGCAAACCACGGCGTGGCCGCGACACTCGCCGCAATGCGGACAGGGAGCAGTGCCTTTGTAATTGCGTAGGCCGTCGCGAACTCCAGCAGCAACCGTACCCCGGTCCGCTCCTTGTCCCTTTTACTAGCATCTGTCGTAGTCTCATGCTCCGCTACAGCATTCACGTCCGCCTCATCGACCCACCCCTTTTTCCGCAACCACTTCCCAAAGCGCGCGGTCCCTTCTTCAAAGGCATTGCTCTCGCCGTCGGACGTGAGATCGGGCATCCAGCCCCCGTAATGGAATGCCGCGACGAGGCCGAATAGCGGCACCACGGCGGTGATCTCGTGGAGAATCAGGAATGAGGTTACATGAGTCACTGGAGCGCCGAGTAGGGGTGTGGTCAAGGTGCGCAGAAAGCGAGGGAGACGGTCATTGAACTGGCGGAGGCGGGAGCGCGGGTCTTTGGGACTGGACGGGGAAGAGCGCGGAGGAGGGGGCGAGGTCGAGAGTGTGCGTCGGGGAACACGATTGGACGGCTGTTCTACCCGCCGAAGGAGCACACGCACGAATTGCGAGCGGGAGGCCATGGGTGGTTGGTTGGTGAGTGAGTGGAAGGGCTCGTGACGAGGGAAGGAGAGAGAGAAAAGAGTGGTGCGAAGTGTAGATCCGCAATCCTCAGCCGCGCCGCTTCGGATCGCGCTGCTCGTGTATTATTGGCTGTTGGTCACTGCCTCCAGCTTCCTCAAACCGGGTTAGATGACATGTAATATTGAATACAACCTTGCAATATAGTGTTCATGCGGGATGGCCGGTTCTCGGCGCTGTCGTCAGTCAGTACTGCCGGCCCACTCGGGGAACTTCTCTTCTTCTTCGTCACATCCCCCACCATTCCTCTTCCCCCTCCATTGGCAACCACCCGTCGCAATGGAGAAGAAGATCACAGAGAAGATCGCGGCCTTGCCGCCAGATGCCAACTACTTCTCTCTCGAGTTCTTCCCTCCCAGGACTCGCATGGTGGGGTAGCCCCGCGATGATGTCCGTGAAACCAGAGCTAACCCGTCACCCAGGGCTTTGCGAATTTGTCCGCCCGTCTGGAGCGCATGGCTCAGGCGCTGCGGCCGCTCTTCGTGTCCGTCACCTGGGGCGCTGGCGGAAGCACGGCTGCCCGATCTCTCGAGCTGGCCGAGGTCTGCCAGCGCCAGCTACAACTCACCACGGTCCTACACTTGACATGTACGAACATGAGCCGGGCGTTGGTGGACATGGCGCTGGAAGAAGCGAAAGTGCTGGGCATTAAAAATATCCTGGCGCTACGAGGTGACCCCCCCTCGCAGCGAGGAGTACAACATGCACGGCGAAGACGATAGCAACAAGGACTTTACCTTCGCGGTGGATCTGGTGCGGTACATTCGCAAGCAGCACGGGAATTACTTTTGCATTGGCGTGGCTGCATACCCGGAGGGCCATCCGGCCGACTCGTTCCAAGACGTGCAGGATCCCGTCCGGGACCTGCCGTATCTCGTTGAGAAAACCCAGGCCGGCGCGGATTTTATCATGACGCAGCTTACCTACGACTTGGACGCCTATCAGAAATTTGAGGATATGCTTCGCACTCATGAATCTGGCGTCTTCAAGACCATCCCCATCATCCCGGGTTTGATGCCCATCCACAGCTACAAGATCCTGACTCGAGTGACGAAGCTCAGCCATGTCAAGATCCCGGAACCTATTGCCAAGCGCATGGAGGATTTAAAACATGATGACGACGCCGTCAAGCGTGCAGGCGTGGATGTGATTAGCAACATCGTTGGCGGGATCAAAGCGCTTCAATGCCCCGGCCCGCGAGGATTCCATTTCTACACCCTGAACCTGGAGAAGACTGTTTCGTTCATTCTTGAACGCTGTGACCTGATCCCGCAGTACTCGGATAGCCAGGATACCGCGGTTGACGAAGTCGATGACTCAGTGCCTCTCGATGCGGCCGTGCGTTCGCGGGCGAGACGCCGAGCGTCGTCTATCAACTCGCAGCCTCACAACCGAGTCATTGTGGACAAGCTTTCTGGCAAGGGATCATCCCAGGACTCAGTGCACGAGGCGCGCGCAGACAGCGCTGGACTGCCGGCCATGCCTCCCAACCGCAGCACCACTCTCCTAATCTCCGAGGGCCTGGGCGCGCTTGGACGAGAAGCCACATGGGACGACTTCCCCAACGGACGATGGGGTGATGCGCGCTCGCCTGCATTCGGTGAAATCGACGGCTACGGGCCTTCGCTGCATGTCACTTCTGCCGTCGCTCGGCGCCTATGGGGCCATCCCGTTGAACCCTCCGACATGAACACACTCTTCCGGCGCCACGTCTCTGGCGAGCTACACATGGTCCCCTGGTCGGAAGGCGGCGCGGAAGAAGAGTCCGGCGGCCTGAATCCAGAGACTGAGCTGATCCGCCCCGAGCTCCTGAAACTCATCGACGGCCGCGGCTGGTGGACGCTCGCCTCGCAGCCCGCCGTCAACGGCGTACGCAGCGATCACCCAATCTTCGGCTGGGGTCCCCAGCGCGAAGGATTTGTATTCCAGAAACCATTCGTGGAGTTCTTCTGCTCGACGAAGGACTACACATCCATCCTCAAACCATTATTCGCAAAACACACCCACGACAAACTAACGTGGTTCGCCACGAACGCAACGGGCATTCTTGAATCCTCCTTCCCGACCAAGTCCTCAGGCGTCGATCTTGACGATCTGGGCTCGAATCCAGAGAGCGTGAACGCCGTCACATGGGGTGTGTTCCGCGGCAAGGAGATCGCTACCCCGACTATCATTGAAGAAGTCAGCTTCCGCGCCTGGGGCGAGGAGGCCTTCCGAATCTGGGACGAGTGGCGCCGGGTCTACCCGCGTGGATCACCGACGGAGCGCTTTATCGACCAGACGAAGAACGATGTCTGGTTGGTTTGCGTTGTCGGGCAGCAGTTTGGGGCGGGGACCGAGCCGGGCTCGAAAGAGGAAGATGATGAGGTTAAGTGGATGTGGAGGGTTTTGGCGGGTGAGGCTGAGGCTGATGCATAGTAATGATATGCTATGTGTGTCTCTTTGGATATGTTCATAGCTTCTTGGACAAAATGATAATGTGTATGATGCAAGACGAAGCAGCAGACTTCATAACCTGTCAACATCAAGACTACGAGTCATCTTATCTCAGCAAGTAGCTCCTCTTGTCCTTTCTAAGGTGCACAATTCTCTCGTTCGATTTATCTTGCGTCTCAAGTGTCCTGCCTCTACCATTTCAAATCCTTGTTCCGGGAACAAAAGGCCATGTCATGACAAGGTTGTCATACCCCAAGGAAAGCGACAAGGACGACAATGATACCTATCACACATAAAATGAAATAACCGTGCTGTTCGTCCTCTGCGTCCTCTTTGGCTGTCTGAGTTGGGAAGAGAGCCTCGGTCCAATTTTTAATCTATACCTTGAGTTAGAAACAATCCGGAGAGTGCTGTGAAAGGCAAAGTATGCGTACCTTTCCACAGACAATGTTGATCTGCAGGAAGTTTGGGTCTTCGGGCTTGTTCTTCTTGTGGATTTCGCGAGTATATCGCTGAAAGGTCCGAATCAGGACTTTCAGATTCTGCGTCGACTGGATCATAAGACCGCAGGCCTCGCCCCTAGTAATCTTGACATTGCGTTGAAAGATCGCAGGATTGCGGAAACACAATGCTAGACTAGCAATAGCCATAGCTTGCGGGATAGCACAGAAGTTGAAGATACTTTGCTCGTGTAGCTCAGCCAGGTAGAAAATACACTCTTCGACATGCTCGAGTGCATTGAGAACCATCTCCGAGCTGCAGTTAAGCGCAGCATCGAGATTCTCGGGCTTGAAAAGATCCTCGAAGTTGTCAACATGCCTAGACCAGATTTCTTTCGGCCAGAATCGTCGGCCATCATCAAAGTCTTCGCGGACGTCGCGGATGATATTGGTCTTCTGGAGGAGGAGGCCCATTGACTTGCTGGAGCACTTCAATAGGCTTGGGTCGGCTATTTCCGTCGAAACAAAGAGGCGCGTGAGACCTTCTCCGACGAGGCCGGCGACATAGTAGCAGTATAAATCGTACTCCTCGACAGTCTTGACACTAGCATCGTCTTTCTCTCCCTTCAAGGCTTTCTCTGCCTTCACGGCGTAGTCAGCCATACCATTACCCATCTTGTCCGCAATATCCTTGATGACGGCCTGGTACGCCGGCTTTAAGTTCTTGAATTCAGCGACCACACTGGGAAATTGAACTAACAGTTCACGGTCCTTCTCCTCTGGCCGATTTCCAGTGAATCGCCAACCGTCTTGTGTCAGGACATCTTTGAATTCCCGGAGTAGTGGCTCTTTAGTCGCCAGGGGTAATGAAGGGTCATCCTCGATGGTATCCAGTCCCCGGAGGACCAGATAGAAAATACAGACCGGCAACAGTAGCTCCGGGTGTAGTTCTTTGATCACTGCACTAAAACTTCGGCCTGATGTATCCAAGAACTTGAAGCAGGTCTTTTGTGCTTCGGTCTCGTTCTTTTTATTGCGCTCGTGGGGTGCACTGTGCCAGAGTTTCCTACATGACAGTAGGATGGTTAGCAAACTGAGGTAAAATGAGAGGCTTAGTTGGGCACGAACCATTGAACCATTGACTTCAATTCAATGGGGTGGAAAGCATAGTAGATAGCATAGCCAACGAAACCCATGCTGTGACGGGGACAGGGATGGAGAGACGTCCGAAGCTCAAACAGAGATGCAGGAGGCTAAAGCAGCAAAAAGAGTATCTAAAGGATAATTAGAAAATGGCCAATTAAAAGGGGACCGCCGGACTTGAAGAACAGAGATGAACCCGGTATAGATCAGGATATCACGGGACACGGATTTCCGGGTTTCGGGCATGCCGAACACCGGTCGTCTAGAAACCATCTTGGGAGTCAGGTGTCGACCGAGCTCTTTTGGATAATTCAAACGACCATGGCATGCGCTGAATATACATCCACAACATTTACACCAGAAAGGACATTTCGTTCCTACGACCATGCACAGGGTATTGCCTACTCTCGACGCCGTCCCAACTATCACCCAAACCTATATAAAACTATCATCGACTACCACATGTCCACTGGAGGTGAATTAATCACAATTCTTGATGTTGGCTGTGGGCCAGGTAATGCTGTCCGTGATCTTGCGCCGCATTTCACGCATGCCATCGGTCTTGACCCATCAGAAGGTATGATCAGTACCGCGCGATCGCTCGGCGGTGTATCGTCAAATGGTCAGTCTATACGATTCGAAATATCCACTGCGGAAGACCTCGGTTCCCAAAGCGCGCCGCCAATCCCCAACTCCAGTGTTGACCTGATCATCGCCGCCACGGCAGCACACTGGTTTGACATGCCGCGATTCTGGCGGCGGGCGGCTGAGATCCTCAAACCGGGAGGAAGTGTTGCCCTCTGGGCTGCTAGAGGTGGGTATCCGCATGCATCCATGCCCAATCACGCCGCTATCCAGGCTTCCATGTTGGAGATTGAAGATCGATACTTGAAGCCTTATATGGAGCACGGCACTCTCCTTGCGAAAGGGTTGTACACCGATCTCGGTCTTCCATGGTCTATCTCTGAGCCTATCTCTGGATTCGAGCGAGAAACTTTCTATCGCAAGGATTGGAATAGGGATGTCCCGTGCTCCGAGGGTGACGAGTTCTTCGCGGGTCAGAGTGATCCGCGCTATTTAGCTATGAATCTTCAGGCTGCGGAGAAGATGCTTGGGACTAGGGGCACAGTGATACGATGGCGTGAGGCTCACCCGGATATGGCTGGAACCGAATCTGATGTTGCGAGAATGATGTGCAAGGAGATGGCGAGGCTTTTATACGAGGCAGGGGTGGAGCAGGGCGATGAGATTGTCAAGATGGGTGTAGATGGAGTATTGTTGATGGTGAAAAGAGATCACGACTGAATTGTGAGGGAATTGAAAGCTCACGTCAAAGTATATACGAAAAGTTGGTCAAGGTAGTGTTTCTTTCCAATTCTCCCATGTTTCATATGGCCAGAATATATATCCGGGCTAAAAAGGCACTACTCCGGGACACTCCAAATATATGCCAGATTCAATATAGGACGGTTCTTTTAAGCAAGCCCAAGCATTTTTCTTGTTGATCAGGTCTTCTTCTGGTACATTCACGATGCAATAATTATATCTTCTCGGCAAAGCCATGCCTCTCCAGCCCCTCCGCATCCGTATCCGGTGTAACAACAGAGGAAGACTGGGAGTCGGCGAATTTCTGCGCTGCATCGTCCAGCCGGCCATACATGCGGGGCATGCGTCGGGGTTGATTTTGTTGCGCGGCGGGGAGATGGTGGCCTCGTACTCTGTGGTAGGTATCATGTGTCAGTGAATTAGGTCAATAGAAATAGGAATGCGACATACCTAGGACCCTCGCCCGTGCGCTCCGGCAATGAGGGTTCATAGGCACGACTGAATGCAGCGACGTTCTCTTCGAACGAGCCACGCTGGATACTGTCCCGAACGCCGGCGAAAAAAGCATCCATGACTGTGTGATTGTGCAACTGGAGAAGCACCCATGCAGTCATTTCTTTTGCAGTTAGCAAATGGTGAATGTAGGCGCGGTGGTGGTTCCGGCACGTGAAGCATTCACATCCCTCGCGCAGCGGAGATGTGTCGATTGTATAGTCGGAGGACCAGAGATCAATTCCCATGGGCAGCGGGCCGGATTGTCCAGCCGACGGGGCCGGGAAGACGAAGTCCAATGCAATTCCGGAGTCAGATGCCCAAACGATGAAGGGGATGGTAAGAAGATCAGCGCCGAGGGAGATCCCGTGTAGGACCTCGTGCGGACTGGACGGTTCACTGAATAGTAGCCGAGGCAGATCACCCAAGGATTCTGGAATAAAGGGCAGCGAGGCCGGCTCGTACAGAGCCAGTCCCGAAATGTTCTCGCGGAACTCACTGGCCAGATCATCTAGATAAAGAGACTGCTGTGCATTCTCCAGCGGGAGAACTGGCGCAAAATACGCAGCTCTCGACTTGTCTTCCCGGTTACATAATCGCTCCAGCGCATCGCGCGTAAACGCGTGCGTACGATCTACCATCTTCCCGCGCCTCTTCACGCCGGGAGGTTTGTTGAGAACAATATCAGATAGTCCAATTGCAACATCCGGTCGTAGCTGCTGCACGGCATCCAGATATTCCTGCGCGGAGAGTTGGCCGAACCCGTTGGTCGTTAGGACGGCGATTGAGGTGTCGGTGTTGGTTGGCGGACAGGGGATGGGAGGGAACCTGCGCGGACCGAGGATGAGCGGCATGTCCTGCGACATGGATATGAATTTCTTCAACGGTGACTCCTGCGCTGATGTGACGGGTGTGTTGTACACCGGGGATTTATGTTTCTTTTCAACGACTGATCTGAACCCCGGAGCGGGGTGCCCGCTGTCAGTTCTCATTACTCAAAAACTTCGAGGAATCTCACAGTCTTCTAGGCCGACATAGATACTGTTCAGCGCAGTGTGGTCGCGCAGTACATCGTGCGATATATGCGGCATGGTTCCCCGCGACGACAGCGGGACATAGTGCGGCGTGGTCAAGGGCTTCCGGCCAGCAATGGCCAGGGAGCCAACTCGCGGCGCCAGAATGGGGGCAGCAGGACTCAGCGCAAAGGTCACCATCGGAGACAGTGCCTCGGGGTCCATGGCGGCCGGCGGAGAGGTAGGAGGAGGAAGAAGGAGAGTGTGCCTTATCGGCAGAAAATGCCCGCCGATAAACAATCGGTTCATCTCGATTGTTCCGACAACCACAACCACCACCACTTCAGTTCACCATGACCCTGTTAGAATCCCAACCCACGCGTCGTGGCGCGCTCATTATTGTCGAGGGGCTTGATCGGGCCGGCAAGTCGAGTCAGTGTGAGCTGCTGCGAGATCACCTTCTCACCAAGGGACACGCGGTTGAATACATTCGGTTTCCAGGTGTGTATGTCGACATTCATTGCATTATGGAACTGATAGCCGATAGACCGAACAACACCCATCGGCAAGCTAATAGATAGCTATCTACGTAATGCCTCACACCAAGACGACCATTCTATCCACCTGCTCTTCTCCGCGAACCGCTGGGAACTCGCCAAACATATCCAGGACACCATCGCGAACGGAACCACCGTGATCGTCGACCGGTATTCATACTCCGGCGCAGTCTACTCGGCCGCAAAGGCAAATCCCACACTCTCGCTCGAGTGGGCATGGCAACCGGAGGTGGGACTGCCCAGACCGGATATCTGTCTCTTTCTCAGTATCTCTCCCGAAGAGGCGGCGAAGCGGGGCGGATTTGGTGCGGAGAGATATGAGAATGAGTTGATGCAGAGTCGCGTACGCCAATTGTTTGGGACAATAGTTGACCGGCAGCGGGGCGATGTCTGTGTTATTGACGCGGGGAGAACGGTTGATGAGGTGTCCGAAGAGATTGTGGACGCGGCCGTGGACTGTATTTCGCGTTTGGACGCGATTGGGCCTCTGAGAGCCCTGGGACCGCTTACAATTACCCACTGAGCGCAATTGGGCTCATTCAACCAGCTCTGCGTCATCCCACTCGCTGTCTTCAATGACAATCTCCAGTTTTGACGAAGGTGGAGCGCATTTGTTCTTCTGTCGGCCTTCAGACTCGGACTCGGATGCCGGATCTACCGCATCAAACCAACGGTCGTCTAATGGAGGGTCTCCGTGCTCAAATTCATCAGGCCCATCATGTGTTCGTTGCGAACGACTCTGGGTCAAGGGTTCGGCTGAATCACCGCGAATTGCTTGGCGCTCTCTCTTCTCCTTTCTTTTCAGAACTACTCGAGCTTCTTTTTCTGCCCGATTGCGCAGACTGAGTTCCCGGACTATGTCCGGCCATTGCACCACTTGCCGACACGCTGGACAGTCTCCCTGGGTTGGAACGAGACGGTCCGGTTCGGCAGCGTCGAGGAATTTGGTAGATAGACATAATATATGACCGACCCCGCGACAATTTGCTCGTGGACACACCACAATCTGCTCTGCTTCCGGGTGGACTGGACTATTGCATACGCTGCATCGTAGATCTTCGGCATCGTCTAGGAGAAACATGGACTTTTCGAGATACTCCTCGAGTCTTGTATAATCGACCGAAAGCTTGTGAATGCTGCCCACTCGTTGGTCTTGTCGCGGATCGTCTGGGGCGACTGGACAGTCTCCGTCCAGGATCAGCTGGATATTTGCCGGAAGTTGCTTATGCACCCGGTCCCCCCAGACTCTCCAGACACGGTAGACATCAGCGCAGAAGAAACGCACCCTTAATGGCCCACTAGAGAAATAGGCCGAGCGGAGCAGAGCCTGCAGATCCTCCAGATGAGCCGTCAACGATCTCCTGGATCGCGCGGCGCGAGATTTGGGTTTCCCCGTTGTGTGATCAACAATGACTTTATCTTCATCATCCGAGCCGATATGCCGAGTTCTGTCCGGATGTTGCCATGCCCATCTGAACTGATTAACTTCGAATTGCCATTATGAGTGAGGTACTTACTCAAATTGCAAGGCCCCCACGCGACTCATGAACCCTTCGACCACCAGGACCATCTCCCATGGTCGCAGCTTGTCCCTGGCGGTGCGTTTGGCTCCGCCCTTGGCCTGGCCGTTGTGCTGGCTCAGTCGGCGGCTCGGGCTTGGGGTCGAGCCGATATATAGCGAAGCATGCCGGACGGTGGATCGAAGGAGGTAGCAGCAGTAGTATGCTGGGATGGGCCGGGGGTGTTCATCCATCCCACCGATCGTATATACTCGTAATCAGGTCGAGTGTTTGTTATCGGGACTAAATAGACAACATCACCTGATATTGTACGATGGAAGACTGATATCGCGATTCAGCAGATACTTGACGTGTCACAGACCGATGTCCATCAGAGATGAATATTGTACATAGTTGTACTAACTAACACTACCCAAGGACGAGTTAGTTAACTAACTAATAACGACAAGTCGATACTAACTACGCTCCGTCGCAATAATAATGACCCGTTTGCGGCACAGGCCGGAGTGACGGCGTAATGACCAAAAATACACGATCCCATGGTCAGGCACACGGGCCTCGATGCTCGAGCCCTCGTCAGGGCGTGACCATACGACGATACGGCACCACAGACCAATGGAATACCCCAGAGCCCATCTCTATCTTTCCTTCTTTCTCATCCTCTTCTTTCCTCCTCCCTCCACCAAGGCCAACTCGGGTCGATTCCCCCATCGAGCATCTCGCTCTCTCCCTCAATCCATTCTTTTTATTTTTGGTCATCCTCTTCCTGTTTTCTCCGTCCTCGGTCCTCGACTAAGCCGGCCCGCCCTTCATATCGGCATCGCAGGGCGCCCAGACCCGCCCTTCCATCCGATTCCTCGATTTCCCTCCCAATGCGCATGTCGCATTGTGCCCACCTCCCCTGCTCGGCTTGATAAATCGCGCGCCATCTGATTCGTACATCCACCTCCTTCCATCTGCTCCCCCGAGATGGTAGCCCCGGTCTCTGCCGGAGCAACTACGGCGGCCCAGTCCAAGCCGGGTCGGTCCTCCAGCACCCACCCATCGCACTCTCACAATGTGCCCTTGAGCGCTCGCCGATCAGCTCCTCTGGATCTATCGACTGTTGAGCGGCGTGGGCAGCCCAATACTCCTCGCGAACCGTCCAAACGTGTACGTCCACATGGCTTGCCCGAGGCCCCGACTTTTCGCCCAACAGAGGAGGAATTCAAGGATCCGGTAGCATACATCCAGAAGATTGCTCCCGAGGGCAAGAAATATGGTATTTGCAGAGTGGTGCCGCCAGAGAACTGGCAACCGCCCTTTGCAATCGACACAGAGGTACGTTTCTGTTCTATCCTGGTGGACACGGAGCTGGTTGGGTTTCTTCCAGCCCTTCCATGGACTGTCTCGAGTCTTCTCAAATATGTTCATTGCTGACCATGTCCCTTTTCTCTCTACAGCGTTTTCACTTCAAGACCCGTCGACAGGAGCTCAACTCTGTCGAAGGAGGTATGGCCCCGCGTCCAGCTGTTTTTGCTGCCGGTGGAGCCACTCCGCAGCCTAATTCTGACCCGAAATTCCACGCAGGAAACCGCGCCAACATGAACTACACCGATCAACTTGCCATGTTTCACAAGCAACACGGGACGAACTACAGCCGGCTCCCCAGCGTCGATAAGCGCCCACTGGATCTCTACAAGTTGAAAAAGGCCGTCGAGGTTCGTGGTGGCTTCGAGCAGGTCTGTAAGACTAAGAAATGGGCGGAAATCGGCCGTGACCTCGGATACAGCGGCAAAATCATGTCCTCTTTATCGACCTCCCTCAAGAACTCCTACCAGCGATATCTGCAACCGTATGAGGAGTGGCTGCGTGTTGCCAAGCCTGGCGTACAGCAGCAATTGGAGCAAGAACAGGGTGGACCGTACACACCGTCTCCGCGCCAGTCGCCAATGACCAAGAAGTCTGTGGCGGAAGAGAACGGAACTCCTTCGAAGACACGCCCCGGAACCCCTACGCCGCGTCCGAGTGCAGGTCCAAATACTCCGATGGAGAAATCACCGGAAAAACCTACACCCTCCGTCGAGCCGACACCCCCGACCCGACCGACGTCAGGATTCACATCGGTAAATTCTGGTGTCGGTGGATTTACCGCCGTGAACCACTCTCCATCTTTCGTGTCTGTGAATAACGGTCCCACAATCAAGCACGAGACCGAGAATGGAATTTCGACTCCCGGCAGTGTAGCCGAGCATTCATCCATCTCAACGCCAGTCCCTAATGGCCAGGCAGGGCAACCCGCCAAGCGTGCCATCAGCCATGACAGTGCGTCTCAGGCGGAAAATGGCGATGCCGATGGAGGGAACGGAAGGCGCAGCAAGCGTTTGAAGAAAGGTATTTATCCTTGTTCTGTGTCTACGCAAGCTTCATCTAACTCCTGTTCCCTAGACGGGGCGCCACCGACGGTTTCGGGGTCTCATATGTCCGTTCTTCGTCCAGCTGGGCCCAAACGTAAGGACGGCCCTCGCCGAACCGGAGATAAATGTGAAACATGTGGCAAGTCCGACAATCGCTCTGCGATCCTTGTATGCGATAATTGTGAGCTCGGCTATCACAAAACGTGTCTGGATCCCTCCACGACGACAGGGCCCGAACAGGACTGGCATTGTCCAAGGTGCTTGGTTGGAAACGGAGAATTCGGATTTGAAGATGGAGGTGTCTATTCGCTCAAACAATTCCAAGAGAAGGCCAACGACTTCAAGAAGAAGTATTTCGCTTCGAAGATGCCGTTCGACCCCGTACTCAATACGCACCGCCGCGAGACCGAAGATGATGTGGAGGCCGAATTCTGGAAGCTCGTGGTGGACTTGCATGAGACCGTGGAAGTGGAATATGGTGCAGATATTCATTCGACTACTCATGGAAGCGGCTTTCCAACGATTGAGCGGAATCCACTTGATCCGCATTCCTCTGATCCGTGGAATTTGAACGTCCTCCCTTTCTATGGGGATTCGCTTTTCCGTCACATCAAGTCTGACGTCTCCGGCATGACGGTGCCTTGGGTCTATGTCGGAATGTGTTTCTCGACCTTTTGCTGGCACAACGAGGATCATTATGCCTATTCGGCCAACTACCAACACTTCGGCGCAACCAAAACTTGGTATGGAATTCCTGGAGCCGATGCTGAGGCGTTCGAAAAAGCCATGAAAGAGGCCGTTCCGGAGCTGTTCGAAGGTCAACCCGATCTTCTTTTCCAGCTGGTCACCTTAATGCCGCCAGACAAGCTGCGCAAGGCTGGTGTCAATGTCTATGCGATAGATCAGAGAGCTGGCCAGTTCGTCCTCACGTTCCCCCAGGCGTACCATGCGGGGTTCAACCACGGATTCAACTTCAACGAGGCCGTCAACTTTGCCCCTGCAGACTGGGAACCATGGGGAGCGATGGGTGTCGAACGGCTGCAATCTTTTCGCAAGCACCCGTGCTTCTCCCATGACGAGCTTCTACTCACGGCGGCTGCTCGCGATACATCCATCACCACCGCCAAGTGGCTGGCTCCTGCTCTCGAACGGACCACCACGAGAGAGCTAAATGACCGCGCAGCGTTCCTAGCCCGTCACAAGGAGGTCACACCCCATAACTGTACCCTTGGCACTGACTCCCCAACTGGTGATTGTCAGCTCACATTTTTGGTCGAGGAGAAAGACCTCCCCGAGGAGGATTACCAGTGCCAGTACTGCAAGGCTTACACTTATCTCACGCAGTTCCGCTGTCACAAGTCAGAGAAGACCCTTTGCTTGTTGCATGTGGAGACCTATGACTGTTGCGGTGAATCCTTTGCACAGAAGCTACTTGGACCAGGCCATACCTTGCGCTATCGCCTAACCGACGACGCAATGAAGGAACTAGTCCAGAAAGTGCAGGAGCGCTCCAAAATCCCGGAACTATGGAACGAAAAGCTTGACAGGACCCTGGAGGACGAACCAAAGCCACAGCTGAAGTCCCTTCATAACTTACTTAGTGAAGGTGAGAAAATCCCATACCACCTGCCTGGCCTCCAAGATCTTGCGGCCTTCGTCCAGCGTTGCGATAAGTGGGTTGAAGAAGCGAACAATTACATTACCCGGAAGCAGCAGAACCGGAGAAAAAACGAGAAAGCATGGCGCCGAGGCAGCTCCAAGGCGGCGCAGCTGGACGATCGGGATCGTGAAGTCCGCAGAGTGGAACACATCTACGCCCTTCTGGCAGAGGCTGATAAACTTTCCTTCGACTGTCCACAGATGGCGGCTCTGGAAGAGAAGACCCGCGAAATCGAGAAGTTCCGCAAGGACGTTAGCGCTGCTCTGATGAACCCGCATCTCCGATCGAGCCAGGAAATTGAGGAGTTGGTGGAATCTGGCCGCAATTTCAACGTGGACATCCCGGAAGTGGAGCACCTGGAACGGATTGTGCGCCAAATGAAATGGACCGATGAGGCACGGCAGAGACGAGACAAGCACCTCACCCTCAAGGACTGCCATGAGATTGTCTCCAATGGAGAACAGTTGGGACTTTCCGACAGCAACGAACTTCTGCGTCATTTCCAAGAGCTCCGTCGCCATGGTGAGGCGTGGGAGGCCAAGGCCCAAGAACTGATGGCGGTCGATGCTGTCCACTACCAGCAGTTGGAGGCGCTCTCGGCCCAGGCTTCCCGTTTCCCGGTCTCCCCGGATACTTTGGCCTCTGTGGAGGCCATCCTGACCAAACAACGCGAGGCCCAGAAGCGGATCCAGGACCTCTATGAACGCAGCAAGGACTCCGACATGAAAAATCGCCCAAAGTATAAGGAAGTCCGTGAGCTCACAGAGTCATTGGAACAGTTGAATAGTCGACCCATCGGGGCGATTGATTTGGAGCGCGAACAGAAGCGCCACGAGGACTGGATGCGGAAAGGCAAGAAGCTGTTTGGCAAGGCCAATGCTCCTCTTCATATTTTAAAGTCGCATATGGAGTATGTCGACAAGCGGAATGTGTATTGCTTCGATCTGCAGGACAGCTATCGTCCGCCTGTGGAACCTTCGTCGCGGCACAATACCCCAGACGGTTTACTTGAGAACCCCACAACCAACATGTTTGGTCCGAAATCGGAGAAAGGAGATGTGTTCTGCATTTGCAGACACAAGGAGTCTGGAATGATGATTGAATGTGAAGTCTGCCACGAGTGGTAAGTCTACTTTATTTCTTCCTGCTGGAGCATAGTGACTGATCTGGGATATAGGTACCACGGTAAATGTTTGAAGATCGCTCGAGGCAAGGTCAAGGAATTCGACAAGTACACCTGTCCCATCTGCGACTGGAGGCAGAAGATCCCGCGCGATGCAGCACGTCCCAAACTGGAAGATCTTCAGGACTGGCAGGCTGAGATCGCGGGTCTGCCTTTCCAGCCCGATGAAGAGGAAGTTCTGGACAGTATAGTCAGCCACGCATCTGCATTCCGCGATTTCCTTCAGGGCTTCACCAATGCTACCTGCACGACTACCGAGGAGGTGCCTACCTTGATCTTCTACCTGCGGAAGATTGAGGGCGCCGAGGTGCTTTTGGCCTACGAGACGAATTTCTTCCGGCAAGAGATTCATAAATGGGCACCGGTTGCTCCAGAGCCGCCACCAATTCTGGAGCAGTCATTGTCAACACGGAAGCCGCGTCCTACCAAGCAGCAAAAGATCATGGCCCAGCTGGGCGTCGACCGCCCCGAAGATCTTCCGGAGCATCTTCGTCCGAAGATTACCAACTCCGCCAAACGCAAGTCGGTCGATACCCAGGTGGCACGGCCGACATCTTTGCAGCCAGCCCCAACACCGACGACCGACAGCAGCGCTCCACCGGAACCGACCACCGCCGGGCCTACCCTGACGCCTATGTCGGAATCCAACAATGCGTCCTACCCTTTCTCTGCCAACTATACTCTGCCGGGCAGTGATTCCACCCCGGCGTTTGCTCCGGGGACCTCTTCTGCGTTTTTGCCTCATGCAGATGCCAATTCACCGTCATTCCTTCCGCGGTCACCCACCCCGCACCAGCAGGGCTTGGAGACTTCGTTGTTCAGCCCACCGCGCTTCAATCGGGATGCGACGAGCGGTCCTTCGGGTGTCGATGTTGATAGCAACATGCCGTTCGTGAGCAGCAGTCCTCGCCAAAACCTCGATGATGTCTTTGCGGATCTAACGAATCAAGATCCCGAGCTTGAGTCCGAGGCGGGGCCTTCCCAGGTCGATCAGCCTGATCCGGAGCCGTTGGAGAACACTCATGCCGCCGACGCTCTTGAGGCTATGGATGTCGGCAACGGGAGCAGCCGCGCCGGGTCGGTCCACAAGGATGCTGCTCCCAGCGGTGGCGCTGCTCCCAGTACAACCAATGGTGAGAACGAAGCCACCACCATCGCTGCCACCACCCAAGCAGAATCCTGAGTTACTGTCTTATATTTCTCTTTACTCCACTCCCAGGTGTCTTCTGTATTGTTATTTCTTTTGCTTTTGGTTTCGTTTTTCCTCTGCTCGAGAATCGGAGTCTTATCGGAGAAGAGAGGTCTGGTCAATTGAGTCCGGGGAGTTCTTTGTTTCCTTCCCAATGTACTTTTTCTGATACTTGTTTCCTATACGAGGTGTATGGCCTTTTGATTTTCTGCTTCTCTTGTTATACCAACCTAAGCTCTGTGATGATGCAGATGCTGGATTAGCTCTACTTGTTCTTTTTTTGCTCGTCAAACATCCCATGTAATACTAGTTGAATGCAGCTATTACTATTTGTTATATTCGTCCATCCAATTGACCCAGTATGTGCAGAGGCTAGGTAGTTAGACTACATCCGCATACGCCCCCAGGGCAGCCTGTCCCCCCGTATGAATAAACAAAACATTCACCTCGTCCGAGTGATTCCCGTTCCGCCGAGCATCCGCCACCACCTCTCCCTGCTGGACCCAATGCAGCATCCCGCGGGCTACTTTCGCCGTGTATACCGGATCCAGAATCACTCCCTCCGTTCGGGCCATGGTCTCTAGTGCCTGGCGCGCCTCCGCGTCCAGCACCCCGTACCCAGTGCCCACGAACCAATCGTCTAGCCGCACATCCTCCAACCCCAGATCTGTCTCTGGATCCAATCCGATCAGTGCCCCCGCGCGGCGTGCAAAGGTAAGTACCCGCGTTTCGTGGTATGGTTTGGGATTTGTAGGCGAATTGAGCACGCCGATGATTTGTCGCGGTGGTGCTGCAGTTGCAGCAGCAGTAGTAGAGGACGCAGTCGACGAAGATGAAGTCCGCATCTTCTCATACAGTTTAAACCCGGCCACCAGCCCGCCAACAGTACTCCCACTCCCACACGCCACAAACACATAATCAAACCGTCCCGATCCGCCCAGCCGCAGCTCCTTTTCCTGTGCCGCGATCTCCATCGCCGCGCGCGCATACCCCAGTCCACCGAGCGCGTGCATGCTCGCACCACCAGGGATCCAGTAGGGCCGTTGTCCGCGGGCGCGCAATTCATCTAGCACGGGCCTTGCATCACGCGATAGTGTATCGCTCTCGTCGAGGATCCGCACCTCTGCGCCGAGCATGCGGTTTATCTGCACGTTGCCGCTGCGCAGGAAGGCGTCTGGGTCTCTGGCAGTGCGGAATCCGGCACCTGTTCCTTTCTGTAGCAGCACTAAAGCGTTTAAACCAAGTTGTCGGGCGACCGCGGAGACTTGGACTGTGTGGTTGCTTTGGATTGCGCCCTCTGTTACTAGGGTTGTGGCCGCACCGGAACTGGGTGTGGGTGTCTCTGCATGTTCGTGGTCATGGTGCTGTGGCGACACAGAGAGAATGTCTGGGATGATGTATTCGAGCTTGCGGTATTTGTTGCCCGCGCAGGCGAGGGGTGAGGATTGGTCTTCGCGTTTGGCGAAGACGGCCAGACGCGGGGAATTGCTGGTTGCGCGTTGAGAGGTGCGCGGGAGGGAATGAATGGGGGAGGAGTGGTTGTAGAGCAATGGGTAGCGAGGGATCTGGGCGAAAACCTCCGGCAGTACGACTGACATGATCTTACTATGTGTAGTGAAGTGGGTTGTAACTACAGGAGATCAGGGATGATGTCAGTCAACTTCCCGCTACTCCAACTCCGACCCCAAAACACATCCTCCACATCCTTCGGCCATGCGCAGCCTGCTTCAATTCCTTCACCGCGCCCGCCAATCGCATCTCCAGTTCCTCGCTGGCACTGCGCCCTCGCCCGTGTACGTGATCGGCAATGCCTCCGCCGACCTCGACTCGATCATCTCCGCCATCGTCTACTCCTACTGCGCCGACAACCGTCTGCCCACTACCTCGCCGCGCCCACATGTCCCGCTCGTGAACCTTCCGACTATCCCTTCCGGGCCTGAACTGTATCGCCTACGACCGGAGTTCGTGACTGCCCTGTGGCTGTCCACGCAATTCCCCGCCTCGCGATCAGAAGAGCGGTTTGAGGAGACGCCTGAGTCCGCGGGGGCACTATTGCGCGAGCATGTCGTTACAGTCGCAGACTTTGCGCAGGCACTCAGGGATACCCAACATGTGGAGACGCCGCTTTTCATGGACGCGACGTTAGTTGATTGGAATGCGATGTCGCTCCGTTCAGACTCGGGAAAAGCAGGCCGTGGAGCTCTGAACGGTCTGCCGCAAGTGGAGTTTCGCACCCTGGGGTGCATTGATCACCATGTTGACGAGGGCTTTATGCCTCGCGCAGAGGCACTCCCGGCTGGTCAGCCGCTGGTTATCCACCCGGGGCCTGGGTCATGCGCCTCTCTTGTTGCAAACGAGATGGAACGGCGAGGTCTCTGGGGTGGAGATGCGGATGAAATTGCGCAGGTTGCCCAATTGGCTCTGGCTGCTGTGCTCATCGACACGTCGAATCTCACGGCCGAAGGCAAAGTGACTAGCATCGATGTCCAAGCTGTGGAACTGCTCCGGCGGCTGGTTGAGTCCCGTATCTCCAATGCTACTGCGGAGATGGAATGGGACGTGGAGCCATTTTACAGGGGTATCCTTGAGACGAAGCAAAATAGTCTGGATCTCCTTACACTGGACGAGATTCTGGATCGTGATTTCAAGGAGTGGACTGAGACAGCGCAGTCGTCGGGAGAGCGCGTCAAGCTTGGTTTCTGTTCATCTGTCAAGCCGATGCAGTGGATTGTTCGAAAGGCTGGCGGGCCGGATAAGTTCCTGGCTGCTGTTCGTTCCTTTGCAATGGCAGAGGATAGGCAGTTGGACATGGTCATCATCATGACCGCTTTCACAGCTGGTAATGGCCGCTTTTGTCGAGAGCTTTTTGTCTGTTCGGTGAATGACAACAGTATAGCTGTCAATGGAGCCAAGAGATTTGTTTCCCATGCAGCGGAGCAGCTCGGGCTGGTAAATTGGTCGCAGTTGGATGGTGACATTAGTCCCGTAGTGACAGAAGATGGCCTCCGTGACCAGCTTAATGGGGACTCTCCTCTCTGGAGGGGATTATGGGTGCAGACTAATGTGGCCGCAAGTCGAAAGCAGGTTGCACCGCTACTTCGCACCGCAATGACGAAGCTCTAAAAACAATGAGAGTTGAATAGAGACGACGCTGCAGAAGATGTTACATATCTACAACCGGACTATTCAGAATACGAAAATGCAAAATTTATTTCTCACAGATGCTTATTTATTAGGACTCCATCCACCAAGAATTTTCAACGGCAGAATGCAATGAATGCAGGACCCCAAGCCAGTCGAGCTGATGCAAATGTCCGTAGAATGAAACAAGAAAGATACAGTCAAACAGAAACAAGGGTCCCAGCTAAAACAAACCAAGATATGCAGAAGAATAAAAAAGTGAAATGCATGCGAGGAAAATGCTCAGTGCCAACACCAGGATCAAACACGCCAAAAATTAGTTACACTCCCACTCGCAAAAGACGCACCAACGTGCGACTCGATCTGCGAGCACGAGGCCGCGCCAGACGCCGCGCTCGCCGATCTTGATGACGGTCTCCCAGACGCTGCCCTCGCCATTGGCGTCGCTCATGGAAGTGCGGCCGGTATCAGGGCTGCTGATCATATGCTCAGCTTTACGGGTGAGGCGTAGAATCTTGCCAGAGGGAGACTGGATCGCCAGTTTCGCTGGCTTTTCTCGTCCGGAACCGGACTTTGTGGACGAGATAGCCGAGGTTGACGCAGAAAACTCGTTTGAGCCACTCGAGATCGTAGACATGCCGGCCGTGCTGGAAACCATGCTGAGAGCACTCGATGGGCGCGTGAAGATGGATGGCGAGGTTCGGCCGTTAGATACGAGCTCGTTATCCTTAGAAGGAGGGGGAGGCGGACCCGACGAAGGATGTTGGCGAACAGCAAAGACAAAGGTATTATTGACGGCCAGCCGGGAACATTGAGGTTGCATGATATAAAGGTCATGCCGCTGGGCATGAGGCGTGGGATGGCGCAAAACAAATTCGTATGGTGGATTCTCTCCGGTGTGGAAGATTGGAAGGGCTAGTGCCAATGGATGAGGAATATCGCGGCTGGAATGCATGAGACCCTTCTTGCCAGCATATACCTTCAGCACACCCTGACCCTCATCGCCTGGCAGCACAGCCTTGACAGTAATCCGCTTTTGGCCACTGTGCCAGTCCGGCTGGACAAGAGCTCGTTTGCGAACAATGTCGCCGCTCTCGAAGAAATCACCATCGACATCGCAAGCAAATGCAGGTGACTCAACTTCAGCTGCGCATTCAACATCTGCTGGGACCACAAGACGGATTTGCAATACCTCCAATCCCTCGAGGCGGATCAGACTGGTATCGTAATCCGGAAACTGGGCGTTCAGTTTGAAGAACGGAGGACAGACGGTTGGCAGTGCCAACAGGACGTCTGGTGATATTGGAGGACAGATATGTTGTTCTTCTGGGTACAAAGGCACATGGGTATAGCAGAGGTCAAGTGGCCTTGCCAGGAAGTACCAGCTCTCAGCCACTGGCGAATTGTTAGTGACGAATTTGTTCCTTACAGGATTGGTCGGGTTAGCGAGCGCGCAATCCATGAAGCGCCATTCGCCGTCCACGAGAACCGCATTCCACCAGTGGTTAGGGCGTGAGAGACTGTCCAGGTCCAGGGCATCTCCGGGAGTCTTGAGGAATCCATGGATTATCTCCGAGTGAAGACCTACAGCGGCGCACATCTCATTGACAAGAAGAGCAATCTCTTGCGGAGTGCCACGTTTGGCTTGTAGAAGTCTTTTCAGGTCTATATCGAGACCATCAACTGGCTCCTCCCAGGCGATTTTCTCGCTGACCCAAGTGAAGATCGCACGCAAGCGTTGCACATCACTCTTATAGGGACGGCAAATGTATCCCTGGGCCAAACTCATCGGATTCGTCATGGGCGGAAGACTGTTCACGAAGCGGGCACTTTTGTCAACGAGGCCAAGATTTGGTGCGTTGAAATTTGTGGGCTCAAGGATGGGTAGTCCATCAATGCTTTCATCACCTTCCGCGGTCTCACCGAGTTCCTCTACCGCATAGATCACCGGATGATCCAGCATCTGGCATCGCTCAGCCCGTTCAATCCGCTCATTTCGGCTGGGAGAAGAGGCACGGTTGACATCTCGACGGACCTGGACCCAGTCAACAGGATTGTTTGTAGATACTGTATCTCGGGCCATGTCCTTGCTGGACTGGGACATGAGGAGGGGCGACACTGCGCCAGCCAATCTGTTCCCTTTCGTTGGTGACTGTGACCGATCGCTGTGACCAACAGATATGCTGCTCCTCGCGCTCGCCGCTCCAGTTTTGGCAGATTCAAGTATCTTCTTGAAGAAGCCGTGCTTCTTGCCCTTCGGCGTGGAAAGGCCGCCAAAGACACCAGATGGCTCTCCTCCATCTACATCTGCCGATGACCACGGGATGGCCGAAGATGCACCTTGTCGGGATGTGTTATGGCTGGAGTGATAGGAGATGCCCGTCAGGGGTGTTTCTGGTCGCTTTCCTGCATCACTGAATCCCCGTGACCGGATCGAGTCCATAGCTGTATTTGGCCGGTCACCAAAATTCCGCCTTGCAAAGCTGCCGGCACTGGTCGCACTGAAGCCTCCAGCAGATGGGCCGCTCATCAGACTCTGACTTGTTTTGTCCGTACTGACTGTCATGCTGGTTCCATTACTTTGTACGCCGCTGGAAGAATCCGTGGTCGTCGATTTGTAGGTAAAGGTTCTGCTGAGGTTTTCTCCTCTCAAGTCCTGTCCGGATTTTTGAGCTCTCAGATGCGGGTATTGTGCCGGAATGGAGGTGTGTCGAGGGTGATAGGTAGCGTGCTTCGGCGGAGGTGGAGGAGGAATATCTTCCTCCTCAGGCGGCTTATTTTGGTCTTCTAACTGACGAAGACGGCTCTCCATTCTCTGGACGTAGTTGTTCAGTTGAGGTGGGCCCTCCATGTAATGGTCTTGGGTAGCGATGCTATTTCGATGCATCAACCCGCCATTGTACTGGCCTTTATTCCCATCAAACCCTAGTGATGATACAGGTCGGCCTCTGTCGTCTGATTGTTTTGCTCCACGCATTTCATCATACGCATCGGGCGACCAAGGGTTCTTGAACATAGGCGGAGGAGAAGGAGACGGAGCTTGTCGCGGCATGCCCATATCTTGCAAAGAGGTCATGACATCCTCCATTGCGTCGCGAAGAGGAGATGGGGTGTTTCCATTGCCATCTGTTTGTTCGGATTTTGCCGAGTGCATCGAAAGGGCTGCTGGTGATGGCGTCCGAGAGAATGTCACATATCGGTCATTCATAATCAAAGGCGTGGGCGAGGGAGCTAATGACCGAGGCGATGGCTGCCGAGGATGGTGCGTTGGTGGATGTGGAGAATGTGATCCGGATCGAGTAGAGTGTAATGGACGATGCGGAGAAGGCGAGGGTGCGCGACTTACTGCGACTCGATGCGGCGGCGGTGGGGGTGGAGGAGGAGAGTTTTCTTCAGGTTCCTGTAGTGCCAATGGCGAGACTTCGCGCGAAGAAGGGCGAGAAGAAGATGTGCTGTGTCTCGGCGTCATAGCGGATGGTTCCTCAGGCTCTTGCGACGAACGGGGTGAGAGGGGAGAAGCACCACGTGAAGAGGGACGCGATCCCGGCGACGACTGGGACAAGGAGCCTTGGTTCTTGACTTGCGATGCATGGGTGCGCAGCGGTTTGACGCTTCGCGGAACGGAGCCATCTCGAGGGGGGGGTTTGTGGAATATTGCTTGTGACAGTTGAGGTTGTTCCGTTGCGGGCCAGTTGGGACGAGGGGGCAACGGCCTCTTTATGGGCCTGGAAGGGCTTCCGGAACACCGTTTTTTGTTTCTTTGGGGCCGCTGTAGGATTGTTGATAGGGGATGTGTTTGCTTGAACCATTGGGCTGGCTGACCGGCTGACAGGGACAAAGTCCTCGCTGAGGAGCTCGACGAAGTTGGATGGGAAGAGCCCAACCGCACGCCTATCACGGCGCAGACGACCCATCCACCATTGTCCGTCGCCTGCATTCAGACATTCAATCAAGTCGCCCTCCACAAAGCCCAAGTCGCGTGTCGTCTCTCCGCCCCATGAGTACACAGCTCGGCACCAGCACGGGAAGCGCAGTGGCAACTGCGGCGAGGCGGCAGCCATGGCGCCCAACTGAGACTCGCAGCCGTCAAGAAGAGATATGGACTAAGATCGGACGAAGACTTCAATCGGACGTAGTTTTCAATCTGCGAAACCAAGATGAACTGTCGACTTAATCGAGTCCGATGTAGACCGAGACGGGAGGAAAACGGGGTTCGGCGTGAGTCGCAAGGCGCGCAAAAAAACAAAGCTCCACGAAACTCACGCAATCGACATGTTGAGCAATCAAAAACACAGGAAGACCGAATGAGAGCGACAGAGGGGTGCCAGGATTGGCTGGGTGGACAAGGCAGAGAACTGGGAGTAGATGAATCAGTAAAGACGGTGAGGGACTGGTGTGTTTACATGTCGCCCAAATGGGCCTAGCGCCGGCGTCGCCTATCGATAAGCTTAAAGGCGGCCTGAGCTTCACCAGAGGGAGGGAGATGATGAAACTGGCGGCATTTACGACTACGTAATTGATTTTTCTAGAAGGACTTCTATCTAACAGATTGACTCCGTTGAATACGTTGAGTACTTGTTCCCTCAATCAACCCGTGGTCTGGTGCAATCGCCGTCTCTGTCTGCCGCCATGGCAACCGTCGGGACAACATCTCAAACACAGATAGGGGCGGCTAGCTGAGTCCACACCACATCACCTTAGGGTTCGGCACTATGGGTTCCTTCTATGCATTATCATTAAGTTATTGTTTCGTGGGACTTTCACCACACTCGGTTGTACCTCTACCGTTCTTCATCAGGGTCATCCTGTCCATCTCCTTGTTCGCACCATGCTCATAACCGGAAACCTCCAAGATCAATCATTGCGAGCCACCCACTCGGCTGCCTTGACTTACCTACTCGGATAGAAAATAGGGATATCCGACATTCCAGGCTAAGAATGCCAGCCACGGTCAAACATAAACAACATTCCGAATAGGGAAATCTAGTTTCACCTCCTTGCGTAACGACAGGAGCAACAACAATACGTCAGAGGCAGAACATTATGTGACCCAGACCACACGTCGAGCCAGCTCTGGGGCCGATTGCCCTCCATACTGTTGGAAAAGGACATCGTTGCTGCACAGATCTTCCCTAGCCCTCCTCAGCATTCCACGGACCTACGGACTTAGAGGACCGCGGCCATAGGGAGGCTTAGCTTTGCCCAATAATGCATAGTTGTCAAGAAGGAGCAAACAAGGTTAAATTTGCCCTAGTTGTGTCAACTATGCAAGCAAACATGCTTTCGGACATTTAAAGCACTTTCGTTGATAGGTAGATATATGGACATAGCTACCGCTAGGCATTGGAGAAATTGTAGAATACCATTCCTTATTAAAAATACTTCACGTACCCCCATACCTTATAAGATATATTCCTCAAGCCTGTCGATGCCATCTGAGCTCCGACTTTACCAAAACAGCACTTGGCTTTCCTTGACCCGACCAAGATCATCAGCATCATGGCACTGCTAAAGATTTTACTTGCCATTGCCACACCTGGGCTCATGCCTTCTTTGGCGTGGGCCAAGCCGGTTTACTTTGACTTGAACCTCACCTGGCAGCAAGGTTCTCCTGATGGCAACCTGCGGGAAATGGTCTTCATGAACGACCAATTTCCTGGCCCTGAGTTGCGTCTAGAGCAGGGTGATGATGTTGAGGTAAAGTCTGAGAGATGAACAGAAGTTCAGACTGAAGTTCTCAGCTGACCTATCCCCTAGTTTACCGTTCACAATAACATGCCATTCAACACAACCATGCATTTTCACGGCATCGAGCAGCACAACACCCCATGGTCTGATGGTGTACCCGGCCTTACTCAGACACCCATTCAACCGGGACAGAGTTGGAAATACAAATGGACGGCTACTCAGTATGGAACCTATTGGTACCATGCTCATGCTCGGTCCCAGATTATGGATGGTCTCTATGGTCCTATCTGGATCAAGTAAGCTTCTATCCCAACCACATGATCTCTCGTAAATCTAATAAATAAAGCCCGGCTCCCGATGTACCTCAACCCTTCAGCTTGATTTCAAGTAACCCCCAGGATCTTCAAGCTATGCAGCGAGCAGAGCAAAACCCTCGACTTGTTATGCTGTCAGACTGGGACCACTTGACCTCTGAGCAATACCAACAGGTACAAGTGGACAGCCGTCTAAATGTCATGTAAGCTATACATATCTCTGGTCCAAATAATATTTTTACTAACACTCATTTAGCTGCGTGGACAGTATCTTGGTCAACGGCCGTGGAGCTGTGTACTGCCCTGGGACCACGACAATCTCGAGTCTAGAACTCCCATACCTAAAGACTTCCATTGACAACGTGCCACTGTCCGACAAAGGGTGAGCAGTGACAAAAAGTACATCTCCGTCGAACGTACTAACTCATGCCTTAAAAGATGTATACCCAATATATACGAGACCCAGGGCAACTTCCCGCCTACCTACCCGGACAAGATCCCCGCAGGTTTAAACTCAGGATGCAGACCCACCGAGGGCCTACACGAGATTATTGAAGTTGATCCGGCCGAAGGCTGGGTCAGTCTGAAGTTCATCAGCGCGGCTGCATTGAAGTCTTTCATTTTCTCCATTGACGAGCATCCTATGTATATCTATGAAGTCGACGGCAGCTATATTGAACCACTACTTGCCGAAAGTGCGTCCATCTATAATGGTGAACGATACGCCGCTATGATCAAGCTCGACAAGGCTCCCAAGGATTACACGATCCGAATCCCCGGCAACCAGGGTGACCAGATTATCTCCGGCTTTGCTACTCTGCGATACAAGGGTTCCCAAGACACCACACCGTCTCAAGCTTACGTGGACTATGGTGGAAGAAACACCTCTGCTTCTGTTATACCTTTGGATCCGAAAGAAATGAAGCCCTATCCCGCCGCCACTATTCCCCAGTATGCCGATCAGCTGATAAATCTTACCCTTGGCCGCTGGGGCTCGACCTATACGTGGACATCCTCTGGTGGCGGACTGTATGACATGATGGCCAATTGGGATGACCCGATCCTCTACAACCTGGATGCCAGGAATAATTTAGAGGAACAGGTCGTCATCCAAACCATAAACGGAACCTGGGTCGATGTTCTGCTGCAGCTCGGTGAAATGCCCAACACACCAGCAATCCAGGCCCCTCACGTCATGCACAAGCACTCCAACAAGGCCTATATTCTAGGCGTTGGCCCGGGGATCTTCAACTGGTCTAGCACTGAAGAAGCTTCTGCCGAGCGTCCTGACCTTTTCCACATGGAAAACCCTCAAATGAGGGATACTTTCGTTGCGCAAGGCCCTGCTGGCCCAACATGGATGATGCTGCGATATCATGTGATTAACCCGGGACCCTTTCTTTTCCACTGCCACATTGAAACACATATGGCTAATGGAATGGCGGTTGCTATCCTCGATGGCATTGATGAGTGGCCCCAGGCACCTCCCGGGGCCGACATCGGCTACCAGGGCCAAAGTAGTGAGCAGGCACAACCCGGCCCGTATGGTCAATATGGGCAATCGGGTCCCCAAGGGCAAGAATCCGGTTATTCTGGCCCTGGCGGCTTTCCAGATAACGTGGGGTTGGATAACATGAATGGATGGTCCCGAAAGCCTCTTGAGACTGGCGAAAACCATCAGGGATCCCGAGGCTACGATGGAGACGGGGTCACCACAGGCACTGGAAATCAAGATTCCCCTGAAGGTAAACTGGAGACTTCGCGATCTCAGGAGCCAAGATATCCACAGGGTTGTGAGGAATACCAGTGGTAAAGCTTTATCTAACGCATATAGCTTCTTTTCTTTTTCTTTCTTTTTGGATGTTGGAACTTACGATATACCTCTTGAGTTTTGCATTGCATTTGGGCAACCCAGTCAAACGAGCCATAATAGTTGTTGATTAGTTGTCGATACCACCAAAAGATTTTGTCTTTTGAATTTTCTACCCTTTTTCTTCCCTTTTTTACATGCTGTTTCCGGCGACGCGAAGGGGAAGGGAGAACCCGCTCCGCGGGCGATCATGACCCACCACGATCGGGCTCATATTGATCGAGCCACTTGGAATTCTTCCTGTATTCAACGTGAGCATTTCCAGTGATCTCAAGAATGCCTGGTCCTGTACTATATCCTTATCATTTTACGACAAAATTGCCTAGTCCCTGATTATTTCTCTTCGACCCGTAATCTTCTACTCGGCATTCTCGGAAATTTAATCCTTCGATGTGTTCACATCAATAATATTGCATAACAGCCGTCTCATAAGTTTGAATTCTCTTCTAGAAGGCATAGTGGTGGCGCTTCATCCAAACTTGAGACCTGTGGTGGTTCCAAAGGTGTATTTTCGTTGTCACTCCTGCCTCTTTGAGGATCGACAGAAGTAAGTCATGACGCATAGATCTGAAGTTGGCAATGCCTCAAAACGGCCAGAAATTTGACAGCAAGATCTGTAATTGTTTTGCTAAAAGTTTCCGTAGTTACATTCAGATAGACGAGACTCGGTCTCTGGAGAGAGTGCTAAAAAGGCATACCTAAGGGTGGTCTGGTTGAAGTCCAGTATAGTGTTCTTGATAAACCTGCTCTACCTGCTATGTGCCCTGTCCCTGAAAAGTTTTTGAACATAGGAATGAAGCTTTCTAGCCCCTTTCGCACCATTTATGGAACTTCGAGGTTGCTGGCAACCAGCATAGTTTCTAGGGCTTGCAGTTCACGTGACCCGGAACGTCGGGTGTAACCCTTCCGAAAACAGCGCTCAGTGTAACTCCCCCCCGTCGTCCTCAACAGCTCCGTCTTGTCTCATACTACTTCCGGCGTGCTCTTCCTCCTTGAAACTATATCTCTGTGTCATACACTAGTCTCAGTGAGCTTAAACCAAGGAATTCCTTGCTGCTTTATCCGCAAACAGCATTCGGGGACCAGAATTTGCCCGTACCTTTGCAATTTCATATAAATTTCCAGGGTCCAATAGGCAATCCAAGGTACAATGCAAGCCCTTTAGATCCACATGACTACCGTATACACAACAGTCGCGATGTCTGCAGTAACGGTGTCATTGGTAGTGGCCAAACAAACCTGATTTACTGTATCGGAACCAAAGTGTATGCAGAATGCCGCGGAACGAGGAGCATGGAAGTCAACCTTGAGGCTGATGGAGCCGTGGTTGTATCTCAAATTCCAGATCGATAGTCTGCACAGGAAAACAAAGTTTACAGTCCTTCTAGATCTAGGCCACTGCGAGCTTTCATAGACCCATGATGCGCGTTTTTGGACTGGTCGACCGCCCCACTACGTGGATAATATACTACGGCGTGTATTAAAGTATGCTGTCTGCCAGATTGCTGACTCTGGAACTCTTTTCCTTCTTCCTTTGTAGAGTTTCCCTTCTACTAATTGGAACAAAGCCTGACAATGGAAGGCACCGGTCGTGTATTTCTCTTCGGAGATCAGACCGCTGACTTTGACTCGGGCCTTCGTCGTCTGTTGCATGCGAAGAACGACTCGTTGTTGTCAGCCTTCTTCCAGAAGTGCTACCATGCAGTGCGCGAGGAGATAACCAAGCTGCCGCAGTCCGAGCGGCAGGTATTCCCCCGTTTCACAAGCATTGTCGATCTTCTGGCAAGATACCGCGAGTCGGGACCGAATCCCGCCCTGGAGAGCGCGTTGACAACCATCCACCAGCTGGGATGCATCATCCAGTAAGCTTATCTAGAGAATATGTTTATCGTTTATAGGTATTGTTGCTAACTTTTTACCTAGTTACTATGGTGACCTCGGTCACATGTATCCATCGGGGTCTGACAGCTGTATTGTGGGCCTCTGTACTGGTCAACTCGCAGCTGCCGCTGTCAGCTCATCAAAAACCGTTGGAGAACTTATTCCAGTCGGGGTTGAGACGGTAGTTCTAGCTCTACGACTTGGTATGTCTGTTGTGAAGGTGCAGCAGTCTCTAGAGGGGACCAAGTCGTCTTCGCCAAGCTGGTCTGTTTTGGTTTCTGGACTGCGAGAGCCGGAGGCCCAGGAATTGATCCAAAAGTTCTCAAAGGCAAATGTGAGTTTGTAATTCCCTGCAAATTCAAAGATAGCGCAAAACCTAACCGTCTCTCAGGCCTTGCCGCTCGTTTCTCGGCCCTATATCAGTGCCATCAGCCCGAATGGTCTGACTATCAGTGGCCCACCGATGTTCCTAGATCGGTTTGTCGAAAATTGTCTCCCTAAGGAACATAAGCCTGTTAGAGTCCCAATTCATGGCCCTTATCATGCATCACACCTGTATGACGGCAGGGATGTTGATCGGATTCTCAAATCGTGGCCCAAAGAGGAATTCCTGAGCTATGCCCCTCAGATCTCTATCTTGTCAAGCGAAACTGGCAAACCGATTCACGCCGAGAACCTTCAGGATTTGTTGAAAACTTCACTCGAAGAAATTCTGCTGCGTCAACTTTGCTGGGACAAGCTTATCGACTCTTGCTATTCGGCACTTGTATCGACTTCAACGGCATGCATACTGCTTCCGATTTCCAGCACTGCGACTCAGAGTTTGTGTACAGGACTGAAGAAGGCTGGAATCTCCAACATTGAGATTGATAGCACAATTGGTGATGTACAGAAGGATTCGGAGGGTGTGAATCGAACCGGCCGCTCAGACCAATCTAAAATTGCAATCATTGGCCTTTCAGGTAGATTTCCTGAAGCTGCTGATACAGAAGCCTTCTGGGATCTCTTATACAAGGGACTTGATGTACACCGGGAGGTGCCACCGGAGCGTTGGGATGTGAAGGCACATGTCGACATGGAAGGCAACACGAGAAACACCAGCAAGGTTCAGTACGGATGCTGGATTAACGAGCCTGGGCTCTTTGACCCTCGCTTTTTCAATATGTCCCCGCGTGAGGCACTGCAGGCAGATCCCGCTCAACGGCTTGCTCTTCTTACTGCTTATGAGGCTTTCGAGATGGCTGGTTTCATCCCGGACAGCACTCCGTCCACGCAGAAGAACCGAGTTGGTGTCTTCTACGGAATGACTAGTGACGACTACCGTGAAATCAACAGTGGTCAAGACATTGACACCTACTTCATTCCCGGTGGCAACCGTGCATTCACGCCTGGTCGGATCAATTACTACTTCAAGTTCAGCGGCCCCAGCGTCAGCGTTGACACTGCTTGCTCGTCGAGTCTTGCAGCTATACACATTGCCTGCAATTCTCTTTGGAGGAACGAATGTGATTCCGCAGTGGCGGGTGGCGTCAACGTGTTGACGAACCCAGACAACCACGCCGGTCTCGACCGTGGCCATTTCTTGTCACGTACTGGAAACTGCAACACGTTTGATGATGGAGCGGATGGTTACTGCAGAGCCGATGGCATTGGATCGATCGTCCTTAAGAGACTGGAGGATGCTCAGGCCGATAACGACCCGATCTACGGCGTGATCTCCGGAGCCTACACAAACCACTCTGCCGAAGCCGTTTCAATTACTCGGCCTCATGCCGGAGCACAGGCCTTTATCTTCGACAAGTTGTTAAATGAGGCCAATATCGACCCGAAGGAAGTCAGCTACATCGACATGCATGGAACGGGTACTCAGGCAGGGGACGCCGTTGAAATGCAATCTGTGTTGGATGTATTTGCTCCTGACTACCGCCGCGGACCGACACAGTCTCTCCATCTCGGTTCAGCAAAGGCGAACATTGGCCACGGGGAATCCGCCTCGGGCGTTAGCGCCCTGATCAAGGTGCTGATGATGATGCAAAAGAATATGATCCCTCCCCACTGTGGTATCAAGACAAAAATCAACCACAATTTCCCGACGGATTTCCAACAGCGAAATGTGCATATCGCCTTGAAGCCCACACCGTGGCAAAGACCAGAAGGAGGCAAGCGGAAGACGTTCATCAACAACTTCTCAGCTGCTGGCGGTAATACAGCGATCCTAATGGAAGATGCCCCTCTGCGTGAGCAGGTCACAGAAGACCCTCGAACTGCACACATTGTGGCTGTCTCTGCGAGGTCACAATCCGCCCTGAAGAACAATACCAACGCATTGTTGCAGTACATTGACACCAACAAAAATATGTTCAATGTCAATAAAGCTAGCCTTCTTGCCAATCTCTCCTACACCACGACGGCAAGACGCATTCACCACCCTTTCAGAGTCGTCGCAACAGGATCTACCTTGGAAGAAATGAGGAATGACTTGTCGGCTAGCGCCAACCGCGATAGTATCACCCCGGTCCCTGCGACTGCACCAGGTATTGGATTCGTCTTCACGGGCCAAGGAGCACAATACACCGGCATGGGAAGCCAGCTTTATGAGACTTGTTCGCCATTCCGTGCTCACATTCAACATCTGGATCGCATTGGCCAAAGTCAAGGATTCCCCTCTATTATGCCTTTGGTCGAAGGAAGCGTTCCAATTGAGGAACTAGGACCCGTTATCAGCCAGCTTGGAACGACCTGTCTGCAGATGGCGCTGACCAAGTACTGGATATCCCTTGGCGTTACGCCTTCTTTTGTCCTTGGACACAGCCTCGGAGAATATGCCGCTCTCAATGCTGCTGGTGTTTTGAGCACAAGTGATACGATCTACCTCGCTGGTCGACGGGCTCAGCTTCTCACCGAGCAATGCCAGGCTGGAACGCATGCTATGCTAGCCGTCAAGTCTTCTGCAGCACAAGTCAAGCAGTTCATTGCTGATGATGGAGCTGAGGTTGCCTGTATCAACGCACCTTCAGAGACCGTTGTCAGTGGTGCAAATGACAACATAGACAAGCTGGCAGAGAAGCTTTCCAGTGAAGGCTTCAAGGCTACTAAGCTGAAGGTCCCCTTTGCGTTCCATTCTGTTCAGGTTGAGCCTATTCTGGAAAGCCTGGCGGAGATTGGTAAAGGTGTGACATTCCATGAGCCGACGATCCCATTTGTGTCTGCTCTCCTCGGAGACGTTGTGAAGGAGGCGAATGCAGATGTCCTCAGTCCCAGCTACCTGACGCGCCACTGCCGTGAGCCTGTCAACTTTTTGGGTGCTTTAGAGGCCACCCGTCATGCCAATCTGATGAATGACAAAACTCTCTGGGTTGAGATTGGCTCACACCCCGTTTGTTCCGGGATGGTCAAGTCGACATTTGGTCCTCAGGCAGTTACAGTGGCTTCTCTTCGCCGTCAAGAGGATACTTGGAAGGTGCTCTCGAACAGCCTGTCCGCTCTCTACATGGCTGGAATTGATCTGCGTTGGAAGGAATACCACCAGGACTTCAGCACCAGTCTCCAGGTCCTCCCACTCCCCGCCTATAAATGGGATCTGAAGAACTACTGGATTCCGTACACCAACAATTTCTGTCTGTTAAAGGGTGCGCCGGCCAAGCCGGCGGTTGAAGCCGCGCCTGTGTCCACGTTCTTGACGTCTTCGGCTCAGAAGGTTGTTGAGACAAGCAACTCTGACACAACAGCCACTGTTGTCATTGAGAATGACATCGCAGACCCAGAATTGAACCGCGTTATCCAAGGTCACAAAGTCAATGGAGCTGCTCTCTGCCCTTCGGTAAGTACTCAGTCATATATTTTACTGAAGAGTAATAACTAACCTTGATCAGTCGCTATACGCGGACATCGCCCAGACACTTGGTGAATATCTCGTGGACAAGTACAATCCCAGTTTGAAGGAGCGTGGCCTTGATGTCTGCAACGTGGTGGTTCCGAAACCACTTATTGCAAAAGGTGGCAAGCAGCTATTCCGGGTTTCGGCCACTGCAAACTGGGCGACGGAAGTTGCTGAGGTCAAGGTGTGGTCCGTGACACCAGAGGGCAAGAAGATCATCGATCATGCCAGCTGTCTGATCAAGTTCTTTGACACCAGCGCTGCTGCGCAGGAATGGAAGCGCAATGCCTATCTTATCAAGAGAAGCATCCAGCATCTCCAGGAGAGTACCGAGTCTGGTCAGGCCCACCGAATGAAGCAAGGAATGGTGTACAAATTGTTCGCTGCTCTGGTTGAGTACGATGACAACTACAAGTCTATTCGGGAAGTCATTCTGGACAGCGATCAACACGAGGCTACAGCACTAGTTAAGTTTCAAGCGCCGCCGGGCAACTTCCATCGGAACCCATTTTGGATCGACAGCATTGGTCACCTGTCGGGTTTCATTATGAATGCTAGCGATGCAACCGACTCGAAAAATACAGTTTTCGTCAACCACGGCTGGGACTCGATGCGTTGCCTGAAGAAATTTGATCCGAACGTCACCTACCGGACATATGTGAGGATGCAGCCATGGCAGAACTCGATCTGGGCGGGCGATGTCTACCTCTTTGATGGTGATGATATCGTTGCGGTGTACGGCAGTGTAAAGGTACGTTATATTGCCCTTGTCTCCTTTTTTATAATTTCACTAACAAAGCCAAATATAGTTCCAAGCTTTGGCTCGTAAGATCCTGGATACAGCTCTTCCACCAGCTGGAGCTCCTGCACCGAAGCCAGCAGCGAAGTCCACACCACCGCCCATTGATATTCAGAAATCGAGGGCAGCTCCGGCCAAGAAGACTCGCGCCAGCCCTGCGGCAAATTCCAAGCCTGCCGGCCCAAGCGTGACTGCTCGTGCTCTCGCCATCCTGGCTGAGGAAGTTGGACTGTCTGAGGGAGACATGACAGATGATCTCAATTTCGCAGATTATGGAGTTGACTCTCTGCTCTCGTTAACTGTTACTGGCCGGTACCGTGAAGAGATGAGTCTTGATCTGGATTCTTCCGTATTTGTGGATCAGCCCACCATCAAAGACTTCAAGGGTCTTTTGGCCCAGATGTGTCCGGTTGAAAGCAGCAGCGACGGATCCAGCAGCGATGCCGATCTTTCTTCTTCTGCCTCTGAAACGGACTTCTCATCGCCTAACACGAGTGGTATTCCGACACCTTCTCACGACAAGTCCATGCAGCTTGGGCAGAACGACAGTATGAAGGAAATCCGTTCAATCCTGGCAGAAGAAATTGGCGTGGAACCCGAGGAGCTCCAAGGAGACGCAAATCTGGGCGAGATGGGATTGGATTCCCTGATGTCACTCACTGTTCTCGGGAAGATTCGCGAGACCCTGGACATTGATCTGCCGGGAGAGTTTTTCATTGACAACCAAACCATCAACGACATCGAAGCCACGCTGGACTTAAAGCCGAAGTCAGTGGCGGGTGAATCAATGGAGATACCTGAGCAGCTCCCCATCAAAACTTCCAAGCCAACAGCCACATCCACGATTCAGCATCCGCCAGCAACTTCGATTCTTCTGCAAGGCAACCCCAAGACAGCCACCAAAAAGCTATTTCTGTTCCCGGATGGGTCCGGCTCGGCTACATCTTACGCGACCATCCCTGGTGTCTCGCCGGACGTGTGCGTTTACGGACTGAATTGCCCATATATGCGAACTCCCGAGAACCTCAAATGCAGTCTGGACGAACTCACAATCCCTTACGTGGCCGAGATCCGCCGACGACAGCCCACAGGCCCGTATAACTTCGGAGGCTGGTCTGCTGGTGGCATCTGCGCCTACGACGCGGCGCGCCATTTGATCTTTGAGGAAGGCGAGCGAGTCGAACGTCTGCTTTTGCTTGACACGCCATTCCCAATTGGCCTGGAGAAGCTGCCTCCACGTCTGTACAGTTTCTTTAACTCGATCGGCCTATTCGGTGAAGGTAAGGCTCCTCCGCCAAAGTGGCTGCTACCGCACTTCATGGCCTTTATCGACTCCCTAGACGCATACAAAGCGTCTCCGTTCCCATTCAATGACGATAAGGTCGCTTCCAAGACCCCCAAGACCTTCATGATTTGGGCCAAGGATGGCGTCTGCTCCAAGCCTGGAGATACTCGCCCTGCACCGGCCGAGGATGGCAGCCCTGATCCCCGCGAGATGCTGTGGCTGCTCAATAATCGCTCCGATCTTGGTCCGAACGGCTGGGATACCCTCGTTGGTCCAAAAAATGTTGGTGGGATCACTATCATGGAGGGTGCCAACCACTTCACGATGATCCAAGGCGAAAAAGCCAAAGAGCTAGCGGCGTTCATGGCCAACGCTATGACTGCCGTGTAGTACACAGTAGCTCGACGGTGGCCCATCCTTTTACTTGTTCATGTTCGATATTGTTATTTCTTTTAGGATCTCTACCTTTGCCTGTGGCTATCTCTCATTAACGCATGTCGCTCTCTCCTTTTGTTACGAAGTGCTCTTGAAGATGTTTTGCCCTTATGTATACATAATTCTTGGATCTACGATCCCCTAGGACCTCTTAATATCGACAGACTGACATAAACACGTCCACTTGAACACTCTTCTTTAGAGAATTACGACGTAAAGATTTGATTGAGATCTAATGCTGATACTTGAAGAGCTGGTTACAACTTCCACACAAATGGAAAGCATGGGCATTATGGGATCAGGTGTTCAGCTCATAGCAAAGGTAACTGACAGGCTCAAGGACGAATTAACGACAGGAGCAAGAACTGCAGGGGAAATGAACGCCGGCGAATGCAAGGTCATAACGAGTGTGCTGGGAAAAAGACAGGGTTTGGATCGATTGGGGCCAGGGCCGACTGAGGAGCATGAATTGGGATCCGTCATGCCAGTATGTAAACGTCATAGATCGATTCTGCGGAATTGCAAAAATCATCCACCGGCATGTCAGAACAGCCAAGAGAAAGGCACAGAGCGTCGAAGTCTTAAAATGGCCTTTCAGCGCTGAACCTCAACGCGCTTCCTCTGCCAGGAAGGCCATTGTTGCCGTTGCCGTTGGCACCGGGGCTCGTGGGACGGCTGGTGGTGGCCCATTTAGGACTTCGTGGTTGAGTGCTGGTTGAGCGGGTAGAAGGACGATTCTTGCGAATTTCACGAAGCTCCTCCTCTTTCTTGCGCAAAAGATCATCACGGGCAACGAGGGTCAACTCTAGTTCTTCGACTCGGGCAAGGTGACGAGCGGTGTCATTTTGGATGTTGAGCTCGCGGAGGCGAATTGCGTTGCCTTCCACTTTGCGTTTTAAGTCTTCGTTCTCCTCTTGTAGCTGCCGAGCCTCGGTCCCAGATTGAGCGGCGGCTGTAGATGCGTTCTGGTATTGCTCGCGAGTGTAGTCGGCCTGATTTCGTTCGTAGTCTGCTTTTCGCTCGAGACTGGCGTTCTCTTTCTCCAGGCGCCGGATTTCTTCACGTGCAGTCTCCAATTCTGCCACACTCCCTCCTCCCTCTTTGAGCTCTTGTCTAGTTTGCTCAAGATCGCGCTTCAATTGTGTTCTTTCATCCTTTAATTTCGTAATGTTCTCTTTCTGTGTCTCGATGCGCTGCTCGAGTGAGGTCTTGCTCTCGGTCAGTTGATCGCGCTCGTGACGCATTCGGTGGAATTCCTTGTATCGACTTTCATAACGATGCTGGAGTACGCTCATTGCTGTTTCCAATTCCTGGAATCGGGAGAGCGTCTGGGTCAATTCCTTCTGCAATTGCTCCTTTTCGGTTGTGAGATCGCTCTTCATTTGAACGAGGTTCTTCTCCAGCGATTGCAGATCTCGGTCCAAGGTTTGGCTCATGTGTTTGGACGATTGGGTCAATTGGTTGATCTCTTGAGATGTGTCAACTCGCGCCCGCTTGGAAGTTTGCAGGCCAATTTCTTCATCCTGTAATGCAAGGGTTAAAACAACAGCACATATGCGGATAGTACGTATGCATCTTAACTCACCAGTCCGCGTTTCTGAGTCAGTGCTGCAGGTTCATCAGATGACGAGATTGGTTCATCTGACTCTTCCATCGAGACAGCATGCAAAGGCTCGATGCTTGCCAGTGGCCAGCTGGCAAAGCTATCTCGCAGAAAAACGACAATCTCATCGACATCTTCATGTACACCGAGGGCGTCATCTTGAAGGTCTCCCACTGCATCATGAAGATCAGCGGTATACTGAATGAGCAGACGAAGTCGGTCAAGTGGTGGCAGGTCAGGCAGACAATGCTCGATGTGTTCGCTAGCATTGGCAACGAACAACCAAATCACGGGAAGCAAGCTCCCATTCCGCGTGTAGGTGGTCCGAATGTGTTGCATGCACATGCTCCTGAGATTGACCGATGGGGTCAATGCTAGGATGGCAGCAGGGGGTTTGTAAAGGTCCCTAACGCTGTCGGTGGAATGGATACCGAAGCTCAGAGATTCTTTCACCATTGAAATTTCCAAAGCACCACCCATCTCTTCGCGAGGTCGGGTATACGCAAAGCCCTTGCCTTTCAGATAGCGCTCTAGCAGTCTCTGGGTCTTATCGTCATGCACCCTCAAAATAATATGCAAGTCAAGCATGCTCGCGACTACCGCAAAATGGCCGAGAAAAAGAAACTTTGCACTCGAGTACTCTGCCCACAACCCCTCTTCCGCAAGATGAGATTCTGTTTCTTTCAAATGCTCGGGAATGTTAAGGTCCGGATGTGTTGAGACATTAATCAATTGCGTGAGCATTTCATGCATCTTCGACAGCAGGTTCTCTCTCTGTCGAAATGTTAGCGTAAGTTTCATTAGATGTGATAAAGTCTCACTTCAGCAGCCGATAGTCCAGAGTTGTCGTCAATGCCAGAGAAAAATTCACGAATACTCGTGGCAGCGTCTGCCAATACTCGTTCATAGTAATCCTTCACCCGGGAGTCCATTGGAAGAGTGACTGCAAACTCAGACGGTCCAAGCCGGATTGAACCTGGTAAATTCTCCTCGACATTTGTAACTGTCAATTCACTAGGCTGAATGGTTTGTGTTGTCGATGGATCGACATGAAGCAGTTCCGACGGCGGGATTAGAGGTTCGGCATGCACATGATGAATTGCAGTGTGGGAATGAGTGACAGCGTCTTTGTCGAGTCTGACGCTAAGAGGGGCCATTGCCTCTGAGGCCGATACAGGCACTGATGATTCGATGTCTCCAACAGAGGAAGGGGTTCCACTAGCACTGAGTGTCTGGGATATTCCCGGAAAGCGCGGGGCTCTTGGCTGATCCCATGAATTGTATTGGTCCATATTTTCGTTCATGGATGCTGCTGGATGCTTTCTTCCTTGGTCTTCCACTATTTCCACACGCGGCTGAGTTTCCGTAGGTTTGGGCAATGACAGCCCCGGCTGACTTGTGAATTGAGTACTGGAATCAACTTGATATTGCGACAAATATTGGGTGACCGTTTCCGGTATTGAGCTGAGATAAACACCAACAGAAGAGTCACACTGTGTAAGATAGTGTGAGACCAAGCTGCCCGAATTGGTCTCGATGCCTTCAACAGACCCTGAGGACGCCGAGAAAGGGATACTGGACTCGTGAGATATGAGTTGACTTTTGAATTCCTCGTGTCGGAGAGAAGGTGTTTCGGCTATCTCACTCCGCACACTGCTGTGACCAGCACCAGGAGTCTCCGGAGAAAAGGTCCCGGAAACTGAACTCTGTTTGGCCTGTGGAGAGTATTGTGTCTCTGGGACAATTTCTAGAGAGGGAAGTGTCGATGAAAGGACTGTAGAACCGCGGGTATTTGATTGGTTTTCGTGTTCGGATGCCGCGCGTTCGTTGTTCTCCGAGTCCCTTCTTCTCTGCGAAGCGAAGGGCGAGGCAGGACCGTCGATTTGCGTGATGTCTCGCTTTTCCCGTAAGTCAGAACTTGTATCTGGAGCACGCCTCGTTTTCTTTTCTTCCCAAGTTCGCACAGCAAGCTCTGAAGCGTTCTCTTTGGGTTCCTATTGAATAGCCAGCACGCTCTAGTTAGTCCAAAAATTTAGAGCCGATATTGAGCCACAGAAAAGTGTCAAGTTTCACAACTCACCCAGCTTGGAGTGTAGGGGCCTTCCCAGTCGATCAGGTATTCTGTGTCTGTTTCCTGGAGGATACACTTGATGGGCCACTCGTCGTCGTCCAGTTCACTGCTGTCACTGTACACACGGGCACATACAGTGTCAGCTGGAGCTGAGTCAGTACGCGGTTTGCAATGTCTGTCAGAAGTTGGAGGCCAAAATCGCGTGTCTGCTCGAACCATCATGCGCGATCGACGGGTGCTTGGGTGGTAACGAGGGCCATGATAGGGAGAAATGGAGGCGTGAGGTCGATACTTAATGTAGGATCATGAGAGACCTGGGTTCGGCACACAGCTTCACTTGCGCCGAGAAACCGCAATTGTCCGAACCAGCAGCGTGAAGGGACTATGACGGGGAGAGCGAGAGCGAGAGGAGAGATAAAGCGGGAAGTAGATCGACGGGTGACGGGAGGCGAGCGGGTCATCTCACCGCCTTGACACGTGATGCTTATCGGACCCCTACAGTGAGTGGTATCATTCTATCTAAATGGCAGAGCGACCGGGTGGCCATCCGTATGCATCGAATCGGCTTGGTCCCGTTTCCATTCACCGAAATCAAAGCCCAGCTCCTCAATACTCTTGATCTTGCTTCGCTGCTCGCCTTTCAGGACAAAGGCTCTCCGAATATCCGGAAATAGAGCACGCATCCATCGCTCCCGCTCGGTCCAATAAGTTCCAAGTTTTCCATTGCCGTTGTTCTCGAGTCCGTGTCGTGGCGCTGCTCTGGTGGCCCAGTCGTAGAGGAAATTCATGTAGTCGGCATCTTGGGGAAACGGGAGCAGGTGGAACGCTTTGCCATCTCCTTTCAAAGACACCTCGGCCCGCTCCCATTCTTCCATCATGGCTCGTGAGGGAAGACTCAGTCGTCCGGACCACACCCGAGCAAAAACGGCGGCTTGGTTCTCGGCCATGGGAAAAGGGATCACCCTTTGTGAGAGGACAGGGAAGACAAGCGTAGGATACGGAGTGTAGAACAATTGCTGGTAGACATTCTCGGTACGCCAGCCGTGGGTTTCAACCGGTGGCTGCAGAGCGGGGAAAAACTCGTAGGAGTAGAAATAGCCGGTGCAAAAGACCACTGCATCGACATGTTCCTCGATGCGGCCATCCGCAAATCGTATAGCTCGGTCGTGCCGGTATGGAGGCAAAAATTCAACGATTTCTGGACAAATTATCTTATCCGTATTCGGAGCCGTTCCCAGATAGGATTCTGAACGTTGAGAGACCAGCAGCGCGCCTTCGCAGACTTCGTTAATTTGGGCACCGATATCAAGCCCCGAGGCTGAGTTGCCGACGACCACCACTTTTTTCCCCCGAAAGGGCTCGGGTGTGTCATAAAACTTGGAGTGCAAGATGCTCCCAGGGTATGCCTGATTCCAGGCCGAGATGCCCGAGATATCTGGGAGATACGGGACGGTGAAGTGGCCACTGGCAACCACCACAGCATCATAGGTCCGAATCTTGACACCACCAGTGTAGATATTCATTGTGGCTACATCCCAGGTGCCTAATTGAAGATCTTTCAGCATTACGTGGAAGACATTTGTCCCAAAATGAATAAGGTCTTTCACATCCTCGGCATACTCTTCCAGGTATTTTCTGACTGTCTGATGCTTGGGAAAGAGCTGAGCATCCGCGGGAAACGGTTTGTCAGAGTAACACATCAGTTCCTTCGGAATGTTGGTTTCCAGTCTCTCATATAGAGGAGACATGAAATTTGGCCCCTTAGAAAGATCAGCCTCCCGCTGAGGAGGCTTAGTTTGCGGAACAGGAGTAGACTGCGCGGCTTTGCCGGGGGTAGGGTTCCAAGCGCCCCCGACCGAGAGTCGTTGCTCAAATATGTCAATCTGGTCAAAACACTTCTCTGCCAGGAGGAATCTATTCATAGGTCAGTATATGCCCTCCGGGGATGGGGGTAAATATATGAAAACACTTACTTGGCTGAGGCCAGACCAGACGGCCCAGCGCCAATGATGGCCACTCGCCGGATCGAGTGCGCGACTGTCATTGAGTGAGTTGGAGTGGGAGATGTTGAGGTGTTGCGCGAGGCGGGTATGTAAGATCGTTTGGTTATTTTACGAATTTTACGGCGCATCGTTACTACTAATGCCGCAATGATGCAACCCGTGAATTTCAATTCTTCTCTCATCCTGCCCTGGACCACGTCTGCCCTCGAAAATCCCCGGAACTCCAACATGTTACCCTCGCGTATGAGAAAGCGGGCGAAATGATGGACGCGACCGATCAGCCCCTGGCCTCAGAGCCGCCGGCACAATTGAGCAAGATCCCCATCGCCCAGCTCTCTCCGACCCTCGATCAACTGGAACACAAATGTATCTATGCAGCTGTGACGCTCGTCTGGCCGTACTCATCCTCCACCAAGTCGCTCAGTCTGCTGCTAGCGGAGCCGGATTTCCGCCTACGACGTTCGAACGGGCAGGTGAAGGTCACATTTCACGGTCGAGTCGCAGAGAGGGTCGCGGAGTCGGCGGTGGGAATCGGTGACGAAGTCCGTTTGGCTCTGAAGTACTCGCGCCTGGTTTCAAATGATGCTGCTCAGCAGACTCCGGGGAGGTTCGTTGCCTGGGATGCATATTTCGATAATGGCGTGTCTCTTGAGGTATCACGTGTCCCACGCGAAACGACAAAGTAAAGCTGCTAACGGTGGTTTGTGCAGATCTACCGATCATCGAATCTTGTTTTGACGGTGACCGTCGAACCTCGCGCGCCTGAAACGTATGCTACGGAGCTTGCGCCGCCCACAACACCCGGCGCAACATCGACACTCTCTGATATTGGTTCGTGGGGATCTCCCGCGTTTGTACGGTCTACACGATCTTCTCTGGGAGGGGGAACGCTTGATACCTCGTATGATCCATTTGCAGAAGAAGATGGGTTTGTCCCGGGAAAAGGAAGAAAGAAACCAAGATACAGCCTTCACTGGGACGAATGGCGTGTTGCGGATGAGCCAGCCAGTCCTCGGGAACGAGAGGGCACAGTTGACTGGGAAATGGAGTTTGACGAGGAGGAAGATGCGGAGCAAGATACCGGCAAGCCGAATGGAGAGGATTCAGCGCCAGAGACTCCACCTATCTTCGTGAAACCCTCCCTTGAGCAAGCTGGAAGCTTGACTGGGAGGCACATTGCGCAAACGCTTCAACCTCCCAGATCAATCGACATTTCTGGGGAGGGGACTTGGACTGGAGGTTTTCGTCACCCTACCGATACGCCCCAGCTCCTTCCCATTCCTTCCCCCGGACTCCCAATTCCTTCTCCGCTTGTTTCAAGCTCAAACAGCCCCCATGGTTATTTCTCATCTGTATCTGCCGCCACAGAGGCACAAAATGTTCGATCTGTACCTGCAGAAACAGCTCCGTCGACTGTGCGAACTGAAGCGGATCTTTTGACTGATGTGTCACTACCAAAAAACTTCCAACCACAGGCGGCCGAAATAGTTGTCGAAGATATCAGAACTGCAGAACATGACTACCTTGAACCTACGGAATCTGTCTCTCACCAGCAGGCTTCGGCTTCTTTATTGGAAGATACTTTGGCCGATGAACATCATGTACTACCAACATATCACGAAGAGGCCGCTCTCCTGGAATCTGTCGGCGACTCCGCCATTATCGACCTTGGAGCCGACAGGGGAAATGGAGATGATGAACCATTGGTTTCAGCCCAAATCGACGCAGAAAAGGGCCAACACGTTGAAGACGAGATCTTTGAAGTCGAATCAACACAGGGCTCTCAATTTGATGCTGAGGAGGCTGTCGCAGTTGACGTCCACATATCGCCAAACGTGCCGCCCGCCTCCTCGTTGGATGAGCACCCCGCAGATGATGAGATGGAGGGCATCGAAGACCAACTGGAGAATTATGTGCACGAAGAATACGAGACCCAAGTGGGGTCGATCTCAGTTGCATCATCAGTTATTGAACAAGATGGTCACGGAAGCGATAGCGTACAAGAAAGCGAAGTGTACGATGATGAAGCGCTCTATGATGAGGAAGAAGCAGATTCAGAGTTGCAGGATGCGGATGAGTATGGTGATTTCACCGAATCCGAGGGGGAGGATGATGACAGATTACGGCAACAACAGACTCGGCCGCAACATTCCCAACCTGAAGTTATTGTTCTAGACAGTGACAGCGATGATGAACTTGCTTCTGACCAGTCAAAATCTACTCCTTCGCAGCCACCACCCCGTCTCAGCCAAGCATTCCGACGCGGACCATCAGCATCCTCTAGTGCTGGAGATCTGATGGTTGATGGTCCTGCGGGTGCGTATTCAGTGGCTGAGCGTGGACCCGAGGATCGGTTTGCGGAAGATGTTGAAGAGCAATGGGTCGATGAAATGGAGGAAGATCAAGATCCCGACCGGCTCCTTCCTGGGCAAATAGATTACGAGTCGTCAGAGGATGAGTTGGCACAAGATCACTACGTTATGAGTCTCCCAATTCGGGAAGCATCAGTTGCCCGGGTACGAGAAGAGAGCCATTCCGCCGAAGCAGAAGACCACGATATGACCGCTGAACCATACCCACCAGCTACGACATCCGTTGATCTTGATCTGGCAACGCCTGAAGGCCTACCTCGAGCCGATTCCGAACTTTCTATTTCATACCAAAATCAAACGGAGGAAAGATGGAATCCCGCTATCCAGGTGAACCAACACGATTCAGGCACCGCCCAAGACGTATCCCATGACCTGGAGGCCATGATCGACCCGGCTCTGCCTCGTTCACCCATTCTTACTGGCGAGACCGACCTCCAAATACACCGTGGGCAAGAAAGCAAACATCATGATACCGCTCTTGACGGGCCACGATATGAATTCGGATCAGGATATGAACATGAGCTTAGCCATTCATTCGACGGAGCTGCGTCTCCTCCGAGGAAGCAGGAGACTCAACTGCCCCAGTTCTCACATGAACAACAATTGCCAACGCCCGACCCTACCCAAGAGACTGTCTTTGCCCATGAACCTGCTGTCGGTGCTGGGAGAGTTGGACTTTCACCTACGCCAGATGATTTACGTCTAACTTCGAAGAGATCGAATCAACCCCATATCTCAGCACAAGGAAAGGCTCCTAGCCTAGTCAAGAGCACCGATCAGGCCATCTCCCCCTCTGGATATGTCCAAGTTGCCAAGGACATGCCTGGAAACGACAGAGCGAGAACGAGATCACCATCAATTCAACTGCCGGTTCCTGACCGTCACGCGGCTGGGTTACGAAGCAAACTCTCGTACTTCGCTCCACTTGCCTCGCTCATCGACCACTACAATTCTTTGGTGGACACGGTTTCGGTGGTCCATCAGGTATCACCAGTAGCACGAGCGACATCCGGGCCCAAAGATTACTACGTGACTATCCAACTCACAGATCCGTCCATGGCCGGCACAATGCTCAATGCGCAAATCTTCCGGGCTCAGAAATCCGCGATGCCGTCTTTGGTTGAAGGAAACGCCATCCTGTTGCGCAATTTCAAGGTTCGAAGCTTCGACCATGCAATCATGCTCGTCAGCGCCCAGTCCAGTGCATGGGCTGTGTTCGATGGCTCCGGCCCTGATGCCCAAGTGAACGGCCCACCTGTTGAATATGGTGCAGAGGAACGGGCTTACGCCTCTGCTTTGCGGCGGTGGTATCAGGAGGTGGGCTCAGCCATGGTAGCTGATAATCAGCTCCAAGCATCCATTGGCAGAGACAGCATGGAATCCAGCGATCCGGGCAGCCCGAGTCTCTCCTGGCGGGATGATCGACGTGGCTCGGCCAGGTCCCGTTCGACGCGGCGACGGAAGAGTCATCGGAGACTGACCATTCATGAACTGAGAGATGGCACTCGCTACACAGAGGTTGGGTCTCCTAACCATAGCAGCATTCATGAGCTTCGAGATGGTACTGTGTACGCCAATATATGAGGTGACTAAACAGGCCTCTTGCTATCTTTTCAGATCTTGTCTAGAAATGAATGTAATGACATGTCTTGATTTCTCGATGGCATCTGGAATCATCAACTAAATACACGTCTAATCTATTCCATCCCAAACGCAGTATATACTAGCCGACAGCCACCCTTCCTTCCCTTCACACTCACATCTTCGAATTCTTTCCTGAAAAATACTCCGCCCGCACAGCAGACTGGATCAACTGATTCGCAATCGCAGTCGGAGGCGGCAGTCGCAGACCACCCTTATACTCCGGACCGGCCTTGGCGCTCAAGTCACTCGTCCCTATGCGCAGAGCCTCTTCCACCTCCTCGATATCGAACCAGCGCGCATCTTCCAGTTCGGGATCATGCTCGAGAGAAATCGTCTCGTGCGCCGGATCACTGACCTGTGCAATTGCCCCGATCATCAGATTCGCCGGGTATGGCCACGGCTGCGACGAGTGGATGACGACTCGCGACAGGATAACGCCCGACTCCTCGTATACTTCTCTCCGAACAGCGTCCTCGATCGACTCCGCCGGCTCGATGAATCCGGCCAAGGTGGAGTACCAATTTGGCGGGAAGCGCTTGGACCGGCCGAGGAGGATGCGCTTGGCGTCGGCGGACACCACGGCCACGATGATGGTGGGGTCAGTGCGGGGGAACGACAGGTTCGACAGCGTGGTCCGCGTGTTACATGCTGGACGCTCGTCGGACTTGCCGTCGGACACCTGCGCGGCATCTGTGGAGGGACAAGCGCGTTTCGTACCGGCATTGACCGCCAACGTGGGGTTGCCGCATGTGCCGCAGAAAGTATTCCGGGTATTCCAGTCGATCAGGGCGCGCGACTGGGCGTAGATAGCAGCTGTTGAACGTGAGTCGATGGATACCATAATAAACTGGACGAGCAGACCTACCTTCGTCCGCCGAAAGTGTCGTAATAATTCTGGACTGGAAGAACGAGAGCCCCTGGGCCTCCATGGCTCCAATGATATCCTTTGCCGCAGTCTGCTGCTCTTCCGAGCCCTTGGGAGTCACGTCAACCGCGAAGTACGGCGTGCCGGTGTAGACCTTCCATGCCATGCCGCCTGCTTTCTGGCCTTCATCCAAGCCCAAGAAAATCAGGGTCGGATGAGTTTTCCGCGAGTCATAACTCTTGATCATATCTTCCTCGGACTTATCAAAGATGTCCTGGGGAACTAGCTTGGCCACTTCCTCATGTTTGGCATAGTACAGCTCCGCGGATGACCGAGTCAGTGGCGCGAGGTTGTTCAGCAGGACGAATCGAGTAGATGGGTGCTTCAGGGCCGTGGATAGAAAAGGATGGTCTGACCGGAGGAATGAGAGGCGGTTCAGGGGGGAGCCTGGTTGGATTCATTTAGTATCTGTCGTTAGTCGGAAGTTGAGCCCGGGGACAGACATACTGGAGAAGTAGTTCGCCGTCTCCCGGCCAAAGTGGCGCGACAGCATGGAATCCGCGAGAATATGCGCCGGGGCAGGGAGCGATGAAGCCGAGCTCATCCTGAGATACTTGACTAGTCTGGTCGGATATCGAGTGAAGGAAGAATCACGGATGTTAATAACGTGAAGTAGAGGGGAGCAATTGGTCAGCCGAGGATGCGGTTCCTGAGCGGGCTCGGCATGCTGACCGATAACTGCCGTAATACCCCACACACGTGATCCGCGCTGTTTCGGGATTACAGGCCCCGGTTTGGCCCAACGCCGGGTCGTTTCCTGTACCACGATGGCAACCAACAATATCCCGTAATCCAGCCGCGGTGGCGTGCACAGTCTGTGGCCTGATGGACCAGGCATCAGCGAATCTGATGCAAGGCCCTCCCGATTCATCGACAGGCAACAACCGCATAGCTCCCCTTTTATTCATGTTACCTTGTGGTTCTCTGTTCGAAGTCATTCATATATCTATCTAGTATTATACTGCATTCTTTTCATGGAAAGAAATGATTAGGAGTGACTGCAGTCGGGATCATGCTGGGCGCACTCGGTCAGGCGCTGAATAGCGTCCACTTCGGCTCTCACGAGCGCAAGGTGAAAGGGTATCTCAATGAAGCCACTCCAGGTCAGTCAAAAGAGCGATATATTCATGAGTCTCATCATCTTGACCTTTACCAGACTCTGTGCTTGAACATCTCAAGAAAGCCCTCGCCCCCAAATAAGGGAGGTCCAGGATCTCTGGACCATATTCGACGCCGTTTGTGTCGAAGACTCCTCCCACCAGCGATGTAAGTTGACCCGCCAGAAAGATCTTCTCTCGAAACTAAGGTGTAGCTTAGACTGGAACGTGACCAGTTTTCGGAAACATATAGAGAGAGAGCACCCGGATGTGGTCTCCTCTGAGGCCGTGGTCCAACTGTTGTGGAGATGTTTCCTCTACTTTGCCTATCACCCATTTCCCCGCGATGTCACCAATAGTGCTCAAGTCGATTCGAGCGGCTTCCAACGCGCTGTTTCACTTCTAGCCGCCCAAGGGACTGATATCTTGGGCACCCAGGAGGAAGGGGATTATTTCTGGCGCCACGACGACGCTTTCTTCCACACAGCTGATTACAAAAGAACCCTTAGAAGCATTGGCCTTCCAGATGATATAAACAACCAGCCCACAGATTCAGGTCTGGAGGAGGACGTCATGGATGTTTTAGCTATGACGCAGCCGCAATCGGTGAGCTTGGCTCCATCACCAGATCAGCTAGGACCTGCAGCTCGAAAGCTGCTTGATGAAGGTCCGACTCGGACTCAATATCGGGTGGCTCGCAGGGATCTCTCAACTTTGTTGAGCTTGCTTCTACGGCTGAGGCTGTACAAAGCGAAATGGGGTTCATACTTCCATTATGGCACTTTCGACAGCGCCGAGCCTGGCGACGAAAAATTGGCCAACATCCTGGTCAATGGACTGGGCGAGGTCCGTGATGGAGAGAATCTTACATCCAAGCAACTTCTCAGGGCAATGGATCTGCTGGTATGTATGGATAGATGCAGCGGAGTATCGGGGGCGTCTCTGACTTTTCATAGCCAAACTTGAACCTACGATTCCACCAGCTTTGGGCGGTTCTATTTCAGCCACCGATGTCTGCAGATAATCAGCTGTTGTCTCAAGCACCGGAGCCATTAGGAGCCGTACCTGACCAGATCCTTCGGGCTATTACATTGTTCCTCCCTCGCCCTGAATTCTCCACCCGCATTCGGACGACAACGCAGGACGACGTGCGGATTACTTTGGAAAAGTCGACGCAAGCATCGCAGAGATCAGATGACTTGACAGTGACCCGTCTTGTGAAGACTCTCAAAAACGATGCACATCCACACCTGATGCTACTTACCAGCGATGGAACTACAACACCAGCCACGGTGGTAGGGGTATACTTCCCAGGCCCGCTCTGGCTCGGGTCAAATGAAAGAGAGAAGTGTGAATTCAAGACCGGCACTTCCCATCTCCTCTTTCAGCTTGGGCCTCAGTTCCGCCTTCTCCGATGGACCTGCCCTGGCATACCACTCACGGACATTGTCAATACACATGAAGAGGCACTGTCGCTCGAAGCTATCGCGGCAAGTGATGAAACATCTCCGACGTCAAACAAGGCCTACTGGGTCGGAGACCCGGAGAGAATCGGTCCCGGCCTACAAATTGACCCTGAGACGAAGTCGGCTCTGCTGACGAGCAATCTTACCGACGCCAATATTGGACGAGCAGCCTGGTACAACGACGTCGGCAGAGACAGTGACCGTGGTGACGAAGCACCCAAAGAGCCTTGGGAGGTGACTGTCAAGCTTGGTCAGCTCCATTTTTTCCGTGTTTCGTGCAGGATAGATGCAGACCTCGCTACTGGGCGGATCATCCGGGCTAAGGATCAGGCTAGATATATGCGGGAGGCAGCGAAACCAAGGATCGAGGGCGAGGAGCTGAAAAAGAGAATTCAAGGATTCGGATCTACTTCATGACTGAAGGAGCTTGATGATATGGATTAGTTTTTTTTGTTTCTTGTTCGGTTTCGTGCGGACAAGTAGTTCTGTACAACTAGCTGATTGTGAAAGATACCTACGTACTCTTCCCTTTTGCAGTTATTGACCAGGCGACTTTACAATTGTGCTCCTTACATATTGCTACATATACGCTTTGAAGAGCAAACTGTCTTTATTCGGGCATCTGCTGCTCTTGCTAGTCATCTACAGTGACAATCTCCTGTGTAAAGCTCGTAAATCTGCGCTCTACAACAGTTAAACACTCCATACTTCTTACACTGGCAAATATCTAGGGGCAAAGGCATAAAACTCGCCTGGGTAGATCAAAATTGGCAATGAAATAATCACCATCACACGGATTACCATGAGGAACAATAAACAAAAAGATCTGGTTAAGAAAATTTTCAATTTTTCTTGTAGGTAAAGAGGATACGGTGGAACCGCCTGTGTTCCCAACACATCAGATCACGATCAAGTTCACTGTTTATCCTGAAATGTCCCTGTATAACCTCTGTGCAAACGTGTCGCAGTTATTCCAGAGTTTGTGGTAGTTGCCCATCGTATTCGCAAGCTGCTCGCCACGAGCCCTTACTATCTCATACGTCAAACCCTGTCTGATGGGACCGTAGTGCTTTTTCGCATTCTCAACTTCCCATGCACCGGCAGAGGTCGTCCTGGAGATAAAAAGGATTTTCTTCACTCCGTTGATGGTTTGTGCGCGAATGTCGTAGGAATAGGAATCATAGTTTCGGGTGACGGTCTTGACAATTCGTTGAACGTTGCCACAGTCGTCTTTTTCTTCCCTCTCTTTTGTCTCGATGGTGACATAGCCGGCGATAAGCTGGTAATGCTCCGGAATCGGTGCAATGCCAGTAGGAGGCCATCCTAAACGATTGGATGTCAGTAAGCAATGTTTTGCCAAAGAGACCTGAAAGTACAGAAAAAACTTACTAGCCTCGATCGCCCATCCCTCTCCGTTGTGCCACTCAAGGTGTTGAGGCACAGTTCGAGCTAGAATCTTGAATTTTTGGCTATCGATATAATGGGTCGTGGTCGGGATTTCCGAGGGAGCACGTTTAGCCTTGGGTTTGCACTTGGGATTGGGCTTTGGCGGCGCCGGCGGTGCATGGGCGCTGGATATGGTGCGATAAAGGCTGAACAAGGTGTAATTGTGGGGTTACAAAATGGTTGCTCTCGCGGCCTTACACCCCCTATTTTTCATAATGAGGCTTTGAATGAACAAGATAACTTGGCCCCCATAATACTGCACGAACGGCTTTGAGTGACGGTGTGAGCCTAGATTGGAATTACGAGAATCGCGCCGGAGGCTGGCTGAGCTGCCGATGGTTTGTCACGAGTGTTGATATTGATGTCAACTTAGTGACACGTCTCCAATATAGCACTAGCACTATGCATCATCGTATGAATAGTTGGCAAATGCACCTAAATGTGACCATAGTATTGTACATCCCTAAATGTTGAGAGCTATCATCAATCAGATTCCGAGCAGAGTGCTATAGACGTCAACCATATTATCAAAATCATCATCGATTCATTCTATATTTTCCTCTGAATTCAGTGCGAATTTGTACTTCTACGACTTGTTGGTGGGGGATGCTCGGCAATCCATTTTGCTCACAATCTCCGAACTAGCGTCTTGGCGGTGCGGCATCTCACCTTCCCATCTGCTCTCTCCACAATAGCCTTTTGTCTGCTATATTAAGCTTGCTCATTACGTATATGGAACAGTCAAAGTTGCATATAAATAAAATCGTCAGTTTTGTGCTGCGTGAGACAGCTAGGCGAAGATAATTATCTTCGTGGATAAATTGGTTGCGCGGCTCTGCCTCTCGATGTATTTAGCACGCGACGTGTTGCTTGGTAAGGGATTCTCATCCTAGCAAGCGGGCGGGACGGTTCGTTTTAGGGCTTACGTCGGTCATACCATGCCCCACTGCCATGCCAATCAATTTAAAGATACCAAGTACGGAACCGCAGCAGTAATAAGGGAGGGCTAAATTTAGGGTATCCGAAGGCGCGAGCTCTGGTTGATACCATTAAGGTAGGTACGAACTGTGGCTCTGTGGAGTAGTATCATGCAATAACCGGTTGCAATGAGCATGAGACAAAAAGATGTTGGGCTCGGGAAGAGATTCTTCATGGATTTTGGTCGGAGTGGCACCGCGCAAAATCCTTTGAAGGGACTGTCCCCGCAGAATACCTTCGTGGCATCCACTTTGGACGGCAAATATTTGAAATTTAGGTATAATTTTGAAATCAACAAACGTGTCAGGTCGACGGTGCCTACAGTAGTTTCCACAGCCTATGCAGCCAGTAAAAAGGGCACCAATTGCAACTCTTCGCTTATCCCGGCTGATGGGGGCCAAGATACCCTCCTTCCTCTGCGATCTACTCTATTCTAATAATAGCACGCCATATACGGAGTGTTATTCGGCCAGCAGAGCTGTCAATTTAACACAAAGGCCGTTGCTCCGAAAAATCTCGTTGAGCCTCCAAATTGCAGGAACCCGACATGCTTCCCTTTCGAGCCTGATACTCATGGACGATATGTTGACAAAGTTCCGCGTTCTCACTACTCTTTCTCAATTCTTTCCCTCGTCTTTTCGTCCCAGTCACTCGTACTTGCACCGTGGAAGTAATGATGAAAGCGATTTCCGGATTCCTCTGCAAAACTTTGATACCACTGCCGACGACAATAGGAATCGCAACAGCAGCAGCAGCAGAGCAACATCGAGGTCGAGGGACGTTTGCGAAGAAGATGACAGGCCACCAAAGGCTACCATACCCATGTGGTCACCCTATACGTTAAGTCTTCCGTTTCTTGCAGTATTGACGGGGGTGACCTTAATACTCTGCCTTGTTACATTTTTGCTCTGCTGGAGATCATCGACAAACTATGGTCTTGGTGCGGACGACGGCTCTTCGGCCCTATTATTTGGCTGGAGATATAGCCCGACTATGATAGCCGTGGTTTACGTTCAAATGACCGCCGTACTGCTGCTAGATATCAAACGCACAGAACCCTATGCTCGATTGGCTCGTCCCCAGGGAGCAGAGGCCTCCACAAGCATTCTCAAAGCTCCAGGAGCATGGTGGAATGCGCTGTATGACGGTTTCGCGAAGGAGAAGAATGGCTCTCGAAGCTGGACCCTCATCTGTGCCTCGCTCTTGAATATCCTTGGTTTCATGGTCATATCTCCTCTTTCGTCTATCTTTCTATTCTCTGAGAGTGCAGCGGTTCCAAAAGTCACCAATTTCCTCAAACTTTCCCCAAGAGACTCCCCGTTGCCAATTGAGTCGGACCGTGTGGCAAATTTTCGAACCATTGCAAACTTATTGCAAAATGCATCGACTTCGCCGTGGATTACTGATCAGTACACCATGCTTCCTTTCTGGCCGGCCGACATGCAAAATGCTCAAATTTCTTCACTGCCTACATACTTGCCGCAGGAATGGCAGACAGAGACAACAGTGTTCAAGAGTGATTTCAGCTGTACCACTATGTCGTTGGAATCGCAAAAGCTTGGGACTATGGCAATCCCAGAGGGTACTCTAGACACATATTTCGCAGCCTCCTTTCTCTGGTCATCATCAGATGGATGTAAATATGGCATGGCAACTGGGATCGAGATCTTCGAATATGGTTGCAGCAGCTGGTCAGAAACCTCTACATTTTATAATGCACTGGGCGAGGGAATCGAGGGTTCTGCGGTCAGCACAAATCAAACAGCTGCATGCAAAGGCAAAGAGGTCATTTTCGTGACAGATGCGTGGAAGTTGAAAGGTCAATCAATGCAAGCAGATGGAACTCAGTACTGGAACTCAAATGGTGCTTATATTCAGGCCCTGCTATGTGATACGAAGTATTACATGGCAAATGTGTCTACCTCGGTCTCCCTTGTTGGAAGTGAACCGGAAATCACTTTCAATGAGAATGAGTTTGAGGAAAGAAAGGCTGTAGTTCCAAGCAGCATCTTCAACACAACCCAGTTCAGTGCTCTGATGCTGTCCTCGGATTGGATAAACTATATGTGGTCCCTTTACTATTCGATAGACTACGAATTGCAGGGATACAAGCAGCAAGGATCGTATCTAGGGGGTCCTTCCATTCTTCTGGGAGCTCTCTACAACTACAACATGACCTCATTTGCCGATGATCCGGATTTGGTACACTCGGCCGCCAAAACAAAGCAGCGGTATCTTGGAGAAGTGCTACAATCAGCCTTGACTCAACAGGAAGCTTCAGAAAGCACAAACAGCCAAGGCCATGTACATTACATTGAGACCCGGGTAGTTGTGCAAACAGCCGCTGCTATCGCTCTAGGGGTTTCTTTCCTTTTCTCATTCCTGTTTGTGCTTGCTATCTGGTGGCTTTCCCGGCAGAAGCAGCGACCATTGAATTTGACGAAAGACCCAGCGACGACCGTAGGCGTGGCTTGTTTATTAACACATGACAATCGTTCTACTTTCGGTTTCAAAGATCTCCGGCAGCCTACCGATAAAGAGCTCCATCATGAGCTAGATGGCGAATGGTTCTACACGAACTCTGACGGTCTAGTGCAGGTGCACACCGCCGATAACGATATAAGACGCAACGTCTCTCAATCGGAGAATGGGGCGCCAAAGATATTTCAGTTACCTCTCCTACTTACCCTAGTAATAGTCCTCATTCTAATTGTCGTTGGGGTTGCAGTGCTTTATCATTTTTCTATGGCCACTGCGCTGTACGAAAAAGTATTTGTATACGGTTTCCAGGTTTCTTTTTTCGGCAACAGCTTGTCAACAGTGGCCCCATTTGCGTTGGTCCCAACAGTTGTTGCACTCGTGATTGGCCTATGGTGGGGCGCTATGGATGAAACGTTTCGCCGTCTTCAACCGTTTCTCGCGATGTCTAAAGATAGCCAGCCCTTGTCCAAAGGGGCTGATCTATCATACGAGTCTACATTCTGGGCATGGGCCTGCATGAAAGCCTTACGCAACAAACACTGGCTACTTGCTCTTGTGACACTGGGAAGTACTTTTTCACCCTTATGTAGGTTTCAACTCTCGCAGCCACTCCATTGTACCCGCTAACTTTCAACTATTCAGTCACGACGTCAATGTCCGGTTTGTTCGAACGCGGACCAGGAGTGATTTCTCAGCCTTTGACGTTAAATCGGTCATTAGAAATCCGCGATATTCCACAGGTAATCTCGGTCAACTCTGATTCGAGTGAAATTGATTGGAATTATGCTGCACATGGATTTCTCTCGGACCTCTTCTACAATGTTTCAACCAGTTGGATATATGCGGCTACTATTCAGCTATCTTTGAATAAGTCCCAACAGCCCGCCTGGAGTAAGGATGGCTGGGCTTTTGCTCCTATTGATACTAGTATTGTGAGGAACACAAAAGTGCCAAATGTCATTGGATCTCCGCTCAATATTTCGTTCACCACACCGGCCATACGGGGTCGTATTGAATGCAGCCAGCCTCCAGCGCAGGCGTTTACAAAACTATCCAATTGGCTTACCCCCAAAGACCTACGGAATCACACATATTGGAACAGCAAAACCATCCCCCCCCGGCCTTGAGAGTGGATACAAGTTAGGGAATACCCAAACGTATAAATCCTACACTTGGATGCCCGCCCTCGCGAGATGGATTTTACCCCTCACACCCCCCGAGGAAAAGTCCTCTTGCCCCGGATGCACAACAGTACTCAGTGTCCCTGAAGAGATTGCATGTTGTACAAATGGAAGCAGCAACGACTGGAAATCCAGCGTGGCCGTTGGGTATTGGTCTCCTAATACCACGCCAGATACCTTTTCATGGGCATATTGGCAACGTAACTTCACCGTGAAGTGGATTTGTGGAGATGCGGTGTCAGGGATTAAGAGCAATCAAATGAATAGCCGCGGGGAGTATGAAGAACTCGATCTGCTGTTCGTTGAACCACCATCGATGACGCTTCTGACTTGCAAGCCAATCCTTGAATCGACAACAGCAAACATCAGCGTGAACCTAGAGAATGGTGAAATCCAGAAATTTGACCTTGTCAATGAGGCCAAGGAATTATCTAGTGCCTTTGCAGATAATTTCTTACCGCATGTCCAGAACGTTTCTTCTGCTAGCGGATCGAAAGCCTGCAATGCGACGCTGAGGTGAGTCTTGGAAGCTAAACTGACCCCTTTTATGAAGAATAATAAAGAGATACTTGTGAAAGAACATGACTGATGGAACCTCTTTTTTTTATAACAGTCTTGGACGCCTGTTCATGATTTCCCTCCTATCCGCCGCTAAACTCGACGTCGTGGTATCTGGGTCCTCTCCTAACTCTTATACCGTCGAAAGCTTGAGTGACAAGACATACAATATTCTCGACGATAATAACGGGCTGAACATGGACTTTATGTCATATTCCATGTACACGATGGCCAACAAAAACCCCGACGCCCTCCTTGACCCAACAAAGTTAAAGACGCTCGCCGAGAAAACGTTCACAACCTTCTTCCAGCATTTTGCCAGTAACAATGTCTCCCTGGAGACAGGAAGCTGGGCCTTCCAGAAGATCAACGCGAGTCTTCCAACTAATCTTGGGACAGCGGTGAATATGAATCATAGCGTTTTGACAAACGAGACGGCAGCACAACAAGATTTGATACATCCGATATCACATACCAATCGCACCGTGGAGGCAAATTTTGCTCGTCGTGTGGAAGTGTTGAAGATTAACTCTATTGCAGTCTGGCTGAGTATATCCATCATGAGCTGGTTGGTCCTGACTACTGTCGTGGTAGCCGTTTTCCAAAAGCGCTATTTTGGCAGTCTAGTTCGCGGCGTGGAGTGTCTCGGTGATGTGCTGGTTTTGATTGCAGACAGTACAAATCTATTTCAAGTCGTGCGAGGGATCCAGAGCACTCGTCTGCAACCAAGTGGCTACAAATATCTTCAGACTCGACTAGGATGGTTTATTGATACAGCCGGCAAGCTACGTTGGGGGATCGAGATGGAAGACCCTTCCGGCAATGAGCCGGGGGTGCAGTGGGTAGAAGCGCCTTATTTCTCAAAGGAGAATGATATTGAGGAGTGGAACTTTTCCGATGATGATAGGGCTTCCTACGGGTGACAAGGGTTTGAGAAGAGAATCTGTTCATTAGTGTAGTAAGCGCGCTCTCTCTCTCTCTCTCTTTTCTATCTATTCTATTTAGTTATATTTTGAGTCCTAATTCTTTTTTTTTAGGTTTTTCTAAGTGATCCGACCGATAAGGCCTCCCTTCGGGCCACGGGGCGCTAGGGGGCCGGGGCACGCACGGGGGCAAATCAGCGACGGAAGTACTGGAATGAGCCCTGATCCCACTGGCCACTAGAGTATGATATTTGTGGCGACCAATCTCCTTTATGACAATATAGCAGCAACGGTAAGAAACAAATATCAGCTAGCAGAAAGGTCGGTTTTGGAATGTTAATTCAATCCTTCTAAGAAAGGGGGAGCTCCCTAGAGCATCTTTTAAAAGTAGCCAACCGCCTCGATATACTGAAGCAAAGTAGGCATATTGGATCTATATATCTTAAAACGGCGTATCTGCTTCACTTCCTTCGCTACAATTAGTCTACAAAGGGCCGCATAAGGATGGATAATAGCGCTAGTGACATGTTCTTAAAACACTTATATGCAGATGACTGGAATCAGATTGGTAAGGAAGCTTAAAAGAAATGTCGTGTGCAGATCCAAAAACAAGTGTTTGTCGGTAAAAGATGATTCATCGATCTCGTCGGCAGCGCATTCCTTGCGCCTCTTTTCACTAGGCCCCATTCGACTGGTATTGGCTCACCAAAACGTCCACGTTCACGTCAGACCACATCTGGCCCTAAAGAGTGCATCTCGCCATTTAAGGAATACCGCCACCCGGAATCGCTCACGGATCGGGCATGTTCGCCCATTTGACCCGGTCTATACGCCATAACCCTGCATGTCAGATAAAATATCAACAATGATAAATCTAATGATAGGTAAAGTCAGCAATGAGTTGGCATAAGCTCAGCTGATCCTTTTTTCCTTGCTGGTGTGGTTCTGGATGGCTCTGGGCAAGCTTTTGAGGTCTCGGCTTTTTTTGCTTGCCTTTCTTTGATCCAAATGAGTGCCAAACCTTTTCTTCTGTGCACCGGCTCGGAAGCTATCGTCCTTACCTATTTCGGAAAACCCCTATTCCATTCTTCCCTCGTTGATTGGCCAGTTGCTCGGCAGGTTTCCTCACGGCCTCCTCGGAGGGTGGCGTGGTGGACTCGGGGCTGGAAAGGCTAGGCAGGCCGGAAAGTCACGTCGATTCCTTTGATATGTGATGATGGGTGGTGGGGTTCTTTTGGTCCTTCTGGGGAACGCCGCACCCCATTCTTATGAACTTTTACTTCAAAAAGCTGGACGCCAGATGAGCCAGCCTTGGAAATCGTAGAACACGCGCCCGACAAAAATATATGCGCCGCCAAAAGTCTATTCTGAACTGATTCGAGGGTATGGGAACAAGCCCTGAAATTCGGCAATGCGACTTCAGTTTTGTTAAGTTCGACCTCAGGCACCGCACCTGCGACTGACTAAGCATACCCAACCACCATCTTCAGGTATATACAAAGATCAACTGTTTCGTACCTGACAGGATGACCACTACATTCTAAAACACAGAATTGTTATAGAAATTACATTTATTGGGGAGGAGAGTGTCCGGTAACCAGGGGTTATGCAGGGTGCCTCCGAGTCTGCCTGTACACAGTCATGCGGTCGGGTAAACGATACATAGATTTAATAGGGAGATTGTACCCGATGCTAGCACCGCGCCAAAGAGAACAAGTATTAGCGAAGACAGAACAAGATAATGTCCACCGCCAGGAGTGGAAAGGAAGAACCATTCAAACATCGCTGTAACGAACCCGAACTGTGAAGCCTTAATAGTTCGTTATAGCGATGCTTGAACCTATGGAAATGTAATCAGCCCAAGGAATGCCTTCGCCGCCACACCAACTACTTTCGATTTGGCTGCAGCAAGAAATGTTCATGACTAACTCATCCGAGACTGGCTAGAATATGCGATACGGCAAGGTCCGAGAGCTGGCCTGAATTTCGTAAACGAAGCTAGCTAGCGGCCGTCTTTTAAGAGAAATGGCGTCTTGAACAACAAGGCACGGGCCTGGATGGTCTCTGAACTCGTCCATTCACGCGCCACATCATATGATATATCAATAGGCAGGACTATGACTGAATACCTTAGCGGAAAATAGGGTTAAAAAAGCCTTCTTCAGGTGAAAAGGAGGCCCTAGAGATCTTATATACCATCTGAAAAGTGCTCCCCCTTTCTCTCTCTCTCCTTTTCTCTCCTTCCTATCGTTCATGCTTCATTCCAGTTTCACTATGCTATATACTAGGTTTCTCGTTATTGGGCTTTCAGGCTTGCTCTCTACCGCTACCGGTCTATCCCTGGATGCAAAGTGCAAACATCATGTTCCGCCTCCTAACCTGCATGAAGTTCCTCTGCTTGTTGACTTGATCCGAGACTTCCATCTCTATCCTTTTTGCGCTGAATACATTCATAAGCCGGAGTTCCCCCATACCACGACAAAAATTATCGGAACTGCGACCAAGACGATTACCACTCATGTACAAGTTACCGACACAGTAACACATACTTCCGCTAGTGGTACGGTAGATGTCACAGATACAACTACTCTCACAGTGATAGTCACATATACTGCCGCGACGGCTACAGGTATTTATGACAGGCCCCTCAGAATAAAACCAAATCTCTAATAAATGATAGTTCCCGATACTACCACGGTCTCGTCGACAACGTAAGTAAAGTCACTTTGGATTTTAGCCTTCTCTTTCTACACACACTCACTACCGCTTTTCACATTATCATATGCAAGAAAAGAAATTAATCTGAAGTATAGGACTGTTACAATCACCCCTAACACAATAACTTCATTAGCTTTCCCTACTCCTACCGGTTTCGAAGCCAAGCGAGATGTGCGGCCTGGACTTGACGAGCATGGAAGAGACCCCGTTCCCGCACCGCTACACGGAGCACCAGACAATTTGCTCTCGGAAGCCTGCTTGTCGGCCCTTGCTACCCGGACATTCACTATTTATACTCGGAGCACAACAGTATCAACTCAGACTGTCACGAAGACTGCCACTGCAGTAGATACAGCCTTCACGCCTGCCACAACTGCCACCGATATCGTCACGGACGCTACTACAGAGAGTGTGCCCGTTACTGAAACTATAACTTCCACTACGACCATTACAGCGACGCCAACTGTCACAAGTACGGCCACCGCTACTGTCTCCGTCTGTCCCGATCAGCAGAGCGTAGACGGAGGAGGAGTCCAGGCATCAGGACAACTCATGGATTCTACCTCCCCAGACGCACTGCAATGCTGCACAGCATGTTTTGAGACCGAAGGCTGCGGGCTCTGGTTTTTCTTTCCGCCTTCTCTGTGCTTCAATGCTGTTGATGTCAGTGGACCAAACCCGGATGCGCAATGTCCCACTGGCTTTGGTCCATATGTCATCTTCCCCGGCTCACCAGATGACGGGAATGTTGGCGGACCAGGTCCTTGCGCGGGAAGCTTTGTCGACGATTAGGAGGACTGCGAAGTAAACCATTTTCTTGCTTCTCTTGATCTAAATAAGTCTGTCTCTTTTCCTTTCGAATCAATTGCTGTAGGCCTATTCATCAAGTCGTCGCATATGGCTCTTCCACCGCATCCCTTTATTAAGAAGAACGTCCAGTACTATAGCGGCGACTGCCAACAGAGTGGCCCTTACGCTTGAGGTCAAACTGCTTTCGCCAACTTGTATGCTGGAGCAAAACTAGTCCTACTGCACCTTTTCGACATGCAAAATTTGATTTCAAGAATTAAAGACGGGGCTTCTAATAGTCACAACTAGTCTTCCGAAGAAGTAGCATACGAGGATCTCTTTAAGCATAGTATCTGGTGACTAGGCCCCCCTAGAAAACCAATCTTTATAATTGGAAACTAGTGAGGCTTCTCTCCAAGAACGTTTCCCAATCAAGGCGTGGCTTTCTTGACAGCATCAATCACCAACTCCTTCACAGTTCTCCGCTTCGTAGTCAGATGCCCATCCCCGTCAAATTCCAGGCCATCAGGGAGATCGCCTGCACCGCTCCCGTCAAATGCACCTGCCAAAATACTAAGGAACGCGGCGGGTCCAATCTGGCCTCCCTTAAGAGCGCCGTCACGCTTTTCGATGATGGCCGCCGTAGTTGTGTAGGTTTTCTTGAACTCCTTGCCCGTCACGTCCTCGAAAGCTCTCACCACTTCGTTCATGGTCGTTCGGACCTCACTAATCGGGATACGCTTATTCTTAGTCTTCTCTTCATCCATCGCCAGTGCGGCGACAATGCATGAAGCGATGAAAGAGGTAGAACAGCCTGTGAAGGGGTTGTCGCCCCCATCATGCAGCGTCACCTGGTGGTTTTTAGGGTCAAAGGTCCCGAAATCGCCACAGAGCCATGAATCGAGAAAGGCCGCAGGGATGAGGGTAGTAAAACTTGTAGGGCCATTCTCCTCCGTAAGTGCGCAGAATTTGCGCGCATTGGGAACCAGGGGCGTGAAATTCGCGGGCCAAGGGCCTTCGGTGAAGAGAGATATGGCCTTTGGGTGTAAGACATCGAAGGTGTACTCGGATTGGAAGATTCGTCGCACTCCGGCTGTTCTTGCTGCCGCAAGGAGTGCTTGATCAACTTGTGTGTTTGCCTTTCCTGATACAAGAGAGACAATGGCGTCTGCGCCAGTAATGGCGCGTACCAAGACTGCTTGATCCGCGTAGTCGACTGGGATAACTTTCGCACCAGGAATAGGCGCTATCTCCTCGCTTTTGACGCGAGTGAGAATGGTGACGTCAAACTTGGGCTTCGTTGAGTTGACTATGGCGGGAATGGCATGATCGGCGAGTCGGCCAGAGCTGCCAGCAATAACAATTTTGGTGAAAGTCATATTGAGTAATAGGGACGTTTGGTATGTTTTTCTCGGCGGTGAATACTTCTATTGATGTGTACAACGCTGCCCTCCGCCATTTTTATACTTCAGTGATGCCAACTGAGGCTGACAAATGGAAGCATCTAGGAACAGTGTGATATAATCCATCTGCTACTGATTACTACGGCACTATGATGCTACAACCCGAATGCCGAAACTGACAAAGCGCGGGCAGGTATTCCCGGTGCTAGGCATGTAGCTGACAATCATTCCTACACTAGGTTTCATTGGCTGCCGTCAAGCGAACTCTGAGGACGAAACATTGTCCAAGACTGCTAATCCAGTAAGCTAGTTCCGTGCTACATACTCTTGTAATATCACATGGGATTCCCCACCTGCATGACCTCGCTCTTTGGGCTAACCGATAGTAGGGTGACCCAAAGTGATTATCTTGTATCAGAGATTGCATCGAAAAAGCTCGTGTCAAACACAGCTGAAACTCAATGCTTGCTCTTCACTTCAAGCTTCACTTCAAGTCAGATGCCTAGATCCGTGGTCCATCCTAGAGATCGAGGTTTGTCTCATCTATCGTCAGCACAGGCAAGTTTTCCCGAATCATACTCATGTCCCTTAGTCATCTGACACAAGATTCCTCTTGACCAATATTGCGAAACAAAAGGTCCATGCCCACTCCCCACCACAAAAGACTAGCCAAGATTATTTTCCTGCACGAACTTTGGCTGGTTGGACCATATCCTAATCTTTGTTTCCACTATTTTCTCCTTTGAGTTGACAGAAGTATGCGGCGGTTCAAGGGCACGCAGAGCTTGAAGAATAAGCGAGACGCCCATAGAATAATCCATGGACAAACTACGGGCTTCTGCTGTATAGACAAACAGTACTCACTGTGAAGGCCACCAAGTATTTCCACTAGAAAAGGAAATGGAACCTATCATAGCGACCTCATTGCAAGAAGAACATGGGGCAACCATTTATAATGGCTAATGAACTATATCTGCATGTATTAATTCGCATGCTACTAGTACTTTCGTATGAACGGAATGATGCACTTGGCAGTTTCAAAGCGTATCTCATTTCTGTCCCCCAGTCACAACCGATTCGTGAAAAGCGATTAGACAGCCTTTTTTTCTTTTGCAAATCCGGTATCGCTCAACAGACAGAACAATATCGGCGGAAATAGACATTATTGGCTCTATGATCTGAATTATGTGAAATACATTAATTTGGACTATATTATGGCACAGACCGCCCTTGCCCAAAGCTCCATGTTATCCTATGCGTTTTCCAAGCCCCCTCTTACATTTTCTGTGCTAGTGGGGGTGGGTTACTGTGTTCCCGCTTCAAAAAAGATTATAACTAACGCGCTTCACTGTCATTGCTCAATATTTAAACTCCAATGTGCCAATAGGAGTTCATCTCATTGACTATCTACTTTTCTGCGATCAAATCCAGGGTGATGATTATGCTAGAGGAACCACTAGAGGCGGTACAATTTGCTGGCCCTTCCTGAACATGCTCCAATCTACATGACCGTAAAGTCTCAAAGTGCGAGGCTGTCAAATTAAAAGAAGGTTTCAAGATCATATGCGCTTCCGATGAGGTTAGATGTTTGCAACATCTTATACCTTCCACCTGAGATTAGTCTTCCATGATCATTGGATTTGCTAACTATTTGAAGAAGACTATTTTCAAGCCAAAAACACGTCGGAAGTGGTTTCGCGCCGAATGCGGCACAGCATGAAATTGTGAGAGAAGAGAGCAGCGCGTGACAAAGATGAGGCTCGGAATTAACTGGCGATTACCTCCGAAGAACCATTGCCGATCCCTGTATTCTACGAGGATTTTTGTATGCCTCGTTTTCTTCCGTTTGCGACAGATGGTCGAGAGAGATAAACCGGATGTAGACTACAGACTCCAAAACTTGGAAGATGTAATGTATGGTAATTCCTCACGCGAAAGAAGGCATAAAGGGAGCACAAGATATTACAGAGTCCAAGATCGTAGAGTGCGTCAGGGATTGTTCCACGTCGAGATCGCATTGGTTCCAAAAAGCCTCCACCATTCGTTGGATGAGTCTAGCGTGCGTGGATCGTCGTCTGTGATTGGTTCGAGATCTTTCAAAAATTCCAAGGATAGCAAGGCGACGGCAGTCTTCAACTGCCTCGCAAGCAATTATGAACAGAGGCCATGGGCTTTCACAAGTTCCAAGGCTTTCCAGTAGCATTACGCCCTCTCGGATGAGGCGCCTGTGGTGAAATTCGTTACTAGACACCTTTAACACTGTCCGGTTGAAGTATATCAGCGCTGAAACGCGATGAAGAGCAGACAACAAGGTAGATCTGTCCGAAGACATCAGCGATTGGGTTTGCACCGCGCCAAGTTCGCCAACCACCTCGCTGAGCCTTCTTTTAAGCGTATAGATTTGTTCCCACTCAGACTCTGTATATGCAGAGTCATTAGACGAGTGCCTCATAGGATTACAAGAAGATCCAGAGCGTCAGTCGGGAAGGTGAGCCTGCAGAGGGTCTAGAAACTCATTAGATTCAAACGCACCAAATATAAGTTTTAATGTTTACCTTGTCGCCGTCTGCAATGGTGTCAAATCCTCTCGCCAATGGACCTTCTGTACAAATGCCTTTTCTTGTGAAAGGTGAAGTCCAGTGCCTCAAAGTAAATTCGGACAATGCCTCATGATAGTACATCCAGTTTAGAATGGCTGCCACTTCCTGTTGATGAGTTCGCCACTTTGAAAGAGAGGCTCGAATGATCTTTTTCGCTCCGCATAGATAGCAGGCCCAATCCTTAGTAGAATCAGTGTTATTGGCAAGCTGTAAAGGTTAGAAAATAACTCCAAGGCATATGTTCAAACAAGTTCGATACCTCATACTGGCAAAGAAGCATAGTAGCAGTGAGGCTCTTGATAACCTCTTTGCCGTCAAATAAATTAATAATCTGACGCAGAGAGGAGACGGCTCGGAACTTGTGAGAGAGACTTCTTGAGTCTCCCTGAAGCTGGAGTGATGATACGGCAAGAACTGCTTGGAAAACTGCATTGCGAGGACCAGATGTGTCGGAAAGAGCCACCCGCATGATAAATTGAGTTAATGCTTCTGCATCAGTTGGGGCAAATATTGATGAGTTCGATTCTCTGACTGTATGAATACGTCAGGGATGCTGGCCCGTGAGGGACAGAAAGACGTACAGAAATCCAGTAACTGTGCATCAGGTCCATTGATTGCGAACGGTGAAAGATAGGAAGGGTACGGTATTTCCATAGAGCCAGAAAAACTGCCTATTACCTCAGTTCAGCTTCGGTACTAATGAAATAGTATCAGCCTGGAGTTCTCACCGAGATAGCCTCGTATTTCCAACTCGCCGGACAAAGCAACATCCCATGTTGTGGTATTCAAAAAGGATGCCGTATAAATCTCTGGGAGACCTATAAAGACCCTCTCATTGTCTGCGATTAATAATGCACGCCGCCGGTCACCTTCTCGCGGCCACGATAACTGCACCCCAAAGCCTTGACAGACGCGTTGAGCCTTGGTACAATTGCCGCACATCGGCTGTCGCAAGTCGCATCTGATTTTGCGAGCTAGAAGAACTAGGTAAGAACGGAATTGCGTAAGACGGACTTTTTTGGTCTGCGAACCTCTGCAAGTCCAACACCCTTTGTTACCCATTGCACTGACGGAAATGTGATAATGATTGTTCCTCTTTTAATTTTGCTTGCACTTAAAAAGCAACTGGAAGCATTAGATCAAAGAAAGAGCGGGGACAACTATTAGCATACGGTTCGGTTCTTAAGAACCGATCACGGTTATAAAGCAACAACCAATTTTCCGAAAGCCCTCAACACCACTTAATTCATTACGCCAAGATAATATATACGAACACGCAGAATAACGGATCCGCGGCTCGCCATCTCGTCATGATGTGTAAAATTGGTAATACTGCCACATGTACAAAACTGAGCGGCATCGTTGTCGCTTCACCTTCACCGTGCCAAGCACTTTTAGATACGTAATAAGTATCGAAGAAACATCACTCAGCGCTATTTTCTAGTGGGGCCATGCCAAGATGAGCATATGGGGCGAGTTGCTAATTGTTAAATGTCCATTAGCTTCGGAAATAGTTGCCCACCATTAGTCATAAAGAGATTGCCTGATTGCAGTGCTGTGGGTCGTCAGTTTCTTTATTATATTTCTAGGTACTTGTAATGTATGTATGTTTGGCCAGGGAATTGAACATGCTATTTTTGCTGTTTCGAGCTATATTATCTGCACTGATTCTAGTGGGCTCTTCTACCTCTTAGCCACGATCAACTGGTCAAATGCTTAGCCTTCAGCTTCGCGCAAATTCAAGCCTTTTACAGCATTATTTTCCCTACCTCTCCTCTTTCAATACTCTGTTATTGTTGGTCAACTGAAGTTAGGCTCTTCATGAGAAATGTGTGCCTCATACATGCTTACTACACACCGATGGCCTACTTTTAAAGGGTCGGCTACAATAAAATGATATATCTGTCCCCAGGGGTTTATCGAGTAGCAACATGGACATAACCCGCCATTAGGAGATTTTCGTGCTGATAGTGAATTTGGCCAATTTTCATTGAACTCTGATATATTGAACATTGTACACGTAGATAGGAGGATAGGGAAGAGGCCCGTTGAGGCGAGGAGAGGATCCGGAGGATATGTGCTGGATTCGGCTGCAGAGGGGAGCGAGTTCTGGTGTTGTTTTGATCGTGAGTCGAAACAGAGGGAAACACAGGAGGGTGACTAAAAGGGCTTGGCGGGTGCCGAATAACTAGCGGTACCACACACGTGGTGGGCGGTCAAGCGGGCGACTCGCTCGAGTCGTGGTAACTACGTAACTGCGATCACCCTCACCTTCACCATGGGGCACTTGGTCACGCTAGCAACATGGTATGTCTGTGCTGGGATCGATGTCACGCTGCCTGCTAACGCTCATCCAGCTCCCTCAACCAGTGGGCCCTGGACTTCGAGGGTAACGCAGCCCGCATCATCGAAAGTATCCGCCAAGCCAAGGCAGCTGGGGCCACCCTGCGTGTTGGCCCAGAGCTTGAGATCACTGGTAATTGAACAGAGCTGCAGCCCTTCATTTGGAGAGGAACCTAACTGGTCCAGGGTATGGCGTGCTGGACGGGTTCCTGGAGGGCGACACCTTTCTTCACTCGTTCGAAATGTTGGCCCGGATCATCGACCACCCAGACTGTCAAGATATCGTGGTGGACGTGGGCATGCCGGTCCGACACAGGAATGTCCGATATAATTGTCGGTGAGTGGGATTGGATTACTTTGATCGATCATCCATCTAAGCGATCTCTGTCCAGGGTGATTTTCTACAACCGGAAGATTATTCTAATCCGGCCTAAGATGTGGCTCGCCAATGGTTCGTACATGTGTTCCTAAGCGGCCTAGAATATTGCTGAGATTACTTCCGTCAATGTAGACGGCAACTATCGCGAGCACCGGCACTTTACGCCATGGCAGCGCCCGCAAGAGGTTGAGGACTACTACCTGGAGCAGATTGTCGGCAAAGTCACGGGCCAGTACAAAGTTCCATTTGGTGATGCAGTCATCAGCACGAGGGATACTTGTTTGGGACTAGAGACCTGCGAGGAGCTTTTCACTCCGAATGGGTAGGTAGCCCACGCCATTTGAAGTCGCTCACTAACTATGAAATCAGCCCTCACATTCCATATGGTCTCGCAGGTGAGTTTCATGAACACTTGAACTTGAGTCTCCCTGACACTATTCAGGCGTGGAGATTATCTCCAACTCTTCCGGGAGCCATCATGAACTCAGGAAGCTGGATACTCGCGTGAATCTGATCACCCAGGCCACTAAATTGGTAATGAACGATACTCATTCTTTGCCAAACTTCATACTCACACAAAATATAGAGCGGCGGTATCTACCTTTATGCCAACCAACAAGGTTGTGACGGCGACCGGTTGTACTACGACGGCTCTGCAATGATCGTGGTTAATGGGGAGATCGTGGCCCAGGGATCGCAGTTCTCATTGAATGATGTGGAAGTTGTCACTGCGACTGTCGACATTGAATCGGTTCGGACCTATCGCTGCAGCGCAAGTCGCGGATTGCAGGCGAGCAAGCAATCGCCCTATGTCCGCCTGGATCTCGATATGAGGCTATCGCGCTCGAGGGAACAGGCAGAGCCTGGCCTTGCAACTTCAGAGCCTTTCAAGCCCCGTTTTCATGCTCCCGAGGAAGAAATTGCCCTGGGGCCTGCCTGCTGGCTTTGGGACTACCTTCGGAGATGCGGCGCCGCGGGTTTCTTTCTTCCGCTGAGTGGTGGCATTGATAGCTGCTCTACCGCTATTATTGTGCACTCGATGTGTCGAGAGGTTTTGAAGGCTGTGAATGAAGGAAACGAACAGGTGATCAAGGATGTCCGCCGACTCTGTGCGAAGCCAGAAGATTCAGACTGGCTTCCGACTAGCAGCCAGGAAATTTGCAAGTATGTTTTACGATCAATTGGATGCAGACACAGCTCATATCGTTTTCTAGATGCATCTTCCACACCAGTTACATGGGCACGGAAAATTCGGGTCAGGAAACAAGAGATCGATCTAGGAGGCTGGCATCGGATATCGGATCATACCACGTCGATTTCAACTTTGACACTGTGGTGACCGCCATCATGAATCTCTTCACTGTGATCACCAACTTCCAGCCCAAGTTCAAAGTCCACGGCGGAAGTCATGCTGAGAATGCGGCCTTGCAGAATGTGCAAGCCCGTCTCAGGATGGTCCTGTCATACCTGTTTGCGTCGCTGTTGCCCACTGTTCGTCAGCGGCCCGGAGGTGGTGGACTTTTGGTCCTCGCATCCTCTAATGTGGATGGTGAGTTGTCTTGACATCAATCTATGCCCAATGCCATCATACTGACTAAGTTTCAGAATGGTACGAAACCAAGTAATCGATGATTGCTAAACGCACATCGCATCACCATTCGCCGCACAAGTTTGCTGACCCTTGAACTAGCTTGAGAGGTTATTTGACAAAGTACGATGCTTCTTCTGCAGATGTGAGTACTATCCAACCCTGTTTCAATTATGCAAGTTTACTAACTTATAGCAATAGTTAAACCCAATCGGTTCCATCTCCAAAGTCGATCTCAAGAAATTCATCGCTTGGGCCGGTCACAAATTCGACCTGCCCATCCTCGAGGAATTCTTGCACGCGACCCCGACTGCGGAACTGGAGCCTATCACAGCGACCTACGTACAATCAGACGGTTCGTATATCTCATAGCCGGGGAATGAGAGTGACATATGGGCTGATTTTGAAAACAGAAGCAGACATGGGCGTCACCTATGCCGAACTGGGCACATTTGGATGTACGTGAATGATATTCCCAACCTTTGGGCAAATAGTGACTGACAATATTCCAGATTTGCGAAAGGTGGCCAAACTGGGTCCTTGGTCGATGTATGAGAAGCTGCTGCACCAGTGGGCCAATGAGTTCAGTCCACGCGAGATCTACGAGAAGACTCGCCACTTCTTCTATTACTACTCTGTAAGGAATAATGATGGATGAACCAGCGATGCAACAAGACGGCAAGTGAAGCTGACCACTTCTTCTTCAAACAGATCAACAGACATAAGATGACTACTCTGACCCCCTCCTGTACGTCTCTCTCGACCTATTTTAATCTCTAAAGCATGTTTCTGACTTTGAAATCAGATCACGCCGAGCAATACTCGCCCGAGGATAATAGGCATGACATGAGACAGTTCCTGTGTAGGTTTCTTCTTCTTCTTCCTCTTTATGGCGGTGTAGAGAACTAACAATTCTCACTTTAGATCCTCCTTTCACGTGGGCGTATAAGAAGATGGAGGAAAGTGTCAAGTTCTGGGAATCAAAGGGCTGGACTGCTGGGCGGGCACAGAAGAAGAGTGTCAAGGCCGATTGAGCTAGGTTTTCTGAACTTGTCCCTTTGGAATAACTAGATTTGTCCAGTAGAGAGTGATAATGCTATGTGTTATGTTTCCAGAATGAAGTATGATAACAAAGAGAAGTATATACAGAGTCGAAATAGACTCAGAAGGAGAGATAGATAGGAAACGTAAAAGAGTGTAGACTCCATCCAACTATCCAAATATCCACATGCCCGAAAACCAAATCCACGCTTATAAAGCCCCAAATCATGCCAGAGTCGGCAATTATGCAATCATCATCGAACTTGATCATTAAAAATCATTGGCGCAGTGCACCCATAAGCACAAGCCCCGTGTTTACGGGATTCAAATTACCCCAGGTTTCAGCAGTTATCATTCGTCTTTCCAAAACCAGCCACTTTTGGACTTCCCAGACTCCGTCGACTCGGACTCGGACTCCTCGGGCTGAGACCGAGGAGCATGAGTTACCTCGACGGAAGTATCGTTCTCCTCCCGACCATCGGCAAACCGTTTCGTCTTGACGGTCTTTGTCTGGACGGAGCCATCAGCAAGGCGCACGCGCTCCGTGCGGACCATGGTAGAAACCACGTGTGGCTGTAGTGCTGAAGAATCTGCTGGCGTAGCCTCTGTGGTGGAATCCGATTCGTTCACAGTCTCGGGGACGGATTTGCGACTTCCTCCAGATACGAGATCGAGCCAGCTTTCGGTATCGTCGTTTCCATGTTCGTCGTCAACGCGCGGGAGACTTCTCCGGTACTGGTCGAGCTCCTCTTGCTGACGTCGGCGCTCCTCGAGGAGGAAGCGCAGTAAAGGACTCTCGCCTCCCTGGAAAAACTCACGTTCCCGAGCTTCGATATCCCGCAGAAAACGATTGTACAAGTCGAGCTCGGTCTCTGCGTCTTCCGACTTTGTGTCCCGTGGGCCGTTCTCGTTGCTGTCCTCCAACTCTTTTTTCTCACGGCTAGGCTCGGTAAAGGTGATACCAGACCAAGGCTGGTTTTCTGTGCCAGACACATACTTCCACCGATCGCCCAGACTACCGCGTTTAACCAGACCCTGCACCCAGTCTGACCCGGACTCGGTTTTACTGACAGCCGATACATCGCGCTCGAGCATCTGCTTCCCATTCTCAAGTCGTAGTAGATCCTCAAAAGCTTCTCGCCACTGAGGTTCCGCTGGGTCACGGTCCGAGTCTAGGCGCAGAGTAGACACGAGCGAAGTGAAGACACCCTGTCCCCGGTGCTTGTGGTACTGGGCTTGGCGTTCGAGGTAGAGAGGAGAGTAGGGGCTAAACATAATGTAGGTGATTGGCCAGGTAGGCGAGTCGGTATCTTCAAACATATCCGGGATAGAGAAGTTGCGGTGCGGGTGGAAGAAGTGAGAGGAGAAGGGGAAGAAGCGATCCTCCAGCCAGAACCGGTCGAAGAATGAGTCGAGGCCGAAGAAGTCTGCGGAGCCATTGCGCCACTTCTTCCAGGACTGGGAGGGCCATCGCTCATCATTTTCGGGGAGCTGTGGCCGGGATGAATGAGATGGAGAGTTGTTGGGGTTGCGGTGTGAGGAATCATCCTGCTCCTTGGAGGAGCTGCCATTTGCGCCACGCTCAGAGGCGGGCTCTTCAGAGCTATTTTCGCTACTCCGTTGCCGGGAGGTCATATTTTTGTAGCCGTAGTCATCGTTGAAAATCTCCCAGCGATCGGAATGAGGAGAAGAGATGGAGGAAGGGAGACCGGTGACGGACTGCAGCATGGATGAGACCTGCTCATCGGCGTAGCGGCGGAAGGCGACAAACGGGTTGGTTTCGTCGGAGTCCGTATGCCGGGGCACAGACGAAGAGTTCTTGTCCTTGTCGTTATCGCGAGCCATGATGCGATAGAGAGTGCGAGGATGGATGATAAGATCCAGAAGGAACTAAAGTGTTGAACCAAGCCAGAAAAGCTGCGGCGGTTGGGAGGGTGATCGCCCCACTTCGCCACGTGATCTTCAATGTTCTTGATCCTTGTTTATTATTCAACTAATTTCCAACTAATTAATGCAAGAAACAACATCACACGGAGTTAAAATTGTCATCTGGTCACCCGCTACTGAACCATCCGTCACAAGTTGTTGGCGCGTCCCTTGAATCGCGCCCACGCTTCGTCGAATCCAGTGGAGCGGATCCACATCGACCGCTCACCCTCTGCAATAGTGGAGTCGACGGCTAATCACAATGCCCAGCAATCAGCATTTATTCTGCTCTGAGCCAAAGGCAATACAAAACACTCACCCATATTTCCAATCTTGAGCCACATATCTCCAGAGATCGGCATCTTCTGCGGACTCTCAAACGGCTGGCAGACCCTCTGGCCATGAGCCACCGCTCGCGCCAGTTTGGCAAGATGCCCATCATCACTGGGATGAGCGATGCTGCGCGAAAAGACGGTGCCCCAATCGTCTTTCGCCGGGTAATTGGTGACCTCGTTCCGAAGAAGGTCCGGCGCGCCACGAGACACATACACCAAGAGATCCAGTCGGCCTTTCCACTCCAGCATGCGGACTTTGGCCGCTTGGTCCAAGAAGGGCAGGTCGATGATCTTCGAGAAGAAAATCGTAGAGTTCACGCAGTGGATGTAGAAGAAGTCGATTCGGATTTCTTTGGTTGGCCGCTGCGCGGTGCTGGTATAGTAGACTTGTTGGTCACGGTCAGAGTCCATTGGCTTCACAACAACGAATAGGTAATACTCACCAACCGTGTTGATCATGTCCGCTAAGGCCTCATTCATCCGATCTCCGGCCACGCGGTACTGGGCAGCATAGTTCAACATCTGCTCCGGAGCGCGCGCCAAAACCCCATCTCGGATCTTATTCGCGTCCCCCCACTGCACACTCTCCGTCAGTGCCTTGTCTTCACGGATTTCACCCAGGATTTCGAGCAGAGACTTCTGTCCAGGTGTGGCAGTGCTGTTCGCGACCTTCTCGGCAGGCAGGAAAAATGCACGCCCGATCCAGTCATCGTGGACCGCTGCTTGTGAAAGAGCCTGGGCCACGATAGCCGGCTGGTTGAACTCGAGCCCGAATCCCAGGTGGATTAGCGGGTGGATGAGGCCTGGACTGAATCAGACCCGAAGCCTGAAATGGCCGAACGTATGTAGTACTCACCAGCATACAGCCGCGACAACATGCTCTCAGCTCTTTCATCTCCCTTGAAAACATATTCCTTCAACACATCGCCAACACCCTTAGCATCTATCTCCTGCTGGAAGAAAGCAAGGAAATTAGGATAGTTCTCTTCCTTTCCGAAGCACTGCATAAACGTAGCCGTGTCACGCATGGCCTGGACGAGATTGGCATCCGTTGGGAGCACCGGTCTCTGGTAGCTCGCATTGCGCTTGTAGGCCGCTTTGATCTCTGCGGGGCCCGCACCGAGCGCATAGATGCTGAGGATTTGATGGACGATGTGGTCTTGTTCAGCGTCAGCTTGGTAACATGGAATGATTGTAGAGAACAACAACATACTGTGGAATCCCTCGTCATTGAAAAAGACATGATGCGCCGCCATATCCTCCTGCAAGACCTCGCTCGCCGCGCGGGCGGCATCCTCCCTAACACCGGAGCTGTAGACGCCTGTGTCCGTCGGCGCCGACAGATGGATTTTGGTAGCAGTAGCCATGTGGTGAGGGATGGTGTTGTAGTTGTATGAAGCGAAGCGAAAGCCCAAAGCGTGGTTGTTAGTAGTAATAGAAAGTAAAATCGAAGCTGGTCTCCGAGCTAGTGATCCGCAGAAGCCCGCAATCCGGGGTATCATAGCTCCCTTAAATAGACTATCTACCTCCCCTCACATCGAGCAGTGCACAGGAAGTATTAGTGTACAACCACTGCAGATCGTGCAGAAAAGAAGCAAGAATACGAAACGCCTATCATAATCCCCGTATTATCGAAGCATCGGAGTTAGAAAGCGGAGAGTCGGGCTTTCGGGCCTCCCGTTGCCACGACACAACGTCATCCAACTGTCCCGTCGAGTCAGCATGATGCTCGCTCTGCGACGGTTACAGGAGGTGTTTTGAGTTTGGCATGGGCTAGGCTATGTCTGATCAGGTTTAATGAGTGCATGATTTCTAATATCGACCGGGCTGGTCGTTCGTATTTTTTACTCCGGGAGGTCTGTCAGGTATACCAGATCCTTGCTCGAAAGAATCTGGATCATGCAGGATTTATTTTTGGGGTTATCATGGTTTGTTCTAATATACAAATGAGGCGTGCCAATTTGTCACCCCGGTGCATCTGGCGCGGTAGTTATAATAATCATGCTCAGTCTGGATCAATCCAACAAGTCAATTCATTCATTCTTCGCCTGCATCTCACGGTCCTTCTTGCGCCGCAAGCGGTCGCGCTCAATCTTCATGAACAGCGGGTGGTGGCTCTTGTCTTTCAGCTGCTTATTCTTGCTCTTGTTGTACTCGATGTAAGCCATGTCATCACCGCCGGCCAGACCGCTAAGGGTGGCCGCGCTGCGTTTCGCGGCCGGCTTCTTCGCACCCTGGCGCTTGCCGGAGCGCATCGAGAATAGATCGTCGGCGACCTGTTCCACGTCGGCGGACGACTCGTTCTGCAGCATGACTTCCTGCAGGAGTTCGCGTCGTTCCGCGGGGGTCGAGTACGACAGTCCTTCGAATTTGTCAATTCCCTGCAAGTGCGTGATGACTTTGAAGGCGTAGCCTTGGTCGATGAGGAATGCCTGCCGTTTGGCGGAGTAGACCATCTCGTGGGTGTCCTTGGAGACGAGAGAGTAGAAGAACGCATTAAATCCTTCGTCATTCCGGCGCTTGGCTCGCAGAATTCGACCTAGTCGCTGGGCTTCCTGACGACGCGAACCATAATGCGACGAAATCTGGATCAGACAAGTTGCTTCAGGCAAATCCAGCGAAGTGTCACCGATCTTCGACAGGAAGATGGTGTTGACCTGCTCATTATGTTGGAAATTCTCCAGAATGCGCATGCGCTCGTTTTGAGGAGTTCCACCGTAGATGTAAGCCTTGTTCAGTTTCAGTGCATACCGCTCAAGCGCATAGACATTGTCCGAGAATACAATGATTTTGTCTCCTCGTTTCTCGTGGAAATCAATTAGGAACTGGCAGGCCTGGAACTTGCGCGGATTCATGATGTAGAGCAGAGCCTGTTTCCGCGAGCTCTCTCGTAGGTACTCCGAGTAGAACTCGGTCGTCATTGGACACCATACCTCGGCACACTGGACTTTGGCAATATGGCCCTGGGCAGCCAGCTCCATCCAGTTGGCTTCGTAGAGCTTCGGTCCAATCAGAAAGTTCAAATCTTTAATCTTGTCATCTTCACGCAGCAGCGTTGCTGTGAGACCGAGCTTGCTCTGGGCAGCGATCGCAGACGTGACCTTGCGGAACATCGAAGCCGGCACAACGTGCACCTCGTCGAGAATCATCATGCCCCATTCCCGGGACTGAAGCCAGTCCATCATCTTCTGGGCATCATAAGACCGAGCTCGGGTCTGCGAGACCATGGAGTACGTAGACACGATAATCCCGGTCGATCGCTTGAACTTTTCCTTGTGGTCAGATGTGAAAATAGCAATGTCACTCGGGTCGATGGTCGTCCACCGCAAGAATTCGTTCCGCCACTGCACCACAGACATGGAGCTGGTGCAAAGGACAATGGTACCTTTCTTGATGGTGGCTGCTGCAGTAATTCCCACCAAGGTTTTACCAGCACCACACGGCAAGACGATAATGCCACTCTTTGCGCGTCCGTTTCCGAACATCTTACTCAAGCTCTTCTCCTGGTATGAACGAATGCGCGCGGCGGGTTTCAAATCCATATCCAGATTGGGATTGACGGTGTCGCCTTGGAAGTCATACTCTTCCAGTGCAGGGCATCCAATCGCTTGACATCGGGCTTTGACCACCTCAACCCCAGCGGCCGGGATTTCGAAGCTGTACGTGGTTGCTTCCTCCGTCTCGTCCTCGCCCACATCGTCGATTCCGTAGTTGACAGCCTCGGCGTCCTCTGACTGGTCTCTCGCCGTGGAATTTTCTTGCTGAGTACCTGTCTCTCTCACACCAGCCGCATCCTTTGTTCCGGGAATCACAAGGCCACCCATCTTCGGTGCAGCCCGCTCAATGATGCCTTCAGTGCTCTCGATTCGCTGGGGGCCAATCACCTCATCCTTCAACAAGCGCTGCAGCATTGAAGGATCACTCGTTTCCACGTAGTAGTGATTGTGCCTCAAAACCATTTTGATCTTCCCATACGATTTGGTGAACTCGACGATAAATGACCGAATGCTGTCGGGGATTGGGGTCTTGGATAGGCGATCGAGAAATGCCACAATATCATGCGGTTTGAGACCAACCGACACCGCCGCGTACAGACTATGTCCGGTCAAGCGGTATTCATGCAAGTAGGTCGGACGCGACAACGGTTCGGCGATCGTGGTCAGGGAAATCCTGCGCCTGAGGCGCTAGGGGGAGAAGCTCTCGAGAGTAATCGTGCCTTTCACCGGCTCGATCCATAGAGGGCGGTTGTAGTGGTCGCGCTTGAGAGGGAGAAAGGACAGGTCTTTGTAGCCGAATCGAGGATCTGTCTTCTGGGCCTGTGCTTTCTTGCTGAACGACTCCAGCGAGAATTTGCTGATGACCTCTTTTCAACCCCCAGCTTTAGCATGTAGATCACTGTAAGTAAGTAGGCCACCACACTCTACCTTTCAAATTATTCTCCTCCGGCACATCATCCTGGTCCGAGTACTCGTCGCTGCTGGAAATGTCCGGGACGGGCGTTTGGCGCTTCGATGCGCTGCTGGACCGACCGCCTGAAGTGGTCAGTGTCTGGCAAGGGAGATTATCGCGTAAGGAACCCACTGTCCGCCGCCTTGCGCTTAGGAGGCATGACTGCTGCGTTGTAACCAACCGACGGTTGACGAGAAAGGCTCCTGGGGAGGACCGACTCGAGAGTCGAGTGTCCGGAGAGGCGCTCCACGCCTCGTTCGAAGAGTTTCAGTTCGGCATTCCACGAGAGAAGCGGCCCACAGGAAACAGGCGGGAGACGATGAATAACCCGGAGGGTATTGAGTCGACGGTGACGAGAGAGATGCCGAGACCCGGTGAAGAAGGAGATGAGAGGATGAGGGAGAAGTGAGCAGTGAGGTTGATGAGTCAAATTGATAAGTGACTGGGGTGCCTAAGGCACGTGATTGGTCTGGCTCCGACTGACGTAGTCGTGCTTTTCTTTGTTCACTTCACGGGCAACAATTCCACCATGAATACGGTATGTCCCATCCACCCTTGCTATCATTCTGCTGCTAACTTTTGCTTACTGTCTAGATCAAATCCACCTGGTGAGCTAACGCTTCCTCCGTCCAGAAATAGACCCGCAAGAGGCCCTCATGACTGACCTGATTTGGAAACAATAGGCTTGGATGGGGTGCCCTGTGTGTCGGTAAGCTCTGGACAAGCACAAATGACCTTCAGATTTAACGTGTACCTCACGCAGCCGGCGGTGGGGCATACTATTTTGCCAAAAAGTCCGTCAACGCAGACCGCGCGGCGAGATTTGACTCCGAGGTCAAGCGCAAAGCGCAGATGAGGGCAATGGAAGACGAGCATCGCCGACAAGCCACGCTCTCCACACCCACCACCCCGACTCCAGGCAATGACGCCAGTCTGAAGCGCGCGAATATGACGCGGTTCCAGAACGCCGCGGACGACGTCGCCTCACCCAGCGCGGAAGCCTCTCACGACCCAGCCCCTACCCGCCACGAACCCATGACCGAGAAGGACCTGGAGAAAGGGAAATACGAAGCCGCAGAACCGTTCCGGCCGCCCCGGGGGAACCGGTTCAGTTGAGAGCTGCCCTTGTGTTTCTGATGTATAATCACTGGACTCGATACGGCGGTGCCAATTACTGGATGCCATGTCACGTATACTGTACTACCATTTCTTCGTTTCAAAACCAATATATTGTGCTAGGAAGCATTCTAATCTACCCCGGGTGCGCAGACACTCCCCGGGAAGCCATGGTCTTCGTGCTTAATTTATCACATCACATCGGGTATCACACCACCATCGTGGGCCCGCTCAAAGCACAGAATGATAGCACCACCAAAAACAATATTCCCAAACGCCGTAGACATCATGCATCACCGCCTTGTCGATCTCGGTGCCAGCACCCAGACGAAGACTCATATATGCAAATTACAAATCAACGCGCGTGGAAGCAGAGTGGAGGATGCGGCCTATAATTATCGACGTTGGCAACGGGAACGATATCTGGGTATGGCTCGAAGAGGCTCACTTATTGTGGTTGGGATAACCCGAGTTCTTCTCCCGCGAGCTCTCCAGCGCGGGGGGCACAAAGGGCAGGACGACACCCGACACGAGGCAGGACATAGCGACCGCGCGGGCGGCGCGAGAGTCCGGACGCGGACGATGCGCAGAGAAATGCCGGATGGAAGGGCGAGCCAGCTGGGCGGCGAGAGTAGACATGTTTAGGGAATCTGTTGGGAATAACTATCGTAAACAGGGGGGTAGAATTATTATTATCGAGAGCCAAGGGCTATTTATATTTAGTTAGGGCAGACAGGGCGCCCGCCCCCCGCATGGCCTGATCGCATGCGGTAGGATGATCTGCTTCGGGTGGTCGGCAACGCTATGTCAGGCTACACCCTCACGCCATCGCGGGGTCCAAAGTCGCAAAGTGCCGGCCGAAACAGTGGGACGGGCTTGGTACCTACAACTAAGCATAGGGGTGGAATATCCGCTGCGGTGGATAAGTGCAAATCGGCGGGCGACTTTACGACACCTGATCTGCCGAGGGGCCGGGGCTGAGTCGGGTGTCACGGCAGATCATTCTTGACACTGTAGATGCGATTCAAAAAATGACGTAAAATAGTTGGATAGTACTTAGTTCGCTAATAGGAGGAAATCAGAATCAACAGTGTGATATTATAGTAATAATCTCCCTAGTATTGTATAGTTCAGGTCACGTGGACACCCCCAATATCTCGCAGAGCTCGTCCTCTCTCCATCTCCATCTCCACTGCCACCACCAGTAATGGCGGCGCACCAGATCGCCATTGCAAAGGCTGCCTTCTCGGCGGGTCTCCTGCGTCCGGATCCAACGTCGGTACCACGCGATGACATTGCCGCGTTCCATGCCTCCCTCGACCGCGTCCTATCGCAGTGCACCCCAGCAAATATCCAGGTCTGAACCGTGACAGCCTCTCTGCCTCTCACATTCGAGTTACTAAATATACCCTCGGCCCCACACAGACGTGCAAAGCATGGTTACTCCACTATGTCGCTTCATCATCTAGCCGCGTAGGAGGATGGGCCAAATATTTGGTTGCGCTGGCCGGCTCCCTTGCGGAGGGCACCAAACCCTCACCCAAGCGCCGACGGCTCCACATACTCTACCTCCTCAATGATCTGTTGCACCACAGCAAGTACCACCTCGACACCACGGCCACCTTCTCCACCGTGAGCGGGACCTTGCAGCCCTACCTGGTGGACTTGGTTGGACACGCGGCTGCTTATGATCGGGAGAAACACCCCCGCCATCATCGGCGGTTAGATGATCTGCTAGACATCTGGTCCGAGCACGGTTACTTCAGTTCCGACTATGTCCAGAAGTTGCGCGTGGTGGTGAAGAATTCCGCTTCATTGGAAGCGCCACCATCATCCAGTGATGACCGAGCCGGTGACACCAACCCGAAGCCACCCGGCAAAGATGTACCGTTCGTCATGCCATCGACTCACGGTGATCCATCTACGCCATACTATGATCTTCCCGCCGGCAATCTGATCCCTCATATCATCCCCAACTCAACCATACCACTCCGGCCCGATACCATCAGGCCACTCCAATTCCTGGCAGGACCTGCGGACGCGACGCTGATTCACACTCTCAAAAATTTCTTGGAGGACGTCGATCGGATATATGGGACGGTTGATCTTGCCAAAGAGGACGGGGAAGAGGACATTGACGAGCTGGGCCAGGCCGTCCTCAGGGATGAGATCACGGGGGATATCCTCGACGGGGAAACATATTACGGCTGGAGTCGCACGTTTTGCCAGCAGATGAAGAAGACACCCAACGATTCACGCAGTCGGAGTGGAAGCCCCAGCGGAACTCGAAATGATCATAAACGCCGGCGCTACAGCGACAGCTCTGTCAGTAACCGAAGCGATTCAAGATCTCGGTCCCGATCACGCAGAGACCATACACGTCGCCGCTATGGCTCCCGCTCACGCAGCCGTGAGAGCTCTTACTCTCCCCGAGAACCATCACCTCCACGATTCCCCCCTCCTCATCAACCATCACACCCAACAATACACGGCCACCCCCCTCCGCCTCCACCTCACTCAGGTTTTCCTCCACCTCCACCCAACTTTCACGGCGCCTGGCCTCCACCCCCACCCCCACACATGCCGGGCATGCCTTTTCCTCCTGGGATGAACATGAACATGAACCCGGGTGGTTACCCTCCTTTCCCTCCACATCCTTCCATCCCCATGGCTCCGGGACAACCCTTACCTCCAGGCCAATATCATTTTCCCCCACCTCATCAACCCCCGGCCCAGCATGGCCCACCCTGGGATGCTGCCGCGGCAAGGAAAAATTGGCGATAAGCAGATCCAATAGATGCCTTGACTGTATCAGTAATATGAGATAGCTAATCAAATCATACTTGATAACTATGAGTGAATCGAATCGTTCTGTCAAAGTACAGATAACTCCGGATCAACCATAAAGCAAAATAATCATTTATTGCAAAGGTAGAAATTATCAGAGAGTTATAGGATATGCTGTCCCGAAGTCTCCTTCCGGTTTCTGCCCTGCTCCTTGTCCAGCCATGCCCCCAAAAATACATAAGCACCACCGCGAAACTCATAGCCCTCAGCTTCCATTCAAACTCCTCACGACAAAGCATCATTGATCGTGTCGACCTGGCTCTCAGGATGCTCCCCCAGAGCCTCCATCTCGGCCTTCTCCTTCGCCTGCTCGAAGGGCTTGCACGAATTGAAATCCTATATCACATCAGCATGCATCTTCATTTGGGAAACGGCCTGGATGAGCATTGCCCTGACGTACCTCGGCCTTACTATCGCAGCACATGGCAGCTGCGCCGTTTGTGCATGAGTCGGGGTATGCGTCGTCTTTCATTGGGTTGCCTAGCAGTAAAGCGCACGTTAGTATATCAATAATCCGTGTGGATTTTGTATCTCGTGCACACAAAAAGGACGGGGAAGAATGCATACATTGAAAGTTAATCTCCGAACTAATCTGAAGACCATTGAGCATAGGAAACAGCTTGCCCAGCGGGGAAATGAGGCTCTTGGACGCGCTCTCGACAGATTGGCAGCACCGCTTGAACTGCTTATCCGGGCACGCGTAGGCCGCCACAGTGGCAGTGGGAGTCGCCGCCAAAGCTACGCTTGAGGGCTTGTGCCAGTGTGATGAAGTGGCAGCGCTTGAGAGACTCGGCGCGCCAATTGATGCTGGGCTGTCTCCATGGGCGACTGGGACCGCGATGGCGGGAACGATCAGGGTGAGGAGGTAGGTGATAAGGGAGAGGCGAGCCGTTAGGATCATTATGGGCAGGTTGTGGGTGTTTCGCTGTTTCTGGCGCTGGGTATATTTGTTGACAATAGGCGAGTTCTGGAAGTTGAAGGTAAGAGTATTGGGCTATACTACTGCTGTTGCCGTCTGCGAGAAAGAAGGAAGGAAATTGAAAGGAATGACTAGAGCTGGACTGGACTGAACCGGTGCTTGTTGCTTGTGCTGGGGGTGTTGACGGGAAGACGATAGTCGAAAGGGATAAAAAGAGAGCTTCCACGCCTGCTGAAAAGATGACAGCCCTGCACAGGCTCGGCTTAGGGCATGGCGTGGGAGGACGAGCCAATCCCTCTTCCTCTCACCCTTTCTTGTCTCCGGTGGAATCCAGCCCACCAGATGCGCAGGCTCTGTCGGTTGGGACGCCGACGCGTTGAGATCATATGGAATGTGAACCGTCGCCTAATTTCCTGGGAGGGCCTTGGTCAAGTATGCTCGTCCTTGCTTCGCCTTGTATACTGGCATCGGGAGCTGGTTTCAAATGAGTGCAGTCGGCATATATTCGAATTGATCGCCTGGGATCCTTTGACGTTCGGGTGAGCTAACAAATACTTTTCATAGAAATCGTATGGCAAGTTCGGTATCTGCACTGCGAGGTTATTCTTGGACTTGCAGTGGTTCGCTCGGTGGTATGCAAGGGGGAGACCCCTAAACATATTAAGAATGCGATACAACTCCCTCCAACCGGGGACCGGATGGGTGCTATCTAGGGATGCTAAATACTGTGAAATGACTAGTTTGAGAATAGTAATCTCGGAGTAAATGGATCCGTCTAATTTCACAAAAATGCAAGAACTGTATTAGAGACAGAGTGTTGTCTATCGGAACTACTCTTGTTGCACGACCAGATCCTCCCTCCAAAGCATGACTTTTACCTTTGTCAAATCCACGAAGAGTTCAAGTCATGAGGTCCACAGGAATTCTACCTAGTTGAGACTCTTTATATATAGAGATTGGAAGTGTCAGGGTAATGGAAGACGACAGCGACACCTATATTTTCAAATCTTCTCTTCAGACACGAAAAGCCAACTGAGTGAAAACGTACTTCACCTGTGATATTTGCTACTACCAGGTTGAATTTCCAAAATAAATTTGTTCCAGTGAACGAAATGTGCCTCAGGCAACTCCTGCTACAGTCTGGACTTGGACTGGCTTTTCTTAATCCTCATTCAAATAATCCTCATTCAAATAATCCTCATTCAAATAATGGTGTCCCATTGCGTTGAACTATATGTCGTTCTTGATTTATTTGCGCTCTCGTTTCACACCAGTCAGTACATTTTTGTTGACACAGCCTTGATCCAGATTTGGAGCAACCCCGGCAGGTCCTTTTGGATTCCGTTGCAGAGGGATATAGAGCTACATTGGGATGACGTCTTCAAACTATCCAGTTCCTCCCACCTAGGAAGAGTTCTTGTCCGGGTATATGCCTTTAATGACTGTGACTATAAGGTAAGAAAGAGATATATTTAGTGCATGATCTTCTCATAGACGCTGGCGGAAAACTATCAGAAAGACGACCACGGTTCTCTTAGGCTTGGGGTTATATGAAGGAAATATTGGCAATAGTGATGCATTCACTTCGAATATGCTTCTTTTCCTATTTCTTTTCATGCCTTGGTTACCCCATTCAGCGAAGTAGGTAGGTGCAGGATTCAGTGATATTGCTCCTTGCCTGCTGTACGCGCTTCCAGACTATGTGCGAGGCCATGCAGAATTTGCTACAGATACAATATTTGTTTTGAAATAGTAACTTCAATTGACAGCTCCTTTTTCATCGTTTATATGGTGTTGTACAGGAAGGCAATGATGCCAACAAGACAGGGTGGTAGGAGGGACATAACTTCGTCAGTGCCATTTTTTTGTCCCACCAGGGGACAAAATATGCAAACACCAGAATGTATAGAAAGTGTCTTGCATGAGTGACACGAATCGTTCGACGAAAGAATGACGACTCCACAAGAAATGTTCAGTCGAGACTGGCTCGCTCAAAAAGAAAAAGAAAAAGAAAAAGAAAAAGAAAAAGAAAAAAGACTCGCTCGTAAAGCACTCGTTTTCGCTGATAATCAAAAACCCCATAGGAAACTCCCCTCCAGGCAAAAACACCGGACAGAACAATCATTGATGGACCGGACCCATCTATGTCAAGTGTCGCCATCGAGCTAGTTTTCGACTGTCGATGTGAGGCCAGATACGGTCGTTTTCTGGAGTACCATATGGGAAGACTATACCCAGTTAGATAAAAGATCTTCTTAAGAGGAACCAAGAAGACACGTACCTAAGCCAAGCTTAGAATCCGGTGTTCTTAGCCTCATGGGCCAACTTGCGTTCGGCTCTCTCGGTTGCATGACGAGCAGCACTGGCGGAAGTCGGGGGAGGACCATTGGCCTGGCGAGCCAGGCTACCGCTGTTGGAGTGGCCGCTATGAACGCTGCTACCGCTGCTCCGGCTGCTGCTGCCACTGCTATTGTTTCCATCATCCCGATCGACAAAGGAGGATATTTGACGTTGGGTGTAATCCAGCATTGTGCGGTTGTAATCCTCTAGCGAGTTGCGAGGGTCCAACGACCGGGAGGTCTCAACGTGGCTCTGTGTCGAGGCCGGCTCGCCTCTACTATCTGAGGGGAACATATTCAGGTTGCTTTCGGATGGGTTCGACATTTGAGTTCCTTCAGTCATGGTGGAAGAGGTGCTAGTAATAAGGTTAGTATCCTTCGTCCAAGACTTGGGCATGCACAGAGTTGAGACATCATCTACACACACGTGTTGCCCTGGGCAACGTGTCATGTAATGATGAAGTTCAAGGAGAGAGGTTCTAAGAGGCTCTGATGGCGATGACACACGAGGTCTCGCGTGTGTACGTGAGGGAAGCGAGGGATGAGTGGGGTGGATACGACTGCTCAGATGCAATCTGGCTGGAAGTCTTCTTACCTTTGGACTAGATGATCAAGACTGAGAACAGAAAGGGTTGGTTGGGGAGGCAAGAGCAAGATACGGGGTTAGAAGGCTATAAGCAGGAAGAGGTCAAGTGCAGCGGCTGAGATGGGTCCAAGAAACAGTAACTGGCAGGCAGCCAAAATAGTGCGATGATCACAGATTAGGAAAAGTCGGGATTGATGGGAGCAGATATAGTCAATATATAAGAATGGCGAGAGTATGAAATCGTTGACGATCGTGGAAGGCTAGGTATACCAATCTGATAGGTGCAGAAGGAAGTGCTTGTATTCTCCTGGAAGGATCCACGGTCTCACTCGCATATTTGGCTCTCCGTGATAGGGAAGTGACATCATTGGCTGAAGGAGGAGGGGGGGTGGATGGGAGGCAAAATGTAGTAGGTTTTAGATATGGCGCTTGGGCGACATCATAAGAACTGCCGACCACCCAGCCATCTGGATACCCGTCATCTTGTGGCTCCAGAGGGTGGGGGAAGGCGTATGGGTGTGGAGAGGATTGCAGCATCAGTGGAGGGGATGAAATAATCCACCCCACAGGCGCATGGCCACTGGCGAATGTCGATACCCACCCGCATCAGTCGATCCACCACGATGAGGTCACCGGGGAATGTGCGACTGGCCATGGCGCTCTGCGGGATCACCAGCCCAGCGAAGCGTCCCTGCAGATCCTCGCCTGACGTTTTCAAGACGGATCATAATGACCTCCTGATTACGGTGCCCGTCCAACTCGGGAGGAAATCAGAACAGCAGATGGACATCCCCATTCCTTCCAGCGAAGTATGAAATTGGGAAATGAAAGGGGCGTGAGGGATGGTCTAGACCTCCAGCACCCAGCCGGGTAGCCTTTTGGGCCATCTGTTGTGGACAATGTGCATTGTGTTTCGGCAGACCATACTGGGCAGGTACTGGTTAGCAGAATACGAGTACCGCAGTCGGTCGATAAACAGAAAGGGTGAGGCTCACAAACGCCAGTGGTGGGTAACCATGGCGTCATCCCCCCAGCCATTGGCCGATCCGCGCGACGGATTTGGTATTCGGGCATAACCTTTACCATCCTGCAGGTGCAGGAAATCATTTTACCAGCCAGGGTAAGACCGCAGAACATTCGATCCACATGGAAAGGATGGGGGCCGCCTCCCATCTACGGAGACTGAACGAAGATGGCCGCATGCGGAAAACAACACCACCGCGACGGTCAGGTGGGGAAGACTCCAGCAATGCGGTGGATCCGTATTCGGTATAGAGCGATACGGGTGCCTGAGGCAGATAAACAGACCATGTGACGTCAGGAGCCCTGATCCCATCTCGATGGGCGTTTCCGCGAATGAATGCCCAGCCTAGGACAGTTGATCTCCGACTGCAAGGTTGTGGATACGTCTTGTTTGTCCTTATTGCTAATAGCGCTAGCGAAGTCGGACAGGGGTGACAAAGTATCGATGGGGGCCACGCATGGAAGACAAGCCCACAGAGTACAGTACATCAGTGGAGCCAGGACAAGCCCCCGAGGACGATCCACCCAAGCTCCATATATTCACAGAGCAATAGCATGTACCAGTTTTCGGCGAATTCTACGTAGAGTGACGGGGAGATAGCGATCCGTATTTTGAGCGGGGGAGGCAAATCAATTCTGTGATTGCTACATAGGACGATAGCAAGGTATTTTCCTTACTCCATCAGTCTTGATCCAGAAGGCGAAGGGGCCGTTGTCAGAGGCAACAGTGGGTTCTTTCGCCTGGTCATCTCACCATTCATTCTCCTTGCTAGAACAGTTAGGGGCAACATTCACGTCCAGGAAGAAACCGAATGAACAGCCTGTCAGCAGAGGAAACCAGTTTATGGAGCATGTACAGGGGTCTGAAAAAGGAAGGTCAGAAAGGATGAAATACTGTACACTCTGGTCCAAGTCCAGGGGTGTCTGATGGCTAAAGGAGCCCAAGAACTGACGTACTTCGGCGAACAATTCAGTTCGATATGAAAGAATGAGAAGGGTATGATGGCCAGTGATATCAGCAGTGGCGCGTCCGTATCCTGTGGAGAGCCGTTCAGGAAGAAATTGTGGAGCAGATAGACCCTCGACTGGGATTCGTGTAGATCGAGGACCCGCAGACGGACGGTTAGCACCCCGAAGCGTCTGACCGCACGTTCGGGGAGGGATGCATGAGCATGTCGAACATACTTCATGAGATAGCTGCTCCACCATGAGAGAGCTGTCCGAAGTATGACACTATACGTATTGAGAATGGATAGTGCACAGCGAAAGGACCAAAGCGCCAGGCCATCACACATTTTCAGTATCCACAGTTTGCTTTCGCTCGTCATCACGATGAAAGCGCGAAGTATAAGCCATTATCTCCAGAGAAAGCAGGCTGGGATATGATACTCGCTGACATTGTTCCCAATAACCCCAACATGCAAGAGGCGAAGATGACGATAGACCTGGAGACACGATAGATTCAAGATCACTCCTCCCCTCCCTAGCGCCATGAATGATATCATACTTCCCCCCTCCCTAGCGCCTCCGGGGCACAAATTCTCCAGTAAAGGTGAACTAAGCCCGCCGAAAACGCGGGCTAAACAGGGCCGGAAGTCACCGGGCACGATTGAACGACAGTTACCCACCGAGCCGAGCTCGTTCTGACGATGTCGCCGTTGCGTAACGTCATGGTTTTGGCCATGCCATTCCATCATTAGGGTCGTCATGTCCATCCTTACTGCCCCTGAAAGGGCGCGCGCCTTTCCTCCGTCGCAACAGGCGTTTCAGTAGATGCTTTTGACGCTATCTTGGCCACAACCGCTTCCATAGTGAGTTGATCTCTCGTATCTGCTGAATATTGCCTGGATGACTTGACAGAACGCCGACAAGCCTGTTTTTGGCAAGCAATCTGATAAACATCACCGGCAGGAGACTGTTCGAGACTTCCCCGATACATTTGACGAGGAACACCCGCTCTTCGGAGAGACACAATTGACTGAGTAGCGGTCAGTCTTCATTCATTCGCGAAGATGACCACGCCTCGAGATGACCAAGATGGTGATCAGTCGCCTCTCGAACCCAAAGCACCGGTCCGATACTCTCGCTCGTCTACGGCGTCGAACACCCACCGGTGACTCTGACAGCGCTCGCAGCTGATGACAGGGTGTACTTGACGCTCGGTCTCAGCTCGTCTCTTGTGACTCGTCACGACGGGCTAGAGGCAAAAAGAAAAGGGGGTCGCTTTGAGTCGTCGTTGAGACTGCTTTATTCTCACTCCGAGAACCCGACTACGCGGTATCTTCCTGCCCTAAGATTATACTCGTTAGTGACTATTTCACCACACAGTGCGGGATTGCATAGTTGCCGGAATCGCTAGCTTTCCTTCCTCCTTCCGATTTGAACCCTAAGACCCTCTCCTACGTTCTTACCTTCAATGCGAGACACACGATCACCGTTGGGAAGATAGTCGGATAACACTGCTGCTGTCCGGCTGGACCATTAACAAAGAGGAAGGTCGATGTCATGTCGAGCGTAGAAATCGCTGATTCCGCCCAAATAAATTTTTCTAACGAAAACCTAGGTATAACCGCAACGGATACACTATGACCACACGCGCCACGTATTCAAGAATAAAGATTGATAGAAATGCATCGTATTATTTTGGTCGTGCCCTATCCATCACACGTAACCTGCGAAGAATATGTTAGTGAGATTTCCGTCCCCCAGCGGAAAAACTTTCAAGGATATATCCAATATGATATAGGCATATCCAAGTGTCGGTCATAAAACATACCTTTCCGGGCGCCCTGGAAAAAGAAGCGCACAACAAAGACCTGCAACGCAGCCATGGACACCATTATCAGACCCTCGATCACACTGAAATTGAAGATGCGGCGCTCTGTGCTCCGCACGGTGCTGAAATTCCGGTTCTCGCGTGTGCGGAAATACTTCTGGTTGCGGGAGATAGTCGACAGCTGGGCCGAGAGCTTGTAGATGGACTCCTCCAGGGCTGAGGTCTGTTCGGGGGAGGCTCCCTGGCGGGAAGGAAGCTGGGTGCGTTGTTCGTTCTCGACCTGATGAGTTGGAAGAACGCGTTAGTAAATTGCTGATGGAGGGAGAGGAGGGGAAAAGGTAAAGACACATACAGCAACTTCGAAGTCAACAAACTTCTCCGCGAAGGTCGACATCTCGTTGTTAAAGCAGAATTTGTACTCTCCAATGCTCTGCGCCGTAAAGACAAAGTCGCCCTGTCTCTCCTTCGTACCCTCCATGACGACCTTGTCGCCTGGTGCGAGAACCGAGTAATCCACGTCGAAGGAACCGCCAGATTGGACCTGATATCACCAACGCGGGTTACATGGTCAGCCGCCTCAATTCGTCCAGTATGCCCCCCAAATATTAATTAGGAATTGCTGCCATAGAGAAAACGTACGGCGAAATAGAAAGCCACCTTGGCGTTGGCCGAATCGACATTGGCGTAGAAGCATGCCTTCTCGTTCGCCTCGAGCTTGTAAGTCAGGGCGGTTGCGCTGACGGACGAGACCAGGGTCGCCAGGCCGGCGAGAAGGGGTGCAAACCGCATTGTGACGGGTGCAAAGCAAAGGACAAATGAAAATGAGAAATGTGAAGAGCAAGGATTCTTGGGAGTGATAGGAGGTTGTGTTCTGGCCAGCGTTGCGGGTTCCGGAGTTTGCACTGTTTGCACCCAAACAAACATTTCCATAGTTTTACTACTGCTAGGAGCTATGTTGTATACACAAGCCAACGACGGGGAATAGGAGAAGGAATTATAAGAAAAGAGAAAAATAAATGAACATCATCATGTATAAGCTTGCAGCTGCTCCAAGATCAAGCAGGACACGTCCTTCCGTCGCCAACCCACTCAAACCCTTAGCGCAGACGCCAAAAGTCGCCTCTCTACCGAATGAAGAAGCCTTCACTCTTATTCCAGAAGCCCCGGTTCTTGTTTGCATGATCGAGGCCGAGGGTATCCTCGGAATCGCCTAGGACATCTGACAGAATATCGTCTGCGTAAAGAATTAGCACCCACGGATAAAAATCTTGGAAAGTATGAAACCCACCGTCTTCTAGGTACCGGACGCTGGAGTAAGAAGCGCGAGGAACAGAAGCAAACTTGATCTTCTCGAGTTGCTTGCCCTTGATCCCCGTCCGTTTCGACAGACGTTCTTTGGTTTCCTTGAAGATCTCGCCCTGCATAAGGTCAGCGATGGAATCCTTCTCTGCGATTGCAAGCAGGCAACTCACCGGTTTCACGACGAATTTGAAGGGAACACCGTGGGTTCGGTTTGGCTCTTTATCAAAGTTGAAGGCGTTAATCACTCGGTCGCTCGCGTCCATGTTCACCTCGTCGGCAGGGATTCTCTCGGCATAAAGGGTGGCATATTCGTTGATGGATGAAACATTATTGTCATCCCGGAGCTCCTTGTAGATCTTTCCACTATGTGCCTCACAGATTCTCATTTCCTGCATCGTCTCATCGTCCAGACTCGCCTTCTTTTGCAAGGAATCCAGGAGATCGGAGACGGTGCCATTGCGAGGAACCAGAACCTCCAAGACTTGCTATAATGGTGTTAGCGTTAAATTGAGGGCAATGGGCAAATGAAACTAACCTCCTTCGTGATTCCTTCTGGCAGCAATGTCACCTTGAAGCATTTCTTGCTCTCATAATCGCTCAAGCTCGTATCCAGAATCTCGTAGTACAGGGCATCCGACCGGTGCATGGTATAGCCGTAAGCACCATATTGGCCGTTGAGGATCTGAGCAAGACTCTGGGCAACAGATCGCTTGAGGAACGGCTTCGGCTTTCCGGTGCTCGCCATTACCGGCGCAAATCGGAGATGTGTGGGATCAACGTTGAGGTGCTCGCCGACTTTCTTTGAGAACTGATCGTAAGTCATCTTGCGGCTGAGGGTCAAATTAAAACCTTCGGATTCTTCCGATTTAATCGGAGCGAAAGTGACGTCCATGCGGTTCAAGAGATAGTCGTAAAACTGTCTCGCATCCCCGTAAAGTGCGGTCGATGGCAGCTCCGACTCTTTGACTGAGCGCTGGAAGGTGATGATGTCGCCGTCCTGGATCTCAGACTGCTGGAATGTTTGCTTGGGCTTCATCACATCGATCATGGTATGTTTGATCTCCTCAAATAACATAAACTCCGTGCCGGCGGGCCAGTTCATCCGCGACAGGATAGTCGATGCCAGTTCCCCCACCTTCTGGTTCTTGCGAACAGATACAGGCCCGACGCCACTCAAGGTCTGAGATACAACATCGAAGTGCTTCAAGAAAATAAGAACGGAGTCATTGTCCGGCCAGGGCGTAGGCTGTCCATCAGGGCCCAAAGGAGCAACTTCCATCCACAGTCGGAATGAGTTTCCTTTGGTACCAAACTTGTTGAATGCCTCGTCAACAGTAATGTCTTGGTCCCGGATTACCTGGTCAGGGCGCGTCGTTTTGTTCTGACGGTTGACCATGACCCAAAACCGGATCGCTTCTGCTTTGAGACCACGCTCTTCCGCAATATCCTGTGCAAACTCGCTCACTTTCTTGGTCTTCAGAATCCGATACCATTTCGGAAGCGCTGGGTCCTCCGCGGGAAGGTCGATGCTAGTTAGGTCAAATCCATGATGGGCTTTGAATGTGTCCTCGTTTAGGACACCAACGTTCGTGTAAAGGTGGGCTTCTTCTCTTTCCTTCTTTCGGCGTAGCATCTCCGCACGGTCCTCGGCAAGTCGCGATTCTATGTGACTAGGCACATCTTCCTTCGTAATCGGCAGAAGCACATCGTCTTGTCGCGACTTCCGAATGTACACCAGCATGTAGGCGTTCATGGACCGTTTGGTTGAGAGACCACGTGTGTAAGGCTGTCGTACACCGGTTGCGCCGTTGGCAAGCTCATACTCGCCGCCGTAGTTCTCCTCCAAGACTTCCTTATCGGTAGCTCGGTTCACCCGATCATCATCAAAGCGGTACCAGTATCCATCCTTGGTAGGCTTGAGGAAAGCGTAGTAATGGCCGGCATTGAAGTCACCACTGTGGACGAGGACGCCGTGCAGCTCGTAAATCCACGGTTCGGACATGTCCGCATCTTTGGAGAGGTAGGGGCTAGCGTCAAATTCCATGGGGAAGGCGTGTCGGTCGTTGAGTTTCATCATGGCGTCGCGGTTGATGTCATATTCAAATCGCTTCAGGTGCAAATGCAGCACCGGCGGAAAGCTTTCAAAGATCACACCCTTGTTGGCGTCTTGCAAGCCGTACGGTGGGCCGGCGTCGTACTTGTTCTCGCCTTCTAGTGTCTCCACTTGGATGTAGTCGCGGAAACTGTCGTCGAGAGTCTTGTTGTTTCGGACATTGAGCTGAATGTCCCAGAACTCTTCTATGCGCGAGGATTCATAGTCGACATTGATGCAGGAGATGTAGGTCTTGGTCTTGCCTACGAACATTTCGGGCAAGGCCTTTTCAGCGGGAGTCCCCTTCATCTTCTCTTCTAGGCGTTCCATCAGCTTTCGCGAGAGCTCCTGGACGTCCTGTTGTTCGAAGATTTGTCTTGATTCCCAGCCGAACGATGCGGTAAGTTCAGTGGTCGAGACTGCCGTGTCACTTGACTGCAAATTGAAGAACAGCCTCTGCAGTGTCCACGCACTGTTTTCGCGTGAGGCTTCCTGGTCAGTTGGAATTTGGTATACAGCCTAGAGGATAAGTTAGTGGGTCTACCGAGGTCACTATCAAGTGTCTTCATACCTTGCGGAACCCGTTGGTGAAATAGAGCGATTGCAGTAGCGAGTTCAAGTAACAAGTAGCACCTTGGTTCTTCAGACCAACCATTCCCGTCTCCTTTTTGGAGTCATAGCTGCAAAGAAATCAGTCAGTTCGAGGTTCTGGAGTGGCGCCTGATAAAAGCTTACTTCTGGAAACTGTGCCAGAGCACACCGGTCGGATCTTTCACCACTCGAACGTAGGCCGTGACCTGCGCCTCGTCATCCTGCACCAGCGACACATTTTTACCCGGCCATGCGTCGTTGAAGAGACTGCGAAGATCATAGAACCTTGTAAATCCCCAATCGCCCTCCTCCGCATTAAACCGGTGTGTCGCAACTGCAACTGGGTTAGCTAACCTGCTCGCTCCAAGCCAAAGGGGCTGCAAGACATACCGTGAGAAACATAGATGGAGGGATCATTCACGTTGGACAAGACCAAAGCGAACTGCACACACGCATACCAGTTCTCCGGCGGCTCGCCCTCCCAAGCATGCTCGAGATAGAACGAAGCATGCTCTGCATGGTTGCCGTACGGAAAGAAGAGAATCCGCCTACGCTCCAGTCAACAACCAGGTCAAGCCGAAGGGTTTGATAAAACGCACCAAGGGAAACCTCCGCACTCAAACGTCGGCCCGTGCACCTTACGGTCCAACTTCCGCCAGTCCTTGATGTGCCATGTATTGTGTGTCTCGTCTGCGGTCTCTAGATCGGGGGTTTGGGGCAGAACCCGAGCCATCATGGCGGTGTCTGTGTGTGCCGCATTTTCTTGTTAGCCAACTGCTCCAAATGCGACCGAATGGACAGTGGTCGACGTATTCCAGCCATATATTATCTGCGCTATCCCTCCACTGTAGCCTAATGCACGGGGAGAAGGCATCAAGGAAAACGAGATCACGTACGGTCATCCGCGGTCGGTGCCGGGTCGGGCTCCTCGGAGCCGGGCTGGGAGACGACAACGACGTCGGTCTTCTCATTCTGGTATTGATCGTACTCGTCGACGAGCATATCGTGCTCGCCGAGCTGGGCAGAGTCAGCGAACGGTGTCCTTAACGGAGGGCATGAAATGGAAGGTGAGGATGAACCAATGACGACACGGGTTTGGGGCTTCGAGGGGAGGGGGGAGGGGGGGGGTGTTAGTAGACTCACGTTCTCCATGGCCAAAAGGGCCTCCCGCAGTTCCGGAAAGCACTGACGAATTGAAGAAAGGGGGATGTCGAGGTGAAGAGGAGGTGGGAGATGTTGGTGGTGGGATGTGTCGGTATGGTGATGGTGGCGGAGTCGCGGACTCGGCAGGAAATCCAAGAGTGAGGGAGTGAATCCACGACCGGTTTAGCAACACACCCAGATCGTCCAAACCGATCAATAGTATAATCCTGTTGGAATTTCGTATTTTTCTACCAAGAATCATAGTCCACTACATGTCGGTCATAATAGTAGGCGTTCAGTTGGCCCTGCTCTCAGACAATATCGCTAACTACCGCACTGCAATAAACAAAAATCAACCCGATAGAAATAGTGTACGATCATCCTGCTCCTCTTTACTATTACCATAATGCCCTGCGAACTGGCAAGTTGTTTGTCACATGTTCGGTTCTGTCCTCACCGCCCTGTCTGCTTCCCTTCGACCTGCAACATGACTCCGACTTGAACCTCCATGACGACCGGGGCATGCACATGATGCGGCCTAGTCGTCCCCGAGGCTGGCCTCCCCTGCGATCCGCTGTGCTGACTCGCTCCTACTCGGGCTCGTCCCATCAGCCGCCGCCATGGAGGCCCGTCTCCGCGTTGGATGAGTATGGCCTCGATACACCCGTATCTCTCCGAGCTTGATGCTGACCCTCTTTGGACCAGGTGGGTGGAGCGAGCAATCCGACCGATCAGTCTGCGCCAGTTGACCTTCTTCGGGCGCACCCTGACAGAGCCCCGACTCATCTCCTCGGCAAACTACGTGCGTACTGAGCTACCTACCCGGTAAGTCAGACAAACATTCTCAAGAGGCGCGTCTGATCGAACCAGCATTGCCCATCGGCTCCGAGACATCCAACAGCTGCCCTATGTGGTAGTCTCCAACCCGCACCTCTCCCTGGTGTATGAACTCTACTACAAAGCATTCGAGAAGTTCCGAGTCATTCCCGAGATCTGCAGCCTCGATGATAACGACCGGCTCTGCGACGTGCTGCGTGAGATGCTCAAGGAGCACCTGGTGGTGATCCCGAACCTGGCCATGGGGGTGCTGGAGTGCCGCGAGCTCGTTCCGCCTGATGAGATGGACCGATTCATGAACACTTTATTGCGAGCCGTATGCATATCGAGGATCCCGTCGGGTATAGTAGTACTGATTGTCTATATTAGCGGATATCTCGCCGTGTGATTGCGGAACAGCATCTAGCTTTGACCGAAACCTTCAATTCGCCCTGGCATTTCCCGGACTCGCACGAACGAACAGATATGAATGCAGACTTTGTGGGCGAGGTGTTCTTGAAGTGCAATGCGAAAGAGGTGGTCGAGCGGTGCGGCAAGGTCGCCCAGGATCTGATGTGGCAGAGCTCCGATTCGACCAAAATTCCCGCCATCACCGTGCAGGGCCATCTGGAGGCGACTTTCCCATATATTTTGAGTCATCTCGAGTACATTGTGGGCGAACTGCTGCGCAACTCGGTGCAGGCCGTCATCGAGAAATACCAGCATTCGGTCGAGACACCACCACCCATTGAGGTGCTCATCTGCGAGACCCCCCAACATGTGATCATGCGCATTTCCGACCAGGGCGGAGGCATCCCGCGTGAGATTTTGCCCTACCTGTGGTCCTTCAGCAAGGGGCCTCGCACGCAGACCCGGCTGGAGAACCTGGGCCAGGTGCCTGCGATGGCGGCCACCATGCAGGAGCTGCAGGTTTCGCAGGAGCGCAAGAATGCGGACCGCGATACCTTCCACGAAGGGTCGCTGGACACGCTGACGTCGAGGCCACCGAATCTGCGCCTGGGCATGGGACTGCCGATGAGTCGGGTGTATGCCGAGTACTGGGCTGGCAGTCTGGAACTGCACAGTCTGGAGGGCTACGGGGTGGATGCGTTCCTGCAGATCTCCAAGCTGGGCAACAAGAATGAGCAGGTGACAACGCGGGCGAGCATTGATGCGGTCTGAGGATCTTGTTGGAACTGAACTATACCGAATCATCTGCAGAATAGGGCGGCGAGGGCGGCGGTGGGGGATGCGATCGGGATGACGTAACCCCATCTGCTGCCAGCCCTATCCTATCCTAGCGCGCCGGATCCTGCTCTCCACTGACGTCTGATCGCCGATCATTGAGGCGCCTGAACTCGTCCAAGGACGGCGCCCTTCCCATTCACATCTCCTTCTGCTTCTTCCTCACCCTTCTGTTCAACTTCCTACCCGCCAAACGCCCTCCCCAAACTCCGACCAGCGCTAATCCGGACTCCTCTGACCTTCATCATGGCGGGTACCTGTTCTATGCTCTGCCTGGTGATCATCACCTTGTTCAGTATGTTTAATTCCCCTCCCTCTCCTGAAGGGAAACCACTGCTGCCTGGCAGCGACGACGCAATCTTGCCCTCTGTGTAACACTGCTGACACTCCTCCAGTCCCACCACTCGGCGTCTTCCTCATCTCCGGCTGCGGTGTTGATTTCTGGATCAACGTCCTCCTCACGATTCTCGGGTAAGCTTCTACATATTTGCCTCTTAAGACACGTCCTAATATCCCTCACAGCTACTTCCCGGGCCACATCCACGCGTTCTACCTGGAATATGTCTACTATGACCGCCGCCATCGCGACCCTTTGACTCGTGCCAGCCAACGCCCCGCGCCGGGTGTGTATTCGGACCGTATTCAGAACGGAGGCAACGGCAATCAGCGGAACTACGGGACACTGTAGAGGATATCAAACGATCCGAGAGGAACACACGAATAGGCTGATGTGTGGAATCGAGTGATAGCCTTTTATTGGCGCCTGTGTGGTTATCCCAGTGGCAATGGCGGTGGTGATGATGTTCTGTATTCCTTTTGAAGCGATGAATGATACTTTTTCTTAACGACCCAAAGCGGCAGCTGTGCGTAGTCCATATTGTACCATTATACATTTGATCGAATAGTTGATTCCGCGCAAGATGTCTCTTTGTAGCTCTGACACTGGATCCGAAGATTCCTGATTGATGTCTACAACAACCCGCAAACTCGAGCTACCCAATTGCCCCAATCTCCTCCATATAACACACATCTATACGCCCTCCTTCTTCGCAGCCACCTTCAACGGCGGAAAGTCAAACGCCTCACTGTTCACCACCGTCCCCTGCGTGCGCGGCACAGTCCCCGTCCCAGGACTCCACCATAGCGCGCCAACCCACGGCTGCACATTCCACCCGGCAGAAAGCGTGACGTTCTCTCTCTCCGCCAGCCTTCCGGTAATATCACTGATCTGGTACTTAGCCTTCTGGCCACGCAGTCTCAGTTTCCCAGGCGTATCCTCCTCCGCAACAGCAGCCGCGCCCTTCTTCGTTGATTTCTTCGCTGCTGGCCGCTTCTTCTGCGACGATTTCTTTGCTGGCTTCAAGGACGCGGGAATAATCGACGGCGGAATAGCCGACAAGACCTTCTCGCTCAGCGCATCAAACGAATACGGCGATGGCGAGGCCGGGATAATCGCGTCCCAAATGATCGCCTCGGTCAGCGGAACCTTGGACTCTTTCTTATCGGACGAAGAGTACGTCGCGTAGACATAGACAAAGACCTGCTTGGTGTTCCAGTTGAAAAGCGGTGACAGGTCCGCGTCCAGGTCGAAGCGGATCTGGGCGTATTCTTCGCGTTTGGTGGAGTAGTAGTGCGGTCGGCCCTTGGCTCTGTTGTATTTTGTAAAAGGTTAGTACCGATATGGATGCGTCAAACTGGGAAATCAAAGCTATGATTGAAAGAGTAGGTAGGGCTGGAAGGAAGGAAGGAATGCGTACACTTGGACGTTCTTTAATGACACTGCCACCGACGTGTCTGCCGTAGGGAAAAGGAGTGTCGATAGCGCTGCGAGCCCTGCGACGACGAGGGCGACGGTCGTGAAGAAGCCGAAGACGGCTTGCACGCGGTTGAGGCTGGAGTGCATGGTGGATGGGTGCGCGCGTGGGGAGAGACACGGAGACAAAAAGGGAAATGTTACTGATTGATTGATGAAGCCACCTCGGCCGGATGAGTGGCTTATCGATAAGCCTCAATGTTGTCTACAACAACATCGTCTCTCTTTACTTGCTGCGTGACAACTTAATAGGTGTCTCACCATGGGCGATCACGTCCTCTTCTTCTACGGTGTTTATTCTCTCTATATTCAAGCCTGGCAACATTGCTAATATTATGGCAGGCACGCTGATGGCGCCGCAGGTGCTTCACCGCGTCGTCCACGGGCACCCGGACCCAGAGCCCTGGCAGAAAGCCCTGCTAAGCTTCCAGCCGGCCGTCTTGCACGGTTTCAAGAGACACCGCGTGCGCGGCGCCGATTACCCGGGCATCGTACGCGCCAGCGGAGAGCCATCCACGCAAAAGGTGCTCGGTACGCTCGTATCCGGATTGACAGATGGAGACCTGCACCGGCTGGATCTGTTCGAGGGCAGCGAGTACGAGCGGAGAGCTGTCACCGTGCGGCCGTTGCCCGACTCTTTGGACTCGAAGTTGAACCGTAGTCCGGGACACCAACCAAAGGGCAGCCACTTGCGCGATGTGCTTGACGCGGCGGGGGCGGAGATCGCAGATGAAGCGGACGGGGTGGCTGCCGTGACGTATGTGTGGATTGCTGGGAAGGATAGGTTGGAGGCGGCGGAGTGGGATTTTGAGACGTTTAAGCGGGATAAGATGGCGTGGTGGGTGAATGCGGATGAGAGTGAGTGGTAATTAGATCGACATCTTCGTAGTACACACTAGATTTGAGGTCGGGTATGAGATGCAGGAATATAAATAAGCATAGTTAAGATATGACCTAGAAGAATAAACGTAAATGCAAATGCTGGTATCTCATGCGTCTTTCCGCATCCTCTCTGAGACCCCCAAACCGACGACGCCTGTATCCCCGCTGTGCATGAGATCGAAGGCGAACAGAAAAGGCAAGAAAACAAGAACAATCCATGAGTGTCATAACCTGTCAAGAGCAATCCCGCCGCGATATGCCCCGCGGACTCCGTCGTACTCGTCCAGCTTCTTCCGTTGGCGGCGGTGTGCCCCGTATCTCTGCTTGGGCCCGGACTCCCTCCTTATCCGTGCCCTTCTTGCGCTTCCTAGTGGTGGGATCGCCGCTCTCTTTCTCCTTTTCCTGGCGGGCAAGTTTCTTCCTGTGGCTTAGCTTCGTCTGTGCTGTCTCCTGGCTGTCTGGAACCTCGATCACCTCTTTATCCTTCTCGGTCTCGAGGTTCCCTGGTTTCTTGCGCGATGGTTCGCCTGGCAATTCCTGGCGATGTGCGATTCCATCCGAGGAGCCAGTAGGCACCAACTCAACCTGATCGGGTGTGGAACTTTCAACATCAGGAGCGTCCTCGTTCGCACCATCATCCTGTGTCCGAGTCGAATCAGCAACATCTTTCTCAGGCTCACTCGGTAATGGCGGGCCTAGCAGAAACGAAACAGGTTGCTGATTTGCCATAATCTGTTGACCATCCACCTTATCCCGTGTCTGCTCCTCATACAGCTTATCAAGAAACTTGCGAAGCCGGTGGCGCAGAAGACCGGATCCCAACGGAGGCCAGTCAGCCTTCGCATCCATATCTCGTCGAAGGATCTTCGTGATGAAGGGATCCGGGTCCTGCACGAATTTCTCAACGTATGCCAGCAGGTACAAACCGCAATCAGAGTAATTCGGCTGCAGGGGAATCTGTCGAGCTCGCATGCCCTTGATTTGTGCTGCGTCTAGCTTGACCCCTTTCTTGGACTCCGCTTCTTTGCAGATGTAGTCCCGGAGCACCTTGACGGTAGGTGATCGGGCCAGATCGAGGGAGTCGAAGGTGATGATTGTCGTCTGGCGGGGGTCCAAGTTCGGTCCGGTTCGTGTTTTCTTGGATTTGCGAGATGGCTGGGACGCGGTGACGCTCTCGACGGGGGTTTCGGGGCTCTCGGTCTTATCACTGACACGGCCAAACTTTGCCGGAGGAGACTTCACATTTTCTTCCTCCTCGGGCCACTCCTCTGTTGGACCACCGTCTTCCTGTTTCTCCTCGTTGGTTGCTGCATTGGCTCCGTCGAGAGTCATTGACGCTAGAGATTGGCACGTCTCCTGTTCTTTCGAAGACTCCGCGGACTTCTCTGGTGCAGCTCCTTCCGCAGCTTCGGAAGAATCAGGTACCGGCTCGGGCTCGGGCGTCTCTGGAATCGTCTGAACCTCACTGGCCGGCCGAGTCGAAGCCTCCTTGGCATCTGCCCCGGCGCGGTCGGGCTCAATAGTCCTCCCCAACGGGAGTGACAAGCTAGGCAAGTTGCAGATGATAGCAACATACCAATGCGCATTCTCGTTGATAGGCACGACAATATAATCGTAAGCGAACAGATCAACACTGCGAGTCCACTTCTCCACGCCACTGTAATTGATCTCACGCACACCGCGGGGTGTGTTGGTGATGGTGGCGTAGAAGTACGAGTTGAAGAAATAGATCTTCTCGGCGGCGGCCTTGTTGGTTCGCTCCACATGGTCTTGAAGAAAGCGTATATAGAAGCCGATCAGATTATCGTTCAGAAACTCGCCTTCGCGTAGTCGATCGCGGTCTTCCACGCAGACTTCGGCCTTTTTCTTTCCCGCCTTGGGATAGACCAGGGGTGTCTGCCACTTCTTTCGGGCTTCATCATCCGTTGATGGCGATCGTCGTATATTGGCATCGCGCTCTTCGGAGGCTGCTGAGGCTTTTGGCGTTAGGCGCGCCGATGCTCGTGTCTCGCGGCCTGAAGGCTGAGCAGCCTGGAACCTTTTCACCGGAATCTCAACCCCGGCATCACCATCTGCTTTGGAGGATCGAGGTCGTATCTGCTCATCAGGTGAATGCCCGGACTTAGATTTCAAGGACTCTTGACCACCCTCTTTGGCATGATCTGGCTTTCCCCAACTAGTCTCACCATTCACATCCTGCAAAGCGGAGGAGACTTTTGTGCGAGTGGAAGGATTGGCAGACGATATTTCTGGCTCTGAAGGAACAACATCCTCGACCAATGGCTTTTTGGTGTGGCTGCCATGAAGCTCCAAGTTCCGTTCGTAGGTTGCGAAAGCTTTATCCATGAAGGATCTGTGTCGTAATTAGCTCACATGCGCCGAACTGAACATTGCATGGACAACATACCCGTCTTTATCTTGTATTTTGACCTGAAAGTTTTGCAGCGTATTGCAAAGGCGTAACTTGTCAGCGGAGTTTGTGAACTCCACGTCCACCTTGTCCCCGGGCGAACTGGCTGCCTGCGAGAGTTCTATCCTGACTTTGCAACTGAGCTCACGTCCTTGCAATGCCTTTCTGATTTGCCCAAGGGGAATAGACACGGTTTTGCCGGGTTCCACGATGTTCTCGCCAAGCTCGAGCTTCTCCTTATCCACATCCAGACGAATAGTCATCCGCTCTCCCTCAGTCGTGACCTTCTTAATGGAACCAAACCGAATCGAATTAATGTCCAATAGCCACAAGTCCCGTTTCTTTTTCTTGTTATTCATCTTCTTCGGGCCTTGGCGGGGCGAGGCTGCAAAATTGGTATTCTTGATATCAGTGGGTGAACGCTCACGAACCGGGGACTCCAATTGCGTCTGGCTCTCGGTCTTCCGACGAGTGAGGTTGGGGCTTGCATCCAGAGACTTCGGAATTGGGTGAGTGGTAGCTCCCCCCTGCAACTCATCAGAGCTCTCTCGATTGAAGTCAGAGATGCGACGCATTCCTTCCGACTTGATGAGCTGTCGGCGAGGGGGAGACGTTAGGGACCTGAGATTCACTGGATTGCGAATCTCAACACTCTGGAGAACCGTTTGCCGTTGAGATCGATCTGATCGCGCGTTGGCTGCCATGAACCGCCTTTGTTGTGCAGCGTTCTCGGTAAATTGCCCCTCCTCTAGGGAACTCACGGAAGAAAAGCGACGGTTTCCTTGACTGTGAGGACTCCGATCGACCCGGTTGACCTTGACTATATCTTCGAGGTTGCGATATTCGGGGAGTTGTTGCCTCTCGCGAGACTTATACTTCTGTCTGACTGGTGGTAACCGCGGGGAAAGCTGGTTTGCTGGCGGCAACATCTCCATCATGGACGAGACGGGTTCGGTCACATCGTCGGTAAGATTGATAGTCGGGCTGGACTGGTCATGACGGCGCCGCTTATTAGGTCGGTCCGATTCGTCGTACTCCCAAGCATGTTCCAAGAAAGGCCGTCTGGAATTCGGTTGCCTTTCCTTTCCCTGCGCGCGGACCGATCCGCTTTCTTTCGAGTGTTTGGAGAGCGTGTCTGCCGGTCTGAATGCGCTGCCGGCCTATGATTCTCTCAATCAACATATGAGTCGCAATTCTCAGTGGAAAAGACCTACCCCGGGCTTTCGGTTCTTCTGGAACGAAGCACCAGGTTTAATCGTGGTCGCCCCGGGATCCCTATATCACAAGCAAAGTCAGCCAGGTCAAATCTTGAGCACTCATGGGCCACACAGAGACAATACCTGTAGCTCTTTGCCCCCATCAAGCGGGCCTCGTCTTGAGCATCATTCCGCGGCTGGTCTCGTCTCCACATCTGCGCCGAGGTCCCCAAACTGGGAGAGAGGCCTTGTATCAGCTTTTGCCGGGCGGCACGGTCGCGCTGAGAGGTCATATTTACCGGGCGGGGTGTTCTAGAGCAACCAGCGAGGTGGGGTGCCGCTGTCGTCCAGAAGAGAGTCGTGGTTCAGGCGGAGGAAGAGGTATGTCGGCATAACTGTGAGAAGCCTGACAAAGGTCAGAAATAAGAAAGGCGAGAATGGAGTGCGACTGAAACTGCAGCGTGGCACAAGCGCGAAGAGATCACATGAAGGCCGGGGCGTGAGATTGAGAAATAATAGAAATGAAAGCAGAAAAAACAGAAAAGAAAAAAAACAGAGCGCAAGGCGGATCCCGCATGCAAGACACACTACGGGCGGCTAGATACGCACCTCCGAGAGAACGGAAGGGATGGCTTGACGAGTAGCAGCGCGTGAACTGAACTCGGTGTCTGAGCGATTTGAGCGACGAGGGAATGAGTGGGAGGATGGCCGCGTCGGGGAAGCAGAAGGACTGCGACGCGAAGCTGAGGGCCGTTGGGGATCGTCCGGCCGACACGGGGACCGAGTGAAGATCGCGGACAGTTTCTGAAAGAAGGGCATCGGGCCTGCCACACCTATGCCATGCCAGGTCCCATGCTGTACCCTCTCTTTTTTGGCTCCGGACTCTTCACTATAGATAGGCTTCTGGAGATATGCGCCGTCATTCCATTCCATTATGACCCAAGGCGGTCAGAGAGTAGTGGCGCCTGAATGTCCAGGCATCATATCCACGACGTCTAGTTAGTTTACTAGTGATACATCTGGACGTGAGCGGAGTAACTGCTCAATACCTATGGAGCATCTACACAGAGGCGTAAATGGCATAGCTTAGAGAATCGTCTGCAGAATGGCTCTGCATACATTTCATAGAACAAAAAAAAGACTGCATCGCCACCGTTGTATACAGAACGAAAAGCATCAGGACATTCCAGAAAAGCCACAAGAGGAAGGAAAACAACATTTCGTATGAGTTTCTCGCATAAAAATCAACCCGCTGAGTTCGCCTCGATGCCCCACCGACCCCTTCCTTACCCAAACGCGTCCCAATGAAATGTGATCGTGGCTCTTTTGTGGTGTGGTGTGGTGTGGTGTACTATACAGGGCCCTAGGCCGGGACTGGCCTTCACGAGGCTACAGCCTTGCCTTTATCCACCGTCATCGGGTCGTCATGGCCGGTTACGCGCCGCCGCTCCGATCCCTGGTGGTGACCGCTGCCGGCCGTGGCTTTCTCATGGCGGGCCTGGTCGATGGCCGACCGCTGGGCGATGCTATCATCGTGGCTCTTCCAGATGATGTTGGTGTCGGGCGGAAACGCGAGCAAGCGCTTGATCGTTTCCCGGATCTTGATGTTTCGACCTCCATCGATCCGAGTCCAGATACTCAAGACATCCTCGCCACCGCGCACGCTGAGGACGGCGCCACAGACTTCATCACCGGCCTCGGCAAACTGATCGCCGGCCATGGCCAGCAATAGGTCCTCCCAGAATCGATCGGCAACGCCCTTCTTCAATCGCACGATCCACTTGCCGCCCCGCTTGTTGGCCTCATCTTCCCACACCGGGCGGATACCCTTCTTAAAGATGTGGTAGTCCGAGACCGTCGGAAGAAGCGAGGGCCGCTTGAGATGCGAGTATACCGCCCAGAAGCTCTCGACAGATGATATCGCGGCGAGCGCAATGGTCGATTTCTCGTAGTCGGAATATTTGGGCGTAGGAGGACGATACCAGACGATCCACGTAGACTTGAGCGGATGCTCATCAACACCAGATACAGACAGCTTCGCGCTCAGGGCTTCTTCCTGCTCCGCAGACATGTCGCGACTCTCACTGGACATCTTCGTCTCAGACGAGCCACCAGGTGTCTTGGGCGCACCGAACGAGGCGAATGCGCCAGACCCTAGACCGAAAGCGGAAGAAGGGTTGGCAGCCGACGACGAGACTCCGCCCGACAGCGGGGATATTGCGTTGAATGGATTCGAGCGGCCGTGAGAACTGTCGGGTCCAAACCGTTTGGAGGAGCGGGGCAGGTCGACTCGAGCGCCACCGTCCTTGTTGTCCGTCCCGGCCATCGACAGCGACAATTTGGAGGAGGAGCTGGAAACGAGACACATGCGTTAGTGATTGTTCTTGCCAGGGAATGACAGAATTCCCGGCTCCCCACTTACTTTGCCCGACGAGACCACAGGTTTGCATTATCCATCGCGGCGGGTGACCAGACTGCCCGAGACACGAGCGGTCATCAGGGAGAGCCGAACAGCCAAAACCACGGCACTCCTCGTAGGTGGGCACAGTCGGTCGTCTATAGCTTTTTTTTCTCTCGGATTTTTATCTCGGCGACGGTAGGAAGTGGAGCGGAGACTAGATTCTTCACCGGAGACGGAAGGACAGACGAGGTGAGAACACGAAAAGCAAGGGAGTGCAAGGGGTCAAGAGAGGAGGGATAAGAGAATGGGATTCAAAGCGGCAGAGATAGTGGCGAGGAAGTCGTGAGGATGGGGGAAATGACACAAGGTGGAATAGTAGTGAAGGAACATGAAGTGACTTGGAGAGCGTAACGTGAGCTGCGACCCAATCAGAACAGGTGACTCCGCTCGCACCGACTTTTACCCGAGGCCTCTCCCTTTTCTGCCGTTTTTTCTCGCTTTCCCTCTTCTTTTCTTCCACAAAACCAAGACCACCAACTCAAATCACCGCTGGGTGTCTTTCTATTGCCCACTGCCCCGGCGTTTCCGATGAGTGTGTCGAGATCAACCGATCGCATCTAAAACCATCATCACGAGGGCTCTTCACGGAGCAACCCATGATGCGTTGATGACCTGAATGACGGGACATTGCTATTCTTCCTAGTTTTCTTCTTAGAATCCAGTACGTGGTCAGTAGCAATTCAGTTTTTTTTCTGCGTCTTGCTTCTCTCTCTATGACGAAAATTATCTGAGCTCTCTGGTAATCCGAGGTCTCAACCGCCTGCTACTCCGGCTGGTTGGGCGTGAGGTCGATTGGCAAAGTCTGATGAGCGTGTTTTCTTGCTGCACACAAACGATCTGGTCTACTCTGCGTGCAATGGCGACTAACCGCAACCAGTCCGTTCTTAATATAGCTGCCTGCCTACGAAACTCCGGCTCGGGGAACAATGTTGACCAAAAATGTTTATTGGCGGTGGGCAATATGTAACAAGCACGCCGAAGCCCCGTGAACGTAAATGCAACCCATCCACCAGCCATGCAATACAAATAGATAAAATATGCCAAGAGATACACAATCCCGTCAACTCGGCGCAGAAGAAGCCGGGCGATGACTGCTCTCGTCTTGTCTGACGCGCTTGGGGTCACGGTCGCTCGGCGGCGCTGCAACCTCGGCCTTGCGCTTCTCGCGGTCCTTCTGATTTTGGTATTCGACGCGCCGGGCCTCTTTGCGAAGAGCCTTGCTTTCGAACTCGTGCCAGTCGCCTTCAATATTCTCCAGTCTGAATAGCTGTCAGTAAATAACTCGTAGCATATACAAGCAAGGGAGGGAACGTACTCAATGGGCGGCTGAGGCGCCGGATCTTCAGACACGAAGTAGGGGTGCTTGAGGACGTCTTCGGCGCTGGGCCGCTTCGCGGGATCGTACTGGAAGACCTGCGAGATCAAATGCAGGGCAGCCGGTGTCAACACCCCGCGAAATGCCTCCTCGAAAACTCGCTTCTTGCGCTCCGTCGGCCGCATCAGCTGGAACCATGGCATCTCCACAACATCCTGCCACTCTGCGCGAGTAGGCGTGCCCAACAGATTGTAAAGCTTGTCCATCTGGCTGAGCTCGCTGCCTTCGCCGGGGAAGACGGCCTTTTTTGTGAACATCTCCATGCAAACGCAGGCGGCACTCCAAACATCCACGGCTGGACCGTACCGGGTCTCACCCAGCAGGAGTTCTGGGGGACGGTACCAGATCGTGATCACGCGATTGGTGTAGTCAAGCTGGCGGGTCTTGGAGAAGAATCGAGCCAATCCAAAGTCGGCATATTTCAACAGGCCGCGGTTGCTGATGAGGATGTTGGCCGCCTTGATGTCTCGGTGAAGAACGCCGCGATGGTGGAGATAATTCAAGCCTTCGAACATCTGCTTCGCCAGGTCCTTCTTGTGTGCCAGGGTCAGGGAGAACGTGGGGTGATTGATGAGACCCGTCAAGTCATGAGAGAGATATTCGAAGACCATGAAACATTCGTTCTTTTCCACCATGACTTCCAACAAACTAACCACGTTTTCGTTTCGCAGATGCTGGAGTAGCTTTATCTCGCGTACTGCAGTGACGGGGAAGCCATCTTTCTCGCCTTCCATCCGAATTTTCTTGAGTGCCACTTGGCGCTTCGTGTAGACATGAATTGCTTTGAAGACCTTGCCATATGTGCCAGCGCCGATCACTGATTCGTTTCCTGGTTTTCTATAGTAGACAGAATCGGCTTGAGCAAATTCCTCGGAGAGGATAGGGCGTGGCTTTGGCCGGGTAAGGATCTTTTTCGGCTTTGGCGGCGGTTCCCTCGGCGCGTCAATCGAAAGTTCCCGGCGACGATCTTGACGATTGGGACGATCTTGTCGTTCTGGATAATCTTGACGAAAATCAGAACGCCGGTCGCCCTTTCGTTTATCACGACGTTGATCGAATCGGCGGTCATCTCGGCGGTCTCGCGGATTGAAATCTCGTGAGTCCCGGAATTCTCTGCGATCTCGACCCCGCTCCCGTCCTCCACGGTCACGACGATCAAAGCGATTAGTATCTGGTTTGAATGTAGGTAGTGGCCCATTGGTCAACCTGTTTCGAGGCGGTGTTGGTTCAGGCACACGCGGAGGTGGATCGCGGACCTGCATCCGCTGCGCAAGGTCAGGGACCGGTTTCGGGGACGGAGCAGGCGCGGCCTTTGATTTGAAAGCGAAACTGAATTTCCCGCCAGCCTTAGCTGGGGTTGATAATTCCGACTCTGGACCAGGAGGGGGCATCTGTTGGGTATCGCCACTTTCCGATACCGGCTTAGGGTAATCATCTTCTCTTTGAAGATCATCCTTGCTAGGACGTCTTGAACGAGGTTGCGGTTCCCCTGCACGAGGCGACCGCGGATCATTTGTAAATGTATCGTGGCTCGGAGGAGTCTGTGACCCATGACTGTGCATATGACGAGGGCTGTGTTGACCTCCGCGACCCCTAGAGCCAGACGCAGACCATTGGTGGTTGTTAAAATTGCCTCTACCTCCACGCTGTGAGGGTCCGGTGTTATAGTTGTGAGGCCCAGATCCGGAGAAGCGGCGCTCTTGACCCTGGTTTGGATGATTTCCGCGATAGCCACCATGCCCGCCTCGGTATGACGGCGGGCCATAAGACTGAGGGTGGTGATTCGGAGGACCGTTGTGCGAGCCTTGATGGATCTGATAGTACTGCCCGGGAGGACCATTCTGATGATATGGAGAGCCGCGCCTGTATTGATATATGGTTAGATTTTCTCACCCCCGGGGTTAAGGGAGAAACTCACCCAGATTGACCTGGATAAGGGGGTTGCCCTCCCCAGCCGGCTCGCCCAGAATATGGGGACCCAGGCTGTGGTGATCCATGATATGAGCTCGATGGGGTCGCATACTGTGGCGACGTGGCATATGGCCGGGTATCAAGATGCGGGTGGGAAGGTCGTCGACGTTGTTTGTGAGGGACATCGGATGCTCTCATGCCGTGCATGGGAAATGTATCTCGTAGATCAGCTGGCCCACCTCCGGGCCCACGGTCATTGTCTGCATAACTCGGGATCGGACGAGGAGGAGAGGGTGGCCGGGCGGAGTCGTCCACGACGGATTGAATCGGCCGAGTCGAGCCCATCTCCAGGTCGCCCCTTGAGCCGCGAGAAATGAGAGATCTCGAGCGCTCCGACCGCGCAGAGTGTCGAGATGGTGATCGATACCGAGAATGATTGTCGCTGTGGTCGTTGGCACTGGGTGATCGGGACCACCTCCTCTCCCGGACAGGGGATCTAGATGGGCCTGAGCGTGGGATTCCAGGCCGTTGGTCGTCTTTTCTGCGGCGATCACGGCGGCGCTGAGGGGATCTCCCTCTACCACCACCACGACCCTGAAACCGGCCGCCTCGCTTTTGATACGGAGGGCTTCTGTCCCGTCTTTCTCCGTGTTTGGCGTGTTGATGATGAGGAACAGATGGGCGATGGCCGTGAGGAGAAGGACTTCGAGTTCTTTTGCGTTTAGATGGAGGTGGAAATGGCGACTCGTCTCTTCGTGAGTCAAAGGAGTCCCTATCTGGCGGGGGGCCGGATCGATGGGTGTTCCAAGAGTCGTCGGCAGCAGATGGGGGTGGTCGAAAGCTCGGGCGTCGGTCGTTCTGGGGCCCAGAGGGTGACAGACCGGGAGAACCGTGGCGAGGAGATCGGTTCACGGGGAATTCGCCCAAGTCGTGAGACGAATCAGGCCCAAATCGGGACGCGTGGGTTGGGGGTGGCGACCTGCCGCGGTCGAAATGGCGGTCGTTGGGCCGGTAAGGGCGTCCACGGCCACGGTGATTCTGGCCTCGGGCACGATTGGAGCCTCGACCTCTGCGCCTGTCCCGGTCGCGAGGATCGCGAGGATCACGGGGATCACGGGGATCACGCAGGTCGCTGACGCTCCACTCGTCTCTCAGCACCGGACTCCTACGGGACCCAGCCATGTAAGCGTCGCCAGCCACATCTGGCGGATGAAGAGAACGTTGAAATCGAGGTCAGGGCCAAGTCAGGGCGAAGCGATGGCTGGCCAGGGGATGCCGTCGAGGGAAGCGAGAGTCGGCGGGTGGAGCCAAATCAGTCTGGTCGGGCGGATGGTTTTTCCGGTCTGCGAAGTGTATGAAAATGCGGATGTGAGAACAGCAGCGCAAAGAGGAAGAAAGGGGGCGGATACGCACCACAACTAGATAATTTAGGCTACTCGTAGGGTGACCAGTTGCACCAACAGGCACGGCCACAATCGGGGCTCTACAGTTGGGCCGACCCAAGAGACAGAACGGTCACTCTCATCAACTCCCCAGCCCTCGAGACCGTCACGGACTCGTTTTCATGGCAACGGGTTGGACCTGCTCTTCTCGCCCCGGTATCGGTCGTTTCTGAGGCCTGGTTCGCTTCGCCTTGGCCTGCAGAGTGAATACCTTTGCGAGGCAGTATCTCACATGAAACCTCAGCGGGCTGTGTCAGCCAGATTTATCTACGTACTGCACGAGCCTGGAAAGCAGGTCTGGCAGAAAGAAAGCGTGGCAAGAAATCACAGAATGACGCCATATCAAATCCGAAAGCCAACTCCGCTGTAAAGTGTCGGGAGTGGGAATGAGCATCCACCCGTATTGCCAGTCCTGCTCAAGACCTTCGAAGGCGGTGATGATGCGACGCAATTTGCCGTTGGGGTTGAACAATATGCTGGTCCCGTAGCCAGGTAGGCGACATTCGAGTACGGCTGCTGTGAGTCTCGAGAAACGCTGGGTTTCTCAACACGATCAAGCTCTTTGACCCAGTGTCCGCCCGTGTTTTACAGCAGATATGCAATCAGCCATGACCAGCTGAAGAGAAATACCACCAATGACCATCTGCAACAGGTGAGAGACACCAACAGGAGACGCTCGAGACATCTCCAGTCAGGTCCAGTCGAACCCCAACCCCAAAGACCGAGGCGCGCCGGAAAGAGATGAGGCGTCGATATTGTCCACATCTTCTCTCCCAGCAGTAGGCCGGATAACCAGGCTCTGAAGCCCAGCCGCATTGCAGGGAGCGTACCTGATATGGGTAGGTAGGGCCCAACTAGGTTGTTTGCAGGCCGATGCATCATCCTCCGTAGCAGGCAACAACAAACCACCGCTCTAAAGCCCCCAGTCCTCCAGCCGTAGTCTAAAAAACAAGCCGCACCTCATGGTTCAAGATTTGAGTCCAGGGCCGACCGCGAACCTCCAGGGTGAGAGGAGCGTGATGAGGGACTAAGCGCCCTGATCTGACACCCTGCAACGCTGCAAGACATGGCGACCAGAAATTCTAAAGTAGAACATGCGTGGTTAACGGGACATCCGTTCCGAGTGCACGGCGATACGAGTGCCCGTCGAGTGCGTTGTTACCAGGAACGCGGGGAAGAGTTGAGATTGTGATGGGTGGAGGTTGAGGGAGCGTTTCAAGGAGGCCCGTGGCCACGTGATACAATCATGTGATCGAAGAAGTATAGGGCTTGACTGCACGCCTAGGAGATATGGATACGCGCTCGAGGGAAACAGCTGAATCAAACAAATTATCATTCATCTGCTCCCGTTAGAATCCTCTCCTCCCATATCCTCTCGCACTTTCCCCCGTCCCCTTTTTTCAGAGCTGGTATAACTCCACACCCCTCAAATTTCACAACTTCTGGTCGTCATCTCTTCAATAATAGGTAAGTGAAAGTGAATCCAAGAGTAAAACAAATGGCGGAGTGAACATAATAATACAGAAATATGATGAATCTCATGTAGAAAACGTTGTCGTCGTTGGTCATCATCACGACGACCTTATGACATGCAGCCAGGGAGTCCAGAACTCCTGCCACCACTCGTTCCACCAGATCAACTGATCACCGGGATGAGAAGCATTGACGCCTGGGTAGAAAACGGGCGCGTCCCAGTCGAGATCGCGACTGTCCATCTCACTCTCGATGAGGTAGTCGATAGGGATTAGGGACCGGATCTCACCCTTAAAATCCAAGTCCTTGTACAACACTTGGGCGGCCTGGAAACTCGACATTGGGTGGTGGGTAAGCTTGGACCAGAACTCCACGCGGAGTTCACCGACTGTGTTGACGTCAAATGCGCCGTGAATAGGCGGGTCATGATTGTTGAACTCTTGCGCGGTCATCGTGCGCACGGCGTAGGGCAGGAACTGCTGCCACTCGTTGGGAGCGTCATTGATCAAGTAGTGGTACAAAAAGCTCAAATCCTTCTGGTACCAGAAAACGCGAGGCAGTCTCTTGAGGGTGGCTTGCCAGGGTGGATTCCGTCGAATGATCAGGGTGCCAAGGACCTTCATGATTCGGACTGCGAGGCGCAGATCCTTGTTTGGCCACAACTGCTTGTGCTTGATGATCCACATGCGCATAAAATTGTCCGGGATCTCCATAATGTGCCACATCTTGAGCAGCACGCGAAGACCTCGAGAAGGCAGGAGGTTCTCCACTCGGTTTGCATATGCAAAGATTTCCTTTGCCATATCTAAGCGGATTTTAAGCCAGACAATCCAGTTGAGTTTCGGCTCAAGACGCATGACCATGCCATCAGGAGCGATATTCGCTGTTGCAGGCCAATGAAGCTTGACACCTGTGCGGAGACTCACGAAGTTCTCGTATGGAAACAGTCGCGCCACAAAGCGATCATGAGCGGGCAAATAGTTGCGCAGAATCTGCGGCATCGCGTACAAGATCAGTCGATCGATCGTCTTGTGGATACCCTGAAGCTGGAAGATATCAAACATATTGAGGTAATCAATCACCTCGGTGAAAACCTCCGGCCGTTGTGTAAAAGCCCTAGCCAGGCTGAATGGTTGAGGGAAATCGGGCTCGACGTCCGAGACGGAAAACTGGGTGTCTCCGAAGACGGAGCATCTGCCACGTCCGCTAGAATTAGATTTCAATTCCTCGGTGTCAGCATCACTGAAGATAGCCGCAATCTCAGCATTTGCAAGACGCTCATCATCTGAATTGTTGAAGAGTGGCTGCTGCGGAGAGCCGGGCTTGATTAGGAAGTTTCCGAAGCGACCAAACACATTGTCAATGATAAATGGATCTGCGTCCTGTCGTGGGCAGTATCGTTGATGCTGTTTGCCCTTGATGGCAGACGAAGACGATTCTCCACCAGTTTCTGAAGAATCTTGCATAACAAACCAATCATCCTTTTCTCCAAGGCTGTTAGGTGGATCTTCGCCATGACCCTTGTCAGTCTCTGGCAAGGGAGACAGCCGGAAAGGAGACAAGCGCATAGCAGCAAACGCAATCTGTTCCACGGTAAGGTCGTCATCCACTCCCGGTGAAGCATCAGGGGCATTGCCAGCTCCATCGTAGCCGTAAAAGCCATTGTTTTCATAGATGGGTTGAAAATGCCAATTTCCCGGTGTTTCAAGTTCCATTTCATCGTCATATGGTTCGGCGCCACCATTGTCATCTGGAGCGTTACTGGCCTGGCTGGGGGGCGGAACGGCTGGTACGTATAGCGAGGAAGTACCTTGGACCGGCGAGAAACGGGCATTGCTGTTCGAAAAAGTCTCGAGAGAGTTCCGCGGCGGCACCACTCCAGAAGGTGGATACAATTCCTCGGGAAGAACTGCAAGTGGTTGGGCTCGAGAAATTACGTCCCCATTTCCAGTATGCACGGGCGGTGGCAGAGCGGGAAGTGCTGGGATCTGATTGCCATGGGGGCCCGGGAGATCAGGCAGCGGTTGAAGCGTGCCTTGGAATTGAGCAAGTGGAAGGCGTGGAATTTGAATTCCGTCTTCAGTAATCATGAGAAGCGCCGGGGTCCGGTACCGAGTATGAATGCCCGAAGGCGACACCTGTTGCTGTCGGGAACGGGGGCCTTGCATTGGTTCGAGATGATCAATCGGGATGCCCGCGAGCAGCTGCTGGCGGACGAGCCATGACTGGAGTGCATATTCACGCTCGACCGGCATTGGGTGCATTCCCTGGACAGTATTTAAAGACGGCTGCGATCTTTGGGGGGTATTTGGATACGAAGGCGAATTCTGCACATGCTGGACAGGCATCTGCGAAGTGGCTGCTTCGGTAAGCGCTCCTTGAAGCTGTGTTTCGGCGCCAGTGACAGGAGCAGCATATGAAGCAGGCACCGTCGTGTACGGGTTGGGCAAATTGCTTGGAGTGTAGGGCATGTCGCCAATCATCGGGGTCGTCAGCATCAGCTGCGGATCGATAGGGGTCAAGGAACCAAGCATCACACTAGTGCTGGGTTCGCGAGGGCCAGGCGGCCCGGCAGGCTCGACTCCGAAGAAAGTGGTTAATACATTACGTGCAAGGACAGCCGGATCCCGCGACGAAGTATTAGGAGCGGCAACACCGGCATGCGGCAGTTGCTCCAGTGGCAGCTCGGGAGGCGAGGTTCCAAACCGGTGGACAGGGATAAAATCCCCATAGGTGCGAGGAGAGCGAGGCTCGGGTGTTGAGCTGCTCGAGTGCCGTAGAAGTCCATGATGAGTGGTTGCAGGGACGTGATTGGAGTGCCACGCAGGAAGAGGCGGTTCTGGATACCAGACTGGATTGGCGAATGGCGACGCCAGCTCATCCGGACCAGGCAGTCGAATCAGAGGGGAAACAGTGCGCCACGGAGGGATAGGGAGAGGGGGATGAGTAGGAAGAGGATGTTGAGGAGGCACAGGAGGCGGCGGCATCAGGTTGCGGGCTTCCGTCTCTGCCAACTCACGGTCGGCATCACCCATCTGATCGGTCGAGTTGCCTTGCGACCGAAACATTTTCGTCCTGGGCTAGCATGGCATCGGCAGTCAGCTCGCACTCTTCGATACATCTGCCATTCAGGGCGGACAGGGCAACTATGGTGTAGTAGGACCGAGTTGTCACTGACTGTGTTGACTGGGCGGGTTTTCAAAGTTTTCTTGGGGGGGTTCTTCTTGCAGAAACGACTTTCTATTCAAAGATCATGTTAGTGGTGTCTTGGATCTTTTGATATAGTCCACGTACCTTAAGGCTTGTCTGGCTCGACACCCTCGAGACCAGGCCCTCAGCTCGGACTAGGCGCTGCAGCCCCATCATTGTCAGTCTTCAGGCGAAAACAGGTGGTGAATAGATAATATGGCACTTTGGCCACGCAGATGCTTATGGCTTGGATAATTATCACAGAGACACACTAACCTCTCGCAGACAAAAAGATGGCATGAAAGCCAAGGTCACACAGGAAAACAAAAACGGGATGCATGATGGATTAAAAGAGCAGACTCGTGGACAGACACAGTTTGGGCGGGCAGCCAGCAGCACAAGGGATCACAGGAAGGAGAGGTGTTCTGGCAGGGGCAAAGGAGCGGGTGCAAGAGAGACAAGGAAATCCAAGCTGTAGGCACAACAGATGATGGCAAACATGACAATCGCATCAACGAAAGGAGAGAAAGGACTCACAGGGGGCAGGAGGGCGTGTGGTGATACGGATGAGCACAACGATGAGAATGATGATAGAAAGCGAGACGGAGATGGAAAGGATGGCGGAAAAGATGAAGGAAGTGATGAAGGTGATTAAGGAAGTATTGGGAGAGAAGACCATCATCGTAAGAAGAAGCGTGGTGTGAATTAGAAAGGGCGCCGACTAAGCCGCTGAGTCGGCGATACTGTATCGGTGGTGGAATATGTCGGCGGCAAAGCGCTGGGAGTGGATCGTCGTGAATGACAACCATCACGGAGCAATTGGGGTTCAAATCGAGCCCTGATGCTACCGGGCTCGGCTGTAGAGCAGAGTTGTCAAGGCTGGATGGTCCAGTGTATGTCGGTTTCATACTCATAGCATGGAATAGGGCAAGAAAGCCATCAACAGAGCAAGAAAAGAGATGGGAATGTACATGGCATTTCAATATATGGGACATATAGAGAGGACGAGGACAGAGCCTGATATCAGGATGCTGAGACATAAGTATAGAGAAAGTCAAGTGTTGAAACAGCCTCGCCGGCACCATCAAGGATTTTTGAGGTCATGTATTCCAAAGAGCCAAACCAAACATGAGAATAAGCAAGGGAGCATGGCCGGTCGTGTGAGTCTAATACACGAGAAGGAATGTGGACGACGTCGGCCCGGTCAGCATAGGATAGACACGGTTCATCGACCCTGGAAGCGAGAGGTCGGAGAGAATGGAAAATATTGCCAAGGGTAAACATGATAGGGCAAGGTCAGGTTATGGGGTCAAGGTAGTATATGCAGAAGAATTGAAGAAGAACACACAGGAACACCGAATCCGTGATGAAGTAAGAAACTCAGAAAACCATCCGAAACCTGTTGAAAGGTCGCAACCCTAAACTCCAAATTCGTAATTGGAAATTATCTCCGGTTCAGCAGGGTCAAGAACTCTTCCCTGGTCTTCGCGCTGGATCGCATACATCCCAGCATGCAGCTGGTGGTCGTGGTGCTGCTGACTTTCTGCACGCCACGCATAACCATGCAAAGGTGGGAAGATTCCATCACGACACCAACACCTCGGGGCTTGAGGACCTCCGAGATGGCCAGAGCAACCTGCTTGGTCAGGCGTTCCTGGACCTGCAGTCTGCGCGAGAACATCTCCGCCAGACGAGCCAGTTTGGATAGACCAAGCACGCGGCGATCCGGAATATAGCCGATATGCATCTGCCCCACTTCGTCAGGATCACTCATGCAGGGTCGGAAGTAAGTAATATTACATACCTTTCCGCTGAAGGGGACCATATGGTGCTCGCACAAGGAGAAAACATCAATGTCTTTCACGATGACCAGTTCATCGTGATCCTCGTGGAAAACCGCTCCGTTGACCAGATCCCGAACATTTTCCTCGTAGCCCTTGGTGAAGTAGAGCATGGCCTTGGCGTATCTCTCGGGGGTCTCGCGGAGCCCTTCTCTCTCTGGGTCTTCTCCAATGCATTCAAGGATGGTCCGCACAGCTCCAGCAAGCTTCTGGACCCGTTCCTCGGTCTCTTCGGGTGTCGATTCTAATCGTTGCCGCGTTCCGGGGCCTAGGCGGAGATGGTTAGAGCAAAGGAGAAATCGTGGAGCAATTTACTTACAAGGCCAGCTGAGCCCATCGAAGTCGATGGGGGGGTTCAATGTGTAAGGGCTCGCAGGACGGCTCACGGTAGCCGGAGGGGTCAATGGACCGCCTTCGTCGCGCGGGTCCCGAGGAGGATCATTCAAAGTCGGTCTAGAATGAATTGTCAGAAGACGAGGAATTGTGGGAGAGGGTGCTAGGAGCGTACCGGACGATAACGGGGCTGCGAACGAGGCCAGATGCACTGGCAGTCGACTCGCCGGCGACGGCGGTCCCTGTCTCCGGCGAATTGAACTCAGCGGGGACGCGGGGAGCGAAAGAGGAGCGGATGGATGAATTGAGGCTTTCCCTCTCACGCTCATCACGCACGCCCGTGGTCGGGTGCAGGGGCGAGCTACCGTTCAGCATATGGGACGGGATGGCCGACGGCTTCGGGCCAAGCGGAGGGGAGCCCCCGGTGCCCATAGTGAGTCAGAGAAAAGAGAGGATGAGGAAGTGGGATGGTGGAACAGAAGATTCCACCCAAAATTCCAAGCGGACACAACAGACCAGTGGCTCGATAGGTTTCGACAAGATGATTCCCAGCTCAATCTGATTCGGTTGACAGTATGAGAAAGAACATGGCCATGACGACAGGCAAAGTTCTACTTTTTTTTTCCCGATGGCATCAGCGAGTTTCCCGCCCGGCAGAATCAGAGCCGTTGATCTGCCAGATGCGGTGCAACACGGACTTGCTTTTCTAGTGTTCCTTTCTTTATTGCATGTCCATGATGTGGTCGGTCTTGTTTCGTTTGGTATTTTGGAATTTAGTAGTACGCTAACTCATATCGTGGCGTCCATGTCGTGGGAGACGGGAGTATATTGTCAGTGCTGACGGAAATATATATCTGGTGGCGAGATATACATCCCCCGCGACAAAGAAATGCGGGATAGTCGCCAGTAATCCTGGAATGGTATTTTAAACTGTTCGTCAGGTTCAACCCCCTACAGCCCGCCGCTGGAATTAAATCAACATAACAAAGACTCCAGAATTACGACTCCAGCTCCTCCGTCGGTACGTCTTCCAGGTCCTTGCCTACAATCGCATCCGCCACCTTCCACACCTGCAACAGGTTGTCCTCGGCAGCCGAGCAGAGAACCCACGGATCGCTGAGGTTCCAGCTGAAGTCGGAAATGCGGTTAGTGTGTCCGCCGTGCATGAAAAGGCTGTAGCAAAGAATTAGTCCGAATTCGACGAGACCATTTGTAGCAAAAAATATAAGGAAACGTACAGCTCTGGCGGTCCGTCCTGTGCATCTTCGGGGGTCTGCTCCTCACCCGCCCGGCTGAGGTCCCAGAACATGATTTTCCGATCGTAGCTGGAGCTGGCCAGTACGGACTCCTCAAATGGATGCCACGAGATGGACTGCACGGAATCGGTGTGACCTTCTAACGAATGCAGCTTCGTCTTCAAGTTGCGCAGATCCCATATCCCAATGGACTTGTCGGCCGAACCGGTGGCCAGAATGGTCTCGGCCGCTGGGTTGAAGGAGATGGAGTTAATCGCGTCGCGGTGCTGACCCTCCGCCGAAGCAGCTGCGCGTGTGGTGTCTGCGGCACGGGTGTCGAGAATTTGGAGGGTAATGTCATCGGAGACGGTTCCTATGAGAGCCGAGTGGAGGGGATGGTGCTGCACATCGTTGACGATGGAGGAGTGGTGCGTGTAGGTGCGGGTTGGGCGAACGGCCTTGTTGCCTTTAGTGTAGGTGGTGAGGTCCCTACGGCGTGGGTCAGTCATGCACATTGGGAGAATTGCAGCTGAGACCTACCAGAGGCGGACAGTCTTATCCTCGCTACCCGTAGCGAGATGACCAGCCTCATGAGGGTTCCAGCTGAGACCGAATCCTTCGCATTCATGGCCCAAAAGCTCCATCTGGGGGTTGACGGTGCCGGTCGGCAAGCTGGGGTGCTTCGAGCGATCCCAGATCATCACCCGCCCATCCGTACACATTGTCGCGATGATGTTGGGATTCTGTAGCTGGTACCGGGCCTTGTTGACCTCACCTTTGTGGTCGATCTTCTGAACAATTTCGAACTTGATTTCCATCTGAGGCTTCTTGGAAGCTCCGCCATAGCCCCCAATCTCACCTTTGTCTTCATCGTAATCATCTGGGTTGGGAACATTGGGATTCGGCAGCTGCACATGGGCAATCTGGAGGTAGTTCGGCGCATCTCCCGTGGTATGCGTGCCCAACAACAGGCGATGAGTTGAGTAAGGCTTGTCTGGCACTCTGCAAGAACATGCGATTAGATGGAACACATGCACGCAAAGCATTGAGAAAGCCTACTCTTGCTTGTCTGGCAGCCACTGGGTGGTGAGCGTTGGCCATTCTAGCGCCGTGCTCAGAATCATGTCATAGAGAAACGGCGCATTTTTCTTCCATGTTTTGTATTCTGTTCAACCCGTCAGCGATCGCATTACCTGGGGGAGGCAATGAGGTGCTGGCATACCTTCGTTGATAATCTTCTCGTTGGTGTGTTCCTGCTCTTTCTCGTGTTCCTCAACACCGGCTGCCAATTCGTTAGCTGGAGTAAAACAACTGTGTAGGGGGCGATTTTACCATTATCATCCTCGTAGGGCTCCATGGTTGCCGTCTGTGTCAAGCTGATTGGGGGAAAGAGAGACAAGGGAGAGGAAGGAAGGAAGAAGAGCTGGACGCGCGAGACCGCGTTAATAGGCACTAGACCGCCTTCGGCGCTTGGCAATGACTCCGGTCTTTCCACCTCTTCTTTTGCTTCCTCCACAATCTATCTACCTACAACCTCCTCACTCTCCCCTTTGCTTTTTTGGCGCTCGTCGCTTTCCTCCTTTCCTTGGGGCTGTCGACTCTAACATTTTCTATCGACGCCTTTTCGTTTCGATCGGTCTTGAGAGTTCTACCTTCCTCAGTCGCAAATATTCTCATTCCTCCCACCTTGACTGTTGCCCAACACCTTTGATCTCGGCAACTCCTTGAGCGCCGTATCTGCTTGTAACGATATCTACTTGGACGAACGTGACCCAAATTTCACCATGGGTGTTCCGAAATTCTTCCGCTGGCTGAGCGAGCGGTATCCCGCCATCTCGATGCTGATCGCAGAGAGCCGGATACCGGAGTTCGACAGCCTATATCTTGATATGAATGGCATTATTCACAACTGTACCCACAAGGACAGCGATTCCCCAACGTTTCGCATGACGGAGGATCAGATGTTTATTGCCATCTTCAACTATATCGAGCATTTGTTTGGAAAGATTAAGCCCCAGAAGCTTTTTTTCATGGCCGTGGATGGTGTGGCGCCACGCGCCAAGATGAACCAACAACGAGCACGCCGATTCCGCACGGCGTTGGACGCGGAAAATGCCAAGGAGAAGGCAATCGCGCAAGGAGTGGAGATGCCAACAGAGGACGCATTCGACAGCAACTGTATTACTCCCGGTACCGAGTTCATGGCGAAACTCACGCAGCAGTTGAAATATTTCATCAACAAGAAAATCTCCGAGGACACAGACTGGCAAGGTGTCGAAATTGTGCTTTCAGGCCATGAGGTCCCGGGAGAGGGAGAACACAAGATCATGGAGTACATCCGGCGCGCAAAAGCGCAGCCCGATTACCATCCGAATGTCCGCCACTGTTTGTACGGCCTGGACGCTGATCTGATCATGCTTGGTCTTCTCAGTCATGACCCCCACTTTTGCCTTCTCCGAGAAGAAGTGACCTTTGGTCGCCAAGTATCGAAGAAACCCAAAGAGCTGGAACATCAGAACTTCTATCTTTTGCACCTGAGCATGGTTCGGGAGTACTTGGAATTGGAGTTTCAAGAACTAGAGAAAGAAGGCGCTCTGGACTTCCCATTTAACATGGAGCGTGTGATCGATGATTTCATTCTCATGGCATTTTTTGTTGGAAACGATTTCCTTCCCAACTTACCGAACCTGCACATCAACGAAGGTGCTCTTGCGCTCATGTTCAAGATATACAAGGAGGTGTTGCCGAAGATGGGCGGATATATCAATGAACATGGTGTGATCAACGTGCAGCGCCTGGGAACACTTGTGGAGGCCTTGAGTGACGTCGAACACCGATTTTTCGAGGCTGAAAATTCCGATGCCCAATGGATCAAGGCCAAGAAGAACGGAAACGATGGCACACTCGAAGCGCAGAAGAACCCTAAGACTCTGACAATTACTCCAGCACAGAAAGAACTTCTGAAGCAAATCAAGAAGTACGTCTTGAACCGACCTGAGAACGGCTCAGAAGCCAAGCCCTTGGACTTCCCGCCCACACTGCCAGCGCGAGACCGCAGTTTCATCGAAAAGCTTGCGGATGAGCTTCGGGTACCTTGGTCAACAACAGAGAATGAGAATGGGGATCGGTCCATGAGGCTCCAGCATCCTCAACCCAAAGACGATGACGATTCCGAAGACGACGACGAAGAAGCATCCATGGCGGTCCAACGTATCATTCGAAAGTATGAGAAAGCCAAGATCTTGGATATGACTTCCGAGGAAGCGCAGCAGGCCGCGGAGAAGAAGTATGAGGCCAAATTCGAACAGTGGAAAGACAACTATTACCGGACCAAGTTTGGATGGGGCCTCGATAACCACGAAGAGATGCAGAAACTGACCGAGAACTACGTGCAAGGCCTGCAGTGGGTCTTGTTCTACTACTACCAAGGCATTGCTTCATGGCCCTGGTTTTTCAAATACCACTACGCCCCAATGATCTCTGGTAAGTCACACGAGAGTGTTATGTTTGTTACTATGAGTACTAACAATAGAGTAGATGTGAAGAAGGGTCTCGGCGCGGACATGAACTTCCAACTAGGACAACCCTTCCGACCTTATGAACAGTTGATGGGCGTCTTGCCGGATCGCAGCAAGACGATTGTGCCCCCCGCGTACCGGGACTTGATGACTTCACCCGAGTCCCCCATCATTGATTTCTACCCTCGTGATTTCGAACTGGACATGAATGGAAAAAAGATGGAGTGGGAAGCGGTCGTCAAAATCCCCTTTATTGACGAACAGCGGCTGCTGGGCGCTCTCAGGACGAGAGATAGTCTACTGACCCCGGACGAGAAGGCCAGAAACGACTTTGGAGCTAGCCTCAAGTTCACCTTTTCACCGGATGTGAACTATATCTATCCTTCTTCTATGCCTGGTGTGTTCCCGGACCTTCCGAACTGCCATTGCATTGAAAACGTCTTCGACCTACCCACTATGGATGGACTGGAACCGTACTCTGGGTTGATGGACGGCGTGCATTTGGGCGAGGCCGCGCTGGCCGGCTTCCCCAGTCTTAAGACCTTGCCCCACTTCGGCCAATTGGCTTTCCACGGTGTCTGTGTCTTCCAACAGGAGAGTCGCAACGAAAGTCAGGTCATCACTCTCATCGACCCCGCAAGCCGGTCAAGCGTTGAGTTGGCCAAGACAAAGCTTGGGAAACGAGTCCATGTAGGATATCCATTCCTACAAGAAGCTCTGGTGATTCGGGTCTCGGATGAGCTTTTTGACTACATCCTTCCCCCTGGGGAAGAACACCCGGTTTCCATCCCCCACACCCCTCAACAGATCGAACAGTTCAAGAAGAAGGCCGATAAGATCGAAGGCACTTACAGCAGGCGTCTCGGCATGATCATTGGAGATGTCGAGGCCATGGTGCATATTCAGCTGCTCAAGGGCATGATCAAGACCGAAGAGGGTGCCACCATCAAGGAATTCGCTGATATCCCTGGACAAGAAACCGACTATGCTCTTCAGGTGGTGGTTGATGAAGTGGTAAATCCGGACGTGCGGTTTATCGAGCGAGAGGCTTTGCCTATCGAGGAAGAATTCCCCGAGGGCTCTCGTGCCTTTTTCTTGGGAGACTTCAACTACGGCAGACCAGTGCACGTCACCGGCTATGATGATGGCAAGATCAATGGGTTGATTGCGGCTGTGAAAGGCCGCGAGCCCGACTTTGCCAAGGAGCGTGTGAACCAGGCTGAGAACTATTTCCCATACATGCCCTCATATGCTGTTGCACGCAGCCTCCGTCTGAATGCCCTGGTTCTTGCAAAGATTACTTCCTCTTTCACTGTGGAGATCGAAGGCCAGCGCGTGAACTTGGGCCTCAACCTCAAGTTCGAGGCGCGGAAGCAGAAAGTCCTGGGATACTCCCGTCGTGGAGATTCCGGTTGGGAGTTCAGCCAGAAAGCCGTGGAACTGATTCAACAATACATGATCAAGTTCCCCGAGTTTATCGCTGGAATCCAGCGCAACCCTCAAGGCGACAAGTTCCGCCCAACCGATTTCTACCCAGAGGAAGTGGCCATGGTGAAGATTAAGGAAATCCGCGACTGGCTCAAGTCCATTGAGTCGAAGAACTTTGAGCGCGTGCCACTGGACGCTGAACAGCTCGATTCTGATGTGGTCATGTTGATCGAGCAGGACGCTGACCGCCTCGTTCAATCGCAGCCGCAGATGCAGCCGAAGAAGGTTCGTGGCGTCCCTCGCAGCGCTCTTCTCCGACCTGCCGATGTCGAGCACCGCCTGGGCAACCAGACCTTCAAGCTCGGTGATCGGGTGGTGTATGCTCAGGATTCCGGCAAGGTGCCCATCGCTACGCGTGGTACTGTGGTTGGCTTGACGAGAACCCCGCGAACGCTCTTGCTCGATGTTGTCTTCGACGTCTCTTTCATGAGCGGCACAACGTTGGGAGATCGTTGCTCCCCATTCCGCGGACAGACTGTTCTGGCATCGTCTGTTCTGAACATCTCCTACCGACAACTCCTTGCTACTTCTCGTGCTGCAACTAGCCAGCAGGCCCGCACACAAGCCACTCCTTTGACAGTCGCGGGATACGGCACACCTCTGGGACCGAACGGACAAGGTCAGCTGAGAGACGCATCGGCACCTCCTCCGCTACGAGGTTCTTTCCGAGGCGCTGTATCGGGACAGACCAATGGGTCCGGCCGTGGAGGTCGCGGTGGCATCAATGGCACCCTGCCCTTCCGTGACGGCCCCCCGCGTGGTCCTCGCGGCCGTGGTGGTGCCAACGGGCATCGTGGCCGTGGCGGCTATGTTACTGTCGAGAACACTGACCCGACTGAGGGCATCGTCCAGAACAACCCCAACTTCCGCCCGCAGAACTACACTCAGGTCCCGCCGCCACAGGGCATGGAGCAACGACGCGGACGGGGCCGTGGCCGTGGGAATGGATATCGCGGGAGAGGACGTGGCCGTGGTGGAGCTGTGCAGACAACTGAGTGATTGATGTTGTGAATGTGGTGGTCTGCTTTGGGAGTGTCTTTTTTTTGGTCATTGTATGTGTACAGAACTTGACTATCTACCCGGCTATACCTAGAGGCTACGCTCCGTATTGATTCGAGATGAAATGTACAATGAAATATTGCAGTCAACTTTTTGCTCTTACAAAGCGTCTAACTGCCAAGGTTCAGTCTAGATACTCAGCCCTAAGCAGACGTCCAAGATGATAAACCGAAGATGCCACCCAACTCAACCAAGCAAAAAGCCATCCAAAAGACCAAAATATGTTCAACCAGTCACAGTCCAATAGAGCGTTTCCTGAAAAGGACGTTGGTACTCGTGTTGGGAATGATATGCTCCCCAACAAGAATATTGGGAGGCCTCTTCCCAGTCTGAAGATCTTCAAACTTGAAATCATATTCCGAGATGATGCGACTCATAATTGCCTTGATGGTATTCACGGCAAAGAACCTCCCCGGACACGCCTGACGCCCGAATCCGAAGTGCATGCTTGCTGGGCTGATAGTGACGAAGCTGGCCGAGGCGGAGGAAGAGCCGGTGGAGGTAAACCCATTGAGCACTTGTAATTGTTTCTCACTTGGATCAGACATGAGGGCATATCGATCATCTGGATCCTGGCACCAGCGGAGCCCGTCGAAGATATCCGGGTTGGAGAGGTAAGTTGCGTCCTTGCTCATGGGTCCAGCAGCGAAGCAGATGTGTGTTCCTCGGGGGAGGACGAGGCCGTCTGAGAGGGTGAGGGGTTCTTTAACGATGCGGTGGAAGGATACTAGAAGCAGCCAGGAAGAGGTTAATAATCGGCTTCGAAAAAATCAAAAGGGTGGGTGAGTGCCATACATTCGCCAGGTGGATTGAACCGCTGCGACTCGCGCAGGAAACTGTCCATACGGCGTTGAGCCACGAACGACGCCAGGGTAGCATTCTCCCACCCATCCTTCAGCGTACGAGTGATCTCGTCCCTTAAAGGCGCTCGATACTCCGGCATGAGAACCAGATCATACAGAGCGTGACACATAGCCATGCTACTGGTATGCACCACAGCCAGACTCATAAGAATGAAAAGGTGGTGCGCCAACAGATCGGGATCCCTATCCCCCTCTTCCTCAGCCATCTCCATCATCCATTGCAAGAAGTCATTCGGTTTCACGTAGGCAGGGTCATTAGCCTGCTCGGCAGCTCTGCGCTCGAGGATCATTGGCACGAACAGGTCGTTTTTCACGAAACGTAGCTGCTCTTTCATCTCTCGCACGCAGGGGAGGAAAGGCGCTATTAGGGACCGGAGCCAGGGTGGGAATGGGCGCAGGAGGAATACTGTGATCCCGACATTGACGGAGTATCTGCTTGCGCTATCTAGCCATTTTTCGTTGCGTCGGAGAGTCTCGCCGCCAACTACGCGCGAGGTTGCGCACGCGATTAGTTGGACGAACATCTCGTGCGCTTGGATGGGGACCCAGTCATCTGAGTATGGGGTTAAAGGGGGGTCAATGTCTGCTCTGGCGTAAATTTCCCTATTGTGTTCATTTACGCACCTTCGCATTGGGGGAGTACAGTGTCAAAGGCATAGCGCAGCTCATCGAGGACCCAGGGAGTGATTCGTCCTGACCAATTTGTGAAAATGTCTTCGTTGAAGATTGTGATGTGGAGCGCACCTATGCTTGGAGTCAACTTCTTTCGAACCGTCGCTGACGGCAGGGCACTATTGATTAGGATATTGGTAAAATCTCCTAGCGCATTCTATAGAAACATAGAGACAGGGAGATATAGCTAGTCAGCTGCTGAAAACCAACCATAGACGGAAGACCTTTTACCTCATATTGTGCATCCAGAGAGCTGATGATCGAAGCAGGCAGCTTCCTCAGCTCCTCCGTGTATTTCACAGGCAGAACGACTACTTCGCCATCTGCTGTTAGCATGCGAAAAGGACAATCCTTGTACTGATTGTAACCTCGATAGATCAGTGACGCAGCCTTGGGGTAGTAGATGAGCCGGTTAACGAAGTCGGGCAGATAGCGGTTGAATTTGAGGATGGGAATGTGCTCGAGCGAGGAATCGGACTGCGCTCGCCGCAGTAGATAGACTACAAGCAGCAGCGCCACTGCCAGAGGCCGGATAGCAGCCATATCTATTTCGAAATGCATCGGTGGCAGTGGCCTGAGGCAGAGGTATGATTTATTGGTGTGATAGAGGTGTCGGAACCGTGGGAGGATGCTGTCGTTGTGGGAGTGAGACCTAGGGAAGGAGAAAGACAAAGAAAGCCCTAGCGTGTACCCATGTACCTATTTCTCCCCGGGATGGAGAGAAAAAGACAGAAGCCGGATTAATTGCAACAAGACTCCTGGGACCTCTATTCTTGAAAAAGAAACTGTACAAACAAACGCCAGGAACAGATGCAGTTAGAGTTACAAGAGAGCAAACATAAAGCCATCATTCAAGACCAACCCACTCCCCCTCTCCATCCACATCACATTCCGCATCATCCATCTGATCGTCAGCGCCATTGTCTTCAAGCGATTGAACGGCGATTAAAGCACTAGTCGGATTCTTGGCAGCGAGAACGGGCTGAGAAAGCAGGTAGTTGAGGTCGTAGAGGTTCTTTTCCGTCAACCGCTTGAGATTCTCCCGAATGTCATCGATGACACGCTGGACAGCGCGCAGTTCCGGTGCAAAGGTTCCGGAGTTGTCTTTGAAATACCGGCCATGGCTGCTGAAGAGCGATTCTATCCAAAGTAGATTAAACTCGAGATGAGGGGTCTCTTCTGCTGCGTGTGCGACGAAACGGAGAAGACGAGGTAGGTAGACGGTGGGCACAGACCGGACCACGTGCGGGATATCCGATGGAGAGATCCCCTCATATACGGCACGGATAAGCGTGGATTCGTTCAACCGGAATGCCATAATCAGCGCCTTCAGGAACGTGTTGTCATCGTCCACGGTGTTGGAATCGGATGCCGCCTTCGCGGCATCTAATGTGGCAAGGATGGTCGATGGGGTGATAGTAATGTCGAGATCGAAGGGGTCGAAGAGGAAATCGGTGTCCACTCCGTAAACCAATAGGCCCTCTGTGGAAGCAGCACAGAATGACCTTCCAGTGGGTGCAAAGTCGACCGATGTCACGCGTACTTCCGGACGGGTAGTACGTGCACCGGCATCGCCACGCTTTGCGCCAGGAAGAGTACGGTCAACCCGATCTTCCCGATCAGATGCTTCGCCAGTATCATCAATGAGGGCGCGTGGGCCAGCCTCGGTCAAGTCCCGGCTGTTCAGGAACTCCTGCGTGCCATCGATCGACGTGTTAACCGAAACGGTGAACTTCTTGATTAGAGACCCCGTTCCGACATCGTACAAACAGATAAACTTGCTGTTCCCACCGGCCAGAATACAGCTGCCATCCGCACTGTATCTGATCCGATTGAAGGATTTGGTCCCTGCCGCACTGGCGGCAGTCCGACGGTCCGAGACTTTGCGTCCTCCAGAGACGTCACGACGGCCGTCAATATTACCTTGCTGCACCGCATCCGTGATAGACCAGAACGAGAGTTGTCCATCAAGCGTTGACGCGGCAACTTGCTGTCCATCAGGGCGGAAAGCCACGCTGAGGACATCGGACATCAGGTGAAGAGGCTCACTCGTCTGTGTCCGACCGAAGATGCTCCAAATTCGCACCGTATGATCCCAACTGCCACTGACAAGATGGTTTCCATCTGCGGCGAATGCAAGACTTGAGACAGGGCCCTCGTGGCCAGAAAGCTGGTCGAGCAGCTGCCCGGTCTGCACTGACCACACGTGGATGTCAAAAGAATCAGGCGAGCCGGCACAGATCACCTCGCCGCTGGGGTCCACTGCTAGGGAGGAGAATGAAAGCCGGGACGGTGCCGTAAATGTTCGGAAATTGCGGTAGCGGATCAAATCCCAAGCCCGAATTGAACCATCCAGAGATGCTGTAAAGAGAACACTTCCCTTCTTGGCAAACTCGCAGGCGGTAACACCGCTCGAATGCTCCGTGAAGGTCACAATGCAGAAGCCCGACTTAACATCCCAGACCTTGATCTTGCCATCATCGGCAGCAGTCACGATCTTCTGGCCGTCGGGGGAATAGACCAGGGCATTCATCGAATCGAGGTGACCTTGCTGCTTCAGGATGTAGGATTCAGACTGCCACTCCCAAACCAGCAGCTGGCCGTGCTTTGAAGAGCCGAATGCCAGCCACTCACCAGACTGGTTGACAGTCACAACGTCAATGTTGCTTTGAGAGACGCTGAGCATGTGGCGTTAGTATAAAGAAAAATTCGAGTCTATGGGTCAAACTTACCTCAGCTGATGAATCATATTGAACTCTGGCAGATCATACAACCCGAACAAGCCATTGGAGAAGCCAACAACTAGCAAGTTAGACGGGGCGTGGAAGGCGGCGCAGTTGACCTTGGCATCATTCTGCATGAAGAAATCCTTTTTGACAATTCTCCACCGAGCCTCGGCGATATCATCCATTGTGTCTGGATCTTTCTTGGAGACATACTCCCAGCGAAATAGTGCGCCATCTTCACTGACCGTGTAAATCTATGGGGTTTGTTAGAGCTGGCTCTGACCATGGACATCTCTCTCTTACCAATTCCTGATTACCAGAGAAATATGCAGCCACCACACCCTGTCTATGTCCAGCCAACGTCGTTGGCTCAAACCCTTCCTCGGGATCCAAACTCCACACGCGCGCCGTCAGGTCCTTGGAGGAAGTGAGAAGAAACCGCGAATCGCTCGACCACTCAATACTCCGGAGGGTGTCAAAGTGCGCGGCAAGGTCCCGGTGTAGCACGAATGGTGCGAATTCAATCTCGCCATTGGTCTCGGTCCCTGGGGTGGAAGGTGTCTGCCAGATCTGCAGGCGTCTGCCCACACCCACCGCAAAATGGCGCCCCGAGGGGGAGAATTTGAGAGCCGACACTCGTCCCTTGAAGGAGAAATGGTGGATTGCGATCCGGCGCTGGAAATTGGTCAGGATCGCTCGGCCATTTTCATCCACGGTCAGCAGGAGATTGCCTCTGGGCGAAAGATCGAGGCGGTCGATGCTAGTGCGGTGGGCAAATGGCAGAGTATAGGAGGTGTTACTGAGCGGGAAATGTCAGCAAGCCCATCACATTATCCCCTGGAGCGTACATACTGGACCAGGTCAAAGACCGAGACTCGATTGCCTACTGGCGAGAGCAAGCAGGTGCCATCTGGGGTGAAGAGAAGATTTCCTTTGCGGTACACGGTCCCCAAGAGATTGGAGAACTGGGCCGTCAGTATTTTATCTGTTATTCCCGCACTCACACCCACACCCACTCACCTTGAAGTCTGTCTTCATGGTTGCCGTGCAATATCCTCTTTCTTGCTTCACCAAAAAATTATGGTCGCGCCGGCACATGATAAGACCACCGGATCATCCATGCTCCGATCCCGGGACCGAACAGGGATAGCGGCCACGCTAGGCCCAGATAGGCAAGGACTAAGCTATACTCCAGAAAACGAAAGGAGATTCAGGGGGAAGGCGCGATGGGCCACACCTCGAGCTTCACTTTCTTCTGCTTCCTTTTTTCTCGCTTTCCCTTCCCCCTTTCCTTCCCCATCACCGAGGAATCTCCCGCTTCTTATCTTCTTTGGATTTTCTTCCGCTGAGGACGTTCCTTTGTCTTTCTCCTGACCGGTGAATTTGCCGCACACCCCCCCCTATCGCCCACCATGTCGACAACGGAGACCGCCACGCCCATTGGCATTGCCAATGTAAGTGACATCACACACAATCACAACTCCAAAAACAATAGATGGCTAATCGGAATTTCTTCCTCTCTACTAGCTCCCCAACCAGCGGTGTGTACATCCAAGCGTTCCGAAGAGTGGGCATGTGCGAAGATTCTAATCGGTCATCGGTATAGGCACAAGATTGTCGCGAAACGGGGTGCGGCCTTTACCATCATGGTGTGTCTAGACAAATCGGTCGGTCGGTCCCACGGCTAATGAAATTCTTCAACAGGTCGCGGGAGAATCGGGACTAGGAAAGACAACGTTCATCAACACCCTGTTCTCCACCACCATCAAGAACTACGCCGACCACAAGCGCCGTCACCAGAAGCAGGTTGACCGAACTGTCGAGATTGAGATCACCAAGGCTGAGTTGGAGGAGAAGTTTTTCAAAGGTTTGGGATCCGCACTTTCGACCGATGTGGATGTTTTTCTGACCGACTGGTTCCTCTCCAGTCCGCCTGACCGTCATCGATACCCCCGGCTTTGGCGACTATGTCAACAACCGTGACTCCTGGCAGCCCATAATCGAGTTCCTGGATGACCAGCATGAGTCGTATATGCTCCAGGAGCAGCAGCCCCGCCGCACCGACAAGATTGACATGCGTGTCCACGCCTGTCTGTACTTCATCCGCCCGACCGGTCACACCCTGAAGCCGCTGGATATCGAGGTGATGAAACGCCTGAGCTCCCGCGTCAACCTGATCCCCGTTGTTGCCAAGGCCGATACCCTGAGCCACGCCGACCTGGCTCGCTACAAGGAGAGAGTGAGTGGAAAACTGGGTGGGCTGTACGCAATTGATAGCTGACGAGCGACCAGATCCGTGCCGTGATTGAGGCCCAGGGCATCAAAATCTACTCCCCGCCCGTCGAGGAGGATGATGAGCACGCCGCTACCCACGCCAAGGCCCTGATGGCCGCCATGCCTTTCGCCGTGATCGGTTCGGAGAAGGATGTCAAGGCCAACGACGGCCGTGTGGTTAAGGGTCGCCAATACGCCTGGGGTGTGGCCGAGGTGGAGAATGAGGACCACTGCGACTTCAAGAAGCTCCGCTCGATCCTCATCCGCACCCACATGCTGGACCTCATCCACACGACGGAGGAATCGCATTACGAGGCCTACCGTGCGCAGCAGATGGAGACGCGCAAGTTTGGCGAGGCCCGACCCCGCAAGCTGGACAATCCCAAGTTCAAGGAGGAAGAGGAGAGTCTGCGCAAGCGTTTCACCGAGCAGGTCAAGGTCGAAGAGCAGCGCTTCCGCCAGTGGGAGCAGAAGCTCATCTCCGAGCGAGACCGCCTCAACAAAGACCTCGAGGCCACTCACGCTGCGTATGTATCCCCCGTTCTTCTGCCCAAATCCTTATTGACCGTCATCCAGGATCAAATCGCTCGAGCAAGAGATCGAGGGCTTGCAGGGCTCGAACACCCGCAGCCATGGCCGCCGTTAGGGACGTGGAGGAGAACCTTCAAAAGGGTAGCAGTAGTAGAAGCGTGTTTGTTTTCGTTCTTGAGTACCCCAATGTCTTACCGTTTGTGGGAGGGCGCACCTTCGCCTCGAGGGGCTTCGTTCTGTTTGTTATATCCATTTACCGCTGGTAGCTAGCGATGGTGTCTCTACAACCTTGATAATTACCCTCCACATCAAGCATGCCGTATTAATATGTCGTTGTTGGTCATACCTACGCACCGGATTCTAGATCTGTTAGTCGTTGGGGTCCTGCTATTCCGGTCCTCTGAGGCGAGTAGAGAAAGGGAACAGACAGTAGTGGCATTCGACAAGCAAAAATAAGCTTAGGGGAACGGAAGTTGCTGAAGACAAGGATGATTTCTTCCCGGCTATGTAATAGAATTGACTCAGAAACTAGTCTTGCAGTGTACCTGAGCATCTTCACAATGGCAATCCAACATGGCCTTAACAACAAGTAAACTGAGGTCCAATAGTTGGGACTCTACTCCAGGAGTACATAGTGAAAGCGAGGAAAGACAGACCTCTCCGTCAGACTGCGCAGGTTGTGAGCATGGTCTTATGGTCTCAAATTGCGTATATGAAGTTACAAACAAAAGTACGATTGGAAATCATTCGTTACTGGATATTGGATAGAATTTTAAATAATTTCAGCCGAAAAGACAAAAACATGGGACGGGTAAAAAAAAATTAACGACACCGGTGTGATTCGAACACACGCCTCCGAAGAGAAGTGATTTCTAGTCACTCGCCTTAGACCGCTCGGCCACAGTGCCAACGTTGTGAATTCGTGTCTTAAAGGACACTATCAGAAAGTAGGGGCGAATGGCGAGAGAGTAGGCGGGCTAATCCGAAAACACTACAGTACTAGAGGTATTTTGCAACTCGATGGCTCAACAACCAATGGTTAATACAAGAATTTATAAGTCATAGCACTATTTAGATGATAAAAAGCATATTTATGGGGGTTAAAAAAATTATAATCTTTGGTCAGATATAATAATATAGTTCCTTACGGGTCTGTATTTTTTGGTAATCCAATAAAGTAAGATTTCATATTAGATTTATGGTCATCATGTTATTATTTTGCTTATCCAAAACACTATTCTAAGAACTCGCTTATGAAAAAAGCGAGTAAAAACAATATCGACACCGGTGTGATTCGAACACACGCCTCCGAAGAGAAGTGATTTCTAGTCACTCGCCTTAGACCGCTCGGCCACAGTGCCTTCTGATTGATTGAGATGGCCATCTTTTGATAGTGATGGATAGGAAAAAATATATAATTTACCAGCCATTTTTTACCAGGCTTTCGTAGATCGTAAATTATATAATTAGCACTAAGTAGGTAATTGGAAATCGTGGAGAGCTTCATAAGTTAACGAAAGATTCCGACAGATTAACAAGAAGCTATATCAATGCTTAGATATATATGTAACTTCGAGGGGCGACTACATTATATTTCAGTCGCTTTACACCACTCGGCCAGACTCGACTGTACGTCGTGGGCCAGTGACTTCGTTCCGCCCAAGCTCCCACTTTGTCTTTCCTGCAACTGTGCAGCCATGGCGGCCCAATTCTCAGCCGCGCCCCTGCATACACTCAAAACACACAGTGGTAGGTCCTAGATTTGTTTGCTCTTGGGACATTCCCAGCTAACGTCGGACTTTCGTCCAGGCCCCATCAACGCCGTGACCTTCTCCAGCTACCCGGGCACCTACATCCTGACCGGCTCCTCCGATCGCGCCATCCACCTCTCGCGCGCCGTTCCCAACAATGCAAACAAGCCTGCACCAGTTGCAGAGACTTCCTCTCCCATCCAGCGCTATGAGGCGCACGGCTATTCGGTGCTGGACATCGCAGTCGCATCCGACAACGCGCGCTTCGCGAGCGTAGGCGGCGACCGCCAGGTCTTCCTGTGGGATGTCGAACAAGGCATCACGACTAGGCGGTGGGGCGGACACAACAGTCGCGTCGAGGCCGTTCAATTCGCGGGCGAGGGTGACTCCGTGGTTATCTCTGGTACGTTCCAATACGCGTGGCGGGTTGGCATTCTACGACATTCGACTAACCCGGTGTTGTTGGCGTAGGAAGTGCTGACACGACAATAAATCTATGGGATACTCGCTCCAACGCCTATAAACCAATCCAGACCCTCCCCGAAGCGAGCGACACTGTTTCCACCCTGCATGTGCACACACCCACATACTCGATTGCCAGCGGCAGCTACGACGGCCACGTGCGAGTCTACGATGTCCGCATGGGAAAAACTACAGTCGATGTTTTGGGCCACCCCGTGACGAGCGTGCGGTGCTCAGCGGATGGCAATGCGTTACTTATCTCCACATTGGACGGCTACATCCGCATGCTGGACCGCATGGACGGAAAACTGCTCAAAGCGTTTGGAGGACCAGGAGAGAAAGAAGTTCCACAACCGCTCGCTGGGCTTAGAACACCGCGACAAGCTTACCGGAACACGGAACTGCGGATTCGATCTGTTTTTGGTCGCGGGGACGCCGTGGTCTTGAGTGGAAGCGAGGCTGCACAAGGCGACGGTGTCGGCACTGGAGCCGCAGCTTTTGCTTGGGATGTCCTGAGTGGGCAAACGATTGCGACCGTGCCCATGGGACCCAAAGTCAAGGCTGTGAGTTGTGTTGCATGGACCGAGAAAGGGGGCTGCTGGGCGAGTGGGTGTTCTGATGGTATGACCTTCTATGTCCCTTATTCCGCTGCTAAACGACGCAATGCTAACTTGGGATCCAGGGACTGTCCGGGTTTTTGGTTAGCCAACATGGCATCTCCGCACTGAAACGTGCAGCCACCGGAGGCATCATTGTTCCCCACCTCTCCACCCCGTGCTGCCCTTGTCTTCTCACCGTTCGCACGAATTATATTGCAATTGAGCGATATAGTGGAATTGCCAACGAAACGAGGCTCGGAGAAATTTGTAAATCGGAGGTTGCTGGTATAAAACCGGGATTCTTCCCGAGCCCAACAACATCTCCATTCTCCCATCCGCCATCTCCTCTGAGCGCATTCGACAACAAGATGAAGATCTCATCTGCCGTGGCCCTGACTGCGACGGTGGCATTGAGCGCTGCTACTAATGTCACTATTGTGCGTCCTAACGAGCCTTTTGTTCCCAACAACAAGCTCCCCAAATCCCACGCCGAGTCCGATGGAGGCGCAATCGTTGACCTCTTTACAACTCTCGGCCGGCCGGTCAATTGGAAGCTCATTTCCAAAACCCGCCTTGAAGGCGATACGGGTGAGCCGGAGGGCATGGCCCGCATCGGAGACGACCGGTTCTTCATTTCAGCCGGACAATGGACCGTCCCGACCAAGACATACCCTCATCCGATCAACGGCACGGATCGCAGCCCTGGCGCTGGCTTTGCACACATGCTTGTCTATGATGGTCAGGGCCGACTCATTGCCAACGCGACCCTGACTCCACCCGGCGATATCCAATATCACGGTGGCGGGATCGACTACGATGGCCGCTACATCTGGATCACGCTGGCGCAGTATCGACCAAACAGCACGGCCACCATTGTCAAGATCGACCCACTTACGCTGGACCAAACGCCTCTCTTCCGCACCCACGACCACAACGGCGGCATTGTTCACGATACCATCACCGATGAACTCGTGACACTGAACTGGGGCGGACGCAATGCCACCACCTGGTCTATCAAGGATTACCCGCACGGTTTTACTCCTCTGCCCGGCTTTACGCCACCGCAGTCATCCGTGCCAGATCGGTCATTCTATGTCGACTACCAAGACTGCAAATTCCTGGGTCATCACATACTGCCTGCTGACATTGGCACTGCTGCTCGCATGAATTCCAGGAGACCTATCATGCTCTGCGGTGGTGTGGCTACCATCCAGTATGCTTCGTCTTCATTCAACCTCGGTGGACTCGCCCTCGTCGATATACAGACTATGCTTCCACTCTGGGAAGTACCCATCGAGCTACTAAGCGACCTAGGGACTCCCATGACCGAGAACCCGATCGACGCCGCTGTTGTGGATGGAAAGTTGAGGATCTACGCTGTTCCGGACCAGCATAATTCGACTTTGTATGTGTACGAGGCGAATTAAGCTAAGTGACATTAACAATGTGGTGTGACAAGATCGATGAATGGTATATATCGCATTAGCATAGTGTAATTCAGAGAAAGAAGCACCGGGTTACATGCAACAATTCATATATCATCAATCGAGTTATCCAGCGCGATGATGGGGAATAATATAACGACACCGTAGACGTACTCCTACAAATTGAAACTGGAAAGCAAAAAACAAACAAACTTTTGCAGACGCCTATACGCCCTCAACCTCCGTATCAGCAGGATTCTCCAGTTGCATCGGCGCATCTTCCAAACCAGTTTCAGATCCCTTCTCCGCCTCAAGGGCATCGATCGCCCGACGAAGTTCATCCTCCCCAACAATGATCGTTCCCGCGCGCGCCGTGCTCAGAAAGCTGATCTCCACTGCATCCGCTGCGGCATCGATGTCTGGCTTGAGATGGTGGTGTATCGTTGGTGGTAAGGGAGTGAGGGTATGTTTCTTGCCGGACGTACCCAACCGGGTTCCGATCGTGTCGAAGAGTGCAGGCACAGAGCCCAGAACACTGCTCCCGTGGCTTCCAACGATATTGACGTTGCCGCTATCATTACTGCTATGGCTATTATCGTTGCCATTGGTTTCGTGCCCTCCTCCGAGAGTATGGGTCGCCTGAGCGAGACGACCCGCCACACCGCAGACGATACCCGTCGCCTCGAGAGGAAGGTCTCTGAGATCGAGCATGATGGGAATAAGGTAGTCCTCTTTCGAGCCTAGGAGAAGACCAGATCCGTCCTCGTAGTCCTTGTGGGAACTGGAGAGTCTCGCAAAGCGAGGCAGAAGACGCTTTTCAAGGAGGAGTGACGCGGCTGGGTCCAGAGATGGGAGGGTGAGAGAGAGGAAGCGCGGCTCATCGACGAGAAGAACGGTTGTTAGGGCATCGCGGAGGATGGACATTGAGCTTTCTTCCTCGCGGTTGTACTGGTGATGCGCTGCGCATTGCACGAGACGGAGTGAGTCGTCGACGTAGGGCGAGATTTGGCGCTTGCGCAGGCTGTCGAATGTGCGGGTTTGGAGCTCCGCTAATGTAGATGGTGGCGGTGTTGCCAGGGGAGTGGCGTTGCTCAGTCGTCTTTCTGGGTGTAATGAGGGTGAGCCAAGTGGGCTGGTGACGAATGTGTCCGTTGCATTGTCAAATTGGAAGCCGCGGCTTTCGAGGGCAGACATCACGCTTGTCTTGCTGTGGAGGGGGACGATTATATAGTCTGAGAAATAGGTGGAGATGAAGAAGATGGAGCTGTAGGAAACGTCAGTGTTAACTTCTGTGATGTGGAAGTATACCTAGTATCGTTCTCACGTACATTCCAGCCATGGCGAGCGGGCTAGTCAGCTCCAAGACACGCTTGCCTGCCTCCAGGCCCTGTCCAAGGACCTGCATGGCGATATAATCGTTCTCACTGACCTCTACACGAGATCGCAGCGAGGCGTTGACCAGATCCAGTTGGTTCATTAGAGGCGTGAAGTACTTGTCGACAAGTCGCCGTGGGCAGATCACAGAGACCTCCACGGGTGTAATGGAGATATTCAGGAACGCAGGCTGATCGTTCGATTTCCTGCCAAATTCAGGTTCTATATCATCGAGGACCACATCTTCGTCCTCGGGTCCCTCTTCTTCTAGTGGAGGGATCTCATCGAAGAGCAGTCTTAGTACTGCCTTCAGGAAGTACGGGTACAGGTCCAATGGGATATGCACCAATACAAGGTTCTCATCCTGATAACTGTTAGAGAGTTGCAAGACCAGGGGGTTGCAATGAACTCACAAGGAAATTAACCTGGGCATCGATCAGGGTCATGGATGAATCCATCTTCGCTGGCATTGTTGGATCTTCAATCGGGTGGAGGCGCTTAGACAAAGCTGGTCGAGACGAGGAATTGACGATACAGGAGGTGAATTCGTCTCACTCAGTTTGAGTGAGAAAAGTCGTGCTATTCCTTGCTTTCTGGCGCAATGAAGTTCACGGGTGGCATGGTGTTCGATTCGGTACACTGCAGCTACCCGACTATGACGCCATTGTCCACGGCGATGATAGGGCCAGATGGGATGATGTCGTTGCGCAATGGCACGGCACCTTGAGGTTATAAGAATGCTGCCTAAGCAGGAGAGACGCAATCCGAGCAAGACGCACCGTTATGGCGTCAGTTCGTGATGGATGGGCAATGCCGGTGCGGATGAGTCAAGTGTGAGAAGTGTGGTCGAGAGGCGAAAATATTCACTCGACAACGTGACCGACCATTTTGGTCTTTTCTCTTCCTCTTTTTTCTTCCCAGCTAATTATCATTTAGTTACCCAATCTCTTCATGCAACGGTGCTTTATCTTAGGGCCCACTTGCCTCACCTTCGTGCTTATCGTCTTCGCCTAGGATCGGCCCCGCGCTAGGCGCCGCTCTCGATGGGGCACGGACAGGGCTGGATATGGTGTCTGGGAACAGACCAACAGCCTTAGAGAGGGCACGATATACATCATTCGTGCTTCGCTTGCCAGATGCTGCATGTCATAATGATGAATCTTCGGGTCTTCCTTTCCCCAGATTTCTTGATTAAGGGGAAGATCGACCATGCATCCGACAGCGCATCACAACGTGCCTTATCTCTCCCCCGCCACTAGTTACGTGCAGGAACGATGATCTGTACTACTCATCCGCAGACTTGCCTTGTGCGGAAGGATTACGCCTGAGGTACTACGACGGCTACTAAAGTCCCCGCTCTCAGCTGACAGGTCCGTGGATTCCGACTAGTCATTCATGTCACTAGTCATTCATGTCTTAGTGGACAGGACTCTCTCTTGGTGCCTGTGAGATAAAAAGCAGAGACGACAGGCAGCCAGTCGGGAGCGGCAGGTTTATCTTGCCTTCGGTAGCTGACTGAAGGCGTTGACTCCCCCGTCTTCCCCCCTTGTTGAGCACCAAGACAGAATCGTCCAAGCAAAGACAACAGCACATGGAATTATGATGCCGCTGCACATGAATGGCACTTCCTCTAAACTGGGTACTGAGCATTTGGATAGTGCTGGGTCAACAGTCATAAGTACGATTTGCCGTTTGCGGGTGAGGGAAAAAACTTGGTAAAGCAGCTCTTCGATCACAACTTCCGCAAACAGTAGGACCCATGGCCTCTCACAGCCATCTTAATTTTTGAGACCAACCGCTTTTGTTGATGATTTCTTTGATCTGCCCGCCCGGTATGCGGCCCCTTGCGTCGAACAACAGGCAGAAGACTCGCCTTTTGCTCTTTTTGGCATTCCTCGGCCATTTGGAGCATTCCTCACGCCGAATACGACTGTTTGGTTATTTTTCTCCATTTACTGCTATGATCTTCTAATGATGGCACTCGATGCGTTCAGGACCCAGTAGCATGCTTCGACAGCCCCTAGTGCAGATCATCACAAGGTCTATTGTTTTGATTTTCCTGTTATAAGTAGTAAAGCTCGTCTCACTTCGATATTCTGTTTGCAATCAACAACACAGCGACCGACCTGCGCTGATTACAGTCGACAACCTATTTTCGTTCTTTTTAATTGTTGTTTAACGTCGATTCATCGATCTCTATATACACTCGTTCGAGGATCTCCCTATCCTCATTAAACAGCTGTCGATTGTCATTCGTTCGTCGTTAAATGACCAGCTTCAATGTCTAGATTCTCGCTAGTTCTGCTGGCGGCATGGGCCGCCAAACTGGGGTTGGCCAAGGATGTCCATCTGCAGTGGGATGTCACTTGGGTCAACGCTGCCCCCGATGGATTCGAGCGTCCGGTGATTGGGATCAATGGCCAATGGCCCTGTCCCCAGGTGGAGGTGGTTCTCGGTGACCGTCTGATTGTTGATGTGTACAACGGCCTTGGAAACCAGTCGACTGGTATTCACTGGCACGGCTTTCATCAGTACATGAGCGGTGCCATGGATGGGAGTAGTGAGGTGACTCAGTGCCCCATTGCCCCGGGCCGGAGTATGCGCTATGACTTTTTGGTATGTAGTGGTTTTGTATCTTTCTTCTGTTGGAAAAGAGGCTAACAGTAGCCGGTTGTAGGTTGAACAAACTGGAACCTACTGGTATCATTCGCACAATATGGGCCAGTATCCAGATGGATTCCGTGGCGCCTTCATTGTTCACGACCCTGCGCCGCCGTTCCACTATGACGATGAGTTTACCCTCACTCTCAGTGACTGGTACCATGAACAGATGCCGAACCTCCTCGACCAGTACCAGTCGCAAGCCGGTGGGGTTCTCGGGTTTGAACCCCTCCCGGACTCTGCCCTGATCAATGACAACTCTGGAACACAGATCAAGGTCCAGCCAAACAAGACGTACCTGGTCCACATCATCTGTATATCAAATTGGCCTGGTCATGCGTGGGTCTTCGATGACCATGAAATGACGGTTGTTGAAGTGGACGGTGTTTATACGGAGCCCTACGCTGTTGGAGACAAGATGCTACGTGTTGCCCCTGGCCAGCGCATGAGTGTTCTGATCCACACCAAGAGTGATGCTAGCGAGAACTTTGCCATCTGGGACACCATGGACGTCAACATGATGTTCGTCTACGAGGACAGGCCCATTCCACCTGGCTATAACCCCAACGCTACCGCTTGGCTTGTCTATGATGAGACTAAGCCCCTCCCTCCACCTCCGAGCTTCAATGATCTGGACTTCGTTGACGATGTTGGCCTGACCCCTCTTGACCACGAACCGCTTCTGGGACCCGTGGATCACCAAATCGTTTTGGAGACTTCCGCCGAGGCGATCGATGGTGTGCCTCGGTTTACTATTAATAACTCGACCTACCTGTCCCAGAAGGTGCCATCACTGTACACGGCCATGACAGTTGGCCCGGAATTTTCATCTGACCCCGCTGTCTATGGCGACGTCAACCCTTACGTGGTGAAGTACGGCGAGGTCGTTGAAATCATTATCAACAATCATCACAACAATTTGCACCCGTGGCACTTGCACGGTCACCAGTTCCAGGTTCTGCAGAGATCGGCTGTCGATGGAGGCTACTTCAGCGGTTACTACCCCAACGTGTCTGCAACTCCGATCCGGCGTGACACCATCATGGTGCAGAACCACGGCCATGTTGTCATTCGTTTCCGTGCAGACAACCCTGGTGTGTGGTTGCTGCACTGCCATATTGAGTGGCACGTCATGGGCGGCTTCATGGCGACCATCATCGAGGCTCCGGAGACCTTCCCCCAGTCTGAGAGGCCAATTCCTACCGACCACTTGAACGATTGCGCTGCTTATCCTGCCCCGGCTTTTGGAAATGCCGCAGGCAAAGCCGGCCTTGATCTGAGCGGTGCTAACACTATAGTGCCCGTTGGAGGGGGCTCAGGTGCCATGTACCCTCCCGAGGGGGAGAGCATCGCTCCTGTTACAGCCTCTGCTCCAATTGCTCCGGTTGCTCCAGCTGGCCCAGCTGGTCCAGTTGCTCCTCAACCTGAGTAAGCATTTTCCCCAGCGGCGTTTCTAATACAATGCTAACTTTATGACAGAGTATTCGCCGCTTGTCCCGTCCATCTTCGGCCACCACCACCTCATGATGAGCCTATTATCATTCATTCGGAGGAATCGAAGTAAGCTTCATCGATTCAAGTCTAGTTTTCTGTTCTAACCGGTTTAATTAGGGAATTGCCCTCCCACAATGAGAACAACGCCTATGTTCAAGCTGGCCATGACAAGATTAAGACTCATGACTCAGGGAATGAGAACGACGCCAATGTTCAGGTTGGCCATGACAAAATCAAGACTCATGACGCAGGGAATGAGAACGACGCCTATGTTCAGGTTGGCAATGACAAGATCAAGACTCATGACTCAGGGTAAGGACAAGTCTCCACACCCCAGTAAAAGCGACCATGCTAACATGCTCATGCAGATATAATGATCTTCCTGAAGGTGATGAGTACTGGGAGGAGTACGAGCAATTGTAGACTCCTTCATTCTGACTTTTTTGAAGCACGTCATCCTTGCAGGAGTGTTTTCCGCAAGGCTTGTACATACATCGTTTTCTTATTCCCAGTCGTTATTAGGCACGGGATAATCATAATTCATAATGGGTTGTCTTCATCCACTTCATTTGGGTTCTTGTTAATCCAGTTATTAATAAATTGAGCCTTGAAGTCATTCTGATCCTTTTCAATCCAGTATTAATTTGAGCCTTCATTCAAGTCATTCTGTCTACTTCTAGCTAGTCAGATTCACACATACACCCCTCTCTCCAACACAACATATAACCCTGACCTTGACAAGAAGCTCAGCGACATGCTCAATCCAGCCCCTTGAAAACCTCCTCAAAGCGCAACTCATTCCACCGAACATCTGGCTTCAAGCCTGCAAACTTCCACACCCCATCCACCTTGCGATAATAATGCTCATTCGTTGCGTGGGAATGACCGCGCAGCTTGACGGTCTCCAGGTCGATATCGGTGTAGACCTGATGCGCCGCACGCAGCTGGTGGTGGCCAATGACTTCAGTGTCGGAGATCTTCTCCCACCACGTCTGGCCCAGCAGATGCTGGGTCTTGATGGTACGATCGCCCAGGAAGCCTGGGTGCGTCACCATCGCCATGTAATCGTCGGCTGACATGTTGTCCCAGCGTTTGAGGCCGATTTTGGTGTAGTCGACCTATTGAGAAAGGTGCGTTAGTGTGGGATGCGATATTCATTGGTGTAGTAGACATACGGTCAGGGTTGGGGCAATGATGCTGCGGAGACGGTCCCAGTCCTGTCTCGTCTGGTTAGCGACGGCTTCTCTTCAATTTTGTAGGGACAATACTTTTGCATCATAGCTGTCAGCCCAATCGAATACCAGCTTGGATAAGACAAGGTAGTCTGTTCCTCGGTTAGTTTGAGATCGCTCAGAGGGGTTATATATATTTCGGACCTGGGAAGCTGATGTCCAGATTGGGTTCGGTGCTGTTCTTGACTGCAGGAGACATAGTGACTGATGTTTATGAATTGGTTAAAAGAAAACAGGTACAATTGTATGGCAGCAATATGATATGGTAGCTGGCTAGGTGTATTTACAGAGAGGAACCGGCCACGGAGAAGACTCTTCCAAGATCTTTGGCCATTCTGGACAACTCTTTTCAGGCACCGGATAAGTGAATGCAACCAAATACATTGGCTGGAAATGTTGGGCCCATGGGGTGGTAGGTGGCGTGGTGGATAACTTCCGCATGCGGTCATGAGTGAGGCGGATATGCTTTCAGGCACTGTTCGCGGGCTGTTCCACAGTGGAACTCCCAGAAAAGCAAAGTAATATTCTGGGCCTCCAATAAATACTCGTTTAAGGGTAAAGCGGCTTCCACAAGCGGCAGGACTTGTCCCTACGGAGCCGACTAGTGTTCTGGGCCGAGGAAATAGAGGTAGGTCTATATAGCTGATTTCAGCCAGATTATATTTACAGATCTTTTTTAATCAGAAAAACCCCCATATTAGGTTCCTCTCGTCCTAAAAAACGTCCCATTTCCTTCACTCGTTTCCGTTCAACCAAAAAACCTCGATCAAAATGGTCGTTACCAACCCCAATGCCGCCCAGCCCGAGCTTGCAGGAAAAGTCGCACTCGTGACTGGCGGCGGCCGTGGCATCGGGGCCGGAATCGCATTGGAGCTGGCAAAGAAAGGTGCCTCTGTTGCAGTCAACTATTCCAGCAGCCCAGGGTCCGCCGAGAACGTCGTTCAAGATATCGAGGCGCTGGGAATGGGTGCTCGTGGCGCCGCCTTCCAAGCAGACCTGACAAAGCTGGAGGCGATTGAGAACCTGTTCCGACAGGTCGTCGCACACTTCGGACGACTGGACATTGTTGTTTCGAACTCGGGAACTGAGAAGTTCAAGCCGCTAAACGAGACATCACTGGAAGATTTCAACGAAGTGTTTGATCTCAACACCCGCGCCCAGTTCTTCGTCGCCAAGAACGCCTACGACTACATCCAGCCTGGCGGAAGTGTGGTGCTAATGTCCTCCATCGCCGCAGGAATTGGTGTTCCGGGCCATGCCCTGTATGCTGGCAGCAAGAGTGCTGTCGAGGGTTTCACGCGCTGTTTTGCGGCGGATTTCGGCAAGAAGGGCTGCACCGTCAATGCGATTGCTCCCGCCGGCATCAAGAGTGATATGTGGCTCAGCAACTCGTGGCGTTATGCGCCGGGCTGCGATCAGAACTCATCTCTTGAGGAGATTGAGCAGGCCCTCGCCCATGGCAGCCCGCTCAAGCGCTGCGGTGTGCCAGCGGATATCGGCCGCGTTGTGGCATTTTTGTCTAGCCCCGCTGGGGAATGGATCAACGGTGAGTGGAATGTTGACTTTCTTCCTTCGATCCCTTGACTGAGACTCAGCTAATTTTGTTTAGGTCAAATTTTGCCGCTGAATGGTGGTGCCAACATTTGAGGGAGTTGTTGTGTTTGGATCCTGTTGTATCCAGAGCGACCGGGATAGGACGTTAGATAGTCCGGCATGTACAAGGCTTGACCGGAGTAAATTGCGATATTGCATAATTGTTTTATAATTATTTCGATATTTACTCTCAAAATTTGCATGCGATTAATCGAGTTTTAAGTAGACCGATCATACTGTGTTCGTTCAGGTAGGTTCGTACTTCGGGCGCCTGTTCCTGAATTAGGGCTTGACGATCACGGGACAGCGATTTGGATAAGTCTGCCACGACATTTTGAATCTTAAAAGACAGACGCAGTACTTCGTCTTTGTGGACTAGAAGAACACCTGAATGTGAGAATTCCCATAATTCCTTGGTCAGACGGACCTCTTGTAATCATCATGGCAGCCGGATTTGGAAGTTGAAGCCAGTGCCACCGACTTGAAAACCGTTAATACCAATCAATATCTTCTTGTCAGTCTTGAAGCGGAAAAGAAAGCACTAGACCGAAGCCAAAATTTAGCCTCCCCATAGAAATCTCTGTGGAAAATTGAAAAGCTACCGTTTTCGTTCACCACACCACCCGAAAGGGACGGGGTTTGTCAGATGGCCCGGCAGACTCCCGTTTCCAGCGAGCCAGAAGAAGTAGACATTTGGAACCGTATGTCTACTGGTAATGGGAATTCCGCTTATAATACCTCTTGACTCTGATCATCGACAGCGCAACTGGTAAACACGTATACTTTCGCCTCACACCAAAACCATCACTCTCACCATGGCGCCGTGGATCCTCGGAGACAAATTCAACACAGTCTACCCTCATAAGGGGTCTATCAAGGCCCTCTGGGAGACTAAGTGGAAATTCTGCGTATGTGCATTCGGACTTTACCTGTCCTGCTAAGAAGACTCGCCCAGAGATGAAACTAACCTTAACTTGAGCCATTAGTGCCAGAAATCCGTGTATCCGTTCCACGATGGCATGTACGAGGACTTCGAGCCCATCTTTCAGAGGCTGATTGCGGTCCGTTGGAATATGCTTTGGTCCATTCAACACAATCCTAACAGTATATAGGAGAACATCAACGATGCCTTCACGGACGCCTACACCAACGCGTTCCTGCCCACCGTCACGGCACTGGAGAACGAAGCCGCGGAAGCCATGAGCGCCGGCAAAAAGGACCGGGCATCAGACCTGTACCGTCGTGCAGCGGTGGTTCTCCGAATCTCGCGCTTCCCCTACGTCAGCCCGTCGACCAAGCCCGAGACATCTATCAAGCGCGCTGCCTTTGAGCGCCAGAAGCACCTGTACCTCAAAGCAGCTTCGATGTGGAGTCCTCCAATTAAGGAAGTGGTGATTCCGCACGCACGCCGTGCGGGCAAAGACGGTGCCCAGATCCCGCTGTACGTGCGGCTGCCGGAGGAAGCCAGCGCACAGAACAAAGTGCCCGTCGTGCTGCTGATGACGGGGCTGGATGGCTACCGTCCTGACAACAGCCAGCGCACGCACGAGATCATTGGTCGCGGCTGGGCGACTGTTATCTGTGAGATTCCAGGCACCGCGGACTCGCCTGCTGATCCCGCGGACCCGGAGTCGCCTGATCGTCTTTGGTCCAGCGTTCTGGAGTACATGGCTCAGCGGCCGGAGTTCGATATGACCCGTGTCGCGGCTTGGGGTCTGAGTGCTGGTGGCTTCTATGCTATTCGTGCTGCTTGTACGCACCGTGATCGTCTGGCTGGATCTGTTGCTCACGGTCCGGGTTCTCATTACTTCCTGGATGGTGAGTGGTTGAGCCGCGTCAATGACCATGAGTACCCTTTTACGTGAGTATCTGTCACCAGAAATCGGATAAATTCATTGGATATACTCACACATGGACAGACTCACTCCCTGTCTTGCGGAGAAATTCGGCTACACCGATGTAGCCGACTTCGAGAAGAACGCGCAGAAGAAATTCTCTCTCGTCGAGACCGGTGTTGTCGACCAGCCCAACTGCCGACTTCTGATGCTCAACGTATGTCTATCATCTTCACCATTTGTGAATTGTATGCTGACAGGCTTAGGGTGTGAACGACGGCGTTGTACCCATCGAGGACTCCATGGTCCTCTTCAGCCACGGCGGTCCCAAAGAAGGACGGTAAGGAAATTTTTATTTTAACAGCGTGAGCATACTGGCCTGACTGACCACTTGACAGATTCTTCAACGGTCTCGTGCACATGGGATACCCGGATAGTCTGCCAGTTGCCTACAAATGGCTGGAGGATGTGCTTTCTCCTAACGCTCCGGCAGCAAAGAACTAATCGTATGGGATGGATTCAGAGTATCGGTGTTAGGTTATCAGTTTGAATTGATAGTTAGTGTTTAATGGATAGGTACTTGTTAACAATCCACTCCGTAGACTTTCGTCTTATTTAAGAGGAACCTCAGTGGCACAATTTGACATGAAAGTGGTGTACATAGCCAAAACGCCCGCAATGCATTCAGAATAGCTTTTTCCCAGCCGATAAAGAAGGGAATGCTGTAGTTCATATCGACACACAAACAGTCAACCTTAATCATCTTCTTCAACTCTCGCCCGCTTCGAGCCCCGGTCATCCCGTTCAGCTTCCTGAATCCCATAGCGTTTCTGACCAGCGCCTGAAGTCACATCGGCAATCATGCTGTCGATACCGAATGGATCGGCAGTGTCCTTCTCGAATTGAACAGGACCCTGGCGTTCCTCTGCATCAGCAGCACCCTTGAAACCTTCCTTGGCCCGTCCCAGAACCTCGAATCGGTTAGTCTTCTGGAGCTTGCTCATTTCACCTTCGCCACCTTCGTCGTCGTCGGCGTCAACTTGCGCTCGGGGACGGTAGATGCTGTTGATGGCGTCCTGCGCGGCGAACAGCGGCTTATCGTAAGGGTTGTCTTCGTTGAAACCGGCATGCATACCGCTAGTTTGGTTGAATAGACGGGAATCCCACATGGACTCGGAGCTCTGTGTTGGTTTGGCCAGACCCAGCGCGACCTTCTCGGAGATATCACGATTTTGCTCACGCGCCATTGTCTGAATGCGACGTTCAGCACCCATGCGGGACTGGCGAAGCTGTCGCTGAGCCTCCTGGCGCCGCTCACGGCGCTGCTCCTCGCGTTCCCGTGCTGCCTCGTCACCACTTGGGGAACCTGACCTAGAGGAGTATGGGGACGGACTGCGGCTGACACTTCGAGAAGTTGATCTTGCCCGTGAAGCGCGCTGCTGGCTGGGACCGGCGCGCTCCTCGCGTGCCTTCTGTGCCAGCTGTCGAAGATGCTCCTCCTTCTGTGCTTTCTCCTTCTCTGCCAGCTTCTGTTGCATCTGAGCTCGGAGCGACACTTCCTCGCGAGCGTGCCGGTCCGCTGTGAATAGGGCCTCTGCGAACTGGGCGAACTTGTCGTTGATTGTATTTTCCTGCAGTCCACGACCATCCGCGGCCAGACGTTTGTCCAGGGGGACCGTATAACCCTTCGGGTTCTTCCAATTCGAGACGGGGGCGGGATTTTCCAGGCTTCTTGGTCCTCCGCGGTCAGCTTACGGGGCGGCGAGTGCATGACCGGAGGGGGAGGGGACGGCGGGCCACGAGGGATCTTCTTGTGCTTGAACTTGGGCGGCTCCATCGGATCCTGCTGTCTCTCGACGATTTTCATGATGCGATCATTCTTGTTCGTGTTGTCACCCATCTGATTCGCCGGGGTGTATCGCACAAAAGTCGGTTCTGCTCTCTTTCCGCCCTTGACGTTCTTCGGCTTCTGCGCGGACACAGCTCCCTCGACCAAGTTTGCCAACGCGCTCTTGGTCTTCTCCATCTGCTCCTGAATCTCCTCCTCCGAAGGCCGATCCAGAGAAACCTCACCCATATCTACCCGCTGCCGGAGCGGGATCAGATCCTTGAACGAAGCATGAACAATGTGGTTGTCCCCGTGTCCGCGCCGCGCGATCGCATCGTACTTGACTTTTCCCTCCGCATCAACCTGCACGGCTAGTGCATTCGAAGTAGATGACGTTCCCTTGCGGCCCATGTCAAGGGGATATTGCGCAACGAGAATTTCCGGAAAGGCACCGCCATCGCCAAAATCTTCGGGCGCCCGAGGTCGCCATCCTGCACGGTTTCCGTAGGGGGAGGACCGGTTCTCTGCGAGGGATTAGATGAGTGATCAGTCCTTTCGTTTCTTCAGTCTCGCGATACAAAACTCACCCGCAGGACAACTTGTGTTTCGTCGAGCTGGTCGGCGCCCACCACACGCGGGCCCCGGGGTTGCGCGTGCGCCGGTAGCTCTTCTTCCTCGCCGGTGTATTTGGGCTTCGGGAGGGATTTGAATAGCCCCGATGCAAGTGAGCTCATTGTGGACCTCGGTAGCAGACAAGCGCTGTCCAGTTGTGGGTTGGAAAATGAGCAGGAGAAGAAAGTTGTTCGAGGCCGGGCAGTGGCAGCTGCACTTCTGGCGTGGGTCGCCGACCGTACTGGACCGTGCGCCAGTTTGTACCGGTCGTGGATTCTGACCACTACTAGCGGAGGTGTAGATTATAACGATGCATCCTCTCTATCACTCTTGTCAGGACTTATATGCATATATATATTCTACAATAATGGTACACATAGGTGAACGATGTGTGGTAAAAGCGCATCGAAGATCCAACGAGACGCAAATTATGGCCACAGACAGATGCAAAGCCTAGAGGTGGCTATATGGTTGATCGCGAGATCTCGGCGAGACAGAAACTAGATGCGGGCGCATAGGACAGGCAACACTGTCCTTATCACCGGCATCCACAAAGTGATCTTGTCCTTGATAACTATACCAGATCTTCAACCGTTTCGGCAACAACGGGGCTGGATCATAGAACCCGAGCAGTTTGAACTATGAATCAAATTAGTATCTAAACCAAGATCTCCCATTTTCGACTTACCTTGATGGTATCTTGGGAAATGTTCAGCTGGCCTCGTTCTACCAGTCCAGCCACCGGCACAGTCACGTCGATGACCCTAGGCTCGGCAAATCCGTTCTTGGGTTTCTTATTTGTCGGAGGAACATAACCGTACTCGGCTTTGGTGATAACCAACCCATCTTGCGCCTGCTCCCGAGCCTGCCTTTTCTGCACTTGATCGAGAATGAGCTCGATGGCCTGCCGACTCTCCTCTCGCCTCTTGGGAATGAGCTTCTTCAGCTCATTGTGCCGGCGAGCTGCTGCCTGCCGACGCCTCTTCCTATCGCGCGGGCGAATATAGCCAAATTCGATGGCACAGTATGCCAGCCAGGGGAAGATGGTAGCTAGCACTGCGGCGTCCTGGCTTGCTTCTTGTACGGGACATATGGTGATGGGGAGTGTGATGCGTTGGCCAAGTCGTCTCCAGGACACGTTCATCACGATACCCTGTTCCGCAATGCCGATTCCAAGTCCCATTCGGGTAAACTTGCCGACCCGTCGTACGCCCATAACATTCCATGCAAGAGAAAGGCCAAAGTCGACGGCGCCGGAGACTTCCAGTCGCACCGCACGGGGCTGATCTGTGTTTGGGATGGGATAGTAGCCCTCCGAGCTCCACTCCGCTCTGACAGGATCGTCGGCCGGTTTGCCAGAAAACAAGTTTCGCGAATAGGTCAGAGACAGAGCACCGCCTCCGGGAGAGGCCTGAATCACAGCCTGCCAGGATTCTGCAGCACGGTCTAGCTCATCCTGCTTTTTCGAAAGTTCACGCAACTCCTCGTCCTGTTCTTCCTCGTCGTCTGCGGCGCTTGCTGTCTGCCTGTCAGGCTTTGAAAAGGACATTAGTCCAATTTGCAAGCTGTCTGATTCACTAGCGCCTCTGATTATGGAGTCGAAGCTCAGATTGATAAAAGGGAGGCGCATAATGGCCTCTGGCCAGGTTAACATGCCACTAGACCAGGTGCAGAAGGCAATCTTCGTTTCAGCAACCTGTTTAGTAGCATGCACCTGAAGCGAAGGTGGCGTTTCCAATAAAGACCGAGTGAATGTACTCGTCACATTAACATTGAAGGGATTGATGCCAGGTATTGGCTGAAAGGCTCTCTGCACACTGGTTTGAAAGGTTGGCACAGGGAGTAGGAGCGCAGTCGCCGTAACAGTAGAGCCATTTAGGACGGAGAAGGGGCGTCTACCCCATAGTCTTGTGGTGCTTGTCAAGGACTGGCTGGCGGAGGCACCAATTACAAGGTCTTTGGCCACAAGGGCCAGTGGTAGTGGAACCTAGAGAACGGTCAATGTCTATTAAACCTGGCGAGAGCATTGATACTTACTATCCGCTCTTCCTCAGAGTCATCTTCATGAGTGAGTGTAAATTTTTGTGTAGGACATTTAAGCACGCCCGCAATGCCGGTCTGTATTGTCACATCTAGGGGCTCGGGCTCTTCTGTCTCTTTGCCTCCACCAGCCGAAGCTTCATCTTCAAGCTGTTCTTCTGGGTGACTCCAGAATTTGGATATGGAGATTGGTGCCTTGAAGTTGTAGTTCAGGGCATAGGAAGAGAGCCGGGGCGAAGGTAGATGAAATGTCACATCATTGTCCTCTGCATTCACACTTATTGTGTTCGATGCATTTATCCCCAAGGTAATGTGGCTCTAGCGGTTCAAACACAGGTCAGCACTGCACCAATGATGCCACGACAAGACACATACCCGACTCAAAACCATACTATCCACAGCCTTCCTTTCCCGCGCCTTCATCGTCTTCAAGAACCAGCTCCGAAACTGATCTGCCGACATAGTCTTGACTCCGACTTGCTGGTGTTGCGCCTCTCCTCCAATCCCCATGGCACCACCACGGGCCCATTCCTGTCGCACACCCTCTGCACCCAGGAGATCATAGACTTCGCGCTTCTTGGGGTCGATGAGCGTCGTGTAGGCATCTTGGATCTGGGTGAAGTGGTGCTCGGCGGCTTCGCGTAGGTGCGGAGGTTGTTTGTCCGGGTGGAAACTGAGCGTGAGGTTCCGGTAGGCTGAGCGAATGTCGGTGTCGGTCGGGCGAGGCGTTCGCGATAGGCCTAGCAAGGCGTAGTAGTCGACCTCCTCGGGATACTCCGCGACCAAGCTATAATCAGCCTCGAGCCCATCGTCCTCTGAGGCCCCAAACTCCTCGGGCCTGGGGATAAAAGGAGACGACATGGAGTCACGCTGGGCTAGCTTGACATGGTGGTTAGTTGTGGGGATAATCACCGGTCGGTGTGATGACTTCCGCCCGGAGCTGGAGAAACTTGCCTTTGTTTTGTGGGGCCCGATCGGCGTGGTCTATACAGCAGAGAGTGTGTGTTACCTGTAGTTTAGGTATAATGATGGCTCTAGCTATAGTGAAATAGATGGGTTAGGTTGAAATGGCACTAAATCACATAACTGAAACACACTGCACAATTCCCGTCGAGTGCCTGTCCTTCCTCGCCTAACTTCGCCCTCATTCTCTGCAGAGCCTCCCGGACCACAACTCAACTCCGTCTCAGCACCATCTCCTAATCACCCGTCCTCCTAACCATGGCTGATCTGTGGAAAGGAACCAAACCGCCAGTCTACCGGATTGACCTGTCTCTGCCTCCCGCTGAACGATATGTCGCGGTTGCACGTCTCTACGGCGAGAAGATGCGATCTCTGACCGGCATGTTCGACGAGTTGATTGAAGGGGTCTCTCCCCGGATACCAGTGAACGTAGTCCATTGCCTGGCCCGTCTCTTTCTACGCCGGTTATACACAGCCGAGGAGACAGCCGAGATCCAAGGCATCAGCCTCGAGACGGGGATTGATCTCTACCTCCTGATCTGCCTCAATGTCGTGCTCGATCTGCTCATGGGCTGCACTAGTGGAGGTGTACGATGCAAAAAGGCCACCAGTCAGACGCATATGCTGCACTTCCGCACCCTAGACTGGGGGATGGATCCTCTGAGAGAACTGATCGTGCAGTTTGAGTTCATCAAAGGTGATGAGCCACAGAAAGTGCTTGCAACCAGCATTACGTATGTGGGCTTCGTGGGTGTCTTGACGGGCGTGAAACAGGATCTCAGCGTCTCTCTCAACTTTCGACCGGTGCATGATCCAAGTCGCAATTGGTCTTTCTATCTCAACCACCTGTTCGTCCTGCTGGGACTCCGCCAATCTATCTCGTCCCTTCTTCGACAATGCATTATGCCTGCCTCGTCCCAGGAACCTTCTCTCATGTCTGCAATTCGTCTTTGGTGCTTTGGGCGCTCTCCATCTCATGGACTGAAAGACCCCACTCTTAAGGATATTATCGCTCAAGTCCCCAGCCTCCCAACAACAGCAGCCTACCTGATATTCTGCGACGGTACGATGACAGTGATCATGGAGAAGGACCACCGCGATGCTTTTGTGCGCACATCTGAATCATTCATCGTCACGACCAATCACGACCAACAGCCCGGCTCTAAGCCAGCGGAGGCCATCGCAGAAGATAAAAGGCAACACGCCGGCCTAAGTCTGATTTCCGCTGACATCCAATCTATGGCCGATCTCATTGAAGAGAGTAGCGAACGACTCGGCTGTATGCAGGATAAGTGGGATGCCAAAGTCCAAAGAGAAAAATCCAGGCATTCCTGGCAAGCTGAGCTGGAAGAGACCGACCACTCAAATTTTAACCGTTCATCTCTGCGATTGAGGAAGAAGAAAGAAGAAGAGGCGGCCAAGAAGAAGAAGCAGCAGGAAACCTCCGAGGATCTGGGTGTGTTTATTACAACGTCCGAGGCGTTGGAATGGCTGAATACATACCCTATCGTGAACGAATGCACCCATTATGCGGCCCTTATGACGCCTTCAGAGGGACGAGTTTCCTGGGCGAGGTGGTACTCGCCTGAGATGTTGACTGATATTTAGATGGTTGGATCATACGCGTTTTATTCATGTACATACTGGGGAATGAAATACAGAACAGCTGAAATAAATTTGCTAATATTGACCAAATATCTGGTGTCTCAAATTCTGTACTCTTCTATGCATTTCTGTCTTGTTGATGCTCGGCCTAATCCCAGCGTCCGAAGATCCTCCGCGGAATAACTAGAGCACTGCCCTACCTCGGTGATGTACAAGACGCCCGTCCATCTACTGCAGAGTCTCTGGAAAACAAGCTACCTTTCTCACTAGCTCGTTTCCTTCCATTGGAGAATGGCTTCCTGACAGCAAGAGCAAGGGCGCTTCTGGTTACCTGTTAATTGCTTAGCGTCCAGAAAATTGGATGGGCGGAACGACTACCCTACACTTCACCTTTTTAGGGGAACATCCCATTCGAGGCCTCAAGTCAAGTTCAAAGTGATAAGAAACCTTTTTCTTGGGCTGCTATAGATATACATATACAAACAGAGCACTCAACAGGTCCGGAAAAGACAAGGGCAAGAACACGCAGAAAATAATATACAACGGAGGTGAGATGAAGTCAACCACCCACATTAAGCCCATCTGTTGTGCAAATGCTCTTTAGAACAATCAAGCAAGACCACCTTCATCATCGACATCATTGAAAAACAGTAAAGAATTGAATGGAGTTGAGAGGGGAAAAGTCCAAGAGCAACCTTACTCCAACGCTTGTACGAGTAAATGCAAAAGATGCATAACTGAAAATCGTGTGAAAAGCAGGACTGCAATTGAAGAGAACGGTTGGAACCCCTCTGTATATTAATTTAAGAGAGACATTGCCCCCTTGAATTCTGAAAAGGTCTCTCGAGCAAGGAGGAATATGAATCTCACTGGTCCTTGATCCAAATAATGCTGCCAGGAGGAAAAGAGATATCATCAACCCGCATGGCATTTAAAAGATATTCTCGAGGCATGGCTCCCAAAAAGAGGTCTTCACTGTGCGAGCCAGGAAATTGCGAAGGAAGTGTGCCAGCGTGAACCTTGGCCTCGAGCGACGGCCCGTCCAGAGCAAAGCCAAGCGTTTCTTCCATACGAACTCGGTCATTCAAGCAATCAGCCATCGCCGCTGTACGTCTCTGCAAAGATGACACCAGCAGCAAAGAGCTGTCCCAGTACCTGCTCAGCTTTTTGAGTGCACCGAGGGCACCTCGAATCAAGGACACACAGTCTGAGAGCTCGGACGTCAAACCCGCAGCACTGAGAACATCCACGGCCATGAGAATGATGTACCCCAGAAAGGGATTTAGGAAGGTCACACTTGGAGACATAGGATCTGCATTGGAGCGAGAGGACTCGATTTCGTCGGCATATTGATCAAAGGCGAGGGCGATTTTCAAAATTTCCACAGCATGGAATCGAGCACGGCGAATGTACTGGTCTAGAACTTCGGCTCGGAGGCTCTGATACCGAGCATGTCGGTACAACTTCATCAAAGTGCCATGATAAAGCATGTGGATCGAGATGAATGTATCTGCCTGCTTTGTCCGGATGCTTTGCTCAAGGTTGATGACGGAAAATACCAGATGCTCGGGCAGTCGAACAATCCAATCGCTTGTCTGTCGGTAGATGGACTCGTGGAATTCTTCCGCCAACCGGCCATACGCTTCGGATGGAATATGGGGTAGTCGGAAGACATGGAGTGAAACATCACCCCAGTAAGCCAGTATCTCGATCAGGATTGCCATAGCGCTCAGCACAGACCGATTGTCTTCTGTTTCGGAAGGGGTTTGATTCAGGATAGTTTGGAAGTAAGGTGCTGTAGCGTATTGCTGCGTTTCATAGACATCCTCTTGGCAGGGCAGTCGCAGGAGAGCCGATTCTGAAGACATCAAGGTGGAAGACGCTGAATAGAGACTCGAAAAGCGCTTTTGAATTTATTAGATTTCCCACAATTCTGTTTCTGTGTTGAGGGGTACGTATACTCACATCCAACATGAATGTTGCCCAAAATGTCCGACGACGGCATTCGATCAATGCTTGCGGATGCAGGCCATACTCACAAGCGTGGCTTTGGTCTAAAACAACGCCACCAGACTCCACATTATATCGAAGCCCATATACCGCTCGCCCTGCCGCCCCGATGGAGTCCCAGCACCCAACCAAGGACCCGGTGGCATAGTACCAGAGACTCATAATGAGATGACTCTGGGCAAGTTGCAAAGAAAGGCTGTATTGATTTCGACTAATGGCAAAACGTGCGATGCGGGAATATCGTCTAAACGAGACCACGTTGTCAGGATGCTCCGAGAATACAGAGCCCAGGGCCATCATCGAATAGAGCAGCATCTTGTCCTCAGTAGACTTGGTGTGACAGGACCTTAGCCATAACATGAATCGGGTATGAGGAAACATGTGGTACAACCCATTGTTGATATGAGAGAAGTAGCAGTCCACCAAACGCGTAGTGATCTCTGGGTCGGCATCATATGGATCTAAGTTCCACGATTTCACAAGTGGATCATCGGGGTCAGCATCCTTGAGCTCACGAAGAACATCGGAATATTCAGGTAAACGATCCGGTTCGGCGGATTCTGGTTGGCGTGTAGATGTATCCCCAGAGATGGATGAGGATGGCGGGATTCTGTGCATTCGAGACCGATACGCTCGGTCTGCCTCGGCCATAGTCTCGTAGGTGGTTTCTCCCATACTGGGCCCTTCGGATATTGGCGAATGTCCACTGGTTCCCGCAAGGGAGGTAGAGCTGTTGGACCCCCGAACAATATTGTACATGGATGGAGAAACATCCGAACCGGTATGACCAACAGGAGAGAACCCTTCTTTGCTGGCTGGTCCTGATTGGGATCCTTTTAACGAGCCTCGCCCCCCACGCGGACTGTAATAATGTCAGCGGTAATGTTAGTGGTTTGAGCTAGAGGCAAATCCACGATTCATCCTCCCAATGAAATACTTACGCACTCTCAAATCTGCATTCTCGTCCAGATTTTTGACACTGATCGCATTTTGGAAGGTTTGGCTGGCACTTGATTTTCTTCTCACGACAGGTCAAGCATGCCTGTGCCAGTCGTTTTCTGGGTCTTCCTGCTTTGGTGACCCCCCAGTTTGCATTCACCGGAATTCCGTCGACAGCCTTAGGGCAATGGGATCCATCTGCATATACATAGCAAATTCCTTCTCCTTCGATATACCGCTCATCAACGACATGGGGTCGCACGGAACGTCTATGTGGTCGGTTCGTTGTCTCTGGCGATGACATGTCACTCGCTGCCTTTTCGTGAAATATCGTTCCTTGTACTGGCAACTGTGAATGCTGAAATGACGGGACAGAAGAATCGCTCCGGGTTACTGCGTGATGCTTAATCTCTCCGGGACTTTGCATGGTGACTCGTGCCAATCGTGGGAGACTGCCGATATGCGACTGAGACAGAGGTTCTGAGAGGCCCTCAGACGGAGATACGTGGGATGACAGGCTTGATTCATGTTGCCGAAACGTGTATGTGTGATCTCGACGCTCAAGTGCAGGTGCGGGTACTCCAAATGGTTGTGAATAATATGGCTGAGGCGAGCTGGAGCCAGTCGTCGGGGTTAACAGCTGTCTGACGGAAGGAAGTTGCTCAGTCTGACGGCGCTGCGATCCAGTATCTGCCAGAGGAAGACTAGCTGCCGGTTCGGAGCTCTCAGGTGCTTGGCGCTGTCGCATGTACTGGTCCGATCCAAACTGTAGGTTCCGTGGAGGGGGAAGCTGGTATGGGTTATTCCCATGGGCTGCTAAATTAGCTGAACGCTCCGGTTGTTGCTCCGAGGGTGCTTCGTCTGCGGTGGGTAACATACGACCGAAGGGTCCGACATGATAGTTTGACATGGCCGGCTCTCTGAGCGTAGATTGGGCAATGGAAAACCGATTTCCACTTAATGTGACCAGTTGCATAACAGTACAAAACAGTCACCTGGCGATTCTCTGCTTGTTTCCAAAGCTCTTCGCGTTCTTAAGCGGTTCCAAAACGCCGTGGGGACGCCGCTTCTTCAATTGATCTGATCTTTCTTCAATGGCCTCTGATCCCAGATAGTTTAGCGAGCAGGACCTAAGGAAGGACAAATGAAGATTTAGCAAAGGATCCAATGCCACCACGTCTTTGGGTATGTATGCGCTGAGACATACCAATTTAGCACGCTCTTGTCTCTAAGGATGCAGCGTAGATTAATCTCAGCGTCCAATTGAATCAACTGAAGGCGAAAAATTCCATGCAGTGAAGCCGGATGTCTTGTTCAGGTCCCCTTCGAGTATTTGAATAGAATATTACTGTCGCACTGCGACAAGCAAAGCCCACACTCGTCGTCTGCACCCGATAGCTCGAAAGTTTGCCCCAAAAGCACGATCCAGGGGTTGCGCCGTATCTTGTTGAGCAGAAACGAAGATGGAAATTAAAAGACCAAAGGGAAATTAGAAGACCAGCATCCTCTCGCAAACGGCCCTAATAGTCACGGTCCTTGCTGCATACTATCCATACCAGGGTGGCTGCAGGATCCCAGTGATTTGCATAAGCATGGACCGATGGCTTCACATTAAATTGGGACCAGCGCTTGCAATCATCAAACAGCCCCAGAAAGCGCAGACGGACTCTGCGCCGGCGTACTTAAGGATATGCTCGTGCTGAAAAACCACACCGGCGGCGATGAAGACAAGGCGTACGAGTGAGCGGCAAAAATAAAAAACCAACGAGAAGCTGAACTGCCTAAAATCTCGGCGAGCAAGGTGAAGCCGCTGCTGATTTGGTAGAACTGCACGTTAACGCCTGAATAAGTGAACGAGAAACCTATCCTGCCATAGACGAAATTGACAGAGTCGACAATGAGGGCCGTAAGGATCAGTTCACGTGTCAATATTGTGGCACGCAGCTTGATTATACAGGGTGAGATATCCTGGTCGGAACCCTTGTCGGCCACTGGCTGGCGGAACGCGCCCTGAAAAGCGTAGCTAGAAATAGCGCCTCGGCGGCAAATGTCAGAGACAAAGAAGAGGAAAGATTTGCCGTAACGCCGTCGGGTGGTTTGTGGGCAGTTTAGACCAGGGCTTCCCTTCCCCCTGTGAAGTAGAGTGGGGGGAAAGATTCCCTCGAATGGGGAAGTAAAGAAATAAGATTAAAAAATAATAATCAAGAAGGGAAGAGGAAGGGAAGGAAAACCAGAATTAAAAAGAAGAAGCAAAAAACCTTCGACGGGGAAGAAGAGGAGAGAGGAAGAGGAGGGAGGGGGGGTCGAGATCGAAGTGAAGCTTCAGAAAACGGCCAAGCATGTATTCTTGGGTACAGGTACATGCGATTAGATTACGTGAATTTGAGAATACTCGTGCTTACTATGGCTGTGACTTAAGACTCTTTACTCATGACTGCGATCGACGAGTGGAATCGATCTATACTTTTCTTGGACTCTCCGTCAGCACATCGCTCGCTGCCCCGCGAGTCTCGGGGGCCAGTGAAAATAGATTAAAAAAAAACGGATGGCAGAGACAAGGGTTTCAAACCTCTTTTGTCCATTCACCGTGTCGCTGCGCAGCTGCAGGCGGCTCCCACGGCATCCACCCACTTGTTCCTGACGCCACCGTGGATGCGGAAGAGGCCGATGAGGTTAAAACAGTACATCCGAGAAGTACAAGGTTCCGCGAGGTTCGAGTACTACTGTACAGGATAGATCACTCAGGAGAGTGGATCCAATTGCGCAGTCAGTTGAAGATATCGGCATTCCGAGGCCTAGCTCTAAGACCTGGATTGGCACTCCATAACGGATCACAAATAGCTCCTGGTGGAGGCGGCCGCAAGCCTCCCTTGGTTGAATCCGCTCTCCCACGGCAATTGAAATGGATGCCGTGTATTATTAGATGTGGGGAGGGATTATCTGGAGCCCCGGTGGTCCTTTTGCTACTGCATCGCTGCACCGTCGGGGCAAGGGGAGGGTGGGCTAGAACAAGGCAAAAACGTTGTTGGTTCATGCGCCTTGTTCCTACTTGCTCGGTTGTTTCTGCATCCTTATATTAAATCATGAATCCTCCACAGGGATCGGGATCAAGGATACATGGGTTCCTGGGCGTGTCCCACCCACACTGAGCAATGCCTCGGTTTTACTGGCCTAACGGGTATTTCAATGGTCAAGTACCCACTATGTGTTAAACAATAGGGACAGGGTGGTCGCATGTCAAAAATTTATTCCTGCCGGCATGCACCGTTCTAGAGTCCGGCGCGAACCGGGTTGCACGATCTCGAGATCTCGAGTTTACGCATTGAGTAAGTATTATGGATCCCACCGTCGGGGTGAAGCGCTTCTGAAGGAAAACGACAGTGGAGGAACAGACCAAACCTTCGACGGCGCGGAGCGTAGAGCTTGTTTTGGATTCGGAATCATGGCCGCGAGTATCCTCGCCGGTGGATCCTCCAGACTGAGCTACACGAATAGTTTGCGGGCATCCAGTTACCTAGTTAGGCAAAACCTCCTGGGTCCAGCGTTGGGGCCGCAGGGCTTATCGCCCATCGGGACACCTAGGATCGACCGTGTTTTACTCTGCCAGGACCCTCGGTTGCGGTGTCTTCGGGCGGCTCCAGATTTCAGATTCCGAATGGCCGTCTCAATGAAGAATCTAAGCCGAGACTGGGGAGTTTGAGGTTTCATGACCAATGTGATAAAATAGCATCCTCCTCCCATTCCCCCTACTTCCAGCCAGAATGCTTGAGAACTCGGCAACAGAAATGGTCCTTCTAGCCGTTGCAGGAGCTGAAAAGGGACCTCTTCGCTTTCCCTCAGAAGTACTGTACAATACATCGGTCCTCTGTGCAGGGAACCCTTGTCTTGAGCATCAGGGCCGTGCCCAATGACCGGCGCCTATTGCGCTCCACCACGCCCACTTCACTTTTCCTCTCAACGGCGATGCGCTCCAGAGTCGAATCGTTGGTCTCAAAGCATGGCGATCCGATCTGCAAGCCGTCATCATTCAGGATCGTCCTTTTGCTCAGCCCCTTTGCGCGTTGTCTCTTCTCGGTTACGCTGCAACCTTAACGGGCGACAAAAAAAAATTTTGCGCCAAAAAAAAAATATCAGATTGTTTGCATATTGACTGTAGTAGCTGAGAACAATTATCGTAAGTCCCGCTTTCCTCGGAGTCCGATCTTTCTGCGCATCTGGTATTTGCACCCGACACTCGCATTGTTAGGTCACAAGCACGCCATTGGTCCAAGCCACCGCGATCCCCCATTCTCTCCGAGTGAATTCCCACGAGTAGTGTACATATAGTGGAAATAATAGTGGTGCACGTCCACGTAGCCTAAATGATTTGCTGGGGTATTGTTATTGGAAAAGAATTGTTGAGGCCATTTGACGTTTGCCGAGCCCACGGGCCAGCATAGCAGCACGGGACACATGTAACCCCTGCTTTAGGCACCGTTGGCCTCGTTCTCGTAACTACCAGAGTAGTTAGCGGCACCGATCCTCCTTTCGGGACGAGCGGCGCGATGTGGAGTAGCCGACCCAACGAGCTCAACCGCACGGCCGCGAGTGGAGGCGATGCACTCCATTACCTGGTTCCTGGACGGGGCCGCGTACAACTTTTTTGACGGCGCGACTCTCTTCTGCATCGGCTCGGGATGTTGCAGTGCGAGCTCTTTCTTCATAGAATAATAATTGACAACATCAGCGGCTTCCTCCGTCCTCCGTCCCCCGTCCCTTCCCCCCCCCCCCCTCCCCCCCTCGAGCCCTAGTCAAGCGAGTGAGACATCTCCGGACGGCTTGCGCGCTTTAGCAAGCATCCTCGCAGATCCCGGCGTTTCCCCAACAGGTTTGTCTTGCGAACTGCGTCCGTCAATAATTATTTGTTGTTAAATTCCCCCCTCTTCACGATCGGTTGATCCTGCCGAGGAGCCATGCGCCCGGACTGATCCCGCCTGGCCACGTTGCCTTTTTCCCTGATTCCCGTCCAGGATCGGAGAATTTTCCTGCTCCGATAGATCCCTCGGGCGCCCGTGCAGCGTAATCCTGGTGGCGTGGTTGGCCGCTGAGGATCTCGGCTATTTTGTATACTATTACCCTTTTGGTCCATATCGCCTCTGGTATATAAACTCGAAAGACATTTTAACGCCTAGTGGGGTGCTTAGTTTCCAGTCTGGTGTCTACCCGCACATGCTCGACATAATGGCAGGAAGTATCGAACTATAGCTTCAAGGTTTCAACGCTTTAAAGGAACCTAAAAAAAGACCCCAACGGATGTCGGGTTTCAATCAATTCAGACTAATCTCCCACCGGCAAGGCCTAAAAGACACAAACACGAGACTATGAGACGCGGATCCTGGGCGTGCGCTTGGCACCGGCAGCGCACGTCCCTCACGGGGCGATCTGTGTCCGTTATTCGTGCATCTCGCTTGGAGACAAAAGCTTTGGCTACTTTGGCTGGTGCCTGGGATGGGGACTCTTTGTATGGACAACGGAATCGTTAGATTCTGTCAGGACCAATGGCTCTCAGAGCATATCCAATGGAAGTTAATTATTAGATTGAGGGTCCAACACCAACCAAAGCCGGAACTGCATGTGAACCAGGAGTCCACCCCGGCTTGGCGGACCCTGATTTTCTTGGTGGGTGTGTTTCATCTTGAGTAGGATTATTCTACCTGGGATTTTGTTTTTTTGTTTCACTCTTGTTCGCCTACGGCGTCCCGAGAGCCTCAGGCGTGACTTGGTACAGACAGCGCGAAAACTTTTGATCGTCCCGATGACGATTCAGAGCTGGCTCATTTGCCGACAATGTGATCTATAGTCTACAGGTACCAGAGTCTAATTTTCCGATCGAAATGCAACATCACCGTGCAACAATTACTACCCTTGGAACCGAATTTCAACGATCTGAATATGATTATACTTTCTCGCCTACAGTAGGCACCCGATAGTTCATGTATGTCATGCAAGCTGGTATCAAGACTACACAGCGTTGGATATTTTTCATTGTAACTCCATTACCGTACTTTATCCGAATACCCTGAAGTCGAAGCTAGTCATCTTACGTTCTATGTCATCGCAGTCCCCTGGGTGTTAATAAAGGCATTGCTGGAGAAACGAGGCGAATGCTTGGTGGAATAGGTCAGTGCTATAAACAAATTCTCGAGACAATTGAGGAGTACTATATGGGAGACGAATTTAATTTCTTCGCCTGCCTTCTAAAGAGGGTAAATGTATCAAATCTCACAGTAGAAACCTGGAGCATTGTTTTAACTAAGACTGAGTGAACTTTTACTCTGAATAATTAATTGATATTGTTGCTTTTATTGACGAGACTCGATTCTTTTCTTCATGAAACATGCCTTCAGTGCTTGTCTCTGGCATCGAGGTTGTTGTATAGCACATCTAGACAAGCTATATCCGAGCTGTTGTGCTTCTATCCAAGGATACCTTCACAGCGCTTGCTGTGCGTGAAAATGCTCAAACTCACACTTGCCTAGAATATGTGTACGACAGCAAAGTTTACTTTGAGAGAATTTCCAGTATCGCCATCGACATAGGTTAGGCCTTCATTGTAGACAATCAACTGAGATGGTTGGTTCAGAACCAATGGTATATCAACAATTGGCTGCAACGGACATTGGCAACAAGCAGTCAACATTTCGAGACAATTATGTCACGTTCAGCTCATTGTCAACCCCAATTACTACGATACGAAGTCGATATCATACTCCTATAATCATAGACTGATGGGTATGCAAAAAAGACTTTAATTCATTTTATGCTTTGAGACTATTCATCAATCTTTTTCCAACCATTCAATTCAGCACGTCAAGTCAAACCGAAGAAAAAAAGATTTACTCCTCATCCAGAGTCTTGAAGAAAGCCTTGCCAGCACGCGTGGGCTTGCCGGCCTCAACACCGGTCTGGCCGAGCTTCTGCTTGGAGTAAGCAGCGGCGTAGGGGTTGAGACGGAGCATGACCTGCTTGTTGCGGAGCGGGTTCTTCTTCTGGACGTTGACACGCTTGGTGCGGGCCTCACCCTTGGGAGCGCGGACAACGGACTGGATTTCAGAGGAGTTGATGAGACGGGCCAGGTCGGCGTTGGCGACCAGGTTGGAGGGCAGGAGGTAGTCGCGCTTGAGGGCCGAGGCGTCAGTGGTGGTACCGTAGACCTTGTCGAGGGCCTGGAAGGCGGAGGAGGTCCAGACGATGAAGCGGCCGAGGTGGCCACCGGGGGCGAGCTGGAGGAGGTTGAGGGAGAAGACGGACGAGGTCTCAACACCGGGGATGTTGCGGAAGGCACGGACGAGGTCGGTGCCGTCGGTCTCCGGGTCGTAGACGACCAGAGGACCGCGGCGCTGGCGGAAGCGGCGGTTACGCAGCTTACCCTTACCGGCGCGCATCTTGCGGGACTTCTGGACCTTCACGAGCTCAGAGCCAGCACCCAGGGCCTGGAGCAGGGCAATGGCGGCCTTGGTCTTGTTGATGGCGACGGCCTTGGAGTCCACGACGAGGGGAACCTCGGGAACGGTGGCGACACGGTGACCGCGGGCGAACAGGAGGGCGGGGACGGAGGAGGCAGCCAGAGCAGAAGCAGTAGCGAAACGCTTCTGGTTGAGGTTGACCTTCTGGTGCCACTTGCGCCAGACCTTGGTGGGAGCGAACATACGACCGGAACGGCACTGGTTACCGAAGGCAGCCTGACCGGCACGGTGGGTACCACCACCAGAGACACGGGGGATACGGGCGACAGCACGGCCTATGATCCACGAGTCAGTCCTACTTCAACGAAGGTTTTTTCCTCATCTCAAGACTCCCAAAAACGTACCGGTACCCCAGGACTCAGCAGAGGTCTGTTCACCAGCCTTCTCGCTCACAGCGTAGGGCTGGCGCTTGTTCTTGGCCATACCGGTGTGCACCTGCCTATAGAGACTGTCAGTATTTCCTCCTCAAATCTCGAATTGTAGATTGGCGAGCCATACTGGACAATATCCGGGCGGATGGGCGCGGAGAAAACAGAGGGCAGGGGGGTGGCTGGCCCCGGAGGGCTTGCCCTCAGCGGTGGCGATCGAAACGGTCGGACGCGAGGCCATTGTTGCTGGGTGAAAAATGGGTGGGTGTCGAAGGTGAGGTTAAAGATCGAACGGGAGCAAACTTGGTGCATTTTCTTTCTTCGCTCTGTGGGTGTGCACGGGCCATGAGCGGGAAATACGCTAGTCCATATCAAGGAGATTAGGGCTAGGTTGTCTAACGTCACGTGATTTTTATACAATCTCACCTTCGGGCTTTAATTTTCTTTTGTCTGTCTACATCTCAACCGTTAGAGCCGCTGGCAATTTTTGACCTGCGACATTTAATGCATCCTTTGGCTGACCCCGTCTACGACTAAATATTTTCTTAATCCACACGTCGATTACACTGACAGCAGCTAAGTTGAAGAAAGGAATTCATCCAGATTCGTGAGAAATGCTAGCTCTCATATCCTAAATGTACACAGGGAAAAAAGAAAAAAATGGATAAAAAATGGTGCAGAAGAAAAGAAACAGGGTCCGTCCTTGAGGAGCAGAAACGAAAGAAAAAGAAGAAGTCCCGATGAAGGAACGAATATCACCATCCGACGCCAGCGGATGCCGTGAGATTTAAAGTATTTACGCGTGGTACTCGAGAGTTGCAGCGCGCTTGCTGAAGCGCATTATCGAACGCGCCTTTTTGGTGGCCGCGATGGACAGATCCGAGCTTTGGCCCGCATTGCACTTCGTACCAGGCGCCACCTGCATAGCGGCGGACCACTGGCCACTCGCACAGCGCTGGAAGGAGGTGCCGTCGATGCAGTTCCACTCGCCTTCAGGACTGCAGGAGCCGCTCAGAGTACCCGAGCCCGAGCCGGAACCGTCGCTGCTCGAAGAAGACGGAGCTGGGGCAGCCGAGGGGGAGGAAGCAGGCTCGGAGGCAGTTGGGGCGCTGGGTTCGGGGGACGCTGCCGATGAGCTAACTGGGTCAGGCGCTGCGGAGGGAGTGCTTGAGGTCGTGGCCGAGGGAGCGCCGGCGGCGGCAGACGAAGAGCCCGAGGAGCCCGAGGAACCGGAAGAACCAGAGCTGCTATCAGAGCCAGAGGCTGCGTCTCCAGAGCCAGCGAAAGTCGGAGTACCGCTGCAGGCAGCCTCACCCTCGGGCTGGAGGTTTTCCGGGGCGCCATCGTACGAGATCACGTCGCCTGGCTGAGGAAAGCGGATGTCGATACCTTCGGTGGTGGTGCAGCCGTTGATGTTGGCGACGAACATGGGCGGGAAGCTGGTGGAACGCTTCTCAACCACTTCGGTGTCGCGCTTCGAGGAGCCGCTGGTGACTGTGACGGGTGCGCAGTTCATGTACATCTCGCGGTTGCCGATACGGTTGAACCAGGTCCAGGCCAGGGTATACTTTCCCGTCTCGATACCTTCAGGGATGGCGAATTCGAAGTGGTACGGATCGACCATTGTGGCGCCGCCAGAGAGATTGCCGGTATCGTTGGCCGGGCATCCACCTTCGAAGGACTTGATAACCTTCCACGAAGAGGTCTTGGTGGGGTGAAGGTCGGTGGTCAGACTGATTTGGCATGAGCCGCCGCCGTGGGTGGCGCTGCCGATAAAGGCCAGCTTCTGGGATTCGCCGATGGGCATGATGTTCTGCGTGGTGACTTCCCAGGCATCGGCGCGCAGCTTGCAAGGGAAATCGCTGCCATCCGCCGCCAGCGGCGAGTTGTTGAGTGAGTCCTTGCTGTAGGGGACGGGGTTGCTCATGATCATATGGGCTTTGGCAGCCGAAGCAGCCAACAGGGTAGCCAGAAGGCCAGACTTGACGAACATCATGATGGAGACAGAGATGCCGGGACGTGTAGCAGAAAAGACAAACAGACCCGATTCGTGCCAGACGAAACGGAATCAATCAGCACGAGGTGGTCGGGAGCTGGGCAAGAGAGTGAAGGCTTCCTGCGCCGGTACATTAGTCTAGGAAAAGAAGAGGAGCATGGGTAATGGAAGCGAGATCAGACAGGGGGGCATGTAGATATAGACCCAGGCATGAATGGGCCTTTATTGTGTGGGGCGTGGACGCGACGAGACAATGGGCGGACATTCACCACAAAGAGGCGTAATCGACATCATAATGATACAAACCACCACAAGAGAAGACAATACCTTAGTTATTGAGAGACAGATAGCGCTGTTTCAAAAAAGCCCTGCTAAGCGTTTGGTGGCGTGGCGTGGGCGTTTAAGCAGGCAATGACCACCTAGTCGAAGTAGAAGAGAAAGGAACACAGGAACTGGCCTGTTCAAGAAGAGAAAAAAAAAAGAAAGAAAAAAAAAGATCGGGATGCACCTGGAGAGAGAAAGAAAGAGAAAACAAAAAGGCATTGCCAGGGCTTTATATCTACATCCGACCTGTACACCCTCCCGTCACAGCCCAAGACTCTCCTCCTCATCCTCAAACCCGAATGGAGCAGCCCGTCCCTGTCTGTGCATGCCAATCAATTAATTAGAGACGCATAGGTTGATTTCCGTGTATATCCACGTCTCCCGACGATCACGACGCCGCCCTTTCGAGGGGGTGGGGGGTGGTAGATGTCATCAACGTCGAGAAAAGGCAAGACGGTGGGCTGTTTCACCTTCTGAACAGATCAATCATTGGGGGAGAGGTATCCAGTCCGCACGGACAAACCCCTAAGTCCCAAGACCACCCAGTGTCACACCATGCGGCTGTCGTTCCAGACACGCTCTGCTCTTGGCCTGCCGACCGGCGGGATTGGCCGTGGAGGAGGCTTTTTAGCGCCCAGCTTGGTCGTTGGCGGGTCGTGGGCGAATCAGTGCCTGGACAGGTGCTGGATGAGACATTATTCCGCTCTACTAGGAGGTGATCGATCTATGGCCCTGATTGGCATGTCCATGCAATCGATGTGTCGCAGCATTATGCTTCTCCTTAACATGCAGTATTCGTTAGTCATTCGCCAGAAACAAGGTTGGGTCGGAGCTTCAGGTCAACATTCCACACAGACGCCATTACGTAGACCCTATAAAATAGAATGATTGTCGGGAAGAATGAATATCTACAAACAAAAAAACCGTATACACAAAGCCACCCACGGTTCCACACCCGAGCCCAACCTCAACCGGTTTGTCCGTCGGCCCGTTTCAGATAAACAGTGACAAGGCTCTTCAGATCCGCGATCCACCCCGATTAAAGGATCGCCGCCGCGAGGACACTATGTACTCCCTGCAATCTCGTGGCAGGGCTTGGCTTCTCGAAGTCGATCAGTTAATATTCTGACCAGCTCTGACAAATAACACAGTGTGGTTCGCGGCCTCAACACGAAACAACGGACCTGCTCGATCTGCCCTCGAACCCGGCGCGCATCCTGCTGAACCACGGACAACCATGGTACTGGCATAGTTCGGGGAGGCCATGAGATGAGACGGGAGGCACAAACGCCTACTTTCTGCTCGTCTGATCATCACATTTCCAAATTGTCCAGGGGACAGGAACTGCCGACCTCTGCCCTTCGCATGGGAATAACTGTTTCGATACAAGCGTCGATAGTGGAGAGACCGGCGGAGGTGAGCTGTCAAATGCCATGGCCCTCCGATCTGGATGTACAGGACGGAGCTGTTCGGGGCCTTGGGCAATGGCGCATGATTGTGCGCGGATTTCGACAACAGTATCAATGGATTGGCCCAGATCCGTCGTCCGTTTGGTAGTCTGCACGACCCTGATGGCAGAGCTGTAGTTGTATCTTGCCGAACCTCTCTTGGTAGTCTTCTCACTTCTTGCTCTTCTTCTTGCCCTTCTCGGCGCTTCCCGTTGGGGCATTATCTTCCTTAGTGAAGCCCGCCTTAACCAGGGCATCACGACCAACATCATTGATCAAGCGAAACCTCGCCGGTCCAAGATGAATCCCGCCATACCACCGCGTGACAACCACGACCACATTCCATACATCCATCAACTGCATGACATGGAGTAAACGACCACCAGCAGCCGTCTCCCCATCATCATCATAGTCCTGGACGACAGTCTCTGCTTCTCCATTCGGGGCACCAGCTTTCTTATGCCGGATGCGCCAGGCACTGATATTGTGCGTTGCCGCAGCGACTTTTCGATCTGTCGCGGTGAGATGGTCCAGAAACGCTTGTGCATGCTCTAGACTCTCGACGCGGGCGGCGCGACCCAAAAACACGGATTTCTTCTCTGTCACCACGTCGGAAAGGATCCAAGCTGGTGGGTGGTCGAGCCCGAATGTATCTCGCAGAGACAGCGCGGCAAACTCTTCAGCGGGTATGGTCGCTGCTGATTCACTGGTGGAAGGAATTTGAGCCGAAGCTGCTTCATCTGCTGCTGGCGTAGTATCTCCCAGTCCGTCGTCTTTACTTCCACCAATTTTCAACTCCGGAAACGTCTCCACCGCCTCACTGATAACATCGAAGAGACAGACTGCTCCAGATTGCCATGTCCGCTGCACAATATCCTGCAACACATCGACCGCGATCTTCCCCTCACCGCGCGCCGCGGTGGACGCCGTCCCCAGCACGACAGGCCGGGTTTCGGGGTATGAAGCCAAGAAGCCAAGCAGAAACGAAAGATGCGGCTGATTGGGAATCTGGAGCGCTACGGTTGCGGTGTATGCATTGTTATCATTCGGGGATCCGGCATTCCCCAGGTCAAGGGTGTGGTTCGTTGCGGCGGTCGTCGCGGTGCGGCTCACAGTCACGGTGTTGGGCTCGTAGATGGCATTGATGGCTTCGATTTCTTCGGCGAGCTCCTGGTTCTGCAGGGCTTCGAGCTGTGACATGGTTCGACCCTGCCGGTGGGTGCGAACGAAGAGAGATTGAGGCGGTTAAAAACACCCCACGTCTGACGATGGTCAGGCATCAAGGCATCCGTCGTGGACGATACAAGATGCGGCAACTATTGTTTCTCGAGGTGAGCTCTTGCTGCGGGACTTTGGTACGTTTTTCTAATGAGCATACTAATTACTAGAAACCCTATGTCCTGTGTCCAATTGAACCAACCATATACACTCAATGTGAAGGTTAACAGCCGATTCCAAAGAGATTCGCCGTAGAACCGTGTTGCATAGCTACCCCAGTATCGCGACCGGGCGCATCGTCCAAACCATCGAGATCCTTGCGCTGCCAGAACGTCCGGAACCCTTTGATCAGCCTGTGCGTAACATCCGAGACCTCACTAGCTTCCATGGGCGCAAATGCCAACCGGAAGTACCTGTGAGCTTTTGCAGCAGACTGCGGAGTCGCGCTGAACATACTCCCCGGACCGACAAGGCACGGCTGTGGGATTTTTGTCAGATGTACCCAGAACGCCTTGGATAGCGATTCAGGGCTATGCTGCGATCGCAAGGGGTGCGTGTCGAAACATGCTTCAAGCCAGAGGAACATTCCACCCATCGGCCAGACAAAGTCGAACATTTGCGTGCGGTCGACTACCTCCCACCCATTGACGGGGTCGTCGGAGGCAGCTGTGCTCTCGTTGAAGAGATACTTGTTTTCCTCAAGAATCTTGCACATGGCTTGCATGCGCCCTTCGTAACTGCTGCGAAGACCCTCTAGCCAGCGCACCCAGCCATCCATTTGCCAGCCCTGTGCATCCTTTTTGGCAGAGACGCGGTCATCATGCTGAGGGCCAATCAGTACTTCCGCGACCAGAGACTGCACGAAGCCGGAGGGCTGCTGCGTCGAGACTTCTGTGATTCGAGTCACACGCTCGATAATTCCGGGCTGGGCAGTCATCCATCCTAGCCGACTGCCCGGTGCGATGGTCTTGGAGAAGGTATCTAGTCGCACAACACGGCCCTCGGTGTCTATAGACAGATATGAGGGAACCAGCGAGTCCAGAAAAGCGTAGCCAGATGATTTGCCTTGTGAGTTGTAGTTTTGGGTGTACAAGGATGGCTCAGAAGACGGACCGCGGTAGCGAGTCGACATCTCGTACGCCGATGGGAACTGCAGGTTCCAGTACGGTTCGTCCTCGACGATGATCACGTCGTACCTCTGGCAGATAGCGTAGACCTGCTTTTTGCGCTCCACCGAGAGCGTTCCTCCCGTGGGATTCTGCCCGACTCTGTGTCGGATGTCAAAAATCAATTTGTTTCAGACTGTTCTGGGAAGAACTCACGCAATGGTATACAGCAAGTGCGGCCGTCGACCACGCTTGAAATCCCAGTTCTTCAGCACATCTTCCAGGCCACCTTTACCCGTAGCACACAAGCCCTGGCCATCCATGGTGACGCCCACTATATTGATCCCCTTCGGTCTAGCCGTCTGGATGGCATTCATATAGGTGAATTCCTCGCACAACATGCCCTCCCGCTGCTGGATCCAGTCACGGTCAGGGTTCCATGCATTGGTAAACAGCTCGATCACCTTGGAGAACCCATCAGTGGACCCGCAGGTCATGATGATCTCCGGGCCGCCCGCATAGGGGACATTGGGATGGAGGTGATCGCGCGTGAACTGGCGGATAAACGAGTGAACGGGAGCATAGCCTTCTGCGAGTCCGTATTGCAGGGCCGTGGCCAGGTCAATGCGCCGCTGGAGGTCGGCCGTGCGGCTTTCCTTGGGCACTGTTATCCGGGCGGAAGCCGGCTCGGGGGTGGCATTGTTCGTGTTGGGGACGTTAAATCTCTGGGGCAGAGCGACCTTGGCTTCCAGGGTGTCATAGGGGAAGTAGGATGGGTGTGGTTGGCCTGCGTGAGTGATGAGTGATTGGTCTTAGAGTGTCTCGAGCCTGGTGCCAACTCACCGGCTGCAAAATTGACGATGCCGGGGATGGCAAAGTACTTGTAGAAGTCTTTGACAGCACTGGCTTGACGATTCCTCGAGATGGAGGAGAAGTGGTGCGACAAGTCCACGGGAGCTGCCATAATGTTGTGCCGGTCCAACGGTGCTGCATTCCCGTGCATTAAATATCCGGGGAAAGAGCCTTATCTCCCTTTGCTTGATAAGCAGAAATGAATCCGGTTATCTGCCCGGTTCCCCGGTAGGAGGAGGGATTGGGATGTACGAGGATCATGGAACTGTAGTGCCTACCTACCTGTACCTAAGATAGATGCGTGAAGGCCGGCGACGCTGATTCCCCATCTGTATACCTACAGGCCGTGACCCGTATCTCAGACGTTCCCTAATCCATGGGCCGCTCAGCTCGGCCCACACCGGATCCCGCGGGATCCGAGACTGCCAACCATCTTGATCCTCACCATCATCTACCCGCCATTGTTTCAAATTGGCCGAAAGCTTCTTCTCGGCTAGGTCCCTCGCGTCACACATGGCGGCCGAGGACTCCGACCGTGGCGAGGCGTCGGGCCTCACTCGGCGTGCGGTATGTACTCCACCGCCAGCGAACAGGGGTTGTTTCGGCGCCGGTGTGCTGGACTAAAATGGTTAAATGGGGGAAAAGTATGTTTGTCGCTAATAATATGTCTCGTTTATATCTAGTGCGATCAATGTCGTCTGCGAAAGGTAAGGTCCCTGTCCCGTCTGATACTGGATCAAATCACTGACTAGCCGCAGATTCGATGCGATAAGCGATCACCATGCTCGAACTGTCGTAGTTCCCGTATTGTCTGTCGATCTACGGGGGAGGGCCAGAAGGCACAAGAGCCCCGGCGGCGGGTATTGATCTCCAGCCAGTAGTGGGTATATACTTCAACTACCAACAAACCCCATACTGACTTATCTTCCTAGTGAGAAAAAGATAGATCTCATCGAGGAACGCCTGGGCACGATCGACAGTACACTTCGTGAACTTCTAACAGCCCAGACTCGGTCCATCAGAACAGAGAACCCGGAGGCCTACTTGTCTCCCTCATCACAAGCGGCAACTCACCCACAGACTCTACCGCAATCCTCCTCTGCGCTTCAAAGACATCGGCATCTCAAAAGCAATCCCGCAATTGACCAGCATGATCATGGACAAGCATTCGAGGGCAATTCCTCGCTTGCGGCGCATTCAGCCTATGCGAGCGAGTTCCTGGAATCTGCAGTGTCACACAGCGGCCCACAGATTGGGTCGAGCCCTAAGATTACGGCTGCACTGTCGTCACTGAAGCAGATTGTCGGGATCCAGAATCAACGACGGAAGACGGATGCTCAAGGTGGGCAGTTTCCCGGCAACATCACCCGTCTGTGTGCTGCCAATTGTGACATCCGGGATATGGAGATGCCACCCCGTCCTGCTGTTCTAACACTGTTGAGGAACGTTAAGGGTAAGTAGACTCGCAAAGCAAAAGTGTTCTGTGCTGACAATCACCAGAGAGCCCGCCATCTTTCTTTGCAGGCTTCTGTCATTTCATTCCCGTGGACTATTTCATAGACAAGTGCCGTCAAGTATATTTTTGCACGGATGGCTACTCAGACTCGACATTTATTGTGACAAATATGTGCCTTTACAACATCTTTCTCGAGTTTGGATTTATCGAGAAGAATGATACCACCCGAGAGAAATACCTGCATTATGCTCGGATGTGTCGTGGGAATCTGGAAGCAGCGCTAGCAGGTCTAAATATGCTGATGCCTGCCACCAACGAGTCAATCATGGCGCTGGCTGTTGGGGTATGAGTTTCACTCCAAAACACATGCAGTCATTCATTGCTCACAAAAGTACAGGCCATGCATTCAATAGAAATCTCCAAGCCCTCTGTCGGATGGGCCATGGCATCAACAGCCGTGCATCTGTGCCAAACACTAGGGTACCATCGAGCATCATCCATGGAACACGATAGTCTTCCGGTGCAGCGAGAGAAGCAGTTCCTTTTCTGGACCGTCTATGTCATTATCAAAGCACTCTCATTGCGCTTGGGACGGGCATCCACTCTCCAGGACTGGGATATCTCGCTCCCCATGACATTCGACCATTTCGACAATCCAGAGCCATGGAAGACTATCTGGACGCTGTGGGTCAAGACCGCCATTGTTCAAGGCAAGATTTACGAGCTCGTGTACAGTCCTGCAGCATTGAATCAACCAGAGAGCGAACGAGTATCGCATGCCAACCGTTTAGCTTCTGAGATGCAGTCAACGGTGATGGAGCCGTTTGAGGTATATAGTCCTGTCATTTCGGAATGGAATTCAACTAATATAGATTCTCAGAGACTTCTTTCCGCTGGTCTTCGTATCTCTGAAATTGATATGATCTACCTCCGCTCGGACGAGGTTAACCGTCTCTCTATCATGACACTGATATACAGAGCCATTCCTCCACCGGCGGGGTCTGGCTCGACATTCATACCAGAGTGTGTCAAGACAGCTCGCGCAGCGCTGGAGAGTCACCAGGAATGTATGGCCATGTTGAAAGAGTGCGATGAATTCATCAAATGCTCATACATGCATTGGTAAGATCTCTCAATCCAGGATACAATTTTATCATCCCACTCACCTTATCAACAGGGCAATCTTCCACGCCCCCTTCGTCCCCTTCATCGTCATCTTCTGCCACGTGGTCGCAACCTCCCACAGCTCAGACCTAACCCGGCTAGAAGATTTCGTCGCCTCCCTCCGCCCACTCTGCTCTTTCTCCGAGGCCATCGACCAGCTTCACCGTCTCTGCCAGATTCTCAGCACCGTCGCCCGGCTCTATCTCGAGGCCAAAGCTCAGAGCCAGGCAGGCGAAGACGAAAGTTTAGCGTCTGTCGGGCACGAGTTCGATCTTTACCTTGGCGCACTGGGCCTAGCCCCCGTCAGCAGCTCGATGACGGCGCCGCAGGGTCCTCTGCCTCCGCCTGATATCGGATCTATTTCTGGAGTAACGGAGGCGCAACTCCAACAACAGGAAGCAGGGCTTGCTGTTGCAGAGAATCAGGATTCTAGTGTTGCGGCGGAGATGTCGCAGACTGCACAGCTGGGCAATTGGTTCTGGGGGAATCAGTACATGATGGGTCTTTTGGAAGAGGATTTGTCCTTGTTCGATCCCAGCGCGCAGCTTTGAATTTTTCTTCGAGACCATGTAAAGAAAGGTACATAGTAGGGACTAGTTACTCCAAATACTAAGTTGGAGATCGCCGCCGGGTCTGGTGGATCCGGAGTCCAAGCCAGTGAAAATCTCGCCCAGTACGTAATCCCTTGGGGGTTCCAGATCTCCCTCGGTGCCTGGGCTCAATCAGTGGCGAAGGCAACTTATAGCCTTCTTCCCATGCGTTCTTGAAGTCTGTTGTCTGGGTTTGAGGGAGATAAGAAATATCAGTCCTAACGTCATCTTGCCGCAATCGCCGTGGTGGACGATCTTGAATTTTTTTAATGATCTCCTCGCATTGATTGTGAAGACACGAACATTGATTTTCCGACGAAGAATTTGTTTGTGTGAGGACAATTGATTGGAATCCCGACTATCGCCTTGCTTGTAGCGCATTTTACTTTCTCATCCCGCTATCACCACCACACAAAAAATCCCCAGGGCCATGGCGGCCGACGCACCTCTCCCCGAACTGGGGGAGCAAAAGGCCGAGATTACGATTCAAGAATCACGGGTACTGGTGATCATGACCGGCGGCACGATCTGCATGCAGCAGTCGCCATCCGGGTTCGTGCCAGCCAGAGGGTTCCAAGAGAAATGCATGGCGCGGGTGCCGACGTTCAACGACGGCTCGCCGTTAACACCAATGAACGTGGTAGCTAATGCAGCCGGCGAGCTCAAGGCACATCCCAGTCTCCGTACGCCGGTGACAGCCTACGGCCGGCAGGTACGGTACACCGTCTTCGAGTTTGAAGAACTGTTGGACAGCAGCTCCATCAACGCCAAGGGATGGGCGGAGATCGCGGAGACCATCTCCCGGAACTACACGCTCTTCGATGGGTTTGTGGTTTTACACGGCACAGACAGTCTGGCGTACACCTGCTCCGCACTCAGCTTCATGCTCCAGAACCTGGGGAAGCCTGTTGTCCTGACGGGGTCACAGGCGCCGATGCTGCAGCTGCAGAATGATGCCACAGATAACCTGCTCGGGTCGCTGGTGGTGGCGGGCCATTTTATGATTCCCGAGGTGTGTCTGTACTTCAACAACAAACTCTTCCGTGGTAATCGGTCCACCAAAGTTGCTGCGAGCGATTATGCGGCCTTTGATGCGCCCAACTGTCCGCCGCTGGCGGTGACGACTTCCATGCGCACGAATGTCAATTGGGATATGGTGCATCGCCCGACGAGTCTGGAGCATTTCAATATCCAGACGAATCTCGATACCACCCACGTTGCGTGTCTGCGCATCTTCCCCGGAATCAAGCCGGAGATGGTGGATGCAGTGCTCAAACTGGATGGACTGCGTGGGCTGGTCCTGGAGACATTTGGAGCTGGCAATGCCCCATCGGGGCAGGATAATGCCATGACCAACGTGCTGGCCAGCGCGATCAAGAGGGGTATTGTGATTGTGAATGTCACCCAATGTAGGTTTGGTTTTGTGGTTCCGGCTAAAGGCTTTTTTTTGGCTCACTCTTCTTGTCTAGGTCTTACGGGAAGCGTCAGCCCTGTCTACGCGCCGGGCATGAGTCTCTCGAAGGCCGGGGTGGTCGCCGGGCTAGATATGACTACCGAGGCAGCTCTCACGAAACTAGCTTATCTACTCGCCCTACCCGGGTCGACGCCTGAGAACGTGGCTAAGAATATGTCGATCTCATTGCGGGGCGAGCTTACCGAGATGTCGCAGCCGGTCTTCCGGCATCCAGATGGTGCTCTACCGGGGCGGGTACAGACCCTTACTGCAATGGGGTACGCCATTGCGCACGGCGACCTGGAGCGGGTAAAAGCGATCATGAAATCAGAGCAGCACTGGCTGCTGAACGACGCCGATTACTCGGGCAACACTCCGATTGTAGGTCTTATCCCCCCCCCCCCCCCCCCCAGGGTCCTGGGGTTAGTGAGTTACGTAGGCTAACATGGTATTTTCTGTCAGCATCTGGCCGCCACCTCACCAGCTATCGCCATACTGCATTTCCTCCTGTCGCAGGGCGGATCGGTCCACCTCCGCAATCGCGCCGGTCGTACGCCGCTGTTCCTGGCGGCCAATGCAGGACTGTCGGAACAGGTCCTGCTGCTACGTAAATCCGGGGCGCATCTGCATTCAGATGAGCGACCGGCCGCAGAGTTGCTGGCGCGCCGGCGGCCGGGCGTCTGGGGATTGGCGGGGATTGGGCCAGGGGAAGGCGAGGTGGCCGAGGACTGGGCCGGGCAGCGAATCATGGCGGGTTCGGCGCCGTCGTGAGGGATCCCTTTTCCAGACGTGGGCATGTACACGGGAGGGTCAGGAGAGCCGTCGCTGGCCGGGGGTAGCGCCTCTTATAGATCGCGTGATGCTTCCTAGTTTTCTCCGACCAACTTGGTTGTTCGTAGCTAGTGCCCACTATTTGCCTCAACTGCTTCCCCAGCGGGGTCCTCCGATCCAGCCCTGGCCACGGTGAGTGGAACTAGGACCCAGTGCTCGACATTCGCCCCTGTCTAGACTTCTGCCGGAGGTGGATTTACGTAAAAGAAAGCAGGTCCTTCCTGTGCATCACCCGCGACGATTCTCGCGAGTCCTCCTCCGTCGTCGGATACTCTGGTTGGCCATGAACACGTAACAAGGCCTTATCTTTCCTTTTCGTTCATACTTCCTGACGCTCCCGCTCGGAACCAGAAAACCACGCATGGCCCACCTCCGAATTTTCTTTCTTTCTCGTTCTTCACGATCTGCAGCAACGATGCGACGAGGCATTTTGATGACTGTTTCCATTGCATAATTGTGTGGAGTGGCCTGCTCTTGTTACATACTCTCGAGTTTTCTTCCTTCGTCCGCCTCCAACCATTATTACCCACACCCCACCAACCCAGTCCCGGCATTTCTTTCTCCTCGGCGCTTACCCTCAACTACACCTCCTCCACCACCACCACCATCACTCCTCTCTCTCTTTCTCCCGCCCCTTCCCTTGCCTCAAACTTCTCTCTCCTCCACCGGCCATGACACAGCCCCAGAAGACAATTGCCGTGGTCAACGCGACAGGCCGACAAGCGGCATCGCTGATCCGCGTCGCGTCCGCCGTGGGGTATGCGGTGCGCGCGCAAATCCACTCGCTCAAGGGCCTGATCGCACAGGAACTGCAAAACCTCCCCAATTTGACCCTACTGCAGGGCCCATTGCTAGGCAATGTGCAGTTGATGGACGAGCTCTTCCGCGGCGCCAACTATGCCTTCATCAACACCACCTCGCAATCCGGCGACGAGGTGGCTATCGGCCGCGCGCTCGCCGACGCCGCCAAGCGCGCGGGCACCATCACCCACTACATCTACAGCAGCATGCCCGATCATTCGGTGCATGGTCCCTGGCCCGCGGTGCCTCAGTGGGCACCCAAGTTCACGGTCGAGAACTACGTGCGCCAGCTCGGGATGCCGTCTACTTTCGTCTATGCCGGGATCTACAACAACAACTTCACGAGCCTGCCATACCCACTCTTCCAGATGGAGTTCATGCCCGACGGCAGCTTCGAGTGGCATGCTCCGTTCGATCCAGAAACCCCTCTGCCGTGGCTAGACGCAGAGCACGACGTCGGGCCAACCCTCCTCCAGATTTTCAAGGACGGACCGAAGAAGTGGAATGGCCACCGGTGAGTAACATGGACAGCCCGCAATGCACTTCAAATAACCTCTAACACGCTCCCTCGTTCTAGAATCGCTCTCACATTCGAAACCCTCTCCCCGGAACAAGTGTGCGCGGCATTCACCCGGGCTCTCAACCGACCCTGTCGCTATGTGCGCGTGCCCAAGATCGAAATCAAGGTCAACATCCCGCTGGGATACCGGGAGCAGCTCGAAGCACTCGAAGAACTGTTTGGCAGGCACAACGCGCCGTACTTCCCCCAGCCGGAATTCTCGCAACCACCGGCCGGCTCGCCCAAGGGCCTTGGTCCGGCTGGCGGGAAGGGCGCCGGCGCTGGGATGATGCAAGGCCCCGGTGGCGTCATTTCGCTTCCTGTGACGGACGAAGCACGGCATCTGTGGCAGGGCTGGCGCGATATGGAAGAATATGCGCGTGAGGTGTTCCCCGTGGAAGAGGAGGCCAATGGACTGGACTGGATGCTTTAAGTCTGTCTGGTGGTTGGATTTGTTCTCATCATATCCCTCTTCGGTTCTTTCTTACGGGTCGCTTGCCTTCTTCGTGGCCTCCCGCCTTCTTCTTTAACGACCAATCCCCCCAAGGGCATGCATAGTGATGAACCCTGTGCATGGGCTGGTAGGGGCTTTACTTGCCTGTTTGTTGTTGCTGCTTAATCATTGCATTGTTGGCGAACGGGGCATGGGGAAATATATGGGATATCATGATCTATCTCGGTTCTAATCGAAAGATGTCTCCGAGTATGAAAGTGCCAGACAGAAAGTCTCTCTGCACTCTTTTCTACGAACAAGACAACAAAAAGTTCTTGCGTGTTTTTTCTTCTCTTTCCTCTTCTTCTCATTTGAAAATCCCGATCAATGGGAGCTCACCACTTCCCGTGTTCGATGTTGCTTCTTTAACTGTGAAGATTGCTAACGATGACCTATGCTAAAACTGAAGAAATGAATCTATCCACCCGGACGACTCGATCGTCTGCTCTTATACTTCTGTGCATCTTCGTAGTCGTGTAGATTTCTTATTTATTCCCCTCTTCTTGCTCGGTGATATCCCAGGAGAGGGGCAAAACACCGCAGCCAACAATTATCGAGCCAACCAAAGTATTCCAGGTATCTGGTCTGCATACAGAATTAGCAATAGATGAAGTTGAAATAAAGTGCGCTTCCTTTCTCTGTCCCCACTAGAGACTGGGAAAAGGCAACGAGGCCTACGGTTTGCTCTGATTGGGATAGAGATGCAGGATTGCGGGTCTGTTCCATCTTTATTTCTCTGGTGGTGGTTCTTCGAATATTGGATATATATCTTGCAGAGGTCGATATGATTACATTGATTAGCTAGGTCCACCCATAACTTGATTCGGTGAGAAACACAAACATCTGGCGCTACAGTTATCAATAGCATGCAGGAGGCGCTTCTATGGGCTCAGCACCAACAGGGTGCCACTGAGGAGAACATTCGCTAGATAGAGGGTCTAATAAGTCTGTTTACTAGGCTTCAGAGGGATAGGAGGAAACAGAAGACGCTAGAGGGGTTCAACTTCCTAATGCGGAAGTAAAGTTAGTCATCAGATTACATCTGGCACAATTCACTTATGGCACATGGATTTCATTGGATGGTGGGCTGTGCCATAAGCGAGAGTTGACTGTCGAAACTATATAATCTATGCATCCGCAGTCAGCTTCTCCCACCGGGACTTCATGACTCTTCCATCCTTAATAACACCGATTATGCTCTCTTCAGGCCGATCAAGAACGGTGATATCCTCCAAAGGATTAGCATTCAGGATCAACATATCAGCAGTGTATCCCTCCTTAATTTGACCCAAAGAATCCTCCCGCATAACCAAACGAGCTGCATTGATCGTTGCACTACGCAAGATCTGAATGGGCGTAAGAACCTTACTGCGAACAGAGAACTCCTTGCTCTGAGCAAAGTGCATGGGGCCGAGCAGATCGGAACCGAAACAGACTGTAACGCCGACATCCACGGCCATCTTCATCGCTCGCAACCCCTTCTCCAGGACCTCATCATTCTTCGCGGCGCTTTCGGCGGGCAAGAAATTCATTTGCTTAGACATGACGTGCGCAATAAGAGTGGGTGTTAGGAATGTACCCTTCTCGGCCATCTGTTTGGCAGTTTCTAGGTCGATCAGGTTGCCGTGCTCGATTCCGCGAACGCCAAGGTGGATTGCTTGTTGGATGGCTTGCGGTGTGTAGCTATGACTTGTCACGTACGTACCGGCATTCTTGGCGACGGTAACAATAGCTTTGATCTCCTCGTCGGAGAACTGAACGTGCTCGATGCGATCCGTGGGACTTGCCTATGGTATGTATCGGTGGTTAGATACCTGTGAACATACGTTCCAAGTTTGTCGAGTACAAACTGGGCGCTGGCGAAACTAACCACACCACCCCCGCCCATAATCTTGAGGAAGTCAGCTCCCTGTCGAAGCTCCTCTCGCGCATACTTATAGCACTCAGCTGGCCCATCAACAATCCGGCTAATACCAGAGATAGTACCACCACAGCAGAGCTCCTCGGAGTGTGGACCGCGCATGTCTCCGTGTCCACCCGTCTGCGAAAGCGCAAAACCGGCAATAAACATACGAGGGCCGGGGATCACTCCGTCCTCAACAGCCTCCTTCACGGCTAAACTGGCTCCACCACAGTCGCGAATAGATGTGAAACCACGCTCAAGCATAGCCTTGAGGACGTGAGGCTGTCGCAGCAGACTGATGCGCTCTGTCATATCCTTGTAAGCGCGTAGGTCGGCCTCGCCGGGAACAACCGCGACGTGGACATGGCAGTCGATTAGGCCAGGGCATAGGTATTTTCCACTGAGGTCGATGATGTTTTCTTCTGGCGCATTCTCTTTCACGGTGGTTGAGTTGTCGGTAACGATTTGAGTAATCTTGCCGTCGGAGATACGGACAGTCGCGTTGGTTATCAGATCGCCCTCTACGGGGTCGATGATGGTGGCATTGATGAAGACGAATGTCTTGCGCGGCTGGCGCATCCACGGCTTGATAATCCGAGCGAGATCCATAGTGTTTGTTTTGGTGTTGAGAAAATAAGAAGCTTAGTTCGAAATGCCGGAGTTATGAGTCCAATTTATTTATTTCGCGTCTTCCACGGTCTCGGACTCGCACTGCGCCTATACGTTCATTTAAACGAGATTTAGCTTTCGACCTCGGCAAGTGTGTAATCTCTACAGTAACCTCGCCAGTTTATGCAATCCATGCAACGGAAATAAAATGGAGTTATCATGCATCTTCCAGTGGAAGAAATATGGATAGATTATAGTCAGGTGGAGGTGTCATATTCTCGTTGTGACGGGTTGTATCGGCAAGTGGTTGATCGCGATTGGCTGTATCGGCTGCTTTCTATACACGATTTCTCCACTCCCCTGCGTTCTTGGCGAAGATACTAGCGATATTGACAGCGGACATGATCAATTGGTGAGAACCGTGGCGATATTTTGCTCGGATATATCTCTGATTGGAAATTTCCCGCGCGTCTTTTACCCCAACATATGGTGGTATAGGCGAATTGTCGGTAAGGACTCACATAAATAGATCCCACTGTCTCAACGGTTGGAAATGCGAGCCATTTCCCTTTGTCTTACTCAACGATGCCTGAACCAGGGGGTTCAGTAGAGGCACCAGAGAAATATACGATGGATGAGAACAAAGAACAGGTCACTGTCGCTTCGACTTCGAGCCCCTCGCAAACGTCGGAAAACGTCGGTCTCTTTGGAGAAATTCGGAAATATCCCAAGATCTCTGCCTATGCATTAGGTCTCGCCCTCGCCTTCTTACTCACCGGATATGACACAGTCATTCTTGGAACTATCACAGCCGTGCCATACTTTAAACGCGAATTCGGCGAACTGTACGACAACTCCTTTATCATCCCGTCAGCATGGCTATCCATCTGGAGTGCAATCAGCCCAATTGGTTCGATGGTGGGTGCTGCTGCCGCTGGCTGGTTTCAAGATCGAGTCGGTCGTCGGTGGTCTCTTGCCATTAGCTGCGTGGTGTGCGCTGTTGGTATCGCCATCGCGTTTTGCTCCAACCTACCCGCTGAGATGGCTTCTAGACGTGGGACCTTCCTCGTTGGAAGGGCTGTCCAGGGCTTAGGGGTTGGAGGTGCGATGGCTGGTGCCCAGACCTACTTGTCCGAGACGGTTCCGACCACTCTAAGGGGATCTGCAATGGCCTTGTCGCCCACATTCATGCTCCTTGGAGAGCTCATTGGTGCCGCTGTTATCTTTGCTTGCGAGCACAGGGACTCTTCGTCGGCTTATCTTATTCCCTTCGGTACCCAATGGATCACGACTGCTTTGCCCTTTGTGCTGGCCATTATTATCCCAGAAAGTCCGTCGTACCTGTTACGCAAAGAACAGTACGACAAGGCTAGCGATGCGATGAGGTCTCTCTATGATGCTAATATGGATGTTTCACCATTTCTGGAACAGATGCGCTTGTCGATTATTCATGAGGAGGACATTTCGGCTGAGATTTCTTACCTCGACTGTTTCAAAGGAGTCAACCGGCGTCGCACAGCGATTGTCGCCTTCGCCTTCATGGTTCCTAGTTTGTTCGGTGTCCCTCTGTTGGCAAGCGCAAGTTACTTCATGCAGGTTGTTGGCATGTCATCGAGTCTCAGTATAATCATTCTGCTTGCCGGAATTGTTTTAGGTCTTCTTGCCAATGCTGTCGGTATATGGCTCGTAAGTCGCTTCGGAAGACGTCGCCTGATGCTTGTCACGCTGGCCATTGCCACAGTCATTTGGTTGAGTATGGGAATTGCAGGATGCTGGTCTGGAAATATTGTGATCTGGTAAGGAACCGACATCCAAGCTTTGCTTAGCATGTCCTACAGCTTTAATGAATGCCCCTAAAAATGACGTCTAGGTATACTGCTGCCTGTATGATGGTCGTCGTCGCTATTTGTGGAATGGGCGTGTGGCCCGCATCATTCGCAGTTTCCGGAGAAGCTCCATCTCTCCGTCTCCGTTCCAAGGCACAGGGAGTCGGAGTTTTATGCTATATGCTGTCGAATGTTGTCTTCAACCTTATTCTGCCATATGTTTATAACACAGATGAAGGCGATTTGAAAGGGAAGACTGGATTTGTATATGCCGGGCTGTGTTTCTTGGCTTGCGCAGTGACCTGGCTTATTGTCCCAGAGATGAAAGGCCGCACAGCCTTAGAGATAGATGCAATGTTTGAGGCGGATCTACCATGTCAACAATTCCCGGATTGGTCCAGCGAGATGGAGTTTATCAAAGGCGATGGAGTATAAATCTTGAATCGTAATTAGAGCTTTTTTGGTTACTACTAAATATATCCAAATGTTGTCGAGACTGAATTGAAAGTTCTGATCTCAGACGCGGTATCTCAATAAATGATGTCGTGGAAGCATAGGGCATGTGATTTTGACGAGGGGAATTGGCACAGTCTCGCGTGTCTGGATCTCTCAGTGACAAACGAGATTTCTTTGAATCTAACTGCAGACTCTCGTCTTTAAGGTCTATCCTTTGCACTGCCAAAATGGGCATTGATTTTCAAGTCTTCTTCATCTCTCGCTCCCTAAAACCGATTGCGGAATTTTCCTCCCTATCCTTCGTAGATAGTACCCAACACCCTATACCATCTTTTATCCCGGGATCTATATCCTTTTCTGTTTTGCACAAATTTCTACATGTGTTCCGCCTTGTGTCTCGAACGCATAGCCGCTACGTGTATTCGTCGTGTCGGTTAGCGAGACGCCGCCTCCGGTTCCCATTGGTCCGCCAGCCTGCCGTACACTGCGATCCCTCTGCCCATCCGGGCATAGCGCCGGCTACCGCCCGCTCGTCCGGGCCTAGCGCAGTTCTCCCCGTTTTACCGCTCCGTTTCCACGACCGCCTATCTATAAAAGCGGCCGTCGCGCACCTTCCTTAGAGCAACGCACTTCTTCCTGTTTTTTCCCACGTCCCTTCCCTTCTCCGCCCCCACTCACCCTGACCCACTGGGGCCCTTAGCTAAGCGCATGGGCCCCCCTAGGCAGCTGAGCTGTACCCTGGGCCTGGGCAGGATGCCGCGCCATCCGAACCTCAGGCCGGTCTACGTGTGCGCTACGAGCCACGGGCTCGCCGCGAGTGTCATATTCGCTCTTACCTAGTTGCTAGCACTCCTTTTTCTGAATCTCTGCACCTGGTTATGTCTAATACCTAGGATACGTAGGCTTGGTCTCATCTCGTTTTCCTCGTTTTCCTATGCGAAGAATACGGGTTCTTCCTACTTCTCTACGTGTGCACTCGCTACCTAGCTACCTTGGCCCACCGACAAAGGCCTTAGATACGGACTTTGGTGTCTCTGTCGCCTTAGGTTACATCGCTTCGTGTCCTTTGCTGCGGGTTCTTCCCTAAAACGCCCCTCTTCTGTAGAGCCCTTAGACGTGGCTCTAGTCACATTGTCTAATCCGTGCGATTCGGCCTCGTTCTCACTCCGTCGATAGCCTCCGAGGATTTCCGCTGTTTTTGCGCTAATAGCGGAAATACCGCATTGTGCTTAGGATTTACGTCTAGTCGTTTCTTTAAGCGTAGCTAATAAAGCCTTCTCTAGTTCTATCTCTTTGGGCTTTAGGAAGAAGCGGAGAAGATAATGATATTCTTAGAGGTGATCTCCTAGAAGGGAAGGTCTATCTACAGCATGTAGCTCTTTTACCCTCTGAAACTTGCTCACTGATTTGTCGAATCGAATATCGAGAGGTCCTAAGCATAATATTAGTATAAAGCTCTTTTGATAGTAGATTTTCCCTTTGAAGATTATACTTACGGGAAGCACAAATCCCGTCGAATCCACATACTTAATCCATAGTAACCTATTACCATAATGATGTTCTGCTGGCAACTGCTCGGATGACGCTGGAATTGAACCTGAATGTTGCCCCTAGATCTGCACGCGCGGATGGCCAAATCGGGGGGACCGCTGGTGGTGTGGGGAAGTGGGTTGGGGGCAAGATACCATCCGCTTCCCGCAACCCCATCAAAATATCGCCCCGACTTTGGACTCCTGTAGCCCCCCTTCGACGGGGAGTAGTTAGCCTTCACATTTTGCCAGACGATGGGCAAGGTAATGGTATACGATCGGTGCGACTTTTGACGTTGATCCTAAACAAAAAAACCTACCGATCCGTAAGATCGAAGGCTGCTGGGATGCGGCTCCCAGCCCCCATAGTAACGAACCACTACGTGAACCCCCGACCACTAAGATGCGCCCCGTCCCACTCACTCCCGGGTGCTAGGAATCCTACAGGATTATTCAAGTTACCAACAGCCCCTTCCGCCCGTCAACATGCGCCGCGGCTGCGGTAGCTTTCGTCACTCTACAAAGTTTTCCTACTTCGTCCTTCTTTGTGGAAGCGGATAGATATAAGATAATTGGCTACAGATACTAGAATCAACCACTTCCTTCGCCTCTACTTGCGGCTGATAGACCCGAGGGAGAATAACCAACAGGGCAACGGGGGTGCGGAAAGTGACAACCGAATTTCCTAAAGGGGAGCATTACGGCCCCAAACCAACAATGACTAGTAACATTAGAAGAGTTGCTATAGAAGGAATGGATACAAAAGGTATCCCATTCTCACCTAAAGCAATAGACCATCCATTCAAACTCCTTGAACGCAAAACGTACACCTTTTTCATACCCAAGCCAATTAATATGATCGCTTTTGGCCCGAAAGCTTTGGCTGTAGCCGCTATCGCTATGAGTCTTTCACCTACTGCGTTGGCATATGTTGAATTCACAGGCAATATAGATGTGCAGTCTAGTTCTGGCAGTATCAAAGCAGTGGATAACAACGTTCAGACATGCTCTGGCGATATTGGCACAGGCGACAATAATCTCGGCATGCTCTGAGGCAATGAAATCCGTTTTGTGTTCCTTATACGCTGATTCTCTAATTCATACAAAAGACTGTATCAGCGGCTTCGCGCTGAACTACGACCTTACAGATAACGAGTCTGGTCATCAGTCTAACCCTCGTGCCATGCCAGTCACTTACTGTAACCCGACTAATTGGTATATAACTCATTAATTGATTATAATAGGGGCTCCTTCATCGCTAACATTATACAGTTACCAGTTTAACATTGAGTTCGACTGCGAGGGAACCTACGCGAGCGACTGCCCTGTGGACTATACTCGATTCTGCTAGTACTATTTAGGATTAAGGTCGAGATAGCTCAAAGACAAATAAGAGTGAAGGGCAATCTGAAGTAAGGAAGAGATGGTACGAAAAGAATGGTCTTTTAGTGGGTAAAAGGAGAGGGGAATTGACACAGATTGGTACGGAATAATAGAGGCAGAAGGGGGGCATTCTGCTATTAGGGAAGACATAATAATCCAGAGGCGAGCAATTTTTGGCTCCCCTCCGCCATGTGAACTTCGAAGGACACGAAGTTGAACACAGACCAATCAGTTGGACTAGTGTCAGGGACCGAAGAGTACAGGGTGGCGTGGAGGTTACGCCGACGGTCGTGGTAATTGATTCACGTGATGCCAAAACGGACGTTGGTTAGCAAGACTCGTAATACGGCCGCCTGTTAACCGTCACATCAGTTTGTGGGGTATTAGGCCTACCGCTAGGTGTACTAGGCCTACCGCTAGGTGTACTAGGCCTATCGCTACGTGTACTAGGCCTAGATAGCATTAGTATCTCGGAGTAGCGAGTTATATTCTCAGGCCTCGTCACTTATCCGCCTCACTATAAACGAATCAAGCGATATTCGAATCTTCTCTCCGTCTGATCTATCACGGGCACCGATATTCCTACGATTGGGTATGCACAATAATTGCGGATCTAGACCGTTAGCCAACATAGCGAGTTCGCGATATTTGTGTTCCTGGCCACTGATGGAGCAGGAACTACAGCGCCAAGCGGCTCTGAAACCTAGCTTTGAAATCTAGCCAGTTACAACAGGGCTGGGGTTTTCTCTGAGCTCTTTTAGGGAATTGAGGCTGATAAAATTTCTGAAAATATTATCTTGTAATCTCGTGGCGCTCATTAAAGGGGCCTAGCTATCCTTTGTGTGTCTCGCGTCCCTTTCATTTTTGTTCCGTACTCTCTCTCAGTCCGACGAGCGTAAAGACTTCTTCTCTATACGTTTATCACGATAACAACACAAAAATGGTCAAGACCAACCTCTCCATCGCCGCATCCCTGCTGATGCTGGTGACGACCGCCTTCGGCGCGTGCAACACCATCAGCTACACTAGCTGCGCCGACAACATCGTCCACTGGTACGATCCAACTAATGGCGAAGTCTGTGATCCGCTCGACTGCGGCGGTGGCCGCGCTCCTGTCAAGTACGACGTCCCCTGCTGCGCTGCCTATAGGGGCACGGAACCCTGCGTATCCACGACCTCCACTCTCTCCTGCTGGAAACCTTCCTCCGTCTCTGCCTCTGGGACAATTGCGTCCGCTAGCTCTGCCAAAACTACGTCGGACACTTCTGTGACCGATACTAGTGTTGCACCTTCTACTGGCGCGACGGCGACGAATTCCTCGCACAGTACCTCCGGCAGCACCACTGCTCCTTCGACTACGAAGGCTCCAACTCAGTCAACAAGCTCAGCGACTTCCAATATTGGCACGACTCCTACGAGTGGTTCTAACCAGCCGATCTCGACCAATATTGCGGGTGGCTGTGCTGGTTCATTAATGGCTATTGCTGGAGCAGCGATTGGTGCTATTGCTCTAGTTTAGGTGAAGGTCCGAAGACATGTATCATATCGCCCCGAGGCCAGACAAAGTCACATTGCTCTCTCTAGTCCATATATTTGCAAGATACAGTACAATCATGCATGAGGCAGACCTCATGTAGATGGCGAAATTTGGAAGAGCGCAGCAAATCGTAATACCAAAATTTGGCTCCGTCGATGAGCGTGGTGGTGGCCCGCCCTGACCGAGGGCGATTGTAGCCTGGCAAGGCCGGTCGGCGTGGAGCTGAAATGGCGGAGATGAAGGGGCGACGATGACGATGAATGCTTATGCTGAAGCAGGGAGGAATGCACCCTGTGATCCGACAATACCGTGTTATTGAGAGTCGCCAGGGGCATTGGCCTTCATTGGCAGCGGTAGCGTCGTGCTGAAACAGGACTTCTATTGAATACCCGTGTCTTTTTTTTTTTTTTTTTTTTTTTTTCAAAAACCAGGCTAGATAAGACGTGCCCAACTTTTTCAGCTCTATGCAACGGCGAATTTAGAGCGTGCCCTCAAAGCATGGCCGTAAAAATATAGGAGCCAAACCCCAACCTGCGCGAGATCTGTAAGCCCTCATAAAACAGGATACAGGAAAATAAACTTACTATGCCTAAAACACTCAGACCTGCTAATAGACTCGCACCCCGGCCGATTCCGAGATTTAAGAACATTGGCCGAGAAAACAAAATGGCACCAAACGCAAATGCTGAACGGCAGAAGTCGTTGCCAGCGAAGAGAGAGGCTGCGTATGGCGGATACGACATTGGGACATAAACCAAAATGCACTGCAAGATGATGAAACAAGTCAAAGCGTAGATTCCGATCCCAATGACGCTGGCAATCCAATGGACGTGGACATTGGCAGTCCAACCTTCAATTCGATTAGAACGTTTAGATGCGTGGCGGAAAGTCAGGTGCAGATGCCGGTGCTCCTATTGAAGTAATGACTCACCAAATAGAAATAGTCCAATTGGAGGGCCAAATATAGCAATGAGGGAGATCCTCAGGCGCCATTCTGGGGACCGGAGACCATTTTTCTTGATGTCCGGGATTAGGAAAAAATGTAAGTACGAGAAATATATTATGATCGCCAGGATGCATCCGACTACCACACAAACGAACACAACACCGGTTTCCCCTAGGTTGAAGCCATATATTGGGCCATATACCAGCGGAAACACCTCGAAGAAGGAGTAGTATATACCATATATAAGTGCGGTGTATACGTTGGTGAACATGACGGCTGGGTCTTTGATCATAATTTCAACTGGCTTGATGACAGCATCCCAGGCGACATCGCCAAAGCTTAAGCCTTTGCGATTGATCTCGGTCTGCGATCTAATGTTCTGCTCATCGAGAGTCTTTCGTAGTCGTGCAGCACGACGAAGAAGAATATTGTCTGCTGATGTTTCGGGCAGGAAGAAAAACCAAAGAATGAAAATCGGGCTTGACATCCAAAGGATTTCCCATAAAGACCACCGCCAGCTGTGGAACTGTCAGACAATGCTTTCGAAGGTTGAAAAATACTTTTTTAAACTTACTCTTCTGCAACAACGGCAAATCCTGATAGCATAGGACCTAATGCAGGAGCAGCGAACATTGCTGAAACCCAGCAGGCCATTGGGTAAGGCAAGTACAGAAGTGAGTACTACTTCTTAATTAGCTAGCCCGATGTTGGGTGAATGATCAGGGGTGTAGATATACCATATCCTGCATGGACGCTCCGCCATTTGCAAGACAGGGGCTACCAAAAAACCCTTGCAGGAAACGTAAGACCAAGAGCCCAGCAAGATTGTCTACGAGCGCTGTGGGCACGCAGAGAATCAGATAGATAGCAAAAGTGACCACATAGGGTATGTTTCGGCCGAAAGCTGGAATTTCGCTCATTGGAGCCCACAGCAAAGGACCGAGACCATCTGCATACTGTGTCAGTAGGTCTTGAAAATACGGGACAAGGGGTACGGACATCCCATAACATAAAGGGCCAGCCCCAATGATGCTTTGAATTCACCAACACCGAAGCGGTCCATTATTTGGCTGTCAACAACGTCAGTTACTCAGATGCGGACAGTATCTTCCAGTTGAATAAGGAAAGGCGAATCGAAAAGCCACTCGATTGTAAACCTACAGTTCACTGGATACGTAGATTGCAGAACCACAATAAACCACAAAAGTATATAAACTGGGTGTAGGCGTGTTAGCTTTTGACCTGAAGTCTTGTCAGAGAACACAAGGAAATGAGGACGTTACTCAATCTGAAGAGCAACAGCAGTTTTCTTTTTCTGAGACCAATTTTGAGGGTTGTCGGCGTCATCAGATGTGTACCAGTTTACCAAAATAGTCCCATCTGAAGTTCTCTCTGGCGATATTGGAATAGACAAGCTCTTCTCCACGGCTAATGTCTCTTCTTCTGCTAGTCTTTCCGGTGTGAATGGGAATGAACTATGCTGGCTTAGACTCTGTATTGTATTCTGGTTACTGAGGGCCAGATCCTCTTCGCCCGCTTCCTGAAAGCCTGCCGAATCGATCGCCGCTGCAGTAGTGTCACCTATGGACGTGCCAGTGCTGTTTTCAAGCCTGTTGTGCCCGTGGAGGTAACTAGAATCAGATCTGTTTTCCACGGATTCGCTTGCCTGGTATGCATGTGGGCACTCAAAGCCGGGCTGCTCTTCTGGATAAAGAAAGAACTTATCGCGAAAAAAGAAACGGGTGAGCCGTCCAAAAGGCGCATCGCGAATTGTGTCGTACATTGTACTTCGTTTTCGAGTCTCAAGAGTTTGGCTGATAGGTATTGCCTTGCTATGTATTCGGGATCAAGGTAAGTATACAATATAATTTTGCAGGCCTCTCAAACATATATAGCACGACGTCTTTATGTCTCTGTCATCACAATAAGCAGGCCCGTTCCAGCCTGCTCGGAGACTTAAGTAAGCAAATATTGGTCTTTCCATGGGACTGTAAAGTGACCTAGAAGCCGTTCTATTTCCCAATGCGGGAGGAGGGCTCCTTCATGAAACTTTGACAGGCGTGATCTCGGTAACATCCTGCAATGGGAGTGGAAACGCTTTACCAATAAGGGGACACACGAGTCATGATGCAATGATTTGATAAAGCTTCCCGGAGTCACATCATCACAAAATTCAAATCAATTTGACAACCTAATCAACACCTTTTTACAAATTAGATTGTAAACAATTTTATTAAGACACATATTCCTCTTATGGCCTATATTCCCGCACCATTAGACATGCAGGAACCATCGGCTTTGCCCAGAGGGACGCTAACGAGCTCGCGCTTCTGTAAATGTGTTGTAGGCTAGATTCTTTGCACAAGCTTGATCCGAAGGCTTGACTTTACCACTCCATTGGTCAGTAGAATAAATTCGAACTCTTGTATTCAATCCATCCTTGATTCAGTCGTAGTGCTGGTCTTCTCTGCGGACAAGAGAAGCTTTCGTGCATGACTCATCAACTGGTGGTTTGGCTTGTACCCTGAATCAACTTGCGTGCACGGACCGAACGAACCGCGCCGATTTCGCACGTATCTTCGAGAAAAGCGATCCATAAACTGTCGCAGAAACATGGATCTAGGCTCCAAGAAAATATCCCGCAACCGTCCTCAACTATCATGCACAGCGTGTCGTCGGAGGAAATTAAAATGCGACCGAGGGGATCCTTGTGACAATTGCAGACGTCGGAACGAACAACACCTGTGTACTTACCTGCCCCCCAACTTAAATCAGAGAAATCCGAAGAAGTCCGGGAAATCGAAATCTCGCCTCGATCGGCTGGAGAAACTGGTGACCGAATTAAATGCAAAGGTCCAGCAGGTTGATCCCTCTCATCAAGGATACCCAGTATCTTTGGCTACTCAGAACGACACGAACCTTTCGCATGCCACATTAGGGGATAATCCGCAGGGATTGAGTGTCAGACATTTCACGTCGTCGTTGTGGGAAGATGTGCTGAATGATGTTCGTCTATCCCAAGCACCGGTTATTTTATTCACATTGACTCTCCTAGATCGCCGAGATCAAAGACTGCGTCGACGACGCTGAATACGACACTGACAACGAACTGCAGGAAAATCATCAGCCAGATGAACTCTCTGTCTTCTGTTTCCGTGGCCAGACTGATATCGCAATGCTTGTCGCATCATTGCCCACAAGAGTGGAAACTGATCGGCTGGTCGCAAACTTCTTTCATTTCTCTTATGCTTTGAGACGTAAGTGGACAGATCATTGTTAGTTTCATCATATTGACCGTCGTTTAGCAATTGTTCATACTGAGAAATTTCGGAGTGAGGTAAATTATTGATTCGCTCTGCTCTTTCATAACACCAAAGTCGTGTTTTGTCTTTACCTAAAAAGGAAGGGTGCTGACAAGGCCCAAGTACGAATCATTTTGGTCAGATCCTCTAGCTGCTTCTGCTTCCTGGTTGGGAATGCTTTTCTGTATGCTACGAATCTCCTCCGATCTGTTCATCCGTTCAGGAGTTGCGCCACTTTCGATCGTCAACGGCCCCAGCCCAGTTACACTTTTTCGCGACCGAACCCTAGAATGCGTGTCGTCAACAGGGTTACGCAAATTATGCCCATATATACTTCCAACTATCCTCCTCCACATCGAGGCTGAGTTTATGTCAAGTTCAGACTCAAAAATTGACACATGGATTATAAGCAGCACCGCAGTGCGCATAGCTTTGCGCTTTGGACTTCATCATGAGCCCTTGGCCGAGGAGGGTATCTCTCCCTTCAACGCAGAAATGCGGCGTCGGTTGTGGCTTGGGATTGTACAAAGTGATATCATGCTGTCTTTTCAAGTCGGTCTTCCTGCAATGATTCCTTGGCGACAAGTAGATGTACGACTCCCACGAAACCTTCGAGATGATGACTTGGATGAGAATTCCTCTGACCTTCCCCCTTCACGGCACATGCGTGAGGCGACCAACATTTCATTTTTCCTCGCGAAGCAGCCGCTGCTGGAGTGTTTCGCGCGGATTGCGTCTCATTCACAAGAGCCTTATCCGAGGGATGAAGAGGTAGCAGTTCTGCAACAAAATTTGGATAGGGCGCGGGAAGGATTACCGCCCATCTATCGGATTCGTCCAATCAATGAAGCTGTGACCGAACCTAGTTTTCTTGTGATGCAGCGTTATGCGATAGATCAGATATATCAGACAGCTGTCTGCGTACTGCACCGCAAGCATCTCAGCCGCGCGTCATCGATTCCCGAATGGAGTCAATCCCGACTCCTTTGTATCGATTCAGCTTTGACGTTGCTGAGTTATCAGGCGATCAAAGACGAAGAGTCAAGGCCAGCAGGCCGATTTGCTGGAAACAAAATCATGATGAACTCACTTGATCAGAATAGCTTTTTGCTGGCTGCGATGTTAATATGCTTGGATCTGAAACAGCGAGGATCCTTGTGCTTGGAGTCAAGTGATCTTTTACTTTGGAATCAGGAAAGGGGCGATGAAATGAAGCGGGCCCTGGAAACATCCATGAAAATCTGGGACTCAAAGAAAAACGTCTCATCTGAAGCTTCCCGTGCGAGCAAAATACTGTCTAGGATATTGCGAAGCTTGCTGGATGACAAAATTGACTTTCCCGTTGTCGAGATGGGTGAGTTTTATTGCTTCCAATCAACAAACACTGCTGATCATCCTCTCTATCATGATTAGGCATTGGTGAGCCTGAGCATTTGAGCGAAGTATTGGCTTCCTCTGAGGAATTCGACTGGGTAGGTGCTCGTGACCCGGCCATTCTTGCCATGAAAGCTCATTCCATAGCAGTTGGAATTCGACAGTATGTTTCGTGAATTCGGTCAAAGCCCTGGGTTTCTCCAGTGATTCCATAACTGTTTAAAAGAAACAACATACTTTGGTCACGGTCTTGCTCGAATGTGAAGTGCATTAGACGCTAACCTGTCTTTGCCAGTGGATAAAGCTCCCCGCCCATTGAACTGGCGCAGAATCGAGGAATCGAAATTGTCAATCACTAGCTATTACAGTTTCAGTTTTGCATGATCAAAGTTATTAACGTATTCCGTAAGCGAGTGAGTCAGGGAACCAACTACCAATATATTAAATCAATTTATTAGACCACCACCGCCATTAATATCGAATTTCTACCAATCACACCTATTAGGTCAACGCGTTCTTCTATGACCTAGTTGATTGCAATCGCTGCATCGTTGGGGAAAGGGGGCACGTGTGGTTGGCTGTGAAACTGATGCATCTGCCTCCCCAAGGGTCCATTTTGGGCTTTATTAGCCTAATTCCTTGACTCTATGGCCTCCTCTGTACTAAAGCCCTCTGTATGGGCACTTGCTTAGTCGTCTTCTTGCGCTTTTGCTTTTGCACTGCATTTTCTGCACGTACGTCGCGAATTCCTGGCTCAAAATTGCTGCTGTATGCATCGCGAGATGGTACCTTTTGACAAGCTGATTTAGGCTACTGACTATAGGGCTTGGGGGGCTTTGTAATTGACGAAATCAACGTTTTGATTGATGAAGCTTATCGACCCAATTGCTTTGGATTTGATAGCGTTTAAGGGCTCCATGCGCTCGATCGACTGCCTGGTCGACTGTCTAGGGCGGTAGGTGTCCGAAGTCGTACATCCAGCTTTTCTATGACCTGACTTGGACCGTATAACACTAAACCAGCTGCTTTGAATGCATTGTGAATACATGATGGTCTAAATGCTTCTGCGCGGGCCTATGTGAACACCATAATGAGATCAAGCTTGTCGATATGGTTGACTCCGGCTCGCATTTTAGCCTGAGGTAGCCCCCCATATGTGCGCTTTAGCGGGGCAACAGCTTACATTTAGGGGCTGTAATAGATGCGACGAATGTGGAGGCATGTGAATTGCAATCGTTTTCGTGGCATAATCGATCAGAATCAGGCGTCAAAAGACTTCCGTGGCCGTCAAGAAAAAGTAGTCGAAATTTACCCCTCCTTTGACTATCAGTCTTAGGGATAAATTGCTCTTCTAGCCATCGAAGTGCAGTGTCGTCCGTAGTCCACCAATTAGGATCGACTTCAATCCGCCAATCGAGAGGTAAATCATCATACCATGCATATCGTTGGTATAATGATGAGTATTAATATATTCGCCTCATCCCTAACCAATTACGGCCTATAGGCAGATACGCGCGTATCCATAGATAGAATTCATTTGAGAGCGTCTTCCCGGGAGTCAAGTTATGACTATTTGGGCGCGTATCTTTGCAAAATTGTTGGCCATTGTATCGAACGATGGAGAGTCAAGGAAATTCCTCTATATTAAAGACTTGAATTGCGCGCTGGACTTCTGCTCTCTTGATTGACAGAATTTTGGGGCTTTTGGCTGCGAAGGGGGCCATGGTGGGTAGTTGAAAAGAAGAAGTTGACGCGTTGGGGCGCAATCGCGTTTCCTGGCTCATTCGCTTATGGATGGTTACGTTAGTCACCATTTAATGAGCCATATCCTTGGCGCCCGGATCGGAGATGTTTTCAAGCTCTTCTCGTCCGATCCGAACGGAGATCTAATTTTGCTGTCCAACTTATCTCCGCGAGTCCACTACTGTTTCCGCAAGGCGCGGGCAAAATAGTTAACTATGCTTCCTCTTATTTTGTCATCCTATAAAATCTATAAAAGGCTCTGCTCGGCCCATCCGGGTCACAGCACGCATTTTTTATCAATTGCTTTTCTTATTTCAAGGCTGCTTCCGCTGCTATTTCTCTGCATCAGTTTTCGCCGTCTTCAAAATGGCATCCTGCCCGAAATTTGGAACGAAAACAACATGTGAAGAGGTCGTGGAGAGATTTTCCGCCAATATCGTGGGAAAAACTTGTAAGACCATGTTACCATTTCATGATGTCACAATGGTAACGGTCAACAGTTGTGATCACTGGCATTAGCCCTGGTGGTCTTGGTGAAGCTTTGGCCAAAGCTCTCGCCTCCAAGAAACCCGCGCAACTTGTTTTTACTGCTCGCCACACCTCGAAAGCAGAGGCTGTAGCTCAGGACATTAGAAAGATACACCCCTCTCAGATCATTCGCATCGTTCAGATGGATCTTTCGTCCAAGAATTCCATTTGTGCAGCAGCCGCTTCTATTATAGAAATGGTTTCGAGCATTGACGTTCTCATCAACAACGCGGGTGTAATGGCGATTCCTGAGCGCACACTTTCGGTGGATGGTCATGAAATGCACTTTGCAACTAACTTTCTTGGGCCATTTCTCTTCACGAATATTCTTCTACAGAAATTGTCCAACAGCGCACGCATCATCAATGTGACCTCTGGAGGTTATATGATTTGTCCCATCCGTTTTCATGACCTTGCTTGGTGCGGAGACAAAGATCTGCCTGTTGATGAACAGCCAGATATAAACATGGCAAAGCAGTTGGGTATAGGGGAGCTTACTAGCCCAGTTTCATACAACCCAATGCTTGCATACCTTCATTCAAATACAGCAACTATGCTTTTCACACTTGGTCTGAACAAGCGGTTGCAAGGGACAGGAGTCATTGCGATCAGCACGGTACCTGGTGGTGAGATATGACCGGAAGAGAAGTTCTTTTGAAACAAAGATCACTGACAGTGATTATAGTCGTTATCACCGAACTCCAAAGGCATATTGGTTATTTCCGCAACCAATTGCTGGAATACAAGACTGCTACACAGGGAGGAGCCAGTTTTCTTGTTGCTGCCCTCGATCCTACCCTTGATGGTAAGAAAAAAGGTCAATCACAATTATATGGACTGAGATTAACGGTCAATCAGATCATCCAGGTGCATATATAGATGATTGCCAAGACGCAGCCATCGTCTCAGACCATGTGAAGAATGAGGAGGTTGCTGAAAGATTGTGGGAAGTGGCAGAAAGAATGACTGGCCTAAAAATTTGATGCCCTCTTCGAATCTCCCAATGTGTATTGAAGGTGGCACACACAAACACTGGTTTTAAACTGTGAATATTTTGTCATTGAGGAGCATGGACCTACTGCTACAGTTGCAACCGTTACTAATCGATCTAGTTTCCAGGCGTAGATAGGTTTGAAACCAGGCGGGCCAAGCTCAGCCTAATGAGTCTCAAACGCGAGAAGTTCATCGTAGCAGGCTATCAGTATCTTAGTGGCCGAGATGGAGTATAGAGCGTCTATGCTCTAGAACTAGCGGTCTAGTAAAGGATTTTCCTCTTTAGATCTAGAATAGTATTATAGAACGTCGGCGTAGTAGATGACTAGCTAGTCTACCTAGACGTAGTCATTCGCTAGCTCGAAGGAGCGGTAGGGTTCGCATAGTCTAAGTAGTACATGGAAGCTTTGTTGTTTTCTTATCGTAGTATAATCTAGTAGGCGGTATAGCGTAGGCCGTACCCCGCTACTACGGATATTGCTTAGGCATCGAGAAATATTTAGACTCTACAAAGCGTATAATAGCTTAATCGTGACCAGCCTGATGCTGTGCCTCGCGCGGTGATGCAATGGGCACGTGATATGCATTGTGTTGATAGTTGGACTTCTTCGTTGTTTCCTTTTCTTCTTCTTCTCCCCAACTTGGAAGTCGGGTCGTCCATAGCACATCAATTTGACTTCTTCACCGTTTTCTCTTCTGATCTAGCTGCCGGTCATATTCCGCTAACCTCGTGGTAGACTGATGAACAACATCGACGTTTGATTTGGTCAATGACTAAAGATAGCCTAATCTAGGCGACATTCGCCGATAGCCAAGCGTAAGTTTCGGCACTATGTTCTTGACAAGGCTCTCGTCGTGTCCTAGCTGCTCCGACATTAGGTTAGCGATAGTGGTTCGCGATTTTGCCTGATCCTTGCTTTAGTCGTGCATCAAGGTAAACCGCTTGTTCAATTCCCCTTCCACGTTACGGTAGTATCGAGTATGCTCCTCTAGGTTCTCTCTGAAGTTATTGAGCTGCTCCTCAGAGTACTTGAAGTTGGTACTCCCTGGCCTGGCATGCTTTGCTCCAAACCTAGTCGTAATCCATACGGGAGACCGCAAAAAGCCGTGAGCTTCGTAACTTTGGCTGAATCGGCGGGATAATCTAGACGGCGGACGAACCATCTCCGATAACAGCAACTGTCTTGTCGGTCAAATCGTACGAGTTGTCCCAGTTGGCACTATGCATCAATGTTCCTTGGTACAGGTCGAGGCCAGGAATGTTGGGGTATTTCCACGAGTTCAAGACTCCCGATGCGCTGATCAGGATATCGCACCAGTCCTGGAACTCGCCATTGGAACCCTTTATCTGTAGTCTCCACTGTCCGTTGTGAACAGTCGCCACCGAATCCCAGAAATTAAGATCAGCAAGCACCTTCGAGAAAAAAAAAAGAGATACCTCAGGCCTCGATGGTCAATGCGACCTGCTCCACCGCGTCATCAAATCCGGCCCGTTGCCTGTGACACCAGCTACCCAGAGGTACGCTAAAGTACAAGCTCTTCCATAATAACAAACATGAAACGCAAAGTATCTCAAAGTATTTACAAGTACACCCAGAGCTCTCCGCCCGGCTAAAAAAAGTTTCTGTCGCATCCATCGATAGCTTTTTTTTCCCTTTTCTTCTGGCCTGCCCACCTTTTTTTTCTTCTTTCCTCTTCATCTCTCATACCCACTTCACCTCCCTCACTCTCATCCCAACCTACCTATCTTTTATCCCAATCAATCGCAAGTCATTCACAATGTCCAACGGCGAAGACCAGTCCCTCCTCGAGCGCGTGGAGATGCCAACGATCCCTCGTGAGGCTGCACGGAAGATTGCGCTCATCGAGGAGGAGTTTACCCGTGCTGAGGTTGAGCAGCGTATGTACCTATTATCTCCCCGTCATATACCCTCCTTGCATGTTCCTTGGAGAGTCTTGCGGTGTGTATCCTCGGGCCCCGCAATTGGCTGGTCGGTCTTACGAGCTTGGCAATTGCTGTGCGAAGGATATGGATGGACAGGAAACTGCGTTTCTACGATCTAAAACGAAACTAAAGCTAACATTCTCCCCAATCAGTGCGCCAGTCGGTCCCGCTCCTGAAGCCCCTGTTCCAGAAGCGCAATGAGATCATCACCAGCCCAGAGATCCAGAGCGACTTCTGGATCCGCGTGTTCTCAAATGCTCCCGCCGAGATTGACGAGTACATTCTCCCCACGGACGCAGGTGCGCTTGGCCAGAGCCTGAAGAACCTGACTGTGCAGCGGTTCGAGGTCAACGACAAGGGCGAGGGCGAGCCACGCAGTCTGCGCTTCACCTTTGACTTCCACACCGGCGAGGAGAACCCGTTCTTCGAGAATGCCCAACTGGTCAAGGACTTCTACTGGCGCAAGCAGATCGTCAAGACCTCATCCGGCAAGCGCCGCACCTGGGAGGGCCTGGTGTCCGACCCTGTGCGCATCAACTGGAAGAAGGACATGGATCTGACCAAGGGTCTGCTGGATGCTTCTTGCGACCTGTTCGATGCCGAGAAGAAGAAGGGCGGTGACCGCAAGGCACTGCCCGAGTACGAGGCGCTCGTTAAGAAGGTCGAGGCTGCCGAGGCGGAGGCGCTGAAGGGTGATAATGAGGACGAGGAGGATGACGAGGATGACATGCCCAGCCCTGCCGGTATCAGCTTCTTTGCCTTCTTCGGCTACCGGGGCCGTGATGTCTCTGCCGAGCAGTCCAAGGAGGCCAACAAGGAGGACGCGGAGCGGTGGGCCAAGATCGCCAAGGGCGAGAAGGTCGAGGGTGAAGACGAGGAGGATGACGATGACGATGATCTCGAGGATCTTATCGACGACCTCGAGGAGGCTGAGATCTTCGAGGACGGCGAGGAGCTAGCCATTGCCATCGCTGAGGACCTCTGGCCCGATGCGCTCAAGTATTACGGTGAGTAGGAATTCTTGCTGTCAAAGGCCCAAGCTGATTTTGTTTTGTTTTCAGTGCAATCGTTCGAGATTGCCGATGAGCTCTCCGACGTTGACATCGATGAGATTATGGGCGAGGATGAGGACGAGGACGACGAGGAGGAGGGTGATGAGGAGTCGCGCCCGCGCAAGAAGGCTCGCAACTAAATCTAATTGCCCCGAAATGCCATGCTCCGTGATTGTTGATCCGGTATATCCGCACAGAAGATCACAGAACGATGAGAAGAATCAATACGAGGACGAGGGCGAAGATGAGCGCTGCGATGCAGAAGGAGGACATTGTGTCTAGTTCCAAAAAGTTAGCTCAGTAATTCTATGATTCCCATTTCTTTTGTCTTTACCTTCATTCTTGCGTACGATGTGTCGGATCCGCGCCATGCCCGTGTTCAGTTTGCCGCCCACGCGGTCCGCCAATGTGTCAACCTCGTCGATCATGCCAGCCTGGTCCTCCAGCTCGCGACCCATATCATTGGCCTGTTGGCGGAGGTTGCCCACCGTCCGAAACACGCCGTCCAGCTGCTCATCCTGCTCATGCATCAGCTCGGTCTGGCGCTGCTGCTCCATAGAAGCATAGTAATCGTCCCCGCCGCGCCGTTGATCTTCTTCGTCGAGCGCAGCGTCAAAGTCCGCCGGGTTGGGTAAGTTCGATGCAGCATCTGCAGTCGAAACGGTTTGCTGTAGCTCCTGGCGCATCTTCTCGATTTCTGCCCCGACATCGTCGACGAGTTTCCGGCGCCGCTGCACCTCCTCCAGCTCCAGGCCATAGCGATAGGGGTCGAGCTCGATTGCGCGCACGCTCTCGATCAGATCGTCCAGATCCGCGGTTAACTCGGTCAGTGTGGTCTCGAGCTCGGATCGGGCTTGCTTCAGCTCGGGATTTGAGGGGCTTTTGGCCAGTGACCGGATACGGAGGTATGAGGAGAACAGCGGCCGGCTGGACTGCAGCGTCGATAGGACGTCCCTGATCTTCAAAGTCAGCCCGATGGATTAAATAAACAAACAAATGACAATGGTTACTCACGCCTGGACTTGGAGGAAAGGGTCGGCGTTTTCCATGGTTGCGGTATGGAATGAGAGACGGAGAGTTCGGGGAAGGCAGGCCACAGAGTGTTGACCAGGGCATGCGGGGATGACTCAGCACGTAGGCCTGGAGTCAAAAAAGTTGAGAAAGAAAAGAAGTAGATCCTGCCTGCAACTCCATCCTGTATGGCTCGCCGCGATCCCCTTCCACTCGCAGACGAGTGGAAGGACCCAGATACATATATCGATGCCCTCCTGTCCTTCGCGACCTCGTCCGTCCAGTTCATGAACCTGTGCGGCGGCGTGCACATCCTCGACTTTCTGACGCGCGAACCCGATCTATACACTACCCTCTTGCCCGAAGACTGGCGCACATTCTTTGAAGCTCATGGCATTCACGACATTCTCCATTTACTCCTGCGAGAAGACATTGAGCCGTTGCGCAAGCAACCCAGTGTCAATCCCACATGGAACGGAGGCGCGTTCCCTCCCCAGACACTTCTGGACTACATACATGACATTCGCCGACTGAGTCTTCGGCGGGAGTTTACAACTCCAGCACAGAGTAGCCCACTGCCTCGACATCTTGAGGTGGGAATGAAAAAGAAGAAAATACACGAGGTCGAGAACTTCTCACGCTATGTCGGGTCTCTGTCCGATACCGTGGAAGAGCATCGTGGCGAACCGGTGTCACATATTGTTGACTTTGGATCCGGGCAGAACTATCTCGGGCGGACACTGGCCAGCGCGCCGTACCATAAACATATTATCGCCATTGAACGACGACACCAATATATCAGCGGGGCCAAAGGCATGGATGTTCACGCCAAACTGGCGGCCAAGAAGAAAATCATCTACGTGAATACCCGCAAGACGTCCTGCAATGACTGCAATGGTTCACCTGAGGTGTCTTCAGAAGAGAAAGTAAATGTCTCGAAGCCAGAAGACGCGGACCCACAGAAACCAGCCGAGGAGAGAGACACTGCTGGAGATGAGGACATCACTATGTTCAAAATGCTGGGGGAGATCAGCTTGGAACCGGATGAGCTGCTGGGCAGTATCAGGAAGAACAAACCAAAAAAGAAAGTTGAGAAGCCAAAGAGGGCCGATGCCCGAGGCCACCTCAGTTATATCGAACACGAGATTCAGGATGGATATTTGCAACCGATCATCCAACATGTTGTCGATCCTTCACCAGTGGTGGCCGAGAATGGAACAAGCGATGAAATTACAGTGCAGGTCGACGAAAAGAGACAAAGCAACGCCCGAGTCATGGTTGTATCTTTACATTCATGCGGCAATCTCGTCCACCATGGTGTACGATCTCTGGTGATGAACCCATCTGTCGTAGCCATTGCCATGATCGGCTGCTGCTACAATCTGCTGACTGAACGACTCGGCCCGGCTACCTACAAGCTTCCTATCCTGCGATCCCTTCATCCGCGGCTTAAAGAAACAGGGACCTCTTACGACCCGCACGGATTTCCTATCTCCAAATTGTACGAGGACTATGAGCACAGCGGCGGTAAGGGCATGAAACTCAACATTACGGCGCGTGCTCTGGCCGTCCAAGCGCCCTACAATTGGGGCCATGACGACAGCGAGGGATTCTTCACGCGCAACTTTTACCGAGCCCTCCTGCAGCGTATCCTGGTCGACCGCAACGTTGTGCCGAAGCCCGGCAACCCGACAGACCTATACGGAGATCAGCCAGGGCGGGGCGAGGCCGGCACCACAGCGTTGATCGTCGGATCTCTGCGCAAGGCCGCCTTTGAATCCTTCACCACGTACGTGCGTGCGGCAGTCGCTAGACTGAGCCGCGACGAAATCCACGGTGCCAAGGTACAGGAACAGCTGGGCAGCATGTCCGATGAAGATATTCACCGCTACGAGACCGAGTACTCTCGTACGAGAAAGAATCTCAGCGTGGTGTGGAGTCTGCTGGCGTTTAGCGCGCAGGTTGTCGAGGCGATTATCGTCGTGGACCGCTGGCAGTTCTTGCGGGAGCATGACGAGGTCAAGGAGTGTTGGGTTGAGCCGGTGTTTGATTATGGGTATAGTCCTCGGAACTTGGCTGTTGTTGGGATCAAGAAGTGAGTAATTACATGTATGACCATAGAACATAGAAGATATACATTACTTAGATTTATCCTGTTTCTAGACATAAAGTCTATCCTCGTTTCAAGTCGCTGGGCGAAGCGAGGGTCACGCCTTGCCTCTTTGGTATACAGAACAAGGCTTTGTTTATAAGACACAATAAAGTGACTTCTTGGAACATCAAATAAATCAGTCAGAAGAGCGAACGACCCAATTCTTCAGTTATCTAGTAGATCAGTGTGACCTGATCCTGATATGCCCACTCATGAGGTCTTGGACGTTCCGCATATCAGGCGCAAGTAGGGGAAAGGCCTAGTCTAACCTTGACAAAACCCATGAGCCGGCCCATTTGTCTAGAGATTTCGCTAATTGCTGAGAACCTTTCATCCATCCATCATTAGAGAGGAAGTTTTTATAAAGTAGATATAGCTTAAAGATGGCTTTATTAGGAGATATACGAACCACCGTTTGTAAGACTCATTCGATGCTATTATACGTATCTACAAAGCTGCTAAATACTGTATCTCAATATTTAAATAATTATTAGGCCAATGGCGTACCAAGTAAGTGAAGTCAAGCGCAATCCCAAGTCACCCGATATATTCTCGTTCCAGCAAGCTTCCGATAGAAGTTACTATCTTGATCTTTGAGTGGGTCTGCCCAGTTGACTACAACTCAGATGATGTTGAAAACTTGCGCAATATGCTTTCCGCATTTCAGTGGAAGTTGCCTGATTGGTTTTGGCGAAGGCGGCTAAAAGAAGATTTATTCTTCGAGTTAGATATTCTTAGGAGTTCTGACTCTCCAGTGAATTGGCAGATATTACAACTTGACTTGATGGGTCTTGTTTCAGATCGAAGATGGTATACTACCAACGGTCTAGCAAATCGTGAACGCATAGTCAGAAACATAATTCCTATCAAGAGGGGCTCGGGAATGAGTCAAGAGAACAAAAATTTTGCTTTCACAAGAATTGCTATCTGAATCAACTAATTCAACAATGCTCTCGAAGCTACATCATACATCCGAAGAGGTTTTATAGATACCTTAAGTTTTCTAGTGGGTGACCTAATTCGATTTTCCTATACCTTGGCGCTCCGTTTAGAGCTTCTAAGATGTTGTTTGGGCATGATAAACGCTTTATAGCGGGCTATTTATTCGTCTTTTTTTGGGTCAGTTGAATTACCAACATCGACTTTGAGCCTTGCCAACCTTATCGAACTCCTTTCCTCCCGCAACTAGTGTCTCGTGTCTTTCTCTGAATTATGGTCTCTGAATTATGGCAGAAGGTTTACTGCAGTATGAATGTTAAGCATACATCGGATAAATTCCATTAACATATGGCAGCTCAAATCGGTTTATTATAAAACACCCGATAAATGAATTTTCCGAACCCAGGGAACGACATTTGCAAGACTACAAGTTTCCGAGCGATCGAGGTGTATATAAATTACCCGCGGAAAAATATCCCTATTCCCCATGATAGTACGGATTACGTCGATTAGGGCGCGAAGTTCTTCGACTACTTGGAGTATCTTGACCGACCGCCTCACTTTCCCTTAAGCACGTGTTACAGGGATATACTGTTGAGGGTTTGTGGAGCACTCCGCAAAAATCGATCAATAACATGACTGAGACTCAAATCTGTTGCTAATATCTTGTGTCGCATCACAGGCTATCTGTACGCCCTAGTGCTGAGGAAACCAATTGAGGTGATTACAGTAATTGAAGAACTATCAAAGAGATTGCTGTTAAGAGCGCCTCACAACCTCAGGGGCTAGGTTCGTATTGGCACGTTATGACTCGGGTATTCCGAGTTGGCCTAATTACCATAAAAAGCATTAGGGAGACTAGGTGGATGCTGAACAGGAATATCTCATACTGGAAAAGCTAGTACGTGATCTTGAAGGTCCAGGTATACTGGTCAGCATTGCCGATATCAGCGCTGACATCAAGTACCAAAGAACCATTTGCCAGTTGCCGGGACGGGACCACAGCACCACTTTTAGAGCCCCCAACGACAGTGACGCGGTCACCGGCAAGGTAAGGCACTAAATCAGGGACGACGAGGACACCCTGAGGCTGACTCATAACGTGGATGTAAAAGGCTTCTTCAGTAGTGGTGTATCGAAAGACACCCGTGCCAGGTCCACTGGGCCAGTATTTGGTATCAAAGATACTTTCCGAATGAGCCTTGAACCACTTGCCCGCTTCTCGCAAGTGACTAGACATAACATCAGCAATGGAGCCGTCTCCTCTGGGCCCAATGTCCAAGAGAAAGTTCCCGTTCTTGGCGACGATGTCGACGAGCGACGTGACCACATCCGAGGCAGTCATGTAGGTCGAGTCAGGGGTCGCAGCGTTAAATCCAAACGAGAACGGATCCATCCCACGAGTGGCCTCCCACGGTGTGGTTGTTAACAGTGTGGAAGAGGCGTATTCTGGCGTCTGGAAATCGCCGTCGATGCCGCCGCAGCGGTTATTGATGGTCACTTGGCGGTTCTGCTGTCGCGCAGCGTTGATCCATGGTGCAGCGAATTGCGGTGCCATGTTTGCGCCGCCAATGTCGCACCACATGATGTCTGTGTCATAGTCGTTGGCGAGGATGTTCATCGACGGTAGCTGGAAGTCGGCCACATAGTCACCAACCTCAACTAAGCCTGTGTATGGCACAGTTTCGTTGGTATATGGATTTTTCGGGGGACCTGAACAGTCTTAGTAGAAGGACTCCTTTAACCCTCCTCCGGAACACTTACCAACACCAAATTCACCATCCATCGTATAAGGGGTGTAGAGCGGATTGAACCACTCTGGCAGTGAGTAATAAGTACCTCGGTGGAGATGCGGTTGGTATTGCTTTGCGGCGTCAAAGATTTCCCTGAGGAAGTCCCGGTGTGGGTTCTGTGCTACCGAGTTTCGCTCCGAGATAGAGTCAGACATGTTGAACAAGGCAAACCCATCGTGGTGCTTGGTGACTTGGACGAAATATTGCGCGCCGGCATCGGCAAATAAGTCGACCCAGTCTTTGGGATTGAAGCGGTCTGCTGTGAAATTGGCAATGAAGTCATCGTAAATGAATAGTGGCCCATAGTGCTCCAGACCCCACTGGTATGTTTGAGTCGGGTCCTCGGGGTTCATTTGATGAGACCAGTACCTTTCTTGGTTAATAATGTAGTAACGCTAATATAATCATATCATGCCCCACTTACCACTCGGCATAGCTCTCATTGGCGCCCACATTTCCCCAGGCGGGGATTGAGAAAAGTCCCCAGTGTATAAAAATGCCAAACTTTGCCTTTCTCCACCAGTCCGGAGCTTCATGCTGGTCCACAGACGACTGCGTCGGATCGTAGGTGGGAATTCCGTATGTGGCGGCGATGTCCAGGGAGCTTTTACCTTGGGATTCCCATTCTGCGACAACAGTTGCTGGGCCTGATGATCCATCTGCAACACCGGGTTTGTTGACCACGCCAACTTCAACTATAGCCGTGTCATTGGGCCGGAGTCGTTTCACTGAAGCTGGCCGTGCAGTGATCAAGCCGGGAGAGTCCACATATACTGTGAGCTTGTCTTGCGTAGTCAACCAGGTATTGCCTGTATTTTTGACGGCCACATCGAATATCTGGACCTCAGAGCTGCCCTCGAACCATCTGGTCGAGGAATTGGCCTGAATTACGCTAACGCTTAGGGCGGCTTTTCTGGATTAGCAAGTCCAATTGATGTTGCCGCAGATGAGAGAAATGGCTTACCAGCCCGAGACACAGGATTGGCAACGACAGTGCTGGCTGCTAAGAGCAACAGTGGAGCTCTAGCTACGTACATTGCAAATAAAGTCATGGTCAAGCTATCAATATGAGGAATTAAACAAATTTTGCGAGCTACAGAGATTTCCTCGACCCTCCAACCCGGAACTTGAGCACCACTTTTATACACTACCATACAGCATTGCGGCTTCCCGATGTGATGCTGTGGTTTGCATCTACTAATACCCGACGGACGGGTATTTCTCTTGATCCAGCTCAGCATGACAAGGGGACGGTCAATTAGGTTGCTGTAAGAACGAATGTCTGACGGTCTGTGTGTTGCGAGAGGGTAACGTTCTCGGCCACGCAATTATCCGCAGCCCGTAGCGCAGAAAACGATTGCCATTCAGAGTTATTGTCCTATTTCAAATGCAGAAATTGATATTCAGTTTCATGTGATCAATTTGCATATTACTAGTGCCATAAACATGGCATGGAAGGCGGGGTAGCAAGCGGGGGATTTTCTTCAGTGTGATTATCTCACGCTACATCACTCGCCAACTGTTGTTCTTGACTGTTAGTTTGCCCATTTCTCCGTTGACTGACGACCATTTAGACATAGCCTGTGAATGCCCCGCATAAAAGATGGGATAGGAGGAAAAGATTGCCGATTACCGAGACATGGGAATATTTGTTGCATCGTGGGGTTTCGATCTGCGCATGCCGATCCTAGAAAGAGACCTAAAGGCTGATCCAATTCGAAATCAACATTGTAGTTTTCGATCGTCACACATTGAGGACACCACTACAGCAGACATGATTCCCATATCTCGTCTATCTGCTTGCCCTCGCCCGGTCTTATCAATGTGCTTCGACGATTCAAGCGCAGCTTTCGCCTTCTTCTCCCCAGCAAGCAGTTCCTGTTGGGAGGGATTTTACTTCGTTCTCAATTGAGTACAGCCATCTTCCATGGTTTGCAGGGCCGTCTGTTTCCAATTGACCATCGCAAGGATGCTTCCCTCTGACCGTTCAATACATTAGGGAATCGTTCTCAGCCCAACCAGTTCTCTATCAATCTCTTGTCTAACCTGGGTCGCATGACGGGGTTGAAGCCCGTGGTTCGCGTGGGGGGAAATACGCACTGTGTGCTCTTCTCATCGCTTCAGTGAGAGACTTAGTCTTGTTCATATTAAATCTAACCCTTAGTCAAAGACGGCATCCATTACAATGCATCCCTAACTGTTCCCGAGTATACCCGCGGCTCAGCAACCGGACGACCACCGGCCTCCAATCTACATCGGCCCTTCGCTCTACTCATCTTTCGACACCTTCCCCAGCACTCGGTACATCCCAGGTGTTAATCTGGCCATTAACGGCCCCGCAGAGACGGCGACTCGGATAATCGAGGTCTAACTTACATGCAAGGCTCTCGGCAGCAGTTTGTTCAAGTTCGAAGTTGGGAACGAGCCAGATCATTACATTAACTACTTCAGGATACCCGCTAACAGGACAGTTAGAGAATATGTGGAGGAATAGCTCCAGGGCAGCCAAGTAGCTGTAGGTGTGATGGCCAGTGCCTGCCCACAGCTCGTTACACAGTCAAGTGGCTTCTTTGCGCCGAGCTTTGGCGGCACCGATCTCGGCAAAACGTTTTCAGGTCTGACGGCGTTCCAGAGCGGGCAGAATTCGCGGCATGATACCACACAGATATCGGTGCACGAGTGAGTTGGTCTGTTGGTTTTGTGCAAAATACCAGTCAACCTGATTATGTTCTATCTGGCAACTATATGGGATCGGCAACTAATCTCGACGTCAGCCTGTAAGGGACACTAATGAATTACAGCTCTGTTATGCAGAGCCTCGCACCCACGTCACTCTCGCTACCGAGTTGCGCAACTTCACCACTGTGCTGTACGTCCTTGGGGAGACCAACAGTCTCAGCAGCGGCGCACCGCTGGGCTCAGTAACGTCTTCGGATCGGCCATTAGATAGCATGTGGTCCCATCCATAGAGTCCGAACAAATAATTGATAATAGCTTTATTGTTGATTCTCACGAGAAGACAGTTCTTCCTATTACGCAAACTGCACATCTAAGCGGGCAATAAGCCCTAATATATACATATGAATCGAGATAGACTTTGACAAAGAGTCGATTTTGCCCCAGCGCCACTTTGCTTGATGAAACCATCCGCAGCAACAATAAATCCTTCCAAGTTTTCATCGACGTCACACCAAAGAATTCATAAAGTTTATGGTACTCGAGATACTGTATGCCGAAGCAAGCCTCTCATTTATAAAGGTTTGTTTGGCTTGCTGGGAAAGTAGGCACGTGGGCTCACTCCTCACAAATGGCATCACCATAGGCTAAATCTGTTTCATCTCTTCATAAGGATCCGGGTACTTCACACAAAATACCCCACTGTGCGGATTAGACAGAAGGTTGACCGTCAGCATGAAATGTTAACATCGAGTTTGGTAGGCCATTGTTAGTCCTCAGGGGTGGTGTGGCGCTGGCCCATAATGTCTCAATTGCCCCGCATTCGTCACGGAACTCTATGCTTATCCTTTTGCACAACTTCTGCAGAGTTCCGTTCCTCGGTAGTTTTTTCCCTAATGATCACTGACTAGGGCAGGGGTATTTGCGGGGAAGATTTCAATGTTGATTTTAAGTCCTGGGATGGTTTATTTGCCTCAATATAAATGCATAGAGTAATATTATACTATTGTCTTCGGGACAAAGAGGGTCAGATTGAACGATGACCAGGAGATACCTATAGGAATAAATATCAGACTTTGGGAGTAAGACATGAAACATTTCGAGTATAAAGCCAAGGAATTCAAAAGGCAACAGACCCTTACCTCTTCAAGTAAGCTTCGGCCCGACCTGCCTGAACTCCAGCCATGTAACACGTTGTTTTCTTTTAGCCATAGGCTAAAATGCTGGCAAATACATCTTCGTCTAGCCTGATGATCGCATTGGCAGCGCCCATCGACAGATTTATTTTTGCCTGCAGAGTGGTTCCGTAATTGGGCCTGAAGGATTAGCCGATGGCAAAATCTGGGGAACTTCCATATTGCCGGCGATATGGTCGAAGGAAGGATAAAGGTAGATGATCGCCTTTTGCAGAATTCTCGATGACCAACAACAACCTCTTCTACTTCTAACTGTCTTACTGTGCTCCATAACAACATGGTCTCCTTTTCTTCCCTGGCCTTTGGCCTCTCCACTATCCTGGTAGCCCAGGGCCTTCCTAGTGACGTGTCTAGAGATATGTCTAAGCGCCAGACGATCACTACCAGCCAGACTGGCACTAATAACGGTTACTACTATTCCTTCTGGACTAATGGAGATGGCACTGTAGACTACACCAATGGTGCTGGTGGTGAATACAGCGTCACTTGGTCCAACGCCAACGGCGGTGACTTTACCTGTGGAAAAGGCTGGAATCCAGGCAGCGCGCAGTAAGTAGATCTAAGAAGCTCACATGAGCAAGGTCATTGACATGCACACCTCCCTAGGGATATCTCATTTTCCGGTACCTTCAGTCCAAATGGAAATGCCTACCTGGCCGTCTATGGCTGGACCACTAGCCCCCTGATTGAGTACTACATCATGGAAAGCTACGGAGACTACGACCCGGGCTCTAGCATGACCCACATGGGAACCGTCAACAGCGATGGCGCTACGTATGACATCTACACCCACCAACAGGTTAGTGATTATCCTAGGTCGTCTAAAAATAGTTCTATTCTTAGTGTATCCACAGGTCAACCAGCCCTCAATCAGCGGCACGGCCACCTTCAACCAGTACTGGTCGATCCGTCAAAGCAAGAGATCCAGCGGTACCGTCACCACAGCTAACCACTTCAATGCATGGGCCGCACTTGGCATGAATATGGGCGCATTCAACTATCAGATCTTGGTCACTGAGGGTTATGAGAGTAGCGGCTCTTCTTCTATTACCGTATCGTCTGGTGGATCTTCTTCTGGTGGTGGTGGTGGTGGTGGCAGTGGTAGCACTACTACTACTACCACTACCGCTTCTGGTAGCACTTCTACTGGCAGTGTAAGTTGACATTGAATGTTGTGCTTGTGGACGAAGAATTGACTTTGATCGTAACTAGTGCTCTGCTCTATACGGCCAATGCGGTGGCACTGGGTGGACTGGAGCAACCTGCTGTGCCTCTGGCACTTGCAAGTACGGAAATGCGTACTACTCGCAGTGTCTTTGAGGTGTGGTAACATGTTGGAGCTGGGAGGTGGGAGAGGGAGACTGAGCACATCGGGATAGTTTTCATGGTTTGGATAGGTTCGGATAGCTCTAACGAGTCAGTGTTATTGCAATAAATGACTTGTGCATATATGCCAAAAACCCCAAGATCCAGTGCGCTACACATTACTGGTAAGAAACAGATGAGTGTTCAAGATCTCGCAAACTTCATGTAAGATACAATATCTATTCTGGGAAACCGAGGATCGACTACTATCCTGTATTTGGATTAGCGTTTTTCAGGTTGGGGATCTTGGATAATTTGTGAGTGTACGTTGATATATCTGGTATCGAATATCGCTATATTAGTCCTGTCTAAATATCTAGTAATGTACATGCCACCCATGGATGCCTATATCACTCTCAACCGATCTCCACACTGCCCTCCGGCACACCCTGCCGACTGCGCAGCCTGCGCGCAAAGAATTGCATGACGGGCAGCATCTCATCACGATTCGAAGGCATGCCATCGCCCTTCCTCGCATACCGACTCAACTCAACAAACTCAAATACCTCTTTCGTTCTGCGCACCGCCGAATCCGAAACAACCAGTGAATCCCGTCCCGCAACGAGCAACACAGGCGTCCGATTCTTCGCACCGCCCGACTGTTCAGACAGCGCAAATGGTGCCCCAATGGAGACCACCCCGCCCATTTCTTCCCGTTCTATTTTCCCCAGTGCCCGCGCCAGCGATAACCCAACCATCCCGCCCTGCCCGAGCCCAAGCACCATGATCTCCCTTGGCCGGTAGCCGCATTTACCCATCAATGTGTCACGCACGACATCATTAACTAGCAATGCCGTGGCGCGTGTGAACCCGGCGTCCATGTCTAGCGCTCCCGTCGACGAGTCGAAGGAGACATCGTCGCCCCAGTGGAAGCCGCCCAGGTCAAAAGGGAGCGGGGCGGGCGCTTGCACGGTGACGATCGTTGTCTCGGGGAGGTGGAGCGCGCGCGCGAAGGATGTGAATCCCGCGGCGGTGTCGCCGAGGCCGTGGAGGAGGAGTAGGATGTTTGGTGCTGGGGTCTGGGCAGGGCTAGGTGGGTGGGTGATGGTGAGGGTGAGGGCGGAGGGGAAGTCGGATTGGAAGGGTGATTTGGTGGGCATGTTGTGGTGGTGGTGGTGGCTGTACACTGGGTCTATTTGGAGAGCAATCCTAATAATAAGGATGGGGCTGAACCGGAGGACCGCCGCGTGTGGCGCAGCTGATGGAGGGGCTGACGAGGATAGTGGATTGGTATTCTCCGTGGTACGGCCGTGGTATCGTGGCTGCCTGGCGGGATCAACATTGGCGAGACATCGGCAAAGCCATTCAGGATTGCGTTTCAAGTGGAATCATGACATCGGATTGTTTCATGATGGCCTAGTAATATATTGCATGGCTTCATCGATCGACTTCCAGCGACCTAGGGGTGAAGGATATCAATCAAGACATGATTTTCTTTGGTGCTCTTGGCCTGCATTCAGAGACGTAGAATACGCAAATTGACTTTCCACTGCCACTAGGACAGGGACCGCTGATGTACCCCATATGTACTCCGTGCTCTAGCTAAGGATCATCCTCCCGCCGTTCGTATTAGTGTGGCTGATGAATACGCAACCAACAGCACACCACAGCCACAGCCACGGCACACACGAAAAGTACGTAATAGGATTCTAGAGTCCATAGCGGCGTCAATTCAACTATGCTTGAAATCCGCTACACGCTTCAATTCTCACCGCTACTTACTCCCAGTGACACTCCGCAAAGACATCCTGTACCCCATGTCGAGACCGGCCGGATCGCTCATAGGGCAGCAGGGACAAGCCTCGGAGAGGAAGCTTGGATTTCTTGGCTCGGCGGTTCTTGGCGTCGGCGATTATAATGCAATTGTGCATGTGCTAGTACATCGGCAGTACCGCTAGTGCATAGTGTTCCGCCGGGCTCTTCGGGCTTTGCATGCTGTGCTGATCAACGGCAATCATAATAATCATAATAATCATAATCATAATAATAATAATGTAGCTTGTGTTTCAACACGGTCCTCACAACAGTACCGGGAGTGTATAGTTAGGCCCCCGCCATCCCCTGGTACGCGCCACTGGGCGATACAGAGGGCGCCACTTTCATCCACGGGGAACGCTGTGAATGGGCAATCGTCGTGCTCCTCGCTCAGCTCGGATACATACCCTAGCGACCCATACGATCTGCCCCACTAGCGAGGCCCAAATACCGACGCAGCCCTGCGAGCGAGCCGTGGTCCAGCGCCTTTCATGGGGCCGCTGGCGCCTATCAACAAACACTCAGAGCCCGTGGGACCCGGCTGAGACAGTGAGAGCTCCTGACGAGATGGAGGAGGGTGTCTTCTGGAGTCTTCGGTCGTCAGCGGTTGCTTGCTTGCGCTACCTATAAGAATCCCTTCCTCGCCCCTCTGGGTTCGTTCTTTCTTCATCACTCAACGCTCTTCATCCATCTCTATCTCACCACTTTTCAATCACCCCCTTCTCATATTCACAATGGTTTTCGGCTGGGGTAAGTCTCGCTCTGCACGTCCCTGCCATCCTTGCCGCATGCACATGTACACATATGCACGATACTGACGATCGATGCAGGCGAATCCGACGATGCTCACCGTCAGGTGTACGGTGGAGAGCAGCACGAGAGCCACTTCTCGCATGAGCTCATTGCCGGCGCTGCCTCGTTCGAGGGCATGAAGCTCTGGGAGGACCACCAGCGCAAAGAGGGTATGTATACAATACATCCCTATCACCACGGATCATCGTCAATAGTCGCTAACATAACCCCTCCCCTCCAGGCAAGCCCGTCAGCCACTCTTTCGCCAAGGAGGCCATCGCCGGCCTGGTCGGCGCGGAGGTGGACAAGCTGGCCGAGACCAAGGGCATGGATGAGGTTGACCGCCTCAAGGCCCGCGAGCACGCCAAGCGCAACGCAGAGCACATGTACGATGAGCACTACGTCCGGGGCCAAGGTGCGGACCAGTACGACCCTCAGCGCTACGGCCGCCACGAGCGCCAGGAGCGCCGCGGCTGGTAAATGCGAGGCGTGGAAATGAATGACCTGCTTTTTTGATGTGAAATAGTTTCTCCAGTGCTCTCTGTATGTACAGGACAATGAGAACCATGCCTTGATGGACCTGCTTGGTGATGATGTAGATGATACGGACTGTAGTACGCAATAATTGTCCGGAAGTCCGGGAAAAGTCCGACAGGGCTGCATTCGCCAACCCGTCGTCGCCGATGAGAAGCGCCGGGCACATTCCTGCATTCCAGTCCAGATGCAGACCTCGTCACCTTCGGGGACTTGTTGGCTCGAATAGCGGGGGTGCAAATACGCCGGCCATTGCAATTGAGACGGAGGCGTGGCAAACGTGGGTGATTATAGTGTAATCATACAATGTACGGGGAGGGTTCGTGGGAGTGTTGTTGTAGTTGGAAGAAGGTGAAGCCAACTCAACATACTTGAATGCCTCAGGCCAGCACGCCATGAGCTCATCGCAGCACGTGCGCGTCCGGAAGCTTTGATTGCTTCGATCCGTACCTCTGCAAGTACCGGGTACCAGGGAATGGCCATGGTACAGGCGCGGGCGGCTGAAGTATCTGGTACAGCAGGTTTTTTGTGTCCTTCTCTTTTTCTTTAACTTCCTCTTTCTTTCTCCGTTTGCTGCATCCTCCCAAAAACACATCCTGCGTGCCCTCGATTATTATTCTCCGACCGCGCGGGGATCGCTCCCTTCTTTTTCGACCGTCCAATCCGCCTCCCCCGCCCAGCTCGTCCAGTTGTTCTCGGAGATCATGCCGTGAAGCTGCTGGCCCACGATGAAATTCGCCAAGTTGGTTGCTTCTCCCCAACTGAGCATTCCGGTGGCTGACCCAACTCTCCGTACAGAGAGCTAGAACACGAACTCGTCCCCGAATGGCGGGCTAAGTATCTGGACTACAAGGTACGCTCTTCTCTCCGTGTGCCACAACCTGAAGCATTCGTACCTGGTTGCCAACCGTGACACACCCGCATCTAGACCGGCAAGAAGAAAGTCAAGGCCCTCACACGCGCCCTGCAAAAGGCCCAGCGCAGTCCTTACACTCCGTCTCTCCGAGCACCCACCCCTGCCGCCCAGGGAGCCCCCCGTCCCGACAACCTCGCGCCGTCCAACTCGAATAAGCCTCTGGACCGACCCCGATCGAATACCAACTCTCGTTCCACGCCGAACCCACGAGCCGAAAGACAGCCGTTGCGGACACGAAAGTCGCGTCCCTCACCACACGTGGGGAACCGGAGCTATGGGAGTATCATCGCAACGCCGCCTCTCCACGGACAAGGGTCGGATGCCGAATCCTTTGAGCTCCCAGACCCGGCTCTGGATCCGGAAGAGGAGTATGGACCCCCGGAAGGCGACGCCGGTCTCTCCAATAAGGTGAAAACACCATCACCGATCTTGCCCAGACGCGCTACATTTGGAGATCTGCCTGCGCGCGATGAATCTGCCGCGCGAAGGCCGTCTTTGACTCAGCAGCAGTCCTTTAGCAGCCCGGGGGCGGTGCTTCGAACAAAAATGAACCGGGGAATCGCACATCCAGCCTTCTCCGCCGTGTCTTTTCCAACGCAGAGGGGGCATCTCCGGGCAAGCGAACACAATATAATTACCACCCCGACGTGGAGAAGCGAGAAGATGAATTCTTTGCCTTTCTGGATAGCGAGCTATCCAAGGTCGATTCTTTCTATGAGATGAAGGAGGAGGAAGCCCTACAGCGCCTACAGGTTCTTCGCCAGCAGTTGCATATTATGCGGGATCAGCGGATTCAAGAATTCATGGCCGCCAAACGAGCCGCAAAGGATGATGAGGCTGAGATGCAGGCAAGATCCAATGGGTTTGGAAAATTCAATGATCGTCTCAAAGATACTCTGACAGGGAAACCCCGGTTCGGCAAGAACTCTGAGGCTTTGGCGGAGATGGCAACTCCAGGGTTGCATGGGCGAAATCATGATTTCATTGTCAACCGCAGGGACTTTATGCGGCGACATGACCCGCATAGCCACGAGGTGTCCTACCGCACAGCCAAAAAGAAGCTGAAGCATGCCCTCCAAGAATTCTACCGTGGGGTGGAACTCTTGAAGGGATATGCTTACTTGAACCGAACCGCCTTTCGGAAAATCAACAAGAAGTACGACAAAGCAGTTAATGCCCGGCCTCCTCTCCGATACATGTCAGAGAAGATCAATAAGGCGTCATTCGTGCAGAGTGAGACGCTTGAGAGTCTGATGGTCACTGCCGAAGACTTGTATGCCCGCTATTTCGAGCGAGGCAATCGCAAAATCGCGGTATCGAAGCTTCGACATACAATCATGAAATCTGGGGACTACTCTCCTAGCACGTTCCGCGCGGGACTGATGTTGATGGCCGGGGCATTGTTCGCTATCCAAGGACTGGTATATGCTGCTCAGCACCTAAGTTCTGGAGATAGTGAGATCCATACCCGCACGAGCTATTTACTTCAGGTTAGTACCCTCCTTATCGGTCAAGTCCACAGCTGATAAATAAAAGATTTACGGCGGGTATTTCCTGGTCACGTTTCACGTCTTGCTCTTCTGCGTGGATTGCATGATTTGGACGAAGTCGAAGATCAACTATGCGTTTGTTTTTGAATATGATACTAGACACACACTGGAGTCGCGTCAGTTGCTAGAGGTAAGCACCTCGGCGGGACAACACAGATTTGGGGTTCTAATATTGCTCGCAGATTCCTTCCTTCTTCTTTTGCTTGATGGGCCTTTGCATGTGGCTCAATTTTTCGTGGACTAATGCCATGTACATTTACTGGCCTGTCGTGCTTATTGGCATCACGGTCATCTTCATCTTCTTGCCAGCTCGTATCCTTTACCATCGGAGTCGAAAGTGGTGGGCTTTCTCGAATGTACGCAACCCTTCTTTTTAACTCCTGACAATCGTGACTGACTCATGCAGTGGCGCCTTTTGCTTGCCGGGATTTACCCAGTTGAATTCCGTGATTTCTTCCTTGGGGACATGTACTGCTCTCAGACCTATGCGATGGGGGTAAGACACTCCTCTTTCTTTGGGCCACGAGAATACTAACTCCATTATAGAACATTGCGCTTTTCTTTTGCCTTTATTCAGTACACTGGAATAACGCAGCTCAATGCAACTCCTCGCACTCTCGACTGCTGGGATTCTTCACCTGCCTCCCCTCAGTATGGCGTGCTTTCCAGTGTATCCGTCGATACGTGGACACCAAAAATGCGTTTCCCCATCTTCTCAATCTGGGCAAGTACATATTTGGTGTCCTCTACTACGCCACCTTGAGTATGTATCGCATCGACCGTGACAAGCGATACCAGGCTTCGTTCATCACTTTCGCTCTCCTCAACGCCGTTTATACCTCCGTGTGGGATCTGATCATGGACTGGAGTTTGGGCAACCCGTACTCCAAGCACCCGCTTCTCCGTGAGGTTCTCGCATTTCGCAAAGCGTGGATCTACTACGCAGCCATGGTGGTCGATGTGGTCGTCCGCTTCAACTGGATCTTCTACGCCATTTTCACCCATGAAATCCAGCACTCGGCCGTGCTCAGCTTTGTGGTCTCATTCACCGAAGTCTGCCGCCGCGGTATCTGGTCCATCTTTCGCGTCGAGAACGAGCATTGCACGAATGTGCTTCTTTTCCGCGCCTCGCGAGATGTGCCCCTTCCATACGAGGCCTCTGCACCTGTCAGAGTCACCCCAGCCGTCGACGGCGGCGAGTCTCCTGAGGATATGCAGCTCCAGGAACAGCCCGTCGACGCCACGCCATTCTTGCCCCCCGAGGACATTGAGCACGGCACGCCCTCTGGGACGAGTCCTCGAGCACGTCACCGTCGTCCCTCGGCGGGTGTTGTCCGTGTCGGTACGGCCCTTGCCTCTGCCCACGCTCAGGATTTCCAGCGACGCCGTCTTCCAACTTACTTCTCGAGTACTACCGTGGCGCATCGCGGCTTGGATCGCAGCACGGATGATACTAGTGACGAAGACGAGGCACTAGATGACATGACTGATGAGGACTTGGGGCTTACTGCGGACGGTACCCATCACGATCAACATGCTGAGTAGCCTGGTCCATCATTTGCGGTTCCTTTTGTGAATCTCTGATGATGGGAGTTCATACACATAGATGGCTTAATTAATTCTCTCAATAAATATTGCCAATCACTATTATCAGAATCATGGTTCAGAACGTATACATCTGTTATCTTATCGAGGTGTGGAGGAGGGCCACGTGATTCACGTCACATGGCCCTAACTCAGGCATGTCATCTGCGCCTCATCATCGTTGCATCTTCTTTGCTTCCTGTCAGCCTCGCCCCATCATCTCTCCCTCATCCATTCTGCTCCAACATACCGCTCATCGATCAGATACTAGTCGGCCCGCGAACAACCATGGCAGCGAATGCCCGCTATGAACCCGCTCCACAGCGGGACTCCTTCGAGGACCGCCCGTACACCCACGCGCCGCCTTCGTACCAGGCCACTGATGACTTTGCAACGGAACCGCGCAGTGAAGGGGATAATGTTCCGGATGACTTCAAGGTATGTCTTCTCGTCTGAAGAGTGTTGGGTTTATTATGTGGTGGATGAAGCTGACATGGGTGTCTGGTATAGTTTGGCGGGATGGTGGCGGAGGCTACCATTGATATCCGAATGCAGTTCGTGCGGAAGGTGTACTCGATCTTGTAAGAACATCCCCTCTCTCATAACATCCAGATATGACTTCCCAAAGTTATGGACAAGGTCACCTTAAACTGACACGCATCTCCAGAACCGCGCAAATCCTCCTCACCACGGTCTTGAGCTCCATCTCCTTCTTCAACACCACCTACCGCACCTGGATCCAGTCCAACTTCTGGCTCATGATAATATCCGTCTTCGGCGCGCTGGGTTTCATGCTAGCGACTTACTGGAAGCGCAAGTCCTACCCGACCAACCTCCTCTTCCTGACGGGATTCACCGTGCTAGAAGCCTACTCCATCAGCGTGGTGACCTCCTTCTACGACGCAAGGGTTGTCGTGCAAGCCCTCATCCTGACTCTGGGTATCTTCATCGCTTTGACCCTCTTCGCATGCCAGACGAAGTACGACTTCACGAACTGGATGCCCTACCTCTTTGGCGCGTTGTGGTTCATGATTCTCTTTGGCTTCGTCGCTATGTTCATGCCCTTCAACAGCGGTGTTGAAATTGCGTATGGCGTCGTCGGTGCACTGGTGTTTTCGGGGTATATCCTCGTGGACACGCAGCTCGTCATGCGGCATTATCATGTCGAGGAGGAGATTGCGGCGGCCATCTCGCTCTATCTGGATGTGCTGAATTTGTTCCTGTCTATTCTGCGCATTCTGAATGGGTCGAATAATAACTAGACAGAAAGAGAGAGAATGCATCTGGTTGGTGGTCCGGTGGGATTGGATGTTCAGATGAGGAGCGGGTTTCCTCTCGGATAAGAAATTGTATCTCTTTTGGCTTTATTTTCTGTTTACACACATATGACATTACAAACGCACCTCGCCCAACTGCTGTAGTCTCTTAACCTTGATCAATCCATATTTTGCTCGCATTGCTTAGTTGCCATGGACAGTCTCCGCAGTTGATCTGGATCTAGATCTCCGTACACCCCTGAATTCTATACTACGCTCCTTCATTCCCCAATAGATTCCCCCTGGATTAGTTTATATATGGTCTGGTCAGGTAATAAGCCAGTCCCTGTGAACCTTTGACAGACCATAAAGCGGCGATGGTTTCTTACTCGAGTGGCTGCTGCCTAGATTACGAGCTTGGAAGCTTATTTTCTCCACCCCGTAACTCCGCTCACAGAGCAGACAAACCGACATATATGAATTAGCCTCGAATTTGGACATTGTCCTTGTGCTGGGAAACCCGACATAGCTTCTATTTCCTAATGCACAAAACGCGCCGAATAGGGAGAGGGCGGTCCCGAACAGGCTGCACCACCTGCAAGTGAGTGGATCGACCAGTCTTTTTTGCTTGTGCTCTAATACCCCTGTTAGGGCCCGACATATTAAATGCGACGAGGCAAGACAATCATGCACACAGTGTCTATCCTCCGGGCGCATCTGCGAAGGGTATGACTTTTCATCGGCTCGACTCAAATTGAAGCAGTGGGCACCGCCATCACCGACGGATTCAGCCAATGCGTCTCCCGAACAAGCGCTCGAAACCCTTCAAGCGAGCCCTATTCAACGCTACTACTTTGAACTCTTCCGACAACGGTTAGCCATCAAGTGTTCTAGCAGGTTTAACGTGCCTCTCTGGACGGTTACGATGCTCCAGGCCAGTTACACGAATCCGTCCATTCTCAGTGTTCTCGTTGCCATTTCGGCCTCGATTGGAAGAGAGCTTGTGCCAATATCGGATTCATCTTCACCGCCCCCTTCTGTATTTTATCAAGAGGCCATGTTTGAAACTCGTCGGCTTCTTTCCCGCACTCGTCCGTCTTTGCAGACGATAGTTCTCTGCTGCATCGGCCTCACTACCCTAGAGGTTCTTCGGTGCCAATATCCCGCTGCCTTGATTCACCTCGAGAGCTGCATCAAATTACTTAACACAAATAGTGACATGGCGGGACTAAGCCACCGATTGCTTGATCGAGAGGTTCTTCAGGGAATCATGGACCTTGATCATCACGCCTCGCAGTATCTGGATGGTCGTCCACCCTTGCTATCGATTAACCCTGTACCACTGCGTGGAGTGGATCAATCAGCCGTCATCACAGACGCATTCAACTCTCTGGAGACCATATCTCGACGCATTCTCCGCTTCACTCGATTAAAGGCGGCTGAGTACTGTGCAGACAACCTAGGACAAGCGGCCCTTGAAGTCTATGCTGAGCTGCAGAGCCTCCTAGCGGATCTCTCTGCCTGGTCAATCGAATACTCAGACGGGCTATGGGACGTTTCTCACGGAGAAGATGAAGAAGCGAGCTTCAAAGCAAAATTGCTTCTGATGCAGCACTCTCTGGTGTTGTTGGAAGCTTCGACATCCCTCTATGCCGAGGAAAGTGCATATGATAAGTTCGACGTTCAATTTACGCGGATAGTGGCTCTGGCGGACGACCTCAGGTTCAGCCCTATATTTGCGCTTGGATTCTCTGCGGAAATATTCGGGATGGTGAAGCCGCTGTATGTTACAGCCCTCAAATGTCGTAATTTCAAGATCCGTTATCGAGCCCTACATCTGCTGAGCACCACCTCTTGTGAGGAGGGAGCCTGGTCATCGACAGTCATGGGCCCCATTGCCAAAGCGGTAACAGAGCTCGAGGAGCGCTGTCGCGTTTGGGATAATCATGAAAGCCACATTGCTGAGAGACACCGCGTCCATTCGGTGGTCTCGGATATTGACCATCAGAATAAGACCGCAACGACTAAATGCACGCTGCGTCCGAATGGAATGGACGGGGAATGGGAAACAATGACGGTGATGGCGGATTGGGTCTAGCCCGCTTTCCCGAGTATTATAACATTCGAAGCCGAGTTTTGGAAAATGGTCACAATTGTGCCATTCTGCCATGCTTCCCTAGGTTACTACAAGGATTGTTCCATCAGCGATGCGATAATGTAGTACCTCATCTGGGTGCAAACTCACAACTGAACGTGAAGCTGCTTGTCTAACCTTACCCCAGTTTATTGTCCCCAAGCGCCGTTGAGACGAATGAGGTGTATCCCGCAGGTATAGTTAAAGATCGTACCAATCAGAGAACATTTTTAATTCTGTCCGCTATGCCGAATTAGGAGATTTTTACGCAAGCCCCCACCTAAGAACGCCGCTAGACTCGCATCGCATTTCTTGTTTGCGCTTCGCATCGACCACGAGGAATTAAATGACAGGAAGGCTAAATATGGGATCCATTGTTGCCACACAGTACTATCCTACTTGTCCCAATACGGAAATATACTCGGCTGGGTTCTGATCGATTCGCAGATGCCTAAAACCAATTGAGATAAATAGCAGTACAATGCTATTATCTGCGCTGTTCGAGCATTCCAATCTTTGAAGACTATTTTGTTTATACTACCAATCGCGATGCGTGCCAGTGATATCAGCCTTGGGCTATTGCTGGCCGGAACGGCCCTAGCGTTCAACAACCCTACTTTCCTGACCCCTGTGTTCCCAGTGCCCCTGATTCCGGAAACAACCGAAGTATGGCACTCTATCAGACAAACGATAACCTCAAACCTCACTGGTGCCATTGCCGCCGCCAATGGTGGAGAGGGTGCAAATTCTGTCGCTATTCGAGCAATCTCTGTGCAGGAAGACAGTCCTTTGATCGAGTTCTATCACACGGCCAAGTCGATATCCCCGGCTAGTGTGCAGAAAGTAGGCGCAGACACGGTATTTCGCATCGGGAGTATCTCGAAGCTGTTCACTGTTTACTCTCTTCTCGTTCGTGGCGGCTTCGACATATTTGAGGGCCCGGTGACGAAATACGTCCCTGAGCTCCGAAAGGCAGGTCTGAACTCTACCGTCGATCCCATCGACGATGTCAATTGGGAAGAGGTCACTGTTGGTGCTCTGGCAAGCCAGTTGTCCGGCATACTGCGTGATTGTATGTCATTTTTGTCCTCCTCCGTATGATTCTACTAGCAGCCGTTTATTCGCTAACAGGTGTCCTTCCTCTACTAGATAACCACGCCGACTTGTCAACTCAGGGCTTACCAGTTGAGGACTTTGGACTGCCGCCTCTTCCACCCCACGACATTCCTAAATGTGATGGAGACGAATCTCAGCCTCCATGCACCCGCAATGGTTAGCAACTTAACTCGTGAAAGTCATCAAAGGCTCACATAACTACCATCTAGAGTTTCTCCAAGGCCTACAAGGTCTACACAAGCAGCCACCTGTCTTCCCTGTATGGGCAACGCCATCCTATTCGAACGCCAATTTCCGAATTTTGTCCTACATCTTCGAGAGTATCACAAATACGAGCTTTGTAAAAGGGGTAGAAAAAGACGTCCTTCGGCCCCTTGATCTCTCAAACACGTATACTATCAAACCACAAGACAGCGTCGGAATAATCCCAACGGGAGATAGTTTATGGGGTCAATTCCTTGGACAAGACTTGGCGTATGTTTTTCGCTTGAAATATGATTACTTATCGTCTCTTGATCTCAGACTCACATCTGTCGTTGAACAGGGCTGCGGGATTTTACTCTTCGGCAAAGGATCTGTGCACTTTTGGTGGCGCAATTTTGGGTAGTTCACAGCTGACGCCGGCGGAAACAAGACGGTGGTTAAAGCCACATTCGCACACGGCGTCGCTACTGCTTTCTGTGGGTATGCCCTGGGAGATATACCGGCAGCAAACAGGCGATCACGTTGTCGAATTTTATACCAAGGACGGCAGCTACGGTGCCTATAATTCGATATTAATACTCGTACCTGACTACGACATCGTGTTCAGCGTTTTAACAGCAGGCCCGGATTCCAATCTGGTGATCAATGCTGCGGAAATTGTGCGACAAAACATCATGCCAGCCCTTGAAGAAGCTGCGAGAAAGCAGGCAAAAACTCAATATGAGGGGGAGTATTGCCTCTCTTCAGATGGACAGATGACAGATCTGATTGCGCTATCGGTCGACGACGGAACAGGCCTTCTAGTGGACAAGTGGATCAGTAATGGTCGGGATTTTCTGGCCATCGCTTCGCAATATGCCGAAAACACAGGTAGTGGGGCACTACAGACAGTCCGACTCTACCCTAGCGAATTTCGAACCTCGGGGAAGGTGGCATTTCGGGCGGTATTCAACACTTCTTATCCAAGAACGAGTGGTGGTACCCCTCGGTTGTTTTCTCCAGGCCTGGAAGCGTGGAGCAGTGTTGACAATCTGATCTATGGACAGAAGCCAATGGATCTGTTCTTGTTCAAGATCGACTCCCATGGTGTGGCACAGACAGTTGAATGCAGCGGCCTGAGGAAAGTGCTGCCAAAGTGCTAGAGTCATAAAGCATCCAGCAACTTGTCTATCAATTAGCCCGATCTTGTTCTGTCTTAAGGTTGTTCTGGTCCGTAGCTACTATCTTCCATCGAGATTAGCATCCTGTTGCTATTGACCTTAAATGTCTAGTTGTAATAACTGAAAGCGCGTCTCAAGCTAACGTCAAATTAATCTCATTAAATTGGAAGGATAGAACCATGCAGAAGAGATTAACGTAACAAAAAGCAGCCAATGTGAAGGACTCGCTCCCAAACGCCAGAATGCCAAGGAGAGAGAGCTGTGCACAACCAAAACAAACATCTATGGCGTCAACCATGAAAAGTAAGATTCCTGCCGGTATACAGAAAAGCAGATGATCCAAAACGATGGATATGTTCGGAAAGGAACCGTACTCGCATCAAGCTATAACTCAATGAGAGGCGATGAAGAATGTGTTCGTAATCAGACACACCACCATGACCAAAAGCCCGTAACACGCCAGGGCCAGACTAAGAGGGCGGAGGAGTGTCTTGCGCCAATGACGCGTGGAACGACGGAGTAGGCCGCTTTCCGTCAGTGAGCGGGATAGAGAGCCCTCACCATTGTCGTCTGGTTCCTCGCCTTCGTCAGACAGGTCATCGACTGGTTCGTCGTCGCCCTTCATTAGGCCACGGTGGGTGGGCGAATCTGGGGAGGAGATCTTGTAGTAGAACAATCCCGGGAGAATAAAGCTGATGCTCGTGCTGCCAGTGCTGCCCACGTACGCAAGCACGGCTTCCAGTGAGGACACGGTCATAGCCACGATATAGCTCAGGATGAGGATGGTGGTGGTGATGATCGAGAAGCGGAGGTCGCTCATCGGCTCCGGGACTCGGTGTCCGCGTGGACCCAGCAGTGGGTGTCGGTGCGGAGAGCCCTCAGTTCTGGGGGCGTTGGACTTGGGCCGCCATTTCAGGACGGCGTCGACTGAAGCTCGGCATGGGTGGCACTGAAGCGGATAGGAGAAGACGACGAGCATCACAATCGCGGCGCGACCAATGGTGGCGGCCACACCTGGAGGATACATGCCCACAATGTTGCCACCGACATTGTTTCCGAAAGAGAGATATCCTGTGATGGCCACGAGGACGTAAGTTGCAGCTGCACCACCAATGCTGGCGAGGACCACGCTGGTCGTGCGGAAGTGGCTGTTGTTGCCGATTTCGTTGAGAATAGAGAACATCTGGAATGCCCGATTAGAAGACTCGCATTAAGATGGAAAGACGTTCAGACGTACATTTTGATGGCATGTAAATGCAAAAACAATGACCGGAAGACTGCTCAAGGTCGGTACTGGGCCAGCCCAATGGATCCCGCGGATCGGACCCCGGTCTGCCTTTGTATCTCCCTTGATGAAATGGTACACAACCAGAACGACCAAGTAGGCCATGGACACCAGCGCCGCGATGCTAGTGTACTTCAAGGAATCCAATCGGCGTAGGTAGGAGAGAGGGATCACAATCAACCTAACAACCAAAAGTTAGCATGGTAATCAGCCAAGACCTCTGACAACCACATACATGAAAGCTGTAACCCAGAAATGACGATCCACCAAGAAGTCATAGGCGGGATCGCCGCCTATGAAGCCCTGAACCACGCCCGGCATGAGATCACCGATGATGATGAGATAGCTCACACCGACTCCGAAACATTTGATGGCAATGGCCGCGTCAAAAACGACTGCAGCGTTGGGGTATGTTAGCTGCGAGAGCGCGAAGAAGGAGGCGCTGCCCCGGTCGAGATACTGCGCACAGCGCGACTGGAGGTAGAGGCCGAACCCCGCGGTAACGCCCGACCACAGAATCACGCAGACGCCGAGGGCAATTCCCATATGTGAAATGGCTAGAGGCATCGCCAGCACGCCTGCTCCGATGACTAAAAGATAGTGGAAGGGTAGTCAGATATTGTCTCGTAGAGTTTAGTCTGATCTCGAACTCACTGGTATTGACCAGGTTGATCACACTGCTGGCCCAGCTGGCTTCACCCGCGACCCCGACTCGCTTTCCTCGGCTTGCACGCCTGTTGCGTCAATTAGCGACCAAACCCGTTGAGAAACAGACCAGCATCTTTGCATACCATCGGCGGGGGGCATTTGGCCCTCCTGCTGGGCCAATACCGACGGTCGCCTCCTCCTCCATGTTGTGTAGGATAGAGAAATATAATTCAAGACGGTTAATTATGGATCGAAGGGCATCAACCACATAATAGCGACCGCAGCCAGCGGGAGGCGCAGCAGAAACAGGCAGGAGAGGCAGGGGAGAGAGATCAGGCGGAATATGGGGAAGGACAGAGAGAGAAAAGATAAGGAGTTCATTGCCTTATCACCTGACTGACCAATCCTTCCAGTCCTCTGGCCATTGCGTGATTCACTAACTAATTACATACTACAGCTTCGACTGCCCCCATCCCTTCTGCGACAACAGCTGAATACTCTCCTCCACCACGGCCTGGTGGTCCGACGCCGTGTTGCCCGGCCGATCGCCTGGTCCCTCGTCCATGAACGGCTTTACCTCCCGCACCGTCTTGGACACCTCGAGAATCGCGCCTCCCTCTACAGCAAACTGTGGCCCGCGACCACTCCGGTCTCCAATAATCTCACCAACCTGGTCCTGCTGCACCAGCGCCAACATCACCTCCGCCACCTCCTCAGGAGTCACCCACTCGTCCGCTTTGTCGTCAACCATCACCAGTTTCTCCGGGTGATCGGTCCACAGCGGTGTCTTGATGACTCCAGGTGCCACCGCTGTAACGCGGATTCCAAACTGCTTGTCGAGCTTGGACAAGGACCGCACCAGGCCGTTGATCGCGTGCTTGGTGGCGACGTAGATCGGGGCAGCGAATGCTGGATTCTGTCCGGCAATGCTAGAGATGTGGACAATGTGTTTGGATCGGCCACTGTCCCGGTGGCGGAGGAAGTGCGCAATTGCTAGCTGCGTCGTGCGGATGGGGTGAGTGAGGTTGATGTCTATCAGTGCGTACCGGCCGCCGGCGGGCGAGTCTTTGCTTGCTGAAGAGCCGGGTGGGCGCCAGAAGTTGCTCCAGTGCTGTGGATAGTTCGGGATGGTCAGCCAACTGTCCGCGGAGTAGATGGTTTTCGTAGTTTGAAAGGCCAACTTACCGGCTCGTAGACACCGGCGCCGGGGCACACGATGTCCAGCTCCCCGAATTCTTTCTCCGCAACTTCAAACATCCGCTCTAGCTGCATCCAGTCTCTTACATCGGTCTTCTGGAATACCGCTCGCGCTGATGGGCCGCTTGAATGCTTGTCAATCAGCACCTGAGCCTCTGGGCGTAGGGCTAGGTCTGCGATGAGGACGTTGCATCCCTGTTCCAGTAGTAACTTGGCAAAGCTGAGGTTGATCCCTAGCGGAGAGTGAGCAACTACGAGACTGCTACTCTGTACTGTCCAGAGAGCCACGTACCAGAGCCTGCACCAGTTATGAGGGCAGATTTGCCGTTGACAGAGACAGCCATTGCTTCAGAGGTGCTACTGGACAGTCAGATCTGGGCCTGGTGGTTCTTTTATGATCACAGGTGGGACTATCCACTGCAGAATGCGTTCCTATACCCCGCAGATCCTCTATTACCGACGCGGTAGGTCGGCCGACGGGCCGGTGAAGTCGCCGAGTTCTAGCTACTCAAAACACAGTAGACGAAGTTTAATAGCTGGTTATTTGACATACTATGAGGTTTCCAAAATAGCAATCATGCTCAGTCCAAGTCCCGATCAACAACACGGTGGAACATCACCCCGAGAAGTGCTCGCCACAATTACCCCTTTCAGGTTGACTACCCTTGTTCCATCGGGTTCTTTGCCTTTTGTGGCACTGTCATCGCAGAACTCGAGCTTTTGGAATAATTAGTTGCCTTTGTGATCCCGCCTCCAAGTAATACAAGCATATGCCCGGAATTCTTCGAATAGTTTCCTATAGCTTGAGACGAGCCGATTCCTTCATCGCGGTTATTTCTGTTTTTGCACTTACCGACTCGACCAACAACTCGGCAAAAACCCGGCCGAGGCGTCGGAATGACCTCATGCTGGAGCCATTCAACCATATTACCTTTGATGGAAATCGGCCCGCCCGAACTGGTCTTGTGGATATCATCAGCAAATCAGAGCGCGTACATTGGTAGCAAACTAAGCCCAGAAACGCAGTCTCCCGCCTTAGTCGGATAAATTTCCATTTGCGGTATCCCAACCGCCGCGTATACACTCCGCCGGCGTGGATTACAGACACTTATAAACGGGGGCACAAGCCAGCGGGGGAAAGCTGTCCATCTTATTTTGAGCATCCACAAACTCAAAAATGGCCTCTAGACTTCTCTCCAAATCCGCCGTGCGCGCGGCGTCGACTTCGACCGCGTCGCAGACCACCAAGGCTGCTGGTGATATTTCCTCGGTCTTCCCTTCTCTAAGACCGGACTACCAACCTGAGCCTCTTCCACCACGATTCCGCGATCTCAAGATGAGGTTCTTTGAAAAGAACCAAGAAGCACTACAACAGAGTTGGAAGAGACTGCTTCCAAGTCTGGAAGAGGAAGTAGAGAAGATAAAGTCGAAGGGCAGTGACGTATGTGATCTGATAACTTGTATGCACTGTTCCAGGCCTAACATCAATTTAATAGATTATACCCTCGGTTGACTATGCCGACGTGATCTCCGGCAAGGTCTCTGAAGCCGCACTCAAGGAGATCAAGCACCGGGGCACAGTGGTTGTTCGCAATGTGCTGCCCCGCGACCAAGCCTTGGACTACAAGCAGCGAATCCGAGACTATGTAGCTGCAAATCAGGAGCGTGTCAAGGCATTTCCGCCCGACTCGCCAGCTGTGTACGAGCTTTACTGGACACCATCGCAGGTCGAGGCTCGGGCACACCCAAAGGTGCTCAGTGCACAGCGCTTTCTGCAGCATCTGTGGCATTCTTCTGACCCCAACAACAAGCTGTCAGTCTCTAATCCACTTTCATATGCGGATCGATTACGAATCAGGGACCCTGGTGACTCAAAATTCACCCTCGGACCGCACGTCGACGGCGGCTCGCTGGAACGCTGGGAAGACCCGGAATACTCGCAAGTGTACACAAAGATTCTCGAGGGTAGCTGGGAAGAGTATGACCCATGGGACGCGAAGCACCGCCTAGGCGCCAAGATGGATCTGTACAACGGCGCCGGCGCTTGCTCGATGCTGCGCTTCTTCCAGGGCTGGCTGTCCATGTCCGACACGGGGCCGGGCGAAGGCACGCTGCATGTATGCCCGATGCTCATCCACAGCACAGCGTACACGATCCTGCGGCCGTTCTTTGACACAAAGAGCCTCCAGCCTTTGCTGGACGCTACTTTCCCGGGCTCCGTGCCGGGTGCGTGCCAAGAATATAACCCGGTTACACACCCACATCTCGATCTAGAGACGACGATGGTTTCGGTGCCGCAGGTTGAGCCTGGGGACTTTGTCGCGTGGCACTGCGACTCGCTGCACTCCGTGGATAAGGAGCATCGCGGTAAAAATGACTCCAGTGTGCTATATATCCCGGCCACTCCATTGTGCGACATGAATGTCGACTACCTTCTCAAGCAGCGCCAGGCTGCGCTGTCTTACTCCCCTCCATGGGATTTTCCTGGTGCTGGTAGTTCCGGTGAGATGGGCTTCCAGGGTGCTATGGACTGGTCATCTCTGAACCCTGAAGGCCAGCGTGCTATGGGGCTGGGTAATCAGCCCTGGGAGATTACGGATGCCATGACTGAGGGTGAGAAAGAGGCTGTGCGGTCAGCTAACAAAAAGTGCTTCGGAGTGTAACGGCATGACTAAATGTGAACGATCATTTTCTGGGCGTTCAATGGGATATCAATTTGTTTTATGTACATTGAATGCATCATTCTCACACTTGAGTGGACTACTTGGTAAATTCACTAGTAATGCGCCTCATTTCCCACTTTCCGCAGAGAACGTCACTAGAGCAGCCTCTGAATATGCTAATGGGATGGTGAACAACCCTTTCCGTGGGACAACCGTTATTGTGCTCTTCCCAACTTTGACAGGATTTCCTTGAGCAAGATCATAATCATAGCTGTAATCAGCAACGGTGATTGAAGTGTTATAAGTGGCTCCAGGCGCAGAGAGGAACTCGACGGTCGCCGATTTGAATGAATTGGCGGGAACAACGAAATCAGTTGCCGGTCTGGTTGTACCGTTGGTTGGATTCCACTCATGGAGATCGATGAGGGCGAGTTTCGACAACCGGTCGTTCTCAAATGCCGCATAGGCAGAGTTGTAGTCGCTAGATAAATCAATGTTCTCCACTCGCGTGCCAGATGTGCCCAAAAATCTGGCCACGAAGATATTTCCATAGTACGGGGGTTTCACCAGTGGCCCAACTCCATCGTGGTAGACAGGCAGCCATGAAGCATACCGATATCCGGTGCCTTGGTGGAAATGGATCCGAGTGATGTTCTGGGAGGCAACATAGAGCGCGTAATCGACAAGCCACAATGCAGAACCAAAGACATCGGAGACTCCATATGATCCATCTCCTGAGATGCTATTGGTCTCACCCATCGTGTAAACTCTGCCGTTCTCGCGATGGAAGATGTTGAGCTCAACGTGCGGTGTGAGGGATATAATGACCTCTGTGTGGTTCATCAATGTTCCTAAACTCGAAAAAACGGCATGGTTAGTTTTCGACTGGGTCCTCTGGTTGCAAATATTTAGTTACATCGCCGTGAGCTTACCTTGGAGAGTAGGGTTGTTTCCAACACCAGACACGTATCTAACATTGAGTCAGGATCCCCTTGAAAATAGTATACTGCGCATTGGAAGACAAACCCATGTTGCGAGATCTCTTCGATCCAATCATCTCGGTCGTACTCATAAGTTGAATTCCAGACAGTCCATGGCGAAAAGAATTGTGGTTCAGTAACGTTATAGCAACAGAAAGATGGAGCGAAGAACCGCAAGCTGTCTGTGTCTGTAACATTTGGAACCTGGATGTGGCGTGTTTTGTTGATCCATTCGTTTACATAGTCCACTTGATTGTAGGTGGGTGGGCGGAAGCCACCAGCTGCACTATAGTCATTTTCATTGCCGAGTTCAAAGAGATGTATCCGGTGGCGTGGGACCTGGAGTAGCGTTTGATTAACTTCACTCTGAAGATTATACAGCCAGGTGGAGTCATTTTTGTAAAAGTTGAGTCCAAATATGTATGAAACACCTTCCACGGCGTTGAATGACTCCCAAAAAGCTGGGCCAATGGTACTGTTCACTGGTTGGTCGGCAGTGTCACCGGGAGGCCAGTAGTTAAAGATAGCTTCCTTCAAATCAGGATCATAAGTTGTTTGATCCCTTAGAATCTTGTCAGCGGTACACAGATAAAATTTCAAGGCCAAGCTCATACTGTGTAAGGCCGCCAATACGCAAGATCTGATCTTCATTTGTAAACTTTCGGAGGTTACTCAGTACGACATTAGTGAGTTTATTTGGCGAAGAACGGTTTCCTAATAACATTAGAACGCATATAGACGTAGACTAGGACAATGTAAGTACCTCCAAAATCGGCCCAGAATGCAAATTCAATAGAGAAGGATTGAAAATTGCCCGCGATAGGTACGCTGACAGAGGGTGATGGAGATTCTGAAACGGGGATCGAGATTGAGTCTGCGAGACATCGGCTTGCACTTGCAAGGAGTGCAATTAATTTAAGAACGGCGAAATGCATGGTGATGATAAGTGTTTTCTCTAGGGCAGTGCTAAGTCCCTTCTGATTACTCCTGGTCTTGAGATTTATAGAATCTCAGAGCAGACTCTTCCAGTTGCCGTCGGCGACTGATACCGGCTAAAATCTAAAAACCGGCAAGGAATATGATACAATAAACCTGTTTGAATTTTGGACTCCTCTTTTTGAACTGCTCTGAAGGGCAACAAAGGTGACATATACGTTGTGCAAGGTAATCTATGTCCCCGGGCCGGGACTCTAATTATCCAAGTAAGGTTTAGTGACCCCCGCATTTCAGCCCTGTCTGGGGTTGGCTGCATTCTATATCATTTCCTCACATGGTATTAGCTGTTGCCGACCCGCCTGTTGTCCAATCGCCGATATCAAGGCTCAGACTTCCTGGAATCCCGAAGTAAGATTCAACCCTCGGGAAAATGTCTCTGACAACTGACCTCTCTCCTTATCATCTCTATAAAATACGAACATCTATTAATGAGGAACTGGCCATGGCTCTCTGTTTTTCTACCTATCCTTGGTATGGAAAAAGGTGGAATTGGGTGAAGACATTTGTCATAAATTGAACTTTCACAAAATACTTGCGCAATAAATATCCGAGACTTCCCTACAACGAGAGTTTTGCAGTTTCGAGGGGCTTCTGTTCTGGGCATAACTGGTACTCTGCATTGTAACACGGAACATGGATATAAATGACGCCACATTCGTCATCTATGTCCTTGAAAATCGGGTAGATTCTATGACTTAATTTATGCAAAAAAATAAATTCAAATTTAAGCGCATGTTTCACCTTCTCCTCCAATTCGGCCTAAATGTCGGCGAAATAATACATACATGCTACTTAGCTCGGTAACCCGCAGTAACTCGGGGGTGCGGGGTATCGATTGAACAGGCAGAATAGGATACCATTATAGGGTCAGTGCCCCGAATGATCGAGGAACAGAACTATGGATATTGTTTCTACAGTCCGGCTAAATATGATCGCGTTGGACAGCTTTTCCTTCATAAATGCGCATATATAAAAAGGGATAAAAAGATCATGAGTATACGATCTTCCAAAGACAAGAAGCTCAAAGTCGTTACCGTCTTCTGTCGTGTGCGAATTGAATTTCATTGTGCAGTGACCTGATTTATGTGCAAAGAACCGGACCGCGATGCATTTCTCCAGTTTCGGTTTACGCACTCTTTTGTTTGCTGGTTCTGTCCAGGCAATTCCCTCGAGACATCCATCACAATTGATAGCAAGGACGACATGCTTGCCTGAATATGCTGCCAGTACCACGTTTGTCGGTTGTTTCACGGACAACGCTGATGAACGTACACTCGGGACGCAGCTGGGTGACTTGGAAGAGAACACCCCTCAGTCCTGTGCCAATCAATGCGGTCTAGCTGGATACAGCTACGCTGGAGTGGAATTTACCACCCAATGTTTCTGTAGCAGCCAACCGCCCGTCAATTATGGTTCCATCTCCGGAACTCAGGTCAACGCTAGTCAATGTGACACACCTTGTCCTGGAAACGCAAGTGAATTCTGTGGAGCAAGCGGTCGGTGAGTTTTATAGCAAGTGCGAAGTCCTTCGTTAGCTGACAAACATCAATTGGACAGCATTGATGTCTACCAAATATCTAATCCCAGCACGGGCAATTATAATCCTACACTGCCCGACTGCTCCCGTGACCCCCTGTGTTCCAACAGCGTTTGCGATACTTCCCTCAGCGTGGGCGACCGAGCTGCCGCTCTTGTCAGCAGTCTGACCTTGCAGGAGAAGATCAACAATGTACAAGGTTCAGCTTCTGGCGTTCCGAGGCTTGGACTTCCATCTTACCAATGGGACAGCGAGGGGCTTCACGGCGTCGCTGACAGCACTGGAGTCCGTTTCCAGACCCCATTGGGGGTTAACTTCAGCTCTGCCACCAGCTTCCCAATGCCGTTATCCATTGCTGCTTCATTTGATGATCCTTTGACTGGTGAAATTGCATCGGTTATCGCAACAGAAGCCCGAGCCTTTGTCAATGGTGGATACGCCAGTCTCTCGTATATGACTCCCAACCTTAATGGGTATCGAGATCCACGATGGGGAAGAGGAATGGAAACTCCAGGCGAAGCAGTGCTTGTGATCCAAAACTACGTGAAGAACCTAGTCCCAGGACTCCAAGGTGGCTTGAACCCCCAATACAAGAAAATCATCGCCACCTGCAAGCACTATGCTGCATACGACATTGAAACCGGTAGAAATGGTAATGACCTGAACCCTACGCAGCAGGATCTGGCCGAGTATTATTCGCTTGGGTTTAAAACTTGCGTTAGAGACGCGAAGGCTGGCGCTGTCATGTGTTCATACAATGCTGTCAACGGTATTCCATCCTGCGGAAACCGATATCTGTTGCAGAACGTCGTCCGCGAACACTGGGGCTTCTCTGAGCCACAAAATGTGGTCATTGGCGATTGTGGTGCTGTTTACAATATCTACGACCCCCATTTCTATGTCGATGGCATGGCTCAGGCTGCCGCGATTGCCCTCAATGCTGGCACCGACATCGACTGCGGACCGGTGGCCTATGACTTTTTGAACGAATCCATTCCGACCAATTTGACCACAGAGAGAGCTCTGGACCAAGCACTGACACGTGCATATTCATCCCTTCTCCAGGCCGGGTATTTTGATGATCCCGCAGAGTACGCCTCATACTCTTGGGCAGACGTCAATACTGAGGCATCTCAGCAGCTCACTTATCAATCTGCGGTGGAGGGCATCGTTCTATTAAAGAATGATGGCACCTTGCCGCTACCAAAAGCACTGAATAATGTTGTCGTCATCGGACCTATGGCGAATGCTACCACTCAAATGCAAGGCGATTATTATGGGACACCTCCCTACTTTGTCACTCCGGTCCAGGCAATCCAGAATAAGGCGTCAGGCGTGCAATATGAAATTGGAACTCTTACCAATACGACCAGCACGGCTAATTTCAGTGCTGCTATCAACGCGGCGAAGGATTCCGATTATATCATATATGTTGGAGGCATTGACCTGACTATTGAATCTGAAGGTTTTGACCGTACAACAATTGAGTGGCCAGGCAATCAGCTCGATCTGATCCAGGAGCTTTCAGCACTCGGCAAAACACTCATTGTGGTCCAACTTGGAGGTGGTCAGGTTGATGATAGCAGCCTTCTGAATAATACGGGCGTCAATGGCCTTCTTTGGGCGGGATATCCTGGACAGGATGGAGGTTCTGCCATTTACGATGTCATCACTGGCGTCCAGTCTGTTGCTGGTAGATTGCCTGTCACTCAATACCCAGGGGATTATATTAATGAAGTGAGTTTGTTCGACATGAACCTGCGCCCTGTCGAAGGCTCGCCTGGTCGCACCTTCGTCTGGTACACGGGAACACCAATTTTTCCATTCGGGTACGGGTTGCACTATACCAATTTCTCCGTATCATGGGCATCGAAACCAGCGACGCGTTACAACATCGGATCTCTGGGATCCTCCGAAAAACGACACAAAAAACAAGCTGCGTCCAACCCGGAGCTTCTTGACTGGCCTTCTTATACCAGTTTCGAGGGGCCATACCTAGATTTAGAACCATTTATTGATATCTCCGTCAATGTCAAGAACACAGGAGGGAAGGCTAATCTCGCTTCCGACTATGTTGGCCTGCTCTTTATCTCAACCAAAAACGGAGGACCGTCGCCATATCCTAAAAAGGAGTTGGCTGCCTATGGTCGCCTGCACAGTATTCCGGTCGGCTCAACAAAGAAGCTGACATTCTCTCTCACTCTCGACAATATTGCTCGGACGGATGTGGACGGTAATCGATATGTTTACCCAGGAGATTATACCTTGATGTTGGATTACGACTCCAAGATTAGCTTCAGCTTCACTTTGACTGGTGACAAGAAACTGATCGATGCGTTCCCGACGGAACTTTCCAACATCACCGCTTCTGAGTACCTGGGCTGTTACCCCTCTGCTCAGAAGACGCTGTCAGTTTCTGCACCATTACCGAGTTCGGGAGCTTCTAATTATCCTCAGCTATGTGTGAACACATGTGCTGATCTGGGCCATCAATACTCTGGCGTCAAGAAGAAGTATGTTTACTCCTAAGTTCCTAAAAATGTTGCGATAACAAAGGCTAACATATGTTCAATGAATTCCTAGTCAATGCTTCTGTGGTGACTCTTTCAGTACTACAGCGACTCCAGTTAGTGACATTTTGTGCAATTTCCCTTGTCCTGGAGACTCATATGAGTTCTGTGGAGCCTCTTCGTAGTAAGTCCTGTCCAGTTGCACCTACTAATGTACATCAAAACTCACAAATCTATAGCCTCAGCGTCTTCAACGCCTCCGTGCCTACCGTGCTCGAGCCTGCTACGACTTCGTAGACACAAGGGCAAAGATGCAACCTCACTAAATCCATGTGAGCGGTTGATCGAGATCCTTCTGCTCCTTTTCAGTATCAATCTGGGTCGGAAACTTCCATTAGTCTCATTCTTAAAGTTATGGCCAGAGCAAGCAGAAAGGAACTGTCAGATTTCTGTTGCTGTAGGATCACTGACAGCAAAATGATATGTGAATGTCTGCTGACTTCGTGCACACAACAAGTACAATTTTCATCGTTGACATCTATGAGTAGCACTAATAAAAACACTGAATATATGCGAGTTCTGTAATGAAGTCTAAACAATCAATTTCGTTCTGATCAATCAAGGTTTCCGCTTCTTGGTAAACTGATATGCAAAAAAATAGACTAAGTCACTAGCTCCTATAGGGTAGCAACTCTTAGTTTCACCGCATGACCTAAGTTGACCCTCCGAGCCTATCGGCAATTGGTCTTGTCGCTTGTAATTCTAGTAATTACATCCGCGTGTATCTTTGCATATCATTTGATTTGACATCAAATTGCTATCCTAGTGGCGTCTGCCTGAAATTCTTCCTACTTAGCAATAATAGTAGGCTAAGCAATGAAGCATTTGATAAGATAACCATGCGTTAATAAATCGTTGCGAAGGACGGCAGGCCAGGAGCAGAACATCACTTTAAGTTGGGCTTTCATCCTGCGACCGGAGGAACTTCCCGTAAGGGTATTTGGTGAGCAAGTAATGCATCTAAGCGATGTACCCCAAGTCACATAGTAGGTGCGATATATTGCATCAACAGTAGTACGTCACCATAAGTTGAAAACTAGTGTGCTTTGCTTTTAGCCTAAAGATCATCATATATTAACATTAAGTTTGTTCAATATGCAGGATAAAACTCTCACTTCGTTTCAGGGCACCGGCTGATAGTAACAGATGAATCATTGTTATGATACGGTAAAAACCCATAGAATCTTGTAAAAAAATCTTTTATGCAGATAGCCTGAATTAAGAGTGTCTAGGGCAGTTAATGGCTAGGACAACAATCATTGAATTCCTTGGTTAGAAGTTCATGTTATATAGAATATCTCTAGGAACCTAAGCGTCTCTTTCCAATTCTTAACTAGGTCAATAGAGCAAGCACAACTAATAAGACAACTTGCTATCCCCAAGTCCTATTGGCATTCGCCTGTCTCTATGGCTAGATAGTGATAAATCAACTAAAGAAAATTAGATAGCTCCACGAATAGAAACTCTAAGTTAAGCGAGATAATCCCTTGAGTCCATCTGATGAGATGTGATAGATTCATCCGGGTTTTCGTTCGCGTTCCTCGAAGCTGCACGTAAGTTCGTCGCCATCGCTTCTAGTCCCGAAGCCGTGACTGACAAGATTCTAGAAATGATTGACAAGATTCTAGACACAACATTAGCCAAAAGCCTCAGTATCTGATGATATAGGAAGGTAGGATACCTCGGAAGATCTCCGACAATAAGTGGGACGAAGTATGTAAGGAGCAGCGTAGAAACAGTTCTAATTATTTGCCCTCCACACTCTCCGCCCTCACCTTCCCTGGAGATGCATTGGATAACGACGGCTACGACATCGTCAACAACCCCGGAATATAGGACGTACGATAACATCGCGAATATAGTCACAAATATAGTCACATTCCAACTGAGCTTCACGCTTTGGTCTCTGCCGAAAGGTGCAACGAGAAATGTAAACAAATATCCGGCGGAGCACGTAGAATATAGTGCCAAGAGGATATTGATTAATTGCACTCCGCACTTTCCGTCGTCGCCTTCCTGTGACATGCATTGGTCAATGATGTTTTTCTCATCGGTGCCCGCGAAATATTTTCCGTATAATAGCACTGCGAATGCTGCCGCCCTCCAATTAAACCTCACATTGTAGGTAATACGTCCGGCGATAGATCCGACGATGTACCCTACGAAGCATGTAAGAGATAGTGCGCAGATGGTACCGAATATGCGCAATCCGCAGATTCTGCCATCGCCTTCCTGTGAGAGGCATTGCTCAATAACACCTTTCGCGTCGGCGACCCCAAAATATCTCCCAGCCAACAGCACTGCAAATATAGCCGCTCTCCAACTGAACTTCACATCGTAAGGACGTGGGGTATCTTCATTAGACTCCGTCTGAGCCATCTTTATCTAACTATTAGATGTTAGACATTGCCAATAGTCACTTATCAAAGAGTAGTGGACTTGCCTTAGAAGGCTCTTCAAAGATCTGTGCTGCTTCCTGTTGGTCAGGAGTCGACAAACAATGCTAAGGAGAAGGCGACGAAGTTAGTTGGCGGGTAAATTTGAGGTTACAAAGAAAAGTACACTATATTCCACGCTAGTACCAATTTGTTAAAAGGGGGAGCCCAAGTAACCTGGGGGAAGGGGTCAAAGCAAAATCACCCTTTTTGGCGCCCGATTTACCGTCACCTAGCGTTGTGGTGTAATTCAATTTATCTGGAACCGTGCGTTCGATCTTAACGAGACCGATTTGTAGGGGTAGGGAATGGAAATACTATAAAAGCCACAACGTCCGTCCTGACTTGTTTTTCTGGAGTATCCTCCACTGCTAAGCACCCTCTCTACTTAATTTTTCTCCGGGTTTATTGTCAACATGGCTTTCAAAGCAAGTTCTATTCTCTTGCTTGCCTCTTTGGGTTTCGTGTCGGCTTCCTGTATATCTTCCGGGGATCAAACAACCATAAATAATCTATTCTCTTCCGGTGGTGAAGGGACCATCGTTCAGCTCTGTGCGAGTGCTACCATCGCCGTTTCTGGGCCAATTACATTCACGGCCTCGAACCAGGAGATCTCCACAGAGGGCTATCCCACTGATGACACTCGGGCAATTATTCAGCCTGCCTCGGGTACTAATACTACTACAATGATCACTGGGTACGGATACGACTACCTTCGTATATTGAACATTCAGCTTGACGGGCTTCGTCCTACCCTAGGGCTGGTTGAAGGTACGTAATTATAAATATCAAACCAAGTTCTCAAACTGCACGCTGACAAACTTGTAACAGATGGAGGTGCCAATATCGACATTGGCCAAAACAGTAACGGGATCATTGTATCGAACATCGTTTCCAAGAACACTCGTGGATGGAGTTGCCTTCACCTGCTTCAGTCGGGCACTTCTAATCCCTGCACAAACGTGACAATCAGCAATAATAACATCGGCCCTTGCGGAAATGAGGGCCTTAGCTCCACTGGTGTGTCTCAATGGGCGGATGGTATCTCGTTTGCTTGTGAAAATTCTCTTATCGAGAATAATTTGGTATGGTGCCTCTGCTCTCCCCCAGTCCTTTTGTACTTCATTATATTGATCGACCTGTCTTTAGGTCAACGGTAGTACTGATGGAGGAATTGTCTTGTTCGGAGCTCCCAAGACAACCGTCAAAGACAACACCATTATTTCCTCCACCACGGATTCGGGCTTCGGTGGGATCAACATGGTCGACTATCTCTACAGCGGTAGTTATGATGGTGTTGTCGTGACGGGGAATACCATAACGGGAAAAAAAGATGTTCAACGTCGGGATTGCCATCGGTGCATATGCCTGGTCTTTCAATGATAATGCCCCCTTGCAAGGACCAGCAACCATCTCGGACAATACATTCAGCGGAAACCTTCCCTTTTGCTATTGCCATCAATGGCTGGACGGGTGGTCTCACGGTAGGCTTTGTTACATGGAGCCGATGAACTAGTTCGTTAATGGGTATAACAGATTACTGGAAACGATGTGTCTGGAGTGAACAGCCCGAGCTCTGGTTACTCGGATTCGAATTCCTGCAACGCGGCAACCAAGGCGTTGTGGAGCGAGAGTGCCCATCTCGCGTACTACCCGGCCGGTCTCACAGGTACCAACAGTCTGCAGTCTGGCTTTGTCGCCGCATCGGCCAACTCAACCAACTTCATCTGCACTACGCCCCTGCTCCCGACGTCGGTTACATACGGACTGAATGAGCTCAATGTCGGGGTTAATGAGGATCTTGCCAACCTTCATGGCAATATATACACCTCATACCAAGGCGACAATAATATTGTAGTGTACAATACTGCGACTGGCACCGCCGTCGTCGAGTGGTCCTCTGGGCATACAGATTCTGCCTGCAGCACCACCAGCACGTGCACCTGTGAGTTCCAGGGCGATGGGAATTTTGTCACGTATGTGGACGGGGTGGCGCAGTGGTCTTCTGGGACAACAAACGAAGGCCATACTTTGACTTTCTTGAATGAATCTCCATGGATTGAGATTGCGAACGCAGCTGGAACGGTCATTTGGACCACTGCTGATTCGTAGTGAGTCCGATTTGACTGGGTAGTGGCATCTGACGGGTTGGTTAGGAGACTATTATTCTAGGCGTGGATGGGCTATATTGGTCAATTTGATAGCGCAGAATCTTGAACTTCTTCGTCACCATCACGATTTAATATGCTTTCAATCTTGAGGCATTGGCATCAACTTAATAACTGGCTCTAGAGCTGCTTGGGGCCTGCTTCCGCTAGCACTTGAGCCTCGGTATGACCTTCGCAGAACAGTACAAGAGATGGCAGCTTTTCTATCAGATCTCGGCCATGGATGGGAAGAAAGGGATAAGATTGCAACAGAGGCACTGTAGTGAACGTTCTGCCATATAACAAGTTCCAGGTTAATAGACTAATGGTTCATTAGAGAAATGTAGCATTTTGAGATTCTCAATTATAACAAGACGAATAACTAAAATCAGAATTATTTTGGTGGTCAAACTGGATGGTCAACACTAGTCCAATCGGCATCACCGCCTTCACTTAGGTTTGACACCATCGCATCAACAATCCCGACGGCACCGCTTCCTCCTCCCCCCTTTCTGCCCTTCAACGCCTCGCGCTCTTCAATGCCCCTTCTATAAGAGCGACGCCCATAATGCGACTCCAGGCCGCACTTTTTCTGGCCGCATGGGCGGCCCCTGCGGCGGCCATCTATCCTGACGAGATCAATCACATCGACTTCCACCATGCTCTCGTCGGCACGCCCTCCCCCGACTCGACCTTCTTCCTGAAACCACCCTCCGCCTCCAATGCCTCGCTACTCTACACGATATCCGATAGACTGACCATCGGCGCTGTCAACCCCCGTGATGGGTCGCTGCTCTGGCGGCAGAATCTCTCACGCTCGGCTGGATCTGCAGCGGGTTTCCTACGCGGCGAAGATGGAAACAATGCGGTGGTCGGTGCTGCGGGCGGATACGTGTCATCGTGGAGTGCAAATGACGGCAAGTTGATTTGGGAGAACCAGTTTACGGATGGGGTTGTCGCGGACTTGGAGCTGCTGGCGCTTCAGGATGCCAGTGCCAAGTCCGACTCGAAAGACTCGATTGCGCTGTTGGCAGCCGAGGGCACCGGTATTGTCAGACGGATGGGTGCAGAATCAGGAAATGTCAAGTGGGAGTACAAAGATGACAGGTTGGTTTGTGCTAGGATGTTGACCGGCCAGTGCTGATTGAACCTTTCTTTTGCTAGTGGCGACGTCCCTTTCCAAGTGTCGTCTTCTTCTACCGAAGTTTTCTACATCTCGCTCCAGTCGGCCCTGTTGAAGGGTTACAAGATCAAGGTGACGGCTTTGGATCCGGTGACAGGCCGACAGACTCGCCAGCTGACCCTGAACTCGGAGAACGACGTGGCCACTTCGGAGTCTGTTCTTTTCGTGGGCGCCAATACCGCCTCCCCCTTGATCGTTTGGGCAGACAAGTCCCAGAAGACGGTGAAGGTTAATGTCATTGGCACCAAGCAGGTCAACTCGGTCACCGTTGACAATACCTCTGGCGAAGAGATCAAGAGGATTACCGTCCATGCTCCGCATAAGCTTAACTCCCTTCCGCATTTCTTGATCCACTACGCGACTGCTACTGGCGCATGGGCGGAGGTGTACCATGTGGATTTGAAATCGTCCAATGTGAACAAGGCCTACCAACTTCCTTATCTACTGGGCCAGTCTACAGTTGCGACAAGCAGTATCGATGCCAATGTGTACTTCACCCGGATCACCGATTCTGAAGTAGTGGTTGTTTCCTCTGCTTCACATGGCATTTTGAACCGTTGGGTTCTGCAGTCGTCTTCATCTGATCTTGCATTGAATGCGGTAGCAGAGGTTGTTTCCAGAGGAAGCTCTGTGGCTGTTCGATCGGCTACGCTCCTGGAATCTGGCGACTGGCAACTCATACGCAACGGACAGGCGGAATGGACTCGGCACGAAGCGCTCATCGGGACCATGGCAGCCGCCTTCGCGGAAGCAGACGTTCAGGAGGACCTGGTGCATGAGTTGGAAGTTGAGGGCCACGAAAGCTTGCATGGTGCCTACATCCACAGAGTGAAGCGCCATCTGCGAGACCTCCAACATCTGCCCGACTGGCTGAAAGAGCTGCCAAAGCGGATCTTCAGCAGCCTGCTGACAGATGAAGTAACCAATCTGGACAGTTTTGGAGTCTCTAAGTCTGTCATCCTGGCTACGGAGAATGGCCGTGTTTATGCTCTGAATACTGGAAAACAGGGCAAGGTCTCGTGGAGCGTCAAGGTGGCCGAGGCCGCAGCGTGGAATGTGAAAGCCATCGTGACTCGACCAGGTGTTGCGACTATCTACCCCGACGACGGAAGTTCCGTGTCCGTGAATATCTCGACGGGAGATATCATTACGCGTACCCCTCCCACCAATGTCAAGATCCACTCAATTGCTGTGGTGGATATCGAATCGTCGCCCTTGCCGGTGACCCTGGGTATCCGTGAAGATGGCACACCAGCTGCCTCATTTGAGGATAAAGATGGGTTCCTGGTGACTACCAGCGCTGATGGCCGTGTTTTGGGTTGGCTTGCTCAAGATAACAAGTCTCCCGTGTGGGAGTTTGTTCCCCCCGTGGGCCAGAAGGTAATCCGGGCAACAGCTCGCCCAGCACAGGACCCAGTTGCCTCAATTGGCAAGGTCCTTGGGGATCGATCCGTACTGTACAAATATCTCAACCCCAACTTGGCGCTGATAACCTCCATCAGCGAGAAAGACCATACTGCCAGCTTCTACCTGCTGGATGGGGTCTCCGGCAAAGTTCTTCACGCGACTACGCAAAAGGGTGTCGACACGGCACAGCCGATTGCTTCCGCCATGTCCGAGAACTGGTTCGCCTACTCGTTCTGGGGCGACATCTCCAGCGAAAGGTCTTCTAAGGGTTATCAGCTCATCATTTCTGAGCTCTACGAATCTCCTTTCGCCAATGACCGCGGTGCCTTGGACTCAGCTGGCAACTATTCCAGCCTTCACAGCAGCAGCGTGGACGGCCTCCCGCTTCCGCACGTTGAATCCCAGGCCTTCATCATCCCCGAGCCCATCTCTCACATGGCTGTGACCCAAACCCGGCAGGGCATCACCACCCGCCTGCTGCTTTGTACTCTCCCATCCTCAAATTCCGTCATTGGTATCCCGCGCCCTGTCCTGGACCCGCGTCGTCCCGTCGACCGCGACCCTACCACCGCCGAGGCCGAAGAAGGTCTATTCCGCTACGCACCCTTCCTCAACTTTGAAGGCAAATGGTTTCTCTCTCACAGCCGTGACGTCTCAGGTATTACGACTGTGCTATCTAGCCCCACCCTACTGGAAAGCACGAGCCTTGTCTTTGCCTTTGGCGGCGATATCTTTGGCACTCGTGCTACGCCTAGCCAGGCTTTTGATATTCTTGGAAAGAGCTTCTCAAAGGTGCAGCTGCTTCTCACGGTCATGGCACTGGGGGTGGGTGTCGCGATTGTGGCTCCTATTGTGAGTGTTTTCTTGTCTTCCTGTCCGATTTTATTGTGCTCCTGCTGACCCATTATTTCCTAGACTCGGAAGAAACAAATCAACATGCTTTGGAAGGCCTAGATTATTGGAAGAGGTTGATTTCTTTTCATTTGATAATATACCTGTAACTTCTTTTGAGACCAAACCAAAGACAAAATCACAGCAACCACAGCGTGAAGAATGTCTGAATTGTGAAACTAATTAATTGCCTCCGTTTGACTGTACCTTTCATTGGTGGATGGCCTCCCATCCCACGGCCGATAGTTGGGTAAAGACATTTGCCACGGTCTGATGATCAAGGCCGTGTAGTTTTCGTATGATTCACGAGTCGCGCCTGACATGACGAAATGCGTTGATCGCCGGCCAAGAGGCTCTAAACTTGTAACACTTACTTGGCTCTAGTGGTAGAAAACCTACCATGACATCACTCAGGTTCTTCGTAATACTCTTGAATAGACAAAGTGCCAACATTTCTTCTAGATTCTTCGCATTTATTCTAGGGAAAAATAACGTATAGTTATGAAAACAGTCGTACAGGCTACCCATTCTCGATATCTTAAGGAAAAGACAGAAGCCGTGGACCGTGTGGGGAATCATTCGTTCAGTCATTTGTATCGAGAGTAGGATACTCTTTCAGCATCAAATCCACCATGGTATCTCGGAAATTCAAAAATCAACCAAAGCACCTCCAGCGCTCATGTACATATTTTGTGAAGCAAATAAAGAAAAAATGTATAGGAAGTCCGTTATATCTATGTCCAAAGATCACCTCCCCTCACCACAAGGGCATAGGCGAGGTATTGACATAGTCGACATTCTCAGGCACGGACTCAATGCGCTCGTAGCAAGTGCCAAAGATGCGGTCCCAGAGACGAGTCTGTTTGCCGTAGTTATGGCTCTTCTTCCAGCCCTTGCGGTGGTGCAGATCGTGGTCTTCGATGACAAGCTCAGCGTTGAAGAGGCGCAGCGCCCAGCTGAAAATATTCGGCGGGACGGCGTGGACACGAAGGCCGCTGTGGCCCGCCAGCTCGGCGTAGACGACGTACATGTGGCCGATCCACCACTCGTAGAAGCCCATCGGCATGCCCATGGCCTTCATTGAGAAGTAGGTCGCCAGCGGTACGCCGGCGATGTCGAAGAACTCCTGCTCTAGGTCGGCGTAAAGCGTCAAGAGCGGGTTCGGGTGCTTCGTCAGGTGGTGGGTACGGTGGTACTTCCACAGCCCGTCAATGTCGTGCATCAGCCGGTGGTACCAGTAGAACCAGAAGTCGAGGATGATGCCGTACAGTCCTGCCTCGAGAGGCAGCCAGAACCAGTTGATTGAATCCGGGCCTTGGTTTGTGCGGTAGGCGAGGAAGACGGTAAACATAGGGCGGAAGGTCGAGGTTGAGAGCAGGGAGCGCACGACCTTGGCGACGCCGACGTCAGGGACACCGTCACGGGCGTGCTTGTCACCGTCGAGGAAGCCGTGGGTGTGGCCGAGGCGCCGGAGGACGTGCAGCTCGTGGATGGCGATGGCCTTGAAGGCCAAGCTATAGAGGACCATGGCCGCGATGACGCCGAGGTTGCGGCCGGTGTATTGGATGTAGGTCTGATGCAGAATAAGCGGGATTGCGGCATGGCACAACACCCAGCGGTGCATCGACCAGTCCGGCACGTAGGGGATGGGTGTCTCTTTCTCATGCACGGGCACTTCCTTGTCGAGATGTTCTGGGTGGATGCCGAGCAGTTCGTAGAACCAGTGAAAGACCGACCATTCGGACCGGCTTTGGGTCCGCCAGGTAGACTTCATAGAGTCGGCTGGATTCCGCAGTTGCGCGCTCATGGTTGCGGGTTGTGCCAGTGTAAAATCTTCACTTTTGTCCCCCGGACCGACTGGGGTGGCGGGTGGGTTTAAATGGGCTCTGGGGCTGTCGATCGCATCCCCCAGTTTGTGCTCGGCACCATGTGATGATCCACTTGGGTTCTCGCTTCACACGCCCACACATGAATAAGGGCAAGAACGAGCCGAGGACATTGCTCGAATAGGAATGACGTCGATCGCATCTGATTCTGGGATTCCCAACAATTCCCGGATTGGAACGGTTGTCGCTCTCCCCGTCTGTGCTCGCAGGGCTCAACATGGTTGCCTGACAGGCCGATCCCGGTTGGGATTGGTGGTGGTCACAGAAGGACTCGGGTGAATCCATCATCATGACATGACGACTCTATCGACGATAACGATCAACTGACAGTCGTGCATGGCGTATGTGCCTGCCCCTGGTTGCCACGTGACTGTGCGACAGCAACGCTGCTCTAATTGGCCGGCGGGCAGTATATCTCCGCCGGGTGTAGTCCAGAGAAATAAGAATAGACATATCAAAGGTAGAGAGAGATATATTGCTGCCTTCGTCACTGGGTATCAAAATTGAAAACTAATGTACACAAGAGGAAACATCTATCCGTGCCAGAGAGGGTGGAACCAGCCAACTCCTTGACGCGACCATAATAACCATCCACATTATTGTCACTATACGCTGTGACACTTGCCGTCATCGCCAGGCAGGAAATTCACGCCATTTTCGCATATACACCAGGGATCTGACGCTAGATCTGGCCATGCGCTATTGAAAAGACAACCGGTCAGCCAAAGAGCCAAGGCTCAACATCGAAGAGGCCAAGTACTCACAGCTCACAAGAAACAGGCGAGTTGGGAGAAGCAGGGGCCGCAAGACTGGGTGAGATGCCATACGCCAGGAAAAGGGCGAGGGACATCGAAATCAAGTGTTGAGGACCCATTTTGAGGTTGGGTGAGGTGGTAATCGATCTAGAAGAATCTCACAGTGGAATATTGAGAGACGAAAGAGAATTATCAGGTACATATAAGGCAAGCAACGCGGGAGAGAGGAGGTATCATTTTAAATAGTAATAATATGTGATTGCCCCGTATCTGACATTAGTCGCCTTATGGGCGGTTATTTATGGTATAATAGGGGCCAAAACGCCGTCATACATCAACAGTGTTTCGGGTGGCCTTGCAGATCGGGGCCACTTTCTTTCCGTCTAGTCTAAAGTTCTTGGCCATAGCCGGTCAAGAATTCTTAGGGCGGGAGCTTTGGCATATCTCTCTGGTTAGCCTGGGTATGGCATGACGTGAAGGATACCTGGATTCCAAGCTACACATACATAATGTATTGATGCCAGAAAGTTGTGGGGAAAGGCTAAATTCCAAAATAAATAACGTGACCGCACTTAACCTTGTATGAAACATATAGAAAAACTCAAAACTGTCTAGACACCGAATGGACGGACCACGCATTCTATTATCAACAGTTCCTTCTTGCAGAACAAGCCAGGAAAGGGAACTAGAATATAAACAGCAGAAACGTATAAGTAGGTCTCCCAGAACGCCCGGCAGGTCTTCGTGGGAGTATGCGAAGGATTAATAATCACAGCCAGTCCTCGGAAGAAAGAGCAGAGGAGCAGCTCTTTCTTCATATGATGCTCCACCGAGGGAGACATCCACTGCAAAAAACTGTTGGGGAGAGGAAAACGAGAGAAGAAAAGAACCGATCTATAACGAAGCACATGCACAAGCAACGCAATACAATGATGCCTATGAAGAAAGACAAACAAAAACAGGCAGACACATTCAGGTTCAGTGCAGGAAATGCCTCGGTATGTTCAAGTGGGTGGTCAGTCGGAATCTGCGTGGGCCTGGACCATCTGCAGTTTGCTGCCTAATTATATATGCTGTGCAGTATAGGCTTGTGGGTGCTCTATGCAGCGGCGGTTGCAGTTGGGACCTCACTCTCCGACACCTGGTTGATATTCTCGACGGCGGTCTTCTCATTGTCATCGGCGATACTAGCCGGTTCGGGGTCCGCGACGTCGCCATTAGCTGGCTTACCTGCAGTAGTGTCACCATTGGTTGTCGCTTTATCTTCTTCTTTTTCTTGCTGTTCTTTCCGCTCCGGAACCGGAATGGTCATCCTCCGCTCCTTGCCGTCCTCCGTCCCTAGGACTTGGATCTTGTCACCCTGGAACAACACTGGACCCTTCAAAATACCCTTCCTGGTCTCGCCCTCGGCCAGCGGCTGCTCGATGCCCTGAAGCAGTTCGTGTGCGGGCTCATCTAGGTTCGGTCCCTCGCCCCACTGCCAGTCTAGCTCGCCGCCGTAGGACTTGGGGATACTGGAGGGATCCATGAAAGAGGTGAGGGTGGGTTTGACTTCGGAGGCGGATAGGATAAAGATCTTGGAGGTGGTGACTGGGTCGAACCAGCGCTTGATCCAGCCCCAGACGGTGGGGAAGAAAGCGGGTGCACCGATGATCTAGAAAAATGATTAGTTTGGAGGACAACGCAAGGATACGGAAAGAAAAACCATACAAATATACGATCCAGAGTCTCAGGGTAATGCGCCGTCGCCAACACACTAGCGTCCTGCATATGGCTCTTCAAATTCCAGAACTGCTTCAGACCGACGCCGCTCACATCGACGATATTGGTCGAGGTCACGATGGGGGTTTCCGGATTCGGCCGAGGCAGCGCAGAGCAGAGCGGCATGACAAAGTTAAGAAGGTTCTCGTACAGCGCAAATAGATTCAGCAGGCGCGCTGGCACCGTGGACGACTTGTGCGTTTCCGGGGTGCCGGTGGCCATCGTTGAGTTGTAGGCGGCCATTTGCTTGGTGTTGAGATGACGGATCTCGAAGACGTAGACCGGAATACCGCGGCGGTCCCGACGGCCTGTCCATTGGGGATACTGTATCGATCCAAAGTCAGCTACTGCGCTTTCCTTCCCATAAGGACTCAGAGGAAACACTCACCATCCTCCGCGCAGCCTCGTACGAGTCAACACCGATATTCTCATACAGCGAATCAATAGAATTCTCCTTGCGCCAGATCTCCGTATCCTTAAACTGGCCCCAGGCGCCCTCGACATCGAAGCGACGAGCCCGTAGGAAGCGCAGCATGGTCGCATCGTCGTGGCTCGGCGGCTGCTCCTCACCTCCGTCCTGTTCCGCGGGGCCTGCTGGCGTATAGTATCCGCGCTCGGCGCAGACATCCTTGAACTCCCGCAGCTTATCCTCCTGCTCCGGGGTGAGGTGGTTGAGGTGTCCGGCGAGCCATGCGGTGCCAGCGGCCTGGTCGGCGGAGGCGGATGGGTCGTTTTTGGAGGCGGAGGCGGTGCGCGCCAGCGAGCCGTCGATCGAGGACGTCTGGCTGGTGTGGGATTTGGTCCGCCAGAGAAAACCCATGTTTTACAGGAGACCCCGGGTCGTTAGAATCTTGGTTGGTGATGGTGGAGGAGCGAGCGGAGGTAGACGAGGGCAGAGGAAGGAAGGAAGTAGCGGTCGACGAAATAAACCGAATGGAGTTTCTTGGGCGGAAGACACTAGCGTAGCGTCATGCGGGCGATCAGCACGGTCACCGGCAATCTGATTTGGTGTTATGTTATGCAGAAAGTTGTATAGAGCGTCTCCTTTTTTTTTTTATCCTGCCCTCTCTTCTTTTCTTGTCTTTTGCCTCTGCTTATGTCATACCCGTTGCCGCGGTGTTGATAGATCCGATCAGATATACAAGTCGATCTGTGAAACTCAATCGGTGACGGTGAAACAGATCGACCTAGTCTTCAGGGCGAATAGTCAGGGATTTTTATATGAAGAAACAAACGAGAATTTTTTTAGTTGCTGAATGTACAATATATAGTTACATGTACACACTTCTCAATCCTCCGTCAGGTCGCCATACTCCCACATCCCACGGCGCTCCGCCTTGGCCTCGTCCTCGATCTCGCGCAGCTTCGACAGAGTCTCGCCCGCAGCGCGTTCCCAGGCCTTCAGCTTGCGCGGCACCATGGCCATGCCCTCCTGCAGAATGTCCGCATTGATGCTCTGATCGAGGCTCTTGGAGACCGCAGGGTCGAGGAGGGTGACGTGCAGGGTGCCCTCAGCGTCGACATGGTCCACATTGGCGACAAGCTGGCGGTCAAAGGCCTGCTGGGCGACAAACTCCACAGCGTCGGCCAGGTAGTCCGGGGCAGCGGGGAACTGCAGGAACGAAAGCACGGCATCGACGGCCTGCGGGCGCAAGGCCTGGCTGGAGAACTGCGGCTGGGTGAGGGGGCGCAGAGTCGACCACGGCAGGGACTCGGAGTTGCCGAAATCCATGTACACCACCTCAGCCTGCTGCTTCTCGCGATCGTTGCGCCGCACCTTGGCTCGATACCAGTTGCCGTCCTCGCTGAACTTGGCGGCCACCCAGTCACCAGCCTTGGGTGGACCAGCCAGGGGCGTGTCGTTGGCCTTGTTCAGGTGGAAGGACCGGAATGCGCTCATCAGCTCAGTCAATGCGCTGGTGCCGGTGCCGATCTGTTGCAGCTTCAGTTTTCCCGAGGCTGGGTCTACGTGCGTGAGCATCACATCGCGATAGTCCTTGCGGCGCTGGGTAGGGGCAGCGTCGCTCTCGGTGCCGGTCCCGTTGGCAGCAGCATCTGCTTCCTCGGCCTCCTCGGCCTCCTTGCTCGGGTCCCAGTCGTGCCACAGACCCTTGCGGGCTTCCTTGGCGCGCTGCTCGGCGGCGAAGTACTCGGTCGCATGGCCGGACTGCTCGGCGGAGTAGGCGTGCACAGTGGCCAGACCCTCCTCCAGCAGGACTTTGGTGAAGTTCTCTTTGTTGACATACAATGTGCCGATGAAGCCACCGACCTTGTCAATAGTCTCCACATCAATCTCCACGTCACGCTGCATGCAACGGCGGTTGGCTAGATCGTGGGCTTCCTGGCCGAACGGCTCGCCGGCATCGGTGGGTCCGCGCGCAGACCGGGGCGCGCGAATACCTCCAAGCACGAGGGTCAGCTTGCCGTTGTCCCGGGGCACCAGCACAGTAAAGCGGGAGCCCGACTTGACAAAGTCAACTACGGCCGGAACGCGCTTCTGCCGCTGTAGTTGGGCGAGCTCCATCTTGGCCTTTTGCACGCTCTCCGAGTAGTCTTGATACTGCTTGGCCTTGGGCGGCTTGGACGACCACATCCCGCGCCCCTCCTTCTGGGCCTCGGCCTCGGCAGCGAGCAGGGAATCATAATCGGGAGATCGGTCATCATCATCCATCCGGTGGCGAATGACAGAGGCATACCCGGCCTCGACCAGCGACAGTCCAACATTGATGTTGCCCTGCATGACAGTGGCCACTTCGCGTTCCTCATAGCCCTCGTTGGCTGGTTTCTTTCCGTTCACAGTAACCTTGACGTTCTTCGCGATCACCCGCTTACGCAGGAACTCCTTGGCGTCTGCGGCAAACGGAGCCTGCTTGGGATCGGACGGCTTGGGCTGCCGGATACTAGTGATGCTGACCTTCTTCTCCTGGCCAGCCTTGTTGCGAAGGAAGAGCGTGTCGGCATTCAGCACCCGGCTGACAGTGTAGTCTACTGCCGCCGCCCCGCCAGCAGGGCCCTTGGGTGCAACATGGCTGACGAACAGTCCCTTTCGAGCATCCTTGGCTGTGCGCTCCGCCTGACGGAGGAGAGCCATGTCCGGGCCCAGAAGGGTCGAGTGGTGGTCCTGGCAGCGGGCGAGTCCGGCCTCAAGAAGGAAGCGGGAAATGTTGCCATTGGGGTGCAGGAGAGTGGCCACCAGCTGGCCTTGAGGAGTGACGCCCAGCAGGGCGACCTTGACCTTGCGCTGAAGCAGTCTTGTTTCCACAAACTGCAGAGCCTCGTCACCAAATGGCTCACCGGGTTGTTCTTTGCCCTCTGCTGTTGTCCGGCGAGCAGCGGGGGTCCGAATGCCCGCGACGGCAACCAGCGTCTGCACGTGCTCCTGTGGCGAGAGGAGAATGCGCAGAATCACCCGGTCACCGTTTAGGACCTTCTCAACGATTCCCTCTAGCTGTTGATCCTTGTATTTCTGGACCAGAGTCTGGGGGTTTGACACCTCATAGCTGGTGTCGATCTGGCCCTTGTCCGAGCCGGCCCAGATACCCTTGGCCTCATCCTGAGCGAGCGACTCCAGCGCGCGCAGCCGGTCCAGCAGGCTCAAGGTCTCCTCAGACTCGTCGGACCGCTTGCCAGCTTCTTCACGCACACGCGACCATCCCTCCTGAACACTGATGTCAGGCAGCGAGGCGTCGAAACCCGGCAGCTTGATGAACCCATATTCGCGCTTAGCACCGGTAGGGACCGAGTAGGCGACCTGGAACTTGACGACTTTGCCGACCAGAAGCTCACGGAGGAATTCACGGGATTGGAAGGCGAAGGGCTAGACAATTGGTTAGTTAATGCCGGTGCAATTGACTGCAACAAAGAACACACCTCATCACCCTCACGCCTCAATCGTGGGGCAGACACATAGGCCAGACTCAGAATGCGCTCCTGGGTGGGATTGGTGATGTTCGACAGCACGACCGTGTCACCCGACAGGACGGACTTCACGCGGGCCTCGAAAGTCATTGCAGAAGAAAGTGAACACCACTACCTTGGAATTGTATGAGAGAAATGCAACAAAGAGAAGAAAGGAGAAAAGATAACAAGGAGGAAGAATGGTGAAGCACACAGGAGACGGTGTTGAGGGGGAAACGTGGCCGGTGTTTGCCCTTGTGTGGGGGAAAGCGGTGAGTGATCTATAGCTTGCTGGATAACCCTAACTCATCCCAGAACTCGTAGTCTACATCCATCAAGGACGGCTAGCTAGAGGATTCGATGCTCAGTTCGGACTGAAGATTGGTATCAATATTCAATATATACGACTTTCCGGATTACGAAGTGCCAGAGCCCCCACCCACTCAATCTTTCCTCGCCATAAAAGGCACACAAGCCTCATAAACATCCTTAAACCCAGGGAATGCCATAAATCTCTGAAACAAACCCTCATCAACAACCCTACTAAACTGCAGAGTCCCCGCGATGAAGAAATCAGCATAACTGGGTCTCGCACCGAGGATAAAAGGCCCATCAGCCTTATGCGTCATCATCAGCTCCCCAAGTGCGCGCATGTCCTCACGAACAGCACTCCAAGCCTGCTCCTCCTCGTCGGTGTCGAGCAGGTCCTCAATCGGGTGTCCCAGCTCAGCCTCGCGCGCGCGTCGGAAATACTCCTGTGCGCGCGGCGAGATGATGTTGATCTCGCGCGGCAGCACCGAGTTGCGGAATGCCGGGGAGATGACGGTGCGGGCTTTGGTTTCGATCTCGTGGCCCAGCTCGGAGGTTAGTGGGACCGGCGGATCGGGGTAGGTTGACTCGATGAACTGTGAGATGGGCACTGAGTCCATCATGTATGTGTTGCTTGGCACGTGTAGGATGGTGGGGACTGTGTATTTGATGGCCGGCTTGCTAGGTTCCACACCGCTGGGAATGAAAGGTTAGGATCAGAGAGAACGCTGGAGGCTGTGGGTTGGGACGTTGCTCACAGGCCTTTAAGCGTTGGCTCGATGTCTGGAAATTCTAGAAAGATGGTCTTATACGGGACATGCTTATAGTTGAGCATGAGGCGGATGCGCCAGACCACGGGCGAGAAGCAGACATTCTGGTTGCAGGCCAAGTCGTACAGCACAATTTCGGGCTCGGGGTTGGCGGTCATGTTGGGTGTAGAATGGTAAAGCAGATATGTAAGATTTCCTAAACGTATATTACAGTGGCACCTCTTCAGTCTCCGTCCCTCTCCTACACCGCCCAACATACACCGCTTTTCCTAGAGTTTTTAAACCATTACAAACATAGATCAGCGTCATATAATTTTTTATATTACATTGGATCCTTCCTAGGTGAGAGATATGATTGGACATAGCAACTATTTCACCCAGGTTTTTGGGATATAAGTGGAAATAGAGGGGGCTTTTTTCGGATGGCAGAATGTATAATAATCCAGGGAGGGACGGAGACTTGGGAGGTGCCACTGTGCAAGCTGAACTGCGAGGTACGCAGAAGAGGGGTTGAGGATACGAGTGTGGCTTTATATACTTTGTTCAGTTGGGGCCGAATCTACAATCCCTGAGCTAATAATAATATATCAACTATGAAATTTAATCACTATACAGAGCTGAAATTATACCATTGGCGTTTTTTGGCCGAGGGGTACATCTTGCACTACATCCTGGTCGACAACTAATGACAGGCTAATTAACTACGTTCGTCCAAGGGCGAGGAGAGCAGAAAATACAAGTGGATTGCGTCTGGGCACATGGGTCTACTGCATGAATAGGTAAAATGTGATGGGCATACGAGCAGTCTAATCAGACAGACAAAAGAAATTGTGTTCCATTCATGGTCTGATCTTAGCCAGGTCCTATGATGTACTTTTCAAGGAAGATAGAATGACTGATTCATATCGAATCCAGTCAGTTCATTTTCAGGAGTCAACTTAGTTGGCAATGCCAATAACGCCTATAAATTGCATCAATACAATTTCATTCCACTTGAGAATAAGGACTTACCGCAAGCGGGGCGAGCACCGGCGTTACCGGTCTTCTTGGACTCCTCGTTACCACCCTTGCCGAGGTCGTCAGTGCCAGCGTGGACGACAAGAGTACGCTATACATATAGATCCCCCAGTCAGTGCATTGATTCTCCCTCAAAACAAAGCGCCAAGATCAACTTACGCCCAGGACGCTCTCGGCACCGATTAGCTTCACCAGCTTGTCCTGCATGGTACCAGTGGCATTGCCCTCGGCATTGGTCTTGAAGTTGCCCAGGTCACCGACGTGGCGCTCAGAATCGGTGGGAGCACCGTGGGTCTTGCCGAAGGGGTTGACTAGGCACAGTGTTAGTGGCCCGAGGTATACATGAGATCAATGAGGGAGGGAGCATACAGTGAGGACCAGCGGAGGTGCAGCCGTTGGTGTTGTCACCGAACTGGTGGACGTGGAATGCGCGCTCGGCGTTGGCGTCGTTGCCGGTGATGTTCCACGAGATGGTGGTCGGGGCGTTCTCGTCGGCCTGCTCGAAGGTGACGGTGCCGGAGACCTTGGCATCACCGCGGAGGACAGCAACTGTTTCGTAGGGGCGTTAGTGAGTGTTCTAGAAGGGGCGGTGGAAGGTAGAGATGGGAGGTGGGATGGTCCGGGAGCAGCCGCCGCAGCTAAGGGTTAGATGGCAAGCCACAACACAACCAAACCATGAGCTCGGTCTCTCCACCTGTTCCTTGACAGACAGACAAGAGTGGAGAGCTGCAAGGGAGGAGAGGTAAAGCTGATAGGCCCGGAAGTCGCCAGCTCGGATTCCTCTCCCAAGGTGCTCAAATGTGCTCAACCCTCGCCACAGGGGACCCGCGGGGACAAATTATACCCCCCAATCGAAAAGAGACGTTGGATACATACCAGCTTTGACCATTGTGACGGTAGTAGATAATGGATTGAATTGGAGTTGGATTGACAGATGGATGGGAGTGGATGACTGAACTGAAGTTCAAGAAAAGAAAAAGAAGAGGAAGCGGGAGGAGGGGAACGAGCTGGCTATGTAATAAGCGGGATGATGCTGTGGTGACCAACCAATGTTACCACCAGTGAAGAGGTACCAGTACGTTCTATACCAGACGAGATACGCACCCAGCAGATGTACTGGTACATCGTTACATGCGGCAAAACATACCCCCACTTTCCTAAGCCGGTCGCAAGGGCAATGACATAATGGCCGCGGGTCGTTTTTCTCCCTTTGTTTTTGTCTTGATGTATAGATCATGTGTGAAATTCAAGATGCTAGATCTTCCATTCATCTTCCCTATAGCTTCCACGCGCTCCCTACTCCCTATCCCGACGCTATGAGAGCTGGCCTGCTAACCTCGGGTATAGAATCCGCAGATCAACCTTAGTCAGTCTATTACACAGTCGTGTCACGAACCTCGTACAGTAGATTCCGTGCTGGAATTCACACACTGCGGGGCACTTTTCTGAATAAGCCGACTGGCCTGGATCGAGTGCACGGGCATCGTCGCACGCCGATTCCGGAGTTAAGATAAGACAAGGACAGAAAATTGTGTATCATGAATTCATATCTACTACCGATTCCAGACAATTTTGAGGGGCATCGCCAATTTACACAGAAAGCAAAAACAAATTAAACAGACCCAAAAACCTATGCCTGGATTTTCTGCTGGAGAAGCTGCTTCAGGGTGACGGCGTCAGCCGCGAACTTGGAGATACCCTCGCGCAGCTTCTCCACGGCCATGGTCTCCTCGTTGAAGTCGAAACGGAACTGGGCCTCGTGGTTGAGATACTCGCGCTTGGGGATGTCCAGGGAAGCGGCGGAGGTGGCGTCGAGCTTCTTGGGCACGGCGGCGGTGGAGTTGTACAGGTCCTCGAGGAGGTTGGGCGAAATGGTCAGGTAGTCACAGCCAGCCAGCTCGGTGATCTCGCCGACGTTCCGGAACGAGGCACCCATGACAATGGTCTTGTAACCGTACTTTTTGTAGTAGTTGAAGATGTCCTGGACGGACTTGACACCCGGGTCCTCGGTGGCGGTGTAGTCGCGCTTGTGCGCGGCCTTGTACCAGTCCAGGATGCGGCCCACGAAGGGCGAGATCAGGAAAGCGCCAGCTTCGGCAGCGGCGATGGCCTGCACGGTCGAGAACATGAGCGTCAGGTTGCAGTTGATGCCGTGCTGCGACTGCAGGATGTGCGCGGCCTTGATACCCTCCCAGGTGGAGGCGATCTTGATCAGGATGCGCTCCTTGGGGATGCCGATATCCTTGTAGAGCTGGTGAAATCGTTAGTCTCCTGCTTGCAAAACATGCCAGTGACGCCGAACATACCTGGATGATATGCAGAGCCTTGTCGACCGAGGCCTTGGTGTCGAAGGACAGCTTGGCATCGACCTCGGTCGAGACCTTGCCGGGGATGATCTGCAGGATCTCGCGACCGAACTCAACCAAAAGACGGTCGAGGGTGGCATCGACCTGCTCGTCGACGGATCCTCCCTGCTTCTTGCCGTAGGCCACGGCCGCATCGATCAGAGCGGCGTACTCGGGCTTCTTGGAAGCGGCCAGGATGAGGGAGGGGTTGGTGGTGGCATCCTGGGGCTTGTACTTGCCGATGGCTGCGAGAACACGTGTTAGTAATGGGGGATGGCATTGGGATTCAATTGCGTGGTGCACATACTGGCAAAGTCACCTAGACACGGTGGCGGTCAGTTAATCGGACTCTATCGCGGTACCCCGCCACACAGGGATGAAACTTACCAGAGTCGCAGACGACGACGGTGCCAGTGGCCTTGAGCTGCTCGAGAGAGGAAGTCATGGTGCGGGGATAATGAATCAAGTGGGAATAGATTGACGGAAGGATATAGAGGATGGTGGTGAAAGAGAAGAGAAGAAGGAAAGAAGTAGCTCAGGTGGCGGTATTTGAGGTGGCGGGATGCGAGGGCAGTCAGTCAGGTCAGGTGGGGCGATGAAATCATCGTCCGTTTTCATGCTGGACTTGCCCCTCGTTACGATGATCAGGTCCGATAGCCCATATATCTTTATTGTGTCTATCGTTGCTTTTTTCCTTTGTTCTACTCGACTCTGCGCGCTCAACTCCTCTTGATTTCAATGTGTTACCATAATATTCCTCTGGTTGTCCATTGCCGGCGCAGTGTGCTCCGGCGGAGCAGTGTTGGCGGAACAGTGTCGACCGGCCACCAACGGCCCACTACTACTCACCGGCACCCGGATAAATATCGTGTTGATGATGGAACTATATTCTTGCGCCGGAAGAATAGGCAATAACCCGCCCATGCAATCTACAATTGCTTTTGTTTGAACGACACCAAGGAAATAAATGCGGGCTAGTGTCGCTGGATGCAGTTCCACTCATACTGTTGTGCCCATCGTCAGCCCAGAGCCCATGTTATACAAGGATCAATTAGAATGCAGGGTGAAAAACTCACTACCCGACCAGCCTCGTCTCCCGTATACACCACATGCGCCAGCGCCAGAATGCAGGTGATCCCCGCGGAGATATTGGCCCCATTGTCGCGGCTGCTGTCAGTATGGTGCAACTGGCGGATCAGCTCGAGTTCGCACCGGCCACCGCGGATGGCCTTGGCCCAGATGTTGACCACGCCGCGCGTGTGGCCAGTCAGGATGAGCTCGCGCTCCAGCCACTCGTTGTTCGCGCCCTCGTAGAAGACACAGGAGAGGACGCGGTCCTCGCTGGATTCGCAAACAGGCTGGTCGACGAGGATCGTGCCGTTCAGTGTATACAGAGTGATTCTGCCGCCGCGGGAGACTATGATGTCCCCCGTCACATCGTTGATTCGGGCACACTAGACAAAGAGTAAGTAGATGCGAAATGAAATAACGGACAGGGAAGGAAGACGTACATCCACTGGCCCATGGGCTGGAAGTGCTCGGACGAATGATCGGCGATTTAGATCCCAGAGCATGATCTGCCCGTCCGCGGATGCGGAGAGCAATGCGCTGAACGAGCGGGAGACAGCCAGCACGGTAACCGGGGCCCGATGGCCAAATAGCGACCCGATAGGCTGCAGGTCGACAGACTTGGAGGTGGTAGTGACCGCCCACAGGGAAATTGTACAGTCCGTGCCACAAGTGACGAGAGTTCGAGAATCGGCGAAGTGGGCATAAGAAAGCTGGCCGACGTGAAGATGTTCAAAATGGCCCAGAAGCTGCCGGTCATGATTAGAATCTCTCCTCGCTGTTGCACATGGACAACCATACCTTGCGGCTATCTGTAGCATAGAACCGGACACTGCCGTCAAAGAAGCCCCATTCCATATACTGATCGTAGGTGGGTGGGACATTCAGCCGGAGAGCGGCAGTACATAACAGGCGATCTTGCTTCATTGACAAGGTGGCGACTCGTTCTTCAATATCTGGATCGCGGATGTCAGTTCAAATACTCCGATTCCCCGAGCAAGATAAACCACTTACCAACCAGAGACAACGGCATCTGGGTCAACGATTCCGCCAGAGCATCCAAACGTGGCACGCGGTACCGCTGATCCTCGCGCTGCGGATGAGGCCGCTGAAAGATCTGGTGTGGTGTCTGACCGAAATTATGGATAATGCCGATGGTAGCTAGTCTCTCCATAGGATCATCAATGGCATCCAGGTCCTTGGCCCCCTTGTAAGAAAGATGATGGAAGACGTTGACGGCCTCGACGGCAGCGTCGCCTTTCTGCTTGCTGCCAAAGACCAGGTCGATCCAGTGGTGGAGGTTCTCCGATACGTATGGGCTCTCGAGCGCCTCGCGGTGCTTGGCGATGAAGATCTTCGGATCGCCCTTGGCCCATGGGGGCAGCTCGACCGAGTCGATGGCTGTGGTCATGTTTTGCAGTAGGCCGAAGTCGTATTTGTTGGAGTTCACCAGGAACTCGGGGAGATAGAAAAATTCCGGGGTCAACTCTCGCACATCGGACATGTTTCCCCGTGATGCAGACTCCCACGCCTTGCGGATAGAGTAGAAAAGACGATCCGCGTGGTCAAACGTTCCGCCTTGAAGGAGGAGGTACGACTTGACGAAAGGCTGAAGACGGATGAGGTATGAGCTGACGATCATGGCCGACGAGTAATGGGTCCCATAATGGAATGGCGGGGAATTGCTATCACCCATTTCGGCGAAGGCGTTGTATCGCTCTCGGAAGCCAGCTTCGCGCTCCAGAGTCTGACAACCCATTGGTTTAGAGAGATCTCGGAAGGTTCTGGGGTTGGTGAGGTCGAGTTCTTCACTCGTGTAGTCTGCCAGAACCCACGGGAAAACAGGATATTGGGTCAAGTCGTTGAATGTCCGACCGGCAAGCGTATTGAGCAACATGAGATAATGGAAGTTGGAAATCTCTCCCCGAACCCATTTTCGAGTTGCTGGATTGGCCGGTAGATGGCCAAACACGCTGGCGAATTTGGATCCCAGTGACTGTGGCGCGTCTTCTTGGCTGCGCAGCGTTTCAAATCGAGAGATATCTTCTGGTCTGGAATGTCCCGTGCTTCCCGTGACCTGCGGAGCTTTGTGTCCGAGCTGATTACATAGGTCATCTCGTGCCTTCGGTGAGAAGAGGGTCAACAGGTAGCTGGTGCCGTCTGTGAAGAAGATCTCCAAACCCACGTCGCGAAACAAGAACCGGCGTTTCGATGCACTGACCAAGTCCGACCATTTCCAGCTCCTTGTTTCGTGCTCTTGAGAGCGACGGTCATGGGATTCGCGTCCAGCAATCATCCGTACATACGGATCGCGCTCTTCGGCAGGTGCCTGCCATACGTCGACGATCTCGCCATCGGCTCTTTGGAAGAAATTGTCTAAGATATAGACGCAGTCCTTTCCGAGAATCAAGAGACCCTCTATGGCTTCCAGGCCGATGATTCGAGACATGTTACAGACGTTCTGGACCTGGTCACCGCGATGGAGAGATCGCATCACCTTCCTATTCTTATCTTCGTACTCCTCGATTTCAAGCTTGGGATCCTCAACCATCTCGAAGTTATCCTCAAGCATGTTAGGACTTTCGGTGCCGCCATCCTGGGGGTCATTCTCGGCAGGCTCAGCAGTCAGCACAGTCGGTGTGGAGATAGTCTGTCCCCCGTCGGACTGTGCACGCAACCGGGTATCGATTTTGAGTGAGGATGGTTCGGATGCCTTGCGCTTGGGCTGGTAATCTTGTCGCTCGCCCGACTCGTCCGGAACAAGACGCAGCCGCATGCGACTGCGGCCTTCGGTTTGATCAAGTCTCCATTTCCGTTCCTTCTCTTCAGCAAGGAGACCACCGGGTCGTCGCAGATTCAGCAAGAGATTGGACAGGGCTGACCACATGAACACGGTGTTATCTTGAAGATCTTGTAGCGCTCGCTGGGACTTCATGAACTCGGACGCCGATATGTTTGAGATCCAATGGGGCAGGGTGGCAAAATGCTTCCGAATTATGTCCTCATGGAACTTCTCGAGATGGGCCCACTGCTTGAGCTTCTCTTTGCGCTTTGAGAAGCGATGCTTTGCGGAGTCCTCGCTGGCTGCTTTTTCCTCCTGAACGAATGTCTCCCACAACCGAGATAGAATGCCAAAGAACAAAGCATCGAGATCGTCCCGCTGGTCATCGATCCACTGTATGAACGCCTCATCTTCCATCCCTGAAAGCGCATCAAAACCATCGGAAAGTCGATTTTGCAGACTGGGAGGTCCGTGGCTCAGCAGATTCGTGATTTCATCGGGTCTCTGTACGAGAATTATACGCCAAAGTCTCGCGGCAGACAGACGGATATCCTCCTTGTCGCTGATCAAACTGCTATACAGGAGATAGCAGAACAATTGCAAATGCTTCGACTGTGTTTCGGCAGCAGAAAGCAGCACTACCTGCCAGTAATTCAAGCGGTTCAGCAGAGGTAGCACGTCATCATCAGCTGCTTCCGACAACTGAAACAAAACTACTTTGTAGAGTGTCGAGTGTATGGTTGCAACGGCCTGACTGCACAGCCGAATGCTTTTCAGATGAGAAATATCAGGGCGCTGAAGGTACTCGAGAATGGTGCCCAGACATTCAAGGGTTGAGGCAGCGCCGTTGACGAACCACCCTTCATAGACCGCCTCAGCCAAGTGTGTTGCAAAGCGCGAGAGGTTGATGAGGGTACGCGGTTCATGAAGCAGGCGAGGCAGAGAGGTAGGAATATCCTGGACTGTCGACAATAATTTGTTGAAGACCCAAGAATTGAAAAATGCCTGATGGTCGAGGAAGCCAGGGGGGGTCTTCCAATACAGTCCAAGACCCGAAAAGTCCTTGCGTTCGAGAATCTGATCTTCGAAGACAGTGAGCACTAGGTCGGCGACGGATTTGACAAGAGGATGGTTCGCAGCCGGCTCATTGGCAACAAAGCGAGGGTTCACTACGCGGCGAATGCGCGCGGTAGAGGATTGTGACTTGGCTTTGTCGGAGGAGATGAAAATGAATGACGAGCGACCTTGCAAAGAGCCAGTGCTCTCACCTGGGCTTTCGGCTTGCTCGACTGTCGAAGGGTGCAGGCTAGATACACTGGCGCCGCTGGAACGTGGCCGCATGACAAGGCTGTTATCGTCGAAGTTGAGTCCGCCATATCGTGAATTGAGTTCTGCATCAGCGCCGACAGCGTCCACGCCCACAACGACTGGATACAGCACTGAGAGCAGTTCTTGCACATAATTGGATTGCACGGTGAAATCCCGGAAATTCTGAGACCTTTTGCGTGCCTCAGCAAGAAATTGCACCACAGAGGTTAGAATATTGGAGCCGTGAATGACACGCTTGGACGGATGGATTCCTAACAAGCCAAATTTATCAGTACCCTGATGGCGACATACACGATTAGAGTCCGGGTTAATGCTCACCGGTTAAATTGATGGAATCCATTGTGGGATTGTCTTGGCAATCTGTGCGCGATTGCAGAGACTCTTGCTCATCCTCGTTTGGATCATTCTCTTGGGTAATGCTTCTGAGACCACTCTTAACCATTTCCACGATGGTGGACAACATATCCGGAAATTGAACCTTTATCTCCCCATTCAGGAAGAAAAGATTGAGTAGGCCCGACTGATCAAATGGTCTTTCAAGATTCATCAGACCAATGTCCTGACCAAAGAATATGGAAAAGCAGATGGGCCACAGAGCTGGAATATTCCACCACCTTTTGAAGGCATGTTCCATGGTGATGTAGCCACCGTTTCTATCTGTGAACTTCTTGCTGTAGCTGCCACCATGGATAACCAGTAATCGAGCAAGGATTCGAGCAGCCAACACCACGACTTCGGGTTCATCCTCGGACAACAGATACAAGAGCCACTACACGGACTTAGACATGATTCTAGGAATTTCATCGGTGAAACCAACCTTATTCGTAACGGCTTTCGCAAATTTCCTCAACGGAACCAGGTCATGAGGGTTGCACAGCACGGAAGCATAGATGCGCAGCATCTCCAGTCCCAACGTGGGACCAGGCGTGTATTTGTCGGATTTTGATGAGGCTGGTCGTGGGGACGCTGCTGCAAATCGAAGGCTCTTTTTCCTCTGAAGGTTGGCAGCTGGCGTCGGCTTGTGCAGGGAGTATGTGATTGAGAGGGCAAGCGAGCGAAGGAAATCCGGAGACAGACTGCTGTCCATCAAGACACGTAGAGTGGCCAAACATGGTTTGAGCGATTCTTGAGTCAAGTCTCCTCCTTTCAAGGTTTCGAGAAATTTCTTGTTGACACCTGATTTGGTCAGCTATAATGGAATAGAAACAGGCGTGGCAATATGGAGGAACGACTTACGCATGCGACTCAGCCTTCTAGAGTTGAATCTACGATGGTTACTCTCGGACACAAACGTGCGAAACTGCGCGTAATAGAGATCAACAACCGGGGGTTCTCCAAATCGCCAAACATCCATATCAATAAGCAGAACCCGGTACGCCAGCGGGTTTGTGATGATTGAACGATTTGGATGCTCAAAGTTGTATCCCACAAATCCAAGCGTCAGACGCAGCAGTTCAAGCGACAGCATACCCTGCTCTTCGATGTTGGGGTTGAGAAGAGCAGTCTTCCCCGCTGGAGTATAGTTGCCAAACTGGAACCCAAGCTTATCACGCAACATCGCTGCAAGAATACCGTATCCGTTTTCTCTCTCCATGGCCTCGCTATTTCTCCAGTTGTCTTGCACGGCTTCGTATAGAGCAGCCACTGCTAATCGAGTCCCTTCAACAGTGTCGGCTACTTGAACCAGGCTCAGGTGTACCGCGGCGCAGCCGCCTATACACCAACTGGCATCATCCAAGGCTCTGGGAACGGTGACGACGGGGTTCCCTGTCAAAATTCCAACGCCCTGAGGTTGTGTCAAGCAATCGTTAATGGCTGGAGTGCCACCGTTCACTGCCACTGCGTTCCCACCAGCCTTGGTCAACTGATGTAGACTCCGTGCCGCCTGTCGAGATAGACATTTGAGGAGCTGCGACTCATCGACGTTGTTGGTATCATCGTCATCAAGAACTGCCACGGGGGATACATTAACCAATATCGAGGTCTCACGAACGAGAGTACTGGCTCGTCGCCGAACCGCTGTAACAATATCTGACACTTCCTCTTTGCCAGGGTGGAGATGCTCGTTCCGTAGATTGAGAGTTGCTGATGCTTTGTACGTCTGGAAAGAGCCCAAACAATCTTGAAAATTGCCATAATAGCGGGGCCCCAGATTGTAGAACACGGCAACCATATCGTCGCTGTATGCTTCATCGAACAAAATCCCATTTGCCAGAGACCATCGAGACGTCGATACTCCCTTGCCAAGACGCATGGCCAGATCCTGTGGCGTGCCGAAAAAAGCCTGGATCCGCGGTGCTCTGTGTTGGCTTTGAACCGCCGGAGCTGTGGGGTATTCGATCTTCAACTGCTCAACGAACTCGCCGTCTATGAAAAGAGATGCGCGGGAAGACCCCGCCGGCTTTGGTCTTCGGTGCACCACACAGATATGATACCAACGGTTGGGCTCGAACGAGGCCGACTTGAACCGGACACTGGGCCGCGAGCTGCGGATTGACGATTGGAGAATGAAGTTGCGGGTATCCTTCTCCAAATATGCTAGAAGAAAACACGTTTGGGTTGGATCAAAGGCCCCAAAAAGGGTGGTATGCGTCTTAGGATCGAACTCATCGAAACGAGCCCAGGCAGTCAATGTGTAGCCAGATGAGGAAGACGGAGGAAAGGAACGGCCGAGAGTCGCGAATTCCACTGAGCAGTATCCATGCAGCGACAGGTCGAACTGGATTGAGGGAGGCTCTTTAGAAGCTTTGAGGGCAGCCAGAAGGAACTTCAAAGCTTGGGGGCTTTCATGGGCGCGGCGGTATAGTGTGACAGCATCGTCCAAGCTACACATGCCCTGGACGCTGAGAAACCGAGCAAGCTCTTGATAGAGTGCCTTCTCGGTGTCAGATCGGTTGTCATCAAACATGAGCGGAAGGATTGACGTTAGCATCCCGGTGGCATGTAGGGCTACGATATTCCGTTGGGATTGGGAGGCCAAGTGGCACAGACAGGCAGGAACCGCCAGGTGTTGCATATTGTGGTCTGATGAGGCGGATGAGTGCATCACCCACACGCGGAGGAATGGTCCCAGGATCTCGGGGACCTCCACGGTCTCTGCAGGCCCCAGGCATTGTCTCACGGCATCCTGGACCTCTTCCGGAGTTGGGGAATGGTTACTCTGGAGAAGCTTGGTGTCCAACGTTACAAAAATACCAGAAACAGTCTCTTGGCACAGAGCAGCCGCAAGGATGGCTCCATAGAGTTGCCGTGCGTCGCTCCCGGCCTTGTCCATTTTCTGGACAAGCACGGCCAGAGTTCGCTGCAGTGCAGCTGTCCCTCCTCCCGGTATCCGGCGGGCAAAATATCGCCTGTTGCCCGAGTGGTCCTTCAAACCCTCTGCCATGACCGCCAGAAGGTCTTTGTACACGCCTAGCAGATCTTTTCGCTGTTCCTGAGCTAAGGCGTCCTGGTCATACCGCTCCGCTAGCTGATCGGCCAGGTCCAACAAGGTCTCGAAGCCACGAAGATGCCGAAATGCATCTTTGGCAGCTCGGGGGCGGACATTGTCGATAAACGTATGTCGGAGCCGTAAGAGGGATTCGGTGGCCGTGAGAGCTTGCGTGAGGGCCAGAGTGTCTTCCGCACAGAGGTTCTGGAGGTGCTCGAGCACCGGGGTCAGCTCCTCAGCCAGACGCTCAGCCGACCCGGAGGGAGAGGAGGACGGAGAAGGCGGAACCATTATGCCACCGGGTCCTGGACCACTATCGCGGGGATGCCGGATGATCCCCGGAGACTGCTGGTATGCACTGTCGCTTTGGGGCGGGTGAGATGGTCTGCATTGGTGGGGGGGGGAGGTCAGCGGGTCCGGGTGGCTTTGCATTGACATTCCAGAGGGGGAAGATCAGATCGACACGGCCAAATGGTGATAACACACACACTGGGTTTGTTGTTTGGAGCCTCAGCTATCGGGGGCGGGGATCAGCCTCGTCAGGTGACCTGGGCGCAGGGGACCGATAACCAGGCGATAAGAGGCTGGCCCGGGGGATCCACTGATTACGTCTTGTGGAGTGACCTGGCCGAGCCCAAGTTAGCAATACGACGGTCAGACGAGCCAGAGCACGCGACTCGGCGGGACGATCTCGCCCGGCCAGGCAATCAGATATGGTATGGTCTGGATCCTGCTTCGCGGTATTAATCCGGATCATCCAGCCATCCGGTTGCATCATCGGCGATAAGGTCACCACCCCAACCCGCTTATGTCATCCGTGACTCCTCACTGCCTCCTCGCCTCGCTCGCTCGTCTTCCCTTCCATCACTCCCTCCTCCTCCTGCATCCCCGTCCTACGTCTATTGTTTAACTCTCCATCTCTATTTTCGTTGGTCGTGCTGTCGTCCGTAGACTCGCCATCATGAAAGGCCTCCTCAGCCTGACTCTGCTCCCGTTGCTGACGGTTGCGTCACCCATCGTCGTGGACTCCATCCACAACGAGGCAGCTCCCATCCTGTCATCCGTGAATTCCCAGGAGATCCCGGACTCCTACATTATCGTGTTTAAGAAGCATGTGGACTCGTCGTCCGCCGCTGCTCACCACATGTGGGTGCAGGACATCCACTCGGCCCAGACCGGCACCAGCCGCCAGGAGCTCAAGAAGCGAGGCCTGTTCGGCTTTGATTCCGAGGCCTTCCTGGGCCTGAAGCACACCTTCCATATCGCGGGCTCTCTGATGGGATATGCTGGCCATTTCCACGAGGATGTGATCGAGCAGGTTCGCCGCCATCCGGATGTGAGTGCTCTCCCGGGCCGACGAGACGGTCAACCTCCCAACGAGAGCTCTGTCGCTAACCTGACGATATAGGTGGACTATATCGAGAAAGACTCTGAAGTCTGGATTAATGAAGAACCGGCTCTAGAGAAGAACGCCCCTTGGGGTCTGGCTCGTATCTCTCATCGGGACAGCCTCTCCTTCGGAACCTTCAATAAGTATCTGTATGCTGAGGATGGCGGAGAGGGTGTGGACGCGTACGTCATCGACACCGGTACCAACACTGAGCACGTTGACTTCAACGGTCGTGCTCACTGGGGCAAGACCATCCCGGAGAACGATGAGGACGCTGATGGCAATGGCCACGGCACTCACTGCTCGGGCACCATCGCTGGCAAGAAGTACGGTGTTGCCAAGAAGGCCCACGTCTACGCTGTCAAGGTTCTGCGGTCCAACGGCTCCGGTTCCATGTCCGATGTTGTCAAGGGTGTGGAGTGGGCCGCTGATGCGCACGTCAAGAAGGCCAAGGCTGCCAAGGAAGGCAAGGCCAAGGGCTTCAAGGGCAGCGTTGCCAACATGAGCTTGGGCGGTGGCAGCTCGCGCACCCTGGACCTGGCCGTGAACGCCGCGGTCGAGGCGGGCATGCACTTTGCCGTCGCTGCTGGCAACGACAACGCCGACGCCTGCAACTACTCCCCCGCTGCGGCGGAGAACGCCGTCACCGTCGGTGCCTCCACCCTGGGCGACGAGCGTGCCTACTTCTCCAACTTCGGCAAGTGCACGGACATCTTCGCTCCTGGCCTGAACATCCTCTCTACCTGGATCGGCAGCAAGTATGCCGTGAACACCATCTCGGGCACCTCCATGGCCTCGCCTCACATCGCCGGTCTGCTGGCCTACTACGTTTCCCTGCAGCCTTCTCAGGACTCGGCCTACGCGGTCGACGAGATCACCCCGAAGAAGCTCAAGGAGGCACTGATCACCGTTGCCACCGTGGATGCTCTTTCCGACATCCCGTCCGACACTCCCAACGTAAGTTTGTCCCGTTCTGTTCTGACGGATCATGCTAACAGTGATCTTAGCTCCTTGCCTGGAACGGTGGTGGTTCTGCCAACTACACCCAGATCCTGGCCGACGGTGGCTACAAGGCTGCCAGCCCCATTGAGGACCGCATCAACCAGCTGGTCGACAAGGCCGAGAAGCAGCTCGGCGCGATCTACAGCGAGATCAAGGACGCTGTGGCTGCGTAGAGCTGGCCAGGCACTTGGTCCTGTCTGGGACGGGACCAACCACTATTGGCATTTTGAAGGGTTCACCAACCGGCGCAGATTATATTTCATTTGGCTTCCATCTTTGTTACTTTTTGGGTTCGTTGTCCAACACACCGAGTCTGCGGGTCTCTCGGCATACCCGTCCTCCTTTCACTCAGACTGTCTCGCTTTTCCTATTCCGTTTATCGTTACCGTAGTATACATGTGTCTACAACTAAACATTGAAACCCGATCTAGAAAGTGTTTGATAGTTTCGGACTTTGGATTCTTGTGATCGACGGCAAACCTCCCTGTGTAGAGTGGAGTAGTCCGCCCGGTGTTTAACCAGTATATCCGCGATCGACTCATGATAGAGATGGTGATGCGACGAGCATGACTCGACCATCCTTCTGGATTGGTCCTCGTCCCTTCAGCCGCTCGGTGGAGCCCGGTGTCTTGACAGCGATGGCGAGAGAATGTGAATAGTGCGATGTGCCTCCAGTTCCTCTGTTCTCGACGAACTCCTGAGAAGATTGCGGCAGGATCCATCGTGGAGACCCAGCACCAATAGGAAAAATAAACAACGACCAGGATGCTACCAGGACGCATCAACCAAATACCGAGCCAGGATAGACCTGACAAATAGATTAATTAAGGACCTGCCAGATTCAGGGGCAGGAAGGAGTATTAGCCGACACGCTAGAATCGCCAATCCATGGGCCGATGGGGAGACTAGTGACCACTATAAGGGAAGATCGGCTGGAGCCCCCGCTGCATTATTGAATTTGCTCCGAACGGGTGGTGAAGTCGGTAGATAGCTGAGCTGTGCCTCAAGTAATCCCATGGTGCTCGTGCGAGGGCACGGGCGATCTGTAGTTCTGTGTGGGAGCCGAGCTCCGGGATCTGGACTCGACACCGCTCGAAGGAAACAAACCGCACAGGTCACCGCGACCTGTCTATTCCACTGGCGGTTCTGGGCGCCGCCGCCAATGGGATGCGGCCGGTGCCTGCCCCCCGAATGGTTGGATCCACTTGATCGCGGTCTAGTCGACACTAGATCTACCACCAGACGCCCAATTAGGGTGTTGCTCCATAACCACTCCCCTGTTGAGTGGAAAACTCTACTCAATTGGCACTACTCTCTGGAGCCCTCCGGGGTTCATAGGAGGCCCCCGCTTGGTGGATCTCGCCTTTGACATTCTGAGAAACCTAATAGTTCGGTGGCGTGAGATTCGTATAAAGTATGCGGTGGAACCCGTGGGTTGTTTCCGGTGGTCAAGCATCACGTCCACTCTTTATACTGCCATTTTGATGACTTCGCCCTCTCGCTCCCTCCCAAGTCCACCATGAGCCTTCATGATTCCTTCCCCGCCTACGGCGGGCGTGGCCCCAGCGATTTCCGTCTCGGAATTGCCCTCGGCGCCATCGCGACACTCTTTATCTTCCTGCGTGTTTATGTCCGGCTTCGAATCAACAAGTTCGGTACTACGGCCCTCATGTGGGCGCTCCTCGCCTGGGGATTGACCGCCATGACCCAGATCTTTGGCATCCTTTCTGTGTTGCACGGTCTGGGGAACCATATGACTGTCGTGGCGGAGACCGGCCAGCTGCATAACTTCCTTCTTTTTACTTGGATCACGGTCTTCTTCTTTAACCTCGCTATTCCCACGGGGAAGGTGGCGGTGGCGGCATTTTTGATGGAGATGAATCAACAGACCAGTTCGTCTATCCCCATGCACATTAAGTCCCAAGACCCTGCTGACATGGCTTGAATGTAGACCCCAAGATCCGCAAGAGCCTGATCATCCTCGCTGCGGTGAACATCATTGTCAATATCCCTCAAATCCTCCTCATTTGGTTCCAATGCAGCCCCGTCGACGCACTCTGGGATCCGCTCCGCCAGGCGCAGTGCGACCACCGGAAGAGCGTCTACTACACATACTTCGCTGGCGCCGTGGCCGCCTTCTCGGACTTTTACCTGGCCATCATCCCAATCCACATGCTACTGCCGCTGCGGATCGACCGCAAGCTGAAATGGGGCCTAAGTTTCCTCATGGGATGTGGTGTCTTCGCTGGCGTGGCTGCCATCGTTCGGACGTGGGCTGCCAAGTTCATCTTGAGCGATGACTCGTCCTGTACGTTCTTCCATCCCCATTCATTCATTTTCAGTGGATCATAGCTAACAGAAACACAGACGGCGTCGGCATCCTCTTCCGCTGGGGCGAAGTCGAAGAATGGGTCGTCCTCATCTCCATGTCCATCCCACCCGTCTGGCCTCTCTTCCGACCCTTCACGCAACGCTTCATCAAAACCGCCACCTCCCGAAGCCGAAGCCACCCGCAACTCTACTACAACAACTACAAGCAGTACGCCTCCACCACGGACCCGTGCTCCCCGGGCTTCCCTTCGCCTGGATTTCCCAGTTCGCCAGGCCTCGCCCCGCCCATGGTCACGACGACGATTTCCATTTCCTCTATGACCAAGGAACAGACTACCTCTATTCCGTCACGATCGATTTCGAGGATATCCCATTCTCAGACGGATTGTAGTGATGAGGGAGATCTGTTGAGCGAGCGTGAGCATGACCATCGCATTCCATCTCCGGTGCCTGCGCATAACAGCGCGAAGGACGGGTGGATGGAACTGCAGGGGGTGAAGAGCTCTCATGAGGAGGTTTGAGGTTGGATGCGTTGCTTACTTTAGGGCTGATGATCCTTGTTCTGGAGTTGGGCTGTCATGATGAAATATTCTCTCGCTGTCTATATACTACTTTCTTTTAATCTATGATTATGGGCTGGAAGATGTCCTTCTATAACAAACACGGCTCCTTCCTTTGACGTGTGACTTCTTTCCGTCTCTCTCTCTTCCTCTCTCTCTTCCTCTCTCTCTTCCTCTCTCTCTTCCTCTCTCTCTTCCTCTCTCTCTTCCTCTCTCTCTTCCTCTCTCTCTTCCTCTCTCTCTTCCTCTCTCTCTTCCTCTCTCTCTTCCTCTCTCTCTTCCTCTCTCTCTTCCTCTCTCTCTTCCTCTCTCTATCTCTCTCTCTTCACCCTCCCTATCTCTTTCTCCCCACACGCCAATTCTTCCCTCTCTCCTGTCAACCACCCAGACTCTTTCATCATGTCTCCCCGTCATATCAGAGGCCATGCCTTCTTTCCCCGATATCATGTCCCGCTTGCTCCGGACCAGATTGAGAAATTCCACGTCAGCCACACCCTGCCGCCTGTAAACCCTGCCATGCGGCAATACTTCAAGAATGCTGACCCTGCCGAGCCTGACTGGCGAAACAAGCCTGAGTTTCCTGGCTCGGACGAGATTCTGGGAACGGATACAGAAACAGAAGATGTCTTGCTCGCACCTAACAAGATCTCTGGTTCTTGGCCCTCCAGGGAAGAATACCTCAAAACGCACTACAATCTGATCCGCGAAGATGCAGTGGCGCCTCTGAGGGATGCGGTCGCTCTTGTTCGAGAGGACCCTTCTATCATGGATACCAAAGATGCGTTTACATACGAGAAAGTGAGTTGGCAGTGAGGTCAACTTGTTGCAATCGTTGTTAATGAATCAGGTCTATATCGTCGGGGCGACCTTCGCCCATCGTGGCTTGGCATTTCGCATGCGCTTTTCGACAAGACGTGCGGGCAAGAAAATCATGTGGAAGTACTCAAAGCGACTAGTTGCTGGCTCTGTTGTCGCTCTTTCTCCCGTCCAGGACTGTTTCGATACAAAGTGCATCGTGGGGGTCGTCGCTGCCAGGCCTCTTGAGAATATCACCAAGGAGCCGCCTGAGCTTGATATCTTCTTTGCACGACCAGAGCAAACCGAATTCGACCCTCAGCGGGAATGGATCATGGTGGAGGCCAACTCGGGTTACTTCGAGGCCCACAGACACACCATGAAAGCATTGCAGAAGATGTCTTCTGAAAGGTGGGTATACGACAGACCGATCTTCAATCCCTTATTGTCTGACATGTTTCATTTCCTTCTTAGATTTCCTTTGAGCGAGCATATATGCGCCCTGGAGCCTCTCATCTGCGCCCCGGAATACGTGGAGGCAGAACCGATGGTCGATATTCGGGCTCTGTCGCAAGCACACAGCGAACGAAGGGAAAAGGTCAATATTCTGGGGCAATGGCCGACCTCCCCAATGATTGGACTGGACACTAGTCAATGGCAGGCTTTGAAGGAGATGCTTACCAAAAAGCTGGCCATTGTACAAGGTCCGCCTGGGACTGGCAAAACCTACGTCTCCGTCGTTGCGCTCAAGGTTCTTCTTTCAAACATGGCATCTGGTGATCCGCCAATCATCATTGCGGCGCAGACAAACCATGCGCTTGACCAGTTTCTTACCCATGTCTCCAGATTTGAGACTAACTACATTCGACTAGGTGGAAGAAGTACTGATGTCGAGATTCGCAAACGGACACTGTATGAGGTCAGGATTTTGGAACCACCAAAGGAGGTGGATGGCGGACTTTCTGGTCCTACCAGACGAGAGCAACGGATCCTCGTCAACCAATTTGTTGAGCTTCTCAAGCCTTTCAATCACGAAAACGGCAATAATCCCATCCCAGCCGACATCTTTGCCCAGCACGGTTTGCTTAATGAAGCCCAACTTCGCTCTCTTGAGCGAGGTGCGAGTGCGTGGATGCGCCCGGATACCGAGAAGTTCGAGCTGTTCGCAGCATGGCTTGGTGATCAGCTAGTGGCTTTTGACGTTGACTACTCGCGCGAGACATTCGGGTTTGTCGAGAATGAGACTGATCTAGAGTACGAGCAGCTCAGAGAAATTGAGGCAGAACATGGCCAGGAAGAAGATGACCTGGAAGTTCTCAAAGGCAGATTCGTCCATCTGCTGGAAGCGTTCCGCAGTCAAGGACTGAGTTCAGTCTCCGAGGTTGCAGCAGCTAAATATCTGACGTCGAAGGACTTGTGGAGTATTCCGAGCAAGTTTCGCGGGGCCATCTACAATATCCTGCGAAATAAACTGTTACTGATGCTCACCATCAAATTTCGGAAGCTGGCAGTATCCTATGCAGCAACCTGCGAAAAATTCCAGATCGGAAAATGGGAGAAGGACTACTACACTCTGCAGAGTGCCAAAGTAATTGGGATGACGACAACCGGCTTGAGCAAATATCGCGGCCTGCTCTCAAGCTTGAACCCTCGTATTGTTCTGATTGAAGAAGCAGCCGAGTGTATCGAGGCACCAATCGCGGCTGCTTGCTTTAACTCTCTGCATCAGTTGATCCTGGTTGGTGACCATCAACAATTGAAGGGCCACTGTGCTTTGCAGGATTTGGCATCCGAGCCTTTCTTCCTCGAGATTTCAATGTTTGAGCGTCTAGTCAACAACGGCATGCCTTACATCAAGCTCCGAGAACAAAGGCGAATGGCAACGGAGTTCCGCAGGTTGCTGTCGCCCATCTACGGGGAGCTTATCGATCATGTCTCTGTTCAGAGCCGCGCCTCCGTGCCAGGGATGGGCGACCTCCGCTCTTTCTTCTTTAACCACGACTGGCCTGAGAGCAATGACAGCCTCGCCTCGAAGCTCAACGAGAATGAGGCATCGATGGTGGTTGAATTTTTTGCCTACCTTGCTTTGAACGGAATACCGGTTCATAACATCACTGTCTTGACATTTTATAATGGTCAGAGGAAATTGATTTTGAAGATTATGAGGACACATCCATATCTCTCCAAGCATCTCGTGAAAGTTGTCACAGTCGATTCGTATCAGGGAGAAGAAAATGAGATTGTCCTGTTGTCTTTGGTTCGCAGCAGCCAGCATCGAGGCATTGGGTTTCTTTCTGTTGAGAGCAGAGTCTGCGTAGCCCTGTCTCGCGCAAGGAGTGGATTCTACATCTTTGGGGACGCAAACAAAGTTCTCAACGAGAGTCCGCTGTGGAACAAAGTTGTACACATGATGTGCGAGGACGCCGCTAAACCACGTCTGGGCTCCCAGTTACCCTTGACGTGCCAGAGTCATGGCAAGGAAACGCTCATTACGGGTGAACTATCACAGTATCTCAAAGTAAAAAATTTGCTGACTTGTTGTTTCTTGATCAGAGCTCAGTGACTGGACTACCATCAACGGAGGCTGCAGCGATCAATGCGGGGATAACCTGGCATGTGGCCATAAATGCCCAATTCAATGCCATGCGTAAGTTGCAGGAGGGAGGGTGATTCGGATATTTCTAATAAGCAGTATGGATTAGTTTCAGCCACGAATGGGTGTCTTGCAGCCTGGTTTGCAGCCATGTTCGACAATGCTGCGGTGTCGCCTGCTTACTCAAGTGCGGCACTGACCATGACCATCATTGTGGCTGCGAGTCGGATACAACCAGCGATGACAATGCGGTCAATGTGCTCACACCGGAAGCTTCAGTCGATGTGAGTGATGATGCTGAACCCAAAGAAGATCCCATGGCTGTTGCCAGGAACAGATGGAAGGAGTTCGTGAATGGTGGCGCTCGAGTTCAGGACATTGATCTGGCCACACTCGTCCACGCCGACAACCCCTACTCGGAGGAGGTGCAGCAGGCCATGAAGCGTGTTGAGGCGCGATTTATTCCCAAGGCGCTGAGGGAGAAGATGAACCTCGTCGATGTCGAGCCAGTCCTGACAACTGCTGCCGCAACTTCAGTGGATGCCGTTGTAGGGCATTTACTCGATTGAGGAAGGGGTTATGGGCTATGTACGTACTACTTTTCTTTGTTTCCATGGAGTTGATAGAGGTGATGTCATAGTACTCGTGTACCTTATCTCGTCGACCAAGCGGATCTTTTCGGAGTTTACCCGTAGTTTGCCCCCTTGACCCCAACTCGGGCCGTCGGAGCAGGATAAGAATTGGGGTCCAACCTCCGCCTCCCCGGAAATCCACATCGTCGCTTTTCTCCAAGCAACTTCGCTTTCTCCAAGCAAATTCTCCATCAATAGCTAGAAGACCCCAAATGCCTTGATGCCTTCCCCATCGCCTCAGGGCCCTAGAGGGGTTCGTCGTGAGGCTAAGACGCGAGTCTGTCTCCATTGCGGTCGGAACTTCCGGCGAACGGAGCATCTGGAGCGCCATATCCGCACTCGTGAGTTGCTCCATGTCCGGGATCATCGAGCTAGGGCAACTGGCCCCCGAGGAGGATTCCTGCGACTAACTGACGGATGGATAGACACCAAAGAGAAACCCTTCATCTGTTTCTGTGGGGCGGCATTTACTCGCAGAGACCTGCTCAAGCGCCATGATCGCCTCGCGCACCAGGATGGCCTCACCTCGCCAACTACCCAATCGGGTGTCCCCACGGGGACTACTCCGGACCGACAGCGAGGTGTTGTTCCGCCTTTAAGCGTTCCTGCATCGATCCTGCAGCCCTATAATGCAACGGCGGCCCGTCCCAGTGCTGCAGGTCCGTGGGCTGGCGCGCAGCATGCACCACCACCGGCTCCGGGGTCGTATTTAGAACAGGACCAAAGCGCTATGCTGCCGGCTGATTCTGGTCACAATCCACCATTGTCATCGAATCCGGGTCTAGTGCATGACCCTGACATGCTACAGGCGGCCCAGCTCCTTTTACCGGGTGATTATAATGCTACTTGTACGTGCGAACGAGGCTCTTTTTGATCTTTAACTGTGCTGACCTTGTTCAGCGCAACCCCTTCCTTATTTACCAGACAACTTGAATCATTTCCAGGATTTCACTCACTTCCTGGATTCTATTGGTTTAACGGCAGAATGGCTTCCCAGTGAGGGAGAAACCCCCCAAAGGGCCGCGGAAGAAAATGGTCCTGACGACGTTCGGGAACCGAACCGAGTTGTTCAGGAGCAATCTACGAGACCACATAAGAATCCTGGAGAATCACGAGGTGATTCGCCATTTAGGTCCTGGCTGCCCTCTGTCCCACGAGGAGACCAAAGTCTAGGGACGCTGTCGGACTCGGGTAAGTGTATTTCAATTCGTTGGTTTTTTCTCCCTTAGCTAACTGTCTTACAGAGCCACCGCAAATTGCGAAGAGAACTTCAAGATTTAATGTCACCGAGGACCAACGGTTCCGGTTGGCGGCTTCTCTCGAGGGATTCCGCCACGTGATACCAGATTTTGTGTTGCCTTCTCGACATACACTGACACGATATCTTACCTCATACTTCGAGGGATTCCATCCTCATCTTCCATTCATTCATATCCCGACATTTCGCATCAACGAGCATTCTCCAGAGCTGGTACTGGCGCTCATGACTATCGGAGCCCAATACAGATTTGAACATCACAATGCGGACAGAATTTACCGTGTATCAAAGGCGATTCTCTTTGATCGGCTAGCAGGCCATTCAAGCCATTCACCAAAAATTAACTTGAATAACGGAATGTCTGTGCCGCTTGGAGCCTCGCGGTATTCTAGTCATGAAAGTGTCTCACCGGGGCCTACAGAAGAATATGGCTCTTGGAGGCAAGTTGAAATCATTCGGTGCTTGCTTGTTCTGATGGGATATTCAACGTGGGAGAATGCCGAACTAGTCCAGGAGGCATTCACTCTCCAGAGTCTACTGGTTCGACATCTGCGCGAGGCTGGACTTACAGAGCATGCGTCTTGGTCCGATCCACGTCCATCACTCGAGTGGCATGAGTGGGCAGATCAGGAATCCATCCGCCGTACGAAGCTGATTTCGTTCTGCTTCATTCACATGCACAGCGTTTCCTACAATGCATACCCTTCACTCCGTAGCAGCGAGATCCATTTGCGACTGCCCTGTTGCACTAGCGAATGGACTGCGACCACTGCCGGGGAATGGGAGGCTGCCCAGCGAAACAGAGGCGCCCAGCAACTGTTCTTCCAGGACGCATTGACCTTGCTCCTCCAGAAATCGCGCTCAAAAGCCGTCTTAGATCCCATCCCGGCGCCGCTAGGAAATTATATTCTTCTGCATGGACTGTTACAGCGAATCCATCTTGTGAGCGAGCTCTCTCTGCCTAATGGGAATCACGGATCCGCCACACTGCCAACCGAAGAGCTCAATAAACTCGAGTAAGTGCAATAATCAAACCACCACTTGGACCATATATTAACTCACCTTGCCATTCGCAGACGAGCACTTCGCTCCTGGACATCTGTCTGGCAACAAGCCCCAGAGTCAAGCCTCGATCCACACAACGCCAACGGGCCAATTCCATTCACCTCTAGCGCGCTGCTTGGTCTTGCCTATGTACGGTTATCCCTGAACTTGGGTCCACACCGCCGCCTCGAGACTCGAGATCCTGCATGCATTGCAACCGCCCTGCGTCGCTCTCCCCGTCCGGAGAGAAGCTATCGGTTAATCCCGGCTCTCATCTATGCTGCACATGCGCTCAGTATTCCTGTCCGGTTGGGAATTGACCATGTTGCACGCAGTCAAGCTTTTTTCTGGAGTGTGAGGCATTCTATCGCGAGCTTGGAATGCGCTGTTCTGCTCAGCAAGTGGCTTTTTACCCTTTCTGAGGCCGGGCCTGATCAAGCTCTCAGCGGTATGACTTCCCCCTCTCCTATTCCCTAAAAGAACTGCATTTCCGTGTTATAGGCAACTGACAATCATGAAGAAAACGAAAGTCGCATTCTCCGGTGGACACGGTGCATCGTCGAAGAAGCCTACTCGTCCATTGACTTGGACATCGAAGGAGAGGCTCCAACAGATTTCGAGCCAGCCGCACTGGGAGTGGCTGTCCTGAAGCTTTGGGCGAGGCTATTTCGGAGAAATACGCAATGGCCTTTCATTAATGTCCTCGGTCAGAGTTTGGAGCAGTACATGGCTATACTTTGATTTTGAACATAACATATCGAACCAAGAATATATATAACATCAACTAGTAGCTAGTTATGGTGTAAAAGCGCAAAAAAAGAACGAGCGATACCACTTATTACAAGAAACAAAATTGCATTTTAATAGGAGTCACATTACTTCAACATCGCACCCGCCTTCGCAGGCATCAGTGCCCCAGCAGGCGGCGCGTTCTTCTTCTTGAATTCATCGCAAACCTGCTCCATAGTGACAAACTCAACGCCTTCATGCTTCATGAAGTGCTCAATAAGGCTGTAAATAAATCAGCAAATGTTATGTCTTGGGTAATATATCCCACACTCACCGTTCATGCATAAGAAGCACATGCGGCCGTCCTGATACATCCGGATGGATCGAAATAGGAAAGATAAACTCGTCGTACTCGCGATAGAAGTAGTCGAAATGGTCGCGCCAGATATCCTCGATATCACGTGGGTTGGCGAAGCCGTGGCTATTGGGTGCCTTCTTGATGAACATCATCGGCGGCAGATCGTCGATGTACCAGTTCGAAGGAATCTCAACGAGTCCCGTCTGGGGGCCGTGCTCGAGCGGCTTCATCCACTCGTGCGCCTGTTTACCGTAGTCGATGTTAGTCCAGCTGTCGCCCGTCCGTAGATAATAGGCCTGGCAGTCTTCGTGGCTCATGCTGTGGTCATACTCGATGCCGTAATCGAGGAGGAGTTGGGCACCTTCGCGGCTTGTTTCCCACCTATTCCCTTCATTGTTAGACCGGTGGACAACTTTAACATGAGGAATGGAACAGTACCAAGGTGCTACGCTCCCGCGTGGGGGTTTGCCCGAAAATTCGGTCAGCATGCGATAGGTCTTGTCGAGCACGTCCCGCTGCTGCTCGATGGTCATATCAGTCGGATTCTCGTGCGAGTAGCCGTGCAGCCCAATTTCATGACCCGCGTCTCGGACAGCTGCCATGTCCTCGGGGAAGGTCTCCAGCGAGTGGCCCGGGATGAACCAGGTAGTTTTGATGTTGTACTTGTCGAACAATTTCAGCAGACGTCTGGTCCCTACTGTCCCTGCCCAGAGCCCTAGATTCCGTGACACATTAGAATATGCCTGTAGACAGCGACCAGCAAAATTTCGTCACTTACCACGGCTGATGTCGTTCGGGGAATCTTCGCCGCCATACGAGCCGAGCCACCCGGCCACAGCATCGACGTCGACACCGTACGTGATAAGAACGCGTTTTGGGGCCATATTGTGATTAACAGCAGACAAGAAGGATTCAGGATGAAGAATAGTTAATGCTTTCAAACGTCACGATGCGGGGAAGATAAGCGTCGGAATTATACACAATTACACAGTTGTCGTTGGAGTAGGTTTATCAATGACCCCAACGGCGGCACCCGCGATGTTGGAGTCACCGGCTGATTAGGATTGTCTCCTCTTTTGGACAAACGTGTCGGTCTCTCCGAATCCAGCATGTCGGGTGAGCCCGATTAAACTAGAAATTTTTTATTACTTAGACATTGCCTCTCCATACTCTCCCTGGTTACTGACGTGCTACATTTCAAGTCGCATAACCATGTCGGTCCTATTCACGAGCATTTCGGAGTGAGAATCAAACAGCTAAAAGGAATTGACAAGTACTAATCCATTTATTTACAGAGGCAACCCAGTCAAACCTGGTGACGCGGAGTCTCTTCTCGCGCCCCTCGGGTTGACCATCGACCCCGCCGAGGCAAAGGACTTCCACACGCTCCTGGCGGCGGTCCATGACTGCGCCGAGACAGTCGCTGCTCTGCCGGACTACCAGCCCATCTCAGATCAGACCCGCTATCCGCGCGAAAATGTACGCAGGCCGAGTGAAGAGGAACAGGTCTTAGGGCAGGCGTGGGTACACCGGTTTCTAATCAGGGGCAATGCAGAGGGGCCGTTGGCTCGGAAGTCAGTTAGTCTTAAGGATGTGATTGCTGTTGCAGGAGTACCACAGCTGCTGGGAAGCGACATCATTCCTTCCTGGACGCCAGTTACAGATGCCACAATCGTGACTAGACTGCTAGAAGCTGGCGCAGATATTCACGGGACGTCGACATGCGAGAACTACTGTCATTCTACTTCCTCGTATACCAGTGCGCAAGGTGTAGTTGAGAATCCCCATGCCGAGGGCTACTCCGCTGGTGGGAGTACGTCTGGTGGTGCAGCCTTGGTGGCTGCCGGGCTGGTAGACATCACCATCGGAGGAGATCAGGGCGGGAGTATCCGAGTTCCTGCAGCGTTGTGCGGGTGTAAGTCTTTTTTTGATACTAGCATGAAAGCGATTAGCTAAGAGTCTTGCAGGCGTCGGCCTTAAGGCAACTTATGGACGGGTTCCATTTACTGGAATCACCAGCGGCGATGCCCTCAATGACCATGTCGGGCCCCTGACACGGACCACGTTGGATGCCGCAACATGTCTAGATGTGATGAGTGGCTATGATGGTATAGACGACAAGTCGATTTGTAGTCCAAAGCCAGGGTCAACTCGATTTGCAGCTATACTGCAGCAGAACCCGGCACGGCTGGATGGGTTCAAAGTCGGAATTTTGACTGAAGGATTCAATCATAGCGCAATTGACCCTGTGGTTAGAGCTACGGTAATGACAGCGGCGAAGAAGTTTAAAGACCTAGGGGCACACATCGAGGAAGTGTCGCTGCCAGACCACCTGCACGGGCCAGCGATCTGGACCATCCAGCAACGTATTTCAGGGACGCAAACTCTACTCGGTCAGAGTGCTGGACGACGGGAGCTCTACTTGACTGAACAGCAACAAGCAAGCCTCCCATGGACTGATGAGGGCTTCCAGCGAGCATTTCCTTCCACGAAGAACGTCATCATCAACGGCCTTTATCTATCATCACGCTTCCCGGGTTTGTACGGCAAGACAGTCAATATTGGCCGACAGCTGCGAGACAAGTACGAAGTACTATTTGAAAATTTCGATGTCCTAGTGATGCCGACAACTCCAGTAGTGGCACCAAAACATGGCAAGCGAGGCTTGCCTCTCGAGTCGGTGAAGCCGAGTATGGGCCTCACAATCAACACGGCCATCTTCGATGTGACTGGTCATCCCGCAATGTCGATTCCGGTTGGATCTGCACCGGCTAAAGAGGACGGGGATGTTTTATTGCCGGTGGGAATGCAGATAGTTGGCGGCTTGTGGAAAGAGGAAAAGATTCTGAGGGCTGGACATGCTTGGGAGACTCACTTTGACTGGAAGAAGATGTAATAACATTCTCCACTTGTCCCCTTTTTCCCAGGCCTCGTCGGGTGTATGTATACAAGAGATAAATAACATTGTTGATATCGGTAGTCCAGTCTCCTTGTCTATCTGGGGCATATTTTATCTATCTATACCAATGCAAGTTTATCTCAGTTAAAGATATCAGCTCGATACTGGTGATGCAGCAGAGTGGCTTGCCGAGTTTGGTAAGTCAATGTATCTCGAGCTCTGGTGACGCATTATCCATCACATTGGTATAGGGGCATTACTTGTGAGCACTCAGCCTATCGAGTATACAACTGGGCAGCAACCAAGGTACGAACAAGGGCAGGAGCAGCCGATAATGGTGTAGATAGGGGTAGCCAGGTTTAGAATTAATATGCAATTTGCATGCGGTTTCAATGAAGATAGTACAGATTGGAAGATGATGAAGAGCAGTCTATATTAAAATCATTCAACGTCGGTACTTCAGCTACGTAGGATGGCCATGCCATTGTGAACTACTCAGCCACAGCCTCATTTTATATATCTAACCACCTGTCGATTATCTACTCTTAAGTGCCATTTTTGCTGACAATCTGCACTGATGGTCAATTTACAAAGTTCAATATTCTGCCTAAACAGTTATATAACCTCCATCAACCACCATAGCATGTCCCTGAACAAAAGATGCGTGTGTGGAGCACAAAAATAGCACCGCATCTGCAATCTCTGCTGGTTTTCCCATTCTCTTCATGGGAGCTATCTCCATAGCGGGGGTAATGCGTTCCCTGACCTCGGCCTCCTTCATGATCATCGGGGTTTCAATGACACCCGGACAAACACAATTCACACGAATCCCATCTTGAGAGTAATCGATTGCATCTGCTCGCGTCATTCCAATAACGGCGGATTTTGAGGCGCAATAAGACGCTAAACATATCTTATATCAACCTCAATTCTGCATTGGTGGAAGATCATGAAAACTTACGGGCAGTTGGGCGGCCGACAATGCCTAACTGACTTGCAATATTCACAACTGCACCACGCTGTGGCGGTCTCTCAGGATCATGGCTTGGAAGTGGATCCTGTTTTACCATCTGCTTCAGTTCCGCACGCGATGAGAGCCAACAGCCCCGGTAGTTGATATTGTTGATGCGGTCGAACTCTTCGACCGGTGTCTCTGCTGAACGCAGAGACTGGCCGAGCACGCCAGCGCAATTGACCGCATAGTCTACTCTACCAAACTCGCTGACTATCTTGTTGATAAATGTCTCTGCAAAGTTGTCATCTGCAACATTTCCAATCTCGACCAGCAGTTGTGTCTTGGGGTGGGCTGAAGAGATCGCTACCCTGGTCTGTTCGATTGATGTCTCGTTTATATCTGTAATAGCGATGCGTTCACATCCTGCAGCAGCAAATGCTTTGGCAACTGCTGCTCCGATGCCTATGAAGATACAAGGTAAGCTCTTGACAGCGATCCTGTATTCACAGTCTCTTACCGGTTCCACCAGCGCCGGTGACAACTGCGACACCACGAAACAAAGTCATCAGAAACGAATAGGAAGTGGATAAAACTTTCTTGCGATTATTTTGTCTTCTTATCCGTCGAATTCTCTCAAATGGCTCTATATCTCATACCCGAGATAAAAAGGTGGGGGTGTTGGGGTCGTTCTCGGAAACTCCAAACCCCCGGGTCTTTTATCATACCCCAACTATCCGCAAGTGGCAACGACTCCAATTTGGACCATCTGCGAGGTTCATCATAGGTCGATGAGCCGTCATGGGGCCTTATCAGACTCTCGGATAGGGGGCAACAGTGGAGAATCCCCGGCCCAATGTCCTTCGTTGCTTGATGCTGATATCGCTTTTCTCTGAGACGTTAGCCCAGCGACAAGGTTGCCCATTATGCGTTGAGGGAAACGTTTATTCGTTATCCTGATTTGGGGTTGGTCTATATATTACGCTTGCAACCCTCTCCGGTTCCGAGGGCATGCGACTTGTCTGGGAATTGCTATCTAACCTGAGCTCGTACTCGACATGGCGACCGAAACCGAGGATATTAAGGAGGTGAACTGCGCTGAAGATGTCCCAACTTACACGAAGGAGGATGAGAGGGAAAGCTTCGAGGTCTTTCAGAGAGGAGAGGGACAGGTAGATTTCAGAACAGTGAGCTGGATTCGGGCAGCCATCATCTTTTTGAAGAGTAAGTAGGCACGCCCTTGAGACTACGCTGCGGCTTGATCTAACCATAAACGCACAGTTATTTTCGCCACTGGCGTACTTTCAATTCCATCTCTGATGTACGAGCTGGGAGCCTTCCCTGGGGCGATCAACGTCGTAGGTTGGACAGTCCTCAATTCCTACTGTGCAATCATCCAAGGCAATTTCCGCAATAAGCACCCAGGCTGCCATTCCGTTGCCGACATGGCCCAGGTCGTTGGCGGAGCTGTTACGAAAGAAATCGTCGGATTATTGTTTACACTTAGCTACGTGATCGTGGCCGCGTCTGGTATCATTGGTGTATCGACAGCTTTGAATGCATTATCACTTCATGCGGTCTGCACTGTCTGGTTCACATTCATTGCAACTGTGATTATCGTTATATGTGCAAGCGTGCGCAAATTCTCCCATATTGGCTGGCTCACATGGATTGGCTTTGCGAGTGTCTATATCGCCGTTTTTATCATTGTGTAAGTTCATCGCCTGCTGTCTATCCTCCCCCGATGCTAATATATATCCTTTAGCATTGCCGTTACCACAAGAGATCGGCCAGCAGCAGCGCCTCAGACTGGTAACTTTGACCTAGGGTATCAAGCAATTGGTAATCCTAGCTTTACAACAGGAATCACAGCTGCTGCCACGATCTTTGTCTCTAGTGCCGCAACCTCTGCCTTTCTGCCCGTCATCTCAGAGATGCGTAAGCCAAAGGACTACCCTAAAGCGGTGTATCTCAGCATGGGCCTCGTAACAGCGTCTTACCTGACTTTCAGTCTGGTCATCTATGCCTGGTGCGGGAAGTGGATTGCCTCTCCGTCCCTGGGTAGTGCCGGCACAACAGTTAAGCGGGTTGCATATGGGATCGCATTGCCGGGGCTGATTGTCAGTGGCTGTCTTTATGTGCACGTTGCGGCCAAGTATCTATTCGTGCGAATCTTGCGCAACTCGCGCCATCTGCAGGCCAACACCATCGTCCACTGGGGAACCTGGCTAGGATGCACAGTTGGAATGGCTTCCATCTCCTTCATACTGGCATGCGCGATTCCCATTTTTAACTATGTTCTAGCGCTGGTTGGTGCCTTATGCTTTGCGCCTTTGGCCTTGTGTCTGCCTGGTTGGTTATGGCTTTATACCCATGGGCATTATCTCAAGGGCAATGTGATCTCCCGTGTCATCTATGGGTTGCATGTGCTTTTGATCTTGTTGGGTGTGTTTATGACTGTCGGTGGCACATATGGCGTCATAGTCCAGATCAACGAGGCGTATAGAGATGGGCAGATCTCCTCGGCGTTTTCCTGCGCGGATAATAGCGGGTCGTGAGATATTTACATCCAATCCAAATTGCTACTCGGTCTATAATAAAGTTAAAATCTTGCAAAATTAGAAGATCGGACAAGAAACAAGAATATAGCTCACGCCCGACTTGTTGTTGCCGTCGCTAACGATGCTATAATCAAACGCTCGAATAGGCAATTTAGTCGTTTCGAGAAATTTGAGGATGGCATTGACGTAGTCGACGAGTGATTGGGGAATGCTGCTGTTTATTCGAGCTACTCGAATGAGCCTAGCAGAGCTGTTGTCGAGGAAGCGAATGCGAGCATGATAGTTGGCGCAGCCTATGAGGGATCCGCGTCCCCACGCGGTTGGGTGCTCAATCTCACATTTGAGACCGCCATTTAGTTCTGAGGCACGCTCGCGAACAGCTTTGTCATTAATTTTTGCACAAATTTTTTCACTTCAGCATGTCTATTGGCTTTAACACATCATCTGGGAAGGGCTTATGGTTGTTAGGTCCGAGTCAACTAAAAGGTAAGTGCATGGAATGTACTGTGTCATCGCACGTATGAGACAGTGGGCAACGATGGGTTAGGCAGAGTTGGCGATTGCCTCGCTCACACAGAACAAAACTTCGTATATTCGGTAGCACGCAGCTCGCAAAATGACAAATAAAATTATCCTGATCAGTGATTATGCTATCATAAGTCAAGGATATGTCGTGGTCTCGGATAAGACCTTATATCGTGTGCAGTGGAAGCGTAAAGCTAGCAGGAGCGGGTGTTCCTCGTCTTAGCAGCTTTGCTTTGAATAGAAACGCTTATTGACCCCATTTCAGCGCTATGGAGTCACAGAATCTGGATATGCCCAATCCTTGAGGTATGGGAGTTCGCTCAGCACTTCCATCATAAGAATTTCCTTGGGAGTTCCATCTTCACCACCCATAGAGTAGATGTCCGGGGGAGCGATGCCGTCTGCTTTCAACACGGGAAGGTTAATAAAGAGACCGTACGGAACAGGATCGCTGCCCGTGAGATCGTTGAGTATTCCCGTAGGTGAAAATTGTGGCGTGTATCCCCGCGTAGACTGATATTTGGAACTGATCCAATCCGCTGCCCCGCCCATCTTGCTGAGGTCAAGACCGTAGCTGCCAACGTTCTTCGCTCCTGTAATAGGAACGTAGGTGCCCCATGCATAGGCCGGAGTTAGTGTTTGGCTGATCATGTAAAAATAGGCTGTTGTCCCGTCGGCCGAGCAGGCACGAGCGCCGTCAAGATAGTGGAGGCTAATATTGCAAGGATGCGTTCCTGAGATATCATCTGTCCGCTTTTTTGTGCGATCCAAGCAGCAGCCACGGCACTCGAAATCACGTACTTGCTGGCTTCGCCACTTAAAATATTGTAGGTCAGATCCTTAAAGGGAGCGGCCAAGGACCCATTTCGCATAAGATACGGAGCACTTGATGACCACTGGTTCCAAGTGTTCCCTGTACCACTTTCGCTATTATTAGGGGCGACATTCAGCGCACTCTCGACTATCATCATGGTGGTGTTTTGCATCACGTCGATAGCATTGTCTCATATATAATTAATTTTCCCCCGGAATCTATCCCTCCTCCCATATCGCTCCACAAGAGGGGAATGAATACTACTCTAGATGCACGTAGGGGCGAAGTCCTTCTTTATCGCGAATATAGGCGAATAGAAAGACTGTAAGCTGTGTGGGACCGGGGCACGGATCAGGAGCGCGTTAACTAGTGGATTTGGGCATGATTGCAGTCAAATCGGATCTCTGCATAACCCGAGAGCCGTCGACAGCAGTAAATAATTATCTGGAAACTTGCTGTTTAGCCTGCAACTTAAGCAAGTATGGCGATTTGTCTCAGCCTCAAACTCTCGTGTGGTTAAGAATTGCGTGGCTTGTGTCTGCTCTTCACAATCTTTGAAGTCTCTCGCAAATTGCGTCCCATCTCGGTTGGAGAAACAAGTGTATCTCGTTCTACACCATATTTCCGCGTGCGATTCAAGATATCAAACGGTGATGGGAACCCTTTACCACTTCATGAAATCACGAACTTTCAGTAATAGATACTTGGGTCAATCCGACCTCTCGAAATGATTTATTGCAGCTAGTCTTGGTTCGACGCGGTGGATGGAAGGATTCCTTCCGTTGCCCCAGGGGCAGTTCGTATCACTTGGCTTCTCCACCTTCTCTATTGTACTGCTGAATTCATATCTTGGAGGATTCCACATCAGGCCGGGCGTCAACTAGCTCGGAATCAACGACGATCTAGCCTTCTGTCAGCATTCTAAAGCTACGTTATTATAATCAGGCAGTACGAAGTTTTAGCCCCCAAAATTCCCTGAAAGAACAGACAAGTCAGGAAAGTTGGTCTTCAAGCTTGGGGCCTGCAGACGCCTTTAATGTGTTAATGATATATGATAAATTGCGATAGTGAAAAGACTATAGATCTGTGTGGTATTTTGTTAGAAAGTCGTGGTTCATAGATAGAGAAGTGTGCAAAAAAAAGTTGAAAATCAAAAAGGGAAAAAAAGAAATTATAGATGTATTTTATTTATTTTGACTCGAACGTAACAAAGGGGGCGGCTGGCCTAATGGCAAGGCGTCTGATTTCGGTTCAGAAGATTACAGGTTCGATCCCTGTGTCGCTCGTTTTTTTCTACCTCTTACATTCTGATTTTTTCTCTCACATTCTGATTATCCTTTTTTTACGTTTTCTTAAAGCTAAATATATATACTATAATCGCCCCTAAAGTCGAACCTCCAAACTGCGCATCAACTACAGTATAGATGCCGTAGTTACTGTAATTCACAAGCGACCCGCCCACCCCAAAACACCATAGTAAATGCGATAAATGACAACTCAATATCTCTACAACAATAGCTTAATATGAGGTCCTATTATACCCTAGTACTATTTGGATCATATTACGTCTCTTTGTGAGGTTAAAAAGGTTAAGGATGTTGTATATGATTCGATATATATATTTGTACTTTACACCTGTGTATTTTTTGGTAATGCTCCGAGAAAATTATTTATCCTAAATTGAAGTTAGTTTATACTATTCTTTATACCCATTAGTAGCATTGTACAAATAATTAAACAATTTTATATTATGGTTGTTGAAATACCGAGTTATAAAGATAATGCATTTACTATGGAGTTTTGGGATGGACGGGTCGCTTGTGAATTACGTTAGTGCTACATATGGCGGACAGTCTTTTGTCCTGCAGAATGAACCACCGCCATTACATAAGCATCAGCAACCCTGTCTTGATAGCCAGACATCCAGACATCAAGATACAGAGCCCCGGCAAAGGTATCCAAGGGCACCCGATTACGCAATGAGCATATGAGATCGTCCACTCGCCAACTCCAGTGCCACTGCCTTCTTCGAGTGGACTGCCGCCGTCCCGCTTTCGACTCGACCCCAGCCGTTTGGCTGCGCGCAACCCCTCCTCTACTCTCGTTTGCGGTCTTTCTACCTCTATAGCCCGAAATTCTCGGCTCAGTCAGCTGCACAAGATGTCGCGGAATCGACCTCGGCCTCGCGATAACGGGTTCGGCAACAATGAGGAGATGGAGCTGTGGACCAAGATCTGCCAGGATATCCGCAAGTCCAAAGAGAAGTTCGACCAGCAAGCATCTCTGTCCGTGCAAATCAAGACCCTGGCGGAGAGGATCTCTCGCGATGGGAACAGTATGTCTAGTCAGACAAACTCCTTGGCTATTTTTGAATAACAGCCACCGAATGCGCTAACACGGCCCGCATAGAACCCTCCATGGCTGAGCATGACCAGCTCGACACCTGGCTGCGCCAGAGCCAGAAACTCAGTGAAGAGGAGCGCTCGATCATGCAAGATGAACCATGTGACGTAATTAAGAATCTCGAGCTGCTCACTGCGCTGCGCAAAGCATCCGAGGCGGAGGCCCCGGTGAATCGATCGACATCGCTTTCTAAGTCTCGCAAGAAGAGAAACGAGATGGAAGGCTCAGCCACTGACTCACCCAGTGCGTCGGGAGTTGAGAAGGTCGGCCGTGGCAAGGGCGGTGTGCCGCGCAGCACGAGCGTTTCTAGCACGCAGGCCCGGGAATCGCGCGGTGATGGCGTCGCGGTGAAAATCGAAGAAGGCACGGAGAGTTCCAAGGGAACGATTGCCGAGCGCTCCGGTCAGCTGGTGGTAGGTGCTCAGGTTGTTTTCAAACACAACAAGAACATCGAGGGCGACGGCATCCAGTGCATCATCAAGAGCATCGTCGGAGAGGGATCCAAGAAACGGTAAGGACTTTCAGGCAGCTGTTGGTCCCCGTCTGACCGCTAGTTATAGATACGATGTGCAGGACCCCGAGCCGAATGAGAATGGCGAACAGGGGTCAGTCTACAAAACTACTGCTTCGGCCCTCATTCCTATTCCTCAGATGGGTGCCACCTTGCCTTCTTTTTCGGTTGGCAAGCAGGTTCTGGCCCGATACCCGGATACCACCACCTTCTACCGTGCCGAAGTCATGGGATCCAAGAAGGATGTCTACCGGCTGAAGTTTGAGGGTGAGGAAGATGACAAGGAGATGGAAGTTGATCGTCGCTTCGTCCTGGACATCCCGAGCAAATAAGCAATGGGGGCTACGATTTGACGATGATGCTATTTCAGCGAGGCGTTTGGCGTTTGGGTGCGTGATGGATCGTGTATTGCACTCGCACGATGATACATACAGTCAAATATGATGATAAAATCTATAAGCGATGGAAGCTGCTAGAGTAAGCACTGACACCCTGCTGACTCATAATGCCGGGTCTCAGGCCGAGGTGTTGAAGATGGCAAACTTTCCCCAGTCTCTGCTTTCCACTCTTCTAAATAATTCTACTGTCATGTTCGTATTGCCTTGCGATTAATTGAAGAATACCCCTTGCGACTTGACACCCACTCGCCCCCTCCCGAACACGTCCGTCGCAATGGCCGACCTCCCGGCCCACGCTTCGCCGATTCTCCCGCCGCACTCGCCCCCGCCATCCACAATCGGCGAAAGCCTGCGCGACGATGCCAGCGAGGGAAGCGGGACCGCAACAGGCGAGCAAACTCCGGCTCTCCCAGACTCTATCTTGTCGCCCGCATTCACCCCGCCTGCCACCCCGGGCGGCTCGTTGAACCTCGACTTGAACCCAACACGGGTCCTGCACCAGAGCCAAGCAGCAAACCTCCAGCACAAGAGCGGACACGCAAAACCTCCTAAGTTGCTCTCACAACTGCCACAAGTGGAATGTATTGTCCGAGCCCGGATTCCGACCACCAACGGAGCAGAAATGTTCCTGCACCTATATCACAACGACCTCGACAACAAGGAGCATTTAGCCATTGTCTTTGGATGCAACATCCGCAGTCGGAGTCTTGACCGTGTCCGACCGGGCGAAACTGAAATGGACCGCATGATCCGCGGCGCATATGTGGGGAAATTGCATCCGGGGAGAACCAGCAGCTGGGTGGACGATGAGAATAAGGCGGCGGGGTCACATACGTCGCAACCACGACCGCGGATTGAGCCGCCGCTCGTGCGGATTCACTCTGAGTGCTACACAGGCGAGACAGCATGGTCTGCCCGCTGCGATTGCGGCGAGCAGCTTGATGAGGCGGCCCGGTTGATGTCATTTCCCGTGCAAGACCTGTCGTGCGATGCGCCGCCTGAGACTCAATCGCTACGGTCACAATCGGCGGGTGGCGTGATTATCTATCTCCGACAGGAAGGGCGGGGTATCGGGCTAGGAGAGAAATTGAAGGCATACAATCTTCAGGACCTGGGGTCTGACACAGTGGAAGCCAATCTCTTGTTGCGGCATCCAGCCGATGCGCGGAGCTACGGGTTAGCCACGGCCATGCTCACCGATCTTGGCTGTGGTGCCGATACCATTCCTGAGGGCATTCGCTTGCTCACGAATAATCCCGACAAGGTCCGGGCCATTGAGGGCCCCAACCGAGAAGTGATGGTGAAGGAGCGGGTGCCGATGATTCCGCTGGCCTGGCGGACGGGTGGGCAGAAGGGGATTAAGAGCTCTGAGATCGAAGGATACTTGAGGACCAAGGTTCGTTTTTGTCCTCGGTGATCGTTTTCACACTGACTGACCCCCAACAGATCTCGAAAATGGGCCACATGATTCAATGATGGTCCTATCATCATCCACATTTTGTATACGATCTGACACGACGGACTTTCTTGCATACCTATTTTTGGCCTGACCTTGTACATGTTGTATTCCCGGTTTCGATCTACGATCGTTGTGTGCAACTAGAAGCTATTTTTTGAATCATGATACTGTATTCGAGGTAACTAGTAGTAGAGTCCGCCTTGGCAGACATACTTCCCGCGCCCAACCTAACCAACCAATCACTCTCCACTTCTTCCTCCATTGCGCCTCGACTCCCTCCATGACCAGAGCTCCAGAGCTCTTGAGCTCCCCCGCTGTCTTGTCCCTTCATTGCATGGCTGTTGTCGATTGCTAACGCGCGTGTGAGGCCATGGCCAGCCGCGCTGTGGACTCAACCGATGCGCCCTCGGCGATCGAGCTGGCCGACGCCCGTTCGCATCCCGACCTGGCTTCGATCGCTAATGATCCTGAGATCTCTCCGGTTCTTTCGCGCTCAAACTCCCTGGGCCCCGAGACGTTCTCAGCGGACAATGGCAGCCCGGTCACCGCTGGCCGAAAGCGCAAGCTGAACAGCACGTCATCACGAGGCGTCGCCCACCTCACCCCCGATCAGTTGGCCAAGAAGCGTGCCAACGACCGCCAGGCGCAGCGCGCAATCAGAGAACGCACCAAGACCCATATCGATGCGCTGGAGCAGCAGGTCCGCGATTTGTCGTCGCAGAAACCGTTCCTCGACCTACAGGCAGCACTTCGGCAGAATGAGAGTATTCGCTCCGAGAACCGTGAGCTCCGACAAGGGCTCCGGGCTGTGATGGATATAATCCAACCACTGCTTGGGAAATCAGAGGCACCAGGTAAGCTCTCCGTCTCCCTGTTTCGTGGTCCAAACTGATAATCGCTGCTAGACGCACCCTCTTCACATCCTCCGCCCATGTCCGTCCCGCTTCCATCCCATACAACTCCCTTCCCGGATGTCGGCAACATCACACCGAACAGCCATGCCCCAGCGCAGGGCGAACGGGCCTATCCCGAGTCCCTCGGCAGCCTCGACACACCGTCTCCCACCCACTCCGCACCCACTCTCGGAAGTCGCCGCAGCAGCAGCCACGGAGCGATTCCCACATCCTCTTTCCGCAATGCATTCGACTCCCAGCGTCATAACCTCGCCCATGGCTTAGAGCTTGGTATCGAGGAGCGACTGGGATTCAATTTCCTTCTTGACCCGTCCCAAAATGTGCCCAAGGTAGATCGACTCGGGCCCAACTGCTCTGAAGCCTTTCGTTCATCCCAACCGAACCCCAGCCCGAATCCATCCTCGCCACTATACACCCAAACCTCAAATCCACAAATCGAGCCAAATACGCCTGCATTCGCGGCTCCAATCCGAAATGTCTCCCCGACCTGTCCCTTGGATACTATATTACTGGACTTTCTTCACCACCGACAACGCGAAGCGGCGCAAGGCGTCCCGCGCCAGAAATTGGTCGGACCACCGTACCCCAGCGTGTCATCGCTGCTGAACCCTGAGAAGAGCGTGAATTCACATCCGGCTTCCAAAGTGTTCACGGATATCCTGCGCACATTCCCGGACATTTCTGCGATACCGGAACAAGTCGCCGTGCTCTACATCATGTTCCTTCTTATGCGCTGGCAGATCTATCCCACGCAAGAGAACTACGAAAGATTGCCTGAATGGTACACCCCGCGCCCGTCGCAACTTTTCCAGCCTCATCCGCCATGGATGGACTATGTACCCTTCCCGCGTATGCGCGATCGCCTCGTGGCTTCTCACCAGGACTATCCCTTTGAGAACTGGTTTATTCCCTTCACGAGAGGATTGTCTGTCAATTGGCCGTATGAAGCTACAGATTGCCTCTTGTCGACGGGCGACTCCGATGAACTCCTCATCAATCCGGTCTTTGAGCGTCATCTCCGCAACCTCGCCAATTGGTCCTTGGGTCCGCTGTTCGCGGAGCATTATCCGGGTTTGGTAGAGACGGCGCGCATAACATCAGAGCCGAAATCTCACGGTTCCACTCCACGTTCATCATGATGTATTGAGACTCGAGGGAAGTGCTAGCGCAGCCTCGACAGCGCAGTTATACACAAAATATATTCCGACCTATTGAATTTGAATTGAGAGTAATAGGACGTGAATTTGATCTCATCCAGTGAAGCTGAGAAGACACGAACCTTTCTGCGCCTCTCTTACTTTCTATCTAATCCTACTATTCGTACATGATGCTCTCGCACGTATCTAAACCTTCCTGCTCTTTTCGTTCCCAAACTCCAATGCTGCCATCTGGCGCAGCGTCCCGTACATCGCACTGCTGTCAAGACACTCCCCGCCATAGGCCCTCGCGGCCTCCATGTTCAGACGAGCGACCTCAAGACCAGGAAGCTGGATACCGTGATCCGACGCCATTGCCATTGCATGCCTGGCGTCCTTGATCGCCAGAGAGACACCGAATCCAGGGCGCGAGTCCAAGGGCGGTGCATAGGCGCCAGTAGTCAATCTGCAGAAGATGTAAGAACTCTGCTGTGCATTACTCCAACGAAAAAGACATACCTCTTCGAGTAACCTCCCGCCACAGCGCCGAACGCCTCGCCAATGAGCTCTTCCATTGGACCCGTCCCAAGCCCAGTCTTCTCAGCGAAGACCTGCGCCTCTCCAACAGCCTCCATCATGTTCACTGTGACGATATTTCTGTACTGCATCAGCCACATTTACACACATATATGACTATCAAAATAGTTAACGTACCCAGCAATCTTTAGCAACGAAGACTTAGTCGCGTCCTCTCCACAGTCGATCACCCGCCGTCCCATAACATCCTGGATGAGCGGCTTCACAGCATCGGTCGCGCTCTTCGGCCCCCCGATGGCAAATACCAACTTCCCATCCACGGCAATGGGATTACCGCCAAAAACGGGGGCTGCTAGGTACGACGCGTCCTTGCTCTTCAGCTGAGCGACGGCCTTGCTGACTGTCTCCGGGTGCACGGTCGAGCAGTCCACAAAGATCTTGTCTGTGAGCGAATGCCCTGAGCCGACGGCTGAGGAGATGAGATTTTGGAGAACGGAGTCATTCGCAACCTGATACTAGTTAGTGCTGATTCCGAGGAACATGTCTGTCAGGTTGGGTATCCACCATAGTGAAAATAATCCCACATTGAGAAACCAGTTTTTCGAAACTAGGTTCGGGGATTGCGCCAAGTGCTTGCAGTGGCGTGCCGCGCGACATCGTGCGGTTGGAGTACACCAGGCTCAGGGCCTTGCGCGCCACGAGGTGGCGCTGCAGGTTGGAGGCCATGGCGAGGCCCATGGACCCGAGGCCGTACTGCGAATCACTGTTAGTGATGAGGTAGGTTGTCTAGGGGGAGTGCTTACCCAGCCGATCTGTGTCATGATTCCTCTTCTTGCGCTGTTGGGCGGAGGGCTGATGTTGGTGGATAGTAGGTGATGATGGGGTGTTGTTTATCGATTGGCCAGATCACGAGCTTCGATGATGGGACGAGTGGCAGGGATACAGTTGTAGATCTACCGGGTTATCTCTGAGGCATTGACTATTTTAGTTGAATGCCAGAGATGAAGGTTGGTGATGGTGATGAGAGAAGAGGTGCGTTCTAGCTGATGATGACTCGAATTAGCGATCGTGAGTTTCCCGAGGAAATCGAATGTCGGCCGATAGGAGACTACACCGGCGCTTTGGGACTGGTTGGAGACTGCATTCATCGGGGTTATTGACGTTCTGTGGATCTCGTCTGGTTGAGAATTTGGATGTCTAGACTGTATACTTCTGGTCTTCACCTTGGTGATGTCCCTGAATTGGTGACTCCATACATCAACTCGGTCGATATGCTCCCCTAGATGAACAGAGACAACCCCCAAATTCCCTCTTGTATCAGGAACCGCTAATTCCATGTACTACTATCCATTCCTTCTCCATTCTTGAGCAAACATGAAGCCCAAGTGCTGATTGTTGACACTCTCCGCCTCAGGCACCCAATTCACGTCACGTAAGCAGCGTCATCCAGGCTGCCCCGGGTCACCTGTTCCATCTCCAACTCCCTCTTCCTACCTTCCTTCCACTCTGCCCTGGTCAATCGCCCCTGCGAACTCCCGGACGGTCTGACAACTCCAATTCCTCCACCATGGCGGACATGCCCATTGGTACCCATCTCCCTCCCTGCCCGCCAGGTCTCCCTCATCCCCAGCTCCCTCCAAGCTAACCTGCCATTCCTACACCAACAGTGCTCGACGGAGGAACCGGTTTCCTGAAAGTCGGATATGCAGGCCAGGTATGTCTCATCAATCATTTCCCTCCCATATGCCACATCCCTCACCCGCTGGCGTACAGAACTTCCCAGAGCACCAGTTCCCCTCGATAGTGGGGCGGCCCATTTTGCGGACAGAGGAACAAGGCGGTGATATCGTGGTCAAGGATATCATGTGCGGTGATGAAGCTGCTGCTGCACGATCAATGCTTCAGATCACCTATCCGGTATGTTTTCGGAACATGTGGTTTTCCTCCACTGCTTCCCCCACCATCCCCGCAAAATGAAGGCAGACGTGTCGCTGACAGCCCATCCTCGTCCCTAGATGGAAAACGGAATCGTCAAGAGATGGGACGACATGCAACATCTGTGGAACTATACCTTTTACGACAAGATGAAGATCGATCCGACTGGCCGCAAGATCCTCCTGACCGAGCCGCCCATGAACCCGCTGAAGAACCGCGAGCAAATGGCTGAGGTGATGCTGGAGGGGTATGGCTTTGGCGGCGTCTACGTGGCGATCCAGGCGGTGCTGGCACTGTATGCCCAGGGTCTGAGCAGTGGCGTGGTCGTGGACTCGGGCGACGGCGTCACCCACGTCATCCCCGTGTACGAGTCTACCGTGCTGAACCACCACATCCGTCGACTGGATGTCGCCGGCCGCGATGTCACTCGCAATCTCATTGCTCTTCTCCTGCGCCGCGGCTACGCGCTCAACCGTACTGCAGACTTCGAGACCGTGCGCCAGATCAAGGAGAAGATGTGCTATGTCTCGTATGACCTGGAGCTCGACAAGAAGCTCTCCGAGGATACTACGGTACTGGTTGAGTCGTACACCTTGCCGGATGGTCGTGTCATCCGTGTCGGGAGCGAGCGTTTCGAGGCTCCGGAATGTCTCTTCCAGCCTCATCTGGTCGATGTCGACCAGCCCGGAATTGCCGAGTTGCTCTTCAACACCATCCAGGGCGCGGACGTCGACGTTCGTTCCAGTCTGTACAAGGCTATTGTTCTCAGTGGTGGTAGCAGCATGTACCCCGGTCTGCCATCGCGGTTGGAGAAGGAGTTGAAGCAGCTCTGGCTGACTCGGGTGCTGGCCGGGAACCCGGAGCGACTGAACGTGAGTTGCTCTTTTCCAGGTAGACTTTTATCAATGCTGACATTTTATGATTTCAGAAATTCAAGGTCCGCATCGAAGATCCCCCGCGACGACGACACATGGTGTTCCTGGGTGGCGCCGTGCTCGCTAACCTGGTATGTTTCCCCTTCAAGTCTAGCTCATTGATACTAACATTGCTATAGATCGCCGACAAGGACGACATGTGGGTTTCGAAGCAAGAGTGGCAGGAACAGGGCGCGCGCGCCCTGGAAAAGCTAGGCCCGAGATGATTGAGCGCTGCGTCTGTGTTGTATTTACCTTGCTCTCTGCTTTCTTGTCTGTGCCTCTCTCTCTCCCGCACCCTCTTCCTAGCATCTGCAAGCCATGCCCTACCCTCTTCGTTGATTTATGTCTCCCGTCTCTCTCCTTGTGTGTCACCCACACCGCTTGTCGATATATTCCCTCTGCCTGCCTCTTTTCTCTCTACTGCCTAGACTGGTCTGGTGCGCATGGATCCTTAGTGGCAGAAATGAAAGAACGTCTATCGATCAACGGATTGTGCTCGCGAACGAAGTCTACTTTCTACCTTATATCCCTAAGAAATCGGGCCAAGTGTGTAGTGTGGAGTCACGGACTCCGAACCGAGATATCATCATTCGAGCGCGGTGACACTAGCCACGTTCTCAACAAGGATATCCAAGAAATACACTCCTGCAATGCAGATCTGTTGAACCGGGAGTCCCCGCAGGTCCTATAGTAATCCGAGAACGGAAGCCCCGTCCATCGATCCATCGGAATATACGCAGAATACCAAGAAACCCCCATTTTGCCTCGAGAAAAAAGAAACCGAATGAAAATAAGAGACAGGGAAGAGTGAAGGAACCACCATAAACATGCCGAGAACAAGCCGAGAATATAGGACCAAAATGAAGATTTCAAAAAGGGCTACCGCTCAATCGCACCAGGCGAAACAGCCAGTATCACCGAAAGAGCCGCGATGATCAGCGCGGCCGCAACAAACGCCGTCAGGGCAACGCTGCCGCGACTAGCGGGGAACTTGCCGCGGATGATCCAGTACTGGCTCTCGAAATAGCGGTGGAAGCCGACAACAAGGATCAAAATGGCAACGCCGATGAATGTTGTGCCGAGGGGTTTGCCGACGCTGCGGAGGCGGGCAGAGGAGTCGGGTGATCGGGCGGTGGTCCCTGCAGCGAGACCAAGGAGGGGCGGGGACATGACGGGTGGGAGGATCCCTGGTGGTGCATTTGGGTCTGACATGTAGTTTGTTGTTGCGGTTGTGGTGTTGAGGCGGAAGAGTTGCGTGACGGCGATGCCGATGGAGGCGAACGCGAGGGAGGTGCGCATCCAGGCTAGGAAGGTCCGCTCTGTTGTACATCGTCAGTCTCTCTCCAGTACTCCACAAGTATATCATACCTAAAGCGAGATGATCACGAGCCACGCTCCCCTTGTTCTCTAGCTCTAAGCTACCATATCGGTCTGCAAACTTGCTGTACCATGAATGCTGCGACACCGGACGCGAGTCCACGCCGTCCGGCTGTCTCGGGTCTGTGCCCTGGGTGGCTGCATCGGGCCCGGGGTTACCCCAGGGCGAGGTCTTAGGAAGACCATTCGAGCCGGCAGGCCGAGATTCAGTCGGCCCGCCGGTGGACTGGTAGTTGCGGCGCAGTGACTCCGCCGCACCAAAGATCGGAGTCGACTCGTTGGACGGGCCCAGCTGCTGCTCCTGCTGCAGTTGATTTTGGGACCGTTGCTGTTTCCGGGATGACGAACTCGAGTGGGACCGGGTGCTACCGAACGACGATGAGAGGGCCGAGCCGGTATGCTTCGAGGAGCGTGACGACGATGAGCCGACCTCCCTGCCTACCTCGTCGTTGCTGGGACCTGTCGGAGACTGCGCCGATGAGTCGAAAGTATTCATGATGGCGTGCTCATTCCCTAGTCGGTCACACAGGCGTTTTGACCCAATGGCCAGCACAAATGGCGGGGGTTATGCAGCAAACAGGTGCCAGGAAGGCCAATCGAGGAGGGGTGCGACAGATAGGAGAAAAAAACGTGGCGAATGGATTATAATTGACTAGGGAGTTTGGTTGGTTATGAGAGAGTGAAGCCCTTGAGCATGTTCCCCTTGGTTGTGATAGTAATCGTCGTCAGTAGAAGTGGCGGTCGTAGTAGTGGTCGTAGCAGCGTATGTTTGTGTCGCTCTGATCAGGTGCGCAGGTCACTCGATTGGTTTTCTGGGGAAGATCACATGCTCCACCGCGCTAGTCCGGTTCGGTCCACCTGGTTTATGTCATGGGTCAAGGCGGTGTAGCCATGGATTGTTCTGCCACGGTCTGACCTTCTTTCTTTGGTCTCTCTGCATCGACCAGAACCAAATATGATGGCTTCACCGACTGCCTCTCGCCCAGCGGGCACAGTTGACCTCTCCAAGAAACTCCTGGATCTCCGATCATCCAAACACAAACCCCAAACGCAGGCCCGAGACCCCACGCCCACTACCCCTCGCCTGCCGCCACCACTAAACCTGTCCGCCCACCAATACCTCCGACCCGCGCGCCGCATCCTCTCCCCAAAAGATCACGAGCTTTTCTTATCCTCATCTACCTATAATGTCGTCCTCGCTTTCGTCTTCGGTCTAACCGACTCGGTCCGTGGCCGGCCGAATGACCACACCCAGGAATCGGAGGCCATCACCAAGATCTCTGGCATTGTGTCTCGGATTCGATCATTACTAGACAAACACCCAGCCATCGACCAGGGCGGGTCTCGATTCGGCAACCCGGCGTTTCGCACACTCTTCGACGAGCTCGCTGCGCAGAGCGCGTCATGGCACTCCGAGATCCTCGGGCTGGAAGACGGAGCCGCAATCGACGAGGCATCCACATACTTGATCCATTCACTAGGGTCGCGAGACCGGATCGATTACGGTTCCGGGCATGAATTGAACTTCATGATGTGGCTGCTGTGTCTCTATCAGCTCGGCCAACTCCCCAAGACCGACTTTCCTGGTGTCGTGTTCAAGGTCTACGTCGAGTACCTGCATCTCATGCGCGAGGTCCAGTCGACCTACTACCTCGAGCCGGCCGGGTCACACGGCGTGTGGGGACTGGACGACTACCATTTCCTGCCCTTCCTGTTCGGCGCCAGCCAGTTGGTGGACCATCCCTATGTGACGCCGCTGGGGATTCATAATACGGCGACGCTGGACGAAGAAGGCGATCGATATTTGTATCTGGATCAGGTGCGGTGGGTCGACAGCGTCAAGACGGTCAAGGGTCTGCGCTGGCACAGTCCCATGCTGGATGATATCTCCGGAGCCAAGAGCTGGCTCAAGGTGGAGAGCGGGATGAAGAAGATGTTTGTCAAGGAGGTGCTGGGCAAGCTGCCCATCATGCAGCATTTTCTGTTTGGGAGCTTGCTCCCGCCGGCCGAGGGGATGGGAGCGTTGGCGGCGGAGGGGGATGAGAGTCTGCACGAACATGAACACAATCACCCACACGACCATCAGAATACAGACTACTTCGGGGATTGTTGCGGTATCAAGGTGCCCAGCACGGTGGCGGCGGGCGCAGAGATGCGCAAGCGGATGGGAGGGTCGGGGTTGCGCCCGATCCCGTTCGACTAGCCTGACCTGCCTGAGTATCTATGACAATCAAAACTACTAGATAGTACTTGCATGGTTTTTACTAGCAATGATAGAATGGAGAATCGGTGTCTCATAGTTCGCTCACAGAGAGGTGTCCGATCCCCCCACCGCCTCCCATTGGCCCACCCAACCAATTCATCGTTTCCCGGAGAGAACACGCACCCAGCACTTCCTAGTGCCGTTCTTATTCCACCAGAAAAGAAACGGGGATACGCGAGAGCTAGGCATCCAGTAAAAGGGGAGACCCCCTACGCTACTCCGCACCACTACAACCCCCCACCCCCCACGCCATCGGCAATCCTTCCCTTTCTTTCTTTCGCTCTCTCTCCACTAGGCTTTTCTGCACAGGAGGTTTCGGTTCCCCACCATGGCTCCTGCAGACGAGTACTCCTCAGCCGGTGGAGGCGGCGGGCGCCTCAAGCTAAAAGGCAGCAAAGTGAGCGCGGGCCGCGTGGAGAAGAAAAAGAAGAAGAAGGAGAAGCGGAAGGAAGCGGAGGAAGGCGGCGAATCTGAGCCTGCCCGGCAGGATGGGGGAGAGAATGACCAGAAACAGACACAGCTACAACGGCACGGAGAGGGTGGGGAACCAGAGTCCAAATCAAAGTCCCGGTCCGGGTCACCCGGTTTGAAGGCTGCTGGTGGTGATGATGATGATGACGAAGCGGCGCTGAGGGCGATGACTGAGGCGGAGAGACGGCATGAGGAGGTGCGGCGGAAACGGGTATGTCTCTTTTACGCCCCCCTTCTCTCATGGTCACTCTGAAAGAAATGCTGATGGATTTGGCAGCTACGTGAGCGTCTCCAGCGCGAAGGCGTCAAGACGCACAAAGAGCGAGTCGAAGACCTGAATAAGTATCTCAGCCGGCTGAGCGAGCATCATGACATGTACGTTCTGTCGCAGCACCACCCACTCCTTGCGGACGAAAATGAGCTGAAGCTGACTGTGTTCCAGGCCGAAGATTGGACCCGGATAAGCCGAGGCGAGGCCGGCTTGGATGGAGTTCGGTGCGACTACTTTTTTGACACGTTATTGCTAGTCTTACAATTCTACTACTGTCTCTTCTACAATCAAAACCAAGCCAAGTCGACTGAATAATGAATAATATATTCACGCTGACAGGAACAAAATCGAAAAGAATATGCCCATGCGAGCCCCGCAGGATCTCTATGTAGCAAGCCCCGGAAAACGAGCAGAGAAGAGAAGAGAAAGCATGCAAGAGGTGGACGGTCACCCGATAAGAAGGACGCCATGCGTATGAGATGAGACCCCGAACGACCCGAACGAGTTCACCAGAAACAAAGAACCGAGGGAGCTAGCCGTGGCTAGTCAGTAGAGAGGTTGAAGAAGAAGAAAAGCCCCAGTCCCAAACAGAATGAAAGAAAAAGAACCGGTTGAGATGAAACACCACGCTAAATATTAACCCATCCATCCGGTCCGGTCCAATACCAATCCCCCCAAACAACCAAAAGGAACCCAAACCCCAAGAAAAGTATAAGCGTAATAGTTTTGGCCAAACTATACACCCTTGACCACAACGGTCCGCTCACTGTTCAGCTTATCGGCGTTGCGGGCATGGCTCTCCTTCTTGCAGTCTTCGAGGCCGGAGCAGGAGTGGGCCTCCAGCATGCGGTGCTTGGAGCAGAAGTGGCCGTGGCAGAAGCTGCAGTCGCCGACGATGCGCTGCGCGGCTTCCTTGCACTCCTTGAAACTGCAGCGTGGCTTGCGGGGGGCCATTGTTGCTATATTTAGGGGGTTGGGGTCGGGGGTGCGAGGTAGCCGCTGGGGTGGAGATAGGTAGGCGCTAGTAGCTAAGCTTGACGGAGGAGGCGGCTGGTCTCGCTGGTGGTGGTTGTTGGCTGGCGGGAGGTAGTAGTCGGAAGGTGACTCCAGGAGAGGTGAGTCGGAGAGAGAGAGAGGGGAGAGAGGAGACGGTAGGCAGTGAGGAGATAAGCGGAATGATCGGGGTTTCCGTTGGGGAATGTCCGAGCGCAGTTGGGAGCACGGCAGTTGCGGGTTGGTGGATACCAAGGGGAGAAGGAAAGGGAGGAAAGAGGACAGAATAATGGGTACCTGCAGAGAATATATAGTCGGCGGAAGAGACGGGAGGCGAAAGAGAAAGTCAAACGGATCCAGAGAAAAGGGGAGCTGGCTGAGTCAGGGCTGATTCCGTCACCAGAAGGTTCGAGACGGCCGATGTAATGACTAGTCGGGGACACGACTTAGGGACGTAGTAACTCCTGCTAGTAGTGTAGGACTAGTCGACTAGGCTAGGGATCCCTACGGCCTAGTGATTATGATAGTTGCTACATCAATTCCTCCACGTTGCAGCACTCTTGATCAGTCCAGTGACCACGTCAGGCTCTCCGTCCATCTCTCCGCACTGGCGCCACACCGCCCGGGGCAAAACTTGAATCATCATTCTTGGGTCGGGCGCCACTTGGGGGGTGAACTAACCAAGTGGCAACGGAGGTCCGCTGGCCACGCGCCCCGATAGTGACACAACTAGCGGGCATGCCTGACCTGGTGGGCGGGCCAGGAGTATCGCTAGGACCCCCTAGCTAGCACCGGGTGATCAACACCGGCTAGTTATGACTAGCCCCCGTTATCGGTGGCTCGCTTAGTCTAATTGTTTCCTCTTCCCGGCGTCTGCAGGCGGATCACATCCCGACTTCCCTACCGACAAGCTACGTGGAAAGTCAAATCAAGCGATACGTGGTTGTAAGGTCTCCAAGGGAAAAAAAATAAACAAAAAACAAAAACGCCAGAACCCATCAACAGCCCTGCGTGCACGCTCCGGTTGATGCGCCAAACCCTAAATGTAAAACAAACGAAACCCAATTATCACGCTCCTCCGAGCTCCTTATCTTTCCCGGCTTCCGGGTCCAGGTAGTCTTCCCGCTCGGCGGCTTCGTACTCGCCGACCAGATCCATCACCACCGCCCGGGCCTCGTCGAACTCGCCCAGCCCGTCGGAGAAGGGGGCTTCCTTCTTGTACTGCTCCAGGAAGGCATTGCGTTTGCGCAGGCGGTCGTACTGCTGGACGATCCGCTTGAACAGCGTGGCGACGGAGGTGTGGTTGGCGAGCATGAGTCCGCTCACCCGGTGTGTGTGTTGGAGGTAGGGCGATTTCTTGGTCAGTGCCACCTGGATGCTGGATGGTCCCCACGGGATAAATGATGCAAGGCGCCGCTCCCGGATCCGCAGCAGGGACTTGTGCACATCCGTGGGGTCGGCCTCGCCCTGGATGATGTTGAGGATGCTGATGTAGCAGCTCGACTTGCTGGGGTTGATCGACACCATGCGGTTCTTGGGCTGGAGGAGACGCCGCATCACATCCAGCACGGTGGTCTTGCGGACGGTCTTGGCCTGCTCTATGTTGTCGCCGGTGAAAGGGGTGTACGACGTAAGCAGGAAATGGCTGCGCGGCGTAGGTATCAGCGAGGCGATGATTCCCGCCAGGTCGTTGTGCATGTATCCGGGGTATCGAAGCGTGGTGGTCGAGGCCGACATGACCGTCGACACCAGCTGGTTGGTTTGCTGGAACGACGGCTCTTGAACGTGCATTCGATCGGCGACAATTCTCGACAGCGCGCCATTGTCCAACACGACCTGATTCGTAAGTCATGGTGAACGCATGTAGCTGGGGAGAGAGGGGAAGAATGACTTACCACGGAGTCCGCGTCCTGGGTCAATCGTCGCATCGTAAGCAAGCTGTTGTATGGGTTGACGACCACATCAGAGACGTCGGGGAAGACGGAATACGTCTGGATCAGCTTCTTGGGGAACCGGTCATTCATGCGTTCCAAGATGAAACTACCCAGCCCGGAGCCCGTTCCTCCTGCGATTGAATGTAGCAGCATGAATCCCTATCCGAACGCGTTAGTTCGACGAATCCCCATCTCGGCACAGGGAATTGTACCTCCAGCGAGTCACTTCCGTCTGCTTCCCGATCAATCATGTCAAAGACCTCCTCTTGTACGCTCTCTCCGGCAGAATATCCAGCGCCCCAGTTGTTTCCCGCTCCAACGCCCTGCTGTCCAATGAAGAAGTTCTCGGGGTTGTAGATGTTTTTATAGGGACCAGTCTGAATGCCGTTCAGGACCTAAAGGGGCATTAGCCATGTTTCGCGAGATGTGTGCGGACGGCGTACCCTGGGTTCCAGGTCCAAGAGGATCGCGCGGGGAATGTATCTGGTATCGTCACTCTGTCACGGCCATTAGTCCCTTGTCTTCATGGTAGCGGACCAGACACACTTGATAGAAGAAAACATCCTTGCGGTCTCCGCCCTCGGTTGCAAACTCCTCCAGGTTCCCATCCTGGCTGATACCGTGCTCGAGGCACAGCTGCTGCCAGAACTGACTGCCAACTGTCGGCTGGTGTTAGCAGGGGAGTACCCGACTGTATGGATATTTCGGGGGGAGTGTGGTGTGGTGGTGCAGTCCTGATGAAGGAGGCATGGAGGGGCACAACATACCGTTGTTGCCGCACTGGCCGGCTTGGATGGTGATGATTTCCCTGCGATTGCCCACTGTCTCAGCACCGGTCGTGACTAGATCCGGGAGAGAATGCTTACCTCGGCATCGTCCAGTGATGTTGCAGAGTGGGTGGAAATTCAATGGTCAACGCGTAGTTGGCGCGTCTGCGGGGGGAGGTTGATTGGCGGCCTCAGGCAGCAAGGCCGCCACATTTGTATACTTCCAAGGTTGCTTGGAACATCTCGATCAATTACTAGGAGACAGGTTGGGCAGTCTGCCATTGCATTTGAACACCAAGTATTGGCTAAGCGGCTATTGATTTTGCCTAGAATCCTGCCTTGCACGCCGTCACCAATGTCCCCGCGCCGGCAACGACGCCATCCACGATCCTCACCATCTGGCCGCCCTCCTCGCCATACGCCATGACACAGCCCTCGCGCACCGCTTCCTCCATCCCCGCCATACCTGCACATCCCAAACAAATAGCCCGCACCGGATGTGGTGCGTTTTGAATCAGTCGCTGTGTGGCATCGCAGATCCGGCGTCGTACCTCGTCGGCGGGCGTCGTGTGCAACTCAATAGCTGTCAACCCCGTCGTTTCAACGCCAGCAAATCGTGATGACGAACTGCTTCCCAGCATGTCGGTCACGGCATTACTGAGTTCATCCTTCCACGCACTGCCCGTGGTGATTATGCCGAATGTCTCTTTGATTTGGGACTTGTGCAATTCTGCGGGGTGGTCGAAGTCAAACGCGCTGATCAGGGATAGGGATGCTGTGATGCTGGCTTCGAAGATGCCGGTCACGTATTTCTTTTCCGATGATTGCTTGATCTTCTGCTTTAACATTCCGACCAGCGGGTGCGCCGAATAGCATGCCACCAGGAAGGCATCGTACTGCTCCACCAGACCCAGGGTTGAATGGCAATGCCACGCCGACTTGGCCGAGTCTTCGCCGGAGTTGATGCTGGGAATAGGGTCGTAGGTCCTTCCATTCACCTCCACCGGATGATCGGGTGCGGTGTAGTAGTCAAAATGCACATCGGCGTAGTTCAGGCGTGCCAGGATAGGCCTTAGGGCATCGGTCATACGCGAGGAAGTATTGGGGTTGATGACCAGGACCTGGAATAGGCCATCCCTCGACGAGGCCATGGTGACTGTGTGTATGTGTGTCTGTTGCGGGGAATCAATAGCAATGGCAGCGGGCGCGAGAAGCCGCTTATCAATTGCGTCGAATCGGCCGATGCCGCAGCCCCGCCTCTTCCCTCCAACAACAACACCACCTGAAACGGAATAATCGCCATGCCTCTCATCGCACAGAACCCCCAGCCCCGAGTCATCCTGGGATTGATGACCTTCGGTCCCTCCCCGGACAAGGGCGCCCGTATCACCTCGCTGGACGAATACAACCGCTGCCTGGACTACTTCCAGCAGCAGGGCTTCAACGAAATCGACACCGCCCGGATCTACGTCGGCGGCGAGCAGGAAGCCTTCACAGCCAAGGCCAACTGGAAAGAGCGGGGCCTTACTCTCGCCACTAAATGGTACCCCGGCCAGAACGGCGGCCACAAGGCCGAGGTCTTACGCGAGAAACTCGAGCTGTCGCTCAAGGAGCTGGGTACCGATACGGTCGATATCTTCTATCTGCATGCCCCAGATCGGTCGATTCCTTTCTCGGAGGCGCTCGAGGCGGTCAATCAGCTGCACAAGGAGGGCAAGTTTGTCCAACTAGGGTTGAGTAACTATACGGCTTTTGAGGTCGCCGAGATTTGTACGCTCTGCGCGCTGAATGGCTGGGTGCGCCCGACTATCTACCAGGGCATGTATAATGCCATCAGTATGTACTCCCTTGCCAATTCCACTGTTAGGGTTCTGACATATCCAGCGCGCAACATCGAGACCGAGCTGATCCCCGCCTGCCGCCGGTACGGCCTGGACATCGTCATCTACAACCCCCTTGCCGGTGGCCTGTTCTCCGGCAAGTATAAGACGCACGATGTGCCCGCCGAGGGCCGATACAGCGACGCCAGCTCCACGGGCGCCAACTACCGCAAGCGCTACTTCAAAGATGCCAACTTCGAAGCCCTGAGCGTCATCGAGCCCGTCGTTGAGAAACACGGGCTGACGCTGGTGGAGACGGCGCTGCGCTGGGTGCACCACCATTCGGCGCTGAAGATGGACAACGCTGGCCGGGACGGAATCGTAATTGGCGTTAGCAGCTTCGAGCAACTGGAGTCCAACCTGGAGAATGTCCGGAAGGGCCCGCTGCCCCAGGAGGTGGTGGAGGCGCTTGATCAGGCGTGGATGATTGCCAAACCGACGGCGCCGAACTACTGGCATTTGGATCTGAAGTATACGTATGACACGCAGGCGGCTCTGTTCAAGCCCAAGGCGTAGGGTAGGACGGATCTCAGTTAGATATATATTCGAGATCCATGTCTGCTATAGTTGGATCACAACAGACGTATCACCAAATCTATTCTTAGCCCGCTATCTCTCTGGCCTGCATGACCAGCCCAGCCCCCCGTCTCACCCGACGACCCGTCACGATGTTCCCGGGAGTTCTTGTCACACGCCAACTGCCATCGCGCCCTGACGCCATGGATCACGTGCCCATCACCACCTGCCAAATGCGGATTAGTCCCCTGCCAGCCGCTTCCGCCTCCAAGTGTCCACTCTTAAGACGGAGCCAACTAACCTGCCTTCAACCTGCTGTCCTCCTATGCGGGTGCTGAATCTTTAAACCTCATCGTTTCCCCGGCCAGCCTTCTTCTCTCACTCGATCGACCGTGGCCTCACCCGCTGCTCTCAGCGAGTCTCCAGCTCCAAGCCGCATGCGCCCATCTTCTGCAAGCGGTGCTCGAACACCCTCTCCAATTTAGACCATATTGTTCGCTCCTTTCGGTCGACGAATAGTTACAACAGGTTACTTGCTTTGCTTACCAGTCACTGGTCGCCGCTCTTTACCCATCATCTCCCACGGGAACCCGTTCGAGAAACCATAGGCGTCCCTTTATACCCCTCTCCACCCCCGTGCAACCAGCACCAATCCATCCCAACGGCATTGTGGCGCATTCAGACAGCTTCGAACTTACAGAGCCGCGGGCGACTGCAACCCCCGGACGCCGCGCGCCACTCCCACGACTCAGATGACAATATGGCAGTCAACCGCCCATCCTTCCACCGCCCAACAAGCGGCCGGTCCTCGGAACAATTACTCAAGGACGACGCCCGTCGGTTTTCTCGCTCCAGTTTCGAAAATGGGGATGCAGAGGGCAGGCCCATGCTGCACCCCGACCGGCATCATTCCCGCCGACCAACAATGCAGAGTATAGACCCGGAGTATGACGCGGCCCTGGCGACTCGCAAGAAGTATATGATCGCGGGAGGCTTTCTTCTGTTGAGTCTGGCGAGTTTTGTCGTCCAGACAGAGACTGCGGTTTATATCCAGCAGGATTTAGGTTGGAAGAAGCCGTACTGCATGCTGTAAGTTCGATTACAACACGTTATGAAACCCATCGCGCCCTCGCCCATACTCTGCCCTATCCCCCCGGATACCCAGCGCTTACCTTTCTTCTTTCCCCACGTGCAGCTATCTCACCCATGGATCTTGGATATTGCTCTGGCTGGCCCAGCTGCTCATTCTGAGAATCCAAAAACGAAAAATGCCCTGGGGCGCTTTCTGGCGGCGCCATGTCTACCTCTTGCGAAGTACCGCGCAGATGGTCGAAACGCAAGACGTCCATCTGACTACTCGCGACTACCATCGATCGCCCGTGAAGTATATGGTGCAGACAGTTGCCTTTGTGACCACCGCTCTCACTATTGCGGGTGGCTCATGGTATCTCGCCGTTGAGCTGACTACGGCCAGCGATTTGACAGCAATCTACAACTGCTCGGCCTTCTTCGCGTACGCCTTTTCGATTCCTCTCCTCAAGGAAAAGCTCCGCCTCGACAAGGTCTTTTCCGTGGCGATTGCCATTATCGGCGTGCTCATCGTTGCATACGGCGATCAGCCCAGCAAGAAAGTTTCGAAAGGCGGAACGGCCCACGAGGCGGAGAAGGGAGCGTCAAATCGCCTTCTGGGCAATATTATCATTGGCATTGGCAGCGTGCTCTACGGACTCTACGAGGTGTTGTATAAGCGGTACGCGTGTCCACCAGAGGGCACAAGCCCCGGCCGCGGGACCATCTTTGCCAATACCTTTGGTAGCATGATTGGGCTATTCACACTGTGTGTCCTGTGGATTCCACTACCTTTCTTGCATTGGTCTGGGTGGGAGGTCTTCGTGATGCCCACTGGCAAGGTAGCGTGGATGCTCCTCATCTCGACCTGTGCCAATGCCAGTAAGTTGATACCACCGTTGCAATGTCTCTCCAAGACGTGATCCACTAACGCGCAACAGCATTCTCGGGCTCTTTCCTCGTCCTCATCTCCCTCACCTCGCCCGTATTGTCCTCTGTCGCCGCCCTTCTAACCATCTTCCTTGTCGCCATCATGGACTGGCTCCGGACAGGCGAACCCCTCCCCTTCACGTCCATCGGCGGCGGTATTATGATCATGGCAGCGTTCTTCCTCTTGAGCTGGAGCACGTATCGTGAGCTGAATGAGGAGCGCAAGAAGCACCTCGAGAACGACGAGGTCGAGTCGGACAATGATGACTGATTCTTTCAGGTAGAGTGGTTAGACTGGACGGATTACTAGGCGGTTGGGTGGAATGTCTTCCAGGATTGGAAAGACGATGTTGGGCGTCATGTGTGATCTATAGCATTTGATCTGTTTCTAGCGGCTTTTGTTCCTGTACAGCTCTAGTCCTAATCATTTATCGCATACCTATACCACATTCTAAAGGGTGTACAACGCTACCTCTCACACTCTCACTTTATTCACTCACACACACTCTCTCTTTCTCACTCAATCACTCGCTCAATTAACCGCGGCGTATCCGGCTATGTAGTATCCCACCCGGGTTTATTATTCCAAACCAAGACAACTAATCCCATACATTATTAACATCTAAAGCGGCTCCCTAACGTACGCATTCATCATCCCTTTGATGGAAGAAAAAGATAACGGTCGTTCCACCCAATCGTATCCACCGACCTATCGCCTGTCGGAGAATTGCACCTCTCATATTTCTCTGCGGGGACCAGGGAGGGGAGATCGTCAGCGGCAACCCTGTACATGTCAAACTACCGTTAGGGCGATCCGGACTCGCATCATCTTGCCAGTAGGTCAGTGGCGCGAGAACCAACCCTGCTGAGAAATACACTGTGGATGAATTGGAAACATGAGTCGCTTGGGCCAATCCGGTATTTCCTTGAACTCCCCGTGGATGGGGGCGTGTGCTAGTTCAATTGAGGGGGAGGGGAATAGCGTTTAAATGTCCTACGAGGGATGCACTTCAGATTTCCTTTTTCTTGTTTACTTTACATATATCGAACATCCAAAGGGATTTCGAGATTTGGTCCATTATACATCTTGCGCAGTATAGACTCACCCATGTCTCACGGTCATCCATTCGACCCGCTCTCGCCAGCGGAAATCGTCCAGGTATTTACAGATTTGCTTCCTGCTCCTATCAGATCTATTTGAACCCACCTGACAGCTTGACAGGCAGTCCGCATCGTCAAAAATGCTATCCCAAACGAACCCCTCGCCTTCAGAGTGGTAACCCTCCTTGAACCACCAAAGACCCAAATGATCCCTTTCCTCCGCGCCGAACACGCAGGCACATCCAACGACACTAATGCCATTAAACCAGCGCGAATTGCACTAATCCATTTCAATCGCGGCGGCGGCGTGTCCGATCTCTGTGAGGTACACGTTAATCTCGGCACCCGGACCATCGTGCACGAGAAGTCGCTCGCTGGAAGACATTCTTTCCAGGATACCACTGAGATGCAGGCGATGGAGAAAGCTTGTCTTGCGTCGTCCGAGGTACAGAATGCGCTTCGGTTGCTACAATTGCCCGAGGGGGCAGTTGTACAGGTTGAGTGTTGGACGTATGGGACTGATGGGATGAATGATATGAAGGAGAGGATTATTATGGTATGCTTTTCTCTCTGTCTCTCTCTCTATCTTTCAAAAAAAAGACAGAATTTTGATAATTCGTAGTGCTACCTCTACATGAGTCTCACCCCTCACAGCGACTCGAACCACTACGCCTATCCGCTGGACATCTGTGTCGAGATGCTAAGCGAAACCCACTCCGTGAAACGCGTTCTCTCTCTGCCTCTCGGCGAGAATGACCGGCTTGGACTTGTGAGTGAAGTGGGGGTTAAGCCTTTTGACCGGAGGAAGATGCACCGCTCAAGCGAGTATCATCCTGATCTTGTCCCGGAGCGCCGGACTACGACAAAACCCTATAGGGTTGTCCAGCCGCAGGGACCCTCGTTCCATGTTGAGGGGAATTTGCTCACTTGGGAGAAGTGGCGGATGAGAGTGGGCTTTAACTTTGTGAGTCTTTCAGCTCTTAACAAAAAATGGTGCTGATCAGTTGTCCAGCGCGAGGGATTGACGCTTCACGATGTTACGTATGATGGGCGCAGTGTGTTCTATCGTTTGGCGCTCTCGGAGATGTTTGTGCCCTATGGCGATAGTCGAGCTCCGTATCCGCGCAAGGCGGCTTTTGATCTGGGGAGTAACGGTGCAGGTGTTAATGCCAATAACTTGAAGCTTGGTAGGAGGCCCAGCATTTTCATGAACTATGCGCTGATATTGTATTGCCAGGTTGCGATTGTCTGGGCCACATCAAATACTTTGATGGAGTCCATCACAACATGCACGGAGACCCGGTGGTGCTCCCCAATGCCGTTTGCTGCCATGAAATCGACGACGGCATTCTGTGGAAACATACCAACTTTCGCACGAACAACGCGGTGGTCACCCGCTCTCGAGTCCTTGTGCTGCAGACGATCATTACGGTCGGTAACTACGAGTACATCTTTGCGTTTCAGTTCATGCAGGATGCCTCGATCAACTACGAGGTTCGCGCAACGGGAATCCTCTCCACAGCGCCGATCCATCTAGACGAGTCCGTTCCATATGGGGCGCTGGTAGCACCAGGCGTAATGGCGCCGTATCATCAACACCTGTTCAGTCTGAGGATTGACCCTGCCATCGATGGACATCGGAACTCCCTGATGGTCGAGGAGTCTCACGCCATGCCATTGAATGACCCTGCGGTGCACAATCCGTTTGGCATTGGTTACACGACGACTCACAAGTTTGTCGAGACGGAATCTCCGCTGGATATTGATATCGCCTCCAACCGCGTGTTCAAGATCGTTAATGAGAACGTTTGTAACCCAATAAGCAAAGGGCCCGTCGGGTATAAGCTTGTGCCACATCCATCCCAAATGATCCTGGCACATCCGTCGTCCTACCACGCCCAGCGATCAGAATTTGGCGCGCACGCGGTTTGGGTAACCCGCTACCACGACGGTGAGTTATACAGTGCAGGCGAGAATACAATGCAATCGCTCGGTGGCGAAGGCATTGCCTCATGGATCCGGTCCCGCCAGTCCCCGCTTAGCGTGCGAGATGAGGACATCGTCCTTTGGCATACCTTTGGCACCACACATAACCCGCGCGTCGAGGACTGGCCTGTCATGCCTTCCGAGAAGTTACTGGTCTCGCTGAAGCCTGTCAATTTCTTCACGCGCAATCCCGCTCTTGACGTGCCTATCAGCTCGCAGGCAGAAAATCAGAGCGTGTTGGTGGGCGAGTCCGGCGGCTCAACTTCGGCAGATCCATGCTGTCCCAAGCTGTAGTAGTAGTGATGACAGAAAATAAAACCGTATGTATCGGCGTCGCCGGTCTGTGAGAGATAAAAAGACGCTGCCTGTTACTAGATGAGGAATGCTCCGTGACAAAATTCTACATTTATGATATCACGACGGTTAGGACCGCCTTTGTCTCTTTCGCGACAGGGCCGATCGCTCCACTGGCAATCTCGGTGGAGTCCAGAATCTCATTTCCACTAGGGCCCGTTCCGTGGTTTGGCGGCGGGTTCCCGGAAGAGAGCGGCTGGGGATTCAGTTGTGGCTGTAACTTATTGGGGCGTAGTCGGGAGATCAATTATGGTGGCTTTCACAGAAAGAACCGACAATCTTCCGAGGACAGACAGACCAACAGAAGCAACCCCCCGGCCCTCCTTTTGTGAGGCTGTGGTGATTGCATTAGATTCGCAAATCAGGCGTGCTTGTATTGTATGGTATATACGAAGCTGCGACAGCACGGATCGAATTAAGGCCTTGGTGAATGTCTGCGTTTGCCCTGTCCAAATGTCGATCCGGCTGCGGCGCACGGCGAGAGGGATTCAAGCCCCACGAACCCCTGCTCTCTTTCTGCTAGCATCCCCGCTAATGCGTAGTTCTCCTGCACATCGCAGAGTAGCATGCGTAAAACGACGTTGCCGCCCCAATTAGGGTGATGATGATCGGCCCCACGGACCAAGAGGTCAAACTCCTGATTATCGTTATATTAAGCCGTCGATCGAAGCCGCGGTCGTGATTGGCCGGGCACCGCCAGTCGGGCGTCCGAAGCGGACGCCAGGGGAGGGCTGTTTCAATTGCCCTGCTCTGATGGCGTCGAACCTGCGAGGAGGCCCCCCCCATCAAAGGGCGCTAAGATAGGTCTCACGCTATTTTTGTCACCCGCAATGGCTCCGCCAGCCAAGAGAGGGAATCTGAAACCCGCGGCGGACGTGCAAGTGTGAACATCGTGAGAATGGCCTATTGTCACTATATTGGACTCGGACGGCAATGCTGAATCTATTCCCTGCGCTGGTCGCCCCGGACAACGTCCTATTCCACAACATTGACCCCCTGCGATGTGCAAGACCCCAGCGTGGCGCTTTGAGGACCCACCGCACCAGGCGAGATTTGGATGAGCGGGCAGGCTAAGGCTGGTGCCTGTCTGCCTTTTTTCTCCGGATGCGTGGCCGTTTGGTGATTGGTGCTCGTCTCTGGTCCCCAGGATCCTCGTAAGATGCAAATGTACGAACCATATTCTAATAGTGTCCACGGTTGGCTAATCGGCTTTGCTTACTGTGGCCTGAGGCTGGGCGTATTCCAGAACCATTCATGGATGGCAATCCGAGTCATGACGTCCACCACTTCCAATCGGCCCAGATGGCAGCATTGTCCAGAGTGGATTCTTTCCAGGTTCTGCGCAAGCCACGAGTTGTCGGCAGGGGATGCACACAAGTCAAGTCGGTTAGAAGCGTGGGACAGAAGGCTGAGTGTATGATACCGTAGTATTGTCACCGGCTTACCATACAATTCTCGGCCCCTCTGGATTTGTTGTTCTCTTCCGCTGTCTCTCTCTCTCCCTCTCCCCCTCAACTCTTCTTCTCTTTTTCCAATCTCACCACCCATCACCCTCCTCCTTCCTCCACGACTCTCTTCGTCCTCCTCCGAACCCGCCCTGGTCCCCGTCGTGGCCGTCCGTTCCTTACACACACCGCTTCGCTCGACAACCGGCTTGATCGAATTTCTCCTGCGTCGGCCTCTTCCTTGGTCTGACAAGGTGAAAGATTATCGGTTGCGCTTATACCTTTTTCAGTTCATTTCCACTCGTTCCTGCCTGGTGCGGAAGATCCAATGACCCTCAAACGAGATTTATAAGACCTCCAGATTATTGGGCTTTCCAGTCATCGCAGGGAAGTCAAACCATCTGGAGGTCTTTGTTCATCTGGATCGTTTCGACTCTCGGTTTTTCTTCGATTCGCTTGTTTCTATTTTCTTTTTCTATTCTTGTTCATTTTCTGCGACGCAGCATCTATGACTTCAATCTCGCTCCCTTTTCAGTCCCAGCCGACCGGTTTTGCCCAGCATTTCGATTCCCCCGACCAGCCGATCGCGGATCCCAGTCGTCATCTCACCATGCCCGCAACGCTACCCAATCCGCCGTTTGTGTTTCCCGCCAGGGACGCAGATGTGTCCGACAACCAGTCCGAAACTCCTGGGCCTCGGACACCACCCCAGCTTCCTGCATTTTCATTCAATCCCGGGGCAGGCCCGTCTCCACAGCCAACTCAGCCATACAACCCTCGGCTGAGTGCCCATCGGCGACGGCCTAGCGAATTTGTTGGGGGTGAGCAACTGGTGACACCAGAATCCGTGGATGACAAAAAGGAAGACCCGGCGGCGTCGTCTACCCTGCCTCCACCGGGTCCTCCTGGCCCTGGCAGAGGCCCGGGACGACGTGGTCATGCCCATCGTCGGTCGGCGGCTATTTCTGGTGTTGATCTGAATGCCATTTCAAAGGCGCTCGGCACGAACCCAGCTGCTCCGAGCGCGCCCGTCACACCTTCCGAAAGGGGATTCGATGACATTTCGAGGCCGTTATCTTATTCAGCCTCAAGTCTCGGCCGTCTCTCGCCTCCCGGTTCTCCAGGGATTCCACCCGTCCCGCCTCTCCCTTCCGCCATCTGCGTTGAGCCTGCTCCTGATGACACCCCCAACACCGACGGAACTGTCTCTATCCTCTCCAACGAGACACCTACCAATACCGCGGCGATCAATCCCCCACAGCCCCATAACCCTGCTAGAGATGGTACACTTTCTTTCGCCGATGGTGGCCCGACGCCGCGTGACCGCAAGCCCAAGCCACGGCCGAAAACTGCTGATGCGTCTTTGGCATTTGATTTGATCCAGAGTAGCAAGTCCAGCGGAGTATCTTCGGTCAAACGGTCCAAGTCTTCAGGACACTCGCGCTCCCGAAAGAGTATGTCAAGGGGTTTGCTTGATGCCGCCCTTTCGAGTCACTCGGCTGAAGATGCTCGCTCTACCGACACGTCTCGTCGCTCGTTTTCGAATGACGATGGTTCAGATACTTCTAGCGACAGTGAACACGACAGTGGATTTTTGTCTGCGAAGAAGCCGTCTTCTAAATCCAAGAAGAAAAAGAGAGTTCGCTCTTGGGCCGGTGCCATCCTAACGCGGGGCAAGAGCAAGGGCAAGCGGGGTGCGAAACTGAATCTCGCATGTAAAGCACCGACTCCTTCGCCCCCTGCGCTCAGTCGAACCAACTCCGACATCGGGTCTGTCGATTTTGATGATGATCATATTGTTGTCCTTCGGACCCCCACCAACCCGGTTGCGCCTGTCTCGGAGGCTGAACGCAGCCGGGACAGCCTTCCCGTTCCTCTGCCATCTCTTGAAACTGCGTGGAAACCTCGCAGCTTTTACGAACAGGGGAGGCAGGACGATACAGTGAGCAGCCCGATCATCGACCTTGATGCCGCACTCGGTCCGTTCAATACCCCAACCATTCAGCCAGCAGTGGGAGCCGCTAGCAACTTCACATTGGCTACACAGCGCATGTACAGCGGTGGACGACGAGGCGAGTTCATTGGTCCAGAGATGCGATATCACCGACGAGCAGAAAGTGCCCCAACTCTTCCCCCGTTTGATCGCAGCGCTTTGGTTGCATCCTCCCGTCTCAGCGTGGCCCCCGTCTTGGAAAATGCGGATGTCTTTGATGAGGAGGAAGAGGATGCTTTTCTCGCCGAGAATATCCAATCTCCCAAGCCTGACGCACCTCCTGCTCAAAATTCCGTCACTATGTCGGATGACGAGAAGACGTCGGTCAAGAGCGACAACTCTTCCAACAGTTTGACTCGGCCGACAGCTACCAGTGACGCTCCTCAGCATACTGGATTAGGTCTTCAGGAGGATCAGTCAGCCATTCCCAATGCGCCAACCGAACCCGAGAAGCCGATGCAAGATGTTGGCAACGTATTCCTCGACCCTCCTCAAAACTCAGTGGAGATTATAAAGTCGGAGGAGGGCGGAGACAGAGCGCCAGGGCCTTCTAGCCCGGATGTCTCGCCACGCTTCTTGGCCGTTGAGAAGCGACCGGCTTCGTCTCCAATGGAGTTCATGCCCACCATCCCTCCATTTGCGCTTTCTGCTGGGGTTTCGCCTTCTGATTCATCGTTTCCGTCCCCTGGGGCGCCAAGGACACCGTTTGACCGTACCTTTTCGAGCCATTCTTACCATCATCTGCCTTCGGAATTTCCGCATGCATCGGTTGAGGATGTCCCATCCCTCACCAGCAGTGCATCGACCATGACGAATACCATGCATCGCTTCTCTGCTACTTTCTTAGCCCGTGCTCGTCCCTCAACCGACCGCGCCGCGTCGTTTTCAGTTGGTCTCAACCGACGAACCGACCCCGCGAATTCACCGAAGCGGTCCAGCTTGGCTAGCCTGTCCAAGCTGATGAGCGGGCCTTCAGAACGGAGCAAATTGAGCCAAGAAGAGAAGCCTCCCGGTGATTCCCCCGACAAGACCACGAGGAAGGGTCGCCGAATCAGTCGACTCATGCACTTCTGGAAACAGAAGGACAAAGACAAGTTCTCGGCAGAGACAGCCTCGGCACCTCGCCCTCGCGCCCGGCCCACCTCGTGATCTTCTGGTCTTTAAGCATTTTGTGGTTTTTCTGGTATCATGGCGCAACATCGGCATAGCGATATCCCGGCAGCATGGGATCCTTCATTTCTCGCAGCACCTTCGATCCTCTCGGCTTCTTCCGTTCTCGTGGCTTCGAGCTGCCTGGGCAAATACCCCCCTCCCTCGCCTGGACTGTACATAGTAATATCGGCCCCAGGTTTTCCCCTTCTTTCTTGCGGGTGCCGATTACGAATCTCTTTTGCATCAGACTGCGGGTCTTTTCGCATGTTTGAGTATGATATGTTGTCATCTTCTTGTCTATCTTTTATGTAACCTGTGTGAGTGACACACGGTTTGATTGATTTTCTCCACGATCATTGTCCCAGCGCGGGCCCATTACTTTATTTTATCTCTTCTGGAATACTATCTTCCCGTGGCCCATTTTGGGTCCCCTTTCCAATCTTCTTCATGGCGTGGGTACGTTAAGTGTGGCATTCTGTCTATTGTACCTGCCCACACCGGTCATTTCGGTGCTGGACAAGATATTTAGGTGGAATTGAGGCCAATTTCCTGTTGAACTGTATGTCCAAAATTATATGTAGTGTAGATGATGCCGATAAGATAACGATAAGCAGAAAATGAACGGTTCGAGATCTTCCTCTTTTTCTCCTCTTTCTTTAGACCGACAAACCACTCACAATTTGTCAATGGCTCCTACCAAACGCGGAAACCGCAAGATACCCGATTCTTTCCAGTCCAAACCATCCTCCAATTCCAAACCATCCGCCTCCCGTCGAGAAGCTCCCCAGTCGCGAAAATCACACCCACCCCGCGAAACCAGCCATGAAGTGACGAATATTACCGCCAGTGGTCTCGATCTAGACACCACAATCCCACTCTCCCTCCAGCAACTCCTCCTCGATGTCTTCAAAACAGCCCTGCTCCCCTCAAACCCAGCGCACTCCGAGTCTCCTGGCTCCACTGAACCATCACCACTACATTCACATCCACAACCACTGCCAGCAGACTCAACCCACCAAAACAATACACCTCTAGACACCAAATCCTTAATACAAACAATAAAATCCCATCTCTATCAACGAGACTTTGATTCGGCCTTCACCGACGCCGACGAGGATCTGCTGCGCGCTTACGCGCTGCGCTGGAGTGCGGCCAGGGCTTTAGGATATGCAGGGCTATTTAGGGGGATATTAAGGCTTATGAGGGATCAGAAGGACGACAATGCTTCTGGGAAAGGGCTGGGTACTGCGCCATCTACCCGTGTTGTCTGCGTAGGTGGTGGTGCAGGTGCGGAGATCGTGGCGCTTGCTGCGGCGTGGAGGGATTTGGGCGGCGATGGCGGCGAGGGATTGGGAGAGGGTGTTGCTGGGTTATCTCTGACGGAGAAGAATAAGGAGAATGGAGAAGAGAGTGGGACTGGTCGTGAGGAAGCGCCAGGCCCCCGTCTCGCTGTCACCGCTGTTGATATCGCGGACTGGACTGCCGTGGTCGAGAGACTGTCCGACACGATCACCTCGACGGATGTGCCAACGCCGTCAACGTCCAAACACCAGCCACCGCTGGTGCGTGAGAAAAGCACATTCTCCGTCTCGTTTCAACGAGCCGATGTCCTCACTCTCCCCGAGTCCGAACTCAATGACATCCTCGTCAACACCAGTACCACTTCTTCTTCCCTACTGGTGACTCTCATGTTCACCCTGAACGAGCTCTTCTCAACGTCCATGCCCAAATCCACCACCCTCCTACTCCGGATGACAGAAAGCCTCCCAGCAGGCACTGTGTTGCTGGTTGTCGACAGTCCGGGAAGCTACTCAACCGTCAAACTAAAAGGGAAAGATGGAAATATGCAAGAGCGCAAGTACCCCATGAAGTTCTTGCTCGATCATACGCTCCTCACTGTGGCAGAGGGGAAGTGGGAGCGGGTGTTCTCACAGGACTCGCGCTGGTGGAGGCGGGATGCGCCGCGGCTGCGGTATGAGGTTGGGGAGGGTGCGGGATTGGAGGATATGCGGTTTCAAGTGCATGTGTATCGGAGGGTTGAAGGGTGAATATGGTGCATGTATGAATGAAAGACAAGAGAATTTCATCAGAGTAGAGGTATGATATTGCTACATATAGAAGAAGGAACAGGAAAGGCTCAGCCAGGGTGCTAGCGGACCCTTCCCAAAGAGTGCGATTAGATGGTACATTTTCTTTCTTGTTCAACTCAGCTCCGCAGACCCAAAAGGAGACTCGTGCTCTTGCCACCCTCCTTACCCTCCCCACCAGGCAGATAGGTAACGTTCGGGTTACCGGACAGAGTCTGCGCGATCTCCTTGCTGGCATCGATGCGACGAATCTCAATCAACCCAGTACCGGCCTTGGCAACAGCCTTGCTAATGATCTCGGCACTTTCGGCTTCACCCTCCGCGCGAATAACGTTAGCCTGGCGCTCCTGCTCAGCGCGCTCAACGATAAACCGCGCCCGCTCGGCATCCTGCTGGGCGATCTGCTTCTGCTCGACGGCCCGTGTGAACTCCTTGCCGAAGGTCATGTGCGTGATGGAGACATCCTCGAGGGCGATGTTGAACTGCGCCGCCCGTTTCAGCAGGTCGGTGCGGATGCGGTTCGAGACGGCTTCGCGCTGTGTGATCAGCTCGGCGGCGTCGAATTGGGCGACGATTGCTTTGAGGACTTCGTTGCCGATGGAGGGGAGGACACGCTCGTCATAGTCCGTACCATATGACTAAACCATTGTTAGCTTCGTGAGGGATCGCGTGGGTGTGGGTGTTTCGAGCTCACCTGGTAGATCTGAGGCAGCTTCGGCACGTCCGGTCGGTGCAGCACGCGCAGCGTCAGGCTGACCATCTGTAAATCCTTGCTACCGGTTGTGGTGGAAATATTGCGAGGCTTCGTGCGGACATCGTAGATAATCGCTCGCTGCAGCCAGGGAACCAAAAAGTGCGTGCCTTCGTTGACGACCTTCTCCTGCACACCGGACAATCGGTCGAAGATGACTGCTCGTGTGCCGCCGCGGACGTCGTAGAGGGAGGCGTCGGCTAGCAGCAGCGCACCCGTCACGGGGATGGCCACCCGGTAGAGGCGCTGAAGGGTGTTCTGCATGGTGGACGGGGGATGAGGTGGTGAGTGATGAAGTGAGAGAACGGAAGGACCGAGATGGAGTGTCAGTGGTGTCGCCCGATCAGGTTTAGCGTGGATGGGCCAAACCTCCAACTTCGCCCGACCGTCCACTCGTTTCTTGTCCTTCAACCATCTCGCTTGCCCCCTTCGACCCTCCTACGTTCGATTTTCTCGACTCAATCCTCTCACAATGGGCGGCGCTCTGGATCCTAAGAACGGAGTGTAAGTTTCACCCTTTCTTCCCCTCCTGCCCTGCACTGGTGCGCGTTCGCTTGCGTCTGCCGAGGGTGTAATCTGGATCATCCCGGCTGCCCGTGAGGCCAATCTCCTCCCCTGTCACATGCCCTGCTTTGCAATCTACGTGTGCTGATGATGGTCTCGATATAGTTACATCGGTGGCTGGGGCGATCTTGGTACGTGGACGATGATCCGTTCCTCGACCCGAGGGTGTCCGCATACGGTCGATATCCTCTCTCCTCTATCCTCTCTCGAGCACCCCTTCCGAATTGGCAAAACCAAACATCAATCAGAAGGAGATCATGACCGGGAAGTGGAGGGGGGAGAGAGAGATTGAAAGAGGAAGAACACCATGCTTGGATGATAGACACTGACCCGCCGTGACTGCAGGCTGCCCGACTCCCCAGCGCATCGCTACCTACTCCCTCTCGTCTAACCGCCAGCGCCCTTTCGCCGGTGCCGCCAACGCCGCCATCTTCAACGTTTTCCGCCGTTTCCGCCACCAGGTGCTCTACGTGGTGCCGCCGTTCGTTGCTGCGTACGCCACCATGAACTGGGCCATTGAGCGGTAAGACTGCTGTGACTGATGTAGGAGATGGATGAGATTGCTAATTGGGTGTGATAGCAACGAGTACCTGAACTCCAAGCCCGGCCGCGAGGAGGCTGGCTCTGAGTAAAGGCAATGGATCGATTGAAAGGATGGAATGGAATTGAGTTGAACTGAATTGGTATACACGGTGGTGGAGCTGTATGATTGTACAGTAACTAGAAAGCAATCACCCTTTCCTTTGTCTGATCTATATCTTTCTCATTGGTCTGTCTTCGTAGTTGGGTGTAGCTTGTCTCTCCGGGATCTCTCCTATAGTATACAACACTACGCCGTACTACACAAATCCACAGAATAACACTCACCATTGACTTCGACCATTCAATTGATCCCATTCCTTGCCTAAGAATAAGTATTTTTCTATTATTCACACCTACCCTTTTATTGGCGCTGTTCAGCCCGTCTCCACACTGACCGAAAAAAAGAAGCAAAAATTTCGCCCGAAACGGACAAACTTCCGCATGTCCCAACTTCGCTCCCTCCTTCGCCCATCCACTCTCTTCTTGTCTACTCCTTCCACCTTCTCTTCCTGTTCCTCTTCGTCTTTCTATCATTCCTTCCTCTTTCCCTTACGCTTCTCCTCTCCCGTCCACACCATGAGCGACATCACTCACCCCACCATCAAGGGTATTTTCCCTCTGCTACCCCGCCTCCACTGAAAATAAAAAAACTGACCCTGCTTCTTCAGATGGCTGGTTCTCCGAGCAGTCGGGCATGTGGCCCGGCCAGGCCATGAACCTCAAGGTCAACCAGATCTTGCACCACGAAAAGTCCAAGTACCAGGACGTGCTGGTGTTCGAGAGCAGCGACTATGGCACGGTGCTGGTGCTCGACAACGTCATCCAGTGCACCGAGCGCGACGAGTTTTCCTACCAGGAGATGATCACCCACCTGGCCATGAACTCGCACCCCAACCCCAAGAAGGTGCTGGTCATCGGCGGTGGCGACGGCGGTGTCCTGCGCGAGGTCGTCAAGCACGAGTCCGTCGAGGAGGCCACCCTTTGCGACATCGACGAGGCCGTCATCCGCGTCTCGAAGAAATACCTCCCCGGCATGAGCATCGGCTTCCAACACCCCAACGCCAAGGTCCACGTCGGCGACGGCTTCGAGTTCCTTAAGCAGCACAAGAACAAGTTTGACGTCATCATCACCGACTCCTCTGACCCGGAGGGCCCCGCCGAGTCCCTGTTCCAGAAGCCGTACTTTGAGCTGCTCAACGATGCGCTGCGCGACGGCGGCGTCATCACCACCCAAGGTTGTTCGTCGCCTTTCTTTTCTGTCTTTCTTTCTTTCTCTCTTCTCCTCTCCACTCCATTCTTGTCAGTAACATAGGCTAATCTTTTCGCACCACCCCGCAACCAACCCGCTTTCGGGCTCGGTTTTGTTGTGGGAACTGTGCCTTTTGTCCAACAGCTGAAAACCAATGGCTGCATCTCTCGCTGATCACCGACCTGAAGAAGTCCTGCAATGAGGTCTTCCCCGTCGCCGAGTACGCCTACACCACCATCCCCACCTACCCATCCGGCCAGATCGGCTTCATGGTCTGCTGCAAGGATGCCTCCCGCAACGTGCGCGAGCCTGTCCGCACCTGGTCCCGCGAGGAGGAGGAGCGTCTGTGCCGCTACTACAACCAGGACATCCACCGTGCCAGCTTTGTGCTGCCCAACTTTGCGCGCAAGGCGCTCGGTGCGTAACTTGGTAGTAAGCTTGGAAGTAGATTTATGATTCACAATGAAGGGTTTCGGATTCGTCTGCAATAGGTCTCCATTTTACACCGTATACTCAGGTGAGATGAATCACTTGAAACAGCTTAGCGTGCCTGTTTGGATTACGTGTCCCTGGGCTGCCTAGGCTTCCCGCGCTTGTTTCTATAAAAGTCCCCCCATCGCCGCTTCAACTTTTGGCGGTTTGTCGCCCTTCTGCGCTTCCTTCTTCTCGCCCTGACTCTCGTCCTGTTGATGAGACACTTATGTATGCCAATGATCTATAGCGCCGAGCTACGCCACCCCCTTTCCCCCCTTCTCCCTCCTCGCTCATCGTTTGGTGCGCTACGATCCTCGTTATCTATGCTCATTTGGAGGGCATTCCCAAGATTTCTATTTTGGTACCAGTGAGGCTCTACCCAGAGCGAGCGGGGCCGGGCCAAAAGAACTCAAAGGCGACAAAACAAATTGGTGTACGAAGCAAGCGAGAGAAATGCAGAATGAGTCAAGATTATTTCAAGGCTATATGTCCGGGAGAACGGAGATAGCCAACCCAACATAACATAAGTAATGATGGCACGCAAAGGACCATCATATATATCTGATAGGAGCACCAACGAGTATACAGGCAGGAAATCACGTAGCAGGGCCTTCCGAGCCGGCACAGAGGCCTTCGATATCCCACGTTCCCCAGTTAGCAGGAAGAGTCACAGGAAGTTTTGATATCCCAGGGCCTTCTACACAGACGGCCCCGAGACCCACATCATTGGCCCCCCCTTTCAACATGGATTGTTGTAACAAGATCTGGATCGTATCATCCATACCAGAAATATCAGATAGAAGGACCGTGCTGTCCCGCGAAAAGCCAAACGACCGTACATAGAGATCTATAACAGTCTGCGACGCATACCAGAGCTTGTTCCCGCTGGAGTCGTACTCTGGGACCCATACTTTCTTTAATGCCTCCCACTTCTCAGAATTGGCCCATACAGCGCAGTTCCTTCGAACAGTTAGTTTCAGACCATGTACTTGGATGAAATACTATAAAGGATCATGTCGTACCAGGCACTCCCCGGCCACTGTCCTGGGCCTGGAGTCAAATACACTCCGGTGCCGGTTTGCTCCCCGCTAGGGGGAAACCATACCACAGTCCCGGCTGCGTTATACGCATCTGCTTTCTTCTACAAATTCAGAATAAAGACATTAGCGTACTATGTTGGATTTCCACCGGATTTGTAGAGATTAAAAGGATTTGAGATACCTTGTCAACAGCTTTATACCCAACAATTACGTTGCCGGACCCAATGCTGGGGGTTCTGCGATGAATTGGGGTGGTTGCGGCTAAGCTCGCCAGAAACAACAGCCGGAAGACGATGGATATAAGCATCGTGAAGATTCCACTGTGGGAAGTGGGAAGATCGGAGAAGGATTGAGAACAATAAAGACCGGTCACAGTGAAAGTATATCTCTTTCCGTGACCTTAGGGGGTAAAGCACGATGAATATAAGTACTGTACACAGACCCTCTCCCCTGCTATGCAGCTAGAGGCTTATATTTTTATTAACTATTTATTTTCTTTTAATTTGTTGTGTTCTATTTTAGTTTTTATTGTTGGTTGTTGAAACAGACACTTGATAGGTTATTAATCAGTGGAGTACGCGCTGCTACATGGGGGCCCAAAAGACATACTTAGCTTGCCAGTTAAACTTTGCCCTGTTTAAACGACATAGCCTCATCCAATTAGTCGATGGCCTCGGTAGGTTCCCTACAAGCCTACCAGTGCAGCCTTGTCGCGAACCTAGCCGCATATTGAGTAAGCTTGGCAGGGATCGTCGCAAGATGGGTGGCCTAATAATCATCGCTTACTCCTAGATAGAAACTAGTTGGGGCAGGACTCTATAACATATCAGAGTTATTGCGATCTTGTTTCAAGACTATTAGCGCACGGAGCAGGCGGAAGGATGGGCTTAATTCATCCTTTGGGACCCCACTGAAGAGCAAGATTTGCGTTCAATGTATTCATTTTACGCACAGAGGCATTTAGTCCTAATGTCAAATAGAATCAATCGCCGAGTGCATTCCGCGTGCACAGGTAGCCTACGCTTCTTGAGGGGTGGGGGCTAATAAGGACACAATCTACATGTAGACGGTACTTAGTACGAGTATGGGTCCGCGGTGGTTTATGGCCCCCAAAGGCTTAGGATTTGTGCCTTAAAATAAGCCTACTAGTGCAGCCTTGTCGCAAAACTAGCCGCATATTGAATAAGCTTAGCAGGGATCTCGCCGCAAGATTGGTGGGCCTAATAATCATCGCTTATTCCTAAAAGAAACCAATCGGGGCAGTGCTTTGTATCATATCAGGGGTTATTGCACCTTGTTTCAAGATAGTAGCGTACGCAATCTCGCGGTTAGATGGCACGCCTAAGATGGGGTCGATTAATAACTATCACAGCCTCTTTTATTAACCTCGTTAGGAAGGGATCGAACTTAGAGCCAACATCGTAGGTATTTTCTACCAATCAGCATTACCAGCCGCCTGTCATCCATGTTTGAACAATAATAGACTAATATCCGAGCGCACAGCCTTATGCAGAGCTGAGCTGCTGCCTCTAAAACTTCTATTTAGATCTAAGTATAAACAGGTGTCGGTCATAAATGGAGCGGATTCGCCATTGATCTCGTAACCCCTTGCCATCTTCTTTACATTTGTTTTTAAACAGTACGGTACCCCCGTATCTGCTGTACTTTTTTTTTTATACATCTCTGTTTTTTCAAGACCTTCGTTCAACATGCGGCTCATTTGGTGGCTACTTCAGTTAACACTACTAGCCTTGGCTTTGCCCGGAAGGAATCAGCTAAGGAATAAGCCAAGAACACCAAGTCTCTTGCCGTCCGTCCATACTACCACCACCACATCCGGCGCAAGTCTAGGCGCACCGTCGTCAAAACCAGGTATATCTCAATTCTCATACTCTATCTAGTTCCTAAACTAAATTTTCTGAAAGCCAGAGTATGCAAGAAGAAACCACCACCTATCGGTATGATTTGAAGAAGCTTTCTCTATATGGTCTACGCTAATTTCAAATTTGACAAAAAGTTCCTAGCCGCACGCCAGTTACGATATCGACACCGACACCAACGCCGACACCAAAACCAGGTACGTCTCAATTCTCATACTCTTTCAAGTGCGAAAGCTAATTTTTTGGAAGCCAAATCATGCAAGTCGAAACCGCCGCCTATCGGTATGATTTGAAGAAGCATTTCTATATTGTCCAAGCTGATTCTAATTATCACAAAGTCCCTAGCCGCACAAAAGTTTCGAAATCGACCCCGACACCAACATCAACAATCAGTGTTCACTCACTAGGCTGCCATGCATTGCCAGCTGAACCAGATCCTGGGCCGATCTGTGTCTGCACGAATGGTTTCACAACACGGATGACCGTTGCCTCTGAGTGCCCAACGACGATCCCGGCCGATTGGACTACGCATGCACCAGAGCCAACCACATCGACTAGTCAAATCCCCTACAGTTATTATAATATTACAAATGGGGCTCTCGTCCACTGTGCATCGTCTGTGGTGTCAAAGCTAGACATTTACACGGGGATAACCGAAACTTATTGCGCGGGCTCTACCTCGACAGACTCCAACTCGCCGGGTGTCACCTACACCACGACGCTGTGGCCTCAAACCACGACCGCAGTAACATACGGTAACTGGGGATATTATTCACCACCGGTATCATCGACGTTCACTTACAACGCTACTGCGGCTGCATATTCACTAGCGGTTAGCTTCTACACGGCTTTCAGCAGCGCCTGCCCGAGCTCTGCTGTTGCTACCGTCACGACCACCACTGATACCTCTTTTAATACATTCGCGACACTTCCAGGCGGTGCGATAGGCAGTTTTACGACTACAACTACGGAAGTCACCCTCTATAGTTGTACCAACCAAGCAACGCCGAGCGCCGCGCCCTGGTGGGTCGCATCTAGCGAGTCCGAAGATGGCATCGACAACAGTGGAACTCTAGCGGTTACCATCACTGACTCTTCATTCACGGAAGAGAATTTCGTCAAATGGCTTTGGGCTCTATCATATAGATTTGCATATGCGACCGTCAACTCCATCAGCAACCAAACAATCTACCGCGACGAGGGTAGAGAAGTGATTTCAATGGAGTTCCCATTCTATAGGGTCCCAACTGAAATTATGCTTGTGTACGGCAATAGTATCAATAGTGGTACGGGACTAGAACGGTTATCTGGGTCAGCGGTATTTGAGGAGAGCTCTGAAGAAGAGCTAGCGTGCGAACTAATGGAGGACATGGAGGTACTATTGGATACGTTCCTCGCCTTTATGGCAGGACCCGAAGGGGCAGCTCTTGCGGAAACTGTTGGTTTTACGATATCGTCGGACGCGAGGGCGATCATGCAGGACTCGATGAAGGCCTCTAAATTCGTGTTCGGTTGTCCGGGTGAAGGGTAAAGCTCAAGCATAGATAGATTTATTTCATAAAATTCTGTTTCCTCGCTTTCCGATTGATGATTAATTAAGGGCGCATACTAAAGCCTTCGTTGATATCTAATGATACATTTCGCTCTGCTGGAAGATGAACTAATAATATCTCCAACTACGTAACTATACTACATGCGCACGTGGCCTTCCCCGACTGCGCCCACACCACGCTTGTCAGCCTTTCTTCTCCTGATCCCCCCGTCTGCCTGTTAACAGCCACTAATCCTCTTTCTTTCTCTCTATTTCCCTCATACCCTCTCCCTTGCATAACGTCGACAAGAGCCATCTACTCACCGAGCGCTTGTATTCTCTTTGCCCTTGGAAACCCTTGAAAAATGAGCACGACTTTACTATCACTTCTGTGTGGCGAAAATTGGTGGTGGGACTCGAACGAAGAAAGCTACATCCGGTTTCACGAAGACGGCACCGGCAAAGTGAGTCTTCCCTCCATATATTCCATTAATTGAAGCTTATTGTATCTTAAGTTGGTTGCACGTTGCGAGTTCAGCATATTTATCGCTGCAGAAATTCAATGGAAGCCTTGTTCCCCTAATGCTCTGACCGATAAAATCGATATTGGGGCCACTCCCCCGTATCCCTCTCACTCGCGAGTCGTCGGTCAATTTGATATCGAAATGACACTCACGACACGCCGTGTAGGGGTTGGGGCGGTGGATATAGGAAAAGTCAGAATAAACGAATGCCAGCTTACAGAGAAGGCGTTTCTCCCTAATCAATATACCATTAGGGTGGAGCAAGGCAAGTTTATGGCCGTCAATGATGTTCCACACGTCCACGAGCTTCCATGTATTTCCACCTACTCATATCGGCTCATATTCGATCCTTCGCCCTTCCCACCGCAGCATATGTGGAAAGATCCTGCCGGAGCGCCAGAGTCGATACGGTTCTGGGAATGGACGAAATTTCAGGCCTATCCACGACCTATAAAATGGCAAATGACTTGGGGAGGAAAGATGTTAAATACATTCCTCAGGACAATAGGCTGTGATTGATAGATGACGAAGAAGGGCCGGGTCACGACGAGTTACTGTGTGTACATATAATACTCAATATTTACTAGTAGCTAAGTCTTTGCACCTAGATTAAGCTTATATTCATTAGTAACCATGGTCTTTCCATCGTCACCCAGAGTTACTCCGTAAATTTCTACCTAGTAACTAACTATACCTGGTAGCGGGCATAGATCGGTTCCCCGCAGCCGAGGATAATCAACCCCTCGTACATACCCAACTTCTTCTTCCTCTTCTTCTTCCCCGTACACACTTCACAACAATATACAACAGGAACTAAACCAAAGAATAAAACCATGTCCTACCAGCACCGCATCACCCTCCTAGGCACCGGGACAATCGGCCTCTCAATGGCAGCCCTCCACCTCCGCCGCCCCGACACATCTGTCACGCTTTACGACCCACGCCCAGACCTGGAGTCCCAAGTACACGAAGTACTGCCCGCATTCCTCTCATCCTCCTCCCTGAAACAAGAACACGGAGACGGAGACAAAGGCATAATCCAAAGTCTCCTCTCCACATCCCGTCTCCGCCTCTCCGCTTCCCTCGAAGATGCCTGCCGCGGCGCAACTATCATCCAAGAACAGACACCCGAAGTCCTTTCCTCAAAGCAGTCTCTCTGGACACAGGTCCAGGAATTTGCGGATCCCACGGCCCATCTGTGGAGTAGTTCCAGTGGGATTCCTGCTTCGGCGCAGTGTGCTACTTGTTCCGTTGAGGAGAACGATGTCAAGTCCCGTTTGCTCGTGGCTCACCCGTTTAATCCGCCGCATCTGATGCCTCTCGTGGAGATTGTTCCGGGGCCGGAGACTAAGGCGGATAGAGTTGAGTTTGTGAAGAGGTACTTTGATACTACGCCCGGTCCATTGCCTCTTCCCTCTTCCACGGAGAATCAGAGTCAAAGTCAGCAGAATGAAGGCTATTACCGCCCCATAATCCTACACAAAGAAATCTCCGGCTTCGTCGGAAACAGACTTGCATTTGCACTTCTACGTGAAGCATGCCATCTCGTTGGCGAGGGCGTGGTCAGCGCGCGGGACCTCGATGCTATCGTGACGGCTAGTCTTGGGCCGCGGTGGGCGGGCAGTGGTGTGTTTGAGAGCTATCATGCTGGCGGCGGGGAGGGCGGGATTGGAGCTTTCTTGCAGAAGCTTATGCCGACAATCCAGCCCGTGTGGCGAGATTTGGGGCAGACGGAGATTAGTGCGGAAGGCGGGGAGAATTGGAGGGAGATGGTTGTGCAGCAGACCGAGGAGGCATATGGCCCGTATACGGCGGAGACGAGGAGGAGCAAAGAGGAGATGCTGCGGGAGGTGGTGGCGATGCAGCAGCGGAGCTGGAGTGATTTACAATAGAACAAGATGTAGTAAACGAAAAAAAAACCAACTTGAAATTTAGAAAAACATTCATCTATTCATTTCATTCTATTCCCTTCTCTTTTTAGGACGGACCCTTACAGGATCTGCTGGAAGGCCCGGTTGATGGGCGAGCGCACGGTCGCGCCCTTGTAGAAGTCGATGGTGGCAATGGCACGCTTGCTGATGCCCTCGGGTGTGAACTCGAACTTGGCGTACACCTCCTTGTACGGGCCGGAGGCACCGAAGCGGTTCAGGCCGAACTGCTCGTGCGCGTATCGCTCCCAACCCATGGTCGAGCACACCTCGACCGACAGCACCGGGATGCCATCGGGCAGCACCTGAAGGCGGTAGGCCTTGTCCTGGGCGTCAAACACCTCGAAGCAAGGAACGGACACCACGCGGGCGGCGACGCCGTGCTTCTCCTTCAGGTAAGTGGCGGCCTCGATACAGATGCCGACCTCCGAACCGGTCGAGATGATGGTCACGGCAGCGTTGGGGGTGTCGACCGCGACGTAGCCACCCTTCAGGGCGTTCTCGATGGTCGAGTTCTCCAGCTGGGGCAGGTTCTGGCGGGTCAAAGCCAGGATAGTGGGAGTGTGCTTGGCAGTCAGAGCCGAATAGTAGGCGGCGCTGGTCTCGTTGCCGTCGGCGGGACGCCAGACCATGCAGTTGGGCAGAGCACGGAAGTGGGCCAGAGTCTCGATAGGCTGGTGGGTCGGGCCGTCCTCACCCAGACCGATGGAGTCGTGAGTGGCGACGTAGATGGTACGGACACGCGAAAGAGCCGACAGGCGCACAGCCCCGGCGGCGTATGACACGAAGTTCAGGAAGGTACCTCCAGCGGGGATGATAGTACCATAAGCGGCGAGACCGTTCATGACGGCGGCCATGGCGTGCTCACGCACACCGTAGCGGATATAGCGGCCGGACCACTCGCCAAGGCCCAGGTTGGGGGGCTGGAAGTCGACGGCGTTCTTCCAGCGGGTGTTGTTGGAGCCAGTCAGATCGGCCGAGCCGGACAGCAGCTCGGGGATGACCGAGTGGATCTTCTCCAGGACGGCCTCCGACAGCTTGCGCGAGGCGATGGCAGGGTCAGTCGGCTTGTAGGTGGGGAGGCTCTTCTCCCAACCCTCGGGCAGCTTGCCGGCCAGACGGCGAGCCAGATCGGCACCCTCGGCCTTGTGCTCGGCCTGGTACTTCTGGAAGAGCTGGTTCCACTCCTGCTCCTTGGCGGCGCCCTCGGCGGCGTGCTTGTGGTACAGGTCGTACACCTCCTGGGGCACGACGAAGCTCTGGGATGGGTCGAAGCCAAAGGCCTTCTTCACGCTCTCAGCATCATCGGCCTTGAGGGGGGCGCCATGGACACCGCCGGTGCCCTGCAACTTGGAACCGAAACCGATGGTGGTGGTCAGCTTGATGACGGAAGGCTTGTCCTTGACCTGCTGGCACTTGCGGATAGCATCCTCGATACCCTGGAGGTCGTGGTCACCATCCTTCACGTGCTCAATATGCCAGCCGTAGGCCTCGAAGCGCTTCATCACATCCTCGGTGAAGGCGCACTTGGTGTCACCGTCTAGGCATATAGGGTTAGTTCGCGTTTCCCCACCGGGTAGAATCGGGCTGATCGAAGCTTAACGTACCGATGGAAATGCCATTGTCGTCATATATGGCGATCAGGTTGCCCAGCTGCAGGTGGCCAGCCATGCTAGCGGCTTCGCTGGCAATGCCCTCCATGGCGCAGCCATCACCGAAAAAGGTGTAGGTGTAGTTGTTGATCAGATCGTAGCCGGGCTTGTTGAACACAGCGGCGGTGTGGGCCTGGGCGATGGCCAAACCGACGGCGTTGGAGAAGCCCTGACCCAGAGGACCCGTGGTAACCTCGATACCGGGGGTGTCGTGGGACTCGGGGTGTCCAGGGGTGATACTGCCGACTTGCTGCGTTCGTCAGAACAGATCCCAATTTCATAATGATTCTCAAAAACGTACACGGAAGCTCTTCAGGTCGTCCATGGTGAGCTTGTAGCCGAACAGGTGGAGCAGAGCATACTGCAGCATGCAGCCGTGGCCGTTCCTGAGGAAGAGCGTAAGCGTCAGTGGGCAATTGATTCATTGGAGCGTTACGAGTAGAAATTTAATCCAATAGAAACACTCACGAGAGAACGAAACGATCACGGTTGACCCAGTCGGGGTTCTGGGGGTTGAAGTTCATGAACTTGTTGAACAAAACGTGGGCCACGGGGGCCATGCCCATCGGGGCACCGGGGTGACCCGAGTTGGCCTTGGCGACGGCATCAACCTGACGGAAAATTAGTTAACGGGTCAATTGAAGGCGAAGACGGTGGCAGATGGCCAGCTTGTTCTGTTCCGCCACGTCCGGAGTGGATGGAGCGAGCAGGACGTACCGCGAGAACACGGATGGTGTTGACAGCCAACTTATCCAGATCAGTGTAACCCATGATGGCGGTTACTAGAGAGAGAGTCAGCAATGATCAGTCGGATGATTGAGGGCGAACGTACGATGATGGGGTGTTGATATGTAAGGGGGAGGATGAAGGAGAAAAGAGGGAGAAGAAGGAAAGAAAGAAGAGATGGAGGGGTGTCTGGTGGTGGGGGGCGGATGATGTCTGTGGTGGGGCGGACTACATAACATACTGCAGATATCTTCGCAGGCCATAGGCGCGAGTATACATGGATTCTATAGGAGTAGGAGTAGGTGCTGTAGTCATCATATTCTACTTCCGCTACTATCCATTCGAATGATCGATCTCAACATGGCAATTGCAACAGTTACTGATCATACGAAGTTATCGCCTCCATGGATGCTGACTCAACCACTCTGGCCTCCCATCCCACGAACACTCGCAGATCCTTCGCGAACACGGTCGGGCTTCTCTCTTGTCAGTAACCCGGCGAAAAACCCTTCAGGTCATTCTCTTCCTTTGTCCCGTCGGATATATGACTCTGCACACCGGGGGGCCGCCCGGACCACGCTGCTCCGGCTCAGCGGAGCCCTATTATTCATTAGCCGACTGACAGCTCACGATCTGGCTCTGGAATCGGCTTGTCCCAATCTGGCCAATCCGCTTATTAGAAATTCCCGGCGCTCTACTCCCTACCCATCTCCACAAATTTTCGTTGGGGGTTCGAAAGCCGGTGTCCCGAAACAGCATAGCGTGCTCACTCACGACTAGGTATACAGAGGCTGTTCATCCAGATTGGGAGATCAATTATTTAGGCAGAATTCAACCGCTCCTAGTGGCAAAGGAACTCATCCGCTACAGTGTAGAAGCCGCAGCCACTATTCTTCTAATGGACGCTAGGTTCGACTTCCATAGTATAAGCCCAGCAACCTAAAGCTAGTACATATTACGCATCTTGACCTTCATGTCCTTGTGCTTTGGCTGAGATAATCGCGTTAAATCAATAATGTCACATATATTTTAAGCTTATTCTTACCCTGCAGCGGAGGAGTCACTCCACCCTACCTATCAGACAGACTGAGGAGGAGGAGGAGGAGGAGGAGGAGGAAGAAGAAGAAGAAGGGAGACATTAGGAGATATATACCTGTCTGTTCAAACGCAACAAACAATTTCCTTAACATTGTGCGCACAGTATGGTCTGAATATGATAGATGCCTGGAGCGTACTTATGAAGCCATAGCTGCAAATAGGCTTGCTCTTCCAATTTTTATCTACCCCACAGATGCTTAAGTATATCTGACACTAACGATTTAGGGCTAGAATGTATTCTTTCTTTCTTTGTAGCCGGCGAAATAAGATATCGGGTAAATTGGACTTAGCAAATCGATATGTGGATCCGGATTTCGGCAAAAGCCTACAGCCATTCCAAGCCAATGACAAAGCAAAATTAATGCCTTCTCAGTTTCTAGTCCAGCTGTAACTGCGACAAGACATACACTCACTCACTGTGCGATATATATTATACGCTCCAGATATAAATTGTATACGACTGATACCAAAATATACACAGGGTCCCGAGAATTTTCTCCAATCATTCCGTATAAAACACTTCGTCCAACACCTTCCACCACCCAGGACCCTCTGCGCTACCCACAGCACCAGGAATTGGACTCTCCTAGTACAACATATCAAATCAGCTCCAATACCAGGATATAGAAACAAGAAATTAAGAAAATTTAAGCTCACCTGCATTCCATCGGTCATAGCCCACCACTCCCTCACCTTGGGATTGGCCTTCATGCACGCCATGTCACCCTCAAAGTCCGAGCCGATATACTTGAATGTTGAGAACAACGTCCTGTCATTGTCAAAGAAGATCGAATCTGCATTGTACCTGGAATCAGCGCGATGAACCAATATCCATGGCTTTCTCTTGCATGACGTACAGTCCCGGATGTTGCAGTCTTTGATTTGCTGTAGAACCTCGGGCCAGACGTTGGCATGGCATTCTTTGTAAGCTGCTACAGCGGATGGTTTGAGATGGACAATTTGCGCGATTCGACGGACAGGAGACATTGTGCCTTGTGGGTTGCAGATCGTTCGGAAATGGACGAAGTTTCTCTGGATGCGGGGGGACTTTGCGGGTTTATGTCTTGCGTATACGCGATGGACAGAAGAGAAACTGGAAACTTGGCTTGCTGATAGGTGTCGTCAGTGCAATGGAAGTGTTGAAGGAGAGAACAACTTTGCTTGCCCCTCCGTCACGTCGTTGCGACGCTCTCCTCTCGGGGAGTGCTAACCCGAAGCCCCACCGGTATCCCGAGTTCAACTCCACAACAGTTCATATAAACTTCATCCTCTATTACAAAACTTATATACAAAACCATGTAATAGCCTTTACGAGCGCACCCTCTGGCTGCGACGAACCGGTCGAATTAAACAGACAGCTTTGGCGGTTTAGGAGAAGAATTTGGGGTCTCCGGCGCGACATAAAGACTATTTGAGTTAGTATGAGGGAACATTACATTTTACAGAGCCGGAGAGAGGATTTTATAGCATGCTTATGATCATCGCATGTACTAGAACAGGAAGCCTGCCAAGTCAGTCTAACACAAGAGGGTTATCCGACTAAGGAACTCTGTGTGACATCAACCTTTCAATAGTATTCCTTCCAGTCCAGCCTCACACGCAGATGTTCAAAAACAGTCGTGGATTCAGGTCTCGAAGCAAAGAAGCCCCCAGATTTATGGAAAGGTTTCGAAGACGCCTTTCCAGAGTCCAGGCCACGCAAATAGCTCAAGAAAGCAGAGGTCTGTTTCCGGAAAGTAGCGTACAGATGAAGAACGGTACCTTCACTCTCATGACGACGTCCATTCAGCCCATCTTCTCTAGAAAGAGGGCTAAAGGCGAGAATGGTGCTGAAAATAGAGTCGAGCAATTTCGCTGCCTGTGCGTGTCGCTTACTGAGGAAGAAGGCGAACAGCATTTGGTCGATTATGTCCTCATGATAATCGCGGAGTCGGGGCACCGAATGCGCGGCTTCGATCGTACCGTCGATATCACCGCGGTTAAGACAGCGTTCGATCCTGTCGAGGGTTTCTTGCAAGCGGCGCCAGGTCGAGCCGACGCCGATGTGGAAACAGTAGTCGCTGACGGCAAGGACAAAGTGTTGAGCGTCGATGCGGAACTTCTGGAAAATATTTCGTGTGTCTCCAGAGAGAGAACCACGGACGGTTGAGTCGCGAATCAGGCCCTTGGCGACTGATACCATGCGAAGGAGGCGAAGCAAATGTTTGAAAACACGGTCATATTTATTGAGAGACCGGAGAGTGATGATCGTTTCGAGGACTTCAGGTGGCTTATACTGAAGACGAAGGAAATCCAGCGCCTCAATAGCATTGGGATCTTTGCACCGCTCGATTTCATCGGGATTCAATTCTCGAATGGAGAAGCTCATTCCACCCGGCAGTTCGTTCTCGTTATCTTGTGCTTCAGGGTCGGTTTCACCAAAGTAACAGTCGCCGAGGAGTCCAATCAAGACCAAGCGAAGCTCTGAGCTGGCGGGTGGCCATGTGTCACGGCTGCCCAAACGCAACCCCGTATGTACGCCGCTGCGCATGACGCCGGCTTTGCGTTCTCCACTCTCCATTTCAGGATCGAAAAGGGAGTTTGACAGACGTGACACAAATGATCCGTCTCCCAGAAGCTGAAACCGCCATTGTAGATTGAGATGGTGTCGTATATTGTGCTCTTTAAAAAGATGATGGAGACATGAGAAGTCGATCAGAAGCGCCTGGGATGATATGACCGGCGCAAGAGACAGATAGAGACCTGAAGTCATGTCCGGCCCAAAACGGCTGTCATCGTAAGCGGGAGTAAAGCCTCTGGCTCGGTGGAGCAGTCCAGAGAATTTATCTTTGGAGAGAGCTCCTTGATCCGCGACGACTTCCGATACACGCTTCTCATCGTCAATATCGAAAAGCTCAAATGTTTCCGCTAGCTCCTCTTGTTCGTTAATAGTATCAGCCTCGGTCAAGAGGGGCTCAGATTCGGTCTCTTGTGTACAAGACTCGCCGCGATGGTACCTCAGGATCTCAGCACGAAGTTTGCATTCATATTCTTGTGCTGTCCGTTGGATTCGCTCAATATCATCCCATACAGTCGCACATTGCAGATTCAAACGACCCGCACGATTAAGCACATCAAGTCGACCGATGGGATGTTGCGGATGAGATCGTTTGAGCAGCCGAAGACTTCTTCCACTCTCGAAAATTGAATGCGCTTGATCAATAGGGATGGTATGCGGCATGTGGTCTGCGCGGTAGTTGAAATCAACCCGGACAGGCCCTGTCCTGAACTTGCCAGGCTCCTCAAAGCATTCGAGTTGGACAAACGTTCTACCACTCGCAACGTCTTCATTCAACGCTGGTTCCTCCGGCCGAAGACCAATCCAGCCCTCGACGAATTTGAACCAAGGCGCCGCTACGCGGATAACGATTTCCTGGACGAGGTTCTCTAGCCACCCATACCTTTGGGCACAGAAAGCCGCTCGTTCCATGACAGTCGAGATGATTTGGGCCTCTGAAACGCATTTCTCAGCCGCGTCCACAATATCCATCAGAGCGCCGACCAAGTCCCCGCACCGCTGAAATAGCGCCTTAGCCTGCAAAAGTGAAACAATGTTTCTAGAATAATCGAGAAGCTGCTGTTCGAGGCTGAAAATGATTACGGCCGTGGCGCTGCTCAGCGTGAATAAAGCAGGCATTTCCTTGCCCTTGACCTGAGTGGCCTGCGCAAATGCTCGCAGTCGCTGCATGTTGGTGCCGCACTGTAGCACATCTCTGATGATGGTCTCCAAAACCTCCGGGCTAATACCTGAGACGTGCGCGTGTGTTAGATGTCTGTCAAAATGGTTGGTCCGTTCGTTGTAGCGGAAAAATGGCGAGCTCCAGCCGAGTCCTAGTCGAAGCAAGGATCGAATGAGCACATCGTTTCGGACCAGACGACCTGGTTTTCCTTGATCACTCCGACGCGCCAATGCGGCGTCAAAGCCTCTTGCTCCGGATTCGCTAAAATACGCAGAGACCGGTTCACGAAATGACCGGTCCTGATACTTCTCCCATGATTTCAGCGGGGAGGTGTAGCCGGGCAGTTCCTTCAATCCTTCCAGCGCCCATATATTCTCTTCGTCGTCAGCGGAGATGTCTTGTAAGAGATCAGACTGTGTCTCGGACAGGCCGTCTATCGAGGGCTCGATGAGGGAGTCGGGAGACGATCCAGGTGGCCCGGGTACATCGCTGAACGTATCGAGTTTCCAGATCGAGTCGTGTTGCTGTTTGGAACTAGGCTCAACAAGTAAGCTGTTCAGCCCCGATTTTGGGATGTCTAGATGGAACGAAAGTCAGTTTACCCAGATCATTGGAGGCGAGCCATTGGAACGCACCAGGCAGAGTCGCATTCCACGGTAGCTGCAAGGCCTCGACACTGAACGTGGACAGTCGCCAGAAGCCATCGCTGGCAAAGGGATCGGTGTCCGACTCCATCGATTGAGTCGAACGCGTCAACACCAAGGAGAATAAGAGAGCAACCATTTGTTGTCCCGCGGGCGATAACCGATTGGCGCACAGACCACCGGGTGATAAGCTCTCGTGAACTGATGTCCAAGGCCAACTCAATTCCTTCACACGACCTGCTTCTCTCATAATCAACCCACCATGCCGCCCAGGAAGAAGGCCAAGCGCGCACACTCAACCACCCCCAGGACACCGCCGCATCGAGCGTCAACACCCCCGGCTCGACCTCGAGCGCCGTCAAACCAGACCCAGACGAGTACGACCTCATAACAGACCCATGGACCGACGAACAGGAGACCGCGCTGTTGAAGGCGATCATCAAATGGAAACCAGTCGGTAAGTGTGGCTTGTGGCCTATAGAATGATCCTCGCGCTGATGTGCTGTTCCTCTAGGAATCCATAAGCACTTCCGCATGCTCGCCATCTCCGACTACTTGAAGAGCCAAGGATACGCGCCGGCTTCGGCGGAGCATATGCGCATTGCGGGGATTTGGAAGAAGCTAGGATCTCTCTACAATCTGGAGGAATTGGATGAGCGGGTAAGCTGTGACGCGATGGGCATGTCTTCCATGTCTGCTAATGAGTACTCGCTATGTGTGTAGGAGAATTCATTGATCATGGACACAAGCGAGGACGGCGAGCTGTCGAGCGACATGTACTGTCCCTTCGAGCTACCGGATGAGGAATACGGCGAGATGATGTTCGACAGACGGCTGGCGATGGAAAGCTCCACTTCCCCAGTCAGTCGCCCGGCGGAGTCTCGACGAGGAAGCACGGTGGCAGATACCGATGGTAAGGTCCTTTGGTAATTCTGTTCTTCACCAGTCTGAAGCTAACCGCACTGGTCGGCATAGAACCGCGCTCTTCTCCCGCGCCATCGCGAGGCCGCAAGTCCAATCGCCCGTCTCGCCCATCTACGCGCGGAACGCGCTCGTCAAAACTGCAAGCAGAAATCAGCAGTCAGGGAAAAGCATCTGATGATGACGGAGAGTCGGGTGAGGATACCGGCGCCAATGATGAGGCCGACGAGGAGGGTGAAGAGGGTTCCGGCGAGAGCGAGGGTGATGAAGAGGCAGGGGATGAGAAAGGGTCGCGCAGCACTCGCGCGCAGGCGTCTCGGCCGAAGCAGAAGGACAAGAAGCCGGCTACGAGTACGGGAACACGCCGGACGGGACGGCGTCGGTGAGAATTGTCTGATTTTTCCAGCTTTGAACTTGATACCTATAGTCGTTTGGAATTGGCGTTTTGAGTTTTTACCGGTCTGTATGATTATCAAGATTCAGAGACACCCCGGAGATTTTGCAGAAAGTTCGGAGACAAAGTCCCTATGACAAGACATACGGGCAGGGCCCTTTTGTCTGCCCGCCTCGAGGATCTCCGAAGATTTGTGCCCGCTACTACTAGGGCTGACGTCCGCTTAACTTCTGATATGCAATGGGGACGGGGCCAAGGACGAGAACCTTAGAGGTCTATTTATAATGTCAAGGAGACCCAAGAAAAGAACTTGATTTATATGGAGAAAATGGCATCCTAGTAACTACATAAGTAGGGGTAGTCGATCGCTGTAGGAGGTCTAACGGTCATTCGGGGGTAACAAAGGAAACAGCTCAAAAAGGTCATGGTACAAGGGGAGCAGCACTGGTTTACAGGCGCTTCATGATGGCCTCGGCATACTCGTGGGTCTTGGCCTTGCCGCCAAGGTCACCGGTGAGAGACTAGATCACGGAATTAGTAGGGGTTCGTAGGGAACAGGCAGATAGATAATAACTCACCTTGCCCTCAGACAGGGTGTCGAAAGTGGCCTTCTGGATGCGAGCGGCGTGGTCGTGCAGACCCATGTGCTGCAGCATCATAATACTGCTCAGCAGCAGAGCAGTGGGGTTGGCGAGACCCTTGCCGGCGATATCGGGGGCAGAGCCGTGGACGGCCTCGAAGATGGAGCACTCGTCACCAATGTTACCGGAGGGAGTCAGACCCAGACCACCGATCAGACCGGCGCACATGTCGGACAGAATGTCACCGTACAGGTTGGGCATGACCAGGACCTTGTCGTTGTAGGGGGTGGGGTCGGTGACGATTCGCAGGCAGGAGTTGTCCAGCAGCTCGGCATCGAACTCGATGTCGGGGAAGTCCTTGGCGATCTCGCGGGCGGTGTTGAGGAAGAGACCGTCGGACATCTTCATGATGGTGGCCTTGTGCACGACGCGGACCTTCTTCTTATTGATCGACTGCGCGTACTGGAAAGCGAAGCGCAGCACACGCTCCGAGGCCTCCTTGGTGATGAGCTTGATGCTCTGCACCACGCCATCCACCACCACGTGCTCAATGCCCGAGTATTCACCCTCGGTGTTCTCACGGATCAGGACCGTGTCGACGTTGTCGTAGGGGGTCTTGTAGCCAGCGATCGAGCGGCAAGGACGCAGGTTGGCGAACAGGTTGAAGGTCCGGCGGAGAGTCAGGTTCAGAGAGACATGACCCTTGCCCACGGGTGTCTACAGAGGCAGAGTTTAGTATTTTCACAAGCCAACAAGTAAAAATCGCCTACCGCCAGAGGACCCTTGAGGGCAACGTAGTTTTTCTGCACGCTCTTGATAGCAGCATCGGGGATGGCGGTCTTGCCATCCTTGAGGATGGGGGTGACATCGACGGACTCCCACTTGACCGGGGCCTAGAGCAAGACAGTTTTAGCATCGTGGATGAGCGGAGTCGGCATCCCGAGGGGTCGGTACCTTAGCAGCGGCGAAAATGTCCTTGACAGACTGCGAGATCTCCGGTCCAATGCCATCACCCTCGATCAGGGTGACGGTGTACTTGCCCTATTCACAATAATCAGCCTTGTCCGCGCGGTTCTGCCACTCCATGTTCGGACCGTGGGTAATGTGTCCGGCAGAAGCAAAAACCAAGATTACGGCAGTGTCACGTACATCAGCGCCCTTCTGGCCCTTGAACTTGGCGACGGGGTCTTGCGAAGCACTAGCGTAGGTGCGCAGCTATCGGAAGTTAGTCAATTGAGTCGTCCTAAGTCGCAATTGGGGGGTTTGGGGATGGAGGGCTGCATACCTGCGACACGGGGGCGAAGCTGGAGACCACACGGGGCGACCGCAGGCATCGGGCAGCAGTAAAGGAACGAGCAGCGAGCATTGTGACGATAACCCTGAAAGAGTGAGGGAAGGTGGATTGGGAGTGGGAGGGAGTAGGAGAGAGAATCGAGAGAAAGAAGACGGAGAGCGCAAATTCTCGGCACCCGCCCGATCCGACCGGACTGACGGACTGAGTGGCTTGATTGGGGCCGACCCTCGGACTGTTTACTCTGGCATCCACTTGTACTACTTGCTTATCCCCCATACCATCCATACCACGGGACATGTAATCATCCATTTGGGTTTTGATATTGTTCATCATTGCACCCGTTCTTTCCTCTGTCTACCTCCATCCTCCTGCCTCCACCCCTTCCCTGACTCCTCCACCGCCACGCCATGGCCGCCGACTTGGACGTCGCCAGCCACTACAACCTGCCCTCCGAATACCCCGACGAATGGCCGGCAGCATTGAACGATGATGATGGTGTCGAGGAGGAACCCGCTGTCCAGCGCACCAAGACCAAATCCCGTCCGCGCAAGTCGCGCTACTTCGCGCTGGAACGCACCGACAGCGACTTGCGGAAGAGCTTTGGGTCTCGCCATGGGAAGGAGGCGGCCCGAGAGAAAACAAAACGGGATGAACCAGATCCGCTAGGAACCAGTGACAGCGTCCTTCGCATTCTCAAGCAGCGTGGAGTGCCCCTCGAAGATGCAGGCGGCAGCCGGTCCCGATACCTGCTCTCCTCGACGTCCTTCTCGCCCGCGCTGTTCCTGTCCCAAGCACATTCGACGGCCTCGATTCAAGAGCTCACCAGTGGCCTCGACCGTCTGTCGCAATCCATCGACCAGAAGTCAGCATCGCTCAAGGTCTTGGTCGAGGCCAACTTCGAGCGCTTCGTGCGGGCCAAAGCAACCATCGATAGCGTTTACGCGGAAATGAAAAACCCAGGGACCGAGTCCGAGAATGAACAGACTCTGGCACCGCGCAGGTCGGCCGGCCATGCCCGCACCCCATCGGGCCAGCTGCGAAGCATCTCCCCCTTACCCCCGGGCAAGAGAAAGAACGCGCTCACGAAGGACAGCGAGTACGGCATGAGGGGCATCCGAGGTCCTCTGGTGGAAGCCTCTGTCAAGGCAGAAGAGGTGTGGGGTCCAGCTTTGGGAGGGCGAGACCGGGAACAGATGTTGAAGGCGGTTGTGGATTCCATGGAGAAGCACCGGGACGTATATGAAATCGGAAGCTATCTCTCCAAGGCCATCCAACAAAGGGACTATGACGCCGTTTTTGAGCAGTATACCAAGGCCAGAACACTGGCGAATCGCGCAAAGAACATCGCAGAACAGGCCTCCAGCAGTCGCCGACAGCTGACCGACTTCGAGATACATACGATCCTGGCGATGGGTCGCATGTGGATGGACGTCGGCCAACAGATCCATGACTTCAAGCGGGATCTCTGGAAGCGCCTCAATGATGCACCAACGACATCAACCACAAGCACCGCATCGGGTCCTCTGGAAGAGTATATGGAGCTGATCGGAGCATTGTTGGAACTGGGCGTCGAGAAAAACCCTATCTGGGCATGGCTTCAGAGCCGCTTCGATTTCCTCAAGTCGAGGATCACCTCTTTCTGTGACCGGTGTAAGGTGGAGATTGAGATTCTGAGGCGGAGACTGGCCGGAGGAGAGAAACCAACGCCGCAGGCGACGGCATCCTACCTCCGCTTAGCACCGCGTGATGGCTCGTCAGAGATTCCTGAGAGCCTGGACACAGATCAAGTCATTGAGCTCTGGGATTGCCTTCAGGCATACTTGACCCGGCTGTTATCGTCACAGGGCGGTTTGCTCGGCGAAACCCTCGATTTCTGGGAAGTAGCGCAGTCATTCATTGACGGCAATCGACAACGAATTCTTCCTGCTGGCTTTGAGGGGGAGAGCCGCAAGCATCATCAGCTGTCGAGAGGCAACATCGAAGAGCTCGAGAAGGGCATTGTGCAGCTGGTCAATCTGATCCGGGAGAACGTGCTTGCCTTGTTCAACGAACCACCCACAGAAGATATCTCTAGCCTCTTCTCTCCGGTCCCAGAAACCCCGACCAGCCCAGAGTCCAGGGGCGTTACACCGACCGAGTCTCGATTCAAGCTTGATCCCAGGAATATGCCGTTCAAAACCCCGAAGCGCGGGGAGCATTGGGATGACTTTGCATTCTGGCCGCCTTTTTCCAACTCACTCAGTGGTGTCCACTACCTGAGCAAATTCCTCGTCATCATCGGGACCGCCGCCAGTGACATGGCAGCTTTGCCCCCTGTTAACGGCGGTGGGCAACCTCATGATTTGCTGAAGGTCTTGGTGAGTACCGCGAGGGAGCGGTCTGCGCGTGTTGCTTGTGCCGCCTGGAGTAAAGATGCGGAGAATTGCAAGATGCTGGAAGACTGGACGCGTGATTCGGAGAAGCGGGATCTGACCAAGATGCCGGGACTCTTTTTCGCCTTTGAGAGCGCCATTCTCAGCGGCATGCAGAAAATCTTGTATGTTTCGGAGGCTATGACGAAGCCGGGCTCGGTGGATGTTGTTACGCAGCCGCCTGCGAAACTTCTTCAGATGGTTCGTTCCCAGTTCGTCTCCAGCGTGTACAAGGCGCTCAGCGGTCTGGTCGAGAACGCAGAACGTGTCATCCCCGTGGAAGAAGACGACGAATGGACTCTTTCTAGCCTCGCAACGGCTGGTCTAGGAACGGACACTGCATCGACGGTGCTCGCAGCAAATTCTGTCGACTCTCGGAATAGGGTAAGTCTGAGTTGTCCTTGGTGGTCGACCAGCTCACTAACAGCACCACAGAACGTTCGCATTCTCTTGACGCTTTCCAACCTCAAGGCGCTCCAGGCCGACTATGTTCCACAACTAATCACCAACTTCGAGACCTCGTTCTCCGTCAAGTTGACCGAAGAAGGGAACACGGTCCGAGACGTACTCAGCCAGATCGAAGACCAGCTGTTCAAGTCGTACACCACACCGGCCATCGCTTCCCTGAACGAGATCATCGCAAATGGCATCGCATCGCCCAACTGGGTGCCGTCCACCGACCGGCCAGACCAGGTCCGCCCTTACGTCTATGCCACCATGCTTGCCCTCGTGCTGGTGCACACTGAGATATCCACGACGATCCCCTCGACCGTGTCCGCCGGTTCCAGCCGCACCCCGTCCAACGCCCCGGGATCGCTGCTGTACACCATCCTCACGCATCTCTTGGCGCAAGTCTCCACGTCCCTGTTGAATGCGTTCAGTGCACGTAAGACCTTTACACTGGCCGCCTTGATGCAAGCTACACTGGATACGGAGTTCATCGCGCAGACGTTGTCGCAGTACTCGTCCGACGAGGCATCGAACATCCAGAGCCAGATCTACGTCGAACTGGACCGACGCACCACGAACGAAGCGCGCACGAAACTCCAAGCCGAGCTGGGCGAGATGCGAGTCGTCCTCAAGAGACTGCGAGACCGCACCAAAGGCGAGTTTGCCTGCTTCAAGAAGTCTCGCAGTGGCGGCGGTAGTGGTGGTGGAAGTGGTGGAAGTGGCGGAGGATCCAAATCATCTACGAATTCATAGATAATGCAAACTAGCAACAATGAATGTTAATTAAAGGGTATCACTACTTTCGAACTGTCTGGCTGTCTTCATTGTCCCACCATCCGCTGTACCCGACTCAACAACGCCGAACTCTCTCTGCCCAACCTCCGCTTCCCAAACTGGTCCGGCCGTTTCGCACGCACCATAGCCTCGCGCTCCTTCTGCTTCGCCTCGCGCTCCCGTTCACGCTTCTCCGCAGCCATCCTCCGCTGCTCCGCAATCTCCATCTCTTTCGTAAACGCCGAGCGCTTTGGCCTGCGCTCTTTCTTTCTATCTTCTCTCTCGCGCGGCCGACGTGGCTCCGGGCGCACCTCCGGCTCTGGCTCCGGCGCCGGTTCGTTCAGCATGGCCATGCGCTCCGGGTGGATCTCTGGACTGGTCTCCTTGTCGTGCTGCTCATCTTCTCTCTCCTCCCTCTCGTAGACGGACTTTTTCGGCGCAGAGGCGCGTTCTTCGGCTTTGATCTTGGCATAGGCCTTTTTCACTTTGGCTTTTTGGATCAGGTCCGATTTGATTTTTTGGGCTGTGCAAACAAACACGCGAACTCGGTTAGTCCTGATGCTACATAATATATGAAATCGGAGGCAGTGACTGGGTGCTACTTACTTTTTCGTCGATAGGTGCCGTCGGGCAGATTTGCTGGGCCGACGCTGAAGCCCTTGCGTTTCTTGGCTGGGGGCTCAGCTGGCCGGTTGTCTGGTGCCGACTCGGCAGAGCGTTTGGAGGGCATGATGCCTGATTCCTGCCGATCTGGACTTGGCGTGTGAGATGTGGTGGGTGTTGATGGTGGCGGTGGTGAGAGGAAAAAGTTGTCCAAGCGCGGAAGCAGAGATAAGATACGCAAGGCACCATTTGAATCCAGTCTTTATGGGGGCTTGAATTGGCCCGTAACCATGACCCACTAGTTAACTATTTGACCTCAGCTTGGTGTAAATCCTCGTTCAGCAGGCTAGCTTTTAGTAGTTTATTAGTAGTATCGCTTTTTAACGCGTCCCTTACTTCGTTCAAGTGAGGTCTTCATAATAGGCACAACACCGCTTCTGGGCATTCCTTAAGACGGTCGCAATTAGTATGTCTCCAATTCTTTCTCTGTGGGATACATAGCTGATCTCTAGTCTTCTGATCATCCAACCCCAGATTTAGGAACGACATGCTCCTCCTAGTTCTAAATTGAGCCTGTGCCCTTTTCCTGATCATATTCAAGGCCACTTCACGCCGGAGGCAACCTTCTACGATGCCTAATCCTGCGAACCGCGAAACAGAACAGTGTCCTCCTCCACCCCCTCCACCCGAAAATCCAGGGTCAAGAGTCTCCCCTTACGTCTTGAAACTTCGGACTGCCCCTCCAAACTATTACTACCGAGCACCAAAAACTCCCGACTTTGTTGATCCATTCGAAGCGCCTACTGGTCCCTATTTCTTCTACGGCACATTGACCGACCCCTCCATGATTCGCGAGATCCTTGAGCTAGAAGATGAACCCGAACTTCGACCGGCACGCATCTCAGGCTATACATGCAAGCTCTGGGGCCAATATCCCGCCTTGTTAGATGCCTCAGACTCGACGGTTGAGGGTGCAGTTTATCACGTGCAGACAGTGAAAGATGGAGAGAGGTTGGCGACATATGAAACAAGCAACTACAGGCTGATCCTTGTCGCATTCGCTATACCGATAGTAAGGAGCCGGCCGAAGACGTGGGATATACATTCAAATTTAGAGGCGATCAGAAAGAGTTGACTGAAGGTGTTTTTGATCTTCGAGTTTGGTTGAAAAGAATGGGGAGACAGGCGGCAGTGACTAAACTAGATACTAGGAAAGATACCATTTGATGATATAGCTGCTATCGTCGGAGCTTTCTATCCTAGAATGAAATCGCTGTCATATGAAGACGATCTTGCCGTTCGTCGAGAGTAGTATATGCCAAGGTAACAAAGACGGCACAAATGGAAGGAATGTGGACAGAAGGCATCAATAACCAACGTGGTCGTGTGGAATCACCCTGCGGTAGTTCTGCAACCCGGAAAAATCGAGACGTGTTCATTGGTTGTCTCATTGATATCCCCAGGAAATAAAAAATTAACAATCGGATTTTGATTTTCTTGAGCAGTTACAGATAATTTCATGATAAATTTGTTCCATGGTTAAACTTGGTCTACAAGGACTATAAAACGGGCGCGCCTCGTTAACGAAGCTTTCAACCGAACCCCGGTTTCAATGTTCACAAAATCGATGATTCTACGACCCGACTTTAACTCCGGAGCAGGTTTTTCTGCTGACCACCAACGGTGCCCGAAAGCCTATAATATTCGGAATTGGCGCCCTTTTTCGGCGACATTAGTGTTCCGCATCGCTCTCGTCTACCAACAAACACCTGCGCGGGTGTCTATATAAGAAGCGGTTCAACCCTGTAAATCACAATTATTCAACAGAATAACCGTTTCTTCCTACCATATAATCGCTCAGTTCTTAAGACACCCAATATTTGATAATGTCTCGCGTCGAATTTCAGAGCAAAGGCATCTCGGTCGTCGGATGTCTTTTTCTTCCTGCCAGCTCTGCTGCTGACCGCAAGCACGCCGCCATCGTGATCGGTCATCCCATGGGCGGCGTCAAAGAGCAAACAGCCGCGCTTCATGCGAAAATTCTCCAAGACAATGGATTCGTTGCGCTGACTTTCGATGCCGCTTACCAAGGGGAAAGTGGAGGCGAACCTCGCGGTCTTGAAGACCCCTTCCAACGATCAGAGGATGTTCGGAACGCAGTGACTTTCCTTTCAACCATTCCCGAAGTTGATCCTGAACGTATTGGGGCCCTCGGTATTTGCGCCTCAGGCGGTTATGTTCCGTTTGCTGCCCAGACGGATGTTCGAATCAAGGCAGTCGCCACGATAAGCGCCGCCGACGTTGGTGGTCTCTTCCGCGAGGGAATGAAAGGAACCGCAATGCAGTTCGACAGTTCAGCACTGAATCAGACTCTACGGGAATGTGGCCAAGCGAGAATCAAGGAGGCGAAAGGAGAACCAGCTCCTATGCGTCCTCTTCTTCCTAATAGTCCCGACGGTGTCCCTGACACCACTCCGGTCCTTTTCAGAGAAGGTAGCCATTATTACCGTACACCAAGGGCTCAACATCCACGGTCAACCAATCAGCTTCCAGTTCGAAGCATGGACTTGATCGTCAATTATTCGTCCTATGCGTTCATGGATTTGATTTCTCCGAGACCGGTGTTGATGATTGCGGGAACAGAAGCGGACACTTTTTATTTTAGCGAAGAGGCTATTGCTCGCGCAAAAGAACCAAAGGAGCTCTTCAGGGTCGAGGGGAAAACTCATATCCAGTTGTATGATGATGTGGATGGACACAGGGAAAAGCTTATTGACTTCTTTGTTAATTATTTGACTAAATAGGTACTACGAGGTGAGGCAGGGCTTTGATTCAATAGTTTCATGTTTTTATAGGATTTAGAGTAGGAATACCATCCTTGAGTTGGAAAATGAACCCGAACTTCGACCGGCACGTATCTCACCTGCACTTACAAGTTCTGGGGCCAATGTCCTGCCTTGTTAGATGGCTTAGACTCGAATGGAAGGAATGGGTGACGACTGCTGCCTGCAGCAAATGAAAAGACGAGATTTGGGGTTTTGGAGCTAGAATTTCCTGCAGCTAGTCGCATAAGCAAACATTCTTTGGGCAGCAAAATGACTTAAGTTGGTCGCCCAAAATGCCGCCGAGCCTCAACAAATTCACGTGAACCTCGTATATTTATCTACTCCCTATATAAGACATGCAACCTGTTTATTCTGACTGCAATTCACAAGGACAGACGTTCACATCTAAAAATGGCATCTCTTTCGTCTGATGATAATCTTGATCAAGAGGCCATCGCTCGACTTCAGCGAGACTTCCTTTCTGCAATTACATCTGTGGTCAGGAAGCCCAGAATACTAAAGAAAAACATCAGAAGGCTTGAAACATACCTGAGCAATCCATTTCTCGATATCAACTTCCAAGTAGACGGCATCTCGCCTTTAGCAATGGCCACATCGGAATGGCGGGTGCTTGAAAGGCTCTTGCAACCTGAGAAAGTTGACCTGAATTTTCGTATCTGCGACGGGCGGACGAGTATTTTCTTCGCAATTAAGACACCCCGAACTGATTCTCTTAAACTTCTCCTTAACAAAGGAGTCGCCATTGACCTGAGGGATAATCGAGGTCGCACCCCATTATCCGTGGCTGCAGAGCTTGGACGACTCGAGCATGTGAAACTTCTCATTCAATCCAATGCAAACATAAATCTAGCAGACGGAAATGCGTGGGCACCAATTGCATGGGCAATTTCAACACAGCATAATGAGGTGGTGAGTTATTTGTTGTCACAAAGTGACATCGATCTCCGCACTCAAGATGTCGATGGTCGAACGCTACTAGCGATCGCTGCGCAGACCGAAAATATCGAAAGTCTAAGACTTCTAATTCGTGTCAACATCGCTGCCAGCCCAACGGACAGGATTGAATGCAACCCTTTGATATGGGCTATCCTTCAAACAGATATCATCACTATCTGTCTATTACTTAGAGCTGATTGGAGCCTTGTTCATCGCAAAGTGAAAGGGAGAACTCCACTGTCGATAGCAACAGAAATTGGGAATGCTGAGATGACAAGAGTTCTCATTGAATCAGGATCCAATGTAAATGCAGTAGATGAGTCTGCATGGCCTTGTCTAAGAGAATATTCATTCGACAGCTATATGCCTCCCAATAACTTCCTCCAAGAGGTTGATTGCTTCGTTATCGGTGCCAAATCGAGCGCAAGAGCTCGACAGCCCCTATTGCTGGCTATTGAATTTAAACGTTGGGAAGTATTGGAAATACTTCTTGAGGCAAAGGCAGACATCAATTCAAGAGATGCGAGAGGGTGGACAGCACTTACCTGGGCAGTTGATCTAAAACGGCAAAAGGCAGTCGAGCTCATAGTCTCAAATCCCGGGCTTGACTTGAACTGCCGTGATATAAACGGCCAAACACCGTTTGCACTTGCCGCTCGTGGGGGCACTGTACGCATCTTGGAAGATATCGTCAAATTGAATCCCGACGTGAACTCAGAAGATGCGAAACAACAGACGCCGCTAGCATTGGCTGTCGCAGATAATCGGGAATTAACCGTCAATTTTATGCTCACCATACCAGAGATTTGTGTTGATCATCAGGACACACAAGGTCGAACGCCTTTCTCTTTGGCGGCAGAATTGGAGTTGTTACCAATAATGCAGGCGCTCCTCTGGAAGAAAGCAGATCCGCACAAACTTGACAGCCAAGGCCATACAAGCTTTTGGTGGTTTCTCAAAGCAAGGAGTGAGAGACTTAGCTCACCACGGTCGTCAGATCTTGAAGATTGGGATTCTCAGAGTCTTCAAGCTCTAGTCTGTGCCCTGCCCATGCCCAACAAGCCAGACCCCTCAGGTCGTAATTGGCTGTCTTGGGCCGCTTCGTACGGCGATGAAGAGATTGTGAGATCATTCTTGCTGTGTACCGAAAAAGTGAACATCAATATTCGAGACGACACCCAGGAGACCTTTTCCAAGACTCCGTTGATATGGGCATTGGAAGGGGAACACAGCGCTGTGATAAAGCTGCTTCTAGACAGCGACGATCTTTCATTACATTTATTGGTTGAAGGGCTGAAGTATTTCAAGAAGGAAGACCCCTTAAGGCCAATAAGAATACTCTTGCAAGCAGGCTACAATCTCAACCAGACGGACTCTAACGGAAGGACTCCTCTGCATATTGCCTGTCGCATGGGTGACGAAGAAATGGTTTCCACTCTTATCAATGCCAACGCAAATCTCAGCTGCAAAGATCACACTGGAAATATCCCTTTACAATACGCGTTGAAAGCGAAAAGCAAAAACGTCGTGAATCTTCTTCTAAGTGCTTCATTGGCGGACCTCAAACCTGTCAGCTCCGAAGAGTGGTTCAGCCTTGGACAGAAACGGCCTACTTGGATTCAGATTACCAAGAAGATACAAAATGAGGGGTTTGGCCTGGAATTGGTTAATGATGTTGAATGTGTCTGGCTACCCTGTGCAAGAGAGTCTAGACTTTGGTGAGTAATTTTCAGGTGAACAGGTAATGGGTAGGCTGACTGCTTTGACAAGTCTTTGTGGAAAAGAATCAGTTTGGCCACAGTTGCCTAGACTTTTTGGAATCCATGATCTCATAATGCAACAAGACGGATATTTTAAACATGCTCACATGGAACTTGGTCATCGACTTGTTACATACATATCGATAGAGTTCCCGGAAGAGCAAGAGAAAGGGTACCAATATCCGTGGGGCGTTGCTTGGGCCAGCCGTCACACAACGGAGGGTCTTGCTCATGCGTTCATCAGCACGCTTCCAAACGGTTGGATGCCAGAGGACCCTGCTGATTTTGTCAGACAGTTCCTCGTAACTGTACAACAGAAATGGAAAAGTGTATGCTTTGATGCGAGCCAAAAAGTTGAGGAATTGGTGAGAGAACTGACTTATTCTAAACAAAAGCAAACTATAGAGCTAAACTGTTTAATGAACTACAGCGAGGCGAACAGGTTAAGAAGAAAGGACGAAGCCTTGACCTTATCGATCAGCTTGCCAAAAATTCTCAATCACGCGCAGGCCTTCAGAAATACTTGCAGTCACATCTTGAACGGGTTAGAGAAATGCTTATGCTCAACACTTCACTTGATTTGAACCAGAAATCACAGATCAGAGCAGATATAGACTCAATCGAAAAGGACCTGACCGCGAGACTTAACCATTTGGAGCAGGCTGTACGCGAACTGTTACAGATTGTATGTACGCAACAAAAGGTTTAGCCTTCAGGCACTAATATGAACTCTGATAGGAACTTGCTTGGGTTTCCACGAATGAGTCTGCGAGTTTCAAGCGCCTCAGTTGGATCACTGTGAGTACGATGACACGTTCACTACGAATTTGCTAACATAAAAGTCGCTTCTCTAGTTCATTTTTTTGCCCCTGATGTTTGTATCTGTGAGTTATCAAAAAATACTCAGGGATATTATATCGCTTAATAAAGTTGACTAATATAAGAATCAGAGCCTGTTTGGCATGAATGTGAACTTGCTTCAAAACAATCCCGATTGGAAGTGGTACCTGTTGTTCGGTGGGTTGTCACTACTTTTTACCGGGGCGATGTGGATAGCTTCAAAATTATTTGTTGTGAGAATTTTTGCATTCAACTCCTGGTTCAAAAGGCTGATTTGGTTTTACAGAATGGTACGATCCACATTCCGCTAAAGCAGCTTTCACACGTCGACAAAACAACGTCCATGGGCCACTCAAACATCTGCTAAAACGGAAGGTTAATCTTGCTCGCAACGGCGAGATTAAATTAACTAATCAAGCAAATTACGATAATGCTACTATAAGCCAAAGAAGCGAATCCTTCACACTAGATAAACTGCGGGGGCCAGAATCATAGTATATATGTACACCGTACCCTATCAGATCAGTTGAGCTTAGGTCTATCTCTGAGCTAGACTCATCAGAGACGTCCACATCAGGCCGGAAGGACTATCCACCTCTAATGGTAGACCATCGGGACGGGAGGATGAACGGGGCAGGCTCATCCTGTGGATGAGAAAAAAGAACGGCCCGAGCGGGCCTTGACGGAAAGGAATCAAGACGTAGGAGCCTAGCAAGGACGGGCAACGTTGGAATGGTAGGGACAGCCAAAATCCGACCGAGCGGCGGAGGAGACAAAAGTTTGGTTTTAACTATTTACATTGAATGTAACGTTTTACGTACAGAATACATTTAAGATCACTTCAAAGACGTATGGGATGGATTTCAGTTTTAAAGCTGAATAATAAATTGCCCTTAGCTAAAGTGGGACTGCTGAGATAGCAACCATAACTGCATCTCGCCTTCCACGGGATCAGCTTGATTCGCCAAGCTCGACATTTATTTCATCAGCTGGTTCATGGCGGGGATATCTTCTCACAGTTTCACTCCTGTTAAGACAACGTTGATCTGATTCCCGGCTCTGACGACGGCCACTATATTCCCCTCTTCTCAAACGGATGAGCAGTGGTCGAAGAGTCGCCACTGATGAAGCAGTAAGAGCTATTCCAACCTCAAAGTGGGAAGTAATTATAAGACCCGTATTGAAAAAGAGATTTTTAGGGTCAATGAGATAATGAATAAAAGCAAATCTTGTCAGGGTAGCAACGCTGGCACTGTTGCCTGGGAGTTAGTTTGCGAAAATCATCTCCTGAAGGGCAGCTTGTTGCAACACATACCAGGAGCCGAGCGCTAGGATAATCCCCACATAAATTTTTGTACGAAATCCAACATTAAGGTGATGAACAATGAAGATAGGCAAGATGACGACTGTCCAATCGGATGCGCTAATAATGGCCGAGTGAGCGTAGGTAGCCTTTACTGTCCCACTTCTGTCGCAGTTTCCATGGGGGCGCCAAAAGGCGGACACAGGATCACACTGGAACAGAGCGAAGAACAGCAAAAATACACTATAGATGAAAAGTATAGCGAGAGCGATATATAGAGGCAAGGTATGTTTGCGTTCGATGGTGAAGCGGAGGAGAAACAGGCTGATGGATAACTTGATCAAACATGTTGCTATAATGTAGGCCACCTCATATATAAAGAGGAGCTGAGAGAATATCTCAGAGAGGTTCAAGGGTGTTGAGGTAACCCAGGGGTACTTGCCTTCAAGCCCAGAACGAGCGTTGGTTCAGAGATAGTCGTCCACCTGTGCCCGAAACTACCAGTTCCAACTCCGGCAAGGACACAGGCAGAGGCTAGTACAAAAAGTATCTTCATCCCGCATTATTAGGTTATGGGCTGAGCAATAGGGGATCTTCAGCTGAAGACATACCAATGAGGCTACTGATAGGGCATCATCCGCGCCAAAGCCCCCGGTTAGTCTGATCCGCACATAGCATCGGAGAGCAACTGTGATTACTGTAAAAACAAGCAAGCATATGATAACCGCAACAAGCTGGGAGCCTTTACTACTCATAACAGCTGTTGAGGTAAACTGAGCTCATACTTTTGCAACGGAGAACTTCGGCAAGGTCACGTCACAGTCACGTGATGTTAATAATATCCCAAAATGGAAGACCAAAAGAGTGTTGTATTGTAAACTAGCCAGTGTTAGCTAATGTGACTAACGCCCTTCTATAACATAATCTTAGGTAGCAATATATTGCATTGTGAGGCAGACCTGTTCTCAAACTTGGATACTCCCTTATAGTTCAATCCAATAAGTGCGGCCATCGGCCTCGTAGATACCCGGTCTACTCTAAACGCTCCTTCCTTACGCGAAATGGATAGTGAGACATGCTTGAGCGTCTGGGTAGGTGCATCCTCGTCGTCGCTGTACAATACGTAGTCTAGGCCCTCTCGAGGATCACAGGCATAGCAACGCAGGAAGAGATCTACACCTTCTGGCACGTGTTCTTTGATTCGCTCCAAGCACTGTATATAAGAAGGTTACAATGGACAGTTAGACTTATTTGTTCATGCCCTGTAGCAAACTGAAGTTAAATTGACAAGTTTTCACTTTTGAACTGGGCGACTTAGATCAGAGTGTAAACCGCTAGCTCCGCAGAGAGATGCTTCTACTTGAGCTCCGATTTTTCAGATCGAATTGTTGTTTCTCGCTTTTGTTATTATTTCCATGATGTTCTCGCTGCATACTGTTAATAAATCCAACCACTAACTATGCCAATTTAGTATTCATCGTGACGGCGGAAGTTGTTCATTCCGTTTCCCACTTCCTGCCGACCAATCGGAGTCATATCCAGCAGGTGATACGTGGACAGGATGATCTCCACGCCTCGAGATGAGGTGTCGTAGGTGTGAAATACCTCGTCGCCTTCCCGTAAGAACGAACAGAGTCCAAAATAGCCGTTCCCAGGTTTCCAGGTGATAGTCTCTCCCTGCGCCTCGGCCTCAGCCCACGTTTGGTGCGTTTTCGCAGAACTATAAAAAGGAAACTTCCAGCCCATCCGATCCTTGTACTCAGTGATTTCAGACAAGGGGGCGAGAGCCACGGCGGCGAAAGAAGTGTCCCTGCTCCACAGATGTCGGAGGTCGGGGATATGGTCCATGCAGAATGAGCACCCCACGCAGCCCTGCCTCTCTTGGGGTCCCAACATGAAATGATAGAGGATTAGCTGTTTGCGTCCATCGAAGAGATCCAGCAGGTTCTTCACTCCATCAGGCGTATCAAATTGGAACCGATCTGGGGCATGGATGCGCACCATAGGCAGCTCACGGCGAGATACGGCGAGCTCCTGCAGCAGCTGAGTCGCCGCTTTCTCCTGCTGGAGGAGGCGGGCGCGAGCATCCTGATACTGATCAGGCCTGACGACTTGTTTCTAGAAGTCGTGAGTGACATCCACTACGTAGTTTCGAGGGCAGCAGACCTGGTTGTCCATTGTTGCAGATCGTGATACGAAGAAAGAGCGTCTTCCATCCTAGAAGGCGAACTAAGTCACCAGTGGGTGGCGGGGGCACGAATTCAGACTAGTGCAGATATGGCAGTACCGTTGCCTGAGGCTGCGCTTGGAGGTTATTGGTTCAGCAAGCAGGGAGCCGAAAACGGCAGCATGAATTACTGGCGATCGTACGTGATAATAATTACAGATCGGCTGTTGTAGTATAGACACCTAACCTAACCTATAAATACATGCTCTGTCCTCGGTATACTATGCTGTGCCCTACCGCTCTCACCGCATAGATCGAGTCATTTGAAACGGACCCACCCGATGACATGATGCGGATGACTTCAACGGCGGTGTTGCACTCCGGAACTTTCCTCTGCCATCTCTCTTCCATATATAATAATTTCGGAGTCGTCCCTGTCGTCCCCTGTCGTCAACTAGTGCCGCTCCCATCAACTGCATTCACTGCGTCACTCCCGTCCGTCCTACACCGCATCCCACTCTCGCTCCCCACCGCCGATAACGCTGCTCGAGGCAAAAGGTGCTCGCCACGTCCACCTCCTGCAATGTCCGCCGAGAATCCATCGATCTAGCTCGCCATCATGCCGCTTTTTACTGATCCGGATCGCCGACAGGAGAGCCGATGGTCCGGGGATCACGACCTTGAATCACCTGCCCCAGGGTCTCCTCTGACCCCGGCAGGCAGGTTCAGCCACGGCCAGAGAGAGAGCCCGGTGGTAGCAGAAACAGCGGCGGCACCGATCCAGCCGACGACATTGAATCCGCTCAAGCTGTGGACAAATGAACGCGAGGAACTCATTCATCGAATTAAGGAGTCGTCGCCTTGGAGGCTGCAGCGTGGGGTATGTTGGGCGCTCAACGCCATTTGACGCAAAACTGACAGACAGAACAGTCACCAGAGGTCTCACACAACAGTGGGATGCCGCATAATTCGACCGAGTTAAAGACTGTGGAGGAGCAAGCGCCTGAATGGCAACACCCAAAGGTATCAGAGGAACTGGAATCCCCGGCCGACATCCAGAGACCCCGCTCTGCGTTGCATTCGGGCGACTTCAGCGAAGGCGCCACACCAGATCCTCCACAGTCCCCTCAGGCTCTCTTCGCTGAGCGAAGAAAAGCATCTCCTTTCCCTCTCCTCGGCACCTCCCCGACTACTCCATGGTTTGGCCCGCCGGCTTTTCCGACACCGTTGCGCAGGCCAAATGCGCTTGGTGATTGCCACGAAGGGAGAGTAGCAGTGGAAACTCGCTCCAGAGCACCATCTATGGGATCGTTCTCGTCAAGTTACGTTCTCAAAACTCCGACGAGTCCTCTGGTCCACCAGGCCAACAACACCGACCTGGACTTCTCCCCACAGGTTGATGTCGTGGAAGTTCCTGGGCCTTCTGATAGGACGAATCGCCGCCGAACGCTGCCCCCGGAGACCTTTCGACATCTGGAATCGTCGCCTCCGGCTTCACGGGTCGTCAATCCTCGCGGCCCCTGTCCGCCCGGAAGACGGGAAGATCTCTTCCCTCTCCAGCCTAGTTCTCCTCGTCGGTCATTGACTTCGGCATACAGTCTTCAACTTGCATCACCGGGGCAGAACCCCATCTCGCGTGCGAGAAGGCCATCTCTCACCTCGGATATCTCCGCCAAACCCCATGCCCCGCTGGTGGGGTCATATGAGGAATCGATTCTTCGGGGGCGCATGTCAATGAACCCTTCCAAACCGCTGGATTTCACAGCCCAAATTGGCGTGCTGGGCAAAGGCAAATGCAAAGCCCATTTGAAGTGTCCGCCGCATGTGACTGTGCCTTTCCCCGCCGTTTTCTATAGCTATCCGACCTCGGGAAGCGGGCGCTCTATCTCGGACGACAACCCAAGTCCGTACGTTGGGCAGATCGATCTAGAGAACTCTCTACCCAGAGATGAGTTGAATACAACCCGGCGTCGTAAACGACGCGCCAGTCCAGCCACAGTTCGCAAAGACCATGCCGCAGAAGACGTGAGCACTCGAATCCTCAATGCAGACACGATCCGTCGTCGGGGAAAGAAGAGCCGCCGCGCGGAGTCGCCCAAGCGTCCTCCGGGAGGGTGCTACCGGATCCCGCAGCAGGGCCAACTGCAGATCATGATCAAGAACCCGCACAAGACCGCCGTCAAATTGTTCCTCGTCCCATACGATCTGAGCGACATGGAGCCCGGAACCAAGACATTCATCCGGCAGCGAAGCTACTCGGCGGGGCCGATCCTTGATATGCCGCTGAATGCCCGAAAGAACTTCGGCACTGACCGTCCAGAAGCATCATTGAATATCTCCGAAGACCCGAAGGATAAACCTGTCCTGCGATATCTCGTCCATCTGAACGTCTGCTGCCCCGCGCGCGGTCGCTTCTTCCTCCATTCGAGCATTCGTGTGGTCTTCGCAAACCGAGTCCCCGACGGCAAGGAGAGCCTGCGCAATGAGATTCAACTGCCGGAACCCCGCTATAGTCCATACAAACCTTCTCGAGACTCTACGCTCCTTGGGTCCGTCGGTGCTCGTACGGCGATTGAAAATGCCTCCCGCAGACGGAGTGCCGGCCATGGAACAATCCCACCCCTTCTTCGTCCGCATGTCTCCTCGCCAAGTGATCCCCCGCCGCAGTGGGATGTACCGGGTTCCGCGCACTTCGCGCAGAACAATCCCAAGTCCTCCGATGGTAATATGTATAGCAAACTCAATAAAGGGGATGTCGGGTACGGAGGCTATCCCTTCCCAGCGTTGGGCGAAGGTTCTGAAATCCCTGAGAGTTTACTTGCCAAACGGCTTCGAGGCTTAGATGTGCACAAGCACGATCTGGAGCGTCAGGGCCAGGGCACGAAGCCGAGTACATCTACTCGGTAATCTCATCCACTCTACTCTCCACTCTTCATCCAGCCCGATTTTTCTACAAGCAATCGGCAAACCCCTTCGCAGACCTTTCATATTCTTTATATTTCCACCTACTCACATCCGTCCTGGTCTTGGGTATGACTCCACACTTCTCTCATCTCCACACAGTCTACTGTGTCCACGATGTAAAGACAGAAATGGTGCCAATCTCACATCATCGTGCCCCCTACTAACCCCCAAACCTCAACGACACTGCAGCGCAGGTGTCTTCATTCCGATGCGGGTACATCACCTCCCACACGCACACACACACGCGACTCCATGAATCAGACCACGCCAGGCGCTCCGGTCACCGACCTATAACGTTAATTATATCAAACTCGCTTAATCAGCATTTACGGAACGGCGTCATCATTGAATCCTCAAGTTTCTCCTCCCTGTGGTGTGGGGTTTTGTCGTAAGTGATTGTGGATATAACTGTACAGAAAAACAAACTGCATCGTCAATCAATCCACATACAATGAATGATACTGTAGTAAGAACTGTAGGACAGTACGTAGCTTCACTCAGGACTAGGAGTAGTAACCCCAAACCAACTCGACGCAAAGATGACCCTGTATTCTGGCGATATATATCTACAGAAAACGCTAGACACAGCAGCCCCAACAGCAAAGATTTTCAAGTCTGACAGACACAGGAAAATAGTAAAACACAGGGGGAGGAATAGATCCAGGAGAGCAGGAAAGAGGGGGAAAAAGGGCGAAGGGACAGCCCAACACATTCTTCTCTACCTTTCCTACCCAGCATGCTCGACAATCTCATTGACCAGCACACCATCCTTGACGTAGCTCTTGATTTGCTCGGGAACAGGGCACTCCTTCGTATCGTCATCGGTACCTTCCTTGGGCGGGAGCATGATATTGACAGCGGCGCACTTGCTAGTAAACACCTCCGTGGTGAGACTCTGCTGGCCCAGATAGACAGTCGCGCCATCGACCTGGTCCATAAGGATGGTGGGGACGAAGCCGTCGATCTGCAGCGCGAAGTTGGGGCATTTGATGACGTCGAGGCTGCTGACGAGCGAGTCAACAATGATAGAGAGGCCATTGCAGTTGTCGATGGCGATGGCGTTGGCCTTGTTCGAGACCTTGACGATGGTCTTGTTGCAGCGAGAGATCAGGATCGAGTGGTTCTGCCGCGCGCTGATGTCAACGATCTCGCCCGGGTTATCGAAGTTCTCGACGAGCCACTTGTTGCCCTCCAGCTCCTTGCGCGACGGCTTGCGCGACCGCATGCTCTCGGGCTTGGGCTTCTTACTCGGCGCCGGGGACTTGCCCCGGACTGAACTCGAGCGATCTGGTGCCGTCGAGCCCGCGCGCAAGCTGGGGTTCTTGTGCGTCATCTCTGACTTGTCGACCTTGCGCAGGCTCGATGTGATACCCTCGCCTTGGTTGAGCTGGTCGAACACCGCTGCCATATCCGGTGCGGATGCCGCTCCAGGTGGCGGAGGGGGAGGCGGTGGGCCACCACCTCCAGGCACGTTGAGAGATGGCATAGGTGGAGGGGGAGGCGGCGGAGGCACGCCGCCTGCTGCAGCAGGTGGAGCTGGGGGAGCTGGGGAAGCTCCTCCACCCTGGATCTGCTTCAAGGCGTCCAGCGCATCAATTCCGGACTCGTCGTTCCACGTCAGACCCTTGGGGTAGTGTTTTAAGAGGTAAGCCGCGAGAGCCTTGAAGTTCTGATAGTATGCTTGGATGTACTCGACGTGCGTACGATCCCTGCTAAATCATCAATAACACGATTCAGTTGAAGCATAAATTTGCACTCACTTCTCCTTGTATTCTTTCAGCACCTTGTTGCCGTAGTATTCGATTCCACCCATCATATCCTGCACGAATGCCGCGGGCTTCATCTCGAAGAACCAGCCCAGGGCGACGATTCCCTCTGCAACAGCGCTTAAGTGGTTGAACAGCGGCGACGCTCGGTTGGACTCCCGAATGTTGTTAATGCTGTCCGACGCCTTGTGCAAGTCCGTCATCAGCTCTGGCGGCTGGGGCTCGGGCTTCTTGGCCTTTGTCGAGACGTAGAGATAGGTGCGCTCGGCTTGGAATGCTTGCAGGACTGCTTTCGACTGAAGAAGCCAGTCAGCATGCAACTTTTCGTTTGACTTTGATTAGACACACCTGCTCCGCGACCAATCCACCAATCTTCTCTCCCAGGTTTACGAAGTTCTGGACATCGTTCTTGATCAGTGCGTCGAAGTCTTGGATCTGCGGCGGAATGGGGTCCGTTGCTGGAGCGGCTGGCGAAGGTGCCAGCTTGGGGGTGCCGGGAGCGCCGGCGCTGGAGGTGTAGGGATGCTCATGCTCTTTGGTGAGCTGGGTCCTTCCACCGCCATGGCCATATCCTCCAAGCGGGAGGTGGCAGCCTCAAGCCTGTCGGGACGCATGCATTGTCAGCGAGGAGCACTGGAGAAAACACTCTTGATGCAGGGTGGACGGTATGAGGATAGGGAAAGGAGCCTTGGAACATACCGCTTGATCAGGGTGGTGAAGTTGTACATAGGGGCGCCGGTCGCCATGATGTAGCACACGTAGCTCGGAGCTGAGGTTCAGGCAGGGGTTGGGGATAGTTGGTTTGAAGAAAGGGTGAGAGATGAGACTCCAATTGAGCAGATCTCAACCGTTATCAGGGCTGGAAAATGGGCAGCCTGGTCCCTAGGCAGCAAGACAAGAAAGGAAGAGTGGACGGGATGAACAACAATCATCATTGATTACTGAGCTCCTGACGGCGGTTATCACGTGCATCACTGCCACCATCTCTTTCTTCATAGACTTGATAAATTCACAAATTCTTTCCGTATTTTGGTCAAATGGCCATGGCTAAAGTCAAGGATTGTCCTGACCAACATGCCCCAGTCGAATTCTGCACTCTGGGAATGTTCATCCTCGGTCTGTCGGACACATATACGCATCTTCACGGATGAATGCTCACACATGACGCACCAGATGATATCGACTTCCGCGACTCCAGGGCCGGAGTGAAAAATATTCTGGGCGGAGCTGCATCGTTCGCTGTAGTGGGTGCCCGCTTAGTAGCAGGCCCTGCGCATGCCCGGTCTGTGAGCTGGATCGTGGACATGGGTTCTGATTTCCCACCAGAAGCCCTGGAATCGATCAAGTCATGGAACACGGACTGTGTTCTCCGAGAAGACCACGGCAGGCTGACTACCAGGGCATGGAACGGGTATCACCCCAATGAGAAACGAGGTATGTTCTTCACTGATAACTAGCAGTGCGGAACTAAGAAATATATATGCGCAGATTTTAAGTATCTCACCCCGAAGCTGAGACTGGAGCCATCAATGCTCTCCGAGACCCAAGTGTGGTCGCAGACCTTTCATATGGTCTGCTCTGCCTCTCGGTGCATTTCAATTGTGCACGACATTCTGCGGCGAAGAGATGCGCTACACCAAGCGGGTCAAGCTCCATCTACCACCCACGCCTCGAGCCGGCCTATCTTTGTCTGGGAGCCGGTGCCGGATCTCTGCACACCAGAGGAGCAAGAAATGTTCTTTGAAGCCAATCGAGTAGTTGATGTGGTTAGCCCTAACCATCTAGAGCTTGGAATGATGTTTGAACAGCCTGGTTGGACCGAAGAAAATCCCGAATTGGTCCAAAAGATTCTCGATTCCGGTATTGGACCGGACGGAAAGGGCTGTCTGGTTATCAGGGCTGGAAAGGACGGGAGCTACGCCTACTCGAGAACCCGAAAGATTTGGCTACCGGCATATCATCAGCCCAACTCCTCGGACACTACGGCGGTTGTCGACCCCACGGGTGCGGGCAATTCGTTTTTAGGGGCATTGGCTCAGGGAATGGTGAGTGCGGGTCGTGCACCGTTCGAGGTCATCGACTCCGTCTTGGAACAGTCGGAACACTGGCGGAAGGAAATAGACGCCTGGGGACAGCAACGGGACTTGCCTTTGGCGCTCATCTGCGCCACCGTCGCAGCAGGGTTCGTGGTGGAACAGATTGGAGTGCCGCAGATATCCGGGGCAGGCAATGGCAGGGAATTGTGGAACCAGTCTGAATTCACGGAACGAGTCCGTCTGTACACGCAGCGATTATTTAGGACACTGGACGAGCCTCGACGGACCAATTGATCAAGAATGGTCGATTGAGGAACGCCCTTCTATTGTCATACATCCCACAGAAACGATGAAAAATGATATCACACACAACAAAAGGAAAGAAAAGGTCGCGGAATGCTGGTAGATCCTCCTCCAGCTGGCCATAATTCCCTATGAGTCGTTCTTCTGTTGTCTCTCGTGCTCAAGGATCTGCTTGCTCCAGCTAGAAGGGGGTCAATCATCAGTACACTGGTTTCGCTGGAGGAAGGTAAAGGACTGACTATCGGCTGGGGAAGAATCTGCCGGGCTCGGGCATGCGGTCGCGGCGCTCGCGGTCGGCACTGACGCTCCAGGTCACGGCGGCAATACCAATGACAAAAGCGCCCATGATGGCGGTGTTGACCCTCCAGTTGGCCGGCTGGGCATACCACCCACCAGCGGGGGACCAGACTTCCTTGGGATACCTGTGGGCGCGAATGGGTCAGTTTCCAGGTCATATGAGTGAGGAAGATCACACGCACGGGATCTTTCCACCTCCGCCCATTGTGACTGAGATGCAATTGCAGGGAATATGGGAGGAACAACGAAGATGGACTGGGAAGTGGTCAAACCGTCCAGAGGAAAGGCAAGTCAGCGCCAAGCCACTAGACCAAATACGGGTTAGCGCCACTCACACGACCAGATCCCGTGACTCGGGGGAACATTTTCTCTTTTCTCTTGCCATTAATCAATACGTTGGACCGCGTCCTTTGCATCCACCCTTTCGCCCAGGCTTCTTTCCCAGGCTGCCCTGCTCCGTCCCGCCCCCAATGAAGAGGCTGCAGCTCCAACGATGGAGCAATTCGGTCCTGTCGACGCGGGCTCGGACTGGTAGTCACCTGCAGTACCATCTCTACAATGTCGTGCGCTGTCAATCTTCAACGGCGGCTGCGGTTCGGCCAGATTTCTCGGTCGGGGAGGCCGAACACGAGACCTTCGAAGAGATCAAACTCAAGACTATCCTCCGCAGAACACACTCGCGACCCAACCAATTGAAATATCCCTCTCCTCCGACGCACGCAGCACGCGAGTCCGCCAAACTTGCTGCCCTCCACGCCCGACTCTACCTCCCTTCTCGATTACCCTACGAGACCCTCGCACGAACATTGGTGGATGCTTCCGCGGATCAGGACCCCAATTTTAACAATGAATCGCTTTCTACGCTAGGGCACGACCTCCTTACCTACTACACCTCCGAGTACCTCATCTGCACCTACCCTCGTCTGCCATTGAGTGTCATCTTCGCTTCCATGTATGCCTATGTTGGGCCCAAGACCCTAACGGCCATGGCAAGGGAATGGGGCGTGGAACACGCGACCAGTCCCGGTGGAGAGGTCGACCCCGGCCTGCTGCAGTTCCAAAGGCTTGCCCCGGGCACCGAGCTGCAAGAAAAAGAAGACGGACCACGTCCATATCAGAGCCAACCTCACTGGAGGAAGACCGTTACCTCCAAAATCTTTTATGACAACGAGTTCGGCGATACGGCCAAGACCGCCGCGGGGGGCGTCTCTGCCGATCAAGCGAGTGCCACCTTCGTCCGCGCCGTCATGGGCGCCATTTACCTGCATGCCGGCCGTCCGGCCGCCAAGCGGTTTTTCCAGCAACACTTTCTCTCCCGACACCTCAACATGGCCGAGTTGTTCAACTTTGAGCAGCCGACTCGGGACCTGACCCGGCTGTGCGCGCGTGAGAACTTCGAGCGCCCCGTTGCCAAGGTCATCGCCGAGACTGGTCGGAAGAGTAGGCATCCCGTGTTTGTGGTGGGCATTTTCTCCGGCCAGGACAAGCTGGGTGAAGGACAGGGTGCCAGTCTAGGTGAGGCCCGAGAGCGAGCCGCCGTGGCGGCGCTGAAGGGGTGGTACCTCTACAGCCCGCTCAATGTGCGCCTCCCCAGTGCGATGGAGGAGGACGAAGCCGCGCCGTGGAAGCCCGTCCATGTGGACCTGGGTGAGGTGATTGTCTAACTTGGTCCGGTGGCTGGCGGTCAAAGAGTCTTGTCTTTTTTGCATGATTGGATACTGTATATTATGGGAATTCTGATCCCTTTGGTTCATCTGGTGTCTTTTTTTCCCGACTCTTTTCTTTCCTATGTTCTCCCGGCCACAGCCCTTTCTCTGCCCACAGTGCTGGTATATAGAAATGAATCCATCATTTATCTACTTCACCGGTGGACAAGCTTCTCCATCCAGTTCTTCTTCTGCCCTCTCTGACCCTCTGGTCCCTGCCCACCATCCAACCACTGACCATACTCCTCCCACAGCTCCTGAATAGTCCTCCCAAAAATGCCCTTCCAGAAACCCACCCCATTAACAGCCGCGTAACCCACTGTCCCCAACCGATCATTCACCAAACCCACGGCGCCTTTCCCAAACCTCACATCCTCCAACCATGCCAGAAAGAACGCCGTGTGCTCATACCCCTGGTCCCACTTCTCCGCGCGCTCCTTCGACGACTGCGGCCGTTTCCAATGCGCAGGGACAAAGCCCGCCTTGAGACGAATGAAATCTGCAATCCCCTCGATCAACCCACCCGGTGGACCGGGCTTCCCACTGCCCCGCGGCGAGCTATGCTGGTAGCAATGCACCAGCTCGTGCGTGAGCACCCCCAGTATCTCGCGGCGGGTGCTAGGCCGCGCCCCCGTGTCCTGCAGCCAACCTAGCGACATGTGGATCTCCTTGTGGTCATCGTCTAGCTCAGTGCCATTGGTATGTGCCAGGCCTTGGAAGTCACGGAGGATGAATGTCACGGAGCGGGTGGGTGGGATGCTGGGATTGAAGGATGGGCCGCCTTGTTGGTTGTGCGACGTGTAGAGGTGCTCTACGATTACGCTTAGTGCTGTGTCGAAGGGCTCGGATATGTCGGGGACGTTGGCTAGAAAGGCTTTCGTTCCCGGGTGTCGGAGGGCTTGCGCGTGCAGACGTAGTCTGGGTTTGGGGATTGAGGGGTTCTGCTTTGCGACGGGCTTGTTCGTGATGTTCATGGGAGGTGGGGGGTTGGGCTGCGCTGTGGGGGTGGGAGACACGGTCATGATGGCGATGATGGGGGCGTGCTAGAAGAGTGTAGATAATATGGGAGTGCTGATTGTGTATGGTGAAAGAAGAAAGGAAAGCCGACACTTGGAGGTGGAGTAGGATGAAACAGATGCCGATGGTGGTGGGTCTTACAGTAGCTTGCACAATCGGCTTGACACTACTGAGCAAATCTTTGATCAATGGGCGATAAATTGCAGTACGCAGAAATGTAATCAGTACCTGGTGAATATCTGGCGTTCACCTGCCTACTTATCCGACGAACAGTCTGTGATTGTCTAGAGTGCGTCTCGAAACTGGTGCACCCACCTACACTCTTCCATTGTTTCTCGAACCGTAATGCCAAGATCCGCTAGTCTCTATTGGGAGTTTTTCCGGAGCACCCCTGTCAGTTGGCCGTGTATTGCTTCTTACGTAGCACTACGTAGGACTTTCAAGATTGTATTCGCTTGTAAATTCAAACATCCGACACCTCCCTCCAAATCAGCCACCCGAGGAAGGGGTATCTTAACAATCAATCACCAGTGGTCGAACCAAGATGGCCCCAAACCTAGCTACTTCAAAGCGTGAGCTTATCTATGACCTGATCCACAATGCGGAACTATCTATATCGCAGATGGCACAGGCTGCTGGCTGCAACTAGAGTACCATCGTGAGAATTTCTTCCAGTATGATAGAGCTCGCATAATTCGGTGCTTGAACATCGGATATCGAGCAATAAGACGTAGAAACAATGGCAGTCCCTGAACTAGCGAGCAGAAACGGTTCTTGTGTAAGGACACAATGTGGTCAGGTATCCTAGTAGGAATAGGGAGTTAGGCACGACCAACGAGTCAAAGCCCGGTAGAATCGGCCGCCTCAGTACAAATGCATTTTGTTGTGCGGTAAATGACCCATATTTAACCCTTGCAGAATTCATGGGCCTGGTGTAACAAACAGCATTCCAAGTATACTACGCAACGAGGAATCTAAATTCTGATCATGTTAATAGTGGGCGACTATGCTTAAACAAAAGTATAAATACTGAGAAGTTTCATGTTCGAGGACTACGTACACAAGCCCTAGGACCTCCGTGGAAACGTCAATATCGCATACTTCATCTTGAATTTCTTTCGTCAATTTCTTGTTTACAAATCCTCCTAGGTTTCCCAGAAGATGCGGTTCTCAATTATCGCTATTATTGCGGGAGTCATTGCTGCTTCAGCTGCGTTAGAGTGCTCCTGCCAAGTGAAAACAGTACAGAAGTCCTGTTGCGACAAGTATGGAGGGAGCCTGCCGGTGACCGGATACTGTGACGTCAAGGATGCCAATAGCAAGGCTTTCAAAGATTGCTGCAAGGCACAAGATTCAAAAGCACAATGCTCCTAGGTACGTTAACTTTTACGATGAGAAGTCAATTCATGATCTAACTAGTTAACCGCCGCTAGTTGGGATGGCACTAGATTTAATGCTTAGGATATGGAAATGAGGAGAGGAAAGGAGGCGCTGGAGGCTGGAAAGACAATGTACTTGTCAGGCGGTGTCTGCGATAGTCTCGTTGGTGGTAGATCTCTCTTGGCCTTAGTAGTCGCATAATCGACAAGCGAATGGGTCATCATGTAAGCGAGTGAATCATGGACACAGTTGTGTTCCATGATGGCTTAGGAGAAACAAATGATTCGGCTGGGAGATGTATGGAAGCTCGAGTTTCTTTGAATTCATGCCAAGGCAATGCTGTTCATCCGGCGGCTGTAAATGTAGGCATGTAGGGTAAGCAGCTTACTGCGGGGCATCTAAATAAGCAGACGTCATCCTTAAGGTCGATGTCAAGGTCCCATGGATACAGTATTGAGTCTAAATGGATTGGATTCCACGGTACTGGCTGTTTGCTTTCTATGACGGCAAACAGCTTACCTGCGGTTTCTCGAGTTGGTCAATTCGGGCACGCTACCACATCTAGTTAGACAGAGCAATTCTAGGGGGTAAAAAGGGTATAGCAGGTATCGTCACCACCTACGCTCTTCACCTGTTTGATTGCTTCTCGAGTCATAATGCCAGGATTTGCTAGCATGCATACATACTGTCATATCCGGGGAAATCACCTTTTGAAGCGAGATGAGCCACCGCTGTGATGAGGTCATGATTGACTGCTGTCCATATACCACGCACCGACTTGTTCGCGAAAATAGTTGTCAAAGAGAAATTACATTATGAAACTTCAAATCCGAGCGTATCCGAAACAACAAGCCAAAATCAAAACCAAACCAAGCCAAACAAACATAATATCCCTCCTTGCATCTCAAGCACATCCGAGTTGCCCTTGCGACCGCATCAACATCAAGACCGCTGTCTGGGCCGGCTGGGCACCATCACCGCTACGGGGATGACCAACACCTTTCTGCAGCTTTCCTATTTCCCATTCACAAAAACCAATCCCTAAACACTCTTATAGCTCTTATAGCTCTTATCGTGTTGATCGTCTACATAGTGGACCCGCGCTTATCTGGCGGCTGTCGCTTATCGCCCCTTTGTTTTCTTCCCCCCGCGCCAGGTCCTTCGCTCTTCCGTCCATCTCTCTTCTTCACTCCCGCCCAACGCCTTCCTTCCTCTTCACTCGACACACACTACAACCTCCAGGTACGTTCCTTCCTCATATCCCATCATGCTGTTCGTTTATGATTCGCGTCCCGCGTGGTTCGCATTGTTGTTCTTCTCCCCCCCGGGTCCATCTGTGTTTATTGCTTTCTGATCTCCTGCTGATTATTTACCCTTCAAACATGGATAGTGACAAGCTCGAAGCTCAATCCCCCCCTCCCTTCGTCTCTCTCTCATTCTTATCATCTCTCTCATCCCCGTCAAGTTCTTCTACGTGTGCACTTTGACTCATTCTATGCCCTTTTGGTGCTGAACCAGGTGGAAGTCAATCTGCCGTCGGTGAAGATGGAGGCCAAGGCTGCTGAGCTCCTGGCCGCCTTCAAGAACCCCAGCGTCTCTGTTGACACGCGGGTCGCCCACCTGACGAGTCTCAAGTCCGACATCAAACAGAAGAATGTTCCAGAAGGCGCCATCCCGAGTATTTTTGAAACCTTGCGGCTGGCTTTGAACTCGCAGCATTACTCAGTGCTCACCGCGGGATTCTCAACCCTGGGTCACTTTCTGAAGCGGCTGTTCATCCAAGACCAACAGCAACTGGTGGTCAACCAAGCCCGCAACTTCTACCCCACACTCGTGGAACGACTCGGCGACCACAAGGAGCGCGTCCGAGCTCAGTCGGCGCAGATATTTACCGAGCTCTGGCCTGCAGCAAGTGCGGATGTCGAGTTTCATGTCCTCGACGGAGCGCTGGTGGGTCGAAACCCCCGCGCTCGTGAGATGAGCATGCTCTGGCTCTCGAATGTAAGTTTTGTTTCCCGCTACTGGCGTACAAGTGTCTGACTTGAGTGACGTGCGCAGATGACAAAGAACCATGGTCTCCTTTTTCGTACATATGTGCCTTCCTTGGTCGCTTGTCTAGAGGATGCCGATAGCTCTGTCCGCGATACGGCACGGGCAGTCGTTATTGAACTATTCCGGTATGTAATCTCACCGTTTTGGACTTTGACCGGTCTAACAAACCACAGCACTGCACCACCGCGAGCGAAATCTGACCTACAGAAGCAGCTGGTTGCTCGAGGCGTGAGAAAGTCGATCGCCAATGCTATCATCACGGGGATCGGTCTCAGTTCGACTGACTCGGAAAGCTCATCTGCACGACCCGTCTCCCGCGTTGACCGGCCGATCTCGGTGATGTCTTCACGTTCCAAGCTAGTTGAACATGATGATGATGGTTTGTGCCCGCCACCTCATTTAAACCCCCAATATTTAACTATATACGCAGACGAACCAAAGAGTCGCCCCGGCTCCTCCAAAAGCCACGTTGATAAACCTACTACCTCCCATGGACTTGCAGAGGCGGGTGCCATTCATCGACCGCGTACCCCGGCGGAGCCTCCAGCTTCCCAGAGTTCGTCCGATGATGGTGTTGAACCGCTCACAGTATCTTCGGCTCGAGAGATCGATGATCTCGTACGCGATATGCTTCCTTGCTTTGATGGCAAGGAATCGGAAGACAACTGGATGAAGCGCGAAAAGAACGTCATTCTGTTCCGACGACTCACTTGTGGCAATGCGCCTCACGCCCTCTCACAGACCTACATGGCTGCTGTCAAGACCCTCTTGGAAGGCTTCTTGAAAGTAGTCAATTCTCTTCGAACAACCATGAGTACGGCTGGGTGCCTTTTGATTCAGGACATTGCTCGATGCTGTGGTCCCAGACTCGACCCGATGGTGGAAATCATTTTGCAAAATCTGATGAAAGTCTGTGCAGCTCTCAAAAAGATCTCCGCTCAGAACGGCAACCTCTCGGTCGATGCAGTGATCAGCAATGTGACCTTTACGAACCGCCTTCTGCAACACGTTCACTGGGCATCCGTGGACAAGAACTTACAATTGCGTTTGTTTGCTGCCGGATGGCTTCGCACTCTGATTAGTCGACAGTCTCGACAGAAGAGCACGGTTGAACACGGTGGCGGTCTTGAGCTTGTGGAGAAGTCTATTAAGAAAGGACTGGGCGATGCCAATCCCTCTGTGCGGGAGGCCATGCGCAGCACTTTCTGGATGTTCCACAATGTATGGCCAGATAAGGCCGATGCGTATGTGTTGGCCCCCTTCTTATACGATTCCTTTCATCTGCTGACCCTCGATCTAGAATCATGTCTACACTCGATCTAAAATCTCGGAATCTCCTGGAGAAAGATCCATCCAACCCAAATGCCACCCAGAAGGCTTCCGTATCGTCAGGAAAGAGCTCTGCTAGTGGCACAGCGCCCACACCCGGCCGTTCTGCTTTGAAAGAAGCCATTGCCGCTCGAAAACGAGCCCAGATGTCATCTCGCCCCGAGTCGGCCCACTCGAACTTCACCGATTCAAAGACATCAGAGGCCACATCCAAGTCGTCCACGACGCGCACCGTGCCTACGGGCGCTCCCCTTTCCTCACTTTCATCGGCTCCCGTGCGTCCTGGAATGAAACCTCGACGAGCAGAGTTGAGTCGTCCTGCGACTGCAGATCCCTACGCTTCCCGCCGTCCTCCCTCAAGAGCCGCCGGTTCTCCCAGAACAGTTCGACCCAAGGCGACGACACCTACGTCCAAAACTTTGACTGCTCCACGCCTTCGCCCTCATAATGATCCGGGAACCAATACTACCAGGGGCAAGCCAAGGAAACTCGATCTCTCCAAATCCAAGTCGCACGACCACCTCTTGGCTGCGAGCCGTGCTCACAGTGACTCAAACGAATCACTGCATGACCACCACTTGGAACTCCCGGCCGCATCTGAGGACCAGCCGGCCCCCATTGTGCTGGAGAGCCCCCCGCTGTCTGCCTCTCACCCATCACTCAATTATCCGAAACGACCCCTTTCTGGCCACGAGGTCGCCAATACTCACGATCATGAGTTGCAATCCATGCCGCTGGACGAGCCCAGCTTCCCTATTGACGTGACACCCGCCCGCGAACGGGATGCTGAGACCACTCTACATCAATCCGCACTTGCATACGATCCCGAAACCACTGGTAGGCCCGAGCCTGAATCCATGGTTATCTACGAGGACCCAATGAGTCCTGTTGCGGCTGAGGCTGATGCCTCCAGCCACGCTTTCACCCCCAAGGAGAAACCCACTCCTTCGATGACGCCATTCCGCCAGGCGCAGCAGAAGCTTCGCGATGCAGGAGCCGCAGCTGCCGCGAAAGACGTCTCGGTCGTTCCCGTTGAGACTCCTGCTAAGAAAGCAAGTCCTGCGTTGGTTCCAGACAAGGAGCCGGCCTCTGATCGCATGAATGTCGAAGGACAATTAGAATCACCACCCCATCAATCGCAGATCAATCAGGACAGCCCTTCGCCTGCGATAGTCGAACTCCCAAGTGCGGCTGCCCAGTCTACCCTGGCTAGGGAAAACAATGGCAACAATGAGAATGTGATGCCCCATACCGGCAAGGCTGCTGAAGTAGCTGCAGCACCACGGTCTGCCGCAAAACCAAAAGCCCTGGAAGAAGTGCCTGTGAATGAGTCCGGCTCTCGCTTTTCGGAGGCAAGGAGACGCTCCTTTGAGTCCCTGGCCCAGTCTTCGTGTGAAGACCCGGCCGGTCGTTGCCGCAAATGGATCGACAATAGGAGCATTAGCCCCCGATCAAAGGATCCCGCAAACGCGATTGATATGATACGCAAGGCTCAGGCGCGCATCAAGTCGGACACGATGGATATTTCTGGATATCGGAAGCTACAAACGCTGTTCTACTACCACAAGGATACGATCATCCCCGACAGGTCGGAATACAACTCGATGGTCAACGCTCTGTTGAAGGAATTGCAGAAAGCGCCCACAGACCGAAAAGATCAAGACGTGAAGACCCAAATTTTGGTAACTATCCGCGCCATGCTTAAATGCACCATTGCCAATTTCAATCTTTGCATTGAGCGGACGTTAACAGCGGTGATCCGGGCTCGTCGGCACTACGAGTCGAGTTCGCACATTGTGACGTACATGGAAGAACTCGTGGATATGCTGGTTGATCACAGTTTGACGGAGGAGGCTGTGATTGACGGCGTGATCGAGGGAATGGATATGGGAGAGGAAGCGTTGAAGAGCGAAGGAGCATACCGGTCGATTATCCTCGGACTTTCGACTCTCCACCAGACGATCCTCCCGGCCAAATACGAGCACATCCCCGACGATTCCCTGGTCAAGGTTGGAGAGGTTGTGTCGGAGCAGCTAAGACACCCGCGGCCCGGAGTTCGCAAGCAAGCCACCGAGCTGAACGCCCTTATCAACTCCAAATTTGGCGAACGTCTTCGCAATCTCGCCCCGCCGCCTCAGGAAGGGTCCCTCAACTTGCTCACCTACTACATGGCCCGCCAAAATATCAGTGGGTGAGCACCGCCATCCTGGGGTGGCGGTGCAGCAGCACGGTGGTTCCTGGGCCGTGGGTGTGGACACCCCATGTACAAAGGTCTTCTTCTTGCACTGCTTCTCTATTCTTTGTCTCTTTATTTTGGTTTTCATACTCCGACGGCACCGCATTATTTACCGGCGCCGTCGGAGTATTCTTTCTGTATATAGCCAGTGAAAAAGTTGTTCTTGCCACGCTCCTCTCCATCCCTGGGTTGTTAATATGTCTGTGTACAGACGAATGGTAGAATGCCTAATCTGGTAATGTTCCCGACTGATATACCCGCCTCGGCTCACTTGCCCGCCTGTCTCGGCAGGCTTTACCCCGAGTGTCTTCACGCAAACAAGTCCGATCGTCCGTCTCCACTGCCTTGTCCCTTTCTCCACGATTGTTCTGGATTATTCGGTGAGGCGCCCCTCATTTCTCGGAGACAGGCCGTAGTGCACTCGGCTCAATTGCCCTGCAGTTCATGTTCTACTTGGCGCAAGCAGCGAGGAACTGTATTTATAGAAAGCGGTTGCCCGCAGAATAAATTTCAACATCGCAGATCAACAATATTCTCTCACTGAAAAGCAAGACCGGTCGTAATATCAATAAAATGGCGACGACATTGACAGGCGGTAGTCAGCACATTATCCAACTGCCCTCGACGCCCTCTACCTCAGATGCCGACGCACGCGCGGTCGCGCAGCAATGGCTCACGAACCTAGAGTCACAGCTCGCTCATCCCGAAAATCTCACGCTAGCAGAGCTCTTCCACTCCGAGTCCTGGTGGCGCGACATGCTAGCTCTGGACTGGGAGCTGCACACCACGCACGGCGCATCACAGATCCAAGAATTCCTGCGTAAGCACCAGGGCCGCGCACAGCTATCCACGTTCCGACTGCAGGACAAGGGCCAGTTCAAACCAAGGTGCGAGCAAGTGGTTGACGGCCTGAGCTGGGTATCAGCCATGTTCTTCTTCGAGACCGCCGTCGGCCGCGGCACGGGGATGCTGCGTCTGACACAGGCGGATGGCAGTGGGACCTGGAAGGCCTACGCGGTGTATACATCGCTACAGGGGCTGAAGGGAGTTGAGGAGCCGTTAGGGAAGTGCAGGCCTGAGGGGACAACGGAGTCTATGCCTGGTGGAGTGGCGGGTGGGACTTGGATTGAGCGGCGGCGGAGGCAGGCGGAGTTTTTGGATGACGAGCCTGCGACGCTGGTTGTTGGTGCTGGTTCGTTACTCTTGGAAGATGTGGATGTGAGATCTATGCTAATTAATGACTGGATAGGCCAAGCTGGGCTTAATATGGGTGCGCGGCTGCAGAGTCTCGGCGTGTCGTGTTTGATTGTGGATAAGAATGAGCGCGTGGGTGATAATTGGCGCAATCGGTACCGGGTGAGTGTTTTAGGAGGTTCTATACGGTTCGAGTTTGATGGCTAATACCCTTCCAAATAGACGCTTGTTACTCACGACCCAGCCGAATTCACCCACATGGCCTACCTGCCCTTCCCCCAGAACTGGCCGCAGTTCACTCCAAAAGACAAGCTTGGCGACTGGTTTGAAGCGTACGCAAGCCTCATGGAATTGAATATTTGGACGCGCACATCTGTTGTATCTGCCGAGTACAACGATGCCGCTGGCGATTGGACTGTGATCGTTGCTCGCGGGGATGGATCTCGACGAACACTGCGTCCACGCCATGTTGTTTGGTGTACTGGACACTCAGGCGAGGCGCTTATCCCAAGTTTCCAGGGCCAGGAATCCTTTCAGGGGACTGTGTATCATGGCAGCCAACATCGTGACGCCTCTGAGACTGACGTGCGTGGAAAAAAGGTCGTCGTCGTAGGCACTGGCAACAGTGGCCACGATATCGCACAGAACTTCTACGAGAATGGCGCAGATGTGACCATGCTACAGCGCAGAGGAACCTATGTACTAACTGCGGACAAGGGAGTGTTCATGCTACATGATGGTCTTCATGAAGATGGGGGGTATGTATCTCATCCACTAAGTTCTGGACAGCGTCAACTCACTATTGTCTGTCTATATACAGGCCCCCAACAGAAGAATGCGACATCGTCAGTGAAAGCCTCCCCTGGCCCGTCCAATTCGCATTAAGCGTGCACCTAACACGCCGCATTGCGACCGCGGATAAGGAAACGCTTGACGGCCTCCGTCGCGCCGGCTTCCAGCTTGACTTCGGACCAGACGGCGCTGGCATTGCTCGCGCGTACTTTACTCGCGGCGGCGGGTACTATATCGACGTCGGCTGTAGCCAGCTGATCATTGACGGCAAGATCAAGGTTAAACACAGCCCGCAGGGCATCAAGAGCTTTGGTCCACACGAGCTGGTCCTAGCGGATGGCGAGACGCTGGATGCTGATGTCGTTGTTCTGGCTACGGGGTATGATAACATGCGGACTACGGTGCGCAAAGTGCTAGGTGATAAGGTTGCAGATCGATGTAAGGATGTTTGGGATCTGGATGAGGAGGGTGAGCTTAATGCGGTAAGTTCTTCCTTCTTTGCTTTGGAACTCCTACTAATGGTATTCATTAGATGTGGCGTCCCAGCGGTCACCCTGGTTTCTGGTTCATGGGCGGCAATCTCGCTCTGTGCCGTATTTACTCAAAGTTTCTAGCGCTTCAGATCAAGGCCGTGGAGAAAGGGTTAATCTCACAGTCGTAGCAAAGAGCTATGTATTAGAATTGTCTAATCAAGATCTGATGTATCCAGAGGGTACTTCCTGCGAATTATTCAAGGGGCTGCCTTAGACCGTAGATTTGGGTACACGCCACATTGTAGCAGGAAATCAATATCTTGTCTATTGTAAATTTCGATTCCATAGTCAGTTATTCCGTTAAATCGGTACGGTCAGGCAAGAATATCAGGAACGGAGATAGCCGGTGGAGATAAAACAAGCTTCGGCGGAACAAAACATGGGGACCCACATCTAATAGCCAGTATACAAAACTTCATGTAGAGAACAATCTCTTCCGCCGCTATTGCCGAGTAGTTGTAGGCATAAATATCATAATTTGACACGCAATGGTTGATTCGAATAAGCTACGGCATTTCACCACTCAGTCTACCGATACCAAGTATAATCAACAAATATGGTCCCCCTTCCTACTCGTTCACTTGGCCGAAACGGGCCTTTGGTCCCTCGTTTGGGACTGGGTCTGATGGGGATCAGTGGGACATATGGCCTGCCGAGTGCTGACACCGAAAGACTGGCATTCCTGGATGAGGCATACGAGAAGGGAGAGCGGTTCTGGGATACCGGTACGCTACACAACAGACTTAGGATTCATCGATTTGGATTGACCTTTTGGGGGCAGCCAACAAGTACGGCGACTCAGAAGAGCTGCTGGGAAAATGGTTCGCCGCCAACCCCGACAAGCGACAGGATATCTTCTTGGCGACTAAATTCGGGATCAAGCCCGTCCCGGGCGGAAAGGGATTAAAGGGATTCACTATCGATTCGACGCCGGAATACTGCCGCGAGTGCATCGATACATCTCTTGAACGCCTCGGCTTGCCCTATGTGGATCTGTATTATATACATCGCCTGGACAAGGTGACTCCGATTGAGAAGACTATGCGAGCGATGGTGCAACTCAAGAATGCAGGCAAGATCAAGTACCTTGGACTAAGCGAGTGCAGCGCTGAGTCTTTGCGGCGCGCACATGCCGTGCATCCCATCTCATGTGTGCAGGTGGAGTACAGTCCGTTCTGCACAGCCATCGAGTCTCCGACGACGCAACTGCTAGAGACAGCGCGAGAACTGGGCGTTGCGGTTGTGGCGTATAGTCCACTGGGGAACGGTGTGCTAGGCGGAAAGATCCGTTCGCGCGAGGACGTGACTCGGCCTGGAGACACGCGCGGAATACTGCCATGGTTGTGGGAGGAGAATGTTCAGACGACTGTTCGGGTCGTGGATCAGATCGCGGAGATTGCCAAGACGAAGGGGGTCACCACGGCGCAGTTGGCGCTTGCGTGGCTGCTCAAGCAGGGCGATGACATCTTTCCCATTCCGGGGTCTTCGAAGTTAGATCGTCTGGAGGAGAACCTGGGAAGTTTGTCTGTCTCTTTGTCGGATGAAGAAGAGGAATCTGTTCGGCAGTTGGCCAAGGGTGTTGTTGGCGAGCGGTTTCAGACAATGTCGGGCTATGCGTTCGCGGATACTCCCCCATTGGAGGATTAATTGGCTAGTATTCTGCTCAGGTAGTTCCTAGAGTCTCGACTGTCTGCTCTGCATGTATCCAAGTATTGAAAATCTCTGCTGCTTGTGAATCTGTCAGTGGATCGGATTCAAGTGTTTCTTGTAGTCCTAAAGATAAAGGTGACGCTTCCTGAGTATCCGAGGTCCTATGAGAAGAGGTATCCAAAACAGAACAATTATAGGACTGGCCATCCAATGCAACGGTGTTGAAGGAGCGAAAGCTGTGGAGGTTGTCGGATTCGCCACTGGTTGCATTGTTTGCGTGCTCTGACATCCAAACCGAGCTAAGGTTCTGGCTACTCGCCATATCCCGAGGACCAATGTGAATTGAGCCAAAATAAGGAATCGATAGTTTCAGAGTCTTGCCGTCTTGGGCTTCACCGTCATATCTGGCAGCATATTCATCATTCCAGGCATAGTAGTCGGAGCCGTTCATTGCATCTTCCTCAATATCCGTAAGTCTTTTCAAAATACGGACACGAGAAGCGCCCTGTGCATCTTCATTTGGAGCCCATACTTCCTCCATCAAACCAATCACACTACCAATGATACCCAAGTCGTGCGGCCGCTGATGCTCCAGCACGTTTGCGCGTGCAAGACGGTGTCCATCGAGGTGAGCCACAAGCAGTGTAATAGCGGCCGTGAATGCCTTGTCATCGAGTCCTCGATAGGTAGACGAGCGATAGAATTTGCGGAGCACAAGGTAGCGGGCGAGCAATTCACGGCTTGCAGAGTGGACAGCAAGTTTGTTATATATGAAATCGGATGAAAGTCGACTATCTTCAGATTTTTGTTGGGCGACATATGGCTGGTGAAGAACAAGCACAAGATAGTGCTGATGCATTTGTGCTAGGAGTTTGGCAGAGCTTTGCGCTATTTCAGCGGCTGGGGCTGTCTTATCCAGGGTTGGAATCGTCCACCAGCTGGTCGGCAAAAGTCTTGTCGCCTTTTTCAACTGATTGTCAATATCTTGAGTCTCTTTATAGTCGCGATCATTTTTGTTCATTTCATGCTGGCGGCACCGCTGCATACGCATGTTTCGCGTAATAATACGCCCAGCGACCACGACGTGAATGCGCTCCAGTCTCTCAGCTGGAATGTTAGTCGCCAGTTGACTTTCGCTTGCAAATGTATTGTCATCAACTGCGAAAGGGAGACCCAGCATCAATGACATAAAACGGTCACTAAAAATAAGCTGGAACCACACAGACTCAGCCCGGCGGTTCATCAATTCGGCTTGTCGAGGAAGGTCCATCAACTGGGCAATGCTCAAAGCACGGCGAAAAATAAGCCAAGCCACACGTAAGTCACCCGCGCTGACATGATAACGACCTTGAAGCAGAAGGGTCTCGAGTCCATCAAGGGAGTCGACTAAACAATCCTGGGACATGACGTAGCGTGAAGCAGCATCAAAATAGCGGTGTGCGGCATCCTTGACGGGCTCTTTCAGGTAAATTTCGAGCTGCCTTGCTGTAGTCGTATCGAGTTGCTGCAGGCAGAGTGCGAGTTGAATGAGTTTGCGACCAATGAGAATGGGATGAGCAGTAGTTGATATATCAGATATCTGCATGTCTTGTTCGGCAACTGATCGTGGGAGTGGACGCCTTCTCAAGGTGCTATGGAGGACTTGCAGAGGTGGACTCGAGAGCTTGCCACAGTCCAAAATCACTACGGCAAGAGTCGGGTGCGGAAGAATGGAAAAAAGATAGCCGTTGAGCGAGCTCCCTCTCGATATCCGCTCATGGCTAACTTGTTGCAAAGTCGGCAGTGCCCATCTTGAGCGATTGGCCAGAGTCTCGGGGGGTATATCTTGAGATTTATTTTGAGTCGGCGACTGAGTCAGTTGATTGACCAAGGCCTCGACCTGATCGAGGCGTTGACTAACTTCCTTATAAGCGCAATCAGCACTCTCGTTGAACTCTTGGCTTATACATGCGAGACCTCGTCGTTGGCAAGAGGCACAGGTGGTCCCGGTCTTGAACTCGCAGCGGGTCTTGCGATGTTTGCACTCCCAGCAGCTGAAGGTGCCTTTGCGAATTTTGCGCCGCTTTAAGGGAGGCTTGCCCGGAGGAGCTTCCGATGAGACGGAGGATGACATTGTTTTTGAGGGAATAACATGGAATTGGAAGTGCCAGGAAAGGAAAGTCAATCCTCAGACACAAATACTGTAGCTGAGTCATCGCCACGTTCTGCCACCGTTGACCGATCGTATGTACTTATGTAGTCCTGGTACGCTCTGTCAAGTGTTGATCATTGTTTACTTTGGTCAAGCCAAAGTATGGCTATCATAATGCTATCCATTCGGCAGTACATATTCCCTAGATGCTACCCATCACCACCGTGGAAATCTTTGTCGCGTCCATCGAAGATTCGGTATACCATTGAAGATCATGTGACCGTTACTCGATGTAGTGCGATTACTTTTCTACATGGCTTTACCATTCCTCGACTCTATTCAATGGCCGCAGGGTGCCGAAATAACTACATTCTTGTCTCATCAATATATATACCTCTTTGGCTCCCATTTCATCGATTTAAGTTCATCTTATAGTGGCAAGTGGGTTTCGCCACGTGACCGGTGGAAGCGAAAAGAAGTGGGCCACGTCGGGAACTTACTTCATCGGAACTTCACTATCAAAGCTCGACGACAAGCATATCAAAATAAACTGTTCTGGATCACCATTTTGGAATGGCTCCTACAATGATTACAGGAGCAGGGTTTGAACAAATGAGTTACGAGCACGACCAATGACTGTCGTGCGACCAAGAATCACCCCAGTTCCATACGGGCACAGCCATGAGTGAAAGAGCTTCCGAGATCATCTTTCGGTCGGGGAATACCCCGACACGCTTCTTCAAAGCATGTCGTTGGTGCAGGAAGCAAAAGATGCGCTGCGATGCGCGCAACCAGGTACCATGCTTCCGCTGTCGTTCCACCGGCCGCGATTGCATTTTGGACCCAATAGACGATGGAGGGCGTCGAAATGAACGTCGGAGAAAGACTACAACCCCATCCGTACGGTACGTTCAAATGGAAAAGATTCTGTTGGCTTTATTTACTCACGTCGTGTTAGAGGGCATGTCATCACTTCTCCGGCGGATCAGCGCAATGGTTTACATACTCCGGCATCGAGGGAGCGGGAGTATTCTCCCGTCTCGGCCCGAGATACTACTTTTAACACTTCAATTGACTCCCTGCCTGAAACTACCACTTTGGGAGCCCAAGCCCCGAATCATAATGGGCCCGAATCGCAGCAATTAAGCCCCAACGATATGATGGCCCCGGTGTCGGCGATGCACTCCATGTCTGTGAACTTACTAGGGTCTAATACTGTAAGTTGATATCAAATACTGTCAACAGACTTGCATGACTTATCCCTCCCAGATTTTTATAGAGACCTCCACCAAAGGTGATCCGAAAAGCGATATTATTGCTCGAGGAATTGTGAGCGAAGATCTGGCTCGTGTCTTATATGATCGGTATGTAATTTGCCATCAAATGCGCTGGGTAGAAATAACTTTTATTCAACAGATTTACCGGAGGAAGCAAGAACTTCCTGCCACTTTTCGACCCAATCCGTGACACCTTCGACTCCATCCGGTCCCGTTCATTGTTTTGCTTCACGGTGATTATATACCTTGCAAGCCGCGCTGTAATGGACCTTCGCAGCGATACGCATATACAACGCGTACTACAAGACGAAGCACAGAGATTAGCTGAGGATAGCTTCTTTGAGAGGCCTACCAAGCTTGAAACAGTTCAAGGAATGATCTTACTTGCTGCCTACTCCGAAAAAACATGGTTCTCCACGGCGCTCATTCTACGCACTGCCCTAGATTCCGGGCTGGAAAAGTCGCTCGACACGTTATTGTCCCAGGAGAATGTGCCGCGCAGTTCCCTCGCTGCTTCCATAGCCGACCGCCAGCTTGTGTGGCAGACCAGAACCTGGCTTATTACCTTCACGCTGGAGCAGGATGTTGCTTCGGGCACCGGCCGCAAGTCTCGCATTGCCGAGGTCGATGCTATAAAGCTACGGAAATTTCTGGACTATCCGCTCTCTCTTCCTTGCGATATGCGAACGGTATCTATCATTGAACTTCATCAGCTACGAGGTTTGCCTGAATCTTACTGATATTCTTGAATGTCAACTAAATGCTATTAGCCCAATCTCGAATTATCATGGAAAACGCAACGACAACCCGCGATATTGTTTCCACCGAATTACCGGCCATCATGACCAGGCTGCAGAACTGGTGGACCACGTGGGATGAAATCCACGAAAGTAAGTTTTCCCGATACTATATTAAAAACTGTTACTTACCTCTATGAAGATAATGGCTTTCATGCGGGGGCGTTTCAACGAAGCAGCCTCAAACTGATGCTCAACTATGCCAGGATCTTTGTTTGGTGCACTTCATTGGCACGTATTCAAAAGCTGCCGTCCAACTCCTCGAGTTCTGAGACAGAGAATCTCGATCAAAATGTGCTCAATATATGGCAATCACTCATCACCACCATTATGGACCAATTGGCTTTTTTTATTAACGAGCCTGCTTATCGCTGTCAACTACCATGGGCACCCACTTACCCCGCCCTAACTATCGCCTTTGTCGGTAAGTACATCAGATGCCGACAGAAGAATTCTTAAAATGGTCTAACAGCAACAGCAACATATGCAATTCGAATCGCACGGTGGCGCCCAAATCTAATTAACCAACACATACTGCTGGAAAGAGTGGATCAAATCTGTGAATTTCTCAAACAACCGCCGTATCCCGACATCCATCGTACTGTCTCTATTTTCGTGAACTACGTCCGAGCCTTGATCGCTAGCCAGCATCCACCAAGTGACGATGATGCAGACTCACCGAGCCTGTCTGGGCAGGTTGATGGACAGGCACCTTACCCCAGTGGGCAAGATGGCCCCACGAACAATTCTCTTCCTCCCTCTGGAATGGATCCGCTGGGCGACGCCAGCTACAGGCCAGCCCCACCAGTCCAGGCTGATAAAGACCCTGGCATGACCTCGATGCCAGCCGATAGAGCGGGAGCACCCCGGCCAGCCCCTCCCCGGGTGCCCGAGACAATAGAAGCCCCCAATTGGACGGTATCCAACACCATCGCAGATTCATTTGGGCTTTTTGAAGAAGGGCAGAACGACATCTTTGATTTTTTACCTATGATGCCAACGATGCCTTAGTACATTTATTTTGTTATCGAATGTTAATTTTCTACTGCTTTGTTTGCCCTACTTTAATGTATCCTTCCGCCTTTCAGAGGGTCGGGCTGTCTTGGTCTGTGGTCCAGAACACAGGATTCGGCATCGGCACAGCAACCCCTCGTCTTGTTGGGCCACAACCCTCGATCGTCGCCTGCACATGACAAAAGACGCTACATTAGCTAGAGGGAAAACAAAGAAATCGCCCAATGGCGGGCGACTAGATACTCGGCGGCGTCTGTCACCGTCCGGGCCCTGACCGGTGCCGGGTGTGGGTTCCCTTCACTGCCGGCCCCGGTACGGCCCCGGTCGACCGTCCCTCAGAGACTGCAGTATAGCGCTCATTCATTGGTACATGCCTATTTTCTCTCGCCTGATAGCTTCGTAGAGGCCTTTTCCAAGCCAGTCTAGCCTCTATGAGTCAAGTTTTCATGGATTGTTAGCTCCACCGGGTTGCAATGACAGACGAAAAAGTTTTGCTATATAAGCCGCTTGTCTAGTAGTTACTAGCCCGCAGAGATTATTATTATGGCCCAAGCATATTTTCTTTCGTTTTTAGTTTCCTTGCCACAATAATACCCGAACAAAATGGCAGTTTCATCATTTATATCTCGAATAGCAAATCTTTTTTCTTCTTCAGGTGCGCTGGACCTTGTATATCGCCTTCGTGTTCACCCCAGCCCTAACAGACTCCCAAGACCCCAAACCCGACGAGCAACCTGTGTCCCCAATGGAATCCAAAAAAGTTATTTGGAAGATGAGGACTTTAAGCTGATTGAACTGTCGAACCATGATGTACTTGTCGAGTTTCAAGAGGCTTCGGCCGCAGACCCGAACAATTGGCGTTTTGTAAGCTTGTTGTGCTTTGCTCTTCGTATACCTCGATCAAAATCATGGCCACTAACGACGCCTTCTGGAAATAGGGCAAGAAACTGTACATCATCTTGACATCGTTGCTCATCGTGATGAACAGCGGTATCTCGTCAGCGTTACCTAGCAATGCGATCCCTTCCATCATGCAATATTTCCACCAGTCAGGTTCTGGACCCAAGACCCTGCCGACAGCCGTATTTCTGATAGGATACATTGTTGGTCCTTTGCTTTTCAGCCCAATGAGCGAGACTCTGGGCCGCAGACCAGTCCTTCTTTGGACATTCTCAGCCTTCGTCCTGGTAACACTTGGCTGTTCTCTTGCACCCAATTGGGCAGCCCTCCTAGTCTTTCGCACCCTCTGTGGTCTTATGGCCGCTGCGCCCCAGACTGTTGTTGGTGGCGTGTACGCAGATATGTTCTCAGATTTTCGCTCTCGCGGTCGCGCAATGTGCTTCTATATGTCGGTATGTGGCGCAGTTGAGTTCCTGTGAGTTTCTTGTCTAATAGGTTATAACAGGCCGCGAGCTTTGGCCCAATTCTGGGTCCGATTATTTCTGGATGTGCCGTTAAGTACGGCTGGCGGTGGGTGTTTCGCATTGACGTGATCCTCAGCGGGAGCTGCTGGATTGGACTGCTCTTTATGCCCGGTATGATACTCGTTTCTTGTCTCTGGTTATGTTATTCCAAACTAATCTGTCAGTATAGAAACCTTCGGCCCAGTGATCCTCAAAAAGAAGGCAGCCAAACTTCGAAAACAGACCGGTTCAAATTCCTACCTCTCTCGACAGGAACTGAAGAACACGAGCTGGCGACACACCATGCTTCCGATCCTAACCCGACCTATCACGATGCTTATCTCTGAGCCTATCATTCTTTCCACAGCAATTTACATCTCGCTTTCATACAGTCTGGTGTTTTTCTTCTTTCAGGCATACCCAATTATCTACGAAGGTATGTATCAACTATCCGAAATTCCGTATAATATTAACAACTCCTCAATAGGAACTTACGGTTTTGATGTGCAGACTACATCTTTCACCTACATCCCGAGTATGTATTCTCTGGATTTACGATATTCCATAATCTCTAACAGCAAATACAGTTGGCATTGGTGCTGTCTCTTCCGGTTTAATGACATTCTACTACGACACTATCTACGAGAAAGCCAAGAAGTTGGGAAAAGAATGGACTTCCAGTCCTGAGCTTCACCGACTACCGTTGAGTTGCTTTGCCGGACCAGCCATGACAGTCGCACTTTTCTGGTTAGCCTGGACAGCCAAGCCCAATATCCATTGGGCGGTTCCCGTACTGTCTGGATTATTATTCGGGTTTGGATACCAGCTTGTGTTCATTTCGCTCCTCACGTACGTCACGGACGCCTACAACATCTATTCCGCCAGTGCGCTCGCGGCATCAGTCATCTTGCGAAGTATTTGTGGTGCGGTTTTTCCTCTTGCCGCGGATCCTCTCTATTCATCTCTGGGTGTATCGTGGGCAACCTCGATATTGGGATTCATCAGCTTGGCTTGTATCCCGATTCCTTTCATTCTGCTCTATGCTGGGCCTTGGATTCGCGAGAGAAGTCCATTTTGTCAGCAGCTGTTGGAGGAGGAAAGGCTCAGAAAGAGTGGAGTGAGTACGCCAGAGGAAGCATGAATTTCACGGCCCTTCTTGGGCATTTCGCGACCTTACGAACGGCTATGATGCATTTCGGATTCATTTGGTTACGGTCGCATATGCCATAAAGATCGCTCCGGTCTTGCATGGAACAGGTTGATTTGCATTTAGAAAAGTGATGGCTTGATAAATAATTTACAATAATGAAAATTGCTGCATGTTACGAATGTTCTAAGTGTCCGGTTCCCCTAGTCGAAGGAGAAAGATCTTTACATTAGAAGAACCATGCTGAAATAGTAATTGGAATTGGACGGTATACTTAGAAGTGTGCTATTTAGTATACAGGCAGCTTGAAAGCATTCAGGTCGTACAGCCAGGTGTCAACAGACTGCTGGTCGTGGACACACTGAGGATTTTCAGCTTTGTTGGATGACCACTTGGGACGAAGAGGCCAGGCGCAGATGTCCTGTTTCTTGCCAGCATTCTCGCCCTGGATAATGGTGCCCTCAAGTGTCGTCGGAGCGTTGCCCTTCTCAACCCAGTCAATCAGCACCTCCAGATTGGTCTGGGGGAATGGCCCATTAGGCTGGGCCACGTTCGGTGAGCAATGAGCGGCACCCTGAACCAGGAAAAACTTGTACCACTCGCCGAGCTTTTCGTAGCTATCACTCTCACTGATACCAGGGTACATGATGCTGCGAACTGACTCATAGTAGCGCACCGACGAGGCGGAAGGGATCGAATCATCCTGCTCGCCGTGAAAGTGAAGGACCTTGACACCTGCCTCTTGGAGGTCGGTAAGGTCGGGCCAAGTGGTCTGGAGGGTGTCCTCGTACTTCCACCAGGCTTGGTAGATCCATTCCTTCAAGGTGTCGGCCGTGACTCCATTCAGAGATGGAAGGTTGTCCAGCTCGACGAGCTGAAGGAACAAAGTGACAAACTCGCCGCCAAGCATACTAACATCGAGCTCCCATTCACCAGTTTGGGGGTTGTATTGCGTTGCTGAATCGTCAATATAAGCTCCCGGCTGGTAGGAGAAATACATTCTGCGACCCTTCGAGTCGTGTGGGCCATTGAGGGTGTTCTTCATCACATCCACAGCCTTTTGAGACACTTTTCCCTTTTGAGGGGGAATAGATACGAAAGAAGGGAAACCGAAACCACCACCCGGACTATACTCAACGTTGATGGTAAAGTTTGCAGGGCAGCTGTATGGCTCGCCAACAATGCTATCGAGGTCAAAGTGCATCTTGCACAAGTCGGAGCGGCCGACAACTCCATCTTCTTTGCCATCGAGGCCATCACAAGCGGCAATGGTTGCGTTCATGATCTTGGAATATTCACAGGAAGAGGGGTAGTAGTCCAGGTTTTTCTGCTGGAGTCCAGCCCAAAGATGCTGGACTTGCTGGAACGCAAAGCGGAAAGCAGGGGCACCAATGGTGTATCCGTCAAACTGGTCTGGATATCTTTGAAGCTGGCTCATTCCCTCACGGCCGCCCTCGGAGCAGCCCTGGTAATATGAGTACAACTTGGTATCGGAAGTCTTATAGAAGAGCTGAGTGAGCTCTTTGCCCAGAACGGTCATCTCATGTATTCCCTCATATCCGAACATGAAAAGAGCGTCGTAGTTGATGGTGCCATTCTCTTTCAAGATCACACTCGACACTTGGGTCTCGAAGCTTCCAAATCCACCGTCCGTCAGGCCAGCAACGGCGCCATACATGACTCCTCCAGGGAGGGAACCAAAGGTAGTGGTACCGGAATTGATGGCATAGCCACCGCCTCCGGTTGCAAGGAAACGATTGGCGAATTTGGATGGAGGTGGAAGCCAGTAGTTGACAAGCACTCGGTCATTTCGCCCGGAATGGGTGTAGGCAAAGGTGACATTGCAGAAATCAATCGTCGCATCGGGGTAGAAGTTGGCGCTGGCGATCTTTACATTCGTGAACGGCTGCGCAGTGACCGAACTGGAGTCAAGAGCAATGCCGGAGATAAAATCATCGGCCGGCAGTGATGTCTTCACGTAGGAGACAGTGCAAACGTCGTCCAAAGAGGCAGTTGCTTGTGCAATTGAGGCACTCCCCAAGAGGATAGCAGCCCACAAGCCAGCACCCATGTTTGAGAGCGTAAATAAAGATCGATGTAGAAGAAAAAGAAAGTCAAGATGCGTTTATGCAGTATCAGTGGCCGGCACAACTTCGGTATATAAGTACTTCACTCCCCAGTCACATCTCCACACTCCCCACACTTTCCCACCATCTATGAAGTGCGCATGTAGTAATTACCGGAGATGCGTCAAAAGTGTCTGGGATAAGGAGATTACTGCTACTTTAGTCGAGTCCAGGGGTCCACGCTAGCCCAGAGGGAGATTCTCAGACCGACCCCGACCTAGGCTGGCGGATAAGGACTCTTCCGCAAGGGCTCGAACTTGGCCTTCCGCTGTGCCGATCCTCTCAACTACTCAAGCAGGCCGAAGCTCACAACTAAATTGTATCTTTGATTGGATTCCTTTTGGCCGACGGCTAGGAGCTTGCCTCGCTTAATCATTTCTTAACGACCTCTAGCCTGTCGCTTCTTCAAACTGCTTCTGAAAAGTCCGGGGTTCCCCACACGCACTTTATCCTTGTGCTTTATCCTTCTTGGTTCCCCACCCACTGCTATTTCCCTTCTTCTCGTGCTACTGTGGATGAATTGAAAATGTCATTTTAAATTCTGGAATGCCTGGCGGCATTTCAGCGCATTTCGTATGATGCCATTCTAGCTGTATATATCCAGGAGCCCCGGAGTTAAATACCATGCCCAATAACTTACCCATTAGGTCTCTCCCAGCACTCGGTCGAGTCGATCGTGACATTGTTTAGGTGAGGCTGTGAGTTTAATGAATAACTCAAAGAACTAGTCCAAGCCCTGTACTTATATTCTCAACAATTATTTGATTATAACAGTCCTCTACTCCGCCACCTGCAATTGCTTCAACAGGTCCGCCTGAATGTCGTGTAAAAACTCCGTCATCTGCTCCGGGGTGTGGAAAGTCTCATTATACACCAGCCGCAGTGTTAACTGATCACGGAACGTCCACACAAAAACCACTCCTTGGCGTGAAAGCATTTCAACGCCCACCCCGGCATGCGTGATGCCAAATCCGCGCTCCGGGGTTCCATATTCGCGCTCCAGATATTTTTCCATGATCCCTATGCTGCTGATATCGATTTCGCTAGGCGGCTCTGTCGGGGTCGGCAGGTTCTTAATTACCTCGACCAGAGTGGACGCATACTCCCGGTGCGCCTGAAGATACTCGCTGCTGATGCCCTTCTGATACTCCGCCTGATACATGCGGGCATTCTCCACCCAGGTCCCGGAGGGTTCGACCCGCGCCAACCAGCCGGACGTGTATAGCCCGGCTGCCGCCGCGGGGGTCGAGTACGGTTCGGGCAGATACGGCCGCAGCGAGTGTCTGATGGTACTGGTGTAGTGGCGGCCCTGGTGCTCGGCGATCGCGTGCCGGAAGTTAACCGCGGCCAGACTGGCATGCACGGCAGCTGTGACCCCAACGCCGCGTGCTTTTGCAGCGGACACGGCGGCGGACGTGGTGGCAGGCGAGAACGTGAACTCGACGGCCCGCGTGCCGGAGGGCACAGTTGAAGCATCCCCGGTATAGGGCACCCCGAGGGCGCCTGCTGCCAGGGCAAAGGTGCCAACTGCGCTGTGGGCGACGGCCTTCTGCTCGTCAGTCGCAGTGAGAGGCATGTTGCCGGCCTCTTCGACCGGTGGTGCCAGCCGGGCCACCTCCGATCCCCAATGGAAGGAATCGAACGGGTCTGGCAGCTTCCCCGAGAGGAGGGTGTCGGCGTGCAAGACCATCAGGTCCACCAGCTGGCCGAGGAGGAGCAGGCCGCCGACTCCGTCCATGCGCCAGTGTGCGGTGTGCAAGAGCAGCTCACTTGATTGGGGGATATAGTATAGCCGGGCGTCAGCAGTTGGTGCAATGTTGGGGATCACCTCGTTGGCGGACTGGGCGTCGGCCTCCACGGTAAAGGTCTGCGAGGTCCATTCGCTTAGAGCATCGACAGAGTCAGGAACCGTGTAGATGACATTGGTGTTGGAGGAGTCCGGATGCGCAGCCAGACTGGGGTGCTGGAAGCGCAGATGCAACCAACTGTAGCGAATGAGGGTTGGTAGAAGATCGGGCGAGCCCGACAAGCCCGTGAATGCCCCACGAGGACTGATGGTGGCCGTGTAGTTGACCGCCCAGTGTTCACGACCGAGCGGGTGACCGGGATCACTGACCAGCTTGAGGAACACCTCGTTGGGGCCAAGGAGCCGGGTGGAGGTGTTCGGCGAGTGCTCGGCTGTCGTCCACGGCATGTTGAGGCGAGTGTGATTGCTGGGTGTTCGATGCAAGACGGACCTCTCGTTGGTCATGGCAGCAGGAAGGAAGATCTTGCGACAAAGAATTAATTGGCTCTAAGCACCGTGTCGAATCTCGTCCTTTGGGGGCCAAAACACCCCCCGATCGCTTGCGGTTCAGGGTGGAGGAGATGCATCGTCTCCGAGAGAACGAATATCATTATTGGATAGCATGATGACGGCAGAAGACCAAGCGTGAGGGCTGAGTTGGCTGACACGCCTGGTGTCGAGCCATACAAAACGCCGACACCGACGTAACCTGGATATATAGAGAGCTTACCCAATTTAGCATTAGCACCCCATTCATCGGTGGGTCGTCAATGCAAGGACCAGAGGAGTGTCCAACCAACCGACGGGAGTCCCGCCGCCACCGCCGCCACTGCGAGCCGCAACGCTTATAGTGCAAGAGAAGCTGCTCAATATAATCCTCAAAGACGGACGCGTTGGTTGAGCCCTAGAATACTTGAGACAAAACAATGCTATCTTGAGCATATGCAGGTAGTATCTAATATCGTTGATCACGATGGAACGTAGACACTTGAACTAGTGCGGTACCGAGTAGGGACTAACCCGTCCGCCTAAAGCCTACCCTTTTATCATATCTGGAGTCATCCACATAGACAAGGTGGTAAAACTAGAAGTACAAAATAAAGTGATGGTATACATTACCAAGGTCTAAGTTGCGGTCTCGGGCCTTGACCTAGGCAGTTTTTTTAAGCTAGCCTTTTAGACGTAACGGCGCGACTAATGCTCGATTTCGTTGCTTAAAGAGCGAATTCGGCCTATAGAAAAATCTCTATCTCCTCGAGGTACAAGGTAGATTTTTCGAGTATGTCTAGGGTGATGCTACGGGGTCGTTCGCTATTATTTGGCGGTGCTTTGACGCTACTAAACATCTGTATATTGGAAGAGATTCTTGTGATGGTACTCCTATTGTAGCCAGTAGTCTGTGCTATCTGCGATATTGATGGTTCCCCACTGTGGATCATATTGTAGATAAGCTTATACTTTGGAGAGGCTAGATTTAGAGCAATCTCGGTCTCGACTACTCGTGATTGATTGTTAAGCTACCTCTCCCTCAGAAGGTTGTTTTGGAGGTGGGATATGGACTTGTTGGATGTATTGAATTTCTAGGCGAATATACGCTTCAAAGTGCTACGTAATCTACGTAAGAAGCAAGACACAGTCTTGCCCGGATTTGTCTTGTCAGATATTTTCCATTTCCATTCTTATGCATCGGGATGATATGCAGCCTAGCCGCACTTGGCATAGATAAGCTTCACCGTGGCCTTCCTGTTAGGGTTTGAGATATTTTGTCTGCGTAAAACTTGGAAGCCAATTTCGAACGTGACTGTAACAGCGTCACTAATCAAAAAAAGCAATGCGCATAATGTCCAAAGCTTGCTGCAAAAGCCATAACAAAATGACATCACCTGCCAATTTTAAAGTTAGCGTACCTGTTCCCTTAAAAGTGGCGACGAGCGGGGTTCGGGAGGCAGTATTGATCCGGACCAGGTGGGCGGCCCGGGGTTTCTCGCGATCGACTCCAGTTTGGTGAACCCGGTTTAATTCCAGGGCGCTAAGATGCGAGGCCGCTAGAGGGATCTGCAGATCTTACGAGAATGATGGTAAGGCCCTTTTGTTTGCGAGGGGGCATCTCCAATGGAGGAGAGAGAAAAATAATGTTTGCTGATGAAGTCATTATTATTCATGTTAGGTTTCTGCTATTGTGCAATAGACTTGATTTCTGGTGTTTGAATGCGTTCTATTTTCACACAGCTACAGGAAGTAGTGCTGCAGGGTGCCTTCTACTACTCTAGTAAACTATTCCATGAGTCACTTTGAAATGTCCTGTTGCCTCAATCCTGGGTTTAGCAGAGGTTGGCTTGTGCAATTGACCTCAACAAGAGCAGAGGTCGTTAGCATGTGAAGATGAAAAATGAGAGCTTTGCATGAACCTTTCCCGAACCTTTCCCAAAAGGGGAAAGCGTTGTTCAGCCCTGCCCGAAGTACTTCCGAGGCACGCATGTGAGATCGACAGTGCCGTTTTATCACCTAATGTCAGCATTCAATTTGCACTCTTTCCTATGCACCAAGTCCAAGGCAAAAGAAATAACAATTCTAAATTATGAAAAGAGTCAAAATGCAATAACTTAGATCTACATGAAGAAGAAACGCCGCTCAGTAATTGTGTTGAGTGAAAAGAATTGTTGCGAGACGCAGATCGTCCGAGGTATATCCACACATCCAATGCTCCATCCAGAGCCTGGGCCGAGAGTTCAATGGTCGGCTTAAGCTGCCGGGATCTGCGTCGATTCCTTCCCTGCCGTCTCCGAGTGAGTCGGCTTGTTTTCGTCCGACTTTGCGCGATCCAGTGACGTAAAAGGGCCCTGGTTTTTTTTCGATTCCTCGTGCTAATGCCAAGGAGAGACTCTGGTTGTATATAAGAGCCTGCTCCATCCACTGTGGATCTACCTGTTTGCATAATTCTACGACAAGACATTCCTCTTATCGAAAGACAAGACACTTTCAATTGTCAATTGTCCCTCTTCACCGTTGAACATACACACCTCATTACATAGCAACAACAAGAAACAACACCGCCAAGATGCTCCGCTGGGTCTACCCCGTCCGAATCGTCCAAACTCTGATTGCCTTGGCAGTAGTCGGGCTCACAGCATATGGTCTGTCTCCCTCCCTTCTCCCTCCCTACACATCCCCATCCAACCAACAAGACCACGAACTAACCAACGTCCCCGTTTATAGTAATCGCCTCTCTCCAAGACTCATGGTCCTTCTCCAAAACGGTAGACTACATGCTCTTCGCCGGCTGCTGGACAGGTTTCATCGCAGTACCTTACCTCGAAGCTGCACCGTTATGGTTCCCGCGCGTGTCGCACGAACTCGTGATCCCCCTCGTTGAGGTCGTCACCTCCTTGATCTGGTTCGCTGGGTTCATCGCGCTGGGCGTGTTAATTCCCTCGCCTGGCGAGTGTGTGTTTCCGACTTGTCATGCGCTGCAGGCTGTTATTGTTCTTTCCTCGGTTGAGTGGTGAGTTTTGAATTTCCAGTTTTTTTAGGGAGATGGTGTGGCTAATCGGATACCGGAATAGGGCTCTCTTCGTTGTGACGAATGTCTATGCTGTTCTCGATCTTGTGAACTCGCGGCGCAAGCATAGTCGCCAGAACAGTCGCCGGAATAGCGTTGATGCTGAGGCGCCGCCTGTCTCCGAGGTGGGTGCTCAGCAGCCTGCTGCCTAGGCTTTGGGCCTCTGGGTACATGTACCTGCTGAAGCACCTTGTTGCTTCCCGATTCGATATACCGATATACCCTTCTTAATAATGTTAATGGTTAATGATTCCCAAAAGAGGGCGGTGGCTTTGACTAGTGATTGATATACGACATATAACTTATTAGTAGATGCGAATATCGTTGATATGTACATGATACATCATTAATGGATGCAATGGATAGAAAGATTCAAAATCTTTTGGAGATAAAGTCACCATAACATCATCGACCCACTCATTATGTAGATCCCACTTTGGACAACACATCAGAAAAACATCAACGTTGACTGTACACCAATCTCAATTTAACAAAGAACGCGCCTAGACGAAACAAAAGCAGACCAACCAACCCCTTTTCCCAGAAGAAAACTGAAGAAAACAAAGCTAAATCGAATCACAAGAGAAGATCCCGCACACTCATCCCCCTACTACTCTGATGATCCGACATCTTCTCTTGACTCTGGCTCGGAGTCGAAAGCAACGTGCTCCCAGAGAAGTGATCACTAATCGAATCAGCCGTGCCTCTCCGGTCCCGGGTCAACATAAGCAACGCTGCCGACGCCTCATGGTCGATATCCATATTTGACGTCTGTGTCGGGCCCAGTGCTGGGCTCGGGAGCACAGATGGTGCATCCGGCAGAGTCGGCGCCGAGGGGACACTGGTGCGAGGGGAGAAAGATGGCGATGTGTCGTAGAACTGGCCCGTTGGCGGGACGAGTTCTGGAGATGCAGATACAGAGGCGGAGGCGGAGAGGGAGTAGACTGAGGTGGCCGAGTGGTGGTAGAAGTTGGTGTGCTGCACCGAATCTGCATTGGCTTCGCCGGCAAACTCCGGGGAGGTCGGCGAGGGAGGCGTGGCGGACTTGTCTGCTGCCTTGAGATCCTGGATACATTGTTCCAGGTAATTGACGTAGTCGATGCTTGCCTGTGCGGCGGTTAGTATATGGGATAGCCAACCATGCACCACAACGACCCGATGGACATGACATACCTGGAGAATAGCCAGCTTGTGCATCTCCTGTCCCCGACACGCAGGAATCATATCCTTCAGCGTGCCAAACTCCTCGTTCATCTTCGACCGCCGCCGGCGCTCGATCAGGCTGTGTGCCGTTTTGCGGGCAATCTTGCGACCCGCGGCGCTCGTGGTACTCGGCTGCTTCTTTTTGGAAGTAGTCGCGGCATTATTCGCTGGGGTGTCCGATGGTGCCGGGGCTGCTGCCATCTTCCCATTCTCCTTCTTCTTCGCGGGAGACTTGGATGATGAGGCAGTGGCAGCCTTGGGTTTCATCTGAATGATCTTGCGAGTGCGCGTGGGGGGCGGTGGTAGATCCAGGTCCTCGAGGGGACGCTTGGGGGGATGATTGTGACGACCGCGAGCCACGAGGTCCGGGGAGGTCGGGGAGGCAGGGAGATAAGTGGGGTCTGATTGCGAGGACCGGCGACTACTGCCGGTATCTAGGGCCGCGGGCGGCAGGATCAAGACGTCGGTGGCATCGTAGGGCTGGTCTTTGATGGTGAATTCGCCGGACATGGCTGGAGTGGGAGGCAGACGGGACGACATTCTTGTCTGGTGGGGGGGAGAGTCGGGAAGAAGAAGAACAGGCTACAGTGACGCTCTATTTAATGGACCTCAGGAACGAATGGTATACAGATGGTCGCGTGCCTGGATACAAGGTGTGCTCGAACACTGCCCCCTGATTGGCCAGGGACTAAGTGTGGTCGGAGCAGCGCATGGTATTGGATTAGATAAGTGGCCTGAGCCGGCCCGGGGTTATGATTGGTGGCAAGGTTGCTGACACCGTACGTACTCCTGCCCGCTAGGGGCAATGTCAGTAGGGGAACAATGGCTCTCGAGGACGGCTCGTGCCAGCACTCTTTATCTGCGGGCCCGGCTATCACACATGTCTCAACGGCCAAGGTACACAATTCGCGGCATTGCTTGACCGCCTCGGCATTGGCGTTGTGGCGGTGGGGTTGCGTGCTATTCTTGCCCTGCGCCTGTGTCGGGATCATCGGGGAACCCAGATGACTGGCAGTCGTGCCGTTATGATGGTGATGGGCGCTGGCTGTTGCGTTAGTCGCGTTGGGGGAACTGTGCACGGGCAGCCGGATGCCGGGGTACGGGCCCGAGAGATGGGGCATGGCGACCACGCTGTGGGCCAGGGCGGCCAGGCACACGAGCAACCGGTAGACATGCAATTGCATGCTGGGAGAATAGAATGGCACGAAAGATGAGAGAACATCCGGTTCGGGCTTTGCTTTTATCTTCTCGATTCCATGACGCGGACGGAGCTGGAGATCGCTGGGTGGGTGAAGTATACAGCAACTGTCGCGGCCGCTCCAGCATTCCACATTCCAGAGGTACGTGTGAGGCGCCGCCACCAAAGACGTTGTTGACACGAGCCTCCGTTCATTGCATGCGACACACTGAGACACGGTGCATTGTTGGAGCATGCCAGAGTGTTGATATCTCACGAGTATACATTCCATTTGTGTCGGTGTTTCGAATGTGGCATGCGTGATCGAGGACACTCTTCCTCTTTGACTTTATCCTCTAGATTTCCCCTCATTTATGCATGATGAATATTCCCCCATTCGAATGACTCTCTCTGGAGAACGCGCACCATATATATTCTGTCGTCTATCTCAAGTGTATTGACATGCCCAGTCCATCTTCTACTGCCCCAGAATGCGTACATAGACCTACAAAAATAAACCCTACCCGAACAATTTCTGCAGAATAATCTGCCCGAACGTCGTCTCCACAGGCGAACCATGAATCCTCAGAATCCGATTCCCCGCGCGCCGACTCAGCCACAAGCCATGATCACTAGAGCTCTCCGCCTCATCCTCAACACGGTGCCGACTCCTCCGATCAACAACACACATACCCCGCGTCCACTGGCCCTGCGTCTCAACCCGAATATCCTCAGGCGAGGAGTCCGACGCCGTCCAGCGCGGATCCTCAGCTGTTAGCGCGTACCACACGCACAAGGGGTCATGCAGACTCAATTCTGCGTTGTCGCCGACATGCCCGGGGTGCAGGTGCTCCAGGGTGCGGAAGGTGTGCGCCATAAATGCAGAGACCCATTCGGCGAGCGGGGAGCCCGCGTCGACGAGTGGGGAGACGGTCTTGCGGAACGCGCCGCGCGAGAGGTTGTGGCGCAGCGTGATGTCCAGGGGGAAGAGGCGCAGCGTCAGCGGTCGGCTTAGGGTCTTGGGGTAGGGCGGTAGGCGCGCGCTGTTCGTTGGCGGGAGAGTCGTCTGTGGGTTTGGCGAGGTTAGAGCGAAGACGCGTGCAGCGGCGACGGCGTCGGCGTAGGCGTTGAATTCGCCCATTGGCGTGACCTAGCACATAGCATTGTCAGTGTTTTGGTGGGCATTATATATTCTTTGGAGGGGATGGACTGACATTGCCCGGCATGTTCACCGTACCCCCCATGACAACCACTTCCTTCACGCGCAGAAACGTCTCCGGGTCCTGTGCTGCCGCCAGTGCTAGGTTCGTGAGCGGGCCGACGGCAACCAGCGTGACCGTGTCGGGTTCGTTCTCGCGCAACGTGCGCAGAATCTCCTCGTACGCGGGCTTCTTCGACGGGATGAACATGTGTTCGTCGATGGCACCGCCGGTCTGGACAGGTTGGATCCCGTCGTCTCCGGGAGTGGGATCAAATAGATGTTCCCAGGCTTGAGTGGGGGTGAAGTGCGGGTGCTGCAGTAGACGGTCAGTTGATTTTGGTTTGTATAGTCCAGCAGAAACACTTACACTGGCATGGATATCCCCGAGCCCGTCCTTTCCATCTGTCAGAAGAACGTTAGAAGAAGGAAAAAAGCCCCCGACGTGATCTGTATCCATGGTGATTACGTACGGAAGTAATCCGCCAGCAACTTCTGATCCTCAAGCGGATCCTCTGCGCCTACCGCGACGATGGGCTTGGAGGCCTGCAGCGCCCGAAAGCCCTCGGGCCGCCCGTTGTCGCGGCGCCACTGCATCTCGCGCTCGAGGATGTGGAACATAGACACGACATTGCGGAGGCAGCTGGATGTCATCAGTTCCTGTTCATCTAATGGGAGTGGCGCAACTTACTTCCGCACTTCGATGTTGCCAAAGGTCAGCGAGATGAGGAGCACCTCCACCTCCTCGGGGGTGGCGGACAGGGCCAGCAGGAGGGCGAGGATGTCATCGATGCCCTAACATCGGTCGTTAGTACAGACACCATGAAAACATCGTTATACCCACCGGGTCGGTATCAATGATAATCTTCTTCGCCATGGCGTCGTTGACAGGTGTATGATGAAAGTGGGTGGGTGAATCAGTTATCATTGTTATCGGCTGGCTAGCTCCACTTCGCCAAATGTTACGCTGTTCCTGACTGAGCCCACACTCAACTAACACCCACTACACCTGCTGGTCGTGCATCGGCTTCGGCACAGCCTTCCCCGGCCCCTCGTGGCATTGGCCACTGCAAGGGATGGGGGAAAGTCAATGCCCCTGCCGGATCGACGCGCACGCCCTAGGATATGATGATGGAAACGGAGAAACACACCAGAGTCTAGCGTCTAGCGCAAAGAAAGCGGAGAGCTGCCACCAACTAGCGAGACGTGGCCTGTTCGGGCCCCGACTTTCGCATATTAATCCGATCTCTTGTCATTCACAATGTTCCTCGTTGGTCATCACTAACTATATGTAATCCTAGTCAGGCGATCCCCATCTCTCGGGATCACTTAGGTCTCTGTATTACCAGGGTATGACCGTAGCTAAGCATTCCCAGGGATCGGGCCCGCGCTGGCTAGTGGGCACAATTAGCGACGAGGCAAATGAGACCGCCAGGGTGACAGGTGGCGAGGAACTAGTGCTGAGGCCGTCGTGGGCAGGGCGGGTGGTGAGGAGAGTGGTGCACCATACACGTACGATACCGTAACTAAACACTCCTTGGATCCTCGTGTCCTTTTCTCATCTCCTTTCCCCATCTTCATCTGTTTCTCTCCTTTTGATCTTTGTTCCTTTCCATTCCTTTCGGTTTCTCTCCTGCGCCAGGGCCGACCGTGTCCATGCTCGAGTGACCTTTTTTTTCTTCTTCGTTTCCTTCCTCCCTCTCTGAGCGCAAGTCCCCGACACCTTCGGACCAGACCATCATCGACTCGGGTGCGCTGCGAGCCAACCGACTCCCCCAACCACCAATCACCAGGTTCAATTCCTCCGCCTTCCGCGCTCTCGATCTCCATGCTGGCCTGAGTGTGCTCTACATCGCCTAGCATCCTCCCTGTTTCCTTTGTACGAATACGAATACGTTTCCTCCATCACCGCCCTACACTTCCCCAATCGACGGAACCCCCCCCCGACGAACTCCCTTGTCACTACCGGTCTAGCTTTCTTCCTAAGAGTATGTGCTACGATTCACCATCCACCCACGAGCGGTAACGGTATTGACTGATGAGTGCACAGCTCTATGACCATGAACCCCTACCTCAGTTGGGCAATCCTACTGGTCGTGGCCGGCGGCCTGGGCTGGTATTACACCAATGGCGCTCAACCCAAACCCAAGGCCACCCTGAAGGCCGCCTTGGAGAAAACCGAGGCCACCGTGGCGCCCAAGAAACAAAAGCGCAGCAAGCCCAAGCCCGCCGCGGAGCCGGCCAAGAAGCCCGTGGTGAAGACCGTGGTGTCGCCTCCAACCACCGAGGATGAGAAGCCAGATGAGGATATTGACCAGAAGGAGATGGCACGACGTCTGGCCGGCATCAAGAACGGCACCTCCCAGGCGGCCGCCAAAGGCGAAAAGAAGAAGAAGAGCAAGAAGGCCGCCACCGTTCCGCTTGAGAGCAATGCCTCGTCCACCACCGGCGCCGATGCCGACGATGATCTGTCTCCTGCGGTCTCGCCCATGGTGAACGCCGTGCCTGCGGCTGGCTACGTGTCCGATATGCTGGAGGCCCCTGCCCCCGCAGCGTCGGTGCTTCGTGTCACGGGCAACGTGGAGAGCGAGCCCAAGAAGCAGAAAGCGCAGTCCTTCAAGCAGGTGGAGACCAAGAAGCAGCGCCAGAACCGCCTGAAGAATGAGGCGCGGAAGCAGCAGGTCCAGGAGGCCGAGGAGCAGCGCCGGAAGCTGCTTGAGAAGCAGATGCACTCGGCCCGGGAGTCCGAGCGCCAGACTGCTGCCCGGTCAACTCCGCCCACCAGCAACGCTTGGCAGACCAAGGGGGTTAACGGTGCCTCGCGCCCGGCCCCTGCCTCTGCCCCCGTCGAGCTCCTGGACACTTTCGACCCGACTCCCGCCGCGCCGGCTCCGAAGAAGTGGGCCCAGGACCTGCCCTCGGAGGAGGAACAGATGCGCATCCTGGGAGCCAACGATGGCGAGGACGAGTGGACCACGGTCTCTAAGAAGCAGCCCAAGAAGAAGGGCAGCAAGGCCGAGGAGAGCGTGAGTGACGCATCGGAAAACCAGCCCACCCCTGCGGCTCCCCTGCCCGTTGAACCACGCGTGACGGTGACACCGACCTACCTGCCGGCCATCCTGCAGTCCCGCGAGAAGGGCCACCCCTTGGACTCGGACTGGGCCGCGTGAAGTGGAGGAGGCATTTTGAACTTTTCTCTTCTTTCCCGTCTATATGCCGTTTTCTCCCTTCTTTGACTTGTATTTACTACCTCCTTGATTTGGCTTTTGGCGTTTTTTTCGGGGTGTCCCACAATACCAGCACCCTCCCCTTCGCCGCGGGCGGGGCGTGGGAAGGGTTGATCATAGCGCATTGTCTGTTGACTGTTGTTGAATCCTCCCTCGCGTGGCTTTGCGGGAGGAGCCGGGGCAAAAAGCGTGGAGGGACTGTTTTGTATGTTGAGACTGTGTATCACAATGACACTGGGCTACTATTCATGTGCCTGTGCACTCCTAAGGCCGAAATCCTCGCCCCCAGGATGGGGTTGTATAGAATGTCGTCACTATGCCCAAAGCGGTTAGCGCCGAGTTCCTAACATCGTGGCCTGAAAAGGCGTCTTGTACACAATTTGGACTCCACCCTGTATTTACTCCTCCACGAACTCCATCTCAGACTGCTTGCTCGCTCTTCCACCGCTCCACCTCCCCATACCACTTCCTCGACTACTCTCCCGCCATGGCCCAAATCCGCGGCACTGCGGGCTACAACCTCGGCCACCAGAACCCGTTTGGCGGGCCCGGTAGCGCCGATGCCACCAGCGACCCCAGCCCGCTGGATGCGATCCGTGAGCAGACGAGCAAGATTGAGGACTGGCTAGATATGATGGCGGACCCGGTCAAGCCGTATGTTGTTTCACTGGGTGTTCTCTCGAGGGCACGACCAGCTCCCAAACAAAGCCCAAAACAAGGGATCGAGGGTATGCATTGACTGACACGGTGTTCAATTTGCCTCCTCCAGGTACCTGCCCGCCATCGGCCGTTTCCTGATCGTGGTCACCTTCATCGAGGACTCGCTGCGCATTCTCACGCAATGGAGCGACCAGCTGCTCTATCTCAACGACTACCGGAAGAGTAAGACGCCCTTGTTACCCCGGACAATGAGTCCCAACCGCCCTTACCAACCACCGAACTAACACCCGATGCGCTGTCTACAGTTCCCTGGGGAATCACACACCTCTTCCTCATCACTAATGTCATCGCCATGGCCGTCTGTTCGACGCTGGTGATTGCCCGCAAACACACCGAGTATGCCGTAGCCGGCCTGCTGGGCGTGGTGATCACACAGGGACTGGGCTATGGCTTGATCTTCGACCTGAACTTCTTCCTGCGTAACCTGAGCGTCATCGGCGGTCTGCTCATGGTGGTCTCGGACTCGTGGGTGCGCAAGAAGTTCGTCCCCGCCGGCCTGCCTCAGCTCGATGAGAAGGACCGGAAGATGTATGTCCAGTTCGCGGGTCGCGTGCTGCTCATTTTTCTGTTTGTGGGCTTTGTCTTCTCGGGCCAGTGGAGCTTCTGGCGGGTGCTTGTTAGTCTGTTTGGCTTCGTCGCTTGCATCATGGTCGTCGTTGGCTTCAAGGCGAAGTGGAGTGCTATTATCTTGGTTGTGCTTCTGAGTGTGTTCAATGTGTTTGTGAACAACTTCTGGACGGTATGTTCCTTGACTCATCATGTCCCTTGTACCCTCAAACTGACGATTGTGTCTGTGTCCAGCTCCACCCTCACCACCCGAACAAGGACTTTACCAAGTACGACTTCTTCCAGATCCTGTCCATCGTGTAAGATCCACCTGTTCCGTTGACCCTTCTGTTCTAACACATCACAGCGGCGGACTTTTGCTCCTGGTCAACATGGGCCCCGGCCAACTCAGCATGGACGAGAAGAAAAAGGTCTATTAGGAGGACAAAATGCAGAAGACAGGGAGGAAAAAGAAAAACACGAAATCTGAATGATCTGAATGTCTCTTCTTTATATAACTCATGGCAACTTGCATCCATCCGACAGACTGAGCGGGGAGGGAGGGCAAATCGGTGAAAGGAAGGAAGGGAAGACACGATTTATCGAAACCAATGACAAGTCAACTCGCTCTTTGCCTTCTTGGGCAGTGAAAATCTACATCAAATATCCCGCCCCTACCCCTTCGACCATGTGCGCCCTTTGGAAATATGAGAGGTTGTCGTGTGTTCGGCGTTCGTCTATTTTTGTTGGCTTATCAGAGCAAAAGTAGGAGAGAAAGTAGCGAGAGATTTACTTTTTTTTGAAATCAACCGTCCCAAGGGGATTTATATGATATCTTGCATTGTTTTTCCTTCATGAGTCTGGTAGTGAAATCGCTTTTATGTTGTTTCCCCCTTCTCTGCAACTAGGACTCGGGCAACGTCGTCTGCGATATTGTACTCCATGACCTTACGAATTGGGCCAGTCATCAGACTAGGGAAAAATCCTACACCGATTGTGTCAGTATTATCTCCAAAGATCTTCGAAGGGCATCCTTACCCATCACTTTCATGATAGCGTACATCGAGTATTCTTTGAAAACACTCATATCACGCTTATTGCTCTGCATTTTCTGGGCAGCTTTCAAAATAGCCGTGACACGCGGTTCACGCAGGCCCATGTAATTGGCCGCGGCTGCTTTGATAGCGCGCTTTTGATCCGCCAGACTCATGGATTCTTGGGTTTGACCTGCCTCTCCCAGGTAATGCGTCAACAGAAGAGCAAATGCTTCAACATCTTCCAAGGCCTGTGAGGCGCCCTGGCCAGAAGTCGGCGGTAGAGCATGAGCTGCATCACCGACTAGAACGACCCCGTCTCTTTCCCACGTAGGGAGCGGAGGCGAAGTCCACGTCGCATACATGTTCGTCACATGTAGCGACTGCAGAATCTTCCGAACAACGGGCTCTTTCCATTGTGCATGTCTCTCCTGCAGCTGGCGGTTCACAGCGGCCATGTCAAGGGTATTGCGGTCGGGACATTCTTCGATCTCGTAGGTTGACCACCAAGCGAGGGAATCGCCTGGCTCGGAGACGTGATAAGGTGAGTCTCGGTTCTTTTCAGAAACTGCGCTCTCGGAGAAGAAATATCCGAAGAATCCATTGCCACCATGTATGAAGTTCATAGAACCTTTCTCGACAAGACCTTTTACTTCGGCGGAGGGGATGAATCCTCCAATCCCGACAAGACCCCTATATAAGCAAGTGGTTAGCACAGTACTTCTTCCAGACAGTTCGATGTACTGAAAACAATAAAGCAAATACTTACTCGTATTGGGGAGGGTAAGGTTCTTCCTCGGCATCGGGAAACAAGGCCCGCTTGGCCGTACTTCGAACACCATCCGCGCCAATGACCAGATCAGCCTCTACTGGCGGGGAGCCATCGGCAAAACGAATCACATTCCTCTTATCAGCGTGAGAAACGACTTCGAGAATCTTCTTGTTGATAATCCGGTCGTCCGGGACACGTGCACGCAGGGCCTTCCAGAACGAATGGCGGCTGCACGCCACCATGTGCATCTTCTCGGGATCATCGCCGCTCTCCTCCGAGGACGCATTGGGAGTTGGCTTCATGCACAGCAGCGTCGAGCCATTTTTGTTTTTCAGATTAGATGTCGATACGACGTAGCCGCCGCGTACAACATCCCGTAGGAGGTCCTCATCCAGTCGTCGGAGGACGTTGAGACCGTTCGGGGCGATGCCGAGGCCTCCGCCAATCAGGAGAGTTGAAGAATGTGTGTTTCCCTCTCCATCATTGCGTTGGTCCGGAGTGACATTCACGTCTGTGCTGTAGGCTTCGTAGATGGTGATCTCATGGCTTGTCCCCGTGGCTGAGGACGGAAGATGTTTCTGTAGCTCAAGGTACGCCGTGCACCCAGCGATGCCGGCACCGATTATAACGATCTTCATGAATATTGAAGTGTGAGTTTGAGGAATGTCAAATGGAATGAGAGGAATGAAGGGAACGAACAATGAAAGAATTTGAGCCGAAGGTATAAGTACTGGCTGGGTCGTATACTTCGCCGATCACGAGAACCCGCCTTTTTCGGGCGCTAGTTCGCAAATCTAACCGGATAAGGTTAGGTCTATTCATTCCAATTTTCCTCTGTGGCCAATCAGCTTACAACGCCTCTCACTCTCCTCACAAGGTGCTTCGAGTGACTTTCTTTTTTCATACGAAACGCACTTCGCGGCGCTCGAAAAATTCAGGCACCATTCAAAGATCTAGGCAGCAGTGTAGAAAGAAATGTTTGCCCCGCATAGAGTTGGACTTGCAATGCGCCACCACGTAGCAGTGTTGCTTCTTGATCTATGACATTATTTCCAGTGACATGTACCAAAACTAGATCCTCATGATGTCTTTGGAGTCATCGTACTCCAATTATGCAGTTATTTTGTGATCTACACCCTCGGCAAGAAGTTCCGGCTTGTGCAGACGAAGCGTGTACGCAGCTATATTCGCGAAGAGCTCTGTGGAGGTGGTTGAGGAGCTTGCTGATTTCTTATCCTGGGGGCTTTCTTCTCGTCCGGGTGGACTCCAGATGCTGAGGATATTGAATGGAAAGCTCACCATAATAGAGCCACGACTAGAAGTCGGGCCAGGAATCGCCGAGATAAAAGCCTTTGCTGACAAGATCGAATGTGCATGTCGCTGGATGCGTTCTTCGTACAAGTATGCGGACGATGACACCAGAGATAGAAGGCGAAGGGTGACTATGTTTGCGGAATCATAGAGTGAAAAAAGCGCAGCTGTAGGCATATCTGAGTGGGGAAGGATTGGGAAATAATGGGGATCAAGACAGCGACTCTCGGGATCTTCGTTGATGGGCTCCATCCATCTATCTGGGTTCAGTTCGCCAGAATTGGCCATGGAGATGCATCCTTTCCACCAAATGTGAAGCTGGGATATTAACCCCAGCACCAAAGGTTTCAAACTCTCCCTGAGGGTATCAGCCTTGTCGCCGTGGGCTTTAACCAGTTCATCCGCAACTGTCAAGCATGACAGCAAAAAGAAAAGAATGTCAACAAGGTAGTCAAATGGTCCTTTTGGATGGACTTCAAACGGAACCGATATCCATTCAGGCGTAGAGAAGACATGGCCCTCGTTGTTAACAAATGATGCAACAAACTGAAGGTGGATATAAACGTCAACTTATTTTCAAGACGTGATTAGATATTTTGACTCACTGTTAACAGCCGCAGATGACGAAATAGCTGGTGTAGAAACCCATCGCGACAACTTTCTGGACCTCCGGTCTCAAGCATCATAGACGCGCCTTGAACGTGCTGATACCACGCTCTGTCTGAGGTACCAGCTAAAGTTTCAAAGTGCGTAAGCATTACAGCAGCACAAATTACATCCCCAGTGAACGGCGAGGCATTTCGTGATAAGACACCTTGAAGACCCTGTAGAGCCCTCATGTACCACTTGCATGCTTCTGTTCGAATTGCGACATCCTGCGCCAGCGTGCCATAAAAGAACATCGAACCAGCACGAATAGAGTGCTTCACAACACCAGGAACCGGTGAGATGATGAACACAGAAAGATCATCTAGCCATGTTGGAGATGGACTATCCGAAACGGATGTTTTGAAGCCAAATGACTCGATGAAGTGAGAGACAAACAGCTGATCGAAGATGTCGGCACGTCCAGGCTGCTGAAGTGACAAAGGCGAAGGGTTAGGCGTTGGTGAAGCTGTTTCATGGCCACTTAAGCTGAAAATAGTCTCGCACTTCGAATTCAACAGCCTTTGCTTCGCAGAGGATATGCTTAATGGTCGCTCCGGGAAAGCGTGCACAAAGAATGCGCCCGTTCGAGCCCCAGAACAGCATAACCCGGCCTTCCTGCATTGCAAGCACTCTGGGAATGACTCGTCACACTGTGGAAGATGTTAGATCACGCACTCAAGGGCGCACACGGGATGGCCAGACCTTGATCTTGCGCCGACGACAGGTCGAGCAGCCCTTGCTTCGGCCTGAGACATTGACCATGGCCCCAGATGGCACTCTCCAGCACAGAAATAATTAACGCGGCTCACATTTACGCGTGAACTTGCTTGTAGGACAATTTTGTAGTAGGAGATAAGGTTGCATTTCTGCCTGAAGTCGATTCGCTCATAACGTAATCCCGCTAGCGACGCCACTCTGAATGCATTCACAGATACATAGACTTCTATTATCCAGTTCGAAAAGTCTAGAGGGATAGCTCAGGGGGCAAAAATAAATGCGAACAAGAAAAGTTCGGTCTTCATCAGTACTCCGTAGTTTGCTCCCAAGACCTTCTCTAACGTCTCCGTCAATGCTGTGACTTTCGCGACGGTCATCTAGGCGATTTCATTCAATTGCATGAAAATGCTATCGCATTAGGCGCTTTTAGAGGCTAAACTCCATTTATGGTGGTATCTATTGCCATATGCTGAAAAGTTATGTATGGAAGTAAAGGTCATTGTACAAGATGGACAAAGAAGAGCGATAGACTAAACAGCCAACGACGAGTAATGATAAAGGTGTTGAACCTATATCTTACAAAATACATAGGGATCCCAGTCTAAACTGGCGTTTTGTGGTACTGCTGCAATGGCACGTTTGCAACGTCGGCCTTGATCTGCAATGCCACAAATCTCGAGAAGTATCTGGCATGTCCAATGGCACCGCCAGTATACCATATACCCGGACCTAAATATAGCGACCATGGATAATTAGACAGGTAGACCTGTGTGAGGTAGTTCTGCAACTTACAATTCATTGGCTTCCATGCTCCGAGAATTTCACCCTCCTCGTCAACTCCGAAGAAATCTTCCAAACGATCTGCAATACTCTGCCCGATTATGCTGGCTGCCGTAGTGCGCATATTGCCTTCAAAACCAGTGCAGAAAACTATAACGTCTGCATCTAGCTGAGATCCATCACTAAGTTCAAGCCCGGTGGGTGTGTAAGCGATGGGTGTCACGTTTGACTTCATTTTGATCTATCTAATCATTAGCGCTGTATTCGTTATTTAGGTATAGATGAGAGGGACATACAAGGCCTGCAGAAATCTTTGCAGAGCATCCGACATCAAGATAATGGCCTCCGAGCCGGACGATGAGGAAATCGAAAGGGTCGCAGTATCGCCGTACTAAAAAACCGGCACGTTCTAGGGCATCAAATCTTTCATGCTCTTGGTCCACCCTAGCTCGAATATTTTTCATGGCAATCTGCCGAGCGACAGCAATAGGTAGGGAAAATTGGATTCTGTCCGCAGTCTCAGTCGGGATTTTGGTGTTGTAGATAGCTGGCAAAAAGATCAGCTTTAACAAATGTTTATTGCAAAAGCAGTCTATCTCTTACCATCATGATTGAGGTATTCAACCGGAATGACATCTGTCTTGCTTTTAGCGTGAGTCTAGGAATATATTAGCGTGGCAATAGTTTACCTGTAACTTTTCGCTGCACCATAGTAACCAACTCCAAACCAGCATCAAGCATATCGCTCGCAACATCGTGGGCTAAACAGATGTATCAGACTCTTTGGGTAAATTCACTCCTCGAGCAACTTACCAGTGTTGGCGGATCCGATGACAACTCCTTTCTTTCCTTTCCATGCCTCGGGTGATTTATAGTCTACGGAATGCAGTACTTCGCCTTGAAATAGTTTCTATACAAGCTTTTATTTAGCTCATATACTCATACAAATTCCGCTTTTGAAACTTACCGGGTTTGGAAGTGCTGGCATCTTTGGTATTTGACCAGAACCAGTGGCGAGAACAAGATGACGAGCGTGGATGACAGATACATCGGGAGTACCATTTTGTCTGGCATTTAGCACCCATATGTTCTCTTTCTCATTCCGAGAAGCTGACTCGAGGGTAGTACTCAGCCATACATTCTGAATATGAATTTTAGTATTCTGCTCAACATATGGCTTTGCTCTGCTTAGGAAGACTTACAATTCCATACTGACTGACATACTTTTTATAGCCTCGGGCAAGATCTTCCCGGTCGAGGAAACGAGGATCCTCTTCTGGAAATGTTCGTGAAAACGGGAGGTGGCCTTGGTGCCATCGTCAGTTTTGAAGCAGTAGTCATTCGGTACAGTCGATGTGATCTTACCGTATTCTCTGATCGTATGGACTGGAGGACACAAAATTAGCCACACATCCATGCTTCAAGCGAAAAGAATGTGGATTAAATCACTCACGCTTTGCAGAATCGTATCGATTTATCCAGTTGTCACCAATATCATCATTCTGCTCGAGTATGACATATGACACTCCAAGTGCTTTAAGGCGACCAGCAACGCTTAGGCCTGCCATTCCTGCGCCGACTATCACGCAGTCGAATGTAGATAAATCTGGAATCTCCAAGCAGAGAGTTCTAGGTATCGTAGATTCGGTTTCGGGCTCGGGTTCGAGGGTATCACAGCTCGGATAACCCTTGATCTGTTCTAGAACCGTGCTTAAAAGCCACATCCTCCATTTACCGTCTCCCGTGGGAACAATGCCGATAAATCCTGAGCCTAGCACCTGTGGTATGCTACCACTTGTTTCAAAAGTAAATCTGCCTTGAATCCAGGCATGATCAGGACCAACCCTCATAACTAGTGACGAGCCAGGGATAAAGCGAAAGTCCTGCGGATGATGTTGATCCGCGAGCTCTTTCCACGCCGACGACACAGTATCAGAACCATAGAATGTCCTGGATGTGCCTGTGAGAGCCCAGAGATCTCTCCATAATGCATCGTCTGTGAGAAATGCGGCATCTAAGGATTCAAGTTTCTCAATGGCTGAACGGACGGCAGAGACGTGGTCAACATCCTTCGAGATGACGACCTCAGGGAGAGAGCCTCTCAAAGTTTCAAGAGGAACAGCTTGTTTTCGCGGAACATAAGAGCCCATTTTCGACCCTCTCCTTTTCCTTTTGTCTGGGTATCTCAAATGCTAATGAGAAAAGTATCGCCAGAGACCTCATTCGGAATAGCAAAATGAGGGGTTCGAGTATACGGCCCCAACTTGAAGTAAGCCAACGAGAGGGGAAGCCCATACCTCCTTAGATAATCATCAGAAAAGATAGTTGTCGACCTTGAAAATTGCTGTTCGGATTCCAATCCGTTATTAGCCCCGGAGTAATCAACATCAAGTGAGGCGGGCTTGAGGAATGACCTGAATTCGAGCAGGCATGATAAGCGGCGGGACTTTGATCAGCCAAATACGACTGGCATCAAGTGATTGGCAAAATTTCCTGTACACCTAGTTCAGGCTTTAGGGCTTTTCAACTCATCCGAGAATCTCATCCAATATATCTGTACACTAGTGTTTAGAAAGATGACCATTGAACTGGAAACGAAGAAAAGTCATTCAAAATAGTTTTAACCCCCCAGTTCTATTTATCTACGTAGTGTGCGGGAGTCCCAGATTTGATCATTTTTGGATTTATACTATGTATGGTTAGGTATCCCTCGCTTCGGGGTAAAGGATATGATACAAGAAGAGAAAGAAAGGGTGGTGTGCAAGTATAGCAGAGGGAGGAAGCGGGCCGAGGCTCCAGATGAACCGAAAAAAAGCCAATGAGAAATAGGTGTCAAGAGCCAATGTGACAAGGAGGGAAGGATGGAATCATAAGAATTCCGTGAATCAAGACAGGAAGGAAAGTGCTTTATTTGACCGTCATGCCCCCCTAACTGCGTCGCAGGTGAACCGAAGTTTTCCTTTCTCCATCCTTTTGTCATATCTGACCTTTTTCTTGTTGCACTGGTCCAGCCAGAGACAAACAACTCAGAGCTTTTGACGGAATGAGATTGAACGATTGTTTGGGCAGCCAAATAGCATCCCTGGGAAAAAGACAAGATGCTCGCTGCTCTTTTCGCTTGAAACGCCGAGTAGCCAGGAAACAAAACTCCAGTTGGAGGGGAAGGCGAAAGGAAGAAAATTTAGGTGAGGTGTGAGTCGAATAGGAGGTGGAAGGTAAAGGTCTTAGTGAGGAAGACCAGGAGAGTAGGCGCTGTGGAAAAGCCATCAAATATCCATACTCCAGCGCCATGGGCGAATGCGCTCGAGTTGGCCGAATCCGACGTCGTCGCGGGAATCATCGCTAATCTCCAGCTGCAGCATATGGACCTTGTTGTTGTCTCGCTGCAATGTGGACAAAGTCTTGGAGAGCTGCTGCCGCGGCAGTTTGCCGCTATCATCGGTGGCCTTGGAGTCTGGTCTGGTGGCAGGGGTATCCGGGTGATTCCATGAGACGGTAGGAGAGTGGTCGTCAGAGTTGGCCATGGAAAACATCGAGTCGGAGTGATAATGAAGTGTGGTGTGATGGGTGTCGAGCAGGGCACTCTCGGATTTGAGACGGGTCATGGATGGCCGGCGGGGCAGAGATAAGCGATCAAAAGCCCCATCACCGGCCTCGTTGTTGCTTCGCACTACGCTGCTCTCGTTCGAATCCGTGTTCTCCTGGATCAGGCGAGACCGGCGTTTGTCATCGCCAATACTGTCACGGGCGGCCAAGTTGAACCTCTCCTTTCCAGCCATGACGCGGGCAGTCGGTGGTGGTTGCAACATCCACCGGGTCTCAGTACGATTGCGCGGTCCGCTGACAATCGGCGGATGGAGGTCATTAACGGGCGGCACGCGGGCGATATAATATTTCGACGACTCGTTCGGATCCGCGCGTCCACGACCCGAGAACCCAATCGACGACCCACGCACTTCCTGACCCCAAAGCGGCTCATCTTCCCGCTGATACCGCATCCAATTATTCCACCGCTCACCTAGCGGATGCATCAAGCTCCCGCTCTTATTGCTCTCTGCCAACGAGTCCTGGTTGTCCTGGTCGGTATTCCAACTATCAGCGCGCCGGATATTATTGCGTTGCCCGCCCCGTCGAGCTGGAGGCCCGGGACCCAGAGCGATTTCATCTCGCCAGCCGTCATTCGTGCTGAAGGGCGTAGGCTGCGGAAAGGGGCGCGGCTGGTCGGAAACGAGGTGGGCATGGTGGTCGCTATATTTATCCTTTAGTCGCTGAGTGCGAGCGGCATCCTTCTTGCGTTTCCGGCGATCGAGGCTGTTAGCGCAGGGGGTGCAGGTGACATAGTAGAAGACGGCCGACTGCGCGCCGCGGTAGAGCCACATGGCCACGCGCGGGGAGGTGGAAGGGCTTTCAGAAAGATCAGACCGGGCTCACTGCCCACGGGGACTGCTGGGGACCCGGTATTGGCTCTCTGTTGTTCTGCAGCGATGATAGGGACCACATGAAGGGCTTGGGGGGCGCGGATAGGGGGCCGGGTGGACACAGAGAGTGCAGAATGGGAGGTCGGCCAGCGACCGGGATGGTTCAAGGGGTAGTCGGATTAGAGGTAGAAGGAAGAAGTCAAAAATGAGAAAAGAGAAAAAAGGGAGAGTGGGGAGTGTAAGAGAGACCGAGAGTAATGGCAGCGTGAGCGTAAGATGAAACCAGGAGGGGCCGGTGCATCCGATGGGGCTTAGTGGTCGTTGGGTAGACAAGTACTAACCTGGGATGTGACCTAGTGAGGAATGTGATGGACCAAGACACTATAACCTCCTCGCTTGACCTATAATAATAAGGAATAATCTACGTGTTACATCCTCATTACGTGTCTCCTGTTCGCTCACCACGTAACTAACCGTTGCCACTGCCGGTACGGGGGGATTGGGCAACAACCACCGGGGCGCGCCAGGATCCTAGCGTACCTAGACCCCCTTTTTTAAGGATTTTTTTGTTGACACAGCCCGATTATGATTATCGGTCGTTCTTTTACGCAATATTTAACTCCTTTCCCACGTGGTCATTTAACTGAAAAGGGGTGGTCTTCCGTAGTGTTCGAATTAGCATTGACTGAAGAAGGAATAAATGGTGATTATGAGGGGACAAATCCGGCACTTTGCGCGCTTGGCACTCTCGCCTCTTAATATTTCTGCCTGCCCAAGCAAGGGTTTAATTTCCAACGTACCCTCCAGAATCCGAACACGGCCGTCCGCAACCCATTGGATCGCCTCCGTGCCTCCCCCGCAAATCGCGACGCAATGATCACCAACGGCCGATGCCGAGCGTCAAACCACATGGCAGAGGTCCAGCATGTGAATCCTTCCCAGTGACGCTGGCTGCGTCAGTAGGAGGCCAAGTGCAACCCGACAGGACTCGAGGCAGTGGCAGAGAGCGCGTGCCAGTTATAGACTAGCATCATTCTCAGCCTTGCCTTGGCTTGGCTCGTCTTCATCCTCAGCAGCCCGACCTGAAGTAGTACGCGCTGTCATATCGCTGGCAAATGTAAATGTATCAAATGTATTCCAATCCACACAGAGCCCCCAAGAAAACGCCGGGGAAAATAAATGATCAGTCGAAAAGCGGAAATGGCTGAGGTAGGTTGCTTTTTTCAAGAAACTCATGCATTCTTCGTGTCCCGGATGACCTCGCCCTTCACCTTGGCCCAGTCGATGTCGGCGTCAATCTTCTCGTCAATCTCACCACAGACAACCACGTTGTCGCCGCGGATCAGGTACAGACCATGCTCGATCTGGGACGAGGGCTCGTCGTCGTCCGGGGTGCGGATGATGCGCTCGATGGTGTTGGAGAGGACGAGGTTGGTGAGCTGGTCGGTGGAGAGGAGGGTGCCGAGGAGGGTGCGGCCGTCCACGGTGAGAATGAGGACTTTTTCTGGCAAGAGTGTTAGTTGGGGAGTTGGTGTCAGCGCATGGACTGGGGGACTCACTATTGATGTACGCTTGGAGAGACATGGTGGGCAATGTGAACGCGCTGACAGGAACGTATCAAGGATTCGGCTTGTCTGGTGCTCGCGAGCAATGCGGTCACCTGGCCGTTTTGGATCAAGGTCGATCAATCCAGGGTGTGTCGTTGGTGTTGTAGCTTGAAAGACCTGTCGCGTCCACCACCCCAGAGAAGAGGCTCGGCTCGGTCGTGAATTTCCTCTGTCGTGCTGCACCAAGAGATCTTGAGACAGTCGGCTGGAGTAAGAATGAAAGGAATTGAGGGTGGCCGGGGAGTTGAACTTGACTCCACGAGTGCACGACAATCCCGAACGAGGAAGGATCGCGCGGGTCACGTGCCGAAGCTTAGCTTATAGACTTTGATATACAAAAAAAAATACAGAATCAAAGAAGTAATAATATATGTAGTTAGCATTCCTATCTGTGCACGATATCGCCTGCAATTTCCCATGCACTCGACTCAGCCACTCAGCGCGCTGAGATCCAATGGCACACTGCTGCCTCGCCCGGCTCGGTACCGCCGAGCTCCTCCAGTAAACGGCCGTGGCTTGGGGAGTAGCCCCTCGCCCTGGAATTTGAACCGGGTATCTTCGACGCGAACATTGCCATGGGCCGAAGGGCTCCGTGAACTGGGTGTCGGCGAAGACCCGCCGCCGTTGGTCAGGGTGTAGGCGCTGGGATCCAATGTTGCGTGAGGCTCGTGCGAAGCGGGTCGAACAGGAACGGGAGATGGACGGGCTGGAGGCTCGCTGGGAGGCACGATAGGAGGCGATGTGGGGGGAGGGGGAGGCGGTGCAGCCGGAGCAGAGGCTGGCGGTGGTGGTGGCGGCGCCACCGGTGAGCTGTTGGTATGCCCCAGGGCTGTGCGGGCTGCCTGTGCAGCAAGAGAAGGCGGAGCGCCAGAGGGTGGAGGTGGAGGTGCCCGGGGGGCAGCAGATGGAGGCGGCGGTGGGGGTGCAGCAGGGCTGGCAGAGGGAGGCGGTGGTGGGGGTGCAGCAGGGCTAGCAGAGGGAGGCGGAGGCGGAGGAGCAGATGGTTTCCGCGACGCCGGAGGTGGAGGAGGTGCGCGTGGAGGGGGAGCTTCCGGAGGCGCAGTCTTGGATGATGTAGAGACGGGGCGCGGCGGCGCCTTCTTAAGGCTGGCAACCAACGGGTTGATGGGCGCAGCAGATGGTGACTCTGTTGATGGTGGAGGGAGAGGCGGTCGTGCTCCAGGTGGCCTGGGAGCCGTTGGAGGCTTTGGGGCGGGAGCAGCAGGCGCTCGGCGTGCACTCTCCGAGTCTGACATGTAGGGAGAGTCGCGAGTGGCACCGGTAGCAATACCCCCGCGACTGCGCAACTTGGGCATTCCACCCGCAAATAAGCCTGCTAATTGAGAAGCGGGCGCATCCGCAGCACCATCGGTGCCGGTCACTCCTTCGCTGTTACTTCGGGCCCGGTTTGCCGCTGATGGGACGGGAGGTGCGAGGCCAGATGGCGTCTTCAAGCCAGGAACCGGAGGGGCTCCTCCGATCGGAGGAGCTGCCGAGCCTCCTCCTGAGCTCGCGATTATCGGTGCAGAGCGATCATTGGTGACGGCCTTTTTTAAACGAGTGCCTCCACGGATATCAGATAGCAGTGCGCCCTGCGAAGGTATCAGTCACCAGATTCTCGAGGTGGCAAGTCCAAGGAGCACCTGAAGTGCCTAGGCCTGTTCGCTGTGGAAGTTCCATTTAACATACCCTATCTTTCACTTCGCCTTTTGCTGGCCGGCTTGGAAGTTGACCTGGTGGAGGGGGCGGAGGAGGGCCGCCAGGTCCTCCAGGCGGCGGCGGCGGTGGAGGAGGAGGGGGAGGAGGCATGGATGTTGAGGATCAAGTAAGAATGCAGAGAGTTGGTCGAGACTCAGATGGGCTGCAGGGGGAGTGTGGGGGATAGAGCTCCTTGACCAGCAGGAGATGTTGACGTGAGATAGAAGAAGTGTGGAAGAGTGAGAGTCCAAGACCGAGTACGGGGAAGCGCTCGGGCCCAAGTAAGTGGCCGCCTGGAGCCAGAAAAAGACCTTCCACCTGCCTCCATGCACCAACCACCACCACCCTAAGCCATGAAACGCGTCACTTTGGCAGGCCGCAGCGCTTCCAGTCCTCAAGGTCTGGTTTGCCACTTTTGTCAATTGTCGGTCTCTCGTCGAGCGGCTTCCCTCGCACACCTGTCACCCGTTGTCCCCAAGAGTCGACGGGTCTCCAGCAGTCCACGCCCTCAATTCTCCACCCCGAATCTGAGAGTGCAATTCGCTTCGCCACTGTCAGTGCGTGCCTTCGCTTCCACTTCCTCTGCTGCATCAAGCCCCGAAACCGCCATTCGTGAGATCTCGAAAGAAGCTTCCGCCATTCGCAATTCAGATACGGTGCCGGCAAACGAGACCGTGGTGAACTTGCTGCAAAGATGCCAGCAAATCGCAGAAGATCTCGTGTCGCATGAGCACGATCAGGACGAACGCTCCGCGACCAATGAAAACAATGCCATCTCGCCATTGCTGAACCTGGACGAGAAGAAAAGCCCGGCAGTAGCAGGCCGCACAAACCAGACTCGCCCGGTACGAGACCCCAAACTGGCAGAGTCGGTATCGCGCATCGCCACCGACCTCCTCAAGGACAAGAAGGTGTTCATCTCGCCGGAAGTCCTGGCGCACTACACGACCACGCAAACCCTTCTGCGGCGTCCTGAACACTTCCCGGAGATCTTCCACCTGTATGCCAACAAGCCGGTGCCCGAGGAGAACAGCTCGCCGGTCAAGTTCCACAAGGCAAATCCCAAGAACGTCAACAGCGCCGTGCCCGCCGACCTGGCCAACCAGGCTCTGGACGTCGCCATTGCGCAGAAGAACCTCTCGCTCGTGCTGGCCATCATCGACAACACATTCTGCGCACCCGCGTTTCATCGCGCCAAGATCTTCAAGAAGGCCGCTGTTCCGCTCGCCGCTCTGGCTGCTGCCCCGGCTGCATGCTATACGCTCGCGTCGTGGGCGTCGACGTTCCAGAACACCATGGACCCCAGTACGGCGACCGGCATCGCGTTCGCGGCTAGTCTGGCTTACGTTGGTGGCACATCTTCTATCGGGATCATGGCTATCACTACCGCCAACGACCAAATGGAGCGGGTGACTTGGTTGTCGGGCATACCGCTACGACATCGGTGGTTGCGAGAGGAAGAGCGGGCGGCCATGGATAAGGTCGCTGTTGCGTGGGGGTTCAAGGATCCGTATATGAGAGGCGAAGAAGTGGGCGCAGAATGGGAGGCTCTGCGCGAATTCATTGGGATGAGGGGCATGATTTTGGACAAGACGGAGCTGATGGAGGGAATGCAATAAGCGGCGGCATGTACGATACTAGAGTGTTCGTTTTACAATGGTACTGTCTACGATCGAAGAATAAGTCAAGACCGAATCGTGAGCTTCATTGGTTGGAAACTATGACACACGCCCACTTCTCGGGCCCCGAAACTAGAGAGAAACCCCAGCGCAACAAAGCGATAGAGCCAATCTAGTACACACGGCGGGGAGGCGACATGGTAGCCTTGATGACCAGGCTACCCACGTTCTGCCAGCCCTTCTTGAGCAGGGAGACGAGGTAGTTGATAGCCAGCATCAGGTTGGCGACCAGCTCCTCGGAGGTCATGCCGACGTTGCCGACAGCGACACCCAGGCACAGGACCTTCTTCAGCTGGAACTTGATGGTGGACTTGACCTCGGTGACCTTGGCCTGCATGTCCTCGGCGTGAGAGACGGGGGTGGGGAACTTGCCGGCTGTGAAGTAGTCAGTACACTGAGAATGGAGGCGGTTGTATTGGAAAACCTACCCTTGGACAGACCAGGACCCAGCAGACGGGGGATCTGCTTGATCAGAGTGTCGGAGGCGACAAAGGCATCGTACTTGCGGGCCAGCTTCTTGATCAGCTTCTTGTTCTTGTTCAGCTTCTTCAAGTCGTCCGAGGACATGGCGTCGATGCCGTGGTGCTTGGCACGGTCGAGATCGTGCTGGTCACCCAGGATGCAGATGGCCATGTTGGGGCGGGGCACGGTGGGCAGCTTGATGGTACCCGAGAAACGCTTGTCACGCTGGGGGTCATAGTTCTTCAGGCCGATCTGGAGCTCGACGGTCTCGAGGAAGTTGCGCTTCTTCTCGTTGAGCGAGTACTCAAGGAGCTGGTTGACATTCTCGCGCACTCCGGCTGGTGGGGGGTTAGCATGGGGGATCATGGATGAAGAGAATTATGAGGACCACCTACCGACTGTAATCTTCGACATGATGCTGACAGTCTTCCAAAAGAGATGATCTTATGGTGTGGCTCTGCGCTGGAATGTTGAGGAAGAAAAGAAAAGAAAAGATTCTCGCCAGTGTAATTTTCTCCGCTTGTGGGCGGGAACATCCACTAGTCCCGAAGTGGTTTAGTGGAACCCTAGATCGAGCTGACTAACTAGTTGATCACATGACCATCTCCCTCACCATCGCCAGCACGCGTGACAGCTTCCCCGAATTCCGCTCCAGGACCGTATCATCCCACAAGGCGAACCCGGTACTTTCATACAACTTCTGTGCCCCATCATTCCCAGGCTCAACAATCAGCACAACGCGAACGGACGCCGCCCCGCGTGTCTGACCCTCCTCCCGAGCAGCCTGGACCGCCGCTTCGATCAACCGTCGGCCATGACCCCGTCGTCTAGACTCAGGCGAGACAAACATACCCACAATCATATAAGAAAGATGCGCACCGCGTAAATCCAACGTCTCCGTCGGCGTCAAAGGCGGAATGCACTGCTCATTCTGAAAGAAAACACTCCAGGGCTTCGCTAGCGCCGTCGTCTCGGCCGTCTCATCGCCCCGGATAGCGAGAACTTCCGGGCCAACAAGCGTAAGCTGACCGGTCCATTCGTTCTGCAAGAGCGGCCCCAGAGCTCCGGAACTGTCGCTCGCAAGGACCAGTTCGATTTCAGGGGCCACTGATGGCTCCTTGCAAGGAATCACCGAGACAAAGGTCTTGCGCGCCGGGTGCTCAATCCGGGCTATCCATTGGCCCTGCTCGAATTGCGACTCGCGCTCGTATGTCGATGAAAATGCATGCGGGTCCGCCTTGAGTCCGTGTAGGCGCAGCTTTCTGTAGCGGTCCGCCACGGCGTGTAGTTGGGTTGGTACATTGTAGGTTTGGGGAACGCAGTGGACCTCGCCGAGTGGTCGGGATGGGATAGTCATCGTGTGGTACAGCCCGCAATGGTGCTATCGCAGAAATCGTATGTGCTTTTTTGGCGATTGGCGAATTGGGATTTGACGCCCATTTAAGTCTTCTCTGGCTGGGGGTGACTCACCTGCAGTCCGTGCGGCTCCGAAGCCAAAGTGTACCGCAGAACTATCGGCATTGGCGCTGAGGCGGTTTATTTAGTTACTACTTTCCGTCACCTTCTACTCACTGTCTATCATCCGAGAGGATCAAACACTCGAAGCCCAGATATTATAGCAGAATTAACGATTAGGCTCTACTCTCACAACTCTGACAAAGAAATTACCAACATTTGTATCTGTCCACATCTCTGCCGTGATCCCTTCCACCGTATGTGCGAACTTGACCTCCAGCCATGACCTCCACTCCTAACCCACCCATTCCCTAACTTGCTCGCATTGAGTTCGCTCCCTCCGAAGAGCGGCGAAACATTTTGACCAAGAAAGAATTCAAGCTTGAGTGCACGCGTCATCTGGTCGGCGGTTGAAAGGACCATGACAGTAGTCGATCCTCAAATGATTAAGGAAGGACCCCGAACTGGCAGTAAGCGAGCTCAGGCCATGCGCTCAGATCACCACCATTGTCCTCAACGCAGGTTACGCAGTACGACCTGTCGTCCTGGAACGTGGACTGAGAACAGGCGGCACTCCCGTAGTCGTCATAATATATTTTGAGAACGTTGCATATGCCCAGGCAGGCGTTCTGTCGCTTATCCATTGACTCGGCAGCTGCTGCCGATGCCAGGGAAGCGACCTGGAGGGCCAAGGTAGCAAAGGTGGAGAACTGCATGACGGTGGTTGTAGAAATGAAAAATATGTATAAAGTGCACAGTGCGGAAGTTTTCTGTATGCCTTCTCGATAGAGAGGTTGAATCGAATGAGTATGAGAAGAGTAGAGTGAATCATAACAAGAGAGAGCACGAAATGCCCCTTTTATATCTTGCCGTGGAATTCTATGTCCTAGGTCTCCCCGACTAATAGGGGCGGGAGCATAGCTATGAAATTAGCAGGATTTTAGCCCCAACGCATATAGCACAAGGACCGGCCTAGCCATATTTAGTCCCTATAAAGCGTTGTCATTACAGATGGGGTGGAATATGGCCAGAGCCTAAAATCGTGTCCAAAATACCTAACAAGACACATATCTGATAACGATAGTTCTAGCAAGAGTCGTGAACTTCCCGGTCGCTATGGTTGGACAAGTGTAAATGAGTTGTTAGCGGAAGAGCAGATTGGGTCAGCTTTCACGCCCGAACGCTAGTCCTAGTTAAGTAATTGAGATGCTGTGCCAATTAATGCATGATCACTTCAGTCGTCTGCAATGGACTTGCGGGAGAGTTGGATTAGCATCCTAACAACCAGGAAGCGTTTGCGTCAAAGACTGTCCAAGTGGTCTCACTTAGATTTTTGTCTATGAAGGGGGGAAAGGCAGCAATGTCAGATCCAGATTCTGCCAATCCCAAATCTGGTCCAGCTGGCCAACATCTACATTATACCAGTCGCCCAGCGCCATCATCGGTGGAGTGTCCAGGCCAGGCACAGGCAGATCCGCCGGAGTAAAGATTCCCGGCGCGGAAATCGAGTCCAGGCCCGACAGTGATTCCGGGGAGATGATATCGTCAAAAGAAAGGTCACCTAGATCCCCAGCTTCAACAGTGCCAGTCCTCAACTCCCCGTCCTGTACATTCGGCAGAGAAGTCTTCTCGGCAGGCACGGCCGAACAGCTTTTCGCAAGTCTTGTAAGGATGGGATAGCAGATCGCTCGTGTCTTGGTCGCGCGAGCGAGTTTCCCCATCATCGAACAGGCGAGCTTGATAGCCTGGAGTATTTCTTCTCGGCGAGGGAGACCTTTGTTCTTGTCGTGGATCACGGCGGAGCAGAGGAAGGCTGCCGTGTCGAAGGTCAAGAATGTTATTAGATGGAACTTGGCATTGACTGGGAAGACGTGGTTGAAAAGCTGGTGGCAGATCGCCATTAATCGAAGGGCAGTATCTACTGCTATCTCGCGATGATTGTTTTCTGCATCTGAGAGGTTGGCGCGAAAGGTCTTGGTGAGGCACTCTTTGAAGGGGAGGAACATGGTCATGTATCCCACGGCGTGCAGCTGTAGACGGTGAAGGGGCACAAAGCGATACTCCTCGTCCCACTGCGTGTACGGATCTCTGATCCTGTACGCCGGGGGAAGAGATACAAGCCACTCTTCTATAACATTGCGGATGGTTTTTGCATGAGCGGCGTCTAGCGTGCCACTCATGCTTCCTGGAGCTTCTTGCATAATCATTTGTCCCAACTTGCATTGAAAGGCAATGTGAGCCACGGGTGATGGGGGTCCTGTCTCGGTGTCAAGGCCCTCGAGTTTCATATTGGGTAGTTCAAATGTGTAGCAGCTTGGGTTGATGATGAGAGGTCGAGAAAGTAGCAGAGCCATTTGCCTATTACAATGTAAGGATTCAGCGAACTGTTCACGTTATGGTACCGTGCTCTTACCAGTCCCAAGCATATAGAAGACACCAAACACGCCGTCTCATCTCGAGGTCAAACTCCGTTAGCCCAGTTCGGCTAGAGGTTTTGTGCATGCCTAGCTCCTGAGCCTCGTGGATACAAGCAGACAGTGTATGCCAAGATTCGATAAAGAGAGATTCGGCCTTGAACCACGCCGCCGTCAAGAACAGCTGTTGAACCTGTGCCAGCCCACCTTTTCCAGGGGCAATTGTATTGCTGAGATGCTTGGCGGTGTGGTGGTAGTTCTCCGAAATAGTCTGGATTGGCTCGCCTAGCTCGGACTCCAGCTTTTGTCGGATTTCCGCGTCGAGATACTGTGCTGAACATGCACACACACGTAGAAGAAGACATGTGAATGCTGGGGTTAGGGGTTTACTGCTGGCTCGGTCTGCCCACCATGCTGTATAGTCTTGAGAGAAGGAGGGCGGGTAGAGGCAGTAGTAATTATAATTTGCTTCTTCCAGGAATTTTTGTACCAGGATGTCTGGTATGCGGTTAGCAGAATGAGAATATGGACGATATGGATGCACTTACCGGTATAGGGTTTGGGGGGCATGATGCTTAAAGCGCTCTTCATCTCGTCCGATACTATACCTGGAGACTCTTTTGGAGGATTTGTGCTCTGTGAAATTTAGTATAGAATTCGAAGATTTTCACCTGAGAACAACTTACCTGAGGTGTGGTATCCCCAAAAAGTGGGCTTTGATCGACGGGCAAGTACCCCAGCGAGCGCAATTCATCTTTACCAGCAATCCCGGGCGCTCCAACAGTCGTCGTCTGGGTCAATTCTGGCTTGGTCTGTACCACCTCTTCCTCTGGTGGTGTTCGTGCACTAGCTCTAATCAGCAACAGCCAGTCCATCCAGGTCCGAGAACGCATACTTGGGAATAGCATTCCGAGGGCTAGACTTGGCTGTCCTCTTCGGAACATATCTACAAAGATGCGCGATACGTCTTGCTTGGCAGTGGTTACAGGGCCACTGGCGGCTGCACTGAGGAAGAGGTCAGTCATCGCATAGTGTCTGTACAAAGATTGAGCAGCCAACCTTCTGCTTGCGCCGCTGGCATTCCGTACATGATGCGGCTAGACGGACAGCTTTTCCCGGTGATAATTTATGCATCTTGTCGACTTCTCCGCTCACTGTATGGGCGAGATGAACACGGTACTAGGTATTTGGCATGGACCAACACCAGTGTAGGGATGCCGAAGATATTCGGCCGTTCCGAAAAATGACGCAGATGGTCACGCGACCGGTCACGTGGTGCGCTTGGCTATACCGGGACTAGCGCGGCTGTCATTTGTCGGTTTCCGTGGTTGTTGGTTGTGTTGAAGATCAGTAACTAGTAGAAGATATCTTTCCATCATGGCCCAAAAGGAAAGGATTAGTTCGACGAGAACATGGTGGTCAATGGAATCGGACTGGAGAGGAGAATTACCATAAGAGATAGCTCTACAAAGATATATCAGAGTTCTTGGAACTAAGTATCAGTGTTCTTGGGACTAAGTATCAGAGTATACATATTTTCCCCAATTCCGATCGATTATTTATTATGCTATGTTATTCAGAGGACCTTCGTGAGACACTTGTTGATGTTCTTGACGTTCTTGCAGAGGTCGACTGTTGAGTCGGCTCAACCGACCGATGAAGATCCATCAGGTGAGTCCCCAGCATCATCGAGTGACGGGGAGCCCCCGTGCGTCAGTCCCTAGGCGCCATCTGACCATCCTCACGGGGGAGAATAGCAATACCTACTTATAACTCATGCAGGCAGCACCCGGGGATGGTGTAGAGGGCGCCAGCTGATCCCAGCGCTAAGCTAAGCATGACCAGTCGACGTGATGGCGCTAATTTGTTTCAGCTCAACCTTTATCAACCTCTCTCTCCCCTCTCTTCTCTCTGACATTTTCATTAGCTCCAGTGATTGCGGTGAGTTGAGTCTTCAGCCACCCTTTCGCCCCCCGACCCCTGACTGGCCCTCATCTCCTAGCGTGGCAGCCGCCCAACGCGCGCCTAACTACCTCGTATCGCATGCAGCGCAACAATCCCTCTGACTCTCCGGAATCATGGCCGACACGCTGCTGCTGAGTCCACAGGAGTACTACTCCAGTCTATCGGGTGACAGGCCCTCCCTGGAAGCAAAATTTCATGATATCGACGACAAGACCCACTTCTACAATGCCATGCACCGTCTGGAGGAGCCGCGTACCCGGAACTTTGTGCTGGACTTTGGCAACGAGGATGCCTGGTGCGGCGCCGATCTGGACACCGAGGATGTAAAACGACTCCTGAGCAGGCCGGTATGTTGTTGTGGTCCCATCTCGGTGGTTTCGTAACTGACGGTACCCAAGAGAGCAAGATGTTTTGGCACCCGGTGGATGTAAGACCCCACAAGACCCCCGGTGGCTCCTCTTCTTACTGACCATCGTCCCCGCAGTAACATCTGGGCGCCAGAGGAACAGAAAGATGTTATCAAGGTGCGGCATCCTCTTGACTTGCATCTTCAACCGCTGACTCGTTCAGGCCATCACCACATACTATGGAGTGTCAGAACGACTGCAGGGGATGATGTGCACCGATCCAGCCGTAGCTCCCCCCAAGCCCGTCGCATTACCCAAAAGAAGACATACGCGCGATTTTGATCACTCCGAGAAGCCAGCGGGCGATATTGAAAACGCAATCTCCCTCAAGGACCTGTCAGATCCTGATCACACAAAACAGGAAGCCTCCTCGTTCAAGAATTTGACCTTTTCTCAAGTCGCCGATCAGATTTGGCATTTCTCATCCGTGGACCATGGCCCTCGATGTACGTCGTTCGCTGCCCATGAGATAGAATGGACGATGACCTGAGACTCACATCTGAGCAGACACTTGCGTCGGCTACAATACGTTATTTGTGATTCCGCACATGCCCATGCCGAATGGCAAAGACCTGCCAGACGGGAGACGACTGTGGTCGTGGCTCATTCTTTTTGAAGACGGTTTGTGTCCATCAGACATGGTGTGATTACTTTACTAACCGGGACAGGAACCGTCTTTTCAATCCAGGAGAACCCGTTCCCACGAGCACAGGGCCAAGAATCCATGGAGGACATGAAGCGCGTTCTCGACGTGGTGCGCCGAAACATCCGCTTCATCTTCTCGGGCGTGTCCCGGCAGCACTCTGCCGTATCCGAGAACAACTCCCTGGTTACCATTCGAGTGCGCCATTTCACCGACTCTGGGCCCGACCAGGCAAATATCAAGCAGGAGGACGGGCCTAGCCTGCTATTCTACTATATCTTCGACGACTGGATGTCCAGCTATGGACTCATTGCTAAACGAGAACACAAATACGGTGTTGCCCTGGACCAAATGGTGAGTGAACTCACATACCGTTCTGGCAGTGGGCTGACTGACTGACTCCCGCACGTAGAGAGGGAACATGCTCGACCAGCCGGAGGTCAACTTGGTGAATGAGTTGCACTGGCTAGGTCGCCGGCTGGCGGTCCTAAAGCGGCTCTATCAAAGCTACGAGTTGATCATGCGGCGTCTCTTACAGCGACAGCGCATGCTCCGTGACGAACTCCGCCAGACGCAACCACCGCCGTTATCGTACGGCGCCACGTTTGGGGACATCGAGTTCTCGGACCTGCAGCAATCCAGCCTGGTCAGCAACCCCAGCCAGCCCGGCATCACCGATAAATCCGTCGGGGTGCATCTGAGCTCGGCAGCAGTGGCGCGCTTTGAGCGGCTGGCAGATCGCATCAATCTGTACTGCCTGAGCGAGATTGACAGCTGCCTCACCGAGAAGGAATCATTGACGTTCTTGGTACGTGGCCTGGTTCCCTGGTCCCAAATCACATTCTAACTGAGGCAGAACTTCAACTTGATCGCGCTCAAGGACTCGCAGGCCGTGGAGAAGTTGACACGGATCACGATCCTGCTGGCCAAGGCGACCATTCTGTTCCTCCCGGTCAGCCTGATGACGGGGTACTTCTCGACAGACCTGCAGGGGGTCAAGGGTGGCTACTCGGTGACGGACTACTGGGTGGCCTTTGCGGTGATTATGGTGGTGTCCATTCTAATGCTGATGATCTTTGGGATGGCCAGCGACACGGTGGAGGGCAAGACAATCTACCGCTCGTTGGTGAGAACGTTCTTCCGGACGTCGCGCGAGCGGATGATGCAGCAGCGCCGGGGAGGAGGATGATGTGGATGTACTATAGATAGTGAATGATACTCGACCCGCCCGTTGTGGCGCAGGCCGTGGGCCCCTGGCCGAGTCAAGCTGAAGATGAAAGGATCAGAAAAAAAGACTGGGCCCGATCAGTGGAGCCTATCAGGGCCGCCAGGGAGCCTGGTATGGCACGTTACGGGCAACACGGTGTCCTTTTCGGGATGGGCGATTGAGCAAGCACGGATGGAGGCACCCCTAGGCAGAGAGATAACCAGGACCGAACCCAGGGACCGTGGCCAGTGGTCCAAATCAGCCTCTGCGCAGTCGCCCCGTGTGAACGAAGCACGACGAGCCCCAGTCACGGGGCAGGCCTGGTAATGCAGTGACGGAGGCTACGCCCACCGCCGTATTTCTGCGTATTCCGTACACTCCAAACACCTTTCCCTTTCTTCTCTCCCTTCCTCTCGCCTCTTGTGTGCTCCATACACATCCATCCTCTCTCTTCACTCACCACCTTCCTATCGGTAAGTGCACTGCTGGTCCTCTTCCCATCGCCCCTTTCGCCTCTCGGACTCGGGTGGCCAGAACCCGCCCCTGAAGTCCCCCAACACACAAACAAACACGTTTTGCATGCCCCTCCGCCTCTTACCAACCAAACCACCCCCCTTCCTTGTGGTGTCAAAATCCCCCAACCCATTCCACCACCACCCCACACACCGTAACACCAACTCACTCCGTCCGCTACATTAGGCTTCGAGCGCTCCGTTCTCGCCACCGCCAATATGGGTCTCGCTTTCTCGAAGCTGTTCGATAGACTATGGGGTCGCAAGGAGATGCGAATTCTGATGGTTGGTCTGGACGCCGCCGGAAAGACCACCATCCTGTACAAGCTGAAGCTTGGTGAAATCGTCACCACCATTCCCACGATCGGTCAGTGCCATCCACCCGCCCTAGGCCCGCCATCGGTAAATTCCCGGAGATGCTGACGCCGGACACCAGGATTCAACGTCGAGACCGTCGAGTACAAGAACATCCAGTTCACCGTGTGGGATGTCGGTGGTCAGGACAAGATCCGCCCCCTGTGGCGCCACTACTTCCAGAACACCCAGGGTATCATCTTCGTGGTGGACAGCAACGATCGGGACCGTATTGTCGAGGCCCGCGAGGAGTTGCAGCGCATGTTGAACGAGGACGAGCTCCGGGACGCCCTGCTCCTGGTGTTCGCCAACAAGCAAGATCTGCCGGTATGATTGGAGTGTGCGTTCGCTGGCCTCGCCACAGTTATTGATTTTTTGTTCCAGAACGCTATGAGCCCCGCCGAGATCACCCAGCAGCTTGGTCTGCAGAGCCTCACCCGCCGCGCCTGGGTAAGTCCTCTTTTTTCAAATTGTTTATTTTTATCTTTCTTGCAGGCTGACCCGTCTAGTTCATCCAATCCACCTGCGCCACCACGGGTGATGGTCTGTACGAGGGTCTGGAGTGGCTCGCTGAGACGCTGCGGAAAACGAACCGGGACTAAATTGCGACGACCGCGATGAGGGGTTTAGGTTGTACGTGTAAGGGAGGCGAGCGTCGGAGAAAGAAATACCACAGACTATGATGATTGACAGGAGTTTCTCAGCGACCACATAGGGATAGGGTCACCGGTCAGGGGGTTCTGCCACTCGAAGTTCTTTCCATTCCTTCTACGCGATGCTTTTAGCCTCTATGTGCTGTGATCCCAAAATGGCGGTGTTCTTCTTAGTGTCTGGCCCCGTAGGAACGAGTAACTAGTCCAGTAGGACAACTAGTGTGGCTCGTGTTGCGTAATCCGCGCCAAGTCGGGCCTTGGCACCCGCCGCTCTTGTTGATTCGGCTGGTCCACCTGTCAATAATCCCCGGAATTCTCCTTTTTCCAGTGCCTGTTGGCTATTTCGACGGTGCAAGACTGCTGCGTCTCAGAATTCTCCTCCTGCCCACGCCACAACGACCCTCACTGCGCCCGTCGCCGACTCCCTATTGCGCGGTACGTCGGCTCGCGTGCTCTTTCGTCCCTCTCCCCTGTCCGCCCTCGTCTGCGCAGATGTCATATCGAAGACTATCTGTCTGTCTCCATTGACCCTCCTCTGGCCCGTCAATGTGGACAACCTCTGCCCGCAACCATGCCCGTTCAGGTGCGGAGGCACTCCCGCGCATATAGCACCTCGGCACCCTACGCCGCCCGCATCACCCACGACTCCTCCGACGTCGAGAAGCAATATAGCCACTCGCCCTACCGCCACCACAATCGCAGCGACGACTCCGACGACGACGACAGTGAGCCAGAATCCTTCCCCTCCTCCTCCTCGGCCTCCTACCAGCCCATGCTGAGCGGTGCCGGTCTGCGCCGCGCGCAAGCAGGCGTGGGCTTCCGCGTGCCGCAGCGGATAATGCGTAGGCTGTGTCTTGCGCTGTTCGTGTTTCTGGTCCTATTTATCCTTACCCTCTTCCGCTTCGCCATCTCCAGCTCCGTTAAAGAAGTCACGGACGATTTGGGCGTCACGACCAAGAAACCTCCCCCACCCGCGAAATGGGAGAGTTTTCCGTTCCTGACGCATTACCAGGGTGGGGTCCGGAATCTGGTGTCGCGACATGACAACATACCTGAATACCCCGGTGACGGACTGGCGGAGGAGGCCGTATCGGAGAGAGCCGTTGAAGAAGGCGATGCTGAAGGCGACGCGGACCTTAATCACCTGAACAAGCGGGATCAGGGCGGTCCGTCCATGTCGAGCGTCGTGTTCGATCCCTATCCCGACTACAAATCTGCGGATTATGTTCGAAAATACGGCGAGAAACGCGAGTGCTTCTTGGACGAGTCGGATTCAATCCGCGTCCCGGCAGTCCAGAACTTCCCCGGAGTGCCCAAGGGCTTCCCGGAGCCCGTGATTGGCTCGAATAAAATGTTGGGGATTCGCGATGATATGTGCTTTGACCGGTTTGGCCGTCTGGGCCCCTATGGGCTGGGGTATGGGGTCAAGAAAGGCGGGATCGGTGCCGGGCTGGAGGGCCATCGCGATGGTGCCCAGCGCATTTGGGAAGATGTCCCTCCGGTAGATTACCGGCATGTCGACTGGGGCGCGGCACAGGAGCGGTGTGTGGCCGCTAACCTTCATCGTTTCGAGGAACTACCGGAGCCGCGCCTGAACTGGTTTGTCTCCATGCCGCTGGGTCTTCCCAAGCTGAAACTCTCACCAATGGAGGACAAGGGCCGCAAAGCGCCCAAGGTCGGCACTGATCGTCTGCCGCGGACTGCGGTGATCATTCGCACGTGGCATGACTTCCGATACACCCCCGAGGACGTAATGTATCTGCGTGCGCTCATCTCGGAGCTGGCACTGTCATCCGGTGGCGAGTACACGGTCCACTTCCTCATTCATGTCAAGGACAACAACTTGCAAATCTGGTCCGACGACGAGACCTACCGACGCGTGCTTAACGATGCACTGCCGGAAGAGTTCCGTGGCATGGGCACGCTCTGGTCAGAGAAACAGATGGAGCTCATGTATCCCGGACTGCAGGAAAACGAGGAGCGTGGACTCCCGATCTACGGTGTCTACCGCAGCACCTTCATGCCGGTGCAATACTTCTCATATCAACATCCTGAGTATGATTACTTCTGGAACTGGGAGATGGACGTCCGCTACACAGGCCATTGGTACCATTTGTTCGACAAGGTTGTCGAGTGGGCAAGACAACAGCCTCGAAAGGGTCTTTGGGAGCGCAACGCCCGCTTCTATGTGCCTTCCGTGCACGGATCGTGGGACGACTTCCGGCAGATGGTCCGCGTTCAGACTGAAGTCGGCACCAACAGCTTCAATAACCTATGGAGCCCACCTCAGGGTAGACCTGGCGAGAAGGACACCAGCACTCTTGGCCCACAGGGCGACAAGTCGATCTGGGGCCCCGAGCGGCCAGATGAGCGCGATATGTTCGAGGTTGAAGGCGAAGGCATCCCACCAACAACCATGGAAAAAGATCAATACGAATGGGGTGTCGGTGAAGACGCCGACCTCATTGTTTTCAACCCACTCTACGACCCAGAGGGCACAACTTGGCTCCTGCGCGACGACGTCACGGGCTACAACCGCGAGAACGGGATGCCCCCCCGACGCACCGCCATCATCACCGCATCGCGCCTCTCCCGCAAACTCCTGACAACCATGCACCGCGAATGCAGCTTGCGGCGCCACAGCATGTTCTCGGAGATGTGGCCGGCAACGACAGCGCTACACCACGGCTTCAAAGCCGTCTTCGTCCCGCACGCCGTGTACATCGACCGCCGCTGGCCCACGCGGTATCTCGAGTCTGTCTTCAATGCGGGACGAAACGGCGCCTCCGGCGGCGCTCGCACCGCCATTTTCGGTGACAACGAGCACAATTTTAGGGGAACCACCTGGTTCTACTCCGCCGGGTTTTCGCCAAATCTCTGGCGCCGCTGGCTTGGGTTACGCGTTGACAATGATGGCGGCGAACAGCAGGAACTTGCAGGTGAAGGCCGCATGTGTCTACCGCCGATGTTATTACATCCCATCAAGGAGGTGGAGATGATTATCGACGACGGAGAACATGCTGAAGATCGATGATCTCATTCCTCTCGCCTCTTCCTCTTCTGTGTCATTCTCACTAAACCAAAAATGCATTGCAAACCACCCATGCCTGTTATCTGTTTTATCTCGGGGTCAGCTTTTCTCATTTGCTCTTCGATTAGCTGTCTGTCTTCGAACATTCGCTTAGATTGCAATATTCCCCTTCCTTCCCTCTGGCTTTCACTCCCCTCCCTCTCTCTCTGTACAATGCCTCCCTCCTGCCTCCTGTCTTCTTTTACTCTCCCTTTAGCTACAACCAGCGCTTGGAGTCATATGGCTTTCTCATTTTGCTCTTCCCTGGTCTCTCCTTGTCTCCGGGTCTGAACATGAGCAGACTCTGCTCAAAATGCGCTGGAACTAAGAATTTTATGAATGAATAAAATGTCACAAAGATGTATTTTTATTTGTATGCATTGCCGCAGTGTTAACTGGCTGTTGTTGTAGAAACTGTAGCCGTAATGATAAATGGAGAGTATGAGCAGGACTTGTATATTGAACAGGACAGCAAGTACAATACCGCCCAAGTGATAATTAAGACTCATCATTACTTCGTATATGCAAGATGCAGAGCTAAATATGCGAGCAAAACTGACCCCATCATCCACATTACACCACTCGGAACAAAAAAAGAATCAAGGCTTAACAAGTGGCGTCCCCCAAGACACCATTTTCTTGCCCTCAGGAAGCAACCTTGTTGACATACTAGATATATGCTCACTGCACGACCTTCGCACCGAAAGCGGCGAACGAGTCACTAACTGCGCCGGCGCACAGCAAATACTGCACTCGTAGACCTCATTTTCATCCACGCCAAAGGATAGACAAGTGCGACAAACCCTATGTCCGCACTTAGTGAGCAACACCTCGGCCTCCTCGTCACCCTGCACGCATGTATGACAGAAATGCGTAGGGAACAGAATTCGCGGATCCAGGATACGGCGCTCGATCTCCGAGGCGAGCTCTTTGCCCTTTTCCACGCGTGCGCGGAGGAGACGGGCTTTTGCTTTGAGTTTTTCGAGCCGGGCGCTGTTTTTTGTGGCCGATGATGACAGCTGTGGTTTGCGCAGTGAGGGGACTGGTTCGAGGAATATCACGGGTCGGAAGCGTTGCGCGACGGGTCGACCTTGCATGGTTTGTTGCTCGAGTTGCCAGCGGCGCCGGATTTGCCGGTTTAGCTCCATCGTGAACCAGACTGTCAGGGCTTGCCAGACGCGCCATTCTGAGATGGGGTCTAGTGGTAAGGCCTTTTCTTGGGGACATGGACTTTGTTTTGGCATTGTGGTTTGGGGTGTTGTGGTGGTTGGTGGGGTTGATAGTTGTATAGACATGAGAATTGAGGTGGCGATGTCTTTCTCCTCTTCACTTGCTGTCTGTGTAGATTGCAAGAACCAGGAACATGCTCGATCGAAGCAATTTGACCATGCCTTATATAGAAATGAGCACCTGGGAAAAAAAGGGAGGAAATAAAGGAAAAAAAGGAGATCGCCGCTTCGGCCGAACCAGTTCCAAGAATCGGAGTAATAGCTTCAAGCTGTCAGGACAATTTACCCCGGCCCCTGAGTCGAGAACCAAAAACCATCAGGCTTGGCTGTGTTTGCCAGCCTATAGCGATTGGCCACAGAGCAAAAATGTGCCCAGACTTCTAGCCATTTGTCGGGTTTTCCGTATAGTTACCATATCCGGTCTCCGAACCATGGGCGTATGTATCGCGGTTTCGTCGGCACAACGCCACCTCGCGGTCGACGCCGAGCTGATCGACAGGGTTCTCTCCTGCCGACCTATGAGGCTCTGACGGAAATCTTGTTCGGCCGGAGGAAGTATACCCGGGGAGGAAGAAGCTCCCCTGAAGTTCTTCCTCCTGGCGGTATTCATGGGCGAGCTTAAGGTGCTTTCTCGGAAATCCTCCATGATTCATAAGATGGCTCGACCTCGGCTACTCTCTAGATACATAGATATGTCGTAATAGTCAAGTAAGCTCGGGTTCACGACCAAACCGAACAGGTGGGAGAGCCTGCTGGTCTAGAACCGGCCTCGGAAGTGCCGAGGCTGGGCTTGAGATGATATGCTCGGCCTCCGTTTCGACTTTTAATCGTGGTCCGATTCTTATGCAGGCTAGACTGGGCTTTTTCTTTTGCAGTCTTCGAATGAATCCTTGCCGAGACCCCACGCCATCTATCGCTCATATACTTTTCGAGATTGAGATACCTGGTTCCCAACACTCTGTGATCCATCGCCCAGATTGGTCCATTCCCATTGCCAGGAAGAGATCGATACTCCATGAAAATGGAATGTATACTTGCACTCGGATGGTGAAGCCTTCTGCGAGCACGTGTCATCCTGTTCAAAGACGCCTTTGGCATAAATCACGTATTGGCCAGGAATATAGTCTGCATCATGTTTCTTGTGATAGAAAGGTGTTGTCGGTTGTATGTAATGATTGAACTGCTGCTCAGTCTTTCCGTTCGTTCTGGTTTCAGTGAGGACTTTGATTCCACTTCCATGAGTTTCTGGAGCGCGAAATATCCACGAATTTCTTAGTGAGAACGAGCTGCCAAGAGCCGAAACAGACTGCTCAAACTCATGACACACATATTCCTTGTCCAATGCCGGATTATACAGATAGCGCGGGTGAAAGGTCACAATTCCATGCACATTCTTGGTTTCGCCATTTTGACTCCAGGTATGAGTTTGAAGAACTTTCCAGGTCCCATGCAGGGCGCGGAAGATAACCTCCGTGGCCATTGATTCACTGGAGGAAAGTGTAACACAGAGAAAATTCAAGCTGCTATTGGCTTCGGCATTGGCTGTGAATTGACCTTGACTTGGGTTTGTGGAAGACACTGGAGGATAGCCATATCGAGCTGGTGCAACAGGCCCCGGTCTACCTTCGGTTTCAAATAGCTCTGCGCGATGAATGCCCAGGTCACGAGCAAAAGACTCCATCAATCCAACATAGTCGCCCATAGGGAACTGGCCACGACGAAGTTCCGGGTCAGCCTGACGGAGGGCTCGAAGACTTTCCCTCTGGTCTTCTGTTTTAGACAAATGTGCAAAGTCATTGTTTCCAGCCCAGATCTGGCCCAGGAATCGTGCTTGCATTTCCATCACACCCCAATATGGCCCGCGATAAAAGCCTACGAAACCGACATCCGGCATCTCGAATCGCACGGTGCCTCCTTTGTCAAGTATCAGAGGCGAATGCGAGTCTTCGGCGGAGTATTCAAGAGCCGATAAAACATCATCTGGCAGAAAAGATAACGAATCAAAGGGGTAAACCCCGTGGCCAAGACAATAGCTGTCACTTTATCTATTGTTTTGGTTTGTCCATCGTGAACCTTGACCGTAATTGAAGGTAACCCATCTTGGTTACCATGCTGTACCGAGATTGCTCGACCCATTGTGCGCTCTATTGCTTGAGATCGAACATACTCCGCATAATCATTTCCGATAGCCACCCAGGGAGCGCGCGTGTTGGCTTCGTCACCATCATATGGCTGATGCGCATGGCCGAAACGTTCGTAATCCGTCCCAAGTAGAGAATGGAAGTATTTGTTGGTCAGTTGTGCCTTCTCTGCTGGAATTGGTCCTACTGTATATTCCACTGGCCCTTTTGGCCGGCGACTCAGGTCATACATGACCAGATCCAGAGGCAGGAAAGAGATAGTATCGTCGCCTGTCTCATGGGGCAGATAGGTTGGCAGTGTCCAGAACGGGTGCGAGTAGATATGATGCACCATTGCTGTCTCATTTGAGGATTGAGGTTTCGTCTCTGGTGAATGTGCTGTAGAGGATTGTTGAAGGGCAACAGCCGAAGCTGCTTCAACGCCAGACATACTCCCACCAATGACAACTACGTTGCCATGGGCTGTATCAGTGCTGTTGCACAAAAGAAGACCACGTTTGTCGAATCGAAGGACTGAACTATGTACGGTTCGGTCTGGCAATTGATCCAGACCTGGAATGTCAGGTATATAAGGGCGTGCAAAGTGCCCAGTTGCAACGACGAGCAAGTCGAAGTCTTCACAAGCAGCTTCGCCATGTGATCCAGCACTAAAGAGACAAGATATGAGTACATAATAAAACTTGGTCAGCAAGGACTCACCTATCTATAACCCAATAGACGGTCCATCGTGTAACTCCTTCCTCGACTCGTCGTGCCGTACGCACGACTCTATGTCCCAGTCTCAGCAGGCTCTGTGGAACATATCGTTCGCAATATTTAGCCAGATACGTGCCCACTTGTTTTGCGCATGGAAATAGAGGGATTTCCGTATCGGGGATGACAGATTCCCAGGCTAGGTCGGAGAAAGAAACGGTATATCGACTGAGGTTCGTGCGCATCCAGGGATCCAGTTGCCTTGCACTAACATGGCCATCCCATGCGACTGGCCAGAGCCCGCCAATTTGGTCACGGCTGTCGAAGACAGTGGGGGCAAAGGTTCCTGGTGGGAAATTATGGAGAAGAGTCTTTGCTGTGACAAGCCCTGACGGACCGGCGCCTGGCGATGGGATGAGGCTAGTTTCCCAGGAAAAGCGCAAGAAAGTGAATACTTACCAATGATAGCAACTCTTTTGGGAGACATATCGTGCAATCAACCGCCGTTGCCTCTTCTATCTTCGTCAAGTATCAGTTTTGGCCTTGTTGGTCTACGGAGTTGCCACCATTCTGTTTCAAGAATGGCGCAGATGTGTCGTTGGCAACAAAGTTCCAAAAAATTCAATTGGCCTCGTGTCCTGCTCGATCCAGTAACGATAGCCCGGTTGGCGTTCTCGGCGGGCGATGGTTGTAGACTGAGCGTTGATGGTCCAACCCACTTACCCCGCCTGCACAGGTGTCTGACCCAAGTATATCCGCTGAGCATTTCGATGGATTTCATTCTCATTATTATAGGCTATTAGCAACGTATTTCTAGGGTACTGAATTAAGATCTACTATTTCAGCATCAAACATTATTATTCTTCCAATCAAATCATCCAAGGACCATAAAAACATATTACGGATTCGGCAGATCAGTACAGTATATCGAATCGTCTGGGGAATTATACCTTGTAGACAGTATGATAGACAACACGTTCAGTGATATGCACACCCTATTGTGATCCGCCGTCGTGCCAATTTGAGCAGGTATGGTCCGTTGTGGGGAAAACAGCAGCCCGTCCGACAGACCCAACAGCAACAAACCCACCGACTGCATTATGTATTTGCTTGGGCTGGCATAGTCGGCGACTTGGCCCCTCTCGGCATGCATAGTCCAGCGACGCCTTGCGCTATGACGTTACTGCCAAGGCTCAGATGGCCCAGAGGGAGACGATAGTTTAGTCCCCCTCCCCAAGCAGTGGCGGGCCAAGAGAATCAATAATTCCGTCGGGCGCAGTGAAGCCACACCTCCGGGTCGTCGAGTAAGATTATTGTAGGGAGTGCGGGGTAGGAGACCCTGTCCAAAGTCGAAGAAGTCGAGAAAAGTCGAGAACAACGCCCGGTGGAGCACGCCAAACAATCAGTAGAGCCGCTCCAACCATTCGGCGACCTCGATGTCTGGCGTGCGCTGCTCCCGTTGACAAGCCTCATTGTACTCCTGCTCTGTAACGAAGGTGTCCACATTCCGGTGGGTCAAGGGAACCCTGAAGCGATTCTTCTGGCGCAGCACCTCTTTCTCGGCGAAGGAAGACGGCGACAGTTTCAAGAGGGTGTTTCGCAGACGCCGAATGCCACCGTTAGGGAACGAGCGGGGGACCTGTGGCGGACCGAAAGGAGTGTCGACTTTCCAGGGCCCTTCGGAGTTCACAGACTGGACGTTCTTCTTTCGCTGGGAGGGAAATCGAGACATGGTGTTGAACAGAGTGAGTTGACAAGGTGAGTCGATGAGTAGGAGGAGGAGGAGGAATTTTCAAGGATATAGTTCCCAATCTTCCCCGTGGGTCAATATCGACGAGGGGGGAGGCGGATTTAAGTATTTATTGGTCGTGTCTTGTCGCGATGCGCGGGGCACTTGTATATAGCCGTGATGTTATTGGACCTTAGGGGCGATCGAGCGTTTGGCGTGCAGTAATTAGTCGTCTTCGCACGGCACACACATGCCGATTATGTTGTATCTCCACTATTCAGCCTTGCAGAGGACCAGGACCTTGGGGCCATTATTACTCTTCTCCTTGTCTGATCAAAGGGTCGGAGGCAAATCATACTCACCGAAAAACGGGGCTCTACGTCATCTCGGAACAGACATGCCGATCGTATTGTTCCGTGGAGATAAGGACAAAGAGACTGAAGCACTCTATTCTTGTCAGCAAAGGGAGACACGCGTCTGATCCAAGCTGATCCGAGATAGATAGCAACTTGGTAATCGAGGGTTTGTGCGAGTCGGAGTATACGGAACAATCGGATGATGTGCACAGTTGAGCATGCACTAGGGTTGGCATGTGGCAAATAATAGGGCTAATGATTAATCGCATAACTCTAACTTAACTGTCCAGATGATTAATTAACAGAAAACAGAATTGACGGAAAGTAAATTAATTGACCCTAATTAACTTAACATGCTGCATGGCATATGATTATTTACCTACAACAGAAACTTGTCTGGAACAGAATTGATGCAAAGCACTCTTCATTATGAGACAGCAAGCTTGCTATACAACTGTAGATGGACAAAGTTCGATTCCCGTTCAATAGTAAGTCAAGCGATTTTCCAACCTAGAGAAAAAGATGCAGAAAGAATTAGAAAATTCCAATCTCAGAAAATCCCGTCAATGGAACTCGACATTCTCCACATTAACGGTACCCTCCTTATAGTGGTTGTCGTGGCCGATCTGCGCTGCCTTTTGGTGCGCGAGAACCTCCTCACCATTCGTGACGTGGTTAGCGCCGCCGAACAGAGTGTCAATCTCCTCGAGGGTGACCTTTTTAGTCTCCGGGATGAAAAACCACACGAAGAGAGCAAGCAGGAAGTTGATACCCGCGAAAAGGTAGAACGCGTAGAAGCCGTCGTTGTTGAGGAAGATGGGGAAGAACTGCTGGAAGATGGTGTTGGCGACATTCTGTGTTTGCGAGGCCATGCCCACGGCCTGGGCGCGGACGTTCATCGAGAAGATTTCCGCAGTCCAGATCCAGACGGTGGCTCCCCATGAAGGTTTGTCTGTGTAAGTGTTAGTTGCTTTGTTTGGCAATGGAGAGAGAGATAGAGGAAGAGGTAACTGACAGAATAATATAAAGAGGAACATAAGGAAAACAATCGCAATTCCAACAGGCTCCGATTTGGCGCCGCTAGCAAGAACCGGAGTCTCAGTCTCAACAGCCGCGGCAATGATCATGCAGATACCCATTCCAATAGCACCGACGACGAGTAGGGGTTTGCGGCCAAATCTGTCGACGATCCACACGGCATTAAGGGTGAAAAGGATACCAAAAGTGGCGTTGAGAGCATTGATCAACGAAATCTGGCTTTCTTCGGTGAAAATCTGCTCATAGATCTTGGTAGAGTACGTATTCAACGAGCCTTGACCCGTAAGCTGTTGACCGGCGTTGATAACCAGCGCAAGCATCATGCGTTTGCGTAGTGACTTGTCTTTCCAGAGCGCGGAATAGTTGCTCGAAATGGCCTCTTTCTCATATTCTAGGGCTTCACGGATCATCAAGAGCTCTTCCTCAACCTCTTCCTCGGAGTCTCGGACTCTGCGGAGAGCAGAACGAGCCTTTTCAATTTGGTTTCCATGCTGGATGAACCTGCTCAGGCTTAGCATTGGGTGTTTCTTTACCTTTCGGGACGCACTCACCATCGCGGACTTCCAGGAATAGTCGGCAGAAGTATAAGAATTATGACGGGGACTAGTAGCTGGAAGATAACGATCAACTTCCAGTCCCACTCGCCCAGCTGGTCCACTTTCTTTGTGCAGGCATATGCGATCCAGAAGCAGATAAACGATCCCACAGAGTAAAACATCTGCCAGAAGGTCATAATCTTGCCACGGATCTCTGCTGGCGCCAGTTCGCCGATATAGATGGGGCCAGCAGCTGAAGAGATGTCATGTTAGCAATAAGGGAATTTAACTTTGATGGAACTATAGGACTCACTCAAAGCAATGCCTTGACCAATACCAATAATACATCTTCCAGCAAGGAAACAAGCCAGGCTGTGGTAGGGAGCGAAGGTCTGCATGAATGTCGCAATGATAACTAGAACACAGCCGGTGGCCATTGCAACCTTACGTCCGAGGTAGTCGGATACCGGACCGCCCAGGAAGAAACCTCCAAAAATGGCTCCGACGGTGTACGCCGTATTCACGGAGCCGATCGTCGCGTCGTCGGGCTCGTTGAACCAAGCCATCCAGTTGTCGGAGCCCTGCACCGAGTTGAACACGGATGCATCGTAACCATAAAGCACCATGCACGATGCCGCGATGAGGGAGACAAACCTGGCTAAAGTCAGAAAATGTTTTTAAAGGAGGAGAGGTCCACCCAACCAGTTGTATGCTCGCTTGGAGCGAAACCAGTTGGTCGACATTGTGCCGACAGGATGATAGACCGCGTGTAATAAAAAGAGCAGACTAAGTAGCAAGCCCCAGTTGATCGTTCGACACTTCTTGCGAGTTTGATAGCACCAAGAACGAGTGGGAGACTCCCGGAGAATATACGAAACAACAGATGGACCACCGACCGAACCCCAAAAAGAACGGGCAGACTCCGCAGCTATATATCCAACCCCAGATTATCCTGGAGCAGGCGACATCTCCCCATGTCCTGGGTACTTTTCACATGGCGCCAATCAGACAATCTGGGGCAGGTGACTACCCCCGGACGTTGGTGCTAGGGCTGGTCGGTCCCGGCCCGCTGAGTGGTGGGGATTCTGGGGAAGAACGCCAAAGTGCTCAGTGCTCTCGACTTTGTTATAGTCAAGACGATCTGGGGTTCGAGGATATTTTGTGCCGCAATAGACAAGGAAATCGAGTTTCCACGAATCGGCGGCCGAGGTGCCCGGGGGTTGGGAGAAAGTCCACTCCACCAATGATCGCGAGCGCATGAGATTTGGGGTGAAATGAAGCGAGCGATGGTAGTTAGCCCTGATTTTAAATAGATTCCGTAATATGATAGAGAGCCAGTCCTTATGAGTCTCGGATGACCGAAGAAGCTAAAGGTAACAAGCCTACGATGATTAATATTCGCAGAAACTTAGCACAATTTGGAACCATCTATGTGCCCCAGACCCGAATAGGCCGGAAGCGAACCGTGACAAAGCTAATTATAGAAACTTCTTGATTTGCGAGCCTATCATCCGCACAATCTGTGGGAGCTTTTTGTATCACCAAGTATATGTGAGTGTGATAAACGGGTAGGGTTTACACAGACGAGCTAGGCGCCACTTGGTAAGGCTTCTTTGTAAGTAGCACAGCTCCACCGGTATTAGCGATATCAGATACTGCCTGCGTATGCCTAGGGTGATCGTTCTATCGCGTGTCTTCAGCGGTTCCACGGGTGCCACCGTCTTTGAAGGCTTTGTAGCTCAGCTTTTCCAGCATTACGGAAGATGGCCAGAACCTAACGCTGTCTTGGTTATAAATAACGCATCTCTTCATCGTTTGGAACAGATTGCGCAGGTATCTACGGATGCAGGGGTGAAATTAAACCATCTGTCGCCCTATTCGTCGGACTTGAATCCGATCGAAGGCTTTTTGTGCTACGCTTAAAAGCTTTTATAAAACGTCACTAACGCTATCATGAAGACGATCCCAAGCGAGGATCTGCTGGAATAGTGTATCAAGGTGGTTAGTGCAAAAGAAGAGAGCGCAAGAGGCCATTTAAGACATGCAAGCTTGACAGTGGAGGTTTAAAATATCATCATTCTGCACTATTATACTATTGTATACAATAGAGGATAAAAATTCTCAACTACCTCTTTGAATGCTGGGCAGAGTCTCTGGCTCAACTCGGGGGTTGGAGGCTAGTTCATGGAACACTGAGTAAAACACCGAAGGTTAACTTATTATATATTTCTGTGGCTCTGGGTGATGGGAAGCCAAGGACGTAAACAATGAGAGTTGAAGAGGTAAGGAAGGCTGGAGAGGGAAGAGAAAGTGTCTTCCTGCTCACCATATTGACCAAGCTCACCCAAAGGACCTCTATCAAGAAAATTACCATGTTTGCCCAGCATTGCCATCCTTGACCACGTTTGCTCTGTTGCGGTTATATAGATCGCTGGCCCACGTGATCGCGTGAAGATCTGACGCGCGCATTTACAGATCGGCGTCGCTCAACTTCACCCGCAGCTTGGACAGGTCCTCGCTTTTTCGCTGTTCATGACCTCCTCGAAGCTCCCCATTCCTTTTGGCCTCACCCTTAGTCCCTGATCGTCTCCCTCCCTTCCACAACATGTCCCACAGATCTCGCAAAAAGCAAACGCGACTTGCCTTTGCTTCCGCGCCACCAGAAACTGAAGCTGCTGGTGGCAGTCCCACCAAAAGCGACGGCCGCTTCGCTCGACTAGAATACGGACATCCCAGCATGGCCTCTTTGCTCACGAGCAAGTCTCGCAAAAGCCAGTACACATCGTCGAAGGAAACCACTCCAATCAAATCCTCTATACGCAAACACGAATCGAAAGACAAGTCGCGATCAAAGAAGAAAAAGCACGCGATCAAAAGTGAAAACGAGGATGGTCCTCAAGGTGAGCTTGGTCCATGCATTTCCCTCATCCTAGGCTCACTGGCACACTATAGACAACCAGACTCCTGTGAAAGAGCCCGCCGATAGCGCATCCTCAGAAGACGATATTGTCGCACCAAGCACCCAAAAGAGGAAGAGACGCCCTCCCTTCGCCTTTGAAATCGAAACCACAGCTTCACACGCTATCGACAAGTCAGACATGAGTGATTCGAAGGATACAGGATCTCGAACACGGCGGAAGCTCAAGCGGAAAGCGGAAAGCTCACCCATCGTTCTGAGCGATTCTGAGGATTCAGATGGACCAGTTCTCTCGTCACCCGTCAAGAGGCGCCGGCGGGCAGTGGTCACGGAAACCCCTCAGACACCACACTCGTCTGCCGATCGGGATAGATTGGATATTGAAGAAGATCTGGAGGATCTCCAAGATTCAGGTAAGTTTTGTTTTCATTGTTCTCCACAGCAGCTTTCAGTCGTCTAAATTTATATTAGTCGTCAAGAAATCACGAACTCGTGGCCGGCTTGCCGGATCGGCTCGGGACAAGAGGCAGAAGCACCTAGAAGCCCTCCGCCGCAGACGAGCCGGACTGAAGGAAGAAAGCGAGCCTGAATCAGAGAATGAATCAGATCCTGATGAAAGCGAAAGTCCAACCACTCAACAAACTGCTGACAGCCGTCGCATCACATTGGACGACAGTGATGTTGAATCTGCTATTCCGAGCGATGAGGATCTTGATCGCTACGAGGATGACTTTGTGCTGGAAGATGACCAAGACAAACTGGGGGTGCCAACCGAAGAAATCCCGTTCGAGTTCACGCGGCACGCGTACAAGCAGCTCAAGGAATACTTCCGGGATGTTGTGGAGTGGATGGTGCACAACAAGCTCAATCCCGCGTTCCCCCGCAACAATGCCATGTACAAAGTGGCATTCATGAAACTGGAAGATGAGGTCAAGGGCCGCGCGGGATCCCAGTTGATCTCTTCCGTATGGAATGCCGATTTCTGCAGAGCCCTCCTGGCTCGGCCTCAGGTTGAGATGACCGCTTTTCCTACCGCACTGGACCACCCGTGCGATGCCTGTAATCGATCCAAACACCCTGCATCCACCGATATGATGCTCTATGGCAAGGCATACTCCCTTGAGACACTCGAGCCATTGAACGATGATTCATCAGAGGACAGCGACGAAAGCAAGTCTAGTAAAGACGAGGATGAGGGCGAGGACTCCGGTGAAGAGCGGGACAGAGACGGCCATGTGTTGCCGCCTGAGAGCAGGCGCTTTCTCCTGGGCAGGTAAGTTCTTTCTTCTATCTTCTTCTGTGACCAGCAATCTAACCAAGTTTTTCATCAGGCAATGCAAAGCCAAAGCCGAGCTCGCTCACACCCTGACTCATTGGCGCTTCCACCTCAACGAATGGGTCGTCGGCTACCTCGAGCGCAAGGGTCATATGGACAGACCCGAGGTCATCAAGCGGAATGACATGAGCCAGAAGCGCAAGACGAAAAATGCAAATGCAGCCGTCGACCGCATGGTCGAGGCGGACGAGATCGAGAAGTTGTGGCGCGACTTCCACCTGAATCTCAAGTCTGCGCGGGAGAATACGGTATGTTGCCTTTCTATGAGTTCATTCGAGCATGATACTGATATTGAGACTGTCTATAGTCGACTTTGGGTTGAGGAGATGCGCCCTTCCTTTTCTTCCTGCTTCCAGTTCGCCAGCCTGTTTTCAGCTGCGCTCTTGGTTGCGTGCCTTACATTTCAGCTTTCTGCCATGATACCCCACGTTGTTCTCTTTTCTAAGGACATATTTTTATCCGTTGCTGGCGATTTGCTTTCTGTACCTACATTCGGGGTTTTAAGAGAACCTTTGCACATACAATGAATTAACCTCCAACCAGCCTTGAATGAAAAATCCGACGTATATTACGAATACTGGATTGGAGCTATCTCCGTTTCATTGTTTAGACATGCAGTTCAAATCATAGAATGAACAAAGAAACAAAGATTGTAGATAACATAAATGGAAGAAAATGATGATTGTGGTGATACAAGTACATGCATGAGGAGCTGCCGGAGCCATTGCGAAGAGGTCGATAGATAGAGAGGGGAGAAAAGAAAGGAGGGCAAGGCAGACAGGAGAGTGAACAGCAACTCAAGACAGCATAGAGAACAGTTCGGCCCACATGGTCTGTCTGGGTTCCGAAACTCGCCGAGAATAGCTCTAGTCTCACTCTTATCATCAAATCGAGAACACTGTCATCGTTGTTTTCATCGCCTTTTCTGATCGACGGGTTGGTCGTCGGAATACGCTTTGCCAGTCCCTCCGTATTCTGTGGCGGGGTTATTTTACAGAGTGGCTTCGGCCTCCTTCTTCTCCGGCTCGGCGCCAGGGGTGAGCATCTGGAAATTGGAAGATATGGTTAGCGACTGGTTCAGTACCGTTTGTAATCTCGTGGAAACAAGCCGTCTAGAAGCGGCCGGCGGACACGAAAGTTTTCTATGCCCTCTCCGATCTTCTCCGAACAACCAAAAGGTTGTATATGGATAGAAGAGCACGCAGAAGAAGAAAGAAAAGGCATAGCAACAGAAAGCAAAAATCAAAACATACCTCATTGGCACCACGGATCATGCCCTGCTCCCGCTCCATCTGGATATACTGCTCCTCCTCGGCATAAGCCAGTGCCCAAGGCACACCGATCAGGAAAGCACTGGTGCTGATAATCCAGAGAGCCTTGCCGCTGAAGGACAGACCGGCCTTGGTGAAGGAGGTGAGCGAGGAGACAGAGCTAGAGACGGTTCGGCGGGTGGAGGGCGGGATCATGTCTTTCAGGGCGGAGACGCGGTCGAAGATTGACTCGCCCTCGAGTTCGACGTCGGAGTCATTGGAGATTTCAGATTCTAGTGAGACAGGGTGTGTTAGACTGTTTTGTTTTGATGGCTTTGTGTGCGCGGAGGAAGGTGAATGTGCCGCGGTGTTTGTCGCTCAGTGGAGCGGTGTCCTGAGTACGGCTGATAGAAGCCTGGACTCTAGTAACAAACATCGGCGGAGTGCATGAAGATGATGATTCCCGACACATTGGGCAATGGGTGTAGGGCGCCTTCTGTTGTTGTTGCAAGATGATGCGTGCAAGATAAAATACGAACCGGTGTCGCTGTAGTCCTCATCATCAGAGACTAGAAGAGCATCATTCTTGGTGCCAGTGGGCCTCTCCGTGCTGAAGTGCTCGTCCTCAAACTCCTCAAGCTTGACCATGTTGGCGGTGTTGTAGTTTAGGTGTGTGATGAGAATAATAGGGTGAGTTGAGTGTTGAAGTGACGGAGGAAGAACGGGCAACTCGACTTTTTTGCCGTGAAGGCGGTGAGAAGGAGCATCACCATACTGGAGATGGATTTATTGAGGATAGGACACTCCTAGTATATTTATTCTACAGAGTTGAATGATGACGGGGTCTATAATTACAAAATCCCAGCTGGTTTACCTCCGGCCCAGTTTCCACCGCGCAATGCGTTCCTGGATCTCCTCCCACGCAAACTCGCGGAGTTTGTAGCCCTCCAGCTCGCCCTCCTGCAGCACCACGGTGGGCTTGCCAGTTCCCTGACCGTTGTTCTGGACGTGTCCACCAAAGACCTGCCGGGCAACGCGACGGAGGTCCTCAACGGTCAAAGACTCAATTTGCTCACACATCTCCTTCACGCCCACCTTACGTCCATGGACCTGCACCTGGCGCCCGAGGTCCTCGAGCTCCACCATGCGCGATTCCAGGTTCATCAGCAGCGATGACCGAAGCTGGTTCTTCGCACGGTTGACTTCCTGTGCCTGCAGTGCCGTATACCCGGTGTCCAGGGTCAGGGACTGCAGTTCGCGGCACATCACCTCCAGCATATCGGTGGTGCGGGTTGGGCTGCACGACGCGGAAATGCCGAAGATTCCGCTGTCGGTGTAGCTGTGGTTGAAGGAAATGCAGCTCTCAACCCAGCCGTGCTGGTTCAGCACATTCGTGTAGAGGCGGGAGTACATGCCCTTGCCGGGGCCGCCGGCCGAGAATGACCCGCCGCCGCCGAGGAGGGTCTGAAGAGTCGCGAGTGCGTAAATATCAGGAGAGGAGATGGGGAGGGCCTCGAAGGCGAGGTGAATGTGACTCAGTCGGGGCAGCATCGGGTTTGCTGGCGGGGGAATCGGCGGGAGGGCAATGAAGCCGCCGGTGTAGTGAGCGGGTCGGCGAAGGTCCAGCGTAGATGGCTCGATCAAGGACGGGTCGAGAGGCTCAACCGTGGCGTTGTTGTTTGTAGAGAGCGAAAGCTTCTTGAGGAAGGGCAGCTTGGAGAGGATCGACGACTGGGAGTTGGGAGAAGTGGCTGGGCTGCTGGTGGTCGACGACGGCGTGAACTGAGGAACTGTCGGTATTTGGCCCTCGTGGGCCGCATCGGTCGATTCCGACAGGGTGGTTTCAATGCCCGAACCGGACAGAACAGGACCCTTGCTCTTGCTCAGATCACTCGTCTGCATGTCGCCAAAATATTGCTCGGTGAGTTTGATGGCCTCGGCATGCGGCACTCCGGCGAACGCAACCACCATCCGGTCCGGGTTGAAGAATACCTCCCTGTATCTCTCCACAACTGCCTTGTTAATCTCACCCAGTCTCTCACTCGGACACAGCAAGGGGTTTCCAAGGGTGTTCTCCTTGTATGCGGCCATGTGAACAAGCTCCGGCAGAATCAACTCCGGCTTAGCCCAGATCTCGCCGATTTCATATTCCGCCGTCGCGAGTTGCTGAAGAACTTCTTCGTCTGTGATGAGAGGATCGCGAATAGTCTCAGCCAGCAGACCAAGAGTCGTGGGAACCGCCGAGTTGAAGCTGGCCGACTGGTACATCAACGACTCGCGTGAAGAGGCGCACTGGATGTTACCGCCCAGGGACTCGAGTATCTCGAGCATCTGATCTCCGGTATGCGACTTGGTCGATTTAAAGGCTAATCGGTCCATAATGTGACTCACTCCGCGCATGCTGGCGTCCTCATAACGAGATCCGGCGTCGACGTACACACCGACGCCAGCAAAGGGACCCGGTAGTGATTCCGTGGCGACACGGATTCCATTTGGAAGAGTGGTGATTTGGTCTAATTCGGCAGGGTCCTGCAAGCAATCGCAAAAACCGGGGCGTTAGTTCAAGGACAAAATGAATGGCACGCGGTCTTATCGAGGGTTGGTTAGTTACCTTGCCCATAGACTCATTAAGGGTAGCGAAACTTCTTGACACCGAGCGCGGAGCTCGCGCAAGCGGCTTCGCGGACTCAATCGCCCGCAATGCTGACCGGCGCATAGTGGAAGGCGTACGGGAGAAAAATGTGAAGGTGGTTTCTCGCGAAGTTGCAGAAGCTGCTCGACTTGGGCGGCGAAGAACGGAGAACGGACCCGGGCTTACCTAATAATCCGTGCCATGATTCTCCAGTATGGGGTGAAAGAGGTTGCAATTTTGCCAGAATATATTGATCTGGTTGTGTTAGAAGGATAGCAGGTGCATTATATTTCATTTGATCTCCTAGTAATGTTCGTTTTGCCTGGAGTATATAGGTTGGTGGCAAGTATCGTCGCGCTTACCAAGGACGACCAGTCTAGAATCGTAACAATTCCTCCGCAATTACTCATATTTCATGGCCCATTCTCTTTTATAATGACTCATGTTAAGAATGCTCCAAAGCCCAGTTGCGATACCAATCAAGGCACGCAGCATTGGCGACGCTAGCCCCAATCTTGATGTTGAGGCCGCACAGGATCTGCTTGACGGCATTCTCAACTTTCTTGCCGTTCGAGGTGACCGGGATCTCCGGGCATGCATCGATAATGGCGGGTACATGGCGAGGGCTGAGTTCCTTACGAATGGTCGCCTGGATGCGCGCAGCCAGATCCGCCGGCATGATGCCTCCCTTATTCGGCTTCACGAAGAGGACGACGGTCTCGTCTGAATCGATGCCCTCGCGTCTCCGGCCCACGCACAGGGAATCTTCAACCTCATCGGCGAAGTGCTTCAGCAGAACATTGTAGATTTCTGCGCTTCCAAACCGAACCCCGGATGGCTTTAGCACACCATCACTCCGGCCCAACATGACCACACCTCCTGTCTTTGGGTTCAACCGCACAAAGTCGCCGTGGTGCCAAATGGTGGGACCGAAGACATCGAAATAGCTCTTCCGGTACTTCTCTAGACCCATTGGGCCAGGCGGCCAGAACATGACTGGTTGTGCGGGGAAAGGGGTGGTGCAGACCAAGTCTCCTGGTTCGCCAGAGGCACTGATGTCGTTCCCGGCGTAGTCATAGACGGACACCGCCATCCCAAGAGAGCGGCATTGGATCTCGCCCTTATAGACAGGCAGGATCGGGCATCCGGAGCAGAACAACGACAGGATATCTGTGCCGCCGGTGATGGAGCCGAGCATGATATCTTGGTGAATGGAAGAATAGATGTACTCGAAAGTTGAGGGGGCCAGGGGGGATCCGGTGCTGAAGATTGCCTTCAAGGTCTTCAGACTCACCGGACGGTGCGGATGCTTGCGTGGGTTGAGGGCTGCTTGTTCCAGCATCGAGAGGTACTTTGCCGAGGTGCCGAAATGAGTAATTTCGAGTTCATCAATCAGCCGTGGCATAGCCATCTCCCCATTGCCTCCTTCAGAATCGAATGGCCGGAATGGCGAGCCATCATACAGGACAATTGTGGCGCCGCTGGCCAAACCGGAGACCAGCCAGTGCCACATCATCCACGTTGTCGTCGTAAAGTAGAACAGACGATCGCCTGGCCGGATTTCGCAGTGAAGGAGATGCTCTTTCTTGTGTTGCAGCAACGTACCCAAAGACCCATGCACAATAGGCTTAGGCGCGCCTGTCGTACCCGACGAGTACAAGATGTAGACCGGGTGTTCCGGGCTCAAGCTCGCAAACTCCATCGGTGCTGCCTGGTTATGCACCGTGGACAAGAAGTCGCGATAGCCTACCGCTTTCCCGCGGACGGGTCGTACTTGTTCCATGTTGAACTCGGCCACTTTGGCCGTGTCAAAGACAACAAGGAACTCCAACTTGGGCAACTCCTCCACAATCTCACGCACCTTGGCATGGGAGCCGTGCACCTTGCCGTTATAGAGGGAGGCATTATCCGCAAACAAGACCTTGGGCTCAATCTGCTTCAATCGCTCCAGAACGGCATGTACCCCCGTGTCAGGAGACACGCCGGTCCAAAAGGCGCCCAGGGACGCTGCTGCTAGCATGGCCACGACGGTGTTGGCGTGGTTGCCCACAAAGCCCGCCACACGATCACCGGTCTCCACGCCCGCTTCTTTCAAGGCGTTGGTGCATTGCCGGACCCGCTCGCGCAGTTCTTTCCACGAGACATACTCTCGGTCTGCTTCTGTGGCTCCGATGATTGCAACCGCATTCTCATCTGGCGAATTGGACGGGTAAAGAAGGTTCTCTGCGAAGTTCAGAGTACTTCCTTCGAAGAACGCCGGCCGGGGAAACATCACTTCATCAGACCCTAGCACCTAAACCCGTACATAAGCAGGAGTGTGATGTCAATTAATTTGTTCTTCTTACCTGTTGATATGGCGCATGCGCCTTGATGGAGGTATAGTGCCAGATCTCCTCCCAGAACTTGGCCGGTTCCGAAACACTCCATGTCCAGAGATCATTGTAGTGCGTCAGGGACAGGCTATGCTTTTTGTTCACGCGAGTCATAAAATCGAAGATCTGGGTCGTCTCCGGCGCCGAAGGCCGCCACAGCTCCTTCACGTCCGTGGCAGCCTCGTCGACTAGAATCGTCTCATTGATATGCGGCATGGCTTTTGCGGCATCAATCGAGTGCGCGAAAGAACAGAGAAAGGTAAAGCAGAGGTAGAAAGGGTGTCGTCGGTGATCGTCGGTGGATTTAAAAACCTTGACAGAGAAGGGATGCCGGGGTATCTTTCTCTCCCTCTGATTCGCGCACGCAGGACCTGCAGGAATGAAACCCGGCAACAAGGGGATCGCGGGGGACGGGCGGCTTGGATCGGGAAGGCCAGTGCCGCCGCCGACAATCTCCGCGGCTCGGCGAGGGCCCCCCACGGATAAGGAATGGATAGAGAACCCACCGGAGTCGGTGGTGTGGATGCGAGACCGGTCAGAATGGAATCACGTCACGTCGCACTGGCTCTGATGTAGACTCAAGGTAGGACAAATGTCGTATGTGTACGTGGGACAGAAGCACCAATCCGGCCTCAGGCACCCACCCTTACTCAGCCCGTCTCACTGGGGTCTCGACCGGGACGTTTTCATCCTTTTGGCCAGGCACTGAAGCTTCGCCAGCAGGGGAAGAATCATCTACATCACCATCCTGTTGGCCAGTGCCACCCTCGGCCAACGTTCGGCACTTGGCCCATCCTGGCCAAGTGCGACGTCCACTCCCTGGGGTACGATGTATGGTAGACTGTCCGATCGTGCGTGGGCTCGCTCGCACTATTGTCAGGAGTCAATCGTGCTCTTACGATCCGTCAGACTGGTGGTGGACCCGAGTGTTTCGTATCCAGAAAGAGTCGGACCCGAAGAAAAATTAAGTGGGCGTAATGTGACGGTATGGCCGAGGTGGAAGCTCCTCCATCCGCGTAGTCTAGTCCCAAATTACGGTAATACCATACTCAGGAGAGGGCTATTGAGTGCACCCTTACCATCTCTTCTTGTTGCTCTTCTTCTCTCCCATCCATCTCCGTTCCCTTTTCCCGTCGCGTGCCACAGTCGTCAATTGTGCTGCCTGGGAAGAGTAGATCGAGGACTCATTCCCTCCGGCCAAAGTGATCGCTCCCTCTCCAATCCCTCCGCCCACATTCCGCGCGACCTTTTTTCTGCAGGCCCTCCCCCGGAGCCCGCGGATACGATCTCCTGCTCCCTTCCTTGATCACCCGGTACGTCTACGACTCGTCGGCTCATCCGGCATTGTTTTGTTGGCATGGGCTCTTTCTCTGCTTGTCAATCCTCACGTGCCTTCCGGCCCCCGTTTCCTGTGAGACTAAAAAGACAATCGAAGACTAATCTCAGCCTCGTGTCCAGACCTGCCTCTTCGCAAGACACAAACACAACGCATACAGCAACCGAGCTTCTGCAGCGACTACTTGTCTCGCTGTTCTGGTTCCAACAGGTAGTCTCTGCCTCAATCGTCAGTCGGGAGCCCACGCGCGCCCCCTGATCCTGACGGGATCGAATCACCCTGCCCAGCCCTCCATCGCGGCTTCCCTCTTGCGATGCCTCGGCGATTCAGCAACACCTCCTCCAAAGACTCCTCTTCCAACTCACCGTCCTTTTCAGCTCCTTCGGGAAAGGGCAGTCTCGCCATCAAGGCGTCCTCGGTCAAGTCCAATCGCCTGTCCCAGTTCTTTTCGGTCTCTCCCAAGTCCTCCAAGACCGAATCACAACCTGTGCAGGCGCCCCCCAACCGGCCGGTGCCAATCCTAACACCGTTTCTCCGCCGATCAGCTCGGCATCACTGTCCCTACCGACTATTTCTCTCTCGACGGCCACCGCGGACAACCTCAATATGGACGAAATGCCAACCACGCTCTTTCAGCCTCCGTCCCCGGAGGAAGCACGTCGGCTGGCCAAGCAACACGCCCAATTCGGTGTCATCGGTCATGCCAGCCACCGGTATTCGAGTCGCCACCCCGGCGGTGTCTTCCCAGAGCCGGTGATGGATGAGCCGCCGTATTATTACTTGCTCACGACCTATATCAGCTACTTAATCCTAATTGCCTTTGGACATGTCCGTGATTTCTTCGGCAAACGCTTCCGGGAGGAGAACTACCGACACCTGAAGCCCCGCAACGGATACGGAGCCCTCAATAGTGACTTTGACAACTTTTATGTGCGACGTCTCAAACTGCGCATCAACGACTGCTTTGAGCGACCTGTCACCGGCGTTCCCGGGCGGATGATCACCTTGGTCGACCGTGCTACGAACGACCATAATCATCACTTCTATCTCACAGGCACCACCACCGACACCCTGAACTTGAGCTCTTACAACTATCTTGGATTCGCCCAGTCGGAAGGTCCCTGCGCCGACATGGTCGAAGAAACGATCAGGAAGTACGGTATCACTGCCCCAAGCACCCGAGCGGAGGTTGGCACGCAGGATCTTCACCAGGAAGTTGAGGGCCTGGTCGCCCGATTCGTGGGCAAGGAAGACTCGATGGTCTTTTCGATGGGATTCGGCACCAACGCCAACATCTTTCCCGCACTCGTCTCCAAGGGCTGTCTCATCATCTCCGACGAGCTGAACCACGCGTCCATCCGCTTCGGTGCCCGCCTTTCTGGTGCATCTATTGCCATGTTCAAGCACAATGACATGAAGGACCTGGAAGTGAAGCTTCGCGAGGCCATCTCCCAAGGCCAGCCCCGCACCCACCGTCCCTGGAAGAAGATTCTGGTGGTGGTGGAAGGTCTGTACTCGATGGAGGGATCCATGTGCAATCTTCCTGGTTTGGTTTCGTTGAAGCAACGTTACAAGTTCCATCTCTTTGTCGACGAAGCCCACTCGATCGGAGCCATTGGCCCCAAGGGGAGAGGTGTGTGTGATTACTTCAGCATCGATACCGCCGAGGTGGATGTCCTGATGGGTACCCTCACCAAGTCATTTGGTGCCAACGGAGGATACATTGCGGGCGACAAGGTGATGATCGACAAGCTACGCGCTACCAACGCGGGTGTGTTCTACGGCGAGTCACCCGCCCCCGCCATCCTCGTACAAATCTCTTCCGCCCTGCGCATCATCAACGGCGAAATTGTTCCTGGCCAGGGTGAGGAACGGTTGCAGCGATTGGCCTTCAATTCGCGATACCTTCGGCTCGGATTGAAGCGTCTTGGCTTTATAGTATACGGTCACGACGATTCGCCAATTATTCCTATTCTTCTCTTCAACCCGGCCAAGATGCCCGCGTTTTCACACGAGATGCTCCGGCGGAAGATTTCTGTCGTCGTTGTCGGATACCCCGCCACCCCGTTGGTCTCATCCCGCGCTCGTTTATGCGTGTCTGCCGCCCATACGAAGGAAGACCTTGATCGCGTTTTGACTGCCTGCGATGAAATTGGCAATGTGCTCCAACTCAAATTTTCAACCGGCATTGCCGGCGGCGCTTTGCCCCCTGCCGAGGGCATGACTCCTCCCCGGAGATGGAGAAAGAATGGCACCGCAAGCGCGCCGCCACTATCGTTCCTCCCCGGTGGCGGCTGGATGATGTGCTCCAGCGTGGAGTCCAGGATGTCAAGTCGCCTTTGTTTTAGTTAGGCTGTCTCATGGCTTCTCTGAGATGTGTCTTTCCAGGGGTTGATCCCACGAGCTCGGTTGGTGCTGGTCACGCCGTGTCGCGGTCTATGAAATTCAATGTTCAATTGTCTTTTTATTCTCTTCTCTCTCCAATTCCTAGGTCTGCTTGTTTCGCCTTTGTGACCATGAATAGCTTTCTTGCTTAATGGCAGAAACGCATCACCCGCCCAAAGTTGGTCGTTGTTTCGGACAAAAGAACAGACCTATGAAGAAGAGAATATACCGCCCAAAAAAGTGGTCTTGGGTTATTCACCCAGCAACGAATGAAGAACATGTCCCCGTCTACCATGACCCGACCTCGGCTCCCTTCTTCTGCCTCATTTTTGCATTCTTGCATCCATACATGCATACATACGCGTTTTTTTTTACTTTTCTCTACCCTCTTCTATTTCTTTCTTCTTATTCCACTTACAATACTTCTAATCCCCCTGTCACTTGCACTTTTCTTCTTGTGTCGATAGATCCCTGTCTGCTTTGCTCCATCAACCACCTGGGCGTACAGTCGGATATCTCATCGAGTTGCATTTTCTTTGGCCTGTTGGCCTATACACATTTAAGCCTTCCTGTTTGAGATGGGCTGGCTGGCTGGAAGGAATGAAGGAACGGAGGCACACATTGAATGCAACGCATAACCGAGAAAAAACTAACACACTTTCTTCTCGCCTTGGCTGTTTTCTGGGAAAGAGCGGCACTTTATTATGTTTATAATTAGATGATCGATTTATAACATGTATTTTGAATGATTTACACACAGAAGATGTAGCTCTTAAAAGATCGCCATGCAGTTCGGCGGGCTGGACACGCCACGCTTACAGTTGAGCGGACTACTCGAAATAAAGAAGGACCAGCGGTTAAGCCGCTTACAAGTCGCAGCCAGCTCATCAAGATCGAACATCTCGCCAATAGGAACACCCCAACCCGCCAGGAGATGGTGGTGCAGGTCATGTTCCGGCGACAGAGCCGGGAACACCTCAAAGCTGACCGCGTCGGAAGCCACAGCCGCGAAGTGGTTATCCCACATGAAGCGCAGCACACGTTCACTCTGCTCGATACCGGCATGCTGCGGCATGGCCTGCTCGCTGTAAGCCTTGCGGGAATCGGCCGACATCGCAGCCCAGGTATCCGGCAGTCCAACACGGAGGAAGAAGACATCGCCGCGCTGGAACTCGATGTTGCACTCGCGCGCGATCTCCAGCACCTCATCCAGCGAGATCAGCTGCCGGCTGAGCGCGTTGACGCTAATCCCTTTCTTCTGCGCGTAGGACAAGTAGTCGATCAGCACGCCGCGGCCGGCAATTCCCTGCTTCGCCCAGAACCCGATGCCGATGCGCGAGTTGCTCTCATCCTGGATCTCCTCAGCCGTCGTGCCGCCGTAGAAGACCCGGCGATCTGCGTTCTCGGCCGTGGGCGCGGGAGCGTTATGGTGCCGCAGTCCGTCCCATTGGGAGCCCTGCTGCGGGTTGAAGTGGTATTCGTCGTCGAAGGCGACGCCCTCGGCGACCCATTTGATGCGGTGCTCGAACGGCTTACGGCCGAAACCTGGGTTCGGTGAGGATTCAGGCCTGTGTAGCGAGCTGGATTACTGGGTTTACGTACCTGGCGGAGTCAGATTCTCAATGTCCCAATTCAGACACACCCGCTCGCCGGTCTGGATCTGCGTGCGCGCCGCGTTCGCAACTATCTCCGGGGTAAGCAGGCGCAACATGCCCAGCCCTTCGTCGGCTGACCCGGCGGGGGAAGGCCAGAAGCGCCGCTTGTCGGGCAGATCATCGAATTTCTCAGGGAGGTCAGGGATGCCGGACATGATGAATGAAGAGGGAGAGTTGGAGGGGTGGAGGAAACGTGGGGGTTGCCCGCGTGTCTATATGTCTTATATCGGAACAAGTCCGTGACGTGGAGATGACTGACCCCGCCGAGAAGTAAACGAAAGAGACGAGTGGAATAATGCACCCTATATGCACAGGATAATGTCTGGCAATGGAGCCTTTTCTATCCAGGCTGTGGCTGATGTCGTGAGGGCGCTCAGGGTCCAGTTCACTGAGTAGAGGGTTTAGACTCAGTGATCATGCTTAAGGCCGCAGCGATACATTTGGCATCTACCTGTACGGCCATAGCAGTACCAAGGCTTATCAGTACCTATCTTCTTGACGGTGTTGGGTATATTGTAATGTGATATGAAGTGGGAGAGCCACTCGAACGATACTGGGACTGTGTTTCGCAGGCTGAGCAAAATCGCTCGCTCACTGTGTGGAACTAATAAAGGGAATGGTCTCCCCTGCAAATCCATCGGGGTAGTTGATGATGATGATGAGTTCATTTACCAGATGTAGCTGGCTCACAAAACAAGTGCAAACGGAAAAAAAAAATTCTACATATCGTCCAGGTCATCACCGGACTTGGAGCCCTTCTGCGCCATATCGGACATCTCGTACTCCTCTGTCCGGCTCGAGTTGCCTGCCCGCTCTCCCGCCGACATGGCAATGGCCTGCCGCCCCGTGTCGGAGGACTCAAGGAACTCGCGCAGCCGGCGTTTGGCTTCCTCGAGAGCCTGTTGGGATGCCGCCTCGGTCATTTTGAGGATGGGGCCCCATAGGTTCAGCTGAAAGGTGATGTAGGCACCGACAGCACACACGAATAGCAAGAAGAAGTAGGCCGGGTTCCGGAGAACTAAGTAGAGGAGTCATGTTAGTAAATTCAGATACATAAGAGATTGCTGGGAATAGCACATACCGGCAATGATCTCGTTCCAACCCAACGCCAGAAGCAGACCGTAGAAATACAGTGGAACCTGGGTCATGCCGCCGATGGCACTCCGCTTGGCTTCGACATAGACTCCGTCGGCGGCCTTCTTGAAACGCACGGTGAGCTCCTGCCGCTTGGACTCGCCGAGAACAGTCATCTCTTCCTCCAGGCTCGTGCCCTCGTCCTCATCCACGCCGCCGATGGGAGCAAGGTCCTCTTCGTCTGCAGCTGTCGCAGAGCTCGGGGTGTGGCCAATCCACCGGTCAAGAGGGGGCGGCGCCGACGTATCGTCCAGCCGGAACCGAGACAAGAGAGGAATGAGAGTCAGCGTTGACTCGCGGGCGCGCGTGTAAACGCCTTCGATGTCGTCCGTGGGGCGCCAGATGCGAGGTACGCCGGCCTCGTCATACCGGAATTTATCTTCAAAGTTCTCGCGCAGTTTCAGTAGCAGGTTGCCTTCGATCATCTCCTCATCGATCTTGGCACGCAGTACTCCCCAAGACTTGCGGCGCAGGCGCCACAGCCCGACATCAACCTCTTCCAGGCTAGCATCGAAACTGCTGGCTCGGTCCGTGAATCTTCGCTCAGCGTCGAGCACAGTCTCAACGAAGACATTCCAGATGCGATCCCAGAACGCCTTCTCGGTAGGCTTCTCCCCGGTTTCGGGGGCGCCTCCGCCAGCACGGCCAGATCCCAGAGCGTTGAACTCGAGACCCACGGATTCGCCCAAGCGAGACTGCACCCAACGCTCAACCCGACTGGCTAATCGTCTCATTTCATCGCGCCGGAGACGGGTGCTGACCTCGGCCAGTTCCTTCTCGTACAATCCAAGTTGCTGCTTATAGTTGCTCCAAGAAGTGCCTTCCACCAACGTCGAGCGGGCAGCCTCCTCGAATTTCTCCAATGCGATATCCATTTCCTGATTGACGATCTCGGCAAAGTCGTAATTGCCACCCTTCTTCTGACCAGTCTTGACAGCATTGGTGACCGCATCGCTGAATTCGCGGATGCCGGACTTGTGCGCCGCCGAGAGTTGGCCTTGGAACAATGCCTTCAGTCGAGTATCAACCTTGCTCTCGAGTTCGGCCTTTTTCCGCTGGTACACACCCTTGTGGTACCGGCTCGCTTCTGTCTCGAATCCCTTAAGAGTCTTGGAGCGCGCAGACCGCATGGCCGCGCCCAGTCCACCAAGCACTTCGGGCGTACCCAGACGCACGGCCTCGGCCTGCTTGTCCTCAAATCCAATGATCGCATCGTCGAATCCAATCATCACCTCCCGCAGAATCTCATCACAACGGAACTGAGCAAGCAGCTCTTGTTGTGTGGGCAGGTCTAAATCTTTATTGTTAACAATTTGGTCCCAGATGCCCTCGGCATAATGCGCATATCCGTCTGCTGGAATTCGACGGTGGTATTCGGGCAAGAAAACTCCGCCTTCCGAAAACTCTCCCCTGAGGGCATCCTTCTTAGGGTCCCGGTGTCCTTCTCGGAATCGCAGTCCCAGCTTCTTGATCTCCGCCACAAACTGCTCTGGCTGATAGCCCTTGTGCGGAAGTCCGTAGAACTGAAAGTCAAAGTAGTCGTGAATCGTCGAGTTCTCGAGTCCAGCTGGCTTTGATATCGATCCCCACAGACGAGATAGATCTTCCAACAACGTCTTCTGAAGATTCTTAAGCGGGGTGTTGCCGATGAAATCACGGATGACGAAGAATAAAAGGGAGCGGTGGGTGGTGCTAGAAACTTGTTAGTGCCCTGCACGTACAAAGGCAAAGAGTCACGCATACTGTTTGTCCTTCAGGAAGAGTTGCAAGTTGACTTCGAAGACGGTCTTCAACAAACCCATGTTGGCTCCCTGGTACAACCCAACCTGGTGCTCCCAGATATTGACAATGAGCACTTCACTGGTCGCGAGGGCGAAGAGAGCGCTCTTGCGCTCAAAGTCCTGGTCCTCGCCTCGTTCACGACCATCCGTGCCCTCTACATCCATAACCAAGATATTATCGGCCATTCGAGAACCGCTCCCAGTGGCATCCTCGCCAGCGTTCTTGTTCTTGGATAACCAGATTCCCTTGGTGGTTTGCCTCCTCTCCAGCTCGGACATAACCGAGAACTGGGTGCCGAAGAGATGGTTAAGCAGGGTTGACTTTCCCGTTGATTGGGAGCCGAACACGGAGATCAGGTGGTAGTTGAAGCCGGCGGGAGTGACATCTTCGATGGAGAGGTACTTGGACAGGTTGGGGCTGGTGGGAAAGGAAGAGATGTTAGCAATACTGGTAGGGAGATGGGACTGAAGAGCGTACTTAAACTCCTTGTTCTCGTCCACCACCTGCACGCCATGCTCGTAGGACGCCATGTCGTTGTGGTCGCCGATCGCAGCAAAGTGGCCGTTCGCCATCACAGGAGGTGCCGTGGGGCTCCTTCCCAGCGACGAAGGGCGGTCGGTCATAATAGTTCAAATGTTGGACTGATCGCCCTGTGATAATAGGGTCAGACTCAAGTGGCGAGAGGGTATGAGAGAGTAAATCGAGTCCAGATCACAAGGTGTGGAAAGGTCCGAGGTTCATTATTATTGTTGGGCCAGTCACAGCGATGCACAGCTGCCGTTGCTGGGGGAAAACAGTCTTACATAACCCACGTATAGTTACTTCGGAGCCCTAACACCCCGTTAGGTCGGGGTATTTGCGACCAGCATTATAGTTTTGACAGATAGGCATTAAGTCATTGAAGAAAAGGTTCAAATGTCCACCTATTTCTGGACGAAATATTAGCATGGCCACTCCGCAGGCCCGACCATAGTAGAATATCTATTCATGCTAAACGTCGGACCAGTTCAGATTCCACCCCTGGTCCAGCCCCAAGTCGAGGTTCAGATTATCGAAACTCATGTCCTGCCCAAATTCATCAAACATCCCACTAAATGCGTTGAGATCCACCATCGGATTCCTCAAATCGTTGTCCGTCGGGAGCATCTCCGTATATCCAGCGCGCTCAAAATTTAGTGCTTCCCCACTGGCAGCATTAATCTGCGCTGTACCACCGGAGGTCGACAAGGGTGGAGTGAAGCCCTGATGTGGAGTTTGCTTGGAGGGAGAGGGTTCCGTTGCCGCTATTGGCGCGGACGAAGCCCCAAGCATCGGGCCGCTCATGTTGTCCCAAAATTTCCTCAAAAGTTTCGAACCGGGGCCGACGGTAACGGTGCCGAAATACGGTATCGTGATCTTGCACGTTCTGTTGGAATGTGCAAATGATTTCCAGTCCGTACTAGAAGGATTGCAGGCATTGAAGATCTGTTCCAGGATGGTGGCCGATTCAGCAGCAACAGAACCACCGCACTCCGAGGAGGCGCAGCGGAGAATCTCAATGGTCTCGCCTACCAAAGCGAAATCGCGTTGGTCCTGTTCCTTGTCATGATTGGGTGACTCTTCTGAATTCCCGTATACATGGGTCAGTAGCAGCAAGGCCAGTATGAAGGCCAGGAAATCTGTGACTTTGCAGAGGTACGGCGATCCTATTGACCGTAGACTCTTGTAGTGGCCGAGGCCCAGCCGTGCGCATCGGATTGCTGTCTCATGGGAATATTGGTACTGAGAATTGGAGGATGATTTCAACATAAAAGGGAGATGAAGCATAGCTCGTAGCAGGTTGGACATGAATTGCAGTGGGACATGTTCGTGGAACGGCTTCCCTTCCTGCGAGCACGGGCTGGCGTCATAGCAGCTGTTGGGCAGGAGAGCAACAGCATCAAGAAGATCCTGGTCTAGCTTCAGTGTTGTGGAGAGCGAGGCTTTGGCTGGATCGTGGCTCCGGTCGATCATATGTCCGGTAATGATGCCTGCACGTAACACGTATTGCTCGGGCGCCGGCACGTCTTTCATAGCCAGACGCTGTTCCACCTGAGGCAAGATAAAGGCATCTGTCACGACGTACGGCATCCCCAGGATAAGGCTCAGCGAGCGGTCCGATGTCACTAGCGAACACCAGAGTTTCAGCCGGCGTTCATATAGAGCATCGGACGGACGAGGAGTCCTGGTCGACACATGCATGCCGGCAATCTGAGCAAATTCGATGGGCTGGCGGTTGCCCAGCCACGCTTTGCGAAGCCGCCCATCATTCATATAGTACTTGGAAAGCAGCATCTGGCACTCAATCCCAGGTAGTGTAGCAGCAAGGTCGTCATCCCGGATGACCAAACGGTCCACCTCCGATATACAGAGGTCAACGAATTGTTTGGGGTTGAAAGGGATTTTTAGAGAATTGAAATCAAAGCCAGCCATCTGGGCCACGCTGATAGAAAGACAAACAAGGGCCTTGGCTACGTCGGCAGGTGCCATATTGAAACTCGGAGTAGATGAGTCTCGACACCGGTCACACAACTCTGGAAAGTTGCTTTGCCACACAAACCACCATTTGGAAGAAGCATTGATGATCTTTCTGATGTCTTCTCGTGGAGGAAACAGAGCGATCAGCTGAGAGCGGACTTCCTGCGCCTTGGGCGACATGTCCTCGACTCCGGTGAACCGATCATCACACGAGGTGTCTTCCTGGCTATTGACCAAATATGTATCAAAGAGCTGTAGAATCGGAGCATTTACCATCTGGTTTGGCAGATTCGGCTCATCCGACTCGACCGATGCAGGTGTCAGATTGGTCTGTAGATCTTTAGGCGCTGCAATTGTAGGTTAGATCTGCACATCTTCAGAGGAGACGAAAGCTAACTTTGGTGTGTCTTTTGCCCCGGTGGTTGTCTAGAGGATGAAGTACCAGGAACATTCTGGTCCAGTCTCTTGACAAGTCCTTCTACTACATTCTCCAAATGCGCAACCCGCTCTCGTAGGCTGTATGTCTGCTCGCCCTGATGACTCGAAACACTGGTTGGGGGACTTTGTTCCTGTTCAATGCATGTTGATCCACGAAGGCGACATTCGTTGCAGGTTCCAGGAACTTTGGAGTTGGAAGTGCAGCGGATCTTGCGACGTCGACCTTGCCGGCCACAAAGGTCAGTATGCAAGAGGATGTGACAAGGCAGCAAGCGTACATTCCGTGCAACTCTTGGTCCCCTTTCTCATCCTCTTCCGTGGAGGCTCTTGCAGATCTGACCACGAGCTCATGCTGACCGAGATTATCTGTTCTTGTTGCGATGCCCTTTGTCGGCTGACGGTGAGTGATGCCGTCGCTCTCGTGGGCCGTCACCTTGAGAACAGTTTCGAGGTTGTAGATGCAAAGATGAAAAACAAAATGCAAAAATAGCTATTCAACTAGCTCCACGTATCCTATCAGGATTATTGCTTCCATTGTCATAGCTAGGGAGGTGGGCTGTTCGTCCGCCATTTTCGTCCGAACGGGCCGGTCGAATTTTCGTCCGTCCGTGGCGCCTAGATTTTCAGATACTGGGGTCAATTTATGGTCGTTTAGCGCGCCGGAGCGTAAATTCAAGCGTATTAAATCGGCACGCTGAACTTCGCGTATAGACGCAATTTCTTTGTTTTGAATAGCTTTTACGGCTAATAGGATGCGGGCCTCTTATACGATGGAATTTTGGGTCGACCGGATGCGACTGGTGGCATGGTGGTCGATGGAAGATAGAAGAGAAGCGTCGGGGCGCGAAAAAGCAAGCAGGTACATCAAGGGAATTACGTTACTATATTGATTGATCCTCTGCGAGAAGCCGGTTGAAGGTGGAGGCGAGTTGGTCAATTTAGGGAAGTGAGAACACTAGGCCATCAAGGCAGAAGCACGACAACCAGATGTGTGCAGTAAATGAACCTCTGCTCAAGTTTATGTACAGTGTTTCAGTATATCTAGTCAAGAGACACGACAAAGATCCGACCAAGAGCGGAGAAGAAGAGAAGAACAAAATGAGGCACATAAGTACAGAACGGGATAATGAGGGCGAGAGTGGTATCAGAATCGGGGTAGTGAATAAGCAAGGAAGAAAGGCGCAACAACCAACAAATCAAAGTCATAACATTCTAGAACAAGTTCCAGCGACTCCGCGTCTCCTTGGTTGTTTTAGGACGCTCAGATGTCCGGTGCATAGCCCGGCCATCCAGCTGCCGAATCCCTTCGATCTTCTGCAGGGCCAGCTCTAGCAACTCCTTCTTGCGGATGATGTCCAGGTGGCGGCGGATGCGGGGATCTTCACGGGCAAAGCGCTCGATTTCCGCATCGGAGAGATGGCGGCCGAGTCGCATGTCCAGCTCGCGGGGAAAGTTGTAGTAGAACTCAGAGAGGAGCTCGACGTTCAGGAAAAGGACCGCCGTCGCAGTGAGTTTGTCGGCTACTACGTCGAGGAAGACCTCGGGACAGTAGTACTTGTTCTTTTGCGTGGCACACTGTTTGGATCGGACAGCAAGAAGCCTCATCTTAATGATGTCGGCTCGATCACGGAGGAAGACGCCCTCTCGGCCTATATGAACGGTTAGTTTTCTGGACATCCTTCTGGCAGGCAAGAAAGCTCACCTCTCTCCAACAAGGCGGAGCTGAAACCACCAGCACCACCAGCACCGTTACCTTCCAGTACCACGTCGCCTTTCCGGACCTTGTCAATGAACGACATCACATCTTTGAGTTTCCGTTTCCCGACAGAGTCTTCGACATGCTTGATGCCCGATTCGCAGGCTCGGAGTTCCTCCTTCAAAACCTTGGTCACGTTCTCCCTGCTTTTGGTCCATTCGGGATCTTCAACCTCGATCTCGAATTTGAAAGGCTTGATACAGTTCTCGACCTGGTCACTAGTGCTGAAAAATCGTTCGTTCAGAATCCCGGTGCAGGCGTCGGTTATTTGTTTGTGGGCGGCGGGGTGGGAAGCAAAAGTGGAAGTAGATAGAAGCTGATCCACATGGTTCTGGAGAGCATTGGCGACCACCGTTGTGGCCAACCTGCCGATACCCAGCTTCGTCAAAGAAGAAGTAGAAGCGTCAAGTTTCCGATGCCAAAAAAGATTTTCGGGGTCGGCTTTCGGGAGATCCTTAAGGGGATCCAGTTCCAGCATGGGCACAGTCAAGTCCTCTACCGGCTTATTCCAATACCGCTGAGCCAGGATATCCATGACTCGCTGGTCCAGCTCAGCCTTGAGCATCTCTCTAACCTGTGGCCGACCAAACCCTTCCGCAAATGCCTTGAAGGAGTGTTTGAAGCTATCCAGACTCTCTGCCAGATAGGATTCCGCGCTCAAGGGGCGGTCGTTATATTGCACCTTGAACTCGTAAGTGGCTTCTTCAAGCTCTTGGCTGATGGCGTCTCTAGTTCCTGTCAGGCTAGACGCCATAGTCTGCTCCAGGACATTCATCAACTTCTTGCGTAATGTTGAAACGCCGACCGAAACGTCAGAGTGTGCACCGAACTCGGCTGGATGTGCTGAAAAAAAGGCCTTCTCGTTCTTGAGAATGGCATTGGTGATGTTTCCAGAGCCTCGGGAGAAGAGTGCGGTGGTCTGAGGAATCTTGCTCACGACACCCACATAACCCAGTCGCAGAGGATACTTCTTGTCAGAGAGAACATCGTGTCCGCGCTCGGGGTCGACCAGATCCATTTTGGTAATGACTCCAATAGTCCGCTCTCCCCGGGGATCTACGCGGCGACTAGCTCTCAGTGCAGTCGAGTTTGCCAGATCGACATCAGCTGCAGAGATGGCGAGAACAACGTTTGGCGCCTGGATGTATTTGTCGCAAAGATCCGAGATCTTCTGCTTCAATTCCGGGGGCTGATCATGACCAGCAACCTGAATGTATCCCGGAAGATCAATCATGGAGAGATCCGGAACGTTTGGAGAATAAATAGTCAACTGAATTGGATCGTCCGAGACACAGTCCTTCTCAGGAACGGCAAGATTCAGATCCGTCAATGTGCGCTGGACTTGAGAAAAGTCCGTGATCTTTCCGAGGCCAAGCGCTGGGAATTCACCATACTCAGCTTGGGCGTTAGGGGTGTTGACCAGCGTCAATTCAATGGGCCGCCGGGTGACCATGTTCGAACCCTTAGGCAGGAATTCGTGACCAACAATAGCCTCCAGAACGGAACTCTTCCCCGACGACTGCGATCCGATTACCACAATCGATGGAAGGGTCAGTGTACTAGACTGGCCCACAGTCTGGAGGATATTCCGGATCTCGATCATCTTGCGCGTGAGAAGCATCATCTGGTCGTCTTCCGCGACTTCTCTCTCCCCGCGTGCATCATCCTCGTCAGATTGATCGTATCCAAACGCGGCGCCTGTTGCAGCGGCAGCTGCTCCTACAGGTGCCCGGCTCTCCTTTGGGTCCTTCCCTCCTCCGCCAGACGAATCGCCGCCTTCAGAGTGAGACTGGCCATCGAGACGGAGGATCTTCTGCAACCAATCCGGAACATCTATGTCGTCTTTTGTTTTATTGAACCCTCGCTGTGTCTGCTCGGCCACGTCCTGGAGTCCCTGGAATAGAGTCGAAGCCGTGTCGCCCGCAGTTTCTCCAGCTCGTTTCAAAACATCCATCGCATAGGTTCCCGCTTCTGCAAGACAGTGATTTTTAGCATATGTTCCCCAAATCTCGATCTCAGGAGCACGTACGGTTTGCTTGATATTGGATATAGGCCAGGCCCGCAATAGTGGCGCCCCCAAACATGGCGGGTACCCTGGCGAGCTTCAGTGCCAGCTTTGGAAGCATTCGTGCGAACGAAATCGTCCGGACGGCCGGGACATTGTTGTGAATTGCATTCGCACCTGTAGGCCAGGCGCGTCCCCTGAGGGCGGCACCGCCATCTGCGCGTAGGAGACCCCCGGTTCTTGAGCCGGCATTGTGAAGATGGCGCGCCAGCAGACCGTTCCGCACGAGCGGCGCAAGTCGGTGGGAGAGTATCCTCCCGCTCATGGTTGTTGCAGTCTCATTCAAAGGTTGATGGCGAGAGATGAAAGAGCACTTTAAACAAATGGTTGGTCGCTGACATCAGGCATCCCCGTGACCTGCGTGACTTGGCCGCGTCGCCTGCCGTAAAAGCTGGGTGTCACGTGGACCCGGTGACGTGCTGCCCTTTGGGGATTCATCACGGTTTCTCTCTCCAGGTTGGCAGGGTTGAAAGATTAAAAGTGACTGTTGGTGTTGGCAGCTCAACCATGTGTCGATTTCTGGTAAGATACGCAAGTTCCATCTTCTCCGCGTGGTGCTCTAACATATCCACGACAGATATATAAAGGCCGCCATGAGATCCGTCTCAGCAAGCTGGTGACGGAGCCGAGTCATTCCATTCTGACTCAATCCTACGACTCTCGGTTACGACTGGTAAGCTGCTGGATCACACGAACCAGGGCCAAACTAACATGCAACCTATCAGGATAACCGCCGCCCAGTCAATGGTGACGGCTTTGGGGTTGGTTTCTACACTGACCCGAAACTCGGACCAGAACCATGCATCTTCACATCCACTCTACCCGCGTGGAATTGTGAGAACCTAGAACGGCTTGCCGCAAAGACGTGCTCGAATCTCATATTCGCGCACGTTCGGGCAACAACCGAAGGGACTCTCGCCGACAACAACTGCCATCCGTTCCAGCACCAGACCCTGATGTGGATGCACAATGGGAACATTGGGGGCTGGAAATACATCAAGCGCACATTGGCCGACTCGCTCGCTGACAAGTGGTATCTCGGAGTCAAGGGCGGCACAGATAGCGAATGGGCATTCGCACTGTTTCTCGACATACTGGAGAAAGAAGGGGTGGACCCGAGCTCGGATCCAGGCCCTGAGGGATTCGGACAGGCGCTTATTCGCCGAGTGATGATGAAAACCATTGCCAAGATTAACGAGCTTGTTCGGGAGATTCCCGAGAAGTACAACGTGACGGGGGTCGAGACTCGGAGTTTGTTAAACTTTGCGGTCACTGATGGTCATACCGTCGTTTGCACTCGGTATATCAGCAGCAAGACAGATGAGCCGGCCAGCCTGTATTTCTCTTCGGGGACCAAGTGGAAAGAGGGCACGCCAAAAGGCCAATTCAAGATGGAGCGACATGACAAGGGCGCCGATATTGTTCTGGTGGCCAGCGAACCTATCACCTTTGAACGGCACAACTGGGTCTCAGTGCCCACCAACTCGGTGGTCACCATCCACAAGCAGACAGTGCTGCTGCACCCTATTCTGGATGAATTCTACGGGGAGGACTTGAACCACGACCGCTCTTCGTGCTATGCAGTGTCGAAAGGCCTTGTCAGCACTGCTCCTGGCACGACTGTCCCGCCTCAGAGCACAGACGAGCCCATAGCAGGCCGAACTGGCCTTGACGTGAGCAACGGTGATGACGTCGGTCTGGAAGGCCCTCGACCTGGTCATGCCGCCGAATGTGCCGTGTCACATTGACACGATTCCATGAATTGAATCACAGAGAAATATGGAGTTTGCGGGATAGATCGGGTTGTTTGGGTGTTGGTCTAGCATTGCAGCCTGTTATTAGAGTGTATGCCCATGATGCTACTCTACCATGCCTGCCTAGGGCGCAGGATCGCTCTTAGAAAAGAAACAATTTCGGGATTTAGAATGTTCTCATTAAAATAATATGGAAAGAGAGGCGCTATCTTCAAATATCCTCGCCAGATATATTCGCATGCTTGAAATACTTCATGCCTATCCAAGCCACGACGACCCAGACCCAGGCCATCACAGCCGTCAGAATAATCAGAGCCGGATAGTAGCCGACAATGGGCAGGGTCGGATCATCTTCCAACTCCGGTGGTGCGTAGGGGTTTCGCCGACATCCCATGCCCAGCTCCAAACCTCAAAGCAGCTGCCAATGCCCACAACAAAGACCAGCCAGGTCACCATGAGGATGATCCAGCCCCACCACTCGGTTTCGGAGTAATCCCTGGCAATGTCGGAGCTGCTCTTCATCTCGACGGAATGGGTTGCAAGAGGCGATGATTTGGTACGGTGGACTGGGCGGTAGGCCGTGTCCGGTCGAAGAGGGTAGTAGGACTCGGAGCCAGACGAGGCAGTTGGGATGTGTAAAGATGCAGCCCCTGTTCTGATACTGCTATTTCCAACCGGAACTGTGGAGGAATTGTTCGCGGTGCTGATACGGGGGAACGTAACGAGGTCTTCCTCATCGGTGCCCGTCTCATCGCCCATGTCATGACGCTTGGAGAGACTCTGACGGGAGAGACTCTGACGGCGCCGAGCGATAGATGGCCGTAGAGCCTTTTGTTGCGCGTTCACGCGGAACCAACTCGGCTGGGACTCGTCGCCCTCATCATCAAAGCTCCCCCGAGGCGTGGGCTCTGCGTCTGGCGAAGCCTTGGCTCTCGCAGACTGTTGTGAGTCGGTGTGAGGTCGAAAGCTGTCCTCTTTCAAGGCGTCATTGGCTTTGGTGGAAACAGCCCTCTTTTCTCGCATTTCCAGCCTCGTTCCTAGCAATGCAGTCTTCCGTAATGAGCCTCTTCGCCGTCGTGTCCGTCGTTGTTGTTGCTGTTGCACGGCTGACATCGCCTTTCCACCAGCACGCCCCGTCAAGCCTTCGCCTGTAGTTTGCAGCAGGCTGGACTTTAGGTCCTCGCCATCCGCGTCTTGTTCCATGTCGGGATGTTGTGAATGCGGCGTAGGTTTGGTCGCCTGGCTCATGCGAAGGAAGGAGAGTTTCGAGAGTAAGGATCCAGAAAGAGTCCGCTTGTGGCTGCTGCCTGCGCTGCCTGCGCTGCCAGATCGTGAACGAGTGGATAGTCCGTCGACCGAAGCGAGTGCCGCATTCCTGCTGTCGGCATCGTCCATTGGCGCAAGGATAGTCCGGAAGCTGGGACGTCAGCTCACCGGCATTCTATCAGCCAGCATTGGGCAATCCTGGCAATGACTAGATTGATTGTGTCGTGGTTATCCAGTGTTCAACGCGCCATCGAAAGATCGCCCGGAGAAAAGGGAAATTAATGCCTGAGCAGCCAGGCAATATTTGCTCACGTGCCGTGACGTAAGATAAACCGAACCCGGGGTCGAATCAGACTGCGAGTTGTTCGTTCTTCTCTCTCCGTGAGAAATCATCTTGCATCACCCTGGCCTTTGTGCTCGAGTGTTTCGCCTGCTCCTTGATAATGGTGCATGACCGGTTACAATGAGAAAGACACTGCTTCTCGTCTTTATCCACGGCTTCAAGGTATTCTATATCCATGGCTGCCTGTTCCCCGCAGATCTCCCAGCAGCTTAGGCTGATCTAATTATCTTATATTAGGGTGGTGATGATACCTTTGGGAATTTCCCTGCGCAGCTGCGCACTCTTGTGAGCAAGGCATTGCCTGCTGTCCAGGTGGTCACGGCAGTGTACCCAAAGTATGAGACCAAAGGCGACCTGAAAGAGACCGTGGGGAGGTTTCGTGACTGGTGAGTTTCGCACCTTCACATGGTGACGTTAGTTCTAATGCATTGTGGACTCAGGCTACAAAACACCGTGATTGACTTAGAGGTTGCAAACCACACTGCATCGCCCACCGTCGACCCATCTGTCCATGTTTTTCTAGTTGGGCATTCCATGGGAGGGATTGTGGGCGCCGAGGCGCTGCTGCTGCTGGCTGCAGAACAACCTATTTCTCACAACGCTGCGCCAGGTACATCGGCAGCTCAACCGGATGGTGGCCCACCTGTCGTGGAACCGGGCACCTTCATGTTTCCGCATGTCCAAGGAGTACTTGCCTTCGATACGCCCTTCTTGGGAATCGCCCCAGGGGTGATGGCATATGGAGCTGAAGAACACTACCGTAATGCTACCACAGCCTACAACACCTTTTCCGAGGTTGCAGGAATTTTCGGTATTGGGAAAAATGACAAGGCTGCACAGCCTCCAAAGGAACCGCCCAAGGCCTTGCCCGCATCGTCCGATGCTGCAGCGACACCGCAATGGCAGCGATGGGGCCGATATGCCATGTTCGCCGGTGCCGCCGGTGCTGTTGCGGCCGGCGGTGCCGCCATGTATTCCCAGCGCCAACGCCTGACTGAAGGACTGACCTGGGTATCCTCGCATCTCGAGTTTGTTGGTTGCCTGGCGCGGGCATCGGATCTTCGACAGCGTCTGGTGGGATTATCGAAAGTGCAGGAAGAGCGTGGAATCGGCTGCGTCAATTTTTACACCTGTCTGGGAAAAGGCGCGACTTCTCTTGTGGAAACCATAGGCACGAGCCAAACCTCGTTCAGCCAGAATATCATTCGGTCGAAGAATCGGACCTTCTGCTCACTTCCGTCCCATATGGAGGGCGACGAAGGGGCAGAGGGCGTGGAGCAGCTCGGTCTCCGGTGGACGAAAGCTGTCAATGACCAAGCCTCCGACGAGGTTAAAGCGCACATCACGATGTTTCTACCTAAAGAAAACCCTGCATTACCTGCACTTGTCGGAGAAGCCTGCAAAACTCTGGTGAAATCGATCGACAAGGGCTGGTACCGTACGGCGTCAGGCCCTGTTGAAACGGAGAGTGATGCGCGACGCGCACACGCACCGCCAAGGCCAGAAGACGACTTTATGGACGGCGATGACGTGGTGGTTGTGGAGTGAGTTTGCGGTTCCACCTGCAAATGCCAACAAATATGGACCGAAAGAGATGTTCATCGATTGAGTCTTTCACCCTGGTGGACCATCGACTCCTTGAACTTTTTAAACTTCCGCCCGTGTTTCCGCATCGGCCGATCTCCATCTGACTCAAAAAGGACAGTGTATGCTTGTTTTCTGGCCATCTTCCCCACACACAAAACAAGATCAACTGGCCACCCTCGTCTCGGGCATACCAAGTGCGGGTCAACAGTGTCCGGCTGCTATATCCCCACCTTTTTCCTTCCGGCATTCAGCACATTTCGGGCACCTCGGCCGCTCTGGGAGTGTTTCAGATGCGTCTTACGCTAGACTTACTTTCACCTCGCCGCAACCTTCCGTTCTGGGCCATATGCTTAGAGAATCCAGACGTGGCAGGATTCGTATCCGTCTTTGCAATTTACCAGAATATGGGGTCAAGACCGCGATCATCCTCCAAAAACCACCCCCACATCCTTTCAGGCACTAGTTTCCAACCGAACCATGGTAGTGGTGCAAGCCTAAGCTAGAAACCAACAATTACAAGACAAAATGCAATAAACTTTATATTCCAGTGGTAATACCTAAGTGCTTTAAGAACTCCGTGAGCTCAACTAATCGAGAAACATCCATGCCAAATATCGCTGGGGAAAAGAAAAAGAAGACGTCAAGATCATGAAACACAACCGCCTGGACCAGAACCAATGCTTCTTTTCATACCACGCCCTGAAAACCAACGAATTAAGTTCAATGAAAGAAAGCATATACAGATCACGCCGGTCAAAACGACTAGTAATTATGGTGGCCGTAGGTGGAAGCGCGGTGGTGGTACATGCTGGGAGCATAGTCGGAGTTGGCGTCCTGGTAAACGGTTGTTCGACGGTCTTCCTCCGGGAGCGGCTCTTTGACCTCCCAAGTATTTGGCTTGACCCCAACGGAGAATTCTAGATCTTCCTTGGTGATTGAATCCCAGAACTTGTAGACCATCATCACTGCTAGCAGGTTGCAGACTGTGGCGAAGAAAAGACCGTCCAGATAATGCTGGACGTTACTGCAGATGGTGTCGCTGAAAGCGTACAGCAGTACCTGACCAATGGCGAACATCAACACCCCGAAAGAGATATGGCCCAGCGGCCAGCGGTCTTCCAGCGTGTTCAACACCAAGAGTAGTTGCATGACCAGATAGATGGCGACGCAGATTGCATTCAGGAGATAGAGCACCACGAACAAACCGATGGTGTTGTTGGGTCCGAGACCACCCCAGGACTTGAACGTCAACAGCGAGATCACAAATGTCATTATGAACATGATCCCAGAGGTAATTCGGATCAGCCATACTGAGAGTGCAGTTCCGTCCTCGTAGAGCTGGAACCCCACGAATCCGTTGACGAGCAAGCATGTGCACAAGGCGGATGTCAAGCCATTCTGAACGGCGACAAAATACGGGAATGGATCACTTCCAGGAGGAACCACGCCCGCGTCGATGATGAGGGAGAAGATTGTAAGAGCCAGGTACAGATAGAAGAAGGTGATAATCTCCTTGCGGCCTGTTTACGGTTAAAAAGTCAGGGTTATCCAACGATTACCCAACGTGTCATGAAAAGAGGGCAGACGAACCGACAGCGGTGAACTTTGACCTGATGTGTAGAATCATGATCACCGTCATGCCAAGCGCAATGATGTGAATGAATGAGGCGGCGCCTTCGAAGATGATCGTATTGGCAAGCTCAATATTCCGCGCATAGCAGTTGGATATGATGCCTGTCGACCCGGATATCGTGGATGGCGGGCCGACCAGGGAGCACAGGGGCAGTGCCGCCTTCTGGCATATTGAATCGAACTGGCCGAAGCCCATGGTATCTGTATCCCGGGCTGCGGGATGTCAACTTAGGGTGGATGTCCAGTTGCGGCGGGCGGTCACGAAGGGCGTCAGGGACGGGCTGTCTCCACCACGACAGGGAGTGTGGAACCGTAGATGATAATAGTCGACTGCTGTTTTTCCCCCGAACTCTCTCCCGACGACGCAGAGAACGAATGTGTTGAGGGTAGAGAGAAACCGTTGGCTGACTGACCCTTTTCGCGCAGCGAGGGGGCTAGTCAAATCACGGGGCCCGAGTCCTGCGGATCAGGGACCACTGTTTTTCCGTTGCCATTTTGGGCCTAGTGTGAGTTGATATCATGTGACCCGTTGCCCGGTTCGGGACTTGGGTTTCGTCTGAACCTCGGCCACCCGAAATCTCGCAGGATTACAGCTCTGCACGGAACAGGCGGCCGAGCTCTGGAAGCTCCACACCTCGAAGCATTTCATCCGCCTAGCTCCGGAGCTGACAATGGGGAAAGGTCGCACCATGGTGTGCTTCTTTCTGTCCGGAGTTCTCCGTGTCACCGTGATCTTTTAACGGATTCGGTCTTGCTTTTTTTTATAATCTTGTTTTTTTTTTGAAAAAAAACATAAAACAAAGTTTGCGATGATCCCTCCTCCATCTGCTAGTTTTGCTGTCTCAGAGTCACACACCGACAAGGCTCAATTCTGGAGTCAATAATAAGATACGGAGCAACAACCTGACTCCCGACTTTATGTTCTACGGAAGCAACGAAGTGGATCATTGATACGAGCTGGGTTAGCACACATCAGGGGCTGGATGATCCTTCCAGAACAAAGTAAATGACCAATGCTTTCGGGGCTTTGAGACAAAGGAAAGTAGCTCCGGTGGGGCGGTTTTTTTCTTTTTTTCTACTGGAGCCTTTCGATCCTGCGGTCTACCAGGCTCTGTTTTCATTCGCGCAGGGCTTCCGGAGTCCAGACGCGGCATATCAGAGATTTTCGTGTAGCGGCTTTTCATAGATCGGAGACAGGGCCGCCGATCCTGGCTTGTTGTTGATCAGGCTATTCCTTGATTCCTTGGAGTGACCCTGATACAGGGAGAATCTTCCTCCGAGTAAGTCGATCTGCTCTTTTCGCCGTCTAATGTTTTCCTGTGCCGTGTACGTTCTATAGCTTGTTGGGCGTGTGATCAGCAAGCTGCTGGTGCATCCACCCAACCCGTTTTGTCAGCTCCTCTTTAGCTTGTGTTAAGCGATCAGGTGGGCCCAGGGACCCGCAGATGGTGAATGGAGTATGTCGTAGGGTGGTACAGATTGTCGTCTGCGCCTCCCTCTTGTTTTTTCCCTCGGTCACATCCTCGGCAATGGAGCCTCGTGAGGATTGCCCGACACGCCCATGCACCGATTGCCCAACCTTGAAGGTCCGCAGACTTCCCTCCCTGGGACGATAGCGAAAGGTGCTCTGTGGTGACTCCAAAGAAGTGCTGGGAGATATCAATTACGGAGAATATTCTCTCTGGTGGATGAAGATCCGGACTAGCGCCACGTGTGAGGTGAAGGCATCAAACGGCTGCGTGAAACCGTGTCGATCTCCCATCTGACCCAATGGATGAACCGTGCTCCCTGGCGGTTTCGGGTCAGAAAAATGTTAAACCACGGTACATAGTTTTCGGGCGTGTCAACGGCTAACCAGGTCCAGGCATCCTTCATGCAGGACCCGCTTCCTGGCCGGGATGTCGGCGAGGGAGAGAGGGGGTGTGCATAGGGCATTTATTAGTGGGGAGATGATGTGCAGTATTATTACTATAGGTCCTGTCCCCTTGGACCAGCGTCTTCCAGATATGGAATTATGCCAATAAATTTCCGGACGGTGGTGACCACCGACATGGAATTTCATCGGCATCCCCTTTCTTCTTCTTTCCCATCTCCCTTGTGGCCCGACTCGGGCACACCGGCCAGTCCTGTCTTCTAAGACTCTTAATCTTGCTCACGCCTCCATGTTTTTATTGATCTCTTCATGCCGAATTGCAATTCCGATTGTCGTACAACTCACTTCCCCCGGCGCTGCCCTCCTCCCTCGCCCAGCATTACTCTTCTGTCTCATGCCACCCCCGTCCAGATGGGATCGAGATGTGCGAATATTTCAAAAACTACTACGTCTATAGCACCTGCCAGAATCCTATTGCCCACCTCATTCGCACCTCGATGGACGGCAATAAAGACGGAAGCTGTCCAGAAGGCCCTCACGAGCGGTTTATCGTCGTTGTGGGCAATTGTCTCCTCTGCCGCCCACCGACGGGATGACACCGAGGGGATGAGAGGGTGGGCATGGGAAGAGAGAGAGAGTGTGTGCGTCTACGATACATTCCGTCTCCCCATGCGCGCCCGCCGTTCTTGGCGCGGCGACAATCTTTCATCGCCAGGAACTACTCGGTTGCAACCGACTGTGGCAATCCACTCAAAGGCCCGCTTCCCCCGTGTTGATGACGATTGGGGGAGGGGGGGTGTGCACTCAATCACTCAATGTGAAATCGACTATTGGCCGCGGCGGGAATGATCGACGTTCCTAAATTATGAAATTTTTTCTCAGTTTCATCGGAGACAGTCTCGGTTTTGGTTTTAAGTTTGTGGTGTTGGAGGCTAGTCTATACTGCAGTTCGCGGAGTTTTCTGGGTCCCATTTTCGCATGGTTCCTTGTCTTTTTTTCTTTCTTTGAAGAGGGTTCGGGCGTTTTCGTTTTCTGTTTCGGTGTATCTGTATTCGCGTCTAGCATGGATATGCGTGGGTGTGCGAGCAGGTGTGGTTTCTTTGGGTAGACCGGGGATTATTATTTGAATATTGGGTCCTTGTTACATTACCAGATTCCACCCAAAAAAGCGTTTTTCCAATTGGATTGTCTCGAATAGCTCTTGCTCTCAGCCTGGTAACTAACCGTTTCTCTCTTATGACTCAATTCGTCCTTGGCTGAGTGACTTGGCCAGAACACTAAACTATCGAATCTGACACACAATCACATGCTGAGCTGACTCGTGCCGTTGGTGACCTTTCCTTTATCATAAACGGTTAAGGGATTCGGCTTTGAGACCCGGCCTGGCCCAGGATTGCGGAGGGCGGGCCCCCAGTATGCGTCCGCCTGCTCTATGCCGTGGTGATTAGACCAGGGGTGTCCCAGCCTGGCGAGGAATGACGAAATGCAAAACTCGTAAGAGACTACTGTCAAAGAGTGTGCCCTGCACAGGACTCGCAGGAGATACGCACACTACGGAATTGGATTTCCGCCATGCCCAGCATCCAATCGCAGGCATACATGGTCGGCACTTGCAGCTGTGCATGGATCAGCTGTCAATTGAGTGAATTAAATCTCATGCACCATTCGATCATACCCTGTTCTTCAATGCTCAAGCGCCTTCCCTGTTACTCTTCGCAATATATGTGCATTTCTGGAGTTAGTATGAAATTTTGAACGGGCGTGTCCCCTCCCCCTCCCCCTTACAGGGGGGTTAACGCCCATCTTGACTGGCCCTCCAGGCTGGGTGCTAGGGCCATCTCTCATCCGCCTGTTTACAAATCTCTCACACCATTATTGTTGGCAATACTAATATTTACCTTAGATTTCACATTATACCGGCAGATACCTTTTCCAGAGTAGGGTCAGGTAAGACACGACGTGACCGGCCGCCCTGCCTCTTTTGTACTGAATGTACCGACGCGGGCCCGGCAAAGGCCTAGCTAGGGCCAACCGGTAGGAACACCGAGCATCCATGATGCAATGCCGCTGTGGAACGGGGACTTAAGCATCGTCGCATGGCGGGGATAGAGAAAAGAAAACACTAGTGGCTCGGACAGGAAGCATCAGGGGCTCAACGCAGGCTCACGGGTAGCAGATCGACCCCCGAGGAGCGACACCGGTAAAACTATCGGACGAGACCGCGTCTAGACTGTAAGAAGCTGACCAAGGGCTAGTCGGTAGACTCCCCGAACGATGGATTGATGCGGGACTCCCCCTTTGTAATTGGCCGTTATATAACTAGGGCACATTTCTGTTGTTTGGGTCACTAAATCCCGCTCGATGGCGCTAATGGGTTCCAGTCATTTATAAAAGACGATCTGGAACCGGTGCTGTATTACTAATTACTTTCACAGTGGCAACTTGTTGAACGAAACAACTTTCTAGTGGTTTATATTGATTTTCCACCGATCCCTGTACAGTAGCATTATGATATCAATTCCCAGGGTCCATGACTAAAGATGATAGCGTTTCACGTACGACTGACTTGCCGTCTTGTCTTTTATCGTTAATAGGAAAATAGTAGTGAAATAGGGGCTGTTCCGGAGCCGCTCCCAGAGAGCTGGGAATGCCAGCGACTTGAGCCACCGACCAGGGGCGCATCCTGCCGCCTGGAGCTGAGAATGTACAGCCCCGGTCTAATCACTGCCACAAAGCATTCGACTGACTCAAACATGGTACGTCGTCCATTCTTACGCCTATCTTGACTTCATCTTTCCAGGTAGACGTTAAGCCGTGACTCAAGCGCGGATTATGTTCATTTTTCGGCCAAGTGTGGTGGCGATTGTATTTTCTATTATGCTTTTTTAGACCAAAGGATCGCGGCTAGAAAAGATGGTGCCTTGGGAGTGGAGATTGAGCCCATTTGACTCATACTATGTAAGTTGAGAGGATCTACAACAATACATCAAGCAAGAAATATGGACCAGGAATAATGTTGCAAAGAGCCTACGATAGCACCCAATATCAACATCCATGTTGCCCACCAAATGCTAGTTATCGTGGAGCCTGCATGAGAGAGACGTCGGCCTGTGCGAAAATTGGGCTGTCGGATACACAGTGCCGGAGCCAGCCACAGCCGCGATCCACCTTCGCTTTCGCAAGCACCTCTGACTGCGACTAATGGGTTGAAACCCGGTGGCAAGGGGTGATTAGTACGCGAAGCCGCCCGACCGGGTTTCGCATCAAAACTATCCGCCAACCATGGACATTGATCTCCGACTGCGCATCACTGTCGATCCGGACAATCGCTTTGGCGAAAACAGACGACTAACGTGTCCCTGCCGGCAGTTTCTCTCTTTCTAGGCATATCCGCTCGTTCTCTCCACTTCGTTTATCTCCGACCCCAGTTTTTGTTTGCCCAGTCTTCCTCAGATTCACCTGCCCACGCGAACAGGGTGCCCGGTTGCTCCCGACACGGAGATGGAGCCGTGCGACCTTCAGATAACCGGAATTTATCCCTTTTTTTTTTGACAATATCTGCGTCCTCGATACTGCCTGTCTTTGGGAAATCTGGCTAAATCCCCTGATACATACTTCCGAAAACGTCATTGTCTGGGGTTCCACTTACAGACCGACACTAGTCGGACGATCCCATTCCTGAAAGGGTCTTGGACCCGGTGCAAAAAGGGGCTCGGAATCTTCCAGTCTGATTCGAGTTAAGTTTGCGAGCGCGGTACATGTATATCGGCTCTTGTTTCATTGAATTGGTTTGGAATTATGTTAGGTAGGAAATGTGTTCGTTCTGCCAGACAAAGATATACTTCACATTGTAAAAACTCAAAAACCCACCCATCATCTCGGACATGATTGGCCATGACAAGCATCAAAAGCTCAGAACCTGACTTCAGGTCTAACCTTCAACAGCTTGGGTATAATATACAATGGAGGCAGTGGACTATAACGAGGACAGGGTTTACGGAAGACGCGAGTAGGAGAAGGTATCGGGGGCAGGTCGCCTTTCTCGGCTGTAGAGCCCACTGTTGTGGTTGATGGAGTGCAGATATGTCCAGATACAGATGAGTGTTGTGGTAGTGAGGAAACTGTGATGAGGGTGCTGAGGTGGTGGAAGGACTCTTCCTCTTCTTCTTGGATTTCCTCTTGCTTGACCGAGTTGCTCACTGATTGTTTTCTATCTTGGCTCCCAAGTGACGGGGCAGAGGATCTGACCGTGCTCGCACTGGCGGACGAGCGACGACTGACAGCGGCTGCTATTAGGGCGAGCTGGTTGACAATCTCCGTCTCTGATACAGTGGGCAAAAGCGAGACGCTGTGCATATGGGTTGATGTGTATTGGGAAATAACGCCCATAGGGCTCTTCTCGTAGGTAGATTCTTGGCAGCTGGTCAAGTAGGGAGCCGTCGCTACCTCTACATCTCGGTTCAGTCGTTGAGGCCCTGCCCAGAAGGCGAGTTTATGTCGATATCGCTTCCGTAATACCATGACGACCGATATGACGGCAACCAGCACAACTAATACTATGGAGCGTCATCAGTAACCCATCCCGACGGATTCCAAAGGTGGCTTACAGCTCAAACATGCAATAAATGATATTCTCTGAGGAGGAGAATTCAATGGCATGGACAAATTCAATGTACCTTTTTCAAGATATCCAAGGGACTTCCGAAGAAAACAGAGTAACACGAGACATGACGACCACAAACCATGGATCCAAGATCTGGGGAAATGTTTCAAGCTCAAGTTTATATTGTCTCCTACTCCTTCTTGTTTGCTTTCTGTCCTGTTGACAAGATCAAGGCCTGCTCCAACCCGACGGGAAACCGAAACTCGGCGGGGAGCCGAAATGAGATTCAAATCGGGCCGAGTCTGAAACGGTGGGAAGGAAAGCTTACCTGCAGAATTGTCCATTGTTCAAACCGAGTACTGATTGCTAGGGATTCGGAGAAAGATCATTCGAATTTCTAACTCGATCTTTTCTACTCAGACTACTAGAGCGACTATACAATTTAAAATGCTGTCCCATGCTACACGAGAGTGACAGGTCTATTTGCTCATTGTGGAAACTCCCCTAAAAGTCAAACCCGGGCCTGGGATAGAGGAATTGCGTATTGCAGAGTTACTCGGTTCGTTTGTAGATAAGACAAGACTGTGGGCCAGAGCGTTGAGCTCGATTTACAATTGGACCAGGACGGAGATTACTTGAAACTTTCGATTTAACCCCTGATCTGGGGTTGAGATGTCAAGATATCTGGAAAGTGTTTCGGGTAAATATAGACAGGTAAGTTGTGACAGACTCAGTATAACTGAGGGCTTAACTCAGGAACTGGAGCACTTATGAACAGACTGAAGACGAGATTCAGGCCGGCATTGAATAATTGAATATCCAGAATTCACCCCGCGGTCTTCGGATTCCGCACCATGCAGTACAACTATGTGCAAAGTTAGCTACCAAGTACCAAACACGTCAAAAAGCCACGAACTTCCCAAAAAGGAAAGCGGCTTAAAAAAGAGGCAAGCACAAAGGGTAAAAGATCCACATAAACATACCATACAAACATCCTCTCCATCCCTACACTCCATCTCCATACTCATATGAAACCCCATGCGCTCATAAATTTGCACATTAGGCACATTCTTCGAGCTCTCAAGATAACACTTCCTACCCTCTTCATCGGCTTTTCGCGTAACAGCCTCAAACAACATCCTCCCAACCCCTTTCCCCTGTGCCTTAGGACTGACCGCCACCATATTGCAGAAATAGTAACCCATCGGATCATCCCAGATCTGCGACTGCGCTTCTGTCTGGCGCGCTTTCCAGATCCAGTACCGGTTTGTGCGCAGCCCTCCTCGGCCCAGGTAGCGGATGTTGTTGAGGAGTTGGTTGAATGATAGCGTCCACCCTTGCGCCCAGGAGTACCAGCTCTCTGGTGTGGAGGCGGCGCGCGGCGCGAGCCAGCAGGATACGCCCAGGATGGTGCCCTTCTCTTTGGCTACTTGGAACATGGCGTTGTTGATACCCCAGTGGCAGCGTGCTGCTAGGGAGTCATAGTTTCTTTGCTTGTTGAACTATTTTATTCAAAAAAAAAATTGTAACGAGGGTCGGCGTCAGGCACGAGACCGCGTTACGAGATATACATGTTAGCCTGTCTAGTCATCATCGCGGTAATAGTGGTTGTGAGAAATACCTTGGGGGCATCAAACACCCACTTGAAATACGGATCATCCGCGAACGCCTGCTGAATCACCTCGATGACACCGGGGATGTCCGCCTCGGTCAGCGAGACGACTTCGACCGCCATGTTGACAATCTAGTCACGCAATAGGGTAGGCTCAGATGCTGGCACAAAACTTGCAGCTAAGAGGTATGTAGGCGAGACGTCACGTCACTGGTGCATGCAGAGCGTCAAGAAGAAGGAAAAAAAAAAGGGAAGTATGCTCCGCTAATGCCAAAGACTTGACAAGAACACTGGACAGCACTCCAAGTCTTCGAACACTAAGGTCGGAAGCGACAGCAGCTGTCAGCTACGATGAAGCAGAGTGGCACCAGAGACGCAGTAGGCGTGAGGGAGGGGGTGATGTGTTGCAGGGATGATACGTCTAGTCCAGATAAGGTGTCGACGAGAAGCGAAAGCGGGAAGAATAAATGCGGGGAATCTCGGACCCCGGGGAAACAGATGGGGATATGAGAGAAAGAAGGACGGCAGAGGGAGAGAAGAAAGCAGAAAGAAAGCAAAGAAGAGCACTGGCAGTTACCATTACGAAGGGCTGGGAGCCGCGGAGGCCGAAATGTGGGGATTGTTTGTCTTGACCGAATGGGAAGTTGCAGGCGCCCGGGTCTTATCGTGGTGGAGTTCATGACACATCGATAACTGGCAAGGTGTACATTTGGGAGAGGAAGTACCGCGCAGGTAGTTGGAAGAGATAGATACCGTTTGAACTATCAACAACAGGTGTGATATAGACCGGGCGACAGCGCAACCCGATGATGAGTGCGCACAAGAACATCCTTCCAAATCCCAAAGTAACCATAAGATCTATGCAAACTGCTGCTAAACAATGCGCCCTATCCCATACCCACAACCACACCCACCCCCAAGTCCAAGATGAGGAGAAAAAATGTCGTAGCTTCATGATCCATAACACCCTGCACACAGAAACAAGTACTAGTTATTAAAGTGTAAAGTCCGAGAGGCGAACCCACTCCCTCGGCACGTCCATGCTGCGATGTACGCGCCCGCCGGGAGTGAGTGGTACATCGACGCGACCGAGGCCGCGCCCTTCTTGGTCATCGTCGTGCTCTGGCTCGAATGTGGTCCGCGAGAAGTAATCCTCCAGCGCAGCCTCGCGATCCCCGTCGGCGACGATAGAGGTATAATCTGGTGGCGGGGTGATGAGAGGAGGGGCGGGCTCAACATCCTCAAAAGCCGGTGGGGCGTACGAGGGTACGCGGAGGAGATGCATCGGGCGCGGGATGTTGCGTTCGTGTTGCTCCTGAGCCAAATGTGCCTGGGGTGGATGGGCTAAGCCTCCCGACCCGTTTGTGAAGCTTCGTGAGAAGCCTCGGCTCGCGGATCCCTGGTGATTCAGATTGGAGTTGACGTCCTCGCGATCCGACCCGGAAGCGTGCGTCGCGATGCTGTCTCGAGAAGACATTGCCAAGGGCGCACCGGGGCAACCGCATTCAAATTCCTGAGCCGGGGGAGTCAGATCCGGCGCAGGTCCCTCGTACGCCGGTAGGTAGATATTAGCCTGCGTTGCTTTGCAGGAGAGGATGTGGAAAGGGGAGTCAATGGAGATCTCAAAATGCCGTCTTTTGCTCGGGTCTTTTTCGTCAATCTTGGACAGACGAAGCACAATCTGACAGATAGTTAGTACAGCATCAGAAAGATAACAGGTGTCGAAACCCACCTTGATCCAATGATTGATCTGGATGTTCTCGTAAGTCGTATCAAAATGCAGGCGGTGGGCCTCGTCCCGCGCCCTCATTTCCTGACAACTCGGCAACTGCACGCTGAACTCCATCTCCGTTGGACCAACGCCCGTCTCGCTCGAGAGATTCCCCAGCAAATTTGTCCGTCCCCGATCCACAAGCTCTTCTCCTCTCGCGGCAGCTGCACGGCGATCCCACTCAATTCCACCGCCTGCGGTAACCCGCATGGTGCTCCCGGGGTATGTGCTTGTGCTGGCCGAATCGGCCCGTTTCTCAAAAAGAAGCACTTTCTTAGCTGGCTGGAACCGATGGACGCTCTTATCTGAGGTCCAATGCTGGGTGTTCTCCGTCACATAGACCTTAATGCGGTGGCACTCGACTTTCGCCAAGGGCGTCAACTTGAAAGCAATGGGGATTTGAGATCCCAGTGGGAACGACTTCCCCGAAATGACAATGTCGTAGTGCAGCTGGTCTTCCCAATTCCGCGAGATTGCAATCGGCTCCACTTGCTCCAACGAGCCCTCAGCCGGGGTGCGGATTACGGGGATCTCCATCGTGCCCAGGAGGTTGGGTCGAAAGGCGCCGGATCGCTCCACGCCAGCCTCAAGGTCATACCGCACGAAGCCTAGATCGGTCCTGATCGTCTCCGGGAGGGAGCCATCGATTGGGAACTCAAAGCTATAGAGGTAGTCTCCCACCGGGAACATTCGATAGTTGCGTTGCGGCTGGTTCTGGGTGCTTGTGGGAGGCTCGTTCTTGCTGAAGCTTCGGGAATGTCCCTGATTCAACTGCAGCGAAAGACGCTTGGTTTCTCGGCTCGTCTGGTTGACATTAGTGGACGAGCCGCTCTTGGAAAACAGCTCTCGAGTAGTAGCCGTGACGGCCTCCTTTCCAGACGTGGACGAGATTGGTCGCGCATGTTGATAGAAATGTGCGCCGTAGTCATTCTGCATTAATGCGGTATCGCCATGGTTGAAATAGACCACGCCATGGGTGAACAAGTCTTTTTTATCATGGAAATGGACCTTCTTGGGTGGGATACCATCTGGCCAGTCTGTCTGGGCGTGTCCGCGAAAGCAGATCGAGATCTTTTTGATTTTGACACATTTGGTCACTTTCAAATGTAATTGGCCGCGCAGAATCGCCGACGTTTTTGTGCTGGGATCATGGTGATCGTAACCCTGCAGATACAGCACTGGTTCTGTCAGGGCAATGCCCACGGTGATGCCACTTCCCGTGGCAACAATCTTTTCGTTGCGAAGGGGCGCGAACGGTGTGACCAACTCGGGACCGGATGTGGTCGACGAGAGGTCGGGGACTGCCCGGGGCAGGACCTCGGTGGCGGTGGAGGATCCCGAATGCATTTCTGATGGGGAGGGCGGCAGCTCTACCTCCGCATTCCGGGGAGACACAATGATCTCTGAGACAGGCCCGATGTGCGAGGAGCGCGGTGACAGGTGCAGTGGGGTCGGCGATGGGATCCCGGAGGAGCGCAGGCGAAGAAAGCGCTTCGCGTTCTCACGTGGGCCCGCCAGCTTCCTCAAAATCGACCCGCGTCGACCGACCTTGGGAAATTGTTCCTCGGTGACGTCGGTGGTGGTGGTACAGACACTCCGGCGTCGGGCCGACCGTGTCCGAAGCAGGGTCGAGAGGGATAACGACAGAGGAAGCGCGAAGTAGTCCGGTGCCGGCGGGATCGGGTCATTCGCAGAGTGCGAGAATACCTGCGCGGGGGCAATGTGAGCGGCCATCATCGCGAACAGGGCCACGCGGGCATCGCCGAGCGTGGGGGATCCACGAGGAGCTTCAGGGTCACTGGGAAGGGGAGGATATCCTTGCAGGGCAGGAGAGAAGGAATGGGATGAATGGAGGGGAGTGTATAGATCGAGAGGGCAGGCAGAAGCAAGAATGGCTGGCCGACACCTGGGTCGCTCGTGGAATACGAAGGGGGTCGCAGGGGAGGGCAGCACAAGAGGGATGTGGTGAGTGATACTCGGACTTACTTTTTGAATCCCCAGCCAGGTAAGACACGTTGTGAGACCTTCAGCGAAATGTTTGGAGCCCCTTGTGTCGCTTCACGGTAGCGGCGATCGACGAGCATACGCAAGGAGGAGCGGAGGTGCAGAAGGGCAGATAGTTAGATGGGCAGCCGGAAGGGCTGATTTCATCACCTCGGGATCGACGTGGCGGTCCTGCTGGGCGGGGGTGTGGCAGAGGATGAAGATCCCTCCGAAAATAGGGCGTTGAGGTGTCGGGGATTACTTAGGGGCGTCGATGATGCCATGAACCGCGGGAGCCACGGGTGAGTCGTGGCCAGCCGGCGATCCGCGCCCAAGGACTATCTGGAAGTTGGCCCCCGATCGCGCAGAGAGACGATCGGACGGGGGGAATATGGGCGGCTATGCTCGTTCACGATTCACTCGTCCTCGGTGTCTAGTAGTCTGTAGAAGAGCAACCTACGACCTCCCGCGGAAGCCAGTGCCGACCCAGGCACCAGTCCCGGTTCGGCCGACAGTTGGCCATGACCTCATCAGGGACATCGGCCCTCGCTCTAGAATCCTGCTGTGGCCCCCACCGCCAGGCGACCACCAAACCTCACGTAAACCAATTATCGTCCAGCTCGTTCAGGTTCATTAGGCTATCGCCCTCCAGCTGCCCCAGATCGCCCTCCCCGAGTTGGTCCGTCTCGAGGAACAGGTCATCAAAGTTAGACTCGCCCATGATCTCCGCATCCCCGTCCTTCTGCAGCTCCAGGTCAAAGACGCCGCCTTCCCCACCACCATCACCACCACCATCACCACCACCACCACCACTAGGTGGCTTGGCTTTGTCGAATGTCGATCCCGAGAGAAAAGCTTGATTCCCCAGTGCGTCATCCCCGAAATCCAGATTGAGATCAAAGTCATTGGGACCGCCTGCGTTGTCATTGAGCACGGAATCAAAGTCGATCTCTTCGGGCACGGGTTCCGTTTCTTTTTCTTCTTTAATGGGGGTGTCGGCGTGAGTCTCGGGCATGGGCGGTGCTACGGGGGACTGCTTCTCTAGCTTGGGTTCGACCGGGTGGTCGTCGACAGTGATCGGCTCAGCCTCGAGCTCGACTTTGGGCTCGGCATCGCCCATAGCCACATCGTCGATGGGCTGCGGTGCCGTATGGGCCTTGAGGGCCTCGTAATCTTTCTCCAGAAATGCTTTTGCCATGAACTGCGAGAGGTCAGCACAAATCAAAAGCAAAGCCGGGGAATAATCGGCCGATCGTCTTCAATAATAGATCATGCTTACAATCTGCTCCGACAGGTTGTCCAGGGCCTCTTGGAAACTCGCGTAGTAAGCGGGGATGGACCGCTGCAGCGTGGTCTTGGAGGGCATGGAAGCTGGCTTCCTGAAGAGGCGGCCGGTATCGATGAGCTGGGCCGGTCAGCGGGGGGTCTCCAAGGTGCGCGGGGGGGCCAGACTGACCGTACGCTCGAGCATGGTCGAGAGCTCCGTGAGGGAGTCCGGATTGGCGTAGTTCGGGGCAGCCATGGTGGGTGTCGCCGTCAGGCTGGGCAGTGGGAAAGACGAAGTTGTACAGTCGGCGGCACTAAACCCGGGCGGGCATAGCGCACCCCCCACCCCCTAGCGGCTCCGTCTCCCTTCTTCTTCTTTCTTCCTTTCTCGCTCTTCCTTCGGTCTTCGCTGTCTCGATTTCTTCTGCACGTCTTGCTGTTGAGCTCTGTTCAGTTGTTTCCTTCTGTCTCTTCGCTCTGTCCCCCTCGTGCTTTTCTCTGTTTCCTCCCCCAACCCTGTGTTGGTTTCCTGGGTGTTTCCTTGGCTCGCTTTGTTTGCTTCCGCACCTCGATCCATCCGGGCGCTTTCAGCAACCTTTCCAGCGCGTGCCCATTCCCGCGCCAACCGCGACCACTCGTGTGCAGCTCACTCCAGCTCCTCCCTCTCTTCGTCGGGAGTGTCACAGATTCCGCCGTGCTTAGTCCAGCGCTTTTGACCGCGTGTTTCTTTGTTTCATCCCCCCGTCCGGCTTCTCCTTTTGATTTGACCCGCGCTCGTCTATACCACTGCTCCCTATAGGTCTCACTGCCCGACTGTGGTCCTCTGCATCTCTTTGAAGCTCCTGACAGTGCCAGATCGGAAGCTTTAAAATTGACCACCTTTCCGTCTGACCGGCTCGATCGTTTCCCTCCCCCTATATCGATATACCCCCTACCACCACACACCATGGCTGAAAACGTTGCTGCTCAGACTGCCTCTGCTCTGCCATCTGCTCCCCAGTCCTCTGCAGGTGCTCAGAACCAGCAGTACGATGCGGGCCAGACCAATGGCCAGTCCAATCCATCCCACATGCCTCCTCCGCCCCGCCCTCCCGTCGTCATCCCGCAGAACACCAACCCGATTCCCACGGCGATGGGTTCGCCCATGTCAGGCGGGATGATGTCCCCGACGAGCGGTGGGTTTGTGCGCCGCGCTGCCCCAGAGCCCAACAAGAGGGCCCTCTATGTGGGCGGATTGGATCCGCGGGTTACGGAAGATATCCTCAAGCAGATCTTCGAGACCACCGGTCATGTCGTCAGCGTCAAAATAATCCCGGACAAGAATGTGAGTGTAAGGAAACCCCCCCCCCCCTGAGTCGGCCGTTACCGCCACTCTGGACTTCTTTTGACGCTGAAGATGTTGCAGTTCAACAGCAAGGGTTACAACTACGGGTTCGTTGAATTCGACGACCCAGGTGCGGCCGAGCGAGCGATGCAGACACTGAATGGGCGTCGAATCCACCAGTCGGTGAGTTGGAACGATCACCTCATATCTTCTGGTCTAACGAAGGGGCTTGTTTCAGGAAATCCGTGTCAACTGGGCGTACCTGTCCAACAGCACCAATAAGGAAGACACCTCGGGCCACTTCCACATTTTCGTCGGCGACCTGAGCAATGAGGTGAACGATGAGATTTTGCTCCAGGCCTTCTCTGCCTTTGGATCGGTGTCTGAAGCCCGGGTCATGTGGGATATGAAGACTGGACGCTCGCGCGGGTACGGCTTCGTCGCGTTCCGGGAGCGCCAGGACGCTGACAAGGCACTCAACTCGATGGATGGTGAATGGCTCGGTTCTCGGGCCATTCGTTGCAACTGGGCCAACCAGAAGGGCCAGCCCTCGATCTCGCAGCAGCAGGCAATGGCCGCCATGGGCATGACGCCCACTACCCCGTTCGGTCACCACCACTTCCCCACCCACGGGGTGCAGAGTTACGACATGGTTGTGCAGCAGACTCCGCAATGGCAAACCACTTGCTACGTGGGCAACCTCACCCCGTACACGACCCAGAACGACATGGTGCCGCTGTTCCAAAACTTCGGTTATGTCATTGAGACTCGTCTCCAGGCAGACCGGGGCTTCGCCTTTGTCAAGATGGACTCGCACGAGAACGCAGCCATGGCCATATGCCAGCTCAACGGCTACAATGTCAACGGTCGTCCGTTGAAGTGCAGCGTATGTTGCTCTTCGTAACTCGCAGGGAGGGAGCATTTGCTAACAGTCAATATAGTGGGGCAAGGACCGTCCTCCTACCGGCCAATTCGACAACTTTTCTCCGCAGCAGGGTGGTTCCCCGGCCTTCAACAACCAGCAGCCAGCTGGCTTTTTCCCCCAGTACGGCGGCCCTGCTAATCCCATGAATCAAGGTATGCCACTCGTTTCGATTGCCAGTTTCAAAACACTAACGATCAACTAGGCCCTGCCCCTGCTGGCCGAGGCTGGGACCAGCAAGGCAATAACTTTGGCGGTCCCGGTATGCCCAACCAGGGCTATGGCCAGGGCGGCGGCTATGGCCGTGGCCAGCCCATGTCTCCCACGGGCAACTGGGACCAGTCGAACAATAACAACAACTTCAACGCAGGCTACCAGGCGTAGACTGTGTATCCATCCACCGCTAGCCGGGAGAGAGAAGTTGCAATCGTGCCGGTCCACGAAAGACTCCACCGCCGTTTTTAGTTTACCAGCTGCCGGTTCAGGCTTCTCTCCAACTCTTTGTTTCTGTGTGATTCGTTTCAAAAATTGCCCCCATTCTGAAGTGGATTTTCAAGCGACCAAACTGCTTTGTGTCTGAAATGCAATTTGTGTGTTGTGCACTGCACCGAATACCCCCTCCAAAGTCCACTTTTGGTTTTTTGGTTTTCATTTTCTGTTGTCTTTCTTTTCTGTGTCTGTTTGTTTCTCCCTCTGACAAGCTTGGGCTTTTCCACTCTCCCCCCTCCCAAAACCAACCACAAAAGCGACATTCTCTTCTTGCTTTTAGCTTTGTGTCTTTGTTTTGATCTTTGTCTCTGTGTCTTTGTTTATCCATCATCCATTCCAGTACACAATTCTTGTGCTGTATCAAAGTTGCTTTACTTCTTCATGTCTGTCTTTTCTTCGGCTCCCCATTTTTCCTCTCCGTGTTTTATATTGCTCATTCTTCTCTACTCAAAAACTTTTCTCTCTCTTTCTCTCTCTCTTCATGGGTTCATTACACCATGGCCATGGTCTTTCTCTCGGTTTTTGAAAATCTCGATCGTTGCATTTTCTTTCTTTCTCCTTCCAAAGAGTATTTACTTTTCGTATAACCCTTATTATGCCGTGACGAATTTTCTTTTTTGGGCCGCTTGGTCCAGCCAACCTGTCCTATCTGCTGGCGCTCTTTTCGTCTGTCTATATACCAATTTGCCCTTTCATCCTTTCTTTCTAGACTGATGAAATTCTGACGTTGTCGTATGGATTAACGCTCGTCGGGTTGGTGAAGGGTTTTTTCTCTAGATCTCTAGATAGGTCCATCATATCCAAGTGAAAATGTCTAGCTTGCTGTCACAGGCAGATTGAAATACAAAAGGTTGTTGATAAACCAAGTAAAACCAAGAGGCAAAAAGGGAAAGGTACGCTCAACTTTATCAATATGTCTTGGTCTAAGCTTGGTATATACAATTCGGTATTGGATCACAGCCGATCGAGTCTCCGCAGTCGCAGCATACTATCCTGTATGGTGGTCGCCAGCAACGTCCCATCAGGACTCCACAGATAACTCTCATGCACGGCCCTATTCTCCGCAGACCGCGGAGTCCAGTTCTCCTGGACGAACCACTTCATCGGCAGATTCAGCGGATCAGCCTTGCCGCTGTCCTTATCAACAGCATCCCAATCCACCATCCGGAGTGCCGGTCCATAATGATGCACAATGACCATGAGAGTCAGACTCGCCATCTCGGTCCAGTGCTTGATTCCCAGCGCGCGCGGGATGAGAAGCAGCGAGTTCTTGTCGCTGGCGTACATATGTGCGCAGGCGTACAGATTATCGTATTCGCCCTCTGCCTCTCGTTCCCGGATCTGTGAAATTGTAGCGCACGGGTCTAAATCCGGGGACCCTTTCATCCGATACTGCGTCAGCTGCCTGTACTTCTCCGGATGATCCTTGACCTCCGGGGAGGAATTGTAGTCTTCCATATCTACCTTCCGGACGTCAAGGCCCGGGAATTCGCGCTCGACAATATTCCCCTGATTCACAGCATCGATCCACCAATCCGCATCCACGCTAGGGCTGAGCGGCTGCTCCTCTGCGCGCTTCGCATTGAGGATCGGCGCAAACCGCTGCTGCGCGGTCTGCGGCTGGTGTCCGAATGTTTGCTGCTTCTCGTCGCGCTTGAAGGAGCAGAGACCTGAAAAACAGATCTTGCCGTTTTGTCGTGCGTCCACAGAGCGCGTGCAGTACATCTTTCCGTCGCGGATGTGCCGCACTGTGTAGATGTACGGCACATCTAGGCGGCCGGCTAATATAAACGATCCGGTCATATCCTGCCGACACATAACATACAATGAGTGAGAAAGGACCAATCAGGTAAATACAGCAGAAGGAAAGACGAACGTGAATCATAAACCCCTTGTCCACCGTCTTCGACGCCGCATATGCCGACTGCGCGTAGACATGGCCGCCAAACGAGCGCGTGCCCTCGCCTGGGGGAAACGGTGATGCGAGCGAGCGGAAGCACTCAATCTTTTCTGGCGAGCTGGTGCCGGGCACTGCGATCTCTGCGTCGGGGAGACGCTCCACGGCCATCAGCTCCACCCATGAACGCGGGGAGGGTGGGACGTCCGAGTCGGCGGAGGGGGACTTCGGGGTCATGTGTTTTGGGAACATGGTGCGTAATCTGGCTGGCTGGCCGGTGTGTCGACGGCCAGAGATTGGGTTTGACCGGAGAGGCCCTCAGGAGTGGGACGGAGAGGGAAGAAAGGTTGGTTGTTTCTTACCTCCGTCGGGGAAGCTGGGGAACCTCGGCTGATCCGCATCCCGTGACTAACAGACTTACATGCCGGAGTATAATAATTGCCGAATAGAAGATTGGGATTTATCGCTATAATTCAGGTCGGTACAGCAGGGGAGATAGATTATGTAGCTATATGTTCCCCTGATGTGGTACGGGATTCCAATGCCTATGATATGACCATGGTATAGTATAGATACAGCACACCCAGAGAAAAATCAATCCGATTGCAAATTATACACAGTAATGCGCCGGTTGTGCAGACAGCAGAAGAATCGCCCCGATTCCCCATGCGATGATGATACAGAAACAAAAAGACGGAGATGCCGGCCATGTCGAGTCCACATATAAGCCCAATCCCCAATAATCAATCCCCATCCCAAAACCCCAACTAAGAGGAAGGAGGAATCAGATCCATGATACTGCGATGATTATTCCACTCCACCTTGCCCTCCACATCCTTGATCTCCTCCAGTTTGTCGCCCAGCTTCACGACGGAGAAATTGATCATGCGCGGGTCGAGTCCGAGCGTGCGACGGACAGACGACTGAACGGGCCCCGAGGCATCGAAGCGCATGATGAAGTGGTGGCCGTCCGTGTAGCGGGCTTGGTGGCGCGTCGTCGGCTTTGGTAGGCGGAAGGTGCCCCAGTTCGTGTAGCCGCGGACAACGCCGCCGGAGCGGATTACCTGGGCGCCGGCATTGCGGGCGATTCTGTTTGTTTAAGAGTTGTTAGTGTTTGGGAGGTTCTTGATGCAATTGACGCAGAGGTGGGACGTGGATGTGCGCTGTTTGCTGTCGGGAGAAACGTACTCTCGCACCTCGTTGATGCTGCCCGGACGGACCTGCAAAGAGTTGTTAGCAGGTACCTTCAGCACCGAATAATCCGACCGCAACATACAATGGCAATCAACTCGTACAACATTGCATCGAGTGGTTGATTTGTTGGCAATGATGATGAACTAACTCCAAGTTCAAGGGGCCGGAAAATCCTTCCCTTCCCTTCCGGCCCTCGGCTTATCAGCCCGTGACCGCAGTCCTTATCAGCTCCGCCGGAGAACGAGCAGCATTGGCTTTCCGACCTGCTCCATCACTCTCCCCCTCTTCCACCTCTTTTCTTTTCTTTGCCTCTCTCTCTCCCACACAATTTTCTCCCGACTTTTCTAAAATGTCTGTTGCTCGTGCTGTCCGTCCCTTCGCCTCGCGGCTGCTTGCCCAGCCTCGAACTCCCCTCTGCCGCGCCGCGCCTGCCCTGCGTTTCCCGCGGGGAAGCACGAGGAACTTCTCGCAAAGCCCTCTGGGTGAGTACATTCCCTCCCAAGCTGGCCAGCGCAGTCGCATGAAGAGACCCAAGCTGCAATTGCAGTATCGGATGCACTGCGGTCGTCATGAGGATCAATTGGTTCGCTAATAGCATCCGTTACGATACAGCCCAGCTGAAGAAGTATACCGAGTCGCACGAATGGATCGAGCTAGCTGACGGCGGTAAGACTGGTAAGTGATTCAATTCAGTTCCACAGAACAGCCAGTCGTCAATCTAGGCTAGCAGTTCAATGTCCCTGTTGTATGGTATTGATTGTACTGACTCGAAACGAAATATCCAGCCAAGATCGGCATCACCGAGTACGCCGCCCACTCGCTCGGCGACGTCGTCTACGTTGAGCTCCCCGAAGCCGACCTGGAAGTCAGTGCCGGCGAACCCGTTGGCGCCGTTGAGTCCGTCAAGTCTGCGTCTGACGTGCTGTCGCCCGTCTCCGGCAAGGTTATCAAGGGTAACAGTGTCCTGGACGACTCGGCCAAGACCATCAACGCCAGCCCTGAGGGAGAGGGCTGGATTGCGGAAATTGAGGTTAGCGATGCTGCGGAGTTGGAGGGGCTGTTGGATGAGGCTGCTTATAAGGCGACTATTGAGGAGTAAGGTACATCTGAGGTATAGCTGTGTGTGCGACCGAGAGTCGGGGGATGAGTGATTTGAATTGTGTGTGTTATACTATTGGTTGTATGTCCTAACGGAGCCGGACGTTTTTCCTTCAACGCAAGTGTTTTAGATTATGCTCGAGTCCGATGTGGCTTGGCTTCCCCGTTCAACAGGATACTTGATCTTATACCATTCTTCTCCAAGCAGTAATCACTGACTACATGTAGTCGACTGACTCCACGTCTACCATAAAACCATCAATTCGAGATCTATGTACATAAATATAAACATACGACATGAGTTATACAGGAGGAATGGATTCCCGACAAATGGGACACTGCAAACGAAGTCGCATCCAGCTTTCAAGACAGGCCGTGTGGAAGATATGCCGACAGGGCGTCACCATGTAAGTGCGACGGCTGAGGATACTGGTAGCTCCATCGGTGACACTACTGCCAGCACCAGCTGACAGCGCCGGGAGGACAGGGACCTCAATATCCTGCATGCAGATGGCACAGTCGAACATGGCCTTCTTCCGGTCGCGGTGCCGCAGCTTGTCATCATCCTTGGAGTCGCTAACCAAATCTCGTTCGTCGGCCCGGAGGGACGTGATAGACAGAGTGTCACCACCACCGCCGGCCTCAAGGTCCTCGTCCGCACCAGTAGTGTCGCGCAACGTGGGGTGATAATCATATGCCGGAGGAGCCCACCCACGGGGAACGAAGAAGCGCGGACCTAGAATATCCTGGCTAGCCAAAACCCAAGCCTGTATCCACATCCAACCTGTCATGGTAAGAGCGGTGGTCCAGTCCGGCCGAATGAACAACACGTTTCCAGGGGCTGTGAGGAAGTACAAGAACGGGAAAAGCCTTAGAATACTTTGGCCGATCACGAAATCCCAGCGGAGTGCTTTGCGACAATTCCGCATGACATTTCGATGGATCTGTGGTACCCAGAAGGAAAGGTAGATCGACGCCAACAAGCGTACATAGATTGATCCAAGTCGTCTTGGCAAGAGAAAAGCCCAGAAGGATAGGATCAGCATGCCAAATAATGCAAAATAAAACCGTGCATACATAGCGCCCACGTCGGCCCGCACTTGTCTTGGGCCCGGGGCAGCCGGGCGAGCGATGGTAGGCGGCGGCGGTGACGGATCCAGTTCTTCGGCAGGCGGGTCTTGATCGGGTGCTATAATGATCGGGGTAGCAGCTGTGTCTCGCACGGCTGTTACAGGCAATGGTAGCGTTCCAGGGCGCACAGCCGGTGGAGGCGGGATCACCGGACGCTCCGGTTCGCGTCTCTCCGGCTCCTGTACTGCCCAGATCTCCATCATGAATCTCATCCCAATGTAGCTGACAGAAAGAAAAGCCAAAAAGGATGCAGTCGTCAGAACCAAGAAGGAGACTGCTGCATAAAGCTCCAATACGATGAAGATGAGAACAAACGCATCTCCCAACGCCATCAATGCAATGGTATAGAAACTGACACGGCTCCGTGTCGATGGAGTGGAAGCTTCCTTAATCTGGCGCAAAAGAAGAGTGATCTGCCCAACAAATACAGCAGAGACCACGAAAATGAGACGAGCCGCATATTTACTGTATTCCTCATGCTTCGGCCCGGTCAGATACAAGGTCTCCGAGGGAGGAAATTCCGGTGCTCCTTTCGTTTCGAGTATGTAGCCACAATCTGGCGAGAAGACAATGGCCGACATCACCATGAGAGGAGGATCCGGAATGGGCGCTCCCATTGGGTAGCGCAGCTCACGCTCCATTTGCTCGAGTAGCGGTCGGTTCGCAACATCGTCACCAACCATGACGGGGTGCTGCTGCATATAGATTATATGCTCACATCTGGGCGCAGGAAATTCGACCTGCTCTGTCCCTGCCAGAGACGACCAGGGAAACAGAGTCGCGGGGCGATTCTGCTTTTCGGATACGGTATCCGAAAGCGACTTGAGCAGGAGTCGGTGAGACAGCTCATAGGTGTCTGGCGAAAGCGCGAAATGTGGTAATGAGAAGACCCCACCAAACTTCTCACTTGATGTGCTCAACATGATTCCTCCCGTCTCCGGGAAATGCACACCAAAGAGCGACATGTACCAGGTGCTGCCCCAGAAGTCGTCACTTTCAACGGCCAGGTTTGCTCGGATTTCTCGGGCAACTCCACCACCGATGCGAAGCTCTTCTTCCCCAGATTCCTCCAAAGTGAAGTAGAAGGTGCCCTGATTCCCGGTGATGTTCGAACCGAATTCATGGGTAAAATACTCGTGTTCGAGCGCGATGGCAGTCGTATTGAGAGATACACGGCGAGTTGCATCCTGTGTACGCCGCATCCAGTCCCCGCGCAGCTTCCCCGTCGCGTTGCGATATACCGGGACCTGAAACTGGGACAGGTTTAGGGGGGGCTCGGGGGACTCGCCGGCCAAGTCTATTGGAAGCTCCAGCCCGGCATTCGAGAGAGCAGAGCGCAACTGCTCACGCGCGCGATCCTGCACATGCGGGAACAAATCCCAGGCATAACTGTCGTTCTTCCTGACTCCTGCAAATGGAAGCCATCGATCCGCCAGCGGATCAAAGTCCCCATAGGTCGACTCGTTCAGCAGGCGCAGCGCATGGCGCTCGCGAACGAGCTCGCGCTGACGCTCTCGGTCCTCATCAATCAAAGGAGGGCGCGACTGAGAGCTCAGGAGCAGGTAGAAGACGAACAGGAAGAAGAAGAAGGACCCGCGGTTATCCATCAATGATGCCACAGGGAGCCGGGCATTAAGCGGTGGGAGAGTGGAAGGAGAGGATGAGCATCGCGCGGAAAGAGGAAGAGAGGAAAGAAACCCAAGTAAGTGAGGAAGTAAGTGAGTTAATGAATGAATGACGAGGTCGAAGAGGAAAGTGCTGATGATGATGTGCACGAGTCGATACTCTGGGCCCCGCCCCTTCCGCCCGTCGGCCTGACATGACACCTGAGGCAGCCATCCACGATAACCACCTGTTCCTATCCATCTTCACTTGCACACTCCCTCTCTCTCTCTCCTCACCTTTCCACTTTCTCTCAGTCTGAGGCGACATACGGCGCGGGCGCTTTCGCTCGCATTCCCCCCGCGTGATGGCTTCTAACATGCCAATCCCTCAGCCTCCGCGCACCCCGACTCCGCCCTCCGCCGTCGACGACGTTCCCAATCAACCTACCTTTCAGGCTCTGGACCGCGATGCCCTATCACCATTAGTGGACACCTTTCCAAAAAGTGCCTCGCTAGAGACAGCGACGAAAGACCATGTCAGCCCTATGGTGCCCTCGTTCAATCCGACTCTTGAGGATGCTGCGAGCGACAGCGACGCGGCGGGACCCTTCAATTTCAGTACGACGGTTATGGCGAAAGGCCCAGTCCCAAAATCGGTATGCATCAGTCTTGAATTTGCTCTTGCTTTTACTGACGGGTAGAACAGCAGAACATTGGACAGCGGCGTGGCCACAAGTATAAGCACAGTAGCATTTCTCACCAGATCTTCATGGAGCCTCCGCCTCGTGCGCCCCTCGCTTTACCGAACTCGCTCCCCATCCCCACACTCAAGGAATACCGCATCAGCATGTCCAAGGATCAGAAGACTCGTTTTTGGTGGAGTGTATGCCACATGTTCGTCGCGGCATATACTCTCTGGACCGCGCACGGGTCACTTGCGATGACCGCACTGTCGCACTTGATTCTATTTGATTCATTAGGAGCTCTACTATGTGTAGTTGTGGATGTCCTAAGCAATTTTGAAGTGTGGAAGCGATCCAGCGTGCGACACCCATTCGGTCTGGAACGCGCCGAAGTCCTGGCTGGGTTCGCCATGTGCGTGCTCCTGCTCTTCATGGGTCTCGACTTGATATCTCATAATCTGCAGCACTTGTTGGAGAAAGCCGGCCACGAGCCACACCACTCGCACGAGCATGACCGAGTTTCCTTGGGCAGTGTGGACATTACAGCCGTTCTTGCCATCTCGTCGACTTTAGTCTCGGCAATGGGGCTGAAGAACCATGCGCGCATTGGAAAAGCGATGCGCTTTGCGTACATTGAGTCTCTTCCGTCCGTCCTGAGCAATCCCTCTCACTTTCTCACACTCTCGTGCTCAACACTTCTTCTTTTGCTCCCGTTGGTGTCCATTCGCATATATGATTGGTTGGACAAGCTGCTTTCTGGAACCATTGCCATCTCGATGTGCGTTTTGGGAACGCGCTTGGTGAAAACGCTTGGGTCCATGCTTCTCATGTCCTACTCTGGCCAGGGCGTATCGGATGTCATCAAAGACATCGAAGCAGACCCCTCTGTGTTTGGCGTTGACGATGTCCGATTCTGGCAGGTGCATTATGGACTGTGCATGGCGAATCTCAAGCTTCGGGTTACTGGCTCCGATGAGAATCTGGTCCGGCTTCGGGAGAAAATCTCCAGTTTGATTCGGAACCGCTTGGGTGGAGGATATGGCGGCGGAGGCCAGAAATGGGAGGTGTCCCTTCAGTTCACCGTGGAGCGTACATAGAGTATATACATGGCATAGCATACCCAGTCCTGCATTTGCATCGATTGAGCATTTCTACGTGATATCCCACCTCACATCACAGAGCACTGTCAACCATAAATGGTGATATCAAACCACTTGAATTTTGATACAAAAGAAACTAGAAACACAATGCAACACCCTCTTCCCCTTTCTCTGGGCAACATTTTTTATGGCGCCGTAGCCAGAAGAGTGCCCGCCTCGACCGGAGAACCCTCTCGCTGATCTCTCCGCCGACGCTTCTCCAGAATAGTCTCTCGCCGCTGCGCGAGCATCTTCAACTGCCGTTGCTCCACACCCTGGAGCCAGTAACCGAAACTGCCACCCACACCGGCGAAAAGGGGGTATGCCCAGAGGGCTTCCTTTTGAAACATGGGACGCATCTCGATGCCGAGTTGCCAAAGGCGGACGGCGATGCCTTCAGAGATTGATGGTGTTAGCTCATGTATACTTATAGAGCATCCTTATAGAAACCCAATGGAAAGCCGAATAACAAGTCACGTACCGAAGCCGCTCCAGAAGAGCACCTTGTGGACCATGGTCGCGGTCGCCCGGACGTGTGCGGATAACGAGGGAAATTCAGGGGTCGACTGGGGATCCGACAAGCGTGGAAGGCGAAGCAGGGAGGTGATGTAGAGGGATCACACCGCAGCGACCGGGATTGAGGGCGAATCGGTGGATTGAAGGAGGAGACGGTCGGTCTAGTCCAGGAGAATGAGTTGTGAAGTCAAATCAGCGGGCGGCTGTGACCGAGCACGGAACAACGTTAGTCCCGGGCCCCTTCCTATCGCTTATCATTGATCCTTTGCCTTCACGCGACTCTTCTTTCCGGCTTTCACGCGCGTCACCTATAATGGCCCCCGACGAGGACATAGAGGATGTCCAAGTCAAGGACAGGAAGCGGGCCTCGATGGACATTGACAGTGTCAAGCGCAAGAAGTTCAAGGCTGACGACTTGCCTTTGACCGGTGCCCAGCATGCTGCCATTGACAAACTCTTGCACTCGTTCAAGAAGAAAGGGGGCTTTGATAGCGTGCGCAAGAAGATCTGGGCCGAATTCAATGAAGGGGTATGTTTCCCTTTTGCTGGTTTGATCGCAGAAATGGCTCATACATTCCATGCAGGACTCCAAAACCAAGTTTACCGACCAGTTGATTGCGCTCGCCGAGTCCGAGATTGACCGCGAACCAGCGCTACTCTCTCGTGAGAGAGGAAAAGCTGCGACCCTTATCGAAGGCGCCGTAGACCGTGGCGATGTCTACAAGAGCGTGGAGGAATCAATCAACAATCTTACCGCGAACCACCTCGAATTCATCCTCGACTCCGTCCGAGGAATCCGCCGCCAGGATGTGGGCGATGAAATAGCTTTGCGCGAGGAACAGTCGGGCAACAAAACCGACGAAGAGTACGATGTCTATATCAAGGCGAAACGCGAGGAACGGGAGAAAGTCTGGCGTGAGGAGATTCGCAAGCAAAAGGAAATGGAAGAGGAACAGAAGCGGATCCAAGCAGAAGAGCTCCGCAAGAAACGTGAAATAGAGCGGCAGAAAGAGGAGGAAGAGAGGGCCAGGCGCAAAGAGCTGGAAGAAAAGAGACGGGCTGAAGAGCGTGAGCGTGATGAGCAGCGAGAACGAGAGCGGCAGGAGCGATATGAGCGACGAAGACGGGAGGATCGTGATAAATACCATTGGGATCGAGATCAGGATCGCAGTCGAAGCAGAGACCGTCACCGGTACCGTGACCGTTCGCCTGCATACCGAGCTGACCGTGGAGTGTCGCCTCGTTCCCGAGATGCAACAAAGAAAGAGCCGCCCTCAACATCAAAAGATCCAACCCCTGCACCCCCACTACCTGCTCCAGTTGATGAGAAATCATTGGAGGAAGCTGCTCTGCAGATGTTGCTGAAAGAAGGCGAGGAGCTTGCGGCCAAGGCGCGGCAGAAGCCCGAGTTTGACTTCGAAGAGGCCGAAGCCATTGAAAATGGGCTCAAGCCGGCGGCGGCGCAGTCTAAGAGCGCTAGTGGAACGAGACACTCCAATACCCCCAACAAGGCTGGCACACCGGCTCGAGACCTTGACAGACGGCACGATTCAAACGCAGATCGCACTGAACGGCCCCGTCATCGTACACGAGATCGAAGCCGGAGTCGCTCCCGCCGTCCATTTGCATCTCGTTACGAGATAGATCGCCGCCACGATCGGTCCAGAGATTCCCGGGATCGTGACATGGACGAACGACGTGGATACCGCGACTTCCGCGACGAGGACCGAAGCTACAGGCCCAGCCGCCGCAGCCGCAGTAGGTCGACTGTCCGTGGACGTGATCGCAGCCCGGAACGACGCGAACGGCCACGATCCAGGGACTATGACCGGCGACACCGCAGTCGCAGTCGCAGTCGCGACAAAGAAAGAGACCGCCCTCGACGCAGCCGTTACTCCCAGTCGCCCTCACGACCCGGTAACACATCTCCACGACCGCGGCGACGTTCGCGCACGCGGTCCCCCTCAAGACCACGGGCCCGCGAGCGTCTCAGATCCCGCTCTCGATCCGCTCGACGCCGCTCCCGCTCCCGTCGCCGATCTCGCTCTCGCAGACCTTCTCCCCCAGGTCTCGAAATCGACCGCTACGTCCCCTCTACAAGCAACCGCAGCAGGTCACCACGCCGCCGCCCGCGGTCGCCGGAACCTGCGGCAGACCGGTCCAGAATGGGCGATATCGATCGGTACATCCCTGTCTCGGAGCGCAAAAAGGAAGGCGATCGCGAGGAACCGGCGGCTGAGCGGCCTAGAGCCGATGCGCCGGATGATCGTCGGCCTCGCCGGCGCAGTCCCAGTCCTGCTCGTAGGAGAAGTCGCAGCCGCAGCCGTCGACGCAGCTTCAGTCGGAGGAGGAGCAGGAGTCGACGACGGAGTCGCAGTCGTTGATCTTGAACGACAATGCTACGGGCTTGTGTGTCCTGTTTCTCTTTGTATTATTAGCCATGTATGATTAGCGATAATTGAACTCAGCACTAATTCTATTCACTGGGATTCTGCCTTCCAATGGTAACTAAACCAAGTCTAGATGGTCTGTCGTTGGCGATAAGCTTATCGCTCACTCACTCCGCCCCAGAAGAAAAAAAAGTTCCTATCTTTCCACTTAGCACCAACCAATGTCCCACTCCCTGAAACGCCCTCGCGACGAAGTTTCATATACTCCGACGACAAGTAATCACCAAGGAAATCTCCCCCTGTCCAAGAAACTGCGCATCGCCGCCTGGCTGTCCTCAACACCGGATCCCGTGTCTCGCAGCTCTGACGACAGCTTCCCAACTCCTCCGACTCTGAATGACGAGTCCCCTCTATCTACGCCACCATCTATACGCATGAGCCATACTCCTACTACTACGAAGATGTCTAAGAGAGATAAGGAGGGATTGACCGGTTTGTCGAAACGGAGTATGCGGACGTCAGGTCACGGACGGAATGATGAACTACCACAAGCTTCATCCTCGGACGACGAACCGACCTCTTCATCGGGGTCATCATCATCCGAAAGTGAAAGCGAGAGTGAAAGTGAAAATGAGAATCAACCCCCACACACAACTACCATCACCACCAATAATCCCGCCACTGCTTCCGCCGAGCCCCCAATACCAAATATCACTGGCCGTCCAAAACCACAGATACGGCGGGTAGATGGCGACTCAGGTCTCTTGTCGCGGCTATCATCGTTTCTGCCGCAGATGAAAGATGCAAATGAGAGTTTGCAGAAGGACATTGCGGCTGGGAGGGCGGGGGATGTTGTTTTGGATTCTTCTTTGGATAGGCGTGGGAGTGAAGATGAAGACGACGAGGATGAAGACGAGGACATGGAGGAAGGAGATGGAAGGGGAGAGGAGAAGTGGCAGGGGCAGTATATTGAAATGGTATGTCCCCCTCTGTTCTCTATTAGGTATTCTGGTGCTGACCTTTTCTAGAATCTTGGGTTGGGAGTCCTGGAAGAGAAACGGGAAGATGGTAGCGCTTCAGAAGAAAGTCCTGACTCTCGCCATGCCGCAAAAACTACATCAGCAGCCCCAAAGGATTCGAATGTCCTCGGGAAGCTCATGAAGACCAAACAATCCTCAACGGAGAAGCCAACAATCGAGGAGATGGCGGAGTGATCGCACACCATTAAACAAACCATTTACTGTGGATATGAAAGAGATGATCTGTCAAATGCAAGTCGACATTTTCGTATGCAGAAATTCGCCAATACAATATAAATCACAGATATATACCGGAGAAAACCCAGGAAATCCACCGGCCATACTATAACAAACAAATCTAGAAAAAAACATAATCGGAGAAGGAAAAGAAACGGGGGGCATATCAAGGATCTATTTATATGCATGAACCCATCAAATAACCGTGTCGCGGACATATCATGAGAAAAAAAAAAGATTACGAGATCTCCTTGACGCGACAGGTCCAGCCGGATTCCTGGCTCAGGAGAGGCAAGCTGGAGAGAAATTAGTATGCAGATAAGATGATTGCAGGGAGGGAAATACTAACCTCGCACCAAGACACCAGCCCAGCTCGTTGTTCTTGATTTTCTTGGCGATCTTGATCTCGCGAGTCAGCGGCATCTCGTATCCGGTGTGTAGCAGACCCAACATGAAGTTGAGATCCAAGCACCACTCAGGCCGATCATGGAGCTCCGCCAGCGCCTTTTCGACACCCTCAAACACCTTCCAGCTGGACTCGCCGGCGCAGACAGTAGAAGTCAGGTCGTGCAGCTCATCCACAGTGAATGAGCTAGGCATGCCAAGCGGGTCGGTGCGGTCGAAAAAGTACGAGAAGGCGTAGACATCCTCGCGGGCGAAGGTCTTCGCCAGGGACGGCTGGTGCACACCGTTGAATGAGCATGGAGCCAGCTTGCAGTCGGCGTCCTTCTTCAGGATCTTCTCAGTCAGACCGCGGCACTGCGCGGCTGTGGAGTGCTCCTTCGCGCCGGCCATCTTGACCTTGATACTTGTGCCAAAAGTAGGGTGACCGTCGGGGTACTTCAGTTCCACTTCCTTTTCCATAGCGGGGCCAATGCACGGATTGGTGATCGGCCGCTTCAGCCACGACAGGTCGCTGGGGCTATTGACTAGCATGGACTCCACGAGGGACTTGTGGACAGCCTCCCGCGCCGACATCAGACCATAGCCAAGGTGGGAGTGCTGGTAGAGCTCGAAGTGGCGGCCGCCGAACTGCAGGTCATACTTGTGATCACCTTCCGCAAGGCGTTCCGGCATACCGCCCGACGCACTATGCTCGAAGGTCGGCTCGAAAACGATCTGAGTGGAACCACCACCCAGATCAAAGACGGCAGCCGTCGGGGTATGATCGGGGCCGCCGATCTTGCCGAGAAGATAGTTGGTCGTGATCCAGGCATAGACGCCCTCGTCTTTGCCATCCATGATCTCGACGCCGCCCTTCTCCTTGGACACCACGGGGAATGGGTAGACCGTCTCCAGGCGGTGTCGCACAGCCTCGAGGATATTGTCGCTCATCGCTGGACCGAGAAGACGAAGTCCGGCAGTGGCCTTGACAGCAAGTGGCGTACACGACCTGTACTCTTCGGGAACGTTCTGCACGGCAACATCCATGAGGGGATCCAGACTGCGGGCAGCGCCCTCGGCATCTTCCTTGTACGAGCTAAGACCAGAGCTACCACCTTCCACCTTCTTCGTCTGCTCGAAAACCTCGTTCTCCAATTCCGGGGTGGAACCGCAGTTGTTGAACCGGTAGACGTGAATACGAGAGCCCGTGCTGCCGGCATCGATCATGAGCGCATACTGAATCAGAGGCTTGGAGGGATCATGGGGCTTTGTGCATTTGGTGGAGGTGCTGACGCCGGAGGGCGGTGGTTCTGGACGACAAGAAATCAGTTCTGAGAAACACTCCAATCGTTGCCGAAGGGCATACCGGTGCTAAAACTAGTGCGAGAGTATGTAGGCTTCGAGGGCGACATCCATAGAAGCAGCATAAACACAAAAGCGACAATAGCAGCGGTCTTCAAATACCGCGATCGCTGAGTCTGGGCCATGTTGGATTTTTTGGGGCGAGCAGTGCCTAGTCCGTGACCGGATTCGACCGAATTAGGAGAGGCGGAGCCGTTGCTGTGAGAGATTGATCGCTGGCGAGGGACTGAACCGAGATCGAGGAGTTTGCTTGGCGGCTGTTGCTTGTCGACACCCGTCGACATGCGAGCAACGGGAACAGCGCGAAAGGTGGCGATCGCACCAGGGAGGAAGAAGGAGCGAAAGGTGGGAGGAAAGGATTCAAAGAGCGAATGACGGGAATTAAGGAACAAGGGAGTGATGCTCTAAATGCAAGTCCACCGATTCAGGGGAGAAAGTAAAAAGATCAAACGATAAGTACCCAGAGGCAAAAAAGGGATTCGGGCTGTGGCGCAGGTGTGGCGGGTGGCTTGCTGACTACATCCTGAACTGGCTGTTTGCGGCCGGCCTTTGTCAACACTCACTACCGTCACGGACAGTGTGTGCCTCCTCACGGGATCAATGCAATCAATAGATTGACCTAGTGAGAACACCATGCCACACATCCGAGGACTCTTGTCCACGGCACAAGCCCTGCGCCAGGTCTTCATCGCGCCCCTCCGCACGACTCGCCCAGGGCTCTTCCACCTCACTCCCATCATCCAGAATGCACCCCAACTCCGATTCCTACAATTCCGGCGTCCTGCCCCGTCGGGCTCAGCATCCTCGACCAGTGGTCCCATCAAGGACGAGGCCATCAACACCCCAACCGTGCAGATCGTCAACGAAGCAGGCGGCTTAGACCCGCCCATCCAACTCAACACGGCCCTCCGCTCTTTCGACCGCTCGAAATACTTTCTCCTCCAAGTCTCTCCCGGCGGCGACAACAACCGACCACCAGTCTGCAAGCTCTTGAACAAGATCGAGGTCCAGGAAAACGAAAAGGCCAAGGCCAAAGCGGTAAAGGCAGCCAAGGTGAACCTGAAGCAGGTCGAGCTGAACTGGGCCATTGATGCGCACGATCTGTCACATCGTCTGAAGCAGCTCACAACCTTCCTGGATAAAGGTCGAAAGGTGGAGATTGTCCTGACGAGGAAACGGAAGAAGCGGGCCCCGACGGTGGAGGAGGTCAAGCAGGTCATGCAGAGCGTGCTGGATACGGTCAGGGATGCGGGGGCTACGCAGACCAAGGCAATGGAGGGCAAGCCGGGCGAGCATGTTATCCTGGTGGTGAAGAAGGAGACTTGAGGGTATGCACTGCACAGTACTGGCGGAGGATATATACTACCTGGTCTCACATACTCTCAATTGAAATTCTGAATATATCGTCCGAAAAAAAATGGATTCTCTCCAAAGTTCGGAGCCGTGGCATGAACAAACCTCCCCAAAAATAAGGGGTATCTTTGGGCAAGAGCCATCTCTGGCCGCATACCACCAGGGCACAGGGTTGTCCCTCACAGGAGAAACAGAGTTTACATTGGTATATAAAGAAGGAATTCTCTACCAAAGTGATACCGTGGTAACGCGTGCATTGACGGTATTAACTAGTTTGTAGTACAATAGTTCCATCCGAGTGAGGGTCGTCTAATGCCTTCGACAGCCACTGGCGACACCTTTGGGCTATCCAGCGTATATGCCAAAAAGCAACACAACATCATTCTGCAGGTCAGGAGGAAAAAAATGATTGTGTCCCCACGGTCATGGATATCACTACTGCCTCGCTCTGTATAGTCCGCAATCCCGGCCCCGTGATTGGTTAGATGACTAAGCCTCCCTGAAATTTTGGGATGCGTTGATCCCGGCTTCCTCCTTCCCTCCATCTCTCTTTCTTTCTTTCTTCCCTTCGTTTTCTTCCATTCCTTTCCGTCAATTCGTCCAGGATGTCGAGCATCTCCCGTTCCGTCAACCTCCTGGCGCGCAGCAGCCGGGCCTCTCTGTTGCGCCCTCGCGCCGTCAACCCCGTTCACCATGTTTTCGCCAGCGACAAGATGGCTGTTCGTGGTCTGGCCACTGCTTTCGAGCGCACCAAGCCCCATGTGAACATCGGTACGTCAATGGAATCTTGCGCACTGGTTGTTTGCTCGCTAACCCCTATCAAAGGTACCATTGGTCACGTCGACCACGGCAAGGTGAGCCTCGGCCGTGACAATGCTCCCCCGTCATTCCCATCTAACGTATCCGCTGTAGACCACCCTCACTGCCGCGATCACCAAGCACCAGGCCTCGAAGGGTCTTGCCAACTTCCTGGATTATAACGCCATTGACAAGGCTCCCGAGGAGCGCAAGCGTGGTATCACCATCTCGACCGCCCACATCGAGTTCTCGACGGAGGACCGCCACTACGCCCACGTCGACTGCCCCGGTCACGCCGATTACATCAAGAACATGATTACTGGTGCTGCCAACATGGACGGTGCCATTGTTGTCGTTGCTGCTTCTGATGGTCAGATGTATGGATACCCCATATCTGTGTCGTAAAAATAAAATAAAAATTACTGACCGATCCAATAGGCCCCAGACCCGTGAGCACCTGTTGCTCGCCCGCCAGGTCGGTGTGCAGAAGATTGTCGTGTTTGTGAACAAGGTCGATGCCGTCGATGACCCGGAGATGCTGGAGCTTGTCGAGCTGGAGATGCGCGAGCTGCTCTCCAGCTACGGATTCGAGGGCGAGGAAACCCCCATCATCTTTGGCTCTGCTCTCTGCGCCCTCGAGGGCCGCCGCCCTGAGATCGGTACCGAGAAGATCAACGAGCTCATGACCGCCGTCGACACCTGGATCCCTACCCCCGAGCGTGACTTGGACAAGCCTTTCCTCATGTCCATTGAGGAAGTCTTCTCCATCCCCGGTCGTGGTACTGTCGTGTCTGGCCGTGTTGAGCGCGGTCTCTTGAAGAAGGATACCGAGGTGGAGATTATTGGTGGCGGAGTCGAGCCCATCAAGACCAAGGTCACTGACATTGAGACCTTCAAGAAGAGCTGTGACGAGTCCCGCGCCGGTGACAACTCTGGCCTTTTGCTGCGTGGTGTCCGCCGCGAGGACCTCCGCCGCGGCATGGTTGTCGCCGCCCCCGGTACCACCAAGGCCTGCAATAAGTTCCTGGTGTCCATGTACGTCCTGACCGAGGCTGAGGGTGGTCGCCGCACTGGATTCGGCAACAACTACCGCCCGCAGGTTTTCATTCGCACTGCCGACGAGGCTGCCGATCTGTCTTTCCCCGACGGTGACGCCTCCCGTCGTGTCCAGCCCGGTGACAACGTCGAGATGATCCTCGAGACCCACAAGCCCATCGCTGCCGAGGCCGGCCAGCGCTTCAACATTCGTGAGGGCGGCCGCACTGTCGCGACTGGCCTGGTCACCCGTGTCATGTGATTTTAGTTTTCACTTGAGGTCAGACTGGCCTGTGTATTATTTGATGTCCTTTCCTTTCGTCCTGTTTGTTTGGCGCCTTATATTCACCGCGCGGGAATCAGCGATCAGCACCGGGGGATCCGAGGGGTGAAGCTGGAGTTTCTTGAAGTGTGTCCATGTACCCTTACCTGTATTGGTCGGCTTGTTATATCTTCTCCCCTCAGTCCTCGCCTCTATTCGTGTGGCATTGTACTCAAAATAGAACATCTCAATGCGACGTGTTGTGTTTGCAGACAAGCATCTTCAATTGGTATTCATCACAGTATGTATCATAGTCATCATCTAGTACAGAATCTCCGGACTCCCTTCCGCCACCTCCACTTTGCTCCGCTTGATCCCCACAATCAGCAACATCTCATTCCAGAACCCAATATCCTTATCCAGCGTCGTGAGCTCATACCGCTCAATCGCCGGCCGATCCCACACCAGATCCGCCTCGAGCGGCTTAATGAACTTGGTCCGCTTGAAAATCTTCCACCCGCTGAAGGTCAGGATGGCCAGGAACACCATGGCGTAATAGGTGAAGAACGTGCCGACGTTCCAGTTGCCCGGCAAAAATGTGGCATATCCGTAGCAGGTGACGATGCAGATCATCCAGCACAGCGCGAAGACTGTGCTCCAGGGCTGGAAGTAGCCGTAGTAGGGCAGTTCGCGTCGGTTGATCCCCTGTGCTTTGCATGCGCGGTAGAAGAAGATATAAGTTGTGCAGATTACGATGTAGTCGATTACGCCGCCGGCGGTGACGATGTTGACCAGCCTGAGTGAATTGTCAGTTGGACTGTATGTATAAAGATCCAAAGTAGACGGGATGAGAAGTAAGTTACCATGTCAGCACCTGGTTCGACCCATTAGACAGCTGGAGCAGCGACAGAAGCGGGAAGACCATCGTGATCCCAAGGCAATAGATCGGCACGCCCTGTTTGGTGCATTTCTTCAAAAACTGCGGCGCATGTCCGTCATGCGCAAGACCATGCAGCGTGCGCGTCGCGCAGTAGCAGTACGCGTTACCCGCGGAGTAGATACTCGTCAGCAACAAGGCATTGACCAGAGACGGCAGCCCGGCGACACCCATATTCTGCATGGCAATGACATACGGCGAGGCGGCGCCGGTGCTGGTGCCGAGGTTCTTCAGCAGCGTCTTGTCGTTGTAGGGGATCACGATCCCCGTGCACAGCGCACCGCCGATGAAGAATATCCCGAAGCGGATGTACACGGACTTGAAGGCGCGCTTCAGCGTGATCCGTGGCAGTTTGGCCTCGCCGGCTACCATGGCCATGTACTCTGGGCCGACGAGGGCGAAGCTTGCGCCCCAGAGGGCTTTCAAGAAGCCTTCAAAGTGGCCCATTGTACCTGTTGTGATATATTCGGCGAATGCGCCCTATTATAGTATAGTATATCAGAAGAAGAAAAGAAGCGCGTGGGTTGGTGGGTAGGCATAGACATACCGGGTTGTTCCAGTATCGGAATCCATAGACGTCGTGGGTCGGATTGCCGCCCACCATCGTCACGAAGGTGAAGGAGAAGACAATCCCCATGAGGAGCAACTTTCCCCAGGACAGCCAGAACTCGGCTTCCCCGTAGTATCGGACGGCGGCGACGTTGATAAGACTTTAAGCGTTCGCATCGGGCATTAATCAGTACGGCTAGGTTCAAGTAGTAGTCGCACGGGCAGTAGGAAAGCGGGCGACAGGAAAGAAAAGGAAAATTGCTTTGGGAACTGGAGTGGGATGGGCTAAAGGGAGGGAAGAAAAGAAGAGAGGAATACCCATAGGAAACAATGCAGGCCGCGCAGATAGCACCGACGGGGACATCGTCGCTCCAGTACTTGATCACCAGATTAAGGGCACTAATCTCAAAGGGGATGAGAATAGCCTCATAGAAGAAGAAATTCCAGCCAGCCATGAAGCCCCAGGCATCGTCGACCCAGACGGCGGCGTGGCGAATGAAGCTCGCATTGACGGGCATGTAGACGGCCATCTCGGCCATGGCGTTGTTCACCAGCGCCAGCACGCACGAGTACAGCCCGTACGCGAGCAGCAGACTGCCGGGCCCGCCGCCGTTCAGCGAGGTGCCGATGCTGACGAACATGGCTGTCCCAATTGACCCACCGATGGCGATCAGTTGGATCTTGCGGTTGGAGAGGTGTCGCTTTAGGCCATGGTTGTCGTCGATGATTTCGCCCGTGTCCACTTCGTGGGTTGCGGTGAATGTCGCCCTGGGGGCTTTGGTTTTTTCCATATTGGGCTGGTGCGCATGGGATATTCTGAGTCTTGTATCTGGTTGCGTAGGGAGATGGGGGTTGTTGCTCAGTGCTAGGCTGCTGGAGTGGTTGGTTGAAACTGTATAACTCCAACTTTCTACGCCTGAGGGAAGTCCAGCATATTTAAATAGATTGAATTTCCAGCCAGAAAGAGGCGAACCCGTCAAACCTTAAGAGACAAATGACCAACTGGTAGTAGGCCGTGTAGCTTAGCGAACAAAAGCCCCGAGTTTCATACTTTTGTACTTAGGGCTGGGAGTTTAACCTGGAATTAAGTCGGCGGATACCATTCTTATTCGCGCAGAGACACGGACCTCTCCACTCCCATGCGTGGAGGCGACGAAAACCCATCGCTGCGGCTGATTGATTGGTTTCCCTGTTGGTGTTGGCACTGGTGTTCCTGGAGGTATGCCCCGTTTGTAGATAGAATTAACTAGACTACCCCTGGACAAATCCGCCGACAAACAACAACAATAATATTAGTAGCAATTTCGGGGGCAGACCGTAGAGGATCTCAGAGAGAGAAAGTTCAAGCCCAGGCTTACCTGGGCACATTTAATTCTATGTATTGGGGACACGCACGGATTTCTCGAGGCCCCAGCGGCGACCCCGAGGGCAGCCGTCGATTGGCGCCAAGACTCAGTGCGGCGTCCGGCAAGCCGTGCTGAACAGGATCTACTAGACTACGATGAGCTTAGCTGTGGCAGTGTCCGCAAGTAGGATGGATCGGCCCTCGCTTTCAATTGCAGAAATTGGATGGCGGTTTCGGGGTGGGCGTTTGGGGCGCGAGTAAGCGGGTGTAGTAGTGTGTCGGAGATGGTGGTGTTGGGTTGGGTTGGTTTGGTCTATGATCTATCGGGGGGTTTGGTTGGGTTGAGAGTAGTGACTGCAGGATACCCTGGAATAGATACTGACTGAAGTAAAAAAGACAAGTAGTAAGGTAGATAGGACTCGATTTTGACAAGAGGCTAGTAGTGATACATGTACAAGAGGGATCGAACGAGTAGCAACAAAAGAAATTTCCCAAAGGGGTAGTAGTACCCAATTACCAGAGCCTATTCTCCGGCAGAACCTTCTCCTTCTTAACACCAGCCGTCGACTTGCGCTCCTCCGGCGAGCGGAAGAACAAACTCGGTCCCTCCATCGGCTTGAGCAGATGGCTCAAATACCCGCGATGGGCGGGATCACGATAATACTCGATATCCCTGCGACTCGATGGGTCAGGCAAGCGGTACCGGAAACCCATAGCCTTCATCACTTCTCCCTCCTTATCGGAAACAGGAACACCCGCCGCCTGGTGCAGAGCCTCGTTCCCGCTCTGCGCCGTCCATGCCAGTGACAGGAACGGGTGCGTCTCGCGCGCCATGATCCGCACGATGGCCGAGCGCGTGTAGTACCGTGTTGTCACGGTGCCACCGGCGGCTTCGACGGCTGCGATGGCAGATGCGGATGCGCGCGATACGACTAGATGCAGCGGCTGCTTGAGGGTGGACGCCTCAATGCGGCCGAGCAGCTTCACACCGTCGCGGTGCTGGTGGATACAGCGGGAGTCCAGCAGCTCGCGGACGGTGATCGGACGCGCCGGGTCGATGCGGCCTTGGTCAATCCAGTCTTGGATGCGGTCGAGGTTGATGGGGGCTAGGTCGGCGGAGAAGCTGTTCGTGTTTCGTCTACTGTCAGATCCTTGCCACAGATAACGACCGTCCAGATGATCATAGATGAATAGAGAAAGCGCAAGAGAGGAAGGAAGAGGGAAAGACATACATATTCGTATACCCACGCTCCCCATGCACGACGATATCCTTCGTCTGCCCACCATTGAAATTCGCCGGCACTTTGCCATGTTGCTTCTGACCCTTGTGTCCACGGCCGGAAGTCTTACCCTTTCCCGAGGCAGGACCGCGACCACGGCGAATGCGCTTGTTGTAAGCGGAGGGATTGTCGGAGAGCGAGCCCAGGATGGACGCTTGGCGAGTCTGGGTTTGCTGGATGTGTGGGATGAGGAAGGCCAATGGCGATGATTGAAGGATGGGGCGGGCAGCAAATTGCTGCAATTGTAGGGGTAGCCCCATTAGCCGGGGAGCCATGGTGGTGTGTGGTGTGTGATTGAGGGAGAAGGGAGATGTGTTGTTCGGTCGGTGCTGGAGGGAGCGATATTTGTCCGGAGAAATATCGGGCCGGAGTAACCAGTGTAAGGCTGCCAGTTGACAACATTTAGTGTAATATTGACATCTGCTAAGCGTGTTCCGTTACAAATTACTTGACGAAAAAATCAGTGAGTAAGAGAACAAGTCTAGTTTCTTATGCTGGCAGGGCTAGCTCTGCTCGTATAAAACGCCAGAATCATGCAAATGCAAGGTGCAGCGAATCGAAAGCCCTTCGAGATAGAAAAAAAAAACGCCATAAAAGAGTGCCATCCTCCCATTACCGGGAGAAGACAAAAACACACCCATTTGCAATCCCTTTTCTAGGTGTCAAAACATCAACGCCAGACATGCGGAATCATAATAAAAGATAACCCTGTACAAGGATGAAAAGGGGTAAAAGCGAAGAGGAGGAAAAGATGTATACAGAGAAAGAATAAAAAGAGTTTTCTCATAAGAGGGTCGTGACACGGTCAAGTCGTGAAAATAAGAATAAAGAGGCAAAGCTCAACTGGTGTAGCCCTGCGTCGGAGGGAAGAGGGACTGTGGGAAATGGGGGCCTTGGTTCCATGCCTCCGGCTGAATAAAGGGCAGCAGACCAGTCTTGCGGTCGGCGGAGGTCTTGCCCAGCGGCTGGTAGTGCATGTGGTCGAAGGGGACACTGCGCTGCTGCTGCATGGAGGTTGAGGGAGGAGGAATCAGCAGGGTGTGGACGGAGCGGACTGGCCGGTAGGGCGAATTGCGGTTGGCCAGGAAGAAAGACGGAGAGAGGTGGGTTTGGGGGGTGTGGACGGAGTAGGCGGAGACGGCCGGTGAGACCGTCGCAGATGACACCCCCAAGGCGTTCGGGTGGTGTCGGCCCAGTTCTGGGAGTGTCGGGGCCGTGTAGAAACCTCCTGACGACACTGGAGGGATAGCCAGTGGGGGCATCTGCTGTGTCCAGTTGGGAGTCCGGTTGTAGATTGGGGGCATAAGGGTCGGGAGTTGAGAGGCTGCGGCTAGGGAGTGTGCCTGAGGCACCGGGTGAGAGGATGGTGGCAGATTGGGGAGGGGGAGGCGAGAAACCGGCGCCATGGGAGCCTGGCACGTCGGGATAGAAGTTGGAGTCATGACCGGCGGCAGGGTCGACATGGGCGTCATAACGGACGAAGGCATCGTCAACGCGGGAGCAGAGATGGCCGATGAGATTGCCGGGCGCTTCGCAGGGTGCAAAACCTCGAGATCGTCCCGGCTCCGTTTTCGGGAAGTACCCAGAGCGGTCTCGAGCTGAGGTTGCAGTGAGGATGGCCCGTAGGGCGGCAGACCGTGGACAGGCATATACCAGTTCGGCTGGGACTGCGGGCGTGGCAGGTCGGTAGTAGCGGGAGGCGAGGGCAGCTTGGACGATAAGGGAGACTGCGAGGGCGGCGGCGAGACACGCAGCATGGGGGTGTGCTGCTCCGATTCGAGCGGAAGCATAGAGGCCTGGCTGAAGAAGTCGCCAAACAGGCCCAGCAAGGTGTGCCAACGCGCCCACTCGGCCTTGGAGGCGAACAGGTCATAGCGAATGTTGCTCAAGAACTCAACCTCCATGATATGAATCTCATGCACGGCAATGCCCGAGACCTCCGCCCAGGTCTTGTTGGTGTAGGTGTTGTCATCGAGAACTATAAGATGAGTCAGCATTGTCTTTATCTTATCTGCTTATCGCTTATCAGACGTACATTTGTTGCCCAGCATCAGGGCCACCGTCATCAGCCGGAACTCACTGCCTTTCTTGCCCTTGACCCCGGAGTTGAACTTCTTCAGTCGGTAGACAAACAGCAGAGCCAGCAGAATCACATTCTGGCTGACCTGGGTGGTGGACAGGATTGAGGCCACCCATTTCTGGAAGCCGACTGTGGGCATGGCTTCCGGGACGAGCGATGGTACCGGATGCAGCCGGTCCTCGATGGCTTGGAGTTTGGAGGTTTGTTCAAACCAGAACAGGCAGGTCATCTAGTGGAATCCCGGCGATTAGTGACCGTTATTTGCGAGGTCCTGGATTTCACTCACCTGAGCTGCAAATTCAGCCAGACTGCCCTTGCTGCCGTTGATGGACGATGGGATGCGTAGCTGCGAGCCACCTGTGCTGGTCGTCTTCTTCTGGTTGTTGGCAGGTTCCATGGTGGGGGCCTCTTTCACGGGCACTGTAGGGTTCTGAGGCTTCATGGCTGCCACCATCGACGATGACACCGAGTCAAAGGGGCGGGCGTGACCGTGCATGATCCCATCCGGTTTCCCCCCGTAGGCCATACTTGAGATGGCATTGTAGGTCAGCCCGGTCATGTCGCTGGGAGGGGTGGGCAGACCGTCCCGAAAGGGAGCAGTCCAGCAGGAGCCCGCAGGAGCCGGGTTCGGGTTGTAGGTGGTCACGTCGATGGCTGGGGTGGTGGTGGTAACGCCCTGGTGTGAGAACGGGTGTCGGAAGGTGAGGGTTGCGGAAGGCATAGGGAGCGGATCGAAGGTCGACACATATGGGGGAGAGGTGATCCGGAAGTCCACGTCGGGAGGTGAAGTTTAGCGACAGCCCGTCATTAGGGAAGACAGATGGCCGTTCACTGCGCTCTCGCTGCTGATCTTTCTATTGTGGAATGTCGAAGGAGAAAAAGGAATGGAGGTGGTGAGGCTCAGGGAAGAATAATGAATACTAGAGGGGCCGGCAGTGAATGATGTAGTTATGTATATCGAGTGCCCCCAATAGGCCCATAGAAGGAAGCAGTGGATAGTGGATGGCCCAAGTGGGTAAACCAGAAAAAGGAAAAATTCAATTTAAAAAGGAACTTCACGACAGAGGGAATGGAATTAATGATTATTATTTTTTTAATTATTAACAAGTCAAGGCATCATCTCAGCGATCCTTGGCCAGGGTAGACCCATCCGGAGACAAAAGTGAGAGTTTGACCCGGACGCAGGTCCAGCAGGGTGATCCTCCTTTCTGGGAATATTGGGTTTGGCGCGATTGATTGATTAAATCAATAATAATCCCCCAAAAAAATAAAATAAAATACCGGTTGATGTCAGAGCCACGGGGGGTCACAAGTGGATGCTGCGCCCGAAAAGGGTAGGTCGCAGAGTCATGTTTACGGAGTGTGAAAAGACACCGGCTGGCGACCAATCAGGGGGCGGGTGGCCGGATCCAGTCCCTAAGAAACACTAGGTAAGGTCAAAGGCATGTACGCCTCCGTGCGGAAGGACGACGAAAGGGGGGATGCCGGGAAGCGCGGGGGCCATGGGGGGTTGAGCACTGGTGGCTGATCGCGAGTAGTCAAGATCATCAGAATGGGCAGGAAAACCCAGTAGTCGGGAGTCCTCTGCTGAGTTAGTCGTGAGTTAGGGTTAGAGAGGCAGCCGGTGAAGCGGGTGACAATACCAGAGCCGGAATGCAGTCCAGGGATGGCGCATCACATCGTTCGTGTATGGTCAGCCCAATACCTGACTAACCACGGAATGCTAGGAGGTGCGGCTCCACCCAGGTCTCAGTCTTTTCCGTGTACAATCCGAAAGCACAGTGCCACATCATCATCTGAATGATCATGACACGGTTACTGATGTGCGTATGTACTCCCCGACCGAGGAATGCCCGCTTAGTAGCCCGACTGTTGTTTCCGTCTACGATCGGACTGGATACCTTCATTTCCTACATTCATCCGGACGAGTTTCCCGTTCTTGCCTTTTTTTTTTTTTTCTTTCTTTTTTTCTGCTCAGTCAGACTGGTGGACCGATTTGATAGTCTGGTCCTGTCAGTAGTGAGTTCTTTTGGGGGCCATGGGCATTAGGTTCCCATGTAACCTCTTTGGGTCAACGCGCACCGCCAGACTTCCGCGCGCGCAACGCCTCCCCTACTCTACCCTAAGCAACCAACCCGTCTTCGGGTGATTGGCCCCAGCTGGAACCGAGCTGGTCGTTTCACCTGTGGATGATTCGCAAGCCTCACGTAAGGCGTCGATTTGGATCAACGACCGAGGACTTAGGCACTCGCCCCTTATCCTATGACCCTTTTGTGGTATTATCCGACTGGGCGAAGGAGGTTGGCTCGATCGACTAAACACTAGTCCCCATGCACCATTGCCATCCATCCCGACCGATCACCGGGTGGATTCGTAGGAGTGAATGATTATGATTACAATTTCAGGCGCACGAAACCCGGTTATAGCACGCCACCCGTTCGAGAAACAGTGTTGACTCTTGGGGAACAGGATCCGGACAGCGGCGGACGACGATCCCCAAGGAAATGAGTTTGGTGGGTGCAAATCACCATGGGCCAGATGGTCAACCCACGGCCGAGTATGCACAGTTAGTGACAGTCATCCCGGTCGTCGCGCGTGTCCACTTTGGGCCATTAAGAGCCACCGCCACGGTGGGAAGGGAAAGGAAAAAGAAGTGGAGTCCTGTAATTTTCGGTGATTCCAGAACCCCAGATAGCTGACACAACCAATGTTAGTGCTCCATCGTGCGAAGATGATCTATGGAGACCAGGCTGGGAGACTAACCGCCTCTCGGGCTCCATAATTGACGGAGTTGACGCGGAAGTGGGCAGCGTCACGGTGCACAGCCTGTACGCAGGCGAAGTCTCGCTTGGCGTTGCATTATTAATATTAATATTTTATTTTTTAAATTATTATCTTCTTCGATCTACACAGTTGTACCGCTTCCTCGGCACGATATAGTAACGAGAACGAGAGCGAGAAGAAGTGGTCATCCACACAAACTCTGCGGCACATCTCCGGTGTGGAGTGGAACAGAAGATGGAATGGTTTTTGGTTGAATGGTTGCCACCGCCTCCGAAATTGATCCCGGTTGCGGCGCGCCGAACTTATAATTTTAGGCACACTTCGAGTCACAGAGACAGGAAAAAAAAGTCACCGCCTGCTTGTTGCTCCACTCACCCAAGTGGTAGGTGGTCGTGAGATTGGCGGTGCGACTGAGTACCAGTCGACCAGGTTTCTCTGCCTCGGGTCTGGGATTGGATGATCACCGGTCACGGCCGGGTTCTACACAGGACTATTGGGCGCATGCAGCAGCTGGACCTGAAGTTCTGGCCTTGCAATCCTCGCCGCCGTCATCGGCTCCCCCCTCCCACTATCCCTCGGTGAAGGTGCTGCTTCATATGCACGCGGAAGACTCGCCTATCATGGAAGGCAAACCCAGGGCTGAGAGAGTTCTTGTCGGCAACACGATGTGCCGCGCCCTGATTGGCGCCCAGCTCTAGCGCCTTGAGTTTGGTCCGCACCCAAAGATGGGCAGGGGGGTGGAGGAAGATGGGGCAGTCGAAACAAAAAAAAAAAGAGTGGCTGAATCCACGGCCAAGAAAACTGAAGCCGATCGCCAAATGAATCCAGATTCTCATCTCAACCGGCATGCTCCGCTTGCTTCGTTTCTCTAACCATCTCCGTACATGTGGTACACAGCGCTTTTGCCCGGGCGCGCGGGGGTCCGCTCATCCCATACAGGATGCTGAGAGGATGCTGCTTGGGAGCGCCCCGCAGAAGAAAGGGGCCCTTTTAGAGACACTCACTTTTTTGTTGATCGCATCCGTAAGTAAGATTTACGAGCGATCCAATTCGATGCAATCTGCCGGATGAAAAGGCCGACCACCTTACGGCGCTCTTACCCTTTCCCAGCCGGGCTCCTTGCAGTTTTTGCCCTAGCAGTCCTGAACAAGAAAGCATCACATCGCTCCATCACGGCTCCGTACTATAGACTAGGGCCCATGTAGATTGCTTCACGCGGGCTGGCCTGCTCCGCTTGGGCTTGGATTGTCTTGTCATAGTCTCGTCCGAGGGGGCTGACACGAGCCAAGTCATTTGAGGAATCGCCCCAACCCTCGTCAATCTTGCCTTGCCTTGCCGTAGGCGGAAGGATTGCTTCCATGTAGCGCTGCGCCTCCCCCCTCCAGCAGGGCCTCAAGACATTGGGTCGGTGTTGTGATAGTGCCAGAACAAGGAACTCCGGCGACGAACAAATAACGTATTCGATTCGAGACATTGCGCCTGCAGAAAGATGGGCAGACCCTTGTGACAAGCGACTACCTACTACTGGTCATCCATCACTCCTTGGCTGAGGCCAGCACTGTATTCCAGACTGCTCCAGCCCCCCATCCCCCGTGCGGCGGCGCAGGGGCCTATGCAGCGAAGTTAGATGACTGACCGTCTTGATCTCTTTTTTGATTATCATGAAATTATTCTTCTTCTCGGCGCGTGCCCAGGAGCCCCAAGCTCAGCTATACCGTCATGGGCCACCGATACTTCCGGTAAAACTACGTTTGACTTTCCGGGCCACGCTGATACTTTGATTTATGACTCCTTGGGGCCACACGCTCGTGTCCGCTCGTGTTGGGAGAAGAAGGAGGGAGGATGATCACGAAAGGATGTTTACGTATAGAGTGTGCTGTGGGGGTGGGCAAAGGAAAGGTAAAAGCCATCCAGTTGGGCACTACCTACGTAGACTGTCTCAGGCCGGTCGCCTTCAGTCTTGAGCTCCAAATTTGAGTCAGAGAGCAAGACCTAATATCGCCATCCTGCGGTCAGACTATGGACTACTACTGCTGTGGGGGGTCTAGTAATATTAGCCCAGCTGAAGCGTGCCCATGCGTCTGAAGTCATACCCCCTCCAGGGTCTCGAGCTGATCGAAGGCCCCATAATAATGATCAAAACTAGCCACGGAGCGGTCACATTGCGAGTCTCAGCCTAAGACGATCAGTAAAGGCCTAGTTATCTCCGGGGTCCGAACACCCTATTACAACTTACTTACAATTGGTCTGCCTGTGACACCAAATCGCCAAAGAAAAGCTCAGTGGAGTCCGGCCAACGTAATCATTTTGCTCGGCTCACAGGGTACGATTCCATCCATCCATCCCATCCGTTCCCACATCCAAACCAGCCGAGAGCGAGCGAGGATCACATTCCCGCGTCTGCCTGCCGTCCACATCCGGTGCCACTCGCGAGAGTAAAAACAGTCTCAGCCAAACAATGCCGGGCTCTTCCGGCTATGAGAGACTAAGGCTTGGTATGTACCATGACAACGGGCGGACGGGAAAGTATTGCGATGCCAGGGACAGTTTGGCGATTTCTTTTTTTCAGTGGGGGGGTGGGTTTTGTCTTTGCTCGCCGGACTTATTCCCAACATGGCTGGAGCATGCACTACCTCGAAAGTGGTGGTCGTGCTTCTCAATAACTAACTAGTTCCCAAGCTGGCTTTGTCATGGTCTAGATGTGGGCTATTTTTGACAAAACTGCAGAGACAAAGAAAGATCCCTTGCACACGACTGACTACATACATTACAGTAGGCATGCTTCCGATCTGTCATCTGCGTGCAACTTGTGGTGTCGACCTAGTAATACGGATGGATGGATGGCAACAAAAACAAAGCTCTGGACCATGGATACTACCCAAAATCATGTCACCGATGATCTCGATGACACAGATCGCTGACTCGCAGGCGCAATTACTCTTCCACACAGATGATCAAGATGCGATTCAATCAGTAAGGTGGCGGCGTTTTGAGTTTCGTGTCCTTCTGGGCTCAGCCTTCTACCACCATCCACGTCGCTGAGAGCTTATTGTCTTTTTTGCCTCTCTGACGGGAACCAGCTGACGACGCCGCCATTGTGTCAATAGCACAAGGCCGGTCTCTCCTCACCTGTGGCGGGATCGCGCCCGTGTTCCATTGTTCATCACCCAATACGATAACGATTCGATCCAAATTCTTGGGATGGCTGGTTCATGAACAGACCAACCGGTGGGGAGACTAATTCGGACAGATTATTAAAGCCGGCGTCCAGCAGTTCTTTCTCAAGAGCCTGAGGCATTCCAATTTGTGCTTTCTTTGGCGGTGTTTGCCTGATGAACAGCCGTTTGCCTCGATCTGGATGTCTGCGTCTTGCTGACCGGTAGGTGGTTTTGCAATCGACTTGGGCTGCGTTCATGGGAGGGTTGGTTTGCCTGATCTCCTGTATGGATGTGGTCTTGGCCGGACTAGTTCTTGAGTCGAAATTCAATCACGATATCGCAACAAATGTTGGCGCTAGTGTTGGGAGGATCGGGTGTCCCTACGTGAAAGGCTCTGAAAATTACATACTTTGCCTATCAAAACTCGGGATGCTCTCACTGGACCAAGTGGTATGGTTATCAGAGCCTTTCAGGCTTAAATGAAACCAATATAAACCAAAACCAGTCATGGCAATGCAGCTCTACGGATCAGCTCATTCCGTTGATAGATCGATGTGCTATGGCTGAACAACAGATGCCCAGCTTTCTCAGATGCCAGCATAACAGGTTATGTTACTAAATATATCATCGACGACCATATTAGACAGGCCAGGTCCCTGCACCTGAACAGTTTGCAAGCTATCGCCTGCGCTTCACCTCTGCAGCTCCCTATTTCTCTAGAGACGTTTTGCATGAAATCCATTATCCGACTGACTATCAATCTATAGTATCCACGGGCTTTTTCCATGGACAGGAACGCTTTCAGACGTCCGCAAACAACCTCGCAGTGGCTGGATCTCGTCGCAATCTCACTCTCGGGTGTCGGCAATCTGCCACGAACAACCGCAACCCCATTTACAGGCATAAGCGATGTAGAAGCTGGCCAGGTAAGTAACATGCTTTGCAGGCTGATGCAGACCTCGGTCTACATCCTACCATTCTGTGTCGTTCGTGGGATTCGAAGTCGCCGACGTGCGTGTAACCACCTCTACATCCTAAATGCTCAGCGCTAGTCTCAAGACACAAATTATATACCTTCTTCCAAAAGCCTTTCTCTCGAGCTATCGTAATATTTCTGGTCCTGGCGCTGATTATTGATTGTATTTGCATTCTTTGAACGGAGCTTGATTGCCCAATTTGGATCTGAGTTGGGTGTACTTACACGGATATGATATGTCTTAATTCATGTATTCGATTGAGATGTTCTGTGTCTAGGCGTTATTTAAAAAATGATATCTGTGAGCTGTTTGATATTCTGGCGGTCAGAAAATATATAATTTACCCATATCACTTCTGATCCAGCGCATTCCATACGCGGTACCCGACTAGAAATTGATTCGGTAAAGCTCTTGTACGGGCTCATACAACAATTTAGTTCAATCAACACAAAAGGAAAATGAGATGGTATGCAGTAAAGCCAATGGCTATAGCTTCCTTCGTAGAGCTCCTCACGAGAAACCTGCGCTTCCGCATCAGCACATAGCTTACTTCTTCAACCAGCTTCCACTTATCACCGCATACTCGTAGCAATGTGAAATATCGCTCCTCCATTCCCAGATGATGTGTGCTGACCATAACAGGCAACCTCGAGCGGTGATATCGATGCCATCCTTCAAGAACTCAATTTTACACTCTCTTGAAGCCCCTTCTCGATAAAATATAATATCTCGATCACAGCTGTAACACTATCCCATCGTCACCAGGGAACATAATTGACGGGGCTGATCTTCCGCGAATATGTCCCAATATCAAGCAAATATTGACCGTATGATCTAAAAGTATATCTATGATTTACTCCACGCCGGATCATCCCGACTCCAATCGTCGTCACTTTATCGCCCATTACTTGAAAATTCCCAAATCCGACATTTGTCCGATATTGGCCGAGTCGAGCAGGCAGCATTGGGCAAGTCAAGGCGGCAGGGAGAAACCGGACCGCAGCAAATATACTTTCTCCAGATTCGGCGCATTCGACTCGAGGACGGGCAGGTTTTGCACGTCAGAGGCGCGATCTGAGCTGGCCGATGGGCTGAAGGGCCCGAGGTGGACTTGATTGGCGGGCGAAGCCGGAGAGCCCGAAGGTGAATTCAGGAATCAGGAAGAGATGGAGATGGAGAGGAAGTTATAGACAAAGTGCTAGTAAACAGTCGCCAGAGTATTACAATATCTGGTGCGGTTAATTTTCCTGGCTGAATATCCTGCAGCACCGTGTCTCCAAATTTATTTCTCTCTTTTTTGCCCCAGTGGATGGAGGAGCCCTGCAAAGTTCGAGAACTGGGTCGGTGGAACTCCGGAACAGAAGAATCAATTGTCGACACGAATATGAATTGAACATAGTCAAGAGCAGTAATCCGTACTGAGTGTATAGTTCGGTAGTTAGAGACTGAATAAAATAGTGATAAGAAAGTACCTGGTACTTCACTTGTCCGCGGCAGAAGCAGCCAGGGCGCGTACCGGGTACATCCCCCTGTGGTCCCGGGCACACCGATTCGCCCAAAACAGCATCATCGGCATTATCGATGATTCAAATTTTCTGCGTCGGACCTGACTCAATCATTATCCCCTTCCATCCCATCCACCACTCACCCTCTCCGCTCTTCGCGTCCTTTCTGGTGCACTCCATCCATCATGGCTGGCAGTTCGCTGGCAATCCGCTCCATGGCTACCATGCAGCTACCGTCGTTGTCGCGCCGGACCATCTCGACCTCCAGCGCGCTCCGCACGAAGCTGCTGCGCCCGACCAGCTTTTCTCAACCCTCCCGCATTACACGCCGCACCTACGCTGATGCGGCGCCCACGCCCACACCGAACCCTGCCCCGAAGCCCAAGAAGCGCTTCCGTTTGTTGCGCTGGTCCTGGCGCTTGACCTGGCTCGCTGGTGTCGGTCTGACTGGTGCTCTTGGCTACAGCATATACACCCTGCGTCACCCGGAGGAGCAATTCGAAGTCGACCCGGAGAAGAAGACGCTGGTCATTCTCGGTATGTCTCGGTCGCAAGGGCTATAAGGATACACGCTAATGAGAACACCTTGTCTTAGGAACCGGTTGGGGCTCCGTCTCGCTGCTCAAGAAGCTCGACACCGAGAATTACAATGTCATCGTCGTCTCCCCCCGCAACTACTTCCTCTTCACCCCCCTGCTGCCGTCATGCACTACTGGTCTGATCGAGCACCGCTCGATCATGGAGCCCATTCGGAACATCCTGCGTCACAAGCAAGCGACCGTCAAGTTCTACGAAGCTGAGGCGACCAAGATCGACTACGAGAAGCGCGTTGTGTACATCAGTGATGACTCCGAGATCAAGGGCGACATCTCCCACACCGAGGTTCCTTTCGATATGCTTGTGATTGGTGTGGGTGCGGAGAACGCGACTTTCGGTGGGTGAACAATACCTCTTAACACATAACGGTGTACTAATTCAGATTGTGCAGGTATCCAAGGTGTCCGGGAACACTCCTGCTTCCTGAAGGAGGTCAATGACGCTCAAAACATTCGGAAGCGTATCATGGATTGCGTCGAGACCGCGATGTTCAAGGATCAGACACCCGAGGAGGTCAAGCGCCTGCTGCACATGGTTGTGGTCGGCGGTGGCCCGACTGGTGTCGAATTCGCGGGCGAGCTGCAGGATTTCTTCAACCAGGACCTGAAGAAGTGGATCCCGGAGATCAAGGACAACTTCCACGTTACGCTCGTGGAGGCACTGCCCAACGTTCTGCCCATGTTCTCGAAACAGCTGATTGACTACACCGAGTCCACCTTCAAGGAGGAGGAGATCACCATTCGCGCCAAGACCATGGTCAAGAAGGTGACGGATAAGTACATCGAGGCGGAGGTGACCAATCCCGACGGATCCAAGGAGCTGGAGACTATCCCCTATGGTCTGCTGGTCTGGGCCACCGGTAACGCCGTGCGCAACGTGGTGCGCGACCTGATGAGCCAAATCCCTGCGCAGAAGGACTCCCGCCGTGGCCTTGCGGTCAATGAGTACCTGGTGGTGAACGGCGCTGACAACATCTGGGCCGTTGGCGACTGTGCCATTAACAATTACGCGCCGACCGCCCAGGTCGCCGGCCAGGAGGGTGCCTTCCTTGGCCGTCTGTTTAACATCATGGCCAAGACCGATGCCATCGAGAAGGAGCTGAAGAGTCTGTCCGAAGCCCAGTCCCAGGCCAAGGACGACGAGACACGCAACCGGGTCTTTGACGAGATCCGCGAGCGCCAGAAGCAGCTCCGGAGAATCAAGCAGATCGGGCCCTTCCAGTACTCCCACCAGGGCAGTCTGGCCTACATCGGCAAGGAGCGCGCCGTCGCCGATATCAGCTGGCTGAGCGGCAACATCGCCAGCGGTGGCACCATGACCTACCTTTTCTGGCGCAGTGCCTATCTGAGCATGTGCTTCAGCAGTAAGTGACCACTGGTTCTGATGTTTGTATGTGTTCAATATTAACTCCAATCTGCAGCTCGCAACCGTGTCCTGGTCGCCCTCGACTGGGTCAAGGCTAGACTGTTTGGCCGTGACGTCTCCCGAGAGTAAATTCTCTTTTGTCTGATTTTGTGGTCTCGGCCTCGCCAATTGACGGTCTGATTAATTACCTCTCCTTCGCTCCTTCTCTCGCCTTGAGCAGAATCCTTCCCATGAACGCCCACGCCATACCATCCATCTGCGTACATCCGGTTCTCTTGTCTGCTCTGATACCGATTGTCTATTGGTTTCCTGTCCGGTTTGAAGGGTTGTATAGAGGGCAGTACTAGCTGGCCCTCTTTTCTTTCTTTGTTTCGGTCGTGTTACTTTTTCCTTTTTCATTGAGTTGTACGCTATTGGGAATAGATAGACCTGGGGACTGTTACAATTAACCATCAATAATTTTTTGATATATTTTTTCCTGTTAAAAGTTCAAACAGACCTCTAGGTAGAAGTACAACAAAAGCAAAGCAACTCTCTTAGAAAATAAAAGAGATGAACAGAATATAATAGCTGATGCAACGCCAAAGGAAAACAGAAAACGCCGTGCCTTGTTCCGCTTGTCATCAAGTTGTCCATCCATCATCATAAGAAATCAATGAAAAAAGGGAGAATGTTTCGCGGCAGACAAATTCGAGTATATCAAAAAACATTCGCAAAGGGTATCTTGGGTGATCAAAGAATCAGAACTAACACAGCGCTGGTTGGGTTATAAAAGCGCTGGTAACAGGGGAAAAAAACAAAGGAAATATATCATCACATCACATCAACCTCGTGGTCAGAGAGGGGGTGGAAAAGAGAGAGAGAAAGAGGAGCGTAGTTCAGAGCTTCCAAACTGAATCCGCCGGGGTCTCGGCACCTTCGGCGATTTCTCGCAGCCAAGAGCATTTGAGAACGTCACGGATAGTCCACCGTTTGTCAGCTTCCATGTGCAGACAGCCCTTGATAAGCTCGAGTGCATCGGCATGATCTGTGCGAGTGAACTCATCGCTGATTTCGCCGAGTACAGCGTCGTGGTTCCAGGTGCCGCTCAGGATGTTGGATTGAATGCGAGGCGCGAACGGGTCCTGGAAGGGCCGCGAGCCAACAATGACAGTGAAGACGATGACGCCAAAGGCCCAAATGTCGACGGAAGGATGGATCACGCCGTTGGTTGAGAGGAGTAGCTCCGGTGACGCATATTCCAGACTCCCTGCAACGCTGGTACTGGACCCGGCGGGGCCGATATGCTTGGGGGGAGGACGGTCGGCGACATCGTCGTACGGATCGGGGCAGTCACCCCCATTATCGATGGTCATCCATTCCGCCATGCCAAAATCGCAGAGCACGAGTGTTGAAGAAATTGTTCCATTCTCGTCTTCAACGGGATCGAGGAGACAGTTCTCCAGCTTGATGTCACGGTGCACGACGCGGGCGTCTTCGTGGAGATAACGGATGGCGCTAGCTAACTGGTAGGAGTACTTTTTTGCCAGTTTGGAATCAAGACCACCTCGATTTTGGCGAACCAGATCAAATAGAGTGCCGCCGATGGCGAGTTTCGTGAAACAGAAAGTGGCGTAATCTGTCTCGTATACGGCGTCGAGGGTCAGGACGTGGGGGTGATTGAGATAGCGCCAAACCCGAACCTCATGGTCGAACTCAGCCTGCACTTCGTCGTTCTCTTGCTCACTCCGGCCACTGATATTCTTTCTCACGATCTTGACTGCTAGCCGTTTCGTTGCGCCGTGCTCCTCGACCTTGAAGGCTTCTTTGACAGTACTGAACCCTCCAAAGCCGATCTGTTTCCCAAGGACATAGTCGCTTCCAATCATCTGACCTTCGTCATCTGGTTGAGATGCTGGCTCTTCACCGCGAGCCGTCCACATGGAGAGGAACGTACTGGCTGGTGATTTACCACTGGAGGCGGTCGATCGCCGTGAGCTTTGCCGTGTGGAATTTCGGAGACTGCTGCTGCGATCCACATAGGAACCTCGGGATTTGCTTCCGAAGGGCGTTACTACACTCCCGGACCATGAACTGCGGTCCTCGGGCGACGCAAAATTTTGGGTTGGCGAAGTCAGACAGAATGGCGACATCATCACGTCCCTTGCCTCTTCGGGCGGGGTGCGTACTTCATCCGTGACTGGAGAGACCGTGGAAAGCGACGTCAAAGAAGTTGGATGAACGAGTTCGGCGCCCACGACTGACTCATCTTTTGGTATGAGACGTGCTTGGGAGTTTCCCGTCGGAAAACCTTGATTCTGCTGGGACCGTTTGGGGCTCGATCTCCAAGCCTCAACTTGCTGCTCGGGAACGGAGTCGTCATCCGGCGAAAGAGCGTTTCGAAGACTGGATCCTCGGGGCTGGAATTTTTGGGAGTTGCGATTCGCTGTATCTTCTTTGGCCAGAGGTTCCTCTAGGGCTCGCTGGGGGCCGATATCCAGGGAAACCTTGGGGTTGAAAGTGATGGAGGGGCGATGAGTTTGAATGTAGCTGTCGAGAGGTGATCCTTGCACATCATCCGGCTTGTGTGGGAAATCGTCGTCATCGGAAAGACGCTCGTCAGGGCGGGGGACCGAGATGGGCGAGGTTGCTGAGTGTAGACGGTTTAACACACTGCGGGCTTCATCAGTATCGCGGCGATGCGCGCTGCAGTCATGAGAAATGTTGGTACGGTCGCCTTCGATACCATCACCACCCGCGGTCACTCTCCTCCCTGCTTCGCCATCCTGCCACTCTGCCCGTTGATGAAACGACGTCTCAAGCCTCAAGCCTGCCAATCCGTTCCTCTCTGCGTGTGCCATGCCCTCCACGCACGGGGTGAAATTGTGACTGTAGTTGTGAGCCCGGAGCAGGCTTGCAGAAGGGTTCTGGGAACCCTCTGCCTCCTTCTATTTTGTTTGGCTTCGGTGGTCTCCGATGATGATTGATTTTTTTGGGGGGTGGAGGCTGGATATATAAAAGCGGGGTTGATGAGAGGAGAAGAATGACGGGCACGACTGCTCGGGCAGGTGTTGCGTCGTGCAAAGTATATTGTTGAGGGAAGTTGACTGGGGTGAAGAGGGTGAAGCAGGGATGAATCTCCAAAAAAGGGCGAGGAAGAAATGGCAGAGGAATGATGTACAGCGCCATCGGGCAATTGCGGGAGTTGGCCCTGCTGAGTCAGCTGGCCCTAAACCCTGGCCCGTTTGCGGCAGTCGCGCCTTGTCAGGGGCCCCAATGTGAAGGAGAGTGCCTTAACCGCGCGCTTGTTTGGGCCTCCTTTCTGTCTTTCTCCCCTGTGCCCGGTTCGGGGATCGCTGTGCCCTCCTTTTTTCCCTTCTCGACCACAATTCTTCATGTCGCTCTGGCAGTCTCAATTACTTTCGTGCTGTGACTGACGTGCAGACCAGCTTCCTTTTTCTTTTCTTTTCTCTCCCTCCCTTTCCCCCTATCTTTCTTTTCTGGGGGCTGCCCCGTCGAGTCCCGTCCCCCCGACTCCTGGGCCTTGCGATTGTTTCGATCTTGCGATTGTTTCGACCTAGGCGACCTTCTTGGTGCAAGGGAGGCTGGAGCTACTTCTTTACCCGGCGCGACCTGTTCAACGTCGATGTTTCCGATTCAACAGTCGCTCCCTGCGCCCAAATCTCGTGTCACTTGGCTCTTCCCCACCGATACCACATTCATTTTGAAGCGGCAACATGAGCCGACCTCAGATGATTCGAGCCGGTAGGCCTTCCCAGTCGCCTTGCGCCAGACCCAAATACTGATCGCCTACTCATCTAGATACCCTGGATCTGCAGGACCATGATGCACCTTCGGCCAAAGACCATTCCAAGCAGCCCGAACAACCAGCTCCCCTCGGCGCCGGCCGGCCTGCCCCCCACCAAGAGCTGTCCCTTCGCAATGCGGAACATGACTCAAAATCGGAGCTCAGGAGCGCGAACGGAGTGGACATATATGGCGAGCCAGAGGATATGGAAGACGAGATGAATGGCACGCAGTACGACCAAGAAGATGGTGATTTGGCGGACGGCGAAAGCGATGACCTGCTCGACGACGACTTGATGGACAAGATTTCCAGCTCACCATCTATCGACGACGGTACGTGTGGGCAGTTTGGGGTTGGAGGACTCCGCGCTAATGGAATGTTCAGAGGATATTGACTTCGAGTTCGTTTATGCGCTTCACAACTTTGTTGCAACAGTCGACGGCCAGGCAAATGCTGCAAAGGGAGACACCATGGTCCTTCTCGACGACAGCAATAGCTATTGGTGGCTTGTTCGTGTTGTGAAGGATGGTAGCATCGGTAAGTTTGATGGTTGCGGTCGCCTCGTTCATGCCACTGACCACAAGCCAGGGTATCTACCAGCGGAGCACATCGAAACACCGACCGAAAGGTTGGCCAGACTTAACAAACACCGCAATGTCGACGTATGTACCGCCCTGCTACCTGCGAGGATCACCTCTAACCCGATACAGCTGTCTGCAACCATGCTGGGCGACAATTCAGAAAAGTCCAAGAACCCCTTGAAGAAGGCCATGCGCAGGAGGAACGCGAAGACCGTCAACTTCGCAGCACCGACCTACATCGAAGCTTCGGACGTCGAGTTTTCGTCTGACGATGATTCTGAGCATGGTGATTTCTTTGATGATGAAACCCTGGACGGAGAAGAAGATGACGCACAAGAGCAGGAAGACATTGTTGTCGAGCCTCTTCGGCCTAAAGGGCATAAAGAAAAACCCACGGAACAGACTGAAGTCAACGGCACACAGGAGAAACATGAGCCTGAGATCCGCTCAAGCTCAGAGCCACGTCGGTCAAGCGAGGAGTTCTTTGATTCAGATGGTAAGATGGGACACCATTTCATCTCTACATGGCGCTTTGAGTTCTAAATTTTTGCAGAGCCAACCGTCAGCCGGTCCAGAAATGGCACTGTACGGAACACCGATTCTTTTTTCAAGGACGACACCGCAGAGCCAAAGAAGATTTCCCTCACACCGAATTTATTGCGCGACGTGCGCGACGAATCCAACAGTATGGGGCTGTCTAATGATTGGAAAGAGGTACTGTATTCTTGCCTGTTGTCTATTGTTAGAGTGTATGCTAACAGTCCCATGAAGGGCCGTGGAAGCTCAGAGTCAACCGAACGAACATCAGTCTCAGGAGACAAGATCAAAGATGACAAGAAGCGCAAAGAAAAGAAGCCAGGGATGCTCAGCGGACTGTTCAAGCGGAAGGACAAGAAGAGCAAATCATCGATGGATGATGACTTTGACGAGCCTCTGCAATCCCCAGCGGAATCTTCATTCCGAGCTTCACCCGTATCAAAGACATCCATGGAGTCAATCTCTTCAGAGACACGGTCTTCTTCCAAGCAAGGTGTACAAAGAGAGAGCAGCAAGAAGCTACAAAAGCAACCTCCGGCCGGAGTTTCTCCCACCAAGGCGGATGCGCCACGGGACCCTTCAATGGAAACGGCCAGAGACGCGACTCGGAGCACCAACGATCAATCAGTTCGACAAGTTACCTCACCCAACGACGGAGAGACTCGCAGAACCATGGTATCCCCTGCCAGCCAGTCGAGTCCATTCAAGGAAGAATTTGTTACTCCAACGGAGTCTTTCCATCCCTTGTCATCTCCTATCGAGCGACCATCCAGCGAAGCCCAAGTGAGACCGTACTTTGCGCTTGATGGAACAATCTTGCAGACCAGCGGGACGTCTCCACCACAAAAATCCGTGCCCAAGCTTGTCACCGAGCCGGTCAGCGACCGACCCGAGTCCCCTGTCGTTGTCTCTCCTGTGGAAACGGAAATTCTTATCGGCGGCCCAGGACCGACGATGGAGGCATCGTCGCAGCGGACACACTCTATTTCCCCAATCTCTGAACCGTCATCTCCTGAAGTCGAGAAGAACTACCTGAAGGGTACCGAGCCTGCCCCTGGTTCATTCGATACTTTGTCTGTGGACACACCGACCTGGAGTGATGCTAGTCTACGATCATACCTTGACGAAGAGAACGATATTCGCGACCTGTTTATTATTGTCCATGACAAATCGAACATCCCCCCCGCTGGCCCAGATCACCCGATCACCGGCCGTTTGTTCAAGGATGAAAGCAAACGACTCAAAGAGATGAGCACCCAATTGGACGACATGCTCGTCAACTGGATGTCCCAGCGCAACCGAAATTCCACACCGATGCGGCCCTTGCAAAGTCCACCGGTATAATGGTGTAGCCTTTCCCTTCGATGTGTCTTTTTTACGTCAGTGGATATACTTATCCCGGCCGCCAATTCGCCCTGTGATAATGGGACAGGGAGTTTTGATCTGAATGTGCTGGGCGCATTAATTTGGCGGGTCCCCTTTATTACGTCTTGTCTTTTTAAAGCCTTCATTTTTCTTTTCCTTTGTCCGGGAGCGGCTTGATCTGAATTGGCCCACAGCCAGCGGCCCTACATTGGGCTTGTCGTCCGTCGTCCGTCGTCGCCGCCGTCTTTTTATTTTTTATTTTTATTTGGTTTTTGCCGGAATACCCCGAGTCATCCGTGTTTATGCTCTATTCTTCTTTGATAGCAAAGGAACCTTGCTCGTCACCCTCGAATGAGATGACGTACTACCATGTCGGATTGCCAAGTGTAAGCTGTAGAGCCAAACCGGCACGGAGGATCCTGCGCCAAACGCACCGGTTCGCCGTCAGGCCCCCCTACACCCTTCTTTTATTTTCTGGCTCAGTATGATTGGAGAACTCATGCATGAAGTTCCCTTCCTGCACTGTCATCCCGAGGGTCGTGCGGCAGGGTCACCCGCATTATGATGTTTGCCTGCTGAAAAGGTCATCCGGACTGCGCGAACCCCGGCTAGTATAAGACCCATCTCGGGCCGGGAGGATCCCTACCGTGAATTATTTTATATGTCTTTTTTGCATCTGCGGTATTTCGCAAGTCTCCTGTCGCAGCAGCAATAGCCATGGCCGACCCATACAACCCATACACGTCTTACCCGACGCCGACTCCAGGCGGGGTCAGCTACTATCCGCCTGAGCAACACGCGAATGCGGTCTACCCGCACCAGCAGCCCTATGACTACTCGGACGGTCTTCGGCAGGACCCAAATCATATCTACGCTTCCCAGCCAGCTCCATACCATCTAGCGCCCGAGCCCTATCATGGCGTGCCGGCTGAGAGAAGCTACACGCCTGGCGGACAACCCGACCATCTTGGACCGGTTGACACGGGTCACTATCAGCATACGCAAGGTGGTAAAGTCCCTGAGAATCTGAGCTACTAGTATGTGATTATTATTGTTATTACCTGTGTGTTTGTTAACCTAGCTCACCGATCATAAAGTGGCCACCCTGGCGATCCTCCGCGACATACTACTCCGTCGCCCAATCCTCACTCTAACCCGCCTGCTGTATACCTTTCAGACGCCCAGGCTCCTCACCACTCACAGAGCGAAAAGCCGCACCGGTCCAGCTCAAGAGATGACCAGGAGGGCGACGACCGCGGGCTGGGTAGTTCCCTGGCCGGGGGTGCCGCAGGGTATTTTTTAGGACATAAGAAAGATCATGGCCTCCTCGGCGCGCTTGGTGGTGCGATCCTGGGCAATTATGTTGAGAGCAAGGCAAAGGAACACAAGCGGCACTCTTCTCAGGAACGTAGACATCATCACGGGCATGATCATCATCACCAGCATCACCACCACCACGAACACCGCAGCCACTCGCGACATCGTGGGATCGACAGTTCGGGAGAAGACTAGCGGGGCGCGTGAAAGAGGTTGTTTCAAGTGATTGGCGTTCGTATATGACACCAGGGTTCTGTCTTTAGTACGGTATGCTTGCCGTTTCAGATATACATAGCCTCATTCAATCATGACACAGTGTTGGGCACTGGATATCTGCATCTCAGCCCTGGCACGAAGCTGATCGAAAAATACGATCTCTGGGACAGGGACAACCATGAAGATCCTGGCCAATTTGGGTCACCTCGTATACAGATGCCTCTTGAAAAACGGGCGCCTCGTATACTTGGACGCCAAGACGGGTGAATTCATTCAGGGTCCAAGGCACGCTCGCTCATGCTCACATTGTGGAAGCTAAGCTTCTCTTGGCTGGCTTGGTTTTTATCTTGATTTGATCTAGCTTTTGTTGGCTACTCACTGTGTTTGCCAGTTTTTCCAAGTGGGAAATAGGCAGGGCAATTTGAGTATCCTTAGAGTTGTTTAGTGTTTTGTCTCGCTTCTCTGTAAACTCTAAAGCGCCTCAATTCGCTACAAAATTCTACAAAGCTAGATTTCGTACGGGTCCAACACGCACGCCTCTAATTTCCTCCTGAATACGAAGCTGAATGAGCCGCAACCTCTATTTGCTGGAACCACGGACCCGCTGCGCTCACTTGGGCGGCTTTGGTTGGACGGCGATCGGCGGCGTCGAGCATCCCGATACTTTCGTGGAATAATCGGTTCATTTGCCTCGCTTGGGGTAGTTTGATTAGCTGCTGTTGGCTCAATTATTATGCTGGTGATCAGATTCGGGCGGACCTGACTCAATCCGCCGATTTAAAAGGGACCAAGGGCCCTGGCCTGGCGCCATACTTGGGATTTCACCAACTCTCCTGTCATCTAGGACCCTGTCAATCCTAACACCTTCATATCCCTTTTCTCTTACCAAGATGCATCCCAAGGCTCTTCCGCTCCTCCTCTTGTCTGTCGGTGCCGTGGCACAGATTGATGAGTCGTGGTACTCTAGCGAAATGGCCCACCTGAACAGCATGTACAGCTCCACATCCCAACCCTATGAGATCTCAATCTAAATCTCAACAGCGAATCATCCGCTCTGGCCAACCTGAACTCTCTCACGTTCAACGACTTTACTAACAGTTATACCCCCTCCGAGCCGACCCAAAATCCCAATCACGAAGGCGGAGGCTCCAACAACGGCGGCCAGACCAACAACTCTCCTAGCACGGCCACCCAGGCCCCCAATATGCCCACGGGCGGCCTGCCCAAGGTCCCAGCCTCCATCGAGACCGTCCTGGAGACTGCCGTGCCAGCATCATTCTACCAGGTGTTGGAGAACCCGACCTCTCGCTCTTCCATGTTCAGCGAATGGCACGATGGCAACTTCCCTACCTGGTACCAAGATCTGCCCACTAGTGTCAAGAGCTGGCTGGATAAGTATGCCGCATCTGCTACTGCCGGCGCTGCCGGTGACAGTGGTGGCAACGGAAACAATGGTGCTGCGTCCTTCTCGGCGGGCGTGAGTGTTGCTTTCATTGCGGGCGCGGCATCTATCCTGTCACTTGCTCTCATGCTCTGATAAGCCATCTTTTTTGGTCCGACGGGTTATTTATCAGCGCGAAAACCTTGGTTTCTGTATTGAGTTTACTTATATAATCCCATCATGCGATTCTTTCTTCTTGAATTGAAAATATCATGACCCAAGGGTTCTCCAATGGGAATGATGCTTCACACGGGACATTTCAGGGCTATGTACATCACGTGACCAGACACCGCGTGCTACTTCCCCCGTATTTCTGTCCCTTCTGAACAGACTATGTCGCCTTGCTGTAGTTTAGAGAAGTCAACCCGCCCCGTCCTAGCTGGCCAACCCAGAGATGGGCCTATCGTTCCCTTTCCTTCAACCCCAATCGTGATCCTTCTCCGGCCCGGATGAGTCATGTGGTCACACTGCCCGCGATAAACAATCTCTCCGATAAGGCTAAGATCTCGCGTGACTATGCGAGGGTGACTTGTTCCTTCACAATCCTTTCCTTCCTTCTCTTTCTTCCTCCTACACACACCAAACACACACGCGCTCTCTCTGTCTCGCCATATTCGGTCCTTTCCTTTGCGGCGTTGTCTTGTTTATTAGACCTAGACGCTCCGTCCTCTCCCTCGGGTTATCGTCAACACCCTTATCGCCTCCGCATGCCTGACCGGTCTTCCCCGCGGTTCCGTTCTTGAGAGACTAGATAGATCATGCCTCCTTTATGGCTACACCAGATCTTCTCAGGCTCTCTACCGCAGCACTGTGAACCGGCCTCGCCCTTTCTGACTGCCGTCTCCTCGCATCTCCACATCTGCATCCCCACCCCTCTGGCCCTTATCTCGTCCATCCTCGGCACCCTTAGTATTGTCTCATGGCTCTTTGCACAGCTGCCGCAGATATATAAGAACTATCAGATTCAGTCGACGTCGGGTTTGTCGATATTTTTCCTCGTGATCTGGTGTCTGGGTGACACCAGCAACCTCGTGGGGGCGCTTTTCACCCGACAGGCAGGGTGGCAGGTGGTGATCGCCAGCTACTATGTCCTGGTGGATATCACTCTGGTGATCCAGTTCTTCTGGTACACGCATTATAAACGCTCCCGACATGACGGATATGACGAAATCCCACCTTCGCACGATGCCGATACCGCGGGCATCCTGCAGGGCAGGTCGCTTTCGGACGACGACGACACTCACCAACGACCGGGACCGGTCGACACGTCCATGAACAAATCTGAACCCAAAGACATGGGTGTACAAACAGGCTCAACCCTAAACTCGACCACCGGCCCAACACCATCATACTCCAACGAGAAACAGAGCACCTCTCGACGAACCGTCCGAACGGGCAGCAGCGCGCCCAGCCCGCCATTCGCACTCCCACGCACCATGCTCGTGGCTTCGCTTTTCTGTGCCGTCCTAGCCAACGCAAGTCCCACACCAGCCACAGGACGCCCGCCTCACCCGCCCATCTCCCACGTTTCGCGCGAGACCATCATCGAGATCGTCGGGCGCGTCTTCTCGTGGATGTCGACGCTGCTCTATCTCGGCTCACGCCCACCACAGCTGTACAAGAACTACTGCCGCAAGAGCACAGAGGGCCTGTCCCCGCTGCTGTTCATGGCCGCCTTCGGTGGAAATCTCTTCTACTCGTCTTCCCTCCTGACCAACCCGAACGCCTGGTCTAATCTCCCTCCATACGGCGGCGGAGGCTGGGCCGATGCCCATGGAAACGACCGTGTGGAGTGGGTTGGGCGCGCGATCCCGTTTTTCCTGGGTGCGTTTGGTGTCCTGGGGCTGGATGGATACATGGGCGTGCAATTCCTCATGTACGGGCCACGAGGCGTTGATGAAGACGCGAGTTTCGTCGGTGCGGATGACGAGGACCCGAAACGGGGCCGTAGCCAATGGAGACGTGTTCGGGGCTGGATGCGCGGATGGATTCCCTCGACGTCTCCGCCGCGCGGGGAGTTGGGCGTGTCCAATCGCCCGCAGGAGGGACAGGCCTTGCTCAATTCAGAGCGTGAGAGATATGGTACTGTGTAGTCGTGCCTTTTCCCTTTGCCTTTTCATCTCCCCTTTCTCCGCTTCTGGTTCTTGTTGAATCAAGGAAGCATACCATATGATACATTATGATTATGACTACATTATGTTGGTCCCAGGTCCCACCATTTTGATGCTTATTCTGGTTTCCTGGTTTTTGTTTTGGCTTGCCTGTTTTCTTTTCGGTTCTTCTCATCAGGGGGTAAATAGCCTCTCTGCGCGGCGTTTTAACCATTTGGCTCTGGATCAGGGGGGATACATAGATGCAGGTTTGCCATTGGTCGGTCTTTTTATAATGCGTGTGTTTTGGATTATGTACATACCAGAATCCATGCGGCATTCGTTCACTGATGAAACACTTTTTCCTTCCCTTTGACTTGGCCAGACAAGTTGTTGCTGGGATTTATTTTCCAGAAACTAAGTCGTAAAAGTGTAGAGGGGAAACCGAGCTCGAAAACTACTGTACAGGAGAGACTTATAATGTCCAGATCAAAAGCATATATTGACACATCACCGGCCCCCAGACTGATTTGTAGCTCTACCCTTGATGATTATTATAGAAGCCACTAAATTTAGAGTTTCCAGGAGGGACAATACCAATCGAGCTGAAAATCGATCTGGCCCCCACACGCTCTGGCGGTCGTGTGCCACATTCAGCCTTCCTGGATGTATGACATCGTGATTTCTTTCATATTCCTCTCGGCATCGACAGATTCCCCCGTTTTCTCTCTTACCAGACACGTATGAATAAATTATATCTAGAATGACGCAAAAGCCGAAAGGGAAGAAGGCGTTTGCCCGACGATCGAGGAACGGGTGTCTGACATGCCGGTACGGGAGTCCCTTCCAAACCCACCCCCCACCCATCTTCATCATCATCAAATCCTAACGTATCCCAAGAACCCGGCACCTCAAGTGCGATGAGACGCCCGGCACGTGTAAAAACTGCGTCTCTGCAGGCTGGAAATGCAGCGGATACGAGTTGACGCGCCTGACGCATTCAGGCAACAAGAGTACTCCATCCCTGGCCCTGCAGAGCTTACACAGAGCTCTCCCAGGTGAAAGCTCTGATGAACGAAGAGGATTTGCGTTTTTCCAGAGAACAACAGTGCGAAACATGACCAGCCTCTTTGACTCGCGCCTGTGGACAGATCTCATCCTGCCTATGAGCCATAGCGAGCGCGCGGTCAATCACGCCGTCGTGGCCTTGAGTACCCTGCACGAAGATATGGAAGGACGCGATCATCAACTCGTGCGCGAGGATCTGTCGAATAGACGGCAGCGATTTGCACTGGAACAGTATACGCGCTCGCTAGCCATGCTGAATCAGCGCCGGCATTCTCAGGACCCCATGTTCAGGGAAGTGCTTTTAGCCTGCTGTCTATTGTTTATCGTGTTTGAGCTACTCCGTGGAAACTATGACCCTGCTCTTATGCATCTTCAGCAAGGGCGGTCGATCGTCGATGAGCAAACCCTCTCTCCTGAGATGCGGCGTTCTCTGGAGAGCACTCTATTGAAAACAATATCCCGATTAAGGCTCCAGTCGATCTTCTTTGGCGGAACTACATCTACCGCGCCGAGCTTCACAGCTGATGATGATAACGGAACGAGCATTTTCGAGTCTCTTCTAGAGGCACGCGCAGCGTTTGATGACTTGGAAAGTCGTGTAATCTCCTTTTTAAAAGAATCTTTTATCATTCCCGTTGCAGAGCGTCTCGCAAGTCGACACCCACACCTAGGAGAAAAGCAAAAAGAGCTCCATAACCAACTGCACGAATACCTGAAGCGTCTAAGGCGGTCTGAGGCTCAGGTCCTCGCAGGAAACGAGCCCAGAGTACAGAGAGGGATAACCTTGCTTCATCTACACCACAAGACATTCACAATATGCGTCGATACCATTCTCTGTGGAGAATATGAGACAATCTTCGGGACATATACCCAAGAATTTCAAACAATGCTCGCAATGTGCGAGCGAATATCCCTCACTTTCAGGGAAGAAAGCAGGGCAAAGGACTTCTCACGTCCGACTCTGTTGCTAGATACGGGTATTGTACTTCCGCTATTCCTCATTGTCTGGCGATGTCGCCACCTGCCCACACGACGACACGCGATGCATCTCTTGGAGGAGTGGCCGCATAAAGAAGGATTGTGGGATTCTCGGCTGCTTTGGCTGTATGGGAAGAAATTGATGGAAGTGGAGGTAGATCTTGCGTCTTCGCACGAAGAGGGACAAAATAAAATCGAGAAATCTTATTTTCGGTTGGCGGAGGACCAGAAGCATGCGGTATTGTTTTATCGGACTAAAGGGTCTGAACCGGCGGCTTTGGACGAACAGAAGGTTGTGTCATTAGATGGGAGTGAATAGAGATAGGGTTGTTGTTCATGTTTTCTAAAGACGGAAAAAACTGGACGCCAGAGTCCTGGCCTGAAAAACGAACTTATTTGGATAAAAAGTTGAAACCAGTACAAATATCTACGTTATTAATTGACTAAGCTAAAAACTGTCTGGCCTTGGAATGGCAGAACGTCCTCCTGACATGTGGTATTGGTGGCAGGAAGCTCTCCCTTGATAAAATAAGATTGGATATTTTCAAGCAGGCACTCTGAGGCACTAGCGAGGGCAGTATGCTAAAACACAAGTTAGAAACTATCTTCCCAGAAAAGAAGAGATCCAAGTACTTACCCCCGTTGAGTTTTGGGTCAGCACCACAGAACCAGGGAATGCGGATGACATCAAGTATGCGCTATAGTAACAGTCAGTAAACGAAAGAAGAACATGAAGAAGTGAGAGACTTACCCTTGCTTTGGAGCCACAGGATCAAGTTCGGCAGTGACAAAAAGGATTGGAAATGAGATCTTCCTTTTCTCAAGAATGGATTCTTGACCGGCTGGAGTTAGTCTATTTGGTATATTAAAATAATAATTCAAGGAAATTCTCACCATGAAGTCTTCCACTCTTTGGTGGGCTAACGTGGAACGATCTGCACGAAACCCCATTGGCATTGTTAGGCCAGACCTCGCCAAAGAAGCTACTTTGGAACGTCAAGAGGTTGTAGTAGTCCCTGAACTGACTGATATCCTGGAAGCGGTGTCCAGAGTATCCATCCACACATTTGATGAGAGTATTAACATCCTCTGTTGTGCTCACGGACCCGTTATTGCAAGCATTCGCCGGCAGAGACCCGCTAGTGATTGCACTCATATAGGCCGAGACATTCCCTGTTTCTAGCTCTGTCAGAACATCCGCTAGCTGCGGAAACTGGACGTGAGGAGTGTACGTGGCCATAAGCGCAAATTCCTTCAGCCCAGAGTAAGTAGCCATGAGGGGAATGTTGCACGCCTCAGAAGTAGGAACCGGAATAGGGTGGTACTTGAGCTCTGCCAGGATATTGTTCATTCGGTTGTGGATGTTCTTCACGGATGGGCCCCAGAATGAGCAGTTCTTTGGACCGCCCAGATGGCAGGTCTTGAAGAAGGAATCGAGGACAGCATCTGTGTCGTATAAATTACTCTTCCAACCCAGAGCATAATAATCTGCCGCATCGATTACGCCGTCGAGGACCATTCTCTCCACATGGTCGGGGTACAAATGGGCGAATGTCGCTCCGAGGGCGGTGCCATAGCTGACCCCATAGTAGAAGAGCTTGGCTTCGTGCTTTGGCTTGTTGGATGCCACCTGCTCTGCAGTGATGTAAGTGAATATGTCGTGGGCCACAGCTGGGGTACTGATAAAGGCAGCGGAGCCATTGGAACCTCCGACTGTTTCGGTGCACGCTTTGCCGAATATCTCTGCAGTATAATATTGGGTGTCCAGCGAGGTCGAGGACGCATTAGATGTCTCTGGATAAAACAATTTTTCGAATTGGGCGCGCTTGGCGACATCATTGGGCCAGCAGTCCACGACTGGTCCGCTCTCGCCCACACCACGAGGATCAAATCCGACAATGTTGTACTGGGAAAGGAGTACTTGGGATAGCCCTGGCCCGTATGCAGCAATAGCTTGGACTCCTGAGCCTCCAGGACCCCCTGATTATTGAGAGTTAGTGTTTGTTAAATTTGTCGCGAGATTGTTGATTACCTGGATTAATGACAACATTTGGTGTATCTTCAGTGGCATTTGGTGCTGCATATTTCATCCAGGCTATGGCGGTCTGTCCCTGTGAAGGATCTCCATAATCGAGAGGGACTTGAAGTTTTGCGCAGGTGAAGTTAGTAAAGCACGGGGTCCATTCGATGCTGGTGGAGGGGTTGATCTTTTGAAGTTAGTAACTTAGCCGTAATGTATTCCGATGTTTGTTCAAGGAGGTAACTAACCGACGCCCAACTATGAACCATACGATTAGTACTTTGAGACGTGGGACTGCATGAACCGCCAGTTATAGATGCAAGAGCGAGGACTGCAAAAAGCCAACGCTTGTGATCTTCGGAGAGCATCGTAGAGAATAAACAATCAATGAAGTAAAAAGATCTATATGTTCCGCGTTGACAACTGGGAGGAAAACGAGCAGCTTTATAGTGATGCCTCTCCGTGAACTACATCCTAAAGACGTGAGGACCTTGCATAGGCATCAAAGAGACATCCTATGGCTTAGTTCATGCGCGGGACGCCTAACAATCCACTTGTCCACTCACAAGCCAAATTGGTAGACTTCAACACTTATTGGCGACTTATGATTGGCTCACCCGACTAATCCCCAACTTTCATAGATGTAGTGGGGTCCAAAATCTTAACTGTCCCCAAGTCGCGAACATCTGAGGAGTCTTTCAAGATACAGCGATATTCGAAATCACATATACCAAGATACTCTCAAGGATTAATCCCCGAATCCTAACTTGAAACGCGTTAATCTAAACACGGTATGGTCGTAGACCCTCCTCTTCTCAGAAAAGACATTGTATTTTACGTGGCGTTTGTGATATCTTGAATGATGTATCTTATACGAAAGTGCTACACACTGCTGCCTGCTTTGCTCCTCCTTGGCTACTGTCCACCTCCCATTCTCGTAACTACTTTACAATACTAGACTCGGCCCTTTACAGTCACACGTGATTTGCCTTGCTAAGGCCTCTCCGTTTTGGTACCCTTGGCGATCCCTTCGCGGCTCTTTGAGCAGGCCAATCCCATAGCCTAATGTTCTTTCCCCTAAAGCGAACCAGTCTTCGAATTTGATTTAACTGGATGATGCCACGTTTCTGTGTATAGCATTATGGTGCGGTGACAAACCACCGATGCGTCAGGTTCACTAAGGGCCCCGCAGTCCATTCTTCACTCCGACAAGACGTAGACCTCAAAACATCATCTCCTCTTCTCGATAAACTCACGCCGGATTGGATTTGACTCTGCAGGGCACTGATATGGATGGATCCCTTTATGATTCTCCCCTGGTTTATCATACAGGATATCCTCTGCTTGCTCCCAGACCTTCCCGCTCTGCACCGATTATCCCAAGCCACTCCTGCTGTGTCCGACTATCTCCAGAACCATAAGGCATTCTCCCTGGTTATAGGACGGCTCACGGCCCATACAACCCGAAATCAAGGACTCAATTCTAAGGTCCAATTCTATCTTCGGACGTTAACGTTTATTTGGTGGCGAGATTACGCGCCCGATGATTCTAATAATCCGCTGCCCGTCTCGTTCGAGGAAATCGCACATTTCATCGGAAAGTCTTCACCAGAAGGTCGAGCCTTATCGCTTCATAGGTTTGGGGATCTTCATTTTCCGGGAATGAAAAGCTGAGTGAGATATTCACGCTAGTTTCCGTCTTCGCTCCAGGGGTCGAAACTGACAGATATTCAACACTATACCAGATACCCTTAAGAGCAATTGGAACCATCCAAATATTAACGCACGACGGATTCTTCGCCCCAAAACCCTGAAGGTGCACTATCTAATGTAGTAGGATAAATATTCCCAAGTCTCAGACAACGCCACGATATCTGAATGACCACCTGGCCCCTATCTGAATTATTTCTTAAACGGAAATTGCTTTCTTTACGTTCTCAGCCCAACACTGAATATCATCTACGAACCGTCGAGCAATTGCCATCTTTAGTCCCTTGGGACTCGGGAGAATTCTCGGCATAATACTCAAAGAAACTTGGGCGAAATTGCCCCCAACACAACGGGAATCTATTTGGGATGAGGTTGTGTATGTGTGCAATGGACTTGCTCCCATAATCTCAAGAAAATTTGAAAACATGTAACCCTAAATAGAACTTAATGGCTACACTCAGCTGGAATTGGCTAATCGTTACTATCGGTCCCCCTCTTCGCCAATAATATTATTTGTAGTGCTGTGATCACTAAGCGTCTTTGGCCCCCAAAGCGTTGGATCAGACGCTGGATTTCGCCCCTCGAAACCTCCGACTCACTTGTCCGAATCCTTGTCCGTGTCCGTGTCCGTGCCCAGTCCCTTAGGTCTACATAAAGTTGTCCGTGTCCTTGTCCGATCAAGGGCTCTCCATTATATGGACGTCTTTGAGAATGGCTCACACTACTCATACGGTTCCCAGTGTGTCTACCACGCCTGGCCCGGATCGGGTCAAGACATGTCAGACTTGTGCTCGAGCAAAGATCCGATGCTTCCGAACATCGGGCTCTCCTAATTGTGATCGGTCTGCCAGCACTCCAGGATATCTTGTCCTAGTTTACAAACTGACAAAAGCTTTCTAGCTGTCTTCGACTTGACAAAGAATGCTATTTCCGACCAGCTCGGTCGCGCTACAATCCGAGTAAAAAAGATACGTAAGTCGGCAGAATTTCTCACTTTAAAAACGGCGTTTGAGACCGTAATTCGGGCTAATAAAGTCTTGTATGATATAGGCGGCTTAATGCCCTTGAAGAGAAAGTCAATCGGCTTTTACAAGGCAGCAATAACACCCCCGAGCCGTCGCAAGGCCCACACCACCATGTCACAACAGCAAGTCCGGAAAACATCGATGACAAGATGGCACTGGATGTCATTGGAGAAGGAATCATCAGTCTTGATAGTTCTAGAGAACTCCTGGATGTATTTTGCCAAACGCTAATGCCTCAGTTTCCGTTTGTTATGCTGCCGTCACAAACAGCAGTTGAGCAGCTCAGAGAAGAGAAGCCTTTCTTACTCCTATCTATCCTTATGGTGTCTTTATACTATGATCGGCCTTTGCAGCGGGCTCTGGAAGAAAGGTTTCATGCTTTCATTGTGACCCAAACAATGCTCAAAGATTCGATTCCTTCACTGGAGGTTCTACAGGGGTTACTGGTTTTTATGGCATGGTAGGCAGACTCTAGAGTGACGGCATCATTTCTGATTTGTTTTTCCAGGTCTCAGCACCAGCTTCGCCCTCTGCAGAACTCGAGTTATCACCACCTCATGCTTAGCATCGTCGTTGATCGGCGATTAGATCGGCCAGTCATGTTGCGAGCGCTTCCACGGTCATTTAGTGTTGGCAGGAAAGATCAAAAGGACAAAACGTCTGAGCTCCATGATGAATATAGGGCTCTCATCGGATGCTTTGTCATCTCATCATGGTTAGTGAACTGAATAACAATGTGACAGCCTGCTTGCTGACTGTATTCCATAGCATTTCAATTACGGTCGAGAAGACATGCATGCTACCTTGGTCTTCATTCATTGAGAAGTCGGCTCTTGAATTAGCCCAAGCGTCGAGATATCCCAGTGACAAGTATCTTATTCATCTCGTTCAATTGCAACATATATTTGAGCGAGCTGACACAGCCATGTTGATTAATGCCCAAGAGATGGACTTGAGAATCAGGGTATCAAAGATTGAAGGCCATTTTCAGCAATTTCGCAAGGAGATGGAGAGTTACCGGGACCTGCTGCCATTTCCAATGCAAGAAAGCAGTGAGTACGACCCCTTTTTTAAGCGTTGACCTACTCCAACTCTCATAAAACTGGTGATTAACGCTCTAATAGCTCTGATTTGGTTGCTTTTCCAAACATTGACTCTGTATCTTTGTCAAGCCATTCTATTTGACAAACATGTCTCGCTTGATGAATCTGATGATTTCGGGCAGAAAAAAAAGGGTTCTTTCTTCTTACAGTCCCCATTCCAAATTGACACTCTACGCGTTGGTCTCACTACAGCCAAAAGCTACTTTGATTATTATCTGAGCTCACCCACCGGTCACCTTCGAATGATTAGCTACATTGAATGGCTAGAAAACGCATTTGTTATGGTTATGTCATGCAAGCTGTGTATTGTTGCGATGGACAAGAACTTGCGGCAGGACACCCGGATCCGATCATTGCGCAAAGCGCTCAATATGCGAGAGGTGCTAATGGGGTATGTCACACGGTTGACAGCTCTTCAAGATGCTCGAATGAATGCGCCTGGTGCAGATATATCTGATTTCTACGTGCGATGGATACAGCGCATTCATAACTGGTTTGTGAAACATCACGCTCCTGCACGCGCGCAAGCGTCAGCAGACGCAGATCAAATGCTTGATTCAATCGCGAATTCCAATGCCAGGCATCCGGGATCATCGTCAATGAGCACCTCCGAGTCCTTGATTGCTCCTCTTCCTGACGTGATTCTAAATTATGGACAAGAAGGCTCACAAGACTATAGCCCTGAGTCATGGCCGGATTTTCTGCAGGATGTTTCCGTGGATGAGATGCTGAATGGGTTGATTGAGATAGCAGGCATATCATTTTAGCCTTCTACCATATTGAACATCAATTGATAGATCTATAATTTTTGCTATCCACAAAGTTTTGTATTTTGTAATGCGTTATAAACAGATTATTTCGACTAGGGTAAGTTAATTATTCTATTGAAGTGTGTTGTATGAGAGCAGAATATATAAGGCTAATTGACCCGATATGTTGTGCATATCGACACCTCCCCCGTTGTTCCTTTCGCTAGAGTGAATCTAGACCATAGTGTTTCCTGGAATCTTCTATCTGCAAGAGAGAAAATCCGATTGCCTCAAATATGCAATGCAACTTAGACCTGCCATGTCTCGGGTGTTAAATATCACGTGTGATTGTTATCCGGACGTAATTACACGAATTTGTTCTCTTGAGTATTGCATGTCATCTCCGGTATCATTCGAAACCCTCAATCGAATATGCACATTCCTCACTTCTCTGCACTCGCATCTCCCCAGCATTCATTGGGAATCATTCTTCAATGCTTGGTTGGTGGTATTCGCTTTATAAGATGTCCATGAAGGTTTAGCATACGTGTTGCATGACGACGCACTAGTGTTTTAAGGTGTGCGAAAGCAAATCCCGAAGTCTCCACGCCTCGGGATTTGCTCGAGAGGATTCGAGACAGCGACCGACTCTTCCTCGACATACTCTATTCTATACCAAATCTCATCCGACGACACGAAGACAGCTCTCAGATTTGACCCAGTAATTTTTCGCAAAATGTGCCATCGCTGAACAGGCGAGGGCGGGCTGCGTCTATTTGAGACACGTACGGGCTCAACAGGAGTAGATTGTGGAGATTGATCACAGACTATATGCACCGGTGTTTGACACCATGGCCGATTCCTTTGACGATAAGCTCGGGCCTCAGTCGGCATCTCAAGGCCCGCTGGCTCGCAAGAAATTTGCCAAACCACCGGTGAAGGTGGCCTGTCTGCCCTGGTAACTAACGCCGTCCAGTTCCCGAAGATGTCAACGGAAGATTAACGCAAACATAGTCGCGCTTCAAGAACACGGTGCGCCGGGCAAGATCCCTGTGCTAGTGTATGCTGCTTCTTGCTTCTTTTCCACCCCCTTTATCTCGCGCTAACAGCGGCCACCTAGTGTGTCAGCAAAGGCAGAAAGTGTTCATATCTGCCAAGCAAACGTGGCGGACCAAGACAGAAGAAACGAATCTTGTCCCCGGCAGTCGAGGAGCAGTCACCTCAGGAAGATGTCCAGTACGCCGATATTCCGCAGGCTGATTTTGAAGCAGGTACGTGTCCCCACTCAGATATCTCTTGCATCCACTGACGATAGCACAGCATCGGAGATCTTTGATCAAATTGATTTGCTCTCTGTTCCCGGAGCAGGCTTACGACACCTAGACCTTCAATCAGATATTCCCTCTATCTTCCAAGGGGTTTATTCCAGTGATGGTTTCATCAACACAGTGCCGTCGGAGTTGGGAAATTCCTCACCATGCCTGGTGAGAACTTATGGGAGTGAAGCAGAAATGTGCGTTGGGTGTTCTAATCAACCATATAACATCGCCTTCTAACATACCAGGAAGATTGAATGCTTATTATGACTTTATTCATTGCTACTTACCGATCTTGTCGCCACGAGTTTCACCACCATGTCCGGATAGGCCACTGAACTGTCCAATATCATTCGCAAATCCGGCTTCGGAGGTGCCGCTCATGGTCTATCGACCTCGTTCACCTCTAAGCCTTGCGGTTTCTGCCATCCTCGCCCTGATTCCTCATCCTAACGACCCTGAACCATCATCCACAGCATCCGTCACCCATCGCAGGACATATGCTCATACATTAGCACAGCTGGCCAACACGGCCATAGAATCGGATTGTGACCTTGACGTGTCTTCATGCGACCCAGGTCAAGCATTATCAAGCGGGCGGCCTTTTATCAATCGAGAAAGATTCCATCCTCAGACTCCGGCAGATCTGGAGAGTCTCTTAGCGCTGTTGGTGCTATCGGTGTACGAGTACTGCCAACGAGGGAACTTGCTCAAAATGAGATATCGCGCCGGACAAGCTTTGGCCATTGCCCTGGACAAATCTCTTCATGCCCATGGAGAAGAAATTGATGAATTCTCCGAGGCTCGACGGAGAGCGTGGTGGATGACGGTTCGATACTTCCTTTGTTTGTTTGCTTGGGCTATACCTGACGTTTAATTGTTGTAGTATCACTGTGTCATTCAGGGATCTATAACGAGCACAACGGTGAGAGCTACTATTGAAGCCAGGTTCGATTATTTCTGATGAAATTAGCCTCCTGCGATCGTCATCAACGACCCTCAATTCACAACCCCTTATCCACGCTTTGCAACCGATGTCGAGGTGCGTGCTTTTCGTACCAATTGATATAACGTGTTGGAGGTTGTGGGCTAATCTCTTCCTTAGGGATGGTCAATCTTCACACAGGCTCAACAAGTGCTACTGTCAGCGACTCAGTTCGTTGCTGATCTTAACAAATGTCTGACATCGGGATCAGATATGCATTACCTTTTCGAGCGGATGCAGCATCTAGATGGCTGGATTAACTCTGTTCTCACACAGATCGATTTACTTCCTCCAATTCCACAGGAAACAGGATTCGGTGATTACCAAGAAACCATGACAGCGCACACTATCCGTGCCATCTCCCGCATAAAGCTATCCAGGTATGCATCTCAACATTTTCCTACATAAAGAGTAACTCACTGAAGCTTTTCAGTGCGCAAATCAAAGTCCATCGTTTCCGAGCCTTCTCCGACATCCCCATCTTCATCAAGAAACATTGCGACTTGACTGCGGCTGCCAATCCTAACGCCCCAAAAACCGATGCGGTCATCAAATCCCCCATGTCTGGAAACGGGCATGCCGGCCTCCAATGCTTAAACAATAACATCGATCCATTTCAACGAGCCTCATCAACCGAGTACCTGACACCCCCCGATTCCTCTACCTCCTCAGAAATCCGCCCTTCCTCTATCCCACAGTATCCGCGGCACCCCTTCACCTCCGGATTTCCTTACAGCTGCGAGCACTCCGCCAAAGTCTGTCTCGGTGCTGCGCTGGTAATCTCACGCATGTTGAAAGCCCTGCCTCTTCCACAGCCGCTCTTGGACCCTCAATATCAGCATGATCAGCGTCATCAGCAGCAGCAGCAGCATTATTACAGCGGCTCTCTTCCTCGTACCATGCCCTACTTTGCTTGCTGTCTAATGCACAGCAGCTACACACTCCTCATGGTATTCTATAAGGCGCGTGTCGCGAAGAGGCTCTCTCCGGATTCGGAAAATGATTATGTCGAAGGCTCCACTGATCAGCTCATAGCTGAGATTCGGCAGGGACTGCAGCATATTATCGCTGCCTCGTCGAATTACTCTCTTGCTTTTGAGGCATTGGATGGGATGAGAGGTGTGTTCTATTGTTTCCCTTTTCATCTTGATCGAGTTTGCTCTCGCTAACTCTCCCAGATGAAATCAAAGGTGCATATCAAGCAGCGTTTTCCTTGACATGAAGTGAAACGTACTCTTTTATGTAATTGGTCTAGAATTCTTCTTCAGTCAGTGTATCAAGTTATTTATTTTCAGACAATTCTGTTAAACATTTCCACTTAAGAAAAGCAAATCACAAATGCTCTCAGAGACTCCTGAGATCGTATTTGTTTTCTCTAAATAGCGAGTCTTCAATCTAATAAACACCGAGCCAGCCACCAAATAGAGACATAGAAAAAAAGAACCTAGAGCTTGGATCGAATACCCTCCAAACGGAACTTGACATCTTTCAAGACCTTGGTCACTGGCTTCCAATCATCAAACTGTTTCAGCAGCTCCATCGTTTCATCGTGTAGTTCACGGCGCACGTATTCCTCTTCCAGAAGGCCACGCATGGCGAAGGGGAGGATGTACGGATTGGGTGAGACGGCGGGATGAGATCGTTTGATGTTGAGAAGAGCGGAGGATACTGAAGATGTTTCGAGGGCAAATTCAATGGCCAAACTAAGCAATCATAAAATTAGAGATAAGGAGGAAATGCACGGTAGAATCTGAACGTACTCATATACAGCTTCATCATCATAGAGACGAGAATGGCCTTCACCTGTATAAAGACTGCCAGCGAGGGGCTGACTGAGCTCACGGATGAGACCGTGGTCTGAGATGCCTAGGTTGCGAAGTTTTAGGGCAAAGCCAACAAGATGTGAAAGACTAATCATGATTGTTAGTTTTGTTTTCGAAAATCTAAAATCTCTGGCGTTTTGCAGGTATACTCACAAACTTGGGGCATGGACTCTGCCGTCCACAAAGACGGCGCGGAAGATGTATGGATGTGCAATTGGTGAAAAGAGGGAAGACTAAACATCATATTAGCAAACGTCGAACCAAAGAAGGGTAGGAGGCACGCACCTCTAAGGAAACGAGCTGGTCATCAATACTGCCGATATACGAAATTCGGACTCCGAAATCAAGAGCACATCGTAGTGCGGCCTCATAATCCTTGGATACCTGGCTAAACGGGAGTGCAAACTCGAACAGCTCCCCAGCAGATCCGCTGATCCATCGGGATCTGTAGGAGGGAAATGGTCCCAAATTGATACCAGCCATAGCACAGATCCCCACTCGTGCGGCGTTCAGGCAGCCGAACGAAATCAGCTTCGCAACCAACATGATCGCTACCGGAACTCCCTGGGAGTGGCATGAAATCATGATGAAGTCAGCGCTCCGGATTTTCTCCATCCAATTCAGGAGCAGTTTCCATAGCAAGTCGACTCGTTCAGAAATACGTCCTTCGCCTTCCAAGGCGATTTTCTCAACCTCGCACGAGTAGCCCTGGCCTTCTGTCCACTTTTGAATGGCTTCTGCCGCCATATTGGAGAATCGGATCGAAGTCCCCGTTGGTTGGCCGAAGACGCTTCGAATGAGGGGAGCCGGGAAGTAGCCATGCACGCCGATGGACAGAGCGCGTTTAATACGAGGCATATCCTTGGTTCTGCAAACATGCTGAGGTTGTTGGGCTTTGCTGTAGTGTAGAAGTCGTCCAAGGCTCTGCAAGATAGATGGCGACTCTTCCAACATGTATGTTTCTTTGACCCGCGGCAACACTTGATTAGGCAAGATTTTCAGCAATTGCTTCGAGGCAGTAGCCTCAACTGGACGAGGCTCGGCTGGTGGCAGTGAGGTTGATGTCGCTTCAATGATAGGAGCAGGCCCATCCTTGGAATGAACAGATTCGGCGTTGTTTTTGGGTGCCTTCATTTTGATGCTGTCTTTCTTGGTGATCTTGACGTTTGCCTCTGGGTCCGGTTCAAGCGCCATCGGCCTCGACTGAGCTCCAGGAGGTATGGACGCTTCAATTGCCTGGACCTCGGCGGCTTTATCGGGAGTAGCATCCTTGGAAGGGTCTTTGGTCCAAAAGGACCAACCAGTTGATCTCGCAGTCCCAACAAGATTCCGGGAAGGGCCGGTTGGCTCGTCCGGTTGATCTCTTGATGTGGTATCATCGCCATTAGCTTCAAGAGCACTATCATCTGCTGAAGTGGAGATAGGAGGCTCTGCAGAAGGTTGTTCCCCCCGCTTGGCCGATGCACTCGCACCGTACCACATCTGGAGCCACGACCGTTTCTGTGCCGTCGGTGAATTCTCAACAGTCTCTGTAGCCTGTTCCTGTAGTTGTCCCTGTTGTAACTCTCCCTGCACCTCCGAATCTGGTGGATGTCTGGCGATTGGTTGGACACCAACTTGATTATCTGCTTGCAGATTCCCTTCCGTCCCTGTAGAAGTCGGAGCAGTCACAGGGCCGTTGTCGATCGCAGCTGGTCTATTAAACCAAGAAAACCATCCGCCGGGCTGCTCAGCAGGTACTGCATGTCCCGCATGCGACGCGTCAATTCCGGTCTCGCCGTCTGGGGCGAATTCCTGTTCCTTCGACGTTTGCTCTAGAGGTTTGGCTGGAGCTTCATTAGATGCTTCTTTCTTCGGTGTGTCCGTTTCCCCGGTGTCTGGTTCAGCGAGCTTGTCGACAGCGGTGGTAGATGCTGAACCATCCGACGCAATGTTGATCTTTGTTGTAGTTGCGCCTGCAGGAAGCGACCTGGTTGATGCACCCGCCTTCTTCGTCAGTTGAATGGAGGGATGACGAGAGTGGCTCGCCCTATCATAGAGAGATGTTGAAGAGTTTGTGACGCTTGACGCTACGTTTTTGGCGACGGAGATGCTCTCACGGGCAACCTCGGTAACTGGGGCCGCTTTCGACACTCGCGTTACTGCCGACCAAGACGCAGGATACCAGTTCTGTGGCGAGGACAAACATGATCAGCTAGATTGACAACCGAGTGAAAGTTTAGGGCTTACAGCGCCCGGAACTCGTGACTGGGAGTCGGAGCGTTCTCTCCCGGCATCAGTGCCCGACACCGCGGGGGACGGCGAGTCCGCGCCAGAAGGGCTGGGCTTCACTCTCTTGCGAGGACCCAGTGGCATGGGGGTGGAGGAAAGAGCATCAGCCTGGGATATTATATGGTGCTTGGAGTCGTCAAGATAGTTAGAACCAGTGATGGAATACAAACAAGTCCGCTGAATACCTGTAGTTACTCACCCACGTCACATGTAAGCTGAGCAGTGCGTGCCTTGCGGCCTGGGGCAGCGAACGACTGGGCAGAACCCAGGGCGGTGAACGATAAGTGCTTGACTTTTTTTTCTTCCCGTCCAAGTTGATAAGCCACCAGCACTGTTGTCTTCGAGCCCAAGATGGCGATCCAGAAGAAGGTACGCGAATCACTGAGCTCCATATTACCGTTCTATGATAACTAACTGCCAGCAGCACGGCAAAGGCCGTTTGGATAAATGGTATCGCCTGGCAAAGGAGAAGGGCTACCGTGCCCGTGCGGCGTTCAAATTGATCCAATTGAACCAAAAGTATGGGTTCTTGGAAAAAAGCAAAGTTTTAATCGATCTGTGTGCGGCACCAGGTGTAAGTCTTGCCAGTGCTCTCCGTGCGAAACATCCTGTCTAACTGTTTGACAGTCATGGTGTCAAGTGGCCGCAGAATGCATGCCCGCGCAAAGCATCATCGTCGGTGTCGATCTGGCCCCGATCAAACCCATTCCTCGAGCCATTACCTTCCAGAGTGATATCACAACTGAAAAATGCCGCGCGACGATCCGGTCTCACCTCAAGCATTGGAAAGCGGACTGTGTGCTTCACGACGGTGCCCCCAATGTCGGTACGGCGTGGGTTCAGGACGCCTTCTCTCAGGCAGAACTGGTCTTGCAGTCTTTAAAACTGGCCACAGAGTTTTTGAATGAAGGCGGATCATTCGTCACCAAAGTTTTCCGGTCCAAGGACTACAATCCTCTCCTGTGGGTTTTCAAGCAACTCTTCACGTCCGTGGAGGCCACAAAGCCCCTTCTTCTCGAAATGTGTCTGCAGAAATTTTCGTCGTCTGTCGCGGATACAAGGCTCCCAAGCGGATCGATCCGAAATTTTTGGACCCGAAGCATGTCTTTGCGGAACTGGCAGATCCGACCCCGAACAACGAGGCGAAAGTCTTTAACCCAGAAAAGAAGAGGCGGAGGAGAGAGGGTTATGAAGAAGGAGATTACACCCAGTTCAAGGAGATTCCGGTAACAGAGTTTATCAACACCACCGACCCGATTGCTATCCTGGGTTCATACAACAAACTCAGTTTCCAACAGCCACCAGGTGGTGATCTTGCCATGTCCACGGTGGACCGCCTGGAAGAAACGACCGACGAGATCCGGACGTGTTGCGAAGATTTGAAAATTCTTGGCAAGAAGGAATTTCGGAACTTGCTCCGATGGCGACTGAAGCTTCGAGAGAAGTTTGGTCTTGTTGTCAAAAAGAATCAGCCACAGGAAACCGAGGCTGAGGAAGTCGCCGAGATTGCTCCAATGGATGAGGAACTAGCCATTCAGGAACAGCTTCTTAAAATGCGGGAGAGGGAAACCTCTCGAAGCAAAAAGGAGAGGCGCAAGGAGAACGAGAAGAAACGGAAGGAGATTGTTCGCCTGCAGATGCACATGACCACCCCAATGGATATCGGGATGGAGCAAATTGGACCCGGTGGTGAGGACGCCACGTTCTCGTTGAAGCGCATCGACCGCGCGAATGCTCGCGACGCAGTCACCAATGCTCGTGATATCCCAGCCGAAAGTGAAAGTGAGGAAGAGTCTGGATCCGAATCCGAGGAGTCCGACGACGATGGTGATCGCCTTGAACGGGAACTTGACACAATGTACGAGCAGTATCAAGACCGCATGGAGGACAAAGATTCGAAACTGCGTGCTAAGAAGGCTCGCAAAAACTACGAGACCGAGGAATGGGAGGGCTTTTCCGACGAGAATAAAGGCAGTGATGATGAGGATGAGGAGGATGAACAGGAAACGGCCGTTTCAGCTGACCTAGCTCCTCAGTCTGGAAGTCTGTCCAACAACGCTGCGTTGTTCTTCGACCAGGACATCTTCCAGGGATTAGGCGACGAGGCCGAGGAGGAAGAAGAAGAGGATGAGGAAGAAGGCGAGGATGAGGACGACATCGAAATGAGTGATGGGGAAGAAGAGGAAGAGGAGGAGGCTCCTGCCCCAAAACAGAAGAAGCAGAAGCAGGCATCAAAGCAACAGGAGAATGAATGGGTCGATGAGTCGGAGGGAGAGGTGGAAGAACCTGAAGATCCGCGCAAGGCGAATGGCCAGCTGGGTAAGTCACAATTCCCAAAGTCAGTCTCCTTTCAGTCTATTTTCTAACATAACTGCGGCAGACATCGATATCATTACCGCCGAAGCGATGGCTCTGGCCCAGTCAATGGCCACTGGCGAAAAGAGATCACAGGATATTGTTGACGACGGTTACAATCGTTTCGCGTTCCGCGACATGGATGGGCTTCCGGAGTGGTTCCTGGACGATGAGGGCAAGCACAGCAAGCCCCACCGTCCGATCACCAAGGCTGCAGCAGCAGCTATCCGCGAGAAGATGCGCGCTATCAACGCACGCCCGATCAAGAAGGTGATGGAGGCCAAGGGCCGCAAGAAGTTCAAGGCCGCGCAGAGACTGGAAAAGCTGCGCAAGAAGTCGGCTCTCCTGGCCGAGGACGAGGCGCTGAGTGAGCGCGACAAGTCGCAGGCGATCACCAAGCTGATGAGCAAGGCTACCAAGAAGAAGCCCAAGCAGCAGGTCAAGCTGGTGGTGGCCAAGGGTGCCAACCGGGGTATCTCGGGACGTCCTCGCGGCGTCAAGGGCAAGTACAAGATTGTGGACTCGCGGATGAAGAAGGATATTCGGGCGGAGAAGAGACTGGCTAAGAAGAAGCAGAAATAGGTCTTCATACTAGCGAATGCATATACTCGATCTTTTGAATAGTTGGTCCCTTCGTACCTCCACCAGATTGTGCGATCAAACAGCCCCGACAGCCAACAGAGGGAGGGCATGCCTGGGTTATGTATACAGCTGATGGGTGTCCAAGGCTTGCTGTTGCCTGCAGACCACCTACATATGCTAGAGGCAATTTGGGATTATGATCGGGCCCAGTTCTCACCAAATATTTGTATAATACGAGCAAATGCATGAAGTACATAGTCGATCACTCTACCCTAGTTCGTGATTTCGCGGTCGTGATTGGGTCCGGGGCCACTAGGTGGCGCTTATCGATCAGCGCGGGTTTTTCTCATTCTTGCTCCGTCTTATCTTCGTTGCCTCCCCCAACTCCCCATACTATATATATATCGCTCTCTTTGTTTGGCCCATGGGGTTGCTGGGCATTTGTTGATCCCTGCATTCTTTGTCTATACATATTTGCATTTTCATCTGCATACATCTCATGGGCTTCTTCGACCACCTCCAAAAAGGAGGGGCCTTCTCCCTCCAACCCAAAAAGCCCCAGGTTCGCAAAGTCGTCCAGGCTCGACCACCAGCTACTGCCTCGCGATCGACGCTCTCCACTCCCGACGCCCGCCCTCTCCGCCCGCAGCCTTCATCTGACCGCAGCCGCAACGTCTCCGCGGTCAAGTCGCGGTCAGTCTCGAGTGACGCAGACGCTCGCCCCGCGAAGCAACGCCTGAGCACCCCATCTCGCATCCGTAAGCGGCCCACGCCCGAAACACGGCTCTCAAGCGACGACGATGTCAGCGACAGCGATACCTCGTTCGAAGTGGGCAAGCGCGCGCGCACGAGCGCCAGCGCGGAACCCGATCCCGACAGGCGTCTTCGCTCGGTGAAGGCTTTTTCGGAGGAAGGAGCGAGGCCATTCAAGATGGTGCACGCTGCTGATATCACCTCGGAACAGAAGGCCGGCAAATTCAAACCGGGCTTTGGGGCCGAGGGTAAGCCGACCGAGGTTCTTCTGCAGTATCCCAGTGCGTCGCAGAAGGAAAGGTATGTGGCATGGTCTTCAAAGGTGCAAAATCTGACAGCTAACCCACTGTGTGATTAGATATGACTTGGTGGTGCCTCGAGAAAACGACGGCTTTCGGCCGATTGACGACATCGTGCAGGTGATCGAAACGGTGTCTGACAATTATATTCCGGAGGAGGACTTAGAAGAGTTCAATAACGAGACAACGGGCATCAGGCGACGACTGCGCCGGGCTTTGGCTGTCGTGTCAGAGAGCCAGTTTACAGATGCGGTCAACGATTACAATGAAACCATTGAACGGTTGAGGACCAACGGCAGTCTGGCGAAGCGTCTTGACGCGACACACCGTATGGGACTCCCTTGGGTGGAGCGGATGTTGACGCAAATCTATGCGCGCACCGTTTCTCCCCGCGTCGAGTCTCTGCGTCAATATGAGAACGGCACGGACAACGTCTACGGAGAACTCCTGCCTCGATTCATCAGCAACATCTTTAAGGAGACCAAACTGAAGTCCGGCCAGGTGTTCGTCGACTTGGGATCTGGCGTGGGCAACGTGGTCCTCCAGGCCGCGCTCGAGATCGGCTGCGAGAGCTGGGGCTGCGAGATGATGTCTAACGCGTGCGATCTGGCAGACCTGCAGCAGGCCGAATTCAAGGCCCGATGCCGGCTGTGGGGTCTTGCGCCGGGCAAGACGCATCTCGTTCGCGGCGATTTCCTCGAGCAGCAGAGCATTGTCGATGTCCTGAAACGCGCGGATGTGATCCTCATCAACAACCAGGCCTTTACGCCGCAGTTGAACAACGAGCTGATCAATCATTTTCTGGACATGAAGGAGGGCTGCAAGATTGTCTCGCTCAAGTCGTTCGTCCCCGCTGGCCATAAGATCCAGTCGCGAAATCTCAACTCTCCGATCAATCTGTTGAAGGTCCAGCAGAAGAACTATTGGTCGAATAGCGTCAGCTGGACTGACGTTGGTGGTACCTATTTCATCGCCACTAAAGATAGTGCACGGCTGAAGGCCTTTACGGAACATTCCCTTTGAGACACGGCTGGGGGTGTACATATATTGTTTTCTTTGTTGAAGCTGGGACGCCATGGTGTGCATGGTAAATTGGCATCCTGGAAGCTTGTAGATTACTTTTGTCTTGGATATATCCTGTGATTCGGTGTATGATACCACCAATTTGATCTGTACAAACATTAAAGGTTGTTCTTATTTGCTATGTTCCTAAATAAGTATCTAACGTCTACAAGAGAAAACTTGAAACCCCATGCTGCCAGCGCATCGAGAACTACTAGGAAAATTTCGACGCATCGTTCATGGCTTCGGCTTCCTGGCCCATTCTCGCCATCCAGCGATCCACGAGCTCCTGATTTTCATGCTGGAATCGAGTGGACCGCTCTTCTGCCATGTTAAGCTGGAGGTTGAGGGTAGCCATTTCATCTTGGAAATCCTAGCAAGTACACCATATCAGTGAAAGAATTTTAACCCCCCGAAAACAAAGCGCAACTCACCTCCAACAGCTTAGCCTTCCCTCTCAGCTCTTCATCACGATCTTTGAGGCGTAGCTGCAAATGGACCCTCTCGCTTTCCAACGCACTGATCCGCCGACTATCCTGGCTACTCTTTTTGCGAAGCTTTTCAGCTTCGGTGGTAATCCGGTTCAAACGGTCTTGTAACTCGGAGCGCGAACGTTGGGCTTCCGAAAGGTCTGTGCGGGTTGCATTCAGAAGGTCCGCCAAGGGGGTTCCTGGCTCGGCAGATAGCTGTTTCTTTGTGGTGATGGGTGATGAAATAGATCGCTGGGCATCACTGGAAGGTTTATGGGTAGCTGGAGAGCTGGGTCCTGTTCCACGTGGTGGTGCTGCTAGCGCACTGGTGCGATCGGCGAGCTTGGTATCTAGGCAGTGGAGATGTCAACGGAAGACAGTCTAGGGGAATGGTATGTGTGGGCATACAGGCATCGTATAGGGCACTGTTGGCTTTCTCCCGACGATCTCTCGCAGCCAAAGCAGCGGCGTATTCTTCTCGCCAGTGGGGCATCGGCCGAAATCGATGATGGACAGGCAAGGAATGAGAGATGACGAGGCAATGAACGATCCGTTATCGATAAACGATACTGACCGCCTAGCTGACCGCCCCCGGTTCCCCATCATGACTGCAACCCAACTTGGCAACTCCCAGTTCTCCCCTCTTATCTCACCGCGCTTCGGAATTCTTGTCGGGAAGATACCACTGATAGCTGTTCTTTACACATCGGAACACTCATATATCCTTTGCATTGTTCTATTGCCCAGACCGCTGCTATGGCGTCACGGAAGAAGGTTCTCCTCAAGGTACGTTCTCCGCACCCAAGCTCCGGATAATCCTGAGCCCCCTCGACACTGACGACATGCTAACCAGACATCTCGATGTACTTAGGTGATTATCCTTGGAGACAGTGGTGTTGGCAAGACCAGCTTGATGAACCAATATGTCCGTCCAGCCTCGCCCCCTTCCGCCTCGTGACATGCCCGCCGTCATCGCTAACATCTACCGCCCCAAAATAGGTCAACAAGAAATTCAGTGGAAGCTATAAAGCAACGATTGGAGCCGACTTTCTCACCAAGGAAGTCCTGGTGGACGACCGGCTCGTGACGATGCAGGTAAGAAAAGAATGAAAGGCACCGGTCGAGGATCTGCAGCTGAAGGACTGACCTCTTCCGCAACAACATAGATATGGGATACCGCGGGCCAAGAGCGGTTCCAGTCACTCGGCGTTGCGTTCTATCGCGGAGCGGATTGCTGTGTTCTCGTCTACGACGTCAACAACTCCAAGAGCTTCGAGGCACTGGATAGCTGGCGAGATGAGTTTTTGATTCAAGCAAGCCCGAGGGATCCCGAGAGTTTCCCTTTTGTAAGTCCTCGGTGTTTGTTTCGACTGAAGTTTGTTAACATGTAGCTAGGTTGTCATTGGCAACAAGATCGATGTGGAGGAGAGTAAGCGGATGATCTCGTCGAAACGAGCCATGACGTTCTGCCAGTCCAAGGGCAACATCCCCTACTTCGAGACCAGTGCCAAGGAGGCTGTGAATGTGGAGCAGGCTTTTGAAGGTGCGTCTTTTCTTTTCTTTCGTTATTCCCTCGATTCACGGCTGACAAGACCCGCAGTCATTGCCCGGAGTGCGCTCGCACAGGAAGAAGCGGAGGAGTTCAGCGGCGAGTTCAGCGACCCGATCAACATCCACCTGGACAATGACCGCGACGGCTGTGCCTGTTAATACCATTACACGATCCTCTCATGATTTTTCAAGCGCTTGTTTCCTCCCCCCTCTACGTACAGTTTTGCTGCTGGTTTGTCGTTCCCTGTTGTGGCTTGTGTAGAGAAGAGAGCATCTTTGCTGTGGGATGACTGCCCCGTGTGTCTGTGGCTGGTCTCGGATTTAATGCTGGGCGTGTCTGTCTGTTCGTTGCGAGAATACCATGGTTGTTGGCATTGTGTTATTGGTATAGAAATTCGCTCGTACTCTCTAGTCTTAGGGGGAATGCTCCATCTGCGCGAAATATCGCCAGTACGCGATAGGCACATATAAATCCATCGCTCAGCATAACCCCTGTGTCTATTTTCCCAATTCATTGGAGCGTTCATGCCCGGCTTATCGTGATCGCCCGGTGACACCATCGCTTGGCGCTCCCTCTTTTCCTTCACATCTTCCTCCTCCCCTGCCGGACAGGGAGCCTGTCTCCCCCTTGACACACCCGTCAGTATCCTTTCTGCCGATGCCTGTGCTCAGCCTGGTTACCTCCCTATTGTCGTTCCTCGTCGCCGAGGGGCAACCGACGTGATCCCGCCTGATCGCACGCGACCAACTCCGCCGACAACCGGTGATAAGCCATTCGCTCGCGCGTAGCGCAACTATGTCTTCCGGCCCCGAGATACCGGCCTTGACCCTGATGGGTTCTGCTAGACATACCGTGGGAATCGGCCTACTGCTGCTCGTGGTTGTGCTGTGGACGGCGTCGAACTTCCTCGCAAGCGTGCGCATTCTTCTCCGCTGATTGATTCTCTGTTCCCACCTGGCGGGTTACGAACTAACACCAATGCTGCTCTCCAGACCATCTTCGCAGACAACACCTACTCCAAACCCTTCTTCGTGACCTACATCAATACCTCGCTGTTCATCCTACCGCTTTTCACCATCCTATTTAGTCGTTTGTGGCGGCTCTGGCGCTCTAGAGGACTGTCTCACATCACCTCGTTCCAGAGCCTGCTCAGGCAGTTGGACTCGCATAATCCCAAGGCTGAGGAGGAGCAGGGTTTTCTGCACGCTGCGGGTGTGGAGGATGAATTCCACGGCGGAGAGGGACGGGAGAGCGCGCAGTTTGTCCGGTCGATGCGGAATGATCCAGATGCAAAGCTGGGGTTGAAGGCGACGGCGAAGTTGAGCTTCCAGTTTTGTTTACTTTGGGTAAGAGGAGACCGTATCGATCTATTGGTGACGTGCTGAGCTAACGTTTTCGCAGTTTGTTGTATGTTCCATGTTGGCTTTTTGCGGTCTGTGGAACAGTCCTAACTAACACGCTCAACCATCGAACAGGCGAACTACTTTGCCTTGGGATGTCTCCAGTACACAACCGTGGGCAGCACGACCATCCTCACCTCGACGAGTGGTAAGCTCCAGTATCTTTTCCGATGCTTTCGCGACGTATGCTAAAACAGACCCCAGGCGTCTGGACCCTCGTCTTCGGCGCCATACTTGGCGTCGAGAGATTCACCGCACGCAAACTCATCGGTGTCCTCGCCTCCCTAATAGGAATAATCCTCATTTCGCGCGTCGACCTCTCTAAGCCAGACACCAGCACCCCATCCGCCGACGGCAGCGAGGGGTCCTTCCCGCACAAAACCCCCGCAGAGATCGCCCTCGGCGACGCAATGGCAGCGTTCAGCTCGATCATGTACGGCGTGTACACGATCGTGATGAAGAAGCAAGTCGGCGACGAGTCGCGCGTGAACATGCAGCTCTTCTTCGGGCTAGTGGGCTTCTTCAATCTCGTCCTCCTGTGGCCCGGGTTCATAGTTCTGCACTGGACGGGCGTGGAGCCGTTTGCGCTACCGAGCACAAAACGAGTCTGGATGATTATCCTCATCAACTCGCTCTCCTCATTCATCTCCGACATCGCCTGGGCCTACGCTATGCTCCTTACCACCCCGCTCGTCGTTACCGTCGGTCTCAGTCTGACGATCCCGCTCTCCCTGGTCGGCCAGATTATCCTACAGGCCCATTATGCCTCGCCGCTGTACTGGGTTGGTGCTAGTATTGTGTTTATGTCTTTTCTCGTGGTCAACCGCGAGAGCAAGGGTGAGGACGTTGTCGTTCCTGGGGCTGCTTCAGGCGCAGGTGCGGGTAGAGGTGACAGAGTGTCGTCGGGGGAGTATGAAAGTATTCCTCCCCCGACGTATGAAGGTATTCCTCGGGATGAAATAGTGCGTTAGTTCATCGTCTGGTACTTCGGGCTTTTCTTTTGGGTGTCTTATGTTTCTTCTTTGCGTCTATCTGCTTTACTCCTATCATCATCCTCTCTCTGCCTGGCACCCACCATCCTTTTTGTTTTTACTTCTTTCTGGTTTGCAACTCACACAAGAGCATGTTTGTGATTCGACTATATTGGTTTAGAATAGAAACAGCGATATTGAGTTGACTAATAATGAACCATGGCGTGACCTTCCTAGCCTTTTCTTGCCAAAATAGGTAATTAATTTTAGATGACTTATGTATGGCAGTGCTATCCGGATGCCAATGAGATGCTCGCATTAAGAAAGACCTGGGTATATATAAAGAGACAGAATGTGTGAAGTGGTTCGAGTGCCGAACTCGCTCCCGGGATCAGATAGGAATGGCCTCGGCCGCTGAGGAAGATATAAAGGAGGAAGAGGAGGAAGGAAAAGAAAGAATAGAGGGAGTGAGGCAAAGCAGCAGTCAACAATGATTAAAAAGTAGACGACGGCTCCAGTTTCTTGCGAGCCACAAGAATACTCTTCAAGGCACCTAACCAACGCGCCAGGGATTCTTCGTCCGGCGCGCAGAGTCGGTAGGTTTTTTCCTCGGCGATGATTTGCAAACAGAACTTTTTGGAGCGCGACATGGGGTCGACCTCGGCCGCGTCGATGATCTGCGACATGGAGATGACGCGGAGGGCGGAGTACTCCTGCTCGTCCTTATAGAAAGCCAAGCTCTTGGGACGGAGCACGACCCACAACCGTTTCCATTGGCGTACGGTTCCCTTGATGCGCAGGCCTTGCAGGTACCCATGGCAGACGACACGCTCTGGGTCCCGGACGGACTGCCGGCTGGTGTCTCGCGGCAAGGACAGGGGCTTCTCCTCCGGCGCGGACCGGGACAGATTGTTAACGGATCGGGGCAGATTGTTGAGGGAGGGCATGGATCGTAGTTGGCCGCGATCTGTCGGCGGGGATGCGTCTGATAGTTCTGAATACGATGTGATCTCGTTCCCGGAGTATTCCTGTGTGTAGGATAGGCGCTGGGCCCGACGGTGGGGCGAGACTGTGCGGCCAAGCTCTGGGGAGCTGGCACGACCCGTCTGGTCAAAGTCCGAGTGGTCGGTTGTGTCCTCAATGAGCTGCTTTTGGATCGCCGGCGGGCCGGGTTTCTTCGTCAGCGCCAGGAAAGCCTTTTCGTCCTCGCCAATAGGGGTTTCTGTGCGGATGCGGCTGATCCAGTCCTCCGCGTCGCGTTCCGAGGTGGCCTCGAAGCGGTAGTTTTTGGAGGGGGTGAACACGCCGAAGACATGCTGTCGACTCGAGCGCGTGGCCTTGACTGGAGCCACGGCCGTCACCTCGGACAAGGTGATGGATGCCCGCAAGCGGGTCGTTTCTTCATCTTTGTACACGGAGAGCAGGTTGGGCCGGAGGACGATATAAGCGGGTTTCCATGAGGCTCGGAAGACCTAGAAGCAACCCTGTCAGCCGGGAGATGCGCGCTAGCTAGAAGAAGGATTTACGGGACACACGGACATGTTTGTGCTTCACCCGCCGGAACACCCTTCCCGTCTTCAAGACTCGGTCGAACTCGAAGCTCCCGTTCTCGTTGATAGGAGAGAAGTCGAGGTTGACGTGGCTGTTGCGGGACGGTGGTGGGAGCAGTTGATTGATGGGGTTGTTGGGCACGGGGATGGCCGGCGTCTGGGAGCTTTGCCCCTCGGAGGAACGAGGGAGCGAGCTCATGGTCGCTATTGTGTTGAGCGTGTGGTATCGAAGAGATGGGAGGAGTGGACGGATAGGTGTGAATCAGGGTGAAATAAGGGGCGCCTTGTGACTGTCGTGTGAACGAGCTGGTGGTCGGCGGCGAGAGCTGCCTGGGGACATTGGGGCCAGGCAACACAGCAGTTGTCTTCGTGTTGCCTCCTTGGGGTCCCTGTCATCCCATGGGATGACCGAGGTCTGGTGATGATGATGGTGGTGGTAGGTTGGTAGATGGATGGATGCAGGCCAAGAAGAATAAATTCCCGGACTAGGAAAAGGGCAGCATGTCTGCAGCTACGATTTTAGTGCAGGGACTTGATTAATTTCTCCTGCTACCCCCCACCAGTTACTCCCTTTCTCGCCGCGTCCCTAGTATGTAATCCTCACTATTTTCTTCACGAACGAGCATCCTTGATGGCCCCCTACACCCGCGTCATCCAAGGGTCCAGACCCGGTCACGTGTGGGGCAGGGCCCTGAGCCCTTTGGTGTCCACGATCAACGCGCTTGTGTCAGGTAGAGATCAACAAGAATTAGTATTGGCCGGTCGGGATAGATCCCTAATAACAACATCCCCGGGCCCGATGTCGTGTGTCTCAGCGTCCCATTCCACAGACAGCCTTAGACCCTCGATCGCCACTACGCTAGGCGCTTTTCGCTCGTGGTGATCGGTACAAAAGTACGATGGAGGATTCTGATTTGGTCAGTTGTGCCCTGGAGTCAGGTGGTCTGCATGGAAGATGAGATCTGGTCTTTCGTTGGCCCGTCCCAAGAGCCCCCGTCTCTAGAGCCGCGGGAAGCTTGCTTGGGGCCGGGCAGACTTGGCAAGGTATTGGCACGGCATCGTGAGGCTGCGAGAGACATCGTAGATCTGGGATGGCGATACGGAAATATCAAAATCGAGCCGACCGAAGAATCCCATGTCTGATCTAGAGCACCCAAGCCGCCCGAAAAGGGCCCTAAAAAAAAGATGAAATTACGCGTAACCAGAATACACCGTTTTGGCGCCACCCCACCACAATATCGGTTAATACCCGTCTTTGCGGTACGGACCCCGTCCACCGTGGCCCTGCGCCTCCCTTCGCCCATCCCAATTCTTCCTTTTCTCTTCCCCTGCCCATCCACCCCATCACCCCCAATCATCATCAACCACCCCAACCATTGATGTCCTTGGCCGACCGCCCTGTCTGGTCCCCTCTGCTCAGGACGGTTGCTTGCGTTGCTCTCAACGCTCTCCCCTCCCCCTGGGCCGACTGAGAAAGGATAAATTGGGGGAAATTTGGAAAGGAAAGGAGGCATTCCTCCGGCCACTCGTTTCGCTGTCTTTTTGTTCACTCTATCCCTCCCCTTCTCTCGTTCACTTCTTGTGAATACCTCCACGACGACCCGGTAACCACAGGTACGATCGCGTCTGGTGTTACTCGAATTTTTCTCGCCCAACGCCGCATCTCCACCCCCTGTCACGGAGTCGCCAACGGGAGCCAACACCATCCATTTGCTTGCCTCTCCGGAAGGGCCCTGTGCTGTCGCCCGGGCCTGACAGCAGAGTCGTTGCGTGATGAGCTTCATCCAACGGATTTCCAAGCGGCTGCCCGCCGCGCCGAGTTTGCCACTCGAGGATGTCCCGCGCGAAAAAGGTCACGCCATCCCCAGATTCGCCTTCTTTCGGCGGAGAATACGGTTGAAGGGCAACTCGTCTATCTCGATACCCCTGGGATTTGTCTTACTATTTCCATGTCTTGTAATTGTTTTGATTCTACTTCTTTTCGTCCGACATCCTTCGTCTCCCGGGGGTATCCTAATTCCAGCGGGCACTCCGCCCTCCATTCGGTTTGTCTCCTCCTCCTTGTGATCATCATATGTGGCGACTGACCGTGTCTACGATACAGAAAAATCAGCGAACAGCACGATAAAGTCTTCGCCACTGGCTGTCTCCCAATCGACCCGGACGGGCCGAAAGGCCCTCGCGCAAATGCCGCCTTTGTTGTACTTGCAAGGAACAAGGAACTGGACGGCGTCATTCAGTCGCTCAAGTCGATCGAGAGACATTTTAATCGGTGGTGGCACTATCCTTATGTCTTCCTGAACGATGGCGACTTTGACGATGCGTTCATGGATACCGTGAAGAATTACACGTCCGCCCCTGTGGAGTTTGGCAAGATTGACAGCTCCATGTGGGGGTTCCCTGACTGGGTCGACCATGAAGTTGCCAAGGAGGGCATTCGGAAGCAGGGTGACGCTGCCATCATGTACGGTGGAATGGAGAGTTATCACCACATGTGCAGATTCTACTCAGGGTGAGTGGTGTTTCTCATGATGCATCAAGCGTGCTCGACTGACTCTTGTAAAAAACAGATTCTTCTACAAGCACCCTCTTCTGCTGAAGTACGAGTGGTACTGGCGTCTGGAGCCCGAGATCAAGTACTTCTGTGATATCACTTAGTAGGTTCACTGCAAATACCCCTCTCAATGTACATCTTGCTGACTTGAAATCTAGTGATCCCTTCATTAAGATGATCGAGGCGAACAAAACCTATGGCTTCACCATTGCCGTCAAGGAGCTCCGGGAGACTGTTCCCAACATCTTCCGGTACGCGTCAGCCTACAAGCGCAAGAACAATCTCCCGTCCAAGGGCCTATGGGAGATGTTTATTGAACGTCCAGAGGGAGGCCCGCCCCCTCCAGACGAGAAGAGGCAGGAGACACTCCCCGAGGAGATCTTGCAGACCGATCCTGCCAACAACAACATGGAAGATATCGACCCGGAGGCAATGGAGGGCGAATCTTACAACATGTGCCATTTCTGGAGTAACTTCGAGATTGCGCGCCTGGATTGGTTCCGCAGTAAGGAGTATGAGGATTTCTTCAACATGATGGACCGGAGCGGTGGCTTCTGGATGGAACGGTGGGGTGACGCACCTATCCATTCGCTCGCAGCCGGTGCTCTACTCTCGCCCAGCGATATCCACTACTTCCGTGACTTCGGCTACAGGCACACCACGATCCAGCATTGCCCTGCCAATGCCCCAGCTCGGCAATTGACCCGCATTCCCTACCTCGAGAAAACCACTGAGGATGAGAAGAAACGAATTGAGGAAGACGAATACTGGGCCACCCCCGATCCGGTTAAGGAGAACGGTGTCGGGTGTCGGTGCAGATGCGATACCGACATTGTGGATGTCGAGGGCAAACAAGGCAGTTGCCTCCCGGACTGGGTCGAGGTCGCTGGCGGCTGGTCCTCACCATAGCCTCTCCGCGTTTTCCCTGTGTCGTCTTTCTTTTTTTCACCTCCTTCTGCTTCCCATGTCTGTTTATTCAGCCGTAAGCATCACCTGAGTTCGCCCTTGGGAGTTTTCTGCTGGAGTCGGCATCTTTTGTCGGCCGTGGGACTTGCTTTCTGGTCGGCGTTCAACGGATCTGACAGCTTTTTCTACTTGAAAGATGGTGTGACCATTTCTCAGCATCGATGTTAACATATTCATCTAGCGTGCTGTGTACGTGTCGTTGGGGTTGGCCGTGTGTTCATGTCCTGTCGAGATGTTGGGAGGAAAGCGCGTCGTTGAACAGCTATCTGGCAATCCTGGGTTGTGCCGCGCAGCCATTGCCGATAGTATTCTCTCTGGAGGTTCCGTCTGGAACCCACGGTTCAACGCATCTTCTGACCCACGTTGGATGCGCGCAACACTTCGCAATTATACGGCTTGATCTCAGTGACCGGGAGACGATCAGCGGTTGGGGCGGCGAGAAGGACGATGGCAACCAACGCGCCCGTGTTTTTTTATTTCCTTTTTTCATCTCCGTTCTTTGCATCCTGCATCGATGCGTTCTTGCCCGTTCCCTTTCTCCTCTTTCGTGAATGTCTCCGCGCATGCACTCATGAAATGTACATACCCTGTCCCCACTTTCCCCGTTTGGCCTCGTGGCACACCTATCCCGAAGGCTCTCTCTCCCACCCCCACGCAAATACCAGATCGAGCATGGCTGTCTATAGAGTATGGAATAATCACCTGGTGAATCACGTGAAGAATGATATCAGTATAATGCAGTCTTGTTTCTCTTGTTCCCTTTTGGATGTAGATGGCCGATCCATGGATGACCCATCCGGAACGAGATATGCTTATTTCAGTAACCCTAAACTAGATCTCGAGCCAGAATATTAGCCGGGACGGACTACCCCGAGATCCTGCTAGCATTGATTGACCACAAGGCTACGTAGTGGATCGAATGTCAAGGTGACATTCAGGGGAGAGAGAGGGGGGCCGAGAGGGGTGTGTGGTATTTTAGCCGGACGATATACAAAACATATTTCCCGGGAAAGAGCCATTGACAATCCTTCCACCGACTCAATGCATTGGTTTTTAAGAACGGCGTTTTGGGCTGGCCTAGCCACGGCCTTCAATAACCCTCCCGGCGTGGAAATCTGGTGTGGAAAGGCGTATCAGTCCACGTACGTTGTTGACCCTTCCGTAGGGATAAATAAACACGAAATACTAACTCCGAAACCCCAGGAATGCCTCTTTCGCGCCTGGAGGCTGGCTGGACCGCCCTACTTTATCGAGTCGTCCTCTTTTGGATCTCCAGGTTCGTCCGCGCATGAGCTTGTATGCCGCCGGAGACCGTGCCGGGTCTTTTATTGTCAACGCAGAAATCTCGCATCTACGCGGCGAGCAGTGGGATGATGATGAGGTTTCTCAGGATCTACAAGTCGAAATCTCGATCGATGAGACTCAATTGCATCTGAAACATACCGTAACGGTCGATTCGTCCTCGACCGAGGTGGACTTTCCTTTGGGCGACATTCCGGCTCGCTTTGAGCCTTATCCCGTGACAGTCAAGGCGTCACGTCCCGATGGTCGCAAGGTGTACACTGCCAAGACGCAGCTGTATCATTTGCCTCGCCGCACGGATGGTGGGAGTATCACCAAGCTGGACAGTCTGTATGGCGGACTCCTGGTGCAGAAGCAGACCTCCGACAGCACGCCCACCTGGTCACCGCTCCTACCCTACTCGTTCTATGTCAGCTGGGACGGATGGCTAGAGAAGTCGCTGAGCAATGTTCAGAAGTTCAAAGACGATGGTTACAACATCATTCACATCGTCCCCAATGCCGGACTTGCAAACGAGGCCTTCAACTTCACCGTGCTAGACCGATTCCTCGACAAGTGCGACGAGGTCGGTCTGTGGGTGATGTACGACATGCGATGGACGTACAAAAATCATACCTCCGTCCGCTACCAAGTCGACATGCTCAAGACACACAAGAGCCTGCTCCTGTGGTATACAGGCGACGAGCCCGACGGGAACAGCGACCCGGTCCACGCGCCCAAAGCAACATACGAGCTAATCAAGTCCCTGGATCCATGGCATCCTGTCTCGCTGTGCCTGAACTGCTACAATTTCCATTATGCAGAGTACTCCTCTGGCGCAGATATCATTCTCTCCGACGTCTACCCCATCGGCATCAACGCCACCTACTCCACCGTCTGGAACACGCCCTGCAACACCACCTACGGCGACTGCGGCTGCGACGACTGTAAGGGGGAGCTTGAGGACATTGCGGTGCGCCTCGACCGGTTTGCAGAGTATCAGACCTGGTTGGGACGGGACCCTAAGACATTCTGGGGCGTGCCTATGGCATTCGGCAACGAGTCTTACTGGCCGCGCTATCCCACGCCCGATGAGGAGATCACCATGACAATGCTCAGTCTCAACCACAACGCCAAGGGCATCGTCATGTGGGACTATCCCACCAGCGAGGCCCTTGCGAAGGCTACCAGCCGGCTGAGCCGGGTTGTGGCTAGCGACGAGGTGGCGAGGTTTATGCTCGGTGCATCTACCGTGCCATTGTCTGTGATAGGTGATCCGAGTATGGATGCTGCCGGTTGGAGGGTTGGTGATAAGATGCTGGTTAGTATCTTGTCGCTGCAGTATTCGGCCTGGTCATCGTCTGTCACAGTTGAGCTACCCGAAGGCGCGCGCGCAATTACCCAGGTCCTTTGGGGATCGGGTCACTGGCAGTTGGTGAATGGTCATTTAGTCAAGGATGGTGGCGAGGGCCTGGAGACGGACTTGGTGGTGGTGCAGTTTAATGTATATCCATAGATGGTATCATGGTTTAGTTTTAGTCTTGCTTTCTGGGAAAGATCATTTATCCTCGAACCTATTCTGGCACTAACTTCCGTTTATCCTTCCAAGTTTCTTGCAGGCATCATACACCGAGGGTAAAGAATAACGACCAACCACAATGGCTGAAGATTACAGGAGTCAGCAGCATAGACATCATACACAAACAATGGCCCGAGAGTGAGCCAGATTAGAACGAGAAGTCTGGTGATGCATCTGCTTTGGTTGAGTTAGTCTCTGCTGCATCTGTCTCTCTATAGATAGGCCCCATCCTCTGGTGTAGTTCCCCATATCTGAGTACGTTTTAAGTCTAAGGAGCCATAATTGCTAAATATCGAGAATTTTAAAATGTGGTTAAAGCTTTAGATGCAAATAAATAAGAACCAACCATATTATGGATCATAAAGTACGTCGAATATTTCTTCAAAACTTCTTTGCAGTTTTTGTAGAAGGTCATTTCTATTAGCGTAGGTACTTTTGTTGATGGCTAGGATGACATTTATAGGTGAGTCCTGCTCTACGCAAACTAGGTGTATAATCCCACCCATCCTGAGTTTTCGCTAGGTACACACAGTCTTGCCTTACCCAAGGCCACTCTGAGTGTCAGGCTGTAACTGGATATCATGTACAGCAAGGTTCGAAATCAGATTATCGGATTGTCTCTAATTTAAAACGTGCTAATCTAGATTTAGTTACCTTCTTGATAATCCCTGTTCACCTACAGTGGTATATGCAAGACTGTAACAAATGAATCATTGTTATAATACGGTATGAATCCATAGAACCACGTAGAATCTCCCGTCGAAATGAACAAAGGTCTCAATCAGAGGAGTCCTAATTCTGACCGCTCAACAACTCGGTCCATCACGCGCCCAGCACCCTTCATCTACGCTCGTCTTACTAGAGTTCTTGATTAAATATTAGAACCCTCAAGGTTCTCCATCAATATTCTCATTGTTTAATATCACTAAGAATCCACGTGGATGATGGCGAATCTAAATAGCACTGCTGCTACTACCACTACGAGATACAACTCGCCTATCCCCCCGAACGTCGAAATTGCCAATACGAAGCCTGCATTCGCCAAAATTCAGGACGACAATCTAGGCACTCTCCTATACGCCGAAAACGGCGGGTACTGTCTCAAGTACCCGGAAGGAAAGGTTGTAGCCATCGCTTCTGACAGGCTATGTTCTTTTTTGGACGATTCCCATATGTCGCTAATTTTCTATTTCGAGAGAAATGGCTTACACGAAAAGGCTGAGGAAGTGATGAGAGACTTACGGGAAGCCGGAATCGACGCAGATAGGCTTAAGAGAGACACGAGCGATGAGATTAAGAGCGGTGCATGTGTTATAGACCCTGGTCTTGAAGAGGATGCCGGTGATGATATTCAACGGCCGAAGGCTCCGCCTTAGCAGATGTTGGGGTCTTAACAGATATCCGCTCCTTGCTGTGACCGGCCTGAACTGTGCCTGACGTGACCACATGATATCGATTGTGTAGATAGTTGGATTGCTTCCTCTTTCTTTTTTCTTTCTATAACCTGATAATCGTGTGCAAACCGTAGCAAGGATATAGTAGACCTAAAGCACTACTTGCCAACGAGCTAGGGAGCAATATGCCGATTTGATCATTCCACTGCGTTCTTGAGTCCCCTTGTGTCCGTCGCATCCCCCGTGTTGACGACATTCGATGGCTCTAGAACCATGATAGCACACTCCTGGCCAGTCGTGACTGGTCGATGTCGTACGCCTTTAGGGATGACCACCATCTCGCCGGCACTAAGTTGGATGTCCCGTAGATCCTTCGTTTGCTCATTGCCCGGTTCGCGTAGTTGGATAGTAAGATCCCCTGACAGAATGTAAAAGAGCTCATCCGTGTCGGTATGGCTGTGCCAAACGAATTCCCCAGCCACTTTCACAATTCTCACATCGTACGCATCGTTGAGCGAGGCCACTCGCTTAGGAGCCCAGTGGCGGGTGACTTGCTGGAGCGAGTCTGGTATGGAGACTTTCGTGGGCTGTTGGATAGACATCACTGATCTAAAAGAAAGATGGAGGAAGAGGGGGGTTTGAAATGACTGGAGAAATGTAATGGGTTTGGTCAATATAAATAAGAAAATATCCCGATTCCCCAGTGATATAAATATATATTTCCGCTGTAGCACCATTTGTTGATTGGCGTTGCGTTTTTCATGCCTAAATAGGACTAGCTCTATGAATCTGGAGCTATCCCGGCCACCTCGCTTTAGCCATACCCAGAATAGGTAGAACTTTTGCAAATCTTAATCACAATGCAGACGGTAATAATAACAGTTTCTCTTTCAGCGTATCTAGGAAAATTATTTGTAGTCGGAGTTGGCGTGTCTATAAATAGATTAGTTTTTGTGCGAATTAAGGTGGTGTTAGGTCCACCGAAACTGTTGTTGACTCATCTGTATTCTGAGGTAGGAAAGCGGATCTAAATAAGTCGTGAGCAGACATCGGCAAGGCTCATCAAATTGATCTTGCCTTACAGCAAGTAATTTACTTCGTATGGCTTGTGATGATGTCAAATTAGGTTCTACAAGTAATGGAGCATAGAGGTTCCCTATCTAAAGTGGGGTAACTGGCATACATATTCAAGTTGAATCGCCGGCTTGAACGGTAATAAATGAGTTATCTAAGCTTAGTACGGTAAGATTATATAAAATCCCGTAGAATCAGTGGCCGAGGAAACTTGAGCGCCAGAGATACGCGTTGGCCAAGCCGACTGAGGTTCCTGTGCCTAAGAATCAGGGCACCTAAAACCTCAACCCTGATGACGGTGTAGGCGTTGGTTGTTCGTGGTCGCTTTAAATATGGCCTACAGTTCAATGTAGAACGGTGAAAGTCGATAATCAACGCTCGTCTGAGCTCTTCGTTCCAGAGAACATTGTCACGGCGAAGGTTTTCGTGAACAATTCCCAAGACTCTAATTTTATTATTAGACCTGTAGATCTCCTGATAAAGATATCACCACTTCTGGATAATTCGTGCTTGTTCTCTATAATATCTCGAATACTACCTGCGTGAGTACAGTTGGCCGATAGATGGAAATGATAGGATGTGAGTATTTCCCTTTGGGATGGAGTTGCACGGCTATGTGAGTACAGATGGCTGACAGATATGGCGATGGTAGTAAATGGGTATTAGAATGCACCTGCACATTTCATTGCAATCTTGATCGAAGTCGAGAAGGTATGTTGCCGCCACACAAACATATCAATAATATTATTATTTTGTAATAAATTACTTGAGTGAAATTTGCTCTCAAGGACAAACCATCTGATTGGCCACCACGTCAACCATGAGATACATGCCGCGGTCGTGCAGCGCCGAAGCTAAGGCTTTGAGATCAGCGGCCGAACCATAGTTAGAGTTGAGAGTGTAACTATTACCCGGTCAATAACGATATTTGATCGGTGGGCTTTCTTTTCGCTGACTTACGCACCCTGTTGACAGTAGCCATGATATACCGTCCCATCACCCGTGTCCCCTTGCAGTTGGTAGGTAACAGGTGCGATCCAAATCGCAGTAAACCTCATACCTTAAATGTAATCTAGCTATTACGGCCTTTAGTATTGAACGCCAAGATGAAGCTGAAACTCTGCGTTTACTTGGTTGATAATACCCTGCCAGGAACCTCCGCAATATTCGTGCAGCAAGGTCGGTTGCATGAATTTGTACTCGGTGCACGTGTCAGCTTAATGATGATATTATACAAGAGGGTGAGGATTTCCTTTCGACAGTGTGGGATTTCATGTGGAAAGGCTGATCCGAGAGTTACGAGTGATTGAGTTAGGGAATGGTTAGAGAGGATATGAAAATCACTCAATTATTGGTCATTCCAGACAGCTTGTGAAGTCACGGTTAACTCGAACCAAAAATTTAGTTCGATTAGGTTGACATCAGAAAACCGTAGTGGTAGCGATCATGAAAATAGGGGATGTTGTACCGAGCGATTTTGGGATGTGTACCCTAGCGATCATAGAAATATGAATAAAGCCACTAGGGCTGGATGATTTTTGCGGGGGAAAGCGCGGGGATGGATCCACGATGCTACATCGGCCCGGGGTCCAGAGTCCGCTAGCGTTTATAGGAAGGTTGGCACGCAAGAAAAGACTCTCGGAGACTTTGATTGCATGATTGACCGGCCAACCGATGAATATCCGAGCCCAGGTTTGGGCCTTAGCCGAAGAGTCAATCCCGTCACATTCTTGCCAAGGACGGAGTGATGGGCCCAATGGGGACAGGACGACCGACCGGCCTAATGCACCTTGTAGCACCTTGGTATGATTGGTACCGGTGAGCCGAACCCCGCTTGGGACTCCAAGACCGTCACTGAATTAAAGCGATGCGGGGGAAACCGTAACCCTAGTGCTTATGTATCTGTCGAAACCCCTGCATGGGAAGCAAAGCCCTTCTCTACCATTTCTCGGTTGTAACAACCCGATTTTCACTCACTAATAAAACCACTCACTACTCTCCACACAGGTTAGTTCACCATAATCTGGTTTCTACTGGTTGGGGTTCTAGACGTGATTTTATTAGACATGTGTTCTCCGCTTGTGGGGTGACTGACTTTTCACCGACCTTATCCGGTAGGAAGCGTAACATTTGCATTTGGGTGGCGCTTAGTTACCACGGTTAGCGTGATGTCAAGGTTCTCCGCTAACCCTCTCTCCAATAAAAAGCACGGTCACTTGTCGCTTAGTTTCGACTCATGCTTGATCAGGCAAGGACATCACAGCGTCGCCAGCTTCGTATTTCGTCCGCTGGGTGGCGTAGCATCTCCCGCTCGGTCACTAGTCCGTCGCTATTATAATAATGTTGTCTCGGCATTCATGAAGCTCATCAGTTGACTGTCGCTCACCTTCACTGCGAGCGGAGGTCATTCCAGACCCTGACTTCGGTAGTCGCCGCTGTTGACCAGTGATTTAGCGCCTACTCGGGTTTAAAGACTGCCTTCCGACGTTCGCGCTCGCCTTCTCAGACTTCACCCGTCGCGTCTACAATGTCCAACAACGCTGTGAACGGAATTATCGGCGAATACTCGGGAAATGACTTCACAATCAAGGCCACCTTCACGGTGTTTCTGGGGATCGCTCTCTACAACTCCCTAGAACTCTTGGTGCTCATATTTGCCTCTTTTCGCCGTTACCATGGCCTATACTTCTGGAGTCTGTTGCTATCCGTGTCGCTCGGGGTCGTCCCGCAGTCTTTGAGTTTCATCCTGAAGTACTACGATGTCGGTCCGCTTTGGTTCTCCATCACCTTGTCGACCATCGGATGGTATTTCATGGTCACCGGACAGGCTCTGGTCCTCTTTTCACGTCTCAACATTGTTGTTCAGGATATGACGATCAGCCATCGTGTCTTGACAATGATCATCATCAACGCCATTATTTTGCATGTCCCAACCACGGTCCTCACATACGGCTCCAATTTCGTTCAGACCCCCGTCTGGGTTCATGGCTACACGATAATGGAGCGCATCGAGCTTACGGGGTTCTGTCTTCAAGAATTTATTATCTCTGGTCTCTATATCTCCAAGACCGTCAAAATTCTTCGCATGTCGCCTCCGAGCCTCGACGGCCACAACCAGAACCGCAAGATTATGTACCAGCTTCTGGCTATCAATGCTTTGATCATCATTATGGACGTTATCTTGTTGACGTTTGAATATCTGAACTACTTTGTGATCCAAACCACCCTCAAATCGGCAGTCTACAGCATCAAGCTCAAGCTGGAATTCGGTGTTCTCAGCCGTCTTGTCTTTCTGGTGCAATCACATCGTTACTGGCCACGCGAAACGGAAATCCATGAGACGAAGGCTCCGAACCGGCTAAATTATCACGCCTTCCTCGACGTGTCCGATGGTAGCACAGAATACCCGTCGTCGCCTAAGAACTGCCAGATACCATCTTCCCGTCACCTGTCAGCATAGATGCGTTTTGGAATATGAAAAGACATATTACCCACAATCATCCAAGACTAAACACTGCGACACACCATCAGTCCTTGGGCCAGTGTCCCTTGGCAGGCCGATCCAACGCACAAAGACCAAGGACACGAAGACCAAGGAGATGATAGGCGTGAGCAACACCAACATGCCCTTTTAGTGCATTATATCAAAGAGATACCCTATTGTCGCATATTATCGTCAATGCACTTTATGAATCTGCTATTACCTGCCGTGATTGGGTCAATCTCTCAAAGCAATGGCGTCACTACAGTCATGGAGGATTGGCCGATGAATACGCTTAGTTGGAAATTCAAGAAATTGAGTTCCATCCCAGTGTTCCACTTGTCTAGTGACTTCAAATCTCACATGAGAATGAAGTGTGGAAATCTTGCTCTTGCAAGCGTGAGGCATCGCGCACAGATTTATATCAAGGAATGACGAGCAGCTCAGGAGAAAACATGAGGCGAACAAGTCTCAGCTCCAGAGCACGCCAGAGCAGGGTGCGGGAATACTTTGCAGCGGTTTTTCACCGGGCAAACCAAATGTAACCTTTCTGTCTATACCATTACGAAGTAACGAACGAAAAGAACAAACAGAGAAAATTCTAGTCTCTCTTCACGTGGGCTTCGAGGTGGGCTTCAAGTAGCAGGCCGAGGTGATCTGCAGTGTTTTAGACTTAACAGCAAGCCCCTAGACTAATCAATGTGCCAAGTATGGAGTCCTGCATATAATCCGGCCTAGGATGTCTCTCCTTTCCCATGCCGCTCGCCAGAGGAGATCGTCCATTTGGCCAGGTACCAGGGTCGGAGAGAGTCCTAATGAGGCATTTTTGGATGTAGATTTCTGGAATCTCTCGAAGAGAATGTATGCATAGCAAAATCGCCCTATGATCTGCAAAATATGTGCGGCCATTTGTCGGGGTTGGCCTTCCCACCGTCGAGATCCTGAATGTTAATCCCGAACGTGCATATACGTAGTTATACTGTCGATCCACTCATTCATACAAAAGCCAAAGGCCATCGGGCCCTAACAGAAGGCTAGTGTCTGTTGCTTCTAGAAGCCATTTCTCGGTTTGATCTGTAACTTAATTTCCGACTGATCATCCCGATCCCTGAGGATCATCTCTTGATTCAAGAGCAACCACACCGGAAGGATGCGAAGCCGTTCAGGGTTACAGAATAACTATGGAATAAATGAAATATAAATAATGAAGAAAGACCTCTAGAAGAAAATCCAAGACCAACACAAAGCAGTCAAAGAATTCTGAATATTTTACCGCATCATCAGTTCATCATGTTCTGGTTTGATATTGCAAATATTGCAACCGTGATGCTGCTGCTACCAGCGGTGTCCTCTGCCGTTCCCCATTCTCGCCGCGCAACTGGTCTTGATAGCTTTCTCCAGTCCGAGTCGTCCATTGCCCTTCAAGGCGCGCTCGATAACATTGGCCCTGATGGGAGTGGGGCTCAAGGAGCATCCTCTGGTATCGTGGTGGCATCACCATCCAAATCGAATCCAGACTGTAAGTTCTACCGCTAGGCACACAAACTTGAACACAGTTCTAATGGTATCTAGACTTCTACACTTGGACCCGTGACTCGGCGATGACCTTGAGCATGCTGATTGAGCAGTTTCTTGCGGGAGACACGTCCCTGGAGACCACTATCCATCAGTACATCACTGCTCAAGCCACGCTGCAGACAGTATCCAACCCGTCCGGAGACCTGTCTAACGGCGCTGGACTGGGAGAGCCTAAATTCAACGCCGATATGACAGCCTTCACCGGAGCCTGGGGCCGCCCCCAGCGCGATGGCCCGGCTCTACGAGCATCTGCCCTCATGGCATACGGCACGTATCTGATCAACAATGGCCAGACATCTCTTGCCAAAACCAATATCTGGCCTATTGTGGAAAATGACTTGAACTATGTGGCCCAGTATTGGAATCAGACCGGCTATGATCTATGGGAGGAGATCCAAGGGTCTTCCTTTTTTACTATCGCCGTGCAGCACCGCTCCTTGGTCTCAGGGAGCACTTTCGCTAAATCTCTCGGGAAATCTTGCACTGGCTGCGATTCACAAGCTCCTCAAGTCTTGTGCTTTCTCCAGGACTTCTGGAACGGCTCGTCTGTTATTTCCAACTTAGCCAACGATGGCCGCTCGGGTTTGGACGCCAATTCACTGCTTGGCTCGATTCATACCTTCGATCCCAATGCCCAGTGTGACGATGCGACGTTCCAGCCTTGCTCCTCTCGTGCTCTCTCTAACCACAAGCTTGTGGTTGACTCCTTCCGTTCAATCTACACTATCAATAGCGACAAACAAGCTAGCGAGGCTGTCGCTGTTGGGCGATATCCCGAGGATAGCTATATGGGTGGAAACCCATGGTATGTTGCCACGTCCTTTCACTCTATTGACTATATCTCTCCAAATACACTAACTGCTTGACCTCTCAGGTATCTGAACACTATGGCAGCCGCCGAACTGCTCTATGATGCCCTCTACCAGTGGAAGAAACAAGGCTCCCTGTCCGTCACCCAGACCAGCCTCCCCTTCTTCCAGAGTCTCGTCTCCTCCGCCGCAGCTGGGAACTACTCTAGCTCCTCGACCACCTACTCATCCCTCACGGCCGCAGTCAAGACCTACGCAGATGGGTTTATGTCGGTGGTCGAACAGTACACGCCGAGCAACGGATCCATGTCAGAGCAATTCAGCCGGGATGATGGCACTCCCTTGTCCGCGAGCGACCTTACCTGGTCCTATGCGGCGTTCATGACCGCCGTCGCCCGTCGGAATGGAACTATGCCAGGTACCTGGGGAGAGTCTGGTGCCAACACCGTGCCCACGCAGTGTGAGGGAACCAGTACCACTGGGACTTATGTGACCCCTACTGCCGTTTCATGGTAGTCAACCCAGCTTGTCGAGCGAGAGAAATCTTGTCCTGGGGACAGGAGTCCTGCGGGACAGGACGGCCTGCGAAGCACGCAAGAAGTATCTAGGAGCTGTATGAGGGACCAATTGATATGTCGTTGGTTAGAAAGTCGCTTCGTGAATACATTTCTTTAACGTGAGTGCTGAAAATACCATTCATGTATCTCTCTCTTCAGCACACAATTCCAAAGCCAAACTCCATCAGCCGATCCACAGCCCGACCCATAGCAAGCCCGATTCCGTGTTCGTAAAGCTCATACGCCATAAAAGTCATTTAGTCCATCCAACAATCGCATTTGAACCAATCAGAATTCACAGCAATTGGTGATGTCCAGCATCATCATTGCTAATTACACTCCCCACCTCAGACCAGCTGGCCGGTGTCGCTACCTCGCCAACTGACCGGTCACCAAAGTCACTTAGAGTACCATCAGACGATCTGTCCGTGAGATTTCCCACATGGCTGAAGCTTCCCGCCGTGGACGGAGCGACCGAAACATCCTGTTGAAGCTGGGAGGGCTCGTGACCCAGTCCATCTAGGTCTGTGAGGAGCAGACCAGGTTGGTGAGCTGGGTTTGCTACCGAATCTGGATGAGCATAGAAATGTTCTTCCGTGTGACTGGATGCCGAGGCGGATACAGGGGATTGGGGTCTCAGAGGAGAGTTCGAGAAGGGACCAAACGGTGTGCTTTCTCCCAACGTTTCAGAGGTGGGTGTATACTGCAGCAGCGATTCTGAAGGGTGATTCGATGCAGTATCGCCAGGGATCTCGACCTGCACGCGATCTTCATCCAGGAGATTCTCATGGGCTTCATTATGCTTGCCCCGGCGCCAGAGAGGCTGTTGAGCGCCCAGTTCTACGGCTGTGGAGTTGGCAGCATGGTCTGTGTCAGCGTCGCTGGTGCCATCCAGCACCAGTTTGCCATTATCGTCTACGAGAGTATCAAAACTCTCGAGCGGCTGCTGCAAGTCTCTCGCTCTCCTTCGTGCCTCCAGAAGGGTTCCTCTGTGCATAATATCTGCTCGTGCAATCCGTCTACGTTCTTCTGCGGCCTCGCCAGTCTCTTCGGTCATGGAGATATCCTCTCGGAGCGGAGATGCCAACTCGCGCGGTTGAATCTCATCGCCAAGGTGATGCAAGGCCAAGGCGATCTTGCGACGAGAGTTGATCACCCATTGTTGAAACTGGGGCGACTCGTAGACGGCGATGCCTGCAGCGACCAGAACAGAGACCGTAACAATAATACCTGGATCAGGGTTAACAGCCGCCTCTTGACTTTGCCCCGCTGATAAAAGCGAGTACACACACCGCCCGGTTGACGCGGAGTCAGTCTCTTGAGGTGGGGAGAGGGACAAAAAGCACAAGGACGGGCGAACCAACCTTTGGCAATCGGAGCAGGCATGCTGAACACCTTTTCAGAGTTGAACCTCAACCACCTCGTTCATCTCTTTCGGAGCTTGTCAGATCGATGATGCCTGGCCTGACAAATCCCCCCACTGATCCGCGTCCCTCACCGCCTTGGTCTGTTTTCCTCCCCCGCGGACCTGATCTGTTGTTGGGTTGCTTCAACACGCCACAACACCATGTCTCGCCAGCAAATTCAGCCCCAGCGGCCTCTGTCTCTAACGGAGGAGTTGGAGAAGTTGGAACAGTCCATCACGCTGACACTGCAAGGTAAGATCCCTGGAACGAACAAACAACTACTCCTGCAGACAGCTAACCCCCGGTTCGACGCGTAGAGATCGACCACAATTTCAGCCAGGCCCATCGCATCGTGACGACGAGCATTTTGCCCCTGGTGGAGCAATATACGGAGCATTCCCGAGATGTCTGGGAGGGTGCCAAGGTGAGCCCGAGCTCCGATTCGGTTGCCACAGATCGGGGTTAATTTCGCATACAGTTCTGGAAGCAATTTTTCGAAGCAAGCGCGAACGTGTCGTTGTCTGGATATGAAGAGCGGCCCAATGATGATGATACCGTCCAGGAGCCCACGGCGACAGAAGAGGAACTGTCCGCCGACATGACCCAGAGCACCGGCGTTGACGAAGCCGACCAGTCCTACGAAACGCCTGCTTCGCATCGCAAGGATGCTCACCACGAAGGAGACGAGATTGACCTTAGCTCACTCAATATCTCCTCGCACAGTACACCGCGCGCTCCGGGACAAGGCCAGACGGTTGGCGACGACGACATCACATCCACGTCCATCGGGTATTCCTCATACGAACACCTGAAGAAGCAGGTCAATGAGAACAAGCCCCCGTTCGACATGCAGGACTCATCAGAGCTGCCGTCCACGCCGGGTAAACAGACTTTCTTTCCCCACGGTGTCTCATCTGCAACTCCGATGTCCTCCCCGTTCCTTCCACCCGCCTCGTCAGCAAGAAACCCACCTGGATCACGGGATACCCGGTACCAAAAGTCCACAGATCCTGTTCTGCATCAGATGCTCGATCGGACTTATCGAGTGCAAGCCACACCTCTTGGCAAAGGATACCGCAATCCCGGCGCCGGGGGTGCCAGCGCTCGCGCCAAGTTCACCGTTACGCCCAAGCCGGCTGAGAAATCTCGCTATGCCTTTGATGATTCTCCCCTATCCAGTCCAGAGCCCGAGGCGCCGCAGCTGCACTCCGACATATTTTCTTCTCCTCTCAAGGGTGCCACACCCGGCACCGCGCGTAAGCGGCGGACCAGCAGTAACCGCCCTCGGGCCACTCCTCGACCAGGCATGAGCGTTTTGACTCCCGCGAAGAAGTCTGCCGGCAAGCAATCCATGTGGGACAGCGACGATGATGATTTTGACGAGGATGACGAACTGGGGCCCAGTCCCCCGAAGACAATGCAGTTCCATGTTCCTCAGAGTCGGTTGATGAAGACACCTGGTAAGTCTATCTGCTCGTCTTTTTCTTCAATTTATCAATACTGACTTTTTTTCACCGTCGCAGCCAAGGAAGCCTCCAAGCGCATCGTCACCGACCTCCTGGCCACTGCGGGCGCAGACGACTTCTCCGATGAACTAGGCGATGACGACCAGAGCCCGAGTGTCATTCGTCGCATGGATCGTCTGGAAGATGATACCTTTTAAGCAGGCCGGTCCTCTATTTCTGGTTTTTACTTGTTCCCCAATAGGTCCCTCGAGGGTCCTTGTAATTATTGCCATGAGATGCCCCTCTAGTCCATTGCTACTCCGCATAAAATTAAGCCCATTTGAACGAAGCTAATGTGCTCCTTCTGTGCCCTGTGTTGTATAGTTTATTTACTTCCCGTGACCTTAATCGCTAGGAAGAGCTCAAGGAAAGTAATAGGAACGCGATAGACCAAGAGAAAAAGAGCACGTAGGAAAGGAGACGGACGAGGTGAGTTGTATTGATGCTCGGCGAGTTATCTCTATATCGGGTATGGGTCTGTCTTGATATCTCCGTCTGCGCTGTTTGTCTGCTTGGGGTAGGCTTTGATAGTAGCTAGTCTTTCAGGGAACCATCTGTTTTAGTGGGGTTGAAGGATGCTTGAGGATCAATTGATTTAGGTCATTCATTAAAGAGGAGAGTGGAATCACCAGCACCTGGCAGAGTATCTATCATACACATATAGGACCAACTTTTTTTCAGGTCATAGGGAAATAAAGCGCCGAGGGAGAGACATGCAAAGAGATATGAGCCCTGACGCCAGAAAAGAAAACGAGAGGGCGAGGCGTCCGACATGGTTTTTTTTTTGCAGCCATGGTTCCAATTTGTTCAATGATCGCATGGGTTGATTGGATAGAGAAAAGGATGTAATCGAGGAGAAGATGACGTGAAGTGTATGATGGAAGAGGTACTGAATCAAGCATCCTTCTTCTTCGATTCGCGCTCAGCCTGAATCTTCTGGTTCTTCAGGTCGCCCTCTAGCGGCAGATGGCCCTTGCTCTTGGCGTCCTCTGAATTCGGGCCAGTGGGATGCTTCTTCTCATGGGACTCAGGGGACTCCTCCTCATGTTGCTTTGCATAGAGCGACTGATGGCTTTTCTTCAGACGCTGCTCTTCAGCAGCAACCATATCCTTCCACAGGTCACCCTCAGCCGGCGCACTTCCCGAGTGCGAGGGCTGCGTTTCAATGAGCTCCTCCTTGGCCAGCTTCCCCTTCTTCTGCTTCGCAGCATCAAGAATCCCCCTCCCACGGCGCTGATCCGAGATCTCGAACGCGGCCGAGGCACAGAGCACAGCGAGGGTCAGACCCTGGGCGTACACACGGGCCTGAACAAGCTTCTGCTGTCCGGAAAGGTAGGGGTTGCGGCCGACGAGCGCAAATGAGCCCACCATGGAGGCCAGCCAGGTAGCGCCAATGATCTTGTACTTCTCGCGGCGGGCAAAGGCCATGGCGCGGTCTGTGAAGCTGAGGCCCCGCAGTTCCTCTTCACGGAGCCGCTCCTCGCGGTTCTCGTACCATTGGCGCTCTTGGTTGTGCTGCATTTCGAAGTCGCGCGAGGCGTGGTCGGCTGCCACGATGCCGACGAAAGTGGCCGACGATGTAGTCAAAAACGCCTTCATTGGCAGCGTCAGATTGCGAATTGTGTGGTAGCGACGTGCAGCGAGGAGTACGCCTGCTGTACCGCCGGCGAGACCGAGAACACTGCCGATAATGCCGCCTTTGACGACGGAGCTGTTGGTGAGAGCTTTGGGTTAGCTGTGCGTTACATAGAGTGCAGAGGTGGGAGGGTCAGGGGCCAATCGTACCGGTAGTGAGCGCTCTCTTCTTCCTTGGTCAGGAGCTTCATGGTGCCAGGTGTTGTATTGTATGTTGTGTGTTGTGAGTTGTGAAGACAGAAAAAAGGACAGGGAAGAACGAATGATTTAAGTCTGAACAGGACATGACGTGACGATGCGGGATCAGCCGGACTAAGCTCGGCGGCTACTCGGCTTCGGCATCTTTTACCTTTTTTCAGTCACTTGATCGTCGAGGGTTTTTCTCTTGATTGCAAATCAAAGTTGTATGCTATTTATTCACTATGACACGCCCCTAATAACGAGTTTCTCCGAATCCTTAGGCAAATCCCGAAAACGCCAATGACACCTCCCCGATGTGAGCCGGACAGCCCAATCATAGAAAAAAAAAGTTACAGTCAAAATGATGAGGGTATTGTTGTGAGTGCAAGCCTAGCGGCGAGACGCTCTCTGCGCCGCATTCTGGCGGGCCTGCATCTTGCGGAATCGGTCCTCGCCGCTGGCACCGAGAGGCCGTGCGAACCGGCTCTCCTGCACGCCCGTCTGGCGTGGGACCACGGTGTAGCTGACCTGAGTACGATCGACGCGGGCACGGTTGGCCAGGCGAGGAGGCAGCATTTCGCGGGCGCGGGCTTCGGCAGCAATGACTTCGGCGGAGGCGGTGGTGCGCTTAGTGAGTTTTCTAGATACTTTGTCAGCCAGTGATCTGGAGAAGTTAGAAGAAAACACATACGTGGGGTCGAAATCGGCCTGTTGGTACACCCGCTTGGAATAATCGTCGCTGCGCTGGAGAATCGGACGTGTCCACTCGGCCAGCAGCTTCTCGGCCATATCCTTGATGCGGCGCTCGGTGCGCTTGCTCTTGGTGTAGAAGACAATCACCTTGCCGATGCCACTGGCAATCAGAGCGTCTTTGTTGATAGGGAGCTTGGTCAGGGCAAGCATCAAATCACGCTGGATGTTGTAGGCCGGCATCGACCCGTCGTCCAGGGGCTCCAGGAAGAAACGAACAGCCTCCAGCAGGTTGATCTCAGGATCGACCAAGCTGTTGATGTACTGGTTGCGGTTGAGGAGCATGATCACCTCTGGCAGCAGCTTCAGCTTGTGCATGGCGGGCTTGCCCTCTTGGCGGTTGACTGCATCCATCTGAGCAGCGTGGGTCATGCGCTTGCGCATATCTTCAATTTCGTTATCCGCCATCGCTTCCAAGTCCTGTAGCCATCGTAAGTACGGGAGGTTGAGAAACAAAGACAATCACATACAATGCCATCCTGCTTGCGGAATCGTCTTTTTGTAGGCTTCTTCAGTGCTTCATCCATAGCACGATCGAGGGCCCGGCGACGACCTATTGACCACCATTAGTTAAAGCAAATTCCACCTCCGACTCCGGGCAGAAACATACGCGTCTCGGGATCCAGAGTCTCCTCATCCGTCTGCGGCGACTCAGCCCTCTTCTTGCGCTCCCGACGACGAGCAGACGAGCCCTCCCCACCTTCCTCCTCCCGATCGCGCAGCCGACGGCCCTTCTTCTCCCGACGACCCTCTTTCTTGCGGCGCTCGCGACCTTCTCCATCGTCGGTGCGCTTGCGCTTGTGACGACCAATAAGTTTCAGATTTTCCTCATCGATCGCCAGTTGCGGACGGTCTTCGACTTCGACGTTCTCCAGATCGAAGTCCTCGAACTGCGCCTCGTCGACCTCGGACAGGATGGAGTCGTCATCTGACAAGTCGGCTCCGCCAGCGTCTTCATTTTCTTCACCCGCGTCAGGTTCGGCGGATTTCTCGCGGCCTTCAACGTCAGCGTCCCCGATGATCGGGGTCGTGGCCTTCTCGCTCACGTCGGCCCCCGGGGTTGCGACGGGGGACTCGGCCTGGGGTTCAGGGGAAGCGGACATGTTGTTTGAAACTCGGTGACAGAACCGAGAGAGAGGTGCCGGCTGGAGGGAGGTCGCGAAAAAGGGCACGGTCTGTTTTCAGCGCAAGCTGTCCCGACGCCTTCTCCGCGAGATCAAGCGGCGCGGTTCAACAACAGCAGTGGCGATGACAGAGACAGACTAGCAGATCGAGTCAATACAAAGAGAAGATAAAAGCGTGTAGACAAAGAAAGCAAAGAGATAGGGTGAAAGGAGAGACGGAGGGAAAGGAAGTTGGAAGGCGAAGAAGGGTGGTCCGTGCTCCCGTGATTTCTGCCAGCGCCGGAATCCTCACGCTCTTCCTTAGCTATTCAACCATCCACTGGACTTACTACTTACCCTACACAACCCATCCTTCCATCATGTTCGCCCCAGGTTTGTTCCACCTTGGATGGATCGAGTTCATCTCTGACGATACTAACTGTCTATGAAGGCCAGGAAGCGCAGCTCTCCAAGGAGGAGATCAGGGTAACTATCTCTCTTTTCACTGTCACTTTCTCTGGATTAGTTATTGACACGCAGCTCCTCGCAGGCCGGTGAGATCGACGCCAGCAACACCGTCCGCATGGTCATCGCCGGAGGATTCCTGCTCTACCTCTGTAAGCCGAATACCCGCAGCGACGAGTTGCCTGGTTCAAGACTAATATCAAAACAGCCCCCTTCGCCGTCGACTTTGCCCGCAAGTTCCTGTGAACGGATCGCCCGGCGAGCTCTGCACGAGTGAATTGTTGGGTGATGAAGCTCAGAGGATCAGAGGTTGGGCTATTTCTCCAGAGCCGGATTCCCTCGACCGGGTTACGCATCGGTGGTTACACTGGAACGGTTTCCTTGGCTTGAGCATCATGCCTGGACGATGTATTATTATTGTACATGTCTGTTTGTCTTTTTGTGTGATTTCCCTTGGAAATAGAAAAACAGGGAAGAGAACAATGACATCCCAAATAAAGCAACGCAGAAAGCAGAGTTGTATTCAACATGCATGAGAGCAACCCGCTCTCCCTCCAATAACGCCGGTGCTTCGATGAGAAAGAAACGTAATTCAAGCCAGGTGAGATTAGTTTCCATTCAGCTTTTGTGTTTCGTCGAAATCCTTCTTGAGCGACCCGAGCTCTTTCTGCAGGTGCTGGATTTGGGCATGGTAGTCATCAAGAATCTGTGAAGGACGGAGTCAGTCAAATACGTTGCGAGATAGAATAGCAGAGCCAACGAACCTTCTTCGCCGTCTTCAGGGTCTGTTCGTCGATTTCCTCATCGCCCGGAGAGGCTATATGTCCGCCGGCACGCGACATCTCTGCTTGCAGCCGCTTCGAGTGCTCGTGGATAGCCAGCATGCGCGCCCAGATCTCCTCGCCACGCCCGTTCAGCGACGGGTCGAAGACAGAGCGTTCCAGTTGGGTGAGCTTCTTCTTCAGCTCCTCCTCTGCGTCGTCCATCGCGTAACCACGGTTGCGCAGAATCTGAGTTTTGGCCGCGAGGGCAAGGCAGCGCTTGCTCAGGACAAGATGCTTCCGACGGCAGTCTGCGATCTTGACAGAGATCTTCAGGTCATGGCGAGAAAGCAGATCCGTCAGGCAATTGTTGATCTCGTGAAGACGTGCTTGCATCATGGTCAGGAAGTCCTTCTGCCGCTGTGCGCGCTTGCCGAGATCCCAAAATCCCTTGACGAGCACGGGAACGTAACCCGGGCCCGGCCGCTTGCGGAGGGCCTCCTCCCATTTGGTCTCGTCATCTTCGGGGCCTGGTTGGTAAAATGGCGCGGCCTCCTCGCCGACATGGTTGTACAGGTAGGCGCGGAATGGGGATTCGCGGCTGGGTGCATCCCACTTGTCCTTGACAATAGCGATCTGCATAGGGACGGTTCGGTGGACTAGAGTTAGAGTTCTCAGTAAGAGCGTTCTTGGGGGAAAATTTAAAAGACGTGGACGAACCTCCAGTGATAGCGCGACCAGGCGACCAGAGACTCGACGACAAGGACTGCTGTTGCTGCTGAGGCTGGGTCATGGTAGTCTGACCAAGTTGCGATTGCTGCGGCTGTTGCGCCTGCTGTTGCTGACCGCCAAGTAGGGAACCACCAAAGAGGCTGCCCTGCTGCTGCTGGGGTTGTTGTTGCGGTTGCTGCTGCGTGCTCGCACCTAGACCCCCGAAAAGTCCACCACCACCAGCGGCCGGCTGTTGAGTCTGCTGCTGCGGAGCGGCACCACCAAAAAGGCTTCCTGCTGGTTTCTGTTGCAGTGATGAGCCAAAAAGTCCACCGGTCTGTTGCGGGGGCTGCTGCTGCTGCTGCCCGACACTACTTCCAAACAAGGACCCAGCCGGCTTCTGGGCAGTGCTCGATCCAAATAGTCCTCCAGACTGTTGAGGCTGAGATGTGGCAGCGGAGCCAAAAAGACCGCCCGTCTGCTGCTGCTGTGGCTGTTGTTGCTGCTGGTTCTGCGTGGACCCGAACAATCCTCCGCCGCTGGGCTGGGTAGCCGGAGCCGTGCTGGCACCAAATCCACCAAAAGAACTGGACTTATTCGCGGAGTTTCCAAAAAGGCTCCCGCCTGATTGGGCCTGTCCTCCAAAGAGAGACATGGTGGGCGTGGAGAAAAGACGCGGCAAAGTTCCGCGAAAAAAAGCACGGTCAGCAGGCGAGTGTAGCGACGGGGCCAAGCAGGTTTAGTCGCGGTAGGATTAAGAGCGTTGGTAAATGGCTAACCAGTTCACCGTCGCATAGTCTCCGGGCTGGGCGTTGGAGGGAGTGTGGTGGGCGAGGAAACGAAGGACACGAAGGGCAAGAGTTGATGCAGGAGCTTGGGAGATGCGCAGCTGCGGTTTGTTTAGGTCACGTGAGTAACTCACCACTTGGAGAGGGTCAATAATGTTAACTGTCCAGTGATGGAGATATTCTCATCCAATGGCTACTGCTCAATCCTATTAAGGTATTCTTCTCCATTGAATCAATATTACCATTCTACACCTTCAGTCTCTAGTTCGTCTGCCCAGCACGAGTCACTTACTAAGCGCCATCCACCCACCAATCAGAAGCGCGCCAAAGAACCGACTCTTTCCATTCCCGCAGCTCTCTCTCTCTCGCCAGCGACACCCACCTCCGATTGCCAATTGCACCTCCCCCTTTGACTCCAACCGCTTGAATCCCATCCAGCCACTACAGCCATGGCCCAGAGAGATCCTCGGTATGCCCCAACCCCACGCCCGCGTGCTCCGGCTTGGCGTACTAACGCTCCCATCCCTCGACAGGTTCAACCAGCATGTCCTGGTCGACACGACGCCGATGCCCGACCACATTCCCAAGGTCGATGAGATTGGCGCGACGTCTGCCCCGCTGATGAGCGCGGCGTACTTCATCGGGGACCGGTGCAAGGCGTACAACGATGACTTTATGAAGTGCAAGGACGAGGCCAATGGGCGCGGGGAGATCGACTGCTTGAAGGAGGGAAGGAAGGTCACCCGCTGTGCGGCTAGTGTGTACGTTGATTATTACACTTGATGGATGAGGGCATCCATTGGGGGCATGGGTACTGACATATCTGCTCAGCATCAAGGATATCAACACCAACTGCCTGAAGCAGTTTACCGCTCACTGGGAGTGTCTCGAGAACAACAACCACCATCTGTTTGAGTGCCGACGGGCGGAGCAGCAGCTGAACAACTGCGTTTTTGAGAAGCTGGTATGTCTCTGTGATACATCCACGACCCGTCTCCCGCGGCCATCCTATCAATCCACAATGAAACTAACATCATCCTCTTCTTCTCCTGCAGGGCCTGAAGAAGACCATCCCTGGCGCCCCCGAGAACCAAGTCCCCGTGCACATGCGTCCCAAGCAAAAATACGCCCAGTATCCGGGTCCGCAGTTCTAGAGTTAGGGTGGCCCGAAAAGCACGATCCCGGTTTTATATTTCCTTCACTATTCCCGTCTCTCGTCATCTTGGGATCCTGTTTTGTTGATGCCGTCTCTCTCCTATATCTGTCTGTCCTCTCCGTGGTGTATGTTTTGTGTGTAAATATCTCGTGGCATCAGGAATGGTTACATGAATTCAGCTCTTTCTATTTGATCTACTGTTGCCTGGTTGTCACATTTGTATGTCTTTTCTGTCTCTCCCGTGGCAGGGGAACTGGCTGTACACCTAGTCCATCAAACTGTGTCTCTCGAAACACCTGAAAAAGGAACCTCCGCCGCCTCGTCTCACTCTTGAAACCCGTCTAAAGTGATCCAATTCCAATTCACGACATCATGCTTGACTCTAGCTCGACCACATACAAACTGTATCATACACTCTAAGCACTTGAACGGAAAAAGGGAGAAAAGAAAGGAGGTATAAACCCTCACTGGAAACCCCATATATACTAGACAAAAGAAATACTCGGAACAACAGACACAAGGGGGACACCATGAAAATGAGAACAAGGAACACCGGATGACAGACGCGGATGAAATGCAACGAGATCATAAGAAAAGAGAAAAGGGAGCTACGGCAGCATGGGTGTTGTCGCGCCGATGCGCTTCAAGAGCTTGAACCGGCCCAGCCGGGCCTTCACCTCGGACCAGCCCGTGCGCAAGCGGTCCTCGACACGGCGGTCACCGCGCATGCGCATCCAAATCAGAAGCATGCCCAGGAGAGCGATATCCATGATAATCTGGCGGAGCGCAACCCACAGCAACCACTTGATCCAGGCGAAGAGACCCGAGCGACGGCGCTGGGCCACCGTGCGGGCTTCCATCTGCTCGCGCACGGCAGCGATCTCGGCCGTCATCTTGGTCAAGGCCTGCTCGACCCGGCGACGCCAGCGGCTGTCCTTGGGGTTCCCGCCGCCAAGCCCACTGCCGCCACTGTCGACGGACTGGTGATGGCGATGTCGACCTCGTCGATGGCGGTCTTCGCTGTGCGAGGCGGTGCGGTCCGTCCCGGTGCCTGTGTCTGTATTTGTGCTGGCGTGGTCTGGTTCCTCGTAGAGACTGTCGCGCGCTTCTTCGTACTCCTCGTCTTCTTCGTCCTCGTCTTCATCGGCCTCTGGGTCGTCATCATCCCCATCCTCCACATCATCGTCGTCTGTTGACCGTACTCGTCGCCGCCGGTAGTATTCTTCTTCCTCGGGCTGGCTGACGGGGCTGAGCACTCGAAGCCGCGATTCCCGAGCACCTCTTCGACTGCTATCTGCACGTAAGTCTGGTCGTTCGTAGTCCTCTGGCGACCTCGCCAATCGACCCCCGATACTCCCATATGCGCTGCTCGACAGCGGCGGAACACCGACATTATGTAGTGGGCCGGAAGACGAAGACGAGGAAGCATTGAATTTGATCTGGTCCCAGACAAACTCGAGTTCGGAGACTAGTTCGCGCGCCTCGGAGGTCTGCGAAGCGTAGCGGTGCATCGTATCGACTAGGGTCGAGATATAGCGGCGTTTGGCCTCGGTGCGCGAGAGGCCGCGCTGGGCATACCAGGCGTCCCTACAGCAATCAGCATGACAGCTATCGGTGTCGATGTCGTTGTAAACATACCACTTTTCGCACTCCGCGTGCACCTCCGGTGTATTCCCGATCGGTCGATCCATCACGCCCTCCACATCGCCCTCTGTTGATTCTGATATGAGCAATTAATTACCCAATTAATGAAGATCACGCACCCATGCTCTGTTTGTACAAGCCATAGAGCTTCAACCGTTCCGCCGCGGGGGTCGCGCGGTCCCCGTCCGAGGGATCCTCTTGACGGTGTTGAGGGCATGGACAAAGACGCGATCTAGGCGAGAGCGCGTGTCAGTCAAGAATGCATATCCATAGTCTTGTCCCATTGCAGAGGGAGGATATCACGTACCTACGGAGTCCGACATGTTGCGAGACGACGAAGCGGTCCGGTCCCTGACTTCATGAGAGCGGGGATGGGCATCGGCTGGCGCGGACGGACCGCATGGAGAGCGAAGTAGTTGAGACACCGCTGGGAAGAATAATCAGGGGAGCAAGTGTGTTGTGTCCGAAGTCGCGCGATCAAGGAGGTTCGGAGTGCGGGAGAGGTGCGGGTCTGTCTGTTGGCGGGAAAAGGGAAGGGAAAAGCAACGAGTTTCGCCGAGGTGAACTGGCCCGGATTATTTGAGCACACGAGTAATAATTAAGTTGGCAGTTCAGGGGTCAATATAATGATTAATGGGATGAAATAATAATAATAAAGACCAAGAGCGACTGGATTGCATCCTCGGAGTGGCGTGTGTTATCAGGACTTCGTTGGGCCGCGGCTGTCGGAGATCGTCAGGGCACTTGTGATTTCCACGAACCCGCATGGAATGTAGTTCTACATAACAAAAATATGAATGGGTTCATAAGTATCTACGTTAGGATTGAATCTGGTTTATCGCTGCATCATTATCAAAAGCAAAATAATCAAGTACTATACAATCGAGCATGAGTCTACTCGCTCGACGACGGCTTCTTCTCCGCTGTCTCCAGCGCCGCCGTATGCTCTGCATCCACGACGGTTGCGTCCGTCATAATCCCCGCGGCGGCACGGGCTTCGACGCTGCTGACAGGTGGGCCCGTGAAGTGCTTGCGCGCATAGACGAAATACCAGACGATGCTGATGGTGCCAAACCCGGCAAACACGACACTAGCATAATTCATGGACGAGGCCGTCACGGGCAGCGTCGCGGGCATGCAAAAGAGCACCACGGAGAGGATAATCCATGCGACGGTGATGCAATTGATGATGTAGCCAAATCGGCCAAGAGAGAAGGTGGAGGCGCGCACGTCGCGACGGCCCCGGACGACGGAAATGAGAATGGGGAGCCCGTAGGACGTGGACAAACAGATCGTCGCAACACCAGTGAACGAGTTGAACGCGGCTGTCGAGCCCAGATAAATCAGGCCCAGTAGACAGTCGACGGCCGCCGACAGGAGGATCGCCCAGACAGGCACGTCGAGCTTCTTGTTGACTTTGCGCCAAAGCCGGAACCCGGGGATGGCACCGTCCCGGGCGAATGCATACGTGCAGCGACTGGCCGCAGTCAGCGAGCCAATACCCGCAAAAAGCATGATCCCCAAAATGAGGAAAAGCAGGCCAAACCCGCCGCCCGCGGAGCCCGTCACTGTCTTAAACAGCAGTCCAATTGGCTGTCCGCTCGCCACGTTTCGAAGCGCCTTCAATTGCGGCAGAACGAACAGAATTGGAATCAAGTAGAGCAATCCCGTGATACCGGCCGCCACCACGGACAGCACAATGGCCTTGGGGACCTCACGGTGGGGGTTCTGCACCTCCTCACACATGGCAGCCACCATACCATAGCCCGTCAGCGTATATGCTGCCTGCAGCAGACCCACGAAAAAGGCCCAGCCCGACGGCCACCCGCTATGGGAGGCATCATAGTGAGCAAAGACAAATTCGCCGCTGCGTCGGTGGTCGGCCATGGTCAACAGGGTGATAAGAATGACGATCACACTGGCCGCGGTCCAATAGATGCACACTTTATTGATCAAGTCGAGATACCGCGAAAAGAAGACGTTGACGAGCACGCACACCAGCATCACCGCCCAGAACATGAGCACCGTCTGCCAGGCATTGGCGACGAAGGACTCGTCCCACAGAGAGATGGCGCTGAGAACGAGCTCGGCACCTCCGAAGATGATACTGAGCGTGACCGTCCAATTGCCGACGAGGGTGAGCCAGCCATCGATAAATGACATGAGCGGCGCCCAGCGACGTGTCGAGAGCATGGCGCTCCAGTAGTAGACTCCCCCAGCGGTCGGGAAGACGGCGCAGATCTCAGCGAGGGAGGCGGCGATCGCAATGGAAATGAGGGTGACGAACACCCAGCCCCAGATGATAGTCACGGAGAGGCCATCGTCGAGGGTGATGTAGAGGGTGGTGCTGAGACCGTAGGGGGCGGCCATGATGGCGAAGGAGAGGCCGAGGACGCTGAGCATGCTCAGGTTGCGTGGGAGCTCGCTCTTGTAGCCCATCCGGGCCAGCGCCTCGTCGGCGGCATCGACCGAGGTACGCATGGTGATGATGGTGAAGGAGTTGGGGGCAAGGGAGCAGAGAGAAAGGAGAGAGAGTTATAACCTTGCCCTAACCTCTTATCTCGCCGTCACTTATCACTCACTCACTCACTTCCCCCGCATGCAAGTGGATCGCGGTCTCGGACCGCGATGAAACGAACAAGTGGATCGGGTTGAGCTTATTGTGTGGTCTGAACGTTGCATTGGATCCTGCACACCAGATGGCCTGGTTGACTGGAAAGTTACTCCCTCTGAGTCGTTAAGCGAGAAATTCTCCGCACGCCACCAACTGCCCGAACTGAGACACCAAGACCCTGACGGAGCCCGATCGGCAGGGATAAGATAATGGCGGGTCTGGCTACGGGCGGTGACCGGTGGGCATTGATAAGCCATCAAGAGAATCGGGTCCCCTGGAGGCCGAGTGAGCGTGGTTTGCAGTCGAGTAACTAGTGCCCATGGGGGCTTCCGAGTTGAGCCTCAACGCCCCATCTGAGGGGATCTCATGCTGCAGAAAGATAGATGCCAGTGGGGAAGAATAAATACCCCCGATGTTCTCATTTTCCGTTGCGCGTCTTGCGAATCGACATCACCCCCCGCAGACGAACCAGATGGTCTAGAATGTTTTACTCTATCTACCGACTCTCAATTCCGATATATAGGAGCGGGGAACTGAAGCTCTCTGCACAGCCATCTGGGCCGCGTCACACAGGGCTGTGGTGGTCGGTGGGGCGCCCAAAACGGTGGTGTACACGGCAACAACAGGGTCTGGCCACGATCATTTTAAAGTGGGCTGCGGCGAACAACAGCTTCCCTGTCCTCATCGTCTTCACCTTCCGCTGAGAATCTCATACTCGTCCTCTTATTGACGCATTCAATCTATACGATCCGCGCCCCCCTCAGAATGACATCCCCCAATCCCCTGATACTACAGCCCATGACGCTAGAGGACAACGCCGCCCTGACAGAGCTCTGGTTCGCGGCCTTCTCAGACCCCGAGATGCGCCAAGTATTCCCCGACACGCCCGGCGTGCGCAAATGGCTAGAAGACGCCAATGGCCACGACATGCTCAACAAGCCATTCCAGCGCTATGTGAAAGTCGTGGACACCACGGCCACAGACGACCAGGGCCGACTGCGAATAGCGGCCTACGCGAAGTGGGATTTGGCGATGCCTCACGAGCGCGGACGACGATATCCGCCTTGGCACGAGGATATGCCTGCGGATGTGTGCGACAGGTTTTTTCTCAAGGAGGAGAAGAATCGGATGCGTGTGATGGGTGATCAGAAGCATTTCTGTATGTGTCCGTCCTCTCGGTTGCCACCGGGGTTTGTCTATACTATATACTGACGGCTTGTTATATCTGGAAAAGACCTGGACACCGTCGCTACGCACCCGGACTACCAACGGCGAGGGGCGGGCTCTATGCTTGTCAAGTGGGGATGTGATCTGGCCGATGCGGAGGGAGTTGGGGCATATGTGGATGCCAGTAAGGATGGTGCACCCTTGTATGCCAAGTTTGGATTTGTAGATTACAGTAACCCGGGTGAAGAGATTGCCTCGATGGCTCGGCGATAGCATTGGTTGGTAGTTAATCGTTTTAGTTAATATTTGCTTGGGGTAATTGATATCTAGAGTGCTCAGATCAATTGTTTATGAGACCGTTTATTCGGTCACTTATTATCTAGATGTTGACCTATTCGTACAGCAGGCCAATTGCCAGGTGTCGATATTGCCTACTATGATAGATCCCAAGTAATAGCCCGGGTAGGAGTCGAGACCTACGTTATCGAATGTACATAATTGGAACAAGTTCGATTGCTTGCAAAGTACATTCGGGAGTCACTCACGGTGACGGCTGCCACGTCGACGAGAAAGACTCCTCATCGACGAGCGCCAGACAGGATAAAAGAGAAGAAAGGGTGGTGAGAACAGCAGTCGGGTAGGGAAATGAAAAAAGGGGGGGGTATCAAAGGGGAATGTAAGGTCACAAGTTTTCCATTGGCCCGCGGGGGCCTCGAAGACAGGGATTTTTTTCTTGTTTGATCGAATACCTAATGGGACATGGGGTGGGTGGGTGAGTGAGGGATCGGAGGAATAGGAAGGAGGGAGGCGAGGGCGAAAGTAGGTCGGGGTTAACGAAAAGGGAAAAGGTAATGGGGGGTGAGAGTGCGTGGAGAGGATAAGAGAAATTGGGGAGAACGCCATTTTTCAAGAAGTCATGGATGTGTTTTGAGTGCAGGCCAAGGGAGGAACAGACAGTCTAGGCAACCGGTCTATCGCATCTCGGAGGGGAGGCAAGAAATGAAAGAAGCCTCCAGGTAAACGCACGCTTGGGTCATAACCAGCCGGTTAAGCGTCAACTCCAATCGTGAAAAGGACATGGCCCGTGGAACGATCGTCAATCGAGGTCGGAAAATGATAAAAAAAGAAAACGCCCAGTCATGCAGTCGTCAGTGCGGTGAAGTCGTTACATGGGAGATGCAGTACATCGCAGAAGGATGGCAGGAAGAAAAAGAACAACAGGCGACGGCGGCGAGGTGGACAGTTAGGGACTCAGTCCAGCAACGAGATCTTCGGAGGGATCAGGCCCGAAGCCGGCCATGTCGACCGAATGCAACGACCCTGGCCCCTTACCCAGTGATATATCCGAGGAAGCATAGTCGTGCTTGAGCCGTTCGTGCGGACCGAAGAAGGGCCGATGCTCGTCATTGGGAGTGTTGCCATCGCCGGCGATCCACGGCCCTTCCTGCCAGAAGCGGGTGTTGGCTTGCTGGTCCCCAAACAAATCGTGATGGTCCGGGTGAGGGTCAGGGCCGTGCATGGGGAACTCGTTCGGCGAATGAAACCGAAGATGCGACCGGCCAAAATTGGAGACGGGGGAGTCGGCGTGGAGCGGAAGGTCAAGACCAGACAATGGCGGGCCCTCGACCGTCGTGATATCGATGGTCGGATTTGCCGTTTGCTGGGCAAGCGCCGATGACAGCCGTAGGTTGGACGCCGAGCTTTGGCGGCTGTGGTTGGCCGACCGATCGATGGCACGTTGCACAAAGCTGCCGCAAGTCTTCAAGATCTTCTCCTGCATCTCCTGGGAGAGGCTATTGAAGAAGTCGTTCGCCAGGGACTCCTTGGGCGGCTCGTCGTCGGAGGGAACCAGCCCGTACGTCTTCTTGGCATACTCCGACAGGCCCGAGGGCATGTTGTACGGAGACTGGTAGACATTGGGTGCAAGCGCCCGCTGCTGGTCGAGAAAGGCATATTTGCCGGGCATCTTGGCAGCCGCCACGCTTCCCCGGTCGACCTCCTGCTTCACGCCTTCCGATTCCTTCTTCTGGAGTACATCTAGCCGCTCACGATGGCTGACCAGGGAGAACCGCAGCATCTGCAGCAACCGGGTCACTTCCTCCGACCGCATGTTGAGGGTCTGTGGCGGCAGCAAGGTCCCGTCGGCGGCTCGTGGCTGCACCCGCTGCTGGGCCATAACCAGCTCTAATTTTTCCAGACCATTGGCAGGCGGAATTGAGCCCATGGGACCCAAGAGGGTCTCTACCACCACCTCGGGACTAACGATCGTATACCCGGCGAAGACATTGGCATGGTCGGTGATCTGGGCGAGACGCCGGCGGGCGATGAGTTCCCGAACATTGGCAAAGGTATTGGTGGAGGGAGGTGGTGCTGCTGCTGAGCGTGCGATTTGGCGACCGAAGGATAGGGGGCATGGCGGGCAGATTGAGTCGGCAGGGAACGAAAGGCCGACGGCATCGCAGGAGCTCCAGCAGCAGCAGCACCGGCAGCGGAAGCGGCAGGTGCAGGGTGAGGGGGAGGGGCGAGCGGAGGCTGCACCAAAGGAGAAGAGGTGGGCGGTCTGGCGGAGTGAAGGAAGTGGGTGCGGTGGTGGTGAGCGTTGACGTCGTTCAGGGGTGGATTTAAAAGCGGTCGGGATTGAGCGTAAAGATTTTGCTGGTAAGGAGGGGCAGGGGCGGTGGCAGCACTATTATTGTAGCGCCAATGGCGATGATGGTGGGGGGAGATCTTCGACACTCCCAGACCCGCTCTGACGCTGTCGAGGAAATTGGCCCGTGGGTTGTGGACGGGGACGCTAGGGTTGTGTGTATACTGTGCCCTACTCTCCGTCGACTGCGCGCCCAAATAGTACCACAATTGTTCGCCTTTGTCGAGGCTGACCGTCACCGGTGGGGCATTCCGAGTAGCCTCCACCGTTTCAAACGCGGCCCACTGATAGGGAGAGTGGCTGTCGCCGAAGGCACTGCCTGCCACTGGGAGAGCGGTCTCCAACTCCTTCCGCTGTTCGGGCTTTCGCGCAAGGTGGGCCGGGAGGGGTTGGATTCCTGGCGCGAGGGGCGCAAAATTGCTCCTGCGAACAACCAGCATCCAACGATACGGCAGTTCGATTACATCCCTGTTCATAGAATTAGCGTTTATCCCTGGAAATTTTCCTTCAAAACTTACCCTCGGGGAAGGACCTTGAGCAGCAGCGATCGCTCCTCTGGGCGATTCTGAAGGACAATGGCGCCGTTAATCTCCTTGTCAGTCTGGAACTGGATCAGGTCGCCCTGCACCAGACGACGGGCGCCTTGGTTTACGCGGCGATCGGAATCCAACGACTCGCCTGAGATCCCAGCGGGTCGCTTCTGACGGTGGAACTTGCACTTCAAGTCAACGCTGGGCAAGGAGTACGTGTTGCCATCGTCGGCAATCACCGCGATAGAGCCATGCTCGATCGCAACGCCGGCCAGAAGAGCGCAAGTGGCATGGTAGGCGCGCGTGCATTTGCCAAAATTGCACTGGAAGCAAGCCCCGCGGACCTCGCGGCAAAACAGACATTTGAGTTCCAGGCGAGCCTTGGGAATCTTATCAATGTCACACACCACCTCTTGCCCGGACTCATTGCGGAGAATGCTCGTCTCTTCGATGAAGGTTGCACACCGACGATGCGCATTGCCTTTGCCATTTTCGGTCGGAAGCAAATCCTCATAGTCCAGATCGTTAGGGCACAACAGACACGGGATCTTCCGAGGTCCGTCTGGGTGGAGTTTGGGTCGTTTGGTCCTCGGCCCGTCGCCGCCGTGTTTCCGCTTTCGACCACGGTTAGAGGGCGTCTTCTCGGGCACGCTACGCGGGGGCGTGAGCAAATCCGACGCTCCCTCGAATTCGCTGTCATATTCGCCATAGTATTCAGGAGTGCTCTCGCCGCGCATTTTGCGTTCGATCTCGTCCACATCGATCCAGACGCTGTCGTCTTCACAATGACATTTCTTGGCGATACGACCGTAATCCAACCATTTTTCAGTTGCGAAGTTGACGGATTCCGCACAGTTGTACCCCACGTTGTAGCCGGAATGATAGCCGTAGGGGAACGTGATGACAAACTCCCCTTCGTAGTGGACCAAGCGGTTGACGGTGATTCCGTATTGCGACTTGAGAAGACTGGGAGAGACCAGGTAAGTCTTGTGGCGGAGGAACTGGTCGCAGTTCTTCGCATCACTCGACCAAATACTGCGCATGGCTTGTTCGAAGCGAGGCGCATCCTCCTGCGAGATGCTGTACCACTGCTTGGGGGCGCCGAAATGGATGTAGTTGATACTGTAAAGGTCGACGTCTTCCAGATGCCAGGCAAACGTTGCCTTCCACATTCCCAGGTAGAGATAGGCCGTATTGACTCCAGGCACTTTCTGTCCGAGGACGTCGAGAAGGTTCGGGAGCTTGGCAACGTTCCAAGAGGTGGTCGAGTCGTTAAAAAGTGAGCCCGGCATATCAGCGCCATACATCGGATTGTTGTACATCAGCGACTTCCAGTATGACGTCTCCAGTTCTTCGCATCGTTCTGCGGTGTAATCCTCGTTATCATGGATTCGATAGTCAAACCCCTGGAAGACTTCTTCATCCACGTAGTCCACCGTATCGCCCCGGTTGTTCTTTCGTCGGGCATTGACGGACTTGGCTTGTCGCCCTTTGGGCTTCGGGGCAGGCAGGGACTCGCCCTCGCTCAGAACCTCACTCTTAGCCTCGATGGGGTTGGACTCGGGCGACACAGGTGTCGGAGGTCCTTCAGGTTTCGACTTGTCCCCATCTTCCGCAGGAGGCTCTTCCTTGACTTTCGTCTTTTTGGGAGGACGGCCTGGACGACGTTTCTGACCTTCTGCCGGTCGAGGGGCTGGGGGCCGCGGTGTGGAGGCAACACGGTTCGTTCTTTCTAGGTTTCGCCGTCTTTCTCCACGTCGGGCAGGTGGCTGGTGACTGCTCTCATCGCACAAGCCCTTCCACTGAGGCAGATTATAGGAGCGTTGTCGTTCAATATTCGCCTGCGTGTAGGTACCGTGGGATCCGTGGAATTCCTGCATGATCGGGTTCTTCACGCGAATTTTCTTGACGGCCTCGTCGAGTTGAGGGAGTGACTCGGACCTTCAACCAAAAGAGATTTGTTAGCGCGAAAGACTGATGCCTCTCGGCGTGCCGGAACACTCACCATTCTTTTGGAGGAACGACTTTGACTATTCCTGCTTGCATTCCATATTTGTCGATCCGATTGACGAATGACTGGAAATCACGGAATTGGTCCATAGTCTAAATAGCGGAGTCAGCCTTATCATCCTTTCTGCTGCTGCTCACCCTTCGTGGAGCTCCCGACTCACAGGCTTAAAGACAGGGATCTTGCCGCCGCCATAATAGTGGTCGGGTTCGATTTCTTCCTCCTCCACTTCTTCCTGCTTGATCGGTTTCTCTTCAAGTTTTTCCGCGATGGGTTTGGAGTCCAGCTCAAGGTCGGACAACTCAGAAGGCACGCTTTCGGGAGCCTCCTTTTTGCCGTTGGCGCTCTGCGGTGGAGTGATTGAGGCAGAATCAATCACCGGGCCGCCCGCGAGCAAGTCGACGGGCGGCTGTTCGAGTGTAGCCGCCATGATGGACAGCGGTGGGTTGGGGGTGAGGATCGGATGCCGTCGTCGAAGGGCGCGACCGCTGATCGACGGCGAGGTAGGGGTGGTTCCCAGCGGTCGGGGGGAAGCGAATTCAATGGCGTGGCAGTATCGTAAATGTAGTCTGTAGACTCCAGGGTTCGCTGAGGGAGGAAGGGGAGGGCAGGCGGTGGTTGGGGATGTTGCGATAAGCTCTGCTTCGGGTGTTCTTTTTTCCTGAAGTCAATCGAACAAGGAGTCTTAGCCCAGACGCCAATGAGAATGACCAGTGAGAGTTTCCGGAAGTCAAAGGGGAGGGGTTCCGGGTAAGGTAAGAGGATGTGATGCAGGCAGTTTTGCGGGTAAATGTCGCCAAAGGTTGAAGCGCCGTCGAGGGAAATATCCAGTCAACGATGCGGCGTAGGCCTAGGCGCTAGCGATGGGAGAAGGGGAGTGAGCCAGAGCCAGTGGGCCAATCAAGCCAGCATTGGAGGGTGGGCCGGAGCACGATGGCCTGACGAAGAGGCAGGGGTGTATGATACAGTACGCCGTCCGGTCTCGGATGGATCACCGAGGGCCGGACAGAGCGAGCGAACGCCCAGATGGATGGGGGAGGGTATAACGAAATACGTGCCACTCACCCTCTCTGAGAAACCGATCTGACGATATCTCGCCCTGCGATCAACTCGGTGAAAGACAAGCAATAATAATGAATGAAGATACGGTGTTGCGCTCGGTCCAACAGGCTACTGGGTCATGTGATGTATGACTGTACATCGGATACCACCGGAGCCGAGAATTGCGAACCCCTTGATGATCTCACTGGACGCCAATGGCAATGTTATTTCCACAGAGCGTCTCAGCATTCCTGCCGAAGTCGCTCCGACTGAAACACGACTGTATGGATGGCGCAGAGAGTAAATGACTCGGGGCGATTAAAGATAGGTTTGATAGATGTCAAAGGTGGTGACATGGAAATATGTATCCTCCGGGCGCAGCACGTTGGTCACCAGTCAAAACTATGTACCTAGAGGAATATACCTCTCTATAAAATCTATTTATTATTAGCTATGCCACCCCTATCATACACGCAGTCTATCACAGCCACTCCTCATGCAATTTCGTATCCAAATCCGTAAACCCATTGACAACACCAAGCCCACGCAACCTCTCCTGCTCAATCCGCTCCCAAGTCCACTCCTCCGAGCTCCACAAGTCCTCATTCGCTTTCTGCTGCTCCTCGAGCTGCTCCCGACCGGGAATCTGCTCCTCTCCCAGCTTCAGCACCTCTCTCACCAGTGACCCATCCACACCCGCCGCTGTATCGGCGATTCCCTCACCGCTAGCGGGGGTTCCAATCGCTGAGCCCTCAGCAGATGAATCCGCGACGGTCTTGGTATTACTTGCTGGCGGCGCTGGTAAGAACCCACTTGCGCGCAGAATCCGCTCCGGTGATACGGTCAGCCGGCCCTTTTTCACGACGTACTTACTCAGTGCTGTCGCGAGAAGTGTCTTCTCGCCGCCGGCACGTTTTGCGGGACGCATGAAGCAGGTGAGGATGTACATCCATTTCTTATCCCAGGAGATGACCTTGGAGTGCATCTCGTACAGCTCGAAGGGCTTGATCTCGCGCTTGAAGCTGCAGTACACCGAGCCTAGCACAATGGATACAACTCTGCGCTTTGGTGCACGCTTGCCCTCGCGCTGGGCGGCGGCATTGAGCTCCTTGTCGAGTTCCTTGCTGACGAGCCCGACACCGGGGCTGTAGATGCGGGTGACGAGCGCGGTACGGGAGATGTCGAGGTCGGTGAAGTAGGTGCTGTTGCTCTTGTGCAGGTTGTAGTCGGTTTCCAGCAATGGGGTGCGCGATGTGACGGTGCAGGGCACGAAGACCGGGTGAGTGGGCCTGCCCTGCGCGTCCACAATGGCTTTACCCTTTGGGAAGAAAGGCGCAGTGGGTTTAAGGCGCAGGTTTCCGAGGCAGTAGTACAACAGACGGAACTGTGTTGCTTTCAGTTGTGTACCTTGGCGTGGTGGAAGGACTCAAAAGGGAGAGTACTTACATGCCAGACGAAAGGGAGACTCTTCAGGTTTATCACGGCTAGAAGTAAAGCAAGCGTCTTCCATGAGGCGAGCGATGCCGCAGCTGGTAGGAGGTCGCGCATGGTCTCTATGCGCAGGGACATATTGACTGATGGTCTTGTGAGAGGTTGAAGTTGATAAGCGATAAGTGATGATCTAGTTCCGGCAGGTTGAGCAAGGGTCTCAGGGGGCTGGCATCGATCACACGCCCTGGTACGAGATTAGGATTATTAAGGAGAGACACGAGGTGGACACAGGAGTGAAGGAATGCTTAAGTAGAGACAGATAATATGAATCATGAGAATCATTTATTCTTGATCGTTTATATGGGGACCGAGGCTAAGGGGAAACACGTGAGATCGCTGACTAACAGGGTGTTTCGGAGCGAACGCCAGTCTTGGGTATTCTTTTATAGACTACTCACTCGATCGATTTAATTCATTCGTGTCCCATAATACTTAAATTTTTCTTCATAACAAATGCAATTGTGTAAGGGCCATCGTTTCTGACGTCTTTGGAGGCCGAGAATGACATCTCTGGTACAGTCTGTATGCGGACACGCCCACGCGTTCCTGTCCCTGGTAACGAGCCGGTCGATCGTGGGCGCTTATCGTCTCTTATTCCTCAAAGATCAAGAATTTAAAACAATGTACAATCGGAAATTTATTTTATTCAACTGCGATTCTCCTTCAATGTCACCTCCCCATTCTCAATCAGCCATTGACCACGACACCCCCATTAGGGTGCAGGCATTGTCCAGAGATAAAGCTGCTATCCTGGCTCGCAAGGAATACGAAACATGAAGCAACCTCGCTGGGTTGACCTGGCCGACCGAGCGGAGTGCCACTGAATTGCTCCATAGCCGAAGAATTCATAGTCGCAGGAATGAGCGGAGTCCAGACTGGACTGATTATCAGCACAATTCACGTGAGTTGAGACCGGGGAGTCATCTCGTACCTGGCCCTGGACAAACAGCATTGACCCTAATACCGTTCTTGATCTGTTGATTCGACAATCCTCGGGTGAATGCGACGAGGGCACCTTTAGTGGCGGTATAGTCGAGCAGGTCCGGCCGTCCAATATAGGCGTTGATCGACGCGCAATTGATGATGCTTGAGCCACTCTTCAGGTGGGGAAGGGTGTACTTGGAGAGGTAAAAGACGGAGTGAATATTCGTGTCGAAAGTAGCTTCCCACTGTTCCCTATGACACTGTCAGCACGAGTATAACAGTTGGATGTGGGGAATTGACTCACTCATCCAAGTCCTTGATGTCTTCAATCATGTTTTGCGTCCCGGCGTTGTTGACCAAGATGTCGATACCGCCCAAACATTCCAAGGCTTTATCAACAACCTTCTTGCAATTTTCTTTGCCTCGTAAATCTAAAGAGATGGTATGGCACTTCTGTCCCACCTCTTCAACCCGACGCACGGTTTCCTTGGCGTCTTTCTCTTCTTCAGGCAGATATGTGATCAGACAAGTTGCGCCTTCCATTGCGAACAGAATAGCAATGGCTCGGCCGATTCCTGAATCGCCCCCAGTTATGATTGCCTTCTTTCCACTTAGCTTTCCCGCGGCTTTATATGCCTGATAGCCGCCGTCCTCTGTTGGCAGCTGGGTTGAAGTGGGCTTCGGATCCTCCATGTCATCTTGTAGACCAGGCTTCTCGTGATGCTGCACTGGAATCTGATGTCCTGCATAGAAGTATGAGAAAACTTAAGCCTGCAGATTATAGGTAAAGGGCTTACCCTGCTGGAACTGAGATTGAGGTCCCTTAGCGGGTCTTTCAGTTTCTTTCTGCATGATGGAAGGATGCGATAAAAAGCGGTGGAATGAAATTGGGAAGAGGGTAGGCTAGATTGTCTGTCATATTTGTATGTTTTCACCCTACAAGCCCAACTCATATCGAAGTCAATCTCCGTCGTAGTTATGACGTCACTTCAGTTTTACACCCCCAGGAATAGCACATTTTGTCGTCGATTCTCTGCTAAAGCTTGTGGTTGCAAGCAAGTATGACCAACAAGACTTCTGGACCATCGTTGTTCCGTTATGGGCCTGATACCATAGCCGGTTTGATAATCAGAAACCTGTTTCCATGGAATCCAGGATGACGAAAACGATAGTAATTATTCCTTTATACCTGCTCGCTATTCGACAAATACAAAATCATAAATTTAAGTCATTTGCCAACCTCGAAACACAGTATCCTTGCGGGCCACAATCGCTTCATCAAATTCCCATATTACATTCTATACAATGGCCGACGACGTAGTAGAGCTTATCTGTGAATGCAAGGTAAAACGCTTTCTAAAGAAGTATTTTGCAAAAATCTGACCTTTTTTTTATAGCATGACGAATGGGGTAAAAAAGGCAATAATTCTCTTGCAGGGCGGTTGTGGTCGCGAATGCCTGGGGCGGGAGAATTGAAAGATTCGGAGACCTATTCGGAGGTTAGTTAGCTTGTCTACTCACCAACCAGCGTGTGACTCTCCGAAAAGGAAATCAGCATTGACATTGGTAGATGTGGATGGGTACATACCCTACGGTGCCATCTCGGGTTACTTCCAACGGCGAGCTCCTCTCTGAGTACCTAAAGAACAATCCCGATCTTGTTGGACAGTCTGTTTGCGACAGATATGGCCCCGACTTGCCGTTCCTTCCCAAAGTGAGTAAAAATATAAATCATCATGGTATATCCGACAACAGAACTCATTATGGACAGATACTCTCCTTTGACAAAGCGCTCCCACTTCAAATCCATCCAGATAAAAGCTTGGCCGAACAACTGCACGCAAAGGACCCCAAAAAGTTCGGCGACACCAACCACAAGCCTGAGATTGCTGTTGCTTTGTCTCGCTTTGAGCTCTTTGTTGGCTTCAAACCAGTCGAAGAACTTGCCAACATTATGAGGCTAAAGGCCGTCGAGCAATTTGTGCCAACAAAGAGCGACTTCAATGACGAAGCTCTGCGAGAGATCTGCAAAACTTTCTTGAGCTTCCCACCGACCACCGTGTCGGAAATGATCACGAAGTTGAAAGATACCCCAGAGTCAGAGTTTGGAAAATATCGTTACATTCCATCTCTTCTAAACCGGCTGAGCGAGCAATATTCAGAATTTGACAATGGGAATTTGGTTGCCGCATTGCTGATGAACTACATGACATTGGAACCAGGAGAAGCAGTCTGTGTGCCAGCGGACAGTATACATGCATACCTCTCGGGTGACATTCTCGAGTGCATGGCACGGTCTGATAACGTCTTGAACACGGGTTTCTGCCCGCGCGCTGATCGTGACGACGTTGATCTGTTCGCACAGGCTCTGACCTTCAAGCCACACAACTCAGAAGCTGCTCATCTTCCTCCACAAGTGAGTCAATTCGGAGAAAAGGGAAAGACCCTAGTCTATGCCCCTCCGTTCAGCGAGTTCAATGTCTTGGGCATAAGCCTATCGCCTGCGGAAACTGAGACCCATGCCGTACTTCAAAGCCCAAGTATCTTGGCTGTCACACAAGGCTCGGGAGAGATGAAGGTTTCGGGTGTGGGCAAGACTATCCATGTCGAGGAAGGAAATGTGTTCTTTGCTGGATGCAACGCCAAATTGCAATTCTCCACCGAAACAGGATTGACATTCTATAGAGCGTATGCCACCTTTTGATATAAACCATCCATATTCTACTCTCTAGAGATCAAATAACATAAAACCCAATATTCGATTGCTTGAATACATCATTTTAGAAACATATGATTAGTTCATGAACCATGAAACAAAAGATTTACTTTTACTTCTGCAAACGTCTTGGGACTAGTTCGAAAATGGAAATGAGAACAGACCTGTCGGCTTGCTCAGAATAGAAAGCTTCATACTACTTTACAGCGAGCCGGCTGCAAGCACATATCCACCATCCACAACCAAAGTCTCGCCGTTCAAGTACTGATTTGTCGTCGCGAAAAGGACTGCACTCCCCATGTCTTCCTCCTTCCCAGGTCTTTTTGCCGGAACCTTTTCCTCATATTTCTCCTTCGGAATTGCACTCTTTTGCTTCTCATCGCTCTCTTTGGCAGTCATTTCACTTGGGAAAACCCCAGGCGCGATATTGTTCACACGGATCCGGAGGCCCGACGTCATCACTTCATGCGCTAGCATCTTGGTCAAGTGAATTGCGGCTGCTTTAGACGCATTATACGCAAAATGATGCTGCGAGACTTTGACGATTCCTGAGATGGATGTGATGTTAAGTACGGTGCTGGACCAGCCGTGTTCCTGCTCGGAGCCCTTTTGCAGTAGCGGAAGCAAGGCAGTGGTCATGAAATATAGTTGCGAGACGTTCGTGCGGAAGACACGATCCCATTCCTCTGTACCTCCTGCTGCATCTTCAAAAAGCGATTGACGTAACTTGTCGGGGTCTTCGTGCTCGGTTGTGACACTACTACTCGAAATTCCGGCATTGTTGATCAGGATAGAAAGATACTTCTCACGCGAGCTGAGTTCCTGAACAATTTTGTCGATTGAAGCTTTATCGGTGACGTCAGAAGTAATAGGAATGATTTGTCCGCGAATGTTCTTGTTGTATAGCTCCGCGACTCTTTCAAGCTTTTCCTCTGTGCGACCCGTAATGTATACTTTGGCACCGTTCACGGCGAGTGCCTGTGCAGCCATAAGCCCAATCCCTGAGCCGCCGCCAGTGATAAGAGCCACTGTTTTTGTTAAATAACGGCTCCCAAAAACCACGACGATGCTGCGTACCTTTGTTTTTGACACTGAACAAGTTCTCCAGCTGGAAGTTCTGATTGCTTTGTTCGGCCTCCATGATCAATTGATCAAATGGACTAGACGTTGTGGCTTGGTAGGCTCTGCGGTTGTGAGCAAGTGTGTTGCTGAGAATTGGTGGGGGCCTTATTATAGGATGTGTGACCGGGATCAAACAGGAGGAATAGTGGGACCAAACTCGGGCTGCTTTTAGAGGGACTCGCCCACTCATGATGGATTATGGTTGTTTTTATACGAAGGGTGAGTAAACACAACAAAGGTTAAATGATGACAAAATTGAGTGATTCATGACCTCAAAGCAGGTTCTAGACTTATTAACTGCCTTGAAGAAACCTAGACTTGGAGTAAATACCTGCTAGTCGCAGAATGACACAAGAACAGGCTCGCAGAATGACCCGTTCTTGTGTCATCCTGGCAGGGTTCCAATATTCGCAAAGCCTGCGAGCTAGGGGCATTGACCACCTGAATAATACAACCAGAAAAAAAAATTGGGGCATAGGTATAGATACCAGCGATATTATTTGCACGCATTTTGGTAGCTATCAGGCGTATATCCAGGCAAGAGACCACTAACTATATCATCATGACGTCGATCATGCGTAAAAGTCGATACACCCCAACTTGATGGGAAATCGATGGGGTCGATCATCAAGAAAATAGTGGTTCCAATCTTGTTCAATTCATGATTTCTAGACAGTCAGTTCTACTCGTACCGAGCGCCCTCCTTCATTCTCTCGAGCACTTGATGGCATTCCAAGAAAAAAGAGAAACTCTGTCATCTAGATTGAACCATTGTGCGCGGGGAACTTTTCACCAAAAAGAGGCCTTTGGGGGTATTATTATTGGAAGGAAGATGTTTAACTTCCATAGTTAAGGCACCTCAAACAAGGAGGTGACGGCAGCGAGCTACGGAACCTGGCCCATACAAAAGTGGAAATAAGGAAATGCTCGCACTATCTTATCAGGGATAATTCTTGCCTCAGGCAGGAGTTGAACACAACATACGCAGGTACTCGCCCCGAAGTCGGGCCCTAATCATTCCATCATTCCCTATCCAAATCATTCGACATATTCGTCATGGGACGATGTACGTTTTTGGGTTCACCTATAATACTTGACGACAGGGCCAGACACTGCGGTAATTAGAAGACCTGGTAGAAGACCTGGCGATTTAAATACCTTCTCTCGCCGCTTCCAAGACAGTCACCCTCTATTGCATAGTTGCACTTCCTTCTCTTCGCTCATGGTGATGTGAATTAGCAGTATGTCCTAAATCTCTTTTTTCTTTTCTTGTTTGCTCTATTCTTTGCAGAGGCTGTCAGCTCTAACCAGCAGATGCCTATAAAAAGCTGCTTTAGTGTAAAACCACGATTGCAAGAGTGGATCTTACGTCGATATATAACCAATATAATGCGACCTAGAATGTCCGGTGAAACGTATCAAGTACACTTCTGATTATGAGCTACTCGAAGCCTTCGTACTTATTATATCTACATCGGGCTTAGCCACTGAAGGCTAATTAATAGGTTAGCAAGACTGTTTCTTATGAAAGTCGAAAAATCTTTAGTCACTATCTTGTAATATACTTGCCCGCACAACTACGCATATTCAGTCGTCTTACTCGATACCCAGCGAGAACCTTGGAACGCCTTAGGCACCTTTCTTAAACTATTCCTCTACTAAGATTAATTCAATCTTTCCCCGCAAAATCGCCGACATGACAAGTCAATCGAGCACCCAAGACTCTCACAAATCTAAGCTTGCTAATAATCAAGCACTCGCATCGACGGCGACAGCGGTAAGAAATCAAAGATTTGACTCCATGTGTACATTACAAATATTATTACTTTGTTCCACAGACATCACCATGCTGCCCAAGGGGGAACTGTTAGTCTACAAAATACAAATGTAGCGAGATGGATTTAAAATAGAATTTGTAGATATGATTTATTTAGTTTCTATTTTTTTATACACTGATATAAGACGAAATAGCTGTCCGGGGGCGACCTAAGCTTCCTTCGATAATCCTCTCACGAATTCTCCAGCTCTCTCGGAACACCGACGTGCCTCATTTCGAAAGCCCATAAGCCAGCCAATCATCAAAACATCATGAGGCACGTTCTCCTCCACAAAGAACTCAACGGAAGACGTGTTCTGCGGCAACTTCCGGAACGCATTTGCGAGTTCTTGGTGTTCTTGACATAGCACCTCTCGACCCCCAGAGACGATCAACACGGGGGAAGGTAAACAAAAGGGATGCAGTATAGGGGCCACGTATTGTTCGACGGACTCAGTAATCTCCAAATCACTAAGGAAGTGTTTCGCACCCCAGGCAGGGAATGATGCGGGAATACACTCAGTTCTGTATCTTGGGCTGTTGATCCAGGCTTCTGTGTTAAACCCATTTGGGACGTTACACCAAGGCGAGAAGATCCAGCCGCATTTTGGTGCTGGAAGAAGAGACGAACTATTATATTGTACAATATACCGGAGCAGTGCCAAGACCAGGTCTCCTCCACAACTGTCGCCGCTAAGCACAATGCGCGATGCTGGAATGCGCAGTGTGTGAATCAGGTAAGAATAGGCGGAAATGACATCTTGGAGTTGTGCTGGAAATCGGCCTTTCGGGTCGCCAGCTAATCGATATTGAAGAGAGAACACATAAGCCGATGGTGTGTGAGATAGAAAATTCTTGGCCAAAAACCCACAGGACGCTGTTCGGCCTCTGCCCAGTATGTACGCTCCACCATGTATGTGGAGTACGACATACTGCCCTTCAGGAATGACAGAGTCTGGTGAAAAGCGCTTCGGATACCAGGTACCTCCTAATATCTCTGGTTCGATCTTTGGGTCTAGTGCGACACCAGTGTATAGTTCGAGATTTGCAGGTTCGATCAGAACAAATCGGTTACCTTCATGATGCGGCTTTAGACTAAGAGATGGTCTCATGTGAAACGCCGAGAACAATTGCAGGGACACTTTCAGAACAGTATTCATCAAGGCTTGTCGGTATGTCCAATTCCGGTCCTGACGTTGTTCGGGACGCAGATACGCAACCGCAAAGAGCGGTAGGTAGATTACCGAAGTGTCTTTTGGCGACGATGGCATAAAGGACACTGTATAATGAACAAGCGCTGTCGCAATACCGAAGGTAATAATGTGATAAAGAGATGGACGGATGTACGTCTGAACCAAGTCTTTGTCCTAATTCGTATAATGAGCTAGGCTTGTCGCAAAGTGAAGCGAGCATTGAAGATCAGCCTTGCCATGCCTCCAATTAAAATGGGCGAAGAAACCGGTTTATATCGATCGAAATCATATGAGACTGGTTATTTGCCACAGCCACAGGCGCTGAGCGATCGTAAGGAAAGAGGCGGCCGAGGATATCATCTGGCAGCTGTAACTTATTAAGGCGTTTATGAGATGTAATTAGATTTCCGTGGAATAAATCTAGCATCGCGAATGGAAGGCAATTCCTCGTCGTTTTCGCAGTTGGATTGGGGTACCATGGCCAGCCTTTACTCTAAACGTGAACCAATTAAAAAAAGTGGCGAAACTTGCCGTTCGAATTTTAGCATAACTGAAAGCATTAATACGGAGTTTACCCTTCAATGTGACTTCACTATGCTTAAATTACCTTCGATATTTGCGCGGTGCATGGTGTCAGAACTGATTGAAATCCCTGTTATTCGTCGTTCCGACTGGAATGCTGGCCAATGTAGGACTCGTTGACATGGTTAACCCAGCAGATCTTTTGAACGGTAGTCTGTAGGGCTGTCAGCCTAGCCTTGGTTATGGCCTTTCTAGTTGCTCAAAATATTGTACAGGTGCCAATGAGGCATATATCAAATAGAGATCAAACCGAATATTATCACTATCTCGGGATGCTTACGATGAAGAAGACATCACGCCGTTTAAAAAGAGCTTCGAATAATAGCTCTAGGGAACAAAGGGGAGCAAAAGCAGCAAAAAAACCCACCCCCCCCTTTTCTTCTAAAAAGACTGCGTTATACACAACGATTCACTGTTGACTCAATCTGGACAAATTATGGGTTTTCTGTAACTTCCCTCTATACATCTGACTTCTGTACGATTCGTTCGACTTCGTCCAATCCCGTCAGCTTTCTGACCGTACTATCAAGTGCCCCAAACGGTAGCATACTCCCAATCCGTATTAGCCAAGCTTGGGTTCCCCTATAAACATTAGGAGGAGGACTGCTTTTTAAAAGGTCCATCACAACAAGTTTTGCCCATTGCTGGGATGACATGCCATTGCCTTCATAAATAGCTCCTCGAGTCGTCCTCTCCACCACTTCCTTGGCATCTATATAGAGTGATCCAATGGGCAAAGAAACCGTTTTGTCGTCTTTCCGTTGGTTCTTTTGAAAGTTCGATTCGACAATGCCTGTTTTGAGATCCACAACCCTGATGCCAAACATTTTGAGTTCTAGTCGCTGCGAGTCCGAGAAGATAGCCATTGCAGCCTTCGAGGCATTGTACGCCGATTGAAATGGAATTGCACACAAGGAGGCAACGGATGTGTGGTTGACAACCATCCCCTTCGATTTCAGCAGCAACGGTAGGAACGCTTGTGTAACTGCCAAGGGAGACCACACATTGAGATCGAATTGATTTTTGGCCTCTGGTATCGAAAGGTCCGACACTGGCATATAGTATCCACTGCCGGCATTGTTGACTAAAATGTCCAATTCGGTTATTTCATTTGCACACTTTGCAATTGAGCTATCTGACTGCACGTCCAAGCGAAGTGCTTTAATGCCTCGCGATTTTATCTCTGACATTTTAGAAGGGTCTCGGGCTGTGGCATATACTTCCAGACCAGCTTCATGGAAGGCAATAGCGAGAGCGGCCCCCAGCCCGCCATCCGAGCAACCGGTTATGAGGACTTTGCGATTAGGTGATGGCATGGCTTCAATCTTGGTATAATTACAAAAATAAATATCACGCTTGATTTATCAAAAGACACTGAAACCAATATATACTTGTTACTCGTGAAAAGTCGTGACGTCAGTTAAATGATCTGGTGGTTCTAGAGCTGTAGACAACGGATCGTCATACTCAATGCGTAAAGGGGGTAAAGCAATGTTACCTAGAACACAAAAAACTGAAGCATGCGAGCAAGTCTGTTATTAAATATAAAGTGGGTAGGAAGAACCATTCGCAAACTGAAAATATTTGGCTGCGTTTTTACTGCGGGCTTCTTTCCCCAAGCCATGAGTGGAAGAGGTATGAAAAATGTTATTAGGAGAGCATTCTAACACAAATAAATATGTCGTAATGCCCAATCCTGAGTCCAAGGGATGAAATGAACTTGATGATCATAGATATGCCGTTGCGCACAAAAATCAAGAGCAATCAAGGCATCTCCAAGGACTCAGCTCCTGGGGAGTATTCTCGCTAGTATGGCTTCTTCCTGTAAACGCAATTGATGCTGTCAGTAGTTCCATACATCCGGACCCTAGTCGGCTAATTGGAATTAATCGAACTGGCCAGGTAACATGAACCGAGGACGCCGAGGCTGTTCGCCCTCGGAGGTTTACTAGAATGGGAATCATAAGAGAAGTCGGGCACCGAAGGATCTCCGGACGCCGAAATTGGGGTACAGTAACTCAACGGCTTTGCCGCGTCAAGCACCGTATCAAGATATGGCAGCACACGTATCTGCAAGATCGCATTTGTGTATGTATGTGTGTATTAAGTGCTTGGTGGTTGTAAGGCCACCGGTAACTAACTATCAAGATCGCCATCATGACGTCAACATGGTAAAACGCAATCTTGTCACGGTTTCTGAGACACCTTCGGGCCTCCTGAGAGTGCTTACTTGCTTTCGATAGCGTACCGTATAAAAAATTGTCAGATTTCTCCCACAATGGGTTACAAGATTTTGTACGGGGGGGGTTCTACAATATATGAAATTGACCGTTGGTGAGGCACAGCAACCAATCTGCGTTCCGAGGCAACGCCGAACCGCGACTCCCCCGGCTGGGAAAACCCCTAACTCATTCCCATGGGTTCGTATTCAGGTAGTGGATGATACATTCCGACGGTCAGTCCGAGCCTAAGAGGAAAACTTTATTCGGGGATTCCGACAAGGAATAACAATAAATTGAATATTTAAAGAAGCGTTCACGGACGAGTTCGTCAACAGTAAGTAACTTGGAACTCATACTTTCGTTCTTTCACGATCAAGGTATCATTTATCTCCACATACCTTGTTCACGCAATGCCCCAAACAGATGCTGCACAACCGCTGCGTGATATTATCATCGTTGGCGCCGGTCTCGCGGGGGTATCCTGCGCCATTTCCCTATGCCGGGAGTTGACACCCTACATTCCAGATCTGAAGATCAAAATTATTGAAAGAAATGAGGTTCTCTCCACCTCAGGAGGCGCTATCAATCTGAACCCTGCGGCCCAGCGACATCTCGCCTATCTGGGGGTATTGGATGAACTTGATCGGATGGGTACAGAGGGGGGTGCTGATGTCGACGAAATCGAGCTCTTTTCAATGCACTCTGGCCGCTCACTTGGCTGCGTTGATTTTAAAGGTCAAGATGGCAACGGCTACGGAGGACATAAGGGCCGGCGGGTAATGCGCATCGTACTGCTGATGGCGATGATCAACCTGGCCGAGCGTACCCGGAATATTGAGATCGTGTATGGCAAGAAACTCATTGGTGGCGAAGAAATCAATGATAAGGCAGTTGTCCATTTTCAGGATGGCTCTGTGGATATCGGTGATTTGGTCATCGGCTGCGACGGTGTACATTCAGCTACGCGCACTCGCTGGGTTGATCCGGACCGGCCCTCTGAGTACACAGGGATATCATTTTTGCAGGCTGTCGTCCAAGCGGAGAATATCTCATCTTACAAGCATTTCCGCTCGACAGCAGTGAATTTTTCACAGCATGGCGCTTTGCTAATGAGCTACTGTGACCGCGACCGAGAGGAGATCTTCGCTAGTGCGATGATGGAATTCGACAAGGACGCTTTGCATCATTATCGACTTGAACGAGAACAAAGCTGGGCAACGAAAACCAATATACAAGCTGTGTTGCGCGAGATTGTGAGGAAACGGTTTAGGAAAGCTGCCATTCCTTGCATTCTCGAAATGGTGAACAAAGATGCAGATTGGATGCTTTACCCCATCTATCAAGTTCCCCCAGGTGGTCAGTGGCACATGAGCCGAGTGATCCTGCTGGGCGATGCCGCACACGCAGTGAGTTTCCTGTGTTTTGATTTAATGTTGGTATCTGGAAGCTGAGACCATGATACAGATGCCGCCATGGTATTCTTCTACCTCCTTTGCCCTTGACGATGCAATTTGCTTCTCCCGTATCTTGGCACGCTATCGACTCGAGCCGTTGGGTGTTGTATTCGATATATATGATCGGCTTCGTCGCGAGACGGTCAACAATGCATTCAAAGGCTCGGGTAAAATGTGCTCTCTAACGAGAGATATTGGGCTTCTGGAAGAATGGTCGAAGGAATGGAAGATGCCGTTTCGTCTTCGCAAACATCGGCACGGAGATGAAGAAGCATGGAAATTCGATGCGACGAAGATTGCAATCCCCAAGCCTGCAGATGGTGAGAAGTTAATGACGTTGCATTCATTCTTGGAGGACTATACCATGTAAGGAGAAGAGTTGTAGGAATATAATAAAAGGACTGGCGTCTCATAGAATGCACTCAACTTGCTCTCACTATTAATATGCGTAGTTCATCTAACTGTTTCAAGCACCCGTTACAAGTAATTTCTAGACTGCGTGTGTAATCTAGGTGACGGTAAGGCTATTCGTCTAATGGTACGTAGTTCTCAATTTCCTAATGGTAACTTTGGCATATCGCCTATACAGGGGATTTATTTCAAAGGATATGAGAAAGCATTAAAAACCAAGAAGCAAACTTATTGCATCTCTCTGTGAGTCTGCCTAATTTATAGGTTTACCACCTTCAGTCACGATCTTTCCTCTGACTTCATCGCCACATCATATCCATTTTGGTGCTTTCTTTATCTCCGACTCCATACCAGTAAAGAAAGCCCGCATATATCGAGAATAGAAGGTTTTGTTAGAAGCACTCTCAAACGCAGAAAAGATCGACATGGTAGCCTTCTCCCATCCCTTGTCAGCGTCCGACGTGCTTAGCTGAAATCCTCGGGCTTCAGAACAGCAGATACATTCTATAGTGCAATGGCCCACGCCCCGGCGTCTTTCGGGAGTTGGTTCGCGATTTTCACAGTATCCACATTGACGGCTGCAGCATCCACCTCTTCCTGCGCAGTCGTTTGTGAGGTCAGGGTGGAGATACCATTTTGGATTAGATCTCCAGGTATCATATACCCTGCGAAATGGCCCGCCAGGAAGTAAGGATTCCAATTTGTAAAGCTCTCGCTCCAAGAGCCAATAATTCTTCGAAAGTTGGTCTTGGCCGCGAGGAAAGTACTTGAGTCTCTCCTTGTCCTCTGGGGTCCTTGCTTTCACCTTCAATGTCTGGTACTCTTGCTTGAAAAATTCTTCATTCTGAAGAACATATCCGTGCATAAACATGGGTCTCTAATTGGCCAATCTTCGCGCGTAACCTTTTCCAGGCGGTACAGAAGAGGCGCGTTTCATACAGTTTAGGTACTGACTCGATATCAGTGATCCTCATCAACCACTCCCTATATAAATCGTTGTCGAATGTCATTCAAAGTATAGTGGACATAGGTAACTTGTAGCCAAAAAGGTCAACACGCTGCAAACAAATTACATCCCTTATACCAAGGTACACCCGTTAAAGAAATCTGTATGTGGTTCCTACCCCTATTATGAATCTTTTGGCACCCTCTGATTGATACGATAGCTGGCCTTAGCGGCGGTGTTGGAACCAAGTTGTCCTTCGACTACACCTGGTACGACCAGGGAGGACCGACGATGAATCCCGAGCCACGGCCCAGAGAATCCTGGGCGTAAGTTGTAACGCGAAGTGCATCAGCCCTCATAGGTGAACAACAAAACATGGAGAAAACAACGAGCTTGGCCGTTGGCCTCATTTTAGCAGCTCTGAGTCCCTAAGAACAAAGGGCATGGCACCTTCGTTGAAGATGTTGATGACCATCTCTATCAAAACTGACCAAGGTTCTTGTCTTTTTTATTGAAACTTAGATTGTTCTTATGGATTCATTGGGCCCCGGCAATCCGCTGACGAATGAGCCAATTATCTTTACAAACTAGACAGAAGAGGATTGAAGACACTCCACGGGTTTTTGGACCTGGCGACGCGCAGTGAAGCTTCAACGTTCTGCCGTCGAAACACTGGACCACGTCCAAAACAAATGCATTTAGCGGCGAGGACTATAATACAGTGTTAGTTATTTCATCACAATGCTTGACCCATTAATAACTCACGTTCAGCAAAATTCTCAACGTCAAGCGAAAAATTAAGGCTCGGACTAGAGAAAGGGGGCGCCTTTTCGTGGATACAAATCCCCTTCTCACAGAGGAGTCGCTGCACACCACTGGCGTCCAGCCACTCATCGCCTTCAGGTATAACCGGCAATTTTGATTTCGAAGTTCCGAGCTGTTCGGAAGTATAACTACTTCTCTTAGACTGCGGCGGGGTGAGCACAGTGGCCATTTGATCAACCAGGTCGCCGGTATGATCTTGCATTCCAGCCCAGAAATATGAAATAAGGACGTTGCGCTCCATTGGAAGACTCAAGGGCCCGAAGATGCTTTTAATCTTCACGTCGTCGTCAGGAGTGTTGACAAGGAGTTGGTATCCATTTTGACAGCACACTTTTATCAGACATTGCGCGAAACTCCGCCACTCTTCTTTGTTCACGCTAGCTGGTGATATGGTTGACGCAGGGGAAGATAATTGTGAGACCTCAATGAAAGGACGACAACTGGACGGCGCCATGACGGGGCTGTATGATAGGGTTTGGTTTTGCGATGGTGGAGGTGGTGTAGATGGCACTGACAGTCCAGACCGCTTAATTAAGCTCCCATATAGTTCAAGGAATTCTTCGCCATTTGGCGACGTGCTTGAATAACTGTTACTTTGTACTTGGCTCTGGTCGCCATTGTCCTCGATGAAATCAGCAGTTTTGACGGGAGTGCCTTCGTCGAGATCATCACATCCTGTCCTGGCGAGTGACACACACTGTTGAGTTATTTTCTGGAAGGCTAACGTGACATGTGCATTTCGTCCGAGTAGGTCGCTCTCCAAGAGGAGGTTACTGAAAGTTAGGAATGAGTGGCTGATCTGCTCAATGCCACCTTCCAGCTCGTCCACACGATTCCGTAGTGTATCGATAGTGTTCTCTTTCCGCTTGCGATACGCTTGTTGTGCACGGCGGAGCTGCTTGCGGCGTCTCTGAATAGAATCAGTTACTGCGCACATGTTATCATAGCATCGCTCTCACATCTAGGAGTTCCTCTTCATTCGTGTTTGTCCGCGGACGTCCCCTTTTACGACCCGCTTCCGTCTTTACCCTTTCATCCATCACCTGATGGATCTTGAACTCCTTTGGCAAATGAAACCAGCGTAATCGAGGATTGACGAAGTCAAATTAAAGATGCAGCCCAGAAACCCGTCATCACTTACGTGGATTATTAATCATCCCGAGTCAAGCGGGACACGTCAAGGTTTGTTGGAGGCACCCCAAATCTGTGGTAACTAGTTAGAAAGTGATGCTCGACACAAGGACATCAAGAAGGTCGTCATATTATTTGGTCCCTGGGCAGACGATTATCAATCAATATTCGATTAGTTAGCTAGATATCCACTCAATCGGTCAACGGGTAGTTAAAGTTGTCAGTTGACTAAACATTGTTCTGTTACTAATCAGTATCACAATAACTAACGTTAGTTAACTGAACTAGTTAGTTATCTTCTTATCCTTGTGAACCTTGTTTGTTCGTTGGACTGATCGTCACGTTTGAGATTACTCAACAGCCCCGAAGGACCAGACCTACTTGGGGTCAGGATAAGTGCTATAAATTGTGCGTAGAATCAAAAATTAAGCTCTGACTACCACTAAAGGATCATACCCCACTTCTTTCGCCACCAATCAGACAGAAACACTATGGCATCCTTTAAAGTGTCCAAGATTTTCGTCATTGGCGGAACGGGCGCTCAAGGCATACCTGTTGTTCAAGGTAGTTTTTAGAACACTTAAACTTTCTTCAGACAAGCTGAAACATTGCTTACACCAATGGCTGGGATTTAGAACTCGTTAGAGACGGACGGTATCAAGTTCGCGTCATGACCCGAGATCCAACTAGTCGGCGGGCAAAGGAATTGGCAGCTTTTCCTGGCGTAGAGCTATTCAAAGGAACGTTTGCCAGCGAAGAAGACCTAACGAAGGGCTTTACTGGCTGTGACGGTGCTGTAAGTGATACTTATGTTCCTCTCGCGGTTCTGGGATGAGTTTATCACCCCACCAAAACGTCACTTATTGCTTTCTTGTTGATCGCCGACTAGTTCGTGAACATTGATGGTTTCAATTGTGGCGAGAAGGCCGAGATGTTCTGGGGCATACGAGCCTATGAGATAGCAATCTCTATTGGCTTGAAGTTCTATGTGTGGGGTAATCTTGACTACGGATTAAAGAAGGGTAACTGGGATCCACAATTTCGATGTGGGCACTATGATGGAAAAGGACGAGTGGGTGGTATGTCAAGCCCATATGGTCATTGTGGACGCATGGAGGCTGACAAAATACGTGCGCATTGTGCAGAGTGGATCTTACAACATCCGACTCCTCATATGGGGGTAGCTCTCTTCACCACAGGGTAAGTCTTTTCATGGTCCATTATGCCCGAGAAACAGCCCAAAATGCTGACATGTCTTGTTGAATTTCTTGGCTAGACCATATATCGATATGGCGCTTTCTCCTCTGACGATAATGAGCCCTCGCATCATTGATGGGGTGGTCACATGGTCGGTCCCATTAGGTACGTGAAAGACATGAGTGACTTGATCTGGAGTAATAACGTCCGTTGAATCCATAGGGGATGGTGAAATCGCTCATGTAGCCCTCTCCGACTGTGGCATATACGTGCGCTGGCTGTTTGACAACACTGATAGGGCCAATGGCCTAGATCTTGAGGTGGCGATCTCCCACATGTCCTATTCTGACATAGCTGCCGCCTTCACCAAGGTGACAGGGAGACCCGCACGGTATATCGATGTTCCGTTTTCAGAATATTTCGAGGGATTTAGCGGACGTGAATCGGTTTTGGATGTGCTGAAAATTCCCCATATGAGTTTGATGTCCAAATTGCGATTTGGGCTCGGTTTCTCTACCAAACGGCCGTCCTCTTACAATGCCGACCCAGCTGATCCTGCTACGCTGACTTTTGAAAAGAATTTCACGGGTTTCTGGAACTTATGGAGAGCGAGCAAAGGGAACAAGGGGGTCATGCAGAGAAATTATGAGCTGCTTGACGAGATCCACCCAAATCGAATTAAAAGTGCTGAAGAATGGTTCAGGAAAGAGGCGCAGAAAGGTGATTTATGGGAGCGTGTGAATAACATGGCCCCAATTCTGAAGTGGAGTGAGGATGGTGCGCAAGGTCGTCTATGATTTCTTCTGTGCCGCAAGGAACTTCTTTACACACACGGATGGTGACATGTGCTGGTCTCTTTCTCGGTCATTCCTGTGATAAAGCATCCGAGGACAATTGTGCGGCACAATATCTCAGCCTCCGGTCTGTCATTTCCTTCCAAAAGCCCGCTCCGCCATGAAATCCTTCGTTGTTATTTCGCCTCATCATGTACCTATAGTGTCAACCGTGCAATACGCCAAAGGTCCTGCTATGTGCTTAGTGCATGTACGTGTTTGAGACTTGCTCGCGAGTATTACTACCGCAAACCAGGCAGACATCTTACTTCTTCGTACTCCCCTAATGACTGCCTCTGATAGATTTCACCACCGCCATGTGTGATCCCTAACCCCACTACGCTTCTTAGTTGCTGCAAAAGAGAAACGGCATTATTCAGAAAGCTAAGGGCCCGACTTAGGGACGAGTACACATTTATATAATTGAAACTCATCCAATGAGTGTACAAGAGCCATCCTCCCTCAGCATCTTGGCTACCATCGTAAACCCGCCAATGGCCGGGGTAGCCAGCGCACACATAAGCACAACACAGACGACGAGACCAAACACACTCCACCCGAAGCGATGCTTCCAGGGTCCCGAGCGATCTGCCCTCCAACGCTGATGATTCTTATGGGCCACAAGACCCAGCTGAACTATATAGTTAGAGAAAAAAGCGTTGAGCACGAGAGTCATTCCCAAGGACAGCCAGCTCATGATCCATGCTCGCTGGGCCGTGGTGCTGTGATTGGCCTTGAAACGTGACATGGCCCCGATGACGATAAAGGGCACGGCTGCGATGAGAAGTTGGAGCATCCAGAAGATGATGCGGTCGTGCCGGTCGAAGAGGGTTGGGTTGCTGGAGCTGAGGAAGCCGCGGCTTTGGGTGGCACCTTTGAAGTTGTAGCAGCTTGGAATGACGAGTAGCGGGTTCTTTTTGTGTGGGTCATCTATTGCCTCCTCCTTTCCTGCATTTTCTGCTTCTTTCGATTTCTCTTCAACTGTCTCTTCAACCTTATTCTTCTCTTCAGCGGATTCTTTCGGGGACATTCCATCATGTTGAACCACAATGTCTGCCGCAGTCTCTGCCTCAGTATCCGACGCAGGATCTGCCACATCATATGCGTCCTTGACCCTTTCAAGCTCATTATCATTCAAACCCACTTGGACCCCACCAACCTTAAACTCCCAGCGCTCCTCACCACCTTGATGCTCATGCTCTTGAAGCTCCGCCTCAAACACAAAGCCCTGCTTCAATTGAAGCTGAGCACCCTCCAACCTGGCGGTAGTGCCCTCAAAATATCCTCCCCGTTGCACAGCCTCATCCATCATCTCCGTGCGAACAAGGTACAGTGTTGAATACCGCGGCGTAAAAAGATTGCCCAAGAGATTGACAAACGACATAATCAGGTAAGGCAGAACGGTGAATCCAAACGCGGCGTATCCATATTTGGCGACCTGGTCACCGCGCGAGCGGTAGAGTGTTGCTGACGCGTACATGATCTGCACGATTGCTACTAGAGCTGTGGAGAAGCTATAGATCGAGGAAAGGTTATATACCGAATTTCTCTTCTCGGAGGAGGTTAAGCCGGCGGAGGTGCCGGATATGGGGTCCACGATTGCGTTCGAGGGGACATAGGCTAGTTCGTAGCCAGTAGGTAAATGGTAGTCTCCGAACACCTGCCATTCTTCGCCGACGGTCTCAAGGGACGCGTCATAGTGTTCCAGGGTTAGCCATGTCGGACTTTCAACCCTGAGCTCGATTGGCTCGTGATATTCTTTCCTATACGAAGTCATTAGGGATATATCATACGCAGGAAAGTAGTTGACCTACAATTCCTTTAGGTACTGCGCCGCCGACTTCTTATTTTTCGCTATATCCCCCATTATCATCAGCCCGAAACCTCAAATCGAACCTTGAACCATTGACTCACAGATAAGATGATGCGCCCGAAAATCTTCCTCCTCTTCATCCTCCCTCTCTCCCCGCAACGTCGCCGACAAGAACGACAGCGAATGCACCTTCTGCCCAGAAATTGGCCTCCACTCCTTTGAGCGCACAACCATACACATCGCCCGCGACCGCAGCGCCCTCTGGATTGGATCCTTGCACAGTGCCGCGTGCCGAATAATCGCCAGTAGTCCGCGCGCGGCACCCATACCGGGGAAGAGGATGGCGAGGAGCATGTTTAGCGCAACGATGTACCATGGTTCACCGGGGAAGGCGATGACGGTCGCCGCGTGGGAGATGTAGTTGCCAAGGAAAAAAGTCGCAACGTCGGTCCATGTTGTGGGGGTGCAGAGTAAATGTGTATTTTGGTCGTATGTGGCTCCCTGGGGTAGGGTAACGGTGGTCGTTCTGCTGTCGCGGAGGAGGGGCAGGACGCCGGCGAGGGAGCCGGCGATGAGGGTGAGGATTAGGGCAAGGGAGCCCGCCATGGTTTGCCCTGAGCCGGCGACTTGAAGAACATGGGAAAGGGGTCTTCAATTCGCATGAAGAGTTGCGGGTCTGGCCGCCCCCAAACCCAACTGAAGTGTCTAGACTCGATTTAGCATAGTGAGTTCTGCAGTCGGACGATGATTTGATAGCACCGGTCGTAGTTATATCCAGCATTTGGGCAATGACAGTGGACATTGTCACAAGATATCAGAGACCAAAGTATTCTTCTAGTCTTGAAAAATCCAGTATTGAAATTGGAGACATCACGCAAGATGGTCACATTTCATCCTCTTCATCAGTCCAGGCTTCTAAGCCGGCTTGGTCTGACCACGGAGGACCGTAATCTTCTGTCTCTGATGAAGTACATCGCTAGTCTTGCCTAAGAGGCTTGAGGCAAACTGAGGCGATCTGTCGACGAAAACTTTAATGGTATGCAGGTGGAAGTGGACGAGATCAGTATGGATGAGTCCGACAAATTGGCCGCCGAAGGGGATTCGTATGAACTAAAATCTTTTATGGGGACACGAGGGACGCCAATGATATGTCGAAGCTGGACAGGTTCTGACTTTTCCTTTGTAATGCTGCAACTACTCATCGGGGGATTAACGACAGAATGTGCTGATTGTAGTCCATCAGAATTGCGATGACAGGCCTGGCAGCCGTGATGCACCATCCCATAGCGATTCTGTAGGCGTTGATATAACAAGAAAATCTCTACCCCGTTCGCAGCCTCAAGCCCGTGATATGGTGCACGCTTTCCCACACACTATCAGGCACTTGGACAGGCAGCTTATGGCCTTTGAGCTGTTGATCGATCAACCACATGCCCACCACGAACTCCTCTCGGCCCAACAGCCCGATCCGCTGCCGATCGACCAAATCCCACACCTGCTCGAGCGAGGCAGTTGGCAAGCGGCTGCGGCCCCAGATTTCGCGCACGACCAGGTTCAGCACCATGTTCGATTGGTCGCCCATGCCGGGCGGAATGAGTAGGCCTTTATTTGAGGCCCATACGCCTTCGTACCGCTTGCGTTCCTGCTCGGTGATCTCACTGCGCCAGCGCTTGCGGTCGCCCTCGTGGTGCTTGTGTGGGTGTTTGCGGATGAGACGTATCTTGTGTCGCGGGTGCGGGTCGGCATCGGGCTTGGGCATTCCGCGGAGGGTCTGCGGCATGCCCTTGGGCGGGCTTGGTGTTCTGGATAGATCGCTCGTGGGGGTATGTGCTAGGTGTAGTATTGATCGAGCCCGGCGGCGCTGTGGAGGAGGGGGTGGAGGTACTTTTGTTGTGGGAGAGGCGCGTGACGATGCGAGAGATGATGCCGCAATGGCATCGGAGAGGGCTTCTTCACTCATGCCGCTGGATTCGTCTGCGAGGCTGGAGCTGCTGGTGTTGTGTGACCGCATGGATATTGATGCTAAGCTAGGCGTGGGCCGTAGTGATGTGGTGGGCTTGCGGAGGGATCCCCGCGAGAGAATGGGATTGCTGGCTCGCGGGGGAGGCTTGGGCTTCGACTCGCCGGATGGGGCAGATGACTGCCTTGGCCTGATGAATGGAGGGGGACTCGGACGGCGATCATTGTGACTTGCTGTGACTCTCGACCGCTGTGACGGGGATCGCGTGGGAACGGAGAGCTCTTCCGAGCTTGGATTGTCGCCCTGGAGCATCTTGTCCAGGGGACTCTTCCGGCCGTGGATCGGACGCACCGGGGCGGGCGACCGCAGCTCCCGTTTTTCTAGCGTGTGTGGTTGCATCCTACTGGTACTTCGTATTGCTCCTAGGCTGGCCGCTGTGGATGGGGTGCTGTCACCGCTCCTCGCCGGCCGCTCGGGGGATCTCGAGGCAGCCAAGCGCGCCGCAATCTGCTGCGGAGTGGGCGGCGCGAGTGATGAAGCCGGAACTCGACCTCTGCTATCGTGCGGGGGCGCGAGCGAGTTGGCGGTAAACCGTCCGATCTTGTCCTTCACAGAACCCGCTTCGGGCCCAGGTTCGGCTTCCACCTCCTGGCGATGATTGGAGTCTGCATGACGGTTCACGGTGCTGGCGAATGCGGCGGCGGCGGCGGTATTGGAAGTTTGGTGGTTGCGGGCGGGAGAGGGAGCTCGGGAGTATTCGTGGAAGGCGATGGTGGCACCACGGAAAGCGGCCTGGTTCGTGCCACTCATTGGAGTTGCTGGTAGTTGTGGTTTGGTTAAGATGATGGGGCAGTGGGGATTACTTAACGGGCTGCGATGATCATGACGATGTGCTGCAGTACGAGCGATACACCCAGAAGAGTTCCCGCTCAGCTACTATTATTGATTATGACCAGGATGCTTTCTTCCCGCCTCAACACTCCCACTGGTCTTCCAACATGGAGTCGGTCTATTCCGAGGGGGAGAAGCCCCAGAACCACATTGCGCGTCTGAACTCCGACTCCCGCGCGGTCCCTTCGAAACCATCCTATGGGATCGACTCCCCACTGGGCCTGCTCGCGTCCTCGATCCTCGCCCCGCTATACCTCTATGCCTCGCGGAAGGGCAAGTTCGCGGTCTGGGATCGACTGCTCGATGAGCTCCCCAGTGATATTCTCACGGCGCCCGCCCTCGACATCGGCTGTGGCCGCGGGCTCGTTCTTTTGAAAATTGCACAGAGGAAAAAGAGGCTCCAGGCCACCGTTCCGCCCATCTACGGCGTCGATCTATTCATCACCGGTGACCAGAGCGGCAATGCGCCCGAGGCAACCTACGACAATGCCGCGAGTCTTCAGCTCACCGATTACACGGTTCTGCACACTGCCGACTTTACTCAATTACCCTTCCGAGACGGAGTGATGTCCCTGATCACGGCGAGTTTGTCGATCCACAATGCCGACCAAGCATCGCGGGACAAGGCGATTCATGAAGCGGCCCGAGTGCTTCGGCCAGGGGGATTTCTGGTTATTCTCGAATTGGGAGGATATGTTGCGCAATACCGAAGGGTTCTGGAGTCGGACGGGTGGAGTGAGATCGAAACGGAGTTTGGGGGAATGCAGGTGATGTTTGGGGCGTGGCCATGTCAGATCTTGAAGGCTCGAAAGCCACGATAGTAGTAGTTGAGGTATTATGATGGTGTAGAATTACGGTCGGAATACGGTAACTCACTAACCCAAAAGGAATCACCTTCTCCGCATCCCCGACTTTCTTCCCGTTCATGCCACATCGGGATGTTTCGAGATGATGGACAAAGAGGGCCTCGATGTATCCGAGGACCAGACCAGTCCGCAGGTGCAATGCTCCATCTGCGGCAGTAGCTTTCGTCGCCCGGAACATCTCAAGCGTCATCTGCGCAGCCATACCAAGGAAAAACCCTTTGAATGCACCCAGTGTGGCCGGCATTTCTCCCGGACCGACACCCTCCATCGCCATGAGCTGAGCCACCATCTGCCCGGCAGCGAAGGGGGTAAAGAGCATACCCACCGAATCACTGTCAAGACCTTCCGCGCCTGCTTTAGCTGTGCGACGGCCCGTGTGCGATGCAGTGGGGGAGAGCCGTGTGGACGGTGTGATGCCCGCTCCCTCGACTGTCAATATCCGACAGAGAGAAGGTCAAAGAAGGGCCGGAGAGAGGGTTCCCAGGGTGCAGAGTCGCCGCCCCTTCGTCGTGCCTCGCAGACCAGCAAAGGTCGTGTTGAGTCGGCACCAGAGACATCAGTTCAACCGATTGGACAACCAATATTATCCCCAGGTTATTCAGGCAATGTGCTTCCTAGTGGTGCGCAGAACCAACAAACACAGCCTCCTTCAAATGGCCGAGGTTCAGTTTCAGATGCCCCAAACCCTCGTTTATTCGCGTCAAATGCCGATCAGGCATCGAACACAGGCAGAATGCCAATGGATATCTATGCAAATACAAATCGGCCTCAGCCTTACCCCGACATGTCCAATTCCAACATTCCCTTCTCGTCCCATGCGGCCATGGGCACCGACATGAGGGATGTTCAACAAGGATTGCATAGTACGGGAGTTGATATTGACACGGCCATGGCGGGCAACCTGGACTTTGACCCGGCATTCTTCGACCAGTCTATGCTGTCCACGATCAACTGGCTCCCCCATGAATTCTTTGCAGGCCCACCAAACGATCAAATGCAGCCGTCAAGACTTCCTTCCCAACTCTGCCAGCCTTTCTTTCCAGATGTCCAATCGACTCGCACCACATGGCAGCCGCCAGTTATCCAAGCTGGTCAGAAAAGCCCCCCATTGCCAGAGAATATCTCTCAGACGCCGTCGGGGCATCTGTCCATGGGAACCGACATGAGCAGTCCAAATCAGTATCCCCATATGGGCGGCGAAACATCCCCTCATCCTGAGTCGGTCGATTCTGCTAAGCGCTCAGCGGACTATTATGTCGACGGGGCTGGTGCTCGGCTGCCCAAGTATAGGAAGAAACAGGGCCCGTGGTCAAGCTTCTACGCCGAACCGAGTACTGTCACCCGTCAACTACCCCTCGAAGAGGGTGGCAGCCGATATTCATTCCCGTCGATCCAGGAAAGCCCCGTGGACAACATATCAGAAGAAGTGCGCCGATTTACCAAAAGGATCGACTCCTCCGTCTACGACAAGATGTATCACCAATTTATAATGCTTTGCCGCAACGACAACCCCATCTTCCCACAATTTGAGACGGACAACTTCCCGTCGGCGCAACTCTGCAACCAGTTTATCGCATTCTACTTTGAGTCCTTTCAAACCGTATACCCAATTCTTCACCTCCCCACTTTCGATCCCAATACCTGCCATTGGCTTTTGATGCTGGCCGTCTTAGCCATCGGGTGCAATGTTGCAAATATAAGTGAGACAGCTCAGTGCGCAGCTGCTTTTCACGAGATGATCCGGCGAGCTTTATGTGTTGAGGTAGATTGGCCCTCATCACTCGGTGAGCATGCATGCTAATCATTGTGCTATAACAGAAAGAAAAGGGTCACCTTGGCGAGACTTCGCCTGAGATCCTGCTGGCGATGCTGTTGAACTGCATTGGACTGCTTCACACTGGAAACGAACGAGCCAGACTTTCCGCGATGGGTATCTTCAGCGATCTGGTGAAGTTCACGAAGCGAGAGCAGGTGCTAGCACCCTCACCGAATCCGAGAATGGAACCAAATGGTCTCGCTCAAGAGGCATATTGGATTGCATGGATTCAAGATGAGATCCGGCGACGAACTGGCTACTGCATATGGGTACGATGACTTCACACCAGGGTTAAGAACGGCATTAACCATATATACAGCTCGTGGACTGCACCCTTGCGTACTACTTTGATGACCGACCACTACTGTCCCTGGATGATGGACAGGCTGCGTTACCCGCCCACGAGAGGCTATGGCAAGCAGACTCGCCCGAGAATTGGCGACAGCTGTGGGATAAATCACCTGGTACGATTTTTTCGTCATCCTCCATTTGCATATCCGCTAACCCCGTACAGTAAATGAATCACTCTACGACGCTGTACAAATAATATACATTGAAAAGAGACTCATCTCCGGAATCGGCGAATTCAGCCATATCCTGCTCATCCACGCACTCTACCACCGCATGTGGGAAGTAGGCGACTACTTCCGCCGCCCCCTCTCGTTCTGGAACCCAACCGCCAAAAAGCAATCTCGTGAGAGCGCCATCCCAATGGGATCAGTCTGGCTCCCCGGAATCCCCTCCTACTCTAAATGGCGCAACAGCGCCTGCGACTGCCTGGACATCCTCCACTGGACTGCCAACAGCACAATCGCCAAAGCAGCGGGCCTGGAGCATCCAACCGTGCTCCACCTCCACGCCTCTCGACTCGTCCTCCTCGCTCCCTTTCGTGAGATCCGCTCTCTCGCCACCTCCCTCGCAGAGGGGACCCTCCGCTGGAGCAAGCGCCACCAGACACTCGAGTGGCAGTATATATGGCGCTGGACGAAACATGACCAATACAAAGCCCGTCTCTCCCTGATCCACGCAGGCGTTACCCTCTGGCATGTCCGGCGGTACTCGACAAACGCATTCCATGAGCCCGTGGCTGCCTTCCTAGCCGTGCTCACCCTCTGGGCCTATGGCTCGTGCCACGCCCACGCCGTGCCTCTGCCTCCTGCAGAGACAAATAGTCCGCGTCAACAGGACTCACAACCGGAACCGAGTTTCATTCACCTCGACCGGCCCTGCGATGATGAGCTCGTGCAGCTGTTTGTGAGGGAGGGACATGCCATGAGAGGCAATGTTACTGGCGTGGGGGATATTTGTGCGCCTGGCGGTCCGGAGAGGATCCTACGGGCTGGGTGTGAGACCCTCGCGGGCTTGACGGCTTGGGGTCTTTCGAAGCGGTTTGTTACTATTTTGACTCGTATGGCGGACCGGGTTCCGCGCTGTTTGGCTGGCGAGGATAACAGTCATGACTTTGAGGCGAATCTTGATTGAGGGTGGGTTTGCTGGGATGTGGTGTATCATAAATAGGAGCAATATAGCATGTACACACCTGTAAATCAAGATCTATGATGCTCAAAGTGTATGCTGTGGACTCATAATGGGAAGGAAAGATACCATTTTCCGCCACTACTGGTTCCTTGTTATCTAGAAGAATTGACTCTTCCTTATTTTCTCTATTTCTCTCTCGCTTTCTCTCCATAACTTCACTCAACTTCTACATGCTCAGCAGGTAAAATCCGTCATCCATCATGAGCCTTCAAAGCGAACAAACCATCATGAGGATCGTACTCTTGATCCCTACCATGGTCGTGACTAATATCAAATTTTCTTTCGTCGGCCATCAACAACTGCGAATATCTACCGTAACAGGTCATTTATTGCTTTTAGAGAAGCTAATCGAGCGGGTCGAGTCGGGGATTATATATGTCAACCGCGCTAACTATCCTACTCTAGTGAGTTTTAGGTATCTTACTAACTTAAGCCATTCTCATATTTTTATTCGGTAGGACCTAGCTTAGACCGGCTAGACAAACTTAGGCCGAGACGTGACTCTTAGCCGATTTAGGTTTAAGTCGTTTGTGAAGCTAAAGAGCCACTATATCAAGGACTACCCGAACTGGATCTTAGCCAGATAAGGCCGGCCCGTAGAAGTTTTGATGACCATCAAGAGTGTAAATTAAGTCAATTACCTAGTATTGCAGAGGCGTTACTTATCAATACACGATATGCACCAAAATCAAGCCCTGTTGGTATAATGCCGTGATGTCCATGGAATCACTGTAGAACTCATGAGAATTCGGCGATCTTCACAGTCGGAATCTCGAGATAGCTTGCAGATTCTCCGCCCCATAGAATAGAATGCTCCCCTTTGTTACAAACAGGAAAAGTTCCCTGCAAAGCTTCAAACTCCGCGGGGCCCATGAAATGGCCCGAGATCTTCATGACCAGTTGCTCGCCTGGTTCAAATAACATGCCCGTGGGCCAGATCTCAATCTCCAATCGCGTTGCCTCTCCCACCTTTACCGGCAGACGCTTCCTGTGTGAGAGCGTTTTCCAGTGCGGTTTCGACAACTCTTCTGCCACATCTCGGTAAGATGCCCTCAAAATGCCATGTGGACCGAAATATTTCATTGGATTTGTCAAAGGAACTTCTTCTGCAGAAGCAACCCCCAGATCCTTGAGTGGTATATTGACATGCTGTAGAAGCTTCCCAGTCTGGTCTGCTTTTCTCAAATGCACGTAGACATCCATGTCCGGCCCCTGCTTTGGCTCGACGTAAAGAACAGCACGCGACGGACCGAGAATGGTTGTTCGCTGAGGGAAGGTGAACGAAAACTGGATTTCTCCTGGATCGTTGTCTCTTTGCCAGATGGGTGCAGCATCGGCTTGGTACACCGATTGTCCTGGCTCTTGGTGCTGAGTCTCTGTCAAACGACTCTCCGAGCTCAAAAACAGTCGTTTATTAGTGGTCTGGCGATGAGGCCAGAAAGGTTCTTCGAAAGGGATTCCGGTCAGCGCCGGCCGGTTGAACGGCAGTACAGTAGCGCGCACACGGGGTGTACTCTCCCAATTATTCGGGTCTTTCATGTAGCAGTCAAAGAAAATGTTCAATTCCTGAATTCTCTCAGGAGAGTACAAGTCGTACCATTCCTGAGTCCCATGGATTACAAGCCTGGAAGTCGATTAGTATGGAACCACTATATCAGGAAATAAACAGCAAGGAGTACTGTTACCATTTTTTATCATGGGGGATCTCTTCATAGCCTCGGAGAGATCCTATCGTGTGAAGCATCGTAGAATAGCTGGCCAAAATGTATGCCGGGACCTGGATTTGGTCTATTTTAGCCCTTTTATCCTCCCAGTAAGAATTTGTAAGGCCCTCCTCAGCCATTGCTCCGATATCTTCCATGCCATTGCGACCTGTATCTGATCAGAAAGACAAATTGTTTACAATTGCAGCAAACATTGATACGAACCACAGAGAAGGCCAGCTAGCGCCCTCCCAAATTGCATCTCGGGAATTCCCCCTCGACGACACTGCTCCCGGAGTGGATCGCTAACGCCCTCAAGGGGAGCAATACAAGCCAAATGTGGCGGCCTCTCAGCGGCAATAAACCATTGAGATATAGCCAGCCAGGAGTTTCCTAGCATTACTTTTCCGCTACACCATGGTAGACCCGCAATACCCTCAATGGCGTCGTATCCGTCTTTTCCGTCACCGGAACCCCAGAATCTCATGGATCCTTCGGAATCCATTGCGCCTCTGGCATCCACGTTGACAACAGCGTAGCCACGTGGTACCCATTCAGCAGGGTCGGGGCTGAGTGATACTTCAGTTTAAGTGGCTGAAACGTGCAAGGTCGAATTTCTTACCCTTCAAAACTCTCGTAACCGGAGAGTCGGTTTTCTGCTACACCAGCTCGCATTGGGAAAGAGCTGAGGTTCAAGCGACCTGTGTGTGGTCTCGTAGTTAACAGGTAGGCCTCTTTTCATAAAACCAATCTCAGACTCACCACTCCCAGACTTCCCATACGGGCCCCAAACCATGATAGCCGGTACAAGAGTCTCATTGGTGGGACGATATATGTCGGCGAATATCTTGGTCCCATCACGAAGGCGAAGAGTTTGATCTCGCTCAAAGATCATAGGCTCATGGAGGGGACGAGAATTTTCCCTCCGCTTATGGCCCACTGGCAACTCGGTTACCGATGGGTAAAATCCCGGGTAAGCAGGGGACTCCTCCGGAGGAGAGAGAGGACGCCAGCGTATTTCAACGTCAGTGGATTCCATAGTTACAAAAGTGGGATAAAAAATAACGAAGCTGATTGTACTCAGACTGAGTTAGGAATATGATGCAGGCTGGAAAGGAGGGTAACTCACCCTTGCACTTCTATATAAGCATTATCTGGCTGATGGCACGTCAAATGCTCGGCGGGATGATGGGGCATCGCGGAGAACCTCTCGCAAAGTACCCCACATACCCCTGATCTGGCCCGCGGTGGAGCGCAGTGGAGATAGTTTCAAGGGCTGCGGGGTGTGTGATCAACCTCGGCCGTTCATCAGATTTAATATTGCCAGGACTAATTTCTAACGTATATCCCCTTTGTCCGAAATCTGACCCGTAGAAACATTCTCCCGATCGACTTTCCGACTAATTCCAGTGCGATTTGGGATTCACTACCTACGACTATGTCCATGGCTCTTCTAATGCTGGAGATTGTAATCACAGTCTGGAGCTCATCGCAAAGGAAAACAGCCATCTCATTCAAGTAGAGACCGGGCTTCTCAGACAATTGGCCGCAAAAGGCTTCTATCATCAGCGGTGTGACGGTGATTTTCGGCCTAGTCAGAGTTGGTGTTTATAGATGCTTCCCAATTGCCGTTATATCACCGACGAGATGGGGTTTTGAGGCAGGGAACCTTGGAGCCATGGCGTGTGGACTAATCTTGCATAACATTAGATGACGCGCGAGAGCAATGGGTGAGGAAAGCCTGGTTGCTGCCTAGGAATGGAAAGGAGAGACACAGAGGTAGTGAATGTATAGCAGTTTCGTGTAAATATAATATTTGCGGTCTCACAGTCGTCTTGTAGAATACACAGTGGTCCCACTGCTCGGGGGACAGGGACCAGGTAATGGTGTACTTCGAGGCTGATACAAGAAGCTGCACCAACCACCGGTCCTAGCCATCCGTCGCAACACTGGAAGGGCCCGATGGTAATACATCTTGTTCAACACAAAGTCCCATGTAGGTGAACAAAACGACCTTCCCTCACAGACAGATCCAAATCACATCCCCGACAATGCCACCGTGCTACTTTTTGCACCGTCGCCAACACTCGTAATATCAGTATACGCTTCCCCAGAGGGAGGCCCTGCTATCGCTTGGCATGCTGCATCTTCAAGGCGGGCAGCCTCACCAGAAATTGCTATTTAGGACAAGGAATTGATAGGGACACCCCAAGTTATGTAAATTAAGTTGTCTGCCACCATCCACATCCCCCACATTTCGCCCGATTCCACGATGGCCGTTAGTCAGCTCTTACATCATCAACTAACTGTTAACGTAATCAACCACCGAGTGACGAATACCACCGAGTGACGAATTTCGTCGAGCGTACCGTTAAATTTCAAGCTTTTCAACCACAAATGTATTAAATCAGACCATATAAAAAGATAAAACAATAGCTATTTACTAGGACAATTTCTTATAGTATGACCAGTAGTCCCGCATCCACTACAGCGTCGTGGAGCTCGCTGGCGAGGCCTTGGCGTCGTCTCAGCGGCCGGCTCATTAAGCTGTGTATCAAGCTGTTGCACTCGATTCTGACCTTCCTGTACAAATAAAACAAGATCATCACCAAGATTACCACGCTTCCTTGCCCTCTTTTGCATTTTCCGCTTATTCTCACCTTGTAGAACCTTGATTTCTTGTCGAAGAATAAGGTTCATATTCATTGCCATCTGTGCAGCTTTTTCAAGATGTTGAATATGAGATACTGGACTACTAGAAAGCATTCGTTTTCGAAGGCTTCTCTGTAGACTGCGTACCTTGTGATCGAGTTGGCGAGGATTCTGAGGTGTTTGAAAAGCAGAGGAGACTGAGCCTTCAACTTCAACAAGAGGTGGTGTTGGTGTCCGAAGTTGAAAAGTTACCTTTTCAAGAACCCGATCTTGATCTAGCGGGTTAAGTCCTGCACCTGCAAAACCACTGCGTATATTCTCCCTAGTAAACACCTTTTCGCGAGCAGGTGGATAGAGAGACAAGAAATCCTCCTTGTCGATATGGTTGTTGCCGGCAACCATCATCTCTTCTACTAGTTTTCCATATGCGCGCTTTAGCGGACCAAAAACACCAACATCAAGTGGTTGTAAAAGATGAGAGGTATGAGGAGGCATGCAAAGACAGATAATAGCATTCTCTTCACAGAATGCGTCAAAATCTGCAGTTAGATGACTACTATGACCATCAAGAATAAGCAACCGCTTTGCACCAGTTGAATAGGTTTTAGAATGTGGTTCAAACATCTCTTTTAGCCAGCGGAGGCCAATTTCATCTGTTGTCCAGCCATTCTGACTTCTTGCGATAGCATAGCCCTTATTGAAGAGAGCAGGTTCTTGATACCAAGCAGCGTGTTGAGATCCTGCTTTCAAGATGATCCATGGGGGTATAGATATCCCCTTTGAGCTCACACATTCAATAATTGTGACCCATTCGCGATTCCCCTGAATAACCCTACGGGGCCTTTCACTGCGATCGACTGCAGTAATAACCTTAGAGGTTGAACAAAGTCCCATTGCGAAGCCAGTTTCATCAAAGTTCCAGATATCGTCCTCGTGGATACCATGTTCTTGAATAGCCTCGCGTACGGTCGCAAACCATTGTTTAATAATCTTTGGATCCTCTTGCTTTGCACGCTGGTACGTGATCCGCCGATTGTATCGTGTGCGCAGTGCTGGATGCCGTTTGATAAACTTATATGCCCAGTTGACACCAAGGGTCGTAGTAGGATCTCCTGTGCGCTCGCGAAGCAGGATCTGCGCCATTCCCCGTAGAAACTCTGGCCGAATTGAAAATCCTCGCTTATCTGCATCTAGCAGCCTCTTCGCAAGGACTTCTTCTTCAAGAGGGTTTAATTTATGACTGTTGGCGCGTGTTTCTGCGCGTGATTTCCTACCGTTGAGTCGACGGCGAAGCGTAGCTTCAGGCACACTAAATATCTCAGCAGCCTTTAATTTTGATTTGATTTTTTTATTTTTGAATGCAGAAATAGCCATCTGAATGCGATTTTCTTGAGATAGAGGCATTTTGTATAGTGGTGGTGAAAAATAACGCGTCAAGGAAATGATTGTAGGAGATGGACGCGAAATTCGTCACTCGGTGGTATTCGTCACTCGGTGGTTGATTACGTTAACTAGTCAATTAACCTCGGGACCCGAACTGATCGGGACACTCCCCGCTCCGGACTCGCTTTTTCACCGTTCTTCAATCACCTTGCCTTAGATAATCTAATTCAATGTTTCGTGGGTGAGTTCTCAGCTCGATATATGGGCTAACCAGCATGATTATGGCCTGAAGTTGAGACACTCGTCCCGAGATTTTGTTGAGTATATAAAACCCCGTCGCAACGGGCCCCACCCCAGACCATCATGCACGAAGTAAGATCAAGAGAAGATCGAAAGTGTTACAGGTGTAACAAAACCTTCTCGAAAAAAGAACACCTGACAAGGCATATTCGAGGTCATACAAAAGAGAAACCCTTCGCGTGTTCGATTTGTGGTAAATTGTACTCCCGAAGGTAACCTTGGAAGCCAACTCTCCAACTCCCGTGCTCATTGAGATCACTGCTTACTCTTTAATGCAGTGATGTCCTTCGACGACATGAGCGAAGTCATAATGACCAAACAAATGGGCCTCTTGCGGCCTTGTCTGGGGAATTTGCAGACGACTCCGTTATGCTCGGGCCAGCCTCGGCCGCTGAATCCACGAGACAGCTATCTGGAATTTCTTCCCCCGAGATGAACATGAATGCCCAAACATCTACAATTCCAGGTATTCCGGATTTCAACCACCCAAATTCCCTTGATTTCACACCACAGGCTCCTGTAATTCCTCGTGATGATCTGCTTAGCGATGCACAAACAGCCTCAGAGTCAGGAACTTGGTTCTTAGAAGATGGGTTTGACGTTAGCGCCCTCGACTTCTCAATAACCTCTACTATTTCCGAATGGGCCCAGCTCCCAGGTGTCTTTGCTGCTCCGACCCTGCCACCAGGGGAGCAAGCAATATTTACTCCTGTTCAAAGCTCTGCCCCAGAGACAGACCCCACAAAGCCTAATGAGGACGCTGTGAAGCTAAAATGGTTCACGCATATGGAGCACCGACCCGACCGAGACTATTTGGCAGCACAACCAGGTTTTCCAGGAGTGACGAGTGCAAACGAGATGTATCGGGCAGGCCTGTCACATAAGCTTCGTCCCCGTATGGAAGATGAGGCACTCCCAACGTCTGACCAGCTCAATCTCTTTGCGAAACTCTACTTTCATCGGTTTCATCCTTTACTGCCAGTGATTCATGCTGCCTCATTCAGACCAACTGCAGAGAATGCATTGTTATTCTTGTCAATATGCTCCGTCGGGAGCCTGTTCGTTGGCTCGTCACGCGCAGTGATGCAAGGATCGCGAATATTCGAACGGCTCAACAAGGCAATTTTAGCTTCATGGGAATCTTTTTTGTCCCAAAGCCGCCCAGACGCCTTGTCCATGGTTCAAGCTGCTATCCTGGGACAGACGTATGCCATCCTCTCGGGGAATCCTAAATATCTCATCTTGGCAGATGTACTGCATGGCACTGTGGCAGCATGGGCTCGGGAGGCAAATAGACTTGGTTCTATCTGTCAACGGTCTCGGGATCTTACCGACGACACTGATCTCGAGGAAAATTGGCATCAATGGATTGACAGTGAGCAACGAGCAAGAGCGCAGGTGGCCCTGAACATCCATGATGCTGAGCTTGCAGCTCTACTACACCACCAGCCGATTCGCAACCATCGATTCCGCCAGCACCCACGTTTAGCGCCCGATTCTCTGTTTGCTGCGCCCACAGCCTCGAAATGGGCTACACTAGACCGCAATTTTCTTCAAACACAAGGTGAAGATCCAATTTATCCCAGACCCTCTCGCTCGCCATACACTTTCCCAGATAGAGATCGGGCATCTCACTTCACGGCATATGGCCTCCTGGAGAGTATAAACGCCCGCCTTGTCGACGCCAAACAATCCCATGAATTTGACCACATCGTCTGTCAAGATATATCCAACCTTTTGATCGACTGGTGGAAAACGTACCACACGCCCAACCAAGAGCCCTTCTGTCTCCCAGTCCTCTGGCACTCCATTTTCATTGCTCTATACGCCGACCTAGATCTTCTCGAGCAAGCCATTGGTCGGGACGGCGACACACTTACTCTCGAAGCCTTAGCCCCTGTCCACAAATGGGCTTCTTCCCTTAACGCAAGTCGATGCCTTGTACATGCCTGTCTGATCGCCCAGTATCTAGAGCGGATGAGTCTCTCTGTCGAGCCAGCCATCCATGTCCCTCGCGCTTTATTCTCAGCTTCTTTGACGTATCTATGTGTGGCACGGTATGCGCCCAAACATGTTATTAGCGCCGAAGCATTTGTGTCGCCGGAGATCAAGCTTTTAGGTGAAGAAGCTAGGCAGGGCGTATGTTCCTCTGAGAATTCTCAGCGTGGTGGTGGATCAGTGGTTGCGGACTTGGATCATTTGTATCGATTGATTGATTTGTTGCAGCGCGGTGGGAGATGGGGTATATCGCAGGCTTTTGCGAGTGTGTTGTCTGCAGCTTTGGAGGAGGGGAGAGGTATTAGTGCTTCTATGTAGGCATTTATGTACAGGGTGAGAAGTTTACTATTCAATCATGTTCGCCGTCTATGCATTTAAACACTTGATAAATTTCATCCCGTGGTGATAAATAACCTGTCTCGAGTACAGTACCTCAAGGTAGGTATGTAATATCACTTATCCCACCCGCAGCTCTTGTTTGATGAATTTTATAAAATGTTCAATCTTTATTTGTACGACGAATAATGTTTGCCAATGTGGTTAACTGCCTCCTCTTCACCCCGCAGACCGTACACATAGACCGGCGGGGTGAGGAGCCACCCATGTGGGACACAGGATTTTTTGAAATCTCGCAAACTTCCGATATTATGAATATCAGGGGAACCGTGACGCAAGCTATGTTTCTGTGGAGCATCATAGGGGCATTTGTTTTCACTTGAAATGTTTTCTATCGGGGCCAAACATACTTGAAGGCCCCCCCGCAAATGAATGCCCGTGGGGATTAGAAGCCTTGCCCCCCCATAGGCAAATAATTATCATAACCGAGGCGAACCGATAGTAGTATAAGTATCTTAAGATATAGTTGAAATAAAAGAAGACAAGAGCATTCCAGTATACTCTCCCTCTCCCAAAGCCCAGCTTATTGGTTGAAAAAAAACTATGCCGGTCTTTACAGAATGTGCTTCTCGTTCACGAGACCTACGGGTCCTTCCATATTTCGCACCACCACTTCCTCGCCTGACATCTCCATTTTCGCCGGAAGACGAACATGGAGAAAGATACGAAGTTGTCATAGTCGGGGTATGTCCTTCAACCTACAGCCCCACGTTATATTACCTCCAAAATCTAACAAATCTACCTCATCACAGGCAGGACCAGCCGGCCTATTCCTTAACCTCCTCCTTGCCCGCTACGGTCTAAACGACAAATCCCTCCTATGCATCGATTCCAAGCCCAGCACCCTACGCTCAGGCCAAGCAGACGGCATACAGCCCCGCACAATGGAGGTATTCAAGACTCTGGGTATCTCCGACGAGATCGAGAAAGAAGCATGCCAGATGTGGCAATTCGCATTCTGGAACCCTTCCACCGATACAACAAAGGTTATTGAGCGCACTACTGTTGTCCCGGAAGTTTTGGCCCCAGCGCGTTTCCGTTATGAGGCTACTATTCATCAAGGACGCATTGAGCGCATTATGGAGACGGACTTGTGGAGGTATTCGAAGAGGGGTGTTCTTCGTGATACCAGGCTTGTGGATGTGCGGTTTGACGAACAAGATCAGGAATTCCCGGTTCTTATTACTATGGCTACAGATGGATTGGAAAGGGTGGTGAGAACGAAATATCTTGTTGGTGCTGATGGTGCGCACTCCGTGGTCCGGCAGTGTATGGGTCTGCAGCTGGAAGGGGAGTCGCTGGATCATATCTGGGGTGTCGTGGATCTGGTGGCCGATACGAATTTCCCAGATATCCGGCGCAGATGTGCTGTCCACTCCCCTGCGGGTTCTGTGATGGTCATTCCGCGGGAGAGAATTGCCACAGGCGAGTACCTTACTCGTCTTTATGTGCATGTCCCAGAGACAGTGGCGACAGACGGCGACCAAGACCCAAATGGAGCAAATGGTATCAAGTCTGAGAATGCCAGACAGCGAAGGAGCAAGATCACTCTGGAGGGAATCTTGAAGCAGGCCGCTGATGCAATGCAGCCGTATTATATCCGGCCAAAGGAAGGTGTTGTTGATTGGTGGGCAGCGTATCAGATTGGGCAGCGAGTTTCGCCTGAATTCCATGTCAAGGACTCCAAGGGAGTTGCGCGGGTGTTCATCGCTGGTGATGGTATGTATCGCTATAACAACGTGATAGCTTAAAACTGACAAATATTTCCAATTCTACAGCCTGCCATACTCACAGTCCCAAAGTAAGTATTACCATGAAAACTTTTAAACAGGAACACTAAAATTCTCCACCTCTTCAGGCTGGACAAGGCATGAACGTCTCTATGATGGACTCCTATAACTTGTCCTGGAAATTAGCCTACCACATAAACGGGCTCACACCACCAACAGAAGAAAGCCCAAGCCCTTTACTTGACACGTACCAAGCGGAGAGACATGAAATCGCCCAGCAACTCATCGACTTTGACCGTAAGTTCTCAATTATGTTCTCAGGCAAGATGGGCACAACAGAGGGCCTCACCCAAGAAGAGTTCCAGCAGGCGTTCAAGCTTGGAAATGGGTTCACCAGCGGCTGTGGAATTGAGTATCCTGAGAACATGATTGTAGTTAGAGATGGCTTGGATGGTTCTGCCAGTTCTAAAGCAGGAGCAGACTACCTATCCGGAATTCTCAGGCCGGGAAGGAGATTGTTGAATGTGCGCATGCTGCGACATGCGGACGGGTGCGAGCGGGATATTCATGATGGTGAGAGCCACCTCGAAAGTGGAGGACCTTTGACTAAAGCGAAGCACAGACACCCCCTCTACGGGTCGCTTCCGTATCTTAAGTCTCACATCGACAGACCTTCTGGACAGAAACAGTGTTTCTGCGCAGGCACTTGACGCAACAACACGATTGGCTGCTCAGTTTCCACCTACGATCATTGAACAAATAGTTCTGCACCCTCGGCTCCATCGATCCTTCCAGTGGGATGATATTCCTGCTTGTGTGAAGCAACAGGCGGAGATGCGTTTCTATGATGGATTGGCTCTAGATGATGCATACAGGATCTACGGAGTGGACCCCGCACGGGGTGCACTTGCTGTAATTAGGCCTGATGGGTACGTTGGCGTTGTTGCACGGCTTGATAATGTAGCGAAGTTGGATGAGTATTTGAAACGGTGCATCCGAACTGTTGATGGAGAGACACAGGTGTTTTAAAAAGCTCGAGACAATAGTCTATACGTTATACTGGACAGATGATGAATGAACATGTGACAAAATGCCTTCTATGGCGACTGCAATATTAATAAGATGGTTTATTAACGGCGTAAGTGGCACACATATCTGGCCTTACTCGCCTGTCCGTGAAGCCAGACAAGTAGATGTTGCTGTGGGTTGATTAAAGGTGATAGGTATTGTGTCATTATAAGGCTGTGCGACGATTCCCCTCTAGGTGCTGCGCCAGCGCTTTATATATATCATGTTAACGATTCGGGGAGAAGAGGACGGGAAGCTTTCTATAAACTAGCTGAGTTAGGGCCTTGAAATTATAATTATTTAAAACTAGATCATATACATAGAGAGATAAGTAAGGCGAAGATTTTGAGGGGCAACATACGTAGTTATATCTGAGCAAGAATGTAGGTACGTGCTTAGTAGACTAGAATATAATTATTCTATAAAACACACTAAGAAAAAAATATTAGCGAGCCTTACTCCTAAATAATTGCTCTTAGCGCCTTTTGTAGTCAAACCAAACGCTTTGCAATTGGCATGTCAGCTAAGCACTCTCTGGTTAGAGCCTCAATGTTGTAGATGTTGATTATGTCAGCTATCTTATCAGTGCGGCTCTGGGGAAAGCTGCTTGCTGCTTGTGCTTCTTCCCACCTCCTCAACTTGGACCATGACGCTCACACGGTGACGGCCGACCGGTGAAAGGTGTCTTTGCCAAAAATGGACTCTGACGAGATAGTACCCGAACCCTCCCAAGCCACAGAGCGCGAGGAGGACCTGGATGAAAAGTACAACCACATATCTTCTGCACGCAATCAAAAGTCACTAACAAACCCCAGATATCCCAATCGGCCCCACAACCGTGCTGCGACACTACCTTTCCACGAGCTGTACGCAAGCCTCTTCAACCCACTCAGCGAGATCAAAAAGAAACCAGCCGGCCTAGCGCCTGCACGCCGGAAACTCGGCCCTCATGGCCAAGGCACCGGCAGTCTGAACCCGTTCGAGCGTCGGCGCGATGTCATCGAGCGGTTTATCTCACGCTGGCGCAAGGATGTCGGCGATGACATCTACCCTGCCTTCCGACTGATCCTGCCGGACAAGGATCGAGATCGGCCCATGTACGGGATCAAGGAGAAGGTGATTGGCAAGATGCTGGTCAAGATCATGAAGATCAATAAGGAATCTGAGGACGGGTACAATCTGCTGAACTGGAAGCTACCGGGTCAGATGGCTGCGACGCGCATGGCGGGCGACTTTGCTGGCCGCTGTTATGATGTGCTTTCCAAACGACCTATGCGGACGGAGGCCGGTGATATGACTATCGCAGAGGTCAACGAGAAGCTGGATAAACTCTCCGCAGCGACAAAGGAGAACGAGCAACTTCCGATCTTATCGGAATTTTATCGGCGCATGAATCCCGAGGAGCTCATGTGGCTAATTCGCATTATCCTGCGGCAGATGAAGGTCGGGGCTACGGAGCGCACCTTCTTCGATGTCTGGCACCCCGATGCGGAAAACCTGTACAGTATATCTAGCAGCCTGCGGCGCGTGTGCTGGGAGCTGGATGACCCGAATATCCGTCTTGAGGCAGAGGACCGAGGCATTGCGCTGATGCAGTGTTTCCAGCCTCAGCTGGCTCAGTTCCAGATGCATTCGTTCGAAAAGATGATTGCACGGATGCGTCTGACGGAGGAGGATCCTGTGTTCTGGATTGAAGAGAAACTGGACGGAGAGCGTATGCAGCTACACATGGCGCCGGAGAACTCTGTTCCTGGTGGTAGGAAGTTTGGATTTTGGTCTCGAAAGGCTAAAGACTACACGTATTTGTATGGGAATGGTATCTACGATGAGAATGGGGCTTTGACACGGCATCTCAAAGATGCCTTCGTCGACGGGGTGCAGAGTCTTATCCTGGACGGCGAGATGATCACCTGGGATCCGGAGCAGGATGCTCCTGTCCCATTTGGAACTCTCAAGACGGCAGCAATTGCCGAGCAACGCAATCCCTTTTCAAACGGCCCTCGGCCTCTGTTCCGCGTCTTTGATATTCTCTACCTCAACGGACGGGATCTGACCAAGTACACCCTCCGTGACCGCCGCAATGCTTTACAGAAAACCATCCAGCCTGTTCATCGCAGATTCGAGATCCACCCTTTCGAAGAAGCCACCACCACCACAGAGGTCGAGACCTCACTGCGCAAGGTTGTTGCAGAGGCCTCTGAGGGTCTCGTGTTGAAGAACCCGCGAGCTCCATACCGGCTAAACGAGCGCCACGATGACTGGATGAAGGTGAAACCGGAATACATGACCGAGTTCGGCGAATCCCTCGATGTAGTTGTGGTCGGTGGATACTATGGCTCTGGCCATCGTGGAGGAGCGCTGGCCAGCTTCCTATGTGGCCTTCGAGTCGATGATGATCATTTCTCGCAAGGAAAAGAATCCATGAAATGCTGGTCGTTCTGCAAAGTTGGTGGGGGGTTCACTGCTGCTGATTACCAGGAAATCCGCCACCACACGGACGGCAAATGGAAGGAATGGGATTCCAAAAGACCGCCTACGTCTTTTGTTGAGCTGGCGGGCGGAGACGCGCAGCATGAGCGTCCGGATATGTGGATAAAGCCGTCGGACTCGATTGTGCTTTGCGTCAAAGCTGCATCTGTTTCTGTCAGCGATCAATTCCGCATGGGTCTGACGTTGCGGTTCCCCCGATTCAAGAAACTGCGCAAGGATAAGAACTGGAAAAGCGCTCTCTCGGTCCAGGAATTCTTGGATCTTAAAGCGAATGCGGAACAGGAACATCGGGAGAAGGAATTCTCTGTCGACAATTCGCGGAAGAAGCGAATCAAGCGAACTACGAAGAAGCCGTTGACGATTGCTGGGTATGATGAGAAGGAGGTTGTCCAGTACGCCGGGCCTTCGGGGCATGTCTTTGATGGTCTTAACTTCTGTATGTGTGATACGCCGCTTCTAAATATCTGGTGACTAAATCTTCCTAGTCGTTATGACTGAGTCCACTGTACCAGACAAGAAATCAAAACTCGAGCTGGAACAGCTGATTAAAGCCAATGGCGGTAAAATCCATCAGATCAACACAGCCGCGCCTGATACAATCTGTGTTGCTGAGCGAAGTATGTTGCCCGTTCTGTCACGTTATCACAAATAAGAATACTTACGTGGCTTTAGGAACCGTGAAAGTGGCTTCGCTACAAAAGAGCGGTGGGGTGAATATTATCCGCCCTTCCTGGCTTCTGGACTGTGTCAAACAGAATGAAGTAGACGCCGGCCTTCCCGGCTTCCTTCTTCCGTTTGAAGTTCGGTATGTTCCCAGATCAAAAGACAATAAGGCAGTAGCTGATCTTATATATATGATGATATCTAGGCATATGTTTATCACAGCAGAAAACAAGGAGGAGGAAGTTACTGCCAATGCAGATCAATTTATGGACAGCTACGCTCGCGACACGACAGTCGACGAGCTTTCAGAGGTGCGTGACCTCCTCAATAAGGCCAGCGAACACTCACCCACTAACTCGTGTATAGATCCTGAAACAGATGGAGGAAAGCCAAGACCAAGCCACCATCTCCGCAGGCCCCCATGCTCTGCGCAAAGTCGAAGCCCGCATCCAGGAGAGAGTAGAGCGGGGATACACCGTCCCCCGCGGCTGGTTATTCAAGGGCCTAACCTTTTTCTTCTTTTTCTCCACATCAGATCGGAACGCCGACAAGGAAGCAGATATGCCTCTCCGTCTGGCACGGAACACTGCCCAGTTCGCCAATGCGCAACTCGCCTCATCGTTAACAGATAAGCACGTCACGCACGTCATTGCCGACCCGGAAACCCTATCTGCGTCGGAGATCTCATCGCTGAGGGGTTCATTAGCTGCAAGGCCATGGAAGAAGGTGCCGCATCTTGTTAGTTTGGAGTGGGTGCAGGAAAGCTGGAGGAACTGGACTCTCCTGGATGAAGAGAGTGAGTTGACTCCCTTTCCCCCCTTAAGTTCAACCTTGATTTGTCGAGTTTTTTTGATCACTTCTTCAGGCTAACAAGTCGCGCGTGCAGGATTCCAAGTGCGTCATTGAAATGATACATCTCAAAGGCAGATCGAGTGGAGTGACACAGTGACTCGAAATGGACTGTTTACATAGATTCTTCAATGGTCAACCCATACAACCTCTTCCGTAAATGGCACATCTCCATCTCTACGACAATAAAATACCGAAGTTGTTGTCTTCTGGGTCTTTTTTTACGCTATCAGATCTAGCTACAGAGAAAACCAAGGCTTAACTGCAACGGCCGATCCTACCAACGTGATCGGTGTCAGGAGCACGAGACGTTCAGGCCATTTATTAGATTCATTGCGCAATATATCATTAGGACATAGCTAAGGGCAAGTTTTCTTAGGATTCTCAGAGCCAGCAAGCATCGGCTTTGAATGTGCCTCTTTTACTGGTCCTGGCTGGGGTGTTGGTTGAGTTTACTCTAGTATGCCGTGTGGCGAATGGATTTGTGCCTCTGTGCAGCGGTATCCAATAATGCTTACTCAAAGTCGATGGCCACTTTCAGCGCCTGGTGGGCCGACGCGTCTTTGAAGATCTCATAGGCTGTGACCGCCTGGGCACAGGGGAAGTCTACCGTATCTCGTTAGCTCTTCCCACGCATTATTCGGGAGCGACAGCACCTACTATGCGTTACCAGCGACCCAATGTCTAGTGTGCCGGACTCGACCAGCCGCAGTAGCCGGTCTGTAGTCGTAGCATTGACTAGCGACATGTGGATACTAATATTCCGATCCCAAAGGGTCTCCAGGTGCAAGTCAACTTTGGTGCCGTGAACACCCACATTCGCGATTGCGCCGCCTACGGCGACCAGCTCTTGGCACAGGGCAAACGTCGCGGGGATCCCGACAGCTTCAATGACCGAGTCGAAGCCCTGGCCTTTGGTCAGATCGAGGAGTTTCTGCGAGATGTCCGGCGCCGCGGAATTGACTGTGGCATGCGCGCCTAGACGACGTGCCATCGCTAGCCGCGGTTCGTCCAGGTCGACCATGACGATGAGCGAAGGTGAGTGCAGCCGCGCGGTCAACAGCGCCGCTATGCCCACGGGTCCTGCACCCACAATTACCACCGATCCACCGGGCTGAACACCGGCGCTTAGCACGCCGCACTCGTAGCCAGTGGGAAAGGAATCCGAGAGAGCGACAGCAGCACGCAGGGGGATGGATGAAGGCAGTATGTGTAAGGACAGGGTCGCGTGTGGAATCCGCACAAACTCCGCTTGTGTGCCATCGATTCTATTCCCCAATATCCATCCTCCTGTCTCACAATGGGCAACGATGCCTCGCGCACAGAATCGGCATGCTCCGCACGAAGTCATGCAAGATATCACCACGCGATCGCCAACGTGTAAGCCATGCACAGCGGATCCGACTTGGTCCACGACGCCAACGCCCTCATGGCCCAACACGAGCCCCGGCGTTGCACTGGGCACATCGCCCTTCAGGATATGCAGGTCGGTCCCGCAGATGGAAGCATGTAACAGACGCACAACGGCATGGCCCGCAAGCACCCTGCATAGCGGCTTGTATTTATCGCGGGCTTCATCGGATGAAAGGATACGACGACTACTACTACTAATACTATGTATGCAAAGCTTAAGCTTATTGCGAGAGAGATGTATATCGCTCGATATGGACTACCGAAAGTAGACCACGAATAACTTATCCACAGCTCAATTTTGCTGCGAATAGTTGTCTCAGCCTATCCCTTGATCCATCCAAAATTAGGTTTACTGCTTGGCTACCACCCACGTGATGTCTCGGTCGGCGGCTGTCGGACAGCGGGCGCCGCTCATCCTTTTTTCCCGCTGAGCCCCGCGTCCTTCCCAACTCGTCACTACGATACACCAGCAGCGTTGGTTCTAGAGACGCACCGCCTTTTCAATATGGCTAGCGGCACTGAAGAACCCACCGTTTTCTCACGCTATTCATGCACCAGCTGTAAACGTCTAAAGAAAAAATGCGATAGGCGGCAGCCAGAGTGTTCGCTTTGTGAACGGTACCGGACACAAACACTAACTGCGGTAGAGAGGCTAATTTTCATCTTCCAGGTACGGTCGCTCATGCTTGTATCACCCTACAGACAATGTGCCTCGCCGAAGCCTCTTATCTGAGGAGTCCACTAATGCAGCCCGAGTTAAGACCCACAATTCCTATCAACGAAACGATGGCTTCCCCGTTGTATATTTCGCAGATTCTTCTTTGTTTTCGCATTCACTTGGTAGCTTGACAGAAATGAATTTCCAGAACAGCGCGGACTTGCAGCTACTTTCTGATGATCTCTCGGGCCTCAAAAAGGACGTTGAAACGTACTTGATGAAGATCCATCCATGGTTGCCATTTCTTTCCAAAAGAAAGCTCTTGGGCCAGGTGTTGAGCCCTCTTGGTAACCAACGCCCTGACCATGTTCTACTCTTGACTGCAATCAAGCTGGTCATAACAGCGCCTGGTGATGAATCACGCTCACCCGCCTACTACAGCATCAAATCTGCTCTTCTCAACGCGGAGCTGAAAGGTATCTTGACCTTTAGGATACTACAGGCGTTGGTTCTTGTGGCAATTTATGAGCTAGGACAAGCCATCTATCCCTCAGCCTATCTTACAGTGGGCTATTGTGCCAAATATGGGATTGCTCTTGGAATCAATCAGACAATAGATCCAAATTGCGGTCCCAGGTCTAGTTTGGTCGACTCAGAAGAAGAGAGAAGGACTTGGTGGGCTATCATACTTTTGGATCGGTAAGCCTTTGTGTTTTGAAAGTGTCATCACCGTCTTGCGCGATACATAACGGAATGTCCACCATTTTACGCCCTTCCGATGAACGCCGTTATCATAATCTTGGTTTTGTAGCTCATGTTCTGTCTGATCATAAACGTTTTTGGGTTGCCTTTGAGTCACGTCTGACCATACTGCAGTCTCATGAACCTTGGTTGTCCCGAAAGAGCCCCCGTAATCGAAGAGCCCGATGGTGCCAGCATTCTTCCGATGGAAGACCAATTATGGGATAAAGGAGTAAGTACAATAACAAGATTAAACAGCTTGTACGCTTGACTCACCCATACTGGGTTTGCTGATGATCCGTCTAGCATATTTTATCGAGCCAGCCCCCAACTTTATCATCGCTCCCGACAGGAGCGATGGGTCGTTTCGCCTTTACTGTCCAGGCAGCATTCTTGCTTGGGAGAGTCCTGAGAAATGGCCGAATTCCGCTGGATGAAAATGGGTTCCAAGAGGAGGAAGCAAGAATACTCGATAAAGCCATCCTCGCACTGACGCAAATCTCACTGCAAGAGAGCCGACAACGAGGCATGGGGCTTTGCAGCCCAACGACCATCTGTCATAGGTACTGATTTTGCCGATCCCATGAAGCTCTCCATTTGTTGGTTGACATTTCTAGTGCTCGACTCATTTTGAACGCCCAGATGATTTCTTGGATTGAAAACCTGCCAAATTCCTCCACGGAAATGAAATGTCTTTGGGAAATACAACGCAGCATAGCCTCGGATATGCTAGTTTTGGCGCAGACTCTGAACAGGACAGGATTGTGTGGGAAGGAAGAAAGTTCACCCTTTTGCCTTGACGCCATGTATCGAGCTGCTATGATTTTTGGTCAAGTATCCCAAGGTACGGCTACCGCTGATGCGCAGAAAGCACTTGACGATATTGAAAGCGGCTTCAAAGTCAACAGCAGGCGTTGGAAGGCCGCAGGTAAGAGGAGAAAATCTATGGAATTGAAAAGCCGAAAATTGACAATTGACATTCTAGGGATCTATGCGCAGCTTATCCAGGCAAGGGCTATTGCAGGTGTCTTATAATTGTCTCAACCCTTCGAAATAATATCTTGAACTATATTCTGGACTACTGTTATCATCCTTTTGAGATGCAAGACATGTTACGATAAGACGCATAACGTCTGTATCTTTTGAGTCTTCGACTGTCTGACTGAAGATCAATTTAAGATAAGAATTCTCAGTGAGCATCGATTACCTCTAATAGATAGCTCTCAAGGCTGTGGGCATCTTATCACTTTATTTTCTTGCAATAGGGAGAGTTTATGTGATTTATCAATGTTGGTCTTGACATAGCAAGGGCGTTCATTACTGTTTCAAGGCCACCTCTGTACGCATTCAGTAACTGATGGCAAGGATTCAAAATCTCTCTAGGCATCGAATCTTGCTAACCTACCCTCTTCTACTTTTCCCCTGCCTAGCTAGCTCTCCGCCCATGTTAGGTCATGGTAATCCAAAGTCGGAAGCGTTGTAGATCGTGATGGACTAAAGGAGCAATTAAACCCATGATTGTTTCGTGGTGTACAATGTCATTAGGAATAAATGCGAATCTCATCGGGATATAAACCCGATTATTTCTTAGAATTACCGCTTGCAGAACTTAGATGAGAAGTTTAATTAGGCAGTCGAACTTGACTTAATAAAGCCATCTTCGGGTGGTTGAACACAACCTATGCTGCAGGGTAACATGTTCATGAAAGGGATCAGTGTTAAACCTGCCGTGCGAGCGATGTTGTGTGAACTTGGATAGGAGGCACAAAATGTAGAAAATAATTCAGAGAATGTCACATCGATACAGCGATATTGAGATCTTGAATTGTTAGATCGCTAAAAAAAAAGAGAACAAGAAGCAAAGCAAACAAAATTCAATAACAATGCGCGGAAGTATTGATCGCATAGGTTTAAGTAAAGCGAGTTCTATCCATTAATTGGAAAACGGTATGAACACCAAATGTATTCATTCACGACCCACCGAGCTCGAAATATTTACCATGGGTAGTTCGTGGCATCGTATCCAATGAACCGTCCAGAAGTTGCCTCTCTCGAGGATGCTTCGATCTGAGGGTATGGTTAGCTTCGGATTAGCCCCGAAAGATAATTCAAGATTGCTTGCCTGCTTGAATACACCAGCGGCGCTATCTGGAAGCGTAACAGGGGCTTCTGTCCCGCCGATAGCGGTCGCAATAGAGTTGCCAAGCTCAGTTTTCACCCATCTGCAGTAGGTACATACATTGTGAGTATCAAAATCTCTTGGGGCCATCAGACAAAACTTACCCTGGATGGATCGGGAATGCAATCAACTGGGGATTCTCATGGTGAATTTTGGTAGTGAAAAAGTTCACTGCTGCCTTTGACATGCCATATGCGACATCTGGGACAGTCATGTTCTTCTGGAGCTCGATGCTGCCGAGCACAGTGGAAATCACTACAAATCTGGGGGTGGAAGCCTTGAACAGCAGGGGCTGGACGGCTTGAAACAGTCGGAACGGACCGACCGCGTTGACTTCGAAATGTTCTTCGACCTCTTTGACTGGTGTCTCTGTAGTGAGGCCCCAAAATTTTCCAATTCCTGCGTTTGCGATGACAGTGTCGAGTTTCGTGATACCGAACTCCGACTCAAGCCGCGAGACCGCAGCTCCAGCATCGGTCGGAGAGCTGCTGTCTAGCTGTAGCACAATAAGACGAGAACCTGGACCAACAGGAAGCTTCTGCAATTCAGCCACTGAAGGATGGTTGACATCACGGACTCCGGAGATGACCGTAGTCGAGGGTCTAGAAAGATACAAATTCAGCAGCTCTTTGCCGATACCTGAGAATAAGATCAGTCTAAGCATGTCAAAAGGGCACGCTATATTCAAAAATACAGACCTCGGTTAGAGCCAGTGATGAGAATTGAAGATGCCATGTCGAAATAGAGAGCAGACAATTGTGTCGACGCTTTACTTGCGATACTTTTGCTTTTAGGATGTTGAAGCCAAGTCAACGTTAGAATAATTCTGTGGGCTTTATATAGCTTTCATCTCCCCATATGCTGACAAAAACGAGCTATATAGATGCTAGAATGTTCGTAATCAAATCCGAAGTTATGTCGGAGCTGTCGGACTTTCAGTCGGAAGGCGGGGCTGTCGGGATTCTTCGCCCGACGGCCGCTTCTGTTCCGTGGACGGACCGCCGGTATTACGCGAATTAACTTAGAAAATTAAACTTCGGCAATCCCGATTAGGGTGTCTCATAGATTCCACATGATATAAATAAACTTAATCACGAAAGCGCTATACTAGATTAAGGGCTCATGCCGCTGAAAAGGTACACACATGCGTCGTTCTCCGAGCAATGGACCGAAATCATGAAATGATTTTTAATCACCTTCAAGTCACGACATTAGTGTCTCTTGAAGTTTGCGCATGGACTCTCCTGTGACTCCTGATGCGATGACAAATGCGCTTTATTCACAGCACGAGGCCTGGGCAATAACAATAATCCAATTTAAAACTGCCATCCGCTTTGTCATCAATCTTTTTCGTGACTGAGAAATGCTTACAATCTCGATAGTGGATCCGAAAGCGGTTGCAATCATCGCGGGAGTCAGCCCTGGCACGGTACATGCCAGGCTTGGTTTGATCCTCCTTTAAGAACCCGTCTCCCAGATTCGTGTACATGCTCGATATACTTAGGCTAGCTTCCGCGTCCACCGACAATAATACCCAGGGGGCATCCTTTGCCCAAATTGTTTTGTTGTGACTGTTAGTCATATTGCAAGTACACAGATACTTTACCAATAACAGAACAGTTTTTTCATGAGGCACTGCAGGCTTGTTGTTTAGTTGTTCCTTCAGAACCCTTTTTATTCTGATATACAAATTTATCTTGGTTTCTATGCCGATACCACAAGCAGCTCATAACGGAATAAGCAACATATGCCCACAGCCAGCCCTTTTTAAAATTATCTGCCGAAATCTAGACGTACGCTGGTCCCACGTGGAATTGTAAATGACGAAGAAATAAATCTGGAAATGCCCGACAATTTAGAGGGCGTTCTAACTAATAAACGACTAATACACAATAGGAAATATCGATGAGGGATAAAATCCCTGTATGTGAGCTGTGGGAATTCCAATTCTTGACAGTATTTAATCATTCTTCACCCCAATCCAGTTGGTATCGATCAGAGCTACATTGATATGCTGCAAACTTGACCAACAAGTTCTTGACATCATGAGTCTCCGTCAGGAATGGCGATATTTCACCACTGATAAATCCCTGTTCCATAGCGTGTCAGGAGACCATCTCAATACCCATTAATATTTAACAACACAATCCCAATGCGGTGGATACAACTGGTTCATGTTGTCATCTCCATGACCTCCTCGATTGTTCCATACCCGCCAGCCAGTGACACAAACCCAGACCCAGGTCCGCCTTCGAGCACCTTCGTGGCCATTAGCCACTGGCGAGTATGTATATCTGGCACCATCATCGTCAGGCCAAATTTGATTCTGGAATCTCATCTCCTTCCAATGCTTCCGAGACTGCTCGCTTGGCATCCTTGCATCCTATAGGGGCGGACGCAGGCTCTATTTCTCCAGCACCGTTTCTTGAGGCTACTTTGACTAATTAGCGCACGTGGAATCACACCGTGCATGGCCTTCTAGGTGGCCAGGGAGACCAATGCCTTGGCAATTTCACCCATAAGACCTCTGGTGCCACCACCGTATACTAATTGGACATTTCTCTTATTAAATTCGTAGGGCAAAGCCCCGAACTGCGTCGAGGTGTGCTGCATCATTTTGCACAGTGGAGTCGCAGCTAGATGCCAGGAAGAAGGACTGGTCTCGGCACTTTGCAGGCGGTTGTTCATTTCGACACACACACACACACACACACACACATACACAAATTATTATATCTATGCATATAGTATCGTCGTTGTGAGAGATAGAGTAAGGAGGAAGCATTCACAAGACGCACACAACAGCATGTTTCGAGGACATTTTCAGCGTAATTTCATGCTAAAGAAAGGTATTGGAAGGCTGAAAGCGCAAGAAAAGGTTCTTGAGAGGTACAGCGACAGCTTCCCGACAAGATCTCATTTTGCGAAGTTATCCTATGACTAAGACCTATGACAAGATCGAAGTGCGCCGGGGATTAGAAGCCGCGCGGCCTTAGCATACCCGCAAACCCACAGCTGAACGATGAGTCACGATATACTCTTGGCACGTTTAAGAACTGGCTGCGGTCCCTCGCATAGCCGTAGCTTAGACTGAAGAGTTTCGGCTAAAAAGTCTAGTGAGTTATGATCTGAGAAGAGGGGTTCCACTTCGTAACCAACTAGATGGCATAATGACCCTGATTCCCGTGACTTCTAGATCTCGAGCCAGCCGAAATCGGCGGAGCATTCTCTTCACCACGCGCATCACGTTCAAGCGGGCGCACATTGATCAGGTTTTGTGCAATGGAGGATTCTAGGAAGGTGGTTGTGATCGCTTCCGAAAATGTACCCAAAATTCGATCGACACGGGAGGGCTTCAGGCTCATGTTGCCGGGATCCTACGACTTTCAGAGCGTCAAGGTTGATTCAGGTGTCCCTGATCAGCCCTTCTCAGACGATGAAACTCTTCAGGGAGCAATCAATCGCGCGCGGAATGCAAAAAATGCCGTACCAGGCGCAGAATATTGGGTTGGAATCGAAGGAGGGGTGGAGGTGCACAGCGGCGCAGTTTGTTGTTTTGCGTGGATCGTCGTCAATCGCAAAGATGGTCAAACTGGTAAGGCTCGTACCTCAGCGTTCTTCGTAGCGGAAGAGACTGCACGGCTTCTACATGAGGGTATGGACTTGGGGAAGGCGGATGATAAGGTACTGGGACAGACAAACGTGAAAGATAATCAAGGTTCGGTTGGAATATTGACGGGAGGTTTGGTTGATCGGGCAGATTACTATACTCAAGCCGTTATTCTAGCCCTCATACCGTTCAAAAACCCCTCATTGAAATTCGCATCATAAGTGAGTGGGGTGTTATCTCGAAAGGATAGCAAGAGCAAAGCACTGTGTTCGAAATCGCTTCCGTTGGATTCAAGAACAAGCAGGTGTCCGTTTCTTTTCTGTAGAAGTATATCCCATGCTATGTATTAGGCTGCATGAGAGGCTCATCCTCCACCGAGATATGGTCAAAAGCCCCATGCCCACAAAGGCATCGCAAACCAAGTGGTAAGAACATCTGTGGATGTCTTCTAAATTCATCACCTTGCTTTTTCGAATCGATCGATTTCATACGATCTAGATTGTCAATTCTAGCTGCATCTGAGCAAGATCACACAGTGACACAAGAGGAAGAGCTTCGAATGTGCGGAAGATCAGGACTGGTGATCTGGTCAATCCGGACCAAATCATATGAGTATCTTAAAAATTGACGGAGAAAGTTCCTCTTTGCTGCGACATATAAGATGTTCATTGTATCTCGGCGTTCCACGATATATGCGTTTGCCCCGTACTTCACAAGTAAAGAGACTTTGGACCCTTGACTTGAACGAACAGCCTCTAGAAGTGGAGCGCGGTTGTCAGAAGCAACACGGTCGACTTTCGCCCCCGTAATCTAGGAGCAATTTGATGATGGCCAGATCCATCCCACAATTGCCCCCGTTTCCCAATATCTTCAAACAGACCAATCAACCACCCAGCCACATCACAGAAAATTCCATAGATACCTTGTCACACTCAAATCCAACTACATCCGCTTCCAATAAGCAAAATCGGTAACCTTCTAGTACTTTTCCCCGTCGACCGCGCTAGGAACGCCCCGCTATGACGTCCCGTGGGCGACCCACGCGGGGGCGCGATGTCATGGCTGCGGCGTGATCTCATGGCGCAGCCACATCGATAGACTAATTTGAGAGCGGGTGTACGGGGGTTGCGCTAGTATGGGCAATTACGATGACAGTCACGAACGATCTTTGAATGTTTATTCTGAGTGGTCGGGTACCGGATATCTCAGGTGTGGGGTAGGGAAAGGGAAGAGGATTCTGTGGGTGGGTTTGGAAGGACTCATCCAGAGAAAGAAGGAAAGAAAGAGAGGTCGGGATAGGGCCACTTCGTAGTATTTCAACGCCTCGCTTGACTCGAAAAAGAAAGAAGGAAAGGAAGGAAGAAGGAGATTTGAAGAATAAATAGCGAGGGGGTATATGTGCTCAGGAGATCATGGGAAGCGAAAATATGAAAGGCTGAGTGCGTCCTGCGCGCTAGCCGATGTTGTGGGTGTACCTCAGGCTGAAACGCCCACCCAGCGAGATGGAACAGCTGAGTCGTTGTTGTCGCTGTCGCCGTAGTCCGCCGACAGACTATGGGGATTGGTCTTGCGCGGTGGGAGCCAGACGCGGGCGCGGGTGGGGATATCCTCGCGCAACTTCCCGCTGCGCCGCATGTTCATTTCCAGGACGACCATGCGGAGGAAATTGCTGTTTTCGCGGGGCTCGCGCTGGCGCGGCATTGGAGGAATCTCCGGGTCAAAGGCGCAGTCGTGGCCCTGGGAGGCGGCAACGTGGAAGTTACTGCGACGGTGTCCGCGGCCTGTGTTACGTCGGTACGTTTGCATTTGGATGGAAACAGCGCAGGCGCGAGAAGATTCGAGGGGTTCGTGTCGGTGGTCACGGTAGACATCAATCTCCGCCGCAGAGATTGGAGTTGGGTTGAGGTAGCGCCGTAGCGCTGGAGATGGAGGATCTTGCATGGGCGGAGGACGACGGTCGTCGGTCAATTCCGGAGTGATGGTAAAGAGAGATCGAGTGAGAAAGTCATCCGGCTGAACGGAGGGCGTCGCGAAGGTCGAAACCGACTGCGCGGCAGACTTGATGGCCCGTAAAGAGGCCGTCAAGTTCGACTTGAAAGTCGAGCCCAAGCGCAAGGATCGAAACGAGGCAGCAGAACGCTTCGCAGGTACCGTCGAATGCGGCGTTGACGGCTCACCGTGGTCGATGATATCTGCTAGCTCAGGTTCATCGACATCGGTATGGAGCAGGGGATGGTCGAGAGCACAGTCTTCCGAGTGCGAGTACCGTGGTTGTCGCCGCTCTGATGGACTTCTCTGGCTCGTGGGAGTCAAGGGCAATGACAGGCTGTATGGCGATTCCTGATCATCATGCTCCAGCGACGGCGTCGAGTCGCTCGATTCTGATCGAAGAGAAAACGGGGACTCCATTTCCGAATCGTTTTCTGTCGAGAAATTCCCATCCTCCTCATCCGGTGGACTGAGTAGGATGTCTAGGGCAGTATTTCCAGATCCTTCCATCAGATGATCTTCTTTCGACTGGACTCCTTCCTGTAGCATGCGGCTAAAGTCTTTCACATGGTTTCCTCGAGGAAGCTTTCGAGATCGTCGAGCAGTCCACGTCTTGCGTGGTACTGGGATGGCTGTCGCATCCAGCATCGATGTGAATGATGTAGGTATGGGGCGGTCGTTGGACGAGCTGGAGGATGACCGGTGCGAGGAATCAGAGGTTTTGGATGGTATCCGGGGCCGGCTGCTTCGATGTACCGCTGCAGTGCGCGAGCTACGCCTTGGAGGGATCAACACTGGCGAGGTATTCCCCGGACTGGGGAGATGAATCCCAGGCGAGTCCGGCGCCTGGCCCAACCCATAAGGCTGCATGGCCTTATGCGGCGGTGCTGATGTAAAGAGAAAAGTTCTTGGGACCATCATTTTGTTTGGTTATCATCCGCATGGAACGTTTTTCAGTGAGGCCGGGGCCTGACGAGGCACTCTGATCGAGGGTTTGGGCGAGATACATGGATGTAGGGAGGGATGATGGCGGACAATGCCCCGTCACAGAGTTCAGACGGGACCGAGCCAGCGGCAGACCGGGCGAGGGGGGGTGGTGGTCCGGCAGTGAGGTATGGCTGGCACCGGAGCCTAATGCAGGCACGCGACCAGATATGGTGACCAGGCCCAGAGGACAACCGAGGAAGGGTGTCGGGAGGCAAGGGATGGCAATGGGAATGGAGGAGACGGAAAAGATCGTGGGAGAGCAAAATTCAGGCAATAAAGGGTTGTAAGAGAGACAGAGCAGGGAGCGGGAGAGACGGGAGAGAGAAGAAAAGGGAAAGATAAGAATGGTGATCTCAGTCGATAAGGATGATTGGGCCGGCAGTCACGGGTGTATTATTTATTGTGGCTGTTTTTGTACAGTATGGGACGGTATTGTTGGGATTAGTCAGGCAAGGGTCAACAAACGGAGTACAGTAGGTAGCATGTGTTGATCTGATAAACCACGATGATATTGTCTTTCCAGTGATTGTCCTTTGCTCTTCGCCCACTGCTTGGTGTTGTGTCTGTAAATGTCTCTCCGAGATCCGAATGCTGCAGAACCCAAACAATCTGAGGCGTACGGGGCAGAAGGAGTGGACCCGTCATAAGCGACGGGCATCACCGCATCGTGGGTTCCACCGAATCTCGCCAATAATAGGGACTCGATTGTAGGCATCTTCGAGTATGCTGTACATATGCCTGGTGGACCAACCATCAATCTATCTGATATTGAACTATTATTAATACCGATCGTTTATAATTATAGTCGCACAAGATGTTCATCGAATAGGTCGGTCGGTCTGGATCAGTTGGCCGCTGGTCCAGTGATCTAGGGTTTGTCAGCCTTATCACACGTTGCGTCTATCCAATCACCACGGCTGAGAGACAATTCAATCATCACTCCACGACGGCTTCGGGATCGGAAGGTTGAGGATTTCACAGCAAGGAGCATGCACTGACATGCCTCATCCCCATATTCTGGGTTTTTTGAAGCGACGGGATTGTGCGCATGGAGATCCGATATTGGATCATGGATTCCCCGTACTTTCAAATATTGAAACGACACCGAGCTTGAGATATGCTTCTGCCGAGCCGCATCTCTGACGACCATGAGTGCCGAGCGTGATCAGTCGTCCAAGCGGCGCTGTGTCAGCACAGCCTGCATTGCCTGTCGCCGCCGGAAATCCAAGTGTGATGGGAACCTGCCCAGTTGTGCCGCCTGCTCCTCGGTCTATCATACCGCCTGCGTGTATGACCCCAACTCCGACCATCGCCGCAAAGGCGTGTATAGAAAAGACACCGATACCCTGCGAACTCGGAACACCACGCTGCAGACCCTCATACAGGCAATCTTGAACTATGAAGAAGACGAAGCGTTTGAATTAGTCCGCCAGATTCGGGCATGCGACGACCTAGAAGATGTCGCCGAGTTCGTTATCGCCCGAGATAAAGGTGATCTTCTCCCCGCCGAGGCGACGACAGCATCGGGCAACGAAGGTGACCAGGCGCCGGTCGATCAATTCGAGTCCGAGCTGGCGGGCAAGATGGGTGAGCTCTTGCTTGACGGTTCACGTAAGTTCATCGGAGGCACTTCCAACCTCATTTTCCTTCCACCGGGCTCGGAGCTGCACGAATCCTCGACACCTCCACCTGCCGAGCTCGGTCAGGATTATTCCCCTGTGAAACGATGGACTCGCGCTACAGATGACGAGTTCCTGATCAGCCATCTCATGACCATGTACTTCACGTGGCACTATCCATTTTTCACTATCTTAGCCAAGGATGTGTTCTACCGGGACTATGTCCGCGGAGTTTCCAGCCAGTACTGTTCCTCGTTGTTGGTCAACGCCATGCTAGCTCTGGGCTGCCACTTCAGTTCCTACCAAGGGGCTCTGGATGACCCCCAGGATCTTGCAACCGCGGGCAACCATTTCTTCAGAGAAGCCAAGCGGTTGGTACTGGAGCATGACGAGCATGAGAACGCAAAACTCTGCACGGTGCAGGCATTCGCCCTCATGTCCGTACGAGAGGCAGGATGTGGCCGAGAAGGCAAGGGCTGGGTTTACAGCGGCCTAAGTTTCCGGATGGCTTTCGACCTTGGTTTGAATCTGGACGCCTCCAGCCTCGGCGCAGCTCACGACCTCACTGAAGAAGAAATCGATGCGCGGCAGATTACTTTTTGGGGCTGCTATTTGATTGACAAGTTCGTACTCCTTGCCTTCAGATTTCTGCTTCTGCTGTTCTAACTTCATGTAGGTGTTGGTCAAACTACCTTGGTCGCCAGCCTCAGCTGTCCTTGTCCAACGCCAGTGTACACAAGTTCGATGTATTCCCAAGGGAAGAGATAGAAGCGTGGTCGCCCTACACGAATTCAGGCCCGAATCGCGAATACACTCAACCCTCTCGCACAAGGGCGGTTGCACTTCAAATATTGAAGCTCTGCGAAATCAGCGGCGATCTTCTCGTGTTTTTCTACCATCCAGCAGATGTGGACAAGGCACCACCAAAGCAGCTGAAGCTGAAGAAGCTTAGCGAGGTCCATACGCGGCTGGAGGCGTGGAAAATGGAACTACCCAAGGAACTGGAACCGAAGAATGGTCAACTTCCGCAGGTGCTTGTGATGCAGTAAGCAGAGCAGGAACGTTTTTGTGTATTTAAGCTGACGTTCCGGAACAGTATGTTTTACCAGCTGCTCCTCATCCATCTATATCGCCCCTTCCTGAAGTATACCAAGTCCAGCACTCCGCTCCCTGCACATGTGTCGCCCCGTAAGATATGCACCCAGGCCGCGTCTACCATATCCAAGCTGCTCCGGATATACAAACGCAGCTACGGATTGAGGCAGGTCTGCAACATTGTCGTCTACATGGCCCATACGGCCTGCACCATCCACATCCTCAATCTGCCTGAGAAGAATGCCCAGAGAGATATCATCCATGGTCTCAAAAGCCTCGAGGAGATAGGGGAGGGGTGGCTCTGCGCGCGCCGCACGATTCGCATCTTGGACATCTCCGCCCAGAAATGGCAGATCGAACTCCCCGCCGAAGCAGTCAGGATCATCGAACGCACCCACGGTATATGGGGATCCTGGGGATCATGGGACCAGGCAACCTCGCCTTCTATATCTGACGATTCGCCAGCAATGGATCTACGCATGAGCCCAAGCAGATTCACCACTCCGGTTCCCCCACGCCCTGAACCTTTCACCTCCGCTGCACCGAGCGGTAGGGCGACAGCCGCAATACCTTCACAGTACCCCGCTACCACTGCCGTCCCTTCATCCTTCCAACAATCGATGCGCGAAGCCCATCATACTCTAAACACACAAATCCAAAGACCCGACTTCGCGCCCCCAGAACCGACGTACCTGCGTCCCATATCACAGGCAAGCTACCAGATCCCGTCCCTTTCCATGTCGGACCCGTCCTCTGCACCACCAGGGAATCCAAGTGCCTGGTACGATGCATCCATTCTCTTCCCAAACGCCACTACGACTCCCACCGCGTCGACCACATCCCCCGAGGCTGTGTTTAACAGCGGTACCGAAAATCTGGTCGAGGAGAGCCAGGATTGGTGGTCTCGCAATGCTACTACCTGGGGCGAGGGTTGGAGTAATGGCCATGCTGGTCCGCAGCCACCATATGCTGGCAACAATAATGCCCACGCCCATCGCTAGCTTTCCTCGGCTGCGCAGCAGCAGCCCTCGAGATCACCTCCTGGCCCAGAGCATCCGCTCGCTCATGCGTCGGTCAGCATTCCAGATCCAACTGACCATAAAAGTACTGAGTCGTGGAAATGCTTTCTTACTATACAGCATTTCCACACCCAACCCACTATCTGTCTAATGCACATTTTATTGATTCGGTTTTGGGGAGGACCTTCGTGATATTTTGCTGTATATGCTCTTTGTTCAAATCCAGAGTGTCAAAAACCAAACTACAGAATCTACACAAGCCAAGACCAAGAATATGCATCAAAGATTAGTCATAGATGATCATTATCGAGAGTTAACACCAGGAGCCGCAAGATGCCGAGTCGACCAGAAACCCCCCAAGAGCAGTATAGAAGGAGAGAAAGGGGGAGGGGCAGGAAAGAGAAGAAATATGCAAGGAGAGTATCATCACTGGTACAAGCAGCAGCAGTTAGCAAAAATATCACAAATCATAATCAGGCAGAAGAAACATACCAGGAAATAATCAGCAACCGGTTTCTTCGCAGGCATACCCCTTGTATCCTGAGCCGCGGCCTCGAAAACACGGTACCTCCTACCGGGGCTGACGACTCGGTCGTTGAAAATTCCATTACTCCGAGCATAGTTACCATTACTGCGGGCGACTGTGCCGCCGTTGCTGGCGTCCTCGCCCAGCTCCAAGATAGCAGCGACGTTGCCGCAGCGGTAACAGTAGTTAGGGGCGGACCAGACAGTCACGATCCCGCCGTCGAACATCTCTTTGTAGCCCTCCATGACGAGCTGGTGGGCACGTGCAATTAGAGATAGATCGTTGTGGTAGTTGAAGGCCTTGACGATATCCCCTCCAAAGAGGAATCCTGCTCCGCGCGGGCTGAGGCCCCACCCTTCAATCTCGTCCGGGTCGGACCAGAGGAGATCGCACATGGCGCCTTCGTGAGGGACCTCTTGCTTCCGGTCAATTATTCGGATCTTGTCAACGCTGTCGATGAGCGGAGATAGTCCGCCGTGCACGCACAGCACGGCGCCTGTTCGGCTGGTGTGCATGGTACCGTTGCCGTTGGAGCTGGCGCCTGTCCCTGGTGCGCCGGGTCGTGAGGGCGCGGCTGGTTGGCCCGGGGCAGCGGAAATGTCGCGTGGCGGGGAGATGTTTCGCGAGTCTGTGGATGTGTCGGACGAGGACCGTTGGCGCGGGCGGTACGTGCTCATGGTGACTTCACCTCGTGAGTTGAGCACCTCCGTCTCCAGCTCGCTGTCATCAATCTGCATCGTCGACTGAGACATTCCATTCGCGCCTGACATGGCGGTTGGCTCGAGCTCTGAGCTTGCTCCGAGTACGATTGCTCCCAGGGCGAGGTAATCAAACACCTCGCAGCAGTAACGCCAGACATTGGCGCTGCCGTACTTGCGGATGCACTCGTCGTAGAACCCGTATACAGTGGTAATTTGGCGCGACTCGTGGTTCCCACGAATTAGGGTCATGCGATCCGGATATCGGACCTTGAGGCAGAGGAGGAGAAGGAAGGATTCAAGTGAGTAGAACCCGCGGTCGACGAAGTCACCCATAAACAAGTAATTGGTATCTGGCACGTCGCCGCCTACACGGAACAATTCCATCAGGTCGTGGAATTGCCCGTGGATATCACCACAGATGGTGACAGGGGCATCGACAGATACGACATTTCCTTCTTCGATGAGGAGCTCGCGTGCCTTGTAGCACAGTTCGCGGACTTGGCTCTCGGGAATCAGGCGGCAGGCCCGCAGCTGCTCGATCGCTCTGTGAGAAGTAAAGAAAATCAGCGCGAGTCGTTTGACGAAGATGATGAGAGGTGAAGAGTTACCCGTCCAAGTCACTCATATTGCGATGTCGGGATGCTGTCGGGGATGAAGGCTTTTTATCGGAGAGAAGATGACAGGAAGATGGCACAGCCGCAGTGGATGGTGGCAGGCCAGTCAGTCTCCGTGCGAATGCAAGTTCATTTTGATCGTTGCGAAGCCATGGCCGGGCGTGTAACGAAGTGAAGGGAAGAGAGAAAGAGAGGTGGATCAGTTGGTTTCGACAGCGCGAGCGAGGCAGGGCCAATCACGCGGGCCGCGATAAGATTAGCTAGCTCACGGATTTCTGCTGGCTTCGCTCCCTCCGTCAACCAACTGCCACACCTCTCCCTGTAACGCCAATTGACCTCTTCTCTCCCTCTCAATCTTTCTTTTTCTCTCGGGAATCTCTCCAGTCCCACCCGGATGGCTCCGTGAACCAATCCCTAGCGACCCTGCCGACGTCTCTCACTCCTCCCTCTCCGTACTCTTTTCCTCCACAATGCCACCCCATCTCCATCCCCGGTCCCGGTCGACGACCGGCCTGTTCGCTGGCACTCTCCTCGCCTCACTCCTCGTGGTCGGCATTCCCCACATCTTCCCTTGCCCGGCACCCCGACGCACTTTCGCGGACTCGGAGGTGGTGGTCACAGCCGACGGCCAACAGATCCCGAAAGTGCGACGGAGACGGCGGAAAGACATCGAAACGCTAGACAGCCCCGAAAATCATCGCTCAGGCCATCCGGCATCACCGGGCGACGACGAGGAGGTATCCACATTCCTCCAGATGGAAGAAGAGGCCAAGAACCTGGCCCACGTTGGCCGCGAGTGTCCGGTGCCCAAACCGAAGGGTGTCCTGGGTCAATTACTGGGGTTCCGTAACCCTCCAGAAAATGAGAGGCGGCAGACAAGCGGATTTGCCGAGGGGGAACGATAGCGTCTCGATGTTGGCCGAGGCCTTTTTCGCGTCTTTCTCTCACTTTTTCTTGCATCATACTTTTTTTAACTCTTCTCGTTTGTGATTAATGATACCATGGGTTGGACTACGAAGATGAATTGGTCGGAATGGACAGAATGGGGGTGGTTGGATGTTTCCATATCGGCGTACTTGCGCATGGCGAGCTACGTACTGAGAATGTATAACAGAGGGGAGATACAAGCTCCTCACGAATATAAAGAACCTATCCAATAATTTACTAGGTTGTATATCTAAGGTAGCAGGACTGGTTGATCAGACTACATAGCCTCTCCAACTGATCCGTCGTTACGTTGTCAGTCTGCGCCTTGAAATGCCCTTAAGAGGTGTCCATGAATGCGGTCCAACTTGCCCAAGACTCCCCAGAGAGTCTCATTCTTTTCCACATCGATGATGTCTTTGGCTGGACACTTCTTTGTCAATCTGAGTTAGCGCTGGATTCTTCTACTCTGGCCATGCACTTTGCCTGGCGGCAGACTGCGAGAGGCAGGTGTTGTTTCTGCAGAGCCTCTTAGTGATGAAGATAATAATGACCAAAGAAAGACATAGTTCTACAGTCTGCGCAGGGTTTCTCTGGAGAGGGACAATCTGAAGCTATCGTAGGAAACGGTATGTCTTGAGAGAAATATAGAAAGGACGCCATTGATACAGAGAACTAAACTATGGTTGAAAATGCCCGTTGATGCCTAAGTAATCAGACTCCTAATATGGTCAAAGGACACTGGCCAAGTGTACCTCTCCTGACACCCACCTAGCAAGAAAGCATATTGTTATTGGGCGGAATGATTCGACGATGTAAGTGTCAAGCGCTGTATTCATACTTCACGTCCCCCAATGGCGACTAAGGATCTTACGTAACCTATACTAAAGAACATGTGAGGGACAGGGACCCCATATAACTCCCTCTAGCCACGTCGCCATGGCCCTGCCCGACCTCCTAGTCGACATCCTCACCAATCCACGACATACAAAATGGATGGCTCCTCTGTTGCTCCTCGGCGATGCAGCCCTGTGCGCGCTGGTCATCTGGAAGATCTCCTGTGAGCCGCATCTCGTAAACAACAAATGTCCCGTTCAACCAAACTGACCACAGCACTTTAGACACCGAGATTGACTGGACAACCTACATGCAACAGGTCTCGCTCTACATGTCCGGAGAACGCGACTACACCTTGATCAAAGGCTCGACCGGCCCACTTGTCTACCCCGCCGCCCACGTCTACATCTACACGCTCCTCTACCACCTCACCGATGAAGGGCGCGATATCCTGATTGGTCAGATTATGTTCGCGGGGCTGTATCTGGCGACTCTAGTCGTCGTGTTGGGTTGCTACAGGCACTCCGGTGCGCCGCCGTACTTGTTCCCGCTGCTCGTTCTGTCCAAACGCCTGCACAGCATCTTCGTGCTGCGCTTGTTCAACGATGGTGTCGCCGCATTCGCTATGTGGCTGGCTATCTATCTCTGTCAGAAGCGCAAGTGGACTGCTGGCGTGGCGGTGTGGTCTGCCGGCGTGGCGGTCAAGATGACGCTGGTTCTGCTCGTGCCGGCTATTGCGGTCCTCACACTGCTCAGTCTGGGGTTGACGCGCAGTGTTGCGTTGGGGATCATGGCAATTCTGATCCAGGTTGGTGAAGGCGGAAAGGTGTCTAGGTGTACAAATGACTGATGAGGCATTATTGCAGGTCCTTCTCGCGGTACCTTTCCTCCAAGCCAATCCTACAGGCTATCTCGCGCGCGCGTTCGAGCTCTCCAGGCAATTCTTGTTCAAATGGACAGTGAATTGGCGATTCGTTGGCGAAGACACATTTCTCTCGAAAGAATTCTCTCTAGCCTTGCTGGTCCTCCACGTTTCCCTGCTGGCTATCTTCTCCGCCACCTGGATAAGACCCTCCGGCACCAATAATGTGTTCCGCTGGGCGCAGGGCCTTCTCCACGGTCGCCAGCAACCAATCGCCCTCTCCAAATCCTTCATCATGACCGTCATGCTGAGCTCGCTGGCCATCGGCTTGCTCTGTGCCAGGTCCCTGCACTACCAATTCTTCGCCTATTTGTCATGGGCCACCCCGTTTCTGCTTTGGCGGACAGGCCTCCACCCGGTTCTTGTGTATGTCATTTGGGCACTGCAGGAATGGGCTTGGAATGTCTACCCCAGCAGCAACGCAAGTTCGGCGGTTGTCGTGTTGTCGCTCGGTGTCCAGGTGTTGGGGGTGTGGTTGAATGGGTCGAGCGAGGTAGATAATAGTGCTCCTCGGAAAGAGCACATCCAATAAAAAAACCAGTGGCATATTCCAGACATCTCAAACTGTTGCTCTGGTGAACCATATCTGTAGACATAGGATTCACGCATCCGATTCGTCGTCAGAGGGCGGCATCTGGCCGACTCGCGATTCATCTTCATCGTCCGAGTCAATTGCAGCGACGACGGGCTGCTTCACGAACTCCTTTGGCCTTAAAAGATGAATATCTGTCAATATATGATCCTCTACAAGCAATTGAATCGAATGGGAGGGGGAGATAATACCAAAACGCCGCCTTCCGCCACGCCTTCTCATCGCGCACGATATTCACAATCTCCCCGCCAATCTTGTTATCGCGCTCATCCTGCGCCGTGGTATCGATCACAACGTACGAGCCGCGTTTGATCCAGAAGGTTGACCGGAAGCGCGCGGGCAGCTCCACGAGACACTGTGTTTTGCAGGGCTGCTCGACTAGGTAGATGTTGTTTCCGGTTGCCTTGATCGCGCGCGCGATCTGCTGGTTGCGGGCTAGGGAGTCTGGGGGTGTGAGGGTTTCTTCAGCTGTGGCTAGCACTCTGCGACGCGGGGGGGCCATGGTGAAATGATATCGCAAAGAATATCGTGAATAGTAAAATGGTAATGGAAGAAAAAAAACCCGTAGATCGGTGGGGCAAAACAGGACTCCCCAGACTGATGACAAACCATGAATTAGGGTTCGGAATATGGATTCCTGTCTAGCATAAAGCGGCGAACTTCGTTCAATGAACTTCGCCATTAGTCCAGCAACATATATTCGACAGAATGGCTGCCTCTTTCGGTTCCCTCTTCGAAATCGAGAGCTCTGCCCAACTGGCCAGTCCACCAGCTGCAGTACGCAAGGACAAGCAAGGTGCTGCCCCAGTACCATCAGACTATGAATTGAACGAACTTCAACCAACGGCTTCCACACGAGGGAATCAAGAACAGTCTTCTTCCACGCCAACTCCCAGCGTGCTGGAGAACCGTCTACCATCCCCCATCCAAGCTGAAGATACAACCACCACATTTGCGGCTGACCGCACTACACCGCCACCAAAGACCAAATGGCGGCTACTGAGCTGCTGTCTGGTCCAATTCGGGAATGGCATGAATGACAGTGCTCCCGGTGCTCTGATTCCGTACATGGAACGGCACTACAGCATCGGATATGCCGTGGTCTCGCTCATCTTTGTGACCAATGCCCTGGGCTTTATCCTCGCCGCCCCGCTCACACACACGATCGAGAGCAAACTCGGACGCTCGCGAAGCTATGCGCTGGCTCTGTCCCTTTCCGTGACGGCATACGTGATTATCGTCTGCCAGCCGCCCTTCCCTGCAGTGGTGGCCAGCTTCCTCTTGTTGGGCTTCGGCCAGGCCTTCAACCTGGCTCTCAGCAATGTCTTCTGCGCCAATCTCTCTAATTTTACGACGGCATTGGGCTGTTTGCATGGCTCCTACGGCATTGGAGGCACCGTGGCGCCGTTGTTTGCAACGGCAATGGTGTCGAGCGGGATTCGCTGGTCGTTCTTCTACAGTATCGCCCTGGCCATGGCCGCAGTCAACCTGCTCTTTTCCGCATGGTCATTCTACAACTACGAAAAAGACACCCCGATCGAGCCGCAGATGGCACTTCAGCCCACAGCCTCCCGTCCCGAAGGTGCCGGTGGCGAGCCTCTGACTCGGCTCCAGGTCGTCCTGAAATCCATCAAGAACCGCACCACGCTGCTCGGGGCGCTATTCATCTTCGCCTACCAAGGGGCCGAGGTCTCCGTCTCGGGCTGGGTCGTTTCTTTCCTAATCAGCTACCGCCACGGCGACCCGAAGCACGTCGGCTACGTGAGCGCGGGTTTCTGGGCAGGCATCACGGCCGGCCGGTTCGTGTTGACGCATCCGGCACACAGAATCGGCGAAAAGATCGCCGTGGTGATCATGGTGGCTGGCGCCGTCGCCTTCCAGCTGATGACCTGGCTCATCCCCAACGTGATCGGCGAGGCCGTCACCGTCGCCATCCTTGGCCTGCTCCTGGGGCCCGTCTATCCCTGCGCCACGACAGTTTTTACCAAACTACTCCCCCGGAGCATGCACATGTCCAGCCTGAGCTTTGTCAGCGCCCTCGGCAGCAGCGGCGGTGCCGTGTCGCCATTCTTGACCGGTCTGCTGGCGCAAAAGGTGGGCACTATGGTCCTGCACCCGATCTGTATTGGATTGTATGGAGTGATGGCTACCAGTTGGCTTCTGCTGCCCAAAATTTCCAAGCGATCCGAGTAAGGGGTGGTGTGGTGGTGGTGGTGGTGCTCGCCAACATACCCTTTCGGTACAATATGTTGTGGGCATAGTTAGGTTAGGGCAGGCTCGCATGTGGAGTTCAGAGTCTCGGCATGGATGTCTGTCCAGTAAATTGCATTACTACATAGTACCTGGCCAACAATCATGAACCCAATGACATTGTCGAGTCTAGTCTTGGTGACATCACGAGTCGAGGGTGTGTTTACCCACCGAGTGCCATATTGGGTCCGTAGTATCTCAACCGACGGTTTTATTCACATCAAGAATGCACCGCACTGCTAGACTCGGCTAGATATCCGGAGATCCCTAAAAGACCACCCCTCCATGCACGCGGCAAGGGATATACCCTCTTGAGCCCATCCACTGAGGTTAGTGGTTGGTCTGTTTTCGTGTCGGGGCTTATCGATAGCCAGGCCACACCACACTTCCCCCTCCCTTTCTCTCTCTCTTCTCTTCCTCCCTCTCTCTTTTCCTCACCATCCCCTTCATCTCCATCGCTGATGATCTCATCTGCCAGGCGGTAACGGCGCCCTTGACGCCGGAAACACTTGGATCCCACACTCCCACCACCACCTGCCCACTCCCTCGAAAGTGTCCCGGGTGTCTCACCTTTCCCCTCCACCTGTCAACAACACGAGCGAGAGACAGACAACCAGACCCCGCGATAACCACTTTCGCTTCCACCACACCCCTTCCTCTCACCACAACCACCCTAAAAAAACAACACCGCCACTATGGACAGCGATGACCCTATTGCCGCGGTCTACAAAAAGATCGAGCGGGAGAAAGCCCTGATCGCCGCGGCGAGCAACATGCGGCAGTCGACCGACAACCCGCTCGTGCAGCAGCGAGTCGACGCGAACATCCGCGATGGCTGGAAAAACATTGCCTATCTCGAGGAGAAGATGCAGGAGCTGCAGATCCGTCGCATGGAACAGGATGGTGGCGGCTCGCCTACGGGCCAGCGCCGCGGGCCCGGTGTCGGTGGGAACGCTCCCCCGCCACCCCCGAAGGACTATCCTGGTGCCGGTGGGAAATACGGCGATGGCTATGGGTACCCTCAGGGAAGCGCGGGCAGTATGCCTTCTGGCGCGCCGTACTCGGATCCACGGCCTTACGCTCCTATCCCCAAGGCGAGGCCGAATTATACAAAGTTGGGTGAGTTATTTATCTGCATTCTATGGAAATTATGGAGAAGGGGTTCTTTGCTGACATGACTGGCTGAATTGCAGATTTGATCAAATATGACACGCCCTACCTCGGCCCCAAGATCCAGCTCATGCTGTCCCAGCTTGAGTTCAAGCTGAGCGTGGAGAAGCAATACAAGGCTGGTATCGAGAAGATGGTTCGCTTGTATCAGGACGAGGGCGACAGGAAGAGCCGTGCGGATGCTGAGGGCCGTCGCATCGAGAGTAACCAGAAGATCCAGCTCCTGAAACAGGCCCTCAAGCGATATGAGGATCTTCATGTCGACATTGAGTCTTCTGATACGCCGGATGGTATGGATGTCATGCCGAATGATATAACCGCAAGTAGCTGACCCCCAAACAGATGAATCGCTCAGCAGTCCGAACATGCGCAAGCCGCTAACTGGTCTCTTGACCATGCGAATCCATGCCGTGAAGGATGTCGACCACGCCGCAAGTTCACGATTCTCCCGAGGCCCGGAGACCTTTGTCATCGTCAAGGTGGAAGATGCGGTCAAGGCCAGAACCAAGGCTAGTCGGAACGATAAATGGCTCGACGAGTCATTTTCGATCGACATCGACAAGGCGAACGAGATCGAGCTTACTGTATACGACAAGTCTGGAGACCGTCCGACGCCTATCGGTATGCTCTGGGTGCGCATCTCCGACATCGCAGAGGAGATGCGTCGCAAGAAGATCGAGACCGAGTTGGGTGCATCCGGATGGGTTTCGGCAGACAAAATGGAGGGCTCGGGAATGCCCCGACCTGACTATTCAGGCTCCACACACGGAGGGCCTCCAGGGCCTCCCGGCTCTGGTGGCCGGCCTGGTACAGCGGGCCAAGGTCATGGCGAGATGCCGGGTGCTCCTCCTTCCGTCATGATTGATTCATGGTTCGCGTTGGAGCCGTTCGGTCGGATACAGTTGTCTATGAGCTTCGGTAAGACACAACTGGCCTTTTTATGTTCGACCCAAATCACTAATGCCTGGTATAGCCAAACAACTCAAGGATCGTCGACCCTTCGACATCGGTCTCAATCGACAGGGTGCCGTGCGGCAAAAGAAGGAGGAAATCCACGAGAAACAGGGCCACAAGTTCGTCACTCAACAATTCTACAACATCATGCGCTGTGCGCTGTGTGGAGATTTCCTCAAATACGCGGCCGGAATGCAATGCGCGGACTGCAAATACACCTGCCACCGCAAATGCTACCCCAAGGTTGTCACCAAGTGTATCAGCAAGGCGAACTATGAGACCGATCCGGACGAGGAGAAGATCAATCACCGGATTCCGCACCGCTTCGAAGGTTTCTCCAATATCTCCGCCAACTGGTGCTGTCACTGCGGGTACCTGCTACCTTTTGGACGCAAGAACGCTAAACGATGTAGCGGTATGCAGACCATCCATCATATTATTTTGGCGGCCATATACTGACTTCTTCAGAATGCGGTCTTACATGCCACGCCCACTGCACTCACCTTGTGCCTGATTTCTGCGGCATGTCCATGGAGGCTGCTAACCAGATCCTGGAGACCCTGATTCGCGCCAAGAATCATAACAAGTCTGCATCTGTCAGTTCAGGTCTTAGTGGCCGTACCCTTCGCCCCGGCGGCCCCCCACAACCCCCTCAAGACAATATCTATCTACCCAAGCCCTCCGAGGGCCACTCCTACGGGGCGATCCCCAGACAGGCTTCTGCAGAAGCAGTAAGCGCTGCGACTAACTCTTATATGACTCCACAGTCACCATCCACTGCTGCTCAGCGCCCAGGGATCCCGCCGAAACTGCCCTCTTCGGGTGCTTCTTCCACTGCCGCCCAGGCCGCCTCAGTCGCAACAGGATTGCGAACACCCCAGCAGACATCAGGTATGCATAATAGCACCTACTGATCTAAGTTTCTCAGCGTTGACTGCTGGAATCTAGTGGATATGGGCCGTCCCCCGCAATCGCCACAACCTCAGCAACCTCCTCCACACCAGGCTTATGTTCCATCCGCCTATAAGGACTTCCCACCTTCGGGCCAGACTATGTCGGCTGTCGCACCTGGGCCATACTCTCCGATGCAGCCGCCCCAACAACAACCCATCGCGACATCTGTGTCCACTCAAATTAGACCAGGCGTCAAGGAGGAGGCTCCGTCTTCTCAGGCAAAGTCCCGGATCGGACTGGATCATTTCAACTTCCTTTCTGTGCTTGGAAAGGGTAACTTCGGTAAGGTCATGTTGGCTGAAACCAAGACGACCCGCAAGCTCTATGCCATTAAGGTGTTGAAGAAGGAATTCATCATTGAAAATGATGAAGTGGAGAGCACCAAGTCCGAGAAGCGCGTGTTCTTGATCGCCAATAAGGAACGACACCCGTTCCTGTTAAACCTGCATGCCTGTTTCCAGACGGAGACCCGAGTGTACTTCGTCATGGAGTACATCAGCGGTGGTGATCTGATGTTGCACATTCAGCGCGGCCAGTTCGGCCTCAAGAGAGCACAGTATGTTTTTCCTGCTGGACATTTTCTTCGTGACTGCTAACTTGACTCTTGCAGGTTCTACGCTGCTGAAGTCTGCTTGGCTCTGAAGTACTTCCACGAGAACGGCGTTATTTACCGTGATCTGAAGCTCGACAATATTATGCTCACCCTGGATGGCCACATTAAGGTTGCCGATTATGGTCTCTGCAAAGAGAACATGTGGTACGGTGCCACCACCAGCACATTCTGCGGTACACCTGAGTTTATGGCTCCTGAGGTATGTATGATGGATTCGCTTGCCACAACTACCAGCTAATTATTCCTATAGATTCTTCTAGACAAGAAATACGGCCGCGCAGTTGACTGGTGGGCGTTCGGTGTGCTTATTTACCAGATGCTTCTCCAGCAGTCTCCGTTCCGCGGTGAGGATGAAGACGAAATCTACGACGCCATTCTGGCCGACGAGCCCCTCTACCCCATCCACATGCCTCGGGATTCGGTCTCGATTCTCCAGAAGCTGTTGACGCGTGAGCCTGAACTGCGCCTGGGGTCCGGCCCGACGGATGCTCAGGAGGTGATGTCTCACGCCTTCTTCCGCAACATCAACTGGGATGATATCTACCACAAGCGGGTCCCGCCACCGTTCATCCCCACGATCAGTAGCCCCACCGATACCAGCAACTTCGATCAGGAATTCACCAGCGTGACTCCCGTCCTGACTCCCGTCCAATCGGTGCTCTCACAGGCCATGCAGGAGGAGTTCCGCGGCTTCTCCTACACGGCTGACTTTGCTTGATTTCGGTCTGGATCATCCAGTGTCGCTTTGGTTACATTTGGAACTTATTGCTGGGGAAAAAAACATGTGACTGGTGTCTTATGGGCATTGACCGTTTTCCTCCGCGCGCTTCTTCTAGCCCGTCTTGCTCTTCAGGTTGCTCTCTGCCTCTCTCTCTCTCTCTACATACCCCTCCCGCGCAGCTTCTTTCGAGTGACCACGTCTGACTGACGGGTCACCTTGCTTTGCTGTTGTGATTCTTTGCCTGAATTAACATGATAATACTTGCTACCCGGCCGCGCGCCTCTCCATGTTGCTATTGTGTCTCTTGCTTCCTTTCGATTTCTGGTTTATCTAAATTGTTTGCTTTCTTGTGGTCTTTGCTTCTTGTTTGAGACGGGATGGGATCGATGTTACTTGAGCTGTTCGCTCAGCCATCGACATCACGACTGGTGGTAGGATGATGAGGGGAGTTTTGTTTTGCCAAAGTTCGGCGGTTCGTTCAGCGGGTGAACTGGAGATGCAACTACGAACTAATGACTGCTGTGTTCAATATTGTAGGGTAGGGTAGAGTGAATGTTTCTTTGTTCCCGGCTTCCCATCCTCAACGCCTCTTTGTTGCACGGTCCACCCCCAACCTATCATGCTGTACCTTCGAAGTCGGTTCCCTTTGAGGACCCGAGGTCAGCAACAAAGCCGTCGTACGTCGATCACCTTCTCGAGAATCTCTTCTCGCTGTGAATTGTCATCCAATGTCGTGCACCCTCTTCCTCCCTCTCAAATCTCACTCATACTTCTCTTCTGCACCTCTCCCAGATTTTCTCTGGCTGTTTACTTTAGTCTTCCCCCAATACAACAAACCGACGCAAATCAATCATCCCCAGTCTTGTTATTGTCTGAACCAACCACTGCAGTCAATTTCTCTTCTTCCAGAGTCTGCACTTCCAGCCATGACCACCAACCGAGAGAAGCCAGAGCAAGTCGTTCAAACAACCCACCCATCGAGAGAATCCTCACCGGCTTCTTCAGTCTCCAGCACCAAATCCTCAAAGCGCAGAACCACAGGCTCAGAATACCAACCGTCTACACCACAACCGAAGCGCACCCGCTCCACCAACACCCCAAACGGTATCACTCGCGCCACGCCTACCACAAAACGCAGAATACCCAAAAAAGCAGCCTCCGAAACTTCGTACGCACAATCCTCGTGCGCTTCGTCCTTTGCAGAAATGGAAAAGCCAGAAGCACCCAAACAAAAGAAGCGAACAACCCGCAAAAGCGAAGAAAACTTTACCAAGCCTCGTACAAAGACTGGTATGTATACCGAAGCAAGTGACGAAGAAGAAGAAAAGAATCTAAACATCTCCCGCGCTGAGCGCGACGACCTCGTCTTCGAACTCACGTACGAGAAAGCGAGACGGCTCGCCGAGGCCGTCAATATACCCGAGGACTCGAACCTGGGCGAAGACGAGCAGAAACTGTTTCTTGATCTGGCGACGCGAGGCTGCAAGCCGCTGATGTCTGCGCACTGGCGGAGGGATTTCTCGACGTTGCCTGAGTCGCTGTTTACTAGCGATGACAACGACGTCAACAAGGGAAAACCAGACAAAGAAGACGACAACGACGGTGGTATTGGTGATGAAGCGCAATTAGTCTTCGAATCCCACCGCGGCTCGGATTTCGGTGCTATCAAAGCCCTCCAACGGCTCCTTGCTACAGGCGGCCATGTCCGCGACTGCCAGGTGCTGGCTGCTCTGCCGCAACGGGTCATCCAACGGGCTATACAGCGGTACATGCGCTGGGCTCTCAGCGACGCAGGCCTGAGGACCGGTCATCCAGTCCTCCCCGTCCACGCGATATACGCGCAGAAGGAAGGCGAGAGCACGCTGGCAGCCCTCACGCGGGTGAATCTCAGACTGGAGACACTAGCCAAACGACACCAGGCTTCTCTATCTTGCGCGGTAGAAGTGGGGAACAAAAGCAAGGCCTGGCCCACGTTGATCGGATTCGTGCTCTGTGGCCCCATCGTGGCGCTGGTTTCGCTCGATACGGATCCCGGGTCGCTGGGTTGGACGGAAGATGCGGGTGTGAAGGTGAAATATCTCGGCCAGTTTGATCTCTCCGAGGCGGCGCAGGATGTGTGGAACTCCGTTGCGATTGCTATCTCCGTTGTGCATATCAGGAGGATTATGGCGAGGATGGCGGGTGTTTATGAGGGTCCTTTCGTGCCAAGGTTTAGGGGCGTGGATGATGAGAGGGATGATGAGGATATTTGAGAGCTGAGATGGCGTTCGCAAAGAGTTTGCTTTTAGGTGGAGAGAAGGTGCTGTGATGCCCATCATTTACCTGGCTCATTTGTCTTTTTCTTTTAAATTTATTTATCATTGTGTTCCTGGACCGAGCTTTATATTTACATGGCGATATGAAGAAAGAAAAGACAGCTACGGCATACAAAGCCAGAGAGAACATGTTTGATACCCAAAATGAGCATATTATATTGGGTTCTGAATGTCTCACGCCACGCTGCACATAGCAACGCTCCAGACCTATTCTTCCTCCTCAATCTCCCCCTCCTCACTACCAGAATGAATGGCCTTTTCTTCCTTCTTGACTTCCTCCGCGGGAGCAGTAGCAGGAGTGCGTTCCCGAGGATGCTCACGGTCCCGATCTCTCTTCGCGCCCCTGCTGCGGTCACGCTCGCGGCTATCACGACGGTACCGCTTCGTCGACCGACTAGCCACGCTCTCCGAGTCACTCTCGCGCCTGCGCCTGCGGTCTGTGCTAGTTGTGCTGCGCGTATCACCGTAGTCGAGCTCATCACGGCTTCCGCGCGGGTCGCCACGAGCCCGGTACAAGCGCTCGCGCTCGTCCTCGCGCCGGTCGTAGTCGCGGCGATAGCTGCGGTCGTCTCGGTCTCTCTCCCGCTTTCGGTAGCGGTCTCGCTCACGATCTCGCGACGGAGAGAACCCGCTGGTCTTGCGATATGATCGCTCGCGGTCCGCCATGGCCTTACGACGGTCTGCTTCGTACGCATCCGGTTCAGGGGTGCGGCTCATACGGCTGCTGGTGCCGTGGCGTTCGCCGCGGCGGTGGTCACGATCTCCGCGGTCATAGTCTCGGCGGCTGCTACGGTCTCGGTCTCCATCCTCTTCTTTCTCCTTCAGGCGGCGGATGATCTTTTCGAATGCGGAAGAGCGCAGCTCATCGGATTCCAGCGCCTTGTATTCCTCGTACTTTTCGAGGCGAGGTTGCACTTCTTCCCATGTGTCTGTGACAACCACGGGCGGTTCCAGGCGTTTGATGCGAGAGCGAAGAGCATCGACTGCGCGGCGTTGATGACGGTCAGCTGCATGCTTCTCCTCTTCCGTTCGTCGTATTGCTTTCTCTTGAATGCGCTGGAAAATGAGCTCGAGAATGTCCGTGTCGATCTTGGAGGCGCGGCGGTCAGCGACCATGATCGCGTTGAATTCCTCGAACGTGGTCTTGGGTGTGACTTCGAATCGTTTGTCGTCCAGAACATCCAGCACGTCGTTCCGGGGACCCCGAAGTGAGCGCTCCTCTTCTTCCACCATGTCCCAGAACAGATCAAGAGGTGTCGATCCAGGCTGTCCCAAGATTGCTTGATACCGGGGATCCTGCTGGATAAGCGGACAGATAGTCATCCACTTCGTGCCCGCCTTGATCTTACCCTGCGACTTGAGCTCCTTCAGTAACTCCAGATATTGCTCCCGATTGCGACGTTCTTTCCGGGCCTTGACAGCCTTTTGTTGCTGACGAGTGTCGTTGAAGGTACGTTCCAGGGACTTGATATGGTTTTCGAATGCGGTTAAGATATCAGACTTGCTCAGGGCCCTGAACTTATCGTCGCCCTGAACCTTGTCATTGGATTGGATGATTGCCTGAGCTTCCGACCAACGCGTGTACGGCTCGAGATCCAACGAGTTCAGGATGTTCACCAGCTCGTCCATGGCCGCCTTGCGGGTCGCAGCTTCTTTCTCGACGTGGGCCTTCTTGAGCTCAACAACGTACTCTTCGAAGAGCTGGCGCCTTTCGTTCTCGTCGTTGGTAGCTCGGAAGGTAGTTTCTCCCTCGACAATGGGCCGAATATTCTTCCAGCGACTGTAGTGCTTGATTTCAGGATGCCGCTTCAGCATGGTATTGAAATCTGCGCGGAGCTTAGCGAATCTCTCTTTCGCCCGGTCCTTTTCCTGCATGCGAACCTCGACCGCGTATTTCTCAAAGGCTGCCTTGCGGTCTCGTGGGTCTCGGAGCGCGCGGTACTGTGGATCCTTAATTGTTTCCCTCATGGTCTGCTCCCATGTCCATTCGGGCTGCACATTGTGTCGCCTGAGCATCTTCATGAATGCGTTCTCTGCCTCTTCGATGGAGTTGTACGCGGGTTCGTTCTGGGTACCCAAGTTCGGCGCTGCCACCATTCCGTTGGTATCTCCATATCTACCACGACGGTCGTATCCGCGGTCATAGTCGTCACGATCACGCTGCTGGGCAGGGGGGAAAGAGCTCGAACCTCCGGCGACAAATGACGGGCCACTGCAGTTTTTCATGTCAATTGCTTTCAGAAAATAGAGAGATAAAATTCAGACTTACGCGACTGGAGCTGCTTGGGGGGCCGGGGCCTGCGCAAGGGCATTCTTGTAAACGTCGGGCATTTCCCATGTGCTCTGCTTAGTCTCCGTGTTGTACCAGTACTTTCGCCCACCCTCAGCCGTGTACTCCTTCCATGGCTGATCCGATAAAGCGCGCTAGCAAGGAAAGTCAGCCCAACTCGTCGGGGGAAGAGGGGAGGAAGAAACCAACCTCGACCGGGGTCATCAGCTCCACGGGCTTGTTCCACTGGGTCACCTTTGTCTGAACATTGTAATAGTAGACTCTGCCATCGGCGTTGCGCGCCTCCTGCCACAAGGGCGAAGGCGCGGATTGACTGGCCATTGGGTTCATGGTGGCTTGACGGGGAGGAAAGTGAGGGAAGTTGCGGTTGCCGTGAAAAAGGCAGAAGCACCAGTGTTTGCACTGTTTGCACCTGTCAACATCCCTTTCCCTTTTCCGAAGTAGGAGCTTAGCTTGCGCCCGATTCGATTCGACTCGACTCGCCTCTCCTGTGCGCATGCGACACTTGCAATGCCTGGTCTGGAGATCCCCGGCGAGTTCCTGAGATATGCGGTCCTGGACACAGTCGTGCCGCATGCGCCGGGCCTAGACATCGAGGGTGCGCTGACTGCGGCCCTGGAAGATGGCGCCGACGATCTACCGTCCGTTCTCTCGTCGATTCCGCAGCGGTCACTGCTGTTCTTTGGTATGTCATTGATACGATTTGGGCTGTGCTAGGTCCCACACTAATCAGGAGCATTGTAGATGAAACTCTCCCCGTTCGCATTGTCCTGAGACTCGCCGATTGCTCCGATACAGTACTGAAGCACTTTCTACCCCGACTCGACGTGAGGCTAGATGTTTTTGCCACTGATCCAGCAGAATCCGTTGCCGAAAACCCAGCGCCTACTCGCGATCTTATATTCTCTGGTTTGGTCAGCGGCGAGGAGGATCCGCTGGTGGTGTTCAACGAATTCGAGTTCGAGGGGGGTGAAGGTAGCGGAAACCACGTCTATCTCATATGGAACATCGACGCCTTTCTCAGTGAGTTTGTGTTCCGACGGCTGTGCAAATGGCCTCGCGCTAACCAGGTCGAAAGAACGACCCCGTATCCGCATCCAGAACCCTTCTCTTTTCTTCGCTGCCTCTGCTACCCTCAACCCCTCTGACGCTTCCCTACAAGATGATCCCGAGGATGAGTACATCCCGCCGCTGGTTCCGGCCTCAACGAATATTTTCCAACCGTTGTCGGGAGACAAGTCATTCGCTCAAAAGGAGCCTTTCCTCCCCGCATCAAGGCTCCTACGTGTTGTGCCAACAACGACGAATGAGGACCCCATATTCAATATCCAACAACAAAATAGCCACCAGATCCGCGTTGTGCCTGCGGCGAGTGCGAGGATCCGTTACTCACGATTAAATGCATACACCGGCGTTCCAACAACCGTCGCCAATCTTGATTTTGAAGTGACGCCATTCTTGAATTCCGAGGTTTCATTGGATAAAGCAGACCTTCGCCTGTCCGAGGGGACAATTGAGCCGCTGTCGGACGTCCCTGGCCTGTCACTCCCCCTTACCTGCCGCCCAAGGGATGATGTGACCTTCGTGTACAAACTCACGCCCGAGTATGGCCCGGAGACCAACCCGTCATCGACCGCCATGATCAGCACACTCGATATTTCCTTGGGAGCGGTCATCCATCTGTCGGATGATTGTCAACCACGCATTTCTATGGATTGGAAGACCAATGTTGATTTCTCCATGGCCCTCAACCCGACCTTTGGTGGTCCCAGTCCAGCATTGCAGCGAACTCACCGTCCCACCAGTTTGCCAATGAACCCCAGCAACCCAAATCACCCGAACCAAGCTGCTTTGACAGCGCCGGGAAACCCCAATCGGAGCTCTTTACGAGAACGGGCATACTCGGTCACGGATGTTGGAGTCACCATCTCGTTCTCGGGCCCGGTCCGCGTACAAGTCGGACTGCCTTTCTCCTGGGACGTGTTCGTGGTCAATCGGTCCAGCGTGCCGCGTAAATTTGCGTTAATCGCTATCCCGCGACGGAAACGCGTTGACCCGCGCGGTCACGTTGCCCGGCCGTCTTCCTCGTCGCTTTCCAGCCGCAAGGAGAACCAGGTAGCCGAGGCCGTGACGGACGACAATATCGTGCACGCCATGCAGAAGAATGTTACCGGCCAGGAGGCGGAGTTGATTTGCTTGAGCACGGATATTCGCATCGGGTGAGTGGTTTTGGGTATCTGATGGTTTAAATCCAATTTGTTTCTAATGATGTCCCAGGCCTCTCTTACCCGGTACCTGCCACTCGACAGAGCTGACGCTACTTCCGCTCGCGACGGGGGCCCTCCATCTGGAAGCTGTCCGGCTTGTCGATGTGAACACGAACGAGACGACTGATATTCGCGATCTCCCGGACATTCTCGCCCACGATCAACCGCGATGATGGTGGAGATGTGTGGGTCCGGACCAGCTGTACATAAATTATCACCCACGAGGTCTTCACGAATCCCGACCTCGTTCGAGCGTGTATTGCTTTACAGAGTATGACCAGTAGGCCGCGTAATATCTGACACCAAGGAGTGAGCAACGTCGATTGCTATTTTGGTGGAAATAATAATGGGTCAATGCGAGTCATCTCTATATACCGATACACGGGGAGTATAGTATGTCATCCAGTGCCCACACTCGGATGAGATCTGGGTGGAGTCACTGAGATCGCTGGTTATAGTTCGCGGGTGGCTACATTTAATTGTATCAGTCACTGGGAATGTCGGTGAAACATGTTGACTCGTCAAGAATGAACTGCATAGCTAAAGCCAACACCACGTTGCAAGGCAGATTCGCGCGTTCAGGCCTGTTGGCCAGGTGACTTTGTTAGTCATGGGCGGAGTCGCAGGCATCATCAAGTCGCTCATAATCCAATCTCTTCCCATCATCATCATCATCATCATCTTTTATCAAGCTTTTCCCCTGCTGGTCGAGCCGGGCTGGTGTCCTGTGTTGTCTGGTTCTTTTTCTCTGCCTTTTGCGTCATTCCACGCAAACCCAGGCTCCAGCACTCGCCCGACCGGAACACCCGCCTTCGCTCCTTTCCTTTCCTCCTAATAAAGAAAGCTCTCGTCCACCCCAGTCCTCATGTTCCTCTCCTCCAAGCGAAAGGTCGTCGATGGCCTGAACAGGCGATATATCTACGGTCGCGTGGTACGTTTTTCTGTGCCCCTGTGGTGTCGCAGTGTCGCCTCCCACTCTTTCCCTGATTCCCCTTCCCCGACCGACCAGGCCAAAAAACCGGACTGACCATGTCGTCACTCTTCACTCTGTATAGCCGCTCCTGCACACGATCATCTTTATTATCGAGATGGCCGTAGCAACCCGCCTCGCTGCCAAATTCAACACCTACTATGCTGAGAGACCAGGTACGGCTGCAGCCGCCGCTTCCCGTATCGTGCGACCAGACCACTGACGATAGCTTCTTTCTTCGCGCCCACAGTGCTGACCACCATGGTGACCAACGCCGTAAGTCTTGTTGCTCCACGAGATATGGGACACCTGCTAATTCGGGCCATCAGGTGCTTGGTGGAGTCGCCGATACCGTTGCACAGCTGATCACCGCCGTGAAGGCGCGCTCGGCACAGAGGAGATCCGAAACCCGTGACGACTTCATGTCGATAGAGATTCACGACTTGGACAAGGAGAAGCCGCCGGCGGTTGGGGAGATTGGGTACTACCGGAGCTCGCCGCCACCCTTCGACTTTGAGCGCCTCACGCGATTCATGGCCTATGGTTTCTTCATGGCCCCCGTGCAGTTCCAGTGGTTTGGCTTCTTGTCCAGAGCCTTCCCGCTCACCAAGAAGCACCCGACCACCCCGGCTTTGAAGCGTGTTGCCCTCGACCAATTAGTCATGGCGCCGATTGGTATGAAGGTCTGAGATCAGTTCTGGGCAGATGGATGCTAATGATCACTAGGTCTCGCCATTTTTTTCACATATATGACGATCGCCGAGGGTGGAGGCAAGAAGGCACTGACGCACAAGTTCCGGGATGTCTACCTGCCCACACTCAAGGCCAATTTCGTCCTGTGGCCGGCGGTGCAGATTCTGAACTTCCGGGTCATCCCCATTCAGTTTCAGATTGTAAGTTGTTTCTTTCCGACATTGATTTCTGCATATGCTGACCGTCTCGACCGCAGCCCTTTGTTTCATCCATCGGTATTGCGTGGACTGCGTACTTGTCCCTGACCAACTCCGAGGAGTCGTCCTAATGGAGCTTGTGAACCTCATTTGCTCATGATATTCCTGCTTTCCACTTGTTCAGGCGTTTCGGTGGGTTTGGATTCGGTTCTCCCATGGATAGTGTACAGGGTCTGTTATTGTTTCTCATTCTGGTCAGGCTGGTTCGGGTTTGGTTTCCTGCATTTCCAAAAGGCTGGCTGTTTTTCGTGCAATGGGCAGCTACTGTCGGGATCATTTATAGGAGGATATTTTGGTAACAATTGCACGGGGCTTTCTGGCTTTTTACTAGAGAATCTCTGTTATTATCGTAAAGCGGATATCGTCCATTCCGGCCACGAATACTATTCCTCCGAGGCTATTCAACTCGGTCAGGTTCCCCGGGCTGTTCCGTGTCGACCAGTAGCGGTGACGTCGGTCCCGCATCAGTCCGATCTGGCTGGAGAGTAAGGTGACATTGGAGCCAGGTAACAGCTTCTGTAGGGTACTTCTACTATCGTAGATGCCACACACGGGCGGAAGTATCTTCCCGACAGCTGTACTTACGCCCCAGGTATCTGCTGGATGCGGTCGTCCCTTCACCGGCAGCCCCACCACTGCTACGATTCACCCCTCCAAAACACTTTCCAGCCTGAACTAACTTACTCACCGTGGCCGGTTAAGATCCTTCCTTCCTTCCTCCCTTCTCTCTCTTTCCCCTTCCCACCCTGCTAGCTTACTCAATTCTGCGCATCTTCCCCCGTTCACTGCTGAGGTATTATTGGCCTTTTTCCATGCTATCCTCACTCTCGTGCTAACAGCTCCAAAAGAACCCGACCCAACATGTCTCTCTCCAACAAGCTCAACATCACGGATGTCGACCTCAAGGGCAAGCGAGTCCTGATCCGGGTCCGTCACCACGCCAATTGCTGTTGTTCATGAATACAAGCTAACTATGCGACGGTATAGGTTGACTTCAACGTTCCGCTCGACGAGAACAAGAATGTCACCAACCCGCAGCGCATCGCCGGCGCCGTGCCCACCATCAAATATGCCATCGACCATGGTGCCAAGGCCGTTGTGCTGATGTCGCACCTGGGCCGGCCCGACGGCAAGCCCAACCCGAAGTACAGCCTCAAGCCCGTCGTGCCTGAGCTGGAGAAATTGCTCGGTAAGAGCGTGGTCTTCACGGAGGACTGCGTTGGTCCCCAGGTCGAGGAGACCGTCAACAAGGCTACCGGTGGCCAGGTTGTGCTGCTGGAGAACCTCCGTTTCCATGCGGAGGAGGAGGGTAGCTCCAAGGATGCCGAGGGCAAAAAGGTTAAGGCTGATAAGGAGAAGGTGGCTGAGTTCCGGAAAGGACTGACTGCCCTGGGTGACATTTATATCAGTATGTTATTTTTTTTTTTTTTTTTGGATTCGCTGGAAGATAGAAAACCGTGACTGACCATGAGACAAAAAGATGACGCTTTCGGCACCGCCCACCGCGCGCACAGCTCGATGGTCGGCGTGGAGCTCCCCCAGAAGGCCGCCGGCTTCCTGGTGAAGAAGGAGCTGGAGTACTTCGCCAAGGCCCTTGAGAACCCGCAGCGACCCTTCCTGGCCATCCTCGGCGGCGCCAAGGTGTCCGACAAGATCCAGCTGATCGACAACCTTCTGCCCAAGGTGAACAGCCTGATCATCACCGGTGGTATGGCTTTCACCTTCAAGAAGACGCTGGAGGGCGTCAAGATTGGCAACAGTCTGTTCGATGAGGCTGGCAGCAAGATCGTCGGCGAGATCGTCGAGAAGGCCAAGAAGAACAACGTCGAGATCGTCCTCCCCGTCGACTACGTGACCGCCGACAAGTTCTCCGCCGATGCCACTGTCGGCACCGCCACTGATGCCACTGGTATCCCCGATGGCTGCATGGGTCTGGACGTTGGTCCGGAGAGTGTCAAGAAGTATCAGAAGACTATCGGCGAGGCCAAGACCATCCTTTGGAACGGCCCGCCTGGTGTCTTTGAGCTGAAGCCCTTCGCCAAGGCTACGGAGGCTACCCTCGATGCCGCGGTCAAGGCTGCTCAGTCCGGCAGCATCGTCATCATCGGCGGTGGTGACACTGCCACCGTTGCGGCCAAGTACAACGCCGAGGACAAGCTCTCCCACGTCTCGACTGGTGGCGGTGCCTCCCTCGAGCTTTTGGAAGGCAAGGAGCTGCCCGGTGTTGCCGCTCTGTCCAGTAAGTAAACCAAAAAAAAGCAGGTGAGCAGGCTTTGAATGGGGTTGTTTTGGTTTCCCCCTGCAGAAACATATTCATGCTGTAATGTACACACAATTTCAATCAGATTTACTTCCATCATACCTACTCTCCTCCTTGTTGTCAATCTTGGGGTTTCGGTGGTAGCTAAGAGTGATCTCGTGCCAGATACGAAACCGAAGCTCTGACGATGAAGGGAAGCGGTGGGATCTACATGTATATAGCCGTGCCGTGCTAGCGGGCCGCGAATATTACGCCATCCGTGCAAGATCGGGCCACAGGAGACATCATGCGTTCAGAAGAGGAGGTAGATGGAAGCAAGCCGGGTGAGTCGTCGTCTCCACGGCTTTGATGTCCGCCTGTCCGACTGTTTATGTCCCGAAATCTGCCATGTCCATCCTTCACATAGCGTAAGTAATTCCAGAAATAGAATGACAGTCCAAAATAGTTGTGTTCGCATTGCTTCATAGATAATATTCTTGTTCCGAAAACTCCTTGGTTTTTAAGAGGCATTGTTTCTCTTCCGTCGAGTCACAGAGACACGGGTATAGCGGAAGGGCAAGAGGGTTTGAGGTTGAGGTGTTTGTCCCACGATCCCACCCACCCCAACACGGGTTCGTTTCAGGTTCGTCCGATCCGTCTAATTCTAGTGCGATGCTTCGACCTTTTTGAGTTCCTCCCTGTCGCGACACGTCTGTTAGAAACACACACTTCATTCACGAGCTAAAGCTCCGGCAGAGATCCAAGGGGTATGGGCGGGGAATGAAAGACGCACTTCAACTGCTTCGAGAAATCCTCCGCGGCATCGTCATCATCCCAGCTTTCTTCCCACAGATGCTCGCTCCCGCCGTTGGCGGCCGAGCCGGCCGGCTGCTCGGCTTCTTCCTGGGGCCAGTCTATATGCCATAATCTGGTCAGTCGGGGTCTCTCTGCGCGCTGGGGAGAGCTGCGCGGTAGGTACCTTCCACGGGGAAATCCTCGAACTCGTCGTCTTCCTCTAGCACCTGCGGCTTCTGTTGCTGCTGGGGCTGGTCGGAGGGGTCGGCCTTGGACTGGGCCGGGGTGGAATTGGACATTGTGGAGGGTGAGGAGGGTGTGTGGGAGAGATGGGAGGATACTTCGCTGGGTGGCAGGTGAGGGAAGGAGGACCAGGTGTGGTCGGTCGGGGACTGACTAAGAGATAAGGATAAGCGCATACCTACAACCAACAGTGCAACCGTTAGTAGACAACATGAGAAGCACCGAGGACTATGCCTAGCCGTATAATGATGGCGAATTAGTGACCTAGATGGAGTGAATCATCGTTCCTATCATCATATCACCACAATAGGAAATCCTCACTGGTCGGATCTCCCGGCAGACAGCACCGCCAACACCCATGGGTGCGCCCGCCGCCACTTCAAACCGGCTGGCTTATCGTTCCCCACGGGCCCATTCAGCCTCTGCCACGGTCTTGTTTTCTTTTTCTTTTTCTCTCCTTCATATTTATAATTCTTCCCTTCTTTCCTGTTTTTCGTCTTCTTGTCATCTACCCCATAGAAGGTAAATAGATCATCGATGCTCTCGGAAGGTGTTCACGTGTTGCGCACTCCATCTCGTTGACATTCTTCCCAATCCGTCACTCGTCCGGGTTCAAACGGGTTTGTGCCTGGAGGCCTGAAAGGCGCTGAGTCGGCTTCGGCGCTGTTGGGTATCCTGTGCCTTGGACACTACCGCCCGTCATGTTGCGAGTCGGCTCGTGGCTGTACGGCAAGAAGCCGGCCACTGCCTCCACGCAGTCGCTGGACTCGCTGGCCGAATTGCGGGACCGTAAGTATTGTCCATGCTCTAACCTCCAATCGACCAAGACTATGTGCTAATGAGAGACTGTGTGGCTAGTTGACGATGCGATGAAGGGTATGCTTGTTCTCCCACAGCATCTCTACGATGTTGATTTCCTCTCATCTCTGTGCTGCGCCACTAACACGACGACTGGCTGAACAGCGGCTACCAATATCCTCAACGACGATGTGGACAGTGCCGAGGAGGGCCTGGCAAAGGGCACTTCCTCTTTTCACAATGTGGGTGGCCCTGATGGTGATGACGTAGCCCTACAAGCACTAACACAGGGCCTGGATAGCTGGGAAAAGGCGTGGTCGCATTTGTGCGGGCCACCCTGGGCTTCGAGCAGGATGTGATGCGCCAAGGTATGTGCGGAGGCAGATGTGTGAATCCAATCCTTGTCTCTGACCTCAACAGCATCCGAGCGACTGAGCGAGGCGGAAACGTCCGCCGCCAGCGACCAGCACCGCGCCCAGCATAATTCTCACGCGCCCAATGCATTCCGATCGGAGATCTACAACCCCGGTGCCGAATATGCACTCTGCCAGGCCATTGCACAGCTGATGAGTGCCGTGGTTGGCGTGTTGAACGAAAGCCTGACGGAGAGCATCAAGGCCTTCTATCGGTTGCGCAAGGCCTACATTGCCCTGGACGCTATTATGAAGATGGAAGAGAAATTTATGGAGCTGCGAGATCCAAGCCAAGTGGTGCTTGCTGGTACCTCTAGTGCGATAGACATTAAGTCCGATAGCTCGAGCCAGACATCAGCCAAGAAAGGCGCCACGACGACGGTGCAGACTGCCTCTTCAGATCTGCCGCAAAGGATGTCTGATTTGGCGGTTTCCCATGATTATTCAGATGTCTCGACGCGTGAATCCTCGCCGGGCCCTGCCCATCTCAACCACGACCCGGACTCCGACATCTTCAAGAACGAAATCGATGTCTTTGTGCATTCGGGTGCCAACTTTTGCTTTGGCATCCTGCTTCTACTGATCTCCATGGTGCCCCCAGTGTTTAGCAAGCTCCTCTCCGTCATTGGATTCCATGGTGACAAGCAACGAGGCTTGAGGATGCTTTGGCAGGCGAGCAAGTTCCACAACCTGATTGGAGCAATCGCCGCTCTGGCATTGTTGGCCTACTATAACGGATTTGTTCGATACTGCGACATCATGCCTGATCCAACCCCCGGTGAAGATGACGTGGAGGGATATCCGCAAGAACGGCTAGCGGCCCTGTTGGCGGAGATGCGGTCCCGATTTCCGAATAGTCAACTGTGGCTTTTGGAAGAATCCCGAATGAAAGGAGCCAACAAGGACTTGAACGGGGCGTTGGAACTCCTCTGCTCCAACAAGAAGAGTCCGCTGAAGCAGGTCGAGGCATTGCGCGTGTTTGAAAAGAGCTTGAACGCCTTGTTTCTGCATAAGTTTGAGCTATGCTCGGAGGCTTTTCTGGAGGTGAGTCTTGCTTGCTCCCGTGGTTCAAATGACAAACAAGAAACTGACTCTCCCTCCCAGTGTGTGGATCTCAATTCCTGGTCTCGCGCCTTGTACTACTACATTGCCGGATCCTGCCAGGTCGTCCTCTACCGCGAATCTAAGTCCGATCCCAAAGTCGCAGAGGAACACGCCCAAAAGGCCACCGAGTACCTCCGCAAGGCCCCGCCACTGGCAGGCAAGAAACGGTTCATGGCGCGGCAGCTTCCGTTCGACGTCTTCGTTGCCCGCAAAATCGCTAAATGGGAGGCCCGTGCCAAGTTATGGAAGGTTCCCCTGGTTGATGCGATTGGCGTAGATCCCGTCGAAGAGATGATTTTCTTCTGGAACGGGCACAGTCGCATGACGCGAGATCAGCTGGAGGAGTCCCTGACCCGCCTGGCGTGGTGCGACAGCGAAGCAAACGAGACCTGGTCTCGCGAAGGACCAGAAGAGCAGGCGATTCTTGACCTGCTGCGGGCTGCCGTGCACAGATCCCTGCGCAACCACGACGAGGCCAAGAATATCATTCAGACCCGCGTTCTGAATCACGACAAGTCCCTCTTCAAGGGCCATTTGAAGGACGACTGGGTCCATCCCGTCGCGTATTTCGAGATGGCTGCCAATCTGTGGATGGAGCGTCCTTCGTACCTGGCTCTTCATGAGCCGTCTGCAGCGATAACCTTGACAGAGAAAGCTGATCGACCCTCCTCAGATCATAGCCACGCTGGTGATAGCAATTCCAAGGTCGAGAAGCAGATGGTGCACGAGTGTAAGGAGTACCTCGACCACGCTGCCCGATGGGAAGGCTATGAATTGGATGCGCGCATCGGACTGAAGGTGACGGCAGCAAACGAGGCCGTCCGCAAGTGGGAAAGCGTGCATTCGGCTTGAGTGTCTCTTTTGATCTTGTTCTCTGTTCAGAGTCTTTTTTGGGATGTCTTGATGTACCATATGCATATAAAATAGAAACCTAGACAATGGAATCTCTCTCCACCTATGCGCATTGAATCTACATATTTACTGTAGCACCTTCGACAGAAGCTCATCCAACTCTTGAGCCACAAAAGCCGGATTATCCTTCTGAACGAAATGCCCCGATCCCGGCGCCTGCAGTGGCCCTTTACTCCTCCCCTCGTCCGTAATCTTGATCAGTCCTTCGTTATACTTATGCCAGAATGGATTCAGATACGTCATAGTCACAGACTTCGGGCTTCCCATCTTGCTCGATTCTTCTGCAAAGGTCTCGAAATCGTGCCCCACAACAGTAACAAAGGGCCCATGACCATTGGGACCCTTTAGCTTAGGCCCATCGCTCGCAGGCAACAGAGTAGCGAGATTCTTCCGGCTCAGACCCTCTTTGCTACCGACATCAGGGTGAAATATCTTGCGCGCACCCATGCGGGTACCGCGCAGAAGATCAGGCGTTACATCGGGCGGCAGAGTAGCAGGATTGAAACCCTCTTCGTCTGGGTCCGGGAACACGGATACAAAGTCCGTACTAGCGATATTGCTATCGAGCAAGAGGAGCGCGGCGACGGTGTGGGGATACTCGTGCGCATAGAGACGGGCGAGCGGGCAGCCGATGGAATTGCCCACCAGCACGAGGGAGAGGCTGTTCACGTCTGCCACGCCGAGCTTCTCGCTGGCAACCTGGGTAATCAGTTGCCGGAGATCCTTGACTGCACTCAGACAGTCGTGGCCGTGTGTCGGATCAGAGGCCCCTTCATCTTGCGGGTCGCGATCTGTGGTCTGGCCCTGACCGAAGCGGTCGTATGTCAGTAGGGCTGGAATGGATGCGCCTTTTCTGATTGCTTGGAGTTGGGTAATTGAGGCGGCCCATGATCCTTGGGGGAGACCCATTCCATTCAAGTAGACGACGAGCACAGTGCTGGGTGTGGAGACAGGCTCATGGAACCCATAGCTTATTTGGGCGGTGGGCTTGGTTGCTAGGTGGATGTGCTGGTAACTGGCCATTGTGCAGGAAGGAAGGAAGAAGATGAAAGTAGGTAACTATCGCATTTCAAAGCTGGGGATGGCTCATTATGTATGTAGCGAATGGATCCACACAGTGTTACAGCGCTTGCCGTTGACTGTTAGTTTGTTTGGATGCGATCCTTTGGTTCCCGAACGGGCCATCGATGCGAAGCCGTACAGGTGCCGGGCAATGAAATAAATCAGCACTAGTAGCTAGTAGACCCACCCGTGCCTAAATTACTCTATTAGATTAGGTCCTATTGTGGACACTAGTTCCTAGTATTATCGATACGTCGCGTTGTTTTTGAATGGCATTATTCTCTACTACATAACCAAACGGTCGGGGAAGGGTTTGACCTCCTAGCTGGCACACTTAAACCCATCTTTTCATCTGAAAAAGTACGAAAAGACAATATTTCAAAGCCTCGACTAGGCGTGCGCAAAAAGCTTAGAAGAGCATCGATTAATGATTACCGCACGTAAAAACCATAATGCCAAATGCTTAGATCTACAATACGAGATCGATTTTTAGGTATATCGGCAGTTAATTCGGCGCTTGGCCTGATTCAGGCAATCCAAGGTTTCTAAGGAGCTTGTAGGGATGAGTATCAGTCCTCTGCCATTTTTGGTACTACCAACCCCTTCCGTTTTCTTCCTCTCTCTAGATAGATGGATCAACCAATCCTATCTTTCTCTCTGTTCTTGGTTCATTTGATCCAGACCTTCCGAGAGGATTTAAAGATGAACTGGCCCAGTAATAACTGACATAAGGCTGACCTGACCAGGGCCGGAAGAGCCCATTGACGTCATTGACTGCAACCACAATACGATTTCACTTCTCTTTGGATTTGGATTGGATTTGTCAGAGAAGGGTCGCGTGAGCAGAGATCATGTTCGACGAAAGTGCAGAAAACTTCACTGCGCGTTGGTATTTCGCTCATCTTGATCATCGCTTTTCCTTCCGCCAACACACCCGTCACGCCCCTGTCGATCATGGCCGCAGTAGCGCCGCCTCCTATAGAAAGAGCATCCGGACTGGGTGAAATCACTAGTTCGGATGGTCAGCCAGAGAAAGGCATCAGACGATTGTCAGATCACAAAAGCGAAGTGCGATTTCTCCAGGATGGACTGAACACCGGCGCTCGCATTCTGGGTAGGTGATGTTCAGGCGATATTCACATACTATGCTCTAACCATACTTTACTTCTTGTCACAGGTGACGGTCGAGTAGATATCAAGATCGATCAGCATAAACCGCACCTCGCAGGGCTGTTTAAACACATCCAATGCCAGGGCATCCCTTGTGCCCAGCATCTGGAACGAACAGATGGCGCAGAACAGCCTCCCCCGAAGGAGGTAAAGTATTTCCCAGTGCAGTTAAACCTCGTCATTCAGGTCATTGGTTCTCGAGGCGACATCCAACCATTTGTTGCACTGGGGAAAGAACTGAAAAAGCACGGTCACCGGGTCAGATTGGCCTCGCATTTGACGTTTCGGGAGTTCATTCTCGAGAACGGTCTGGAGTTCTTCAATATCGGAGGAGACCCGGAGGAGCTGATGGCTTTCATGGTGAAAAACCCGGGCCTTTTACCGGGTCTTAAAGCAATACGCAGCGGGGCCATCCAGAAACGTCGACGTGAGATGAAGGAAATCTTCACTGGGTGTTGGAGATCCTGCTTTGAAATGGGTGACGGGACCCATCTTCATCAGATCAAGGACGATCCATGGAGTGAGGCTCCAGATTATCGACGACGGCCCTTTGTGGCAGATGCCATTATAGCCAACCCTCCCAGCCTAGCCCATATACATTGTGCACAACGACTGGGCATCCCTCTCCATATCATGTTTACGTGAGTCAACCCTCTCATATACTACGAACTCCTGCTTGTCCTTCGCATAACAGAAGACTAACGAATGGACAGAATGCCCTGGTCACCAACGCAGTCATTTCCCCACCCGTTGGCGATTATTCACCCCCGGAACCTCAAGCCGACTGTCGCAAATTTTGTTTCCTATGGTATTGTGGATACGATGGTGTGGGAAGGCTTGGGGGATCTTCTAAACACGCTTCGTAAAAAAATAGCACTCAATCCGCTGGATACATTGACTGCTCCAAGCATACTACATCGTCTGCACGTGCCACATGCTTATCTATGGTGAGGCTCAGCGTCGTCAAAATTATTCCGATATGGCTAACGAGAAGGCTCGACACAGGTCTCCTGCATTGCTACCCAAGCCTCCCGATTGGTCTGATGACATCGACGTATGCGGCTTTGGTTTCCTCCCCTCGGAGACCAGCTATACGCCACCAAAGGAAATAGAAGCATTCCTCAAGGCGGGACCAAAACCGATCTACGTCGGATTTGGTTCGATCGTGGTAGACGATCCAGTCAGACTGACGAAAATTGTATTCGAAGCAGTTCAAAAAACGGGACAACGGGCTCTCGTTTCGAAAGGCTGGGGAAATCTCGGGGCAAACGAAGTGGATGTGCCGGACAACATTCTCATCATTGGAAACTGCAGCCACGACTGGCTGTTTCGACAGGTTTCATGTGTGATCCACCATGGCGGTGCTGGTACTACAGCCGCAGGTCTCGCGCTCGGTCGACCAACGATCATTATCCCTTTCTTTGGAGACCAGCAATTTTGGGGAAATATCGTTGCGCGAGCCGGAGCTGGCCCAACACCGATACCTCATAAGCGGTTGAACCTGCAGAATCTGTCAGCCGCAATAGAGAAGGCGCTAGAACCATCCACTCTAGAGAGGGCACAGGTGATCGCGAGGAACATGCAGGAAGAGTCTGGAGTGTGCCGTGGAGTGTATAGCTTTTATCGACATCTTGATCCCCAATCACTCGGATGCGCTATATTCCCAGATCGGTCGGCGGCTTGGCATCTCAAACATACTGAGATTAACTTGAGTGCATTTGCAGCATCGGTTCTGGTGAAATCAGGCAAACTTAACCCGGATTATCTCGTGCTGTGAGTCTTCTCCAATATCGTTACCCAAATGGCGAGTGTTTCTTGCTAATTTCCTTTCCAGACACCGTCCAACGGAATACGATACATTCCGTGATCCTGCCGACCCAATTACTGCTAGCGCTCAGGTGCTATTCGGGGCAATTACGAGCCTCCTGACTGGGCTTGCGGACACCCCAAGTGGGATTGTGCATGATCTTGCTTCTGTAGCTCGCACAATACGCCACCCACATGAACGTTTTAGTAAACACGCTGATAAGCACGCAGCATGTCGGGCAGCAATTGCTTCTCCATACCACTTATCCCCAGAACAAAGTGTCGAGAGCGTGGAAGGGCAAGTTGAGAACCATCAGGAGGAACAAGACACCGTTCTGGAGGAGCAAGACACCGTTCTGGAGGAGGAGAATACACAGGAGGATATCCCTGATGAAGACGAAGACGACGATGTTAGCGGCACCACAGAAACTTCGAGCCTAGAACGCAAGCGAACTCTCCAGCTCAAAGCGGCCAAGCCAATGAGCAGCTCGTTGCCATCCTCGAAACCACATAAAGACAATATTCTATACGAAGCTTCGTTCCATGGAAAGATAATGTCGAAGAAGTTCTTGAGGTTGATCATGTGGCTACCAACCGATGTGTCACTGAGTATGGCCAAAGGATTTCACAACGCCCCTAAATTGTATAACGACCCGATGGTAAAGAGCACCCCACAGGTGATCAGTGTTCGAGGCGGATTCAGGGCGGCTAGAAAGGTAGTACCAACCATACCAGCACCAGCTTGGGGCCAAGTATTCTGACGTATGCACAGGAGTTCACAGATGGATTTTACTACGGTATCACAGGCCTAGTAACGCAACCGCACTATGGTCTCAAGCATAACGGTGCGAAGGGAATGCTCAAGGGGGTCGGAAAAGGAGTGGGTGGAGTGTTCCTCAAGCCAACAGCGGGTACGTCAAATGTGCAGACAATCTCTCTGTCCGTATACAAGCTAATCTTAATCAGGGCTATGGGGTCTAGCAGGGTATCCACTGAGCGGGTGTCTCAGAGAACTTAACAACTCGTTGAGCAAATACCAAAAATGCAGGATTGCGATGGCTCGCATTTCGCAAGGGCATGAAGAGATGCGAGGATCGACGTCCCAGGAAAGGGAAGAGGTATTACGAAAGTGGATTGAGATTGAAAAGGACTTGAAAAAGTCGAGTAAACGACGCAAAAATTTGCATATGAATGGCCATGCTCGCTAAGATGGTGAGCGAAGAATAAGAATGTTGTACTTATGATTGTAACATTATCCTTAACGCGATCAACTACCGTGATAAGAGCAGTTTTTTTTTAAAGTCTACGGTAAATTGCATTGTATTGTAGGTTCGATGTGCTACAAGAATACGGCCGAAGCCAATTTTGTGACATTCTCTCAATCTGACAGATAAACCATATACTAGTAGACGACCCAGGGTCTAGAACATGGATTTCTATTGAAATGCAAAGGCTGGTGAGTAAGCGCCTTCCTAAATGGGACACTGGCGGTTCTGTGGTTCATTATCTCTTCCTACTTTCCTGATAGGCATACCTATAGAGTCTCAATCTGGTCAAGTCTCTTTATCGCCAGCTTTATAATGGTTTATCTCTCGCCGCAACGTTTTTATCATCTGCAACCGGCGATCATCTCTCCATATCTTATGTTCACAGTTCACTTAACACTCTTTGAATCACATCTACATGGCTGCATTTGTCACAGACCAGATAACGCGCTACCTTCGCCCGAGTCGCCTCCCAACCTGGATGGGCGGGCGTTGTGTCACAATATCTAACGACAAATTGGATCCCAACAAATGGGATCTTGAGATACAGCCGATCTCCAGATGTGTCGTCAAGGCACTTGGAGTATCCGAGCCTATCGAGCTGGAAAAAGAGTCATGGATTGCCTCACGAAAGCAGAAGAGAGATGGTAAGATTCCCGATAGGCTCGGTAAGTTCTATATTTTGAGGGTCCGAACATCAACTTCAAAAGAGATCTCTTTTTGAGATTATCCACAGACTGCTTGGAATTTCGAACTGATAGAGTTCTAGAAATTTACTTAGAAGACCACGCCCAACTAAACGGGAAAGACCTTCGTCCCAAAATCGGGGCTATCTTGATGACTTTGACGGTGGAGAAAAAGAGAAAGCCAAACGCCACCCGCAAGAACTGGCATTTGTTCATTGGGGATTTGATAAGCGTATTCTCATGCCATTCATCAAGAATGACCGTTACATCATGAGTGTGGGCAACATTGATTATGTTCTGTGGTATGGAGCATTGGCAGAGCTCGAAACAAATTTCATTGTCGTGAGAGCGAAAAGGCTCAGTTCTGACGATTATTGGAACTTGCTGCAGAGTATGGGTAAGTATAGCGGGCATCTCATTACACGTATTGACCTCGATCTAATCTACCTTTCAGCCAAGATCCACTGGGCTCGCAAGTATGCGAAAAGAAAGTCCACTATTCACGGCCTAGCTACAGATGGTGAGCAGTGGCGGTTTGTGCATATTGACGAAAATGGCCAGGTAGGACTGCCCGCAATCCAGTGAGTTGATCAAATGGCTGACTGTGTTCTTAGCAAACAGGCAAGCTCCTGCGCTGGGATGGCGAATCCACTCAGGTCATTGCTCGAATCAATATGATTATTGATCAAGCAGTGTCTCTCGCTAAACACGCGTCACGGCGGCGGCTACATCCAAGAGAGGATTCAGTGTACAAGATGACGGGCTGTGAAATCTGGGACCAGGTTCAGTCTTGAGAATTAAAGATACCCTGTTGAAGAGCCAATCTCCTATTGAGCGAAGAATGTTCGCTCAAATCGTTCTTGTTTAATAGTTCAATCATAATAATAGTATACTTGCTGCTCTAGTTCATATACAATTCCTTAACCCCGAGATCGGCGTTGCCACCCCCGGTGGACCCGCTCCCGGATAACACGGCTTCGGCGCCGTTTGCACTGGGCCGAGATCAAGCTACGGCGACTAGTTAATAAATAACTGAGCTCCCGCCGGACAAACTCCGCTAGCAAAAAAAAAAAGCCTTGCAAATCCTGCAAAAGTGGCCCTGATTACGACTGTGGCTCTTGCATGACGTCTTGGCTCTCGTATCAGATTTCACGACCGGAGTCTTCGCCGAACGGCTATTTATTTTGCCACAACTTTTTGAGCAGCTAAATTTTCGTCGCGAAACCCTCCTCTTCAAGCTGCGACTGGCCCGTTGCGTGTCCGATGTTGCGCAAGGGACAGAATGGCCGAATTAACCGATCACGACTATCACATGTCGAGCGACGACGACATTGATTCCCACCACAGCAATGGTGTCACCGAGGATGCAGGCGGAGCGACACTAGAAAAGCAAAGCACGGCGGCGTCAGGTCTGTCGGTTTTCGAGCAGCGAGCACAATCAGTAGTGTCCCGCATTCGGAGTCGGGAACCTGGTCAAACGGCGCGATTCACTCATCCTCTAACGCACACCAAGACGACCGCCGATGTGGTGGTTGATTTTGAAGGCCCCGACGATCCGTATAGGCCAGTTAATTGGGGATTTAAGAAGAAGGCCGTGACAACGGTGTTGTATGGGTTGACCACTATGGGTATGTCGCCATGCGATGCGCAGAGCAATTTCAAGCAAAAGACGTCATCAAGCTAACTAGTCACTTCCCAACGATTGCAGGTTCAACGTGGGCGAGCTCAGTGTAAGCTTTCGATCTGCGAAGTTAGCTTGATACAGACAGACTGATCATGAAATTATAGCTTTTCAACCGGTCAGATACAAGTCGCCAACCAATACGGCGTCTCAGTAGAGGTATCGACTTTGGGCACCACATTGCTCTTGTTCGGCTTAGGCTTGGGACCGCTTGTGTGGGCACCTCTATCGGAGGTATATGGGCGCAAACCCGCCGTGCTGGCGCCGTACTTCATTGCGGCTATCTTCTCATTTGGCACCGCAACGGCCAAAGACCTGCAGACGATTATGATAACGCGATTCTTCACTGGCTTTTTCGGCTCAGCCCCCGTCACCAACACTGGAGGTGTTTTGGCCGATATTTGGACGCCTGAGCAGCGCGGCGCTGCCATCGTCGGGTATGCCATGGCTGTCGTTGGCGGGCCTGTCGTGGGTCCGATAGCAGGTGGTGCCATCGTGGAAAGCTTTCTTCGTTGGCGATGGACCGAATACGTTAGTTTCCTGATATCAAGTCCGATTCGCGTCATGCTAACATACTGTCTAGATTACTGGCATCATGATGATGTTCTTTCTGCTCCTTGATATTATCTTCATCGACGAGAGCTACCCGCCCGTGCTCCTAGTCTACAAGGCACGCCGCCTCCGGTTCGAAAGCGGAAACTGGGCTCTTCATGCCCGCCATGAGGAATGGGATGTAACCATGAAAGAGCTGGGCAACAAGTACTTGATACGACCGTTCCAGCTGCTAACCACGCCAATTTGTTTCCTGGTGGCACTGTATGCGTCCTTCGTGTACGGCATTCTGTACCTGAGTCTGGCTGCGTTCCCGATCGTGTTCCAAGAAGTGCGAGGCTGGAACCAGGTGGTTGGTGCCCTGCCATTCCTGGCATATCTAGTCGGCATCCTTATAGGCGCCGTGGTCAACCTCACCAACCAACGCTTCTATATCAAACGATTCAAAGCGAACAACAACCGGCCTGTCCCTGAAGCTCGCTTACCCCCGATGATGCTTGGCTCTGTGCTGTTCGCTGCGGGTATGTTCGTCTTCGGTTGGACCAGCCCTAAACACATTCACTGGATTGCTCCTATCATCGGCGCCGTTATGATGGGCTTCGGTTTCTTCACCATCTTCCAGGCGGCGCTGAATTACCTCATCGATACCTTCCAGGCAGTCTCTGCCAGTGCTATTGCCGCCAATACCTTTTTACGCTCGTTATTCGCCGGATGTTTCCCACTCTTCACCAACGCCATGTTCCACAACCTCGGTGTTCCTTGGGCTGCAAGTATCTTGGGATTTGTCTCTATTGCTCTCATCCCGATCCCTTACCTGTTCTACATCTTCGGAAGACGGATTCGAGCTCGCGGGAAATGGTCACGTCCGTCACTTTAGACTTCGTTTTCGGCAGCAAATTTCCGGATTTCTTAATGTGGTGATGCTGCTCTATTCTTATTTGCTTTTGTTCGCATTAGATAACCAGATACCCTTGGCCCGCCTCGAAATGTTACTGCAAGCCTTTCTGTGGAAACTTCCTTGTACATAGCAATTGATGGCTTGTGTCAGTAGTTAAAAAATAATGTCTATTGTCAATTACAGAACATACACTTTCTACAGCTTCAGGTATTTCGTGGACAGAGTTCTATAGATGCAGATTTCCATTATAATTAAGGAGCATGACAAGGAGAGCGAGAACAAAGAACAGAAAATCATGAAGCACAATAGATGCAAAATATCCAAAAGAAAGTCCAATAAAGCATGCAACAACAAATTAAATCAAATGCGTGTTATGTTTCGAGCAGCAACATAGGGAAATACCAGCGAGCGTCTTCTTTGGTCTTCGTCTCTTCATGAATGCATCCTTTTTTTCTTCTTTTTTTGGGTGGGGATGAGATTCTGCATTTTCATCAAGCCTTAGTTGAGACCATGTTATTCCGACGAGTCAGCTTTTTCGCGATAGTGATTGCCTTCTCCCATGTCTTCTTCTTCTCAGCCCGAGAACCAAGATCTGAGGTTGCGGCCGCGCCAGAAGCATACTCTCCAGGGAAATCTTCCGGATTTCTGGAGTTGTGCAGTGCGAGGACGGCCATCTGGCCAAGGAACGAAGGATGCTCCAAGAGATCCTCCAGGCGAACTTTCAAGCCCTCCTGCTCAAGCAGCCAGGTCAGTTGAGCCATATTGAAAATATCACCACCAAGATCGAAGAATGATGAGTCAAGCTGGAATGCCGTCTGGTGAGCGGGTGGCTTGGATTCAGACTCGGAGGGGGCACCGGGGTTTGTAATACGGCTCGGAAGCACCTGGTGCCACGATCTGGACAGGATGTCTGAGTGGACAAGAAGCTCGGCAATAGAGCGGGACTTGAGATGGGCGCTAAGGAAATGCTCGTCCGTCGGACGGGGCAGATCATCAACGACCTGCGAAGGCACCGAGCGGAGCATGCTGGGAGACGGGAGGGCGGTACTTGGATTGGCGGTAAGAGACTGGGCGATTTCGCAGACCATGTCCAGAACTTTGGACGCAAATGATGGAAGGATGGGTCCCTTTTCAGAGAAGCCCAGTGTCACGTTCAGAGTACGCTCGTCGGCCGGCCGAGAGACCATAGTCAGATCGGCCAAGTTGTCGTTGACACCGACTCCACCCATCTGATACTGAGTATCATCCAGTTGGATAGAACCCTCATAGTCAACATTCTGATGGAAGACGGAGGTGGTGAAGTAGGTCCAGGCAGGCCATTCGGTGCATTGCTTGATGATCTCGCGGAAGCCCAGGCATTCGTATGGCATGTTTGAGACCTGTTGGTCTTGCAGGAAGCGGAAGAGATCAAGGGCTGTCCACTTTTCGTCGAACTTGACGCGCACAGGGATCACATTGACGCAGGGCCCGACGGTGGTTTCAATTCCAGGGACAGTCGCGTTGCGTCCGCTGATTGTGAGGCCAAATACCACATCAGACTGGGCAGACAGCTTGGCAAGAGCGATGGCCCATGCGGCCTGCATCACTGTCGCAACAGTGATATTGCCAAGAGCCATTGGCGGGATCTCAACCGTCTTGTGGATTTCAGTGAAGGAGCCGACATTCTGGAACATGGTCGGGCCCTTTCGGTGGACGATCTCGGTCATCTTCGAACCCGCGAGAAGCTTGGTCCAGTGCTGGTAGTGATTTGGCGTGATGGTACCAGGAAGCTGGCGCATATAGCTCGCGAATGGGGTTACAGGAGGTAGGGGACTGCCTTCGTAACCAAGCTTGATGGCCGACATGATCTTTGACAGACACACTCCGTCGTACTGGGTGTGAGACAGCCGGATGAGGATGCGGTGCTGGTTGCTGCCCTTCTTCTTCACCACATAGAACTGAACATACTGCTCGCCTTCGCGCGGGCCATACTCGCGGTCTCGCTGCTGTAAGGTCATCGTAAATTCATCAAGGCCGCGATCGGTTTCGTAAACAAAAATACTGGGTCGAATTTTGCGCAGGACGACTTGGAAGAACTGGTCGTGGAAGCATACGAAGACAGTTCGGAGAATATCGAACGCATCAACGACCTTCAAGCAGCTCTCGCGCAGACGTCTCAAATCCAGAGGTCCATTCCCTTCCAGGTAGAAATAGTTCAACATCCACCGGGACTTGAAGAGGGTCGCAGTTAGTGACAGAGCCTGGAAGTCATTGACAGGCAGGACGTCGGCGATGCCACCCTTGAAGACACCGATCTTCGGACAAATACCACTTTCAATGGAGTTGTCGTCCACACACTTGGTAGGCTTCAGAATCTCGATGCTCTCCGAAGAAGGTGTGTGTACCAGGGATATGCGGTTGGTGTCAGAGAATGCCTCAGGCTCTTTGGGAGTGGGTTGAAGGTCGACGTTCAACCTTTGCTGAGTGACATTGGCCGCGCGCACTGTGGTAAGCATATCCTCGAAGACCGGGTTGTTGAAAACATCCGCCACCGTCAAAACGAGTCCCTCCTCACGGGCTGCACTAACCATCTTCATAGCCGTGATGCTGTCGCCGCCCAGTTTGAAAAAGCTGTCCTGGTGCCTCACCACGTTGGGGGAAAGCCCAAGCGCCGTGCTCCAAAGACTCCATAGTTTCCTTTCCACATCGGCCGACATCCCATCCTCGCTGGATCGAGAAGTCGCCGAACAAACCCCAGAATCATCTGCTCCTTGAATTCCTGATGCACCATAAGGTGAATCCACTGCATCACTGTAACCAGACAGCCCTTCGGTTTGGATGCCCGGGACCGTCAATTTTCCTTCTCTTAACAATTGTCCAATAATCTCATGCACACGATCGTCAATTATCCTCTGGATGGAATTATTGTCGAGCGCCTGGTCGGATTGCTTGGGCTTTTCACTATACGCAGATTGGGAGTAATCCCATTCGACAGGCTGTTGTTCATGTGGCACTTCGGCATCAAACTTCGATTCCAACATGGTTGCAGATGGCGTCTCAATGAAGCCAGTAAACACTTTGGCAATGGTATCAGTCAAAGATTGTGCTTGCTCATCGGATATAACATCACTCCAGTATCGCAGAAGAATGCCTTCCTGGCCCCTGGCGATCTCAACATTTACAGTGACCGCATACTAGATTCCACGGTCAGTGTTTAAACAGTTCCGGTGAGTAGAAGAACACATACCTCACTAGGATCATGAGCATGCTGCAGGTCGAACGACAAGCCCTTCTCCTTCGAAGCGCCCGCCACCGAGTGGTTCTGGATTGATAAAGTGGTGTTAAAGAGTGATTGGCCCTGCCAGCCAAGCTCATGTTGGATGCTTGCCAATGAGCAGCTCTGGTGTGGTATACTGCGGATATAATCGTCCTGCACCTGCTTGGAGACGTCTACAAGAGTTTGCTGTCTGGAGAACTGAACCCTGCAGCAAAGCATGTTGATGAAAATGCCGACCATGTCCTGAATGCCGTTGACAGGAGCGTCGCGCCCAGCTGACAAGTATCCAAAGCAGACATCGTCAGAGGCAGTGAACTGTCGGAGCACAATGGCCCAAGCGGACAAAGTCAGATTGGCAAGAGTAACCGAGCTCTTTTCGCAGAACTGCAGAAGCTCCGGGAAACGCCGGAAGTTCATAAGCACACCCTTGAGCTCTCGCTTCGACTCGAATCCGGCTGAAGGAGCAATATGGCACGGGCTGACTCCGCCAAGGTACTGTTTCCAGTGACCAAGGGCCTCGCTTTGGTTCCTGGATCTGATGAACTGAATGTAGTCACTAAATTTGGGCCCTTCGCCGTCTGGGAGCCGACGGTCGTAAGCCATCGCCAGATCACGCAGAAGGACATCGACAGAGCCACCATCAATGATGGCATGGTTGATCTCCAGCTTGACTAGAACGCGGCCACTGGATGTCTTGCAGACCGTCAGTTGATGAGAGAGTTTCGATTGGCGCGTAGAGTTCATGTTGCGCAGGGAGATCGAGGTCAGCTTTTCCTCAACCTGGGAATCCGAGCATTCGACTCGAAGAACATTGTCGCTTAATTTGTTGAGAACAAGCTGATCGAATGATCCTCCACTGTAGGTGCTGTCAATGAAGACTGTTCTTAAAACTGGGTGGCGTTCAACAATGGCTTGCCAGGCTTGCACAAGCTTCTCCGCATTCACTTTTCCAGATCGCGGATCCTTGATCTCGAATACCGTGTGGAACATATAGGCGTTGGGGTCGCGTAGTTGGCTCAGTAATAAGCCCTCTTGCATTGGAGAGCAGGGATAAATGTCTTCGACCTGATCCTTGTTCCGAATGCCCAATTTGCGGAAAGTGTTGTTGGTGAGCATCTGAAGCCCATGGTAGTTGATGGGAAGCAGAGGATAGTCACTGAGAGTAGGCTCGGGGGTCGTGCTCTTCAGAGAAAGAAGATCCTTCTCGAGAATCTGCTTGCACTCCATGATCCAATGGCGGATCTTCCCTTCGCGTTGCATGTGACGATTGTAAGTGAATGCAACATTGAGCTTATCCTTGATAACAATGGCAGAAACTTCAAACAGGGCAAATCGAGCCGTCTCAGGTCCCATGTCACCTGCAGTGGCAAAGTCTGAGCTGTCAAATGCGCTGCCATAATGCTGGAACAAGGAGTCGGCACGCTCCAGCTGCTGAAGTCGACCCAGATAGTTAAAGAGGATTTCAAGAGGAACCGGAAATCCAGATGAGTCGGATTGGAGGAGGCTCTTGGCGAAATATGGTCGGCCATTGTCGGCAATCTTGCGTCTGGCGTCCTTGACACGCTTGATCGTGTCGACAATTCCAGCTGTAGTCGGGTGAGAATGAGTTCAATTATGTGCCGATGAGAGGGCAAAAGCTTACCAGACTCAGGCTGTACATGCAGTGGGCACATGGCCGTAAACCAGCCAACGGTTCGCGAAAGGTCAATGCTCGCATCCCATGCCTCCCGGCCATGTCCTTCGTTGTACACGGTTGGAACCTTGCGATCAGTGAATGTGCGACGGAAGGAATGGATAATGGACGACAGCAAAATATCAACCGTATCAGTACGGAAGACACCATGGCAGCCATCGAGAATAAAGTTGGTGACGTCCTCGCTCAGAGTAAAAGACTCCATCTTGATGTGGCCGTAGACGTTTTGCGAGTTATCCATACCCCAGTACTGGAGATCGGGTTGCTCAGGCGTGAAAGGTAAGAAGCTGTCTGCTTCGTATACTTTGCTCCTTTCGAGTTGCATCTTGCACCAGCTCTGGAAAGATAGCGCTTTCTCATCAGGAAGAGACCCGGAGGTAACGAGCTCTTCCAGATCCTGAAGGACAATGCGCCACGACACCATGTCAACACACAGATGGTGAGCAACGAGGAAAAGAATCTGTCCACCACTGCGAAGATTAAAAAGATCTGCTGCTAATATGGGTCCCTTCAAAGGATCCAGGCATGTCTGGCTCTCAGCGATCTTAGAGACCATCTCGCGCGTGTCATTAATAGAGTGAATGCGGAAGCGGTAGGACTCATCAACTTCCTGTACCAATTATAAGCGCAATCCTTCCTGAATGTCGGAGTAACCAATCTTGTCACTTACCGCTGCAGCTTTCTGCTCCCAGATGCCATTGCTAGTCTTACTGAATCGTGCTCGGAACATTGAGTGCTGGCTGGTCACAGCCTTGATCGCACGTCGCAGAACCTCTCCTTCAACCCTGCGAGTGACGCGCACGGTGATGCTCTGGTTAAAGCGAGCAGCGCCCTGGAAGGAGTTCGAGCACTGAAAGTACAGTTTCTGGATTGGTGAAAGACCGAACCCTTCACCTAACCTTTCTTCGCTCTGAGAAACCGGAGCTTTGGTTCCAGCTGCTTTGGAAAGCTCTTTGATCGACCTGCTCTGCAGAATGTCATTGAGGGTCAGCACAAGGCCCTGCTTGCGGGCCCTGGAAATAACGGCCATTCCAGTGATGCTGTCGCCGCCTAAGCTGACGAAAGAGCGATCGACATTGATCTTTTGCAGAGAAATGTTCAAAACTTGCGCAAAGATCTCGCGAATCGTCTTGAGGGAGGTATCCTTCTCCGGTTCCTCCTTCTTTTCACTATGGCCACGCTTCATCCGGTCATAGTCCTGCATAATTCTGTCGTAAGACGCCTCGTCTATGTTCTCAAGCCAGGCAGTGATCTTCTTTCGGTCGAGCTTGCCAGACACAAGCATGGGTAGCTTCTTGATCAGAGCCCATGTCTGCGGAACCATGTAAATTGGCAATTGATTTTCAAGGCTCTTTTGAACATCACTGAGAGCGGCATATGCGTGGCTCTCGAGTTCATCTTCGTCAACAAGCTCACAAGGCTGATCCGAGATGAGATTGTTGTCCGCAACAATCTTGTTGAGAGACATGACAGTAACGAGACGCTGCTGAAGAGGACCGTTCTTGGGAAGGATAACCACAGCATGTCGGACTCGGGGGTCAGAGTAGAGGCGATGTTCGATTTCACCCAGTTCCATACGTTGGCCGTGGAGTTTGACTTGGTGATCCTTGCGACTAATGTAGCCGACTGTGCCATCTTGGTTGTAGTAACAAAGATCACCGGTTAGGTAAATCCTTCGGGGAGACGGCAAGTTTGAGCCAAACTCCTTGATCCAGGTAGGGTTCTCAATGAAGGTTTCGGCAGTTTTTTCTGGGTTTTTGAGATACTCTCTCGCGAGAGCAGGACCTTCAAGCGCAAGCTCGCCAACAGCCCCCAAAGGTGCCAATCGATTGTGGTTGTCGGGATCGACAATCCAAGTCAAGGTGCTGGGAATTCCGTATCCAATGCGCGCAGGGTCCCGATGAGCGGCAACAGTGGTGTCAACGACCGCAAACACGCAGGTTTCCGTGGGGCCATAGCAATTCATGAGATGGGCAGCGTTCGCCCATTTGGTAATCACTTCCTTGGACAGCTTCTCACCACCACACGTGAGAATCTTGAGAGAGGGGACAGACGATGGCTCAACAATGCTGGCAATTGAAGGGGTGAGGAAGGTCCAGTTGACATTCATGCGTCGAATAGCACCAGCAACATCGTTGAGACGTTCGTCCTCGCTGGGTACACAGATGCAACCGCCAAACATCAAGATTGCAAGAACCTCCAGGACTGCGGCGTCGAAGGTCAATGATGCAAACTGGAGGACTCTGGAGGAGGAGTTCATGTGGACCACAGGTCCAAATGCCAAAGCACTGCTGGCAATGTTTTGATGCTCGATGACAATGCCCTTAGCACGACCAGTGCTACCCGATGTGAAAATAGCATACGCCATGTTCGAGGGCGTGACTTGAGAGCGGTTGCGGGTATGCGAATTAAGAGAGCCATATGCCTTGATTGTCTCCTTGCTGATCGGGATCACAGTTTTGACGGCCCGGGTGTAGCGGTTAGTGTATTTTGGCGTGCAGAGAATCATGTTCGCGCTGACCTCCTCAAGGATCTCCTCGTGTCTCGAGGTAGGGTGGGATGGATCCAGGGGCACATATCCACCACCTGCAATCAGGATGCTGATGATGGTGACCATTGCCCAAGCAGACTTGTCAAGGCAAACAGGGACGAAGACTTCGGGGCCGACACCGCGAGAAACGAGGTAGTTCGCAAAAGATGAAGCGAGCTCCCAGAACTCTCTGTACGTAAGCTCGCCATCCCAGGCACACACAGCCTGGGCATTGGGTGTCTCAAAGGCCTTGTCCCGAATGTAATCATGGACACATCGATCGGCTGCTGCGATGTTGCGTCGGTTCCAGCGAGAGATTTCAGCCTTGTCCTGAGGGCTGACAACTTCCAAGTCCCCAAGTTTTCGGGTGGAATCCTTGGGCATTGAGATCAATTGCTTCAGGACGTGGCAAAACTGCTCGCCTAGTCGCTTGGTTTGCCAGCCGTTGATGACAAGCTCATCATGGTGTGCTTTGATGGATATGCTTGATTTCGAGATGCCGCATTCCAGCACAAGTGGGTGGGTATAAAAGTCTTCGCTGGCTTGATAATTCTCATCAATCCAGATTTTGTCATTGAGTTTCCCTTCGTTTGGCTGGATAACCAACAGATTCTGGAAGTTGCAGCCAGTGGACGTGTCGTTGTTGATGGTCCGAATGCGCTGCAAGCCCGAATGCAGGTGCGGAATCATCTCAGTTGTTGACTGGTGCACGTTCTGCAAGTACTGGAGGATGGAAACTGCATTGTCGACCTGAATGCGAGTGGGAACAGTCGTCAAAACAGGGCCAGCAATATCGCCGACGCCAGGGAGATCGATATTTCGACCAGACAGGGTTTCACCAAAGCAGACATCGCCAGCCCCGGTGTGAGTAGCAACCACAATCGCCCAGGCGGCTCGAATAAGGACAGGCAGAGTGAGGTCAATGGTGTTGGGAGGTCGTGAAAACTCCAAGGTGTGGTACTGGGTGTTCCCAGCACGGACAGCATCAGGGACAGAATTCTTGTTACTGGGGAAAACCTCGCTGGAAAGATCGGCAAGATATGACTTCCAAAAGACATCCGACTCGGCCATGTCCTTCTTTGAAAGGTGGTCAATGAACAGGCTGTATGAAGTGGCCTGTCGCTTGCTCTTTGAACCGAGATAGTTCTCTTCGACCTTGCGCCAGATCAAAGGAATGCTCCAGCCATCGTAAAGCGCGTGGTGGACGGACCAGACAAAATACCTGGTAGACGAGGCCTGAGGCTGAACAATGGCGTATTCAGTCAAGGGAGCCCCGTTATGCTTGGGGAGATCAACACTGTCACTCGGAAGTTGATCAAAAGACTTTGCATGTATCCAGGAAATCGGCGAGTCCTTGATGACGACCTGTGTAAAATTCATCGCCTCCGTATGCACAATACGTGTTCGGAGAATGTCCAACTCGGTCACTGTCTGTTGCCAAGCAGCCTTGAATCGCTCGAGGTTCACTCCATCAGCAAGGCGAAACGCTGGCTGGGCAACATAGGCTCCACGGTGCTTAACCGAGAGAGTAAGAAGGCCTTCTTGAACGGCACTGCAGGGATAGATGTCGATAATAGAATCCCGTGGTACCGCGCAGTTGTCGGTGACCTCCTCGAGAAGCTCATCGAGAACAACGGAAGATGGCAACAGTGCGAAAGGTTCAGTGTTAACCTGCGGCTTGATCTCTGGCAAATTGGAAGACACCACACAGCTCTTAGCCATGTCCACCAACTGTGGGAATTTGAAAATGCTGGAGACTGTGAGAGCAATGCCTTCGGCCTGGGCAGCTCCAACAAGATTCATGGCGGAAAGCGAGTCACCACCAAGTGCGAAGAAACTGTCTTCGATAGTAACAGAGCCAGGTTCGAGATCGAGGGTCTTTTCCCAAAGAGCTCGAAGTTTCATTTCGGGTCCTTCGGCTTGCAGCTCCTCCTGTTTTGTGGTAACATTGAAGGTAATGTAGGACTTGAGGGCCTCCTTGGGCAAAGATTGAACCATAGCACGGAGTCTCCTGCGGTCGACCTTTGCTGATGAGGTGAAAGGCAGATTTCGCAAAGGGAAGAAGAGGCGTGGCATCATGCTCTGAGGCAACAAGTCGGGCAGAGAGTTCTTCAAATTTCGAACAACGTCCATGTTGGAGACAGAAATTGGTAGAAGCAATGGGTCAGCACCAGGAATTGTGGGAGCAAACTGATCGGTGCTGCCACCGTGGAAGGAGCCTGCGTCGTGGATTGTGAAAAAGGCTGCAAGGCCCTTAGCCACGGTTCGTTCTTGAGGCACGACAACATCGACAGCGACTTGAGAGCCCTCTGGGAGGCAACGAACACACTGATGTTCGATTTCTTCGAGCTCAATACGCTGGCCGTTGAATTTGATCTGAGTGTCCTTCCGAGAGATGAAAGCGAGGGTTCCATCGCTGTTGTAACGAACAAGATCTCCGGTGCGGTACATACGATCACTTCGCTTGAACAGACTCTGGAGGCCACTATGACGATTCCAGACAGGATCTTGAATGAAGGCTTCCTTGGTTTTCTGCTCGTTGCCGAGATACTCTCGCGCAATGTTGCTCCCCTCCAAAAGCATCTCACCAACTGCGCCCACAGGAAGAAGCCGGTTGTAGTTGTTGGGGTCAACGATCCAAACTCTGCAGTTTGCAGCAGTGCCAATGGATGTAGGATCGTTATTGATACGTTTGCCATCCCAGTCAACCTTAACACCGGTCGTGGCAACGACAGTGGCTTCGGAGGGACCGTAAGCATTGATAACAAATCTGTCGTGCCAGCGGTCGATGTGGTTTGCTGGCATTTTCTCGCCTCCCGTGATGATGGTCTTGAGGGTCGGCACATTCTTGGGTTCCAAAGTGTTGACAATGGCAGGAGGTGCGGCCATATAGTTTGCTTCCATACGTCGAATGGCGCCTCCCAGATTGTTCATGCGCTCCTCTTCACTTGGAACACAGACGCAACCTCCAGTCATCAGGGTGATCATGATTTCCAAGATGCTCACGTCAAAGGTGTAGTTCGAGAATTGCAATGCGCGAGTTCCGGAGCTCATGTGCAGAGCATCAATCATAGCAACTGCAGTGGTACTGAGAGCAAGGTGTTCCACCACTGTCGCCTTCGGCTTTCCGGTGGTTCCCGAAGTAAAGATGGCATAGGCGGCGTTGAAGGGGGTGGGCCGTTTGCCGGGCAATGCCAGTGGAGAATCAGGAACCTGAGACAGAGCGGGTTGGGAAACAGCGATTGCTTTCTTGCAAAGCTTTGACATCCGAGTTTGGATAGAAGAAGAGCACAAGACAAGATCCGCATCGATTTCCTCAATCAAGACTTGAAGTCTTGCGTCGGGATGAGCAGGGTCAATAGAGACAAACGCGCCACCAGCCTTGAGGACGGCAAGTTGAGCAACAATAGCCCAGGCTGACTTCTCGAAACACAATACAACAAAGACTTCAGGTTTGACTCCAAGGCCGGACAGATGACGTGCCAGACGACTGGAGACAATCTCAAGCTGCCCATATGTAAAGTTCTTGTCCCAGGAGCAGACGGCTTCAGAGCGAGGATGGAGAAGGGCTTGTTGCTGAATGAGTTCGTCGGCACACTTTTCGAATCGCGGGGGTGAAATAGCATTCCATTCGCGAACCTGGCGGCAAGATCGCTCTGGAAACAAATCAAGATCTCCAATTGCACGATCGCGAGGGTTTGAAGAGACGAGGTCGTCGAGTATGTGATCAAATGCATCGATGACATGGCTGACTTGTTTGCTGGACAAAATATCGGAAGAGTAGTTGAAGTGAATTTGAGCAAACGAATTCGAGACTTCAGCTTCGACTGCGAGCTGATAGGTACTGCTGGTCGGTGTTTCTGCAGGGCTGCCATTCGACAGGTAAGATGCCTTGTGGAACTTGAAGAGGGTGTTCAGAAGAGCTCCATCCGCAAGGCCAAGTTGGTGAATGACGATGCCGAGATCAACAAAGTTTTGGATGCACTTTTCAGAGTCTGTCTTGACTCGCTGCAAGGTTTCCTCAACTCTTCGATCGTTGTTCAAGAGAAGCCGGCAAGCGACAATGGCAGAGCAATCAAGCGCCTCGGCGTCGTTGGAATCAGAGGCAAGGTAAGCAAAGCAAACATCGTCGCAGCCGGTGTAGCAACGGAGAACCATGCCCCAAGCAAATTGGAGGAGGGTCGCAACATCAACGCCTGCCATCTTGCTGAAGGCATGCAGTTTTCCAGTCTGTTTGTTGAGTGTGCGAGTCGAGCGGCCCTCATCAATCAGTTCGCGCGACAAGGACGGGAAGTGGCACGGCTCAGCATCGGCAAGATATTCCTTCCAGAAAGCAACATTGCCCTCGGATAGCGTTGGGTGTCGAGAGCCCTGGTCTGTCGAATTCGAGCTGGTCCAATGTTTGATATCAAACAATCCGAGAACGTTAGTGGGCAATCCGTGAATCTCGGTTTGCAGAGCCTGTAAGTTCAGCTTTCCAAAAGTGGTCAGGGGAAGAGATGAGATTGGAATATAGATACTCGGGACCTTGTTCGTTGGAAGATTGGCAGTCAGGTGCGCATGTATATTGACAATTGCAGTTTGCATGTGTGGAGCAGAGTGTTGAATTACCGAACGATCACCGAATGTCGTCGAGATTTCGTCAGTGGAGATCACAAAGGCAGCAAGGCTTTCCGTAACACCGGCATCGCGGTGGAAAGTGATGCGTTCCAAAATGCATGTCGCCTTCGATTCCTTGAAGGAGTCAATGTAGTCTTGGGTCTGGGAACAATCGACTGGCAGGGATAGCCCGACAACGTTGCTCTTCCGGCTGACGTAGATCAAAGATCCATCGGAGTTGTAGCGAACAAGGTCTCCCGTTTTGAAAAACCAGCGCTTTCCGTCCAGGTTGTCATCTAGCTGATCCATGCTAGAAAGCCACAATGGGTTCTCAAAGAAGTCTTTCGGGGTGGTGGCATCAAGTTCGAGATAGCCTCGAGCGAGAACGGGCCCTTCAATGACCAATTCGCCGACGGAACCGATGGGAACAAGAGAGTGATGATTCTCCGGATCAACAACCCATGAGACACACGACATAGCACATCCAATCTCCCGGGCCTCAGACGAGTTCGCCAGGTGTGGGGTGTGCAGAGAGGCAGAAGAAGTCTCTGCCGTGCCATACAGAGTATGCAACTGCAGATCATCGGTATTCCACTGGCTAAGGATAGCACTTGTAGGAGCTTCACCAATAAGAGCAAGAGTGCGCAGGCCGGGAACATCCTTGGGAGAGACAAGGGCCGCAACAGTCGGCGTGAAACTGGCGACATTGGCATGGAGCACATTAATCGCGGAAGACAGGTTAAATGGCTCAATGTCAGCCGGGATGCAAACACAGCCTCCATGAATAAAGGTACCAAAAACCTCCAGAAGGAACATGTCAGATGTGTGAGCAGCAAACTGAAGGGTCCTGGAGGCATCTGAAAGTCGCAATTTCGCAGCGAAGCCTTCGGCTCTTGTCATGATTGTTGAATGCTCCAGTACAAGACCTCTGGAACGGCGAGAGAAACCAGCCGTAAAAGCGACATATGCGGCATCTGAAGGAGTGGCGGCGGAAAACATGGGCTCATCAGTGAGATACTCCAGGAGAGACTCGCTCACAGGGATGACATATGGGATGAGGTCTTCAAGGATTTGAGCTTTCTCGGGGGATGCAAGCGCAACCTGAACCACATTATCAAGAACCCATTGGTTAATCAGAGCCGTAGTTTGAGCAGACTCGACGGGAATACAGCCACCGCCGGTTTTCATAATGGCCAGGACTGAAACTATGTTCCAGACAGACTTCTCGAAGCAGATAGGTATCAGACTGCCGGGACCAACACCAAAGGTAACGAGATAGCTTGCAAGGCGGGAGGAAAACTGATCCAGTTTGGAGTAAGTAAGACTACCATCCCAGGCAGTAACAGCCAAAGCATCGGGTCTCCTCTTGACCATCTCTTGAACAGTCCGGTGGGCACACTTGTCGATGGCTTGCGGCATCTTGCTGTTCCAGGAGAGAATCTGGTCTTTATTAATATCGCTGAGAATGTCTAGCTTGCGGATCTCCTTGTCGGCATTGTCCATGATGTTCTCGAGACAGCGAAGGTAAATGCTAGCGATGTTTGCAGCCTGGGCATCTGAGAGATTGGTAGTCCAGTAGTTAAGATCAATGCGGGCCTGGGTATCCATGGCCTCAATGTTAATGAAGACCGGAAACTCAGCCGGGTCGTGAATGGAGCCAACTTCAACACACTCGATGTCGCTGCTCACAGCATCCTTGGCACTGGGCAATCTGCGATAGGAGACGCCGGAGTTGAAGAGATTGGTGTCGGAAAGCTTGAGGGCATGCTGGATGTCGATGAGCGAGGTTTGACGAAACGGAAGACTCTCCATGTAGTCGTTCTGAATCTGCTGGAGGATGTCGCTGAGTATGGAGTTTCCAGTCATTTTCATGCGGCAAGCCATCAAGTTGATGACAGGACCGACCACCCATTGAATACCATCGACAGCAACGTCTCGCAAAGATGCCATGTAGCTGAAGCAGACGTCATCAGAGCCACAGAAAGAGCGCAGAGTGAGACCCCATGCCGCGTTGAACACGTTGGAGAGCGTGATTCCCTTCTTTTCACAAACAGATTGAAGTTGAGCTAGAGATTCAAAGTTGACAGGAATTGACCGAAGGCTCTTGAATGACTTCTCGCCATCAGTCAGGACCGGGAAATGGCAAGGTTTAGCATCAGACAAATACCCACGCCAGTAGTTGATACTGGCCTCCCTTGGTGCATTTTGAAGATAACGGATGTAGTCTTTGAACAAGGGTTTAGGGCTTTCTCCAAGTCTTCCAACGTATGCCAACTGCAAATCTCGAAGGATAATGGAAATCGAGTTACCATCCATGGCGGCATGACTTAGCTCAATGCGGCAGAAGAGCTTTCCGGTAGAGGTCTGGCAAAGAGTGAAACGGTATGCCGGGCGAAGCTCACGGTAATTCTTAGGCTCCTGTCTGTCGAAGGTGGCGAGCACATCGCTCTCTCCGGAGGACTGCAAAAAGACCGGTGTTGCATCATACTTCTTGAGCACAACCTGGCAGAAGGGGTCGCGATGAGTGAGATTCTCTGCAAAAATGGTCCGGAACATGGCATGGTGAGAGACAACTTGCTCCCAGGCATTCACCAATCTGTCAAGGTTGGGCACACTCGATCCACAGCCTCTGATCTCAAAAGTGTCATGAACAGCGTAGTAGGAGCTGTCCCGAGTTTGCCCGAGCAAGATACCCTGCTGCAAACGAGAGCAAGGGTAGATGTCCTCGACGAGATCTAGAGAGTTAATGCCCATGGCCGGAAGTTTTTCAGAAACCAGCTTCTCGAGACTATCATAAGTCAACGACAGCATTGGGAAGGAACTCAAAGTCACACGGGGCGACAGGGACTGCAAGTGCTCGGAAAGAGACACAAGCAATTGTTGGCAGGTAGAAACCCAGCGATGAATTTGGTTCTGGTGCTGCATAAATCGATTGAAAGAGAAGGTAAATCGGAGTCGCCCAGCTACTACCATGGCAGAGATCTCAAAGAGACCGAATCGTGGAGTGTCACGACCAAAGTCTGCGGAGCCTCCTCCTTGCCCTGTCTCACCTGCCATCTGGTCGACAAGTTGGAAAAGACCGTCCTTCCGCTGCAGGTCACGGTGTTGGCCGACGTAGTTGAAGGACATTTCAAAGGGATGCGGGTGGCGGGCTTCCTCTTTTCCGTCACTAGGCAGGACTCTACTGGCAAAATCGGCACGACCGTTGTCCGAAACACGACGCCGGAGGTCCTTGACTTGGATGAGTGTTTCGACGGGGCTGTTGGGTTTGAAGTCGGAGACGAAGATGGGGTGAAGGATGGTGAACCAGCCGACAGTGTGCGAGATATCGATTGACGAGTCCCAAACTTCTCTGCCGTGCCCCTCGTTGTAGATCACAGGCAGAGCGCGGTCGGTAAAAGACTGGCCAAAGGAGTGAAGCATCGCCGCCAGAAACAAATCGATGGGCTCGGTCTCGAGGGCTTTATGGCACTCCAGCAGGATGGAAGTGGTGTGGACTTCGTCGATTTCGAAAGATGCGCAATCCACATCACCGTACGTGGTTTGGTGTTTCTCCAATCCCCAGTAGGCGAAATCTGCAGCAGGAAGCGAATCAGTCGCTACCTTCTTTTCGGTGATCATGGCTTTGCTGTGTTCGACTTGCAAACGACACCATGTCTGGAAAGGCAAAGACCCATCTTTACTGGGAGACTTGTTGGGATTGAGCACCAGATCTTCCAGGTCTTCAAGGATAATTCTCCATGAGACGATATCGACAACCAAATGGTGGGCGGTCATCGACAACACCCAATCCCGGTCTTGGAGATTAAAGTAGTCGACCGCAAGCAAAGGTCCAGAGAAGCAGTTAATGCACGATTGGCTGTCCGCAACCAAGGGTTTGACATCATCCATGCTGGAGACAATGTGAGTACGCCATCGATATGAATTTTTGATGTCGCTGGTGATTCTTTGCTTCGAGGCAGTTGCAAATCCGGAATCGTCAAAGCGAGCGCGCAGCATAGAATGACGTGAGACAAGGGTTTCGACGGCTTGGCGAAGATTCCACTCATCGATTGCCCTGCTCAAACGCGTGAGGATGCCCTGATTGAAATGTCCCTGTCCTTCTTTGCGAACACCAAAGTGAAGTATTTGGATTGGCGACAGGTCGAACGGTTCGTCCACAGATTCATGGTAAGTAGTAGCATGGTTGACGGCTTTAGCGCGAGAGGCGAGGTCTCGAATCGACTTGCTGCGGAGGACTTCTTGCACAGAAAGCCCGACTCCACGCTTTTTGCACAAGCCGACACATGTCATCGCGGCGATGGAGTCACCACCAAGCCCAAGGAAGCTCTCGTCCAAGCTGAGCTGCTGTTGCGGGATGTTGAGAACGCGACTGTAGACGGCGGCTAACACCTCTTCTGTCTCGCTCGTAGGTTTTGATGTCACTTGCTGCCGGATGGTGACTGCTTGGTGGTTCTGCACATCCGGGTCCTCCTCCATATCAGCGACCCAGTTCGCGATTCCTTTGCGATCCAATTTACCGGAGGGGAGCAAAGGCAAAGCTTGGACGCACAGCCAGACCGCAGGGACCATATAAGTAGGAAGTCGCGCTGACAATCGCTCTCGAAGACCGGGGACCAGCCTAGCCTTTTTCAAGGACGAGACAAGTCGCAGAGGTTCCAGGTCCGACTCAGATTGATCGGCTAGAAGGCCAGCAGAGGAGACAACGGCTGCCAATCTCCCCTTGGAAAACCCAGACTTGGGGAAGAAGACGGAGCAATGGGTAACGTGGGGATCGGTGCTGAGCTGGTTCTCAATCTCGCCCAGTTCAATTCGTTGGCCGTGAACTTTGACCTGTGTATCTTTGCGGCCGATGTAGTTGAGCGAGCCCGTGTCGGAATTGTAGCGGACGAGATCGCCGGTCTTGTAGAAACGACGATTCGAGTCACCGCCAGCGTCAAATTTAGTCCAAGCTGGGTCGTAGATAAAAGATTCGTTCGTCTGTTGCGGGTTGTTGATGTAGCACCGAGCGAGGGTCGGTCCTTCGAGAAGCAGCTCACCAGGGCAGCCGATGGGGACCAGTTCGTCATGATCATCCGGGTTCACCAGCCAAGCCCGCACTCCAACTGGCAAACCAATATCTTTGCAATCGGTGTCTGGTGTGACATTTGAATTAAGCACGGACGCCACGGCGGCTTCCGTAGGACCATAGCCATTGACCAGTTTTATTTTGGACCACGTCGTCAGCTGGGACTGCGACATTGCCTCCCCGGCCAAAACAAGGCTCTTCAGCCCTGGAACACTGTCAATTTCCACAAAGCCAATGAACGAAGGCGTAAAGCATGCTTGGTTGACTCTCATATCGTTGATGGCCCCTACGATGTCGTTCAACCGGGCCTCTTCACTAGGGATACAGACGCATGCCCCGTGGATCAAGGGAGTGATCGACTCGGCCAAGCTCGCGTCAAAAGTGTGCGCAGCGAACTGTAACGAGCGCGTGTCACGATAAATTTGCAGTCCAGCAGCATGCACCATGGCACTGGACAGGAATGCACGGTGCTCCAACAGTGTGCCCTGCACTCGATCAGCATCCACTTTAATTAACTTCCTAGGGCAATTAAAAACGTACCTTGGGCTCGCCCGTGGATCCGGAAGTGAACAGCACATAGGCTGCATTCTGGCTGGTGACACCCGACGCATCATCCACATTGTCCGCAGGCGGGGACAGCCCATCCAGCGTCTCGGCGCACAAGGGAATCACCGTTTTGGCGACGGACTTGAGAAGCTGCGCACGAGGCTGCGAGCACAGAAGAATAGAGGCCTGCACGGCGCTGACCAGACGTTGCAGGCGGGAAGTCGGGTGTGTTGCGTCAAGCGGAACAAAGGCGCCGCCGGCCTTCATCACGCCAAGCATTGCGACGACGTTCCATTTCTGGGCGGTCAGCGATCTATACAAAAAGGTTAAACAAGCACACTTCACAAACTCACCGATTTATCAAAACACAACGCCACGCGGGTTTCGGGTCCTACCCCCTGCATGCGCAGATGGCAGGCAAGTTTCGAGGCGACATGATCCAGCTCGCGGTAGCTCAGGCTTCCGTCCCAGGCGCAAACAGCCTCTCTCTCAGGGCCGGCGAGCGCCTGTTCGTGGATCACGTCGTGGATGCACCGGTCGTGCAGCGTAAGAGTGGTAGAGTTCCATTTGCAGATGCGCTGCCAGTCATTCTCCGAAAACAAATTAAGCTGGCTAATAGCGGTGTCCTCGGACGAAAGGACTTTGGCGAGCATCTGCTCGAAGATGTTGGCAACACTCTTCATGTGTTCCCCCGACATGTCTCCGTTACGCCACTCAAGGAAGATGCTAATGTCCCCACTCAACACCTTCACATGAAGACGGACTTGGCACTGCGTAGAGTTAGCACTCGCACAAAGAAAAGGACGTGTTTCGCAACCCACCTCGTCGGGCAGAGCGGTTGCCAGAATTGGGGGCGATGGAGGAGAGGTCTCCAACGCCTGATTGTATGTGCGCAGCATCAGGATGGTGTTGAAAGGAAGATATCCATCAGAGCTGCCCTCCAGTCTTTCAGATCCATTGAGCTGCATGTCGAATCCATCCTGCCTGCGCACTTTATCTACAATGGCGGTGATGGAGTCGTTCTCGTCAACTGCTAGCCGAACCACCGACAAGCTGGCGCCGCTCGACTGCTGTACAGGGTTTTGGGAGCGAGCGTCGCCTTCGATGTGCTGGTAGCCGAAGCAGATATCCTCGGAGCGGATATAGTAGTGTAAGACCAGGGCCCAAGTGGCTCGCAACAGCGAGCTCAGACGGCCCTCGTGCGATGCGATTAATAATTGCGCATGCTGAGAAGGCGTCGGTCTCGTCTTCATCGAGACCGGGCGTTTAGGCCCGGCAGACGCGGAGGCGAATCGAGGGAGATAGCACTGAGAGGATTGAGCCATGGTGTCTAAGGGGTGCGTCTTTACCTGCGGTACTCGATGAAGAGAGGGCCTCTATTAGGGATGGGAGGGTGAAAAGAAGAAAAAAAGAGGTTAATCTTCAATACAGGAGCACCCGCGGAACCGGATGTCTAGGTTATTTTAAAAGAAGGGCGTTTTTTCAAATAATTATTTTTTAGCCACAGTAGTTACGCCATCGGCCATCAGGGCTACATTACAGACTGCATGGCCATGCTCCAGCTCGTTCACGAACCGCCGCTCCGTACGGAGTACACAGTAATACGATTTGACCGTGCGGCCAAGTCCCCGATAGGAGGGAGTCAGTTACTGGCGAAATTCAGGATACTCCATGTATCTTCCTTGCATGGGTTCAGATCTCGATTAGGAAGGGTTGGAGCGCAGAGTACGCTGGGTGGATCAGGCCCTCTAGCCCCTGTGGAGCCAAGTCAGGTAGGCAAAATAGCCCTAGATGAGAGCCCCAGCCCCCCCCCCCCTATGCAAACCACTGCCCAAGGAACGAACAAGGAAAAAAAAAAAGTATAAAAAAGCAAGTATGCAGGGGCATGGTCTTGATCTGTCGAGAACTACGCTCGGCTTCTTTTCTTTCCAAGCGAGATCGGATTCGTCTGCAATTTCCCGATCCAGAGCCATGGGATGCTGTCTCGAACGTGGTTCAGGCAAGGTGGATGCCAGTCTGTCAACATGGTGCGCGTTCGCCACTGGGTGCATCCTGGGATGCGCAGCTTGCACGCGAAATTGACTTCGCCATTCGCCAGGTGCGGCCGTGCTGATGCTGATGCTGGTGGCAGTTGGAGAGCAGGTGCATTAAGCAGGATGGGGATGGAGGAGCAGGGGGTGCACCATGTTCGAGAATCTCACGAGATCTGAGGTTTTTTTCGGTTTGTTACACCGAGTGAAACTGAGTCTGCACACATGGCTCTCCATCTCCACCTGTGGTTCGAGGCGGTTGCAGTGAGTGGCTGCGGATTGCACAGGATGCAGGGCCCTGGAGCAGCAGCAAGGTTGCCAACCGAGGATGATTTACCGCACCGATGAGGAACTAACAGTATGGGCAAGTCGGCTGCGAGGGTGATGCAATGAGGATCTCCCTGGTGATCCCGTTCAGACTGTTCAGACTGTTTATGATTACATTTGTCTCGGATATCCTAGATTATTGCGCTGTTGTCTGAGAGACGGTGCTGCACTCTGCGCTCTGTCTGACTAGTTTGTGGAGAATAATTACAAATTCCGCTGGTTCATTCACCCCTTTCTGACAGTCGAAGAGTCCACAGATCGGTTCCATCAACGGCCGAGAAAATAGCATCGGAATAAAACCTGCCTAAGCCAAGCCATTATTGAGCGGAATGGAGAATTTGACGGTGAAAGTGGATGCGACTGACGCCTCCAGCCAATAGTTCTGAGAACGTCGCACAAACAGTAGGCTTGGGAGTGCGCTCCAACTGGATGGCTCACGCAGATCCAATGCTGCAAGGGCGTCGAGGGATGAGCGCGGGTCGATCCGACCTGTCGTTCTTGGAAGAATCGATTCCCAGGACTCTGTGCTTGCTTACTCTCAGCCGTGAAGTAAAAGAAATTTAATAATAGGGATAATAATATGAAAATTGTTGGCAGCCTCGAGTCTAAGATACAATGTTGTTATTCCCGATTCGGGGCAAATCTGACTACTGCACCTGAAAGTGGACCGACTGGCTTACTGTCGCATCCAGCCAACATTCCACGCGCCAAAAACATGGTTCGCAACGAAGAATGCTGTGCTGTGCGCCGCAGTCCATGTGGTCGCCTTTTTTCCCCTTCTTTTCTTTTTGCTTACTCGCTTTCGCCGCGCGTTGATTACGAAATCTTGAATTTGACGTTCTGGAACGTCGATGAAGTCATGGCAATGTGACAATTGCGATTTTAGCCTCAGCGCGATCTCGGGCTAGGCCCAATCTTGGGCCGGAAGATCGTACCGGCTGATTTTCAGCCATATGGCGGGTCTCCCGGGCTTGTCGAGAGCCGGGGCCACATCTACTGTTTGGCGGCAAGGACTGCGGCGCCATCTGATCGGAAGAGTGGCCCCGAGAATAGCGGTGGATCATTTACTAAGGGAAACTTTTTTAGGCGAGGAACTAAAGTTCTCACGGCCACTCGGGTGGCTCGTCAGGGAGCCACAAAAGGGGTGGATCATGAAGCGACTGCGCCGGTTGGCGGCCGTGCCGTCGTTAGCGGCCGCCAGCGAAGAGCAAAAATAAACTGACAAGCCATTGTTCATGTTAGGGTCCACACGGCGTCCGCTTTGACAGGTCACTTCCGGCTCGCGTCGATCTTCATACTGGACATCATACTCTGTCTATGTGCTATTTTCTTATCCCCAATCTCCTGGAGAATAATGCATCCCCGGTTGACTTGGGGCAAATTATGTAAATGTTGGAAAACCCGAGTCTCCTAAGGTGAATGTGAGAAACGCGCGATCAACCACCCTTGGCCGCAAACCTAACAATCCTTGTCGATATGCAGGCGCCACTTTGGCCAGGGCTATTCGTCAGGCGTAGGTACAGAGCTCGATCATGCATATTGACTCTCCACGGTCTCTCCCAGGCCTGGAACATGCGGCATTACATCCTGCCAGTCTCAATTGGAATAAATCAGGTTGAATTTCTCTCCGACGGTGTCATCCGAAGCAATCTTCCTCCGTGGCCGGCTCCTAACAATTGGTTCACATGATCGGATCGTTTTACCAACCACCAAATGTTATCATCGATCGTATGCCGCCAGATCCGTGTTTGACAAAAGTTAGTAATTATTGACAGGCGACGGTGCCAATAGTAAGTAGCAAAGAACGTCAACCGAGGAGAAGCGAAATACGAAATAGTCTGCCATGCGACTCCCGCGGAAAAAGTGCAAGTCAGGCGTGTTCCAGTTCTGCAAAGCTGGAGCTGCACAGGCGTTCCCAGGAAAGAGGAGACGCCCGGCACATTTCGCATCGTGGAACTCAGTCGTACAAGGAAGGCCCGTGGAATCGGGCAGCAGTGTGTCTGACTTCAGCTTGGAAGCCATGCAGTCAAGTAAAGTTCAGGGCTGGGAACATAAGTGTCTCAAACCCGACGTCAGCGAGCTTCTTTCATCAGAGCTCAAGGATCATCCACCATACAGATGGGGTGTACGCCCTCGCAGCGACGAAGGTTTTTATTACCCTAGGAAAGCGTGGCCGGAGCCGGAAGGGAGAAGGGCTGCTGCAAGGTGACACGATTCTCCCTCGTGCTGGTCGGACATTGGATCCGCCGGATCTGCCGAGGGTTTTTGCCCTAGAGGGGTCCAGATGTACCTCGATCTACACTATTGACGCACCTCATGTCCGATCTCCCCCCACATCCCCAAGGGGGAAAAGAAAAAATAGGGGGAGAAAAAATAAAGGCATAAACCAAAGAGAGAAAAAGTGGAGCCATAACAAGAACAACACACCGCAGCAGGAGAGTTTTGCGTCGGGCATTGCGACCAAAACATCCGGCCATGCTTGTCCGGGATCCCGTTCTCGTCGCATGTTTAGCATCAGCATTGTAAGACTGTAGCATCGGGAACTGTATTCTGTCCACTTAGTTGCAGGGAACCAGTGACAGGCAGGTAGGAGCTCAGGATGTGCATCTCCTGGATGCAGTGGCCAAGCTCCTGCACCGAGGGATACGTATGTACTAGTAGACAAGGTCACTTTAGGGGAATCTGATCTAGACCAAAGGCACTTCTGCCCCCTCCTAAGCCATGAAAACTTCTGCACCTACCCTCTGACACCTCGCAACATTCGTCGACCTCGTTCCTCTCTCTTGACTAACCATCACATTTCACGCCCAGATGGTTCTGAGAGAGTAAGTAATGGACTTTTTGAACGCGTTGTGGCCGTCGTGCCATGATCTGGACAATACTCTGCGTATTGATGCCGGATTTTGTCGCGGGGGCTTTGATTTCTCTTTGTTGTTTGAAGAAACCATCCTCGAGATTCTCCCCATCTCATTAATCCTAATTGTGGTCCCCTTCCGCTTGTGCCATCTGTTCCAGAAACGGCACAAAGTCGAGAGATCATTGTTGCTTCTTCTTAAACTGGTAAGTTGGCATATCGTACAACGTCCCAGTCCGAATATTTCCCGTCTAATGCTTGTTTTCTTCCGTGCGGCAGGCAGCCTGGCTGGGGTTGCTAGGTCTCCAGATTGCCCTGACAGTTCTGTGGTCCCTACCCGCCACCGACAGGACCAGGACATCCATTCCAGCCAGTGCCGTCTTGACTTTCGGAGCGTTGGCTCTTTGTTTGCTATCCCATGCAGAACACACGCGATCTGTCCGACCATCCTTTATTTTGAACACCTACCTATTCTGCAGCCTGCTTTTTGATAGTGCACACGCCAGGACCCTGTGGCTGCGCCGTGTGGATCAATTCGACCTGATTATTGCAATCTTGACAAGCGTCGCCGTGGGGGTCAAGTTACTTTTGCTTATTCTTGAAGCTGTTGAAAAGAGAGGCATTCTCAAGCCGGAGTATAAGGGATACCCTCCTGAGGCAACTGCAGGATTCTATAACCGAGCCTTTTTCTGGTGGTTGAATCCACTCTTCAAGAAAGGGTTCTCGAGTATACTTTCAGTGGAGGACTTGGATGTTCTGGACAAAGAATTGAGCTCTGAGAGGCTCCTGGCTAAATTTGAGGAAAGATGGAGCAATTGTAAGTGACGTAATTGTTTAATCCAAACATTGCTGACTCTTGGGCTGTCCAGTGAAAGCAAAAACTCCGAACTCGCTACAATTGGAGTGCTTCAAGGCTACCAAGGCTCCCCTGCTGGCGGCAGTTCCGGCCAGAGCATGCGTGGTTGCTTTCAACTTCTGCCAGCCCCTGCTGCTGACCAGATCGCTCAAGTTCTTCGAGGAGCCCGTCACTAGCTACACCAACAACATCGGTTATGGCTTGATTGGCGCCTACTTCCTGGTCTATGTTGGCTTGGCGGTAAGTCTTTAGATATGTCGTGGCTTGGTGTAAGGAACTAAACTAACAACCTTTCTTCGCAGCTCTCTATGGGCCAGTACCAGCACTTAACCTACCGGGCCATTACTATGGTACGCGGTATCATGGTGACAATGCTGTATAAGAAAGCAAGCAGTCTCAACATGACCGAGGCCGATCCGGAGAATTCTTTGACTCTGATGAGCGCCGATGTTGAGCGGATCACACAAGGTTGGCAAACGATGCATGAAATCTGGGCCAACTCGTGTGAGATTGGGTTGGCCATCTTCCTTCTGGAGCGTCAACTCGGTATTTCGTGCGCCGTGCCAGTGTGCGTAGCACTCGGTAAGTAGATCTTGACAATAACTAACTGTAATGAGAAGATTTTCTGATGAGTTTCATTACAGTTGCTTTAGTCGGTTCATTGATCGGGATGTCCTTTGTCGTCTCGCGGCAAGCCCAGTGGCTCGAGGCCATCGAGCGGCGGATATCATCCACCTCCGGCATGCTTGGATCAATCAAAGGCGTTAAGATGCTAGGTCTGCAAACGTCTTTTATGAAATTTATTCATGGCTTGCGAATCGACGAGTTGAACATCTCGAAGAAGTTCCGAACTCTACTAGTATACAACATGGCTTTCGGTAAGTCTGCTTACTCCAAGCAGTAAGGGGTCTATTTCTAACAGTGACAGCCTGGTTGACGCGCATCTTCGCCCCGATCTTCACATTTGGGGTTTATGTCGCCATATCACCCAACAGCTTGACCTACACCAAGGTGTATACCTCGCTGTCTTTGTTCTCCCTTCTTTCCGATCCTCTTTTAACCTTGGTCATGGCCCTGATGTCCTTTTTTGGGTCGATGGGTTCTTTTACTCGAATCCAACAATTCTTGGACAAGGAAGATCACTCTGATCACCGACGCAGTCCCTCTCAGACTTTGTTTCTGGATGATATGGGTGATACCAAATTAATTTCTCGGTCTGACGATTTGACAATGACTTCCAGCACCACCGAGTCTATGGAGTCGCTGAAGAAGCGTGGATCAGCAACGACCCTCACTAATGCGGTCATGGTCCAAAATGGAACATTTGGATGGGATGCAGATAAGGAACCGATTCTGAAAGACATCACGGTCACCGTTCCCCGAGGCAGCTTTACTATGCTTATCGGACCCTCTGGGTGTGGTAAGTCGACCTTGCTCAAGGCTCTTCTGGGTGAGACCCCTTGCTCAGAGGGCAAAATCGAATTGTCCTCAAAAAGCATCGCATTCTGCGATCAGACCCCGTGGCACATGAACGGCACCGTGAAAGATAGCATTGTGGCCATGTCACCTTTTGACGAAAGGTGGTATGCATCGGTGGTCCATGCTTGCGCTTTGGAAGAGGATCTCTCACAGCTTCCCCGTGGGGATAAGTCTGTGATTGGAAGCAAAGGCATTGCCCTCAGTGGAGGCCAGAGCCAACGTATTGTATGTGGTCCTTGAAGGCCACTTTGAATGTCTTGACTGACACGAATTTCTAGGCACTTGCCCGGGCCGTGTATGCTCGAAGAAAGATTATTCTTCTAGACGACGCATTGAGTGGCCTCGACGCCACCACCGAGAATCACCTCTTCCACAGCTTGTTCGGTCACTATGGACTGCTGAGGGAAATTGGCACATCTATCATCGTCGCTTCGTCATCTGGTGAGTATTTATCAAAACTTAGACTAGACTGAGAGCTAATCTATCTCCAGTCAAACGTCTTCCTTTCTCTGACCACATCGTGGTCCTCGACAAGGCAGGCCGCATTATTGAACAAGGAAGCTACAGCGCACTGAACAAGACCGGTGGGTATGTGTCGAGCTTTGGGCTTGGTGTAGCCGACTGGGAATACAAGAACAGGTTTTCAGACGCTCCCAGTCACGCCAGCATTGACTCTGTTCAAAGGGTGAAAGAGGCAATGGCGAAGAGGCCCCCGAAGGAAGTCCGGAACACCGGCGGTGACATTTCGATCTACATTTACTACATCAACGCCATCGGGTGGTTCCCTGCCATTGTTTTCATGGTGGCTATGGCCGTATTTGTGTTCTGCATCTCGTTTCCCAGCATCTGGTTGAAATGGTGGTCAAGGTCCGATACTTGGGAACCAAAGCAGCATATCGGTTACTACTTGGGAATCTACGTGATGCTTGGCTGTGTGGCCATGCTGGCTCTCATTGCTGGCTGCTGGGAGATGGTCATCCATATGGTCCCCAAGTCCGGTGAGAACTTCCACCGCAAGCTGCTGAACACCGTCCTCCGCGCCCCGATGGTGTTCTTCTCGATGACCGACACCGGTGCAATCCTCAATCGGTTCAGTCAGGACTTGCAGCTCATCGATATGGAGCTCCCCATTGCGGCTATCAACACTGTGGCAACATTCTTCCTTTGCCTTGCGCAGATGGCCCTGATTGGAGTCTCCTCGAAATACGCGGCCATATCTTTCCCCATCGTGCTTGGTATCCTGTTCTTTGTCCAAAAACTGTACCTGCGCACGTCGCGACAGCTTCGTCTACTGGATCTCGAGGCCAAGGCACCTCTCTACTCCCATTTCACCGATTGTCTCCAGGGCCTTGTTACACTGCGGGCCTTCGGCTGGCAATATGCCATGGAACGGAAAAACATTGAGTTACTGGACTACTCGCAACGGCCATTCTACTTCATGTTTGCCATCCAGCGATGGCTCACTCTGTCGCTGGACTTGGTCGTGGCCGGAATTGCCGTTCTTTTGATTGTGTTGGTTGTAACCCTACGTGGGTCGTTGAGCATGGGTTACGTTGGTGTTGCCCTCCTGAACGTTATCATGTTCAGTCAGAGTATCAAGCTCCTGGTGACCTTCTGGACAAATCTGGAGACGCATATTGGCTCCATCCAGCGCATCAAGCACTTCACGACCAATGTCAAGCCCGAGGACCAGCCTGGTGAAGACGGCGATGTGCCACCCAACTGGCCGTCGACTGGCGCAGTGACCTTTGATTCGGTTTCTGCAGCGTACAGGTATGTTTTCTATTTTCCCCTGAACAGACTCAATCGCTAACAACATCAACAATCTAGACCGGAGGAGCCAGTGCTTAATGATGTCTCGCTCACCATCAATCCGGGCGAGAAGATTGGCATTTGTGGACGAACGGGGAGGTAAGCGATCTACGGAAAAGACTACAGAAAATACAATATCTAACCCGGGTTTGACAGCGGCAAAACGTCGATGATCATGAGCATCTTCCGGATGATCGAGCTGACCAGCGGCACAATCACCGTGGACGGCGTGGATCTGACTCGGGTTCCCCGACAGGAGATCCGATCTCACATCAACGGAGTCTCACAAGACTCGCTCCTGATCCAGGGCAGCGTACGCCGAAATGCCGACCCAGCCGGGACACAGTCGGACCAAGACATCCTAGGCGCGCTCCGGAGCGTGCATCTGCTCCCTGCGATCCTTGAAAAGGGGGACCTGGACACAGACATCGACGAGCTGCACCTCTCGCACGGCCAGAGACAGCTTTTCTGCCTGGCGCGCGCACTCCTTCGCCCGGGCAATATCGTCATCCTCGACGAAGCGACCAGCAAGTGAGTCTTTTTCCCCCCTTCTCCTTTTCGTCATCCCATACGTTGTTTCTGGCACCCCCTGCATCATGCGGCTGGAAATGAAAATCCGCGCGTGCAGATCTGTCTCCCCTTCATCCCTTGCATCAGAGGACTAAATCCCGCGTTTTCCCTAAAACAGTGTCGACACCAAAACAGACGAAATCATGCAACGCGTCATCCGCGAGAAGTTCTGCACCCGCACCATCATCGCCGTTGCGCACAAGCTCGAAACAATCCTGGACTACGACCGGATCGTCGTGCTGGATGCGGGCAGCATCGTCGAGACGGGCGAGCCCTTCGCCCTGCTCTCCGATCCCAGATCGCACTTCAGCAGGCTCTATGCCAGCTCGGTAGTCTCCGAGGACACGGACTAATGAAATGATGTTTTGTCGTTCGTTGCCTGCACAGATTGATCGAAATGAAATTGGCGAGGTTATTGTGCCTGTTTGTTTTCATTTTTGCGATTCGTTCCTGAATGGTACATATCAGCATCAACATACACTGTTGGTTGTTCGGCGTTGTTGTCATTTTGGTTTCTACTTCTGAGACTCGCTCTCCTTGAGTCTCTTGCTTTCTGTGCGAGTTCTGTTTTTGCTCTTGGTTGAGTAATGACTGGCCATTAAGTTAGTGCGGCCCGTTTTGCGATCAATTGTCTATAATCGAGTCCCACAGCGGCTGGCATTCGCATACCCACTCAACTGCTCCTTTTTTTATATAATGGTAATCAAGAGCGCGGCTTGACTATCAATCAATGATCATTTTCACTATGCTTTTTCCAGGTATGCATTTGTAATGGTTAGTAGAGGGACGTGTTGGTGCTGTTAGATATATATTTTGCGAGACGATCTCTATCTTCGTGAAGGATTTCAATCTTAAATACTAGTATTTGTTTCTTTATTATTGCTTTTTGAATAAGAAACATTTACAGAGCGACTCAACTGATCCCAGAACTATAATTCCAGCCAATCCTCGGGGTCCGGTCTGAAAGCCTCCATCCTTTCTACCACTATATCTATCCACGTAACCCAATAAAGTAATGAAGAAATTCCGAATGATCCAAATCCTATTCTGCACCAGATTCATACAAAATCCCAGAGCTAGCTAGCTGTCAAGATAAAAAGAAAGCTAAACGAGGCATCGATGCAAATCCCGTCTCCGGTATCAACTTCCATCATGGAAAAAAAGTAGTGGATGAGCCGACGCCTCTTAGAGCACGCAATACGTAGGATACAAATTTTCTGCCCTCCTTTCAACTACGAAAGAACCATCGTTTCATCATGATCGACCTCAACATCATCGCCGAGAAGCCCAAACTCCCAATCACCGCGTTCGATGCGACTCACACGGTCCAGTTCGGACTGGTATTCGCGACGTAGGTGATCGAGTGTGACGATGACGCGCCGCTGGGGCGGTTCATTCGAAGAAGGGATCTTGAAAGTCACGCCGCCACGTCCTCCTGTCCTGCTGCCGCCGCCTGCTGAGGATCTGCTGTCTCTGCGGCCGCCGTTGGGGAAGGATGCAGCGCTCGAAGATCGGCGTCTAGCCGCCGACGGCGATGGGGAGCGCATGTCGACGTCGTCCATGAAGACGTTCCCATCGTCGTCTGCTTGCATGCTACGACGCCGTTCGGGGGATGTGGCTGCACTAGAGGTCGTAGCTGGCAAGGAGGAAGCAGAGGGCCCGGTCTCGACGAGGATGTAGGCTTCGCTCTTGTCGACGCTCGCCAAGAGATTGATGAGCGAAAGAAGCTCGTGGCGGATCTCCTTGCTTTCCGCATCGTCCTCTTCGACGGGCGGGCGGGTGGACTCGTCGATTTCTTTTTTGCCCTTGCGAGCGACGGCTGAGGATGGAGTGTCGCGGCTTTTGCGGAGACGCTGGACGTTGCGGTAGGCGATTTCAGCGGCGCCACGGTAGTCGCTACGAGCGATGCGATAAGCCTGCAGGATGCGATGGTAGTCCGGCGCACTGTCGGCCCAGTTATTGTCGGTATCCAGCCAGGACACGAAGGAGGTCTGTTTGCGAGTGAGGGAGACGAGGATCTCGTCAACATGAGAGGCGATATTGGGCACGAGCGAGGTAGGGAAGCGGAGGATTTGCTTAATCCCGACAGATCCGGGACCGGAGACAGCCAGGATATTGCTGATGAGCGAGCCGAGCGCAGACTTCTGCAGTGCAAGGTCTTGGTATCGGGCCAGGGCGGAATAGGCTTGATCAAATTGACAAGTCTTCAAAGATGCGTGGAATAGACGCGAAAGCAGGTCCGTTCGCATGCTTGTGTATTCCGGGTCTTGCTCTGACCACGACTCGGAGTCGAGCGCTTGCAGGGCCAGGCTGGCAAAATCCGCAACATGGGAGAAAGAGCGCACTTGTTCAAATATTGACAGGATGTGCTGATAGTATTTCGGTATTCCGTTGTGGAAACAATCCACAGAAACTAGGTCGAGGAGTGTTGACGACATCTCATGGAGGTTACCAAGTGGTTTTCCGCAGGCTGTAAGAGGGTTAGTGATTTACTCCACAGGATAAAGGGATGGAAGAGATACATAGAAGATATGCTGCCTTTCGAAAGTAGATGGCGGCAGTATCGAATTCCGACACAGCCACGTGTAAGCGGCCCTTGACATAGGTCGCCCAGGAAGTGCTTGCTTGGAAGCGGAGAAAATCCCAGGCAAGGTCAATGTCATTTCTCGCGATCAGGTCACACTGAATGTAGGCCAACGCGTTGGGGTAGGTCACCTCGCCTTGTCGAGTAACCCAAGATAGGACATCCCGGATCCCCAAAGTCAAGGCATAGCTTTGCGGGATTCCAAAAAGTTGACGTGGCTTAATGTCCGCGACAAAAAGATCTTCCAGAATAGTCGCCGTCCGTTGGTTTTTGGTCTTTGTCCCGGTGTCCTTCAACGAGAAAATAGGCGCGGAAGCGTCCGTTGTGATGTGATCTGGGCATTTCCGGACTTTCGAGCTTAGCCAAGACATCATCTCATATTCACGGAGCAGGCCAATGAGTGTAGAAAATAGACCGGCTGCATCGAAAGTAGAATCGTCCCCTTGTTCCATCTCTCCATCTACAAAGGTGACCAAGATCAGCAAGTCGAAAAGAACTTGACGAGTTTGAAGAATCGTTTCTTGAGCACCACTGACAGCCATGCGGGCACCGAAATAAGTCGAGATAAGCTCCGAGTCTTTGCCGTGAAATCCGAGCGGAAGCGTATCAATGACGGCGTCAAAGACATCGCCGGGCAAGTTGTATGCATCCTCCAGGTACTCGTTCAAATCACTGACTAAACTGTCAAAGGTCTTGTTGGAGATCTGGTCGGAAAACTCGCTACGCTCTCGGAACAAATCCATACGATCTGTGATTGATGACGACGGTTCTGAAAAGATCTCGGCATCGAGAGCAGCCCGGCACGCAGCGTCAAGCTCGGTTGAAAACTTCTTGTGGAAATCGGATGCGACTCTCATCAATGATGAAGCTTCTTCATAGAGGGTTCCAAGCTCAGACGAAAGATTGCGATGTCTCCAACGATCCATGACCTTCGGTGCTTCTTCGCGTATATCCGCTCCTTCATTGTGAAGAAGCAATTCGGCGGTGCTGCATTCCCGAATAACTGCACAGGCATCTGAGAGGAGCATCCACGGCATCTCGAAATAAGAGTCATAAGCTAGGGAAACCGGCTCGAATCTCCGCTTGTTGAGATCGTCGGCAACCTGCCAGAACTGGCGCCACTTGGAATCCGTATCGACTCGGTATCGGGTGTAATCCATCTCATCTTCCGCGTATTTACGCAGAGAGACTGTGGCTGCCACCGTAGAGCAGAGCCGTTCTGGCAATGGCCCGCTCTTCTTCAGAACTCCCGACGAGGACGATAAGGGTTTGAGAGCCTCTTGATAAACGGCCAGAGCGGTTTCAAGCACTTCAGGCGAGTATCTGTTCGGTTTGAGAATGTACTCCAGCCACTTTTCGGTGGGATCGACGACATCATCGAGGGCAGGCGCAGGCAGGTGTTCTTGTCGATGGGTCTCAAAAGTTGTTGACACCCAATTCGTAGACCAGTCTGCCACCAAGGTCTGAAGATCGAAGTGGAGAGTGTACAGTTGGTAGAGGCCGTGGTTTCTCCAAAGCACCCATAACTCCATGCCCTTCCCTTCTTCCATGGGTTTTACCTGGAAATCGGCAACGCTCCAGAACATATTCCCGGTATCATCTGGATCGACAGGCCGGAAAACAGCGTCGGCAAACAATTCTTCAATGACCAGGTCAGATGTCAAGCCTCCCTTGGCCGCCCAGAACTTGAAGCGTCCGTCCTCGAATGGTGAATATGTGACGATGTAAAAGCGATCATTCCCGTCCATTGCTCTCTCTGCATTAAACACGCGAATGAATGACGAGTCGGCGGGATTCAAGGTGTACAGAACCGTTTCCGGGTCCTGGATTGGGCGGCCGAGGAGATCCTTCGTTGCGGCCAGTTTGTTCGTTGCGAGATTCCATATCTTCAGGGTGTGGTTTAGGCAAACGGCGAAGACATAGGTCTCGTCTGATGTCGTAGCAATAGCGTTTGCGACGTTCGGGTCCAGGCTGCGTCCGTTGTGTTTGATCGAGGCCTGTGAGTTCCACTTGACGAGGCCACGGATCGATGCACCCCAGGTCCTCTCGTCGAAGGTGAGAGGAGACCAATGAGAACCTGTTGGTTAAAAGAGTAAAATCAGTATGAAATGCCATCTTTGTTGGGTAAAAGGCACGTACCGTCATCACCAGCCCTCCTGGTGAGGCGAAGCAGCGCACCATTCTCAAGTGAAATGAACAGTTCTAACGGGCTGCTCGCGTGGAGCCGATGAGGATACGAGAAGGCCAAAGGCGCAGGAACACATGTCTTGCACCACTCAGTCACATTCTCATCAATTGCACCCGCGCGACGGAAAAATTCGGGGCGGAGCGACAAGGTGTGCAGCTGCTTGGAAGCCGTGATCACGAAAACGTGGAGAATCTCATGGTCTTCCAGGTCTGCGAGCGCGACTCCTGACGGAATGATCGGCTCCTGAAAGTCCAGCCGCAGCGTGACGTTGTACTCGCTGTGTTCCGTCGCAGATTTGGTCAGGTCCGCGCACAGGATCTCCAACACCCTGTTGTCATTGATGACCCGCCACAGGAACGTCCTCGGGTAGATCTTGCGCTTGCGAAAGTAGACATCGCCCTGGGTCGCGAGGTAGCGGCGAGCAAATTCGTCTTCGTCCTTGGCGACGGGAGGTTCGTGGTCGGGGGTGGATGAGATCGAGAACCGCGGGCGACGGGGTGCGCTGTCCGTCGGGATCTGGATGTGGACGGCGGTGGACGGTGCGTACGGTCGAAGATCGACGCGCGTGTCCTTGTAGATTTTGGCCATGGTCGCAGAGGGCAGGGCTCAGCAGTCCATGGCTTCTGTGATTGTTTTTGTTGTTGTTGGGGGAAGAGGGAAGTTGGAAGGGCGGGAGCTGAAATGATCCAGTGAAGAAGCTCTTGCAAAACAAAGTCTTGGCGCGCTTGCCTTCCGCCTTCCGCAGACTTCGTAGTATGTACGCTATCGAATAATTATGTGGTTGTTTCTTGCACCTAACTACCATAGTTATACTCCTAACAAAATGTCTGAATAATACACATAATCATGCGGGCAGCAAACTCATCAAGTCACTAACATCGTAATCAGAGGTGGTAGTTAACCCGACCTAATCTTTCTCCAAGTCCTTGGGGCTGGGGTCCCCAATGCCGTCCTCGTTGATGGCAAACAAACAGTCACTCTCGGGAAGACATGGGCTATCATAGATCTTGCAGACTCGCGTCTCACCTCGACCCTTTTTCAGGCTGAGCCGGGTCGTGCTCGCGTGAGCAATGATATTGCCGCCAATGGGCTTCTTCGGGTCCGGGTTGTACATGGCACTCGGCCCGCCATCGACCTGGGCGACGACCTGGTTCGTGATCACGACGGCAATGCCGAATTCGTCAGCGAGGCGTTGCAGCGTGCGTAGGAACTTGGCCAGATGGGTCTGGCGCGAGTTGAGCTCGCCACGGCCATTGAAGTCGGTGCGGTACAGCGAGGTCGCTGAGTCGACGATCAGGAGCGAGAAGCGCGTCTCGCACATCATCTGCGACGCCTGGTTCAGCAGTTGCAGCTGGTGGTCGGAATTGTACGCGCGCGCATAGGCCACATTGTCCAGAACCTCCTCGCCGACAAGTCCGAACCGCTGCGCGACGGCGAGCAGTCGCACCGGTCGGAAGGTTCCTTCGGTGTCAATGTAGAGACATTTGCCCTCGCCGCCCCCCATGTCGAAGGGCAACTGACACGTCACCGCGAGCGTATGACAGATCTGACTCTTGCCGGTTCTGAATTCACCGAAGAGCTCTGTGATTGAGCCCGTCTCGATGCCTCCTCCAAGGAGCGTGTCTAGTTGCTTGGAACCCGTTGTGATGGAGATGAGCTCGCTTCGTCGGGCGTGCATTTCCGTGGCCGTCGTGAAGCCCATAGGGACCAGTTTCGCCGCTGTGCGGGTCAGCGTCAGGTCGTCTTCATTGCTGCCAGGTAAACTCACCCTCCACCAAGACCTTGGTTGCCTTTTGCTCTGATATCCCCTTGATCTGCTCCAACACGCGTTTTGGTCTGGTTCAGCCGGGGCTTGTCAGTCAATCCCAATCTTGTAGGCGTGGGACAAACCATTAATCTCAGAATACGTACGTGTATGCAACCGCCTCAACCGTCCGAAACCCTTCATCCACAAACAGCTTGATATCCCGTGCGGTCAATCCCGCAAGGCCCTGTTTACAGATGAGTATGTAGACAGTAGACCGGCGAAGCTCACTCACCTCGAGCGCAGAGAGGGGCATGGGCGCACCAGGGCCCGTCATGCTCTCATCGTACTCGGGTTGGGGTTCCTCAGCGGTCATGGTGGTTGGATCTGGGTTGTCGCAGTGATGGTTGTCCGTCAACAAGACACGCGTCGTGGCTCGTCGAGCCTGTCGCGAGGTCACGTGCCGGTCTCTTCAGGCAGCCGCGGCCATAAATAATTAGCTAACCGCTACCCTACTATGTAGTTGTATTACTTTTCCGATGTCTTGCTCGTCGAAACTGCCAGTCACCGGAGACTAGGTTCGGGAACCAAGCATTCACTATGTCATCATGTATGAGCCCGTCGACAACTCCGTCTGTCATGAATGGCTAACTATGAAATAACGAAATAATACCCTCTTCCAAGTACATTACTCGATTCCACACCGTTTACACATTGTTTTCTTCAAGGACACTGTTCTATGGCACCTCGAATCATTGGGATGCCCAGCAGTGTTACTACGACGGGTGCCAATCCCTTACCTTCTATGGGAGAATGACAATCCCATCCACGTATCATTTGGGATTGCAAATTCGTACGAAAGTGACCAGTTGCTCGAAAAAAAGTCAATAGAAAAGTAGTTGGACATCAAATCTTAAGCACATGATCGCTTCTTTTTCAAATCACGGATTTGAAGTCATTTTCCTTCCAGTCAACCTTTTGCAGCTGCTTGCTTTGTTAGCACCCAGTGATAAGGATGAGTCGAGGTAACCCAGCTGTCTGATAAAACCAAACATTTTTCCATTGTTCAAGTACCATCCGATGTGGTGTAGTGGTAACATCACCGTCTCTCACACGGTAGCCCGGGGTTCAATTCCCCGCATCGGAAACTGTTCGATTATTTTTTTTCTTCTTTTTAAGATCGGGTGGAATCTCTTCGAAGACACCATCAGAAAATTGATAAATAATTCATGGGTGTCAGACACTCACTCGGTCAGTCATTCGATTACGTTCTTTCCTCTGCCTCCATTACCACATCGTATCTATAGTCGTGGGTACATTATTGGTACGAATGACCTTACTAGCAATGATCCCTGAGAAGATTTACCTTCCACATCAAAATGGTATCTAGTCAGCGGCTCCCGTGGCTAGAGAGAGTTGGAGTTAGGAATGGCATAACAGTGTCATATTTGAAGGGCCTGATAGAATTGAACCGGGGTAACACATACAGTCTTTCTACCGTCCTCTTGCTAAAACATAGTTTGCTATGAGAGGCAGCCCTCTCATTTACCCCCACTTTCTACAATTGACATCTTGAATCAGTCGAGAGAACAGTGGCATTGTGCGGTGCGTCTAAAAGTCATCCATCCATCCTCGGCAGCGACCAACCCGCCACCCAATCGGGCCTCACGATCGAAATGGCCCAAGAATCGACTTTCGCATGCTCCGTCTGTTGTCTTGCGACATCATCGGGTCGTGAATTGGCAGCGGCCCCGGCGTGTTCATGTGGATGTTCTCGTTGAAGATCTGGCTCATCTTACGCCTGAACTCCTCGGACGATCGTCGACGAAGGCCTGCGATATGAGATCAGTATCCAATTTGCGGGCACAAGAGACATCTGCGACATACGCTTCATCCGGGAACTTTGGCTGTGGTGAGTGGGAAGGTGTGCATCAGCGCCGACCGCAGCTAAGCTCAGGTCAGACTCGTTCGGGATACCGAGAATATTCTCCTTGGTCGTTGGAACGATGGGAATGCGGCTTTGTCCGAATATGCGCGCATGGAAGCTGGCACGCTTCTCGCGGCCTCTCAAGATGCCGTGCTGTGGCTGAGGGGCATTGTCCATGAATGGCTGATTGCCGTAAATGTCGCCGGGGGTATGGTCCACGCCTCGCAATTGAGGCTGGCTACTGTAATTGGGCGGGAGTTCCAGCTCAGAACTGATGCGGCTGGTCGAGATGGACGGCGGCCCGGGCAATGGAGACCCCATCGGGCTGTTGGTCGGTTTCTCAGGCGCTAGACTCACGGGTCCGTGGGTGGATGGCTTCAGTGCCGGGCTCGATGGCAGGCTTACAACGGGCGTTCCCGGCAAGTATGGGCTCGGGACAGGGGTATTGAGGTTCGAAATCCAGATCCCCTCGGTGTGCATGCCACTCTCCAGTGCTCTGGCCCCGAACGGGATTTCGTCTTTGTGGAGCATGGGGAGCAGCAGTACGTTCTCCTTTGCAGTGGCCTCAGCTGCAGCGTGTCGGCGTAAATTCCATCGGTTGTAAGCCAGGACACAGAATCCAGCGAAGAGCGTGATGATCTGTTGCCTCTGTCAGTCTCTGAGGAGGCCATGGGCAGGGTTCTCGTACAATCAGGGTTCCCAACACCTGTTGAAGTAGACCGTCAGCACGGACTCTGTCAGATTATCGGCCGGTCTTACAAAGCTCAGCTTCTGCCACAGTGCCCAGCTCAGCCAGAAAGTCATGTTGACCTGCATGAATGAATCTAGGAGTGTAGTGAGGCCACAGGGCCTCCGTGGGAGTGTTCAACCACGGCAGGGCAATCGCAGTGGCAGAGGGTGTCAAGGATCAAATCTGGGGAGTGACGGTGTTGCAGTCTTTAAAAGACTGGGGGAGGATGGAAGAGAGACGAGGAAGGCAGGAGGAACAAGGGCCATGATTCTAGATGGCAGGCAGGTATCACTGGAGGTTCCTTCCTTCCTTCCTTTCTTTCTTTTTTTCTATACCTACACTAGGGAAGTATAACTCCCGGGTGGCACAACCATCGGCACAACTCGTACATTATTCTTCTCGGGGTCAACCCGATTGGCTCTTGGTTTTTGGTCCAGGAACTTGTTCGGCCGAGGGAAACCATGGATGACGTAGGTCATGTGCTGTCTCCTTCTCCACACTCTTTCATTCTCTCGCCCTTCTTCTTCTTCTCCTTCCACTAGAATCCCACCATGCCACCCTTTCGCAACTTACTCAATCGGAAATCCCAACCCGGGGAGACCGAGGTCAATGACAACCACCTCGCGCCAGACTCTCCCACCCAACAACGCCCCGCTCCCGTAAACATTCGCCGAAGCCACGAGCGTGAGCCCACGGAGTATAAATTGGGTGGTACGTACTCGATAAACGTGACCCAAAAAAAGCACACTGATGGTTTTCGTGTCGACAGTCATCAATGATAGTGGCGTCTATCTACCGGTGCGGACGATGCTCCCCCCACATTGGAATATGGGCCTCCCCCTCTAACGACCACAGCCGTCTCCCCCGGAACGACCAAGTTTCTGGCGCAGATACCCTCCTGCACGATCGGCCAACAATCACCGTGATCTCGTCAACGAGAATGAGCCCTTTTCCATCTCCCGCGAGTCCTTCGACTCTTACCGCCGATCATTTGTTTGTTGCTGCCATTGACCGCAACTCGTTCGCCCATTAACAGTCCGATCTATGTAGGATATCTCCGCCCGGTCCCCCGTGACACACCCTGACGCCTCTCGCACCTCATTGGATTCCCGGGTTTCCGGAATCGCGTCTCCCACGGCGCAATCAAACATTCGCAAGACCACCCCCAGGCAAGATGATGACTTCGAGGATGTCGGGCTCAATGACGAAGCCAAGCCCAAAAAGAAAGGAATCTTTGCTCGCTTTGGTGACTCCTCGGGCGAACCACAGCACTCGGGGGGCGCCAAGCCCACGTCCACATTTGGCTTCCACATTCCAGGCAGGAAGCGTGGACAGAGTGGTGGCGGATCTGAACTCAATCCCATGAACGCCCCAGCATCTACTTCCAACCCTGTTGGTAGTGAATAGGACTCTGCGTTCTTGGACATTCTATGATATATATGAGGTCTCCTTCTAGCGGCGTTATGGTTTGGACATGCAACGGACTTGGGCTACCTCCTGGTTTGGATAATCTAGTTAGGACTTTCCGCAGTGGTCGAGAGACAGTTGGGGTCTCTCTCTTTTCGCATCTCTGTATATTTGTTCTTTAATAATTACAATCACTCTATATTGAAAGATACATCCTCAAATCTGATCGTACTAGGCGCATCGATCACTGCCTACAATTATATATATCGCTGAACGTGTACTCTGACACACCCCGGTCCTTCCAATCCCGGAGGTTTTATCTCTAATGTAACTCACTTATACCAAGATTTATGCGAGACATACGATTATATATTGTTTCTCTCGCAGCTTCTTCATTTGTACCCGAAGAATGCTTCCCTCACTCCTGCCGGTCCTTATCAAGTGCAAACAGTGCAAACACCGACAAAAAAACTTCCGCCGCCCAAAAATTTCCCAGCGGATAATTAGTTGTCTCTCCGAGAATTTCAAACCCCTTCTCTCCAATTTCTACCCATTGTGACAAGACCAGCGTCGCTGAGATAAACAGCAACCATGGTCGGAGTCAAGCGCCGCGTCGATAACAGCGAGGAGCGCAATGGAAAGCGCACCAAGACCAAGCAGGGTGCCGACTCGACCAAGAAATCGAAGCAGGCTGCGCCCGTGAAAAAGACAGGCAAGAAGGACGCAAAGCCTGGAAAAGACGACAAGAAGAAATCTTCGAAGAAGAAGGTCCAGCAGGAAGAATCCGAGGACGAGGACGACTTTGATCTCGACGATCTGTCGGACTCTGGAGACGATGATCTCGATGCCCTGGATACGCTGCCAGATGGCGATGTCAACATGGATGATGTGAACGACGATGACGAGCCCGATAGCGAGGAGACTGACGAGGGCAAAGGCGAGAAGGGGAAGTCGGCTACGAAGGAGGGAAATCAGGAGAAAAACGAAAATGCGTCAAATAGTGTGTAACGCTTCCCTATATTCGGTGATGTGATGACTGACCACTTCTCTCTTTGTTTAGACAATAACTCCCGCGAATCGCACGCCAAACAAAAGGCTCTCCAGCTGGAGCGCAAAGCCGCTAAACCCAACGCCGATATCGTCGCGCGCTCTAAGAAGCTGTGGGAGCGTCTGCGCCGCAAGTCCCACGTTCCGCTCGAGGAGAGGAAGAAGCTCGTCAAGGAGCTGTTCGAGATCATCACGAACCGGGTCCGGGACTTTGTGTTCAAGCACGACTCGGTGCGAGTCATCCAGACAGCCCTGAAATACGCCAATGCCGAGCAGCGGAAGCAGATCGCGCACGAACTGAAAGGAAACTACAAGGAGCTGGCACAAAGCCGCTACGCTAAGTTCCTGGTTGGAAAGTTGATCGTGCATGGGGACACGGAGATCCGGGATCTGATCATTCCCGAATTCTACGGGCATGTCAAGCGGCTGATTCGGCATCCCGAGGGCTCGTGGATCCTGGACGACATCTACCGTACGGTCGCGACAAGAGCGCAGAAGGACAGACTTTTGCGCGAATGGTATGGTCCGGAATTTGTGATCTTCCAGGATGAGAAGGAGACCACGGCCGATCTGGCCAAGATTCTGGAGGCCCATCCGGAGAAGCGGGCGCCCATCATGCACTTCCTGCACGAGCTCATAAACCAGCTTGTGCAGAAGAAGACCACCGGTTTCACCATGCTGCACGACGCCATGTTGCAATATTTCCTCTGCACCAAGCCAGGCAGCAACGAAGCCAACGAGTTTATTGAGCTGCTCAAGGGTGACGAGGAAGGTGATTTGGTCAAGAATCTGGCCTTCACCCAGTCTGGCTCGCGCCTGATGTGTCTGACTCTGGCATACTCCAGCGCCAAGGACCGTAAGCTGCTTCTGCGGTTCTACCGAGACACCGTCAAAACCATGGCGGGCGATCTACACGGTCACTTGGTTCTCCTGGCAGCATACGAGGTGATTGATGACACCAAGTTGAGCGCCAAGTCTATCTTTTCCGAGCTCCTGAACCAGAGCGATGCGGCCGAGGCACGAAACGAAGAACTCATCTTGCAGGTGAATGACCTGATCGCGCGCGTTCCCGTGCTGTATCCGTTCGCCGGCGACCGAGTCAAGTGGCTTCTCCCTGAAACCGACCAGGCGGTACTGAACGAGGTGCGCGAGATCCGCAAAGAAACGTCGAAGAAAGACGCGGATGTTCGTCGCCAGGAACTGGTCAAAGCGGCATCCCCAACCTTGTTGGAGTTGATTGCTGCCCGTGCCGACGCGCTGCTGGCGACCAGCTTCGGGTGTCAGTTCATCGCGGAAGTTCTCTTCGAAGCGGACGGTGACAAGACCGCAGCGCTCTCCGCCGTGGCCGAGGCTGCCAAATCCCAGTCCGAAACCAAGGACTCCGCGTCCGTCGGGCGGTTGCTCAAGTCGCTTGTCCAGGGCGGACGGTTCAACAGCGTCGAGAAAACCGTCGAGAAGGTGCAGCCTCCGCTGAACTTCCACGACATCCTGTACGAACAGATCCGTGGCGAGATCATGGACTGGGCCACGGAGTCTAACCCGTTTGTCATTGTGGCTCTGGCCGAATCGGAGGAGTTTGCGAAGAAGGACGAGCTGCTCAAGACGCTGAAGAAGAACAAGAAGGCGCTGGAGCAGGCCTCGGCGCCTAGCAAGGATGGCAAGAAGAAGCCCGGGCCGACCAGCAGTGGTGCCAAGCTGCTGTTGGCGAAGATCTAGTTCGTTCCGCATAATTTTTGTACAGAGCAGTTATACAAAAGCATTCTTTTTTGATTCTTTGGTGTATGTGGATCAGGGGTTTGCCGAGTGTAGATAAATCACAAACACTTCTCGAAGACCATAACATTATATTCTGATCTTTGGACCGTGTACTTAGTACTATCAGTGTTCAGGGGAATACACTCACGACCCAGTCCCAGACAGGCAACGATCAAAGCACGCTAAACCGCGTTCGACACGCCCGTTTAGGGGCACTTTTTGCTCGCGGATCGTGCTTTTTCCTTCTCCTTTTCCGCCTCGATCCAGCCCAAGCAAGGCACCCAATGCCCTCCCTCGCCCTGACCAACCCGGACATGATCCTGCCGAATGACGGCGAACGACAATCTTCCACGCCCTCACCGCCGTCGCTAGCCTACCTGTCGAGTCTGAACAACTACAACTATAATGCAGGACACAGCATGGCCGCGCAGCCGTCCGCACGGTCCAAGAAGTCCTTTTCGCGGCCCGGCTGGACGCACGAAGAATTAAGAGACAGTCGCCGGTTGTCAGATATTGGGGAGGAGCTCTCGCCCGCGCGCTTGGGCGGGTTCGCTGATATAAATGGCATGAGTGCGGAGCAGCAGCAGGGTCTGGAGCGGTCACCGGTGATTCGCGAGCAATGGGATCAGAGACATAATAGTGCGGCCAGCAGTTCGAGTTCCACGGTCAGTGCTGGAAGCGGACGGGGCTCGCGGGAGCAAACTTCGACGCCGCAGAATGATACGGTCAGTGATAGGCCGGAGAAACCGAGGAGCGACGATGCTGCTCATCTATCGACTGCTGCTCCCGCGGAAGCAAAGCTGTCTGGAGACGATGGTTCGTCGGCAATCCTGAGCAGCGAGGCCGAGAGGATTCTCGAGAATGCGAAGAAGCGATTGACGGTATGTGAGACATTCGACACATGTTCGGAGAATTTCACACTGACCATTCACAGCTCATGGAGGGCAACCTTAATCGGGCTCGCTCGTCGGTGTCAGTGCGAATGACTCCGTCGCCTTCACCGTCGTCTCCCGGTGGCTCGGCGTCGCTAGGAACGCATTCGCCTGGTGGGCTGTACCGGTCGATATCCCGCACAGATCGCAAGGGTTCCTCTCTTCGGCGTCAATCGCAGGTTCCCGGGCAGGATACGTCGAACAATCGACACTCCCGGGTGCATAGCGAGACCAATTTTCCGTCCGAGTCCAGTCTGGCGCCCGATTCCAAACGTTTGTCCCGATCCGTGAGTGCAATGGGCGCAAGCAGTTCGACTTTGCACAACGATGAGAGAACTTTCCAGTACGATCCTAAAAGGGCCTATCTGACGCACCGGGCGTCCATCTCGTCCAAGCCACACTCGACAGGCAAGCGGTCTACACAATCCCCGCAGTCCCTCGACTCCCACGAAGAAGAAGACGGCCAGTCGGAATCTCCGAACGGGTTGGGCATCTCTGCAGATTCCGAGTCCAGCCCGGCCGATTTTAGTCCTGTCTACAGCGCGCATGGCCCTCCCAGTCGCGCGCAGTCCCAGCTGCAGGTGCGCGATCTACAGTACCACATGAAGGGTCTTCATATCAAGATCTCCTCGCTGAAAGTCAAGGCCCAGGAGGACAATCTCCGGCGACGCAGTCTGCAAAGCCTGCGTACACCCAGTCCCTTGTCGGCAGCGGACCATTGGTATGCGAATGCGTTAGAACTGCACGATGGACGAAACAGTCGGGGCTCATCAGCTCGCCGCGGTGCCAGTTCGGAGTATGCGCGTGAGCTGATTCCAGAGCATGAAACGGCCAGGGGCAGGAATTATCACATTGATTCCGAGAGAGAGGAACGCCGGCCCGTAGAGCAAGCCACGCTGAGCCTCGCCAAGCAAACAGGCGCAGATTTTCAGTCGCCGTCAGCCGGTGACTATGAGGAAGCACGGGCTCGCTCGGTCGCCGAGAGCATGTACGAAGATGCAGAGGAGGGTGAGTTCGACGACGGGGACATCGACCGGGCCGCTTTGGATGAGATATTGCGCGAGCCGCTGGATGAGGACCTGGAGAGCCCTCTGGAAACGCCTTCGCTGGATGCATTCCCGGATGTGCCTCACCACTTCACGGACGAAACGCCGCACGAGGAGCGCGAAGACGCATTTGACTACGAGCATTTCATCCTCCATAGTGCCCTGGGCAACTATACGCGCCAGCTGCGACCGGTTAGCACCGTCTCCTCAGCCGGCTCGGGAGAGACGACACGGCCGACGCAATCAGTGCACTCGGCGCAGTCTCTACACCCGGCACATACGATGCACTCGATGCAGTCAATGCAACAGCCGCGTGCCTCGAGCGCCATGTCGGACTCGACAGTTGCGACATTCGCAACGGCCACAGAAGGCGAGAACTTTACAGACGACGAGGACGAGCTGGACGGCGTGATGTACTGGGATCGACGCTTCAACCACGGTATGTCATCCTCTTTATTACATGTCTTCCACAACTAACAACAGCAACAGAACTGCGTACTGGACGTGTTCGCAGCCACCACGACCCGAATGTCATCCCGGAGACTGATCGATCCGAAACGCCTCGAGCCGACCGCGACGACCAGGCGACCCCGGTAGAAGGCCAGCCCTCGACGCCCCGTGCACAGCGGGATGGCGGTACCGACCGACCATCGTCAGCGGCTACGGCGACGCCGACTGAGCTCGCCTCGTCGCTCGTGTCGACCGTGCGGGCTGCGTCGTCGACACCCAGCTCGGGCGGGATCAACGAAGACGACACGCAGATGCTGGAGCAGCTGTTCCAGAGCTTGGGGGATGTGTGCTCTGAGCTGCAGGCCATCATGGGCTCGGAGGATCCAGATATGAAGGCGGCGCGGGTGCTGCGACGCCGATTGGACGCGGCAAGACGAGTGTTGGATGGAGAGCTGGATACGTGAGGAGTGCAAATATGTAGATATCTTTTTTTCATGATACCCAATTGTCGATATTTAAACCCTTTATTCTGGTTACTTCCGTGGTGTGCCATTATTATTATCCATGGTCAATTCAACAGACATCCAAACGCTAACTATATTCTCTCCCCTTTAAGAAATCAGGTGTCTAGGCTATAGTGCGAAAATAGAAAAAACCAAGTTATCTGTTATGGATAACCTAGTGGAAGGCCCACCGCCAGGCCAACCTCCCTGCTACGGCAATTGCCAGCGGGCCCTGGTGCCTGGTACGAATCCTGGGGTCGTCGTTGTACTCGCGCGAGTAATCCGCGACCGCTACACGGCGCTAAGCAATGGAAGTGACCCTTGAGGGAAGCAATTCTGCAGAGACACTTTCACCCTGGGATGGCGTCGCCAGAATACACCGGCCCGTTACAGGTTGGGTGGCTGTTTGGTGGGACAACTCGTCTCTCTTCTTTTTTTTTTTTTTTTTTCCCCGTCCCTCTTTAGTTAACTACTTACTTACTAACAAACAACCAAACTGTAGGTTCTCTCCTCATATTTTCACTATTTTTTAATTAAGAATGGAAATGTCCGTTATTTATTGCTCACTGTCAAACAACTTACTAGCCATGTGGCATTACAGTCCATCATCCATCTCCACATCCCCGAAGACCATGTATGTACCGTCGAGGGCTGCTTCTCCCATCGGGCATGGAGGCGTATTCACCGGAAATATGCCAATCAGGAACCGGTGACTGCAGCTTCCATTATAGAACAAAAGTGCTAGGTTTTCCTTGTCCAGTACCAAGTGGCCGAGCAGTAACTCGGCCAGCTTATCTTCCTTGGTCTAGTGGTCATGATTTCCGCTTGTCATTAACACCGATAAGCGCGGGAGACCGGGGTTCGATTCCCCGAGGGAGAGTCATTTTTTGTCAACTTCGTTGGCTGTATGAATTGCATTCATTGAGTTTGTTTTTGCTATATGTCTATTTTTGCAGTGAAAAAAGCTGTCTGGTGTGTTGGTCGAAGGACGACGACCGACCAAGTACAACATCGAGATCATAAATCACATTTCGCATAGAATTAGGTACAGATTACAAAACACATTGCGAATCAAGATGAAAACAACACACAGATCAAGATCAAGAACTAAGAACCAGGTGCCCCCTGCTGAGAATGTGTCTGCTCCAGCACGACAGCGTAGAACTTACCTTCCTCCGCGGTGTCGTGATATTGTCCTGCAGCGAGGATTGCCCTGCAGTAATAGAGTAGTCAGTCAACAACCTATTTGTTTCCATATCCACGATCCATCCCATAGATAGCAGGCACAGACTAATGTATACGATCAAAAATATACACGAGAGACGATACTTGTAGCCCCAGGCATAACAATTGAAAAAGAGAAACACAGACATACCACCCCTTATACTTAGGCTGATTGAAAATATCCGTAAACGCGCGCAGGATGCGCAGCGGCAGTTCAAGGATAGAAGGCAACTCGGGCCCGTCGCCGCAGATCGGAAGACCCAGCTTGTTGACTGGGAGGTAGACCGTCTCAGTGGTGTTTTGTGGGTTGCGCGTCTCTTGGAAGACAAGGAGGCGGCGCGTGGGCGGTGGGGGAGCTGTCGCAGTGCTGCCGCTGCCCATGGTGGGGGAATTCATGCCCAACAATAACAGTAGTTGTCACGATGAAATGGAGGAATGCGGAGTTGAGGCTGAGAATGGTGCTTCTCTTGTTGTTCCTGTTTGAGGGATCTTTTCAAGGGTTGTGTTCTGGTTGAATAATAATTGACGGGTGGAACCCGAGGTTGCTAAATGGATCTTACAACGGATCAGGGTCACCCTGTACGAGGATGACTTTGACTATAGTCCACAGTGCTAATGATTATCGCAAATAATTGTTGAACTCTATAAGACTCACATTCGGTGGCTAGAGAATCAAATTAAAACTAAATCTGGCATAATAATCCTATACTTCACACAAAGTACGAATAGTTCACCTCCATACGCCCTTCCCACACCGTAAGAAAAATAAAATAATGACAGCAGCAGCTAAAACGAAACAATCATCCATTTTCCGTCCGCCACTGTGAGGCCACATGCCCCTGCAAAAGAGCAACTGGAACAGACCAGCTATGAGGTCGCCGGCTGGAGCAACTTGGCGCCGAAGCGAAGGTCGAGGGAGCGAGAATCGGAGGGGTCGAAAACAGCATTCTGTCGTTCTTCGAGGAAGAAGGCTGTAGCGGCAAGTTAGAAAACACAATGTATGGCAATCCCGATGCTGGAACTTACGGGAAACCTGGATCATCTCAAACCAGCGTGTCGCATTGTCGTCACTGCCCTCGACTGCTTTCAAGATGCCGTTATCCGGACGGATGGTAGTTTTGGGAGGGAGGCTGCGCATCTTCAAGAGCATGTGCAGGATGTCAGAGAAACGATCGCCTTGGTTGGAGTAGTAAGGGGGACGCTTGTCCAGGGGCCACTGAAGAAAGTCAGTATAGGAATGATAAACGCATAGAAACAACAACTTACTCGCTGCGCAAAATTCTCATTGTCCCATGAGCGGAAGAGCCAGCAGGTACGCTCAACGCAGTTCAGAAGAATCATCGCCACGAGGAAAGTCTCAAACCAGCCCGTCTGTTGGCGCTGAAGCAATCGGCGCTCCAGATCATTCATCACCGACTTGCTCAGTTGCATCGCCCGCTTCTCCATGGCGGCTCGCAACTGGCTGCAGAGAAGGGCATACGACTCCGGGTCACCCACTTCCTCGATTGGAAGACGGCCATCATCCGAGGGCTGGGAAAGAGAATGCATCGACGTCGGCGGCAGGGTGGGGTTACAGTATGTCTTCCAGCCGAGTTCCGTATCAACAAGGATATGGGTAGCAACCCACAGCTCCAGCACGCGCTCCAGCAGAATGTCCTTTTTTTGTTGGCTGAGCTCGGAAGCCAGGATCAGCGTCGGCTTCATGAAATGCGAAGTCTCGCGCTCGTAGAAAAACGGCGCCGTTTTCTTGATGTACAACTCTAATTTGCCCGGAATGTCGTCAGCGTCGCTATCCAAAAGGTAAACCTCCTGGGTCGGATTGGAAAAGTGGTCATCGCCTAGACCCTGCAATTGGGGATCGAGCGCGGATACCGAGGCATGGTGGCCTTGCAGCCCACTGAAGGTGACGAAGACGCCGCTCTCTTCAAAGTGCGTGACCTCAATGCGGCCGGCATAGTGCTCGAATTTGACCTGGTTCTTGATGCCGCTGGTGTCGTGGTAGGCGAGAGTTGCATGAAGGTTGGCATTGTAGAGCTCAAACTCATCGGCGATCCTGGTACGGATGCACGGGCTCTTCCAGAGACGTGCGCTTTCTACGCTGGCGCAAGTGGTACAGGGGCTGTCGCCGGAGCAAGGCTTCTTCAGCATTCGGCAGCGAATGCACGCTCCACGCTTGCGCACTTCCTGCACCTCGCGACGTCGAGCAGCAGAGAAACGTCCTCGAACCTTCGGCTTGGCGGGCTTCGTCGAATTACCAAATTCGTTGACAAATCCCTTGGCCTGGGTGTTTGGGTTCATCGCAATGGGGCGCGGATAGGAAGCGGCGCGCTGCGTCACCGCAGTCAGGGACGGGTCATGTTCTTGCAGACTGTCGAAAAGAAGCTGCTCGTGCGTCGAGAGCGACTGGTTCCACGAGCCCATCTTCAGCCCATCAGAGCCCATGCTATCTCCTTCTAGCCCGTGAGGAACCATTTCATTGGCCGATGCCGCAATCATCGACAACTGTGATTGACGGGCGTTGGCACTCGACTCGGGTGTCATCGAAGTGTCTCCAAGATGTGGCGACATGGATCCCCCGTGGTCACCAGTCGTGTGGCTTGGAAGATCAGGGATAGGTGAGTGCGACGGGTGGGGGGATTCTGAAGTAAAACAAGCTGTTAGAGTAGATCATGAGTGAGTCGCGCCCAAAAGACATACCTTGTGTATTGTCGCCTCCCTCTTGCTTGACATCCGACTGCTGACCCTGGAAGCCCTCCGCCTCAAGCGCCGGGTCGACCACCACAGTCTTGCCCCCAACTGTCACCGACTGGGTATATCCCGAGCCGCGCTTGGGCGGCTCCGACGCGCCGACTTGTCTCGAGGCTTCAGCCAGCACGTTGAGGCCGTCGAAGTTCTGGCGATTCGGGAAAGACGCGTCACCTGATTTGCCTTTGTTTGCACCCGCGGCACTCGGGTCTTTATTCGCGTCACCCTCGGCCAAGTCAGGAAGCTCATGAAGGCGCAAAAGCACGCGCTGGCGGTCACGAAGGGGGATGGCCTGGCACTTCTTCACCAGGTGATTGGTAAGGCTGTCGATGCGGCCCTTGGGGAATTTTTCACCACAGGCTTTGCAGGTGTGCTGGTAGCGGTTACTTGCATCCTCTAGTTTCTGTCCTCGAATGAAGAACTCGAGGATAAGTTTGTTGGGTTTGCGACCCATCTTGAGGAGGGGAGTGAGGAATGGGGGGATGTGTTCAGTCGGTGTGGATGGGTGGGAAGGGTCGACGCGTCCGACCGCAGCGTCAGCAACCGAGAGAGATCAAAGTGTAGACAAAGGGGGGGCCAATCCAAAGCTGGGATGGTGGCTATTGCACCGCGACGGCGTGGGTGAGAGGGGTGATGGCAAAAAAAAAGATGTGACTGTGAGCACAATAAGGGCTCCACACCCGCCACGCAAGGATGACGGGTCGAATGTAGGCAGCGTATGGAGGCTCTCCAGATAGGATCAGGAGAATGATCAATGGAGCAGAGCGAGAGCACCAGATGGGGGAAGGAGGATGATGATGGGGATGGGGGAAGGAGGAAAGCAACGGCAAAACTGGCAGTTGACGGGGCGGTCTGACTTCAGCAGAGATGAGGCGCTTCACCGCACACAAGGCGGTGATGAGATCGGTGGAGATGAACTAGAGAGTGATGGACAGTACGAGGGAGAAAGGGAGCCAGGAAAGAGAGTGGGAGGAAGATGGCGAAAGAGAATTCTCTCCCTTGATTACACATTGCACAAACTCTGCCGCTGAGTGATTCGTTCTACCAATAATAGACAACTCAGCAGATGCGATGCTCCGGAGGCCGCCACGGAACCCCCAGAGCCGCAAAGATACGCTGTTCATCTCGACTCTCCACCAGCCGACCAGAAGTTAGCTTGGCCTGTCCATTCCTCAGCACATCGGTGTAGAGTCCCTTCTGGTTCAGACACATGCCCTTCTTACGCGCCAGCAGCCTCATACTACGGTTGAAGATGTCATTACCGGTAAAGTAGATCAGTGCCGCCCCGATCTCGTCCCCCGGCACAAAGAGCAGATCGAGTCGTCGCCATATGTTGCTGCCAGGAATGGTGGAGGCTCCGTGCCACTTGGATCCGTCCTGCCGCGACGTGGTGGCCAGGCCGACCTGCAAGAACCCGTTCTCGAACAGCTGGGGGATGATAGTCTCGATCATCAACGACCGAATGTGTTCTAGAGTGACCCTGGGCTTGGTGATCATGAGATCGATATCCCCCGAGTCCAGCGCGCCCCGTCGGTACGAGCCCATGATGGTCACCTGCATATCGCGGTCGACCTGCCGGACCGCTCGTCGAACAATCTCCCCGTGGGCCTCGACCTCCTTGCGAGGCATACGCTGCGCAAAGTCGTGATATCGCTCCACCCCGATCCGCTGGTTCTTGGTTAGGGACGCCTTCTCACGGAGATCGTTGAGCGACCGGTAACCTTGCGCAACCCACTTGGAGGCTTGAGAAAGGCCCGCACCGTACACCCCGAGAAACTCCTGGATGATCAGGTCCTCGGGGGTGCCATTGGTATTGTCAAGACGACGAAGCCGGTTGGTGAGGACAATTTCCTCGATTTTGTCTGCCAGGCCGGTCCCAATGCCGGAGATCGATAGAGCCTGCGTTCGTGTGTTGATTTTCTTTGGTTGTCTTCGAAGGGCGTTGATCGCCTTGCGATAGGCGAGAACTCGCCAGTGATCTGCAGTCCGCGTATAGTAGTCTGACATCTGCTGGAGGACTTCGATGGTTCTGTTGTTCGGATTGTGAGTTCGCAAATTGGGCTCATACTTTTGCATGCAGGAGAAATTTTTGGTCCACGATTCAGCCGCCTTGTCTCTAGAGACATTTGGGCTCTGTCTGTCTAATTCGGAGTCTGACCCCTGGGCCTCGTCATCAAATGTCTCCCCTGTAGTCTCGTCGTCGGTGAGGTCCAGCGGATCCAAGGGCTATTAATGGGTCAGCGGAGTGCTGCGGTTTGAAGAAATGTAATATCTCTCACAAGATGGCTTGTCGCTTTAGCCTCTTCGATTAGATCGTCTAGCAAGTCCCGCTCGTGAAGGGTTGTGCCGATGTGGGACTGTACTTGCTCAGTGACGGCCGCCGGAGAACTCTGAACAACTGGCGAGTTTCCGCTGTCGTGGATCTGAGAAGGTTCCGGTGACTGGGCTCGTTCTCTTTCCGAGAGTTTCAACGGTAGAGAGTCAGGAAGCCTAGCTTCACGAACGGCAGGAGGGCCTTGGTCTTCAATAAGCCCTGGAGTCCCATCAACACGGAAACGTGCATGAGATGGACTGAGGACCGAGTGAAATTTGATGCAGTCTGACGGGTAGCATTCGTCGACCACGATCACATTTACCTGAGAATAAATAAGCGCCGAATATAGCTTTGAAGTAAGCATGCTGACTGGAAAATACTCAAGCTTGAGGTGTGTCAGGAGGTCATGGAAGGTCAAACCCTTATCAACGATCACATGAGTGACATCGGTGGCCCATTCTCTCGCTCGCTGGGCACCATACTCCTGTGCTCGCTGGATACGCAGTCGCCGAAGCGGAGAGACGTCGTTATTGGGGAAGAAGACTGGGGTGTAGAAGAGTCAGATGAGAGATATTAGGGATCCACAAGGATCTGGATCACTGACAGAAAACGAGATCTTTGAAAATCTGCTGCTCTGCTGGGATGGATTTGACACTGCTCACTCTTCTTTTCTTCGCTGCAGGGCCGCCAATCTTGGTTCCAAGCATAGAGCCTGTCGTCGCGGAGCGTTTCACCCTCGGCACTTTGGGGCCAGTGAGTCTTGAAGAGATATTTATATCTTCGTAAGAGATGCCCATCCTTTGGGGCTCTGGCTCGGTGGAAGAAGGCTGGGGATCTGAATTTGCCCGCGGAAGCGTGATTAGACTCGGCCGACGAGATGTAGTCGGGTTTGAAAGCCTGTGCCCTCTCGAACCAGAGATCAGAAGTTCCAGGCGAGTATCTTCTTCATTCTGAGCGTCATCATCCGGATGTTCCAAGAGGTCCAGGGCTTGGAAGAAGCGTTCCTTGTTCGGGGCCTCCTCCGCCATGGCCGGGCTAGTCTGGTGGGTGATGGAGCCGTGGGAGGGACATGGTTGCCTGAGGGAAAGGGAGCCGGGCCGAACAAAAAGACGGCAAGAACCAGATGGTCACGGGACTGATCAGGGACTTGATGCAAGAAGAGATACGTGGCCATCAAACAAGGCATAGAAGAACACAATGTCCTAATAGACCTAATAGATAGATGTCGGAATAAGATTATGTGATCTAAGAGAACTAGATACTCAGCCCCAGGCTGGACCCCATGTCAGACCTTTACCCGCAGAAATGCACAAGGGCTGGCCCAAAAACAAGCACGAACCAGTGGGAAAAACCAAGTACCCGTGCAACTTTATTGGCGTGTACTTGGAAGTCCGACTTGGGGCGAGTATTGGGCAAGTGGAGGTCATGTGATTCTCCGCATGATTGAACTTCCGCGGTGGTGTTTTTATCGTTCTTCTTAGCAATTGACTACTGCCCATCATGTGGAAGCCTTCCATACACCATCTAGAGGCCTCCCTTCTCCTCCGGACAGGCCGCTGTCTGGGTTGTCAATTCCGTCCCAGCGCAACTCCCTCCGCCCTGCGCTTCTATGCAACCCAGAACAACAGCAAGAAACCGAGCGACACCGAAAGCAAAACTCCAGCTCAACCGCTCCGCGTATCGCCCGGAGCAAGAAAACCCTCGGGCTTCCGGTTCCAGCAGAACCCTTCGCGGGACCAGTCTGCGCAGCCTGGCGATGCGGACTTCATTCTGCCGACACTCGACCGACCGATTGGCTGTGCAGCACCACCAGAAGAAGGAGAAAATACCGGGATTGACACGCGCTCCATACGGCAGCGGCGGGATGACTTTGTCGACTATGACCGGCATATTGAGCGCCGCAAGGAACTGTACGGGTCATCCCTTATTGTCTCTATGACTTGATTGTCGCCCAAGGAGCATTGCTGCGGAAACAAGAAGCTAACGGTTTTGTTTTCCCCTTCTCTAGGACGAGACAAGTCGCAAAACCATATTTCCGAGAATGGTCCAACCTGCGCCACGCCCAGGGCAAAACCTTTGTATCGAACCCGCGGCTCTTCCGAGCCGACAAGGCCCTATACTTCCCCAACATGTACGGCGCGACGCTCGCATCTCCCAAAGAACCGCAGAACACCACCTCCGTCCTGCGCGGCAAGATCTCCATAGTCACCCTATTCTCCAGTCTCTGGGCCGAGAGCCAAGTTGCGACGTTTACAGGACCGAAGCAGAACCCCGTATTGGCAGAGGCGCTTGCGAAAAGCAGCCAGTTCGCGCAGAAAGTGGATATCAATCTGGAAGAAAATCGCATGCGGGCGTGGCTGGTGAAACGGTTTATGTGGCGGATGCGCCAGAACTTGCCTCAGCACCAGCATGAACGGTACTTCCTGGTGCAGAAGGGGGTGAACGAGGTGCTGAAGGAGGCGATTGGAATGATTAATTCCAAGGTCGGCTATGTCTACCTTGTGGACGCGGAGTGTCGCATCCGCTGGGCGGGCAGTGGACCGGCTGAGGAGACGGAGATGGCTGCTCTGAATGCCGGCCTGCTAAAGCTGATTGCTGAAAAGCAAAATGCTGCCCAATAAAAGGGCTAAGGTTGTGTGTGAGATGTGATTCTCCTCTCCATTCGATTTGTACATATAATAGAGAATGTGTATGATAGAAAGACACTGATCCCGCGGTATGATCATCGTCGCCCGGCAAAAAGAGAAATTCTCCAGTAGACGACAAAGATATGCCCAATCCGAAACGCCTGAACAAAAAGAACCATGGACCGCTAGAGAGGTGCAACAGAAGGCAGAGCAGAGCAGCAAGCGAAGATAGAAAGCATCCAACCCTATCGGAAGTACAGCAGCATCAAGAAGCAGAACCCGATAAAGCATCCCAGAATAATAGCATCGCGCCTCTTCTTATTCCCAATCTTCCCAATCAAATAATTCATCCCCGGGACATGGCTGGCCGCGCCAACAATCCTCCGATTAATTGACGTGAGAGTCTCCCGCTGGATACCGAAGTTCTCGTTGATCGCATACGCCTGACTCAGCACGCCGTCCATCATGTTGTGGCTGTTCTCAACCCGCCCCCGCTCCTCGAGCATGTAGTCTGCCTCGGCTTGGCCGGGGTTCGAGGCGTGGTAGGCGTCGATGTCGGAGCGAACGTTGGAGAGCAGGTTGGCGCGGTCTCGCGACTCGGCGATCGCAGCTGTTAGACGCTGCAGTTCGCGGCGGTGGTCATGGAGGACTTCGCGGTGGCGGACGAGGTTGTTCTGTTTCAGGGCGGAGGAGGTGAGGGTTGCTTCGGAGTCGAGGAGGCGGGCTAGTTGGGAGATGAGGGACTCGCGCTGGGACGGGGGTTAGTTTGAGGGATGGTCGGTTTGATGTGGCGGTGGTGGAACAAACTCGTTCGAGGATATCTTTAAGCTGTGCCTCCGTACGGAGTTCCTCTTCGGAGGGAGCTGGTGGTGGCTTGGTGAGCGCTGCATACTGCGAGTATGTATGGAAGAGGGTCTCTGTCTGCGGAAGATGTCAGTGTGTGTTCCTTGGTCCAGGGCTAAGACAAACCTGAGTCTCGAGCGAGCGAGCTTGTTGCCGCAGCTGGGCCCATCCGGTGCCCGTGGTAGAAGCCATGAGTGAATGTTTAAGAGACCAACTCCCTGGATGATACGTAAGGGCACGAATACGCTAACCTAATAGGGAAGTCCTTCGATGCCATGATTTGAAGGCATGGTTTTACTGTCATGTGACCAACCCACGTAAGCACACTCGCTTAGCCCTAGTCCCACAACCAGACATTTTGCCCGCAGACAGCCAATCTTCAATTCTCACCGACAACCACACGTCTCAAGCCGCCCACCATGGTATGTTCATACCGAACAGCAATACGTCCAGCGAGACAACAACTGATGGAAATTCTTTCTAGTCGTCCAAGGTCAAGGCCGGTCAGCTCTGGGGGAAGAACAAGGATGAGCTCTCCAAGCAGCTCGAGGAGTTGCGAACTGAGCTCGCTCAGCTTCGCGTCCAGAAGATCGCCAGCGGTGCCTCCTCGAAGACCATGCGGATGTACGTATTCGATTCCGATCAATTTTTGTGTTGTCGTTCAGCCGAGAGGGTCGGATTGGATTTTTGGTCCTGAAAACAAAAAGAGGAGGAAACACCCCCGACACCAACGAAAATTCTTACCTCGACGCAAAACACATCACAACCATCATCAAACGCATACTAATTTATTTCCCTTCAGCTCCGATGTCCGCAAGTCGATCGCCCGCGTCCTGACCGTCATCAACGCCAACCAGCGCGCCCAGCTGCGTCTGTTCTACAAGAACAAGAAGTACCTCCCGCTCGACCTCCGCCCCAAGCTCACCCGTGATCTGCGCCGCCGTCTCACCAAGCACGAGGCCACCCGCGTTACCGAGAAGCAGCGCAAGCGCCAGATCCACTTCCCCCAGCGGAAGTACGCCGTCAAGGTATGGAGTTACTCCCTTATTTATCAAGTGGCACTTTGCCCTTTGCCCTTACCTGGGTCGAATGCGACGCTGACGATGAATTGAATTATAGGCTTAAGCGAAGAACTTGTTTGGATCTGGAGTTTTAGCGGGAAGACGCTATCACACCCCGTGCCTGGGCGTGACGTGTGGACCTGAAAAATGGATTTTTGATTGTGTATCTTAGACGGATGCAAATCGACTCTTGACATGACATGACATTTTTTCCGTCTTTATTTCTTTCTGCCGTATGGGTTTTGTACTATTCGGGTATACACGCCTGCATAGGTTTCCCCTTCCCCCCCCCCCGGGCTGTAATCGGGAGATGGCCATATTCATGTAGACTGTAGACGTCAGCTGGTCAATTATATATCTCCGACGGACGACACTGTCATCTACCTGAAAGTACAAAGATATCGATCAACATATCGACATTGCCATGCCTAACTAGAATATGTACTACTTCCCCGACTGCGCAGAGGCAGCATCGCTGGCAGACTCCGTCTCCAGCGTCCACATCCCACCACACAGACAAGAACGCAAAAGTCCCAACTTAGCAATCATCTTAAACGACAACAACGAGCGCGGCAGCGTCGTATCCCCCGAGACCTCACAGCAGCGCACACAGCGCCTCCGCTTAACGGACTGACGGCCACCAGCACCAACCGGCAAAGGAGGGCGCAATGGGAATTTCTTCAGGATATCCAGATCGTGTCGTTTCCGATACTCCATGGTCCGCGGATCGGTCCCGAATCCAAGCCAGCTGTAATCACCCAGGAAGATGGCCATGCGGTTAATTTCTCCCTTGAGAGCTGGCACCGTCTGCCGTAGAAGGGTTGCCACGGCTGCAACGAGGACGGGTGGGATGCGCGCGTTGACCAGTAATTCTTTTTCTGGGCCAGGCCGCTCGGCGTCCCCGAAGCCTGCGCCTTGATAGGCGTGTTTCACGGCGGAGTCGATGCCCGCTAGGAATTTCTCGTACACGTCTATTCTTACAGGCGAGGCCTCGAGGGTCTGGCAGATTTCGGTGTAGTAGATACGTGAGTCGCCGATGAGGGCAGCAGGGTTGGCGTTTGTGAAGCCTGCGTGGACGCCGCGGAGGCCTCGGCAGATGAAGCGGAGGAAGGCGCGGGACATGCTGGAGAGAAGAATGAAGAGGGGGAGGGAGTTGGTGGTTTTCACTAATCATCTCTTCAGTTTTTGATATACAAGATGGTTGGGTGGGGGGGGGGGGGGGGGGGGGGGGCCTACGCTTCTGTGTGAATGCTTCTTGGTCATTGAGGACTCCCTCAAAGTCATCGGCCAGATCGAAGATTTCGTTCAGAAGGTAGTGGAGAAAATCCAAGGACCACTTTGTGTTGCCGAGAACCATGCGAAGGACATCTTAGGGGACAATTATCAGTAGCAGATTGGGCTGGATGACAACCAACGCGTACCTGGATCATGGGCCTCGCTCTGTCCGCCTTTGTTGTACTGGAAGAAGTACGCAAATAGGACAGAGGCATGACGAAGCTGAAGTATCGCCCACGGCACGGCAGAGGAAAGTGGGCGCCGGTGAAGTCTGCCCACAAAGCCCAAAGCCGCTTGCAAGCTGAGACAACGGGGGATGTATGGGTGGCTCATGAGCTTTTCCTGCTCGGTGGTGAAGTTGCAGTTGACTGGCAGTGCGCGATAAACTTCGCCAATGAACGTTGTCTGGGCTTCTACAGTAATCGTTTAGCTGGCTTTAGTTTGAAAAAAGCGATATGCTGGTAACCCACCTGGCGAGAGCTGTCGTAGAGCTACCATGAGAATATCATCGGTATTCACGTCACTTCCACACCCACGGCTGAATGCCAGAGTCAGTGCGGCGATGGCTGCGGAGAATTTGCCTGCGGGCGTCAGTTTAAGCTGCCGTTTATATACTCAGATCAAAAAGTACATACTCTCGTCGTAGAGACCTCCTGTCGAACCAAATGAGTGCTCCATGGCCCTCAACTGAATTTGCCCTTCGCTGTCCAGTACAACACATATACAGGCGTTGGGAGAGAAGCAAGTATAAAGGCCTGGATGGTTCAGCCATGTGAACAGTTTGGATGGAAAGTATACCCACCTGGTGTCACTATCGGATACTGAAAGCCTGCCTGGGCCAAGCAGGTCACCGTGTTGGCATCATCCAGCCCGTTGAAGACGGCCATCGTTCTTGTGTCATAGAATGTGACTGAACTGTCCTCGTGAGTGACGGCGAGAACGGTGCCGTGCTCGATGACATCGACCGAAACAATGTATTTGTCAGTAAAGATATCCTCCAGTCGATGGAGCTCCATTTTAGTCTGGTTACAATTAGCAGCGGTCGTCTTACCCACAGAGCATTCCGTACCTTTGCTTGCACATTATTATTCTTGGACATAACTTCATCAAATTTCGAATGCAGGGTTTGAGGTGCTGATTCGAGGTGCCATCGAACAATCACACTCGCTGGGCCCTGTTGATCTGGATATTCGGGAGTAGCATGGATGGGTTTTGTGAATACGGCAAAAATCCACGGGCTCGCTGTGGATCCTGCCGGGCTGTCAATCTGTCCGGGCATGATGTCCAGTCTCGTCAACGAGTATAACGAGTTGGGAGGTGGTAATGGTTGGCCCATATGCTCGTCCGAGCTGCGAGTGACGTCGAAGATATTACCAGGCATTTCAACTTTGCAATGAAGAAACCGAAAGGCTGGGATGGGGAACTGATTTGGCTGTTTTGCTTGAGTCGGGTCCCACTGTGCCGGTGTCCAGACAATGTTCACCCGATATACGCAAATCTTCTGGCATGCAGAATATGTTGCAAGAAGAATACCAGCTGCGTGGAGTTGTTAGCAATGATCCATATCCCGGAGTTTTGCTATACAGAGCTTACATTGTGTAGCAGCCATGGCCGCATGAGTTAACAGCCTGTCGGAATAACCCGTGTTCTTCAGCTCGGCCGGCAATTCAGCCCACTTGCTGTCTGGGTTTTGATAGATCAGTTTGATCTGACCAGCTCTGGTCACACAGATCAAGCCGCCTTTATTCGCTGGATGAAAAGGGCCAAGTGGCCGTCGGCGAAAGGGCGAGTAAGCCCAGCGGCCATTGACTTTGGCCGCCTGGTGGAACGCATGGACCTGACAATTGCGCCGTTAGCTCTGAATTTGCAGCAACTCTGCAAAGCACTTACGGATCGCTGGCTGTTGAGCCACATCATCCCGACAATCTGATTGCCGTCATCGCCGGAATCAAAGGATGCCTGGCGTAGCCCCGTGATGCTATTGAGTGCAATTGAGATGGAGTAGATCGATATCCGTCCGGAGCAGTCCACCACCGCCAATTCCGAGCCGGTCTCGTTCCAGGACAGATGGACCAGCGGATTGCTGCCATGCGCCTCGGTGACGGGGCCTAGCGGTGACTCGTCCCCGAGTACCCATTTCCCGTCCGACGAACGACATTGCAGATGGCGTACGTTGACTCGTAGCCCATCGGCGGAGATGCACGCAATGCACCCCAGCCGCGACCAGGCAATCTTCCTAGTCTGGGGTCAGCGTGATGGACAATCACTGAGTCTGGGGCATCACTTACTGGCAGCAGCCCAGCAGGCGCATCTCATCGAGGCATTGGGCAAGGCCCTTAGTCAAGGGCGCTGGTGGCAGACCCAGCGTGAGGGAGTTGGGTTCGCCGAAGAGGTCGTCCACGTTGATGCCGCCCTCCATGATCAACGGCATGCTGGTGGGGGGCAGTTATTGACTAACAGAATCATGCAGGGGCACAATGGCAACCCAGCATGGCAGCACCGCTCAGATGTTGATATGCGGTCTGTTGATGATCCGAGTGAGGGCAGTCTGGCCCTGTCTGGCGATGTCGGAGGTCTGCCTGGAATGGATGGAGCTATATTTCCCGCTCAACCAGGCACTCTCCTCCTTGCTATCATGGATCCGATCCTACAGCGACCGTTCCTTACAGTCGTCCCGTTCAACATCGGAAGGGACATGCTGAGTCAGCTAAACACCATGTGACCGCACGTGATTTGTATCCAGCATCGGACGGTAGCCCTGCCAACCACATGAGGCCAACCATAGAGCAGCATCGGACCCACTTATCCGCGGTGTCAGAAGAACTACACTAAAAGGACAAACGAGCGAGGGATTCCAGAGAGCATGAAACGACAATTCGATATGAGATGTACTGAACGGAGACCATAAGAAGATAGATTTCCGTACTGCAGTTCTCCGTCCACCCTCGTCCGGTCCATCCACTCCACCCGCCAGTCCATTCCGGCAGCGTTACTTCCCATCGTCCTTTCGTGATTCATGAGCTATTTTCTCGGGCGCAACAACACAACACAACACCCACATTCCGGCCGATCGCTTGTCTGCCCACTAACCAACCCCGAAACAGCCCTCTGGCTCTCTACCCGTGCTCCCATCAAAACAAAAGCCCCGACCCCGTCAGGCCCGTTTTTTCTTCCCTATAAGCTCCCGCTGACCTCATCGTCTCTCCTGCAACTCTCTTTCTTCCTTTCTCCCTTCTACAAGCAACAACCCACCCTCCCGCCTCCCTCTTTCTTTCCTCGTGTGCTCGGGTTGTTGGGGCTGTCTGGGCTTGTTCTCCCTTCATGATTCCTCTGGCTTTTGTCCCTCAACTGTGAGCTTCCGTAAGAGAAAACGGGCGCGACGTGTTTCACCCCTGGCGGACCACACACCCTGGTTCCCAATTCTATGACCATCTCATCCACCATTCTTCCTAACTACACACCATGGAGTTTGATCTCTCCGACATCTCGGACCTGAGCTCCGTGCCCTCGTCGCCGCCCCCCTCAGAGCGGTACTTGACTCCGTCATCCCAGGAAGGGGATGATTCTGCGTCGCGCGGCCAAGACCCTCGCCCGGCAAAGAAGAGGCGCCGCAAGAACCCCTTGCCCCGGGAACGCACCACGCAGTATCTCAACCTGTCCCAGGCCAATGTTGACGAGGATCAATACGACCAACTAAACCTGCTGGTCAAAACCCTCCGCCACCAAAAGGACATTGTCGCCATTGCAGGTGCCGGTATCTCCACCTCGGCGGGTAGTAAGTTTTTCGTCTCGCGTTCCCCGTCGCTCCCGCTCACCACCCCGTTCTAGTCCCGGATTTCCGCTCCACCGATGGGTTGTTTAAATCATTACAACAAAAGCACAACCTCAAGGCCTCGGGTAAGCTTCTTTTCGATGCAGCCGTCTACCAGGATGACGCTTTGACCGCGTCCTTCCACGAAATGGTGCGGTCGCTGTCCGAAGATGCGGAAAAGACCGACCCGACCGCTTTCCACCACATGCTGGCCCGACTCGGCCAGGAGTCCCGTCTGAAGCGCCTGTACACCCAAAACATTGATGGCATCGAGACCTCGATGCCGCCGCTGGCCACCGAGGTCCCGCTGAACGTCAAGGGCCGCTGGCCCGTCACCATCCAGTTGCACGGCAGCCTCGAGAAGATGGTATGCCAGAAATGTCGCTACCTGTGCGACTTTGACCGCGACAAGTTCAACCAACCAGATGCGCCCGCTTGCTCCGAGTGCGCGGTGAAAAATGATTTCCGTGAAAAGACCGGCCAACGCAGCCATGGAGTTGGACGCATGCGGCCCCGCATTGTCTTGTACAACGAACACAATCCGGACGAGGAAGCCATCACATCGGTCATGAACGCTGACATCAAGTCGCGTCCCCGCGTGTTGATTGTCGCTGGCACCAGCTTGAAGATTCCCGGAGTGCGCCGACTGGTCAAGAGCTTGTGCACCGTTATCCGCAGTCGCAAGGACGGCGTCACAATGTGGATCAACAATGAACCGCCCAACGGCAAGGAATTTGAGAATTGCTTCGACCTCATCGTTCAGGGATCCTGTGACCAGGTGGCAAGTATGGTCGACCTGAAGCAGTGGGACGACTCAACCCCATATCTGGAGTCCTCGCCCGAGCCCGTCATTCCTGCCAAGCGTCGCCTGCACGAGGAGTGCTCGTCATCCGACGTCGAGGCTCACACGGTACGCAATGCGGTTTCCGTGGTCGTCAGCAAGACACCCACCAAGCAGCCCCGTGCCGACACCGGTCTATTCACACCCTCGTCCAGCAACGACGAGAAGCCTACTGGCAAGCTGACGAACCCAGCCAGCCGCGGTCGCAACCTCAACGATGTCCTCAAGGCCAACAGGACTACCGGCCCCGCCAAGGGTGGTCGCAAGAAAGCTGCTACCACAGCGGCCGCTTCCAAGAAACCCGCTCGGAAACCGCAGGCCTCCAAGGTATCCAAAGCGGTCCCCAAGACCGCCAAGGCGGCCAAGATCACTTCCTTCACCAAGGTCAGCAAGTCTTCCAAGACCTCGAGCACTACCAGCAAGCTCAAGATCGACGGCAAACCAATGCACCCTGTCCCGGTTGGTGCAGCGCGCATGAATGGCCTTTTGTTCCCTGGTCTGGTCTCGAAGCCGGCGGCTACCATCACGCCCGACACAACTCCATCGGAAGTGATGTAGGCAGCAACATGTTCTTGATTCTTGTTCATTTTTCTGTCAAGTGGGTATTATCATGGCATGCATAGTGGCTGATCCCAAGCCAGGATGGCGTTTCTTTCTTTCCTTCTTTCTTTTCTGTCGGAACGGTGTTTCTTTCTTCGATGGCAACTTCGCAGTTACTGGTTTGAAAGATACCAACGATAGACCACGGTTGTTGTGTTGCATGGATGGCGTTGTCAGGTCTGAGCTTTCGGGGAGTCTTTGGAGTTTGGTTCAATTTCTCACGGCGTGGGAATGCTCCTATGGAGCATCTGCATCTATGACAGTATCCTTTAATATACGTCTTTGGCTACTTGTAATTTCTTGGGAATATTCTCGTCTCGTATATCATGTCAAATGCAGTGTAAGTGCAACATGAATCCATTCGTGAAGGAGGTGAGGTATATTATACAGAAACGACAATCTAGTCAATCATCCCAACAAGTCAGACAGGTACAATTAACCCAATCCCAAATTATCGCGCAACTGGCTCGCCGGCCCGTCATCCTCATCCGTCTCATCAGCATCAGGATCCATCATCCCACGCTGGCGCGGATCCCGATCTAGATCCTCGACGTGATCAATATCATCCTCGTGTCCACGTCCCTCAGCCCGCTCCTCCCCTTCATCTTCCTCTTGCTCCTCCTCCTCTTCCTCTTCTTCGTCCTCATCTTCTAATTCCTCCTCCTGCGTCTCATCCTCATCAACAACACCCTGCCCCGCAACACCATCCCCTTCATCTCTCTTCACCCGCTTGGCAGGGTTATCCTCCATCTCCACGTCCCCGTCGTCCCGAACAGGCGCAGCCCCCGCAACGCCAGTCTCAGTAGACGTCGCAGCCGCGCCCTCGGCCGCCCCTTCTTCTCCCTCGGTTTTCTTCGGCTTCCGCTTGTCGGCTTTGCTCTGCATGTACGCTTCGAGTTCCTGCTCGAGACGCGGACGGAAAGAGTCGAATTCTAGCTCCGAGAGCGCGGCTAGCACGTCTGCCGGTGCGACGGTGCGTTTGAGGGTAGATTCGTTGGCACTTTTCTTTTGTGTTAGCCCATTTTCTTCAAGTAGAAGACGTTGAAGAAGACAGTTAATCCGAAGGAGAGGTATTGCAGGACAGGAGTGGTCTTTTGGGAGAAGGAGTGAGAGTAAAGAATGATGGCAAAGGGCAGTCCTTACTGAGACGAGAGATACGACACAAACACCGTCGCTGCCTTCTGAATAGCCAGCACGGCATCCTTCTGGATAGTCGTGTTCGGCGGCAGCGCCGCTTTAGCCAGTCGTATCGTCAGCGAGCGCGGCAGCAGGTAGTCCTGTAAACGAGCGGAGTTAGTGATCGCCCTCGAAGAAGGTGGTATGCCCAAATGGGAGCGAATGTTGTACCTCAACGCTGACACCCAGCTCCGCGCGCGCCTTGAGCTGCTGTTCTGTTGCCGTGATGTTCTTTTCAGGCTGCTGCTGGGTTGGGGACAACTGCGTTGACTCGTCTGGGTCAGCGGGTGTGACGGATGAGGTGGACTTGCGCGGTGGCATTTTGGCGGTCTTTCCGGATGGTGAGTTGAGAGAGTGGGCTAAAATATCATTCGCATTCGCGGGATCCCAGAGGGGAGGTCGCACGAATGGGGTGTGGTCTCGGCAGGGTGGTGGTGAGAAGGAAGAAGAGGAACGCGACGCGAGGGCGGGCGGAAGGAGCTCGCTCGGTGGAGCGAGTACGACATACTATGGCCCACGCAGTAATGATGGGAGGGGACTTTTGTTCACCAACGCTTTTCATTTATGACTGCAGGATTCAATGATAATAAATGCTGGATCTTGCCAAAACGCCTACTTTTGGTATCCGTAAATAAAAGACAATGACAGGTCTACTCGGCCATCTCCTCGTCCTCGCCCTCGCCATTACCCCAAAGCCCCTCGATCTTGAACTCCTTGGCCCACTCGTTGACCACTTGTACGGTATCCACGCCCGGTTCAGCGTTAGCCGCCGCAGCGGCATCGTTCGAGGAGACCACGGGGAGCACGGGGGCATTGGCCCACCCCTGGATGCGGCCATCCCGCCAGTCGTTGATGACAGTCATGGCTGCACTCTCGACATTGGGAATACCACCCTTCCCGAGACGCCCGCGCTTGCGAGCCACCTGAATCAGGAAGTCGGTGGTCTTGTCACCATTGGACGGGAAGAGAGGCGGGATGCCATACACCTCCAGCATCTTGGCGATCAGGTTCTCCGATGTGGACAACCGCTTGATCAGAAGATTGACGGCCGGAATCGGGTCCTCGATCTGCTTGGGCGGAATGGCATTGAGAAGCACAAGGCGTGCTTGCTCGTCTTGCTTCTTGGACTTCTTGCTGGCTTTCTCGCCCATGTTGGGGAACACAATTCCCGGCGAGTCGATCAGCTTGAGCTTATTGTCGAGTTTGACCGAGCGCAGGCTGGTGGTCACACCGGCCTCGGCACCAGTCGGGCAGGCGTTGCTCGAGCCCTTGTTGAGACGTGCAGTGAGCGCGTTGATCACGGACGATTTGCCAACATTCGGGTACCCGATGATGCCGACGGAGATGGACCGCTTGAGCTGCTTGCTGTGGGCGTAGGACTTGAGCGCCCGGAAGAGCGTCTCGGAGGTGCCCTTGACCGTTAATTGCTTGTGGTCGAAACTGTGTGCGTTGGCGGAGCCATTGGACGCCTTCAGCGGAAGCGTAGGGAACGATCGCCGCAGGTGCAGCAGCCATCCTTTCAGCACGGGTGGCGGAACCAGATCGATCTTGTTCAGGATGAGGATCAAACGCTTGGATCCGCCATCTGCGGCCATGATCTCACGCTCCACCTCCTTCGACCGGGTGCCCTCGGGGTCGCGGGCGTCAAGCACATACAACACGACGTCAGCGGAGTCGACGACCTGCTTGAACACCTTGTCAAAAGCACGCCGGGATCCCTCCTTGGTGAAAGACTCTGCAGAAACCAGGTCGGGGACGGACAGCGCCTCGCCATCCTCCTCGTCTTCGTCCATTTCATCTTCATCCTCCTCGTCCTCGTCCATGCCCTCGTCGTCCTCCCCATCTTCATGCTCGTCATCATACTCAGTCGCCCGGGCCCGGGCCGAGGCAAGGAGGGCAGCCATCGGGTTCGAATCATCTGCATCCATGTCGTCGACAAAATCGTCGTCCTCGGCCATCAGGTCCACTGCCTGGTTGCCATTTGCGTCTGGCTGGGTCTGGTTGCGACGAGCGCGGGCCTCCTCCCGAATCCGCTGCTGCTCCTCTGTCTTCAGGCGTTTCTTCTCTTCGATCTCATGCAGAAGCTTGTCCTTGAAGGGGAAGAGGTTGGGAATGCCGGGGTCCTTCTTGAGCTTGGACCGCCATTCTGGGTTCTTTGACAAGGATTTCGGTCAGAATTTGCAGTAACAGGCCAACGACAGCGAGATGAAATACCTTCTTAGCCAGCTTCCGCTCTTTCTTCTGCTTGGCCACCGACGACTTCTGAATCTTGTGCCGTAAACGGACGGGCGTCCGCTTGGAGTGCTTGCCTGGTGATCTGGGTTAGGTTCTTCATGTTCAATCGCATGGTGGACAAGCAAAAAATCATACCTATCTTGACCATGGTCGCACCCTCTAATGTGAAAACAAAACGTGAAGCCAAGACAAGAAAGCAACAAAATGGGGCAGAAAAAAAGTGCGATAAGCGGAACAATGGTTTCCCGATCTCCGGTCGGGTGATCTACTCGATTCGGGTCAGCCCGACAACTACGTTCAATGTTCTTTCTTTCTTTCCTCGTTTTGCGATTTCTTGCCAGGATCTGTCTTCGGTCTCTACCTACCTAGGTGTATATATTCATTCGCTACTCTGATTCTCATTCTTTCCCTATCCCACACCCTCTCGGAATATCAGCTCGCCCCCAGCGCATCTCCCTTCACCCCGCCCCCGCCATGTCTCCCTCCGCCACAGGCACTTTCTCCGCGCCGCCGCAGGTTCACTCGTTTGACGGTGTGCTGTCCGACTTTGATGGAACAATTGTGGACTCGACCGATGGTGCACACCTCTCCCACAGTCGCAACTGAATCTAGCGCTGACTGTCATGATTCGAACAGCAATTATCAAGCACTGGCACCTGTAAGTGTGTCCCAACGATGCCAATCCCGATATAGCAGCTTTTCTCATTGATCGTCTCAATCAGAATTGCTAGTGAACTGGGTGTCGACCCAGAGACCATCCTAGCCACCTCACATGGCCGACGAAGCATCGACACCATGCAACTATACGACCCCAGCAAGGCTAATTGGGAGTGTGAGTATACTACTATGATAACTTTCGCTGAAATAGATCTAACATGGCTTCTTCCACCAGACGTCAACTTCATTGAAGGCCGAATCCCGAAAGAATACGGCTCCGACGCCCGTGAGATCCCTGGCGGCCGGGATCTGCTCAACGCACTGGAGAGCTCAGGCGCCCGCTGGGGCGTTGTGACGTCCGGCACACGCGCGCTGATTGACGGCTGGCTGGAAGTGCTAGGCCTGACACATCCCAAGATGCTGGTGGTGGCGGAGGACGTGGAGCTGGGCAAGCCCGACCCTCGCTGCTACCTGCTGGGCCGGAAGAAGCTGGGCCTCGAGCACTCTTCGTCGATTGTGGTGCTGGAGGATGCGCCTTCAGGGATCAAGGCCGGCAAAGCAGCCGGGTTCAAGGTCGTTGCGCTCACTACGACCCACTCGCTGGAGCAACTCCAGGCTGCCGGTGCCGACTGGATCGTTGAGGACCTGCGCAGCATTTCCATCAAGAGCGTCGAGGATGGTCGCGTCCAGCTTGAGATCAAGAATGCCTATCAATAGTTTCAGGTGTACACCAATGCAGGTGAATGCACTGGTCTGGAATTTATAACTGCAAGAAAGGGGACTCCGGTGTTTCAGATGGTTCATGTGCATTGTATATTTTCGGGTCATCTAGACTACTTACATTGAAACATTATGGGTAATTTACTTTTGCCCGGCGCTTATCTCTAAGCTCTCCTTTGTCATCTAACAATGACTCGAGCCCGTTGTCTGCAGGTTGATGTGTGACCATAGCTCCCGGTCAAGGTTAATTTCTTTGTCTGGATCTCCAACGAGGCTGAACTCTAGCGGTGGGCGCCTCCTCCGACCCTCGACGTGAGTGGCGCTTCAGCTGCCCCGGGAACCGGTGTTCATGCTCAACAACAGTCCCCAGATGCGTCGAAGCGGTTTTTGCCCGAGCAACAATAAGAATTGTCATGCAGAGCTCGAGAAGGAAGAAAGAGCTGTTTCTGGGTACCGTATGTATGTACCTTTGGTACCCGAGTACGTATGAGTTCCAGGGGTTCTTTTTTTTGCAAAACGTGGATGCAAGGGGAGAAAAGAGAGAGGTCAGGTTGCATGCGGCGCACGGATCGAGGTGCTGCGGCTGGTTCTGTACACCAATGCATACTCTGTGACTATCACAATAGTACTTGCCTCGAGCTGATCCTGCGTTCTCACCCCCAGGACGGAACGTAGATTGTACGAGATGATTTGTGTACCATGTGTACCGACAGAGATGTGATGACGACGATCACGTACTCCCAGGATTCCGATCCGGACCATGAGCCCCAAGTCCCACGGGCGCCTGTGGCTGAATGAATCCCAGGGATCATCACACACATCCACCGTGACAAATACGTGCATCCATCAAATACTGGTGGGAAGGATGCGCATTTGCGCACCGCCACAGATCTTTTTGGTTATTTGCTTTTTCCTGATCCAGGTAAGCCACACAAGGGATCGGAGGCACCGGGTCGATCAGACCTGTCACATCGGAGATCGGACCCTCCTCCTGCCTGTCTGACGGAGACACTATTGTCACCGAGAAGCCCCGAGTTTCAGCACTTGCAGAAATGGTCACGAAATTTACGAGCCCAGGCTGGAATGCCAGGCATCCAGCAACAAAAGACCCCAAGCAGGATGCACGAAGCGGGGACCTCAGGATCCGAAGTACAGGACACAGGGATGGGCGTCCCGATCCGAAGATCCTCTGGTCAGCAGTCCCCGACGACCTAATACGGTATTGTGCTGGCTCGAGTGGTGCTGGCTGCTGTCACACCGTCCCGGTCGATCAGTGCATCGGCCAACGAATTCCTCCGGAATCCTTCGTCTCGTCCCATCCGTCCGGGCTCTGGGTATTTGAGATTCTCCCCCGACACAACGGTTCACGCCAGATGCCTAATAGTCAGATGGGGCGCCAGCGATCCGTGCGGGATTCACGCGCTGCGCAGATCAACCCAGACTAAAAGAGCGGGGATCGTAACTATCCACCCGAGTCATGTTGTGTTCTGGTGCTTTCTGCAAATCCCAGGACATGGGGGCCGGCCATGGGACGAGGGAGGCCTAGGATGGGGCCAACTAGTACGTAAGGTGTGCGCGGCAGCTCGGGGCTTCTCGATCTGGCCGCTCCTGACCTTCCGTATCTGCACGTGAAGAATCGCGAGCGGACGGCAGCTGGGCACGCCATGTCTGCCGCGGACGGGATACAAAGTTTTCCAGATAAGCGCCAACTTCAGACTGAGGGGGTGAATCATGAACCATGACAATTCGGGGATGCCTGGAGAGAGGGGTTCCTAGGAAGATGTCTCCGGGCAAACGAGGAGGGATTATCCCGGTTCGCAATCATCCCCACTGCAAGTGTAACTCGAATTCATCGGGGTTCACTGGAGCGTTGGAGGACCTTTGGGGCTGATCCTCATACATTGTACTCGAGAAGGGAAGGGGATGATCCCGTGATCGACTGTGCCCTGAGACGTTTACTGTCAATGCGACAATCAAAGAGAGACCGAATTCCCCCTCCGGCTCATGATTTTCAAAGATGTGCAAAGTACGTAGCTCCACGTCTCTCCGCGAGGTACATCCCGATCACTGTGATCGCCCTGCGTAACCCTCGTGATATACTTGCATGGAGATCTCTATCCGAACCAGGGCTAACCGGGCACCCGGGAGGGCGATTGTGTCACTCTGAGAAAAAAAGCTCGGCAGATCCCCGGTCAAGGATCGACAGGATCGGTGCACTATTGATGTTTAGCCGGTCTTGGCCGACTGCCACGCTGCCCGACACGGGGAGGGGGGCCCAGCAAAGTCTCTCGGATATCGTCACTACTGTCGACGATCTCCTTTTGATCCATTTGTGATCTTTCGGGGATCGTGATCGCCTGACCCAGCGCCCGGGAGATCGTGAATATCTCGTACTTCTGTCAGTGGGGACTATTACACGGGACTAGGCCGTGGTAACACTCCTGGGCTCAGACATGGCACTAATGCAGGAACTGCCCTGTATTTCGGTGACCGCGGGATCATCGGCCTGGATCTCGTTTGTTTACCTTTTTCACTCTAGGGGGTGGCGGCCAGTGTTGTGTACGCCGTGGACAATACAGTACCGACCTCGACTCCACATCATTAATATACCGTTCGGCCGGCATTTTGCCCTGAAGAAAAAAGACACTCCCTATGCATCTCTGCGGCGGTAGGCCTCGTTAGATACGTTGTTCTACTCCTCCAGGTCAACCTCTGGCCCCAACCAGGTTTCATCCAGATTACCCGCCCAGGGCCGCCCAATCAGGCCCCTCCCCCTGGTGCGGTTCCCGTCCCGTACCAGCCAGCCGTCCCCGTCTTTCCACCCCCCAATCACTCGTTCGACCCTCGATCCTCTGGACTCTCTCCCTCTCTTCTCTCTTTCCCCCCAAACACACACAACACACCCGTTTGTTTTTTTCGCCTTCTTGACGCTCCTTGTCTTTCTTTTCTTTTTTTGTTTAGTTCCTGTTCCTCGGGAACGTCCACTCCTTTGATACCTTCCCCTCCCTAAACCTCCATTCTCTCCTTTACCAACCAGACCCTGCGCCGTCGTTCCCTCATTTCTTTTTCTTGCACTGCCAACCGCCTCCAAGGGTCCTATTGCGCTCCCCCATCGCCACCAGTCGGTCGATCACTTTCATCACCACCCCTCGATGATATAGACCGCGACCCTCGAAGCTGCGACGTTCCCGTGCAGCTCTCACTTCACTCACTCATCGCTCCACCACTCCCTCCCTCCCTCCCGCCCACTCCACGCCTAGCCATGAGCTATATCCATCCTTCGTGGAATTATGCCGGCCATGCGGGCATCCCGATGGACCAGCCCATCGCGTACGATCCCAACATGGTGCCTCCCGCCATGATGCACCCCATCGACGGGTACATATATCCGCACCCGCCGATGGACATGATGGACTACTACCACCAGCCGATCATGGACTACGAGGAATACGCTGAAAACCTGTCCCGGCCTCGCTTGACCAAAGAGCAGGTCGAGACGCTGGAGGCCCAGTTCCAAGCCCACCCCAAGCCGAGCAGCAACGTCAAGCGCCAATTGGCGGCTCAGACGAATTTGAGCCTGCCTCGCGTTGCAGTGAGTTACGCCGAACCTTTTTTTCAGTAAAACTATAGACTAATTTCTATATCATAGAACTGGTTCCAGAATCGACGTGCAAAGGCCAAGCAGCAGAAACGCCAGGAGGAGTTTGAGAAGATGCAGAAAGCCAAGGCCGAAGCGGAAGAGGCTGCTCGCCAAAAATCCGAGACCTTGGACCAGCTATCCGAGTCCCGGCAGTCGGGCACCAAGGCCAAGGAAGAGCCTGAGAAAGCCTCCCCTGTCAAGAAGGCACCGGAGGCGTCCACCTCCGACGGTCCTTCAAAGAGCCCGACCAAGTCTCTAAAATCCGCCTCCAAGCACCACAAGACAAAGAGTGAAACGGCCCGCGAGGCAACTTTTGCTTCTCTGCAGAGAGCTCTCAATGCCGCCGTTGCAGCCCGCGATCGATTCAGAGGCAAGGACTCCCGCGCCAAGAAGGGATCGACGGAAGACGAGGACGGCGACATATCTCCTACCACCATGGCGCCGCCCAAGGCTCCCAACAGCAGCCACCGTCATGATCACAGTGGACACGCCGCTCTCAGTGCTGCCTTCCCGGATTGGGACGCGAAGGAGGGGCCTACGTCGTGGGGTGCGACTAGCAGCCCCGACGAAACCATCGGCTATAGCACCTCGGAGGCGACTTCGTTCACGACAACCAGTCAGCCGTTGCATGACATATCCGGCTCGCATCAGAACCAGGACGCGTTTGCGGGTACTCACTATCATCAGGCTGGGGAATGGGACGGCACGAACGCAGGATCCGAAATCGGGATTGCCTACAGCACTTACTCGATGCCTATGCAGGCTCCTGATATCTCGGTCCACAGGCGTGAGTCCGATGCGATGTCAAACTCTTTGGAGGGCATTGGAATCTGTACTCCTGGTCAATCTGCCTTGTCGCAATCTCTGCCCCGGGCTGGAGAAGCGTCGTGGAGAGAACCCGCCAAGGAACTTGACCTCGCTGCCCGGCGAAAGCGCCCACGGCCTGCTGCTATTGGAACTTCCGGGGCCCGCACACTGGCTCCCTCGACCTCCATGTCGTCGCTCTCGCCAACGAATCGCAAGCCGAGCTCTGGCGCCGGTCACTCGGTACGGCAGTCCAAGTCGACCCAGAGCCTCAATTCTCGGTACGCCGGCGTGAGGAAGGTGTCCGCTGCTCAGCGTTCGCCTCTCAACTTTTCGACTTTCTCCGAGTCCGGGACCATGAAGTCCACCAAAGCTGAAATGCTGCGGCCGTCGGTCTCGTCTACTACCTTGGCTCCTCCAACCCCCTTGACACCGCAGGATCTGCAGCACTTCATGCCAAACTCACCCACGGACAGCAATTACTGCTTGTCGGCACATTCAGCCACGCAATTCTTCCCTTCCTCGCAGTCCATGCAAGTGAACATCGCCTCGCCTCCCGCTACACCGATGGATTTGTACTCGCACTTCCAGTACCAAAACATTGCGCCTCCGATGTCTGCTCCCGCCCATGTGACTAACTTCCCCGAGTACGCCGCCACCTGTGACCCGGTCCCCATGTCCGCACGAAGCTGGACAGATGCCCCTTCGCTCGCCTCTCCCGATTTCCCCGCTGGTCTTCAAGTACCACAGTCGAGCCATGTTTCGCCTATGGGGTATGACTCGGCGATTGAGCACACGGGCCACGCTTTTGGGGTCGAGCCGGTGTCAGGCTCACCGTCTTTGATCTACTCGATTGAGGACGCTGATATGCCGGGCTCTACGGACCGGAAACGGACTGAGTTCATGATGCATCAAGAATTTCCGGAGCATCGGGATGCCCATCACTACATCGCCCACCAGCTGCCGGGGGCTCAGAAAACGAAAGCCTATACGTTTGCGAACAACGCGCCCCCCCACAGCTACCCTGCCTGAGAGCTGCCCGATCATCTCCACGGATCATGTATGAGATATGTGCTGCGATTTGCTTTTTTCTTGCTTTTTTGTTTGGGATGAACTGTGATGCATTTTCTTGGTTCCCCCGCGTCCTTTCTTCCCACCTACGGGTGCCTCATTTCCAACTCTTGACCCCACGCCGGGATTCGCCAACTTTGTGGATTTTGTTATGTCTTCTATATATTTTCCTTTCTTGTTTCTCTACTTGGGTGGTCTCACCGCGGTTTTCTTTACATATTCGGAGCATATTCTGTCTTTTTTTTTGCATTGTGTTTATTGGCCTGGGATGTTTTTTTGGTGTCCGATATACGACTTACTCTTTTAATTCTGGTGAGCACCCAAAAGCTGCTCAAGACTTTTTTTCCTCTTCACAGTTCATTCTTTGGATTCGGTTCGACTTTTGGATGGGATCTGGGTTTGGCAGCGTCTGATATATACGGCTTGAGAACCTTGTCACGTACCTATTTCTTTTGCACACAAATTTTCTGGTCTCATATTTCAATAATAATACATACCAAAAGGGGGCTGATGATTTAAATTCCGCTTCAAAGTTTCCCCGATTGGCAAAGAATCCGCTTGGAAAACCGACGGGAGTCGATAAATGACGATCAGCAAGTCCGCAACAGCCTCGTCCGTCACGGCAACGCAAGCCTCCGGCGGCGCACCTCGATTTCGGTCGTTTACCCGTAACAACCAAGTGGCCCCCACGTGTATGTTACCACAGGGTCTCGGGCCTTCTCCTCACGACTCACAATGTGGAGACGGAATGCTTTGTCGGCTAATTTCTTGCTTCTTCATGACACGCAGATATAAAGGACGTCGACTATCGATCTACTCGTAGAAACTCTACGGTCAGAACGGAGTCTGTCCGAAATTCTCTGAAACCCGCTTTCTCCGGTACGCCTTAGCCCAGGTCACGTCCCCCCCGATGAGGTTACTAGCCATCTCCGGTCCCGCCCTGGTGGGCCTTGCGGCGTCAGCCCACGCCGCTTCCATCAACTACGCGACGGTAAAAGGTTATTTCCTGCAGGACGAGAGCTCAACGGATGCCTCTACCTTTGACTTTGTAAGCACTACCCGGTCATTGATTAGGGTTTTGTGACTAAACTTGGGGGGTGTAGACCACCGTGGACTTTGGGCTCATTAACCGGACATATCCGACGGACAAAGACATAAACAACCCTCAAACTAAGACTCAATGGGAGCGCTTCTACCACCAGGTTCTCACGCTCAACAAGGAGTCGTCTCAGGACGTTGAGTATAAGGTTCTCTTCCTTGGGCGCCACGGAGAGGGATGGCATAACGCGGCGGAGGACTACTATGGGACCCCTGCATGGAATGTAAGTTAATCCCATTCTCTCCGGGTCTCCACAGCCGCATGGCAAATACTGACATGACTTGCATAGTGCTACTGGGCCGAGCTAGATGGCAACGGTACCGCCACCTGGTTCGACGCGGCACTCACCACCGCCGGCATAGACCAAGCTCTAGTCGCCCATAACTTCTGGCAAAAGGAAATCAACGAGCAGCACATCCATACACCGGACAGCTACTATGTCAGCCCGCTCAAGCGCACTCTCCAAACAGCCAACTACACATTCACAGGCCTCACTCTGCCCCACGGAAGCACGCCCTTCGTACCACTGATCAAGGAGCTTTTCCGCGAGGGGATCAGCATCCACACCTGCGACCACCGGCACAACCGCAGCTACATCCACGAACTATTCCCATCCTGGCCTATCGAGCGGGGCTTCACTGAGGAAGACGACCTGTGGAATGGGGTAACGGCCGAGACAAGCGCGGCCCAGGATGCGCGAAGCAAAAAGGCTCTGGACTCGGTGTTTTTCTCTACTACCGATCCTAAGCAAGACGCCTTTGTCTCTGTTACCTCGCACTCCGGTGAGATCGCTTCTATCCTTCGGGTGCTGGGACACCGTGACTTCAGTCTGAATACCGGCGCTGTTATCCCTGTCCTGGTTCGTGCCGAGAAAGTGGCTGCTACGCCTACTTCATCATCGCTTCCTTGGACTGTTAGCCCGCACTGCACGGCGCCCCCGGTTACGTCTGTGTCGGCTTGTGTATGTCCGTCGAGCGCGGCACCTGTAACGACTCCGCTGGTCTCGAATCTCTAGGTCTTTGCATATTCCCTGGCCATGCGCCGATGACTATAGGATGGCTGTGTGTCTGAAAAGATAAATGGTTTATTGCCCGATTTACAAAATAAAAATCATCTTTGTTTGCCCTGGTGAGAAATAATGACGTTTCTGAAGTATACAACCCACATTTAGAGTTAATCTAGACAAATTTAAGCTTCCCACCCATGCCAAATCTAAAAAATTTGCCACTCTTTTTCTCCCCCTTTTCATTGAGATAAGAAATAGATGATTTGAGTTGCTTCCTTCTATGGAAAGCAAAAAGTACGTCCCCGGGAAGGCTCGAACTTCCAACCTCCTGATTAACAGTCAGACGCGCTAACCAATTGCGCCACGGAGACGTTCATTGTGTGGCGTTTTTCATGGGCAGATGAAGAGGAGATTCTTCAATGTATCTTCAAAATGTCATTTTGGATCTGAGAGCTATATACATAATGTGTAGAGGATAATGTCTGGCGTTCCTTTGACCTGCCGTTTCCTAATTTAGTGCTCACCCGTCGCTCCCTGAGTATAACTGAGCACGCCCCTGAGCGGCCTGACTTGCTGAGCATGACATAATCGAGTTTATGGGAGGAATTGAGAGCTGGGTTGATCCTAGTGCTTTCCTCTAGCCTGTCCTGTACCATGCGTAGATTCCAGATGCTTGCTGTTAGAATGTCTCTGGTTCTGCGTTTATGGTTGGTTGCTGGTTCAACACAAGTGTTCGTGTTCTACAACCCTCTCTCTGCCAAAATCACCACCTTGTTATATGCAGGAATACTGTCTAACCTCAAAAATAGCTTCTCCATATCGCCAGTGGAAATGACCGACTACAAGAATACGAAACCAGAGAGACATTTTCAGGATTGATCCTCAAGTGTGCTTTCTGCAGAGTCTGTGGGTCGACCATGTTGCTCTAGAGCCAGTACTTGAAAGATATGGGGTGGATCTCAATCACTACCGGGACGATCGAGAAAAAGCAGCACCGTTTTCCTGATGTTGAGCTTTTTAGTAGGAACAGACGACCTTGGGTGTCTGAGACACCTACATCACAGAAAACAGACGCGCGGCGAGAGGACTTATGGCCACCGATAGGCTCTACCCTTGGTTCAGAATTATTCAACTCCAGTTGCTCTGCAGGGCAGAATGTTGACGCCTCCAAAGCTTTTTCATTACTCTGGCACTACTTATTCATGGCAGGTTTGATTATTAGTGGACAGCCGCACAGATTAACCCCGTAAGCCCCGTTAAGCCCGGCCCTGGGCGTCTTACCAACCAAACTATAAAAATCATCTGTGGCTTAAGCCCCTCTCCTAGTGATTGGAGTGATTGGTATATACAAATACCAATAATGCTGCCGCTGCTATCCTTATAACCCGCTCTCTTTCCCAGTTTTAAATCCTAGTCTCAAGTCTCATACAAATAAATATGAATCGTACCGTACATATCTACAACCCACTTCAACCACCTGTGGAGCTAGACCTAGTCACTTCCACCCCTCTTGAACCCTCCAGCCCTCGTCCAACCTTCATTTTCTTTCACGGCGGCGGTCTTGTCAGCGGTTCGCGGCGCGGCCGGTTCCCGCCACTACCAGTGAAACTGTTGCTCGACCGAGGTTGGGCGGTCGTTGTCCCAGATTACCGCTTGCTGCCGGAGGCCGGCATCGCCGATATCCTCGACGACCTGCGTCAGCTAGAAGCATGGATTGTGCAGTCTGCAGTGGGGATTGATATGGATCATGTCGTTGTTGGGGGATCGAGTGCAGGTTCCCTGGTGTCAATCTTTGCTCTCTCTGTGTGGAAGACAATCAAACCGCGCGCCTTCCTGTCTCTATGGGGCATGGCGCAGACTGAGGGCGAGTGGTATAGTCGTCGCCGGGCCGAGTCAGACCTGCTGGGAGGCGTCCCTGCCAGCCAGCTGCACGAGGAAAACGTTGCTCCCTATCTGCAGCCCGGACGGCCGCATATCTCAACTGATGAAGGGGACATGAGAGACCCTGGTAGCCGAGCATCGCTTTTTTTGTGGCTGCTGAAAAAGGGTACGTTATTCGATTTGCGCGCCCGTTATCGGTGTCTATATACTTACTTATTAACACTCCAGGCCGGATTGGTCCTATCATCAGCGACTCGGTGAGAACAGCCATCGGCACGGAAGCCCCGTTGGACCTGATAAGCTCCTCCTATCCACCCACGGTTATGGTGCACGGCACCGCCGACACAGTGGCGCCGGTGACGGACTCGCGGGCGCTGGCGGCCGCCCTGGGGCGGGTTGAAGTTCCGGTGCGCTTGATCGAGATCAATGGGGCGGACCATGGACTGGCGCCGCAGGATAAGTATCGCAATTCCTTTGAAGAGGCAGTCTTGGCTGTGGAAGAGTTCACAGGAAACTGAGAGTTATCAAACGGGGAGACAATCGATAGTCCGAAGAAGAATATTGAACTTGGGAGGAAAGGCTTGGAGCGAAATATATATCTTTCTAACACGACTACAAAAGGCTCCCATATGGCCTCTTTAAAGATAAGACAATAGTCACAAAGCATACGGGTGCACGATCTGTGTTACTATAGAAGGTGATCCCTACTCCTCAAGTCTATCTAGTATAAAATGGGTCAATTCAAGTGTTCATCTGCATTATCAGCTCAAAGTTGAGTCATAATTTATTATAGTACAAGTAACTAATCATTGGTCGTCTCCGTGGCGCAATTGGTTAGCGCGTCTGACTGTTAATCAGGAGGTTGGAAGTTCGAGCCTTCCCGGGGACGAACTTTTTGCTATCAATTCCTTGAATTGAAAACCATTTTGAAATTTATTTTTTTTCTGCCGCTGGAGTTCACTTACGTTGAGCATAATGCTGCCGACAAGAAAAGAATAAAATATCGAGTTATTTCTATCCGCGTCGTCTTGAAACAAAAATATGGTATAGTTATCATACCCAGAATCAAATGGAGCAAAAGGTATCACCGTCAATCTGAAGCTACCTGGAAGCACACACACGCAGTCGGAGAGCCGGGGTGAAAAAGCATAGGCAACAAGGGGTGGATATTGTGCGTTTCAGCCAGAGGCTCTGCAGAACAAAGATAAATTATAGACAGAAGAAAGTCAAAAAGAGAGCCGGGTATCCGATTCTCAGGGATACGGGGGAAAAAAAAGACCAACGGCAATACACAGGACAAGAAAGCACCGTACGAAGGAGACAAGAGATGTAATAATAAACAAACATAACAAAAGTCGAGAGTGACAGCGGAAATGGAGAAGTTTCCCTCGGCCCCTGACCATCCCATCTATCGACCCATATGGCAAGAAAGTAGCAAGTAACAGCGTACAAAGTCGTAGTTCCTGTAGCACTCTGTCCAGATGATAATGGGAAGCATTTCAACTCCAAGTAGTAAGAAGCAACGCCACGGAAGAAAATAGAACAAAAAAGGGTACCAGTTAAGACCGGAACGCAATCAGGGAACAGCAAAGGGTATAGGAAGGTTAGCCCAGATTAACATTAACCGAAGATCCCTTCACACCGAGGACAATCAACACAGGTGGACACGAAGCAATGCAGTTTGGAAGAGAAGAGAACAGAGACACACAAAGAAGCAAGTAAAGAAGAAACAAAAAGAGCAGATAGCAAAGATGGGACAGTAGCATCTTAGATGATGCTTGCAAAGTCTGTAAACGCCCAATCTAGACAACGCCGACCGCGATCTAGTAGCCTGACCATCCACCTAACGGGCTTCCTGACTGACCCTGCTGAGGTTGGCCAGGCTGCTGCTGCATCTGACCTCCGGACCCAGCGGGCCACCCAGCAGGCATGCCCCCGCCCCCCATCCCCATCGCATAGTTCGCCTGCTGCGGGTTCCCGGCCATGAAGGCTTGCTGCTGCCCTCCCTGGCCTTGAGATGCTTGATACATTGCTCGTGCCATAGCGGGATTGTAGCCCGCTTGTTGGCCCCCGGGAAAGCCCATGTTGCCCATCGGTTGTCCCTGCGCGGCTTGCGGGTGATGCATCTGGTATTGCTGTGGCATTTGTGGCACTGACGGCCGTTGCTGGTTGCGAGGCGACTGAGAAGGGTGATGAGGCTGTTGGCCATGGTGAAGGGGTGAGGCACCCTGTTGCGGAGCTATAGGCATTTGCTGACCATGCTGGCTATATTGAGGCATCTGGTTTGGTTGCGGTGGCGGATGACCCCACACCTGCTGCTGCTGGGGTGCGTATCCGTAAGGAGCTTGTGCCGCCAATGTTGGATTGGATCGCTGCTGCATGAGGTGCTGTTGCATCCCCGGGTGCATGCCTCGGACCGGCGACTGACCCATACCCTGTTGATGGGTTTGCTGAGCATAGTTGGCTTGTCCTGCCATCATCGAGGCTTGGTGAGGGTGCACGTTCTGCGCATGAACAGGGGTTGTCATCCCTGCTGGCATCTGAGAGGGTTGGATTTGTTGCGATCCGGATATACCTGGGTCCACGCCAGACTGTCCCTGGGATGTTGGGACGGGTGCTTCCCGTGGCGTCGTATAGAACTCATCGAGACCCTTCTGGCGGTAGTTGCGCTGTGAACTCAAGATTTTGTTGAAGTCGGCGGTGTGGGAAGCCTGATTGATAATCTCCGCCGCTGAACTGGATTGGGTGCGGTCCTGATAGGGCTGGCCCGTCAATTCTTGACGTGGAGGTGATACACTGTTATACTCGTGCAGTCGGGGATCGTCCGAGGAGGCCAGATGAATCATCGGAAGCGAAGAGAGCGAAAGGGTCGAATTGGGGTTGAGAGACAGGCCTGGAGGCAGGGGTTCAATCACGCTGCTATAAATGACATCGTTATGGGGTAGCGTCGGCAACAGGTTGGAACTGGCGGTTTCCGCTGCAGCTCCATCACGGGCTTTGGTGGCTCCGGGACGTTTCTCTCCTGCCAGGTCATCCTCTGTGAAGCCCTGCTTCCGTGCCTTGCTCTCCCAGTAGTCATCACGAACTCGTCGACCGTTGACAATCACGCGACTCCCAAACTGTCGAAACATGGATCTGGCGGACACGATGGCGATTTGGCGAGATCGATAAGAGTAAGGGAGGATATCCTGCCGAATAAGGTCGTCCTTTTCAATCTGAGAGGCGATGATCTTGTGCAAGGACCGGTTCTTATTGAACAAAAGATACGAGTCGCGATAATTCAACACCCTCGCGCATTCTGTCGCAAGCATGAATAGCTTCGTCCCGCGGTTCGGTACGCAGAACGTGCGGCACTTATATTCACGGCCACCTTGCGGGTATCCCATGGCGTCCGCCTTGGTCTCTCCAGCCTCGTCAAATTCCTTTGGTATGTATTCGTCGCCCTCTTCATTCAGCTGGTCGGAAGTATGGTCCCGCACCGTCGGAAGGGCTTTAACTTGCGTCTTGTTTGGCGTGGTCTTCTCCGGAGGCGACGCGAGAGCCGGCGACGTGGCATTCTGCCGGGGAAGAGGATGCGACTGCATCCGAGGAGTCTGAACTGGCGTTGTTATGGATGGCTGTTGGTCGGTGGATTCTGCTCGAGGGGTCTTGGGTGGACGACCGCGCTTGCGACGACTGTGATCTTCTAGAAAGCAAGGATAAGTTAGCGCATGTTTCTCCGGGGACATGCATGGCGCGATCAATGATTAAGGGGCGCGCAAGTGGTAATTTGAAGGGCATGAAGAAAAACGAGAGGCCTGCTCTCCGACGGCGCAAAAAGGCGCAAAGGAGAACCCCCCTAGTGCGCACATACCATCATCCTGATCTCCTTCTGCCTGTCCATTCCCGCTGTGCTCCGGAGAGCGACTTCTTTTCACACCACGGGGACTTGTTTCTGCAGGGGACGGCGCTGGCATGACACCAGAGACTAGGAGGGCCATCAGTTTGAAGGTTGGCGATTAGGAAGGGACTGAAGGCTAGTGAAAGATAGAAATGCAGGAGCCGTGCGCTGACCGATCGCAAAAAAGTGATCGGTCGCGCAAGATGCCGAGTAGCAGCGGACCCGGGAGACAAAATGCACAGACGACAAGAGAGAAAGAAGACAAAGGGTAAGCGTACCGGAATTGCTCAGGGCCGCCGGGTCGATGGTCCCGGAGCCATCGACGACATCGCCTCCCATCCCATTCATCGTCGACATGGAGTGAGGCGTGCCATACATAACGGGGTGTTCAAGAGTTCAAAAGAGTGGGCGGAGGAGAGGCGCGTCAGGCGGACGCGACGAAAAGAGAGAAGTTGAAGAAGCGGCTGGGGCTTGCATGCAGGAGCCGTGCCTTTTGGGGGAGAGGATCAGCGGGGAGAAAGACGAAGAGAGTCGGCAGCTTAGGTTGGTTAGGTTAGACAGGATCGAACTTGGGCTGAGAGGGGGAAAGGGACGAGAGGCGGTGAAGGTTGATGGCCTGAGGAATGAGGCTGCCAGGCACCGCCACCGGGGGGGAGAGAGAGGGTGTGAGATGGGGCTGGGCGCGCCTTGGGATGCGCGATAATAAGACTTGCAAAGTCTGAACGGGGAAAAGGTAAGGTTGCAAGGGGGCACGAAACAGAAAAACAACTGATTGGTTGGGGGTAGACGATCGGGGGTTCAAGGCGTCAATCTGCACGGAAAAGACCGCTGAGTCTGTGTTCTGCGCCGTTCTTTTTTAAAACATCCCTTCAGGCAAATCCGGAGCCCGATGGCACTGGGCGATGGTACGATGCGAGGGTCCCCGGTCGAAGGGCAACGTGTGGGGATCAAATCAGATAGACTCCACGGAGAAGCCGATCGGAACAGAGCAGGGCAACTTCGCGCGCAGGGATGAGTAGGGCTGAGATTGCCCGAGTAGAAGAAAATGATAGACTCACATCCAATACGCAGACAGGGTCTGGGAAATGAGAGAAAAGATGAGAGGTGAAGACGTGCAACCGTCACACAACCTGATTTGAAATCCCCTGGCGCCCAGGAGACCGTTGGAAGATTCCCTCAGATCACGAGGTAGTTCATAGACTAGAGGAAAGTAATGATCATAATAATGCAGGACGATCCTCGACTATAAAGCCGCATTTTGCCAAATCCCCGTCCATGATGCCTTTCCCCTTCTAGACACCACACGCCTTCATCACAGCACCAGAGGACTAGCAAGTGTGATAGGCCTTTGGAACCCCAGGTAGTGAGCAGGGTTGTGTAACTTAAGTTGTCTTAAAACCCTGAAAACTACATACTCAGTACGGTATACGATAGATTGCCCGACAAGACCGAGTATCTACTCTCTTAGGGTTAGTTATCTTCAGCAAGCCCAAACGCCCGGCGGGGCGATGTGCAATCGGATTAGACCGGGTTGGCCGAAAGACCTGGTGATCAGTGTCTAGGGCTCCTTTGGCGCCAAGGACCCGGGATTTCTTGTTTTTCTCTCTTTTTTCTTCTTTACCAAACCCGACTAGCAAATGAGGGGCGCGGGCAATAAGGTCCGTGAAGGACGAGCCAAACCGATTGCAAGCCCAGAGCTCAGGCCGCATCTTGTCCGCCTGAATGAGACTACGGGCCCTAATCCGTACTAGTTAGCCGTGGAAGGCTCGCCTCGTGCGTGATCATTGGTCCTGGCGGAGTTGCGGCCGATATCCGTCTTTTGGATCTCCGAGGATGTGGAAGCATGATCCATGATGATAGACCTTTCTGAGTATTATGAGAATGACCGGATTGGTCTGGCGAGAGGGCAGATGACTGAATCGAAAGCAGACGAGACTGACGGCACGGGGCGATCACTTGAGCGGGCGCTAGGCAGTCGATCACAAGCGGCCCATGCGTTTTTCGACCCTTGAACGGTGAATTCCAAATCATCCGCCGGTATTGGGTACTTATGATGCGATCTGGGTGAGAATCGACTTCGGCAGCCCCTCCAACGGCTGTACGCAGCGGAGCAAGACCGTCCTCCGTCGCACAAAAACGACGCGACTGCCCCAAGCGTCAACGGTAGCCTCTCCCCGGTCATACAGCAGCCGGCCTGCAGTGCTCGCTGCCCTTGACACGCTCTGCCACGATGGTTCTTCCCCGTTGCACAGATAGAAATCCGCTACACAAGGTGACTGCAGTACTACTTTTAGGTATTTGCATTTAATCATTCTTTGATTAGCTTGGATCGGCTGGCTTGGGTCTGATCGCTATATATGCTGCTCGGCCCGCTATGCGTATCTGACGGGGACGTTATCTATCAATGCAGGAGAACCAGACTCGAGCATGATAACGTACAGTCCTATATGAAGCAACAGCTTGGCTGATACGAAACACTACTGATGATCTTCATGAAGCAATGGAGACGCCGGCTCATGCTAACATTTAGCGCTATTCTCGGTGCGTCCGAAAACTAGATTCACCAGTAACAAAGTCGCTCCTATTGGTCAGTTAATTTCTTGAGAATCTCCGACTGACTCTCTTTGAGGAGATATTAGGCTGCCTAGTTGGATGCAACGGCAACACTAAACACCACTGCACTAGTGGCGAAAAAAGCATGGAGATTGCAAGGTTGAGTCTACAGAAAAAGCTTGGATTCAAGGCTAAGCTCCTCTGAAGAAAAGGCAACCTGGAATGAGGGAGCACATGCCCTGGCCACGCCCAACGTCCAGTCTAAATTGCTGGGCGACTCATGCGCCATAATTCGACAGAACAAGATGCAGGATGGTGAAATGTTAGACCATGTGAACGTGGAGGAATCATGGGCCAGCGGACAAGCAATCTTGTTCGGTACTGGCCACGCGTTGCACGGAATTGCGTCTAGAATGCCAGAAGATGTGATCTACCACCACGACTACGAAAGCTGACGAAGTCTCGAATGATCTTGAGTTTCCACAACGCCATCACGGCAATCTCGGGCCCAGGTAAGTGGGAGTGTGCACGGTTCTCCGTGGTCGCCATGGGGGATTTACAGAAGACCACGCAGATCATGACGGTTACTGCGGGATGATTTCGGACGTAGAATAACTCAATCGTAGCGAAGCGAATTTCCATCCCTCGAATGTAACAAAGTTGAGACATCGAATCGAGGCAATGTGGTTCTCTGAAGTTGCAATGCTGTGGAGTGGATTGAGTTCTTCCGCCCGCGTATTGAAGGGACCCAATGGCGATGCGCTCTCTCATTCATCATGCAGAGCATCCCGGTCGATCTGACCTGCCAATCACCAAGATAGGCAATATGCCAGGATGATGAGGCCCCCGCGCGTCCATGCACTAGTGACAGCCAAGAATGTTTCAGACTCCACGGACCGGTAAGCGATGTGCATGGATTGAACGTAACAGATGACCTTATTGGTATGGAACAAGAAGACCCCAGAGAGAGTCACTCGCCTTGTTGCAGTAGCTTGTATGGAGATCTTGGGGGACCTTGTGAATGAAGGGTAGATTGACACTTGTCAGCCTGGCCATTTGGCGGTAATACCTGAATTGTAGCCACGATGATCAGAAAAGCAAACTCATTTCATCGTCTCTTGTTGGATCCGATCTCCAAAGCCGATCAGCACCGGAATTTGTAATAGAAAGTCTACAACGTACAGTATCTCTGGCAACATACTCCCATCGCTGGCGCCAAAATTGCCATAGTCTGAAGGTTCGGTACTTTATATGATAAACTTTTATCAATCAATGCTGTCCCAGTTTGCGATCGACACGAACAGTTTCGGGCGCGACTGCGGACGGGCCGAACGAGTCCACATTGAACCAGAAGAATAGCTGCTTTCAAACATGTTCTTGCCGCCACTAAGCAATCGTAGTAACATGTAGCAGATAAGGGACATTTGAGACCTCCTCGAAACAAATATCTCAGCAAACAAGTAGATGACACTATAAGGAAAATTGATGAAGCTATCTCTCATTTAGCACTCACCAGAGGCGATGAGGCGTTACCACCTCAGGTCGGCAGGCTCCAATGCCTTACTGCGCGTCAACACGTTAGCTTTGAAGGGGATAAGTTCTTTTCACCTTACAAGAGCCACGGGAAGGCTCAACAATTCTTCGCTGTCTTATCAGTGCCGGTCCTAGGCATGGTGCTTGTGCAATTGGAGGATCTTGCCTCTCTTTCACGATCTATGCCGTTCTTCGTCTGCGGTCTCCTCTCTGCTTCCTGAAGAAGACACAGCATCTCGAATAATAGATACTACCGTAGAGCGCTGCGTATGAATACTATTCCAAGAACAGCTCAAACTACGTCCATGAGTTGCCTTGTGAGCTGCCTATGTCCATACTTCGCGACATTATGGCTGCAGCGGCAACAATACGCTACCTGGCTCACACTGCTATGCATGAGACGGTCGATCGCAACAGGGAATTAGAGTTATTTCGTTCTAGAGAAGTCTAGATTGAAATATGTTCGCATTGCAGAACGTACACCATGGATTCGGAACTCATAATATTTCCCTATCCCCAAAGCACCTCGAGAGCGATACCAGGACCGTCGATCTTGGTCCACTCTCCGCACTTGAGAAACGGAGAGCGATTCACGCTCTGTGGCAGCTTTTGATCGTAAGGGAGTTGCACAGTGCAGCTACTTGTCGCTGGCGCTGGCCTCCCAGTGAAGTTGAGTGACTACAAGACCTGAACATTGAATCTGGAAATACTCCTTGGAGAATTGGATTTTAGAGCAAATTTGGACGATGGCTGATTCTAGCTGTCTGTTTCCTGTTTATCATCTTCCTCGATCATAGAAAGATGTAGGGCTGTCAAATCAGCACAGAACGCAATGGAACTGTTAATGCGGTAATATTCATGATCAAGGCCTTCATTCAGGCATCTCGAGATATTACTTTGTTCTCAACCCTCTCTCTCTCCATGGTACACTTCGCCATTGTGGTATGTGAAGTTGTGTGTCTTCCACCGCGTCGGCTTTGGGATCTAGGACCATCGACGCATGGAGGGACTGGGCCTTCTGAGTTATCATCCAGTATCCAACGAAATGACATTCAGGTGACTCAGTGTTTCTGTTTTGCAACTATATATATGGAACTTCCGTTAAAAATCGGCTATTGATAATTGTAGTGCTAAAAGATACCAATTTCAAGCAAATTTGGTATTCCCTATATGGTATTTCGCACACAACCTTGGTGACATATGCTCAGTTGTTGAAAAATATCTTTTTTTTTAAGCTTCAGTGCTCAAGCACAAAGTCTGTGAATTGAACAGTGAGATCGCCGCCCTCCTTCGCTGGCTTTGCAGCGTACGTTCCTATTCTGAACTCACAGCCTTCAACATACTGTGAAAACCACGTAGTTTTTCTGATAAGATGACGACAGTCCTTTTCGAGGATATATATCCAAATGCTTCCATCTGATCCTTTAGCCATCTCAAGGGTTGCTGTTGTTTCTCCATCAGAGATTGGATATAACCCCCAGTCAACCCAGTCGTTCTTCGTAGCCACTCCGATCTTCAAGCCATCATCCAGAAGCTCAATTCCTGCTTTAATCCACTTTGTATTGCTACTATTCTCACCGCTGTGAAGAATAACTATGAGGCCCCCTTGCTCATAGCATGTGGCCCAATCGGCTTTGATTGTAACACGAACCGATTTGAAAGCCTCCCATCTAATAGTCTGATACAATATCGGAGCATTGAAACGGTTTGTAGAAGGTGGCTTTGACCAGATATCGGTTGATGGCGATGCAGTAATTGTGAAGTCAAGGGGAAAATGGTCTGTATTTGCTTCGCTAATATTTTCGGTGCTGAGATTAGGAGTAAACATAATCTATTAGAGATTTAAATGTAAGAAAATTTGTGATAGATGAATATAAATCAATAGTGAACCTACGATTGGTAAAGTATGTCCCTTTGCTTTTATTTCTGCTGTGGCGCTGCCATGAATGGAAAGATGAAATTTAAAGCAATGCCACTCATTTATAATTAAAATAATGTAGATCAACAACCGATGCTTGTTAGTTATCGGATGTGTCATAGATTATCTAAGCTAATGTAAGGGGGAATGGAGTTGATAGTTAACCACGAGAGGTAAGATGAAGTAATATGTAAGTAAAGTCTTCCGTAATCTCCTTCAGCCTCACATAAGTTGCCAATTCTGACTTAATCTACAAATATCGTCGCTAATCGAATGCTATTTAGGTGACGACATGCGCAATGAATACCGACTATATCGCACCTTGCCGGCTGCGAGAATCGTCCAAGATCTTCAATTATATCATATCTGCACCTCAATTCAGTCTTGAACAAGATGCTTACCTTTTATTTTCTACAAACTTCCCGAGCATTTCGTATTGCTTGGTTACTTGAGGAATTGAATGTCGAATACGACTTGAAGTCCGCGGATCGCAACCCCGATCTTTCAGTTCCAGCCTCCTTAGGTGTACCGACATCGCTAGGAAAATCACCAGCCATTAAAGACGGGAATCTGGTGGTTGGTGAATCTGGAGCAATTACCGAGTACATATTTCTATCTGACCGACCTATGCCATACATTGCTAATATAAAGTATGAAGGTACCTTGTTGAAAAGTATGACACTCAGCATCGATTGATGCCCCTTGATCCAGCCAAGAGGAGCAAAGTGAGGGAATACATGTGGGCTGCCGAGGGAACATTCCTCGTGCACGGTCTGGCCATCTGGGCTCTTCGCCCTGCCTGTCCAGACTCGGTCATGAAAAAAGGGCTGGATGAAATCGAATCGAAACTCGCGGTTCCTGTTCAGAAAGATTTCGACTGGCTTGAATCTGAACTTGCTAACACTGGCGGGCCGTTTCTCTTGGGTAATGATGTGACAGCAGCTGATACGATGTTGGCATTCTCCTGCCAATTCATAATCGCCAGTAACTTAGGCTTGGAAGGAAAATCATGGCCGAGAATTAACAAATGGCTTGAGAACGTCGAAAAACGAGGTGCTTATCAGAGAGCGGTCGAAAGGACTGGCCATCATCTTTGATTATCTACTTTACTGTCGATACTGGAATCGAATTTGGCTTAAGCCATAATTTGGTACCTAGTCTTATATTTAAGAAAAACAAACAGTATAGTGCGGAACCAATTTTTCTATATGTGCTCGATCGTGGAGTATACAGTGGCACCGCGAAAGTCGGAGACCGCCCGAAGTATCATCTAATCATTCTGCCAGCAAATAGTGGCCGCACCACTCATAAGTCGTAATTAGTTGACGGTATGTCCTCAATAAGGAGGCGGTAAAGAATGGTACTACTGGTGGTCGCAGACTTTTGCGGTGCCACTGTACGGTGAGCAGCACGGATAGAGCCTCGGGCTGGAATGCTAGGGCTCGCTGAGTCACGCGTTCATCTCCGAACACGGCGTGATGCTGGCGTGTTAGTACATACTGAGATGGCTATTTTTGATGATAGTAGACAGCTTGCGTGTTGGTCAGATGTTCTGATTATCAGATGCGACCCTAAAGTCGCGCTCAGCATTGTGTGTGGTCGTTTTCGACGTGTTTCGGCAGTTTGAAGCTCACGATGATGGTCGGGTTGCCAAATCGGGTAATCCGGAGAAGTACACCCTGGCACCGTTTCTATTTCCAGTGGCATCAAGATAAGCTACACGCACCATGTCTCCACTGAAAAATTTTCGAAGCATCAACTGATCAAAAAAATGGGGCCCTCCACTCTGGCCCCGTCGCCCCGACGATGCGTCAGCCGGGCACACACAAAGGGTGGCAACAATGATTCACCTTTTGGGGGAGATCCAAAAGGTGAGATGGAGAGACCGATAGAGAGCGACACTAACATCCTCGGTCCAATATTTCATCATGACACGAGTTAAACCGGTGAATGAATCATGGATGGCGGCCAGCTCACAATGCCATCGTTTGGTCTAGAACTGGCCGTGACCGGGTGAACCGGCAGACTCTGTGCGTGTGCACGGGCCAGGTTCCCCATAGTTGCTAGGCTTGCCGATCGAAGCCCATTACCGAGTATAAGACTCGCCTGGGCCTGTTCGCTGCGAGACCCCTCTTTTACCCTGCTCAGAAAATGTCTGCCACACCCCTATAGTGTCTCTGAAATATTTATCACCCCCCCCCTCGGACCACTGAATTGTCTCAAACAATCCATCTATAACAACCATGACCGTCACAATCAGCGTCCACACGGCTCCCGCCTCGCCCTCGCCGGCTCGTGCGGTCCCAGTCATGAAAAATGCCAACAAGCGCTGGCCCCCGATAGCCAACCGCAACGCCCTCCCATACAAACTCACCGTCATCTCCAAGGAGAAATTGGCCCGGGAAGCCACCGCTCCGGACCCGGACCTGCGCCGCTGCGTGGCGCACTTCCGCCTGCACTGTGGCTCGGTCGAGTGGACCGAGAAAGACATGAGCTCGAAGATAAGCTCCTTCGAATTTGAAGACACCGACGAAGAAGACGAGCCGGAAGAGCACAACGATTCAAAGGACGACTTTGTCGCCGTCGACTTTAAGGACCAGAATCCCTCCAATATGGAGATCGACGCTGCTCCGCTTCTTCCCTCAACACCACTACCTCCAGCTCCAGAACACTCTCCCGAGAGTGGACTATTGGATAAGAGCCCCTGCATCGAAATCACTGAGATCACCTCGAAGCACCTCTGGCCGTCCGGAGGCGGCACATGCATCACCGTTACTCCTCTTGTCGGTTAAGCCGGATCACCTCAGCTTTTAATATTCCCTGCACCAACTTCCTCACCCTCGACTCGACATCCACCAATTCTCCTTCTTTCAACCGATATTTACGACTTACGATGTGATGAATATGACGATATCCAAAAATGGATGAATGTAAATAGCTCTACAGCAACAGCTAATAATGGAGAACAAGGAAAACAAATCCACTAATAATATGAAATCCGTTACATCTCCACACTCTCCTGAGTTAAATTTCCAGACAATGGACCCGAAATGTAGTTTAGCGCTCATTAAATTATTCCACGTGCATCTGGAATATATTCATTGTACTTCTTTCTTGGGTTTGACTCGCTCGATGCATTTGAGCTACGGTGTATATAGACAAACCCCAAGGGGCATAAAACCACCACGACTCTAGTCTTTCCTATTTCACTCCCTTGCACGCTCAAAACCACACCACAATTGCCTCCTCTCCCCTTAAATCCTCAGATCAATCTCACTCAGTCTGAGGAGGTATAACCTTCACAAACATTAAACACCCCTCTGCCGATGCCCGGTAAGGCCCGTGCTCCATTCCAGGCTTGCGATATGCATACGCACCCACACCCCACGACTGGCCTAGTCTTAGATCCTCTAGTCCACCCTGGAGAAAACACACTTCCTCGGTGAAGGTATGCGTGATTATTTGGTTGGGATCTGTAGTGGTGTGCGGTTCCCACCACTGTAGTGCGGAATTATGCTCGTCTGAACCGTTTAGCATCAGTGCCCATATTCCGGGGCCCACGGAGTACCAAGGTTTTGCGATGGGCGACGACAACGGTGTTCCTATTGGGGGTGGACGAGGCGGGTTGGTGAATTCTTTTTGATGGAAGACCATAATTTCTCATTCATAGAAGATTAGGAATGGACATTTAATTGAGGCTCGTATAAGTGAGTTAGAGAAGAGTTCGGGGCGAAATTATTAGATAAGGTGAGATTGACGCTGACAAACTTAGTTGCTAACAAATTGGAATGGACATGTGGATCCTCGGTCCTGCTTTGATGGGAATTCATGACTTTCAGGGTGGGGGCATTGGGATATCGGGAATTTTACGCTACGAGTGAGTATAGACCGCTACCACCATTGTGATTGCCTGCAAGAACAACTTCCACTGTCAAACAGACGCAACTAGCTTCAAGGCCAGAGAAAGTGTTTCTGCCATTTATCTTCGCCCTTGTTGTGCACATACTGGAGCCGTTTGTGCAGGCGATTAGCCTCTCCCTGCCAGAATTCGACCGTATCAGCTACAACAATATAGACTCGCCATTTCTCCACGCCTGACATTGGATCTTTCGACATCTTCAACTCGGTGTCGGCAAGATTCTGGGTCAGCGCATCACGGTCGAGAAGGACTCCACTTTGGTCCGAGGCTACTGCGCAAATCCTTGATTCAATAGGCCGAGCTTTATAGTCAAGAGCACTCTCTGTTGCAGGAGCTTCGACGGCTCTTCCTCTCAGACGAATCTGTCGGGCAAGCTGAGGCCAGTAAAAGGTTAAAGCAGCATGTCCATTACCTGCCAATTGTTTCCCCTTGGGGCTGTCAGATTTCACAGCGAAATGCCAGCCACGAGCGTCGACATTTTTAAGAATAAGAACTCGGGCATCTGGGTGACCTTGATCATCAGTCGTGGAAAGGGTCATGGCATGTGGCTCTCTGACTCCAGCTGCGATTGCTTCGTGGAACCACAGCTTGAAAGACTCGTGAGGAGTTTCCGGAAACGTGTCGAAGTCTAGGTCCGGAAACGGCCCCTCAAGCACCTTGGTATTCCGGAGCTCAGTTCGGAAAGAGTCATCGTCGACAGCCATCTGGATACTTCAAATCAAATTCTGTATAATCAATGAGTGCATTGTGATGAGCTATGGCTGGTGGAAGCAGTGTCAAAGAACAGGGATGGTACCTCCTGGTGCTCAATAGATCCTGATACGAACAATAGCCGAAGGAAGTAGCTCGCAAGATGTCTTCATTCGAAGATAGCGAAAAGCAAAGGTGATAACATCAATTCACTTGGTATTGTGGTCAATAAATATGTCCGCGGATCGATTACGGCCCCGTCGTCGCCATGACTCACCGATCATGACGCACCTCTCAGGCTCGGGTGCAGTTTGAGCACGGTTCAGGAAATAATTCGCACGTGTACTGTACAGATGGGTGATCTCTCACCCATTCCCCTTCTGCGGCCTCCCACCCCTCCCTGCCCACCTTTCATCCATCAACGTCCAGATTTCTCTTCGCAACAAGGCACCAAGACTCCTTCACTCGAAGCTTGAAATGATCCAAGATATGATATCGAGTAAATCACTGAGTACCTCGTAAATGGCTAAAGCTGCTGAATGTAGTAAGCGTTCAATCATTAAGATCAGCAACAACCTTCGTCGGTTCGGAAATGTCAGAGTACCTCCAACACGCGTCGGCCGACGACGAAGCATAACCCCTCCGAAGCTAGAAGCCTTGTGTGATCGTTTACTTGAAAAGCCCAGCCTATACATGGAAGAGATAACAATATTTTTATAGTCATCCTCGAAATCAGTTTGAACTCCACACTCACGAATTAATTCCCGAATTCTAACTCGAAGGACGATCATAATCTATAGAATGCTGGATTTAACACGAAACGGCTATAAGGAAATTTATAGAAGAGGTTTGGATGTTCTATCCTTCAAAATGGAAAAACCACTTCTCTTCGCAGCATTTAAAACTTCGAGTGCCTTGTCCGGAATCGTCGAATGCACAAAAAGGCTCAACTTATCCAAACAAGGCAGCTTCGTGACCCGAGCCTCTGGAAGATCCTCAACTAAATGAGAGATGCACTTCAGATAATCATCCTCAAATGTGTCGAGATATAAGTTGACCTTTTCAATAGACACTGGCAACATATTAATCAGTTTGGGCCAGGCTGGACTACCAACCGACTCAATCTCTTCTGCGTCCAAATCCCTCATCGACGAATCATATGGGGGACCGCACAGCATCTCGATATTAATTCCAAGCACAGCCAATTTCTGAAAACGAGTCATATCCACTAGTGTGGCTCCTTTGCTTCCCCCTGACTCCAAAATGATAAGCCTCACCGACAATTCCTTGAGTGTCTTTCCGCAGATATTCTGCACAGTATCCAAGAATGCACCAAAGTTATAGAGATAGCCACAGCCATGATGCTTAGTCTGGTGAGAAAACCTGAAGATCTCTAAGTTTGGAATTCGTGATAGGAGCTGTGATAGCTCCTTTGGGCCAGCAACAGACGCATCCACATTTAACGTCCGCAAGTTTGTGCTATAGCATTCCACCAACGGGTCAAATGCCATTCCTGTGTACCCATCATCATAGAAGACGCAGCTGACCAGGGAGACTTCGGATATAGAATTAATCGCGAGGAATGGTACAAATGGTGTCAATGGGGACTTCTCATCAGAACTAAAGTCACGGGATGACTCTATGGTAGAGAGCATAGACAACGGCGCCCCAGGAAACTCCTCAGAGTGTTTAGCCTGGTACGTAATCTGCTTGAGTACCGGCCATAGGTGTTTGTTACTCAAAACGTAGTGCGTTTGACAAGGATCTAGTTCATCCCAGCGTGGGTATAAGGTCACCCTTCGCACTTGCGATAGCAAGGTTAAGAGAAAAACGTCTGCATAGATGCCGGACTGTTGGATCCCTTGAATCCAATCGTCGGGGTCTCCCCCAAAGTGTTCGATAAAGGGTGAGGTAAGCACTAAGTTCCTTAGAGCCGCAGGAACCTCAGCTTCTAGGGAGTTCAGCACTTCTTCATCTTGCTCTTCATCTCTATGCCCCGTTAGGTCGATGGACTGTATGTATTGCGCTATGGAATGATCCAGTGCGATCTGTTCCAATAGCTCCCGCGTGGTCAGGATCCGGGTGCCTGTTTCTTGGGTAATCTCATCTCAGTATTCGTCCGAGTCGGATTCGTCTGCACAGTCTAAAAACTCTTCAGCTTTTCGCGAAAATGTAAAGTTTCGATATCGTTTCCGTCGAGTGGCGTACTGCGCTCGGAAAGGGGTGCTGGCAGCAAACAGAGCTTTGCAAGAGAGGGCAGTGGCTTCAAACTCCGCGGGGATCGTTTGTTGTACGATTTGCATAAGGACCTCGAGGGGAAGGCCAAGTAACGACGGCATCATATCATTTTTTGGGGTTATGGGGATAAAACAGATTAGTTGTCAATGAACCCAAAATCGGATCCAGAGGAACGTTGAATGGTTGATATGCTAGTGGAACTGCAGGAGACCAAGAGATAAGGGGGTGGAAGAAGGGTCTTGCCCGATTGCTTGAATTGTCGGAGACCTTTGTTTAGTTTGGTTGCATGAAAGCTTCCATCAGTTTCTACGGCTATTACGGTACAGAGTTTTGAGGAATTTTGAAACCCTTCGATGTACTTTTACCGCCTCCTCATTGAGGATGTCCCGTCCTACTTATGCCTGATTCTGGTTGGTGAAACTAGTTGGGGGCAGAATAATTAGCGTGGTACTTGAGGTCGTTTCAAACTTTCGCAACACTGTACTATACAAATGACTCATTTTTAGTTACCAATGAATACGAGGCAGTCCCACAAGGATTAACAGGGGAAGAGCCGAAATTAAATTAGCCTGTTGTTAGGGCTACATCCTCTTCTGTGTCACGTGAGATGACCTTCCTATTCAGCATAACCTTCCACTCGATCGTATAGTGGATGCAGCTTGTCGGAATCTCATCGTTTTGCATTTCCTCGCTCCACTCAGAGAGCTGGAGTAGTCTGGGATTTCCCTCGTAGCGTCGGGATAACTCTGCGCGACTGTTCGGGGTGTCATAAATAGCTGGGGAAGGACTAAGCCCTCATCGTGGCTCGGGTGTGCAACCGAAGTACCCTGTAATGGGAGCATATTGCGAATCCTGGTCCGAGGCTTCCAGCTCAAAGGAGGGTCGAAGATCATTACCGTTGCAATACGAGTCAACAGACATCGTCCCTGTTCTGACGGGTTCTAGCGTTAGAACAGGTTTTGTGTACGAGGTGGATGTGGATGGAGAGCATGGAAGACAGTGTCGGATCACAGGATAACCGCATGCACTAGTACTGATGGAACCAATTGAGTGAGTTGGTTGAAGAACTATCTAGGAGATCACTGTTGAGGGCGACTTGTAGTCGCAGAATCAGCCTATCCTTAGTGGTGAAATGCCATCTCCAGATCGACAGACAATCAATCAATCAAATCACCTCCCAAGTGTCTCATTCAATATAGCCCAAATCACGGAATGCTCTTCCTAGGATCTCATGGATCGTTTTGTCTTTCCGTTGGGTATACTCCATCATCGAATCTCCAGCTATAACCGTCTGCTCAGCCGCTTCGCGCTTCACTTTGGCATACAGTTCTAGATCTGCTGGCGTTTTGATTAACCAGTCACGAAAGATACGATGCCGGACAACCTCGGGCGAGTCGGGACCCCACACGTGGAGATTGACGTGGTAGGCTTTGGGCCAATCCGCTACAAAGAACCGGTGCTGGTGCCAGTGCGGCTCGCGCAAGAGGAACCGAAACCCTGCCTCTTCCAGAGGCTTCACGTAAGATGCTTCATCGATGGCGTCTTTCAGTGTCAGATCAACATCAATTATATCTTTAGCTGGTAGGCCAGGAACACTGGTAGAGCCGGAATGAGCGATGTCCAAGATCAAGGCCCCCAGGGCTTTTTGAATTCGCTCTTTGACTTCTTCGAACCGTTGCGACCATTCTGGATTGGGCTCAGCTATGGTAATGGGAGGGTGTACCGTTCGTGAGGCTATACGCTCCACGAGCTCCGGTTTGTCCTCGTAAGGTGCGAGGATCTGCGCGATTGTGGGGGGCATTTTAGGATCGTTCGCGGGTGGAGGTTGAAGTGGTGTAAGTTGCAACAAATATGACTCAGGCGGGCAGTGCGAGGAACCACGCTTAATAAAATGCTCAGCGCGTAACTATTTGTCTTGGCTGATATTTTACCACTAGCATGTGGGGACCCGTGAAATTGGCGCCGAAAATGACCGCTTCTGAGGCCAGAAACGGCCGCCTTTCCACTAGATAAACTATGCTCTTAGGGCTAACATCATGAGTTTAGAATGTTAATGCCGAACTACCAGGCTTTTTTGACAACTCCTCTGATCCCGTTCAACCCCATCCTCGCTTCACTTAGACAATAACATCCAGTGTGCTTGCCGATATATATATATTTCTCAAGAACTCAGTCTCCCATTACTCCAATCCCCAGGTAGCAGGCTTGTCACCAGGCCAAAAAGACGATAGTTTTCGGTGTTGGTGTAATATCTAGTGCGTCGTGCCCAGCTAACGGCTCCATTCCACCCCAATGCAGCCTCAGTAACTATGCAATATTTCAGGTTAACAAGGTTCTCTCTAGTAGTGCGAATGTAAGAGCATAGGAGATGGGGTTGCGGGTCGCATACTAGGTTCCTCTGATGTTCCGGCAATAATAGCAAGCTGTGATAAGAGATAGCTTCCCGGGATCTTTAATTGATCAAGTGGCCGGCCTTGATGTGCTCGCTCGAAGGTGATGCTCCTCGCACTCCCCAGAGTGACCATTGAGGCCCAGAAAGAACGACATAAAACGATCGCCGGATGACGGCTACCGGACGGGGTGGATACGGCACTGCTGCCAGCCCCACTGCACAGAGATGACCCAGATTTTGACTTTCTCGGAATAATCAGCGGGTCATAAATTGAAGTATCGCCAGGGTGACAGTAGGCGCCTGTATAACCGCCAAACTCATCTATATAGGATATATCACTTAGTCTTTTTTTCCTAAGTGTTCGAGTCACAGGATGCTCACTCGGGTCAAAGCCCTGCCATCTAATGGGATTGTTCACTTTGGTCAAAGGGCTTCCGGGAGGACTGGATATTTTAGCCTTAGAGAATGAAGTGCCCCAGAGAAAGTCATCGTCGCCGCAAGCGAGCCATGTCCAGGGATTTGAAGCGAGCAACATATCCATGATTTTTCGATAGATCCCTATCGCGGAAAATTAGTACTCTCGTATTAGCCATAGAAGAACCTAGGGTTAGTCCCACCAATAGGCTTCCCGAGTTTTCTCCTTGAACTATCAGGGATTCTGATCCATTGATCGTCGTGTGTGAATGTAAACCCCCACAAAGCGCGCGCGGCCCGGGCAAATATGAGATTGTCGCGGTCATATCTAATATAAGGTTGTTGGAGAAGTTCAAGGGCCGTACTCGCGCTGTACGCCATCTCATACGCATTTTGAACAGATCGATCAAGGCGGAATTGGAACTCTTCTGGTGTGAAGTCAGGGTTACTATAACAAGATGCTGGTTTCCCCTCAGGAATAAAATTGAAGCTTGTCTCAGCCGCCAGACAGTCAAAATCTGCCGTTGGATTTGCATGGACAAAGAGAGCAAGTATACACAAAATAGTCGCTCTGAATACTTGCGCCATAATGGATCAGAAAAGACAATATGAAAGGCGATAAGGAAAGCGATAGAGACGAAATAGGGGCGGAAGGACCAGTATTTATAACAATTCTATTCACTAACGTTTATTTGACATGCTTATGGAGCGTAGCAAGGTTTAGGAACAAATCACTTGTCTAACCCACTCTAGTCAAGGAAGATAGGTAGGGTAGGGTTGTAGATCCTTCTAAAAGCCCGGCATTCCATTGTGTAGGAGGATTTATTTCTAAATTGTATTAATGTTGAGTTTAATTTCTCTTTTTTCGTCCAAGGGTAGTCTGCAACCACCCCTGTCGCTTATATTTTCTCCTGCGGGGGGCCAAATGCGCCCTGGCCCCTTGTATGGTCCGTGTCATCTTCTCCAGACTATGTTGATTGAACAGAGGTCTGATTTCGCTAAAAGCCACGAAGAGGTAAGGCGCAATGGTGAGTTCTATACTCGTAGCTGGCCACGGATTTTGCGTTGCAAGCCATAGTCGAAGTTGATCGAACAATACCGTGCTGCAGAAAGCCGCCACGCGATTTTAGTTCATAAGTGAACATCTGAAACGGCTCTCCTAGCAGAAAATGCTACAGGCGGGCAGAACGCCCCAAATCCCATAGGATTATTTAGACTACTAATTACTCCTTTTATGGAGACCGTCGAAGCGATGCTCGTGAGGAATAGGATTCAGGCAGTGACATGTACCAAAATAATGCGGCCGACACTAGACTAATGGTATTGTAGCGCAGGCGAGATAGGATTGCTTGAGGGTCAATTAGGTGATTAGAGAAATATGTAGTTCTCGGACTTTGCTAGCCCTTTCATGCGTCTCGCATCTTGATTAAACGTGCGAAAAGAAGTCCTCCACGCATCTGGGTCTGGGATGTCCGTATGTCTCCGCGTGGTGGGCCTAACATACCTGCCACTAGCCGTCAGCGAGCCCTAACTCAGGTCGGACGCCTTGCGGGGAGAGCGTTTACTGGTTCCTGGAGATTGAAGCATCGTGCTTGATTTTTGTCGTCGGAATTTGACTCCGCAATCCTTGAGTTTCGTACTGTAGCAGACTTGGACCGGGAAGAACCTCAAGCAAATTATTTCTCTTAGTAGTTTGAGGTGAAGCAAATCTCTTCGATGGGCTCTCTGATGTCGTCAAGCCTTGACCGCAGGAAGAGAAAGATTACTCGGGCCAGGGCATCCCGATACTCTAATCAGCACGTCTAACCTGGCCTCGACGTACCACAATTAAGGCCGACGGAAACAGATCGTGTGAATTTAGCGTGGAAGCCAATTTCGAATCTGGTTGTACCTTTTCAGTCTCCACAATTACAGTAAAACCTCGATTTAGTGAACCCGCTTCAAAAATGACTCAGGCGGGCACGTGCGAGGAACTGTATTGGCGAGACGCGTAATAAAATGCTCAGCTCGTATTTGTCTTGGCTGACATTTTACATTCAATAATCTGACGGACAGGGTGCACCTATCCTGGATAGGCTTAGCCGTAGCCTTGGCGTTAATGTTGATACAGTTTCTGTGTAAAACATGGAAGCCAATTTCGAGTGTACACTGATACTCACGACTGTGGCTATTGGGGTCGGTCACGTTGCAACCTTTTCATAGTAGAGCTTGATCTCCAGGTTCAAGATGTTATGACCAAAGAATAAACTTCAAAGATCGAGCCGTGGGACCTGCTGGCTTTGATGGGTCTTTTCCAGAAACTCGAATCCTGCATGAGCAAAGAGCTGTCAGGTTGGGAAACCGCCTCCGATCAACCGGTCATCCCATCATGGAAATATCACACCATACAGGCATAGCACTTGTGAATCAAACTCAAGATTTATACAGCATCATTCGAAACTGGCTTCCATGTCTTACACTGAGAAACTATCTCAAACTCCAACGCCAAGTCGGTGGTGGAAATCGACTAGCCAAATTAAACTGGGCTAAAAATCACTCCAGCGTGTCAGAATAGAAATGTGTATTATCTGACAAAAAATACGCCTTTTTTCTAAAGAGAGAAGTAAATATCTGACAGATTTTAGCGCCCGGAAGGTCACCTGATAGTGGGGTTGAGGATGGCTCTCCGTCATGCCCCTAAATTCAAAGATTGTGTGCATGGAGTGTTGACGATGACTTCTATATCATTTGGGAAGGAAAACTCTGGCCTCCAGGCTGGTATTGTGAATGGGAATGTCACTGCACAGTTCTATCTTCCCGCGGGTATGTTTCACAAGGCTCCTACCAAACCAGGTCAAGTTCACTGATCGCCGCCGTTTCTTGGTCCAGAGCGACCGGAAACCCCACCAAAACCTCTATCGACCGTCCCGTTCCGTCGCGATCCAGACTTTGTTGATCGTGGAAGGTTGCTCTATCAGATACATGAAAAAAGCTCTACACCAGGTGCTCGGATAGCTCTTGTCGGCCTAGGTGGCGTGGGGTGAGTTTAGAATGGTCCGCGGATTTTCCATTTGCTGATGGCTTGGAAGAAAATCGCAACTTGCTATCGAATACTGTTATCGAGTTCGAGATCGATCGCCCGAAACATGGGTTTTCTGGATTCACGCGAGCAATGCAACTCGTTTCGAGCAAAATTGCCGGGAGATCGCCGACCGAGTCAAGATACCCGGCCGGCAGAACTCAAGGATGAATGTATCCAAACTCCTTTACGACTGGCTAAATGATGCGATGACCGGGGAATGGGTTCTTGTTCTGGATAATCTTGACGATGATGAATTCCTCCATGCGATATCTTCGGTGGAGCAGGATGGCCTTAGGGGTGATCAAAGCGATGTGCTAGGCCGATCGATCTGGTCGTATTTCGCTCAGAGCTTGAAAGGCTCTATCATTATAACAAGCCGGAGCAGAAGTGTGGCATTAAGAATAGTGGAAGATTATGACATTATTCAAGTGGAACCGATGGACGAAACCCATGCAATATCGCTCTTTGAGAAGAAGCTCGGAGCACAAGCTAATAGAGAAGATGTCATTCAGCTGACTACGGCACTGGAGTTTATGCCGCTTGCGATTGTGCAAGCGGCGGCCTACATCAAGCAAAGGGCACCACGCCAGTCAGTCACACAATATCTAGAAAAGTTTCAAAGGAATGATCGTCAGAAGATCGGTCTTCTCGATTATGAGGGAGGAAATCTCCGCAGAGACCCAGGAGCCAAAAACTCTATCCTTGTGACATGGCAATTATCATTTGACTACATTCGAGAAAAGAGGCCATCGGCGGCGGATATGTTGTCTCTCATGAGCTTCTTCGATAGACAAGGGATTCCTGATAGTGTGCTTCGTGAGAATAACGGAACGAGATGCGATATCAGAAGCCTACCTACGCATGACAGGGATGAGGCAAATAATATCAGTGACAGGGAGGACAGTGGAAGTGAATCTAGTGAAGTCGATATCTTTGAGGACGACATAGTTGTGCTAAGAGACTACTCGCTGATATCAATCAGTGCAGATGGAACGAACTTTGAGATGCACCGACTAGTCCAATTAGCCACGCAAAAATGGCTCAAGGCACACAAACAGCTTGAAAGGTGGAAGGGATGTTTTATTCGACGGCTTTGCAGAAGTTTCCCAGCGGGGACATTCGAACACTGGCCGAGGTGCCAATTACTGTTTGCCCATGTGCTATGTGCTATCAAACAACAGCCTAATAGTGAAGCCTTGTTAGAAGAATGGGCATTACTGCTGCATAAAGCAGCGTCATTTGCACTGGCACGAGGGAATTTCGTCGATAGCGAAACAATGGCAGAGAAGTCAACAGCAGCAAGGGGAAGATTACTCGGGCCAGAGCATCCCGACACTCTGATCAGCATGTCTAACCTGGCCTCGACGTACCACAATCAAGGACGATGGAAGGAGGCTGATGAACTAGGAGTACAGGTGGTAGAGGGCTGTAAGCAGGTACTTGGGCCAGAGCATCCTGATACTTTGATCAGCATAGCCAACCTGGCCTCGATGTATCGGTATCAGGGACGATTCCAAGAAGCTGAAGAGCTAGAGGTGCAGGTTATAGAGGTCCGCAAGCAGGTGCTCGGGCTAGAGCATCCCTCAACTCTGAACAGCATGGCCAACCTGGCCTCGACGTACGGGTATCAGAGACGGTTTAAGGAATCCGAAGAGCTAGAGGTGCAGGTGATAGAGATCCGCAAGCAGGTGCTCGGGCTAGAGCATCCCTCAACCCTGACCAGCATAGGCAACCTGGCCTCGACATACTGGAGTCAGGGACGATTCCAGGAATCCGAAGAGCTAGAGTTGCAGGTGATAGAGACCCGCGAGCAGGTGCTCGGGCCAGAGCATCCTGACACTCTGACCAGCATGTCTAACCTGGCATCAATCCACCGGAATCAGGGACGATTCAAGGAATCTGAAGAGCTAGAGGTGCAGGTGATAGAGAGATTTAAGCGGGTACTCGGGCCAGACCATCCCCACACTCTGATCAGCATGGCGAACCTGGCCTCTACGTACCGGTATCAGGGACGGTTTAAGGAATCTGAAGAGCTAGATGTGCAGGTGATGGAGATCCGCAAGCAGGTGCTCGGGCTAGAGCATCTCTCAACCTTGACCAGCATAGCCAACCTGGCCTCGACATACTGGAGTCAGGGACGATTCCAGGAAGCTGAAGAGCTAGAGTTGCAGGTGATGGAGAGCTCTAAGCAGGTGCTCGGACCAGACCATCCCGACACTCTGACTAGCATGGCCAAGCTGGCCTCTAAGTACCAGGATCAGGGACGATTCCAAGAAGCCGAAGAGCTAGAGGTGCAGGTGATGAAGGGCTATAAGCAGGTGCTTGGGCCAGAGCATCCAGATAGTCTAATCAGCATAGCCAACCTGGCCTCGACATACTGGTGCCAGGGACGATTCAAGGAAGCCGAAGAGCTAGAGTTGCAGGTGATGGAAAGCTCTAAGCAGGTGCTCGGACCAGACCATCCCGACACTCTGACCAGCATGGCCAACCTTGCTCAAACCCTCAGGTCATCAGGTCAAGATAAACCTGCTTTGCTGTTGATGGCCGAATGCGTTCGACTCCGCGACCGAAAACTAGGCCCTGACCACCCGGATACTGTGTCTTCAAAGTCTGCTCTAAACAAGTGGCGTGGGATAGGTGCCCCCCCTTCGTCCCAATCTACGGAAGGACCGACTGAAACAAAAGAAGAGGAACAAACCAAACCCAATTCCACGGAATCCGACGAGCGAGTGTCTAGAACTGGGCGGACATCGTAAGCGAGCAATCCTCTCTCACCTCCTCTTCCGCAGAAGGTAAAGATTTTGTTCCTTTCGATTTCTTTGGAGGGAGTTTTGGTTTGCATAGGGAACTAGATGGAAATCATCAAATTCTCGTCATCACAAAGTTACATGAATTTTTTTCATCTTAATGCACTTCTATTTCCCGCCCTTGAGGCTTTATCAAGGTAACTACAATACATAGTTTTTGAATACAATAATTATATTAATATTCAAAGAAGGTAGCTCGCAACTACAGTGACAAACTCAATAAGAGACAGATTACAAAAGTCCATAGACAACAGTCCTTGGTTCTTGAATGTATGGAAGTTTCTAGAACATAGTTCTATTTAAACGGCAATTTAAAGGACGTATTATGATCGATATTCACTACCATACGTCGAGACTGTCTCAAAATAGGGGTCAATAGTGGCAGGAACGGTGTTGGGTAGAGTAGGCATCAGCAAAGGGTTTGAGAAACAAATCTTGTGAGTTTAGCTTGGAAGCCAATTCGAATCCGGGTGTACCTCTTCTGTCCCCACAATCATATGCAAAGGGATCCATCTGTTCTCCATTTCGGTGGAGCCTGGTGGACCTACATGCGGCGATATTCGCCTCTTTGGACGTCATTTCCAGATCCAGCAGGTTTTCTATCTACCGTATAGCAGGAAAGGAAAGCACCCGAGTAACCGGGTGATGCCTTTGATTGAGTCATTTTGTAACCTTGATTTCTTCAACTAGATTGTTATCCACCCTGACATGATCTCTCATCCCAAAATCCGCTCCGATCAGGACTGATATGATATTAGTCTCCACTATCATGAACCTATACCTTTGATACAACAACATCCACCTCCCCAGAAGACAGTTCCACGCTCCAACCACCTCTCTCCTTACGAGCTCCGTGCCCAGTCACTGCATACCGATCCTCCGTCCCAGGAGTTTCCACCCAAACAATAGCAGAAGACGCCTTTGACGGACCAGACACAAGACGCAGACGAACAGACCCCGAGCCAGACTTTTTCAAGGAGATATTTTCAATCCAGCCCGTACTCACCTCAACATATACTCCCATCGAGGCAACATATACCCGCCGACGCACCGCATCTCGTGGATGAACAGTGACCGAGTCCCCATGTACAGCGGTATTAGCTCCATAAGCCACAAGCCCGAAGTCAGGATCATCAACTACATATGTACAAGCTCCCAGCATCATTCCCAAAAAATTGGGACCGTAGTCTCCGGAGTAGTAGTCCCCTCGGAGTGTCTCCGGGAACGAATGGAAGGCATTATACATGGATCCGTCCGGTCGGATGTTCGTTAGAGGGCCTGTGTTTCCGCCGTAGCCTGTCCGGAGCAGATAGATGTCTGTCGGCGTTTGACGGAACTGGGTTAGAAGAGGGAGGGAGTTGAGGCCGGATCCGTAGTGGTGGATCATGCGCTCAATGCGTTCCAGTTTTCCGGCGTAACTATAGAATGCGTTAGTGATACCGGTTTTTCGGGGATGATATAGAGGCTGACTCCTTACATAAAGTCCCAGTACCGGCGAGCATTTCCATTCCAACCCCAGTGTGAGACTGTAGGCATGTATCCCAGGATACTGTTGATCGTCTTCGTTGCTGATTGGGTCAAATTGAAATAGCTAATTTGCATTATTAGCCTCGACCAAGCCCAGGGCATGTCTTCTCTGCGATGCGACACTTACTTGCTCCAGTAGTAGACTCCCTCCTGGCCAGTTGAATCCCAAGCCATCTCACTACCATAAGGCACAGCCTGCGAGTTCCAAGCGTCTGCCCTGAGCTTCATAGCTGCCTCAACAGCATCTGCCTCGGTGATCCAGTTCTCACGCCGGAGGTCAGAAAGAAGCTCGCCGACAACAGTCTCTCCCATCAGGCCCACCCGGGAGTAACCCACCAGCCCGTTGCCTGCCGAGTCGGTGGCAAAGCAAGCGACGGTTGTATTGTAGGCTTGGCCGAGATACCACTGCCACGGGTGTTCTTTGAGAAGGGCTCCATTGTCTCGGCCCGCTCGGTAGAGAGACCAGTACGTGCCGATGACATGAACGTAATCGTATGCACGTTGGGTGTTGTATGATTCGTTTTTGGTCCATGACCACCAATTGCCCCAATCGATGGACTGGTTGTAATGATACCCCGGGACTACTGATGGCTCGTAGAAGAAGATGCTCTTGCGCACGTGGAAATTGGGTCTCTGGATAGTTGTTGATAGGACGTCCGATGCGAATTGCTCAAGCTTTGCTATCTCTGATGCCACGGGCAGTGCGAACTGTTTCATTGCCGTGGATAGATAGATCACGCCGCCTTCGTCGCTCAATCCGGAAATCCAAACTCGAGGCTCCTGGAGGACTTGGGCCTGGACGGAGTGGTCCCATGTTATGACAGAGGGGGCTCGGGAAAAGGGGTCTTTTGTATCAGTGAACCACATCGATGTGGTTGAAAACTGACCTAGTTTGCTGATTGTTGCCGGCGCAGAGTCGGTGATGAAATAATGCACTGTCTGGACTTTCCCATCCACATATGTGATAGTAATCTTTGTTCGACCCCAGACTGACTTTGTGGGCGTGAGTGTGAGCATCCCATCCGATGATCGAGTGATCTCGAAGGCGTTGTCGTCTGAGACAACCTTGAAATCGTGAGGGTGAAACACTCGAAGCCGAGCCGTTAGATCTACAGGAACCACATACCCCGGGATTCCAATAGTCATAGGCGTGTTCGTTCCCTGAACCGCTTTCTGAATACCTCGAACACCATCTTCCACAACCGAAAAGCGCAGACCGTATGTAGCCGATTGTCCAGGTCTGAGGATTTGTGAACTGGGCGTGTTCCACGGCGTTGCGCCAGCCCATTCGTTTTCCGCGTACGCTTTAGAGTGAACCTGCCATTCATAGAACCCCTCGAACGTCTGACTTCCATAGTAGAGCGGCGCAGTACTAGCCTCGTTTAGATTGCGCCACGACTCCAGTGGGGTACTTGTATTCATCAATGGCGTAACAATCAATGCGGCCCCAGTCCCCGATGTCGGGGTAACCTGAAGATATCCAGCATCCATCCCAATGTAGGGATCCGTCAGTGAGCATATCGCTGCCATTTGCTCGGCAGTTCGATTGGAGAAGATACTGTTGAACTCAGTGGGGAAGCCGAGACTACCGAGTTCCAATGTCCCTTTCCCCTTGTTGGTTAAGGTGAAGGTCAATCCGAGATCCCCGTCTACATTGATCCATTCTCGGGTAATTTGAATAGGGGAGTCTCCAGGTAGGGTTGGAGCCATATCAGCGGCAGCGAGAGAAGAGGATTTGACAGCAGTTACTGCTTCTCTGGACTGCGAGGAATCCCCGGAAAGCCACTGCGTCGTTCCTGGTAGTCGGTAGCGATAAGTGATATCGCCATTGTGGTACTGGCCGTTGGCGGCTCTCAACTCGATATCATCGAAAGGCAAAAAGTCAAACGAGCTACCAACTGGTTTGAGGGAGGCAAGAATCTGGGAATCCTTGACCAATTTGATGTCGAAGTTGGCTGTCGAAAAGGAAAGATACCCATCCTTCAGTCCGAGGGTATCATTCTGTCCTCGAACCCCAAGGGCAGAGAGAAGAATAAGCAAGCTGCTCGTTCTAAACTTCATGATTGAACTTATTTAGTAGAATTTGAGGACCGTCTCTAGCAATATTATAACTCACGCTCGGGGAATCGACCCTTAAAGCTATGGACCCCTCTCTGACGGTTAATTTCGTTGTTCTCGGCCCTATTCCAACTCCAATCAAGCACAGTCCGTTCGGAACTATTAACCGGATGTCGATCCCCGCAAGTTTCCCCGCGAGGTTGCATTGTTGCATTCAACTGTTTAGATAGATTGCGGCAAACTTCTACCACAGAAAAGCCCGGTCTCCATCCTTCGAAATCACGGATTATGTCGAAGACAAACCCCGCACGCCACCCAGAGGAAAGGATTTGAGACTTATAACACCCGAAACTAATCAAATTGACACTGACTCTCGCAATCTTTGACTATCTGTATTTTTCTTTATAAAACAAGTCATAAGGCATTCAAATTCCCAAAAATTTACTTCTGAGCAACTTCCTTGACGGCTGCAACAATATCATCAGGACCCAGGCCCTGGGCATTGACCTGCTCGAACAAGCCACCGCAGCCCTCCTTGATGGCGCCCATAGTCTTGAACTTAGGGGTGAGACCGCGCTCGAGAAGGTGGGTACCGAGACGAGATCCAAGACCGGTCTTCTGAGCGATGGACTCGACAACGAGAACGAAGCCCGTAGAACCATAGATCTGAATAGCTTCCTCATCGACGAGGTTGAGAGTGGGCTTGTTGATAAGACCCACATCGATGCCCTGCTGTCGGAGACGCTCGACTGCATCCAACGAGCGGTAGACCATGTCCCCGTACGAGACGATGTATCCCGCCGAGCCGCGGCGGATGAACTCTTCCTTGCCTGGGACGAAGTCGTAGCCATCGCCGAATAGTTTCTCCTCGGTGCCCTCCTTCAAGATATAGGGAACCTTGGCACGAGTGGAGAAGATGAAACGCATGCCCGTGTTGAAGAAGACCTTGCTTACGACTTTCTTCATCTGCTCGCCGTCGGCGGGGAAGTACAGAGCCGTGCTCTCGGCATCCATCAGACCATTGTCGGCGAAAAAGTGGTTCAGACCGAAATGGCAGGTGTTATCAGCCATCTCATCCACGCCGCTGTGGGAGAAATGAGAGAGCACGGTGCAGTCATTCAGTCGAGCCATGGTGATCTCAGAGATACACATCTCCAGGAAAGCGGAGAAAGTCGAGAAAACACCCTGGCGCTCGCCATTGCTGCCGAACCCAAAGCCGGCAGCAGCAGAGAAGTTGCCGCGCTCCATGACGCCCGACGCAACGAATACCTCGGGGTGGTTCGATGCAATAGCCTTCAAGCCGGTGGAGCCTGCAAGATCCGAGTCAATGACCATCACCCGACGGGCCGCCTCTTCCTTGCTCAGGCCATCGAGCACGGAGTTCACGGCTTCACCGAAAATGACCCGGTTCGCGCCTTTGTCCTTAGTCGACCCCAAGTATTGGTGCGAGTTCGATCTGGCCTTGATCTCATCGTAGAAAGCGAGCTGTGCTTCGCTGTACCCACGCTTGGTCAGGTACTTGCGGGCAGTGGCGACAGGAATGACGTCGTGGGCGTGGGTCTCGCCTTCGATGTCCTCAATGCCCGGGGCCATCTTGCGGTCAACCACAACCGCAGCGGGGCCATTGTAGTTCACAACTTCGCACATTGCACCATAGAGCGCATCTACATCCTCTCCCTGGGCGCGAACGACCTTCAGGCCATGGCCGTCCAGCGTGCGAGCAACATCGTAGCCCTTCAGGTACTGCGACGGGTGGCCGGCAATTGTGACGTCGTTGTTGTCGACGAAGAGTTTCACGTTCAGGTTCTTGGCCACCGCAATGCGCGCAGCCTCGGCGTCGTTTCCTTCCTGCTGGGATCCATCCGAGCCCAGCATAAAGACGGCTTTGTCCCTGTTGGCCATTGCAATTCCGTTGACCATTCCCCACATGTGGCCTAGACGACCGGAGCTGAACTTGACGCCCGGGGTCAGACCAAGCTCAGGGTGGCCGGGGAGCTTGGAGTTAGCATCCCGGTAGTTCAACAGGTGGTCTGGTGAAATCTTGCCGTCGAGGGCAGAGAGCAGATACTGCGTCGCGACGCGGTGGCCGGCCTCGTCAAATAGGGCGTCGTAGAATCCACTAGGGTTGGCATTGATGAAGGCGAGCAGTATGCAGACCTCCGGAGCAGTGTCGAAGGGACCGCCAGTGTGGCCAGCGACACCGCGCGCAGCTCCAGTAGCGGTGAATGCGATAATTGCATCCCTGAAGATGTTGATATTGTGCAACAGGTCGGCCTTCTGCTCAGCCGACAGCTTCGGGTTCTTGGGGTCGAGCTTGAGCTTTTTGAACTGCGAGAGGTCGACAGGGAATTTGTAGCCCGCCATCTTGTTTGGTTGGTTTGGTCGTACCTGGGGAGGAAGGGGTTGGTTCCAAGGCTCGAGGGAAGAATGACCGGAGTATTTGGTTGTTGTCAAGGGATTCAGTGACAAGCACGGAGATTTAATTGTCAGCGGGGCAAACAAGAAGAAACAGAGAGCAGAATTTAAGAGAGACAGAGACTGCGGCGACTGTGAGACGAGGGGGAGGGAGGGAGGGGCCTGACCCATCCGGTTTGCTGCAGCGGAACTGTTGACGTCATGGCCGCATTGGTCCAACCCAAAGAGGAAGTAAACAGGACGCAATAGGCTAGATTGGATGAATGAATTGTCTATCGCTAGAATGCGCCAGGAACGTCCCTGCGTCAAACATACCACTGTCATAGATCCCATCCACAGTTGGTGACCAGTATGCCCTAAATCCCATAAAGCCAACCAGCAACTCCCGCTCAAGATGCATGCACGAAATTCAGTAAATCCTTTCCACCGTCGGAAAAGAAGACTATAGATCCATCTCATCATCATCCCAGCCCAACTGCGCATAAATGTTCTCCGACTTCTCCGGTGTCACCGGCACAGTTACAGCGCCCTTCACCGGGGTACCTATTTCAGCTGGCCTGAAACCGACACGAGTTGGGCTAGGGATACCGACTTTTACACCGGCGGGGGAGGGAACAAAACTGGCAGCAGCCATCGAGCTTGCCTGGTCGCGCTGCTTCGGAGGTGTATCCATGACGACCGCGGATTTAGCATTCTCAAAAGCGCTGCGCAGGTTTTGGGAGGAAGATGCGGACATGTCCTTGTGACGCGAAGAGACGGGTGTGGTTGGTCCTGTCTGCTGCGCAGAGAGAACTGTCGCAGAACGAGGTGCGGGCAGATTGGGAACGCGAAAGAGTCCCTTGCCTTTGGATGATGCGGAGGGTGGATCGTTGATGTGAGTCTGGAACAGCTTGGACGGGGCCCTGGATGGAGTTCCTTGGATGCATCCGTTGTCCGCGTGGGATGGCTGACAGTGCGACTCGTGGTTGGCAGCATCGCGATATTGGAATGGGCTAGAATCAGCACCAGAAAACGAGACAGCCCGCCGAATCGAGGAAGGAACCGTCATGGGAGAGGACTCAGCCACAAGACCATCCGGCATCTCCCCTGCAAAAGACCGTGAAGGGGCGAGACTACGAGGCAGCGGAGGCAAGTCCACCACCGCATCCTTCTTCCGGTTTCTTCGAGGAGTGGCCATAACTTGCACACCTTGGCCATTCGGGTTCCGTACGGGGTTCTTTGGCTTCCGAGAGCTCCCTCCTCCCGTTGAGACCCGCTTAGTCGCATCCTCAGCGATATCATTGGCGACTAGCTCTCGGTTTGGCTTTCGAAGAGCGTGGATAGCGGCATCCAGTTCCTTTTTTTGATCCACCAGCATCTGCACCTTTATTAGTTTTGTCTCATGTTGTCGTGCCACCGCATTCAGGTCCACTTCGCGGTTCTCAGCACGCTTCGCCTTTTGAATGCCGCCCCGAACACTACCGCTCAAAACCGCAGGTAGCAGTGGTTCCATCGAATCACGCTTAATCTCTTGTTGTGAGGGGGCAGTCTTCGACCTGTTCAGTGATGGGTGTCGGACCGATGCCACTTTCTCATCGGTTAATACCCGATGCAGCGAGCGACGAGATTTCAGTGCCGGTTGCTGCCGCTTGACTTCTGACCCAGGCTCCACGCGTTGCGTCTTGCTTGTCGATGATTGTGTCTTCTTAGCAACGGGCGAAATACCACCGGACACACCAAATTTGCGTGTGATCAGCTTGCATTTGTCAGGGAGACGGGCCGCATAGAATGGGATGATCACTTCAGTACAGAAGTCTCGGACCGCGTCGCTTTCCACTTTCTTCCCAGACAAGTGAGTGCTGTTGAATGAAGATGTCTTGGCCGAGTCTGCAGCGTTCGACTCCTCCGAACTGACAGCGTGCCAAATGCACAGTCGATCAAGATGCAATTCAAGCAACACACTCAGGTCTTGGGGTTTTTTGGCCTTGGTCTTCTTGGGAGACTCCTTCTCTTTCTCGCTGTTGGCCTTGCTCTTTTCGGTGGGACTTAACTCCAACGCCATGGCCTCCAGGATCAAAAGTATCTGCAATTGGGTCTCGCGTAGTCGCAGATCAGAGATGTGTTTCTTACTCTCGACTTCGCGAGAGATTTCTTGGGCAGTTGTCTCGTTCATGTTCCGACCTTTCCACCACCTGCGGACGAAGCTTTCTTCCTCCGGGTAAAGACCATTCTTGCCCAGTTTCTTTTTCTTGCTTTTCCGCTTCTTGGCTGGTGCCGCGTCCTCGCCGTCAGAGAGGGCAAGCACGGCATCACGGACAACGGACGGAAGAGTCTCTCTGTATTTGAGGTCCATTTTCTTCGCAGCCAAGATGGCTTCATGGTAGAACGTAATAAGTTCTGTTGGTTGTTGTGGCTGTTCAGAGCCCGGTGGTTGGAAAGCAGCACGGCAGCGCGTCAGCGGGCCTTTAGCAAAGTAGGCGACAGAGGTCTCGAGACAATTAGTCACATAATGAAAATGCAGGTATTGTGACAAAAAAAACTCACCTTTGAAACATAAAGAGCCTGCAGGTAGTGGTCTCTCATCCCATTCAACAGCTCCTCCGGGGATTGCTGCGCCTCAAGTCCGTCGGTGTCGGCAATGCCATCAACATCCATGGGATCGGTATCACCTGGGGCTTGGGTATCGAGAAGACCGAAAGCAGTCCCAGAATCCACATCACCCTTGACAGCAGGAGCCAGTGATTGACTTCGATGCTCAAGCACATCCACAAAAGATGTCTCATCGTGTTCGGGATCTGGATCCGAGGGCCCAAAAACCATAGCAATATTCAGGCCAGCAGTCCTATCACTCAATCCACCAAGATCGGAGACAGGCTCGTCGATCTGAGCAGCCTTCCACCAGTCCAGCCCATCTGGTGTTGGACTATCACTGTCGGGAGCAGCAACCATCCCCGTGGGCGGAGACCCATGCCATCCCTTGACCGCAACGAGAAGATCACCCTCGTGCACCCAGCGAGCAAGCCTGGACAGCGAGTAGATGCCCCTCTTCACTCTTTCCACCACATACAGCCCACCGTTGCCGGACAGCCGTACTGCCAGAACCGTCGGTTCTGCCTGAGCCCGCAAGTCTGTTTCAAGGGTGGGGATATCGGTCACGAACAAGCCGCCCGGTTGCGCGTCCGATCGGGACGAAGACGCGTCGTCGAGCCATATTAATGGTAGTCGAGAGCGAGGGAGAGCGGTAATGGGTTCCAGAACCAGTGGTTCGTCAGAGAGCGAGGCTGCATGGGCCTGGATCAAGGCGACGCGCACAGAGTTAGTGGATGGAAGAAAGGGGAGGGAGAGACAGCAGCAACAGAAAAAAACTTACTCGAATAACAATTGACGTGGTGGAAATCTGTCCGGCAGCATTTTCATGTGTGGTTTTGCGCTTTTTGGAGGGTGGATGCGTGAATTCGCGTCGCTTGTTGAGCGAGGATGAGCTGAGGGGATCGAGGACGCTGGGAATCGTGCGCGAGGTCATGGTCGCGTCCTAGAAAGTCGTGTGCATCATGAACAAAAACAAAGGCCGAGCAAATGCAAAACAAGGCAAGACATGCAAAGGCGCTTTGAAATCAAGTGAGTGATGTGTGTTGGAGTTGAGGTGGAAGTGGAGAGTGGACGAGGATCGCGCGGGAAGCTGAAATGCTTGGCGGTGCTGGCACGCGTCCGTCAATCACGATGAGGAACACCGTATGGTGGATGCTTATGATATGATACTTTACAGTTATTTGCTACAGAGCATGATTACCGAAGACGGTTATGATAATTATTCTATTGCTAATGTTTAGATTAGCGCACCCCAGTGAGCCAAAGCAAAAGGCGTCTCCAGAGAAAACACCCCCCGCCGACTTGGGCGGTTGTGGAGAATGGTGGTGTTGTTGAAGACTGTCGCTCCGGAAAAACGCCAGAAAACAGAGGAAAAAAAGCACATCCCTTCCCAGCCGATGAAAGTGGTATCATGTTGAATTTTTGTCTTCGCCAAAAGGCCCATCTCTTTGCAGGGCGACCATGCAGATAATGAAACAAGAGTAGTAGATTGATTTCCCACGGGAAATCAATGGTGTTGGAATTTTGAGGGTTTTAGTAGGTCTATGCATTTCGTGCTTTGAGTTGTTGAAAACAAAGCTAATCTCATCACAGTCGTCAGAGCATCTCTAGGGTCACCCCCGAGAGAAGCGGTGTCCCGCTTAGTACTTCAGGGCCTTGGGCTTCTCCCAGGAGAAGTCCTGGTTGGTGAAGTGGCCGTTCTTGGCGGTCTGGACATAGATGGGCTTGGCCAGGTCGAGGTCCTTGACAATCACACCGGGGCGGAGATTGAAGTTGTTGTTGATGATCTGGACCAGCTCATCCGACGACTTCGAGGAGGTGCCGTAGGTCTCGACGAAGATGGAGAGGGGCTCGGCAACACCGATGGCGTACGACAGCTGGACGAGGCAGCGGCGGGCCAGCTTGGAGTGAACCAGAGACTTGGCGATCCAGCGGGCCACGTAGGCGGCCGAGCGGTCGACCTTGGAGTAGTCCTTGCCGGAGAAGGCACCACCACCGTGGGCACCCCAGCCACCGTAGGTGTCGACGATGATCTTACGGCCAGTGAGACCGGCGTCACCCTGGGGACCACCGATGACGAAGCGGCCCGACGGCTGCAGGTGGTAGACGGTCTTGTCATCCAGGAGCTCGCTGGGAATGACCTTCTTGATGATCTTCTCCTTGAGCACGTTGCGGATGGTCTCGGTAGAGACATCGTCGGTGTGCTGGGCGGAGATGACGACGGTGTCCACACGCAGGGGCTTGACGGCACCGTTGTCGTGGGCGTACTCAATGGTCACCTGGGTCTTGGTGTCCGGGAGCAACCAGGGGATGGAGCCGTCCTGGCGGGCCAGCTTCATGGCGTTGTTGAGCTTGTGGGAGAGCAGGATGGTCAGGGGCAGGAGTTCCGGGGTCTCGTCGGTGGCATAGCCGAACATGATACCCTGGTCGCCGGCACCGAGCTTCTCCAGTGCCTCGTCGTAGTGCAGGCCCTGGGCAATATCGGGCGACTGCTGCTCAATGGCAACCAAGACGTTGCAGGTCTTGTAGTCGAAGCCCTTCTCGGAGGCATCGTAGCCGATGTCCTTGATGGCATTACGGATGATCTTCTGGTAGTCCAGGTTGGCCTTGGTGGTGATCTCACCGAAGACCATGATCATACCTGCAGAGTACAGTTAGCCCGAGACGGTCCAGCGACACAATGACATTGATGAAGAGCATACCGGTCTTGGTGGCGGTCTCGCAAGCGACCTTGGAGAGAGGATCCTCCGCCAGGCAGGCATCGAGGACGGCATCGGAGACCTGGTCACTGTGGGATGGTTAGTATGGAGGGGACGGTGGGCGAGGGAGAAATTCTCCTCAGGGGCAAAATTTGGGGAGTAAAACTCACGCAATCTTATCGGGATGACCCTCACCGACGGACTCGGAGGTGAAGAGGAAAGTGCCCGGCTTGGAACCGTTTGCGAGGGAACCCATTGTGACTGTAGGAGACTGAAAAGTCTTGAGAGAAAGAGAGAAAACAATCGAAAAGGGAGTGATGAAGAATGGGAAGAGAAAAGAGAAGAAGAAGAAAGAGAAGAGGGGCTTGGTGGGGTTTTCTGGTTTGGTCGGGTAAGGAAAATTTAATACATGAGATACATGGCTGGTACTTGCGTAACCACGGTGCTGCAGTAGAGTGGGCCGGTACTACTAAAGTACTCTTATCCCGGGATGGCGCCATCGTACGACGCGATTGATTGGCAACCGGGCGGTGACAGGCGGCAGGAAAGGCAGCCCGGCAAGCAAAATCTCAGCTGGTTACCGAACACCACTTGCAGTTCATCCACAGCAACCATGTCCAAGTTTGGGGTTTTGGTCATGGGCCCGGCCGGGGCGGGCAAGACCACCTTCAGCAATGCTATGATCCAACACCTGCAGAATACCCGCCGCAGCTGCTTCTACGTCAATTTGGACCCCGCGGCCGAGACCTTCAGCTACGAACCCGACCTTGACATCCGCGAGCTGATCACCTTGGAGGATGTGATGGAGGAGCTGGGTCTGGGTCCGAACGGTGGACTGATCTACTGCTTCGAATTCCTACTACAGAACCTCGATTTCCTATCCCAAGCCCTGGATCCGCTTAGCGAGGAGTACCTGATCATCTTCGACATGCCCGGCCAGATCGAATTATACACCCACATCCCCCTCCTGCCATCCCTCGTGCAGTTCCTGTCACGACAGGGACCCTTGAACATCAACCTCTGCGCGGCCTACCTGCTCGAGAGTACCTTTGTGATCGACAAAGCCAAGTTTTTCGCGGGAACGCTCAGTGCCATGTCCGCCATGCTGATGCTGGAGATGCCGCACGTGAACATCCTCAGCAAGATGGACCAAATCCAGGACATGGTGACCCGCCGGGAACTGAGACGGTTCACCAACGTGGATGTGCAGCTGCTGCAGGATGAGGAAGACGATGTAGCGCCGAGCGCGAATCCCATGGCGACGGATGCGCTAATGAGCGGCGGGTCTTTCAAACGGCTCAATCGGGCCGTCGCACAGCTTATCGATGACTTTAGCATGGTCTCTTTCCTGAAGTTGAATGTGCAAGACGACGACAGTGTGGCGGCTGTTCTGAGCCACATTGATGATGCGATTCAGTTCCACGAGGCCCAGGAGCCGAGAGAACCCAAGGATGAGCAGGAGGTGAACTACGAAGACGCCGATGCTTGAGTGAATGATGAGAGTGAATGATGACAAGCTTGTCTCTATTGCCATCTTTCGACATCGAGGTCGACTATGATTTCCAGATCGCCGACACCCATCCCGGTATCTCCCAACATTCCGTGGCTTTGATACTAGGTTGCCGAGGACCCCTTCGGCAATTTCCTCAACATACGATGCCACCAATCGAGCCGTCCCCTCCCACCGGGCCTATGAACAGCAACGGCCATCCCTCATCCCACCCGCGACAATGTGGGGCAATTGGGAGCCCGCAAGAATCAAGCCCCACATAAGTCAGATGGAGGACGAGGAAGAGAGATTAGCTAGATGAATAATAATATATTCCGAATAGCCTCTGCCCCAAAGAGGAAATACCATGAATGTTGAAACATGACCATCGGCTCCAAGCATACGGTCCCACCGGCCATCGCCCGCAATAGTCAACTCCCTCGCAGGGTATGTAACCAACCAAACACTCACCATGGCCGAGTATACCCGCCGCTCTTCCCCTTCTTCGCAGCGCCCCATCCGGATCCAACCCCAGCACTCCCACCACCGCCACTTGTAGCAGCACTGCTCCTAGCCTGGAAATCCTCCACGAATCCCTCAACAACCCCCCAAAACCAGCCCAGATTGCGTCCCGCATCTTCCACCCCAACGCGATACACATACCACGCGATGCCTAGGATGGAGCCCCAGAACACCAGTCGGAAAGCTAGCGAGACCCAGAACATGATCACGCGACGCGCATAGTCGAGGACCTTGAGGGAGATGACGAGGATGATGGCGAGGAGGAGGATGGAGAGGAGATCGGGCATGGCGGATGAGGAAGACGCGGTGGAGGCGAGTAGGGAGGAGAGTGGTTGGATGAGGTATGGTTGTACGTAGGCGGTGCGGATGTGCGAGAGGTGTGTTGTTAGGTGCTGTTGTGTGGAGGTTGCGATGTAGGTGACTGATGGGTGTTGGAGAAGGGTTTGGACGTTTTCTAGTGGGTTGGTGTTAGTGATGAACCTTCATATGGAGGGTAGGGGTATGGCACACCTGGAAGGAAGTCCATTTCTATGAGGGTTGGTGGTGATGGATCGAGACGAAGCACTGCGTCTTGCGCCAGTCACGATGAAATCCAGATGCCGTCGGCGACGCGTCGTATACAGCACCGGGGATGGAGATTATGAGACGGTGAGTTGCAAGGAGGCCACGTCCGAAATTGATAGATGCGTAGTGTATCCTGCAGGGAGTATATGGAGTGCTCAAAGGGAGACAGAGAGAGAGGGAGTGAGAGAGTGAGAGACTCAAAAGAGTTGGCCCTTCCACTGATAAGAGATCGATGCAAAACAAACAAACACCTACAATTTCTTCGTTCTGGTTGCAAAGGTTTCCTCCCAATACCAACTACCGAATAATAATGTACACATTTAGGCCTCCAGGGCTTTGAGAAATGCTGGGCTCTCATGGCCCTGCGAAACCTTCGCAATCGGAGTCAGGTACGACTCCGAGCCTTCCTGGCTTTCTTGAAGGCGCCGAATATACGACTGGGCGACCTTGAGCCACAGCGCCTTCTCCCTCTCACTCGCCCCTTCGCCCTGCCAGACCCAGATCCTGTTCCCAGCATCATAAAGAAACACATCATCTCCATCCAAATCCGATGTCCGTACCTGTTCCCCGTCCTTGACCAGGTCAAAGGATAGCGTCCCCGTGGAGTCACTGAGCCGGAACAGTTTGCGCGGATTCCCACTGTGAACAGCCTCCCGTTTCGAGAAGAATCCAGGCCGCGGAGCCTGGAGTGTAGATTGGGCAGCCTCCTTGCCTCCCAACAGATCGACAATGATCCGGGATCTGGACTCGAGCTGCGAGAGCACTTCCACGTCGACGTGCTTCGCCAGCGTCAAGTCATTCACCACCTGCGCGGCTTTGGCCTTTTCCATCGGGCTGCAGTTTTTCCCTTGCCACACCCAGATCTTGTCGCCCTTGTCCAAGACGAACACGTCGTTCTCGTCGAGGCTCTCCCAGGTGGGTTCCACCTCGTGCACGATCGTGGAGTTTAAGCGGCCTGCGCCGGGATATTTGAAGATGCGCAGTAGCATCAGCACCTCCTTGGGCTCTTCTTCCTCAACATGGTGGAATCCAGAGCGCACGCCTCCAGACCGGATCGAGATATGGCGGAACAGGGCGAGAAATTCGTCTGACGGATGCTGCTGGACCTCGCGATGCTGCGTCGCCGCACCATGCAAGAACTCGTCGAGTTCAACGGTCTTGTAAGCGGCAGTGCCGGCCTCATCCTGGGTGGTCTTGCCGCCCAGCCAGAAAAAGACGTCATGGCCTAGCTTGTCGTGGTCGCCGACCTTGTACGAGTGCAGAACAATGTAGCTATCACCATCGTAGAATTGGCCATTCTTCTCCTTGGGCCAGGGGATGACTTCGAAATTCTCGATCCGCCAAACAAACAGCCCGGCCTGCTGTCCCACCTTCCCGTCATTCCAGGCGGGCTCCGACGCAGCTGAATTGTACTTGACGCGGTGGTCGAGGTCGGATCCAATCAGCTCCACATTGCTGTCTTTGATATCGTACTCCTTTGGGTGCACTAGTCCTTCATGAGGAGCCATGATGTTGAGTTGTTGATAGTGCCAGATCGGGGTGACGGTTGGATGTTTGAGACGAAGCTGGACAGCCACCACCGACGCAATTGCAGTGGGGCAGGGGGCTGAGGGCGGGGCACCATGAGACAATTAGATAATCCAGGTACATACATCGAAACTGGATAAAGATATGTTTACATAAAATCGTGTGGAGTCTTCCTCTTTTAACATTGGTGGCTGAATTTGTGCTTGGCCAGTGTTAAGCTGTTTCGAGACACGTCCATAATCCAACCATGCCGGCAACCAGCGAGAAAGCGCCGCGAATGATATTCAGCTTACTCCAACGGTTGAGCAGGCTTTTTGCCTGGGTAGACATCTCAGGCTTGCCCTTTTCTCCTTTGTCCGCATTTACGAGGAACAGCAAGTGGTGGCTGACAGGCTCCATGAGTACAAAAGTCCAAGGCAGGAGGGTCGCGTTGAATGCGGCAGCTGTTGCCCAACGTGTCCAGAGTTGATTGCCGCTCTGGCGCGTGTGGTAGGCAATAAAACCATGGACCATTGTAGTCAGTAAAGTGAGTGGGGGCTGAGTGAAGTAACCAATGCCGTATATCAGGCGGAATTGTTTGACAGCAATGTCGGGCGGCGCTAACAGAAGCGCCGGAATTGTCATGATGGAAGTAACACCGATTGCGCCACTAGCCCACAAAGAGCCAGCGATAGCGAGACCCTTGGCAGCTGAGAGAATCGACATAGTTGGTGCGAGATACGGCAACGGATAGAGGGTATATTTTGTGCTCTGCTATTGAGAAACTAACTGGATTGTTGCTTTGTGGTAGTGCCCAAAGGGATTGCGGTTCACGTCTTGCAGGCCACGTGATGTTCCCAAGTCTTACATGGTAATACTAAGCCAACGCTAATAGACACCTAGTGTGTTTCGAAAATGAGTTGGGGAAAGAATCAAAGGATGAAATTAGTGAATATGATTTCGATCCATCTTATATAGCGGTGTGATGTGAGGAAATATCTCTAGCTCGACATGAACGCAGCCTCAGCCCCGGTCCGATCCTCCGGATCCGAAGCGCCCGGATTTGAAATGACGAACTTCCATGAGGTATTACGTCTGTGACAGCGTGAGATGGTGAGATACGTCATTAGGATGATATTTTCCAATAAGAGAGGTAGCGAGTTCATGAAAGCTGGCGAAGCTAGTGTCGGAACTAGTTCCAGATAAAGGTATGGGTAAAGCCCGGCCTCTGAAGTGCATATAAATACGCATGCGCCTATTGATAGAAAGTGAAAGGACTCGCAATATACTCTTTCGCTTGACCACGGCCATTTTGTTCAGCTTCAGAGCTCTCAAAGGGGCTTCTGTATATCTTGCATAGTGAAAGTTCAAATGCCATCAATCAAAAAGTGGCTGAGCTAGCAAAGCTCTATGAGAAAAAGGGCAGTGGCGCGGACATTGCGGCCCAGGTACTTTTGGAGGAATGTTCGAGGAACGATGCTTAGGCAAGCCTTAAATGATCCAAGAAAGAACCGATCAAACTTCTCAAATACCGCGCTCTTCTTTTATGGACAGCTCATTGAGGCTGATTGATGAAAGAACCATTGGTCAATCGTCTTGTGAATTTGAGCAATAGCTGAAGATGTCGAATAAGGGCGAGAAAGAGAAAGTAACACCAATCTTTACATTCAATTGCTCTCTCGTCTGTCTCATTCAAGACAATTAACTCCAATGATCTATGTATAGATATCAACCAATATGAGGTATACTGTCCGGCCAAGTCGTAGAAAATGCCCCCGAAGGCAAGAATGCCAAAGAACGCAAGGCCTCAACAGCGGCAAACAATCTAGCAGCGAAGAAAACAACGAAAACCAATCCCCCCACGCTATTGGACATGACGGTCACCAATATAGACTGTTGATTGAAAGAACGGGGAAGCCACTTGCCCAAGTGCAAAAAAACAAGACTCGCTGTCTTTGAAAGAAGGTACATTAATGGGATCGCAGTGGCTGTTATGATAGAGCTCGCCTGCCAAAGCACTCTCTCGATCTCGGTGGGAAAGACGAAATCCCAAGCCACGCAGTGAATCAATCCAAGAATCAACACGCTAAATGCCGCACCATTTGCCAATATGGAGTTATCAGCTTTTTGTGATGTCTCAATGGCATGCAGGGAATTGCTTGGAATCCAGAGATCGGATCTAGGATATAAATAGCAACCAGGACCTGCGACGGCCACCCGACTGAGCTCCTGCTTTGTTGCGTATCGGGATGCAGAGAGAACAACAGATGTATGGACATCCTTTGGTTTCTCCAACAGAAGAAAGTATGTGAATACAGTTGAAACTGCGAAGGAGAGCGTCAAGATCTCAAGCTGGCTAGTTGCAACATGTCGAACGAGTCGCGTAATAGTCTGAATCAGGAACCAAATAATCTGGAGGACTGAAAAAATCTTCACCAGTTGATCGGCCTTGTTCCGATCTGCGAGTTCGTCATCAGACATGCAAGGAAGCTGCTCGATGATTCCGAGCTCGCGCGCGAGGAGCAGTTGCTTGGCGTCCAAAACCCAAAGATTTCCTTGGAGGGCAAAAAGGTTGCCAAACCAAACACCCGCGGTGTTGCGAAATCTAGCTTTCTCCCAAGAGTTAGGAAAGTAGCCCATATCCACCATCTCTAATGCTTCACGGAAAGTGTCGTGGTTCTGCTTGTCCGTCATCCACGGGAGCAGCCCATGGTAGTAAGAGCGGTCCCGAGCCCGTTTGTCAATATCGAAGTTCCTAAAAAGGCGATCCAATATGTGCAGCTTTTCTTTTACGTCTTGTGGTAAGGTATCGTGTCCGTTAATTTTCTGAGTTGGACCCACGGTGACGGATTTCTCTCCTTCAAATGCCGAGACGGCATTAGGGTTTGACTGGACTTTGATGAGATTGTTATTGATGGAGCTTAGTGTTCGGCCTGAGCTGGATACCGGCGCCGAATTCGAACGATTTAGTTGTGTCGTATTAATGTAACTCCCAGATAGAGGCGTTTCATCAGCAGCACTAGAGTCTTCCCCAGTGGCCACGAATGAAGTCCGAGTCGAGGTAACTTGACAGACATTTGAAGGATCATCTGTCCTGCTTTTCACAGCCGAAACACTGGGATACTTGACGGCGCTGGGCGCTGGCGCAGAGGACGAAGAGAATCGAACGGCGAAGCCGCCCATGTTGGCTAGATGAATGTGGGCGCGACTCCAAGGGACACCATCTTGCTCTTGAAATTTCTTAAAGCCGTCTTCCAGCGACGAAACCGATTGGTAGTCGGCCCAGGCTTTGGCAAGAGACCATTCAGGTGCGAGCAAGTTGAGGAGCATCCAAGACAACTTCCAGAACAGTCGAACAGCACCGCGGTTTAATTTTTGTATTTTGCGTTGAGGACTTGTCTGGAATGGAACCGCTGGATGGATGATAGACCAAGTGCAGATCAGAAGAACGCTCAGGCAACTCCAGAGGATATCCAAGGTGCCCCTTACGTTGGGACTGGAGACAAAATTCACTCCATCTGGGGGCAAGGTGTAGTTGCCACTGAATGTCTTCATGGCCTTGAATCACAGACATGGATTAAAAGAGAGGAAGCTTGAAGTGCATTGCCCCCTAAGAGGCTGAGCCTGCTACTATTTATTCCGAGGACTAACTAGATCTGCTAAAGCTGCAGCTAGTCACCTGACTAGGTCTCAGCCTTGTGTCCAAAATACTACGATTAAATTATTTATGCGTTGGGCCCACTAAAAAGAACCGCTGGCAAGTGTCAGCGGAATCAGCCATAGTTGGGGCCGAAAACAGCAAGCACAGCAACAGCGGGGATCGCGGCTATGAAGCTATGGGCCAAAGCAGCCAAGCTTGAGCACAAAAAATCTAAAGATCAGTGGACTATCTCCTCACTTGAATCAGTGTGGTTCGATGTGATCATCAATTGCTATAGATCATTTTACTGTGCATCACTCAAATCACAACGTACCGTTCGGGAATTATCAAGATAATGACCCGTATTATATGATAGGCTGCAGTAATACTGTAAAGTTACCCATAACAGCCTAAAGGGCAATTCTACCATCGCAACAATTCCCGGTGCGATTTAATGTGAGTATATTTCGAGCACATCTCAACTCGCTCTTTTACCGTAGTAGGAACAGATTAGGGTCCGGGAATCAATTCGTGGGAGTGAAGAGGAATAACCGATTTCGAGAATTGCCGTACTTTAAATAAACACGTTATAGTTCTGGGCATCACTGCTTGCCCTGACTAGCTGTATCTCCTTGGCCTTTATGCTCAAGAACTTAGAACTTCTCAGAGGCCTGCGTGGCAAGTAGCCGTCATTGTGTTCCTGCTGCCCTTATGATGCGCGACTTGAACCTGTGCTAATTTTTCACCTAGTAGAAACGTGACGCGAGGGTGGGTCTTTATAGTGGCGAGGTAACTCTAGCGCTCGGTCTTCAGACAAGCCCGTCGTCGGCATGATAAGTAAGCCATAGCGATTTATGGCTATATTTGTATCCATCTTGGTTGAGTTTGAGGTGTCTGATTTATCAGCACTCGATTACAAGTACACTCAGGAAACGTAAATATAAAAGCATTCGCACTTTTCCACATTAGACTCCTGATTTGTAAATCGATACTAGAGAAACTCGAAGATCACGGGAGATTCGCTTTCGGAATCGAGTTTCATGGGGCATTCCTGGACTGGGGCTTGGAGTACGGTTTCTTAGTCAATCCGAGAACACACAGCGCCACCTTATATGATGGTGGTGATCGCCCATTCAGCACGACAACATTGGCCACCATCGGCAGGGCTGTTTTGAGCATTCTTGCTCACCTTGAGAAAGCTAAGAATCGGCACGTTTACATTCACGATGCGCTTGTAACTCAGAATTAGCTCATCGCTATTGTCAAAAAGCTCGACGGTAAGGATTGGAACCTTACGCACACCACCGCTTCTGCTGCCAAAGAAAGTGCTTATGCGGAGCTCGCAAAGGAGAATCCGGACGCCACCAAAGCCCTGTTCCCTCTTCTTCAAGTGTCTGTCCTAGGCGACGTTTATGGCGGTGATTTTTCGGCTCATCTGGATAACAATCTTCTCGGTATCAAGGGTATGGATGACGAAGAGCTCGTAAGCTGGGTTGGAAAATCTCTGTAATTAAATGGATTGAGCTCAGGCCATCAGCCTTATGGTAAGGCCATCATTACATAGGATAATCTGGGGATGGATTCCGGCCAAATGTATGCTCACACGATCATATCATATCGGGCGGCGCGCGCGATGGCGTCGCGTCGGATCGATGGAAAGAGAGAGAGAGAGAGAGAGAGAGAGAGAGAGAGAGAGAGAGAGAGAGAGAGAGAGAGAGAGAGAGAGAGAGAGAGACTCTATATCATAGGTCGTCCGTCGTCGTCGCTGTCTCTTCCCTCCTCCCCTCGTCCGATCCAGACGATTGACCGAAATCCCTCCCTTCCACCCCCTCTTCACGAAAGTACCATCCGACCTTGATCTGATGTACGATATGACTGAATGACATGATCCATAGACTACGTGAACGAGGATCGATCCCCTCACCTCACGGCTGGGTAGAGGTCGAGATCGCGCGTCCTCTTCGAGATATGGACCTCTTCACCTTCTACGAACCCCTCTGCGTGTGGATCTGCCGGCCCTGCGAGATGGGCGTCAACCCGCACTAGATCGAGGGCCGCCACGTCCGCGACCACGACGAGGCCCACTCGACCGCGAGGACCGTCGTCTGTGGGACTCGGCGCGCGAGCCCTTCGCGACGCCGGCCCCGACGCACCCGCCGATCCCCGGCATCCCGACGCATCGCGGGTACAAAGACAATCAGAAATGTGTCATGCCGGAGGCATGCATTACTATAAATGATTTAACTGTACGGATGATAACTCTATCTACTAGGTCGAAGCTCTATCCAAAATTAATAATAATAAAGAATTAGGGTTAACGTTATTTGCAGTACGTCGTCGGTGCAAACAGAACAAACCACTCTAAGCACTTAAAATGTAAACAAAGTAATGTATGCGTTTTGTGGTTGGCTGTCGTAGCCGTCAGCCTATAATTACTGTACATCCAATTAGGTATTTACCCCAGATCATAGCGCCATCTCGTAGCGCCATCGTATATACAAGTGGCGACCCAGCGTCAACCACCCCCCAAAAAATCGAGACTCCAACCTTGGAAATCTCGTAGAGATAGAAACAGATATACAACCAATCAGCACTGCAAAGGGCAGATATCCAACCCAAAAAATTCAAAGTGACTCCCGGAACCAAACTCCGAGACACTACCGCAACCCAATCGAAACGGGTGCGATGGCAGATGCAGATGCAGATGGGGGTGTAGGTACAATGATAAATGATAGAATAAAAAAAAACAAGACAAAGGGCATTAGCGGGCTTGGTTTAGTAGCCAAGTATCGACTTGAAGGCGTCACGCTCGGCTTGAATGTCTGTCTGGAGGCGACGGGTTTGGCGGAGGGCCTCGTCTCTGTGGGGTAAATTAGTCTTCTGTAATATGAATCGGCAAGAAATCAGAGGCGGTGACATACCTCTCAGCTTGAAGTTTAGCCACATCGATTTGGGCACGGTTCATCCGCCCGATCACCTCCTCCATTTCCATGTCTGCATCGCGGAGGGCTCTCTCGAGCTGCTTGACCTGCTTCTCAAGGGCTTCAGGCTGGATGACCTCGGTCAAGGGGATACCGTCCCCGCTGGTGGTCTTCTCCAGACGCGGCGAGCGTGCCCCGAAGGGGGTGTTTGGAGGTCGTGGAGAGAGAGTGACGGGGTCACGCGACCCGTTCTTCATGCGCATGAGCTGAGAATTGTGGTTTTCCTTCAGCTGGCGGACCTGCTCCTCATGCTTGCTCATCTCTTCCTCGGAATGCTGCTGAGCTTGCACGAGGGAGTCCTCCAACCCCTTGAGTCGGTTCTGAAGAATATTGATACGCTCAGTCGAGCACTGCTGGTCCCGTTCGCCCTTGTTGATAGCATTGGCAAGCCGTTCGCGCAGAGAGCTGTTCATTTGAAGTTGGTGGTTGACGTCGTTCCCGAGAGCATCTGTGCGCTGGATAGAGACCACAAGCTGTTGAGAGTTCGCACCGTTGCCTTCGGCCTGGTTCCGTTGGGCCTGTAGCTGCTTGTAGGCAGATTCTAGAGAAGATGACGTTGCCAGAACCTCGTCGGCTTGATCCCCGTCATCATGCTCTTGCAACAGCACACGGAGAGAGGTGGTCTCCTGCTCGGCACGGTCCAGATCCATTTTGAGACCGGCAAGGTTCTTCTCGCACTGCCACTTGCCATCCAAAGCATCTTCCGCGCGCTGGCGAAGGTGGCTCACCTCCTCTCGTAGGTAGCGTACCTCCCTCTCGTAGCCGAGTCTGCGCGGAGGGGCAGAGCCCTGAGTCCGAATCAGCTCTAGTTCCAGAATCCGCATGCGCTTCTCGAAGTCGCGGGCCTGGAACGCCTGGCGGTCAAGAAGGCTTCGTAATGACCGGTGAAGCGCGTCTCGCTGTGTTTCGATCTCCTTGACCTTCTCAACCAAGGACTCGCGGCTCTCCTTGACACCCGTCACAGAGTTGGATCGAGACAGGCCACCAGATTTGCCAGGCATGCGTGCGACGGAGTTCGACCGCCCGAGGCCGCCGAAGACTGAGTTCCGCTTGGGAGCCGCGCCGTCTTCCGAAATGGAGGCAAATCGGCTGCCCTGTAACTGGGCCAAAGCGGCGTTCTCAATTTTGAGAGCTTCATTCTCTTCCATCAAACGGGTGGCCACGGCCTGTGGAGTGTCACCATCCCGAAGCTGATCACGGTCGTCTCGGAGTTGGTTCAACTCGACCCTCATGGCAGTCAGGAGATCCTCGAAGTTGTCCTTGGATTGCCGCTCTTCAATCAGCTTCCGACGCGTGTTTTCGAGGGCAGTCTCGAGTTCCCGGGTCTTGGATGATAGATCGGATAAGTCTACTCTCTCGCGTCGAAGCTGAATAAACAAAGTCAGCATATATTCAGGGTCATATTCAAGGTCTGAATCTTACTTGTTGCACTTGGCTCTCCAGGAGCTGGACATGGGACTCGGATGCCGTCCGCTGTGACCGTTCATCTTGTAGCTTCTGGGCCAGTTCAACCTTTAGCTGCGCTCGTTCCTGTTCATGTTGCCGTCGAATCTTTTCGACATCTTCGGTATGCCCGGAGTCTAGAGCATAGCGGATCGAGCTGCTGGTTCCAGAGTCGGAGAAATAGTCACTGGTACGCCGATTGGCATCTGGTCCTTCAGACTGCAGTCGTTCAACCAGGTCTTCGAGTTCCATTTCTCGGCGGATGGAGCCCGCCAGCTCAGAACTGATTTCTCGCAATTCATTTTCGAGGTCCGCAAACTTGGACGCATATACACTGTCCTGAACGCTGGCATCGCCTAAGGATTTGTTTGAATTGTTGCGTACTGGCGGGTGGAAGCCATTAGGTTTGGTGTCGTAGGGAGAGGGGGCTTTGATGGGTACGTTGGCTAGAGGAGGCATTGGAGATGATAGGGGTGAGCGGCCAGTATCTGAAATCTCGGTACTGGACGATTCCGCTCCGGGAGATGTAGCACCTTTCCAGCCAAAGAAAGAACTGATTTTGTTTCCGGGTGTTTTGGGTTGTCTGGGATCGACCGCGCTCATTGGAGGTGGCGGCCGTCCGTCCACGTCGATATGAAGTGGTGGTGGTCGGCTCCCAGGCGGGTGTAAGGCCATAGTAGTCGCCCGCCTTTGGGTTGGAGGGGGAGAGTTGAGAACCGGAATGAAGGGTTCGCTCACAAGACGACTGTGCAGTGAGGTGCCATTCGTAAATTGATGTTCGTAGCTGTTGTCAAAGTAGTCGGCGGCCCCTTGGTCGTCGTCGTCGTCCTCCTCGTCCTCGATCACAGAGTGTAAGAAGGACGCCGAGGCAGCAGTGTCGATTCGTAGGGGTTGCGGTGGGTATGCGCCGCGTGAGAATCTAGGAATGCGCGATAAGAGCCGACGGTTAGTTTTCCAGGACTTGAACAACCGGGACAACATATAGAGGACCAGCGCCAGCAGTATGGACTTGCGCCAGTCAGTGAGTGGTGGTTCACATACCGATTGGGGTTGGGTGATGTCGAAAAGGCTCCCTCCACGGGGGATGGCGATCTAGGGAGGGTGGTAGTGGAAGGGGGGGAAGTAGGGTTATTATCAGGGATGGAAGAAGGAGGAGAGGGGTGAGCAATAGTAATCCCTAGATCGGCATGCTGGGGCAGAGGCTTTCGGCGGACTACAGGCGGAGGAGGAGAAGAGTAGAGAGATGAGGAGGGTGAGCCGACGGAAGCGCCGTCAGGAGGAGCGGGAGAGGCCATGAGACACCCAGGTCAACGATCAAAAAATAGCCATGGGATCGACGGCCAAAGTCGCAGAGCATGAAAGGGAGAGCACGCGCCAATTGGGAGAGAGACGAAAGGGGAAAGGATGGCTAAGTGATGAGGACGAGAAGGAAAAGGAGTTCTGGGCGGGACGAACAAGTGGATCCAGGGGCGGCCGAACGCCACGAGAACGTGCTAGGATTAGTTAGTACGGTAGTTGTTGATACCTTCCTATCTTCTATTCTTTTGTCTCTTTTCTATTCCCCGTCTTACTGTAGTCTAGGAGCTCTAGATAGACTGGAATTCTCTTCTTGTCATCTAGATCCTCTCTACACGTACTCCGAGTGCTCCCTCTATCGGCGAGGGGCTAGATCAATAGTCTTCTGGCGGGCGCACGCCCCTTGAGTCGTGGATCGGGAGTTGGCGCTAATCCATGGGGCGGTTCAGGGGTTGGCCCGATGTACCCCCCCAAGTACCTGCAGTATGGCCACCCCGACCAGCAGTGACCACCATGGTACACTGTCGCTGACGCGTCGGTTTGTTAATGCAACACTGAACCTACACAATTAGGCTCATGCGCAGGAACTAGTATGTCAACCAGGGGTGGCCTGAATACTACGACTGTTTGACAATCACATCCGTGCGGGCGTGGATCACGTCAAAGTCAATAATAAGAATTAATCAATGAGATATTATTATTGCGGGTCCAGAATCTCTCTATCTCGCTGCCCCTTTTCTTCCGTCCCTCGTCCAGGCACTATTGCCTCTTTGGGCCGAACGTGCACCTGGCCTGACCGTGGCACAGTAGCGCTATTGCCTAGCACCAATCAGCGAAATATCAGACCGGGCGTCTCGCCCAGTTCCTGCAAGTGCCATTCATGTCACATCGAGGCGGGATGGATTTGGCCAATGCGCTTGCTCTGTGCTCCACGGGCCGATTTAAATTCCTAGCCCTTGGCGGTGAAGAACCCCGCTTGGGGAGAGTGAGACATGGTTGCATAGTTCGTATTATAACCATAACCCGACTTGGTCTGTCGCTTGGGGAAGCCGATGCGACCGTGGAACAGTCGAAACAAGCGCTAGCGGGGTCGGTGATGGCGCTCGAGTAACTTTCGCAATGACCCGAACCCTAATTCCCCCCAGATGCATTCAGTCTATTTCTCTGATGTATTGAGCGGGGGAACTAATTCATTGAGGAACTCCATCTGATATCTCAATCGATCGATCGGTTCCCCAGTTCCCCCCACCAGCCGGCCGAACACCGGCCGGGTACCCCAGTCTAGTGGCCTCCATTGAGAAACGGACTGCACGAGGGTATGCAAGCGGCGGGTATAACGCATGGCAAGCTCCCAGCTAGCGGGTACAGACACAAATCAGACCCTCTGACATGCCGGGCTTACCTGCTGCCAGTCGCGGGGTCTGATAATAGTGATAATCAAGGACTGGTTCTATATCAACCATTGCTCCATATCTTCGTGGACTAAGGCACGATCCACATCATTCATCTTGTCGAACTCACCAATACAAACCACGCCGCGGCCACGCAGAACCACTGCACTAGGTACTCGTTAATCAAAACTGCTAGGAACCATTGGTTTGGTGAGCAGGCAATGATCTAAAGATTCCACGCTCATCGTTACGCATATCAGATCTTTTGGTTATGTTTCCTACTACAGAATAATCAAGCTAGAATCAGCCAAGTACAGAACAGAAGTTTGGAGTTGCCCGATCAGAAAAATTTCTTCCACTTTGACTTCCTGCGTCTTCGATTATCGAGGGACAGCAGCGATGTCTTGGCTTGGGCCGGGAAATCAGCAGACTTGCCATCTGTAGTAGCAGATGCCGGTCCCAGACATTGATCCAGTCTATGAGCCAAATCCGGTACCTGCGCCGTAAAGTGACAGTAAACGTCGTGCGGGATCCGTGCTTCAAAGGATCGAGACGTAATGCTATTGAATGCAAGCTTCATATCATCGTAGATTTGGATACTCTCCAAAGAAAGCTCCAGGACTATAGTAAGGAATGATCAAGAGTCAACAAATTCAATCTCTAAATCTCACATAGAATAGCAACGGCCATCCGGAATTATCAGTTCATCAAGAATCAAAGGCCACTCGAGGAAGAAGATGCACGGGACCGAAGACTTCTTCTGCAAAGATATTTTCAATCCACGATTAACGATGGATTTTACTCTCATTACAGTTTCTTCCAAGATATGGATAGTGGAATTGATCCATTGCGCGCAGCATTACTCCGACACCTGCCGCGCCAGTGGACTTTTTCAAGCGAAGAATATAGGTCTCGGAGCCAAGAATACCAAAAAGGACACATGCCTAGGGTTGTATCTAGGTTCGTGGATAGGTTAAGCCGATTTATCATAGCGTTTTCAGGCGGCCTCTTTCTTATCGTCCCTATGATCATTATGACCCTACATCCGTCGCAGAATAAGAGCCTGGTGACTGTATCGGTTTGTGTCACTGTCTTTGCGCTCTTGCTTGTGTTTGGTGTTCGAGTATCGAATGCCGAAACATTGATTTCGACCGCAACATATGCCGCAGTCTTGGTAGTATTTGTGGGGGCGAACAATAATCCTTGACTGGATGCTGGTTCATTACTGTATCTAAATCTGACACGATGGCTCCACATGGGCTACCTAGGCGAGAAAAATGAAATGAGATAATATATTCAATACATTGATTTATAGAAATAGGGTAAAGTAGTTCAAGGTCTGGGTGAAATTCAGCGTACTGCTCTGGGGGGCGTGGTTTCGAACAAGATGGCTTCTTTTGCGTCCGCCCTAATTCATGATTATTGTATGTATAGATGTTCGAATCCAGGCGAGTTGATGTGTTTTTGTATGGACTGATTTATTTCCCCGTTGGGGGACGTATGCATTTTGTACAGTCGGAGGCATTTAAAACTTTCAGCTCATATATACCAATCCAGAGCTTAAAACAACAATAACAACAACATTAACACCACCCATCCCAATTACAACGCCAAAGCTATCAAGACACACAAATAACCAAAGAGACGTCAGTCGTTGCACATCAGACATATACACTTGCTCTCGTGGCAGCCGGGTTCGGTTCCTAGTAGGGAATGAAATCGAATTTCATTCGATCTTTGAATATCGTTAGCACTTAGTGTAAATAACTAGTAGAGGTTGCCACAGGTGATAATACATACCGAGGAAATGGCTCCAATCTTCATCTTCACTAATTTGATTGGCCCAGTACTGCTCCAGAAAGGTCAAGGACTGAAGCACATTCGGAATACGGATGGTATCATGCAGAGAAGACAACAACTGCCTGACCGTATCTCGATCCTCGACACGAGCTTCACAACCCGCAATAAAGAGTGGTGTTGTGAGCATCACCCACGGACTAAGTCCAGATGAAGGACCGATCTGGGCCGTGCATTCCAGAATCCGTTGGACGGACTGCTGGACGGCAGCTGAGGTTGTTGGTGTCCTGCGGAGCCGGCGATGGATCTGGATGAGAGCACTGTGCTGGAATGCTTCGTTGCAAAGCATCAGTTGCTGCATGCTTTCCGCCGAAATTCCCTCCGCGACGCCGGGGTAGAACGAGGGTTGCGAGCTGGCGCCCCGGTCCATGAGTTGTCGGACAGAGAATTCCAAAGACGCAGCGTCATCTTCGATGTCACCGGGAATTTCTCCCGCGACAAAGCCCTGCATATTCTCCGCGGCCTCGGCCTCGTGTCTCCGCCAGGCAGCAGCCCCGATCTGACGAAAGACGGTTGCTAGATCGCACGTGAAGCCCCAATAGTCATCCAGGTAATCCGGAGACTCCTCCTGGTCGACGCCATCTGGCGGTATAAAGTCAGAGGAAGCGCCAATCGGGGGACCGTTCCCCGTCAATGCCGTGAGCGACACGATCGAGCGATACCATCGATCTAGATACCGGCGGAACCCGTCCGCTGAGCGTGGCGAATCTTCTCCCACCGTGTCAGCGGTCTTCATCAAAGCCCTCGCGCCCTCGATATGCGCTCGCCATGAGTTCGGGTGGATAGCCCCCGAATGAATCTCTGCAAGACAAAGCGTGCGAGCGGTGGCGACCAGCGCTTCCGAACCTTTGGTCGACGGATTTTGGAGCTCTGTTCGAAAATGCTCCAGACTGAGCGCCATCAGCCGGGCGATATCTGGTGCCGACTTGACCGTCTCGGACTGATTGTGTAGAGCTTGGATATGGATGGCGGAGAGGGCAGTGGTGGCGTAGAGAAGCGATGGAGTTTGGAGCGCCATGGGTACGAGCATGCGGCAGATATCCTGCTGCATGCCCGAATGGCACGCGGTGATTTGGGACGCATCGTTGATGAAGTGATGCAGCAAGGCCTTTTGGTCGGAGGACAGCGACGAGAATGGGTCAACCGGTCGGGTCAAGGCCAGCTCGCGGTCTGCGACGGGCGGTGACTTGGCGGATTTGGTGGTGTAGATGAACTCTCCTGGCGAGTATTCTGGAGGCGATCAATCTCGGTCAGTGTGTGTGCAATAGACCACGCTTGGGAGGCACTCACCCAGTCTCTGCATGCCGCCGTCACCCACGCAGGCCCCGAAGCGCGAGCGTGAGAACGCTCGCCCTCCCCACTGCAGCTGCATCGCATACTTGCACTGCGCACCGGCTGTTTGGCAGCGGCCGCAGGTTGGCCGCTGCTCGTCACATTTCTGGCGACGCGCCTTGCAGCGTTTGCAGCCGGTGAAGGATCGCGACATGATGGACGATTATGTTGATGATGGCGATGATGAGGCCCAGGAAGAATTAATTATTGCGGGGAATGGAATGCACCCCACGGAGAATGTCCGGCGTGTGGCGAACCCAAGAGCCCCGACGATAGACGAGAACAACCCGGGCACTTAGCCTTTCGCTCTTGTTGGTTGGAGCTGGTGAATCAATTATTATTTACGATCGCCCCCGGAAACTACCTAGCGGCCGATCCCTCTCCACCATGCAGCATCGGGAGATGTTTAAATACCGAGAACAAGATGGTTGTTGGACAAGCTAGAAACCAAAAAAAAGAGTATATGTGCATCCATTTCACAAAACCATCACCCGTCGAATGTATACCGCAGCCACTCGCCCACGGCCCGCAGACTCTCCCAGCGCACCGACTCGTCCTTGTCCACCATCAGCTCCATCACCCGCGTCTTCAAGCCTAGGCGTTCCAACTGCATGCGCCGCTCCGGCAACTCCTTGACCAGGTGTCCTACATCATTGCACCCAATCGCCAACACCTGCTTGTCATTGTCCCAGTCCTTGCTCAGAATCTCCGCGAGTTTCTTGGGCAGCGCGCCGTTTGTTTCGTCCAGGATCCGGCGGGCATTGTCTTTCCAGAACGTCGGATTCTTGTGGGGAGGCGACCAGCGCAGATGGCCCGACTGAACTTCCGCGGCGTACTCGTCAAAGGTGGTTTGCGTCTTGGTGTACTCGTCCAACATCGTCGACAGCGCACTCAGGTCCTCGAGGAGATCGGGGTCGGTCAGATGGCGGCCAGAAAGATTGCTCAGCAGGGCCGGCAAGCGAACAAAGACGGCGATGGGCAGTATTGTAGTCCGGTTGGTGGAGCACAGATTGTATAGCGTCGCGATGAGGAGACGGGTCGTCTTCTCCTTGGGTGAGAGTCGCAGCAGGTGAGTGTATAGTTGGACGATCTCGTAGTTCCTAGGTAGTCAACAGTCAGACAGGTCATTCACAAAGCATCGGCCACGGTCTCTCTCTTACTCCTGCAGCTCATCCCCAACGAGCGCACCCTCAAATGTAAGCTGCCAAATCACCAGGAGAACCCGATACAGGAGCTGCAGACCGACACCACCCGACAGCCCGGGCTCGACACTGCGAGTGCCACTGCCCAAAGTACTATTTCCATTTTCTTTGGAACCTGTGGGGCCTGCTGCCGCACGGAGCGTGTCAATCAAAGGTGCTAGGGTCTGCTGGCGCTGAGTCCAAAAGATCTCCCGAGATCGTGTTTTCCGCAGTAGCTCTGAAAACCCCTGGACGCCAATATCTTGCAGGCCACTATCCTGGTTCTTGGTCAAAGTGGAGAGATAGGTGTACAGCTGTGATAGAGCTTCTTCATCTCTGGCGGCGGGTTTGGAAGAGGTGATGAGGCTGTGCGACACCAGAGCTGTGAGGAAAGTCGACGTGAGCAGCGGGATCGGGTCCTCGGTGTTGGTCGAGTGTTGAAGGAACGGCAGGAAGGGCTTGTAGGGTTCAGGGTGTGAGATCAGTGCATCGGCGAGAGAGGGGACATCCTGGATTAGGTCCGATGCCAGCACCAGGATATATTGCACGATATCGGTTCGGCGAGCAGCCGACTCCAGGATACTCTTGCCCCCCGCGCCGCCAGCGAGCAGATTGGTATAACCGGGGAGATCCTCCTCAATGGTCTGGCGCCGCTGCTCCGGGCGCACCTTGTCGACGGCTTTGATCTTCTTCAGGTGGTCATCAGTGATGTTACCCGCCCGCACGGCACCCTCCCACGGGATTGGGCGAGCCCGGATGTTGTTCTGGAGAGAGCTGAGGTAGGTGGGCGGCTCCAGAGACATGGTGCTTTAGGGAGCCCCCGGACGAGGAGGAGAGATTGGGAGGGAGGGAGAGAGAGCTGGTGGTGGAGGGATGGTATGGTTGGTGGTGGATTGAGGAACGGAAGAAGGACAGCATGACGGCAGCCGCGCCAAGACTTGGTAACGTCGCTGCATTGATTCCTTGTGTCTCGATCTGTTCCTTCCTTTCTTTCTCCCTCCACCTCCCCCCATGGTCGATTCTTCTTCTTCGCTTCTGCCCTGTTCCCTGGCTTCTTGACTCTCCTTTGCATGTGGCCAGCCCTCTGCGACCCGTGTTGCATCGTGGTGCGCTGCTGCCTGCCGCCTGTACGCTCCGCCCCGAATTGCTCCCACTCAGTCTCTCTTTTGCCCGTACCTGTCCTTTCCGCCGAATAATTGCGCATTGGCTCTGCTGCGGCTCTGGAACATCGACCTATACCGTTTCTATACCACCTGCGATCATCACTATTGCTCCTCCCACGAAGCCCATGCACCTGCACCGCGAGCTCCTTGCTGCTTGCCGGTAGCCGAATTGTGATCTGCCGACAGCTGTACAACTCAAAATGGCGCAAAACTCACAACCTACAAAATCCAGATGGGGTGTCGGGTCCTTCTTGTCGCAGGCTGTCGCGGGGGTGGAATCTCGCCTGGACAACATCCTGATGGACCAAGAAGAGGCTGCGAAAGCCGAGGGTGCGAAACCAAGGGAGGCAGAGAATACCGCGCAGTCCCTAAAATCTCCTGTTGGCTGTATGGACCCCATTCCCTGCTTGTGACCGTGGCTAATCGATCCCCAGCGGTTTCGCGCAGCTCATCGACCATTCGGAGAAACGACCGATTACAGGAGCGCCTGGCCCGGGCCGTTGTAAAGTCGAACACTCCCAGTGGGACTGGCTCTCCGGCAGCTAGCCCGCGACCTAGCGTCGATGCACGAAAGAGTACGGACATTTACCCTATGGGCGCCGAGGGCCCGACAAGTCCTCCACTTGCAGACACACCCAGATCCAGTCATGACTCGGGGATATCATCAAGACGTTCAATGGAAGTGCAGTCAGCGGACTCCATTGCCGTTCCCGATCTGCAAACAGATTCCCCGAAGCCTAGCCAGGATTTTTCGGATTTGCAAAGAAGTGAGGTACTGAATTCTCGTGGGTCTGGGGACAGCGCCCGAATCAGTGTGTTGTCAGCGTCGGATATCTTGAAAAAGGATGACCAAGACTCGGCGATATATCAGCTGGAGGCCGATCACAAAGCAGCTGAGTTACAATGGCAAGAGGAAACGCACGTCTATATCGAACGAATTGATGCACTGCAAGCAAAGCTCAAATATCTGGCCAAGGAAGCGGCGGAATCGGCTAAGAACGCATCCGCAAACGCGGCGCCAGGCAGTCTCGAGAAGCAAATGCTAGAAAAGGACGAAAGGATTGCCTTGCTCCTGGACGAAGGACTGAAACTCTCCAAGACGGAGATGGATCACCGCACAGCGATCAAGAAATTGCGCCAACAGCTTTCAGAAAATACGAAAGCGCATACCGAAACGAAAAGAAAGGCAGACAAGCTGCAACGAGATTTGATCAGCTCCGAAGCTAGAGCCAAGCGAGCCGAGGCGGCGGAGAAAAGGGCAAATGAGTCGTTATCATCTCAAACAAGATTCAACAAGGATTTGGAGGCAGTGACGAATGAACGAAATGCACTCAGCGAGACGGTTCAGGACATGAAGTCCCAATTGAACCGAGCTATTGCACGCGCTGAAGCTGCCGAGAGCAAAGCACAGTCCGATGCTATGGAGAAAGAAAATCGCAAAGCAGCAGACCTGGAAGAAGAATTGGCAAGCGTGAAGATCGAACGTGATATCAACCAAGAGAAAACGAAGAGAGAGATCGGCGATCTCAAGCAACAAATTGAGCAAGAAAAGGAAAAGGCTAGACTGCTCGAGGCCGAGTTGAAGGGCGAACAATCGGTGCTGGAGAGCAAGATGGAGAGTCTTCGCTCCCGTGCAGAAGAGGCTTCGTCAGGGGCCACCGGGGAGACGCACGCCAAACTCCTGCGGCAGATAGAGACATTGCAGACCCAATATGCCGTTGCTAGCGAGAATTGGCAAACATTGGAAGGGTCCTTGCTTGCCCGCCTGACAAATGTGGAAAAAGAACGCGATGATATGGGACGACGGGAAGGGGAACTGCGAAAGAAGATCCGCGAAATGGTAAGATTTGAATTCTCTGATTGGTATACGCTCTCGCTGACGTGCTTGCTCTATAGAGCCTGAAGTCGAAGAAGACTGAAGAAGATTTAGAAAACTCGAAAGAGACCGAACATGATCTGGAAAGCAAACTGGAAGAGCGCATGCAGGAGCTGCAACGGTTGCAACAAAGGCTCCAGAAAACGGCCGACGACCTTGGTGCCGCACAAAAGGACCTGGTCGAGCAGAAGAAGGTCTGGGACACGACATGGGCGCAGAAACTTGAGGACGAACGAGCCAAGTGGAGGGAACAAGCAAACTCCCTGCAGCAGCGACGCGGGGCATCTCCCGTTGCATCTAGCAGGCGATCAAGCAATCTTGATGCGACCATGTCCGGACTGCCAGACTCTCGACCTGCCAGCCGACGGTCATCCACCCTCCCCCCTGCCTCGCCAGAGATTGGCACACCGCCGCGACAGAACTCCTATCCGGCTTCCATTACCCAGGCCACGCTCTCCCCTCCGCACATCAACCCCACTAACCCCCCGTCCCTGATCATGGAGGCCCCATCGATCACGTTTGAACCCGATGAATATTTTGGCGAAGGCACACCGGCTACTCCATCTGCCTATGGTGGCACACAGGCACCGCCATCTCGGGGCATCAACGAGCTCATTTCCGAGTCAACCGTTGGCGCAGGTCCATCCGTCCAGCTAGTTGAGCGCATGAGTGCCACAGTCCGCCGACTGGAGAGCGAGCGTGCCGGATCCAAAGATGAACTGACACGTGTGACGACCCAGCGTGACGAAACCCGACAGCAAGTGGTTGATCTCATGCGTGAGCTGGAAGAAAAGAAGGCTTCTGACACTCGCGTTGAAGAACTGGAAGCGCGACTCGCCCAGGTCGATGCACGGTACCAAACCACGCTCGAGATGTTGGGCGAGAAGAGCGAGCAGGTCGACGAGCTGAAGGCCGATATTGCTGATCTGAAGAAGATCTACCGCGAATTGGTCGACAGCACTATGAAATGACGAGCGTCTCGTGTTGAGCGCTGAGAAACTTAATACGTTGAGCGATATTCCCCGGCTCCTCCAATGGTCCTCAAAAAGGGAACCTGTCAAATTTTTGTAATATCAGTCCAGATTTGTATATAGAGGCTTATATGTTTACTTCATCTAACTAGGCCTTTTCCGGCAGTGCAGGCAGTCCAATTTCTTGGATCTTTTTATATGCCAGTCAACAGCAACCCCCCCCCCCCGCTTCGATAGGAAACCATCAAGGCCATTGACCTGAACAGGTTCGCAAGAAGCAAAAAGCCGTTTCTCAGACCCTTCAGATCGTCTTCCGATTGACATGATTGCGTCGGTACCTTAGAAGATGGGTGGGTCGGAGCCACTCACCGGAGCCACTTAGTACATGCGCTGTCACCTTGTTGTTCTAGTGTATTTTGCATGTCAATGACCCTGCGAGATCGGAAGGAGGACTATCCTGGCTGGGCCACTCTCGGAGCGCTCGTCATTTATGCAGTCTGCTTTGTCGATTATTTGTCAAGGGTATAAATGGCGGCTTACCTCCTCTCTTGGCCAGAGCACGCTCATCCTTATTCTTGCTTCACGCAGAAACCAGTACTCAATCCAACATGCAACTCTCCTCTGTTCTATCCTTGACAGCTCAAATTCGGGACATTGCTCAGAGCCCAAATGAGTCTGGTCATCGCGTTGCCAAACTGCTCCAGCTTGTGGATGAGTTGAAACTGGCTGTAGAGACGCCTACGGAGACTATTCTTCGGTTGATATACCAGGTACGATATCTAATTGACTTTTCTGTTCGTTTCTTATCTGAAAGGTGTATATAGCCACCTGCCAATGCAGCATTACGCACTGCCGTTGACCTGAGGATCTTTCCGCTGCTGGCAAAGAACGAGGTCCTGTCCGCTACAGAGTTGGCAATTTCAACCGGTGCTGACAGGGGCTTGATCAGTGAGTTCTTTGTGCTTCAGCCCGTACAGTGATGGTGATGCTCACAGCCCCGAATAGTCCGTCTTATGCGCGTTATGACTGCTCTGGGTCTCTGTGCCAGTGACGAAGGGGAAGTCTACAGGGCTACTGAAAGAACTATCACTATGACCCAACCAATAGGCCGTGACGGCATTCCATGCATGTATGTTTTTTCCAAGGCCCAATACTTTAGAAAGGCTAACCGACTCTCCAGATACGACATCACTCTCCCAACTCTCGCCAAACTTCCCGAATACCTCCGTCTACATAACTACAAAAATCCCCAGGAATACTCCAACTCACCCATGCAATGGGCTGTGGGCGAAAGCCAATTCGAATGGCTTGCTAAGAACAAACACCATCAGGCACTGTTCAACTCGTACATGTCTAGCCGACGAGAAGGGAAGCCTGTCTGGTTTGATGTGTATCCCGTTGAGAGACTCCTGGATGGAGCCATTTCTTCTTGCCCGGAGGCCGTCTTTCTGGTTGATATCGGCGGAAACCAGGGACATGACCTGAGCAAGTTTCACATGCGATACCCGGAGGTACCGGGTCGACTGATCCTGCAAGATTTGCCCAAGATCGTCTCCGGAGCGCAGAAGCATCCCGGCATTGAGACGATGGGGTATAGTTTCTTGGACCCACAGCCGATCAAGCGTAAGTTTCTGGAATGCTGCGTCACATCGTCACAATATGGTTTATTCTATCACAGACTAACAGAGACGGATCATCAGATGCTCGCACCTACTACTTCCGCGCCATTTTCCACGACTGGCCAGACCATATCTGCTTGAAGATCTTGCTCAACACGGTCTCGGCTATGGATTCCCAGTACTCCCGTATCCTGATCGTGGACTTTGTGCTCCCGGACACTAATGCCCCACTGATGCAATCGTCACTGGATATCCAGATGATGAGCATTGGGGCTGGTGTTGAGAGGTCTGAGCTACAGTGGAGAGAGCTGCTCGGTCAGGCGGGACTGACGATCAATGGAATCTGGAATACAAGCCCTGGAATGGAGTCTGTCATTGAAGCTGTTCCGGTGTCGGAGGCTTGAATGAATGAAAGGTGATGGGATTGAGTTTCGGGGTTTGTTCTGTTTAGTCTTCGTTGGCACGTCTTCTTTTCAACATGAATTTTCGTAATTCTTCAGTCTTCAGCCTGTTAAATACTCAAAGTTTCCATACAATTTATGGAAGTTAAGACTACACGGGTTTTTAGCCATATAATTATAATAGTTCCACGGGCTCCATTATTCCACCTTGATCATCTGACTGCCTCCAAGCTGAGCGGCATTGTCACATTATTGCCAGCTGTGAACCCCGATACTGACTTGTGCTTGCCAAAGTGACAAGAAGCCGGTAGGAGGCCCACATAGGATTAGCTGAGCCGTGTGCGGTTGGGGCCCAGAAACTCGATACTTGGCTCGAAAGCTTGTCCAAAAGGGTCTTGATCAACCAAGAATGACATTACCAAGGTGGCTATGGGGCTGGAGAGGAAGAGGCCCGGATTAGGATCGTCAACAGTATACTACGTAAACCACCTTATGCCTCATTGTGCACTACTAGAGCAAAAGAGTAAAGATCTGATGGAAACATGGATACCATGACGAATTTTTGATCAGATAAGATGAAGAGAAAAATCCCGTGGCTCCACTGTCCCCACACAGGTGCCGTGTGTCCTTGGTTTTGCTCTTGGCCTTGTCGGCAAGTCCCTGTCGATGGATGATCGTGCAAAATTCCCGCATCGACGATCATTATCTCGCGGCCGTGGTTCTTGCAGTAGTTGTCTGTCCGTGCAGAACTGAAATGGTTCTTGAGGAGAACGCGGGTCCCGTACCCAACGCTGTAATAGTTGTAGGTAAGACTTGAGAGGGGTCCAGAATAACGGGTGCACCAGAAGCTCGCGATGATGGTGCATGAGGTCAGCGAGCGACATCACACCATCGCTGACCGACATGTTGGAGCGAGTCATGGCATGAAGAGTGGATTTTAAATACAAGAGAATCTCATTTTCTCACTATGCACTCTCTTACTAGTCATGTTCCCTGGTCAACACGAATAACTTGATCACAAACACTAGATTATCAGAATCCCTTGACATGATTGACTCACAGCTCAGCGTTTTGGTCGCCACCGGGGAGCAAGGAAGTAGCTCCCGGCCGCCGCCACGATACCCAAGGCCCCTAAGAGCAAGGCCGAGTCACTGAAAATAGGTTCCTCTCGCACACGTCCCAGTTTTGCGTCCTTCTTAGCCAACATGGTATCTTTTCCAGTCCCTTCAACATTATAGTTCTGCCAATGCAACTCTGAAAGCTCACGCTGATAGTCGACGACTGTCCCAGACCAGTTATTGGTGATGATTCCATCATCCCTCTTGTACCAGCTATTACAGTTCGGGTCTGCAAAACTGGTCTTTCGTAAAACTGCCTGGATTCTGCCGTTGAATTCCTTCATGGCCTCAAGTTTGGGCGTGAAATTCAAAGTCTTTCCCTGCTGCCGTGCCCGAATCACCTCGGCGACTATGGTATTCAGATACCGTGACTGCGCTTCTATCATGAGAATGATGGAATTGTGTCCTGCTGGAAAGTTAGGAATTGCTTACCCTCGACCAGTAACTAAAAGATGCAACATACCCAGATTAGTGTTGGGGCCATAAAACATGCCGAAATTGGGCAAATCCTCCACCGTGACCCCTTTGTATGCCATAGCCCCGTCCTTCCATATATCTCCCAAGGGCCGGCCATTCTTCCCGTAGATCTCAATCGGATACATAAATTCAACCGTCCTAAAGCCCGTAGCCAGCACAATCAAATCGTATTGCTGTGAATCTTCAGCACCGACTTCAATACCCTTCTGAGTGATACGCGTAATTGGTCGTGTCTCTAAGTCGACATTATCACGGGCCAGAGCCGGATAGTAGTCGTCAGAGATGATAACTCTTTTGCAGCCTGGAGCATAGTTCGGGGTTAATTTTTCCCATAGCTCCGGTTGGTCAGGTAGATGAGTCTTCATCATGTCAGTACACCCGCCTCGTATCATTTTAGCGAAGTCTGAATCATTATCCGTGACAGCAGCATAAAAGAGCTCTCGAAAGTCCATCTGAAGCGCACGTTTACGCCAACGGATTGGTGGGATATATGTTAGCAATGCTTGCTGAAAGGCGGACACCGGAGCGTCCAGACGTGGCGTAACCCAGTTCGGTGTCCGCTGATAAACCGTCACATGGGATGCAACCGGAGCAACTTCAGGCAGGATCTGAGCAGCCGTTGCCCCTATATAATCGATCAATGAGCATTAAGACCAAGCCGTTTGGGTCGGGAGGTTGCATTTGCATACCGTTTCCAATAATTGCAACCCGTTTCTGAGAAAAATCATAGCTCCAGTCCCACCGAGCAGAATGCATCATCTTACCCTGGAATTTCTTCAGCCCCGGGATGTTCGGTTCACGCGGCGAGTTGAGCTGCCCGACGGCCGAGATAAGAAAGTCCGCGTCGAGCGTGTATGAGCGGGCGAACTCGCTATCTTTCTGCCCATCCACCTTCACATCAACTTTCCATTTAGACTCATCTTCATTCCATCGTGCTGCTTCGACCGTCGAACTGAACCGAATGTGCTTGAAAAGCCCGTATTTTTCCGCAATGCGAACGAGATACGCCTATCACCATCAAGAAGTGTTAGTTTCATAGTAAGGTAGGGGCCATGTGGTCAAAAATCTCTTACATGAATCTCTTCCTGGCCAGGATATTCTCTTGACCAGTTCGGGTTCTGTTCAAATGAATAGCTGTACAGTGAGCTCCAGACTAAACCCTAATCAGCTATTGAGCCGAACAGTGCGACTGGTAGAGATGCATACCATCGCAGCAACAACCAGGATATTTGTTGTCGCTCCAGGTTCCACCGACGCTACTGCTCTTTTCAAGGATGATGAAGTTACGACATTTGTTCTGCTTGATTAGATCAATAGCCATGCACATCCCTAGGGTAGGACGTTAGTGTGCTCGATCTAGTCACATCCCTCTGGATCAGTTTGAAGTTTACGGACCAGAGATGCCGGCCCCAATAATGACGACCGTAGCATTGGTAAAGTCCTTGTTTCCCACTGGAAGACGGGAGTTGATTTTATCCGACATGATCAAACAGTTAGGGAAGGCAGAGGGGAGGGGGCATGAATATCGCTGCTTATAACTCGAGTATATTGGCGGGGAGATCACTGGCATCAAGCATCATTTATATTTATTGCAAACTACCGAGGCCCCTCCTTCAAAGTCAGACTTTGGTTGTTGACAGTGTTCGAACCGGGAGGTGTGATTCGCACCGACCTCGGCCAATGTCACGCCTCATTTGAAACGCATCGTGCATTGGGCAAAACAATAACTGGTCACAACACACTAATAATGCGCCCCTTTTGTGGCATAAATCGCCGTCAGTGCCATCACATAGGGGCCTATAGGATTTCGGTAATGTGGGGTTGAGATGCGGGGATTCTGCAGAAAGATGCCGAGGATGGAAGAAGTAACCGACACTCGGCAGGCCTTCAGGATTATTAGATCACTAGGTATGCAGTAATGTACAAGACATCTACGGTAGCTCAACTCCTTCTCGTTCTGCGGTTTGCAAAATGTACTTCTTGACCTATGTGAAGGGGAATCAGCAACTACTGGAAATGTCACGCAGAAATGCAAAGAACGTACCTTGTCATCCGGCACCAGATCGATAGCCAATTTACCATCATTGTCCCTCTTTTCCGCTTCGGCGCCAGACTTTAACAGCAGGATCGCTGCATCTCCATGTCCTTCAGACACAGCGTGGTGCAGCGCCGTCAGACCATCGGCATCTGTCGCATTAACGGGACTCTTTCCTTCTTCTAGAAGAGTTTTGAGGATAGGGACTGAGCCAATGGCTGCCGCTCGATGAAGAGGGAGCTGACCGCGAACATCCTTAACTCTGGCGCTGCACTTGTTGGCAAGCAAGGTCCGGACAGTAGAAACGTTGGCCTTGGAGCTTGCAAAGTGCAAAGCATTCTATAAAATATATCAGCCAAATTGCAAACTAACCTTTGATCAAGGCAAAGGACAGACCTGGCCCGAAACGCTCTTGACATTCACATCCGCTCCCTTTTTCAGGAACAAGTCAATGATCGGGTCGCCTCCAGCGTCCTTCAAACTTGCAGCGATCATCAGTGGGGTCCAGCCTGACCCATCCTGGTCTGATAGTCAGTAATCTGAGAATGGCAATAGTATCGGAACTTGTAATTATGGGCTACGTACCTCCACGTCGGGATCAAAATTCCTGCTGCCGACTAGCAACTCCACGATCGGCAGCCGATTGTATGCCACAGCCCAGTGGATCGGAAGACGATCGTCGTCATCTTTAACAAATGCAGATTTTGGATTTGCCTGTTTGAACAATTAAATTCAAATATCATTTCATAGAGTAGTAGAGCAAAGATGGCTGCAAATTAAAGCTTGTGGGTTCCGCGGGGCTGCGGGAGCACTCTATCTTGAAACGAACATAGCACTCACGTTGAGAAGAGACTCGGCAATTTCGGCTGTAGTAAATTGTCAGTATCAGCCCATTTCGATTAACGATACACCTACTTCTGCCCTCACGGGCAGCCTCGTGGAGAGCGAACTTGTTGCTCTGGGGATCCATGACGAGGTGGGTGAAGCTGAAGCGCGATAAGAGCTCACTTATCAATGGAGGGCACCTGACATTGGTGCCTCAGGCTTCAATGGGTTCAACTGCGGAAGACTCAACAAAAGATTCGCCATCTTCTGCACACCATCACGACGACCACCCGCCTCGTTCCTCTGTCGCCAAAACCGCTGCCCTGTATCGGGATTGAACGTGCGGCGTCACACGGCCATATCGTTTTCTTCCTCCATCCCAATTCGACATACGGCAGGGTTTTCAACGCGCGCGACACGACCGCAGCTTTTGGAGCTGCTCCCCTCGAAAGAGTCTTCTGACTCCACCACCCCATTTAAACCGGCAGCTTTGACTGCCTTCAGATCCGCCCACCATGGCCTACGTTCCCCCACAGACGACAGCCGACGAAGCCATGCGCACGTCGGCGAAGCGGACTGCCGACCTCTTCGGTGCGGAATATCTGATGGTCACCCCCTCGACCCTGGCAGACGGTTCAATCGGTGTGTCATACCGACGGAAAGCTGAATATCAGGATGTGATGGAGCTGCCACCAGTACTGGCACAGAAACAGGCCAAGGCGGCGGCAGGGCGCACGAAACGGCCCAAGATCCAAGCGCAGGCGCAGGCATCAGCAGGAGACCAGAGTGGCGCGTCTATGTCACTCGTTAAAAGGACACCGGGAGTGGGTGTGGCTGGTGGTGAGGATCAGCCTAAGAGTCTGATCCAGAGACCATCGGCCACGAAACAGCAGCGCCCAGATTGGCATCCGCCGTGGAAGCTGATGCGTGTGATCTCAGGGCACTTGGGATGGGTGCGGGCTCTGGCTGTGGAACCCAACAACCAGTGGTTTGCCAGTGGAGCGGGAGATCGGACGATTAAGATCTGGAATCTGGCAACAGGCGCGCTGCGTTTGACGCTCACAGGCCACATTTCCACTGTTCGTGGATTGGCAGTGTCCCCGCGACATCCGTATCTATTCTCCTGTGGTGAGGATAAGATGGTCAAGTGTTGGGATCTGGAGACAAACAAGGTCATCCGGCACTACCACGGCCACTTGAGCGGAGTGTACACATTGGCCCTCCACCCACGTCTCGATCTGCTAGTCACCGGAGGTCGGGATGGCGTGTGTCGAGTCTGGGATATGCGCACGCGGAGCAACGTTCATGTGTTAAGTGGACACAAGGGCACTGTCGCCGATATCAAATGCCAGGAGGCTGATCCACAGGTCATTTCCGGGTCTTTGGACGCCACGGTTCGGCTGTGGGATCTCGCTGCCGGGAAGAGCATGGGAGTCCTGACACACCACAAGAAGGGCGTGCGCGCTCTTGCTACTCACCCGCGAGAGTTTACCTTCGCCAGCGCGAGCACCGGTAGCATCAAGCAGTGGAAGTGCCCTGAGGGTGACTTCATGCAAAACTTCGAGGGCCAAAACGCCGTCATCAATTCCCTGGCTGTCAACGAAGATAATGTCCTTTTCTCTGGAGGAGACAATGGGTCTATGTCCTTCTGGGACTGGAAGACTGGCTATCGATTCCAGTCTCTCGACACCACTGCCCAGCCCGGTTCGCTTGACGCCGAGGCTGGCATCATGGCTTCCACCTTCGATCGCACCGGTTTGCGTCTTATTACGGGTGAGGCTGATAAGACCATCAAGGTTTGGAAGCCTGATGATGAGGCTACTGAGGAGACTCATCCCGTCACCTGGGCTCCTACGCTCGGTAGACAGCGGTATTGAGAGTTTCTGTGGATCGAGTCGTTAATACCCTGTGTGGTTGGTTTGTACCCAGTTGTATTTGAACGGCACTGGGTGGAGTTTAGCGTGGTTTCTGTATCTTACTGGGATCTGGGCCTTTTTTTTTCAAAAAAATATATCGGACTGGGAAAGCTCCATCCATTTCTTTTCCTATTCTGTTCTATATGGCCCCGTAGTTCATCAGTTTGAAAACCATCATGCAACGATCTACTGTTAAACATATGTGCTGCTGCAGTAGCGTAGGCACAAGCTATACTAATCTGCAATGCAACGCCAAAATACAACTTATCTGTCTATATTTTCTAGTTTACTTTGAAAGATGCACACAACACAGACCTGCTGCAGCGGGGGTCCAGGAGATGCTTAGATGTCGTCATCGTAGAATCGTAGATTAAAAAGGCTTATTGACTACTGTGGAGCGTATAAATGACTTTCTAGTTATTATGTAGCTTTAACGAGACCTCGTATGACGATACATATAATGCCAATTTTGTTTCCCCATATCCTCTCGAATCTTATACACAGATTCTGCTTCTTCAACAATATCCATATCCACTTCGACAATTTTCATGCCCTCATCCGGGGTAGAAAACTTTTCAAGGCAACCCAAGAATGGCACGGCTACCTGAGAGTGACCCATATATCCTTCTGCAGCTGGCCCTGCAACATTACAGAAAACCACTGCGCAAGTGTTCTCAAACGCCCGACTCACGACCGTGGCATCGATAAAAACTTGGTCTGAAAGAGAGTTTCTCTTCATCCCAATATCGGATGCGTCTGTCAACTTCCAAAACGCAGGAATGATGATCAGCTTGGCACCCTGAGCGATCAGCTCTCTGAACGCTTCCGGAAATGCCAGATCCCAGCAAATCAGCATTCCCACCTTACCCAACGGAGTATCAAAACACGGATGAGCGTCGTGTCTTGAACCGGTGACAATTGGCCTTTCGGGATGCCACAGATTCTTCTTTTCGTACCTGCCTAGGATGGCGCCATTATGGTCGATGAAATAGGAGCAATTGACAAGCCTGTCTTCTTGGGTTTCCTCGTTGCGATGTAACTCTGCAAAGGAGCCAGGTACAACACAGATACGACACTCCTTGGCCAAAGCACAATAGGCATCCAGATACTTCTTCCAGTGAGCACACTGCCTCCTGAAGTTCTCATCATCCGGATCGAAGTCCCGTAGATGGTACTCTGGAAGAACGGCAAGGTTCGCTCCGGCCGTGGCAGCTTCTCGAATGAAAGCCGCTGCGCGAGAATGATTTTGTTCCAGTTCATGAGACTGGTTCATGTGAGTAAGCTCTTCGTACAGTTGATCGAAAAATGAGAGGCACATACCTTGGGGTGCATTTGAATAACCGCAATCTTGTGCATTGTCATCATTCATTCGGCGTTGGACTTCAGGCTAGTCTTAGATAGTTGAATATACTTGAATACAACTTGAATACAGTTGAATACAGTTGGGATGTGAGAAATCAAGATCAAAAAGTCTATGCGGATTTTCGAACCGTTAAACGGATTCCCATCTATTTATCATTATAGCCAACACTATTAAAACTGCCCGTTACGACAGAGCTATGCTCCGCTCTTCTCGGACAACAATGGGTTCAGCGGAAAGTCTCAAATGGACGAATTACCGCACCAATCATCTTTCTCCTCGCTCAGTCTCAGTGCCATCTCACAGTCTCCCCAGATTTTTGCTCCGCTCGGCCCCAGTACCCCTGGTTTCGAGTCCACAGAACTGATCGTGAGCTTCGACCAATTGAGGGGTTATCCAATATTATCTCATTCCACGATTGGCTTGAAACGCCGAAACCCCGATAGGCGGATCGCCGGACCGCGCAGAGACCGAGAGAGATGTGAACTTGCCATGCCATGATTTGGGGGTAGGACGCTTAGGTCGAGGGATTGCGGGGTTGACTGGTTCGCATTTTATCATTCTCCTCAGTGCCAATCAAAAAAAGCCCAGATGATTCGATCCATTTCCTAAACTAGGAAGGCCCCGAACTTAAACTTTCCACAGCCTTGTTTCTCATGAAAAGTCTCGGCCCTTACAATGCGGAGGCGAACTCTATAACCGCGCTCTCCTTTTTCCGCGAGTTGATATGTACTGACTGTAGGCCTGTGCGACAACAGTATAACCGCCGTGGCTGGTGGTTGTTTGAGAGTATTTTGTCCTTTTCTTCTTTAAATTTGATCTCAATCGTCTTGATAGTGCAAAATACAAGCCAAAAATGGCACCAAGTCTTGATTCAGATTTGCTGTGGCCACCAGGCACCGTTCGACTTGAAGGTAAATATACATCACCTCGCTTTTTCCAAGGCCATGTCTATTCCTCGTAGTTCTATGGGGCTTCGAAACCTCCAGTCAACTAAATATAGCCCGCTAGAAATTGAGGATATTTTCTAATCATTCAACAGACCTTCAACAGCCAAATGCAACTGATGCAGTTATTCTACAACCGCAGCCGAGCAGGAATCCAAATGACCCATTGGTGAGAACGTCTGAGTCTCGACATAGCTTCGTCAGTTCTAACGATGAATAGAATTGGTCTCCATGGCGCAAACATCTCAACTTCGGTCTTGTATCCTTCTACGTATTCATGGTCTTTGCAATGTAAGTGGAATGGGGGGCGCATTATAAGAAATCTTGCTGATAGGAACTATGCTTCAGCATTGACTGTGCTCCCGTCACTTGGGGCCCCATGAACAGACAATTGGGCTTCAGTTACGCAATATTGAACGACAGCTATGCTATTGGCTGCGGCACTCTTGCCCTTGGCGGCCTTTTGCTCATTCCATTTGCGCTGAAGTATGGCCGACGTCCGGTATACCTGATGAGCACTGCGATCCAATTGGGCATGAGTATTTGGACCGCCAAAATGCAAACAGTAGCAGGTCTTCTGCTTATCAATGCCATTAGCAACCTGGTAGCTGCTCTGGCCGAGACAATGGTACAGATGACTGTTGCGGACGTCTATTTTGTCCATCAGCGTGGGCTCATGAACAGTATTTATCTCCTGATGTTGACTATGGGAGTGTCAATTGCCCCTATCGCTGCTGGCTACATCACCATATTTGAAGGCTGGCGTTGGGTCTGGTGGTGGATGGCCATCTTTTTTGGTGCTGGATTTCTCGCTTTTCTTTTCCTCTATGAGGAAACGAAATTCTCGGCTGCTACTGTCGGGAATGACGGCACCTCCAGAGACCACGAATCCAAGAATATATCTGGCACCAACGTGATGCATCTTGAGGAAGCTGATCTGGAAAAGCTTAACGAGATATGCCGCTCAGAACAGCAGCTCACTGCAATCAGCGTTGACCATTCGATCCCAAGAAAGAGCTACAAGGATAAGCTTGCACTCTTGTCCGTGTCACCCATCTCATTTTCACAGGTGGCCAAACATATGTATGAGCCATTTCTGATGCTGTTTTTCTTCCCTGCGGTGGGCTATGTCGGCCTGATGTATGGGTTCATGACAGCGAGTATTACCGTGACGATCACCACCTACTCATCCTGGATGACCCTGCCACCCTACAACTTCAACGCGGCTGAAATTGGCTTGATGGGTCTTCCAGCGTTTATCGGTACAGCTTTGGCAGCAGTCATTTGTGGACCACTGAGTGACCATCTTATCATCTACCTCTCTAAGCGAAACAAGGGTGTCTATGAACCCGAGATGCGATTATGGGTCATTCTCATGTTTGCCCCATTTGTCCCTGCGGGTCTCCTCATGTTCGGCATCGGACTGAACAACGGCCAAGCTTGGCCGATACTGGCTGTTGGGTTGGGTCTAGTTGGATTTGGCACAACACCAGCCTGCAGCATAAGCTTGACTTACCTCACGGATGCATATACAGCGGTACGTATGCGCGCATTCCGGAATGTTTTATCTATTGCAGGCGAGAAACTGACTCCCTGGAACAAATACAGATTATTGCCGACTCAATGGTTGGAGTCACCTTCATTCGGAATTCCATCTCTACGATTTTCGTCTTCGCACTGTCTCCTTGGATTGTGTCGGCTGGGATCATTGGATTCTACATCTCGTTTTCAGTTATTGTCAGTATCATTTTGCTGGCACTTGTGATTTTTGTCTTCTTCGGTCGAAAATTCCGGGTCAAATCTGCGGCAAGGTACCGCCATTTTGCTGAGAAGCAAATTGACTCGCGAAAAGCATAGCTCCAAAATATTTTTCAAGACAATGACGAAGACTTGTAAATAGATGGCCTACACTATCCTAATTCCTCCTTCTAAAGCGGCACGCAGTATGTATTTTACAATTTGCATTAGAAGATGTGGATCAGTGTCTCACCACCGAGCCCAACATAGACGATCGTGCGATAATGTAATACACAGGACCTATTTAAAGTATAGGCATCAACTCCAAGGAATGCAATGCTTGAAAAACACTCTAGAAACATCAGTTCTCAACACCCAATCCAAACCCCTTAGCCTCGATATCCTCCCGAAACGCAGCCCTAACATCTTCCGCCGCAACCCTCAGCCTCACTTTACTGCTGCGATCTCCCCTCGTCGGAATCGTCGAGCCGCCAAGTAAATTTTTTGATCCGGAGCCTTGCTCCAGAGCCAGCACGCCAGAGTTCATCAGATCCATAGCTGCAAAAGCCAATGCTCGCACACGAGAACCGGCGCCCTCACCTAGCAGGAAACCCTTTACGCCTGCGCCGGCCGCGCCTGCGACAGCAACAGCGGCGTCGGCAATGCGGCGCGCTTCATCGAGGACATCTCCGAATGATGATTCTGTGAGGCCTGTCCGCTTCACGCGGGCTAGCAGGGCGGCGAGGAACAGTTTTCCGGAGAGAGGGAGGCAGCGGAGAGATTGTTGCAGTGGGGTGGAGGTTGCTTCGTGGATAGCCTGCTTGATAGTGGCGATGGTCACACGACCGGGCTTTCCTTTTTCGGCGGGTGCTTTGTTCTGCCGTGCTGGTGTCTTGGAAGGCGTTGCAGGCAGGGGCCCTGCGGTGTCGATCGCGAGGTCGTCTTTGTCGGCTGATTGTTCTGCGATTTCGACAGCGCGCCGACAGATATCGAGCGCGCGGCGCGCGTCACCACTCACGGCGGCGACTTTCCGGCTAGCGAATTGAATGGCGTCTGGGTCGACTATGTTGCCGGGGACGTTTGCGAGACGGGTGCTGATGATCTGCATCAGATCGGTATGTCGGTATCCCGGGAAGGTGATGCGGGTGAGACCGAGACGGCTGGAGATCTTGTTGCTGAGGGTTCGTTCGGGGAGATCCATCGTGTTGGCAACGGCCAAGACGATGAGCCGCGAGTGGCGAAGAGCGGGCCAGTTGAAGAAATTGTACATGACCGACTGGTTTTTCGTAACAAGCTGGTCCAGTTCGTCCATGAGGACGACACAGGACACACGACGGGGCGATGGGTGAGAGAATTCTCGTTCGAGAAGATCGAGTGCATGTGAAGGGGATACTCGATCTCCTTTCAGGGCTTCCCAGAGCAGAGAGTACGATTGATGCGGATCGGTCACTTTCATACCGTTGATTTCCACAAAGACAAAGTCATCCATCTCCTCTGCAAGCACCGCGGAGTTGAGCTGCGCGATGACCTCGCGCACGGTGGCCGTTTTGCCTGTTCCTGGCGTGCCGGAGATATAAATACAAGCCCCTGTGCCTTCCATAATGGCGGCGCTGAGATGATTGTAGACCGTGTCGAATTCGGTCTTTCGACATGGCAGCGATTCAGGAACAGTCGAGACATGCAGTAGCGTGCGTGCTTGCTTATATGGAGAGGCAAAATGCGAGGGCTCCAAGACACGAGTGCCCAGTGGAGTGAATTCAAGTGGTTTCTTGACGACAATCCTAGCAGCGTTGTCAGTCAGGTTTCGTCATAATACAAGGAAGTATCCCATACCTCTTATGTGTGGGCGTAGTCAAGGCCTTCTTGCGCTGGGATCGAGGGGTGGTATTCGTCGAGGCCAGTCTCTGCTTCTTCCGAGGCGTAGTCGGAGCCATACTATTCTCATCCTTGACATCAACATACTGTAAAACCCATTAGTTTCAATCAATCCTCCTCAACTCGGGTTGACTTACATCGGTGTCGTCGGCAGTCTTGCGCTTCCGGGCCGCTTTCAGACCATCCTTGATAATCGTAATGAGATTAAAGATCTTATCCTCCTGGTAGACATCCTCCCAGACAAATTCGTCCGTGTACCTCCCCTGCACCTGATTCACACCTCTCCGACAGACTATGCACTTGTTGTACTCCGAGAGCTCATTCTTCCCCTTCGGGGGGTACCATTAGGGTATCGCGCAAAGAAGACGTTCTTCGACATAACATTCGCTTTGCCATTGATTGATGTCAAAGGATTGACATTGAAATCCGCAGTGAGGTACTGCTCATTGGGCAACACATCCGGCCGGCGCTTGTTGCGAGTTGACATGAACTCATCCGGCGAGGCGAACCACATGATATTGGCGCATTTGAGCACCCCACCATCCTCCTCCTCGTCGTCCTCTTCTTCCACAAACTCCGTGATGATGCCCGCCCAGTCCTTTCCGGCCTCGGGGGACTTGAGCAGCATGACCTGGCCCAATCTGCACTCGAAGGTGCCCATGCGGGCGCCGACGATTGTTCGTTGTTTGCGTGCAGGTCGGGAGGAGCGGCGGCGACGGGCAGATTTGGTTGGGCTTCCATTGGTAGCCTCGGGCTCGTCCTTGGCCTCTGCTTCTTCTGTCTCGTAGATCCAATCCCACGGGAGGTCTTCGTCGCCCAGTTCGTCGTCCGAGTCGTCGCGTACCAAGGCGCCCTTGGTCATCCACTGCTGGGCATTGCGCCGGTGGGATTCCTTCAGATCGGCCTCCTCCATTTTTGTTGGGGTGGAGTGGAATTCTGGAATCGAAGAGAAAGGGAGGTTGGCAGAATCCCGGCGACGAGACGCGTTTGTCCACTTTACTCCTGTTTCGGTTTAGTGTTGATGCCTCGGTACTGAGGCCTACAATATCAAGAACACGAGAAGAAATACATTCAATTTAAAGCATGCAAACTTGACTGCTGGTAGCCGAATTAACAATTCCACACACTCCTGCCAGGCCTGGACGAGAGTCCTGTCCTCAACAATGGCGAACATGATGGTTCCGAGAACCATGTCAAATTTGACCATGTCTACTTCACCCCAACAAAGACACCGAATTGTGAGCCCCCACCGACGTCTTCGCGCTCAGTCGAACCAGCTTTCAGAACAGCGTTCCCAGATCAGTATCAAGTACATCTCCATTGCATTGTTGCTCAACATGCTGGGTAGGTCCCAACATGTCCGCGATCTTCCTCACAACAGTGAGGAAGTCGCAGAAGCCTGAATCCTCATCCCTGCCCTCACCTGGAGGGAAGAAAGCCGATAGGTTTCCCCTGTGCTCCACAGTATTTCCTGGTCGGAGGTTGGCATTTTCGCCGAGGACATTGTCCCATTCTGGGGCGAACACCGAAGCCGCCCAGGACACAGTTGGTTTTTCTTGCCAGTGGACATGGGGTACCATAAACTCACTACCCATCGCAATAAATTTCGTCTTGAGTGGCATGTACGCATCGAAGCGGGCCAGTTCGAAGATGTAGCGAGTACCCTTCACTTGGAAGCGAAGGGCAGCTTTCTCGACGATTTTCGACACGGGTGCTTCCGCCATGAAGTGGACATTTCGCCGCGGGTTGGAAGCAATGGTTTGGACAGCTTGTTGGTTCTGGAATCTGATCGACCGTATGAAAGCTCTCAGGGCTCCACCGATGGAATCGGCATCATGGAATTCGAACGACTTGATCTCAAGTTGCCAGTCTGATCTACGGTACCGTGTGAGCTTCTGATCAATGGAAGAAGGGGCCGAGATTTTGAACGTACCTGCCGAAGTCAATCACACTCACTTGCAGGGGGAGCCGATTGCCGTACTCCTCCTTCCGGTCGGCTTTGAACCACCGGCACTGCCCGGCTTCGAAGCGCCGGGCTCCCCAGGTTTTCAGGAATTCTGCTTCAAGACACAGGACAGTGTTGTTGTTGCCAGGGAATTCGAAATATGCGGAGTGTGTAGGCTCGATTTCTGCCAGAGATTTGAAGTCCTTGGGTGCATTCAGCGGCTCGAGGAACTCGCTGGCCTGAAGACACCTATCCAGTAATTCGCTTTGACCAACTTGGAGGCTGAAGAAGGAATTAGTTCTGTGTGGCTCCCAAGTCAAGGGGGCACATACCCCGGAACTAGTCGCCCCTTCGCCTGTTCGTGAAGAATCATGTTCTGGAACTCTTGGAACTCATACGAACTCTCGCCCTTCTCCGATCGACGATACTCATCCAGCACAAATGTCCCGAAATGAACACGCATTTTGAGATGACCACGAATGATGGAGATTGTATCCAGGGACTTTTGAAGATTTCTCAGAAGGAGAGAGTCGTTTTTAAGCAGGATCAGGTAATGTTCGTTGCTCCAGTGTCGTATCTGATCACGACCGAGCTCACCCCCATGGAGAAAAGGTCGTGCCACCCGCGAACTCTTTTCTAGAAAAATCTTTGTTCTCATGATGGCGGGCGAAGGCGGCTCGACCAAGTATAACTTGAGCCGCACGTCCGACTTGGTGCTGAACTCCCTCCAGATGATGCAGAGTAACTCAATGACCTGAAGAAGAACTGCTTTGTCATGGGCGGAGACGCAGATGTAGTTGGGCATGTGTCGCTGCTGGTAGACATGCACGTCTAAAGTCGTCCGAATGTTGTCCAGCTTCTCGAGTTGTCCACCGAGAACACCGTTCATTGCAGGCCCGTCGGGTGGCCATAGGAACATCAGCTGGTCGGATGCCGGTTATTGTCAAGTAAATAATGATTCTTGGGGTATTGGCTCGTACCATGACCTCGAATTCATTTGGCAGCGATGGCGCCTTGCGCAGCTCCTGGAGTCTTTGCAGCCGCTTTGCCCGCATGTCAACATCTCTTTCCCTGTCTGCTTTGTAGGCAGTGACCCGCGACCAGTATCCGAGCTGCTTCAGGGAGAGTTTGGGCTCCATGCACCTCGTAATCACTGCTTGGAGCAATTCTTTCGCTGCAGTCACCTCGCCGTAGCCACCCCAGATTTGAATAACCTGGTCGTGAAATATCAAGACATGTTCTGAAGAGCAGACGAGGCATATTTACGTACCTGATCGCCGTAATTCGCCGGCAGCACGTAAGCACCGGTTTTGTGTGAGATGGCATCAAATGCATCAGCTCGCCAATTGACAGTTGACGACCTTCCAGCAGTTCTGCTGGGAGCGGTTGATCGAACAGTAGTTACAAACCTGGTGCATGTGTTGTTCAGTCTGAGGCAAGATAAAAGGGTCGTTGACGGGGGGCTATTTACGCATGTCTGATCCTGCCAAAGGCATCAGGGAGCTTCATCTCTCCTGGCTCGGGAGTCAGGGTGGACGATCGGCAAGCGAAGGAATGGTCTCACCATCGGGTTCCATCCCAGCACGCCATCTTGACTTCGCAGGGGAGTCTCGGAACACATCACCGACCATTCGCCGACTGGGGGCCTGCTGCGACCCACGACGCGCGTAGTAAGTTGCGCCAACTCGAAGTCCCCTTGTGGGCTGGGACACACCTCGGGATTTTCCAGAGGTGGTCTTTGGGATGATCTTGCGGGCCTGGTTGGGGGGAGCTGTCTTGGTCTTTGGACCTGGGGCTGGAGCTGGAGCAGGAGTCGGAGCACTGCCAGCCGCTGGGTTCTCACGTCCGTAATAAGGCAGCGACCACCCTGTGGCATGGATGAACAAAGCGGCGTATTGAAAGGTAAAGTGAACTTACCCTCTGCTGCAGACCGCTCGTACCTGTGGCGGATTTCAGTTGAGTCTGGATGAGATCAGGGTCTGAGGGCAAACGCACTCCATGTTTACCACTATTGAGCACGGAAGAACCACGCTGGACCAGGGTTTAGGCTCGTGGGAGGGAGCCCACCATGAGAGAAGGAGGGAGCAAGAGTAGTGAGGAGGATGGGGAGGGGAGAAAGAGGATAGATGGGAAGAGAGGATGGGAAGGGGAGAGGGTGGAAGGAAAAGACGTTGGGTGGGAGAAGAAGAAAGAAAGAAAGAAAGAAAGAAAGAAAGGAAGGAAGGAAGGGTAGTCTGGCAGTGAATGAGGAAGGCACTGACAACCACTCGACAACAATATTGTTCAAGGCTTTTATTTCTATCGATCTCAACCAACACCACCAGTATCTAGCCTGCGGCCGCTGCCTGTGCTGGCGCCGCTTCCCCACTGAGCATCTTCTGTCGCAGCACTAGAATGATATCAGTATGGAGCTCGATAGGCTGAAGAAAGCAGAAACACTCACTCTCCTCCGTGACCCGCAGATGGGTATTCTTCTCCTGCACAATCTTCTCCAGATCCTGCAAATTGGCCTCCAGTCCCTTGACCTTCTCCTCATAGAACGCAGTAGCCTTGGCAGGTGTCTATGCACATCCATCATCAGCCATGGACTTTAATTCTCCTTCCCGTCCCCGAGCTAGTTCATTCACTCACCTTCTCAACATAAAACCCTGTCCCAACATCCACAAGCACCTTCTCCCGATCCGCCAGCGTCCCCTTCACATACAGCGAGCTCGTCAGCGGGACAAGAATCTCCTCACGACCTGCCGTCCCCTTATTCGCAGACCCGACGACGCCGTCGTTGATCGAGCGCACACAGTCGCGGAACTTGGCCTGGGCGGCGCGCAGCTTGGCGTGCGACGAGGTGAGGTGTTCCAGTTCGGAGGTAAGGCGTGTTTGGAGGGAGCGAAGTTGTGGGACGGAGAGGGAGGCGAGGTTGACTGTGGGATTGAAATATTAGCTGGCTGGATGTCCGTCGACACTGGGATGGGAGGGAGTCTTGCTTGAACCTGGAGGAGCTCCACCGCTTGAGCTTGATGCAGACATTTTGGGTGGTGGGGTGTTGATTGCAGGGGGTAAGAGGGTGTCGAGAAATTAGTAGAATGAGTATCTATCTCCCACGCATCACCGGGGTGTGGTGTGGAATTGTCGCGGGGAGGTCTGAAGCAGATCGTCCCGCAATGGACAGTGGAAGTAGTGGCAATAGGGTTGTGTGGCGGTGAGTGGAGCGAGGATAGAAATGCCACGCACTATAAACGGGACTCAAGTTGAGATGGGTATTGTACATGGACCGCTCATCATACATGCTCTATGCGCCAGAAAAATACTCTCACATCTGCGCCAGAAGTGACTGCACAAACTCCGATAGCCGGTCCAATGGCACGTCTTCACGCAGGTTCAGTCGCCGGCACTGCACCTCCAGCGTCTGCTGCTTCTTCCATCCGTTGCCAACAACTACAATGACTGGATACCCAATCAGATCGGCATCGCCCAATTTCCAGCCCATGCTCTTATCCCGGTCATCGAGGATGGCATCCACCGGGGCCGACGACGGAGACGTCAGGCAGTCGTACACCTGGTCTGCGACAGCATCCAGTCCTTTACCCGGGATGACCACGACCTCGTACGGTGCCATTGCACGGGGCCAGTTGAGGCCTTTTGAATCTGCAAGACGGTCTGCTACCGCTGAAATCATGCGCGAAACTCCAATGCCGTGGCAACCCATTTGCATCGGCACGATCTGCTCCGTCGCAGACGGGCGGGCTCCAGACTCTGGGGATCCCTCCAGCACAGCCGGGTTCACGGTCACGGACGCATGAAGCACCTCGCTGTACCGTGTCCCCAGATGGAATGTGTGGCCCATTTCGACGGCGGCGTGGCTCGTCAATGACCCATGTGCACAATGCGAGCACTTGTCCCCATCATGTACCCGGACCAGGCTGAGCTTGTTGTCGGTGCCGGGGAATCGGTCCAGCATCGAGTATTCAATATCAGCAGCCGTGCAGCCGGCTTCCTGGAGGAGATCGCTGAGTGGTGGACGCTGATATACCCGCACTTGCGAGTCATATACGTCCAGCACGCGTGGTTTCTGGGTAGCAGACTTATGGGACTGAGCGTGAGCAGTCCACTTGTGCACCGGATTCTCCACGCTGAGATCCAGATCGACTCCGGCCGCGGTGGCAATCGCCTTGACAGCGTGAGAGTTGACCTGTCGCTCCACGGGTTCTGAGGAATTATTCTGCATTGAGAATTTGGGGTACCAGCCTCGAAGCAGGGTGTTCCCGTCATGAGAGATGGCCGACCACATGCCAGTTGAAATGGTTGGTCCACCTGCGACAGGTGTATCCTCATCGGTCTGGAAGCCAGGCTCAGAGGACTCGGATTCATGGAAAATGTGCGTTTTACCGTCTGCAACCTCCTCGTTATACACATGGTCGCAGTGAGAACAGCTCACCACCTGATCTTCGCCCTTAGAGCTGAGAAAATGGAACTCGTGGCTCAGACTGCCGCCCATGTTGCCCGAATCAGCCGCCGCAACAAGGTATGGGATCTTCAGCTCATTGAACATATTCATGTAGGCGGTTTTGACCGACTCGTAGGTCTTGAGTGCCTCTGGCACGTTGTAGTCGAATGTGTAGAGGTCTTTCATGACGAACTCTCGCCCACGAAGAAGTCCCTGTCTTGGGCGAGGCTCGTCTCTATATTTTCTCGCTGAGGTTTCATTAGTATCCCTCATTTGCATTGGAAGAGGTAATCTTACATATTTGATATACTCGTAGCGGGAGGCTCTTGTACGACGTTGTCAGGCTCCCCACGAGACTTGTGATCTCTTCCTCGTGTGTTGGCGCGAGGAGAAAGCGTGTATCTCTCCTGTCATTGAACCGGAATAACTGGACCGCACTTTGAGCGAAGTGATTCCGACAAAAGCAGAACTGAGGCTTACCTCAGAGCCCTCCTTCAGGCGGCCAGATTGCTCCCATAGCTCCTGCGATGATAATGACGACAAGGATACTTTTGATGCACCTGGTGTTCATTAGTATCCTAGGCTGAAAAAGGCGACATGGAATCTAATTTACCCAATGAGCGCATATGCCTATCGATGAGACGCTCGACCTTCTCCTGCACGCGCAACCCTAGAGGTAGAAGATGGAAGATTCCCGAGTAGGCCTAGAACCATGTCAGACAGAGTCCAGGGCCGCATGACCAGAATGCTTACTTGGCGCAAGAAGCCACCTCGAATCAAAAGATCGTTTGCATCCTCTGGTACATTGTGAGTATTTGAGAATGCTTCGGGGGGTCACAATTGGCACACCCTTTCCACCATCGGCTGACTGCTTCTTGATGCCCCCTGTGGGAATCCAGAAATTCGACGCTCGGCTTCGGCCGTCATACTGTGACGGTTAGAATATAGGAGTTCATTGGATTAGCTCGGGGGATGTTACATGGAGGCCGCAATGCCGGACGCGCCGGTGGGCGAACACCAGCCATCGTCTCGATGTGAGAGAGGGACGAAGCCCAGCGGACATCGAGAAAGGAATAATCGTCTACAAACCAATTGTGCAAAGCAAAAGAAGAGAAGAAGTGTTGCATGTCACGCGTTGTTGGAGAGGCTTATCGCACTGGTCCGAGCGTCGCTGATAAAGCAAATTTCGATCTTTTTTTTCTTTTCACTCGCCCAAGTCAACGCAACCACCCACGCCATGGCCAAAGGCAAGGGAAAGCGCTCTTCGGACGCTCATGAGTCTCACTCTGAAGCAGCGGTCGCAGCCCCCGCTAGTCAAAAGACACCCGATGTACCCAATCTGGACGAGGGCGCCTTTGCAGGTCTCCGACAAAAAATCGAACAACGCCTGAAAGACCAGAAATCCGGCAAAGGAAAGGCGAAAGATAACGGCAAGGCAAAGGCGCCTGCTGTGGAGGCTCCTGTGAAGAAAGAGAAGCAAAAAACCGACCGGAACCAAGGATCTGCAAAGGGCAAGAAGCGCGATCGCAATGGAGAAGTGATTGCGCGAGAGGAGAAGAAGGGCGGAAAAAACATGAAGGAGAAATCGGATGCTCCGGCAAAGAATAATGAAGAGGATACACTGCGTCAGGAAATTTTGGCTCTGGGTGGCACTGAGGAAGATTTCGAACTTCTCGCTGGTGTCGACTCCGAGTCCGAGGTCGAGGATGCCCCGTCCAAATCGAAGAACGGGAGCGGCGAAGACTCTCTGCGAAAGGAGCTCTCGAAGATGTTGGAGGCGGCCGGACAAGTCGTGCCGCCAGACCTAGCCGACGAAGAAGTGGATGAGGGGGGTGAAGACGAAGACGAGGGCGAGGATGAGGACGGCGAAGACAGCAGCGAGCCAGAAGATTCCGATGTCGACGACGCCCCGGCGAAGCCAACTGCTCCCGAAGTGAAAGTTCCTAAAGAATATGCCAAGCTCGTAAGTGATGTCGTCCTACATTGTCAAGCCAGCATGCTAATACTAATCAAATACAGGCCGTTCTTCCTCGATCTGACTGGTATGCTGCTCCTCCTCCTTCAATCGCCTACACAAAGCAAATGAACGATTTGCCCCGGCATTTGATCGACCGCATTCATGATTTGGCCAATAAAATGCTGCAAGAGGAAAACGACCTGTATGCAGAAGCCCAAAAAACATTGGCCTCCTCTTCTCACAAATTCTACTCCACCATCATGTCGTCGGGAACCCTGAGCGACAAGATCTCTGCCTTGACTCTCGCCGTGCAGGAGTCGCCATTGCATAACACTAAGGCTCTGGAGACTCTAATTACGCTGGGGGGCAAACGCAGCCGTGCACAAGCCGTTGAAGTTCTGCGTTCGCTGAAAGATATGTTCGCCCAGGGTACTCTTCTGCCTGGCAACCGGCGACTGAGGTCATTTGCAAACCAACCGTCCCTTGTTGCAGCTTTTCAAGGAGCCGGCGGTCGTTGGGGAAAGCAAGACCCGCTCCCCGGTGGTTTGCAGAAGAGCCACCTGATTGTATGGGCGTACGAGCATATGCTCAAGGAGCAGTTCTTCGAGATTCTCAAGATCTTAGAGACTTGGTGCAACGATGAAATCGAATTCTCTCGGTCTCGCGCGGTCAGCTATGTCTACGAGCTGCTCAAGGAGAAGCCGGAACAGGAATCCAATCTGCTACGGCTCTTGGTCAACAAGCTCGGAGACCCGAGTAAGAAGATTGGCTCCCGAGCATCGTACCTGCTGCTACAGCTTGAGCAGGCCCATCCGTTGATGAAGCCGACCATCATCAGCGCTGTGGAAGAGGTGCTGTTCCGACCCGGCCAGAGCCAACATGCCAAGTACTATGCTATCATCACGCTGAATCAGACGGTCCTGAGTCTCAAAGAGGAGGAGGTTGCTGCTAAGCTGCTAAACATCTACTTCTCTTTGTTTGTGGCCCTGCTGAAGCCCACCCAGCCGCACAAACCGGCGCCCAAGGGCAAGCCTGGCCAGAAGGGTCCCAAAGGCAAGCGCCAAAACCAGCCTGCAAAGGGAGAAGCTCAGGATGATGAAATGCGAGAAAAGCTGGTTTCGGGTGTGTTGACAGGTGTCAACCGCGCATATCCTTTCACTAACTCGGATTCTGAAAGGTATATTTTCCTGCTTGATTACTCAAAACCACAGCACTAATTTGTTCATCTAGCATGTCGAAGCATCTTGAGACCCTCTTTCGCATCACCCACTCGTCAAACTTCAACACGAGCATCCAGGCTCTTATGCTGATCCAACAACTTACCGCATCCCACAAAGTTGGCGGAGATCGGTTCTACCGGACTCTGTACGAGTCCCTGCTCGACCCACGTGTGGCTACCTCCTCGAAGCAGTCGCTCTACCTCAATCTTCTTTTCAAGGCCCTCAAAAACGACGTCAACGTACGTCGCGTCAAGGCATTTGTGAAGCGGCTTGTCCAGGTGCTCGGATTGCATCAACCTGCCTTCGTCTGCGGTGTCTTCTATCTGATCCGCGAGCTGGAGAAGACTTTCACTGGCCTTCAGTCTCTCGTCGATCAGCCGGAGGACAACGAAAGTGACGGCGAAGAGAACTTCCGAGATATGCCCGATGAAGATGATGAGCAGCCGGTTCCGATTGCTGAAACTAAATCGAAGCCGACGAATGGGTACGATCCTCGCAAGAGAGATCCCGAGCACAGCAATGCCGACAAGACATGTCTTTGGGAATTGGTATGTTCTTATGTTTTCCTGGCAGCACCGAAGTTATTAACATTGTTTCCCAGCTCCCCTACACATCTCACTTCCACCCCTCTGTCTCCGTGAACGCCGCGCATCTCCTGGAACACCAGCCCATGAGCGGCAAGCCCGACCTCACCATTCATACATTGACCCACTTCCTCGACCGTTTCGTGTACCGCACTCCCAAGGCCACCACCTCCTCCCGGGGAACTTCGATCATGCAGCCTCTCGCAGGCGGTGATGCCGCAGACCGACTGGTTGAGGCCTACAAATCGACGCAGAAATCTCTCCCACTCAACACTGAGGCTTTCTGGAAGAAGAAGGCCGACGATGTCGCTGCCGAAGATGTGTTCTTCCACGAATACTTCAGCCGCGTTAACAAGGACAAGGATAAGGCACGCGCTAAGAAGGGCAAGGGTACTGCTGATCCCGTTGATCGCGATGAAGAGGATGCCGAGGGTCTCAGTGACAACGAATCGGAGATCTGGAAGGCTCTCGTTGACTCGCGGCCTGAGCTGGAAGCTGATGACGATACCGATGATGATCTGGATATGGATGATCTGGAGTCCGCGTTCGACGAGGATGAAGATGATGAGGACGGCGAGGACGACGGTGGCGTTATCTTCAATGACGAGTCCGACGAGGCGTCCGAAGACGAAGATATGGACCAAGTCAGTGATTTCGAGGGTGTGTCGCCGCCTCCACCGGCTGCTTCCAAGCCCTCAAAGAAGTCCGCCAAGAAGGACGAAGAGGAAGAAGACGAGGACGACTTCGATATGGATGTCTCGGACGACGAGGCCTTTATCGACAGCGACGAGGATCTGCCATCGGATATGGAGCTGGGTGGGGTGGAGGTGCCAGACGACAAGACGTCGGAGCGCAAGAAGCGGCGCAAGCTCAAGCACCTGCCGACCTTTGCCTCGGCGGAGGACTATGCGGCGCTGCTGGATGCAGAGGACGATGGCATGTAACTTGTCTCACTATTATTATCATTGTCTATATCATCTTACATTTTGTATAATTTGTGTCCGTCCTACAAGCTTGACAATCTATAGAGGCTGACCTAATCACCGCGGAATCCGTATCTCCACGTGACTTTCCCGCGATCGCATTTCTTCTCCGGTCGGAACAAGAAGGAGTTGCTGCTGTCGTCCGTTTTCTTTTCTTTTCTTTTTCTTTCCTTCTTCCGATCAATCCAATTCCCTCAGTATCTCTTTATCTATCATGTCCAGCGTCCGTTCTCTCCGACGAGGCGTCGACCTCGTCGCCTCGCGAGCTGCCTCACTGCAGTCTCCCCGCAGCGCTTCTATCAGCTCCACATTGCTCCGGCGGGAGCTCTCCTCTGCGTCGGGCTCTGTGCGACCAATTGTCCCTCGCGTGCCCGCCGCCAGAAACTCTCTGGTGTATGCTGCAGCTCCTACGCGCTCTGCTCAAACCGTCCGATATGCATCTAACTCCAGCGAGCCGCTGCGCAAGACGCAACTGTATGACCTGCACGTGGCACACGGAGCTAAGATGGTGCCTTTTGCCGGATTCGACATGCCGCTGCAGTATGCAGATCTGAGCCATGTCGAAAGCCATATGTGGACGCGCGAGAAGGCCAGTTTGTTTGATGTGAGCCACATGTAAGCGTCCACGCCCAAAACACTCCCAAGAAACGAGCGAGCGAGGCATGGCTAACAAAGTTCCAAAAGGGTCCAGCACCACCTGAGCGGGCCCGGCGCCCTTGACCTGCTGATGAAAGTGACGCCATCATCCCTGGACAAGCTGTCCCCGAACACTTCGACCCTATCCTGCCTCCTAGAAGAAGGCACTGGCGGCATCGTCGACGACACGGTGATCACCCGCCGCGGCGAAGACTCCTTCTACTTCGTCACGAACGCCGGCCGGCGCACCGAGGACCTGGCCTTCCTGCAGACCGCAATCGACGCCTACCGCGCGGAGCACGGCGCCGACAGTATCAAATGGGACATCCTTGAAGACCGCGCGCTGGTCGCGCTGCAGGGCCCGCTTGCAGCAAGCATCCTGCAACCACTCATCTACACGGCGGGCGGTGCCTCAGCGGCCGAGGTTGACCTGAGCACGCTGTACTTTGGCCAATGCCGTGAACTGCACTTGACGCTGCCCGATGGCTCTGCCACCGCGCACCCGCTTCTCATCTCCCGCACGGGCTACACGGGCGAAGACGGCTTCGAGATCTCCATCCCGAGCTCTGGTGCTCCCTCCTCTCCCGCAGCAGGTCACGGAGCTCCTCCTCCAGGACAAGGACCACGTTCGTCTGGCCGGTCTCGCCGCACGAGACTCCCTCCGCCTCGAGGCAGGCATGTGTCTGTACGGCCACGACATCTCCACCGCCCAGACTCCGCCCGCCGCGGCCCTGGGCTGGGTCGTCGGTCGTGACCGTCGTGACGCCGCGACAGCCGGCTTCAACGGCGCCTCGGTGATTCTGCCCCAAATTGCCAGCCCCAAGTCTCTCGCCCAGCGTCGTGTCGGTCTGATCATTGAAAAGGGCCCCCCTGCTCGTGAAGGCGCCGTCGTTGTTGACCTTGCTGACCCGTCAAACCCGGTCGAGGTCGGCGTCGTCACCTCTGGCCTGCCTAGTCCCTCGCTCGGTGGTGCTAATATCGCCATGGCATACGTTAAGAACGGACTGCACAAGAAGGGCACGGAGCTCGGCATAAAGGTGCGGAATAAGGTGCGCAAGGCTAGTGTTACGAGCATGCCCTGGGTGGAAAGCAAGTTCCATCGCCCTCAGTAGAGTCGAATGCCGTCTAGATTAAGAACATGTCCGGCAAGGAGAAGCGTGACATTCTGTGTATATACCATTTCATCTTTATATTCAATGCTGTGTCTTTCTTGAAAGTATATACTACGGTTACAAGAGAGTAGGATATAGATAGTTGTGACGTCCAACACGTCGGTCTATTCCGGGTTCCCCGAGGGGAAATATACCTGCACGAAATGGCATGGGTATTCTTATCTCGTGCCAAATAATCAAAAAGAAAAGCAAGAAACCAGCATTAATCCTGCGGTGTAGATCATACTCCCTTCCAGATCCATCAATCAGATCCAGAGAAGAACCAAAAAAAAAAATCAAATGATAAATACATGAACCTCCTCTTTCTGTCTCGGTCATCAATCACGTCGTTAGGCGCTGCTGAAGAGGGGGGGCCGAGAGTGCTGCTCCATCGACTCCAGGATATATATGCATGGACGAATCGAAATCACTGAGCCTTATTTTCCCGCCCAGCGGGAGTCGCGCTCAAATGGCGTTGCTGGCACAAGTGAAGGGCTTGCCGAATGCACCATTATTGTAACTGATAACGACTGACTCAACGGAAGCCTGCAGGGTAAAAGTATTAGCACATTTTCCAAAACATGTACGATTGAAAGCACAAATCAAAGAGACTTACGTAGGTGCCACCAGTCAGGAAGAACACGCCAGTCAGAATCAAGATGACGTTGACGATGGCTCCCACCCAGCCGCGAATACCGCGCACCGCATAGAATCGGGGGCCGTGGTCGTTATACCGCATGCGCAGGTAAGCAACGCCCCAGAAGATGAATCCGAAAAAGGAATCGAACAAAGAGCTCATGATCGATAGCAGGTCTGAGAAGAACGGAATCACCTCGGCGACGATCCAGGCCGCAATCCAGAGGGCAAAGAGGATTCCAGCCCACGAGGCCCAGCCCACGACAGTGTGGTTGGCCTTGTGGCGGGTACCCTCGAAGATGCGGAAAAAGATGAAGCGCGCGGAGACAGAGGCATACAGCACACCCAGGAAGATGAGCGTCGGAATCATGAACGAGAAAGAAATTTTCTTGTAAAGTTCATTGCTGAGCGAGCCGAAAGCAGGCGCCTGCGTGTATTGGCCGGTGTAAACGTAGATGACCGCGCCTACCAAGCTGAAAACGATGACTTCGGCAATGGTGACGGCGGTGACCGATTTCCAGAAATCCTGGGGCTCTTTCATCTCTGCGATGAAGCTGGGCAGGGTGATCTGGCCGATGAAGGTGTAGCTGATGTTCAGGAAGGCGCTCATTCCGTTCACGAAGCCGGTTCCAGGCGCAGCGACCACAAGGAACTTCGCCGGTCCTGTATTCTTGTAGCCAGTCTTGTTGGGTTGCCCTTCGATTCCAGCAAAAACGGTCGCCATGATGACCGAGACGAATGTGAAGAAGGCCGAAAAGGTTGCAATCCTGGACAGAGCACTGAACGTCCGCGGCAGGGAGAAAACCCACGAGATCATCGCCATGATGAAGGAGAAGGCGATGGTGCAAACGGCACCGTCGGTCATGGTGTTGAGATACTCGGCACCCACCAAGCAGTGCAAGCCCTGAATGAAGGTGTTGTTCAAGAGGAACATGACCGCCGTTACCCACCAAACGATCTTCGAATTCCAGAACAGATACTGGCCGACATCACAGACATCGCGAATTTCGGGGTGGCGCAGACAGAATTTCCTGTTGCACATGGGTCAGCATCCGCACAAATTTTCTCAAAAATGAACAGAACATACCAGACAATTAGCGAAGTGTACAGCACAGCAGCCGCGATCACAACAGTGAGGATCAGACCGGGCACCAGGCCCAGAACGGAGTATGACCACGGGAAGGACATGATAGCCAGACAAATGTACTCGGAAAAGAGCAGCGCAGCGGTCTATGTAACACCATCAGCGTTCATTAGTTTCACCTCTTGGATCGAGGAACACCGACCTTTTGCCAACTACACGTGCGATACTTGATGCTGTTCTCCGACTCCATTTCGATCTGCCGACCGACGCTCTCGGACGTTGAAGACGAGTCAATGGTGGTGACATGGTGATGCGAGCTCCGGCGACGGCCCTGGCTCTCAAGATCGTCCAAGTCCTTCAGCTTAGACAAGTCCTTGTCGCTGTAGGCCGGGTCATCGCGGCGGTCGTCTCCATTGCTAAGGTCCATGTTGTTGAAAGCCATTTTTGTCTTAACGACCGGGCGAACCGTGCTTGACGGTGCTCGGTAGAGTCGAAAGAAACGTTGTTGAGGGCCCTGGTATGCATGTACCACTCTATTGTACTACTTTGAACAGGACAAAACTGAGGGCGTGAGTAACTCATGAGTGAGAGGCCTAGAGAAAAGAACACCAGGTGGAAGTCGACTCACCTGGGGTGGATGGTGATGTTGAATTCCGGATCCGGACAATGGGGCAATGTCGTCAGTGCTGTGTTAGAGCGGCTTGAGGGTATACCAATGGCCGACAATATTGGAAGAGGGCGTAGACAAAGACAGAGACGAGAAGAAGAAAGGCGAAAAAGGGAAACAATGATTAATTAAAAGTGAGCTGCAGATCTGAGTCGCCGTTGCCCGTATAGCAGATACGGGCGACGTCACTACGGGTGGGTAATTAATGGTGATTATGGGTATGCTAGATACTCTACGATAATACCTGGCTCCACTGGCGCAGAAAATAAAAAAATATGGAAAAAATGAAAAAACGAGGCCGGGCAAAAGCGCCATGACGTGATGGAGCATCCATACTCTGCCGCAATAGGCGGTGCTCTCGAGCCTCAGCCGTGGCTGTAGCGTTCGGCCGGGCCAAGGTCGCCCGGCTCCGCCTTCCTATGGGGGCATAACTCTTGGAACCAATCTCACCATCCCGACCTTTAATATTATTCGACTCGTTCGCAGTACATAGTCGGGCGTTCCGAGCTGCGGGTTGGCCACCTGGCTCACGGCAAGGGGCAACTCGTGCTGGTGCACGTCCGGTCAGCCCCCACCCCATGAATTGATGGACTGTTACGGAGTGTAGTTAGTTACGTGGTGGCGTCCAGACATTGGCCCCGCAAGCGATCGAATGAACAACAGGGGGGGGGGGGCGCAACTGGAGTCAGAACAGCATTCGGGGGCCCGAGAAACATGGAATGGATGGAGCACCATTTTTGTCGATCCCTGATAGGGTGCCGATGAGGTGCTTTCCTGAATGCGGTAGGGCGGATCCTTGGGGGATGGATGGATCATCGTAATCTCTTGTTGCGCATCCCCCAGACATACACGAGGCAGAGACCTAGAGGCGGATCGGGCTGGACAAAATGGGTTTAGAAGGTCCGAGCAGCCGGCCATAACTACGACAGACGGGAGTAGTTGGTTACTTTTTGCTTCGGTTCCTGTCGGTCGGTTGATGTTCCGTTCAGGGCTTGTCCCGACCACGTGCAGCGGAGCTCACGTAATTTGAACGCCTGACATATCAGGCATTATTCACGAATACATGTAGTTATCCAGGTGTTGAACTGGCCGGCTGGACCGGCTTCCCGAGATGACAATGTCCATCTGCAGAGCCCCTGGGTAGCCCCGGTCCACTAGAAACGCTCGATTCGCGTTCTCGCTGACCAGGTGCCCCGTTTTACAGTTGACGTGCGACTCCACCGCGATGGCCTCATCCTACCTAATTTTTTGTTAAGGTGAATCGATGCCATGATCACCGTTACAGGGGCCGTTCTAGAGGCGCAGAAAGCTTCGGAATCGTATTTTTACACCCCTCCAAGGATTTTGGGGTCCAGCAGCCCGGCCTGGACTTGCCATGTAGTATTCTTCTAGAAGCCCTGCCACATCCCCTGTTGGTGGATTTCCTAATTTGGTCGGTAGCGATCGGCCTTGCCGATACCTGCTCTCTGCAGTAACCAGAGATAACTGCCATTGACGTGATAGCTGTCTGGACTGTACATTGGACTGTGCATGCTTAAAAATGCCAATTCGAGCATTTTGCCTATCTACATATTGCCACAACCAAACACTACATATCCCTCACTAATCACAGAACAATAATGTGGCTTTACTCATTTAAGAAGCAACTACCCAGTCAGCCCCAATAGGCTCGAAAGGTAAAGTAAAGATATGATTGAATACAAAGAACTGAAGTGAGTGTTATAGACATCAAGTCAGACACAGTGAGAATCGAAGACTTTAAACCCCCCGGAAGTGGCTCCCATCGCGAGCCATACGAGCATGCGCACCAAGATGAGCATGTCTCCTACCAACGACAGCATCGCTGAAACCAAAGTCATCGAAGGTATCGTCCAGAGAACGAGCGCCCATAGTCCCCGACGACGAATCAGACAGGGAAGGCGGGATATCCTGGGCGCCGGTACCCCAGGTACTTTCATTGCGACCCAGGACGAGAACCAGGTCATGGCCCTCTGTGAAGAAGTCGTGGGAGACCCAGTTTTTGGTGTAGGGCTTGCCGTCCATGGTGGCGGACTGGATGAAGCCCGCGCCGCCGGTGTTGTTCAGCGAGTTGAACTTGTCGAAGTTGGCTACGCGGATGGTGGCTTCCTTGCCTGTGAGTGGGTTGGTGATGCTCACGGCTTGGAAGAAGGGCACGGTGATCAGGTACACGCTCTGGCCGGGATTCGGGAACATGCCCATCATCGACATGGCGACGAAGGAGCCCATGGCGCCAGAGTCGTCGTTTCCGGGGAGGCCAGCGGGCGTCGGCGAGAAGTAGTCAGGGATGTAGGTGCGCACGCGAGCGGTGGACTTGGCTGGGCGTCCGGCATAGTGGTATTGGTAAACTGTTAGGAAAGCTGGCTCGTTGCCAATGTAAGTGATTTTCTTGTCGTGGAGATAGTCGAGGCGCTTGACGAAGCCGTTGGGGCCGCCCAGGAGAGGGATGAGGGCAGCCATGTCATGGGGAACGAAGCTGGTGAGGGATGTTAGTACTGCGCAGTTTACAACGCGGATGGACATACAATTGATACTCCCAGATGCTAGACTCAAAGGTCTCGGCTGCGTTGTTCTGCAGCGAGCAAACGCTTCCACTGGTGTCGAGATTGGAGCATTTCAGGGGATCCTGGTATCCCCACGTTTGATTCAGGTACTTAGGCTGGAAGAAGCCCTTGAAGCCCGTGTCGGTGCTATTCATGTACGAGGTCTGGTCCGCCTTGAAGAGATTCTTCCAGGCTCCAGAGGACTTCTGGTATTTCTCTGCATCAGCCGTCTTCTTCATGCCAAGAGCCATTTGCGAAATGGCAAAGTCATTGTACGAGTACTCGAGCGTGCGTGAGATGCTGCGAGTCATGGTACCAAAGCCCTCGTGATCAAAATCCTCGACGGGGATGTACTGTAGCCTTTTCCAGCTCTGAAGGCCGCCGCGGCCTTCATTGGACCAGTCATACGGTTCTACCTCGGCGTCCTTTTGGACAGCGGCATAGCCGGCCTCCCAGTCAATGCCGTCCGTCAATCCCTTGACGTACGCATCGACAAGAATGTTGTCCGCGTTTGACCCGCCTTGCGTGTATCCTAAACACCGAGAGCTGTCAAAATAGTCCCGAACTGTAGAATCTTCGTAGAAGACATACCTTTGCAGAGCGACATGCGGCAATCCGGCAACCAGCCAAGATGACGCTGAGTATCAATCAACGAGCGTACCATCTGCGCCACCGAGCTAGGGTCGATGAGGGTAAGGAATGGGATCTGGGAACGGAAAGAGTCCCAGAGACTGGAAAGTTGTCAGTGCAAGCCTCAAATACCTTGGGGGGTTGCGGCAACATACCAGTAGAAAGAATCAAAGTACGGCTCCGTGCTCGTCCAGAGCGGGTTTTCACCCGTGTAGTTCTGCGGATTCATCATCGTGCGGTAGATGCCGCTGTAGAAATTGGTGAGAACAGACTGCTGGACACCGCTGCGCGACACGCGGATTGGAGCCATTTTTTCGGTCCACTGCTGCACGGCCGTCTGGCGCGTAGCCTCAAAGTCAAAGTCCCATTTCCCGGGCTTAATTTCATTCTCAGCATTAATGCACGCCTGCATTGGGCTGATAAAGCTGACTCCGACGCGGGCCTCGACTGTCCCATCAGGTGGGGTATTGAACCGGAAGAATCCACCTCCCTAGTATTGTTCTTAGTTCAAAATTAACTGTTGGAGATAACATTTATCACTTACTGGAAGCGGGTAGCCGTTGATACTGCGGGAGATCTTCAGGTCATGGACATCGGTACTCGCACGAGCATCAACAAAGATGCCGCCATCTCGAATACCTTCGTTCTGGGTCGCTCCAGGGGTCTTGAAGTCTGCACAAAAATGCAGTGTATACTCGCCGCTACCGAAACTGGGCAAGAAAGGAGCGGTACCGGTCATACGACCAAGCTCTGTGTTGACGGAGATGCTCGCATTGTCCTGGCGAGAGTCGGACAGATCCGAGAGATCCAGCAAAATCAGTGGACTGCTCTGTGGCGGGAATTGGAAGCGGAACAGAGATGCATGGTGAGAGACAGTCATATCCACTTGAACACCAGACGCCAGCGTGATTCCAAAGTAGCCGGGACTGGCCTTCACGGAGCCGTTGATGTAGGGCGTTGCGCGAGAGACCTTGGGGAAGACGCAACCATCCACGGTATCGCCGGCGCAGGCTTTGTAGGGAAAGAGAGGGAAATTGCCCAGCGATGGGGAGCCTCCAGTCCCGGAGTCGTGCATAGACGAAAAACCAGTGACATTGCTGCCATCGTAGGCAAAACCGCCCTGGTTGCTCTCCGAGTTGGTGTCGGCGACGGCTTTAGCCATGCCATAGGGCAGTGCGGCGCCGGGAAAGACATTGCCTAAAGATACACATTAATGTCTATCCCACTTATCATTATTGCGCACAGCCCCAGTCGATCACGTACCGCCATTGGAGCTTCCAATCAGTGGGTCGATATACTGAAGTACATCATAGTCCTCAATGGCAGTTTTGGCCAGCGCAGTGCCGGCCAGAAGTGACAGCAACAGTCCATGCATAGTTTGCAGTGAGAAAAACTGACCCCTCGTGCTGCCCTGAGGGGAAAAAAGATATTATTATGTTCCCCCCTGTGTAGCGCGTCGTGCCTGTCCGGCATGCGCTATCGGCCCCTGTCGATCATCCCCGCGTCGCCGCGTTGCATTCAAGATCTGGTCCAACAGACAAGGTAACGCTGTGACTGGCCAGATTCCACCCGGACATTCCGTGCGGGCACTAGATTCGCCGAAAATGCCTTGATAACGGGGCCAGGATGCTTGGAGATTGGACTACCTCGAGTCGGGGGTTTCGTCAATATTATCCGTTGCCCAATCCAGCAAGGGCGACCCTGGGCTAATAATGAGAGGATTCGCGGCAGCGAATGAGCAGATGAGATCTCGCATTAGCAGTGCTACACTGTGCACAGCAATCTTGCGGTCGTCGGGAGACAACATCCCGAGCTTCATGGCAGACGGTGTTGTCAGCTAAAGGACTGGTCCCTCTCTGATCACACTCTGAACACTTGCCCGGCCAGACAGGGAAGAGTACATATCAATGCTCGGTTAGTCGGCAGTTGGCCTAGGAATGGTTTGACGAAGTTCCATCCCTTTACAGTGTGAAGTCGGCCAGGGATTGCGGCGACAGGGGTTGACTAGTCCACTTATAGATGTGAGGGGCGCACTCTTCTACCCCAACTTATCTGCCAAGGGGATAATAATAACTATCAATTATACTGTTGTGCTTGTAAAGAAGGATAATATCTAGGTCTATAACGCCAATGCCCAATAATGCCAATGCGACCTTTCACTCCGCTTTATATAGATTCGACAGGGCCTAGCAGTCAGTTAGTTAGCCATTATTCGGCAGGACCTGGAAGCAAAGGGGAACAAAAAACCTACCCGCGCCTGCTTGGGCTCGATAAACAAGGCCTTAGCCTCAACCAGCACCACGGGCTCCGTGCCATCAGTCGGGAGGGTCTCAATTCGGCCCTCGACCCACGCCTTGCGGCCCTCGACCTTAACGGTCTCGGCGCGCAGCACGGTATATTGGTTCGCCATGGCCGGGGCGCGGTAGTCGATATTCAGGTTCGCCGTGACGCCAATCTTATTCGGCAGGGCTGGGAAGCAGCATCGTGCCAGACCCTCGTCCAGCAAGGTCGCTAGCAAACCGCCGTGCACGATGCCTGGGTGGCCGCAGATGTCGGAGCCGAGGTACATGAGCGAGACCATGCTCTTGCCACCGCGCTCGTTGAAGACATATGGTGGCACGACGATCTTGTTGGGTCCGGCCAGTGTCCCGGCCGTCAGGCTGCGTTCTCGTAGTGCCTCCGGGAACTTGAGGTGCGGGCGCGACTCGGTAAAGTCCGGATTGGCGCGCAGGGCCTCCGCCACGGGATGTGTGCGGATGTAGTCGTCAATCTCTTGTGTCGCGTCGTCTGGCGCGACGAACAAGGTCAACGACTCAGCATCCGAGGCTAGTGGCACGGCCATGAGGCGGGAGAGGGTGCGTTGGGTTTGGAATAGGAGGCCGGCGGTGAAGGCGAGGACAGCGATAGAGGTGAAGCCGGCGAAGCGACGGAAGCGCGATCGCGGGCGAGGAAGAGGTTCCGAGGGAGATGCTGTAGTCGTCGATGGGTTAGTCGTCGTTTGCATTCAGGTAACGGGGTGGATCGGGGTTTACCGGTGGTGGAATTGAGGCGCTGGCTCCGAAGGGGGCTTCGTAGGGGGGCACGAGCAGAGAGAAAATGTGATGGACTGCCAACCGGCCGGGGCAGACAGGGCTTTAATCGGGCCGAGACTGGTAGACGGAGCATCGTGGGAGAGGCGACTTGTTGGGAGAAATCAATGGTTGCGGCAAGAGATAACTGGGGCCCGGAAGAGATTGGACCTCGGCATCTTTACGCTGGTGAGGCAATCGGGACCGGAGCGGTCCTTTGGACCGAAGAAGAGTTTCTGTTGAACAAGTGTAGTTACGCATGCTCGAGGGGAGAAACAGCGGTGTCGTTGCTTTCGTTGTGATTTTCATGTTGTCTTCATCCTTGAATGCTGATATATAGCGAGCACCGTCCAAGCCCTAATGGAATCGTATCACATCTCCCTCCGGTGCCAGACAGAAAGCTTGCCCGTTTCCCTTTCTTTTTGATGTGATTGTGAACTTCCACCTCTCATCCCACAGCATCTTGATCCTACAACCCTCCGCAAGAGGCCATTTTAACCAACTTCCTTTCTCTTGCCATCCGTACCTCTTTGCCACCGGGATCCCATCTCTGGTACGAACGACCATTGGCCCGGCCCTGTTACCTTGCTCCAGCGTACCTCTGAAAAGATTATTATTCTCGTACCCAATCCATCCCTCGTATATCTGGCCTTGCCAAGAGTCGATCATTCCCTGACGCGGCCCGTTTCAACTGTTTCTTTTCCGCCCCGCCGACTTTGCCCCTCGTTTTTCTCTCACCGTCACTTTTCCTTTCTTTCTTCAACATCCCACATTCATTATGGCCACGTATGTACATCCTCTCCGATCAATTCAACAGGTCCACCTCACTGACACACAATTAGCAACATCACCTTCCACGCCTCCGCCCTGACCCGCGACGAGCGCAGCTCCCAGCTCAACCAGCGCGGGCTGACCATCTGGCTGACGGGCCTATCCGCCTCCGGCAAGTCGACGCTGGCCGTCGAGCTCGAGCACCAGCTACTGCGCGACCGCGGCGTGCACGCCTACCGATTGGATGGCGACAACATCCGGTTCGGCCTGAACAAGGACCTGGGCTTCAGCGAGGCCGACCGCACGGAGAACATCCGGCGCATTGCGGAGGTGGCCAAGCTGTTCGCCGACAGCGCTTCCATCGCCATCACCTCGTTCATCTCGCCCTACCGTGCCGACCGCGACCAGGCCCGCGCGCTGCACGAGGTACCCACCCCCGGCGAGGCGACCGGTCTGCCCTTCGTGGAGGTCTACGTTGATGTCCCCGTGGAGGTTGCTGAGCAGCGTGATCCCAAGGGTCTCTACAAGAAGGCCCGTGAGGGTGTCATCAAGGAGTTCACTGGTATCTCGGCTCCCTATGAGGCCCCTGCCAACCCCGAGATTCACATTAAGAACCATGAGCTTCCGGTTATGGATGCCGTGAAGCAGATCATTGATTACCTGGACCAGAAGGGTTACCTGCCTCCCAAGAAGGCCTAAACAGGGGCAGTGCAGGTGGCAGAGAGGCGCTTGTGGTATAGCTTGTGATTTTGGTGTATAGCGTGTCTTGCTGGGTTGTTCGGTGATCCCCCCATACACCGTTTGATGCTGTACATACCTTTATCGTCAATACATAGATCACCTTGCTGTTGCACACTGTGTGTGTTCTCAGAGTAGATTTGTATATTGCACATCCGAAAGCGAACACAAAAACAAAAAGGTCCCAGAGTTTGTGCTCAATGTACTGGTATATGTACGCAACTGGCCCCAAAAGCCCCCCCCCCCCCCACAGCAACCCCTACCGAGTCCAACTAACTAATTGAACTCGAACTCGTAAAACACATATGCCGTATAGTCTGCGCCGCCGCCCTCGCCTGCGGCATGCATCTCGCTGGGATCATCTCGCTTGACACGGCCCTTCTTGTCCCGCCCAAAAGCATTGCCGGCCAAATACGAGTACTTGTCTTCCAAGTTACGCTTCGCACGGTCCGCCTGCTTGGAGGAGGGGGTCTTCGAAAAAGGACAGATCAGTATACCTCCACAAAAGAAGGGAATGGTGTCAAAACATACCCTGATCAAAGCACACACAAAGTCCAATGGCAATCCGTATCTCAGCACCGTCTCCACAAACACCCGGAGCACAAGCACATGCATCCAGACCATGACCGCTTCACTCCACGCGGTACGTCCAAGGCGCAACGTCTCGCCCCAAAGCTTCCGCTCATCGCCGCCCACACGCTCTACCTCCTTGCGCTCCTCCTCCTTCCCGCCTTCCACATACTTAAAATCACGCGGGATCCATTTGTGTTCACGAGCCTTGTGCACGAACTCGACGCTGTGTTTCTTGAACGTCGTCACGGAGTATAGAGTAAACTCGCTGTCCGAAGCAACCAATTGGGCGGACCGTGGCACGACCATGGGGGCCACGGTTTCGTAGGACTTGAGGAACTCCTTGATTTGTTGGGCCGGCACGGCAACGAGGTGCGTCTCGAGGTATTCGGAGTCCTGGATGACAGAGCGAGGGTCGACCACTGAAGCGAGGGACTTTGTTGACAGGTTTCCTCTGTACATATCAGAGGTTAGCAGATAGTATCTAGCAGAGAGGTGGAAACATCAACGTACGTCTGTTTCCGCTGCAGCGTGGCCAGATTGTTCTTAACCTGGTTATATTGGGAGTACTTGGATCGAAGATCGTTGTCGATACTGGCAGCCTCCTATGATAAATGATTAGCTTGCTCCTACCCACCGTAGCTGTCTCTGTACAAACCTTCTGCAGGAGATCAATCAGCTCCGCCAGCGGCTTATCCGCCCGATACTTGACTTTATTCCACTGGAACGTGCGCAGGTATTGATCCACGGGCTCTGTAACAGTTAGAAGCGAGCACGCAGCATCCACACTCGAAGGTCCCGACACATACTGTCGTTCACAACCTTCATCTTCTCAATCTGATCCTCATCCCCAGCAAGGATATTCTTCAGCGCGTCCCCCACCTTCGCCACAACACCTTGGCAGCCACTCTCCAGCTTGGCTAGCTCATCAGCCTGCTGTACGAGGGCATCTAGCGTGCCGATCTTGAACTCGGGGATCGGGAACGAGGCGGCGGAGCCATTGTCTGGAGAGACAGTGGCGGAGACGGCGTCGAGGGCGTCGTCGCGGTGGTGCGAGGGGACGATGGATGTCGGAAGTGACAGGAGAAGGTACTTGCTGGGCTTGGACATGGTGATGAGAGAGCCCTGGGGGCGTGGAAGGGGGGTTGAGATGCTGGTGTTGGCCTGTTGGTTGAGCTGCCGAGTGATGAAGGCGGTGGGCGAGGCGGGGAACTCATCGACCACGACAAATAGTAGCCCTAAGTAGTTATCGCAATCGTAAATGAATGCCCATATCTTTAACCTATTTCTGATCCAGCCAATGCGCTCTGCTTAGGTGACTATGTCTGCAAACTGTGACCTTTTTTTTGGCGTTTATTAGACCTGGCGTTTTCGTGATTCTCAGCTCCAGGAGGCACCTGCGGCACGCATCTTAACGGGTTGAGACTTACACGGAAGGGCCTTGAGAGAATACGTTCAACGTCTATTGACATTCACGCATGCTGGGGTCTCATCGAGGACAATATAGGGAAGTACATACGGGGTAACGTGCAATAGTTTGCTTTCGAGTAGAGACATTACGGCCTGAGGCGAGAGTAAACGATGAACATGGAAACGCTAGACTATCCAATGCTCGCTTCAATCGAGTCGGATCAAGGTAAAACACACAGACAGAAAGAAAAAAGACAAGAGCCGCCCAGACAAACGCAAAATTTTGATCTCTCCGGAGAGAGAGTGAATAGCTTCGAACCTGCGGGATATGGATCGGGGACGAAAATCGAGACATGACAGGGTATCGGCATCGAGCGTGCAACGCTGATCATAAAAGGGTGTGGGGGAAGGGAAGAAAAGAGCAAGGAGGCCAATGGGCCAGATAACAAGCGCGGGTATATGTACACGGAGACCGTCGTCATCCAGACAGGCATTGGTGGAATTCTCCAATATGCCAATTTGTTGCTTGGCGTGACAGTCGGCAACAGGACCAAAAACGCAAAAGAAAAAAGTCCCCAAAAAGTATAAGCACAACGAACAAGTAAATAACTAGGCCTGCATTCCTTGGAAGATGCCCTGGCAGTTGTCCACAAGGAACTTAACCACGTCATTCTTCTTTTGGACATCGGTCATCTCACGGGCGAGACTTTCGGGTCTCATGATGGTGGGTGCAAAAACGACGGCGATGTTTTGGCTGGTCATCAAGTTCTCATCCCGGCGCTCGACCACGCGCTTCAGGTGGAAGACTAGGAACTCGAGCACGTCGCGATGAACGCGAGGTAGCTCCATAAGACTCCTCTGCAGCAGATCCACGCGATCCAGCGTTGAAGTGAGTTCGCTAGACTCAATAATTTTCTCGTACACCTCGTAGGTGATCAGGGGTGTTGGGAGCTTCCGGAAGTACTGCTTCAGAGCCGAGGTGACGGCATGAATATCCAGGTCCGGATCCGAGAGATCATAATCGAACGGAGACCGCTCGAAGCCTTCCCGGATGCCCTGGATGACCGAAGCAGCCCCGGATTTGCGGTAAATGCCTTCCATGTCCATGCCTGACTGGATTTAGCATCTGAATCGATAATCACACAATAGGGAACTAACCTCGCAGCTCAACCTCTTGGATACAACGGGTGACGACAGCTGGGATAATGCTCTTCTCATGCACCATACGGTCCTCCAGATCGGTACCAAAAAGACCTGCACAATGATTAGCGGAGAATGACACAACAAGAAACAAGGGAACATACCACCACCCTCAGCCAACACGGGCACACTATCAGTGTGTGACATCTTGCCCACTTGCTTGTGCCTCTGATTTCCGAAAAAACCAAAGCCCTGTCGGCTCGGGTCCTGGGTTTGAGAGCGGGGCAGGCCACCCTCATTCTCATTACCCATGAAAGCCCCTTTGAGTCCCTTGACGCCCTTGGCGACGTTTTGACCACCCTTCTTCCAGTTGAACTTGCCCTTACGAATGCTGACAACTTGAGGTCCAGGAACGACAGTAGCAGTGGCGGTAGCAGGTTCCCCTTCATCATCGATTTGCGCAGTCGAGATGGACGTCGGAAAATCGTGCATGCCGGGCTTAAAGGTCTCGATGGAGTTGGTTGACCTCTCCTTGTTGTGGTAGATCCCCAGACCATTCGATCCACGTCCATCATTGGCCTTGTAGAGTCCTTGGATCTGGTGCACAAGCTGGTTGTTCAATTCAGCCAACTGTGCATTCTTGGATGACAATTGTTCAAACTCTTGGAAGCTCTTCTCCTTCTGGCGTTGCAAGCTGGCCAGCTCCTCCGACAAATCGAAGCGCTTCTGGACGAGCTCCTCGATTTGCGGGCCATAGGACTCCTTCAGTTTCTGGATCGCTTCAGCAAGATCCCGCAGAACATTGTTGGATAGCTTAGACAAATCCAAGGCTCCACCGCTTCCGGTGCGCTTCTCGGCTTCCAAATGATCAGTCAAGACAGTAAGCTCACGCAGGACAATCTCCCTCTTAGCATCCAGCACGACCATGGTTGAACGTTTCTCAGACAGTTCCGTGTTAACCTGTTTGACATCGGCGGTCGCACGGAGAGCGAATTCCATCTCCGCAGCTCGCTGGCGCTCCTTGCGCAATTCAGTTCGAAGCCAAGAGACCTCGTCGGACTTTTCCCCAGTACCAGAGGGACTGCTAACATCAGTTCCAATGGCGCTTCCGTTGGCAGGCGACCGAGGAGACTTTAGATCCTTGCTGAGACGCACACTCTTGTCGCTAAAGCTGCGACCATGACGGACAGAGTTCGACATGCGACGCAAGAAAGACTCGCTGGTTTGAGCTGCCGAGGCTAGTTCTTCATCCGGAGGATAGTCGACAATACTATTATACCGCGACCGGGACGGCGAGCCCGCGCGGTCCAACTGCCGCTGAGAATCCAACTGGGGAGTATTCAGTGCACTGCTCTTGGCAGGTTCAGATGGAGTCTCAGTGCGCATTCTGGGCGACTCGTCATAGGGCGATGGGCCGGTCGACTGAGATCGGGAAGAAAGTCCAATTTCCTTTCGCGGGATCGTATGATTTTTGGTTTCTAAAGAATCACCTCGTTTGGGCAGATAAGCCATGCTCGACGACACAGGCAGAGAGCGGGACGAACTCTCGGACTCATGCTCGTGAAGTTTGCGAAGTTCATTTGTGGGCCGAGCAGTGGCCATAGCGCGATCTAGAGGCGCCGTTCTGGGAACATCACCTTGCTCCCTGGAACGGTTGCTCTCTGGACTAGTGGCACCAGAGAAAGTTGTTGTCTCCATCAATGTGATTGGAATATCCGATGTGGAACTGCGGGCAGAGGTCGACTGGCCAGCCTTGAATGTGTCTGTAGTACCCTTGTCCGCGGGGCCAGTCGCTCCATCCACATCGCGCCGAGCGTCCTGATACGCAATGTGAGGAGAGTGATTTTCGGATGAGGCATGAGAGCCAGGGTCTTGGAGATAGTCACGCCCGTCGCGTGACGTTCTGAGCGACGAATCGCCCGATCCAAGGGTGCCGAAATAGTCACGTGGCAGTCCGTCCATTTGCTGCGACTGTGCGCGAGATGATGATCGCGTGCCTTCAGTGGAAGGATCGAACGCGAGAGGGATGAGGAATTCTGCGCCTCCGTCCGCTTCAGCATCGCGCGGGCCTATCAATTGGCGACTACTTCGGTAGGTGCTGGAAGGAAGAATGAGGCTGTCTGTAAAGAGAGAAATATCAGTCATGGTGTCCCAGCGATGGTCGATTGTAGCTCTCTTACCTGATGCCTGGCGGGAAGGTGAGGTTTCAGATCTGCCCGCATCACTGGCGCCCTGCGTGTCGCGGCTGCGCAACCCATCAGTGGGCGCATCCACGAACGCCTCGTTTTGAGCTTCAGCCATTAGGTGCGGTGGCAGCGAAGGCAGTGACTTGTCCAGTTTGGCCTGTGACGACGACTTTTTGGTGGTTGCGCCGCGAGTTCTTTTCCTCCGTCGCTGCATTAATGATTCGTGGCAATCCATACAGAAGATTCCCTGAGACGTGCGCGCATAGCGCAGATTTTCGATCTTCTTCTTGCAGTTGCGGCATCGGAAGCATTGTGCGCAAAAGGCTTGGTCGCCTGTTAGGATGGCCAGATCCTCGATCTTGTTGCCGCAGGAGCTGCAGTTGTAGGTACACTTGCTGCAAATCAGCGAGCCATCGCCCAGCAGCAAGAGATGCGCGTCGGAATCGAGGAGGGTAGAGCAATTGCTACATCGGAAGCAATCAATGTGCCACCTTTGTCCAGCTGGAAGACGTTAGTACCGCTGCACAGCGAGAAGAATCCGGCTCCGGAACACCTACCAAGTTCAAAAGCTTTTCCTTCCTCGAGAATCTGGGGACACAGTTAGTCGGGGTCTCATAAGGGTTGACCATGGATACGTACCTCTCCACAGCCCTTGCAGGGAATGGGGATCTCGTCCTGCTCCATCAGGGGAGACTCAATAGCCGGGGACTCCATTGTAGGCCACTTTGACTAGGAGACAGCGGGCAATGCGCGACCCAATGATCCCTTGTGGTGGGAAGGTAATGCAAGATGCCCGTTCGCCGGATTACCGTTGGTGTAGGCGAGCGATTGGTGGCGACGACGACGAATGTCACGCGCGCGAAGACATTCGGCGCTGAATTCCGATCGAAAAGCAGATGGTCAAGCACACGTCGCGGCCACGATGATGTTGAAGGGGAGGTGGGAAACGGATGCGCAAGATTGGCGGCGAACGCAACAGGGGAGAGGGAGGGCTTGAGATAGAAGACAGTGATGGCTGTTCCTGCAAGCTGCTGAGGGCGTTAGCCAAGCTGAAGGTTTCTCTTATGGTTAAGCGTAAGACATACGTCCCCTGAGTGTCAACCCGGGGGGATTAGCCGGGCTGCCTGGTCCGACCTGGTCAGGATGACCATGGTCGGTACCAGCTCAAGGGGGTAAGTCACGCCATGATGGCAGCCAGGACACAAGAAAATAAATTATTAGCATACCAGACACCGTGCGATCGTCAGCCCAAGTGTTACTCCAGATGGATTTCAGGCAGAGCGAGGGACGCGGGTGTTGTAACAAGCGCAGACGAGGCCAAGTGTTGCCCCTCGCGGAGCGAACTGCGCTATGGTAAGGGGCGAGCGCGCCGATGTGCCCGACAGAAAAGCGAGAGAGATGATCGAGAATCGGGAGGGAAGACCACCGAAGATCAGGGCGAGGTTCAAGAAGGAAAAACGAAAGAAAAGGAAGAGAAGGAGAAGGGGAGAGAGGGAGACGCGGAGTGCAGGGAAAGAGGACAGGAGGGATGGAACAGTCCGTGAGTGGCAGAACAGAACCCGAGTCTGGAACTTCCCCCACGCATTGAACTTATGTACCTGTGACTATCATCATCATCATTATTATTAACATTATTATTCACCGCTGTTTGGACCCGATCAATAATAAGATATATTTTACTATTATTGTTATCGCCCTACGTACCTAATTCCATTTGTTGTTGTTCATGAGGTACTAGATACAACAGTCTACGTGGGCGGACGGCTTGACTGACGACGACCAGCAGTTGCGGGTCGGCCACGGGCTGAGCGCCCAATGAACGGACTCCTGGCCCAGAAGGAGATCGTGAAATCACCTAAACGAAGATCGTCCAGCCCGAGTGAGCCACAAGTGCCGGGAATCGTTAGTAGAAGGGGCCAAGAGGGATTGGATTACAAGTGTTGTGCAGAAATGCCGGCCTTGACCCGGGAGGGTATCTGCTCCGGATCGACTAACTAGTGGACATTCTTGCGTACCAACCATGGTCCGGGTCTATGTCTCAAACACTGTTGGGTCTTGACTAAATCCAAAGGGGTTGGAGACTTGAAAAGAAACTGCCCCTGACCAGCCTTAAGGGGCAGGCAAGGCGCTCAGCTTTGGGCCGCCGCGTTTCAGGTTCCATCTGAAACGCATCACGTGTGTAGGGCTAATTAGCTGGGACAACCGCATATTGAGTACGACTAGACAGCGAATATTACCTAGGTATGCACGGAAGGACGGTGGTCATGAAAGATTTGGGGCCTGGAAATATGGATTGCAAGGACTAGGAGGATACTAGCACTTTCTTGTAAGGAAATTCTTTGATTCAACGGATTGCTCTGACACTACCAAATCTACCTTGATGTATGCACAATTCCAAAAAAAAGTAAAGCGGAAATAAAGGTCATTGGTATCATTTCTTCATCGTTGGCTACGAAGATAGCTATAGATACAATATTTCATAAATTGTCTATTGGGCAAGACCTGTTTCTTTCCTTATACTTGCAACTTCATGCAGATAGCCTATATAGACCTCGATAGCAAGCCGAGTTAGGCGCGAAGAAGAGTAATGAAATGCATTGACGGCCATCTCAACGGGTAGTCACGAAGACCTCACTTGACCATGCTCGCGCGCAGATAAGCGCTATCAAGGTGGTATGCAGATGGCAAGACACGAGCGGCCTCTCCCTCTTCACCATTGATTGCCAGGGTGTCTTCATCACCGACGATAGTGGCTGGCTAGGTTGCACCTCGTATTTCGGTGGTGTATGCTTTGCTTAATATAACTCTCTGAGCTGCTGAAATAACGGAATCTGATGTCCATCCACCAACTTCAGGTGGGCTGACCGTCCAGGTTCTGCAATCTACTCCTAATCGCACTTTGATCGGTGTCTCCTTCCTCGTTGCTATACTCCTGAAGCACAATAGTCCGCATCAAGCGACGAGGGGCACGACGGCCAGTGAATAGTTCGAATTGAGCAAATCCTTGCTCGGGCAGGACATCGAGACCGTCGAGGGCAACCCAGCCGCGATGCGATTGGGCACGCACCTGCTGCATAAGGGGCGTGTTCAGAGGTTTATATGCCAACTTATATCAGAGTCAGCACCACGCAGTAAAGCAGAATCAGGTGGGAACTTACATCGACGACGACACCGCCGGTAGGACTCTCCAGCCATTGTGAAGGCATGTGGAAGTTCGGAGCGGGCTGACCGCCGATACTGTGGGCTGGAATACAAGAGACAATGATGGTCGGTTGCTTGAACGCACTAGGCCAAGGGTCATCCAATGAGTTCAGGATGCTGACTTTCGGGCGACCATTGACCCCACTTCGTTCATTGGAATGCAGGTCTTGCCGGTTGTAATGATGGGCCAATTTTTCTGCCTTTTCAAGAGTCCGGTTGTAGACAAAAATGGTCTGCACTCCTAGGTGGATCATGGAGTAGACAGCAGCACGGGCCATACCACCAGATCCGATGACAAGACCTGTCGACGAAGGACGGACAGCATTTGCAGGAGAAAGCCCCCGGCGAATGCAGTTGCAGATGCCAATCCAGTCGGTGTTGTCCCCATGCAGACCCTTGACGGGACCCGCGCGATTTTTCTCCAGGTACACCGATGATTCCCGTGATAAGCGAGGATCCTCTCCGTCAAGGTTTCGGATTGGAATCAACGTGTTGACGGCACCAATCGCTCGAGCATGAGATGACATAGAGTGTAGAAGGGGAATGCATTCCGTCTTATACGGCAGACTGACACTCGACCCGCCAAAATATGGGTTCTCCACAAGATCATTCAGACCGCGCAACGTTGACGACTGGTATATCTTATAGAAATGAGGCATCCCACACAGTTTGAATGCAGTATTATGCATTGCAGGGGACATGCTGTAAGTAACGTTGGCTCCGAAAACAAAGAATTGCATCGGGTCCAGCACGAATGAGTTGTAGAGAGCCGTTTGGACATGGTGGGCGGTGATGGAGGGTTGTAGATAGGTCGGACTGTCGGGCATCAAAGAGGGGTGCATAACCGGTGTCAGGATGGGATTGAAGCACCGTGAAGTTCGGCCAAGGTGGCCGGTATTGTAAGCGATCAGTGGAAGCTCGGGGTATGGAAGATTCTGGACACGCCGGCGGAATCGCTGAACAGCGAGGTTGTCCTCCATCGTTTCAGCCGGTTGAGATAGCCTGACAATATCACAGCCCATCTTTCTGGCTCGTTCGTAGAGTTTGATGTATTCGTCTCCGTCCCAACCTCCGGGCAAGGGGTGAAAAGCTTCAAAATGGCCAATGATTCTGGTGGATCCTCGAGTAGCGATGACTTCGGAAAGAAGACCATCGTCGCGTGATAAATCGATAGTCAAGAAATCTGGGGCAACTCGAAGACCGTGGCGAACCAGATCCAGATAAATTTCATCGTTGCATCGAGAAGGAACTCGATTCGGAGAGAGCGATGGTCCAGAAATGCCATGGCTCTCCACATGGTAGATCAATGGCACGATGATTTTTCGGCGGATGGTCGCCACGGCCTGACTGATGCCGTCTGCCAAGTTTGAATCGACGCCAGAAGGTCCAGAAAAACAATTGGCCACGTCGATCGACAGTTCAAATGCATCTGCTCCGAACTCTACCGACTCAATGTCCACATCTTGTTCATGGATGAATGAGAATGGCACCGAGACCGCGGATGTGTACATGCGAGATTCGACGGGCAATAATGACAGAGGGAAAGAGGCTTGTTGGCGGCTCAGCTCCGCATGATCGCCGGTCACAAAGGCGATGAAACGAAGGAAGTCTCGCTGGACTCGTTTCAATGTGAGGAATGGAGTCGGAGTATGATCGACATGGCTATCTTTTGTTCCATGCTCGCTGCCGCTGGTCTCGGAGGCATTGAAGAATTCCAGATTGGAGCACCCGCGGTATATGGGGCCGGACAGTTCGAGAAAATGCCGCACCTTTTGCGTATCCCACGCCTTGAGGTATGACTGAATACTGTTCGGGTCCCGGACCACATGGATGACCGGGTGGGTGCGCGCATATTCCCGCAACAGCCTCTGTCCAGTGCGCTCCATCGACCCGGCTCCACACGCAATCACGCAGCCTTCTTGATTGTCTGATAGCATCGACTCCATCACCCGGGCCTCTTGCTGTCTGTATTCAATGAGGTCATTGTCCCTCTTAAAAGCGGTGCGCGAGCAGCCGGTCATCTGCTGGAAGTAGCGGTCGGCATCGATCAAGCGCCGGCCTGATGTCGCCGCAAGAATGACCGCGAGACTGGATTTCCCGGTGCCTCGAATGCCAATTAACACGACTGACGCATTTGGGCTGAAGTTGCGGGGGACCTGCAAGGGACCACTGTCAAACAGGACGGGCGAGCCACGATTCGAGTGAAGTTCTCGCAGCGATGTCGCCTGCCACTTCGGGTCGACGGGAGTCTCGGTATGCTCGGCTTGTTGGCGAGACGTTGAATCCGATCGAGCCGGGGTCGTTGAGACATGGCCATTGGATCCCTGCTTGCGAGGTGCATCTTCGGCTAGGGCTTCCACCTCGTGGAGTTTGCGCTTGGGCGGGCGCACGAGAATGGACATGGTGTCAACACCTGGTCACCAGGAGACCAACATCAAAATAAAAGGTTAAAAACAGGGGCCCATGATGATTAGAGAAGAAAAGAAAAGACGCTCTCCAACTCGCGACCGCAGTGAACAGTGGATTTTGCGGGGAGGTCCCGTGCGCACGCTGACTCAGACGGAGAAGCCCTCAGCCGGACATGACAGGAAGGTTGCATTTTCCCGGTTCCCCAGACTCTTGTCGTTACTACAGAGAGTGCGTTGACTACCCATTAGCCTTAACTAGTGTCAGGCCAACAGCGCGATATCGACTCTAGTACGCTTCGCTGGTTGGAGGTTCAGGTCGCGGACATTTTGCCCACAGTCACTCGGCCTTCCCCGGAGAAGCCCGCTTCCTGTCGCTTTTTGTCTCTGCCACCGCTCAGCCCTGCCATCGCTGCAATAATCCCAGTCTGCTTGTTTGCCCAGACTAACAAGGTGGGTCCGACACATGGCGTGAGGCGCCTGCTGGTACAGTCGCGCTCGGCAGAACGTTCAGTCCACTGTATGACCCGGTCGAGGAACATGCGATTGAAGTCGCCGAGTGGACGGAATCGATCATCATGAGCTCCGAGTCTCGCAAAGCCACCGGGGCTAGCGGAAAATCTAAGCGGCGATACACCGACGTTGACGAGGATAGTCGGCAAAACCTCCCAGACGAAAATGCGGCCCATCCCAAACGACAGCGCGTATCGCGCGCATGCGATAGTTGTCGCTCGAAGAAGGACAAATGCGACGGCGCCCAACCGGTGTGTTCGACCTGCGCAACGCTATGCCGACCCTGCACTTATAAGGCAAACCCGAAGAAACGCGGCCTGCCGACGGGATATATTCGCTCACTCGAGCTACTGTGGGGACTGGCCTTTCAGAATATTCGGGGCAGTGAAGATGTGATGCGCGCATTGATGAGATCAATCAACATGCCCAGTCACTTGGCTACAATGGGAAAAGAGGCGGAAAGTTCGGACACATTGATGGCGTCTTTCAAGAACAGCACCGTCCTGAGAGACATCGAGCGCGTGCTGGTGGTGTTGGAACTGCCCGAGGAGGAAAAGCAGCGATCTCTTCAAGCTTGGGGAGAAGGCGACACGCCGCTCGATATTGATTCCATTCTCGCCTCCTCCGAGGCCCAGGAATGGCAGATGCCAGAGGGGTTGGATATTCGGGAGACACCATTACCCGCGGGCGTTTCACCATCTCACCGTTCTGCTATCAAACATACGACATCTCGCCCCAGCCGTGACTGTGGTACTCAGACACCTTCTAATGATGGCCCGAGCGGCGAAGCCTACTCTGCCTTTGCCATTCCCCACACTCCCGGCCAATCTCCAACGAAATCCTCTCTCCAGCTTCCCTACAATGCCTGGCCCCTTCTCGACATCTACTTTTCTTACACCCAATGCTGGTTTCCTATTTTGGAGAAACATGACATCCTTCGAACAGCATTCCAATATACAGAGGGCGATGTGTATATCTCCCGCTCTGTTCCCGGGTCTGGAGATCATGCGGCCTTGTGGGCCGTGCTGACGCTGGCCTCACTTCAAGATACGTCCATCACTGCCACCCGACCGTTGGACGATCGACCGTCTGTAGATCCGTCTCGGCTGTACAGCACATCTAGAGACCTGATCCCACCCGAGGATGGGCCTCATGAAGTCGGCCATGTTCAAGCTCTGCTGATTTTGTCCCTCATCAAATTTGGACAGCAGGAGTGGACTGCTGCGTGGATGCTTGTTGGACAGGCTGTACGAATCGCACACACCCTCGGTCTTGATCGACCATCTTTCTCAGCCGAGCAAGACAAACAATCAGGACGAGGCAAGCATGTGTTTTTGGGATGCTTTGTTCTTGAGACCCTGATTGCGGAACAGACCTCACAGTGCCCGTCTTTGCGGAAAGCCGACCTAGCAAGGGTCGGATCGATAAACGAAGATGGACTGGAAGAGTGGCATCCATGGGAAGATCAAACTGGACTCCGTCCTACCCAGTCCGCGCGTGCTTCTCTGCAGCGCGGACCACTTCATGCCTTGAGCACTTTCAACCGTCTAGTGTCCCTTGTCTCCATATTAAACGAGCTGTGTTGTTACAGACAAGACCCAACCGTGTCTCGGTCCCAACTGGAGTCACTCGATCTCCAATTGCAACGCTGGGTCGCGTCCCTCCCGAAAAGCTACAGGGTGGACCTACAAAGCCGTCCTATCAGACTGGCATCGCCACACATCTTCGGGCTTGAGATGATCTACGAGAGCATCGTCACAACATTGAGCCTGCAGATCGCCTCCCGTGAATACAATCAAAATCTACTAGACATGCCTCATAGGATGCGGGCTATGCAGAGTTCGAGTCGGTTATTGCAATTGCTTAATGTCTACATGGAAACCTACAGCATATCAGCCACCACCCCGACTCTCGGGATGATTCTCAGATACGGCCTCCCCCATGCGTCGTCCAGAGATTCCCCATGGAACCTCGATTTAGGTCTTCAGAACAAACTTCAAACTTCTTCCTCACACCTCTCTCTGCTTTGGTCCCCGCCAGATAGACATGGTGGAGGCCACGGCCCTCAATATGCTGGCCCATCTCCAACGGCTTCTCAGCATCTGAGTGCCACCGCAAGTGAGGATCCGAACCTGCAGGGTGACCTACGGCGAACTGCGACTTCTCAACACTTGCCCCCTCCAAGCGAGGGCCGTGCTTCCCGAAGCAACGCCAATGCGGCTGTTGACCCATTCCTCTCGTCGCCCTGGCTTCGAGCTACACAGCCCTCACTCCTGCCCACCCCCACTTCGTCCTTGACCACCGTCGGCGGCCCTGATATTCCACCACAGCCCGGTCATTTGGACAGTGCCTTGGGCAGCGGACTCCGGCCATCTGTCTCTGGTCCCTCCAAATCCCCACCCGCACCTGGCATACTCCCCGAACTCTCCCCTTCTTTCCATGCCACCGGACAGTATCCCCCGACATATCACGATCCTTCCCTCGGTCTCGGTTCGTTTGTTGATATGGACGCCTATGGACCCTCGCAACGACAGCGGATCGCCCCAGACCTCGACGCGCTATTTGACGAGCTGGCATCATTAGATGGCGCTGAAAAGTGAGTTTTCTTGATGTCCCGATTAGTAGGCTTATCAACGCTAATACATTCGTTTTGTAGAGCCGACAATCAGCCGGAGTTCATGCAAAACCTCGGATTTGTCTCCGATTCTGGGATCCCAGAACTTTACTCTTTTTCGGGCCAAATCGAGCCATTTCTCCTAGCGCAGACTCAGCAGCTGCCTAGCAACGGGCCGTCACATGCCGTGCGACGAGAATCGCAGCCGTTGAGCATCTCCGCGGCACCGGAACGATAACCCTGCCTGACTTTTTACCTATAGCTGTTGGCCAGGCATATGAACCTCCAAGGGAATAACAGCGGACCTGTAAGATCACTCGGATACGATTATGGATACGGTATCAAATCTGGTGTTCAAAAAGTGTGTATATAATGTACCTACCTCAGCATGTCTGTATACCCCACACACAACGTGCTTTGAAGAATCTACTCGATTCTGTAATAATAAAACCGCCTTCAATCATAATCCCGACTATTGGAGCCCCTAAAAAAAGAATCTACAAAGAAGCCTTCTCCCCCCTCTCCTCGAAATTCAACGCCACATGCTCGACCGCAACCTTATACCCATACACCCCCAACCCAACAATGATGCCAGCAGCCTTATCACTAAAATACGAATGATGGCGCCATTGTTCCCGCGCATGAACATTGCTCACATGCAGCTCGATAAAGGGAATCCCGACGCCCAAGAGCGCGTCGCGGATCGCCACGGAGGTGTGCGTGTATGCGCCCGGGTTGATGATGATGCCGTCGACTTTACCGCGCGCAGCTTGGATGCGATCGACTAGAGCGCCTTCATGATTAGATTGGAAGGATTCGAGTGTGGCGTTGTGGGAGGCTGCCACTTCGCGGCAGGTGTTTTCGACGTCTGGGAGGGTTGTGTGTCCGTAGATGTGCGGTTCGCGGGTGCCCAGGAGGTTGAGGTTGGGCCCGTTCAGGAGGAGGATTGACTTGACCATTTTGGATCGGGGTTGAATGGCTTGGGTGACTTAGGAATCGGCGGAGAGTGAGTGGGTGAGTGGTTGAAGTATAGGTGAACGTGAAGTGGTGATGGGGCTAAGTCCGGCTGAATGCTCTCCCGACAGTGTGGGGTGACGGTCTATGTACTCTGCCGATTTGCGGAGAATCTTCCTACAGTACTGTAAGTACTTCCTCGTTAATATCATTTAATTTATAATCATGTATTTCGTCTTCTCTTCTGTGGATGTTTGGCGAAGTAGATGTCCTCGAATTTCTATACGAACAAGGCAGTAGAGTCATCGAGAGTCGAGTCCTCACAGTCGAGGTCTCCAGTAAACACTGCACTCACCTGGTGAGCGTTTACATCAACAAACTCCCGAGGAATCCCAGCATAAACTCGAAGCGTAATCCTCACATCAGGAAAAGGGCTGAGCGTTTATTCTTGCAATCTCGAAAGATGACTAGTCGATATTACAAGCGGGGGTTCCTTTTGGGCATTCAAGACAAGGATCTCTTTGAACAGTCGTCGCTCTTTTTCTTGTGCATCGACTGGCCGTCGGTCCAAAAACATAATGGCATCCGCCAAAGCATCGCCACTACGAACAAGCGATTGATTCAAGCTCTTGAGTCTGTCGTTGTTGGCTTTCTTGTAACCAGGGTAGTGATCTCTCAGACGGGTAAGAAGGCTCGCTCACGCACAGTGAGATCCAAGTGGCGAAGGTCAGTGAGTCGACGGCTGTTTTTTTTGAACTCCGTCACCTGAGACTCGAAGATTTGAGGGATATGAAGTCCTTTGTCCGTTTCGTCAGAATATTCGCTGCGCCTAATAAGGAAGGTCGAGGAATTTGACCCTTTCACTTTGCTCGAGACTGGCGGGCACATTCGGGGGGTCAACAAGGCCAACAGAGCTGTTAGATGCTTTGGGAAACACCAAAAGCGAGCGATCAACGTATTTAAGGGTGTTCAGAGCTGTCTGAAACTCGTAGAGAGACGGCGCGTACAGAACACCCGCATCCGGTGGCACAACAAAACCCATAGGCCCTAACGTGAAGAAATTCTGTCCCCAGAATTTATGCACACTAGGTTGGAGGCACAGCAATCTCGCACATGTGTTTCCGTCGTCCCCACTCAGTGCATTCTTCCAGTTCGCGATCTTCGTGTCGCCCCAGAACAATCATAAAGTTGCCAGGGAGATCGGTCTTCGCTATAACCAACTGCTGTCCATCTTGGACACAAACAACACCCTAAGTGTGTTCCTTCTGCTGAAGCTGGTCGAAAAACCCGATAGCACTTCACATGGCCGGCTGACGGACCTGCGAGAGGGGAACACTACAAATTAGCATTTAACTTTTGCCTAGTGGTAAATGTGTACGGAGGAAGAAAAATAAACATACCAGTCCTTGATCAGCTAGCGCTGTTCGCGACAACTGTCTTTTTCAAGCTTGCGTCGAATCGCTCCAGAGGCAATCCTTCATGTTGTGGGAACCTGGTTCGATCGATGCCTCAAGCCAAAGTTCGCGGTGATGGCATACTACATCGACGGCAATGTAGGATTCGCGCGAAGGGTAGGAAGCCGAAAACCACCTCATCGGGGGATTTGCCCGTTGAACGTTGCACCGTGCTGTTCGTTGTGCGCACGAGTGCGGGCACGGCGTCGACCCTTGGCAACAGACATTGTCTAAAGAATCAAACGAGGAGGTATAAGTGTTATAGAGCGATGAGATATTGTATAAAGAGGGAGATGGTAGAAGGAGATGGTAGAAGGAGATGGTAGAAGGAGATGGAGGAAGGAGAGGTGGGGGGGGAAGACAAAGGTATTTATGCCTGGAGGCAGACACACAAGTGTACAAACATAGTGGCCAACAAAGGTGAACATCTCTATTGACAACGCAACCATATTCTATAGTTCCCATATACACTGGGTCATTCACTGATCCACTGATAAGCGGTTACCCGCGGGCCCTCCCAACCCACCTTTTTTGCCTCTTCACTTCCCTTCCTCTTCCCCCAAGTCATTATTCACACCACCATTCTCTCAAATATACACAGACCCCTTTATTCCACCATTATGGCCATCGAAAACTTCCCCCAAGAGGACCTCGATGCGATATACGCCTTCGCCGTGGACCTCGGCCGCAAAGCCGGTAAGCTGCTCATGGACCGCGTCGAGCAGCGCATCGCCGGCACGGCAGCACAGGAGTTCGAGGAGAAGGAGAATGCGGTTGATATTGTGACGCAGACGGATGAAGGTGAGAAATCCTAGACGACCTAGTTCCAGCGACAACAGGTCTGACTCGTGCCTTCCAACAGACGTGGAAGTATTTATTCGCAATGCGATTCAGAGACAATACCCGTCTCACCAGTATGTTTGCAAATCTTTATACATGATTGAAGAAGGAAAGCAGCTGACTCGGGACGGTAGATTCCTCGGCGAAGAAAGCTATGCCAAGGGCCAGTCGCGCGACTACTTGATTGACGAGCGGCCGACATGGTGCATCGATCCATTAGACGGTACACCACACCCTTGCCCCCATTATATCACATACGGACTAACACCTTCAAAAGGAACTGTAAACTACACCCACCTCTTCCCAATGTTCTGTATCTCAATCGGGTTCATCGTATCCCACCGCCCCGTGCTAGGGGTAATCTACGCCCCCTTCCAGGACCAGCTCTTCTCAGCCTGTAGCGGTCGTGGCGCCTGGCTAAACGAGACACGCCGGCTGCCGCTGATCCAGAACCCATCAATCCCACCCATGCCGCCCAATGCGCCCGCTCAGTGTATCCTGTCCTGTGAGTGGGGCAAGGATCGGCGCGATATCCCCGACGGGAATATGCATCGCAAGATTGAGAGCTTTGTTAATCTTGCCGCGGAGTTGGGCGGTCGGGGTGGGAAGGGAGGCATGGTGCATGGAGTTAGGAGCTTGGGAAGCGCGACTTTGGATTTGGCGTATACGGCTATGGGGTCTTTTGATATTTGGTGGGAGGGGGGTTGTTGGGAGTGGTTAGTTCCTTTCCTTTTCTCTTCATTTATCTTTTCGGGTTTCCATGGTTGTCTGATTTATGGTTGTTTGACTGACTTGTGTGGGCAGGGATGTTGCGGCTGGCATTGCCATTCTGCTTGAAGCTGGCGGCCTGGTGACGACTGCGAATCCGCCGGAGGATCTAGAGACGGCGCCGATTGAGGATGTGAGACTGGGGAGTCGGCTATATCTGGCTATTCGGTAAGTCTCAACCCTGTTTTATTTCTCATCATCACTTGCTAATAATGTCGATACAGGCCGGCTGGCCCTTCGGCTACGGAAACAGGCCGCCAGTCGCAGGAGCGCACAGTCCGACAAGTCTGGCGGCGGGTTCGCCAGCTCGAATACTCGCGGCCGGGAGCATAAATAGATCCTAGGAAAGAGACTGTAGGTATTTTTCGGTACGATCATAGTATATACAGGAGTCCAACTCTATCATCCCATCTATGTATAACATGCAAGTAAGAGTGTATGCGCTCCGAGACAAAAACGAAATTCATAATCGTAAAAATCACATCAAAGGCTGGATTTTTTTGATGCCCGCTCGGCCACCGACTTGGTAACCACATCCTTCACTTGCTGCACCAGGTCTGGCGTGCCAACCACGTCTTCACCGGTCCACAGTCGCGCCTGTTCCAGCCCTTGCCAGATCAGAGCTTCCGAGCCGAGAATCACCTTCCACCCACCGGTGGAGGCCAATTGAGCGATCTCGGTCCAGGGAACAGGGTGGTAGCACATCTCCAGAATGACACCCTGCTGCGACTCGGCGGTGGCAGCTGTGCCCAGGAAAGCCTGGATGACCGCACGAGCATTTATCTCCTCTGGGGTTTGGGGCGGGTAGTTAGGGATGCCCGACACAATCGCAGCCGGCGACTCTAGACGTGCCGCCTCAGCGGGGTCCACGACATGGATAATAGGCGCGTGGGCGTTCGGGTCCGGGTTGCGACGGCGGTCCTCCTCAAGAATAGTAGCCACCTCGACGGCATCCCGATTCACGATATAAATGCAGCTTGCACCGAGCCAGCGGCGCAGAACATAGATTGCGGTGCGGGCGGTGCCGCCGCCGCCAATGATGAGGGCCGGACGGCCACGGAAGCGCGATGGGTCCGGAGCGTTCTGCACTAGGGCCTCGCGGATGCCGTCGCAGTCGGTGTTGGTGCCGACGTAGGACTTGTGGCCTGTGGCTGGGTCGGTGCGCATGAAGATGGTGTTGCAGGCACCAGCTTGCCGGGCGTGCTCGGTCAGGTCATCCAAGTGCGGCATGATGGCCACCTTGTGTGGCATTGTTACCGAGGAGCCCACGAACTTGGGGTTGGCTTTGATCGAGGCGAGGAATTTCTCGATCGGTGGTGACCGCGTGTATGGCGGCGGATAGGTCGCGGACTGGCCTGTCACGCTGGACAGTGGGATCTGTCTCCAGTTCAGGCCCAAGGCATTGTACACGGTCTGGTGTAGTGGCGGCGAGAGGGAATTGAGGAGGGGGTGTCCGTATAGGTAAGCCACGCCGTCTAGGTTGGCTGGGCTGGTGATCGGCTCCTCAGGCGGGCATGTGAAGGAGGAGGAGGAGGTGATGGTGGTAGTGGTAGCGACGGACGGAGCAGCCATGATGAAGCGAGTACAAGTAATTTTCCGTAGGATGAAGCAACGCGTGCGCTATGTATTAAAAAGAACCGGGGACGACCGGGGAAACGAGTAATAGGGACGAAGAAGCAAAGAGCCGCCGACGGTGGAACATTATTGTGGCCGGGCAGAACGCTTAGCCCGTGAAGATCAGTGGGTCACCTGATAATCGCTTTCCCACCGCCACTGAACTCAACCTCTTCATCATTGGACGTTCCTTCGTCTGCACACTGGCGGTTGGCCAAATCACAGCAGGGCAATTTCGCCATCCAAGCGAGCCTGTTCATATGGGGTACCCCGTACGGAGAACGCCCTCTTCTTCCCCATACAGTCATTCTCCCCCGTGGAGCAGAAGCGGCACATACTGGATGCTCCACTTCACAGCCTGGTCTTCATCCCAACGGACCAACCAGCGGAGTTCTCCAGGAGTTCCCTCCACTTCTCTGTTGGCTCACCGGCCCAATCAATCCGACTCTAGCGCACTGTCCTCCAACACAGCTTCATCGTTTTGCCGCGGAGCGCACAATCAGTGCTATGCTTTTCTCCGCCTCCGCCTCCACATCTCCATCCTTTCCCCCTAGTTGAAGACCCCGGATTTTTACCTTTCTTTCTGCCCATGGACAAGTGCACCTGTCTAGAGTCCCCCGTGAGTATTTAGATCTCCTGCACCCACCCTCCTTCGATTGAGTGTGGCGTGGTCTTCCCTCATTCCTTCCCACACATACATACCCCATATACTTGGGAGTCTGGCAACCATCCCTTGAAAACAGGGTGAGCTGTTGCCTCGTTGCACTTATATTTATAAATATCCGTGACACCGCATCCGCCACCATGTCTATCCTGAAGCTGGTTGAAGACCGGCCGACGCCCAAGTGCGTCTACAACTGGCGCGTCTACCTGCTCGCGGCTGTGGCCTCTGCCACCTCGTGCATGATCGGTTACGACAGTGCCTTCATCGGCACGACTATCTCCCTGACCTCGTTCCAGGACGAGTTCAATTTCGCCTCCATGTCAAAGTCCCAGCAGGATCTGCTGAGCGCCAACATCGTCTCTTGCTACCAGGCCGGTGCTTTCTTTGGTGCCTTCTTCGCGTACCCCGTGGGTCACTTCTGGGGTCGCAAGATCGGCCTACTAGTTTCGGCGCTCATCTTTATTCTTGGTGCTGGCCTGATGCTGGGTGCTAATGGCAGCCGCGGACTGGGCTTGATCTACGGTGGACGAGTGTTGGCTGGCTTGGCTGTCGGCGCGGGCTCGAACTTGACTCCCATCTACATCTCCGAGTTGGCACCGCCGGCTATCCGTGGTCGTTTAGTCGGTGTCTATGAACTGGGATGGCAGATTGGTGGTCTGGTAGGATTCTGGATTAATGTGAGTTGCTCTTATCCCTTATAGACAGTCATTTCGCTAACACACGGACAACAGGATGGTGTCTCAACAACCATGGCCCCGAGCCACAAGCAGTGGATCATCCCGTTCGCGATCCAGCTCATCCCTGCTGGCCTCCTGGTCATCGGCGGCGTGTTTATGCGCGAATCGCCTCGTTGGCTGTTCTCGCGCGGCCGTCGCGAAAAAGCCATCAAGAACCTCTGCTGGATGCGCCAGCTGCCGGAAGATGACATCTACATCATCGAGGAGATTGGTGCGATCGACCAGGCCCTGGAGGAACAACGCTCCACCATCGGCATCGGTTTCTGGAAGCCCTTCAAGGCTGTCGGCTCTAACAAGCGTGTCATGTGGCGTCTCTTCCTGGGGAGCATGCTCTTCTTCTGGCAGAATGGCTCCGGTATCAACGCCATTAACTATTATTCCCCGACAGTGAGTCGCTACATCGCATTGATGCCCCCTGCATACCTGACTGAAACCTTGTAGGTTTTCAAAGCCATTGGCGTCCGTGGCACAAATACCGACCTGTTCAGTACGGGCCTGTTTGGTGTCGTCAAGACGGTTATCACTTTTGTCTGGCTCCTGTACCTGATCGATCGCGTCGGTCGACGCAACCTACTGATGATTGGCGCCGTAGGCGGGTCCATCTGCATGTGGATCGTCGGCGCATACATCAAGGTCGTTGAGCCGCAGCAGCATCCCACAAAGCACATGAGCGGTGGTGGTATTGCCGCCATGTTCTTCTTCTACCTGTGGACGGCGTTCTACACCCCAACTTGGAACGGCACCCCCTGGGTTCTCAACTCCGTAAGTCCTCCACCTCAAATGAATCAAAACAAGCCATAGCTGACAGTGCGGATTAATCAGGAAATGTTCGACCCCAACATGCGTTCCTTGGCACAAGCCTGCGCCGCGGGCTCGAACTGGCTATGGAACTTCCTCATCTCGCGCTTCACGCCGCAGATGTTCGCCAAGATGGGTTACGGAGTATTCTTCTTCTTCGCATCCCTGATGATCCTCTCAACGGTCTTTGTATTCTTCCTCATCCCCGAGACCAAGGGCGTGCCGCTCGAGAGCATGGACCAGCTGTTTGAGATCAAGCCCGTGTGGCGTGCTCACGGCGAAATTTTTGAGAGGCTGCGCGAGGATGAAGAGCGCTTCCGTCGTGACATTGAGGAGTCCGGTGTTGCGGCTGCCAAAATTGGTGATACCCAGGTAGAAGATGTTGGGAAAGCGGAGTATGCTTAACGGATAGGATGTGAATATTTGAATTTGTTGTGCTTGCATGTTGCTTCTAGATACCTGACGTGGAGAGATGTATTCGTGTGTGATGCTGAACAGAGAGATTGGGTATCTGGAAATAATATCCCATCCACTTCTGAAAAAGGAGCTGTTGTTTAGTCTATATAATGCTCCCCCCGAAGGTCATTTAAGGAATGATATTTATCATGCTGGTATGTATAGTTGTATCGGTGTCGGGTCAAGCGACATCCTTGGGCCTTTTTCCTCTTGTGTATATGCCCCGTCTCGAATCGTGTTCACCGCATGGAATCCATTCACTGCTCATCTTGCACTTGAATCAAAACCAAACAACTCTACTTATTTGACTTGGACAACAAGTCCACATCGATATCAACCGGCTGACCGGAGTCCATTGCCCTCTGAACAGCCTCACAAACAATCAGAGCACGAAGCCCCTCTTCACCCGAGCAGCTAGGCGTAGCATCCCCCCTCACAACATCCACAAAATGTGCCAGCTGCAAATCAAACGGCGCAGCATCATCCGGCAACGGAATTGTATCAACGGTAAGCGGATGGGCCCAGCTCTTCTCGGGATTTCCATCATAGCTCCAGCGCGTCAAATCAGGCACGCTCAGCGACGCATCGGATCCAAAAATCCGATAGAAATCCGCGTCCCTTCCCGTTGTCGACTTCGGAATAAGAGGGTTTTCGCCCGTGCCGGTCTCAAAATTATGCGGCGACGGTGTAGCATCGCAGACTAGGAAGGTCCCCACGACGCCGGAGGCAAATCGCAGGGTGAGCGCTGCGCCTTCGTCGGCCTCGTGCGGAGGCCTGGGACGTTGGGGAAGCGTGCGCTCGGCTTGCACGCGCACGATTGGTCCAAAGAGGTGATGCATTAGGTCGATATCGTGCACGAGGTTGATGGGGATGACGCCGCCGCCGCGGGTGCGGGAGGCGCGCCAGTCGCCTGGGGGTGCGAAGTAAGAGGTTGGTTTGTGGAGGGTCCAGAGGCCGTTTATGGCGATGGGTTGGCCGAGGGAGCCGCTGTCGAGGACGGATTTGGTGGCGCGCACATAGGGGTTAAAGCGGCGGTGGTGGCCGACTAGAAGCTTGAGGTGGGTGCGTGATGGTGCTTGTGCGAACTCCAGGAGTGATCGGCCGGTCTCGAGCGTATCGCTTACGGGTTTCTCGAGGAGAACGTGGACCCCACCTGCGAGCAGTTCCTTTGCGATGGGGACGTGGGTGTGGTTTGGTGTGCATACGATTGCGGCATCGAGTCGGTGTGAGGAGGCCAGTAGCGCGGCTACGGATGGGTAGTAGTTTGTCTTGAGCTGTGAGGCGGTCTCGTTGCCGCTGGGGGCTGGGTCGACGAGGGCGACTAGCTCTGTTGACGGGTTGGAGATCACCGATTGTGCATGGCGAGGACCAATCAGTCCTGCGCCGACGATAGCCACTTTGAGAGACATGGTGGGAGGTGATGTGTGTATGTATGCAGTGTCACTGAGTGTAGCCAGAGTGACCAGTCGGGACGTTAATCCGGGGGGATATAAGCTGGGGGAAAAAAAGCCATGATTTCTTCAGCGTCTTGGCACACCAGCGAAAGCATAGTGGCGGGACTAGTCCCTCGACCGTTCCAATGGGGAAGTTCTGCAAGCGTTGAACCTCTGGAACGGGGAAGAGTGAGAGGACAAGCGGCAAAACGGAAACCCGTCCTAAACGCTTACCCCCGGCACGTGATCCACCGCATACTATGCTTCGCCCAAACCGGCTGTCCGCGTCAAAAGGTTCAAGCACAGCATTCATAATGCGGCCAGAATCGGGGATAATAGTTTTTGTCGACTGCCCATCGCTCCCCCTTATCATCCAGGGCAACCCTAATAGAGACACACCCACCCTTCCTCAAAACCATTAGTGCTTTTCACTTTTCTTTGTCTTGCATCATCACTTGTTTCTCTCTCCCTGTCGTGGATCAAGCCTTTGCCCATACCCCCAGCCAGTCATTTTAGGGAGGCATCTATCCAAATCATATCTTCATATTCACCACACTCGGCATTCCATCCAACCACGACACACCTACCTCATACCTCATCTACACGCCAATCCCCCCAAAATGGCCACCAACCGCCCCGGCATCGCATCCATGTCCCTCGGCCGGCCATGGCTACACGACCTCCCAGGCAAGCTAATGCAAGCAGCCGCACACGGATTCCAAGGGATCGAGCTCTTTTTCGATGATCTGGACTGCTACGCCGTACGAACATTCAGTGGCGACCACCTCGAAGCTGCGCGGCGAGTGCGCCTGATGTGCGAGCGACTAGGACTGAGCATCATCTGCCTGCAGCCATTTTCCTTGTACGAGGGCCTGCTCGACCGTGCACAGTCGGACCGACTCGTTACGGATAAACTGCCGAAATGGTTCCGGATCGCGCGCGCGCTGGGTACAGATCTTATTCAGGTTCCGTCGAATTTCCTCGGTCCGGATCCGCAGACGGGATTGCCGCGTACCACCGGCGATCGAGGTGTTATTGTGAGGGACTTGCAGCGTCTGGCGGATTTGGGTGCTGGTGCGGGCTTTCGGTTTGTCTATGAGGCTCTGTGCTTCGGTGACCATGTCGACACGTGGGAGGCATCATGGGAGATCGTGCGTGATGTCGACAGACACAACTTCGGACTGTGTCTCGACTCATTCAACCTCGCGGGCCGTGTCTACGCCGACCCGGCATCACCGTCTGGCTGCACGCCCAACGCCGCGACAGACCTAGCCGCCTCACTGGCCCGTTTGAGGACAGCGAACATCGACCCAGCGAAGATCTTCTACGTCCAGCTCGTCGACGGCGAGCGCCTCGCCAACCCGCTGGACGAGACGCACCCATTCCATGTCCCGGGCCAGCCGGCGCGCATGTCCTGGTCTCGGAATGCGCGTCTCTTCCCCTTTGAAGAGCCCCGCGGCGGCTACCTGCCCATCCTGGACGTCGCCCGCGTCTTCTTTGAGGACCTGGGTTTCCGTGGCTGGGTGTCGCTGGAGCTGTTTAATCGCTCCCTCGCTGATCCGGACCCGTTCGTCCCTGCTGACCATGCTCGGCGTGGCATGGAGTCTTATCAGAAGATGGCTCGCGTCTTGCACTGGGAGGATCACCACCAGCAGCAGGATGGAGCGCCTGCTTGGGAAGCTTCGTCGCTTGTGCAGCACCGTCTGTAATTCAGCCGCGGTGTTTGTTTCGTACATATTTGCATCAGTACATACATTTATGCTTAATGATCCTTCTATATTTAGGAGTGGTTGGGATTGGACATCAATTACATTGTTGAGCGTCTCGATATATATATTTCTGTGGGGCAGAAACGTCTCTACTAGTCATCAGAATGCAGTCAATTAGAACAGAAGCCTCCCATTCTTCAGGCCGGATTGTTATTTGATACAAATCAAGTAAATTAGAGCTATCGTCCGACAAGCTAGCTACTCGCTATGGATGAAGCAAAGACCATAGAAGTGTAAATATTCATAATCATAATACCATTTTTCCAGTCCTGAAACACCCAGCTATGATGGTCGTTGAAGACATGCAAGATCATAATGGCATCGCAATGCGATAGCGTAAATAAGATCATCATCCAGCATCCCTCACTCATCGCTCATGCACCTTGTTCCCTCCATGCACGTGGCACCAGGCGATGGTTTCATTCGCTCCTGGCCGACATCACCCACCACAAGGAGAACAGCAAATTTGCCGTACGGGTTCGATGGAGGGAAATATTGTTGAATAGGGCCCGCCAGACAAACAGAAAAGAGGGCTGGTCTCCGACAGGAGAATCTACGCCTCTTGGGCCCAGCGCTTTTCACGCAGCGGCATCTCCTCACCGGCTCTGTGGCGGCTTCCGTCGATCTCCCGCTTCCAGGCGTAGTATTCGCCGAGACGGGACTCGGCGTAGCTGGCGTAGTCGAAGTCAATCTGTGAGATCTGGGCTTGGATAAATGCCCAGACACCCCTGGTCGGCTTGTTAGTATGATAACAAATTGATTACTCGTGCTGGACTCACCAGTAGAAGCCGGGGATGCCACGGAAACGATCGACGTCTTCATACAGCCGTTCCAGGATCTCAGGCTGAGATGATGCGCCGAGGCCGCGGTGCTGGCAGTAGCTCTTGGTATATTCGGTCAAAAATTCACGGCGCACCGATTTAGTGGGGATCATGTTGTAGTCGCAGTCGTAGCCAATCCACTCGGCCAGGTGGTTGGCGATATCAAAAGCAGCCGGCGCTGGAACGGCATACTCGTAGTCGATAAAGTTGACCGGAGTCTTATCATCTTCTGCTGGTGGGGAGCCGCTGTCGTTCGGGAGGACAATAACATTGGCGCAGAGAAGGTCGCAGTGAGAGAATACCATCTAAAGAGGAGACACATAAGCCATGTGTGAGCGAGGGGTGGAATTAGACAGGAAATGACTTACGCCGTCTTCCCCGATTCCCTTCCCGTCATCCAGTCGACTGACCACGAACTGCAATTCCTTCTGCAGGTTGACCCGACGATCGCGCTGCTCCGGCGTATCCACCGGCAACGCAAGGATCCATTTCTGGAGGACCCGCCACATAGAGGGACCAGGGCGTCGGAGTTGGACCAGCGGCAAGTCACCAGCCTGCTTATCTGTGGCTTCCTGTGCGACAGCAGGAGTGTCGCTGGATGCAGTGGGATCGCTGGGTAGCACGGCATGCCACTGCGCCAGCTTCTGCGCCACACCGCGGAAGATGCTTGGCTTGACCAGATCCTCATGGCCACAGGGCGTGCCGCGAATGAACCGGTAGAGCAGACCGTTGTTGAACCGAGCGAGCAGAGGCGGCGCGAGGCCGCGACTGGCCAGCAGAGCGTGGGATTTGGTTTCTCCTATAAGGCACAGACAAGTTCTACTTCAGCATGGGTCGCACTCGGGTGGCAAAAAGGAGGGAGGCGGCGCAAAGGGCAAAAGGGCACCCAGACGAGGGGAGGGGAGAGGGGGAGTCCGGGTATCTCGTACTTTCGCGGTCTATGAGGATCTCAGTGCCATTTCCATACGCCCTCATCAGTACAGCCTCATTGTCTATCTGTTCTTGGGTCAAGCCGGGTTTGCGGTTGATGATTTTGAGAAGCTGCGAGCCTCGTTAGCTAAGGGTATGCCACACGCTGCGACGAATCGAAAGACAGACAGTGTTCGTGATTCCGTCTGTGAATCGCACAAAGTCAATGTGGTTATCGGGGCCCTCCCAGTGTGGGTTGATGGTGAGGATTAAGCGGAGGGCAGATGCATGGGAGTCTGCCTGGTAGTAGGAGAGCGGTATGAAGCGGAGGGAGGACGCGACGCCGGTTTGATCCTCAGAAGAACCCATGATCGCGTCGTCAACCCGAAGAGTAGGGGGGTGGGTGGTTGATAGGGAGACCAGTCAGGTTGTGGGGGAAGGTGGCGGTTCTGGGGTCCAGTGGGGGGAAATAGACGATGACGCTGGAGAGGTGTGCGGGAGCGCTTAAAGGGGAGAGGTTAAAGGGGAGAGGGAGAGGAAGAAGAAGGACGTGGCAGGGAGAAGAGAGGTGAAGAGTGTTTTGGTCTCGTGCTCTCGACCCACGATTGGAAGAGGCCAAGAGTGGCACCGCCAGGGGATTAATATTCGTTGGTTACTCAGGCTGCACCACCGCACCCGGATCAAATCATAATATTCTTTCTTCCAGACCATACTAAATCATCATCCCACCATAATCCTATCGTACACCATAATCCCGACCGTCCTGTCGAGCGGTGCCTGAGGACAACATTCCGGGCGGGGCAGTCAGATGGGCAGAGATCAGCTGATCTGCAAGCCCTAACCCAGCCGGAACAATACATTCTCCGGTGCCTAGCGTCGGCCCGTTAAATTCGGCGCCGCGAAACTTTTTCTTCTCTTTTCTTTTCTTTTTTCTTCATCATCAGTAGAGGTTTACTACATGTAAATCAATCGGGGCTCCGCTATGCGGCTTGCTGAGGGTTATCCTTGTGGTTTTTCTCCCTATGGGTTTTCTTCCGTTCCCGGCTCCGGAGAACAACGTGCGTCTCCCTTTTTCCCATCCTATTATGGCTGGGCTAGGGTTCCCTTGAGGAGCTCCATGCGCTTTAGCTGTGGAGGGGTCGCTATATACCTTTTTTACATTATCTATGCTTTATTCTCCAATTGCACTGGTTTTATTATATTTTCTTATTTGATCTCAACCGGTAGTTTCTTTTTGATATCTAGCTTTCATGCACGACCGGCGTTCCCAACCTGAATGCGCTGCCCCGACCATTTGTCGTCGCTGCGCAGAACAGGCCAGCTGGTGCCGTCGGCCTTGGCCAGTATCAACTCCAGCTTCGTGCCCATCACCTTGAACGTGGATTTCTCCGGGTCAATGGGCGCAAACAGCGGATAGGTGTTCGTGTATCGTTTGTTATCCGAGGTGGGCAGGTCCAGCTTAATCGAGTTTGCTGAAAAGACTACTTTGGCGCTGTCCTTGTCGATTTTTTTGAGGTAAAGGGAGACGTTCACTGAGGACGGGGTCTGGTAGAAATCGTTCCTGCAAGTCATCGGCGTAGACGTCAGCTTATATATCTTGGGGGACTTTTTTTGTTGTCTCGGATTGCCTTAGTCTCAACGTACCGCACCGACTCGACCTTTTCTTCGCCAGGAGGCTTGCCCTTGCCCACAAACAAATGTCTTGTCTTCTCTGCGCAACCCGGAATCTTTAAGAACTCGTCAAACTCAAGCACCCGCCGCTTGCAGCACGACCACCCTTTGCTGCCCTCATGGAAGACCGGTTCGCCCGGATGATGCACACACTTCTCCTCATCCCGCGGCTTCGACGCATCATATGTCGCACCGCAGGTCTTGCGACGGCACGTCGCGTTCGCGGGGATCTCCGCTGATGGGTCATCCGATTCAGGCTCCGGCAGCGGGGGCGTGTTGGGCTCCGTCGGCGGCGCAATGGCGGTGGGGATAGCTGTGCGCTCCGGTTGCGCAGTCGAGATGGGTGCTGGCGGCGGGGCGGGAGGAAGTTCCTCCTCTGTCTGCTTGGGCTCGGACGCCGGGGTGTCGTCGACGGTCGAATGCTTACCAGTGGTGCAAGGTGGGATGCTCAGGAACTCTTCAAAGGTCAAGAAGCGAGGCTTGCAGCATTTCCAGCCTGAGACCGATCAGTACCGAGTCGTAAATGAGAGCAAGGTCTCGTCCCCTCACCTTTTTGCCCTTCGTGGAACACTGGGGGGCCGGGATGGTACACGCACGGCTCTTCCGGGTCGGAGAAGGTCTTCCCGCAGCCCTTGTGGACGCATTTGCCTGCCATGGTGTGTGACGGTCGGTGCCAGGCAGTAAGTATATAATGGAGGGGGGAAGTATGTAGTGACGAAGTGGCGTGAAGTAGAAGAGGGACCCTGCTTTCCCAACGCGGTTTAGTGGGTGGAAGCTCGAAGGTTCCATCGCGGAGGAAGCAGGCAGGTGGCTCTGACCGCTTAACTGACACGGACACTCCCACCACACCATGTTGCCCACGCGCGTCCTCTTTCATGCCCGCCTCACCCTGTTTACTCGCGCGGGCTGTGGCCTGTGCGATACAGCCAAAAATAATGTCATGCAGCTGCGGAAACGCCGGCCGTTCGAGTATGCCGAGAAGGACATCATGGACGACGCCAACCGGTCCTGGAAGGATGCCTACGAATTCGACGTGCCTGTTCTCCATGTCCAGTCGGTGATGAATGGCCAGCCTGCCCAGGCCGACCTCTCCGACGCGAGGAAGCTTTTCCACCGATTCACAGAGCAAGAGGTTGAACAACAAGTGGACGAGGCGGAAAAGGAAGTCGCGTGAGAGCTGGAAATGCTGCCATGGACTCAACATTGAGCCTGCATGCCTGCATTGAATTGCGCCAGAGCGATCTCCCGGGACCTAAAACCCGTTCATTGCCCTGGACTATCTGTTCTACACCATGTGGAAGACTTGGTCAACCGACTTCTTCGCCGTGGAACGGATAGAGCATGCCCACCATTTCAGAGGTTAACACAGAGGCACAAAATATTGGAATGCTCCTTACATGTTCCCGAGGGAGAGTCTAGTGAAGAAGTCCGGCTGGCCCTCTTGATTCAAGATTGATTTAGAAGACCATGTCTTCGATTCGAATATTGATATACTACGACTGATGATTCTCGACAATTAAAGCAATCTGTTGCTTCATCTGAGCCAGTACCCAACACTTGTCCTACATACAGAATAGCACACCAAGATGATGGGTGCCAAATATCAACATCACCTAACCAGCATCCACCCAGCCCGTTACTGCGTTCATCTCCGTAGACTCAAGTAAACTGCACACCAAGATCAATATAGTAAAATCCAGCCACGGACCCATTGGGCGCAGTAAATGTCGAAATAGCCTCTTCATTCACAATCTGCTGCCCATCAGGCGAAGTGACTCTGATCCCAATAGGCAAGGCAAACGGACCATCTCCCTGGGGCAGGACCCAAGCACCGTATCGCTCCTGTGGGCGGCTACTTGTGTAGTTCGGGTCATGCTCGAGCGCAGTCCAGGTGCTTGAACCAGCACCTTTGACCTCGACCGAAATGACCGAGCCGACGCCGTTCGTATTGACCACGCTTAGGGCAAAGTAATATGCCCCACCACCGTCACGCAGCCAGATGTATGCATTTCCAGGCTTGGGGCACGGTACCCGCTTATAACGGGTAGGGATAACTCCCTCCGTCAGGCTGCCGTTGCCTTGTAAGCGGCCCATCGCAATGTCAGATAGATCCATGTGATGGCTACCCGCTGGAAGCGGGCAGCCATATGTGAAGTCAATCTCGCCGCAATGGTCAGCGCCAGGACCGCCTGTGAAAGAGTGTAAGCATGTATTTAATTTTGTGTAGACTATGGCAGATGAGAGATGACGACGTACAGCACCACTTGGAGTTGGCATCACATGGACAGCTATCCACAATCTCCAAGTAGATCGGGTCTGTGTATCCGTCCTCGCCCACAGCGTAGTCGGTTCCATCCGCCTTGGTGCGGATGAGTTCAAAGCATTCGCCGCATGAAAGGTAGTTGTCTTGATCACCTGGTATTGCTGCACTCAACGAAGGCCAAAACTGAACATAGGTTAGCAACTACCTCATCTCATATGAGATTTAGATAATCCAATCTATCCTCCTACCTCCTACATACCTGAGTATAGTAGTCCCCGTTTGGCGCCGCAAAGTTCCCGCGCAAGGTGACATTTGAGGGATCTTGACAGAGAAGAGGGTATGCAGCGCAAAATGCATCACAGGTGGTACCTAACATAGGATCAGTCCAGTTCGCCGTGACGCTACCTTTTGTGCAAAGGCCATAGAGGCCAAATCCGCATGCTCCTCCGCTAGTAAGGCCAAAGTGAGTTGAGCGCTGCGCATGCAAATGTTAGTATGGGCAGAAACCAATGGTTACAAGCCACGCTCACACTATAGTGCCAGTCTTCGTCTGATCCGACTGTAAGTTGCTCTCCCCCTGTTTGTACCGTAGGTCAGACCTGAATAGAACTATAGTAGTTGTGAAAATCGATATATCCTTACACATGGTGCCAGACATGCACATTGAAGAGGGTGGGGCACCACAACCTCCAGTGCAGGGACTTGTGCATGACTCGGACTCATTGTTGGATAAACAATAATACGGACAGCAGACGTTGTCGACTAGTTCCCAATCTCCACACGAGCTGGCGTTGGCCGAAGGATATGGTGGCTGAGTAGCCGTCAGGGTGGGAATGTCAGTGCTCGTTGTATATTCAGAAGTAGTAGTGATTGAGTTACTACCGGAAGTACCGGCGCTTGAGGTTGTAGAGCTAGAGCCAGAGCCCGAAACCTGGTGGCGATAGTTAGCGAAGGATATGACAGACGTAAATGTATTTGAAGAAACCAACCGCAGTATCAGGGACACACTGATAATAATAAGGGTTCAAGGTAGAACAAGCCGCTCCACTGACACAGCAGGCCGGGCCACTGTAACCGCTTCCACCACATTGGTCCCTATCAATAGTTTAAGTGTATAGTACTGTGAAGCCATGAAATAAGTAAAACATACCAAGTAGGGGCACAGGCCGACTGGCCCGCTACTTTGCCATACAAAATAAATACAAAAGCGACAAAAAACGCAACTAAATCCATGGTTTTGTTTGCGTGAAGCAATATTTGAGAATCAGTATATCCTAACGCTCGACTCAATTTCCAATGATGAAGATCTTCTTTTTTATACTTGTCGGACCTAGGATCCGCACCCAAAATGGGATCAGGTCGGCCGTGTCAGAAAAGGCAGGATCAGGATTAGGAGGCACAAAAATGAGTGTGAAAAGTAACCTCAGGATTGGTTGGCTAAGAGTTAAACCCTGCATCTGCAGTCTGGGGGTGATGCGGGCCGTTTTGCCTAAATGCAGGGGGAGATCATGCAGGAAAATGGACGGTTGATATGGGGTATTTTCCTGAATATTTTCAGACCCGATGGTGGCGCCATGACACGGACCCTAGCTCATCCTGCAAATCTGCAGAGAGTTGCTTACAAAATGTGTTTGCTTTTGTTAGCTCGGAAATTAGAAATTTTGAGATGTTTGGAGTTGGAAAAGTAGACGGATCAAATCAACTCTTTCAAGGATGCAGTTTGGTACATAATGGGGGGTAGCCAACAATTAAAGACACTTTGCTCATTGGTATTCATTTCAGAAAACAGTACCCGAATACTCAAATGGACAGTAAGCTCATGACTGAGCCAGAAAGATTCAGAGTATTCCTATCTCATGCCATCAATATTCAGGTTCGATGTCTGATATTCCGGCATATAAGAGCGAACGGGTATATATCAGAATAATAACAGGATTGAGACAAATAATTCAGTGTCGTTGATGCTCAAGAGCTTCGGAAAGGTTACGCTCAAGCGAGGGGCGACCGGCTTGTTCTTCCTCCGTCCTTCTCTGGACTGGAGGTGGACTTGCGACTTCGCTCAGGCCTTCATAAAGGTCATGGTTCTCTTGCGGTTGGTTGTTGCCTGAAGATTTGGCTTCTTTGGAGGATTTTGGTTCTCGGTTCTGTTGTTTAAAACAACCACAAGTCAAGATGTTCAAGAGGCCATAAACAGCCATGACTGCACATCCGAAAGTCGACCATGAAACCTATAACGTTGCGTATTGAAATTATTCTAGGTTTTGGGGAATATCAATACGTTAAAGGGAAGTCTTGTTGTTGGCATACCCGGACGGATGGCCGGTCCATTACGTCATTGATATTAGACGGGGTTATAGCTCGGATAGAGAAGACAATTGAGTATATCAAACGGAATTAGGTTAAAATCTTCAATATTCCACAATTTTGTTGAAGCTGTACATTGCATTACGTTGAATGATTTTGTCCTTTTCACTTGACAAACTCAGGACCGGCATACTTTGAAGCTCCCACCCGTTACAGGTGGCTAATTGGGCACAAAGCCCGATTGGGAGTCAACTATATCGACAAGCTTGATGTCATCGTAGCATTCCCAAATGCGCATACACAAGCAATGAGATCAGCTACTATTTGAAATACATTCAATCAGCTGGTTTAGTTCCATACGAGCCAGGGCGGGTGATTGAAAAGCTTAATGTTCAACTTCTGACATCTACCCCTCCAGTAATTGACCAGGCAGTCAATCGAGCGCAGAGAGCTCGAAAACCGCAGCAAATCTCAAACAATTGAATAGATAAGCTTCATCTATCAAGGTCTTTCTAATAAACATTCGCAAAGCCCTCCAACGCCTACGAATGGGACCATTAAACAGCTTCTAAAGGGCTACCAGCTATCATTGCATACCAACGCAATCTTTCACTAGGAAAATCACAATTTGCGCGCAGAAAATCAGTCACAAGAACAAAAATGCAAGAAAGCCACTAAGCGCATAGCTCATACAAAGGGCTTTAGCACACAGGAGGCTAGGGAGCCAAGGAACTAGGCTAATCAAGCCCAGAATGCCGCCTCACCCCTTACCCCCCTCCCCGCGACTATAATCAGTTAGGGCATATAAGTAATCGATGCCCAAATCGAGCCATTTGATAGATAATTGAGATTAGTGACGCTGACGGTCGAATAACTCGATCTAGAAAAATGGTGGTTGGTTAGGTGGCCCACTCGATTACCGAATACGTTGGTCAATGTCGTCACCCGGAAAGGAAGTTAACTTCAACAAATTGATAAAAATCACCTCCTTCAATATACCTTTCAATGATCTAGCGTAAGAAATAAATCTGTCACGTTCATTTGATACGCCAATTATATAAGTATTTCGACCAAGAAAAAAGAATGGCGCCCCCCCGCAAAGCTCTCATTGCCATCACTTCCGCCCATGCTCCGCTGTACCCCGAGGGCAAGGAGACCGGTAATTTCCCAGATTGGAAAATACAGTTCAAAAGTTGAAATTAATATAACCCGCATTAGGTCTATTTGTCACCGAAGCTTTGCATCCTTTCCTTGTATTCAAGAAGGCAGGCTTTGATGTTGATTTGGTGTCGGAGACCGGATCTTACCAGGCGGACTGGCTCTCACAGCAAAAGGACTGGCTAAAAGGCGACGACAAGGCTATTTGGGAGGACAGATCTAGTGAGTTTCGTTCGAAGCTTGACAATCTCTTGAAGCCGAGTGACATCGACCCCAACAAGGTAAGTCTTTTTTATCGATCCTGGAACCCGAGCTAAAACGCTTTTGAACCAAATCAGTATGGCCTTTTCTTCGCTTCGGCTGGTCACGCTTCCTTAATCGACTATCCCGATGCCAAGGGTCTACAGAGTGTTGCATCTAAGATGTACACTCATGGTGCTATCATCTCTGCTGTGTATGGACGTCTTCATGTTCTAAGCCCAAGATGCTGCTAATTCATAATAGTTGTCATGGAGGTGCCATCTTTCCAGGAATCATTGATCCTAGTACAGGAAAGTCGATCATCGCTAACCGAAGAGTGACTGGCTTTACTACCAAGGGTGAGGAGGAGGAAGGTGTTCTGGACACCATCAAAAGCTGGAACCGCCCTACCATTGAGGCTTCCGCCGCAAGCTTAGGAGCCAAGTGTGAGTAAAGAGAGCGGTTCTTCAATCGCTATATCCAAACAACGATTTGCCGTTCATGTCTGACACGACTTTAGATGTCTCCCCTCCTGGCCCATGGGACGCTTTCACCATCACCGATGGGCGCATCGTGACTGGTGCCAATCCTGCAAGTGCGCATGTGACGGCTGAAGCCGCGGTTAAGGCATTCGACGCTCTGTAAAAGCTAGGCAACTCAGGTTAGGATTCTCCCTTTGTTTGGTCTGTTTGTACAAGGATTACAAGGGGAGGAGCCAAAATCAGATTAGTGTGCCGCTAGATAGGGTTTGGGAACTAAGTCGCAAGAGTGTGGAGTTAAAAGTGATTTTGAATATGACTGTATCAAACGTTCCTTACATGCAATCTCTTGTTCTGGGATCTGGTGGGTTCGCCTTCAAGATTTATGCAAGGTGCCGGCGTTTAGGCACAACCGCCGTAGTAAATCCGAAAGTCTATTTTTCTTCTGCGGCAAAGTCACAATTCAACTCAACTCATCATCGTAGACATCTATCAATCACCACAGTCAGTTTTAATGGCGTTCCAACATTCCACACATGATCTACGAGCTGGCCCAGATTCAAAAAGGGACCTCATGTCTTCATTAGATGCCGTAGCTCGAAGAAAAATCCAGAATCGCCTCAACCAACGTGCCAGCCGTAAGTGGCGACCCCAATTTCGTTCTGTTATAATACGGCCCCAGGCCTTATGATCTGATTTTCTATCTATAGGGCAGAGAAAAGCCATCCTTTCTGGAATAAACCCACACAACCCGAAGCAAAAATGGGTCTATTACACTGAAGCGGCCAAGGTCACTGACTCAAGCCTAATTACGGATGATAAAGTTGCGACCAAAGCGCCATCCTCAGAGACTGGGCAAGAGACAGTTCGCTTCTGCGAAGTGGACAATAACCAACGGCGCGATTACCTGATTCAACTCTTAACAGAAATCCATAATGGCGCCACCAAAAATCTTTACTCGGCCAACTTGCTCCTTTCCGTGACTCAGTTTAATGTTGTCCGCGCGATGTACTCAAATGCCACAAGCTTGGGCCTCACCGCAGACTTGCTTGGAGAAGACATTGCGTCCCAATTCAACATAGTTGGTCCTTTGGCACTGCCTTTACCTCCCAGCTTGCAACCAACTTCCCACCAGAAAAAGATCATACATCACCCGTGGATTGACCTGATTCCAATGGTTTCCCTTCGTGATGTTCTTTTGGGATCAATGTACCGATATGATGAGGACGAACTTTGCGGAGATCTTTTTGGACTTTGCGGTACCTCTAGAGAAGTTGGCCTTTTTATTTGGGGTGAAGCATGGGATCCATCGGCATACGAAGCTTCAGAAAAGTTTGTGCAGAAGTGGAGTTGGATTTTCAAGGACTGTCCAGATATCTTGGAATCAACAAACTACTGGAGAAGGAAAAGGGGAGAGAGGCCTTTGCGCCTTGATTTTTCAGGAGCAAAAGTATCTAAATTCGGCGAAGACTCATGTACATAGTCAATAAGATCGAATCAAGGGGTAAACTTCTCCTGAATAAGCTCTTCAGTCAGATCCCAGAGACGCTTCCAGTTTTGCTTGTCCCTAATGTGAGTGTGCAGCTCGTCATCTGAAACGGCATTTTTGTTCAAATACGACCCGTTGGAATCTAATAAAATTTAATACTTACTGTCTCAAGAATATTCATTCGGGGTACTGACCTGCAATGGTGGGGTCGATCATTCCAGTGATCATTGTGGCTGCTCCTTCGGACCTCGTAGTCCAGGGCGGAATGTCGAACGGGTTGCCATCCATATCGGTCAAAGCTGTTTGGCTTTGGCTTAGAATCATGTTAAGAAATAACGCTTCGGGAGTTAGACTTACGTCCAGCTTTTCTCCACTCAGCTATCTGTTGGATGAACTCGGGAGTGAAATGCCGTTGTAGGCCAGACATCACCGCTGCCGCAATTAGCTTTCAAACGCATAATTAGGAGAGTATATACATACCACCTGGGTCAATACTGTAAGTGCGCACCCCCTGTCCTTTTAGCCGCTCGGCAAGCTCTTTCACGAACATCACTCGCGCAACATTCGACTGGCCGTATGCGGCCATTGGTTCGTATGTTTTGCCATCCTGATAGTAAGGCTCGTATCAGTATCAGATGTCCAAAGAACACTAACTATTCAAACTTACACTGAAGCCAATGTCATCAAAATGAATTTTCCCCTGTCTAGTTGCAGAGCTAGCCACGATGATGACAGACGAGGCTGGGCCAGCGGCCTTGATCTTCGGCAATAGCAGTTTCACAAGCAGGAAATTAGCGAGGTAGTTGACTCCAAACTGTGTTTCAAATCCATCCACGGTCTTGCTATACGGACATGCCATGACGCCCGCTACACAGACGAGGTGGTCAATCTGAGGCACGTCCTGGAGATCGTGATCTACTGCCTTGCGGATGGCACTCAAGTTGCCTAGGTCCATCTTCAGAAAACGAGTTTCGACATTAGGCTTCGCTTTCTGAATTTTCTCCACAATGGGAGCGACCTTTGATTCAGCGCGAGCGCTGAGAATAAGCAGCTTTGGATCGACGTTGGCCAGCTGGACAGCCAGCTCTCCGGCAATGGAGTCATCAGATACCCCGGTAATCAGGACTATAAGCACACGTCAGAAGTATTCACTACATGGCAGAAAGGTTTCAAGTACTTGTCTTTCCGACAAGAGCCTTGCCGTATTTTTCCAAGACGGCCTCGGACGTGAGGACTTGCTGCTTGTTGGACATGTTGAAGAAGGAGGAGTGGCACTTGGTTAAATGATCGAAGGTTGAAGACTTTCTGAAGGTTTAGAGAGGAGAAGTCGTCGCAATTTATATGTTGAGCAGCGTGCCTTGAGAGATGAGAGAAATTATACTTCAGAGAGGAGCATACTAATCTAGGTAATGCCTATCTGGACCTCCCCAGCGCCGAGACCCACTTTTATGACGATTATATACCGTATGCGGTTAGTACGCTGTCAGCAACGCCGCGAGTTCCGATCAACCAACGTTTGTCCGAACATTTGTCCGATCATTGATGCGTGATTTTCGCAAAGTGTTAGGAGACTCTAGAATAGTATAGAATATACCGGGGTGATTAGGAAGGCGCCACCTATGCAGAACGGAGGAATGCCGCACTAATGGCCGTTAAATCCGTTGTGAAAAAACCATGCGGGAAAATTATGTGTTCGAGATTTCTTGGGAAGTAGACGCGAACTGTTCCTGCGATATACTAAGAGATACCCAGCTAAATATAGACACTGTGTAAAACATCTTTGTCCAGTATAAAAATTTCCCTTTCCTTCAAAGTTTGACGGTAGGCAATTCGGACATGTGCACTTTGACAGCTCCGTAAGGTCTCAACTTGTACTCCTTTTTACCTCCCAGGCAGGCTGTGTTGGTCGGAGCCCACTCAGGTGTAGCATCCAGGTACAAATCCCAAGTAACAATGCAACCCTGAACAGTTATAAAATTAGGTGGTGCCGCTTGCGCAAAGATGGGATCTGCCAGGGTCGTGTCTTTGCCCATGCCGTGATACTTGAGGGTTGACGGATCAATCGCAACATTCCAGGTCGATGAGTTGCTAATATAATAATCTCGCAGCTCGGGGTAAGGGAGGTCTTCGATTCCGGGCCCCGTTGCGTCGAAGTAGGCGTGCGGGTATGATGAGGTCTCTTGGAAACCTACATCCAGGGCATAGAGGATATTTCCATAGTAGACGGCGACGGTGTTGTTAGATCGGCTCTCAGTTCGGAGCGCTGCGTCGATCGTATATTTGACAGTTGTTTTGCCGGTCTTGATAGCGACAAGGTGAAGACCGTTACTATTGGGCGAGGGGGAGGATGAAGCACCATTGACTACCAGCTCCGAGGATGCAGTGTTAATCCACGAAGGAACGCGAATATAGAAGTCGAAATCATTCTTGGCAATAATGGTGTAGGTCAGGGTATTGCCAAAGGGATATGTAGTGTCGCAATTGATGCTGACGTCCGATCCTGCAACCGTTGTTGTCACCGTCGATGGGCTGAGGAGAGCATGAACTAAGCCGTTGTCGCCAACACGGGCCCAGCTATTAGTTGTGAACTTCGGATATCCTTGTGGATGATTGACAGTGCAGCAGGGATAGAGAGGCTCCATTCCATAAGTGGTTGCAACACCACTATTGGCTGTTGTAAATACGTGAGGAGCATTCGCAATAAAATCCTGGGTGTTGTTAACAGCCCATGGCTGGTTGGGCTGGTCCATGTACTGGTGAGCCCACTTGTTGCCAGTGAGCATGACTGGCAAGGCATTGAAGATAGTACGTTCAGCGCGATCAGCGAACATGTTGTCACCCAAGACTTGATACATGTAAATAAGCGAGTATGCTGTCTCGACGGCGGTGCAAAGTTCGCTCCCCATATATGGAGCTAGGTTGTGCTGAATTTCATCGGCGAGAATGGTCCCAGAGGGAGATCCGTGGTATTGGAAAGTCCAATTGACAGCATCCATACTCTTTTGAATAAAAGTCTCGTTATTGGAGAACCGGTACATAACCGCAGATGCCTTGAGCCCTATTTGTAAAAGTAATTAGATATGAATAAACCTTGAAAGCGCATGGAGACGGTCTATAGCCTACCTTGGCCAACGTTGACGCCGTGCATGTAAGGGAAATCTGTGGCATCTGCGCTGGGATTCGCAACCACTTTGGGATATGTGCTTGCCGTATACCACTCGTCCCACTTGAACTGATCCTGAGAATAGAACATATTCATATTCTCCCACAGGGTGGAGTCTTGATTGGAGGGATGATTTTCGATCATCCATTGAATAGTGATGATGAGATCGTGCACTCGAGTCTGGCCCCAACGACAGTCAATGGAACTGTCACAGTTTGTAAAGCCTTGGCTGTTGTTTTTCAGCATTGTGTTGGTCAGGTCCATGAACTTCCGAAGGCCATTGAGAACGGGCTGCTCCCATGTCGAATTGGCTTCCGCTAGTTGTGTAAGGCCTAGGAAGAATGGCGTTCGGGCCCAGAAATTGCGGTCGGCATATGTTTCAGGGCCGATCCATCCGTCTGCCGTTTGGAGACCGAGGACAGTAGAAGCCACGGCGTGGACTTGAGCTTTCAGCCTAGAATCGTCAAGAACGTAGGCCATGGGTACCAGCCCGTTGAACCAGTACGGAAGCCCCTCGTTTAGATTGCTATAGTCGGTGCCACCACCGCTGGGTCCAAATAACCACCGAGACTCATTGACATAGACATAGAAGTCGTGTTCATGCCCGGCAAGACCGTTGGCCATGGCCTGCATCTCTCCTCGTAACCATCCTGCAGGTTTGACGGAGCCGACTGGTAGTGGTGAATAATTCCATGCTTGCACTACGCAGGTTAGAGACGAATTCTTCAGGGTATGAGAAAAACTCACGGCTTTGAGCCCCTGCTGCAGCCAATGTCCCTAGTGTCAGTTGACTGGTTAGAGCAGCGTAGAACAACTTCATCTTGCAGAGTTGTTTGTTTTTCAAAGTCGAGAACTCAGCTACTCCGCGAAGTGGAGGGCCCGGGATATTTATTGTACGCGATGTTTAGCGTGTTGATTCGGCAGGGACCGCACCCCCACATTCTTACTCCGCCACTATAGCCTGATGGATGGATGCAACGTCAGGGGGTAGTCAGGGGGTACAACCATGACTCTAGGCGCTTTCCCCGATATTTTAGTTGAAAGCTTGTTCGGCATCTAATGACCCATAATTTGGCCGAAGTTTTTGAGTAGGTGGGCAGGAACAGAGACCGAGGGCCAATCAAAAATGCTTGAATAAGTTTTACTAGAGGAGCACGGAGTTAATCATGCCGGACTCGATCAGGCAATACCTTAATACTTCCTAGGACGAGCGGAACGGAAGTATATAAACAACTACCGAATGACCTTTCATTCTTGCCAAAAAAGAATTCCTAAAGAAGTGGGCTCCTCCAAAGGACAGCATCAAGATATTAGGTTTTTTGCAGGAACTTCAGAATCAAGTCCGAGATGCGCTCCAGATCTGTTTCTAACGCAAAGTGCCCTGCATCCAGCAGATGAATTTCAGCATTAGGCAAATCTCTTTTGAAAGCCTCGGCCCCAGGAGGAGTAAAGATTGGATCGTTTTTGCCCCAAACCGCAAGGAGTGGAACCTGAGAACTTCGAAAGTAATTTTGGAACTGGGGATAGAGCACGAGATTTGTCTTGTAGTCTCTGATCAAGTCCAGTTGAATATCGCCAATCCCGGGCCTAGACAAAAGGGTGTAATCGAGCAAGTATGTTTCCGGGGGTATCGACTCTGGATCCGGAGAGCCAGTGACATACTGGGATTTGGTTGTGTCGTAGGAAAGCAAGTAATGGCGCAACTTTTCTCGGACCCTTGGATTGCCACTTTCCCAGTAATGCTTGATTAAATCCCAGAAGCCGCCCAGCCCCTCTTCGTAGGCATTACCGTTTTGGCTTATGATAGCAGTGATGCTTGACGGGCGTTGAAGAGCGAGGCGGAGGGCAGTGGGAGCACCGTAGTCAAATATGTACACCGAGAACTGTTCAATGAGCAAATGATCGAGAAAGTCGCCGACGAACGTGGCGAGATTCTCGAATGTGTACTTATAGTCGAATGGAACTGTGGTAAATCCAAACCCCGGTAGATCTGGGGCTAAGACCCAGTACGATGTGGAGAGGAGGGGTATGAGGTTACGGTACTGGTGAGAGGAGCTAGGAAAGCCGTGAAGAAGCAGAATGACCGGATTTGAATGGTCTCCTGCCTCTCGATAGAAACCATCAATCTGCCCTATCTGGGCATGTTTTATTCTGGGTTGCATAATGCAGAAAATTAAAAGTGAGTATGTTCTGTGGGAAATTTGCCTTGGTTGGTTCTAATAAGTACTGCTGAATTTCGCGCCAGATGGTGTCGTAAGCATTATGTCAATGTGTACAGAATCAACTCCAGAAGGCACCGAGTGCTTCATTCTCCGTCTTCCCGACGAATTGCTCATGTTGAGCTCAGAAACTCTTGCGACAGATACCTTGAGCGCGAAACAGTCGCTCGCGAAACCGACAGGGTATTGCCGCTGGTGTGCCGGCGCTTTAACGCCATTGCGCTGCCCTTTCATTACGAGACCTCCGTGTTAAATGATGTCGATTTTATCGGCACCGGCAAGGCGAGCCCATCAGATTAATCTCGATGGACATCTGGCTGAACTAATGCTACGCAAGGAGAGCGACCAGGATGTGGAAACTATTAATTTCATTCCTATGGAAGATTCAATCGATTATAATCCACTGGCGGCTAACCAGAGCCGGCCATCCAAGGTCCAACCAATCAATAAATGCTCCCGCCCAGATTAAAGCGGAATCGAAAGAAAGAAACTCATAATAGACGTCAGGGAACATAAAAGACATAAAAGTCATCTAGCCGATTAGAATAAGATGATCCCTGCCACCAATCCAATCACGACGGCCATGCAACTGCCGCGCATATTCTCCGAGTGCCGGCCAGCAGCAATATCCTCGGAGTCGTCGGTCACGATGGTGGGTGACTCCAGTGGTTGTGAGTGGTCCTCAGGGTCTTTTGTGGGCCGCGATTCAAAACCCGATGCGGGGATTTGATGTTCTTTGTTTTGTTGTACCGAGAATGAGGGCCGGGAGCCAGTCCAGGACGGCCATAGGTCAGTTACAACATGGCAGGCCTGCTGCCAGAATTGACTGAGATGGGCAGGGAGCTTCAGCGCTAGCTCATCGCCGAAAACTCGATGCCACGGGGAGGATTGGTTTCTATACGCGTAATGGAAGTCTTGAAACGGATCGTGAGACGGCGAGGAAGTAGATGAATTCGTGACGGAGATGGCGGGACATGAGTTTTGCGTTTCGGATGCTGATGCGGCGCGATTGGAGGCATCCAGCTGCTGAGAGATGTATAATCGGATTGTTCGTACGGGACGGATGAACATGGATGAATCTCCATAGAGATAGGACAGTTGGCTATTATTGTCAACCGGCGTGACGTCGGTGGAGGTGGGGAGAGAGCCGTCGGTCTCGATTCGAGACGTGTGCGACAGGCGATTGGCGCGTGATCTATGAGAGAACGCTCTAATTAGGCCTTTCCGACGGTCGGCGTTCTGCACGGAAAGTTCGGATGGTATATCGGCAAGGCCATCCTTGATTAGGGGCGCTTCTGCACGCGTTGGTTAGCTCAACCATTCGCACCCCACGCAGGGTCACCAGGGAAACATACGACGAGCTGCGCTACCATAGTAGTAGCCCAAATCGGCCAATTTCAAGTTGTAGATGCTCGGCAGCGACGGCACCAGCGAGAGCAGCGAGAACACAACCAAGGCGAGGAGCGGAATCGCGCCGGGTCTATGAAGCGCTGGGCGCATGGTCCACAGTGCCCGGGCGTGGGCGGGCACAGGTGCTACTCAGACGTGTGCTGCTGCGCTGTGGTCGCGATGTGAATAGGACTGGCAGCGGGAGGCCATAGGCACGATGATGAGAAGGAACAAATGTGTTTTTCTGGGGGAGGGGTTTTTTTGGCCTGTGGTGGTGCAAGGCAAGCAAGTTCAAGCAGTCGACCTTTTTTTTTTTCAACGCTATTTTTCCAAGGTCCGTGAGACGCGGGACGGCGCCAATGACGTAAACGAGTGGTGATAAGGAACCGAGCGGGAGGAAATGCCCGGATGGATGCCACGCAAATTGACTTTTCCAATGAACAGGACGTAGATATTCGTCTGGTTCCGAATTTTAGGTTGTTCGTAAGGCCTTCCAGGAAGGAATGTTGGTGGGTTATATGTTGTCCGTGCTCAGCAGTCCTGGCCGCTCACACTGTATTCATTGCCACCACCGGACCACAACTCCGCATCCCACACTCGTCGTTTCTGTTCCCTAGCAAAGTGACACGGGCCAAACCAAGGCACACTCCGTCATGGTCGGATGCATCCGCGTCGAGTAGTGCAAACGCCAAGCCCACCGTCGACAGCCCCGATATGATGTGGCCCCCAGGCAATCAAGAGAGCCGCCGTTGTTGGTGGGATAGAGCAGGGACCCCCACTCTTTGTACCGCCGCAGATGTGTAAGTTATTTTAGGATAGGCGGGTGGGCCCATTGGTCTGGCTATCGACCAACTCTGACGGACGCCCAGCCCGGCATTCCTGAGATGCACCTGCGCCGCTCAGCCTCATGACTCTTCATGAAATAATCCTGAACATCCGCCAGGAATGGCTCCTGGGGCTCTCCATGGTTTGGCTATCCCGTCGTTGTAACTCCATTCCGATCAGCCTTGCTGCGGCTGCAATATCCGCAGGGGCCTGACAGAGCGGGAATGATCAATCGCGTAGTTTGTTCCCCGTTCTTTTGAGCCTCTCCAATGCAAGGAGAGAGGGGGTGGCTGTAAACACACCCGGACCGTCTCCCAGTCACATCTGACACGAAGGTGGCGGCGGTCATAGGTCACGGCAGGGGTGTAGTATATATAAAGACTGCGCCCGGAAATGCCACATGTCGTGACGAGGACAGGCCATGTCTCTGACATCCGCTAGTTACGAATTGCCCGACGCAGCAGCAAGGTCACCAGTAGAGATGGAGACCCTGAACTCGAGATTGTTCCATATCCCACGGAATACTCGTTCGAGAAGGCCGCTCTGCGCACACGCGACGAGGAGGACGAGACAGACGAGTACCTCGTAGCTGACCATGGTCCGCGGGGTGATCAGATCGAGGTAGGGATGAGAGAAAGCGAGGTCAATCGGAAGTGCAGCCCTGGCGATGAGAGGGAACAAATATCCGTAGAACAGGAGCAACAATACCTCGCAGGAGATCAATACGGCCTGCTGTCTCGCTACAGGCAAATGCTACCTTTATCTACCTCTGCAAACCGTCCAGACCACCACCGACGGGGGGTGTGATGAGAACGATCGGTTACACGAACCTAACCTCTGCTCCGGGGATGCGCCATCTCCTTCCTTTCAGGCAGCCTTCACCGCCGATCCGGCCGAGCGCGAGCGCCGCTGCATTAATTCTGCCTGATGTATTGAGTCTTGATAGATATTTCGAGGTCATAGTGTCTATCCATGCTCGACGGTCGAAGCCCTCTCTGTGTATGTAGGGTGATTGCTTTTCAACTCGTGGTGTGCCGTGTCGCAGGAACGAAGAACTACTGGAGCAATGAATTCAGGTAGGTTCAGTGTGGTTATTAAGTCAATTCGGGTAGCAGTGTTTGTATGTCCATCGTAGACTCTCCGTACAGTACAGAAGACAGCGAGAGTCCCCCCGGACATCGAGTGTGCACATCTGCCAACCACAAGTCACACACTCCATCATCCGGGGGTTCTTCTCGCCGCATATATCGTAAGAAAATAGACACATTAAATCGGATTCATCATGGTCGCATGCGGCACAGCAGAGAAAATAACCTTACCCGCCGAGGCGGAGGTCATCGGCGTCGACTTCGACACCGGCCCCGGCGAGATTGTCGTCGGGGCACTAGTCTCGTGATGACTCGGGGAGCGACTACTGCGACTTCGCGACCGGTCGCCGCGCGAGGTACTGCTGCCGGCCGTACTGCTGCCGAGGTTCCCGCCGCGTTTGACCATTTTGCCCAGCACGCCCACGATCTCGGCGGCGTCTTCGAAGCTCTCGTCATCCATGCCTTCTTGCGCGTTGTATACATCCGCGATGGCTTGTTTGGCGAGGCGGCGGCAGGAATTCGGGTCCTGGAGGCAGTCGTAGAGGTAGGCGGCATATTCGAGTTTAACGGAGAGGCGCAGCGGGTGCGAGCCGGGGAGGAGCTTGTCAGCGAGGAAGGCGGCGTGGTTGAAGCATGCTGTTGCGGTTTCGGTGTAGTCAAGTGGAGGGAGGAGGAAGGAGGAAGCTGGTTGCGGTGGTTGCACAGGGGCGAGGCCCGGAGGGGCCTGGGGTTTTGTCTTTGGTTTCTGGCTTTGTTGCTGGCCGAGCGCAGTCAAGGATTCTGGGCCATAGATCGAGTCGTGTTTGCCGTCGGTTGGGGGTTCCGTATCTGGTGGATAGATGACGGGACGGTTGTGGAAGAGCACGAAGATGTGGTAGAACGAGGCGCGAAGTTTGTAGGCCAGGACGTTTAACTCGACGAACACGTTGACCATGGGCAGGACATACCCCTCCAGAATCATGAGACCCTCACGCGAGAGCCATATGATGTGGTGATAAAGTTGTAGGGACTTTGTTTCACGCGTAGTGTCGAGCCGCCGTAACCGTCGCGCGCGGACGAGTTTCTTGGAGAGCATGACCGAGACACCGAGAACCTTGTACAACATCGTCGAGAGCAGCGGGTTCTCGAAGGCCATAACGCGAGCGAATTTGCCCAGGGCCTTCTGGTCCACCTCGGAGGAGGCCATCCATAAATCGAATGTCTCTGCCTCTAGAAAGTCGAAATCGACCATGTCAGCCATTGTAGGGAATGGTATCAATCAATTGGAGGTTAGGGTTATAGGGTGCATAGAATTGAGGATCGGACATTAGTCCGTTAATAAAACACAACGCGCAAACCAGCTATCAGGAACATACACCGCAATTGAGCTTACCTGACTAGCGCACGCACACAATCAAGCAGAGCGGAGCTTCAGACGGTTCTCAAACGCAGCTGCTGCACCATAGAGCGCGTAGGGCCCGAGCCGCCGACCAAGATAAACACGCCGGCGCTTGCCGCAGTCGATCTGTCCAGGATAGACCAGAGACCGGAGGGCGACCGGGTATGGATTGAAACGTGTGTATCAAATGTTGATAAACAAGCGCCGACACCAGTCTGGGACGTCCAATGGCTTCGCCGTCTGTGTCCGGAACTCCAAGCGCCACGAAAAAAGACGCCGAACACCACGCCAAAACACGCTTTTTCTCACTCCAATTGTGTATGTATGTGCGAATGTTCTTCCCGATCTAGTCACTTGCCGACAGGGAATGCGAGATTCAGCAGCGCGCGTCGAGTCTCCACCGCTAGCGACGCAAGGCACGGGCAACGAGGGGGTGAAGGACGGGGAGCTCGTGGTTGATCAGACGCATCGTGAGGCGGGCAAGCAGGGGGGGAGGCGTTTTGGGTTCGTCCGTAATAATGCCGATGGGGCACTCCCTGCCAGCGCACAAGCAGCGCAGTGTGCGGGGGCAAGTGTCGGAGCGGCCGAAGACGAAGGGAGCGAAGAAGAGATGAACGCGCTGGCGAGGAGGGTGGTAGTCGAGAGAGAACTACAGCATGGCGACCAGGGCTCGAGAGAACAGAAGAGACGAAGGGAATTAATCGTAGGTAGGGTCCAGCTGCATTAATTAACTAGAGTTCCCCTGATATGACGCATGGAGCGATACTGTATGGGGCAGAGTTCGGGGGACATAATTAGTGCAATCCTACTCCAGTCCGGGCCCACGCGAACGAGACAACAGTAGGGCCAGAGATCAATTCAGTCCGCCCTGCCCAAGTGGCAACTGGACGTCCTATCGCCTCCCCCAGCCTCCCATTCAATGCGTTGTCCTGCAGCGATACAGAGTCGTGAACAGGAAGAATACCGATTCATCCGCTACGTGGCAGCGCGACGGGGATTGGCGCCCAATCCGTGCGTTGGCCGATCTGGATTAAGCGTGAAAACGGGATGATGAGCACGGACTGCCAGCGTGGCAGTGGCGGGCATGTCATATCATGCCTAGGAGAATTATCGACGGGTGGGTATTGCGATCGCCGGGCATCGGTTGGGTTGGCAATACCCCCGTCGAGTCTGGGGGTGATCGGTCGGTCTGTACCTGGCCAATCTACTCGGTATAGTTCGTGACCTCTCGAAAGATGCGGTGGAAATGTCGACCTGTCACTGCGGGACCGCAGGATCCGAGCGGGCCAGGTACATACACCGCTAGAATGATGTGATCCCGGACAATACTCGAATTGTTGGACGTGACTGGTTGATCCGATTAGATACCCGGAAAAAAACTACCCATCTGGATGAAAGCTATATACGTAACATGATTCAAGCAAGGTCGTCTAGATCATCAATATCCACATACCCCACAAACGCTCGGGTGAGGAATGCGCGCCAGACATCGTTCTGGCGCTTTTTCTTGGATCTCCGGTCCACCCGAATCAACGCGTTCGGTCTTGTCTTCATCGGCAATTGCCGTGGCGAGCTGGAACCAACTGCGCACTGTGAGATCCTTCATCTCGTAGATGTCATCGTCTGTGCGATATTCAACCTCGAAGTTGACTTTCGGGCCTTCGACGGATACACTCGACCCGGCCTCTTCGTTGATCCGGGTCAGATTGGCGTAGTATTGAGTCCAGCCAAGGAGGGAGAACGGCTGATTGGAGTGGGCGGGGCCTGGAGGACTTGTGGATGATGGAGGCTCCGGTATCTTAAAAGGAAACTTCTTTTTATCCTTGTTCTTCTTCTTCTTCTTCTTCTTTTGTGGGTCTGCGGCATCGGATCGCAACTCCCGGATTTCATTGTCACCATGATCCGGATGAGGATGGGCGTCGGAAATATAATCGTCTTGAATTTCACTGGCCGCTTCGGGCACGAGATTATCCACACCAGTGATGTTGTACTCGATCACTCGGAGGGTCGGAAAGTAATTCGGGACCAGACTCGGTGCGACCAGTGACACGCTGTATCGTTCAGCCCAGGGGCCCCCGATCTTTTTGAGGAACTTCTTCCTCTTCTTTTCTTGCTTCTTTTTCTTCTTGCTCTTCTTGGCTGTCTCTATGTCCCCAAGTTGGCTGTCCTCAATATCAAAAACCCCCGATGGGGGAGATGGCAGATCGGCCCACTGCTCGCGAAGACTGTCCAGGTAATCCTCCTTGGACGAGATTGACACTCGGCCCTCGGATGATGCCTCGGCCATCTCAGAATCGATATCGATCTGGTGGCTGTCCTGCAGCATGAAGTGATCGATATTCATATGGCCGTAGAAGCTGCCCACGACGACGTCGCGGTAATTATGCAGCCACAATGTGTATTTCTGCCAACAGGTCTCATCCCAATTGCATTTTGAGCTTGACCGCGCGGGGGGCACATGGCCGATGAGGATGGCCTTCATCTTGCGACTCCGCAGCAGCTTCAGCTGCACCCGCAGCCATTCCATATGTTCATACCCAGGCTCCGACTTGTCTTCGCAGCCGTCGACTGCGTTGTTGGACTCGAAGAAGTACATCGTGTTCAGGCTGATGACAGCCAATTGGCCCGGGATGACCTCGGTCGTGAACCAACCACCTTCAACAAAGGAGTGACGCTGATCCTCGGGAATAAATTTATCCCACACTTGAGCAAAGTGTTTGGTCCACCGATTGGGGCCATTCTTAAAGATGTTGTGTGGCATGATGTCGTTGTTGCCGATCGTTGGCACCACGGGGACAGACAACCGGGACACACTCTTGCTGCCCTGCGCATTTTGTTGTTGGCCGAACAAGGCGATCCATTTCTGAGCCATGAATTCATTCAGTTGCACCACTTCATCGGGTGTTCGTGGGATCTCTTCGTCATTGTCGTGGCGAGCCGAGTCGCCCGTCCAGATCACAAAATCAATATTATCCTTCAGATTCGCCTCAATCCACCGAAAGGTCTCGTTGACCAGCGATAACGGGCTATCACAGTCGCTCCCTTCCGTTCCGAAATATCCTGCGGATCCCTTGCCGCTGTGGCACGAGCTACGGTCGATCGACGTTCCGGGCTTGTAGTGGCGGTCGGGATGGAAATCTAGGAGAGATCAAGTTAGCATAGAGCGCAACAGCCTGATAAGATTCATCCTTACCTGTAATGTGCAAGAACCTGCCATGCAGGGGTCTTGCCGATGTGGCTTGCTGGGGCTCTGTCGCATCCGAAGCTCCTTCGTCGCTCACCACCCCCAATGGTTGCTGCTGGAAGGGAATGGCAGAGACACTAGCCAAGAGGCCCAGCAGTACATGGAATGACTGCATGTTGCCTCCGAGCCAGTGCGCACATGGATGGAAGAGAGAAAGATGAAAAGTTGATCTTTCGAGGGTCACGTCACTCTGCCGATCAGGGCCACAGCTGGCCAATCATGTAGAGGGAGGGCGCCGTGGATTTTGTTCCTGTTGACAAAGGGAGAGAACCACAGGATACCTATTTGTCGTTCATCGGTGTCGTGTGCAAGAAATCTAGGGTTGTTTGTGATTGCTAATAAGGCCCAGATCGACGCATCCCCACGTTCGGTGGTGATCGAATGCTGCGTGCACGGGGGTCGAGTGAGCGCCCTGATTGATTGGAGGAGGCACGTGACATGCCCGGAAGCTGGCGGGGGTCTTCTCCCCAGCTCTGTTGACACCGATTAACTTCGTGCAGTGTCAACATGGCGGATTTCCCTGCTCTTCAGCATGCTTTTACGATCGAGGTAAGGGTACTTGCGTTTTAGAGGAGTTGGATTATGGGGCTGACCACGTCTAGGTCGAGGTCGGCGAACCGCTCGCCGTCGGTATGTTTGAATGCCCTAATAAACACACTTAGAACAACACTAATCCCGCTATGCAGGTAGTGCCTCACGGACCAACCCCCTCCAGGTGGTGCCGATGACCGGAGGGACCGTCAAGAGTGCCCCCGGGTTCGCTCCCGGCATCGATGCCGAGTTCGTCGGTGTCGGCAATGATTATATCCATGCGGACCCGGATACCAACCACGCCCGGCTGGATGCCCACTCGGTTCTCAAGTATGTTGGAGCTATGGCCTCTCTCTTGGACAGGGTATCTAATGTGTTTTGACTCCAGAACTCAGGATGGCGCCGTATGTCTTAACTAACCTCCCTCGCCCGGCAGAGGTACTGAGAGCTAATCAAATTACAGCTTCTCTATCTTCACTACACCGGCGTTCTCACCCTCAGCCCCGTCGAAAAGGCTGTCCTAGGGGGCAAGGCGGAAGACGGGCCGACGCCCTTCGGGAACATTTGTACGTTCCCTTTTCTGTGTTACTATATTTTCATCCGCGCTAACTCGGTTTGTTCCGCAGTCGCCCATTTCAGATTCGAGGTCAGCAAAGGATTTTCTTATAGAAGGATCGCAAGAACTAACCCTGATTCTCTTGTAGACTGGCGACGACCGCTATCGCGAGCTGGAGAACCGGGTCTTCGTCGGGCAGGGCCGGTTCGTTGTGCGGACTGGGAAGCCGACAGTGGTGGAGTACCGGGTCAGCCAGGTCGTGCAAGGCTAACTAGTCAACATGTCAACTATTTCAGAGCATGAGCCTCATTTGACCAGGTCTCAAATAAATCATTTGCATTCCTAAACCGTACGTGCACCATCAGCCCTGCATGCGGTGGCACTTTTGCTTGCGAACCGACACATGTGGAAATTATGCGGCATTTAATGGTATAATCGCGACATATGCTCGCGCAGATAGTGTTACTCGATGCATCTTGCATCTTACAGAAATGCACCATTATTTGTGGTCAAATAATGTTCGGCCATCGGATAGCCACCTAGAACGCCTTGGCAAGGAGCCCTCTTCCCCTCCCCCTTTCTATGACAATGGAATGTCTGATGCAAGATCCTGGCCAACAACCTGAAGTTCTAAGCGCCGCGGAGAGCCACATCGATTCCTCCTGACATGACAGGATTGATCCCCTTCATCAAAGCGAACCTCTTGCCCCAACCCGGCTGGACCGGCAAGGTTTGAGCTTAGTCCGTGGTCCGTGTCTCCGTCGCCAAAGCGAACAGCCCTGGAGGACTGCACGTGCCAGCACTACAATCCTGGTCACCACGCCGTGGCGAACTAACGCACGAGCTCAATCAATCATAGCATCGGGTACCCATGGCTGGGCGGCCTTGTTCTGTAGGACAATGCAGGAGCATTCGGGCCGAAAAATAATCAGGAGGTGGAAGCGAGATGCCAGGAAACTTGAGCTACAGCTGGCTCGGCTCGAAGGGGCATAGCTCAGTCTGGGGAAAATGCTAGGGCTCCGGTGATCCGTGGATCATCCGACGCGGAGCAACCTCCGTGCTAACCACGTCTTCTGCTTTTGGGATGGCTCCATGGAGACGCTGATCCCCGGATTTAGAAAACGCGGAGGTTGGGCCAAATCGATTATTCTCGCCGAGGGCTAGAGGCCAATCAGGGGTGGGAGTTGACCAGCGGACGCATGGCTTCAGCCCTAAACAATATAGGCGTGTGATCCGAAGTTCCTGTTGTTGATCCCGCCTTTAGTTTGTACACTTGTGTCTTTAGTTTGTACACTTGTGCCTTTAGTTTCTACAACTTGAAGTATTCCTTTAAATTCAAAAGTAGCTAATGTGAAGGTTATGTGACTCTGTATTCAGATCCACTTACATGTTTCAATCGATCTAAATAGGAATCAAGGGGTAAAGGGGTACAGGGGGTCGAATTTCACTGGATACTAAAATTTTCGGGGGAAGACGGGTCACAGGCCCGAATAGCCATGTCAACGGGCCTTGATCTTTTTGAATTGAATATCGGAGTAATGCTTGGCACACAAACAGGGTAAGTGCCCGATTCTGATCGGAGGGTGGTCCGTACCTGCAATTGGCGTTGAGCTTCCTGTTGGTCAGTTAGGAGGCCTGAGGGTAGCAAGGCAATCTCACACTAGGTATCAATTCAGTATACTGACATCTAGAATCCCTGCTGGCGGACGCAGACCCCGGTCTCACGAGCTTGTTCCACGGGTTATAAGAACCACATCCTGTCCCACCATGCAGATCCTCTATGTCTCGTGCTGAGCTTCATCTCGTCGCCAACAGGATAACTTACCGTTTCTGAGGGAACCCAGGATTACCATGTCGGACGTCAAAGCCCAGGAGGAGGTGCATGGCATCTCGACGGCCCATGAGGAGATGCCTCGAGTCATTGCCGGCTACGGCGAGACCGCTAAGCGTGAGGGAGCTACAACTAAGGAGGTCCACAGTGTCAGTCTTCCTCAGCCCTTTTTGGACCTCCTTATAATAAGTCAATTAACATTCTCATGCTCTTCTAGGCCGAGCTGTACGCAGCACTGGAGGAGACAAAGATCGAGAGATGGAGCAGGGATTCAATTCATCTCTACTGTGAGCTTTATCCACAGCCATGACTCGGGCCAACTACTTCGGCCAAGTGAAGAGTTTGCTAATTCCATGGTTTCCTCTTCTAGTTGCAATTTTTGTTGCGTTCCTGTGCGCTTGTGCCAACGGATATGATGGTGGGTGGTTAGAACTAATCCTGCATCATCCGCTATTGACACGGTAATTGCAGGCTCGCTGATGTCCTCAATCTTGGCTATGTCGCACTTCCAGAAAGTCATTCCCATTGGCATGACTGGTGAGAAGGTCTCCGTTGTTACTTCCATCTACACTGTGTATGTATCCTTGCGTCCAATTCCGAACAAGGCGCTCGCTGACTATGATGGGTTTAGTGGAAATATGGTCGCAACTCCGTTCAGTGCTGTGATTTCTGATAGGTTCGGTCGTCGAAAGTGCATGTTTGTTGGAGGCTGGATTATTATCATCGGCTCCATTATTGCTGCGACAACCACGACCTACGCGCAATTCGTCGTCGGCCGCTTCGTGCTTGGAATGGGTATTCAGGTCATGGTCGTCTCGGCTCCCGCCTACGCGGTTGAGATTTCTCCACCTCACTGGCGTGGTCGCGCTGTTGGTGAGTTTACACTTTCATCTTCTGTTATTATTTGCTTATACAAGTCTCAGGGTTCTACAACTGTGGTTGGTTCGGAGGCTCTATCCCCGCGGCTGCTATCACCTATGGAACCAACTTTATCAACAACGACTACTCATGGAAGGTCCCACTCATCTGCCAGTGCTTCGCATCTATTGTTGTTATTGTCGCTATCTGGTTCATCCCCGAGTCTCCACGTTGGCAGCTCGCGCATGGTCAAGAGGAGGAAGCTCTTGCCTTCCTGACCAAATATCACGGCAATGGTGACCCCAACGCTCGTCTCGTCCGACTTGAGATCGAAGAAATGCGCGAAGGTATCCGAATTGATGGTATTGACAAGCGCTGGTGGGATTGTGAGTTAATGTTGTTCCCTTTCGGTTCTCACTTCTGACAACCACTACAGACCGTCCCTTCCTTACGACACACAGCGGCCGCTGGCGTTTCTTGCAGGTCATCATGATCTCTATCTTTGGACAGTGGTCTGGCAATGGTCTCGGATATTTCAACTCGACTATCTTTAAGACTCTCGGCTACAATTCCAGCTCCATGCAGTTGCTCTTGACTCTTATCAACAGTATTATCTCCGCAGTCGGTGCCCTTACGGCTGTCCACTTCACCGATAGAATGCCCCGTCGTCCAGTTCTGGTTTTTGGCACCATTGGTAGGTTTCTGTCTTGTCACCTTTAGCTCACAGAGTTTCTGGGGTTGTCAACAAGCGCTAATTGGGTCAACAGCTTGTGCTCTCGCTATTGCTATTCAAGCTGCCATCTCCGTTCCAATTGCGCAGACAGGTACCATCAGTCACTCAAAGGGTCAAGCTGCATTGTCATTTTACTACCTCTTCAACGTGATATACTCCTTCACCTACACTCCACTTCAGGGTGTCATTCCGGCCGAAGCTTTGGAAACAACGACTCGTGCCAAGGGTCTGGCTCTCTCTGGATTCCTGGTCAACGCCACTGGCTTCATCAGTCAATTTGCCACCCCTATTGGCTTGGGGAATATCTCTACAAACTACTTCTGGATTTTCGTCGGCTGGGATCTGATCGAGTCCGTCATTTGGTATTTCTTCTGGTAAGTTGCTCTCCATTCTCTAATAACGACCATGCAAATGCTTATCTCTGCATTAGTGTTGAGTCTCAGGGCCGTACTCTTGAGGAACTTGAGTGGTTGTACCAGCAGCCCAACCCTGTCAAGGCGTCCAAGACCCTCGACAAGGTTGTTGTTCAACGCGATGGAACCGTCACCGAGAAGATCGAGGACGATGTCGATGCCTGATTGTACTTGTGCATCACGATCGTACAGGAGGAGTCATCTCAAAGAAGTTAGGTCCTGAGGGGAGGATGTGGGTGCCAAGAGTACGACAGATTGTGCTTTTAATCTTCGTTGCGATGCATGACTACCTGCCTCTTGTCTGCGGTCGGAATAGGTCTAGGACACTCATGCTTCTGTTTAATTAAAATTTTATGAAATGTTTTGGTTGCTGTAATGGCAGCGAGAATATTGATCTTGCTTGCAGGGAACAAATTCATGAAAAGTAGTATTAACACCTAACGCAAATCTGTGCCCTAGTTGGTCGTTTATTGCTGTTGTAAAGCATTCACTCATGCCCTTCGAGAATCACAATGCAATCGAGTTACTGTCACGCAATCTGTCATGTCTGTTAGCCAAAGATTTTCGAATAAAGAGCCAACTTGCGTGATTTCAGAAGCAATCAAGGCATTGCATTCTGAAGCAAAGATAGAAGAGCATGGAGAAAATATATTGTTAAACAAAGATTGCATATGAATTTAATAGGGTAAGGAATTTGGGATGGTTGCAAACTGGTTGGCAAAGCCAACATTAGTATTAACTGGTGAGAGGACATTCAGGTGAGACTAGAACGTGATCAACACGGCCCAAAGAATTGATTTCGATCTGTTCCAGGTGACCGCATGAGCCGTCGAACTATCGTTTCTCATTGACGGATTACAGTGATAAAGAAGCAATCAAGGCGGGGGTGAGAAAGCGACTGACGTAAGCTTGTATATCTTCCGAGGCTATGTACTCCCCTCTTATCCCGACACGGCTTATGATCCAATGAGCATGCGGGGAGCTCTATCAGACTAGTTATCTGCTCTCCATCGAGGCACCTCTGATTCGAGAGGTTCGGGATGTAGGCCGCGCTATAGCTGTGCGATGGTGGGGTATGTCATGCTTCACCTATGCTGTGTTGTCAACAACCCTTTGAGTAGTGCTTGGCGCTCTTGGCACTTCTTTATACAAATGCTCTTGGTAGATCAGCGGGAACCATGCGGAAGATATCACACAATAGGCATCCAAGGCGCTGTTCCATGGTAGAGGTGTAGGGATCCTCCTACTAACGGAGATTGTCTGCTCTTTTTCATGTGTCAAAGGCTATGGTATAAATATGCATGGCCCTTTAACCCTCTGGGACTCTCTAATACTCGAATCCCCCAATATCCTGTTCCATATATATTAATGTGAACTACTTGCTCATCGGTAGGTTACCTGTTTCCCATCAAATCGCCACTTTGCTAATTGGTGGCTGGTTATCAGTCTTCCGTGAATCACGATGCTTTGGGGTTGGAAAAAACTCTTCCTGGTTGCTCTCGCTGGAACCATCCAGGCATTACCCTATTATGCAAATACCGGGAACTATAGTGTGGGGACATGCTTCCACAGCAACGGGACGGGAACTTGGAAGCCAGATAAGAGCGTGTGTGAGGCTTCCTTTGGACAATGGTGCACCGGTTGCAGGGGAGCACACTGCATTGTTATAAATGGAGAGTTGGTGAAGTTTGTGAATCTCTGTCGTGTCGGTCCCGATACCAAGATAAGCATAGATATGGTTGATGTTTCACGTAGGAAAGCCCAGCAGACGTATTGCGTGAATTAACTACTCTGAGATCTATGAGAACCTAGGCAGTGTTTGGTCTGCATCTTCATTTGAATCTTCTTCTTATTGCTTCGCCTCCTTGCGATCTCAAGTTTCATACGCATATTCATCATTGCAGTTGGTTATTTAATAGGGAAATTATGAGAGTCTCAAGGTCCTTGTGAAATGATGGAAAGGTTTTGTGACGGTTGGAAGTGTTAACTATTCATTATTATTTGTATGTTAGCCTGGCAGTAAGGGCTTTGGGATTGTTATGGACGAATAGAATAGTAAATGGCGAAGGAAGTTTGTCGTTTTGTCTTCAGCTATTAACATTTTCTCAGCCTCACTGCAGCTTCGCGTTACCTAAATGAGCATTTGAGTTATCTCCTAAATTTTTGTGCAGTACAGAAGAAGACCTCCAAGTGGTTACATACGTGGTTGAATGTTAATTAAGTTGAATCTACCCTCGCAAGCGAAGATCGCTGTATTGGCAAAATGAGGCCATCTATTCGACAACATTCGGCTGGATATCGTATACCACTACCATAGCATGCTGACCTTTCTGTTGCTGGTTATATCAAAAACTGCATTTTGATTGACATTCTAAAGAAATCCCGACGGCAGTTTGCATATGGGCCCGGCTCTTCTCATTCCCTCTTATAGTCCAGCCAATCCATCTCGCCCCCACATGCCCAGACATGCCCAGACAATATCAGCATCACAGCCTCGTACAATGCTCTGAATACGGGCTCAGAAGCGCCACCAAGTCATAGATTTGCTCTTGACATAACAAATGCTCCAGTAAAATAGACAAGCCGGCGTTGGATCAGCAGTAGAACACATTCTAGTGACTTGGATTCTAGTTATATGTCTAAGGCTGAGGCACAGTCTCTCGGTGCTTCACGAACAGGCATGAAAATCGGTTCTCAGTTTCATGGGGCGCGTGGGTCAAAACATGGCACAATATGCATATCATAGCCTATCAAGACCCTTGGCTTAGCCGTAGGGTTTGGATTCAGGGTTCAAGTAAGCCCCACGCAGGGATAATCATCGCCCCAACCTCGTTGTCATGAGCTTCCTGTTGGCAGCGTAATTTCAATGCTTTTGCTGCTCATAAGGCTGTTTATTGCTGGGTACACAAAATACTTGAAGCTGGCTAGGTCTGCGGATAATTCATCTGCTTCAAAACTTGCTCTGTGCCAAGGCCCGGCGGCGTCCGAAATGTAGTATCGAGGGGCCGGAGCTTGGACGAAGATTCGATCCGGTGGTATTACAGAGTTTATTACTTGGCCCTACACAGACCAAAATAGCGGATCACCTTAAAAGTGAAACCTCTCCCCTGTCTGGGCGCGGAGTCCACTTCTACCTGAAGTCACTCTCCTCCACAGCCCGGCTCGTCCTCTTAGAAACATTTTCCAATCCTCAGCAAAGCCATCGCCGGTGCGCCTTAAGCGGAAGATCATTTTAGTGTGCGACACCCTCACCATGTCAGAAATATACCAAGGCTATCCAATTCGGCAAAATAATTCCTGTGCAAGCTGGGAGGTGGACGGGGGAGTAACCTGGGACAACTGGCATGTGTGCTGTCCTAAGGGCACTTATAGCCCACCACACCAGTACAATGCTGTGTGTCACATATCTGCAAACACAGCCACGATGAGCAGATGCGCCAACAGCACCTGGGATCTTTACTGGAACGAAGATTACTTCTTCTGCTGCGCACATGGAGCTATTGGATTCATCAGCACCGTGGCATCATCAAATGGATTCTTTGGCTGTGCATCATCGGAGACCAATGTCAACCCAAGTGTCATGAGCACATTGACTCCGACTGCAACTGGAACACGCAAGTCCTGCACCCAAATCATCCCGTCTCCATTTGTGCTAACCAGAAAACAGCTATCGCTTCATCAACCTCATCAACGGCGGCGGCTACACAGGCAACGCCAACACAAGCCCAGTCATCATCCAATAACGGTACGAATACCGGAGCAATAGCTGGTGGTGTGGTCGGAGGGGTGTGTGGACTAGCGATTATTGCAGTCTTGGTTTGGCTGTTATTGCGTTATCGGTCACGAGCATTGAAATCTGGAAAGCCTCGTTTTACAGATGAGAAACTCTACGGAGCCCAAAATCAGTCCGGTGGGCCCCTAACCCCATCAGCAAATCCTTCAGAACCACCCATACAAAGTCGATCGACAGGGCCTACTGAACTATCACCAGAGAACGGTTCAGTACCATCCGAACTATCACCGGAGAATCGTTCAGTGCCATCCGAACTCCCCGCAGACTATGTCGTTGATCCTCGCTAGTTGGAACTTGATTGCTGCACGTCAGAATAATTTGCATCTGTTAGTGTACTGCTGCGCCCTTGACTATAGCGTTGGAGTTGTCTGGCATGCCCTTTTTTCACACTGCCGCTGGCCCATGCTTTTCCTCTAAAAGCTCTTAACTTATATATCTAATATCTTCCTAGTCCTTGAATCCACGTCAATGCCAAATCAAATACAATGGTGAACATCAATCTTTGTTCTGCCAAAATGAAGAATGAAAACATGTAAAGTACAACTCTCTAACAAAATTATAAAGAAAACAGAATAGAATACAATCCTTGACACAATGCCAAGGCACAATTTATTTTCGATCCCCCTATCAATGCTTTCCGTCTCCATTTACCAGGACCTCAGGCTTGTTCAATCCCCACTCCACTTTCACTTCTGGGGTCAAAATGCCTGACTTTCGCAGAATGAGCTCAGCGAGAGCCGGAACGGAATCACTTGTTAAGATCTCAAGAATCTGCAGATTGGCCTCCAGCTCGCGTGTGATCCAGTTTCTGATTTCAATGGCAACCAGCGAGTCCAGCCCATATACAGAGATGGGTAGTGTGGGGTCCAGTTCCTCCGCTGGACGCATGAGAATGCTGGAGATTTTCTGTAATACTGCAGTGGCAATAATTGCAGAGGCGGTCTCTCGGGAGTGAGACTGCCGGACTGCAGAGGCGGGTGAGATGTCCATGTTGCCCTGCGCGGCATCGGCAAGCGTCCCTGCTTCCGCGAGGGTTGACAGACGCAAGAGATGAGATAGCTTGGTGTCGTTCACCCAGAATGGCTGCTCAGTCGCTGGTGTAGTCTTGACACCGTCAAATCCCACCACGCAGTGACCGTCACATGTCTCCTGCATTTCCTTTCGAATTGCAGCAGCAACAAGGCCACGAATGTCGTTTGCATCGACAGACTCGGTGCCGAGTTGCGCAGCTATTTGCTCACGCTTTCCGTCGTCTGCCAGATATCCCACCCCACGAACGATGGGAAGGTCAATCGTTGTACATGGCATCTTCGCTGTATCGGAATATTGGGCGAGTGCCGCCATAAATGTTCCACTGGCGCTGTATGCTGACTGGCCCAGGTTTCCAACAAAGCTAGCGGCGGAGGAGAGTGTGACAAAGAAATCAATGTTTTCAATGTTTTTGGTGTTCTGCAAGGCACGTTGCAAGTTCCAGATTCCGTGGACCCTGGGGCGCACAACGGTTTCATAGTCTTCGAAGCTCATTTTTTCGAACAGTGTATCCTGAGAAATATTAGCATGCAAGCCAAGTATGATAAGAATGCCAAAATCTGTACCCGAAGAACCATAGCACCATAGATGACACCACGAACAGGAGGTGACCGGCTGAGCAACGGAGCCAAATTCTGATCCACGCTCTGCTGGCTGGCAATATCACATTGGCAAACCTCCACCGTGACTCCAGCGTGAGTGAGGTCTTCGACAGTTTTCTGAGCCATTTCTGTCGATACTCCGCTCCGAGAAACAAGTACAAGATGCCTTGCTCCCTTTTGCGGTAACCAACTGGCAAGATCGAGGCCGATACCCCCAGTTCCACCCACAACAATGTACGAAGCATCTGACCGTAGGAGAGCTTGTTCTTTGCGTGGCGGATGAACCTATGTATTATGGTTAGTCCAAGTTATCAGGCTGTTTGTTTGTGAGAACATCTTTCTCACCTTGACCATGGCATCATCCGTCATTTGGACTACCATCTTGCCAATAACCTGCCCACCCTGCAACGCCCGGAACCCATTCTCGACATTACAGACAGGAATCTTAGAAATAGGCCAGCGAGACTGGGCCCCAGAGTCGATGAAAATCTGGAATGAGTCGCGGAGCAATCGCTTCAACAAGTGCGGCCGCTTTTCTCGCACCATGTTCAGATCAACAGAAGCAAATGACAAGTTCTGATTGAAATGGGCCATTTCCAGTCGTGAGTTCTGAGTGATATCGCGCTTTCCCAGCTCGATGAATCGACCGAACGGAGCAACACACTCGAAAGTTGCCTGCAGAGCATCGCCGCTCAAGGAGTTGAGGGCAACATCCACTCCCTGTCCACCGGTAGCGCGGTGGATTCCCTGGGCGAAGGAAGTGTCACGGCTGAAGAATATCTGACCTTCATTGAGCTGGTAAGTCTCCATCAGGAATTTCTTCTTCTCTTCACTTCCAACGGTAACGAAGATCTTGGCGCCGATGCGCTGGGCAATAATGATGGCTGCTTGCCCAACACCTCCTGCGGCAGCATGGATGAGAATGCTCTCACCCTGCGCCAGACGGCCGAGGTCAACCAGTGAGTAGTATGCAGTGCAGAAAACAGCTGGAATTGATGCTGCTACCTCCCATGACATGTTCTCTGGCATGGACCATGCCGCAGATGCTGGACAGCGCGAGTAGGTTGACAGTGATCCAGGCGACATTGCGCATACCCGATCTCCAGTCTTGAAATCAGTCACGGCGGTTCCGACACGGGTGATAATACCGCTGCACTCTTGGCCAAGCCTGTCTCCTTGAAGCTGACCCATGGCCATCAAGACATCCCGGAAATTCAGGGCGGCGCACTGTACTTGAATCTCGATGTGGTCAGCCGGTAGCGGGGTGGTGTATGCAATGTCATCTGTGAAATACAGCTCATCCAGAACACGGCCTTCGCCTGCGCTCAGTCTCAGCGCTCTTTTTTGCTTGAAGAGCTGCAATTGCGGTGGTGTGTTCTTCGTCTCCTGTTGAACGCTCAAATTGAGAGCCGGGTTGTCGATAAGCCGAGGAACACAGACATTTCCATTTCGAACAACAAATTCCATGTCCCCCTGCACGAGCTGTGACTTGCGGCAAAACGTGCTGTCGAATACATTGAGCATGTGTTCTACGGCCTCTGCATCAGACATGCGCTCCTGCTCGCCCAAGTCCAGTGTCACGAATGGCAGACCAGTCTCCGACCTGATTGTTCGAGCAAGGCCAATGATCATGTTCGAACCGAGAGACCGTGAGTTGATTTTGTTGTGTCTGGCCACCCACAACAATCCTCTGGCTCGGCCGGCCAAGCGTTGAATGGCTTCGAACTTGTCTCGAGTGAGATGCGCCAGGATTGACCGATCCATTCCTCCAAGGAATATACACCATTTTCCTGTAACATCGGCGGTGGCCACGTCATCGATGTTCACTGGTGCAGCGCCAGTGATTTTCTTCAAACCAGCTTCCAGAGCTAGAGAAGACACGCTTCCGATAGAATCCATTCCAACAACGATTACATCTCCAGAATTTGTCGGCCCAATTCTTGCGCCATTGGCGGTAGACATCATCAAGCATCCGGACTGGTGAGAAGCTCCTGGATACTCTTCAAGGCAGAGGTCAATTCCAGTGAAGTCGTTTGCCTTCATCACGCTGCTCCAACCCTCAACGTTAAGAAGCGGCCCGTCTTTGCGAATCTCATCACTGGCGAGCCACCAACCAGACAAAAGTGCGAACGGGAAATGTCTCGCCTTTGACACAGTCTCCTCAATGAGCATCAGCTTGCCGCCGGGCCGTAACAGGGAGCGGATATTTGCCATAGTTTGGTTAATCTCGGGAGTGGCATGCAAGACGTTACACGCGATGACCATATCATATGAGCCCGGGTTAAAGCCCTGCTCAGTCGGATCCGCCGAGATATCGAGAGTCTGGTATGTCATGAGATGGCTCCAATTTTCGAACTTTGTATTTGCCTTCTCGAAAAATCCCGGAGAGATGTCGGTGTAGGTGTAGTGTCCAAACCGAGGCGTGGATCCGACTTCACCTCCACCGAGGCTTTGCAAGATTGGCAAAGTAGCACCTCCGGTTCCAGCACCAATCTCGATGATGTTGAGCTCGGGGTTCTGGTGAGCCATCTTGTCAATGCAGACTGATGCATTCGCATAAGCTTCGCGCAGACTGTCGAGGTCCTGGTAGTGCTTGCTGAGCCTGTCATCCTCCAGCATGACAGTAAGCGGGTCGACATGGCCGCGAAGAATTTGGGGAAGAAGTTCGCCCACTCTGCATGTCAGATCGCCCGCTCCATTTGCTGTCCTCATCTCGTTGATGGTCTGATCCGAGAGGACATCTGCTGGTCCGGCAGCTTGGCATGTCTTCTGAGCCCAGCGATAGAATTTCTGATGGTGGCTTGGGAAGGTCTCAAACTCCTCCTCTGGCACCAAGTGTAACACCTGCCGAAGGTATTGCTCAGCAACACGGTCGAGTAGGCTCATTCTTTGTCCTCCAGTAACAGCGTCAGTATCCGGGCGGGGGAGTTTTTGATAGTCACTTTCAGAGAGAAACTCGAAGCAGGGCTCCCAACGAAGTTTGTAGCACATTGGGTCGGGGGTAATGTCTTTGGAGCCTTTGATATCGTTGGACATGGGCACGAGCGTCATTCCATTGATGTCAATGACAACGTCTGTGGAACTTTGGGTGTCAGTCGCGATGATGCGATTGTTCTCGGTATTGGTTGCAGGATCAATTCCAGATCCGTGGCCATAGAGTTGAAATTGTGTGCCAGCGCGTATTTCATGAGTTAACGAAACTGAAACAGTTTTGAGATGTGATGGGACATAGGTGGTCTTGGGACTGTCTGGCTGGCCATATCCCCGGAGAACCCACATCAGTTGGCAAATTCGATCAAGGGTCACTGGGTGAACAATGCAATCACTCTCATATTCATATGGCATGCAGGCTTTGGTGTCCGGAACAATCACTGTGGCCATGGCTTGCTGGTTTGTGCTGGCAGTAATGTTCGACAATCCATGGAAGATTGGGCCATATTCGACGCCGCACTGTGTGATGTTGTCATACAGAACTTGCCTGTCCACCGACACATTGCATGAGTCTTGCAATTTCAATGCCTCCAGAGAAAGTTCTGCATCCACCGCTGCTTGTTGTCGAGATCCATCCACAGGGTTTGCGTCCTTGACTTCTTGAACCATCACGAAGCCGTTACAGTGTTGATCCCAACCTCGGCCTTCAGCCCAAGAGAATACCTTGAACTCATGCCAGCCACGAACTGATTTGCCCGGCTCGGTTCGACATGAGCGTAGGCTGATCATGGTTTCCACCGATGCATTGTCTGGGATTGCGAGGACACGACTGATAGAAATATCACGAAGGTGAATTTTGCCAGGTGTGATGTGATGCAGTTGTGCCTGCTGCGAGATTGCCTCCATAGCCATGGCGAGGAATCCAGTCATTGGATAGACATTGCTGTCATGGACTCGGTGCTGACGAACCCAGGGATGGTCGTCGGCGCGAATGATGTTTCTCCAACGAGGTTCGAGGTCCACATTCTCAACGCAAAGGCTGCCAATCAGATCACTACGCGGGAACTGGCGATGAAAGAGATTTTGGCCCAAGCGCGAGCAAAACCAGTACTTCTCAGTGTGGTTCCAGGGGTATTTTGGGAGGTTGGTGAGCAGAGTAGGTTTTCTTTGGCTTCGCGCGAAATCTGGAAAGTTGATAGCTTCGAAGTCGAGCGTCATCCCCTGGACAAATAGAGAGGCAGCCAGATTTTGGATGGCTTCAATGGCGTCGGCCTTGCGTTTCAAACTGTGTGAATACTGCACATTCCGGGTGGGCGCGTGTAGTCGAACGATATCTTTGACTGGCGTTTGAAGTGCAGGATGAGGACCTATCTCGACCAAACTGGTAATCTGAGTAGAGGCCTGTGTGTCTGCCAGCAGACTCTGCAGCCCCTTTACGAACTCCACGCGGGAGACCAGGTTATCGACCCAGTACGAGGCATCCAAAGAAGTTCCCGCAACCAGACCGCCACGGACCGATGAATGGAAAGGAATGTCGGATGCTCGAGGTGCGATTTTCCCAAGCAATGACTTGTACTGCTGAGCAACTTGCTGCATGTGATGAGAGTGGTAGGCGACATCAACTTGGAGTCGGCGGGTGAATATGCCCTCTTTGTCCAAGGCGGCTTGGAGCTCCACGATGACATCTCGATCTCCAGACAATGTAACACTCGACTCGCTGTTCACGCAGGCGATGACAGCTCGTTGGCCTCGCATGGCATCCAGAATTTGTTGGACTTCTCCAGCATTGGCACCCACTGCCAGCATAGCTCCCTGAACTGTTTTGTCGTTTGCGAGAAGGTTTGCTGCGACTCCTCGGAAATATGCCACGCGGACGCAGTCTTCCAATCCCAAAATTCCCGCTGCATAGGCCGCTGCAATTTCTCCGCTCGAATGCCCCACGACTGCCTTAGGACGAACTCCCCAAGACGCAAGAAGATCAACCAGTGCCAGCTGGACCGCCGTGCAAGCAGGTTGGCTCATATAGGCAGCAGATAGTGAGCTGGCATTGGAATCCTCTAGTAATAACTCCTCTTGAAGAGATTTAGTATGTGCGAATGAAGGTGGAGTAAAGTGGTTAACATACCAGTAATGGAGAAATTTGCCCCGAAAGTCTTCAAATAAGTATCCACAGCTTGCATTGTCTTCTGGAAAACAGGATATGTACCCAGAAGCTCTTTACCCATGCCATGCCACTGTGCTCCCTGTCCGGTGAATACAAAGCCAACACTTGGTTCGCGAGAAGAACGAATTGGCTCTGGGTCTTTAGACAGATACTCATTCAATACCATATATGAAGATGCAGATACGGCAACCCTCCATGGTAGGAAGCTCCGCCGCTGGCCGAGGGTATAAGCTATCTTGTCCATCAGGCTGTCTGTGAATGCTGGTGGGTTGAGGTCCAGATATGCTGCCAATTCTTTTGAAAGCTGCAAGGCTGCCCGTTTATCATGAGCTGACACAATGTATAGTTTGCGCTTTAGAGGGTCTGTGTTCTGCATTCCCTCGCCGTCATGTCGAGGACCACGCTCAAGGACGACGTGGGCATTGGTTCCACCGAAACCAAAATTGTTCACACTGGCATAGGTTTTACCCCGTGGCCAGGGCTGCAATTTCTTTGGAATCTGCTCGTTAGGAAATTGTCAGCATACTCTCTTGCATCACATTCTCTCCGCGGTCATCTCACTTTCATATTCCATTTTTCCAGGGGAATCTCCTCATTGGCCTTCTCGAAGTTGCAATTGGGTAGAATAAAGCCCCGTTCGAGCATCAGGGCAGCCTTGATTACCGAGACAATACCGCTAGCTCCTTCCAGATGGCCAATGTTGGACTTAACTGAGCCGAGAAATAGCGGTTGCCGCGGCGTGCGTCCCTCTCCAAAGACTGCCTGTAACGCCCTAGCTTCCAGGGGATCTCCAACTTTGGTCCCCGTTCCGTGGGCTTCGACAAATCCGGTTTGGGACGGACTGATACCAGCGGACTTGTAGACCTGGCGCATGAGGGCCTCCTGTGCGGCGCTATTGGGCATTGAAATGCCTCTTGTCCGTCCATCTTGGTTGATACCGCTGTTGACAACCACTGATCGGATGATATCTCCAGCTATACGTGCGTCTTCCAAGGATTTCAAAATGATAACCCCCGCACCTTCGCCGCGGCCAAATCCACTTGCTCTATGGTCAAATGCATATGACTTGCCGGATTCCGAAAGAAGCCTTGATAAGTATATTAGTAACTGAAAATAGACGTCATTGATATCGCATGTTCTTACCGAGCCCGACTCATAGAAACAAAGGCTTCTGGGAATATGTTCAGATGACAACCTCCTACAATTGCCATGGTGCATTCACCGTTGCGAATACTTTGGCATGCTAGATGCAAAGCAGCCAAACTGGAAGAACACGCCGTGTCGACCGTGACACTCGGCCCAGTCAGGTCGAAATAATATGAAATGCGATTTGCCTGAAGTGACAAAGCGGTGCCGGTGGCCGAGTACATTGGCACTGCTTCCATATCCTTGGTGTTGTTCGAGTCGTAGTCCGCAAATGAGCCTCCTGTAAACACACCGACGTTTCGGCCGGCGATAGAGTGATTTGGAACACCTGCATTTTCCAAAGCTTCATAGACACATTCCAGCAGTATGCGCTGTTGTGGATCGAGAGAGCGCGCCTCTTGCAGTGTAATTTTAAAGAAAGGCGCATCAAACAATCCAATATCCTCGTCTAGAAAGTGGGCGCCTTTGGCATTGATAGAGCCGGATCGATCAGGGTTAGGGTGAGAAAAAGCTTCGGCGTTGAATCGACTTTTAGGAATCGGAGACCATGCGCTCCGGGCTCGCGAGCATAGGTCCCAGAAGTCATCGAGGGTAGACACCTGCCCTGGAAGGCGGCAGGCCATGCCGATAATGGCCATGCGCTTGGGTGCATCCACGGGCATCTCCTCCTTATGCACCCCGTTGGTGACTGGTGTCCCAGCCCCGTCGGGCGGTTGAAGGCGCATATTTTGGGAGAAAAGGCGTGTCGGGATGTTCCAAGATATCAACTCAGGTAGTTACTTGGAACGGACATGGCCCAGCAAAGTCGGAAAAAGGGAATCTCGATAAGCGCAGGGCCGCGGTTTACTGGGGAAGAATCGGATATATAGTCGGCCACGTATCGGAAGGGACCATCTGGCCGGTCAGCAGGTCGGCAGAAAAATCATAATCCCGGAACGAGTTATGGGAGTTGATGTCGTCCCTTGCATGACGGCCCAGTGTGTAGCTGCAGATCGTGCCCTGAGCCGGGCAAGGATAGCTGAATTAGAGGCCCATGCCATGTTCCTTGATGACGCACATCAATACTATGAAGTTCAAGACAGGGAGTAGGAAGGTTCAGAGACACACCCTCGTTAGACAGGACCTAGGGCTGTAGATCTGGTTGTTGAGTCCATCGGTTTCGCCGCATACCCCGTGTAGCGCCGTCCTCCGGACCACTATTGTTCGTCCCGTGGCCCTTGCTAAAGTGAGGGTGCATTCCAGCGAAGGGGGGGCTCGGATTTCTCCTGTGTTTGAAGAGTCCCTGGCAAGGAATTCCATTATCTTGCCTTCAGCTACTAGTCATTCCGCGAGGGCGATATGTGATAATTGTTCTCTGCTTGTTAGTTAGTCCGATCACCAATATACTTCCCGCCATCATGAGGTTTCTCTGTCTGCCCGGCGCATTTTGCAATGCTAAGGTCCGTTTAAACTTGTCTGCACGTGGAAGTTGAGTTGAGGCTAACGGGAGTTTAGGCGTTTAAAACGCAGCTAGGTAAGCGCGGCACGTTCTAATCAGCGGATAGATCTGACCACCCCTCGTGCATCCAGGGCCATTTTGCGATCGTCTCTTGTCCGATGGCTCTGCCGACTTCTACTTCACTCAGGGCACGACGCCCTTCACTCCTCCGCCAGGGCTGGAGGATTTTTTGGGCCGCCGCCCAATTTCACGTTTGCCGAAGTCGATGACCCCGACCTGATCAACTTCAATATTTTGGACTTCCCCCGGCGCGACACCCCGGAAGATACTATGAAGTTCGCCATGGATCTGGCGGGCCATCCCACATTTTCCAGTATTCGCAAAGTCATGGACCGGTTAATCGGGATCCTGGACACCGAGGACGACATCGCCGGCGTGATCGGCTACTCCGAGGGTGCGAAGATCGCAGCCACGCTCATTCTGGAGGAGGAACGCAGGCGCAAGCAACATGGCCGAGCCCCAAGACTGAAATGCGCCGTGCTCATCTGCGGATGGCCGGTACTAGACCCAGAAACTGGCGCGACAATCCTGGCGGCGGATGAAGACAGCGATAACGAGGGCGAAACGATCACCATTCCCACTTGCCATGTGGTTGGTGCGGCGGACCCTTTCCTCGATGCTTCCATGGCCTTGTACAATGTCTGCGATCCGGACAACGCCGAGTTGTTTGACCATGGAGGCGGGCACGTCATTCCTCGGGGAAAGCAAACGGTGGACGATCTGGCGGTTGTTGTTCGGGAGATGATATTGTCAGTAGACAATTGAGATGGCTGCGTTTCGGTGTAGAAATATTCCATTGGTTCTATACTTTCATAAATCACAACCAGAAGAAGAGGCAGGTCTAGATCGACCTCAGCATGCCTCAGCAGTAGCATACAGCAAAACAAATCCCCGACGCCAGGCAGAGCAGTGGAGCAGAAATCTCCTAGATGAAAGTAGCAGCAGATCCCCAACTGGTATTCTCGAACAGGAAACTCCAACGGTCGTGCGATAGCAACATTCAGTTCAATAACGGGCTCGTCTCATTATTCTCTTCCTCGGGCTCCCCCGACGCCTGTGCCTGGTCCTGGCCCTGGCCGCCCACGAGACTCAATAGCCACGCGAGGAGTCCCCAGTCCTGACAGCCACAGCTCGTCGGTTCCAGCCCCTGGCCATCATCCAGCCGCTCATACTGAGCATCCTTCCAACGGGAGCGCAGCCGCTGCACCGCCCAAACCACCAGATACACCAGTCCGGCCAGCGCTAGCGAAGACAACACAGCAACCAAAACAGATAGGACCGTCAAGGTGCTGACGTTGCACCCAAAGGGCGCAGCGCGCAGCTCCCATCGTTCCTTGGAGCCGAGCGGACAGAGATGCGAGGAGCGGATGGGGCTGAAGATCGGGAGACGGGCCGGGTTGGGCACGCAGGTCGAAGACTATTATTGAGTCGGATTAATTGATTAGCCATCATCCTGACTGACAGGGCCAGGCGAGGAAGCGAGAGAGAGGTGAAACACCATTCTGGAATGCAAGGAGAAGAAACAAGCACCACTCTGTCTGCCGTCGGACCAAAACAAAAAACATTCATTATTACATTTAGATGCAGTAAATATAGCAAAGAAAGAAAAACCATATGGTATATGTCAGAAAGAAGAAAGAAATCGTCGGCATACAATGGGACACCAGCTGCACGCGACATCGCCGGACAGGCACGATGAGCACGACTGGCGCCGCCAACAGACGTGGAAGAGCGGATCGCTAGCGTCGAAGGGGCCACTTTGGGCCATCTCCGATGGATAGATAGATAAATGTAAGGCGCTCGAGGGGATTCCGCCAGGTGTCTTGGGATGGTAGTCCTTACATTGGGAGGAAGAAAGAAAAGAAGTTGTTGCTGGGGAGAAAGCCTGCGGGGCTGGATGTCTTTCATCTTCCATGACGACCACTAATCCCTGTCGCAAATATGTAACTACGAGGGGCACAAATTTAGTAGTACAGAATCTATTAGTGGCTATGGATGGTTGCATAACAGCATGTCCGGTTTTCGTCTCAGCAATCCAATCCAAGACCCAGAAACCCCCCGATTCGCAGGATCATACTTCGTGCAAGGGTGCCCAGGAAGGGCAACATCAGACAACGCGCTTGACCTATATTCCCCAGATCATATCGTTAGCACAGACTATTCGCGTCCTCGGCTGCTACTCAACCCAACTCACCTCGAAGAAGCGCTTCAGCCACCAGACCTGGAAGATGCCCTCGCCAATCACCACCACCAGCTGGAAGAGACTCCACCACTTCACACGGCCATTGGTGCTCTCGGCAGTATTCCGGTGCACGCGCTCCCGGACAACAATGTACGACTGCTCATCACGAACCTTCGCCAGGTTTTCGGAGAGATGGCGGACTAGCCCCAATGCCATTAGTAACCCGTTATGTGATGTCCTGTGACGGAGCTCCTTCTCTCACCTTCGATCTCTAGGGGATCCTGGTTCATTTCCGACTCGGGCACGTAGACAATGCCGTGGACGTTGAACGAGACCTCCTTCGAGTTGGAGGTCCAGCCCTCATTGCTGAAGCAGTAGGAGTATCGGCCATCGGCGCGCGCGGTGAACGAGTAGTCTTCCGATGAGATGGCTTGCTTGTAGTACTGGCGGTTTCGCAGGGGGTCCTCGACCTGGAATTGGAAAGGGGTCAGCAGTCCGTTTTCCCTTGTTCGTCAACACAGCACCAAGATATTTTCACGACATACCCAGAAGTCAATGTCCAGATTCCCACTGCCTCCAAACTCCCGATCGCCCACCTGGAAGGTGACGGTCATCAAGTCGTCCTTGTGTAGGTCCTCGTGGAAGCATTCTCGCGAGTGAGACTTGAGCTGGATGGTGTGTGCGGTCGTGGCGGTGATCCACCCCAGTGCGGTGACCAGGAGGGCGGTCGTAGAGAATCGCATCGTGAGGTATGGGAGATTCTCGGCTCCGTAGTACCTGGAGTAGATGTATTAAATGGGGGTAGGGAGGAGGTTGAAGCGGATGGTTAGGGAGTGTTGACGGATCAACGCGCAAGGTGGCCGGAGACGCTCGGACCACCCAGCAACCAGTCAGTGAAGAACCCAAGTATATGGGGAGGATATTGTTATGACTAGGGAACGAGTAGGGTAATAAATAGAACTCGTCAATTAACAGGAATAGAAAGTTCTAATTGATTGCATCTTAAGATACCTCTGCGCCTGTCCAAAAATATATATATTCGTGACCTCCCTCCTTTGAGACTGAATACATACCGAAGACATACTGATCCTAGATTCAACAGAATAATCGAAGAATAGTTAGTATCTCCCCCAAAGACCCAAGGCGGAGAAAGGCAAAGCCAATCAGAGAGTATGGATATATGAATGTGAATTCCTAAAATCTTATACGGTGTATACTATAGACACAACAACAAGACACAGACACTGAACACAGATGAGAGTAAGAAATAGTAGATATCTAACAGGTCGAAAGAGCGGCAGGAAGACAATTAGGTATGTGAGAGAGGGGTGAGACTCATAGGTTGCAAGATCCAATGTACATGTGTGGGTAAATGATCAGAAAAAAAAGCGGAAGGTGGTATCAAATCCGAGAGAAAAGAGAAGAAAGGAAAAATCACAGGCGGAAGCCATAGAAAAAAGATAAGTATGTATGGGAAAAGAAATGAAGAAAAGAAAAAGAGAGAGAGAGAGAGAGAGAGAGAGAGAGAGAGAGAGTGTGTGTGTGTGAGGGCGCTGATAAAAAAAAGACACGCAAGGCAAAAAGGGTTCCGTCTTCCAGTCCATTCTGCGACGAGATGACCCGGGAAAATCACAAAGCAAATAAAAGAAATGAAAATCAGTCTAGGAAACGATAGAATAGGCAAGATCATTCGTCTTCGGAGTTTTCAGCAGCGTCTTCTTCAACAGGGCTCTCAACAGGGCTCTCAACAGGACTTTCCACAGGGCTCTCAGGAGCAGGTTCAGCAGATATCCTCGGCCCAAACGGACCGTCATGCTCGTTCTGGCTGGGACTTGTCGCCGAGACCAAGCCGCCGACGGTGCTCTCGATATCATCGGGCATGAAGTTGTCTTCCTCGTAGTTTCCCGGCTCGGCATCGTGATCGTAGCTCGAGCGGCGGAGGAGCGGAGGCGTCTGGGGCGGGTCGGCCAGGGCGGTTTCAGTCAGGACGGAGCCACGGCGAGGCGTGGAGTTGAATCCCCTCAACGGCCGGGTCTCCGTGTAGGAGGAGCTGCGTGCCGGCGCAGCTGTGTGCGGAGGAGCGTTTGGGCGGACGTGCGATCCAGGTGGTGTGAGCAGGCCGGACAAGAAGCCACCGGCAGCGTTGCTGGACTTGGATGGGGTTTGGTCTGAGGGGTTCAGGCTGGAATTGGAATTATCCCGGCCTTTGCGCCAGTTGCCCCATGCTGCGGCCGCGGCGAGAGGGAGCGAACGGGGTGAGGCGGCGAGATCAGAGAGGGAAGGGAGCGAAAGGCTGTTGCCTGACATTGCTCGCTCTCTCTCCTGCTGCTGCATCTGCAGGTTGGCCTTGAGACGAATAGCGGCGTCGCGGACGGCATGTTTGTTGAAGTTGGGCTGAGAGAGGGTCCGGATGATGTCCTGCAGGTCATCGATGCGGACACCGAGAACCTCGCGCAACCACGTAATTTCGGTGTCGCGTTCTTTGATCTTGTTGGGCGCATCCTTATCAACAGTCGAAGCTTCCTGCTCGAGCTCCTCAATGCGTGTCTCACGCTGCTGGAGCTGGTCTTGAAGCACCATGATCGACTCACGGAGAGCCTGGGGAGAAATCTTCTCAGGCTCCTTGGAGCCCTTGCTGAAGGACATCGACGGCGAGGGCGCATGGGCAGGCGCCGGCGCCGCGATAGCCTCAGTGCTAGGAGCCTTGCCGCTACGAGCAGCCTCGGCGGCGGCACGGGCAGCAGACTGAGCGATCTCGAGCTTCTCTTCAAGGTGCTGCACCCGCTCCTGTAAGTGCTTGACCTTGTCATCGGACAGGGCAAGACGGTCCATCAAATGGCTCTCACCCCGCTGGCGGTCTTCGGAGCCGTTGTGCAGGGCACGACCATGGCGTTCTCGGAGATCATTGAGGACTCGCTCGTGCATCTTGCTCTGAGCATCAAGAGCAGTATCCTTGGATTCGGTGGCGGTCTCAAGCTGGCTCTGGAGACGGAGGATTTGTGCCTCCAGCTCGGCCCGAACGAGCTCGGACTGGCCGTTGGAAGCGTCCGCGTCGGCCTCCATCTGGGACTTGGTGCGCTGGATATCCAAACGGTGGGTCTCCTGAGAGTCGTTAAGCTCACGCTCCAAGCGAGCAGCTTTGAGATGAATCTCATGGTTCTCGTTTCGCAGATTGGTGACCAGCTCGTTCAGCTTTTCATTCTCCACATGTGACTGCTCGAGCATGAACTTGACCTTGGTGGATTCCCGCTCCTGGAGCTCGAGGTCATTAACATCTTGCTCCAGCTTTTCACGCAGTTTGACTTCGCGAGTATACGAGGCGTACAGCTCATTGTATCTGGCGGTCTGCTCTTCTTCTTTTCGGCGCGATGTAGCTTGCTCACGGCCGATGTCGTGAGTAGCGTTGACCATGTCTTGTTGGAGGCGGTCGAACTTCTCAGTGAGGTTCTGCCGGACAGCCATATTGTCTTCGATGCGAACCCTGAGATGATCAATCGTTTCGTGGAGAGTCTTGTTCTCATCCGAGGTGGTGCTCAGTTGCTTGCGGTAACTGTCGCTGGAGACACGGTATTCGTCCAGGTCACCTTGAAGAGCAATATTCTTCGAGGACAGCTCGGCGATGGTGACTTTCAGAGTCTCAGTCTCCTCGGCAAGGGTGTCCGAGCGGAACTGCATCTTCTCAAAGTAGGGAATCTTCTCTTCCTTGAATTGAAGGAAACGGGTCTCTGCATCTTCCGCGGCAGCGCTGTGGCGAGCTGCATCTTCTTCAGCGACCTTCAAGCGCCGTTCAAACTCGACTACCTTTTCTTGCGCCTCCCGGCGCTGCGTATACTCCGCTTCCGCACGCTCATCAGCCATTCTCAGCATGGTCTTGAGGCTCTCAATCTGGAGCATGAGGCTGTCGGCACCGATTTCCTCGGCGTCAGTCATACGCGGAGTATTCGCGGCCAGCTGTTTCGCGAGCGTTTCTTCGAGGATCTCGCGCATGTCGCCGACAGGATCCTGAGCGAGCTTCTTGATAGTCAAGGCCTGCAATTCGGCAATGCTTTCCTTGAGCAGCGCGATTTCGCTATGGCTGGAGTGCTGTGGTGCGCGAGTGGGCAGGTCATGGGTGGCCAATGCCTCCATGACAACATTCTTCAGCATATCCAGCTTGCGGTCCCGCATGTAGTGAGGAGAGCGGGCTCTGACAGAGGACTGCTCGTGACCCCCTTCATCGTCTTCGTCGTCAGCATCGCTGTCCTCAAACTCAGCCGAAGTACTGCGGAACACCCGGCGACTGGCGGAGCCGGCAGCGATAGAAGCAACAGACTGCTGGATGACACCCAGCGCACGCTCCATGGGTCCCAGCCGGTCATCAATGGCGGAGCCAACGAGGTCGTTGATGCGGCGGTCGAAAAATCGGTTGCGATTCATGAACTTCTCGTCTTCGCCCGAGGAGATCATGTCATCCCAGTCGCTAACATGGTCATTCTCCGTGATAAGTTGACGGACAGGTGATTGAAGACGAGAGACGAGGCTCTTTTGGGGTGAGAAGGTAGCGACGCTCTGCGCATCGACGTCCGAGCCAAGCTTGGGGATATCCAGCTTGTAGGTTCTCTGGCCACCGCCAGGGCTCGGGCTGGGAGCATCGCCTCTGGCGTCCGCAGAACCGAATCGCTGTTCCTTGGTGGGACCACCCACGGAGTCGGTGACCTGCTGTGGTGGGAGGGGAGTGGTCTGGCGTACAATGCCGACATCTGAATCGTCACCGTTCAATTGCTCCATAATGGCGTTCAACTCCTCATCATCAGGTGATTCCAAGCCGGAGTCTTGGTCCAGGTTCTTGACCTGTCGAGAAGCGGGCTCAGGAGTGCGCGTAGGGTAGTGTGAGCCAATCTCACGCTTCAATTGTTGTGCAGATGGAGAAGGCTCGTCCTCCTTGGGCTGTGGCGGGGGTGTGTCGGCAGCGAAGCGGGAGGCCATGAGACCACCCTGCTTCTTCTTTTCAACCGGTTTTTGATCAATCAGAGGCATTTGCTCATCGATCGCCTTCTCAGCAAAGCTGGATGGCTGAACAGTCACCGGCACAAATTCAGAAACGGCAGGTTTGAACTCGAAAGGCGGGGCTGTGGCCGACAGCATATTCTTGGAAGAATCCATAGATTCCTTCGCGGCATGATCCACAGCATTGGAGTCAGTGGGAGGCCCATTTACCTGCTTGACAGCCGGCTCAGACTCAGCCTGATCGGCAACGGTATCTTCTGGCAGCTTCGGTTCTTGGATTTGGTCAAGCTGAGCCGGGGATGCTGTATTGGATCTGGCAGCCTCAGCCTCGTTTTTCGCATCAAACAGAGTCCAAGTGGTAGCCTCGCTGGCAGGCGTTCCTTTGCGTTCGATGGACCGGTCCTCCGGCAATGCGTTCTCCTTGCCCTCAGCCAAGGTAGGGAGCGTGCTCGAGGTCTGCACGTTGCCTGTCTCGCCTAGAGGATGGGTTGAGATGCTATACCGAGCTTCGCCTTGGGCATGACCAATGCCACGACGGGCACGCTTATGACGATCCGTAGGAACTGGTCGGCCATTGATGTCCTCGGTCTCGACGTTTTCATCATCCTCTTTCTCCTTCTCAACCTCATCGGGTCGCACAATCGGGATAGCCTTGGATTTCTTGGGCGGCTTAGAGATCTCCGCGAGATTGATGTCACCAAAGATCTTTGTCCGGTTGGCCGAAGGCATATCTGTGCTGGCAGTGGAGTTGAGGCTGGCCGACGGGTTGAATTCTGGAGCCTCGACATTGAAAGAGGCAGCAGAGAACTTGAAATTCGAGTTGCGGTTGGCGTCGGAGCGCGTGGTGCTGTCCATCGAGCCATTGGTAAGCCCAGCAGGAGCGAACGCCGGAGCCGCCGCAAAACCACCAAAGCCGTGCTGCTCACCAATTCCACCGAATTGGAAGGCGCTGTTGGAGAATGGCGAAGCCTGGGATCCAAATGAGGCGGTTGGATTGAACTCCTTCGCTTCAACGTTCAGAGACGAAGTCGACAGTTTCGAATGGTGACCAGGGTGCCATGGCGCTCCACGAACCTGTGGCGTTCCACTGAGGCTGGGGTTTGTGTCGAAATCAGATCCCTCGTGTCCATTGTCCTGCAAATAATGGTCCCCGAAGAACTGGTGTGCTTGCTGGGCGAATGAGTGAGGCGGCTGGCCAGAGGTGCTTTCATCGTTCTCCGGCAGCGCCCAGCGGGAGTTGAGAAATTCAGCAGCTTTGAGAGGCTGAGTATTATGATCGTCTTCGTCCAACTGCCGTTCAATCGACTCCTCCAGGTGATAGTTGGGATGTCCCATCTGGTCCAAGCCGCGCTGCAGGGTCTCGCTGAGATTGTGACCGTGGCCGCGAGGGGTCGGCTGAGCAAGTTCAACATTGGAAGCGTGGAATTGATCCGGCGGCGCATTGATGGGGGTCTGAGGCATAGGAAATGGCAGGCCATCGCCACGGGCTTGACCGAATTGATCGCTGAAAACATCCTTGGAGGGAGCCGCACCGTCGAACCCTGGGTGGAAGGGGCTTTGATCATGCAGAGGGGAAACTGGCGACAACATGGACGAGAAGTTGTGCATACCTCCGGGTCCAGTGGACGAGCTGGCTTGACGAGCATTGAGGAGGCTCTGGGGCGTGATGGATTGAGCAGGCGGCGTGGGCTGGAATTGGAATGGATATCCAGGCATATAGTTCTGCTCGACGCCCATAAACGGTGTCTGAACGCTAAATTGTGATGCAGGAGACGCCAATGACCCCATACCACCACTCGTCGTGGTTGTCGACTGACCAAAGTGTGGCGAGAAAGGATGAGGGTGCGCTAGCGGATTGCTCCCTGCCGACTGCGTCGGCAGCGGCGGCGATCCGATAAGACCTTGGAATGGTGTGTGCGTTTGGCTCATTGCAGCCTCGGCGGGAGACATGGAGGGTTCCGGCTCCGGTTCGGCGAAGGATACTCCCAGAGCCCGCAGCTTCTCCTCTTGCAAGTCAGCTACATAGGAATCCCACACGGCCTTGTTGGGGAAGTTAATGACCGGCTCCTTGCTCTTTGGGTCTGCTTGCATCTCAGCTGGATCGGGATATAGTGGTCGACTGAAACCGCCCAGGTCTGTCGTCTCAGTTGGATCTTCGGACGAGCCGATGCTGAATCCACGGACATCCCATCCGTCATCCTCCCATTGTTTCAACCGCTCCTGAACATCTGCGGGTGTCAAGAGACGATCTCCATGCTGCTCCGACCCTCTTTTATCATCCACTGGCAGGTCCACAATGCAGGCCTTGCCGCGCCAAGCCAACTTCTTTCGCCGTCTTGGAGTGTGGACAGAGGCCTGGGACTTGTGCCGTCTTGGCAGCGCCGGCTTAGATTCTTCCTCTGGCTGTTCTTGTGGTATTTCCATATCCCCCTCAGCCGGCGCAGGAGGCAATGGCTTTTCCACAGGCGAGGTTGGGCTGATCACCTCCGCTTCGACGGAAGGCTCCATCTCCTTGATATCCGACATACTGTTCTGCGGGGAATCTTGGTCGTAAGCGAATCCCCAAAAGTCCTCTTGACGCAGGGTTTCCGCACGCTTGTGCAGCTTCTTTTTTAGTCTAGCAGCGCTGCGACCCACAAAGTCCGAGAGAGTGGGTGTTTTGAGGAGGTCGTCGTCCCGAATATCTCCCTCTAGACCGAGCCAATCGTCCGAACCGTCGTCTGCGAGCTGTTGCTGCTGCTGCGCTGCGAGAAGTGACGGGGCCTCGCTCCCAGAGTCGTCGCTCAACCAGTTGGTGCGCTCGCTCCGCGGCTGACCCGAGAGATACTGGTTGATCCAATCCTGAGTGAAATCCCGAATCGATTTGTCTTCGTTCTGCGCGGCTGGATCTCCTTCCGGGGCGTTACTCGATCTCCGAGACTCCGGGGCCGGCGAGCTGGCTCCTGAACCGTGATCGACACCGGCGTATTGACTGAGGGTCAACGAGAGTCTGCGCGAACTGGGTGCCGCATACGGGGAGCCCCAGGTTGTTGTATAATAGAGACCACTGTCTTTCCTGCGGTGGTCTGGCAACAACGTCTGCGACTCCTCAGTTCGACCAAGTGCCGAGAAGACGGGGAGCTGTGGCGGCTCGAGGGCAATGCTCCGCGGAGAATTTGGGGGTGAATGCGAACCCGCGGCGGACGAGCTCGAATCTCCTGACGGCGGAGACGATAGGATCAGAGCCGGGGCCTGGCGCGGCTTGCCGTCGTCGTCGTTGTGGTCTGTCGAGTGGAAGGGCGGAGAAGACGCCGAAAGGGCGGAAGAGACGGGATGATCTAGATCTGGAAGTGCATGGTTAGTGGCCGTGTGGGGGAATCAAGGGAGACTGAGACAGAAGGAATTCTCGCGTGGCAAGGAAGATAAATTGGACCAGTCACATACCGTCCGTGTCGACTCCTGCAGCAAGCACTTGCTTGCCGCTCCGCTTATTGTCCAGAATGTTGACGCATGGAAATCACACTGGGCAGATTGAAGACCACTTGGCGGACAACCGATGTGATCTGGGGTTGAGGGGGGAAGGGAGTGTGGAAGACCAGCAATCTGGCAGTGGGGTGGCCCAGTAGACGAGGATGTCGTGGGATAGGGATCACAACAGACCGGGCTCAGGATGGACCATGGCGCAACAACAGGAAGGAGGTGAACGACGACGAACAGGGGAAAAGGGAAAAAAAGGCCGTCACGTCACGGGCCACGGGGTGGGTACCGGGTACTTGGATGTTGGCTGGGCCAGTGCGTGCTGCGCGAGGTATCGGGTACATACATGGGTTGGACTCGGTCCCTGAGTGGCTTAGGGTTGGCCGTTACTAGTGAGTTCCCTGCGCGTCGCGTCACTGTGGCCTTTTGTCCTCGGCCCCCAGTGGGTGGGATTGGATCTATACATGACTCTTTACCCTCTTTCTTACCTTTCTCTGGTCTATCTACTGCCGTCCACCTGCACCTCCCTCCCTTGCGCAATCCGCATACATGTAGTGAGCGCAAAATAAACACGGCGAGGTGTGGTTCGTGTCTGGAGATTCAGGGGTACCAGATCCACGGCTCGCCGTGACAAGACCATTACATACGACAGTGATTTCGAGGCACATCATTGGTCAATCTCATCTTGATTTTTTGGGGCCCCTCTGTATCGAGGTATGCTATGTAACTTCGCTGTTCTATGTATGTACTCTACGGACAAGTTACGTTGAACTTGACCGTGCTATGTATGTACTCTAGGGACAAGTGACGTTGAGCTTGGCCGTGCGGCTCGCCGTCAACAGCCCCCAGTGCTGCTCGTTCGACGCCTGCCCGTTATCTCCCGTGCTGTCCGGCTTCCACGACTCATCAAATGCCTCAAAGTAGAACACGTCCACCCCGGAGTTGAGCATGGCGCACACACCGTCCTGCCAGAACTCCGCGGCATTAGCCGTGCCCGCCTGCGCGGCGGCATAGTTCGACCCGCCGTCCGTCGGCCAGCCAGTTTCGCCGTTCAGCACGCGAATGTTGTCGAAATTGCTACCGGCCACCTGCTGGATGTGCTGGATGGCGCCGTTCATGTCGGAGAAGTAGACGTTGGTCGCGTTGCTGATCGGGCTGCCCTGCCAGTAGGCGAAGGCGTTGGCCATCAGGTAGGTGACGTTGCCCTGGATCAGGGGGTCGGCGGTGCCGTCGGCGTACTTGTTCCAGCTATCCGCGGTACCGACGGTGGTCTGCGGGAATGCGCTTTTAACCTGGTTGATGCGGGCCAGGAGGGCTTCGGCGGTCATATCGCCGCGGTACAGGGCCTCCGAGCCAACGGTGATGGCCTCAATGACGGCCTCGTTGCCCGGTACGGCAGACTGGAGAGCGCTGAAGTCCTGGTTGAACGAGGCATCGGTGTCTGGCCACATGCCGAGGACGACCTTGACGCCGCTGGACTGGGCGGCGGGCAGGATGTTCGCGGCCGTGTTGCATTCCGAGGATGAGTAGGTGCGAACAAGGGTGGAATTGGCCAGCGACTTCAGGGCGGCGAAATCGGCCTCGTAGTCGCTGGTGGCTTTGCAGGAGCCATCTGCGTTCTTGTCGCCGAGCGCGAGACCCAGCGTGCCCTGGGTGGCCGAAACCACGGCCGGAGCGGCGAGGGCAAGAGGAAGGATGCTAGCACGCATGATGTGGAATGTGTCGGGAGATGGAGGAAGAATGCAAGGAGAGAATTGTATGTATGTACAATATAGAGCAAGGAACAAGAAGAGCGGCCAGGCGGCGGCCTTTTAAACATCAAAGAAAAGGTACCCAGAGAACCTGTTCAGGCCCTGCGCGGCCCTTTCTCGGGGCCCTGAACGGAGCAGAACCAGACCTTGCACTGGGGATACTATTCGACGCACTAGAGTCATGATGTCACTGCGCCAGCCCAGATATCTCCGAACCCTGGGATGCGCGTGGAGCCGCATCGGACCACCTGCTGGGCTGGCAAACGGCATGTCCGAGCCGATCCCCCATTGTCCGCGTAGCAGGTCGCGGAAAGGTTCGGGCCCGGGGTGATTGGGTCGATCAACGGTCTGGACTCGGGTCGTTTCTGGAATTCTTCTTTCGCCTCTGGTGAGCCATGGTAATGTGATGAATGGTCCTGCAGACGAGCCAAGGGGTTTCTCCATTTGTTCGGTGTGAGTGGTGTTGGGGCCTCGGTCTGCTTGGTAGGAGAAAGGAGAATTTGGACATTACCTAACTATTTGCTGGGGAGGAGAGATGGATCCCTGGGTATATTCAGAGTAGAGAGAAATAGTAAGTAGTAGTATACATGGAAAGCAAAGAGGCAAACCCCTTCAACATCTATCTCCGTTCTGTAGTCCCTCTGCCATCCCCAAATCGATTCTTCCACCACACCCACGCCGCCTTACACCAAAACCACGTCTCGATCGTACCAAAGATCCCCAGCACGATAATCACGAACACCTTTACATTCCGACTGATTCCCAGAGATTCCAAGCTCACAGAAGGAGGTTTCTCATAGACCTCGTCACCTTTCTCCTCATCTGATTTGGAACGCCGGGGCTTTGTGGTGAGCAGTCCGGCCCGGGTTGAGAAAGCGGATGATGTTGGAAGAGACGAGGCGGGTGGACCCGTCCAGTACAGACTAGGTGGTGGGGCTCGGATGAGGCGCGGAAGCTGGCTGGGGAAGAGTTGTGGTTGCGGGCGGGTCGAGACGCCGGTTCTAGCGAGGTGAAGAGGGCGCGGTGAAAGGCGCAGCATAGTTGATAATGATGATGATGATCTTGTAGCGAGTAGTGTGAGTCAAGTCAGTCGGTCCTTGTGTAGATCCGGCCCCCGTGACATCGGACTAGAGGACGCTCTGACCTCTTGTCTTCAATGTTCCCATCAAGATGGATGAATTGTGATCACTAACGCTGCATGGAACTAACTAACAATGGTGGCAGAGACATCAACTCATACAAAATAACTCGGCCATGCATGAATCCATCAGTCGGCTAAATCTAAATAATGTTCTCCGAACACGCCATACTCCGACACTCAAATGGTACGGCGAGAATATTACCTTGTCTGTAAGGGGCAACTCAGAGGTCGATGTTCTTCTCCCGCTGGTACAGCTCCCTGAGCAGTTTCAGTTGGTTAACGCCCATAGTTTTGTTGGGGAGGACTTCCGGTAGATCCACAATGGCCCGGCGCATCAACAGAAGGCCGAACTGTCCGAAAAACCCGAGGATGCGCTCCCCGGAAGACCGCAGCATGGAACCCAGCAGCGTCACATGCGTCTCCTGCATTTCTCCAGGTGGAATAGCCAGGATCTTCGTGAGTGATATCCAGAACATCGTGTTGGGGAATGGATTCCGCCGCTGAGTTTTGCCAAAGTTGCGGAGGGATAGTGCCGCGTAGCCGGCGCCCAAGGCTGTCATGCGGTCCGCGTGTGTTTGGTCACTGACGAAAGGCCCACCGGCTTCGTCACGCCACCATCCCAACGCACGACGTCCGGCATCAGTGTTTTCGTTGCCCGTAAACCCCCAGAGTGCGGGGCAGACGACGCGGTACTTGGCCCACAGGATGTCGGACATATGGATGCCCTTGTACATGAAGGCATCCATGGAGAAGATCTGTGCGGCGATGATGCCGACCGGTTCGGCGTGACCCGGGTTGATGGATGCCTCGTTGATGAGGGCAGAAATAAGGGCCTTGGCGAAGATGTTGAGACCGTAGATTAGGAGGGCTGGGGCTTTGTTGTCCTCTGAATTGGCAATCTCCGGAGGAGGGAACGCAATGAATTTGCGCACGTCGACTGAGGGCTCTGAAATACTAGACGCCTTTTCCAGTTCGGCTTTGATCTGTGCAATCTGTTTTTGGGGGATCAGGTTTGCAGACATCACAAAGAGAAGGGACTGCTACATACTTGTTGTCTGTTTGTCCCCTTGCCATCTCGAAGCTGGCCTACACACTTCTTGATTGACCGGCGCATGTCTCCCATGGCTTGCTTGGCCGAGGCGTTTTCCTTGGCAACGTTGCGTAGCCATTGCCGTACCTGCTTGAGGGTTTTGTGAAGCTCGACGTAACGTTCTTGGACCTTGATCTCTGCCTCGGTGAGTCGAGTACCACCGACCTTAGCCTGTTGTTCACTGCGTGCTTTCTGCTCCGCCTCCTGCCTGGCCTTCTGGGCCTCTTCTTCCTGTTTCCGCTTCTCAACCTCTACCCGTTCCCGTTCCTGACGGTCCTTCTCCGCCTGCGCGGCCTGCCGCGCTTGCTCAGCCTCTCGTTCGGCCTTCTTTTTCGCCTCTTCCTTCGCCTTGCGATCCGCCTCAATCCGCGCTTTTTCTTCCTGCTCGCGTCGTAGCTTCTCGGCCTTCTCGCGCTGGATTCGCTCGCGTTCTTTCCGCGCCTCCTCTTCCTTCCGTTGTCGTTCTTCTTCCTCTTGCCGAATGTGTTCTTTCAGGTAGGCCTCGGCTTCCTCTCGGACCCGGTCATGGTAGGCGGCCGCTTCGTCGAGGGCGGCATTGTGCTGGGCCGCGAGTTCTTGCTCCTTTCGGTCGAGCTCGTCGTGGAATGCCTTTCGCTCGTATGCGTGGACCTTCTTCAGGTCGAGGTCGAAGAGACGGACTTGCTCGAATTGTTGCGCGAGATCGCGCATGAGCTGCTTGGACGGACTGTCCAGCGGGGGGACGTGGACCTTCCCTCGCGCCATGGTAAAGAGTGTCGTGAAGAAGGGAAAGGCGGCGCGTGGGTGGGTGGTCGGTCACCTCGACGGCCCGAGATCGTGGGTCGAGGCGGGGAAGGTGGAACGTTGCTGCTAATCGCCGGGGGAGATGGTCGAGTTCAAGGAGGTCATGGTGTGAAGAGAATGGCAGTGTGAACCCGTTCCGGTTGGGACAATCAATAACGAGGTCTACAACAGAGTTGTGGACCTTGAGCTTCTTCCGCAACGGGAGCAAAATAAAATACTGCTGAGTCAGCGCGTAGGGGGGCTGGGAGCGGGTCTGGTTCTGGTTCCTTTGCATCATCATGAACATCATCATCGGTTCGCTCGTGGTAGACCGAGCTCAAGCTCTGGAGGAGGGAGCTCCCTCAGTCGCTCGAGCTCGCTGAACCGAAAAAGAACAAAGGTCCATTCGGGGTCTCCCTTCCTGTAGTTATTCCCCCCTCATAGACTCTGTCACGGTTGCCCCGTTTCGAGTGTCCCCCAGTGGACACTGCTGCAGCAGCTTAATAGCCCTAAGGTAGCATGTATCGTAAGCACTCAGACCTTCATGCTGAGGCCTGAGCACGATTCTGCTCCCCAGCATTGCGATCGATTGACCCTCGTCTTTCCACGGATGCAGCATGGATAATAATACCTAACTCATGATGATGACGATGATAATGGAGAGATCATCCACGGCTCCAGGGTCCATACGTGTATTTACCGCTCTCCAGTAGGGAGGACCTGCTCTGATTACCGTACCGTACCTCCCCCACACCGGCTTTGTACTTGCTCGTCTTTCACTTCATCTTTCTCTCCTTTCCTTCCTTCCTTCTCTCCCCTCGGTCCTTCTGTCCTTTCCATCTCCCCCCATCTCTCTCTCTCCTTCCCCCATCGTTCCTTCTTCGATCCAGTCGGTGCCTACACCGTCTAGCCCACCCCTCCATCCCAATTTCCCCTGCTATTGTTGTCATTCTCTTCGGGGACCGCTCAACCGCTTTGGCTTTGGGTCCTGTCCCAGATTATCAAAGAGAAGCTTCCCACCGTCGGTCGGCTCGAGTCCGATAATTGCCCGTGGTCCTAAAGGCTCCTGAGCCCAACGTTCCACCCCTCCGCTCTTGTGTGTACAGGGGTTGCGGTCACTACGGGACAAGCTCCGTCCGTCGACTCGGTCCTTCCCACTACCCTCCCAACGTTTTGAATAGGCTCGTCCTCTCAGCCGGTCCTTGTGTCGACCGACCGCCTTGGCTGTATACTTGTCTCGGGGTCTCCATTGCCGGGGTCTACTCGTCGCCGTGTTGGTGGCTTTTGCTTCAATAATTGCGATCATCCCACATTGGACAGCACAGACGTCATTTTGGAATGCTCGGACTCGGAGGTCGTCATTAGGTAAGGGCATCGCAAGCTGATTGACATCCTGCCGGCGAGAGAATTGCTCCCTGTGCATCGTCTCCCATTCTACCGTTCCTTCCCACCTTCTTCGCTGGCGGCTCCGCTCCTTTTTGCCCGCCGCTGTTGCTACTTCCTCCTTTTTTTTGTTTACTTGTCCTCTTTCTCCCTCGGTGTGCTCTTTCTCGCTCCCTCCCTCGTCGTCCTCTCCTCGCAATCCTTCACTCCTCGTGCCGTTGCTGATCCACTCTTTTTTCAACTTCAGTTTAAGCTTGCCACCGTCTCCATCGTGTTCAATCCCGCACACCAGAACCACTGGCAGTCGGGTCTGCGATTCAAACACCCAATTTATTTGCCTTTTGAGGCGTACCAGTCTCTTGTTGTCGGATTCAGTCCGCCATCCCATATCTTGAATCACTTTCAGCGACAGTCGTCGACCTTCAACTGGGATCATGGATCAACAACAAGGCGGCCAGTCCGGGGCCCCAGGCCCCAATGGCCGCAAGTTCCACATCGCTCATCGGAGAAGTCCCTCTGAGCTGACCCCTTTGATGAGTATGCTCTCTCCAAATCTTCGCGGTCGTGAACCCCTGAACTGACCCGATGCTTTTTTTTCTTTTCTGTAGTGGAACAATTAGCTATTCAGCAACAGATCGAACTGCTTCAGCAGCAGCAGCAGCAAATTGCTGCTACACACCAGCAATATGTCAATATGGGCTTGCTCCAGCCCCAGCAGCTCGGTGGTTACTCTGGTGGTAACAACATGGGCGGCGTGTCCCCCCAGGTGAACGCTTTCCAGTTCCCCCAGCAGCAGCAGCAAGGCCAGCAGCAGCAGCAACTTGGTGTTCCGAACCAACATTCACACCGCCGCAACCAGTCTGCCCTTCCAGGCTTTGTGATGGGTCCGCCCCCGGCCCCGTCGTCTGGTGCATCCGGATATTCGGAGTTCAACCAACAGGGGCAGAACAACCAGCAGGCTCAGAACAACCAAAAGAACGAGAATACTGGTCACAGTGGTCGTGGTCGTGGTGGGCCGCCCGGCGGTGGTCACCAGCGTCGCCACTCCCTTGCCCTTCCTGAGGCTAAGAAGGCCGCTGAGCTGGCACAGCAGAAGCGAGCTGCCTCCGGTTTCCAGTTTCCGACTCCTGCCCCTGGGGCTGGTGGTTCGGAGAACCCGTCGGCATCAGATGATAAGCCGCCGTCGAGCACTTCACCGGGTCCCCAAGGGCAAGGACTGGGCCTGCAGCGGGCCGGCAACATGCGCGCTGGTGGTGGTCATGGCCGCAGCCAGTCCATGGCTATTGGCGGTAACAACCGAGGTTCCTTGTCTGGCCGCGGTGCCGGTGGCTTCCAATTCCCGGCGCCCAGCGAGGGCGCTGGCCAACCCGATAATCAGCGTCGTGCTAGCCAGCCAGGAGGCCATGCCCGGTCGGGGTCTCGAAACTTTGACAGCAACTGGCGCCAGCCAAACAACCAGAACCAGGGCCAGGATCAACAGAAGCCTTATGGACAGCAGCAGGGTGGTTTCCAGCCCGGCCACCGTTCTCGTGGCTCGATGAACCAGTCGATGGGCTCTATTGGCCAGTTCCAGTATCCCGGTCAGCCCCAGCTCATTCAGCTGCCTCAGGGCCAGGTCATGATGGCGCCGCCCCAGATGTTTGGTGGACAGCAGCTTAACCCGTTGCAACTGGCCCAACTTCAGGCTCTGCAGCAGCAGAACGGTGGACAGGGTCTTGGTCTTCAGGCGAGCCAGCACGCTCCGCCGCAGCTGTCGGCTCAACAGCAGCAACAGCAACAGCAGCAGCAGAGGAAGACGCTTTTCACTCCCTACTTGCCCCAAGCGAACCTGCCTGCTCTGTTGAGCAATGGCCAGCTGGTTGCTGGTATCCTTCGTGTTAACAAGAAGAACCGCTCTGACGCCTACGTCACCACTACGGACCTGGATGCCGACATCTTTATTTGCGGTAGCAAGGACCGAAACCGTGCCCTTGAGGGCGACTATGTTGCCATCGAGCTCTTGGACGTTGACGAGGTGTGGTCCCAGAAGAGAGAGAAGGAGGAAAAGAAGAAGCGCAAGGATATCACCGACGCGCGTTCCGGTAGCACCGCCGGCAATGACAAGCTTGGCCGGTCTGATTCGAATGGCGACAGGCAAGAAGTTGGCCCGGATGGAAGCATCCGTCGCCGTGGCAGTCTTCGCCAGCGTCCCACGCAGAAGAAGAACGATGATGTCGAAGTCGAGGGTCAGAGCCTTCTGCTTGTTGAAGAAGATGAAATCAGTGATGAGCAGAAGCCCTTGTATGCAGGACATGTCGTTGCAGTCATTGAACGCATTGCGGGCCAGATGTTCTCGGGAACCCTGGGTCTCCTTCGGCCCAGTAGCCAGGCCACCAAGGAGAAACAGGAGGCCGAACGACAGGCCAGAGATGGCGCCCATGGTCGTTTCCATAATGACCGTCAGCAGGACAAGCCCAAGATAGTTTGGTTCAAGCCTACTGATAAGCGTGTGCCCTTGATCGCCATCCCCACTGAGCAGGCGCCGCGCGACTTCGTTGAAAAGCATCAGGACTACGCCAATCGCATCTTCGTTGCGTCTATCAAGCGATGGCCCATCACTTCGCTGCACCCCTTCGGCACACTTGTCGAGCAGCTGGGAGAGATGGGTGACCTTCGCGTCGAGACCGATGCTCTGCTCCGTGACAACAACTTCGGTTCAGATGAGTTCTCCGATGCCGTTCTGAAGAGCATCGGCTTTGAAGACTGGGCGGTCTCAAGCGATGAAGCAACGCTGGCATCGCGCCGTGACTTCCGTGAAGAGACCATCTTCTCGATCGATCCTGTTGACACCAAGTCACTGGAAGACGCCTTCCACATCAAGAAACTTGCTGATGGCAAGGTTGAGATCGGCGTGCACGTGGCTGACATCGCCCACTTCGTCAAGGGCAACTCCTTGGTGGATCGTGAGGCTAAGAAGCGAGGCACTGCTGTCTATCTTGTTGATCGTGTCATGAACATGCTGCCCGCACGCGTCTCCAACGAGCTTTGTTCCCTTCTGCCAGGCCAGGACCGTCTGACAGTTAGCGTGGTGTTCCAGGCGAACCCGGAGACCGGAGCTGTCGATGATGATGTCTGGATCGGTAAGGGTGTCATCAAGAGCACGGGCCGGCTGAGTTACGACGATGTCAACTCGGTTGTGAAGGACAATTCGGATGTTGGCGTGCCTGGCATCACAGCTGAGCAGGTTCGCTCTTTGAACGTGAGTTTCCAATCTCCCCATATTTTCTTGACTCTTCTAAATTTGGTTCTCTAGGATATTGCTAATAAATTCCGGGAGGCTCGTCTCGGTAACCGCGTGACTCCTGTCCCGCCCTTGCGGTTGCTTCAGCAGCTTGACGATGAGAATGTGCCTGTTGAATTCAATATTTTTGATTCCACACCCGCCCATGAGCTTGTTGAGGAACTTAGTCACCAGGCCAACTTCTTTGTTGCCCGCAAGCTGGTCAGCGGACTGCCGGAGAAGGCATTCTTGCGCCGTCAGCCATCACCTAACCCTCGTCGTCTCGCCTTGTTTGAGGAGCGGATGAATCGCCTAGGCTTTGAAATCGACCCATCGAGCAGTGGCAGCCTGCAGAGCACTTTGTGCAAAGTGCAGGATGTAGACCTGCGCAAGGTTAGTGGATTTAACTTGAAACTGTATTGCATTCGCTAATGACTTGACACAGGGTATGGAAACCCTACTTTCAAAGGCCATGCAACGTGCCAAGTACTACGTTGGAGGTACTATCGGGGATGAGCACCGCCACCACTACACGCTGAACGTGCCGGTGTATACCCATTTCACCAACCCCTCTCGGCGCTACGCCGACATCCTGGTGCACCGTCAGCTCGAGTCGATTCTATCGGATGGTGCAGTGGAATTCACCGACGACGTGGAGTCCTTGAACAAGATAGCCGATCTTTCCAACACGAAAAAAGACTCGGCTCACAATGCGCAGGAGCAGAGTGTCCACATCGAAGCCTGCCGCAATATGGACCGCGACAGCCGCACGATTGGAGGCGACCTTATCGCTGAGGGTATTGTTCTCTGCGTTTACGAGTCTGCCTTTGATGTCCTCATTCCGGAGTACGGCTTTGAGAAACGCGTGCACTGCGACCAGCTTCCCTTGAAGAAAGCAGAGTACCGTAAGGAGACTCGTGTGCTTGAGCTCTACTGGGAGAAGGGCGTCCCCTCATCCGCGTACATTCCAGAGGATGAGCGCCCGAAGAATACCAGCTCCCGCGCTGCCCAGGCCGCGGCCGCGGCTCGTGAAGCAGAGGCCGCTCAGGAGCGTGCTCGCGAGAGGGATGAGGCCATGCGGAAGCAGACCGAGACTGGAACCATGTCTGCCGATGATGTCGACGCCCTCTTCGACGATGATGACGAGGTGGAGGAGGTCACTGAGGCGGCTGCCGGTGTGTCGCTGAACTCGGGGGACCGTTCTACCCAGAGCATGCCGCCATCGCCCACTCGCAACGGCCACCAACAGCAAGGACCGCACCGCACCCGATCCGACCCCAAGATTGCTTCGAACGCCTCCGATGCCCCGGAGAAGAGGCTGAGGAACAAGGAGAAGCACCTGAAGCACTTCAAGCTTCGCGAGGAGGACGGAGAGTTCATCCAGGACGTCACTGAGATGACCCGTGTCCCCATCATTCTCAAGACCGACTTGAGCAAGAGTCCCCCGTATGTGTCTCTCACTATATACGCCTGTGGCCATGCTAACCAACTTTGACAGATGCCTTACGGTCCGGTCGGTCAACCCCTATGCCCTGTAGGGTCCGCAACCCAAGTGTTTTTCTTCTTTTTGGAAAATATTCTTGCGTGTCTATCATATCTGCCGAGCGTAACGGACATAATCCTATCCCCGACATGTGGGCTCGAACATTATCAGGGTCCTTCCTTGATTCTCGGTTCAGCCGCATGCCACGCATCATCTTTCCCCAGCTAGCGTAGTTATGCTTACCCCGGTGATCAGTGCGAAGCGAGGTTGTTTTTTTTTACCCAAGTTGTATTCGGGAGAAGATATTCGCAAGCATGATGTCCCCCAGCTTCCCTGTTCTCACCCTGTGTTGTTATTGCGCGGAGGGATGATGGTCCGGGACAGACTGCGTTAAAGTGGAAATCCTGATTGATGGTATCTCATATGTTAATGTTTATCTTATTTTCTGTTTCCTGTAGACAGATCTGTAGGTTTCGCACCCAGAGGTGGAACGCCTATTAAGTAGGAAAGGAATCGCGTCTTTCCAGAAACCCCTCTGTGAACTCCGGCTCCCAAGCCACGAGGTCGTGGCTTGAATTACGTCTGACTCCAAAAGGAAGGAGAATCGAGAGCTATATTTGGCTCATCGATGCAAAGCATTCTGGGCTTTGCTTGAGGAGATTGTTCGGAAATTGTAACAGGCGAGCTCCCGATCAACGCTGCATTTTATAGCTGCAGGCAAGATTTCTTCGACTTCCTGGAAACACTTTGTCTTCAAGTCTGTTCCAGGTCCCACGTTTTGATGATGGCTGAGAGGGTTCATCTTCATTCAGAGGATCCTTTTTAATTTCGGGCTCCGTAAGGCATCGCTGATGATGACGGTGCTAGGGGAAATAACGGCGAGTCATTTACTTCCCAGCCAACTATGTACATAATGTATGTATGCGCACGGTACAGCGGACGAGAAAATCCGGTCATTAACCACTTCACATTTTCATATACACTCGACCACTCTCACTCTACAGAATTGAACCCTCAGGATGATGGAAGAGTAAACCAATTTGTCCCAGTCAACCACTCCGCGCGCCAGGGCCAATCGATCGAACGTAGAAGAGTGGATCCCCATGAAAAGAAATTAGATGCTCAAACGCGGAGGCTGACCACAGCCTTGAGTGTACCCACTGCTCACTAACTAGTGAATGTGGCTTGTAGTAATAGCCGAGGGGTAGTTAACTAAGTACCAAAGACAGGGTCAGCAGCCGGTTGGCTCACCCGGGGCTCGTGAGATATGGACCGCTCGCCAAGCTGGACCATGGAGCCCTCGCCAAGTTGGACCTTGGGGCCGGAGAGCGCCTTTGGGCCTAAGAGCCATCCCCTAATGGGCTAGTATGTCTTAAAAAATGGTTGTTTTTTTTTTCTTATAATTGAGGCTATTGGGGCTCTTTTTCTCCCACTGTTTGGCCAAAGAAAAACTCCATCATTTAACCTATATATCTCTCACTTTTGTCATTCATTTTAAAATTCAATCTCACCATTATGGCGCGACTATCCAGCGTATTCGTTCTTTTCGCCCTACTGGCCGCTACTATAGTGACCGCGTACAACCAGACGCTGGAAGAAGAGAATGCGACCTGCGACGTGAGTAACTTCCCACGGTTGCGTTAACAAAGAGAGTCGATAGAAGAGGCAATAACTAAAATATCTTCTGCCAATCAGAACAACTGCTTCTTCAACAGCTTTCCAGGTGGTTCCTGCACTAACGACGCGCAATGCATGTGCGATAAGCAAGAGTACCGCGAGGCATACTTCTGCTGCATGGGCAAGAACTGCAACCCTAATGTCTTGCCTGGTAAGTCTGCATTTTGCTCTTATTAAACCATGGCCAAAATAGCAGCTAATGTGCGATTAAAACCAGATTCTATCACGCGTCAGATTAGGGCATGCGCTGCCTGGCATATGACATTCAGCTTCGATTCAGAAGCTGTCTGCGGTATCAAGCTGTCTACCTCTGCCGGTGTCCTGGTCCCAGCTCCCACTACTACTGCTACTACTACTTCTTCTTCTACCTCCACTAATGGCTCGAAGCCCTCAATGGCATCCGCTTCTACTACCTCAACGGCGTCCACGACGGTCACCACCGGGGCTTCTTCTGCTGGAAATCAAACTACCTCGAGTAGTTCGACGCCAACACCTACCAACGCCGCGTCAGGAAACGGGGTCATGTTGAGCACTATCATGGTCCTTGTTGCTGTCTCCGCCGGAATGTTGTGCTGAGTGTGTTACTGGCTGCGAAGCCAAGACGCATATTAGGGGCGGTATTAATGGAATTACTGGAGATAGGTTTCTAGGATAACCGTTTAATTAAAAAAGTACGAGGGAGTCTATTCAACACACACCTAACGGATCGTCAACTTGCCCATCCTGTACAGGATGTACACAGCAATTACTCGTAATCATGTCAAGAAGTTCAGCTATGACAAGTCTGCTGGGTCCAACTCATTCGGAAGTTCGTTATTTCGCATGAGAAAAGAGCTGAAGCATTGTCGAGAAATTTCGGCTTCTCAAACTTGTCTAGATTCGCCAATGCAGCTAGAATGATCTATGTGGACATACAAGGACACATATAGCTGCTCGTCACTGCACCGTGGTGACTAGGCGGAAACCATCGCATCTTGTACCACTCGTCCCTAATCTTACTGCCTTCGCTCCATTTGTGCAACAACTTTTGACCGCTTTTCATCCCACTCGTCCCAGACGATTGAAAAGATGGCGGTATGTCTCCCCGGTAGTTCTCCTTTTGTACCGTTCCTTTTTTCAAGAGCCTCCACAGGGAGCGCGATTGTGCCGCGCGGAAACACACGCTGCCACCTTGCGATACCCTCGAACTCAAAACCCATCCGCAAAGCAGCTCTTCGGGATGCTGCATTTCCTGCGTGGCATTGCCATTCAACACGTCGCAGTCCTAGACCACCAGCAGAGGGTGGGTCGAGCGTATAGAGTAGTAGGAGTCCAATAGCATTCGTCGCCACGTGTGTGCGTTGAAATGCCGGGAATATAATGGCGCCCATCTCTATGACCGCGTTGACTAGGTTCGTGGCGGACAAGGATATAATACCGGCGTACTTGGCGCTTGGCTTTTCTTCTCCAAAAGCAGGAGCTTTATCTATGACAGCATATAGACACTCCTCGGGCGATGCGCGTATGTGTTTATCGTAGAACTCTCTCATAAACTCCGCCTCAGACTTAATGACCGGGAAAGAAACGTATGCGAAGATGTCCGGGTTGGTTTTGGTTACTTCGAGGAAGGGCGCTACATGAACGCTTGGCTGCCCGAGTTAGAATCAAACTGGTCTTCCGTGGAAATGATACGCGTACATCAAATGGTTCAAGGGCGACAGAATCATTTTCCAAGCGTCGTTGCCCATAGTGAAAGTCTCCCTTAGACATGGAGAATTGACTAGGATATGCTCTTCTAGGTGTGTAGTCAACCGGTACTATAGAATCACGACTCCGGGAAATTCAAGTAACAGGTTGTTAGCCCCTTTTCGCACTTGCTACAGCACACTTAAGAGGAACACGCTAACGCAATCGGAGACCAAGTGGCTCAACACCGCCCCCGAATTGAATTCAACGCGATAATTTTTCGACACACCATACCATGGCTCTATCAAAATGAAAAGCGTATGCAAGTGGCTCTTAACGCATATGAAAAGGGCCTTTTCTCATAAGAAGTTAGATGTGCTAAAGCTTTTGATATATCAAAATGGGCCCTCATGAGGTACCTCAAAAGGACTATCTCTCGCAAGAATTTAGCCGCCAGTTGTCGAAGATTGACACATACAGAAGAATCAACGCTTTCAGCATGGATTCTAATTATTGACCGATATAACCTGTTGTAGGTATATTCAACACTATATCACAAGATGTATACAATACAAGAGTACCAACTCACTCCCATCTCCTCCACTCCTCCACTGCCTTCCTCATCTCATCAGAAACATGATACCCCCTCGCCTCAGCCTCAAGCAGCTCATCCCTACGATGATGAAACCTGCGCTCAGCGTCAAAGCGCCTCAGCGCAACCGAGCATAGCGTCGCAAAGTCATCTTGAACCACCGCATCCCGGAACCAAGCACGCATGCGCGGCGAGTACATCTGGCAACTCGCTCTGCGGCAGTGATTCGGCCCCTCACCGGGCAAAAGATGGAGAGACGGACAAAATAAGCGGGCGATCCGGTGGCGGGCTCGCACGAGCGGCCAGATCACTTCGTCGTAGCAGTCTTCGCAGACGGAGAGCTCTGGTAATGCGGCGATATAGTGCCACGTTGAGAATACGGGGCGGTCTCGTCGGCAGTCGCGCAGGGCGACTTTGCGGCGGGCGTAGGCAATGAGTTCACGGGTGTCGGGCCGGGGTAAGTGTGATGCTTCAGCGCGCGTGGCAGCCGCGTCGAGGAGGTCGATGAAGCGGATGAAGCGCGGGCTGCTGGTTACCAGGTCACAGGAGTGTTCTTGGGGTTTTGTGCTTGGGACAAAAGTGTCGCGGTGGGCAGGCATTAAGATGCGCACGTTGCGGGCACAGTCGCCACACATGTAGAAGCGGGGGGAGGTATGAGCCTGTCTCTGGATCGATGATTCGGTGCCAGGTTTGCTCGGTTGCGGTGCGACCCGGGCACGGCCATGCTCCTGGTGGCGGCCGGGTCATTTGGTAGAGCATCTCGAGACTGTCGTGATGATTTTTGATCATCTGTGTCCAGGCGAGCCGGGTCCATGGATTGGAGAATGTGCAGCGGGTCTTTTGGCTGGCGGGCTTCGGCTGGCTGGGAACGAAGTACTCGCCGAAACGAGAGTGAGCGATCTGGGTCATGCACGATGGACATATATCCAGGTGTGTCAGCCCTTGTAGCGTATACCAGTCATGGTACCCGGACGTTGGCGTGGCACGAGGACACGGAGCGAGACATAGTCCTGAGGCGTTGGAGGGTTGCTGAGTGGCAGCAGGATTCCTGCTGGGCGAGGTTCGGTTTGAGCCATTCCTTTGCATAGGCCGGGATTGTGACCTGTCCTGACTTGGGGGTCTCGAAGTGGCTTTTGCAGGTGCTGCATGGGATTCATCTAAGCCAGATGTCGGTTTATCCCGAGTACTCGATGCTGGCCTCGTCGAAGGGAGGATGTCTGAACGGGATTTTGCTTGAAAAGCAGGTGGCATCGATGTAGTCCGTGGACGCGACGGCGGAAGCTGTTCATGATATGATCGAGTGCTCGGGGCAGCACGAGGTTTGGGAGATGGTGAATGAGGCGCCGAAGTTGGAACGCTAGAACCCACTCCTGTGTTAAGAGATTCACCCTTTGTGGTGTGCTTGCGTGATTCCGGATTAGATATTGGCACGGACTCGCGCTGCTTCTGTCTCAATTTGAGCTTTTCCTCCATTCGATCTGCGAGCGTTGAAACGTTCACGGGTTTCACTGGATGCTTGCTATACACAGGGCCACGGGGACGCGAGTGACCGGGCCCTTCCATTCCATGCGAATCGTGAGAAGTACTCTCTACCGAGACTCCGTTGTAATTGTTTCCCCGCGACAAAGAGGGTGGGCGGGATGGCCATGGCGTGTTGAGTTCACAGAGGGGTTTCTGAAAGACTTCAGGCTGGGATGCTCGGCCCCGGATCCTGCTTGACGAAGACGACGGAGCCCGCTGAGGGCAACCGTCCAAGCGCGATCCGGCTGTTGCATCGAAAACCGGATCGTGAGTTGCAGGCGGCGTGATCGGGCCGGAACTGTCGTCTGACGAGACATTGCTGCCCGGTCCGGGCACATTGGGGACAGAAGTGAAAGAGCAGAATGACGATGACGAAGCCATGTTGGGAGTCATGATAACCGGGATCTGGTCAACATTGCCCCGGGTACAGGCACCCTCGAGTCCGGGTTTGTCGCCCATGTTGGCGAGTCCATCTAATTCGCGGGCGAGGGAATCCGGCTCGTCTTCGACGCAGGGTGCTGGAGGCCATTGGGAACACATGATTCGAGACGACATACTAATATGAAATGCAGAGCGCTATCCAGTTGTAATGATGTCTGGTGGTGGTGCTTCCCCGGAGAAGTTGTTCATAGTCTTTAAATAGGGCGCCTCGAACAGAGAAACAAAAAACCTGTGCCGCAGCGAACAATGAGCCTCAGGTCTGCAAGAAATTTTTTCTTCTATAGTCACAGAATGAATAAAGCTATGGACAAAGACCCATATTCTGGTTTTCTCGTGGGTGCTACCCGGTTCACACAGGAACCCAGGTATAGATAAGTTCTGACTGACATCGGACATCGTGCTGGGCAGGGGCAAGAGCCCTAATAAGGCCGCCGGTTGCATACGCCACCAGCTGAGGACGAGTATCACGGGCGTCTCCTTGAAACAAGCCCTGGGGATAAACAAAGAGCAGACTCGAAGCAAGCGCCAACGCCGGCTGTGGCTTGCCGCCGTCCGGGCCGACCATTGGGTCCCGGTGGAAACACCGTTCGTTTCAGAGTATTTTTATCGAACAATCTGAAGCATGCTGGAGGTGGCTGGCGAGCCGGATTTTGTTCTGGGTTTACTTAGCCCGTGTGTCCACTGCTGCACAGGAGGTGCATTCGTAACCTTGGAGTCTCAGCACAGGAACCAAAACAGACGGTAGATCGAACGGCGCCTCGGAAAGGCGGGTGTCGGATAGCCGACAGGGCGTGCGGAGTTCATTGGGTGAACCCCCACATGCCGTGGGACAGATGACAAATGCGACAGCTTGTGTCGATGATGTGATGCTGAACTGGAGCTCTTGGACTTGCAACCTCCCATGTCGTTCTCTCTGCTTCGACGTGCAGCGCCCCGACTCTCTTCCCTACGCAATCACATAACTCCACCCTCAAGCATCGTCCATTCCAGACGCAACATGTCGCTCCCCTCCACCATGAAGGCTGTCGTAGTGGAGCAGACCGGCGGGCCAGAAGTGCTGCAATTCCGAACCTCGCACCCTGTGCCCACCCCGCAGGCCGGCCAGCTGCTGGTACGCAACAACATCTCCGGCGTGAACTACATCGATACCTACTTCCGCACGGGCCTGTACGCCTCGGCGAAGCCCGAGGTGCTAGGCCGAGAGGGCGCCGGCACAGTTGCCGCCGTGGGCGATGGCACGTCCGGCTTCGCGGTGGGTGATCGCGTCGCCTGGCTGGCAACTGGTGGATATGCGGAGTACACGGCCGTACCGGCGGCGAAGACGGTGAAGATCCCCGACGGGGTGAGCGACGAGGATGTCATGGCATCGTTCCTGAGCGGATTGACCGTCCTCTCGTTTGCTAAGGAGACTTATCCCGTCCAGAAAGGCGACTGGGTGTTGCTGCATGCTGCGGCTGGTGGTGCGGGCTTCCTCATGACCCAGATCTTGAAGACCATGGGCGCCAACGTCATCGGGACGGCGGGCGGTCCAGAGAAGTGTGCGCTGGTCAAGAGCCTGGGGGCGGATGTGGTGATTGATTACCGCAGCGAGGAGGGCAAGGACTGGGTCAAGCTGGTCAAAGAGGCAACTAATGGCCGCGGCGTGGATGTTGTCTTTGACTCCGTCGGCAAGGATACGTGGGAGGGTAGCTTGGAGGCTGTGAAACGGAAAGGCACGATCGTCTGGTTTGGCAATGCCAGTGGACCCGTACCGCCCCTTCCTCTGGCGTAAGTCGAGATTCTTGACGTACTGATACAGTGACACTAATATTGCTGGAATAGCAAACTTTCCCCCAAGTGCGTCAAGATTGCGCGCCCTACGCTCTTTGGGTATATCGAGACCCGCGAGGAGTTTGAGTACTATGTCAACGAGCTATTTTCTCTGCTCCAGTCGGGCCAGCTTAAGGTCAAGATTCACAAGGTGTATCCGCTGGAGCAGATTGCCCAGGCTCACATTGTGCGTATTCGCCGTGTCTTTTTCGGAGAGCGTTGCTAATCCTTTTTTTTTTTGTCAGGACCTCGAGGGCCGGAAGTCCACTGGAAAGCTACTCCTGAAGCCCTGAATACAGAACGTAAATTGGATACATAGGATTGATTGTTACTGAAGAAAGGATACAATACATGTTCTCAATGCTGCTCCCTGCCTCGCACACCCCGAGGTGTATTCTCGCGACCTCTCCTCCACTGTTGTCCCGCTATAGCGCATCAACAACCTCATCCACATCCTGCCCCATAAGATCCTTGGGCTTCTTCCACTCCACCATCATATCATTGCCCAGGACAGTGTAGAAAGACGTGTAAACGGAGATGATCTCATCAAAATAGTGAAGCCCGCAGCTAACCGCCCAAACAGAAGTCATCACCTTCATCCCGGGATAGCAGAGTGAGAGCAGACCGACTTCCAGAAAGAAGTCAAACTCGGGCAGTGGCTCGTTGCCGTGGTCCCAGTTCCAGCGCGCCTCGGGGCTGAGGTCAAGGTCTGGCTTGCCGGGATCGTGAAACGCTTTGGCGTGGATCTTCCCCACGGGGATCAGGTCTGAAACGTAGGTTTTGTAGAATGCGATGGTCTCGCCATCGGGTTCGGTGACAGTAAGAATCTCAAATCCGTCGATGTCTTCGACTTTCATTGCTGAGAGAATGTCGTTGTCTGCCATGGCACGAAAGAGAGAAGCCTGTCCGTTCGTCCCGCAGCCAGCAATTGCAAATTTGACCACTTTCCGTGCAGCATCGTGGCTCAGTTGGCCTGCTTCCTCGGCGTTCGGGGGATGCTCGAAATGGTAACCCCCAAACAGCATGGAGCAGGCCTGGTTGAAGTAGCCTGGCCCAGCGCTGACAAGCTGGAGGTTCTTCCACAACTCAATCTCTGCAAGAGTACAGATCTTTCTGGCCTGGTCAATGTTGTCCTTGTGCTCGGGGCAGACATCATGATGGAGCAGATAGGACAGAAAGTTCCGAATGGTGACAGTGGCCAGCTTGATGGTGTGCTCGTCGTCGGGCAGGAAATAAAAAGGGAAGTACGAGCTCCTGCTTAGTTGTCAGGTTGGGCGTCTTCTTCCACAGTCTGCAACTTACAGGTATCCTCGGACAACATCGTTAAAGTCAACTTCCAGCTTCGATTGGGTCAAGAAGACGGCAGTCGTACTGCGAGCCCGGAGAGCGTCGTCCTTGTCCATTCCTTTTAGCTCTTGGGCAGCCACACCCCCGCCAGCATTGGGCCCAATAGTCACTCCGCCATATTGTAGATACTTTAGGAACACATTGGATCTTTCGCTATCCAGGCGACGATTCTTCTGGAAGCGCATCAGTGCCTCGTCAATGCGGCTGCAAGCTTCAGGTTAGTTCTGAGTTTGGAGAGGTGGATTGTTAGCTATTCTTACTCTGCGAAGGACCGAGCACTGCGATAATTGTTAGTTTTAACCCAGTATTAGAATAGTCTGACGTACGGATCGTAGAGTTCACGCAGCTCCTGGTACTCGGCTGGCGACACAGGTGAATCGGCATAGAAATCTTCAAACCCAGTAGGAGCATTCTGTACGTCCGGTTAACCTTGATACGAAACGCCCGGAGAACAGATGCACTTACTCGTCCTCGCTTGCTCTTAGGCCTCCTTTTGGCCTTTCGCTTGTTCTCTGGCAGGATCGTAGACAGGTCGATCTGGCTGGCTGCCTCGTCTTCCAGAAACTTGGGGTCGATGGCCGGCTTGGGCACGGTCTGGGTGGGTTCCTTGGTTTCTTGCACAGGGCTTAACTGCTTCGGTCTGGCAAGGCGGATGGGGAGATCGCCTGAGATGGTGTTTTGGGATGAGTCCATGGTGGAAAGGCAGAGATGTGGGGGCGGGTGAGAAGGGAAAGGAGAAGTTAAGAAAAGCGAGACATGAAGAGAAGAAAGAAGAAACTGAGGAAGAGAGATGACGGCAAACGTACCATCATCAGTATACATCAATCAATACAATGGGATTGCCCAATCAGCATTTACTTCCTTAGGGCTATCGATAAGCATGGGGTGGCCCGAGCGTCCTTAGTTATCTAGAGTCAGCTCAGTCAGCTCTCCTTTGCTGCTTTCAATAGAGACACAACCATGCCATCATCACGGTCGGACGCCCGGATGATGCCGCAGCTGAGCAGCGATGGTCTGGTCCCCTTTGACCATGTCGCTGCAGGACAGTAGGTGGATCGGGAAGATGATTCCAAGTCTACAACTGACACATTCTTGATAGCGACGGTGTCCGCTGCACCATCTCGGGCTCGCTGATTGCAAAGCCTTGCACTGCCCAAGAGATCGCTTTCTACGAATCCAGCGCCCACCATCCGGCCTTCCAGGAGTTTATGCCTCTCTACATCGGTTCCTTATCCTCGGCCGAGCAGCAGCAACCGCTGGCGATTGCTGCAGCCCACGAATCCGGCGCTGTGGTTCTCCCACAGCCAAATGACCCGACAAGTTCTACCGGCGACACGCCGATAGAAACCCCCGCCCCACAAGAAAAAGAGCAAGCCTGGGTTCCATCCGGGGGCAAGAAACTGGAAACGGGATTGTCGATTGTGCTGGAGAATGTCGCGTGCGGGTTCCGACGACCAAATGTGTTAGATGTCAAGCTCGGAGCACGGCTGTGGGCTGATGATGCACCACCACCGAAACGGAGCAGGTTGGATGCTGTCTCGAAGGAAACGACGAGCTGGGGCTTGGGATTTCGCATTGCCGGGATGAAGGTCTGGACCGGACACAATGGCGAGACTGATGAAGGGGGCAGAACCAATCCCTACGCGACGAAGCACGAGGGTGCTGATGGTGCACCAGGTGAGGTCATTGAGAAGGATGGGTATCGGCGTTACAATAAATGGTATGGACGGTCTTTTACCGACCAAACCGTCAAGCAAGGGTTCGAGACGTTCCTTGCTGGTGCGAAAGCGGGCGCGGTGGACCGTTCGGCGCTGATCGCGCGGCGACTGGCGGACGAATTGAAGAATGTGCAACGCGTGCTCGAGTTGGAGGAGAGTCGGATGTATTCATCGAGCGTGTTGGTGGTCTACGAGGGGGATCCGGAGGCGATGGAGCATGCGCTGGAAGAGGAGAAGAAGGTTCCTGAGCCTGGCACAGAAGATGAGGAGAAGGAAGATGACGACGATGAGTTGGATTTTGAAGTTTCGGAAGAAGCATTGGAGCTGGTCGATGTGCAATTGGGGAATGGTCAAACTCAGAGGGCCATCAATATCAGCATTGACCCGCAGTCTGCACAGATGCAGGATCTGGGCGGAGAGGACAGCGATGACGAAGAAGAGACGCCCAAGGTCCATGACCTGCGATTGATTGATTTCGCTCATGCCGACTGGACTCCCGGGCAGGGCCCGGACGAGAATGTTCTCAAGGGCATTCGGAGTCTGATCAAGATTCTCGAGGAATTGGCGGGGTGAATGTTGGCTTGCATTTATTCCACAGCTGCTGGCAGTTGTTGGGTATTAACATTTGAGCACTATTTGTTTGCCTTCTTTTTTTTGGCCGTGTCAATTAGCAAGTTAATGAATGCATCCACGCCAACTCGTATACCTCCGTCAGTGAGAGTAAAGATGCTGACATAATCACGCGACTTTTCCTCGATCTTAAAGTCGAGACACCATAGACCGTCAACTTTCCCACTCCAACCCAGGCACCATGTTTCCCACGCGCGCCCTGCTGGGGCGATCAGTCTGGAAAGGTGAGACTTTCTGATTATCCTCAAGAGAAATCCATTGCTAAACCTCCGACCAGGCCCGAACATCGTCCCGTACGTGCACCCGACACCAAGATTCCCGTCTCATCTTCAACGCTTCAACCCAGACACACCCGAGAAAACAAACTAACCACTGGATCCCGAATAATAGTCTCCCCCTCCCGCGCACCCTCCCTCCACCACCAAACACGCCCCCAATCCGCACGCAGAAGCGCAGCGCAACCATCCTGCCCAACTTCGTGGGCATCCGCTTCGCCGTGCACAATGGCAAGACGTACCAAGAGGTTCTGATTACAGAGGAGATGGTTGGGCGGAAGCTGGGTGAATATGTTCCGTATGTCCTCGTTCTTTCCTTTTTTTCCCCTTGGGGGGCTTCGCCTGCGTTGGCTCTGGATGATTGGACTGACTTGGCTCGGTTGCAGGACTCGGAAACGCTTTACGTATAAGCAGTCCAAGAACAAATAGTCCAGTGCATGGGTATTATTTCTTCGCGCCAATCTTATCGCATTTGTCCCTGCTTTGCGAATGGTGCCTATTGGTTGCGCCAGATGAACGTCGGAACGCGGATAAGGTGGGGTATGAAAGTGCCATGCTTGAGCTGGAAGAAGCCACTTTCTTTTCTTTTGTCTCTTTTTTTCATTGCCGTGTACAGATATACATCACTGGTTCCCTTGCTACATTAGCTACTTGTGGGATGGAGTTTACAACGGATTTGATTGCATAACATAACTACAATGTCCTACCAAGCCTCCCGTAGGATCTTCTAAACTTCATAGAAAGAAAGAAAACTCCATTTCTAAGACCATCCCAGCCCTCACTGCAGGATACAGACAGAAAAATAAAATCCAGGGCCGCCTATAGGATATCTGATATGTACGCCAGAACGAAAGAAAGCAACCGGCCGAGACCACCATCCACCAGAAGAAAAAACGCCAATCCACGATACTAACCTCTGTCCTATCCCCAAGGTTGATGGTTCACCGATAAAACTCCCCTCTCTTAACACTGACACCATACTCCGACACAGCCATCCCCAAATCCTCCATTGTAAGCACAGTACGCCCCTGCCCCGAACCACCAGACCCACCACCGCCAAACCCAGCGCGCTGTATCCCCAAGTGCGTATTGCCTTTACCACCCTTGCCGCCCTCGCCACCAGCGGCACCACCCGTCGCCGGCGCGCCAGAGGGACCGCCTAGCCCCGAGGCGGCGTTGAGACTGCCCATCGGGTTACTGGCGGAGGAGCTGTTGGAAGCGCGGATACGGGCGAATTGATACGAGTCTGCGGCGATGTCGGAGACGAATTTCTGGGTTGCCAGCGCGAGGAGACGTGCTAGGTGTGGAGGGGTTTGATTGGGTCCGTTGCCTGGTGGTGGGAGGCCTGCTAGGGTGAGGTAGTGGGCTGTTACCGCGTCGGGGATCTGGAATTGTCATCAGCGTCAGGATGAGAGGAATGACAGATGGAGGAAAGGGGGGAGTTAATGTGAAAGGAAAGTAAAGAGAGAGAACGTACGATCGGCGCATAGTCATCCATCTTCCCCAGGAACTCGCGCAGGCTAGTCTCCTTCTTGGACGGCGTCGGCGCCGGAGCCAGCGGGTCGACGTCAGTAGGGAGAGTGGCGGCCGGGTTCTCCCCGTCCGGGATTGGGCCCTGGGCAGCGTTGGTTTCGGCCATATCGATGTCTTGGTCTTCCGTGGCGTCCTGGTCGGGGTCGGGCTTGATGGCAGGGTCGGGTTGACCAGCAGAGTCGGGCTGGGCCGTTGGGTCCTGGGAGCCGTTCGGGTTGGAGGAGGGAGGAGGAGGCTGTTGCTGATCGGCCATGGCGTTAATCTTCGCCCTCACAAATGGCGCTGCAGGATGGTTGGTTGGGTTTCTGAGGGGCCAATGCAGACGACGAGGTCCAGTCGATTAATTGATTGCGGAAGGTGTGCACGGCCCACTCCTCTTGGCCCTCAACTACAACTCAAATTACATATCAACTCGATCACCAACTACTCGATCAATAATTCATTTCATCGCTATGTACTCGTACAGAAACAGTATCTGTCCTCCCGGATAGACGCCATAGTAAAACAAGAGGGAAAAAGAAAGAAAAGAAAAGAAACAAATTCCATAGTACAAGAATATCCTCAACTCCCCCGGTTTTTCAAACTCCGCCATGCTGAAAGAGGGAAAAAAAGAAAAAATCAACTACTGGCCCATCTGCAGACTGGGGTCCAGGTGGTCCGACTGTGATGGCGCATACTGACTGCCGTGCACTTCCTGGCTGAGCGTCTGCATCAGGTTCTGTTCCGCCGTTTGATCAAACACACCTTGGCTGCCCGTGTCGGGCGGCAGGCTAGGCGATGCCGACATCTCATGTCCGGACTGCGAGGAGTGCGCGCCAGCCAGCGCCATCATGCCCTTGATGCCCTCCACGTGGGCCTTGTCTTCTTCACCTTGCTTCTTCTGTCGCTCCCGGGCCTCCCGCTTGGCGGCCTGAAGAGGCGCGCGAGTCTTGAGTTCACCCGTGACAAATTTCAGGTAGTACGGCACCTCGATTCCGCTCTTGAGGAAAAACAGCTTGAGGTTGCGTGCTTTGTCCTTGAGTTGCACCTGGTTGCGATCCTTCAGGGCCTCGCTGATAGTTCCGCCAGGACCAAACATCGCCAGAATCTGACTCCAGTGAGGTCCTTTCACCCGGTCCAGTCCAGCCATCAGCGCGTTCTCCTCATGCATGGTCCAAGGGCGGCGTTGGCTGGGCAGGCCGGTCCGCCGACTAGCCGGAGACGACTTGGCAGACGCGGCCATGCGAGCACGCTCGTAGAGAACCTGAGTAGGCTGTGACTGAGTGTAGTGAGGGATGCCTGGCATGTATCCATGGTTTGACATGCCGTTCTGTCGTGCCTGCATGGCCGTCGCAGCATTGGGCTGGTACTGTTGAAAATTCGCCTGCAACGGACTCTGCTGGAAGGTCAGTTGGTGCGACGGCTGTTGCTGCTGATATCCACCCGGCGGCGTAGGGCTGTGCTGGAAGTGTTGTGAAGCGGGTGATGGTTGCTGGGCAGCGGTATAGCCTTGGAGGTACGGGCTCTCGTGCTGGCTGGGAGGCTGTGATGTCTGCTGGGGTTGGGTTTGGGTCGACGTCTGACTGGCCTGGGGCTGTGTCTGCTGCTGCTGTTGCTGCTGAGAGCGCTGAAGCCGATGGCCCTGCAGAGCAATCTGGGCTGCGCGAGCAGCGCGGGCGACGAGGTCACTGTGCATGTTTTTATCCACGGGGACCTCCACTTGCTGATTGGCCGAGAACTGGCCCTGGTAGGTTGGGGACTCTTGTGCATCACCATTGGAGCTCGAGGGCTGGCGACCTTTCACGACTTTCTTTCCCTGTGATTGATTAGAGGTTATGTCAATGTAGGAGCATCATCCATACGAACCTGTTGGGTATTGATGGCATCGAAGTTCTTCGCAATGTATGAACTAAGATCGCGAAGGAAATCCTCCCAGTGGTATTTGTCCGGCAACGCTCTCAAAGCTTCCTCGTTATTGACATCGCTGAGAAGAATGTCGCGGCGGGAAGTTGCGCGGTTGACAAAGTCAACTTCGCTGGGAGCCAACTGCCGTGTACCCGGACGTCTCGCCAGCAATCGCTGATCCATATCATCTGGGAAAAGTTGGTACAGCAGCTCCGTTCTGGTGCGATCCTTGGTGTTCATGGCCGAGATGAAAGTCTGCGTCTTGAGTTCGAGATACAGAGCGCCCTGAACCTTCAGCAGGCGACCGCCCTCGGGCACAAAGACGTCCAGGAAATGCTCATTCAGCTCATGGAAGCCAACCTCTTGAGATCCGAAGATGCTCGACACAAACGAGGCCATGTTGGCCTTCCGGATGATATCTACTTGAGAGGGATCTGTGATCTCGATATCCGAGGGCAGAAGAAAGGAGTGTCGGACGGTGTACACACGCTTGGTGTGGTCGAATAACGAGCGCATGGTCGCATAGGCTTGGCCATTTTCGGAATCCGGTTCGGACACCATCGCGGCGAGGTCTTGGTAAGTGTTTTTAGCGAGGAAGGAGAGGATTTGAGTAGACTAAAGGTTGGAATGAGTACCAAAGCAAACAAGTATTATGGTCGCGTAAACCTACCAGGTTGTCCAGAATAGGGAGACTTTGGATCTTCAGATGTGAGTTGGCCTTGAGAAAGGCATATCCGCGGGCGCCAGGGAAGTCGCCCGAAGAGGGAATTTCCTGCGGGCCCAGCGCGACGGTTTCTTCCTGGCGCTCGGTATGATCCATGATCTCTGAGATTATTGTCGCTACGTCGGGACTGATGTTTGAGCTAGAGATCTGATCTGCAGTCGCACCGGGAGAGGCCTCGAGCTGACCTGGTCCATTTTCGGCCTGTTGTAGGGAGTCAATATCTCGGTCGCCCAGAGGAGTGGCAAATTTCCTTACCAAAGTGTTGTCAGCAGCCTGGTGATCAGTCAAGACTTCGTGTCCCGAGGTTGCGAGTTGGTCGCCTGGTCCCGAGTCAATCCGGCGCTTTTTGGCCGGCGAGGCGGCGCCATGGTCGTCGTCCTCGAGAGGGTGAGCAGGCTTTTGATCGACTGCCGAGCAAGGTCAATGTTAGACGGCAACGTTCATAAAATCGTCCAGGACCACGCGCAGCAGCTGGAGGGGGAGGGGGTAGTTGAGGCATGGGAATAGTCCGACCGAGCTTGCAGCGACAAAAGAGCGACAAGAAACTCGGTCGGGCGCGAGAACTTACCGTGATCGTGATCCTCAAAAGAGGTTGGCAGGTTTTCCTGGCCATCAATAGATGGCCTCGAGCCTCGAGTCTCGACCATCGGGGAGTCAGGAGAAAAGACGCGCTGGGGAGGGAAGTTGTACCAGTCTGCTGGGTCTGAAAAGGAAATAAGGGCACGTTCGTAGGGCTCGGACTTGGGGGTTTTGGGGGGAGCAGGCGGTGAATCCCGTCTCTTTCGGCGACGGGGACACATGCTGTGATTGGCGGGGGTTCTGCCTGGCGGTGGATATGGCGGTGGGAGGCAGTAAGAGGTTCTGCCGGGAAGCGGTGGAGCTTCGTGGTCCGTCCAGAGACGAGGTTTACGCATGCTCGTAAAAGGCTGAGGAATCATAGTGATGGGGTGAAGGGCGTGGAAAAGGGGGGAGTTGTTGTGGTGATGTCTGTTGGGAAAAAGTGAGAGAAGTAAACAAAACGTGGTATCAGGGGCATTCTCTGCTTGGACTTTCACCATGTCCCTACAAGTATATCTCAGGAACTATGAACAACGCACTTCCTTGCAGAGAAAGGTCCCATTGAATATTGACAAAAACCACAGAAGTATTTAAAACCTTAAATATTTTGAATGACTTTGATTCACAGCTCATGCTCCCCTTTATAAATACTACCAAGGTGTTGGATTCCGTATGGATTCGTATAGCAAGACTATCCGGTTCATTCATCCTGAAGTCAAGAGCACAAACAGCCATTGACAATGTGCCCATCCTCCGTTCTCCAGTAATCTACAGAGTGATTGTGTATATATTTACGTTCCTCAAGGAGATGTGATGGTCATGAAGCAATGGCACTTTCGTTATATATTGCTGCCTCAGGCAAACAAGGTCGAACTCCGCATTTGGCAACCGTTCACTCCCAGGTTTTCTCGTTCTGTGCTCAACTGCTAATACTTGTAAGAGGCTCTGTTCCTAAAATTTGCCAAGAATCTATCGGTGTAGTAGGGTGGGATCCACCACAGCTTCGTGACCCCTACCCACGCCCAATCTATACCGCAGATCATTTGTGCGCGTCATCGACCCTGGATCCACGACCAAGTTTCAACTCAAAGCAGCCCTGGCTTCAGAATGTTACTTTTGCTTTACACGAGCTGTCATTCTTTCATCTGAGAACCAAGGTTTACTCCTCGCACCCGATTCCGATCATTGCTCCCTCGTGAAGCGTGAAGTGTGTGGACAGGCACAGGGATCCTTCGATTTCCTGCCGTTTGGCAGTTCTATTGATCTTGTCTTTGATATTTACCAGGAGACTGGATTTCTGCAATCATTAACGGACAGTATGAAATTGATTCGTCTTCATTTGCATGTCGTCAAGAGGCTTGCCCTCTGCTCCCGAAGCTCCCGAAAGCCTAAACCCTAAACTGACGCTCTCGAGACCGATTATCAGCTCGAAATCTAGATGCACCAGTGAAGGCCCTAATATGTTTCCGTTTTCAGGGTACCCAAAGGTGTATCCATGGAACCTTTCCCAGTCACTCTTTCTCTATCGTGTTTTCCAGGGGCCCACGCTTGACTCCTTGAGCCTGGCCTTCTCTTATTACGTCCCGTACCCGCACAAATTCTCTGTAGTTAGCATATCAAGAGTTCTTCTCTCGTGCCCTCAGTATCGATATTCAACTGCGTCGCCTAGAGCCAATTCCTATCTAATGGTCTAAGCCGCCGCCATGTTGACGAATCGGCCCATCTTCCTCACCACCGCCGCGTTGATCCTACAGGTATCTGCATTGGCTGCAGCGCAGGACTCTTCCGAGAAGATATGGGGGGTCTTCTCCTACACGCTCTACGGAGACAGCACCCCCAAGGCACTGGCGTCGCCCGGAGCACGAGTCCTGACCGAGTACGGCGCCAGCGCACTCTACACCGCAGGATCGGCCTTCCGTGCCCGATATGTGGAATATGGAATGTCCAATGCTGCAGGAACGGGGATCCAAAACATCGAACCGAATATGTTGGACTCGCTGGAAGTCAACGCCTTCTCTACGCCTGAGCAATTTGTCCTTGCATCCGCCCAGGCCTTCATGCAGGGTCTCTACCCACCGCTTGGTCAATCGTTGGGTTCGCCATACTCTGATCTGACGTCGCAACTGTCCAATGGGTCTCAGTCCGCGTACCCGCTCAATGGATATCAGTATCCGCTAATCGTCACAATGGATTCGGAAGATCCGCACTCTCTGGCACTGGCTGGTCAGGCGAAGTGCCCCATGCACCAAGCTTCAGACAACGACTATCTGCATACCGCTGAGGCATTCGAACTGACAGAGTGGTTCGCACCGTTTTATATGAATGTGTGGAGAAGGGCCATGTCTGAGGTATATGATATAAACTCCGCCTCGTACCCGAATGCCGTGGAGATTGGCGAGTACCTCGAGTACGAGGCTGTGCACAACGACACTCTGATGGAAGCGATCAATGTGGGAGATGTCGCGCTTGCGCGATGGCTGGCAGACCAATACATCTGGGCCACGAACAGCCAAACCTCTTCCTCATCTGAATTGCAATCCAACGTGACGTCCATCGCTGGTCAGACGCTGGCTTCGAGCATCTTGCAAGCATTCGATACCAACATCCAAAGCCAGGGCAGCGAGCAGATGATGACCATGCTGTTCGGCGGCGACGAGCCGGCCGTTGCTCTGGCGTCTCTACTGGGACTGGCAACTGAACAACAAGCCAACTTCTTCTCCCGGCCTGTCCGAGGCGGGTCGCTCGTCTTTGAGCTGTACAGCTACGACGACAGCGACGTCCCGTCATATCCAAACAGTGAGGGCCTGTTTGTGCGGTTCTTCCTGCACAATGGCACCAGCAACGACACCGTGTGGAGGTCCTATCCGCTCTTCGGACACGGCCCGAGCCGGGACTTCATTCCTTACAACGAGTTCCGCGAGGAAATTGAGACGTTTGCCGTGGACTCAACCCAGCAGTGGTGTACCCTGTGCAAGTCGGAGTCTATCTTTTGCAAGGGTGTTCTGGGCGACTCGACGCAGAAGAAACGCATGGCTCCCGCCGTGGCTGGCGTGATCGGTGCGGTCATCACGCTGGTTGCTATCGGTCTGCTGACGGTGATCGGCCTGCTTGCGTGTGGTGTGCATTTCCGCAAGCGCGGAGAGGGCGGCCAGAGGTCGAGTCTGGGAGGCTTCAAGGGTACTAACAAGCTGGCCAGCGATACGGACGTCACCTTCCGCCACCCTATATGGGGCACCTCAAAGACGGCCGATGAACATGCGAATGGTGAAATGACGGCCGGTGGATTTATCGTCCAGGGCCATGAGCGGCTCGGAAGCTGGGAGATGGGCCAGCAGAGCAAGGAAATCGAGAACATTCACTCGATGGGTCAGCCACATCCCCGCTCTGCTTTTGATGAGGAGAATGACGAGGAATGGAGGATCCATAGTAGCCTGAAGCCAGTCAAAGTGCGAGAGAGTATCTGATCCGATGTGATATTGGGGGGTGTAATAGGTTTAATGCTAGGCCAATGAAGGAAGGAAATTCGTTTGATATCCGATATCCATCGTAGCCCTAATCTGGCGGTGGTGCCTGCCGGACATCTTGTTGGTACCTTCCTTCCTCTGCCTCTCTCTGCCTCATTTCCTTCCTTTCTTCCCACCTTCCCACCGTTCCTTCCTCCCACCGTCACAATCATCTCAACCCCCGAGCCGAACCCAACTCTTTCTTTTCTCTTGACCAGTAAGTCCTCACTCACCAGCATGATGAAGTATGCCATCCCAACACTGTTGGCTCTGCGCCAGGATTCAACAATTAGCCACTGCAACTGGACCAAACAAGCGAGAGACTGTAAGTGTTCCTTTTATGCTCTCGACGCGGCTTCCTTCACCGTCTTGCACCCCTGTGGATCAATATCAATATCAAAACGCCCACGGGTATCCCGAGCCCGGGGATTCATGTGCAGCCGAGCATTCCTCACGAATCGTGAGGACCTGAACACAGACTCTGATGATCGCTTTGCATGACCGGGATTTACCCTCCTCACTGTTCTCGCAGGAGAAAGAAAGGCGTGGCTGACCATGTGCGTCCAGGGGGGCTGTTAGGTCCTAAACAAAGCAAGATGTCAGTTCTCTCTGAAAGTCCTTCGAACCAGTCGTCAGGCAAAGCAGCCAAGTCGTCGCGACCGCACCAGACCGCGACACCGAAGCCAAAAACGCGCTGCCGGCCGAGGGCCAACGACAAAAAATCTTCCTCCAAGACAACCCTCGGCGCAACTGACGCGGGGTTTGCGCGTTTTCTGCTAGAACATTCGTCTCCAAGGCACCAGCGAGTCACTGCCGGAGGCAAGATTGTTCCAATGCAGCCCAACAATATCCCGACTCATGATCACAATCTATCTGAGAATTGGCAGGGCCAGACCTCCACGACCACCGAGAGCGCTGGCGAACATACCCAGGTTCGTCATAACACCTCGCAGCATGGCAATCCTTTTCAGCGTGCGGGTGTGACCGAACATGGAAGTCAACTGGAATACTTGGGACCATATGCACCTGAGTTCGCGCCAATGCAGGCCCAGATACTCCCACCTCTTACTCTGAGCACCACCGCCCTAGTACAGTCCCCAATCATCGTTTCCTCGCAGACACAAACCCTACCGCAAACTGCTTTGACGCCCTCAGAGGTGCTTGGCGTAAATCCCATTCCTTTTCGGACAATGACACAGGTTGCCGCACAAGCAAATGGTGCCGCATACATGGCTCCTCTCCCCGAAGCTGGTGGCGACGGTTGGCCTGATTGGTCTCAAGTGCCTGGTCAAAGACCAGATGCTCAAAGCTATTCACGGGACAATTGGGCACCAACGACAGCCAATGCGACCAGCTTCACCACACCCCAGCCGGCAGGAACGACAGCAAGCTATGTCAACCCCAACCTGCTTCAGGCCGCCATGTTTACCGACACCACTCAACTGGCACAGCAGCATGGAGTGGTGCTTCAGCCAACCTGGCAAGATAATCAGCACAGGTTGATACTGCAGTGCTTGCGGCACTACGCACGGGATCTGATTCGCACCATGAGTCTGTATGCCTTTCGGGGCTTTAGTCGAGCCCATGTCACCGTATCTGCCATGGATCGGCAGCAGGCGATGGACCCGGGTGCAGGGAGGGATTGGAATTTCACCGCGCTGCGATTGCAACATGTCCGAGACCGAGGGCAGTTCGATGAGATGGCCACATGGTTGCAGTTTGAGCCTGGACCGCTCGAGGTTATTGGCAATGAGCAAGGACCAACCGCCGGGCCATTTCCTGGAATCCTGCCTGGTACCACTGGGGTTCAGCATGGTTCTGCGCTTAGCACTACCGGGGTCTTGTCTGGGGCTTATGGAAATCAAAATATTGATGGCCCTGTTGGCACAGAGCCGCAGTCCCAGGAGCAAATGGGTTCTATGGAGCTAGACAGCAGACGGTTGGTGAACTCTCGCAGCTCTGTGGATGATTTCAATGTCGAGGACGAGGACGGCACGCACGAGGATGCCATGAATATGAACTTCCCAGTGGATGAAGGGTTTGTTCCCCAGACAATTGGTGCACCTGGAAACTGGGGCAATACCGTGCCTCGGAACTTTGGCAGCACGATTCTGTCCTCCATTCGTGAGAGCGAGAACGAGGAGACGGTGAGCGACCCGGGCGATGTGTTGCCGGTAACGACTGGTGCTGAGGGGTTGGTCGGCTCGAACTAGTAAGTCTACCACGTCAATTTCATCCGAGAGCCATCCTGACCTTGAGAGTTGCAGCATCTACCAGTCAATCGAAAGGCACGAGCCAGAAGATGGCAATCTTGAAGATGAGGAGGCTGAGGAGTTCGGGTGAGGATCCATTTGCTCTCCCATTGCATCGAAACCAACTAACGTGAAACGGCAGTAACTTCGATAATTTCGACATCCGTGAATCCGACGCCAGTGAAGCAGATGAGGTGGACGTCCGAGATTGTGAATATGAGGTGGACGCTGGGGATGGCGAAGATGAGGACGAGCTACTCAGGTAATAATGGATTCCCCCGTCATGGCATCAGGCAGCGACTAACATAGGTTGGCAGTGGCTCGGAAAGCGGTGACAGCGACGGTAAACATGACACCATAGGCGAAGCAGATGAGATGGACCAGGGCAACCCCGAGAATGAGGAGATCGTGGAGCACATCGAGACCAGGTGAGAATGGATCTGCTTCGCCGGCGCATCAGGGAGGTAGCTACTGACATCGGGCAGCACTGCGACGAACCCGATGTGCGACTTCAAAAACGATAAATACTCGATTCACTGGGCTCCTATCAACCGCCCTAGCTTCGGCCAGGATGGATCTTCAAGCCCGCGCATCCGAACCGGTGGGCTCCACATGTTGGCGTCGTTCCCTGCCCGGCCCGGGAGCCCGGTTCACACGGCACCCGCTATTGTAGGGGAGAGCAAGGTACATGTGTATGCCTGCCCCGCCGTCTGGCCTCATGAGAGAGCCCCTGTGGCGGCGAGTCTCTAGAGACGGACCAAATGGACTGACGGATACCAGAGTGGGCGTTGATTTGAGAGGTTCACGTTGAACATAGGCTTTCTTTATTTTTTCCCCTTTGGCCGAGCGAAGAGCTCTTCATTGGTAACGGTGTGGCCACTCCGCTACGAGTGCCATGTTAGACATTCCCCCCGACTGTTCGATGATTATTGTTTTGTTATCTCTACTGTTAGGAACCTTGACGTTTATCGATAAGCCCCATCACCTGACCGGACCTGCCCCTTGTCGGATCCATGGATGGCGAAGGCGAACGTATCGCCACCACCGGTTTTACTCCGTAGAAATTCTGGTGGCACCACATGGCATAATTCTCCCCTCCAAATCCAGCATAGTAGCACAGTCTGCTTATTTCGCTCTCACTCCGTGGAAGCAGAAGACGAAGAAGACCAGAATAACTCGTCATTGCAGGCAAATTCCGGATGACTAATTAGCCAGGCCTCCACGTCGCCCTTCTCCACTCACGTCCCTTCCACTTCTCTTTCGCCTCTCACGGTGACCATCGCTTCTCATTCTCTGCACCTGGTCGCCCGATCTGACATGTTGTCCTGCTTATGAGTGCAGCCCTCGCGGTCTCTGTTCTGCCATTCTTTTGGGTGGACTGCTCTCATTCCCCGACTTTCGTCTCTGCGTGTCAATCCCCCGCTTGCCCCGTGTCCGCTGCAGTTTAGCCGGGACCACCCTATCACCATTCTTTGCACAAGCCACCGCCCCCTACCCTTGTATCTTTTATTGTCCTTCGTTTGGGATCTTCGTGTGGTGCCTCTTTTTTTCCGGCGACTGATTCGACATCAACCCTACCGACCATGACCCAGTTATTCGCCTCGAGTCCCCCGGCGATGACAACTGACAAGACGAACGAGAAGCGCGGGAATTTCCCGGGCCTGTCCCTGCCGTCCCGCAAACACTCCGCCGAGTCGGCCCATTTGCCGACAAGAATCAAGAACTTCTTTCGCATCAACAGTTCCAGCAGCCATTCCTCCGCCAACAGCCCGGGCAGCAGTCATGAACGAGAACGCGAAAAGGAAGGCCCTACCGCCAGTCCGTCCAAATTGGAATCCAAATCGCCTTTCCGGCAGTCTCGCTTCCTCCCCGCCATTGGTCGCAATCGCTCAACAACGGTTGCCAGCGAGGGCAACCCTCTGGATGATGGTGTCTCACCGACCGCTACAGCGAACCCATACTTTGCCCACCAGGGCCAGCCGGCGTTGCGACACCGGAATGAAGGCTCTGTCCCCTCCTCACCTCCTGATACACCCGAGTTGCAGGTCGACGGGGTCTCGGCGGTGGAGCAGGCCACCACCGCCAACAAGGAGGAATTAGCACGGAAACTGCGACGTGTCGCGTCGGCTCCCAATGCCCAGGGCATGTTCGTCAGTGGCCAGGGCGACGGGCGGCCTCAGACGGCTGATATTGGCAAGGAGCCTCTCGTGGAACATCCAGGTCCCATTCCCAAGATCAGCCTGGCTGCTTCGAGGAGCGAAAAGACCGCCGCTGTCTCGGCCATTCCTTCCGCCGCATCGGAAAGTAATCTCGGAAGCGATCTCAACAGTCTCTCGTTCCGTCGAACCTACAGCTCAAATTCTATCAAAGTCCGCAATGTGGAAGTGGGGCCGGCCAGTTTTGATAAGATCAAGTTGATCGGCAAGGGTGATGTCGGGAAAGTCTACCTGGTGCGCGAGAAGAAGTCTAGCCGCCTCTATGCCATGAAGGGTGAGTTTTTTCTCTTATGATTACTGCCGCAGAAGACAGCCACTGACTTCTAATTAGTCCTGAGCAAGAAGGAAATGATCAAGCGCAACAAGATCAAGCGTGCTTTAGCCGAACAAGAGATTCTGGCTACGAGCAATCATCCATTCATCGTCACCCTCTACCACTCTTTCCAATCAGAAGATTATCTGTATCTCTGCATGGAGTACTGCAGTGGTGGCGAGTTCTTCAGAACCCTGCAAACTCGCCCTGGAAAGACCATCTCCGAGGACGCTGCCCGATTCTACGCTGCTGAGGTGACTGCTGCATTGGAGTATCTCCATCTCATGGGATTCATCTATCGCGACTTAAAACCAGAGAACATTCTCCTTCACCAGTCCGGCCATATCATGCTTTCAGATTTCGATCTCTCGAAACAATCCGGACCCGGAGGAGCACCGACCATGATTCCGGCACGAAACGGCGGTAACTCGACTACCTCGCTGCCCACCATTGACACCAAGTCCTGCATTGCCGACTTCCGTACGAATTCGTTTGTCGGCACGGAAGAGTATATCGCACCCGAAGTGATCAAGGGCTGCGGCCACACCAGCGCTGTCGATTGGTGGACGCTGGGTATCTTGATCTACGAGATGCTGTACGGCACCACGCCTTTCAAGGGCAAGAACCGAAATGCCACGTTCGCGAGCATCTTGCGAGACGAGGTGTCATTCCCCGACTCCAACACGCAACAGACCTCCGCGCTATGCAAGTCCCTGATTCGCAAACTGCTGATCAAGGACGAGACCAAGCGTCTCGGTGCCCGTGCTGGGGCCAGTGACGTGAAGACGCACGCGTTCTTCCGGACGACCCAGTGGGCACTGATTCGTCACATGAAGCCGCCCATGATCCCGCACCAGGGCCGCGCCGGCACAGACACGGTCAACTTCCGCAATGTCAAGGAGAGTGGCAGCGTGGATATTGGCGGCACCAGCACGACCAAGATGAAGGGCGTGCCGCTAGACTCGGGCATGGTGACTCCGAATGGCGAGCTCAATGATCCGTTTGAGGAGTTCAACAGCGTCACTCTCCACCACGAGGGAGACATGTAACAGCATCGGCTCATTATTGATGATCGTGATGCCCCTTGACGACTGTATTCGGATCGTTCACTTGCAAACCTTGCCGGGTGTACGGAGCGCCGTCTTTTTTTGTTTGTTAGTGGATCTATTGCATTGGGCTTTTTCTCTTCTTGGTCTCTGTTGTTGCCATTTCCACCTTCGCATCTCGCATCGTTTCTTTTTCCGTCGTTTCCGCCTGGTTTTACTTGGATTCCCCGCTGGGTTGTCTTTGCATTCCTATGATATTGTTGTGTGAAAAACATGCGGTATACCTCTGCTCTTTCTGTTCTATTGCAGCGGGCGGCGTTACGGGATTTTTCATTTTTCTTTATGTTTTCGGGTGTGCTCTTCTTTGCTGTTAGCATTTCACTGTACTGGCTTTGTGTTGAATCAATTTCTCCTCCCATTTTTCTTCATCACGGATTGTTGTAGTTAAAAGAATCAATGGTTGGCGGGGACAGACGAGTCCCGATGTTTACCCCCACCAGTATTTCCCACGCGTTCCTGACAACGTCACGTCAACTTCCCGACCTGCCAAAAACCGCAACACTTCCACAAATCCAAAAAAAATGTCTGCCTTCGCCCCTGACGACGGCGACACCCACGACTCCTTCATCGAGGACCCCTCGACCTCACCTCCGCTCCCACAATCCTCGTCCCTGCACTCCATCCACGACCCAGACGCCTCGCACCGCCGCCCCAACAATCCCCTGCTAGGCCCTGACAATCTTGTCTCTGATCTGGAGCAGGAGGTGCTGGATGAGTATACACGGCTGCTGGGGAATGTGAACCAGGTGAGCGAATTGATTTGATCCTTTTTTGGTCTTAGACCACCACCCCTACTACTTTTTTTCAACGACACAGTCTCTTTCCACCTTCCACTTCCTTTGAGATCCGAGCTCTGTTCTAATACAAAGGCTAACGCTATCTCCCTTCAACAAATCCAGCTCTCCGATAAACTAGGTATCCTCGCCGGCTCCCCTTCCTCCCTAACACTCGACGGTCTCCGCCTCCTCGAGCGCAAGACCGCCACCGTGTGCACTCTGCTCAAGGCGAGTGTGTATAGCATTGTTCTGGAGCAGCAGATCTGGAATGAGAATGTGGAGCAACAGCAGCAACAGCAGGAGCAGCAGCGGGGAGGAGACCATGATCATACGGAGTTTCAGGATCAGGAGTATCGGCATGATGGGGATGGGGATGTGTCGTTTCAGTGATTATTTTGTGTCATTTTGAGTGTTTATGTTTATGGATGGTTGATTGAGTGGATTAGGGAGTTGGCGTACATAACTGATGATAACTATACCCGGGTTGAAATGGACTTCTTTCTTTGTTGTTGTTACGGTTTGTGTCTGTTGATGGAGTTGGTGTAGGTCTCTGACAGCTTGATGTGGCATCTTTGGTCATCTTTGTGGACGTAGATTTTCTCCGAAACTCGACAGCGGATATATGACGACAGGTTTTACAGCCTGGCGGTGTATGCAATCCGAAAGAGAACTGTTTCATCGTTGTCCACATCCTGGACTCTTTGGGTGAAAGAACAGGACTTTGGAAGAAAGGGAGGAAGGGAAGGGAAAGGAGGTAAATAACGGCAGGGAAGAGAAGAAGAGAAGGAAAGGAAAGATGTCCTTCTATATCGTGCCCAGGCAAACAAACACTCGTGCAGTTACCTAGTAACGTTACGAAACAATGGATACCCTCCAAGTGATTAAAATCTTCCAGGGCTGTATTGGCTTTTTCATATTGCAACAGATAAGTAAAAGTACAAGGACATGCAAATGAACACATATGACGAAAAAGAAGAGGAAGAGAGGGATAGAGAGGCATTTATATACATGCCAGATGGCTAGACTGGACAAGCCTACACCTTCCCGGCGTAGTATACCTTGCGCACGTCCACGAGCTTCTTGCCGCGTGCACGGGCAATCTCCTCCGGGTCGCGCTGGGCCATGAGCGCCTGGTACGCGGCCTTGACCGTGTTCATCTGGTTCCGGGATCGACCCAACCGCGCCGACAAGTCGGAGATGCCGGCGGCGCGACACATTTCGTAGATGAGGTACTGGACGCGGAGACCGAAGCCTGTTCGAGTGTGTCAGTGATGGTGTAGACAGTTAGGGAGGAGAAGAGAGACAAACCTGGCGGACGGTGCATCAACTGCACCTCCACAGCACCAGACTTGCCCTTGACATCGCCGAAGATAGTGCGGTTCTCGTAACGGGAGATGGGTTGCATGTTGCGGATGGCACGGTAGCGCGACTGAGTCTTTGCATCACTGGATTCTTCAGACTTGGCCTCGCCGATGCCCAGCAGGCCGTTGCCGTTGCCGGCAATGGACAGACGGTAGTGGCGGCGGACCTTGCCCAGACGGGTCTGGTTGACGACGTGGTGGGAGACGAGGGTTTTGGTGCGGAGATCCATAATTTGGCGTTCGGTGTAGCCCGTAGCGAGAAGCAGGCGCTTCAGACCCTCCGTCATTTCCTCGGCCTGCAACGAGCGCTCTTTCTCGCCCTTCTCGGCTGCAGACTTGCGCTCCTCCGTCCGGGGTTCGGAGATGGTCTCGCCAGGCCCGAACAGATCAGGCACCAGCGCGCTGTGCGGATCCAGCTCGCTGCTCTCCTTGCCCTCCGTCAGCCGCAGCGACTCGGCAAAACGCATGAAATCGGCCCCCGACGCGTTGTCCGGCATATTGGCGAAGAAGCGGCCAAAGTCCTCGACGAAGTCGTCCTCCGTCCGGAACTTGGGGTTGTACTCTGAGTTCTCCTTCGGCGCCCGGAGGTGTCGATCGATGCCGGGCTCGACGACAGAGAAGTCGTCCATGTATTTGAACTTCATGGGGTCGTCGCGTGACCGGGCCTGCTCGGCCAGGTCCTCGGGGTCGATAGCCTTCTCACCGGCCTCAATGGCAGCCATCTGGGCAGGAGAATATTCTTTCGCCAGCTGAGCCTTTTCCTCGTCGGTGAAATGCTTGAATTCATCGGGCTTCAGCTCCGCCTTGATGTTGGGGAACTTGGGTTTCCGGTTCACGAGCGGCGCCGGCGTCGGGTGGAACTGGCGTCGAGGCACTCGCGTGCTGGATGGTGCTATCCGCGAGAAGCTGCAGAACAGACATCGTGCTGGCCGGGCGAGACTCATGGTGAGAATGGCCAGGCTGTCTGCTGAACAGGGGAAAGATGGAAGAGAGCGAAAACACCAAGGTGAATTTCTTGCCGCGGGCGGTGAGCCACGAGCCAATCCGAGGCGGCGCAGATGCTCTTGGTCATTCTCAATTAATTTTGTTGCGACAGAATAATTTCTTCAACTTGTACATGTTTGCGCTGCGTCCGTCCGTCTGGCGTCTTGCTGTTCGTTGCTCTTTTTCTCGAGTGCAACTGCGCCTGGTCTCGACCTTCCCCCCTCCAAGCAGTGCTCCAGTTCTTCCCACCACAATGCCGAACATTCCAGGGAAGCAGTTCGACGGCAAGAGGCGCAAGAAGGCCAAGGTCCAGCGCAACAAGAGCAACGGCTTTGACGAAGTCCTCCAGGCCGACATCGATCGCCTTCTCAAGCAAAGCCGGCCCGAGCAAAACCAATCCAACGACGACACCACATCCGAGCCCACCCTCCCCGAGACATTTACCGAGATCGATGTCAAGATATCCGAGCTATCCTCGACTGGCGACGGTCTTGCCCTGTCTGAGAAAGCAGACCATGTTTTTGTGGTTCCCTTCACTGTACCGGGGGATACGGCGCGAGTCAAAGTGATCAGGCATTTCCCAGCGCTGTCCTACAGCATCACAGACTTTGTCCGGGTAGTTGATGCTGGGCCTCAGCGGAATGATAGCCTTATTGGCTGTGGCTATTTTGGAAAATGTTCCGGCTGCCAGCTCCAGATGATGTCGTACGAGGACCAACTCGCTCACAAGCGGCGCATTGTGGAAAAGGCCTACGCCAACTTCTCGGGCTTGATTCCCGAGCTGGTCCCTGCCATTGGAGAGACGTTCCCGTCGCCCCTCAAATATGGATACCGTACCAAGCTCACGCCGCATTTTGAAAAAGGTGGCAAAAAGGGCAAGAAACAGGACGACGAACCCGCTGAGGTCCAGGTGCCTCCCATTGGATTCACATACAAGAACCGACGCGCGGATATGGACATTGAGGACTGCCCACTGGGGACAGATATTGTTCGACGCGGGCTCAAGAGTGAAAGGAAGCGAGTCGCCGAGACCATCCGCTCCTTCAAGAAGGGTGCGACTCTTCTGATGCGGGAGTCGACTACTCGAGTTCCCAAGGAAGACGCTTCTAAAAGTGCAGACGCCGAGACACAGCCCACAAATGAAACTTCAGGCCCGGATACAGGCGATGTCATCCGCATCGAGCACGACACCTACGTCGAGGAAAAGCGTTGTATTACAGACAACAATGCCACCTCGGTAGAGTATGTCGACGACTACATATTCACCAACAAAGCCGGCGCCTTCTTCCAAAACAACAATTCAATTCTCTCTGGCTTCACAGAGTACATCCGCTCGCAAGCCATCCCGCCTGGCAACGAGCACGATCCCCGCCCGATCAAATACCTCTTGGACGCCTACTCCGGCTCGGGTCTCTTCACGATCACACTCTCCCCACTCTTCAAGTCCAGCCTAGGCGTCGATGTCGCCGGTGACTCCATCGCCTCCGCGCGCGAGAACGCCCGTGCCAACGCCCTCCCCAACACCGGCTTCGCCGCCGCAGACGCCGCCGTACTCTTCAAGGATGTTCCCTACCCGGCTCTTCAGACTCTGCTGGTCATTGACCCGCCGCGCAAGGGCTGCTCCGATGACTTCCTCCGCCAGCTTCTTGCGTTTGGGCCGCGCCGCGTTGTCTACGTCAGCTGCAATGTTCACACGCAGGCTCGGGACGTCGCGGTTATGGTCCAGGGTGACCAGACCACTGGGGTGCGCTATGATATTGAGAGTATTCGTGGTTTTGACTTCTTTCCGCAGACGGGGCATGTTGAGGGCGTGGCGATCTTGAATCTCGCTGGTGCTGCTGGTGCTCCTGCGGAGTCGAGTTGATCTAGATGCATGGACTTGTATATCTTGACTTCCGTTATCTTTGACATGGTGTGTTTGAACTCGATTTTGCATTGCCTCGGGCGTTATCTGTGATGGAAACGGCAATATAAAAGCAATTCATTGGGTGGGTTGGGTTTCTGTATTGTAGACCATGAGAAATATATATCCAAGGATCATGCAGGATCTTGTTCCTAGAGAAAAATTTCACTTCGAATATACAATTTCCTACTGTTTATTGAGTGCGGCATAGCATAGAACTAACAAACAAGTTCCGTATAGATATCTACCTGGAGCCTCGATACAAGACGCTGAGAGACGACACCGAACCATTTTGAAACGACCACGAAGCACGGAGACGGCAAAGCACACGGAAAGAAATAAACTATTGGCTATGAACAGAGAGCTGGCTGCACAGGCTGACAAAGGTCTTGAGGGTGATCATCCTCCTCTACGTTCCCGGGCCACCGAGGAGCGCGAATCTCCGCACGATGCTGGGGCCGATCTCATCGTACTCAGCCTTGGTGTGGCAGTAACTCCGGAATTCAGGCGTCTGGCCCAACAGGCTGCCTCCGAACCAGGGGCCGTGACGCTGGCGCTTGTGCGTGACAACGGCCACATCCAGACCACCACTCTTGGCACCGCCGCTGCGAGCCTCGGAGGCACGGATACGAGCATCGACCAGGTGCCGGATGTCGCGCTGGAGACGGCGGCCGAAGTCTTTGTAGAGGGTCGAACCACCAGACAACACAATGTTCTTGTAGAGGCCTCGCCGGACGTCGATGGGCGAGGACTGGATGACGCCGTCGACGACGGTAGGCAGCGGGGTCAGGAAGTCGGACGAGTAGATTTCGGGGTTGAAGAAGATCTCGGGAGCCAGGAAGCGTTCGTAACCGACGTCAATGGAGACGCTGCGCCCGTTGGGCGAGGTGACGGTGTGCTTCAGGAAGCGATCTGGCTCGCGGTCGTACCGCGCAAACTCCTTGACGATATCCGGGCTCACGTAGCAGTACTCCTCCTTCACCTTCTCAGCCGTTTTCAAGCTGCTGTCGGGCTCGCCGCGATCCCGCAGCAGGCTCTGTACGAAATAGGTGATGTCTCGGCCGGCGACGGGTATGCTCTTGATCGAAGATCCAATGACGTAGCCCTCAGCGACGGGGATAACGTGCGTGACACCGTCACCCGAGTCGATCACGGTTCCGGTTAGTGAGCGGTCGGTTACCTTGGAGGATGTCCACGATGCGGCAAGGGCCAGTACTGCTTGCACGGCAATGTAAAGACCGGCGCAGTTGAACGATTCGAACATGATTTCGGCGGTGTTTTCACGGTTCTCTGGGGGGTTCAGCGGCTACGGGGGCCGTGAATATCAGTGTCTGGATAGCGAATGGGAAGAATGAGGGTATCTTACCGGCTCCGTGAGCAAGAAGTAGTGATCCTCGGGCTCAACACGCAGGTACTTGAAGATGGAGTTCGACCAGAACCGCTCCATATAGTCCCAGTTCTCAATCTGTCCATGCCGGATGGGATAGTTGACGCCGTACCCAGGGCCACTGCCTGCAGCCAGGGCCTCATCGCCAATAAAGAAGTCCAGGTCCTCGGTTCCACGCTTCCCGGACAGGTGCGAGCTGGCCCCGCCGCCGCTCGACAGGAACGACGGCTTGTTCCCAACTGCCGGCCGGCTCCCGGAGCTTCCAGCGCTTCCAGCACCGGCCTTGGTGGCAATTGCGGTCGGAAAGACAAAGGAAGGGGAGTCGTTGCCGGCGAATCCTAACGTGAACACACCATGGTCAGCCTGGGTGGGAGTAAGCAAGTTCGAGACACCTACCAAGCTTCGAATAGCCGGTGCCGCTGCGGAAATCAAAGACGTTAGCATCTCATAATCCCAAGTTAATGGTGTGTTCAGCAGCTCCACCTACTTGTCCATGACAACGGCCGGTGTTTGGGACGCCATGGCGGGTTGGGAGAGGGGGGATGGCGGTCAGCGACAATTGGAAGCAGTCGCAGTCGAGAGGGCCACAGAGACTGAGGTCGGATAGGCAGACGGAATCAATTGATCGGGTTGTGTGCCCGGTGTGGCATGAAGCAGAGAGAGAGACAAGGTAGGCAGACAAGGCGGGGGGTGAATGATGGGCAGCAGATGGCTTAAGTAAGGCGGCTCACTCACTCACGTCATGTGCCTCGAAAGAGTATGAGATTGGAGCTTGCTATCAAAACGCTGTGCTCCTGCCTATGATTGACCGCGTTTGCTACAGACAAGCATGGCAGGCGCGACTTTCTTTCCACACCACACACCCTCTTTCTGATTTCCTCCCCTTCTCCCACTTCCTTCACCCCCCTCTGTCTTCCCGATCCTATTCCTCTTCTATTCTTTTGGCCGGCTCACTCGGCCCTCCTACGCTCGTTTTGCTGTTATTGTTATTCGATCCCTCCAGAGTCGCTGTGCGAATCGCCGGTGGGGAGTTGGCTGGTCCCGCAGAATTCAGAGATCCATCCGTGCCGATTACGATACTGGATTCTGAGTGACAGCTCGTCCGTCTCTCAACTCTTACCGTGTGCTCGCTCAAGCGTGCTTTCATTTCCCCTACCACCCACTTCCCTTTAACTACAGCCTACACGTCTGGCTCCAAACATCTCCACCATGGCCAGTGTCCAGGAAAAGGACAAGATCTGTGCCATCTTCATCCATGCCGGGGCGGGCTTTCATAGCGTCGAAAATGAGAGGAAGCACCTCAAGGCCTGTGAAAAGTAAGTCGGGCATTCGGTTTACAATTGGTTTTCCTCTGGGTACTGACTCGGTCTCAGTGCCGCCAAGGCTGCGATGGCGTTCCTGAGAAATGGCGGCACAGCGGTTGATGCTGTCGAAGTGGCCATCATGGTTCTTGAAGATGCTCCGATCACGAATGCTGGATATGGCAGCAACTTAAACATCAAGGGAGGTGTTGAATGCGACGCCACCATTGTTGACCACTGGGGCCGCAGTGGTGCCGTTGGAGCCGTCCCCAGTACGTTTGATATTAACCCGCTCCTTCTTCTCTGACTGATCTGTCGGCTTGCAGATGTCAAGAATCCAATCATGTTGGCCCGGAAGATTTTCGAACACGCCCATAAGCCACTGGGCTTGCAGAGGGTGCCACCCAACTTCCTTGTTGGAGAGGGTGCCAAGGACTTTGCCTGGGATCATGGCTTGGTGATTGTTCCGGACGAGGTCTTAATCACGCCCACATCCATGGAGCGGTGGCGGACTTGGTGCAAAGACGTCGACCGTTTTGAGCGCCAGCACCAGGAAGCTCGCCCAACCGATCCTTGGCATCGTCGTCCAGTGACTCCCATTTCCACCCGCTTGGCACGCGCATCTCTTCCCGCCCTGTCGAACACGATCGAGGCTGATCTCGCCTCTACTCGTGAATCAGAGCCCGTTCCGATGGAGAGTGAAAGCCTGCAGATTGACAAGCTCCTTGATGGTCAGAGAACACAGGCGTCTTCGGAATCAAAGCCGCAAGAGGCAGATGGGACATTTCCTGTCGACCCAAGACTGTCTGGGGAGCCTGCTTCTGAGACCGGTGTGCATGATCATGTCACTGAGCCTGGCGGCGACAACAAAGATGAGGACATGATCACAGACACCGTGGGAGCAATTGCCATTGATCAATGCGGAAACATCGCCGCTGGGTCCTCTTCGGGGGGGATTGGAATGAAGCATCAAGGTCGAATCGGCCCAGCAGCACTGATAGGCATAGGGACGCATGTCATGCCAGTGGACCCCAGAGACCAGGATCACACTTCGGTTGCCGTGGTCACTTCGGGGACTGGAGAACACATCGCCACAACACTGGCAGCCAGTACCTGCGCATCCCGCGTTTACTACAGCCAGAAAATGGGCCAGACCGGCGGGCTCGAATCGGTAACCGAAGAGGAAGCTATCAGCGCAATGATCAATGCGGAGTTTACAGGTGAGCTTTCTGTTCCTTTGCACTACTTGTTTGGAAGCTAATCTCATCCCCACGCTCAAATACAGGCCATCCAGGTGTTAACAAAAGCCTCATCTTTGGCGCCATTGGTATAATGGCTGTCAAAAGCAACACGGACGGCATTGCTCTCTACTTTGCGCACAACACCGACTCATTTGTAAGTTCTACGAAGGCACAGCTGATGGATTGGTCCGCTGACAGCATATCCCAGGCTCTGGCTTCCATGTCCAGCAAGGATGAAAAGCCTTCCTGCGTGATGTCCCGGAACAGACACAAGGGACTCGTTGCTCAAGGAGGCACTATGTATCGACACAAATAGTAAGGTGCATTTCTACCGGTCATGGCGACTGACTGCTAACATGGATGATCCTGTCAGAACCCCAAGCCTCGACTACGCATCTGATGGTCATTTCACGGTTGTTCTCGTTGGGTTGAAAGGTTAAGCTCCTTTCAGGAGTATTCTCGTTCTCACTGCATAGCAAGAGTGTTGTCCCTTTCCCCATGCATTTGGTGCCTTCACACTGTCCCATCCTGCATTTTCTGGTGGTGTTTCCAACCAGCATAGCGACAAGGCGTCTCGGTCACCATGGTCGCAATAGGAACCTATTTCCCCTTTCCTAATTGTTTTCCGACCCGCATTGGTTGTTATCGTGTGTCTCAGTCCAGATACCCAGGCGCTTTCATTTTGCGCCTGCCTGTTCCTAGGGTCCTTCAAGAAACAAATTGAGACATCTGTTTCCATTTAACCAGTCCAGTATCTCCTAATTTGACCTGGAATGGATCATCTTCGAAAAATCCCGTCCTATGATCCAAGTGGCATGGTATAAAATGCAGCACCCAAGAGAAAAAGAGAACAATCAAGGACCAGGTGTAGGCGTAGACATCGGCGTACCCGCAGCCGAAACACCATTAATTCGCTTCTTTTTCTTCTTCTTCCGCGGCAGCAACGCAGGCTTGGCACCATAATCGCCCAGCTCCAATTGCGTCCCGCAGGTCAGACAGACGGTGTCCGGCGGCGGTTCACAGAAAATACTCAGACAGATAGAGCAGACGTACCCAGTGCGGACGACTCTGCGGTGACAGAAGCAAGCGGCGCGGAAATCCACATTCACATTGGTCGGAAGCACCAAGTGGCGGCGCGAGCGCTGGTCCGGCAGGAAGGCCATCATCAGGTACTGGAGCAGACCGCCGGGATTGTCGAGACACATGTAGATCCCCTTGGTCGCGTCACAGGCCTGCTGCAGGAAGACGGCGTCGCCGCTGATCTTGCACACGTCGATGGGGATGTGCAGGCGCTGGCATGCAAAGATGCTGTTCATCATGGGGATATACTGGTGCGCTGAGTCGCTGGATCCGCTGACGCTCACGATCAGGATGCGGCTTTGCAGTCGCTCGTCGTCTTCGGCAGAGTATCGCGCTGTTCCTGCCCCGCTGCTGCCGCCCGCACCGTCCGCTGCTGTGTCCTCGAGATCGGCGCCGCCGTGCGCTTCGGCCCAGGCGATCGTGCGCCGGTTGATGTGGCTCAAGGCAAGCGTCAGCGCTCCGGCGAGCATTGTCGATGTTGTGACGCGGAGGTCATCGCCCGTCGTGGAGTTCATCAGCTCCCGCAGGTTGCGATTCACCTGCTCTTCGACCATGCGGAATGGGCGGTATTTGTTGGTTTGTTGTGCGGCGGCGGCGGCGGCGGTGCTCGCGCCGTTCATGTTGATGTCTCCATCTCCATCCGGGGCGGTGGTTGTGTCCTTGTCCTGGTGGACAGGGTACAGCCATGTGGCTTTTTGGCTGTGTGATGCTACGACGGCGACTTCGTTGGCGTAGTTGCAGGCGAGGTGGGCGTTGATAAAGACGAGGATGTTGGCAATGGCCTTGGAGAGGGGGAGGGAGTCTTCCAGCTGGGCCCAGGCGTGGGGATTCGTGTCGATGATGACAGTCAGAAGGGCCGGGGCGAGGTCTAGTTTGTCCGATGTTAGCTTCGGTACTACACTTGGGGAATGGGATCGAGGGCACACACCGGTGGCTGCTTGCTCGTAGTGCTCGGATGCATCGACGGAATTCATGGTGGCCGGGGGGTGGTCAATGGAGGGCGCAGTGCATGATGGCACTCTCGCTGAATCTCCGATGCCTTTGTCTTCGACAGTCCCCGGCGCAGACACGAGGAACGAAGAACGAAGAAAGAAGGACAAGAACGGAATTGGAAGCTTGGGCACGATAAGGCCACTCACGGGCGATAACCACCACCGCCGAAAAACAACCCTAAACAGGATCTCCACTTGACCGACTAGCTACAGTATTATGGTTGTTTCAGATGGGGATCGGACTTGACTCGTTCGGACTGCCCGCGAGGGACGGGAGGTGGTCGGTCTCGGTCTCACGGTCCTATCAGCAACTACGTTCGTGAGCCTTTGGGAAACGCGCCCTATGGATCCACTGGGATCAATCACCACCATGATGGCAGATACCCCGTATGCAGGAGAATGGTGTTACCACATGCCAGCCAGGCGGGCAACCAGGATGGTATGCTCTATCCAGACATTCTGCAGTCCGTCTCACGGTGGGCAACGTGACGCCACCGGTCGCCGTGGTTGGTCTTGAGAGAGCCAGATAAGATCAAGGCGTAATCTAAAGAAGAAACGTAAGATATTCAACCCCAAGTCAAAAAGGATGAATTAGCTTTGCTTTTTCCTGTCATGGTGGTCCAAGGACTAGTAGTTAGTTAAGTTATCCATTCATCATCTCCCGTCTTTCTTCTTCATTCTTCCTCCGTCGCTCCCCGCTTCCACAGAAAAAAAAAGTTGCTGGTTCTTTTGATCTTCACCACCTCCACCACCACCTTCACTCTCTGGCCCCTCCATCTCGAACCCCCCTTGCAGCGTGCTGCTCGCACCCCTGCAATGGTCTCAGCAACGGGCGAAGCGCGCGCTGTTCACCTGGCTACGGAGGCCGTCGAGCTGGTCGATGCCGGCCACCGCGAGGTACGTAATACACTTTCCCCCCGACCACGATTGGGTCCTCCGGAACATCTGGCATACTGATTTTCTGGGCTCCTTGACCAGGCTGCATCGCGAAATCTACGAGAAGCACTATCCATTGCTCCCGACCACCCCGACGTGAAGGCGGCGTTTCTCAAAATCCAACACGAGGAAGAAAATGGCCACCAGCTCCTGGAGCTCTGTCGGCGGTACACCGCGCGCAAGGATGAGACCGCCGGCAACGAGGCAGCTGCCTACCTTCGCACGGACGGCTTGAAGCCACCCGAGAACGTCGCGTTGGAATCCCTGAAGCTTCTGCTCGCTCAGCGGCCACATGCCTTGTCGGCGGCCCAGGACGAGATCATTTCCGGACTGGTGCGACAGAACGCCAGCGTCCGGCAATTTTTTTCGACAGAGCTGCAAGTATCGGTGACGACTTTCTTTGACGAGATCTACCCCCGAGGCGACGGCGCGGCGGTATGCCTGGACACGGTGGTGCTGGATCCCAGTGTGTGGCCCGCAGAGGATACGCGGTCGCACTGCGAGAGCGAGCTGTTCCAGTTATTCTTAGCGAAACTCATGGAATCCGGCCATGACCTTGATGGTCGCGCCCTGAAGGGTATTACGAGGCTACTTGCTGTCGACGCTGATCGACTGCAGCACCTGGTTGACGGTGAGGGTTTCGAGGTGATCCTGACATCATTGGATAATCGACTGCCCCTCGAATTGCGCAGTCAGGCAACCTTGGCGACCGCAAAGTACCTCGAGGTAGCTAAGGAGCCCGGAGAGAAGCTTTTCTCCAAGCTGATTTTGTCTATGATTGGCAAAGGTCGCCATGATGATTTTATTGTGGCCTTTTCTGCAGTCACGGCTGTTTTCCCCGTGGCTCCCGCTGCGATGGCCAACCTCTGCTTGTCGGGAGAATTCATGGAGGCTCTGGGTCCCATGGCTTCACGAGCCACCAAGAGCAAGAAACTCGAAACTTCTGTGTTGGAATTGCTGAATGCCGCGTGCATCAATAAAGCATGCCGCGAAGCAATGTCCAAGCAATTCTCCGAGTGGCTGTCCCACACCTTGACAAATGGCAGCGACGAATGCTCTGAGCTAGCGGCGGTGATCCTGGCAAAGCTCCGAGCTTCTGAGACGGATCAACCCGCGGGCGCGAATGGCCGGGCGCAAGTGGAGGACGGCGAGGTTCCCGAACTGGTTCAACGGTTCAAGGGACTCTTGTCCGATCCCGAGGCTGAAAAGATCTCCCATGCCGTTGAGGGACTTGCCTATTCCTCGGTGAAGCCCTCCATCAAGCAGCAACTCAGCGAAGACCCGACATTCCTGCGTGACTTTGTCACCGTGATAAAGAAGCACACCGGCGACTCCTCCGTTCTCTACGGCGGCTTGATGGTCGTCCTGAACCTTACCAAGTTCCTTCCTAATCTCTCAGAGGAGCAAAAGAAAATGTCTCAGCTCAAGGACTACGCCGACGCTTCTACTGGGAAAGCTAGGGCAGCTCCAGATGTTCGAGACGAGGACGAAGCCGTGATCGCTCGGTGTTGCGCCCTCATTGATGCAGGCATCATGACGCTGCTGGTTGAGTGTGGAAAAATTACACTGCCTTCGATTCACGACCTCACGAGTAAAATTATGTTGGCACTTTCTCGGAACCAGAAGTCCCGAGGCACTCTCGCCCAGCAGGGTGCGGTGAAGCTGCTGCTCAGTCTCGCCATCCCGAAACAGGGGAGCTCCGGCCCCATCGTCAACGAGACGACCCAGACTGCGTCCCATGCACTGGCCCGGATTCTTATCTCGGTCGACCCTTCACATGTGTTCCCGACATCCGGCTTCCCCCAAATCACCACGGCCATCCGCCCCTTACTTGCCCTCCTCTCGGTACCCGAAACCCCTTCTTTCTCGGCTGATCAGCCTCGTGACTTGCTCCCGGTATTTGAAAGTCTACTGGCCCTGACCAATCTCGCATCGTCTCCGGACGAGTCCGCGGCAGAGCTGATTGTTCGGCAAGGCTGGTCCGCCGTCGAAGATCTGCTGCTCTCCAGCAATGCCCGTGTCCAACGCGCGGCATGCGAGCTCGTCTGCAACCTGATGACCTGCGAGTCCGGGGTTGTCCAGTTTGCCGATGGCTCCAAGCGCGCGGCGCAGCGTCTGCATATCTTACTGGCCTTGACGGACGCAGACGATTTGCCCACCCGGCTTGCGGCCGGTGGAGCCCTGGCTATGCTCACGGAGTACAACGCAGCCATCGCGGCGGTGTTGGATCGACCACGCGGTGTCGAGCTGCTGCTGGGTCTTTGTCAAGAAGACAATGACGGTCTGGTCCACCGTGGCGCTGCCTGTCTGCGCAACCTGACCTGCATGGCATCCGGTGACATCGGAGCGCGAGCCAAGGCGGCCGTCCGAGCCGCGGGAGGCATCGAGATCCTGACTGCGTGTCTCAAGAAGACGTCCAACCCGGCGGTGCTACAGGCGGGCGTAGAGGCTCTGAAGCCGCTGGTGGAGCAGTGATGATTTATTTGCATGCGGAGATATCGGGACCGGGCTGGACGATCTTATTTTTTTTTTCCGCCGGCGTTTCTTTGTTTGCTGGGATTAGCGTTCTGTCTGTTTTTAATTCGGTGCATCCGGGTTTCTGGGTATAGAGTGAACACGAGTATCAGGTGATGCTGTCTATGCAATGGGTCACGAGTCCTGCTCTGGGTCTCCTAACGTAGTTATTCTATCCGATCGCCAGGGCTACCACCACCACCCGCGACTCCTATAAGCATGACGTCTGGGCCCACCCCACCACCCCGCCGATCGACAAATCACCGCCGCGGCACGACGCACACTTACCCTCTCAACGTGGGCCGGGTTCCATCTTTCCCTTCTTTCTCTCTCTCTCCTTCTCAGCCTCTCTTCTTACCCTCGTGGCCCTCGTTGTTCTTCGCCTCTAGGTGAGTTTCCTCCCACCTCGGCCCTCACCGCTTGCAGTCGTCCCCACTAATCCACTTCTCACAGGTACAGTCGCTCCTTTGTTCCACGAGCTTGTCCTCTCTCAAATCCCCCCACACACCAAAAAAATCTCTTCTTTCCTACTTCCTCTACACAGCTTCACACATGGCTTCCCTCTTTTCCTCCGTTCCCTGCGTTCGCCCGCTCACCTGATTGCGTTGCTTTGTGGCCCTCAGGTTGGACTCGACTACGCCCGGATCTCGGCACAATCCCAAGCCATTGGCAGTGCGCCTAGGCGGCATTCGAGTCTGGTGGGATAGACCAGAAAGTACAGACCAACACCCGTGCAGGGTGCTATCAACATCATGAAGTTTGGGCGCAATTTGCCACAGTTCACCGTCCCCGAGTGGAGCGCCTCCTACATCAAATACAAGGCGTTGAAGAAGCTCATCAAGTCGGCGGCTGAAGAAATAAAGGGAGGACAGGAGCTGGACCTGGCGGGTAAGGATGGCCTTGAATTGTATCTTGCTCCATCGAGCGCGCTTCTAACGAGGGGCGGTTTCTTTTGTCTTTTCCGTTCGGTGTTATAGGCTTTTTCTATTCTCTCGACCGAAATGTCGAGGATGTCGATTATTTCTACAACAAGAAGTACGCAGAATACGTGCGTCGCCTGAAGCTCCTCGAGGACCGCTACGGTTACTCGATGGAAGGTCGCCACCGCCTCGAGCCCGAGGACCGTCATGACCTGCGAGAGGCTCTGCTGGATCTGCGCTACCACCTCCGTCGCTTGCAGTGGTACGGAGAGGTCAATCGGCGTGGGTTTGTCAAGATCACAAAGAAATTGGACAAGAAGGTCGGTGCCCAGTCCCAGAAACGCTACCTGGAAACCAAGGTCGATCCGGCTCCGTTCGCATCCAATGCGCGCGTGAACAAGGCGCAGGAACGGATCAATTCGTGGATGGCCATCATCGCCGACCAGAGCAAGGCCGACGAGAAATTGGCCGACGACTCCAGCTCCACGCACTCCTCCCTGTCGCTCAAGCGCGGACCCTCCCGACCTTATCTCAACCTGCCCCCAAGTGTCCTGACGGCTGTGGACGAAGCTCTCCGCAAGGATGACACCCACGTCTTTCTCGAGCTACTGGAGACGCTCAAGGCTGCTGCGGATGAGGTTGGTGATGCATTCTACCCCAAAGTGGTGAAAACCCTCATTCAAAGGAGCATCCTGCACCGCGCGCGGGCCGCTCTGTCTCTGCTTTTGGAGCGCGTCGACACGCTCGAGGAAGATGACGAGATTAACCGTCGTAACTGCCTTCATCGTCTGGTCATCTCTATTGGCCGTGAACAGTCAACCAATGACTCCGAACCACAGGCGTCCATGGTGCTGGATTTCCCCCCGGAGACTACGCGCTACATTACGCCGGCAGCACCACCCACCTTGCAACCACCGCGCTCCGTGGTCAAGGAGATCCACATGCCTCAGCAGCTGGGCCGGGATGACCCGACTGTGTCCTATCTGCAGTATCTGTTGGATGAGCTGCGTCCGCACCAGCGGGCGGCCCTCATAGCCAAAGATCTTTCGGGGCGCACCCCACTGCATTACGCAGCGCAGTATGGCTTCAAGGTTGTGTGCGAGGTGATCATTGAACACTTGAAAGAGTGGGGCATGTTCGATGTCAGCGAAGGGATCGATGGTCCTCTATGGCAGGACAATGATGGTTGGGCGCCCCTACACCTGAGTGTGGTGGGCGGCCATCCGAAGACCACCGGCTACCTTTTGGATGCCGAGAACTGGAAAGACCCTACGCAGGACAATGGTCATATTCGCAAGCAAGTCTCTAAATCGAATGCGGTGCTAGCCCTGGCTACAAAGGCCAACTTTGTGGATATTGTCCATCTCCTGGTCAATGCCGGAGTCGATATCAACTATCAAGATGAGCAAGGCGAGACGGCATTGCATTTTGCCGCTCGCTTTGGACATGATGAGTGCGCGCGGATCCTGCTGGAGGGCACGGAACACCAGAAGGCGGATACGGAACTGGCGGAGAATACTTACTCGTGGACACCGCTTTTCATTGCTTGTGTGGATGGGTCCTTGAAAGTGGCCGAATTGCTAGTCGCTGCTGGTGCAGATTTGGATCGTTTCGATGCCTCCGGTTGGACGCCCAAAGAGCATGCCGCGCTGCGAGGACATCTAGCCATTGCACGTTGTCTGGCAGAAGTCAGCCCCGGTGCCCCTATCCCCGAGCCCGAGTCTACGACATCCTCCTCTTCTGCAAATCGCACGCCATCCCCTGCGGGCTCCTCTCCGCCTGGCTCGTCTCTGACTGAGCGCCGTTCAAACGTCCCCGGACCGACCTCCGGGAGTTCTGGGTTACGCAGTACTGAACCTATCAAAACTTTTGGACACCGGTATCTCACCGATGAGACCATGATTCTGGTGAGCCTGGGCACAATGGACATGCGCAAGCCGCTGGTGACAGTAAATCTCGACCGGATTCCAATGGAGAATGCCCATGCCACGCAGCTGGACACGGCGCTTTCCATGGTCATTACCGCCAGCGGTGCCCACGGCGAGCCGGAAGTGATTGATTTGCCCGTTCAGGATAATATCTCGACTGAGCCAATTGTCTTCCACACGACCGACGCGAGCAAGGTTCGCCTTCTTTTCGACCTGGTCCCGACTTATTCCGGTTCAAAGGACCAGGTTGTTGGCCGAGGCGTCGCGCTGCTTTCCAGCATCAGACCGACCGTCGGGTCCCAGCGCATCAACCTCAAGGGTGATTCCACTGTGCCCATCATCGCCGCGAACACCCTCGACGTCATTGGATCTGTGACGTTCAACTTTCTCGTCATCACCCCTTTCACACATCCCAACATGTCCATCACGGGAAACCAGACCTACTGGCGGACGTTGAGCTCGACAATGGTGATCGGTCATCGCGGTCTGGGTAAGAACATGGCAGGTCGTAATTCACTGCAACTGGGCGAAAACACCATACAGTCGTTCATCGCAGCGGCGAACCTGGGCGCCTCATATGTCGAGTTCGACGTCCAGCTCACCAAGGATCACGTCCCTGTCATTTACCATGACTTCCTGGTCAGCGAGACAGGAACAGATGCACCCGTGCATACCTTGACCCTAGAACAGTTCCTGGAGCTGGGCAAAGGTCGACGCCGCTATGTCCTCCCCGACAGCGTCGACATCCATCGCTCGGGTACAAGCCCTCGGCCGCGGTCCATGTCGGTGGGCGGCTTCGAGTACGACCCAGCCGAGCTGACCGAGAAGATCAAGTACACGCGCGACTTTAAGAAGAAAGGATTCAAGGGCAACACTCGTGGCGAGCACATCCAAGCCCCTTTCGCCACCTTGGAGGAATTGTTCAAGAAAATCCCCAAATCCGTTGGGTTTAACATCGAACTGAGTGAGTACCCACCGCTTCCCGAAGAACAGTTACAATTTTAGACGATCTAACCAAGGTCGCTATAGAGTACCCCATGCTCCACGAGAGCGAGGAGGAAGAAATGGACACTTACGCCGTGGAACTCAACTCCTTTGTGGACACCGTCTTGACCAAGGTCTATGATCTCGGCGGCGGCCGAGATGTGCTGTTCTCCAGCTTCAACCCAGACATCTGTCTCCTGTGTGCTTTCAAGCAGCCCTCCATCCCGGTGCTGTTTCTGACCGATGCTGGCGCCTCGCCTGTTGGTGATATCCGCGCTAGCAGTCTGCAGGAAGCCATTCGGTTCGCGTCGCGATGGAACCTGCTCGGTATTGTCTCGCAGGCTGAGCCGCTCGTGCTCGCTCCGCGCCTTGTTCGCATCGTCAAGGAGTCCGGACTTGTCTGTGTCTCGTACGGTGTCTTGAACAACGATGCCGTCAACGTTGACGTAAGTTCATTCCTCTCATTCCTCACTCTTTCACCATCTGACTTTCCCTCTCCTCTGCAGTACCAAGTCGCCCAGGGTATCGACGCCGTGATCGTCGACTCCGTTCTGGGTATAACCAACGGCCTGATCCAGCGCCAGAACCGCGGCGAGCGCACCCCAGGCCCATCGCCCAATCCCCACCCCATCAGCGATCGCGCTGCCAGCTCCCTCGCCGACGCGATGAAGGAGACGTCCCTGAACCAGGCAGACAAGAAAAGTCTCCTTCGTACAGACGCGGAGCCACCTGCTGTTGTCTAGTGTTATATGTCTGCATCTTCTCACATAGTTGCATTCTGCGTTTCCTGTCTATATCTCTTGTCTGTTCGGCCGTGGGCCCGCTTCAACAGCTAATATTATTGCCACACTGCGTGTCATGGTATGATCATACCTTGGCTGCTGTTTCATTCGTGTCATGTTCGTCCTGCATTCAGCCGTACTGCTGCTTCCTGTAAGTCTTTCAGCCGCTCTTTCGTCGTATGCAGATATGCATGTCAGACAGGCTTTCTTCTGGGCTTCGTTGTGTAGCACTGGGGCCCAAGATGTGGAACAAACACGCAGGTTATACCTACATTACCCATCTCATCATCTTTTCCATTCTTTGTTATTTCTTCTCCTTCCACTACCTTCGAATCCTCACCACAATCAAGCGCTTCACTCTACCCCCGATGCACGGTCCTTCCAATCATCTCTCTCAACTCATCTGCCATACTCTTGAAATACTGGTCTCTACCGGGCTCCATCCATCCCTCTATACTCTATACAAATAGCCTTCTGGCCCTCGCTTCCAGTGAGAAGAAGTCATATTGAACAAAGATCCTCCATGCCTTCCCTCCCTTCCTCTGTGCAAGCTAAAGATATGGTGGGCTATTTTGTACCACGAATCGTCTACCCGCGAAGCTCCTGTCCACCCTGTCAGTCCAACTGTTGGATGACTTAGGCTCAGCTTAGGGCCTTTCTCACCACGTGAGCATCGTATTGGATCTAGCTTCGTAGCGCTGTTTATTCGTTTTATATACCTTTCCTAAAATTAGTATATTCTCAGATAACATAATTATGATGATATAAAAATTAAATATAGGGAATTGGGTAGGCGCAATCATGTAACACTGTCTTCTCTATCTATCTCAAAGTTTTTTGTGGATGATCTTAGCGTTATAGTAGTAAACAGTGGATTTTCTAGTACTGCGCGTCGTCCTGTAATCCGCCACTCTAACACTTGTAATCTTTGTTTGAGACAGTTATCGAATACGAAACCGAAGAATTAATGTTTCTACTACTTTCAGGTTGTATACTACTGTCCGCTAAAAAAAGCGGCGGAACGTATCCATTGGCCGGGCCAGCCGTTGAAGTCGGCCCCTTTTTTGAACATCAAGTCTCCCCAACATGGCAATACAGCTATCGCCGTGGCGCCCACTAATGAATATTGTAATGGCGCCCCAGTTTTAGCGCCCCAGTTTCAGCGCCCCGTTATATTAGAAGGTGAACCTTTCTACTTGACCCAAAATGCTCTATTCTATCTCATTGCTGTCGATGGAACGCCCGCGCTGAGATGAAAATAGCAGGGCATCAGAATCACGCTTCACTAGACGAGCAGGGCTATTTTGCGCCTATGGTCATCTTCAATAGGTAAAAAAAAAGCGACAATCTACATAGTGTGGCAGTAGAAGGGGGCCAGTTTATAGTAGAATAGAGGGGCGTCGTCATCATTATTGCCCAAAATAGCAGCGAAGGATGAGGACAAACGGATAGGCAAGCTAAAATTCGTTACTATGGAGTACTATCGCCCGAATCGCCCCGACTCATTTGTCTCCAGTATTCCTTCAGCATACTATATCTAGGAAACACCTTGCAGCTTTGCGTAGATTCTTAATATCCTTGCGGAAATGTCTTCGCCTCATCTTCATCTGCCCATCTGGGTATTTGCTATCTTCGCGAATCTATACTTACCGCTGATATTTGCACTTCCGTCACATCAGCCCTTCTTGCCTGTCCTTGACCCAAGTGGTACGCCTGTTTCTGCCTCGTTATATGCCCCTTTCTCTTATAACGAGCTCAATAAACGAGCTCTGCAGAAGAGGGATGAGCCAGAAAATCCAAAATTCTACCGATATGCTCGCCAAAGATCCAATAGTTATTATTACTATGACATTTCCAGCAGTCTTACCGCATACAAGAAAAATGAGTATATTGCATATGTTGAGATATCGAAACCCATTGTCGCCGGGGGGCAGGGGGAGGTCTCGTATGCGCGCGTGAACTACTATAATGGCCAAAGCGAATTCAAGGGCGTCGTGAAAGAAACAGAAGGCGCAGAAGCACTTTCCAAGGCAGAACTACAGCGCATAGTCCTACAAGATGAGAAAGAGGCCAGCGATGATTCCACTATTCGTGTTCCTTGGATTCAGGAACTACTATGGGTTCCAGAAGTACCGGAGGAGTATTCGGCGCAGACGGTGGTAGTGATGAAAAAGCTTGACGGGGAGCTATCTTCCCTGCTGCGGAATAATGATAATTACGACGAGACGTTTGCAGTGCTGGAGCTCTTGCGAGGTATAAGGGACATACACGCATCGGGAGTGATCCATCGAGATCTCAACCCTAACAATGTGATGTTCGAACGGGATAGTGCGGGCAAACTCGCTTGGTATGTGATCGACTTTGATTACGCCATAAACTTCAACGATCTCGACCAGAGCCCCAACTGGATGTATCCAATAGGCACTCCTACATACGCTCCTCCCGGTGAGAAGCCCCACTGTCAACTTATCTGACATCTGGAAGCCCCGGTGTATGATACTAACAGTCTTGTTTCGCTCAGATTGGCCCAACCGACAGCAGCGTGATCTTTTACCTGCCATCGACGTCTGGTTACTCGCCCGGACCCACTATGATATATTGAATCCAGGATTCCGGTCAGCGAAATCGGATGATGGCGGGTCTCTTAGCAAAGAAATTATGGACTACATCAATGGTCTTGTCCTCAAATTCCGCGTCCCGGCCGGAGGGAACTTGAGAGAGGAGTTGGACGATCATAAAGATGAAGTCTATCAGAACCTGATGAGTGGATTTGACTCGTCAAAAACAATAGACGAGCGTCTGGAAGAAGAAGTTAAGATTATTGCGGAAATGTTCGTCCCCCAATCCTACCGTCCAGGCGTAGCCCAGTATTATAAACGATACTGTGGCATGTTAACGGAATATACGAATTTGGAGGTGATATGTCCTGACTCTAAGGATGCAAGATGGATTAATCGATTGAATTATAAGGATGTATCTATGTATAACGTTGCATGTATATAGAGTACTCGGAACGAGTGAAAGCTATAAGGCCGACTTCCACTATAGAATTACAAGAACCAAGGCGGCTTTGGGGCCCACCCGTGTCAGACATTTTAGGGACACCAGCCTCTAGAATGCAACGTCCGGCGTTCAAAACATCATCTCTTCCGTATTGGTGTATACCTAGAGTGTACCATAAGTCCTTTGTAGCTTATTATTGTCAGATTCCAAGACCACACCGTCTTCTGGCGTAGCAATCATCGCTCCCTCCCGGTCGATAATTACCCTATTCCCAATTGTCTGGATTGGATCCTTCAGACCTCGCCATCATATTATGAAAAGCTACATCGCCATGAAAAAGCCCCTGGGACCCCCCCCCCCCCCCCCTTCTCCAGTGCCTGTATCATAAACAGACGATTGAATAGCTTATATTCTGGACCGAACTGCTGGCGTCTCAGCATATATTGATAAAATGGCGTCTGTGTATTATCGAGTAGTCCTTTCATAACAAGAATTGTTGAAAGCTCCACTTTTGATGGATTGGATCCCATCGGTCGTATTCCCAAAAGGCATCGTATATTCAAGGCATATAACTGCCTAAGTCCAGATCTTTCATGCCGAGTGCACGGTCAAAGTCTTCTCTCCCTTTGTTACTCTCGCGAAAAGATCCGGCCTCATTGGGTAATCAGGGAGGGTCGGCAAAAAAAATTTTTTTCTTGTATTTGGCCGAAGATATGTTAGGTCGTTGCCGAGAATGGCTCTGCTTGGTGTGAGCAGCCAGCTGAGTCGGACCCCTGTAGTAATAATAGTACTCCGCGTTGATAATTCCCCACATAGGGATCCTAATAGCCTTGATCAATTGCGTCTTACTATAGATGGTGGTAGACGGTTCCTCCGATCCATTCGCACTCGGGGGAACCCGAGCAGACGATCTCGGCCCAGCCCGAGCCTCCAAGCTCTCGAGCGGGTGGAGGCATTCATTTCCGGGGCAGCCAGAGAGCTCTGTTGTAGCTGGGCCCCTTATCGCGCCATAACATGATCCACCTTAGACGGATTTAATTAGTTACTCTTGAGAGTTTTATGATATGTTGGTCCAGGAATCCATACATAGTCAACTCTTTCGGTCGGCTTTCCAATTCCGGCCTGGATGATTAGGGTTTGCCAGTCCCCGCAATTCTCGAGCCGACCGCCCAGCGAGAAAAGGAAGCTCTTCTGAAGAATTATTATTAAGATCGGCTGATCTTCCTCTTGATCTCCCTTCCCACCGCGCGTGTGCCTTGGAGTATACGTCTTATGTCAAGCTCCTGCGAGAGCTTTACGCGTCGTTCATCGATTTGATCTCATGTGGAATAGCCTCTAGCTCGGCGGCCAATAATATGTATGTCGCCACAACAAACGGGGAGCAGAAAGCCCGCGATGCCAGCGCGGCGGAGGTGCTGGAGGATTTGCGCGATGGCCAGGAGGTGTCCAAGTCGCAGTTTCGGCGGGTGCTGCTGAAGATCGATCTTGTGATTATGCCGCTCATTGTGCTTGCCATGACGCTCGCCTTCCTGGACAAGGTACCTACCACGCTCTCCCCGTTCTCCCTTTTCGTGGCGATAGCCATACTGATTATTGCCTTTAGAATGGCCTGGCCTACGCAGCCGTCTTTGGCATGGAAAAAGACGCCCATCTCGTCGGGCAGCAGTACAGCTGGCTGGGCAGTATCTTCTACTTCGGCTACCTGGCCATGGAGTTTCCGAACATGTACCTGATCACCAAGCTCCCCATTGGAAGATACCTGGGCAGCTGTCTCGTTGCATGGGGCACGCTCTTGTGTCTGATGGCCGCTTGTCACAATTTCGCAGGATTAGCCACCATCCGGCTGTTGCTGGGTATCGCTGAGGCGGCCATGCTGCCTTGCCTGCTTCTTGTCAACACGCGATGGTATCGACGTGAAGAACAGCCTTTGCGCACTGCGTTCTGGTACAATACCTTCGCGGGTGTATTTGGTGGCATCCTCAGTTATGCGATTGGCCATATTCATGGTTCATTGCCGACTTGGAAGGTTCGTTCGAGTCATTCATTTTCCCTTTCGCGCGATTTATACTGATTCGATTGATATACAGTACATTTTCATCATCTACGGCGCTGTGACTGTTCTTGTCGGCTTCTTAATCTTCTTCGCTCTTCCCAATGCTCCAGCCACAGCCTGGTTCCTCTCCACAGAGGAGAAGAAGATTGCTCTTCTCCGCGTCGCCGAGAACCAGACGGGCCTGGAATCCCATAAGGTATCCATCCACCAACATCCCCTTCTGCCTCTATCCCATCAACATAGAACTAAGAATACTCACAGAACATCCGCCTCAACCAAATCTGGGACGCCCTCCAGGACCCGCTCTACTACATCCTCATGATCTTCGTGATCGCCCAAGCAGTCACCAACGCCGGGATAACCAACTTCAACCCGCTTATCATCTCGGGCTATGGCTTCTCCGCCGAGAAGACAACATTGCTCGCCACACCTCAAGCCGGAGTGGCAATGGTCGCCCAGGCATCATTTACCTTGCTCGCCTGGTTCGTCCCGAACATCCGGTGCCTGCTGTGGGTTATTGCATCGTGCGTCGGCCTGGCCGGCGCCGTGATGGTTCATCTGCTCGACCCGACGACGCAGCGTAGTGCCTCCCTTGCCGGCGTGTATATCATGGGCTTCTATAATGTGCCCTGGGTGCTGGCGCTGAGTCTGCAGACTTCGAATACGGGCGGGACGACGAAGAAAAGTTTTGTTTCTGTTTCCATCGCTATCTTCTACGGTATGTACCAGTGCTTTTATATTGTTCTTTTTGGTCTCATCGGTTCTGACAATCCTCTCTAGCCGTCGGAAACATCATTGGGCCTCAGTTTTTCCTCGAGAGCCAGTCTCCGCGGTACCCGCTCGGCATTGGAGCCATGCTCTGCTGCTTTTCTATCATGGCGGCGATGGGCATTCTCTACTTCGCCATGTGCCTCGTGACGAACAAACGGCGTGATCGCGAGTATGGCAAGATCGACGAAAGCGAGGGCATGGTTTCTGCTGGGTTGGAGGCTGATCGGGCGGATTTGACTGATCGGCAGAATACACACTTCCGGTACGCCTACTGAGGGATCATGGGCTGTGTATACCTAACCTACCTGCATATTTCTACATAGATTGATTCTGTCAATAATAGACTTGTCTCTATAGTGTCATTATGGGATCTAGGTAGTATGTAGTCGCGTCTCGTAGAGACAATAAACAAATATAGATACACAAATATTGTCGTGAAAGAGATTATTATAAGACATCAATTAGCTCACCATATGCGCTGTACGAAGGTGATCCGATTCCCCGATATCGTCCAGGACAGACCCATACCACGCCGTTAGCGTGTCATCGATATTGATCATCTGATCATCGAAGATGGTCGACACCTGGCTCAGATAAGACTCTAGTCCGTCCGGACCGGAGAACATCATGCTCGCGTCGGCAGTGGAGTCGACGCCCTCCATTACGTCGGCGGGGTTTGAGAAGAACGGCACGTTGGTCATCTGCGGTGGCGGCATGGGGTGTTGGCTATCCACGGCGGTGGCGGTGACGGAAGTATAAATTTTCGTTCGGAGAGCGGAGAAGAGATCGCGGAATTTGGACAGGGCGGGGTTCTGCAGGCTTGCGATGCCTCTATCCAGGAGGTCCTGGCAGATGTTCGCATCCTGGTGGTGGAGGGTCGGTGCGAGCATGGGGTTGGCGGAGGTTTGGGCGATCTTGCATATGTGCCTGTTCACAACCTTGTCAGCTGTTGTAGTGTTAGGGTCATGGGTACGCGTTTGTCTCACCAATCGCAGTAAAGACGAACAAGCCCCGTCAGCAGGATATCATGAAAGTGGCGGTAACAACGACAAATAACCGAGATTCCCTCGTCCGCCGAAATAGCCGCCCACTGCTGCAACGCGCTCGATGAGGCATGTGAGCAGATGGCGATCATGTTCTGCGATGGAATCATGAACGACGGCGATGGTCGGTTCAGGTTTAATAGCACCATGTAGTACTCGATGAGCATCTGCTTGTATTCCAGCGACGGCCCCAGGCCCGTTGCATCAAGCTGAGTTTTCCACCGATCTAGCCGCTGATGTAGCTCATCAGAGATGGCGCAAATCTCCTGGAAGGTCATAGTGGGGCATCGTCCTTTCGGGCCACGGGCGATGTATATTGACTCTAGAACGCGGCCGCAGATCTTTCGAAGCTCAATCATATGGGTGAAAAGCCAGGAAGACTTGGAATGGAACATGGGAGCGGATTTTGCTTCATGGGGCGTGAGCTGGTCGATGGGGCTGGTGGTTGGAAGTGGCGTGTCGATGCAATGATCGCGTACTGAGAGAACTCGGCCTGTACTGAGAGCTACATATCTGCGGCTTTGCGTTAGCGGTTATTGGTGTGGAGATGTTGTTTGAGGACATACCTCTCCAAGCTGTACACGGTCCACCAAGTGCGAGTTCTGATTTCGAGTTCTTCTGGACTGAAGTTCCACGATGGATTGTGCCGATGAACCCCTAATTCAAGGGCAATGGACATGCAGTATCGAGTGAGATGCCACAGATCATTGCTGTGGTTGCAGGAAGGCGAATTGATCATTCGGATAGTGAGAAGGATAACAGCCTGCAGACCGGGGAGGTCGCGAGGATGTTCACGGAACCGTGTGAAGAAATGGAGAGCCGTCTGGAAGTACTCTCGTGAACTATTGAAGTCCAGCATCTTGGCATATTCCTTATTGTCACCCGCTTCATCAGATCCCAATGCAAGGACGATGAAAACAATAAACTTCTCAAAGCTGCTGCACTCCCGCGGAAGTTGGTATATGCGTCGAAAGCACGATCGAATATATGCCAGATGCATGAACGGCCACCAGAGATGGACCCGTGCAATATAGACAGAGAGTAGATACGAAGCGATGGCCCGTGAGGGAATTGATGCTGGATTGTCTGGCGGATCATCTTGCGTCTCCAAGTTGCCGTGGTCTGATTCAGACGTGGGATCCAAGCCCACTTGCTTGAAGAAGATGCGGGCAAAGGACGATCCAGCGGCCGCGCCCACTGTGGGGGTTGTCTTAGTTGGTTGAATAAGGGTGATGATGTTGCAGTGAACTTACAATACTTATTCTGGGAATATCGATCCTCAAAGCCAATGGCCAGTACACCCACTTCTTCCGCCTCTTTGCTCACATCGGCCGACCAGGGGAGCTTCTCAGGCACATCCGATTGTCTGGGGTACACCGTAGGATCCAGACGGACCGGTGCATTGTGCACCTGGTCTGACATATTATTATTGCTGGCCTGGGAATCGAGCTTGGATTCCAGTTCCTGGATTCTCGAATGCAGGCGCTCCACGAGGGCATAGGAATAGGTGACATAGTCCGTGATATTACAGGGCTCGCCCTGTTTCTTGCACGCCGAGCAGCGAGGCACAACCAGGTCGCACTGAAAAGTCAGAACAATGAAGTGGGTGTTTTGGGGTCCGGTGGCGTACCTTAACTTTCCGGGCGCGGCACCGGCTACACGATTTGGAGACCGAGGGCGTATATTGCCCGATCTCCCCCAGCAGGGCCATGCCCTGCGGCGTGGCCCCGGGACTGATCACCCCGAAGGGATGGGTGTCGGGGCTGCTCTTGGCGGCCGACATGACTTGCAGGAAGAGAATTGAGTTGATCCGGGGGGCCAAAGGAGAGAGTTGCGGGTTGCCGATCAGCGTTACCAGTTACGTCTGGCTTGGGTGCCTGAGGCAGGAAAGTCATATCGTCACTGTGGAGCTTCCCCTTTAGGTAACTACATATCACTACTCTGTAAACTCGAACAACACCCGCTCCCCCGGTCCTGCATGTTTGGCCGCGCTGGCAAATGCCTCTTCCCACTGCTCCAACTGATATCTCCCAGTAGTCACCCAACCCGCCTGACTGCCCAGCGGCAACATCCCTCCCTCCGCCATCTGGATCATCTTCAGGATATCCGCGCGCTCATACATCCATTTCCCCTTGATCGTAAGGTTCTTATACGTCAACGCCGCCGCCGGGATGACCACGTCCCCGATTCCAGATCCCATCAAACAGACGCGGCCAGAGTGCTTGAGCGACAACATCCCGCTCCGGATATGGCTTGATCCCGCCGCTGCAGGCGGGGAGATATCGAAGAACGCATCGGCCGGGCCATATTTCGCCAGCGCCTCCATCTCCTGCTGCTGATCGTTCGTTATCTGGACCAGCTGGACCCGACCTTCTGCACAGATCGCCTGAAGCTTCCTCAGTGCGTCCATGTTGCGCCCCATCGCAACAACGCTAGCACCCATCGCCAACGCCACCTGCACCGCCGCGCTCCCAAACGGCCCCGTCGCCGGACTAACAATAACCTTGTCGCCGGGCTCTAGCCCGATGCACCGCAGCCCGCCGAACGCAACAGGCTGCACCAATAAGGTCAGTAAGTCTTCAAGTGTATAACCCAACCCGCCTGCAGTGGTCGGCCTGAGCAGCCGCTTCTCATCGAGCTTGTAGCAGTTCTCCAGCGGCATCTTCGCGTACTCCGCATACGTCGAGTCGCGCCATTCCCCGCGCATAAGCCGCGTACTGGACTCGAGGTGTCCCTCATGAACACCCGAAAGCGCGGCTATGCTGGGATCGTCGCGGCCTCGGAGGAAGATGTCGACTAGGACTAGATCGCCAGCGGCGAGGCTCGTCGCGTCGGAGCCCACCGCTGCGACGCGGCCGATTGCTCCGGATCCTGGTACGAGGGGTGTTGGGAGTGGGTAGTTGCGCTTGCCGTTGTAGATGTCGCCACCGTAAGAGAGGATCTTGGCTGTGAGAACCTTGACCACTGCGCTGCCAGGGGTTGCTTGCGGGGTGGGTTTCGTTTGGACTTCGAGGGGCTCGCCGATGGCGTTGAGGACGAGTGCGCGGTGCGTAGCTGGGAGGGGAGCCATTGTGGATGTCAAAATAATCGATGGGGAGCTATGGAGAGGACCGGCAGAGGTCTGTTTTATATTGCAAGTATACGACTCCAAACAGGCAACTTACTCCAACGCTTTAACACCATTAAATCCGTAGATAGAGATGCACTAACGACCACAACACCACAACTCTCAACGAGCCTCTTGTATCACCCAGGGTGATATCGGACATAGTCGGATTTAGCAATCGCATGGGAGGCAGTTGCAGATCCCGTCGCCCCCAACATCAGTTTATATAGCCAGACCTTCAACGTCGAGTGAGATATGAGGTGGTATTGACAGGTCATGTCTTGGCCCGATTTAACAGGGCGATATCTAGATTATAGCTTCGGCATAACCCTCTTCTCGTACTCTTCACATTAGACATCCATCCTTGATGCTCGAGTGCAAGTCGCTCATGCCAACTCGTACCCGGCGGTAGCCAGCCTGAGGACTCAGGTTTTTCTGTGACTGTCGCACACCGTTCTGCTTGCTCGTGACACTCTCCATACCCGGCGAAACACCGCGCGAACCACTCGCAGGGTGCGATGCAAGCGCTGCAGGGGCCGGCGCTGTGCGCTCCAAGGCAAAGACTTCCACTAGCCACTCATACCAGACCTTGCGGTCGTCTGTTTGGCGATACATGGTGGCGACGATTTCGCCGCCCTCCGGGACGTTGAGTGGGGTCTGGAAGGCAGTTAGCGTGGACAATAATAACAACCAACAAAGCGACGGCTTACCTTCAGCGGAAAGTATATCGGGAACCAACTGATCATGTTGGCACTCTTCGCCTCCATAGTCACTGGATTAGTCGAGAGCTCCACGCCCGGGTACAGAACAGTTTCGAAATACCCAGCGAGGCCGTGACACACGCCCCGGTTTTGGGCAGGGAAGGCCAGACGGGTTTGGCGCACGTTGTGTGCGTTGGAAAGCGTTGCGCTTCCCGGCTGTTGAGGTGGAATATTCCTGTTGGGATGCGAGAAAGACCACGCGGTTTGCACCAATGGGGTGGGAAATTCGGTTGTGGAGGATGGCGTGCCTTGCGCCGAGGATCGACCAACACCATTTTGGCTTGTAGCATCTCCCAAGGTTGAATTAGCTGCGGAAGCCGCAGGTGAATCAGAAGTAGAAAGAAAATCGATGGCGTGCAACATGACCACATATGGCGTTTCTGGCGCTGCCGGATTGGATATAGTTTGGTTCATAACATCGCAATGCAGTTTAGGAGCAGAGACGGGCGTGAGATGGGCCGAGTAGGAAGCCGGAATGGAGATACCATGGACCGGGTTGATAAGATCGTTTACACCGTCCAGGCATTCAGGCGACAGTTCGTTGTCGGCAAAAGAGCCCAGCAGTTCGGACACGATGATGTCAACGTAGGTGTAAGAGAGTCCGGAAGCCGTGGGGTCGGCATTGTTGTGGCCGTTGTTCGGGTTATAAAGCATTGAATGTTCAATGCCGAGTGATTCTCCCACCGACTCCTGCGACCCTGCTTTGCGTACGCGAGGACCCTTCCAGCTGCGCATGTCCGACTGGACTAGCGTTACCTTGTCGCCCCAGATGGTCTCGTTATGGCGCTGGAGCAGCACAAATGCATTCTGGTTCTTCTCCACCGCCCATATATCAATGTCGACTCCGGACTCGGCGCTAGCCCGGATTGCTCGAGTCACCAGCGGGCCTCGACCAGCACCTACAACAGCCACGACAACTTTGCCATCTGGGTGAGACGTCGGCTTTTTCTGGTCTACCCAGTCCCTCAGTGCCTTCGCAATGGCCCGCTCGTACCATTCATACTTGATGGGATCCTTTTCAAATACCTCGTACGTGATACTCTCTAGGTTGACCGTGAGTGGCTGCAAGGGTGCTTGCAGATAATCCTGATACCCGGTGCCAAATCGCTCAATTGCAGTGCGCGAGGGTTGTCTCTGCTGGAGATTGCGCATATACGAGAGGTGCGGCGTCGGGTCGTGGTGCTTTTTGTCAGCACCTGCCGCCTGTGAGAGGCTAGGATATTCTGAGCCTGGAAGATGCGACTGGCCTGGTTCAGTATCTTCCACGTTGTCAAGCCCCGGAATGGGACCAATGCCGCACAGAAGGATCCACGGCGCGGTCCGAAGGCGCATCAGCTTGGAGATCAAGCCTTGGTGCGCCTTGGACAAAACGGGGAACCCTTTCTGGTTTTTCAGGAATGTCGAGGAATCAATTGTCAGCAGGTGCACAGGTTCTGAGTGCCACCGAGCCTGTACAGACAAAGCAGGGAGCTGTTTGGGCAAGACGAGAGCTGCGTATCTGGTTAGTAATCGCGGGCTAGATGACGATAGCAGGTTTTATTCTCACCAACGAACAGCCTTGTATGGTATTTACAAGTCTTGCGGATGGCATCCCACGCGTCCCACGTCCCGAATGAGTCCAGTTTGGGCGGAGGTCCGTCTTCCGGCACGATGTACGCTTCACGAGCCAGCGCGGCCAGGTCGCCAATCGTATCGACCTCCAATTCAGGGTTGTCGACCATCCGGAGCCAGATGTGGAATTGGATATAAGGCCCCAGGGCCACAGCGTCCTGGATCGCTCGGGCATAGTATATCACGCCTTCGGAGTGCATTCCGCTGTGATGTAGTTTGGGGCCAGGGACGAGGAGGTATCCAATGCCACAGAAGGCTGCGTATGCCACTTCCAGCATCAGCACTTGGCGGGACAGGTCTGCGATCAACGGATCTGGGGAGCACAGGTCAATCCAGCTGCTGGTCACTCCGACCAATTGGCTAGTAGCTTCGTTCGGGATGAGATACGAATCCGCCTTCGAGAGTGGTGGGATCACGAGCGGCTGTGAGTTCGGTGTGGTCGCCATGGTCCCTACTACATCGTACGAAGGCTTCTGCAGATTCGACAGATGAGAGGACAATAACCCCAGTACACGGGAGTGGAAATGCGAGGTGGTAATTGGCACCGTCATCATATCATACTGGATCATAATCAATCAGTCCCGTGTCGGGGTCTGGGACCATCTCAACTCACATTGCTTTCATGCACCAGTCGAACCACCTTTGCGGTGACGGGCACTTGGCGGTTGGGCTCATGATGGCCGATGCAAAAGGGCGGCGCCGCGTCCTCCGAGTAGGAGTCCATCATCATCCGACCTACCCGAATGAGGGATGAAGGAGGAAAGAAAAAGAAAGGAGAAGAGGTGAGCCCAGGTAGACAAGGGCGTGCGCAAGGGACTTTCATTTCTTTGCCCCCTCCAAAAAACAACCCGGCAGAAACATTGGGCGGTCAGTCAGGTACCGCCCACGATAGGAGATCGCCGCCGCACCTTCCTATCTAGGATTTTTCGATCTCTGCTCCTTCCTTCTTCTTGCCTTCTCAATCTCCGCTCCCTCTCCCCCGAACAACCACCACCACGCTACTCGCCATGGTTGATCGTCGCCCGGACGCTGACGAGGAAGGTTCACGCGCAAAGCGCCAGAAGATGGACGCAGGCTCTGACCCCCGCAACAACCCCTACCTCGCGCACATGTACGAGGAGCAGCAGCCCAACGGGGACAAGAGTTCGGCCCTGGCCAAGTTCAAGCGTCACCAGACCACGGCCGCGCTCGCGAAGAAGGCTGAGGATGGCGACGTCAACCCTTTCAGCAGCCGGCCCTTCTCCAGCAAATATTTCTCCATCCTGAAAACTCGGCGGGATCTGCCCGTGCACCAGCAGCGGTGAGTCAGATTGACCTTGGCCCGTGAGAAAAACTTGCTGATTCACTATATAGCGATGAGTTCCTTCAGCTGTATCAACAGTCGCAAATCCTGGTCTTTGTCGGTGAGACGGGTTCCGGAAAAACCACCCAGATCCCGCAATTCGTCCTATTCGATGACCTCCCTCAGACCCAGCGCAAGATGGTCGCCTGTACGCAGCCCCGTCGGGTGGCGGCCATGTCTGTTGCCCAGCGTGTTGCAGACGAAATGGATGTCAAACTAGGCGAGGAAGTGGGATATAGCATTCGTTTCGAGGACATGACCAGCCCCAAGACCATTTTGAAATACATGACCGACGGTATGCTCCTGCGAGAGGCCATGAACGACCACAACCTGTCCCGTTACAGTACCATCATCCTGGACGAGGCCCACGAAAGAACCATGGCGACGGATGTCCTGATGGGTCTTCTGAAGGAGGTTGTGCTACGCCGGCCAGACCTGAAGATCATTATCATGTCTGCCACTCTGGATGCCCAAAAGTTCCAGCGCTACTTCATGGATGCACCCCTTCTTGCCGTCCCTGGACGGACACACCCCGTCGAGATTTTCTACACTCCCGAACCCGAACAAGACTATGTCGAGGCAGCGATTCGCACCGTGTTGCAGATTCACGCAACCGAAGATGAAGGAGACATCCTCCTGTTTTTGACGGGCGAAGAAGAAATTGAAGATGCATCTCGCAAAATATCTTTGGAGGCAGATGAGATGGTAAGAGAAGCCGATGCGGGTCCCATCAAGGTGTATCCGTTGTATGGTAGTCTTCCTCCGCACATGCAGCAGCGCATCTTCGATCCCCCACCGCCACCCCGTCGACCTGGTGGCCGCCCGGGACGCAAGGTCATTGTGTCCACCAACATTGCCGAAACGTCCCTGACTATCGATGGTATCGTCTATGTCGTCGATCCCGGATTCTCCAAGCAGAAGATCTATAACCCTCGGATTCGTGTTGAGTCGCTGCTGGTCTCCCCAATCTCCAAAGCCTCTGCTCAACAGAGAGCTGGTCGTGCCGGTCGTACGCGCCCCGGTAAATGCTTCCGTCTGTATACAGAGGGAGCCTTCAAGAAGGAGTTGATTGACCAGACCTATCCGGAGATTCTCAAATCCAACTTGTCCTCTACGGTTTTGGAGCTGAAGAAGCTTGGAATCGACGATCTTGTCCACTTTGATCTTATGGATCCGCCTGCACCGGAAACTTTGATGAGAGCGTTGGAGGAGCTCAACTACCTGGCATGTTTGGATGATGATGGCAACCTCACTCCTCTGGGCCGCCTGGCATCCGAATTTCCTCTAGATCCCGCACTTGCTGTGATGCTGATCAGCTCACCGGAATTCTATTGCTCGAATGAGATCCTGTCTATTACCGCCTTGCTGTCGGTTCCTCAAGTCTTCGTTCGGCCCGCCTCCCAGCGGAAGCGTGCCGATGAGATGAAGGATCTGTTCGCCCACCAGGATGGCGACCATCTCACCCTGCTGAACGTCTACCACGCATTCAAGAGTGCCGCGGCGCAGGAGAACCAGAAACAATGGTGCCACGACCACTTCCTCTCGCTGCGCTCCCTCCAGTCCGCCGACAATGTCCGCTCGCAGCTGCTCCGCATCATGGAGCGAGAGGAGCTTGAAATGATCTCCACTCCGTTCGAGGACAAGAAGTACTACGAGAACATTCGGCGCGCCTTGTGTGCTGGTTTCTTCATGCAGATCGCCAAGAAGGATTCCCAGGGCAAGAGCATGTATACCACCATCAAGGATAACCAGAACGTCCTCCTGCACCCGTCCACTGTCTTGGCTGTTGACGCCGAATGGGTCTTGTATAACGAGTTCGTGCTCACAACGAAGAACTATATCCGAACAGTCACTTCTGTCAAGCCCGAGTGGCTCTTGGTATGTCTTTTTGGTCCTTCACAAAGTGTCTTCATACTGACTCGCATTCCAGGATATTGCTCCCACCTACTACGATGTCAACAGCTTCCCCAAGGGAGAGATCCGAGCTTCTCTGCTCCGTGCTGCCGACAGACTTGCCCGAAAAGAGAAAATGCGCAGTGACAAGCGCCGATAGACTTTTTTCTATATTACTGTTGTCTTTGCGATTTCTTTCCCATGTCATGATACATAAATAGAATCAATTGTGCCATACTCCAACACTGCGTTTTTGAATAGGCCTCTTTCCGTTCAAGCGATAACTCCCGGTATCAAGAAAGCCATCAGAACTCGCAACACCCTTCACGCGATCTATGTCATTCTATCGCTTTCCTGCCGCTCTAGCATTCGAACCCCCTGATCATATTCAGTATGGAGAGATATAAACTAATCCCGTATCTCGTAAATATGAAGCCTACATGCCTCGTATGCCTCGTATGCCTCGTAATCATTTCACAGCCTAAGTTGGCGGCAGTGACGCCTGCTCGTGCGATGCATACGTTTTCCATAACCCAGCCAGTGCATACGCCAAAAGTGCCCGACAGCAAATCGCGGATGCACAATACCGCATCGCTACTAACACAGCATCCTGTGCCGAGATAACTAATGAGCTAGACAGGACCATCGCCCCGTACATTGTGTGGAACACGGTGCAGATCGAAGTGAACCTGGAGATGAATATGAATAAAGATGTTTCTGTGTTCAGCTCAACCTTTGGAACCGGGTGGCATACGCACGGGATAAATTCGCGGACCACATACTCCCTCATATACTTGGTCTACACGCACTGCCAGCTGCTTATAAAATAGCAGGTTGCGAGGTGGTTAAAGGGTGGTGAATTTCGTCATTGGCGTTCAGGTGGTGTGGACGGACCTCTAAGCAGTATGAACCAACCCGCCATTTCAGGGGGGATTAAATTAAATCGCCTTTCAAGCACCCCACGCGCCATTTCTTCTTGGGGCAACATCCAGCCGCGATCCCCTTGGGCTCCACTTGAGAATGCTTAGCCGTATGTGGCGGCCGCTAGTGATTGGCATTGCAAGCCCCTCGGTCCCACCACATTTCCTGGACACTACGTCGCACCCCCACGCTTCATCGGAGATTCTGCGATGTGCTCATACCTGGGGAAATGCGCTAACCTATATAATGTCGGCATCGGCTGACCGCAAGTTTCTTGCATCGGACTCCGCTCTACTATCTCGGGAGACTACTACTCGGAATCCTGCACTATGATCGACCGTACCGGGCTGAGTTGGCTCCGAGGGCCTTCCTTGGTCGTGGCCATCACGACCGTGTGCTCTTCGGCCTTTCTGTTGTTCGGATATGACCAGGGAGTTATGTCCGGCGTCGTCATATCTAAGTATTGGCTGGCCGAGATGGGCCACCCTAGCACCGTCATGACCGGCACCATCACCGCTCTCTACGACGTTGGAGCTGTGTTTGGCGCTATATCTGCTGCCTTCACTGCTGAGCGCTTCGGACGAAAGCGCTCGTTGATTGTCGGGGCCTCGTTGATCATTATTGGCACTGCCTTAATGGGCGGCTGCGTAGAACGAATCTTAATGATGGTGGGCAGAGTATTTACGGGGCTAGGTAGCTTTCCAGGAGGTCATAATCATTATTCCATCAGCTGACCAAATCTAGGAATTGGATATCTGACCTCCGTAGCTCCGGTCTACCAAAGTGAGATCTGCCTGCCTAGTCAACGTGGTTGGCATTTGTGCTGTCAGCTCACCACCATGCTATTTGGGCTAATGCTGGTACGCCTTCATTGTCCTATCTTGTTGTCGAAGTCAAAACTCATGAAACTTGCAGGCGTACTGGATCAATTATGCCTTTTACTACCATCCTGGACAGATTCAATGGCGATTCCCATTGGTGTTCCAGGCGGTTTTTGCCCTCTATATCCTCATCATTGCCCCATTCCTACCTGATACACCTCGGTGGCTCTTATTGCATGAGAGCAGTCCTGACCGAGGCGCGCTAGTGTTGTCCAAGTTGCGGAATAAGTCTATAGATGACCCACTAGTGCAGAAGGAGAAGGATGAAATCCTCGCTGCCCTCAATATCGAGGCTGAGGAGGAAGGAGGTTGGAAGTCGCTTTTCTCTGATGGAGGATGCGCAGCCAACAAACGGTTTTACCTCGCACTCGGGATTCAGTTTATGCAGCAGACATCCGGTATGTTTTCCCATTTTTTTCCTCTCTGACAGACCCTTGTAACATTTTGATTCAGGAATCAATATCGTTAGCTACTACGCTCCTACCTTGTTTGAGCAGAATCTGGGGATGTCACAGGTATGTTGAAGCGCCAACTACGGAGCATGCTCATGCTAACCGGCGTAGTCGAGGGCTTTGTTTATCGGCTGCTTCCTTCAGGTGTGGTATATTCTCGCCTCATTTCTCACAGTATGATCCCTACTATTGTTTTTTGAATCAATCTAACTCAACTCGTCACAGTGGTATATGATTGATGCGGTCGGCCGCCGGCGCCTATTTATCATTATGGCACTTGGGATGTGCGTTGTCTTAGTATGCGAGGCCATTACTGTGGCTATTGGAGGCAATGCAGCAGGCATTGCAGCAGTGTTCTTTGTTTTTGCTTTCGAGGGCTGTTTTACCTGGGGTACGTTACTTTTTCTCTATGATCGGTTGGATCGGTGCTAATTTAGTTTGTAGGCTGGATGGCAACGGTGTGGGTATATCCAGCAGAGATTCTCCCGCTCAAGATCCGGGCTAAGGGCGCTGCCTTGGCCGCAGCGGCGGACTTCCTTGGAAACTTCATTGTGAGTCCCTTCGTACCGTACCAATAGTCAATATTTCTAACCCAGCCACTCTTAGGTGGTCGAAATTACGCCCCCGGCCCTCCAAAATATCGGCTACAAGACCTATATCATCTTCGCTGTCTTCAACCTCGTTGCCGCCTTTATCGTGTACTGCTTCTACCCGGAGACCTCATATCTGAATTTGGAGTCGGTGGACCTACTCTTTCTGCCAGACCCAGACCGGGACCAGGAAATTGAGGCTAAGCAACGTTTTTACCACAAAGCCATCCAGTGGAATGTGGTCCCGAGGGCGCGCATGGCGGTCAACGAGGCCAAGGCGCGCAAGAGGGCTGGGCTGGCCCTGGCGATGGGTGATGTGGAGCGGCATGAGGCCCCGTCTGACGTAAAGAGGGATGTCGATCCGGAGCATGTTGAGTACAACTGAGGGGTTTATGCCCTGGTAGAGACTGAGACTATTTGCGGTCGAGTAGGGACAAGAAGGTGGGAAGTTATGTACCCGAAAAGGTGAGGACGGTTCTCTGCAGCGCGACCTTCCCGGATCATCTTTGACCGTGGCTGTAACACAAGCGGGGACACTGGTACTATGCGATCAAACCTGGGTAATTGCATAGATATTTTCGGCTATGTCTCCTTATTATCATCATTACATAAATAAAGAGACACGAGGATCACGTATGGTAATATACAAATAAAAGAAAACGGATGCCAAATGACCTCCCTCTCTATTCCATAGCTTCCACGGACTGGGTACGTAGCTGTTCCTCACGCCAAAGCCGTCGTCGTGCCGCGGGACTGAGATTTGACCAGTTCGTTTTTGCTCGCACGCTGTCTGGCTGTGCAGGGATAGAAGACGTTGTCTGTGCAGCGGCGGTGTTGTCGGAGGGAGTAGTTGAGGATGCGGATGAGAAAGAGGAAGAGGATATATGAGCCGCGCCCCGTTTCAGAACATCGGCGCGCTGTTTGCGGCTTTGGCGCAGTTTGCCCAGTCCTCGGGGGTACAGGGCAGAAGGCGCGGTGGTGAATTTGTCGCTGTTGATGAGAGTCGATATTCGTTCGAATTCGACGTTTATTGGCTGAGTGGGCCTGGCGGGAGTGTCTAGTGGAGCTGTTTGGGTTTGGGTCTGAGGTATATCGGACGGCACTTCCTCGTCCGAAAGAGATTCGTCTTCCTTGAAGGAGTCCTGGATGTGATGCTTGCGAAGCTCGAACACTAGGGCGCGTAGCTGGGCCATTTCCGTCTTGAGGGCTGTGACGTCCTCTTTGGAGGTTGTGTCATCGGAATTGAGAGCAGATGGATGGGTCTCTGGGGTTGCTCCACCCACACTGGCAGCTTCTGTGTCCATTGAACCACCGCCTAGTGTAGCGGATAGAGCGCTTTGTGCATGCCGACCAGCCAATTCGGTGTATTGTCGTGAGGTGCTGTGTTTTTCAAATACCTCAAGACAATCCAGCTGCCTTTGAACAATATTCGCAAACTCCTGGCACTGCTGCCACAAGGGGCGGTCGATATTTTCCTTCGGCACACCATCAGCTGCCTTCCTCCACCGCGAGAAGCTGGAGTCAACGATTGGCACGACATCACATTGGCCCGATGGCATGGCCGGGTCAAATCCACTGTGCATTGCAGCAGCAATCAATGCCTCCGCGGTGTCTTTCTGGCCGCAAGAATCGCAGAGATGTACCATCCGAACCAGTAACCGCTCGACTTGGTCGGGAGAATGGTCCGTCGATGAGACGAGGAAGGTAACAGCTCTTTTCAATACATGAGCTCCTTTGTCCCAGTCCTGGCGAATGCTGTAGAACCGCAGGTAGGAGAAAAGAGTATTCCAGTCGTCAAAGAAACCAACGCTACGAGCTGCCTGGAGCCAGGCGTCGGCTCGGTCCGGTTGATCAAAGCGTAAGGCAGCTGAGATTAGCGCAGTATAGATGACTGGATTACTGCTGTCCAGAGTCGGAACCACCAAGTCAATTCCGTTAAGTTTCCGGCGTCTGTAGATGGATTTTCCCAGATTAGCCGCGTAGCCACCGTGGCCGCTGAGCATTTCGAGGAACTGGTCAAACCCCTTGAGGTTTTTAGACTTGCGGAAAAAAGAAATAATCGTGACGATGACCGATTGGGTCAGTTGAAAGTAGTGAGGAAGTAGGGTTCGTAGAAGTAGGTCACCCAAGTCATTTTGGCGGGCTCGGGTGAAGGCGATCATCATGATTCTGAAGGATGCAGTGCGGTCTGGATCTGGAGAGTTCAAGAGATTGTTCGATAGGCGCAGCAGGAGCTCTTCGAGAGACATCTGCCTGCTCATGAACAAATTAACATCGTCCTTGAGCTCCAATTCAAGGCTGTCGCGCCGCTCGTGCATCTGGGCCTGGCTGAGATTGGTATAATCGGATATGATATCTCCGAAATCCGCACTTCTCTGTGTTTTCAATTCATGAATACGATGTCGGATGTTGTTCAGCTCTCTCAGAAGTTTCTCGACGTTGACGTTCGGGATATTCGGGTCTGACGCGTAGTTCATTGAAATACCCGAGTAGCGATGCGCAATTGTCGGACGAAGCAAGAGCCGAATGGCAAATTGTGTCAATGCCAATTTTTGAATGGCCTTCAGACGGAGAGGGTCTTGAAAAGCCCAGTCGGGAATGCCTTCGTCCTCTTCCCCATAAAGCTCCCCGTCTTCCGACTCCTGATGCTCCAAGCCCTGCTCATGGTTGACAGTGGTACCTTCAGATATCTGAGCACTGGCAGCATCCATCAATCTGCGTTGAGTATGGTATGATCTCGTCGACCCATGTATCCGGGCTGAGTGTCCGATTGACGGCGAGAATTTCGGAATTGTGCCCAACCCTCCCAGTTGCGAGAAAAATCGATCGAGTCCTCGTTGTTTCCTGCGCGACCATAACGCATCCAAGATCCGTTGTTCCTCATCCACTAATTCATTCACTTCCGCCTTGACGGCTGCGATCTTCTCGTCCCAATCATTTCGGCGTTTATCTTTGCCGCGCGCATCGGCCAGAGCGGCGCCGGCGAAGATGCTGGTATAGAACAGGGTGACAGAGTTCCCGATGCGCAGTTTCCTCCTGCTTGCCGCGGTGGCCGATCGTGAGGTGACTCCCTTGGCGGCGGTGTTCAAGCAGGAGACACACCGGCAGGTTGACTGCGACGGGGCAGCACGGGACCACAAACTCTGCATCATTGGGACATTGTTGCACCAATTGATCCGAAAAAGAAGGGGGGAAATGGACCCCTGTGCGGAGTCCCAACGAGAACTGACGGGCGATGGGGAGCGAAGTGACACTGAAAATCATTACTGGCGGTGGAGATAATAGTCGCGGGTGCAAACACTGCAAACACCGCAAACACCCCCCGTGCCCGCTTGCAGCTAGCTGTTCCTGTTGTCCCATTTATTTGTCGCTCTGTCAATTCTCCGAGTGTTGGATCGGACTTGCTTCTCTGATTCTTACAATGGTCGCCAAACTACTCGGACTCATCGCAGGAGCGCTGGCGCTGACCAGCAGCGTCGTCAATGCCCATGGCTCGCACGACAACGACAACCCACCATCCGACGACTGGGCCACGAACCATATGAGAGGTAGAGCAAACTTAGCTGGATAGCAATCACAGTGCTGATGATCATGGTATACAGAGGAACACCACATCGACGCTTTCGACGCACTGTCATTCTTCACGCTACACGACTACGATTCATCGGGGACGTGGACCCCTGACGAGGTGCGCAAGACGTACGGTCTGGACGACGAGTCCAATGCCGGTTCCAGCGAGGCCCGAAAGCAGGAAGCGGTCCTCGCGGTGTTCAGGCTGTTTGACAAGCAGAACACGGGCGTCATTACCCGCGATTCCTGGATGCAAGGCATCAACTCCGGCACTCGCCTGCCCGATCTCGGGTTTGGCCCTGGACACCACGGGGACGACGAGTACGAGTATGAGATTCACCACTTCGAGAAGTACCACAATGAGTATACCACGGAGGAGGAATTGACCCACCCGGAGGATATTGAGCATTTCCGGAAACACGACGAGGACGAGCTCGCGGCGCTGCGGTTACAGAAGATGGAGGAGACGCAGGTGGTGGAGGTGAATATTCCGGGCAAGTTCCGGAGGAATTAGTGAGATTCACTCATGTATATATCTGCTCATATGTAATCAACTGTTGTGATGTATCATAAATGCCGAGTCGGTGCCCGACAAACGAACGTCAAACACGCAATGCATCACGCCCGGTGCATACGTCTTGACGTGTTCCACATGCCGACAATTGGCAATGTGCTGGTCACGGAGAGTCTGTTCCTGAGACCGGATTCGTGCCAGCTCATCCTCGATCTCTTTCTTCTTTTGCTCGATCTGATGGACATCCACGTTCTCATGAACATGGATCCAGCCGCCTCTTCGTACATCAAGCATCCGGCAGGCATTCTCCCAAGACGGCTGTGACGAAGGCAAAAGACCCAGGTTGACATGGCGGACGGGACTCCATGTCCCCAGCTTGTCCACAACATGATTGACTGCATCCAACATGTCGGCTGCAAACCTGTTGTCGCCATGGAAAATCACCACGCGATCAGTATCGGTCAGACTTTTCACGAGGTCTTCAATATCTTCTCCTCCATCAAGTTCCCCGTCGTCGGTAACCTTGACAACTCTGCACCCCCATTTATTCGCCAGACATCCCCGCCGCAGACCTTCCACAGACCAGCCATTCAGTTCCCATCCCCAAACACGCTTCACCCCTCGTCTCAAATATGAAAAGACAAAGTACCCGATCCCCGCATACAGATCCACGACGCTGATCTCCGAAACAGACTGGCGCAATGACTCTGCATCCAGCCCCTCAAATGTATCAGCCGAGGGACCCTGGCCGAGGATGCGTGCTTTCTCTGTGATATTTCCGCGAGAGAACATCGTATAGAGCGGAGCCCAAATCTGCACAATCCCATGGTTCTGCGCCGTGCGTACCCAAAAGGCACGCTCAAGATCTGTACCGCTAGGCTGGGATTTCTCCTCTCCGGTCACTGGTGAGATATCTCCAAAGTCGCCGTGCAGCGGAATCAAGCCCGCTGGACTGCGCATCCGATTCTCCTGGCCTCGAAGGTCAGTCAATGCGATGGGAGCATTGATGGCGATATGTGTCACGCCCATGCGCGCGAATGACTTTTTGATAGAGGCATAGAGGCTTTGCCGTTGCTCGTTTGTGAGAGATGTGTAAAGAGCGTTCCAGCAGGGTGGTGCGTTGAACGCATTAGCTGGAAGTAATAGAAGTGGCTCGTAGATTGTGAACCTCTTAGGGAGAGCTTGTGGTAGGGTGTCGAGGGATAAGTTGCACGCTGATAGCTGTGACTCCGGGATTTGTGTGGTTAAAAATTCCTGTATTCCAGCTTGTAACAAGTTGGAGGTCTTGTGGGGTCGTTTCTTGCGCTGTGGTTGGGATTCATTGCCTTGGGGGGACATGGTTTAAGCGTCGAACTGTCCCCGGAGTTCTTTTCTGTAGTTGTGGTTGAGAAATGCCGAATTTGACGTTGGGTGGCCGGGCTGCAATATAGACCACTTATGGGCTGTTTAATTAATGGTGTTTGTCCATCTTGCCCGAACTTTAGTACCAAAGACGAAATTTGCCCAACAATCGCCCGGATTTAAGTGGAATATATATCAGCTCCACGTGACCTGTCTCCATCATCTACATTTTATCATTAATCTGAGGACCCGTGAATAAAGGGTTGGATTTACCCTTTTTGACCGTAGAATGAACCAGTCAGTCAATTTCCGGTCGTTGCTTTTGAGAAGCTAGGCCTAGATGGCCAGAAGGTGCGGAAGAGAATAGCCAGGGTCGATCATCACATACGTTGATAGGAGGAGGCAGACTAGAGATAAATTACGTGTAATTCCTGTTGATTTGCAAAGTAACGGATATCGTAGAAAAAAAATCAAGAAACACGCCATGGCTCTCAGACGACCAGACCGCCATGGGACGGAAACCAAGCATGAAAACGCCAGATCAAGAGACCGAGACGCTAAAACCAAAGCAAACCAAAAAAGAGGGGGAATATGTAGTGAGCAGAGAAGCCATGTTCAAAGGGAACTCAAACAATTAGCGTCCACAGAACAGAAATGAGAGTACTTCGATAAAGGAGGATCACATCCACCTATTCACACCCATGGCGAGAGTTGCTTTTAGTATAGGATATTGATCAGAGGCAACTTTATGAGAGCAGCCAGCTATGTGTCAGAGAAATGAAGCGAGGGAGGACTCAAAAGTCCATAGCCGAGTACCCCAGTCGGTCAGTCGAATCAACCACTCTGTATGAATTGTATTAGCAATGCCGCGGACGAAGCCAATCAAACAATCCAAACTTACGAATACTGCTTCGTCAGAGTCCCCTCCCCGCCCTTGGATAGATCGATGTTAAACACATAGAAGTTGCCATCACTGGTGACAACCATCACCTGAGGCGTATTGCTGCTCATAGCAACCACGCTTCGGACCGGACCAGCATTCCCCGACCCGCTCTGCCCGTGGGTGGGCCGAGGTATTTTGATCCATGCAAAGTCTCGTGCTGGCTCCCACATTTCACTGACGCCCTTGGGAAGATATCCACCCATGGTGGCTGCGACTGCTCCGCCCACATTCTGGGATGTGCGACGAAGCATGCCAATCAAGGTGCCATTGTGTTTTCTGTTGGGGAACCCCGAAGAGCCAATTTCCCCGCTAGCATCGTCCTCATCGGGCGAATAGCCGAATGGGCTCTGTCCGAAAGTCTGGTCTCGGCCCCCTGGGGAAAGTGGTGAAGGGGACCCGTCGGATGATGAGGGACCTTGGTGGCTCAGCTTGAAGATGTGGATGGTCTCGGTGGATGAGGAGACACAGAGGAGGGTCGAAGTGGTGTTGAAGGACATGCTATATATGTGCGAAGGCATGGAGCCGCGGCGGAACTGATATAGCTTATGGCCATCTGGAACGGAAAACACGCGAATGATCGTTCCCTTGTCGGAGGCAGTCGCTAATAGAGTCCCATCGCTGTTGAGTGTAATACATGCCAAAGGCGAACGGTGAGCTTCAATGACATTGATAGCCTCCAGCTTTATGGCATCAAAAATCAAGACCTCCCCGCTGGTGGGCGAGACGTGAGTTGACCCCGGTGGAGCATGTGCAGGTGGGGGTTGGGAAGCAGGCGCTTTCTGTGGGAGAGGATATGCCATGTAGCAATTGTCTGAAGAGGGTGCGAGAGCACAGATAGCTAGCAGAGAATTAACACAGTGTTGGTAGAGCCCTAGAAAATGCATACCCTGAGGATTCGGTGATGTGTCAATGGTAGACAAGAGTTTCATGGTCTGGATGTCATAGACATAGATCTGATTCTCCAGGACAATGATGAGGCGCTTGCGATTCAGCCGGACTGACAGGACGGTGGTCGGGAAGGTCAATTCACAGATGGTGCATTGCCGCTATTTGATAGGTAGTCAGCGACATGCGATGAAAGCAGGACGATCTCAACAAACCTTGGTATTTGTAATCTGCAACCGGCGAGGGGACAAGATGAGGGCTACTAGAGATGTCGAAAAGAGCATCTCAATCACCGCGATGTTGCCCTCTTTTGTCTCATAGCTTTTGGCGAAGGGATCAGTGGTGAAGATGCGGAAACCTTTGCCTGTAGCTGGTAGGAGTCAGCGCAAGGAACCTAGCTACCATTATTGGAGACTCACCGACCGCCAGGTAGCTATAGTCCTGGTTGAACGTCACGAAATTCATCGTCATCGTGGAGGGGAAGCGTGGATGGGGGCGGGAGCCCAGGCAGCCGAGGAACGATGATCAAGCTCTCGTGGAGCGCACGATAGAGAGCGAAGGGGGAACCGGGGAGTCAGAAGCCCATCACCAAGAGGGTGCGACCAGTCCAGTGCATGCGAGGCACAACACAGAGAACAGATACAAAAGTAGAGAAGAAGTCCTGCGTCACTGGGAAAGTCACGGGTGGGCCACACCTTGATCGTCACCGCCTTGCCTGCGCCTTATCGTTATCGGGATCTTTCTCTTTTCCACCTTTTCGAGTGATGGCGCCCCGACCAGCCATGGCCTCCTCCCAGGCCGAGAAAGAGGCTGAAGTCATGATGGCGGTATGTTGTGGCCCAATTGAGTTGATCCAACCCCGCTGACTGGACGATATTGGCAGATAAACAACGGCAGCATCGTGTCCAAGCGCAGCGTGGAGATGATCTACTACCCGGAGCCGCATTTCTTTCGTCCCTTTGTCAAAAAGCCGCAGAAACGGGCACCACTTATCAACCGAGGCTACTGGCTGCGCATGCATGCCATGACCGAGTCGGTGCGCCGTTTCATCGATAGCCCATCGGACAAACCGAAATTCGTCGTTAACCTTGGATGTGGATTGTGAGTGTCTATAGAGGGCAGGTTTACTATTGGGGATCAAATGCTAAGATCTGGGATGGTCTGTTGTAGTGATCCGCTTCCCTTCATGCTACTCAGCGACGAGCGCCGCTCAATGCGTAATGGCCAGACTGTATTTGTGGATATCGACTATGAGAAGCTCATGGTCCATAAGAAGATCGCCATCCGCCGCACGCAGGAGATTGCAGATCTCCTAGGGGATGTAGAATATCTTTCTGATGAATCACCCATTCAAATTCGCAGTTCGCGGTACCTGGCTGTGGGCTGTGACTTGAAAAATCTGACCAAGTTGGAAGACGTGATGCGAAACCATATCCTGCCCTCCACCGACTGCTCGGTGCTTTGTCTCGCTGAGGTCTCCCTAACATATATGGATGTCCAATCTTCCAATGCGGTCATCAGCTGGGCTTCCAAGCTGACCCCTGGTGAGTCCAACCTAACTACATTGAATTCACTACTAATACCCTGGATTGTAAAGATATGAAGTTCTGCATCCTGGAGAAGTTTGCCCCAGATGGACCGGATCGCCCCTTTGTGTCAACGATGGTGAAGCATTACAGGAACTGCCGGACTCCGCTACACTCGATTCATGCGTATCCTTCTCTTGCTGACCAGGAACGGCGCTTCAAAGACGCAGGATGGCCATTTGCTCGAGCAAGAAGTTTGTGGGACTTATGGTCAGATAACTCATTTCTGCCAGAATCAACTAGGACAGGGCTTGATAAGCTCGAGGTCTTCGACGAATGGGAAGAGCTTGCACTTTCCTTATCCCATCATTTTCTTTTGATTGCCTCGACAACCTCTGATGTCCTTATGAATTCACCCAAGGATCAACGAAATGTTAACGAGCCAACACAGACCAGCGGCTCTTGTGTGTTTGTTTTGCAACCATATTGCTCTGCCGAGACTCGCGGGCAGCGCAGATTTGGTGCCTTGATCCCTGATGGGACTGCTTCAGTCGGTCACCATGGTGGAGTTGGCCCGCAGACTCGACTTGCGTCCACGGATCTGTATTCCTCCTCTTCTGTCGTCACGGAATCTCGTACACAGTTTCCGCGCGACATCACTGCAAGAGTGTGCCACACTGTCACCACGCTGGATGCGCAAAATGGGACCTGTCTTCTTGTCGGCGGAAGAGCTTCACCTGCCGCCCCTTTCAATGACTGCTGGCTAAGACATGACAATGTGTGGCGTCAGACTCATCCTCTGCCAGAACCAAGATTCCGGCACAGCGCGATCAGTGTATCATTTGGCGATGGCTTAGACATGGCGCTCATCTACGGTGGGAGATCGAAAGGAAACCAGACCCTAAACAGTTGGTTACTTTGGAGCAATGACGATGAAAAGGGATGGCAGATCGTGGACACAGATGGTCCTCAGCCCGAGGCTCGCTTCGGAGCATGCCTTGCAAAAGTCCAGGACGATTATGGGATCATGTTTGGCGGAATTGGACATTGTAAAACTATTCTCGAAGACATCTGGACGTGGAAACTCTCGCGAGCTAGTGATGGATCTCCGAAACTGACGTTCGCCGACGTGACTAGTACGGTCCGGAATGTCTCACCTCGGCTTTTCCCGTATCTGAACCGGTTCGGAGCAACTGTCACTACCACATCCTTTGGGGTTGTCGTTTCCGGTGGCATTATACCCCGTCAAACAATACCGGCTAGCAAGGAAATCCTGTTGTTAGACCTCAGAGAACTAAGGGACTGTATCACGACGGCAACACCATGCACTTCTGCTCTGATCACCTGCATCGGACTCGGAGACGCATTTCCAGGCCCTCAGCCTTTGCTCATTGGCCATGCTGCCTGCACCACAGCCGCTGACGAGGTTCTGATATTGGGTGGAGGAGCAGTCTGTTTCTCCTTCGGGACATTTTGGAACGAAGGCACTTGGCTACTAAAGCGTGTGGACTCCACTGTGGAAAATACATGGAGTCTCGCAGCATCGGCACCAAAAGTATATCAACAGCCACAACGGCCGGCGGTCGAGCCCCGCGGTCCAGACTGCGTGAAGAGCGCCCCCCGCATACGAATCAAGTCTGCCACGCAGTTCCAGCAAGTGGTGGCTAAGGGTCAACCCGTCATCATTGAGGGATCTGATATCGGGCCCTGCACCGAGCTGTGGACGAAGGAATACCTCACCGATGCCGTTGGCCGGGACCGCAAGGTAGGGCAACGCTCAATCCGGCTCACAGCGGTGCGAGTTGGCTAACGGACTAAATACATAGATTGTCGTCCACGCCGCCCAGTCGGACACGATGAGCTTTCAGGCCAAGAACTTTTCGTACGTAACGAAAGAGTTTGGGACATTCCTCGACGAGGTGCACGCCGGCGGCCGACAATACCTGCGGTCCATCTCGGTGGACCAGCCGTCCAAGCTGCCAGCGGACCTGGCAACTGACTTCCCCGGGCTGCAGAATGACTTTTGCATTCCGGAACCCTTGGCACTGGTTACAGAGAATGCACACAGTTCTCCTCTGCGGATATCAGGGCCAGTCACCATGTGGCTACACTACGATGTAAGTTTGACCTCGCCCACCGTTTGTGCTGGAGGTTAACCATGATTACCCAGGTGATGGCCAACGTGTTGTGTCAAGTCCGTGGCGACAGGCGGCTCATCCTGTTCCCCCCGGACGACGTGCAGAACCTATCCCTGCCGGCGGGGGCGTCGAGTTCCACGATCGACATCTTCCAAAGCGTCGGGGCCGACTCGATCGCGGGCATCCCCGGCACGTCGCCACAGGAAGCCGTGCTGGGCGCGGGGGATATTCTGTTCATCCCGCCGCTGTGGTTGCACACGGCGTGTTCCACGACGGGCCCAGTGAGCGTCGCGGTCAACGTATTCTTCCGCAATCTGCGCCAGGGATATGCCGCCGGCCGCGACGTCTACGGCAACCGGGACCTGCAGGCGTACGAGAAATCGCGACAGGATCTGCAGAAGATGGCCCGATTGTTCGACGGTGTCCCACCTGACATGGCCCGCTTTTATCTTCGGCGGCTGGCCCAGGAGTTGCAGGGCATGGCGGACCAATCATGATGCCCTGGGTGCGATGCACCGCCAAGCATCATTATCCGCTAGCGAGGGTCGCGTCAGACCCTCGTACTGGGATCTATCATCATGTGATATGTGCGTTGTTGCCCGACTGGGATGTTTGTGTATGGTAGACATCCCAACAGTGTCCCGCGATAGTAGATCCCCACTCGGAGTGGAGCGCATCGGCGATCCGGGGGTTAGCCTGAGCCCCATACGATGAATCTGGTTGATATCCATGTCTCATGCTGAGCACCCTTCCCTTCCCCACCCATGGATCCCCGACGAGTGGCGCGCCTCCGGCTGAATGGTTTCGTGTTCCGAGTGCAAGTGCGGAGCGATAAGGGGGAGCTCCCGTCGACGATTGGGTGTCTGGGGGACTGTGGAGAGAGGAGGGCCGCACAGACAACTGGCCAGGAATCTGGGCCGAGAACGAGGGGGAGCAATAAGAATCTCCGCGTCATCGGAAGCGGCGGGGACGGGTGGTGATTGGGTGTGCCCGGCCAGGGTGGTCCGTGGAAGCTGGTTAGCGTGTATCAGAGCGATAGGGAGACCAAGATGGAGACAAGAGATCCAGTGGAGACGCAAACGGCTGGGTGGGACGACATGACGCCGATAAGCAGTGATGATGATGGTGATGATGCGGACGATGATAATAATAATCAGATTGTTGTAGGCGCACACGGAAAAGGTACTCTGGAGGGGAGGATGGACCGGGATGTATACTGGTCGGCCCTAACCACAGACTGCCCCTCTTCCCACTTGCTTGCTTCTTGTTCATTCCACTTCCCCCTTGCTCCTCTTCTCCGTCCCTCTTTCTTGCTTTTCCCTCCTCCCTCCTCCATCTTCTAAACCATCCATCCCCCTACGGGTCGCTCTCTGGTCTGGTTACCATTGCCCCCTCCATCCTCTGTCTCCATTCACGACCAAAGGATGTGATTGTCTGCCGCTGCGGCTGCCGATCTCGACCTTGTTACTCCTCCCACGCTCGGCCAGCCTTTTCTGATCATGACGACCGTCGTGGTCCAGCAGCACCATACCCTGCGCCATGCCACTCCTCCTCCTCCCGCCTCCATCCCTTCGGCGCTGACCGTCAATCGACGGCCCAGCCCAATCCCAAACAAGCACCTGCCAGTGTGTCCGACGGGGCCCCCAGTAGAAAGCTCCCAGCCCGCATCCCCAACCAGCTCCGTCGACCAGCCCGTCTCCCTCCTCTCCCCGCCCGACCGCTTTACGCGACTATCGCATTCGACCTGCCCCACGGTATATGCCATCGACGCTCACACTCTGGCCGCGGCGCTGGACCTGCAGTCTACGCAGCCCTTGCCGGACCCGTCGCAGATGTTCCCGTGGTTACATGGCCTGCACCAGGATAACCATTTGCAATTGGGGTTCTTCGCCAGTCGGAAACGGTCGCTGCGCCGGTCGCCGAAATGCTGGCGCGGCATCACCATCATCAAGCTGGGCGGAGATCTGAGCAAGGCGCGCATCAAGGGTGCTGTCAGTCCCGGCGAAGTCCTGGCGCCGGCGCCGGCCTCGCGTTTCTTGATGGCTGACCCTCGGGAAGGGTTCTCCGTGCGCAACTTTCAGATCCAGACGGCCAAATTGGCTGCTATGTCCGACATTGTCGTCTACGGAGAGGATAGTGCGAGCAAAGCGGAACTCCTTGCGCTGGCCGAGGAGTTTGCGACGGCGCAGCATGCGTATAGACTCCAACATGACCCGGCGCAAGAACGACCTTCTTATAACACCTTCGTCGTCTCCAGTACGTAACAAAAAAAAAAACAAGAAAATCCCAACGCTGACTCGATACAGCTTCCTTTTCCGAGATGGAGAAGCAACATCCCAGCTTGATCGCGATCAACTCGAAAGGTGGATTTACCGGTCAAGTTATGGACTTTTGTATGTTCCTTTTTGTCATCATTTTCACTGAAAATTAACTGACATCACTCTCTAGTCCAGTGGGAAAGACTGGAAATGTGCAGCATGTCCCGGGCCTCCGAGATTTCTACCAATGTCTGGCTCGGCCCCACTCCAGATTATATGCTGAGGCCCGGGGTGTGCGAGCACCGACTGGAAGAATCTTATGATCTGCTGATTGAAGCGAGCGATCTCGCCAGCATCCCCGGGCCGCGGTTCTTGGCCATGACTGATAAGCAGCTAGAAAAAGGCTCCCAGCGCATGGAGTTCCCTTCGTCAGGATCGCTTGTCCTTCCATCAGGCCACACTCGTGAGATTGAGGACTTTGTCAACACCATTCGTTGGATATATTACCTCACACATCCAGATGAGCCAGCGGATGAGTCTATCCACAGTGAAGACGGTGACATTGCAATGGTTCACCTCCGCAAGAAGGCGCGCAGAGTCTTTATTCACTGCGCGGATGGCTATACTGAAAGTTCGCTGCTGGCCATTGCCTATTTCATGTTCGCCGAGGGCGTCCCTGCACATGAAGCCTGGCTCAGGCTCCACTGTGAAAAGAAACGCAACTTTTTCACCTATCCCACCGACGTGGCGTTCTTGTGTCATGTCCAAGAACGTCTCTTGCAAGAGAGCCCTGAATGTCGGCGGATCGACGTGACAGACATGGGAGACCCCAATTGGTTTCTCAAGATTGATGGTTCTCTCCCGAGTCGCATCCTGCCCTACTTGTATCTTGGCAACCTTGCCCATGCGAATAACCCCGAGCTACTCTGGGAACTTGGCATCCGCCGTGTGTTGAGCATCGGCGAGCCTGTCACCTGGAGTGACGAGGAACGCGCCAAGTGGGGATCAGAGAGCTTGATGTATATTGACAACGTCCAAGACAACGGTATTGATCCTCTAAGCAAGGAGTTTGACCGGTGTCTCGAATTCATTGGTGAGTATTACCACCGAGTCACTTCCCAACCAGCTTCCTGACCGTTTACCTGTAGGCCGTGGCAAGAAAGATAATACCGCCACCTTGGTTCACTGCCGAGTGGGCGTCTCCCGATCTGCAAGCATCTGCATCGCAGAAGTGATGGCAACCCAGGGCCTGTCGTTCCCGCGAGCGTATTGCTTTGTCCGCGCACGCCGACTGAACGTAATCATTCAACCACATCTTCGATTCGTCTACGAGCTCCTGCAATGGGAGGAGCTCCAGATGCAGAAACGAGGCCTGCCGATGAAACGCGAGCTCGAGTGGCCCACCATAGCCCGCGAGATCGCACTCCTCAACAAGCCATATTCCAGGGGTTGATCCTCACCCACTCACACCTACCTACACGATTCTAATTTCTGTCTTTTTGCAACAATTGCCTGAACTCTCAGCGCGAGGCAGGAGATGCTACGAGGAACTATGATATGAACGAGAACCGGTTTTCTCATGGATTATTTTTGTCTGTGGCGCATCAGGGCGTTTCTTTTTCTTTCTCTCTTCTAACGATTGTATCTTTGTTGTCTTTTTTATCCGTTTTCTCTTGTCTTAGCGCTATGACTCGGCACTTTCTGCCTTTTTTCTTGTTTGGTTTTTTTCACCCGATCTTACACGATTCGCTCCATCTTGAAAGAGTCATGCACCGATCTTCATCTTCTTTTTACATCTGTCACATCTTCTAGGGGTTCATCTCTACTGAATCATGGATACATTTTTGAAATGAAGCGCTGAATTGCATGTGGAATATGTTGTTGATGCAAGATCTAAACATGATGCATCGATGCATCAATGCATCCATCCTTAGGATTCAAGATAAAATAGTTAGTCATTCATAGCATTTCATAATTTTTTCATTCAGCACCGCTCAAACACACGGTACAGCCCCTTCAAATCAGCCACCTCCACCACACCCCGCAACAAACCCGTCGTAGCAACGAGTCTAGCCCGGAGAGCCGGGAAGAGAGTGTACTCCAACATTCGGGCCATCTGCGCACGCCGGGTCCGAATAAATGACTCTTCATCTTCATCTGGTCCAACATCTTCAACATCTGCACCAGGCTCATCCCGCCTCGATGGAGGAAGCGGCAATTGCTCCGGTGTATAAAACGCCGCTAGTTCCCGCAGAAACGTCCGGAAGCACTCCTCCTCCGAGCTCCAATCCACGTACGGGCCCAGACGCAGTAAAAACCGCGGCAGCTTCGCCAGCGAGGGGACGTACCCCTTCAGCAGGAGCGGGATGGCGCGTAGCTCGCCCTCGGCGCTGATCTGGAGAGAGAAGTACTCGTCCAGCATATTGCGGCGCTCAATCAGCGTGGCAGCTACCTTCTCCGCTGCGCTGGCGAAGATGGTCTCTACCTCTGTGTCGTCGTGGCTTTGGGGTGGCAGGTTTTGCGCTAGATGCTCGTCTCGTTCCGTCTCCGCGGCAATATTGAGGAGATCGATCAGTTTGGGTGCCGGGTCGAGGCGAATCACGCCGAAGTTCCCAAAGTCCGTTAGGCCGACTTGGTAGAAGAATTCGCTGCCTGCGAGGCCGTAATCGACGAGGTGGAGTTTGACACCGGATTGGATGGCTGCTAGACGGCGGCGCTCATCGACGAGGCCGACATAGGTGTGTGAGGCGAACATCTCTGTTAGGGCATTGTGCATATCGCTGCGCACGATGGCGCGGAGGTTCTTGACCGATGTGAGGGCTATGCGGAGGGGTTGGCGTTCTGTTGTTTCGTATTGGAGGCCGTCGTCAGGAGGGAGATTGCCTGGTTCGGTGGCAGCGTTGGCGTGGGATGGGTCTTGGGAGGGACTCGGAGCTGGGACTAGCATGGATGTGATTTTGCGGATTTTAGAGTCTGTGCGGACGAGATTGTTTTCATAGGGTCTTTTGGATGTGGCTGGTGTCTTCGGAGTTGCTGCTGCTGGCCTTTCTTGCTCGGCTGCTGCTGCTTCGGATGAAATGGGTTGATCGCGTTGGAGAGATTCGATGGCTTGCACGCCTGGCAGCAGACTTTGCGTCAGGAACGTTCGGCTCGTGTCCACCTGCGCCAGCTTGGATCTGACCTCGCTGCATACCATCTCGATGATTTCGTCTTCATTGAGGAAGTTCACTTCCCGCTTCGTCGGGTGCACATTGACATCCACACGATGAGGCTCGATCTCCAAGTCGATGTACACAAATGGATGTCCACCCTTGGGCAAGAAGGCAGAGTAGGTCTGCTCGATTGCCCGCTTGATGGCCGTCGACTCCACTGCACGATGGTTAATAAATAGCAGAATCACAGTCTTCTTGACGTGGTAGTTGGCATTGGTCGCCAGGCCCGAAGCCCGGAACCCCAGCTTTTTGTCCGCTGTCTCGAACTCGATGATTTCGTTCGCCACTGCACTACCGTGGATCTGACGGATTCTGTCGACAGTGCTCGCAGCGACAGGGGTAGAGATACTCACGCCAGAGTCGCCGTGCTTGCGGCATGAGAATGCGACTCCCGAGCAGTGCACAGCGTACCGGCCGACCACATCCAGGATCTTGGCGTATTCTTCGCTCGAGGAGCGAAACGCGCGACGACGGGTGGGGACATTGTAGAAGAGATCTTCCACCTAAGACCCCGGTTACTTATTGAATCGCGCGATACAAGCGTAGAACCTACTGTGATCTGAGTCCCGCCGCGCCCAGCCGTGGCTTTGGGCGCGGCGCTCTGTCCTGGCTTTGCCGGGACCAGCTTCCCATCACCATAGTGCGCTCGCCAGGCACAGCTCGAGTTGGCTGTCTTTGTCGTGACGGTCAGGTGCGCAATGTGGCTGATGCTTGCGAGTGCTTCGCCGCGGAACCCATATGTTCCGATGGAGGACAGATCCTCAAACTCCTTCAGCTTGGAGGTGGTGAATCTCTCACAGAGAATGGGCAGGTCCTCTCGCTGACGGAGTTGGTCAGCTAGCTGTATTGTCAATCAAATAGGAAGAAGCGACGTACATCAATACCATGCCCGTTGTCGGTGATTTGCAGCAGCTTCAGGCCCCCGTCCTTGACCAGCACTTCGATGGAAGTCGAGCCTGCATCCACAGCATTTTCCACCAACTCCTTCAGCGCGTGCATTGGGGCGACGATGATCTCGCCGGCGGCGATCTTATTGACGACATCGGGATCCAGGGCCTGCGCGGGTTGGTTAGCAAACATCCGACGCCATTGTGCCACACGCGACTCACTTTGATCCTCTTGGTCTTGGAGACATCCTGAGTGTCCGACTCAGCTACACGTTTTGTCCCGCGCTGGTCAGTCGCGTCGACATCCATCTCGCCGTCCATGACATGTAGTGGGGAGAGTTGGTTGGTGGATTGGTGGATTGGGCATGTCGCGCAGGCGATAAGAATCCGTCGATCAATTGATCTCATTGTTTTTCTCTCGTTCACAACCCTCATCATCTTCCCCCCTTGCTCGTCCTAATGCCACCTCGGGCCCTTCACGCTCCCTCGGAGCATACGATCCTTCTCTATGTCCGGAATGGCACCCCAGAAGCTGCCCTTGTGGGCCGATGAAGAGCTAGGCAAGAAGGACGACGACCACCGCCCACTCTCAACACGCTTCGAGCCCCGACGACAATGGAAAAAGCCTCGTCCTCGCCGGATCCTGCTCACCCTGGTCGCGGTGGGAGCTTTATGGCTGTTCTTCAAATACATGCCCACAGATCTGGCCCCTGCCGCCGAACGGTACAGCCCCGACCTCGCGAGACTGCGACAACAGAACCACGTCCCACTGCGCGACGCTGCTAAGGTGCCCGCTATACCCAAGGCAGAGCCGTCGCAACAAAACCAAGAGATTGATATCAATCCTGGAGATGGATACGATGGAGAGGTTCAATTCTACCAGTTGGCCAAGTCGCTTCCGCGCCACAAGTACCCCGAGAAGGAGAAGATGGCCAGTAGCGCAGTTGTGTTCGCCGCATCGAGCCTCCCTTGTGTATCTGATCTTCTGTCACTCGCATGTCGGATGGCAGGCAAGCGGGTGAATAGTGTGCATTTCGTCTTGATGGGCAAGGACGAGGTTTCGATTGAGGGAATCAAGGAAGTGAACAGGATTGCGGACTCGGAATGCCCAATGACCTGGCATGGTATGTTTTAGAACTATGGCGCATTTGACAATTGTTCATGATGCTCACCCTACCAACAGACAGTCGCCCGGACTTTGCGCCCCAGTCCACAGAATCCCGGATGCAACGGTCTGTGCTTGGAGGTCTAGAGTTTATACACGCCTACCTTCGCCCAGCGGTAATCATCACACAAGGAAAGCACTGGGAGGATCCATTCTTTTGGAATGGAGTCATGGATTATTGCACAGAATCTGGTATTGCTCATATCGGGTTATCTACCGCATCAACAAATCTCATGTGGATGGCTTCACTCGATAGCAGCGCTCTGCAAGGTATAAAGTCCTCTGGCTGTGCTCTGCCCTCTGCCTTGATTATTTTACTGATATGGGATGTAAATAAATAGTCTGGAACGACATCCATATTGAGATGGTTGTCCACGCTCCCACGGAATCATCGGGGACCTTGATTCGACTGATCCGCTCCTTGGATGCAGCGGACTATCTGGGGTCGACCCCCAGCTTAACAATAGAGCTACCACCGCGAGTTGATTCGCAGCTCTTTGATTTCCTCGAGCGAACGAAACGTCTTTCGAAGCTGACAGGCCGGATTACCCTTCGGCGACGCATCCCACGACACCAGATGGACGAAGCGGAATCTTCTCTCTGGACAGTCGAGTCCTTTTATCCAAGGGATCCTAAGGTGACCCATATGCTTCTACTGTCCCCACAAGCCGAGCTAGCGCCATCCTTCTATCATTACTTGAAGTACTCCATCTTGCACTACAAGCAGTCCGCGAGAGCCAACCAGTTGTCCTCGAAACTGCTCGGCATTTCTCTCGAATTGCCATCGTCCACACCCACCGCTGATGCTGAGCGATTCAACCCCCCGTCAGCCCCAATCATGAACGAACTGGGACGTGAGGAAGAACTGCTCCCCTCGTTTCTTTGGCAGGCACCAAATAGCAATGCCGCGTTGTACTTTGGCGACAAATGGGCCGAGTTTCATACCTTTCTCTCCAATCGTCTGGAAGTTGCCGAAATCCAGCCTGCTGCTGCTGCACAGACCAAACTGGTTTCGAAACGCTACCCAGCGTTTATGGAGCACTTGCTGGAACTGATCCATGCGAAGGGCTACTATATGGTCTATCCGTCATTCCCGGGCTTAAGAGCATCGTCTTTGGCAACTGTGCACAATGAGTTGTATCAGCCGCCCGAGGAGTTCGTCCATGACAGCTCGACTCGAACCGTCCAGAATATTGACGACCCTAAACAACCCTTGAAGGCCTTGACTCTGGGCTCTGTTGAAAAGCCGCTGAACCGCAAGTCAACCATCATGCCTCTTCTCGATCAGTTTTCTGTGGATCTTCCTCCTCTTGAGTCTTTGCCGTTGCTTTCTTATGACGGGGAAATTCTAACTCCCAGCACCTTCTTACAACACACGGAGGACTATGCCACCAAGTTCCGGGTGAAGTATGGAGGCTGCTCCGAGGATGCGACAAGCGATGAGCCTCCGGGCGATCTGTTCTGCCTGGGTGGATGATTCAAATATGGTATAATTTCTTCGATCCGTCTTTTGCTGCAATAATCACCATGTATAATGAATGCTATGGAACCATTATTCCATTGGAATGAATTCTATGCAAATAGACTCCGTAGACACTCCGTAGATGTCCATGGAAAGGCATCCAAACAATGACGAAGCCTTGGCGGTGCTGACATAATATCCGGGAGGAGCTCACAGTCCGCCAGCTCTGCGTTGCTTCCGCATCACCAGCTACCCAATCCACCTGCATCTGCTGTGTCCGCGCAGCTTTCCATCTCTTGTCCGCTTGTACCATCACTGTTTTTCCTTTCGACCATCTTTCTTTGTCTCATTCCCTGGACTTATCCCAGACCTGGTCGCCAGCTACCCGTCAGAAATGGCGAACGAGGGCGAGCAGTCAACCTCCGCCGACAAGGGCAAGGGCAAGGTTGAAGATGTCCGCGAGTTGAACGGCAAGAAGCCTCAAACCGACGAGAAGGCATCAGCGGAGGGAAAGAAGAAGGATGAGGAGCCGCAAGAAGGTAGGTCGCGACAGTCTTCGAGACAGGTGCTGGCTGGAACGGCGCACACCCCCTGTCATCGGCCAACGGATGCAGAAGCTGACAGGATTACTTTTTACAGAAGAGCTCAGTGAAGAAGACCAACAATTGAAGAATGAGCTTGAGATGCTTGTTGAGCGGTTAAAGGTAGGGTCATCTTGTCCACAGCCGGCAGTGCTAGGGAACCGTGACGTTAATGCTCGATTCTTTACCAACAACAGGAACCGGACACTTCGCTTTATGGGCCCGCCTTGGATGCGATCAAGAACTTCATCAAGACCTCGACTTCCTCCATGACCGCCGTCCCGAAGCCGCTCAAGTTCCTCCGACCGCACTATGATGATCTGACAGCACTGTACGAGAAGTGGGCAGCAGGTTCGGTGAAGGTTGGTTTCTCGTCCCGGTTCTAACCGTCAGATCTGACTTTCTATGTCTCTAGGATTCCTTGGCCGATATGCTCTCCGTCCTGGGTATGACCTATGGGGATGAGGAGAAGCTGGAGACAATCAAGTACCGCTTGTTGGCCAAGTCGGAAGACCTGGGTTCATGGGGCCACGAATACGTCAGACACCTGGCGCTGGAGATTGGACAGGAATACCAGAACCGCTTGAACGCGGAGAACGACACCCAAGATCTGGTGGACCTTGCCTTGTCGCTGGTTCCCTACTTCCTGAGCCACAATGCCGAAGCGGATGCAGTCGATCTTCTCAGTGAACTCGAGATTATCGAGGAAATTCCTCGGTTTGTGGATGAGAACACCTATCCCCGTGTCTGCCTGTACATGGTCAGCATGGTCAACCTCCTCACTTACCCCGAAGACCAGCAGTTCTTGCGGACTGCGCACGAGATCTACGTCCGCTACAACAAGCTCTCGCAGGCAATTGTACTTGCCATCCGTTTGAACGACGTCGAACTCATCAAGAGTGACATCAACGCGACAACCGACGTGGCTCTCAAGAAGCAGATGGCGTTCCTGGTCGCTCGGCAGCAGATCTGGCTTGATTTGCCTGCTGAGGATGAGGAAGGGGAGGCTTTGAATGACTGCCTGAACAACACATCGATCCCCAAGCACTTCAAGTCTCTTGGAAAGGAGCTGAATATCTTGGAGCCAAAGATGCCCGAGGATATCTACAAGACACATCTAGAGAGCAGCCGGGGAGCAGGCTTGACCAATCTCGACTCAGCTCGACACAACCTGGCTAGTGCCTTTGTCAACTCCTTTGCGAACGCCGGCTTTGGCAACGATAAGATGATGCTTGTTGAGGGTGATAAGGGCACGTGGGTGTGGAAGACAAAGGATGATGGTATGCTGTCGACGACCGCATCCTTGGGTATGCTTCTGCACCGGGATGTGGAGGATGGCTTGGACAAGATCGACAAGTTCACCTACGCGTCGGAGGACCAGGTCAAGGCCGGTGCACTCCTTGCCATTGGTATCCTCAACTCTGGTGTTCGGCTCGACTCTGACCCTGCCCTCGCCCTGCTGAGCGACACAGACAACTTGGAAGCGAAGAATGTGCCCATGCGGGTGGCTTCGATTATGGGACTTGGCTTGGCTTATGCTGGGTCGAACAAGGAGGAACTCCTTGAGATCCTCCTTCCCATAGTGGAAGACTCCTCGCTAGACATGCAGCTGTCTGCCATGGCCGCGGTCTCATTGGGTCTCATTTTTGTTGGGTCGTCGAATCACCAGGTCAGCGAGGCGATCGCTACAACCCTCATGGATGAGGAACGTCAGAAGCAGCTCAAGGACAAGTGGACGCGGTTCATGGCCCTTGGTCTGGCACTGCTATACTTTGGCCGACAGGAAGAAGTCGACGTCATTCTCGACATCCTCAAGGCGGTCGACCACCCCATGGCTAAGCCCACATCCGTCTTGGCCTCGGTCTGCGCGTGGGCTGGCACTGGTACGGTACTGAAGTTGCAGGAGCTTCTCCACATCTGCAACGACCTCATCGAGGAAAAGGAAGAGAACAAGGGTGATGAGCTTGTCCAGTCCTATGCTGTGCTCGGCTTGTCCTTGATTGCCATGGGTGAGGATGTTGGTCAGGACATGATTCTGCGCCAGTTTGGCCATCTCATGCACTACGGCTCGAGCAACATCCGCCGCGCTGTGCCGCTTGCCATGGGTTTGATCAGCCCCAGTAACCCGCAGATGAAGGTGTATGACACCTTGTCGCGGTACAGTCACGACAACGACAACGACGTCGCCATCAACGCCATCTTCGCCATGGGTCTTTGCGGTGCGGGCACCAACAACGCCCGTCTAGCCCAACTCCTGCGACAACTGGCCAGCTACTACCACCGCGACCAGAACTCGTTGTTCATGGTCCGCATTGCCCAGGGTCTCCTGCACATGGGCAAGGGCACCATGACGCTCAACCCCTTCCACACCGATCGCCAGGTGCTCTCCCGGGTTTCGGCTGCGGGTCTCCTCACCGTGCTGGTGTCCCTGATCGATGCTAAGCAATTCATCCTCGCCGAACACCACTACCTTCTCTACTTCCTCATCACTGCCATGTTCCCACGGTTCCTCGTTACTCTTGATGAGGATCTGCAACCACTCACCGTCAATGTCCGCGTGGGTCAGGCCGTGGACGTGGTCGGCCAGGCTGGTCGCCCCAAGACCATCACTGGGTGGCAGACACAGAGCACGCCGGTACTGCTGTCGTATGGTGAGAGGGCTGAGCTGGAGGATGAGCAGTATATCCCTCTCAGCAGCATCCTGGAAGGCTTGGTTATTTTGCGCAAGGTAGGCACCTTTCTTCTTCGTTTTATTGATCTGACTTGCTAACAATGCACATAGAATCCGGACTATGAAGCTCCCGAGTAGTTCATGATAGATGCTATCCCGGTCCACATGCGGTCTTATAGTGGTCGGGGTATTGTTGGATCTAATGTATTCAAAATGACTCAGAAATAGCATGCAAATTTTATTTTCTCTCTATTGCTTCTTCACCGTAGTGTAGTCCATGTACTCTGACTACCTCCCAAATAGGAAATAGGGCTTAGGGCTCGGCCGTTATCGCGATTTTCTCGCCGCCAGCGCTTCCATTGATAACCTCCGAAGGTTTGAAAAAGATCATCTCTCCCACTTTTCGAGCCGTATTTTCCACAGCAATGAAGCTCGACGCAAAAGCGATTCGTTACCTCACCTCGGAGGACTTCCGGGTGCTTGCGGGGGTATGTATCTGCCCCTCCTTCGGCCAAAGACATCACGACTCACGCGAGACTAGGTGGAAGCTGGTAGTCGCAACCACGAAGTGGTTCCAACGCCGCTGATCGTGCAGCTCTCCGGCCTGCGAGGCGGTAGTGGCGTGCATCGGTCGATCTCGGTTCTGGCGAAGACGAACTTGATCGCCAAGGTGAAGAATGCGAAATGTACGTTCTACAGGGAAATTCGAACTACTCAGCTGCTGACCCTCCATCCTTCTCGCGCAGATGATGGCTACCGGCTCGCCTATGGCGGACTCGACTACCTCGCGCTCAATGCGCACCAGAAACAAAAATGCATCTACTCAGTCGGCAACCAGATCGGCGTGGGCAAGGAATCCGACATCGTCGTCGTAGCACACAGCAGCGGCGCCCAACGAATTCTCAAAATCCACCGTCTCGGCCGCATCTCCTTCCGAACTGTCAAGACGAATCGCGACTACCTGCGCCACCGCAACACGGGCTCGTGGATGTACATGTCTCGCCTAGCGGCGATGAAAGAGTTTGCGTTTATGAAAGCGCTGCGCGAGAACGGATTCTCCGTGCCCGAGCCCATTGCCCAAAATCGGCATACCATCGTTATGAGTCTGATTGATGCTTTCCCGCTCCGCCAAATATCCAAGGTCCCTCGCCCCGCGGAGCTGTACTCGGAGTTGATGGACATTATTCTAGAGTTGGCGCGGTTCGGCCTGATTCATGGTGACTTTAACGAGTTCAATATCTTGATCAAGGAAGAGGAGGATCCGAATGCGAAAGGCAAAGCACCTGCGAACGCGGATGACGAGAACGATGAGAATATTCGACTTGTGCCTGTGCTTATTGATTTCCCGCAAATGGTATCCATCGACCATGTCAATGCGGAGATGTACTTCGACCGGGATGTCAACTGCATCAAGAGGTACTTCCAGCGCAAGTTTCACTTTGTCAGTGATGTTCCGGGACCGTTCTTTGCCGATGCGAAGAAAAATATGCTCAAGAATCCGGGGAAGCGGTTGGATGTGGAAGTGGAGGCGTCGGGTTTCTCGAGGAAGATGGCCCGCGAACTGGAGGCGTACATGAAGGAAGTTGGTGTTGACGGAGATGCGGGTGCATCTCGAGATGATGATGAAGATGAAGATGAAAACTCAGATGCGGAAGAGGAGGGTTCTGAGGAGGATCACAGCGATGGACAACCGGAGGAGGGAACGGGACACTCGGATAGCCTTGACGACAGCTCCCGGCGATTGGAGGAGCTGCGGGTTTGAGAGAAGTGGCGGTAGAGGGATTCCCGTCTATTTTTAATGACCGTGCATGACAATTAGAGTGTAATATACTTCATATCTCACGTAACAATTATCTTCGGTTCTGAGAGTCTATAGATCTACGGCGGGCGGAGCGGCCACTAGCGCAGTTTGTTGACTCTGGTTCATCCCGAGTGGTCGCTCCGACTTCATCCTCATCACCCGCCATCATGGAGCGCCAAGCCGCAAAAGTTGGAGCGCTTGCTGGGCGAGTAACATGGGGACGCACAAAGGTGTATCTGTACGTCGAATCCCCAATTCCTCACACCTAACTGCCCCAGGCGAAGCCAGACCAAAAAAACTGGCCGATGCACCATTGCCTTACATGAGTCGCTCGCATACCACATCAATTCAATCCAATCCAGCAAGAATACCAAAATAACTAACCGCAACGTGCCACAGACCCAGCTTTGTCGTCGCCCTCGTCCGAACTCCCAATCTCTCTCCCCAATACGCCCAGTTCCGCGTCCCCCTCAGCTTCAACAAACTCGATCTGCGCGACTACCTCAAGAACGTCTACGGCGTCGGCGTCCGCAGTATCCGCAGCTATGTCGAGATGCAGCCCGTCACTCGTGTCACGCGCGACGGAAAAGGCCGTGGTCCCATTCGTCGTCCTAAATCCGAGAAGCGCATGACCGTTGAATTGGTCGAGCCATTTGTTTGGCCTGAGGAGCCGAAGGATTTGACTCCGTATGTTTTCATGTCCTCTTCCGTTGGGATCATCGGAGGGAAGAAGCATTTGATTTATTCTTCCCTCCATATTCTACCCAAATTTCTTCCAAACACATAACTAACCACTTCAAACGCACAGATGGGAAAAGGAATCCTGGGACGCAAACGAAGTACACGCAAAGGAAGCGTCCGAAGCCCCGCATGGCCCAACCGACTTTGCAGAGAAACCCAACGAGAAAGAGCGCAAGGCCTACGCAGAACAGGCGAAGGAGATTCTCGCCGATCCGGAGTCGTGGCGGCCGACATGGAAGGCGCTTGGTATGGACTTTGCGAACCAGGGTATGCTGAAGCCGATTTCGCGGGTTACGAAGCAGGTGAAGAAAGAGGATGAGAGTGGTGAGGCTGGTAGGTAGGCGAGGGAGTCGGTGGCTATGATGAGTCTTGAGATGTCTTGTCGGACGATGTGCGGCTGCACGCTGTGTATTTCTTTTGTTTTCTTGCCCGGCGTTTTGCATTTGATGGAGATCTTCCTACCTCTTAGATCATGCTCGATCTTCTACCCTTTCCTGTACTATATCTGTTTGCGAACGAGATTTTATATCAATCCAATTATTTCTTCGCAACAGTTTGACAGCATTTTTATGTCTTGCCAGACACAAAGTGTTGAGAAAATACTGCATATTGAACGTTGAACTGTATATTGGACGTTGAAATATAGACAGGAATTCTTGAACTAGACAACATATCACGGCAGCCAAAAGAATGGATAATTACACTAAGTCAGAGTCGGCCAATGAGCCTAATGGGGTAGAGAGACGATCACGCTATGCAAAGACACAGAAGAAACGATTGGAGCAGTTGGGAAAAACACGGTGCAACAGTCCAGTAAAATGGGAAGAGACAACCAGCCTTAGGAGTTAGACAAGTCCCAAGACTATAGCCGGCTCTCCACAAAATTCATGTGTTGGCCTGGCCAGTGTGCGTCGGGCCAGATGTGGCGGAGTGCTTCCCAGATGTGCCTGTAGGAACTAAAGTCAGACGATGAAATCGAGCGAGATACAGAGAGGGTTAAAACTTACTGCACGTAGATAATCTCCAGTCCGTCCTTGACTTCCTGCGGGATATCCTTGACATCCTTGCGGTTGTGCTGTGGGAGAAGCACGGTCTTGACGCCGGCGCGCAAGGCGCCGATCAGCTTCTCCTTGATGCCGCCGACAGGCATGACGCGGCCACGCAGTGAGACCTCGCCCGTCATGGCAATCTGGGGCGGCACGGGCTTATTGCTGAACAAGGAGATCAATCCAACGGTGTGGGCGAGACCAGCTGAGGGGCCGTCTTTGGGGATCGCGCCAGAGGGGCAGTGGACGTGCAAGCTGCGGCTCTTCATGATGTCCTCGTTGGGGTCGTGGGTGAGGCCCAGCTCGAAGGAGTGGGCCTTGACCCAGGTGAGGGCCACCTCGACAGATTCCTTCAGCACATCGCCAAGCTTGCCGGTCAGCTGCACGCGTCCGTTGCCGGGCATGTCGGCTACCTCGATAAACAGAATACTGCCCTGGCCGCCGGTCGAGTATGCGACGAGACCCGTCACCACGCCAGGACGGCCGTGCTTCTCGGCGATCTCTTCTTCAAAGCGTTCAATGCCCAGGATGTCTTCCAGATCGTCGACCGTGACGACGGGGTTATAATCTCCCAGGCGGCCGGCGTCCCCGGCGTCGGCGAATTGGACTGCCTTGTGGCGGCAGATCGAGCCGATCTCGCGTTCTAGGTTGCGGACGCCGGATTCGCGAGTGTAGGATGTGATTGTCTTGTCGATTACCTCGTCTGAAAGGTCGACCTGCCCGGCGGAGAGACCATTGGATTGGATCTGCTTAGGGATGAGGTGTCGCTTAGCGATGTGCCTCTTCTCGACAGTCGTATATCCGGACAGAGAAATGGTTTCCATGCGATCTAGCAAGGGCGCAGGGATCGTGTCCAGTGAGTTGGCAGTAGCGATAAAAAGCACCTTGCTCAAATCGATCGGAATGTTAATATAATGGTCAGTGAAGCTGTTGTTCTGCTCCGGATCCAGAACCTCCAGCATAGCGGCAGACGGGTCGCCCTGGAAGTTGGAACCGCCGACCTTGTCGATCTCATCCAGTAGGAAAACGGGGTTGGCCACGCCAACTTTCTTCAGGCCGTTGACGATCAGGCCTGGCATGGCCGCAACATAGGTCCGTCGGTGGCCCCGGATTTCCGCTTCATCGCGAACACCACCGAGCGAAATACGGTGAAACTTGCGTCCCAGCGACGCAGCCACAGACCGCGCCAAGCTGGTCTTACCAGTGCCCGGCGGACCGGCCAGGAGCAAGATGGGAGACTTGTCAGTCATGCGCTTGGACTTCAAGAGCTCGAGTTTTGTCTCCAGAGCAACACGGTCAGTTTCTGACATCATAGGGACATCCTTCTCCACGTCGCCAGCCGTGGAGACATCCAGATCCTTCGTCAGTCCATCAATTTGGCGCTCGACGTCCTGGTTGGTCGACTGCTTCAGACGCAGCACGGCAAGGTATTCCAGCAGCCTCTTCTTGATCCGCTCCAGTCCGTAATGGTCATCGTCGAGCTGCTTGCGGGCTCTCTTAAGCGTGTCCGGTCCCAGTTGGTCCTCTGTCACCTTGGTCCATGGAATCTCTGCTAGGTTCTCCAGGTACGTGCGGCAGACTCCGTATTCGGCGTTGGCTGGGTTCATCTTGCGTAAACGCTTCATTTCCTTATCCGCAACCTTACGAGCCTCGGGGCTGAGCTGCGCTTCCTCAAGCTTCTGCTGAAGTTCGTCCACCTCGTTCGGCTCCTTCTCTTCGTTATCGCCCCCCCGTAAGCCTGAAGCTCCCGGGGGTGCGAGGCCAGAGAGGCCCGAAACGGCGCGTCTTGCTAGCAGTTCACGCTCGCGTGGGTCAATCTGACCAATATCGGAATTCTGAGGGAAGGAGGTGCTACTAATGGTTGTGACCTTGACGCTGCTCTTGATGTGCTGCGCTTGCCTGGTCAGGATCTCGACGACCCTTTCCAACCGTTCTTTCACATCGAACGAGGCCAAGATCCGTAGTTTCTCCTCAAAGCTTGCATCAGACACATCGGCCATAAAATCGGCCAATCTACCAGCCTGTGACAATTCAGTCTTGGAAATGTACAATTCGAACTTGCGCGCAACAAGTGGCGACAATCGGCCCGAGGCGGCCGACAAAAGTGAAGATAGGCGCAACAGAGTCAGAAGTTCTCGCGAGAGTTGTCTCAGCTGTTGGAACAGTTCGGTGACTTCCGGATCGCCCTGTGCGGGGGCTGTTGGTGCAGCAAAAAGAGCATCGTCAGACTCCTCGAAGCCATCCACTTTTGGGGGTTACCTACCAATCTCATCATGTAGAAGCACTTCAGCCTCAAAGTATGGCCGATCTTTCAGGACGCGCTTGACTGTAAACCGCTGCGCGCCCTGGACGAGGAGGAACGGCTCGGCATAAGCGCGGCGCTGAACCCCGATCACTTTGCCGATTGTCCCGGTGCTGAAAAGATCGTCCTTTCTCGCCTGGCCCGCATCGATTCCGTCCCATTCTGCGCGCCGAGTGTCGTCCGTGTCGCTGCCCTCCAGCAGTTGCTGGCCATCCCGGCTCAGAAACGGCGAGCTCAGCGGGATGCAGCCGAAGGTGATGGAGCTGCCATCGCGCTTGGGCCGGTCGACCAGGGATGACAGAAGATTGGCGAGATCGGGGCGGTTGGAGACAGGGATGCGCAGAGTCACGCCGGGCAGCAGGACAGAGCCCTTGGCCAGCGGGACGAGAGGGAGCTTGGTGGCTCGGCCGTTGTTGGACCCCATCGAGGAGGTTGGCAGCAAGGATGAATATAGAAAGAGTATGGGATTTATGGGAATAAGAATATCAAGAAGAGGAGGAAAGGAAGAAGAAGAGTAGGTTCCAGAAGCGATGGTCGGTCCGGGGGTGGGTAAGAGTCAGGTGCTCGTCATTCCCCGGAGCCGAGGCTAGTAACGGACTACGTCGTGGCGACGATCTAAGCCAAACACAGAGATCGATGGCAGGTATACTAGGTATACTAGGTAGACGACTCGGACGAAGCAAAACATTAAAGTGATTGGATTCATCTTCGAAAATAATATTCCATAGGCTTGAAAGGTTGTCCTGCCATCTTCTCGCTGCGCACTCCCGTGACCCGGCCACCACAGATCTTCGCCACTGATCGGAGTCGCGTTTCTTCTTCCTCTTCCTTCCTTCCTCTGTCCCTCCCTCCCCGCATCATGGCCGCACCCCCCACCACCTCCTTCACCATTGGCACCCGCGCGTCCAAGCTGGCCCTGGTCCAGACGGACGCGGTGAAAGCTGCCCTCAAGGCAGCCTTCCCCCACTATGACTTCCGCGTGTTCTCTAAGGAGACCGCCGGGGACCTGAGCATGATAGCGCTGCGCGAGTTCACCTCCAAGAACCTGTGGACCGAGGAATTGGAGGAATTGATGATGGCCGGCCAGGTCGACTTCATCGTGCATTCATTGAAAGGTTCGTCCGCCAGATCCCTCAATTGGTATCCCCCATTGGTGTCATTTTCTTCAGTCAAGCTCACCACGTCGCAAACCCCAGATGTCCCCACCAATCTTCCTCCTTCCTGCGCCCTCGGCCCGATGATGCCACGCGAAGACAGCAGAGACGTTCTCGTGGTCAAGCAGGGGCTCCCCTACAAGAGTCTCTCGGAGATCCCCGCCGGCTCCGTGGTCGGCACCTCGTCCATCCGGCGCACGGCGCAATTGGCGCGCCATTACCCCCATCTGAAGGTTCAAGATGTCCGCGGCAATATCAATACTCGTCTCGCCAAGCTGGATGCGGATGATAGTCCCTACACCTGCATCATTCTAGCGGCGGCCGGTCTGCTGCGCATTGATCTTGGGGATCGCATCACGCAGTACCTTGACTCGAAGAATAGCGGCATGCTCTACGCGGTTGGTCAGGGTGCTCTTGGGATTGAGATCCGCAAGGACGACCATGCGCTGCGAGAGATCCTAGCGAAAATTGAGGATCGGGATACGACGCTTGCGTGTTTGGCGGAGCGCAGTCTGCTGCGCACCCTGGAGGGTGGCTGCAGTGCTCCGCTGGGAGTTGAGACGGAGTGGGAGCAAAGCTCTGAAGGGACTCGGCGGTTGAAGATGAAGGGGATCGTGGTCAGCGTGGACGGCAAGGAAGCTGCCGAGATCGAGTTGTCTGGCGAGGTCGATTCGCCCGACGCCGCTGAGGCTCTTGGCATCACTGTCGCCCAGGCTTTGGTGGATGCGGGCGCCGGTGCGATTCTTGAAGCCATTCAGCAGAAAAAGGTGGCCAAAGAGGCCTTCTCTGTTTAGAACGGACCTGAAACATATGGTTCCTGGGCCCTATAACTAGGCATATACCCAATGAGACAAAAATGCAGTTTATGATATCTCTTCTCTGATCAATTTCTCTATATTCTGACAGGAATAGCCTAATTAAATCCCCAAGGCAGTCAGATCAACCCCGATTTAATGTATTTCCGGCTCCCCGTGGATTGGCCTCCTTGAATTCATCCCACTCCCGGGCCTTCATCGTTTCCTCGTCGGCCTTGTCCAGGTCATCCTCGTCTACCTCGGGTGGTATCCCCGACTGCTCTCCTCCACCCTCGATGAAATTCCCGCGTCGATGTTCCTCTTCCAGATATTCATCAATTGTCATCGTCGGGAGGTTGTGACCGGACCGAAACACTCCTTGCTGCAGCTGCGAGCGCTTGTCCAGCAAGGTGAACGGTTGCATCGGCCTTCCTTTCGTATTCAACAACGGGCCTCCTCTCCCTCCTCTTAGTAGTTGTGACACAGACGGATCCAACCGATCGGAGAAATTCTCTCCTCCCAAATTGCTCCGCTGTCTTGCATCGTCGTCCACCGGTTGAGTGGGTGGTGGCGCATGGCGCATGGCGGCGAGGATCGACAATTCTTGCACCAGGAGATCCAGCGCTTGAAATGTTTGATGTGTATAGAGTTGGACTTCGGCCAGGTAGAGTTTCCGAGTATCGTCGTCGTCACTCTGGAGTCGAGCTTCGTTCCGAGAAAGGTACTATCCAACACACACAAACATGAGTATTGGCCGCCACAATTCAAGCAGGCAGAATGTCAACGAACCTCGAGCTTCTGTTTCAACTCTTTCTCCTCTCTGAATCGCGTAACCTTGATGTCCCGCCGCGCCGCCGCATCATTCACCGGAGCCAATGTGAATGACGATGGGTTGGCCAGGTATTGGTCGAAGAGCTTTTTATCCCCACCCGACAGGAGTCCGTATTCGGCCACACGCGAGAGGAAGTTCTCGTATTGTTCTAGTGCATTTCGAAGGACTGATTCGCGATCTGTGCTGGGCGCCCGCTGCATCAATTCGGCCAGGTGGTATTCAAGCATCAGGTACCTAGAATGAGAGGTGTCAGCGCACATCTGCAACACGTCTCAGCTAGAACCAAGAGTCGTACGGGATATCCCCCGTGGAGACATCATCCAAAGTCTCGTTGGAGCTGAACAATGAGAGAATGCCAACCTGGCGCTGGCATTCTCGGAACTTGGCGATAGTAGAGTTGACGTCGTCGCGATACGTGTCGGTGTTGGTGTCACCGCGCGATGCCAGTGCTGTCTTATTGTCCTTGGCGGTGGCAAACAGCGCCCGTAGGCTCTGAGGTTCTTCCATAGTGGTTTTGTCGAGGGAAAAGAGACTGCGTCAGGCCCCGCGGTGGATGCAGGAGTTTTGGGGGAGCGATAAGATAGGGCAGCTCCATCTTATCGACCCAAGTATATAGTACATCGGTGTAGTGAAGATGAATGCTAGAAGAAATAGTATGACTGCATGTCTCATAAATGCTTGGTTATCGGAGTAGAGCTTTAGTTACTACACGACATGCCAGGCAGTGAGCGCAAACAAAGACCCGTATTGTCGTTGCTTATATATATCTGTTTGCTGCTACTTTACTTCTTCCTTTGTGTCCTGTCGCTACCCTGTACCTTTGAGCGCCACTCACCTGTTTCTCTTCTCCTCTCTTCCGTTGCTCCTCCATCTCACCTCACCCTCAATCCTAACAGTTCCCAACAAGAAGCAGACCATTTCGTCAACATGGAGCTCATGCCTGAGATCGATGACCCGGGAGCCATCTCTGGGGATGAGTCCAACGACGAGAACGGGAAGCCAGCGGCTCATCTCCAGGCTTCAATCCGCTGCCAGACACACAAAATCCAGTTTCAGGCCCTGTAAGTCTCATTCCTGTAATTTAATTCTGCTTGTCTGACGGTTGAGAAGACTCGAAAAACATGCCAACCTGGAGTTCACAGACGACAACCCTGCTGCTCGACCAGACCGGCCCGATGCAGAGCTGTCCCTCAAGGACCTTGTTGCTAGGAAAGATGGCGGAGAGGGCATTCTGGATCCCCGTGAATACCAAATTGAGCTGTTTGAAAGAGCAAAGGCTCAGAACACGATCGCGGTGCTTGATACTGGTAGTTCCCATATCTCTGGCACATTGAACTGGCTGTTAACGTGAAAACTACATAGGTACTGGGAAAACTTTGATTGCAGTCCTTCTGCTCAAGCATACTATTCAAGAAGAGCTTGTGAACCGTGCCAATGGAATACCTCCTCGAATGTCCTTCTTCTTGGTAGGTCGTTTTCTTTGGACAACCAATTGGCAGCTGCTAAGATATGCTCCATTCAGGTCGACAGTGTGACCTTAGTGTTTCAGCAGTCAACAGTGCTGCGCAACAACATAGATCAGAATGTGGCTTATTTATTTGGGGCGATGGGAACAGATCTTTGGGACCAACCGATCTGGGACGAACAGCTCAAGGAGAACATGGTGATAGTATGCACAGCAGAGATTCTGTGTCATAGCCTTCACAATGCCTTTATCAAGATGGACCAAATCAATCTTTTGGTCTTCGACGAGGCCCACCACACGAAGAAGGAACACCCTTATGCACGGTTTGTTTCTCTTTCTCCCTAGATGGACATTAGATTGAGCTGACGCCAAGATAGAATTGTCCGGGAATTCTACCTTACGGCAGACCCCTCAAAGCGGCCGAAGATCCTTGGGATGACGGCATCTCCAATTGATGGCAAAGGCGATATCCTGACAGCAGCAACGTAGGGACCTCGGTTGGACACATTGACCAGATACTAAATGTGCATAGGAGGCTTGAGACACTTCTCGATAGCCAGATAGCAACGACGTCGAAAATGACCCTTCTGCGGCAGATCGTCAAGAAACCAAACGAGGTCGTGTGGCCGTACGAGACATCTCAGCCACCCCGTGCAACAGAATTGCTCAAGATTATGGTGAAGCAGTTCGGAGACGTTCAAATTCTCGAACGCGTTTTTCGTTGGGTCTTGAACGCTACCTCAGAGCTTGGACCATGGTGTGCCGATCAAGTATGGACTCACGTTTTGGCCGAGGACGTGCTGCCTCAGCTGGAAGGACGTCTCAGCAGAGAGTCTGACCCGGGGGCTCAATCTCCACAAAGTGCAGCAGAGAGTACAGGAAGAGATATCCAGCGGATCAAAGAAGCCAGCGAGTTTGTGAAGCTGTACCCTTTCCAGGATCCCTTGTCGCTGAACCAGCTGAGCCCCAAGGTCCAACTCCTGTTCAAGAAATTGGTAGAGCACTTTGCAGTATCAGCAGATACAAAATGCATTGTCTTCACGACTCAGCGCAGTACTGCTAGAACACTCATGCAGCTTTGCCAGAAACTGGAAATCCCAAACACTCGCCCAGGTCTGCTCGTCGGGGTCCGAAGAGGCGATACATTGGCGATGAGAACCACCTTCCGCAATCAATTTATGGCCTTGCTCAAGTTTCGGCAAGGTGAACTTAATTGCTTGGTGAGTCTAACAACCCCCTGGATCAAGGTCAGCAGACGTCTAATCTATTACAGTTTGCAACTTCGGTGGCCGAAGAAGGCCTCGATATCCCAGATTGCAATCTTGTTGTCAGGTATGCCAGCAGGCTTTCGTAAAGTATTTTCTTGTTTTCTTGCTGATAAACCGAGATTTGATCTTTATAATACGCTCATCCAGTACGTACAGAGCCGCGGGCGGGCAAGACATGCCGACTCGACCGTGAGTTTGATTTTTCCAGAGATATATCACTTGCTAACTGATATATCATCTACAGTACGCAATTATGATGGAGCGAGATAATGAGGACCACAGATTACAGTTGCAAGAGGTTCACAGGGCGGAGGTATGTCTGAGTAGATTGATATCAAGCTTGTCTGACACTGTCTCCCTAGTTTCTCATGAAGAATCTTTGCGAGTCTCTTCCCGAGGACCGGTTGTTGCACGGATACGACCATGATCTCAAGTCTTTTATCAAAGATGAAAAGCAAAGGACCTACACTATTCCCTCCACCAGGGCGAAGTTGACATACCGTCATGCTGTTCACATTCTTGATCGCTACGCCGCTTCACTGGTAAGTATTATCAAAGCACCGTTGCGCCAACTAAAGCTAATACCAGAATAAAAGCCATGGGAGAATGACATTTCTGCCCAGGTCAGCTACTATGTGAGGTCAGTGGATGACAAGTTCACTTGTGAAGTCGTCCTTCCTGAGAAGTCACCAATCCGTGGATTGATTGGGGAACCAGCTCCCAGAAAATCAACAGCTAAGCAGGCAGCTGCATTTGATGCCTGCTTATTGCTTCGGAGGAACAATCTTCTGGATGATCATTTCAGGTCCATCTACCATAGACGGCTTCCTGCAATGCGTAATGCTCGCTTGGCCATCACATCGAAGAAGACAAACCAGTACGATAGGATCTGCAAGCCATCTATTTGGGCAGAGCAGCTAGGAACTGCCGCAAGTTTGCTCTACGCGACGGTGATTACCTTCGACCCATTGGAGCCTCTAACACGAAGTCATGGAGAGATCATACTCTTGACACGACAGCGGCTTCCAGTCTTTCCCCCATTTCCTATCTACCTGGACAACGACATTGAGACTGTCATACGCACCACGTGCGTGAAATCTGCTTTCTCAGTTACATTACCGGAAATGGAATGCCTAACTACCTTCACGCTCTCTATTTTTCATGACTTGTTCCACAAGACATATGAGCACGAAATCGAGAAATTGCCTTACTGGATTGCACCAGTCAAAGGCTACATTAGGGCGAAAGACACCTCCAGCCTGCCTGGGATAATTGACTGGGATGCAATGAAAGACGTTCAGGAACACCAAGAGTGGTACTGGTCAGCCGATATGAGCCCTGAGTCTTTGTTGGATCGGTTCTTCTACGATTACTGGGATGGGAGATGCCGATACTTCCCAGTTGCTGTCGAGCACAATTTGCGTCCATCTGACCCTCCTCCGTCCAATGTGCCTCACAGGAGAAACATGGAAGATATCCTGAACTATAGCACCAGCTTATCCAAGACTAGCCGGGCCAAATTTCTGGAGAGCTGTGATTGGAGCCAGCCAGTTTTGCAGGCAGAGAAAGTCGGTCTTCGCAGAAACTTTCTTGACAAAAGAACAGAAACCGAGAAGAAAGAGACTAGGTGTTTTATCTGTCCACAGCCGCTCATGCTTTCAGCGGTTCGTATTTCACCCCGCCGTTCACGTTCGATATGACTGATAATGTTTGCAGATTCCGTTGCCAATTGTCGCTTCTTGCCTCGCATTTCCAGCAACCATTAGCAGATTGGAGTCTTACCTGGTCGTCCTTGAGGGTTGTCAGAAATTGGGGCTTGAGATTAATCTTGAGCTAGCACTTGAAGCTTTCACCAAAGACTCCGACAGCAATGAGGAGCACCGGGACCAGCAGATCCATGTCCAACGAGGCATGGGGAAGAACTATGAGCGTCTTGAGTTTTTGGGCGATAGTTTCCTCAAGATGGCCACCTCAATTTCGCTCTTCTGTCAGAACCCTGAGGACGATGAGTATGACTATCACGTCAATCGGATGTGTCTGATCTGCAACCAGAATCTTTTTGATACTGCGACCAAGTTGCGGGTGTTTGAATATATCCGTAGCCAGAGCTTCTCTCGGTAAGTATACCCCTTTCTGGCTTTGTGAAGAGGGCAACGGGCACTTAACTCATGAACGCAGGAATACATGGTACCCGCCAGGTCTGCAGCTTCTCCGAGGGCGGAGCTATGAGAAAAGTCTCAAGTCTGAGTCCTACCACTCTCTTGCAAACAAGACAGTTGCAGATGTATGTGAGGCATTGATCGGAGCTGCTATGCTCTCCGGTAGCGGCAAGCACCGCTTTGACGAGGCTGTCAAGGCCGTCGGCATTTTTGTTTGCGACGAAACATACAAATCAACCTCGTGGGAAGACTATCGCGGTCTATACACTCCCCCAGCGTATCAGACCAAAGCCGCAGATGGATTTGAAGTCAACATGGCCGGCCAGATCTTCGACAGGGTGGGGTACAAGTTCAAATATCCTCGTCTCTTGCGTTCTGCTTTCACACACCCATCCTACCCCCTGGCGTGGGCCAAGGTTCCTTGCTATCAGCGGCTCGAGTTTCTGGGTGACGCACTTCTGGAACTGGTATGCATTGAGAAGTTGTTCCATCGTTTCTCGGACAAGGATGAACAGTGGCTCACGGAGCACAAGGTAGGCGGCGGCTGATATATTGAGTGGAAAAGCATAGACTAACAAATTCCTGTAGATAGCCATGGTCTCAAACAAGTTCCTGGGCACGTTGGCAGTGAGGTTGGGATTCCACAGGCATCTTCAATATTTCAGCAACCCCATCCAGTCTCAAATCACCCATTTTGCTGAAGAAGCTGAAACCGCGGAGAGTGCGAGCAAGGGCGCGGTGGATTACTGGCTTGGAATCAACGACCCTCCCAAGGTAACGGAATTCAACCGGAGCAGGGCCACAACACGCTGACCGTCACAGTGTCTCCCCGACATGGTCGAGGCCTATCTGGGGGCTATCTTCGTCGATTCCGGCTTCGACTACACCGTCATCGAAACGTTCTTCCAGGCTCACATCATGCCCTATTTTCGGGACATGGCGATCTACGACACATATGCCAATAATCATCCAACGGTCAGGATGCCTCTAATATTTTTTTCTTTTCCTGCCTCTGACGTCAACGGCGCTAACTCAATCTTAAGACGCATCTCGTATATCAGCTGGACAAGATCTACCGGTGCATGGACTATTCTATCAAGGCTGGTGAGCTGCCCACTGTTTACAGGGAGCCCGCGAGAATGCTGGGGGCGGTGATCGTGCATGGCGAATCTTTGGGAACACATGTGGCTTCGTCTGACGGGACGGCCAGGTCCCGTGCGTGTGCAAAGGCGCTGGAGGTGCTGAAGGGGACGGCACTGGAGGAATTCCGCACTCGATACCACTGTGACTGCCGGAGCGAGGAAAACGCAAGCGCAGTAGTTAGTTAGTTTGGTGATTTAGATACAGAAAATGGACCAGTCTCGAGCCGGTCACATGGCCAGCGTGACACGCTATTCCCGATGGGGCATGGTGTATTTATTCCCCTGAAGTACAGACCCGCGTGTTGCTTCGGTGGCTCTGTTGTTCAACTGTCTTCTTGTGCATTATTTCCCTTTTAATCCCCCACCGCTACTACTTTCTAGACTCTCCTTCTTTCTCTTCGCCATCCCTTGCCCACCCCTGACTCGGGCGGTCTCCCCTCTCCCCGCCAGGCAACACCGAGCCCTCCCCGTCCTCCGGTCGCGCTCCCCGAAGAAAATCACCCCATCGATGATTCCCGCGAACCCGTCGCCATAAAACCAGTATCATGGAGGTCGCCTCTCCCGGGGTGCCGAATGGCGTCCCTCCGCCAGAGGCGCTGGCCGTGGTGGATTCCGGCGCACTCATCCAATACCTGACCGAAGTCCTCCGGGTGACACTGGGGGCGCAAGAGTCCGACTTGGAAAGCGCTGGGAGCCTGCTATCGCCGGAACGGCACCACGAGACCGTGCAGCGATGCACGCGATTTGCAGCCGAATCCCAGGTGGCACTCTATGTGCAGAAGGATATTCTCCCTGCCGAAGAGACAAATGGCGAAATTGACGGCCAAGGTGAGTTGGGCCAAAAAAAGCTCGCGGGGAAATTTATCGCATACTGACTATCTGCCTGAAGAGCCGTTTGTACACTATATCTACACCCTCTCCTCTGAGATCTCGTCCGCCTCTACCACTGTTGCATCCATGGCCTTCATCAAGCGTCCCGCTCCCATCGACCAGTCCCTCCCGATCTCCTCGCAGATTCAGGTCATGAATCTCCCCGGTCTCGCCTCCCTCAGCAATGCCCAGGCCCAGCAGGGTACCTCCATGTCTCCATATCAGATTCTCCATCTGCTGGTCCATCATGGCCTCAGTCCCTACTTCGAAGCCTATACTCGCAACCAAGAATCGGCCGTGGGTACGAAACCGAGAACGGACACGGAGGCCAAGACCGGTATCCCGGGCACGAAGAAGAAGTTTGCTGAGCTGGAGCTGGGTCTCATGCACCTTCAGCAGAACGTGGAGATTCCGGCTCTGAATCTTCCGCTGCACGAGGTGGTGCAGAATACGTTGAAGGAGGCCGAGGTGAAGGGCCTGAAGCCGTCTGTTGAGATGATCGCCCCCGAGTTCTTGGATAACAGCGCGTTCACGAACAGCATCCAGAACTGCGTGAATGGTTGGATTAAGTCGATTCAGGCCATTACCAAGATGTCCCGGGACCCAGACAGCGAGTCGGCATCACCAGAAGTCAATTTCTGGCTGTCGATGGAGTCGGCTTTGGAAGGAGTCCAGGCTCAGTTGGAAACCGACGGCGTCAAGTTGACTATGGACATCCTCCGCCATGCGAAACGGTACCAACCGACACTCAGTTTCGCCGCGGATACCGGGCTGAAAGATGCCACGGAGCTAGTCCAGAAATACAATCAACTGATGCGTGACTTCCCGCTGGACGAGCTATTGTCTGCCACCTCGCTCCAGAAGGTCCAGGAGTCCTTGATGCTCATTTTCGACCATCTGAACCGGAAGCTCAAGATTTGTCCGTATCCCATTAAGCGGGCACTGTCGCTTGTCGAGGCGATCTCGGGCGATCTCGAGAAGAAGATTCACGAGCTGATCAACGGCCGCACGGTCCTGCATTTGGACTACCGCGAGTTCCGTTCCCTGATGAAGATGACACAGGCCATCTGGCGCACATGGGATGACAAGCTGAAGGAGTTCACCAATGTTGCGCGTGAAGCGACCCGGCGTCGAAATGAGAAGTTCATCCCGATTAAGATCAACGCCCGCCATGACAAGACCCGCGAGCGGCTAAAGTACATCGACACATTCCGCGTCAACCATGAACAGCTGCAGAAGACCATTACCAATGTGCTTGGCCCGAAGACTTCCTCGTCTGCAGCGGCTGGCGCTTTGATGGACTCCGATGAGGCTGTCATTGTCGAGGAGATCGGTGATGTCGACGCCGTGGAAGAGGTTTCTCAGGCATACGCTGCCCTCAAGAATGTTGACGTGCTGGATGTCTCACCAGAAGGGTCTCGTATCTGGGAACAAGAGGAGATCGCCTACAGTGAACGGACCTCGCGCGTCGAGAACTCCATCATCGCTCGTCTGCGAGATCGTCTCGCGACTGCCAAGAATGCGAACGAGATGTTCCGGGTGTTTTCCAAGTTCAACGCCCTTCTTGTCCGCCCGAAGATTCGAGGTGCGATTGGCGAGTACCAGACGCAACTGATCGATAATGTCAAGCGAGACATCAACAACCTTCATGAGCGCTTTAAGCAGCAGTATGGCCACTCAGAAGCTCATGCCATGGCCCAATTGCGTGACCTGCCCCCCGTCTCTGGTGCTATCACCTGGGCTCGTCAGATTGAGCGACAACTTGACGGCTACATGCGCAAGGTTGAAAACGTGCTTGGAGATGACTGGCACTTGCACTCCGAAGGCCAGAAACTGCAGGCCGAGGGCAGTCTTTTCCGCAAGAAGCTTGACACTCGACCAGTTTTCGAGTCGTGGCTATCCGACGTCCAAAGACGCCACATCACGATCTCCGGACGCCTCTTCAATATCGTTCGCAACCGCGCCGCCGGAAACACGCTGGAATTGACGGTGAACTTTGATGCTCAGATCATTGCCCTGTTCAAGGAGGTCCGCAACCTTATCTGGCTCAACTTCCAGGTTCCTCATGCCGTCAACAACACCTCCAAGGAAGCCAAGCGCGTCTATCCATATGCCATCAGCCTCATGGAGAGTGTGCGAACCTTGTTGCAGACATATCGCACGATCTCTTCCATGACAGACGTCGCCATCCTCCTTAACGGCTATTTGAATGACTCGCAAGCCATGGTCGTCAAAGGTATCCCGCTCCGATGGGAATCGTTTGTCCATTCCTACGAGCTGCACGTCAAGCAGTCGGCATTGGCCAACGGTTCTATCGATGCTACCATGCCTAACCGATCCGAGAGCAAGCATGTTCAGTTTGTTCGCGAGTTTGCTGGTTCGGCCTCCGTTCTCCAATCCAAGACCTCCGTCCTCTCGTCCATCAACGAAAGCATCCAAAAGTCTATCCACGAGCTCAAAACTTGCCCCTATGAGGCTGGAGCATTCAAGCAACGGCTGGATACCATTCAGGTCTCTGTGGATAAGCTCAACTTGGAGAACTACGTCAATCTTGGCTACTGGGTTTCGGAACTCAATGAGAAGATCGAGGCAATCCTTCGCGAGCGACTCCACCGTGCGATCCGCGAGTGGGTCAGGACCTACCAGGAGGCCCAGAACGAGCAGTCTACGCCTGTCCATCCCATGACCGGTGAACCCGAGACCACGATCTACAAGATCGAGTTCCCGGAACTCTTCCATGAGATCTCCATGAAAAATCAAGTTCTTCACCTTGACCCACCACTTCAATTCGCCCGTGCGAGCTGGTTTTCGCATTTCGATACATGGCTTGGCGTCATCTGCAACCTTGAAAAGATCAAATCCTCTCGATACCAGATCTCCATCGACGTACAAGCCACTCGCCAGTCGGAAGCCTGCTTTTCGAATCTCCCGCAGGGTTGCACCCAGGAATTGAACCAAGTCTACGGGGTTGTCGAATCCAGACTCAAGGAAGTTTCCGACTACGTCGACAAGTGGCTGCAGTTCCAGTCTCTTTGGGATTTGCAATCCGAGCAAGTATACGACATTCTGGGTGACGATCTGTCTCAGTGGCTCCAGCTGCTTCAGGAGATCAGAAAGAGTCGGGCCACCTTTGATACCTCCGAGGTCGGTCGGACATTCGGCAATATTCGCATCGACTACGAGCAAGTCCAGACTAAAGTCAATGCCAAATATGATCAATGGCAGCATGAGATCCTGCTCAAGTTCGGTGCCAAGCTTGGCAGCCGCATGAGGGAGGTTCACTCTGAGATCGCCGCAGCTCGTCGTGACTTGGAAGGTCAAACCCTGGAGGCTTCCTCGACGGCACACGCAGTGTCCTTTATTACCATTGTACAGCAATGCAAGCGGAAGACTCGTGTCTGGGAACCAGAGGTTGATCTCTTCCGCCAGGGTCAGACGACGCTCTCCCGCCAACGTTATCAGTTTCCCAGCGACTGGCTCCATGTCGAAAATGTTGATGGCGAATGGGCGGCGTTGAACGAACTGCTTACTCGCAAGAGCAAGATTGTCCACGATCAGACTGAAGGCCTGCGCGCGAAGATCGCGGCCGAAGACCGAGTTATCAGTGACAAGATCGCCGAAGTAATTGCCCAATGGAACGACGAAAAGCCAGTCTCTGGTACTATCCCCCCAGACGAGGCATCCCGAACCCTGAGCTCTTTCCAGTCTCGTCTTGAATCTCTGCAATCTGAGTTTGAGATGGTGTCCAAGGCGAAAGAGGCACTCGATCTCCCCGCAAGCAACGAGTCCTCTCTTCCTGCAATCCTTGAGGAGGTTCAGGACTTCATGTCTGTCTGGGCTGCCTTGTCGACTATCTGGAAGAGCTTGAACGATCTTCGAGAGGGCCTGTGGACCAGCGTGCAGCCCAGAAAGCTTCGCCAAGCCCTTGATGGTTTGATCAAGATGACCAAGGAGATGCCCAGCCGAATGAGACAATATGCGGCATTTGAACATATCCAAACTGTTCTGCGGCAACTACTGAAGGTTAACACCCTGATGTCTGATTTGAAGTCCGAGGCCATCAAGGAGAGACACTGGCAGAAGATCTACAAGTCTTTGAAGCCCGGCAAGCGCTTCTCTCTCGTTTCCCTTACTCTCGGCGATGTCTGGGACTTGAACCCTGCGACCAGCGAGAGTGTCCTTCGCAACATCATTGCCCAGGCTCAGGGCGAAATGGCCTTGGAAGAATTCTTGAAGTCCGTGCGCGAGACCTGGCAGAATTACTCCCTCGATCTGGTTAACTATCAGAGCAAATGTCGTCTCATTCGCGGTTTCGACGATCTGTTCGCCAAGTGCAGTGAGAACTTGAACTCCCTGCAAGCCATGAGACATTCTCCTTACTACAAAGAATTCGAGGAAGAAGCTACTTCTTGGGAGGATAAGCTGAACCGCGTCCATGTCCTCTTCGACGTCTGGATTGATGTCCAAAGACAATGGGTTTACCTCGAGGGTGTCTTCACCGGCAATGCTGACATCAGGCATCTTCTCCCTCTGGAATCCAGCCGCTTTCAGAACATCAACTCCGAGTTCTTCGCCGTGATGAAGAAGGTCTACAAGTCTCCCTTCGTGCTAGATGTTCTCGCCATCAACGGAGTGCAAAAATCCTTGGAGCGGTTGGCCGAGTTGCTGAACAAGATCCAAAAGGCTCTCGGTGAATACCTGGAGCGCGAGCGTGTCTCATTCCCTCGGTTCTACTTTGTTGGTGATGAAGACCTGCTAGAGATCATCGGTAACAGCAATGACATCTTCCGCGTTGCCAAGCATTTCAAGAAGATGTTTGCTGGCTTGTCTGGCCTTCTGATGGATGATGACAACAACATTGTTGGATTCACCTCCAAGGAGGGCGAGGAAGTCCGACTGAAGCGGGAAGTCAACTTGGTCAAGACACCTCGGATCAACGACTGGCTCTCCGCGCTCGAGAACAGCATGAAGTTGACTCTGGCGGAGTTGCTTGGAGAGGCAGTCGAGCAGTTTGACACGCTCTACAATGCCGCTGACGTCGACCGGACGGCTTTCAGCGACTTCCTTGCCAATTATCCCGCTCAGATTGTCGTTCTCGCCAGTCAAGTTGTATGGACCAATGCTGTGCAAAAGTCCCTTGAAGATGGCGGCTCAAATCTCTCCACACTTTATGATGCGGAGGTTCGTGTTCTGGAACTTCTTGCCGCCACTGTGCTTGGCGAACTGGATCCGATCACCCGCAAGAAGTGCGAGCACATGATCACCGAATTTGTGCACCAGCGCGACTGCATTTCGAAGCTCATTCAGTTCAATGCCTCCACGCCCACCCACTATATCTGGCTGCTTCAGATGCGCTATGTCTACCAGCCAGAGGGTGACTTCTTGCAGCGCCTCTACGTCCACATGGCTAATGCCAAGCTCAACTATGGATTCGAGTATCTGGGTGTGCCTGAGCGTCTTGTTCGCACACCACTCACGGACCGTTGTTTCCTCACTCTCACTCAGGCATTGTGCCAAAGACTCGGCGGTTCGCCATATGGTCCAGCTGGTACCGGAAAGACAGAGTCCGTTAAAGCGCTCGGTCTGCAACTGGGTCGCTTTACTCTCGTGTTCTGCTGCGATGACACGTTTGATTTCCAGGCCATGGGCCGCATCTTCCTTGGTATCTGCCAAGTTGGTGCTTGGGGCTGTTTCGACGAGTTCAACCGTCTGGAGGAAAGAATTCTGTCTGCCGTGTCTCAGCAGATCCAGAACATCCAGATTGGACTGAGAAAGAAGAGTGGTGACGATGAGAAGTCTCAGATCGAACTCGTCGGCCGACGACTTGCCGTCAATTCCAACACCGGTATTTTCATCACCATGAACCCTGGCTATGCTGGACGTTCCAACTTGCCCGACAACCTCAAGAAGCTGTTCCGCAGCGTTGCCATGTCCAAGCCCGATAAAGAGCTTATTACCGAGGTGATGCTCTTCTCCCAGGGTTTCAAGCAGGCGAAACCTCTGTCCAAACAGACCGTGCCGTTCTTCGACCACTGTGCCTCGCAACTCACCAAGCAGGCCCACTACGATTTTGGTCTACGTGCATTGAAGAGTGTTCTTGTTAGTTCCGGTGGTCTCAAGCGTGCTCGTCTCGCCAGTGCCGGTGGTGAACTGGGCCCCGACGAGGTGATCGAACCTCAGATCATCGTACAAAGTCTCCGAGAGACAATCGCTCCCAAGCTGGTCCAAGAGGATGTTGATCGCATGATGGAGATCCAAGTGGAGGATTTCCCTGGCGTAGAATACGTGCCTGCCAATTTCGAGAAATTGACCACAGCCATGCGGGAAATCGCTCATGAACAGCACTATGTTGATAGCGAGATGTGGATCGCCAAGGCGCTCCAGCTATACCAGATCCAAAGCATCCACCACGGTGTCATGATGGTTGGCAAGTCGGGCTCTGGTAAATCAGCTGCGTGGAAGATCCTTCTTCAGGCGATGCAACGCATTGAAGGCGTGGAGGGCGTCTCTCACATCATTGACTCCAAAGTCATGTCCAAGGAGGCCCTCTATGGTAATCTCGACAGCACGACCCGCGAGTGGACGGACGGTCTCTTCACCGGTATTCTCCGGAAGATTGTTGACAACCTTCGTGGAGAGGACAGCAAGCGGCACTGGATTGTGTTTGACGGTGACGTCGACCCTGAATGGGTTGAGAACTTGAACAGTGTTCTGGACGACAACAAGCTCTTGACTCTCCCCAACGGAGAACGTCTCAATTTGCCATCCAACGTTCGCATCATGTTTGAGGTCGAAAGTCTCAAGTATGCCACTCTCGCCACCGTCAGTCGTTGCGGTATGGTCTGGTTCAACGCCGACACTGTCACGCCTTCGATGATGATCACCAACTATGTTGAAGGCCTTAAGACCAAAACGTTCGAAGACCTTGATGAAGACAGCGCCCCTGCCGGAACAGCAGCGGCCAGAACTCAAGATGCTCAGGAGATGCTGTCGACCATTCTCAAGCAACTCCTTGAGACCGACGACCTCGTTCACAAGTCTCTTGAAGAGGCCAAGAAATACAATCATATCATGGAGTTCACCGACATCCGTGCGCTCAACACTCTGTTCAGTTTGTTGAACAAGGCCTGCCGCAACGTCCTCGAGTACAACGTGCAGCACGTCGACTTCCCTCTCGATCCTGAGCAGATCGAAGCCTACATCTCCAAAAAGCTTTTGCTCACTCTCATTTGGTCTTTCACTGGCGACTGCCCGCTTGGTGATCGCAAGGCATTCGGACAATTCGTCTCCGGCATGTCAACAACCGATCTCCCGCCGGACGGAGACTTCTCCCTCATTGACTTTGACGTTACGCTTCCGAAGGCTGAGTGGGCGAGCTGGCAGTCTCAGGTGCCAACTATCGATATCAACACGCACTCCGTCACTCAAACAGACGTGATCATTCCCACTGTTGACACCGTCAGACATGAGGATGTGCTTTACTCATGGCTGGCCGAGCACAAGCCTCTCTTGCTCTGTGGTCCTCCTGGATCCGGTAAAACAATGACGCTGTTTGCCGCGCTAAGAAAGTTGCCAAACATGGAGGTCGTCGGCCTCAACTTTTCCAGCGCCACCACCCCTGATTTGTTGATCAAGACCTTCGAGCAGTACTGCGAGTACAAGAAGACTCTAAATGGCGTTGTTATGTCTCCGAACCAGATTGGTCGATGGTTGGTCATCTTCTGCGACGAAATCAACCTTCCCGCGCCGGATCGTTATGGCACGCAACGGGCCATCTCTTTCCTGCGACAGCTTGTTGAACAGAACGGTTTCTGGCGCACCACTGACAAGACTTGGGTCACGCTGGACCGCATTCAGTTTGTTGGTGCTTGTAACCCTCCCACCGACGCCGGCCGTACCGCTATGGGAGAGCGGTTCCTGCGTCATGCCCCGTTGATCATGGTCGATTACCCTGGAGAGCTCTCCCTGAACCAGATCTACGGCACATTCAACTCTGCTGTTCTCAAGATTCTTCCATTGTTGCGTGGTTATTCCGAGGCTCTTACCAAGGCTATGGTTCAGTTCTATCTCGAATCCCAATCCAGATTCACGCCGAAGATCCAACCCCATTACGTGTACTCGCCTCGTGAGCTTACGCGCTGGGTCCGCGGTGTCTACGAGGCAATCAAGCCGCTCGAGAGCCTTTCAATTGAAGGGCTGGTTCGAATTTGGGCACACGAAGCCTTGCGTCTCTTCCAGGATCGACTGGTGGCTGAAGACGAGAGAGCCTGGACGGCTGATGCTGTTCGCCGCATCGCTCTCGAACATTTCCCCAGTATTGATGACGAAGCCGCCCTGAAGGGCCCGATCCTGTTCTCGAATTGGCTTTCCAAGAACTACGTGCCAGTGGAGCAAGAGCGCCTCCGCGAATTTGTCAAAGCGCGCCTCAAGACTTTCTGTGAGGAAGAGGTGGACGTTCCTTTGGTGCTCTTCAATGACGTCTTGGAGCATGCACTGCGCATTGATCGTGTTTTCCGTCAGCCTCAGGGCCATCTCATCCTCATTGGAGTCAGCGGAAGTGGAAAGACAACTTTGTCGCGCTTTGTCGCTTGGATGAATGGACTGAGGGTCTTCCAGATCAAGGTGCACGGGAAGTACTCGTCGGAAGATTTCGACGACGACTTGCGAAGCGTTCTCCGTCGGGCAGGCTGCAAGGGCGAGAAGATCTGTTTCATCATGGACGAATCCAATGTGCTCGACTCTGGTTTCTTGGAGCGCATGAACACCCTGCTCGCCAACGCTGAAGTACCCGGTCTCTTTGAAGGCGACGAATTCTCTTCTCTCATGACCGCCTGTAAAGAGGGTGCCCAGCGCCAGGGATTACTTCTTGATTCCCAGGAGGAGCTCTACAAGTGGTTCACTCAACAGATTGTCAAGAACCTGCACGTAGTCTTCACCATGAACCCACCGGAGGAAGGGCTGTCCTCCAAAGCAGCAACCAGTCCGGCCTTGTTCAACCGTTGCGTCCTTAACTGGATGGGCGATTGGTCTGACCAAGCCTTGTTTCAAGTCGGCTCCGAACTCACGCAGTCGGTCGACCTCGACAAAACCGGGTTTGTCGCGCCCGATAGTATCCCCGTGGCGTATCGCGAACTGTCTCTACCGGCCTCGCACAGGGACACCGTTGTCAACTCGATGGTCTTCATTCATCACTCGTTGCACCGGTTTAACCAGCGTCTGCAGAAGCAGCAGGGTCGGACAACATATCTCACGCCTCGGCACTACCTTGACTTTGTTGCACAGTATGTGAAGCTGTTCAATGAGAAGCGTGAGGATCTAGAGGAACAGCAACGACACTTGAACGTTGGTCTCGAGAAGCTTCGAGACACCGTCGATAAAGTCAGCGACTTGCGGGCTAGTCTTGCCCAGAAGAAGACACAGTTGGAGCAGAAGGATAAGGAGGCGAACGAGAAGTTGCAGCGCATGGTTGCTGACCAGCAAGAGGCGGAACAGCGGAAGCAGGTGTCGTTAGAGGTGCAGGCGGCACTGGAGAAGCAGGAGAAGGAAGTGGCAACGCGGAAAGAGGTTGTGTTGCACGATTTGGCAAGGGCCGAGCCCGCGGTTTTGGAGGCTCAGAAGAGTGTGAGCAACATTAAGCGACAGCAGCTCACCGAAGTCCGGTCCATGGGCAATCCTCCATCCGGCGTTCGACTTGCCCTGGAAGCTGTGTGTACGCTGCTTGGTCACAAGGTTGACAGCTGGAAGACAATCCAGGGTCTTGTGCGCCGGGATGATTTCATTGCCAGCATTGTGAACTACGACAACGAGCGCCAAATGACTCGCAGCCACAGGACCAAGATGCAGAGCGAATTCCTTTCCAAGGAGGACTTTACATACGAGCGTGTCAACCGCGCTAGCAAGGCCTGCGGTCCCCTGGTTCAATGGGTTGAGGCTCAGGTCAATTACTCCGAGATTCTGGACCGTGTTGGACCTCTGCGCGAAGAGGTAGATCAGCTGGAAGAACAAGCCCTGCAGACAAAAGCCGAGGCCCAAGCCATCGAGAACACCATTCAAGGCCTTGAGAGCAGCATTGCCACCTACAAGGCCGAGTACGCTGCTTTGATCAGTGAAACCCAGGCGATCAAGACGGAGATGTCTCGGGTCCAGTTCAAGGTCGACCGCAGTGTTCGTCTCCTCGACAGCCTAGCGTCTGAGCGTGAGCGATGGGAGGAGGGCAGCAAGTCGTTCGAAACCCAGATCAGCACTCTTGTCGGCGACGTTCTTATCGCGGCTGCCTTCCTGGCCTACGCGGGTCTGTACGATCAACAGTTCCGGAAGGCCATGATCGAGGACTGGGTGCAGCAACTTGGACAGTCAGGCATCAACTTCAAGCCACACAACCCCATCACAGAATACTTGTCCAATGCCGACGAACGCCTGACGTGGCAGGAGCACTCTCTTCCTGTGGACGATCTCTGCACGGAGAACGCCATTGTCCTGAAGCGGTTCAACCGATACCCCTTGATCGTCGACCCGTCTGGTCGTATCACCGAGTTCTTGCAGAAGGAGAGCAAGGATCGCAAGCTTACCGTCACGAGTTTCCTGGATGACTCCTTTGTCAAGCAACTGGAGAGTGCTTTGCGTTTCGGAAACCCCATTCTCATCCAAGATGCCGAGCACTTAGACCCGATTCTCAACCATGTTCTCAACAAGGAGTACCAGAAGACCGGTGGTCGCGTCCTGATCCAGCTTGGAAAGCAGGAGATCGATTTCTCACCGTCCTTCCGGCTTTTCTTATCCACGAGAGATCCTTCCGCGACTTTCCCGCCGGATGTCTGCAGTCGAACAACCTTTGTTAATTTCACGGTCACCCAAAGCAGTTTGCAGACCCAGTCGCTTAATGACGTGCTGAAGTTCGAGCGTCCCGATGTCGATGAGCGCCGCAACAACCTCGTCAAGATGCAAGGAGAGTTCAAAGTCCACCTTCGCCAGCTTGAGAAGCGGCTGTTGCAGGCTCTCAACGAGTCTCGTGGCAATATCCTCGACGACGATAATGTTATCGAAACACTCGAGACTCTCAAGAAAGAGGCTGCCGAAATCTCCAAGAAGATGGCCGAGACCGAGGGTGTCATGTCCGAGGTGGAGCATGTCACCAACCAGTACAGCATCATTGCCCGGGCTTGCAGTGCTGTCTTTGCCGTTCTGGAGCAGCTTCACCACATGAACCATTTTTACCAGTTCTCCCTGCAGTACTTTGTCGACATTTTCAACTCTGTGCTCTATCAGAACAAGCGTCTTGCTCAAGAGAAAGATCATACCACGCGTGTCCAGATCATCATCCGAGATCTGTTCATCACTACGTTCCAGCGAACATCCTTGGGTCTTGTCAACAAGGATCGCATCACCCTTGCCATGCTTCTAGCCCAAGCCACTCCGTTCCCCATGGACAGGACAATCCTCGACCGTGTTCTCGATCAGACAGTGGAAGACACAGACCTCTCGACTGCGACTGATTCACGCGAACAAGTGATGACCAAGTTGGAAAACACGTCGGTCTTCAAACAGCATCTCCCCAACATTACACAGGATCAATGGGATCGGTTTTTCAGCGAAGAGCTTGCTGAAAACGCCGTGCCGGCTGTTTGGGATGAGAGTACATCGCAGCTCGATCAGCTACTTCGATCCTTGCTCTTGGTCAAGCTTTGCCGCATGGACCGATTTGTGCCCACTGCCGAGCGGTTCGTCGAGGCGGTGTTCGGCCGTGAACTCTTCGAGGGCAGTACCGATTTGAAGGATGTGGTCGACCAAGTCACGGCAACCACGCCCATTTCCCTCTCCTCAAGCCCAGGTTTCGATGCCAGTTTCAAGGTTGACGCGCTGGTCGAACGCACGCACGCGACTTGCGCCAACATCGCCATGGGTTCCAACGAAGGTCTCGAGAGCGCCGACAAGGCCATCAGCAATGCGGCCGCGGCCGGGAACTGGGTGCTGGTGAAGAACGTTCATCTCGCTCCTCAATGGCTGCAGAGCCTCGAAAAGAGACTGGATACCCTCAAACCGCACAAGGAGTTCCGGCTCTTCCTCTCCATGGAGTCCAGCCCCAAGATCCCGGTCAACCTGATCCGAGCTTCTCGGGTGCTGATGTACGAACAGCCCGCGGGTGTTCGGGCCAACATGAAGGACTCCCTGTCCTCGCTGACTACCAGAGCCAGCAAGGCTCCTGTCGAGAAGGCTCGTGTCTATCTCTTGCTTTGCTTCTTCCATGCCGTGGTCCAAGAACGACTACGTTACGCGCCTAATCTCGGATGGAAGGGTTTCTGGGAGTTCAATGACAGTGACGTGAGTACACCCTCTATTACTGCATCTTCCAGAATCAACACTAACAATTCGTCTTTGCACAGTACGAATGCTCAGCCTATATTATTGACCACTGGGTCGACACCGTCGCACAGGGCCGCTCCAACATCGCGCCTTCCAATCTTCCATGGGAGATGATCCGCACCCTCATCGCGGAGATGTACGGCGGCAAGATCGACGATGCAGGTGACTTCCAACAACTCGAGAGTCTCGTGGGCAACTTCCTCACTCCCGCCGCCTTCGAAGACGAATACAAGCTTGTCTCAGGCGTCGAGAATGACGACCTCCTCGTGCTGCCCAGCGGCACAAGCGTCCGCGACTTCTCAGACTGGGTCAATAACTTGCCAGAGCGTGAACCGCCGACGTACCTCGGTCTTCCTGCTAATGCGGAGAAGCTGTTGCTGGTTGGGCATGGCCGGAAGATGATTTCGGATTTGTCGAGGGTTACTACTCTGCTTGATGAAGGGGAGCAGTTGATGGTGGATAACTGATTTTTATTTTGGTTCTTTCTTTTTTTGTGTTGTTTTTATGGCGTTGAGCAGACGGTTTTCCCTCTAGATTTGATTGATTGGGTCGCCTTGTCGGCGACCAGACTTGATATACCCTTCCCTTCCCTCATCGACCGCGTGGTGGGATTGTTCCATTTGTGAATTTATCATCCGCATGTGCCTTTACCTATTGATATGCTTGTCTTTCTTTGTACACTTATATCTTTGTTGTCTGGACAATCACTTTCTTTTTATACTTCCGCTGTTATGTTAGACATTGTAACTGTCCCTTCAGACTGAATAGTAGACTTAGGATTCTATATCTGTAATCTAAAATGCTAGAATTGGGTTCGAGGAGACTGCAACTACATGACCCTCTACTAAAAAGAATGCAGAGATGACTATAGTCAATAGCATTAAGTATCCAGTATACAGTGTGGAAATTATCAGGTCTACATGGGCGTCACCGCGATAGACACGAGCGAACGCCCATGGCCCGGAACGAGTGTAAGTTTAAATAAAAATCATTCAGAAACGCCAACAGTATGGCCCGTCATCGAGGCAAAGGGGGCATGGGTGCGTGCTATGTACGTGCCCAAGAGAGAGCAGATTTTCACGAGATGAATGTCGCCTCACCGAACATCTTTCCTTCCTCGACGATTTCGGTGCCGCCCACGTTCAGCTTCAGGGACAGCTTCTCTTGTGGCGAGTACTGTGCATTTATTAGAAAGGACAATTTCCTAAGAAGTAGGATGAGAATGACAAACCTGGTAAATGTACGGTCTGGTACCAGCAACGCTTCCGGCGATGGACTTGATGAAGCCTGGCACTTGAGCCATGACATCGATGCGGTCGAGTCGGGGCCCGAGAGATCCTTCAACCTCGGCAGTGACCTCCTTGCCGTCGGAGGTCATTCCCTTCCAGGTATACCGGGCAGACTTCGGCTCCGGCCAGTCGTTCTCAGAGTCCTGCGCGGATTCGGTGTGGGTGACTGTATTGGTGGCACCGGCGTAGATGATCTCGCCGTCTTTCAAAATGCCACCAACATTGACCTTGGTCGAGCCGTAGGATGGAGGAGTGGTGTACTCCATCATGATGGCGGTGTAGTTCGGAGTCTGGAAGTTGATAAAGTTCCACCGTGCCGCTGCGTCCTTGTCAGTTTGCTATCCACAGTATCATGCGAAAAGCTTCTTACCTGCGTGGTGCGGCTTCATGCCCTGCAGAGCGTGGATGAAGACACCGCGACCGGCCATGTCATAGGCATGGTCTGGGGTAGTGATGGTACCCTCGACGGTACACCGAGGCCAGAAGGAGTGGCTCATCGAGCCCCAGGGGTTCTTTGGGTCGGTGCCGAAGTACGACGTGCCGTTCTTGCCGACGACAAACCCGGGAGTTGTCCGCTTGAACGTCAGGTCCACCAAGCATTTTGAGCTGACGGTTGACTTCAGGACGTAGGCGTCAGCCTCCTCGTTAAGGGTCAACGACAGGTTATCCGCGCCAAACGAGTACATGCCCTCATCGAACATGAAATTGGACAGGGGGTCTGAGTGCCAGATGTGCTCGCCGCCGTTCAGGTTAAAAATCTTGGCGTTGAACTGGGCGGTGGTATGGATTCCTCTATCAATAGGGAGGAGAGTCAGGTCTGTGAGAGGAAGCGAACGGAAATGTAGGAATGCTCACACGATGTTGCTGTAGATGATCTGGACAAAGACCAGGGTGCCATTGTCGGCCATGGCGTAGAAGGTCTGGGTCTCGACATTGGTGTACTGGTATGCGCGCCACCGCAAGTCATCCCTGGTCAACTCTGTGTACGGCGTCGTCTCGGCCTGCTTTGTGACTGGCTGAATCGCGTCAGGGCCATAGATAGGCTCCTGGGTGCCCGCCACCGCTGAGAGGCTGTGTGGAGGGGTGGTCAGCTATCCCACCACCATTATATCCGAGGGGAGGGGAAGAAAAATACATACGTCGATTTAAGCCAATTCATGATGATCGAGGAATGGATGATTTGGACAGAAAACTTTTTCCAGAAGAGAAAAAAAGAAAAAGGGAGACGGAAGGAAAGGGAGATCGACGCGGGGCCCGGAAGCGCCAGTCCAAGTCCGGATGAAGAGAGCTCCGAGAGAGCTGGGTGCCCGATGCGTATGGTACAGATGCAGCGATGAGAGGATAGCCCCGAGTAGGAACAACAGAGCAAATGGAGGAAGCGAGGAGTAGTCTGTTCCTAGTGATCCCTGAACAATGATGATGATGAAGAAGATGAAGTGAAGAGAAGTTGTTCGGGCCATGACGTGCCGGCGATTCGCTTGGTTGGTTCCGGCCAATCACGGGACTTGAGGAAAATCTGGCAGTATTATCGTTGCTTGCTCTCGATCTCCTTCTTTCACCTCCCCCATCCCAATTCCTCCCACATCATGGCAAAGAGCGCGCTGGCCAAGGACCAGTTTGTCAAACTGATTGTTGGCGCTGGCCAGGCCAGCCCTAGTCCCCCGGTCGGCCCGGCCCTAGGCAGCAAAGGTGTGAAGAGCATGGACTTTTGCAAGGTCGGTCTTCGATCTATCCTATATCGAGCCTATATCTACCCCCGATCCCTGTTGCTGACAGCGCCAAACAGGAATTCAATGCCCGCACCGCCCACATTAACCCTGGGGTGCCCATCCCTGCGCGCGTCACCGTCCGCCCCGACCGCTCCTTCACCTTCGACCTGCGCACGCCCACCGCGACCTACCTCCTCCTCAATGCCGCCAATGTCGAGCCACGCAAGGGCCGGCTGCGTGGGGCGATGAACCCAGGCCACGATGTATGTGGCAAGATTTCGCTGAAACATGTGTACGAGATCGCGCAGATCAAGCAGTCGGAGACACGGTTGTCGGGGCTGAGCCTGCAGGGCCTGTGCAAGAGCGTGATGGCGCAGGCCCAGTCGATTGGCATCCAGGTGGTGCCATGATCTTTGTTTTCCTCTTCTTCATGTACTTTACCAGATACCAGAGCTTCGAATCAACCATACATAATACCAGGGCTATACCCGACTAACCCCATGCGGCAACATTCCAGATCACGACGCTCGGCACGGGCGGAAAGTACATAAGCTGGGCATAATATTCGACATCATAGGCCACTCCAGTGCCGCGACATTCCGATCATCTTCTTGCATCCGACACTAATATTAGACGCTCGGGATACTACACGACTAAGCAGTAATAATATTAATAATAATACATGTGCAAGATTCGGTCATAAGATAATACCTACCCCCACCCTTGGTGCCTCAGGCCTAGACCCCCAACTCTCCCCTCCATCGTTTCTGGTTCTCTTCTCTCTCTCTCTCTCTTCCTCTCCCTCTTCTCCTTCGTCTCTTCTTCGGTCGTTGACCTTCCTCTGCTCAAATCTCGGCCATTTTCGGTTCGTGTTCGTGTTCTTCGTATCGCCGCCGCACGGGCTCGCTCTTATCGTACGGATTCGGCCAAACGTTCTGGAAAGGATTTACCTCGCCTCCCACGTAATCGACCCGGCCCGGCTTGTCACCACCATCCACCTCGATCTGTCTCGCAACCATTGCACGATCTACCCATCGTGAAGCCCGTTGATCTTGAGAGGCATGTGTCCCACCACGCTGTGTCTTGGTGTCGACCTGTATGACGTCTGAACGGCCCGGTTCGACCGACCCCTCCATCGCCATGGATTCAGGTATGTCCGACTAGCAGAATGGCTCTTTTTCTTTCTTTGGCGTCTGATCAGGATGGTGTTCGCGATGGCAGGCCCCCAGACGACCAACACCCCCGCCAAGATGCCCGCCGACCCGAGCTCGGACGCCGGTGACCCCGACGCCAAGTCACGATCCCAGCCCAGCCAGGTCCGCTTCTCGTCCGTCACCGAGGAGATTGAACCATCCCAGGCCGCCCTGTCTCCTGCCGCAGTGCAGTCACCGTCCGCAACCCAGCAGAAATTGGGCACGGATGACGAAGATATACGCTCGCTGGCTATGAGCTTGCAGCGATCACAGTTGCAGGAATCGCGGCTACGGAACTTCTCATACGAACCCATGTCTCTTCCACCTTCCCGGGTATGTGTACAATGTGTTTTCTCTGCCGTCCTTGTCATCGATAGCTGGTGATTGAAAAGCGCGTTCGATAGTGGAGATTAGATCAGCAGCTAATGATCCTTTTTCATCTAGGTGGGATCCCGCGAATCGAGCGATCGCAGTGGCCAGAGTGGCACTTCATATGGAGCATCCCCTCATGCATCACCTCCCGCGTCCGCAGTGCAGTCACCTCCCCTAACCCCGGCCGTCACCCAGAGTCGGGAAGCCAAATCGAGTGACAGTGGGGCATCGTTGGCTACCGCCGTTCGCTCCCACCCAGGATCGGCTGCCATTACTCCGGAGACTTCGCCCCCAGTCCATGCAAGTGACAGAAAGACCGCCCAGCGAAGCGCACCAACCTCGCGGGGGACATCATTCGACCACTCACGGAATTTCGTCACACCGCAACCCACCTCGGACCCTTCCTCTCGTCAGAATACTCCTCATCCGATCTCCACGCATCGGGCCCAATTCTTCATCGGAGCCGATGGCAACTCTGTAGATGAGAGCCCCCCGCAAACGCCGAGCGCTCTGACACCCCCGGGTGCTATCACACCGGTAGGAGAACCAAACGATCCATATGCGAGGAGCAAGCGGCCCCCGCAGACGAAGAATCTGTCTCAGTTAGATCCGAGGTTTATTTTTGGCAGCCGAGATGCAAAACGGGCGTTTCGCCCTGGAACTCCTCGCTCGGCCAGCACGAGTGATGTCACCAAGCCTTACGAAAGGAGCAATACGTTCAACAGCACAAGCAGCAAGCATTCTCAGAACCACGAGGGGAAGAAAGGCCACCACCATCATGGCTCCATGTCTGAGTTGAAGCGGTTTTTCAAGCTGGGCCACAAGCATAAACGGCCAGATTCTCCGACTTCCGCGCCCAAACGATCCAGCCGATCAACAGGTAAGAGCAGTACGCCATATCAGATGGCTCCCGAAAATGTTCCATTCGCGGATGATCATGGCCTGAACTCCAAGTACGGCAAAATGGGCAGGGTGCTGGGTTCTGGCGCAGGAGGCTCCGTCCGGCTTTTGAAGCGCAACAGCGATGGCGTCACCTTTGCCGTGAAGCAATTCCGGGACCGCCACAGCTGGGAGAGCCTGAAGGAGTACTCCAAGAAAGTGACGGCGGAATTCTGCATTGGGTCCACGCTTCATCACGGAAATATCATCGAAACTTTGGATATCATCCAGGAAGGGAGTCATTGGTATGAGGTGATGGAGTATGCCCCGTACGATCTCTTTGCCATTGTCATGACGGGCAAGATGGGCAAGGAGGAGATTGCGTGTTCTTTCAACCAAATCCTCAGTGGTGTTGCATACTTGCATGGCATGGGGCTGGCGCATCGTGACTTGAAGCTGGATAATGTGGTGGTGAATGATCACGGAATCATGAAACTCATCGACTTTGGCAGCGCTGTGGTGTTCCGCTATCCCTTTGAGAACGATATAGTTCCCGCTTCAGGTTGGTTTTGTTTCTTCTGACACAATGGCGTCTTTGCTAACATGTGAATGACAACAAGGCATTGTCGGTTCGGATCCATATCTCGCTCCCGAGGTGTATGACGAGAAAAAATACGACCCTCGCCCTACGGATGTGTGGTCGCTGGCTATCATCTTCTGCTGCATGACCTTGCGCCGCTTTCCGTGGAAGCAGCCACGGACTACTGACAACTCCTATCGGCTATTTGTTGCTCCTCCGACGCCTGGCACTCCAGTCCCGGATTCCCGTCATCACCCTCGGCCCAGGTCTGCACCTGATCTCCCTTCCAGCGCCCATGAGCCGAAGCATCTTGAGCATCCTGCAGAGGAGCCCAATGTCTCTGAGCCGTCGGAAAAGAATGAGGCGCCCCAGTCCCCCGCAGAATCCACCCCCAACGAGGGTGAGAAGAACGACCAGCCGACCGATGACGCCCAGAAGCAGACCAGCGAGGTCAGTGACCACGCGAAGCCCCAACGTACGACAAGCAAAAACGCCCCGCCGCTCCCAGGTGGCGCTCAGCATTCCGGCCAACGACAGGAAGTGATCAAGGGCCCGTGGCGGCTTCTCCGAATCTTGCCGCGGGAAAGTCGGTACATCATTGGCCGCATGTTAAAGGTCAACCCCAATGATCGCGCGACGCTCGACGAAGTACTGTCGGATGACTGGGTGCGCAATATCCCGACATGTTTCCAGGAAGACAACGGGGAGATCGTTAATATGCCCTCGCACACACACGTCCTCGAGCCTCCTTCCCACAGCCCGGCGGTGCCCAGCAAGGCCAGCAAGGCTACTAAGTGAGACTCTTCTTCTTTGTATCAACTTTCTTTCCGTGTGTCCATAATGCCTCTTTGAGCTTTTCTTTTTTTTCTTTTTTTGGTTTCCTCCCGTGATTTTGTTTTTCCCTTCTTTGACGTGCGGGATGTCCTTGCTGATGTCTTGTTGCTGATATCTTCACGCGACTAATACTCCGTCTGACTGTTTATGAGACTAAGAGAGGAGGCACTTTTTTGTTTCTTCTGGCGTTGAGGAAGAGTTTGCACTGTTTTCTTGAGATAGATGTTTCTGCTAGACTTGGGTGTGAGGTTGTGCCGGGCTGGTGGGATGTCTCTTTTTGCGCGCCAATTGTCGCATTCTTTTGTTGCCGTGAGTGGATGGCTATAATAATGCTTGTAGCATCCCGGCTAGTAGATACTTGAAATCATTTGCAAATATCAATCCTTCGTGCAATAGAGACCCTAGGATGGGATTAAGGAAGTAAACCTGAGTGATCGACGCTGTCCGACTTCGGCCGCGGCAAACCCTCTCAAACCTCGACATCAACTCTTTTTGCTCTCTCCCTCTTTCGCCTCGTTTTTATCCTTCTCCGTATCACGTATTATGTTTGCGGCGAATTGATACAGCACAGCATGCTCCGCCGATAGAACCCATTTCCGCCGGCCCCTCCCCGTTCTCCCAACTCCACCCTCTCTCCCACCATGGCCTCCGACACAGAGCCACTGGTCTATTCCCTGTGGACGCGATCGCTCATCGTACGCCCGCTTCTACCTCTACTCGTTCCTCCCTCTCACTAATCCACTCTAGTCCGGTGCAATCGCAGGCCTCACAGTCGACTGCTCCCTCTACCCCCTCGACACCATCAAAACCCGCCTCCAAAAAGCACGCGACCACGCCGCACCACCCCAGGCCTCACGCTTGACCCTACGCCAAACCATCCGCGGCATCTACGCCGGACTCCCCTCCGTACTCTTCGGCTCCGCCCCCTCCGCAGCGTCTTTCTTCATCGTTTACGACGGCGTCAAGCGCTCCCTCCTCCCCCGGTCCTCCTCTCACGCACAAAATCCCTCCCGCTCACATGTCATCATCACACACTCTCTTGCGTCGTCGCTCGGCGAGATCGCAGCGTGTGCGGTTCGCGTCCCCACGGAAGTTATCAAGCAGCGCGCTCAAGCGGGTTTGTTCGGCGGGTCGAGTCTGGCTGCGTTGAAGGATATTCTGGCACTGCGCCATGCTGAGACTCCCAAAACTGCCTCTGGCACAGCTGCACAACCAGTAGTACCTGCGCCCCGGGGCTACGGAGCAGTGATTCGAGAATTGTACCGCGGCGCGGGGATCACCATCGCGCGCGAGATCCCGTTTACCGTCCTCCAGTTCACGATGTGGGAATCCATGAAGGAGACATACGCACAACGGTACCTACGCTCTGAGACCGGCTCCGTAATAGACAGTCAAGTGCCCGCCTCTACGAGTGCCATGTTCGGCAGCGTCGCCGGCTCCATTGCCGCGGGACTGACTACGCCGCTGGACGTCATCAAAACCCGAGTCATGCTTGCTCGCCGCGGAGACGGCGGCTCGAACGCGCCGGTCCGTGTTAAGGAAGTCGTTCGCGGCATTGCGCAGGAAGGCTTTGGTGCCTTCTGGCGTGGTATCGGGCCTCGCGTGGCCTGGATTGGGATTGGAGGTGCTGTGTTTTTAGGTAGCTACCAGTGGGCGTCGAATACGTTGGAGGGCCTGAGGGAGACGCAGCAGGAGTAATGCTGGGTGAGTTTTGTATAGTATGAGACGTTTTAGAGGATATAGATCTGGCATAGAGTTATGATGCTGTCGTTGAGTGTGGGTGTCCACCTTTGGTTCAGGTCAGGCACTTGAGTAAGCCGAATCATCCTACGAACCGACCTTCCCCTCATCAGCTTATTCTCTCTATCTCCCCTCCGTCTCCTTTTCTCTTCGCTTTCTGCGTGTTCTTCCTCCTTGTCCACACATTCCCTCGATATCGTTCGGGTCGTCACCTGGGTCACCAATGTGACGTCGCCCTCCCCCCACGCTCTCCAGCAAGTGATCGGCCTTGATTCACTCCGCATCTCCGCAATAATCTCTCTTCGAACGCACGTTAACTGCATGCATGGCTCGCAAACTGAGCCACCAGAGGGTCACCTATGGTTGGTCCTATCCCTCTCCTCTCGTCTGCTTCCTATCTCTGACAGCCCCTAGTACTCCCTCTGCCTGATGCCCCCGGTGGGCACCGGCTGGGAGTCAATGGCCTGACCGTCGACCCTCAAAACTCCATCCTGTAAGTCCTGTCTCACTTTCCCTGCGACCGCCCCAGCACGAGGGTTGCACAGCGTCTGACCCGAGACAATCCCCAGGTATTCCGCTGGCCGCGACGGTGTCATCTGTTCCTGGGACCTCGACCTGCCCCTGTCCTCCTCCTCCACCTCCGCCCCCCTCTCGTCTACCGGCCCGAGCGCGACCCGGTTCAAAACCCAGGTGCAGGCTCACAGCCACTGGATCAATGATATTGTCTTGACACAGGGCAACTCCGCCCTCGTCTCCGCCTCGTCCGACACCACCGTGCGACTATGGCGGCCACACTCCGAATCCACCGAGGTGCCTGAGCGCATCGGTAAGCATTCCGATTATGTCAAGGCACTGGCTAGTCCCGGCAGCCAGGCGACATGGGTGGCGTCGGGTGGTCTGGACCATAAGCTCTACCTGTGGGATCTCAATGGGGGCGGAGAGATCCTCAATATCGATGCCGGCGGGGAAGATGCTACCGAGAAAGGCTCCGTCTACGCCCTGGGGGCTGTCTCTTCTGTTCTCGCCAGTGGCGGGCCAGAGAATGTGGTACGGGTATGGGATCCCAAGTCGGGCAAGCTGGTCACCAAATTCGTTGGCCACACGGATAACGTTCGCGACATCCTCATCAACGAGGCTGGGGATACGATCATGACGGCCTCGTCCGATCAAACCATTAAGGTCTGGTCGCTCACGGCTGGCCGATGCATGAACACTCTCACCATGCACAATGACAGCGTCTGGTCGCTCTATTCAGACCACCCGGATCTCGCGGTTTTCTACTCCAGCGATCGTTCTGGTCTGGTCGCCAAGACCGATGTACGAGGCTCTCCGGATGTCGAGCACGGGACGTGTGTCGCTGCGCTGCAGGAACACGAGGGTGTTGTTAAGGTAGTGGCCGCCGGCGACTACATCTGGACTGCTACCCCGAAATCGAGCATTCATCGTTGGGACAACGTTGATACTACCCTCGAGATTGACGCGCCGCGTGACCCAGCGCGAACAATTGACTCGGCCGCTGCTGCGCCGGTAGACGAGTCCGGTAAAGCAGCACCCAAGAAAATTCCCTTTGACGCGGTCCTACAATTATCAGCAACATCGGCACTACTAGGCAGCACCTCACCTGGGAGTGGACAATCCTCAGAGCCGGGTTTGGAGGAAGGGTTGGGTTTGACGATTCCTGTCCACTCGCTTCCACAAGAGACTATCGAGGGACAGCACGGGTTGATCAAATGTTTGATGTTGAATGATCGGAAGCGCACCCTGACACAAGATTCGGCGGGCGAGGTGGTGCTGTGGGATCTACTCAAGTGCGTTCCGGTGCAAACATTTGGTAAGACACATATCGACGACGTTGCCACTGAAATAAACACCACCGAAAGCATCGCCCACTGGTGCACGGTTGATATCCGCACAGGAAGGCTGTCGGTCATTCTGGAGCCCAATCGCTGCTTCGATGCCGAGGTGTACGCTGACGAGGCCGACTTGCCTCCGTCTGATATATCGCAGTTCCGAGACGATCAAAGAAGTATGTCCCCTGTCTTTCCCCGTTATATCAAATACTAACAAAGGCCAGTCAACCTTGGCAAATGGGTCTTGCGCTGGCTGTTTGCTCCGTTGGTGGATGAAGAAATCGAACGGGACCGTGAATTCCGTCAATCCGCCGTGGCCAAGGCAGAAGAATTCGCCCGAGTCAATCCGCTCAGTACATCGGCACCTAGCGATGATATTCCTCGCAGCGTCGGCATCCCGATCTCTCGCGATCTTTCAATGACGACTTTGACGGGCCAGACTACGGCCTCGCGCTCGGGCTCTGACTTCCCGGGCAGCCCTAATACGGGAATTGGCATTCACATTGGGACACCGTCGATAAACTACCTCAGTACTTCGGCTCAGAGTACCACTTCCCCATTTCCCATGTTGGATGCAGATACACCAGAACATCCGCACACCGATGCTCCCCCGTCTTCCTATCCTGACAAGAACGGCGACTATTTTTCATTAAAAACCCCTGCAGATGCTGACAGGACTCCCAACCCCATGTCCCCCTCTGAAGCAGCATCACCGGGCGTGCCCCAGTCACCAGCTGAACCTGACAAGGAAGAACGCAAGAAGGGGTCTTTGTTTGGGAAGAAATTCTTCCCCAAGAAACTGGTCCGCACCTCCACAGACACGAAGCCTCCGCTCCTAGAGGAGAAACCAGAAGAGACGGAAGTCTCTTCAGTCAAGGAAGAAAAGGTCTACGAGGCCAATCTTAGTGGCGTGGTTGATCGCATTCGCCACGAGTACGAGGAGTTCATCTCTGCCCATCCAGACCGAGACCTGGAATCGGCCATCACGCCCAGCCCCGAGAATGAAACACCGCGACTCGATATTCCTTCGCGGACTGCTGTCTTCATTCAGGAAGAAACGGGGGATACCGCCGTGGCTGCGGATCTCTACCGAGGCAGCGTGGGCCGTATCGAACAAGATATTGCACGCTTGCAGAAGTCGATTCCTCACTGGCTTGGTGAGCTTCTTCTGAAGGTATGTAGTCACAACTTGCGCTTTGTGTGTTTCTGTGATGTCTGACTTGTGTGTATAGAACCAAATCCCCTTCAAGGAACAGGTCAAGATCGCTTTTGTTTTGAAGCCGTACGACGATCTTCTACCTCCGATTGCCAAGGCTGAGCCGTAAGTTCCAAGCCGAAGTGATGGGTTCCTGCAACACCAAACACTAACATGCTGTTGTTTACTGCTAGGCCTACTCCCAATGGCGGCCAGAGTCCTAGTGCCAACGGAACTACCAACAACAATAATCGACTGAACGCCAACCGCATGCTTCGAGCTAAAAAGGTGCTGGCTTATGTGGCCGAGCGCATCGATCCTGCCAATCCCGACGAGCCTGAGGAATCGAGGATGCCTCCGGAAGAGTACCTCGAGCTGTATTGTCAGAAGCAGGTTAGAACTACGTTTCCCCTCACCGTCGCGATCCTTGTTGCTAATTTGGCCACTAGATTTGTCCCCCGAACATGACTCTGGCAACCATCCGCACTCACCTCTGGCGCAGCTCGGGCGATATGATTCTCTACTACAAGGCGAACGGCAAGAAGGAGATCAAGCCACCCAAGTCCTTGCTCGGCGTCGATGAAACCCACCTGACCGTCGATGGTGCCGGCACAGTTAATGGCGAAAGCAGCGTCCCCGCTGGCAGCATCCATTCCACGGCCAACTCGGGGTCCGCGGAGGAGACCACCACTACTTAAGCCACCCGTGATCCCGTTTACCAGTTTTTTTTCCTTTTGGGGTTTGGATTTCTTCTTCTCTGACAATGCTTTGTTTCTGTTTCTGGGTCATCAGCTGAGCTGTGCCTGCGATTCTGTTTCTATCTAGCGGTCATATGGTACCGGTACATATGGGGATGATGTCTGATATGTCTTTTGCTTTTCTTTTCGCTGTGATTGCTTCGAGCCTACGGTGTGGTGCCGTCTTGTGTGCATTTTGTACGTAGACTCCCAGATACCAATGTCACACTCTTTCTTTTACTCTTTGACAGCTGTCGGTGATTGCTGCAGTATAATTCCCGCTGCTCCGCTCCCGCGCGTGGCCTTAAAATAGGCCCCCGCAACCGCGGCCTCAGACTGGTCGGTGCCTGCAGGGGTATAGATCCAGCGGTGTATACTCCAACCACCAGCAGCGGTATCTCCCACCTTGGGAGGACCTACTTCTCTCACAGGGACTGAGGTCCATTCCCACACTGACTCGACGATACGAGCCCCTCCCACCGAATCACTCTGCACCATGGCCAATCTCGGCGTGTGAATGGGCGTTACACAGTATCCGGCGTGTTACACAAACCTGCACCCTCCTCTTTCCGGCTATCTGGACTGCAGATCCTGCATGTTTTCTGCTTCCACGTTATCGAGGCATCCATTCAGCGGCCTCGTGGTTGCGCTACGTCTGCCGTCAGATCCGCTGCCCGGAGATATAAGATGCTCTACTGCTGCCAATGCGGGTTCCCGTCTCCTCCTATGCCAGAACCGATTCCTGGCCGCTACAATTTGACATCCATCCCGCCATGATATGGGATTTCTACGATGGAAAGACCCTGTTCATCACTGGAGGTACAGGGTTCCTGGGCACGGCTGTGCTCTGTCGGCTCTTGAGTTGCTCGTCGCCGAAACGGGTGTACTTACTCTGTCGCGGAGGCTCGGAGTAAGTACAATTTCAGGAGTTACTAGAAATACAGACCCAAGATTAACCAGACATTCCATGCTCAGAAAGGCAAAGGCAAAATGGTCGGCCATGCTCCCCGCCTCGCAGGTCACAGCGCTTCTCCAAAACTCCAGCGTCACGATCCTCGACGGCGAACTAGGTGACACGGCAACCATGGATCTCTCCGAGGAGACGCTCCAGCTCCTGAAAAACACCGTACACATCGTCATCCACGCAGCCAGCGCTGTGAACCTTGGTTCCTCCCTTCGAGAAATGTCCTACACAGACATGGCGCCCAGCCTGTGTCTGATCCGCTACGCCCTCAAATTCCCCAATCTCGAGCGCTTTGTATTCGTATCGACAGCGTACGCAAATGCCCATCTCCGCAAGTGGTGCACCTCATCGGATGTCCCCGTCGAGGAAAAGATATATCCCCTCGACGGCGAGAAAGAAGACTACTACGCCAGTGCCGTGCAAGCGTGGGACCAGGTGCAGCGAACGGGTTCGTCCGATGAATACGAAGCGCACGATTTTCCGTGGCCCTACGGGTACGGCAAACATCTCAGCGAGAGACTTCTGCTGCACAAGGCATCGGAGCGTGACGCACTGGACAAGCTACTGATCATCAGACCGTCGCTCATCGGCCCAGCGGAGGAATTTCCGGTCCCCGGTTTTGCGAGTCCACATGCCATGTCCTCGACCAGACTGGCTGCCGCATATATGCTGCACCCGGGCCGGAGAATCACGCTCGCGACGCGGTGCAAGGATCCGCATACGGAATCTACGATTGACGAAGTCCCCGTCGACGTCGTGGTGGATCGTCTTCTTGTGCACGCTGCCCTCGGCACGGCGGGGTGCGTGCACGCCGTCAGCGGAGAAAAAGGTCGACAGAGTGTCGAGGACTGGTGGCAAGCCCTGAATAAAGAGAGACGGCTGCCGTGGAGCTTGAAGCTGGTGTGGGATTCAGAGGACTGGCATTCGCCTGCTCTGCACCGCTCGGAGAGGATCTTCAAGATCTTTGGGGCGTCGTATGCTTTTTCAGAGGAGAAGACTGTGCAAGCGGTTCGGAAACTGGGCGGGATTGATACAAATGAAAAGACGCGTCTGGTTTTGTTCAAGGATACTTCTTCCGGGCCCTTTTCTTTGGCTTCGAGACGTGGGCATATCTATCCTGTTGCGGTGCAGATGGCGAAGAAGAAAAATTGGCCGGCTTGTTCGGTGAGGCTGCTTTGTCGAAAGGGCAAGACGGCCGCGGCGTAGTTGATTGTTCTTCGTGGGCACGTATACGAGTTGGTAGTCTTGTGGGAGACTGTCTTTCCTCCCTTTGGCTTCTGTGGAAGATAATTATTGCTTCTGCTGTTCATGTCTGGCTAGCGCTTCCTATTATTGATAGCAATGCCAGAAGAGGCGCGGTTTCTTGGGAATATGCGAAAAGTCTATAAATCAGAGGTTGGGCCATATGACCATTTAAAAGACCGCACATATGTTCCTCAATCCTTGGGGATGGCATATCTATCTAGACAGTGAACGAGCCCTGTTCGCGAATATCCCTACTCGAGCTGCCCACGTACACCTTGAAAGTGCCGCTGGGCACTACCCAGGACTTCTGGTTCACATCCCAGTAGGCGACGTCGCGACGGGTGAGCTCAAAGGTGGCAGTTCCCTGCTGGCCAGGAGCGAGCGGCAACTTCTGGAATCCTCTTAGCTGCTTGGGAGGCGTCAAGGGCGCGCTACTAGGAAGCCCGATATAGAGCTGGGCAACTTCGGCGCCGGCGACAGGACCACTGTTCGTAACGTTGACGGAAATGGAACCGACGCTAAGGAAACTTTCCTGGTGACCTCCAGGAACGATGGAGCCCGAAATGACACCGTGTGTGGCGTTGACTTGGACCTTGAGCTGTGAGTAAGTGAAGTTGGTGTATGCTAGAATTTATCATAAACATTAATGTCTTATTCCTTTCACTTTTTCTTCTCGGTATGCGAATGGGGTTTGGAAGCGAAAGCCCTCCCAAAAACAACAAAGAGAAACACTTACTCAAGCCGTAGCCGAATTCGTAGCGAGGAGTGATGTTGTTTTCATCGAAATGGCGGTAGTCAATGAAGAGACCCTCGGTAAAGTTGTCTTGCAGAGATGTCGTCCAGTTGGTGCCGTAGTCACTAAACTGCTTGGCTATGGAATAAGGCAGCTTGCCGTTCGGGGAGGTAGAGCCGTACAAGACATCGACGAGCGCGTTACCGCTCTCCTGGCCGGGAACACCGGGCCAGACGACGGCTTTGACGTTGGGTTGCGCCAGAATGGTTTCCAGAATGACGGGGCCAACACTGTGACAGACAACAATGACGTTCTTGTTTACCCCCGCCACAGCCTGGACGAGTTGGTTGCCATTGTGCCAGGGGTCGAGGTTGTTGCGGTCACCGGCGTTGCCTTCCACGGTGATATAACTGTTTAGTAGCCCGGGTTAGACCAGAAAACTATGCGTCGATAATGTTCTGTAACGGAACTTACCCTTCACCAGAGTCCGAGTTGATGAAGACAATGGCGGTATCGGCGGCAGCGGCAGCCGAAGCAGCGGGGCCCGCGTCGTCGGTAGTGCTGGTAACGATAGTAGTGCCGCCAGCGGTTGCCTGAGTCTTAATGGCATCGAGAGGGCCGACAAGATACTATTTCTGTTAGCTGGTGTCTCGCCACGCTTTCCGGATTGGGGGGCCAGCCACCCACCGGGAACTGCGCAGTACCACTCCCCCAACCCATGGCAAGAGTGCCATTGTCACAGCCACGGTCAATGCAAGCATTAGGCCCGGCAGGGTTGACAATGGCGTCTGATCCTATAATCGCTAGACTTTTGGGCTTACTCAGAGGCAGAATATTGTCGTCGTTCTTCAGCAAAACAATAGAGTCGCGGGCCACCGCTCTTGCGACGATCTTGTGGTCGGCCGTCACATCCACGTTGGCCTGACCACCATTCCAGGAGCTGAAGGCTACCGGGGGGTAATTCTGATCCTGACCAAGCAAGTACCACGAGGCAAGGATACGAGTCGTCATGTCATCAAGCCGGGACTCGAGGACTTCCCCTTTAGTGATGGCGTCTGTGAGATTAGGGCCCCAGAAGATGCTACCAGGAGGGACATTGAAGTCACTGCCGGGCATAGTCATGTCCAGGCCGGAGTTGGCGCTGTTGACCGTGGTGTGCTGCGCATTCCAATCGCTCATGATGTAGCCGCGGAACCCTAGCTCGGTCTTCATGATGCCGTTGAGCAGATCATCACTCTCACAGGCCCACTGCTCGTTGAACATGTTGTAAGAGCACATAACCGAAGCCACGTTGGCTTTGACGGCGTTCACGAAGGGCCAGAGGTAGAGCTCGTGCAGAGTGCGGTCGTCAATATTTGAACTGATGGTGTTGCGATTGTACTCTTGCTCATTGCCGATGATGTGCTGGATGGGAAAAAGATCAGCTCGTTGGGTCAACCGATCCAAGGGAAACAATCAGCGGACCTTAGCGCAGGCTTGAACGCCAGAGCTTTGCATGCCCTGAATGGCCTCTTCCATGGCTACACCACTGAGATAGGGGTCGTTCGAGAAACCCTCCCAGATTCTTCCGCCGTCGGGGATCTTGCCTAGAGGCCCAGCCACGGGTCCGAGCTGCACATTGACCCCGAGGCCCTTGGCTTCGGCACCCATGGCGACCCCGCGAGCGTGAATAAGAGCTCGATCCCATGTCGCACCGGCGTTGATTCCTGCGGGGAAGGCAGTCACCGGGTTGGCGAAGCGAATTCCCACAGGAGAGTCTTGCAAACACAGTGAGGGATAGTCGATGGAGCTTGGCTGTAAGGTATTGCCAACACATGGGCCGCGCATCCATTCCACTCCCGTGACGATGCCGACTTTTTCAGTCTGGTTCAACTTGCTGAGGGCTGCCCGAGCCTTGTCATAGGCGGCGTCCCATTCTGATCCGCCTGTGCTAGATGCCTGGGCAATCACGACAGCTGCCAGTAGGGTCAGAAAAGTCTGCTGCATGATGAGGGTCGCGCTGGGTGCTCACGAATCTAGGCCATTTCTTCAGGCGTGGGCGACCCTCATTATATGGGCATTCCAGTACAGGGGGCTCCCCCTGGCCTGGTTGTCCTGATTCTTTAATTCTCCATTGCGGATGAACATGGGCTTGGCTGTGGAATGAGCTCAAAAGTCCCATAACAAGGACACCGCGGGCTGGACTGGCTATTTAGCATTGGTGTCTGTGCACTAGCCGGCAATTTCACCCAACGTGGCTCCAGCCGACCAGAAACATTTCACATATTTGTGGGCGGGTCTAGTTCTCGCCCACGGTGTATGGTGGTAGATGGTGTCAAGAAAATGAATCTATTCGCACGATAGTAGTTTGGATGAATGGAGGGGGTATAGACTTTCGATAATGCTTCATCCAATTAGCCTTGATTGTGTACCATGGTAGCTTCCAAATTCTTGACATGGGGCTGAACCACGTATACATATTAGCAAGGGACAAGGTGATTATCCCGCACCAGTCCAACTTGTTAACCTGAATGAATCAAGGGTCTGTTTTAGTTAGACTTTTTGTTCGGCAAATTATTAATTATTCAACTAACAACTTCCCGGGGCATTAGCGTCCTTGGTCAGACAAGCTTAAAACTGCAACTCCGGTTTCAGAGCGTCGGCACTTCACCACACTTCTCCATATATTTTTCTCCATGCAGTCCCACTGGCAAACATAGATTGGAAGCCAGACTGCCACACCATCCTGGTATGGCGTAGAATGGTATTTCAATTGTGAGTTTGGTTGTACAGCCAATTCCATTCAATGTTACGGGTAACTATCGTAACTCTATCCCCGCACTTAGCGTTCGATGGGGGGAAGTTACCATTGAAAGTTATGAATCAAGTGCCGATTAATCTCCGTTACTCCGCGTTGATTTAACCGTCGGAGTAGATTTCCAATCAATTGGACATTTTGTTCTACACGACGAGCCTCGACTCCAGGTCTACTAGTTAAACACGGCAGAATTGTAACTTTACGGCTATAGCCTGCTAGATATAAAAGGATGGCAATCCCCCTACATTTGTTATTAAGCTTGATATTGGTCCAGTCTCACACCTCAAAATGGCTATCCTTCAGGCACTCAAAGTAGCAGGCGCTCTGTCCCTTGCTCTGCCCTCTGCCGCCTTGGCCCAACCAAAGCTCTCGAAGAAGGGACCTGCCTCGAGTTACTTGACCTCGGCCGATGGAGCTTATAATCTCACCTCCTACGCTGCCCCAGTCCTGGGAACGGGTGACAGCCCGACCTGGTCCCTGGCGGTCGACGATACCCGCAGCGGCCACAAGCAACAGATGGTAGGATTTGGTGCTGCGGTGACAGATGCAACAATCACCGTTTTTTCAGCTTTGTCAGAGGCCCAGAGGTCGGCCCTCTTCACTGAATTGCTCACAACTGACGGCCCGGAAGCCGTGGGAATGAGTTTGATGCGCCATTCAATTGGAGCTTCCGACCTGTCTTCTTACGAGTACTCCTACGATCAAACGCCCAACAATATTTCTCCTGACCCAAGGGTGGCCAACTTTAGTCTTGAAGACCCTGGAAATCACATGGTGAACATGATTGCTGAGTTCAAAAAATATAACCCTGACCTCAGACTGCTGGGATCGGTCTGGAGTCCTCCCGGTTGGATGAAGAACAACCATGTTCAGGATGGCAATGCAACCGACAATACTTTCAACATGAAGTGGGCAGGTTCCTATGCCGAATATTTCGTCAAATACATTCAAGCCTTTAGAAAGAAGGGAGTCCAGGTGGACGCCATTACCATCCAGAATGAACCTCTGAATAGCAACCCGGGCTATCCTACCATGTATCTGCCCGCGAACGAGTCGACCGCGATCATTCAGCATCATGTGGGACCTTCATTGAAGAGCGCTGGTCTGAATACCGAGATCTGGGCTTACGACCACAACACAGGTGAGATGGCTCGGAGTGGCTCTGTTAGTGACATATTGAGCTAAAAACTGACCAAAATATCATAGATGTGCCGGAATACCCGCAGACTGTTCTAGACGGTGCCGGTGACTACGTTAACAACGTTGCATGGCATTGCTACGCGACCAACAACACATGGGATGTCCTGACTCAGTTCCACAAAAAGAACCCCAAGGCGACGCAGTACATGACTGAGTGTTGGACATCTCCCTATACGTCGTGGTACCAAGTTCCCTACTTTGTCATGGGGTATGTAGCTCAACTCCTACCACAATCAACTTTTTTTTTCTGACCTTTTCTCATTACAGGCCGATTCAGAACTGGGCAGTTGGCGCTATCGCATGGACGCTCGGAACAACATTCGACTACAATCCCCACCTTCCTGGCGGATGCAATTCCTGCCGCGGTTTCATCGAAGTCGACCCGGCCACAGGCACCTACAAGAAGACCACGGATTACTACATGATGGGCCAGTTCTCCAAGTTTGTACCACGGGGTGCCATTGCACTCTCCACATCGGCCAGCTTCGATGTCGAAATCGAAGAGAAAATCGCGACGGCCGCGTTCTTGAACCCCGACCACTCGAGGACCGTGGTGATCTATAATGGCTTCCCGCAGGATGGAAACGCCACCGTTAACTTTGCAAGTGGAGAGTCCTGGACTGGCCAAGTCTACCAAAAGTCTGTGGTTACTTGGACTTTGCCGCCTGCGCAGGATTAAGGGAACTGTTTTCTGATAGTATGCCCTATGAGGAAGATCGCTTGGAATGCCATTGGTAGTTCGATAATGGCAGTAGCGAAGTCAGTCCATGTTAAATTGAGACTTTGCTAGATTGCGACAACTGACTAACCCATCCTGAATCATCTGTATACATCTATCGTTCTAGATAAAAGAGCAAGAGCTAAGTACATTGCCATTGATCACCTGGAAACCCATTCAGCCAAATTTTTCATGCGAAGCTAGAGATCTCAGTATGTACGAGGCGATAAATGCCGCAAAAAAGGCCCTCTGTCACCGGACTCTGCTTAGATAGTGACATGTTTGGTCAAGAAAGGCATGATATAGTCCCTTTTTCCTAGTGGCACCCCCTCCTTTCGCATGATGGCATAGGCCATGTTAACATGGAAGAGGACGTTCGGGATGCAAATGCCATACGCCATTGCGGCGCCGGTCATTTCGGTTTCCAATGAAGGCAAAAAAGTCATCTCAGATTGGTCGCCACGCTTATTGACTTCATCCTTGTCGGCGTCGTTGAGGGCTTTCAACACCTGGTCGATGCGTTGATACATTTCGGCGAACGAAGAGAAATTGTCCTCATAGTTGATTTTCTCGCGACCGGTCAGTCGTGCTACCATCATCTCTGAAAATCTGGTGACGGTGTAGACTTGGAAGGTCAAGGGCTTCATGTCGTCGGCCAGTCGGGCGGCGAGTAAAGCGTTGGCATTGGGTTGCTTCTCGCCTATGTGGAGAATGTTCGCCAAGGCCTCCAAGGCGCCTTTGGCCGTGAGAATGGTTCCATCGTAAATTGAAGAGGCCATGCTGGTGTAGTCTGTATGGGAAAAGAACAGGGTTGCTTCTTTGTATTTGTTTGTCTCAGTTGGGCCCGGCGATTACAAAGATTCATGCCCCGCATCGGAGGTATCCTCGCCTTTTGCCACCGCGAGTCTAGTTATAACTAGCAACTTAACTAGAGTCATGTCAGCGAATCCTAAATTGATCGAGTATCACTATGAATTGGGTGGCTTTGAGCGGCAGATCACCACGAAGAGTCCTGAAGCCCAGATCTGGTTCAACCGCGGTCTGACATGGACCTATTCCTTCAACCACCAGGAGGCGGTGGCCTGCTTTGAGAGAGCCCTTGCGCTTGATGGCGCCTGTGCCATGGCCCATTGGGGTCTGGCATATGCCCTCGGCCCGAACTATAATCAGTCGTGGGAGTTCTTCGGCGAACAACTCGAAGACGTGGCCAGCCGCACCTATAAAGCCTCGCGCAAGGCACAGGCTCTCGCCAGTAGCGTGACACCGGTCGAGCAGGTGCTCATCACCGCTTTGCAGGCTCGCTACCAGAGCGAACAACCGGCTACTATGGAGCAGTATGCGTCGCAGAATCGCGCCTACGCTGAAGCAATGGAAGCTGTGTATCATGTCTTTGGCGATGATCTCGACGTGGCAACTCTGTATGCAGATGCCCTGGTCAACTTGAACCCCTGGAAGCTCTGGAATCTGGAAACCGGGGAGCCCAACCCAGGGACGCGGACGCTCGATGCCAAAGCTGTGCTGGAGAAGGCTCTCACCCACAAGGATGCCTTTCAGCACCCGGGTCTCCTGCACGTATACATTCATTTGATCGAAATGTCGCCAACACCGGAACTGGGCCTGCAAGCAGCCGACCAGCTGCGCGAGCTGGTCCCAGATAGTGGCCATGTACACCACATGCCCTCGCACCTGGACTTGTTGGTTGGTGACTATCGAGGCGCCGTCCGGGCCAACCAGCATGCCACGCGTGCAGACGAGAAGTTCCTGGAACATAACGGCCCGTCGAATTTCTACACGGTCTATCGTATGCACAACTATCACACACTCATATATGCTGCGATGTTTGCGGGCCAGAAACAAGTTGCCCTAAGCGCGGCAGACCGGCTGGAGGCGACCCTCCCAAAAGAGCTACTCACTCCGATGGCAGACTGGCTCGAGATATTCATGAGCGTGCGGTCGCATGTTATGGTACGGTTCGGCATGTGGGACGAAATTATCGAAAGTTCGCTGCCTGATGATCAAGAACTGTACTGTGTCACGACTGCAACCGCCCACTATGCCAAGGGTGTCGCTTATGCCGCGACAGGGAATGTCGAGGCTGCAGAAAAGGAGCGTGAGAAATATAAAGAAGCACTGACGCGTGTTCCTGAGACCCGCCTGGATTTCCCTAACAAGTGTGTCGACCTCCTAGCCGTGGGGACGGCCATGCTGGACGGCGAGGTGGAGTACCGAAAAGGGAACCACGAGCAGGCGTTCGAGCACCTGCGCCGCGCAATCGAACTGGACGATGGGCTCGGATACAGTGAACCTTGGAGCTGGATGCAGCCTGCCCGCCATCCGTATGCGGCACTCCTGCTGGAACAGGGTCGTGTCCAAGAGGCAGCAGATGTATACCGAGCGGATCTGGGTCTGGACGGCACCTTGATTCGGGCACGTCAGCATCCGAACAATGTTTGGGCGCTGCAAGGGTACCATGAGTGTCTGGTGCGTCTGGAACGCACAGCTGAGGCTCGGGTAATTGAGCCGCAATTGAAGGTGGCTCTTGCCATCGCCGATGTCCCAGTGCAGTCATCGTGTTTCTGCCGGAAAGACACTTCGCAGGCCCCCGAGGCTGTGAAGGAGCTATTCAGCCGAAGCTCTTTGTGCTGTCAGTCCGGGAAGGAGTAAATTGTGGGGTGTATGGTAGAATATACAGCTTGAGGCAGGCACTATCTGTTTTATTCCAAGATATCTAGGCACAATTCTATGCTATGTCGCTTATATTTCCGTCGCTTTGAGGTTCAATGCCATATTTAACAAAACATCCATAAACTCGTTCTTCTCTTCGGTGTTCAATGTCATCTTCTCCCAGAACCGAGTTGATGCCGACGAGAAAAGTGGCCAGCGTAGTCGGCTAATCCCAATGGGGAAACCGCGATCCCCCGCGCATGTCGAGGCAAATGGTTCTTCTTAAGGACCTGTTTGTCGGTTTTGAGTGGAGGCCTATATTTTATTTCCTTTTGTTAAAGTACCATGGGTTCAATGGCCAAACCCCCCTTATCCTCCGGGCGTCCACGTCCCCTGCCTGACGTGGTTCAAATCGGATGCCACTCAATCCATCGATTGGGACCTGCAAGAACGACACACTGAATTTCTTGTCCGCAGCGGAGTACACGGAGTTGTCATCGCAGGTACCAATGGCGAAGCAGCCACTCTGATCCCGGAAGAAAAATCGAGATTGGTGCGCCTTACTCGGTCCACGGCGCAGAAGCTCGGTCGACCCGACCTACCCGTTACATGTGGTACATTTGGAGGATGCACGCAGGCCATTATTCAAGACACAAAATTGGCGGCTGAGTCCGGCGCGGACTTTGCTCTGGTGCTGGTGCCATCGTTCTTCCATTTCGCGTTGGATAGCGCTACAATCATCGACTTCTTTCAGGAGGTTGCCACAGCATCGCCGATTCCTCTCATCATCTATAATTTCCCCGGTGTCGCGGCTGGGCTCAATGTCAACTCAGAAATGTTGGAGACGCTGGGTGAGCATCCCAATATCGCGGCTGTGAAGCTGACGTGTGGGTCCATTGCGTCGGTTGCAAGAACAACGGCCAAGTTTGGACGAGCGCTAAGTGGAAGTCCTGACTTTGTGGCCATGGCTGGTCAAAGTGAGTGGTTGGTGCCGTGTCTGAGCGTTGGAGGTGCTGGTTGCATTACAGGTGTTGCAAATTTATACCCCAAGGTTTGGAGACGCCTTCTTGGGCAGTAATCCCGATTGCTGACTTCTTCATATACAGGCCTGCGTGGAACTGTACAATCTGTACACTTCTGGTCAGATTACCAAGGCAGAGCAACTGCAGCTTCAGGTAGCCGTTTCCGAGTGGGGATTTGGGAAAGAAGGCATCAGTGGGACAAAATGGGTTGTTGCGAAGTACCTTGGCTACCCAGAAGAGAGCGCTTGGTGCCGAAGGCCCTATCCAAAGTTTTTGAACGAGGAAAAACGTGCCTGGGTTGCCAAGAATGTGAAGGCGCTTGAGCAAGCAGAAGGTGAGCTGTAAAGATGAAGTTAAGAATTATGTTTATAGAGTATAAATGGATAGTTCACACAATGGCAAAAGCCCGATTGAAGGTCTCGTGCATCACTTCTCTGATGTCCATACGTTGTTGGTTCTCGTCTTGTCGGCGAATAACTTCTTGAAGAACTTCAGCCGTAATACCAGCATTTGAAGCAACATTCCCCATCTCTTTAATACATGATATTACCCACACGCGCTCGTCAAGATCTTCGGTCTCAACGCCTAGCATCATTAATGGCCATAACATGTTCACGGGCAACGACGACACAGATCCTGTGCAGTGTCTTGGTGTATTTATTGTTGGAATCTCATGGGGAGACGGTGTGCAGGGGCTTTCAACAATAAGCCGTGTTACTTTGCGAATCTCACTCATAGCGTTGAGAACATCTGTAGTGCGTGGTAAAGCTAGCGTGTAGAGTTTTAGCGTCGCCATCGGACGGCACATTGTGGTCAAACTTACTTTTGTAGGCAACACGATGCAGATGGATAAAGCTAGTAAAGAAATTTGCGTGTGCTAGTCTCATCATCCGCGTAGTGGTCTCTGCTAGTCGTGGAGAAAGAAGCGGTCCCAGCCGGCCGGCGACAGCATGATCCATCATGGGCGGGCGTTGCTGCCATAGGGCTTTGATATCGCGGCTGATCTCGGCCGCAATTAACATTACTTCTGTTTCGTCTTCAACTGTACCCCGGCGCCGATGCCAGAGGTCGATCTTCGAGATCCGGCCCATAAACAGTTGGACCTTTTGGAAGAAAAGGAAGGCTGGTCTCATGATAAAATCCTCGAGGGCGGCTTCTGCGTCATCATCAAGTGCGGAATCAATTTCCTCAATTGAGCTGTCTGGGGACCGGAGATCCGTGTTGATTGTGTTGTCATCTTCGTTAAGGAAAAGTCCCTCTCCTCCAACACCCGCAGCCCGAGCATCTAGTAGCCGAAGCCAAGATACAAGACGTTTTTCTGTAAAGAACGGATTAGCAAAAGTAGTCTTATACATTTTTGAGGGGGAAATACCTGTCACTCCCAGGGATTCAATATCCACCATCTGCAAAGCATTGAAACCATGTCGCAGATTTGCGTGCACATTAGAGACGTCTTTGGTGAGCAAGTCAATATATGATAGCAGAAATAAGACGGCTAGGATAGGCCGTAATTGCGAGACAAGAAGGCTTTTGTCGTTATTTATTTTTTCCAGATTCTCAGCCAATCTCTCTTTTGCCGTGCGGTAATATCGCGAGTAGGTCGCTGGCTCCAATGCACACGCAGACTCCAACTCCAGCGCCACAAATGCAATGACTCCGAACTTGACCATCTCTGAGCTTGAGGTCATCGATGTCAGCTCCTTCCGCATCCAAAGCCAGCGTGCACTCGTTTCCACGGTGGCTAGGATTGGCGGTGCGGCCGAGTGAGCAAAATAATCCGCTAGCTGAGACTCGCTCCATCCGATTGAGAAGCGTGCCGACAGCGTTGAGGATTCAAGGTTGTTCTTTGAACGGCGTTCGACGAGAGCTCCGGTACTTGTCGCAGAGTTTGATAGTGGTGGTCCCAATGGAGCTGGGATTGGAAGCGACATCTCGGGCCAAGACGCCAGATCTTCCGAGGTATTCATGTCCACGGTGTCCCAATTTGGTGACAAGTTTGATGAGAGGTCGTCCCACATGAAACTTGCATAATTGAAGATCTTGTTGAAAGCCGAGTCATCGGCACTCTCCTGCAACGGGGTAGGTGTTGTATCAGGCGCGGGCGATGAGGTAGTGATGTTGACTTTTTCTTTATTCCTTCCGGACTCTGGCTGATCGCGGATATGGCGATGTGTTCGCACTTTCTTTTTGTTATTGGATCTTGGAGTCGTATCTTGCTGCCACGAGCAGTCTAGCCGCAGCCTCTTGCAGTGGCTACAATTCGGATGCTGTTCATCGCATCGGACTTTCCGACGCCTTTTTGTTGGGCTTAGCTTTGTACGAGCACTTGTAAAGGGCCCTAGCTCACCTGCATGTCAGACAGCCATTGCGCGTACGAGGACGATGGCGCCTGTCGAGATCGGTGCGCTGCTGCCATTGATGGAACATTGTCAATATTGCTTTCCACTTGTCGAGAGACAAAAATTCATCAACTTTGACAATAATCTGGGGGTTGATTCCCCTCATTCGGGAAGGCTCCGAAATTCAACCGGGGATCCCCACACGCTCCAAGGCCCACTTTACCGATGGAAACAGACAAGCTCATTCGCGGTATCGGCTAAATTCCTATTTGGGACAAGGGCGAGAACGGATCAGCTGCTGGGGCTAATAGCTACAGTAGCGACCGTTATTGCCTTCCATGTTCGTAAACATATAGATGCTCTTTCAAACTCTAATCATATGATGAGCTAATACAGATCTGGCTTAACTATCTGAGTTTAAAGAAATGTTCCAAATTTGAATGGTATGATATGGCGCTTTGTTGCTATATTCCTCAAGGCCTTCATCTGACACAGGGCGACACCAAGTAATGTGATAGTGTCAATAACAGCCGTCGGCTTAGAACCGGTATTCACTTGTTGTCAGGTTCGACAAAGGATCGTACCGATACAGATGCCAATTCTCGGCGACCCACCAATTGGCAACATATGCTGCATCCCAAAGCCAGTGGAGGACACTCTCGTCATATTGCACCCTCAGCGTGAGCGCTAGATCAGCTAAATTAAACCTCAAAATAGGATTGACCTCATTCGGGTCCTTTTGCAGATCAGAAAACCGCCACTCGACAGAATTCACCAGCGGAATGACGAGTCGCAATTCCGGGCGTGCAGCAGATCGAAGAGCTAGCCAGGACCCGCCCGTATTCATGACAGTAAAATGCCAGACCGAACGCTTGCCTTTTTTGCTAATCTGTCGTCGTATGAGTGATTGGCCTTCATATAGAGAGCGAATGTCAGTCGCGACGCGTTTGGTTTTCTTGTGGAGGGAGGATGACTCGATGAGCAGATCGATGATACTAGGCACGATCTGGTTGCTGGATACCGGGGCGTTGATTTGGACGGACGGTAGGTGGGGGTGGGCTAAGACGAGGGGAACGTGGAAGTTGCCGACATGAGGGTTGTCGTATGGGGTGATACCTCCGTCGTTTGGGAGAGACAGGCCACTAGACAAATTGTTAGTAATTGGATGGTTAGCCACATTTGTAGAGCACATACTGGTCGCCTGCCATGACCAGCAAGGTCTCATTGGCAACCCCTTCCTCCTTTAGGATCTCTAAGATCGTCTCCAGCCAGCCATCCACGAAACCAAGCGAGTTCAGGTATCGGTTTAGGTCATCGTTGTTTCTATTCGACGGTCCCATTATCTGCTCAAAGGTATTGGTCGGTAGGCCCCACGGATGATGCGTGGTTCCCGTCAGGTGAGTGAGAAAAAGGCGTTTGTGCTCGCGTTCCGCATCGACGATAGCATCACGTATGTACTCCCGAAGCTCTGTATCAGCGTAGCCGTAGTAATTAATCTCCCCAGACTGCAATGGGAAGTGTTTTGCACTAGGCTGTTCAATGATTTCCTTGGTCGTTTTGTCATTGTAGCCCAGCACCGGAGTTAACTTGTATTGGTTGTCGTAGGTGTCCGTCACGGACTGCATCCAGGCGGAGTGCCAGGGCCACCGAGTGAAATCGTCGGTCTCGCTCGTAATACCGTGTTGCCGGCTAAGCATATCGAAGACATGCGGCAGACATGGCTGATAAATGTGCTGCTGCCACTCGCGGTTGAAATCGACCACGAGGGGTGTCACACCGCACACAGTGCCCTCCACGCTCTTCAGCGTATAAGTGGAGGTCGTATAGGCATTCGTTGCACTGAGGCCACCGTAGGCCTTCCGACCGCCGTAAGAATTGTCGGTAAAACCGGTTGGAGAACCGGTCAAATACTCGGCAGTAGACGTAAGGTTTGCAATGCGTTGTTGGACATCATAGGGGATCTGCTGATTTTTATACGATTTCGCGATGCGCTCGAACATGAATGAGTCCTTTCGCAATGGGAAGACATCAGCCCGCGTGCTCTCGAGCTTCAGCAGCACCACATGCTTGATTTTGACATTGCCGTCCGCCAGCGCATTGTGGATCTGCTCAAGCACCGGCTCCTGTAAGTTGGATATATGGAGCGGGCTCTTCGATGCATCATAGTGAAGGGCGTGTGGATCAGATTTGTCCCAGTCCTCAAAGCCGGGGACCGGGTCTTTCGGCATCCAGCTCCATTTAGGTGGTGGATAGAGAGATGAAGCCTCATACAGATAGTTGTAGTGCTCTGGCATGCCTGTCACATCGACCGGGCTCAGCCGTTGGCCGACTCCTTCAAACACCACCACCAAGGGTAGAGTTCCGGACAGAAACAAATACACTGAGGACGACGGACGAAGACATCGGAGCAACAGAAACAGACTAGAGACACCGATGATAATGTTTCGGGTGAGAACCTTGTCTGTTAGTCTAGTGTTCACCCTCTTTGTTGGTCGCATGTTCATCCGTGGGTTGGTATTGGGCTCAGATAATAGATACTCCTCCTCATCTGAATCATCTGAAGAAGTAAGATAGTTATCCTCTAAGGATATATGTTCGTAGGCTCGAGGATCTGGGAGGGATTGAGCTTGGCTTCGATTTCGTAGCCGTTCCACAATCGTGTTCAAAGTCGTTCGCAGGCGAGATAGTAGCAATCTGAATGGCCACTCCCACGCCCGTAAGATTCCTCCGGTCGCTTCGTAAATAGGTCGCGCAGTGAACAGCGTTACTGTCCACAAAATTCCCTCGCTAATGAGGACTCCGGTTAACCCCGAGAGTAAGGTCCGCACGGCGGCGGCATCGCCAGTGAAGATCTTGGCTTGTCGCCAGTGTATCTCAGCCCCGATGAGTACATATACGGAGAAACTGGCAGCGGTCATGGCCGAAATGAGCATCCTATGTGTCAATATCGTTAGATTTTAAACGTATAGCGGCGTGGAAATGCGGCGCACGAGACCACCTACCCAAACGGGATAACCAAGGCGGAGAGCGCTACTAGGGGCCACCACCGAGATCGCTGGGTGATAACTCGCAGCAGTAGGAGGATCGCGGCATCCTGGAAGAAGAATGTAATACCCCAGAGGAGAAATTTGGATGGCGGCAACGAGTGCAGATGCACATAGAGATGGAGGACTTTCGCGCTGAGTAGAGACCAGAATGCGAGAGCATAGAAATAATACCGGGAGAAGTCCCAGAAGAAGTTCCGGGTCCAAACGGGTGCCACAAAGATTTGGTTGATCTGGTAGTTCATGTAGAACCAGACTGGACGGACACACTTCATCTTTCCATGTGGTGTCTCCAGGCAAGCGCCGGCATAGTCGAGCGAAAAGGGGCGTCATGGTGCTGTGCTTATTGAGGAAGGAGGTCACGCCATCATGCGAATTGCTTGATTTAGAAGCACAGAGCTTGTAGGGATGTGCTACGATACGTGGCTGAAGGCGTGATTTGCGACCCTCCCACCAAACCTGTATTGAGCGTATTCGCGTTCCAAACCACCCTTCTCGCGTCCTTTACGCCCGCATTGAAGAGAACGTCCAGCTTCGTGATCATGTGGGGTAGTCTTTTCAGCTGGATATCCCTCATTTTCTGGCCGCTAGCCGAGTATCCCATCCCACCCATCCAGCCGCAGTGGCGGCTGCGGCCTGAGAATCGGCCTTGGCAAGATATCATCACAGGCGTGTACGGAGTGCCGCCTTTACTCAAAATCCACGATCGAAATAGCAATGTGAAATGGAGCTGGGAACGCAGAGACGTCACGCAGAGTCTTCCCCCCAGCATCCAACGCTGTCTGTATAGCTCGGCGAACGATGCGACCGAAATAAAGTGGATGCGAAACGGTACCAGTATCGCTGCTATATACAGTGATCTCGTCCTGGTCATCAACCATACGCCGCACGATCCAGCGACCGACAAGCGGATTACATTCGCCGTCTGTAGGGACAATCAATTTCTAGGGAATGCTCACACCGTGGAGCCGTTACCTGGCGATCGACTTGCGGTAGCTACCACCGGACAGCGACCCTGGGATGGCATCCTCGTGTACAACATGAGCCAGGACAACTCCCTCATCGAGGACCCGCCGATTCTACAGAACATCACCGGTCTCCGCGCTATTCACGCCATGATCTGGGACGAACAGGAGCAGATGCTGTGGGCGACCGGCACGGACGCTGCGGCTGATGGTTCCGATGATATTCCTGCGTACGGAACGATTCAAGGCTATCCATTCAACGCGACGACAGGTGAGCTGCGTAAGGACGATACATATGTCTATAAGCTCCCACACGCATACCACCTCGACAGTGAATGGGGCCATGGGTACCCATGGTGGGCTGGGCCTCACGATCTGGTGCCTGTCCCGAATCAGCGCAAATTCCTTATCTCGAATGATATTGGTCTGCACGCCTTCGATATCGAGCTCGGGGAGTTCACCGGGGAGAATGAGGAGGTGGTAGAGAAATATATGAGAGGATTTGAGGTCACGACGCCCGATCGCCACGGATACAATCGCGACGGAGAATGGGAGGAACTGCCGCAGTCGGACCTTAAGAGCTTCAATCTCGCTCCGGATGGAAGCTTCATCTATGTGCAATCGCTGTGGCGGGCGTACCGCGGCTTCCATATCAGTTTGGTCGTCAATGGGCAGCGTCGAAAGATTAACATGGGCGATGAGATCTACCGATCGCGGTGGTTCGGAGATATTGATGGCTGGCCCAAACCAAAGACATAGTGTTTACTTGTGTCCTGGGAATGCTCTACTCCCGTGGAAAGATTACTCAAGATACTAGGAAAGGCTAACAAAGCGACAATGTGTTTGGCACCCAGACACCGGACAAGACCTAAGACACTTAGGCTTTTATATTGCCTATACGATTACGATAAATGCAAGCTCAGAAACATACCGCATCTTCGGAGCAGCTGTTCTAGATTTGGGACCCGAGGCAGTTATTGACCAAAAAATAACGAAATAGCGGTTCCAATTTGCTTGCGGTACGCAATTGTTACTAAAGACTAAGAGATTTAACTATTCGTTTAATGACCACTTTAAATCATATAAATAATCGCTCTATAAACGGGCAAGAATGACTGACTACTAGCGGTGCGTGATGCGCATAGTCTGCCCACTAGACCTGATATCTCTGACGAGAGTTTGGCCCCTTTTTCCGTTCGGTCTCTTTATGTGTGCAAAGCGGATACGGGGCACTCTTGAAGCGGAACTGGGGCACTCTTGTGAACCCCGAAGGAGCCCGCCCTGTCACCACTTATAGATGGGGCATTAAATTTCGCAACTTCCATCAATCCTTTACTTTTCGTGCTAACTAGTATACCGTAGCCGAAAACATAGTACAGTCTACTAGTACGTATGTACGTATCACGCGTGGCTCCAGAAATGGGGGACAAGGTACTAGAGCTTTAGGGTATTTAACACTAGCGAGGCTTAGGAATTTAGGTAGTTATTTAGGAAGATTTAGGCTTTCTTTGAGCTTTCGTTTTAGTAGCCAAGATAACATTGAAGCGGTTAAATAGCCAAATATGGCTGCACCCTGGCCATCCGTTGCGCCGAACAATCTTACGACCAGGCCCATCTTAGGGTCCTGTGAAGCGTAAACAATAACCATGGGGCTACTTCACGTAGTTAGGAAAAAGGGGGCCAATTCCTTCGAGATTTGAGATGGTTATCAATTGAGCGCTATGAAGACCCTCGAGATCCCCCAGAATTGCCTTGCAAAATTTTGGCCTCGTTGGCCCCTGTTTCTCTCTGTCCTACTACCGGGATGTATCAAACCAGCCAGCTGGGAGCCCTCGTACTAGGGATAATTTCCCTTGCTACAACTTTCTCCTATGCCGCTCCATCTGTTTCTCTCTCTCGGGTCGATCAAAATCAGCTTGACACTTTGCCACGCGTTCCTTATTTGAATGAGGAGGATGATCGCGCTGTTTACGGCGGGCAACCTAATTTGATCTCGGACGACCTTAATGTTTTTGACAAACGGAAAACCTCCTCCCGTACATTCTGGGCGGTAGCTTCCAGGACCGGTTGGAATATCAAGGTTACCAGACAGTTCAAATTTCAAAAAGACAAGTGGATTGGAGAGCTCACAAAGAGTGGGAATACGCTTGGACAAGGAGGACAGGGAACGGTTATAGATGGCAGCTGGCAGGTATTTGACGACCCCACAACAGACCTTACAAAAGCGGGGTTCTGCGAAAGTGTTCCTGTCCCTGTCGCTATAAAGATTTCAGAAGGGGACCAAGGGTATGAGTATGCTAAATTGCTTGCACGAGTCGATAGCGAATACGTTGTCAAACCCCAAATATGGGCAAAAACACCTACTGCTGGCAAGGTGGAATCGATCGTTGCTTTCGAGGAGTTAACTGAGAATGTTCAACAACTCCGAGATAGAGGCGGGCAGCCCGATTTTCGTTCACTGCTAAAAGCATTATTTCAAGGGTCGATAGCTGCGAAGAAACAGGGCCTTTTCAACATGGATATCAAGCTTAAAAATATCATGACCCTTGAATACGTAGGGGCACCAACGATATGGAAAATCATCGATTGGGATATGCTGGTTTACAAAGATCGGAAAGACGAAGATCCTGAAGAACCAGGCACTGGCTATATGGGAAGCTTTGGATATATGCCTCCAGGTAAGAAAGTGATATTTCTACTAATATCAATATGCTTGTTATGACCTAACAGTGGCAAAATCTAGAAATGGTCGCCTATCTACTAGACAAAAGAACCACGAAAAGTTGGACAGCTGAGAAAGCAGTTGTCTGGGATATTGGGATGACCCTCCTTTACTCCCAGGGTATTGGTGAATATGAAGGGACGGTGACTCCGGAAATGAAACAGCTTGCAAAAAAAATCTACTCCAACAACAAGAGACGCCCTCCAAGCAGCAAAAATGAGAAATGGATGTGGATAGCTTTGCTATCGGCATTGTCTGAGAGTAAATCCGTTCTGGAGGCGGGGGAAAACATACTCCCAACCCAGTTGCAAAGCGGCAAATCACTATCAAAATATCGAAGCTGGTTCGCGAAAGTCTTGTGCAAGGAAGACGACCGATACAACTTGGAAGATGCTTGGGACGCTCTAGTTGCATTAGACGTGGGGTTGAATTGAGCTAATGCGAGCCAAAGTATCGAGCCAACCAACTGTTTTGTCGACATCTATTGTGTCGTCTATAGACACTATCATCTGACTGCTAGAAGTAAATGGCGAAGTGGACAGGCTTCGGGCTAATGGGGAGATTCAATAACGATTTTGTCGTTTTCCCCACTCTCGCATTGCCTTGTTCATGTACTGGGCTAGTTCAGCATAGCAAGAGTAGTTACCAGGCAAGAATCTATCATTAGCCATAGCGTATGACTTGGCGGCGAGACAGAAAGAATTTTTAGAGCCTAAGACGATAGCTAGTGGATGACCCTGTGAATGCCCGCACCATTTTAATAACAGTGCCGACCGTTATCGTCTTCCATGTCGGGCAACATACAGAAGCTCTCCTAGGTAGGATGCAGATTTCAACATAATTGAGTTGTGACAGTGAACACTAAGACTACAATCCAATTGCATTGAGAAATTTCAAATCTTCCATTAGATAATAAAGCCCTCAATGACACACAATACGCTTTCTTCGTCAGTATAATCGCATTTTGAACTTGAACTGAAAGCGCCAAACTTACTCCTCCTCTCCGAGTATAGTGCATTCTTGACCCTCTAGTTCGGTCTCTGTTCCAGCCGACTGTTTGAGGAGTAAGCTCGTAAAATTCCCATTTGATTTATGGGAAACTTATTTACCTTTTCGAAAAGAATAAATTCGCCTGCTCTTACTATGATGGGAATGATAGTCCCGTTTTCCAAGACTCTGCCATCTCCAACCGCAAGAACCTCCCCCTTGAGGGCTTTCCGCGTTGTTCTGGTGTCAGGAATAAAAATTCCTCCTTTCGATTGTTCGTCCCCTATCAACTTTCGAATAATGATTTGGTCCCGGGCAGGTTTAAGATTCTGTCGCTTTTGTTAGGCACGGCTTTTATACATGTCCTAGGATATCTTGCTATATAGAGGAGCAAAAAACCCTCTAGATTTGTGATCTTGTAAGAAACCTACCATGTTGAGTTGAGTCTTGATTTAAAAATCGAGTTTGTGTAATCAAGTATGATCCCACTTCTCTATAGAGCGATTGCAGTTCGAATTTATAGGAATAAAAGTATAGGAGCCGTCCGTCGTTTAAAATCGATAAGGGGTTGATGCGCTAATTACAATAGCGGTGAAGATAAATTCCTGGCAAATGATGTAAATGTACAGTAGAGCCTTCGTGGCGGGAGGTTACGCAATAATGCTTGCTAGAGTTCCGGTAACTTTGGCCCACTTTAGGGTCTTAGCATTAGATTGATCACATGTAGTGGAAGTTGGAGTGATTATATGCATCCAAAACTTAAGTAATGATAGTATTGGTGAGGAGCAGAGCCGTCTTTGCTATTGGTTTATTCTATATCTAATGTCGTGATTAAGTAAGAGCGACAGCCTAGTAGAGTTCTTGCATTCATGCAAAGGTTTCCTTCTATCTGACAAAATCTGCCCCATGTGTGAATGAGACAGTCAACAAAGGGCTGGGCGGAGTTTCCAGTCGAGCTTGAGCCTTGATTGGGTTCCCAAACTTATAAGATGCAAATGGAATTTTGCATTGATCTAACTGTAAAGCTCTTCAATCTGAAGACTGTGGCTTTTTCAAGGAATGATATAGATGCGACAATCAAATACCTTGTGTTGTCTATATGACTATGTCTCATGCAAAGTGACATCAACGGATGACACAGTGGCAAAAATCCTCAGCTCTACTATCACACTACTCAGTGGTGCTAAAACAGGGTATCGCATGTGGTATGAATGGTGGAACCTGCCGCTGGTGTTTCTCTCACCTGCCACATTGATAAAATACCTTGACCGCTGCGATAATCGCTGACCTAGCTTTGGATGTTATGCACATTAAACCCTCTTCGAGGTATACTATGGCAACAGTTCTGGTTTTTCTTCCCTGATGTCTACACCTCTATTCATTCATAGAACCATCGCTATTGTATCATCGCAAGCCCATGCCGACTAAGGCAGCATTTTTTATACCTCCTGAGTCTCGGTTATTTAAAGTAGAAGTATTTAAGAGTGAAATATGCAATGAAAAAGTTAGTTCTACAAGAAATCGAGCAGGCGCTAATGCATAACCTCCCACCACAAAGGCTCACTGCTACTGTCATTACTTAAGTTTTGGATGCATATAATCACTCCAACTTCCACTACATGTGATCAATCTAATGCTAAGACCCTAAAGTGGGCCAAAGTTACTAGAAATTCTAGCAAGCATTAATGCGTAACCTCGCGCCACCAAGGCCCTACTGTACATTTACATCATTTGCCAGGAATTTTTCTTTACCGCTATTGTAATTAGCGCATCAACCCCTTGTCGATTTTGAACAAGGGACGGCTCCTATACTTTTATTCCTATAAATTCGAACTGCAATCGCTCTATAGAGAAGTGGGATCATACTTGATTACACAAACTCGATTTTTAAATCAAGACTCAACTCAACATGGTAGGTTTCTTACAAGATCACAATTACCAAATCTGAAAGGTTTTTGGTCCTCTATACAGCAAGATATCTCAGGAGACGCATAAAAGCCCTACCTAACATAAGTGATAGAATCTTAAACCTATCCGAGATCGCATAGTTGTTCGAAAGTCGGCAGAACACGGACGTCCGAAAGGAGTAATGGAAATTCCAGATCCCACGAAACGGGATACCCTCAAGGGGGAGGTTCTTGCGGTTGGAGGTGGTAAGGTCTTGGAAAACGGGACTATCATTCCCATCAGAGTGAAGGCAGGCGATATTATTCTTTTTGAAGAGGTAACTTCATCTTCCATACAGAAATGGGAATCTTATGAGCTTACTCGTCGAACAGTCCGCTGGAATAGTGGCCAACCTCTTTCGTGAAGAATATACTATACTCAAGGAGGAGGAGTAAGTCTAATACGCTTCACTCCGAATTAACAATTCAGGTGTACTGACTGGGAAAAAGCGTTTTGGATGTATCTCAGGGTTGATATCGGACCTTTGATCTTACCTTTCAATTCAATGGAATTCTAGTCCTGTTTTTCACTTCTGTGGCACAAGGAAATCCTCGTTGGAATATGCAGGACTGAGGTTTGGCCTACCCTGTTTTACAGTAGCAAGAATGGCGCGAAAAGCATCGCCGATCCACACACATTGGATATGAAAATTTTACCTTCAGCGAGTTTATGACCAAGAAAGTCGTGTTAATCCTCGGACTTTAAGAGTTACGAGAAAATAAGCGCTACAGTATCAATTCCTTAACAAGCTAAGCTAGATACTTGGCCACTAATCCAAGCTCAAAACAGCAAATCTAAAGCCAATAAGTAAAGCCGATATGTTTGCCAACAACCAGAATCAGTGGTCAGTCAATCGGTTGTGGAACCGGCCTCAGGCAGTGTAAGAGAACATTCTACTCGGCGCCGCTCAGACTTTCACCGTGGATCTGGTCCCGTCCGTTGAATTTTATCGCGGTGGCCCATTCTTTTATATCCCGCAAGAAGCGACGAGCTGTTCTAATTTGAGGAAAAAACTTCTTGAGATCTTTCTGAGACCAATCGACCGCTTTGACAGTAACAGCAGTGCCTTCAGATCGAACTCACTGGCCTTTTCTTTTGCAGCATCTCCTCAACGGCGGGTTTCAACGTCTCTGCCCAATAATCCCGGGGGGCTATAACCAAATCTTTTTCGGTCACACCACCAACTTTCTTGCGGTCGAATACAGGCTTCCACGCAATCTTATAGCAGATATATCTTAATGGACTGCTTCTCATATTTGGCACCTTCGTCCCATTTCGCCAATGGGAGAAAATCCAGCTGATCTGACTGTACCTGGTCCGTGACATAATCTGGACTCGGGCTAGGACAGAACAGGCAGGCAGGTGTGTGTCCAAAGTAACCGGGAGTGGGCGCATACTGGGAGATCTCATCCCATGGGTCGACTGTCCGGGTTTGATAAGCATCGTCACCGCAAAGGCTGTTGGCCATCGTAGATGTCTTCGGGTGGCACGAAGCCTAAGCAAAGCGAGCTATAATAGGTCAGCTAATAATCTCAGAGTCTAATGAGATCGAAGCTGTAGCATGATGATAAGTAGCGCCGAGGATCACTGAACGAAGCCTTACTGTCGAGTCTCACCTATTGTTGTGATATAACATATTGTACCGGAATCAATTCCTGCCCTCACGGAATTACCAAAATTGATTTTTGCATGCTGTATATAACTCCTTAAGTTTGCCGTCTATAGAATACAAATAACCTTCCTCTGAACTATAACGCTTATCAACGTAACGTTAGGGGGACGCTCGGGAAAGCGCCAGGCTCTTGTGAGTGGAGCAGCGACGAGATGGAAAAGAGGATTAATGACATATCACCAGTGTCCACCTTGTTGATAAGTTTGCATGAAACCTTCCAGACTGGAAGGTTCCAGTCCTCTAGTTCTAGACGCCTTGTACACAAAATTCATATTGGTGGTATTATAAATTGTCTGGTATAAAAACCTGGTAGATACAAAACAGGTCATTTACAGTCTAACAAATGAGATATAGCCAGTCATATAATTAGGGTTTGAAAGAGCGTCTTTATGTTTACGGCATGGACGACAATAACGATCGGCACTGCATGTTAGCATTTTTTAAGTGTTCATTCAAGAAATTAGAATACGGAATGTGTTGGTAGATAGTTCTTCTAAAGTATTCGTACAAAAATGTACATGTATTATAGCCCTCGCCATTCTGTCGTAGACTCTATCAATCGTATAATTGACTCTTGTGGTGGTCATTACTTATCCAAAGGCTATTTTAGGTGTTCCTATAAAGGCATATTAGTATCTTGATTACACTTCGTTAAGCAGCAAAAAACATACTTGAAAACAGTCCAGGACAGGAATCCTTGGCCCTGGGTGTAGCAGCCGTTGCCACCAGACTGGTGGAAATTATCGCATCCTCCCCCACTCGATCCCATAAATACCATATCGTCAGGCAGATCGCTAACTTTGATTGAGTTGACATTTTCTGCAGAAACCATCACACAACCAATATCTCCGGTTTCAACTATGCTTTCGCCATTCTCTGAGCACTCGGCGTCGGTGTATTCTGTGACATTCCAGGCAGCAGCCATAGAGGCGGAGGCCGCAAGGATGATAGCAGTGCTGAACTTCATGATGAACGCTGGTATGAGAGGTTGGTACTGGGTAATTTTATTCTGAATATGATTAATTGTGAGAATGATGGGTTTTGGGAGTGCAATTACTGCCCTTTTAATATCTCTAGCCTCTCAGAGCTCAGTCACATGGCCACCTCCTTACCCCTTGATGAACAAATCATTGTCCAGATAATCAGAGCCTAAGGCGCCCTAGCAGTTTCGCAAGTGTCTCGGACGACCCTATTAACCTCTTAATGTATTGGACTATCTAAGTAAAGCTTTCCTAGACATTGTATTTTTAGATCCGATGTTGGGGGGCCTGAACGTCGATCTCCATTGGGCCAGTTTTCGATGACGTCGATAGTTGTCGCCTGACGTACATTCTTGAAACTAGTATACATTTAAAAATATCAAGAATGTGGATTTCGTGCAACCTACTGAGTTCCTATGTATTGATGCGCATAAAATTAATTTTAGTCCATGATTTGGTAGCATAGCGTGTGCGAAGGGCTGCATCGTCGTGTATTCATTCCCCTGCCGCCACGCAGATATTTTGTTCTATTCCAAGAAGATTAAAATATCGAGTTGACCTTTAAGGAGCAAATCTAAATAGCCTTGTTTACAATTCCTGTCTGAACGATTATTGACTGTACTTTGGAAGTATAGTCCCCAAAAGGGTTAGCACGGTCATGTGCCTCGGTGGATTTGATTCCCCGTTCCGATCGATATCGATAGCAGAGCGCTACATGGTAGTCTCCCCTGTGCACCGTGCATGACTGCATTATCCAAGATGAAAACATCAATTTCTTAATTAAATGATGATTTCGACTTCTATAGTCTGAGGGCGGGGCAAGATGGCCGTTAGTGTGCCAAAGAGCCTCTTGGGACCCATCTCAGTCACCCAATTTCTCGAGCAATTCCGAAGTTCGTGGGCTGCCTCGCGATGGGTGGAACTTCGCCGTATACGAGAAGCTCAGAGTATAAATGAAAATGGGTTGAATTCAACGGCCAGGAATCATGCCCCTGCGAGTCTTCCACGCAAGCTTGGTTTGTTCCTTTGTCCATCATCATTTTGTCATTACTCTCTGACTATGAATCCAGGACTCGCGGTCAGCGGCGGCGCTGATTCTATGGCTCTGGCCTATCTGTGCCGGCAGCTGGAGATCCACTCGGCCAGTATCACAGACGATGCTATATCTGTGACTGCGTTTGTGGTCGACCACCGCGCCCGCGCGGAAAGTAGCCACGAGGCAAAGACAGTAGCTGGCTGGCTCTCTGACCTGGGTATCTCCTCCGAACATGTCGCAACTTTCTGGGTCTACTGAGTTCGTTTGGCTGACTAGTATGTTCAGGTATAAAAACCCAGATCCTCGAGCTAGACTGGTCCCAGTTTACACTTGGTGAACAACAAGCATTGTCATCACAGAAAGCTTCGGGTGCATCAATTCCATCCGCCTTTGAAACCTATGCTCGTACGCTCCGCTTTCAGGCCCTGGGTACTGCCTGTCGAGACCGCGAAATCAAGACACTGCTCATGGGCCACCACCAGGACGACAATGTCGAAACGGCCGTTTGTCGCTTGGCCTCCGGAGCCCGAGGGATAGGTCTCACTGGAATCTCGCCAATAGCCCATATTCCAGAGTGTTATGGCATATTTGGAGTTTCGGAGAGCGGGTCTTTAATGAAGGCTCCCGCACGCCAAGACAGCGCTTCTCGTGTGCAAGTTCGGGTGAACGATCGCAACCGTGGGACCTTCAGCTTTGGACCTTCAGCCAAAACAAAGCCACTTCATAGACTTGCCAAGAATATGATGCCCAACCCATCCATCTCATCTGGTGGCATTCTCATCTGTCGTCCGCTCCTCTCATTCCCCAAGGCCAAATTGATAGCGACTTGCCATGAAAACAATGTCCCCTACGTCTCCGATCCTACAAATTTCGATCCTACTCTCACTGCGCGCAACACTGTTCGCAGTCTGCTCGCCTCCGACTCCTTTCCCCGTGCTCTGCAACCTTCTTCAATCCTATCCTTGATCCGATCGAAACAGACTCTCTTACAGAGCTCAACCGAGCTCTCAAACCAACTCCTTGCAAGTCAATGCCGGATTTTGGACTTTAATTTCCAGACAGGGGCAGCAGTAGTCTCGTTTGGAAGCGCACCCCGGGGCTTAGAATCTCCCGATGGCGGCATCTCCGCTCTAACCAACCTACCTGCTTCCAAACTCCGGCAGATCCAGGCTCTCACCCTCCGCCGTATTACGGGGCTAATTGCTCCTGTTCCAGAGAACCGCTACCCATTGCCCAGCTTCGAGCCATTTGTCTCACAAGTCTTTCCTCTTGCAGACGGTGGAAATCAGACTTCCCGTTCAACCAACGAGAAGAACCAAGAGCGTCGTCCTTTCACACTGGGAGGCGTCATATTCCAGCCTCTTGAGCAGGAAGTAACCAGTATGACTGAAGCTTCATCCGCGCCTTCAGGCATAGCGCCAGTCCATGATTTCATGGGAGAAAGTGTTTGGTATCTATCCCGCCAGCCGATCAGACGCAGTCAATCGCGTGTCCCAATTTCTCGACCGGATACCCCCGCCCTGGAGTTAAATCTTCACTTGTCAAAACATCGCTCTGTCACGCCTTGGACATTATGGGATGACAGATTCTGGTTCCGTTTCTCCATGACTCCTACCGAAGACCATTCCACCCATAAGCAAAACCCCGACGAAAAAATCGCCTTTGTACTTCGAGCACTGCAGCCAGGTGATCTTCAGAAGGTTCGAAACGTCGAACCCGAAATTCTCAAGCCCGCAAATCCGAAGAACTCCAAGCCTGCGATGCGCCTGGCCGGTCTGCGAAAAGCCCTTGCGCAGGAAACTACTGGCTCTGCGCGCTTTACTATTCCTCTGTTAATTGTAACAAGAAGCCATGCGTCGGGATCCGAATTACCAGAAGACGAAGTGGAGGAACAGCTCCTCGCCCTACCGACCATAGGCTACCGTCTAATTGGGGGTGGGACAAAGCTCGCGAGCAAGATCAATGTCTACTACGCGGGAAGAGAATGGAGGATCAGCTGGGAATGGATGTACAAAATGATTGACACCGAAACATTGAGTCTTATGGGTTTGCCGATGGAAGAAAATGCATCGGCAACGGCTATGGTACAGGAAAACAAAACTTAGTTAAAAAAGCCTCGCGAAATTGATCTCCTTGGCTATGCAATGCATGCTTTCAAAAGCAAACTGTGCGTATGGATGGACCCGATGTAGAAAGTGACAAGAAGGCGGAATGAATGCACAAAGTAGAAAAACCTCCGGGCTTTGCAATGAGGGAAATGGTAAAAGGAGAGGGATGTGTGTGGCATCACGGTACAAAGAAAAGGAAAGGAGGTGGGTATGTAGCGGTAAAGGGGATAGAAGTGTCGTCAGCATAAAAGGCTGGATTGTGGGCACGCGGCCATGCCCAGGATGGCAACATTCATTGCTCACTGGCTCGCAGCAGAGAAACTGCAGCCTGCTGCGCTCGAAGACCTCCGATTTCCCTTTTCAATCGAAAGTTTTCCTTCTTGAGGCGGCCAATTTCATCTAGCGCAGTTGTCAACTGAGATCTCAGAGCATCTTCTGCGCTACCCGAGCGTACGTCCCGAGCAATTTTACTGAGCTCAGAGTTGAATCGATCATAGAGCGCTTCATTTTCGGCACTCGCGTCCCGGTAAAGCTCGTCCAGCTTCTTCACGCGTTTCTCGCTGACAAGAAGGGATGACTCGAGATCTTTTTCGATTGCAGCCGTGCGGCCATTATATTCGCCGCTCATCATGTCAAATCGCGCTTCGAGATTTCGCATCCGTGATTCAAGGGATGTATTCCCACTCGAAGGGGCGTGTACGGACTGCATCAAGCCGGATTGCTTTGTTGGTGTGAGCTTCAATGTTCGAACTTCGTTGCTGAGCGCAGTAAGCTCGTCCCTCAAGCTGAGCTGACTTGTTGCTTGTGCTTTCTTCTCGTTTTGTACACGATCACGAAGCTTTTGGGGACTCTGCATGCGTAATTTCTGCGACTTTTGTGGCGATGAAGACGAGGACTGCGGCCGTTTAGTATCAGAGCCATTGGTGCTGGGTCGTTCCCGAAGACCTGTTGTCCTCTGTGGAATGCTGGTTGCCCGGGAACGCCTCTTGGATTCTTGGAGCGGCGAGTCAGGAACATCGCGGTTCGTCTTTGCAATGCGCTCCGTCAGCGGCGTCTTGGGGTCAATATTCTCCTTCCGACTCGGAGTACTTGGACGAGGAGGGGGCGACATTCTCCTTATTGGCGAGCCAAAGCGCGCCGGAGAGCTACTTTTCATAGGGGACGAGCTTCTTGCAGGAGATGCTCGCAAGTAGCTGCTCTGTGGTCTGGACTGTGTGTTGGGTGTGGTTGCCTCTACCTGGGGCCGATTGGATGGTGTCACTGGGCGCAATGGATGAACCGGGGAGATGTTGGATGCATCCGACCCAGCAGTAGGAGGTCGAAAGTCGGACAATGAGCTTCTCCGCTTCCTGCGAATCTTCACCACGCCATCATGCGATATGCCGCGGATGGAGGACAGGGAAGGCGGCTGCTCAACCCCAGTTCCGGGTCTTGAGATCTGTTCCTCGGATGCGAAGCCATATGGGTGATCGCGTGAGGAAGGCCGCAGAAGCCCCAAACGCACATCCACATCAGTGGACTTGGAGCGGATCAAAGAGCCTTTAGGAGTGCCAGGCTCTGAACCAGCTGGGCTCTGCTTCTTGCTTAAGGTTCGCAGGATCGAGGCCACCTTGCTCTCTCCTTCATTTTTCGGCTTGTCGTGATGCAGGTTGAAGCCGAAGCGTTTTCGGAAGGACGAGGCATTGGAGCTCACAGAGCCGGTATTATGAGATGGCTTCGTCTGGTCACAAGTCAATGTGCCTTCCACAGAGGCTCCGCCAGGAACAAAGTCTTCGAAGAGGCTATCAAAATCCTCGACCAGTCGATCCAAAAGAGAGACATGCTGCACAGGATCGCCTTCTTCTGTCAGCACCTCTGCGAAGGCCACCGTTAAAGCGCCTCGGTCTCCATCATTACCAGAAGCATCCAGCAATTCAGCAAGAAGGCGAGTAATTGCTGCCAAGGCACGACGATTTTGTGGGCTGATATCCACCAAAAACCGTCGAAAGTGCTCGTCAAAGTCGCGTGGGAACATGGAATCGAACTGTGTTTGCAGCAGCTTCAAGGATGAAGCATCCAAAACTGGACCCATGTGGCTCTTCCACGCATTTGCCATGAATGTTTCAAATGCGACAAAGAGAGTATCCACAGGTACTTCCGCAGCTGCTTGAATCTTACTGGGATCTTCAAGCAAGATGTTATAAAGCTCGTTGACGGGTGCTCGATCAACATGATCTCGTGCACGAAGCATCCGCCCCAGGATATTGCCACTGCGTGACTGTAGAGACAACACATAAGCAGCAAGTGTCTGCTCCAAGGAGCCAGATTGGCCATCTGGTCCTTTCGCTGCCGATGGTCCAACAACTGAAATTCGGTTCGAGCCCTCGTCTTTCTCCTTGTCTTTCGTAGGGAACGCAGATGGCAGGGTGTTTGACCTCGACAAATTGCCCCTCGGCGGCAGGATTTTGGGGAATTCGCCCGTCAATGTCGCCGAGCTTGGGGCTTTAATGGTAGGTACATTGTCGCGCGACTGACTTCCACCTAGAAGATTTGAAAGGAGTTTGGTTGGAGAGGGTGGCCGGAATCCTCGGGAGGACTTGACATGCGTGAGCAGGTTGCTCGTAAGATAGCGAATAATTTCAAAATTCGAATTGACTAGCGGTGCTGTCAAGACCGGATTTGGAGGGCCATGCAACGACGAGACCAGATTTTGGACTAGAGGTTGAGTGTTAGCTGAGAACTAATATCAATATTGTGGATCAACCTTACGGCGCTTGGAGAGAGTCGCGATAAAGCTGTCCACGGGGACCATATCTGTAGACGCTGAACCGATCACCGAGTCGACGTCCACTCTGTAAAGGTCTCCGTTCCGAGTTACTGAAACAATGGCCTCCAGGCTAGTGTTGCTGAGCATCTGGTCACATATGGCCTTGGATGTGTTGAAGACAACACGGATGGGCGACGGCTGGATTTGTTGGTTCATAGAGGGACCCTCCTCGAAGACACATGCGAGAATTCCAAGGTTACCCACCGAGCCAGTAGGACTACGGAGAGTCCATCTGCCTTCTTCGCGCTCTTGCTCGGAGAATCGTCCTTCGATCTTTGCCTTGGCAATTTCCTCGACCAATCGAGTAGCTTTACCTTCGTACATGGCGGTCAACTCCAGCGCCAGTAGGTCTCCACTACGCTGGCTGGTCTTGTGCTTTGCTGAGGCTGGCACGATGAAGAGGATTCGACCACACGCGGACTGCATGCAACGGACTGTATGGAGTTCCATCACTTGTGCAACCTTGAGCTCTGAGGACGGTAACGATCCGGGGACGTCATTTGTCGTCGACACGGCATTGTCAATATCAGCAAGCAAGCCCCGGGCAGTGGTTCTGCTTTCTGCCGGTTTCACCAACATAACCAAACAGTTCTTGTAGAGCAGCATCAGCCCGGCACTGGGACCAGGCGCCTGTGCATCAAGGCGATACGGGGCAGCAACCTCGTGGAAATCAACCGCTGTGATCAGCCGACCCTCAGGGAATATCTTTGCCGGCCACCCGTCAACGAGTTCTCTCAACCGTTGCAAGCTCTGTGCATGACTGGACGACGAAGGGTTGTCCAGGGCACAAATCTCCTTGATGATGTCGCGCGCCCTCAGTAGAGGCCGCACAGCTGGATGAACTAGAGGCAAATTGCCCGTCATGGTGTCAATCAACAAGCTGTATCGAGGCAGTCTTTGGACAGGTTCCATCAGAAGTGACCGTAGTTTCTGTTCTCCAGTCTCGTAAACCTTTTTTGAGAAACTTGAATTCTTGTCTTTCATGAACGAAGTGAGGGTCGGTGTAAACCCGGTGTTGGCCCGCATGTAGTCCGCGTATGGCTGTGAAAAGCGCGGCAGCCATTCAAGAAGGGCCTTCGCAAAGGCGACGGCACCAATAGCATCCTGGCCTTCCCTTGACACGTTCCGGTGTGATCCATGTGAAGCGAGTTCGGTATCCTGGCCAATGTCTGACATGGCATCTTTCTCTGTCTCGTCGAGAACCTGGCGAATGACATTCAAAAATCCATGATTGATTTCCAAGATCTCATTCAAACATGGCGGAAACAGGCCTTCCAACGCGGTTTCGTCGGGGCTGCTACTCGATGGTTCTCTTTCTTGCGCCTTTTGACGAAACTCATCTGCTACTTCATGAACGAGGGTGTATAATTTGGCGACGTATCGTTCCTCGGTGTCGACCAGTTCACACATCGTGAGACGAAGAGCCTCTTTCTGGCTCCTAGAAAAGATTCTCGACTTGCTGGCATTTGTCGGCTGCGACGGAGCTCGCTTCAATCGTGAAGTCGGTAAAAACATCGGTTCCCCCAGCGTCTGTATAAGCGGTGTGTATGGCCCATAGTCAAGATCCTGGCGTTCCTCGATGTCCGACTCCGCACTGCCGCGTCGAGCTTTCTGTATGGTGCCTGCTGGCAGGGAAACATCGACCTCAATCCAGGGGACTTTGCGCTCACCAAACGCGCTCCGGATATCGCGTGTGATTTCGGATTGGTTGTCCACTTTCATCATTCGGTTGGCCAAGTCCGCCGCATGCATCTCATCGAATGCCTTCGGAATCTTTCCACCCGGCCGTCGCGCGGAATCCATGAGGCGGCGCTTCACCGGATCAGACAGCTCCGTGAAGTATTTCAACATGCTGACCGCCAACCCACGGCACACCTCATCTCCTTGTTTCTCTCGGGGTAGGTGGTTGACTGCAGCGTACAACGGCGCGGCGGGTGACACGGTCATTCGAGGATAACTGTGGAATCCAGCCGGGGAAAGGACATGGGCTTGGATGCGTGAGCTGCTAACGGTTGCATTGGCGGTTGCAACGGGGCCGTAGAAGATCAGGACGGAGCTCAGGCAGCTATCGGCGGCGTGGTAGAGAGTGAGTTGCTCCAGCGGCAGGTCCGCCAGCGGAGTGCTGGTGGGCGCCGCTGTCGCCATAGTAAAATGCGCGGTATCGCGCGCAGAAGGGGCGACCGGTAATTGATAGTGGCGGTGGTGATGTTGTTGTTGTTGGAGGAAGGTACGCGCGGGGGAGCGAGTGGGCCCGACCAAACAAAGTAAACAAGGCGGATCCGATCTATAAAAAGAGTTCTCGACTCCTGCAACTTACGTATCATTATTGTTATTAGACAGCCCCTGGAGTTATATTTCGTAGTCGTCCAATGTTAAACGCGTCTTCGCACAACAGGCGCCGGATTCTGCTCTCGACCACCGTTTTTAAACTTGAGTTACGGCCGTTAAAGCCTAATGGTTACTCGGACTAGTGTTGAGAAACAAAGGAATTATCAGCGAGTAACAACGTTCTACCCGAAAACATATTCTGAAGGGTCAAAAAGAAGGTATATGATTGAAGCAGCCATAGCTCACTCAGTCACATTTTGTAAATATCCCAAATTCAGGCATGGGATCAAGTCAAAATGCTAAAAATCAACTTTTCTTCAAATACACATGTCTATATCCAGTCTAAGAGCATCCTTGATAACTACTTGATACAATGTCAACATCACTGGGCCACAACAAATAACCCATCCCATCCATGGATCGCATCTAATACAGGACCTGACAACATTACCGCCATTCCGATCAATCGACATCCTTATATACCGGTATTACCGTTTCCACCCCCTGATGCCCCGGGCGGTGAGCCTACCAAGACGCGCTAAGCCCAGACAGGCAATCAGCATTCAAAGACCAGCGTGTGTTTCTGCCATCGAATTCCCTTCCTCACCCCGGCTCGAGATGCTGTCCGGCTCACCCCCAATGGCATCCTCTGCATTGCCAATTGCCATCGACCCGGTGGCTCTGGTGACTACCGAATGCATCACCGTCACCTCGTCCATGCGGAAGCATGCCCGCTGGGCACACTCGTCCGTCTCCGCCATCCTCGGCGGCAATGGGGGGTCCCGCGTCTACGGCGATACCTCTGCTCCCCCCAGTCCTCGAAACGGACGACCGACATCTCGTCTCGATGATGACCACGCTTTGGCCAACCGCTGGGGCCTACGGGGGAAGAAAGGGAAGAGCATGCAGGACAATCCGTTGATATCGGCCTTTACACGCTTGCGGAGTGACCTCAAGGGTTGCAAAGATATCCGCACTTTCGACACCCCGGCCCTCCTCCACCCCTTCCTGCAGGTCATTCGGTCTTCGTCGACCTCCGCCGCCATCACATCCCTTGCCTTGAACGCCGTCACCAAATTCTTCTCCTATAACATCATCAACCGGGACTCGCCCCGGCTCTCCATGGCGATGCAGCTACTCTCCGCAGCAATCACTCACTGTCGATTCGAAGCGAGTGACTCCTCCGCGGACGAGATTGTTCTGTTGAGGATCCTCAAGCTGATGGAGGGCATGCTATCCCGGCCCGAAGGTGAACTGTTGGGTGATGAGAGCGTCTGCGAGATGATGGAAACAGGCTTGAGCATGTGCTGCCAAGGCCGTCTGTCGGAAGTGCTGCGGAGGTCTGCCGAGATGGCCATGGTCAATATGTGCCAGGTCATCTTCATGCGCCTGTCGCAGCTCGACGAAGGTCTTCCCGCAGGACAAGACTCTTTTGGAGACGAAGACGTCAAAAAGAGCTCTGTCTCTCACTTGAAAATGGATCCATCTGTAAACGGTGACACCGTGACTTCACAACACCTGTCCGCCATGAGCTCGGATACAGGTGCTGCCGAACAAGACAGCACCAGTCGCGAGGGAACTCCGGAGCAAACAAATAACAATAATCCAACGGCCGCCACCGCACCGCCAAATCCGGAAGATGATGAGAAAGACGCTCAGCCTTATGCCTTACCGTCCATACGGGAGTTGTTTCGTGTCTTGATCGATCTCTTGGATCCTCATAACAGACAACACACGGATACTATGAGAGTGATGGCGCTGCGAATCATTGACGTTGCTCTGGAAGTTGCTGGCCCATCTATTGCTCGTCACCCCAGCTTAGCAGCTCTGGCCAAGGACGATCTCTGTCGATATCTCTTCCAACTGGTTCGCTCGGAGCATATGATGATTCTCACCGGATCTCTGCGAGTCGCCGGCACGCTCTTATCGACATGTCGCTCCGTGCTCAAGCTACAGCAGGAGCTTTACCTATCATACTTGGTGGCTTGTCTTCATCCGCGGGTGGAGATACCGCGAGAACCGGGCATCGACCCATCTCTCTATGAAGGAGTCCCGCAATCACCGAAATTGGTCAAGCAGCCCCAATCACAAGCAAACAGCGGTCGATCGACTCCTGTCCCCGTCAAGGATCGGCAAAAGCTGGGACTGGAAGGCGGCTCACGCAAACCTGAAGCCCGTGAGGCAATGGTCGAAAGCATTGGGGTTTTGTCACGAATTCCCAGCTTTATGGTTGAGCTGTTTGTTAACTACGACTGTGAAGTGGACCGTGGTGATCTGTGTGAAGACATGATCGGGCTACTCTCGCGGAATGCCTTCCCAGACTCGGCGACATGGAGCACAACAAATGTCCCGCCGCTCTGCCTCGACTCCCTTTTGGGATACGTGCAGTTCATTCACGACCGACTGGACGATCAACCGGTGGAAGGAGATCATCCTTCGGTGGAGCGCCTCAGAAGCCAGCGTAAAACCAAAAAGATCATCATCAAGGGAGCACAGATGTTCAACGAAGGTCCGAAAGCTGGAATTGCCTGGCTTGCCGGTCACGGTGTCATCGAGGATCCGAACGATCCCGTGTTGGTTGCCCGCTTCCTGAAAGGCACCACCAGACTGTCGAAAAAAGTACTGGGAGAATACATCTCTAAGCGTGATAATGGGGAACTGCTGGGAGCATTTGTGGATCTCCTCGATTTCTCTGGCAAGAATGTAGTAGAGGCTCTTCGAGAGCTTCTCGGCTCCTTCCGCCTTCCTGGCGAGTCGCCACTCATTGAGAGAATCGTCACGACCTTTTCTGAGCACTACATGCAAAAGGCGCAGCCTGAAGGTATTGCTGATAAGGACTCGCTGTTTGTTTTGACGTATGCTATCATCATGCTCAACACGGAACTCTATAACCCCAACGTGAAGTCGCAGAACCGCATGTCTTGTACTGCATTTGCGAGAAACTTGCGGGGGGTAAATGGAGGTGGGGATTTTGCGGAGGAGTATCTCCAAGAGATCTACGACTCCATCAAGGAGAACGAGATCATCCTGCCCGACGAGCATGAAAACAAGCATGCTTTTGACTACGCCTGGAAGGAATTGCTGTTGAAGTCAGGCACCGCTGGGGAAATGGTGATTGGCGAGACCAACGCATTTGACTCGGAGATGTTCGAAGCCACCTGGAGACCCGTGGTGGCTACCCTCTCATACGTCTTCATGTCCGCGTCTGATGACGCGGTTTATTCCCGGGTGGTCAATGGCTTTGACCAATGTGCTCAGATTGCTGCGCGTTACGGTTTGACCGAAGCATTTGACCGCATCATCTTTTGCCTTGCCTCGATCAGTACGCTAGCTACCAGCAAACCGCCAAGTACTGCGCTCAATACAGAGGTCCAGGTGGGCAAGAAGAGTGTGATGGTGAGCGAGCTAGCTGTCAAGTTTGGCAGGGATTTCCGAGCGCAACTCGCAACCGTGGTCCTCTTCCGGGTTTTGGTGGGCAATGAGTCCACGGTGAAGCGAGGATGGGAAGACGTCGTTCGAATCCTCTCTAATCTCTTCGTGAACTCTCTTGTTGCGCCGCTCGATTCCAACCTCACAGCCGAGCTTGACATCTCGCCCATCCCACTCCATCCGCCGTCGCATATCGTCGATCGGGATGGCCGCAGTAATGATACGGGTTTGTTGTCGGCATTTACATCCTACCTTTCCAGTTATGCGGCGGACGACCCTCCTGAGCCCTCTGACGAAGAGCTTGACAACACCCTTTGCACCGTGGATTGTGTTGCCGCATGCTCGATCCCTGAGATCTTGACAAACCTCAAATCTCTCCCTTTGTCATCATTGGAGACGCTTATGGAAGTATTGCTATCCCATCTGCCTGAGGATAATGCCCCCGCCGTCATTGTTGTCAAGCCAGAACGACCAACTCCTTCCTCCCGGCCCTCGACCAGCAGAGTGGACCCTAATCGACCGAAATACGACCCTTCAATGATTTTCATCCTGGAATTAGCGACTGTTCTTACCCTCCGTGACACGAAGACGCTTGAACTCCTTGGAGAGTCTCTGGCCACCACTCTCCAAGCGCAAGTGCGTGATGCGAAGAACCTTCACCCATTAGCTCTGTCTCGCATTGTTTATTACCTCCTCAACTTGTTACGGTTGAGTCACGTATGTGTCTTTCGAAACTTGGTCAAAGATGACCTTCCCGCTAACCTACTTGCAGGACCAACCTTTTATGCGCGTCCCTGTTGTACTCCACGCTATCTCTGGATTTGACCAGGATGTTTTGGAAACCGTTGCCACCGCGACGGTGAAGGGTCTCTCGCGGTGCGTTGCACATGCAGGCCGGCTGAGGAACGAGATTACCATTTCTCCCGACTTCTGGTCGATTCTACAGAGACTCCACCAGCACGGGGAAGCTGGTCCTATGGTCTTTGAGCTGCTTCAGAACATTGTCGAGTCGATGTCAGTCATTGTGACGGCGGATAACTACGAATTTGCTGTCAGTCTTGCAAAGGACTTTGTCAGCGCAGGGAGTGTAGGGTCCCTCGAAGAGAGGCAAAGGGATGTTCATTCTCGTCGAAGCAAGGGTGTCAAGCAACCCAAGGCCAGGTCGGACATCATTTCTCTTCCAGTCCATACGTTACAACTAACATTTATATTTGCACAGTGAGAATCAAGCAGTAGCTCGGGGCATCAAAGCCATTGGCCTGATCTATCAACTGAGCCGACGAGTACCAACGCTCATCAAGCAGTCTCATCTTGAAGAGCGCGAGGGTAAGCCACCTTGGATCTCTTCTTCTTTACAGCATCTAACCCATCTTCGTTCTACCAGCCTGGGCTGCCTATTGGTCTCCTATCTTCCAGTCTCTAACCGATCAATGTGTCAATCCCTGCCGCGACATCCGCCATCATGCCATCTCCACACTGCAGCGATCCCTGTTGTCGGCGGAGCTGATTGCAAGTGACGACCAGGAGTGGGCTTCGATCTTTGACGAGGTTCTGTTTCCGCTTATTCTTCTCCTTCTCAAACCAGAGGTCTATCACTCCGACCCCATCGGCATGAGTGAGACCCGAGTCCAAGCCGCAACTCTGCTCTGCAAGATTTTCCTGCGTTTCCTCGACCAGCTTCCCAACCGCGAGGGCATGCTCCCTCTCTGGCTCAAGATTCTGGACATTCTCGACCGGATGATGAACAGTGGCCAAGGAGATAGCCTCGTAAGTTTCAACCGACTGTGTCCCTTTGTATGGTTGCGTTTTCTAACAATCGCTCTTTTTTCTTCACAGGAGGAAGCCATCCCTGAAAGTCTCAAGAACATTCTCTTGGTTATGGCTGACGGTGGCTACCTCGTGCCTCCGTCCCAAGATCCCAGCAAAGAGGAGATGTGGCTCGAAACCCGCAAGCGACTGGGGCGCTTCCTTCCTGATCTCTTTGCTGAGATCTTCCCTGAGGCCCCCAAAGAACCTGAAAAGTCTCAGCCAGGCTCCGCTGTATCATCTCCGCCGATGGTGAGCAGTGGAGATGGTGAGACTGAGAAGAAAGAGGACGCCGCGCTCCCACCAACAGGCGAATCTATCGAGACAGAAGCTGCTGCTACCAGTGATAGTGGCCAAGAAGAGGAACTCAGCGAAGCTGCTGAGACCGAGCTGGCGTCCCAGGACGATTTCTCATAATGGAACTGAAGGTCTAACACTGCAACCGACTTCTTGTCTTTCTATATCCTTGGGCGTCTATTGCATGCATTTACATACTACAAATAGGAATCTCAATTTAGATCTCTGTGACGTATACAAAGTCTCCTTCTCTCAGTCCGCCTTGATTTTATCATTCTCGGCTCGCTTCCTAGACAACATACATCATCGGTTTCCCTTTTAACCATAAATTTAAGCTCTCTCGTTTGTCCTCGTCTTACTCTGGAGTCTCTCCCGAATCAGTTCTCAGTAGTGTCCTCAGTTTCGATTTCGGTTAACCCCATGTCGCGGCGGATGCTGAGTGTACCTGCTAGCCCGGCTGTCGCAAATGGTGTGAGGACCGGGGTCTATGCCGTGATGCCTGTCACTCCTATTCCCTGGATGGCATGAGGGAACAAACTATGGGAAGGAAATATTTATACCTTCATCATTGTTGTACATGACATTTTGTAGTTCTCTAAGTCCCGGCTCTCTCTATTTCCTTTCTCAATGCTCTTTTCGCTTTCTTGCTTTCCCTAGCCTCATTATCGTACACTTCATGCTCCCTAAATAGCCATTAGTATGACATGACACGTTGTTGCAGACTAGCCGAGAGGCATGGCGCTTGAGCGCAAAATCTTCACCAGGCTAAGAGCATCGCGCTCTTCAGGAAACTTCATGTTTCCTGTACTCAAATATTAAGCTCATCTGAGTCCGAGTCCGAGCCCTCGGCCAACCCCAACTCATCATCGAATTCTCTGAGCCTAGCCGCCAACCTCGCTCGATCTGCCGGATCTGCCTCATCACCAAGCATGCTGATCAATTGAAAGAGCCCAGTTTCCGTGCGCCAGTTGGGCCAATGAGAAAAAGGATCTTCGTTCGGCAGCATTGGGTTTCCAGATGAGTGGGTTTTGTTATTGGAGAGGTCAGGGGCTAGACTAATGATACGAATAACCTTTGTCGGGAAGATGCGAGGCGCGTTTTCGCGCTCAGGTGGGAGTATATCACCTGGAATGTTGGAAGGGGCTTGACGGAAGCCAAGAGTCTGCAATTTCCCAGATTAGATTCTTTTTCCTCAAAATTTGGTGGGTGTAGAACGGACAGTGTAAGTGGTCATAATCGCGTCATCACTGAATGCCATGAAGCTGATTGCTACAGCCAGGTGCGCCGCAGAGCTGTTTAACAACGCGTATGAAGCGCGGGTGGGGCATTCGACATCTTGAATCCTATTATCATCGTTAAGTGCAACGACATAGGCCCGATCCTTGATCTCGAACATCAGGCGATGGTTGTGTACTGCCAACCAACCGCCCAAGTCAAAGCTTTCACCGTCTGACTCGCATTCAATAATTGAGCTATGTGCTACAAGGCTTTCTTGGTCGCGAAGGGCTTTTCGCCAATCGTAGCACACGAAAACACGGCCGGCACGAGAGAAACCGACGAAGAGATCTCCGTTCAACATTCCTGCTCCCCACTCGTCTTCCTGGTTGTAGACATGATCAGGATCCTCCGGGGGTTGGAGAGGACCCTTCGCAATTTTGATCGGCTCCAGACAGTCTTTATTTGAGCTCTCTGTATGGTATCGTGCAGGGTCGGCGGGAGGTGGACGGATGTGATATCTGTCTGTGCAATACGACGGCTGCAATGCGCCTAAAAATGCACCTGATTTCTTGTCGTAGGCATAATAGCCTTTCGTGCCTATCGAGTAAATCACCGCATCCTCACACTGATCAAGATGGCCAACAGCGCCGCGCTCGATCTCCAGGTGGGCAGTCAACTTGGGGGGCTCTGTGTCATATCATACACAAACCCCTGGCCCTTGTTAGACACCACACAGAGGGTCCAGTAGGATAATTGAAAGCCTCTTGTCTGGCAATTGTGGGACAAGACCGCAGTGCGTCGGAACTCTCCGCGCGAAGTGTCTTCCAGGTCTGTCTGCCAGACTTCAACGGCATCCCCTTCGCGGTCGAACACTGCCATTCCATCCTGGTACTCTAGATGCGCGAATGGGCGAACAGAGTCCTCGTCACGATCCAGCGTGGAGGGGAGTCGCCAGAGGATTCGGCCCGTGTCCATATCAGTGACGTTCAGACCACCAGCATGGGAGGTGGAAATAAATATTCGGCGCTTGAAATCAGCACGGAAGCGCCAGACAGGGTCATTGCCTATTTGCATCGCCCACTCATGGGTAGATGGGTGCTGCTTGGCCCAATTGCGAGCAAGCAATGTCTGGTACTTGCATAGGTCTTTCCATGATGCCGTGTTCTCAAATAGCTTGGAGAAACTACGGCTGTCCGAGAGGAATGAAAGATCGCGAGAACCTCCCAGGGGTTGGGCGGTTTTGGATTCGGAGGTGTATATGGCTTCTTGGTGGGTGACGTCGATAAATTCGTTCCACGCCTTGGAGACTGCGGTCAGGGATGCGAGGGCTGAGACTGAAGAGAATTCCAAGACCCGCAGGACTATCTCTGGTGGTAGGATGGCGAGAGGGTCTGCCACAACAGTCATGATTTCGTCTTAAGAGATTGTGGAAGAAAGAAGAAAGGAAATACGTTGTTGAAGTAAGTGGGGAGAACAACATTATTCTGTCACTCTTGACCGCCTTGGATAAGCAGGGTTATCGCAGCGATCCCGGCGTACATTCCCGCTCCATCTATACATATACTCATACAGCACAACGCCAGACACAAAGGAAAGAAATCAAACAAGGAGTGAAACAAGATAAGGAAATGCAGCAGCAGGCAGTGACACCAGATATTTGGCGGCAAACATGCCGCCCAAGATGATAGTTATACGACGAGAAGGAAAGATATCAAACAGACATGTCAATGAACGAAGCCAAAAAAGGGAGTTGTCGAGCCATAAATTTCCTACCTCTACTCGGCATCCATTTCGTCGTCGAGGTCGATGGCATCCGGGTTGGCTGGAGCAGCTGGAGCAGCTTCACCGGCAGGTTTGGGGCGGTCACCGCCCTCGGGACCAGAGCTGGCGGCGACGAAACCAACCGGGGCCCTAGCTTGCCGCTCCAGCGCCGCCATGGCATCCGCACGGTCTTTGTCCTCATCTTGTCCCTCGGCGGGTGCACCATCTTCGCCCTCCTGGGGCCGTTGCTGGCTTCTCGCGATGGCCTGGGATGCAATAAAGTTGACATCGGTACTGTAGAGCAATTAGTATATGAAGTTTGTGTGAGATTTGGTAGAAGGGCAACATACTTGTACTGAGCCTGGACACTTCTCTTGATGCGGAGCATTTCCTTGAAGGTATCCTCATTTCCATGCTGTACTTCGAACGCCTCCCATTTCTGCCAGAAGGGGGCATTCGTCCGCGGGTCGCAGAACTGCGAGGCGTGGCCGTAGATGGCACGTGCACGGTCGATCTCACCGAGCCGCCGTTCCATCTCAGCGAATTTGAGGCACATCTCCTTCGCTTCTTGGTCTGGCAAGGCGGCAACCGCGCGCTCGTAGATTGGCCGCGCGGAGGTGAGACCGAAATTCGACGCAGACTTAGTGATGTAGAATTCAAACATCTCGAACCGGTCCTCGTCGGATACTGACCGGGTCGCACGTTCGTAGATGCGCATCGCGTGCCGTGCGAGTCCACGTTCTTCTTCCAGGTTGCCGTACATCAGATAGAGCGGCTTGGCGAACTTTGGCGGGCACCCGTCCAAAGCTTGCTCAAACAAGTCTCGGAGTCGCTCAATGCCGATCTTGCGGTCGACCGCCTTGGTCAAGTAAAGATTCCACAGCTCAAAGGCAACTGGGTAGTTGAAGAGGTCCAGTCCCCGCTCATATACCTTGAATGAGTCCTCAAAGTACTGATTCTCTTCCAGCAGGTTGGAATAGTTGACAACTGTCTGGGGGGTCGCAATACGGAGCTCAAAGATCCGCTCGTAGACCTTCCTAGTCTCCTCCAGAGACGACACGCTCTCCACAAGATCAACATAGAAACTCCACAGCTTCCAGCTCTTGTGAATTCGCTGCTGTGGGGAGAGTGTCTCATCGAAGTAATCCACAGTGGACTTCTTCGGCGCTTGGGTTGCCTTGGCCATAATGCTGACTGCTTTGTCGAAGTTTTCAGCGCGCAGCTCCATCTCGGCCCATTCGCACCATGTGTCGGCGAGCTCGGCCACCGATTTGAACGGAACTTTGACGGCTTTGTCGAAGATCACCCGGGCAGTGGCCAAGTCTCCCCCATTCTCGTACAATTTGGCGTAATTCACCCACAATTCTGAGAACTTGCCATGTGCCTTCTTGGGGTTGATTGCCGCGATGGCAGCTGTGTATGTTTGGACGGCCTCTTGCTTGTTATCACCCCAGAGCGCGACTCTCTTGCCCCATTCGATGACGTTGTGGGAGTTCTGTCGTAGGAGAACGTCATTCACCAAAAATGGTCTCCGATCCATCAATTGCTCAAAGCGTAACATTCGAAGATCGAGGTCAAAATCGGCTTCTTCATCGATCTTCCCCTTCTCCGAACGCAGCGCGGCGGCTTCCATTAAGCTGCCAATGACGGATTCCTCAAATTCAACGTATGAGTCGAAGATGAGCGTAAAGTCACGAACTGTCATGACAGTAGTGATTCCCTCCTCAAAGACATCGCGCGCCTTTTCGAAATTCCCCTTTGTGATCCAATAAGTGGCCAATCCAGCCCAGAGTTTTCCTCGCTGGTCGGCAAACCTGTCAATGCCGCTCCGAAGGATCGCATCAACATCAATCCCAACCTGAGGGCCGGTCTCGATCTGCTTGGCCTTGGACACGAGCAAATCAACCATCTCGGTCCAGAGCTGGAATTGACTTTTGCCCTCCTTGGACTGGAAGCGCTGGTTGTCGAGGACCTCCATAAATCTCTTCACAGCTTCCGTGTACTGGCCCATCTCAATAAGTAGCCCGATATACTCTTCCGCGTTCTCGGGATGAATTTGCATGTACCGAGCCCAGATCTTCACGGCGGTTTGTCCGGATGCAGACCGAGCGAAGCCCTTGTAGAGACGCCAGATACGGTTGTGTTGAGTGACAGGCAGTGCGCGGAGGGCGCGATCGAAAGTCCGCCGAGTTTGGGTCACGAGAGGTTGCAACATCAGGAAGGAGAGGTACATCTCCCAGATGCGAGGCATCTTGTTGAGGAGGATGAGGGCCCGTTCGAATAGGGCGTTGACTTTCAGGAACTCGGCCCGGTAGACAGTGGGGTTTCGGCCCTTCAGATGCTTCGTCCGGAACTCGAGGTACTACAATAGTTAGCAATTGCAATGTCACACAGCCCGAGAAAGAAAAAATCTCACCATCTTCCACAACTTATACGACCGTGGTAGTTGTTTGCAGGCACGTTCCATAATCTTATAAAAAGTCAGCTTCGAGTAGTGGGAACAACAGATGGGAAGCAACGTACGAATGCTTGCTCGTACAGCGTGCCATGCTGCTGCTTGAATTCGATGTAGGCCAGCCATGGCTTGACACTACCCGCGTTGCGAAGCAAATCTTGTTCGTATACCGTATCCTGATCAGTCTGTTGAGAATATAAGATGTCAGTGCTTCTTCCGTCAAGTCCAATGGGTGGTTGCACGTACGATCAGGTACAGGTCCGGGCGAGACGCAGATGTTTCCATCTTGGCGTGCTGCCGGTGCGATCTCGGGGGCAAGATTGTCCCTGGCATTGCGCCACTCAGTCGAGCGGGATCCAATCACTCGGGCAACAATGCAGCATGGAGTGGACGGAGCGAAGGAACGTGAGGCGCGCGTGGGAAGGAAGGAAGGAACGACGACGAAGAGCGAAGTCAGTGGGTCGGGCACGTGATGAGTTCTGGGTTGGGCAGGCGGTAAGGGACTATCGGGGATCGTCATTATCTGGCTGAGACACTGGACACTTACATAGTACTACGCTCACATCCCGGCCAATCTGCAGTCATGTCCGGCGCCGTGAGTATGCTGCCCGGGGTGAAATATGCGGCTGCTAACACATATACTCCAGGGACCTCGCGAGGCAGTCTTCCCGACCCGCCAGTCGCTCGGGTTGATGAAGAGCAAGCTCAAGGGTGCAGAGATCGGTCACAGTTTATTGAAGAGAAAGAGTGAAGCCTTGACCAAGTATGTCTTCTTCCGCTAGAGATGTTGTCTCCAGCTAACATTGTGAATTCTAGGCGTTTCCGAGGTACGCTGCTGCCTTCGACCGCTCCAGTCTCGACCCCCACCTGAACACAGCAGCTAACGATAACCACCAGATATCACCCGGCGCATCGATGAAGCGAAACAGAAAATGGGCCGTGTTATGCAGATTGCGGCCTTCTCACTGGCGGAAGTGAGCTACGCAGTCGGAGGAGACATTGGATATCAGATTCAGGAGTCGGCCAAACAAGCTCGATTCCGCGTTCGTTCCAAGCACGAGAACGTGTCCGGTGTCTTCCTGCCTCAGTTTGAAAGCTACACCGAGGAGGGTGTCAATGATTTTGGCTTGACTGGTTTGGGCAAGGGTGGACAGCAAATCCAACGGTGCCGAGAGACATACGCACGGGCCGTGGAGACGTTGGTGGAGCTTGCCAGTCTACAGGTATGCACTGAGATGTTGTGGCGTTGGGGGTTTTGCCCACTGACATCTCCAGACTGCATTTTTGGTTTTGGATGAGGTGATCAAGGTGGTCAACCGCAGAGGTCGGTTATCAACCAGCCTGGTTAGACATTGACTAACGTCTACCTGCACAGTAAATGCCATCGAGCATGTCATCATCCCTCGGACTGAGAATACCATCAAGTGTTTGTCCTCCCTTCTCGGATGATAGCACAGGTCTAACCATTACAAAGATATCAACTCTGAACTGGACGAACTTGACCGCGAGGAGTTCTACCGCCTGAAGAAAGTGTCAAACAAGAAGCAGCGAGACACCGCTGCAGCGGACGCTGAGATCCTTGCCGCTCGACAGAGGCAAGCCGAGAAAGATAAAGAAAACGGCGATGCCGCCGAGGAGCCCGAGAGCGTGGATGTGCTGGGCGAACAGGAAGACACGGACGTCATCTTCTAACCTTTTATCCCCATCTAGCTGTTCTGTGTATCTTGTTTCTGTACCAATCGAAGCTACCCATGTCACTTATTTTCTTGATATTTTGATATTCCGGGAATGATAGTTATTCAAATTACAACACAACGGGCTTCCCAGCCCGCGGCATCGCAACAAACAAGAAAGTCATAACAAGATGCTCTCCAGTTTCTGAATCCGCATGATCTCAGACAATGCCTTCCAAACGCCAAACCATAGTTCTGTAAAATCGATGACGAAAGACCGTCTACTGTCTCTGGAAAGTGACACGAATCGGCTTGCCCTGCTCTCCCATGGCCATGCCCGCCGTAGCTTCCTTCGCACTGATCGCCCCGGACTCGGTCTCGTATTCGACAAACGCAATCCCCTTGCGACCCGGCACCAGACGCACCTCCTGGAACCCTTCGAACCGACCGAAGACGGCTGACAGTCCCTCCTGGCTGGCGTCGTCCGGCAGCTCCCGCAGGAACAAGATCTTGTTGGGTGGCAGGTACTCGTCCGGCACGACAGCGGCAGCAGCACCGGTGGTGGGCTTGAGACCGGCGCCTTTGGTAGTCTTGGCTGGGCGCGCGGGTTCGGCGGCGGCGCCGGCAGGACGCTTGAGTTTTTTCTGGGCTTCGAGGGCGTCGTGGGCCTGTTTCCGCTCTATATTCACGCAATGGCAGTCAGTCAGCCATTCATTCGCAATCAAAACATGTCTCTAGTATCTGCGTCTTCAACACACCTTTCTCCGCTAAACGCCTTCGCTTGTGAACCTCCAGCTCGTCGTTGCCGCCTTCGCGCCGCACCGTCGCATCGCTCTTCGTCTTCGCGTAGTCCAGCACCATGGGCTTCTCAAAGAGTTCGAAGCCATTGATCTCGTCAATGGCACGGGTGGCCGAATCGATGTTGTCGAAGACGACGAACGCCTGGCCCTTAGCCTTTAGGTTGGTTTTTGCGACAATCTCAACGACGGTGCCATATTCTGCAAAGATCTCCTCGAGCGCCTCCTTCAGCTGCTCTACCTTAATTCGTTCTTCGAGATTCCGGACCTGGTTCCTTGTCAGCTGCGACTGCAGTCACGCATAACCTGATGCTAGGCACCGGCGTGGAAGAGGAGGAGGGGAGGTCTGGGATGCCGTACATAGACTCTGAGGATAGGAGCACATTAGCATGAATCTTGCGACTGAAGAACAGTAGAGGTAACTACTCACGTTGAGTTTGGGGAGAGCCCTGTTGGCGATACCCCTGCTGCAGCCATGGTTGCGACAGTTTGAGCTCGTGGGCTGGACGAGGTGGGCAAGCTATCTGTGGTGACTGTTGGGAGGTTTGAGCAGAATAAAAGTTCTGGGTCATGTAGCCAATAATGCAGAAATTCTTTCGTCCAAGCATCATTGGTCTAGTGGTAGAATTCGTCGTTGCCATCGACGAGGCCCGTGTTCGATTCACGGATGATGCACTATCTTTTTGCTTTTGCTATTTTCAATTCCTACAGTAGTCAATTGCTAGTCAATTGCTTTCTTTTATTGTAAATTTATTTTTATCTCATAGGGTTTATTTTTTGGGGTGATGCTCGACATTAATCTGACTGGGTGTATTCACGTCAAGGTGCTCTCGATATATATTTGAGCAGAGAGGCGGGATTTGTAGAGGAAGATGGTCCTGCCCACAAATTCATGGCACGAGAAAGCCCGTACATCATAAACTATATACAAATCTATCCACACAGAGATACTACTTGACTAGAACAGCCCGCAAACCCTCAACTTGACCGATCAACTGCTTTGGCTGCGCCGACCAGTCCTCATACTTGACCATCTCAGAATCGGTCACCACAAATAGATAGTCTGCAGCAGATGCACGAACCTAGGATAGCAATGTTAACAATACACGGAGAGAATAAAAAAAGTGGATGGAGCATACCCTCGGGAAAGGATGCAATAACATCCCCGTCAGTTTTTTCAAAACATCGGACCGCAGACTCTCAATTCTGGACATCGCTGCGTACATTTTTGTTGCAGCTTCGAGGCGGATTAGATTCGAGGTCCGGAGGTGTGCTTTCTGTACGAGGACAAATAGCTTTCGGAAACTGGAGACAATGTGAGTATTTCCATACCCCGAATGAAAGCTGCCGAACTAACCTCGGATCAGAGCCATCTGGGATGACGTTAATATAGCCATCAATCAAAAACGCAAGGAACTCGATGGTCGGAGGCGCGTAGCGGTCATCTTGGAGATTGTCGCTCAATATGGTCGAAAGGTCTTTTACAAAAATCATCAAGGTCTCTTGACGTTGAGGTGCAGTGAAAGACTCGAGATATTCAGCCAACGCAGACCGACAAGCCCGAACTAAGCCCTCAGAACCGGCGACAGCAGATGTTGCTAACCCTTGCAGCAGTGAAACACGCAGCCAGCCAATCGGTTGTAGACCGAGCAGTTGGAGGAAGTACTCTTTCGAGGACACATGGCTGAAATGTTCGAATTTACTGCTTAGTGGAGGGAAGTCCGAGGCCGATTCCCAAAAGTCCTGCAAACAAAGCCATGCTTGTAGTCTGACCTTGTCGAGCTTTTCGCTGGCCAGGCGACAGAGGCATCGAACCAATTTTTGGGTCAATGGGGAATATGGTGTTGTTCTAGGCTCTCTCTTAAGGAGGGTACCGGCAGCCTGGATTGCTTCAACCCGGATCAATGACCCAATATCTCCTCGACGATCGGTGGTATAATCATTCAGTGCCCCAAGGAAGCCGTCTGCAACAGTATCCGTGACATCTGATAGATAATTAGCTTGAAATACTCGATATATGAATACCTGGAAGCACATACCATTCATATGTGGTAGAATATCAGTGGCCAGACACTTCACGGCAGCGACACGTTTTTCAATGAGCTCTTCTTTGTCGGTGGATCGGAATAGCTGTGTGATAATATTGCCTTGAAGATCCTGCTTAGCCTCAAACTGCTTGAAAACGGCACCTAGGGCGAGGATTTGGCCCCGACCGGTTGGTAGTTTCCATGTAGTATTCAAAAGAGTAAACCATGCCTGCACAGTTTCGTCCTGCTTTGATGAAGATAGCAAAGGAAAAAGCTGTGATAATGCACTCGAGGCCGCTTCAATAGATGTGTTATCACTTCGGGAGACGCAAAGTGTGAGGATTTGAAGGGCTCGATCAAGAGGTGTTTGAGAGGGCGCTGCTCGGGCGGTTTCATTCACAGACCGAGACAGTGAAGAAATCAAGACTGACGATGCCTCTGCTGTTAATTCAGGCCGGGTGTTCTGAAGCTTCAGGTCATCATCGGTGGGACCAATGGGCGACCCAAAGATATTCCACAGCTTTAGCACCTGGGCCGAGACTTCCTTCGCCTCATGAACATCCCTGGTTTCTGGATCCGTATTCCATTGATTGGTATATCCATCCACTGTGGCAGCAATGGCCAATAGACAGCCGTGTCGTAATTCAACATCACTTCGAGGAGTCTTGGCAAGTTTGCGTTGCAGCCGCTCCAGCACGAGATGCATGGTCTTGAACATCTCTTGTGTGCTCATAATCCCGATCGACTTGGCAGCCTGTCTCCTTGACTCGGCATCTGGCGATCCAATCCCCCTCCAGCTCATCAAAGTTTCCAACAGCGGGCTCCAGTACGTCTGATCCAGAGAGACTGTCGCCTTAGCCACATCGATCATCGCACGCGAACGCCGGGCAACCGCGTGGTAGTCCACAACCTGAACAAGAGGGATTCCTTCGACGATGGTATCAGGATGCCGGCCAATCAGCTCCTGAAGAGCCGCTGAGGCACCACGCCGAATATTTCCAGATGGGTCAGCACAGGCGGCACAGACAAGGTCCACAGCCAGCCTCTGCAAAACATTCACCTCTCTAGGTCCATCTAGAGAGGTGATCGTTTGTGGTTGCAAGGCTAGCAGCTCCGGAGTCGTGTATTTTCGAGACAAGGCCCAGATGCCGAAACAGGCTGCATCGCGTACACCAGTGCCCACAGAGCTGCCAGTAGAGGAGCGCTGCTCGAAATCAAGACCTGAGAAAAGGGATTGAAGAATATCAGAGAGTTGGCTGGTCGGCGGTGCACGGCGGAAAAGCAAATGGGAGAGAGTGAGCATGAGTCCTTGCCATCGTTGGGCATCCACTGCACTGAGGTTCCGTCTGAGTGTGTGGGTGCGTACTTGTCGCGCCTCATAAGGTGTGATTAAAGTACCGTCGTCCTTCTCAAAGAGTATATTCTCTCCCAATGAGCCAAGGACTGCTTCGATGACCTCAGTTGCCATGTCAGGTTCCAGCTTCAAGGTGATGATGCTCAGCGCTTTGCTCGCCGCAAACCGCACAGGTGTATCTTTGTCTGCGAGAGCAACCAGGAAATGATCAATGGCGTCCTCCAGTATGCTCGACAGCTGGTCATCTGTGACGCAACCGTGCCCGCGATCGCTGATAGACAAGGCCATGACTGTAATGTTGCGGAGGATCTTGACCACGGTCTTTCGCGCCAACGCTGAGGACTTTATGGCGTGAGAAACGAGTGTATGCTTTTGAAATACTCGCAGTGTTTTCTCAAAGACAGGGATCACCAAAGGGACAAAATCATCGATCTGACCCGACGCTCCCAAACGGGCAATGAACGATAGCACCCCAATGCACGCATAGACCGAAGGTGGTTCTTCCACATCTTTTGCAGGATTAAAGGTGTCGAATGCCCAATTTGTCATACCAGTAAGAAGCCCGAGGTTTTGCATATCGCCCCGAAGAACAAGTCGAGCCAAGAGTGCTGTGGCTGCCTCGCGCTCCTTACCAGAAACACTGAGATAGTGCAACGACAACGAGAGGAGCGATCTTGCAATCATTGGAGTATTGAAAGGTAGCCAAGTGAGCTGGCTGAGATTTTCATAAGGCACGGGAATATCGTCCGATGACAATGAAGACAGGTCAAAGGGAGCGAGCAGGAGATGTGAGAGCCAGACCAGCATCACGTACCGCTCTTCCCAGACCAGACCCTGAAGTTGCGAATCTATGGGATCTGCATCTGCATCGGCCTCGGAACCAAGTTGAATGGTTTTATCCCACTCGATAAAAGCCCGCAGCATAACGCCAAGGTACTTCGGCTCATTGTTGAGGAATCGGCTGACCACCTTGACACCGCGGACTTTGCAGAAAGTGTAGAGAAGCCTGCAGATAGCCCTTGGGAGCGGGTATAGGGATTCACCATTCTGGGACTTGGTAACACACGGACCATATTGATCGCGGCTCTTGATCAGATATGCCAGAAACGCATCCACTAGAGGGGGCAGCAGCTTCTGTAGATGCGGATCTAAGAGCTGGGGCCACTCCTGGAAAGGCTCAAGCTGTGATCATTGTCATATCAGCCATTGTATAGTTTAAGAGGAACACGGCGTATTCGCGCTGTGTCTTCGTCGTCGGGAGTCTTACAAGGCCAACCAGCTTCTCCGTCTTGGCGACTTGAGTCCATCTGCGCGGAGAGGCGGAGGTTCCACTCTGGGATCTGGATTTCCAAAGCAGCGACGGCAGCTTTGCCGAGAACTCTGCCACGAGATCACTGGAGGCTCGCTGCAGTTTTATATCTCGATCTTCGGCTGCATCCATGGTGGGAGTGCAATCAATCGGGCAGGTTGCGGCATCGCCTGTCAACAGTGGGTGGGCGGCAGAATTGCACCGCCTTGATCTACGGCTAGGGAGGGCATTGGATCTGGAAAGAGAAAGAGACGAAAAGGTGGGAGAATTGGGAGTAAAATACTGCGTCGTTGAGACCGAGGAAAACAAACATCAAGGAAATATGTTCTAGGCAAGCAGTACATCAAAGCCAATCTACATACAATGCTTTTCACTCGATGCAAGTCAAGACGGCTTTTGTCCAATCCAATTGATCATGTTGTCAACGGATTCTGACAAGACATTCTCTATACAAATACGAAGTCGTAAACGAGCTTTTTTTGTGGACCAGAAGAACCGCCACCCAAACAAAACTCCGTCAACAAGAAACCATGCCAAACAATCCATGAAGGCGGAGAGAGTTGTTTCCGTCCGGTTTCCAGAAAACCCTGGAATATGCTTATAAACGACCGGAGCCAGCAAAGGCAGGTTGCAATGCGATGGCGAGAAAGTAAACGAACGATAGAGTGACTGGTAGATGCAGGACACAAAAGGAGACTGGTGGAAGACGAGCCACTGTCCCTTAGCCGTCGATGCTATCATAGTCATCATCCTCGTCATCCTCTGAGGACCCATCCTCGTCGCTGGAAGACCCTCCGTGGGCACGGAGCTTCCTGCATTGAACCGCCGCAGCTCTGAAAACACCTGGGAACGCCATTAACCATATGATTTTCCGGTTGCCACGTCGCCAATTGCGCCGCCGCTCAGAATCGCGCCCATCACGATTGTGACGGTGGCGGTGATGCTCGAAAGGAACGCCCACTTCAGTTCTCTTCCTCCAAGAAGTACTGTTCACGATACAAGTTAGCATAGCCCATGGACAAAATTGCTCGGGAATACTTACGAAGTTGCCGGCCAACTTCTGCTCCTGGTCCATCTGACTCTGGTACTTGTTGATACGTGGGCGGTAGCTGTTGGGGTCACGGCGGAAGGTGACATCCAAGCTCTTCAGGAATTTGTTACAGCCAGTGACCAGAGACTCAGGGGTGTTCGCGCGAGCCTCCACGGACGCCTGGCCATCGAACACAATGACACGGTCGGCCAGGTAGGTAGCCATGATGAAATCGTGCTCGACAATGAAGGCAGTCTTCTTGGTGTGCATAATGAAACGCTTGATGACACGAGCAGCCACGATACGCTGTTCGGAGTCCAGATAGGCACTGGGCTCGTCGATCAGGTAGATGTCCGCCGGTACACCCAGAGCCAGGACAATGGCAACACGCTGCAATTCACCACCAGACAGGTTCTGGACTTCCTGGTCGATAAAATCATCCATTTTCAGAGGCTTGTAGACATCGGTCTGGAATTGAGGGGACAGGAAAGCGGCCTTGATACGCTTGAAGAAGAGCTGGCGCACGGTGCCCTGGAACTTGGGGGTGATCTTCTGAGGCTTCATGCTGATATTCATCTTGGGAACACCGATGGTGCCATCGGGCTTCTCAGCACCAGCAAGCATGCGACAGAAGGTTGTCTTTCCAGTTCCATTCTCACCCATCATGACGACAATTTCGGAGTCGGTGAATCTGCCGGACTCAACCTTGAGATGGAAACTGCCCAGAGTCTTTTCCATGGCAGGGTAGCTGAAAGCGCGTGCCTTATCCGCAATGAAATCATCGCCAGCCTCAGTCAGACGGAAGGTGAGGGACTCCTCTCGGAACCGAAGGTTCTCAGTCGGGATGTGGCCATCCAAGAAGATGTTGATACCTTCACGGACAGAGGAGGGCAGAGTAACAACACCGTAGACAGCAGGACGACCATAAAGCACGCAAATGAAGTCGGACAGGTAGTCCAGCACGGACAAATCGTGCTCAACAACAATGACGTAGTCGTCGGGCCGCAGAAGACCCCGAATGGTGCGGGCAGCGGCCAGACGCTGCTTCACATCGAGATAAGACGAAGGCTCGTCGAACATGTACCTGGAGAAAGCATTAAAAACCAAAACTACCAATTTCTACCCAGGTGTTCACTCACACGTCGGCTTTCTGCACGCAGACCAGACCAATGGCAAATCGCTGAAGCTCACCACCAGAAAGATGGTCAATATCACGGCTCGCAACCTGGTTCAGTTCTGCACAGCCATTAGCACAAATTCAAGCTGAATTGCGTGCAGATTACTTACCAAGAACATCCATAATCTCTTTCATGTTGCCCATTTGAGAGCGGGTCTTGATAAGCTCCTGTACCTGCTTGACGGGACCCTTCACGGCTCTGGGGATCTGGTCGACATACTGAGGCTTGACAACAGCCTTCAGGTCGTCTTCCAGGACCTTGGTGAAGTAGTCTAACATTGTCAGCACATTTCATTCGGTAATTCAATCACCCCCCAGGCATGCTCACTCTGCAGCTCGGAACCACGGAAGTACTTCAAGATCTCCTCCCAGTCAGGTGGGTTGTCATAGCGGCCCAGGTTGGGCTTCAGCTTGCCGCTCAGAATCTTCAACGCCGTACTCTTGCCGATACCGTTGGTTCCGACCAGACCCAAGACCTGACCAGGACGAGGCATCGGAAGTCGGTGGAGCTTGAAACTGTTGGCCGAATAACGGTGGGTGACCTGGCTTTCCAAGTTGGTGGGCAAGTTGATGATATGAATTGCGCCAAAGGGGCATTTCTTCGGGCAGATACCACATCCAATGCACAGCGACTCGGAAATGAAGGCGATCTTGGAGGTGGAGTCGACTTCAATGCAAAGCTTGCCTGTGCGGACCACCGGACACGACTTCTTGCACTCTTGACGACATTTCTGCAGAAATCAGTCTCCATTGATAATATATCGCACACCGTTTGAACCCATACCTTTGGTTTGCACTACATATCGAGGTAGATTCGTGTAAGCCGGGCTTGAACGAAGCGGTTGGGAGAAGAAGACCGGGTTAGCGGGGCAATAAGGACGAACCTTGTCACTGTTGACAATCGCAATACTGTGGACCAACTGAATGTTAGACACGCACATCCAGATGCGACGATTTTCAGGGCACATACCGCGTAAGCTTATCAGACATGGTTGCGGATTCGCTTCGACGAAGCTAGAAGAGCAAATGAACGGGCACGAGTGGCGAAAATGCGTGCGAGTCGCCGTCGAAGGGACCGAGAAAAAGCTGTCGCAGCTAAGATATCGGGGCGCTGGAAGGCACCTAAGGTTGTGTCTGCGCAGACTCGGAAGGTGACGGAGGGGAAGAACAATAGCAACGATGGAGGGGCCCAAGAGAAATGCCTTTCATGAAGTGATTGTGGGCTGTGCGGCCTGAGGCCACAACAAATGACTCAGCATCCACACATGGCTAATGAATTTACCCACTCGCTGATTGGCTGTCTGGCAAATCACCTGACTGGTGCCTCACGGCTGAGGCGGCCACCAAGCGATCCCTGTTCAGCGCCAAACCGCCGAAACGCCAGGCCCAACTCTCGTTCTTCCTCACTCGGAATCTCCTCTCCCACTCCCCCCTCAGCCCGCCCATCGCGCCTCTTCCTCCCCACCACCATTCCTTCCTTGCAACCATTGCTATCTTGACCACCCCATCTGCGGGGTCACCACGCTATGGAGTGTAAGTAATTTTCTCTTTTCACTTGGAAAAATTACAGCGTTCTGTCCGAGCGGCTGCCGGGGTACTTCTCCACGCTTTTCGACCCACCAAGAGTCCTCACAATCCCTCTTTCTCTGGTGGGAATAAATACTTGGCTTTTTGCAGTCTGTGCTCGATACCATATTCATCTCTGGGGTTCGTTGTGTATCTCAATCAGCCCGTCGGTGCTCCGTTCGTCACGGCCGCGTCCATCCCACCCGTCATCCAAAAATACCCTTCTCCATCTAATTTGATATTCTGCCTTTTACTACTATCTTTTGCCCTCTATTTGCATGCGAAATTAGTCGCGGAACACTGTTTTACCATTGCCTGTGCCTCCCACACCTTTGTTGCCGAGAATTGAGCTCCAATGCTGACTGCCCTTCGAATATAGCCTCTAGCATGGTGATCCCATCTGCTCAGAAACCTCCTCCTAGCGCGACAATGTCAAATGGCTATCCCCACTCTCCCGTCGCCGTTGATGCCCCTGCAGAAAGCGACGTGGTTCCCAAAAGCGAAGCCACCCCGTCGGAACCCATCGACTCTCACGCCGTCTCCGAGTCCTCCCCCGAACCCGATCTTGCAGACGAGTCATTTGATGGCGCATCTCCAACGTCAGATGGAGAAGACGATGATGTGGTGATAGAACCTAGTGGTGACGAGTCTAACCCGTCTAGTCGCGAAAATTCTGCATTTCCCGACTCTCGCCTCGACGCGAAGCGCAGATCGTCGCCGCTGGACGAGACCGAGTTGATGAGACAAAATCCCGATCTATATGGACTACGTCGCAGCGGTCGGGCGCGCACCACACGTCATCTGGCCGATTCGTCGTCAGATTCTGAATCCGATGTCGTTGCTCCTCGAGCAAAACGCCGGCGCAAGGAACCCTCTCAACTCTCCAAGGCCTCGCGCTCGGTCACAGCATCCTCACTGTCGGAGACAGATAGCGATGAATACGGCGGCAAGAGTGCTCGTGCAAGCAAGGCAAGACGGCGGCGCCTGAAAGAGGCCGCTAGCGTCGAACCTTCGTTCGCCGAGGTGCGGTTTTCGACAAGAAATGCATCCCGAATTAATAACTATAACGAGGATGAGGATGACTCAATCTTCGATGAGGACGCCGGGGATACCGCTCAAAACTACTGGCTCGACGCTACTGAAGACACTCGCCCTGCCGTTGATGTCGTCCTCAACCACCGTCTCAAAGAGGGTGTCGACCCCAACAATCCTGACGTCGACCGCCGAGACTTCGAGTTCTACATCAAGTGGCAAGGCATGTCACATTATCATGCCACATGGGAATCAAATGAGTCTCTCGCGAACTTCCGCAGCACTCGTCGCGTTGACAATTACGCACGGAAGGTTCTCATGGAGGATCTCCGTCTGCAACACGACCCCAGTGTCCCTCCTGAGGATCGTGAAAAGTGGAATCTCGATCGCGAGCGAGATGTCGAGGCAATTGAAGATTACAAGAAGGTCGAGCGTGTTATTGGCGTCCGTGACGGTATCGATGGCACGACTGAGTACCTTGTGAAATGGAAACGCCTCTTTTACGATTCATGTACCTGGGAAACCGAAGACATGATTAGTGAGATTGCACAACATGAAATTGATCGCTTCATCGACCGCTCTGCTCGCCACCCTGTCTCCGACAAAATGGAGACTAACCCGGCTACTCGGAGGCCATTTGAGCCTATCCACGGCACCCCGAGCTTCCTGCAGAACGGAGAACTCAAAGACTTTCAGGTCAAAGGCTTGAACTTCTTGGCTTTCAATTGGGTTAGGGGCCGTAATGTGGTCCTGGCAGACGAAATGGGACTCGGAAAAACAGTGCAAACTGTCTCATTCATCAATTGGATGCGCCATGTGAGACGGCAACAAGGCCCGTTCATCGTCATCGTCCCTTTGTCGACCATGCCGGCTTGGGCCGAGACCTTCGACAATTGGACGCCAGATTTGAATTACGTTGTCTATAACGGCAGCGAAAAAGCCCGAGCAAATCTTCGCGATTACGAATTGATGGTTGATGGCAACCCCAAGCGGCCCAAGTTCCATGTTCTGTTAACCACTTACGAGTACGCTATGAATGACTCGCCTTTCCTTGGCCAGTTCAAGTGGCAGTTCATGGCTGTCGACGAAGCCCATCGTCTCAAGAACCGCGACTCTCAACTCTATGTAAGGTTGGTTGACTGGAGCTGCCAGGCTCGTCTGCTGATCACCGGAACTCCAATTCAAAACAACCTTGCAGAACTGTCATCTTTGATGGACTTTTTGAACCCTGGACTGATTCAGGTCGATGTGGATATGGACCTTAATTCGGAGGCGGCCTCACAGAAGCTTGCTGAGCTCACCGACGCTATCCAGCCTTTTATGCTGCGTCGTACCAAGTCCAAGGTCGAGTCTGATCTCCCCCCAAAACAGAGAAGATCATCCGAGTCGAGCTCTCTGATGTTCAATTGGAGTACTACAAGAACATTCTGACGAAGAACTACGCGGCGCTGAATGACGGAGCGAAAGGAATGAAACAATCGCTTTTGAATATCATGATGGAACTGAAGAAGGCCAGCAATCATCCTTTCATGTTCCCCAACGCCGAGGCAAAGATCCTGGAAGGGAGTACCCGCCGAGAAGATATTCTACGGGCAATGATCACTAGCAGTGGAAAGATGATGCTCCTCGATCAGCTCCTTCGAAAGCTGAGAGGCGATGGTCATCGAGTTCTTATCTTCTGCCAGATGGTTGGCATGCTCAACATCCTTAGCGAGTACATGGAGTACCGTGGCTACAAATACCAACGGCTGGATGGAACCATCCCTTCCGCGGCGCGGCGCTTGGCAATTGAACATTACAATGCCCCGGAGAGCACGGACTTTGCATTCCTCCTCTCGACTCGAGCAGGTGGTCTTGGAATCAACTTGATGACTGCCGACACGGTTGTTCTCTTTGACTCAGACTGGAATCCTCAGGCTGATCTACAGGCAATGGCTCGAGCCCACCGTATTGGCCAGACTAAGCCCGTCAGCGTGTACCGTCTTGTCTCAAAGGATACAATCGAAGAAGAAGTCATTGAAAGAGCTCGCAATAAGCTTCTTTTGGAATTCATTACCATCCAGCGTGGCGTCACTGATAAAGAAGCTTCCGAGATGCAGAATAAGATGGCGCGGGTCGTGAACGAACCCAACTCCACCGACGACATCTCACGAATCCTCAAGCGTCGTGGTCAGAAGATGTTTGAGCAGACTGATAACCAGAAGAAGCTTGAACAGCTTGATATTGACTCCGTTCTCGCGAACGCAGAATTGCATCAAACCGAGGAGACGGAGCAGATACAGGCCGACGGTGGCGAGGAATTCCTGAAAGCCTTCGACTTTGTTGATATCAAGGTCGATGACCTCAGCTGGGACGACATCATCCCCAAGGAACAACTTGAAGAGCTCAAAGCGGAGGAGAAGCGCAAGGCCGATGAGGTATACCTCAACGAAGTTATTGAACAAAATCGGCCTCGCAAACGCCAAGCACCCACCGACTCTCGAGACTCGCGTGAAGAACGTAAGGCTAAGCGCCAAGCGCGAGTGCAGGTCATTGACGATGGAGAGGAATCAGAGGGTACCTCGTTGGATCCCAAGCGTCCACTTAGCGAGAAAGAATATCGCTCCCTCTCGCGCGCATTTCTTCGTTACGGTGATATGGCTGACTGCGAGGATCTCATTTTGGAGGATGCCCACCTGAAAAGTCGTGATCGGGAAACCGTGCGCGCTGCTCTTCGTGAAATCACGGACAAGGCCGCTTCTCTTGTCGGAGAGAACCAGGCTCAAATAGACGCTCTCAAGCAACAGGGCAAGAACCTCACCAAAAAGGAAATGAAAGCGGTTTTGTTCGATCACCATGGAGTCAAACGGCTCAATGCCTGGACTATCGTCGAGCGCCCGCCCGACATGCGCCTGCTCCGGAACATCACCACCTCTGGAACGGATTTCAAGAGTTTCCGTCTTCCCGAGGCCACTAAGTTGGCTGACTACAGTTGTTCGTGGGGTGCACGTGAGGATGGCATGCTTTTGGTTGGCATTGCCCGCCATGGATTCGGTGCATGGACACAGATCCGCGACGATACGGACCTCGGGCTTGGAGATAAGTTCTTCCTTGAAGAGCATCGTGTGGAGAGGAAGACGCAGCGCATGCATGGCGAGGAGAAAACCACCAAGTCTCCTGGTGCTGTCCACCTTGTTCGCCGCGCCGAATACCTGATGTCGGTCTTGAGGAACAAGTACAGCAATGGCAGCAACGCGAGCGCCAGGCGTGCCGTGGACAACCACCACCGGAACAACAAACGCAACTCGCGTGTCTCTGCCAGTGGCAGCATCTCAGCCTCCCCTGCTCCCTCCAGCTCCCGTAAAGGGCACCGCGAAGTAGATCGCTCCCGAGCACGTTCTCATACTCATGGCAACCGGGATGGTGACCGTCACCACACCCCAAGCCATGAAGCCCGTCCGCGGTCGGGCCATGATGCTGACCGGCCTCGTCATCGCCTGTCAGATGCTACAAACGAAGAGCTTCGCCGCCGGAAGAGCCATGAGAATGGTCATTCCAGTAAGGAAGACATGGCGTCCATGTTCTTCAAGCCCATCGTTCAGAATCTGAAGCAAGTGACAATGATCACGGCCAAGAACTATCCGAACAAAGCCGAGCGCGCTCAGAAGTTGCGGAGCACCATTGTCAAAATTGGCGAGTTCATACACAACACCTTGGAGGGATCGCGGCCGATGCCCTCCCTCGAAACGCGTCTCTGGTAGGTCTCGTATATTTTAATTCTGGCTTATAGTCTTGTTGCTGATGACTCTAGGGAGTATGTGTCTCTTAACTACTGGCCCAACAAAGAGGCCAGTGGCTCCAAGCTCCAGCAGATGTACGAGAAGGTCATGGAGGCGAGCAAAGCCTCGAAGACCTCATCCAATGGTGCATGATCTTGATCTTGCCATGACCAGATATCCTTGGTCTCAGATTGCTCGTATCATGGCTTCACATGATAGGCAGCTCTAGCTCTCTGACCTTGGTTTCACATATCCACTGGCATAACCTTGACCACTTCTACATTGCATTACATGAGGGGCACCTCACGCGTCTCTTCTTAGCCTTTTCACGGCCTTCTTGATGCTCTGTCATCAAGATTAAACGCCATTGATCTTCAAATTTGATTGGTACATATCATATGGATGCAACGAGTTGCATGGCATTGCGAAAGGCGTCGAATGATTTACACGAACAAAAAGCACACACCGTGGGCCATCTTAGCTCATTTGAGAACGGACCCAAAATTTCAGACGAAATGCATGGCGTGTTTTGGAGTATGTTTCCTTGTCTCTAATTTGTCTCTTCCTGCCTAGAATATGAGAATTGCATAGGACCTCTAGCCAACTTGGTTGGTTTTTAAGGCTATCGCATATCTCTCATTTACTTTTTCGTTTTCGTTTTCTTGTACGTTTGGACACTCTGGTTCAGACACTTCCTTCCTATGGAAGAGTTCACCCTCTAGGGTCCTTTCTTTTTCTTTCATGTTCCTGCTTCCTTTTCTTTTCTTAGCACATGTACTTTATGGAGCGGTTAACTACCGCGGCGTCGATGATTTGCTGTTGTCTTGGTGTGACGAGATCATTCAGTTGGTTTGGAGCGCTTGTTGCCATATCATTGTCATATTTTGTTTAGAGCCAAATGGAATTGGATCATACTTCGGTACCTTCTCTCAGGGCCAGAGTTTGAATCCTCTTGTATCTGCTTTTCTCGCGTAGACTAAATACTCGTTTAAATGGCTTAACAGTCATCGGTACCTTACTCATGCCATTCATGGGATCTCAGTAGGTAGATCATTCCCAAAGAGCCAGAAGAAATAAAGCCTGATATTGTCAGGACAGACGATACACAAAAGGGCCACTGCAACCCTTCCGAAAAAGCTATTGATACAAGTGCCGTCCAGCCCTCTCGCCGTTTCCGTGTCACCAAATGCGAACCCCCGATTTGAAAATATGGGTAAAATGAACAAAAAGTAGAAGGGCGGCCAAACGCTGAGAGTCGTAGATCTTCAAACCATAACATTGACACCAAGCGCCGTAAGGAGGGAAGAGAATCCAAAATAGGGGAATGCAGTAACGGATATATCCGGTGTTGATAAGTCGGAGCAGAAGAACTGAAGATTATTCAAATCATGCTACTCCGGCCGGCTTGATCCCTTGCTGCCGCTGCTGTTCTTTAAATTGCTGTTGTTGCTGCTGCAACTTATCCAGACTACTGGAAAGAGTGGCCGCAGGACCAGTCGGAATACTGACGTCGGTAGTGGTGCCAACAATGGCGCTGAATAGCCTGAGCTCGCCCTCAATCACGTCGTCAACAATAACCTCCTTCTCCTCCCAGGCGCGTTCTCGCTGTGGCCGAATTTGCTCCCACTCTGACTGCAACTGCGCGGCCTCTTTCTCGGCCCAGGAGATTTGCCGCCGCAGAAGACGGTACAGGTCGCGCGGGTGCATGGAGAGTTCGTGGTCGTCAAAGCCGAGGTCTGAAGTGAACTCGGGCATGGTCATCTCATCGAGGTCGGATGACTCGCCAACAGCATTGTTTATTGTAGAGGCGGTGATTGTGGCGGGCTCGTTGTTGTGCTCGGCCTGCTCAGCCCCGGGTTCCTTGGGCGGGTGGGTGAGCTTCAGACGGATGCGCTGCAGCTTCGAGGCAGGGGTGCTCGGTTGGCCCTTGGAGTCGGTCACGCGCGGGCCATCGGTCTCATGGACGGAGCGCATGTGCTTGGTTAGAGCGTCGGATCGGGTGAAATTGCGGTCACATTCTGGCTCGTTGGTCAGTTATGCATGAAGGAAATCGCATCCCCATCATGTACTTACCAGGCAAGGTGCAGTAAAACGGCTTCTCGCGGGTATGGCTCCTCATATGAGCGCGCAGCGCATACGCACTGGCGTGCGTTTGACCCTTCCGGCTGCAATCGGTCCACTCGCACGAGTACCGCTTCTGTCGGCTCCCGATGTGTTCGTTGTGGATGTGCTGCACCAGTCCATCCATGTTGCCCAGATCGCCGGCGCTACATCCGTCCCACCGGCAGACGGTGATCTGGTCATTGTTCTGGCCGCTGTACTCCTCGTCCTGGTTGTTGCCGAGCACGGCCTGCAGGCTGGGCGAGTTGGGGATGTCGCCCGAGGAATCGGAGGAAATCGAGGCGGTGGGCGAGGTCGGAGGCGGCATCTCATCCTGCACGGATGACAGTGGCGTCTGGCGGTCCCATGAGGCTACACCGGTGCGACGGCGTTTGGAGGGCGGCATGTTCGAGGCCGAAGGGGAGTGCGCGCGACTCTCCTGTTTGACGGACTCGTGGTCGGAGGATTCGACCTCGTCCGCGGTGGACAGGGGAGAGGCTTCTCTCGAGGCCATTATGGGAGTTGGGACAATGGAATGATTCAGTAGTGAGTCAGGGGATGTAGTTAAACAACTCGAAGTGTGCAGCAAGGACAATGCGATCAATGGGTTAGTCGGTCAGCTGTCCATCACGTGATGGGTGTTTTATTCATTCCGCAACTCAATCTTCTCTCTTCTTCTCTTTTCTCTTCTCGCTCTGAATGGTACTTATATCTGTTACAACCAGACCCAATTAACAATTGACAACATGGTAAGTCTCATCGCCCTCGACAGTCTATTTCCTCTCTACGGGATGAATCAAAAGAAGAGTTCTGCAATTCTGACAACCTCCTCGCACTCCGTGTGCAGTGAGGTTGCATGTTGATTTTTCTACACTTGATCTGACTTGTGGAATAATGATCGTTTTACCATCATGTTACATCGCTATCTGGTATTTCATGGCTAACGATCACAGTAATTGATCACTAGGATAATCATCGCGCTCAGTAGCGCCCCCCAACCACCTTGTTTTCCTTCAAGATGCCATCGACCTCTGCCATCTCTGCATCGGTCAGTGGCTTGACACCTTGCATGTTCTGAACGACCTTGTCCTTGGTAGTACCACCAGGAATGGGGATGATGGTGGGCATGCCAGGCTTGCCGCTCAGGCTGTGCACCCAGCCCAAGGCCACTTGGGTGGGAGCAACGCCCTTCCGAGTCGCGAGGCTTTCAACCTCGTTGATCAGCTTCAGGTTGGTCTGGAAGGCTTGCTCCTGGAAGCGGGGCAAGTAACGGCGGAAATCGCCCTCGGGAATGTCACTCGTAGACTTCACGGCGCCGGCGAAGGCACCTCGGCCCAGCGGGGAGTAGGCAATGACGGGAATGTTGAGCTCGGCGCAGGCTTTGGCGACGTCGTTCTCGAGGATATCGGTCGACCACAGGGACAGCTCCACCTCGACGGCGGCGATGGGATGTATCTTCGCGCTATAAGCAAATAGTTAGAATGCAAAAGGATCTCGTAAAAAGAAAGAAAGAAAAACATACGCGCGCCGGATGGTAGCCGCATCCACCTCGCTCAGTCCAATGCCACCAATCTTGCCCTCCTTCACGCACTGGGCCAGGACCGACACCGTCTGCTCCACGGTGGTGTTGGGATCTTGTCGCGCACACTCAAAGATATCGATCTTCTTCTTGCCATCCAGCAGACGCAGGCACTCATCCACGCTGCGACGAATGTTCTCCTCCGATCCATCGGGAGCGAGTTGGCCGGGCTTCAGGCCACCCTTAATGCTCAACACCACCTTGTCCGCATTTTCCGGATACTTGGTGAAGTACTTGTTCAGCAGGTGAAGAGAATTGTACTCCGGTGTGCCGTACAGCTCGCCGCCGTTCCAAAAGTTTGCGCCCAGCTCCAGCGCTGTGTTAAGGGACTCAAAGCACTTCTCGAGTGAAGGCGGCTGCGGAGTCCAGGTCATTCCTTGATGGTCCGGTCAGTCCTAAGGCCCTCAGTGGGGGGGGGGGTTCAGGGCGGAATTGTACTCATCAGGCCATAGCCAGTAGGGCCGATTGTCTTTCCAACGAGCGAAGGCATTGTGTGTGATATGGGTGGTACTGTGCGAGGATTGATGCTCCAGTTGAGTTTTTTCAAGTTCGAAGTTGGGCTTTATAGCTCATCGTCACACTCAAACTCTCGCCGCCCCACTCCCTTATCCCCGTCAACGATCTGACAAGACGATTAGGTGGTCCTGGATAACAGGAAATTTCCACTGCCATTGTGACACTTACCGATGCTTCCGTATCTATATCTCCGGGCGGACTTCGCGCATATTCGCCATCAGAATCGGTAATAGCGGAAGAATTGTATCGGAGAACGAGATGTGGAGCACGGAGTTAAGAGTAAGGACCCTGAGAGGCAAATATAGCTTTGGCTCCATGTACACGCAGTAACTACCACTGCTTTTGTAGGCTCGCTCTGCTATGGGCAATTCTGTCTAACACTGACTCAGACATGAACGAACGAACTAGAGCTAACTACCCTCCACGCAAACTTTATAGTAAGTGACCAAGAAGGAAAAAAAAAGAAAAGTAGTAGAACCAGCATTCTACCTCCGCAGCGAAACCTCATCCGATGAGTCCAGCCTTTCCCGGAACCGATCTGACAATGTCTTGTACAAGGCCCTGAAGATCCTGGGGATGTCATTTATGGTGAGCTTTCCATTGTTCTCACCAGGACCAACCTCCAAATTCTTAACCGGCTTATAATCGCTGCTGCCATGCGTGAAAGTTTTCGTGTAGCTGACTCCATCGTCGCTGCTCACTGGCGTCGGATTCGGGGCTAGGGTAGCGTCAGCTATTGGTGTCGGTGTGGACATCTGAGTCGATCTCTCAATAGAGGTCGAATTGTGGCTCGAGGTCGACGAAGGCGTGGAGTTGGACTTGTGCGGGTATGACTCGTTGATCGGCTTGCCCTTTTCACTCGTGGCTTTAGGCTCGAGAGTCTGGAGCAGATCGAGAGCGGCAAAGACGCTGGATAAGTAATTTGTATTGTCGGGGATGAGTCTCTGTTTATATGTTAGCACGAAAGAACTTTTCATATAGATTGATTCAGTAACGGACCCGAGGTTGCAGACCAAAAGCTGGCCTTGCTGGATTGCTTTTTCTAGCGTCAGGCAATGGACGCGCGTGAATCGCACATACTGCCAGCAAAGACATGGCCAGAATGGTCATCCAGGATGACCTGGGAGCGAGACGCGACATTTCAGATCAGGTTCGCGCAAAAAGTGAAGATTTGAAGGTCCTGTGAGGCCAGGGAGTGCGGGTGAGACAAAAGTTGATGCACACAATATCGCGACGGTTTGCATGCGCAAGTTGATCGAGATCCACCAACTCATATGCAACGGGGCCTCTTCAAACACCAAAATGCCTTCTGCTATCATATGGAATGAGGACTGGCTCAGGTGTGTGGAATACCGCATCATGTTTACATACTTCTGCCAGGGACCTCCTCTTGGGACCTACCCGGTTAGCCCTACCTTGTGTAGTTTCAGGCACATACATACGCATAAACTTATAGCTTCTGACTGATAAAAACAAGAAATTATAACTCGCTCGAGCCGACTTTCCCATCTCAGCGTGCAAATTATGATGTGTTGTCCTCGTTGATCAGCAGGAATGTTGGACAACATTCCAGACGTCTCACTTCCCAACGAATCAAAGCGTCCTTGCTAGATCATAATGACCATGCCGAGGGGCAGGAGAGGTGTGTGCTCTTGGATAGTTCAAGAAAAGATTCTGGAATGATGGGGGTAGTACTTTCTCATATTTGGGTGCTACAGTCGTTTCAGGTTCCTTGATCCATCCGTTCCCCATATATGCACTCTTACAAGAGGAATTGTTTCACCTCTTTCCCATCGCCAATTTGCATTATACACACACGCACAGAGAGAGATATATATAGAGAGAGAGAAGGTAGGAGAATATAGAGAAGAAAATAGTGTGAAAGCAAGGAATGGTGAAGGTTGAAATTGTTGATTAGGCGCAACAGACGGTATCGGCAAAGGCTCAAATCGGTGGGAAAAGGCTATAGATCAATCAGAACGCTAGAAATTAAGAAAAGACGCACACAAATGATGATTCGGGAATTTAGGCGTCTAAAGATTCATTTGAACATACCGGATATCTCGGATAGAAATTGAAAATGGGTCTTCCCTGCCTCAAGTATTTACAGTTCGTGAATTTGGGGTTTTGTACCGAGGCCCAGAGGCGGCAATAGCTCGAATTCCATCACTTGTTTGTATGGATATTCGAGTGGTTCTCCAGTCTTCAGAACAAGTCTTTCAAACTGGCCAGGGAATTGACTGTGGGTGGTATCCAAGAAGCAGAGATTATGGGACTTGTCAAAAGCAGTCCATCTGTGGCCATAGAAAATTTCACCAAAATTTTCGGCAGATCGACAGTTCAGAACGGGGGCTGGGTTAGTTTCCGGTGCTGCACGGGAGTATCTGATGTGGAGGGAGAGAACGCGGAGTTTATCGAACTTAGTTGCTAGTGCGCTAAGAGTCTTCGATGGCTAGATATTAGTTAGTAAAGAATCCATTTCGCTCATAGATGGCTGGATTGTTCTGTCGTACCCACTCCTCGTTGTCAGGATTGATATCAAGCGCCAGTTTTTGCAGATTAGGACACTGCGCATCCAAATACTCCAGATCCTCACAGCTTAATGTCGCCTTGTCTTGTCGAAAACGACTCCACTCATTAACGTGCAAAGAGAGATTTGTCAGCTGTGTATGAAGAGCCACGTCCTTGACGAAACAAAAGGTCTTTGTCACCTCCAAGGACTTTAGGGTATTGAATGATGCGAGGAATTGTGAGAGACGAGCCTGGGAATGAGAACACGCGCATAGATATGTGAAGCTTTGTAAGAAGCGAGCCTGGCCATTTAGCCTATTCAGCGCTGCACACGCATGCATACTTAAGGGGCCTATGCTAACAGATGAGAGACTTGGCCAGCAAATAGTGTCCTCCCATCTAGCCCAGTTAGGGCCCCCAATTTGGCCTCCATTTATCGAAAGAGACTGAATGGGAGGAAGCATGTCGCCGGACGCCCATTCCACATCACAGGAGGCTGGCTCAGGGATTGGCGGGTCCTGGAACAATTTTCCAACAGAGAATGATTTCAGGTTTGGACAAGACAGTAGGAGACAGTGCATGTTGGCATCTCTGCAGATTTCATCGCGCGCTGATGGTCCTCTAGGGAAAAAAGCGTTGATCTTCGAAACCCACGGCAGAAGTCGACCGCGAGGGGGTGGATTCATGCCATCTTCATTCAGAAGCTGAATATCAAGTTCACGGGGATGACTTTCAAGGGTCTGGATGAGTCTGTGTGACAAAGGGGCCGTGAATTCAACCCTATTGAAAATTTAGCCATGATGTCCTTCCAGACAAGGACCCCGTGCCTACCGGACTCGACGCAGGTTTGGCAAGTTCTGGATGAGTCGAGACAAGCTCTCCTTTGCCCTGAACTTTGCCATCGCGCTTTCAAATTCGGGAGTCTTCTTCAGAACAGGTTTGAGTGTCAACTCTCGCACGAGTGGCTTGAACTTATCATCGCGCGTGTTTAACAATCGACGGAGAATGGTTCCAGAGATCCTGACGGCCTCGTCCTTGGGTTGAACGCCATCGAGGGGAAGAGAGGCCGGGTTCAACACAATAGACCGATACAAGGCTGATGTAAATTGAGCGTTGCGTTCCTTGGACACCAAACATAGGTTTAACAGGTCATTCTTGTTGTTTCTGCCAAGCTAGAATAGTGCTGGGTCAGTTGGCTTCCCGCCTGTGGATGTGCGGGGCTCTCACAGCGTCGGCGATCAAGTACCAGATATCCCAGCTCAGCTCAGGGCAATGCGCGTGTTCTCGTGAGGGCTCGTTGATCTTCAGCCTTTTGTCCTGCGGGGTTTCTTGTGGATACGATTTATCGCGTCTTTTACGTCGTGTATTCGGCATGGCTTGTAGTTGTGGAGGGAAAGAGGGAAGGGGAAGAAGGAGAGATGGGAAGCACTTGTTATCCCCGGGTGAAGCTCTTCGTAGGGGCGGAAGCACAGCCCCGCCCAGAAACGTTGGGGCTGCCTACGGGGGATTTATATATATTATTCTAGCGTTTGATGTAAATCGTTTGCTCTGGGAGTTTCCGAATTGACGCGTCAAACCAAACAAAGCTCTTGGCCTGGCTAAGAATACGGTAGGGAGAGAGGTCTATAGTTTACCTGGTAATCAACTATGACATCAGTCCCATCCTGCAGTAGCCTTCCCCGCTTTGTATCCTTCACTCACCCTAGACCTATTGAAGTGCCTACGGGGTTGGGCATACGATATTGCCTGTCGTCGAAGACGGCAAATCTTGTGCCATAACAACGACAGGTTCCGAGACGACATCAAGATATCTCTGGCCATGAGTGAACCGACCCGTCCCTCTTATATAACCGGCGGGTGCCTATGCGACCAAGTGAGATACAAAGCTGAGATCGGAGACAAGTATGCCTGGCCGCCCGGGGTATGTTTGGCTCCACATCCCTTCTGAAGTACTGCGTGTGACAGGAGAGCAGCCGCATACCTGCTCTTGTACCCACTGCCGTAAACATACGGGGGCACCTTTTGCACTCTTCCTCACCTTTACATGCCCGCAACTCGGCTGGAAGAGCCCAGAAATAGGCATGCCGAGCGTGTCTAATATACCCCAAGAGCTATCAACAGCAGCCAGAGAGTATTCACATACGCAGGGTCGATACCGTGGATTCTGTGGGGTATGTGGGTCAACGCTGTACTGGCGGTGCCCAAGCGAAGATGGGGATGAGATCGAGATGTGTGTAGGGACTGTGGATGAGGAGTTTTTGGAGAAATACGGACAAGCGTTGTGTGAACCGAAGAGGGCGAGGTTCTATGCAGGGAAAGAAATTCATGGAGCTGGGTTCGGTGGAGAGTTCAAGGCTGGAATCTCAGGACCGAGATTTACGGAGGGAAGCCGGAGTGAGAAACTTGAATAATGTTATTGGTGTATACCTAGCTTTGCTGCAGAATCACAGGAACCGACCCATGACTGGATATATAACTTCATGCTTGGCAACAGACGCCTCAACTCCAACATATATGGAAACCAAAAGACATGCACAGAGACTCTTCCCACCCCCCGGCATATGTAAGAACCGCGCTGAAAGTCAAATCTCACTGGGTATCATCTTTCCAGTCCCGAACCGTCCAAGACTCCGCTCCATCCCCGACAACCAACTCGAGAGTCGTAAATGTGATCTTCTCATACAGCTCTCGGGCAGCCATTCGCGCCTTCGCATGCCATGGCCCCCGACCACCAAGCCGCGCATCAGTGCGACTGCGCCAAACGCCTATTTTCCACGAATTAGCCCAGATGAACGTGATAATAACGGCAAAAGAAACGTACAGGTCGCCAAATTTTGATGATCTTGATCTTTAGTCCCAAACCAATACTTCAACAGGCCCCCACTGGCAATAGCCTCTTGATGCGAATGCGCATCCAGCGCATATAAACGATCCGCGTCCGCATCTGGCTTCAGCTTTGATCGGAACACGACCACGTAGAACGACTGCTGCGTCCACGTGTGGCTCTCAGCATCAGCGAAAGTCCTCACTAGATGAAAGATATCGTCCCAGTTGAACGATTCCGTGTATGGCGCTGTTGCATAGTCGTCACGAATGGGTCGGAGGGCCGACAATGCTAGCGCCAACAGCCGGTTCTGGGTATCGAGGGTTTCTAGATCCAGAAGGTGAGGCACATCGTTGTATGGTGAGGCGATGAGACGGGTGTCTGTGTCCAGGGCTGCGAGGTTGGGCGCGTTCTTGCTGAGCTGCCATTGCAATGCGGCGGCGGCGCGGAATTTCAGCGGATCAAAGGCTGTAGTGATTAGGCTGTGATGGAACAGCTGCTGCGAGGGCTTGCCGACATGGCTGTTTGTGTTCGTGGTTGTGCTGCTCTGGGCTGGACCGCTGGTTATCCCTGGAGCCATGGTCTATTATCTATTCGACTGGCGGTGGGATTCGAATGAGAATTGGGGGTTGGTTAAAGCAATACTGAATGACAACTTCAAGTCGTTCAGCGGCAGCTCTATGATATATATCGAACCCCGAAAGAAGGAGAAGAATGACAGCACATGCAATAATAACGAACGAGGACAAGATTATCCAGGCACGCTGTAGGGAAAAAAAAGTTTTCCGAACCAGACTTGCCCCAGGCACCGGACCCGAAGGAAACGATGGAGACCTTTATACCAGATCTCCACCGTCCATCCGTCCTTGTACCACATTCCGCCAGAATTGTGCCAGATACCGTTAGCAATACTCATCGACACCGCACGAGCACGCCATTCTCTACCGAATGTGGCGACCGTTGCTTGTACCATGGAGCATATTTGAGTTTCGGGGCGCAACTGGTGCCCGATGCAACATCTCTTTATCTCTTTGTCAAGGAAACTCAAACCTCAGGCACGTGTCGCCCCCCGAACCCTAACAAAACGGCCCGATTGTAGCGGTTGGTCCACCGGCAATCCTGTCGTCCCGCTGCCACTCACCGACTATTTAATACTGCCTTACGTCTCATGATCCTGGCCCTAAATGCGATCACCGGGTCATTATTTCATTGGTTCTAATTAGAGCAAGGGCCCCTTTGACAGACTAATATACAAGAAGAATGGTATCACGTGAAACATTGCCAGCCCTGGATCTCCTCCCCCAAAACGCCTCTCAAATGCGTACGGACATAGACCAGGAAAGGATTATGGCTTTGCGGGCGGGCCCATCTTGCCTTCGCCAGTGTCGACCTTCTTCTTGGGCGGGATGGCAGGGACCTTGAAGCCCCCGTTTTCGCCTTGAGCATTGGTGCTGCTCTGACCGCCGACCTGGGTGAACGTGCCGGATTTGAACCACCGGTCCTCCTCGGCTTTGCGCTTGCGATTGAGTTCGGCTCGGACATTCGGATCGACCAGTTCCAACCCCTGGACCGGGGTGAAGGCAATCGTACTGGCAGTACCCGCGGTCCCGGACAAAGAGGGACCAACGCCCGAAGTGCGGAGACCCTTGGCCTGGAGTACACTGGCAGTGCCTCCTGCACCACCTGCGCCTTGGCCGAAGCCGCGCAGCGACGAGGCCGTGCCACTGACGGGAGTAGCAGCACCCCAGCCCTTGTTGTTTTTGCTGAGTTTGGCACGGGTGCGCTGGTCGATTTGCGTTGCACGAATTCGTCCGTCGTTCTGTTGTCCCAACATACCCAGACCCACGGTCCCCTCGCCAGTGCCGTATCCGACTTCTGATTCCTCCTTGCCGAACGCGACACGGTTCTGAGCTTTGCGTAGTTCTGTCATGGCGATCGCCTCCTTGGCATTTCGGGCACGGCGTCCACCACGCTTTCGAGCTGGCTTATCATCAGGTGCCGGAAGCGCCCGTTGCCCAGAGTTTGGTGGAGGCTCCGTGAGCTTTTCCAACCGCTGAAAACATTGCTGCTTCAGTTCTTCGCCAAGAGATCCATCTTTGGCGTGGTTTGAGACATCTGCCCGAGTAGCGAGTGCCATTTTCGCGGACACGATCCGGATAGCCTGTTTTTTCAGGTCGTTGGGAACCTCTTGAACCAACGGGGAGTCGTAGAGAAATCCTTTTGCTCGAACCCCATGATTTGTAGCAAAACCCAAGCCTTCCTGTCTTCTTGAGCCCTGTGCTCCCAGATTACACGAAGGAATCTTAGCCAGCTCGCGTAAACCGCCAGATTGGTTGAGGAATTGCGCCGCGGTCTCGGGCCCAATCAGCGCCGCCAGATTTGGTGCAATTTGATACACCCGAGACTGAATGCTCTCCGTAAGTGCCGTGCGTTCGCGGTCAAGTTTTAGAATCTTCGCGCATGTGTCCTGCACAACCTTGAGCTCTGATTCGGTCATCTCTCGCCCTCGAGTTGTCAATCCTTCCACCGTCACAACCATCAGAGACGGTCGATCGAGGACCGAATCGAGCGGCGCGCCCACCATGTTGTTTGATGAGGTCGATATAGCCTTGATATCGTCGAGTGGTCCATTTTGAAGAATGGCGACTGTCTTCGCGTAGTTGAGGGGACTCGTGACTAGGGTTTCGAGCTCGGGGAATCGGACTGAATAATGATCGCGCAGAGCTTTGTGTAGGCGGGTCAGCTCATCGGTAGCGCTGATGGAAAGGTCGAATTCGTTCGTCGCTCCGGGACCTTCCTGAGGCTTCTCTTCTTCCTGGGGCTCTTCCTCCACGTCCTCCTGCTGGAAGTCCTCATCTTCCTCGAAGTCGCGCAGGAGCTCCTCCGCGGTCGACATGTTGGCGAGCGAAAGCGACTGTCTTGTTGAGAAGAAAACAAATGCAAGAGACAGTCGTCGCCCGAGGACACCGCCGTTGGAAGTTTTGGTGAGTGAGTGAACGACCAAGAAATCATGGAAGAGAGAGGTGGTATGAGTAAGCAAAACTTGCAAGTAGGTGCTTCGGGCGGCGGCAAAGACCACAAGCGCAGAGCGATGATTTTCGATGAAGTTGGAAGAACCACCACTACTTTCATTCACCACCAGCAACAGCCCACGCCGGCGCTTCGGGATAAAGAAGCCAGGGGAATTCTCAGCCCGTTGATTTCTTGTTGTTGTTAGGCGCACACCGCACTCCCCAACCTAGCCAACGTTCATCCCCTGCCACCAAGAACCCCGAGCCGGTCTCATTTCGTTCGACACCGTCACCATGGAGGCGTCTCGTGGCCCTCCGCGGGTCAAGAACAAGGCCGCTGCGCCGATCCAGATCTCCGCGGAGCAGTTGCTCCGGGAGGCTGTCGATCGGCAAGAGCCTGGTCTACAGGCCCCGACACAGCGCTTTGCGGATCTCGAAGAGCTACACGAGTATCAGGGTCGGAAGCGAAAGGAATTCGAGGCCTACGTGCAGCGCAATCGCATTAACATGAACAACTGGATGCGATATGCGGCCTGGGAGCTGGAGCAGAAAGAATTCCGTCGGGCGCGTTCCATTTTTGAGCGCGCGCTGGACGTTGACTCTACCGCAGTGGTGCTATGGATCCGGTACATTGAAGCGGAAATGAAGACTCGGAATATCAACCACGCCCGCAACCTTTTCGACCGCGCCGTGACGATCTTGCCGCGCGTGGACAAGCTCTGGTACAAGTATGTCTACATGGAGGAGACGCTGGGCAACATCCCCGGCACCCGCCAGGTTTTCGAGCGGTGGATGTCGTGGGAGCCGGAGGAGGGCGCATGGAGCGCATACATCAAAATGGAGAAGCGCTACAACGAATTCGACAGAGCGCGGGCGATTCTGCAACGCTTCACGATCGTTCACCCCGAACCCCGGAATTGGATCAAGTGGGCACGGTTTGAAGAAGAATACGGGACAAGCGATCTGGTTCGGGAGGTCTATGGAGCGGCAATCGAAACGCTCGGCGAGGATTTCATGGACGAGAAGCTCTTCGTAGCATACGCCAAGTTCGAGGCCAAGCTCAAGGAATATGAACGTGCACGCGCGATCTACAAATACGCCCTGGACCGCATGCCAAGATCCAAGTCAATGGTCTTGCATAAGGCATATACCACCTTTGAGAAGCAGTTCGGTGATCGGGAAGGGGTCGAAGACGTGATCTTGTCCAAACGCCGAGTGCAGTACGAAGAGCAACTGAAGGAGAACCCCCGGAATTACGATATCTGGTTCGATTTTGCCCGACTTGAGGAGACAGCAGGCAACCCAGAGAGGGTGCGAGACGTATACGAACGAGCCATTGCGCAGATTCCCCCGTCACAGGAGAAGAGACACTGGCGCCGATACATCTACCTTTGGATCTTTTACGCCGTGTGGGAGGAGATGGAAGCCAAGGATATGGAGCGCGCCCGACAAATCTACCAGGAATGCCTGAAGCTGATCCCACACAAGAAGTTCACATTCGCCAAAATCTGGCTCATGAAGGCGCAGTTTGAGATCCGGCAGATGGAACTGCAGGCTGCCCGGAAGACCCTGGGCCAGGCCATCGGGATGTGTCCGAAGGACAAGCTCTTCCGCGGTTACATTGACCTGGAGCGCCAACTGTTCGAGTTTGTGCGTTGCCGAACCCTGTACGAGAAGCAGATTGAATGGAACCCATCCAATAGCCAATCGTGGATTCAATTTGCCGAGCTGGAGCGCGGTCTGGACGACACGGACCGAACGAGGGCGATCTACGAGCTGGGCATCGAGCAAGCGACGCTTGACATGCCGGAGTTGGTCTGGAAGTCCTACATTGACTTTGAGGAGTACGAGGGCGAGTATGACCGCGTGCGGGCCCTGTACGAGCGTCTCCTCCAGAAGACGGACCACGTGAAAGTCTGGATCAACTACGCGCGGTTCGAGATCAACGTCGACGAAGAAGAGGAGGAGGAGGAAGAGGAAGAGGCACGACCGGTCAGCGAGGAAGCCAAGCGGCGGGCGCGAGCGGTGTTCGAGCGGGCCCACAAGGTGTTCAAGGACAAGGAGCTCAAGGAAGAGGTATGTTCGCTTCCGAGAATTGGTGGTGAGGTCGATGCTAACCCCCCTGTACAGCGCGTGGAGCTGCTCAATGCCTGGCGGTCGTTCGAGAACACGCATGGATCCCCGGAGGACATCGACAAGATCGAGAAGCAGATGCCGCGGCGGGTCAAGAAGCGACGCAAGCTGGAGGACGACCGGTACGAGGAGTACATGGACTACGTGTTCCCGGCAGACGACCAGTCGGCGGCCAACCTGTCGCGGCTGCTGCAGAAGGCGCACCAGTGGAAGCAGGGCCAGACCTAGGGAGGAAGGGGTGCTCTGTGTGCATAAGTGGAATCATCACCCTCAATCTATCTATAATATTTCTTGTCCAACCACTGCCACCACCTACCTGTAGACGGATGGAAAAAATCACCTGACCTCGTCGAGCCCTGCCGATCGATCGGCCAGTGGCTCCGAACTCGATCTGGTACCTGCGTCCGCCACGCATTCCAGTCCATCGCTTGGCAGTCTGACCAACGTAAGTAGTCTAGTGGTACGAGGTGCTCTGTACGACTACGGCCTGTGCTACAGTGCTACCTCTTCTGTCCTCCATCGATGTGGATGATGTCTGTCCCTCCGCAAGTCAGGCAGCACAGGATCTGCATCCCGACCGCGTCCAGCCAGTCACAGCCGCGCGCAGCCCGGATCCTGGCGGCCCACGAGGTTGGTCCGTAGCTGTCATTCGAGGGCTATCGGGATAGACACTGGGGGCGAATCCTGGAGTGTGGTGACAACGCGGAGAAAGCAGTGCTACCAGGTGCTATGTATGCAGTTCGGTTCAGGGCCTTCAGGTGTTTGTTTTCTGGTAAACCGGTTTGTCGGGACGCTTGGGCCAAGCGAGGGAGTGAACCATGGGTACGCGATCTTGGGTGCGAGGGGGTCGCTCCTTGCTTTGTTGATTTGGATTTGGTCGGTCGCGGTTTTTGGTGGTCGAAGGGGACGGCCACCGGCAGCCTTTGCAGGAGAGATGCTGTTCTCCCGTACGCAATTTGTATGTCTGTTAGATCCCCAACCCGCCGTCGGCCCCTGTTATACAAGTCAGCCTCGGCGCCCCACACGGATTCAGGGGAACAAGAACACCGGGGCGGCAGAGTGTATAGCACGACCAAGGGTACCGAATACATAGGCAAGAGAACGGTGGATAGAAATAACGATCGAATACTAGCAAGAAGACTGTCCGATCCTCATCAAAGCATCGCGGCCATGACGAAATCCCAATTTTTCCCGCTCGGGCCCTAAGCGCAGGCTAGTCTCCCCGAACGGAAACAAACCCAAGGCCTCCTCTTTTCCTTCCCCCCGTAATCAATCCTCGTGTCTCACACCTTTCCTCCTTTTCTTCACCTTGTCCTTTCTTTTTTTTTGGTTGTTGAGTCCCTGGGTGACTGCTCAACTTCCTCCTTCCCTGTGCTGTGCACCTCGTCTTTCCGTGCGTCTCACCCTTTCCCTCCCTCTCAGGCCCCCTGATGTCTCGAGAACTGACCCCCGATCCAGCTTCGTTCGTGCCGGCCAACCCCGTTCGTTCTTACCTGGTCGCCTCTTTGACGCTTTCGCCTCGCTCCACGATTATTGACTCCGACTGTTCTGGACTCGACCCTGCCCCCACGTCAGTCTCTATGTGATTGGTTTTCGACGATCTTTGGTTCTCATCGGTTTCCGACTTTGAAGGGTTTGAGAGTACGCGATCTTGGGACGATTCTTCCGACGATCGCACACGCCATTTGAGTCTTGTGAACGGCACGCGACATTAACTTGCCGCCGGCGCGCGGTTCCTGGCTGAACGCTGGCCTTGGGATTTGGATGCACCTGCTTTCGTTCGATATGAGATAGTGCTCTGGCAGTCACTTTTTCATCTTGTACGACGCATTCGATCCGAGTCTTTTCCTCTGACGGCTGGCCTTTCCGCCTTCTTGTTTATTTCTCACCTTTTTCTCCCCCGACATTGTTCAGCATGTCGATCCCTCAGCTTCACATGAACCTGGACGGGCATTGCACCGCGATCTACAACAACACGTTGTATGCATTTTCTTCCGATGGACTGGCCTCGATTTCGCTTGAACAGAACGGCACCTGGAAGCCGTTACCTAAAGGCAATGCTGTCTCCGGCGCCGCATGTGTAGTAGCCGGCATCGAAATGGATGCTAGTGACAAAGCACTTTATGTTATCGGCGGTTCTGGCGCTTCCGCTCAGTATAGCGGCTTGCAACGGTTTTCGTTCAAGGACCAGAAGTGGCAGACTCTTCAAACCCCCTCGACGATGATGAACAACCGAACGGGCCACAACGCGGCCTACATGGAGTCGACCAACTCGATCCTGGTCTATGCAGGCGGCCAGAGCGATGGTACGACAACCTCGGCTCAGACCTACATCGTCTCAACCGAGAATGGAAAGGAGATCAGTACTCCTGTCAACAGTGAAGCGCCCGCAGCATACCAGCCTAGTCTTCTCACATGGAGTGACTCCCTGATCGCTTTGATCTCAGATACGAGCACTGATGTCTTTCTCTACAACGCCACAGATTGGGGATGGGAGAACTCCCAAGTGACCCTCCCGTCGACCATTGCCAGCTCGACCCGCTGTGCGCTTGTATCCAACTCCGATGGCAGTAAGGTCTTGGAGTCGTTTGATATGAGTGATACCACCAACCCTGTTTCCAGCTTAGCCCTACTCTCGGCTGGTGGCAAGCCCGAAAGCCCCGCGTCACCGGTGGGCGCGCCCCAAAGGAGGAGCTTGAGCGATTATCCATCGTACAACGGCAAGTTCGCTCCAAAGGCAACCCTGTCAGACTATTCGTTGGCCCAGGGCGACAATGGGATGGTGGCCATCTTGAGTAGCAGTGGCGACAATACATTAGCCATCTTCAACACATCCACCAACAGTTGGGTGAACGCGGCGGCCATGTTCAATGACAACTCCAACCAAAATGTTCTGAAGCCAACGCACACCACCATGACTACATCTACGTCGACTTCATCATCTACGACCTCATCCACGGCCACCAACACTTCTTCTCAGCCCGCCGGCATCGCTGCGCCTGCCAGTGAATCCCCTGTCTCGACGAATGTAATCATCGGTGCAACCCTCGGCGGTGTCATCGGATTTGCTGTGATTCTTGGCATCATCCTGTTGCTACTTCGGCGGCGTGTGAAACGCCAACGGGCGCAGCAGGAACAATACGGTGGTCGAGGGTCAAGGAGTGGTAAACATCAACTGGACCGTCTGAGCTTCCAAGATCAAGGGATAGAACCCTTGACTCTAGGCGCGTTTCCCATGGCTAAAAGCCCCGTTCCCCTGGCTAGCGCCTCGGGCGATACATCCACAATCCTGTATGGCAGGACCGGTGAGAAATCTTTAAAGCCCCCCGGCACTGGTGTCGGGTATGGACTCTCTCCTGCTTCCACCAAGGACAACAACAGCCATCTATCTACAATTCCCTCCAGCCGTATGGGTCCCCCCAGCGTGTACACAGATTTAACCGCGTCATCTGATGCAGCTGGGAAGGAAACCCAAAATCAGCCTGGGAATCGGAGCACGGACGAGGGCTGGAGCAAGTACTTCCAGGGCAACAACGCGACCAACCTCGCTTCAAACCGCTCGACGGTCAGCTCTTCTGGCTACACCAAATCCGACTACCGCAACAGTGAGTGGCCCATGTCCACCCTGCCTCCTCTGAATCTCGGGTTCCTCGACCAGCACACAGGTCGGGTTGTCAGCGGTAGCCCAACGACCGAGCACACCACAGTGGACCGCGGTCGTGGGCTCGTGATTCCCGAAAGCCAGTCGGCACGTATCTCGAGCGCGGACTCCATCAGTCTGAACTCAGACGGCGAGGAGAAGGATGGCCACCGGTGGACCGCCAACAGTCAACAGAGCTGGCTCGGCCGCCCGCCTAGCAGCCAGTACAGTGGAACCTTCTACAATGATACCCAGACTCTGCCCGGCACGGCATCGCAATTCAATGCACTGGCGACAGATAGGGCGAGGGCCTCTGGACGCAAATCCAGCGTCGTAATACCAGACGAGATCGACGAGCACCCCATGTCTGGCCGGAGTGACAATCTCAATTCCGACATGAGCTGGCTCAACCTCCATGCCGAACGCTAGGCTTTCGATCCCTGATCACATCTAGAGCTCCATGCCACAGGTGCTTGCTTTCCTCTTGACAACTCCCTCTCTCCCGCCTTGCAAAATACTCTATTTCTCATACGTCGAAGGACCCTCGTTCGGGGATACCGGCTGTCCCTTTCACCCGACATATCCTATTCCTCTCCTGTAAAAGTGTCCCTCTCTTCCCTCCCCTTTCCTTACTTGTTTGTGCAAGGTGTTCCAGGTTTTGCATGTGCCGAGCTGCTACACCATCGTTTCTGGCTTGTCCGTAAGTAAGCATGTTTCCCATCGTTATTATATCTGTGTGCGAGCGAATCATTAGCGAGAAGTGCCACAGTCCTCTCGAGAATTTTCATTTTTTCTCTTCGTGTCCATGTCCATGTCCATTTCGCCGTGACCGTGTCCGGCCTCGTTGACTCAACTGCCCTCTGATTTTGCATCGGATGCGCGTTCGTGTTCGTGTTCGTGTTCCTGTCCTGTGCTGTACATACTTATCTGTCTGAAATGGGTAATCTATTTGCAAGCAGTGCTGTTACCTACACAACCAGTGTGATGTGATGAGATGTAATCGTTGTTAGGTAAATGATGGGGATGGGTTCGAAGGCGGGCTGTCGGAGATGATGTCTTACTTCCTTATGCACCCATAGCACTCGATCGACAAGCTCGGGTTCGGGTACCTGAGCTTCCTCCTGTTTTTAGACTTCCACATTCCGATACAGGCCAGACAGCCACATATCCACCTCAAAACGCAGGGGCCCAAGAAAACCCACCCCCCAAATAGACATCCCCAAATTAGCGCCTGTGCCCACCCAATAAAAAGCCACAGTAGTGCTAGACTGGACACACAGTAGATAGTTCTCAGACAGAGTCAGGAAAGGAAAGAGAAAATAACTACTCCTCGGACACCGAACCAAACCACCGCCATGACGTCTCCGCTTACGCAGCCCGCAAGTTAGCCATCGCTTGGCCTAGGCCGGACTAGTCCCTAACGCAGCCACAGGAGCCACATGGCGCTATTGATTAGGGTACGAATACGGCCTCGTCAGCATCCCTGGTGGTGGACTTGCCCCACTCAGCGGCGTTCTTACTTCCGTTACGATCAATAGTTTCGGGTTGCATCCTGATTTGATGGTTTGTAGGTTTTGACACACAAGCTGGCGCTTACGTATCATTACCGCTAAAAATGATGGCAACCAAGCTTGCGGATCCGAGGGAGAGGGGGGAAGGTGAACGCCGGTTTCGTCATCGCGTGGTGAGATGTTGACATGCCTGCAAAGTAGGAAGTCAGGGAGGTTCTGTGTCCCTTTCAGGTACAGTACGCCACAAGGTTTCTCCAAATAGTATGGTTCGGGGCCACGTAGGAACGCACTTGTCCTGTTATTAGCTAGCTCGCTAGTTAGTCCTACACCAGACTGGATCCAACCGACCCCATGTGCCTCGTGGTACGTACGTATCCTCCGTACACCAGCCTATTATCTGATCCCCCGTGCCAGCCTAGATGATGGGGTCTGTCGATCCGGCCGCCAGGAAATTAAGGCAGGGCCCTGTGGTTGTGAGCGAGCGGAACGCCACCCAGAGACCCTTTCACTGCGCCCTGATCGGCTACGCCCTGATCAGCTACGCCCTGATCAGCTACGCGGTCGCCGCGTCAGTGCAGCGCAAGACACATCACCCTGTTCTCATTCGTAGGAGTCGGAGTCGTCATACCCACTAAATAACACCGGGAAAGAAGCATACCTCGTACGACTGTACCAGGCACAGGTTGCTGCAACCTATAGATCTGCAATGGGCCGTCAGACCCGGTCCCCCCCACCACTGCAGGGGAAGGGAGATGCCGGATCGACTGTCTGGTGTCAGTGCTCAAAGCGCCAGGGCTAAGAATTTCCCTGCAGATGTCTCCCGAACTGTTTGCTGTGGCTGAGCTGTAGGGAAGGCTGTGGGAAACTCGTAAACATCGAGTCGGCTGGACTACTACTGCTGCTGTTACTGCCACTGCTTGTTGACTATAGCGTGTGTCGTAAGCATCCACCAGCGTACTAATTACTAGCTACGGCTAGACTACAAATCCCTAATCTCCTACTACATGCGTTTGGGGTCCAAATGTGATCGATCGATGGTGAGCTCTCAGGGCCCTCTTGCGCCAGCTCACGGGGGCCTTCCACGGCGCCAAGAAAGCCAGCGGGTGTCCAAGACGCAATGTGGCACAAAGAGCAGCAAGGCCGCGTGGGCAGGCGTGGCGAGTGCAGCCAGATTAGCAGGGTTTCCATTTACGGCTCCATTGCACTAGGCTTCTAGCCCGGACCTATGACGCCCTGACTAGCCCGATCGTAGTAAAAGGAGGGGACAGGGGCACGAGTCCCTGCGTCCAGGGTACGGAGTCCATACGGAGGAAAAGCCCTTAGCCGAGTTAGCACTAGTTGTTTTATTTTTACTTATTTTATTTGTCGGAGGCAGGAAGAGGGGGGGCCAAAGTTTAACGGAGAGCGGCTTCTTTCAGGCCCTGTTCTACTTCGCCAAAGGGTACTAACTAATCCTGGCCGCACGATTCATGCGGCAGCTAGACTAGCGTATAGGGCGCTAGTGCACTAGTCAGCCGTAAGCTCCGAGAATGTACGTGGACTGCGTACGTATGCTCTGTTCCTTAACGCCGCCGGTGTTCGAGATCGAGGTGCAGAAGCTTGGCAGATCGACAGTTCGCCGGTATGTAGGGGGAAAGTCAATTGTCCATATGAGGTGAATGGGGTTGGGTTGGCATCACGACAGCACCTCGCCCCGGGTCTTTTTATCTTTCAAATTCTCAAATCACACGTCGCTGCCTTGCGTAGCTGGACGGAGGAGTCTCCGCGATTCTCACAGACGAGCGCTACAATATACTATCTATGGATGTCTCGGGGCGGGGCGGGCCCTGTGGACGCGTACGAGTACGAACCGAGCCCTACAGACTAACTGCCAAGGGGACAGGGCGACGTAACTGGGCGATCCAGTGAGATTAAGTTATCTCTGGCGTTGTGCGTACGTGGCGGCAGTATGGCTGTATCGTGTGCGTATTATTCTCATTTAGGGCCTCTGTTTTTTCTGCCCCCCGATCGGACAAAAAGCTCGGAGCAGAATGCCCGTTCCAGAATACAGGTCCGAGGCCCTGCTAGGCACAGAGACTCTCAGAAGAATTTTATGTAACCATCACAGTTGCATTCCTGGACAGTTGCCAAAGATACAGCATTAATATCGATTATCGTGTGTATCGTTCGATTCCAGACCGTTATTCGTCCAGCCGGAAAGATCGGGGTATGGTGCCCGAATCGGCGTAGTGACCAGCACCACAACATCATCACTTACGTATGCCCCCAGACTCAACATCGACGGTCGGCGGCTATTACGGATTTAGTCTGTGGCCGGACTCGTTTTCTTTCGCGAAGGCTAAATCTAGAAGACCCTTTTCGGCCTTCACTACTAACTACTGTCTGGGGTTAAACACTTGTCCGCCGGGAGAGGGGCTGATAACGGAGGCACGAAGAATCCTATTTTCAGGGTCCACGGGTTATAGAAAAATCCAAGGCTGTCGGCATACGTTACTCTCGCCCGTAGTTCTGCCGATATGGTTTCTGGGTCATGGGGAGTCCACAAGTGGAGCATGGTCGCTTGGGCCAGCCGGAGCCCTGGTCTAGTCCCCTTTGTGATCCGGCAGTCGGAGAGAGGGAGAGAGAGCAAACCATTTGACATAGCAGCATAGTTTCTCTGTACACGACTGCACACTCACCGAGCACGAACCGGATGAGGAATTCCCGGCCCAACTTAGTTTTCAAAAATACCGTTTTCTCCGTCATGCTGACGAGGCAGGGTCCTCATGAATGGGGCGGGCCGGAACTGGCGGACTTAAACGGGTCTGCACAAAGGTCATTCATTTATCCCAGGGGTGGATAACGGCGCTTTCTAGGGGTCCTTTTTTACCCTCTTTTTTTTTTTTTTTTTTCTCTCTTACTGTCCGAGTGGATCTCGCCCTGCGAGGGACCACGCAGGATCTCCTTACGAGTACGTTCGATTGCCGTTTCTGTTTTTCTCCGTATTTCCAGAGTCTGATGGTCCATTCCCGGGTTAGCGTGATAGCGTGCTCGGGATCCATGGCCAGAGCTACAAGACACGACCACACTCTAAGCTTGGCTGTCCGCACGTCGTGTGGGTACTATTGATTATGATTCCCAGGATAAATATGACTGGCTTCGTACTTAACGTCTCAGATGCCATGCCGGCCCCGACTGCATGATTTTCGTCTCTTCTTTTCTCTTCCTTTCTTCTTTCCCATCACTACCGCCCTCCTTTCTTCTGCTTCTTGCTCTGTATTCTATATTTTTATTCCTCTTCTCCTTATCTGATCCTGGATCGGCCGTTGCTTGAAGATCTATACCCACCTCTCCTCCGCTCCGGATACGCGCAGAGGGGCGCCCGTTTCATCCTGCTGCTTCCCTGGGGGCTCCTGCACTTCTCTGGAAGACTGTTGCTGGCGCTCAGCACGGTTGGACAACTGGCGTTGGACTTTTGGGCCCCTGCAATTATCCCAGGCTAGTTTGCAACTGCCGTTGAGGATTGTGCTCCCCACAATTGATGAAGGCGCCCCCCCAAAAAAAGGGTCGAAAAGTAACTCCGGCAGACAAAGACTCGTCCAAGACAGACGAAATTCATCCTTGGACCACCCGCTCGTTCCTCTCCCTCACCGTCTCGAACTTGCCGGTGGGGATCGATCCCGGGGCAGATCTTCATCTGATAGCCGCAACGCTTCCCAACCAGACACACGGGGCACGGGTTCGAGTCATCGCGGTTTGCAGGTTTGCAGGCGAGTGCCGAGTGAGGGTCTAATGTTGTCGACTTGTTACACGACACCAACGACAAACATCTTTCGAGAACCACTGGTGCGTTTGCTGCGTCCCTCGGGGGACGGACGGACGAGAAAGACAGCTTTTTGTCTTCCTCTCTCTCTTTCCTCTCCCCTCCCCTCTGCTGTGCCGTGCATCAGTGAACGGTCGAGTCACGTTCGAATCAACCCTCGGGACCCGGCTCAGCAATCTAGTAAACTCAAACTGACTCGTCTGTTCCCTTTTAGCATCACCTTCCACCCCCGGTGATCGGACATTGGGGTGTCGAGGAAATGTCCAGTTGCAGGACGAGCATTGTGTCGATCCTGAACAACGATGATAACCCGTCATTTGCCGTCCGCTCTGCTCCAAGACTCAATCGCAGCCCCAGCTCCCAGTCCGCTCGCTCATACCAACCAGAGCAACAGCCCGCGCCCACCAGTGAACCGCTGCACGCCCATCCGCATGTATTGTCCGAGTCGCCGGGAGGCACCCCTCGGCATCCCTTTGACCCGGTGACGGAGGCCGCACAGCCGACTTCGCCCGGCTCCTCAGACGGCTCGTCCGTCGCCTACGACTACTTCACCAACCAGCCATCCTCATCATCCGCCTATCACCCGTACGCCCGGCAGGACCCGCGACGGGACCGATACCGGTTTCCATCGCGAGGACCAGCGCCCGTCCGGACGCCGCCTGAGACCCGTGCGGAACCCCCTTCAGAAGCAGCAGCATCATCATCATCTTCGCAAACCCCGGGCGGGTCTCGAGACAGCACGGGTCGAAAGAACAAATACCCGTGCCCATACGCCGCCAGTCATGGCTGCGCGGCTACGTTCACAACCTCGGGCCACGCCGCGCGCCATGGCAAGAAACACACCGGCGAGAAGAGCGTGCATTGCCCGATCTGTAACAAGGCTTTTACTCGCAAGGACAACATGAAGCAGCATATCCGCACCCACCGCAGCACGCACTCGGACGAGATGCGCTCGGCCTCTGAGCCCGAGTCGGAGCGATGGGGGATCCAGTCGTCTTCGCACCAACGCACCGCCAGCACCATTAGTAGTACCAGCCAATCCACAGAGACGGGGTCCCTGCCTCGACCAACGCTCGGCCCGCAACCCTCGTCTTGAAGAGAGTTAGAAACAAACAGACGTCTGTCTTAATTCTCCTGTTCAGTGTGTGGAGTATATGAATGTCTGCCACTGCTGCCCGCAATGCTCACTGCTGTGCAGAGCTACGCGGAAAATATCTCCGTGAAGGGCTTCCCAAATTGCCCCCGGTCACGCAATCCTCCCTTCTGGGTCAGCTCCAGATCGTGACGACTCCGACAGAGGTACCCAGCCAACTACATGGTTGTGTCATCCTAAATTTTTTTTTCTCTCTGAGCCAGTGCGGTATTCGATATGTGCCTGTACTGTGTATAGATAGAGGATTTCCACGCGGCGAATAAGAGTTTGGGTCCGGGCACCCCGAGACCCATGGAACGAGTGTTGTTTATCACGATCCTTTGTAGTGGAACTTGTCCCTGGTACATTTGCCAGATTTACTTCCTCCGCCGGCTAAAAGACGGTGTAAGAAACATCGCTGTCTTTTGTAATATACTTAGTAGTACTCGGGACTCGATTTCCTGCTCCTTCGCACTGCATGATGACGTCGGTGTGTATTTGCGTTCCCAACGTCATCCACCGGGACTTGACTATATCTTGGCCTAGACCGTAGACGTATTGTCCATCATCATTATTTATTATCATTGCCGTCTCTCCAGCCACAAAAGTTATCAACCCTGTCTGTTTCGTGGCTGAGGTCACTTCTTGTCCTGCTCGTCACGCCACCTGCCCCGCCTCACTTTCGTCTGACTGCTGGCACACCTCACCGTATTCCCGTTCTTCCTTTCTTCTTTCCTTCTCCCATCAACTTTTCCCCCCGGTGACGGTAGAAGATCACCTTTCCTGTCGACACCTCATCCCTGTCCTTTTGGCTTCCTGCCTCCCTCGCCATTATGGCGTACTACTACGACGACCGCAACTACACCCCGCGCGACCGCCGTGCCCCCCGCCCGATGAGCTACGCCGATCCCTACGACGAGCCCCGGGTCTACTCTTCGCGGTACGAGAGGGAAGTCTACCCCCGTCGTGGGAGTGATGAATCCATCGAGGAAGTGCAGCGCGACTTTCCCCCCGGCGAGGAGTATGTCTACGAGCGTACTTCCCGCCGCCCCAGACGACCGGTCTACGAGCATGTCCGCCGGGCGTCGTCGGTTGGCGCTTCCGACCCCTATTCCGATGCTGCATACTATCGCTCCCGTACCCGAAGGACCAGAGATAGTGATGATCGACGTAAGTTTTGAACGATGTCCCAGATGGATCGATCCTCCCTAACACCCGTCCAGGTCGTCGCTCTAGATACTCCCCCTCTTCGTCACCCAGTCGCTCGCCGCCACGTAACAGCCGCCGGAAGTCCCTGGGTGAGCAAGCTCTCGGTGCCCTAGGCATTGGTGCTGCTGCCGCTCGAAGTCGTGGAGACCGTGACCGTGATCGTGGTCGAAGACGCTCGTATTCCCATTCCCACCGGCGCGGCCGGTCCGAATCTTCGTCGTCCCGCTCTCGCAGTCGGGACCGAGGCCGTGGAGACCGTGGCAAAAGCCAACAGCGCATTGCCCAGGCTGCTCAAGCCGCACTGACTGCCGGTGCCATCGAAGCCTTCCGCCAGCGCAAAGAGCCAGGCGATTGGAGAGGAGCCAAAGGAAAGCGTATCCTCACGGCCGCTGTCACTGCTGGTGGTACCGATGGCTTCGTCGATAAAGACCCAAATAAACATGGAACACGCCATATTATCGAGTCCACCCTGACAGGCCTCGCGGCCAACCGGTTAATGAACGGTTCACGCTCGCAATCCCGTGGCCGTAACGGCGGCGGTCGCGGTCGTTCGTCCAGCGGGCTCAAGGGCCTCGCGGCCTCTGGTGCTTTGGCTGCCGCAGGCAAACACATCTATGACCATGTTTCTCGATCTCGGTCGCGAGCCCGCGGCCGACGAGATGACGACAGTGGCAGTGACGATGACAAGCGTGGATCACATAAGCGCAGCAAGAGTGTCTCCGACTACATCGAAAAAGGTATCGCCGCCTTGGGACTTGGGGGAGCTGCGGGAGCTGCGGGAGCAGAGCGCGACAACGATCGTCACCGGGAGCGGCGCAACCGGCGCAGCGCACGAGACGATTCATATTCCGATTCCGATGGAGACAGCGACTACGGCAGGGATTCGAGACGGAGCAGGGGTTCACGAGATGTAGGTCGAGTTCGTTCTTCGGGCGGCACAAATCCACCCCCCACCGCACCTGCCAGCTCGTCCTACGGTGCAGACGGCACGAGGGACAGGGCACGAGGAGGAAATGAGTCTAGCTCGGATAGTTGTTCTGACCTCGGCGACAGTTCAGATGAAAAGCAGGCGCGAAAGAAAATGAGGCGGGATATGCTGCTGACGTCGGGGTTGGCGAGCGTGGCCACCATACACGCCGCGCATTCGGTCTACAATCGGTATGATAAACGGAAGAAACGCATGCAGCAGTTGGAATCCGGCGAGATCACGGCGGAAGAGGCGCGTAAGCGCAAGATGAAGGCGAATGTTATGGACACCGTTGGTGTTGGTCTTGCCGCCCTCGGTATTAAGGGTGCCTACGGGGAGTGGAAGGAGGTTCATGAGAAGCGTAAGGAGAAAAATGAATTCCAGGAGAAGTGTGCTGAGCGTGCGCGGAAGCGGGAGATGCGCCGTTCACGCAGCCAGGGCGCTATTCCATCTCGACGACGCCGCTGGCCCGATGAGATCGAGTCGGCCCATGGTTCGAACAACACACTGAACTATCGTGATGGGAATCCCTACAGTGCTCGGTCCACGGCTCAGATATCCTATTGATACGAGATTATGTCCATTATGATTAGCTACAGTTGTTCTCTGATTTATGGTCTTGCGTTGAAAATGATGGATGAGATGGATTTTTGGGCTCTGCAGCGAGTTGACTTCTTTTTTCTAGGAATTTGCCTTTTCTTTACAGTTGCAAAATGGATGAGTGATGAATTATGCCTGCCTTGCCTCAATTGAATTAAGTATAACAAGTACCTTGGGTAGTATGTACTTGCAAGTTCCCTCGGCAGCCATAATCTACAGCGTTGCCGATAACTGGCTGATTAAGCCGCCACTCTCTGCCCCGCCAGCCAGGAGTGGGCTGATCATCGGGAGTACATAGTGGTACTTGTATTACTACCATGCATTCTCCGTGTAACAAGTACCACAAAGTACCCTTGACTATCCCTTAGGTAACCGCAGTCGAGAGCGAGGAGACTTTTAACACCCCCACCTTCCCCTTTCCTTCTTGTTTTTCCTTCTCATCCTCCCTCCTGTTCCATCACTCCCCTAGTCAGTCAACTCCCTCCTAAACTCAGTGACATTATCCATTACTGACCACTTCTCCAGTCTCTTCTTCATCACACACATTCATCATGGCTGCCCCCGCCCAGAAGTTCAAGGTCGCTGACATCGTATGTGCCCCTCCATCCTGTTTGGCCTCCCTGCGTCAATTGCTAATTCTCATCGTCCTACAGTCGCTCGCTGCCTTTGGCCGCCGCGAGATTGAGCTCTCCGAGGTTGAGATGCCCGGTCTGATGGCCATCCGCGAGAAGTACGGTGCCGACCAGCCTCTGAAGGGTGCCCGCATCGCCGGTTGCCTGCACATGAGTACGTTGGAAAATCTTCAACAGGACCCGAAACCCCATCTGACTCTTCTTTCCAGCCATCCAGACTGCTGTCCTTATCGAGACCCTGACTCACCTCGGTGCTGAGGTCACCTGGACCTCCTGCAACATCTTCTCCACCCAGGACCACGCCGCCGCCGCCATCGCTGCTGCTGGTGTCCCTGTGTAAGCCCACCTGAGTTATTATCATCAATTCTTATCTAACATATTTTTGCAGCTTCGCCTGGAAGGGTGAGACCGAGGAGGAGTACCAGTGGTGCCTGGACCAGCAGCTGAGCGCCTTCAAGGATGGCAAGAAGCTCAACCTCATCCTCGACGACGGTGGTGACCTGACCTCGCTCGTCCACACCAAGTACCCCGAGATGCTCAACGACTGCTTCGGTGTCTCCGAGGAGACCACCACCGGTGTTCACCACCTGTACCGCATGCTGAAGGAGGGCAAGCTGCGCGTGCCCTCCATCAACGTCAACGACTGTGTCACCAAGTCCAAGTTCGACAACCTGTACGGCTGCCGTGAGTCTCTCATTGACGGTATCAAGCGTGCTACCGATGTTATGATCGCTGGTAAGATCGCCGTTGTTGCCGGTTACGGTGATGTCGGCAAGGGCTGCGCTCAGGCTCTTTCCAGCATGGGTGCCCGCGTCATTGTCACCGAGGTCGACCCCATCAACGCCCTCCAGGCCGCCGTCCAGGGCTACCAGGTCACCACCATGGAGGAGGCTGCCCCCGTTGGTCAGATCTTCGTCACCACCACCGGCTGCCGTGACATTCTGGTCGGCCGTCACTTCGAGGCCATGCGCAACGACGCCATCGTTTGCAACATTGGTCACTTCGACATTGAGATCGACGTTGCCTGGCTCAAGGCCAATGCCCAGTCCGTGCAGAACATCAAGCCCCAGGTGGACCGCTACCTCCTGAACGGCAAGCACATCATCCTGCTGGCCGAGGGCCGTCTCGTCAACTTGGGCTGTGCCACCGGCCACTCCTCGTTCGTCATGTCGTGCTCGTTCTCCAACCAGGTCCTGGCGCAGATCGCCCTGTACAAGGCCGAGGACGTCGCCTTCGGCAAGAAGTACGTCGAGTTCGGCACCTCAGGCAAGAAGCCCGTTGGCGTCTACGTGCTGCCCAAGGCCCTGGATGAGCAGGTTGCCCGCTGCCACTTGGACCACGTCAACGCCAAGCTGACCACCCTGACCTCCGTTCAGGCCGAATACCTCAGCCTGGACGTCAGCGGTCCCTACAAGAGCGAGATCTACCGCTACTAAGCGCATTTTCTCCTCTCCACAAGTTTTTCTTTTCTTGGGAATATAGACTTTCAACATGATTCGACGATGTTACGATTGGCATTACAGGGTTCTCTATCAACTTAGAACTCGAAAAAGTGGTTTGTCCTTCAACGGCAGTTAAAATGTGGTTGTTTTTCCACTGGGTGAAGGGATGTGTGGGTGTGTGTTATATTGATTTCACGGCGTGGGTTGACCTGGGAAATGGGTCTTGCATTCAACACTATATGGGATAGGATTTTGTTCGTGATACCTTGGTCTGGCTGCATGGGCCGTGGTGCGGCTATCTAGTGAGTAGTTTTACATTCTAATCAAGCTGTCCGCACCATTTGGATTTCCTATCTGTAGACGACGCCCGTCTCCTCGTTGAGTTTTCCCTGTATCAACTGTACCAAGTCTTCCGCCACTGCTTGTGCAAACTCAGGCTCATTGATATGCCTCGAGTCTCGCACCACAGGAATCCCAGCAGCTTTCGCCTGCTCCTCCAACATGTCGAAGAGCATCTTATCCGCCTCAGGGTCCCAAAACGGCTGCCCCGGTGCATCAAGCATACTAACACCATCAGTGGGAAGAACCACTGTGCACTTCCGTCCTCCCGCACCCCGAATATTGTATCCAATCCGCCGCGCAATAGCAGTACATTCCTGCCCCGTCGTCCGCATAAGCGTCACCGCAGGATTATGCTCGTGGAACAGCCTCTTCGGTCCCCCATCGCTACCATCATCACCACCACTCTGAAACCTCCGCGGAACCGTCTCCGGACTACCAAAGTTCACCATATCGCAAGCTCCCACACTGATCACTCTCGGAATATCCATTTCGGTAGCAGCGTATAGCCTCTCCGGTCCGGCACTAAGCACTCCGCCCACAACCTCATCCGCCATCTCCGTCGTAGTCAGGTCCAGCACGGCGTCGATCTGACCCTCGCGAATAAGCCGCTCCATAGCTCGACCGCCCGACCCCGTCGCGTGGAAGATGTACACTTCGCACCCTGGAAGACGCTCTTTGAAGTACTCCTGCGCGCGCATCGCAGCCGGAGTCGTGACCCCGAACATGGAGATAGCTATTCGGCAGCCCTTTCCGCCCTCTTTCTCCTGTCCTTTTCCTTTGTCATCTGATTGGGAGGAATAGTACGAGCTAGCCATCCCGGCAATAGCTCCAGCAGCGTTGGCAAGCACCCGGTCCAGCACGCGATTGCGTCCTGCGATATCGACCACGCTGTACATAATCGCGATATCCGTCTCGCCTATATACGGCGCAACGTCGCCGGACGCCATGGTCGAGACCATGAGCTTGGGAAACCCCACTGGTAGCGCGTCGCGCATCACAGTCGACGCTAGCCCGGTACCGCAGGAGCCGCCGATGGCCAGGATCGCATGTATGCGGTTTTTGTGTAGGAGATTGGATGTTTGGGCTGTAGCGTGAGGAGCAAGAGCGCTGATGTATTCTGCGCGATCGAGATTGGATAGATTAGTTTTCGAGCTGAGTAGGTCAGACTGTGTGATACTGATATCTGGGTGGGAGGTGTTGTTGCGTCCGATGTCCATTATTAGCACGGTGCATGAGCTATGCGACTCGATTTGCGCCTTCGTGTACAGCAGCTCGCTGAGTTTGGTGTCGCAGGTACCTAGGAGGAGGACTGTCGGCATTGTTGTTAAATTTACTTTTGGGGGGTTCTGTCTAGGGCCTCGGTGATCTCATCAACTCAAGTATGAGAGATGAGTTGAAGTACGCTGCGGTGTTTTCACTCGACCTATTTCTGATACGTCAGAACAACCCCGGCGCTATGAGGTAATCCGTGGGGCAGTGAGGGGGCGGGAGAGGGGTCAGCTAGGGCACGAAGGACCTACTTTAAATCTTGACATCATCCAAGTCAATATCATAGAGACATGCCTCGTCCATCGACCCGTGAAGAAGTGCTCGCTAGACTGCGCAAGACTGTCGCCGATGGCTCGATCATCGTCGGAGCTGGCGCTGGTAGGTTTCTATATTTAATTTGCGCCCCGCAGCGGCTCACCTTTTTCTCACAGGTATTGGACTATCAGCAAAAGCAGTCGAGCAAGGGGGTGCCGACTTGATACTGGTATATAACTCGGGCCGATTCCGCATGGCCGGCCGTGGGTCACTGGCCGGTCTGATGCCATACTCAGATGCGAACCAGGTAGTTGTGGAAATGGTGCGCCAGCCTTTTCTCATTCAAGTGTCTCAATTTCATTCTACTTTGCTAAAAGTGAAAGGCCAGCGAGGTTATCCCCGTAGTAGAGGACACACCCGTGTTGGCCGGCGTGTGTGGCACAGATCCATTCCGCTCAATGGCACACTTTCTGCCCGAGCTCCAGAAGCTAGGTTTTGTCGGCGTACAGAATTTCCCAACCGTCGGCCTGATTGATGGCCAGTTTCGACAGAATCTTGAAGAGACGGGAATGGGCTATGACCGCGAGGTAGAGATGATCGCCACCGCGCACAAACTCGGCCTAGTCACGACGCCATATGTCTTTGGTCCGGACGATGCCGTGCAGATGGCTCGCGCAGGCGCGGATATTATAGTTGCGCACGCGGGCCTGACTACCTCTGGTGCCATTGGTGCGCGCAGCGGCAAGACGCTGGAAGAATGTGTTCCGTTTATCCAAGGCATTCGGGATGCTGCTGTTCATGTTAATCCGGATATCCTGGTGCTTTGTCATGGCGGGCCTATTGCACGGCCTGCAGATGCCGAGTTTGTTTTATCGCGCACCGTGGGGGTGCATGGCTTCTTTGGGGCGAGTAGTATGGAGAGATTGCCTGTTGAGGTGGCGATCAAGGAGAATGCAGAGGCTTTCAAGGGACTGAAGGTGCGACTGCAATAAAATGTAGCTGTTGAATAGTATTACGCCTTTAATTTTGTATTGTCGGTGACGGTAAACTAAATCGTGGAATTTTCTTCCTTGCTTTCGTAGGCTGTATCTAACCTTCCACTACCAGTTCCCTTCTGCCCGACCCATGATCATCTCGCCTCAGCAAGGCATTGTTCAAGTCTAGTAGATACGACATAATCCGCTATCATCCCAGTTCTCGCTACCGACGCCCTTCCGAACTATAAAGAGATCGTTTGGGTCTCTCTCCGCTTTGATTGCGCGTAGACGAGGATAGGTCGAGCCCCAAAACGACTGCTGGAAGTCAGGCTCATCGGCATCTGCCTCATTCAGATATGCCCCCATTCTGCCTGACTCGACCGATTTCAGCTGTGATACTCGATCTGTAACATTAGCCGCTATAGCATTTTGCTCACTAAAAGACATATTTGCGCTCAATGTCTGTGTAAACATCACATGGACCAGCGTTTCCCTCCAGGCGGGATTAAGTGCAGTTTCCATAGCTCTGTTTCTGGCGACTTTGCCTCCGGAAAGAGCCACTCCGAGGATATAATCATCAAGGCCTATCTCGAGCTTTTCCAAGGCGTTGGTAAGCCTTTGCGAGGATCCAGTCTCAAATAAAGACCGAGACATCAAGTGCGAGCCGACGCGGAGCATTGTGCCGGTCGTGTCATTGCCCCTGAAGAAAGATCTGTACATCTTCGACATGGACGGAAAGGCTTCAGTAGAGTATGAAGGTTCAGCGCCGGTTGCATTCTTCAGGTCCGAAATTAGCGGAGAAAAGAGTGGCTCAACAGCGCTCATGTCGGTTTGGTTGACGAAAAACATATAGAGTGCGCTTGTTGCCTCCGTTTGGCTTTCTGTAACCGGAACTTGCGGTGCAATTAGATAGTACCCACTGCCGCCGTGGTTGTTGAGCTCAACCAGGTGATTATGGAATGCTTGGACACCATTCCAAAACGGACCATTTGATTTACTCAAGGTGTAGTTTGTCGTTGCAAACAGCACTGGGTAATCCGGGTATGCATTCACGGTCACGCTGACCACAACTCCAAATGAACCACCGCCGCCTCCTCGCAGAGCAAAGAATAGATCGGCGTTTTGATACGCATTGGCAAAAATAAGCGTGCCCTGGCAGAATTCTCAGCAATAATAAATATAATCAGAGATTGGGTACTTACATCTGCAATTACTACCTGAAACTCAATGGCGTTATCACTGGCCATACCATGAAGCCAACTCATGATAGAATGGCCTCCACCTTGTATATATCCTCCAGCTGCGCCAACGGTATTGGATGAGCCCCCAACAACCATCAGTCTCTGCGTGCCCAGATATTCATACATCTCGTACAGCTGGACTCCAGCGCCAAGCGTAACGGCCTTCACTCCTTTTGGCGCCTGGATATGAGAAGGAATGTAAGGAACAAAGCTGTCATCGACGGAGATGTCTTTCAGTTGATGGGTGAGAATCTGCAGTGAGTGTGGAGCGGATGAGCGGCCGAGAAAGTCATGTCCACTGTTTTTAATGACTAGCTTAAGATTGTGTTGTGCGCCAAACTTAACCACTGCCTGGATATGCTGAGCTGTCTGTACTTCAGCCGAGAACAACGAAATGCGGCCGTAGGAGCAGCGTGTTGATCGGGACGATTCCATGTAGCATTGTTCTCCCTTCGCTGGCCATGCCTCCCAGTTTTCCCACTGAAGAGCACCTATGTATATCATATAAGCCAATGATTAGAGGTGGGATATTGTTGGGAGATGGAACCTGGTTGCAAAGATCTGAATGATGAGTTGTGTGTATATTGTTGATGGATAGCACACTCGGCGGCACTGAAATTGGGATCATGGCATGGAGATGCAAATGGCTTTACTGCGACTAAGTTCCCTTCAATTGAAGAGTTGAGAGAAGCCCAGTCACGATCGCTTGGCCAGCAAGGTTGATCGGGTTGGCACCGACAAAATGCCGCTTGGGCCCGAAAGCCAGTCAAACTCAGCAGAATGACGCTGAACAGCCACTGCTTCATTTTGGTTTGAAATCATTGATTGCTAAGATTATTATTACCCTATGGCGTTTTGAAGGTATTTGTTTTTCTTGTTGGAATCGAGGAATGTGGAAGATAATTCCAATACCAACCATTGCCGCCAATGACAAAAATGCCCTTTGAGCTAATCGGCCAGATAAATTCCAAAAACCTCTTTGGAATGCTCTATTTCCAACAAAATCATGGTAAAATTGTGGCATTCCCTTATATTGCTTCTGCTCAATCTAAATACCATAGATTCGGACATACCAGCAAACCGGTATATCACCAATCCTAGAACCTAATAAACATACCGGAACTGTATGTTCTCAAAATCAGTCATGTCCACCAGGCCGCTGCTTGGATCTCTGTCGGCGTGTTTCTCGCCAGCGGATTCGGTCTCGATTTCCATGCGATCCCGCCTTCTGTTCTCCCAACGAAGATACCACAGCAATGCAAGACCGTCTACAACACAGACGGCAAGACAAACTATAATTGCCAAAAACCCACTCTATTTTTCAATATTAGTGTTTATCAGAACACAGCTAGACTGGGGACTGGATACTGTAGGACTCACCTGGTATTTGGGCGCTTGCCACGAGAAAAATAGCTGCGGTCCAACAATGTTGCCTGCACAGTACATGACGAAGAAAATAGCACTGACGGTAGCACGCTTTGTGAACCCTCCAACGTTGGAGCTGATCATCGACATGGATATAGGCATTGCGGCAGAGTAGACACCCATGAGAATTAGACCGACGTAGCGCGAGGCTTTAGAGGTTGTCACGAAGACAAGGACAGAACCGATTATACTTAAGCAAGAATTAGTTTGTTTGTGTACCGTAGTACATAAGTCTCCGCATACCTTATTATGGTTACTATAACAATGGCAATACATCGAATTTGGCGCACTCTGGATGTAATAATACCCCTAATAGTGTTAGTCAAACGTATAACAAATGAGAGAGAGAGTACTTACCCGGCCAAAACAAATAGAAATACTATAAATCCACCAGGAATACCTAGCAATAGTGTGTGGAAAACAGAGAAACCAAATCCTTCCAACACCAATCCATTGAACTTTGTGATAATAAACAAGTGTTCACCAAAAAAATTGGATCTGGACTTACCGTAGTATATCCTCCATTCGGAATATCTAACCCAAGGACGAGAATTGCAAGTAACCATGTCTTGACATCTTTGAAAGCTTCCTTAATCTGGACACGGTCAACATGAGTATTCTTGTATCCTGTCTTGTTGGCCTTCAATCTTTCCATCGCGATATATCTCTCTTCCTCCGTTAGGAAGTCGGCATCGGTGGGCGAATTAGGCAAGAAGAAAAACATGACAAGGCCAAAGAGGAAAGTGACAACTCCGAAAATAATGAACAACCACTAAAGATTGCATTAGAAGACCTGTTAAATGCAAATCAACCTATCTGGTGGTCTAACCTGCCATGGCGCCAAGCTACCATGAATCTGCCAAATACCAACTGCAATTAAGTTTCCGAGAATGAGCGAGATTGAATTCCCACAAAACCAAATCCCATGGCGTAATGGTTGCTCGGATGTTCGATACCAGAGGGACGTAAGCAAGGAGAAACCCGGGGACAGGCTGGCCTCTGTACACCCGAGGAAAAATCGGACCACCATAAGCGTAGAAAAATTGGTGGTAGCCGCATGACAAGCAAGAATGATAGCCCAGAGGATGCTGGATTATGGTCAGCAGGATGGCAAGTGCACAAAAGATGGAATAGCCAACAAATTGACTGCTAGATATTTCCCCAAAGGAAATTTGACCATCAACAATGACGCTGGGTACCTGTTGAAATCCCGTCAGCTGGCCCTTTTGATAATGATACGACTACGGATGTCTCACGAAAAAAAGAGGTATCCAAAATAAAACATGCTACCCGCCCAACTATATTCCGAGCCCACTAGATGGAGATCCTCTATAAGTCCCATGAGAGAGGTGTAGCTTAGAGTCTGTTTGTCCAGAAATGCCATCATGTAGGCAATTAGCATTATTGGAAGGACCCTACGTTGTAAATGGTAATTAGGTTTCATCCTCTGCGAATGACACTCAATCGAAGAACTCACCTGAAGTCTATCTTTCGAACGAGTCTCTTCTCGTCTTCATTTGAGTAAGAGGTGGGCGATTGGAGCTGGCTAAGAGCTTCATTATCGAAGCTCTGCTCATCAACTCCATTGCTTGCGTCGCGTGTTTTCTTGCCAAAGAGTTTGGCCATGATAACAGAGGTGTAAAAAAGTGCTGAGTTTTGTATATGTTCGAATAAAGCGTGCAGGCCACTATTTATAAGATTACTCGAGGACCATCTTATCTCAACAAGAAGTGACATGTTAGGGGGTCTTGATAGGGCTTCTCTAGATCAGGTCCATGATAACGGCCCCGGCAGACAGTCACCTTCGACTTCTCTGCTATTGGCTGCATCGGCAAGGCTAGTGGACCTTTGGAGGGTGACGGGGGTGGGGGAGAATCACGGCAGGATCTTGGCTGGGTCTGAGCAAGGCATGCGCGGAGTGTGATTGGATTTAAACAAGATTTAGGTTAATTTTCTCCAGATAACAAGAGTGGGGGAGCTTCTTGAATAGGATGAATGCTTATATGGTCATCTTCTATACCGAGGAATGGCTTACAAAACTTCTACACATTTCCAAATTGATATGCTCGCGTGAACTACTACTCTCGTTCCAACCTTATCTGACCCTTTACTGCTTCTGGAAATCTTTTTTGACTTCCTCGGCAAAGTGATCATCAACCAGGAACTGACAGGCAACAATGGCCATACCCGCAGCGCAGGAAATGCATCGCTGAAACCCCTCAGGTGATCCAGCCCCGCTAGTAAACTGAGGTGTGTGATTGACTCCTTCGGTAGGAATGGTGAAAATCCCATGGAAGCCTGGCACAGCGTAGGATACATTGCCTGGATATTTACGTTAACCTTATTGATGTCATGGAACGAGTGTTACATACCCATGTCGGTCGACGCTCCAGCTAGCGCGCTCTTTTGTCCGGAATTATCAAGCAAAGTATGGTGACCCATTGCTCGCATTGCCGACACATAGCTCTCGCAGATAGGGAGATTCGTCTTCAGGTCATTATACGAAATACCCCTGGGACTGAATTAGTGACTTGGAATGACCAGGCAAATGTGAACAATAGAGGCATACCAGTCGAGTTCAAGCTTACACCCTGTCGCTGTAGCAGCCGCTTCAAAGCATTTGAGCACCTTTTCTGTCAGAGGCTTCAAGGACTTCAAGGTTGGCGATCGGATATAATAATCCACTGTGGCGGACATAGGAATAATGTTTGGTCGATCGCCGCCATTGACAATAACACCATGTATTTTCTGCGTTGGCAGGATTTGTTGTCGAAGAAGAGATATGTTGACATATGCGGCTACCACGGCATCCAGTGCATTGATACCTTCCCAAGGAGCGGCAGCTGCATGTGCAGGCTTGCCCGTGAATGTCGCCTTAACTTTGTCATTGGCAAGGAATCCACCTTCTATCACAGTAGCCATGCTGAAAAGATCCGGGTTGCCCGGCGCCATTGGAACGGGATGGACCATGAGGCATGCGTCTACATTCTTGTAGGCCCCGTTGTCCAGCATACGGACTTTTCCACCACCAGACTCTTCAGCTGGAGTGCCAAGCAGACGTACAGTAAATCCTGATACGCCAGAGGACTCGATCTTTGCCTTCATTGCCTCACAAGTTGCAATGAAGGCTGCGATTGAGCTAGTCGCAATCAGGTTGTGGCCGCAGGCATGCCCGATGCCTGGGAGGGCATCATATTCCGCATTAAACGCGATGACACGTCCACCGCTGCCATGGGTATATTCAACCTCTAAAGCTGTCTCCAGTCCATAGGCATGCCGACGAACCTGGTACCCATCCGACTTCAGACATTCAAATAGCTCACAAATAAGGTCATGGGCACTGTGCTCAGCGTATGCCAGCTCTGGGTTGGACCAGATCTGCGAAGGTTAACTGATGTATGGCCTACTTTTGATAATTGGCAGCTCACCTTGTGATTGATTTCCTTGAGCTGTGCATCATACTTGCGGAGTGCATCCTGCACACTGTCCATAAAGCGTCTCTGAGTTTCTGGGAGATGCATGTTGGTGGGCTTTATCGTAATCCAATGAGAACTCATCAATGACAGGCCATCGTCCAGACCCTTTCATTATATACCCCAACCCAAGCAGTTGGTCGCCCCCGTCTTTTAGTAGGGCTTGCAGTCCCGTGACCGCAGCCGACGCAGCCAATCGGTATTTTGCCCTCGGCAGCTGAGTACAAAAGAGATAAGATATTTCCCCGCCTCCCCGTCCCTTTTTATCATCACTCGGCAAAGATTGTTAAACGGACGGTGCACTGGGTCTCAACTCCAATGACCATCCACGCGCCTCTCTGATAGGGCACCAGCTGGAGGACTGAGAATGGCAGACAAATTGATTGCCGACTACGCGGAAACAACAATGCAGAAGCTCGGAAAGATACGTTCCAAAACTGGTAAGGATCCACCCAAATCGATCATTCTGTTTGTCAATCCGGTGCGTCAGAGCTAATTGCCAGCCCAGGATGTCGGTCGTGTAGAATCCGCAAGGTGAAATGCGACGAGGAAAAGCTCCGGGTTGATGGTCATGCAGAGTCACAATGCAAAAGATGCGTGAGGGCGGGAATCCGGTGTGAATGGAAGAGCGGACCAATTCCGCGACGGCCAACACGACCTCTACCTTTGAAAAAAAGCGAGGCAGACGGCAAGGGTGGCAGTGATAGTATTCCGTCCACCAAAATCGTGAGGAAACGTCCAATCGGCCCATCGAATCCCTGCCCGCTGCTACCGGCACAAAATCCTGGGATTGCAGATCATGGGTGCAGTCTTCAAGCGGCCAACTCTCTGCGTTTGTCTGCTTTTGATAGGCGTTGCCTAGAATACCTCCAAGATTCGTTCTTGGTGGTTGTGCTCGGAAAGCATTGGCCGTGGTCGATTGTCTCTTATATGTATCACAAAATCGCTGTCAAAGAGCCCATGGTCATGAGCATGATGCTAGCCACTGCGGCTAGTGAGATTTACCGAGCAAAAGCCCATGGCGGACATGTTTCTTGTGGGAAGCACAGCTCGGCTCTATCGGACATGGATGGACAAGTGCACTACGGAAGAGCTTTGTCGGAACTCCGTGAAGCTTTAAAACAAGATGCAAAACCTACGACAAGAGTTGAGGCCATCTTCATTACCCTTTGGTTGATGATCGACTATGAGGGTCGGTTTGGAAGTGGTGATTCGGCAATCAACATTCATATCCGTGGAATTGAAAGCTTGCTTCATAACCATGTTGTACCACTACTCAAATTTCAGGCATCTTCCACCCCTGAAATTACATCTGAGAGCAGAGACCCAGAGATTCCGCCACAAGCGCATATCCACACTTCCCATTCAAATGACCTGGAGACTACATCGTCTGGCTTACAATCCGGCCCTCCATTGGATGGATTCTACCACACCTCAATTCCATTATTCATACTTTGGACACTATACTTCTTCACGCCAGCAGCTCTCTTTTTCGGTTCAGGATCGACGCGTCTAGATACAGATCTCTTCCGGTTTCTACTCTGCGCAGACCCCGAAAAGAGATTGCCATTAAGCCTAACGGAGCTCTATCGGTTGAGCAGACAATCGCCTGCTCGTTTCTGGGGCGAGGAATACCCTCTCAGCGCCCGATTGGATGACCAAGAGAACCTCCCAGGTCTGACATTGTACCACCACAGCCATGTTGTCCAATTTAAAATCACCGAGCTGTTCAAGCACGGGACAATGCCAGATGCACCGTCTGGGGAGGAATCCCCATACCAGCGGATAATCGGCGAAATTAATACTTTGTCTGTCGTGCGTTCTCCCAACCCAATGCTAAGATGTTGCGAGACTGAGCAAGTTCAATGCAGGAATACGACACCGTTCTCACCACTGCCGAAACCTCACGTTCCTGCGAAACCATTGGTGAAGGCCGTCGTGTGATGGAAACCATTTACTGGTCGTCGATAACTTACTACAGTACCATCGTCTACTTCTACCTTTGCTTCCAGGATCTGCTTGACAACCACAGTGGATCGAATTCTGTGCCGTTTGATCGCAGCAACAAATTGATCCCGCTCAGTGCTGCAGTCTCACAAGTCCTTGAACTAAGTCTGAAGCTTCACCGCAGCCGACCCCATCTCATGGTTCGAATTACCTGGCCCTTATTTATCGCTGGAGTCGCGACTTCCGATAAGATATACCGGGACTGGGTGTCGATCAGGCTGCGGGAACTGAGCCAGTACGGGCAGAACTTCAGTCGGGTCAGCAATCGGTTTGATGAGATAATTCAGGGAAGCGAATTGTATCTCTATCGGAGAAGCGATCGACAAGTTTTGGCAAGCCCCAGGAGGGACACGCCTGTTCCTTGTTCGTAATTAGCAAGGGCATGTTGCTAAAGATAGCGAAGGCACTTCGGGGCAGATGCTCTTCCAGCCTTTCTCACCGCAACTCTGGGTCTAGGATCAGAACAACTCTGCTTCTCTAGTCAAGGGGTTGCGAGGGCTGGGCTGACGAGCGTTCCTGCATGTCTTACATGTTCCCTTGATCCCATGGGCGTTTCGGGGCCGCGTGGTGTACGTGGTGCATGGCTGGGCCTACATGTTAAACATGTGGAATACGTGCAGTTGGCCTTGTAATTCTCGATTGAGGATTTATGCATGGTGCTTAAGGTTGATCGCCCGGGAATGCGATTAACCCTTTCGGGGGAGGATCGACGCTGCAGGTTGGATGTGGAGTTGATCCTGCATAAATCCAAGACAGGCACAACTCTGTAAGACATCAAGGTGCACTACATATGGCTCATACTAATGTTCGCAGCCCGCTGAAATCATTGTGCAGCCGTGTTGCAGAGCTGTTCTCCCCGCAAGGCAGAAGAGATTCGACGCACGTTCACTGCTGTCCCTTGCAGATCGAATCGCGCCCCCCGCCCAGACAGCGTGATGCATTTGGCTCGAGCTAGGGTAGACAGCTCTGCAAGCTGTTCTAGAAGCAAGAGCATGGCTGTGGTATGAAGTGCTAGGCCCTGCAAGCGGAGGTATAAATACAGCCTGCTCGACCAGCTTTGGTTTTCATCTCCAGCCAGCACAGCTCTCGAGATCATATTCGAGAACACTCCCATTTTCTTCTTTTTCCCTAGTGAAGTCAGCAAGTCTCGACACCATCAACATGCGCTACTCCTGGATCGATGGCCTTCTCTTCTTGGCCGCCTCTCCCTTGACGGCCCTCGCCGTCCCTATCGCTCCCAGCTTTATGCCCGGAGAGACCTATCCCCACAACGGAGTCGGGGTTGGGGGTGTTGGGGCTGCGAGACCCGGGTTCGGCACTCCTGGCGTGGGCGTTCCGGGTGTGGGCGCTGGCGCAGGTCTCGGCGCTGGTCTGGGCGCAGGCGTCGGAGCAGGCGTCGGGGCTGGAGTTGGTGCAGGAGTTGGTGCTGGCCTCGGCGCCGGCGCCCTCAACGCAGGCAACGTGCACCTGCGCCGGAACTGGCGCGGAGGATTCCGCCGCCCGAACTGGGAACACCGCACTCTGAACGCGCTGACGCATCCTCATATCAATCTGGCGCGCAACTATGACGGCTACCGCGACGGCGAGGAACGCTACATTGACAACGAAGTGATCCACGTACCTACTCCCTCGGTCACTCTTGAGCGCAAGTGGTACCGCGGCAATGAGTACAACCCCAACAACGACAATGACTACGGTGTTGTTGAGGAGGGCGAGCTCGACCTGCCTACGACCGTGCATCTGGACCGCAAGTGGTACCGAGAGGGCGAGCCCGGCTACAATAATGGCTACGGCGAGGAAGGCTACAATGGCGAGGAGGAGATCGATATTCCCTCGGTGACTCTGGAGCGCAAGTGGTACAACAATGGTGAGCAATATGGCGAGAACAACTGGAACGAGGGTTACAACAATGGCTACAACAACGAGGGCTACAACAACAACGAGTGGAACAACGAGTGGAACAACGGCGAAACCACTCTTGAGGTGCCCACTCCGTCGGCGGTCGTGCTGAAGCGCAACTGGATCCAGCACACCAACGCATGGTGGAACTCTGACCGCGGCTGCAACGGCAACAACTGGAACTGTGATAACGAGTGGAACGGAAACTACAACAATGGTCAGTGGAACAATGGCTACCGCGGCGTGCGTCCTATCCCCTCATCGGTCGTGATTGCTCGCAACTGGAACGGCAACGGCAACTACAACAACGGCCAGTGGAACAACGGCCAGTACAACAACGGTCAGTACAACAACGGTCAGTGGAATAACGGCTACAACAACGGCCAGTGGAACAACGGCTATAACAACGGCCAGTGGAACAACGGCTACAACAACGGCCAGTTGAACGGCTATAACAACGGGTACAACAATGGTCAGTGGAACAGCGCGGCCTACCCCTCGGCCACTCCTGGTATCCAGATCGGCACAAACTATGTACGGGATGCTGCTACTGATGTCACTGAAGAGTAAACTTGTTGGTCCTCGCTCGCTTGAATTAGTTTTGGCAAGGTATGTGCTAAATCAACCCAGTGAATGGAAACTCAACTAATCGAGATCCAGTCGATAGAAAGTAATGTGTTGATTGAAGAGGTTCGAGTGAAATGATGGCAACATGGAATTGATTTCCATGAGAACATGAACTGGATACGCTCATTATGACAGATGGCTTGACGAAGAATGGATGGAATGCAGAAACGCAGCGTTGATAGCGGGGTCTCTACCAGTGACAACGAAGACGAGAATGATACTTTGGTTTTGATTTGAACATCTACCTGTATGAATAAGTAGACCCAATATCCCCCCACCGAATATTCGAAAACGTCACCGATGTATATGGATATTGTGCCTCGATAATCGCAGGATTCCCTTGGGTGCTATTGCAAGGCCCTGCACTGCCGCTATCGAGCCAGTTCATGAAGGCACCCGAGTCATTCCAGATACTGAAAATGAGAACCATGCCGCGGGCCAGAGCACGACCCATCTGCGGCAGACCACCCATTTGCTCAAAGTACGAGGCCGAGTTCTTACAATAGGCGTTGGTGATAGAGTCGATCTCGGTGCCGGACACCTCTGTAATGGCATTTTCGATCACCCTGCCATCCTGAACATACAAACGACGGATCTGCGCCAATGTCCCTCGCGTAGTATGATCGTTGGTCAGAAACTGCGTTGTCACTGTGAAAGGGCGGTTCGTATCGACCGTCAAGCCGCGGCCGTAGTAGTCGTGGTCTCCCAGTGCGTAGGCGTTATATCCGCATCCATCCTTATCGCAGACACCATCGCTCCCACAAAGGTCACCTTCGCACTCGTATAGCCGAGTGATATTGCATGCATGGGGTGTGTACGCAGTGGCAAGGGCATTGGCCTCCCACAAGTCCATTTCGTTGCAACATGAACCAGCGCCGTCAATATTAGCGACCCCGTTGATCCAGGGGTCATTCGAGCACTGAGCATCACAGTATCCCGTACCATATCGTGCACCGGCAGGATTCAGCTTGCTGCGTCCACCATTGACTAGCATCTCAGACAGATACAGCGCGCCGTTCATGCCACACACGAGTGTAGAAGCATCTACATCAAAGCTAATCTCCTGGTTGAGCAACTGCAGCATGTTGTAGTTTTCTCCAGTTTCATCAAGTAGATAAACCCGAGGCGAGACAGATGTTATCACACCATTTGTCTCCATATACTGCTGCAGAGTTAGAGCATCGCCGCTCGTGCGAACTCCATTGGCGGCATAGTCCACACCATCAACAGCACAGTTCTTGGCACAGGCTTCCTCTGTTGCGCAAAGGTCTGGGTTGAGGCCGCTATCCCAGTCGCCGCATGAGACGTTACTGTCTCCGACTTCGTGAATTGGGTGGCTCATTGCATCCAATACCACGGAGGTATACTGAGAGACGCAGCCGTGTCTCTCGCTGCATTTCCATGTTTGGAGCTTGGGGTGCATTTCAGGGATTGGCCCCATTTGCTGCGCGGTGATAAGAGGGGAAAGAGCTAGGGCTGTGGCTGCCAGCCGTTGATGCTGGACCATGGTTGGCGAATTAGTGTGGAGTGTGAGGTCAGTCAATCTATTGAGTTGTATAGACCAGGGAGATTAACCAGTATATATAATCGTGAGCTATCAATATGTCCAATTTGTTTGCATGAACCCAATACTCTTTAGACGAGGCCCTCTCCGATCAACAGGGGTATCCTGAAGAAGAGGGGTCTAATTTCTTGGCTATGGCATGCCACTATACAATTTCCCACCAATTCAGGCTCGCTAAACTCGGCGCGGCGGTCCGGCCGAGTTTCTTCACACTAATATGCTAAAACGGCCGCGGGTGATCCCCGCATGGTGTTTTGTTTTGGGGAGATTTAGCCGGGCCATTCGAAGTTCAGATTGGCGAGCAGACAGAGACCCAATCCTGCTCACTTCATACCCAGTGCTCTCTGGGCAGCCGTTTTTTTAAGTTTCGCCGGCTTACTCTTTGCTCGCAACTGGGATTACCGCAAGTTAAACATTGCGTTCAGTGATAGTCGCCCCAGCCGGGAGAGTGAGACTGCCGTGAAGGATGATCCCTCTAGTGTTGTTCTAGCTCCTTAGACCTTCAGAGGATCCCTACAGTCGGATGATTAGAATTTCATTTTTCATCTATAGGTCATTTCCAACACTTTCTCTCTCTCTCTCTCTCTCTCTCTCTCTCCTGTTGTTTTCCAGGTTAATGTTCACCAAGTAGTCAAGTTATTGCGCAGTTGGTTGTTTGAACACCAGTTTTGCTTTGGTTTTTGGGTCTTTATTTGGAATTGGACATGCTTTTCATTTTAAGAGTACATTGATATTGAATCACATTTGGATTCAAAACAAAGTTCTAATAGCGCTCCGGCTAATTGTTTGCACCTGTCAACGAGCGCAACCGTTAACTCTCTGCGCAGATCAATAATACTTACATTACTCTACACGTATGCTTTCCAGCCCTAGTGAAGATCCAGGCTTATCGCACGTGCCGATTAGATCATATAAATGATGTCACCTTTCCCGGTCACTCTCCCTTGATCGAAAACAACTGATCAACTCCAACCGTCGAGTCACACGTACCAGCATGTTCTCCAGTCAATCTCTTCGCGGTAACCAGGGCACGCTTCTGTTCCATCGTCGCATCTTTCTAGCCAAGGACCTGCATCGTGTTAGCCTCCTAGCACAGCGTTCCCTCCGCAATGGATACAGCAGTGCAACTAGCACACGCCGAACAAATGCCGCCCAAAAACCCATTCAATCATCGGCATCTCTTCGCTCAATCCGCCCATCACCAAGACCCCAAATTTCCCTAGCTCCACAGCTCGCATTAACATCCACAATCCGCACCTTCATGTCGCCAAACGCAACAAGCGGCAAATCCGAAGCGGACCTCCTCGTCGAAGAGCTCCAGGAGCTGTACGAAGTTGCGAAGGACGAATTCGAGATCGCGACCGACAGCACAGAAGCAGCAACTATCTACGCAGCGTCGGACCGCGAGTCGGCGCGTGATGCACTCAGCCAGCTCACCGCTGTGTATAACCTGTATACCACTGGTGATACGCAAGTACATGTGACGGAGGGACAGGCGAATGCGGAGGGAAGTGGGGAGGCCGGTCCGGCTATTGAAACGATGCATGATCCTGCGGAGATTTCGCAGGCCGTTAGGGATGAGGTGAAGAAGAGAGTTGCGCAGCGGGTTAGAGAGTTGGTTAATGCTGTGGAGGTGTTGGAGGAGAAGGCGAAGGCGGATTGAAGTGGGTAATTAGGAGTGTAGTATTATATGTTGTTACTGGTGGTATTTATAGGCATAGAGAGGAGGACAGTTCGTAGAGCTGGACCACACATGTTGAAGATGTGATCCAGGTTTGGATTGTATCAAGTATCATAAAATCATTATTATGCGAACCAGACATTCCCACTTGCTGCAAATGGATCCAGCCAATAACCAGTGCTTCATTATTCTTGAAGCCATTAGATGGTCGATAAGTTGCCCAAGCTAAGTTCTGCCTCGAGTAACACAAATGGATCTTTTTTTTGGTGGTTGCCGTGAAATCGCCCAGACGAGAAACCGGCCCAGTCATCAATCAATTATACGCCAACCACATAGACTCACTCATTTCAATCATAAGGACATGGCAATCGCACATCTTGAGACCTAAACAACGGAAAAGGGGGTAAGGCTGAATTGGTCTGAGCGTGGTGATGACAGGGTCGAAGAGGATTCTTGTTTGTGTGTAGTCCGCATATGGCGTTTCAATTGATCTGCCCGAATAGCCAAAATAAGTATTTGTCCAACAAGAAGACAGCCTGAAAACGTACCTGGTCGAGTAAAGCTCTTCGTGCACCCTAGGAAATGGCATTTGTGTTTTCGTTCACCATGTGCTGGGCACAGTTAGTACGAGGTTCTTTGCGTCTTGGGTAAGAACATACTTAGTCGATGACTGGACATATTCGAGGACTGGGATATTGTCAGTATATTGGCAATGACCAAAACAGAAACAACTCACATCGCCGGTCTCAAATGTACACCCTGGGTAGGTGCACTTGAAAGGCTTTTCGCCAGTATGCGTTCGCGAATGAGTTTCTAGGTCCATTAGCTTGTGATACAAGGAGACAAAGGGACAGAAACATACTCAGCTCGCTGCTATCAGTAAATGATTTGCGGCAATATTTACATTGGTACGGCTTGTCGCCACGATGGCTTCGCTCGTGTCGATCCAAGGTCGTCTGTCTGGCGAAGATTTTGCCACAAACAGAGCACTTGAAGTTCTTGTCTAATAGATGGGTATAGTCAGCACTAGATTTTATTACCAATATAAAGGGGCCGTCGTACAGTTACTATGGGTCAGGAAGTGACCCTGGAGTTTTGACTTTTGCGAGAATGGTTCATCTGGACGATGGCATCCTTCCCAGCGGCAATAGTAACCGTTCCCCTTGGCGCCTTCGATGGTGTTAATGTGGCTGGAGATAAGATGCTCTTGAAGAGCACCGGCACTCGAGAAGGTGACTCCACAGGCAGTCTTGACCCCGTGAAAATCGTGTGTCCATTTGCAGGTATGTAGGTGATTGTCCTCGGAAGAAAAGTCCGGGGTGGTCAGGACTGATGATACACTCCGGTCGAGGGGTGGTGGAGTCTCTGCTGGACTGGATAAGAGGTGCGAGCTGACACTGGACCGGGACTGGCGGGAATAAGGAGAATACGGGCTAGCGTGAGAGTGTGCATGAACTCGACATCGGTGATTAGTGCGGTGGGGCCCTTTCATGAAAGCCTGAAGGTTGAGGTCATTCGGGTTTTTGATTTGACCATGGGTATGAGAATGGTCTGGGTGGAAACAGTTGACTGGTGAATCGACTTTCGGGCCTTCAAAACGGTTCTGGCACTCATTTTGGTCGAGTGCGTGTTGGTCATGGCAAATCGAGAAAGTCGGACACACCCCAAGCATATGGAAGACGTCGGTAGGGTTGACATCGGTCTGTACTGGAAATGGAGGGTTTGTGAACAGCCCCTGCAAGTCTCTCTGAAAATCATCACAGCCAAAGTGGCTGGACACATTATTATCACAATGGGCGGTGTGTGCTTGATATGATGAGAGGAAGTCATTTTGATGACTCGGGTCGACTGGTAAAGGCATAGGATGACAATGCCCTGCTACCTTCCCCGAATGATCAAGAAGACTCTGATCCATCGTTGCCGAAGGGACGAAGCATGAGGCATCTAGGGAAGCGAGAGTACTGAGACCAAACAGGGAATCAAAACTATAATCCTGACCCTCGGTTCCGTCGCAGCAATGCTCATCGAAGCAGGCTTGGGCCGTATCCTCGCAGTGAGTATCGTCACAGTGTGTGTCGTCGCAGTGAGTATCGTCGCAGTGAGTATCCTCGCAGTGTGTGTCATCACAATGCGCCACCGAGCACACGGTCGAAGCGTCGCAATCCACGAAGCCGTCGCAAACCGACCCACACTCTAACGGGCACTCATCAACATGGCAATCATCCACATCGCAGCAAGCTTCATCAACACTGCACCGTGCAAGAGAGGTGGTATGTTCGTGGTCTGCGCAGGTCCACTGGGGCAGAGACTGATCTGCCAAGGTGTCGACGGCGTCCTTACCGTCTATATGAAATGCCTCCCAGTGGCATTCCAGACAGAAATTGTCTCCTTGGGGTTGAGAAGACATGATGGGCGGTGCTTAAGATATGTGCGGGGCTGAAATGGAGTCGGGACAATCGGAAGCAGCAGGATCAAGCAGCAAGGAATATGGGGAGAATGTAGTGGAGGATCCGAGGGTAAGACCGCCGGTGGGATCGTGCGTGATAGCAGCCAGGTACAGGATGCCGGCTGCCAGTATCGCCACACCAGACTCCGCCACAGGGCCTGTCTCGTAGGAAAGAATGTCGATTATCCACACAGGATCGTCTCCGGCGCAAAGTTCCAGACTTGGGTCATAGGCTGGCGGGATGCGTATTACGTCGGCCGGGAGAATGTACACGATAGGTCGAATTGACATGCAGCAAGCGTAGAGGACCTTGCGAAAGTATCGATGGAGGGGAACAGAGGGCGCAAGGGCCGGGCAGTGACCGGATGTGAGGACAGTGAGGACCGTGGTGGCCCGTGGGGACCTTGGGGGAAAACGCGATCGAGGTGGGGAGCAAATCGCATGGCGTGCGATGACCAGCGGTCACGCTGTCGTCATGGCCAATGTCACGGTCGGCTGACGGGAGACGTCCATTATTATTATCGACAGGGTTACCAACAGAGTAGTACTGGATAGAAGGTTGCTTTCTCTTCCGTGTTCCGCATGCGCTCGACGCAGAATTTCGAATGACTAATGGGGAGATCCCGTGACTGACGATAAGGTGATCTTGTAGGTTCCTATAGTGGGGAGATAACTAGCCTATAAAGCGGGAAATTAATCAAGCTGATTATTCCTGTGGGGTATTGCGATAGAACTAATAGGTGAAGGAACCCAAGACAGGAGTGGACTTAGTCTTGCATCGTTCATCTCCCCTACACTTCTCACTATCAGCGACCTTGTTCTCCCACTGATATCCACGGGCAAGAGATAAGTTTAATCTCTTTATGAGCTTCAAATATGAATCCTGGAGTCGATCAATGTTAAAATAATTCCAACCCCCATCAATACAATATATCGTATAGACTGTTTACCTCACATATCAACAAAATCAAACCATAGGGCCAGAAATAGGTGTACAGTGTACACTCCCGGCCCTGATACACCCCCACGTGCTCACCGCCTTTGCCCCGGATCGTCACTCGATTATCACATCACAGCTTATCTCGACACGACAACACTTCAACTCATCAACTATTGCATGGTTCAACTTCCATTCGGGAACAAAGTACTGATTCTTTAGTCAATTTCATACATATAATCTCATCCCATCCCCTCGCTCACCCCCGCGTTCCCCGTCCCCGTCCCAGCCCACACCAAACCAAAACAAACCCCGCCGCTAGACTTCCCAGCGCTATCAACAAAAATGGGCAGCCTCTGCTCGCGCGAATCCGACAATTTCGCTCAGCCCGGACGAGTAGTTGGCACCACATCCTCTAGCCAAAACGACCCAGCACCCCGCGCCCCACTCCCACCCAAGACAAACTGGAAGTCTTCTCCAGGCCGGACCCTTGGGGCGAGTACACCAGGATCGGGCGAGGCAGGGCCGGATGAAGCGAGGGCGAATGCCGCGATTGCAGCGCAGGTAAGAATAGATTCCTTCTGTGAGCAGAGGCCTCTGGGAGAACAGAACCTGACGGGATATAGAAACGAGCGGAAAACGCATCCGCGGCGAATAAAGGGAAGCTTGGATCCAAGCTTGCGGCGCAGAAGGCTCAGACTCAGACTCAAGCGTTGAGTGAGGCAAGTCGGACAGAGAGGGCGGCGAGGGATGCTGATGAGAGTGAGGCGGCGAGGAGATGGGATTGAATTTGGTCTTCCTTTTTCCGGGTACGAGTGCGATATGTATATCGGGCATTACAAGTGTCTGGATTTGCTTCAGCTGGCAAGCGGTTTTCTTTTTCATAAGCTCTGCTTGACATCTTCATGTGATGGTCATTTGATGCGGCGTTTTTCTGTTGGCGTTCATTTCGACTCTCCAGCTCCTAAGATCTTTCCTTTTTCGATGCGATTATGGTCGTCCCTCTGAAAGCGTTTGTATCTACGGTTTACCAATACGAAGCAGTGATGGGTGGACCAGAATGATTAATTGTTCCGTCATGATCAAATTGCAGTCCAGAGTCATTAAACCCATTACGCGCCAGGAATATAATACAACCACCATGCAAATACTCTAAACAACATTATACCGACCACCCACCGGGGCCCGAGCATCGCTATCCGCAGCCGCCACGGTTCCCTCTTTGAGCAGGCGCATCAGTTCGCGCATGGCGTTCGTAACCGAAATCTCGGTTTCGCCCTCAACCAGAATGTATAGCTTGGGATTCTCGTTGGGGCCAGGTTCCTTGCCGGCTGCGTAGAAACTGCCCTTGGTGGTGATCGACGTACCCGTAGCCTCCAGGATCTTGGCGACATTCGTGCGGTTGGTGACGCCCCAACGTGCTTTCTCTATAGAAATAATATGAGTACCTGTTCATATAGAAATGTAAGAAGAGAGTAAACTTACGGGGGAAGTCATTGATCTCAAGCGTGGCATGGAACGCCCCAGCATCCGGTCCACGGTTGTCGATAGGGACACCCGATCTCATCACACCGGCTCGGCTCAGGCGCGCGTGGATATCAGCGACGGCAGAACCGACCTTGTCGAGAGGGTTTTTAGATGCCGCAGCAGGGTCCTTTTCGGTTCTGTGCACTGTGATCTTGCCATCCAAGTCGATGCCCTTGGGGACACCGACAAGCTGAGCGGGCGCGGGAGCGGCAGCAGACTGGACGGATGAGAGCACCTTGTTGAACCGCTCATCATCCTTTTCGGCCTTTGCATCCTTCTCTTCCTCCTCTTCGCCTTCTTCACCGGTTTTGTAAGTACGACGCTCACGGTTACGAGCAGACTCGCGCTCCTGGTCAAGACGTTCAAGACCCTTGCCACCGAATCCAGAGGTACTCGCCTTCTCCTTGCCGGCCTTCACCTTCTCCAGGAAGGCATCGACCAACTTCTGGACGGGTTCGGGGATTTCTTGTCCACTTTGCTTGAGTGCCTTTGCAATGTCTACCGAGTATCGCTCTTGGTCTTCCGTCAAGAAGGTCACTGCAGTACCAGTGTTGCCAGCACGGCCGGTTCGGCCCGCTCGGTGAACGTAATCTTCCAGGTGATTGGGGGCATCGTAGTTCACGACGAGTTTGAGCTGCTTGACATCCAATCCACGGGCAGCAACCGAGGTGGCAACCAAGACAGGGAAAATCCCGGCCTTGAAGTCCTCGATGGTGGAGTCACGGTCAATTTGGTCTTTGCCGCCGTGGATTGACATGCACGGATAGCCCTTCCGCATGAGCTCTCTCAGCAGGTTGTCGGCAGATTCTTGACGGTCAACAAATATCAACGCCCGAGCATCCTCGTTTGCATCATCCTCGTACAGGTTGCCTAGCAGTTCCAGTAGTCGAACAAACTTTTGATCCTCATTGCGGACTTCAACGATCTGCGTGATCTCAGGAGCCACCACACTCCTGCCACCCACCACAATCTCAACCGGCTTCTTCAGGGTTCTCCGAGCCAGCGCTTCCATATTCCGGGGAAAGGTGGCGGAGAAAAGGACGGTCTGGCGATCAGGTCGGACGTTTGCCATGATTTTCACCACTTGGGGTTCGAAACCCATGTCAAACATGCGGTCAGCTTCGTCCAAAACGACGTAGGTGACGCGTCGCAAGTTCGTGACTCGCCCAGCATTCGCCGCAAGCAAATCGATCATTCGGCCAGGTGTACAAACAACGATCTCTGCACCTCGCTTGAGTTCGGCGATTTGATCTTTAATCGGAGCACCGCCATATGCACAAACAGCCCGAAGGCCCAAAGCTTTCAAGAAGGGTTTGCAGTCTTTGTGGATTTGAGTGGCCAATTCACGAGTAGGTGTCATGATCAGACCGATAGGGCCTTCCATGCTCTCAAGTGGTCGCTGGTCCTTGATATGTCGAAACATTGGAATGAGGAAAGCAACTGTCTTTCCAGATCCAGTTTTAGCGACACCAATAACGTCGCGACCAGACATGATCGCAGGGATTGCCTGTGCTTGGATAGCGGTTAAGCTTTCGTACCCCAGTCGATCGACAACATCAAGCGTTTGTACACCCATTCCACATTGCGACCATTTCTGAACAGGCTTCGGAACATCGAGTCCGCGTACTTTAATCCCTTCAAGTTCATGACGGAGGTTTGCAACCTCTTCCTCGGTCATCTCAGCAAGATTGGAAGGCTCGTTATAAAACTGCTTCCGGAATGGCTCATACTCAACTTTGGCATGGTTGACAGTGGGAATTTCCTTCTTCTTTTTCTTATTTGCCATGGCGAGAAAGTCGTCTGCGTCGTCCTCTCCCACGGCGGTAATGTCCACATCTTCCTCGTCACCGAACATAGCCTGCGGTTGTTGTGACTCTTTCTTTCTCGAAAATTTCGCACCGGCTGTCTTCTTCGGAGGAGCGGTATCAGCCAATTCGGACATGAAGGCATCCAGGGGATCAACTTCTTCCGCCTCATCGATTTCCATCGGAGTGGACTCGACTTGCTGATTCGAGGAATCGGCCATGTGAGTATCTCCATTCGTCTGCGGTGCTTCAGTTGCGTCACCCTGGTTTTGGAGCCGTTCTTCTCGTCTTTCTGCTGCTGCACGAGCGGCGGCGGCGGCCTCTTCCTCTGTTCCGTCTTGCATGTCGACATCGTCATCATCATCGCCAGCGTCGTCGGGAACAACATCAGCATTTTTGACATCTTCTTGTGGCGGGGTAGGTAGCCTTTCTAGTTTCTTGCGCGTTGATTCTTCCTCACCAAAACCCAGTGTCCGAACTGCAGAGGCCTTCTCGTTATCCGAAACTGACTTTGCGACTAGTCCAAATCTGCCGACATTACCCTTGGCCTTGAAAGGAGTAGAAGCCTTGGCAGCAGGCTTGTTGGGCTGGGTCAATGGGGCGGTAGACGCGGTGGTTGATGGCTTTGCAGGCAGTGGAACAGCAACATCGGTGCCGAGGACGGCGGGTCCAGTAGTCGTTGTCGTGGAGTGCTTAACGATAGCCTTAGGGTCGAACTTTCCGGCGTAAGGGGCGGGAGTGGTGGACTCCGTAGGAGTTGCGGGTGTTTGAGGCGAGCCGACAGCGGGCGAGAGAGCCGACTTGCGGTCAATCTCTTCCAGGATATTCTTGGGTCCACTCGCAGCTTGTTCTCGCAGTTTCCGTTCACGCTCGGCGGCCTGCTTCTGTTTCCAAGCTTCCAGTTTGGCAAGCCTCTCCGCTCGCTTCTCCTCGTCGGTTGGAACGGTCGTGGCAGGGGCGGCCGGTTTGGATGGCTGATAAATGAAATGAGCATCACTGTTCTGAGACACGACAGCAAATTTGGAACGTACCTCGCGGGGTCTCGACGTGGAGCGCCTATTGGAAGCACGGTCGCGGCTGTCCTCCCGTCTAGGCTTGGGCTTCAAGTCAGCAGAATCACCTGTGCGCCTCCGGTCTCGGTCGCGTGAATCATCTCGCCTGCTTCGATGTTCTCGATCGCGGCTCCTGCGGCGATATTCGCGATCATCGTTTCGCTCTCGGGACCGCCGGCGTTCTCGAGATCGGTCTCCGCGACTGGATCTGTAACTGTCTTCGTCGCGCCTGTCTAGGGAGCGGTCGCGCCGACGGTAGGAGTCTCGGTCGTAGCCGCGATCACGATCCCGGTATCGCCTCTGCAGAAGCAATAAATGGTCAGATACCCAACTCGAGAATTTTCGACGCGGACGTTTGCCACTTACCTCCGGGCTGCGGGATCTGCGGTAGCTGCGTCCATCATCCCGCCTGGACCTCTCATGACGATCATCTTCTCTGCGACTTCGTCGAGATGAAGAGTTTGTGCTGCCTACAGGTGATGGTGAGCGACTGTCCCCGCGGCGAGCCATGCTTGCTGGCCAACGATGAGTGAGTATTACTGAAACTCAAAAGTACCCGGACGTGGAAAAGGGCCTGATCGGATCACCACTCATGCATGCGACCGCTCGAAAGTTGGAAGCGGCTCAGTCGTGTTGGTTGAAGACGATGGGAAGAGTGACTGAGCAGAAGCACAGAGAGAATAGAATATGGCACATGACCCACTGTCACGTGCTATGCTAATCCGCATTCGGAGAGACCCAAACGAAGCTCGGACGCGACCCAGACGAACCAGCCTCCTTGGACTAACTAACTACTCGCACTCTCCTTTCTTCATCCCCCTGTCAATCCCATTGTTGCTCTGTCCATCTCTCATCATGACTTGGCAGTTGGCCACTCGTGGGACCGGTCTGCGCCGTGTGCGCTTCGGTGCCTTTCCTCGCGCTGCTCGCGTGGTCGGCCTGCAGCATCAGCTGCAACGGCTCTCTCTAGCAGCAACCCCCCGTCCGGCGAGACCATTGACTGGATATTTCTCTTCCCCCAAAATCCAGGCGCCATTGCGTTCGTTTGCAACTTCCACAGACGGCTCTGAACCCAAGGAGAAGAAGAAGACGGCAGCCAAGGGCCGGCCTAAGAAGTCCAAGAAACCCAAGAAGTCAACAAAGCCCAAAAAGCGCGAGCTGACCGAGGAGCAAAAAGTCGCCAAAGCCGAGCGCAAGAAGGAGGCCCAACGCCGAGCGCTGATCCAGGAACTTAAGCAGACTGCGCTCAGTCCGCCTAAGAGGCTCCCGGACCAGTATTTCTCGCTCGTGGTACAAGCTAAATACGCTGATATCAAAAACCCCTCCATCACGCAAAGCGAGGCATTCCAAGCGGTGTCTCAATTTGCAAGTTCCCTGAGCGCCGAGGAGAAAGAGGTACACATATATCGCTGCGTTAGCCATGAAACCATGCTGACATCCAATCTAGCGCTACGAAGCTCAAGCCCGAGCCAATATGGCCACCAATGCAGCACAATATGATCAGTGGTTGAAGCAGCACACTCCTCTCCAGATCAAGGAAGCTAATCTTGCCCGGCGGAGGCTGTCAACTCTTGTAAAGAAAAACTATCGTCAAATCCGCGACGACCGCCTGGTCAAAAAGCGCAGCAGCGCATTTATGTTCTACGTCCAGGAGCGTTATGCAAGTGGCGACTTCCGGCACATGAAGGTGACAGATGCTACAACACGAGTTGCACAAGAATGGAAAGGCTTGACCGAGTCGGAGAAGCAGGTAGGCTCCCGCAATCCTCTTTCTTATACATGAATCGTGTCGCTCACTGTGACTTCCAGAAATACAATGACTTGCAGGCCGAGGATCAGGCGCGGTACCGTCGGGAGTACCTGCAGGTGTATGGAAAAGAGGCTCCTAGCGCGTGAAGACCCCGTTTAACGTGAGCACCTTTCCTATGTCTGGTTGGTCGGCGGGTTGGTTTCGAACTGGGGTTTGCGGTCTGGATGTTTATGTTGCGAGTCTCTCATGTACCTGGATTCCCTCTCCTTTGTCACCGCGTACTGTACTGTACTTTTTTTTTATAATGCGATGGTTGTCTTAAATATCCACTCGCCACCGCCCAGCGACCTCTCCACAGGGGCGGAATCTGCCCCGAGGCCAAACTGGCGGTGAGAAGACGATGGGTTTTCTTCCTAGCATGCAGATCCAAACAAACTGTTTCTTCTTCAAGACAAGTGCCTGACCAAGAATTGGAGTTGTGTCTAGGGCCGGGTGCCCAAAAAAGGAGGGACAAAAAAATCGAGGCCGGGCATCAATCAAGGGAGTCTTCACAGCAGTTCGGGAGCTTTCTCCGCAGATCAGAATTTGCTTTCTCCACGCCGATGCGACTTGGTTATGCTAGTTCCGTCACACATACTAAACGAACCACTTCTTGAACTCATAGATCCCATCACTAATCCAGACGGGCCCTCCCGCGGGCTAATCCACGGTTATCAGCTCCCGCGCCCATGGGTCGGCCGTATACATTCCATCTGCAGTCGTCCCCTGCTTGGACCCTCGCATGTTCTTATGCACGCCAGCCAATCTGAGTCGAGTCTCGCATGCAAGTGACAGGTAGATCAGAGTAGTCAGAGCACTCGGGAACGAACTACGTAGTCACTATGGGTCCAACGGGTGTTTTGTCCCAGCCATCTCTTTTTTTTTCAACTCTTTTTTTGCTTGACTTTTTTTGGTTCCTCCTATTCTTATATTACTCTATTTTGGCTCCAGGGGAGTTCTCTCAATAATAATAATAATACCCTCCGACACTCTCCGCCCACCACAGGAATGCCAGCGTCACCTCTCATACTTCGCTGATCGTCGCCTCCACCGCCCCATGGAACTAATTAAACCTGCGCAAACCCATCCATCCATCCCTCCCTGCCTTCTCCTCCAACGGGACACCTGCTGAACCCTTTTCTCTCCTTCCGACCCATTAACGACCTCTACCCCCTTGACTCTCGACGAGACATCCCTCTGCCCCGCTTATCGGCTGCTCCGTCCGCGAACCCAGACACCCACCCGCAGACACCTGGTGGATTTTCGCGCCGGGCGTTACAGGGAAGGCCTGTTGGTTTTACGCCAGCCGCTGCACTCTATCCGACCTTCCTTGTCCCCGACTAGTCGAGTTGAGCCTTCCGAGTCGCAACGACCGCGCCGCGATCACAGCTGCTCTGACGACATCGAGATCTCCGCGCGGGTGCTGAACCTCCTACACGCCCCCATATGTGTTCCTCTTGACGTTGTCGAGTTGACGGGTCGCTGATCAGTCGCCGAAATTAGCGCATTCGACTGTCGCCATGGCGGCTGTCATGCAGTCTGGTTTCTCCGCTGAGGGCGCGCGCACGGAATGGGTCCACGATGTCGCATACTGCAGCAAACACCTCGAATACGAGCTAGAGAAGGCCGTCGACGAAGTGTGGGCTACTTTGGTAACGGGACGGGTGTTTCCTGGTTCGTCGCACCACGATTTGAGTCTTCAGACTCCGCGCCCGCCCTCCTACACTCAACCCCCACCATCCTATGACGATGCAATCACCGATATGCCCCCAGAGTACTCGTCGCTTCCTCCGCTTGCGCAACGCAAATCCACCGCTTTTCATGCAGCACCTCCCCTGCCAGGCGCCAAATCTCTCGACCAGCCGTCTTCTTTACTGAAAGATACAACGCGCGATATCTATATTGATTTTCGCGCTCCGACTGGCACTCGAGAACATAAGGGAGGCAAGAAGAAGGCGAAGAAGTCAACCCCTCTTCCCTTGGGGAACACCGGTGGTGGCGGCTCCGATAATGGCGGAGACGACAAGGGTGATGGGTCCGGCGGCAATGATGAAGGTGGTGCGGGCGACGGCAACGGGGATGACGGGGATGGTGGGGACGACTGGGGTGCATGGGCAGTGAGCGGAAGTAAGAAAAAGAGCAAAAAGAAGGAACAGGAAGAGGAAGAAGAGCGACGCGCCAAGGAGGAGGAGGAGAAGAAAGCCTCGAATAATCTCAGCTGGGCTGATGAGATGGAGGATGGTAACGATGATTCTTGGGCCGGCTTTGCCACGGTAGGAGGAAAAAAGAAGAAGAAGGGAAAGGTACGTCTTATCGTGTTCCAGAGATTTATCAACAGTTGATTCTGATATATGAACCCAGGATGAGCCGTCAAGTGGATTTCAAGACGTCAGTCTGAATGACGGCGCACCGCAGCTCGACTTGAGCTTCGACACATCATCTGCCACCAAGACCGGCGGGACCGGTTTCAGCTTCGGGGGATGGGGTAAAGATTGGAATACGGGAAACAAATGGGGCCTGGGTAGCGTCGGAGAGTCTACAAAAGAGGAACCCAAAGAGGAACCCAAAGACACCAATCCCTGGGCAACGGCCAGCAAAAAGAAGTCAACAAAGACGACCAGCGGGTTTGATTTTGGTGATCTTGGATCCCCTCCAGCCGAAGAGAAAGCCGATGACGACTGGGCTGGCTTCACTTCCGTCGACAAGAAAGGCAAGAAGAAGGGTATTCAAGAGGTACCCGCGGAACCGGAGCCTGAACCTAAAACCGACGACTGGGGTGCTTGGGGTACTGTAAAGGACAAGAAGAAAAAGAAAGGTGCTCTTGAGCCTGAGCCGGAAAAGAAGTCGGAAAAGAAGTCTGAGCCCGAACCCGAGCCTGAGCCTGAACCGCCCAAGCCTGCGGCCACAGGGCCTGTCATTGACGAGAGCATGTTTGCTGGAATGTCAATGAAGGAAAAGCGCAAGGCAAAGAAGGCGATAGAAAAGGAGTGGGCGGACAAGCTTGCCAAAGAAGCTGAGAACCCACCTGAGGCTGAACCCGAGCCCGAGCCCAAGAAGAAGCCCCCCGAACCGGAAAACGACTGGGGCTGGAATGTCGCCTCCAAGTCCAAGGACAAGAAGAAGAAGATTGACCTCCTGGATGATCCAGCACCCCCTCCTGCGGACCCTCCGCCAGCGGATGACTGGATGGATGGTTGGGGCACGGCTGGGAAGAAGAAAGACAAGAAATCCACTAAAAAGGAGCCAGATCCTGTTCCTGAGGAGCCACCGAAAGAAAAGTCGAAGTCCAAAGAAATCGATGACGACTGGGGTGGTGGTGCTTGGGGTATTTCCTCTAAGGACAAGAAGAAAAAGCCCAAGGAGCCCGAGCCCGAGCCCGAGCCTGAACCGGAAAAGCCAAAGATACCAGATGATCCTCTATACAAGGATTGGCACACCGTCTCTTCTAAGGAACGCAAGAGGCGAGAGAAGACATTGATTCAGAAAGGACTTCCTATTCCCGGCAAGGATTTCGACCTGCCGCCAGACGAGCCTGAACCCGAGCCCGAGCCTGAAGATCCTGAACCCGAACCCGAGCCCGAGCCAGAGAAGCCCAAAATCCCAGATGACCCTCTATACAAGGATTGGCACATGCTCTCTTCCAAAGATCGTAAGAGACGAGAGAAGGCATTGATTCAAAAAGGGCTTCCCATTCCAGGCAAAGATTTTGAGCTTCCTTCGGAAGAGCCTGAGCCTGAACCATTGCCCGAACCGGAACCCGAGAAGCCAGCTGACGACGACTGGAATGCCTGGGGTACGGTAAAGGACAAGAAGAAGAAAAAGGGCAAGGTTGAGGAACCTCCTCCGCCGGCGCCTACTCCCCCAGCTCAGGGCCTTACCCCAGAACCCGATGCAGGCAACGAAAATGCCGATGATATATGGGCAGATTTGGAACCCAAGTCGAAGAGTACGAAGAAGAAGGCCATTGACCCGCCGCCCAAGGAAGAAAAGTCATCATCCAAGGGCTTCTGGGCATCTCTCACGGGGACAACTACAACCAAGACCAAAGCAACAACAACCAAGAAAACGGAGGAGAAGCCCAAGTCCAAGGAAGAGCCGGAAGAGGATCTCCTGATTGACATGGATGATGACCCTAAAGAGCCTGAGCTCGAGCCTGCCAAGGAAGAAGATCCGCCTGTCTCCAAGAGCAAGCCCATCTCCAAAATGTCCGTTGCTGAACGTATCAAGATGCTTGAGCAGAACAAGAAGGACAAGGCGAAGGAGGAGAAGGAGAAGGCAAAAGAGGAGAAGGTGAGCTCAAAGACAAAGACAAAGGAGAAGAAACTCGAACCCGAACCGGAGCCTGAACCTGAGCCCGAGGAACCCGTTTCAACGAAGAAGAGCTCCAAGACCAAAACCGGCAAGACTTCTACTTCCAAGAAAGAAAAGGAAAAAGAACTGTCGGAGCCAGAGGATAACAAGAGAGCCTCCAAGGACTTCTTGCCTGGAAGCTTCCCCGATGAACCCGAGCCGGAATCCGAGTCCAAGCCTGAGCCTGAGCTGGCCGTTGACACTTCGAAAATGTCGAAGAAAGAGCTCAAAAAGTACAAAAAGGCGGTCGCCGCAGCCGCCACTAAGGAGCCTACGCCGCCTGCAGAAGACAAGGCCGAGCCAGAAGAGGAGGCCGAGGCGGACGACCGTGCACCTCCTACACCTCCCCCAGAGTCGACTGAGAAAGAAGCCAAATCAGCCAAGAAGGAACGTGCCAAAGTCGAGCGCACCGCCGGAACTACCTCCTGGGGATTCTGGGGAGCAGCTGCGCCACCCCCAAAGAAGTCCACCAAGAAAGAAAGCAAGCCTACGGAAGACGCGGAGCCTCCCAAAAAGAGGGAAAGGGAAAGGGAATCCACGCGAGAGCGAGAGCGCTCCCCCTGCGGCGCCAGTGCGAAGCAAATCCACGAAACAGTCCTCTCGACCCAAGGACTCCGATCACGAAATGGAGAAGTCATCTGCATCAGACCGTGAGAAACGACGGGAGCGTGAGGCGCGATCTTCGAAGGCTAATCGTGGCGTGGGCATGAGCTTCTCCAACTACGTCCTCGGCCAGGCTCCACCAGCAAGAACCAAGTCAATCAAAAAGCCAGCAGCTTCTGCATCGCGGCCGTCATCGAGACCAGTTTCCCGAGACGTAGATGATGAGGCAGCCCTGCCGACTCCTCCTCCGGAAGAAAAGCGGGCAAAGAAGGCAGAGCTCTCGGATAAGGCAGCCAAATTGATGGGCTTCAAGCCGCGGCAAGAACGCACGTCAGCGTCAGCACAGAGACGGAAAGCAGGTAAGCTTTGAGTCTTCGCCAACATTTATTGCCACCTAGTTAATCTTGATTCTGTCAGGTCCTCGAGATCCATACGCGATTGATGATAGCGATGATCTTGTCATGGTCGACATGGACGACGCTGGTGGGCAATCTGCCAAAGATGGATCGAGAGGGTCCAAGCCCTCAAAGCGCAAGTCGAAGAGAGGGGGTGAGTCCCCCGCGAATGATGATTCTTACGGACTAGCGCTAATTTTTCCTTTTTTTTTTTGTCACAGTCTCGCGCTCAAGCAGACGATGAAGATGGTGTTATCGTTGATGCGGAGCAAACACAGAACGGTCCAGAGGTCCACTCGGGACCGGACGACCTCGCGATCGTCGATGGTCCTCTCCGAGAGCGCCGTCTCAAGCGTTCCAATACGGCGCCCAAGAAGCCGGAGCCCGGTAAACTGATGGGACTTTTTGGCTCGCTGAGAAAGACCGCTCCTCGCCAAGAGAATCTGCCAGAGCGCCGCAAATCCCGCTCCTATCGCGGCGGCGACGATACCGAGCGTGAAGACGCACGACGCGCACGGCGCGAGGACCGGCGCAAGAGATCCGTCAAACCAGACACCGACGGCGAAGGATTCACGACGGACGCCGCGCCTGGAGTTGGGGGTGCCGACACCGAGGCCGAAGACGCGGAAGCAAGACGAGCCGCGCGCAAAGCTCGGCGCGTGTCTCGACAGGTCTCCGACGCTCGGGACCCCGATGTAGAGGAACGGCGTGCGAAACGCAAGGAGAAGGAGCGAGCGCGCGAGGCCCGTGAGCAGAAGGCTCGCGAGGACGAAGAAGAGCGGCGCCGTGAAGAGAAGCGAGCTCGTCGTGCAGCTCGCGAAGAGCGCCGTGCCAAGGAAGAACAGGCAGCGCGCGAGGCCGAAGCCATGGCCGCAGAGCGGCGTGAGCGCCGTCGCATGCGCGAAGATGAGGTGGCTGCTAAGACCCGTCGCCGTCGCTCGCGGGTTGAGGAAAAGCCTCCAGCAGAGGATCAGTCGCCCGATGAGCCGGAGGTCGAACGCCGTGCTCCACGAGTCTCCCGCGCAGTAGACGAGTCCAAATCCCGTCGTCGCAAGTCCAAAGCCATCCCGGACACGGCGCCGCCTCCCCAAATGTCCGGCGGTCTCAACCACGGCGTTCCAAAGAAAGACAAGATTTCGTCGTGGGTCAAATCGCAAGCCGACGAACCGCCCGAGCCACCTCCAATCATGCCAACCGTGGTCGACATGCTCCCGCAAGCAGCGGCGGCCGCAGAAGGAAACGAACGCTCCCTATCCTCAGACGAAGAAGCCCGGCGCGCTCTGCGCCGCAAGGCCGCCGCCGTACCTCCCGGTACGGTGGAGATGAGGACGTTGATGACCCGCGCGCTGCTCGTCGGAGGGATCCCCGTCGCGAGGGCGTGAAGAGCGGTTCGGGGAGTGGAGGTGACTATGAGCGTGATCGCGTGAGGTCGTATGGGAGCCGTGCTCCTGCGCCACCGCCGAGCTCTAATGCAAAGAGATCAAGCTGGTTCCAGAGGTTTACCGGTTTTTAGTTTGGTGGTCGTTTGATTTTCGTCCGTTTTGTTTGGAAGCGGTTTCTTTGAAGTCTTTTTGTTTTTTATTATTTGCTTTTGATCGACCTTTCTACACATGGCCAGATGGCCAGCCAACCCTTGACGACAGAGATGATTCTATGACACTGCGGTTTGTTGTTTCTTTTTAGTTTGTTTTTTCAGTTGAGATTGTCTTTATACCACACGATGCTATATACCGTCCCATGCGAGTTCTGAATTATATCTTGTCTCCTCTTATTTCAACATAGTTTATATTCATCTATAAGCATGAGGCCACTACTCTCTCCCGAGATCTTTCTCTCTATCTGTATCTCTACATAACAGTCTCCCCCTCCTCGTTCGCAACCCGCTGCCCATCTCGCAATCCTTCACGCTCCCTCCTCCGATTCTCCAGATAAAACCGACCACCTTCATAAAGACTCAGATACATACTCAACGCGACAGCCGTCCATCCGGCACGAAGTGCGCCACCCCTGAACAAGCCCCGAATACCTTCATTCTGATAGATCTCACGGCCAACAGCCAGAGTGCGGATTTTCGGCTGTTTCGTGGCTGTTTTCTCAGATGAAGCAGCACCCTTTCCCTTTAGAGACTCCGATTTCGCTTCTTTTTCCGAGGAGGGAGCTTGATTATTGCTTGCTGAGAGCATTACGCGCGTCTTTATCACATCAACTGGCGTCGTTATGATCGATGCTATCGTGCCAGATACCGAGGCTGAGAGGCCCGTTAACCCGGCCCGCTCGATCAGCCGCTCTCTCTGCTCTGAGGGATCTGTGCCGTTACTACTCCTTCCACTTCCAGAAGCAACAGCAGCCTGATTCGCTTTCCGCCGCCTCCGCCAGTCAATCATATGCGAGCGCACATACTCAAAGATCGGGAACTGAAGACCCGTGAATGGGAGGTTTCTTCCCACGAGAGCTGTATATCCGCTCCACAGGCGCCAGGGATGACGACGGAATCGGACGAGAACCTGGCGCATGGCGGTTTTGTTGCCTGTGCCGCTGCGTTTATGGCCATCGACCATCTGCGCATTCTGCTTCAGCACCTCGGCGGGTGTAAGCACCAGACACGCAACCATTTCGGCAGATGAGGAGGCGATGCCGTGGATTATCGGGCTGGGGAGAGAATGTGTGAAGGGGAGTTGAATTCTATTTGGCGAGCCGGGGCTGGCATATATACCGTCGGCATTGTTGTTATTAGTACTGGAATTGTGGAGCGCGGATTTCATGGCCTCGTATGTGGTAAAGAAGGCACCGGCTGTCAAGGACAGTTGAGTAGTTAGAAATCAATCGACTGCATAAAGTAAAAAGCAGGGGGGACGAACATGACGGTATTGTTGAGAAGACAACGCTCCAAACTCCCTGGTAGAGACCGCGGAAGAGGACATTTCGTCTCACGGCGCCGGTGCGCGGATCTTTGAACACCTTTTCATAGTCCAGCGACTGGATCCGAGTTTTGAGCGTGTCGAAGGGATAGACGATGAAGTCGACGACTACTGCGGCAAAGGCGCCGGCCTGTAGCGTTCGTCAGTTATATACTTCTGTTGATCTATAGATGAAGGAATTTGGGATGACTGGGAGATGGCAACCCACGATCCAGATGTCGGAGTGGCTGTTATACATAGAGAAAAGCTAGAGCCACCGTGGAGGGAAGCACCGCCAGGCGCGGGCATCGGCGAGATCTATACTTGCTTATCGCTATCAGGATGATGAACGATGAAGTCATGTCTGGTCACATGATATCGACTGCCCTATCCCGATTAGGGTTGTCAATGGAGATTACTAGAAGAGATCGATAGACTACATGTACAAGAGACGGAAAATAAAGAGTGAAACATAGACATAGTATCCTTTATGAGCTGGGGAAAGACTCGGTATGGATATAAGAAAACAGGAAGTCGTATCAACATCCCACATAGAGAACATTTTCCCTCCCTACGCCGGTATAAGGTCATGCAATCCAAAATCTAAACAACAAACTTATTTGGCCGTCTCGCCGGGCAGCAGGTTGCCCTTGACAGCAAACATCTTGCCCGTGGTCGATGAGACAAAGCTGTCGACCTGGCGCGCGTACTGCTCCACCTGCCGGGTGTTGAGCATGCTCTCCAGCCGGCTGGGCTCCGTGGGGAGCTTGAACAAACGCTGCCACTCGTCCTCGGGCAGAAGCGGCTGCTTGAGCGCGGCGCGGGTGGCGTTCTCCTGGCTGCGCTTCTGCTTCCAGTTGTTGATCTTCTGCTGCTCCCGTCCCAGCACGCGCTGGTAGTACTGGAAGTTGTTGGTCTCGGTGTTGTGCGCCTCGATGCTGTCCAGCAGGAGGTCGCAGTTCTTCTCGAGGAACGGGTCGATGCTGAGGGACAGGTTCTCAAAGTTGGGGGTGAGGATGGAGGATTTGGCGAACGGGCTGGACTCGAGTGCGCTCAGCGAGGGCGGTAGGTCCGTCGGACCCGATGTGATGGGGCCCTGCAGCTGGTGGAGGAAGGAAGTGATCAGGTGCGAGTTGTGGATCTCCACGGGCAGCTCATCGAAGATATCCTGGTGGCGAAGGTTGGACTTTTGCAACCTGTACAATGGGTCAGCATACCAGTCCTTGTCTGTTCTTTTCGTGGCGTTGTAACACATACTCCTCAGCATTGAACTTGTTCTCCCGGAATGCGGCCATGAACTTTTCCGAGAGCCGGAAAGCCCGCAGACTCAAACTGCCCTGCGAGCTGCGGCTGACGTCGTGCACTAGCGCTACTGTCCGCTCGTTCATCTCCTTCTGGTAGAAGAACTGGTTCTCGATCACGTTCATATTGACAAAGTTGCCCATGTTGGCGCTGGTGTACCATCCGACATTGTTCGCATCGACGTTAACCTCCCGCAGCATGCGGATCATCTCCGTCTGGTACGCGGTGTTCCCCTTGGCGCGGGGAGCGGCGGCCGCTGGATTCGGGGCGGCGTTGTCAAAGTGCGATTCGGCGGGCAACTCGACGACCGGGAAAGGGAACGAGTTGGTGATTTCCAGGGTGCTGTCGACGTCCATACCGACGATCGAGCCGGTCGCTGTGGTCGGGAAGGTCTGGGAGCAGTGCTTGATGATTTTCAACACCACCTAGTGCGTCGGACAATCAGTATCGTTGGCCGGAGAGGGGAGGGAAGATTTTCTTCCGGGGGGGTTGGTCCATACCAAGGCCTCGACCTTGACGGCCGTGAGCGCGAGGGAAGCTTCGGTTCTGGGAAAGATATTAGCATAGCACTCCAAGACCCCAGGGCAGATTTCACATACTCGGCCATAGCGACAGTGCTGGTGGGGGTGGATGGAGAGTGACAGTAGTGATTGTCCAGGCGGATGAACGGTTTGTGTGAAAGCCCAGAGCGGTGCCTGATTGGGTTTAGTGTCGGACGCTGGAAATACCATACGCCAGGTACCGCCGGACAGGCCTTCTCCATACAGTACAGATACCACATTCGAGGCCATCTCTTCCCTTGACTTCAAACACAGAAATTCAAGGACCAGCACATCCACCAGAAGCTATCACACTTGCTGCGCCGCTTTCCTCGACTGGTGATTTTTCTACTTAGTCATTGCTGTGTTGCGGGCAGCCCACTTTTCGGCGATGCCATTCTCCCCCACCACCACCACCGCTCATCGCATCGCGACCATCTGCTATGTCCGTACAACAGCCCCGGACCGTGACATACGGCCGGCATAATGTGCTGCAAACCATCTCAGTCACTCCAATGGCCCGCCAGGACGGCTACTGGGTGATGTACGTTGCCCCTCCACCCCCACCATTCATTCCCGATAAGAGTAAACAAGCAAGCTGACCCGGTAATTGAACACAGCTACATCCACGGCGGCGCATGGCGTGATCCACTCGTAACTTCTGGAGCGTTTGATGCCACCGAGTCTCTCCTGCGCAAGACCCCCGACCTCCCAATCGCAGGCTACGCCTCCATTTCCTACCGATTAAGCGCACACCCGAACCACCCACAAGATCCGCAAAGCACTCCATCAGCCGAGTTCCGTGATGCGAAGCACCCAGATCACATAAGCGACGTGGAAGCCGCGCTCACATTTCTCCAGACTACATACGGCTTTGGGTCTCGGTACATCCTCGTCGGACACAGCTGCGGCGCCACACTAGCCTTCCAAACCGTCATGGGTGCTGTCGCGGGACACCGCGAACAGTCGTTTACCGCGGGCGCATACGATCCCAGCACAGGCGCCGAGACGGTCTTCTCGTCTCTGGGCTCGCTACCCCCGCGACTGACGGCGCATCCAACGGCCATCGTCGGCGTGGCGGGGATCTACGACCTGCGTAAGCTGCGTGATACGCATCGGGAGATCTCTGCGTATCGTGAGTTCATTGAGGGTGCATTTGGGAAGGACGAGAAGCTCTGGGATGCGGTTTCGCCGGCGCAGATGGTCGGTTCGCATGGTGTAGAGGGTGGATGGAAGCTGGGGACACTGGCTGTCCTGGCGCATTCGAGGGATGACGAGCTGGTGGATGAGGCTCAAATGGATTCGATGCGGGCGGCGCTTCGAGGATGGGAAGAGGCTGATGCACAGGTGTCTGTGGAGGGACGAGCGTTTCAACGCAGACGTGTCTGTAGTCTTCCTCTCCGTGGCGCTCACGATGAGATTTGGGGTAATGGCGAGGAGCTGGCTCGCGCCATTATATTCGCTTTTCGGGAATTGCAGGATATGGGGTTGGCTTCTCAATAGGCCACTCCCTTGGTGGCCCCTCGGCTGGACGGCGGTTTATACTACATCGAAACCACCCATGGAACGGCCAGAATTTAGTTATCCGTTTGTCAGATGGCTAAACAAAGTCATCCCGGTCTTGCTCAACGACTAAAAACCCAAATTGGCCAATCAAGAACAGGAATTTGTTGGTTTTGCCAACTTGCCAAACAAGACAAACATTGGATTTTACAAACTATTGCAAACACAAAGCGAGCTATATATATGGTGCTAATTCCTATCGGTCACCAACGTTTATAGGCCAACACCACAATACAGAAACAACTCTCTCAGCACGAGTCCAATGACGACTACAATTATCCCTAAAGCCCTCAAATCGGGTGACACAATAGCATTTGTTTCCCCTTCATCACGGCTAAATGAATCGCTGCCAACTCCAGTGTCACGGAGTATGAAGCTCTTTGAGGGTAGAGGATATCCAGTCAAAACGATATACTCACCAATCCCGACCTCAAATTCTACTTCGATATTCCTCCAAAGGGCTCAGCATGTCGCAAATGAAATCCATGAAGCTTTCCTTGACCCTCAAGTAACTTGTATTATCACTACAATAGGGGGAACAGAAGCTAACGAGGTCTTGCGGCACATCGATTACGAGATCATCCGCAACAATCCCAAGATCTTCGTTGGGTACTCGGACATCACTCATTTGTTATATGCCTTCTTTGTCAAGGCAGGCTTGCGAGGCTTTTATGGGCCATGTGTTTTTACCGAATTTGCGGAGTTTCCAGAGCCGGATGTATTTACAACGAACCACTTTTTCCAGGTTCTCCTGGGTAAAGGACCCTCTGGAACTGAAGGAATCGCAGGAAAGCAGATCCCGATGTCGACTTCCTTTACCCATCTTACACTGCCGTTTTTGCTCGAACCTGGGAAAGACGATAGCCAGGACATTCGCGAAACGATTCCCACACGACAAGCTCGCTTCTTGCGTCCTGGAACTGCCACCGGGCCTCTTCTGGGAGGCTGTTTACGCAAACTCGTCTCTCTCTGTGGGTCGCCGTTCTTGCCGTCTTCATTACACAAGGGGGCGATCTTCTTCTTCGAAGTGTCTCAAGGAGAGAACTTTACCGCCATGCCCCTGAAGAGGATTCGTTCCGACCTCGTAGATCTTATCAATACTGGCTTATGGGATGACATTGCGGGACTTGTGGTGGGGCGGACTTCCTTATATGACGAGGAGATGAACAAAGAACTAGAACGCATGATCGAAGAGCTAGTTGATGGTGGACCGAATGGAGGGTACAAATGGCCGGTGCTGTTTGGGGTGGATATTGGTCACACTAGTCCTATGTTGACCATACCTTTCGGGGCACTCGCTAGACTGGATAGCACTACACACGAGTTTTCGTTTCTAGAGGAAGGGGTTCTATAAATTCAGATGTGGAATTGAGGACATAAATGAACCATGTTGAAGCTAGGCCTCGTGCTGTATCATTTTTAGCGCCTGATTTACCGTCACCTAGCGTTGTGGCGTAGTAGTTGGCTCGGTATTCTTCTTTAGAGGACAACACAGCAGACTAGATATAACCCTTGGCGTACTTTATCGCATCATTTGGCCCCTTCTAAGGCTGTCGGTCTAGCGAGCCTCGTCTGACTTCACTACCCCTCCCTCACTCGCAAAATAAAAAAGTAGCACCCGATCAATACTTCCAGGTGGTTTCATCGAACAATTCGGATTGCGACGATCATCATGGCTACCATCACAGATCACGAAGTCGTCTACGCTGGCGACAAGAAAATCCACTACCTGGCGGCTGGCCCCGTCAATGGCCCTCTGATCCTCTTTATTCACGGATGGCCAGCCACGGCCATCACCTGGAAAGCCCAGCTTGATGCCTTTGCCGCCGTGGGCTTCAGAGCCATTGCCCCTGATATGCCTGGCTATGGTCAGTCGACCGCTCGTCGCGTTGTGGACGACTACTGCCAGGAAGCGATTGTGGAGGGCATGATGGCCTTGCTGGCGGACACGGGCCGCAAGGCAGCGATCTGGGCCGGCCATGACTGGGGCTCTGGGGTGACTTCCTCGGTCGCGATTCAACACCCCGAAGCGGTCAAAGCCCTTGTATCTATGTGTGTGCCATACTCGACCGTCGAGCTTGGCTGGGACGGTTTGCTTCCGTTGGTGAACCGTGACATTTACCCGGCGGATGAATATGAGGTTGGTCAGTGGGATTATATGAAGCTGTACGAGGAGGATTTTGAAAAGACCATCGAATGGTTTGACAGTGACGTTGCTGGATTCTGCAAAGCCGTCATGCAAAGGCCAACCTCGGTGCCAAACCGTGCTGCCCCCGTAATGATGTCCACGGTGCGCAAGAATGGATGGATGGGCGGCCTTCCGAAGCCACCGAGTGAAGACATGACAGGGCCTCCGATGCTTCCAGCCGATGTTTTCGACTCGTTCAGCAAGGATATGCAGCGAACGGGGCTTTGGACGGGTTCTGCCTACTACTTGCACCATAAACGAAATGCGGAATATAATGGAAATCGGGAGAGAAGGTTGAAGCAGCCGGTGCTGTTTATCCATGCCTTATGGGATTTGCTGTGTGATACCAAGACGTCGCGACTCATCGAGCCCATGAGAGACATTTGTTCGAACTTGACAGAGGTTACGATTGAGGCGGCGCATTTTGTGCAGTTTGAGAAGCCGCGGGAAGTAAATGCTGCCTTGTTTAGATTCATACTAGAAGCGCTGCCGAGTGAGTGGCCGGGATTCTGGGAAAGCGGGTATACTAAGAACAAGTCTGATTCGTAGTGGGATGGACGACCATGCCTGCTGGCAGAGATGGTTGGATGATCCTATTTTTGTTGCATATAGAATGGTCCACCATGGAGTGCATAGCATACTATTTATCTGGAAGAAATTCCGTTTTAGACTCTTTTGGAAATTATTTCTTCATTCTGTCATCGCTCAAACCCTCAGGTAACCAGTGGGGAGTAGACATGAAGGTAATGTAGATACAATCAAGAAGAAAAGATCAAGGCCATCCATGTGGCGGGAAGAAGAACCATCATTCGTAATCATCGCAAGCAGAAATCACCGTCCATCGAAACACCCGTACGCCGAAGTGTGTGCTTGTCGCTCAGCTAGTTACCGAGGTCCATACGGCCGGAGGCAGTGTCTCCGAGAACCTTCTCGTTCTTGGCGCCCGAGGGGGAAACCTCCTCGTAGTCAAAAGCCTCGTCGTCACTCTCGGAGTCCTCGATGAACTTGGCTTCGATGTCAAAGTCGGCCAGGCGCTGGCGCATCTGGTCGCGTTCGACATCCTGCCAACGGGCGAGAGCAGCAGCGGCGTGCACGCGGAAGCCGTAGATGCGAGGCTCGTAGCGACGGATGCTCTTCTCGGGGATGAGAGCGGGGTAGACCTGGAAGAGAATGGAGTGAAACGAGGTACCGAAATAGGCTCCGTCGATAGACGCGTGGCGCGAGGACTTGGGGTTGTACGTGTCTTCACACTTGGCGCAATAAAGCTTGACAGTGCTCATGTTTGGAAGATCAGACTGGCCGACGGGAAGAAGCGGATGTCCATCGCACATAACGCGTGGGCATTTGCCGAAATCACCCTTCTTGTACTTCTCGAGCTGCAGCCAGAACGCGTTATTAGCACAATATATCAAAAGGCATCGTTATCAGCAGGACGCGGGAGTTGTACCATCTTTGCAAGACCACGGGTAGTGACGATGTAGCGGGCATGAACCAGGCCGTAGAGATGACGCGCAGACTTTTCAATTTGCTCGCGCAGATCATCGTCTGCATCGAGATCAAAGACATCGGTAACGAGGTCGAGTGCGTACTGATAGTAAGGGACCTCGGCGTTAAGGCCCGTCAGGTTGAAACGGTCGGTCAGATAATCCTCGTCGATCTCGCAGAAGTACTCATTGCCACGAGAAGACACAAACTGGAGGAAGATAAGCGTTTTGATTAGCAGTCTCATCAGAACAACAGAGAGAGCAACAAAGATAGCAAGAGAAACACGATGATGAGGTGCGCCATGTTGGTTGGACCGAGTGCGAGCTCTGTCACCAGGGGCTCGCTTCTGATCGTTAGATCGCTGAGAAGCGAAGCCAGGATGAGCTCCAGAGCTGGAGCCGGAGCCAGTGCCGGCGCCCGTGCCAGACGGAGATCCATGGTCGTCATCATCGTCGCCACGACGGTGGTGAAAACGGCGGAGGACTCCCTCAGACCAGGCGAGAACGAAGAGGAGCGACAAACGAAAGCAAAAGATGAATACGAGGAAATCCATCAGGAGGTGACCATAAGGAATCAGGGGGTCATTGAAATGCTCCGAGAAGTGGCACCAGGCGTAGTAGGCTGCGCTCATGAAAAGGGAAGCAGCGAACGCGGCCAAACTCACGCCTGGATCAAAAAGATCAAGAAGGGAAGGCATGATGGTGAAGGTAATTGGCAATTTTGCAAGATGAGGTTGGCTGGATCGAGTTGGAAAAATGGTGGGAGAGCGAGAGGAAGAGGAGGAGAAGGGGCAGGATGCAAGAAGAGCTCGAGTTGTTTCCTCTCTTATCAAGGTTGCCGTCGTGGCAACGACCGAATTGGGCGCGCGCAGCCGCAATACCAGCCGCGATGTTGAGGCCTTGGTCCCCGCATGGCACACCTCTGCACCAGCCGCAGCAAACAAGAAAAGAAAAGCAATGCACTTACCCAGTCCCGCCAGTAGCTCGTGTAGTCACTATCTGTCTCACTGTTAAAGTCCTCCATATTGTTAACACCAGACGTTGCTGGGCCGGCTCGGGCTGTTTTCTGTGGTGGGATGGTGGGTTCGGGTCACAGCTGCTGAGACTGAGTGGGGTCAACCCCGGGGTGCCGATAACCCCGCTGCGCTGTGTAGCAGAACAAGGCAGTCTAGGCAGTGGTGATCACGAAAATTCATTCATCAATATGGATCGAGAGGGAGGTGGTGGTGATGAATGGAGAGAAAGCGGATGAGTGGGAGGTGTGCATCTCTGCGTTATCAATCGTTCATCTTTGTGGCTAGCCGCTATACGGCGGTGAGGATACTGCCAGCGAGTACTGACCGCCTTGGTGTGTATTCCCCGCAGACTATTTAGGCTCGGATACTTCGAGAAATTGAGAAGAAGAATAGTAACTGGTTATAGAAAAGACTCAGAAACACGGATTTCTGTTACATAGGGACTAGGGAGGGGCCCTTGTGCTCAGAGAAACAACGTTGCACCTTTATAGAACATTTGCTATATACTGGTGACGGGTTCTGCGATCGATAATACTGACATAAAGCCATCCACAATCCGAATTTCAACAATCCTACTCATTATTCCGGCCCGGTAAACATGATCTCATAAGAGGACTCTTTTCCATACTTGTCAACTCTCCAATCAGACGCGGTGTTGACACGCGGTCACCTGACCAGTGTTGTCTTATCGCCGCTGCCCCCACTACTGAACATCATCTTTTGTCGCGCGTTTCCAACTTTCCCTCCCTCGTGTCAATTAAAACACAAATCGCCTGGATGGAGTCGACTCCTGGATCCGGCGGACGCACCGCATCCCCCACTGTCTTTGAGCAGCAGCGCAAAGAGCTCGCCCGCGAAATTTCCATGGTAAGGCTTCCCTGCGTCTGCGAAAGATCTCACTCTGGCTACATGCCAGTGCTAATGTTAATATCATGTGCATTAAAGGGCATGGAAGAAGTCCTACAGAACATCAATCGCCTGAATCGGAATCTGGAAAGCGTCATCGCAGTACGTGCAATGCCCTGATCTCGGGCTAGATATATCCAAATCCGTACTAACAGCATCGACGCAGGTGGGCAATGAGTTTGGTTCGGTGGAAGCGCTGTGGTCACAATTCGAGAACTTCATGGGCCGGCCCGAAGGAGAAGGCGAAGACGCGGCCGGAAGGCAGAAAGTCAGCGAGGAGCAGGGAGGGCAGGGAGAGTCTGGTGGTACACATGAAGGAGAGGAGCAATAACTGATTATTACGGATGGGCCTGGCGTTAGGATTGCCTTTTATTTTCATTCTAGAGAGATACCACATTCATTCTACTTGGCGATTTGAGCAGATATTCGTGAATACTCGCAGAAGGCCAAAGTTGAAATGTATTGATTCAGTAGCACATAAGAGGGCGCATTCGCCAACAAAAGAGTAGAATCAGACAAGAACGAGAACACCTGTCCCATGCATGCGGAGAGTTGGCCGGGACCCAAGTCATGAGAGACGTCAGACAGGAGAAAAGGACGAGGGTCGTGAAGAGAAGAAACCAAAAAAGTAAAAGGGCCAAAACAATCCCAAGAGAAAAAAAACATCAGAACTTCGAAGGAGACAGAAAAAGGGCCACATCAATCATCGAGGGTGAACAGAAGAATTTTGCAAGAGTCATATCTAGCTTTGTCCAGCTTGCGGCGACATGTTCACATACAATCATGGCGCACGCAAGCAAGCCGACAAAGCAACCAGGCTTGTAGGCCAGCCAATGGGAAGAAGAAGAAGAATAATAAAAGGGTCAGGAGAAAAGAGGTATCGAACGACAAGCAGGTCTACAGGATCTTGCAGGTCCGCTTCTTGACCTTCTTGCCTTGGACTCCGCCGCCCCCGCCACCGGGTTTGGTGCTGCTGCGCTGATGTGACTGCTGGGTGGTCCAGCCTTGCTCTTCAATGGCCACGACTGTGTCGACCGCTTTCTGGAATACCTCGTCAACACCACGCATTTCTTTGCTGCTGCACTCGATGTAGCTTGCGCCCATTCGATGGGCCACCCCTTGGCCTTGCTCTGGGGTTATGGGCGTGAGCCCTTGTGTCTTGAGGAGTTCAATGCATGTTCGCTTGGAGCGGAGGTCAGACTTCAAGCCCACCAGGATGATCGGGGTGGTTGGGCAGAAATGAAGGACCTCGGGATACCACTATTCAACTTGTTAGATTATCAAGGAAACATCGAAAAGAAAGGAGCTTACCTTGTCCACCACATTCTCCAATGACGCAGGACAGTCAATGGCAAAGCAGACAAACAGAAGATCAGTCTCGGGATAGGATAGCGGGCGCAGACGGTCATATTCCTCCTGGCCGGCGGTATCCCAGAGGGCCAACTCTACTGCCTTGCCCGTTGCGCGGTGAATGGTTTGGGTGATGTAGTTCTCAAATACGGTGGGGACATATTTCTGTAAATGCCGTCAGCACTGGTCTTCCGTGGTGGTCGACGTCGGGTTCCTACCTCTGGAAAGTACCCCTGCGAGTAGCTAATCAACAGGCAGGTCTTGCCGCATCCGCCATCGCCCACCACGACGAACTTTTTCGAGAAAGCGGGCGGCTGTGTGATGTTGGTAGCCTCGGACATGTGGCCGCTGGAAAAGCTGGTGTTGGTGCTGGCAGTGCCGTTGCTTACTCGCACGGTGTTGCTTTGGTTGTGGTAGCGGGGGTGCATGGACGAAGGGGACGGAGTCGCAACAGAGCGGCGATGTGAGGGTTCATAGTACTGATCGTCGTACATATGGCTCATGGTGACGAGGAATGGAGAGGAGGAGAGAGAACACGCGCGTGTGCGGACGTAGTGAGTTTGTGTCGTCCTTTTTGGCTGGTACTGGTCAGGAGAGGTGAGAAGTGTGAAGAGGAAAGAGGATCGCCAGGATCTTGATTGCGATAGATCCGATAGCCCGATCTTGGTTGAGGCGAGACCCCGTGTTTACGCGGCTGCCATGGCAACGCGCCCGATGATGCCACGACGGGGGGATGTCACTCTTCTCCACCGTTCAGCTGGCGGATCTATCCTATTTTTATATTACTATTGACGTAATTCGGACACGACGAATCATTTTTAGGAGGTCATTGGTGGTGGTAATACCTGTGCCTGGCAAACACCCCCTGCTATGATGTGACCTAGTGTAAGGCGTGCTAGCGAGTAGTTACTCAATAGAACTACAAACCAGGCTCATCTTCTCCTTCTTCTTCTCCTTCTTCCTCTTCTTCCTCTTCTTCCTCTTCATGATCCCTACAAGCGTCACTTCTAATAGATCTCATCTCACGTCGCTATACGCGATCCCGCCCCGCTACACTAGTTCTGCCTTCCATACTCATGGTGGACCCGATGGCGATCACGAACCACAATTCAAACCAAAGTCTCAAAGTAGATCAGGTCAAGAGCAATAGATTCCAATTGAGACCTCACCGTTGAGACCACTACTGTTTATTATGGTAAAGTATACACCACCACCATCGAACTCTCTCCGTGGCCCACCCTGACTAAGCACACACTGCATCAGGGGCCGCGGCTGGTCCTTATCGTGTGCTGGTCTTCTCGTCTCCTCAAGCCAACTGTCGTTCATTCCTTATATCTTTTCCTCATTGATCCTCGTCCGACGTTCCTATAGGCAGGCCCGAAGCCTGTCCCTCTATGGATTCCTCCCAACACCGACCTCGATAACCCCCTGCACGATGGGAGAGGCCGCGAAGGACCAGCCCGACGCCGGGTTGAAGAGCCTCAACCACTGTATGCGACAATGCCCGCCACTCGAGTCGCATATACTGTCTATCGGCGCGTCGCTAATCATCTTCTCTCAGATTCTATCCGTTTACCTCTCTGGCGCTACTGGCCCCGACAAAAACTGCTGCCTCTGATCCGATATGAGACCCCGTATCTCGCCTGGCTGCAGGAAAAAGTCCGCACGCCTGCGCTCGACTCCTACTTTGCCTTTACGGCCAATTTGGGCACCCACACTTTTTTCATGGTTTTCCTGCCCTTCCTCTTCTGGTGCGGATCGAACGACTTGGGTCGCGGGTATGTCACTTGTCTTCGTCTCAAAAATGGGGGTGCAACACGCTCCATACGAATTTGTTGTGGCTGACAGCTGGGAACACATACAGACTAGTGCGCATCCTGGCCGCAGGCGTCTATTTCAGCGGGTTTGTCAAAGACTTGCTCTGTCTTCCTCGGCCTCTGTCTCCGCCGCTGCAGCGTATTACCATGTCCGGTTCCGCAGCGCTGGAATACGGGTTTCCCTCCACCCATTCGACAAACGCCGTCTCCGTCGCCGTATACGCTTTATCTTTACTTCATTCGCCGGACTCGACCCTTAGCACGCAAACCTCTCTGCTTCTTCAAGTGATCACCTATCTCTACGTCGGGTCCATTGTCTTGGGTCGATTATACTGCGGAATGCATGGGTTCTTTGATGTGATTATCGGTTGCATCATGGGTACGGTCATCGGTCTCGCACAATTTTATTATGGGTTCGAGTACGACCAGTATATTCTGTCCGCGTCGTGGACACAGATACTATTCATCACTATTGTGGTCCTCACGATGGTGCGCATTCACCCGGAACCAGCGGATGACTGTCCATGCTTTGATGATAGTGTCGCTTTCGCAGGCGTGGAACTTGGCGTCACTGTGGCTTCCTGGAGGTTCGCCAAATCCAGCATCGCCTGGGCGGACGGCTCGATCCCGTATCGGTTCGATGAATTGGGGTTGATCAAGACTGCTGCCCGTCTCGTCTTGGGCGTGCTGTGTGTTTTTGCTTGGCGAGAGACTATGAAGCCTTCTCTGTTGCGTATGCTGCCTCCTCTCTTCCGCAGCTTGGAGAAACTCGGACTTCTTCTGCCCCGTCGATTCTTCACCACTGCCTCGTATGTTTTGTCTCGTCTCTCTCACCCGAAGCTATTGCTGATTTTCTTTTAGGAAATACACGACCATCCCTTCACATTTGAAAGATCATGACGTGCTCCCTAATTTCTCTGACATACCATCCATGCTCACCACCATGCGTCACCCTCGCCGTCGAGCCATCTCAGTCGGCCCGCAGTCTGAAGCCGATGCCTATGAAACCTTGGCATACCGCCAGAAACGCCGACGCGAGAGCGCATCGAGCGACCGCCGTCCCTCCCCAGCAGCAGACAGCGACCGTAAACCCAACGGAGTAGCCGTCGCGTCGTCGAAGCAATCCAAACTAGACGAGTACGAGCATATGATGGGTACTGGCAGCCCGCACACTTCAGCTGTCGACGTGGACACCCACCTCCGGGTGTCGCCATTGCTATCCCCGCAATATGACGAAAAGTCCGACGAAAAGGAGGTGTTCTCGCAGATCAAAAAGCCACGGGTGCGGTACGATGTTGAGGTGGTGACTAAATTGATCGTATACACCGGTAAGCAACCAATCCCACCCCCCCCTAATTTGGTCCACCGCAGCCACTCACTGTCTGTCTTTCTTGCAGGGATTGCCTACGTGGTGGTCGATGTGGTTCCCTTCATATTTGAGCGAGTAGGACTCGGCACTTACTAGATGGACGATACGCATGGGTAGGTACTGGGGAAACCCCGAGCCTATCGTCACTTCGTGGCCTGATTCCAGTTCAGCAGGCTGGGCTGGGGTGGTGGCCGCTTCCAGGGACATATTACTCTTCGACTGTGCCTGTACATAAACATTGAACCCTGTATCCATGTTATTATCACTACCGAACCTGTTATTCTACCTCCCTGTGTCCCTGCATAGATCGGAAGCCCTAACTTAAAGCACGTGCCATGCTGAGTCAGCTGCATGATGGAATGGCTGACCGCGTCTCTCTTGCATCGCAGCCTCGCATTAAATCCAATCTCCAGGTTGAGAGCCTCCGTTGCGGCTCTTGTCCTGGCTCCTTTCTTGTCAGTCCTTCAATGATGGACATGAAAGCTTCCTCTTTTCCTCTGCTCCACACCTCCCCTCTCACCTTACTTTCCTTGTCCCATACCTCTCCTTCCGCTTCCATCGCGACACACCCTTGAGCTCGCGCCTCTTTGCTTTTTTCACCCACGCCGCCGATACCCCCCGCATAAATATCAATATGGGGGGGGTTCTTCTGGCGACGAAAGTCGCAGGCTCCTCCGAAACAGGAACCCGAGCTCCCACCTCAGCCGCAGTCGCCATTTGGCGCATTTGCAAGTTGGCAAGCTGCTCAATCCCCCGCAGCTACCCAGTACTTCGATGGTAAGAGCCACCATTTGTTTCACTGGAGATATCACCAGCGCAGTCTGACGGACTTTGTCAGTTTCAGATGACCACCGCACACCACCAATACCGGGCGCATTCCCAGAATCACCTCCCTCGTCGCCCACCCTCGCACCCAGCGATCGCCATAATGCAGCTCCTGGTATAATTGACCAGGAGGATGGTGTTCATATGGGAGAACTCGAATCTGCACTTCCCGAAGTGTTCACAACTCCTGAGCTCCCAACGGAACTCGGACGACATCTGCATCCGCGCAGACCAACACACCTCACTCCTACGCCCACACGAAGACGCGTGCATCCAGTCACACCACCTCATTTAGTCCTGGAAGATGAAATTCCTGTGGATGATCCGTGGAGTCAGCAGTCGATGGCGTATGAGAGGCTACCTTTCGGGCGACCAGTTTCTGCTGTGCACCTTTTCTACCCTGAACGGAAACCAATTCCATCTGGTCGGATTGAATCTGTCTTCACATCACAATGGCAAAGGCTGGAGAAGGAAAGAAAAGCCCAGGAGCGCGATCTGCGCCTCCCCCACAAGAGTCATCCCGAAAGGGCTTGCAGTGCGCCCACTCTCATGGGAGTGGCTAAATCGCGTGTCGCAAGAGATGAAAAAGCCGAACAACCACAGGGTTGCAATGTCGCTGTCGGGGGATCCAATCTCCCGCAGAGATATCGCAACGTGCGTTACGCCCCTTGAGTGGCTGAACGACGAGATCATTAACGCCTACATCGCCTTGATTATCGATTATCTTCGCGGCTCGACAGGCCACACCGGCCGTCAAGATCAACCTCGCTACCATGCCTTTAACTCGTTCTTCTACTCTAGTCTTCGGGATAAGGGATATCAAGGTGTCCGGCGATGGGCCAATCGCGCCAAGATTGGCGGCGAAAGGCTCTTAGAGGTGGATACGGTCTTTGTTCCTGTCCATCAATCAAGCCATTGGACCTTGCTGGTCGTTCGACCGGGAGAACGCACAGTCGAATATTTCGACTCATTGGGTGCTCGCGGCGCGGCCCAGTTCAAAGTCATCAAGGAGTGGCTGCGCGGCGAGCTGGGGGCCCGGTTCGACGAGGAAGAATGGACTTTACTCCCATCGAGATCTTCGTCGCAGGACAACGGGAGTGACTGCGGCGCATTCCTCCTCTCGAATGCAAAGGCAATCGCCATCGGTATCGACCCCCGCGCGTTTGGTGCGGCCGACATCAACATGCTCCGCAAGAAGATTGTGGCCGAGCTCATCAACGGAGGACTGCGGGATGAGTTTGATCCGGTGGAGGAGACGGGCATTGCACTTCTTTGAGGCTGATATAGTCGGCCGCATGATCACCTCCTTTCCATCATTACGCTCCATCCTCGAATATTCTCGATCCAACTCCCCCCGACATACACCACCCCCTCTCTCCAACCACCTTGCATATTGTGTCTGAGGTGTTCTTGTTTCTTTTCTTTTTTTTACTTTCTTTCCATCTGATACATTCTGTTCCGGCGCACAAGGGCATAGTCAGCATAGAAAGCGGAAGGCGCGGCAAATACGGTCTTGGTTCTGTGGATTTCTTGATGTTTTGAATGAATTCAGTTGATACCCCCACTTGCGTCGTTATCCAGAGAAAAAGAGAAGTTGATTCTTTCTGATTTCCTTCGTGCTTGATCCACTATGACATTCTGCATAATGAGATACACAATACTGTTCCCTTCAGCGAGGTCAATCCCGTTGTTAGACGAATTGATTCTTAAGATAAGATTCTACTTCACGGCCCAATAGCCCTAAACATACAGGGTGTGCGTCTCTTTCGAAGTGTAAAGATGGAGAATGATAGTTACAAGCGCCAGCCCCATCAATCATCCCGGAAAACTATCAACGGCGCACGGTCTACGGCACGAATCAGGTTGCGGGTCCCCTCCGCCGTGGTCATCATCATCATGGTCCTTGCGGTGCTTGCCTCGACACTTCCGGCCCTTCCTCCCTTTCTTGCACTTGCGGTGTTTCTTCTTCTTCTTGGACATGCCATCCAGCTCGTTTGGCGAATGCGGCGAGTTCGTCGGGTGTCCATTACCAGTTCGATTCGACGGATTTGCAGGTGGGAAGGGCTGATGACCGCCATGACGCTGCGAGACAGGAACGTCCATTCCCTTGTTATGATCCGAGGACGTGTTGTAGGCCAGCTCGATCCATTCAATGCCCACGTAAATACTGTCTCCGAGCCTCATGTCTCCCGTCCAGACACCGCCGTCACTCCACAGGTTTATCACCACCATGCTCTGCAGGTTGGGCACGCGGTACGATTTGGCATCTTGGAGCCGATTGTCCACGTACCACCGGGAGATAGACGGAAGCCAGTCCAACCGGTGTGTTGACCATGACGTCCAGGCGAAGGGCAGATCAACTTCTGAGCTTGCGCCGGGGATCATGATGTCGGCAACTGGATCGTAGTCTGGCTGGTTGGCATAGTGGACGCGATATGATGTGTCTTTGGTTAGGATTTCGATGTCTGATTCAGTGCTCAGGTCATGGTAGGTGAAGATGCCGACACATGCCCCAGGGGCTGGCCTGTCATCTTGTACGGAAGTTGATTTGTTGTTCAAGATCGGGATGGCATGCTGCCGCGGGTCTAGCGGCGGCCAGTCCTTGGGTTGAACAGGTTGCGGTATAGTCATGCTGGCGGGCAGGAGCCGCAGACGCACGCGGATGGAGGCGTGGTAGATATTGCTGATACGGGTCTCGATCTCGGCGGTCGATGTATAGTTCGTGTGGCGGGTGGTGCGCAGGACCAGATAGGTCAAGTTGTTCCCTCGTTCGTGATCCTTGGTGAAGAAGACGTTCCGCTTGCTGTTGACCATAGACACCGGAGATTCCTTCGTGCGATGGCGCTCCCATACCTGGCTGCCCCAGTCCTTTTCAAAGGGTGTTTCGAAAAACAGCCAGGAGTCAGGCTCGGGACTCTCTCCTTCGCCTATACTGCTTGTGATATTGACCTCCGAGTCATCATCGTAATCCACCCAGTCATCCCAGTCCCAGTCCGAGTCCCAGCTCGAGTCATCTTCGTCGTACTCGTCCTCACCCGGCCAGATGGACGATGTTGAGTTGGCAAACTTGCTTAAGGGAACGGCGCGGAAGTCCCACAGCTTGTAGTGCTGGAAGTATCCTGGGTTAGGACCGGAGACTACGAAGCAATCGCATTGCCTGGCGTCTTTGTTGACCGGTGCCGACAGGACAGGACGGACATGAGTGTCCGGCATAGGAGCAACTGCAGCAACAGCCACTGCGAGGATGGACAAAAGAATACTAAACGCCATTGGGGATGTCAGCATCGGAGAAGAAGACTCAACAAGTCCCGAGGAAGGACGGTCGTGCGGTTCAGTCTGGCAGGCGTGACACACTCACACAGACACATCCCCTTTCCCTCCTCCTCCTCCTCTCTCTCTCTTTCTCTTCTTTTCTTTCTCGATTCCATCATCCGCTTTTCTTTAAACCTCCCTAAATCCCGAAGATTCTAAAGAGAAGAGATATCACTAGAATTGAGAGAAGTGTAGTTATAATCAGAGCAATGAGTTTTTCATCTACCTAACAAATAACGAGCTTGCATCTTTGCCCAAATCCCCTTGGTATCCGTGGACTCAACATAATTAAGTCCTCTTGATCAGTCCGATTTTCTGCTCTTCAACTGACTCTTTTCATAGATCGGTGGCTCATCTATCAGATCAAAGGGGCTTTCTTTATTACCATCAAGTAGCCCCCATATAGAAACTCGTTCGAGTTGCATAACCCTTTTTGTGTTGCCATCCAATGGGAAGATCTTCTCCATTATCTGTTTCCCTTTCTTTGGAGAGCTCACCTCCCCGAGCTTTATGGCAACATCCACATTCAACAGTGCAGTGGCCGACTCCTAGCTTGCGTGTTGGGCTAGGCATTCGATTATAACAGCACTTACAGTCGCGTCTATAACAGCCTCCCCTCAGGACACAATCCTCAATAAGACTGCGATGTAGGTACCACCTTTGGTGTGAACGCCACAGATCGAAGCCTCTTGTGAGAGGTCCCTCAGTGAATGAATCCCGCCATTTCCACCATTCCCGCTCATTGAGCCAATACTGCTCGTTTATTTCAGAAAGCTGTTTCTGTAATATCTGATCGTCGCTGGATTGACCTTTGTTTTTTTGGGTCAAGTGTATCTCTTTTTGAACCCATTTTCGCAAATTCTGTTCTACTTGGACAATCGCTCGGAATGGAATGAGTTCCCTAATATACTTGTAGAAACGCTTAGCTCGATATTGCTGGAGATCATGTATGTTGCCCTTCTTTGCTAAACGAATCTCTTTTCTGGTTTCGCCTCCTTTGTTGGTCATGTCGCCGAAAGGACTCATGACTGAGGCTGAGTCGGTCACGAAGTAACTATCGCGTGGTAAACAAGATTGAGTAACTGTTCTTCTGGAAGCAAGATTCAATTCATATGGCTAAGGACCAAGTTTATAAGATGGGGATGCATTGTGGTTTTTTCTCGTCTCATCAAGGTGTAATTGTGACGAGCAAAAGACTATTTATACTGTTAGTTGGGTTTACCATGTACAAAATCAGGGTAAATAAAAGTTGTTTCCATGGTCAATTTATGTAGATGTCATCAGTGACAATGGATGCATCACGATGCATGGGTTGAGTCTATATTAGAGGCGTGGGATCTTTCAAATCGTCGGATTCGACACGATCCAAGTCATATGCGTTAGGCTAGGGACAAGTTCAGAGGTACAATCGACGGGACATATCTGTGCCGTCGATCAGTCAATAAAATTGACTGCAAGAAAACACGCTAAAGACAATCCAATGCGCAGAACCAGGGGTATTGAACCAATCACACGCAAAATTGATAATCCATCCAGAATGCAAACTCCGCGGCAAAATGCTATATAGTACGAGTATGCGGTATATGGGTATACCAGGCCAAAGCGCTGGAGACAATGCATGGTATCAACAAGGAACCGCTAAGCAGGTCATGACAAAAATTGCTGCTTCTAGGCCTCTTCCGATTCAGGCGTCGATGCACTATCGGAAGGAGGAGAAGCTGCCGAGCGGATGTTGGGGGTCGCAGCGAAAAGTGCGTCGGAGGAAGTATGATGTGAAGTTTGGGCGTAGTAGATAGGGGGGGTGGTGGTGAAAGGGTTGGTATCGTGAAAAGAAGTCGGAACTGCGGGCGTCGGGACTGCTGGGAGCGACGCCGCGGATTCCTGCGGAACGGACTTGACATCGTGGTGGCTTGCTCTGGCTCCGTGGGAAGATGCCGCCTGGGATGCCTTGGGTGCCTGCGGAGCGGACTTGACAGATTTCACACTGTGATGGCTCAGGCTTGCCCTAGAACTCGTTGGAGACCCGTGGGCTTCAGAACCACTGGGTTTGAGCTGGAGACGTCCCTTCTCCAGGGCACGGAGCAATGATTGAACATCTTGGGGGTCCAGAGCGCGCAGCTTACTCTTCGCGCTTTCAGAGACATCTGGGAAGGCATCCCACCCTAACTCGTCACCCTCAGACACAGGCGACTTTGTTGAGGATTGTTCCGGAAACCCCTCAGTTATTAATCGATATAGAGGGTCATGGGGATCCATGTCCTGACGGCGCGGTGGGGAGACGCGTGGCATCTTCCCCGGCTTGGTTTGACGCCTGGAGCCAGTGGCAGAGAGTTCCTCTTGTTGACGCTTGGAAGGACGATGGATACGCATATTTGGGCCCTCTCCCATCTCGTTGCGAATACTGGAATAAACGAGTCCCAGTCTTGCGGCTAATGCCTGAAGAGCTGCTTCGGGGAATTGGCGGACAGCTTCTTCGCGAGTTAGACTATGCCGAGTCTCGCCATCACTAGAATCGCTGTCATTGTCGACATCGAACATCATGTGATGGGACTGTATTCGTGTCCAATCTTCATAACCGCCCAGTTGATAAAACTCAGCGAGCTCAACGAGTCGATGAACTTTTGATATTGGGTTAGACCTGGAAAGGGTATACATATCATGAGACCTGTTGCTTACCTCGACTTGGCTGCTTCAGCCGCCAGAACCGCCACACAGTCTTTGGAAACCAATTGGGCCATTCTACGACACCGTCCTCGCTGATATACGGGATTATTGCGATGTTGGCGGTAGCCGTATTGGAAATGGAGTTCCAGTGCTTGCGTCCCTCATACCTCAAACGGTTCTTTATCTCGCCAATATCTGTCTGAAGATGATCGACTTTGCGCTCCAGTTGAAAGACGGAGGTTTTGAGATGCTGAACGTCGGATTGAAGGTGGTTGACATCTGTTTTGATATGGTTCGACTCGGTCTTCAAGTAGTTGACATCGCTTTGAATTTGGTTCGATTCAGTCTTCAAATGATTGACATCCCTTTTAATATGATTCGACTCGGTTTTCAAATGATTCACATCCGTTTTGAGATGGTTGACATCCCTTTTAATTTGGTTCGAATCGGTCTTGACGTCGGCTTTAAGGAGGTCGACATCTGTACGCAGAGCGACAACATTCAAATCAATGCGCTGAGAAACAGCATAATGGTTGTTGAACTCCTGGCGTATATGATGGTCTTCGCGGTTGCGGCGCTCGGCATAAGCATCTTTAGTCAGGACGGTAGTTCGTATTTCAAAGACCCGCGAATCCAGCTGGTTGATCCGATCATGGAGAAAGGTGAGAGAGAGGTCGGGCGGTGTCGCCTCGCGCGGAGTAGAGAGCCGCGGACTGGACATAGAGTTGTGGGAGGATCGAGAGAGACTCCGTTCCAGGGAGGTCATGGTGGACATATTCGGGACTCAAGGGATAAGGCGGAAACGCGCTTCTCCGAAGCCTACCTATACCGTGAGGTCGTCCATGGCTAGAAGAGTTATGCTTGGAGTGATGGCGATAATGACGATAGATAGAGAGCGAGCGAGCGAGAGAGACGAAGGTAATGCCCGGGCAAGGACAGTTGGGGAGGGCATCGGACCCGGGTTACAGCCCTTTGTGGCCCCCTTCCGGGCCCTTTCATGCGGTCGGATGTGCCACACCACTCATCCTCTGACTCACTTTGCACCCTTTTGACGGGCATTTCATGTCCATTTGAAATCAGAGTCACGTCCTGTTTATTTTGCCCTCCTCGGTGTTTTTTCCTGTATTTTTTTGACTCATCTTCAGGGCCTGGCCATGGGGAAAGGAGGTGGTGAGCATAAATTACGCCTGATGACGAGACGCATACACTGCACGGACTCTCGCTAGTGGAGCGCCTGACTGGATTCCAGCTATGTTAGGGTGGTCGCCACCCGCTGCTGATTGGTGCCAACAGTGGGAATGGTGGCGCCTCACCTGCAGTAGCCCGTATCCGGCGGTATCGCTGTCATTCTGGTTTCGACATTACCATAGAGGCCTGGGTTGATGCCTGGTGTTGTAATGATGCCTGAAATGAGAAGTCTAGATCCGGTACACATGGGACATTTACTCTATTGATGATCATTATTGTCACTGTACAGGGTGAATCCATAGCAGACTAGCAGTGGTCATGAGGGCCCCGCCTCCTCTGGAACCGGTTCAAATAAATCCTGCTGGAGTACCTCCATCACCTTGTTCTCGTCCACGTTTCGCAAATCGACTGACTTCAAATCTCCAGTAGTTCCGTCGTCCACCTCAGAAACTTCCTGCGGTCGTTGGTCTCCTCCAGCCTCTTCAGGTCCCATGGTGCGCAGATACTCTTCTTCCAAAAGAAACGGCGATGTCTGGTTTTCTGCGAGCAATGTTGCAGCAGAGTCTGGAAGCGCGTATATCGTGGGGAATTCAAGAACAGTATGTCCGCGTAGCGCAGTAGTGAGACTTGCGGATGGCGGCAAAGGAATTAGAACGGGCTTCTTGGTCATGGTTCGTGGTCGATGAAGGTAGAAATAGAGACCGCGATGAGGCGTAATACTTGGATCGGTTGCCGGTTGCTTCTCTACTGTTGATCCAGTATCAACAGGCTCGGAGCTTGAAGGATGTAAAACTGGAGTCTCTGTAGATTCGGCTGGTGCAGATGAAGCAGCTTCTGTTGCTGTCGCATCTTCCTTCACAGCAGGTTCGTTGCTCACATCATGCTCTTCCTTCAACTGTCCAGGGCGAGCTTTCTCTTCTTTTGGGGCTGGATAGACACGATCATATGCCTCAGCAATAGAGCACGTCTCGATACAGGCCCGAACGGTCCTTTCTCCGGCTGCAGTGATCCACTCCACGGACCAATTTAGGCACTTGTGTCTGTTTCATATCAACGTCAGCACGGATTCCATAACCCAAGAAAAAGGTTAGAAACTCACTTAGGATGCCATCGTGATGCATTCTGCTTATTCCGCGTCATCCCCCGCGGCGCCCGAACGACATTCACGCCGCCAGCCTCCGCGCCACGCAAGAACCCAGCTTCGCCTTTGACCAAACCCTGATGAGGGTGTTTCCGTTTTCCTCCCGGAGCTGCATAATCGGCTCCTGGAGCTTCACCCGTCTCCGCTTTGTCCGCCGAGTGTCCCCGCGGAAGCTCAATGCCCCGGTTCTCTGTCTCTCGGCCGGCGCGCTCGAGCGTGCGTTCGATGCCCGTGATGAAGTTAAAGTCGCGGTCAAAGGCGGATTCTGTGGCTAGTTCGTTGCGCCGGAGGTAGGCGGCTGGATCACGCACTCCGGAGCATTGGGACCAGAGCTTGTGGCGTCGTGTGCAGGGTAGAGAACAGGTGCGGGTTGCGCAGCGCGGACAGCGATATTTTGGGGGATTGGTGTGGCTATTGAGGGCATTAGTTGGTATAGCGGTAGAAGATATGGTGAGAGAGCCTACCAGATGGAGCAGAGCTCGCTCAGCAAGAGGTCTGGCTGGTCCATGACGGCGTTGCGCTGCGAAGAAAATAATCGGCATCGCGCATCTTATCTATCTGGTGGCCTGAGGCAGCGACTGTATACAACGACATCCGGGATTTAATTTTCTTTCTAGGTCTATAGGATATTTCTCTTTGCTCAAGACAAAAATGCTTGACGTTCAGAGTCATTGCTGAATTTTCCCCTCCTTTCGAGTCTGCTGAACATTCACCATCCCTCCCACCGATGATATCATCGACTTGTTGCATTTCTAAGCTCGGCGTTTGGACCCAAGCCGAGGATTATTGATCACCAAGCTTCATCTGTCTTTTATAATCAACAGCCCACCCTCTCATTTTCACCATTACTTTTCAATCATGGCATCCAAGACCCTCGCAGTTATCGCCGGCGTCGGCGCCGGCACTGTAAGTCGTGTTCATTCCTTGTGTTACATTCCGTCTCTAACATCCTACCAGGGCGCTTCAGTCGCTAGGACTTTCGCCAAAGCCTATCCGGTAGTACTTCTAGCTCGGTCGCCCTCGAGCTACGAACCAGTGGTCAAGGAGATCAACTCCAGTGGCGGCCATGCCGTGGGTATCAGCACCGACCTTTCCGACAGCAACAGCGTCAAGGCCGCCTTTGATCAGATCGCGGAGAAGTTCCCCGGTGCCGGACTAGCTGCGGCGGTGTTTAATTCCAGTGGTACTTTTGTACGAAAGCCGTTCCTGGAGGTGACGGAGGAAGAGTATTCGACTGCGCTCGACTCGCAGGCGTATGTATCCACCCAGGCACATCCTGTCGCTGCTTGCTACCAAACTAGACCGAATATACTGACCGAATACTATACAGAAAGGGCGCATTCGCTTTTGCCCAGCGCACTTTGCCCCTCCTTCTCCAGGCTAAAGGCACATCTCCCTACCCGCCCACCTTGATCTTCACCGGCGCCACAGCGAGCGTCAGGGGCTCGGCCAATTTCGCTGCATTTGCGTCCGCCAAGTTTGCTTTGCGCGCTCTGGCCCAATCTCTTGCTCGCGAATTTGGCCCGCAGGGAATCCATGTATCGCATGCGATCATCGACGGTGTCATCGATATCCCCCGCACCAAGGCCTACACGGTTGCGCATGAGGATGGAAAGCTGAGTCCTGATGCGGTATGATCTCCCAATTGGTTCTTTTCCATTGGATTATGTGCTCATTGTTCCTCTAGATTGCGGATTCCTATTGGCATCTGCATACGCAGCCACGTACGACGTTTGCTTTTGAGTTGGACCTCAGGCCGTATGCTGAGAAGTGGTAAAAACCGGAGTATTTATCATTATATGAGGAATTTAATTAGTTAGCAACATAGTTTCTCCCTCGAAGTAAACATCTGGATCAGTGCTTTATAGAAATGCTGAGTCAGCACCACGTCATGTCGAGCTCGAGCTCACTCTCTCGCACTCTCTCGTTCTCTCTCCACTGTCCACCTCGCTTGACAGCCTTGCTCACCCTCGACGATTCCCGGAACCAACTCCCATGGTTCTCGACGACGCCTCCCCGCAAGCGGGCGGCTTCTCCAACAACAATGCCTCGGACGAATCTTCGACCATCGTATACGGAGCGCTCGGCCGGCCGCTGAAGATCAAACCGGAGCTCATGACCCGGCCTGACTATTTCACACTGTACTTTGGATTCTTTGGCCATGGGCACTGGAATAGGCGGGCAATACTTAGCATATCCGAACGGGTGCAAAACACATACGTACTATGTGGCCGGGACGCAACACAGGAAGAGGTGGACGCATTTGTCCAGCACGGCACGCGCGAACTGTACCACGGGCGAATCGGACTACCGCTATCTGTGTTTGCCGGCACTGCCTATTTATACAATAGTGCGCGCAAGTCGCCAATGTTCCCCGCGGATCCGACACCCACCAACCTACTCTCCACGCTACGGAATTTCGCCACATCTGACCGGACAGGCTTCAGACAGGAAGCGTTTCGGGCGGGGTTCAAGCTGCTGTTTTGGGGCTCACTTGGCGCTATCGTCTCGTCCACGTTCAGCACGTCCAACTATATTCGGAACATACTTGGGGATCCCCGATTGGAGCAATTCAGGAAGGACATGGCGCAACAGAAGCCCGACGAGAGGCGGAAGCGCAACTATGAGATGCAAATGCAAAAGATACGCCGGCTTAAAGGGGAAAGGCAGTCTACAGAAGATACCGCTGGCGCCTATGCGGAAAGCCATGATAACGAACAAGACAGCTATGACTCTTCTGGTTCGCTGAACTCTTCTTACTCGCCTTCATCGCCGTATAATGCTTCCCCCAGTGAGAACGACATGACATACAATGCTACGGAGCTTAGCAAGCATTCCCGCTCTGCGGATCAGCCGCGTTCTGGTCCGGACGCCTCCCGCCGGCCTCGGATGTACGGCAGCCCGACAGCAACAAAGGGCGTTGGCAATGAGTCCGGGTCTGGGGGTGACGATTTCTTCGGTGATGACGACAATAGCCCCACGGCTCCAGAGTACCGAGGCACCAATCCCGATGGCACGGCAGGTGGCAGTGCCTGGGATCGGGTCAGACGACAGAATGCCTCCGGCCCCCAGTATCGGCAGGGGTCATCGCGGCTCGGCTCGCAGCAGATCTCGGAATCAGAGGGCGATAGGTATGAAAGCGAGCGTAGGCGTGAGCGGGAGCAGGCTCAGGCCGATTTCGATCGGATGATGGACGCCGAGAGGAATGCTCCCAGTGATGGAGCGCGGCGAGGGCGGGGTTGGGGCTCATAGTCCTTTGTTCTTTCAGTTGTACAACTACATAACGATGTATTTACAGACTTTTAAATGACCTCAATTGTTGCGGCACACTGTTTGTCTCTGTAGTATGATCTGTACGCGCCAGCGAGGTATATTTTAGATCCTATTCTGTGAAATTGGGCGAGACTGGAGTATAGTCCCTTTTAAGGAAAGGCACTGTTATGGCGGAGAAAGTACTATAGAGATTTGCATGATATGAGCGTTTTACCAAAAGCCCGCACTCCCAAAATAGGCAGCAAGCCGACTAGTATTTATATGAATCCTTCAAATTCTGAGGTGCAGAAACATTGTCATTATTAGCCTTTGCAGGCAGAGCTAATATAAATACGATACCCCAATAGACAACAGAGATCACAAAAAAAGAGTGAACCGAAAGCCGCGAGGCAATCTCCGTCCACAATTTTGGGAAAGAGATATATAGTAGAGGCTGAAAGTAAAGAAGAACCAAGGAAAAGCGGCTCCAATGATCAACTGTGTAAATGGGTGGGAACTATGTCCGGATCTGTTTCGTAGCAATCCAAAAAGTAATAAAGATCATCAAGACAACAGGAAAATGTCGGATAGATTGAGAGAGGGTATAAAATCAAATGGAAGAAAGGAAACGAAATCGGAGGAAAGATCGAGTGGCATGCTCTTCAATGACACCGTAGAGTAGGAGAGAGAGGAGAAAAATCCCATCAAAGAAGTCATCTAGGTCCCATAGCTCTGATTCTGAGAATGGAAAGTCTCATATGGTATCTCAGGCGAAAGGCTAGTCAGGGCCCCCGGCTCAACGCTGCGACTGTTCGTGCGCATGCGGGTCAAGCTGCGCAATTTGTTTGTGAAGCTCTCGTTATTCCCACTGCGGTTCCGGCGATGATCAAAAGACATACGCCGGCCAAGAGACGGACGAGTTTCGTTCCCGTTTAGGGCTGGAGCGGCGGTCATAGCGCGCGGGAGGAGCCTTCCCATGTCCTCGTTGTCGATGGCAATGTCGATAGTTGCAGATGATTGGCGTGGGGAGCCGAGGTTGTTCCTGTCACCTGGGATAGGAGGTGGAGGAGGGGGTGTGTTCAGGTGCTGCAGCTCGGGCAGGATTGGGGGCGGTGGTGGAGGTGGGATGGTTTCGTTTTGCGCTGCGGATGGTCGTCGGTGCTGCTGCATTGCGTTCTCTATTGTCTCTTCGATGCTCACTGTCACATGTGGCGATGTGCTGGGTGAATAGCCACCAGAACTGGTGCGACGGTGGCCCATATTCCGGCTTCGACTGCCAGAGCGGCTTCGAGGGAGAGAAGGGTTGAAGCGAGGGTGCATGGGAACATCTTGTGGGATCTCCGGAGCCGCAGGTATGTGGTATTCTGCCATGGGCACGGACATAGACCGGCCGATTCGCTCGGCTTCGAACTGATACCTGGCATCGGCCAGGATGATAGAACTGTCTGTTGGTAGACCAGGAACAGAGGGAGGTCGCTCTTCCTCGGTTCCAACGCCGTATTTAGGGTGCCGCATTGCCCTGGGAGTTGCCGGAAGACCAATGGGAACACCAGATCTAGAGGAGCTAGAATCGGAACTGCTCTGGTATTCCGGTGATCCTTTAGCCTTGGGAATTTGGTTGCGAGAAGGCACACGCGGAAAGTATGAATTTCCCTGGAACGAGGAAGGGGAGCCTTCAAGAATTGGACTGCGAGCGCTCTGTAGTTCACCTGGGAATGGGATGTTGGGAGCCGAGGGATTGCGCGCCAACGATAGTCGCCTTGCTTCCAGCTCAGCAGCTGCCAGCTCTCTCCGTTTCTTCTCCGCTAGAGTGACGAATGGCGTTGTTGGCGAAACAGCTTCTTGGGATTCATCTGCAGCCGGATAGGACGGCTCTTGGGAGCTCCCATTGGCAAAGACATTGAGCTCTTGTCCAAAGACCTTGGCACTCAAAAGCTCCGGCTCTGTGGGCTGCACAACCATGCCTGGCTCAACTTCCGACTGAGATCGATGATGTGGCACCTTATTCCTTGGCTCTTGCGATGGATCTGGCCTGGCACTCGTTGCTCGCTCGGCTCGACGCCGGCTGGCGCTCCGGTGGCGACTGCGCAGTCTTTCTCGATCACTAGAAACTAACCTCAGGGGGTCCTCGGCACCTTCGCCCTTCGAGTTGTCGTTCTGGAGAAGAGACATGGGAAGTGGCGATGATGGAGAGCGATTGCTCGACCCTTCTCGATCAATGCTACGGCCTCGCGTCGATGTCTCACGTCTATCTCCTGGCACGCGACTCGCGGTGTTGCGATGTTCCGAACGATTTCGGCGACGTTCAGAAGGGGTTCTCGTGCGCGAGGTTCCTTTCCGGATCTTGCTTCCACTCCTGGCGCGAGATTGTGACTTGGATGCGTGGGCTTCCTCCGGTTTCTCGTTGTGGTATCGAGCCAGCTCATCGGGGGACATGGGAACGGGCGAGGAGGGAGAGCGCTTAGCAGGCTGAATATATCGGCGATCATTGCGGCCTCGAGTTTCTTGAGATGGTTCACGAGAACGGTGAATGCGTGAGCTCTGACTGCCTGTTTCATCTGCATTGCGTCTTTCGCGGGCATGACTGCGATGATCACGGTATTTCCTCGCATGGTAGTTTGCCTCATCTAAACTGCTGATGTACTGGTCGATACTCCTGCCACTGACACTAGGACTCTTGTTCGATGCGTGGCTGTTGAAGGTTGAGGTACTCTTCGCACTGGAAATCAGGTCTGAGCGGTTTTGCGTGTCCGAGTGGTTCTGCTCAGCATGCAGCAACTCAATCTGGAGTCCATCTGGCTTGCGGTCGCGAGAGCCATTCCGGGGATCTGTGTGCTCCTTCAGTACATCAAACACACCAGGGGCAGGCGAGGGAAGGCCTTTGATAGACGCAAATCTGTCGGTTGTCTGTACAGCCGTTTGTGGACTGGGACCCTGCGATTCCTGCTGCGGATTATATTTCGCAGATGGTAGCGTCAGTAGACCACCATCTTCCTCTTGACCATTACGGCTCTGCTCCTGACCACTGGCTTCCTCGTTCTCCGATGTCGACGCATATTCGCCTTGACTGTAAGAATTTGAGCGAGAGAATGATGGAGGATGAACATCCACCGGGGTTTCTCCAATGGAGGGGAGGCGGCGTCGGTTGAAAGCCGGAGTGCTAGTCCGAGAGGTCATCGCTTGGTTGAGACTCTGGATATTGTTAAGCTTGTATGAACCAAATCCCCCAGGGGAAATGGCCGAGTCAGCAACAGCCGACTCCGCGATGGGAGTAACGCCAGGTGCATTCGTTGGTGTGCGATCATCAGACTTCAATCCAGGGAAGCGGAACCGTTGGTTCGGTTGGGCATCAAACGATGTAATCAGCTTCAGAGCTGGGGTCTTCACTGAGGGCTTCTGATTAGATGCTGATCTTGGACGGGAGGGCGGAGCCATTCGGTTTGCGCTCGTTGGCCGGGGCGGCTCAGGCGAGGCTAGAGGCGACCGCCCGATGATATCTGCAAATGAGGCAGCCTGCTGGGCACCTGGAGATGTCCACGGTTCGGATGGTTCGACGCCAGTGCACATGAAACAGCGGATGGCAAGTTGCTGCTGGGAATGAGAGACAACATATTCTCCCCATCTGCGGACCAGATAGGATTGTCGTTGCCAGTCCGTTGGCATCAGAAGACATGTCATGAGAATGGCTTCCATAAAGTGATTGCGAGACACATAGACCTCAATCGCATCATTACTGTCCCCGAGACCAAGTAGGATAGATGCTGAAGTATGAATATCACCGATTTCAAGCAGCTTCTGCACAAAGGCCTGGCCAACTTTGTTGGCTTGTGCTTGACCACTCATCTGGCTCAAGGCCAACAGCATCCAGTCGGAGGTTGTCACTGCACCGGGAATGATCATCGAGGCCATTTGGTCAGTGTCCGTCTCGCCAAGCCATTGCGATAGCAGTATGGCGCTTTGACTGCCCACGGCGTGGCGGCTCACTGCAAATGTTAATAGATGTAGTATAAATTGGAAAAAAGAGGACGTACACTCATCTCTAATCAGTTCTTCAATATCTCCCTTCCAGCCGAAGACCACATTCAACATCTGTCGGCGAAGATCATCTGGGGTTAGATGGGATTCATCCATGGGCGGTTGTTGTTTGTAAGGCACATCATTGAGACGTGCACGAGCAAACGGGAACAAGTCAATAATATTTCTCTCTGCTGGGCTGAGGTGAACTTCATTGCGCAAGCGCGATCCAGCACGAGAACTTTTCACAGAGGACATCGACACCGATGAGGCATAGGCGAAGGAAGCCGAGGGTTGCGGCGTGTCTCTTTCAGTAGATGTCAGGGAGAAAGTGGTTGCGCTCCGACCAGACCGACTCGGTGGTGAGAATGGCCGAGTCGGGTATTTCTCCGAAGATTCCTTGGAACTGACGGAGTTGGTTCGACTGCGGGACGAGGCAGGGCTGGTCAGATCTGCCCGCTGCTGTTTATCGATACCGTTCGATTTGAACGGAGTCCGACGACCATTCTGTTCTCGAAGATCAGGTGGATCTTGCAAGTGCCGTGATCTGGGTTCTTCGGAGACGACTGATCGCGCGCTAACGGGGACATGCTGCACATTCGCTACCATGGCCGGTGTTTCCACGTCATACTGCTGTACCGAGCCACGAGGGCCGATGGTGAAGAGCGCTGCCGTAGGACCGTAGTTTGCTATGCCTTGCACGTTCTCTATTGTAGGGACAGGGTCGTACGAGACGTGCTTTGTTCGAACATCCCACGACCAAGTTTCACTAGAACAAAAACATATTAAGAGAGTATTAATGAGGGAATGATCAAAATACTTACCCTTCCAAGTATTGAATGATTCTGCCATTCTTAGACCATGCCATCCATTTTGGATCGGCGGAGCTCGAGTCCGATCGCTTCAAAACCCTAATGACTCGAGGCGCCTCCTTAGCTGGCGGTTTCGCCACACTCCAGACTCTAAGGTCACCGTTCGAGGATTGCGTTGCCAGCATGTCTGATTTTTGTTTCGAGGACGAAGCATGCCAGGCGAGAGAAATAATCGGGGATGGCCCGCGAGAAGTTGTTAGTGTGTGAAGGATAGTGAATTGGGGGAGCAGAGTCGCAATCAAGATCGATCCATTCTGGTATCCAATGGCATAAGTCCGACAATCCGTTGCGGGTGCTAGAGCGGTGATAGGATCAAAAATGGTGCGCGCTGAGATATGCTCCGAGGTCGAGGGCTCGAAGAGGATAACCTCGCCTTTCCCGTTACCTGTATAGTTGCATTAGCAAGTCAAAACAAAGGATGAATCAGCTTTCTTACCAAACGCAACATTGCCATTGCGCATCCACGATGCCACTGTCAGATGCTCAAAGGACGCAAACCGTGCGATTTCCGTGCCGGTGAATATATCCCAAACGATTGCCGTTTGTCCGACATCATAACTCACGACCAGCCTCCCAGCACCTCGCTCACTGACATTGTCCACTGAGATGAAGTCGATTTTCTCCTGGTGGCTCTGAAATCGACGTTCCACCGCCAGTGTATCATGGTGGAGGCACAGAATCACGGAATCCTGGGCATAGAGAAAGAGCGACGCCGTCGAGGCACAGGCTTCCAAGCGTGGCTCCGGAGCTTGTGGCGGCGGTGCCATTGCTTTGACGGTCCTCGAGGGTCGCGATTCCAGCACCGAGCTCCTGTTCCATGTCAATTCAACCATTCCTGGCATTTACGAGGTGGCGAGATTGCCACAAACACCAGTCTCAAGACTCGAAGAGCACGGATGTGGAGAGGGGGAAAGGAGAATAGAACGGTCCGGACTGACCTGATTGCTTCTGACCAGGGGGGAAGGTTACTAATGCGCCACGACCCTTGAGATTACCGTTCAAGGCAAGAGAAGATAGAATGCTGGGATCGCACAAGGCATCTAGAAGACCGGGGAGTAGGGCAGATTTAGCGCCAGACCGGGACCAGGGCGGGCGGGCTAGCAGGCTCGAAGATCGTAGCCCTAATAAGGAAAAGCTGCGCAGTAGACGATATGCGTGGACAGGCAAAGGGGTGTTGTCAAGACGAAAGAATAGAATAATCTTCCGGGCTGCTTACTGACAGGAATGACTCGCGTCCACGTTCGTCACATTTAGAAGACCGAAGTTTGTGACCGAGAAAGTGGGGAGAGCAGAAAAGTGACTAGGGGAGGAGAAGCGGTCCATCCGCATTTGTTCTATAAAAATAACCAAGTGGCGCTCTGCTTTTACATATATTCCCGTCTGACGGACGGTGGTATGCTGAGGGGCAAATCCAGATCTCCAGCCCGTCCAGCAATCGGAGTAGGCGCTGGGGCAAGAGTGCTGGGCGCTTCATTTCCAAGCGGACCATACAGTCCTGCCAGCGCAGGATCGGAGAGACCATGGGCGGAGAAGGAGATCGGGCCTTTTGTGGCGGGACCAACGACGTGCGCGATGCCTGAGTCGGCATGAGAAGAACTGCAGGGCGATCCCAGGCCGGTGAGACGCTAGGCGATGGCAGTGCAGCGGGCGAGTAGCAGCCGTTGCAAGAGAGTGTCGAAGTCGAGTGGAAACGGATGTGATTGGGATGCTCGTTGTGACGAATCTGCACCTTTCGTCACCCCGGTCGCCAATCAGCACCCCTGCTCGGCCATCGCTAGCGCCTGCATCCATGCCGGGATTAGCGTAGGTCGTGGCAGGTAGGCGAGAACGAGGGAAAAGGATCAAGCCCGCGATCGGTCATGGTGAGTGATGTATGTCGTGGGTTCAGATAAACAACAGGGGTGGGAGCTCGAGAGCTTCGCCGATCCCGTTTCGGGTAGTACCGATGGATGTGATGTGACTGTGTGCTCTGCAAGAAGAGGAACCAACATTTCGGAGCTTGGGCCCTTTTCCGTTCAGCATGTTGTCAATCGAGCTTGGGCAAGTCCTGTTGCACCTGTCAAGCCGGGCAGATCGGAGGAAGAGGTGTTGGAGAAATGCCCCGAGGGAGTGATGCCTTTCGTCCAGTGACAATCCAGTATTAGTCCAGTGATCTTCTACGACCTCTATTACCCTGTTCTATGGAACAACACCTGACCACACCTGATCACTATCTCGCATCCGCCCGTCATCATCTGACCCGTGGGGCTTATCGCTTCCCCAGATTCTTCTCCCCGATACCTGACTCACCCATCAACCGAACAACAAAACGGCTCTGCTGACCTGCTCTTCCCGCCATGTCCGAGCCAGAAACCGTGATCGTGATTGGGTATTCTTCTTCTACGCGAGGCAAGAAAGAGAAAGCCAGCTGACCTTGTAACTCCAAAGAGCCGGCGTCATCGGCCTCACAACCGCCCTTCTCATCCAACAACACCTCCGCCGCAATCAATCTCTCCTCCTCATCGCCCGCGATCTCCCCTCCGACACATCCGTCAACTACGCCTCCCCATGGGCAGGAGCCCACTACCGCCCCGTACCAGGCTCGTCGCCACAAGCATTGCGCGAAGCGGACCAAGCGCGGCGCACGTACGAGTACCTGCGCCAGATTGCCGCCGCCGAACCCGCCGCGGGCATTCGGTTCGTCCAGGGCGTCGAGCATCTGGAGGCTCCACCGCCGGAATATCTAGATGAGCAGAGCGTGCGCAATGTCTACTCCCATCTCGATGATTTTCGGGGTTTGTCGCCGACGGAGCTGCCGCGGGGTGTCAAGTGGGGCGTGCACTATGGGACCTACGTGATCAATTCTCCCGTGTACTGTGCGCATATGCTGCGCAAGTTCATTCTCAAGGGTGGGCGTGCGATGCGGGATACCCTTACAGACCCGCGGGAGGCATTTAGTCTGGCGACGAATGTCAAAACCGTGGTCAATTGCTCGGGGATGGGATTTGCGGACCCGAGCTCGTTTATTATCAGAGGTATGTATGCACGACACTTGTAGAACGCACTATACTAACAAACCAACTCTAGGTCAAACCTGCCTCGTCCGCAACCCAGTCTCTGCAACTATCACCCGCCAAAACTCCGACGGCTCGTGGTCCTTTTGCATTCCACGCCCACTGGACGGAGGCACGATCATCGGCGGCACCAAGCAGCCACACGACTGGGATCGGCATCCCTCACCAGAGACGCGCGAACGATTGCTCGCCAACGCGGCCAAGTGGTTCCCTTTTACTCCCGAGAGCGGCGGGCAGTTCGACGTTGTCCGGGATATTGTTGGGCGACGGCCTGCCCGAGAGGGTGGTGTACGCATTGAGGCTGAAAAGCTTGATGGGGGGAGGTATATAGTTCATGGGTATGGGGCTGGTGGGCGCGGGTTTGAGATTTCGAGGGGTGTTGCAGAGGATATTACGGCGCTCATGGCTGAGAAGGGGTTGGTACTGGGGACGGCGAGGGCTTCGCTGTAGATTGTTTTGGCGTAGATTGTATATAGCATTATCATAATACGCACCTACATACAACCCTGATAAAACATAACACACTAGCTTCGTTCATGTGCAGCCATCCCCCTTTTCCATCGCTCCTATCGAGGACCGAGTGATATAAATGTGGCTGATAGTAGACGTACACCCACTCCAGATAATCTACACTAGCCTTTGGTGAGACTATTAGTAAATGCCTATGATCTGGTTTTACCTTTTTGGGGCGCGGATCAATGGGAAGTCACCGGGATAGAAGACCAGCCGCTGGCTATATGAGAGAACAGATTGAAGCCAGGATGTATGACTCCTGAAGGTGCACCAGAAGCACCATCCTGAGAATCTCTTTCAATACACGGATATTTGCCAGCGTCAAAGCATCGCTTAATAAAGGTGGACGACCCCGTAGTATCACTCCAGTCAAGGTAACATCCGTACGAGTTACAATCGACGAGTCATAACCATTATGGAATCGCGTCCAGTGATTTAATTACAGACCCTTCATGCAACCAGTTCAAAAACGTGGTAGCTCTATAAATCTGGCACCCCTCTGCCTTTCCCTCCCTCCCCTCTCCCTTTTAATAATTGTCTTCATATCATGCAACATATGGCCATATATAAGGTGTATTTTAGGGAAGGTTTTCAGCCCGAGGTATCCATAGGTCTTGCTCGTAGCAATATATCATGATAGTGGCCGAAACAACAGACGCTTGATTAACTCATGGTTGCTCTCCAGACAGGCCGCCCCACTCGAAATACACGCATTGCACACATCAAAATTCCCATGATCGCAGAGGTTGCAGTGATAATGGATGTCGATATCTGGTATTTTGACCAGGCAGATGTCACAGTATACTTCTTCACATGGTCTTTGGTGCGTTGTGTTGTTATGATAAGTCAAACTCATTTCGTGAGTCTGGAGAAGCTGAACGACCCTGTACTGGCCTCTTCTAGCGGCGTCAGCTTGAGCAGTAAGACCGAAATTATCTTCAGTATCAGGGTCAATGCCTCTTATTGTCAACAATATCCTCACAGATTGCAGATGTCCTCCTGCAGCAGCTAAGTGCAGTGGTGTACGACCAAATTGATCCTTCAGGTTAGGATCTCTGGTTCTCGATGACAGCAATGCGACAACGGCATCATGTCCCCTTGCAGAAGCCAAGAACAATGGTGTGCGGTTGTTCTGATCCATAGAGTCTGGGTCCGCGCCGTGGTCTAGTAGCAACTGCACCACTTTTTCGTAACCCCTTAGAGATGCAGCGTGCAGCGAACTACCCCATCTTCCACCTTGGGCGTGGATATTGGCACCTCGATCAATCAATAATTGCACCACTTTCTCGTGACCGCCTATAGATGCAGCCTGGAGAGCATAGCCGTACTTTCCACCTTGAGCATGGATATCGGCACCTCGATCTAGTAGCAACTGCACCACTTTCTCGTGGCCCCCTATAGACGCAGCCTGGACAGCGTAACCGAACTCTTCACATTGGGCGTTGATGTCGGCACCTCGATCTAGCAATATTTGCACCACCCTTACGTTGCCCCCATGATATGCAGCCTGGAGAACGTTACCGTAGATTCCACACTGAGCGTTGATATTGGCTCCTCGCTCTAGCAGTAGCTGCACTACCCTTTCATGTCCATGAAATGATGCGGCCTTGAGGGCATTACTGAACAAGCCATCTTGGGCGTTGACGTCGGCACCTCGGCTTAGCAGCATCTGGACTACTATTTCATGACCCTGCGCAGATGCGGCCTGGAGGGCGTTTCCGAGCCGCCCACATTGGGCGTTGACATTGGCACCTCGATCTAGCAGCATCTGCGCCACCTTTACGTGGCCCCGAAAAGATGCTGCCTGGAGAGCGTTACCGTGCTCTCCCCCTTGAGCATGCATTGTTTCCAATATACTTGCATCTCTAGAGGCCCCTGATACCATACTACTTACGATAGACTCCAAGCCCAACAAGCTCGCGTAGTACAGAGGCGGCCCAACATCGTTAATAAGCCGCTGATAATCTCGTCTTGATTGTTGACGATCCATATCATATAACTTGATCCAGGTCATGAAACAGTTCATATCGTGCTGGAAAAGCCGTGGCAACAGCTCTTCAACCTTAGACTTGCCTTCTTCCGAGTTTTCGTAATGGTGATACCAGTTTTCAGCAGCGAAGTGAGCTAATGGAAATTCCTTCACCTTTGCTGCGTCTAATACCCCATTCGAAAGATTTGGCTCTAGGAGATAAACCACAGATATTTGGGCAATTTCTGTGTTTGCAGGCCCACTTTGAATGGCGAATCCCTTCGCTTTTTGCTGCAAGATTCGTGCCGATTGAAGATACTCCTTGACAGAAAAATGGGCGATGCGAGCAGTGGAGACGTTTTGTCCATTTTCATCCTCCATATCTGCAATTTCCACGAGACCAAGACATATGTCGATAAGATCATCTGGTTGATATGATCTGCCCTCACGGTCAAGGTGGGGTGACGCACCGAGATCGACCGCGTGGGCATCAATCAGTTCATTGATAGTAAGCGGACGCGTGGAGAAACAGAGCACAGTCAAAATCCGACGCGCATCATCAATATAGGTTTCGTCGATGTTGCATAATATTCGCTCATATGTTTCATCTAGATCGCGAGGCAAAGAGAGTAGACAAGCGTCAAGTTGGTTTCGGTTCCGCGCCCGCCTGAGTGCCTTGAGTTGACATTCGACATATCTAAATCTAGGCATAATTTTAGCACAATTCTACAAACCCTGCTTTCTTAGACAGTCCTTACACTCCCTGTGGACGCTGTGTTAATTTTTTTTGAATCTCTGTATGAAGAGATTTCCACCTCTGGAGTTTTGGGTCGTGTTTGAGCTGAGCAGAGACAAAATTGGTGATGTCGTTGTCAATCTCCGTATTCCTCATCGAAATAGTCTGGTCGTAAGCGGGGTTCAAAGATTCATAGATATCGAGATCGTTGCGACTGGTTACCAAAATATGAAGACCAGGTAAACTCCATTTCCGTATCGTCTCTATTCCTCTCAAAACGTCTTCTCTTCCACGATCCCGAGGGCATTCATCTAATCCATCAAGTAGAATAAAGGTCTCATGGAATCGGCTAAGGATGCTTCGAAGAGTGTCTAGCAACACGCCCACTGGTGGGGTACCCGACTTATATATCCTTTGAAGTTGCTCTAAATCTTTTTCACCCTCTCGAAGTTGTGTCGACAGCTGTAAGAGCAATGCGCGTAACATGCCGTGGTCACTTTGTTTTGAATCATCGTTGAAGGCGAAGTAAAAGAACGCGATCCCTAATCCCTGCGTGTGTTTCATCTTATAGAATGTGTATTGGATCGCAGTTGAGCATAGGACCGACTTCCCACTTCCTGCAAAGCCATTAATCCAGAGGAAGGAATTGCGCTCTGTTAGCCAGTTTGCAAAATGATGGCCATTGACGAGCCATAAACCAGTATTCGTATGACGCTTCGCGCATGTGGCGTTGTGGTCGATAGACGCGTCTGGTGCTGCCAGCCACGCACGGGTCGTTGAAGAAATGTGACTCATGTTTATTCGCTCGAGAAGCGATTTAAGTTCCACTATATCATGATGGACCTTATGATGGACTTTGATCTGTAAGACGCCGAGTGCGAGCGACAAGTTCTTACGTATCTCGCTGATGTCTTCTTCGAGTTTCTGGAGGGTGCTTTTGCGGAATGGATAGGCGGCGCGCCGTCCAGCAACTGTGATGCGGCCTTTAAAGCTGGTGACAGAGACTGTGCGGAATTTCTGGCACTCTAGCTTGAGTTCTTCGATGACTTCCTCGCATCTTCGGGTGGCTTTGTCGACTTGGAATAGCTCTTGTGCATCGGCCCGAGATCGGCGATCATGCACTGCAGTTTGGAGGGATCGAAAGATTGCCTGAAGGTCTTCGAAATTCTGCGTGATCTTGAACAGCTCGGCGTCCTGGTCCTTGAATGCGGAAAAAAGTTGACCAAAGACTGGGTGACTTGAATACCAAGTGAAAGCAACCCCACAACACCCGATGCAATCGACAATGGATCAGCCATAGTAATAGTCGGCGACCACTAAAACCACGAAGTTGTACAATAGTTGTTAGTGACTGATTCCGTAGTATATCACTCTGACATCTTGGTTCAGGAGAGAGAGGTCAAGGCTTCGTTGTGAAGCCCTTGGAGGATGCCAAGGTGAACGATGCCCGCGATCGGCCAGCAGAATGAGGGGCACAGAGGTTCCTTGTCCAGTATGTAGCTCTTTCGCATAAAATACAGTCTGCCTGGTCACCCTGCTATTCGGTATAAAAATTTTTCTATTCTTGGAAAACAGAGCTTTGCAGCTAAACTAATCGCAAAATATGTGTTTCCATGATAGGGTTCAAGACACAATTCGTGAGTGTGCGTAGGGGAATCTGTTTCCGACTCCTCCGGCAGTAAATAGATCGCACGGGGAGGAAATACTTCACTAGTCTGTTGGCGCACCCTGGTTTCTTTTCTTTAGAACAAGGGTGGCCCCTAACTACTACCTTAAACCCACCGACCACCCCAATTCCGCCAAGCGCCCCTAATATCTTTTAGGGCGTATTTGATTGGTATCTCACTCACTTTCGATACTCTTGGGTTAGGGGCCCATATAAATTAGATCCAAGAGATACACCGTATTCGCGTAGATATTGAATCAAGCCTTTGTAGAGCTCAAGGACGCGCTGATAACTTCGGGACGAAAGGATAAAAATAAAATATTATCCCGGTGGGTCCACTGATTCAACTAGGCTGCTTACTATCAAAGATTAAGTCAAGTGCCTCGAGTTCCTGCGTAGGGCCAAAACTTTTTGGTTTTATAAATACTTATTCCGTCTCATTCTTAGTGACTAGAAAAACTAATACTCGACGGGACACCTATGAAATCCAGCATTTTGTTTATGCTAGCGCTGTCTAGCGCTGTGCTCGCTCTACCAGCACCTGACGGAGATGCTTGCACCTATTTGGTCGACGCAATAGTCTATCATTATGACACTACCACGGAGACGTCTTGGACTACAATTTCCCAATCCACAACTTTCATCGTAACGAACGACGCGAAATCGACCTCGTTTCCCACTAGTAGCACGACTACAGTGACGCAGACAGCCGCTGCCGATAAACGAGACTTGAAGGATGATGAAATAACGACAGCCGCCGAAACGGCTGACGACATCGTGGACTTGCAAAAACGCGACTGCACAAGGGTCGTCACCGGCACTAGTACCGCAGCTTCACTTATGACGACGACGACTACCACCACTGCGACAGTAGAGGTCTTTACAGGTCCTGTTACAGTCGTTAATCTACACTTGGAAATATTCCAAATGATCCTTTCGGAAGAAGCCAAAATTCATCCCCATAGCTCTATTCCCGTCTGGCCTAATGACCGAACTCAAACACCCTGGACCAGGAGTTCATGGATTACGCAAATGCCAGCCCGCACATCCCCGCCAACCGTTTAGATGTGTTTTTTCCAGGTATGGGGGTCGCAAAGCAAGACGAGAAGAATGAGGTTCTTTTGTTTGGATTTGAGACCGACATGTATCCTGTCGCGGAGGATATTTTCTTAAGAGTTTGACTGAAATAGATTAATGAAAGTCATGAGATGTGACATGAGATGTGCTCAAGTGGGTGATGAGAGTCTGACAGTGTAGGGTATCTATGTACTATCACACTTGACGAAACATTTGTCTATAGCCCCAACGCTGCGTTTCTCATTGCCAACTCTCGCGCCAAGCCTCGCTTTTATTGGCAGTCTCTGTTGCAAAAACGGTGTATTGTATAGAGGAACAAACTTTTTTCCTATGAACCACAAATAAAGCTAACATAACAAGATATCAGTCATTGAGTCTTCTCGCATGAGACAGAGGGATTGTTGTCACAACCCTCTGCCCCCCGGGTGCCAGTCAATCTGCTCCACATGTACGGATGGTACGGGGACAGGAATTGCCCGGCCGAGCTGCCAGGTCGCAAGACGAAGTCAGGCGGGGGCGCAAGACACAAAGTCCAGCGACACACCCATCACCACGATCAATCGCCATTGCAATCCCGATCCCGCTGGTAAATGCCGTAGCCGGCGGAATGAAGGGATCCTGAACGGCCCACGAATATGGTTTCGCGGGGGGATCAGAAGGTCAGCCAGCGGTCTCCTGTGCGATGACTGCGTCGCTCAATGGTGGAACTTCCACACCAGAGCCAGCAAGCTTAGCCAGACGCTCCTCTTCCTTCTGGTCGCGTAGCCGCTCGGTCTCCATCCGCAGAGCATCCAGGTTGAAGCCGTCGTCGTCGTCCTCTTCGTCGCTGCTCTCATCGTCGCGCCAGTCGCCGGCTTCGAACATCGACCGGCCAGTGGCTTCCTTGGCCTTCTGGGCCTGCTCTTCAGCAGCCTTCTTATCCATGCGCCCCTTCTTCCATGCGGCGAAGGTCTCTGGGGTGACCGGCGTCAATTTACCCGTCAGTTTGTGCCTCTCGGACTCGAGCCAGTCCTCCAGGGTCAGGGTGTTGAGCGGCGACTTGTCCATCAGGGCCTTCTCAGCAGCCTTCTGCTCCTTGGTCTTGAGGACGAATCTGCGAAGGAAAACTGTTAGCCATATCCGGTACTTTGTATGAGGAGTGAAAACATACCCTGGAGGCAAACTATGCTTATACATGCACTTGTCACCGCCATTGGGACACACCCAGAACCAGCCATACTTCTGGTTCTCCACCGCCTCGATGAAAAACTTGCACACCTTCTCGGTGGTTGTGCGAGGATTGCCATGCTTGCTGAGAACGACATCGCGCAGTTTCGCCTCGTCCCAGTTATCCATAGTATCCTGCTTCTTGGTCTCTTCTTCCTCGTCGCGCGAGTCAGTGTACAGATCTTTCTTGGCGGCTTTGCGCTCGACGTTCAGGTCGTGACTGAATTTGCACTTCTTGCCCTTCTCACAGCTGCCCTGCTTGTAGAAAATGCATAGCACCGTCTTGGGATCGACACCAAAGGGCACCTTCTGTGTCCTCAGGGGCTTGAACAACTCCAGAGCCTCCTTCTTCGCCAGTTCGGCGGCCTTCTTGTCGGCCTCGCGCTGGGCCTTTTCGGCTTCTTTCCGCTTGGCATCGGGGGTCTTGTTGGACTGGGCTTGTGCTTGCAATTGGGAAATCTGCTTTTTTGCCGAGCCACCTTTTTTCTGTCCGTCGATTGTGGTGTTAGTGGGGGGTGTTCCAAAGGCGAATCGGATCGAGACATACGTTTTTCATGCCAAAGGTCTGTGTCACGAGACACCAAGGGTTAGCGACTCTATTTTTCCCCCAAAAAAAAACTGCACATCAACACATACCTTATCATCGACCGTCTTCTTCTTCTTCGGCTCATTCTGCGGCTTCTTGGGCGGCATGGTGACGGTGTGGCCGAGTGCGGCGCAAATTCAAGACTAGGAAAAATGGGAAAAATGCACCCGATGGGCAGAGAGAGAGTGTTGACGGATGGCGGCGAGAAACAATCCGCGGAAAGCACACGCTGATGCAAGGGAGGGTGGTGGGAGGGAGGGAGAGTGTGAAGTGTGAAGAGAGTGAAGAAGTTGAACCTCCACAAAACCGAGGGGTGGCAAGCGGTGGGCCAATGACGGGCGCCATCAATACCCAGGGCTCGCTCGAGTGTCCCGGAAAGGGTAAATCCCAAGGAGAGGGAGTATGTATTGCATTCATCCCTTCTCTCACGATTTGGTTTTACTTTTTGCTCTGAGTTCGTTATCAGAACGGTGTATTGTTCCTCACAGTTGTTTCTCACAGTTTGTTCCTCGCGGTTATTCACTCTTTGCGTCATCGCCCATCCCTCGATCGGGCCCCTAGGGCTGATGCACCCACCACGCAGCACACCAGACTACGACATGGAGGAGATACCTACGACAGCCCTCATGATGAACACATTTCATTTCAAACATTTCGGAATTTTCTCCATGTTCTACTGGTGTACAGTCTTGCCAAACAAGTCCAAGATGCCCAGCTGAACCACTAAACACTCGGAGGGCAAAGACCCAAGCAAACCACATCTCCAGCTGTAGGCACCAAGCAGCAGCTCTCCTTTTCGCATTCAATCGTCATTTGCTGGAAACAATTTACGACACCTCCTGGATCTTGGACGACCCCTCGGCTTCCTCGGCCTCCTCGAGCTCGGGAAGGTCCTGCAGTCTACGTCAGTAAAAGCACAAAGTAGAGATGGAAGCAAAAATCTTACTTCGTCATCCTCACCCTCGCCAGCACCAGGAGCACCCATGCCAGCACCACCCATACCGCCCATCATAGCGCTGAGGTCGGGCATACCGCCCGCCCCACCCATGCCGCCGAGCTTGGAGAAGTCAATGTTGCTGAGGCCGCCCTCCTCACCACCACCCATGCCACCGAAGTTGTTCGCGTAGTCGTCCTCACCGGCCTCATCCTGCTCGTCCTCATCGACCCACTGTAATGTTGTTAGGCCTCTGCTCGCAGGAGCGGGGGGATGTGTCCAAAAAGTACCTTATCAAAGTCCGTCTTGAGGAAGTGCATCTTCTTGTCGGTCTTCAGGAGACGAGGCCAGTACTCCTCCTTCAGCTCCTTCTTCCGCAGAACCAGCTCGACTTCACGGTCGGTGTGGTTCACCTTGCTGTTCTCTGGGTCGATCTCGGCGAACAGGTCCAGCGAGACACTGTATGTGACACCCTTCTTGGAAGGACCAGAGAAGGAAACATTGGTGGAGGTGATGTTGAGCTTGGCGTCCGACTTGGCGACGTCGGGAGTCTTGAGGTTCACGATGAGATAGTTACGCTCGGGTTCCGAGGAGGACGAGCGCTGCGCCCACGTCACTAGAAAAAAGAACCATTCCGCGTCAGCCAGCTCTCATTACCTGATCTGAGTCATGTGGAATAGTGCATTGTGACAGTCACCGCGTGAATTGGATAACATCGCTGACATTTCACACGCAAAAATGTGCTGTGTTGGAACTGAAGCGGGGAAGTGGGTAGCGGACGGGCAACGTACCTTCGGGAGTCAGAGTCTCGGGCATTTTGGTGAGGGAATAGAGAGAAGGGATCAAAAGAAGTCAAAAGATCTGGAAAGACTGGGGGTTGGAGTTGTAGAGAGCGATGATGGGGGTGGAGGGATCACTGTGTGGCAGGGAAGAGGGAGCTGTGCCCGAAAAGTAGAATGTACTGGAAGCCCTCGTGTTTGCCATGTTTGCAACTCGTGGCCTGAGGCGTCCACAACGTCAGTGTGCTGACTCAACCCCCTCGGTCGCCTTCCTCGTCGGATCCGTTCTGCCTACATACAACAACAACTGGAACGGGCTCTGCGGTCCCGGTGCATTCAAGGAGGGCTGTGTTCTTCTCACCCTGAATTCTGCTCTCATCAAATCCACTGGCTACTTCCTCAATCCCCACAGATCATGCTCACGGGCATGAGTGCTACCTCGACATCCTGAGTGTACTGGGTAGGTAGCTACATATCTCACCGACAGACAGATCCATCATCAGAGCTTTGGGGATGGAGTCCCTCAAGGCTGTTTTCTTCGGGCCTGACCCCGCGACTCAGGTAAGGCGCTTGCTCGTCCTCATCGAAGGGAGGGGTATCGCAATAGTGGACTGACACAACTAGATGCGAAAATGCAACAGTCTGATCCGTTCCAATACTCGCCAGCTGGACCGTGACCTCAATCAACTCAAACAACTCGATGCCAAGACCCGCCAGTTTATCGTGAGCTCGTCGAAGCGTGCCCAGCGCAATCCAGCCCAAGCCAAACAGGCAACTAGCGAAACCAAGACCTTCGCCAGGGAACTGGTGCGCATTCGCAAACAGACCGCCCGGCTCACGACCAGCCGCGCCCAGCTGCAGAGCGTGGGGATGCAGGTCAATGAGGCGTTCTCGGTGCGCAAGATCCAGGGCAGTCTTCAAAAGTCCACCGGCATCATGAAGGATGTCAACACCCTCGTCCGAATGCCGGAACTGTCCTCCACGATGCACCAGCTTTCGGCGGAATTGGTCAAAGCAGGGATTATCGAAGAGATGGTCGATGATGCCATTACCGACACCGCAACCTTCGAGGATGAGGAGGTGGAAGCCGATGCTGAAATCGACAAGATTCTGCAGGAAGTGCTGAAGGGCAAACTCGATCAGGCCGCAGCTCCCCGGCCGGTCACCCCCACCACGGAGACTCCGGTTGCAGAGCCCGAGGAAGAACAATTCGAGGATCAGGAGGCAACACTCGAGCAGATGCGAGGGCGGCTAGAGGCTCTGAAGAGCTGAGATACTTGTTTTGGTATATATTCAAGGGTCACTTCAATCATTCTTGCCTTTTTCCTGTCTACTGTCTACGCTCGGAGTTGGGAAGGTCTGTTCATTGTATCTTTCTAGTTGGGTCTGCTTATAATGAATGGAATGCATACGCGAATATCCACTGCCACAGCTGGTGCACAATAATCGTAGATTCTGCAGGTGAATGAATAGCTCTGCAGTAGCAATGTTCTAGTCGTGAGTCCATGAATAGAAACAGTGAACGGCGGCCATCCCAAAGCGGCTTAGCGCAAGCTGACTCGGCCACTTCTGTCCGACTCATCCCCTTCCCTTCCCTCTTCTTCTCTCCCCTTTCCGCCTTCATCCTCCGCTTCTTTCATCTCCTTTCTCTTTCCAACTCTTCCTTTATCATCCTTCTGAGTTCAACTTTTCTCAGAGTCATCGACTGTTCCGCGACAGTCCCTCTTGAACGCTCTGACCCCCAGTGGCGCATTCTGTCATCCATCGATAACGCGTTCTTGTCGCGATATCTCTATTTGTGAATTACTTGTCCGCTTTCTGCCAGCTCAAGTATCCATCATGTCTGCCAACCTGGACCGTTCTCTCGACGATCTCGTCGGCAACCGCCGCAAGAGCGGTCGCCGTGGCGCCCGCCGCGCGTCTGCCAGCAAAGCCTCCACTGTTGGAGGCGTGAAGAAGTCCACCAAGTCCAACAAGGGTACCGCCAAGGCGGTCCACCCGACCCCTGCTGCGACTCCGTCCAGCAAGATCATCGTGAGCGGTCTGGTATGTCTGCCCCTCAGTCAGCTTTACCTAAAATACATGCTAACGTTTCCAGCCTGCCGATGTGACTGAGGCCAATATCAAGGTATGTTGATCGAAAGGCCTTCGCCTTGGCTTTCCATAGCCATCTGTGTTTTCGAGTCCTTCCGACGTGCAAACGGCTTCGACTCGCGTTTCCCGACCTCCTCCTGCACGTTCTTTCCACATAGTGGTGGTAGTTCGCTCGGTGTCCGGCACAGACAGGTTGCTCCTTCGATGATGCTTCTGCGTGATTCTTTTTCCTGCTGGCAGACTGCGAAGCAAGAAGTTGAGCTCTGTCGTCGTACTGTGAAAGAGATCTGGCTCGCGTCGATTTTGGATGAAAATCCGCGTGCCTGTGACTCTGAGTACGGTGCCATGGATGGTTGATGAAAAATTCACCGTCCGCAATCGCTTTTCGATTCCGCTCTCATACACTTCCTGTCTCGTATATATGTGGAGCTTCAGAGGGCATCAGCGAGCGCACCAGTGAACCAGCGGAGATTCGGTCTGGCGGCCAAAGTACCGGTGGACTATTTTCTCTATCCTTCTCGATGGAGAGTCTCGCTTTTCCATGGCCTGACACCATGTCATCGTGCCCTTGGAGAGGTGGTATCTACGTCGAAGTCATTGACTTTATCAAACGAGAGCGACACGAGGACAGAAGACGGGACTGCCTGCTGAGTGCTGCTATTGGGCGAGGCGCAATGCTTCGACGGCGGCCTTCTGGGAGTATATGCCCGCTGTTCGAGGACTTGTCGCTTTCTACTGTTGATGGGTGTTGTGGGGTTGTGGGAATATTTGACGCCAGATCGGATGGTTGGGTTTCAGGTTTGACTTCACTGTGGGCGAGGTCGTGCCCGGCCGGGTGCAAACAAGAAGCAGTCTGGCACTGTCGCTGTGCATGGTGCGGGCTGGAGGGCCAAGCTTGCTGGTCTTAATTGATCAGTCGGTCGCCGCTGTGTGCTCGCTGGTGCTCTTTCGCCGTCGAATCGCGTGCCGTCTCCGTTTGCCTTTCCGCCGTTTCGACACTCGATCTCGATTGATCTGACACAAACTGTGACGAAAATACTGATCGTCTCTCTTGCGCTATAGGAATACTTCACCAAGTCCGCAGGTCCTGTCAAGAGGGTCATGCTCACCTACAACCAGAATGGTACCAGCCGTGGTATTGCTTCGATCATCTTTGGCAAGGCCGACACTGCTGCCAAGGCCGCGAAGGAGCTGAATGGTCTCCTAGTTGATGGCCGTCCCATCAAGGTAAGCGCCTTGTCGATTATCTATCGGGCCGTGATTAATGAGCGTAACAGATCGAGGTTGTTTTCGACGCATCCCACGCCCCCCAGGTTCCCGCCCCAAAGCCGCTCGGTGAGCGCATTGCGTAAGTCGTCGTTGATCCGCTGTCGGATATTGTTTGCTGATTCCTCGACAGCCAGAAGGCTCAGAAGGCTCAGCCTAAGCCTGCCACCGCTGGTAAGGCCGCCAACGCTCGTGGACGTCGTGCTACTCGCGGCCGTGGACGTGGTGGCCGCAACCCTGGCCGTCCCCAGAAGACCGTGGAGGATCTCGATGCGGACATGGCCGACTACTTCAACGAGAATGGCCCCGCTGATGCCAGCGCCCCTGTCAATGGGGCTGCTGCTGCGCCTGCCGCCAATGCTGGCGAAGACCTCGGCATGGGCGAGATTTCTGTAAGCCTGCCATAACTATTTGCCGAATAAATCGATTCTCAAGCTAATGTTCCACCAGTAAACGCACCACATGGCACGGTCATTTCCAGGTTCTGGATCTGGATCTGACACCCTTCGTGGATGGTTTCAGAGGGTCTTGATAGTTGATGCGCGGGTCATATCTTCGGTCGTCCTCTGCTCGTTCTTTTCCTCTTTTCTTCGAGTGTGTTTCTTACCTCTTTTCTGGGACGCTGGTTTAATTTTCTTGCTTGAATGACAATTGCAACGGATGGTATGGAGGACAACATGTATCTACAGTCACAACACGGGTCATTTCCTTGGAGTTCTTATTGTATGTTGTAGGAGACCAGGGAAGAAGTAAAATGCATGGCACAATAAATCGCATAGCCAACAATCCAGCAAAACCCCTATCCAACAAACCCATAGAGTAATTTGAAATGCGCTCGTCTTATTTTAGTTTCTTCCTCGGCAATCCCGGTTCGTGAAATCATTCGTGAAAGTATGTATGTGAAGAAACCCAAAAGGAACCCAAAGCAAAAACTAGAAAACACCTGCCCGACTCATAACATCATGAAACTGCCCCAGCGTAACACCAGCACTCAGGCCAGCACCTCCGTTCGCCTCCAGAATCATATCCTTGAGCAAGTCATCACCAACCCCATCTTCCTTCAAGTCGCGCGCAATGCGCCGCAAATGGGACAGGGTAATAATCGGAGCATCGGATCCGCGCGTAAACAGTTGGAACGCATCGTCCACCTCGGCAGCCATTGCGTCGTCGTCGCGCGAGCGCAGTTTCGCCGCGGAGGCGGAGACGAACGGCGCGTAGGGCACGAAGCCTGTTGCTGTTGGGTCTAGTGCGGTCAGGATGTCGGAGAGTTCGGTTGAGTCTGTTGGGGGGAGGCCTAGTGCTCTGTTTTCATACATGTACTTAGAGATCCGTCTTCCATTTTTCTTTAGAAGCTTCTAGCGAGGAGGTTTGGTTCGGTTTGGGGGGAAGAGGTGAAAGTGGGTGGGACAGAAACGTACACCAGAGCCTTGCGCACATCTTCGCGAGGAATCACCCCTTCCTTCTCGTCGGGGAATCTGTCGTTCGGCGCCGAGAACAAGTGAAAGACCTCCTTTATCTCATTCTCTTCTTCGGCGCTAATGTTGTTCTCCTTGGCGAGCTTGGATTGGCGCGCGCGCTTCGGTGCGGAGGAGCTGGCCGTGGCGGCGGGTGTACCGCGCCTTTTGGGAGGCTGGATTGGCGGGGGGGTTGTGAATTAGTTTATAATCGAAAGGTAAGGAGAGGGAGTGATTTACCATGTCGCTTCGTTGATGTGACTCCCAGTAAGTGGTGGAGATCAGAGCGTTCGCATTTTCGGGGAGGTGAGGTGAAGTGAGTGAGTGACGAAGAGGTGGTGGAGAGTAGGTTAAGCTCCGATTGGAGGATGGGGAAGTATGGGTTATGGATGTGTAGCTGCACGATGAGAGATTTTGGGATCCTGAGAGTAGACAATATTATTCTTGAACATTGTTATTGAAACTGGTTTCTATATTGACCAGTTAATTGTTCAAAGTGCTTGTGTCTTGTAGGGCTCTTTCAAAGGACCGGCAAGTACAGCGATCCCTACATAGCTACCACTCACTGTCTCGGAGTGATTCAACTTATTTTGTAAATCGAAAACTGCTTCTTTATTCATCACCGTCGATATCAACAAAATATATATCCATATATGTTGAGAACTCACGGCCATAGAGTCCGTCGAAGATCGTCGAAGGCGCAGGAAACGTGACGCTGCTGACGTGATCGTCTCGGTGCCTGTTTGCGATGTTCTTCAAGTCCCGATCTAAGTCCGCGCAACATCCATCATCATCACCACCGCCGACAAAATGGATGTAGAACTGTACATTTATGACCTCTCCAAGGTATGGCTCCCTTGTTCTGTTTCAGGTCAGACAGTCAACTAATTTCATGTACAGGGTCTCGCGCGAATGGTATGCACTGCCCAATTAAAATGCGCCAGGAACACTGTCTCACGCTGAGTGGTTGCTAGTATTCGCTTGCCCTGACAGGGACCCAGATGGATGCCATCTACCACACATCGCTCGTGGTCAACGGTGTCGAGTACTACTTCGGGCAGGGCATCCAGACCGCGGCCCCTGGCAGTACCCACCATGGCCAGCCGATGGAGAAGCTACACATGGGCCAGACAGAGCTCCCAACCGATGTGATCGAGGAGTACCTGGGCTCATTGGCAGGAATATATACCCCTGAGGTCTGTCTCTGTCTCATTTATTTTCTGGCATATCGAATCTAACACCTCACCAGTCGTACGATCTGTTTCTGCACAATTGTAATAACTTCACCCAAGATTTCTCTATGTTCCTGGTTGGCAAGAGTATCCCAGATCGGATCCGAAACCTCCCCCGGGACTTTCTTGAGACCCAGTTTGGCCAGATGCTGAAACCTCAGATCGAGAACGCCCTGCGCGGCGTCACACAGGGTACTGGACCGGGTCCCGCTCAGCCGCCAACAGTTCGACATGCTGCCCCTGCCCCTACTATTGCCCCTGAACCAAGACGGCCAGCAGGCACGGTCCGAATGGTGAGCAATCTCCGCCAGCTGGAGGGCGAGCTAGCTTCCGCGACCAAGTCTTGCGCAGTGATCTTTTTCACGTCATCAACTTGTCCTCCCTGCAAGGTTGTCTACCCAACCTATGACGAGCTTGCAGCGGAGGCGGGTGACCGCGCGACTCTCATCAAAGTCGATATTGGGTCTGCATACGACATCAGCATGAAATACAGCGTGCGCGCAACGCCCACCTTCATGACCTTCCTCAAGGGTCAAAAGCTGGATGAATGGAGCGGGGCCAACCCGGCTCAGCTTCAGGGAAATGTTCGCATGCTGCTGGAGATGGCTCATCCAGCTCATCCGCACCGGAATCTCCGGCTCTCCAGCCTACAGCGGTCGATCACCAACTTTGTCACATACAAAAAGGTTCCACCTCTCGACAAGCTCCTCCAAAAGCTTCCCGCAGCCTTCAAACAGGATCCGGCCATTGCACCAGTGATTGAATATGTCAAACGTCGGCACTCTGCTGGTCCAGCCGCGGATGTGCGAGCTCCAGATCTCCACTCTTTCGCAGCATCATTACAATCTTCCTACGCCACGCTCCCCAGTGACAGCCACTTCGCAGTCGTCGACCTCGTCCGTCTACTCTTCCTAGACCCGCGCGTGAGCGGCTACTTCGCAGAAGAGACCAACCACACCACCCTCCTAACGCTTCTCTCTCCCCTCTCCCACGAAGAAGAAGACCTCACCTCTGTCCCCTACAACCTCCGCATCGTCGCCCTCCAACTAGCCTGCAACCTCTTCAGCACAGCTCTATACCCCGCGCAGCTCATCTCCTCAACATCTCCCCTCCGCGCAACCTGTCTCCGCCTAGCTATTAACTCCCTGCTAGACTCGCACCAAAACCTGCGCGTCGTGGCCGCCTCCTTCGCCTACAACCTCGCTGCATTCAACCATAACGCCCGCTTCGGCGGAGATCCAGATCCCCTCGCCGAGGAAGACCAGGTCGAGCTGATGGCGTCCCTGCTTGAAGCCGTCTCGCGCGAAGAGCAGAGTCCCGAGGCCCTGCATGGCTTGCTTTTTGCACTGGGCTTGCTGGTTTACGAGGCTCCGCTGGACGGCGCGCTGGTGGATCTGTGTCGCGCCATGAGCGCCTCAGAGACGGTGGCGTCCAAGTCAGCGGTGCCGGCTTTGCAGAAGGAGCCGTTGTTGAAGGAAGTGGGGGGCGAATTACTCAAGAATGGGCTGTAGGGTCATTATTTTTGGGCTGGTTCTCTGTGTGCTTGGATCCTTCATAGAACTCATCCACGCTCACAGTCTGGTCCGAGCTAGGGTGAAGCTATTCTTGATAATAGATTTAATTTCATCAATAATAATACGTCGCCCTCAACACCTCGGCTTCACCGCTATACCTCTGATCCGCCATCAACAAGCCACCACATGCAAAGCACATCCACATGCTCCATCTGCACATGCAACTCATCCACAATCTGATCTCATCTGCAACCCTTGTCATGGTATGCCTGACAGTCTCGCCTCCGCCCCAGCTGTCGGACCCTAGGCCGCGCGTAAGGCGGACCGGACTGCGCCGAGCTGAAGAATATGTCAGCGATCGTATTCTCATCAACCTTTCGCGGAGTGACACGAATATCAGCGAGTCTGACTGTTTCGTATTCTCGGTGTGGCAGAGATGATTTATAATTTATCATTTATAATCGAATCATACGAAGAGGCGAATAAGATAAAGAAGAGTAATAATAATAATAATAGTTTCCGATTTGTTTGGATGATTATGAGTAGGTTTTTGCTACCTCGAGAAAGGCCACTGCGACCCTGCTGGTTATCTGACTCACAGGGCCCCGTCTAGACTCATCGGACAGCAGTACACCGAGAGTGAGGGAGGGACAACTGAGGGGCAGCGGGATGCGCAGGGCGCGGGTAAATGAAAAACACGACGAAAATGAACAGGAATCACAATACAGGCTGGGTGGGGGTATCAGGAATCAGGAATCATCCTCAGATGAGGCGCTAAGGGTAAAAGTCAATAAAAAAATAAAAAACAAAAAAACACCGGTCCGGCGTCGGGAAAATGCTCGGGTATTGATGTGATGATCCAACGCCAACGCTGAAAAGATAAGAGAAGCGGTGAGATAGGGAGATTAGGTAAGCGCGGGGAGTATGGAGTTAGGGCTGAGGTTGATGATGAGTGGTGGAATGGTGTGATCGATTTGATCGAGTCAGGCGCGGGTATCACGGGTGGTGTAAATTGGAAAATAATTGGCAGGAAAGAAGACATGCGGCGAAGTGAAAGGTGGACAGCGCCTGCGCAGCCCGTTGATAGTTAGGACTGGGCAGCTCACGCATGTGCCGTCACCTTGGCCGACGACGAGTGAGCGCGCCGCTTGCCGTGCGTGGCCACGGCGCGACGTTTCTTACGTTTGGCCGACGCCATCTCGCGCTCATTGATGATCGCCAGCTTCGCCATGCGCAGGGTCTGCGTGGCGCGGGCGTGTGCTTCGACCTTGGCCAGGAAGCGGGCGCGGTCTTCCTCCTCGGCAGCCACGGCGCGGATGCGCTCGAGCTGCTGCTCCATATCCATGGAGGCCGGGAAGACGAGGGCGTCTTTGCAAGGCGCGTCCTCGATAGCGCTGTTGGTGGGAGTGGTGGTGGCGGCGGATGAGGGCGTAGGCATCCAGAGCAGGTCCTCATCTGAGAGGTAGGCATTGGAGAACGAGTCTGGAGACTCGCTGCGCGATAGTGATGGGCGGTTGGGCCAGGAGGGAAAGGCGCAGGCGGCGCCCATGCCCAGCTCGCTGGAGAAAGAGGTTTTGCGTGGGTTGATGTCCAGCAGAGAGTCGCTGGGGGTGGGTGGTGGTGCCGATGGGTTGGACATGGGCGAGGAGTCGTAGGAACTGCCACTCCAGCTGAAGCAGACTTGCGCTGGGTCGGTACTGGCCACGGGAGCCAGCACGGCCGCTTTGGTGAGCGACATGTCGCGAAGGCGCGACTGGATGGGAATCACCATGGTGGGAGTCGGGGTGGTGAAGGGAGGGAGTAGGAAGCAGTGAAGGTGTAGAGAGGGTAAATAAGGCGCGAGACAGAGAGTAGGATAAGTACGATATCAGTCCGAGGGCAGGCCGGCGTTTATCAGCACATCTGGGGGAGTACAAAGAGATGCCGGGGGAGGCTTCTAGACTCCGCGCACCCTTGCAGTCGGGCCTGAGACAGAGCGAAAGCGACAGATCGAGGCGGAAGCACTTCCGGCAATTATTGAATAATAATTATTTTTTTTCTGACAGCGGATGAATCAGTTTGCACGGAGATCTGCTGCACGATCTGCCCAACCATCAAGAAGAAGGTGCGGTGAACGGGGACTGTGCTTCCCCGTCGCCAGTTCCGATGGCAATCGGATGGTATGGTTGGTTCACACCGCTGGGGGATCTGGCGGTGTATTCTGTCAAATCAGGAAGATAAATGGAGGTGACCGGGAAATGCGGTGGCCGATACGTCCACACCGATAGAACAATAGTCGAGGAGAGGAAGATCGAGATGGTGATACACCCCCGGGCGGGCGACGGGCGACCCTCGCTGGTTATAAAACAAAAAAATGATTTCACGCGACTTTACCCGTCGGTCCACCTGGTGCCTCTCCCTCGGGTCGATGGGGCCTTTACACATGCGGGCCTCGACTCTGGTCCAGCCTTGCAACGGTCGGGGCCGGACGGAGGGTCTGGAGGCGGGTCTCTCCCCGTTCCCCACGGATAAAGGCAGTGCCCGGCTATCCTTCAAAGGAAGGTGGATGAGTCCCAGGATTGTGGAAGGCTATTCCTCCTGGAGGCCGATTTTGCACGAATAATAATCACTGGCCTGGATGATGGCTTGGGGTTACAGGGCCTTCTTTGTTTCATATTAGGGCTATCGACTATAATACTACTACGACGGTGACTCTAGTACCCCCCTGTCCATTGATTCGATCCCTGCTGCACGGGAGATCGCAAAGTACAAAAAGAGATCGCTCCAAGACATGTGTCAATCAATAATGTTGCATATCCCGGATCCCTCCCTTTCCTCGGTCCCTCTGCTGCTTCCCCCCGGAAAGGATCGCAGTTCCCCCGACCCCAAGTGGACCCTCCCGCCGTGCCGGGGCAGAAGAGGAAGCCTCGGTCGCCGATCGTTGCATACCCGCCAGACTGGTCATATTCTGGCTATTTTTCTCCAGACTTTCCACCATATGAACCCATTTCCGCCCCCGTGTCGTCAGTCATCCTTTCACGCGCCGGCCCGCCGGGGAACGGGGAAAGGGGGGCGAAATGGGTATACAACATCACAAAATGGCATGTTCGCCCGTACTTTGTTCACAGTGAGCTGTCTAATTATCAACAGCTGTAGAGCTTCAGAAAAGCCGGGGCGGGCCGCGGTCCACGATCTGATTCCGATCGCCCGCGGATGTCTGCTGCCCCCTTTTTTAGTTGTGTCCATTCCTACAGGATCTCTGCACGGCTCGCTACATACTAGGTTCCTCATCTCCCCAATTGCTGGGTCGGGCCATGGAGCAATGGTCGATGATTACTCTTCGTAGTGTGTTCCGAAGCAGTGGAAATGGGCCGGTCCTGGGGCTGGGCTGGAATTGGGGGCGCCCCTGATCGAAATGACTTCATTCGTCCCCTAAATAGTCGGTCCTGTGTTGGGGATGTGTACCAGCCCAGTGGCTTCGATGTGGGAAATTACCTCTTCCTCTCACATATATTCATCTCTGTCATCGGGGCGAGACTGGTCGATTGTTTGTGATGGAAATCTCCAGGTCCCGGATAGATGCAGAGGATTCAGATTCCGGTGTTAGACAAGATCTAGGACTCTGCGTCGCGGTACTTCTGTGCAAGCCACCTGTCAAAAGCAAGGATCCAATAAATCGGACTCGCCACTATGGTTGGGGATGCATCGGAGATCGCTGGCGGTGGCCTGGACGAGTGACTGGCGGATCGCGATCGATCAGGTTATGCAGTGATATATGACACAAAATATATATGTTTGTTGCGTGGATCTACTCTGTACCAAATATGCAAACAGATCGAGATAAACCATGCAAGAACTCCCCTCCCCCATGGGGATCCGATCGACCCACTTGAGAGAATGGACAGATGCATATCGAATAACATGCAATGCAGACACTGCGTACGGAGTGTACACAGAGGCGTCGTCCACTGGCAATGCAGTTCTGGCCAATGTGCAGTATGAGTAACCCTAAATCCACTGCGGAAACCCACCTTTCGATCCGAAACTAGACTCTACTCGCCAATAACTAGTCTTACCTCGCAACACAATAAAGACATGGGTCGGAGGCCTCCTGATTCTGATTCACGGGGAAATTAGATGAGTTAGCACGGAGGTACCACCGTACCAATTTCGCCAAGCCATAAAACTTCTTTGATGGCACTATCTCGACACGGAAGAAATCCCTCCGGTCGCCTCAGAGCCCGGGAAATATTTCATACCCGCCGAACCATCCCAGTCCGTGTCAAACTTTGCTCTGTCGGTCGGTCGGAGTAGTTCCAGCCGGGCTGCAACCCATCCATCCCTGTCCGTTTCGAGAACGCTTCGACGCCGCGGCGTACATACATATGCGGTCGCGTTGCGATCGAAGCGGCCTATGGGCTTTGCTGCGTTTCTAAGAACTGCCCTTTTCGCCCGCTGCTTGTTATTTGCACTGGAAATATCCTGGTCTCACAGGCGCTAAGGCTATCGTTAGTCGACTGACTGGAAGTGCATCTTCCCTTGGGCAGTTACATACTAGTTAATTGTTTGCCTCTAGTCTAGGCATCTAGGTCGCAAAGATTGGGTGAACAGTGAGACTAGACTCCATGACCCTTGCTCTCCAACGACGCGAAGCAGACGCGCTTGGCATCCAGCGCGCAATTCCAGCCTCGGACCGCCTGCCCATTGCGCTCCAGCGCTCATGGGGGGACCTCACCTTGCTTAGGCCTGCCCCTTCCGGACATGATCTTCCTCCCTATCAGTGCGTGTCGGGGCTTCCGCTATCAAAGATAGGAGAGATAGACAACAACTGCCGGTGGTTATTCAATGGTCACTCGTGATTCGCCATACCCAAGTGACCATATACTCCTGATTCTTATTCACAGCTCAATATTTGAAAAGAAAAGAAGAGGAATCTTCTCATTCATGATGGCTATGACTCTGTGCAAGATAAAGAGCATCTCCACCTCCCGATCAACAAAGCGTTATCTTTCCCCGCGTTTCTTCGCCCGCTAAACCAGAGCTAGAAGAGCTAAAAATGCCGGTGCTGTGATAACAAGCCCTTTTGGGCGGACATTCCGATGGTTTATCTAGTGGGAATGCCCAGAAGCATCGGGCCCGACATTCACAAGACTGTTTGTTCATGTTTAGCATGGAGTCCGAAAAATTCGAGTCTGTCAAGCCTACCCCCTTCCAGACGGACGAGGAGGTGGGCGAGGGCCGTATGGACAAAGTGGAGCTTGACGCTTCTAGCCAGGAAGAGCAGGATGAGAATGTCGAGTACGATTATGAATCGCATCGATCGCCCTTCCCGGAGGGTAAGTGCAGCGACTGGAATCATCATCAAGAAACAAACCTGATGAAGCTCGAATAGTCCGGGCTGTTGTCCCTGAAACCGACGATCCAACTATGCCTGTCAACACGGTGCGCATGTGGGTACTGGGGATTGTTTTCACCATGTTCGGATCGGGCATCAACCAGTTCTTCTCCCTGCGCTATCCATCCGTACACATCGTCGCTCTCGTGGCGGAATTGCTGGCCTATCCTCTCGGCGTCTTCCTCGCAAAGACTCTCCCGGTCACCCCAATCAATCTAGGTCCTCTAGGCTCCTTTACTATCAACCCAGACCGCAAGTTCAACATCAAGGAGCATGCAACGATCGTAATCATGAGCAACGTATCTTTCGGATATGCTAGCGCCGACTCGACAAACATCATCCAAGCCTCCAGCAAAGCATTTTACAACTTCGGGCTCTCGGCTGGCTTCTATGTGCTTATCGTTATTTGCGCGCAGCTTCTCGGATTCGGCGTTGCTGGACTTACCTCTCCGTGGCTCGTCGAACCAGCTCGCATCATCTGGCCTGGTGTCCTGTCCAATTGCGCCATGCTTGAAACGCTACACTCGCGCGCAAACCACGTCGCAGACGGATGGCGCATCTCCCGCCTGCGCTTCTTCCTGTATGTCATGGCCGGCGCGTTCGTCTGGTACTGGTTTCCTGGCCTGATGTTCACCGCGTTGTCCTACTTCACCTTTGTGTGCTGGATCGCGCCCAAGAATGTCATTGTCAACCAGCTGTTTGGCATGCAGACCGGGTTAGGGCTTAGTCCCATCACCTTCGACTGGAGCCAGGTCGCATACAACACCAATCCACTACTTTCCCCTTCATGGGCCGCAATGAACGTGTTCGCGGGCTTTGCGGTCTTCTATTGGATCGTCGTGCCCGTGCTCTACTACAAGAACGTCTGGTTCACGGCGTACCTACCACTCATGACCGCCGACGTCTACGACAACACCGGCGCCGTGTATGATACATCCCGAGTCGTCTCCCCAGACAAGACCCTCGATATAGCCGCGTATCAGAAGTACTCTCCTCCCTACCTCGGAATGACCTTCGCATTCGTGTACGGACTCTCTTTCGCATCAATCACCGCCGTGCTCACGCACATCGGTTTCTGGCATGCGCGCGATCTCTGGGCAGCGCTCAAGGGCCGCAACAGACTCGATATCCATGCGCGTCTGATGCGCGCCTCGTACAAATCCACGCCGTGGTACTGGTACGCCGCGATTATCCTGGTGATCCTGGGGGTCTCCATTGCAGTCGTTGAAGTTTACGGCACCAACCTTCCCGTGTACGGAGTGTTCCTGGCGCTGATTATCCCGGCCGTGTATATGATTCCCTGTGGGATCGTGCAGGGAATCACCAACGTCGATGCAAACCAGTTGAATGTGCTCGCCGAGTTTATAGGCGGGTACCTCTTTGAAGGACGCCCGCTGGCAAACATGATCTTCAAGGTCCTTTCGACTGATGTAGTCGGACAGGGTGTGTACTTTGCCATGGACATGAAACTCGCACATTACCTCAAAGTACCCCCGCGCACATGCTTCGCTGCGCAGGGGGTTGCCACTCTCCTGGGTGCGCTGACCCAGGCAGGCGTCACGATCTGGATGCTGGGTAACATCGAAGATATCTGCGAACAGCACCAGTCCGACGGATTCTCCTGCCCCAACGGTCGCACGGTTTACTCCTCGTCCGTGATCTGGGGGCTCGTCGGCCCGCGCCGTCTCTACTCAGCCGGCCAGATCTACTCGGGACTGCTGCACTTCTTCTGGATCGGCGCCATCGCACCACTGGTGACCTATGGACTATATCGTGTGACCCGCCGTGAATTCTGGAAATTCATCAACTGGCCGCTCATCTTCGTGGGGACGTACAACGTCCCGCCGGCAACGGGAATCAACTACTCCAGCTGGGCGCTGGTGAACTTCATCTTCAACTACTTCATTCGCCGCCGCTTCTTTGCCTGGTGGACTAAGTATAACTATATTCTGGCGGCGGCTTTGGATACGGGCCTTGCGCTTAGTGGAATTGTCATCTTCTTTTGCATTTCTTACACGGGCGCTGTGTTCCCGTCTTGGTGGGGGAATACTGTCTATCTTAATACGGCGGACGCGGAGGGCGTTTCTTGGTTGCCTTTGCCCAAGAGGGGATATTTTGGTCCTGCTAATGGGACTTGGACTTGAGCCGAATTGAGGGTTGTTTGCGTGATCGTACAAGGGTAGCTTGGCTGAACTTGAGGTTGAGATGAGATATATACATCTCTACATGTAGGGCCAACTTAACCTGAATCTTATTGATAGTATTTGAGTATTTGAAATTGCATATGCATATGAGCTCAAGGTCAAGATATTTATGTACATCAAAGAAACAATCAGCAGACAAGGATGTAAACATAGCTCCTTCATACGGAAGGCAATCATCCATAAAAGTACATCCATCTATTCAACCAACCAGACCAGACCAAAAACTCCAAATCGAGCGAGCCCACGACAATAAGCGGGCGCATGGGTATCATTGATGCAGTGCCAACTCATGGCGTTGTTTGTGCTGAAGAAAAAGACCAAGAAGATCATAATCACGATACGGTTGCCACAGACTCTGTGCCGATTTCTTCCGCAGGGGCGTGAACGGCAACCGCGTTCGACGTCTTCAGCGGCGGGACAATAGCCTTGACATCTTCCACCGGGAGAGCGGCGCCTTCGGGCGTCGACACGCTGGTCGCGCGCGAAGTGCTGGAATCGGCATCTGTGACGGTGGATGCAGCAGATAGGTTCTCCGACATGGTGGAATTGGACACTGACTCGGCTGTCTCCGACTGCATGTGGTTCGGGAGCGCCAGAGGGCTGTCATCTATGGCCTCATAGAAGAGCATGAACGCGCCGCCTTGAGACATCACATGTGCTTCGCTGACCATCTGCACGTCCTCGTCGCTGAGACGGTACCAGTGTTCCGCCTTCTCTTTGTCGCCCTCGACCTGGAGAACCTCGTCGGGTGGTTGGGCGGGAAATACGGCTGTCGGGTACTTGCGATAGCAGATGTAGTGCCCGTTCTCATGTCGGCCGTAGTGTGTGATGATTGCTCGCAGCTCGTACTGTGGACTGGTGGTGATTTGGACTGCCTCCCCGGGCTGTGGAAGCATCGACTCCGCAGGGTTCATATCCCACTGCTCAAGTGATTCCTGATCTGAGACCTGAGCTCCGAGGCACCAGTCGCTCAGATCGAGCGTCTTGGGAAATTTCACAGCTGCGTAGTTCTTCTTCAGCATCCCCGTCATCTCGTCAAAGAGACTGCGGTTGATGTGAACGACAAGACACTTGGGTGTCCGTGCAATCACAGCCTGCCTGGACTTGGTCGCCGAAACCCGGCTTTTGCTGGGGATATGGCATTTATTCGCCAAGGTCTTTTCAGCAAAATCATTCTCCTCAAGGGCCTCATTGACAGCTGCCAGCCGTTTCTCGGCGGATGTTTTCACTGCCTCATTCAACTGTACAGAATCCGAACCGAGAGACGAATTCTGGTCTTCCTCGATTCCACTTAAAAGACTGCGAAGCTGCTCCTGGGAACGTAGCAATGTGCATTTGGCACACTCCACCCCTTCAATGGGCTCAAGGACCATGTACTGACCCAAGCACTCCCGAACATCGTATTCAAATTTGTCTCCTAGCGGGACGGTGAGGCAATTGAATGGAATGAGCGACAGGCCTTCTGTCCATCCACATTTCATGCAACCAACTCTCTGGGCCAGCAAGCCCTCGAGGGGGTTGCGAAACGAGGACTTCTCGATCGTTGGAGTTGGCAAGGCATCTTCATCCACCGCCTCTAACTCCAGAGAGGTATCACGTACGACATTTTCTTCTCGTCCCACCATCTTGAGCCCCATGTTCCTCGTCTGTCCCCTCGAAGCCTTCCGGATCTCGATATCGATCTGGTCCACCACTTTGGAAAAATACTCCTGAGCATCCTGTTGCTGCCAACTGCTCATAGATTTGAGGTCTGGCGGAATCCATAGCTTGCGTCCATCGTTCGAAGCACTGTTCAGACGATCGATAATACCGCGGAGAGCCTGGTGCGTAGAAAATGAACCCTTCTCCGCCAATGTGTCCACATTCCGGCCCAGAAAAGCAGAGAGCGACCGCAACGACGCCAGCCCCTGGATAATACTATTCTGGTAGCAGGAGTTATCCCAGTTGCCCAGCCCAGGCGGGAATGCGTCCTTGCTGTTACCGAGAAGGGCGGTTCCGAAGCCGGAGAGAGATCGCGGTCGGGGGAAGAAAGGGAAGGAGGAGGTGTTGTCCAGGCCGAAAATGCGCTGCATGGCCTCGCTTTTGGTCTGGAAGGTCATCTGCGTGGTATTCGAGGCGCCGTCGCCGTCGCCATCGTCGGACTTGACCATGCCGGGGTCGAGGGCGGCCACGAGCCGGGCCGGTGTTATGACGACGAGGCTGTTCCAGGCGGCGTGAATCACGGAGATGGGGGCGAAACCGAAGTGGTCTAGGACGAGATAGGTGGCGAGGATGGCAGCGAGTGTGTAGGCTAGCACTTGGTTGTTTTGTAGGATCGTGACCGCTGTATCATAATGGCTGTTTTGGCTTGCGTAATGGATGGGGCTGGCTGAGAAGATATCCGCTCCCTCTGCGCGAGCGTTCATGGCTGATGATGCAGGAGATCAGAAGAAGAGCCGCCGCAGCAGGAGGAAGTCCTGATGAGCATGGGCGAGGTGGTGCATATGCGAAAATCACCGAGTCGGGTGGGAAGTGGTAGATATAGATAGATGGATGGGGTGTGATGGAGAGAGATCAGATCAACTGCGGCTATCTATACTGGCAGATACATACGAGCTGCGCGTCTGGTCACTGTCGCCCGCCGCAAATTTTTTCTGCCTATCGCTACTATCAATGTTTCTCTCTTTCTCCCCCACCAACTCGATCTAATTATTTACCACTCCCACCATGGCCAAGAATAGGCGTGAGTTTGAACTCCTGTAATAAATTGTTGCAATTTGTCTAATCCTGTTTTTAGCCCAGTCGCAACACTCCCGCGCAGCTCGGCGCGCGGCGTCGCCCAGTCTGGACCTCGATAAATCTCTGAAGACTTTGCCTCGAGCAGAGTCTCCTACGGTGCAGCGCCCCTCAGTGCTGTCGGAACGTGCAAACTCAGGTGTGCAGAAGAGGCAAAAAAAGGGAAAGAATATGACGAAAGCCCAGCGGTTACGACAACAGAAGGGCCTGGAGAGAGCAGAGGCAGTGGTAGATCAGATGGAAGTCAAATTGACCAAGAGCGCGAACCGACAGAAGACAATTAACTCACGAAGGGTGTGTATGAATTGGCTATTTAAATTGAATGCAATAATCGCTGACAAAACTCCTCAGGCCGCCTGGGAAGATACGAACCGGAAATCGACCATATTCCAGGCTCTGCAACAGGAGGAGGATGAGACCGACGATGACGAACAAGGCGACAATGCCATGGCCGAGGACGCCGCACCATCGCAATCGAAACCTGTCTTGAAATCCACTCACACAGTCTCCAACCCGGTCCCAGAAACCCCCGCGCTCGCGGACGAAGACGACGAGATCACCTGAAATCACTTACTTCCTCGGCCTCAGTTGGTTGATCATGCGCTCGATCTCGGACACAGCAGGTCCAGATGCTCTCGTCTGCAGCGTCTCCAGTGTATTCACATCTTTGGCCTTGTGCGCTTCTTCTGCCGCCTTGACGATCATTCCACACTTCACCCACATCTCAATTCGGTCGGCGACGGGCAGGTTGGTGCATTTTGGAACGAAAATCGATGCGAGCTTGGTGTTGCCGGCGCCCAGGATTTCGTTGTAGAAGGGCTGTAGTTCTCTGTTAGCACGAATACCCGGACCTGGGGGTGTGTGATGCCTCACCTCCCACCCGATCGGGGATTTTTTAGCCTTGGCGAGATCCTCCAACTCGCCCCAGTCACGTTTGGCCACTAGGGCTCTTAATCTCAACCACCAGTACGTCTTCTCTGGCAGTTTGAACTCGCCCTGCACTTTGTGGGCTCGTTTCCCGTAGCCAGCACGAATAAGTCTGTAGACCGTCTCATTGAGGCTAAGACCAAGGTACTCGGGGCGATCTGCCAGGTCCTTGTCTAAACTCTCTTGGGACTTGAGAAGCTGAGAGGCTTCGGAGATTAATTTCTGGTGCAGCACCACCGTTGCATCCTTCGAGTCTGACAACAGCCGAGCGGCGAGATGGAGCTTCTCCGTTCTGCGCTGCAAGTCCGGTTCCTGCAAAGCTTCTGATAGCAGGACATTAGAGCCCTCGATTGGTCGGTCATCCTGATAGAACAGATCCTTGAGTAGTTCCTTGTCCCCGTCTCGGGCAGCGGTCTCGACCAAGGCAGAGGCCATGGGACGCGTGTTGATCATGCGGAAGAAGCTCGCGAGCGGGAGCTTGCTTTTCAGGTGTAACAGTACGTAGTTGACCAGGTCATCATCGCCGCTTTCGATAGCTTTGTCAAGTGCCAGCTCGTCCTCTTCCATGTTCAGTAGCAGAGGCACTTGTTTACCCGCCCGCGGTTCATAATTCAGCAGCTGAGTGGCCAAATGAGACCGTCCCTCGTCATACGCAGCCTGTGCAATGACTTCAAAGGAGATCCCCGGCTTCCCGTCCAGTCTTTGAACGATAAGTTTGCACACGGCTTCATCGTCCACGGCGGAAACCTTGACTTTCTGGCTCGCCCAATGAACATAGATTCGGTCGGCAGGGATCTGGAGGTATTCCGAGACCCGGATGGCAAGCAAATACTCATGACGATTGATCAATCGCTCAACGAGACCCTCTGGGGTGAGTCGCAAGTATTGCTCGTAAGAAATTGGCAATCCAACTTTGTAATCTCGTGCTGCCGTTAGAACGCGAAGCTTTTCGGTCATCTCGACAAAATCGTCACTGTTATACAACTCGAGCACAGACTTGCCAAACGACGCCGCTTTCAGCAGCCGCTTCTGCCAGTAGCCGTCAAACTCATAGCCCGCTGCTTTGATGCAGGTGTCCACTGCCGAGGGTAAATTGGAACGGATTCGTTGGATGTTTTCATCGGCCTTGGGCGATTTCTTCTCTAGTTGCTCTACCGAGTCGAGAAGGACCGAGGCAGGGGACGACGATCCCAGCCGGAAGATCTCTTCGGTGACACCTATAACGAAGTCAATGGCAGAAATGGAATTGCATGCGACAAATCACTCACTAGTGACTTTGTGTAGGAATTCACATGTGTCATTAGTGAGGAGCCGGACTCCGTCAAATTCTGGGATTACATGGACGCGGCCATCATAGTAGTACCTGCACCAGTTAGCCATATCCACAGGGAATATCGAGCAGAGCTAACTCACTTTGAAGAGCTTCCATTCGGCCCCACGAGATGAATCTCATCCTCCCACGCAAGAATGACAGCATCGTCGCCACACCAATTGACGCTGCTCGGAGGGACCCGGGATTTCGAGTCGTATTCGGTGAACTTATTCTGGAAGTCATTGCTGACCACCCACAGTTTGCCCTCGCCTGTCAACAACGCGACAAAACGCCCTGACGGAGATACGCTAACGTGCTTGAACGGCCCATCCTGAAGGATTTTGTCTTCGGCTTCTGTCGAGTCGACCAGATACACGGTCTTATCTACAGCCAGCAAGACTTCCACGGATCGTGACATCGTATATGCTGGCGGGATAAGAGACCATGAAGAAACCTCGCCTTCTGGACACGGCGCTAGTAGCTTCGGGCGTGGCTCGTCGTATTTCGAGACAGCGATCAATTGGTTATTGGACAGTAATGCCACAAGACCCGATGCCCAGAACTGGCAGGCTCTCACACCGTACTCTTCTGCCCCCTGCCACAATGTTAGTAAATTGTGCGCACGACTGGATACCAGTCTTACATTTCCAAGAGAGAACGAGGTAAATTCGCCATCCAAGCCGAAATACCGGCGCACCGTGCCGTCCTCGGTAACCACCAACAACTCCTCCTTATCGGACCAGCCGATGCCCCGAAGAGATGATTGCTCCAACTAAGCACAGGTCAGCCTGAGCATCTCAAAGAGTTAGGAGTCTACCCACATGAATGCGATTGATGGGCTTCCCAGAGCAGGAGTAGATGTCAATGCTGGAGCGGGACGCCTGGGTCTCCCGAAATCTGACCAGCTTGCTCTCATCACGATAGAGCGCTGCAACTATTCAGTTTGGGGATTTCTTGTCATGGTGGTCAGTTCATTCTTACCGATAGCTCCACCGTAAGGGGCGCCGGCGACGATGTAGTTTTCTAATTCGACGTCTTCGTCGAAGATGGCGTCATACACGGACACGCGACGGTAGAAGCTGTCCCCGAGCTTGTCCCAGTTAGCGAGGGGATTTGAAGGTGCCATTGCTGGATCATCGCGGGATGGCAGATAGTAATGTTGCTGTCTGTTGCGGGCGATAAGTTGGCTGCTGCGCTAGGCTGGATGAGGTAATATAGACACCTTGATATTATCAGGCGCCATCCCGCCTCATCCCTCCGCCTTTCATACCGGCTACGGGTCGGCTTCATCGCAAAGCATGGCCGAGTTGAGCCTCGACGACCTGGCCCGCCAACTGTCCGATATTGAGGTCGCTCTGTTGCTGTGTCTGGTTGCCCGTGAACAATGCTTGATCGAGACCACCAACGCCTGTATCCATGATCTGGCGAAGGAACTGGCCTTGGTAAGACCGATCGATCATACATGGGGTAAATCCCGCTAACCCAGTGCATAGATTGGCTTGAGTACCTTTGATATTTCCTACTCCATCGTTGATTGTGCCTCAGCCACAACGATAGACGACATCTGCAATGAGATTCTGACCCCAGAGACGCGCAAAAGCCAGGGCCGCACATCGGCTTCGCGCATGAACACCGAAACGGTATGTACGAACGTTTTAAATATGGAACTGAAAAGGGCATCTGACGAGAGTAGTCAAGTAATTTGTCTTCATACAAGAGTCTGCGGGATCGTAGCAAGTCACCAATTCCAGGTACACACCCAGACACGAGCAATGTGGTCAACATGGTCATTGCCAAGAATTTCAACTTGGTCGGCGAGGACATTCAGGTCCAGATCCTGGAGGCGTGTATATCATCTCATGGCGAGACTTTTAGCCATGCTAACACCCGCACAGCTGATGCGATCTCGGAAGTTGGTCACGGAAACCGTCATCCTGAATGCGCCGGAGGACTTTCTCTTTGTGCCTCTCGTGGTACGGGAAGGCGAGCAGCTTCATCCGCCATTCAAGTTCCATCTGGTCTGTCACCATGTTCTCCTTGACATTCGATATTGACGAAGCTAACGAACTATAGACCGACCATTTATTCATCTCTCACTTCCACGACCCGGGCAATGGTTACGTCTACCTGGAAGATAACGACTGGCTTTCAGATGGAGAGCAATCAACATCCTCCGTCATTCGTAAGACAGCGAGCTATCACCAAAAGAAAAGCCCCAAAGTCGACCGAACAGTAAGCCTTGTTCCCTTGCCCGAATGGACTACTCATCTGACCAACATGGGTATAGATGATGGACAAACTCTCCGAAGCAAGTGACATAGTATCCGCAAGCGCAGAAGTAGTCCGGTACATCCAAGATATTGTCGTCTTCCTCCGCCTCAGCCGTGCAGTTGCCGGTGGTGTGTCTGCTAAAGCGAGCAATCATTTCTCCCGCTTTGCACAGTAAGTTTTGAGATCTTCCCCAATAAGGCATGTCCAGTTCACCAACTCTGAAACAGACTTCTGGCACCTCTGCACGGCATCGACTACCTCACACCCTCCATCGTCGCATTAGCCGCAAGGAAGGTGTTCCGCCATCGCATCGTCGTCGCCACGCCCGACGATGATCGCAGCCTCCAGTATGGAAGCGACTTGGTGGCTGTGTCTCATGTTCTGGTGGATGTGACACCTGATTCGATTCTGGACGGGGTGCTGGCACTAGAACCTCCAATATGAGTTGAAGCACTAGTTCTACATGACATCCTTTCCCATTTCTGTTTATGTATATAATTACCCAGGACCGCACGATACCCGAAATGGCTGTTAGCTCAGCCATTCCGACTAAACCCCCCCCTTCAGATTTCAAAAAAAGTGACTGAATGCTATTGATATGAAACAAGCGCCACAAAAGAACACAAATATATACTTCGAAGTACCAAACCAACCCTCTAGCCTTGCAGGATTCTCTAGATCGCCGACCTAGGCCTCAATTTCAAAAACAAATCTGGCGGCACAAACATCTCCTCGCGATCGCCCTCGTCTCCAGCGTCGAATGAGTTATCCTTACACCGTTCTCCATGACCAGCAGGCGCCGCGGTAGAAGCAGCAGCATCCTGAACCTTTGATCTCGCGCGCCACTCGTCCAACACAACATCAATCTCCATCTTCGAGTCGCCAACAAGGGCATCCATCTTGATATCATTGCGGTCATACCCAAAGGGATCTTCCAGCTGGGAGCCAATCCCCTCAATCCCGTAGAGAGTGAAAATCACCAGGCTGACGATGGGGATGGCCCACCAGCCCATCTCGTCGACCATGGCGAAGGGGAGAACGCAGCCGAAGAGCGCGAGGACTTGTTTTTGGTGAATTCTAACGAAACAATTAGCAAAGCAATTCCATAACAGGGCAACGGGGGAACAAACAGATGAGCCACCGGAATTGGCGTCAGCTTAATAGTCTCCATGCGCCCATACGCATCCACCAGCGCATTCAACTGCGCCTGCATCTGGCTCGCGCCAGGCGCACTAAACCAACCCCTATCCTCACCGCGCTTGATAAACCCATCCACAAAAAAGTCAACTGATACGGCAGACCCAATCCTTCATCTTCATGGCCCTCCAGACCAACGGGGAGCAACCCCGCATAGTCGGGGTTATACGCCGTAGTGCCGCGCTCGTCCATGTCCGTACCAAATGTCCCGCCCAGAACCCAGGCGGCCCCCCATTCAGCGCGGAGATGGTTCTTGACGGCGTAGGGGATGGCCATTAAGATGCGCACCGTGCGTTCGATATCTTCTCGCTCGGCCAAGGTGGGGGGACCGCGCGTGGTGTTGTAGCTATTTGTTATGGTTGTACGGACGAGATTGCGTACGCAAGTGTTTAGGGAGGTCATGCCGTTGCGGCCATCCCAGAAGCGGTTGTAGGAGGTTTGGTTGCGGAAGACGAGCATGAGGCCGACTACGATTGATAGAGAGGGGATCTGGAGTGGTATTAGTTGGGTGGTTGAGGGATAGAGAGAAGGAAAGAGACTGACGATACTAGTGGGTAAGCCCACCGTGTCGAAGATGTAATTGTCGAGATACACCACGAAGGCCGTGAACACGGCGTGGAAGAAGACGGGCAGCAAGATCGCAGCGTGGATCGCGCCCTTGATAAATCGGAAGACAAGTGGCCATCTATATATACAGAGTCAAACACGGCCCAGATGATCAGAGTAGAATAGGGTTATACCTTCTGGGCTTTGCGCGCGATGACAGCAGGTGCGGATGCGTCCTGCGGCGCCGGTGATGCCGGCCGTACAGCCCAGTGTTCTGGCGGCTCAGCGTCGGAGTCGCGGGCTCGCTGAAATTCAGTCTCATGTTTGCCGGTTTGGATCGTCCCTATACGCTGCCAAGAAGGCAGAGACGGACTTGATTGAGGTGAGGGGTGAGTGAGAGCTCTTGTCGACCCGATCGTGAAACGCCTCCCCTGAACACCCCTTGGAGCTGAATCTCACTCTGCGACTAAATGAAACGGGGATATCTATGTGGTTAGATACGCATAAGTGGGCTGTCTGTTGGCTTTTAGAGAATCAAAGGCATTGCTCAAAAAGACCTAGGTCGATGATAGGGAGTCGAGATTGCTATGCGGGGGATGCGCGATCGGCACGGTCCATAGTGTATCGTGGATACCAACATCAAGCCGAACGACTTGTATAACTACCTCAACTAATTTACATATAACGCTAAGCTCGATATGCGTGCAACCCGCGGGGTTCGAAGCTCGACTTGATTATATAAAGCACGCAGCCAATTTAGTGTCCTTTCTTAAAGGGCCGCTATCTACCACAACTGAGAAATTCTTACCAATGTCGTAAAAAAATGCAATTTGAGCTTTCTCAATGTATGGACAGAACTTATGGTCGCCTCGGGGAGGGTGCAAAAAGGGAGTAGTCTGATAAAATCAGTCTGAAAACCCCTGGTGAAAGTACTATCTATATATGAGAGCTGGGTGTCTTCTGAACACTTCGACCATCGCAGACGCTCCTCCCCACCCTCTCACCTACCAGCATACTACTCGCCATCGTATTCGCAGCCGGCACAGTCGGCAGCACACTCGCATCCGCAACCCTCAGCCCTTTCACGCCATAGACCCGCCCGCTCTGATCCACAACCCCCCCTTTGTCACGACTAGCCATTCGGCATGAACCGCAGAAATGGTAAGTTGTCGAATATTGAGCTTGTATATAGCCGTCCAGCATCACATCGTCGGCTATAATTTGCGAGGTTACGCTCAGCGGAGCTGTGAGTACGGTTTGCATGGCGGGTGACGTGAGCACGGCGTACGCAGTGCGCACAACCTCTCGTGCGAGAGCTCGGTCGTGTGGGGTGCTCAGATAATTAGGACGCACTACTGGCATCTGATTCGGGTCCCTGGAGCGGATCTCCACCACGCCGAGTGAAGTGGGCTTGTTTATATTACATCCAATTCCTGCAACATGACCGGTCTCTGTGCCCCCCAAGCTTCTTTGCGGCTGGCATCCTCGTGGCAAGGAATGATCCGCGGGCTGTGCGAAGAGATATGAGAAACAAACCATCTGCAAGTCGATGGCACCGGGATGCAGTGACGACGACCATCGCGCTTGCATCTGCAAGGAATAATCCGTGTCCGTGTAAGCACCGGGTCGTGGCCGCGCGACGAGTGGGATACATGGATGGTCGCTAAGATTCAATCCCACCGGCAGATCGACCAAAGGCGCAATCCCATGTCGTCCAAGTAGCTCCGCTGGACCGATGCCCGAGCGTTGCAAGATAGCCGGCGAAAATATTGCGCCCGCACAGAGGATGATTTCGTGGGTTGCGTGTATCTTGCGGCCGTTGGTCAGCACGACCGCCACGGCCTTGCAGTCCTGGAAGAGCACCTGGTCGACTTGCGAATTGGCTAAGATGGTAAAATTGGAGAAGTGCCGGATCGGGCCGATAAAAGTGTCCGCTGCACTGACCCGGGTGGAACCGCGACGACAGACCGGGGACGGACCAACACCCTCCGCTCCGGTGACCTTCAGATCCGGGATGTATTGGAGACCCCGAGACGTAGCGCCGTTGACGAAGGCAGCCTGAATCTTGCCTGCTTCGTTCATACTCGCTCTGACAATGGGATGCGGACCGCGTGTGCCTCGAGGGGGATCCCCTTCGAAGCCCTCGTATACAGCGACTGAACTCTCGAAATCCCAGCTATCATTCCCTAACGCAACCCACTCCCTCGCATCGGCGGCTGTATTTCGTAAAAACGTGCCTCCGTTGATACTGCTCCCTCCGCCCATAACCTTCGCTTGCGGGACCATCATCCGCCCTCCGCCAGCTACGTCGACTTCCAGATTCCAGTCGATCCTGGGATCAAAGACCTGGTTTTGGCCTGCCATGGGTACCCGGCGGGCATCACGCACACCATAGGGAACGGAGGAGATGTTGGTAGGGGATGTATCAATGTCGGGCCCGGCTTCGATGACCAGGACGTCAAAGGCCGGGTTCTCGGCAACCCGACGGGCCACAATGCAGCCCGCCGAGCCGGCGCCCACGACAATGTGGGTGAATCGGTCGGTGTGCATGGAACTACCAGTAATCAGTGATGGTTGGTTTTATTTTCACCTCTTCCCTGCGAGTTATACGTCCGGAATACAGAGAGTACTTTACTTACACTATAAACCAACCACTGATGTGCGGCCTTCTGGGTCAACCTCAGGGGCACATGCTTTCAAGGGCCAGACGGCTAAACGTCTAAATGGTTAGTATTGGTGAAGCCATGGGGAGAGGATGCGGGGAAGGGAGGCTAAACTGCTAAAAGGCTTCAAATTTCTCCCCTTAAGCTCTGAGGCTGGGGCAGACCACGGCGGTGTCTAATCCGCTTTGCCCCACAAAATGAATGTATCTGGGGACTGGAGTCGATTGGGTGGCGTGTGCTCCTCGCCGTGAGACCGTACATAAATAAATGATCATCAATCCTCCTGCGATCTGCTCGAATAATTTCACAGCAGTACGTATCTTCACCATGGCGGTCCAACTGTGGAAACATATGCCCGGGAAGGCACTCATGTTTCTTCTCAACCTCTTCACCGCTATTGCCCTCATCTTCGAAGGCTACAACCAGGGGGTTCTGGGCACCGTCAGTACGACGCCGGGCTTCATTGACATGGCCGGCATCGGGTCCGATGGTGTCGTGACCAACAGCACCAAGCAGGGTGGCCTGCTGGCAGCGTACTATTTCGGTGCTATGTGGGGATGTTTCATTGGAGGTAGGGACAAATCACTCACCATTCTTCTTTTTATTATCCGTGCTCTCATAGATACTGACGGATGGGAAAAGGTTGGCTGGGCGACAAGCTTGGCCGCAAGAAAGGTGTCTGGCTAGGCTCACTCTTCTGCACAATCGGCGCGGCACTCATGTCGGCCAGTCAAAACAGCAACATGTTTATCTGCGCGCGTGTCATTGCGGGAACCGGTATCGGGTTCATCAACGCTATCGTGCCGCCGTGGGTGAGCGAGCTCTCTCAAGCGCACGACCGCGGCTCCAACTTCTCGCTCGTCTTCGTCGCGAACTACGCCGGCATTGTGATTGCATACTGGCTCAATTTCGGTGTCAGGTCATACGGGTTGGAGTTCCGCTGGCGTTTCCCCGTGGCATTTATGGCGATTCCCGTGTTGATTGTTGTTCTTACTGTCTTCTTCCTTCCTGAGTCGCCGAGATGGCTGATGGCCAATAATCGCCGCGAGGAAGCGGTCCATATCCTGGGAAAGATCCGTGGCGACTTAGATCACCATGACCCTAAGCTTCTTGTCGAAGTTGAGCAGCTCGAAGCAACTGTCGAAGCATCGTACAACAAACGAAATAACCTTCTCAATCTCATTCGTGGCGGCCGGTACTCTGGGAAACTGCATCTTGGTCGACGCGTTGTCATGGGTTTGGCACTCCAGCAAATCCAGCAATGGACAGGTATCCTCGCTATCGCCACCTGGGCTGGGACACTGTTCGGCCTTGCAGGCTTCGATTCCTACAAGTCAGCCTGGCTGGCCGGTCTGGTCAACAGTTTTGGTATTTTGGGCACCGCCGCTGCATCACTGGTTATCGACCGCATAGGCCGAATTAAATCCCTCATGATTTCTTTCATCACTCAGGGTATCGCCTTATTCCTTGTCGCTGCGCTGATCAAAACGAGTCAAGATCACCAAGCCACTGATCCTGAAATGGCATCTCGCCTAGGTACTGCCGCAGCAGCCTTCGTTTTCGTCTTCCTCTGGTTCTTCACCATGTTCAACATCGTCCCATGCTGGATCTATGGCACAGAAATCTGGCCACAGGAAGTACGTGCGAAAGGTTACTCGTTCACAATTTTGGGCTGGGCGATCGGATGCGGAATGAATACCTTCGTGATTCCCATCATGCTAGCTCACTTGGGATGGGCCACCTTCATCTTCTTTGGCTGCATGAACATCCTTGCTATGCCACTGGTATGGTTCTTTTATCCCGAGGTCGCTGGTAGATCACTTGAAGAGGTCAATCTACTGTTCACGAGCGAGAGCCTACTTGTGAGCAAGAACATGGCGGAGTATCATCGGCGCATCGATGAGGCTGGCGGTAACATTGCGGTAGCTGCGCGAAGGCTGTTCGACGAGGTTGATGGCAATACAGATCTTGATCCAAGAAGGGTGCTCGCGGCGGAGGGCGAGAAGAAGGGATCTTTTCATGTAGAAGGGGTGCCGAACGAAGTCTAAGGAAGATACGCTAGGCTGGCTGCAGATTATCAGTTCTGAATGAGAAGGACATTGTCTTCGTGGATCTTCCAGAACTCGTTTGGTTGAATTTGTTCTTGTTGGACATTGTGTTATACATGAGAATGGTATAATTTTACATTTTCGGACCAAATAAAGTATGTATCAGAGAGATCTGAAGTCTTCTATGCCCTAGTTGGCTTTTAGAGGCATAAACCTAGTTGACAGCTAGCCTGCTCATCGCTGACGGGGACAAATTCAGCCAAAGATACTCATTTTATTGACAGAGCCCCAGTATCTCTCTTCGCAACCGATGAAATTACCGTGATAAGCAATGGCAAATCCAGCGCATCGAGCTATGCTAATGGCCAATGCTAGCACGAAGTTGCTAAATTCGCTGGATGCTTCCAAGTACTTGCCCCGCCATCGACCAACAGATCCTGCCCTGTATACCACCCACTGGCGCTATCGCAGCATAGATACAAGATAGCGCCTTTCAATTCCTCGGGCATCCCGATCCGGCCAAATAAAGTTTCCTTCTCAAACTGGTCCACCAGTTGCGGTTGCTGTTCTTGCAATCCTCGCATCATATCCGTCATCATGTACCCTGGACTTAAGGAATTGACTCGGATTCCATACGCCGCAAGTTCCATGGCCATGGGTTTCACCAGCCCTTTGACAGCTGCTTTGGATGCTGTGTAGCAGCTGATCTGCTGCGCACTGGAGGCAATGTACGTTGCGATGCTGGCGATAAAGACGATTGAGCCAGTGGTAGGTTGCGCTGCTGGCTCGCTGCCGTGGAGGTATTTGTACCGCGCGACCATGCTGTTCGCACAAGCCTGTGCCACAAGGAAGGAACCGGTGAAGTTGACGGCAAAAGTGCGCTCGATGTTCTCATCGGTGGTCGTGAGGAAGGATTCGTCTGTCACCACGCCCGCGGCGTTGATATTGATATCAATCCTTCCAAACTCCCCTTCGATCTTTTCAATAGCGGCAGTGACCTCGGGACGCGAGGTTATGTTCGTGCGGTAATACTCCAATTTGATGCCATGGTCGTCTCGCAGTGCCAGAAGAGAAGGCGAGGGCTGGGGGAGGATATCCAGCACGGCGATGTTGCAGTTTGCGCTCGCCAGCGCGGTGGCAAATGTGAGGCCTAGGCCGCGTGCTGCGCCAGTGAGGACAGCGGTCTTGCCTTTGAGCGTGAACTGTAGATGTTAGCAGGAGTCAGGTACACAGTAAATTGCGGTCAACAGCACGCACAAGGTCTGTTGCCATAGCGAAGACTATCAATGGTGGGTATGAAAGTGCAGGTAGGTGAATAAAATATTACACAAAGAGTGAGTCTAGCGGAGTGGCTTTCGTGTTGTGGCCGACGGCGTTTGCTTTTATAAAAAAAAGTTAAGCGGCTTGAAGAATGCCAGGGTCGGTATACAATCTGAGGGGCATAACTTCCACAGGGAAACATATGGGGCACGATGTCCCCGCAGTATCAGTATCGCTGTCCATATAGATGGTCTGAGGTACTTTGTGATAGGTCATTACCTGCTCTAAAACGGCACTTTCTGGGCGCTTTGACCATCTCAAGCTTGAGCGATGGTTAAGCGGTTCTTAAACGGCTAAACGGTTAGAAATCGCCTAAATGGTTGCAGAACACCCCCAAGGCTTATGTCCGGGGAAAGACCGGCTACTGATAAAATGATAGAACAAGACATGGAGAAACCTCGATGGTTGAACTGCTCTTCATCTGTGACGATTTCCAATCTCTGCTGGCATTTCTGAAAACTCACGTCTGCGGAAGCAATCACACGTGCATTATTAGAAGGAGGACCAATCATTTCCAAAACCTAGACCACTATCAGAAAGACTTTCGGCACAACAATACATACGTAGCCCATGATGGCGCAGGGACAATTCACCTGCCGCTGGGCAGCGCTCTCCCTGTCCAACATCGCCTCCGTCTTCCTACCAGACCTGCTCCTCCCCCGGGAATCTTCCACGTCCATCAAGCATGAACTCGTCTCAGTCAGTACGACCGGCGGCGCCTCTCGTGCAGCCGACTGGTTGACACAACACAAAATACCTGATGCCGAGTCCGTCACTATCTACCACTCTTGGGAAGAAATGCTGGAAAAGGGAGACTTCGACGTCGTCTACATCTCGACACCACACCCCTTGCACTACTCCCACGTGCAAAAAGCCCTACAATGCAAACGCAATGTGCTCGTTGAGAAACCAGCAACGATGAACCGTGCACAGTTCACTCGACTGTGCCAGTTAGCAAAAGAGCGAGATGTCGTGCTCATGGAAGCGATGTGGACGCGCTATCTCCCTGCTACGCTCTACTTCCAGCACGAGCTACTTCCGCGCATCGGCGAGGTGAAACGCGTCTATGCCGAATTCAGTTTTCCAATCGTGTCTCCAGATTTAAGTCCGGAAAGCCGATTTCTCGACAAGGCGGCTGGAGCGGGAAGCTTGTTGGATCAGGGCGTTTATGCATTGACGTGGGCGGATCTCGCGCTAAATGGCCTTCCATCCAGTCAAGACAGGACACAAACCGAAGTTGTGCATGCGCATTCCATGCCGGTCCCTAGTGCTTACGGGGAGGTGGATGATATCAACACCGTGATACTCGCCAAGCTACAGAAAAATGAAAACGGCAGTAAGCGACCGCAGGCAGTCGCTATAGTCACCACGAGCATGACTCTTCCTGGCTCCAGCAAGCCAGCCTTCTATCAACGGTTACAGGCCACAAAAGCAGCACCGGCTGTACGTATCGAAGCCACCAAAGCTTCAGTATCGATTCCCTTCCCTCCTATCAGACCTCAAGAACTACACGTTCAGTGGTATGATGAGGAGCATTTGGATGAAGATGGCATGGAGACGGAAGAGGTGATTGAAAAGCCCGTGGAGAGGGGTTGGGGCATCTGGTATCAGGCTGATGTTATCGCGGAGAGAGTGGCGAGGAGAAAGGGGGGTCCTCAGGGCATGGGTGAGGTAGTTGGCGAGGAGGAGAGTGGGAGGGTGTTGGGATGGATGGACCGTGCTAGAGAGATGGCGGGCATTGTGTACGATGTAACACTTGAGAAGGTGTGAACGGGGGATGTGACGAGTTCAAATTCCAACTGCCAATTTATTATTTTCCTGTCGCCGTCTAGCAGAGCCCCTTTGTGTTAAGCCGTTGAGAAACTTCGACATTCCATCACACTCCCCCATATATTTATTCATCACAGTTCACAAATTGTCCACGTGAATGACGATCACCTATTCACTGTCTGGGTGTCTGGGAGGTTCGCCTTTTGTTGATAAGCATCAAGCAGCGAAGTGGCCAGCTCTCCTAACGTTACAGATGTGGTAACATCTGTTGTGTGGCATAAATAGCAATTAGCTTATGGAACCCAAAGCATTCTTACTTTACATTAATGTACAGAATGAGAGACTTCTGTTCTCTGCTGTCTTCGCGGCTTCGAAAAGGGGCCTAGAACATCTCAGTCCTAACAAGACTTTATCAAACTACCCTATGCACTGGGCCCGCTACTTGGCATCTTGGAATCCTGTTCAACCGAGCTGGTTGCCCCCTTGGGTATGTAGCTAGAACGCCCGGTCATAGTCTACAAAGGAAACCCAGCCCGTACTTGGACTCAACCGATTCTTCGCCTGCGGGGTAAGCGAAGCCATCATAGTGAGATGTCCCTTAACAAAACAATATAGCCTGTATAAATGATCGTAAGGCCCCCCACCATCTTACATTCATATCCATCGATATTTGCTAACCCCACTACTCACTTCCTTTGACTTTCAGTTAACGGAGAAAACGAAACGATGGCTTCGGATCTTAACAACACCATTGATTCTTTAGAGAATCAGCTGCAGGTTCTCACCACCGCAGCATTGGAAGATGAATCTAGTCGCAAAAAGCTACTTGGTGTCGTCATGAAAGCTGTAGCCGAGCTCGAAGCTCCTATTGAGACTATCTGGCGGATCATCATGTCGGTAAGATGATAAGATGCCTGGGCCTGTTGCGTCTCGCTCAATACTTATCTTCACTTCCCAGCCGCATGCCCCCGCCGCGTTGATGGTTCTGATCAGAATGGGTATTGTCACACACCTGGCCAAGACTGGTGTGCCGAAGTCAGCCAGCGAGCTAGCAGCCTCATGTGGTGGCTCGGAGCTAGTCATTGGTTAGTATCTCGGTTTGCTATACTGGGCATGACAGAGTTGTCTGATACGTTCCACAGTTAGAATGATGCGACCATTGGTTGCATTGGGAATCTTTCGTGAAACTGAGGTGCAGACGTATGCCTCGACTCCTATTTCGGAATTGCTCGTGGCTCCTCCACTGCTTGGTGGCTATCAATTTATGTCAGTGATATGGTGCTCTAACCATTTTCAGCGTAGGGATTAATAATATTATAGGTTCGCTGCCGCAACCCACTCTCTCGCCAACATGCCCGCTTATCTGGAATCGACCGGCTTCAAACATGTCGATGGCGCTCCTGGTCCCTTTCAGGCCACAAAAAATACGCAGGACGGCATGTTCCAATGGCTGGCCAAAGACCCTGCCATGATGAGCAACTTCAATGCGTTCATGGCAGGTTCTCTGGAGACCCGCAGTGATTGGTTCAAGACATTTCCGGTAAATGAGATCCTCCTCGATGGTGCAACTACCCGTGATTCGGAGTCTACCCTCTTGGTCGATATCGGAGGAGGAGAAGGCCACGACATCTACGCTTTCCACAAGAGCTTCCCGGATGCACCTGGAAAACTAGTGCTCCAAGATCTCCCTGAGACGATTGACAATATTAAATCTCTGGATTCAGCCATCATCCGACAGAAGTATAACTTCTTTACGGAACAGCCAGTGAAAGGGGCACGCGCTTATTACTTGCGGTACATCTTCCATGACTGGCCTGACAAAGACTGTATCTCTATAATGAAGAATATTGCAGCAGCAATGAAGCCAGGCTACAGTAAGCTTCTGATATTCGAATGGGTTCTGCCAGCAAAGGAGACGCCTCTATATCCTGCTCTCCTCGATGTGAACATGATGGCATTGTTGAATGGAATGGAACGCACAGAAGAGCAATGGACTAATCTACTGACACAAGCGGGGCTGAAGATAAAGAAGGTCTGGAGTGCGGGCATTGATTCAGAGGGGTTGATTGAAGCGGTATTGGATGTATGATGCAATTACCCTAGGTTTAATGTTACTAAACAGCTTCTTATGAAACTCTATATCTTAAAGCTCTAGTAGTTTGGCGGCGATTTTCTCTATTAGTAAGTCTCCAACTTCATCCTTAGCTGAGAGCCATTATCCGTGAAAGACCTTTCCAATTCTAGCGGTCAAAATATTCACTGTTGAAGTTCGACCAAATTCATGTTATCATTGTCTTTTCATCATATCATATAATGGTTCAACAATGCCCCAAGGTTCAAGCCATCCCTTGCATTTTCCAAAAGGCCTGTGGCTTAAAAATAAAATCACACTCTACTCGGCAAGATAGACAAGCAAGAATCAAGCTGCAAACGGAGGCTTGAACCACCCGTCAGGCAAAAGAATGAAGACTCATTATGGGGCCTGAATCTTTATACACAGCGGCAAGTTAAGGTATTTCCAAAAAAGACAAAATAATTGTTTTCTTACCTGTCTCATCCAAAGCCCTATAGATTGGCCCTATTTTGACCAGTAGATTTTGCTGAATGCATTTCATCCTGGAAAAGGCACGTCCTCGGTTTGCTGGGCATATCGACCATTTGCAGAGAAACAGCAGATGCATATGTGCTTTGCCATTTGCTAAAGATATGGTCAAATGTTAAATTAGGGATTTGGTTCGTTGCCGCCTCCTTGTGCTCTGGAGTTTCCATCGCCTCTAGTTGCTGTCGTTGGTTAGCATTTTCGAGAAGCCACTGAACTCTTGGGATGCGCTGCTGTTGCACTGCCTCAAAGACCAAACCGAGCTCCATTGAAGATGGTCGCCCGGGAGTAAGCGGAGACGATAAGGCTTTGAACAAGCAATTCATCAACGAAGCCGCACTTTCAATGGCGGAATTGGCTCCTTGACCAGCAATTGGTAAGATCTAGAGAAGGGAAATTAGTCTCGGGCCATGACGGTTATTAATAAATCCTATCTAATATATCATAATGATAGTGATTTTTACTTTTTTGGGAGTGGGAGGAAGGGTTCAGGAAAGGGCTTACTTGGTGGCTCGCATCTCCAATGGTTAACATTCTTCCAAAATACCATTTGCTGTGCACGTACTCTCGTAGCGGGGTATAAAGTGAAGTCAGTTTACGGTGATAAAGATCCGCGAAGCGAACACCTGGTGCGATATGGTCATTCCAGTGTTGTTGAACCACCTTTGCTTCATCCTTTCTCGTGAATTTAGGTATTCCAGTGCCATAAAATGTCTGGTCCATATGGACATTAAGAAACCAGTATGTTCGGTCTTTAGGGCCGGCGCCAATGACATATGAGGATTTCTCACGAAAGGTGTAATGTACGCTGTCACTAGCGATTCCAGGGACAGCAGTCGACATGCCAAAAATGCACGCATAAGTTGCCGGTATCTCTGAGGTTTGACAGAGTATACCTTAGTATACACGATAACTGCGATGCTAGGAGGCCAGCACTCACTGTCGTCCTCTAGATAGATATGTCCAACGCCAGCTTCATGCGCATGGCGCTTTATCTCTTGTCTGATAACCGAGTGGACTCCATCAGTCCCCACAACAATATCCGCACTGTATGTCGACCCGTCCTGTGTAATTACTTGAGCCTCGTGGTCGGCCTTGATTACGGTTGTAACCCGTTTTCGCGTCAAAACCTTGGATTTATCCCTAAGGTGATCAAACAGTACGTGAACGAGCATTGCTCGATCGACAAATATAACAGGATATCCGTGCCTATCCGCGAAGAATCAGAGCAATGTCATCTGAAGGAATATGGACTCTACAGACCTCTCACAGGACAACCTATGTAAATCTTCTATCGACCGCAGTACTTGTTCATCCGGTCCATGATAGTAGGCCTTATCAACTGGATTTTCGGATAGCTTCAATAAGGTCTCGTAGCAGCCCAGTTGATCAAGAATCCGGAGGCCATTTGGCGTCAACCCGACGCCACCACCGACGGGCGAAGAGATTTCGGGGTATGCTTCTATAAGAAGATATTCAATCCTATTTCTCTCTAGCATGAGCGCCAGAGTGAGTCCAGCGATACCACCTCCAACGATAATGACTTTGAAGAGGGTTGATATTTGTGCTGTTGCTGGAGACATAATGAGAAATTGAAGATTGGGGAAAGAGAATGCGATCCTGAGTCTGTAGAACAGTACTAGGAGGGTAGGAAATCTATGAGAAGAAAAGAACCAAAAAAAGGAGGGGCTGAAGAAAGATCAACCGATTGAGCTGTTTGATGAACAAGGGTCCATGTGCGTTCTGTCCGAGGCACTAGGGCTGACAAGGCCAGTTCATGACAATACGATCTACTATCGTCAAAATACATTCATTTGACGAATCCGCTAACACTAATAGGGTATGCAACTCACAGGCTCCACTTTCAAGGTCAAATCCCTCCAATTATCACGCCGGTTTGTCTTTTCAGCCCATCTGTCAGGCTGTGCTTGTTATCAGACTAAAGCACTAGTGTCGACCCCACCGTGTTCCCATTCAAGTTCAGCCGACCCCGCTCCCTGATTCCTGGGACCCAACCATTATCAACCGAGATTTTGACCCGTTTAGGCATCCGGTTCGTACACTCGGTCCCCATGGTCTACATCTACAGAGGGCAACCAAGTGCTAGCTGTGCCTTGTGTCGGGCACGACGCCTCAAGGTATAGAGAGACTCCAACCCGTTCGGATAAGCCGCTAACTCGACCAGTGCGACCAACGGCGACCGTCGTGCTCGCAGTGCCTTCGGGTAAAACGAGAATGCTCCGGGTATCGAGATCTCACGGCCGTGCGGTTCTATGATCAGAGCGAGGAGGTCATCGGGAAGGCACAGAAACGGAGTTCGCTCCCGAAACCGTCAACCCCATCAAAGCCGTGTGCTCCAGAGCCAGCGCCATTGGTGCTGACGCCTATATCGGTTCCATTGGATGATCTTTCTTGTCGAAGCCGCCGAAAGAAGTGTGATGAAAAGAAGCCTCGTTGCGCCGCATGTATCCGTAACAAGCTCAGATGCAAATGGCCTGCCGAATCAAGTGGCCAAGTCTCGGCGAGATTACCGCGAGAGACCACTAGCGCGGCGACTCGTGTTTCTCAAACGAGACGGGTTGCACAATGTGGGCATCCTACGGCTGCTGTTTCGTTATCTCAGGTCACCCAAGAACAGCAAACCATAGTACTTTTATCCCCACTTACAACAATACACATAGGTCGCTTAGCCATTAGACGGGTAACTCCAGCCAAGGCCCTGACACAATCCCTCATGTCAGATCTTGAACAGTCCTCGTATCTGTTCGATATTCCCTGCCGACTGGGGAATGATGATGCTATAGATACTGCTGTCCAATGTGTCACGATTGCCTTTCATGATTTATGCACCTCTAGGTCGCCACATGGTTCCATTTCGCCTTTTCTCATCTCTCTCCACACGAAAGCATTGAAGAGCCTTCGACATGCGTTTGACGATCCTGCAAGATCTCGCTCCGCCGAGACCCTTTGTGCGACTGCCCTGTTATGTCTCTTTGAGGTAAGTACTAGGCAAGGTCGTGGGGAGATAAGAGTGTAGATTCTGCCCCCCGAGCTTAGACTGACATTGCCACTTTAATTAGTATCTGAACAAGGATGTGAATCAAGCATGGGTTCACCATGCATCTGGCATGGCTCAGTTGATAAAACACCGTGGACCCGCGAACTTTACGACAGATTTCGAGAAGTCTCTGTTGATGAGTCAAGTAGGCATCATTGTCAGTACGAACCGTTTACTGCTCTTACTTAGAGCTGACTCCCGGAGTAGTTAACAGAGTCTTTTTTCAACAATACCCCTTGTTTCCTTGAGCAAGAAGAGTGGATGTGTACGCTACGATCTTCATTATCCCCCGACGACCTATTCTCATCCCGCAGCAAAATGATCATTGCATTGTATGAGATTATGATACCTTTTGCACGTATCATCGCAGAGTGTTCGGTTTTCATTATGGATCCCAACTTGAATGATAGGGCACTGCATAACTCTCTGCGACAGAAGGTCTTTGAGAAGCGCCAAAACCTTTTGCTTTGGAAACACAAAATGTGCGAACAAATGCTTCTCGACAGGCAGCGGAAGGAACATTCACAGGATACGAGCTCTTCACCTGATGCCTTGCGAAGGCTAGAGAATCTTCTGACCGGTCAAGCAAATATATTGCTATGTAACCGGCTCTGCGTTGCTCTCGATCGAAATTGCGGTCATCTTCTGGAACCCCAGACGCAGAATCTCGCTGCCTCTATGCTATGCTCCCAAGCTTCTCATGGAAACAATATCCGAGAAGTGAATATCACACTCAGCCTTGCAACTGCGCATGCAGTCCTACAAACAGCGGAGGAGTGGAATATGTCAATAAGAAATTTAAAAGCGGCAACAGACGCGTCACCAGATCCGGTGGAAGCTGCAGTTTTTCGAAACTATATGGAGCTGGTGGGAGTCAGAATGAGCAGGTAACCTTCTGCTCAAGATTCATCATAGAGAAGTTGCAAATAAAGTACGATGCAATATGGCATTCCATGTCCCTCTAGGACCGGTCCTTTTCAGCTGAAAGAAACTCGATTGTAAGGATATATATACAGAAAGGAGAACAGCCTAGATTCGCTGGTGGTCATGGTCACTTAGCCGATGCTCGTGAATAGCAAAACTGTGGTGATCCCAGCTTGCATTCTGCATCTTGGATACAAACCCTCCACAAATCCCGGAAAAATCGTCGTTTCGCTTTCCCTAGCCGTCTCACATCTGGTCTCACTTTGGAAATAGGCGCCAACCTTACACTCTGGACAATACGTTCTTCATGCAAGCTGGATCACTTTGTTTCCATACCCGTGTCAAAAAACAAGGCAGTGTTTGGACTACTTATTCTTACTGGTTTAAAGTACCCAAAAGAACCCTTAGACACTGCAAGTGTACTTTCCGAGCCTTTCCAGAAGAAGTAACAGGATCGGAATTTCTCTTATCATTTAGCCTCATGTCTGGTTCCGGGTCGGCCGGTGTAAGGCGTCCCGGGCTGAACTTTGTTATCTAAGCGCACTTTTCAAAGAGCGAACGCTCCCGTTGAGCTCCTTGCACTTGACAAGCGGCGGCCCAAGCGCAACGCAATACTATATCTTAGAATTCCTCCCTGCACGAGAGAGTAGATGTCTTTTTAACCGCTGAGGAAAACAGAAGTGACTGTCAAGAATGACTTACGACTCAGATTTAAAAATAACCATGGACGATTTTAATCCTTGCGAAGAGCTTCTTCCAACCATTGTGGACCACTATGCCGCGGTCTATCCGGATAGGATCTATGCGGAGTATCCAAACGTGACTACAACCTACGAGAAAGGCTATCGCAAGATCACGTATCGGGATTTATCTAACGCCGTGAACGGGCTCGCATGGTTCTTGACCAATACACTCGGCCCCGGCGACGGCACGGAGACGTTGCCCTACGTTGGCCCGAACGATCTGCGGTATCCGGCTCTTGCTGTCGGTGCTATGAAGGCTGGTTATCGGGTGGGTGAGAAAACTTGGACTGTATTGGAAAGAATTTCCAATTACTGACGACTCCTAGATATTCTACACCTCGCCACGCAATAGCGTCGCGGCCCACCAAAGTCTTTTGGGCGAGCTGCGATGCAAAAGCTTCCTGACGCCGACTCCATGGCCCCCAGCTGTATCCATCATCATAGAGTCTATTGACCTGAGAGTAACTGAAGTCCCTAGTGTTGATGAGCTTCTGAAAACCGAGTACCCCATGTTTCACTTTGAGAAGACCCTCGCTGCGAATGCATTGGATATCTGTATGGTCATTCACACTTCGGGTTCGACTGGAATCCCCAAGCCAATTTTCTTCACCCACAATACCGTTTCAACAAGCATGAAAATGAGCCGATTGGATCCACCGGAGGGTTTCGACAGCCTGGATCGCATGACAGAAGGAAAGCGATTGTTCATGACATTCCCACCTTTTCATGTAAGACGAGCCCCAGGTATTCATATTGTATAAAGCTAAGTCTAGCAAGGGTGCTTGCCTTGTTTGCCACTTGTTCTATGCGATTCCATTCGGGACAGTGATTATTTCTCCGATCTCTACAACGATTCCTTCGGCCCGCGGGATGGTCGAAGCAATAAAGCAGACCCAAGTGGATGGTGGCTTCATAATTCCTTCAATCGTTCAGGAACTGGCCCAGGAACGTGAACTCTTGGAATTCTGTGCCCAGAGAATGGAATTTCTGATCTTCTGCGGTGGAGATTTACCACAGAATATTGGAGACCCAGTGGCCGCAAAGATTAAGCTAATCAACCTGTACGGGGCCACGGAGTTGGGCCTGCTTCCTATGGTTTTCTCTCGAACTAACCGTGGGCCGGAAGATTGGAAGTATGTTGAAATTCATCCAGACATGGGTATCGAATTTCAGCACGTCGCAGACGACCAGCACGAGGTAGTTGTTGTGCGTCATCCAGATCTTGAAAAGCATCAGCCAACATTTGCCTACCGCAACTTTTCGGATTTGCAGGTATACGGCAGTCGGGATCTGTTTGTGCAGCATCCGGATCCAAAGAAAAAAATCTTTGGAAATGGCAAGCCCGGAAGGATGACATTATTGTTTTTCTGAACGGCGAAAAGACTAATCCCATTTCCATGGAGCAACATATATTGTCGAGAAATCCACAAGTCACTGGTGTCTTGGTTGTTGGCGCGCAGCGATTTCAGGCCGCTCTGCTGATCGAAATAGACACAGGCGGGGAAGAGATGTCGCCGTCTAAGCGCACTGCTCTTCTGGAGGTTGTTTGGCCCAGCATAGAAGAGGCCAACGAGGTGTGCCCAGCACATGCACGCATTTTTAAAACGCATGTCCTGTTCACTCGCCACGACAAGCCAATGCTCCGTGCGGGAAAGGGTACCGTACAGCGCTCGGGAACACTAAAATTGTATACGAGAGAGATTGATGCCCTGTATGCTGAAGCAGAGAGCATTCTTCAACCCAATGGAAGTATCGGTCCAGGCAAGAGTGTGGATCGCAGAGTCGTGTGTGATTTCATTAGGTCCACAGTCCTTGCCATCACTCAATGGACTGAGCTGGAGGATACGGAAAACATGTTTATTCGGGGCATGGATTCCCTGCAGGCAGTTACCATCTTTCGAATCCTCCGCCATGGCCTTGAGATGAGTGCCATTGATGCTTCGTTGATCTATATGAAGCCTTGCATCTCCGAATTCACAGATACCATCATGCAACTGAAGAAGAACACTCTACCCTCTGCAGAGACAGGGCCTGCAAACAGACTCGAAGAAAGACAGAAGATGTTGAAGCTGTTTCAAGAGAAGATCGACCAGATCAAAAAGCCATTGTCACAGCCTGCTGTACCTGCCGAGTCACACCATGTGATTCTTACCGGAAGTACAGGTTCCTTGGGGACCTTCATCTTGCGTGATCTTCTGGCCAATCCCTCAGTAGGTCATGTCTATTGTCTGAACCGGAGAGATGGCGCCCACTCAAAACAGCTTGAGTCTAACAAGACTCATCATCTCGGGGCCGAGTTTGATGACGCCCGAGTGACATTTTTGAAAGTCGACCTGTCCAAAGATCGGTTTGATCTACCGGAAGAGACTTTTCAGACTCTTCAGGATACTACGACAGCGGTCATTCATAATGCCTGGCCAGTCAACTTCAACATGTCTCTGTCATCCTTTGAGCCGCAACTATCCGGAGTGGTCAACCTCATCTCATTCTGTGCCTCTGCAGCTGCCCATCCCCGTCTGTTTTTCATTTCATCCGTGAGTTCTGTAATGACGCATATCTCCAAGTCCGGGGTGACCCCGGAACATGTAGTCATCCATGACTCTCCCACACCGAACGGGTACGCCGAGAGCAAGTATTTGGCGGAGCTCCTCCTCGACTATGCGGCCAAGAAGCTGATGATTCCCCTCTCTTTGGCTCGTGTGGGACAGATTTCTGGTGCGGTGAAGGCGCCTGGCCTCTGGAACCCAACCGAGTGGTTTCCCAGCTTGGTACTGAGCTCATTGTATATCGGTGCAGTACCAGCATCCTTGGGCCCCGCGATGGGCCGCATTGACTGGGTGCCAGTCGACCTACTTGCCAATGTGATTATCCAGCTTGCACTCAGTCAGACTTCTGAGTCTGGGATAGGGGCCGTGGAAGTTTTTCATCCGATTAACCTCCATGCCCTGTCTTGGACCACTTTCCTCCCGACTGTGCTTGAGGCAATCCGCGCAGTAACAGACAAGGATCTAGACGTGATCCCACTGGAGAAGTGGGTTGCCCTCGTTCGTCAGGATATGGAGGACAAGAGCCGAGACAACTCCGGAGACAATAGGGATTTGCAAGCGTTGCTGAAAGCCAACCCAGCCGTGAAGTTGTTGGACTTTTACGAGCAACTTGAGGCGCAGGACCAGGGTCAAACCCCAAAAAACGAAGCACGGATTTGTGTGCCGAATGTTCTGGACACAACACAAACAGCGGAGAAAAGCGATGCGCTGCGCGCAGTCCCGGCAATCAAGCGGTCGTGGTTTATCAAGTGGGTCAGTGAGTGGATATGCGAGGACTAGGTGTAACTACTGTAAGTAACTTAACTTCCGTACAATATCATCGTTATGTTATTTTCGAAGAATTCCTGTAATTAGTATTTCTTCCTAGGTTACAGTGGACATCAGACTTTTGTTTTAGTGTGAGTAGCCATAGTCGGCGTGTTTAAATATGGTCAGCACTGTAGTCCATTAAGAAGCATCGATCATGTCTGTAGCCTTCATGCTTCCTTTTCTGGACTTATGCTTAAGAGCACACGGCCGACTCTTAGGAAATTGAGAGCTCTTAGGAACCAGACCTGAAAGAGTGCGAAGATGGGTATATTGATATGCCCGAATAAGGGGAATACAAGAGAGAGAGAGAGAGAGAGAGAGGCAGACAAGAACGGAACGCCGCGTCGCCATGAAGAAAGACAATCGGATGGAAAACAGCAGATCAGCGCTATTGAAAGATGCAGGCGATGGGCAGTTCATGCAGACATGAGATGAAATAGTGGACACGCAGACAACGAGCAGATGCGAAACGAATATTGTGGAGTGAAAGAAGATAGAAAATCCATTTCATGGCATCCCGGCTCGTCCATCGAAGGCGAGCGGCCCCGAATCGTTGCGTGGTGTCATTGGATTATCGTCAGACGTTTCGGAGCGGATGGGAGTCTCGGACCGAAGCTGTGAGGGCCGCCCCGGAGGGACGCTGAGCGGCTGGGTTGGCTGCCAGCCGGGGATATTGATGGTCGCGCTGCGGGCGAGGTCGTCGTTGCTTGAGTCGGGGGCTGGAGAGCTCGAGCTCTGGTTGTCAGGTACTTCGGTCACCGGTGTTGCGCCTTCTTCCAAGATCGGGAGATTCTCTGCCTCGGTGGGTGGTTCTGCTCCATCGGAATTGCTGCCTTGCTCGCCGGTCGAGTTTGGCAAGTCTGCGGGCGACTGGGTCTCAGATCGAGGTTGGTCTCGGTCTACCGCTGCTGATCCTTTTTCCCCTTCGTCTTTTCCATCGTGGTCATTGGAATCGTCAACCTCTGCGCTCAGATCCGTGAATGCACGGCAATTGGGACACTGGAACATGGGGTAATCCGGCGAATGCAGCAAGCGACTAATACATTTATAATGCCAAACGTGGGCACAGGCAGCCATGAACAGGCACTGGTAGGGTCGCTTCAACACAGTTAGTATCGGCACAAGAGATGGTAAAGGAACACAACGCACCAGGACAGATCCGAGGCAGATGGAACACTCGCGACAACCGGAGTAGTCCGCGGTATCACCTTTGCCAAGGTTCTTAATCAGACTTTCGGTGTTTTTGCTGAAGCACACAGACGATTAGCCTTGCGCCAGATTCACAGTCGATCCATACGTACTTGAACTCATTGGGCTGCTGTTGCCATGACCGATTGCATTCAATCCGGATCCGCACACACCGGAATATCATCTCTTCCCCTCCGCGAAAGTCGATTCCCAGCTGTACAATATCGCCGTCCTTGATGGTGTAGAGTCGCGACACCATATTCGGCTGGCTCAGACGCATATGGTTCAAAAAGGTCCCCGACGAGCTTCCAACATCCTTGATGTGCCACTGACCATTGACATACATAAACTCGCAGTGTTTCCGACTGACGACCTTGGATTTGAAGCCCACGGGCGCATCGGAGGGCTCGCCTGGGTTGGGGATAGGGACGCCATCTCGCTCGGAGTACCGACCAACCTTGATCACACAGCTTTCGGAGGGTAGTGTGCGTGTAATGGGGACAAACGGTAGCGAGGGCCTCGAGTTTTGCAGAGAGTCTTGGTAAGGGAAAAATCGGATGGTGGCCTTCTGCTTCGGTTTCGGCGAGGTCGCCTCGGCCATCACGGCATCAGTCGGCTCTGCCGACTCGCCCTGCGTCATGGAGGGCTCGGGCGATGAGCTGGATGGCTCCGGATTGGCCGTCCGGTCTCGTGGTGGTGGTGGCCGGCTTTGCACGGCGGAAGCACTCCTCAGCCGTGCCATGACGTGCGGTGTTTGCGTCGCAGGGTCAATGGAAGGCGTGGATCGTGCCGAATCGGTTGAGGAGGCTTGGCCGGCGTGGTCGAGGACTCGGGAGCTGGAGGTGGGAGCCGACGTGTAGCGGGACAGGGCTGGGTGGTCCGAGTCGGGGCATGGGCCCGCAGCGGTCTCCCCGTGCAACGGCGTGGAGTCCGGACCGGCGTTGGAGGTCGGGGACCGCCAGGACACGCGACTGCTGAGACTGTTGCGATGGGAGCCCCGGGTGGATGAGGAGAGGTGATTCTGGGTATACGCGCGGAGCTGGCTCAGGCGGCGCAGACGCCCGGGGCGAGGAGCGTCAGAGGAGATGGTCGAGGCAGCAGTGGTGGCAGTTGAGGCCGACATGGACGCGTTAGCAGCAGGCATGCAAAGTCAGACCGACCGTCGTTGTCAGGCCTAGCATCTATAGTTAATGTGGGTGAGGGAAACCGATGGGGATGGGGGATGTGCGGCAGGATGTGGAGAGGAAAAGAGCAGCGCAGGGACGGCGGGGGAGTGACAGGCCGAGCGGAACAACGAGCGTGGCTGACCTGGGTCGATGATTATGTGAGGATAATGTTCGCTGGTTCATCGCAGGATCATCGTGCGTAGTCTAGTTCGCATCCTGGAATATATCCTCCCTATGCCGGGAAGCAACTAATCGTACGTGTGATCGCCTCTTGTGATGCCTGCGATGATCGTTGAGTCCTCGGCCGTGATAAGCAAGCTAGCTGCCCCCTCTCCCTCGCTCCTTCCTCTGCTGCTCTTCTCCCACCGCTGGGCCTCTTCGCCTTTGTTGACCCTCTTCCTCCATCCAAAGCTTATCACCCATCACGCGCCGGTCCTGTGTTGCCCTGCTCAACTGCACTCCCGTCTTTTGCTTCCCACCCTCCCCCAGCCTCTTCAACCTGCAACTTCCCCCCCCAACTCCACTCCCCGACCACCGCACCACCTCATAGCTACACCACCCCCCACCAAACCTGGTCTCGATCGACTCCTCGTCTCTTCTTTCAGCTCTGCCGTTCATCTTGGCAGGGCCCGAGGCCCACTAGTCAAGAGCCATGAGTGGAATCGCAAACGCGTGTCTGTCGTGCCTGTCGGCCGTCGACCGCTGGTGTCACATCACGGCTTGTCTCGGACCCATCGGAGCTCGCTCACGAGATGGCATCTACGAAACCACCTTGGCCGACAACGAACGGGAAGCAGTATCAGACCTGCTGGGCTATTTGGAAAACGTACGTGGCAGATTTCCTCCCCGATCCCTACGTCCCGGAACTCACCAAGCTTTTTGCAGCGTGCCGAGACCGATTTCTTCTCGGGCGAGCCTCTTCGAGCTTTGAGCACCCTTGTGTATTCCGAGAATGTCGACCTGCAACGAAGCGCGAGCTTGACATTCGCTGAAATCACCGAGCGAGGTATGTGGGAGCGGGTGCGATGGAGCTGCTGCAATTTCTAACGGTCGCTGGACAGATGTACGGGAGGTCGACCGTGATACGCTGGAACCCATTCTGTTCCTCCTCCAGAGCTCAGATATCGAGGTTCAACGGGCTGCCAGTGCAGCACTCGGCAACCTCGCGGTGAATGGTGAGTGCCATCCTCTCCAGTAGCTAGCGAGTCGGTCGCTAACGGGCAACAGCGGAGAACAAGGTCTTGATCGTCGCCTTGGGGGGGCTGGCTCCCCTGATCCGCCAGATGATGTCGCCCAACGTCGAGGTACAGTGCAATGCAGTCGGGTGCATTACCAACTTGGCGACACACGAGGAAAATAAAGCCAAAATCGCTCGTTCGGGAGCTTTGGGCCCTTTGATCCGCCTGGCCAAGTCGAAGGATATGCGTGTGCAGCGTAATGCAACAGGCGCACTGCTCAACATGACGCATTCCGGTATGCAATACAGAGGCTCTGTGTGGAATTCTTCTCTAACGAGGCGAACAGATGATAACCGCCAGCAACTGGTCAACGCAGGCGCGATTCCCGTGCTTGTCCAACTGCTGTCATCCCCCGACGTCGATGTACAGTACTATTGTACGACTGCGCTCAGCAATATCGCCGTCGACTCGACCAACCGCAAACGCCTGGCTCAAACCGAGTCCCGGTTGGTACAGTCTTTGGTCCACCTCATGGACTCATCTACTCCCAAGGTGCAGTGTCAAGCAGCGCTCGCCCTGCGCAATCTCGCCTCCGACGAGAAATATCAGCTCGAGATCGTTCGAGCGAAAGGCCTCTCCCCTCTCCTGCGCCTTCTGCAATCGTCCTATCTGCCCCTTATCCTCTCCGCCGTTGCCTGTATTCGAAATATCTCTATTCACCCATTGAACGAATCTCCGATCATCGAAGCGGGCTTCCTGAAGCCTCTGGTGGACCTGTTGGGCACAACAGACAATGAGGAGATCCAGTGCCATGCCATTTCCACACTCCGCAATCTCGCGGCCAGTTCCGATCGCAACAAAGAACTCGTCCTGCAGGCCGGTGCAGTTCAGAAGTGCAAGGACCTGGTTCTGCGGGTGCCCCTCACCGTCCAATCTGAAATGACTGCAGCGATTGCGGTGCTGGCGCTTAGTGACGAGCTCAAGTCGCATCTCCTCAACCTCGGGGTGTTTGATGTCTTGATCCCGCTGACCAACTCTGAGAGCATCGAGGTGCAAGGCAACAGTGCAGCTGCTCTGGGCAACCTCTCGTCGAAAGGTATGTCGTTCTCCTTTTCGTATTTTCTTTGCTTTTTTATTCTAACGAGTATAATTAGTGGGTGATTACTCCATCTTTGTGCGTGACTGGGCGGACCCCAACGGAGGCATTCACGGATATCTTCAACGCTTCCTTGCCAGCGGAGACCCAACCTTCCAGCACATTGCCATCTGGACACTCCTGCAACTGCTCGAGTCCGAGGACAAGAAACTGATCGGATACATCTCCAATTCGGAAGATGTCGTACAAATGGTCAAGTCGATCTCCGATAAGAACATTGAATCTGACGAGGAGGATGGAGATGACGGCGAGGCTGAGGTCGTAGCGCTCGCCCGGCGGTGCCTCGAGTTCCTCGGGGCGGGACCCAAGCAGACCCTTGTTGAAGCCTGATTTCTTTTTCCTTTTCCTTCGGGTACTGGACGAGCATTGAATCCACCGAACCCGGTTTATTCCCCCCGTCAGCGGGCATTTGGAGTGTTCGGGCTTGTATGTGTTTTTTTGTTTTCTCTCTCTCTCTGTCCATGATATTTCTGGGCCGGTGCCATTGTCGCTTGTTCCTACGCATTCGCCCTGTATTCATGCTAGATATGGGCCTTTATATTTAATCTGGATACCACTTGCTCTGATCCGTGTAGTCCTGTAGGGCTGCCCGGAGAAACCTACTTCCGGGCCAGCGAGCTTTCCACCAAAAAATAGACTTGCAGCTACTTCAACTTCACACTCGCAAACACAATGGCTGCCACTATTCCCTCTCTGGCTATTCCAGGCCAGCGCCTGGGTTCCGCATCTGCCTACAGTGCAGGACCGGGAACGCACATCCAGCAATCTATGATCTACGCCTCAATCGCCGGTCCCGTCGTCGTCGATCCCGCACAACCCAAGACCCAGCTCAAATCCACGATTCGAGTGTCGCGAGTTTCAACGAGCAAGTCTCAAACGAAACCTGATCATCCCACAGGAGCGGCAGCCACACTCCCAAAATCAAAACCCAGATACAACACGCTCCCCGCCGTGGACTCCATCGTCCTCGCCCGCGTAACAAGAGTACAAAAGCGCCAAGTCGCCGTGTCTATCTTAGTCGTCCTCGACGAATCCACCGCTGCCCCAAACACCACCTCCACTTCTTCCTTATCAGACAACGACAACATCGCCTCAATCCTCACAACGGCCGCCAACCCAGAGAACCACAGCAACACAGACGAACTGCGCTTCCAAGCGCTCATCCGGAAGGAAGACGTGCGCGCCGTGGAGAAAGACCGCGTTGTGCTGGATGAAATGTTCCGCGTTGGCGACATCGTGCGCGGGTCAGTGATTTCGCTGGGCGATCAGAGCTTTTATTATCTCACCACCGCGCGCAATGACCTCGGCGTTGTTATGGCTAGGAGCGAGAGCGGGAATATGATGTACCCCGTTAGTTGGAAGGAGATGCGGGATCCTGTTACTGGAGTTGGGGAGCAAAGGAAGGTTGCGAGGCCTTTTTGAAGGGGGGGGGAATGATGCCGCTTTTCTCCCTGACCTATCTATCCCGTTTTATTGTCTACCAGCAAAGAGGTATCGATGACCGTGGACAGTGGACCATGTCTGGAAAGACAGCTGGGCAAGAGGGATTTCCTATACCCTTTCTATGGAGACAACATTCATCCATGTTTTGCCTATGACCTGGCGCGCAGAGGACTAGGACTCGGACCAATCACGGAATCCCAGTCGGGCCTAAACGGACAGTTTCCTCTGTTCAACAAGAACGATATCCACAGCAGTCTGAGGATAAATCCTTCGTCCAGACGCAATGATCGAGCCCCGCCAAGTGTGCAGTGGGAAAGAGTATATCGCAATGACTCTAGAAATGATACCCTTGGAATCATGAATTGGATGAACGAAAAGACTTCAGACCAATATCAAGTCCGTTGCCAGTAGACTAGATCCTTCCTTCATCGGAACAGTAAGGTAAAAGGATTCATACTTTTCGAATTTATGCGCCTATGCTTCTAAATAACAACCAATTCCACATCCAAGACATAAACACAAGGCTCCTTCTACCTATTTCTTCAACGTCTTCTGCTTCTCAGCATCAATCAACTTCCTTCCCTTTATAACAAGCCCCTTCCGCTCACGCACAGCATCCATATACCTCTTCGCCACATTCTCCCGATCCGCTAACTCGCCCAGATCCTCCAGCTCCTCCTCAGTAGCAGGAACCCAGAACGGATCTTCGTCGAGAGCCTCAAAGCCCGCGAAGATGAGCTGCGGCTGCGCGGCACCGGATGTGCGCTTGCGGATTTCCTCTGCAAACCCGAATGACTCGGCTACCGGGAGGAGGGCCAGGATCGTGAAGAAGGGGGTCCCTTCTTTCATTACCTCTGACTGGATGCGTCCGCGGCGCCGCGTGATCACGCCGTAGACGCGGCCGAGGACTTCGGCTTTTGGGTTGATTGTGTATTAGTATTTATTGTATTGCTCTGTTTGAGGGGGGTGAGAGGAGTTGGACATACTCGTTGCTTGAATCTCGCAGCTGTACATCGCCAGCATTACCCGCGGACTCCAGTCCAGGAATCCCTGGGAAATGCCCTCGCGGACCAGCTTGATCGCGTCACCTGTCAATCGACCCTTGTCCAGCTCGTCGCCGTTGGATTGCACGGCCAGTTCTTCCAGGAATACGGCGACGCCCTGGATCGGTTCCTGACAAAGAGGGCCTTGTGCTGTTGCTAGCTGGAAGGCATATGCGATCTTGTCGCAGAAATCGCGCACCAGCAGGGCCTGCTGGTTGTCGGTGTCGCCAGCGGACTGCTTTGGGTCGTCGAGCAGACTATGGAATTCATTATTAGTTGCTGGCAAGGCCAAAGCGAGATTAATCAAACTTACAATTTCTCACATGTGTTGACAGCAGTTCCATCAACCAAGATATTGGGACCGACTCTGCGCGGACCAAATGCCGTAATTCTGTCGACGACGTCCCGCCATAGTTCGCTATCATCCTTGACTTCATCGCGGAAAACTTTGTCTAGTTCTGTCCGGAACTCTTCCAGGGAAAGGATGCTGGTTTCGTGCACTTCACCAGCAGCATCTACAACAGCGGTCTCGACCTGAGCGCCGCTCTCCAGCACTCCATCAGCTGGATGTTCTGCATCCGGCTTCGCCTCTGTGGCAGTCCGTTTCTCAGACTGCAGCTTCTTGATGGTTCCCACATGCTTGGAGAGAAAATCTGTCACTGCCTCAGGCAGTGGTACCACGCGCAGCCGAACTGTCAACTGCTTTGAGGAAGAGACCTGCAGGACCCCACCGCGGCCCAGCTCCGGGTTCTTCGGGGCAGCCATCTCAGGCGCATGGACGATCGTTTCGCGGTAGGGAACGATGGCCTCACCGGTCTGGATGTCGCAACGAGCAAACCGCTCGCGGAGATCCTTGACACATCGCTCCAAATGTAGCTCGCCTGCGGTGAGAATGACATGTTCACCGCTGGGAAGCACCTCGTACTGCGCGCAGGGATCGCTTTGCTCAAGAAGGCGGAGGCCGGTCACCATCTTGCCCAGATCGGCCGGGTTGACTGGTTCCAAGGCCACTCGCACAATTGGCGGAGTGCTCAGAGAAACACCAGCCAGATTGACGCTGCCTTCAAGTTGACTGCAAAGAGTACCAGTCTTGAGTACATGCCCTGCAAGGCCTCCTATACCAAAGACCACACCGGCGGGAACGGACGGCAGAGACTCGAGACTCCGGCCCATGAGCAGGTAGAGATCGGTGACGGTGACCTTCTTCGGTTCGGGGCTGGCGTGTGGGTTGGCAGGTGAGAATTTCGGTGGCAGCACGTATATTTCGTCTCCTACGGAGAGCGTGCCGGAATATAGTCGTGCAAATCCAACGAGATGCTCAGGATCCTCCTTTTCTCCCACTTCTTCCGTCTCTTCAGTCTCGGTGATGAGGGATGTATTCTCGAAAGCGGACGTCATGCGCGAGAAGTCATCCGCCTGTCCAGCACTCGTCTCTGCTTGCATCTTTGCGATCTCTTCCCGCTTGCGACGAGCCAATTCCCTGGCCTCATCTGCAGTCATGGTGGTTCCGCTCCTTTTCTTGTTCGACACGAGCTCGCTCTCTGGAATAGCGACCATCTTGCTGACGTACGCTACAACCGGCTGGTTCTTCTCGGTCTTGAAATCCACCATGGCTTGCTTGATATCCTCTGACACGAACTTGGCTCCAGGGGAGCTTTCAATCATGTCCGGTAGTCGGGCTGCCTGTGCCACCGGCGGACTCGGAAGGTATTCAATGACGGACACCAAGACCGCGGTTGAGAGAGGGAGCCATGCAGAGAATAAGGTTGTCATGATGTTTCTTGGATCACGCGAGCGCAAGATATATGGGGGGATGTTGATATTCAAGGACTTGGTGATTTTCTCCAAAAGTACCGGATCCCTGGCCAGCGTTAGAGACTCCAACAATAACGGACTGTTCCAACAAACTTACCCTTTGTTCTTGCCTCCACCAGTAGTCGCTTCGTATGCAGCCCAGATACTGTCTAGAACCAACTGCACGAACATGGGCTTCAGTGCCCGTCCTTTCAGATGCTTCTGGCCCAACACGCGTTTCGTCTTGGGATCCAAGTAGTAATCTCCCCAGAGAACTTTTTCCAGGATAGTCCGCTTGATACCTAACTTCTTTTCGTAGATGGCAGCGAATTGGCGGATAGTAAATGCCCAGCCATCCACCGCACTGCCGAAGATGACGTTGTTCTTCTCCGGCGCAAAGTAGAGATCCTCATCGTCCCGCTCTTCAAAGTCCGTGACGTCGCTAATACTCTGCGTGGACTCATCATCCACGACCTGCTTCTTGGATCGGTCCTTGTCTCGGGCGGAGGAGTTGATGCGATCTTCCATGCGCTCTCGCCATTGCAGATCCTCCTCCATGCGCTCTCCCTGGTAGAAACTGCCAATCACGGCATTGACCTGCTCCAGCAGTCGGCTCAGGTGCGCGTACGCCTCACTGGGACTCATCATCAGTTCCGTCACCAGTCGATCCATCTTGTTAATGACGAGGATCGGCTTCAGTTGCTCCACCCAGGTCTGTCGCAGCACCGTCACCGTCTGGCTGCAAACACCCTCGACCGCGTCAACGAGCACCACAGCCCCATCACACAGCCGCGACGCGGTCGACACCTCACTGCTGAAGTCGATGTGGCCCGGCGAGTCGATCAAGTTGATCAGATACTCCTTGGGCACGGGCTGCGCCTCCGGACTCGGGCGCCGCAACATGGAGAAGAACAATGAGATAGCTGAGGATTCCATGGTGATACCACGGAGCTGCTCATCGGGGCGGGAGTCCAGGTAACGGATCTTGCCCGCCAGCTTGGGAGAGATAATGCCATTGGTGGCGATGAGACTGTCTGTCAACGACGTCTTGCCATGATCCTAGAGATGGTGATTAACCGCAAGATTCTCGGGGGAGAGAGCAAAAGCGCCCGACTTACGACGTGGGCCAGAATGCAGATCTAGAGCGCGGGTTAGCGGTTGGCTCGTGTGACATCATGGGATGGGATGGGAAACGCACATTTCGTATGTCCTCGGGCTTGCGCTGCAGCCGGACGAGCTCGTCGACATTGACGACGGGCATCTTGACTAGTCCGGGACCCGCGGCGTGGGCTGAAAGGAGCGTGCTGAGAATGTCGCAACGATCAAAAAGTGGCTCCGCAGAAAAAAAGGCGGGAGAAGTGGGATGCGCCCGCTGCCTGAACTACAAGACACCACGATTACTAGAAATGGGCTAACCTGCTCTCAAAGATTCAACTGGACCCGGGCATATATTATTAATTATGGAGATTTCCAAGATCGCGTTCATCGAGGCTCACATCCGACCAATGACGCGTTACAACTCAGCCTGAGATGGTCTGACTCAAGATGGATCATGGTGAGTCCCCTACTTCTACGGCGAACTAACGAGGCCGACATGGCAAGGATGGCAGATTGATCATTCCTCATCAAAGGAGAGCTTGATCTTCTTGGCCTTCTTCGGCTTGCGCGACACCGGGGCTTTGGGCTGCGTCTCTGCAGGCTCGGCCTGGTCATCGCCCACCACCTTGGCCTGTTTTCGCTTCTTCTGGGCCCCGATCTCCGTGAGATTGCTCTGTTGTTTGGCTGCGGACTCTGCCGGGCGAGCTTGGGTGGCGTCCTTTGCACCATCTTTGGCAGAAGGATTGTCGTCCGGGTTGCTCTCCTGCACCATGGCCTTGTATTCCTCCTTCGAGATCACCTCGTTGCTCTCTTCGTCCACATAGGTCGGCTCGTCATCGTCGTCGTCGTCCTTCTGCAGTCTTCGCGGGCGTTGCGCTGGCCGTTCCAGGCGACCGGTAGAATTTCCATGCTGGCCGCGCAGCTTTTGGAGGAATGCAGGCTCGTTTGCCTCTGAAGGACTAGAATCAGCCGTCGCTCCGGGTCACAGGGGTCAAGCGGTGTACCGTAGGCGAGCTTGGGGTTGGGCATGGTCGTCAGGCTGGACTGGACGCTCCGTAGTGTAAGGCTTCAGGTGAAACTCATGCTGGGCAGTCGCGCTCAACTAGAAGAGCATCGCGATGGCAAATATAGTGGTGTGCAATGGGTTCAACATAGAAGACCGAACAAGGGACAGCGGCCAGCGCTAAACCGCATCGGGCACCTCGAAAAGTCAAGGAGCGGCAGGCGCATCTCTTTCCTTCCCATCACCTTCTCCCCCATCCCACTCCCCCAATTCACCATGCTTTGTGCAAGTAAGTCGGATTCTGAGTTGTGCTGCTCGGTTGGATGTTCTTGATCTTTTTCTAACCCCCCTCGCAGTCTCCGGAGAGGCTCCGCAGGCGCCCGTCGTCTCTCCTAAGAGCGGTACGTCCACCCAGAAGTCTCGTGTCGTCGAGTCCCCCGATCTAACAGCCACTTAGGCAGCGTTTTTGAGAAACGTCTCATCGAGGCGTACATCGCCGAACACGGCAAAGATCCCGTAAACGGCGAGGAGCTCAGCGCCGACGAGCTGATCGAGGTCAAGTCGCAGCGTGTCGTGCGGCCCCGGCCGCCCACCCTCACATCCATCCCCTCGCTCCTCAGCGTATTCCAGGAAGAATGGGACGCCTTAGCACTGGAGACATATACCCTACAGCAGAACCTGGCCCAGACCCGACGCGAACTCAGCTCTGCACTCTACCAGCACGATGCCGCGGTACGGGTGATTGCGCGCCTCACACAGGAAAGAGATGAGGCTCGCGAGGCCCTGTCGAAGGTGTCGGTTGGTGCTGGTCGGCCTGCGGTTGATGGTGAAGCCATGCAGGTCGATTCGGCGGGCTTGCCGCAGGCCGTGCTGGAGCGGATTGAGAACACACAGGCCCAGTATGTGCAATTGATTTCTATCGTGGTTATTGTGTGGCTAACAGACTTTACAGACTCTCCAAGACTCGCCGCAAGCGCACCGTTCCCCAAGGCTGGGCTACCAGCGACGCCATCTCGGCGTACACGCCCGTGGAAACCTCTGAACCGCTTTACCCCGGCAGCCGGGCACTATCGGTTAACTCTACTGGCGAATTGGCCCTGGTTGGAGGTGCCGATGGCGTGGTTGGCGTTTACTCGCTCGCTCAGAAGAACGTGGTGCAAACATTGAAAGCCGATGGTTCGGTCACTGACGCGACATGGGCTGGCAACAAGGCCGTTATTGGTTCATCTACTGGCTCTGTGAAGGTCTTTGAGAATGGAAAGGAGGTTGCGAGCTTTGCCTCTCACGCTGGTGAGGTGGCGGCAGTTGCTCTGCATGCGACTGGGGATATTGTTGCCTCGGTGGGCGTCGACAAGAGCTACGTCCTTTACGACTTGGCCACCAATTCGGTGATCACCCAAATTTTCACCGACACTGGTATGTGATGTCTTCGGGCTTTCGTTTCTAACTCGCTAACATCCTGAATAGCCCTACTTTCTGCCAACTTCCATCCAGATGGCCATCTGCTGGCTGCTGGTGGAGCGAACGGCCAAGTCAAGATCTTCGACGTCAAGACCGGCGGGTCAGCTGCAGAGTATGACATGTCGGGCCCTGTGAAATGTCTCTTTTTCTCTGAGAACGGCACGTTCCTGGCTGCCGTGGCTGATGGATCCACGACGGTCTCTATCTGGGATCTCCGCAGCTCCAAGGAAACCAAGGTGTTGGATACGGGCAGCCAGATCAACTCGATCTTCTGGGATTACACTGGCCAGTTCCTCCTGACGGGTGGTCCCAGTGGCCTGACTGTCCAACAGTTCTCCAAGAAGAACAAGCAGTGGTCAGAGCCCCTGCGCAGCGCCGTGCCGGCCGTCTCGGTGGGCTGGGGAGCCAGTGCGCAGAGCATTGTTGCGTTGAACGAGGCGGGGGCAATCACGGTGCTGGGGGCACAATGATTGCTTCTCAAGTTCCCCTGTAATTCTAGATCTGGTCATCTGGTGTTTCACTCGAGTCGGTTCAGTTTTAATGCAAGAAAATAAGGATGACTGCAATTAATGGGTGCAATAACTGCTTTGTTTGATCGTGATGTCGTACTTCTCTTCCTTCCTTCCTTCCTTCCTTCTAACTTCTTTCCTCCATCCATCTATTTCTCTAGCCTTCCCTGCCTCTTATTTTCTCCCATGGTCCTGCCCCCCGTTATACCCTCCCAACACTACCTAGTATCACCACTGCTACTTTATTTGTCTCACCGCCCAACCCTCCATTGGCAGAACTTGACCGCCCCGGCAATCACTGCTCGACCATGGCCGTCTCATCGACGATCGCTCTCACCTTCTGGCCACCCCAGCCTCTGCAATGTGCTGGCCCTTCCACAACCACCTCGGCAATCTTGATCTCTGATATGAACGACGACCCAGGCGTCCAGTTCATGGGCGCCAGGTCCACCAAGGTAAGCGCCAGACTAGCCGGTCTCAAAAGGCGGGGCCCAGGCTTGATGATTTGCAATCTTCCAAGGAAACAGAGGAACTGACCGGCAACCGGCTTGTGCAGCGAACTCATCAGCAAATGTCCGAGGACTCCTTCGAGAATGGTCAGTCTTCCTCCTGGCATCAACACTTCCATCCACTTGAACCGAACCCAGCGAGGGACCACTTGCCACCCCTACGATACCCCGGTGATGGATTCGACTTTCGCCGGCCAGCCCGGGCTGGCACACCACAGGAGGAAGAGGTGATCGACTTGACAAATGAGCCTGAGACGCCCCCACAACGAACACAGAATCGGACATCGGCATCTCAGACTCCAAGTAGCTCGAGGCTGCCACGCTTTGGGCGAGACATCATGACGGACGTGACTGAGGTCGTCGACTTGTTAGAGGAGGACCCAGATATCCCAGCAGAGGTCCCTTCGAGCAGTCCGGAGGTGCAGTTCGTCGGAGCCGTTCGACGACCGCCGGCCAATCGATCGCCACATCATCGCTTCGAGGGCTATTTTCAACGAATGAGGGCAACTCGCCCTCATTCTCGGATTTTCCCTCCTCATCGCGAGCGGGCCGACACTCGTGAACTGCGAAGAGGGACCTCTTTCGGAAGCGGTTTGCCTTCATTCACGGACTCCTTCCTCCTCGGCGATCATCCCGATAGTGTGATTTCTTTTCTCAACCTCAACTACGAGAGTGCATCCTTTCCAATAGGCCCTCCAATCCGCCAGGAGCCTCGGACTTCCCGAAACACATACAAAGCTCCGAGCCCCCCGCCCGCTGGGTTCACCCGGACACTTGCAGATGACGACGTGGCCGTCTGCCCAAACTGTTCCGAAGAGTTAGGTGTCGGAGAAGGAACAAAACAGGAATTATGGATCGCCAGGCAATGTGGACATGTTAGTACCTTTCACTTTTCCCTTTTCTTCTATATACTGACCACCTCAACTCAGGTATACTGTGGTGAATGCGCCGAGAACCGGTCCCTCTCGAAAGCCAAAAAGTCGGCACAGAAGACCAAGCCCTTCTCCAAGTGCCAGGTCACAGGCTGCGGCAAGGCTGTCAGCCAACCGACTGCCATGATCCACATTTTTCTATAATTTTTCTATTGCGTTTTCGGTTCGTTCATTGCGTTGCATGGAGGGTGTTGTGGGATCCGCCATCTGCATTCTCTCTCCCCCATTTTCTCGATACCCTATGCATGGAATTGAGGGCGTTATCTGGTTTTTTGTTTTAAGAAACTTCTGCTTTGTTAAGTAATGAGTTCCATGAATGGTATGAACCACTTTTATATTGACGCTTCTAGTCTGGTAGCAACATTGTAGATTCAAGGTCTGTCTTTTGATAATCATGGCATAGGCCGCGTAGATTCTTGAATATGTCAAACAAAAGAAATATTGAGATCAAATCCGCTATGGTCAATAAATAATACAGCAAGCGGCAGTGGCAGCACCCATCCACCCCGTTGCGCAAAAGCAGCACATAACACAAAACCCATCAAATATAAACGCCTCACTTCCACCCAGATCATACACCGCGCAGATCGCCATGATACGGCGACCAGATACCACGCACGCTCTCATTGAGACTGCGCACGGGCTTCGACTGGCGCCGATTCTTCTCGCCGCTGGCCTCCTTGAGCAGGATCACCTTCTTCAGGATCTCATTGGGTTGCATGTTCCGCACGCAGATCGGCTTCTCCCGGCCGTTGATATAGTGGCCGCGCACGACGGGGTGTTTTTTGGGGGTTGGCGATACCCGGAATTCGATTTGGGGGTATTGCCGTGCGAATTTGGGGAGGAGGGTTTGGACGAAGGTTCTGGGTGGCCAACTTGTTAGATTTGGATCGTATGGAATTGAAGTGAGAGGAAATAGGAGGGAACTGGTCTCACCGTAGGCCGTGGGAGCTGGCGCCTTGGATGTTGTAGTGCAGGTCGAGGCGTTTGCATTGGAGGATGAAGGCGCCGGCCCCGTTCTGCGTGGCGTGTCAGCAAGGCGGGAGGTAGAATAGATCGTTCAGTGACATACCTGGGCAGACGTGACAGTCCTGAGCCCCTGCACGGTCATGGTTGCGGTGGTCGTGGTTACTTCCAGTCGGCAAGTCTGCTCCTCGCCCATTTGATTTTCTGACCGACTCACGTGACCTCGCGGCTCTAGCGGCTGACCGCGCCAAAAACTCCCAGCTTGCGCAAGACTCCTGACCTGACGCTGTCCTGGTCACTGTCCACCCTTCACCTCGTCCCTCCACACAACGCACACGGGCCAGTCCAGGATGACCGATAAGCTCCCCCGCCACTGCTGGCCCTGTTCCAGCCACGGCCACCCCTTCGCTACATCCCTCCTACCGACCGCGCTCCAGATGACTGCCCGAAGAGCACCATCTCCGGCGTGGCCCAGTTCCTGCCTGAAGCTCAGAAATTCGCAGAAGAAGTGCCGTATAATGCGACCGATAGCTGGGTACAGCGGAAATGGAAGCAAAAAGCGGAGAGGAAGGAGCGGTTGGAGAAGCAGTTGACTGAAGGGGCGCAGAGCTGTACGTGTCTCTCACTCCTCACTCCTCACTCCAATTCTCGTATTCAAGCAGGTGTTAATTGAGAAACAGATGCCCCTGATAAGGACCCGCAAGCTCGTGGGGATCCCTTCCGTACGCTGTTTGTTGCGCGGCTCAGTTACGAGATCAAGGAGTCGGATTTGGAGCGCGAGTTTGGACGATTTGGGCCCATTGAGAGGGTACTGCCCGCTAAACTCATTCAACAGAGACGATTGTAATTGCTAACACCTCCAATTCTTTCAGATTCGCATCGTTAAGGATGAGTCTAGCAAAAAGGCTCACCGGGGATACGCGTTTGTCGTATACGAGCGTGAGAAAGATATGAAAGGTACATCATCTTCAAAAAAAATACATATCATCCTCTTGTGCCACTAACACGGAAATCCCTATTTCAGCGGCATACAAAGAAACAGACGGGATCCGAATTCGAGACCGACGGGTTCTGGTAGACGTTGAGCGCGGCCGAACCACCAAGGGTTGGAAGCCGCGTCGCTTCGGCGGTGGTCTCGGCGGTCGTGGATACACCAAGGCAATGCCCGCACGGCCAATGGGACCTGGATTCAACGCACCATCCGGCCCAGGAGGGTTCGGGGGTGGATTTCGGGGTGGCTTTGGCGGCCGCGGTTTCCGTGGAGGCTATCGCGGTGGCGACCGGTTTGGACCCCGGGGAGGAATTGGGTACCAAGGTGGAGGACGCGGTGGATTTGGTGGTCAGCCACCGCCTAATGCGCCCTCTGGGCCGGGTGGTGGACGCGGTGGTGGGTTCGGCGGTTCGTATGGCGGTGGTGGACGGTACGACCGCGGCGGTACTGGCAGCAATCGCGAGCCTGTTCGCCCGCGCGAGGGCTACTCTGAGCGGGATCGCCGCGACCATGATCGGGACCGCGAGGGTGATCGTCACCGGGATCGTGATCGCATGACCGACCGCAATGGTGGTGGGGATCGCCCCCGGGACGATCGCCCCCGGGACCGCGACAGGTACGGCGGAAGGGAGGACTATGGACGCAAGAGGTACCGTGAGGATGATGGACATGATGACCCGCGCAGCAGGAGAAGATACTAAGCCAGCGCACGCCCCTCGTCGCATGGATTTCTCCCCGGATTTCGCTTCTCTCGTCCCTAGCTTGCTGGTGGGTATCCCTGCCTCTGCCTCTTTCCTTTCACCCCTCTCTTTTTTGCAAGGGTAAAAAGGGTAAGACAGAAGAAGAATAAAGCGAAAAGGTGTCTTGGCCTGACGACTGCAACCCATCCTGGACTTTTCTTTTTGCTTGCTCGAGGTATCCATCCATCAATTGCTCCATCCCGGCCACTATGGAGTCTCTGCTTGTATTCCCCTATTTCTGTTCTTCCTCTTGTGTTTCTTTTTTACTTTTTCGTTTGACTGCATTTTCTCTGTGGGGGTAAGTATGTACTTTAGTGATCGTTTTCCGGACAGTGAGGAATAAATGAATGGAACAGTCCAGGTAAGACAGGTAAGGGCCATCGCAATGACTGAACCAAGTGCCTTGATAGGTTAGGTATACAGGAATGAATTCTGGGTAATATATATGACTGAAGATCAGATGTCTCTCTATATATTCAATTCGTATCCAATAATCATAGGCTCATCAGCAGAAGAAAAGAAGGCGATTGATCAAGATCGAAATTATTCATGGAAGAAAAGCGCCGGCACCAAACTCCATAAAGATGCCCACACAAAACACTTTTTTCTCTCTCTCTCTCTTTTTGCATGTTCAGCACTGCATCTATGCATCAACCTCCATCCCGCCCTGCTGCTCCAGCACCTTGACCTCCCCAGTACTCCGGGTCCACTGAGCACGCAGATCAACCTTGAACTCGGACGAAACAACCCCGAACATTTTAAGCAGCGTCGTCTGCCGCGAGTCCAGCGTCTCGCCCTCCCGGCAAACCTGATACCCATCCTCCTGCTCACCGGTCAGCTCGAGCATGACCTTGCCCTTGACCAGACGCGTGGGAACGCCCAATTTACGCAGCGCCGGCTCGATGGTGTGGCTAATTGGCTCGTCATCGTCGACGGGGACCTCTCCTGCGCGAGCGTACACCAGGCCATTGGGGATAGTGAAGGAGCGTGTGGCGACCGTGCCGGCGCGGGCAAAGTCCAGCGGGCGGTAGTTCTCGAAGAAGCTGATCACGGACGCAGGCTCGCGGGAAGTGAAGAGGAGTCCCACAGCGCCGGATAGGTGAGGCGTCAGCAGACGCAGATTCTCAGCGGCCTCGTTCTCGGGCGTGGATCCCAGGGCGACGGCCATGACCTTGGTCTTGCCGAAAAAGAGACTGATGCTCATCAGTATATGGATTTCATGTATCTATGGTGACTGGTTACTCACCGGCTATCGGAAAACTCGGTGCGCACATCCTTCAGATAGGTGTTGCGCATGTTGTCCACGGCAAAGACAAACAGGCGGTCGTACTCCTCGACGCATTCGCGGATGTTGGCATACAGCCGGCGGGTCTGCTCCTTGTGGTCCTTCTTGGCAGTCTTGGACTCGTGAACGACACGAGCACGCTTGGAACGAGGCATAGTTGCTGATGTGGTGTGTGTTGTGGGAACGCAGTATTTAGTCGAGTCAAGTGGAAAAGATTATTTTTTGTGATAACCGGGAGCGAGTTAATCCGGGCCTTATCCCGCCCCACACTCGATAGCCTCAATGGGCAATCACCTTCGCTCCTCCGACTGCTGTGTATATCCAATTGTACAATGTACCGGTGAGGATGCTCGACTTCATGGACTATATCCAGCTGGCCTTTGCCGAGGCCACGCACTGGAACCGCGACAATTCCTACTCCTCGCTAACCACCACCGCCCAGTGTATGTCTTGACAGCACTCGAACCCCCCGAACATGTCTGGCTGACTGCAATCCCAGCAATCCTAGATTTCTCGACCCCGGAACGACTGCGCGTCCACCTCTCCTCACTCTCCACTCCGCAATTTGCGACCAGCTACACACTAGGCACTGTCGGCCTGCTCGACGGCTCCGTCTCCTATCTGTTCAGCACCGTTCCCTTCAACGACACCCCGAGCCAAAGCGCGCTGATTCCCCTGCGTAAGATCTCCCCAGGCTACCGCCAAGTGCACACGCCCGCGACACCCGCGCACACATGGGCATGGAACTCACTTCTCGATGGTATCAACATCAACCTCTCTGGGCTGAAGGAGGGCTCGCGCTCGGCTGCCGGCAGAGAGACCGAGCACGGTGCAGTAGAAAACGATGGCGCACAGCGAAAAGCGACGCTACTCCATGCGTCGCTCCAGCTCCCGCCGCCGACAACGCTCAATGCCCTCTTCGTGCGCCGCATGTCACCCACCATGCAGCTCTCCCTGGCCGTCTGCTCAACCCAGGGTCCGCCGCTGTCCAATTCTGCGCCGCAGGCGTCAATGCTAGCGCAGCTGTCGCATGACACGGGCAAATATAGCAACGAATACCTCTTCAGCACAGATAATGCTCTATTCGGCTGGCGCGGGCTGTGGAATTTCGGCCCGGACCCGCGTCTGGTGCGTACCGACACGCCGCCTCAATTGTCACTTCTGTCTGCTGGCGCTGAGGCATACTACTCCCCTGTATCCTCGTTGATCGGCATGTCGACTGGTCTCAGATTCACCACGTTACCGCCAGCAACAGAGGTCCTTTCTTCTTCTTCGTCTTCCTCTTCTACGCCTCCGGCTCCCATTTCCACCTTCCCTTATACATTAACCTTAACACTCACCCCGATCACGGGCTCCCTATCAACAACATACTCTCTCCGCGCCTCGCCCAATATCTCCTTCAGCTCCCGCTTCGGATTTAACGTCTACAGCTGGGAAAGCGAGATGGTCGCGGGCTGCGAGCTCTGGCGGCGGAAAGCCAAATCGGAAGCCGGGAAAGCGGACGACGGACTCGAGTGGGCGCGCCATAAGATGCGCCTGCATGATTTCTCGGCGTCCCTTCCAGGCTCCTCAGTCCTGGCCGATCCGGCTCATCCTGCGTCCCCCGTCAAGCCCGAGACTGAGACTGATGCAGAGACTGAGGCCAGTGACTCCGTCGTCAAAATCCGGATCGACCAGTCTTGGAACGTGCGAATCCTCTGGGAAGGCCGTGTTAAGGAACTTCTTGTGAGTGCAGGCGTCGGGCTAGGCCCGGGCTCGTTCTCGATATCTCCCTCCGCTGCGTCTGGGTCTGGGTCTAGTCAGAGTGGAGGCGGAGCGCCGCGCTCATCGTATTGGCGTGGAGTTGGGGTGTCGGTGTTGTATTCGTCGTGAGGCATTCTCTTGTTCTACGAGCGAGTGACCCTGGTATTCGTCGCAGAGCCTATCGCAGAGGAGGCATGTTTAATATAATTCCACCATTGTATATAGTTAGATCTCACGACAATATAATTGACATTGGAAACTTTTCTTCATTTTTTACTAGTTCCGACATTAGGAGCCAAATCTCTCCAGTCTAATCCAAGGGAATTAAACACTTAGATACGGGCGTTAATAATGTCGACGACTGGTTACCAAAGTTAGCATCCTGACCGTTCTCGGGTTTCGGGTTCTACTCACAGGCAGGCTTCAAGCTGGCACCGCCAACAAGGAAACCATCGACATCGGGCTGCTTGGCCAGCTCGCCGCAGTTCTTCTCGGTGACGGAGCCGCCGTAGATGACGCGGACGCTGTCGGCCGCCTGGGCGGAGATGGCATCACCGAGCCACTTGCGGATAGCGGCGTGGACCTGCTGGGCCTGCTCGGTGGTGGCGACCTTGCCGGTGCCAATGGCCCTACATGGTGTTAGACTATATTCATAGACCAGTGTATATGTCAAAGAGGAAGAAGACATAAGAACTTACCAGACAGGCTCGTAGGCAATGACAACCTTATCCCACTGCTCCTTGCTCAGCTCCTTAGCGGCGGCATTGAGCTGGCGGGTGACGACGTCGATAGTCTTGTTGGCCTCGCGCTCCTATTGACAATAACACACCGGGTGTGAGCGGGATGTACAAAATAGATCAAACAATAGCCGATGGTGGTCCCGGTAAACCGACCCACCACGAAAACGAGAAGAAACCGGAAACGGAATGACGTACCTCCAGGGTCTCTCCGATGCAGAAGATGACCGAGAGGCCGCCCTCAATGGCGGCCTTGACCTTGCGGGCGATGAACTAGGAGAAAAATGAGTGGGCTGTAGCTTGTAGTGAATAAATGTGGGATGTGTTACCTCGTCCGTCTCCTTCAGGATCACTCTCCGCTCGCTGTGGCCGATGACAACCCAGTCGATCTTGGTATCGCGAAGCTGCTCGACGCTGATCTCACCGGTGAAAGCACCGTTGGGCTTGTCGTAGACGTTCTGAGCGGCGACGCCGATCTTGGGGTCAGCCAAGCTGCGCGTCAGGGCGAGGTACAGCGCGGGAGGCGAGATGACGACCTCGGTAGAGGGATCGAGCTGCGCGGCATTGAGGTTCTTCACGATGGAGGTGATGCTGTCCGCAACACCGTTCCTGTGCAAGGTTAAGCAATTCGTTAGAGCAAAGTGATGACGACGGGGATAGGTAGGGGCCGCGGGGTAGTAAGACTCGAAGGACAGCCGTACATCTTGAAGTTACCTCCGACAAAGAATTGGCGAGGCATTTCTGCTGGTAATTGACTTGGTGGAAGGGAAGAAGGAGGTATAAGACAAGTTGGGAGAATTGAAGGTCAGTGAAGAAAGTAAAGCGTCAAGGAAAGGAATTCGGCGATGGAGGGGCACAGTCGATCTTGCCGCCCGCAGATTCAGGCAGAATCATCTCTATGACATAACCAGTGGACCTGTGAATGTATACAGCCGGAATTTTCTCCATTTGGGATCAAGAAACCAAAAGGTGTATCGATAATACTGATTACACAGGTGGCGAATGCACAAACAGCAGGCAACAGACTAAGTCAGTTTGTTGAAGTATTTTCCTATCAGATCCCTGAAATGGTGGAGGTGAGAGATTGGTATTATCAAAATCATCTATGAACAGATCCATGCAACGAACAACGCATTCAATAGGCCGTACACGCTGTAGATCCAGAAACTCTTGTCAAGGCCCACCGCAACGGTTATATATGGGGAATCGTGGACAACCACTCAATGGTGGTATAGGAACCAGTAGGTAGCGCCCTGAGGGAGATGAACATGAGGATGAGGTTGCCCCATCGTGCCACTGAATACACGCAAAACAAGACGGCAAACGCAATCCCTTTACGAAGACTCATCGCATCCATGCTTGCCAAAGCCATCTTGTTGCCGTCCGATCCACGTAAGAGCTGGTAACACATCCAAAGACCCAACAGGCCAATAGGCAGGGGCACAAGGAATGCCACCAACGAGAACACCCGCCAGACTACCCTCTCGGTGTTAGTTGGGAAAGGGAAATTCCATCTATTTCAACTGTTAAATTCGCCGAGCAGTAAGTTGTGACTTAGTGGCATGACGTACGCTGCAACATGAATGCCAGTAAAAAGTAGCGTGATGAAGAGGTCAAAACAACCGAGTTTGAAGCTGCCCATAATTGTGAAGTATTCGTCATAGTCATCGGTCTTGTTAGTTGTTTGTTGCACTTCTTTCGATGGCTGGACTTGCTCGGTATTCTCCTCATCATTAGGATCATGCTGGTGATTTCCGGCCGAACGTTGCTCCTTGGCCGCCAGTCGCCAACCATTCACTAGTCTCCTGATGAACCTCCATCCCTGGGGTGTCACAAACCACGTAAGAATCCTGAACAGCCAGACAATCGCCTCCCACACAGCAGAACCGGTGTCCTCAGCCATATCATCTCTTCGGATCCAGTTTTCGTCGTTGCCGTTGAAGATGTCTTTGAGTTGACACTGCATATAATCGCAATAACGGTCATGCTGTAGATGTATAGTGATTGGCGTCGCCATATCTTTTGGTTTGTGCCACAACATTGAGTACGCAACCACAGCACAGGCAATATAGGCCACAGTCGATATCTCGAGTGGTGATATAGGTAGATCATATGCTCTTCTTGCAATGATGTTGCATGCCACCCAAAAGCTTTGGAGCAAGGTGAAGGCTTTCGCAAAGGAGTCTGCCTTGGCTCTATCTTTGATCTCGCGTACTTTCAAATGGGACTGCTTGATAACACGTGCTTTTATAAGTGGAACCACATTCCCGGGATGAACGGGGTAGGTCCAGTCATCCTTGGTCTGTAAAAGAACACCGTTCATGTTTAGACAAAACCCATGGATAGCTTTCCAATCTTCCTTGGTAAATTTTGCTGATAAAGAGTCAGGTGGAAACGGCTTTCCCAGCTCAGGTTTGGCTTCGGATTCAACTTTCTCTTCGAGCTCTTTGTTCTTTTCTGATCCAACGTTATCTCCTGCCTCAGTCCTTTCATTTAGTTTGGCTTCATCATTTGACTTGGCGCTTTCGCTTGACTCGGTCTTTTCATTATCTATAGCGTCAAAAGCAGCATTGCATCGTGCGGCTATAGATCTGGCGCGCGAAAATTCTTCAGCTGCTGACGCAGTCATTAACTCAGGAGCAAGGATTGCGACGATCCACGCCAAAGCTTTGTTGGCGAGCTGATCACCTTCACTCTCATTACGTCTTGGAACTGAAAGGTGAAGAGCTGTCCATGTGCAGGCGAGTATTGTGGAAAGATTCGTCCACAGAATGTCCCAACTCGAGCGTGTATTGTCATCAAGCTGCCAGCCTTCTAGAGCTGTAGAGCTAGATTGGGCGAGAGACCGCTTAGCGAAGCTAAGGAGCAGGGCAATGGAACTCATAATTGGTCACAGCTCTGGACATGATAGAATGGAGAAAGTGGCGCGAGATGAAAACAAAAGGAAGTGGGGTTTAGTTTGAAAAGCGAGACTCTGCGGACGGCTCAGCCGCACTACGGGCGAAGATAGTAGTCAGTATAATGGCCCCCTGGGTAATTTATCCAGCCGCCGCATCCTACCGAATTACTCATCCAATCTACCCATATGGCAACTGTGCCCCGAGCTGGATAATGGGATAGATCACATTGAGCAGAGTTTTTCCGCTTCTCTGCCCCTATAAATATGGACATGATAGCTAGACCTGAATACCATCGTTTTCAATCATTGTCACATGACACTACCTAGTAAATTTACTAGTGAATACAGGATATTCAGACTCCGACAATAGTTAACTAGTCGCAAGGCGGCCAAAATGACTAATCCCATAAATAAGGATTTAGTTACCGCTCTGGTGCTCTGGTGCTCCGCCCTAATTTGTATGGTAGCCTATGTACTCCGCCTTCCATAAAAGTCCCCTCAACTCATACAAAAATAGGTGTACATGCTCTCCCATAGTAATTACTATGTTAATAATTTAACAAACTTGGTATCTATATCAAAGTCACAAATCAGTCTATCCCAATTTACTATGCGCTTCAGGATCTTTTAGAAGATACAGCCTTAGTGGGATACAATGATGATATTGCAAATACAATGAGGGCAGGCATGAAGAAGTACCAAAAGTACTATGACTTTATAGATAACTCAGAAGCATATTATACAGCCTTAATCCTTGATCCCCAGGTCAAAGATGACCTCATACTTCATGAGATAGAGGATCAAGAAGCTACCTAGATGATTATATAAGAGACTCGTCGAATGCTGCAACAGAGATATCTACCACAGTCGATTCCTTAGTCAATTCTCCAGTCAATTCCATAGTCGATTCCATAGTCAATGCGAATGCGGATTCTTCCTAAGCTCCAGCCATAGGGATCTCGATTAGTTTCTGACATTGATCAGTACCCTTGTAGTCCCCGGCTTACTATCATAGGGACGGAGGATCCAGACTGGCTATGCAATTGGTGGCGCACTCATAGGAGTGAATACCTTCAAATAGCAGAGGCCGTAAGGGAATTTTCCGCGAACCCAGCTTCAGAGGTATCAGTTGAGAGGCTATTTAGTGCAGGGAGAGATCTTTTGGGAATTCGAAGACTTAGTTTAGGGGCGGAAACTATGAGGATGTTGATGCTGATGAAAGACATTGTTTAGTCTAATTTATTGCTTTTATTGCTTAGTTTGGTTAGTCAGTTGAATGAATTGATCAATTGATTAGTCGTATCATAGTAAACTATTGAACTGTTCGAGACAGGGAATACATGCATCCATGATATATATATTCCTGGTATATATTAGTTATTACTAGTTGTTAAGTTAACTAGTGAAACAACTGACTCCTGACTAATTAGGTGACTATTGTAAGCTCAATTAGGCTAGTTCATTAGTTCAACGATATTATCGTGCGATGAATTATCGCACGATAATATCGTCGAGACCGCATATCATGAACAGCCCTATCCAGGTACAACGCATCTCTGTGCTCATCATCTCCAAAAACCCTCAATAGGGATCCAAAATATGGTGGCATCGCGACTAAGAGGATTGGTATAATGTTGACAGAATGCCCAGACAAGCTTGGCATCCAAGTAAATGACGGATCCGCTCGTCACTTGCGGGGGTCAAGCAACGTCTGCGGAGCATCAGAAATAAGTGAGCAAAGGTGACGGTCCTGACAGGTGTGTTGAGGGCTGGATTGAGGTACCAACCCGCGGAATCTCAAGCGGGTGGAGGTTCCAACTTTCTCACCCATTTTGAGGTTCTCCTGTCTAATTCTGTTCACTACGCGAGGCCAGTGCAGTTCTAATTGTAGCCAAACCGATATATCGCAAACATTCGTCAACCATATACTAATGCACGGACGGGATGTTCATTGTCCATGTCGTTACATATACCTTATCTGGCATGGACCGAAGGCTCGATAGCGCTAGTGCCATGATAGTAAGTCGTGAGATGCAGTAGAACAAGCTGGTCATGTAGAGAACGCCAAGGTTAACTCCCTTCGGAAGGAGACTTCTCTGCGGAAATACATCGGTCTTGGCGTTTTCGATGAGGTTCTTTGGCCCTTCGTCATGCATGCGCTGAATAAGAAGTCTGAGCTGGGACTTAAAGTTTTTCGGAAGCTCTGGCGAATCCTCGCCATCGAATGGCGCTTCATTTTCAATGAAGTCGATCAGAATGTTTTGAATTTCTTGACTAGGGAAAATTTCTTTATAGGGGCGCCGCGTGTTGCCGGCGGGGCTATTGTAAGTATTTTCCAATTCGGTGATTGCTTCAAGAGCCCGCTTATGCTTGTCATTATCAGGATAATGCCACGACAATTCCCGCAACATGTAGAGGCAATGACGCATAAAATCGCGCGGGTTGCCTGTCTGGACAGGGATTTGCGCCAGGGGGATGGTGGTCAGGCCGAGAACTGGGACGGTAATTGACAATACAGTCGCTATCCTCCACAGGAGCTGCTCGACAGCTGTTGGGAACTCGAAGTTCCATGCGATGAAGTGCAGGCAACCAAATGCTGCTGACAGGACAGCTAAAACTGGAATGGCTTCATGCGCAGATGTCCCTTTCGGAATGTTATCATTCGGTATTCGGCTGGTCAGAACCTGGTTTGATGACTCGTCGTTTCTGAGGACCTTCCAGGCGCTGTCATAAGTTTTTTCGAATTTGGCCGTATCGGAGTCTCTTTTCTTTTTGACTTGGACTGGAACGCCCACACCCTGAGGCTTGTACCAATAGAGCACGTAAGTTACCACTCCGCAAACAGCAAGGCCTAGTGTGAATGTCTCTAGCTGGGAGAAGGGTAGTCGTTGAATTCGTCGGACAATGAGGGAAAGGACCAATTGTGATATCTGCAACACGGCAAGACCCTTGGCGAAGAAATCCTGTTTGCCTTTGTCCATAATTTCTTCCTTTGTCATGTCGGGCAATTCGAAAAAGTCGGATCGCTGGGCGTATTGAAACGCAGTCAAGGGGAAACAAACGCCCTCTCCCCCGTCATAATAGAGTCCGCCCATGTTTGCAAAATAAGAATGCTCGAGTGTCCACTCGGGTTTCGGTGGGTAGTGTTGCTTTGGAACGTGCTGGTTGTCCTGACGCTTCTGGTAATTGCCAGCCCGATTTTGGAAAAGCACCTCAATCAGCCAAGGGTACGTGGCTATCGCCCTGACCCGCTTTACCCGCTCTGTGGCTTGAACTGCCATCTTCAGCTCGAAGAAAGCATGAGCCATGATGAATTCGGGAAAAAGTATCGTGATAACCATCCATTTGCAACTGCGTAGCAGCGTTTTCATTGTCCCGTCTCGTGAGGGTGGCCCCCGGACATTTAAATGCTGGATGCTCCAAGTGCAAGCGAAAATGGTTATCGCGCAGCTCGTGATGATGTCCCACGTTCCCCGTCGTTCAGGACTACTCTGCCACCCGACTGGATGCTCACTTTCTGCAACGGGGTCAGTGTCGTTTGCGCCCGCCACCAGAGCAGACGCATATATAATCGAGATTAAAACCGGCACTAGCATATTGCTGATAATTCACTGATAATTGATATGAAGCGAACAAAAAATTTCCTACGCCCGAGCAATTTATCAAGTTTTTCGAAGGCGGGGCTGGGGTTTGAAACGTGTCCCAATGCCAATCCGTCTCGCGATGCACATCCCTGTACGGCGCTAATTATTTTGTGAGGAAAATGCGTTTCCACGCCTTAAGATCTATCGCGATCGACGGTATATGTGTATAAAAATGGCTACCCCATATGCAAGGATACATTGGGGCCAACTATGTGTCCGCAGGGGGTTGGATGGAGTTGGGTAATAAATAGTGATCTAAGTGGGTGCTATTTATGTACTGTTAGTATGAGTTTCCCTCCGTAGACGGTGATAAATTTGTCGTCTCTCCTCCCCAGCCTCTATGTTTTCAGTGTCCGCACCCTCTACTCTTATTCAATTCCTCAGAATTCGAGGCCTCTCACACCTTTGTTCTTCGCAATCTCAGAGCACGATTTGCGTAAGGAGTACTTTCATCCCCACTGGTTCTGCCTAATATTATGGCTCTTAGCTTATAATGCTAATTGGATGTTCATCCATTTCCACCTGTTCAAGCCTATTGAGTCAAGCCATGATCTGGAAGAGGTCCAAACTAAAATCTGAAACTCAAACGGGGCTCATACAAGCGGCAGCTAAAGGCGACATACAGAAGGTGCAGCAATTGCTCGATGCGGGATGTGGTGTCGATGGTACGGATGGGCTTCAAATGTCAGCTCTTCATTGGGCAGCTTTGAAAGGGTGTGGAAAGATAGTGACGCTATTGCAAGAGAACCGTGCTGATACCGGTGCTACTGATTCATATGGAAGGATCCCGATGCACTGCGCTGCAGAAAACGGCTATACGTCAATCGTCCAGGAGTTAGTGAATCCCACCAATATTGATGCCCGTGATAAATCTGGAAGAACGGTACTTCATTGGGCCACGGAAAATAACCACGGGGATGTGGTGAAAGTACTACTTGAACGAGGGGCCGACCAGAATCTACAGGACAAATTTGAACAAACAGCCTTATCTCGAGCAGCATGGAGAGGATGGGACGAACTAGTGCAGCTGCTGCTAGTGAATGGGGCCAAATTCGATAACCCAGATCGCAGTGGCCGTACAGCCCTGCAATTAGCGGCTAAGAATGGGCGTGGAGAGACAGCAAAGCGGCTTTTCTATTGGATGATGATGAGCAGTGTGGAAGGCGACTACGCCTCAGCTATCAATGAGATTTTGAAGACAATGAGAGACGAATGGAGAGATGATGATTTGAGTTGGTGTGGACGAGTGTTGTCGTGGGCGGCACAGAACGGACATGACGCAGTGGTCAATTTGCTACTCGACACGGAGCGCGTCGACCCAGAGTCGAAGGATACCAGCGGACGGACACCGCTATCGTTAGCGGCAGGGAGCGGACATGACGTAGTGGTCAAGCTACTACTCGACACGGAGCGCGTCGACCCAGACTCGAAGGATACCATCAGGGAACAGACGCCGCTATCGTGGGCGGCAGAGAACGGGCATAACGCAGTAGTCAAGCTGCTACTCAACCTAGAGCGCGTTGACCCAGAGTCGAAGGATACCAGCGGACGGACGCCGCTATCGTTAGCGGCAGGGAGCGGATGTGACGCAGTGGTCAAGCGGCTACTCGACACGAAACGCGTCGATCCAAACTCGAAGGATACCAGCGGACGGACACCGCTATCGTTAGCGGCAGGGAGCGGACGTGACGCAGTGGTCAAGCGGCTACTCGACACGAAACGCATCGATCCAAACTCGAAGGATACCCGCGGACGGACACCGCTATCGTGGGCGGCAGAGAAAGGAGATAACGTAGTGGTCAAGCTGCTACTCGCCACGGAGCGCGTCGACCCAGACTTGAAGGATACCAGCGGACGGACACCGCTATCGTTAGCGGCAGGGAGCGGACATGACGCAGTGGTCAAGCGGCTACTCGACACGAAACGCGTCGATCCAAACTCGAAGGATACCAGCGGACGGACACCGCTATCGTTAGCGGCAGGGAGCGGACGTGACGCAGTGGTCAAGCTGCTACTCGACACGGAGCGTGTCGACCCAAACTTGAAGGATACCCGCGGACGGACACCGCTATCGTGGGCGGCAGAGAAAGGAGATAACGTAGTGGTCAAGCTGCTACTCGCCACGGAGCGCGTCGACCCAGACTCGAAGGGTACCTTCGGACAATCGCCGCTATCGTGGGCGGCAGAGAATGGACATAACGTAGTGGTCAAGATGCTACTCGCCACGGAGCGCGTCGATCTAGATTGGAAGGGTACCAGCGGACGGACGCCGCTATCATGGGCGGCAACGAACGGACATGACGTAGTGGTCAAGCGGCTTCTCGACACGGAGCGCGTCGACCCAGACTTGAAGGATACTAGGGGACAGACACCTCTATCGTTAGCGGCAGAGAACGGACGTGACGTAGTGGTCAAGCGCCTACTCGACACGAAGCGCGTCGATCCAAACTCGAAGGATACCAGCGGACGGACGCCGCTATCGTGGGCAGCAGAGAACGGACATGACACAGTGGTCAAGCTGCTACAACAAGCTTGATCATGTTATACCCTAGTTAGTGATCAGTGGATATCCCTTCTCGGAAACAATTACTGCGGCTTCCTTTTGAATATCATCGGCCCTTGCGCTCAGCGATTAGAGAGAGTAAACTTGCGGGTGGATTTCACGCATAGGATTCTGTATACACCTACAGTACTGTCTTATATCTTCTAATATCTTTGAAAAAGGAGGGCCTGGAGTAACAGAGAATTTATACTGCTCTGTGGCGTAGGACCTAAGATTTCTACTAGATTCTACATCCATATACTTCACCTAATTCTCGTTGCCACCTTTGCAATTGGGCGAGTAAGGCGGCTAGTCCGGGCTACATCACTCGTCCCTTTTGCTGACGTTGTGCAATATATATGTGCTTTGGCTGGAGTTGGTTCTTGATTCGTATCTAATATTATGGTCAAATGAAAAAAGAGAAGCAAGTAGACTTCACACGACACTCGGAAAGTGATGCAACTTAAGCGCTCAAGACTAAAGAGGGAGATTCAAGGCCTAGAGTGAGCCTAAAATATATTTTATGATAATTATAGAGCATGCGCAGAGAAGAGAAAGATTGTTTCATCACCTACCGGTTCGAATAGCAAGTTATAAAGCGCGACTGGCACAACGATATCAACCACATTGTTGTATACTCATGAAGAGGACACGAGAAGTAGTGGGTGAGACAAGTTTGGATAAGACTAGCGGATCACCAACGACGGCTCATGAAAGACACGCCTAGTGGGTGCTGTGGTGGATTAGGCCTGCATTGTAGTCTGCGTGGACGAGTCACCGAATCTGGCAGTCCGAGCCAAATTGGATTTTACATATAGTTGGAGAGGAGACATGGAACTATATAACTAAGCTACCACTAATAATGTCCGATTCCGAAAAGCAACACTAAGAATGAATCACTCAGCAGTCTCATTATTGTTCGCGCGGCGGCAAGGACAGTTGCACACCACCGGAGCGTCCCGAAAGGACTTGCTATGCTCCATCTCCCGCGACTCTTCAATCGTCTTCTGGATCATTCTGGCCTGGAAATCCACAAACTTCTCCCAGCTCTCAATTCGAGCTTCCCGGTGGTCTAGCATCCGGCTGCGCATATCATTCTCAACTCCTAGCGCCAAGCGGATCCTCTTTTCACGATATCGGTTATCCTCTTGTCCGGCTCGTCGGAGAGGGCTTACTCTCTTGGCGGAAGCCATGTCTACCCGGCTGTGTGGAGAATGGTTCTTGTCGTGACTTGTATCCCGGCCCCGGTGCTTTGGCAGCCTGCGGTACAAAGGTCCATACCCTGATTCGCACCGGTTAGGGCTGCACGATCTCTGTCGGTTGTAAATGTTGTCCCGTCGGGGCTCTGGGCGTTCCCCATCCAATGCTTCTGAATCTTCTGTCGCTGAACTGTCTCCTGCTCGGTCGAAGAACACGGACTCGTCATCGTCTTCGCTGCTGCTAGACTCAGATGACCCGGTTGGCACTTCTTGAATTATGTGACCCGCGTCTCTCGGGGAGGCATGTCCTGAGACTATGTGAACACCTAACACTAAACGAGAGACACTATAGTGCTCACCATGCTCCTTTACGGAATGATGAAGTCCAGGTTTATCACTGCCCCCCGAAGAGCTTGTACCAGGGGCTTGTTCAAGATCCAGCTGTGTAAAAGGTGTGGTGACCTGTGTTGGTGGAGGCTGCGGCCCTTGCACCACATCGCCTTTTCCTGTAATTGTGTAGGTATCCAAAGGAGTAGCAAGATCCACTAAATCTCCCATGGCAGTCCTCGGGTACGACTGGGTCCTTACAGGTCTCTTCATGAGAATAATGTCCATGGATACTGTTTCATAGTCGCTGCTCCGGGTAGCGTTGCGAGCCTTCGAGGGTCTACTGCGCTCTTTGGCATAGACGCAGCTCCATTCAACCTGTGGATCGCTTTTTCTCTTTTCAAAGATCAGCTGGTTCACATGGGCTCGCCTGAGACTGGACAGATTCTGGTACTGTTGTGCAGCAGAGACCTTATTCGCGCCTTTCTGGACCATCTTGAAGAACTCCCTTTGGTTGAGGTGCATTTCAGTTCTCTCCACTAAGCTCCAGGAAGTCTTCTGTCCGGGGGCGGGGTCCGCCTTGAACAGAGTGTATCCTTCGTAGTGAGAGAGGATGGGAACGGGCTCGGGGGGCACGGTCTCACTGCGAGTCAGGCTGGTTGCTGTGGGGGTTCTCTCCTGGGTGGGGAGTTGAATGTTCCAGCTTGACTTATTATCTTGAGACAGTCCTGGGACACTCGAGGCATTGTTTGGAGTAAATATACTTTCGTCGGGTACTGCAGAGGAAGCTTCGTTGAAAGTCAAAGCAGTCATGATAGGAAGAGTTGGCGATTTCGCGTGTGCGAAGTATCAAAGGTTACAGATTGGATGAATCAAAGATTCCAAAATAAACAAAAAAGTTAAGGAAAGACATCTCGAGCGAGGGGCAAAACAAACGTCTGGACTGCAGTACCCCTCTTATAGACTGTGGGACAGCCGTCACCCAGGTAAACATTGGGGGCCATGGCGAATACAAAAAAGCCACCGAGCAAATCATAAGACAATAAATTTATACATATGTACGTACACCCTCGTATCCATCGCATGGGGTTGACGCAGTGCCTACCAGTGCCCCACATATCGGGTTCTTACCCGGGTGTTGGAGGCTCCCTCGGTCCCCGTCGACCCGCTGAGCCTCACTAACCAGAAAGTTTTTATTCAGCTGACCCAAGCCTCTAATTGGTTCATCATTTTGTTGGATCACGAGGATCCTGATCTTTGTCCATTGGCTGCGAAAGCTGCAGGTTTTCTGGAGTTCGCCTTGAAAATGACATCGAGCGTCAAATAGGGCTAGCCTGAAACCAAGGTGACAAGGGTGCTTCCTTTTGTCCCGTTTGGGCCAGAGACAATCTACATAGAGCGGAGAAAAAGAACAGAAGAGACAGCTTGCCCTAAGGGACAAAGAACGCTTTCAAGGACTGGAGAATGCTTTAATCGGGCTTGACGCACTCTCTGCCAACCTTGGTCTTGTACTGCGTCGAGATCAAAAAACATGTCTCGCGGCATCCACCACCAAGTCAACAGCTCTCAGGTATAAAGAGGCCCATAATGTTCTTGCTCAGAAGTGCCAAACGCATCATCATCGTCCGCCATGGATTCTCTCAGGATACCTGGCGGGATCCCTGAAGCTTGGGAACGCACTTTCGCCTTCTGCGCCCCCCAGCTAGTGGACCCGGACAGCGACTTATCGAAACAGTACCCTGATCTCCATCAGACGTTCAGCACTCGCTTGACCGCTGCTCTGGCTGCAAGAAACAACGAGCCAATCTCGAAGTGTAACCACCTTCACCCGGAAACCCACACTCGATTCGACTCTCAAGAGGCCCAAGAGACGTCCAGACTGAGTGTAAGAGAGGTGTACAAGAAGGAAGACGACTTGGATTGCCGGCGCTATAAAATCTGTGCAGACCTCAGGGAACGAGCGCAGATCTATGGCTTTATCGGAGCCGGAAGTAAGTCCCCTTTCACCCTCTCTGTTGTCCAAGTCAAGTTGCTAACTTTCCTTTCCAGCATTTGCCACCGTTTTCCTCGCTCGCGAGAAGCGATCCAACAAGAAAACTCCCGAAGAGCAGCCCCGCCACTACGCCCTCAAGGTGGAAAGAGCCAACACCATTCTCCAGGCGGGGGAGTCCGACTTGCATGAGTGCCCATTTACCCTGCTGCGCGAAGAGGGTGCTGACCGGTACATACCGTCCGAGGCTCTGATTCTGCTGTTATTGACCGGTTGTGACAGATTCCCCATGCTTGACTCTGTCTACCTTGACGGCTGCTACCAGACGATCGTCATGTCCCCCTGCGTGGACTATTCGCCAGACCGAAAGCCTTTGAAAAGCAACACGTACAACCGGTGCTTTCCAGGCTTCACAGGTAGGTTCTTGATCACCCAGAGGAATGAGCCCCTTCTCAACGAAATGCAGGCTTGTAAAGTCGCTTGTCAGCTGCTGGAGGCCATCGCCTACATGGCGGATATGAATATGTACCACGGTGACATCTCGATCAACAACTACGTTGTGGATCAAGACCTGAATGTAAGTCCCCCTCCCCTTCTTTCCGTGAGAATCTCGCAAATACCAACCGGTTACAGGTCCAGCTCATTGATTTCGGGATCGTCGACTTTGGACTCGAGCACAAAGACTTCCAGCGTGGGTTCTTCCATTTCATGGCTTGCCATGAGTATCAGATGAGACCCGAGCTGGCTGAAGAGCTAACCTTGGGCAGTTACCAGTACGATCTGCACTACCATTCGGAGTTCAGTGTTCGTCTTCATCACGACGTCCGCAATGTATGTCTCTGGAAGTTTGCGGTGTCTGTTTTTGGCATTCTGCACGGCTACTGGCCCTGGGACTTAACCCCGGAGCAAGGTGACCTGCACCTGCTGGATTACAATGGTGGTTCCAGCGCCGGAGTGGATGCTCGACGAACCAGAATGATGGCCCAGCCCGTGGAAGTCGCCAATCACTTGTCCGATGAGTGCAAGGAGGCTCTGCAGCTCATGCTCAGCAGGAAGCCTGAGGACCGTCCTGGGATCAAGAGGCTATTGCGCCAACCTTGGTTTCAAAAGTGGAAGTCCGTGGATGGTCCTCTTACGAGGCCTTATTCCAAGGAGTTTGCGAGTTCCTTTATCACTGAGGCCTGATCTGTGTTTGGCTTGTTGGCCTGTGCCGAATCTCTCATACATAGACCGGTGTTTTCATTTCCTACCCTGTTTCCTGTTTCCCTTTAATCTGTGCCTGTGCCAGATATCTAGACCCTCTTTCTTGTCTCCTATCCTGTCGCTTACTTGCTGCCTGTTTGCTTGTGATGTCCGTCTACCTAGATTGCCAGATCAATAGACAAGTTCTGATTTTAGAAAACTGAAGAAAGCATATATTGTAGGCAACAGTAGAGAGCGATGAACCGCCTCACGCTAAATCGTAAATTAAAGAACGGAATCACAAACTGCGCCACGCCCCTCCACATTAGAGGTAACAGCCAAAGGTGAAGGATCATCGTCGAAGGCCGTCAAACCTGGCCTGAAGGTCGTCGTCATCAGTGGTAGGTCCACCTCCACCGCCGCCGACTGCCTGCGCAACAGGGGTCCGTTCTTTGGTTGCCGTTTGTATGTCGGTGGGTGTTTCACCCAGCTATTGTCCGTCAGTTCACACAAAAGCCACGCCCAATTGGAGTTGGAGAGAGTGACATACCTGGCCGCTGAGCTCAACGCCAAGCGAGTCCAGTACCTCCCGCATGACATCTTCTCCTTCCTCCTCCTCACCCTCCATCCCCGTCGCCTCGTCGATTGCGTCGTCCATCATCTCTTGTCGTTCGTCCATGACCTCGTTCTCGCGTTCAAACTCCATCGCGATCCGCTGCAGTGCAGGGAGATTCATCTGCCGGTTCATACTTCCCAGGAGGTGCGTTGCCCCTTTCATGGACTGCATCATTTGCTCATTACTCCGCACAGTCTGTGGACAGACACCGGTTAGCGTAACTGGTTAATCAGACACTGAAAAAAGATCGTACCTGAATCCGGAGAGAAATAGCCTGTAGTTGTGTGCGCATCTGGTAGAATTTCTGGATATATCTGTAGCATTAAAAAAGTCAGTCCGGTCCGTCCCCGCGGGGGGATCTCCAACACCGCGCGCACCTTCGTGTCCGCACGAGGTCCTTCGCCTGGATTTTGCAAGCTTCCATCTGGCCGCTTTTGGCGCTCTTCTTAATATCCTGCACCAACTTCTTCTCCTGGTTCTCCAGCTTCGTCCGTTCGCGGTCCAGTTCGCGCTGAGTTCGGTCTAGGGCACGCTGGTGTTTGCGCAGACGCTCCGCGGGCGTCATGCGCTTTCCGAACGCCCATTCAATGACCTGGAGATTGGACCATGTTAGATATATCACATTATCAGCCAGGGCCCTCCTACATTCATGGTCGGACTGAAGTAAACAGAATCAAGGTGAGAATGATCGCAGTGACATCAAGCAGACGGGCGATAAGCGGAGCCTGTAATAATACGCGTCATGGCATTGTACAGTCACATGAGCGCTAAGCCCCCTTTGGTTTAATAACTAACGGGCGAATCCATGGAAATCCACCCGTAGCAAAACAGACTCTCTCTCTCTTCTTCTCTCCATGTCAACCCCTTCATCGTCGTCTCGCCATGAGTCAGGAGTACTATCCCACTGAGGGCTCTTCATCGGGCGCCGGCTCGTCCAGGTTCCCTGGCGATGAAGAACTGCCTGAGAACAGGCCGTTCTACCCCCGGCCCCCGCCGACTTACATGACCGTTGGCAACGGATCGACGTCACAGAGTGCAACGGCCCTCATGACGACGCTGAACCAGGACTCCGGATACGGAGGCAGTATCGGCAGCGCTGCCGATGCGATGGATGGCGACGGTGAGCACTGGCGTGCGGGCCTGCTAGAGGATCGCCCGACCCCAGCACACACGCCGACGCGTCCCGGAGAATGGAATTCAGCTTGTGAGTGTTGAGATGCGAGCATGGTTGATGGAGCTGACCTTGGGTCTTCCCTACAGCCGAGCATGAGAGACAAGTTGTCGCGAGCCACGTTCATCAGCTTCTCTAGTATGTTTCCAACACGTGCTCCCCGCATCCCAACGAAGGCTTACACTATTTTGCAGCAACTCAAATCGGACGAAGCTTGCTCGCGCAATCACGCGGACGATCGAGACTCTGGATGAGCTTCGTGACATGAATGCCCAATGGCCCGCCCACTACCCTGCCGTCCAGAACACTCTTCCTTCCCCCTCCGAACGCCCGCCGCTCCATGAAAGTCAGTCGTACGTGGGTGACAGTGGGAGCCGGCCCACCACTCCTGAACGTCCTGGAATGCTGAAACGCGCTGCAACCACAACGGGACGCGAAGACTTGGGAGAATCAAGCGCCGCCCCTGAACGCCGCACGCCTGCCGAACCCCGACTGATAACGCCGCAGATCGCCCAGGAATTTTCAATTTTGAAGCTGGATTTGAAGTTGGGGGCATTGTCTCAGGCAGAACTGGTTCACTCGCTAGAGAAGGCGTCTGTTGCCTCGTTGTTGGATGGAAAGATCTGTCAGAGCATGAGACACCTGCACTTACTGCGAGCCCGTATCGAGGACACATCAAGCAAAGTCTTGATTACGGGAGATCTCAATGCGGGCAAGTCGACCTTCTGCAACGCTCTCCTGCGTCGAAAGGTGTTACCGGAGGATCAGCAGCCTTGCACCAGCATCTTCTGTGAGGTGCTTGATGCTCGAGAGAACGCTGGATTGGAGGAGGTACATGCTGTGCATAAGGATGCGAAATACGATCGCAACAACGAACAGACTTATGATGTCTATGCGCTGAACGAACTGGAGAATATCGTGGTGGACAACTCCAAATACATGCAATGCAAGGTGTACATCAAGGATGTCCGGACCATCGACGAGTCCCTCCTCAACAACGGCGTGGTTGACATTGCCTTGATCGACGCACCCGGTTTGAACTCGGACTCCTTGAAGACAACAGCTGTCTTTGCTCGGCAAGAGGAAATTGACGTGGTGGTCTTTGTGGTTTCTGCCGCAAATCACTTTACGCTGTCGGCAAAGGAGTTCATCCTGAACGCCGCTCATGAGAAAGCCTACATGTTCATGGTGGTCAATGGATTTGATCAAATTCGCGACCAGCAACGGTGTGAGCGCATGATTCTGGATCAGATCCAAAAGCTCAGTCCTCGCACGCACAAGGAGGCCGCGGAGCTAGTCCATTTTGTTTCGAGCAACGCCATTCCTGTTGCGCCCCCTATTGCGGTCTCAGGATCCGGTTCTGGTGGTAGTGGTAGCGGTGGAGGTGACCGTGACCCTCACGACGATGATGATTCTCACGATGACAAAATCGATCCCAGCAAGGATAAAGGAAAAGGCAAAGAGAAGGAGAAAATCCAGGACTTTGAGAATCTCGAGGGAGCCTTGCGCCGCTTTGTCCTCGAGAAGCGCTCCCGTTCCAAGCTTGCGCCTGCCAGGACTTACCTGCTGAACCTCCTTGCCGACCTGAACTCGCTTGCCACAGTGAACCAGGCGGTCGCAGAATCGGAACTCAAGCGGGTGACAGATGAGCTGGTTGAGATTGAGCCGGCATTCGAGAATGGGAAGAAGAAGAAGAGCGAGGTGGCGGAGGGTGTTGATAAGGCCATCGACGACTCTTGCGAGGATGTGTACAACCATACGCGCTCTACTTTGACGGACACCATTGCACGGGTGTCAGAAGCAGACCTTGGTGTCGAGTATCCCGGTCTTTTTGCGGCATTCCAGTATGCAGAGGACTTGAAGTTGGCAATGCTGAACCAGATTTCCGCGGCAGTCTCGGGTTGCGAGGATTACGCCCGCGATAAGACGACCCAGGGCGTGGGATTCATTCAAAACCTCGGTCTCTTGCATGTTGGCGAGGATCGGTTCTCTGCTCTCAACTTTCGTGCAGACCTAATGTTCCGCCGTGGTCGTCGCCACACCCTTGCTCGCCAGGTTTACACGGAAGTAGAGCTCTGGGACTTCTTCGATATTGCCAGCCTCTGGGAACGCCAGGAAAAGATGGCAGGCACAGGCGTGGCCATGACTGCAGTCACTGTTCTCGGTGGCAGGGCATTTGGTGGTTTCGGCTGGGTGGATAGCGCTTTCAATGCCGCCAAATTCCTGGGCACGAACAACATGCGCCGGCTCTTCCTACCTAGCATCGTCGTCGCAGCCCTCCTGACCACCGCATACATTGTCTCCTCCATCCCGACTACTCTTCCTCCTCGGCTGTCGCGGAAGATCGCTGCTAAACTTGCCGACATGGATTATGTGCATTCCAACGCCAACAGAATCTCGTCCGAAGTCCGCCGCATCCTCCGCATGCCGGCTGGAAACCTGCAGACCAACATGGCTCGGGAGATTGAGGACCTTGGTCGCCGCAAGCAGGAAGTCACCAAAATCCAGCAGGAGAGCACCGTCGCGGCCAAGTACTTCTCCAACCTGCTCCGTGAGAGCAGCCAGACTCGCCAGTCTGTGGACGATCTCGATCTCGACGCCCCGCTGCCTGGTGGAATGGCAGCCACCCTTGGCTAAGTCGCCGCCGCTCTTGTACTCTTTCCCTGCTATACTGCGAGATAGATTCTTTCTTCGGTGGGAGAACTTGCTCTCTTCTTGCCGGGTATCCTGTTGCTTGTACAAATTCCCCTCTCTCGATTCCTTCTTTTTGCCCCTCGATATCCCCATCTTGTCTTCGGTGTTCTTCTAGAATGGTGCCATTGTCAAATCTCCTCCAAAAGACACCGGCTTTCTTTTTTTTCTTGTTCTTTATGGCGTGTATTGGCGTGCATCGGAGCCCATCCACAGTTTCTACCTAAGATTCCCACCTGAATTTGAATCAATTGTTCTCTTCATCTACAATCTCTAGATCCAAAGCTTACACTCTCTTAAACTCTTGACATCTAAAACAAAGCCATAAATTGGTTAAAGAGACGCCATTCGTAATGCACACATGTCCATGCATCCATGCGCCCAAGAGAAAGAAGTAAAGAAAAGATGCAACCCAAAAAAAGCCCAAGTATAGAGAGCGCCCCGCTAGAACCCATCCTCATCATCAGCCTTCGCAGCCGTTCTCCTCGTCCTCCGTTTAGACCCCCACCCAATGTCCTCCAATTCCCTAACCTGACCAACTGACACATTGGGGTCAGAAGCAGCCGCCGCACTCTTCTTCGCGGGCAACTTGCCCGCTCGAGTGAGAAACTCAGCCCGCATAGCCGCAGCATCCGAATCCTCATAGTCCAGCTGCGTCATGGGTGGAGGCTCATGGTTCTCTTCGTCTTCGGCCTCGAGGTGCGAGGGGAACTGGTCGGCTAGGAAATTCTCCAGTTTCCCGCCGCCGAACATTGATGAGAGGCTCTGCTCATTCGCGCGGCTGTTCGTGCGCGACATGGAGTTGTCGCGTGTGGGATTGCTTTCGAGGGCGCTGCCCACGCCGTCGTCGTTTAGGGTGTCAATTGAGCTGGCGCGGGATACTGCTCGTCCTCCTGCGCCTCCGGGTGCTTCGAATACTCGACTTGAAGAGTGGGATGGGGCGCGGCCGAGAAGGGGTTTGCGCTTCCGGCGTGGGGGGTAGCTGCTGTCTTCGTTTGTTGTGTCGGTGGCGGTCTCGGTTTGAGCGCGAGATTTAGCGGCTCGTGCTTGTTGGAGGAGTCCACTCATCGCGATGTCGAGCGCGGAGGGTGCAGCGGCGGATGGTGGCTGGTTAGACTCGGACGGCTTGGTAGCAGGGGCATCTTTGCTCGGGGGCTTGCCAGGCGATGGAGAGCGAGATGCTGGGACAGATGGCTTGGGTGGGTTGTCAGGCTTGGTTTGATCCTCCTTTAAGAACCCGTCTCCCAGATTCGTGTCACTTTTTCTTGACGCCGCGCGCTTGTCAGCTTTCCCCTTCTGCGCAGAATCTGAACTGGAATTGGACGTCCTTTCTGCTTGAGCATTGACCTTCTGTTGCTGTTGTCGGTCCACATGGACTGAGCTTGGCTTCTCCGCTCCGCTACTACTCCGGGATAATGGCCGTCGAACAATATATGGTTCAAAGGGCTTCTTCTGCCCTATTTGAATGGATATCCAAAGCCAGTCTGCAGATACGGCAGGCACCCCCCATTCGCTAGTGTGCCGTAACTTCTCGTGGCTTGCTGACTGAGGGTCATTGCATATGAGGACAGATGCTTTTGGCGTCAAAAACTCATCGTAAGAGGCGCCCATCAGATCAACCAGTTTGGATAGGTGTAGAAGATCAATGCGAGCAAACCCGGTGGAACATATCCGCATTCCCGAGAAACCTACTGCCGTTAGATCCAAGTTACTCAATTCGCGTCACGGAAGAGGAACTCACCTGGTAGAGGGAATTTGGGAAACGGAGTGCTTGCCACATGTGATTCTGGAGGGACCAGCGTTCTTGCATCAAGACACCTTTCCAGCCACATATCTGTTACGATCTCGCACTCGAATGCCATGTCATCTGTTGAAGGTATCTCCGATCTGGGGGTCTTGTAAGGAACCATGATGTATAGCCCTCGACCTGTTTTCGGGATGGTAGGACGGGAAAAGTCGCCGAGTGAATCTACCAGCTGAGCGCCATTGAATTGAAGATGATGGCGCAAGACACCGGTCTAGGAAGGTCAGCTGCAGCTGTCGCCATAAGGATCTAGTCACAAACCTGCTTGGAAGAAAAGCCGCTGATTAAGAAATATGAACCCTGTAAAAATCCCTCGGCACTGGCTGTGGTCTGTATTTCAGGCGGTGCTTGAAGAGCCTCTACAGCTCCGCAGAATGTAGTCTCGCTAGCAAATGACTTTGCTGCTTGGATAACGGGTACAGATCGAGAACTTGTTTGGTCCCGTTCTTGTTGTTGGCCATTTTGGACTCCTTTCACCTGGTTGGTTGCAAAGCCAGTGCCAACAATATCACCCCAGATACCTTCATTTTGACCGACCAATTTCGTACTTGCTGTACGGCGTAGCTTTCGGGGTCGAGGATTGGATGAAAGTTCCACGGTAGCAGTTTTCCCACTCTCGGATTGTCCTTTGGCTGCCACTGAGGGTCGTTCCCATGCACCGGCGCCCTGCTTCTCAAGCGGAACCATTGGATGATAGGGATTCGCGTCGAGAATCATGCCGCGCTCGAGACAGTCGGTGAACCACTTCAACGTCACTACCGTGACATTCCATTGCGTCGCGTACTTATATTTCTCGCCCTCTCCATTGCGCGCAACTAGATGCGTGACGCTCTTGGTTAAATCCGTCCTAAATTCCGCGCCATTCTCAATGGCCGTCTGCTCCATGTATTTCCGGAACCCCTCTGCAATGCATCTGTCAGCCGCGCTGTATCATATTCTGTGACTGTGTACCAACTCACTGTCCTCAAATCCAGTTATGCAGATAGTGAGACCGCCAAATACGGGGTATTTGTATTGCTCCTGTAGGGCCCGGATGTCCGTGTCCTCGCCCTGCATCCACGGCTGCCGGACTGCCTCGATCCATTCCGGCTTCACCACGGCCACGTCGTTTCTATGGCGCGCAACGTACTTGTACTTCTCCGTGTCCGGGTCGCCGACCAGCAAGTGGGTAACGTGCGGAGTCAGGTGGGATGAGTGCGTCGCGCCCATTTGACTCGCGATGTTGACAATCGCGTCCTGCAGAATGGGAAATGCGCATCAGCAGATGTCTTAAGCCCATGGGATTTCAATCGGAATAACTACCCTTTGCTCAACGGGAATTGACGTGCAGCACAGGACCACCCCCGCAAGCGGGCGCTCCTTGTCTATATCGAAGCCCGTTAGCAATTTAATCCCGATGCCTCAGAAGAACTGGTTCTTGACTCACCTGAAACAGCCATCCCGGCCATGCTTCATGGTCGACAGAGCCAAGAACTGCTGTCGGAAAGCACGCTGGGCGAGTTGGACTGCAAGCTGGTGGTTGTTCCCGGTAGTTTCGTCCCGCGCGTCCTAAAGAGTCGCGTGGTCACGTGGTTCAAGCGCTCGTGGCCAAACAGTGGTCGAAAACCCCCCAAAAAATAGATATGCAACTCAGTGATTTATTGGCATAATGAGCAATTGTTCACCACAATGCTAGGGGAAGATAAATAGCTTGGACGCCATTTTCCTGTGCCATTTTCACTAGGATGTTAGATATTTATGCGCCAGTGCTCACTGACAAGCATAGTGTAAACTCAAGAATTTTTTTTGTCAATTACAACGTTTCTATTTCTAAGCATATACAAGTCATCGCTACCATTTATTATCTCCACAGCAGAGTAATGGTCAAAGTCTACCGGCACAATGCTTACTGACCCCGTTCTGACCTTCATGCAAGCAAGACTTGTTGAAAGCCTGAGTAGAAGGCGGGACATCCAAAGCAGGATTCTTTTCGAAGAAACCAGATGGCTTGAGATGCACACTGATCCGCTCGACAGGCATGACAGGGAAATCCTCGGTGCGAGGGTTGTGAGTAAGGGCGAAAGTGTGCCAGAAGACGACGTCAGAGTCGCGAACAGGATCAGCTCTTCCTGCCCAGGCTTCCACACCAGTACTTGACTTGCTCTGATTGGTAAATTCGCCAGCGGCGAACAGTTCATCCTCACGATACTTTGTAACCCAGACTGGGTGATCGGCAAATTTAGCACGCTTTCGGTTGAAAGAGCTCTGGGACATGATCATGGACTGGCTCGCAACTGTCTGAATTTTGTAAGCAACTGGGCGATTGCTGACTCTATTCACGACATTGTCATTACGGATCTTGAAGACACGCGACTTGGAAACGTCCGTCTCGGCATGGCCGGCCTTTTCAATAACTGAGGTCGAAGCAATATAGCCAACACCATACGGATCAGCCACGCCGGATTCTTTGGGAAGTGCAATACTGTCCTCGTAGCAGACGGTGTTTTGGAACCCGTCAATTGCCGGGTCGATTCTGAGAGAGAATATATGTTGGTGATTAGGAGCAGATACGCCCGGACCAACATTCGTGGACCAAGGGACCGTAAGGCCGTCCGAGTTGTCAATCGGCATTGTGGAGAGAATTCCCGTAGCACGAACCTCAAACTCAAGTCCGCCTGCCTGGTCGAGCATCCAAGCAAAGATGTACTCGTAATTAGAGACAGTACAGATCATCTGCACAACGAGCTGGCGGTTGCGAACCACAGTAGCTTGGTTGTTTCTGTAATTGCTATGTTTGTGCAAAATGCCTCCATCCTGTTCGTGAAGACAAATGACGTTTTTGAGAGGAACCGCATTTCCTTTGGAGTCAGTCCGATATCCGTCGAAATACCGGATGTGTCCGAGGCAATCACATCCCAGGCTCAGCTGGTTGCAGGTAATTCCCAGGCCCACATCTCCAACATCGAAGGCCTGCTTCCTGTGATAGGGCTTTCGGGGGTCACCATAAGGTACAGTCATCTCAGAAAGGGAAAGTCGGTAGAAAATGTTGCGTCCGTCGTATGTCACATTGTACAGCACCACGCCTTCTCGGACATTGAAACCGACACGGAATCTCCACTTCTGCCATTGCACTAAGTGTCCGTCAACCTGGAAAGAAGGACCCTGGGGCTGCTGCACAATATATGGCCTCAGGTCGTTTCGCAAAGGAGTATCCAGCAGATCGTGCGCATACTCCACTGCTTGGACAGGTTTCCAAGGCTGTGTCTCGCTGGTTGTGTGATCATAGCCCATAGGCAGGTTGTCAATGCGAATCAACTCATGTGTCTTTGCATCAAAAACAGGGGAGAAAGCACATGGAAAAGAGTAATGGTTGGATTGTGGGTGGTCCACTGGAACAATGTACATGTAGCACTGGAACAGTCGGCGGGACTCGGTGTCTTCATCGGTACCGTAGATCCAAGGGTCAGTGCATACAGTCATTCCCGGAGGCAGCTTCATCTTCTCAATTTCCTTGAGGACCTTGTGATGCTCGAGGCAAACTTTCTCAATGTCGATCAGTTCGTCCACATCCACAGGGCCTTGAACTTCCTTGGGAAGTTCTTTCAGTGACACAACAGAGCGATCATTCAGGTTAAGCAGTGTTTTCAGAAAAGCTCCGGTGTCCAGTCGATGAAAATACGAGAATACCAAACGCGCTGGCCGGGGAGCATTGAGTGCTCTACCTCTCCGTTCGGCTTCGATAAGAGGGATAACATCGTTCTTGACCGGCTCTTGAACCTCGATTGTTTTGAAGCGAAGAGGGATATCACGGAAAGAAGCGCGAATCAGATCGGCCGCCAGATGGATTTCCTCAGGCCGCAAGGGGTCAAATGGGTGAGGCACGTTTTTGGGGAGGAAAGAAGCCATGATGTCGGAGACGGAAGTTTGATGAGAAACTTTAAAGGTCTATGTCTCAGGTCAGAGGCATCAAGATCGAGAGGATGATGCCGGAGAACAAATTGATTTTATTTTCATGGTACTGAGGCTCTTATATATTTTTGCTCATTCAATTCTTAGCAAGTCCTACTCCGCACTCTAGATCTAATACATCCCGAACATGGAGTCAGACGCCTCGCGCAAGACTTTCCACGTCGAGTAAAAGTTCCTACCTCCACCAACACTGCATGTGGCCCACCAGAAGTCAATTGCACTAAGTCCCGCGTCAACCGGACCTCTTTTGATAGTTGCTTGGGGGTGAAGTCTTTCCAGGGTGGGGGCTAAGCCAACACCCCCGCATTTCCGCAAAGGGAAAGAAATACGCCCAGAGGCTGCTCGGTGAACACCGAGCATGATATCCGTCAATAATTGTTCCAAAAATGTTCAAACCCAAGTGTATGGAAACACAAGAATCGCAACAATCAGCCGCCGGTCAAGTGGATGCTATCTCCGCGCATCCGAGCTCCAGTCGATAAGGTCGTATTGAATGCCTCTCGCCTAAAAGCAAATTGTTTTCTTTGCGTGTTTAGCAGCTGATGAGATCCCACTTCGACTTTGCCAGTAAGCCTCGCCAATCATGCCAATGGCCTAATTGTACTCTTCGCCTCCAGATTTCGCGAACAAAGGCACCAACATTATTCATGTTGCCGAGGCAAAAGTTAATAGACAAGACTTCCACGCGTTCCAAAACTGCCCAGGTTTGTTCTGGACTCTCAGTCACACATGATATGATAAATAGTAGAGGCAACAGACCTGGTTCCTCCGGAGTGCCGATTGGGATTATAGAAATAGATCTTAGGCAATCCGCCAAAGCATCGTCCTTACCAACTGGAAGCATATTTCGCAGGTCATTCCAGAGGGATGTATGAAAGCAATCGGCATCTCGCTCTGATAAGTCGTCGATGGTAGAGTGGAGATAGGCGAATATTGCACTTTCGTATGCCCGGGCAATGTCTATCAAGCGACCGATCGCAGCAGGCGACATTCCTGTGGGGATTCCGGCCAATTTCGAAGTCCAGTTCCTTTGGTTAATTGTTTCAATTCTGAATTTGGAGGTGTAAGTTTTTGGTAAGGATTTCAGTGGTTGTATTCACGAACATTGAATAAACTTCTGCTTTGAGCGCTCTCCTTTGATCTTCATCCTCGAGCTTGGAGCCGAGAAGTCGAGAAACTCGCTGTAAAGTGGATATCAAACATTGTGACAACCCCATGTACGGGTCTACAATATATCTCAGGTTGCAAGGTGGATCGACATCAATCTCACGCTTATGGCGACTATTGTCCAGTTTCATCACAGCTTGTTCTGTGATGCTGGCGACACTTCGATGATAGGTGATACTGGAAAGCGGGTTAGTCCTAATATCAACGCGTCTGGATACTTGGCTCTGGAAGTACTGATGTAGTACATATGGTCACTTACAAGCTTCGGGCGTACATTATTGTCTCGGTCATATGCGCAGGTTGGTGCATCTCTAAGAATTGGCAAAATGACTCGATACCAAGGAGATGATGCCGCCAATTCGCAACACCAGCCTTGATGATCTCGTGCTTGCATAGAAAGATAGATGCCAACAGCACTATCTCAAGTGCTTCGAAGTCATAGCAAGCTGAAGCCTCCTGCAGCGACGAAATATATGGTATCCAATGTTTCAGGCTGGACAAAGACCGTAGGTAGTACGAGGTTGCCGCTGTTTGAAAGACCATTTTGTCGTCCTTGGTACTGTTTGCACGATGTTGAGCCGACACGGAAATGACAGCATTTAGCAGAAGAGGCGATGAGGTCATTCGAGGCACAATCAAAGATCGAAGGGGATTGCGAGGTGCATGCCCATTAAGAAGTAGGTCTGATAATCGTTCAACATAATATGTGAGGTGTTGGCCTTCCTGTTGCGATATGTTCGGGATACAATCAATTTCAGTGTGCATCGAAACCGGGTGTGAAAGACCTCCTTCCGGTAGAGATATAGACATATCTGTCGGAAACAAATCCACCTTTGAGTCCGAGAAATAATTTACCGAAGAATCGTTGACATAAAAATCCTGATCGGCTGAATCTGGGGTTGCAGTGAACAGTGACTCCGCAGTCTGGGTAAGTGAAAACGCCGAGTCTGATCCCGTTTCGTACTGGGGGGAGTCTGGCGGTACCATAGGGCTTGATGCGGCTCTGGGTGATGATACTGATTGAATTTCACATGCTTTTAGAGAGTCTGAAACTTCAAAATTTCTAAACCCATCGCTTTGCTGACAGTCTAGACCTAGACGAATGCACGTATTACATCTGCAGATTCAACGTCAGAAGAATGAAGGCTTGAAGAATCCGTGGACGTCTTACCTAGGCTTATTGCCGTCGCCTAGCAGAGCAAACGTTAGCGGGATCAATACTTCATACGTGATACAACTTCTGTAGCGTGGTGGGGTTAAGAAACCACGAGCAGCATACATTTCTTGTGACGCCGCTTGCAGGTTGCGCAACCTGTCCTAGAGTAGGGAGCTTTGCGTATCCGCCGAGGCATTGTAGATGGCGGATTAATGAGAATTTTGAAGTAGGCAGGCAAAGGCTGGCGGTTGGGAATGGAGACGGGGACGCGAAGGGGATATTAGACGGGAGTGGAGCAGTGGCGGCCAGTCATTCTGGGACGATAACTGAGGGTTGGTGACCCCCACAACCCACACTCCGACCTCATCAATCAGTCATTTCCCTCACTCATCTCCCAGTTCCTGCGTCTCCAAGATTCCTCTTTTTCTCGCCACTCATGACGATGTATTCAGAGACATGGGTGATAGTAGGTGCCTCCAGAGGCATCGGCCTGGAATTCACGAAGCAGCTCCTGGAAGGCGGACAGAAAGTTATAGCAGGAGTGCGGAATCCATCGGCGGCGAAAGAACTTCTGGAGCTGTGTCGTTCGAGTCCAGATCGCTGCGTGGTTGAGCAGTGCGATGTCACAAGCGAAGAAAGCATTAACGCAAGTTAAGCCATAGCCCCTATTGTCCAAACAATAATCATCTAACTTCTGGTATAGCACTTTGCCCGCAGGGTTCAGGCAGCCAGCAAAAATGGGATGAGTCCGAAAAACATTGTTCTAAATGCTGGCGTGCTCAAATATCCCAACCGAGCAACGGAAATGTATTTGTTGTCTTCGTATCACCCTTGACGAGAATAAACACTAAAGTCTGTAACCCAGATCTTATGCGGATTTTGCTCTTCACTTGCACACCAATACAATTGGACCCGTGATTTGTGCTCGAAAATTGATTGGTCTAGACCTCGAAAGTCCACCCACCAAGGTTGTGTTCATTTCGTCCGATTCTGGGTCTGCTACTCTTTTTCGAAGCTATGAAGATGGATTTGCAGCATATGCGGCAAGCAAAGCGGCCCTCAATCAGATGATCAGACATATGGCAGCCGAGCTGGCGCGATGTGAGGGAAAGCGGAACAAGATATGCATTCTAGCTATGCACCCTGGTGAAGTCCAGACGTAGGTCGCGTTTCCTGCATATATGAGTCCTGCTGATAAAGATACAGTGATATGGCCAATATCGAAGTTGATTGGGAGGTAGAAGGAATGATTCAGGCCGACGAAAGCGTGAAGGACATGCTCAAAGTCATTGGGGAGAAAAACGAGAATGACAGTGGCACATTCTGGTGCTGGAATGGCAAAGTAAGTGATTTACTACAGATTCTTGATTAGCGTAATACTTTATCTAATGATATCCAGACTCACCCGTGGTGATTGCAGAGGAAGATGTCTTCGGCTCTGTGTTATTCCTCAGTTGAAGAATTCTATAAGTTACATATCGCGTGAAAATCGAAATTGTTGCATATAGACGAGAGAAAAATGATATTTTTTTATCAAGCTCACTATATTGAATCTGGATCTACTTGCTTGACAAGAACCAGATGGCCGATTTTTATCTCAGTGTCTCCTCAATAACACGTGCAGCCTGAACGAGAAGATTTTCGTGTAGTCGTTTAGCTACAATCTGTACACCAACTGGCATGCCCTGTGTCGGTATCATTGACCATTGCTGAAATAGTGTTTTCTCTTGCTCCGTTTTCGGTGTATAACTTTCAGCAGAGAGGTCAACTGTACTCCAATCGCTTACAAATTTGGACGCGGGCAAGGCTATTGCCGGGTACTGGAGCAAATTCCAGATGGCAGTGTAGCCCCAGTAGGGGGTTGCACCAAGTGGTGGCGCTGTGCTGGGAGTAACAGGTGCCAACACAACGTCGACTCCGGCCTGCTCCCAATGGGCGCTATATGTTTGGCGGAAAGCATCACGAGCAGCTTTACGGCCTTGATGCGTGGCTGCAACGGCGGACATGTTATCCTGACACTGCTGGAGGATCCAGTTGGTCAGAGGCAAGAGAGGCTCATTCCCATCTTGACATATCTCGCGGATGCCCGCACCGCCATCCTCGAAGTAGTTCGCCGCAATGATCTTCCAAGCTCCTTCATGATCTAGCGGCTTGAATGGCAACACCTGTACAGATGCGCTTTGGCCCAGGCAGTTACGAATCTTGTCAATAATATATCGCACCGGTGGCATAGGGGAGACCACGCCGTCATCACTCAAGATCCCAACGCGAAGGGGCCGGTTATGATCAAATTGGCGGCCCATACTCGGAGACAGAATGTCACCCGGGATCAGAGAAACATCATCAATCCAAGGCTTGGCCGCCGAGTACGCTTTGCAGAATAGCTCGATATCACGTAAAGACCTTGTGAATGGTCCTAGTGTACCAACGATTGAATCACATCCTGGCGACGGGACCACAACGTTCTTGCCACTCAACCGCCCAACGCTTGGGTAAAATCCATATATCTGTTTCCGATATTAATGACTGTAAGCTGCTATCACAATCTATTATTCGTCCAGAGACATGACTCACTCCATTTAGGGCTGCTGGGACTCTTATTGAGCCCCCTATATCACCTCCAATCCCAAGAGGTGTTCCATGCATGGCCATTAAGGCTCCCTCTCCGCCAGTGCTACCCCCAGCAGTAAGGTTCCGGTTTCTGGGATTCACTGTAGCCCCATAGATATTGTTGGATGTTTCAAGGTGCATCAGTGATTGGGGTTGATTTGTCCTAGCAAAAACAACAGCCCCCAGCCTTTTGAGCGATGTAACAATATCGGCATCTTCCTTGCTGACATTGCCCACCCACGCCACAAATCCGGCATTGGTACGGCGACCTGCAATGGAAATCTGCTCTTTGACGGATATTGGAAGTCCATGAAGCGGCCCCATGGGTTTACCGGTTCGTGCCAAAATCTCGTCACAAGTGCGAGCATCTTCAATGGCTTCTGGAATGAGCTCTGTGAGGCAATTGACCTGTATTGGTTAGTCTTGATCTCTTTCAAGTTAGGTGTAGGCACAAGGAGAAGAACGTACACACTGCTGTGCAATTGTTGCCCGTTTTCTGAAAGCCGAGAGGAGTATATGCGCCGTGACTTTCCCTTCGGCCAACATTTCCAATAGTGCTGTGGCATCATAGTCCTCGGTCAAACTAATTTCCAAGTTGGATAAAAGTCCACATGATCGTGGGATATGCATCACATCCTCTGAGAGCCGCGAGATGGGTATTTCAAGTATTGCGGTCGTCTCTAGGGAATTGTCCCTCATTTGCAGCGCAGGCTGAACTCGCTCTTGCAGCGTCGACATAGCTGAAGATGAACTATTAGTGGTAACGGCGTATTCACTACTCACTTGTGTTCATGATCTTGAACCAATAAACCACGCAAGATAAATAGTGCCCGGTGGCGGTTGGCTGGATGCTGAGCTGGTCTATCGTTTGCACAGAATTCACACGAGTAGTCCCAGCAGGTAAGGTTGGAGAAGCAGCCTCAATTGATAAAAGTTGCAACTTGAGTCCAAAAAGCAATGCGGGCCCAGATTGCTCCCTCATTGTTTTCGTGCTGGCGGTTTCCCGCGTATCTTGAACCATTTCCGGCATAGGTGTCTCCACTCCGAGGGAAGAATGGGCTTGAAGTTTGTTCCTCATACCTCGAGAAGTCTTACCATTTCTACGGAACTCGGCAATTATCAGGCGTATCCCTCGGTTCTGGACCTACAGGCAAGTCATAATTGGAATCCAGCATCTCGACAACTCCACAGTTGCGTCTAACCTATCTCGTGTTTGTATTTGAAAGGATGTGCGGGGGAAGTCTGGGGTCCATATTTAGCCGATCCAGGAGTCCGTACTTGAGTAGCTTATCTTTGTGCTTGGAGTTCGGCGCTCTTGTAATCGCCCTTATCACCGGACAAGAGGAGTAACCCCCACATTCCAATGCTTCCCGTTTGGGCAGGAAATACGCCCACTATCATCTGATCCCTAGACGACCAAACCTAGTTGAGCTACCTCACCATTCAGCTCTTGTGTATGACACAGATCTAAAGTGACCTTACGAGCCAAATATATTTAGATATCGAGCCACTTCCCCATACACATGCCATCCACGGTCGCCAATTTGGCATCTTTGAAACTGTTCGAACTGTCTTTCTTCTAGACCTTGCCAAATGGCTGCCACTAAGAGTAATTCTGCCATTGAAACATTGGAGAAGCCACTTTCAAAATGGCGTTTTAACTCGTAGGTCACCAAACCAGCCTGCTTCGAATCCCAAGCAAATTCTGACATGACGGTTTTTAGGCCATGGTTTCAGGCAGTTCTAGTCGGCTTTGTCCTCTTCTGCAATCCAGGCACATATCTTGCCATTACAGGTTTAGGAGCGGGGGGAAGAGACCCGAGCTGGTTCCCATTGTCAACAAAGCCAATGTCCTGCTCTATAGCTTATTTGGTGCATCCGGTGTCTTGGGGGGTAGTGTCATTAACAAAATTGGGCCTCGATACGCGCTTATGATAGGCGCGACTGGTTATCCGGTCTATGCAGGATCTCTATGGTACGCCCAGACTTGCGGTTTATTCCTTTCGAATTGACTCAATAGTTGACATTTATTAGGTGGATTGACAAAGGCGAAGGAACCTGGTTCACACTTTTTGGTGGTGCATGGCTAGGATGCTCGGCTGGCCTATTGTGGTCTACACAAGGTATAATTAATGATCTGGAATCTAGACCTTTCTCTAATCTGATCTTAGGCTACATCACAACTTGCTACCCTACTGAGTCCAAGAAGGGCAAGTACATCGCCATCACATGGACCTTGAATGCAATTGGGTCATTGGTTGGCGCAGGTATCTACTCTTCCCGAAATACCATGAGCTATGGAAATAACGTGAATCAAAGCTGTCGTGCTAGGTGTCACAATCAACAATACCTCGACATCCGGGGTGCCATCCTCAGTGTATCTGACTTTCATTTGTTTGGAAGTATTCGGACTACTCATAGCTGGGTTCTTGATGGACCCAGCAAAGTTAAGGCGCGATGATGGCCAGCCCATCGCATCATTTGAGCCATTGCCTTGGTATCAAGAGCTCAAAATGCTTGGCAAGACCCTTGTGGAACCCAAGATGACTCTCATCACCCTGGGTATTTTCAGTAGCGAGATGTACTTGTCCATGGCTAGCTCGTTCAACTCATGGTATTTCGACGCTAGGACGCGTGCCTTGGCTAATGTAAGTTCAAGGAGCATTAGAATCCTAGTCTTGCCTGGCCATGATTTAACTAGCTTTCAAACAGCTTGGTTATTGGGTTTTCCAAATCCTGGGTTCACTCGCAGTGGCGTTTGTTTGTGACTCTCGTATCTTCGGATCTCGAAGGCAACGTGCTTTTTTCGCGCTAGGATTAGTGGGAATAGTTATCGGGGGAACCTGGATTGCCATGCTGTCTTTCCTAGGAACGCACAAGATTAACCGGCATGACCCACCCCCAGGAAACGACTGGTCCAATGCTGCGTTCGGTGGGCCTTTCGTGATCTACATGTTTCTCGGTGCATGTTATCCGATCTACCAGAACTTCCACCAATGGGCCTACAGCACTTTCTCGAACGAACCCCATGTCCTCGGCCGATATAGTGGCTACTTCAAAGGCGTGCAGGCGTGGGGCACAGCTGTAGCTTTTGGCATTGACTCTCACGAGGTTCCATTCATTCATGAAGCGGCAGCGTACTGCTCGCTCATGATGGCTGGCTTGGCTCTTACTGCTGTCAGCATATACAGAAACACTCTTAATACACGCTATGGAATGGAGGAGGGAGTGGCAATACCCAAGGAGTCACGAGACTTTATTCCTGGCTATGCACTGGAGGACTCAACAGATCCAAATTCCGTCACTATAGGAGTGGAGGGAAAGACGAGCCAGCACGATAGCGACAAAGCTTCTACTGCTGCTTGAAATGATTTTAAGCAACTTCATGTTCTATAACTCGTATTTATACTCGATAGATAATTGGAACAACAAAGCCAGTAGAAAGAACCCATATTAAAGAAGCGTGATGAGGGTAGATAGGATCAAACATTCCAAATCTTTCCAGTAACTACCGAATTATATCATACAAAGCACTTCATCCAGATATAATGATCAACCTAACATTATCTTTGACATCATTCTCTTACGTCTTGATCTCCTTGTCATGCGCAGACTTCACCTAGACTTGTTTTGCGATTCGTAGTCCAAGAATAAGATAATTCTAACATGTGCTTTGAAACATAAAACATTTTGCTTGTCCATGAAAGGAGATAGACCAGAGATATAGTCAATTCATGCAGCCGACAGAAGATCCTCTTATATCAGCTGGCTGCGTTTACAAGAGACCAAAAAAGGCACTCAAGATAACGGCGAAGGAGCTAGTGACTGGAATGGCCAGATTAGAGGCGGCACCGGTACTCGAGGATGCAGCTGCAGAGCTAGATGTGGTGGTCGAATTCGTATCATAGCCCACGATACCTGTAGTATTGACACCAGACACGTAGGTCTCACCATTGCGAGAGTAAGAAACACCGGTATCCAGGCCGTACGCGGCGTCGTAGGGGAAGGGCGATGAGTAGTTATAAGTCGGGGCGCGGCCCTTGTAGGTGTCAATCACTGACTGGAGAATACCATTGCCAGCCGAGCACGAGTCATTCGTGGTCGGCACAGGCCAGCTGGCACGGTATTTAGAATAACCCCAGCGCTCCAGCGGGCCGGGAAGAGACTGATTCAACCACAGGCTGCTGGCGTCGATGTCCCAGTTCGTGTAGTTGACCTTGTCGGCGACCAGCTTGAACAGGTTAGCACCACAGTCCCAGCGACCCAACGAGGGCAAGCCCCAGTTAGCCTCGACAGATGCGATACTTGAGTAGTGGGTGTAGACTGTTTCATCCTTGGTGCCAACCATGTCCTTGGGGACAGCACCGCCTAGTAGAATACTGAACACACGGTTGCGGTCGTTGTAAATTTCGGACTCAGGAACGTTGTAGGTCTCAGTTTCATCGAAAGTCAACAGCAGCAGAGTGTTGTCCCAGAAGTAGGTGTTATCCATAAGATTAGACACGAAGCCTCGGAGCCAGTGTGAACCGAAGGTGATGTTGGTATCGTGGGCATCGTTGGTCATATTTGGGGTGATGAAGGCCCACTGGGGCAGCTGCTTGTTGCTCAGGTCGTCGTAAAAAGAAGTAAAGTTCTTGATCAAGCGCAGAGCAGTGTCGTTGCTGGAGATCTGGTCAAACATCACCAGAGGGTTGTGCTTGCGCATATAGTCATCGGCATAGGTCTCCTGGTTGGAATAGTTGTAGCCCTGGAAGCCTGGATAGGGCAAATCCTGCTGGTACTCGCCCCATGAGATTCCCTTCGTATGCAGCAGATCAGCGATCGTTGACACGTTGGACGGGATATTGTGGAAGAGATCTTGTATTCAGCATTAGCTTTTAACGGCGCTAGAATTTCTCCTGGGAAAATCTCAGTCCCTCCTTTGTAGACGTAGATCCACTCACCGTTGTCCATGCCGTAGTTATCACCACTAGCAGCGGCACAGTAGTTGGGCTGAGATGTGTGGCCGACACCATAATAGTTGGTCAGGGTAATACCCTTGCTCGCCAACCACTGCTGGTCAACATTGGCAGCAGCGTTGTTATAGTCCTGTGACGAGGTTAGTACTTTTGACACAGATCAACATAAGATAGCACACGATGAATACATACGACATTCTCCAGCCAGATCTGGTAGAAACGATCAAAAGCTAAACCCTTGACGCTAGAGGTCCAGGTTTGTGGCACGGTAGTGGCCTCAGCTCGATCAATTGCGGCCACGGCAGGCTCTGACGTGGTGATAGTCGCACCGCTAGCCAGACCGGCCACGGCAAGAAAAGCAGCAACAAAAGCCATTTGGGGCAAAGCTGCAAAGGTATGTTGAGTAAAATCGAAATGGAATGCTAGTCCGGGAATAAAAGGCCCGACATTTCTCTTTAATAATTCGCTTAGGCCTCTCACGCCGTTTCGTCGATGCGACCGCGGAGAATGCCCCCATGCCATGTGGCTGAAGTTAATGCCGAGGAACGGAGCCAATCATCATGGTAGATCGATATCACGTTCCTGGATTGCCTACACAGTATCGGGCGGAGTGGGGCATTGGTAAATATCTACCGCAGTTGGCGCATCGCCTGGCGGGAATAGAGAGGCTTATCCACACCAAGCCTTGGACTAGTGTATCCTCCAAGCTAGAATAGCATCTGCTTAGTAGTATCTGGGCTTTTCCAAGAGATCGTTGAACACGTGCGGGCTCCGGCTAAGGAATCTACCGTCGGATATGATCCCGGAATGATGCCCCCTCTCCCCGGGCCTTGAGTGGACTCTCTTTCTTTTAATTGGTGAATGTAACACCTTGAAGGCATCTGCTATGAGTAATAGACATAGTGAAACACGATCAGCCTCATAATATCAGGCAGAAGTTTTCTCATATTAGGGTTCTCAAATTCGCCAAGGCCTGGACTTGAAAATGGTCTAAGCAACCCGTTGTCAGAGGCCATGGAGGGCTCTCTAGCGACTACTACCCTGGGGCCGACCTACCCGGCGCACGGCCCAAACTCGCTGCCTAAGGGGCAGGGCCAGAGATAGGTCAGCGGAGGTAGGATAGGGAGTTTGATAAGCAGGATCCCAAAAAAAATAATGTTAATATTTTGAATTGATTAATTAGACAACCAAAGCCATGTATTGAAATTTCTACCTATCAGGCCTATCAGGGCATTGCGTTCTCTTATGCCCTATCGTAGAGTGTGGACATATTAAGAAAGACAAAGTCCAAGATTGAAACTCCTAGTGGACTGCCCCAGGGAGCGAAATCTGCGACTATACATAATGTTGCGGCTCATCTTTTTCTATTCTCTATTCGGGTCGAAGGTGGAGATGTCGCTGGATGACCAGCATAGAATCCAAGTCGCCTAACAAAACAAACCTGGCAAAGAAACCACTTCGACTGACGGTGTAGTACCGCCATTATTTGCTATAGCCCATCGCAGAGCTATCCGTTCTCGTAGTGAATCAGAAGTAAAGAGAATTTCGAGGAAGCCTCGCTTGGTTCCTTCACAGTGTGGCATAAACTAAGAGTATGCTATTTCGGGCGACCACTGCGACATATATTGCAGTGACGATCCTTTAGTTATATACTTCCCCAACTCTTGACTGCCGTTCTGATTTAATTACACGCAATGATAATAACCCTGGAAATTTATTCAATGAAATAGACACCAATCTCTTCACCAATAAAAATAAAAATAGACAGTATACCCTCCAATGTTTACCAGTCCAACTCCATCTTGTCGGCCACCGTACTTATCAGTCACGTGTGATAGTCGCGTCTCTCTCCGCGCGCGTTGGCCATATCCATCTATTCCCTCTGCATCACGCCCAACTTGTTTCGCGTCTCCGTTTGTGTCCGTCCCTTTTTTTTATGCATGTTGCGCGCCCCAGATTGCGGGACATAAAACCAATTCGAATTGTCTCGAATTGCTCGAAATCCCCGTCAGGCATCTTCGTGTGTTTCACATCCCGAGGTGTCGCCCTCGCCGGGGAACCCACAATGTTTAAAAAGGCAGTGAAGGATCATCCGGGAGTGTCTTCCAAGCCTCTCCAGTCGAACTTGCTACGGGCAAACGCAGTCGTCCCTTCCAAGTCCCCAATGCAGTCGGCCGGTGTCAAGCGAAAAATCGAGATGACGATTGGCGGGGAATCCGCGCTGGGCTCTCTCCACAGCGCGGTCTATTTCGATGAAAACGACTTCGACGATGACCTCGATCTCGATGTTGATGAACCCCAGCCACTCATTACGTCAAGTGCAGTCGCATCGACCCTCTCGAAGCCGGATCCCGTCGCTTATCCCACCCTCGACGGTATATCCACGAAGGTCCCGAAGATAGAGCGCACGAAATCGACTGCCAGCGACAAGCATGCATTGGACGTTAAATATCCGGACTTGCCTTCTTCCCATGCTTCCCATGAGGGGGCTGCGCCGTCGAGTAGCATACAAATCCCGTGGTCATCCTCGCCTCCTTCTCACCTCCAGCCGCCTCCTAAACCTCGCACGCTGCCATGGCTGAAGGAAGTACAGGAAGAGCCACACCAAGCAGACTCGGGCAAAAAGATGAACTTGATGACCCCGAAACGTTCGAAGCCTACCGATTTCTGGAACAAGTCCGCGAGCGCCATCAAGGAAGAGCAAAAGGAATTGCGACGGGAGTCCAAGAAGGTCCCAAAGACCAGTGGGAAGCCCAAAGTGGAAGGCCCTTCCAAGATAGCCACTGTCTTCCTCAGCGATGAACAGCGGGCTGTTCGCGAGGCCGTTGTCGACCGTGGGAAGAGTATCTTCTTTACAGGTTCGGCAGGAACTGGAAAATCGGTCCTGATGAGAGAAATTATCCAGAAACTGCGCGTCAAGTACAAGAGAGAGCCCGATCGTGTGGCAGTGACAGCCTCAACGGGTCTTGCAGCCTGTAATATCGAGGGCGTTACCCTTCACAGCTTTGCTGGAATTGGGCTGGGCAAAGAGGCCGTACCTGAACTGGTTAAGAAGGTCATTTCACCCCCAAGGCCTGGGAGTGCACCAATACTGACTACCTACAGATTAAAAAGAACCAGAAAGCGCGGAATCGTTGGTTACGCACCAAGGTTCTGGTTATCGATGAAGTGTCCATGGTAGATGGAGATCTGTTCGATAAACTGGAAGATGTTGCCCGGCGCCTTCGAAACAACGGCCGCCCGTTTGGCGGAATTCAACTTGTCGTCACCGGTGATTTCTTTCAGTTGCCCCCCGTGCCGGATGGAAGCAACCGCGAGGCCAAGTTTGCGTTTGCCGCTGCTACGTGGAACACGTGTATCCAACACACAATTCTCCTGACCCATGTTTTCCGTCAACGAGACCCCGAATTCGCCGGGATGTTGAACGAAATGAGACTGGGCAAAATTAGTCCCCGCACAATTGAGGCGTTCAAGCAGCTTTCTCGGCCGCTCGATTTCCATGATGCGCTCGAAGCAACGGAACTGTATGTGCAAATTTTTGGAAAATGTTGTTTAGCAAAACTAAAATTCGATAGGTTCCCCACGCGTGCTGAGGTCGAGGGCGCCAATACGGCCCGAATGACAAGACTGTCCGGCGACGTGTGGAAATTTGAGGCCGTGGATTCCGGCACCATCCAAGACCAGCAATACCGTGAAAAGCTACTGTCGAATTGCATGGCCCCTAAGTCCATCGAACTAAAAAAAGGGTGCCCAAGTCATGTTGATCAAAAATATGGAGGACAATCTTGTGAACGGTTCCATTGGACGAGTGATGGGCTTCATGAACGAGGAATATTTTGACTGGCACTGCAAGAATGAAGGCAGCTTTGGGACCGAGGACGGCGATGAGAGCAATAGCGACCAAACCCGGGAAAAGTTCAAAGCCATGATGCACAAGGAAGGGGTCCGCGAATCCCGAAAATGGCCGTTGGTGTGTTTTATTCAACCCGACGGAACGGAGAGGCACCTACTCTGCCAGCCGGAAACCTGGAAGATCGAACTCCCCAACGGTGAAGTCCAGGCCCAACGCCAGCAGGTGCCGCTGATTCTGGCCTGGGCTCTGTCTATCCACAAGGCGCAGGGACAGACCCTCCAGCGAGTCAAAGTCGACCTGGGCCGCGTCTTTGAGAAAGGTCAGGCTTACGTTGCACTGAGTCGGGCCACTTCCCAGGCCGGGCTGCAAGTAACCCGATTCGAGCCGCGGAAGGTGATGGTACATCCCCGAGTGGTGGAATTCTACAATAACCTGGTGTCCATCACCGAAGTCGTCAAACCCAAGATCTCTGCTTCTCGCGATGATGCCGAGGATGAGTATAACAGTCTCGATGAGTTCTGATAAGCTGGGAACAGGCCAGCCCAGCATCCAACGGAATTAAACGACTCTTGTGTCACTCACGTATGTATGTACTATAATATCGGGCCGATTAGCGCCTATCTTATTCATGCACCCTTGTAGTTGCGGCTTATCGATAAGAGAACGGAGTCCGCACGTGAGCCTTTGGCGGAAAGCTGTCTTCCTTCCCGTGCGACTTCGTCTTGAGACACCCGGCCCTCCTTCGCTTTCCTTGCACCCACGAGATCTCTACCCGACCAGATGATTGTGTGAGCTTGACTCCTCTCCCCCAAGTTGTATACTCACCATGGCCTCCGAGTTCATTGGCTACGACGTGCTCGTGACTTTGAGGGCACCCGCGGGTGGGAAGCTGCAAGGTCAAGTCGCCAATGTGATTGGGCAGAGTTTGTTGCTGCAAAATGGTAAGACAGTCAGGTCTCAGCCTCAGACAATCCTTCTAATTGATTTCCCTGCAGTGATTCTTATGTGGAATGGCCAACGTATTCCCCAGTATTCAATTGATGCCGCCAACATCGCCGATCTCTCCCTGCAAACCACCACTTCAGCTCCCCCACAACCTCAGCATGCACCGCAAGGGACCCCAAATACGACAGCAGCAGCTCCACCACTACCACCACCCCAACATCGTCCTCAACAACAATTTGTCGACCCCGCGATTCTGAGTTTCTCTAAACCCCCTTCCCAGCCCAACCAACCGCCTGCGCACAGCCCCGTTGAAGCCGGAATCCAGCGCACTCCTGCAAATGTATCAGCTGCATTGACGGAGCCATTCAGTCACCTTGGATTGAATGCGGGGGGCAGAGCAACAGAATCATTGGAGGCGCTCCCGGCGAAAGAGCTTCAAAATACCCCGAATGCCAAACAGACACCGAGACGCAACAGGCGGGATAATGGAGAGGCTTTGAACAAACATGGGGCTGCTGCAAGCACCAATCCGAAGAGCAAAGGCTGGCGCCAAACCGCGTTCGTAGAACCCGCGGCCCCTCCCAACCAGGCCTCACCCTCGACACCCGGTGCGAAACTTCGCAGGAAGAAGAATCGTCAGCCCTATGCAGAGGATGCCAGCGGCTGGGCTACGGAGGATGCGACGGACATCCAGGAGCTGGGTGAATTTGATTTCCAAACCAACTTGTCCAAATTTGACAAGCACCGAGTCTTCGCAGAGATTCGAAATGATGATACTACGGCAGACGAGGCGCGTCTGGTCAGCTTCAACCGGAAAGCCAAGCCCGGGACTAACGGGGGAAAGAACTTGCACTGGACAGAGAACGTCCTCGACAGCCCGCAGAACAGTGAAAGCGACGACGATGTCGAGCAAATCAGCGATGCCAGACTAAGTGGCGACACCAGATCAGGACGTGAGCGGTCCCGAGCGTCTGTGCGAATTCAACCTACTCGTAAAGGCAGCGGGGTACTAGGACAGCCGTCTTTTATCCCGCCACAGATCAATACCCTTTCACGCAGCCAGACATTGAACACCTCCCGAACCACGAGCCCTCGGCCCGGCCGAGTGTCAGCCTCTCCCAAGGTTGGCCCTGGTGTCTCCGGAGCCTCTCTCCGCCTGACTACTACCAACCGCAGTTGCCCTACGGTGAGCCCGTTGCAAACACTCGAGGTCGAGCAGATTGCGGTTGCAGAATTCAGCTTGACTGAGGATCTCATCACGGAGAACGCGGGGCGAGGCATCGCAGAAGCCGCCGTTGCTCTTCTTTCCAACGATGCCGCTGCTCCGACTATGCTTATTCTCACTGGCAATCACCGTACCGGCGCACGCGCGGTCTCAGCTGCCCGCCACCTTCGAAACCGAGGCCATCGCGTCACTTTGTGCATGCTCGGTCTGGAACATGAAAACGAACTGCTGGAAAGTTGCCGTAAGCAGCTCGATATTTTCCGCAAGATTGGCGGACGGGTTTTGAAATGGGAGGAATTGTCAGGGCGCTTGTCCACCTCGGAAGTAGACCCTGATTTGGTCATCGATGCGCTGTTTGGCATGCACGTCGCTTTTGATGATTTGCGGAACGATGACCAAGCCGTAGCGTTTGAGATGATCTCGTGGATGAATCGGGATAGTGCCAATATTCTTTCTGTCGACGTTCCGTCCGGCCTGTCGGCTACTACTGGTAGGTTTTTCTTTCAGAAATGTTCTTACTTTTTGACTGACATGAACAGGCGAGGTGACCATGGTCGAAGGCAGTCCACTGTGCGTGAACGCCACGTCGGTTGTATGCTTGGGTGCGCCTAAGACGGGAATCCTCAGTGCCTCTCTCTCCGGCGAGGAACTATCTTGGAGCCTCGCCGTTGCCGACATTGGGATTCCGCAGATCGTATGGCGCAAGTACGGCACCCGGCGTCGACATGGCATTGATTTCGGGAATCGGTGGGTGGTGCCCCTGCGGTTCCAGCCCTCGGCCATCTAGACCACGGATTATTTGCTGGCGTTTTCCCCTCTGGGTTGTGCATGGAAGGTTTCTTCAGCGCGGACAAAAAAAGGTTTCGGGGCGCACATGGCAGACAGCCCATCCATATGTATCATATCCATTGTATCTTTTCGTCTCAATATCTTCCATCCTTCAACGGTGCCCTCTTGAAAGGCATACCTGATATCTCAGTATCAAGCTAAAATCAACGCGATTCACTTCCTGTAGCCATTGCCCAACTATCACAACAATTTCCTCCATTCTAGCAGTCACTACTCCCATGATTCCACCAGGATAGTGCCGGTATTCTTTCTGTCGACGTCCCGTCCGGCCTGTCGGCTACACTTGACCTTTTTCTCGCGGAGCTCGCGTATGGCGCTGGTACAAAGTTGTTACTATACCCCGCATGGACCCCAAGGAGCCAACTAGTCTCAGGGGTCTCAGGAAAGACTACGAATCGGAAATTTGCATTTATGTTTAGGTAAATCGGATGAAAGGGTCATTTCTCCGTAAAATCCCCTGGTTGGATAGTTAGTTGAAGTGGCGCCGAGAACGAAATGATTAAGATTTAGTAGTTCAATACGCAGAAACGTGCTTAATCGCGCCATTCCAAGCCTCTAGCGACATCGGTGTAGAGAGGTAACCATAAATGAGGGGGCTTGCAACATCGTGGGAGGATTTTGATCTCAATTTTTAACTGTTCAGTACAGAGCAAAAGACGTTGAAGAAAATTGGCAAACATGCTTAGGGCTTTACTGGTCCCTCTACTATTGCTGCAGGCAGTGGTTTCCGGGGCAAGTACCACTGGCCCCGAGGGGGTCACTCTGATCAATCAGAACTGGCTGTTTGGGGGAGAGTACACCGCCGGCAGCGAGGCTCCTGGATTTGACGACAGTGGCTTCCAACAGGTTACCATCCCTCACGTAGTGACGCCTCTCGGCTGGGAGCAGTGGGACAACAACACCTGGAACAAAGTCTGGATCTACCGCCGTCATTTCGACCTTCCCCGTGGTGATTCTGGTCGGACGTTCATTGATTTCGATAGTGTCCTCACCGTCACCACCGCCGTGATCAATGGCCAGACGCTGCCAACGCACGAGGGAGGCTACTTGCCCTTCAGCTATGAAATCACCGACTACGTCAAGGAGACTGGTAACATTATTGCTGTCATTGTCGACGCAAGATGGTCCTATGTAAACCCCGAAGGTTCTCCGGCTGGTCCTAAAAGTATCGACTACTTGGAGCCCGGTGGTATCAACAGGGATGTTTCTTTGCGCACAGTGCCGTCTTCCTTCATCTCTGATGTCTTTGCCAAACCTGTCGATGTCCTCAGCACCTCGCGACAGGTCGTGGTCGAAACCACCATTGACTCCGCCAAAGCTCCGGGACAAATCAAGATCAACTCACAACTTCAAGACGCGGGTCATGTGCTCTCTCAGACTACGAAGGATTGGAAGATTTCCCAGACCGGAAACTCCACGTTTACGCTCAATATCCCTGCACCGAACGTCAAGCTGTGGTCACCCAGCTCCCCAAATCTATACCAGGTGGTCACGAGCCTGACCGTCGACAGCCAAGTGGTTCATACATTTACCCGCAATATCGGTTTCCGGGAAGCCAACTTCACCACGGACGGCTTCTTCCTTAATGGCGACCGATTCCAGATTTTTGGGCTTGACCGCCACCAACTGTTCCCGTACATTGGAATGTCCGCCTCAGAACGCCTCCAGAAGCGCGATGCTGAAATTCTGAAAGAACTCAACTGCAACATGGTTCGCTGCTCCCATTACCCACAGTCTCCTCACTTCTTGGACATGTGCGATGAACTCGGGATTATGGTGTGGCAGGAAGTGCCGGGCTGGCAGTTTATTGGAAATGCTTCATGGCAGCAGCATGTCGTCTCAGATGTCCATGACATGGTCATCCGGGACCGCAGCCGTCCGTCCATTATCCTGTGGGGTGTCCAGGTCAACGAGTCTCCTCTGGAACCCGCCCTCTACACCCAGACCAAGAACGTTGCTTACGCTTTGGACGGCAGCCGACAGACGTCGGGGACTGAAACAAGTCAAAACTTGGTCAACTGGGTAGGAGACGTTTTTGCCTACGACGACTACCACAGCGAGGATGGAAACGCGATTCTGTTGCCGCCACTCACCACCGTTCCTTATCTGATCACGGAATCCGTCGGTGCACTGGATGGCCCAAAATATTTCCGATGGATTGACCAGCAGGATGTTGTGCAAGACCAGGCCAAGCTGCACGCTCAGGTACACGACATTGCGGCCAGCAATAATAGTTACAGTGGTCTTCTGGGCTGGTGCGCCATTGATTACCAGTCACTGAATGGCAACATCTATGAAAATGTCAAGTGGCCTGGAGTGATCGATACTTTCCGTGTGTACAAACCTGGCGCTTCATTTTATCTCACCCAGGGTGATCCGGCCGATGGCGCTCTGATTGAACCGGCCTTTTATTGGGATTTTGGCTCCTTCTCGCCTGTAACCACGCTGGGTGACAATGCTACTATTTGGTCGAACTGCGACACCCTGGAAGCGTATATCAACGGAGAGCATTATGCGACGCTCAGTCCCGACACTGCCAACTTCTCTCACACAGCTCATCCCCCATTCTACCTGGACACGACCAAACTCAATACCAGTGCTGCTTTGCCGGAACTTCTTCTCGAGGGATACGTGTCCGGGAAGAAAGTCACCTCGCGTACTTTATCCGGAAGCACTGAGGGGGATCATATCCGGATAACTCTGAATGACCCGACATTGGAGGCTGATGGCATCGACAGTACACTCATATCCTTCCGTGCTGTGGACAAGTACGGGAACCCGCGTCCCTACGCCAGCGGCAATGCGACCATCTCCATTCGGGGCCCAGGCGAGTGGGTCGGTAGTAAATTCGCCAATGATGTCTTTCCTTTGAGTGACAATGGAGGGGTTGGGGGAGCGGTGATTCGCACCATTGCTGGCCAGACTGGAACTATTGTGGTTGAAGTTTCTCATGCAACGCTGGGTAGTGACACTGTTCGGATCCGAGCTGTTTAATGCGTTCGACGTGGAGTAGAATACATACCAAGTTCAGCACTCCAACTTTTGTAGGATATAGTTAACGCGCTAGTCCCAAATAGGCTAGCGCACCGTCATACAATCCGCCGCGCAGAAAAGTGAGCAATCCTGAGCTTCACAACATGGGCAAAGGAACGGACAAGCTCTACATTACACACTCCGAGTGGGCCTCCGAGGATGCTTTCTCCGCCAGCGCAGGCGCCGGTGTTGGGAAGGCCAAAAAGGGTGGTGCCCCCGGCGCATTCAAGCGCCTGCCCTTCAACTTCTGTTCGCTCTCCCTCCAGCCCTTTTCGCACCCGGTCTGCACACCCACCGGCATCATCTTCGACCTGACCAACATCCTGCCCTGGATCAAGAAACATGGCACCAATCCCGTCGATGGCGCGCCGCTGAAGAGCTCCGATCTGATCAAGTTGACGATCGCGAAGAATGAGGAGGGCGACTACGTCGACCCGGTCACGTTCAAGGTCCTCACGGATAACACGCATATCGTCGCACTGCGCAACACGGGTAATGTCTTTGCTTGGGATACGGTGGAGAGACTGAATATTAAGGGGAAACTGTGGCGCGACCTGGTTACTGATGAGGAGTTTACTCGGAAGGATATCATCACCCTGCAAGATCCGCAGAATATCGAATCACGCAACCTCAGCTCGTTCAATTACTTGAAGGAGGGCGATACGGAGATTTTGGAGGGACAACGGGCGTCGGGGAGCGTGAACAGCAATGCGCTCGGTAGCTCAGCGAAGATTCTGAAAGCGAAGGAGGCGGTGGCTAAGGCTCGAGCGGAACGAGCGCAACAGACCGGCTCTGCGACAGCAGGTTCCAAAGCAGTCTCCAAAACCGGAAGCCCCGCCACTGCACCGTCCAAGACAGGGACAATCCAACAAGGGAAGCCGACGCCCTACAACGCCGCACGATTCACGACCGGCAAAGCTGCCGCTTCTTTCACCAGCACGGGACTTACCCCCCACACATCGGGCGAGCTGGCACTGCTATCGGAAGAAGAGTACATGTTGAAACGGGGTCGGGTCAAGGGTAAAGGGTATGCGCGAATCGTGACCACGTCCGGCCACTTGAACCTGGAGCTGTACGCCGAATACGCGCCCAAGGCCGTGTGGAACTTCCTCCAGCTCGCCAAAAAGGGCTACTACAAGGATGTCGCTTTTCACCGCAACATCAAGGGGTTTATGATCCAGGGCGGTGACCCGACTGGTAGCGGACGCGGTGGAGAGAGCATTTGGGGCAAGTACTTCTCCGATGAGTTCGAGGGCCCGTTGAAGCACGACTCCCGGGGTACGCTCAGCATGGCGAACAAGGGCAAAAACACGAATAGCAGCCAATTGTGAGTTGTGTCCTACTTTCCTCGATATACCCATCCCCGCTAACCTGCGCCACCAGCTTCATTGCTTATCGAGCCTTGCCGCATCTCGATCGCAAGCATACCATATTCGGTCGTATCATTGACGATCCAACCCCGTCGTCCACCACCCTGAACAAGCTCGAAACGCAGCCCGTAGACTCGTCCACGAATCGGCCCACGCCGGATATCTTTATTAAGGACGTCACTGTCTTCGTGGATCCATTCGAAGATTTCCTGCAGCAGAAGCGTGCCGAAGAGGCCCAGGGGGCTGCCGGCAAGCCGGAAGAAGAGGACGAGGCTACGCGTCGTGTGGACGATGACCGTGTCACTTGGACCGGCAAGCGAGTTCGCGGTGCCGGCGCGGCGTCGGATGACAGCTCTGCAGGTGTGGGCAAGTACTTGAAAGCCGCGCTGGCGGACCGGGCCGGGCAAGAAGAAGACGAGATCGTGGAGTTCGTGGATGATGAGCCCGAGCCCGAGCCCGTGCGCAAAAAGATGAAAGGCACGGGGGGATTTGGGAATTTTAGTTCATGGTAATAGTTAGCTGTCTTGGGGATTTTGTATATTAATGCTAGTTCATGGACAACAGGACGCGGGGGTGTTCTTCTGTGAATTCGGGTTGGAAGTTCGCCATTAGTATGGGTTATATCAGATGCAGTAGTCATCATCATCATCGTCAGTCACGCTTCCACATCCGGATCGCATCACCGTCGACCGGGGCCACCTTCAACTTTCTCTCTCTTCCTCCTGCTCTTTTCTCAACCTCCCTCCCCTCAGCGCTCCTTCATCACCCCCGCTACTCTCACATTCATTGTAAGTACTAGAGCTGTTGAACCCTCGCTCTCCCTCTCTGCTTAGCAGTGGGGCGCTCGCGCCCAGACTGGCTATGCCACGGGGGCCCCGATGGTTGGGCACTGCGTGTTGCGACTTCAATTTCCATCTGCATTCTCCATCGTCCGTGGCTGGTTGATCGAAAAGCTATACTGTCCCTGACAGCTGGAGCGCCTGCGGCCCTGCTTGCCTCTGCATTGTTCCACCCCCCCCCACGTTTGTTCCGCTCGATTACCAGCTGCTTTGTATTCCTTCTCTCGCCTGCCCCAACGGCTCCGAATCAGCCCTGATTGACAATTTGCCCCCTGCTAACACTTCTCGCACGCCCGCAGCTGAATCCCTGAGCTTCCGCGACCCTCCATCCATCGGATTTACGTCAATCGCCGTCTCACCTCACTTCCACCATCCCCGACCCTCCACCCCTCCCTCTATCCCCCACCGCCGCCTTCCGGCTTGACATTCTCGTCCAGGGAGGCCCGACAGTCAATCTGGCAGGAAACAAGCGCCGTAGCTTCTCTTCGCAGGGTGGGTTGCTGAACAGGATGTTCAGTGGCTCCTCGAGCCCACCCAAAGACAAGCTTGAGACGCTCCCGGATACCAGCATTGGAACTGGCTCCCCGGTCCTCGAAAAAGACGAGGCCAACGCAATTCGCGAAAAGAGGTTTTCTCCCCCGGGTTCCGGCTTCTTCAATCGCCGAGCCAGTGAAGACCAGGGTCCGGCCGGTGAGAAGAAGCGCCGGAGTAGTACCGTCACCAAAGCGGCCAGCTTCTTCAGTAGTGCCAAAAACTCCCTGAATCTGAACGGTACGCGCGACTCCCAAGCCCCGGTCCAACAGGTCACGCAGAGCCCGCTGCACAGGCTGGGGAAGATGGACCCGGCCCTGAGTGTCCCTCAAGGGTCGTTCAATAACTCGGCCGGAGAATCAGTGCCCACCCCCAGATCATCGTTCCGCGTCGGTGTCACGGAAGACAAAAACCGAAAATGTCGTCGGACAATGGAAGATACGCATGCCTACCTTTACAATTTTCTCGGGACTCCGTCCCCGACCGCACCGCCCGACATAAATGGCACCGAGCCGCCCGGGGCTGAGGAGGGGTCGCAGGCGTCGGATGAATCATCCAACGTCGTCGAGACGGACAACGGTTACTTTGCTATATTTGACGGGCATGCCGGTACCTTTGCCGCTGAGTGGTGTGGCAAGAAACTACATTTGATTCTGGAGGAGATCATGCGGAAGAGTCCCAACACGCCCGTGCCGGAACTGCTCGATCAGACTTTCACCAGTGTGGACCAGCAGTTGGAAAAGCTGCCGGTGAAGAACAGTGGATGTACTGCGGTCATTGCACTGCTTCGCTGGGAGGACCGGGTGCCCAGCTCACAGTCGGCCACCGGATCCTCCGCTCTCGCCCCAGCGACTGCCGCAGCTACAAAAGGGGATAACAACTTGGACACTCAGACTCCGACCCAAGAAGCACAATCTGGTGTCTCGACTGTAATACCGAAACTCCAGGAGAAGGCTGTCCGGCAGCGCGTCCTGTATACGGCAAACGTGGGCGATGCTCGCATCATCTTGTGTCGCAATGGAAAGCGCTTCGCTTGTCTTATGACCACAAGGGTAGCGATGAGAACGAAGGGAAAAGGATCGCCAACGCTGGCGGGCTGATCCTCAACAACCGCGTCAACGGGGTGCTAGCAGTCACTCGCGCCCTGGGCGATGCGTATCTCAAGGAGCTTGTCACCGGTCACCCTTACACTACGGAGACTGTGATCCAACCCGAAGCTGATGAGTTTATAATTTTGGCTTGCGATGGAGTAAGTGATTTCCAGTACGGACAATCTAACACGGACTAATTTCTGGACAAACAGCTATGGGACGTCTGCAGTGACCAAGAAGCCGTCGATTTAGTTCGAAACATTCCCGATGCTCAACATGCCTCCAGGGTTCTTGTCGAACACGCACTCGCACGGTTTAGTACCGACAATCTGTCTTGCATGGTTATTCGCCTCGACACCAACCGCGTGAAGGATGTTGTCAATAACACCGCCGAACCCATCGGAGTGGATGGGGATCCATCAACGAATGTCCCCCGCGGTGTGAGCGAGGCCGACAAGATCTTGGAGGGTGCTCGGAAGAGCATGGAACGCGCGGGGCTCGACGACCCAGACTGGGCAGAGAAGACCAGCGAGGATATTCTGCAGCGCATGGCCAAAGCCAACGCCAACGAAGAACCCGGGCCTGAAATGACCACAGATCCACCTTCTGTGGATATCCTGAGCCCTAACAGTGCACCTGAAGAGACACATTGAACGAATGTACGATGAGCCATGCTGTGCCCGACTAGCCTCCATTTTTCTTCCATCGCAAGAAGCAGCCGGGCAGACTGATAAAACACATTGCCCGCCCATTGTTCTTTGATTAGTTTCCCTATCATCCGATGCTTCCAAGAGGAAAGAAAAGTCCAGCCTAGTCCAGCCCATCCGGTACTGAATTATCTGTTGTCATGCTACTATTGCCCGCCCTCAAGATTTCCATCGCATGTCGGCGCCGTTTTATTTGTTTGTCAACTGGCATCATTCTCAAGTCGGCTTTTGGACTTTTGTCTCACCAATGCCCCTGCCCCTTTTTATTTCTTGTTACCAACCATATCACTATCTTTTCTCTAGTCTGTCTCATCCGGACTATCTTATGAATCCCAGATGCCTTTTCCCTCCCCCATTTCCGCCCCCCTGATTTCTTTGCTTTTGGTTTTTTTCTTCGCGGCCTATTGTGTATGTAAGGCTATCTGTACTGAATTTTTCCACTGCGATAGGCTTTTTTTCCTTCCTATATACACTTCCGACGACGATGCAGTACCTAACATATAATTCCCTCCTGTAGATTGTAGAATATGACAAAACAAACGCTAACAAAAGCACACAACACATTGAACAAACCACCATGAAGTATTGCTTCTTGTATAATGATGAATATTATTTCTACTTAGAGAAGATTGCTAATGAATGGGGGAATTGTTTCGGGGTATGCGTGGGGATACTAAGCGCCGTTCCCGATTTAGATCAACCAACCTCACTCTAAGCGCCTGATAACAGACGATTCCCCGTCGAAGCGCTGCCCTTGTTACAGATAGCTCGTATGAAACACCCGATCCTCTATATAAAAAGAAAAAATTGCAAACACTGCAGCAGAGACAGAACTAAAACCGCCTGCGTCTAACTTAGCCGCCTCCGTCCTCGGAAGGGTTTGAGGATCAGACAATAATAGCTAATTTAGATCCGTTTTTAATCTGAATTCTGGGACCTTATTGGGTGGTAAATGAATAGATAGTTTGATTAAAGCGCTTACAGTACGTATAATTGTCCGGTGATAGAGTACGAAAAGAGAGAGATATACAGCACAATTGCATACTTCAGACATCCCTTTAGTTTTATGAGATCTCGACAGAAGTTTTTAATTAAGCTTTAGTATTTATCTCCTCAAACGCAGTTACAATGGGCTGCGGGTTCAGCAAACAAGTGGAAAATGTGCCACGACACGTTAGTACAGTTCTGATTTGTGGGGGAAAAACCAAGCTGATGAACTCCATTCTAGGTATTTTCATTCCCTCGAAAGACTTACATCAAGCTCAAAGACACCACCTCGCCTGATTACAGCGCAGGAGACTATACCCCGGACCCACGACCATTCCCCTATTTCGACCGCGAAGTCATCTTCAAAGAAGAAACAACCGCCCTGAAATCGCTGCAGGGATTCGAAGCCAGCCCTGGCCAGGAAGCACCAATGCTATGGGCCTATCCTGAAATGTACTTCGGCTTTGACTACAGCGCACAGAATGGGGTTGGGGGTGTTTCTGAACAGGATACGGGCCCGCATCTGATCATCACGGATCGAGATAAGAATATCGTGGGCGTGGTTACGTATTCTCTAGACGAAAGGGGGAACTTGGTCAGGGCTGCGAAGCGGGTGGTTCTCGTTGAAGTGCCGAGTAGGAGGAGGATGTCTTGTTGGGCGTGGCGCCGGGGCCTTCAGCGGCAATTAACGGATATTAAGGAGGAAGATTGATATCATGGGTATATGGGATAAGGCAGGATCCTTGTTACCTTATTTTTCTTCTTGGTTCAAGGGTTGATTTCTGGATTGGCTTTGAGGGAGTATGTCTAAAAATACAATTTATGCAGCTAACAGCTCCTAATACACAAGAAGAAATGGTAGGAAAGGACAGGGTGATCAGGAACATCGGCCAAGACAAAGTGGAAATATCACAACAGGCGGATCTTTCGTCTGGTGCCGAATGAATCCCTACCAAAGGAGGACAACGAATCTCCTAGTGCGCCTCCGCTCCCGCCTTCAGGGCTTTTTTCGCCCCCTTCAGCTCGGGGTGGATAATCTGCCTCTCCACGGGAATAGTAGACCTCGCAAACCACCAGCCTGACTGTAGTTCACCATGGTCGACGCTATTTGGCCAGGAAGCGGCGTGGTTCGCATCGTAGACATCGCGCCAGAGAATCTTGAACTCCCCAGGTCGCTGCGGGTAGTTGCCATCCTCATCGCTGATCCGAATGGTCTTGCCAGTCTGGGCACTGAGCCAGGTTTCAAATCTCGTGATCCTGGCAGCTCGCTTCGCGGCGACCCTCTTCTCAGCCTCGTGGACTTGCAGAATGTCCCGAACCCAAGCCTTCTTCGTAAATTTCCAGTTCCATATGGAAAAAGGCATCTGCTTCATGGTCTCCATGAGCTTGTCGTATTTAGTGTTTTTGCCAATCCGGTCCAGCAATCCGTTCTTGATTTCCTCTTCCTGGATGGCCAGCACGGCAGAGACATCGGCGATGGAGGTAGCCTTCTGATCCATCAAGACCCGAGCGCGCTCCTTCTTCGACATGAAGTGGCCTAGTCGGTGCTTATTGATCCTATCGAACTGCTTTGCGAGATTGGGGTCCCTTGGTCGGATCTTCGCCAGGAATTCTGAGGTGACGGTGATCATCTCCGCGGGCGGCTTGAGTTGGCGCTGCTTTGAAAACTCGCGGAGCATCTTGAACGCGCGCAGTCCGAGTCTTGGGTCGGCAAAGTGCACAGAGTAATAAGGCACCCACATGTCGGTGCGCAGCTCGGCGGGGACAGTCTGCTTGCCATGGTAGATCATCTGGCGGAGGACGTTGTTTTCCTAGACATCGGGGACAGGGTTACAAAGTGTGGTAGGGATTGATCAAACAATCATTCATCACTCACCTCCAGCTCTCGGGTCAGCGAGTACACCACTTGCTTGGTCCTCACATGGTGGTAGACAAAAATGTGTTTCCCATGCGACATGGCATGCAGGGCCTTCCGTAGCCTCGCTGCTTCACGGGACTGGAACTCCTTGGTCGCATTGGACCGTGGATGCCGCACTCGGCCTTGAATCGGTGTCTGTGAATCAATTGGCGGGTTCCGCACGAAGCCAATGGCGGTCAACTTCGATGGGTGTATGAAGGTAACATTGTCGCGGGTGGTGACCTCCTGGAGGATTGTTTGGAGGGACTTCCAATAGGATTTGCGCATAGACACGGAGGCCATTGCGGCCGAGGTGCAAAGTCCACGGACAGACCTGGGAGGGAGTAGAAAGGAAGTCTTCGTGGTGTGGACGGGATGGTGGTTGAGGTGAGGTGAGTGTCTTGAAAGGAGGAAGAAAAAGGACCTCGCCCAGTCGAGGATTTTTTGGGGTCTTGGCGCCCCATCTGACTCTCCGCAGTCACAACACAACTACAACTTACTACCCTAGAGCTCCGTGTCCATCCATCCATTATGCCCGACTGCACATAATTGTCTGTCTATCCCGGCCTCCATCATGGCCTCGGAGCAGGAACCCCCTAGCTCACGCAGAGACCGGCCATGGCTGTATGCCTCGGTATCGTCGATGCCTACCTCCGCATCCACTAGCAGACTGACAGACATCTCCAGAACCGCAAGCTGCGACATCTACATGGCATCTCCATTCGCAACCTGATCGTCACACCCGCAAGTCGAACTCGTGGCAAGACCATAGACGACGATGATATCCCCAACACCCTGACGACCCCTTCCAAGATCCTCGCCCAGAACGGTGCCCGTACCCTACATTCGTCCCGATCCTTCACCGATCTCAAGTCGCGCACCGGCTCAGAAAGCCATGTCGACCGAAAGGATAGTAAGCCTGAAATGCGCCCGTCGCGTCGGAGAAGCACCCTGCCCTGGCACGATCCCAATCCTCGGACACGCCAGGTCAGACTGGAGGACATCACCAACAGTCGCATGGCGGATACTTGGTTTTCAATCCATTGCGAGAGCCCAGAAGCCCCAATCTATGTCAGCGAGGTGGTCAACAATGCAACCAATCCCAGCTTTCAGGCTTTGGACTTGAATATGTGTGGCCCGCGGGTCTCCCGACTTAACTCCTTGACACTGAAGCTATGGGCGAAGACGGCAACGATGCCAGACTACATGCTGTTGGTGGAACTACAGCTCAATCTACGCTCCTTGCAATTCTTGGGGAAAAGCCTCGAACACTTCCACCAGCCGCTTCCTGCCAATTCCATTCTGTTTCATTTCCCCGACGGCGTGTACACCAATCTCACCGATCTCCCACCAGTGGAGACCTCTCTCTACGGAATGGGTCAGCGAGCTACTGGTGATGGAACAGTGCTACCCACTTCATCTTACGACGCATTGATGAAACTAGCAAATATGGACGAATGTATACAAGACGCGCTAGCAACGCGCGAGAAACTGGAGACACAGATCACCGCTATTTTGGAGAAGAACCAGCACGCGCTAATGAGTGTGAGCGACGCGGCGCAGGCGCAAGACCGGCTGTCCCTTACCAGACAAGCTATTGCGGCCGAACGGCGACGGCTGCGAACGGCGAACAAGCGCAAAGACGAGTTGATTGCCAGCCTTAAAACTCGGAAGGAGGCAATGGAGCAGGGGCGTCAAGCCCAAGAAAGGGCTCGAAGCCACCTTCCCGACGCCCAGGAGAAACTGGTTTCCAGTGAACAAGTGCTCAACCACAGCGCAGACGAAGCCAAGGGCCAGATTCGGCGAATTTCTGAAGACCTACTGACCATCTACCCGATCGAGCCGATCGCCGACAAACCACTGGCCTTTACCATTGCCGGGTTAGCGTTGCCAAACTCTTCCTTTGATGACATTGACCGCGAGGCCGTTGCAGCGGCCCTGGGGTACACTGCCCACCTCGTGTACCTGCTCTCCTTCTATCTCTCAATGACCGTCCCTTACCCAGTCAGCTCGCACTTGTCGACCTCGATGATCCAGGACCCGGTGTCCGTGTCGCTCCCCACACGCACCTACCCCCTGTACCCGGTCAATGTCCACTACCGATTCGAGTACGGCGTGTTTCTGTTGAACAAGAACATTGAGTTTCTGCTCAGCAAATTGGGACTGCGTGTGTTGGACATCCGGCACACCTTGCCCAATCTGAAGTATCTTCTCTACGTGCTCACGGCGGGCACGACGGAGATTCCTTCCCGCAAAGCTGGAGGCATCCGAGGCCTTCTGACGGGCCGATGGACCCCGAGTCTCTCACGGCGAGGCAGTGTAGACAGCACTGCGTCGGGCGAACTGGTGCAACCACGCAAGGCCTGGGAAGCGGTCTCGCGGATGAACGGCAGCCTAGACAAGGGGAAGCGGTTGGCCGTCACTAGTGGTTCTACGTCATATCGAGTGACCTGAAACAAGATTGAGACATGTAAAGTTGTAAATAATAATAGAAGGGCTGGTCCGACATCATTATTATAGTGTTTGTTTTTAGTACTAGGGTTAACTAACTTTTTTGCCCGTCTTTGTCTCCTTAGTCATCACCCCACCGCTCTCTCTTATCTTCGCTTTGCGTCGGCTTCCCCAGCATCCCGCCCAATCCACCTCACCAAGTACAGACGATCCACAACATGGCTGGCCAAGATGCCTTTGCGAAGTCGCCTTCGCCACAATCTCAACACCGTCGCGGTTATCAGGCCTGCGATCCATGTCGCAAACGGAAGGTCAAGTGTGATTTGGGCAGTATGTTCATTCCCCCCCCCTCTCAGCATTGTTCTGCTGTGTCTCTTTTTTGTGTACTTTTGCCTGATGATCTCCAAATAAAAAAAGGTGTCGATAATCCTCGCCCCCCACCATGCGTTCGATGTCGTCGCGAAAGCAAGCGATGCGAGTTCTCGGCCACTCGACGCAAGCGCAAGCTCTCCGACGCAGCAGAGGAGGAGCCTGTCGAGCCAGCCGTTCTGCGTCGCGACAAGCGCATGATGATTGGCGAGGTCGCACAGAAGGAGAATTTGGGTGATGACTCGCCCTTCCCCCCATCCGAGCAGCCTTCTTTCGATGCCGATGGCATTCCCGCTCATCAGAAATGGTCCGAGGCGTCTCCCGCAGCGGCGACAAGCCAGCGGTACACACCCAATGCGCCGGCTGCGCCAGCACCATCTTTCTCGGACTCGAGAAATCTCCGGATGTCCATGTACCCACTCGGCGACCGACATGCACCCTCTAGCTATGGCCTTGAGGGCGGGCCCATGATGAACCGGACTGCCGTGGAATTGCTGTCGCCTGCTATTAGCAATACCCATGATGCTCTCCATTTGCTCTCAGAAGCAGCGGGCAGGACAGAGGACCTCAACCGTCAGAGATTGGAGAATCGATATGCTGCGCGGCAGTCGGTTTCTTCATTTAACTCTGGACCCTCGCCTCTGGCACAAGGAAGCTCGCCGCGGAGTTTGGGCGGATCATTTGCAAGGACACCACGCCAGGGAGGGGCCAGCTATTATCAAGGTACCTCGGGTCCCGTGGATCCTCAGATCTCGGAAGGGGGTGGTCATCGAGAAAGCCCGACGAACACCCAAGATCCAGGATATGTGGATGCCGTTCGTGCGTGGTCTCGGCTGCGCTTCGTTCGTGCCGGGTGGCTTACGGTTGAAGAGGGCATGGATTATGTGGCATAGTAAGACTTCCCCCTTCATATAAACTGCGCGTTGGCTAACTATGGCCCAGTTACTATGAAAATCTTGCACCGATGAGCCCCGTCGTGATTCCAGATTTCTCCAACCCTTCGACCCATCGCACATTGCTTACGGATGAGCCAGTGCTGGCAGTGACCGTCCTCACGATTGCTTCTCGACATCTGAAGCCCAAGGGTGATGGAGCCGCCACACGAGCATTTTACATCCACGATCGCCTCTGGTCGTATCTGCGTGGCATGATTGAACGCCTTTTCTGGGGCCAAGAAAAATTTGATGCTGGTGGAGGCATCAGTCGGCCCCGATCTCTGGACCTGGCTCCGACTTCCGGCAAGGTGAACGTGAAAGGAAATCTGAGAGCATTGGGGACGGTCGAAGCCATGTTGCTTCTAACCGACTGGCATCCTCGGAACCTTCATTTCCCTCCGGGTGATGATGAAAATACGTTGTTGGATATGGATGGCCAGACGCAAAATCGTTCCGACAGGGATATAGACACCGAAAGCGATCCGTCGAATAATCGCGGTTCCTCCAGCGCTGCCGAAGGCAGGCTTGCTTTTCAGAAATGGCTGGAGCCAGCCTGGCGATCCGACCGGATGTCATGGATGCTGTTGAGCACGGCGCAAGCCCTGGCTTTTGAACTGGGCGTTTTTGATCACAAGAGCGAGTCCAAAGCAGCCAACGAGTCTCCCGCTGAGCAGACACGGAAACGCCGACTGCGTCGTCTTATCCTAGTCTTCATTACACAGAACAGTGGACGTCTAGGAATTCCCTCCATGCTTCCCTTGCCACAGTGGGGTCAAGACATCCAGCCGACTGCCCCTGATGCCAAAGACAGCGACATCAAAATCGACCGGATGCAGAATTGTTGGATTGACATCTCGAAGATCATGTATCAGAGCAACCAGCTGCTCTTTGCTTCCAATGAACAGACCTCGGAGCTGATCCGAAGTGGGAGATACCGTGATCAAATTGACCGCTTTCAGCCTTTCCTACGTGATTTCAAGCAAAATATCGACAACATATCCCGTGAGTTCATTTCACCTCCAAACTTCAGCGTGCAGAACGCTAATCATTTATTCTACAGTGGCTCCGTCTATGCGAAGCATTTTAATGATTGAATACGAATATACACGTGGGTTCCTTTCTCGGAGAGTTTGGAAGGCTGTGCGCTGATTTTGATAGGCCTATACGTCAACTCCCTGGCTCTGCAGGCCGTGGTAGATCGATGGACCACCATGTCCAATGAGTCAGCTCAGACCCAACCCGGACGGCCAGGCTCGGGTCCGTCGTCGGGTAGCAGTGGGTGGTTCGGGACGTTGATGGACATCTATCGCGTCAATGAGCAATATATCCAAGAAGTTGTGGATGCTTCGCGGAAGATTCTACAACTTGTTCTAGACGGTCTTGTCCCCGGAGACCGTCTGAAGCATGCACCGATTCGGACATTCTTCCGAATCTTGTCGGGCATGATCTTCATTCTAAAGGTAACATCCTTGTCTCATGTCTCAGATACAAAGACTAAATTGTGCATAGACTTTCACGCTAGGTGCTCGAGAAGACGATGTGCGTGTTTCTCTCGACCTGCAGGACCGGACGGTCGAGGCGCTCCGTACATGCGTCGTCGATGACGTTCATCTTAGCAATACCGTTGCGCGATTGCTAGAGCTTCTCACGAGCAGCATTCGCACCCGATTCCTGCGCTTCGCACCTCATGACCGCGGTGCAGATGGAGACGGCCAAGACCGCACATCAGCTCCTGTCTCGCGGGCGCAGTCGCCTCCGCGTGAGAGCTCCACTCATCGTCGTGATGGCCCACACACACCTTGGGCATCTGCCCAGGATGCGACCCCCAGTGGGAGTGGCCTGGGATACATGGATAGCAACGGCGCGGGCAGTACTCCCATGGGAACCAGTCACGACCCGCTGGCCAACATCCCCGCGCAGCCGATCAACTCATCCAGTCTCAACGTCTCGTTCATGCCTCCTCCGCCATCCGTGTACTACAACTACTACGACCCGAACTCGAATCAACCCTCGGGAGATATCGACCGGCCATCGCCAAATCATGTTGCCTCATCTCAGTCGATGGACGGGACCAACACATCCGGCGGGCTTCCGGACTGGTTCGCCCTACCGCTGGACCAATTCTTTAACAGCTCGACCGCGGTGGTCGATCAGGGTCTTGGCGGAACCGGTCCGATGCTGGGAGAATTTGATATGCTAGAAGTGCTTCTCAACGAGGGGTATGACGGCAATGCGAACGGGGAGGACTCGACGGGAAGCGGCACGCTCCCGTCCCAGTTCCTGCAATCGTGATCCTCCCCACGATGCGTTGTTAGTGGATGTCTGCCTTGAGCCAAGCAGAGAACAGCAAGGACTTGTGATGTGTATTTTATTGATTTTCGATTTTAAACTATTATACCCCGGCCGGGATCGTCAGTCTTGGCGTCGCAGGTGTTGGCTATGCCTCGGAGTGTGATTTGATCCCGTGTAATATGCCTGAAACCCTGTCCCCATTGCGGACCTGGTTTCCGACGTAGATGTTTGTCTTGGAATACTCTTTGTCGCAGGTCCTGCCGCATCCGGGTTGTGTGTGTTTCTGGGGAAAATGATCCAGGGCCAGGCACCGGGGTAACATACCCATTCGCCGTATGAGAGACACGGAGAGACTTTCGCCGGGGTGATCCTTGGAACGGCCGGTCTCCGTCGGCCGGGTATATTCTGGATGCCTGCCAGGCCTGGTTTCATCTCTCCACCGCGTGCCGACATTGCACATGGTGCATGGAAGGACCCTCGTGGGTCTGTTCGAGCTTCTCGGGTGGCTGGCGCCACGCATGCATGCTACGTGCCGGACCCTAGATACTACAACCGTCCCTCTTGGAATCACTCATCAGAAGGACGGGGAGGTGTGGCAGCTTGGACCTGGGTTGATTCAACATCGCAGAGCAAGGCGGACCTCGAGGCTGAGCGGAGCCCTATTGGAAGCCATGGTTGGGCGAGCGAGTTCCTGGATGTTCCCATGGATAGAAACATGAATCAGATCCCTCGGCCAGACCGATGATAAGAGGGCTTCCCCGCGTGAGGGTGGTTATCGTTGCATTGTGTGTTGGGCATAAGGGTCCTTTCCTGCAGAACAGACAGACAGGGTATCGCAGAGCCTTGCACATCGCGATGATCCGCACTATGTTAGGGTATTGCAAGAATAGTAGCAAAAGCTGATCGATCCTGATGAGGCGATAAGAAGATGCCCGTGCTCCGTTAAGGGTCACATCGCTTTTTGGCTGTCGATCATTTCGCCGTCGGTGTCCCCGGGAGCCAAGTAACTAGAATCCTTCGCACGTTGCACGGGGAGGACCCGCGCTTAATCCTGCCGGGTGTTGGAGTGATGGATAGCGCACTGGACCAAGGCCATGAGCGACCGCCCGCCGGCCCCTGGGGAGACTATTCATGAAGAAAGGTGTTTCAGGTGGAAACATGGTTGGTAGTTGGTACCTGCGTGGAAGCCCGATCTCTGTTCCAGAGTTGAAGCACCGCCGAAAGTTCGAACCCAATGCCGCACCAGAGAACTCGATCGGCCAATAACCGTGGCATACGCGGACCCGATGTGACCCTGAAAGGGTAAAAACCCACGACGGTCGGCGTGGGAGCGGCTATTGGCCGGTGGCGTTCAGGGTGCTGGGCGATAACGGGCGATGATCTTCAGGGCGATGGGGACTCTAGTTTCGATGCCCAGGCAAATCACTACGCACCCTTCCATGGACGAGAGCTGACTCGTGGTCGACGCCCTCCGTGGAAATCTAAGCCGCGGATGGGGATCAACCACTCAAGACCCAATCGGTGGGCGTGCGGGCTTGCCGTTGCTGGCTAGAGCTGGAGAGCCCAGTGTGTCTGTCGTGCTCCGCGGTCGTATTGGCTGCGCATCCGTCCCCGCCTGGTTCGACTAGTGCTATCAGACCCATTCGACCCTCTCCGCCTTCACGAGCTGGGATCGCAGCTTCCGGACTCTGGTTTGCCCTTCCCCCTCCGTGGCGGGTCCCGTCCGCCGTGACATCCCATCCTGCTATGTCCGGTGGAGTCCGTGATGATCTTCCACAACCCTACTGCCGCGTCCCTGGAGCGACCGGATCGTCATCGCTGGCTTCCTGGAAGAGAAATATCTCCTGAATGATGGATGGGATGGCCAATCTATGCCCAGAAGGTTCGTGAGCTCCCCGAAAGGTATAAAGATGGCCTCGATTCCGGTCTACATCTCTTGGAAATCAACTCGCTCTCCATCCGTTCATTCTTTCGCTTCAAGAACCAAAAGTCCGAAACATCAATCATCATGGTTGTCTTCAGCAAGATCACCGCCGCCCTGGCCCTGGCTGGCGCCGTCTCTGCCGTTCCCCACGGCAAGCCCAACGCCAAGTCCTTCTCCATCGACCAGGTCGCGAAGAGCGTCAACAACCCCAAGGGCGTCAACTTTGCGCGCATGTACCAGAATTCTCTGCTGAAGTATGGTGCCACCGTTCCCGCCAGCGTCAAGGCTGCTGCTGAGCACGGTTCCGTCACCACCACCCCCGAGAGCAACGATGAGGAGTACCTCACTCCCGTCAACGTCGGTGGCACAACCATGCACCTGGACTTTGACACCGGTTCCGCCGATCTCTGGGTCTTCTCGACCGAGCTGCCCCAGGCCGACCAGACTGGCCACTCCGTCTATAAGGCCAGCAACGCCACTGCCCTCCCCGGCTACAGCTGGTCCATCAGCTACGGCGACGGCAGCTCCGCCAGCGGCAACGTCTTCAAGGACGCCGTCACCGTCGGTAGTGTCAAGGCTCCCAGCCAGGCCGTTGAGGCTGCTTCGAAGATTAGCTCGCAGTTCGTGCAGGACAAGAACAACGACGGTCTGCTCGGCCTTGCCTTCAGCTCGATTAACACCGTGAAGCCCAAGACCCAGACCACCTTCTTCGACACTGTCAAGTCCAGCCTGGACAAGCCCGTCTTCGCCGCTTCCCTGAAGCACAACCAGCCCGGCACCTACGACTTCGGCTTCATCGACAGCTCCAAGTACACCGGCTCCATTGCCTACAAGCCCGTCGACAGCTCGCAGGGCTTCTGGATGTTCACCGCGGATGGCTACAAGGTCGGCAGCACCTCCGGCTCCTCCATCAAGGGTATCGCCGACACCGGCACCACCCTCATGATGCTCCCCGATGACGTCGTCTCTGCCTACTACAAGCAGGTCAGCGGCGCTCAGGACAGCTCGCAGTACGGCGGCTACGTCTTCGACTGCTCCTCCACCCTGCCCGAGTTCACCGTCACCATCGGCTCCTACGACGCCGTCGTCCCCGGCGACATCATCAACTACGCCCCCGTCTCCGCCGGCAGCTCCACCTGCTACGGCGGTATCCAGAGCAACTCTGGCCTCGGCTTCTCCATCTTCGGTGACATCTTCCTGAAGACCCAGTACGCCGTCTTCGACTCCGAGGGCCCCCAGATTGGCTTCGCCGCTCAGTCCTCGTAAATCTTCTCACCTCGCCACAGGCAAAAGGATTGCTCTTTTTGGCTCGTGAGTAGCGAGTGAGAGAGAGAAGCGAGTCTGATCCTTTTCCTTTGTTCTCGAGAGTTGATTGATTGTGCGAGCTGGCTCGCCCACTCGCTCCTTTTTTCCGAGTGTTTTGCTTTGGGCTGAGGTTCTTGACACAACTCGCCTTGTACATGGTGTCCAACATGATTTCCAGAACATAACCACAATATACATGCGTTGGCTTTCATGATTAATTACTTCCGCTCCTCTTCGTAAGCACCCGATCCGTATTACGAGGATCCTTAAACTGCAGATGCCTGAACTACAACAAGAGAAGAACCGAAGAATCATAGAACTGTAACGTGAGTAGAAAGCGATGGACGGCGCACAAGACACACAGAACTAAAGCAGGGAAAAAAAGAAAGAGAATGCAACCTTGGACGCGCCCATGATGGCCCCTGCTGCTACTTCCAGGCCACCGTTACGCTGAGCATGCGAAGAGGATCGGGCAAGGCTCGCTCGCGTGGTCGTAGTAGTAAGCCGGAGAAGCCTTTGGGAATCCTGGGTGTATCGTGCGACAAATCCAAAACTGTACGGTGACTAGAAATGGATTTATGACTAAAAATACAAAAGGAGTTCGATGCCAAGCAAGTTACTATCATGAACAATGAACGTCAACTCTACATATATATATTTTGGGGCTTCTGCCTTAGCGCATTTCTCCTCACATGACCTCTTCGTCTCCAGCTAATGTTATTGATCTTGGAGGGCGATACATCAATGGCAATTAGCAGGCGTAAAAACCGACATATTGCCCGTGATAGATATCATAGTTACGCCGACACTATACTGAACCATTCTAATTTCGGTATACAGATTCGCCCTTAACGTGCCTCACCGTCTCCCCGAGCTCTGGTCCCCGATGTGGCTGGGTTTGACAGAAGAAAAGGTGGTGACACCATTTTGGAGACACACTGTACTGATAAACGAGACATAAAAAACCTCCTAGGCAATGGGAGTCATCATACTAACAAAATAGTGTAGTGACCATCATCCACCTACGTCTATGGTGCTAGTAGTCACTAAATTCTCTGATCGCCATTTAAGCATTATATAGAGGAAGAGTTAAGAACTGGTGAGTCCCAAGATCTCACACACTACGAGATGGCTTTATGCGTATCTGATATCATATTCTCGTGTATACATACAGATTGGATTTAGAGGCCCTTGGGCCTATCGTTTTTTACCCAACTCAAACATGGGGAAATATCGCTTCACAATTTGATCCAGTTGTTCAATTACCACCGGCTTGACAAGATATTTGTCCCCGCCTGCCTCTTGTGCGGCGGTTTTATCCGCAACGGTGTCTTGACCGGTCATAACCAGTACCAAAACCCTTGCCCAGTTGTTCTGTTTCTCCAGACTTCGTATTTGCCTGGTGGCTTCGATGCCGTCGCACACTGGCATTTGCAGGTCCATCATAATCAGCTCGATAGGAGGCTCGTTGTTGGCGATAGAAGTTGATTGGCGTTGCGAAAAAAGTTCCACAGCTTGCAGACCATTTTTTGCAGCCAAGTACGGCAAGCCTCTCTTTTTGCAGTACATCTCCATAATGCGGAGGTTGATGGTGTTGTCATCCACAATCAGAGTTGTGGGTCGCGAAGAATTACTCAACTGGCGGGAGATTGGAACGTGTTCTTTCGAGTCTGCAGAAGGTGTTACATCCCGATCGGATCCCAAGGATGGAGTATTTTGTGGATGTGAACTAGGGCTGGCACCGTCAATCGAAAGTTGGTGGGATTCGAGTTCCTTTGGTTCCGGGGCTTTAGTGGCCTTCGGAAGAAACGGCAGGGCTACACAGGGTTGCAAAATCTTGAGTTTCTCCACGAGGCGGTCCGCTTGCTCGAGGGCCGCGCCTAGCGACAAGGTGGAGAAAGGCCCGCTGGTATAAACAACGTTCTTAGCCGTCCGTTGTAGAAGTGAATTGGCATCAAATCCGGGAAGAAGACAAATCGCAACAGCTCCCGATGGAATCTGGGACAGCTGCAGGTGGTGCTTTTCTAAACTAGGGTCAGTTTCAAAGACGACAAAGGAGCCTTCTAGGCAAGTCGACGGCGCAAAGCCACTGCGTGTGAGGAAAGTTATGAAGTGACCACAGAGAGACGTGGAACCCGAATCAGATATCAAGCTGAAGAATCTTGAGGGTAGATTCTGAAGCTTTGAAGCGAGCGATTGCGGCGGGTTGGGAGAGGTGGTACATTCAACACCCCGGAAGGTGGTTCTAAAATGAGAGCCTTGGCGAACTTCCGAGGACATCAAAGCGACTGATCCCTGCAAGAGCGATGCGAATCTAGACGCCACAGTGAGTCCCAGTCCCGCGCGTGCTGAGTGCATATCGACCTTTTCGTAAGGTTCGAATATGCGCCGCTGATCATCTTGGTGAATGCCTTGACCATTATCCTCGACATCCACCGTCAGCTGCCTCGAAGCCAAGTTCAGTGAAAATGTTACTAATACAGTTCCATCCGGTGTGTGCTGGACTGCATTTAAGATAAGTGGCAGAATGCTGTCCCGAAGCACATCGATATCCATCCAGATACTCTCACAAACAGGAGGCAGATCATGCATGAAGAAAACAGAAGCTCGATACCGTGTATCTCCCACGGTCAGGTTGACTAACCCAGTACACAGCTCCGTCTCAAGCTTTTCAACCGGATGCATGGCATAGTGGCGGTCCATCGTAGCGATATCAGCCCATCGATTGATTGTAATCATGTTATTGATGATTGCAATCAGATCTCTGCCGCCCATTTTGATAATGCTCAGATATTTGGAATGTTCGTCTAAACGCATTCCGAGAGGCTTTTCAACTGATCCTGGTGCTGGGAGGGCGTCTTCGCCTGAGTACCAGGACTGGATCTCTTCAGCTAGGAGGTCCGCTGAGCCGAGAATGCCATGGATCGGTGTCCGAAGCTGATGAGAAAATCCCTGGAGAAACTTCTCCTTTGCTCTCAGCGCCTCGAATAGGAGTCTTTTGCGCCACATCTGGGAGATCAAGCCAGCACACGTCTGTACAAACCACATGTCAATATCATCGAATACGAAGTGAAAGTCCTTTGAGGCCACCATGAGCAAAGATGAACCCGATACAATCTCGCAAGGAGCAGCAATGATGCGAACAGTGTGTGTGGTTGGAAGAGCGTCGTGGTTGGAATTGGCGATCAAGGCATCCAGGTATTCCGCATCTTCCCACAGGCCGCCTTCCAAGTCCGACATCAAGATAGGCTTGCGTCCTTCCAGCTCAATATAGGTTGCCTTTGTCGGCTGCAATTTGATGATAGCATTAGGGTAGGTGCTTCGGAGAATTTGATAAATAGGGTCCTCGGAGACCACCTGGTCCAGCTCCAACTGTGCGGCGGAGAGGAGTTCAGTCATTTGATGTCGGTCACGTTGGCGCCTTGCTCGCACCGCGTGAAGGAGATCCGAGACGACCCAGTCACCCAGGCGGACGAGTGCTTGTTGCTGGTCTTTTGTGAGCGGTTCCTCGCTTTTACTCGAGGCTACGCAGAGTGAACCAAGACCAACACATTCTCCGGTTTCGTGCTGCAGACGCAGCGGTACACCAGCGTATGCGTAAAGCCCGCCCTGCTCGAGATAGGGACACGTCCGAAATCTCCAGTCATCCATGAGTGCTGGTAAATGAAATACGCTCTACGTAGTGTTTTTAGCAATCTATTAGTGGGCGGGAGAAACCCACAACTTACACCAGGAGGTTGAGTAACCGTATGGGCGCAGATTGTTTCACCCCTCGGCAGGATGCCTAACTGTACGCCTACCGTGGCCAAGCGGATATACACATCAACATCCTGGATGCCGATGATCGCGAACTCCCACCCCGTGGACTCCTTAGCCAGATGAACTTTCTCCTGGAGACCGGAGAGTAACTCTTCCTCTTTGAGAATATCGCGGGTGTAGTACCACAGCATGGACAATCTAAGTCTCTCATTGTGGGCCAAAGTGGCACGCGGATATCGACCCTCGAAGCCTGGAGGCTTGTTGCAGACGGTGGATGTGGGCGCGTTGGGGTCAAGGTTAGGATACAGAGTCGATCCGATCCCCTCGGACCAGGCGCTTATTGGTTTATCGAGGTTTTCCGGATCGAGAATCGGCCCAACGGTATCCGGGCGCGTGGGTGGGAGTGGATGCCTTGACGTGAGAATCGCTGCATCTGCCTTTGGAAAGAACGCTCTAGTAGAAGGCATTATCACCGCGGAGCTGCCGACTGCATCAACCTGAAGCGCAATGGAAACTGATGAAATGCGAAAGAACAGGGGAAGAAAAGCATTTTGGTAGGTAAGTTTGATAAGCAGGTTTTTCCTTGGTCTTGACCACGTGCTTCCTTTTAATTAATTGTCGGAGGACCAAGCCGCACATCCGGAATTAATTCCCGCATAGTCTATACGAAGAAGCAAGTTGTTTGGAAAACCAACTCGATCTTTTTGTTATATATATAGCCTCGGTTGTTCTCTCTGGTACAAAAACAATTAATCTTCCTTTGAACTACTTCAGTTTCGTGGCCTGAGTTGAGGGGGGACAGTGCGACACTGGGAGCTATCTTGGGATGAAGAATGAAGAATGTAAATATAAAAGCTAATGAAGTATACGATAGTTGTAGGAATTAGTGTCACTGTCGAGTCGAGTCGCTAATGAGCAGCTGCTCTCGAGCTCTTCCTAGATTCGTACAATCCGCGCCTTGCACTGACGACGCTCACTTAGGACCTCGCCTGACCGTCGGTGGGTGCGATCGAGCTCCAGACGATGAAATGTTTTCGTGAAGAAATTAATTTCCTTGTGACAATGTGCCTGCTCTATCTGCACTCCTCCCGCAGCATGTGCGGTGGTACTAAGATGACTCTTGAAACGAATGGCGAACCCCTCTCGCTGGACTGATATTCCGGATCGACCGAGACTCCTCTAGGGCCTGCGATATCACAGCTCCGAGAGAACGACCTAACTCGTCGTAATTGGTTCGATACAGGACGAGATTTCCATTGCCCAGGCTCGATTGCAGCAGCCATGCATTGGATTCAGTAACGGACCAAGCATAGCCGTACTCCGTTGGCGGCTATAAGCAGACCTGGTTCGAAGCAAGATTAAGACCAAGCCGTGGATCTAGCAACCATCAGTTCCATCATCGACGCGGATGAGACGTGCAGGGTGGAGATAAATCAGACCCGGGTAGAGTACGACATGACCTATGATATGTTCGCTACCACTCTGCTTCATAGTTTTACCTCCCAGCTACCGTGTCTTCGACTAAACCCGATGACCCTCCGGATCTAGACTACCTCAATCCAAGGTCTCGACTTCGGCGAGGGGTCGGGTTAAATGAAATCAGTCATCCGTCCGTACAGTATTCATGGACAGCTCTTTACATCTATTAAAGCCTTCTCGCGCAGACAAGTTGCTGTGCTCATCTAGTACAAGCAATGATCGATCTTGGCCGAACAGATTCTGAGTGGTGGGTGTCGGAAGTACTGTACTATTGGGCGGGTAATGGGTCCCCACAGGGGAATTTCCTGGCTAACCCCTGGGAAGAAGTGGGGTCTCAGTTTCTCGCGAATCCGGGGTGTAGTGTTTGTTCCCCGCAAATTCTCTACCCGAAATCCCTCCCCAACCACCAAAAAGCCCCCAAAAAAAAAAGAAAAAGAGGAGAAATCCTGGAAAACGAATCCCGGTCACCTCAGCCTATGCACGTCTATTGGGGCTTCAGGGTGCCGGTTCGAGCAAAATTTCTATACAAGCACACCCTCACAATCGAAAAGTGAAGGCTTCACCCGTCTCCTGGCTGTCTTTAACACTGCGGGCGACATCTTCCAATTTGACTGTGATAAGCTCCCAGTTGTTTGTTTTTTCACCCCGCAGCAACTCATGATTTCCTATACCACAGGGATCAATTCGACCACTATGGCGCCGGAAAACGTCGAGCAGCCCCCTACGATATCTATCGCTGAACCGGCCGATAACATCAAGTCCGAGCAGGGCAATGTTATTGCGGTCAGCGAGGAGGCTCGTGTGGCCACTGGAGAGGAGCACAAACTGGGCATCGTCAAGGCGCTGTCTACCTACCCTAAGGTCGTCATGTGGTGCATGTTCCTGTGCTTGCCCATCATCGGTATACAGTATGATGAGACCGTTATGGGCGCGTACTACGCGATGCCAGCGTTCCAGCGTCGCTACGGAGACTACGTCGGCGACGGCGAGTGGCTCGTGGAGGCCAAGTGGCAAGCTGCCATCAGCATGGCCGGATACCTGGGCCAGATTGTTGGTGGTCTCAGTGCTGCCGCATACCCATTGGATCGGTTCGGCCCTCGTCGCTGTCTGTCTGCTGGCGTGCTTGGAATCACCGGCTGCATCTTCATCATGTTTTTTTCGCAGTCCATCGAGGTACTTTTCGTGGGCGAGCTGCTGCAGGGTCTCATTAGTGGTTCGTTCATTGTCATCTGTGTTTCCTACGCCTCTGAGCTCACTCCCCTGGCCCTCCGTGGTATTTTGACTTCCTACGCCAACTTGTGTGCCGTCATAGGCCAGTTTCTTGGTACTGGTGTGACTTTTGCCCTCCAAAGCCGCCTCGACCAGTGGGCGTACCGTATCCCGTTCGCGGTCCAGTGGTGGTGGTGCTTGCTGTACTTTATGTTCATCTGGTTCGCCCCCGAGTCGCCGTACTGGTTAGTGCGTAAGGGCCGCGAAGAGGATGCCGTCCAGGTCCTGACCCGGCTGTCGGGCCGCAGCGACTCCGAGCAAGATGCCCGTAACCGTGTGATCCTGATGCGCGAGACTGACCGCATCGAAAAGGAGCTGTCCCAGAGTGCGACCATCATCGATTGCTTCCGGGGCGCTAACCTGCACCGAACCGAGATCTGTGTGGTGGCCTACATTATCCAAACCTGGGGTGGTGGTGCACTCATGGGCTACTCGACATTGCTCTTTGAGCTGGCTGGTTTACCCAGCAAGAACTCCTTTGCACTCAGTCTGGGCGCCAAGGCGTTTTCCTTCACTGGTACTATTGTGGCGTGGTTTATGCTGTCGCGATTCGGTCGCCGCACGCTTTACTGCTATGGCGAGGCGCTGCTTACAGTGTTCCTCTTCTTGATTGGCATTTTGGCTGTGGTACCGCACAACTTGTCTCACCCAGGTCTGCAGTATTCACAGGCCGTCATGCTTATGCTGTTTTCTTTCGTCTATGACTGCACGATTGGCCCTGTTGCGTATGTGCTGTTAGGTGAGATTTCTTCCACCCGTCTACGAGGCAAGACCATTGCTGTGGCGCTTGCTATAAAGGCTGTGTTTGGCATTGTCAACTCGGAGGCGATGCCATACATGATGAACAAGGGCCACGCCTACTGGAGGGGCAAGGCTGGCTTCCTGTTTGGAGGATTTAACCTGCTATTTACGCTGTGGGCGTTTATGCGCATTCCTGAGACCAAGGGCAGGACATTTGAGGAAATTGACTTGCTATTCGAGAGGGGTGTCAAGGCCAAGGACTTTAGCAAGTACGTATCGGATGCCGATTTTGAGCAGTACTAAAGACAGTGGCGGAGATGTTGACGCCTGCTAAGAATGCTGTGCGTTGGAATTTATGTGTTAGGTGTCGAATGTTATATTTTGCGTTAAGTTTTAAAATCATATTACAAACGGCATGCAACTGAGAGATGAGATTGTTTCGGAGAACAGAAGGTAGCTTTCGCCGATAGGCTGAACGCCTACTTCTATAGAGCGGCCACTAGCGGGTTCCCTCTTTCTATCTATTATTGCAGAACCCAGATAGGGTTGGTGAGTCCCAACATATCATCCTGGGCATCCCTAACCTCAACCCGCACGTAGTGCGCTTTAACGTTGACGTTGAGTTTGGTTTGCGACGTCTTGTGCACAATTCCCTTTTCCGTGATCAACCTCAATTGACATTCTGGGAATCCCTTGATCGTCACACAAGCGGTGACCTCCTCAGAGGTTTCTAGCCAGTCACCAATATCGGCTCTTTCACTGCAATGAGACAGACAAAATTCTATCTCGTAGTCCGGATGCTGGGTCAGATACACATGGCGGGCACGTAAGCCTCGGATGATGGCGTTGACGGACGTTTCATCGGCCAGAACCCTCGTCAGTGGCTCTGCAATCTCAAACTGTGGCTCGTGGATGTCGCTGCCGCCAGAGGCAGTAAATATCTTACCCTCGCGCAATAATAAGTCCCACTTCTCGACGGCCTTGATGTTCGACTCATCTTTAGGGTGCCGCTTCCAGGGGCCATTCCATACTTCGATTGCGTCCATGTGGTCATGGAACGAGTACTTCCATTCACAGCACTTGCACTCCGCAAAGGGGTGGTTGAGAATGGCAAATCCGTCGGACCTGTGCACGTCCTCGACGGCCCGCACCAAGCTGGCGTCCATCTCCTTCATGTCGCAGATCTTGTGATCGATGAGTTGGTGTGGCAGTAGTCCAATTGCACTCCAGTGGCCTCCGAACGTGGTGACCTCTATGCCTCGGCCCACCAGGAAGCCCTTCGGCACATGGTTACCCCAGACCAGATTGGCACTGAAGGTGTTATGTTCGGTGGAGAAGATGAAATCGAGACCCCGCTTAAGGGCCTTGTCGACCAATTCGTCTAATGTGAACTTGCCGTCCGAGTACAAAGTGTGCATGTGGAAGTCGCCCTTAAGCCATTTGTAAATAGGTCGTTGCCCAGGAGGTCGCTTGATCGTGGTGGAAAAGTCGGCCCGCGCAGGAGCCGGATTGGCCTCAAATACAGGCCGCGGGCTGTCGTCGAGGGTGATTTCGACATGATACGATGCTGACGAGGAAGTAATGTTATAGACGCCCAGCAGCACGTACCATTCTCCAGGGGCCAGCAGACCCGGGATATAACCGGGCGAGGCTTTGTCATTGGCGACTGTGATATCGAATTTGGATCCGCCAGAGTACCCGCGGAACTGCTTGTCGACGCCCAACAGGCCCAGATCGATGGCATTGCCGCCTTCGCGGCCCGTGTAGCTGTACTTCACATTGATAGACGTGGTGCCGGCCGGTACATCGAATGCGACCAGCTTCTGGGTGAGCTGGTCAGTTGGAGTGACGGTGCCACTGCGCCGGATAGGAGAATATTGCATGGTCAAAGGTGTTAGAGAGTGTCTGGGTATTTGATCTGACGCTGCTCCCAAAAAAGCAATCGAATAAATTCAAAATTCGCGTAATTGCTCAGACGCTCCCCACGGCCCATAAATTTCCTCATTTAGATTCATTAGCGTGTTTTGTGTGTCTATTATTGTTTCTTGTTTGTAATAGGAAAGCTGATGGTTGGAGTCTCTTCTTAAGTCTCTATAACTAAATTAAAGCTTAATTATAAACCCTTAAGTCTTTCTGAAAGGGCCACGCGATTCTTTAAGTAGGTCATTATTTAAAATTTTATTTATGGCTCACTCACGGCTTGCTAGCTGAAATCACAGGAAATTTGATCACTAATATATGTTACAAAACAAAACACAGAGACTAATGCACTGAAACGCGGGGGCGGGGTTTTCAAAAAGTTAACGGGGGCCGAGCAATCAGGCAGTGGCTGCCAACGCTTTTTGCACGACGCCGGCGGTATATGCCATGGGCAGGTGATGCGCTGCCAAATATCGGCAATAGAACCATTTCCCACCCATCCGATGCAAGGGATGGTGCCTGGATATCATGTCTCCTTTGATGGTCTCAAATAGGCTTAGGGGCTTCTCCCTGATATGATACAGTGGGGCCCGCAATTGCCTTCCATGTCGGAAACGTAGAGCTGCTATTTCAAGCCCTGATCATATGATATGCTAATCCAGATATAGTTATGTCTGTATCTAACTAGAAGCGCACGTCGCGCGTAGCGGAACTGAGATGATAAAAGGGAGGAACGAAACGAGAAGGCGAAGAAAACAGATGAATTAGTGAGCATATGTTAAGTTGCACGATAAATAAGAGTGACGAATGAGAGAAACGAAGAATCATGAGTAATATACCCGTTTAGTGGAAAATGCAAAATTAGGTGTTCATCAAGAGGTTCAATTTCGCACTTTGAGAGCACGTTTGTTAGCATAGAAGGCTTGCCGCAGTGTCGCGGGTTCTTCGCAGGCCGTCAGGTAGTTAACCAACCGCCCTTATGTAAATAGTCTAGGAGTAAATCTCCTCTTTTTCTGAATTTAACAGTTTACTAAATAACCGCCCCCTAGGAATTAGACCCCTCCCAATTAACCACCTCCCAATTAACCACCTCCCAATTAACCACCTCCCAATTAACCACCTCCCAATTAACCACCTCCCAATTAACCACCTCCCAACTCTCTCCATTCATGCGGCAAACTACTTAGACAATCTGTCACAATGTGGAAAATGAATATACATTTGGCTATTATCAAGGTACTATCCGCATCCCTTCGTAGCGTCACCAACATCGATCCAGCGCCGATCTACTGTCAGATGGTTGACACCAAGCCACAAACCAGCCTCATCACCAGGAGCCTTATGCGCAGCTGCACAATTGTAGATAAATGCACGCTAGCATATCTTAATAGGCTCTAAAACGCCATTCCATCACCTGAAGAATTATCGAGCTTATTCATTCTGAATCTTCCACTCAGAAAGTTTGAGCAGAAGTGGCTCGGCGATGTATTCGAGACATAAGGTGGAGCACAAATATTGCTTTGCGCGAATGAAAACGGATATTGAGCCTAGGATCAAAGATGGTACGAGGTGTTAGATACTGCCCACGAAGACGGGGCGACGCCGGTATAACCACAATCTCACAGTACTGTTTCATCCTTGAATATAAACCATTTCTTGTGTAGACGTCGCAAACCAACAGCACCAAATAACAGGCAGACAGAAATGGTTCACCATAAGCTCGGCTCCTCATCATAACATTCCAAACAGCTGCTCTTTTCCTTATCCTTCAGTTTCTGATATAGCCTCTCGATATGATGTTGATAAGTCATCTCAACCTCCCTCCTCAACACTGTCATTTTCATGGTCCGCTTGAATGGCAAGGCTGGGTCGGATAACATGATCATCTCCCTTGGGATGCGAATCTCATCATCATCCCTTTTGTTGATATCTTTGATAGCAATGTCATAAATGCGGTCCAGGAATCGATTTGGATCCTTGATGTCGCGGTAATCTTTTGGCTCAATGATGATGTATGGCACATGCCGACCTTCGCCCCCGACAATGACCGAGCTGACTTGAGGATGACGCGAAACCTCGTCTTCAATGTGCGCCGCGTGGAATTTGGCCAGCCAAGACAGTTTCACAAGGTCATCTTTGCGTCCGCGAGAGATCCATCGTTGAGAACCGAATTTATCTTTCACTGGGTAGTAGAGTTCGCCGGTATCGATAGAGTCGAGAGACGGAAAGGTGTGAAAGCCACATTGGAAGAGCTGATGTTCAGTTGTACGGTCGATGTGCAATTCGTACAAATCCTCATCCACTTGTTGAAACCGAGAGCCCATCTCTGGGACAAACTCATAGCTTTTCCACATGGCTACATCGTCTGATTCAAACGACAATTGCCCTCCTCGTTCTGTTGACCCAATTACCGGGAATAGATTGGTATGCTGTGCTAGCATATCGCCAACTGTGTGATTCAGTCCCGCTCCCAGCCAACAAACGTAATCGAGACTCTTCAGGAATGCAAACACTTCCTTGTCATTGTAGAAATCTTCTATAAGTGAAGGTGGAGTAATAATGCTATTGGCTCCTGTGTGTTGGCAGATCCGTATGATGGATTGCGGGTCGAACGGGGGTATCATATCGGAAGGCAGCATCACTGTCGTGAGTCCAAGAAATACTGGTGCATTCAGACTGAAAGCTAAGCCGGCTAGCCATTGTGGAGCACATGTTGTCAGTGATAGTGCATTTTCCATATGCCGATATGTGATCTTTCGTGGGCTGTGTCTCGACATGATAGTTTTCCAACTATCCCAAACAGACATGTATCCATTGCGAAGGTAGATCGGGCTTGGATCACCTAATAGCAAAGTGGCTATTAGAACATTTCAAGTATACATATCCAGTTGATAAGGCATACCTGTTGTGCCAGATGTATGGATGATACAAACGATGTCGTCTTTTGCTTGCTCCCAAGTTTCGTTGTAGGCATATGGAGGAGCAAAATCGCCTCCAAGCATATCATCAAGAGAAGGAAACACATAGCATTTCTGTCCTTCAACTGTACTGGGCTTGTCCTGCGTAGCAATCCAGGCAGTGCATCGAATCTCGGCCAGGACCTTGGCTAACCCAGATGGTGTTATTCGTCCGTCTGGAATAAAAAGCTGCGCCGAAACGAGTCAGAAACATAGACTTATCAAAAGATAGAGCTCTCACAGTTCGTTTAGATTTGGCTACCGCAACCATGAGGATATAGTACCTAGCATCGTTGGGACCAAGGTAGGCAATCGTTTCCCGACCTGGAGATTCTCGAGGGATGTTCTCGTCTAACCAGAACGCAGCCTTGTTTATAGCGTTGGCAAACTGGTTCCATGTTATGGTGCGAAAACCCCCTTCTTGCTCCCACAAAGAAGAGGGGGCATAAAGAAGCCATGGATCGCTCGCCATAGACTTGGCCTTGGCGTCGATGACGTTGGCAAGCAACCTTGGAAAGTGAGGCATGATGTTGGACAGCAAGTGCGCGACTTTTCCTTCTTCCAATTGAATACAAATGAAACCCAAAGATAAGGAGACATACCTGGGCAGTTACAAGCTTATATACTTCAAGTTTAGTATGATATACCGTACATTGGCTAAAAGCCCCAAGATAAGTATGCAAGCATGTGTTAGCAAGCAAACAATTTCGCAACATGATATGATTTTGGCATAGATCCGGAACACCACGAGTAGAAGGAGAGGCTCGCAAATGAACGCAATTCGGGCTAGCTGGTCCCGCAACAGATCTCGGAGTATGTGGGTCTCGCAATGACGAGATTTCCTGGCTAGCTAAGTCTATAGTCTAATTGCATTGGCCTATAATAATGTTATACAATCCAGAGGCAGGTGCATAAGGCAGCTGTAGACTTGACTAGCGCTTTCAGCCGTACCGACAGCTGAAAATAAGCGGAGATTATCCCAGTATAACAACCCCCTCTCTTCCCCTCTCTCACCCACCTACGGAGCAGTCTACAGTATTGTTGTAATCGATAGAAATCGTCGCGGTACACTCTAATATTAGCATTTCCTATAATATGGGAATGGTAGTATGACTTATTTAGGGGGCAAAGCCGTACCGTCGTCCCCTTTGTACAACGGGATAGCATTTTTCTTTGGTAAAATGCAGCCGGGAACCATTCAATAGTTGGTTAGCATGGACGCGCAAGTTGAATTAATATTTGAAAATTCGAATCTACATGGGAACAAATGGAATAAGAACCCCAATTCGAGTACATAGTAGAAATTATGTCATGCTGATAAGCATTCTAAACATCGGACTGGCCGACTGAGCCGAGGTCGCCAAAAGATGGGGGAGGTGCCGCGCCAAACGTCGGACTGGCCGACTTGATGTCAAAGCGAGGGGTATTTGATGTCTTGATCGTTGTGAATACAATTCCATATATAATCATGACACGAGTGTGAGATAATATAAGAAACAGCTTCGCTTTTATCTCAGTTCACCATGCCCGATGATCAACTTCATGTCGCGATTATTGGTGCAGGCCTCGGAGGCCTAGCAGCCGCGATCGGAATATCAAGGGCGGGCCACAGAGTCACTATTCTAGAGCAAGCGGAGGAGCTTGGTGAGGTACGCTACTGCTTCCATATTATGGATCCTTATTATTACTGCTTGCGACCTATAAGGATTCCATTGAACTTCTGGATTAACCACACTATGTAGGTTGGCGCTGGCATCCAGATTCCGCCGTCCTCATCTAGGGTATTGGATGAATGGGGGTTATTGGAAAAAGTCCGATCCGTTGCCACTCTGCCCAGTGATTTCCATTTAAGGTCAAGAGACGGACGGATCCTGTCAACGCAGAATATTCGACCGTCTTTAGAAGAGAGGTACGGATATCCTTACTTCCAAGTTCACCGAGCCGGTTACCATCGGATCTTAACCAACGAGGCGATTCAACTCGGTGTGGATCTTAAGTTACAGGCCAGCGTACTTGACATTGATTTCGAGAAACCCTCAGTTATGGTAAAAGGAGATCCAGATTATGAATTCACGGCCGACTTGGTTATCGGCGCGGATGGCCTTCGCTCTAAATCCCGCGAATCTTTGCTTGGCCGTGCTGACCCGCCGAGGCTAACTGGTGATCTGGCCTACCGGTCTATGGTTAAGGTGTCGGATATGCAAAGCCCGCGTTTAAAAGAACTGGTCAAAAGGCCATGCACCAACTATTGGATGGGCCCGAATTTGCATGCAATGTGCTATTTGATCGAGAAAGACCAGATTTGCAATATTGTTTTGATCATTCCAGACGACTTGCCTGAGGGTATCAACGTCGCATCTGCCGATGTTGAAGAGATGCGAGAAAGTTTCCGTGGCTTCGATCCCACATTGACAGAGCTTCTGGAACATGTTGATAACACCTTAAAATGGCGTTTACAAGACAGCGTCAAGATGGAGAGATGGAGCCACCCAGCCTACAAGTTTATATTGCTTGGTGATGCATGCCACGCCACCCTTCCTTATCTGTAAGTGCTATTTGTGTGTTCTAGATTTCAGCTAGTTATCATTTCCTAACGCAATCCGCTAGTGCGCAAGGCGCAGCCCAGGCAATTGAAGATGGCGCTGTTATTGGCGCTCTCTTTTCAAAACTGCCAAGGTCGAATTTCCGGCGATTGGTCCCAGATATTTTGAAAATTTATGAGCACTTGCGCAAAGAAAGAACCGCCAGGGTCGTTCAAAAGAGTGCCGACTTCCGTGTTGTATTCCATATGGAAGATGGTCCTCGACAAGAGGAGCGGGACAGAATTTTGTTGCACGAGCCGCCCTGCAAAGACTTTCCATTCCTATTTGCGGATCCAGAGCTTCAAGAGTTTTTGTTCGGGTACGACGTAATGAAAGAGGTGGACCATGCTTGGGGAAAGTATCTGGGTGATCCCGTGACGTGTTCACTTTGAAGCACCATTGTAACTCAATTTACTTTCAGCTAAATCAAAGTACAGCGTAGTATACTATTGGATGTTAGTTCTGATCGAATTGTTGTTTGTCGAGTTATTTCCAAAAAAAGAAGAAGTAAGTACCTTTTGTATAGCGGTCCCATACAAAGGTACAATATCCAGACGATCAAAGTTCGTAATATTATGACGGGAAGGACGAGTAATTAGACTAGAGAGAACCATTTGTAGAATCCTAAATAGCAGGTATTGACTACATAGATCTATCTATGTATAGCGCGAAGGCGGGGACCGTCCCAAATAGCCTTGCCTGCATCGCCCGTGTTTATTTAATGCTTCAGCTGTTATATTATCTGCCCCTTCTGCTGTCTTTTCTTCATTTCATTCATGAGAAGACTAGAAAATGCCTTCCGCGGCTTGGTCAACAACGAGCCCCGGGCGCCGCACCCCCACCCATATTCCCTAATGTAGTCTCTCTGCTCCCGTATATAGTCTATGTTCTATCATTTATATCATATACCGGCGCTTTTCCGGTCATTATACTATCTTTTGCCTATATTTGTATCTGAGCGTGTCATTACCACTCCTCGGTAGATAGTCCACATGACCGTGTACGAAGTTTCGAGTACGTTGCGTAAGATAGCGGTAATTAAGTGCATTGGACAATTGCTATTAGAAATTCACGACAATAAACCACTCAATTTACCCCATATGTGCTCATGCACTCATGTACTTCTGTTCTCAAATTGAACGGTTGAATAATGGCGATAGCTTGAGGCAGTTCTTATTCGCAACCTCTTGCCAAAGTAAAGGAAAAATAAGGTACCCGGAACGAGCACTGCGAGAGATAAAAGTGAGAGGGTCAAGAAGACATTTGATATCCCCACAGCCTCAATCCAGGGCGTGAGAGCAAAGACTAAGACAGTCGCTAGAAGATTCCGAATAAAAGTCACTCCGACGAGAGAGTCGGCAACGATCTGGTAAATGACTTATATTAGTCTTCCTCACGACACCACGCAGTAATGTTTCCTGTCACTCACATTGGTATACGCATCAGTGAGATACGTCAGCGCCGAACTGCTCACAGGAGCCATGCCAAAGCCATATATTGCATAACCAACTGCAACGACAATCCATGGCGCTCCATTTCCAAGGGCATACCCAAATATCAGTATACCAGCCGGCGCAAAAGGTGTAGCCCCAAGGACAGTCCACAAACGCATCTCAGGCTCGAAAATTCCACTGTTCTTTTTTGCTTGTCTCAGGGCTAACCAATCGCTGAATGTTCCATATATCAGGCTCCCAATAGTGTTGCCGATAAACGGAGCTAGTGACATGAGACCGACTTGTGCTGCATTAAAATTGTAGGGTGCTTCTGCCATAACGGAAGAAATGACAGTAATCATTGCCTGCCATGCGGCAGTGATTAGTCCATATAGCACAGACACGTACAAGGCCGCTGGAAATTGTACTATCACAATGAGAGGCTGATATGCATGCCGCACGTAACCTTTAACCGGTCCAGGAAAAGATATCCATGGTTTTAAACGCTCATGATAGCTTTTTCGCGGGATGTTAGGGTCGATGTCGATTTCTGTCATATTTTGTGTGAAATTGGGACGTTTCGTTTCATCCATCCTTGCCTCAGGAGTCAATTCTGATTTCATCCCTTCTTCGAGATCCACATCATCATTATATTTGTCCTTGTCCATGTCAGCGGGTGTGGGTGTGGGGTTTAACTGAATCGAGGATCTTGTTAAAGTAACCCCTGTCATCGAGTCGACAAATTTAGTCTCTTCGTAGAAGAACAGAAAGAGAATCAAGCAGGTCCCAAAGAGAATTGACATCCACCACCAAACCCATCTCCAACCTTCGGAATTAGAAATAAACCCAGCCACTAGAGGGGCAAGTGAACATCCGACTATCATGACCCAGACATAGACCGAGTTCATTCTGCCCCTTTGATGAACAAAGAAGATATCTGCAATTGTCATTTGAACGATGGCTTCTGCAAGTGCGCCAAGTAAGCAGTTAAACGCGTTGACTAGGACAAGATCTGCGACTGTCTCAAGTTTTGCAGCCCAAATGGAAACGAAGAATTGAAGGAAAAGGCTAATGAGATAAACGATGCGTCGACCAAATTTCAACGCAATAGGAATGAAAAATAACGCTCCAACACAAAGTGTTGCTGAGCCGGCCGCGTAACTGTCTTGTAGAATTGCATAGCTGAAACCAAGTTGCCTATGCATTGGGGCCCAAGTAGGGGTGGCAGCGTTAATTCTTTCAATCAAAAACATTGTCAGAACAGCACGAGGAGAATGGAGATTTTAGGATAGATAAGACACACACTGCGAAAACCAGAAGAGAATATAGGAGAACAAGGCCATAATTCAAGTATTTCTCCCAGAGCTTCCAGTTCTGCATCCTAGTCAGCAACATTGGTTTTCATTAATTGGTGTTCTTGAAGCACACCAGAGGGTCATTTGGATTTCTTGTAGGAGTCGGCTGGAGGATAATCACATCTCCAGATGCACCTCGTAGATCTAAACAGAGCGTACACAAATCAACGCGTACACTATGGGGTTATGATGGAGAGCCACTCACCTTCCAGGAGAACAGTACCAGGTGGCCATTCCTGATCGTCAGTACTCTCAGCCCTTGAAGGCATTATTTTCTGTCGGAGCCAGTTCTAATCAAGCACAACAGAAAAACAAGGACACTTGTCTGCCAGAGTGTTTCAGCCAGACAACGCACAGAGTGTCCGAAGTATCGGACAGCGCAATTCGACCCAGATATATAGAGGATATAATTGTTATCACCTACCCAAGATAACCCAAGGGAGGCTTTGGCCTCTTATCTACAAGCTCTCTTGGCTTCCACATTCATTGGCTAGAATGATCGGACATCCCGAAGAAACGAGTGGGTATAAGCGGGGCCGCCGAACCCTTCAGATGGTCGATATGTAAAGGACTCACGGCCTTACGTCGTTGATGTATACTGGGCAGAATATCATTCTTTACAAGAATTCTTCTTAACGATCGTATTCCGACAGCTAGTAGCGACAGCTGGCTTTCCTGGGCAATTCAAACGATCGCCTTCATAATTTTCACTGCGTTTCCTTTTTCTAGTCCAGTTCTGGGGGTCTACAGGCAGAGTAGAAGCCATGTGATACGAGCCTGGATAGACACCTCTGCCTTTATTGACAAGGCCCTTGTCTATTCTATTTTGTGCTGTTTCAGCGCAACGATATTTTATCTTCCAATGTTGTACTTGCCCATCTTTGGCACGACTGCTGGCGACATGCACAACCCCAATCTCGCTTTTTATTTGGTTTCAATTGCGAACGGCGCCTGCGTGTTTGGGCGACTCTTATTCGATCTTCTCGCGGCTGCCATTGGTCCAATCGAGACGTGTGGGTTGGCAGTAGCCAGCACTGCTATCGTGCTTTTCTGCTAGTTTGCTGTCGTGTCACCTGTGAGTCTGATCATCTGGTATATCGCATGGGAGTTCATTTTCGAGTGCCATTGTCGCCATGCGTGGTGTGATTGTGCCTCGCTTAGCTCCATCAGTGACCGTGATAGGTATTGGCACCGGAAAGCTTTGGACTGTAGTGGCAGTTGGCATGCTGATTGGGAGCCCAATCGCAAGGGGGGTTGATTGAATACAGCGACGGACATATCAAGTGGTGGCGTGTGCAATTATTTGCGGGTCTTTGCATGACAATTTCGAGTTTGTTCTTCGCTTATCCAACGCTCTATGTACAATGGAAAAGACCAGGGCCATGAGTTGCTGGTGCAATTTTTTTGGATGATAGACAGAGCACTTTTGTTTTCTGCTTTTTTTTTTTTTTTTTCAAGCCATCATTCATACTGGGCAGCTAGGAAAGCACCGTCTACAATATAGCAAAAGACACGGAAGACTCTCAGCAATTACATAGAGTATGATTCTAGCATGGGCCTTTCTGCAATGACATCAAAACGATTGGTGCAACACTCACTGGAAAGCATGTTAAGGACATGTAGAAGGAAATCTTGCAAGGAAAGTGAAAATGTTGAAGAGAGAGTCTTAATTATGATAGATAGAAAAATCTCCTCGATAAACCATGGCCTTCTTGATGAGTGCCTCTCTGGTCCAAGTAATCCGTCCTGGCTCGTGGAATCTGTCCAGCTCATTTGTAATCTCAACAATGCTCTCCTGCGCCTCCAAGTCCACAGATTCCATAGTCATCATGAGAGCGCTCTGCAAGATCGGGAGTCCAAGGGGCATACACTGACGACCATGCTCTACCAGCATCCATACCCGCTTGCATAGATGGAGAATATCGAATTCGAGCACGATCCGGTGGAGAACATCCGTCACGGACCAAATGATCCGGAGCACTATAATGCTATACATTGCATGATAGCATAGAACTACTCCAACCATAGTGTCATCCATCTCATACATCTCGCTGACTAGGTCCGACAAGCAGGTAGACGGTGTCTTCCGACAGACTCGACGAGTCTCAATTAACGTGTCAAGATCATGGCCAATGTCGTACATAGCAGCCTGTACTCTTTGTGCTGCGTTTAAGAGTGAAGATAGATTGGTAGCTAGATCTCCGTCACAGAGGGTTAATTTTTTCTTGTCAAGGAGTGCGGGCCAAAGCGTCATCTGCCGCAGGATTTGGTAGAATATAATTTGAATATCTGTTCGACCCTCAATGCTGTCGAGAGCAGCTTCCCATTCTTTGGAAGCAAGGAAGCAGACTTTTCCCTGAACTAGAGCTTGATGAATCTAGGTTTGATTAGCTAAAATCTGTAAAGCACGAGAAAGAAGTGATTGCATACAATACAGGCATGACTATCAATTATGACGAAAACATCGGATTTATCCTCTGGTTTGGGTGGACCTTTCTCCTGCACGAGAGCAGCTAATCCCGACGCATGAACGAGCTCGCCATGTTTCCGCCAGTTCTGCAAAGACGACTGATGTATAGGAGCAAAACACTCCCCAAACACTGCCTGTCCTCGCATTAGGCTCGTCAAGAGCAAGCTTAGTTGTCATAGAACCGAAAACATACCTCAATTCGTTGGAAGAGAAGTACCGTGCATAATGTATTAGAAGATAACCGTTCTTCCGGGTCTTCAATGGCGCGTTGCAATCTGCGTAAGGCCCGAGCGTATAAGTGGGCATTAATTCGCGAGCGTCGGTTCCCTCGAACCACTGCGTCGTGCGAAGCGAGAAGGCACGAGGTTACTCCGGCCAGCGCTGCACTCGAGCTTAATCGCTGCGGAATCCGCCACATGAATGTTCCTAATGTTTTCAGACTGCACGATTGGTTCTCCATAGACAGCGAATTAATCAGTGTGTAAGAAAGTCGATCCGATGCAGACAGTGGCATTTGTTGATTTAGCCAAATATCACACGGTGACGAGCTCTTGCCAGATAAGATCACATCTGTACGTGCACTTTGATTCCCGAACAGAACTGTGGTGGGTTTTGGAGGTAGTATTTTCCCCAGTCGTTTCAGGGCCACCTGTTGACCGTCGTCTATAATCTTGAGAGACGGGCGTGGAGGGCACAGACGATTACTGCGCTTGCAAGGTCCACATACGGGCCAGGCTAGATCACACTAGGTACTTGTCCATCAGCACAATACAGATTCGGATTAGTCCAGGTGTCATACTTTCACTTTCCTGTCTTTGCATGTGCCACAGCGGTTGCTTTTGATGGCGCCGACCATCTTCGTTATTTTGTTAAGTGGCTGATTCGATTCTCTGTGCGAAGGGGCATTTGCCAATGTTTTACACTGCGATGTTGGGATCTTCGGGGAGAATAAATTGTCTTATAGTCTGAACCAATCTTCGTGCGGCTGAAGGCATGTTTGGTCTCCAGCCAGATGATCATGTAATGTGAGTTCATCCATGGGAGGCCTTAAAGGTACTAAGCTTTCGCAAAATAGGGCGTTTAGGGCAATGATCTACGGCAGTCCGCCGCGCTGACAGACGGTGAGATTAGATCATTATTATTTGCCTATCTATGCGAGCAGTATTCGCAAAATACACTAGAATAGACTAGCATCTACCCTATGACTTGGAGGTTGAAATCACTTAAACAGCAGCACACCGCAACAATAAGGGTCTGAAGCAACAACCTATTAAAAAGGTATAATGGCCACTAATGTCGACAAAACCAACGTCCAGAACGACGATCGCGTCCGCCGCTGCACTGCACAGCTTAATGGAAAAACATACAGTAAGTAGGCCTAGCATGGTGATGGTTAAGTCCATAGAAAGTATAATTCATTCTAATATCTGGTTCTACAACACAGGCTATTTAGAGGGAATGCCTACAGGCAGCCCAACACAAGGAACTATATTCTTAGTATGTTGACATTTCAAGGAAAAATTGCACTCATGTGAAAAACTGCTGACTTCTTGCGGAAAGTTTCATGGCTTCCCGGATCTGGCCGTGGGATGGCGATACCAGATTCCGATCCTCCTTCAATTGAGATTCCATGTAATTGCAATAGATTGTCTTGGATACGGAGAAACGGTTGGTCTCCGACATAGGTTCTCTGGTTGAGCTTCAAGATACTGACATACTCACTAGGATGCCCCGACTACGGTTGAATCCTACAGCTATCGATCTCTAACCGAGGATGTTAAGGAACTGGCTGCTCATCTCAAGGTAGAGAGGGTTATTGCCTGTGGACATGACTGGTAAGAACAGAAACGAAACGTGAAGAAAAGAACTTATAATTAATTACCCGTACTAATACAGGGGAGCCAACCTTGCCTACCGCCTCGCCCTCTGGTATCCTTCGCTCGTTTCGCATGTAATCGCCATTTGTGTTCCCTACTTCCCTTCTCAGGGAAAGTATATCCCTCTAGAAGAACTCTCAAAAACCGTCCTACCAAATTTTGCATATCAGCTGCAATTCAAGAATGGTAATTTGGAGAGAGTTTTTCGGTCAAGGGATGGCATCCGGCCATTTCTTGTTGCTATGTTTGGTGGTCGCGACAACCAGGGAAACCTGGCCTGGGACGCATATTCTGGGTTGATGATAGATAAAATGGCAGGATTGAAGCCATCAGGGTTATTAACGGATGAGGTTTATTAATTGACTTCCCCTGGGAGAGAATAGACTGATTATATTCTAGGAAATGGATTTTTATGTGGACGGATTTCAACACCACGGCCTAGGGGCGCCTTGTATATACGTTCCCACTTCTTCTCTTCCTGACGATTTAGACAACTGACAATTAACTTGTCAGTAAACTACTACCGCACCCGCGAGATCAATCACTATGACGAAATGACTAGCCTCAATGGCTCTACAATCCATGTTCCCGTGCTTTTCATCCTGGCCCCACAAGACCAAGCGCTACCGCCCCGGCTAAGCAAAGGAATGGAGCGCTTCATACCGCAACTGACATTGACTGACATTGAAGGAGGTTAATGCATCACATTGGGCTCTGTGGGAGGATCCTGGAAAAGTCAATAGGATTTTGACAGAGTGGTTATATTGTCTTTTTCCTATGGAGGCATAGGATCAAATTCTGATGTTGGATTTTTACCAATATACACGTGTTGATGTTTCAATAGTTTTGAAACTTCTGTCTTCTTAATTGATTCTACAGCTGAATTATCATTGGTATCAGTGAATCTATATTCGAATACCCAGGGACCACATAAATGCGCCATGGCCAGTCACGGGAACGCCCCAGCCGGATTAACTGCGGTGGCGGAATCCTAGATCATTCGGCCTTCGACCCACATTGCTGGGCTTCGCCTTCCTGTCACATTATTTCGCCGACTGGTCTGGATCATTCTTGTGATTCGAGCCTGGTAGACTTTTTGTGACCACCACCCTGACCATCACCCTCGTTGCGCTCCCTGCGCCCGAAGCCTTTGCTCCCTGCAAATCCCTCGCCTCCCTCGAATTCGGACCCGCCCCCGTTTATACGCGCCGCAACCCAGGCCACCCCAGCATGGAAGCTTGAATTCTCGAGGTCGCGCGCTTTCAATACTCGCCGGTGGAACCGGCTCTATGATTTATGCGCTTTCCGTGGCTGGCGACGTGAGCCGTTGATAAGTGATCGATCATGGCTGAAGACCTTCTGGCCCCCCGCCAGATTTGGGCGCAGCCGACTACAACGACAACCAAGACGTATGAGTCAGGCTGCACCCCGTTTCTCCTTCCTAGCAACGGTACTATGCCCTATCCATGCCCAGGGGCTGATTTGCGACGGCTCCGAACCTCCCCTGTGCCCTTTTTAGGATCTTCAAATTGCTCACACTCGAACCATTCCCAGGGTACATCCATGTGAACCGGTCGTATGTCATTACTATCACCGATAATGCTGTCTTCGAGCCGATCTGCACCAGCCAGGCTACCGACATGGTCCATGTTTCAGCCGTGCTCGACACTCGCGACCCGTTCTATTCCTCGATTACTCCGCAACTATATGCCATCGCCTGTGCAACTGTCGTCAGCTATCTCCTCGTCATCATCCTTCTTATTACTCCACGCACGTTCTACGTCGGCGGCCCCGGCGGTGGCGCGAATTTTCTCGGGCGACACGGCATGATCAGTGGTTCCTACAGCGGCAACTCCTCGGTGGTGGGAGTCGGTGGTCGGCCATGGTTGCAGAAAGTGGCTGCTCTCCTTGTCGCTGTCTCACTCACCATTGCAACAGCAGACTCATTTCGAGTGGCCGAGCAACAGTATGACTATGGCTACTCGGATGCCGAGGCTCTATCGGAAGAGGTGATTGATGGTATAGAGATTCGCATCGTGCATGTCATCTCCAGTACCTTCCTTTGGCTGGCCCAGGTACAGACCCTGATTCGATTGTTCCCGCGACATAAAGAAAAAGTCATGATCAAATGGGCGGGCTTCGCCTTGATCGTGCTGGACACGACTTTTAGCATTTTGGAAAACTTCTTTTTCAAAAACACCTCAACACACCCGAGATTGTACGATGACGCGATCCCGGCTCTCAGTTACCTTTTCGAACTTGCACTGAACCTGCTCTATGCGGCGTGGGTGATCTTTTACTCTATCTCAAAGCATCGCTACGCTTTTTTCCATCCCAAGATGCGCAATATCTGCCTAGTGGCGCTATTATCACTGTCTGCAATCTTGATTCCCGTCGTCTTCTTTGTCTTGGATATTGCAAGACCTGAAATCGCTGGCTGGGGTACCTACATTAGATGGGTCGGATCAGCCGCCGCGAGCGTTGTGGTGTGGGAATGGGTAGAGCGGATCGAAGCCCTCGAGCGTGATGAAACCAAAGATGGAATTCTCGGGAGGGAGATCTTCGACGGTGACGAGATGCTCGAGGTCACCCCGTCTGAGGAGGTGGATTGGCCCCGCTACACGACACATGGGTATGACAAAGGCGGCGGTAACGGTGCCTCCTCGGGATGGGGCGGCATGATAGGCTTGGCTCATCGTCCTCTACGCACTCGTGTAGGTATCCCCCGTGGCCCCCGGAATTGGGGCTCTGGCGTCCAGAGCCAGGTCCAAAACGTCACCTCAGCACCAAGAGGCCAAAATAATCATCGCCCTACACCACCTCCGGCCACTGTCACACCGGTCAGTCGCGCCGAAACTACAAGTGCCGCAAGCACCGTGTACAATGTTCGCTATCACCCGGTTTCTAGCTCTACGCCTCCCGTTGCCATGCCACACATGGAGGAAGAGGAGGAATCGGAAGAAGCCAAAGAGCCGGATATTGAGGGAACGCCAGCAGATACAGCGGATCCGCGATTTTCTGTTCAAGAAACCAGGGAGCAATCACCACAGATTGTCCACCCCGATCCACGATGGCGATCTCTACTCAACCCATTTAAACGTAGACGAGCGTCTCTCCCGAGAGAGGTCGCTTCTGCGCAGGCCGGGGAAGAGCATCCTCCAAATGCCCGAGACTCCGATTCGTTTGGGGATGAACACGAGCCGCACACCTCCCGGTCTAGGGCGGGGCATTTCTTCTCGCTCGGTCGCAGCGGACGACCAGGCTCTGGTCCGCAGACTGCTGAAACCCCATTACCAGTTACTGTCATCCCGGCCCGACGACGGAATCAGCAAACGTGGTCGCCTCAGAACCTGCTTCTGGACCCGTCGCCGTCCCGCGAACCGCGAGACAGCCGTCCCAATAATCGCTCTGATCTACCAGTGAGGGTGATCCCCTCCCAGCCACAAGCGTCTGCGCCCTGGACCGATGCAGAGGTGCAGAGAGCAGATAGGAATTACGTTCTCCGCTATGACCCCGAAACGGCGGCTCTAGTTGACGAGAATGTGGCTCGTAGCTCTGTCGATGCTCGTGCCGTACCGGACGACCAGAGCAGCTGGACGGAGACCACTGCTTCGGAAGCGAGAACCGAGGGGCCGCATCTGCCGCCTGACTCGCAAACAGAACCGAACCCTCGACCTCAGTAGGTGAAAACTGCACTGCAGGCAAGTGCTTACTCTGACGGAAATTTTATTGGTGTTACTGGACCATCATTTATTGGCTGAGCGCGGAGTCCCGGAATATTGGGTTCTTGTTGTAATTATCTGGACTGGACATTCATCTTTATATATTTATAATTAACTAATAGTCCTGGATATATGTAATTCCAATGCACCGGATTCTATTGAACAATTCATTAGTTAACGTTAAGTGACGGCAATGGAGTGGATTACCAAGCCGTGTCATTATGCCTTGCTCGGGAACTTGAGATCCGGGGCGTCTATGCGCTGATCTTGCGACCCTCTCGGTCTGTCCATCCCATCCATCCACCCTTCCATCCCATGCTGCGCCGCTTGTTCCGGGCGTCGCACCATGGCGGCTGTCAACCAGAACATGTTTGATGCTAGCATCGCGATGGACCGGCCGGGCGGTTCGTCGTTGATGGTGCTGCCACTAAACCTGATCGCCGAGATCGTCTTGAATGTGAGAGTTGCGCGAACACGAGACCCAAGAAGGCAGACTGACCACCGAAATTTTGTTTGTAGGTCGAGGATACCGGCGACCTCGCGCGACTATGTCGAACATGCCGTGTTCTCAATTACATGGCCCTTCCGCAGCTTTACCGAAGCCTGACGCTGACCTCCTACGATCGAATACGCTACCGCGGCGAACAACCAGAGGGTATCGGCAGTGGCAGCCCGTTCACGATGGGTCTCAATGCGGTGATCACTCGACCCTATGCGACACTGGTGCGATCAATGACCCTGCGCGGGGACTGGAAGGAACACGAGCTGGAAGAACACGCCCGCGTGGGCCGGGTACCGGACTCGTCGATGATGCTGAACATTGCCGTGCGAGCGGCGGTGGACCGGATGACCAGCTTGGAGAGCTTTAGCTGGGAGCTCAACACTAAGATGCTCGATACGGTCTACGCGGGGCTCACCCAGCTGCCACGGCTGACCTCGCTGACCGTGCGATTCCCGTCCAGTCGACACCCGCAGCCTACGTTCGTGCTGCCGCCCATGCCGCACCTGCGATGCTTGAAAATCACCGACATCGATCCGCTCTGCTATCCCGATGACATTGCCACCCTTCTTTGGAAGAGCAAAAAACTCCGCGATCTGAGATTGCATTGGTCGCCGCGCATGCGCATTGCACAGGAGCCAAGTGTCTCGCTACACGATTATTTCCGAAAATCTATCGCCGCCAAACAACCCCTTGCGGTTAAGAAGATGTCGTTCTCGAATTTGTACGCTTTTCACACGGAGGAATTTAATATCGCGTTTGATCCGACCACCGTCGAAGACGTTACCTTTCTCAGTGGCGCGGAAAGCTCCAACCTAGTCAACACTTTTGTGGACAGCAGCTGGCCGACCGTCGTGCCACACCAAAAACTGAAGATCAGAAGCATTCGCATGGACGCGGTCTCGAAACGAAATTCGGAGTTCCTTGGGAACTTCTCCGGTCTGGAAAAGTTATACTTCGTAAACATGACCTCGGATTTCAGCGATTATCTCAATTCCCCTCGGCCCGGGATGGGCCCAGCCTCATCTGCCCTCACGCCACCGGTATCAGAGAATCCCGGGGCGGCCAATGGGACGGCAGACAACTCCCCAACTGCCATGGCTTCCCCCGCAAGCCAGACGAACTTGCAGCTGAATATTCGGGATAGTTACATTGCCAACATCACAACAAACCATGGTGCGTCATTGCGCCATCTCCTTCTCTCTTCTCGGTGGCCGCTTTCCACGACAATGATCGCCCGTCTAGTCCACAGCTGCCCGAATTTAGAACAACTAGCGCTTGCCACAGAGTTTTCTAGTATGGAGTCTTTGGGCTTACTAGTCCCCTTTCTCCGCAAATTGGTCGCGTTGCGACTCTTGATTCCAGCGGGCTCTGCGGCACCTCAGTCTGGCGCGTCAAATACCACGATGCCCCGAACAGGCAAGACTATGCATGTCCAAGAAAACTTTCCGGGTCGTTTCAGCAAGGCGGCATTGGATTTAATGAACAATGCCAAGAGCATGGCAGATGTTGTTGATATTGACGATCGGATACTTATGGAGATGATGAGTTACGACATGGCAAATGAGCAGATCTTCGGGAAGTTAAAGATCGTTGGTCTCGGCTGGAAAGCCTTTGAACTGCGAGAATTCTACAAGGCACCCCTGTCCCCTCCGGAGAACGAACCTGACCCCAACGCTGCTGGTGATCAGTCGGCAGAGGCAACAAATGGAAACCCCAACCCCACGAATGATCCCAGCAGCGCTGGCCCTGAACAACAACGTACTGCTCCTCAACCCGAAAATACCACCCCCGGAAATACCAACACGAATCCCATCGCGACGAAATCCCCTGCTGTTGTTCCTTCTTCCCAAACCACTCCAAACCCCAATCATCCCCCATCAACATTGGGAAAACGCTCCCGAGACGACGATGAAAGCAATGAAAGCAATGAAAGCAGCGCGACCCAGCCATCTAACTCTGAAGCGGATGAACCGCGCGAACCACGCTTCCAAGTCTATGGCTGTCTCTCCCACGTCATCATGCAGGACGAATACGTTCTCCGTCGCCGTCTGCGTCGGGTCGGATGGGATGTCTTGAAGCATTGGGAGATCTGGGGGTTGGACTCGCAGGAGATTTGAAATGAGATCGCTCTGCCTATATACTTTGTAGAACACAATCCTTTATCTTCATACGGTACAAGGGTCTTGTCGTCCCCTCTGCATGAGCGCACGGCTAGGGGTAGATTCATGCCACGGTCACTATATGTGGTTGGTGTTTGGGGGATTACCTATACAAATCTGATTTGAGACGTCTGGGACGTACACTATACAAAGCCATTAGCTGCTGTTATTGTAGAACCCGTTCGTCTATTCTACCCTGCACACCTATCATGGCGCGTTTATAGTGCATGTATATAAGTCTTCTATATACTTCTAGAGCACTCCAGGCGTGTAGTCAATGACCTGAGCCCTTTCAATAATTCCATCAAGGCTGCGGACAAATGCCAGATGCACAGGATCCTTCTCAATATAAAAGTCTCTATCTGCAGCATTCGCGAACTCCACGACAAATGCATGGCTAATCCCATTCTTTCTCATAACACTGATCAGTAAAGCTGCCAAGGGATTCTCATACTATACGAGATAACATCAACTCACCTGGGCCCCTTCAATCGAGTTATCCCGGCCACCCGACGACGATTTAATATATGGCTTCTGGGACGAAGGGTGGATACAATTGTCTTTTAAACCAAGCATGCGTTCGCAGACCTTGATAAGTATAGATTAGTGTGATGCCTTCAGAAGAATGTCTCAGAAATAAGAAGCGGAGATGTTGCTTCAAAGATCACATTACATACATCGTTCACAACTTCAGGACTAACACCTTCCTTGAATTGAAAAAGAACAATATGGGTAATTGACATCTTGTTCGACTACCTCGAGTGGGTTGGCAACGGAGTTGAGTTGAGAGGAATGAGATGAAAGTATTTCTAGCCGCGGGGTAGAGACCAACTACTGAACACGTGATGATCTATATCGCAATCCTAAGCCTTATCGAAACTAAGTGATAGGATAGAAGATAGGATAGAAATAAGATTTGAGATATCTTTGGATAAATGCATATTTTGACTCGCAAGGCAGGAAACACCGGTTGGTACAGTAGCTGCTATAATACGCATGAAGAATACCCTGGAAGACAGACTAATAATGGAAGTTGCAAATTTCCTCGTTGAATGAAAACATGTTATGTACAATAAAATAAATCCTCCCTCTAAATCGTATATGCACTAATCATCAGCAAAGTTATATCCATCTCACATATTATCTAATGTTCCTGTTGTGCTCCAGTTTCGTAGCGAAGCTTTTCATTTCTGAATATTCAGGGCACTTGAGCTCAGAACAACGCAGCGATGGCCACGGCGGCGACAGCACCCAGCGGTGCGGCCGTGATCAAAGGCTTCGCAGCAGCGAAAGCGGCGCCGGGGGTCTGCGTGGCTTGCGGTTCAGTGAAAGACTTGCCGCCCGCGGTGACAAGCATAGCGATGTAGGTAATGGAGTCTGTCGGGATAGGCGACGTGGAAAGGGAAGTGGAAGTCGAGTAAGAAATGCTCCCAATTGTACCGGTAGCTTTGTAGCTAGCGGAGCAGGACGCGGACAATGAGCTGGAAGTGAAGGTGCAGTCGATTTGCCGAGTGGCAGTAAGGTCGACGTCGCCGCTACCCCAACGGGTATAGACGCCAGTCAAGCTGTAGGTTCCAGGTCCCTCAATGAGAGTCCACGGGGTATCAATTTGGCATTCTGCTTTGGGGGCGTCGTCCAAACATTTGATTTGGTATGTCGTGTACAGCGCATTTATTCCAGCCACGCTGGCAGCTGTGCTGGCATATGGCAAGATGGTGACATCCGTAGCCCACTCGGCTGCAAATTCGGGAACAATGGTGGTGCCATCAGCCGCAACCAGGGCGCCGAGGGTTGTGGTAAGAAAGGCAGTGAAGTGCATTGTGAATTTATGGCCGTTGTGGTGCTAGGCAACAAATGAAAATCTCGTGGTGTAAATGAACACAAACCTGCAGCGCTAATAATGAAAGGCAAAGGGAAAATTATTTTTGAAGTGTTTCCCATCGAAGGGAGACCTGAGGATTTTAAGCCACGGCGTACCCCGGCTCGGGTCTCTCACTGATTTAGTCGAAGCCTCAGAGACTTAACTAACTACAATCTGCGCTGATCTCCAAGCGAATGCCTCAGTTCCTGATTAGCCTGGCCAGAAAAGCCACCGAGGACATTAGGGCGTCTGTTGATTGGGTCGTGCTTGAGATGAGCAGCCACTTTGTATACCCAGGATGCATGGTACGCCCCTTTATTGCGGCAGGCTTAGTTGGGTCGGGAAAAATAGCCAACGCCACCGTCTGACTCGCAAGATTTTACCATGCTGAGGCTCTGGCGCCCAGGCGCTTTGTTGTCTTAGGGTGGACTAGTTTGTCTCTAGCCCTAGTCGAAAGTCTTGGCAACATCCGTTATTGCCGAGCAGACTGAGCAGCATTTTTTTGGGAGTGCTGAAAAACCGTATTATTCGGATGCCAGCAATAGTCATAACCAGTTTATTGCTAAATTGCGAATACTTTTATCCGTCAGGTAGAAGGACGTTGCACTGCAGCAAATCTGGAGTTTAAAGGAATGCGATGGTGAATTGGGGGGACCCACATGATGCATTTAGCGGACCGAAGCTTCCCGTTTCCAAAAAAAACATTCGTCGGATGTGGCTGCTAGTGCCAAACAGATCTGCCCTAAATACAGTTCTAACGAACCACGCTCAAAGGTATGCTTCAATCCATGAAAAGGATGCCCATTCCTGCGAAATCGGAACTCGGAGAGTAGGTAAGAAGAAACAATACTTCAATATCGAGCATATCCCGACTTATCAGCCCTACCTCCCGGATCCTTTGGGCATATTCTGATTGTCCCATTTCCTATATGCCCAAAAGCCCTAGTTCGTTCACGGAAGGCCCCGCACACCCGGGGACTCTTAATTACTAGAGAAGACATAATAACAGCAAAGACTCAAATAAGAGTATTTCCAGGCGGACAGGTAGCACTCCCTTTACTCCAGTTCAATAACGTCCCGCGAAACTCGTTTCCAGATTTGTGTTAAACAGCACTCATGGTCTTCAATTCCTTCAATGCCAAACACTTCCTCAAATATGCATAGATTAGAGCAGCATTCCTCTTTGACTGTCTCTTGGCGAGCTGTGTCAAGAGTAACATATCCGATCGACAGGGATAGTTTTCCGAGCCAACCGGATAACTTTACCCCGCAATGCCATCCCCGAATATGCCCCAGAAACATGGACAAATTCAGAGAACTGAAAGCTCGGTTCTTGGTTGTTTAGAAAAGAGCATTGCAATTTCCAGACCAGCTTTTCGCTCAGTTAAATCGTCTCAACTTTTTCATACCATGTCTGGCTCGAAAGGCACTGCCTCTGATCATCCAGAACACACAGAGTCTGTTAAGAATGATACCAATCGAGTGGCTGGTCAGATGCCAGAATGCCTTCTGAACCTTACCGAAGAAGAGAGGTGTCACATGGAACAGAAGCTTGTTCGCAAAGTTGACGTGAGGCTACTTATCATGATCGTACTGATGTATATTTTGAACTACTTGGATCGAAACAATATCGCTTCCGCAAAATTGGCCGGCCTTGCTGAGGATCTCAAACTTCATGGAAACCAGTACCAGGTATGCTTGATCACAAGGAGTTTTTGGTTGCAAAGTCTGATGAATCACAGACATCTGTCAGCATTCTATTTGTCGGTTACCTTCTGATGCAGGGTAAGGATACTGAAGCCTGACCGACCTGTTCTATTGATGTTGACTTGAGGGCCAGTACCTTCAAACATGATTCTCAACAAATTTGGCAGGCCATCGATTTATCTTCCTGGCTGCATGTTTGTATGGGGTGTGATATCCAGTTTAACTGCAGCCTGTCAAAATTACGGAGGGCTTCTGGCCTGCCGCTTTGTTCTTGGTTTTGTTGAGGCCGCTTACTTTGTAAGAATGATGCCTACCGAACGATGTGCTTGCCTACTCATTATTTTAGCCCGGCTGTCTTTACCTTCTCTCCGCTTGGTACACACGGAAAGAGCTCACCAAACGCACGGCACTCCTATACTCAGGCTCACTTCTCTCGGGAGCATTCTCTGGATTGATCGCTGCAGGTATTACCAATGGACTCAATGGTGCTCGAGGCATTGCTGCTTGGCGATGGCTGTTTATAATTGAAGGAGCAATGACGGTGAGTTGAATCTTCTAGGGATTGGATTGATATTCTCTAACAAAAGAAACTAGATATTTGTGTCTCTTATGGCCATATTTATAATCCCTGATTTACCTCGAACAACTTCGTGGCTCACTGAAGACGAGAAAGCTCTTGCAGCCTGGAGACTAGAAGCAGATATTGGCGAAGACGACTGGGTTGACAGCGAGCATCAGTCCATGCTTCATGGCGCAAAGCTTGCCTTCAAGTAAGCCAATACAAAAGACTTGAATCCATGGCCAGTAATGCTAACAGCAAACAGAGACTACAAAGTATGGCTACTCCTAGGCCTTATCTACGGCTACACCTCTGCAGGGGCAGTGACGACATTTTTCCCCATGTAAATGCTCCACAAAATCAGGCCAAGTGATTGGATTAAACTAACGAATTTAGTGTGATGGCTGGTCTGGGCAAGAGTGATACAGTGACACTGCTGCTCACCACTCCCCCATATTTGATTGGCACAATTCTGGTGCTTCTCAATGCGTGGCACGCAGACAAAACGGGTGAGAGGTATTTGCACTTAGCTTTGCCGCCACTGCTAGCAGTTGTTTGCTTCATACTGGCAGTTGCCACAACATCTTTCGCTCCCCGATATGTGTAAGTTTGGGCCTCTTATGAGACTCGATAGAGTAACTATATCTGACTGGAATAGTGCAATGTGCTTGATGATTGGGGCCATATACGGTGGCTACGTTGTAGCACTGGGATATATTTCAAACGGTGAGTGAATATTGATGGACCATCTAAAGCATTGAGAATGACACCGGTCTAGTTCTTCCTAGGCCAGCCGCAAAGCGAGCCGCAGCTCTTGCCCTCATTAATGCCTTGAGCAATGTCTGCCAGATCTATACTCCGTATCTTTACTACGGTAAGCTACTTATCTAAATGTGACCTTCAGGATGGCATCACAACATAGCTAATATCCCACTAGACTCTGCTGCACCAAGATACGTAGCGGCATTTTGCTTTAACATAGCCATGCTAGCTATGACCGTCTGCTTTGCCACAGTCATTCGAGTTGTGCTTAGTCGGCTGAATAAGAAGCTAGATGAGGAAGAAGGGACTCATCTTGCGGATAACCAGGCCCAGCAGACGGAGAATGAGGAACATGGTCTTCCCGGTCAAGCCGTTAGTCAAGGCTTCCGGTTCTTGCTCTAAGGAGTCAGGAAATCAACCCCGCTTTTCTAAGATGCTCTTCTGCTGAGCTTCTGGCGAGGCTCTCATTTGCCTCACATGGTATTGATCAAACCATGAAGTCAGTCGTCGAAATTCGTCTTATACAAATCCTTCTTGGCTATCGAGATTCGGGGCCAATCGAGGGGTGCTCATCATCATATAATGTGGTGTTGGCTACTACACTTCTACAATCAGTAGATTAAATCGCGACGATGTTAGGCGAATTAAATGGCATTAAATTGGGGATGAGGCCCTCTCCCACCAGAGACAATTTCATAATGTCCATCTTCTAATGCGGGATGCATTGCCTCAAGTAAACTGTCTATCCCGATGCTCTATCGATGACTATTCCATGCCAAACACATGAACATAGTAACTGCTATTGAGTAGTATAGTCACCCTATGGACTTAAGATGTTATCCTCATGGGCTGCGTTGCTTGCATCCCTACCGAAAGCTCTGGTATCTTAAGTTGTCTGGCAACTGCATGGATCTTGGCAATTTCTGTTACAGGTTGCAGATCCCTAATATTGTGACGGACGGCATCATCCTCATTATGCCGATGCATACGTATGGAACTTGCCCATTTCCTACGCGCAGAAAGTTGGTCCCCTGAAATTTTCGTGCTTGGAATTCTGTATTGTTCTCTTATCCTCTTTTTAAATCATAGTAAAGCCACTCAGGGCCAGGATGTTGATCTTCGATATTGTTCGTCTGGTTTCACTCGCTGATCCGTTCCGATCAGAAGACCTGTAACCCTCCCTTCTGTTGCACAAGTCAGGTATCTATCCTTTCGAGAATACAGATAACTAAATCAATCCCAGCGTATGGACATGCATTGAATCGGCCGTTTGCATCGTGGCAGTCTGCCTCTCCCGAACATGTGACTGCAGTTATTTGCTAAGTATTGTTTTTTTTCACTTAGATGTTCGATTCATCTCTTTTCAAAGTCGTCCATCAAAAATTGTCGACAAACTCAGCAATTCAACCGGAAACACCAGTCAGGAAGAGATCATGGCAGAAAAGTGGGAATCACTTCGACGGATTCCCAGTCCCACCGACATGGGCACGGACCAGAAGGTCAGTGCCGGGCAGCTACGGGCGATGAGTGCAACTATACACAAAGCCCGTCGATGACGATACTTTCCGTCACTGTGTTGCGCAATGTAATAATGTTGAGTTAGAATCTCCATGTCAATTAGTATATATATAAACCATGTCATAATTCTATCTTATCGCGAATCCCTTCGTCTTTCATCCCATGCCAAGTGTAGATCAAAATTCCCCCACCTGATAGCGGACCATGCGCAATGACGCCCTCCCCGCCACTTAAAACACTCTCTTCCTCAACTCTCTTTCGTCGGAGCTATCAACAAATCTCTCAGCACCAACAATAACAATGCCCCGACTGGATGACAGCACCATATCCCTGCTCCGCGTCGGCCACGGTGCCCAGCGCCACGTCAAGCGCGTCTGGGATGGCTTTGTTAATTTCGCTGCTCGGGACAACGTCCTCGAGGTAGCTCTTGGTCTCATGTTCGAGTTCCTCTCAACCGAAAACCCTGTTTGATTCATATCTAACTCCAAGAAAAAAAGTATTGCCCAGGCTTTCACCAAGGTGGTCACTTCCTTTGTGTCAGACATGGTGTTGCCGATCGTGTCCATGCTCCCCTTCTTGAACAAGAACATGGACCAGAAATTCTCAGTGCTCAGCAAAGGTCCAAACTATACTGAGCCCCAGGGATATAATACCGTCATGCAGGCGAGAGATGATGGGGCACTAGTCCTGGCTTACGGGTTTGTTTACTTTTCCCCATCGTTCCAGGCCACAACTAGATAACAACAAGAAGCTCACAAAATTTCGAATAGGGTGTTTATCGAAAACATTGTCAATTTTCTCGGCGTCAGTCTGACTCTGTACGCCGTTGCACAATTGTACATGTCCATCTCGCATCAGCGCATTATCAAGCCGACCAGACGGTGCAGGTATTGCAAGAAGTTTATTAGTGTGAAGGTAAGAACTTACTCATCTCGAGGCTCCGCGGGTGCAAATGAGATTAACAGGTTAGGCTCTACGCTGCATGTACTGTTCCAGTTGGCAGGACGGGAGGGAGGATTTACCTGGCGAACAGGCACCTCTTAATAACGAGGATGATGAAGACTCATGACATGCACGGTGTTTTTGTAGCTAGATAGATCAGAGATATGGAGTTCAACACTTGACAACTGATGACATCGCTGTGGTAAAATGCAGAATTTGACTGCGCTGTATGTTTGCTGGGGGTATCGTAGATTCAAAGGGACTATTTGGGTGGTGGTGGGTACGTCATGGGTCCTGGAGCTGTGTACGGCGACATCAATGTAGCTCCCATCTCCCTGGCTGCACGACTGCGGTGTTCCTCGCGCCTCTGGAATTCCTTCTCGTCTTGAATTAGTGTGCAGCAGATGCAGCAACTTGCGCGGAGACAATCCGACGCAATGTTTCCATGGATTCCATATGCTTTTCTTGTTCGAGTGTGCTGGATTGTAGCCATCAGCCCTGTAGAACGCGAAATTATTCAGCAAGCACGTTCTCGTTCCTTCCTGTCTATTCACTCACATTGGCATCCACACAGTAGGGCCATCCCAGTGCAAGAGCCGTTGCACGTTTCATAGCCCAGCATATTCGTCGGGTCTTCCTTGCGAGATTTCTTTGACAGACGGTGTTGCGTTTTGCCGTATATTATGCACGGACAGACCAGCCCCAGGCAGCAGGTTCCGATATTCGAGCAATCGCACAATCCATGGCTCCAGCTGCCTCCCAGAACCTCCTGGTTGGGATGTAATATCTGTCCAGGCTGGTGAAAGGAACTCAAATCTTCAATTGGTGGTGCTTGCGATGTGCCTGCAGCGGCAGGTGGAGGGAAGAAGGGCAATTTGGGAGACTGCAGTGGATTTGCATCTGGCGCAATATTCACATAGTCTGTTCTTGAGACTTGATTCTCGGCATCCGGGTTGGTCTTCACGGGTAAAGGTCCTGGGGAGCTGGGTGGTTGACTGTATGTATGATGATACGGCATCTGGGTATGGGACTGCTCTTGAACAGGTGTCTCGGGATAGGCATAGGGGGCATAGTGGGCAGGATGCTGTTCATGTAGTGGTTGGTCGGAATATGCTGGAATGATCCCGTCCTGCTGCATCTGGTGTACTTTCTCGCTCGATGCATAAGACGCTGGTTGTTCCCGCGGCTGTACGGCTGGTTCCGAGACTGGGTGAGAGTGTGCCAACATGGGCGGCAGTGATCTCAGATCCCTTTCTTGCGGTGAGGCGTGCATTTCGAGCGGAGTCTCGGCGAATGAGTACCGTCTGCTGTCACCCACATGGGTGTTCAACTGCAATTGACGATTCATATCGAAAACAGCGGTGCTGAATCTATCCACTTTGTTGGAGCTGTCCTCTCAGGATATTGGCAGAAAGCTTCAGCTTGTAGTATTAGGGTTGGATGCTAAAAGAGAAGAGAGAGATCGGAGGCTCGGAGCTCTCTACTGTCCAGTATCATTTCTCGGGAAGGCTCCCCTTGTCGATCCACACGTGCTGCACGGCGCAGACTGGTCGGATCGCTCCCTGATGCACGGACAGACATGCGACAGCAGTCACCAACAGGAACCAAAAGTCTGAGTGACAGGCTGCGTGAAAAGACTCTGGGGGGAGCCGGCCGTGATAACTAAACTACAGACGTGAAAGAAAGACGGGGCTGTGACGCGGGCCAAGGAGCTCGAGGTTCGTCTAGGCCACTCATCCTTGTCCGTGTTGCAACCCTAATGCATACTGCTTCACATCACGGGCGATGCTTATTGGGCTGTCACCCGCTCGGCAGGTCCCGTTGGGCGTTGGGCGCGCGTTTTGTCACACTTAGTCGATTGTCGCTGTCCAACGAATGCCAAGTTCTTTGTTGGGGTTAGTGGATGCATTTTCGGGTGTCAAAAATATGTAAGAGTGCAAAAAGAGAAATGACAAGAGTGGGATTCGAACCCACGCCCCTTTCGAGACACGGAGATTGATGATAACCAATCGGATTCGGGTGGACCTGAACCGTGCGCCATAGACCAACTCGGCCATCTTGCCTTGTATGGAGTTCTTGATGGTCATGCTATATAGAAGGAGGCTGCGGGAAGCGATTTAGTTGATGTGTCTTCCAGTTCTGCCAATGTTTGCCTGTGGCATAAACATTGGTGTACACCCCTAGCTCCTGCCATCCTAAGCTTCTCAACGGCCCCGACATCGGCCATGTTTCAACTGACAAGCTCCTCACGTCGGCCAGTTCAATGCCGATCCAGATGTAAACGAATTCCGCATCCTTCCAGGAGCCAATAACCATGCCCTAACTCCCTATGACTCGTGCGTCTGGCGCCACGTTGGAACTTCTTTTGAGTTGTGGCGCCGATATCGGACCCCAAACTACTTGACGCTCTGCCCAGCTTGCGAGGTATATAAATCAATGAAATCGCAGTGCCAACCTCACCACATCAGAAACCAATATTCTCTTCTCAAGGAACTCTCTAGCAAATTACTCAGATCAAGCTCCACACCTCCATATTTACGTTTATATCTTCCCGAATCATTTCGACCATGGCTGGCAAAACAGAGTCAGCAACTTACACTCATGGCCACCACCCCTCAGTCGTGCGCTCGCACAGCTGGCGCACCGCAAAGAACTCAGTCGGCTTCCTGCTACCACACCTCAAGCCAGACATGAAGATCCTGGACATTGGCTGTGGGCCCGGCACGATCACTGTCGATTTGGCATCCTACGTGCCCAATGGCCACATCACTGGCCTCGAGCGGGTCGGCTCAATCCTGACACAGGCTCGCAAAAACGCACAAGAAAAGGGCGTCAGCAACATCGATTTTGTTGAAGGCGACGCGAACGGGCTGTCCTATGAGGACGATACTTTCGACGTCGTGTTTTGCCACCAGGTTCTGCAGCACGTCGGTGATCCTGTCGGCATGCTGAAGGAAATGAGTCGTGTCGCGAAGCCCGGCGGCATCGTTGCTGCGCGGGAAGCTGATTATGGTGTCTTTGTATGGTATCCTGAGCTTCCAGGGCTGAAGGAATGGCAGAATTTGTATGATGCTGCTGCGCGACGGAACGGCGGAGAGCCGAATGCTGGTCGGATGCTGCACGTTTGGGCACGGAAGGCTGGTTTGCGCGATGTGAATTGTAGCTGCACCTCGTGGTGCTATGCCACGAAGGAGGATACTGATTGGTGGAGTGAGTCGTGGTTTGAGCGGAGTGTGGCGTCGTCGTTTGCGACGACAGCGACGGAGCATGGGCTTGCTAAGAAGGAGGATTTGGAACGCATTGCGAACACCTGGAAGGAGTGGGGACAGGATGAGGATGCGTGGATTTCGGTTCCGAGTGCAGAGATCCTATGCTATAAGGCGTGAAGCTCGAGTTAAAAGTGACGAGTAATAGCACAGTCGGTTTGTACGGCATATTGTTGTTGTGATTGATGGAAGTGTCCATTCTGGCCTGGCGACTGGGCGCGGGAAAGTACCATTCGCTCCTCTATAATTAGTTTCACATGAGCAGTAATCGCTTGGGCAAAATCAGCTACCTATGTCAGCGCTTTATGTGCGCCTTTCCGTGTTATGAAGTAACTACTAGATGCAGAATTTTGAAAACGACGTGTGCCATTTCCTGGAGGATACCACGAACAGGGGCAAAGACTCGGCTCAGAATGCCGGGCCGACAACTGGAGGGTTGCTGCTAGTTGCAGCACGGAGCGGGGGAAAGTCGCAGGACAGTGGCAATCGACGGCCTCGAATAACCTTACTTGCGGCCATCTGTGGCAGTTCGCTGGCCGTGTGCTACTTGAAAGGAGTATATGATTACCATGAGATCTCAGTGTCAAAACGCCGAATTCAAGGTGGAGGGCCGAGCCAAGGCAGAAATATCAATGTTGATGTCAGAGATATATTTTTGGCGACAAGTTCCATGAACTAGTGGCTGTCCACAATGGCCTGTGGCGTGATGAACTCAAAAGAACCGATGGATGCCACTAAGAATAAGCATAGCCATTCCCTACCCACTCCGAAGAGCCGCCGTGCCTGGTCCAAACTGGAAATCACACCCAATCTTGCTGGTGCACGGGGCAGACCAGGCCCGATCGGTCTGCGTCAAGCTTTCAAGGGAGCCGAGGATCGACACCGCCAGAAGGGGGCATCGAATGCGCATGGGCGATAGCAGCACAAGCTATCCGCTGCGGTCGGTGATTGGCAGCGTTTAAGAAGGAACCGGGCGAGTCTGAATCTCCACCGAGGAATCGTAGCAGTCGATATGTCCTCATCTCATCGGCAGCGACAGTGACAGAAGCGGTGAGTGAAGAGGACAGGTCATCTTATTGTATCGCTGGAGTAGTGAACTGTTATGGTTGTGAATCATGATGTTGTTGTCGAGGCAGAACGCGCCAATGTGATTCTGCTCCGGTGACTTCATCTGCTCCCGTCCTCTTCTCTTTTCTCTCCTTCTCCCCGCCACATTCCCAACCGTCTTCCTCTTCCATTCTTCTCTCTTTCTTCGCGCCAGGACGTAACCACCAGCAATCATCCTCCTCCCCCAGTTCCACCTCCTTCATCCATTCTTTCTTCCAAGGCGGTGACGGCCGATCGGCGTCGAGTGTACGACCCTGGAACCTCCCGATCCTTTATCTACTCTTGCTTCTGGATCCCGGCCATCCACCCGACCTGCTGCTCGCTCAACCTGTAAGATTCCGCTCTCCCCGAACGTGATGCCCTCTGCCCGGTCTTCCCCCCAAATGTCAATTCCTCCACTAACGTGTGTCCTCTCCTCGTCGTGATCTCAGCTCCTTCGCTCGTCCACTGGCAGTCCTTGTTCTAGGCCTGGGATCCTCTTCCCACTCAGCAGCCACACCTCTCCCCTGCCCCCGCTTCCCGTCTATTCCGGTTGCGAGGATTGACCAATGTGCTATCCATGTCAAATCCGCCGTCCGCTCCCGAAGACTCCTTGCCTGATTCCCTGGTGACACCTGCTGCGCCGGCCCAACATGATTGCCCCAAGGAGACCGAGCTCCCTCCAAGGAGCCCACGTCACCACCCTGCGCACGACCAGCAGTTGTCCCAGGGGGATCAAGAGGCGCCTTCCCCGTCCCGTGCCGAATCCCCCACGGTCCCTCATCAGTGGTCTCAACCCGTGTCCACTTTCGCACTAAAAAGGAGCACAACGGCGCCGTTGGAGAAGCTGGCGCGCGCCGACGATGCTTACCATCCCCAACTGTCAGAGCGCGACAGCATCTTTGCAACCCACTACCTGCCATCTGACAGTGGCGCGAACACCCCGCAATTGCCTCCGTATGCGGCTCCAGACAATGACCACGTTCACTTGATCCCTGCCCTTGACGATGCACCCGTGCCTCCAAATCCACTCTCCAAGGTCTCCTCCCCCCACGGTTCTCGCGTCGACCCTTCCCCCATGGAGGTTGACGTCCGCAGAAATTCCCCGTTGCGCCCCTCACCTCTCTTCCCACACTCTCATTCCCGACGCCTATCTCTTTTGCGCTCTGCCATCTCATCCACCGATCAGCCACCAGAAGAAAGTTCACAGCCTCCGGCGGGGCACCGCCCTGAACAGGGGCCCAAAGTGCCATTGAATGAATTAGGTGCGAAGACTGGTCGCCCGCAGGAAACCGAAAGAACTCTCTTTCCCTCTGCACTACATGATGTTTCACACCCTCCTTCGACATTGACAGAGCCCCCAGCAGGCCACCATCGACCCACGGTCCGTCGGGGGAGCGTCTCTTTCTCTTCGGGCGATACATCTCGAGCTGCACCTGCTCCTGAGCGAAGCTCCAGCAAAAGCCGTCGTGGGCGAGTGGATAACTCGATAGAGGCAAATCTCACCAACGTGGAACCGGCCTCCAATGTGCGCAGCCGTAAGTCCAGCCACTACTTGGGCCTCTTCAAAGAGAATACTACCTCCCCTGATCGGAAGAGAAGGGAAGACCGTGGTCAGCAACATGAAGAGCCCTCAGAATTGATGGACCGCGCTATGGATCAGGAACCGGAGTCCTTGCACACGCTCTCGGAGGAAGACTCCTCGCTTCGCAAGAGCGTGTCTCTTCCCACACTAGGGGATGGACCCGCGTTTGAACAACCGTCTATTGCTGAAGTACCCCAGCCTGTGCACCAGGACTCGCCCTCTAAGCGCCCACGGGCACTGCCCCGGAGCCTGCTAGAAGAGATTCGAAATTTCCATCTCACACCGGGTGGTAGCCGGGGGTCGTCATTTTCCAGAAGTATCCCAACGCAGTATTCTGAACGCAGTCACGACTATTTTCAAAAAGATGTGGTTGAGGTTTTGACTGAATTACCAAGCTCACAGGAGCAAGGAGAACGCCGAGATTCCGATACATTTGAAGACGAGGAGGAAGAGAATGAGCAGATCTCCTCGGCCGTTTACTTCCCTCACGAGCGCGTCGTGGTGCCCGAAGGGGTTAATGACTTACAGACGTTCGTTCAAGATAAACGAGGCGTGCAGCCAGTTAAACTGGAGGCCGCAGAGCAGGGCCGTGAGTTGAGGCTGGTGCCCAAAGAACGTAGCACTCCTCCGGAACAGGAAGTCAGCCATGTGGATATATCCTTACGATCTAAAAATGAAAGTAAGATCCTGCACGGTGATCTTCAAGATCTTCAGTCGCCGCTGGAGACTGTGCCGGAAAAATCCCTGAGTACCATCTCCGAACGCAGTTATGACTCAACGTGCGAGTCCGAGGTTGTATCTGCGGATGACAGCGGGCCGTCCGGTCTGGATGAATCCAGCTTGACCGACGATGCTGAGGTGACGCCGACCGCGACGCCCACTCAGCGCTCACGATTTCCTACCCGGCGCAAGGCCCAGAATCAGAGCCCTTTGGGAGCCGTGGAGTTGAAGCCGTACAGACATCAGGTTGGGGGCCACACTACCGTGTTCCGCTTTTCGAGACGGGCTGTGTGCAAGCAGCTCAATAACCGAGAGAATGAATTTTATGAGCGGATTGAACGCAGACATCCTGATATGCTGGTGTTTCTTCCAAGGTATGTGACACTGTTTTGAGGGGATGCGCATTAGGGGCGAAATCGGATCTAATCCCTGCTTATAATGTTTGATGCTGATTATCTTTACTAGATACATTGGCGTCCTGAATGTGACATTCTCAAAAACGCCCAAGCGGTCAAAGGGCCACCCCGAACAAGCTGGTAGCCTCTTTTCGGATGCGAGACAGACAAATGGAGCTTCTGCTCTTAGTTCACAGCTTTTGGACAGGCCAGAACCCCAACGCATTGTTAGCCAGAAACAGGTTACCGGGGTGATCCCCAAAGTCATACTTGAGAATAATCGCCATATCATTCCAGCCGACCTTTTTGAGCTTCCCCAACGACCACGATCAGCCCATGATGCGATAATGGGCCGAGCTCGTTCTGTTGACGGGCTCGGAAACTTTACGACTGATTCCGACTCCTCGACCCTCAGCAAGCACAAGAAGATATGGGGAGCTACTTCTGTTAATCGGAAACTTCAAGAATCGGTTCTCCGTGAAGTGTTCAGTCCCCCGGCAATTCACCACCATCGACGCCATGCTCGTGGTCATATTCATCTACCAAGAACAACCTCGGATTTTAGCCAACGGCGACAAAACTTGTCGGTGGACCATACTTCTAGCAGTCGCCGTATTCCACCTGGACGGGTTGAGGCCCTGAAATCCCCAGCAATTGATATTGTTCTCCCTCCCACCGAAGGCCCTTCCCTATCGTCATCAGCGTCTACTGCGTTGGAAGCCAATAATCGCAATCGTCTTGAGAAAATTCGAACCGAGGAGCAACAGCCGCACCGCGCAAGAGATCTCAACAGAGGCCCGCACATGAGACGACGCCATTCTGGGAGTGGCTTGCAGAGACGAAAAAGCATCAATTCCGGCGAGGTCGGAGATCTGATGTTCTTCGATGATGATGGCTACGGTGGAGACCGAGAGGATGAAATATTCTCTATGGAAGGGGATGTTTCTATGCCTCTTTCTCAAATATCTCCGACAAAGGCCTCCGCTTCTTCAGCGTCGGAAAGTACCTCGACCAGCGAACCCCGAGCCTCCGAATCAGTGGGGTCTGACAAACCGTCTTCTCTCTCCTCTCACGATCGAGCAAAGGATGATGTGAGCGCTCTGCCCAGCAACCCAAAAGAGGCGCAATTGAGGAAAGATGAACGGGTTCAATTCTTCCTTCTTTTAGAGGATCTGACGGCTGGCATGAATAAGCCATGCGTGCTGGACTTGAAAATGGGAACCCGACAGTACGGCATTGAGGCGAATGAGAAGAAAAAGAAATCGCAGAGACGCAAGTGCCAGTCCACCACCTCGCAGCAGCTTGGCGTGCGACTCTGTGGAATGCAGGCCTGGAACGTCAAGAAGCAGGAGTATACCTTCGAGGACAAATACTTCGGACGAGATCTGAAGTCCGGCCGAGAATTCCAGGATGCACTCACCCGTTTTCTCTATGATGGTGTTAGCTATGCCAGCGTGGCCAATAAGATCCCGGTCATCTTGGAAAAGTTGTCTTTGCTGGAGCATATGATTCGGAAACTAGAGCATTATCGGTTATATGCGAGCAGCCTCTTGATTCTCTATGATGGAGAGCAGTCGCCTCCCGAAAAAGGATCTTCTCAGGACGGCCACAACAACACCGATGTCCAGTTGAAGATCGTTGACTTTGCCAACTGCGTTACGGGTGAGGATGAGCTACCTCCCGATACACCCTGCCCTCCCCAGCACCCACATGACATTGACCGTGGCTACCTCCGCGGCCTGCGCACCCTGCGGATGTATTTCCAGCGGATCATGAAAGAAGCCACCCAAGACGAATTCGTGGAACGCGGCGAAGGCGAAGTCAGTGCGCTGGACTCCCAACCGGGGCCTGGTCGCGGGTCACGCTCGGTCCAGTATTGGGATGACAGCGTGATGGAGAGTGACATCGGCGAAGTCAGCTTTTAGCATGTTTCGATCAGCTCAGCATCGAGCTGTGGCTGTCACATCCAACTCCTTCTCACCATTTCTCACGCCACTAACCAATTACGGATACGGTTTCCAACCTTCCTACCGACTTTTCCCCCACTTGATTACAATTCCGTCGTCCTATTGCGATACCAACCAACATTACTCGCCTAATTTGACGAATGCAGAACTTGACTTGCGGCGGAGTGATACGAACTAACGACCTGCTACATGGATGACGTTTGTTTCCCTTCCTTTGATGCGACCCTTGTTTATGCCTGGATGCATTTAGAGCCGGTATGGGAGTAACCCTTTTTTCTTTCATTATTCTTGTCTTCTTTTCTCGCGCCGTGTATGACCTGATTCTTTTTTCGACTCCCTTGCTTCCCTTCCCGGTCCTGTCTTGTTTTCGATAATACCCCTCTGCCCCAGGCACCCTTTCTCTAGTCTGTCCTATCGCATGGTCCTCTGGTCTCTGGTGTTACCTGTACATGGATATCAATTCAATCCCAACAGTTCTTAGACAAGTATGAGATCCAAATGGCCATTTCACGAGCGATTCGATCACCTGTAGTCACGCTCCTCATTATCTTCGATTATTTTTGAGGTTAAACTTCGACCAAAAGTGGAGGACTAGCATGTTGAGTAACGTCAGAAAGGGCTGTTAGAAAAGCTGGTGAAAAGTATACGGAAATCAGGAATGCTGAGAGTATTCAAGATATCGCAGGGTTGGTAGAGAGATGGAAAGTATATTAAGGACACTCATTGCTAGTTAAATGATTGCTTCCAAATATTCAGTGATCAATTGAAGTATTCATTGAATAGGTCCAGCACCTAACGGCAGTATCAAGTGCCTCCTTTTCTCTCTCTTTCAAGCACCAGATTGTGTAGTTCCGGATCACGTGCTTGATAATGATAAGCCTCGGGCGCATCTCCACTTTCAGGCATCTCCAACTCCGACTCCGACTTCGACTCACCTTCACTCGAGACAAGGCCGACTCTCTTTGCGATTGCGGGGGGCTGTTCACTGTGTGTGATCCAGTATCTGTGATATGCCCAGTTCGTTCCTGCGCTGCCTTTCGACATAGAGCAGCACCGAGCTCGGGGGCCAGCAACTGATCCGCCCAGCTGACGCCATTCGCGATCGAGTCACACGCATACCTCCCAGCCTCCACCGCATTCACTCCAAGAACCCACTCCTTAAGCCTTTCAATTGCTCATTTTATCCATCGTGCTCTGATTGCGAACACATTGCCGTGAGGGGAGCCACGATGACCGGCACCAATGGCCAAACCAACTCATCCATCGATAAGCGGGACTTTGACGCAAACCGGCCACCACTCCGCAATATAGACCCAGAGCCAGAGGATGAGGATGGACCTACAAGATCAGAAACAAGATCTGAACGCCTATGGTCATCGCGACCAACATCGCGCCGGTCGCGAGTTTCTTTCAGCGACGGTGGCCACCCGGGTAGTGATGATGGTCTTTTCAGCGACGTGGTCGAGGGGATTGTGGAGCGTGATCGTCGGAAAATACAAAAGGAGATGGTGCGAGTGTGTAGCTTTGCGTGGGGCGTTGTGAGTTGGTATGGAGAATACTTGGCTTTGCCTTGATCGACTATATTTCTTTTGCTAACTTTGTTTCCCGCAGTCTCGGTGCTGGCAGTATCACGGCCTTCTCTCTGTATGGCCATCTGATGCTTACGCGTCTCCGTTACTCCCAGCTACAAGTCAATGCTGTCTCGATTGCGGCGGAGATCTCGATGTACCTGCTAGTCCCTCTGTTTGGCTACCTCTGTGATCGGTACAGCCCGTCGCCATTATCACTCTTCTCCGGCTTCGTGTTTGGTCTTGGGTATCTTCTGGCTGCATTTACCTATAAGAGCGGACCACCTACCGACGTTGGCGGGTCGGGCTGGCCATTCTGGGTGATGATCGTGGCTTTTGTTCTAATCGGGATGGGCACGAGCTGCATGTATCTAGCGGCCGTCGCGACATGTGCCAAGAACTTTGGCAGAGGCAAACATAAAGGGATCATGCTGGCTGTTCCAATTGCTGCTTTTGGCCTTAGTGGTATGTGGCAAAGCCAGGTGGGCACTTATCTGCTGTACGAGCGACAAGCCGATGGGACCAGGGGCGATGTCGATGTATTTCGGTACTTTCTGTTTTTGGCCATCTTGCTCTTTGCTATCGGCATCATTGGTACCTTTGGGCTGCGTATCGTGGATGAAGAAGAGGTGAAGTATATTGATGAGACTGTTGATGAGTTGGAGCGCAGTGGCCTGCTGGAAGACAGCGAATTCTTCCGGCCCCGGAGCGAGGTGAGGGCTGCCGTTGAATATGGCACGTTCTCTTCCACAGCCGACGAGGAACAGGCGGCGACCTTGTCAGACGAGGAGCGGGACGAACGCAGACGCGAAAAGGAGAGAGAAGAAGAGGAGCGACGGAAGAAGAACTGGTTGCTAAACTACGAGACGCGGGTTTTCCTCCAGGACCAGACGATGTGGTGGCTGGCCGCCGGCTTCTTCTTGGTCACCGGCCCTGGCGAGTCCTATATCAACAATGTATGTGTTCCCACTGACCCGTCGAGGAATCTTTTTGACTGATATCATATCCAGCTGGGTACCATCATTCCAACTCTGACACCTTTATCCTATGCTCCCAACGCCTCACCCCCAGCTGGCCTGCCATCTACGCACGTCACCATCGTTGCATTAACCTCGACTCTCGCTCGACTGGCCACAGGCTCCCTCTCAGACTTCTTCGCTCCTCCAGCAACGCATCTATTCCCTGGAGGAGCGCGCCACCGACCCAGCTCATTCCTGTCCGACACCCCATCACGCCTGTCTTTCTCCCGCATGATCTTCCTTCTCCCTTCGGCCCTCCTCCTCTCAATCGGCTACCTAATCCTCGCCTCCCCACTTCCCCTCAAAGAACCCTCCATCTTCCACCTAACCACCGCCCTCGTGGGACTCGGCTACGGCGCCGCCTTCTCCCTCACGCCCATTATCATCTCCGTCGTCTGGGGCGTCGAGAACTTCGCTACGAACTGGGGTATTGTAGCTATGATGCCTGCTCTGGGTGCTGCGCTCTGGGGCGTCATCTACTCCCGGGCTTACCAGAATGCGCTGGATGACGGATCAGGCTCTGGTTTGCCTGATGGCCAGTGCCATGGCTGGGGTTGTTATGGGTACTGGGCTGTTGGCTGCACGGTTAGTGTTTGGGCCGCATTGGTGGTCTGGACTGCTGCTTGGCGGAAGTGGAAGAGGAATGGCGTTGTTGTCTAGTCCGCCTTCTCGTCTCTGCGGTCTTAATTTTGGAAATTGGTCTGCTCTTTGGCGTTTTGATTTAGTTTCAGCGTGCTTGGTATACATGGCTGCCACATGATTGGTTTCATCTCGCACTTCGACTCATGTTTTTTTCTCTGCTCCCCGCTTCCCCTTGATATACATTTTGCAGAATTGGTGCACATGCCGGATATCATCTTCCGAATAAGCTTGTTTTTGTGTGGCCTGGACCGATCCACCGAAGCTCCAAAATACGCCTCTCTTATACTTGCTAGAAAATCTGGAGAATCAATAGCTACCCCATATAAACTAGAATGAGCTGCGCTGTTACGGATCATTCCTAGGAACGGTATTCATAGTAACGCACATAGTTGAGTTTTCTTACACGTTTGTGCCTTAGGCGACCCTTAGGCGTCCCTTAGGCGCCCCTTAGGTCGACTTGTTAGTCTCAGAGCTATTGACTATTGGATGACTCTCGGCCAACCACAACAAAGGTAATATCTTTCAGCAATTTGCATCGAGAATATAGCCCCATAGTCACATTCCCATCGTCATATCTCAGGATCTGAATGCTAGATCGCCGGCTTTACATAATAGATGCCTAATCAACACAGCCTTGCATCCTCGCCATTACAAAACTCGGGTGCAGTGAGTTTGGTCAAACATAGGCAGCAGCCTTACACTACTGCCTGCATATAGTCATCTGCACCCTACCTTGTGTGCATAGATTCGAGTCAGACATTAGCCCCCAAAAAAGAGGTCTACAAATATGCAAGATGATTGGTTAAGCAAAAGCAAAGCATTGATAGCAAAGCATCAAGACATAGAAGGCTCTCAGAGAGGAGTAGAATTTGTAACTAACTAGGCAAAAATAGGGTGTATTATATTGGAATCAGGGTCAACAGCGAAAGTGGAGTGTGGAGTGATGATTAACGGGAACCTTGTAGTTCTATCATTACCTGCACCAGACTTCAGGGTCCATGTGAATTCAGGCCAAACTTGCGCCTCCACAACCGTGTCGATCCGTAGATCGACATTATTCTTGCGAAGGATTTGGAATTTGGAAGCCCTTTTTGGGGGGTGGCGGGGTTGGGGGACTAATACTGCATCGATAGATATAAAAACATGAGATTTTCCTTCGATTTAACACAGATCAAGACTCTACAAGTCAATTTTGCTACTCAAGAAGTCTCTTTCCTGCCTCCTGCCTTTCTCCTACAATGAGATACACTGCGTTGATGGGCCTTTTCGGTAAGTCTTTCCTCCGTCCTCCATGGATAGGACGACATCACCTAACGTTTAGACCTAGCCCTTGAGGCACTCGCTCTGCAAGTTGGTAAGCGAGCCACGACCAAGCCACCTCACCTTAGCTCTACGCTTTCATCCACAACATCCACAACATCCGCACCATCAACGACGACGACTATCGACCCAGCGCACCAAACCAACAAGGATGCGTTGTGCGACAATGGTTTCACTCGCGAGAACTGGCGAAAATATGACATGGATTACTGGTTGGAATACTGGTAAGAAAGCGAAGAGTCATTGCTACATGTTCGTTTTCATAAACTGTCTCTAGGTCTTCTTCTTACCCTATGTCGGTCGATGGTGGAAATGTTACATCCGGCACCGACTGGGTGAACTTTCTAGCGGACATGACCGGGAGTCTTACAAACGTACATTGCGAAGTAGGGAGTGGACAGTGCCATCTTGGCAGTCTTAGTGACACAGACGCGTGTAAAAAGAATCCGGAATGGACGCCAATGCTCTTCTTTGCTCTCTCTGCTTGCGAGAACCTTTTCGACTGGTATTCAGGCGTCAACAGTGCGCTTCAGAAACAAGCAAATGATTTCCAAACCCAAGTCATGGGTATTGTCACAACTTTTACACCTCATGATGTGTCTGGCGTACGACCTTCCCTAACCTACCCTATGTTATTTACATTATATTAACTTTTCGACTTAAACAGAACTCCGCATCTGCAGCATTAACAATGATTGGTGGTCTCCTAGGGGCAATTAGTGGTCTTCTAGGGCCTTTAAGTGCAGGGGGTTCAGCTGGTGCTGGATTCGCAAGTGGTGTTATTGCTTTTGCAAATGGTGCACAAAGCGCAATGCAAGCAAACTACGCACAGCTGTAAGTTTGATTTTTCCTATCTTCTATCCTCTCTTATCTTCTTTCCTCTCTTATTCTATCCTAACGATGTGATAGTTTGCAAAACGAGCTTGACACCTATAGCTCAGTGGAGGACTTGGTGGGACGATCTATTACGCTAATGCAAAATGCCACTCTTATGGTCGTCGAGAACGCAATCAACGTTGTTCCCGATAATAGCGGACAGGGCACAGGGTACTTTTGGTATGATTTTACAACTAGTGCCCCGTACCTCATGCAAAATGGCACCTTCGCCGAGGAGTTAGGGAATTATGACTATAATATCCTAAGCGGCCAACTCACACAGTATGTTAACTCGAGTGCTGTAGCTGCTGCTTGGGTTCAGCAAGACGTCTTTATTGCAAAGCGAACCGACGATATCAATGGCATAGCTCCCTGTGATATAGACCTCGACAAGCTCACTGGTGCTCGTGCATGTTCACCTGATGGGAGCACGGCCTACTTTTTCATGGTTAGCCAACAGTTTTCACCCTCCTATTCCTGGGGCTCCTATGAGGGGGTTCCAGGAGTAACAAATGTTGGAGATTACGGACTCGATCTATACACTATGGCTACGGCAGCGGAGTGGATTCAAGACAACTACTTCAACTCCTCGGGATACCTTCCTAATATTTCACCCACCGATATGGTCAAGGCATTCACGTCGCAGTATGATCCTTTGCCGAACGGTTACTTTATCAATCTCCCTATCCTGGATGCAGATGGACTGAGTCCCCCAGAAACCTATGGCGATGTTGTGGAAGAGGTTAGTACTGTACACCCGATATTTGAACTTGGGCTATGCACTAACTATCTGTTGAACAGGCCCTCTTCCTTATTGAGGTCGCGTCCCAGCTTCCAAATATTGATAACTGGCCATACTCTATTCCTTATAATCTCAATAATTGAGCTCACTATGCCCAATTTTGTTTGATTATGCGGCTGCAGAGGTGTAACGGATGAACTTGTTGCATACTGGTTATACTCTTTCCAACCTTATACCCCTAGAACTCCGTGCTAGCCAAATATTATAACTGATATACTGTATGCAGTTAATTTTGGTTTTTATACTGATTTGTTTGTTTTTATTGGGACATATTCATGGGACATATTCAACATATCGTCTGCTGATTATTGGCTTAGCTTAAAATATTTTATTGTTTCATATCTTTACGTCTCTTGCAGTTGCCCAACGATTCAACATCGTGGGGCCATCGAGCGTTCTTAGATATTTGCAGTCATCAATTTAATCTAGTCGCTCGTTTCTCTCTTATTCTCCAAACTATGCAAAACGATCTAATACTTTTCTAGAGCAGATGACTCCCGGAAAAATATTGGGTTGGTCACAAATCGCCATGACTTGCCATGATTTTAGAATTACAACATTAACGGAGTTGGATTGAATTCCTTCAAACTCTTGAAATCCAACCGCCTGGGTATTTTTGCAAACCAATAGTTCCAATTCCGAGAAAGCCGTTGGACTTTTTGCCTCAACTCCAGATATCAACACGAACAAGCTGAGGCCCAAGAAAAGTAAAAAGTGATGTGGTAGGGCCAAAAGAACCGGAATGCCAAGAGTTGTACAAAAAGCTACAAGAAAAATAATACCACGATCGTTGTCGCCTCTCGTTTGAGACTTAAAGGAGGGGCGAAGTAGCCAAGAGTAGCCTTCCAAGTAATAAAAGCTAGACATCCGTCGAGGCAGGGTCTTGACCAGTAAATACTTTGTACAATCGCTTGCTAGCCGCAGGACCAACACGGGAGTCGGTCAAGGCGCCGTTTTTATTTGCAGATTTCTGGAAAGGTAGGCAGGTCAACAATTAGCTCCATAAACATCAGACCAAACAACATACCCGGACATCCTCGAGCAAGGTCGGCCCATGCATGCGCATTGCACGCACCAGATCCGTGACGGAGGGATACTGCGTGGTAATGCCGTACGCCATGGCCGCAGTAACCCGGTTGACTTCCTGGAGCATCTTGACGAAGGTGTCGAGCTTGTCCTCGCCGGACTTGACCTGGCCGACATCCATGCAAAATGCGGCATCATTGCCCTCCATGCGTTCGCGGCGGTAGGGAATGGTGGAGATGTGCTCGGTGAAGTTCTTGATCCATTCGGCGGACTCGGGCGCTGCTCCTGTGTGGTGGATCAGACAGGAGTGTGTAACCTGCAGCGCGAGGAGAGCATCCTCAACCGTGTCGTCGTCTACAGGACGTGTTGTTTCTGGCTTGTTCTTCTTTTTGCGGCCCCGAGGAGCGGACGAGCCTTCACCAGCTTCGCTCGTTGTGGCAGCATTCTGTTCGTATTGGCGAAGGACTGCAGCTTGATAAGCCTTGTTCCGGGAATTGCGGTTCTTACGCATCCAAACCGTCAGCCCCTCGATGAGGTAGATGAGTTTGCAGTCCGGATAGGCGCTTTTGATGCGAAGAACATGGATCTCCAGCGTGTCCCTTTCTGAGTTTTCAGGGTCCGAAATAACCATGTCAACAAAATCTTGCGCTGGAACAAGACATAGTACGTGCCTTTCTTCCTGGATGTGGAGTGGACAAGGTTCCCAATGGCCAACGGTTTCATTGTATTTGGCAGTCATCTTACGGCGCCATTTGACAACGTGCGAAATCGGGCTTGTGAAAAATGTTTGCTCGACCCCATGCCGTTTCATGAACTCGACGGTCTGGTTTCCTACACTGCTTCCTTCGAGTGACAATGCCATGTCGATGATCATCTCTGGTGTAGAATCCTTCTTATCCACCTTGAGCTTGTTGACCTCTGAAATGTCTGCAGCCAGCTGTTTTTCCCGAGCTTTTTCTCCCTTGAGCTTTTGCTTCCGCTCTTTTTCGAGCTGGCGCTCCCGTTCTTTCTGCGCTTTGGCTTCCTCTCGTGCCTTTGCCTTTGCCTCCTTTTCTTCGGACGTAAGCTTACTGGATTTTTTGGCTGGTCTTCGCGGCTCGATAGGTTCGTCCAATTCGTCTGACATATTGCCCAACGCCGGAAAAGAGCCGTCCTCTTTCTGAGAGCGGCCTTTCCCTTTAGAGCTGGATTTGATCTTGGCCTTTTGATCACTGATATTTGACAACAAACCGGCAGTCCGACTGGAAAAAACCGTATTGGAAGCGGCTGTTCCCTGCTCCGCGAGTCCAATCAGGTCATTGAAATCTGGCAAAGAAAACGGATCGCTGAACTCCTCGATATCGTCTCGGCCGATATTAAGCGTAGCTTTTCGGGTCGTAGTAATTTTCATGAAATCATCATCATCATCATCGTTCAAGGTAATAATGTCAGAAATCTGCGAGGGATTTGGTTTCTGCGCAACAGCTGGTTTCGCCCTGTGTTCCGGAAGCGGGAGCGAAGATGTGAACATAATCGGATCGGAGTCCTCCACATTCAATTGTGACGGCTTCTTCTGGGCCGCGGGGTTTGAAGGAGGCAGACCGAAGTCGTCGTCTGAGAACAGAAATCGTGGATCGAGGTCTGGGGCTTTTGATTCGTGCGCAGTCGTACTCTGTCTCAGTGGCGAAGGGTTCTCGCCAGTCACTTTTCGTTTCTTGACAGGATTGGCGGACGTCAGGTCATCGTAGTCGAACAGAGAGACGTCAATTGAGTCTGACGAGATTGGTTCACGGTGGGAGGGATGCCGCGAGGGAAGCTGGTTGGTTGGCTGTTGCGACTGCGGCGGTGGTCTCTTCGGACTCGGCGGGTCCGAAGAGACCAGATTAATGACATCGGGCATTTGGAGGTGATGCCGATGCCACGACGGGCGAAGATCACAAGGAGAGGGAAAGATAGAGACAAGACAAAGAACATGGGACGCGCCTGTCACGGTGACGCGGAGTCACGTGTGATAAGAGTGGCAGACTCATACCGCTTTTTATAGTTTGGACTTGCACCACCATCACCAATCCTGGGACATCTAAGTCTTACGATAATCAAAACTAGAACTGTACGCCAATGGGAGAGCAGGACAGTTAATGGATTGGGTATTGCTCATATCAAAACTATCCACTCGATTTTAGCACCACTACAATTGCGATGGCAAAGATACCCCCAAAGATCAGCGCAATAATGTCCACAACCCACTGCCATCCATTGAATGGACGCCTCTCCGCTGAGAGCATGGTCGATATCTCGTCTTCTAGACGATCACCCATGGCCGTAAATGAGAACTCCTGCTGTGCTCGCGTCTTGCCGGCAGCAGCCATCTTGTCAACCTCCTCTGGCGTCATCCCATAGAGAACTTTGTCCATGACGGCTGTCCACTCATCGACCGCATGCGCGTCCCGGAGCCAGCCCGTTTCGCCCTCGACGATTGTCTCCAGCGGACCGCCGGTGTTGGACGCTAGGACCGGAAGTCCGGCTTGCATCGCTTCGACAGGTACGATGCCGAAGTGCTCGTTGATCGGGGTATAAAGAAGGAGTTTAGATTGCGCTAGCAGAGTATCTTTGAATGCGGTCGGCACAGAGAGTAGGAAGAGAACATCAATGGAGTCGGGGATAGATAAAGCGGAAATAACCGTCTTCGAGGTAGCTGTTTGCAAGCCGAGGCCGGAAGCGAGGTCGTCTAGTTCTTGGTGATATTGGACGTTTTCTTGGACGCGATTATCGTAACCGCCTATGTCAAACCAATTAGAAAAGACGGCAACTAAATGGACGGACAAAAATTTACCAGCAATTACCAGCCGCGTCCCTTTCCTCTTCTCCGCCTCCAGCCCATGGTACGCGCGAATAGCCAACGCCATATCTTTCTTCCGCTCAAAACGATTAATGCTTAGCAAAATCTTCTTGCCGCCCCAGAGTGGCTTCTCTTTCGTTTTCATCTTGGCCGGTTTGGCAGTGGACTCCATGGGAACACATGGGTAGACAACCTCGACATCGCCCAGCTTCTCCGTGCCAAAAACTTGGCGCACAACTCCGCGTGAGAACTTGGAGTTGGCAACGACCCGATCCGACGCGCTCAGCGCCCATCCCTCGAACCAGTCAAACGGAATGCGATATATTAGCTTCACCAGACGAAGAAGTGAGCTCTTCTCATCTCGTCGCGCGAGCAATTGGTCCGGGAAGTGGCAGTAGAAGAGGATGCGCTGGCGGCGGGATGGCCGTGGTTGACCGAAGGCTTTGAGGACGGGTACGCAGGCGGGGAGCTGGTCGACAAGAAACACGTCGTCTCGATCCTCACCCTCCACCTCGTCATTATTCTTATCATTTTTTGCTGCGGGGAAATCTGTCCTCCCGCGCGATCTAAGCTCGTTCAACAACGACCATGTCAAATGCAGCTGCCGCAGTGCAGCCATAAGAATATGAAGTCGGCCGCAGATGTGAGCAGGAAAGATGGTGTTTCCGCGCACGCGGACGTCCAGCGTTCCATCGCGCGCCTCTTCGAAGCAATGTGTCTTGTCGCGGTGGGAGGTGTAGATGGTGACGCGGTGGCCGCGGCTCTGCAGGGCCAGGGCGGCGTCGATGATCAGGCGCTCGGCGCCGCCGATGCCCAGATCCGGGTGAATGACGATCACATTGGCGCGATCGGGCATGACGGGCTGGAAATGAGGATTGAGGTCCGACGAGAAGGTTGCGGGAGCTTGAGCTTAAAGGCCACGGGGCGGTCATGTGATGATCTATGAGTTTCCAACATCACAAAAAACAACTATGTAATCATTTTATCTCTCTATCTACCTTTTGTTTTCTGCTCGATATGTTTGCTTTTGCTTCTAGTGCTTCGGTGAACTAGTTAGGGAGCGCAACTACCCCAACTGCCGATGGATATTCCTTGACCCGGAAAGCAACAATCCCAACTGCCGGAGCAAGCAAACCACCGGGCTTCAATAGTCAATAACCCAGTCCATGGATCAAACGAGCCCGGAGTAGCTGTACCCGGCATCTGTGCTCGGGGCTAGAATCCGGGGAATTCGATCAGATGACAGACAGTGGAGAGCTAGACAAGCATTACTTGATGGAGCCAGATTCGGATCTGGCAAGCTCCTCCGATGCCGAAGATCCGTCCACCCCAGTTGGGGGGTTATTTTGGCGCTAAATCTCTTTCTTTTTTCCTGTCAGAATATTTATTTCTCAATGACCTCACCATAGCCAGCCATGGGAGACGAGGAGAAGAGCCCGCCCAGCACCGACGGTGCCAGCGCCGCCCCGGCTGCTGAGAATAATGCTTCGACGCATCCTAAACCCACCAAACTGTAAGTCCAGGAGGGATCTGCAGTATCGCATTCCCTCTGCAAAAATTCTCCGAATTGTATATGCGCGATACTGATAATTCCTCTAGACACCAAGTCATAGTCGTCTGCGCCGGCTTCATCACCATGTTCATGACCTGCGCGCTGATCTTCTCGTTTGGTGTCTACCAAGCCATCTATGAAGAAATGGCCAAAGAACCCAACACGCCATTCACGGGCACATCTTCCGCAATCATCAGTCTGATCGGCACGCTCGCCATCGCTCTCATGTCGATGGGCGGTCCTTTCATCATGAACTGGGCGAAGCTGTACAGCCCCCAGGTCGTGATTATGGCTGGCGGAGTGGTCTTCGGCTTGGGATCCATCCTTGCCAGTCTGAGCGAGTACCTCTGGGAATTTGCACTGACGCAGGGCGTGCTAGTTGGGCTGGGCGTGTGCATGGCATACGTGCCGACCATGTCCGTTGCCCCGACGTGGTTCGACAAGCGCCGTGGACTGGCCATGGGCATTATCATCTCCGGCTCGGCCTGTGGCGCGATGATGTGGCCGCCCGTTCTGCGTGCCATAACGGCGAGCATCGGGTTCCGCAACGCCCTGCGCATCTCTGGGTGCCTGACGATATTGTTCGTGCCTCTGGCCGGTTTCACGCTGCGCTGGGAGCCGAATTTCAAAGAGAAACTCCGCAGCCAGACGGCTGGTATGTCCAAAACGACGGGGTGGATCAAGGTCCCGCTGGTGAACTGGAAAGTCGCCCAGTCGAAGAAGTTCCTCGCGCAGGCGCTGGGATGTTTCTTGCAGTCGGCGGGCTACTCTACGCCTGTGTTCTTCTATGCTGCGTATGCGCGCTCGCTGGGATACAGCCCTTCCATGGCAGATAATTTTATCACCTGGAGCAATGCCTCGAACTTTGTGTCTCGTATTCTGATCGGGTATTTGGCAGACAAGTGCGGCCGACTGAATGTGCTCTACCTCACGACGATTATGAGCGCCGTCGCCGTGTTTGGCTTCTGGCTTCCGTCGACATTTGTTGGGCGCACCGTTTCTGTGGCCGCGGCCGATGGGCTGTTCATCTTTTTCGTCCTTCTGTACGGCTCTTTCGGTAGCGCGTATATCTCGTTGTTTCCTGCGAGCTTGATTGAGTTGTTCAGTGTCCAACATTTCACTTCCGTGAACGGGGCCCTGTACCTCATTCGGGGTGTGGGCGCCCTGTTGGGAACGCCGCTGACTCTGCTGCTGTTACCCAGTGCGTCGGCTTTGTCGGACCCGGGCAGCTACGAGCGAGTAACCATCACCGTTGGAGTACTGTTGTTCGCATCAAGCATGGCGACTCTGTGGGTGCGGATTGAGGGCTCCGATGGGAAACCGTGGACCTGGAAGCTGTAATAACTGTCTGTTGTATGCGTAGTTGAGCTGGACTCTGTGTGTTTAGCATTTTTTTTGTCCATAAACGTTCAACATATTCATAATGGATACTCTCACCTCTCTATACCTTGAGAGAAAAGTGCAATGAGTATTCGAAGGAAAAAAATTAAATAGCCTTATGAGATTCTTCTGCTATTTGACCCGAATAAACGGTCAACTATGAACGACAAAAAAAAGCCCAGCGGACGAAGTCTTTGGAAGGATTAACCAGAATTAAGAGACAACAGCATATTGAAAATGTACAAGTGACGATTTCTAGCGCAAGCTAAAGAAACTACCAGCCGTCAGGGAGTGTGTTCATGAAAAAGCAAATAATGAACCGAAGGATATGTGAAACCAAAGAGACAGTAGATGTGCAAAGGAAAGAGAGCCACCATCTGGCGCTGAATGACAGAAAAGGTACTGCAGAATTGACAGCCTTGGGAGAAAAAAATTCATAATACAGGGAAATTGAGTAGTTATTGACAGGGGAATCGCAATAAGAAAGGGCAGGGTATGAAACATGGGCCAAGTAGGAAAAGTGTATGAGTACAGCGATAACGACAGACGAAAGATCGCTTTTTTGGGGAGGGATTAGAAGCAGTTGAGCGTGCTCTTCTTCTTCTTTTTGTTGAGAGCGTTCATGCGCTCCTCCAGCTGGGCCCGGGCGGCTTCGGCCTCTTTCCGAGCGCTGCGCTCTTCCTCAACAGTCTGCAAAGAAAGTCGGGCTGAGTTGCGCTCCTTACGCAGAGTGGACAGCTCATCCTCAAGTTGCCACGCCTTCTTCTTCCAGCCGTCGCAGTCAGTCTTGACCTTGTTGCTCTGGGTCTCTAGGTCACCGAGGGCCTCCTCCAAGGTAGCAGTCAACTGCTTCTCAGCATACAGATGCTTTTCAATGGTTCGGATACGGGCTTCCTGGTCTTCGACAAGCTGGGCATTCACCAGCTCCTTGCTAGCGTGCCGAGAGCTGGGCGGAGACACGCTGCCTGCAGTGCCATTGGCAGTTGAGGCGATGCTCGGCAGGGGGGAAGGGGAATAGCTGGAGGAGGCGATGGAAGAGAGGCCGCGGATGTGCTCTTGCGGAGGTTGGATGTGAGAGAGCTGCTGCGATCATGAGAGCCATCCTGGTTCCCGCTGTTCTTGATTTGAAGCTAGAAAAATGAGGTTAGCTTATTCAGTATTGGTATTTAGGAAAATTCTCACCTCAAGGTGTTCAATCCGCAGGCGGTAATTTTCAATGTCCTTCTCGTAGATGGCGATCTTGGCCTTCGCATCCTCCAAAGCGTGATCCCGCTCCTGCTGGATGACGGACAGACGGTTGTTATGCTGGTCGAAGCTGTTGGTGATCTGCTCCTCGAGCTCCTCCACGAGACGAACACTCTTCTCCTTCTCGATTGTGATCTCCTCGACCAAAGCCTCCTTCTTCTTCACCAGGTCGTCCTTCTGCACGAGGGTTTCTTCCAGGGTGGCGACCAAGAGAGCCAGCTCATTCACCTTGGCGTTCTGGGTAGCGTTCTTCTTCTCCAGATCCGCAACAATCTTGTCATTACTGCTGGCTTCAAGCTGTTTGCGGAGATCGTCATTCGTATCAATCAACTCGGCGTACTTGTCAGAGAAGTGCTGCTTCTGAGCCAGGACATCCTGGATCTGATCGGCTAATGTCTCTGCCGTGACATCGGAGTTGAGCAGACTGGACACAGCCCGGAGCAGCTTCACCAACTCGTCGCGAGATTCACCAATCTCCTTCTGCAGAGCGGCCATTGACTGATCATACTTGGCATCCTTCTCGGCAAGACGCGATTCATGCTCACTTTGAGCGGCAGCGCGAGTGCGCTCCTCCAACTCCGCCAATTGACGCGCGTGCGACTCTTGCAGCGATTCCAGGTCGGTCTTGTGCGAGTCAATGGCAGACTTGTGAGTAGAAATTTCCTGCTCAAGATCGGCGATACGGGAGCGATGGGCCTCGGCAGCATCTCCGTCTCCGCCCTTGGAAGCCAGTTGCGCAGACAGTTCTGCCTGGGCGGCAGTGTGCGATTTCTCCAAATTGGCAATCTGTTCCAATTGGGCGGCAATGGTGGACTTGTGCCCATCGATTTCCGTGTTCAAGCCATTTACAAGCTTCTGCTGCTTGACACGCTCGGCTTCAAGCTCCTTGGCGATGGCCTCCTTATCAGCTGGGCTGCCTGCTGCAGCGCGCTCGGCCCGCATAGCCTCCACCGAAGCAATCGCGGTCTCAAGCTCAGCGAGGGTGGAGGTGAGCTGCGTCTGGGAGGACTGCAGATTGTCCACGGCACTCTGGTGCTTGCCCTTCCACTCGGTCAGTTCACCCTCGAGAACGCCAATCTTCTTCTGCTGGTCCTCAGCGCCCGCGTCCAGAGCTTCGGCGGCAGCCTCCTGCGACTTCAGGAGACTGTTGAGAGTCTCAATCTCGGCCAGCAACGACTTCTCACGGTTCTCGTGGGCCATGCGGAGTTCATTGATCTGGTTCTCCTGCTGCATAACTTGCTCGCGGAGTTGTGAAACGACGGCCATATCCATGGACGAAGCGCCGGACAAGCTTGTCCGTTCGCGTGTGAGTCCAGAGATGATAGTAGACTTCATCTCCATCTCTCTCTTTACGCTCTGGTTCTCAGCCTCCAAGGCTTGAAGACGCTCGACGCGGCTGTGGATTTCATGCATAGTAGAATCCAAATGAAGCTCAAAGTTTTGCATGAGCTCCGGTCGGTCTGAGAACTCCTGGATTCCAATGTTTCGCAGAGCTCCAAGCGACCGGTGAGCGCGGTCCACTCCGGACATGAGGCTGTGGTTGGTGATACGGGTTTGGCTGGTCATTCGGCGAATCATAGGACTCTTGAAACCAGGCGTTGTGGGAGAACCGGCCTTGGAGCGTTGGACCTCAGCCTTGAGCTTGTCAACGAGGCTAAGAATCTCCTCGTGCTCAGATTGCAGTTGGGCATATTTCTCAGACATGAGGTCAGCACTCTCCTGGTGGTCCGCAATCATCTTGCGCATGCTCTCAGCATCGGCAGCATCTGGCGCAATCACGCTGGACGCCGGTGGAGTGGTAGCGTCATCTGAGGTGTCGTTCTTAGAATCTTCAAATACTCCGCGCGAAGTAGCTGAGGCCTCTGCCGAGGACAACTCCGAGGAGAGCGATTGCGAGAATGAGTGTTGTGCTCCAGACTTCGAGATCGGAGCGTTGCCAATCTCTAAAAAAGAGACAGGACGCGAGGAATCATTCTGCGTGCGAGGGGCAGGGCGGCGGCCTTCATCCACCTTGTCCTGCCGGAGCTCGGTGAGGGCTTTCAAAGCCTCCTCGTACTTAGTCTCGAGCAGTTCATAGTCAGTGACGGTGGTCTCATGCTGTAGACGCAGATCGAAAAGCTCCTGGGTGACAGTCTCGAGCTTGTCGGCAACAAATTTGCTTTGGGCGGGGCTGGTCATTGGTTCCTCACGAATCGATTCCGAGCGTCGCGCCTCCAGCTGGTTGGTCGCATCCTCCAGCACCTTCAGATCCTCACCAGAAGTGGTCTGCTCAAGTTCCGCAGTCGGCTCATCCTCCGTCTCGGGGATCGGATCAATCAGGCCCTCATCAGACTCGGGAATAGCCGTTTCGACAGCTTCATTGAGAACGTTCAGCGATGGGGTGTGCCTATGGTACTTGACTGGCCCGGGCGCCGATGTGGTCTCGGTGCCATCCGGACCGTCATGCTCCTCCTCACCATTCTGGTTCAGGTTGTCCAGCTCATTCAGCAGATTGTCGAGCTTTCCAAGGCCGCGCTGGCGCTCAATCACATGTTCCAGGCGCATCACTTCGCGTTGCATCAGTTCCATATCTTGGTCAGCCTCCGCCAGTCGCTCTTCCAAGGTCGAGATGTATTCCTCGCAACCAATTTCGCCATCGCGGGCACGGATCAACTCCTTGCGCAGCTCAGAAATGATTGCAGCATGCTTTTCTTCACCAGTCGAGTGGCCATCAATCTTGGACTCCAATTCGTGGAGGTAGGCCTCACTGCTGGCTTCGCGATCCAGCAGCTTCTGAACGCGCGACTGGAGCTGCTGATTGACAGTCTCGACGTAGGCACACCTGGTCTCACGCTCCAAAAGAGTGCTCTCGGTAGTGGACAGAGAAGAACGAGTGTTGGAAAGCGAAGCCTCCAAAGTTTGGATGGTCTTCTCGTACTCAAGGACCACCTGTTCCACAGACTCGGCGAAAGATTTCGAGCGCTGCATGCGCTCAATGGAGCTCTTGCCGATGTCGCTGGCTGCATCATCCATATCTCCGTTTGTAGCGCTATCGTCGTTGGCCATCGCCGAGATCAGCTTAGCATGCCGCTGGCTGAGCGCGTTGTAACTCTCCTGGACGTCGAGCAGTTGGTTCTGCAGGCTGATCTCCCGTTCGTTCTTGCGTTCGCTTCGCTCCGGAGATCCTGCCTCACGACGCCCGGAACCCTCCGAATTCCGGATCTGTTGGCGCAAGAAGGCCACTTCCGCCTTGAGCCGTTCAATCAATGCCTGCTTGTCGCCCTCGTCGGCGACCTGTTGGATACGGGGCTTGCTCTGGATAGCTCTGGCTCGCTGCGCGTACTGAACTGTGTTCAGAGTCTCGCTGAGATGGAACTCGGCAGGGGTTACACAGGCAATCATGTATGTGATGGCGTTCCCACCCAATGAGTCTTGGAGCAGGCGGGTGAGTCGGGAGTCACGATACGAGACGTGAGAGCCAGACTGGCGCGAAGACAGCTGCGATATGACCTTGCCAAGTGCCGCCAGACCAGCGTTGATGGAGATACCTTCGCGAGCCCGCTCACCAGAGGCACCAGTGTTCTTCAGACGTTCGCTACCGGCCAAATCGACGAAGTGGAGCTTGCTATCCACAGTGACGGACTCTCCTCCGCTGGGGAACGAGTCCACGGGCATGGACATGCGCTTCTCCTTGGGGGAGCTGGTCGGGTTTGTGGCCGACTTGCGCACAAGGTTCAAACTGAAGACTGCATGCGACCGAGAGGACTTGGCGTTAATTGCTGTAGAATCCGTTTGACGGATGGTAGAGCCAAAGTTGAGAGCACCGATCAGGTCTTCGAAGCAGTTGATGTTCACTTGGTGAAGACCAGTTAGGAGAATGCGGCCTTTGGCGTCTTCACGGATGGTGACACTGCTGCGATCGCCGACGGGAGTAGATTCCGGCAGGAGCAGGTCACGGAGTTGTTCGTTGTAGATCTAGATATCGGATTAGCATACTGAATTAGCCGCTGCGATGGGTGGGAAAGGTACCTCCACATAAGTGGCCTTGAGCTGCCAGTTCTTCTCCCCATTCAATTTCCCAAAACTTGTGGCAGAGCTCATGGAATATCGCTGCGGAGTCCGGAGGCCCGTTGAGCTGGAGCCATTGCGGTTGTGCTTGGGGGATCCGTCCAGTTTATCGAAGAGGGCCTGGGCGGCACGAGGAATGATACCTAGACGTGGGATGTTCAATTAGCTTGGGATCGGTAATAGCAACGTGCATGGTCACACCTACCCATTGCTTCTGAATCGTTTTGTTCATTGGGACCCGAGGTGCCCATGGTGTATGATTTGCCCGCACCGGACTGCCCGTAGGCCAGGATGGAGACATTGTATCCCTGAACAAAAGAGTTCACGCTGTCACTGAGGTACTCCCAGACGCCCTCCTGCTCAATGGTCTCTGGGAAAACACGGTCAAAAACAAACAGTTTGCGCCCCTGAGGCACATCCACGGCTAGGCTGGTCGGTGCCGTGACATGAACCATGGACCGCTGAAAGCGCTGGGGAATTAACTCGTAGCCAGGATCAGTAGATTTGAGCGGAGGTCGCACACGGACAGCTGCAGAACGGCAGGTTAGCGAACCGATCACACATGGTCCTTGGGCGCATCGTCGGTGTGCGTGCGACTGTGCGATTTGCGACGCGACGGAAGAGGCACACACACACAGCGCGATCGCGTCCAGGGGGCGGGGCCGATAAGAGAAAGGTACACATACCAACTTTGACCGCTGTCTTGCCATCTTCGTCTGACGCGCGACTTCCCCCGTGTTTACTGCTGACACTCATGCGACTGGTGCTGCGCGGCGTGCGCATCATCGAACTCATCGGCCGCTGGGGCAGGCCCGTCGGCGACCCTGGAGGTGAGATCGTCATCTCCCCTGAGTCAAAAACCACACCGGGTGGATGTTGGGGATGAGAAATTTATGCAAAGGGGAGAAGGGTAGGCATGAGGCGTGGATGGGAGAGAAGGAAGCGGGTGGTCTGGAATAATAATTGTGGAGAGGGAAAAAGAGTTGGCCCCTATTCGGTTTTGCCGGGATGGCAGCGGGTGTCAAATGTCAGGCAGGCACTTGGCGATGGTTCCGGCCGAAGAGCAGAACAAGGGGAAAAAAAACCAGTGTAGCGAATGCAGCTATAATCATCCGCAGAATTACTACGAAGAACAAGAAGAACAAGAATAACCAATGCAAAAATAATGGTTCACAGAACAGCTGAATCGAGGACTCTACTATGGTGGAGCTTTGGCCAAGCGAAGTGGTGGTGTTCCCCTGAATTGTACATCGGCGGGACATACATCAGCCATGGTTTGTTCCTCCCCACATCCACTCCGAACCATTTCATCCGCTCGTTTCAGATGTTCCTTTAAGTTATCGCTAACCAGGACCGCCTGTCTCCATCATGGCCCTGAATTTGCCCGCCTACGAACCCCCTGAGGGTAGAACGGCACTAACTCCATCATTGACAAGTCCACCGGCCTCTGCCGATCGCTAGCCTATCTCAGCCAGGGACGGGCCATCGAGCCAATCCCGCAAGCCTCGGTTCCGTCTGTCTCCCTAATCCCTGCCCCCGAACGAAATTCTGATTGTCCGGCGTGAAACGCTCGAACCGGCTCCGAACCCACTTCTGCCCTAACGTCCTGCCCAAAAAGTCCAGAACTTGAGATCCTGTGGAGACGAATGGATCACAGCTGCTCGTGGGCTGGACTACTGATGGACAATGGTCCTTTCTTGACCATGATCGTGAGCACCTCATACAGCACGTCGGCGGCCGCCCTAACAGGAGTTAGTCAAAGTGATCGGACAGGGATGGCCGGGGGAAAAAAAAAAAAAAAAAAAAAGGACATACATAGTGGACAGTTCGGCATTGGTGTCATATGCCGGAGCCACCTCAACAATGTCCGCCCCGATGAAGTTCAATCCATCCAGTCCACGGATGATCGTCCGCAGTTCGCGCGTAGACCAGCCGCCCGTCTCGGGAGTTCCAGTGGCTGGCGCAACTATGAATTCCAAGAGTTAGGCTCGAATGCTCCACAAACGATACATCACAACCACTTACAAGCTGGGTCCAAAGTGTCGATATCGATCGAGAGATAAACTGGGTTCTCAGTCCCCACTCGATCCCGGATCTTCTTGATGATACCGTCCGTGCCAATGGTATCGATCTCGCGGGCCTCGACGATTTCGAATCCACAGTACCCATCGTTCTCATAGTCCGACGGTCCGGACAGCGTCGTGCGGATTCCTGCGTGGATGTTGGTGTCGTTCTTGAGGAGACCCTCCATCGCAGCATGGTAGAAGTAGGTGCCGTGGTTGATCGCGGCCACGTCGCTGGGCGCACCACCGAACACCTTGGGTTTCCAGGTGTCTCTGTGTTGCGTTGTATCAGTGTTCTGACCGTCGGTCTGATTTGCACAATTTGTCTTACAGGTGACTATCAAAGTGGATCACCGTCACGGGTCCGTAGGCCTTGCTGATACTGCGCAGCAGCGGCAGTGTGATGGTGTGGTCCCCCCCTAGAGTGATGACCCGGGGAAGAGTCTTCCCAGCCCGGGACAGACCATACTGGTCGGCATTGGTAAACGGCTTGCGCATAAGCACACTGTTGTGGCCTTCTTCGATTTGCTTGATGGCCCAAGCGTTGTCATATCTGCGTTATCATTTTCCCCTCCATCAGCCGTTATCCATCATATTGTCGATAGAGATAGATCACATACGACGTCACCGGGATATCACCACAATCCATGATCCGCATATCGCTACTAAACGGATTCGCCTCCAACGGGACATTGTAGCCTCCGCTGAACCCCAATTTGCGTGAGCCTTTGATGATTCCAAACGTGACCCGACGTAAGCACTTCTGCCCGTCATAGGAGAAACAACATACTAAAGATTGAGACGGCGAGAACCTTGTCTAATTCCACTGGGTCCGAACCGTGCTCCTGGTCTGTACGAAGTACCCGTGTCAAAGGGAGCTCCTAGGAACGCAATGTCGTATCTTTCAGCTTCGCTGGACAGGCATGGGAAATAGGGCAGTCGGCCGAAGGTCGAGATGCCAGAGAACACCGAGTCGGCCTGGGTGCCTCCGTCTCCGGGGAGGGTGTTGTACCACAGTCCCTGGTGCGGGCCCAGTGCGATCTGGCTGTGGTCCCCATGCGCCACGGCGAGAGTGGATAGGGCAAGAATGCCAATTGTCGAAGAGAACATTTCAAGACAATGAGAGGTTCAAAAGATTCAATTGTAAAAAGAAAAATTTGAATGGGCAGAGCGTTGGAACTTAGGTAGAGCCTGTATATGTAGTTCCGTTGAACTAGGTTAAGACTGACTGATCTTCACCGCAGGTGCTTGCCCGACAAATTCCCATAGGCAATCTCCTTTCGTTACCCAAATTCGGAGACTGATACACATTTGCTTTCTCCGCTTGATTCCAGGCTCTTGGGTCGGGATGACTCCGGGCGCTCCGCTTGCCTTCCTAATGGAGGATCCATGTCAGGGCAAGGAATGACGGCAGTCAGCTTGCGAAACGGAGCCTGAAACCCTAATGACCCAAAAGGGAAGGCCGGTTGAGAGGAAAGTCTCGAAGAAATGCGATGAACGCTCTGATAAGATAGGGCATGTCGGTGATGTTCCGATAGAAGAGAAGGCTTATCACCAGGAGATGATTGGCGAAAACACCATCTATAGCTCTGTTATCTCCAATCCTCCGACAGCGGAGTCGACAAAGAAACTACGCAATACTCCGAGGAATAGCAAAAAAATATTTCGAATTCTTAGGCTTAATTCCGTACCGGTGGATTAGGATGCGGGATTCCCACTATCTCCTCCGTCATAGCTGTATTCAAAGTAGTCCCGCATCAACTGAGCTGCCATCGAGCATTGGCAATGCTGCGGTCATCGCTAATACATACAAAAGTAGAAATCCATATCTTTCGACAAAAGGGTTTCGCTCTGTCCATCTATATTCATGTGCGATAACTTCCCACCTACCGCCACAAACAACATGACAGATTCGAGTGGCTCGGTGCCAGACGAGTATACTTCATTACTCCCTAAGCTCGCAGACCATGATCCGGCAGGCAATCCACCCGAAAATGACGGCGAGAGTACGGAAACGACCTCTAGGGGACTTTTCCTCTCCGAGTTCTGGTTGTTACTGAAGAGTTCAATCCCGGTGATCCTGGCATACACTCTCCAGAACAGCCTCCAAACTGTCTCCGTGCTCATTATCGGACGTTCCTCTCCCGAGAACCTCGCCGTTAGCGCATTCTCCCAGATGTTCGCCATGGTCACAGCGTGGATGATAGGGCTAGGCGGCACGACGGCCCTGGATACACTGGCCTCCTCGACGTTCACGGGGAGTTCCAACAAACATGACCTAGGGATCTTGCTCCAGCGAGGATTCTTGGTTCTGGGCCTGTTTTATGTCCCAGTGGCTATCCTATGGGCGTGCTCGGAGCCGGTATTTCTCTTTCTCGGGCAGGATCCGCAGTTGTCGCGCGATAGTGCGAGATTCCTCACTTGTCTTATACCGGGGGGCTGGGGTATATATATTTCGAGTTGATGAAAAAGTATCTCCAAGCACAGGGTATGGAACCTAGTATGATCACCAATTGGCATTGCTAATGGCGAACAAAAAAAAGGCATCATGAGAGCAGGGACATACGTTCTCCTGATCACCTCCCCACTCAACGCCGGCCTCAACTATGTATTCTGCTACACATTCAACATCGGCCTCCTCGGAGCGCCCCTTGCAACCGGTCTCTCTTACTGGATATCATTCACACTGCTGGTGCTATACTCAAAGCTAGTCGCCGGATCCGAGTGCTGGGGCGGCTGGTCGCGAGATGCATTCCAAAACCTGGGCACATTTGCCCGGCTCGCCCTTCTTGGATTTGTGCACGTAGGCACGGAGTGGTGGGCCTTTGAGATCGTGGCACTGGCAGCGGGTCGGCTGGGCACGATTCCCCTTGCGGCTCAGAGTGTCATCATGACGGCTGACCAGGTGCTCAACACGATTCCATTCGGTATCGGCGTAGCGACGTCCACTCGTGTTGGTAACTTGCTGGGATTGCGGAATGGCGTTGCAGCGTCACGCGCGGCCCATACGTCTGCTGTTCTCAGTATGGTGGTTGGCGGTGCTGTGCTGGCATTGCTGATGGGCACGCGAAACCATTTTGCAAAGATCTTCAACGATGATGCTGGCGTTGTGAAGCTGACTGCTGAGGTTCTTCCCTATGTGGCTCTGTTCCAAATTGCAGATGGGCTGAATGGAAGCTGTGGTGGGAGTCTGCGTGGAATGGGGAGACAGCATGTCGGCGCGCTGGTCAATATCGTGAGCTACTATTGCGGTGCGCTGCCACTTGGTATATGGTTGGCCTTTCATGGTTGGGGACTGAAGGGCCTGTGGGTGGGACAGTGTATTGCTTTATATCTGGTGGGGTTCTTGGAGTGGATTATCGTGGCTCGTAGTCAGTGGGAGGTCGAGGTGCGTAAGGCATTTTTACGGATGGATGTTCATGACAGCTTGGAAGCTGGCTTTGAGACATAGAGGAAGCCCCTATTGTAGGGCACCTATTTCTATGCAACGATGCCTAAAGTTATATCCTTCGGGCGTTGGAAGTTGGGATACAGATACTAGATGCCTTTCACCTGCACTAGAGGTAGGTAGACTTGCGGCTGTTGATAGCCTCAAAACATTTCATATGTACAGGTCTTCTTGATGACTTGATTGACTGATTGAAACCTATTGCTGTTCAGGGTTAGGCTAGACCAAATGCAGCAGGATGTAGATGTACCAACAGGCGGGTTTGTTACGTCAGGGCTGCATAAAATCAATTATCTTATCGCTTTACTAGTATGCTTAATAAAAGCGTAAACGATTGTTAGTTATCAAGATGCAGGGGTCTTATCAAAGACTAGCGGGGAAGACAGGGGCCATTGGTTCTCCAGGTATTGACCAAATTCGGAAGGTCGATAGAGTCAAGTCTAAAGTCGTTTTTGCTGACGGCAAAAGAGCTACAGATAGTTCAAGATAGAGGAAGTCATAAGTTTCATTCTCCTTACAAACGTGTTTACAGTTTGTTTATCACTCCTCTGCCAAACAGAATTATAATCTGTTTTTGGAGAGGGAGCTACGATGATACCAAGCAATAAAGCTGACCAGTGGCAAGCTTGACACAAATCTTTGGATTTTGACCCTTTGTTCGGCTTAAGTATTCAACTTTGCACGACGATCCATTCTAATAACCCAGAAATTTATACTGTGTCATGGCTGTTGCTGGCTTCGAATATAACGCGGATCTAGACCTTTACCCCAGAACTCATGTCGATACCCCTGCATACCGTTATCAATACCCCAGAAAATAATCAAAATAGTTGACGTGACTGTTATCGGATTCAGGATCTTCCTTACGCCTGCTCAACCTAGAAGGTCACTTGGGTCTTATCTTCAAGCCCTTATCACCGTTGGGTGCCTGCTGATTGGCGCAATTCAGACTGCAGGAAGTAGTAGCTCGGGCCCCTGTCATTCTGATAAGCCGCGCCTTTAACTTGCAGGTCTATGATGAGACTGGTTAAGAGTTGTGATGCTTGGAAATCGCAGAAATTGGTTGTATCACGCCGTCAGTAACCCAAACAAGGCGTAAAAACTCAATTATCCAGAACTGGACTTCCCAAGATTTGTCCATAATGTAATAGGAATACAATTATCTTGTGAGACAAAGGTCTTTCTTGGAATTGTTTGAAGCTATGACGCACATGCGTTCCGCCGCCGAATATGCTCGACTGATAAGCCACGCCCTCGCATCTGCACTCCGCGGGATATTTAGGAAACAGGGGTGCGAGTAGCTTGCATATATCCGAATAATGCCCCTTGTTAACTATAAGTATTGCGTGCTTCGATTTCTTAAGCTTAAGTTAGGGTTGCATCCTCGCATAAACCGGACCATCTCTCACAGGCGCAACAATGGAGGAAACAGTTATGCGTGAGAAACAGAGCTCTGACGAAAAATCCAACCAAATCAATGGCCTTTTTAGATCTGAGGGCGAGACAGCCACACCAATTGAGGGTACCCACATTGCCTGTCATGTTGTCGACAAGAATGGAATCAAACTTCATCCGCAGCCAACTTCTGATCCATTAGACCCATTGAATTGGTCAAATCTTCAAAAGCATACTATATTGTCGGCAGTTATGCTCAAGTGAGTTCCAAAAAGAGCAGCTAGAATTTATGTCGCAATAATCAGTTCATTGAGATACTAACTCATACTCCAATCAGATATTTTCTGTTCACATATCTGACAACGACCACTGTCCCATCATTTTCAGAAATCCAAACACAATATGATATCAGCTACTCTCAAGTTAACTGGACTGTCGCCGTGCCAGCTTTAGGACTAGCAGTCGGCCCGCTCGTATGGTCATCACTCAGTGACATTTATGGTCGCCGGATCATTTTCATCACTGGGACGACAATTGCTTTAGTCTCAACGATCGGCGCAGCAGTTGCTAATACATATTCCGGATACATGGCTGCCCGTTTCTTTCAAGGGTTCGGGGTGAGCCCGGCTTCGACGGTTGGAATGGCAGTTGGTATGTGTGAGCCTGGAGCAAAATAAATGAAGCTTGGCTGACGATGGGTCATGGAACAGTCAATGACCTCTTTTTTGATTATGAGCGTGGTCAAAAGCTCGGCCTGTGGGTACTGGCATTGGATTCTGGACTTCTTCTTGGTCCGACCTGTGAGTTATCAACTGTCGCCAGAAACAGGGTTGTATTTTAAAATAGATTGACATTTCACCATAGTTGGTGGGTTCTTAAATCTTGTCAGTGCCGCTTGGATTAATTGGTTCAACGCCATTCTTTTCGCCGCGTTGCTGGTTCTGGAGCTTGCTTTCATGCCGGAGACACTATACCCACGAAACAAGATGCTGCAGCATATGCCACGTCTTGACGAAAACAAGACCATTACAGCAGATATTGAAAAGCTTCCTGGAGAGGACAGCTTATCTGCAGTGCAGGACTCTCTCGCCGACATGCCTCGGACAAAAAAGCTGCCTTTCCTAAACGTGCGACCAGTGCCTGGCATGCGCCACCCCAAGCCTTGGGATTATATCATCCGCTTCTTCCTCACATTCCAACTTCCTGTTGTCGCTATTGCTGTCCTTGGATACAGCTTTGTGTGGTACTGGTGGGTTCTCTCGGTTATCACCATGGTGCCAGCCGCATACGCAAGCTACTCCCCGCTGATCCAGGGTCTCTTGTTCCTGGGATTATTGATGGGAACCGTTGTTTCAGAAATCTGTTGCTCCGGTAGATTGAGTGACTATATTGTTACGAAGTTGAGCAAACACAATGGGAATGTGCGCGTGGCTGAGATGCGGCTGTGGCTGGCATATCCGGCGATATTGATCACGGCCAGTGAGTTTTCCGCTCGCGATTGATTTTTCACTGGACTGACAAATTTTTGCAGTCGGGTTGATTCTTTGGGGGGTCAGCATTGACAAGAATTATCACTGGATGGTGGGCCAGGTCGCCTTCTTCCTATGTACGGGCTCGTCGGATGAATTGAACCCAAGATAAAAAGACTGACCCGCTTCCAGTTGCCGCCGGAATCCAGATCGGTAATACAGTGACTAGCAGCTATATCGTGGACTGCTATCCCTTGCAATCGACCAGCGTCATTACATTCTATGCCGTCTTTCTTAATCTGAGCGCGTTTATCAATCCGGTAGGATATATTCCAGTATAGAAGTTGCAGAATGTTGCTGACTGTTCTTGATTCTTTCAGTTCTTTATTGCCTCATGGGAGGCATCTTCGGGCTGGACCTGGACATTTACTGCACAGGCGCTCATCGTCCTGGCTGGTGGTGGTATGGTGTTTGGGCTTCTACACCGATACGGTGCCTGGATGCGGGCCAAGGCACCACAGCCATCGTGGGTCAACTCGGAGTTTGACTCGGAGCTTTGACTATGCTACGAAGGGTTTATGCGTTGGCGGCGGTATAGCTAGATAATATAACGTCTCTATTCAAAAACCTTCACACCCATGGAGTCTTGTACAAGACATATTGGTCTATTATGTATTCTAATACTTCCAGGAACGGCGAGATGTAACGTCCGATTCCACAGCGCTCACTGCTAAAATATCGTCAAGAATAGAAGTGAACGTCTATCAACAAAGGACGACGTGTGGAACAATATGTGCTTAAAACGCCGAGAGAGAAGGATGAACGAAAATTTTCTGAGCAATTGATGCCAGCAGAAAGCAAAAAGGTATTTATAAAAAAGCAAGCGGGCATGCGTGTATACTTAAGCCTTTTCACTTGTCCCCCCTGAGTTTGCGACAAACTCGGCGTGTCCGCACCCTTGAGGTAATTCTCGATCTCGCCAATTTGTTTGCCGCCCTGAATCCAACGCTCACGGTAGGCAGTACGGCGCTGCTCGGCCAGTGCATTTAGAGCAGGCCAGTAGGTAGCATGATCGTACCGGAATTCGACATCACCGCCCACGTTCTTCATGAGATGGCTCGGCGGGACGTGCTGAGTGAGGTCCTCATTGAATTTGAGCTTGGTCCGGGTTAGCGGGTCGATGAACGGGGTGATGAGCTTGAAGAACCCCCAGATAAGCCACGGCACTGATTGATTACAAAGTTAGTCAAGCATGCCGACTGGGTTTCATGCCCCCTACTCACCATTGATGACTAGCGCACGACCGAGTCTCTCTGGGTAATGATTTTGCAAGATATTGAGGGTCTGTTTCCCCTGGCCCACAGAGGCGTTTTGGCCCGAGCTGGTCTCACTGAAATTCACCAGCAGCGCCAGAGTCTCCTGGTCAGGGCCCATGAGATCAATGACCCGCTCCAGCATAAACACAAGATGCTCCACCTGGCGATCACTCTTCTCCGTGTTCTGTTTACTCGGCAAGAGGTACAGACAGGGCCGGCCGTGGATGTCAAAGCCCAGAATAACTTGCTTGCCCGTCTCGTTCTCGACCGAGATATAGTCCGGTGTCAATTTCTGAATCCCGTATTCTCGGCGCCACGTCAGTGTGCGTTGGAGGCGGGCTTCGGCCTCGGCCACATTCCACTTGGTTGCGCGCAGATATCGAAGGAGACATTCGCGGGTCAACCACATGCGTTCGTCGTCCGTGATCGGGGCGACTGCGGAGTTCTTCTCGGAGGTTGTCGGGACCGTGGTCCATGACTTGACCGTCTTGAGCACAGCCTCATATTTGGATTGCTGGTCGGCCGTCAATTGCGGAGGTGCTTCCGGTTTTGCATCGTCCAGAGGCTTGGGGAACGGTTTCTGAATGAGACCGTCTGCGGCGGAGGTTGGAAGTTTCAATTCGTCGGGGTTCGCGGTCTGCTCCGTCGCAGCCTCAGCAGTAGCAGTTTCGGGCTCGGCAGTGTCACCCTTGGTGTATGGTGGAGGCACCGCGGAGTCAGGGGCGTCGACTGCCATTGTGATCTCGGCATATGTACAGAATTAAGTGTGAGATTGAATTGTCTGGATCGACACCCTGACCCACCGGCTTGACTAATCAGCTCAACGCGTGGTGATCACGCGTCGCGTCAACCCTCTTCAATCAATTAATTCACTCTGTGATCATCGTTGCGCAACCATGGCCGACACAGCCGAAGAGCTCAAGGAGCTATTCGCAGCTTCTGCTCCCGGTGGCCTGCCCGACGATGTCCTCGTCGAGCTGCAGTCGATTCTGCGCGTGCACTCGATCACCGCAGAGGAGCTCTTTTACAAATGGGAGTCCTACAGTATCAAGATGGGCGAGGAGGTCAAGTTGAACCTGGAGACAGTGCGTGCATTCAAGCAGGATGTGCAAGAGGCCCTGGAGCGGGAGACTCGCGGCAAGACTGGCCGCCATGACCAGAAACGGAGTACCGTCACGGCAACCCCGCGTGCTGGCGCGGGCTCTGATATGTTTGGGATGTATGTGGTAGTTATATTGGTGCTCCCGGGCTCATAGAGCTGACTCTATTCTATAGGCTGGACCAACTCACGCCCAATGCCGCGAATGGTCGTGCCCTGAACGGAGCCAATGGTTCTGTGAAGCGCAAGGCCGACTTCTCCTCCCCCGCCACCCCGAGGGTTGGGAAGATGACGAAGAATGAATCCCCAATTGGGGCGAAAACCCCAGGTTCTGCAGTCAATGGTGATGCTGGAGTCGGTGGAATGCAGTATGTCACACCCTGACTAAATAGGGGGCAAGAATACTAATATATGTGGAAGACCGGTCTCGTTTGCCGAACGGACCAATCCCGGCCAGACATTAGAAACCCTGAATGCGCATCTACCGCTCCCAGAAGCCCCTATCGCTCCATTCTCGGAGGCGCGCATTCGACCCACGGCGAACACGGACCTCAAGAAATTCGGATATAAGCCCATGGGAATGCGGTTATCGGAGGCATCTGAGATTCTGGACGACCGAATCGACGAATTCGCCGCGCTCTTGCAAAAACAATACGACTCAGATGAGATCAACTTCGGAAGTGCTGCCACCCAGAGCACGAGCGAAATCATTGCAGTGGGACGTATTGCTTCGGATAGTCTAGAGGGCAAGTTGAACCCGGCTTCAATGGTTCTCGAGACATCGCGCCGAACTGGGGCCGGGAGACGTGTTCCTCTGAAAGTCGACTCGGTGCCTTCGGTGAACTTCTTTCCCGGCCAGATTGTGGCTCTTCGAGGTATTAACCCCTCGGGTGACTACTTTACCGTCAAAGAGGTCCTTCCCATGCCTCTCTTACCGCCAGCAGCATCCTCCGCTGTGACTTTGGACGGCATCAATGAACGTCTGGACGGAGATGCCAACCCGCCACTAAATGTTATGGTGGCAGCTGGGCCGTTTACGGCAGACGATAACCTGGACTTTGAGCCGTTGCAAGAGCTCTGTCAAAAGGCAGCAGATAACTATGCAGACAGTCTGGTGCTGCTGGGTCCGTTCTTAGACATTGAGCACCCGCTGCTCTCATCGGGTGATTTTGACCTTCCAGATATTAAAGGTCTCGACCCGGACACGGCCACTCTCGCTACCGTCTTCCGTCATCTCATCTCGGCACCGCTATCACGGCTTGCCGCGGCTGTGCCCAGTATCACCATCGTCCTGGTGCCATCCGTGCGCGACGCGTTAAGTCGGCATGTCTCCTGGCCGCAGGAGCAACTCCTCAAGAAAGAGCTCGGTCTGCCCAAGCAGGTCCGCATGGTCTCTAACCCAGTGACACTGTCATTCAACGAGGTTGTCGTCGGCATGTGCTCCCACGACGTGCTCTCCGAGCTGCGCCGTGAGGAAGTCCTGCACGGCCGGCCCGCCGAGGGCAACCTGCTTACGCGTCTGCCCAAATACCTCATTGAACAACGGCACTTCTTCCCCTTATTCCCACCAAGTGCACGCTCGAACTTGCCCAAGCCTAACACCGACGCCGGCCTGGCTACCGGTGCGATGCTGGATCTGCCTTACATGAAACTGGGAGAGTGGTGGAATGTCCGGCCGGATGTATTAATTGTACCGAGCATGCTGCCCCCGTTTGTCAAGGTATGTCTTCTTTTTCGCTTCTCTCTTTTTAACTCGATACTTCTTGCTAACTAACGCCTGCTCAAGGTCGTCGATAGCGTCTTGGTCATCAACCCGGGCACACTATCCAAACGCCGCGCAGCCGGCACCTTCGCGCAAATGGCTGTCCACCCACGGCTGGTTGGCGAGGATGAACGTGAGCAGAAACAACTGGGCCACAAGCTCTACGAACGGGCCCGGGTGAACGTCAACCGGATCTAGTTCTGGCTAATGTGGCATGTACGTATCTCTTTTTCGCATTATGCTGGGCGTTGGTGGCGCATGGCAATTTGCGGCGGTATCAGAGTCAGACTGAACTTGGATCTGAACTAAATACCTAGTAAAGTGAAATGAAAATGAATCAACGAACTCGACTAGTCCGTCTAATAGTAATCCGGTGGGTATCTGATATGTTGTAAACACGCAACTCCACAACCCAAGAACTCCGACAATGCAAACCCAATCACAATAAAAAGGGACGAGAAAGTCGAGTTACCGAAGACAAATAGTCCTGCGGCCACCCATCCTCCTCCCGGCACTTCTCACCCTCACAGCAGGCGCAGCAGCCGACGCCGCACCAGCACCACTCCCACGCAGCGTAGCTCCAGGCCCCGACCCAGCACCAGTAGTAGTATTATTATTCCCACCACCACCAGGTCCACCAAAAGCTGACCCACCACCATGCCCCTGCCCCCTCACAAGAGCCTCAAGGCCCAGATCCCTCCAAATAGCCACTCTCCTCCGTTCCATCGCGCGCGTGATCCCAAATGCAGCATGCTGATCAGGCACGACATCATCCTCGTCTTCTGGGTTAGATGGCTGGTACTGTGGCGAGACATAGATTTCTTCAATTGGTAGGAAGGAGGGGATTGTTGCAGGTGAGGATGAGCCGTAGCTGGCGCTGTTTGCTGCTGCTGCGGCTGCTGCGGCTGCGGCGGCGACAGCGGCGGCTTGCGCGGTGGATGTATTTGAATTGAGATTGTGTGAGGATGCGGCGGCGGCCAGGGAGGCCGGGGAGGCGTGGGGGCGTGTGAATTCTTCGAAGAGGTCCGCTAGGCGGGGTGTGGTGCATGTGCAGGTGGGTGGCGGAGGAGTCTTTGCTCTGTTTAAGGGTTAATTATGGGTAGAGGATAATAATGTGATGGACTGATGGAGGGAACGTACCATTGTGAATGTCTGGAGGGAATGAGTTGGGGAAAATGTAGAGATGGAGAGAAGTGGGAGTTGACGTCTTTGTTTATCTGTTGATTTTGACCAGCAGAACTTCCCCGCCGCCTGCAACTCCGCCCATCACTCATTCTCTTTCCACTGGCTTTTCTTGTATTTAGTTGGCATCTGTAAATGAATATCACCGCGTTGAATGACCAAGATCTATGCTGATGACACCATTGGTCTGAATAATAGCTAGCTTATTTATTCACTTGGTACCTCTAAAAGTCCCGCTTGTATATCCCGAACCCAGACACCTCCGAAAGAAAAAGAGACACATCAAGTCGAGGCCGTTATATTTGTTTTGGGAAGAAGGTTGATTCTCGGCACAATACCACTGTGATAGCATCACATATTCGTACTCATGCGGTGCACAATAGGAACCGCACTGGGTGGCAAGCTGCCCATCTCCGTGACGACCATGTCGACGTACTCAGCCGGAGTGACGTCGTACATGATATTCAGCAGTTGAAGATTGGGAGTGTCCTTCCACTTGGTGAGAGGCGAGTCGGAGGAGGAAGCAGTAGGGGTATCAGAGGATGGATTGGAAGGCGCACGATGGGCGCCCTTTTTGTTGGAGTCGGACTGAGCAGTAGCGGCAGCAGCAGCCGGGTCTGGCAGGCCGGTGACCTGTTGCGGGGGCGAAGGAGAGACGAGCTCGTCGGCGTCAGCAATCTCGTTGACGACGATGCTGTCTAGAGCGACGCGGTCTGTGAATTTGACCGTCTCGCAGCAAACGATCACAGGAACCTCAACGCCGCCGGCACGCTCCTTGGCGGACATGGCGACCAGCGCAGTACCGACGCGAGAATACAGCCGGCCGTTACTGGTCATGGCGTGCGCGCCCAGGAAGACCTTGGTCGCATCTTTGATCGCGTGGCTGACGGCGTGGACGAGTGAGTACTGCACGTCCAACCCGGCATTGGCCAGTGCGCGAGCCATATTCTTGCCTTCGAACAATGGACGCGAGTCGATGATCGATACCCGGAACCGCTTGCCTTGCCTGTGTGCCTCCAGAAGCGTCTCCTTAACGATCGAGCTACCTGCAAAGGTCACAATGACGTCGCCATCTGAGATCTTTTGGGCTGCGCTGTCGGCAATAACCTTGTCGGCGATGGTGATTTTCTCACGGATGAAGCTGTCAATAAAGTCGCACAGTGTCGCCTTGGCGCTTATCTCCGGTGTGGACGGGTCAATGGAGGCAATAGTCAGCTTCAGCGCCCGAATGGCGTTGCCCTGGCTGATCGAGAGCGGGCGGCATGTCGAGAGATAGGTGATCTGATGCGAGAGGTGGGCCGTCAAATGGCGCGACAGAGAGGTACCAAGAGGAGTAGTATAGGATTCAACCACCTGTCGGTCGCTTGTCAGCAGATAATACAAATAATAATGAATTGGGAACAAACTCACTCGTTTGAAAGCAAGCAGCGTGGCCACACATCGCGCACTGCTCCCACACACCACATAGTCTCGCATCTGAAGCCCGAGGGCCAAGACTGCAGGGTGTACCTCCTTGCCAGCTCCGGCGATAGTTGTTCTTCGCTGCTGGCCATACAAATGGCCAAAGACCGCAACGCTCTTATCCTCTTTCTTCTTTTTCGGCTGCTCCGCCGCGCCAGTGTGCGCAGCTGCCCCAGACCCCCTCCGTGGCGGGGGAGCCCTCTGCCCCTTCTGCGACCCTCCGGGGGCACCGTCCTTCTTAGTTGTAGCCGAGGGACGAGCCTGGCTCCCACCAGCGCCCGCAGATGGTGCTCCACCCACAGCAGGCGCTGGCCCTTCCCGTTCGAGCCTCTCCTTCGCGCGCCGGGCCGCCTTTTCGGCCTTAGCCTTTTTCTTGAGCTCCGCGGGGGTGAGCGATTTGTCTCCAGCACCGTCGCCGCCTACGGAAGGACCGGACGCAGTAGTATCTTTGCCCTTGGGTGGGGCTTTGTCTGAATTCGTTGTGTTTGCGTCTTTTGAATCGCGGATGGGGAGGGTTTGCGTCTGCTGAGGTTTTTCGGCAGTGGATTGCTGAGCCGGGCCCGGTGCCGAAGACGAGGACGCGGAGGGCATCACCGGCGCTGAGTGCACAGATTCCGCCATTGTCGAAGCACGGTGATGTGTTGAACAGGAAAGTGGCAGATGTGCGTGGAGGAAGAAAAGAGTTGACTCAAACGGAAATGGAAATGATGCCTAAGCAGCCCACAAGCAGCCCTAACCTAATAACCGCTTCATATTGTTCTCCCAGTTTTAAGCGCAATGGCCCCAAAAGAGACCGAAACATGTATCGCATCAGGTATCATTATTCGTCGCAGGTTATTCGCTACTACTTTAAACAAAAAAAAGACTGTCCAGGCGAATGCCAAGTGCAGTCCATCGTCCCAAAACGCCAGAGCCCCGTACACCTGTACACCCGGTCATCAAAGTACCTAGCGGTTGTTGGCCATAATGGCTCCCAGTGCGCGACGTCGCTTCAGCGTTCCCGATCTCTCAACAGGGCGGAAGCGCTCGTGGTCCGATGCTAGCTTTCGCTTGAAAACGCTGAGATCGCCCAAGAGATCTTCCATGCGGTCCTGCATTTGCTGCGCTTCGCGCTCGCTAACGTCGTCCATTGTGAAGCTATCCTCGTCCTCCCACACCTGTGGTTCGGGGTCTGCATCCAAGGGAGGAGAACCTTCGCGGTCCTCTTCGTCGTGACTCGGGGGCTGATCTGTATCCGCCAAGGTCGTGAGGCTGGGTTGTCGCTGATCCACGGTGACCGGCGGAATGGGGTTCTTCAAGCTCTCCAGGGCGAGCTTCAAGTGCATGCGCAAGGCTTCATTTTCGGTCTGGAGCTGCCGGATCTTGCACTCGCCGACCATCTTCGTTTCTTCCATGAGGCGTTGCATCTTCTCGACCTTTTGCTGATACTCCTCCAGTCGTTCATCCTGGGCCTCAGTAGCGCGCTGGTTTGCTGTTGCCTGACTCACGCTGAGCTGGAGACTGCGAATGGTCTCCGCCATTTCCGCAATCTGCGCGTCGCGTTCTGCCGCCGACACATGATCCTGGTTCACCCGGGCCCGAGTTCGGATACGCTTCGCCTGGTCCGCATAGCGCAACGTGGATAAGGTCTCCTCGTAGTCTGCAGGGGCGATACACGCAATCATTGCCGTCTTAGAATTCCCGCCAAGACTATCCTTCAGCAGCCAGGTGAGAATGGAGTCGCGATATGGAACTAGATCCTTGTTTTTCCGACCTCCACGGGCCTTCTTGGGTTCTGCCAGTGCGGCAATGACTCGTCCCAAAGTTGTAAGTGATTTGTTGATATTTGCTCCCTCGCGCAGTCGTTGACCTGTGGCTTCGGTTGACTTAGCACGCTCAGATCCCGCCAGATCTACCAGCCGGATGCGCGCAGTGCGCTCCGTGGTTTCGTCAGTGGAGAGGTCGTGGTGGATCTGTTTCAATGTAATGGTAAAGACCGCGTGCGACCGAGAGGAGGTGTCATTCATCTTCGTGCTAGCTGTCGTCCGGGACATGTCACCCTTCCGCATGAATTTCATCAGCTCGGTATAGTTCCTTGTCGTCACCTCTGTCAGATCCTTGACGTATGGGCCTTCTGATGGAGACTCGCGAATGCGAAGGTAGTGCGGGGGATCCGTTCGAGGTACCAAGAGGTCACGAACATGCTCGTTGTAGACTTCAAAGTAAGAAACTCGGACATTGTAGCTGATGTCGGGAGAGGGCGAGTTCTCGATGCGCTGAAAAAGGTCCTCGCAGGTCCGAGGGATCAACCCTGGCTGGTCCGCGGTGCCCATCATCGTGTAACTCTTGCCCGATCCGGTCTGCCCGTACGCAAAGATACATGTGTGGTATCCCTCGAAGTTGTGGTCCAGGAACTCCTCGCCGAGAGAGTTGTACACGTCCTCTTGGTGTGCATAATGCTCGTCCTCCTCATTGTGCGACCAGAAGGAATTGTCAAATGTAAATGATTTGTCCTCCAAAACCTTGCCTCGAGCCTGCGACTTGGGCTTTCCCTCGTCTCCTGGGCTGGGTTTGGGTGCTTGGAGTTTGGTCATTTGCGTGTTGGGGTCCATCTCGATCAGGCATTCGGCCCCGCGTTGCGTCTCTGAGGCGATCATGAATTAGCCCTTCCTTTGCGCTCTCGAGCTGGGCCACTTACCTCGAGGAAGGAATTTGCGCACGCGCACCACGACGCGCACATTTCCCGCTGGCGTCGGACTGGCGATTCCATCGTGACGGCCGACCGATACGCTCTCCCTTGCTCGCAAGGAAGGACTGGATGCGGTGGATCTGAGGGTGGCGGCGGAGGCGGTCGTCGAGACAACGCTCGGCGTGGTGATTCCCGTGATGGCTGACGAGTCGGAGGAGAAGGAGGCCGAAGAGATCGAACCAGGCCCGGTGGGCTGGCCGATGTGGTGGTAGAAGCGCGGATCCAGCGCCATGTCCCTGCTGGGGTCCCTCAATAACTGTACACAGAGCACAACGGCCTCACGGCGACGATGGAGGAGATAATGGTACATGCAATGAATAATACAAAAGAAACCAGGGGGAGGGACTGTGTGCGTGTGTCGGGGAAAAAGAAGGGAAGGAGAAAGAACGGAAGGGAGATAGTTACGGGTGTGGTTTTCTCAGAAGCACGAGGGCATCGCCATCAACAAACAATCGGAGTGAAGGAGCGTGACGTAGCAAAAAAGGTCAAATCCGAAATGAAAGATACCAATGGAAGAATCAGAATCGCGATCGGAGTTGTCGTAGTTCAAGAAGTTGTGGATTTGCCCCATTGGGGCTGATCGAGTCGCGGTGTTGCCATGGCAATGGCGCTAGTACCTGTATACCACGACCATCAATGCTACACACACCACTCAGTTTTCAACCACCAGGAGACGAACTCATCATTTTCCGATCTCATAGCTGTTAAGGGGCAGGGCGGGTAGTTGTGCGCCCGACCGATTGACAATGAACTGTTAGCGCATTAGCAACATGGAGAGCGCAGCAGTGGCAGTAGTCTCTGCTATCCGTCGGGGTTTACACGCCCACGCATTGTAGCGGCCAGTACGCGTGGCCGGCAAGGACATGAATTGATACATCCTGAGCCATTCTGTGTACTGGTAGCATTCAAAGGGGTTTCGACTAATGATCCGCAGACCACGGCTGCGGAGTTCTCTTGCGGTCTATAGCAGTGTGACGGAGTTTACATGTACGGTCCTACGGGAAATGATCACTTCCCAGTGTCAGGATGAAAGCTCAGTGATGACTGTCAAAGCAGACATAAGAGGTCCATGTGGCATATAAAACAACCCTTGGTTCAATTTTCAACTGCCAGCTATCATACAATTTGGCCAACTAATCAAACTCTGCAGTCATCGCCTCATACAGATCCGCGTCATCGTCCGTCTGCTTGTTTTTCTTCGACTTGGCTCCTTTACCAAAGGAGACCGGGTCGGGCACCGGGTCGCCCGAGGAGTTCATATGGGTACTCAGCAGCTGCTCAGGGCCCCAGGTGGTGGTGTCCTCGGCCTTTTGCTGGCCTGTCTGGGCCTGGGCCTGCGAACGTGCGCCCGATTTCTGGTCCTGGGTGACGTTACGCAGGCGGCGCTTCTGTTCATCGCTTTCAGGAAAGCGCAGCGAGGTGTCAGTTTTTGACGAAGGCATTGTGGATGGAGTCCTATTATTTACAAAATAAGAACTGCGAGTTAGTATGGCTCTATTGTAAGTATGGCTTGGATCGTCAACTATCCATCACACTTTCTCCTCTCTCGCCTCTCCTTTCTTTCTCTCTATCTGTTCACTTCCAGCATGGGGTAGAAGAATGTCGAAGGTGAGAATGAGGTGAAGGTGAAGAAGGGGGAACATACCAAATATATTCAAGTGTGTGCTCTGTTGTCAGTGGAAAGTTGGGGAAACCTGAACAAGCGAATTGTCCTACATTTATGACTATCGGACCGTGGGTGGCCAACCATGATACGGGTATGACGACGACACTCACCATCTCCATGGGTGCTTCTCCGTAGTCGCCATTGGGGTGCCGTTCATCGATGCCACTGATTCTATTTTCTTCTCTTCGGTCTGGATTCGGTTGGTCGGCCACGGGAAAGGTGCCCAGGGTGGGCGTTGAGATGATACCATAAATACCCGAAGCGGACATCGCGAGGATGATGTTTGGCCACAACCTTTCGCATGACCTCTATTCCTACTGCAAGAATCATGCGTCTCGGGGTAAGTCTACTCGGTGGCAATAGCTCGCCGGGATTCTTCTAGACCGCGGAGAATGTGCTAGGATCTGGCGAAAAGGTAAATCAATGGATCAAGAGACTCAGCATACGTCAACATAGTACCGAAAAAGATGCAAAACAATATAAACCATGACAATAGTATCGAATCGAATCCCAACTGGGAGTGGATAATGCATCGCCCTATGGTTGGCCGCTGTTCATCGGCCTTGCCGTGTTTATTTCAGCCCTATGTATGGACTCACCCCACTTACAGATTACGCGATAGGCCGAACAGGCTAAACGGGAAATCAGGCAGCAAAATTGAGCGTGTGTGATTATTCCGCGGCAAACTAGACGAGTAAGGCATAGACCGGGAAGATTTTGAGAGAAAACTGTTCCTGTTCTGGGAATAGCGCGGGATTCTTGCCGAGCCGGGTGCAGGACGTGTTGCCGATAAGGAAAAAATTAAAGCGGATATTCGGCCAGGGCCGCACCTTACCAACTGTCACTTCCTCCTTCCTTGCCTCTCTCTCTCTCTCCCCTGCAGCTCACATTTTTGCTGTGCCCACGTGCCTGGCCATCATGGATAAGTCCTCGCAGCCTGTACAGGCAGAGCCCGATCTCGAGGCCAGTCCTTCGCCCGAGTTGCTCGCGAAGAAGCACCAGTCGACGATGACGCTGCGGTGGAAGGAGACCCTGGACACCGCCAATACCGACCTGGTGTGTCTGCTGCTCTGTTTTCTGACGGGCCTGTGCGATAGCAGCGCCTACAATGCGTGGTCGTGTTTCCTGGGAATGCAGACAGGTACGCGTCGATCGATCGCCACTATGAGTCAGATCCTTGTCGTTGAGGCTCAACACTAATGTTTCGCCATTTGATAGGAAACACCATTTTCCTCGGCCTCGGTGCATCCAATCAGCCCGTGACCAAGCCATGGGGGTGGCTGAAGTCCCTGATCTCGATCGTGTTCTTCTTTGTAGGGGCAATGATCTTCTCAACCGTGATGCGGAAGGTCGGCGCCCTCCGACGCGGCACACTATTCGTCTCCTTCCAAATCCAAACACTCCTAATCATCATCGCCGTCGCCCTGATCGAGGCCGACCTCATTCCGCATACTTCCGCCGATGCGAGCCTTGACGGCGGTCCGCTGTTCCTGGAACTGATCCCCATCGCCCTGCTCGCCTTCCAGTCCGCCGGATCTATGACCTGCAGCCGATCACTGGGCTACAACGAAATTCCTACCGTCGTCCTGACCAGCGTCTACTTTGATATCGCCTCCGATCCTGCGATTGTCGATAAACCCACGGCCAATGTCAAACGCAATCGCCGTGTCGGCGGTGTTGTGTCGCTGCTTATCGGCGCCATTGTTGGCGGCTGGTTGAGCAAGAGCAGCGGTGGGATGGAGTCGGCATTATGGATGGCTGCCGGACTCAAGCTCGTCGCTGGCTGTAGCTGGCTGTTCTGGAAGGCAGCGGCACCAAAATAGAGAAAGAACAAAACTAAGACCAAGAGGAAAACGAAGAGAGAGAGAGACCGACATAGACATAAGCGGTGAGAGTGGATACATACACCTAGACTAGATGTATATAGATAGATACTTGTGAGTAGATTCGCTTTAATACTATACAACACCTGCAATATCACAGTCATTTTGAAGCACGACATTCATGGCTTTTTGACATCGATCTTGGCAACATTTTCCAACCCAGCTATCGCTGCTGCATGAGCGGTGCAGAAGATAAATTGCGCCAAGGAGCACGGTTAGCTTTCAATGTTCTGCGACAGAGGGAGAAGACGCCAACAGCGAGAACTGTAATAAAAAGAGGTACAGCCATTGCTATTGCGATCTCTGACCCAAAGGAGATGGCTCGGGTCGGTTCATTGGCGGAGTTTGGGCCTGTGGTAAAAAGATAGATGGTATCCGCCCATGCCTCGATGGTGCTAAGGGTCGTTGGAGACGGAGTGCAATTGTCGTCATACATCTGCACGGTTGTTGTGGTTGCAAGGCTTTGGCAACTTAGTATTTCCATACTCTCGCGCAACGAATATTGACTATATTGGTTGTTAATTAAGATGCTGCAAACCATTCTTAAGAATGGACGGAAACTTGCCTAGGACAGCAGAGGTATGCTGTTTCGCCCAGGGTCATCTGACTCCAGACAGACCACAAACGCGTTTGAAACAAAATTGGCTCCACTGTTGTCCCTCTATGCAGCTCTACTGCGGCAGCCCACCCCGAAGGACATTTCCGTGCACCGTAGGGCTGCGTGTAGGTAGCCGGGGGGTAGCATGATGGCTTGTCTGTGATTGTCGGAATTATACTTGTTTTGAGTTTTCCATCCGAATTTGTGTAGGTCGAGGTGAGAGATGTGCATGTCACTCCATAAGATAAGTAGCCAAACTGAAGTGCGATCTTGGGCGAACAATCAGATGCCGGAGTGAAGGCTGTTGGTAGTCCAACATTAACGGTGGCGGCCATATCTTCGCAATGGTTTATTCCGTGGAGGGCTCTTAACTTCGAGATATAGTGCGGAAGAGTCTAGCGTTATAAGGAATTCCTGCAGACGCGTTGAACTGCTCACGCTCATAATAATAATAGCACAGAATTAATCACCTGAATGCCGAGAAACCCCAAATGGCGTGGAATCGATATAACCCTAACCTTATCAGGATTAGACTGCTGCCTATGTCGGCGATAGAGACAATTTGACTGGTGGAATGGTTGTTGCTCAGCCCCACTAGATAACTATACATTATTCTAGTTAGCATGAGCATAGCCTCCAATTGTTTTTCTACCGCATACAATGCCCCTCATACCCCTTCTCTATTCAAATTCATGATCGCTTGACTATATCAGCCAAAGACCAGGTGAGATGGCAAACCAACAGGCAGATGTCTCAATAGCTCTGACAGCTTACCCTGGACCTACCATGGATTCATCCTCGGACGAGAATTTGGCATTAGCCAGAAAACGTCTTTCCAAGCACTCCGGTGATACCAGCAGCGATAGGCTGGAATTGCCAGCATGGATACAAAATATAAACTGGATGGTCGAAACTGTGTCGGCCTTCTTTGCTATGATTTCTTTCACAGTCCTGATCGTCATTTTGAAACATTACGAGGGCATTTCCCCCACGGCCTGGCCCTTTGCAGGCCTGACCCTCAACGGTCTCATCGCAGCATTGGCAACAATCACCCGGGTGGCTTTGTCCATCTTGATATCATCATCTCTAGGTCAATACAAATGGCTCTGGTATTCCCAAGTGAGTCCTCGGAAGATGCGCGACATCGATACCTTTGACCAGGCTTCAAGGGGTGTCTGGGGCAGCGTGGTTCTTCTTTGGAGGTTGAAAGGCCGTCATCTCGCGTCATTCGCTGCAGCCTTGACAATCCTAGGACTAGCATTCGATGTATTTGCGCAGCAGATTATTTCTGTCGAGGATCGGGTAGTCCCTATGAACATTACGTCGAATGATCAGCTTCCACGCGTTCAGCGAGGTGACAAGTACGCGCCCGAGACAAACCTGGAAACTCCTCCACTGGAATTGGTAGCCTCATTCTATTCGGGCCTGTTGGCCGGGAATTTTACACCGTCGAATCCCGTGTGCTCTACTGGGAATTGCACATGGCCCACTGTCTCTTCCCTGGCTGTCTGTGGTGGATGCACTGATGTTTCGTCAAAACTCATATCCACCAGCCACCACATAAACAAAGGACACACTACTTATAAATATGCCCTTCCCGACGGCCTCGCCTTGTTTCGGAGCTCCATCATCAACTCTAAATATGGAGGTTCCGAGCAGCCGGTTTTTTCAGTTCTCAACGTCTCGAATGCAAACGAATCTATGGATCGCTATCATGCCTACAAATCGATCGCGAATGACCCCAAAAATGGCCTTGTCATGATCGCCCATCTTGAGTCAATTAGCTCGATGACGCGTAATGGTATGCAAGAGCCCGGCTCAAAACCGGATCCGTCCGGTTTCAGTGCCCACGAGTGTGCTCTGTGGTTTTGTGTACAAGCCTACAATATTTCCATGACCAATGGCAACCTCAAACAAGCCACAGTAGGGAGCTGGTCGAAGAGCAAGCGAGGTTCCAATTACAATTACCACTTTGCAACCCCTCCGCCAGAATTCAACATACCTCATAACGCCAGCTTCCAGATAAGTACTCAAGTGGTTCAGATTCTCGGGGATTCGGTGAAGTCAGCAATCGGAGGGTATGTCTCAAACAGCGAGGGTAACATTTATATGACCAATATGACAGTATCGGGGATATACGCCAGGATGAACGATCTAGACAGATGGATTGACAATTACGCCCGCATCATGACCCAGAGCCTTCGGTCTATCGCTGACTCCTCCCCTGTAACCGACACATACTACCTGGGGACTGCCTTCAGGGACCAAATTTACATCCACGTCCGGTGGGCTTGGCTGGCATTCCCGGCTGCCATGATTATTGGTACCTGTCTTTTGCTTCTTGTCACCATCTGGAAGACAGATAGAAGCCCGGTTGGACCATGGAGAAACAGTTCGCTCGCGCCCTTTTTTACCGAGACAGATGAGAAACTGCAACTCGCTGCTCAAGGTGCAATGCGCAGCTATGGAGAGAATCTTATAATGGCAGTTGGACGAGAGAATGTGCGATTAACTGATGTTGATGGTAAATGGAAGTTCGATTAGATAATGCATTTTTGGTTTATGAGTGTCGACTATTCAGCACATAAGTCGGTTAAACAACGATACGATGATTTCCGCAACTCTGTACGAATTAAATTTGTAAAATGAGGACCTGCGATGACGTGTCTATACCGTACAATAGAACCAATGGTTATAATAGAACGCTTAAGCTAAAGGAAAACCATGGCAGTGAGATCGACGCGGCCAGTGTGCACGCTGCCTAAAGCCGACCTCCTTTAACTATTTATATATTACAAAAATACCGCGCTAAAATCTGACGAAGGGCCACTTCTAAAAAAAAGGGCTGCTTCCGCAAGAAAGGGCCAAGGATCACTTATGTGGGGAAACTATTATTTTCGATCAATGTACGGAGTTAAATATGCCCTAAAGCTAGTTTTTAGACCCAAAATTTACTAGATGGGTAAGGGTTGGTTCTTTGGTATAGCGCAGGCACTATTCCTGTTAGATTGAACTTCGGAATGTATATATTCGTCCTCAACTCAGGACTTTCACCGCTAGCGCTCGTAGACCTACAATACATGCTAGGAGTCACACTTCCATTCTTGCTTATTAGGGTTAGATCTAGCTTTCTTTATCTCTAGGAAAGCCCCACAGCTGACGAAACAACTACGATGAGGCTGAAAATGCACAGCCTCCTTGTGTGCTTCCTATAATAACCTCACTTCCCACCTGTACAACTCACACATCCACTTCAAATGACAACCAACATCCCCGAGATCATCTTGCTCTGCCAAGACGCAGACTTCATCGCAGCTTTCAATGCAGCCCAGCAGGAGCACTGGCCCGAGCTACCAACCAAAGTCAAGATCACCCCAATCAACTCGCGGCTCAACCGCCTCGACCCCTCAGTGACTTTCGACCTGGTCGTCTCGCCCGCCAACTCCTACGGCCGTCTAGATGGAGCCTTTGATGATGCCATCTCGCGAGCCTTCAGCCCGCGCGATGACTATAACGCCCTGACACGCGCAGTGCAGCTTGTTCTGTACGAGAACTGGCGCGGCTTCGCGCCGCCAGGCACATGCACACTTGTGCAGTTTCCTGCATCGCTGAAGCAGAATTCTCGCAATTGTGCCTGGGTGGCGATCTGTCCCACTATGCGAGAGCCGACTAATGTCTCCTGGGATCGGGAGGTTGTCTATGAGTGTGTCTGGAGTCTGTTCTGTCAGGTTGAGCGCCATAATCGGACCTCAGATCAGAAAATCAATAGTCTGTTAATGACGCCCTTGGCGGCTGGTGTTGGGAGGGTCAGTAAGGAGCGCTGGGCGTCGCAGACGGTGCTTGCAATGAAACATTTTGTTGATGCAGTTGAGCGGCCGGAGAGGTGGAGTCGGCTGGAATGGAGTGAGATTTTCGACGATTGTAGTGAGGTTACGACGACGTGGAAGAATTGAAGTAGAATGATTATATGGCAAATTTAAATACAATAGTAATGCAGCTCAGCCCACACACGGCTGGGGTATATCAAAGAAGAGAAAAGGAACCCCGAAATAAATAAAAATACACAGGGGCGAAAGACAATTCTACATGCTGTATAGCTCGGTGAAAAGATCCTCAGCTATCGTCTTCGACCAAACCAAGATCACTTTCTTTCTTCAAGGTAGGCTCCTCAGCCTCGTCTGCGTCTTTCCCGTGGCGCGCAGCACGTTTCGTCTCCTGCGTTGACACATATCGAATAAGACTCTCGCACAGGCGATCTAGAACCCACTCGGGCTCCGTCTGCTTCGCCAGCATGGGACTGTTCTCACCGATCCAGTCCCAGTTGAATACGCCGAACTCATCTTCTTCCTCTTCTATGGGACCGCCGTCTGCTCCAGGGATCTGTCGACTCTCTGTTGACGAAGAAGAAGGCGGCCGGATACGCGGATCCGTGAACTGGATCAGTCGGGTGAACTCGACCCATTCCTCGTAGCTGTACCGTTTGCGCTCTCCGTCGGTCGCATCTTTGGTTGTCCGCCGGATGGCGAAGGCGAGTTGCTGGGCTAACTCGAAGGACGATGGCTTGGCCTCTGCTAGTTCCTCAATGGTCCGTTTTGGATGGTTGGGGTCGGGCGTCGAAGTGGACTGGTTTCCCATCTCGGCATCCTCATCTTCGTTAGTGTCGGCGTCCGCGCCCACCTGGAATCCCCGCTGCACGCGCTTTTTCTCTTCATGCTTCTCCATGAACCCCAGGATACACGGAAAGTGCCCCAAAAAAATCTTGTATTTGCCCGACTGCGGAAGAACAAGCCAGTCTCCAATCTTTTCAGTGCCATGCTTGAAGCTTGCCACAACCGTGTCGCTCATTTTGGAGATGAGCATAGTCATAGTCGGGATGGCGATGAGCGACCACATGACGAAAAACGGCCGCCCGGCATTCGACTTTGGCGTGATATCACCGTATCCAATTGTCAGCAGGGAGCAGAAGCAGAAATAAAGCCCCTCAAAATAGGTCAGATCGTCCTCTAAACACCAGAATACCACGGCACCACACGTCCACACGATGGCGAACACGATGATACTAAGAAGCAGGTCACTCCACCGGCGGAAACGCATGGTCTCGTACTGGATTGCGCGCATAGCGTCGAATCGATCCTTCTCCTCGCGCATGACCAGAAGCTTGGGGCGGCGGCCTGTTGCCAGTGCACTGATAGTATCGCGAATCGGAACATCTTTGGTTTGATGAGACGTGCTATCCGACCCGTCTCGGATAAGTGCGGGCGGCAGGACATCTTTTAGGTGGACATTGGGATCACGCTCTGCGGCCTCAATTACTGAAAATGTAACTGAGCGCTCAAAGGTCGACTGTCGTTTGTGCTCGATATGTTTCCGGATGACGTTGTCGTAGTGGACCTCACTGGCGAACCGATGGATACTGCTGACGACCAAACCCAACGTGATGACCCCGATCACCGCGTACGGCCAGACCAGACCTCTTCCAACCGCGGTTGTGGCAACCACGTCACCAAACCCAAGTGTCAAAACGGTAATATCGCAGAAGTATAGAGCATCCGCGAATGATATTCCCAAGACGCGTTGGAAGATGGCGGCACCAATCAACAGCCACATTACGAACGCAGTCATCTGCAGAATCAGGGTGCGCTGGTCGTCTGTGAGAGCGAAATGTTGTGGGTATCGGCCCAAGAAATATCCCAACATGTTGATCATCAACATGATAGCCAGTATAAAGTAGAGACATGCGGCGATGACGGCGCTCCAATACGCCTGTGAGTAGACATCATTAGGCCCAAGTGGTGGGGCATATATAGAGACGGCAGTCGTAAGTCCGACCAACTGCGACAGACAAAAGCAGTTAGTATCCTGTCCCATAGGGCATATAGGGTCGGTGCCTCCACAACTTACAATTCCCGTCGCCAGAAACCATAGAACGATTGAGACCGGCAATGCGATAATATAACGAATAGACTGAGTGAAGTTAAAGAGAAGAAACACGTTGCCCACAACACCACAAACGACCGAAATGGCATTCGATGCGGTGACCCTGATGATTGTTCTCCAGTCAGTCCCGACATCTGATATTGGGCACAAGCACTCACCAGTGAGGATCCGGATAGCCCTGCTGGATCGCATTCCCTGCAGGCCCTTCCTTATAAGAGATAATCTCACTTCTCCAAGGCATCACTAGGGCGACGATGGACATGACGTTCGCTAGCGGGCCGGCGGCGGCTGCCGCCAAAGGGATAGCAGTCGACGCGATCCACCACGACTGAGGCTCGTCGTCGTCTGGCGGCCTCATGTGGAAGCAACTCTGGAATCGTTCCCATACCGACGGGCGCTCCTCCGCCGCGGAGGGCGTCGCGACATGTCCCTTCTGCATGGCTTCACCGGGCACGTCCGGGCATTCTCGGGAAGGCGGAGGGCTGGATAAAAAGTTGGATACAGAGGTCTAACAATAAGACTTGAGCAGGGCCATAGGAGAAAAGAGATTTCAGGGACGAATAATAATAATACTGCAATCTGCCACAGACGCGCCTTGTGGAGTCACTCCTCCGAACCAGACGACTGAATCTCTTTCTTCCTCGAGGTGCAGATCGCAATATCGGCCGGGACAACGGCGAGTCCTCGGTGGGCGCGCTCTTAGGTATCGATCGGCTCAGAGGATCTGAAGATGCCAGGTTTATGCCCTTCCCGCAAAGAGCAACGCACGGCTTGCACCCGTGATGTCAACTTGGCCGGTCAAGCCCTTTGCCCTTGGACTGGCCGCTGATCCATTCTTTTTAAAGGTCACGTGGTACGCCAACCCCCACATGCGTCATCCTCCCGTTGGCAGTGATGTATCTGCCGCGAAGCACTGTCCGAGTGGTTTGACTAGACGTAATCGATCGGGCCAAGAAACTAGCGGATGAAGAAACTAGCGGATAGGGAAGCTTCTAGCTCCGCCCACGTGGACCCCCCATCCGGTCAGAGAGGAGGAGGAATGGGTTGTTTGTGACGAGCGTGCAGAACAGGCCTATACTAGTGCCAGGGAGCGATTGGTTAATGTCCGAGAATGCAACCGCGAGTGAGTTGAGGGAAAGGTTTAAATTGTGCCCCCATCGAGACATCATCACACCACCTGCGTCGGACCTCCGCACACTGGGCGCGTAGGGCTCTAAGCGTAATCTATTCTGCATCCCCAGCAGGCAATGATAGGCGCGCCACCACGATGGGGGGTCCAACCACGAACAAGGATGCACTAGCCGCCTCCCCTTTGGGGACGCCAGTCATCACCCACGCTGGGTTTCTGCATGCCGTGCATGCCTTGCCCGGGCAGATGTGGCGGGTGACATCAGCCAGTGCCGTCATTTTGTACCTGCTTCCGCGGGGCACAGGTGAATCGACGTAGGTACTATGCAGAACAGAGCACAAGCAACCGATCCAAGCGCCGGCGGTCCCATCACTGCCTAGTTGGGGGGCTGGCCATTAAGAGGTCGACGTGGAAATAATGAGATAGCAGTAAGCAAGTCAAAGATCAGTGTAAGTAAATAACGGTTCTATCAAATGGCGTGGAGGTCGAGGGTGCTGCTATGTACAACGCGGTTCCTCCTCGGGCCTGGAGAGGAGAAGAAACAATAAAAGCAAACAAGAAACGATCACAAACAGAAAGAAATCGCAAGATGGTATCACCAAAGCAGAACGACACGAACTGCAACGACACGAGCAAAAAGGACTTGACGACCAGAAAAGATGCATCGAGAAAGGACGCCAGATGGGGAAAAAAGGACGCCGCCCCCAGAATGGAAACGAAATAAAAGGAATAAGAGGCGCCGAAACAATGAACGAACTTTTGGGGGATCCTTCGCAAAGGATCAAACAAAGCGGAAAATACAACGAGGAAAACCAGCCGAAGCCAAACCCAACGCGCTCCAACATGCAGTTCAACAAGGGTCAAAATGCTCCAAGGTGCATATAAAAAACGGAATCTGTCTCTGTCGGTGTCACTCGCAGGTCCTCTTCTTCTTACATAGCTGATGGTCGGCGCAGGATGTCTTCGCAGTTAGCATCAAAGCGCATATTCCACAGCCGGATGCTGTTCATCAGCTTCTCCGTATTCTCGAGCTCGCGGTCGCGGCCGAAAATCGATTCGACGAATTCGCAGCCCGCATTGCGGCCCATCGACACTGCTGCCCCCTTGCCACTTTCTCGCTTAGCGGCCTTCCACATGTAATGTTCACATGCCTTGAGAAGCTTCTTGAACCGCGCCCACAGCCGCTCACCACTTTCGAGGAAGTCTTCGACCACTTCTTGGGCTTCCACACTCTGGATGCGCGGGAGGCATTCATCTGCCCGCTTGACCTTGCCCGCGAGCTTGATCAGCAATAGCCACAGCTCACCGGCGACATCGGCCATGGGCGTTGCGGCCCCGTGGTGGAAAACGGTCCAGTCGTAGATCCATTTGCCGAGCGAGTTGGCGTCGAAAACGCTGCCCAGAAGCATGATCGGGGCCTCGGTAGGGTCCCAGTTTTTAATCGAATAACCTGCCGGGATACCGGCTCGCGCAGCGTCTGCATCTGTGGCGTTGAGTGTTGGTTTCGAGGCGGCAGCCGGCTTAGGCTTGTTGGGGGTTCGAGTCGACGTGGATTGGCGCCGGGCGCGGGATCGCCGAGCTGATTCAATGTCCTCGTAGTTGGGAACCTGGTGGTAGGGAAAGTAAGGATCAGCGGCTGCTTTTTTAGATGTCGACGCGGTACGACGAGGCTGGCTCGAATTCGGCTGGGGACGGTCCGGGCGACAGGGTTGCGGCTTGTAATAGGCGGAACACGGTGCGTCGAATGCGTCGTCAACCACAGTCACGAAGATCTTGGGTTGTTTCTGCGCTGAGGCGGATCCGTTGCCGAGGCCATCCCCCGCGAAATGGCCGGTGCCACCATTCATAGAGTACCGGTGGTGTTTGGGCTGGGCCGCAAAGGAAGCACTTACATGATCGTGCTTGCGCGGCGGCATGCCATAGTCTGGCGTGGCTTCATAGAAGCCGGTTGGGTAGCCCGAATACCATCCTGACGTATCCTTGGTGGCTGAATAACTGGCCTTGCGGGTGTGTCGGCGCGAGGTACCCCGGGGCGTAGAATAGGTGTTGGCAAACTGAGAGGCGTAGTAGGCGTAGTGTGGCGAGGTTGGAGGCGACTGTGTGTAGTCGTAAGCAGACCACCCGGGCGGTGGACTGGAGTAATGATACATTATCGGACGAGCATGAGCAACGGCCGACGTAACAGCAAACGGACGGAAAACAAAAACAGAAAACAGAGACTATATTATACAGAGCACCCAGAGCAAATCGACGCCGGTTGCGAGCAGGTCAAACAGGGGGTTCGAGTAGGACCGTCACCGTGGTACGGTTTCCGATCGGAAAGAGGAGGAGGGTTGACAATGGACGTGCCGAGCGTGCATTTGAACGTTGTAGCGGGTCGACCGACAAATGTGTTGTCAGGCTGAATGGTATTTGGGTTGGATCCTTTGGCGATGGGATCCAGGTGACTTCCTCAGAGTTGGCGAGGCGGCCGATTTCACAAAATCTCTCTTGATGAAAGCACCGAGACTAGTCAAAGCCCGGCAAAGACAAGTTGGGTAGAGTGGAGAGAGAGAACGACAGAAGAGAGAGGTGGAGTTGGGAAAGAGGAGATTGAAAGGGAGAAGGAGGAAAAGGGCGGGAAAAGGTAAGAGATGCCGGGGGCGTGCGAGTTAGGCTGTGGCGTTAGGGGCCAATGGGGGTAAATACGGTATTGCCGTATTATTCGTGAGCACCTGGACTGGCACTTAGGGCAGGACAGAGAGCACCACTGTTCCCCGGAATAGCAGCAGTCAATCAGAAGCAGAACCCTCGAAGATCGTCTTCTTTTGTGCTGTCGCTAAGTCCTTAGTCCTGAACCCCCTCCAACTAGTCTATCTGCAAGTGTGCCCCTCATGGCTCGGATAGGCGCATAGTTGCCTTCATGAATTCTCAAATCGATACCTAAGAAGGCACCCAACCACCAAAGAAAAGAACCATCCAGACTCGTTCGCAGCCCGGCAGCCCGGCGATCCCAGCCAGCCAGGCAGACCGGTATATGGATATCCATGACAGTAGGCCATGTGCTGGACTTCCCAAAAACAGACCCAAAATGGCCAACGCATCTGCATGAACCCATGCACTAGCATCCTTCGGAACTACTGTCATCCTCCTAATCCACGGTCTTCAGATCGCGGACCCTCCCGTCTCATCCAGTGGTTCGGACTCCACTGACCCAAACTAACTGATCTAGCACTACAAAAAAGAAACGACGGGATAGAACGATAGAAGAATTGAACTAACACGAAGTCACACGCTCGATCGGGGCAATCATGCATGTTCTTGACGGCCGAAACCCACTCGCTGGGCAGCAAACCCACCCTTTGGGCAAAAACGGTTGGAAATACTAGATCCGCAGCACCGCCCATCGCAGACCGCAACTCCCGCCTGATCGCAGGATCGCAAGAAGGATTCTACATCCGACCAGCTTGAGCATGATCGTAGGTGCAGGCAGTGCCCGAAACCACATCGCAAGCCTTGTGTCTGTGTCGTGACCACTTGACTCCGCAAGCGATCCAACGGCTGGCGACGACGTCGTCGTCGTTGTTATTGTTTGTTTCTTCTCTTCCAATGAAACCAGATCAATCCCACTGTAGCTGAAACAGGCCCACCTCTCTCTCTATTTCTTGCTCTTACATGGTTGTAAAGCCAAAACAATAAAAAACACCAGCCACCTCCTCCACATTCATTTATGCTCACGCACCGCGATTTCGAAGAAAGGGATAGGGGAGATCAACAGACCCAGAATTTTCCACATCCTTACCGCGGATTCCAGGGTTGTCCTTGATTTGTTTTGTCTTTGGTTGGGGTTTTATTTTTATTTTTATTTTCTGGCTCGGAGAGTCTCCCTTGTTTTCCTGTTGTGTACCATATGTACCGTACAGAGCGACCAGCTGTAGGTCAGCGCCGATCGCCCAGGGTCGCACATGGCTTTTGTATGTACCGAAAAAGAAAGCAAAACAGAGACGCAGCGTATATATCCCGTGGCGCATTAGTATGACCAAGATGACGCAGCTAAGGAATGTTCCGCACGAATTCTCTCCAGCCACCCTCTTTGTTGATCGCTGAAATGTCAGCTACGGCCCCCCAGCACCAGGCCGCCTAACCAAGTAGACTACATACCAAAAATCAGGGTTGTGGTTCACGGGTCGGGCCAAGGAATCCGGGCATCCGCATCTGCATCCGCAGCAAGGCCTGCAGGGGATTACTTGGATGCGTGTGTGCCTCTGTAGGAACAGAACCTTGACGGTGCACGGGCATGGGTTGCCTCCTGTGCACCGTAGAATGCATCCTGGGCGCAGCATTACTAATTGCTCCGGTTCCCTTGTCTAGTTACTCGCCAGTAAGCTTACTGTGGTGCGCGCTAGGGTGGGAGGCGTCCAACAGGACCATTCAGAGGCGCCTATCCAACAGGGGGTTAGTTACCGACACCGTTGAAAGGATTATCCATTCGAGCTCAACGCAGCGGTATCTCAGATTCCGCCGCTCACAGGGCTGTGGATGAGTCAGTTCGACACAGGTCACTAGCTAGCTAACAATGTGGCAAGGCCAATCAAATGACCTGCCCGGCGAAACTCGATGGATCATTTGGTGAACCAACTATCCCTTGCACAACCTGACTCAGAGGACTGAGTCAAAACAAATACTCAGGCGGTCTTCTTTTTGCCAGGGGCTTTTTCTCTCGAGGAGGATCAATTAATGATTACGTCCGAATTATTTGTGGATTGTGTATCGATAACATCATGCCCCGTGCGCTTCGTTGCGCATTGATCACATATTGCCCTGCATTGTAGGGCTGCTTGCCCTAGTTAGATACAGAGCTCGGATCTGGATGGTATCTGAGACGACTAGTTGGATCATTCTGCTAGCGGGCCAAGAGTAAGATGAGTAAAAGTCCCCAAGTATATTCAGGCAGTCCAAACAGCAAAATCATATCAACAGTAATGCGCTGAAAAGGAATCATGTTCATCGTAGTCCAAGCCTCAAAATCGCGGCTAACCCTTAAACACCCATGAATCCCGATAAATACACCCTGGTATAATGCAGTACAAGAAGAGAAAGAAGAAAGAAAAACTCATGCCACCATATACTCCCCGTCACCCCGTTTGGCCTGCATCACGCGAGACCAGCGGAACGCCTGGGCGGTAGGGGGACCTGGCAATTGCGATGGATCGAGATCAGCCGGGTAAACAGGGAACGAAGACTCATCCGAGTGCTCGGACCAGATCTTCTCCAGCAATTCTAGACAGGAGAGATTGTTCACAAAGCCGGAATCTTTCGAGATATCCTTACAGCGGTTGCGAATGGTCGTGCGATGGTCGTCTTGAACGCACTCGGACCCGACAATGAACAATGGCCAGAGAAGGTAGACGTCCGACTGTACGGCACAGATGCAGTGCATGGCCAGCTGGACGATATGCTGGATACGTGGATGTCGTGATGGGAGCGACGGTTCTGCTAGTCGCTCACAGTAGAGGAGAGCCGCGTGGCGGAAGCATTCAGAGATTTGAAACACGTCCTGGAGGTTCTCAGGCGTCACAGTGTATGGAGCGATCGGAGATGAAGGTGGGGAGAGGTAATTGGTGGTATTCCATGACATCGCCGAGGCGTCCATGGGTGAAGAAGAGAATGAGGATTCAGTGGGGGGGTCGAATCGCCAGGACTCGAGTCGTTGCCGGAGGGAGTACCATTCAGTCCAAAAATCCGGAGAGGAGGGCCGTCTCATCAAGTCTGTATTCTGAATTATTGGGAATGGCATCCCGAAGCTGGCATCCATTGTAGTCCCCGATGCGGGCACGACCTCCTCCCACCCGGGATGAAGCATGTTTGGAGGCAGGGAAGTGGTCGCCACAGAAACATCAGTCGATGCAGGTACCTCAGACTGTTGGTCTTGACTGAGTATGTTCAAGCGTCCCAACTGGGAGATCAACTTGAAGAGGCGACCGTCGCAGCCCGCCAAATTTTCAAGTCCCCATTCTCCATCAGTTCGGGAGCTTATATCGAGACAGGCGCCACGGAGCTGGACATCACGGTCGTTGGTTGTCGCAGTCAGAGTATCAAACCAGGAAAACATGCGGATGAACCATTTCATCTCTTCCGTGATGATAGGAGAGTGGCGCATCCGGATAGCCAGTAGTCTCGTGACCCCGGCAAACTGGGTGCGAAACTCGGCTACGCCCGTATCACAGCCATGAAAGAGACACAGAATCAGCAAAGTCGCCAGTACCGAGTCTGACAGTCTGCGCTGTGAATCCGCCAGGTCTGCGTTGAGAGCCTTCACGGCCATCCCCCGGTGGTAGTTTTCTTCCCGGGCATACCCTTCCGGAACTGAGATGCCATACCGGTCTTGGAAAGCCTCGTCTGTAAGAGCGCGATGGGCCAAAGAAGACATGCGCGCAGGTAATGTTCTCTCTGTAGATGTGTGGTTGCGCAATCGCCTCTGTCGCAGGTTGCTGGTGGCCAGCGTCGCAATTGCCTCCTGCAGGGCCTCGCTTTCTTGAGCCAAGCGCAGAACGTGGGTACGAAACGGGTTGGTTGGAGTATCAAAGGCCACGATCATGGGAGCGATGACTTCGGAATAGTAGCTGATCAGGTAGCGGAGGCGAGGCGTTCGCCCTACAGAGCGCGCCAGGAGAAGCTGGGATAGTGATGGCTGGTTACCCGCGTTCCACATAATAGAGTGATCCAAGTCCTCTATCTCCTCTTCGTCGGTCTCCTGTGAGGGTGGTGTAACGTTTTGGACAAGCCACGGATTGGCAACCTGCCATGTCGGGGTGGCAGTAGCATATGTCGGGCTGGATCCAGGCGCATACTGAGGCGAAGTATCGACTGCAAGAGTTGATGCTGGCTGATTGGATATCACTGGTCGATTTGGTGATGGAAGTCCTGAGATCTTCGGTGGAGCGGCCGATGCATTAGACCATGTATGTGGATCCGGCATGTCCATCGTCCAAGCCAGATTGTTCGACATTTCCGATCCGTCCGGTGCCGTTTGTGGGGGAGGCGGTTCCGTACTTGCCATAGTCGGCACCGGTGCTGCTGGTGCGGGATGACTGGGTGTACTCGAGGTCGCAGGCGGCTCCGATTTCGCCGCGCTCCCTGACAGTGCATTACCTGACTCCATCACTGGCAGTTTCTGGCCTCGCAGCTTCCCCCGACTGGCAACCCCAACCCCCCATGTCAACGTGGTTTTATATCCAGAACATTCGCGGCCAAGGTCGAGACACTGCGTGCAGTACGGTCGGCGTCGGTCGCATCGAGCTCCTCGTTTGGAGCAGGCGAAACAGTCGTCGGAAGCACCGCTGACAACGGTCCGCTTACGTCGTTTTTTCGGAGCCGGACCAGACGTCGACTCGGCGCGGCGTGTCTTGCCTTTGGGCTCTGGTCCCTGGCGAGCAGCCTCAGAGGTCATCGTGGGGAGAAACTGAGACAGACACCGGGGTCCATCGGTCGGCAGCGTGCAGCTCAAGATGAGACCGTCGATCGGCGGGAGGCCACGAGGGAAGACGGAATCAGGAGGGATCGACAGTCAGTCAAGCCGAGGTCCTGGCAGGCATTCTCGTCTTGCCGGGGGGCAATCAAGAATCGAGGAGAGGACAATGATTAACGGGGGAGATGAAAGAGAGAGTGAGAGAAAGTCACGTTGCCGTTGGGGCGAAGTGGATCAGGATCCGCCCGTGGAGGATGATGATCCGCATTCTAGCAGTGCTAAGTGTCTCCTTAACTACGACTCTAACTAGTTCACCATGCCTGGGGATGGATCGTCGTATTCCCCGGGCGATTCGGGGAATAGGCAAATTGGGATTCCCGGGTCGGGACCATCTCAGTATCTACATGGGTCGCTAGGATGGGTGATTAGTACCCCTATTATTTGGGCCGTTATGAATATCCCTATCGTCATATCTCTGCTGCTAACTAACCACTGACAGGCTTAATAATCTCGGAATCCGGCATCATGATAACTACCGCAAACCGAGCTCTTAGGTCACCTAGTGAGACCGATCATTCGTAATCCTAGATCACGTGATCCATCTCGTCCCCCCTACAGAAAATAAACAGCCGGTGTATCAACAAAACCCAGTCTAGCCTCTAAAATCCCTCGCTGAAAGATGGAACAAACTGGAACTGGAACTCCCGCTCCTCACAAGCAACGAGATACTTCGGCAAAGTCGTCGGTCCACAAGCCCCAGTGCCCACACCGCTGGACTCGGCATCGATTCGCACGAGCACCGTCTTCCCAGGAACGAGATCACAGGGGTGTTTGGCGGCTTCGATCTGCTCTGCGCTATTGCGCGATGCAACCCATTGGAAGCAACTCGTGGTATCCTTGTCCGTCTGTACGGGATTTCGGAAGACCCTGAGACCCCATCCTCTGTGGTCGCTGAGTTGCACCCACCGGGTTTCCATCCTGTTTCCGCCCTCTTGCGGCACTTCGTATGGCGTGTGGAGCTGCACTGTAGGAGCCTTGTAGACCCCCAGTTTCTGGGAGCGCTTTTTGTCCGCGTAAGACTCGCCGGGACCCAGTCCAAACCATTTTGCATTGTCGAGTCCGTCGACCAGGCGTAAATCCAGGCCCATTCGAGGCAAGTCTTTTGGCATTGGCCCCTTAGGCTTGAGGTGTACCGTGACACTCAGTGACCCATCTCCAGCGATCGTATAGGTGGTAGTCGCTAGGAACCCCCAGGCAAGGACCGGGGGTGCCAGCCAAGCCTCGGTCACGATCTTGAGGCGGGTGTTGTCGACTCGCGAGATATGCATATTTCGCAGCTGCGCTCGCATATCATCTAGTCCGTATCGACGTCGCTCGTCAAGGGCCCCGGACATAGTATCATTGTCTGTTGGAGGGCGCCAGAAGCCTGGAGACAGCGCCACTCCGGTCTTGGAGTCTGGGTCGAGCAGCTGATAGCCGTTCACGGTCCAACTCGTCAAGCTACCGATTGAACGTGAGAAGCATAAGCTAAAGTCGCAGCCTTTGATTGTATGCGCACTGCGAGTGGACTCGAATTGAATGGGGAATTCTGGGAAAGAACGTGGTCTGACGGCGGGAGTCTTGATAGGATGCTGGAACCAAGCCACTTCGTGTCCATTTGGAGCCCACGGCGAGAGGTGTTTGTTTTGAAAGCTGACGGTCAGCCAGATCTCTCCATCTTCCACTTCGGGAAAGTCTTGGTTGAATGGCACTTCCGCACGCTCTCCAACCTTAACAGTTGGAAGGTTGAGGCTGCCGGTAGCAATAATAAAAGATCTAGCATTAATATCATTAGCTTGTACGTTCAGAGAGAAACAGACGAGACTCACTCTTCTCCCAAGTTCTCGACCTGATAAACTGCCTGCAGATGATCCAGCCCAGAAAAATCCTGCCGGTTCTCAATGAAGATTGTACCGTTGGCATACCATGCATGCACGGGAGCATATGCCTTGCGCAATTCCACCAAGCCGGGAGTCGGTGTATGATTGCTAAAGCAAAGGCCGTCCAGCACAAATGTTCCATCGTTGGGAGTATCGCCAAAATCTCCTCCATAGCCATAGAAACCCCGTTTCTCATCCCACAAGCCATGGTTGGCCCACTCCCAAATCCAACCACCCTGCAGCCGGCGATGCTGGCGGAAAGCCTCCATGTACTCTTCCAGTCCGCCAGGTGCGTTACCCATTGCGTGGGCATATTCGCAGAGCACAATCGGTTTGACAAAGTCATCTCCTTCCGCAACGGCCAATTTGGTAATCCGATCCACGGATGGATACATGTAAGAAAACATATCTACCGTCTGGGCCTCCATATCTCCCTCGTAATGAATAGGTCTGCTTGGGTCAGTAGCCTTGATATAGTCGTACATGTGCTGATGGTTTTGGCCATAGAATGCCTCATTTCCCAGTGACCAGATCACGACACAGGCGTAATTCTTGTCACGCTGGACCATTTGAATGGCCCGATCAATGTAGGCATCTTTCCACTCTGGATTGTTCGAAGTGAATTGAGCGGCCTTGTCAAAGGTCAACTTCTTGCGCTTATCGTAGTCCATGGATTCGGGAATATCGAGCGGGCGTGCCACTGCGTCGTAGAACCCGTGGCATTCAAGATCCGCTTCGTCCATCACCCAGAGACCGAGCTCGTCGCAGAGTTCATACAGTCTAGGGTGAGATGGGTAGTGACAGCACCGCACAGAGTTGATGTTGTGGCGCTTCATGAGGAGGAGATCCTCTCGGAGATATGACAATGGCACCGCCCGGCCAAAAAGCGGATGATGATCGTGGCGGTTGACACCACGGAAGAGGACTGGGGAGCCATTGACGGTGATGTTCCCTTTGACAATCTCCACTTGCCGGAATCCCACACTGTGCTTGATCTCCTGGAGCGTATGTGTCTCGTCTGTTGCAGACCGCAGGGCAATCTGGAGGTCATAAAGATTGGGTGTTTCTGCTGTCCATTTTCGTGGGGATTTTACTGGGATATTCAACATGATGCTTCCAGACTGACTCTGTGTCGCCTCGTCATATCCGAGCACGTGTTGCGTTTTCAACGGCTCCCGTAGAGTCGCTTCCAGAATGACAGGTACTGTGGCGGTAAGGTTCACTGTCACTTTTAAAACAGCGTTGTTGTATGACTTGTCAAACTCCGTCCTGACAAAGAAATCCTCTATACGAGCCGCAGATGGGAACGCGAGCAACGTGACATCGCGAAAGATGCCTGTCAAGAGATCGCATTAGTATATACTCCAAACCCTTTTAATCAGTGGGAACTCACCGGAAAGCCACCATTGATCTTGATCCTCGATATAAGATCCATCAGACCACTGGTAGACACGCACTACCAAGTCGTTTGATGCAGTCCGGCTGACGAATTTGGAGACGTCAAATTCGGCAGGATTACGACTACCCTGTGCATATCCAACTTCGTTCCCATTCACCCAGAGGTTATACGCGCTGTCCACTCCGTCAAAACGAAGACGCAGCTGTGAGGACGGATCCCAATCGGGTGGCACGGTGAAGGACCTGTGGTATGTGCCCGTGGGATTTTGGCTCGTAACGAACGGCGGGTCAACGGGAAATGGGAATATTGTATTCGTGTAGTTGGGACTGCCGTATCCTTGGAGTTGCCAGTGACCCGGAACGGTGATGCTCGTCCATTCTGTTGGCTCATAATCTCCGTCATTGGCCGGACTAGGCGCCAGCAGAGGAGAAGGAGCGAAATTAAACCTCCACCGGCCGTTCAATGACATGGACTCTTTGGGAATGAAATAGGCACGGGACGGAAGTCTGTTTCGCTGGAATATTTGAGGATTTTCCCAGTCATTGGGGGTTGTTTCTGGGGTGGTGGTGGACATGGCGATCACCTGAGAGCGATTGTATAACTTGGTTTCAGGGCTCCCTCTGTTCTAGAGATCTGTCTCTCTCATCAGCAAATGCAAAGATATATGTACCAGAAACTGTTGGAAATGCAGATCTGCATTTGGACGGGGGTGTCGGTCCAGACAGCTGTTATCGGTCACCGAGCCCCGCTCCTTGTGCAACTCCCTAACGCTCCAAAACTAGTGGACACAGGCCCCGTATGGAGTCAAGCAGCTAATCAAGTAGCCTGCGGAACGACACTCCGTCAAGATAGATTTCGCGGCTGTACGCCGGAGATAATTGTTCCAAACGAGGAGGGGAAGTCGATGCGCGGGCCAGCCATGGACTATTCCATGTCCCGATGTTTGTCCCTGTCTTTTCGGATCCAGCTTCCCCGAGGATTCATGGGATAAGACCCACTTAGATCTACGCGGTTAATTTCTCGACTTCTTGCCCTCGCTTACCATAAACCGCTTTCACCCGTAGCCAAGCAGGAAAGAGGGAAACGGAAGCCACATCCAATAGTTCTTGTTGTTAAAGAAACTTATCCCCAGACTTGCTAACTTTTTCGGAGAGACCAAGATCGGCATGGCTACTAGTTTGCGCTAGGGCCGCTAAGTCCACGCACGAAGTCTATCTAAGAGGATCTTCACGGGTATCGAGACCGAGCTTTGCCTGTCCATGCAACCCCAGACTATTGTGGAGATATTCCGGGACAGATAGAGCGGGGAACCCGCTTTTTATAGCCATTTACTACAAAGGTCACATTCTGAACTACATGTCGAAAATAAGCCATTGCTCACTGCATGCCAACACTAGCAACTGCATGGCCCTGTATCTCATGGGCTTATGGGACTCGGTAATGGACCATAAGCCAAATACGGTTCAAGGTTTTTACCAATTCAAAGAAGCCTTGACCATGGGTAAATAGTAATTTTTGATCGGAGACACATGTCTCCAACCCGTCCAATCCATGTTGAGGAGACCTAAGATGCCTTGTTTTAGTCTCCAACATCATCTTTTTTTAAGATTCTACTTACCCCATGTCTCATCGTAGTTCTGAATGCCTTGTCGGGTGTAATAGCTGCCGCTGACATCCCACATGGTCCACCTAATGTGGTTGCTGGTGACGAAGTCCTTGATACACTGAGAATACAACTGCAGGTACGTCTCAGGAGCGAAGCCGAATTCTGTCAGCACCACTGGCAGTCTGTTCTGCACGCTGCTATCCGATATGTTTACCGCAGAAAAGCCGTCCGCATTGAGATCTGCTTCTAGCTCTGCGCAGGTGGAGAACGTTTGATCGAATTCGTAATTGTGGAGCTCGAAACCCAACTTATCTGCGAACTTGTAGTCTCTAATATCAAACCGGTAGCCCCCACCGAGACTCTGGCCAAGGACAAGAGCAGATATATCCAGGTCGTAATTGAGACCGGACAAGAAGAATTAGGGCATCGGGATTCACAGTATTGACGGCTTCCGCTGCGGGAATCATGTACTCGTACCATTCCTGCCAGCCGTAGCCGGGTGCTGGTGTTTCGCGGAGTTCATTATACAAACTGAGACTGACGAAATTGGGCCAAGAGGAAGCCTACACAGCATCAATTTATCGAGTCATGATTCGGTGACAGAAAGTTATTCCATACGTGTTTCGCCATGTATTTCAGTCCACGAATCCAATTCGTCACATTGAACTGGGTGTCGCCGAACCATCCATTCCCATCGGTCTCGTCACAGCACCAACCCGCTTGGACTTGGTGATTATCCAGATGCACGAGGATTCCACGCTCGGCACAAGCGGCAGCGACGGCGTCAAAAACTTTGGGTCAATAAACTCGATTCAGTACACCCCCTTTGGTTTTCAGAATGTGAAATCTCACCTGCAGTCGTGTAGTTGCAGAATTGAAATGAGGGTTATGTGCTAGGACTTGATGATAGACCTTGGTCCCATTGGCTTCCCCAAGGGCTTTGACGAACGATGCCTTCAGATCAATGTCATGTCCAGTTGTATAGATATCGTCAATCATCTCCGTGGCCCATGCTAGGCGGATGACATTCATGCCTAAGCTGGCAATTTTACCCGCAATAGATTCCACCGAAGCATATTATAATCCTTCAGGCACCATAGTCAAGAGAGATCCAGGCCAATTGGCCCCGGCGTAGGTGACTATCTCGCCCCGCGAATCTTGTATACATCGACCATAGCTACTGAAAGGTGCATGTGGCCACTCTCTGGAGTTCTTGTGGACCCTTGGGGATGTTTCTTGTCTCTTAGAGAAGTTAGGATCACCGAATTCCTTTTGGTAATAGAGGTGGAAACTTGCTGAAGCATGGCACTGAATTGTCAATGTAAGTGCGACAACAGACGACAGCAAAAGTCTCACGAAGTGCATGATCGTATCAACAACTTTATATGTTTGCTACCACGGAACTTGTAATTGCCAAGGGCAGACAGAAATTGCGCGCATTTATAATGGAGGCAACAAATGGTCGTGCGCAGCTGTGACTTGAAGATGGACGACTTCGCATCCCGCCTGCCCCCATGTAATCCTTGATCGCGATGTGCGTAATTCCCCCTAGTCTAGCCAGAAACCCTAGAGCAATTAATATTTATCCGCGATGGCTGAGGCTTGACAGATTACACGATCTCGCTAGTGAAAGTTCATACTGCCCGTGTTTTGCCATTTTTGCGGGGTATAAGCTAGCCCTAGACGAGGTAGTGCTTACATTCCCCACCATCTCGGGGATGTCGGAACCGAAGAGGCCAGAGGAAACTGCTGTGGTCTGGGGAAATCCACAGTTGCACATCATGAGCCAAAATTCCAAGGTCCACTTGAGTATTTCTGCATTCTCCTGAGGTGCCTGGGCCTCGACCCCTGTAATCCAATCGGGGAAGCCAAACCCGGTGGCTTTATCCCACCGCGAAAATTCTTGATTCAGATTCCCAAAATCCAACCCCTAACCGATCTAGAGCATGGGCACTTCCCCGGGTGCCGTTTACTGTATAGACTCAATTCCAATGCAATGGGCCATAAATATCCCATGCGTCGCTGATCCCCAGAGATCCACTCGACTTTGAATCGTGACTCAATATTGGGAAAGTTCCTCTAAGCTTGTACGAATTCATTCACTGTTCGAGAAATCACCATGGAGGCCTCTAAGCCAGGCCATGAGCACGCTGAGGTTGTCGCCGAGAAGCAGGACCTGCAGGAAACAAGCGAGGCGATCCAACTTGCTGAGGCCGTCACGACGACCAAGTACAGTCCGTGGACCGCCAGTATGTTTCGCTTGTACGGGTGCTTGCTGATCGCGTATCTCTGCGGTTGCTTGAACGGGTACGATGGCTCGTTGATGGGGGGACTCAATGACATGACCGCGTACAGGGCATATTTTCACATGTGAGTTCTTCTACGTCTGTCGGGCTATTCAAATTCTAACTATGGCAACTAGGAAAACTGCCTCATCCAGCACGGGTCTGGTCTTCGCCATCTACAACATCGGCTCTATTCCGGCTGTCTTGCTCTCTGGCCCGGTCAATGATCTGTTCGGGCGTCGCAAGGGCATGTTCACAGGAGCCGCCATTATCATTGTCGGGACCTGCATCCAGGCGCCGGCTGTCAGCCACGGAATGTTCCTTGCTGGCCGTTTCATTCTCGGCTTTGGCGTGAGCTTTTGCTGTGTCAGCGCGCCCTGCTATGTCTCGGAAATGGCGCATCCCATCTGGCGTGGAACCCTTACAGGTCTATACAACTGCATGTGGTATGTTGGATCCATTATCGCTAGTTGGATTGTTTATGGATGTGAGAGCTACGACAACCCGTACTCATTTCGCATTCCAATCTGGTGCCAGCTGGCGTCCTCCGTCATTGTTGCGGTTGGCACGTGGTTCTTGCCCGAGTCTCCCCGATGGCTCATGGCGCAGGACCGAGTGGACGACGCAGTTCAAGTCCTAGCACGGTACCACGGCGAGGGTGATGTCAACCACCCAATTGTGACGCTTCAGGTCAAAGAGATGCAGCATCAGATTGCCGTCACGGTCGACGACTCGAGCAAGAACTGGTGGGAATACCGCGAGCTTTTCAATTCGCACTCTGCTCGCCGTCGTCTAATTTGCGTGATCGGTATGGCTTGCTTTGGTCAGCTCTCGGGCAACAGTCTCACAGGCTACTATCTTCCGGAGATGGCTAAAAATGCAGGGGTTGATTCTGTCAGCACCCAATTGATGCTCAATGGCATTTACCCTGTCATTTGTTTATTTGCCGCTGTCGCGGGTGCAAATATGACAGACCGTATTGGTCGCCGACCGCTCATGCTCTACTCGCTTCTGTTCTGCTCAGTTGCCTTTGCTATCATGATTGGTACTTCGAAGATGTCGAACGATAACAAAAGCAATTCCAACGCAGCCAATGCTTCTCTCGCGTTCATCTATCTCTTCGGCATTGTCTTCTCTTTCGGCTGGACTCCATTGCAGAGCATGTATATCGCAGAGACGCTGACTACCAATACTCGCGCCAAGGGCACGGCCGTCGGGAACTTGATGTCCAACATCAGCAGTGCGATCATCTCCTACAGTTCAGGCCCTGCGTTTGAAAAGTGCAAGTATTATTTCTACGCCGTCTTCGTGGGGTGGGACTTGATTGAGGCGGTTATCATATACTTCTGGTTCCCGGAGACCAAAGACCGGACTCTGGAGGAGCTTGAAGAGGTTTTTGCCGCACCAAACCCGGTGAAGAAGAGCTTGGAGAAACGTAACATCACTACTGTGCTGCAGACATTGGAGATTTCAGATAACCATGCGGACGTCTGATCGTTGTGATGAGATGTCATTATAGTATCAATATCACTATTAGATGGAATCCCTCGACTAAAATTTCCCTAAGTAGAAATGTGTGTATCCACAGATCCATAGGACCCAAGAAGGTTAGTCTGCCCAGTCAGTGCATGGATCCAACGGGCTCACAAAATATGCGGGGTCCCCACTCCATAATTTTGGAAGTTATCTCTCACTTTTTCCTCACTCCAAGAATGTCCTCTGAGAACGGCGACGATAGTCGCAAAAGGAAAAGAACTTCTTACGCGGTATTAACTTCCTGTTGATACCTTGCCACTCTACTAATGCGGGACTCCTAGTGCGACCCATGTCGGCATCGAAAAGTGAGGTTAGTATCTATACTCTTCTAGTTCACTTTCGACGGGCTAACATGTAGTTACTAGATGCGATGGCCGTCGACCGTGTGAGACGTGTTCGCAGATGGCCATCACATGTGTCTATGGAACTGAGACCGCCAAGTTTGTAACGAGGCATTCAATGGTCGTTTCAGCAGTCCTGACTGACTGCCAATTCCAGCAAAAGCAAAAGCGACTTGATTCTGGATGCCGCCATCCGATCCGAGAATCTCTTGCGAGAATTATCGTCTAAACTAGTTCGTCTTCCTTCATGAATGGCCTTTTGGCTTTCTAACTTGCTTCTAGTCGCAGACCCCTACTGCCCACATCCCATCTCAGACCTCTTCTCCTCACGCAGTCATTTCACCAAGCACAGTGAGCAATACTTACCACAGCGAAATTCCCTCAGATCATATCTCCAATGCCACCTTGTCGGCTTTCCACGCATCTACGACCGAATCTATATTGTCGTGGCCGCAATTTTCCGAGTTCCGGAATCTAATTAAAGACCGCGGCTTTTCTGTTTTCCATCTGGAAAGTACCCGGGCGCCGCTGGTTCAGCATCCATCTGCGATCCAGCCGTACATGACAAAGTTTGAGGTCGAGAGAATGGTGCGAAGCTTTGAGCGCAGCATCAATTTTTGGTATCCTACCATGACTCAAGCGACGCTGCGAGAGCTGCGAATGCAGATATCCTCCGGTGTCTTTGAAGAGACAACACGGTCATGTCTGGCCTTGCTAGTGATGGCTTTAGGGTGTGCGGGTGAACTTGTGTCTTTATTTTCGGAACTGGAGACCCTCAAAGTAGACTATGGAGAGGCCTGGAACCAACAGCGGCTAATGAGTGAGCTGTACTTTGATAGCGCATATAAGAAGATTCATCTTGCGCAGGCTGAGTTTACGGCCGATGCAGTACAGTGCCTGTTCTTTACCGGGTAAGTTTTCCCTTTGGGTCGTGGGTCCCGTTGGCTCATTCCTCGCCATTCTGACGCATCGGGAGAAAGGTTGTCTTTTGCCTTCCTGCAGAGGCCCCTACAAGCTTGGTCATTTATGAGTGCGGCGGCAACCAAATGTCGGCTGCTTTTATCCTACAACATCTCGGAAATGGCATCCGAACAGCTGGAGTGTCTTCGCCGGATCTTTTGGTCTTGCTATATTCTTGAGAGGTCAGTGGTTTTGCGGTTACGCTTCTCGGACGTTCCACTCATTCAGCTGCGACAGTGACTATCTCGCCGAGCTCTCCGCACTCCCCCAAACCGGCATTGCAGGTATTGAGTCTTCCATTCCCTTACCAGGCGAATATTGCACCCAGGAATCTCAAAATGACCAAGAGGAATCTTCTTTGTACTTCCTTGCATGCATATCCATGCGGCGACTTCTAAATCGTGTGCACGATCTTCTCTACGCCAGGGACACGGGGGTTGGCTTCGACAACCACCAGTTTCCCTCTGTGGTCTCAGAATTGGGCTACCAACTCGAGGAATGGAAGGACTTACTGCCATTCCCATTCCAGTTTTCTGTCGATCTAGAGCCAACACGCACACAAGAGGGTGCCTTTCTGCGCCAGCGTTACCTAACATGCAAAAGCGTCATTTATAGACCATATCTCACGTGGGCGCTTTCGAACAGTGACTCTCGAGATCATTTCTCCCCGGTCGTTTATGAGGGATGTCGAACATGTTTGGAAGCATGCTGCATGCATGCGCTGAATCTGCGAAGTATGCAGCATACGATCATGGTGGACACGTGGATCTGCTCGCTCTCGTAAGTTTTCCCAAGAAATTTTGGAAGGTCACCGACTGATTGAGTGATGATCAAAAAGTATGGCGTCAGTCATACTCATTATGCTAGCTGCATCCCGCGTCAGCGCCTTACGACGACTCATGTCGTCTCGCAGCGTGGAGATCGGGCCACATGTGAACGGATTACTGACCCAATGGATGCATATTCCTGGTCGAGGGACTTCGCCGAGTGTCATGGAGAGTGTCAAGCTCATCGGAAATGCATCAACCCTGCTAAGTCTAACTTGGAACGATAATGGGTTGGAGAAATAATAAGCAAAGAAATGTCTTGAGCATAGATCACTGAGCCATATCTGGCCCACAATTTACCATCGAGAGAAAGTTGTGATTACCCGCAAATTAACCTGAATTTCTGATATGGAACGAACCCCTATTCAAAAACTCCTGATCGGCTGTTTCAGATTTCCACCAGACCGGAGGACGAGAGTGCAATGTAAAGCGGATTCAAAACCATTCTTTTAAGTTGGAAAGAAAAAATGTTGTGATTTTCATAATTATCTGATATACAATTGTATTCTTATATATAATTTACTAAATAACTTATAGACAAGAATTATATAGATTCGTGTTTCAAACTCGTCTCAGCCAAGGACTTTGGGGCCGGAAGTCGTCATTGCCGCCTTCCCTTCATTTTTCCCCTAGACAACGCCTCCTGCCCAGGGCGCATGTGGAAGGATTGCCCGCACACTTGTCACATATCGCCTGGTCCTTCCTAACTCTTTGAACATACATAGTATCCTGTATCTCAGACGATCGGGCCGTGCGCTGCTGGCCTCTCTCCCTGCACCCGCCGCGACGGCAGCAAAAGCCGCCTCGGACCACCCCGGACTGGACCAACTTCTGGCAAAATGGGCCTCATTCGACCCGGCCGGGCGAGGTCCATCATTCTCACTTTTCTTGTCATATGCCTCGTCAGCTCCGTCTACTTATACTGGACGCCGACCACCGCGTCGACCACGGCCTCGGTGGTGCCCAGCACGGCCTTCGAAGTACCTCTCGCAGAACGACAGAGCGCCTTCTGGAAAGCCTTCAAGCCGCTCCTCGAACGAAATGCACCCAACTGCCCCTCTCCCCAACACATCGACGATGCGGGCGCCGAGCACTTCGACGCTATCCACGAGCAACCCCGGCCCAGTCTGACCGACATGAGCGAAGAAGATCAGGCAGCGATGGAACAAGCCCATGCGAATTTTGTTCAGGATATCCGAAATGTCGGGAAAGAATTGAAGCCGGTCCATACCCCAGGGAAGCGAGGGCTGGTGTCAACGGCGGGTGAGAATTATCTTCCGGTATTTCTTTCGTCGCTGCGGATGCTCCGGCGTGCAGGTTCGACACTGCCTGTCGAGTTATATATGAAGGACTCAAGTGAATATGAGAAAAAGATTTGCAACGACGTGCTGCCTAAGCTTAACGCGCGGTGTATGGTTTTGGCCGACGTCGTGGGCAGCGACGTGATCGAACACTACCAGCTCAAAATCTTTGCGGTTCTGTTCTCGTCTTTTGAAGAGATCGTGTGGATGGATGCCGACTGTTTCCCACTGGGCAAGCCAGAGGACTTACTGGCTTCAGAGCCTTTCACTTCTTCCGGTCTGGTCACCTGGCCAGACTTCTGGCGCTCTTCCGCATCGCCCTTGTACTACAAGATCTCTCGGCAGGAAGCCCCGCCCATGACAGCTCGGCAATCATCGGAGACCGGCGCATTTTTGGTATCGAAACGAACGCATTTCCTGTCCATGCTGCTTGCCGCCTACTATAACTTCTATGGCCCTTCGCACTACTTCCGGCTTTTATCACAGGGAGGGCCTGGAGAAGGCGACAAGGAAACATTTATCCAGGCCGCTTCCGCCATGGGAGAACCATTCTACACCGTAAGCGAGCGGGTGGGCGCTATCGGACATAACAAGCCTGAGGGTGGGCTTTCTGGATCGGCCATGACCCAGTCGGATCCGCGCGAGGACTATACCTTGACCAGCGAGGGAATCTGGCGCGTGAAGGACCCAGCCGCTGGCGCGGCTCCGCATATCTTCTTCATCCATGCAAACTACCCCAAATTCAACCCAGGGGACAAAGTTTTTGGAACGGGATGGGAAACCGCTCCCACATTGAAAGATGATGGCTCGGACGGCCGAGCATGGACAGCCCCCAAGGATGTCGTTGCACGATTTGGGTACGACGTCGAGAGAGCTTACTGGGAGGAGATTAAATGGGTCGCCTGCAATCTCGAAAATGATTTCCGAACATGGGAGTCTAAGATGGGGATCTGCGACAGGGTTGAGATCTACTGGAACAATGTCTTTGCCGAGCCTCATGACGATGATCCGAAGTTCACCCCAGACCGTTGATTCCAGACTCGAGTGTGCATCTTTCTGGACTTGGGGATTGTCTGAATGACTTCCCCAACTATATCCCGGCCGAAGTCCCGACTTAGTGTCTTCAAACGATACGCCTTACCAGACGAACTGAACATCACTGGCGTTATCTCACGACGCTTCGTGGACAACCTGGTCTCCTACCGGTCTCCCGCTCCGCCACAGCTGGTTGGCACTACATCTCTCTTGATCTGACACGCCTCTCTCTCAGAGGCACTGCACAAAAATTGACGACCAATTCCATGTACATTAGTTAGATATCGACCGAACTTCGGTATGCCGCACATAATGCATAATCAATCACATACAGACTCATCTACACTGGACGACCACCTAGCAGGAACGACATTCGATAAAAACACAAGAAATACAGTGGAAAACATCTATTTCATGACACCTTTCTCGCGCAGTCGCTGCTCATCCTCCATCTGCAGCTCGCGATCGATCTCAGCGCCTCTGGAAGGCTTGTTTCCGTGCAATTGAGCCTGAAGGCATGACATTTAGAAACTGTCGAGCTAAGAGGGGTAAAAGAAAGTAACTCACCGGCTTCGTGGGATCACTCTTGCTTAGTTCCGCCTCATTACTACGATCGTACGAAGTACTGGATTTGCCCTCCTTGTAGCGCTCGCGCTCGTTGATGACGGACTGGGGCTCGTTGCGCTGGTCGCCGGCTTCGTAAAATGCGGCATGGCCGACGCTAGACTGGCCGGCTCCGTGGTAGGCGTTGTTGGGGGCCATAGTATTGGACTGATGGGAATTGAAGCGTCTGGTCACGTTGTCCTGCTCAGACATTGTATTTTTTAGCTCGGTTGTTGCACCGGGACATGATGTCATGCTGGAGTCATTGAAATCATTGTCGGGCGCGGGCTACTATATAAAGGTGACTGTATAACAGGTGATACCTATCTAAATTGGAGGCAGGAATCCAGAATCAGAGCAGCGATGATGGATGTGATCATAGAGCTGGGTATTTATCGCTCGGGGCTGTTTCGATGGCCTTAAGATGGTGGATATACATATGAGAGTGTCTGTGTCAGCTTAACAAATCTTCTTCAGGTCGACTTCCCAAACGGTATTGTTAAGCCGGGGCTTATTAGTTAGTTAACTACACATTACCGTGGACAAGGAAACTGTCTGAGAAAAAGAAGCAATTAGGAGGGGAGGGCCACAAAGAAAGAAGCCGGTACCGCCACACATAGCCCTTTCAAGTGGACCCTGCCTTCATATGCATTCGTCTCGAAACCGTCTCGGAGTTGAGCATGGCCAAAGGCTAGACTGCCGCTAGGTTGAGCTCATGGGCCCCTCACAACTTTGTTGAAGAGTCCATTGGCATGTGTCGTGGGTATTTGGCAGCAATGACATTCGTCCGCGAAGGAATGTGATTGGATCAATAGTATTGCCAGATATAGCTAACAGCTCGAACGGTTGGTCTTGTCACGTATATCAGGCGCATCGAGGATTCAAATTTAGGTAAAGCATGAAATAGGACTTACTATTACTGATACTGACCCCAATACTATTTGCTCCCATAGACCACTTCAATGTCGATCCTTTGGATTCCGGCTGAAGAATCCCGGAGAGAAAAATGTTTACCTGCAAAGCGAGCGAATAGTCCAAAGTTATTGAGCATGGGAAAACTCAGAATGCGGATGAAGTCTCTATGTTGATCATATCTTTCTCTTATGTGACACCCTTGGATGTCGTTTTGCGCTTGCCTACACTTTCTCTCTCGGAATTTAATACATGGCAAGGGAACCCCATCTATCTTGGACAAGATGTCTATATCCGACCCAGAATACCGATTTGACTTGATCGAAGATACAATCGCAGCTTTTAGTAAGTTTCGGTGTCTTCTGAATGGATATTTTCATATGCCACTTTCGTCTATGAAGCGCGGACTTCCGAGAGCAATCAGTATAAAACAGTTGACCTGTGGCTCAACGCAGAGAATGGGGAGTTCGTCATTGTGCTCGATGACGAAGACCGAGAGAATGAAGCCGACCTGATTATTGCCGCAGAGTCGATCACACCTGCGCAGATGGCATTCCTGGTCCGCTTCACGAGGTGAGAAAATCCTTCAAGTCAACTGCTTCTTGGCCATCATCCAGATGGAATAGGTTCTCAGGCAAAGACGATTGCCCTTTCTTATTATTTATCGATCATCACTGACACACATGTACAATACCCAGTGGCTTAATATGCGCCCCCATAGCCCCGGAGATTGCCATGCGCCTCGCTCTTCCCCAAATGGTGACTGAAAATGCCGACCCAAAGGGAACAGCCTACACAATCACGATAGACTCAAGTGCCGACTCTGTCACAACAGGAATCTCCGCCGAAGATCGCGCTCTAACATGCCGTACGCTGGCTTCACCAACCTCCCACGTCGAATCATTTACACGGCCAGGACACATCATCCCGCTTCAAGCTCAGCCCGGCGGCGTGCGCCAGCGCAGGGGCCACACCGAGGCGGCAGTGGATTTGTGCCGGCTGGCCGGAAAGGCTCCTGTGGGCGTTATTGCGGAGCTTGTTGAAGATGGAGAGATTGTTGAAGGAATTCCGGAGGTAGGTGGGAATAATGGAATGATGCGCCGGGATGGGTGCTTGAGATTTGGGAAGAGGTGGGGAATTAAGACATGCACAATTGACAAATTGGTAAAGTATTTGGATGCGACGGAGGGAAGAATAAATCGGAGACATTAGGCTCCTTTTCCATTCAATGGACAGATATCATTCAGTATGGAGAAAGCCGAAAACGGATAAAAGTGAACGCAACCCATTATGCCGCACCGAAAACCCAAGTCTCCGATGCAGCTGGTTTTCCATGAAAAAGATAAAAATTGGACTTACCGCAACTTTGACCTTTATTTTGCGAGATGGCAGCAGGTTCTTGAGATATCCACGACATGCTGTTGGATTGTCTTCCTATTGTGACGTTTCTTGCGTCGACTGGGTCGCGTTTTGACAATATTGTTCGTTGTCCGGTCAATTATGTTAGCGAAAAGTATATCTGGACAGTTACTGCTTGCTGTTTCGGATGAATTGGTTTTTTTTTTCTTCAATCAATTGAGAAGTCCTATTCTAAATATGGTAATACCGCAAGCCTCAAGAATAGATTCACTATTCTACTTAACGTTAATGAAGTCTGAGTGATGTTCTCAACGTGAAACCTGTTTATACCAGCGACCTCGTCTCTTGGAGAGATGGAAAGAATTTCCTCTTCCGTGCCCTCATATGGCAACGCACAAGCTCCGAATTGCTAGAGCTATTCTACTCGAGCATTATACGTCACAATCAAGGCTGCTGAGCATACTAGCAGACGGTGCAAAGAAAGTTGTACCTGTCAAAGGCTTTGAAAAGTCAAGCAATCGGTCGTGCAGCCCTGCCGGATCCCCAATAAACATGCGCTCCAACATCTTCTCAATCACCCATAGACGCCGCGTATAGCCAATGAAAAAAGTGCCGAACTCTCCAGCCCCCGGCGAGCCAAAAGGCATATTATCACGAAGAATATCATGTTCGTTTCCGGCCTCGTCCGTAATAGTATTGAGTGTTTTATGTGAGCGCTGGCCAGACTCAGCATCATCCAGCTCAATATTATCTAATTTTGTTCGACCAATTATCTTTTCCTGTTTCTCGGCTGAGAGGGAATTCCATGTAGACAGATCATGGACATATTTCTGCACAACGATATAGCTGCCACCCGTGGCATTGGTGTCCTCTTCAGCCACAAGAGCAGAGGATGAGATCTCCAGACCAACCGGGTTAGCTGTGCCGTCGACGAACCCGAGAAGGTCTCTTGCATCAAAGTATCGGAACCCGACAGTCTCATCGACCGTTTTCACTGTGTCACCCAGATGGTCCATGAGCTGCCGCTGAAATTCGAAACAAATATCTCGACGATCTGAGCGAATGTGGAAGAGAAGATCCCCAGGCGTACTGACTGCCACGTGTCTCGAGCCTTTAACTTCTCGGAAGGTATGTAGCTCTTTCGGTCGGGGTTGCCCAGTAAGACGATCCCAAATATCACTACCAATGCCTACAGTGCAGGCAAAGTGGGTATTTGGGCCTCGAATAGTCACATTCTTAGCCAGACTGGCGAGATCAGCAAGTGTTGAACGGATGGTTGGAATACCATCGAACTTTGTGACTGAAAGGACAAGGAAGGTCGCCGATATGGTGAGCGGGGCGCCGACTGGTTGAGGATTGATGGGGGTCATGCCACTCGTTTTTTCTGGTTGAGCTGGTGATGGCCGGTTGCAATTTCTAGAGAACTTCGATAGGAATGTTGATGGCCCGAAACTGTTTTTTGTAGATGCAAAGGCTTGGCAAATCGGCTCGTCGCCCACCACCGGGATCTTCCAATTAGCTGCCTCGAAAGGCAATAGTAAACATGCACTCTGATTGGACAATTACTTCTACTGGATTCGGCAAGGATGAGCAGCAGGAATGTGATTCTGAAATGCCCCCTGCAGCTCACATAATGTACCCACTAATGAATTCCGCGTCACTATCCATCAGTGTGGGGAGAAAATCTACTTCCTCAATTAGGCACATGTACCAAATGGAGAAAAAATCCTAATACTGAAAACTACAAGTCATGGGGGACGTGGGCATGTCACACACTTCCCCGCTCAAAAGATAGCAGATATAAAGCACCACAGCCATCGAGTTTGGGACTGAGTTCGAATCCACACATACGATATCATAAATCTCCAGTTCTCAACACGAAGTTACAAGATAACTTCTCAATTGATCAAACTATGTCCGAAAGTTGGTCACCCATTTTAAATCTCTGCATTCTTTCACAATGCTAATGAATTTTCAGACTCTCAAAATACCACTGAACATAAAGAGCCCTTCATAAAGAGGATCTTCGAGCATCATCACGAGCACAAGCAAGAAAATTCTTCTCAAGGTGACGACAAGGACGGGGCACCCAGTCACGAGGGCAGGTTGAAGACCTATGAAAATGATCTGAAAAAGGACCTAAAAAAGGACGAGGAAGGGCTCCAAAAGTACTACGAGGAAGATAAGATGCTGGAAGAAGAAGGGAAGACCTACGGCGGGTTGATGTAATCCTGGGACCCGCTCTAGCCCATGCGGATGAACTCAGTAGGCATGGCTCTAGCACGTGTCAGAGTTGAAGTATCTCGGGAATAGTACTCATCAAAAATGAGCTTTCTAATCGCCAGTCATAGGAAAGTGTGTGGTTTGGAAAAGGCTCGCAGTAATCGGCTCCACAAATGATAAACCTTTTTTTATATTTGATTAAACGGATAAAAAAATGAAATATAAAAGGTTAGTATATATAGATGTTCTAGAAACTGGCATCCTTAATTTCCGTGCATAGATGACAACAGGGAGTCGGGTGTCCATCCGTCATCGACAAAAATCATATTCCCCCTTTCTTCTGAAGAGTAGAACAGATTCAGAAGGCATTTTTCAATTCCTTGACGTGCCTCCAGGCTTAATGTACCGAGAACTCTGACCAATTCCACGACGTAATTGACCTTGAAACCCCCATTGTCGCACGTCTTCAGACTTTGATATAAAAGAAGACGTAAGTTGTGAACGGAATGACTCCATGCATCCCGGGACTCTCTCAGGGCCGTGTCCAACATGGTCAGTGTATTCGACGCAGCAAGCAGCTCAGGAGTGTCCTCATATAGAAGGGATATAGACTCCTGCAACATGACACCGATAGAAAACAGACACTCCAGCACTTCATCTTCCAGTCCGGGAGAATACGAGCCATGACAAGTAGTCTCAGTGGAGGGCTGAAAGTTGTCAAGTAAAAGCCTGATTGCAGTATGGAGAGACGCGAAACGAGACAGTCGGACTTCGTAGAACGACCCCATGAAGGTTCGCAAATCCTGGATAAAAGATAGTAACCAAAGACAGCGAACCTTTTGGAAGTCGAGAGATAGGAAGTCTGGATGGGCGTTACGAAATTGCGGGGGGTGGGATATTTCTTCGAGGTTGTTCGTGGACACGAACCATGACGGTTTTGACATTAGAGAAACGCTTTAGATTGCATCAGTCGTGCCACTCTACAATCCTGAACCTGCACAGACGGGACTTTGACTCACAGATAGACGACAAGTTCCAACCGCCAGTTGTCACGTAGTTCCTCAACCCCGCCTCTGGCCTCAATCATTCTCTGCAAGCCGTCGCGGTGAATTTTCCATTCTAAATCAGTACCCCAGTATCTCTAGATATATTATAATCAGTCATTTTCCTGTGAAAGAGCAGTGGAAAAGCCTGAACTGAGGTACATACCTCAAATGTAAGAAGGCGAATAACAGCAGCGAAAGCGTCATCACTCAGCTCTTTCTCAGGATCAACCAGCCAAGAGCGTAGTATTCTCACTGCCTCTGCTTTATACTTTAACGCATCCGAGGACTTTGTACCTCGTCGTGGAGATGTTCCGGTATAGAGGTGAGCTAGGTGGGCGGCAGAATGTGCCATGATGCAGTTAAAAGATGAAGCATTAGACAGATCTAGGGGAAACCAGACGTCCTTCATTGGATTGAACTCAGTGGCATCCAGATCTTCAAACATCATCGCTGCGTGGGTGCATATCCCTAGGATCCAGTAAGCTAGTTTTCATCCTCATGTTCACTCTACCTTCTGATACATACAATGGTGTAAAAGTTTCTGGTGCTGACTTGTGAGGCGGACAGGACACGTTTGAAATGGATCAGGCCGCGAAGTCGAAAGAGCACGGGTAACACCGCACAAAAGCTGTGCCGCAACATTAAGATCTTTCTCCCTGTTGTCGCCCGATTGGTCCTTTAGCCACCCAGGAGAACTATCTGTAGTGTTGTCTTGGCGATGGGAGGCATCTCCGTTCCGCTCAGAACGTGGAAGCAGTTTTCGAGACGCTCGTCTATGATGGGATTTTGTCTCTTGCTTGCGTCTATTCCGCTGCTTCCAGTGCTCACGCATAGCATGACTTCGAGATTCCGACTGGCTGTTCGCGTTCACGAAGGCGAATTGACGGGGTTCACTGGAGGAACTAGAGTCTCGATTAGACATGATTTCCGTTTGGCCATGAGGCCGATGGAAGGAGAGCCCAGATTTCTGTGTGGCAGACCGTGGTGGATGAAATTGTGACCCGAAGCGAACCACCTAGATCACATGATGCGCTGAACACGCATATGGTGTGTCTTCCGTGGGTGCTCGTGCCAAAGCCAATCGTACCAGTGACCATGGAACCCTTTACACTAGTCGCCCGGCGGCACACCAATGACATTCCTAGATTTAAGTTCATTCAGCCCTAGCGTCGTTATTGCTTGCTGTACAGGTCACAGCCAACACAGCGATTTTTATCGCGTTCACATAATATTCGGCCGAAATTCGACTTCCGCTTGAAAAAACCATTCTTTAAATAATGGGTGACAGACTGTGTGCCCAATTCCAAAGACCACATTTCTTCCCTACTACAAATTTAGTTCTCCTCAAAGCTACGGTCTAATTGAAGCATTCAGACGTCATTTAATTAGGTCCCTCAGATCTTTCAAAAGTAGCTAATAATGGCCAAATCCCGCTGGATTCCATATAGTACTAGCCAAGGCCTGTATGACCGAGACACCATTCCAGGCCTAAGTCTGTATGACAGAAAATCGAATTCTGGTTTACACTAGTAAACCCCCTTCACCAGTAATGCAGAGAACTGAGGATCAAAAGGCTGTTCATTCTGTCGAGTAATTCTACACCTATTTATCAATAGATCGGATTACTACCAATGGCCCTAGTGCTGGATGTATCGAGTGGATGAATCAGTCTGTTGGAATCAGGTGACGCGTATCAAGGATGTTGACACTATATCAGTACCCTCATCAATCCTTTCATTTGCTGATTACTAGATGCCGGGGGCACGGAAAAGTAGTCTGGCAACCTCAAGAGGCATTGATTGCTGTCTCTGTCTGTTGTTGCACCTTTGATCCGAGACTTTGGTTGACGCGTGCGAAAAGACCTTATTTCACGTTAGAGCCAGACTTGGTGGGAAAAAGGTATACGTACGATAAACTGCCTGGCGCAACTCAGCGCTTTTGACGCCCTTGAGGTGGGCGGCTACATTCCCAACGAGTCTGTCTTGGTGGCCAGGTTCCCGCCCGATGACCTCCCACAATGCGGCAGGCTGAACAAAATCCTCATCTGTGATGTGGCTTGTATAATTCAGAACCTCTCCCACCCACTTTTCGTGGTCAGTGTGTAGGCTCAATGCAGAAGGATTCGTTCCTTTCACTTCTGGGTAGAATTTGGTCGGTTGAAGGGAAGAGCCCACATAATTGGGGTCAGCGCCATAGTTGTCATCGAACCTCATCTTTCCATCCCTCTGGAAAGGACAATACACAGGGGCCTTTGCGGCATTTGTGGGAAGCTGCTGGTAATTGACGCCTAGCCGGTATCGTGCGGCATCAGGATACGCAAACAGCCGAGCTTGTAGAACTAAATAAAACTCCGTCACAAACTATTCCCTCGGAACCAAGTCAATTTGACTATTGACTTACCTGGATCAGCCGATGATGAAAAACCCGGCACCATCGTGGACGGAGAAAACGCAGCCTGTTCGATATCCGTGAAATAATTCCGTGGCTGCTCATATTTGTCAGAATGCAATGAACCCAATTCATAAAGATTAGTGAGGGGACTTGCATTGCGGTTCATGGTCAAACGTCCAATCTGCTGCAACGGGAAATCTTTGTGAGACCAAACCTTGGTCATATCAAAGATATTCCAACGATAGTTCTCCGCCTGTTCGGGACTCATAAGTTGGACATAAACATTCCACACAGGATAGTCGCCCTTTTCGATAGCCTCGAACATGTCCTGAATCAAATGATCGGGGTTTTCTCCGGAGACTTTGGTTGCCTCTTCCCTGGTGAAGTTTTTCACTCCAAGTTCTGTTTTGATGTGGATTTTTGCGTATTTGAAAGAGCCGTCCTAGATGGTCATGGCAGTTAGCAACATCAGCTATAATATTGATATTTTTCATGTCTCACTGGCTTGGTGAACTTGTAAGTGTGTCCACTGTATGCATTCATGTGGCGAATCGATTGTGGAGTGCCGCGATCGCTAAAGAGATGTAGTAGCTCATGTATGCCTTCTGGGTTGCCGACATGAAAGCTGAAATGGGTTAGACTTTCTCACAACTGTGCATAACGGGGCCAAAAGCGTACTCCCAGAACTGGTGAATGTGATTAGCCATATTCATAGATGATTTCTAATGGGAAGCCCTACCATGTTCGCATCAGGAAGATGGGTCTGAGGATGCCTCTTATGAGATCGATTCAGAGACGGAAACTTGATCGGGTCACGAATGAAGAAAATGGGCTTTGGACATGAGGCAATTAGAGCTGTCTCTATTTGAATCTCCAAATAATCACTGTATCGACTCACTGTATTGTTGAAAACCCAGTCCAAATTGCCTTCGTCGGTGTAGAGTTTCATTGCCCAGCCATGAACATCACGCGCCGTATCAGCAGATCCTGCCTCCGGTCCAACAGTCGACACTCGTAGAAGCACCGGTGTTTTTTTCCCGGCTTTGTTCAAGAAACTAGCGGAAGTGAAATCGCTGCAATCACGGGTGGCTTCGAATTCACCGTAGGCTCTGCAAGACCTGTCAACTCTCCTCATAAATCTCCATAATGTCCATCAATGATATCTTACCCAACAGCTTTGGCATGGACGACCCTATCAGAAAGTTAGCATATGGTGGGAGAACCACATTATCCTTCAAATTCTGTATAACGATCTCTTACCGCTCTGGGATTCTTTCTCGCGAGAAATGGGCAAGTGTCTCGATGAGCTGAGTATCTTGAAGCAATCCCAATCCACCGCCTGCCTTGTTTCTCAATAGAACAGCGGTGCTGTTGCTTGCAAAAGGGCAACCTAGTTAAGGTCAGGAGGCTCCAGACAAGGCTTGTTGGTGAGAATCATCTTACCCTCGGCTAAGGTGTAATACTTTTCCATTTTGAAAAGAAAGTCAACGTCAAAGGTGTTTGGAATAGGTAAGCGCGACAGGGAAGATCGATTATGTCTGCAGGATTTATTTGATCAGCGTATCCTCTAGGGTTTATATATTCTTCAAATCAGTCTGAATTTGATGTGTCACCACATGACTAGTCTATAGTCCTTTCCTTTGTATTCTTTGGCTATTGCCTTAGAATTACGTCGACACTCATTGGAGCCCAAGACCCACGAGTGGACGCAAGCCGGTCCAAATCTTGACGCAATCGGAGTTGCTGATGTCTAAAAGTCGGAGTCGAGGGATCATCTATGCGTTGCCATAGTGGTAGAGGTGACAGCATGCAACTCGTATACCAGCGATATGTGCGTTAATTTCCCGCAGAAAGAAGCATCGCAGTCATGTGAATTCGTGATCTGATTGGCTTAATACCATTACCCAATTCGTGCTCTGCATCAACCTTCATCCAGACCCACACGTGGACCCACAGTGGCTTAACCCGAGTTGTTTGCATGTTACCAAATTCAGGCAGTGCTTTGAATTTCTTACAATGTCGATCAACTTCCTATCTTCACATCTAATCCACTTCCACAATGTATATCGCGAGGGGCCTCTCTTACTCAAAACAGTACCAGTACCAATCCAGGTAGTTCTATCGAGGTCCTGATGTGGGCCGGACATGATGTTTGACACGGAAATCCCTCAGCCCATGCCTGAGAATCCCAATATAGAGCAACTACAAGACCAATGGCAATTTAGTGGCTTGAAAGAACCAGCATGATGAGGTCTTCTCTGTGCAAGCCCCGCACTATCTAACCAAGATTTTGACCGGATAGCTCCAAGTCTATGGCGCTAGTTGGAGGGGCAGACAAGCCTGGAATAGTTACTCTGAATCAGCCGGGAAACCGCAGAAAGCCGACCGGCTTCATATATAAAAGCCCGTGTAATCAATTGACATATCAGTTCTAAATCTTTTGATCATTCTCTTTTCAACTCCTTCCAAAACGCTTTTACTCCTATAATCCTCGATATGTCTGTACAGGACAATGCTCGCTTTGACTTTATTGTCGTCGGTGGTGGCACCGCCGGCAACACTGTCGCTGGCCGCCTTGCTGAGAACCCTAATGTAAGGGTTCTTGTCATCGAAGCTGGAGTCGGTAACTCCAAGGATATCGAGGAAATTCGGACTCCTGCGGAGGCAATGGAGCTTCGAAACAGCAAGTACGACTGGGCCTATAAGACTACCATGGTCAAACGTGATGACTATGAGCGTATTGAGAAGCCCAACACCAGGGGAAAGGCTCTCGGTGGTAGTTCATCTTTGAACTATTTTAGCTGGGTTCCTGGATCCAAGGGTACCTTTGATATGTGGGAGGAGTATGGTGGAAAGGAATGGACTTGGGATCCTCTTCTCCCTTACCTCCGGAAAAGTGCTACCTACCATGACGACGAAAAGGCCTATCCAGCGGAGCTCAAGAAAATCGGCGCTGGTGGCCCTATTCCGATCTCTCACTCTGCGCTTATCCCGGAGATGAAGCCTTTCCGTGACCTTCTCACCAGAGCTTGGAAGTCCACAGGGCAGCCGATCACCGAAAACATCTTCGATGGAGAGATGATTGGCCTGACCCACTCGGTCAATACGATCTACCAGGGTCGTCGCTCAGGTAGTTTCCTATGTGTTACGGACAAGCCTAATATCACAATCCTTGCGGAGGTGCAGTCTAAGCGCCTGATTATCGACAATGCTGATCGCACTTGTAAGGGTGCTACTGTGATTACAGCTTCTGGACAAGAACTGAGCTTTTACGCTACCCGTGAAGTCATCGTCTCGCAGGGTGTTTTTGAAACGCCTAAATTGTTGATGTTGAGCGGTATTGGCCCTAAATCAGAGTTGGCCAAGCACAACATTCCCCTGGTTGTCGACTCGCCCCATGTTGGTCAACATCTCTTGGATCACCCGGGTGTTCCCTTTGTCCTTCGTGTCAAGGATGGTTACGGCATGGACGACTACGTTTTGCGCAAGGGCAATCCGAAGCATGATCAGTCTCTGAAAGCTTACACCAAAGGTCATGGTGGCCCCATGGGCTCTGGATTCCTCGAGATGATTGGCTTCCCTCGAATTGACAAGTACTTGGAAAAGTCTCCCGAGTACCGCGCCGCAAAGGCTTCCAACAACGGCCTCGATCCATTCTGTCCGTACGGCCAGCCCCATTTCGAGCTTGACTTTGTCTGCCTATTTGGTAGCGCTTTCCAATGGCATTATCCGACTCCAAATAAGGGCGACTATATCACTGTGATGGTCGATCTCGTCCGCCCTGTCTCTGAGCCTGGCGAGGTCACCTTGAACAGCGCCGACCCGCTGCAGCAACCGAACATTAACTTGAACTACTTCAACAATGACCTCGATATCATCGCCATCCGAGAAGGTATCAGATATGCCTACGACGTTCTGAAGAATGGTGATGGGTTCAAGGACATTATTGTCGACGAATATCCTTGGGAGATGCCATTGCATGACGACGACTTGATGAAACGAACTGTGTTAGACCGTTCTCAGACCTCATTCCACCCTTGCGGTACTGCCCGCCTGTCCAAGAGCATTCAGCAGGGAGTGGTAGACCCCAATCTCAAGGTTCATGGTCTCAAGAACCTTCGTGTTATCGATGCATCTGTGATCCCCGTTATTCCAGACTGTCGGATCCAGAACTCAGTTTATATGATTGGCGAAAAAGGTGCGGATGCGATCAAGCGTGATCATGCAGACCTCTATGTTTAGTGGGGGAATGATATGATCGTTTAGTATTGTTGAACTCGTTAGATGTTTCTAGTCGATAGGCGACACAATTTGGAATGTAACTTGATGATCTCCTTGCCGCATGGACCCCATGAGATGTAGTTAGATTTAGTCAGTCTTCCTCGATTGACAAGTTTCCTTGTTGCTTTCTTTTTTCTTTTTTTCGTTCAACTCCGCACAGTATGTTTTATTGATTTATGGTAGAGTCCAATTTATATATGAGGAAAAAGAGATGAGGTGCGTCCCACGACCAGCTGAGGCCATTCATACAGAGAGAATCTGACTTAGAACAAGATACGACGCAAGGATCATCACCTTCGGCCATTAATCAGGATGATCTTATAACAGGAAATCGAAACGAGTTCTGTGCCACCGCTATGGCTGTCAAGGGAAACAAGTCAGGTAATACTAACCCGCCAATCATTTCTTAGACTCAGCGGCTCCTATCCACTCGTAAAGCCAGTTAACAATAGCAGAAACGAGCGTCATTGATTATTTAGAATATTAATTTTGATCTGCAGAAAAAAGATGATCAATTGGGATACACCTTCAGGTAGTGCGACGGTTTAGAAAAAACTGCCGCCTGAATTATAATACTTTGATTACAACGAATACTAGTGCGTACCAAGTAGGAAGCACTGGTCTCAATCATAAGACATTTAAATCCGACATCCTGAATAAATTAATGCCAGTCACTTGTATATCTAGCACATTAAAATATATAGAATTTCGTGTGCCCGCAAGAGGTGTATACATGCCATAGAAGTATGTCAAGATCTAGCTTTGATAGTAGGACATCTTTCCAACAAATATGTCAAGACAGTACAGGCGGAGTTATTTCGGCCAGAGCTCGGTTGGAGAGTTTATTGTAGAACACAGTCTACGCAATTGTGATAAAGGGTCATGATTTGGCATTCTAAAAAGTATAAGTATTAAGCCCTTGTCTCTCTGTCAGATAAAAGAAAAATAAACCAAGTCTACCCGCCCCCAGCTCATCCTTGACAATTGTTTCCTTGCCTGCTATTTCTCAAAGCCCTCTCCGCAGAATGAATGAGACAAAGTCTACCAACGTCAAGGAGATGAAGGATTCACCATCTTCTACAATTTCATCACGCTTCAAGAAGCTCATTGAAGATGTTCGGAAGAAATGGGCGCCTCTTCTGCAAGCCAAAGAGGATCTGGATGATGAGTACAATTTTGAACCCGGCAGATACGCCGGGCAGGATGATACAAAGATAGTTCCAAAATAGTGAGTACTTTAATCTTCATAATTCTCATGGGGCTTTTTTACCTAACACACACTTTGCAGACGTCTTGATCATCGGTTGGAGGAAATAACCGGGGATGTACCAGAAATTCAAAAGTTGCATAGGACAAAAGAGTTTCATAATATTGGAATAATGGAATTGTGTTCAGCTCAGACTTGAATAAGAAGCATTTCTACCGTCAAATACAGCGCAAAAAATTTCGATCGATCTCTTACTAGACTGATTTGTGTAGATAGTTGGACTCTCTTCTCTCCTCTCTGCTTCTTTCCTTCTCCAACTTGAAACTCCCGTCGTCCATAGCACTCAAATTGATTGCTTTCATAGTTCTCGTTCTTGATCTGGCGACCGTCAACCCGGCCTTGCTACCATCACCAGCTTCTCTAAGCTCAGTCACACCCACGAACCATGCTCCGATATGTTTCCAAAAGTTTACACATGGGGGAGGACGAGATCATATTCGCGCGGCAAAGGGGTGGCTGATGTCTACAAAAGATTGCGCAATCTCTAGGAAGACGCCAATCATCAATTTCGAATAGAATTTCGGTACAGATGATCCTCACTCTTTACATGTTATATTGCTGAGGATCTTTGCAATTCCTGAAGAGCCTGGCCGCGACACGCCGAAAGCTTACACAGACCGAAGAAGCGCAACCCCTGACGATATTGTTGAGAAATGACCTTTCTTTTCCCCTTCCTACCATCTTTCTATCTGTATCTTTTCTATCGGCGAGACGTCCGTAGAGTCGTTTTTTCTCTTCTTACTCTCTTTTTCTCTAGTTCTTTCAGTGTTGAATATCTACCCAGTTACAGTCATCGAAATGTTCCTAGTAGGCGGTTACTGATCAATAGAGCGGAATGTTCGGGTACACCAAGAGATGATGGAAGAAGCTGAGATTCAGAGAACCGCCGGCGGGTGGCGGCTGTACTACGAGGAGTGGACATCAGGGTGGTAATCCCTTAATTATGAGTTGTTGTCCTGGTCCGACAGGATATTTTATAGCTCGGTTGTTGCACCGGGATGTGAGGTCATGCCGGAGTCGGAGTCATTGAAATCATTGTGGGGCGCGGGGGGTTACTATGTAAGGTCACTGTAGAACAGGCGATACCTATCCAAGCTGGAGGCAGGAACCTAGCCCTCATTTGCCCTCTGAAGAAGATTTCCTCGGCCACTTTTGGTTTCCCATAAATTGCCCACCGCCAACACCAGCACCGTCCACACCATCCGTCGCAAAATGAGCTCATCCAGCTCCCCCCAGGTGGAACCCCACTACGCAAGGCTCTTCGCCGAGCTTGAGCAGCGCTTTCAATCAACCAAGCTGGGCAACGACAAATGGTTCATCCTGGCCATGTCAACGCTCGTCGCGGGGCCCGACCCCCAACGCGCCGACCAGCTCTATCTACACCTAATCAACCAACCCTCCTATACAACCTCTAGCGCACGACAAGCCCTCGTCCGGCGGCTGCGCGAGGCTCTTGTCAAGGCCGTCCCCATCGTCGGGGTGTGCAAGCCCATCGAGTCCATCCTGGCCATTAGCAAAGTCGAGCGCGACGAAGATAAGGACTACACCTCTACGCGTGAGGGCTGGCAATGCGATCAGGCTAACCATGACCGCGGCACAAATTGGTTCCAGAAGCTGTATGCCCGCGACTCCAACAATACATTGGATATGTTCGCCTCGCACCGCGATTTCTCTTGGATATCCACCGAGATCACTTATGGCTTGTTTCTGTCGGATCGCCAGGTGCTCGATGATGTGGATACCGAGCTAGTGGTTACAGCTGGGATCATGAGCCAGAATTTGCCAGTGGAGAGCCATTGGCATATTCGCGGGATGAGGCGGTTGGGGATCCCTAAGGAGGATGTCGAGGTAGTTTGGGACTGTGTACAGCTTGCGGTCAGTTTCTTTGGTACCAGGATGGATAAGGTGCCGACGGTCGAAACGGTTGAGCCAGATGTTTGAAGCGTAGAAGTATATAGAGGCGGCAAGAGCAAAAACAGATCACATTCTCGAGGAATGATAAATTTTCCTACTTCAACATTGCCTGGTATCTGGTTCAATATAGAATCTTTTTATCGGTTTAATAGTAACAACATTGAACGCACTTCAATAACTACTTCGCTGTCACTCAATTGATAACGATAAGCAAAAAAGTTCGAAAGCGGTCGGCCCAAACCACTTCCTCTTCTTCACCTCCCACCACTCCCCACTCCCCGAACAACCATGGGAAAGCGAAAAGAACAACCCGGCGACGTCGCCATGGGCGGCACCCAGCCTCCTGTAGGTGACGACGAATCCGACGAAGTAAGCGCTGTTCCAATGCCCCCAAATGGAGCGATCGGACTGCTAATCGCAACGCGGCCCCAACAGGACATGGACATGGTGAACGTCGACTTTGAATGGTTCGATCCGCAGCCTGCCGTCGACTTCCACGGCCTCAAGAATCTCCTGCGCCAGCTCTTCGACGCCGACGCCCAGATCTTCGACATGTCGGCGCTGGCGGACTTGATCCTGTCGCAGCCATTGCTCGGGTCGACGGTCAAGGTGGATGGGAACGAGTCCGATCCGTATGCGTTTCTGTCCGTACTGAATATGCAGGAACACAAGGTAGTCTGTTCTTTATGAGCGTGTCTCGTTCGCAATGCTGACCCTTCCAGGATAAACCTGTCATCCAGGACCTGATCAACTATCTCAAAACCAAATCCGCAACGAACCCATCCCTCTCCGCCCTCCACTCGCTCCTCTCCCAAACCCCCATCCCGCCCGTCGGCCTCATTCTCACTGAGCGCCTGATCAACATGCCCTCCGAAGTGATCCCGCCCATGTACAACATGTTGCTGGAAGAAGTCGCCTGGGCCATTGAGGACAAGGAGCCATATACCTTCACGCACTACCTGATTATCTCCAAGAACTACGAGGAAATCGAGTCGAAGCTGGACCTCGAGGAATCGCGGCCCCAGAAGAAAAAGAAGAAGGGCGGCGCCGACCACCGCGAGCGGTTTTACTTCCACCCCGAAGACGAGGTGCTGGAGCGGCATGCGGTGTGCTCGGGTTCCATTGAGTACACGCACAAGCAGGACGAGGGCCACGCGGACTCGAAGCGCGCGTTCCAGGAGCTGGGCATTCGGACGAATGGGAGCTTGACCCTGATTGAGGCGGCCAAGTTCGAGGGCGCGGTCAAGGCTGTGACGGAGTATTTGCAGCCATCATGATAATCGCTGATTGACGAAACAATCTCTACTTTTTTGATTGTTCATTCATACATAGCTCTATAGAGAGATCCCAAAAAAAGATTTTCATAACTTAATGACGATGATTACTCCCATTGGGTTCCCTTCAGCCGCTGCATAAGATAGTCCACCTCGACGATCTTGGTCAACGGAATCACACATTCCTTGTACACGGCCACGACAGCATCGACGTTGATCTTCTGTGAATTCTCGTCGGGAAACGCAGGATCCGTGCCATACGTCTTCGCCTTGAGCCCCAGACGCTCAAGCACCTTCTGCTCAACGCGCGAATCAGTAATAGCAGCATCGATGCCCTTGCGATCCCCAGCCTTGATCAAGCGCACAAAGGTCTCAGGATCCTTCTGAAACTTCGATTCGGCGACAAACTTTCCAAAGTGAATGCGCCGCGACAGCGCCTGCAAACAGGCCACATCGCAGGTCGCCGCCGACCCGTAGTTCTCCTGCGTCTCGCCGCGGTCTTCACGGCCGAACTGCGGGCATACAGCGGGCAGGACCTCGTTGATGTAGCGCTCCTTGATCACGGCGTTGACGTTGACGTCGTTGTCGTGCAGGATGCGCGGGTACTGCAGCGGGGCGAGGATGGGGGGTTCGAGGGCGTCGGAGAAGAAAGGGTATTCATCGGGGGACTCGTAGCGCCGCACGCGGGATTGGAGCCGTTCTTGTTCCCGGAGGAGGTAGTCCATTAGACTGAGGCTGCTGTTGGGGATTGTAACGCCATTGGGGACGTAGATGGTTTTGTTAAGTGGAAACTGGACTCGCTCAATTAGGTGGAAGGTGATTGTATCCTCGAGTCGGCTAGAGAGAGTCGAGGAAGGTGAGGCAGTAAGCAAGAGTTCGTGATCGTGTTAAGTGGACAGCGGGGGGGGCCCGTTGGAGAATATGGGGGAAGGGTGTCGAGGTGTAGATGCTCACATTAGTTGGAATCGGATGTTGGCAAGGTCCAATGCCTTGGAGGCATCGGATAGGTCAATGGCGGTGTCCATGGCTGGCCTGGGAGGAAGGTGAGGAGGGAAGAAGCGATGTCGGCGAGGATGCTTGTTAAACACACGCCGAAGGGGCAACCCGAGGGCCTTGTTTCAACGGTGGGTTATTTCTGCAGGATACAGCTAGTAGGATGCGAGGGTGTCTTTCTTGAAGAGCAATAATTAGTTTCAAGAATATTCTCTTTCCTTCATTGTATAGAGTCAAATACAGCTCTATGCTCTGTCCGTCGGTACCGCGGTAAAATACCCGTATTGCATCTCGTGCACCACTGATCCCGAACACTCCCCTTCACTCTTCTTCTCCGTCTCTCCCCAGTGAAACATGGAGCGTCCTCGTGATGACTCGCCCTCAGGCCTGTCCGACATTGCAGAGGGCGATGGCCTTCTGGGCACCGGCCTCACCGTACGCATTGATTCTGTTCCCTCTCGTCATTCCAGACCCAGCTGACTGGGAATTGATAACCACTTCTAGACCCGACATATCGAAGCATTCGGCCGCAAAGTCACCTCGACAGCAGGGCATTTAATGGGACCGAGCGACCAGAACCACGCCAGCCACTACCACAACGCCATATCCGACATCCATCGCGAGCTGAGGCGGCCACACACCCAGCGCAAGGTGTTTTCCCTGACGCAAACGACTCCCACCGACCTGGTGCGCTCGAAGCTGTCCACCACCGAAATCCAGTCCCGCGCCCTCTCCTCGCTCCCGGATGGCCTCCTCGCGGACCTCCCCGAAGATACCAGCTCCTACTCCCTCTTCCAAGGCTTTCAGGCCTCTCTCCCCGAAGATGAACGCGAAGCGCGACGAACCCATCGCCGACGCGGCTCAAAGGCGTCAAAACTTTTGAAGGACAGCGAGAAGGGCGGGTCCTTGACTGCTGGCCCGACGACTTTGAAGGACGAGCGCGAAAAGCTGAGCCGCCGGTTGGAATTAATGGGCGTTCGCAAGAATATGTGCAGCGCTGAGATCCACGAGATTGATCACAAGATCGCCAACCTAAACAACATGCGCAAAATTGTTCTCGACCGATTGGCCGGCCTAGAGCGGGATGAAGCGGATTTGGAAGCAGAGCGTGAGTCGTTTCCTAGCCACGACAAACGATGTATATCTGACTCGAATGGAACAGTCACGGAGATCGATAACAAGTTGGAAGACGAGACACCAGAGCCTTCTGTTTCTGCCGAGGATGCGACGCCTAAGACTTCAGAAGCCCTGGATGATTCTAGCACTTCGGGGGACCCGGCTATGGATGCATCTTTCATGTCCGAATCTATTTATGAGAAACTGCCTTCTCCGAGAAATTTAAGGCATCGATCGATAAGTAAGGATTTGGTTGCATGTGGCTGAGTTTCAAATACTTACAATGGACAGGGAAACGATCCATGCCAATTCTACACGAACATTTCGCTCCGGGTTCTCTCATCAAGGAGATCGAGGCTCACACGGACATGGTCACCGCCATCGATTTCGACTTTCCTTTTGGCACTATGGTTACGGCCGCTTTAGATGATACTGTCCGCGTTTGGGATATGAATGTTGGCCGGTGCTCCGGATTTCTGGAGGGGCATCATGCCTCGGTTCGCTGCTTGCAGGTGGAAGATAATATTGTTGCCACTGGATCTATGGACGCGTCCGTCCGACTATGGGATCTGAGTCGTGCACGGCCGTCGACTCGAGATGGACGTCTTAACAAACACGAGCGCGACGATGAAGAGGCAAAGCCCGAACATACGTCACCTGTGCCGCCATCTTCGAATTTGGAGGACTGTCATGTGTTCTCACTGGAAGCCCATGTCGATGAGGTGACCGCTCTCCACTTCCGTGGCGACACGCTCATCTCGGGTTCCGCAGACAAGACACTCCGACAATGGGATTTGGTCAAGGGACGCTGCGTCCAGACCCTGGATGTACTATGGGCGTCTGCCCAAGCTTCATCGATGACTACGGGCGACAGCGGCTGGCGTCCATCGGGACGTCTTCCAGATGCATCTGCCGATTTTGTCGGAGCAGTACAGTGTTTCGATGCTGCCCTAGCGTGCGGTACAGCCGACGGCATGGTCCGTCTTTGGGATCTTCGCAGTGGCCAGGTCCACCGGAGCCTCGTCGGCCACACCGGACCCGTCACCTGCCTGCAATTTGATGACGTCCACCTGGTCACCGGCAGTCTTGACCGTAGTATTCGGGTAAGACCTTATTTACTTATCGCGTATTCCTATTTTCTAACATTCTCTAGATCTGGGACCTTCGCACGGGCTCCATTTACGACGCGTACGCCTACGACAAGCCGGTCACCAGCATGATGTTCGATGCGAAACGCATCGTCGCCGCTACGGGCGAGAACGTTGTCAAGGTGTACGATAAGGCCGACGGCCACCACTGGGACTGCGGACCAGGCGTGGGTGTCGACGATGAAGGCCCATTCCCCGCGACCGTTGAACGTGTGCGCCTCAAGGATGGGTATCTCGTCGAAGGGCGCAAGGACGGTACCATCGCTGCTTGGACGTGCTAGATATCCTCGATCACTTTGCTCGTGTTTGCGACCACTGTATAGTATTCTATTCCCGGTGCGATGAGTTGGATATAGCGATTGTAGTGGTAGACTCATGCACCCAATAAAACAAAGAATCTCCCAATAAGCGAATCAAAAAGAGTAGTCTGAAACGAAAGAGACAACAAGGCATAAAGAATAGATGAGATCGTGGATCACAATGAAAGGAGAACAAAGGGAGGTGTCCGTGACGAATGATTCTACAAAAAGGCCGCCGAGTCGTCGCCCTCCGCCTTCTTTTCTGCCTCTCCAACAATCACATCTTCACCAACACAACACCCCGTTCCCTCACTCCATCCGACTGCACCAGTCCTCGTGCAAGAAAAATTAATTGTTACATTGATTGATGTCAGGCAGCCTCTTTCTCTATTAGTGAGTACGTCCACCACAGTCGGCCGAATAGAACAGCGCGGGGCTGCGTTCACGCTCGCGCGTCTGCGCGTCTCATTTCGCGATCTACAACTCAGACCGGATTGAACCACCTGCGCTCGTCGGGGCTTCCCCAGGTAAGCTCTCTGCATCTTTTACTAGCTTGTTATCTTTATCGCTCCGGTCATCGTCCCTTGATTTCATCAACCTCTCAACTGCCCAATCTCTCCGACTCGTCTCTCACATTCTCCACGCAACACGGCTTCTTGTTCTGTTGCCTCGCGCCTGAGCTGCTTGCAGCTGAGCTCGCTGATAAAGTGTCAATTTAGCTTTGCCAGCTTTGATATCGTTCTTTGCGTATTCGTGTCAATACTCTTTTCTCTCTTTTGATCACTGGCGCATGCCCTGCTTGAATACATTCATCCGAATCAGAGCGCGAGCTGACCTACCTGGACCAGACGAGTGAACGCTTGAACTGAACTGAGAGAAAAGTCTTACGCACCGATGCCCCCTAAGCGCGCTGCGATGCGTCGCGGGGCGGGGCGTACCAAAGCATCTCCTTCGAGCCCAGAGAACTTTGAAACTTTACTCGATCTGTCACCCGGAATTCCTCTGCCTAGTGTTCCAACCCAAGCTGCTTTTAGCTACGGCGCTCAAGGCCCAACAGCTCTGCCGCGGCGCATGCGCATGGCGCCACGGAACATGAACCTCACGCAGATAGCCCGGTCGATTGATGCAGGGATTGACGCCGCTGAAAAGCGAAATCCAAGTCCACAGAAGAATTCGGACCAAGAAAACATCGAACCCATGGACACTCGCGCTGGACGCTCGAACAGCGTCTCACCCGTTCGTCGGCCAAAGCGCGAGCCGACTCCTGATCAGACCCAACTGCTGCAGTCCCTGCGCGATGTGACTGCCACCCCTCCACCTCCTGTTGCCCACACCGTCTCCAGCGAATCCAGTCCCTCTATTCCGCCTCCTCAGCTACGAATACAGCCAGATTCACCACTATATCCGTCACCATTGCAGCGAGCTGGATCTCCAAACCATGACATGCAGTTCGGAAGTACGCCTGATCGTCACGGATCTGTCGATAATGCCTCCGAAATTTCCTTCAACTTGGAGCGTGACATCCACGACGACGACTTACAGCGAACACGGCCAAGCAAGTATCGTGGCGAGCCACACGGTCGCAATATCACAGCACCTCCCCGACGTATTTCAGGCCTAGCTCTTGTCAACGAGATCATTGAGGAGGAGGATGAGCCTGAATCCGAGCCGGCGGATGATTCCGAAGAGGTGATTGAGCCTTCACCCTATCTTGCACCTGAACCCGAAGCCGAAGTCGAAACCTGGTCTGCGCCGGTGCGGACCGTGATTCCTCAAACATTCCGCACTGAGCCTGTCCATCCAAGTCCTCCATCCAGGTCTCCAAAGGAAGGTCTGATCCGTCCATGGCTTGAATCAATGCAACCCGAAACGCGTGGTGACGGTGAGGACCAACCCGTCTTGCACCGGAACAAATGGCTTAAGACAGCTGTTACTTTGCTCGTCTGCGTGTTTCTCGTGGCCTTAACAACCCAGAGCAGTCTTGCAGAAAAGATCCGCTCCTCACTATCTTTCGGTGAGATTCCCCATGCGGATTTCCCGCCCAACCTGCCAGAATCCGAGCTCGTCTCCGGCCTTCAAAACCAGGTGTCACGCATGAACGTCCAAGTATCATCCCTGTCCCGGGAACTGCGGTCTGCTGCAGAACCTTCTCGCGATCCGTCTCCAACCTACATCTCAGACCCCGTGGTCATCCCGCGGCAACCTATTCACAAGATCAACTTTCTCTCGGAAGCATTGGGGGCCATCATTGATCCAGGCAGCACCACACCAACCGCAGGCTCCAAACAGCCACTCTTGAAGCGTGTTTTTTTCAGCGTGTTCGGATTGACGTCCTACTTTCGCGGCCCCTTACCCCCGGCCGCGGCGTTGGCCCCGTGGGAAGACTTGGGAGACTGCTGGTGCAGCGCTCCTCGCGATGGGGTGACCCAACTGGCGGTGCATCTTGGCCGAGATATTGTGCCCGAAGAGGTGGTGGTCGAGCACATTCCCGCCGGCGCCGCTCTCGATCCCGGTGTCGCGCCCAAGGAGATCGAACTCTGGGCGCGATTCAAAGTTGTCCCGCTCGCGTTGCACAGTGAAGCGCCGACCGGGTCATCGTCTGGATGGCTTCCTGGATGGTCGTCCCGGCAATCCCGCCCGAGCGAGCCGGCTTCGTCGCGCGAGGAAGGACTCGGCGGCTACAACATCCCGGGCGAGAAATCGCTTCACGACGTGCTCATGAGCTCCCTACGCATGCACAACAGCGATGAACCCGAGAGTGTGTACTCGGACGACCCGATACTGGGGCCCAACTTCTATCGGGTCGGCCAAATGGTGTACGACATCCATCAGCGGGACCATGTGCAGCACTTCCCGCTCAACGTGATCGTGGACGTGCCGACGATCCGCGCTGACAAGGTGGTTTTGCGAGTGAAGTCGAGTTGGGGGGCGAACAATACGTGCATTTATCGGGTGAAGCTGCATGGGCATGTATAGTTCCCCGGTGTGTTTTCTTTGCGCATGATACCACGTCGGGAATTAGTTCCGGCATTAGATTAGCATCGTGGCAGTGGCGTTGGGAGGAGATAATTCAGACTACATACGACTCCGACTACGACCTAGCACATCCTCTGCCCTTACCCGCGTAGTTGCCCCTTCTTTGTCTGCTTCCCGTCCGGACTGCGTTCACTCCCGTCCATCCATACTTCCCACCGCCCACCCCGATGCGGACCCGCCAGCCATGACGAAGGCGGAACCTCCTCGTCTTTTCTTCCACTCACCTTCCCACGGTCACGAGGTCTTCGTGCAGCCATCCTCGTACCTTCGTCCGCAAATGGCCTCCGAGCGCGCAACCATTCAGCGGGAGGAGCGACAGGGCCTGGTGTGTTTGCCCTCCCCCCTCTGCACGGTCCCAATCGCGATTCTGACTGATCCGAACAGCGCGCCATCCGCAATTTCCTCAAGGTCCGCACCAGCTACGATGTGCTGCCGCTCAGCTTCCGTCTGATCATTTTCGACACCTCCCTCTCGGTCAAAGAGAGTCTGAACATCCTCATTCAAAATGGTGGCGTCCTCCCTCTCCTCTCCTCCCCTGTCGTCCGAATCCCCCGCTGACAATCCCGCATCTGGAGGGGCTCACTGCCCCCCCGTCGGGACGTACAGGCATCGTGTCAGCCCCGTTGTGGGACTCCAAGGCTTCCAAGTTCGCCGGTCTCCTGACCACCTCTGACTATATCAATGTCATCCAGTATTATTTCCAGAACCCCGCCGCGCTGGACCAGATCGACCAGTTCCGGCTGGATAGTCTTCGAGGTGCGTGTTCAAATTAATCGAGAGTGGTCACAGGAACCCAGGCACTGACGTGGATGGGCCGATAAAGAGGTTGAGAAAGCATTGGGTGTCGCGCCGCCCGAAACCATCTCCATCGACCCGGAGCGACCCCTCTACGAAGCATGCCGCCGCATGCTGGAATCCCGCGCCCGCCGTATCCCGCTCGTCACGGCCGACAGCCAGACCGATCGCTCCCACGTTCTCAGCGTCGTCACGCAATACCGCATTCTGAAATTTGTCGCCGTCAACGTTCCGGACACGCAGAAGTTGCGCCGGCCGCTTGGGGAAATCTTGCTGGGCAGTTATGACAATGTCGCGACAGCGTCAATGGATACGCCTGTCATCGACGTGATTCATATCTTGGTCGAGCGGAGCATATCTAGTGTCCCGATTCTCAACTCGGAGGGTATGTCTTCTTCTGGCCAGCAAAGATCCACACTAACGTCTCTGTATCAGGTGTCGTGTACAATGTGTTCGAGGCAGTCGATGTCATCACGCTCATCAAGGGCGGTTTCTACGACGATCTGAGTCTAACAGTAGGGGAAGCCTTGAAGAAGCGATCAGCGGTATGAGTACCCAAAAAGGCCGTTTCTGGCGTTTCGACTAATACGGACATGCAGGATTTTCCGGGTATCTACACCTGTTCCCTGAATGAGGGACTCGATACCATCTTCGACACCATCCGAAAATCACGGGTGCACCGTCTAGTCGTGGTGGACGAGCATTTCAAGCTCAAAGGCGTCCTAACCCTTAGCGATATCCTACACTACATTCTCCTCGAAGGAGAAAACGACGAGGCATGATCCGATTCACCGTGGGCCTCAACCCGTGTGCGCGGGCATCGGCTCTATACATATCCTATCTATTCTTGCATGGACTTGGCGTTTTTTCTTCTTTTTTTTTTGACTTCACCTCGGGATATTGCCTGAGAACGACCCGTCTCCTGCGTTGGCTTCTTCCCTATCTTTTTCCTTGGGGTCTGCAAATGTACAGAGATGATGACACGGGTTGGCTTCTTTCAAAGGCCGAGTGCGGGCGCTAAGATGGACAGAAATAGATTTCTATCAAGACTTTTTTGTGTATGAACGATCCTTCATCCCCGGTTGTGTTCTATGACTCCCGGGCGAGATCTCGGTCGGTCCTGCGTCTGCGAGGACGATGGCAGCATTGTCGCACACCCTTCCATTTATTATTAGTGAGAAGTGTATGGCGTAGGTTTTCCCTTCGCCTTGGCTCCAGGATAGCACCTTCCCTCGAGATGCACCCTCTTGCTATCCTAGAGAGCGTTTGGTCTCCCACCCGAATCTTTCCCATTGCAGACCACTTACTTGAGGACCTCCCATCCCTTTTCCGCCAGCAAATGGCATTCATTCTGGCGCTTTTCCGGTCTAAACCCAGGATCGACAAACCGGCCAAAGCTCGTCGCAACGGGGGTCGATTTAGCCGTTCACAACCCAGCGCAGCCCCCCACCATTCCCAGCAGATCGAGCCACTCACGAAGCTTGACTCGAATCTAGACAAAATCCAGATAGAACGAAGGAGCGGTGGTCACAGCCTTTACGAGACCAAGTCGATGGATTCCACCGAGCCATTTCCTCCACTGGTTGACGAAGGCCCAGATGAGCCTGCTACCATCCCTGCTGTCAATGGCGACCATGCGAGCGAGCTTCTTTCGCAATCTCAGCGTGGCTCTAAGCGACTTAGTGGTTTGAAGGCTCTCTTCCGTCAGAGTAAAGCATCTCAGGATCGAGAGTCTGTTCTTGGCACTACGGTGGATAACATCATTGACCAGCATGAATCCAGCAACGCGAACGCAATGGAGACCTCGTCGGAAAAAGACGGCTTTGTTGTCCTGTCTGAGAACGAAGCTCCTGCCGAACCTGAACGTGATTCTACTGGCGAGGCGCGGAGGGCTAGCTCTCAGACGACTCGGTCCAATGAGTCGAGTCACTCCAACATCACTGTCTGTCGGCATCCCTCGCAGCGTGACCCGACATCTATCCAGGAAATCTTCGATGAGGGCTGGATGTGGCCGAGTATTCTGAATTACACGCAGGAGATTGTGCATAGTCCAGAGCCATCTGACCCTTTCTCGGATTCGAAGAATGTCGATGATGCCACTGAACCCTCAGTGACAAGTGGAAACCGAAGCCAGAAAGCCTCTACGCAGAAATCTCTCCCGCTTGAAAACCTGCAGGTCGCTCTGCCGCTCCCTTCGATAGGAAATGATGGCAGCTCTCGCGCTGTTCCCAGCACCAATCGAACGAGCTCGGCCAGCAGCCACGCCAGTCGGACAACGCAAATCAGTCACCTTGACAGGAACAAGGCGACTGTCGCGTTCAATCAATTGGCGGCACGATTGAACCTCCACATCACAATACCGCACGAGGCGAATGGCCTGGAGGCTTTTCCATGTGCGTATACCATTTTGCTGCTCGTTTGGATCTGCTGACGGTCTTTGCCATAATAGTAAACGACGTCAAGTCCCCTGTCAACGAAGTCCATGGTGTGCCTCGACGCCGTCACGGACTGCTAGGCCGAGTCCGCCCAGTGCGCTCCGCTGTGGCACTAGCGACGACTGCTCGTCCCTCAGACCGAAAGCTGCGACGGACAAAGACATTCTCGAGCCTCGCGCGTCGTTCTGCTCCGATGAGTTCTCTGCGAGGCAAGTCAGTAGAAAGACTGGCTCGCCTCGGCGGCCATAGCTTTCTCATTCTACCAGTGAATCTGTCTCCGTTCCCTCTGCAGTTGCCCGCGTGCATCGTCGCGATGATGTTGTTTCTACAGAAATTCGGTCAGTCGGCCCGCCGTCCTTTACGTCAGAACGTGGATCACTAACGTGGCTTCTGGCAGGTCCCAACACAGCAGAACTGTTCGTGGAACCGGGGGATATCAAAGCTGCGGCCCGCCTCTATGACTATTTCGCCAGCCAGGTCCTCTTGGCGGAGAAGGACGAACCCAAGATCGCGCTGACGATGCGGGTGATTGCCATGCCACACTTGGAGACTCGTTCAGCTTGTACAGAGGCCGCGCCCGTGCTCAGTGTCTGCTGGGTACTCAAGAAATTGCTTGCGGGTCTACCGGGTGGGACCCTCGGGTCTACCCATCTGTACCAGACCCTGAAAGCCATCTATTTTGCCCCCCGCCCCCGAGGACCCATTGCCACACATGCAGAACTCCCTCGCCGCGCTCTCCCCGAAGACTTCCGCCCAGGTGCAACTGATTGCCCTGGCGATCACTGCGCAGACGAGTGAGATGCAGTGCGCCCTCATCTGCGCAGTGTTTGGACTGCTTACGGCCTTGGTTCATGAGACTGAGAGAACAGTCGAGCGCATGGAGCGCCAGCGGCAAGACGGGATTGCCGTTCCGGAGGATGTAGTGGCGGGCCTGCCGACTGTGGATGGCCTGGCACGGGTGTTTGGGCCGTTACTCCTCGGGGCTGATGGGCGGGCACGAGGCTCGGGTGCCGGAGTGGTTTTGCAGAGTGAGGTTGTGGAGCAGGAGGTGGAGGAGCAGCGCGTGGCGGAACTGTTGATTTTGAACTGGTGCAACGTGAGCCGCCAGCTGAAGTTGTGGGCGCGGTATGGGTATCCTGCACGGATGAGGATGCCGCCGCCGTCGGACGACTGAGTAGTTAGGGCTTCGTGGGTATTTTCTTTCTCTACCTGAGTACATATCTTAGTGGTGCATTATTAACTCCCGAATCCTTTGCTTCTCTCAAAAAGCCAGCTCTAGGTGTGTAGTTCCACTTGGCAGGATATGCAGTGCTCTGAGTGGACGGCTTTAGATCCCGGCACGCTACTCTGGTTCCTGTTCTTGACGCGATCCACCTTGTCTATAGTTCACTAGGTAGTCGGTGATGTCAAATGGGGTTCCGTAGGTTTCATTATGCTTATGCTTATGATGCTTATTATTTTCATGGTCTACTCTATCAGGCCTTCTTTCTCTTTCCTTGTTTCCCCCTCCCCCCAACCTCCTCCGCTTCTACCCATCTTCTCTCTGTATCACGTCGTTTGTGCCACCCTGCCACGCCCATCTTGCTTCTTCTGCTGCGATTCGTCCGGGTCTTCTGGGCCGCAGGAAGGGAAGCGCTGTCCGACCGTGGTTTTGGTCGACCGCAAGGCGCTTCTTCAGGCACCGGCAGTCCGACAACCCGTGGTTCTCTCCCTTCCTTCACCCTCCTAAGCCTCTCTGTTCGCCGGGTCTTGACGCCGCAGACTTTCTCGCCTGCGCATGATTGGCATGGTCCGCTTGTTTCGAGTCTGCCCAGCTTGAGTCCTCCATTTGTACTTTGTCTTGCTCTCCCCTCCTCTGTGATGTGAGACGCAAGACACAGAGACACAGAGTCCCACCTTCCCTTTTCACTGCTGACTGCACAACGCACACAACCCTTACTTACTACGCGGGGATTGAATTGGGCCATGTCTGCAAAGAGACCCAGAAACCCTGTTACCCTGCCTTCCTCCGATACCATCGTCCTCGGACGCCCCTCGCCCTGCCCCAAGGCCTTCCCCTCGGGTGACATCCTTGGACTGCCCATGATGGAGGACGACCAGCAGCTCTGGGACCTCAGCCCCGTCTCGCCGTCCATGGGCGGAGTCTGGGATATGAAAGCCGACGCTATGGCGTTTGCCAACTCGCTCGAGCGCGATCTCAAGAATGCCCAGGTGCGCAACGGCCAGCCGACGCCGCCGCCCTACGACGACCAGACCTCGGGCGAGGTATCCGCTATCCTCAACACAGACAACGCTACACAACGTCGCCGGATCCGTGAGGCCAAGGCCGCAGCTGCTAGTCTCAGTCCTGACCTCGACTTCGACGATTTGCCGCACCAGGAGCGCGCGAAGCGGGCTAAGTTCCTCGAGCGCAACCGCCTGGCTGCTAGCAAGTGTCGCCAGAAGAAGAAAGAGCATACCCAGCAGCTGGAGGTGCAGTTCAAAGAGCAGTCGGAGAAGAATGCGCATCTGCACAAAGAGATCCATGAGCTGAAATCGCAGGCGCTGAATCTCAAGAATGAGTTGCTCAAGCATGCTCAGTGCAACGACGAGGCGATCAAGCTCCACCTGTCTCACATGGTTAGCAAAATCACTGAGAATAACGTCGATCCCCAGGCCGCACAGGTTTCTGCAGCCCCGGCTGCGGTGGTGACCAATGTCTCTGCTGAGCTGCCTGATGCCGGCATTGTGCCCGTGGCCGAACCCGCTGAGGTGCTCCCGACTCCTCGTCCACCTGTTCCCACGGTCCTCTCGTTTGGCTTTGACGACCCGCTGCAGCTGGAGCCCGCTGCTGCCGCTGCTGCGGCGGACGCCTTTGAGCAGCAGCTGCGCCGTGACTCGGAGACTTCGCTCGATTCCTCTTACACCTTCTCTGCCGACGACACCTTTGACGACCTCATCAACGTCTGATGCTCCTCTTCTTCTTTTCTCTCATGTGATACGAATTTTGTCTTTTCTGTGGGGTGGCTAGCGATTGCGTTTTGAATCTGGACTTTGAAAAACCGAATCACTTGCCCTCTTTGATGTTTTGCGCGCGTTGGGATTCCTGCTCCCGAGTGAGTGCTAGGTTGGGAATGATGGGAATCATTGGCGTTTTCGGGGGAAGTATTGAATCACTGTGTATTCTGTTTTGTCTTTGTTGGTGCTCTGCTGGTTTTTTCTTACTGCTTATTGGAAGGCTGGCGGAATTTGCTTGTTCTATCCGGAAGTATTAGAGTCTGGTCGAGGTCTAGGGTCCACCCATGTGGGAATTTGCCCTAGTCAATCATCGGCCATTGTATGTTTTATCCTGTCAGGAATCAGTCAAGCTGAATACGAAAACAGAAAACTGAGGCTCTAAAAAGTGACATTCGCATCTAGCTGTCTAATCACATTTCTAACAATGCATCCAATGCATCTGTGGCAGGCCGTAGGAGTATGTACAAAACCCAGGATATATACAATCCAAAAAAGCCGTCCAAATATCTGAAAATCATTTGCGCGAACAGAAAATCCCACCGCGAAAGAAGTCAAGCCCGTCCGGCGGTTGACTCCTCAACATGCGTGTCGCTGGCTTTATCCATGGTAGACACCTTGGCAACGGAGATCGAGTCCGGTTCAGCATCCAGATACTGAGACGGGGAGTCAGCAGAGTACGACTGCTCATCGTCCCCCTCAATATTCTTGATAGACTGGCCGTCGAACATCTCATTGATCTCCTCTAGAGACTTGCCAACGGTCTCCTTCAAACAGAAGATGGTGAACAGAAAGATCAGCACGTCCAGCCCCCCGAACAGCAGGAACGTGCCCCAGCCGATGCCCGCCATGATGTAGGGCGTGGAGAAGCTCCAGACAAAGTTGAAGAGCCACTGAGCGCCCACGCCGAAGGCCACGCCGGGCTCGCGGATGCGCGTCGGGAAGATCTCGCTGGTGCAGGGCCAGGGCAGCGGGCCCCAGCTGAAATTGTACGCCATGATATCCAGGTAGATGAGTGCCACCGTGGCGATGCCCGCTGAAGTGACGGGCCCGCTCTCGCTGGGCGAGTGCGTCTTCACCACCGCAGCGGTGATGACCATGCATATGGACATGAAAATAGCGCCGCCGGCCAGCACGGGTTTCCGACCAAATCGGTCAGACATGAACAGCACAAAGAGCAGACACGAGACCACCTTGATGGCACCGAATATGCCCGTTAGCAACAAGTTCTTGTCACCGGGTCCGACGAGAATGGAAAAGAACTGCGGGCCGAAGTAGGCCAGCGCCGTTGAGCCCGTCGACTGCTGGGCCAGGAAGAGGCCGCCGGCAATCAGAAGCCGCTGCCGATTAGGTCCCTCGAGCAGCTCGCTCAGCTTGAACCCGGCCGTTGCGTGCTTTTCCTCCTCGAGTCCGTGGCGGATCTCTGCGAATTCGTCGGCCACGGCCTGCGAATCACCCGCGCGGATCCAGACAATGCTCCGCCAGGCCTCGGCCGTCTTGCCCTTGGCCAGGAGCCAGCGTACACTCTCGTCCAGCGACAGCATACCTAGCCCCATCATCGCTCCAGGGACAAGCTGCAGACCGATAGGTATCTGCCACTGGGCGGGGGTAGCGGCCATATATTTGACACCGTAGTCGATCCAGTACGACACCAGGATACCGATGGTGTAAGAGAGCTGGTAGCAGCTACCCAGCCGACCACGGATCTCTTTGGGACTCATCTCGGACATGTAAATGGGGATGACGGTGGCAGACCCGCCAATGCCGAGGCCACAAATCACTCGTCCGACATAAAATGCCGGCAGCGAGTGCGTGTCGATGACCTCCAGCACCACACCAATACAGAACACGAGCGAGCACAGCGCCATCGCCATACGCCGACCTAAGCGGTTGGTCACGGGCCAGATGAGGAAACAGCCAACGAATGCGCCAGCCTGCTGGATACCGACTGCAATGGAGCTCACTTTGGTTTCCTTGGCTGCAGGGATCTGAAAGGAGTCTTGGAAAGAAGAGAATGTGAGGACGCCACCTAATTGAATCGTATGTTTAGTAGGTTGGAATTCTGTCAGAATTGGGAGCACCGTACCAATAACGCCCGAGTCATATCCGAATAAGGCCCCGCCGCAGCACAGCACGGTAGCCAGCCAGTACGTGCGCCATCGGGCCTTGTCCAGGCGCAGCAATTCCATCTTGGGGTCGTCTTCACGCCGGGGCAGTTGGTTAGGGGGTTGGTCAAGCGGGAAATCCGACTGGGGAATCTGCGAGTACGACTCAAAAGGAGCGGACGAAGTATACGACCACCAGTTTAGCAATCGCTCCCGCCAAGCCGAGAAGATGGAATCAGGAGAGGACGAGGACCGGGGCGGCGATCTTGATATACGCGAGCTGGGGATTGCATCGTCCGGCATAATTGCGGAGAGCGGGGAGAGTGCGCAGCTCTGCGAAGTGGGCAATATGGTTTTCCGGCGCAGTTCGTGGTTCCAGTGTTTCCAGGCTGGCCAGATCCGCGCTTGGCTCCGGATTCGCTGGCGTATTATGTCATTGATTTCAGCCGAGAGCCGATGTATAGAGGGGCGCACAGGAGTGGGGGGATCACGCCACTGCTGGGCTCCATTTGAAGTGATTGTGTTTTGCAACGGACTGGTCCGAAGGATACAGATAATCTTGTTTGCCAGGAACACGGTCAAGACCGAAAGCAATGTTGAAGCCAGGGCTTGCGGGGTCAGGTGATATATCCCGTACAACGCAATACGGTAATTTATAGTCCATTAGTGCGAGTTTAGCCCTCCCCGCATGTATTCTTACCACCACATTACACTCCCGGCCTTCACGGCATCATGTCCATGGCGCTCGTCTGTCCTGTCGATCAGGTCCACTTGTCCTGTCGTCTAAATCCAATCGCAGCCGATTGCCGATACTCGTTTGACAGCGCAGCCGAGCACGAAATACCGCTCTCGGATGATGCAGTGCACGCGTTCTCCTATCGGAACACAGGGACCGGAGCTGGTCCGAGTCGCGCGTGGCAGGTATAAGAATGCAGGGACAATGCCCCTCTTGTCCCGCCCCAAACCCCCTCCTTTTTTCTTCTTCTTTCTCCCTTTCTTCTCTCTCTGCCCTTCAATTCACCATGACTAAACGCCCTAATTTCCTGGTCATCGTTGCCGATGACCTTGGCTTCTCCGATGTGGGCTGCTTCGGCGGCGAGATTCGCACCCCCAACATTGACAAGATCGCGCAGCAAGGTCTGCGCTTCACAGATTTCCATGCTGCGGCGGCATGCTCGTGAGTTCTTGCCTGCGTCGGATTTTATTTAACAAAGGCTCAAATCCATCCAGTCCAACCCGCGCCATGATCATGACTGGCACCGACCACCACATCGCCGGCCTGGGCAACCTCATCGAGTGGACCAACATCTCCGGCCAGAACGGTCCCAAGGGGTCGGCAATGAGCACGGCGCCGCAGCGCGGCATGCCGGGCTACGAGGGGTACCTGAACGAGCGCGTCGTGGCGCTGCCGGAGCTGCTCCGCGATTCGGGCTACCACACCGTCATGTCGGGCAAGTGGCATCTGGGCCTCACCCCGGAGCGCTCGCCGCACAAGCGCGGGTTCGAGCGCTCCTTCGCTCACCTGCCCGCGTGCTCCAACCACTACGCCTTCGAGCCGCAGCTGAAGGACCAGGACCAGATCCCCACCTTCATTGAGGCGTCGTACATTGCTCTGCACATGGAGGATGGCAAGTACGTGCGTAAGCTGCCCGAGGGCTGGTACTCGTCCGATGGCTACGGTGACAAGATGGTGGATTACCTGCGCGAGTGGAAGGAGACTGGGGGCAGCGATGGCCCCGACGGCAAGGGAGACCGTCCCTTCTTCGGCTACCTGCCCTTTACTGCGCCGCACTGGCCGCTGCAAGCGCCCCGGGAATATATCGATCACTACCGTGGTGTGTACGACGAGGGCCCAGATGTGCTCCGTCAGAAGCGTCTGCAGCGCTTGAAGGATCTGGGTATGATTCGCGAGGACGTCGAGCCGCACCCCGTCAACGCTGAGGAGGTCAAGGAGTGGGAGGACTACTCACCCGAGGAGAAGAAGATGTCCTGCACGGCCATGGAGGTGTTCGCCGGTATGGTCGAATGCATCGACTCCAACGTCGGCAAGGTCGTTGAGTACCTGCGCGAGATCGACGAGTTGGATAACACCTTCGTCTGCTTCATGTCCGACAACGGCGCCGAGGGCGCTGCTTACGAGGCCTACCCCATGGTGAAGAACGGCGTGATGCCGCACCTGCAGAAATACTACGACAACAGCCTGGAGAACCTGGGCAACGGCAACAGCTTCATCTGGTATGGTCCGCGCTGGGCGCAGGCCGCCACCGCACCGGGCCGCCTGTACAAGGCGTACACGACCGAGGGCGGCGTGCGCGTGCCTTTCGTCTGCCAATTCCCCAAGAGCGTCAGCGTGAACCCCGGTGACTCCACGCCCGCCACGAACGGCATCACCGACCAGTTCGCCACGGTCATGGATCTGGCCCCCTCCATCCTGGAGATGGCGGGCGTCAAGCACCCTGCCCCGACCTACCAGGGCCGCGAGGTCGTGACTATGCGCGGACGCAGCTTCTACCCCTGGACCATCGGGCAATCTGACCGCATCCACCCCAAGGACTTCATCCAGGGCTGGGAGACCTGCGGTCGTGCCGCTCTGCGTCGCGGAGACTGGAAGATCGTCTTCATTCCGAAGCCCAAGGGCCCCGAGCGCTGGCAGCTGTACAACCTTATCAAGGACCCCGGTGAGATACACGACCTGTCTGAGCAAGAGCCCGAGAAGCTCAAGGAGCTCCTCAAGCTCTGGGATCAGTATGTCCTAGAGACAGGTGTCGTTCCGCTCTGCCCTCAGCTTGGCGAGTTCCTCGAAGCCACTGAGGCGCAGATGCCTGAGAATGCTTGGATGGAGTTCGACTACTGGAAGGAGGGTGCGCGTGATACCCCGGAGAAGTTCTCTCGCCAGCCGCCACGCTTCGAACGTGTTGTCAAGCAGTGGTAAACGCATTTTATTTTCTTGTTAATCGTTTGTAATGATACCTATGAGCAAAATATATATATATACTTTTTTCTCTTTGATGATTTCTTCAGTAAGTCTAGCCAGCAAAAATAGGATGATATATGTCCAAATCCAAAGTCATATGTAATCAAGGATTATATGGATTATGTTACATCTATCATCAGACAAAACTCAAAAGGAGACTCGTAAACAACATCAAACACGATGATGAACATCAAAATATATCCAGCCCAGAAACTTCAAAACACTAGATCATGACAAAGAAGTCCGAAAACAATTCCCTGCGTACGGACCGCGAGTCCGCCCAAGTGCGTGAGACATCCTGCCGCCGAGTCATCTCCTCCAATAGAAGCAAGACCTTATCCGCAGAAGGATGGCGGTTTATCGCCGCAGCCGGATCTGTCTCACGGCGTGCGGCGGCCATGCGCTGCATCTCATGGACGATCCACTGCCGCTGGTCTGCAGAGCCCTCGAGGCCGGCGACGAAAAGCGGATACAGGAAGCTGACGGGCAGGTGACCAGGTTCGGGGCCGGCGGCGGACTCAACAGTGGCGAGCTGGATGATCTGGTCTACGGCGCCATTGACGCGGTCGGTACGCGGGTAGATGGCAAAAGCCACGCGGTGGAGGTAGATGAAGTTGGCAAGGAAGTTGGCGACGTACTGCCGGAATGTACGGCAGATTTCGGTTGCAATAGGTGCGCAAAGCGTGTCGGCTAGGGCTTCCGGTCGGCCATACACGTCCACGATAGGTGGGCGCCGGTGCCAGAGGGTCTCAAGGTCGGCACCGACTTTATGTGCGATCTGGAGGACTTCGAATTCGTCGCTGAGGGTGCCTCGGCTGCGATGATGTAGATCTATGCAGACGATGCGTCGCACGACTTGCTGCGCTTGGACAAAGAATTGAAACGCAGGGCCCACGATTGCTTCGTAGACGAGGTAGCTGGGGCTGCGAAAGGGGTCTTCGTAGTCGGAGTCGCTGCTGCGGTCCTCGGGGGTAACAGGGGCTGGAGCTGGCGCTTGAATCGCCCGTGGACTGTGCATCTCGGAAGAATTTGATGTTACCCGGTGCTCTGACACATTCCCCAGCTCGACGAGCGGGTCGCCATCTCGGCCAGCGATCAAGGCTTTGACATCAAGCAGAGATATCCACGATACCAGGAGATGTCCGAGTCCAGTCCATGACCAGGTACGGGCGTGAAAGCGTTCAAGGATGAGATAAGAAGAATGAATATATGAAGTATCGGGCGAACACAACTCGGGCGAGGAGAGGAGCTATTGCAATGTCAGTGGGGTTTAGCTTGCGAGAGAAAGCGAGACATTATACCTCGGACAACATCAGGAGAAAGACCGCAGCGAAAATCTTGATCAACGTCGACTCGGCCACCTCGCCCAACAAACAAGCTTGGATTTCCGAGCTGGCCACCCGGTAATATGTAGGCGCCCAATGCCACTGCTTCCCTTCCAGCATTGCTCTGTGGATATCCGAGTAGCAGTAGACGGCATTTATAAGGGGACTGAACCCACGCGCATGTGCCAATATCGCTGGCCGCACATACTTCCACTCCATTTCCACAGGCCCAAAGATCGATGCTGGCGGATCAATAGTTAAGAAATGCTGCAGCAGTTGATCCTCGTACGAGGCAGTTCCGGGGTCTGACCAGCTGCCGCGCGTGTCCGAGGCGCTGCCCATCGAGTCGATCAGCGAGGACGGCGCATCCGGGCTAAGCGGCGTTCGTCGGTCTGCAGTAAACGATCTCTCCTCCCCGTTGCGATTCGATGCATTACTTGCGGGGAGCGACTGCGGCGTTGGACTAGCGGTGAACGCGGCGGCAGGCCCGCTTGTCAAGTCGAGATGTTTCTGCTCCAGCTCCGAGGTGATTCCGCCCATGAATCCAAGCATATCAAATGGGCCTCCCAGGTCGGGTGGGTAGGACTCCGGGTCCGGGGGCAATCGGCGCAGCGGCGAAGCCGCCGCGGGAATGGTTTTGTGATGTTCATCGGAGCGAAGCACAGTGTTGAAAAAATTCAGATCCGGGGAGCGCTGCGATGCGTTTGCAGCCGCCGCCACCGCTGCCGCAGCCGATGCCAGCCCCCCAACGCGGGCGCCGGAGAGGGTGTTGGCGGTGCGGCGGGAGTCGTGGGTTGTGAGCGAGACGACCACGGCGTTCCGCCGAGCGAGATGGGCGGCTTGTAGACGCAGCGCAGGCGCAGTCGATCACAGTTGGCACAGCTGGGTTTGGCCTCATCGCACCGCACCTTGCGAGCCCTGCACGTCAGACAGCCCGTTCGGCGGCGCGGGCCTGACCTGCCTGTTCCCCGGGCTTTGGGCACCTAGTAACGCAGAGCGATTATGGGTCAGCGATCTACTTCTCACCGGGTCTGTTGTATAACGCACCTCCATGATGCGAACAAGTGCCGAATTGGCCGAGCCAGAAGCATAGTCGAGGTTGGATGATGAAGAAAAAGGAAGAATGGCGAGCGTGACCTGGTTTTCCCCGCAATAATTGAGGTGATCCACATTTCGCCGGCTAAAAACTACAAGTAGAGATCGGGAACGTTGGGAGGTAATCCTGCTAGGAGATCATGATTTCTAATTCGACTATACATCACTTTGTCCTTGCGCAATAGGCTGGGCCCATTTGTCGCCGCCCAGACACCGCGATCGGTGCAGTAGATGCCCCCGTTCCTGGCGCACATACGCTGCAAAGCATGCGGCCGCCACAGCGACGGCTCCGCAGCTGATTAGCACTGGATACTGGAACTGTTGGGGGCGCGAGAACACAATGGTGGATGCAAATGAGAGCATCTCGAAGAGATTCTGCAGCGCCATCTCCGTCGAGGAGAAGCGCGCGCGCGCGTTCTCCGGGACATTCTGCATATGATGCTTTAGTATGTGCCATAGCAGATAGTAGGGTTGAACTAACGTCTTGCACCAGGAATTGCACCGAAAGATCGAAGCCCCAAAGTCCGATTCGGCTCAGAGCCACTCCTACAATAAGACTGCACGCAACCAGCTGCGAGCTAGCGTCAAAGATGTATGCTGCTGCAGCGCCAGCCACACAACACAACTGCCAGTTAAGGAACCACAGCCCAGATCGAATGGGACCGATTCGGTTCATGATGAACGGCGCTGTCCAGGTCCCGGATAGTTCGGCGGCCACAGACCCGATACGCATAGCGCTGACCTCCAATGAATTGAATCCCGTGTGCAGCAGGTAGGTGACCATGGTTCCGCCAAAGGAGAGAACAGTGAGGTAGAGCAGACTGAGGGCGAAAGATGCCAGAAACACCCGGCTGGTCACGTACTCCCGCCAGGGCGCTACCGCGGCATGCCAATGCGGGAGTAAACTGCGTGATTCGTTCTCGCTTGTCATGTCCTCTTCTTCATTGGAGGCAGAGGGCGGTGCTTTTGCTAAAGCAGGGACCGCTCGATATACCTGTCAATATGTCAGATTCTAGAGACACATGGAATAGAGAGCAATTCATGCCTGGGCAATGGCCAAGTATTCCAAGAGCACAGAAGCAGTGTTCAAGCCCAACACGGTCCAAATGGCACCCGCAGTCGAGAAACTATCCACTAAGGAGATAAACACGGGAGCTAGTAGCTTGCAGAAGAGATCGATCCGTCTCATAGATGCATTTAGATCTGTAGTCAGGGTGAGATAAGGCAAGACATAACCCTACAGGAGTGAACTCACCTCCTCGTGGAACATTGACAGATTCAGAAATCACAATAGCCTAGATGATTCACGTAAGTGAGATCCAAAAAGATGCAGAGTACCAGGACGCACCCAATCTCGTTCCACAGCCACTGTATTGGCCGTCGCAGCCAATTTCTCCACGCAAGCCAACAAGCCCACGGCGACGAATAAGACGAGAGTAACTACGGCGTCTTCTGTCGCCAGCAGAACGACAAAGCACAAACAAGAGACTGCTACAGAGACTCTCTGCCAAACTAAAATATAACCATCAGCTCTTGATCACTACCTTTAGAGGGAAATCGCCAACCAATCGAATGCCTCACGGCCACCAAGCGATCCGCCCGATCAACCCGATCTCCCAACCACGACGACAGCGCCACGACTGCCAAGGCCCGGACCAGGGCATAGATCGAAGCATAGAGCAGTGTCCCGGGGAAAATAGAAGCTAGGAATAGGACGGCGCCGAACTCAAACATGCGCGAGTTCCAAGCGGACAGGCTGTGCGAGAGGTATAGTCGCAGCCGCACGGCGCGGACTCCCGTGGCAGGCTCAGCATCAAGTGAGGATGAAGCCTCGTCGGGAGAAGAGGGTAGAAGCAAAGAATCGGAAGCGCTGGAGTCTTCCATGATTTTGGCCTCTAGTCATGTGTGGGGTTGGTATTTACAGTGGGAAAGAGAAAAGAGGGAAGGGTTAGAGTTTGAGAACCTTTCGGGCTCTTTCGACAACTAGAATATGTGTCGCGCCACTATTCTTCACCCAGCTCCCGACCCGAACGACGTCAGAGATGGCTGCAGAGGGAAGCCATTTCTAGCACCCTCCCTTTCTGCCTAGCCTACTCGCACGCATACAGAGATAGCACCTCCCTTTCCAACAGCAATTCCAGTCCCTAAGTAGTTTGCTCACTACATAGCACTGGTATGCACCAAGTCTCCCCCGGCACACTGTCGGTCGTCTGATACCTCCTCAAGAGTCCACGGTGAGGGAACATTGGCCGAGTATACTGGGTCGTACTGTAAGGATGTATGTTTGTACGGATCCATGAGTATATGAGTGCATGACAGACTACGGATTCATTCATCGACAATATCTAACCTACCTGTACTTATTCTATTGTAGAGAAGAAGATAGATTCAATTAACACCAAACAGGAGAATACTAGGTAGTTACAGGTTTATTCTTGCCACAATAGCCCCTGCGGTCCTTGAGCAGTGCGCCGAGCCAACACCTCCGTCACCTTCTCGCGCACGCCCTCTTTCTGGTTGTACCGTTGGACAAACTCCTGCACCGTCTTCTTCTGCGACACTCCATCTGCCCGCACAAATTTCTCAATCTCCGCCTCAGAGGGCAGACCAAAGCGCTCATGCGGGTAGCGGTTGTAGTCACCCTCACTGAGCAAGGGCAGCCGGGTCTCGCCCTCGGGGATGGAGAAAAAGGCGTCCACAGCCTCTTGGGAGACCTCCTTCAGCGTAGCGGGCTGCCACTGGGCCTGGCGCGCGGGTTTGGACATCAAGCGGGCCTTGACACCCTCCACGAAATCCGGGTGTCGCATGAAGTTGGCGGCGATCGAGTGCTCCCGCTGGAAGGTCTCCGTGATGCTCCACGTCTTGCCCAGACGCAGCTGGCGCAGGGTCACCTTCAGCGAGGTCGGGGAGCGGATTGACAGGGTCTCCAGCGTCTTCTGGGCCCATTCCTTCTGCTCGGTTTCGTTCTCCAGTGCCTGGAAGATCTCCTCCACCGTGTCGAACCGGAAGCAGCGATCAATCGCCGTGCGCAGGTTGGCGGCCAAAAGGATAGGCTCTTGCTGGGTAGACGGCAGACCGAGCGAAAACTCGGCCATCGTCTTGTTCACGATGTCCAACCGCTCGGGCAGATCCATGTGGTCCGGGAACACCAGCTCCGCGAGGCGCTGGGACATGTTGCTCAGCGCGCTCGAGTGGAGGTAGTGCGTAGCAATACCGGCGTACAGGGCCTGCACACCGTTCAGGCGCTCCGAGGTCAGGGCGAGGTAGGTGCCGGTCTCGCCGTCCAGTCGAGGCAAGAAGAACGAGCCACCCACGTCGGGGAAGAAGCCAATGGTGGTCTCGGGCATGGCAAAGACGGTCCGCTCAGTCGCGATCCGGAATGGCGCGTGCATGCTCAGGCCAACTCCACCGCCCATTGTGATTCCATCCATGAATGAGATGACGGGTTTCGAGTACGTAGCGATCAAGTGGTCGAGGCGGTATTCGAGGCCGAAGAAGTCCGTCGACGCTTTCTGTCCCTCAATACCCTTTTCATTCTGCAGCGCCAGAGCAGCGACGTCGCCGCCAGCGCAGAGCGCCTTGGATCCTGCGCCGGAGATGAGGACGATGTTCGCGAGCTGAGATTTCTCCCATTCCTGCCCATCCAAACCCACTTTAGTATTGCGCAGACCCTGTAACCCAACGAAAAACTGACCTTGAGACGGGGCACAATCTTCCGCGCCATCGAGCCATTCAGGGAGTTGAGTTTCTTCGGCCGGTTGAGCTCGACGCTCCGCAGACCGTAGACCGAGTTGAACAGGACATCGTCGGGCTCGTCACCGGGGAGTTCTGTGGGGATATCAGACGCGGTCGACATCTAGGCATCAATCTATCAGCAAGGCTTGTTTTCGCGTCCGGGGAAAAGGGCGTTGTGCATACCGGGGCCTTGAAGGCAGGGTTGGTGACCTTGGCACGGAGAGGCATTGCGGACGCAGAAAACCGCGAGATCCAGCTCGGCGGCGAGGGGAGGCGAGAGAATGAATGCCGGAGTAACATGAAGTCGGCAGAAACAGGAGGGTGGAGGGGGAGGGGAGGGTCAGGTTAAGAACAATCAGATGTTGTTCTCGTTCTCCCGACATCCTCGGGATTTTTTACGATTTTCAGCGCGCCGAGGCCAACCGACGGACAAGAGCAACACTACATACTATATGCTTGTAATTGCGGGCAATACTACGTAAGTGGAAATCGTTGAGGCAGTAGTAGATGGTATTTATTTATACAGAATGAAATACAGAAAAAAGAGAGCAAAGTCTAATACATGGCCCTGGCTAGCCGTCCCGTCAGGTCGGACGAATGTCTCCTCAGAATCCAGTCCAGCGCTCCCTTCTCAATCACCAGTCTCTTCGTCTCCAGCAAGTTCTTCACATCTAAGTTCTGCATATTCCTGATACGCACATGCTGTGCATCCGCAAACTTGGCCGCCAGATCCAAATCCTCCCTCTCGGTAATGAAGGTCAAGAGACCATGTTTCCGATCCCATCCGTGCGCTTGTAGAATATTCCTCATCAGATGCGGTGTTGAGTCGGTCGGCACGGAGATTTGGTTATCGATCACAGTCAATTGCTCCTTCTTGTACCGGTAGCTGAGCGCGATGCGCCAGGCCTTGTCGTAGATCTTGCGAGGCAGATCGGTTCCGAAATCGCGAGGATGAGGGCCGTGGGCAACACCACCTCCTCGGCGGATGGGCGACTGCTTGTCACCTACACGCGCACGGCCTGTGCCCTTTTGTGGTGCCATCTTTCGGTGACTGCCGTGCACTTCATCTCTCCATTTCGCGCTGGCCGTGCCTTGGCGGGTGTTGTCGCCCTCGAATACAATTGCACGGTGAAGAATGTCTTTCCGCAGAGGCATCGACAGTTGGTTCTCTTTGTACTGAGCAAGGCTCTTGGGTTCCATTGTAAGGAAGTCGTAGGTCATAACATGGACTTTGCGTGTGGGCCATTGGGCCTGGACGGGGATCTCTGTCGTGAGGTTGGCAGTGGAGGGTTGGGCCTGTGCCTCAGTCGCCATGGATCGTGCAAGACATTGGCGCTGTACATATCGAAGAATGATTGTCAGTAAAAGCACACGGGGGAAGAGGCCAATCAAGGACCGAACATACCGTCAGCATCTCCGGTCCAGAGATGAGACCACTGGAGGGCCGTGACGCCCATCTCAACGCCCGGAAAATCTCGCCCGGCATGGTGACAGTGACAGACAGACGTATGAACCAGTGGTGTGGTGTTGGTCGAGGAGAAGAGCAAAAGTTGCGGTTGCGGGCGGTGAGTGGGTGTTTCTGCCCCCGGAAAAGTTCCCTCTCCAACACAGTCTATCTATCCCCTTCACAACACACAACATCGCCAGCATGGCTCACTGCGAACGGGCGTCGAAGCCATTGCTTCAGTGCCTTCGCTCAAACTACTCAAGAAGCCTCACGGGCGTTCAACGCCATGGGTTTCATTCGACCACCGTGGCGGCTAGCGAAAAAGCCCCGGCCGAGTCGACGAGTGAACCGTTCTACAAGTCTCCCGATCCGTCACTCGTTTCGAGTCCACGGCTAGAGAGACAATTGATGCGCCGGGGTGTTAACCCAATTGGGTCTCGTCGACGTCGTGCCGCGTTGCAGGGCGCGTCCAACCTGCCCTTTGAACAGTTGCCCTACCAATGCTTCCAGGAAGCGCGCAAGATTCTACAGGCGGACCGGGAAGAAAAGCTGGCCGATATCCAGAAGATGGAAGCAAGGATTGCGAATGTGGAAGCCACATCGACCGAGCAGATGGGTGAACAGGCGAAGAAGTCCAAGTTGCCAGCGATGCGAATTCATCTGGATCGACTCAAGATTCTGGCAGATATCAACGATCCTCTGGTGAAGAGGAAGTTTGAAGACGGACAAGGTAAGGAGTTCGATATCGGCTCATTTCACGGGGACTAATATTCATGGTTTCGCGACAGGCGATATGAGCAAACCCATTTACCAATACCTGGCCGACCAAAAATGGCGCGAATACCGCCGCAAAATTTTAGTTCAGCGAATCACGCAGATGAAAGTGATCCCCGATGTTCTGGCGAAATGTGACCCTGTGGTGGACACCAGGCTCTACTTCGGCAAGAATCAGATTCAACCTGGCGAGTTCGTCCCCGCGAAAACCACTACCGTCCCTCCCAAATTGGACGTGCAGCTCTTTGAGCGCGGAGAGAAACTGGTCACTATCGCCGTCCTCGACCCGGATGTTCCCAACGTGGAGACTGACAGCTTTGACTACAAGACGCACTTCCTGGCTGTCAATGTCCCCGTCTCGGCTACCGCTACCAAAGTCGATCTCTCTCAGCTTTCGGCGGATTCCCAAGTCGTGCTCCCCTGGCTGCCGCCCGTTGCTCAAAAGGGCAGCCCCTACCACCGGCTCTCGCTTTTCATCCTGGAGCAGGATGGCTCCAAGCCGCTCGACTTTGCTGCCGTCAAGGCCAGCGAGACTGACCGGGATGTCGTGCGTCTCCGTACTCTTCAGCGCCAGTACCAGCTCAAGGCTATTGGAGCACACCTGTTCCGGACTCAGTGGGATGACACGACTCTGGAAGTTATGCAGCAGCTCGGATTCGAGGGCGCGGATATGGAGCTCCGCCGGAAGAAGGTCGAGCCTCTTCCTTACAAGAGGAGAAATCCTTCCTCGTTCAGGTGATTTCCTTGTGGTGTTTGTTATATAGTTGTACTGTACAATTCGATATGTATGAATATGCATCCCCCATTCCCTTCCAGAAACCAAACTCCGGTATAATATGCTGTAGAAGATTGAAAGCGCAAGCAGCCAGTCGTCCCTTACGCCTCCATTTGTGCCGGCTGCATCGTATTCTTCACCCACTCCATTTTCGACGGCGGCCAAACCCTCGCAACAATCTTCCCATTGATCAGCGCCATAGGCACGGGCCCGTAGTTTCTCGAATCTCTCGACCAGGGCAGGTTGTCGCCCATCAGGAAGACATGGCCTTCGGGAACCTGGATTAAAGCCAAAAAAGAAACCAATCAGTAAAACATTAATATCCAATAACACAATGAAACCCACTTGAATCATATCCGGCGTCTTCCCAACCTCCGTACTAAAAGGCGCATCCCGACAGACAAAATCCCCCGGCATGCCCACTACGCGCTTCGCGCCGTGGACGCCCAGAAACGTTGGGTGATTGAAGCGCACCACGTCGCCGATCGCGATCCCCTTACCATTGCGGTGCATGCGCGAGATGAGTAGGTAGTCTCCGCGCGGATTGAAGGTCGGGTACATGGAAGGTCCCTCGCTGAGCTGGATCGTGATCAGGTGCTCCCAGACGAGCGTACAGGCGCAGAACAGCCCGACGCCGTCGAGGGCTAGGCGGGCGGCCCGGCGCGGAGTACCCTCTTTTAGGACTTTGCGTAATAGGCGCTCCATTTGCTGTGCGTTGGGAGCATGCTTCGATTGTGAATTGGAGTGGACTGGAATGGTGTTGTTGGTTTTGGCAGCTCCAGTTCAAAAAGATGGATGGTCATGTGACCCACGCACGCTTTAAAAAAAATTCGCGGGTTTGATTTTCTTCTCTCTTCACCACGACACCCTTGGTGTTCTGCTCCGCGCAGCCCTATGATGTTGGGGCTATCTAGCGGAGCAGCACTTGGGATCTATTGTCTGGAATCTTCAATCTCACCCGACCTTTAAAATATTATGATAAAAAACCACCGCTTCTACAAATGCTAGAGCTTGCCGTCGCCGAAATTCAGCACCAGGACGAGCAAGTGTGGACAATGAAGCAAGATGAACACAACCGGCTTGGTCAATTCCATATGCCGTCCCCCAGCGCGTTCTCAAGCTTGACCCCATTTAACTATGGGACTGGGTTCTTGAGGCGTGTGTGGCGGGGAGACAGATCGATGCTAGAAATATGAATTTTGTTCCAAATTGACCTCAAGTCAACTCTTCTTCCACATGGCATCGGCGTCTATTAACAACAGCAATACATACTATGTCAGCTTAGTTCCCAAGTGTTAGATCAACCCATCAACCTTACCTGGATGCTTCTCCACCTCTGCAATGCCCTCCCTCTTCTTCGCTTTGGCTCGATAATTAATCCCAAACCTCTCATCGCGATCCTTCAACAGCGCATCCAATCCGCCCGGACACGCCTTCTCTACACTCTCGGGTGACGTGAAACTGCCCATGAGCTGCGGCGGACCCATTGGCACTGGATCCCCCCGGTCCACCTGCCAGAAATGATAGGTCTTCCCATAGATGGGCACAATGTCCTTCATCTCCGCCGTTTCGGCAACCTCCCACGCCGTCGCCGGAACACCCGCTGGTACCGGCATGGCCAGCATCCCGCTCTTGACCTCGAACTCGTGCGTGTGCCAGAGTCGTCGCTCTTCGGGGGGGAGGGTTGCGAATACCCGTGGTGTGACCATGTACTCTACCCCGATCAGCCGGGCGTTGTGTTGGGGAGAGTCGTAGATTAGGCATTGTCTAACGTCTGTTATGGGTTTTGTAAGCTTATAGTCCCACATCAAAGTGATCAGTCTGCTGTGATGATGTCTACATACCCTCCGTCAAGTGTGAGCAGTAGTGGTTTGCCTCGACGCAGCGAGTTGGATCGGTCGCGTAGACGTGAAATGCGTTCAAGTGTGCACAGATCTGTTTCACTGGCTTGAAGTCCTGGACCATCGCAGCGCCGGTCTCGAGGACGCGGCTTTTGGCCGTGCGAGGGTCGCCGATGATGCCGCTGGTATCATCGCTTGAGTGGCCTTTTGCGCAGGCGGACATTATTGTATAGGTAGAATGGGATATCTGATTCTCGGCTTCGTTTCCTGGCTGTTAACCTGGGTTGAGAGAAGATGCAAACGTCCGGAAATAATCCCTGCAAACGAGAAACATGAGGATAGTAGCAATGCGGTCTTGAACAGGATTTGTGCTGCTGTGGACTGGTTGCTGGCCAGTGGGTTTGGATGAATTGACGTCACGATGATTATTGTTCCGTTCTCGGGGGGTGTAGATACTTCCATATTGGATCGGGGACTTGCTTGGTGAGCACCTTGCTATCGTGGAATGGTAGTAGCGAGAGAAGACTGCTATTTTCGTGGTGAGTGTTAGTCGGATGATCCGTACGCTGCAGATATATATTTGAGGTCTACTTGTTGCCAACCTCAAATTAGATCCAACATTTAGTTGTAGGTCTACAATAATATCCCTGTTCATGTATAACACTTATTGGTCCAAGAAGTAGTGTTCCAACATCCTTCATTGGAGAGCGATTGTTCTTACGAGGTCTACGATGCTCCAGCGAAATCGGCCACCACCTTCAACGCCATCATCCACGCCGGATTAAATTGCCATTCCCACTTGTCGTCCAAGCATTGCGCCCCAAAATCTCGTTCAGACAATACTTCGACTACTGCAAGATCGAGCACAAAATGTCTTTTCATAGTCAAAATGATCGACGCCGGAGTGCCCGGACGGGTGATCTGTGCACATCGACTATTTCTCGAACTATTTTCCCGAAGAAGCTGATCTTGACTATGGAATCCATCCATACCCCACTTTCTTTTGATCACGGAAAAAGAAGGGATCAGGGTGAAAAATCAATCATACAGAGACAACAGCTCCACTTGAGATCTACGAGAGAGAAACTCGCATACAGAAACCGTGCATCTCTAGCGGTATGTGACTCCATCATCCATGCCCGATAGGAAATGAGCACGTGGACCCTCTCACCTCAACCTTGAGACTCCATCTGGTGGCTTCTGTTTCGGCAATGATACGCAGCACTGGTGGGGCGCGGCGCCCTCTAGTCTAGGGGTTGGGGTGCATTATTGCCGGTCATTTCCATTCTGTTGACCTGTCTTGTACAGGTGCGTGGGTGTGTGTGGTAGGTTTACGAAAGATGCACCAGCAGGAAAGAATGTAAGTGCCAGATGCCGAGTATGAGCTATCGTTGGTGCATTATTGGCAATCCTGAGCCTATCCCGGTTCGATCGGAACGAAAACGATCAAAGTTTTCTTAGTAGATTGTTAGTCTGCGGTGGGCCTCGAGCCATTATTATTGTGTCCGAGGTGCAGCTTTTTGCCATTTACCATTTAACGGCCGAAACCCAAGTCCCCGAGATCCGAGCCCCGTACATGCATACTTTTTTGTGTACCTCGTAATGGACCACCAACTGCGTAGTCCATCGTACCGGTTTACACATGTCACGGTCGAACGCCAACTTCCAGCCCAACCGAACGCTCGGGAGATTGCGCGCCTTGTTTCACCGCAGGCCGACCGCGCCTGTGTGCCCTGCAAGGCATGTCTGGGTGTTACTGTAGGAAGAGAGAGCAGTGTGTTAGGCCCAGGATCGGCCCCTGCATGGGGGATCCCTCGTCCTCGACGCATACATACCACGATCAACTAGGCTGTGTAGTAGTAGCCGTGCATGAGCCCCAACACCCAAAGGGGCAAATAGTTAGCCTTTCAAAGATTATTACATAGCTGCCACGACTCATGGCTTATGGCCCAGCCCCTTTACGAGCACTCAATCAATCTCTGCTCCGCCACCAGGCGTCGCAAGTGTGTTTGAGCTTCGGCGAGAATTCTAGGCGGACCCGGCACCTGGGCCTACGTGGCGTAGCGCCTTCGGCGTCAGGATCCAGGTGTCAGGACTCCAACCCAACCCAACGACCATCGAGAGAGATTAAGGCCGTGGTTGAAACCGAACTGTGCCCCAAAGGGATGTCCGGCCGACCAGGCGCTCGACCATCATGACGAAACACCGATTAGGCTACAGCATTGGCTGGAGGAATCTATTTTCACCTGCAGCTCTCCATGGTCTACGTGTACAGTACCCGGTCTTTTGGCGTTGTGTCACAGACACTTAGTGGGTAGTGCACTATGATCTAGTGATTCTCATCCAGCTGTGATTCAAGACTCGGGCCAGCGGCAAAGACAGGACCATCTCACCGGATCCAAGATCGTCGAAGCTCTCGGGGGCCACCAATGAGGCGCATTTCGGCTCCCTGTACAGTTTCTACCCCCCGCTTGCCTTATATCATCTGCCCTCGACGCACGGTTATCATAAGAAGAGGGGGGAGGAACCCGAGCATTCCCCAATCCGCGCGATGCTACACCGTAAGGGGCTGATGACATGCCGCTAAAGCAAGCCAAATTGATTAGCCCGCTCCCTTCCGCCTGCGCTGGGGCTAAATCAGGGATCGGCCAGGCAATCATAAAGGCCCGACTGGAACGTCCTAGAAGATGGGAAAGAAGCTAGGCATGGAATGGGCGCTAGTGGCCAGGGACTCCCTAGGCAGCTCGGAGGTTTCCCTTGGAGTGGGGGGGGGGGGGGGGAGGTAAAGAGGCTCGCGAGCAACAAAAAGTGGCTGATCAGCCCCCGATCTATTGTGGCCTGGGTCTCGGACAGTGACCGCTCCCTAACAGTTCGGACTCGAGATGATAATTATGATTACATGGTATTGTGTCAGCGTTTGTGTCTCGGGGAAATCTTCAATAGACGATCTTTTTTTCTTCACTGTAGCAGGAGTACAGTAGAAGTAGGACGGACACCACCGGGGAGTTTTTTCCCACTACCGCTCCTGCTACGGTGTGCGCAGCACATACTCTGGGGATCGGCAGTTGACGATGGGCTTGTGTCAGCCGTGATGGACGGAGGGGCCAAGTAGGTCCACTAGACGAGAGGGGGGGGAGGAACTGCCCGTTATTATTTGTACTATGTTTGGTCAGCCCCCTGACCTTCTGGATGTACGATAAATTAATTTATTCCCCTTCGAAGTGCAGGAAGTGGGTCTCTCCAGCTTCCCGAGTTGGATCGCTCCTGCCGTGTAATGATGGTGATATGCATCGGCCCTCTCAGGGGTCTAAAGGATGAAGGAACTGGACCGTGATGTAGCTACAGTATGATAATGCATGATCCCTAACTATATTTAGCCAATGGTTTATGGAAATATAAAGAGAAAAATAATAATGAAACAATCAAACCGAGCAGGTTTTGGCTTTGGCACGGTGGGCGCTAAACACGATCAGATCCGCCCGGCCACGTTGTGAATGGTGGCTCTACCGCTCGTTTCTGGATCGGTGACACAAAGAATGGGACAGGAAAAAAAGAGACCGGATCCACTTTTTTATCCTTTGGGTCTGATTTTCCCGACATCCTAGACAGGGCTGGGACCAACCAACTATCGAATCTTAGCTATTTATTAAACCTACTCCATAAGAGAGGGGCGGACGTTCTCCATCTCAAAAGATCCACGTTGGGCTCAACGGCATACGGGAGCCGAGCGTGAGTTCGAACAGACTGTGGCGATACCGGACTTTATGAAACAGGCCCACCATGTATACAAGACAAGCCTTGCAGATGATCAAAAATGCAGGTATCCTACGCAGCTCTAGTCTTGATTGGCAGCAGCATTTGGAACGGTCTGGGATCGGAAAGACAAAAACAAAAAAAGGTGGCGGATGATGCAGGAGACGCATCATGTAGTCCGGGGGGTGATGATCACAGCCGGGCATGCACGGAGCAATGGCGACGGTACATGCCCCAACTTGGAACGGTTCCGCGTCAAAGCAAACCTTCCACATTCGGGGATTCTTTGCTCCACTTATACATCCCTGCCACCGCAACTCGAGAAGGGAGCGATCCTCTCGTCCATCACATTGTAACCCTTGCGTAACGGGACGGTGACGCTATGAAAGAAAGGAAGGGAAGGCAAAGCTGTCTGTGTTGGGGGGACCAAGCCAAATTCACTAAGTAAGGTATTAATATTTAAATCTAAGCATGCGGACTGGGCAATAAAGGAAGACGCAGGATGAGGATGGGATGGGGTTGATTATTGGCCAGCCAAGCAGCATTCCTCGGCCAAGGTTCCTGGCGCTTGAGTTCATAGAAAATACACAAATCATAATTTCACAGTGGAAACCGGAATTTATAGCCCCAGGCCGGGCCCGTGTGAGGGTCTCTGTTCCCCAGTCCACCCTGTGTGGCGGCATGGGCCATCTGATTCATCATCATGGATCATTTCGCCCCGTTCCATAGCCCTTTATTTGGTTCTGCCTGCGCCCTTGGCTAGGCCCGTTTCGTTAGTGTCAACGTCGTGTCATCTTAGCATGCGATCAGCATCGTGGACCTGGAGCGGGTGGTAGATCGCTCCCTGGTTTTTTTCTTTATTACAAGTACTGGTCGTGCTATGCCTGACTGATCATTCTCAAACACACACATCATATATACTTGCCCGCCATCACCCCATATGCCAGCCCACCCACCGGCACTTCGCTGACTCCAGACTGACCTCATTCACTACCTCAGCTCTCTTCTATGGCCGGTTACTGCTGGTATCCGGCGTCTTCCCCCGGCACGCAATGGTGTCCGTCGGGAAATGCCTATAGCCCATCAGCCATGCAGGATTTCTCTCGGTCTGTTCCTCGCCCACGGCACTCGCGGGTCATGAAGCCCCGGAGTGCCGGCAACAGCCCTTCTTCGGCCACCATCAAGCGCCGGGCCACGATGTTAGCTCAAAACCATCTATCATTTGGTCTGCCGGCTTATCAGTCTTCCACCATTCAAGCCGCCATGCTCGCTTCTGCCATGCGGGCCCGGAATTCGCGCCCTATCAGCTGGCATCCATCATCAGCAAGGCCGCGAGGACTATCCAACCCACACCGTAACCCTGATTTCATCCCGGAGAACCAGCCCGGTATGGGCGCCATGCCAGATCAGTCATTTGACCAGTTGCCGGCTTATGACAACAACATGCTTTCGTATCCTATGCCGACACCTTATTCTCCAACCGATTATTTCTCTTTCTACTCCGAGAAATCATTTCCGCTACCACCACATCAGACTCATTTGGCAATACCGAACTCACAGATCGAGCCCATGGCCTGGGATACCACGCCAACCCAACCAGATCTGTCAATTGTCCCCCCTCCCATGACTGATACGTGGGCAATGGACATGTTCTCGCTGAACAGCAGCATTCCTCCCGCGGACATGACATGTCCCAGCTACGTCAGTGTGCCGTCCTCAGGCGAGCTGACCGGCCCATCGACGCCCAATTTTCTTCCGATCCAGCAGTTCGAAAGTAATGAATCGAGGCCAGTGACCGAGACGAAAAAGCCCGAGGAAGAGCTTGTCGGCATGGGTCTCTACAGCCAACCTGATATGCGCCTCTCGTCTGCACTGCAAGCAAGTCCTGGCAAGGGGCTGAAGCTGGAGGAAGCTTTTATCCCGACAGACGACCAAGATGAGGACTCCCAAAATAGTGATGGAGAGATGAACGGTTTAGAGGCAGTTCCGCAACAACTCTTCCCTTCAGCCGATGCCACGCCCACACCCCGGCAGAAAGGCCTGCCTGCTGCGAGGCAGTCCTCCAAGCAAGCTCTCAACCTTCTCCATAAATCTTTCTTCTTTGAATCCGACGATTCCGAGCAGCAGACAATGCCTGCTGCGCAGCCCTTTGCCAGCCTCAACCAACCATGCATGAGCTATGGGTATGGCTGGATTTGAGTCGATCGCTTTCGACGAACGCCACAGTCTTTCAGTTTTCTTTATTGTATGTTTTCGAGCGGCCATAGCGTGGAGTTTCTTTTTCTTTTTCTTTTCTGGGGGGTTTTGACTGGCGTCGATGAATGGATGGATACCCTTATATGAGATGGCTACAAGAGCCGGGCTTCGCTACCCGTTCTTATCTTCTTTTGGTGATGTATGCGTACACAATAGTCGATACATCTTCAACACAGTTGCTACCGAAACTACGTACTGTTAGTTACTACAACAAATCATATTCCAATGTACAGGTATAGACAGCGTCTGTGATTGGCGGAGGCGGCTCTCCACGGAACAACCATCATCCGGCACATTTTCAAAAGTCGATCGAAATTCACCTTGACCACGGAATTATTATTCAGGTACAGCAGAAGAGTATGGCGAAAGTCATCTTCACGGCGTGGAAACATAAATCCCAGTTAATCGAAGTGCGGAACCAGTTCTATCCCTCGCCTTCGTACGACGGCCCAGACTTGCGATCCCGTGCCTGCGCAACGGTACGTATCAAACCATTCAGGTCTGCTTCTGTCGCTGATGCGTTAATACGAAAAAGGTTGCGGCTTGGAAATTGCGCGGTAATATCCCCCATCATGTCGAGGCCACAGCGCTTCTGACGGATGCCATTCTCCATGACGATGCGCAGCGGAATTCGATCTTTTCAATTCGGGCAACATATTCTGCTGCTTTTTGTCGGTTCGTATTCATCCCCGTGGATTTTACCTCTCATTGAACCTTGTTTACATTTGACTCACAAAAAAATCCCAGCTTTGTAACCGGTCTCGTGGACTCCAAGATCCCCGGCCAGCGCAGGACCATGTTCCAGCGTGCCGTTGATCTTGGACTGCCCGCGTCCTTTGTCGAGCTTCGCCACGAGGCGACTCACCGGGAACCACCATCTCTGGTAGTGCTGCGGAAAGCAACGCAGCGCTCCTTGGAGTGGCTGTGGGACAATTATTGGGCCGGCATCGATGAATTTGGCGAGGCGCCCCCTCTCGACTCTGATGACATCGCTTCGGTTAAGAAGGCCTTACGTGACACTCTCCTTCCCATTTCGGGTGGCTCCAACGCCACAGCAGAGCCATTATCCAAGAAACGCAAAAGAGACCAGGACCTAATTACCGCGGCGCAGTTGGTTTCTATTTGCAACGTGTCAGGTACTGGTGTCCGAGTTCTGCCGAGTGTTTTGCTCGATGAGTCTATTTTGATTCCTGCTGGACGCAAGTGAGTCTTTAATTCTCCACCTTGAGATACTGATTTTGAGTCACATGCTGACGATCGTCATAGACTCGGAGAGTCTTTGCATGATACGTTCGCCAAATGGGATACAGTCCTGCGGACGGTCACAGAGAGTGATCCTTCGTTTATGATGTACCTGACAGAGGCCCTGGTGGATGATCTGGCGTTTAACGAGGCAAAAGATACATCGAGCAATGCGCATGCCGAAGTCCTCTTTTTATGGCTGGATCATGTGTCCAGTTCTCCCTTCTGGATATCATACAGGCGAATGTATCCACGCAGTTATGTTCTCCGAGCCTGCGAAGAAAGCTCAGGGCACTGGGCGAAGATGTTGAGCGCAAAGTTGCAAGAAACCAAGGAAGAGTCTAACGCTGTATCGGTTCATGGCCAGAAATTGGCGAACCCTGCTCAAAATGGTCATTCAGATGCAGCTCCCTTCGCTGAGCTGCGCCAGCATGGATGGGGGTTGTTGGACAAATGGGACAGTCGGCCGTTGGGCATGGCTTGAGCAATCATTTACTGCTACATTAATTAACTTCGCTGCTGGCAGCACGTTACAGGATGGATCGAAATCAGTTTCACCACTTTTGCACACAAGGTTCATTCTCCAACCCTGTTTCGAAACACATTAGTCCCAATTTGCTCTTGCGTATTTCAGGTTGTCGAAGTGTACTGTAATGAAATATCACATGATAGCCTACTGCGTAACTTAGATGAAATAGCAATGCAATCGATACCCACAACCTCAATTTCGCCGCCTGCTCCCGTAAGCAGTTTGTGTCATCGGCATTTTGATGCCCTCACCTCTCGTCCTGTATGCACTACGAAGACTTTCTCTCTTAAGCCGTGATACAATCTGTAATATGGGACTTACCAAATTACTGACTCTGTCTTAGATGGCCGAAGCCGCTGAACGTATAAGATTCTCCCCCTATCCTGGTTCCGTCTGCCTCGTAACAACGCCTCCAATGTGACTAGCACTCGCGGGGGTCTTGACCAAGAGGCTAACGCACAAGCGATCACGTCTCAATAATCGACTGTCGACACGTGTACGTGCGAAAGCGCCTAAGAACCTGATTGCATACGTCTAGGGGGAGGATTCAACGCGTCTGTAATAAGCCAATACAGCTTGCAATGTGAGCGAACGGTCGAGAAATATAGGAAAATAACGTACCGATCTGGGGATGTGAGACCCCGCTGATATCGAGGAAGCTGATTAAAGACGGCGATTTGATATAGGAGAGTTTGTTGATCATGCTGCTGTTTATGTTGACGTTGTTGGTGTGTTGGAGAGTACGAAGGGCGGCCGTTGTAATGGGCTAAAGTGAGATTTTGATTCAATCTAACTAGGCCGAGAACAACCTACCAAAAGCTCACAGGAAGAAAAGGAGTCAGGGCGATACGACGTAGATATACTGATCCAGCCGGCCGGGCGTTTGTATAGTCCGTTTGTTCTTGGCGGACGTCGCGTGCCTGTACGGGACGGACATTGGGCCCTGGCTCGTTACGGCCGTGGGTGGTTTGGCCGATGGCCGACGATCGGCGTTTTGGTTTTCCTTCTTTTGCCCGATTCCTTTGTGTATTTCCTTTAGGATTTGAACTCTTTCGCTCCCTTCTACACTATTATTTTCTTGCGTCCTACATCTGCACCATTATCTTCTTGAGGACAATCTTCGACTACCATGTAGGCTCCGGCAGCCATACTTATTTTTCCGCTGCCGGGCTGGGCCCAATAGAACTCCCGCATAGCAGCAGCTATGTATAGCGGGTTACATCGAGCAAATGACATCTGAATTTGAATTGGATTGGATTGACAAGCGCCGTTGATCCAGAGGAAGTTTTCGGGTTTGAATCTCCTCGCCCCTGTGAACGATTGCGCAATAAGAGCCTCCCCCCCTCCTCCCCCCAACTGATTTCAGTATGTTCTCGCTAGTAGGATCTGGCTATGGTCTGCATCAAATTACATCCATCAACAATTAAATTTAAAGGTCTTACCAGCCCTCTGGTAGCGGTCGGTCGGCCCATCCAGAGGACCAATTATTCCCTTTGTATAGTACCCCTATAAGTATCCCAAGTTAGCAAACTATTAAATATTGATGTATTAAAATGATTGTACAATGAAACATTTCTTACCTATCGCAAAATACATCATGGAGTTTGCGTTGTTTTGTGCATTTTCTGGATGTGTTCTAGCGAGGCGGCGACAGTCAAGAAACTCATAAGCGTCATCTGTAGCTAAAAGAGGATGATTAGTTCAATACTAGAGTACACCGTAAGTGAAACTTACTGTGAAGCCGAAGATGTGTCAATTCATGAAAGATATCTGATCCAACAGTTGTCATATCGTCGATATATGTACCCCAGGGCATTCTTGTGTCTTCTTGGCAGAGGCGACTTGGAGGGCTGGCCCAAGATCTGGGACACAGAACCATCACATTTTCTGGTTCGTAAGCAAAACCTCCCCTTGGAGAGCCCTCCTCATCGAAACAGGGATTTTTATCATGCGGCCACCGGAATTTGATTTCTTGGCCAGGAGGGGTTCTTGTAAAATAAACAAATCGTTCTAAGCCCGATACTTTTAGCCCGGAGGTTCGCATATTTCGGATCAGGACCACTCACCGCTGCGTGGAAGGTCTCTGCCCTTATTTGGACCATCCTGGTATTTTGTAACATGTACAATAGCAGAATCATCGCAATATAAGCTATATGGCATTGGTATACCATCCCTGCCTAGGTCCTTCATCCTGCTGTGGTATGCTATAAGAGATAAAATTGTGAGATTCCGTGTTCTTTTTGATGGATCATAAGAATGATAGCCTACTTTTAATATCATCCATCTCATTGACAGTCGGATTGTACATGGCCTTTAGCATTTCTCTGTCTTCTGTAGACAAGGGCCTAGAGAGAACATAAGAGCTTTCATCTGCTAGAGCGGCGAATTCATCCCAGGCTTCTGCCAACTCATACCTCCTAGGACTGCAGCTAACGCGATCATTCCATGCCCAGTGGTCTCGGGGATCAGCAGAGCATATAGCAACATAGTGCAAGAAAAGGGAAAGAAGGACTAGCCAGAATTTCGGCTTGTGTGAAACCGAACCCATAAGAAAAGAATATCTCAATTATCTTCCAACAAGATTTTTGAGAGGTAATTGTCTCGGTTCAATAGAGGTTGGCGTATTTATACTTATACAAGCTCTCTTGGAGTGGAGTACCAGCCCCAATTTGCGGCCGGGCCATTCCTCAGCGCCCGAAACTCTGAAATAGGATTGATCTTCGAGTTTAGCCCCTTATTGATTTGTTAGATAGTTTACTTGCAAAATTTGTACAATCTGAAGAGGCACGTAGTGACTATTTTGAGGGACAAAGCAACACTAGAAGACCATTTGAATGCGTATGCGTCTGGCACTCGAGATCTATTCTAGGGTGTCTGAGCACCCCTATCTCTACCACTCAAAAGCCTTTAATTGGCTCAATATTAAAGTCTGTCGACTACTTATGATTAAGTAGCTTATTAGAGAGCATTTCGGCTTTGTCTTTGGGACTTAGACCTGATGTTAGTCGGCTGAACCCACGTACTTAAAAGAACCGATTTGTCCGAGGGGGAGGGATACCAGTAAAGATTGCCGTCACTTAAGTATATAATCATGGCCCTTTTTGACCATTTGGATTTTTCGTGTACATAACCTGCCCCTCTCAAGGATAACAAGTTCAGTGTCCGCTAGATGATGATCTTCATTTTGTTGCCCGGCTTCAAGCACGAAGTCGGGCGCCAAAAACCTTGATTTATTCCTGTTAAGCGAGAGGATTAAACCTGCCTTCACGTGCTATATGTAGCAGAGTTTTTGCCCCGACTTCGTGCTTGGGGCCGGGCAACAAAATGAAATCATCATCTAAAGACACTATCTCCAAAGCCCTGGTCCACCCTGATCCTTTCTCAGTCGTGTTATTCCTTTCTACTCACTGTCCGCAATGCATTTTTTGACGTATTTGTCTAATTGTTTTGTTTCATTGATCTTCATTGCCAGCTGGTAATCAACGTCCTGTTCCTCAACTCTTAAGAACGGAGATCTCAACTGCGCATTATTACGACAAATAATAAAGACCGTGTGATCTAAGTGAACTCGGTATGTGGCTGTCTCTTATTTGACTAGTTTACACCTCAAGTATGTCAGACTGGGCGACCAGCTCGTTGCTCGGCCTGTCGTCTGGCGCGTTTGCTCGATACATCGAGACTCGGCCACGTACACAGTGTTCTTTTCCGATTCGTGCAACCTCGATTTATATCTGCTGCGAGGTAGGCCGTCAAGCGACACTCCTTAACAATTCCCGTAATGTGTCGCCTCCTCCTCATCTACGACCCTGTTGGCAATGCCAAAACCTTTTTGCAGCGCGTACCGGAGTAGGACGTTGTTTCTAGTGCAGATCTGGAATGAAAAGCGTTGTACGACCAGCAACGGATCTTTCACTGTTGGTGTTATGGTTGAACCGTTTGGCATTGCAGTATCGCCTGTCTCAATCATTTCACAATATGCATAAAAGGTTCTAACAGCTGTTAAGATTCCGCCCCTAGGCAGCTAAGAAATGGAAGGGGGCGAGCAGGGCGTAACGCGGGAGCCTCAATTCTTGGAAGCGGGGTTGAATCGCGTTGAAGAGCGTAAAAAATAGTCCGCTAAGAATTGGTATTCACAGTCCATCGCTTGATCTGGCTCAAGACCTTTTGCGATCATGAATACCACAACACGCACAGCGAGGGACCAGGCGATCTCTACCGCGGAAATCCTGGAGATGATCCTACTCCAACTCGATTTGCGCACTCTTCTCGTCGCCGCACAGCGAGTGTGTCGAAGCTGGCTCATCCTGATCAGCAAATCAGTCCAGATTCAGAGGGCCTTATTCTTTTCCCCTCTCGAGAAACCTGACGTTCCGATGCATGACCAGATACAGAACCCGCTCCTCGCCGAGGCATTCCCTTGTATCTTTCCAAGCTCCGATAAAGAATCTGAAAAGTATAAATTCAAATTTGCAGCCTTGGATATGAACCGGAGCAACACGAAAAGAGCAATGTATATGCGAAAAGAAGCAAGCTGGCGCCGGATGCTGGTCCAACAGCCTCCGATCTTGGACTTTGGATTGCAAAGAGAAACTCACGGCCGAGTTTTCGACGAAGCCTGCCATTTCAAGATTCAGGTAAGTATATATTTCATTCCCTTCACTGGTGAAAGCTTAATTGGCAATGGGTATGTGTAGGGAAGTAAGGAAATGCTCTGCGAGAAGCAGGAGGGCTTGCGAATGGAGCGACTGTTCGAGGTTCTACTCTTCAACGAAAATATCACCTGGGAGAGTTGGTCGACCAACCAGGTCAGATGGGCAACAGAGTTTCCACTTGACATCCAGGAAGGTGATGACATTGCCAAAGCACTCTATGCGATGTTGCGAAAGTTTGGCTTGGTTATAAAAGCGCGCACGGTCATGCAGTGTGTCCATGGCTTCCCACGGCCTGAAACCGAGGATGAAGGGCTGAGAGGACAGCTTGTTGCTGCATACATAGAGGCGGGTCTAGATATTAACCAGTCTTCTATCAGTGGTGTTGAGATCGAGAGCATTGTTGAATGGTTGGATACTATCCTCTAGTGAATTGAGAGGTGGATAATTGAAATCATAGCTCAATGGAATTCCGTTTCTACTAGCCAAGAAACTTCCAATAGCAAGGAGAAACCAGGCATTTTTCTTCAGCCGAGCCATAGTAACCAGAACTACCATCCATAACAAACCCAATCCATAGCAGAGCCAATCCAAATCAAAGCCAATCCATAGCAAAGCCAATCCATAGCAAAGCCAAGACTACCGCAGCGCATCTAGTTATGGTGGATGCACATTGCAGAGACATCCATTTTTGTTTTTGATCAGCCGCAAGGTCCTCTAGCATTTTTTTGAGTAATAGTTTGGTTTTTGTTATTCTTTTCTTCTATTTTCTTCACCGGATCTGGAGTGGATCAGAGGTTTCTGCCTCAGGCAATAACATCCGCCCATAAAAAGCCTCCCACGCGCCAATTTTTTTCTCTCTTTTCTTCTTCTCTGTGTGACACCCTCCACCACCCAACCTGCCAGGAGTTTGATGTTAGCTTCTGCACACAGCTTACAGGGTGTTTATGGTCTTGACTTGCCATTTTTATTAACTAACACTGACTGGGTAAGTCGCTTTTGCTCTTTGTCTCTTTTGTGTCTCCCATGGACCAGCCAGAGAGAGGGCTTGCCAGCCCTCTCTTATGATGAAAATTTTTCCTACATTCGCAGTTTCCACGCTAGCCGTCGACTTGAACCCATTTCAGACGGTTCTGTGCGCAATTTCTTCCTTGGATGTCTGATTCTGGCTGGTCCATTCGTTGGCACTTTGTTTTTTCAAATCGTGTTCTCCTCTGGAGTCCGAACTATCAGACGAGCCATGTGCTAATTGTGTCTGGTTATAGAAGCAGGGCGTTTTTATTTGGATACTGCGAAGAGTCTCGGAAGACTCTTGGATACATGAAGACTTTTTCGAGGTATTTTGAGCTATCGCGCTGGGGAATACTCGTCTTGAGCTGTAGTGAAATAGAGCAATGGATTTGTTGTGATACATTGTCCTCTTGGAAAATAATTCTTTTACCCGTAAACAAGTAAAGAAAAATGCTTCTCGAAGCCCTGGTGTCTCTACACGCGCTCGTGAAGCCGACCGAGTGCGCGGAGGGGCGATGTGCTCCGCCGTACCTGAACCAACTTGCTCCATCTCCAACTACCTGCTACATATCAACTAACTGCCTCCGACAATGCTCTGCTCGGTTTGATCGGTGCTCCACCTCTCTTCTTGTTTATCACCGCCATATTATCTCCTCAATTTACCTCCCCTCTCTCCCTCCCCCTCTTTCCCCCGTATCGTGCCAACCCCATCACATCACGCCAACATGTCTGCTCCCCCCAGACACTCGGCCGTGATGTCCATCAGCAATGCCGGCCCACCTCAATCAGCATCCAGCGATAAGCCGCAGACACCGCAACAGGCACAGACACCCAGCCAGCCCATGTCCGGGCTGCGCGTTCCCTCCAATCGCAAGACCATCTACGACCGGCATCTAAACCGCAGTCGCAATGCAGAGCTCAGCCGGGCGAGCTTCGCCTTTCTGTTCGCGGAGATGGTGACATACGCTCAGCGGAGGGTAACAGGGATACAAGATCTAGAGAAACGGTAGGCTGCACCTTGCGCATATTCAACTCAAGACGGGATACTAACAGGCTTCTTTCCAGACTAAATGAACAAGGCTATCCTCTCGGCCTGCGCCTGCTCGACCTCCTTTTCTACCGCAGCACATCCACCTCATCCTCCGCACTCTCGAGTTCTTCCACCTCTTCCTCCCCTCCTAACCGTCCTCTCCGGATAATCACCCTGCTCCATCTCATCCACGGTCCTCTCTGGCGCCTGCTCTTCCAGCGTTCCGCAGACGCCCTCGAGCACTCCGTGTCCCCCGATACCCCTAATGAATACATGATCACCGACAATGACCCACTGGTCAACACCTACATCAGCGTGCCGCGGGAAATGAGCATGCTCAATTGCGCCGCGTTCGTGGCGGGCATTATCGAAGGCGTGTGCGACGGGTGTGGGTTTGAAGCCAAGGTCTCGGCTCACAATCAGCCTTCGGAGATGTGGCCCAGTCGCACGGTCTTCTTGCTACGGTTTGGTGATAGTGTCATGGAGCGGGAGAAGGTGTTGGAGAGAGCGGGTGTCAAATAAACACCTCCCTCCTCGCCACTCGGGTCTGCTGCTGGATTCTTTCTTCCTTCTGATTATTCCCAACAATACGATACACAGTAGCAATATACACCTCACATATACATAGTCCTGCAATTCTGGATTGTATCAAGGGTCACTGCACCACCCACCATCAACCACATACGAGCTCCCCGTGACAGCGCTTGCCTCGTCACTTCCTAGAAACACAATCACTTTAGCCACCTCCTCGGGCTCCAAATCACGCTTCAAGCTCTGTCCCCGAAAAATCTCCGCACGATACGCATCCGTCAGAACCTCCTTCCTCTGCCTCTGCGTTGCTATCGCCCCGGGCATAACGCTATTCACCCGAATATTAGCTTCTCCAAACTCCTTGCTCTGCGTCCGCGTAAGACCCATGATAGCAGCCTTGCAAGAAGCGTATACTGGCGAGTCTGAAGATGGGACCTTCCATGTGATAGAGCCTAGATTGACAATACTTCCTCCCCCGGAACTCTTCATGGCGGGCACCACGGCCTGGGTGAGGAAGAAGACATGGCGGAGGTTGACGTTGATCTGGAAATCCCATGCTTCGGCCGTTACTTTCTCTGTGGCTAGTCGTGCCAAGCCAGCTCCGGCAGCAGCGTTGTTGACCAGGACATGCACGACGCCGTGCTCTTGAAGGATTCGAGCTGCGGTAGCTTGTAGCTCGGAGAGATCTGTGAGGTCGCAGCGGTAGAAGATTGGGGCTGTGATAGACGGCGCGCCTCGAGCTGTGGCCTCTTGAGATAGCGAGACAATATGATCAATCGTCCGTTGCGCGGATGTTTCCGCAATATCCATGAAGAGCACTTGGCTGCCTTGTCGAGCGAAGAGTTCGACCGTTGCGGCGCCTATGCCTTCGGCGCCACCGCTGACGAGCACGGTTTTGCCGCGTAGGCTGGGGTAAATGGCGTGCGTTGCTGCCATGTTGAGGCCAAAGGAAGAGGTGATAATATGCAAAAGGATTAAAGGATTTTGTGTGAGAAGAAGGGAAGGCGATGATGATGTAGCCAGCCCCTCTTCACATCTGCACGTCGGAGGATCGGTCGAAATCCGATATCCCGCCGCTGATACGAAGTACTTCAAGTATATCGATGGCCACCATCAATTCCATTTTTGGTCATTTATATTACAATATCGCCCGTAAGAGCATGTTATTCGACGTAAAAACCACAAATCAGAATCAAAAAGCTGCACCATATGCGCCATGCACCTTGTTTATGTTCCTTTTCAGCTCTGTTGAGACCTCATGAAGCGGGCTCTACTCGCCGCCGTTTCTCCCGGTCCTCGTAGGGCGATGGACTTCGCTTGCGGTGACTGCCCTGGTCCGGCCGCGTCCGTTCTCTGGACCGGCTTCGTTCGTAACGATCCTGCCGAGGAGAGCGAGATCTCGACCTCGACCTGCGTCTCGACCGCACGACACTGGCATTGGCACCGGTCGGCCCCGTAGGTCCCGAACCTCGATCGTCTCCACGATCAGGCATGAATCGCTCGTCTGTAATTCCAACGGGAGGGCCGTCGCGACGACCCCGAGACCGGTGATCAAAGCCATCGCCAAAGCGGCCGGTATCTTCGCTTTTGAGGTCTCGGTAGCGAGTCCGACCTTTCTTGCCGAGCTTGGTCATATCACGGACCTGCATGTACTGCGGTAGGGTCTCGCGGTTGACATCATCCACAAAGCTCCGGCCCATGAGATTGCGCTGGTCCAAGCCCTCCCGCTCCTGATCGTCGCGGAAGAAAGCGCCCTTGTGGAAGTAGCGCTGCATGAAACCAGTCTGGCCGCGGTTGGCCTCGCGCTCTTCTTGCTGCTTGGCCAGGAACTCGCGGTCCTCACGATCCCGCTCTTCGGCCGTCAGATTGCGGCGCCGCTCGACCTCCTCGCGCTCCTTCTCAGCCTCTTCGATGGTTTCACGCTCACGCTTGAGTCGTTTCAGTTCCCGTAGCTTCCATGCTGCGTACTCCGCCTCCGGGTCCGCCCCGTCGCGGTCGTCGATGGCCCCTTCTTCGTCGGCTTCCACGAGTTCGTCATCATCCCAAGCCCTGTGTGCTGCTGAGCGCGCAATTGCGTCCTTTTCCAACTGATCCCGTACCAAATTGTCTGCTTTCTCCTGTCGCTGAGCTCGACGTACCTCGTCTGCAGTCGAATCTGCGCCGCCAGCCGGTGCTTGCGTCTTGTCGGTTGCTTGCGCTTCTGCGTTTCCCCGCTTGTCCTTTTTTATGAAAGTAGGCCGTAACAACACCCTCCGCGGCGCCTCGTCCTCAGAGCTGCTTTCCTCTTCCGAGCTCTCTTCCTCCTCTTCCTCTTCTTCGTCGCTTGCTTCCGGCCCCGACACTGGAGCAGCCTTCTGTACTGTTGTTTCTCCCATTCCAGTCGCAACTTGTGGCGTAGTCTTGGCTGGCCCCGATGGGCGCGCAGGTTCATCTTCTTCCTCATCGGTCACAAACCCTTCTTCATCCTCATCCTCCTCTATCCTCACATTTTGAACACCCTTCGCAATCTTTCCAGCCGCGCCCGCAGGGAAAGAGCTTGCAGCAGGTGCTCGTTGTTTCCGTCGTTGTGCTTCTGCTTGTCTGCGCCGCTCTTGTTCTTGTTGCGCTTCGGCATCGTCTTCCTCCTCTTCTGAAGATGACTCCTCAGCTGCAACTGGCTTGCCTGGGCGATAGCGACCGACGGGTTTGAGAGGGTTTGCGGTCATGCCGCGGCGGTCGGAGGGGAGTGGAGGTGGCATCGTGACGGTGGTAGAGGTGTGTTGTCGAGGATTGAGTTGAGGGGGTGGGGGTTGGCAAAATGTTGTCGGATCAGGTCTTCATTTGCTTGTCCAATAGTATGATGACTGGACAGATAACTGTGTTACTCGGCGCCAGGCCGTTGGGGAGTTGTCGTGGTAAGGAACTGCGTCGGACCAAAGCTTTTGCCCGCAATGGTGATTCCATATCACGTGATGAACGGACATGGTGACTTGTTATGAAACCCTATAGCTAATTACTATATGAATTAGAAACCATTCAAAATTTATAAGCCTCATACGAATGCTAGATATGATCTAAATAGTGCTGAAGATGCTCGGTTTCACGGACTATAGGATTTCCCTGCTTATCGAGTTATCCACTTACGCAACTAGTTTACAATCCACCACTCTTCTTGATCGAGGATCAATTCACGTGACCACGTGTTGCGCGACCGCGTCCAGGGCGAGTGTGGTTGATTCCCGATCAACTCCTCCGCACAAAGCAAAACAACAGCATTTCCTTTTGGAAACACCAAATTGAACCCACACAACCCATACAGCATCAGGAACACCCATCATGTCCCTACAAACGCCCCGCGTCCTCCCCGCCCACCTACACGCCTTCCATCCCTCCAGCGGTGGGCGCTCAACACACACCGTGCGCCTCCTGGGCACCGTGACCGCGCTCCGCGGTGATACTGCGACTGTGACATGCGGCGGCAACGGCGACGTCACACTCATCCTGAAACCGGACTCCCACCTGCAAATGGGCAAGTTGGTCGAGGTTGTGGGCAAAGTGGCTGACCTCGAGGGCGGGCAGGTATGCCTACATACATTCCTTATATCGTCACCGAGAAGATTATGATATATGCTCTGGGTGATATGGGGCGGATAATACTAACTCTGCGGCTGTAGGGCCTCGGTATTCGGGTGTTGGGAACGACGGACTGGGGAAATCCAAGTGATTGTGGTATGTGCTTGATATCCGGAGCTGCTGATATAGTTCCTGTGTTGGGCATATTTTGCCGTTCTTCATTTATTTGCTTCTTGTTAAGGCACTCGTGGCGTGCTAGCTTGTGTGCTAACTTCTGTTACAGATTATAAAATCTACGAGCGAGTGGTCGAATCCACCCATCGCTTCAAGTCTATCTTCTACGATGCCGAGTGAATTACTCCCATGACCGACTGGGAAAAAGTGTCCCTGCTTCAACTATTCTCATATCATTCAGTGCTGGCATACTACATACGATGTTATGATATTCGCTAAAATGGAAATAATCGCTGGAGTGCTCGTCCACTCGCCCTCTGCATCTCTCTCTCTCCGATTGTAGTCCTTTGCGCAAGCAGCCCAACCATTGAAGCTCCATCCTTTCGTCTTCTCTTCATGCAAATAATGCTCCACCACAGAACGAAGATCGGGATCCCACGTACATAGCGAGTCATAATACGCATCCCAATCATCCGGCTCAATAACAACATGAAGCTCTTCCAACTTTTCCAAGGCACCAGGCACAACGAGGCCCTCGTCATGGTCTTGATGAGCAATCAATTTTATTGTACTCGGTACAGCTATGTCGACTTCTTTTCAAGTAGTTGAGCGTTCCAAGGGTGGCGTGTTGGTGATTAGAAGACTTGTAAAGAAACGAGTAGTGGTACACCCTCGGATCCTACTTTGGATGCAGTTATCGCGTTCTTTTGATCGAACGGGGACACCCACTATTATTATTTCGCAAGAAATGTCAACAGATTGACGATGATGCGAGGTAAAAGGAAGCGGGATCAAGCCAGCCCTACGCTCAGCCACAGCGGCGCTCAGCCATTCCGCGAAGATCTGCGCTGCTGCCTGTTGTCAGCATTAGCATCATTGATCACCAACTCTTCCGGGGTCTCCTCGGATTTCTTCTTATCACTTATCGCATTCATTCATCATGGGCCGATCCACTGACGCTGTGCCCCCTTACGAGGAGCTCTACGCTCAACCGCCCGCCAACGCATCCACCGGGGTAAGCGATAACTCTCTCCTACACGGTGTGGGTGGAAAACAAACCAAGGAATCTTTTTTACTGATAAAACCATTTCGCTCAGTACACCGCCGTACTCCAAGCTGATCATGAAGACCACCAAGGTGTCACAGATGTGGAACTGCACGCTCAGTCCGGGCCAGATGTCGAGGCTCAACCACACAAGCACTGCGAAGAGTGTGACAAAGTGCTTGAGCGCAGAGAGCGGCGGCGTGGCGAGAAATATTGCTGCACGATGGTTTCGGTGACGTTTATTGTGGCGTTTGTGTGTCTGATGCTGTTTGGAATCGTCTTGGTGTCGGGGAAGAAGGGCAAGCATTAGGGTGGGAGGGTGAGGACTTTCTCAAATCGGCTTTTGTTAATTTGTTGCGTATGAATCAATGATTTTCCCACCAAGTCAGCGTGATTGCTACGAAGATACGAGCCAGAACCTCATGCCCAAATTAATGGATGAGCTGGGATATTAGATGCAGTAGATATAAGCAACCACATGCTGGGAATTGAATTCCCTAATGCCAGCAGGGCAAAAGATTGTCTTTCGTAATGTCAATATGTATTCCATAGACTGCTAACCCATCTTAGGTGGGTTGCTATTGATGACCAGAGTAAACCGCCGGGAAAACCACTCAAAACACCACCAGTAAGGAAATTCAAACAACCAGCTTTCGAAGGCTAGCATGCAAACAAATGCCACTCCGCTGTATCCAGACGCCATCGCTTTGGAAAACTCAAAAACAAAAACCACATCAAATAACAGAGAAAAACATGCTGTGCTTCCTGCTCTAGCCCTTATGAAGAAGGGGACGCTGCTTGCAGACTGCCATGCCGTTGCTGTTCCTCAGCAGAGTGTTTGGTAGTAGGATCTTGGTGAAGGGCATCAGAACTGAAAAAGCCCGAGTCGGGAACGGTGGCGTCGGCAAAGTGAAAGGGGTTGAAGTCGGAATCGTGGATGTGTTCCTTACCGACGACAGGGTCGGCCAAGATCGCGGTAAAGAGATCTTCTGAAGGATGGGCAGCATCCTCGTCTGATCCCGCAGGAGACACGTAGTCCTCTGGCAGCCAGTCTGCCCAGTTTTCGCCGCCGAATTTCGTGTTCCCCAGCGGGAAGGAGCCTTCGGCATCGAAGATGTCCATGATCATGCCGTCGATGGATTCAAATGCCTCGGAATGCAGGCCATCGTCAGCCAAGGTGGGAATACCAGGGGTATGAGCCCGAGATTGCTTGCTGGGAGACCGTTTCTGTCTTGAGGTTGACAGGGGGCTTCCCTGGTGTTCCTGTGCACGTTGCAGCCGCTCCGCAGTAAGACGGGCCGGTGACAGACCCAAGCCACCGTCCCTACGCTTGTTGATAGTTGGCGAGTTACAAGGCACCGAAGCAAATTTGTCGTTAAAAGCCGGACGATGGTTTCGTCGACGGGGCGTCGGGCTTGTAGGTAGGTCGAAATCCAATGTCGGACTCTCGAAGAGACCATCAAGATCATCGTGCGGCGTTGGAGCCATGTTCTCCTTCCCGTCAATTCGCTTCTCTCCCCGCGAGGCAATTCGAGGGCTGCGTCGTGGAGAGCAGCTATTGATGCTATTGATCGACGAAGCATCGAGAGGCTTCAATGTTCCTTCGTTGTGAGCATTGTGGAAAAGCATCCTGCGCACAGGTTTGGGCGTCAGGTTGTCGCCGTTGTCCGTCTGCAGGTGAACGTGCTTGGCCTCCATATTCCTCGCCGGACTGGATTGAATGGCCCGCCGAAGCGCCTCCATGGCGTCTTGCTCATGCCAGCGGTTCTCTGCGGTATCGGTTGAGCGTCGAGGTTCAACGCTATTAGCACGACGGCGTTTGTTTGGTGATGCATCCGCCTCATAATCCTGATCGTTGTCGTTGTCCACACGGGGAGTAGGCCCATCGGGTACGGAGGAGGCTTCAGTGGGTGCCGGAGATGACACCCCGACTCTGCTTGACGGAGCTTTGCTGCGCGTCCTGGCGGCAGGGCAAGGTTGCGACAATGGGCCATCCCTGCGGCTCCTCGAAGGACGCTTCCTCTTACCGCCAGGAACCTTGTTCCACTTGTTTTCTGGACGCATGGTCTTGAACTTGTGAAGCCAGAGACCACAAGCTGCATAACAGGTTAGTACAATAGTAGCGAAAAAAGACGAGCGAGACGCCACTTACGATTGCAGAGGAGGATCTGCGCCCAATCATTGTCGGCATCCACAAGACTCTTCTTGTAGACCTTGAACTTCGAGACATCATTGTTGTCGTCTCGCTCCAAAACCTGCCAGAAAAGCATCGTGGGGTCCTTTAACATCTCACGTGCAGTATCTTCATTACCGACGATCTCCTTCGACCAAGCTCGGCGCCATGTGGGAGTTTCGATTGATCCACAGTTCTCACAGTAGGGGGGAACTTGTCCAGAGCGAATGGCTTGGTCTAAACGTGCCTGGACTTGTTTCATACGCTTGGCTCCAGCACCACTCCGGACTTTGCCATCCTCGGGCGGCGGTGCCGGGGTTTCTGCAACGGTGAAGTCACTCATGGGACCAGCCCAGGTTTGAGAATGCTGAAGAGGAGGGTGCGTGGGCCCGACGGGGTCGCTGGCGGGGATTGCATTCATCAATTGCTCGACTGCACTTTGCGGCATGGGAGCTGGTGCCAAGGGCTTTGGTGCCATCCGCACACTGGCTCGGGAAGATGGTCTGGATCCACCCGACGTGGATGGGCGAGGCAGTGAAGGCTGTGCGTCCTTTCGATTCTGCTCTTTTGATCCATCGCTCACCAGGAATAGGTCATTGGTAACTCCACCAGTCGCACTGGCCGGCGAGCTAGCTTGCACTGCAGAGCGTACAGGGCGCTTGCCTTGCCTGATATCATGAGATTCTGCTCTTCTGCACTCATCCAAGGGAGTGACAGCATCATCATCTAGAAGATCCTCCAGGCCGCCGCTCATGAAACCAGAGTCGGCATCCAGAGAAATAGGTGGCAGCACGGGACTAGACCTTTGCGGGAATCGGCCGTCCATGATCGGAGGTGACGACGGCATTGTGAACGATGGCTCAAAGAGACCTTGATACCGAGACTCCTCTGGCGAATGGGCCGTCGGATCCGTTGCAGGTTGGTCATCACTCATACAGTATGGCGATGTATATGTACTGGTTATCGATGACTCGCGTAGTAAACTGGAGGGAAGTTGACCTCGACGAGGCAGATCAGCAGGCCGAGAGATTGGAGTTGGCGGCCGCACAGGCTCTTCGTTCGACTGCTGAATGGTAGCTACAAGGGAAGGATTCACAGGGGTCGGACGGTGAATTCGCACGGAAGCCGCTGTACTGGCAGCCACCCGCAGTGAACTTGGTTGTCTTTCGATATTCAAGTCCGACTTGCCAGGCCAGGTCGCTTGGTACACCTTGGCTCTCTTCCGTGGCTGAGGATCGACAGACTCTTCACCACCGCTGCCATAACCAGATTGCACGGAGTTTCTCCGCAAGTCATATGTTTGCATCTGAAAGTCATTGTCCCGCATGGACGCACTTGACGATGGTCGGATGATGTCGCTCGAAGGGATGCCATGCTTCTGTGATTGGTGCTGATTTGGGGGCCGCGACCCGCCAGGCGTTGAGACTCGGCTAGGAGCATATGATTGAGCAGGCGAGGCGGATCGGACCGACTCGTTCGGTGGTGGAAAGTTAGAGAAATCGCGAGGCGTAGACCCTTCGCTCAAGAGCTGGTGAAACCGATCGATCCCAGAATGACTCATTGAGGCCAGGGTGCGTTCGAATTGCTGACCCTTAGCAGTTTCCAACAGACCCGGGTTTTGACGGACAAAATTCGTCCATGATTGCGCATCGAACTCGTGGGGGATGACGGTGCTCAGTTCTCGGTATTTTTGCATGCTATCAAGATATTCGCTCTGCATAACGGTCGGAACAGGCACAAGCCGCAGCTTAACCTCCAGCGTCTCATGGGCGGCAGCCTTTGAAAAGAGACCCATGGGGTTCTTGCACACGCGGCCGGTGACCATGGTTTTGGACTGATGTGCCGGTGCATCTGGCGTTGGAGAGGACGAAGCCAAGACCCATGATAGCATCCCCTGTCCAACCAGAGGGGTTTCGTATTCCGAGTAGTCGTAAGCATATACCGTATAATCCTTGCCCAGCTGGGCCACTAGTTCGGGACTGCAAGGCCAATGGTGTGAGAAATCAGTTTTGTTGACTGCCAGTGACAGGGACTAACCTCGCAGACACAATGGCTTGGATGCATGTCTTTAGCTCGATGACCCCCACGGGAGTCTGTTCGTCCAGATAAGCGGTCTGGATGTCCAGCACATGAGGCCACCGAGCAAGACAGTTGGTCTTGTTTTCATTGTCGAAGGTATAGAGGACCTTGACTGTTGAATCTGTTTTAGCTTCCATTATTTCACATCGATATAGGGGTAAGTGCCTACGCCTCATGGGGCGGACGGTGATTCCGTCCTGAGATTCCATCTCACCAAACTCGCGTGTTCACCATGCACCACACTGGCCTGGAGAAGAGGTAGACTGATAGATGAGGATCTTGCAGGGTTATAAAACGAATCCAGTCCAATTGCCGAGATAAGAGGATGCAGTCGAAGGTGGGTGGGAGGAGGAGGTGAGAGGGTGAAGATCGAATATACCAACACCACTCAAACAGGTCCTTGAACTCGTCGAGCGATCAGCCAAGCATGACTGACCAAGGTGGGTTAGAAATCTCGTCGGCCGGGAGAATGGATAGGTTATGCAACAAGCAGTGGAGCAGCGTTCTGGTCTGCAGGACTGGAATGTTAGAGAGGGTCAGTCGAGAATTCCGTAAGATAGGATTGAACGAGGGATCGATTGGCTGTTCCTACTGTAAGAAGAATTGTGCTGCAAGAACCACGTAAAATGAGATAAAAAATGTCTGCAGATAGTTCGGACGAGGGAGGAAAGATCGAGAGGGAGGCGAATAATGCGAAGAGAACGAGGTCCTTGCATGCGCGATGCTGAAGTACTGATCCGCCGATCCCCAAACAGGCGTGGACGCGACGTGACTCTGCAGCCTGAAATGCAAGGCACCAAAGCACGTGACCACGCAGACTTGCAACTTCGGTGCGAAAAGAAGAACATACATCCATTGCCCTTTTATCCTCGCCCACCATGTCGACAGCCCCCGACCCCAAGATCCAGTATGTCATTGATCCTATGACTCCCACGGTCGGGAAGTCGGTTCGCTAACATTTTGCCTCCCCCAGAGATCTGCTCAACAAGCCCAAGGCCGAGCTCACGTAGGTTCCTTCACCCCTCGAGTCTGATGGAGATCGCCCTCGATCCCCCTTTCCTTTCTGCCTATTCGACCCAGCCTATGGCGGGACTCGCTTGGGATGCCCGCATTACGGACAACGAAGCACCGCATTTCTCCAACTACCACCCACTCCCCCCAAGCATGCACGCTGAGTAAAGGCATACATATACTAACCGAGGACCCGCATATCCGAACAGGGAGTACGAAGTCGCTCTGGTCGAGGAACATGAGCTCACCGCCGGCCCGCTGTCCCTTCTGCAGACCGCCACCCGCACGCACACCCAGGTCCTGATCTCCTGCCGCAATAACCGTAAGCTGCTGGCCCGCGTCAAGGCCTTTGACCGACACTGCAACATGGTGCTGGAGAATGTCAAGGAGATGTGGACTGAGAAGCCTAAGGGCAGCAAGGGGAAGGGTGTGAACAAGGATCGTTTCGTGAGCAAGATGTACGTTGCGTCCCCTACCTCCTCGACTTGCGATCTGATCGATGCTAATCGCTTTCTTTTTCCTCTGGATTAGGTTCCTGCGTGGCGACTCCGTGATCCTCGTCTTGCTCAGCTGAATTATCTTGGTTATCTCTTCCCATCTTCGTGCGCATCGGCATCCCTCCCACGACTCCGGTTACATGTTCCCGGGATGTGTTGATCCCCTGCCGCTCGCGCCGCATCTCTCACCCACAAAGGTCCCTCGTGTGACTGAACGGACCTACCATGTCATCGATGTCGATACCCTTTCTCTGTTTTTCTTCTCTGTGTTCTGCTTCCCTTGCTTGTGGCTCTCGTTGCGGCTAGGGTTCGATAGATCGATGTCTGCTCTTCTTCCAAAAGTAACCTTGGCATGTAACATTGCGCCGCAAGAGGCTGCTGGATGAGTCTTTTTATCTTTTGGCTTGGGAGGGTTGTACTTGAAAATATCCGGCGTTCAGTTCTGGATGTACTTTCCGTCTGTGGTTGATCTAGAAAGCATCGGGTCGGTTGGAGCAAACTCGTGGCGTCTTCGCAACCATAAATTGAGTAGTAGAATAAATCTCAAGAGTTATCACTGCCTAGCTGCGCTCCAGCAATATTTCTAACCACTATTCTATAATACATGGCAGTTGATATGAAAGCAGCTTATACATATCCCTGTCATTTAAGGTGACGACGATGGATGCTGTTTGCCAGACATTTGCACTATTTATGAGTAGGGTAGAGTGAACTGCTAAGCCAAGCATGTGTCTAGATTTACCCTAGAAGTGCTCCTGCTCAACGTAGAGTGTATTTGTTCGACTACAGAACCCGAAACGAGGTATCCAATACATTCTTGTCATCAACATCATGAAATTATAGTAAACATCGCCCACAGACTCCCAAGGTCAAAATATATGAGTATGTAAACGAAACACTGACAAACAGCGTCAGCTCTAGACCGCCTCAGCCAGGCCAGTCAGGAACTCGCTGAGACCGAAAGCGCCGGGGTCAGGCACTTTGCCGAGCCACTCTCCCTCATCACCAACATACACAGCGCGGCCCAAACTGGCTTTCATGCTCTTGGTGGACTCGGTACCCTGCTGGGAGGCGGCGGCGGCAACGCGCACGTCGAGGGTCTCCAATAGGGTGTCGCCGAAGGGGACAAGAGCATCGATGAGAGTGCGGTCACCAGGCTTGGCTGGTGTATACTTGCTCAGCGCGGTTATGGAGTGCTTCAGGGCCTTGGCCCAGACCTCGGTCGTGGCCGGCACGGCGGAGCTCTGGTCCTGGGCGCGCAGGCCGTGGGCCAGCGCGTTCAAGAAGATGGCATAGATGGCACCTGAGGTGCCGTCCATGGTGTTTTCAACCACGGTCACGATGCGGTTCACCGTGTTGACGATGTCATCGCTCAGTGGGGGCGAGGCATTGTCTAGAAGCGCCTGGATGGCTTCCGCCCCACGCTTCAGACCCACGCCGCAGTCACCGTCACCTACGATGGTATCGTAGCGGGTAACCTCGGGTTCCACGCTGATGACGCGCTTCAGGCCGGCGCCGAGAACCTTTTTAACAACGGCAGGATCCACTGTGATAAGAATGAGTTGGTGAATTACAGCCGATGAAAACAGAAAAGGACTTACGCTTAAGGTTGCTGGGCGTCTCTTCGGCCAGGTTGGAGTCTTTGAGCTCAACAGGAGTGTCGGACCGATTATCCCAGGTCGAGGTAGGGATGGGAGCGGACCAACCCACAGCTTCAGCGGGCGCGTCCAGCAGCTCCAGCATGGACTTTCCAGGGCCCAGGCCGGTGTCGGACAGCTTCAGTAGCGAGACATTGAAGCCGAGGCCGTTCAAGCTGGTCAGGAAGGTACCCTGGATGAGACGGACCGGCTTGATCTGGTAGTCGCGCTCCAGCTGGCGGTAGACCTCGTCGGTGATACCGGCCATCTCCAGCGGGCTGACACCGCCGAGGTTATTAACGAGCATCACAAACTTGTCCTCGGGCTTGCGAGTGATGTAGTTGCGGTCGGTGTCGTTCTGATCGAGCAGCTGCTTAAGCATGATGGAGACCAGACCTACAAGCTCGAATTTGGCCCGGTGGGAGCCCGGCTCGTTGTGAATACCCATGCCGATCTCAACTTCGCCGTGCTCAACCGTGTCCTCGGGCATATCACGACCGGGGACGTGAACATGCTCCAGGGAGGAGCCCAGTGTCACCAAGTTATCGTTTGCCTGCTTGGCCAAGCCGTATACTTCCTCGAGCGAGCCACTGGGAAACTGGTTAGCCGCGTGTTTTGGTCCCTCACAAACCGGAGCAACGTACCCTGCCTCAGCCAAGGCTCCAATCATCTTGAGGATCAGAATGCCACCGCAAAGTCCGCGGCGGCCGACCAAACCGCCCTTCTCCCGGCCCACACCAACATCGTCGTTGATGGCAAAGAACTCGGTGTTAATGCCGGCGGCACGGCACTTCTCCGCGGCCATACCGAAATTCAACACATCGCCGGTATAGTTCATGGGAATGATGAACACGCCTTCCTCGGTGGGGACGCGGTCCATGGCGGCCCTGCGAATCTGCTCCGCGGACGGAGAGGCGAAGATAGTGCCTGCGACCGAGGCATCACACAGCCCGTGGCCGACATACCCCGCAAAGGCAGGCTCGTGGCCGGAGCCACCACCAGTGACGATTGATACTTTCTTGGCCTTGCGGGGAGCATCTGGGCGACGGAAGACGATCTTGTGCGTGGGGTCCAAAGCCAGAGACGGGTTTGTCAGGGTAAGCGAGTGGAGGGCAGTCAGAACCAGGTGGTTCGGGTCGGAGAAAAAGTGTTTGGCTAGAGACTGCTGTCAGAACCATCGGTTATGGAATGCTTCCGTCTGTCTGGACAGACTGGGGCAGATAGTGGAGCGAACGTACTCTGCATGATTGATCAATTGTGCACAGTCAGATAGACACCCAGTGGATTCGCGGAAACCGGACAGCGCGAGCCGCTGGAGAAAGATGGGAAGAAGGTGGAGAATAAGGACCGCTGTGCAAGGTCCGGAGGCTATATATAAGGAGGTTGTCGTAAGGAAGGGGCTTCGTAATAGCTCTCGGTAAAACTAGTTTCTTAGCCTAACAGCGAAGCAGGAATGCGGTTTATTCGGTTGATTGGAGACCGGGCACGAAGGCGGGGAAAAAAGTGGGGGAGATTCAGAGGTGTGGAACGTGTATAGTGTGGGGGGTGGGAAGAGGTGATGTGATGGCGATCGCGATAGTGAGAGAGGGAGAGTGTGAGAGAGTAAGAGGAAGTGGGAGAAAAGGAGAGTCGAGGGGTCTTTATGTGGTGGTGTACCCCTCTAGATTGGAAGAAGGATGGAAGGAATGGAAGAAGACTTTTTTTTACAGCTCACATGAGGCAGCTCGTGCTTCCCCCACTACGCCCCGGATTACCGCCTATGGGAATCCCGCCAGGCACCCTTTCTAGCTATCGCTATCGCCCGATATCGCAACAGCTAGGTCGGCATCTCGCCGGAGTCTACCGGTAGGCTAGAACCCCCCTGAACCGGGCTAGCCGGTGCACCGACCACCACTTTACTTGCGCCTCGGATTTGAATATGCACCAGAAACACCACAATGGCATGGTCCGCGTAATGGCCTGCTAGCTGTCCCACGATGGGGCGGGCGCAGTGGAGGCATCATGAGACCAGCAGAAAAGATCTACGACGAGATCTGCTCCACGGGCGCAGGGGCCAAAAGCCCAGACTCGGCTGTCAGATCGGGCCCCGGTGGAGCCAATACTGGCCACGCGGTACAGCACAAGGCAATCAATCCCTGGCAGCGGTCGGCTTCTTACTGATCCTGGGAATAACGGTCTCGTATCCGTCGGGCCTAATAGGGACTCAGTTAATTCTCATCTTGATGAATCTGATACCATGCTTGCTAGCTATAACGGTTCAAACCCCTACTATGGACGAAGCAAAATAGTTCAGACGTGCGGCCGTGTGGAAGAGTGAGGCTGGATGTTGACAGTCAGCGTAAAGTGTTAACTTGACATGCCCCTGCTTTTATCCAAGTGATCATCATTAGATCGCTAGAACCGCGTGATTGCTCAAGTACGACTTTTGTCCTATCGTTCAACCCTACGATATCGATCTTTACGATAACCACTACGATCTACGAACGGTGGTTGCTGCTTGGCTTTCGGGGCCTGGCCAAGGGCCTGTTAGTAGTCCCACGGCGCAAATGCAACGGTCCAGAAGAGGTAGAGCACAAGGTTCGCACCAAGAGCTCTCCACAAAACCATGACACCAGTAGCGTCAGGCTCAGAAAACCCAATTGCACGCATAGATGAGACGGCCAATAGTACCAGAGCACTCTGTGAGGGTCGCCAAGAGGATAGAAGCACAGCGCCATGGGCAGTCCCCAGGGACCAAGCAGCAAACGCACACCTACACAGCAGCAGGCCATTAGTAGTATCTGCCCGGACTTTCGATCAAGGGCAAGACACCAAAATAGGAGAGAGGAAAAGGGGCAAAACAGAACATGCATGTCCTTTCGCTGGTATTGTCCAGATCAAGTTTTAACGGTAATATCTCAGAACGAGATTTACTCCGAGGAGTAAAGTCTCGAACACCCGTCATGCGCGCTCCTCAAAAGGAGAATACTCACCGGGATTCCGAAAACACGGAAACCAGCATCAAGGGCATCTTGGAAACCGGCACAGTTGCCAGACCAATGCGCTTGGAATATCCATACTTCAAACCGCGGCGGCCTCAGCCTTCGCCCCCGATCGCCCATCCCGTTCAACCGAGGCATCTGTTTCAGATTCCCAGTCGGTAGGCTTCAGGTGCTGGAACCACTCCTTCTTCGATTTGCGCCACCACTCCACCAGTGCGAGAATCGTGACGCCTCCCATGATGACAATCGCATAATTGAACAGGCTGGAATCCTTATCGATCATACTGTCCGAGTACTGCGGAGCGCAAAGTACTGCGAACAAGAACCCGTTCCAAACAAATGTAATGATGGCTGCCACCACACCAAACCAGCCCATATCCCAAAAGCCAGGGCGGAATGACGTGCGTGTCACGAAAGTGCGACCGAGGCCGACGAGACTGTATGCTGCGATTGAACCCACGGCTGATGTCGAAATCAGACTGGAAAAGGCGACCTGGGACGGTAACTGGGTGCACAGCAGAAGCGCGGCAATGACTGCAATGAAGATGACTGCATTGCGAGGCTGTTTGGACTTCGAAACCCGTGATAAGACATCGCTGAATGGGAAGACACCATCACGAGCGACGGCGAAGACGAGTCGTGACACCGCGACCAGTGAGATGGAGGTGTTTAGGATCGCTCCAATCATTGAGATGACGGTCATCACAACATGACCCCGGCCGAGCGCCATTGAGTACATGTGGATGAACGGCTGAGGCGCGCTGGTGTCGTAGAACTTTTCAATGGACGGCATGCAAAACAAGAAGAGTACAATAATCGGAAAGCCACACAGCGCCGAGGCGACAGTCGACCAGAAAACACCCTTGGCAGCGGCCTTCTTAGCCGAGATTGTTTCCTCGGCTACATGACCAGAGGCGTCTTCTCCAACAAGACAAGAGCCAACCAAGAACCATGAGAGCACCCAATTGAGGCCAGGACTGGTATCACCGCCGTTATAGGTTGAAGTGAAAACGAAGTCGGCGGATTGGAACCCGTACGTCTGCGAGACACCAATAGGCAACCAGATAAAGTTAAGGAGCATGTCAATCACAATGACGATGACGCCGGCGCGGAACACCCACGAGTACATCCGCGGGGGCAGGAAGTTCAGGGCGGTAGCGATGGCGAGGAAGAGCAGGGAAAAGGCCCAGGCGATGGCGCGAGCACGTACATCCGAGGTGGCGTGGGGGAAGCTTGCGTGCGGGTCGAACACAACGACCTCCGAGATCAGGTAGTTGGCCACACCAAATGAATCACTTGCGAGAAAGGCCGTCCATGCCACGAGTGTCCATGCCGCAACCAGGAATGAGATGAGCCGTCCCAGGCGTCCACCCCCCACGATCGGAATGCCCAGTAGTAAATGGACCCAGCGGCAGGATAGCTCGAACAAGCCTCGGCGAGACAGGCGGCAGTGATGATCGAGAGGATGCTGCCCGAAACCCAGGAGCTCCATCTGCGGAGGTTGTTAATTCCAGCCTGGAAAGAAAGTTGGAGCCACTTACATCGCAGCAGGGCCACCTCCACTCAGAGCGATGTAGAAGAGCACACGGATGCCTCCGATGCAGTACAACGCAGAGAACGAGCAGGCGAAGTTGTCGAAAGAGCCCCACCCACGCGCTAGGACAGAACGGTATCCCAGCTTCGCCAGATCGCGATCGTCTTCATTGGCCACGGCCAACTGGTGGCTGTTCATGTCCGAAGCCATTCGTTCAGGGTATGGGATCTAAATTTGGAGAGAGATTCTTGAGTGGGAGAGACGTGAGAGATGCTCGAGACGTGAGTCGAGATGCGGGAAGGGCGCAGAGTTTTTTTAAGTTGGTGATCCATGATTAATAATAATAATGGGCTTGAATGGACGGGCCCAACGGTAATACATACGAGGAATCATTAAAGGCAGAAAGAGGGTCTTGTAGTTTCCATAGTCTCCTGGTTTACGCAGTCGAAGCATCTCGGACCATTGAATTCCATAACAACTTTGCCGGTTCATTCAATGGCCGACTCACAAAGAAAAAGCCCTGCAGGATCGATTCGGCACTGTGCCAATCCTCCACTTGTAACTGTCGCGCGGTTTCTTTGAGATGCTGCAGGAACCATGCAAAGCAATCTGGCTCGTGAGCGGCAAGGCTGCCCATAAACAGCATCCAGAAGAGCAGATCTAGATCTGTCTGCTGGATGATATGAAGATTTTCATCCAGATGTTGCCGAAACTGGGCCGCCGTATTCTCTGCGCAGGCCATCCCATCAAACTTCCACACCCGGATCGCCGTATGAACTTGGATTGACAGCCGCAAAGTTTCTTGAAAAGGCGAAAGTGGGCGGTCACGTCCTATCGTAAACAGCCGGTGAGCCAATAAGACTAAGTAGCCATGTTCGCTTGGCACCGGCTGTGAGGGTATCTCATCCGACTGGCTCTCAAAATAGAGAGCGATTGGTTGGAAACTTTGCATAATCGCCTTGAGATCTGGATCGAGATCTTGAGACCATGAGGAGTTAAAAAAACGGCCCCCGAATGAGGTTGCTGTGCAGCGATGGTTGGCCGTGGGAAACGCCGACCTTTCTCGGGCTTCGCGTTCCCATTTTGCTGATATGTAGAATTCCAGAGGGGAGCCAAGAAGCCCTATAACAAGATCGCAACTGTGCAAAGGAAAATATTCAGATTCGCAACTTTAGCCCTCGGGTTAGCTCATGGTTGACCTACCAGTATACTAGGGTTTCTGCGGGATATCCTAGATTATCAACCCCCCCAAGAACTTCAATGATTCTCTTCATACCCTTCATGTGCGCATTGACTGCTTCCACGTTGCCTTCGGCGCCCTAGTCGTGGTTAGTAAGCCAGAGTACATATTTCTCAAAGAATGTAGCAGAGCAGGGAAAGATTCATCTAGAGAGAAGGAGTACCCAGCTTCTTACCTCGATATAGAGGAGATGAGCCATGGCTATGAGTATGGAGACTGAATAATGATAGCATGGCTGGTTCAGTACCTGCCGGAGTGATTTGATGGCTTCACCCCTCAGCTGGAGCCCATCTTGAACGGACTTTTGGATAGTTTGTGGAGAAGCATCACGGAGTGAGAGGCCAATAGCTCGATGGAACGCGCCCATTGATAAAAAGGTTTTCAACATGGCTGGCTCAGCAAACGCCATCTGCAGAAGCGACAGTTTTGGCCCGTCGGAATATAGAGGAAGATATGCTTTAGACGTATAGAACTTGACTAGGTAATCGTTAGCTTTTACGACCAGAATAGTCTAATATTGCCAGCGGATTGTCAAAGTGGCAGCAGTCCCGCAAAGGAATTTTGCAGTGCTCACAGTGATGGAAATACAGGTTCATATTTTGGTCTGTGTGAAGAGACAAGGAGAGTACACCGTCTAGAATGTCCAGGTTGGTGGCTTGTCCTAATACTGGTGTATGTGCAATATGAGCAGGAGCTTCTTGAGACCGTACAACGCGGTTCTCACTCGGAAAAGGTTTAACAGAGGTCTTCAAGTTCTGCAGTTGGGTTTCCTTTTTCCGTCGATGATATCGTGTCCTTATAAAGGCTTGTTTGGCTCGAGCAGCAGTGCGGTCTTGAGGATCCTCATCTTGGTTCACCCATAGGAAGTCTGTCGGCGACTTCGTTGGAAGGGCATCTTCTTCAACGGCTCGTAACGATGCACCATGTGGGATCGCTCTCGAAAGTGATCGAGACTGGTCAGGCGCCATGGTCAGAAAAGACCACAAAAGAGATGCTGCTGAAGACCAAAAAGCGTCTGTAAGGCTGAGATTGCAATGCGCCCAGCTAGCCGGCCAAGCCCCCTCCACCTCCTTTTCGGCCCTAGCCGGTCCCCACGATTGGCCATCTCGGACTGAAACCCCTCATTGGTCCGCATCGTGATAGACTAACTCGTTAAGTAAGTAGGATGACTTTTCGAATTAGGTCATATGTTCGTCCAAGAGTTTGGCAGCGGCTGTGTTGCAACGGCCTCCTTTCCTCAAAATCCATAAGAACAAATTTCCGATGGTCCGATCATGCACAACACGCATTTGGCAACATTAGTACGGCGATGTCGAATTGGCTTGGAAAGGGAATGGAAACAAAAAGTGAGATTGAAAGGGCTAGAGAAGTAGTTAGGCACAAGAGGTGCGTAAAAAAGGAGACCCCGTAAGACAGAAAAGAAAAACAAAAATACTAAAACAATCGCTCAGAACATCAACCGGTTTCTTGCGATTGACCTAGACTGAACAAAAGAATTGCCTGCTAATTCATGAGACGACATGATCAATCCTCGACCTCGGGCCCATGTTCTTCGTTAGAGCTGAGCACATCCTTTATGTCTTCGACATTCAGGACAGTGACGAAGGCGTCGCGATGGCTGCCACTACCAGTGCTGTCGAAAAGGCGAAGAATGGTTTGGGTGCCAGTCTTGAGCATCTTTTCGTCTCCACACAGGCGGTGCCGGCCATTGAGTACATACAAGACACGCTTGCTCTTCTTTCTTTCCTTATTTTTCTTTATCCTGCTGTTAGAGCAGCCCCATAGCTTCGGACCTTTACGACGGGTTGAAAAGGCACGAATCTTACTGTTCTTCCCCGCAATAGCGGTGGAAGAACGCTTGGAGAAAGTGTTGCCGTTGCCAATAATCGAATGCGACGTTGAGGTGGAGGCCTTGCAACTCGTAAACTTGGAGGCTTCACGATTTTTCTGGTTGCTGTCCTCGGAAGACTGTTCCTGCTCCACAGCACGCAGTACGCAGCCTTCCAAGTGCTCGTAGAATTCCGGGGCATTGCTGAACGTCGCCGAACAAGTAGAGCACTTTCCCATTGTATTTCTGCCATAATCTGTGTCATTTGCTGTGAATGCAGTCGGCCTGTAATTGCGGCTTTTTGGCGGTTTCTGCTCCACACCGTGGACGGCAGTCAAGTGACGCTTAAACACGTCCACGCGGTTGAAGCTCTTCTTCATTGGGGGCCAGGATTGCGCGCAGAACCCGCATGTCATAGTCCCCTTGTAGTGTGTCCAAGTATGCCGATCCCTGTCATATTTACGGGCAAAGCCCTTGATATGGTATACACAGGTCACGATGGGACACTTTTCTGGCCGTTCGGACTGGTGGGTAAGCAAGTGGGCCTTCAGATTCTTGACGACTCGTCTACAGCGGGGTTCCGGACATCGATCCTTCTTCTTGGAGACAGAATATCCTTCACTACCGTCTAGGAAAGTTTGTTGTTGTAGGCGGGATGATTCGATGGAGGTGTTGAAGAGCCGCCTGTCGTTGAGCGAAACCGGACAGAAATGAAAGTTTTCGTCTATCATCGATTTTGAATGCTGCTGCACTACATGGTCACCGTAGGAAGCAGGAGAAGCAGTCGCAGACCGAGGGAGAGAGGTAGAGAGAAGGTTTGAAACGATGTCGATAGGATGGTTTTCGACGCCGCACTGCACAGGATGGATGAGAGGAAAAGCTAACGTTTTCGAGTTAAATATTGCTTGGAAAACAAGCCATGAAAGAATGAATAAAAGCCTACCGTCAAAGGTGTCAGGGGGCTTTTCTTGGGAGAGCTTGTTCCAGTCGATGGTGTTCGCCACATAGCCGTTGGAGCAGAAGTCATTCTCCACGTCAGCCTGCAGGACAAGCTCGTGGTCTGTATCCGCCCAGTTAAAATCTTGAAACGCCCGGACAACCTCGGGACATGGGGAACTGAAAGTAGATGAAGATGCACTAGTGGTCGAATACCCAGATGCAGAAGCATCTGTGGGGGTTTCCTTTCCCACAGAATTTGACGAAGAGACAGAGAACGGGCCATTGAGCATTGGAGAAAGATCTGACGCCATTTGAATATCTGCGGACTCGGAAAATAAGGGCGATGTGTCGACTGTAGATTGAAGAGGGACAGAGTGAGTGCCTTGGTCATTCGGAAACACGTTGGTCCCTGGAAAAGAGAGCATGTTCTCAACGTTAGTGTCTGTGGTCATGGGCGGGAAATACAAAGATTGGCATAACAGTAGTAAAATGAAGATCACAGTCCGGTAAGAGACCGAGGAGGACAGAAGAGCTATATATCTACAACCTGGGGATATTGCCTCTGGGTGTCCGATCAAAGATCCTGCCTCGTATAGTTCTCGAAGTGGATCCGGAGAAGAACAGCGCCAACCAGGGACTAGAGTACCGTGTCCATTTTGGGACTAGCGCGGGGACATCAGCCCCCTGATTGAAAGTAGGCATAGATACTACCCAGCAATTAGTTTTCGAGTTGGGGCCATTTCGATGATGGGAAGCTAGTCCCAAAAGGACCATAGTACTGTAGTCCCTGATTGGCTGTTCTGGATTCCTGTCAGTATTTTCACTGTCGAGAGGCTGAAGGATAATTCAAATACATTCTCTTCTGAAACGCCACACGCTTCTCCTAGGGGTTACGTGCTTTACAAAAATGTAATGGGTCCCATTTCGGGTGCCCTGCCGCTTCGACGGTTGGCGTTCGAGTGGCTATGTTCTCGAATTCTGGATCTTCTAGTGAAAATATCTCGTGGTGGCTCTCGAAAATAGTAAGACGCGTGAACTAATTGGATCGTAATGCGGGTTGTTATTCGAGACACAAAAGTCATCCAGTGTTTCAGCAAATGGGAAATCACACCTCACTCTATGGTAGAATGCATCTGCTAGAGAGCAAAAGAGAAATAAAACGCCCCACTTTATTGCAGGAAATGCTTCGGAGCGCTCTCAAAAACCTTGATCGCCTGCTCCAGTCGTTTCTCATACTCTTCCAACTCAGGACTATCCTGATCTTCTTCTTCGGCGCTCTCTTCCATTTGTTCCGGCCGGTTCTCATTTGCCAACCCCAGTCTAATAGATTGGCTCTCCCGCCCTCGAGCGGTATTCACGGACATGACATCGCGATAGAGGCCCATTGACACGGGAAGCTTGACATCGTCGACGGCATCCTTCCCCATTTTGATGAAGTGTGCATCCAGCAAGCGAAACTGAGCAGCCCAGACATGCGGCTCGGGTACCTGCATGGCCAGCTGCCATGACGACTCGAGCCCTAATTTCACAAATCCTCCCACTGGCACACCGGATAGGGCGCCCACAATGGAGGATGACACACCTGTAGATATTCCCACGGAATTACCGCGGGAAACCACTGTACGGGCTTCCTCTAATAGATAGAGTCCCGTCAGCATCCAAACTTTGGGCCGGCGAGCGAACTTGAAGTTCAGCACATAAGCACTGCGGGCGGCAGAAAGCCACAATTTGAGTTTCTGTTGTGCGAGAGGATTACTTAAAACATTTGTGGTGAGGAAGGATTCGGGACTGTAAAAAGCGTCGTCAGGGTAAGAATACTTAAGCGCAGCGTAGAAGATGGCGTACTCTTTGAGTATAAGTCGGGTGCCTTTTTCGGCAACAACGATGCGCTCTAGATCCTTGTTGTAGGCAAGATTGAGATTGACAATATCTCCACCCTCAAGACCGACAGCGGGTGTTAGGCGAGAGGAACCATGGAGAACTGCGTCCTTGATATTTGTGGAATAGGCGTGTTCGCGCAGAGCATCGTCGCTAACGAGGTAAATTAGATCCGTATCCGAGAGCCAACGGAAACGAGAAGACAGAAAAGAAGAAGTACCCGAGCAACTCGTGAGTATAATGTCGAGCAACCATCGGCTTCCAATACTTTTCTAGCACCAAAGACCCTAAAGTCAGGGCCTCGGGCTTTTCGCCCATCCCATAGAGGAAGAACGACGAATCATCGCCAGCTCCCATGTTGATTGCAATACAAGGTTATTGGTAGATCGCCAAGGCCGATCATTCACACGGTCCGTGGATCACAAGTTGGAAGAAAGAGTTGACGGGTGGCATTTCAGCCACTATTGACTGCTGTCCATTTTCTCATGGCTACGTGGGGTTCCTTCCAGTGCTGACCTGCTCTAGCTTAACGCTAATCGGGTAACTTTTGGCGAGAACCAGTCAGGGGCCCGCGGGCGCATTAGGGCCAATAGTATAGTTGCGCTATAATACTCCATAAGCAATCGCTTAGAGTTTAGGTGAAACTATTTCCTGCACTCACAGCTGGGACGACCACCACTTCGACGGTTTCGTGTATGAGCGAAGAAAACTTCCCACCTCCCAGCTCTTGCAGAAGATCCAAATGGACTTCGAACATTTTCTTGGTCTCTGCGGCCGATCTCTGTTTTCGGAGGAGTATAGAGGAGATTTGGATGCTGCGTGGGAGTATTTACAACAAGGGGGGTCCGATGCGCTTGACCAAAACAATGATCCCAACAACAATGCGGAGTATTTACGATGCGTATCCATATTCTCAGTCTTGACAGGAAACCTGGCAGAGGCCTTTAGACATTTGGAATCACTTCATGAGCTCCTTCCACGATTACCGCAAGAATGGGGGGTTCGCTACACAAATTACAAGTTACTGGCGGACTATACTCGCCGCTTCCCCCCAGCCTTGCGATTCTACCACGAACGAGGAAAACCACTCAACCTCATGATGCTAAGCGACATAATTGGTCCCAATGAAATGGACCAGAATACCATGGCAAATATACACAAATACTGGTCTGTTGGAACCCTTCGTGACCGAGCGTTATTGCAGGTTTTACGCGCCGTACAGTGGCATCCAACGAAAGCTCGCTACATGTCCGCCCACTATCATCCTCTTTCTCCTGGCGGCACAAATTACAAGCCTGACACTGCCCCAGGGCCCATGATTACCGAGGCTTCACAGCATATGGTCAGGTGTCGTGATATAGCTGAAGCCAATGGCGCCCAGGTAATCGCGGTACACTTGACGCGTCTACTCGCCGAGCTTCACATTACATCTCAAAGTCCTGAAACAGTTCAAGTCCTGCAGGATTTATACAAACGATGCGAGAAGCTCAACGATTATGCGGGGATGGCAAATAGCAAGCTAATGGAAGGAGATAACATCCTTTGCCCTCCGTTTGCGAGTCCTCTTTCTCTCAACCTGGTCATTGTAGATACTGGGTCGAGTATTGGAGATGACTCTATTTGGGATCCCATTGAGTTTGATCTTAAATTTGATTACACAGCTGAATCTATGCAATGTTACGAGTCAGCCCTCGAGCTTTTTCAAAAAGGTAATTGCAAACGAGGTCAGGCGGCCGTGTTACTTCGGCAAGGATGTTGCTTGCATAATGTGGCACGCCTTCATCGATCTACAAATAAACAGTATCTTGACGCGCTGGGAGAATCAGAAACAAAGCTACAAGAGGCTCTCGAACTATTTGGGCGGGATGAAGCAAATACGCAAATTGTCAAAACTCATCAGATCTTAGTGAGCATTGCCAAAGGAAACCTTAACCGTGTGAAGACGGCTGCAAGAGAGATCGGGAATTGGTGCGTCTCCGCGAAGAACGAGCTACTGGCTCACTTTCTTGGTCTTCTCCTATCACGGTTCGCGCACCAAGAATGGCTCATGTTCTCGAACATGGACACCGCATTGGCCGCCTGGGAATGCGCCTACGAAGTGTTGGACTCGGTGGAGGATATGATCCCGCTGTTTCAATCGGTGGTATCCCGTGCAGCAGTCCAACACGAGATGTTCAATTCATTAGCTGCTGGAATTCTGATCGAGGAAGCACTTGGCATGTTCGATCGACTCCGTAATTATCTCAATACCCGTATCCAGTCTGCACCGGACACGCCGCTGGGACAAGCAGACAAGATATGCCTGACAACGACTAAATGCACTTTGCTTTGGACTTTTGGCCGACATGTCAGCAGAATATACATGCGCGCAGAAGACCTGAACAAATTCAACGAGTGGCAGGTCAAACAAGCACATGTTTTCGAAACTGATGATAGTTTCCGCGAATATCAAGAACGATTGCAACAGAGTGCAAACCTCACGGCTGTTTTCAAGCCTGGTATCTCATTTCCAGCAAACAAGGCAAAAGATCTTTGGCGCAAAACATTAGCTGATGAAGCAGTAAATGTGAGATTTGCATCTGCGGAAATTGGTTACCGTCGCCTTTTGGAAGACGGTGATGTTCTAGAGGCAGAAGAGACATTCCGTCGTTTTGTGAACGATGCAGAACAGTTAGAGCAAGTCTATACAAAAGACCTCTACCGCATCCTGGCCTGTGAGCGAATTGGAGATCAGAGGAAGGCTCGGGAAATACTGGACTCTATCACGGACAATGAGCTATTCAATGGGACCCTTGACGATTATCAACAAGGGATCGCCGTTCGAACTTCCTTTCCGACAGTGGCACAGAATGCATTGATCTTTACATTGTTCGGAGGAGATCTGGACAGGGGCCGGCGGTTGATCGATATAATAACCAAAATAAGCCCAACTTTCTTCACTTCTATTGTCGATAATGCTCTTGATTTTTCTGTACGGCTTGGTCATTACGGGGCAATTATGAAAGATCTGCATCCGGAGCTGTGCTTCTCCAAGCTTCTTCATGCCCGCCAAATCATTGAACTTCGTCGGAAACAAACAAACGATCAGGATGCCCGTGTCGGGAGCTCCCCGACAGGATGGAGCCGCGAAGTTTACCTCAACCTCGCACGTCTTTGTCATACCTGCCAGGAATCGGCCATTCCTATGCATTTACTTTCTGACTACGACCACGGCCACTTTGATGGAATGTCTTGGGCAGAACATGCATTGCTTTTCGTTGAGATGAGTCGAGCGCGGGCGGTTCTTGAGTCTTTGCAAACACAGGCCTCTCAGGCTTCGGGTTTATCGGGCGCTCCTAAAACAGCTCATCTGTCCGAAGCTGTTCACAAAAGACGCCTACTTAGAACACTACTTTCACTACAGTCGTTGACTGCGGAACAAGAAAGGGAGGTTGCGCAACTGCAAGGGGATATCAAGATATTGGAAGAGGATGGAGCCTTGTCTTCCGCAACGACTTTCATTGAGACAGTTAACTCCACCATCGACCCAAAGCGTTTGTATCAGAGCATTGATGATAATGCCGTGGTGATAGAGGCTGCCTTTGGATCGAGTGGAGTGGTTTCCTTCGCGGTGACCCGGGAGGGTATCCAGAATATACACCAAGCACCAACACGCAATGTGGACATACGAAGACCTGTGATGAGAGCGATGAAGATCATGAGAGAAATGACTGGGTATGCTGGAGAAGAAGAAGAGAATCACAAAATAATGCTCAATGGACTGAGCAAAGAAATTTCTGATATTTTGCTTGTTCCCTTTGCGAGCATCATCAGAGCCAAGTCGCATATCATCTTCTCCATCTCTGATCCTTTGACTGCATTTCCCTTCTCAATTCTTCCGTTTGATAACCAGCCCCTCATTATGCATGCTGCTGTTTCTCAAGTCCCCAGCTTGACGGTGCTCTATTATCTTTCGCAGCGCAAGTCCCCATCAAAGCTGCCGACAGTATCTGTGTTGGCCAAGTCACCGACGGAGGCACCATATAGTGCCACAAGAGGAGATACTGAAGTCAATCTACATATGGCAGCGATTGAAGCCGTTAATATTGCCCGCCTGTTTGCGACATGGCCTATTGAAGCGTCCGAGATCACCAGAAAGGAGTTTCGGCAGTATGTAGAAGGAGAATCATTGATTATGCACATCGGGACACATGGCGATATCAATTACCGCAATCCTCTTCTTTCATCGATTTCGATTGGTCAAGGCCAGGATTTCCGGGTCGTGGACATGTCTACTATCCGCAGTAACGTCAATCTCTTGGTTTTTGCCGCTTGTCTGAGTGGATTTGGAAGAGCGACGATCGGCAGTGAGGTCCTGGGGTTCTCGCATGTCGTCTTGAGTACCGGATGTCAGGCCTATATTGGATCCCTCTGGAAAGTTAGCGACTTCGGTTCCATGTTGATCATGACGCTCTTCTATCAACATTTAAAACGTCAGCCGCACCTTTCCGTTGCCGAGATCATGAAAGCGGCCCAGATGGATCTGTTGCAGCTGGACACCAACAAAGCAGGTGCCCTTCTCGATAGTATGGTAAAGAGTTGGGCCCCCTCCGAAGGCAACGAGCAAAGTCCTGCACAATTTGTGCCAGATGCAGAGTTCCTATTTCAGACCCTGAAAATGATTCTGGACCAGCTAGACTGGTCAAGTCCGTTTTACTGGGCCCCCTTTACCCTGGTTGGATACGGTGGCTTCCATTTTGTACATGAGCGGGCTTAGACGGGCTATCAAATTAAATTGGCTGTGTGAACACACCAAATCCGAGCAATGGATATAAAGTTGACAACCACGAACCTCGACAGAGCCGACTATTTATGGTTGGTGCGTCATGATATCTGCAAGTTAACCACTATAGACTCTAGCTGTAGCAGGGGTAGCCCCTGGGAAGAACGTGGTAGGAACCGTTGGGATTGCAATGGACGTAGTGATTCCCAGCCCAGCAGTGAGCTGACCAGGCATTGTCGGCGCTGAGTACCCCGACGGGGCAGATGTAAATGTTGAGGTCACTGTGCCGTACTCAGTATGTTCGGATCCTCCATGTAAGCAGTAGCCAGACCCCCAGGCATCTGCGCACTTGTAGTACTCAGTGCTTCCTGACTCAGTCCACATGGCGAAATCCTCGATGACGATGTTCGTGCATGGCTGAGTCGAGGGGCACAACACGTACAGCGGGGCTCGTTGGGCACCATTAGCGCAGGTTCCCGTCCAGTTACTGAATGTGATGGAATTGTAGAGGACGCCATCCCCTGCAGCCAAGGTTTCCTCTGTCCAGTATGCGTCAATGTAGAGAGAATACGCGTTCTCATGTCCAATAAAGTTTTGCAGGGTGACGTCGGTCACTATTCATATGGTTCCGTTAATTAGTGTACTTCAAATAGCATTTGACCAATAGGCCGTTTGTAGAGATCAATTTACCCGATCCATTTCCTCCATTGCTCCTATGTATACGTCAGTTTTGAACCAGGCAAGGCAAGATCTAGATACTAATGGAAAAAGCGCGTACTTGAACATGAACATCTGGTTTGAATTTACAGTGTAAATATTGTTGTAAACGACTTTGGTAATATCTGGAGAGCTCCAAGTTAGTCTTTCTGCCTTGTATCTGTGCAATAACTTACCGGTATCAGTTCCTAGAGAGCCCATTGCACAACCACCGGACCAGTTGCAGTAGATGTCCTCAACGAGGATGTGGTTCGCAGGGCTCTTGACGGTAACACATTCATCCTTGTTAGTTACTTCAACATCGTGAACCCAAATATCAAACCCCCACAAGTCGATGCCGTCAAGACCTCCTTCATTTGCACCACGGATGATCATGTTGTAGACCTCGCCCTGGTTGCAAGTGTCGAGGGTCAAATGGAAGGCCGGAGAGTCAACGAGGGCAATATCATGAATGGCAAAATTCGTCACTTGAGAGTGTCAGTACGAGAATCTGGCCCAATCAAAAGCCATTACACATACCATCATAAAGACGCAGAAGTCGTGGACCATACTCCCCCTGAGAGAGGAATTCGTATCCATAGCCTTGTATTGCGCCCTCACCACGGGAAGAGTAGATCTCGAAGTCAGTGCTGTGCTCAATATAAATCATATTACCCCCTGCAGTTCCCGTACGAACGATGACTCCTTCTAAGTTAATCGCCCATGCGTTCCCACCGCTTAGAGTAACCCAAGTGGCCAAAGCAAAAGTTCCTAGCGGGATGTTCACGACACCTCCAGAAGCACAGGCATTAAAGGCAGCCAGAATTGCAGGCCCAGAATCCGTCTCCCCGTCTGCCACAGCACCATAGTTGGTTATATCACAGATCTTGGTGGCCCATTTTGTAGCTGACGAAGTTAATGGTCCGATTGGGTAGTCGGATGTATCCGCAAGTTGTGCCCATGCGACCGAGAAGTAGCCGAAGCTGAGCAAAAGGCTCTTCACTTGCATTATGCTGGTAAATAGGTCTCACAGGAGAATGGTCCAGGTGAAGGGATAAGTAGCTTGACTGTTGGAGGGTAAGGGAAGCAGCCTCCTTTTAATTCTTCATCAGATTAGTGTGAAAAATTGCCATCTTCGATCCGTTCCGGGCGGCCCGATAAATTAGATAAAATATATAAGCACTCCAAGTGCATACAATTATTTTTCCTATAATCAAAAAGCGACGTCGAGTGTGTGGGCTAACGATAATGCATAAACATGCATGATCACCGGGAAATCTGTTTATAATTCATGGGAAAATCAACGCAGTCGTTTCATGGAACACCACCCTCATCTCATTTCTACCTGAAATGACGCGGAGTTTTGCCCCTTCGCCATGTTGTTTTCCGTTTCTCAAACAGCGTAGCTCTCTCATTTGAGGATCGATATTTCTCCAGACGGAACCCCGCAAAGTTTGAAACAGCTCGGTGCATCGAGGCGCACCAATGATCGTGGTTGTTTGAAAATCTGCGCCTGCGATAGCGAAGAAGGGATGTTGCTTACGAGCCTTAGGAGACAATCAACAATCAAAGTCTTGCCATTCTGATAGTTATTTATCAAGCTTACGTCGATGTATTTAGAGAAACGGATACCTTCTAGGCTTTTTGGCATACACGGCCCATAGTCGTATGGACTGGTCTGACGAATTAATATTTTTACAGTTATTGGTTGATTAAATTATACAACTGCCGTTCCACTGGGACCAGTAAGCTTTCTCCATCGACTTCCCAAGCTAATAACGGTGGCTAGACCAGACGCGACAACTGCAATGAGAAAGGCTGCCTGAATGCCCTTCATGTATGCTACCAGGATTGCCGGTATCTGTGTCGAATCAAAGGTTTTGCGCAAGTCAGTCGCACCAGTCATGACCACTTTTGCACCGTCAATGCTGGAGGATTTGCCTAGCATTTTGAGAAGGACGTTATCGAGCGCAGACTGGCCAGCAGTTACAAAAACCGAGCCTCCTATAGTTTGAACCGCTGCAAAGAGTCAATCATGAGTTTGAAAAAAGCGATGGAATTGCACCTACTTAAAACCATGGCTGTTGTAGAAGGTAAGTCTTCTGGTGGTACTGCAGACTGAGCAGTCACAACCGGTACCTGAAAACACCATCCAATACCGATGCCGGCTAGTATTTGATATCCAATCCATTTGTTGGCATCTGAATTGATGTTCAATGTGTATAGCAGACCAGATCCAACTGCCGTGAGCGCTGCCCCAGATAGCAGGAACGGTTGAGGATATGCCAACTTACTCAGGACAAGCCCTGACGAAACAGTGGCCACACTCTGTGCCAGAATCAATGGCAAATTCCGGACTCCGCTTTCAGCTGCAGAGACACCAGACACAACCTGGAAATAGATAGGCAGATAGTAGACCAGCAAAAAGAACGTCCCCGCCAGTAAGTCAATATAAATCATTGAGATCACCACGTTCCGTCGGAAAAGGCGACCGATCATTGCTGCACGTTCCTTTTGCACCCATTGCACTAGAGCATAGGTAATTAGTAGGACCCCAAATCCTACCAAAGTCCCTACCACAGTAGAATCACTCCAGGGACGTGTGATTCCTCCCCATTGAAGGGCAAGGACATAACAAATCATGGCACCGATGAGAAGTGCAGTGCCAGGAAGGTCCAACTGTAGAATCTTCTCTCGCAAAGGGTCCTTAAGGAAAAGCAATGGGGGAGGAGGTCGGTAGAAAAGGAGAATGATCACTCCGGCAACCCCACCGATGGGTAGATTGATGTAGAAGCACCATCGCCATGTAACATTGCTGGTGAAAGCGCCCCCGATTAGAGGGCCGATAGCAGCCGCGACTCCATAGGAGGCTCCTAGAATCCCAATGTACGCTGGTCGTTGTTTTGGAGACGCAGATAAAGCAATGATGGTAAATGCACCGGAGGAGATCCCGGCGCCTCCAATGCCTGTGACCGCTCGTCCAACAATTAATGTCAGGCTATTGGGTGCGACTCCTATGCACCCCATCAGGGATCCGTGTCTTATTTGTATAGAGATGCACTCACCACAAATCAAGCTCCCGACCTCGAAAAGAACGATAGACACGAGAAATGAAATCTTGAGCGGAAAGTATTTATATATTTTGCCCCAGGCAGCTTGAAATCCCCCCAGGGTGATAAAAAATGCCGATCCGTACCAGCCCACAAGCTCGATGCCACCAAAATCACTAGTAATACTCGGAATAGCCGTTGCGACGATGGTCTAAATGAAGAGTCAATCGTCAAGGTTTCTTTAGCAAAACATGATTGCATAGCGGGATTGAAGAATTACCATGTCAAGTGAAACCTGTTGAGCATAGTGTCCAGTTAGCAGCCGAAGGTGACGAAGAAGAGTTCAGGGAATCTTTACGAGGAACATGCTCAGCGCCAGAGCTACAACAGTCATGAGTAGTGTGACTCCTCCCGAGCCCGTATCCGCAGACGACGCCGGGACCTCCTTTCCCTGGGACATCTCATCTTGCTCCTTGGCCATCTCTGGAAGTTTTTTCCCGTCAGGCTGGGCTAGAGTGGAGGAAGTTGTAGATATCGCAGCGGACGGCTCCATGTTCCGCTAATGTTATTAGAGTTCCTGTTCTCGGCATCCAGCGGTTAGAGATCATGGAACAAATATGGAAAATTGATAGACTGCTCATCTTTAAATATTTAGGACGGAGAACTGAGTTTCCTTTTTTAACTGTTGCCGATGCAGATTGTTATCTTCTTCCGCCGAGCCGGCGGGCGACGCAACACTCGCCACAATCGATTTGGGGGCCAGAATCTCAGCGGCAGAACATCCCTTCCGCCGAATATTCGGAACGACCATCCACGAACACGAGAGCCTGAGCTTGTTCACTACCATTTCTTCTTGTGGTACCAATCAATGTAGCTGCAGCCACGCTATCATAGTCATGCCTTTGTCCGAAGATCAGCAGCCTCCCCGAAAGAAGATCCGCAAAGGGACCCGCAGTTGCTGGGAATGTATGTGGGAATTTAACATTTATCATCAGACGCTCAGCTTACCTCAACTCAGGTAAACATCGCAAGGTGCGCTGTCATTTTGCTTCTGATGGCGACCGTAGCTGCCGAGAGTGTCTGGCTCGGGGTTTACTTTGTCGCACCCAGGATTTGCCAGAACCTGAAAATCCCCGCGAATCAGATCGTGCATCTTTGAATGAGCGACTGGCTCGAGTGGAATTGCTCTTGGAGAGATTTCTGCATCGTTACGATGGCGATACAGATCAACCATTGCCCGAAGCCGCAGGTGACAATAATAGTCCTGTTTCAAGTCCGGCGGTTGCAACTCCTGCTCATGAAAATGCTCCAGTCTTATCTCTTTTTGACAATGAGGTGGTACGATTTATGTACACTCCAAGCATTTCACGGAGCTGAATATCGAATAGCTAGGTTTTCGACGACCAGATGTAACCACAGTGCCTAACATCACCTTGTATGGGACGGCACACCGGGACTGGAAAAGACTGAGCCGCACCCTTTTCATAGCATTGCCTTCTCAGGACACACTGGAAAAGCTAGCCGAGGCCAACAGTTGCTGGTGGCTAGTCCGCGCGCAGTGCTTCCAAGACTACGAAACGTCATTGCTTTCTACCCCCGTGGCGGACCTTTCAAACAGCCATCCGGCTGTGATTGCCACCACTCTCCTGTGGACCGCGATTAGTCTGCAACAGCTTCCACCTAACTTTGACACGAGTTTTTTGGGACTACCCTGCCATCCAACGAAGCTCATTGAGCAATACATCAGCCTGGTGGTCACATCTGTCTGCTCCCACGAAGCCATGGTGAGCAACATCCACGGGCTCGAGTGTTTGGTTCTTCAAGGGATCTTTTACAACAATGATGGAAAGCTACGGAGTGCATGGCTATCCTATCGCCGTGCTCTAGATGTTGCTCAGATCATCGGGCTTCATCGTCCGTTGCCGGCCGGTTCAGAGAATAGCACATCTCTACATCGCGCCAAGAGTATCTGGAAGCATATCATCTATGCAGACCGGTATCTTTCGCTCATGCTTGGAGTGTACCATGGTATTAGTGACGCGGCATTAGAGCGACAAGAAGTTAGCCCAAGTGATGTTCCGAATTCTTCTTCCATGGATCTTCTTTGCCGGGTGGCCGGGTCAATAATCGAGCGAAATCAGAACTTTCCAACCGTCACCCCAGCCATGATGCGAATGACCCAGACCATTGATTCAGAGCTAGGGCCGATCGATCCTCCCATAATAGAAGAAAATGCACTCGCCACAGCCGGCAAATCTGCGGAACGAGCCCAATGCTATGCCAAACTCATGACGCAGCTATGGTACTACCAGCTTATGGCGTGGCTACACCTTCCTTTTCTGTTAGAGTCAGGTAGCCAGAGCCGTTATGATTACAGTCGACAGAGCTGTCTTCAAGCCTCCAGACACATGATCGCCTGCTACACCGCAATCCGCCGCCTCACTGCAGACAGCTTCTGCTGCAAATCTCTCGATTTCCAGGCTTTCACTGCGGCAGTAACGCTTATGATAAACGTACTGGGACCAAACGGTCAAAGAAATTCTTCCCCAGACGACTTTGAGGCTGTTGAACGAGTAATAAATGTTCTGGAAGGTTTGGCAAAGGGAAACACTCCTGATAAAGTTGCAACCCGCGGTCTGAGTGTTCTACAGACGCTGAAAGGAGTCGCGATGGGGAAGAATCCAATACAGCAAGTCTCTTCCGAAAGACAGTCTAACGGAGAAGGACAACCCAGCCACATCAAGGTTGATATTCCCTACTTTGGCACTATTGTCCTTGACCGTAGAATGCGGGCCAATTCTGCACAACAAGATCTTTCTTCTCATGGCCTACTACCGACGCCGGACAATGGTGGACTTGGGACAAACATGCCATCACCGTCACAGGCGAATTTGATGGCGGAACTTAGCTCTGCACAAGTGCAGTCGGGATTATCAGTCCCTCTGGCGGAGACAATCCTTGACTTTGAGCCCGCTGCGGAGATTTGGACACTTCATCCTGATTTAATAATGCAACCTTCGTTCCTCGCCGACCTTGGTGATAACTGGGACCTAGGACTTTGAATGAGTCAATGCAACATGAAATAGGGTTTACCAAGTTTTTGCTCATGAGCTTCCTTTCCCTCAAATATCTCCACCGGGTCAATCTCGCCAAAGAGACGGTCCATGTGCTCGAGGCCAATACCCTTCGTTTCGGGTCAGAACAGTATCACCACGGTCATATTGCTTCTCAGAAGAGATAGATTGGACTGGGATATAACTTTGGCATAGGACATGCGGCCAAATGGCCCATCACTCAAACTCAAGGGTCTTATTTAATTGGTACGTTGGAGTTTCTCCTATGCTACACAGAATGAATATTCGAAATGTGGCGTTTGCGCTGCTAAAGGTTAATACATTAGCCAATCTTGAACTAATATGCATAATATCTACGGACAATGATCCCATCTTCTCACAAAATTTGTAACATAGCCTGAAATCCTTAATGCCTGTTTGAACATTGGATTAGATCCTCTAGCAATTCTACAGGCAATGATCTGGGTTACCAGACGGATTTCCCCACCAGGTTGGGAAAGCATGCTCTTTTCCGCTTGCACCAAAAACGGCAAAAGAAAGAATGAAAATGATTATCTGGGCACCTCCATCCAGTGCAGCCCCAATGAGGTAATTGTACTTGTTGTAAACCCGGGGTAGCCGGCGTCGAAGCCATAATTGCGAAAAGACCCCAACTGCAATTGAAGACCAAATCCATGAGGTATTTCCATAGTACGTATACCCGGCATAAGTTGTGATGATTGCGGTATTGAGTGGCCAGTCGCGGAAACGGGGAAAAATTTTGATCAAGCCCCAGTGCATAACAGGCAGGGCCAACCCGATGACAATGCCGAGGGGAACAATGAGATAAGGGCCCTTCGAGCCGTATATGTCCTTTGCCAGGGCCCATGTAATTGCTTGTGAGTTCAGACTTTGCATAGTGGAGCCGCTCCAAACGTTATTGCCCTCGGGGTTGAGGAGAATATCTCGCTGGTTGGTCACGATGGTGGTCATGACGGCGTAGTTCAGGCCCGCTCCTAGCAGAGTCGCATAGATTTGTGTAGCAAACATGATGCGGTGGGGTACTTTAGTGTACTGTCCGACTTTGAGCCAGTTCGCTAGATTGACAGCGAGGAGTATCACCTGGTGTGACCAACTAGCGAAGTATAGGTTTGCCAAAGGCCGACCCGGGTGGAGGGCACCTCCAACCATCTTAGAGAGCTGGTTGGTTGAAACCCCAGTTCCGTACAGCCCGTAGAGAATGCAGGAGAAAGGGGCAATGAAGCCCCCCAGTAGCAGAGAGACGATGTAGCCCCAAACAGGAAGAGTTGTTTCGCCTTTGGCATTCACGATTATTCCAGCCACGAAGCAGAGGACGAAAAGAACCAGGTACCACCACATTGGAACTTCCTTGTACTTCAGCATTCCTTTGTAGTGCAGGTCGGGCTGAGTTCTGCTCCGTGCCTGCTTCCACGCAAGGACCATATCCTTCCAGTAAAAGATGAGTACATGAGTGATCAATGCCCCAATAGCCAAATTCTGAGTGAAATAGCCCCAGACTGTAGTTGCCGTTAAGGATGGCAGTCCAATTTTGGCGAGCTTGGTCTCATCGATAGTGCCTTCGTTGTTCAAAAGCGATGTTGTGGAAAGCGGCTCGCCATTGCTCTTAAAAAGAGACGTTGACATGAAGGGAAAGTTTTTCGCATTGAAGGCATTGCTGTAATACAACCCAAGCATTGCTGGATACCATATCACATAGGCAATCCACGTGTTAACCTGTTGTTTGAACGGCAATGACAGGTAAGTGCTCTGAATATACTGCCAGTCGAGAGAGAAGTTGAGCAGACCCATGCCTTCGTTGGACGAAGCACCACCAAAAATTGTCCCAAACAGTGTTCTAGTGTGTTCCGGCGCCTTAATTGACGCCAGACAGAAGATCGAAAGACCTCCAAACCATGTTACAATGTAGGCAGGGAAAATTTCCCAGACAGCAGCGAAGGCAAGAGCCCAGCCAAATTTGATGAGACGGCCTCGGTTTGCGCGCCGATCGAAATGCAGCTTTTGGAAGAGAACCACCTGCGGTAGAGTGGTCCAGTATACCATTTCGGCTGGATAAACGATCAGCGGTCGTAATACCCCTGCCAACACAAAACCACAAAGTGCCATTGAGAAGGTAGCCAGGACTGCTGTGGTGGCTGAGACACTTCGATCATAAAATAGTCTTTCAGCGGCATAGACCTCCACCCCACTCAGACCGTTGTTGCCAGATGATGCAATCAGCGCTGCAATGACATGCTCTTTGATTCCGAAAGGCTGCCCAAAATTGAAAAAGCGGAGTGTAGCCTGAAGCCACTTCCATTTGAATCGGTCTGGGCGAGGAGTCAAACGTGCCCAGGCTTCACCGAAGACGTAGATCAACACTGACAGAAGAATGAGTGGAAAGTCATCAACCAGGTTTTTGACCAAGGAAAGGGCATACATTGCAGGAAAGTTGCCGAGACTTGCATCTGAGTTGGCTTGAAGACGTAAAGCATAGTGATCACACTAGAAAGGGCTGTGAAGGCACTGCCCAAGACGATGGACCGAAAGGTCAAGGCAGGATCTCCATCATCTCGATCTGAGATGAGGAATTTAGAAACATCCGCTCCTAGTTACTCCAGTCAGAGATAGGGATAGAAGGATGTATGCGGCAAGTACCATTTTGAATAACGGGATGACCTTTCACGTATACCGTATCATCATCGCCTTGAGATGCGGCAGAATCTTCATCTTTTTCACGGGGCAGTGCGATGGCTGATTTCTCATCGATAATGACTATTGGTTCTTCGGCGGTCTTTGCTCCTGGAATATCCAAGTCGCCCCCTGAATCAGATAAGTCTCTGACATCCTCCGGCATTTCTGGGTCGATTATCCGTGTAGAATCAGGCTGGACAAGGAGCTGCGAACGAGATAGAATGTGTTGGTGGAACACAAGGAAGACATCCAGCGGGGAGAAAGTCAAGATGAGAGATGAAAGAAGAAAAAGATCAACAATAAGTAACCTCAACCAAGCGCAAATATGTTTGTCATTAGTCGATGTCGCAATTCAAACTGCGACTTCATGGGGACGCGGAAAGGTTCCAGACCGGCCAACGACGCTAAAATAATTGTGCTATTTGCAACGCAAGTGGTGCGCTAGCGGTAACCGCGTTTCCTTGACAGAATTACCCGAGGACTAGAGATTCCTTGAGTTAAAATGGAGCAAAATCGAGACGGGTAAACAGGAACCATTGACAAATGGGAATTGCGCAATTGGCCCCATCGGGAATGCCGAACGACGTGGTTAGAAGCCAATTTTCGAGCTGGCCAATAAGGTAACGGCAAAAAGATAAAGATCTCGAGGTGGACATACCAACCAATTGCGTGATTCCCGCATGAGCTGAGCAAGGCGTGTGGTGCAGATTAGGGTTGCATCGGGGCGTTGTGTTCAACCCCACCCGCTTGGGTTGCTTGTTTTGACTTTTATACATGGTCATGGTGTTCCGGATAGTTAACTATCATTCCACTGCCGAGGAATAACCATGCAAGATCCTGCTTTTGATTATGTCGCGTTACAGAACAGGAAACATTTTTCGGTGTTGTTGACCCGATCGGAAAGTTCCATTGCACCACAGCTCTCAAGCTGCTAATTCGTGATAAACATGGGTAATTAGCGGATGTCCGAATGTGCAAAATGGGCCCATGTGGGGCTGTCTGCGGAAGGACGATAAGCCAATCAATCAAGGTCTTACGATCTGGGCTCTAAACAAATCTAGTTAGTGAGTTGGCTAACTAGTTGCTAGGCGCTACATATGGGTGAGTCACTGACTGTTCGTTATTAACCTCTTTATATCTGGTGCGCAGAATGAGGAGTTTTGTTTCTACCTCTACGGATTACGATCATGTCGCTGACAGTACTACCTCCAGAGCTGCTGCACCTGATAGTCGATGAAATAACAGACACTTATGAAGCTCGGGTTCAGCCTTTGGCAACGCTGAAAACTCTCTACGATATCGCTCGAACGAGTCGAACCGTTTGGAACACCGTGAGCAGCCGGGTGTACGGCCACGATGTTCAGTGTTTGCGAAGCTCGGCCCTTGTCTGGGCAGCGACGACAGGCAATATGTTGACCGTGAAGAGTTCTCTTGCTCAAGGTGGAAACCCACGCACAACCAATCATCACCTCCAGCCCCCGTTGTGGTTAGCTGCTCGAAATGGTCACGAGGAGGTAGTTGAGATACTGCTCAATTATGGAGCCGATATTGAGATCAGGAGTCCGACAGGGCTCACTCCACTTGCAGTCGCTTCACGAGAAGGGCGATATGGAGTTATGAAACTCTTACTTCACCGAGGGGCAAAAGTCGATACCGAAACCGCTGACCATTCGACGCCCCTCCTCTGGGCCGTTCGAACGGGAGCAACAGCTGCAGTGACACTCCTGCTCAATCATGGAGCTGAACTTCCAAAGCCGGGTACACGACAAGGCCGACGATGGGCCCTCGCTGCACTCGCTGTGGGCCCTGACCCATGGACTCATATTCCTGAGATCAGGTTCCTAATGGAGTCGGAGCGCAATTTGGGAATGGAAAAACAGCTTTGGGATAGCACATTGCCTCTCTCTGTGCAACACCAGCTTCTCGCCGTATCCAGATTCCTCCTTCTCCCACAAAACGGGACTCCCACACATCACATTGCGACACACTGTGATCGGTCTGTTTCTGAATATGGAAAATGGTTTGACTCCGTTCAAGACCTGCCCTTCAGACGGTCAAGGAGTCCGAAGGGAACTCCTTTATGGTGGGCCGTTTACCACGGTGAAGAGGATCTCGTTGAGCAGCTACTGAAGATCGGCGCTCCAGTCAATGGTCTAGTTAGGTCCTACAATTATACCAAGAAACCTAATCGGCTTCTTTCCCTTGCACTCATTCGAGGCTTTCCTGGCATTGCAGAGCTGCTGGTGGAGTATGGAGCCGATCCAAACTATGAGCTGCGAGGTGGTGCCACTCCTCTCATAAGGGCGGTGCAGACTGATAACTTGTGCTTAGCATCAGCAATTTTACGACATGGAGGCCAATTGGAGGATTATAATTACTGTCGCTGTCCCTTGAAAATTGCAGTCGGGATGCAAAATGCCCAGATGGTGAGACTGCTTCTATTATATGGAGCTTGCCCGAACGTCGAGGTTGTCGCATGGAGGAAGAAACTTCCACCAATGCTTTCGCCGCCGCTTCGGGGTAGAGGCCGAGGCAGGGGTTCCCGACTGATGGCTTCTCACAGGACTCGCACAAGTCGTAGGTTCCGGCAGGCCGTCGAATTGGGTTCTATGCTCACATACGCCACTCGGCGAGGAAACCAAGATGTGATGGACACCCTAAAAGAATTCGGGGCTGTTGAAGACATTCATTTCTTGGGGTACAAAGATTAGGGGCTATAGGTGACTGGATCTGGCTCAGAGTTTTGTGAGTTACAACTTTCCTTCCATTTTGCCGAGATCATTTATAAGTAAGTCTCACCGAAATCCTCTATGTACACATTTACTTGGCCTTAAGGTTTACTCGCTGTCTCCCACGTTATGTCCAACATGGGGGATTCAACGCACGGGCAAAAGCATCGTATGATATCTTATATATTCCATTCGGATATAGTCCTTTGTAGCTTTTGGTAGCATACTGTTGACGGGTCTGCCCAGAATTAAAAGACCACTAACTATAAACAATCTTCTCTCTCCTATAGCTAACCACTGGCTTCATTCGTACCTTGAAAGGCTTGAGCTTTACGGGGTTGAAATACCGCATGAGCAAAACCAACGAAAGCCCTTTGGTGTTGTTCGGTTATTAACGTCATGACGCCTGCTGCTGCTCTTTCCAGGCAGCCTGCTTGCGGTAGATATCGTGGCGGAAGGTCTGCTTTAGGGCAGCCACCACCTCATTGTCCATTGGTAGCTTGGCTTGAACGGCACCGATGCCACACAAGCCATTCTTGCGATCAATGAACCAGGTGAACGTCAGGCCGCCACCCCAACTCAGCGTGCGCTCACCATACCAGCCGTCGACATTCTCCAACGTCAGCAGACCGCTTAGACCATAGCCCATTTTCGCTTCGGGCTCGACACCAACGCGGAAGAAAGTGCCCATAGGGCTTGCTAGCGCGGCTTGGTGTCCCGCAGCCGCTTCGGAATTAAGGCGTTGCTGGAACATCTCGTCAACAGTGGTGGGCTTGAGCAATTTCCCGTCATTTGCCAGCAGCGAGCGCAGAATCTTGATATAGCTAGCACCTGACATGAATAGGCCATGGCCGCCAAAATCTCCACGGCCAGTCCTGTTCATGTCGCCGCCGCCACCGAGCACAGCACGCCCGACGGCGTCCGGGTCATCCGGGCTAAGGTCAACTAGACGAGAGCGTAGGTCCTCGCGCGTGACGGGGTAAAACTGAGCATCATTGATACCCAGCGGGTCGAAGATCCGCTGCTGCATGCGCTCACCCAGATTGCCCCCTGTTATCCGCTCCACTATGCGGCCAGCCCAGTCGAGTCCCGAGCCGTACATCCAGCTGGAGCCGGGTTGGAAGGCAAGCGGGTAGCAGAACAGCTCCTCGACGGACCGTGACTGACCATCTTGAGAAGAAGAGAACTTCTCGCGCCATCGGGCGACATGTGGGTTACAAAAGTAGTAGCAGAGGCCAGAGCTGTGCGAAAGCAGCATTTCGAGCGTGATTGGCCGGTTCGCCGGCTCAAGCAGAGGGGTTTCGCCGTCATCCGAGAAGCCCGTGATGACCTGCTTGGCAGCCAGTTCCGGGGCGACGGACGATAGGTCGCCAGTCAGGGACAGTAGGCCATCATCGACGCACTGCAGGGCAGCGATAGCGGTGATCAACTTGGTGGCAGAAGCTAGGAACAGCACATCATCAAGTTGCTGCGGGCGCTTCTCGCCTGACAGCAAGGTGCGCTCGCCGATTGCCTTGTCGTAGACAAAGCGGCCCTCCGCGTCGGTGGCACAGATAACGCCGCCGTTGATCTTGCCGGCATCGATGGCGGCCTGAAAACTGCTCTCTATGTCGTGGGCCATGATGAAGCACCGTAGTATTGAATTGCACGAGGTGAGACAGATTTGAATTTTGTGCATATGCACCGTGTAGTTGTGGATTGTGGTGGGGTCCAAGGCCCTCCCGCCTCTCCATTCTACTGCACAGCATGAGACCTATTAGATCAAACTGTACTACCATCTACCAGCCCGCAATTATGTAGCTTTTCAATTTTCAGGGTGGCGTTTAAACTTCTATTCGTTGCCCTGATGACAAACTGGCCATAGACAGGGTTTATATTTATAGTCGAAAAACATGGTATCAAGCAAGTCTGTCTATGCACAAAGGCCCGGGAGTTGCATCAGATTCTTCAGAATCACTTTCACTCTCCACGCCGGCTTCCCATGTAATACTAAGGTCTTACAAACGTGGGCGAGGTGACCACTTAACATATGGATGATCTGCACCATCCGGAACTAAGTGGTCTATGTCCGAAGTGTTGATAAGACTTGGATGTACCTCGGAGAGGTTTTTGATACCGATGAGCTTCATCACGCCTTCCACTTCCTCTTTGAGCACTGCACAGATATTTTAGTGTCTTATCACAAATGCAGCAATGTAGTCGACCTCACTTACTCTGAACAAGATGCTCCACGCCCTCCGTCCCATAGTGTAATGCATAAAGGAAGGTACGACCGATACCAACAGCTTTTGCTCCAAGGCAAAGTGCTTTCACAATATCAGCTCCTCGCCGGAAACCACCGTCGACGTATACCTCCATCTGGTTAAAGATCTCCGGGCAGTTCTTGTGCATTTCCAGTAGCAAGAGAATCGAGGGTGGTGAGTAGTCAAGATTGCGTCCTCCGTGGTTGCTGAGCAAGATACCATCGACATTGTGCTGCATCGCAATCTTCGCATCCTCAGCACCGGTAATGCCTTTCAGGATGATTGGAAGACTGGTAATACTCCTGATCCATTGGATATCACGCCAGGTCATCCCTTGATCAATATAGCTCCCCATCATCCTTGTCAGTCCGTTGCCTCTTTTCCCCCCTTTGGCCTGCTCGCCGGTAACTGGGTTGATAATAACTTCATCATCCACTTTAAGGCGTTCGTCTGCTTCTCTCTTGCCTCTCCCAGCGGCATCAACGGTCAAGAAAATCGCCTTGATCCCGAGGGATTCGACCTTCTCCAGAATCTCACGAGTTTTTTCGCGCTGTTTGTTCATATATAACTGAAATAGAAATGGAAAACCTGGAGCCTGTTGGACAATCTCCTCAATTGGATGACTTGCCGCAGTAGAAATCTAGGACTTATTAGGACCAAGCAATTTGTTTGGCGAGACCAAGACTCACTATCTGCAAAATTCCGGTCGACTTTGCACCACGTGCTAACCCCTTCTCAGCTTCGGGATTGATCAGTTTTGCCACTCCGGTAGGACAGATAAAAAGCGGCAACGAAACGGGAACGTTGAGAATTGTGCTTGACGTGTCCACAACAGACACGTCTTTCATCACTCTTGGTCTAAACCAAATTCTCCTGAGCATTGCATTGTTTGCATCGCGCGTCCAACAATCAGTGTCGGCTGTTGAGTAAAATGCAAATGCTTTCTTGGGTGCCGACAGGGCAGCCGCTTGCTCAAAGTCGTAACTACATAAAGGAGTTAACTCAATTGCGCCCCCATTGGGTTTCATCTTGAATTGGAGCACTAACCTATTGATGATTGTGTGTAAAGGGGGCTTGTCTCCCTCATGACGAATCTCTGTGGGCGAATTTGTGCTAGTGGTAGCAATCTTCCAATCTTCCGTAATTGTCGATCGATCAAGATTACCCTTGAAGCGATCCTGCGAGAGATTGTCTCTGATCACCGAGGCACCATGAATTTCCGAATAAGCTTCCGTAGCGTCTCGCCCAGCATACTTTAAGATAGCTTTGAGCCAACAAAGAAATGTCTTAGCATCTCGATAAGGGCACCCAATTTGATCAGGTTGGAAGGTAGAGGGCAACACATACTCGCAGCCCCACCGGGGTGTTCCTGTGCAAAGTCAGTGACATCCCATATTTCATCATTGACCACAATCCAGCAGTCGTCGGGCGTGTTGTGTTTGGAAATGTGTCCTGTGGGGACGAGACTGGCTTCCCGCATGGTTATGCTGTAGGATGCTCACAGCTTTGGTGCTTGGCTAGTCACCGCAATGAAGGTTACAGAGATACTTGGAAGAAATCCAGAACGGTTTGACTGGACACAGTTTGCCTAATAGTGTGAGAACACTCTTTGATTCACTTGAAATCTCGGAGACAACTCCGAGGTGTTTGTCAGCGGTGAGGGGGCGGGGGGGGGGGGGGGGCGGGATCCAGTCATTTCTGGAGGGAGGCTCCTGGCCCCGTCTATTAACACAAAAGAAATGATGAAGAGCTTCTTTCTCGGTCGAGAATTTCCCGCCCGTGAGCCTCAGAGACGAGAATTTAGAAGCCTTTAGAAATCATTACGATAGATTTCCCGCCTTATCTAGCGCGATATTCATTTAATTGTCGATATCTATATTTTAGCTCGGCCCTCGGTATTGCTTTCCAGATCTCGAAATTGCCGGAAGCATTCGATAGCTTCTGGGTTTTGAACCGTTGCACTCAATTTTACATCCTTTCCACTGATCATCTGTTTAATCGCTATTTCCACCCGTTTACCGTTGATGGTCATTGGTATGTCCTGAACAGCTAACACGAATTTGGGTACATGGCGCGGAGATAGCCCATTTCGGATCGCTGTTTCAATTTTGTTGCGCAGGCCTTGTGTAAGTAAAACCCCAGGTTTCATCACGAGAAAGAGGAAAACCTGCTCGTCCACGTCAGTCGCTCTTCTACGACCAACGCAAACGCAGTTGCCAAAGTAATCGGTGAAGGGACGTTTTTCAATGATGGCATATATTTCACCGCTGCCAAATCGGATACCCGATGGATCTACAATTTGATTAGCAATTGGTACGTAAAGGCAATGTGGACTTAGCTCACTGAGGACACCATCGCTCCTTCCTTGCATGATATAGCCTCCCGTTTTCGGATTTTTCCTCAGCCAGTCATGCTGCGCCCAGACGTCGATATTTTCAAAGCGCTCGAAGTAGGCCGATTTGTATAACTTGCCATTGGAGTCACCCCAGAAGAAGCACGGCATACTCGGGAACGGCTTCTTCACTACCATCTCACCCGCTTCTCCCGTATGTGCAATCGACTCCCCAGTCACTGGGTCCAGAATATCGACATCTATTCCAAGTCCAAGGATTTGCATTTCGCCTGCATTGATTGGCCCAGATGGATCCAGAGCAATGAGAGCAGTTCCCGTCTCGGTTCCCCCAGCAATGTTGCAGATTTGTACCGAAGGCGGAAAGCAACGGTAAAACCACCTGTATTGCTCTATGGATAGTGGAGCTCCGGTAGTATGGAACGTCTTCAATGGCGAGAGATCAAAGTCAATTTTCGGGACCGTTCCAGACATTTGCATTTCCAGCAGCAGACGCGGAGATGCACCCAGAAGAGTCACTTTGTATCTATCACATATCCGAAGGAGTTGTTTCGCGTCTGGAAACAATGGACTGCCATTGTATACAACAAGTGTAGCTCCAACCGTCAGATGGCCACACATCCCGTAAAACACAATCCACGACGTGCTGCTGTATTGCATGACCACATCTGTTGGAGTTAAACAGTCATGGATCGCCGATATCTTTTTGAATTGAAGTACAGCACCGTGCTGGTGGACAATGCATTTTGGAGCCCCGGTCGTTCCTGAGGAATAACAGATCATCAGAGGGTGGTGAAAGGGTACCCTGGTAAATGAAAGTTTGTCGGAAAGAACGGACTTCGCTAAAAAGTCGTCCATGGGAGGGAATTCGCCGAGTTCACCAGCGGCTACCTGTATGACATACACCTGGGGTCGTGGTTTGAGCTGGAGAAAGATCTTCTCGATCTTCTGTTTGGTAGGCAATGCCCGACCCTTGTAAATGGCGTGGCTATCGACAAACACGATGCTTGGAGTAACCTGTTGTAGTCTTGAAATACATCCTTCAACTCCAAGCTCTGGACTGATGGAAGTAAAGATGGCTCCGATCGAGGCGGCCGCATGGAAAATGATTATCGCCCAATTTGACGTAGCGACCACGGCAGCAATTCGATCCCCTTTCTTGATACCACTATTCCTCAACGCACTTGCAGTTTGTCTGATGCGTTCTCGGAAATTTCGCCAAGTAAGAATTTCTCCTTCGTCTCTGTAGAAGTCCTGTCCTTCCCTAATCCCGATCAATGCCACTGCGTCGGGGTCTGGGTTGGCAAAAACCACATTTTCCGCATAATTAATCTCATGGCCCAAGAAAAATGGTGGGATGTGGCTCATTGGAATGGTGTCATCGTAGGCCTTGTTGATGGTAGAGGGCAAGGGAGGCACAAGATCCAGGTATGTATATAGATCGAGCCAAAAAAGATGCGGATGCTTAATAGACCATTCTTGGAGGTCTTTAGTGTCCCGATGACTCAATGTAAACCGTTTGTTGATGTGTTCACGGTACTCATCCATGGACATTTTGCCTTGCCGCTGCGAAGGTCGCCATACGATTTCCAGTTCGTGAGTGTCGGTTGCCATATTTCACAATCAGCACGGTTAACTTAGTCGCAGTGGCAACTCAGGGACTTGGGCTTATTACTTGAGTAAATTTATGTTGCACTGATATTCGATTGTTCGGTATTGAAGGCTCGCGGTATGGAAGGTTGGCCGCTGCCGAATCTACCGAATGCTTCGGTATATTCGGCAAAGTGGGAGAGACCCTAGCGTCCCCAACGGAGTTCCCGACGACTCTCTGTCAATCTATGAGAATGGTTGAGAGGAGAAACATCAGTTATAGTATCCTATAACAGATATTACGTGTTCATGAGAGGAATTTGGCGCTAATGGATTATAAGGTCCAGATGTAACTGTCAAAATCTGACGTACGAGATCCCACCTAGAAGACGAATGAATAAATCTCCAACTAAAATAAATCTGGGAATGCCCAACAATTAAGAGAAGACATAAATAATATTAGAATAATGCGCAATAGGAAATTTGGAAAATAAACCCCTGTGTGTGATGTATAGAAACTTCAATTCTTGACGGTTAACTACTATTTTTGGATTTCTTTTGGGCGCCGCATAGTAATATGGTTCAAAATACTTAATAAAGAACAGACAACGAACATTATATGAACTAGTATCATTTGTATATTGCACTTGGCAGTTATAAAGTATAACGGAATCCAACTACTCCTTCTAAAACAGCCTCATCTCGACTCGCCTTTCTGTTCATTCTTGCAAGATGGATCGACAACACGCCGACTAATATAATAGAAAAGCCACAGCATCTAATGTATGTTAGCAGTTTTTATTGAATTGGAGTCATCATTTGACTTACCCAAGACAGGTATAAATACCAGGGAGATATTCAGGTGCATCCTGGGATCGGAAAACCAAGGCGCCAATAATACCCCCCGTGCCTCCTGATGTAACCAGGGTTGCACTTGCAAATGCACGCTTCCACTGTCCACAAATATTGTTTGCTTGGTATGCCATAACACAAGGCAATGTGCTTTGCGCCGCTGCGGTAACCAGAAAAACACCAAAATATTGAACTGCTGCAGAATCAACCCAAACCAAAAGACATAACCCACAAATGCCCTGCAAGCTATTCCATATGATACATGGACCTCGAGTATGATACTTATCTCCGATCCAGCCTTGGATATACATATACACGCCTGCAAAAAAGAAGGGTGGTGTGCTCAACACCTGCGATAAGCCAACATCGAAACCCATCCTGCTGTTTAGAATGATTGGCAAGAAATATGTGATTGAGTATGAAATCACGGTGTTGCATCTAGGGTCGAGTTAACTTTGGCCTTTGAACGTCCCTAGTTGTTGGACTTACAAAAAGATAAGGCCAAAGCCCCAAATCTTCAGATCCAGAGCAGATGTTAAGAACGCACGCCAGGTGAACGGCTCCTCCTCTGTATCTTTTCGATCCTTTTCCAGCATGTTCATGACATGTGCAAGCTCCTGGGCCGTGAGGAAACCTTGGCGTTTATGCGCATTCTGGGGGAAGTCGACAATTAAAATTGCTCCAATAAGCGCGATCACACATGTCAGTACTCCTTCCCAAATAAATATATACCTCCACCCCAACAGTCCGCCCACTCCACTCATCTGCATGAAGGCGTAGGCGAGAACACCAGAAAGTGAAGAACCTGTGACGCTGATAGAGTAGAATGCAGCATATCGTCTATGCACGTCATCTAAACCCTGTTAGCAACTAAGATTGGACAAGAGAGTATACGGCGTACAGCGACAATACCAGACCTGCAGCAAAAAAAGGGACCCGGGAAGTAGTCCAGCTTCGAAAAATCCAACAAGAACACGAAGACCAACGAGCTGGACCCAGGATTTCACGAAACCGAAGCATAGCATAACAATTCCCCAAGCAACTGCGGTTACAGGCATAAAAACCCGGGGGCCCATCTTCCGTACAAGAATCGCACTCGGCCACTGGCAAAACACATATGGGACAAAAAACATAATAATAATCAAGGACTTCATTTTGTCAGTTTTTTTGCCGGCATCTCAATTGACATGTGTCCACATACGTAGCGAACTCCTTTTTCTAATTCCAACTCCTTAGCCATCCCGGCAATGTTAGCAGAGCCAAGATTGGCGCGATCGATTAAAGACACTGCAAACATGAGCCCAAGGGCAGTGATTAAGCGCCTGTCAATCTTGTGGAGGATTTTTTTTCTCTCAGACGGCGATAGATCGTCTTCAGTTGGCTCATGCTGACGTTGATCTGCTTCCTCCAGGTTTTCCATCATAACCTTCTCGCTGCTTTCAGGATTTGACATCGATTTGGACATCTTAAAGTACTTTCAGATCTTCTGATGCTTTTATTTTCCTTTTAACTAAAGACGAGAGGAAATAATACCATTTCTAAAGCAAATTGCGAATCTCGGCAAATTCGGAGATCAGTTTCTCCTCATCTTCTTTCTGTATGCGGAGTCGCCGAGACGAAGGCGCTACTACCGAGAGTATAATTTGCTGCCATTTGGTATCCCAAAATTAGCGCAGAGAATAAATATTTTCGGTGCTATCCCCCGCCGGTACCTACAATTAAAGTTGATCTGTCAAATACGTCTAGCAGCATCCAACAACGAAAGAACTCAACACTATGGCAAACAACAAGAATCCCAGCAACGAGTCACCCTCTTTTGCTGATACTGCAGACTTCGAAAATGCAAACCGCGGCTTCTTAGCATCACTAAAGCCATGTGTGATTACAAACGATACTGGAAAGATGGTCTGGAACAATGACGAGTACAGTTTTGTCAACGAACAGCCGTGCCCAGCTACTGTTAACCCCAAACTTTGGCGCCAGGCTCAACTGTTATCGAAGCAAGGGCTATATCGTATTAGCCCATCCATTTATCAAGTTCGTGGCTTGGATATCTCTCACATCACCTTTGTCGAAGGTAAAACAGGCATTATTGTCATCGACCCGCTGGTCTCGTGTGAATGTGCCAAGGCAGCATTGGAGCTCTACCAGTCCCAGCGAGGCGTTCGCCCAGTCAAAGCAATCATATACTCGCACTCGCATATTGATCACTACGGCGGTGCGGCAGGAGTATTGCCATCTTCAGAAACGGGTACTGCGCTGGACAATATTCACATCATTGCTCCAGAAGGATTCATGACGGAAGCAACCTCGGAGAACATTGTTGCAGGGCCTATCATGCGCCACCGCGCAGCATACATGTATGGTTCAAATCTTCCCAGATCTCCTGTCGGGCAGATTGGCGTTGGACTGGGAATGGGGACTTCACGAGGCAAAACTAGCCTTATTCCTCCTACCATCGATATTGAACACACTGGGCAGACTTTAACAATCGACGATGTTCGCATTGTGTTTCAAATGGTGCCAGATACCGAGGCTCCAGCTGAAGTAAACATGTACTTCCCTGATGAGCGGGCACTTCTGATCCCAGAATGCGCAGTCCACTCTATGCACAATATCACCACCCTTCGAGGCGCTCTGGTGAGAGATGCGAGGGCATGGAGCAGATACCTAGACGAAACTATGATGATGTTTTGTGGAAACGACGAAACGGATGTTTTATTCGGGAGTCATAGTTGGCCGACATGGGGAAAAGAGGAGGTGAAGAGTTTGATGGAAGATCAAAGGGACTTGTATGCCTATCTGCATGACCAAACAGTGAGGCGGATGAATGATGGCTGGAATGGTACCGAGATCGCAGAGGCAATGGTTTTACCAGCCAAGTTGAGCCGGGCATGGCATACACAAGGATTCTACGGAAGTGTGAGCCACAACGTGAAAGGCATTTATCAGCGCTATATGACGTGGTTTGATGGAAACGCCGAGAATTTGTGGAAGTGGCCGCCACAGGAAGAAGGCTGCAGGTACATCAAATGCATGGGAGGGGTGAAGGAGGTCTTGGTCAAGGCTAAGCTCTTTATTGAGGAAAATGATTTGCGATTCGCCGCTACATTGCTGGGTCACCTTGTCGCAGCAGGAGACCAAGCAGGAGGCACTCCAGACTCACGAGTTGAAGGACAGACAATGCTGGCGGACGTTTTTGAGCGCCTCGGGTTCGGAAGTGAAAACGCCACTTGGAGAAACTTTTATCTGGCTCAAGCAATGGATTTGAGGAAAGGAGGTCGACCTCGGAACAGATATCCAACGGGACTGGCGACGTTTCCAGTGACTTTGTCTGTGGAACAATGGTTTGGTGGATTGGCCATTAAAATTGACGGAGAGGAAGCTGGAAAAGACGAGCAGTGCATATGCATTGATATTCGTGTCAATGATATAAAGGAAACGTGGAGACTGGTTCTCAGCAATGGCGCCTTGACTTACCGGCGTCAAGATGCCAGTAACCAGGGTGTTGAATCCCAGCTGGATCTTTCTTTGTCTCTGACCAAGCATGATTTGCAAGGGGTCCTCACTGGCAGGGACACTCGAGAGGCTCAAGTGGTCGGCGGGAATGTGCAGGCCCTCAATAAATTGCTTTCATTCGCGGGTATTGCTGGGGTGAGAATGAAGTCAGATAGTAATCTCTGAATCATACAAACTATTCCTTTTTACATAAATTTATTCTAAAAATAGTAGACTAATAATGGCCAGCCCACGCTACATACGAGTGAAGCTGTGTAGTCCTCTGTGAAAAATCTCTATCATATCCAGTGGATATACTGATCACGCCTTTCGCCTCCATCTTCGCACCCTTCACGTTCCAGCCGAATTCAATGGCTAGGGACATGTAGCGTACGCTTGGGTACGCTTGGCCTTCGGCAGTACTGCTCGGTTATATTGTGGGGTCCTGAAATCTTTCGGCAGCGGGGTGGATAGCTCGGTGGTCTTCCCACAAACTACCGAGGACTGTCTGTATATACTGCGGTCGACATGTAAAAGTAGGATTCTCCAGTCATAACCTGAATATCAACCATTACTGAGTAGACAAAACAAGATGGCTGGTACATCACCCCACAACCCGAAAGAAAGGCAGGATGCGCTCAATTTCGCGTACATGGTGAGATGAAGATTTGTTATTCTTGCCTTCAAGGCTGACATGTTAATATATAGTACGGCTATCCTCTGCTTGAGTATGGCAAATATGTAGCTCAATTTCCCGATGCCTGCGTCAACACTCTTTACCATGACCGACGACTTTCGACTTCAGATGATCTGAAAATAATTCGGCCGAACGCAGACACGTTGTATTCCACCATTTTCGTGGATCTGTCCTCCAATGACTTGGAAATTACTATACCAAAAATTTCAGACCGTTACTGGGTAATCCCCTTCTACGATTTGTACGCAGCCGTTTACCTCCAGCCAGGACCCTATTAGCTTACTTTGGCTTTCCATTAGTTATGGAAATGATATAGGCAATATCGGTAGTCTTCAAGGTCACCAGGCGGGAAAGTACCTCGTCCGATATGCCAGTGAAGACTTTGGCTTCTTTCTAGGGTCCCCGCCAGAAAACCAAGTGGGGGACGATGTTTTAGGCTATGTCAATTTGCCTACAGCCTACGGTATATGCCTTGCGCGTTTTGCCACGACACAAGCTATCCAGGACCAAGAAGCTGTTTGCAGTTATCAGGATCAAATTCAACTTTCTTCCGTTTCCCGCCATTCTGGGCCTTTAGCTCCTCGGCTGCAACTCTCAACTTTTATGGATCCTCAGCACCAACCCTCAACGAACGTCTCTGTTGAACAAGCTATCTTGAGACTGACTGCATCACTGGCTCATCTCAACCCTTCCCCTGTATTGGACGACAGACAGTGGATATCTAACATTCTCGCAAAAAGCGGAATGAAAGATGGCGTCTTCATTTGTCCTGATGGAGCTGATATCTCTCAAGTTTCTGCATTTGCGGACACTCAAGCTCGAGATGCTTTGCGGTCTCCTGGTGGCACGATGGACTATGGCAATGGATGGATCTCTGCATTCCCAGAATGTATGGGAAACTTTTGGTCCAACTATATTGCAAGATACTACATAGCCAAGTTCGGCTATCTGGGCCTCACCAGCGAGCAGGCAATCTACCCATCCCGTCCGAAGGCTCTGAGGATTAAACCAAACGAAGCAGTTTTACTGATTTTTTCTCGCCGACCTGTTCTCCTTAAAACCGGATTCTGGAGTCTGACGGCGTATGATGCAGACCAGTATCTCGTCAAAAATGACATGAATAGGTTTATTCTCGGAGACCGGGATAATATGACCTTCCCCGATGGAACTCCACTCAACGACAACAGCAAGAATGGCGAGTTTTCCATTCTGTTGCAGCCTGCAGATGTTCCACCACCAGCCAAATGGAGAAACAATTGGCTACCGACACCAGCAGGGGGTGGAAAAATGTCAATCACATTGAGGTTTTATGGTGCCACGGAGGAGATGATGCCCAAATTCTACGAGTATCCAAGACTCGAGCACATCAAAGCAATCACTGAATCACCCAAGTCATTGCTGTGAAGAGATCATTACGCGTTTATCTCCCTGGAATGGATGCTATTCATAATTTAAATCCATTGCATGGCTGGAAGTTAGGTGTAAGCGAACCCTGCGCTTGTACTCTTCGAGGAAGCAGAGGATGCGGAGAGATTTCAGAGGCGTGAGGCAAATCCATATTTATCAACACCTGGTATATTGACTTTATTCCAATCAATGTAATGCCTTCAAGCATGTCATGTCACATCAGACAAATGAGTTCAAACTATCTAGACTCAGAAGGTTCTCTATTGACCAGTCCGTGCAATTTTCAAAGAGTCGGTTTGCAAAGTCATCCGTTTCCGTGTTGGACAGCAGCTCCATCCTCGGACTCAATTCCTTCTTGAAGGGAAATAATTCGTATACTCTCGGCACAGTAATGTATGCTCTCCAAGTTGGGTCCCACGAAGCTCTGCCTGGGTCTTCAAGCCCCGGTACTGGATTTATTGAGCGACCATGTGATAATATCTCGGCTTTACAGCGCAGAATTCTTTCGACTATTGCCTTTGCACCGGGGAACTTCAATATTCTTTGAGTGAGGATCTCCAGAAGAATATCTAGTTCCTCCAATGATTGTGAATCGGGACGCCAATCTTTGTCCCCGGGATTAATGCCGAGGCTTTCGTTGCGGAGGCTACTGAGCTGTGGAAGCGAAGCTACCATCATGGACCAATTATTAATTGACATGAGGTAATTAATGTCGTCTCGGTAGTCCATCTCTTGATAGAGGCGGATGATGCATGACGACGCCACCAAGGTTATTGTGGATGTGGCTGAAGGATGAAAAAGTCGGCCGTGAACATGAAAAAATGTGATAATACAAGTGAAGTACCAAGTAAGGATCTCGTAGAAACCACGTTCGTAGACCCTGTTGCCTTGATCGTCAAATAGTCGAATATCCGGTGGGATATTTGCAACCCAATTCTTCAAGTCCGAGAGAACAGATAGAGCTTCTTCTGAACTGTTCGAAAGTTCTCGATGCTGAAGGGGCAACATCTTCTCCAAAATGGTAGTCAGGTTTGCATAGAGAACGAACAAACGAGCTTGGCCATTTTCAGGGTGTTCAAAGTCTGTAACCCGCGGTGGGTGTAAATCAAAGTCTTGCGACTTGATCATTTGGGGTCGACCAAAGCAGAACGCATGCAATTTGTCTTGCGCATAGAGAAACCACGCTATTCTGCGAGCACAACCAGGGGCAGACCTTTGCGAGTACGTTGATTCCCGATGAAGTCCAATTTGAAAGGCGAAACGGATGGCAAGACCCAGCCAATTCCAGCCGTTGTCGATCGTTACCACGGCAGGAGGAGTGACATTCCACAACGTGAGTAGACACAACGCCTTCAGTATGGTGATCGGGTCGCGTTCGTGGTTTATGAAGAAAAGTGCTTTTGCTCTCGAGTAGAATTGTTCGCTCTCCACAAGGCTCTTGGTTGACTTTGGATGACGGAGAATGGATCCCGCCAGGCACAGGGATTGCTGAAGAAGGGTAGATGGACATGTAGGGACGACGTCCTGGTGATTCACAACCGGAATTCTGTGGTAAAGATACTTGAAATAGGTTGCAGTGAGGGCGACGATCTTTGATTGGGTTGGTAACTGGTCTGCTCCCGTGGCAACCAATATTTGTTCCTCGAGTGACCTAGCAAAAGACCCGACAACGGTCGAGGCCTCGGAAGGCAGCGGTCCATGATTTGACAAGACCGAGAATTCTCCGATATATCCCAGGTTGTCTGATGCGGCAGACGTTCCATTTGCCGACAGATTCGTATGCAGACTGTGCCTAGCGGCCCCTGGCCCGGCGGTCTGGTCACTGAACGAAGGATCTGGCGGTGTCGTCCCGAGACTACACTGCGGTGATAGACCTGCTTGTGTGGGGGCTTGTGATGGCGGGATGTATTCGCTCTGTGTCCTTTTATGTTCCCTCCGTTGACAGGGCTCGGCGCGTTTTTCACAATTCGTGCACATGCCACCCTTCTGGAGTCGCAAGATCAAGTCGCACTTGACTTTACGAGTGTGACAACGATGGCATACGAGTCGTGAGCGGTCGCGCGGCACTCGCCCATTTCGGGGTGCTTGATCCGCGACCATTATGCAGCTGAAGATGGTACATTCGGTGAATGCGCCGGGGATACCGAAGCATTGTTTGTGGGAGCCGAGGTTGCCCCTGCTAGCTACGAGCTGCCCCGCACGGCACCCGGTCTATGTTTCTGGGGAAGTTGGGGATGCCAAGCCATGATAGTTCGGACCGAGCTCTTCTAGACGATAACTATAGGGGTACCATGACCAACAGCACAATCCTGAAAGCTTTACTTCACAAGGTTCCAGAGAATGCGGAGACGAATCCCGAGATGGTAACCACACCGTTCATGCATCTCACGCGCCAATCTAAGCTAAATAGTTGTACTGGTTGTTTTCTGTGCGCTCCATGTAGTCCTTCTCAATCAACCTGTCAGGAGGTTAGCGGGAAGCCCCATGCAGTAGATTTGAGAGGGAAAGACGAGTCACGTACTTCTCAATGTTGGTCTTAATCTCGGCGGGCTGTAAAGTGCCGCGACTGCGGGTCGCCTCGATCACTTCTGCAATCAGCTCGGAGTGCTTGATGGTCTTGCGGCTCTTCATGATGCGCACGATCGCCGCCTGAGTCTCATAGTGTCGATCGGCTGCCACACGCTCGTGTGTAGTCTTGTTCTCTTCTTTGGTCTCTTTAAGCTGGATCTGATTGATCTTGATGCGATACTTGAGATCTGTAAAGCCGGTGTTGTAGGAGAATTCGTCTGTCGACGCGACATCTCTGCCTTTGGGATGCTTGGTCAGAACCCGGTACTTGGCGCACGCGAGAGACTGTAGAGTCCGCGTCAATTCCGCATCGGCTGCAGATCAGGTCAGTTGAGGCTCCAGCTCACGCACCCATTCGTTCAGGGGGGACTTACAAAGTCCAGTCGCTTGCTGGATCTGTGGGTACCGCAGGGTCTCGTCATTGGGGACATCATTGAATAAAAGCAACACGATCGCCTGGAATGAGCTGACTACCAGCTCCCTGGGACCCTTGGGGAACCGTGCGATAAGTTGGCAGTGCGCCAGCTGATGTTTCCAGTGCAATTTGCGGCCGGTGTGTTTACTCTGATAGAAATTCTCAAAGCTACCAATAGCCTCAGAAATGATCGGCGGAATTTGCACCGGAACATCAGGATAGCTCGGCCACGACGCAGCTGAGATCACGTTGACATGCAGATCTATCGGGGGGCGGGCGCCTCGTTTCTCTCGGTACATCGAATTGTAGGCTTTCATTTCGTCGTGTGCCACCCCCATGTCCTTAAACATCGACTCAAGGTTTTGGGTGAAGTTCGACCCACATTCTAGGAAAGAGATTAGAAAGCACCGGATAACAAGGAAAGGAGATGAACGAACCCGTTCTCAGACGAGTCAACATGCTTCTCTCTGCATCATCGCTGGCACTGCGGCCCATCAGTAAGCGCCGAGCGAGGTCATTTTTGTAGAATGCTTCAAAGACAGCCTTTCCCTGCACGAAACGGAAAAGATCGAGCACCTGATCGAGCTGTCGATTAATTTCAGCATCCTCATCGGCCAGCGCCACGTCGTCCGGTTTGCGTCCCGGCGGCACTTTCCAGCCTCCCTTCAACAATCTGTCCACGTATTTGGCGATCATCTCGCCTGTCTTGGCGTTATCAGTGCCGCCAGTGGATGCTGTCTTCTTGCTCAAATTCATGAAGTTACCAAATGCTTCACGTAAGACGTGACCTAGATCTTCGTTCCGATTGAATGCATCCTTCCAGATATCGTCAAGCTGCTCTTTAAATTGGAGTAGACGGACCACCATATCAGCTTCTTTCTCTTCGTCAAACACAATGTTAGAGCCTTCGTCGACAATGTAGCGGCTGAAAGCAGGCTTCAACTTGGTACCATGACCCCGCCGGTCGAGAAGACCGTAGAGCTGTTTCAACGCGGTCTTGTTTCCTGCTCGCATTAAGCCGACGATGTCATCTTGGCGGAGGAGAACCGCCTCTTGCTCGGTGATCAGTGTCTCGTCTAGTATACCGAACAGTTCTTGCTTCGTGCTTCGATTGAGAGAGAATAACCCGCATCGTTCCACCTCTTGTGCAATCAGGCGGTGGCTGTTCTCGACATAAGAGGGCAGGGACCCTGATGCTTCCCTTTGTGCCCATGTGGAAATAAAGGTCCGTGATTGGGCGACAAAGAGTGGCTCAAAGCCACTTGTATAAACATCAAGATCGTGGAACAATCCAATGGCATTTCGAAGCAAAGTCGAATCAGCCACAGTGCTGGTCTCTGCACCCCGATCGGCAGCGATCAGGTCGCACGCACCTTGTAGGATCTTGGGTTTCAGACTGCGATCGGCGAATATGTAGGAACGGAACTGAATCAAGCCCATGTCACGTATCACCGGATGCTCCTTAGAATGGAGAAGGAACGATTGATCGAGGTAATAGAAGATCCAGCGAACAGTGATCTGTATAGGGAAGGTCAGCTAAGGAACACTTTAGTGAGAGTGCTCGGCACATACCAGCCTCGATTGCCATGCTGACCACGCCTCGAATACTGCCCGCAACGTATCGACATCATTACCACCCCCGGCTCGTGTGACAAGATTCTCGCGCAGCTTTCCAGTCACATGCTCTTTGCATCTGTTCTGAAGCTTCTTGGCAAGAAGAGGTGCCCGGTCTTGACGGCACATATTCTCAGCCCCTTTATATAGCTCCTCCAATGAGATATCTGGTTTCTTGCCATCAAAGATAGCCGACAAGGCCGCATCAAGCTGCGACCAGACTTTGTCAAAGTAAGACGCCTGGTTCAACCGGGAGCCAGTCCGCAGGTTCTTGACCACAAGTTTCTTCGTGCTGGTCTGGGGAGTGACGTTATTCTGGCGAGTGGCTGCGCTGAATGCCTGGGATTTGATGGAAGAGTCCGATGCAGGCACGCCCCGAGCAAATGCGGTGCCATTCTTGGGCGGAGATCCGGAAAAGTTGTACATCTTCGAGGATGGGACAAGGGAGTCCGCGTGGGATGACGAGGACGAGGAGGGGCGCGACAGGCGGGACCGCTTGGAGGTGGGAGATGGCTCTTGTTGGGGAGAGGGCGAGGAGTGCTGAGACAGAAGCTGGGAGATGGTCCTCTGCTCCCCTTGATCGGAGAGCTTCCTCTTGCCGATCGAGTTGCGCTTACTGCTCCGCTGCTCTTCGCCTCTCTTGATCGAGTTGTGCTGCATCTACCCGGTGCACGATCCTATATTGAGCCAATCCAGCATCTGAGGGCGAGATGGGCCGGATTCGGACGGAAGGAGGAGGAAGTGAGAAAGTGAGGGGAATTGGGCCGAGCGCAAGGTTGGTTACGTTGTGCTGGCGGCGCTGATAAGATAAGAGCTCACTACAAAACATCCACAGTGTATTGATTCCGCGAAGTAGAAAAAAGCAAGTCCACCAACACTCCAGCTACTATGGTACACGTTAAATCCCCTAAACTCATGAGAACAACGTCGGTCGGACAAATTGCTGCACTTCTTGATCCTCAAACTGCAATGCGTCAGTCAAAGCGAGCGATGGAAATCGAGGAGACAAACTCACATCGAGGAAATCGGTCGCGGCAACAAGAACCATAAAGGCCTTGACCAATTCACAGAGAGCTTCTTGGTGGACGGCTTTGGTGTCTCCGATCCGAGCGAAGCGCTTGAAGATGCCCACCATGCACGGTCGATTCTCCGCCATGAATGTACGGGTCTGCTCCTTGATCTGCTCGTTGTGGATCCCGCGAGAAAACACGGCAGAGACAATCACTCGGATGACAGAGAGCAGGAGATCATAATACTTTCGAAGGGCATCCGGATTGTCGATGTCTGGTGGTGTCAGTAAGGGCAAGGCCTCGGAGATGGAATACTAACCGATACCAATGTCCGGGTCGGCCGCAAATAATTGTGAGTCCCGCACCGCTTCAAAAAGACCAGATTTGAGGACATGGATGGCACCGCTCTTGGTGCGTGAGAGCTGCTGAAGTAGAGACAACAATGATTCGTAATAAGCCAGCAGAACAGAGGTGTCTAAAGAAAAGTAGCAATTAGCACCCTGAATATGCGAAAACACAAGAGCACAAAACACTTACCGCTTCCCTGCGCATCACGCAGCTCCAATGGAAGAGAGCGGATCGCATCGAGAAAGAGGCTGAGATAGTTGGACTGTGCGACCAACTCTGCCAAGACACAATCAGTCCGGCTGTCCAGGACCGCCAGGCAGTTCAGCAGTAGCAGAGCGGATGCGCGGCAGGCCTCCTGCCCAGTATATGCGTCGTCGCATATAGTCTCGATAAGCCCAGGCCCGGCTGTCTTGATGACCTGTTGACTGTGCCGCCGTAGATTCTCGTGGGCCGAGTCTGAAGAGACGATGCGTGTGATGTACTGCGCGCAGATAGTGTAGAGGACTTCTCTCAGCGACACATTTCCAGTCGCCAGCAGAATACCCCGGGCACAGATTTGGAAGAGTTGATGGAGCTTCTCATCAATGACATCTCCGCTCCGAGAGCCGTGCGTTGCGGAAACGTCGGACGCAAGGTGACTGATCAGTGTTTCGGCCAACCGTGCCAATTCGATAGCTTCCGGAAGATCGGCCTCGACAGCAGTCTCAAGCTTGGGAAGGATCAACTGAATGGAATGAAGGATGAAGGTAGGCCGGCCTCCGTCATCGATTGCGGAACAACTGATGATGGTAGTGATGAGCTCTGTCCAGGACCGGAGAGCCAAAAACCGGTTATGTTGGATTCGACGGCTTTGGTTGGTAGCAAGAATGAACATTTTCAGGCTGTCTGATTCGGCCAAAAATTGCTCTTCATCCTGGGGCCGCGCTGGGCCGTTAGCAAACAATTCTGCTTTCCGAACTTGAATCAACTCCTCCATCTCAGCGACGTTGTAGAGCACCAGAGACTCTTCCTCCTGCTTTGCACAGGCATCAAAAGCGATTTGGTCAAGGAAGGATAGTGGAGGCAAGCTGAACTCGCGTCCGACATCCAGGTCGGCGAAGTCAAAGAGATCGAACACAGAGGGGTTAGAAATGGAGTCGCCGTTGTCCAGCACCGAGTTTCCAAGTAGAGTGGATAAAATGTTTCCTTGAAGAGTTGGTGATCCAATCTTCGCTGCCGAACGGATTTCGGTCGCGGCATATGCAAATAAATGGCTGCGATAGAGTAAGAATTCGGCCAAAGCGGAAGTGGCATCGGTGAGCCAGAATTCCTCGGTTACAACGGGAAATCCGTTCCATGGAGTGTTTGATCCGATTATGGGCTGGCCAGAAAACATGTTCAACAGGAAACCCTGGGCACGCATCTCACTGAGTGTGAAAAAGGATGCGAGCTTCGACGACCACAGGTGCTTAAGCACCTCGAAAGCCATACGCTTGAGGTGCACCATCCACGATGTAATGCTCCCATCTACATCGTTGGGATAAGTCTGCAAGAACCCAATGATTGCATGCAGTAGCGACATTTGGTGCGCGAATAAACCATCCGCCGACACATCAAGAATGTTGCCGACACAGTCGAACCCGAGAAGAAGGTGGGCCACGGTTGGCCGATCAGTGATCATCCCGAGGCAGCTATTCAAGAGGGCCAGCAGGCTTTCTCTAATGACATAACCCGCCGATTGAGAGCCAAAGTCTAACTCTCTCGAGTCGGGGTCCATCTGCGATACAAGTGGACGTGACACGCTATCGACATCAACCTCAGTAGCCAGTACCTCAACGATCTTATTTGACGACTGCCATTTGGTGATTTCGGGTGACGACATCTTGTTGAGTTTTCGGGAGCTCGTCAACTTCTCCAGCAGTGCCATAGAAGTGACTGTAAGCTGTTCGTGTCCGGTTCCACAGTAGAGGCACAGCGCTGGTATCAGAGCCAGGTTGTTGAGCACGCTATCTTCAAATGAAGCGAGAGAAGAGTTCGCCACGGTCGTTCTTGAACCTCCGGCTTGGGTCTTGATCAACGGCCTAACAATGTTGAAGTATGTCGACTGAAGATCCATGACCAAGTTCATTACCTCAATACTGCGGAGCAGGGTGAGAACCAAAACCGAGTCGGAGGATGCGTGTGCGACTTCGGCAACATCCTGCTTGGCAGTCGCAAACAAGGCCTTGAGAGCGTCTTCATTGAAAAGCCATTCGATTACCCGAGCAAATGGATGAAGACGAACGTAAGTAACCAGTGACGATGCATTCGTGGTAGATTCAGAAGAAACAGATGGTTGACTTAAGACAGTGACAAGATCCTCGTTGAAAGTCCTCAGGCTCGACACCACGAAATCCAGACAATGATAAGTCAACATGCGTGATTGATAATCGTTGAGATCCTGAATTTTTCGAGAAAACGCGTGCCCCAATATGAAATCAACGTAGGGTTCAATGCCAGGCATACGATAGGTCCCACCGAGGGAGTCCGGGAAGGGCAGGAATAAGGGGTTGCCCGTTACATCAGAAGTGGGTGCTACCAGAGAATTAACAAGAACAACGAACGCGTTCGTTTGATCAAAGCTCTCGCCAATTTTCTGGAGCGACTGTTGCTCGTGCCATACAGGTGGATTGGAGACCAATGGCACCTTGCTCATACCTGAAGCGCCCATAGTTCCGCCGGACAACCACTGGTCGATGTGGAGCCACATTTCGTTGCCATTTCCAGATGTTCTCTCAGTCATGAGGGCCGAAAGCGTGGCGAAGGTGGTTGCCCGCAGATGGGTCGGGATTGGCCCGCTGCACAATGCCAGCAAGGTGCTAACCACGCTGAATGTCTGGTTCAACAGCATCCAGTCTCGGATAGTGCCGCTCTGCCTGCACAAGTGACCCATTAGGCGAAGATAGCATGTCAGCATGACTGGGCTCTCCGGTTCGCTCATCTCCACAGGCTCCGGCTTTCTGGAGCGTAATACTCCTTCCGAGGTGGTCGTACTCGATGGCTTCTCCGTGACCCGAGTTGCATAAAGACGGAGTTCTGCAAACATTTGCGTCCAATTCATTGACGTGGATCGCTTGAATTTCGACGACATAAATTTGTCTTCTTCTGATAAGAATCGATGTACCGCAGCGGCATTTTCTTCGCCACCGGAGATGGCGCACAGCATCTCGCAAAATGCACTTACTCGAGGGACTGTTTGTCGTTTCGAAGCCCACTGGAGGAAGCCGTAGAGGTTGCCATCGGGATCGGCCCAAAACTCTTGGGCGGCATCCTCTCGGCCCTCAAAAGCGAAAGACATAATCATCAAGAGAGACTCAAGATGGGTACGCGCCTCCACCAGGCCGCGGTGAAGACTGGATGTCAGGCCATCTCGAAGAGCAGTGATCTGGTCCAATCGCTGAGTGTCCTCCTCTGACTTGAGCAACCGAACGGCATCGGGCATGTTCGCAATGCACGACTCCACGAAGACCTCAAAGTTCTCCATCAGAAGCTGTTTCATGTATGGAGAACAAGCTTCTGACTCGGGCAACGGCACGATACTCTCTCGCAACAGGAGAGTCACCAGTTCGCTCCGTGCTGGATCAGCCCATTCTTCGTTGTTGACTCCGGAACAAATCGCAAGCATGAAGTCAAGGGCGCCATCGTCGAGAGAGGACATGAACAGTCTCGTTCGCTCTTCAGCTTCCGCCTCGGGATCGACACCTTGATGGGGAGAGGTTGGCCCCATATCAAAATACCACCCGCTGTAAACAGACAGCCACAGAGCGATAATTGCAGCATGAAAATGTGGAATTTTCCATCCCTGGCCATCCGTGGATGAGGTGACGACTGGGTGAAGACTCCGGGCATCATTTGCGCCTGATCCCTCTGGAGAACCATGTTGGACAAAAGATGCAATCGTGACAGGAAGATAGTGGATCAGTAAACTGTCGAACCGTTCCAGCTTTTTCAACTGAGAGATTAAAAGCCGGAAATCTTCTGGACTCGTGTAGGTACCCTTGAAAAGATAGTAAAGAATGGCACCAAGCGACTCGTGCTGTTGCTGCAAGCTGTGACGCTGATATTCGATGGCTTCCATGATGTCGCGATCCTCCTCCTGGCCGACAACAGAGGCTTTTTGAACTTGATCGCCCAGAAGGGACAACCATTTCTCAATGTCCACCATGGAGTCCATCCCCTTCCGTGCGAACAGCGACGCATTTCGCAACGGACTGTTTTTGATCTCCAAAATATGCGCCAGTGTCTCCTGCATAATAACCTGTGTCATTTCTCGCTCTACCTCGAATGACTCTCTGAAGATAAGACGTAGACATTCCAGCAAAAAGTGGCGGCGTTCGTGGAATCGCATGATGGCGGTAATGAGAGGGGGCCTGTCCAGCACTTGCGAATCTTCCTGGGCAGCCAAAAACATTATGGCTGCTTCCAATTCATCGATATTCAAGGCATCGGCCAGCTGTAGCGATCCCTGCTGGAAGTCCTGGTTGATCGAATACTCCACGTCCGCAATAGTGACCTTTCCTAGAATTGTCGCATCCGATGTCAGTCACCCATTTCAGGCCCAAAGAAGAGCAACAAGAGCCCGGACGGGTCTTCAAATACGATATTACCCACCGGAGAGGACGGTTTGCCGGCTGGCATTGTTTTTCCCGGGCTTGTCAAGGAGCTTCCTGAAATCCTCGATATGCGTTTCCAGTTCGACGCAGAGGCGTTCGATGTTTAGAAAAGAGGAGCTCGAGAGAGCAGAAAGATCCTGGTAGAGGCCACGAAGGCCCGCCAGGTTATCTTGAAGCTCCATGGCAGAGCTCTCTGCAAGTGAGGGATGGTGGAGGAAGGGAAGGGAAGAAGCCGGTGTGTTTGGATCTTTCGCGTTTCTGCCAGAGATATGATGAGGCAGGTGGCTGCCTGAGGTATCCGCGCCCACCGCCCTGATCAAGAGGCCTTCCCTTTCGGGAGCTCACTTCGTCAAATAAACAACTCCCAAAACAATAATGCCCAATCGAGTGCGCCATGGGTGAGGTGAAGCCCAACGCGATAGCACACTATGGGCGAGGTCTTTTTGGACAAAGCAATTACAGCAATCACTTCGGAAAAGCAGAAGGAGCGTGTTGATGGATTGGCAGGTCTGTCCGAGCTCGAGTCCTTGATGCGATTACTGCTAACACCCATGCTAGACTTGAAGCATATTCTTCAGCAAAATAAACAGAGCTCCAAGTTGTACGCACCATCCAGCACACCTAGAGTGTTGTGCCCAAGTACTGACCAGCGATGCTATCGTTTTAGACGAACATTAAACGACAAGGCCTGCCACAAGATCTTCGAGTCCCTATTCCGGTTTATTGCGGTTGAGAGATCAGCCTATAACCGTGCTCAACGGTCGGCTACCTTAAAGAGCTCGTCTACAACTCGGCTGTCAACATGTGCGTCGGTTGTTCGGACAGCGGTCGATGTGTTTCTGCGAAACCTACGCACCAAATCCGTCCGAGCGATCATTGATCACATCACGGAGACGATTCCGCTCCCAGGAGAAGGTTTGTGGGAGCCTCTCAGCGTGGACTATACCAAATGCTTGTCCGCAATCCTCCGCTACCGCCCTCACACGGAACACCTTGGCGACGCAGAGTGGGAAAAACTCATAGAATTCTGTCTCGTGGGTATTAGCATTCCAGGCACGGAGGAGAGCCAACTCAGTCTTCGAAGTGGACGTCGATCTGCCGCTGAAGACCCTCTGGATGCCGGTGACAGCCATTCAACTCCATCGAGGGCGACACCCGCTCCCACCCCCAGAGAAAAGTACGTGGGCGATAGAAATGCCATCGGAGAAGTTGTAGTGTGTATTCAACTTCTGACCACGAGCTCCAATGCTCCCATCCATGCATCCGCCGAGAACATCCTTCGCGGACTGGCGGACTTCGTCAAGTCTGCCTCGGTCATGACAGGAAACGCGCAGCAACTTGCATTCAATAGCATTAATACAGTCATTTCCAAGGTGTTGTTCGATCAGTGCGAACTTGCCCGGTCATCTCTGTTGGGCCTGATCCCAGTAGTCCGACAATTGTGGGCCACGACCAAGCACCATGGCCTGAAGGATGAGCTACTTGTCAACTTGATGCTGTGCATAGTAGCGCTGGGGGACACGGCCCAGAAGGAACCCTCTGACCAACTAGCACGCTCAATTGAAGGGTTGGCTGAAACGCTGTACTCTGAATATGTGAGGCGATCCGAAAAAGATGTCCTCCAGCTCGATGAGTCAATATTCTACCCCAGAGACTCGCCGCAGGTACAACAGATCTATGGGCCATGCCTTGGAAATAGCAGATCCGAACATAATTGGACGGTCGTCTGGGCTATCGCCAAATTGTTGAAGTTGTCAAAAGCCGTCACTGCTCACCTTTCCGCCGGGGACTCCGCCAGCGAGGCCCCCATCAAGAGACAGCGCATGAATTCTGGGATAGACGATGTGTTCAGAGACTCGGTTTCTGCAACAGGCTCAAGAAGAATCTGTGCTCTACAGCTGACTCCTTTCCTCGAGGCGGAGATCGATCTTGAGACGAAGGAGTCTTTCCTCCAACGGCTTGTTCTCAACATCCTAGATGGCAACAGTGCCGTCTCCTCATGGACAATGGTGGCGCTGGAAAGGTATGTATGCCCGTTTCTAAAAACATATACTCCCAACTAAATCGGTGTCCACCACCAGCATTGCAAGTGGTCAAGATGCGAAGTTGCCGGCTTTCAAAGTCTGCTGGCCAAGGGTTTTGAGTCTCACGGCCCGCGCATTCTCTTCTGCCATTACTTCTAGGGCTGCGTGCCACCTCATGAGCTCAATTCTCCAATGTGACCTGTTGGAACATTCTGTTGTGACAGAAACGGTGCGCTCAATGTTATCTTCTGCCAGCTTGAACGGCCCCTCCGCAATATCCGATGCCTCCTTGAGCCTGTGGACATTAGTGGCCCGGATGAGGAACCAGCTGAATCCAGGAGCGACGCAAGATGCATCGAAGCAGATCTGTAGTTGGTTGAGAGAAGTTTGGACAATCGGTATAGTACTCATGTCCATCCTTGCCCTCCTTACAGGTGTTGACAACAAAATTTCAGGTACGATGACAGATCGAGTTCAAACGGCTCAAATTGCCTCGTTTGCTAGGCCTCTTGAACTGCTGAGTCTGTTGTTGGCTTGTACAAATCGGCCCTTTACAGTCCCACACTCCCAGGTTAAAGGATTGACTGGTCTTGTGGCTAGAAATTGGTACTTCTTCCATGAGAACCGACAGTTACTGGACTATCTGTTCGATACCAGAGGCATTATGGATCATGTTGATCCGTGGGAGCTGAAGGCAGCAACATTCTGGCAGCCATCTGCTCGACGAGATCCCGATGATACAGTGGTTTTAGATCTCTTACGAGTCAAATCTGAGACGTTCATACAAGCCTGGGAGGCCATGACTGAAGACAGATCACATCATATTACTCCAGACGTCTTGCAGGTACTGTGTTCTTTTTGCATAGTGACTGCGATGTATGTATCCTGTCTTCCAGATCAACTTGACTCTCGAGTACAAGGTTTGCAACAGAATTCGCAACAGCTCTGGACCTCTATATGCACGTATTTGGCGTCTCGCGACGAAAATTTCACCCAGCCTTGCCTAGAGCTTCTACCTGCGCTTCTTGGTCCCTTCGGCCTCTCCAGTTCCCACACGGTCCTGCGAGTGAATCTTTGCGCACTCTTCGCTCCACTTGCTGAGATACTGGAAGACATTCGACAGAGCCATAAAAAGGATTCTCCGTCAAAGGATTTGATGGATTTGGATGATCGATTAATAGCCACGAGGGACCAAGCATCTCCAGATGAGTCTATTGTGGCCTTGAACAGGGAATCGCTGCCATTGCTTAATGATGCCGCTTCATTTCAACGTCGTATGACTGTTCACTTGTCTATACTCCTGAGATCCTCTGTCGAAAATGAATCCTCTGAGCCTTTGGCCAGTTTATCTCTCCTTGATTATCTGGTCAGCCTTGATGAATCGGATCTCCTGGCTACCCACAATATATTGCCCGAAGTCTATCGAGCTTGCTCAAACATGAACCGGCTTGGTCTACTCAACATTCTCGAAGACCTGGGTGAGAAGTGTTTACAATCCTACGAGATGGAGCGATGTGAAACTTCTCTATGTCTTTGCATCCAAATGATGGCTAGCTTTGTTGATTCCTGGACAGGCGAGCAGAATGACAACCTTAGCGAGTCAGCCATGGACTTGTACAATTGGTTCATGGACGTGCTCGTGACCCGCAAAAAAGCATCGCCTAAAGTCTCCGTTGCGTTGACTGGCCTTATCCGAATGATCCTTGCTTCACGTCCATCTTATGGCAGTGACCAAGGTCTCCCTTCGCCGCGCACCTCCCTATTTACCATTCTCCAGGATGGGGATATCCAAGTCAAGTTCAGCACAGCAAGCTTTATTCCTAGCCTATTCCAGCGCTACATTCTGAAAGATCATGACGCCATTTTTAATGATGTGCTGGAGAGCCTGCCTAGAGACCCAGACTGGGTTGAAGGAATTGCACTCCGCTTGTTTGTGCTGTCGCGTCTTGCCTCCGAATGGCATACATTACTTCGCAGAAGTATCTACCATATGTTCGAGACACCCGCTCAAGTGCCAGCATCTCTGTGGTATGCTGGAAAATGCATGAAGTTCGTCTCCCAAAATCTTGGCCTGCAAGACGCAAGAGAGCTCTTCCGGCTTTTCTCTTCTCAGATACTCTATACTTGGACCGAAACGCAGACAGTTATGTCTATGCCTTTCAGTATCTTTGGGTATCTCAGCCTGAAGGATATGCTAAATGATGCAACTGATGAGATTGTGGGCCAAATGATTATGCGCGGCAAAGATCAAGATACATCTGAGCTTGGCCAATACCTCGGGAAACCCCATCTTGACCTTTTGAGGGCATCTTTCTACCGAGCTGAAGCATATAGCATCGCACGAGATATCAGTACCCCTCCAGGCCATGGCAGCCAGCCCAAAGGGGTGGAGATTCGGCTGAGAAAATTGCTTGGCGCGGACGGGTTTATGGCAGAGATCGAGAATCAGTTTCCTCGGATCATTGCAATTCTCTTCAAATCACTTGACCACTACGATCAAATCGAGAGAGCATTTTCAAAGCGAGATAGTTTCCGGTATGCGCTTGAAATCCAATCAATCATAGCCAGCAAAAGTTCGTCGCACAGTGTTCTGCCAGCAAATCAGCAACCATCATTCAGAGCACGATATCTACTGGATGAACTCGAGTTTCTATGCAAACGCACTGGATTTGAGCTTGAGCAAATATGGACACCTACGCTGGCCTCGTTTGTCTGTCGCTCGCTTTTCGAATCAATTCATCCTGCTCTTGGCTCTCTTCATGCATGCTCTGTCATTAGGAAAATCAGAATCCTAGTCTGCGTGGCTGGTCCCGTCATGCTCCGGGATTACCCGTTTGAGATGGCCCTTCATGCTCTCCGGCCCTTCCTCGCCGATGTTCATTGCTCGGAAGATGCCCTTGGAATCATTTGGTATCTCCTTGAGTCTGGAAAGGCTTACTTGATGACAAGGCCTGGGTTTACCGTTGGAATCGCTGTCTCCATTTTAGTCACACTGCGGAAACTGTTCTTGTCATCACCCGAAAGTACGACCCAGGACAGCCAGTTCAAAACAGTGCTATCGATCTCTCGAGATTTTCACCAATGGCTCTCTGGGTTTCTGGGAAACTGTTGTTCCCCAGCTTGGACTTCTGAAATTCAGGAATCGTTTACTCGGTTGGTGAGCCTAGCTCAACAATACTCAACAGCAGGGAAACTATCGAACTCCCAGAGCGAGAAGGGGCTAGTTCTCGCAGTGCTCAACGACCGAGACTCTGAGCATTCCTTGCTGAGCAAACCAATAGCCGATGTAGTTCTATCGTTGCTGTGCCCAGATTTCAACCGCGTGCCTGATAGCAGCGTTGAGGATTCGGATGACCTGGTCGACTCTGCCTCTCACATTGTTTCTGTCTGGCATACTCTTCACAACTTCAACGGGGGTGTTGGATATCGACTGTGGGCAGCCCGAACCTTTGGGAGATCTTTCGCCACCACAGGCAAAATAAGCCAGTTGTTACTTCGAGAGCAGGATCTTTCGTTGTTCGAAGTGCCTGAAAGCTGTTTATTGCCCGATGTTTTCCTCCAGTCCAATGGGAGCATCCTTCAAGTGCTGTGCGATATGCTACATGGACAAGCCCATCCAGAAGCTGGGTTGGTTGAGCATACGTTGCAGCTTATCATCAGCGGCGTTACAGAACAAAACGAGTTCCAACAATATGAAGATGTCATCGGAGAGACCTTGATGAAGACTCTTATTTGGAGCCCTTACCACTGCCCTGCCATATCACTCTCGCTCTCAGAGCTGGAAAGATGTAACAATACACCTCCAGACGCATCAGAGCTCTCTATCACTGATTGGGCACGTAATGTTGCCTTGTTTCTGTGCAACGCCGCGCTAAACCACCCGGTCATTGGATCCCTGTGCAAGATTCTCAACGTGATCCCCAGCCTAGCCGTGCGGCTATTGCCATACATTGTCCACGGTGTGCTTCTTGCAGAGGCTGACGAGAGAGGGATCATCCGACAGACCATTTCGGATTTATTCAAACGCATATTGTGCAAGGTGGATGAAAGCACAGTGCCCCATGCACAGCTTGTGATCAGTTGTATCCTGTATCTGCGCAATCAGCCCAAGCCCGACGAATCTACTATAGTCGAACGAGACCATTGGCTGGACATCGACTTCGGAGAATCGTCATCAGCCGCACACAGATGCGGTCTGCACAAGACATCTCTGCTGTTTCTTGAGATTCAAGCATCCCGGGTTATCTCAGGTTCCCGACGCTCATCTTTTGCAAAGTTTGAGCCTCCGTACGAACTTCTGCATGAAGTTTTCAAAAACATAGATGATCCGGACTTGTTTTATGGCGTTCAACAAAGCTCTTCCCTATCCACTGTGATGGAGAGGTTGGAGTACGAAAGCTCGGGTCTGAAAAATCTTTTGTTTCAGAGCGCACAGTACGACAGTGAGATTCAGATGTCGGATACAGCAAATTCGTTTGGGGTGGTGAAAGCTTTAAATGCAACCAATCTCCAAGGAATCGCGAACACCATGCTCTCTGCTTCTGGTGGTGTAGAACATACATCTGTCTCCTCCGACAGCATGCTACAGGCAGCAACAAGCCTTCAGAAATGGGATATTCCTGTCTCCCCTTTGGACTCATCGTCGTCGGCAGCCGTCTTCCGGGCTTTTCAAAGCTTGAACATGTCGGGATCTCTAACAGAGGTCTTTGGCACCATTGACGAGTGTCTATTAACAACCCTTGACTCTCTTCTGAATAAAAGCCGGTCCGCAATTCAAATGCGGTCTGCAATGAGAGCGCTGGGCATAATGACGGAGATGAGTGATGTTCTACACTCGTCATCGTCCGAGGCAATGGAAGAGGAGTGGAAGAAAATAATGGGCAGAAATACTTGGTTAAAAATCGAGAGGTTAGTCCTGGCCCTGTTACCTTGGTGGAATTTCGATTGCGTTCTAATAAAATCAGCTACCATGAAGTGGGAGAGATTTTGAGTTGGCATGAAGCGCTGTTTTCATCAATAAGAAAACATGACTATCTACAGTCATCCATGAGTTTAGGCTCTCGGGACTCTCAACTCTTAGAAGTGAAGGTTATTCGACAGTCACTGGAGATCACCCGCAGCCATGGCGTTTCTCAAGCATCATTGAAGTCTGCCATCAGTCTGTCAAAGCTTGCTGGTCGTTGTGTGGAACTGGGCATGAACATTGAAGGTGTTGCGGAATTCGACCTGGCTAATGTTCTTTGGGACCAGGGTGAGATGACTGCGTCCATCCGAATGCTCCAACATTTAAAAGGCAACGGAGACCTTCACAAGCAAGCAATTGCTCTCAGTCGTTCTGAATTGCTTGTAACACTGGTGAGAATTTTGTGTGCTGTAGTCCGTTTTATTCTTTTGCCTAACATTCTTACCAGGGCCACCATGTCGCAGAAGCGCGGCTGGAGAAACCAGATTTAATCCTTCAAGAGTACCTATACCCTGCAGTTAAAGAGCTCAAAGGGAAGTCGGAGGGTGAAGAGGCTGGTCGCGTCTATCATGGTTTTGCCACCTTCTGTGATCAACAACTCCTCAACCCAGACGGATTGGAGGACTTCAAGCGTGTCAAGGAACTACGCAACCGCAAAGAAAAGGAAGTTCTTGGCCTTGAAGATATGCTAAAGACTGCTGAGGGTAAAGAGAAGGAGTCATTGAAGATATACCGGGCCAAAGCGAAGCAATGGTTTGATCTTGACGACCGTGAGTATCAAAGATTACACCGGAGCCGTGAGGCATTCCTCCAGCAGTGCCTTGAAAACTACCTCCTTTGTTTGAGGGAAAGCGACGCCTACAATAATGACGTTCTCCGATTCTGTGCCCTTTGGCTCGACAAGTCCGACAGTGAAACCGCCAACGCAGCCGTCGCCAGGTATCTCAAAGATGTGCCTAGTCGGAAGTTTGCACCGTTGATGAATCAGTTGTCATCTCGCCTACTCGATGTCTCCGATGGTTTCCAGTCGTTACTCACTGGGCTGGTGTTCAGGATCTGTGCAGAGCATCCTTTCCACGGCATGTATCAGATATTTGCCAGCAGCAAATCCAAGGGAGGCAAAGACCCGTCGTCTCATTCCCGGTACCGTGCTGCTAATCAGTTGGTTGAACGTTTGAAGAATGATAAAGGCATAGGACCAACGTGGGTCGCTGTTCACAATGTGAACATCAGCTATGTCCGTTTTGCTGTCGACAGACCAAATGCCAAGTTCAAAAGCGGTGCCAAAGTTTCGCTCGAGTCCCTTTCCACCGGCCAACGTCTTGGGCAAGATGTTGTTACCTACAAGTTGCCACCGCCAACTATGAAAATCGACCTTCGCGCCGACTGTGACTACAGCCGTGTACCCATCATTGTCAAGTTTCACTCTCATTTCACCATTGCGTCAGGAGTCAGTGCACCGAAGATTGTGACTGCCGTTGCCAGTGACGGCGTGCAGTACAAGCAGCTGGTAAGACTGAACCTAACAATTATGCTTCGAAAATGACGCTAAATATTATATAGTACAAAGGAGGGAATGACGATCTGCGCCAAGACGCCATCATGGAGCAGGTGTTTGAGCAAGTTAGCAGTCTCTTGAAGGACCACCAGCCTACTCGACAGCGAAAATTGGGCATCAGAACTTACAAGGTCCTTCCGCTAACGTCCAATGCTGGGATCATCGAATTCGTTCCAAACACCATGCCCTTGCACGACTTCCTGATGCCCGCGCATCAGCGATATTTCCCAAAGGACATGAAACCCAGTAGCTGTCGCAAAAAGATCTCCGACGTACAGACCAGATCCTTTGAGCAACGCGTCAGGACCTACCGGTCGGTCACGGAACACTTCAACCCAGTGATGAAATATTTTTTTATGGAGAAGTTTAATAATCCAGATGACTGGTTCAGCAAGCGGCTGGCGTACACACGAAGCACAGCTGCTATTTCCATCTTGGGTCATGTACTCGGACTGGGTGACCGACATGGGCATAATATCCTCTTGGACGAGAAAACTGGAGAGGTGGTGCACATCGACCTGGGAGTAGCGTTTGAACAAGGGCGGATTCTGCCCGTCCCTGAAGTGGTGCCGTTTCGATTGACTCGGGACCTGGTCGATGGTTTCGGTATCACCAAGACTGAAGGTATCTTCCGGCGTTGCTGTGAATTCACACTGGAGGCACTGCGGCAAGAGTCGTACAGCATCATGACCATCCTCGACGTTCTTCGCTATGATCCATTGTACAGCTGGACTGTATCTCCTCTGCGGATGAAGAAAATCCAGGATAACCAGGAGGCAGGTGACGGGCCGCCTGTTCTCCCCGGCACAGAGGATAAATCCTCGGCGAATGAGCCGGGCGAGGCCGATCGCGCCTTGACGGTAGTTGCGAAGAAATTGAGTAAAACGCTGAGCGTCACAGCCACTGTCAACGAATTGATTCAACAGGCAACAGACGAGAAGAACCTTGCTCTGCTCTATTGTGGTATGTATCTCGATATCGTTGCAACAGTGTAACATCACTAATCAAACCTGTCTCTCCACAGGTTGGGCGTCGTACGCGTGATGCATATCCGGCTGTCGATACATCGAAAGTGTCTTTTGGACATATGTAAAGTGTCAAATAGACTTTAATTTTTCTAAAATACCACAATTTTTCTTGTATTGGTTTGATCCATAGCACATACGGGCTTTAATTGATCAATTAAATTAGGCTAATAGCGCAGATAGCTCATTCTGAATGGATGTCCCCTCTTCCAACAGCTTGGCTATAATATCGGCAGTTTTTCGGGCACTGGTCTGGCCGACAAAGAAGAAGTGGTTGCCATCGATATACGCAATCAACCTCGCAGGTGCCGAGTGTACAAGATCCAAAATCTGAGGCCACTTAAGCGTTCCTTTGATCTTCGCGAGTCCTTGTTTCCCGATCATGCTTTCCAATTTGTATGTCAGGAGAAAGCCCCAGGCTGCCTTGTCTCCAAGGGCATGACTAGCGTCTTCGATATCAAGGTGGGAAATGGCCGAGATGAACGGGGTATTGGCCATGTCAAACACTTGAGAGTCCTCTTCATGGGTCTTTTCGTCTCGGACAAAGGCTCCACTCCCGTCATACTTGAGTCGCAGGCCAATTAAGTTGATCGGCGTTCCTCCGAGGTACTCTCGCAGGTATATCTCACGAGGTATCGTTTCCAGGTTGTTGTTCAAGGGCTTCATGGCGTTCACTTGATCGTAGAAGTTTTCAAGGCGTGGTGGAATGTTAAAATAGCCCGCGGGGGTGCAGATAATTCCAGGTGAAACAGGTCGAATGCTCGACATGCCCGGTGTCGCCGCAAGACTGATCATCTGCTTCACGTCCAGGCCTAATTCCTTGGCTGCGATGTTGAAAGGAACAACCATCCTGCCGGCCATACTCCACGAGAGCAGGATCACGGATCGAGTGGCCAGAGACTTCTGATCCATGACTTTTCTGGTGGTTGTCGCAGCCTGCCGGCCCCAATCCTGGAGTCTGAACCTCGCGGCCGTCAGTGGCATCATCAGGGAAGTCGTCTCGATGGGGTACGATAAGGACAGTACCCCAAACCCGAGTTTGCTGAGCCAGTAGGCCAGAAAGTCATCTGGGCGGTATCCCTGATGTCCGCCATAGAAAATGCGAGCTGAGTGTAATGCCCCTGGAATGCAGACGACAAGTGGTTTCGATGCTTCTGCGGCCTCCGGGTTTTCGGCTGGTTGATAATGATAAATCGTCGGAAAGCCGGCAATGGTTTCCAAAACCTCCCCGGGGTATAAGGGAAGGGTTTCGGGTTGGCTGACAGCTGCCATGTTGCGCAGGATACGCTGTCAATCGTTCTCTGATCTATTATTGACGGCGAGAGACTGTAGGCAATTTCTGTGGGAGGTGATGTGGACCGAATAAATCCCGGGAGAAGCGTCTGCCAAATGAACGGTAAAAGCCGAAGTTGATCGGTTGTCCGACCAACTCATACTTGATGTGGACATTTTTCACGCGCCATCAGCATTATTTTATTTTATTCTTGTCCGAGATTTTAGCCACATTTTAGTAGCTCTATCCATCTAAGTACTGAATGGGCCTCATTCTCGCGTATTGAAATTGAACAATGACAGGTCTCCTGGTGAGAGCCGCGATGTAAGTTTGATCCAAACTCTCAACTTTCAAAAAAAAATTTAATCAAGACAAACTAAATAAAAATACAGCCCCTTATACTTTAATAAAGATATTCCTCTCGTCTCGTCCAATCTAGTTGTCTATGGGCGGGTATCCGGCCGAATCGGAGTACGTTGTTCTCGGAGTAAACCCGAAGTCGGTGGTCTGGCCGACAGCATAGCTCCATTTGGGGGCGGGGTAGTTGGATTCTCCTGACTAGGTGGGATATTAAGGACAATTTGAACATTGTAAAGTTTTGATGACAGTAAATTGTCCAGTTTGACCTTAAGAACAAGGTGCAGTGCGACATTATCCACCGTCAAGTTGTGAGGTAAAGGCCAGTGGCTTGATAGAGAACATTTTGGGGCTTCATCCTCTGCTTAAAACCGTGTTCACAACTCATTCCATATTTCTGACCTGACAAACGATCAACATGGCTGAAACGGCGTATACAATTATCCAGGCGGATGGACTCTACTCTGTAGGTCACTCGTACCAGTCCGCTGCATGTCACTGACATCTTCCTAGGATGATGCTGTCGAGCAAGAGATCTTGCGCTCAAATCTTCCGGGGCCTTGCACGATCAATTACCTTCAATTGGACCTTTTCCCCACAGGTGCCCCATCACCTAAGCCATGGTCCGCAGTCCCTGAAGACCTAAGACAAAAGGTCGACGGAATTCTGACGCTCAAGATGCGTTTCACAGCGGAAGACCTAGCCCTATTTCCGCAGCTCAAGGTGTAAGTGTGATCATTGGCCAAGTCCTCATTGGAAAATGCTGACTCCTTCACAGCATCGTTAGGATGGGAGTTGGTTACGATCGTTTGGACCGCGTTGCTCTGGCCAAGCGAGGAGTAACGGTGTGCAACGTTCCTGGTTCGCCTTCCCTCCATAGTCCTTTTTCTTGCCGCAGAGTTGAATATTAATTTGTGCCGACATCCTTTTAGACTACGGGACATCCGAAATTGCAGATCATGCCCTGGGCTTGGCCCTATCACTTCGCCGCGGTATTCTGCTCCACCATGACCTCCAGCGTGAGCCCCATGTCAAGCCCTGGATGGTAGTCGATACCCCCCTAGTGGCACGGTTACAAGGTGCCACTTTTGGTGTCCTCGGATTGGGTCGTATAGGTACAGCTGCAGCTCTTCGGGCAAAGGCATTTGGTTGGCGAGTCATATTCTACGATCCCTATGTCCCAAATGGATTCGACAAAACCTACAATATCGAGCGTGTTAAGGACATCAAAGAGCTCTTTCGCCGCAGCACTACCCTGAGCATCCACTGCTCTTGCACACATGAAACCCGCGAAATGATCGGGTGGGACCTGTTGAGTTTGATGCCGAAGGGCTCAATCTTGGTGAACACAAGCCGTGGAGAGGTTTTGAGGCTGAATGCCGTTGAAAGATCCCTGAGGGAGGGGATCCTATCAGGCGCTGGCTTGGATGTCTTGCCCGAAGAGCCAATCCCTGAAGACAGGGTGCACCCGCTTATCCGCGCTTACCGGAAGAATGAGGATTGGTTGACCGGACGGTTGGTGTTGACCTGCCATACTGCCTTCTACAGCCCCGAAGGCTTTGACGAAATCAGAGTCAAGAGTATTGAGACCATGAGGGACGTGTTGATTGATGGAGGCCAAAGCAACGTGATCACTCTGGACATGGCCTAGAGATCACAGGTTAACAGTTGTGTTTTAATAAGTGAGGATAGAGTGGTTGTGAGATGGATAAGGCCACAGGGTGGGAGCTGAGATATATATGTCGGCCACTTCGATCCGTAGCGCCGGCATTATGAAAAACTCTGAGGGGGAAATTTTTCCATATGATCTAAACAGCCCCAATTGCATGATTTTAGCAGCTTCTGGGGATCAATATTTACACCACACCAGGGTTGTGGTTGAGGCTTGACCGCCGTTCTGGCATTCGTGGCATTTCCAGAAAACGTGTCATTGTTGCGCTCCGTGTCTCAGACCGAGAATACCATCGCTCTTCAATAAACGGCAACACTTTCCCCCCTGGGATTTCTCTCAGTCGGCATCTCAGTGTTAGAGGTCACCTTTTTGATCGATCAGTAAAATCAGTCTTCCCGCAAGAACAGTCTAGATTTGGTCGGCGTGGCGTCAAAACCTTCCGCAATGGCAGCCACGTCGAACAGAGGGCTCGTCGTCTTCTCGGGAGGAAGCGCTGCGAATAATTTGGTGGATGTCTTCCATGCCGTCCGAGAGAGCAAACACTGCCCACTTAGCTACATCATCCCAATCAGCGATAATGGCGGCTCGTCATCGGAGTTGATTCGCATATTTGGCGGCCCTGGAATCGGCGATGTTCGAAGTGCGTCACCGGCGTCTTCCCCCGGATCAGATCACATTTGCTGACATTCTCCACAGGTAGACTTGTGCGCCTGATTCCAGATTCACCTGCGAACCCCGAAAGGTCGGCTATCAAGGCGCTGTTCAACCACCGGCTGCCTGCTGAGGGTGCCGCCGCGTCGCTTGAATGGCAGACCATCGTCGATGGCACGTCTGACCTCTGGAAGACCATTGCACCAGCAAAGAAAGAGTTGATACGGTCATTTTTCAACTTGTTGAATTTGGAGATCTTGAAGCGAGCAAGGCCGCCGTCTTCTACATTCGACTTCAGCTCAGCCAGCGTGGGGAATCTTTTCCTGACGGGCGCGCGACTCTTCAGCGGCAGCTTCGAGAGCGCCATCTATCTCCTGGGAAGCATCTGTGGCGTGCCGTCAGATGTCGTGCGCGTCATTCCGGCAATCAATTCCAATTTCTCTCATCATATCTCGGCATCACTGGCCAACGGGACCGTGATCGTCGGCCAGAACAGCATCTCCCACCCAAGTGAGGCAACAGCTCTCCAGAACACCGCAAGAGACAGACGCCCCAGTCTTCTTCTTGCCGATGGCGATGACTGCGAGGACACAGACCGGTCAGACAAAGAGGAGGTTATCTCATACGAGGACGACCATCTACCTGGATCACTCGCCACTCTCCGGAACAAGAACATCTCATTCAGCAAGACCGAAAACGAAGAGCTGCCTTGCCGGATCACTCGGATCTGGTACATCAATCCCTACGGTCAGGAGATACGCCCGCCCGCCAACCCACGAGTCCTAGAAGCATTACATGATGCGCAGGCTATTATCTACAGCATTGGATCGTTGTACACATCCATCATACCCGCCATCATCCTCCGCGGAGTGGGAAAAAGTATCGTGTCTAGTCCCGCTCGTCACAAGATCCTGATCTTAAACGGGTCGTTGGACCGCGAGACCGGTCCTTCGCCTGAGCCATTCGCGGCGTCGGATTTTGTCGAGGCGATCGTGCGAGCAGGAGAAGGGAGCCGCGGACGCGGACCGTATGAATTCCCCGAACATCGAGGCTCATCAGAGGGTGGCGCGAGAACACAATCCCCTGATTCTCTTCCTTATAATTCCTATGTCACTCACATCTTGCACCTCGACGGGCCCGGGACGCCCCATGTGGACCGGGAGCGACTCACGCAAATGGGTATTGAGACTCTTCGTCTGTATGGACGGAAAGTCACACGCATGGATGGCGATACCGAAACAGTGGTCGGGATGCAGTATGACGCAAACGCGCTGATCCAGGCTCTCGAGGTTGTACTGGGGAAGAAAGGCGATGCGATGGTTCGTGGAGGTGTGGGCTGGGGGCTAGGAAGACGGAATACCCTGGACCCTGCTCCAAGAGAAAAAAGATGATGATCGAATATCTGTATAAGTATCTGATGAGAAGATTAAGAATGCATAAACTTCATTAACAATTCCGTGGGCTATGTCTAGAAACCATGAACCATGCAAACCATGTCTCGCATAGCTCGCTAAAAGAGTTCTCCTTGTCTGAGATCCCAGAGAGGGAGAGAAAAAAACGCCGGCGTAACAATGCTCCAACCCGCAATGCGAAATAAAAAGAAAAGAGCTAGGATGGCAACCCTATACCTCTTCAGGAGTGGCGGCGCCTCTTTTCTTCGTCATCAACTTGATTTGCAGGGGAATAAGGCTCCTCCTTGGTCCAACCGCTTCGTTTCTGGTGAGAGGTTTCCGGCACACGGGACAAGTGCCTCGCTGTGATTTGCCTGACGAGTCTGTGCGTTGCTCTTCGCTGTTTTTCAAACAGTCGATGATACATTTGTGGCAGAAGAGATGACCTATAGAGCGAGAATCAGTGCCATGTCCTGCGTGCAACAATATTCGGACCAAATGACTTACCACACGCTGTGCTTGTCGCATCCTCGGGTGTGTCCATGCACACGGGGCAGTTGTACGAGGCCAGCACCGAACGCCCCTTCTCGTGTTCAAGCGATTGCTGGGCTTTCACTGCATCCTCTCGCTGCTTTGCCAATGCCTTTGCCAACGAAACGGAGCCATCCACACCTGTCAAGTCGATTGCTTCCACGAAGTCTTCATCGTCTTCCGGCTGCGCCAGCGCCGATGGTGCCGATGCCCGGGAGCCACTGTCACTACTCAGACGACGGCGCTTTACACCACGGTGAAGTTGTCGGCCCCTGTGAGGGGTAGAGGAAGAGGACGAAGAAGAAGGAGAAGAGAAGGCATAGTGTCCAGTGGCTTGTTGCGGTGATGACGAGAGGCGGATGGGGAAGGGCCGGGTTGGTCTAGCGGACCGAGCGGACGAGGTGAGATCGACGACCGGGGAGTGGCTATTCATGGCGATGTGTTGGTTCAGCCTCTGTTCGCATGGTCCAGGGAAGACACCGAAGAGGGCTGAGCTTTCCCTTATCGGTGAGAAAGAAAGAGAGCCGACCTTCTTGGATAAGAGGTGTGGCGGCCATAATCGATAAGCCCGGCATCCGGCGAAATACTTGATCCGCGATAGCAATCCAATCCATGATGATAACTACCTGACCTGCACCACCACGGACAGCTTTCGCCCATACCCAATTTCACCATCTATCGTGGTCTACTACACTCGGTTTGCAGCCTGGTGGGCCGCACTCTCTCGCCTCTGTTTACCATGATATAAAGGCGGCGTCTTATCATGCTCTCTTTCTGCGCTCCTCACTCCAGGGGCGCGGCGCGATGGCGGCTCCGGCCACCGAAACCTCTGCCCGCGGTTCGCGCTTCACTACTCCGCCACGAAATCCCGTCCACTCGGCCTCGACATCGGCGGTACTCACTTTCCGTTCGCGCGTCCCCCCGGTTCAATGATATCGGCGTGCAGCAGCTTAGCGACCATGTCCACCCCCAAATCTTTCCGACCAAGGCCCGGACCCCCGACCCAGAGCTTGTAGCTCTGTCAAAAGATCATCTCGCACGGCATGACCTCCTTGGCAAATCTCAGACCGGCGCGGAGCCCGTTGCATTCAACCTCCCCGCTCTGCAGGGACAAAGTTTAGACGAACATTTCTTTAAACTCGGCATGGATGCATCGGAGCCCTACTTGACCTACGCCAAATCGTATGCGACTGTGAACTGCACGAGCAAACCGCGCAAATGGGTCAAGCGCAGTGGATGGACAAAATATCATGCGGATGGCTCTTCCGAGCCTGTCGATGCGCCGAACGAGTCTATGCTCACTTTCGACACGGAGGTCATGTATAAGGAACACTCTTATGCGGTCATGGCTTGCGCAGTCAGTCCAACTGCGTGGTATGCATGGATCTCACCCTGGCTGTTGGGAGAGTCGACGGAGCCAGTTCACCTGATACCCTTGGGGGACCCCACGCAATCTCGGATCGTCGTTGGTCACAATATTGGGTACGACCGAGCACGAGTTCTGGAGGAGTACGATATGCAGCAGACTCGGAATTTCTTCCTCGATACAATGTCCCTCCATGTGGCTGTCAATGGGATGTGCTCACAGCAACGACCGACGTGGATGCGCCATAAAAAGAATAAGGATTTGAGAGACAAGATCGCAAGCGAACACAACTCAGTGGAGTTGGCCGCGCTTCTGGAGAACAACATGTTGAGAGAAGAAGAGGAGGAATTGTGGGTGGGTCGGAGCTCAGTAAACTCCTTGCGAGACGTCGCCAAGTTTCATTGCGATGTCACCATCGACAAGTCTCAAAGAGACTACTTTGGTGAGCTTGACAGACCAGCCATTCTGGAACGATTGGAAGAGCTTCTCGACTATTGTGCTGCCGATGTTGCCATCACCCACCGCGTGTACCGCAAGGTCTTTCCAAATTTTCTCGAAACCTGCCCACATCCCGTCAGCTTCGGTGCTCTACGGCACCTCTCTTCGGTTATCCTTCCTGTCGATCAATCCTGGCAGGAGTACTTGACCAAGGCAGAACAAACCTACCATCAGCGACTCGATGTCGTTCAACGGAAATTAGTCGAGCTATGCGAGGAGGCCTTGAAGGTCAAAAATCAACCGGATGTTTATACCAATGACCCCTGGCTACGGCAGCTGGACTGGACTGGTCAGGAGATCAAAATGGCCAAAGGAAAGAAAAAGGGAGATCCGCCTCGTCCGGCCGCACGACAGAAGAAACCAGGAATGCCCAAGTGGTACAAAGATTTGTTCGCGACAAACGCCGCAGATATCAACCTTACGGTACGAACTCGCATTGCGCCCATTTTGCTCAAACTGTCGTGGGACGGGTTCCCCCTCGTCTGGTCCGATAAGTACGGCTGGACCTTTCGAGTTCCCCGTGATCAGACGAAGATTTTCGAAAATCAACCCGTCATAACATGCGACATGGGCGAAGAAAAGAACCAGCTGCTTCGAGAAGACAGGAAAAACATATATTTCAAAATCCCGCACAAGGATGGCCCTCAAGCCCGATGCACGAATCCCCTCGGTAAAGGTTACATGCAATATTTTGAGCGTGGAACCTTGTCTTCCGAGTTTGAACTTGCCAAGGAGGCTCTAGATATGAATGCCTCTTGCTCCTATTGGATCAGTGCACGAGACCGGATCAGGAATCAAATGGTGGTCTATGAGGACCAGTTACAGAACAAGGGACTGCAAAAGAGCGCCGGCGACAACCGACTGGGATTCATCTTGCCGCAAGTCATCCCTATGGGTACCATCACACGACGGGCTGTGGAAAACACCTGGCTTACCGCAAGTAATGCCAAGGAAAACCGGGTTGGATCCGAGCTCAAGGCCATGATCAAGGCACCTCCAGGCTACGCGTTTGTCGGTGCCGATGTTGACTCCCAGGAGCTGTGGATTGCAAGTTTGGTCGGTGATGCCTCGTTTCAAATCCATGGAGGAAATGCAATTGGCTTCATGACTCTGGAAGGCTCTAAGGCGGAAGGCACGGATCTGCACTCGCGAAGTGCTCAGATTCTGGGCATTTCGCGCAACGACGCAAAGGTGTTCAACTATGGCCGGATTTATGGAGCTGGCCTCAAGTTTGCTGCTACCCTTCTCCGCCAGTTCAATCCGTCGCTCTCAGAGAAGCAGACGCAAGAAACTGCGGCGAATCTTTACAAAGAGACCAAGGGAACGCGCACTTCACGTCGCCTTTTGAATGACAGTCCCTTCTGGAGGGGCGGCACCGAGTCCTTTGTATTCAACAGGCTTGAGGAGTTTGCGGATCAAGAACGACCGAGAACGCCTGCATTGGGCGCCGGCATCACCGAAGCACTCATGCGACGCTTCATCAACAAGGGGAGTTTCATGACGTCTCGCATCAACTGGGCCATTCAATCGTCGGGCGTCGATTATCTCCATCTCCTCATCGTTGCAATGGATTATCTTATCCGGCGATTCAACATCCAAGCCCGCCTCTCCATCACCGTTCACGATGAGATTCGGTATCTTGCCAAGGACGAAGACAAATACCGCGCGGCTTTGGCGCTGCAGATTGCCAATGTCTGGACCCGCGCCATCTTCTCGGAACAAGTGGGCATCGACGATCTTCCCCAGTCGTGCGCCTACTTCTCGGCCGTTGATATTGATCATGTGTTGCGAAAGGAAGTCAACATGGACTGCGTGACTCCCTCGCATCCTCACAAGATCCCGCATGGTGAGACCTTGGATATTTCCCAGCTTCTGGATAAGGGCTCCGAGGCTTTCTTGGATCCTTCCCTCCAGCCCGAATCTCCACCATGCCCCGAGCAGTACGCCTACACACCGCGAGAGTCGGTCATGTCCGCTCTGCAGGCATCTCAGGACATCGCTTTCATCAAAGCTCAAATCACCAAGGACGACAAGGAACTTCGTGAGATCATCAAGGAGAAGTCTCGCACGGGCGCCACGTCCAACACTTCGAAAACTCGCTCGTCTACTGCCTCCAACAGTCGAGGCAAGTCGGCCGCGCGGGCCTATGCGCAACCCCAGCGTGCAGTGCTCATGGACATGGAGTCCGGTCTGTACTCGGATTTCCGCAATAATGTGCCTCGGCACACTGCTTCCTCAAGCAGCAAACAGGGTCAAATGGGACTTCATCGTTCTTCCGCTTGGAAGACGTGGCCATCGGCTCGGGCATAGCGTGAACGCTGGTGCCGACTCTTCCTTGCCAATATGTTTCCTTTGTTCCCTGATATCATGTGTTTCTCTTCGTTGTACCATTTTTTGCTCTATTGGATCTAATGGCCCTGGCCGGATGTTGTTGTTCTTTGGAGTGTTTTGGGAGGCCAGCATTAGTACGGCGTTGTGAAAGGAGGACTATGGGAGGCCAGCGGTGTTTATAGCCCATGTGTGTATGATACGATCATCAATAATAATGACTTTTAATGGAACAACCGCTTCTCGTGTTAATTGTCAAGAAATCCAATAATGATGTAAGTGGTCCAGTCAACCCTGACGATGGAAAGACCGTGCGCTGGCATGTTTTCCACCCGACCATCACCTCCTTCTTTTTCCCCCATCAGCACCCTTCACTCTTTAATCGCGTGTTCGATTGCCCTCTTCTGATCCCGTTTTTGAACGCGTGTTTCGCATCAAGCGAGCCTCCTTGGCAGATCTTCCACTCCTAGTCAACGTCATTTCCCCGCGATGCTGCGACAACCACGCCCGGTTTCTCCGTGAGAAGCGCTTTGGTCTACCTACCTGACATTACCACCCGTGCCTTTGCCTTTTTGCTTTGGGGGTTTGCATTCGTTACCGTACTGGTGAATCGCTTTTCGTTCTCTTGAAAAAGACTGGATACTTGGAGTGGATGAATTCCTCATTGCCGATGCGACTGCATGCGCGACTCTCTTTTGATTAGCGGTCACGATGAGCGTCCACGCGGTCGATTATGCGCACCATGGCGCGATGCGTTCGGGCGACATACATACGGTTGACATCGAGCTGGGTCGCCGGTCGTCTTACTCGCAGAGATCGCCAACGAGGAAGGACGAGACTGAGACGTTCACCACCGCTGCCGCACGAGTCAATTCCACCGACACAACCAAACAACGCCGGGTGCGCCGCTCCAACACCGCCCGCTCCTATCGTCCAGAAAGCATACTTCACGACCCCAATTGGCAACCCGGCACAGAGCCCGGTATTGACCCGACCAAGCCATTTCCTCCCCACGGTTCAGAATGGGCTGCAAATGTGCCAACAGACTTACACCGGCACTGCGAAATAACTGTGGTGGACTTTTCACAACATGAGATGCGGCAGTACGAGTTGGATAATAGTACACTCGAGCAATTTTTAGAGCGCGAGCGAGAACCATGGGTCCAATGCCGCTGGATCAATGTCAATGGCTTAAGCTGGGACGTGATCAAGACTCTGGGAAATCACAAGGGAATTCACAGGCTGGCGATTGAGGATCTGGTCCACACTACCAATCGCACCAAGGCCGACTGGTATTCGGATCATGCGTTCGTTGTACTGACGTTACAGAAGCTGGTGAAACTCCATCAGGAGCTCAGTGACTCCGATGATGAAGACGACAAGCCGAATGGGAATGGCAGGTTCAAGGAACGGCAGAGCTCGGTTTCAAGCGACAAAAGCTCGATCTCTATGAAGCGGCATGGCAAAAAGAATATTGTTCTCGCAGCGCTGAAGGATCTCTTTCAGCCCACCCAACCGAGCCAACGGCATAACAACCAGAGAACGACGGTCGGATCCAGTGTTCGTCCTGGAATAGGCCGGCCATCCTCGCGAGAAGCCTCCCAGTTCGGAAATGTGGCTGCTTCGATGGGGACCACCGGACGAAGTCTACAGCGCTATCGTGGCGGCCCTAACGAGGACCGGATTGGGTTCATGGAGCGTCATGCCGTGCTAGCAGCGAAGGGATTATGTGTCACATTGGAGCAGGTCTCCATCTTCCTTCATGCAGATAACACCGTTACATCCTTTTTCGAGACAAGTGCCGACGACATCGAGGCGCCCATCGTCAAGCGTCTCAGTTCCCCAGAAACAATCCTCCGACAGTCGTGCGATGCCAGCATGCTTATGCAGGCTATCCTCGATGCAATTATCGATCTTGCCATCCCCGTCACAATGGCCTACCAAGACGCAATCGGTGACCTGGAACTGGAGGTCCTGACCGATCCGGATATCGACCAGTCCAAGTTTCTGTACATTTTGACATCTGAGATTGCCGTTTTGCGCAATGCCATGCAGCCCATCGTGGCGGTCATCAACGCACTTCGTGACCATCGGTCTGAGCCCATCAGCACCCCCGGCTTGGGCATCCTGCGAGGGAACAGTCCATTCAGCCCGTCCGGGACCCCAGGAGACATATCCGATCATCGTTCACACATCGGCGTTATGACACCAAACCTGAAGAGTATAGGCGGCACGAGCGTCAGCATTAGCTCCATGTGCCATACCTACCTCGGCGATGCTTTGGATCATTGTATTACTATTGTGGAAGGATATGATCAGATGCGGCGTGCTGCCGACAACATGATTGATCTTATTTTCAATACTATTGGTGCCTACCAAAACGAGAGCATGAAGCAGTTGACGATCGTCACCTGTCTTTATCTGCCACTGACTTTCTTGACTGTGAGTTTTTTTCGTCTGAATCGTCTTTCAAGAGGCTGACCTTGGCATCTTGGTGTTAGGGTTACTTTGGGATGAACTTCAAAGATTTTGCTGGAATCAAAAACAGCGACTCGTGAGTTTTCAGAGAGTGGTTCCGGCACGATGTGTCTCTAACTGGCGCAGGTATTTCTGGAAGATTGCGGTGCCATTTGTGGTTGTCACGACTCTGTTGCTGATGTAGGTGCCTGCTTGACCTTTGCCCAGATACTCAAATGCTGACATTCCCACAGGCGCGACAAAATCCAACGATACGCCGTGATGCTCGCTCAGAGACGCTTGATCGTCAGCTCTAGAAAGCAGCGACGGGAGCAGAAACAAAGATAGACGGGAAGATAGGCGGAATTGGTCATGTCCATATCTTGCTTCCCTCAGTCCATGAGGTCTTGTATTCTTATTCTATATTGTACATGTTCTATACAGCATTGCTTATGATCAAATACTCTTCCGCTGGAATGCCATATACGCCTTCCACGGAAGTCTCCAATCTGACCGAAGCAGCTCCGGTTTAAAGACGTCAAAGTCATGCTGCTGCAGGCGATCCAGCCACAGCCGCGTGCTGACCGCAGGCATAAAGACACCAAACGCGCGATTGACTTCGTCGAGAGGCGACTCGCCGCGAGTAACTGAAGACGCATCATATTCATGGCCCTCCTCGCCCTCATGCTCAAAGTCATGACCGACATCCTCGCCAGCGCGCAGATTGCTCAGCATCTGCTGCACCGTGATCAGATGGTCACTCGCACGCGTCGCAACAGTAAAGACCGCATCACGGAGTCCCTCCGCGTCCGCTCCCCGCCGCAAAACATCCTCCTCCTTGACTCCCGCCTGCGCCATCACATCCAGCGGCAACATGACAGCGCCCTGCTTCGACCCTCCCCCTCCTCCCATATTCGCCGCATTCCCACTCGGAGACATTGCAGCTGGCGGCGGAAACGCAACGAGCGGCAACCCACGCAACACGGCCGCAATGCCGGCCGCCTTCCCAATATGAGACGCGACATGGTCCGCCGTCACAGATGCCATCGGCAGTGCGGACAGCGTCAGATACATCAGTGTCGAATAGGTATTCTCGGCGTAGGACTCCAGCGCTGCAATATCGCGGTATGGATCGTTGGTGAGTGTCTGTTCGCGAGCACTGATCATGCGAGTCAACCAGCCCTTGCTAATCCGCGCGCGACCCTGGGTACGCTCGTGGAGGTCTGAGATGGCAGACGCGAGCAGGATGGCGACGGGTTCCTTGGGCGGCTGGTCCGCGAGGATCTTGGTGACTGCGTCGCGCCAGAACTGGAGACGCATCAAGCCGATTGTGTAGGAGGAGGTAGAGTCCGGGATCAGGGAGAGGGAGACGTTGAGCGCCCGCAGGGCGATGTAGAAGGGTTGCGCCTGTCGGGGAATAAAAGTGCTTAGAGTGTAGGAGGGTCGGTCATATTTTCTTATAGATAGATGCGTTGTTAGTTGAGTGCTGGATTGTTAGATCTGGATGGGTCGTACGAGAGCAAGGATACGCAGTATCGGTGTGCGCCGTGGATTTCCTCCTCGGCGCTAGTTTGAGATGCGGCGATGCGAGTGCGACTGAAATGCCTCGTCTGTGATTGGCGAAGACCGCCAGCACGAGAGAGCCGGCATGTACGGCTTCCTGCTCGACAGGAACGAGCAGGATCTCGGAAGAGGGACATCGACAGCGGCAGTTGGCGGTCCTTAAGGGTTGTTGCTCGGGTGGACGGTGGTCAAGATCTTTGATACTAGGACATTGGTTTCCCCTGCTCATGTAACTAACGGATTGTCTTGGTCAGTTTGTCAGCTGCATATCAAGACCATGTGAGAGATGTCTGCGAAAGAGAAATAATCACTCAGTGTTCATACCAATACAATAAATCGATGGCAGATGAGAAAGTTGTCAAGTGGAGCTTTTTTCTTTTTCGCGAGTCAGTGACGTCGGCCCGGTCTCGCGTCGGCGCGTCTTCCTTTTCTCTTCTCCCACTCCTCCTCTTTTTCCTCTTCCTCCATCTAACCACGGCGGCCCGGGACCATGAATGGAGATCTGGATTTGCGCCCAGCAAAACGTCCACGCTTTTTCGAGGACGCTGGCACGCGAGACTCAGATCCAGACGTCCTCGGCGCGTCCCTCCCTCGTCATTGTCCTGGCCTGAAGACAGGCGATCCGGAGACTGCCCAGACTGGCGATGATGGCCAGCTCCAGGAACCAGCGCAGCCCGCTGCTGCACCCAGCCAAACAGCAGAGACAGCGACCCCAAAAGGCAACACTACCGATTTCCTTGCGCCAGAATCCTCTTCCCGTCAGCATGAACCAATCCAGCCAGTGCCGGGGAGTGACACGCCCGTCAAAGCCTCGTGTGCGACACAAGGTGCAGATGGATTCGACGTCCAGCTATTCACCAGCATCATTGGACAAGAACTGCCTCCCCCTGCGGTCAAGAAGATTCGGTCTGTCGCATCCAACAACATGGAGCGAGCAGTCAACATGTATTTCGATGGGACATGGGTGACCGCAAAGGCACCAAATGGCAATAACGCTGCCAGCCAGTCCACTCTGCCGAAACAGTCCGATTCTAATAAAGCAGTCTCGACATCTTCTCAACAACAAATCAATGACAGCACTCCAGTCGACGGCCCCTCCCTTTGGCGAAAACAACCTGCGTCAAGATATATCGGAGCATTTGGTGTCGGGGGCTGGGCGACCCGAAGTGGCAAGGCTCTCCTGAAGCACGGAGACATAGTCAACATTGAGCGAGCTAGGTCGCAACCATTAACCAAACGTGGACGCGGCGGCAAGCTCTTTGCCAACCACAAGCCCGACGTTTTGACGCGATTTACAACCACATCCGGTCAGGAGCTGGGACGGTTGCCCCACGAAACAGCTGAGTGGGTTTCCACTTTGATTGATCAGAATATCTGTCGCTTTGAGGCTGTGTGCGTGTATGTGCCTGACTGGATCCGGGTCAATGATACGATATATTTGCAACTACGGTGCTTCTTGCGCAAGGAAGTGTTTCAGCGCGGAGTGTTTACGGGAATGTCCGAAGATGACAACAGATCGACGGCCCTATTCGAAGAGAAAGAGAGTACAGAGGAGAAGCAACTGCGGATCCGACAAGTGGCTCTAGTAAGGCTCTTCCATGAAATCGGTCTTCAGCCCACGTCAATCAACCCGACTACGGAGAAGCACAAGAGAGAGGGGTTGCTTCGGGCAGCTGAGATGGCTGAGCAATATGACAAGGACAAGAAGGACAAGTCCAAGGGCGCCAAAGATGCCAATGACTCCTCCGAGGAGGACGAAACACAGGAGCTCGAAGAGGATCAGCTCGACACTCTATACAAGAAGGCACAATCTTTTGACTTCAATATGCCCGAAGCGGAGCCTGCATCGACCTTTACTATGAAACTTCGCAAGTATCAGAAACAGGCTCTCCATTGGATGTTGACCAAAGAAAAAGATACGCAGCAAGCTCGAGAAAGATCTTTGCATCCCCTGTGGGAAGAATATACCTGGCCAACTAAAGATGCTGATGAAAAAGATCTCCCAACCGTTGAGGGTATCGACCAATTCTATGTCAACCCTTACTCGGGAGACCTCAGCGTAGATTTCCCGGCTCAGGAGCAACACTGTCGAGGTGGAATTCTAGCAGACGAGATGGGACTGGGCAAAACCATCGAGATGATGAGCCTCATCCATTCTCACAAAGCCGAGCCGAAACCACGGGAAATGGAAGACGGGAAGCCTCTCACCAGCCTCAACTCCAAGTTAAACAACGCTCCTTCAGAGATAGTCCCCGCTCCATACACGACCCTGGTCGTTGCTCCTACCTCACTTCTCTCTCAGTGGGAAAGCGAGGCGTTGAAAGCATCAGAAGCGGGCTCGATGCGAGTTATGGTATACCATGGGCCCGACAGAGGCATGTCCATCAGAGACATCTGCTCCGAATCAAAGCCCAACACTGCTCCTCACTTGATTATCACCAGCTATGGCATCGTGTTGTCCCAACTGCGTGATCTTCCGCAGCAGCACATGCCCGGTGCGCCTGGGGGATTGTTCTCGGTTGAGTTTTTCCGCGTCATTCTTGACGAGGCCCACTCAATCAAGAACCGGCGCTCGAAGTCTGCCAGGGCTTGTTATGAACTCAAGGCTGTCCATCGATGGGCCCTTACCGGCACGCCTATTGTCAATCGACTAGAAGACCTGTTTAGTCTGGTGCGTTTCCTGAAGGTGGAGCCGTGGAGTAACTTCTCTTTCTGGAAGACTTTCATTACCGTGCCATTCGAGTCCAAGGAGTATGTTCGCGCCCTCAATGTCGTGCAGAGCGTGCTGGAGCCCCTTGTACTTCGACGAACCAAGACGATGAAAACTCCCGAAGGCGAGCCATTGGTTCCTTTGCCAAAACGAACAATCACGATCGAGGAAGTGGAGTTGTCGCCGCAAGAGCGAGAAATCTACGACTGTATCTACATGCGAGCTAAACGGACCTTCAACGAAGGGGTCGAGGCCGGCACTCTATTGCAGTCTTATTCAACGATTTTTGCTCAAATTCTGCGTCTTCGCCAAACCTGCTGTCATCCCATTCTCACTCGCAAAAAAGAAATCGTGGCAGATGAAGAGATTGCAGCAGCAGCGGCCGATGAGCTCAATGGATTGAAAGATGACATGGATCTTCAGGAACTGATCAATCAGTTCACCACCAGCACCGAAAGTGCTAGCAATGAGGATCGTTCGGGCGCTACGGCAACGTTCACGACACATGCTCTTCGCCAGATCCAGACCGAATCGAGCGGCGAATGCCCTATCTGCTGCGAGGAGCCCATGATCGAGCCCGCGGTCACAGCATGCTGGCATAGTGCCTGCAAGAAGTGCCTAGCTGATTTCCTGCGCCACCAGATGAACAAGGGTGAACAGGCACGTTGCTTCAACTGTCGGGCACCTGTCAACGCAAAGGACATCTTTGAGGTCGTACGGTACCCTTCCTCACACTCTACCACACCCCTCGATGATGGCCTCACTGGCAGTATGCCACCAGCAGGCTCTCAACCGGCTCCACGAATTTCTCTCCGACGTATATATCCTCTGTCGCCGTCCGCTCATACTTCTGCAAAGATCCATGCTCTCCTCACCCACCTGTCGCGCGTGCCACCCAACACCAAATCTGTGGTGTTCTCGCAGTTCACCTCGTTCTTGGATCTGATTGGCCCCCAGCTGACACGCATGGGAATCTCCCACGTCCGTCTCGATGGCAGCATGCCACATAAAGCGCGCGCCGCCGTCCTTGCCCAATTCAGCAAGGCGGAGACGTACGACGACGAAATTATCGACGCCGAGGATGAACCTCCCTCTGTTTTACGCGCCTTCCCTGGCGGAAAAACAACAGCATCCTCATCTTCCACTTCATCCTCCCCGCCCACGGTCCTCCTCATCTCCCTGCGCGCCGGCGGCGTCGGTCTCAACCTCACAACGGCCAGCAATGTCTTCATCATGGATCCGTGGTGGAGCTTCGCCATCGAAGCACAAGCAATTGACCGCGTCCACCGCATGGGCCAGACGCGTGATGTTTCTGTTACACGGTTCGTAGTCAAGGACTCAATCGAGGGTCGCATGCTGCGCGTGCAAGAGCGTAAGATGCACATCGCCGGTTCGCTTGGCTTGAGGGTTGGCGGTGATGAGCCCGAGGAAGATAAGCGGAAGGAACGGATTGCTGAGTTGAAATTGCTATTTGAATAGAGGCAAGGTTCTTGCTATGAATTGTTTTTTTTTCTGTTAAAAATAGTCCTATGATACCCGGTGGGGACTCTTGCAGTGACCTTATAGGATTTGTTATAGCATGGCTTCCTTTAGGGGGAGTTTTATGTACTAGATTCTCTTCAATTCGATGGGTATGTCTATGGAGTATAGCGTATTACCGTAACGTCTTCACCTGCGTAGAGGTAGAGTCCAGTGCACCGTGATCATAAAACACGGAATGGAATTGGATACTAATACACCGAGAAAGCAGTATCACAAGGTGACGCGGAATGAATATCAACCAAGGAATCAATCAACATGTTCAACTGAACCAGGAATCTCCAAGCATGCTCGACGAGGTAGGACAACAGAGCTGTCCGAAAATCACCATCACGATCAATCCACAGTGACGAATTATTTACTTGTTGGAGTGATGCAGATGAGTGACCTTGTTCAGACGCTCCTTCATCCGGGACATGGTACTGTGCTTCTGACCATTCTCCTTGCCTTCAGTCGCGCCGCCCGCTTCTATCAGGTATCATCAATCAGCATTGTCTACATATTCATATGTAAACGTGAATACTCACTCGGCGCATCATCATTACTAGGAGGAGGAGCCTTCGAATCCATGTCCTTCTCAAACTCAGACGCCGAATGCGGCGCCGGACCTTGAGGACCTTTCAAGGCCTCCTCGCTAACCTTTAAATTGGGATCATCCATTGCCGAGGGCGGGTGACTGCTCTCGGCATCAGTTTTCTCGGCATCGGCTTTCTCGACGTTGCGTTGCTCGCTGCCGCCGGTGGATTGTTTCTCGTTGGTGCTGCTACTTCCGCCGGCGCTGGCGCCGCTTGTTTCTGTTGAGCTGGACATGGGTTGTCCGGTCAGGATGGGGTCGCTATTGGATTTTGAGCTGGGCTCGGTGATAGTCTTCTTGGCGCTTGGGCTGTCTACCGTGGGTGTGGATTCGTCGATTGAATCCGCGTTGTCGGATTGATCTGCCGGGGAGGTGGTAGAAGAGTCAGTCGATCAGGTCAAGTCAAGTCAAGTCAGGTGACAGATGATAGAGATGGAAAGGTATGACAGCTTGTGTGAGGGGGTTTCGGGGATTAAATCAGCCGCTATACACTTGGTCCCTCCCTCCAGTCACGGACGAGAGAGAACACCATGTGGCTTGACCTGCAACGCAAGTGTTTCGTCATAGCCGGCAGAGTCCCGGAACTTGATGTCAAGATGGCGCTAGCTTCACGATCAACAACTTACCCTCGCGGTTTCCGGCGTCAAACGGATCGTTGGCGGCGCCTTTGCCCTGAACGCCAGACATGGGTTCATCCCCGTGTGGCTCCACGGACTGTTCCTGAGGAGAGGAGTTATCCTCGCCCCAGATGGCAGTGGAGGCCTTGTGGACCACGTTGCTGATGGTCTCCATGGTTTGCTCTTTTGTTTCTTTTGCTGGGTTGGCTCGCGGGTATCTAATCAGAGTTGTCACACAAGGTCGGCTGTAGGAGAGGTGATGTTGAGGGTGGATGCCGAGTATTCCGTGGGTAGCTTTGAGTCAATACGTCAGTCCAGGTACTTGGGGGGGCAGCCGGGCCTCTTAATGCCATCTCAGCGCCCAGAATAGCAATCTCAAACCATCCTACGTCAGTGGAGTTTAGACGCGCAGAGCTTCGGGCTGGTGATGACGTCATCACGTGGTAAATTAATCGACACGCGGGAGGAAAATCCCGCTGCGTAGGATATGACAACACACCATCGTTGTCCTCTCCTAGACAGACGGATACTCTTCAAGTCTGAAAACAAATTAAACCCCCCACGTATAGAGAATGTACAGTGTCGATCTTTATCAGTTAGATTTAGGCTACTTAGACGACGAGAGATCGCGGATTGCTCTTCATGTAATCCGTCTCTAGTCAAGATGGTTCGACGAGGTCTTGAGTGTCAGAGCATATGTGAGTGTGTGTATATTAATGAGGTACAGGGTGCGCCCTGCAACTATGAAGAATCCTGTCTAAGCACTATTGTCTCTGAGATCACGGGATTTCATACGGACTAATTCTCCAACACTAAGTACTGCTCACGTGCGACTCTTCACGTAAAGACTGTTCATTCGTATGAATGCTTAAGCTGATCTCAAGCTTGCTAACCTGCCTAGATATTGGCCGCTGAACTTGTCGACTCCAATGCGCTGGAGTGCCGACTTGGGAGCCTGGAAGTAGTGGTATGGCCGGTCGAGGTATTTTGAAAGGGCTGTCAATTCAATCACCCTAAGGCTGATCAAATTTAACTACAATGGTGGGATGACAGGTTGAGAGTTAATCACACTGGTCAATCCCGAGGCGAAGATTTGCCTCGGGTAACTCTCTGTGGAACTCAAAATCTATTTTGCAGAGCATTTTCATACTGGCTGGAAGCGGGAGTGAGTTCTGCTGGTATCCTGGCGATCGATATAAGGACTTATCATTGTGAAAATAATCGCCTACATTGAACTTGTCGAACATGATGTAACAACATAACCAGTCGGGCCACTCTTCTAGACATGCATATAATTCCAAGTCCGAATTGATATCAAACGCCCGCCTTTGAACTAAAAAAAACTCCCCATCACATTAGGCCACTACGGCCTCCTCGGTCTCTCCATTCTTCGTAGTCTTCGTAGGATTCAGTGGGTGTTTAGGGTCATAACCAATGCTCTTGACAATACCAAGGCCTTTGGTCTTGCCTTCCCGGAACAGCACTCGATCGCCCGGCGCCAGGAACTCCGGGCGCTGGATGAAGCGGAATGCGACGGTGGCGCGGTCACCGGTGCGGATGAATGGGCGGTCAATGTCAATGACCGAGCAGGTCTGACTGACGGCGCCGACGTGCAGCATGGCCTGGTACTTGGGTTTGATGGTGGTGGCATGAGAGAGAATCAAGACTGGGGCATTGATTAGTAGTGGTCTAAACAGGCGGTAGACGTAAGGCATACCTTCTGCAACAAATTCGCGGTGCACCTTCGGGGGCTGGTCCATCTTCTTCAATACCACCATACCCTTGCGCACTTCCTTGCGACGGACACGCTTCAAGGCAAACGAGCAGGACTGACCCGCAAAGCACGCGCTGACTGCTATTCGCTTGCGCTCAATCGACTTGATCGTAGTGGTTGTGAACTGGCCTAGAGAGTCGGGTCCGACCTGGACTGTGTCACCGGCGTGAATCACCCCGGACTTGGCCACCCCCGAGACCACCGTGCCGACGTGCGGGACGGAGAAAGTGTCATTAACTATAAACTCGAATGGGCCCTCCGTGTCGTAGTGACCGCGGTGAGGGAGGATGTTCAAGAACGTTCGTACCAGGTCCAGATTCTCACCGGTGACGTTGGAAACTTGGAAGATGGGGCATATCCGCTGGCTCACAAACTGTGTGGCGGTGTTGATGGTCTCCTCCATATCCTTGACAAAGATGGGGATCTTGCGCGCACCGGGAGACTTGAGGATCTTCGCTAATTGGGTCAGGGTTTCCTGCAGAATCTGGGGCGGACAGATGTCAATCTTGGTAACAATGACCATGACGGGCACGTTCAAAGCCAAGGCAATGCCCAAGTGTTCTCGACTCATTCCGATCAAACCATTATTGGCGGCCACCATAAGCAGGCAGTAGTTCGGGCTGCTGCTCAGCATGCCGAAGACAGTGGTGCGGAGGTAGCGTTCATGACCCGCCAAATCAGAGAAGGAGATGACTTTGGCGGATCGCTTCCCAATATCTTCCCAGGACAGCTTGCGTCCCTGGGCGCTGCTCACGATCTCGCCGCGGCTGTCGAATCCCATGATCTCCAGGCCGACGGAGCTGGTCCGCCCGCTTTCAATCTCATGTTTGTGACGAAAGAGGTTGACGCGCGCCTTGCCACGGCCATCGTCGAGGTTTCCTTTCACCAGAACCCCGAGCATGGTACTCTTGCCGGCGTCCACGTTGCCCACCACCGCGATCCGGATCTCGCCCATCTCCTCGACATTTTCCGCATGTTGCCGGATCAGCACCTTGCCCCAGGCGCCCTTGATGCGCTCGTGGGGCACCCGCGACTCCTCCTCGCCGCCCACATTGTAGGTAAGAAGAATTCGGCAGTAGGCGGGGATAGTCTCGGCGGCCTCGCGCAGACGACGCAGCGCAGTCTCCCATTGAGCCAGATCCAAGCTCATCGAGTCCCCTCCATCCTCCAGTCCAAGATCGAAGATGGTCTCCCCCTGTCCCTCGTCGATGCGGTTGTGTAGGATGCCCGCTAATACCTGCAGGCTTTCTTCCGCATTCTCACCTGTACCAAGCAAGTGTTCCTTTAGCTTGACTGTTCGAGGCGTGTCTGACAGTTCCAGCTGGTCCAGGATATCCAGCTCGGCATGGTCCTCCGTCGTGGCAGTCGAGTAACCACTATCGCGGGGTACCTGCCCCACGCGCTGGGCCTGCTGCTTCTCGGCGTACTCGGCGAACTCGCTGAGAGCCTGCACTGGTGTGAGCTGGAGCAGTACACCCGTACATGGCCAAGGAATCGCATACTAGTTCTCCTTTCCGTCGCTCATCCGGGCTTTGTTTCAAACCTGCAGTGGGCATACTCTCTGGTGTCGGTGTCGGTCGGATGACACGCGTCGAATGGTAATGGGATAGGTTTAGGCTGTGGTGCTGCGTCTTGCTTTGGGGCGCATTCAGTCCTATATTCGAGGGATCATAACTTTGGCTGGTGAAGAGGAAGAGGTGAGAGTGTGAAAGACCACGAGAGATGGAGGAGGGGAGCGCAGCTTTATCGATAAGTTTATTGAGTCATCCACCACCTCATTCTACAATGACACGATGAACGACTCATATAGATCTACGGGAATCGCACTAGTGGTAATAGCAAGCAGAACACAGCCTCGTAGTTATAGTGAGTCATTCGTCCAGTATGGATTGGTCTCTCTATGGGGGACTAGTATTGGTGGTGGGCTAGTGATGGTGAACTAGTTCTGAGCTAGTTCTGGATCCATGAATTCCCCAGCCGCAGTGATGCGCAGTCGCCGAACAAACGCCGTTCCCTCTATGTCCCTCCACCTCGTCATGCCTGGGGCGAGATTAAAACAACCGAATCACCTAGAGCTGGTTAGAGGGATGCAGACTAGGGAGGTCCGGATGCCACCACCGGCAATCATGGCAGACTCACCTCGCACAAAGAGCATCTCCTCCTGCTTCTTGATCGTCTGCATCCACAGCATCCACCTTTAGCATGATAGGAGAGATAGTGTCTGCACAGGGTGACCTACCCGGATGGTCTCTTCCTCGTTCTCGTCCTCCTCCACCACGTAAATGGTTTCCTCGACGTCGCCTAGGACTAGATTGCAGTGGGAATCATATGCCTGGCCATATTCATCACCGTCAGCAGTCTGCTCGGCTGGTAATGGCACGTCCGATCGAACTCACATGAAGACGACCCTTGAGCTCGCGGTCACCGCGCAACTTCACAAAAACAGTCTCATCCAGGGACAGGCGCACGAGGTCCAGGGGCTCCGAGACAGATGAGGGACCTGCGTCCTCTGTGTCGGCCATGGTGAGAGTGTCGGATAGTGGAACAATTCGGGTCAAATGAAGATTCGGTGGGAGCTTGGGTGATGGCCCAATTGGGATTAGTGTCTGGCGGCGTGACCCAGGCTGAGTCAGCAATCTTGTTCCCCGGGTTTTTTTGGGTTGTTGACTGGGTGGACTGGGGTTGATCCACTACGATGAGTGAGTGGATAACCGGAACTAGAAGTGAGGGGTCTGTTAATTGTAGTAGACTAATATCAATGCAGCTAGTGACTGATGTAGTTAGGAGTGAGCGTGGTCTGTCGCAATAATCCTCCCCTCATCCTCATTCTTTCTCTTTCTCTCATCACCCCCTCCCCCAAAGTATTCTCCGTCTTCTCCCCCCCCCCCCCTTTCCTCCATGCGAAGGATTCCCATCGCAGAGGGTCTCGCCTCTCCCTGGCGATGTCCCCCAACACGGGTTTCAGCCAGAGATCTCCGCTGCAAACACCGGGTCGCGCATCATCCCAGCGGGCGTACAAGACACATCTCCTCTTCCACAGTCCCAATCAGCAATGGCTCCCATCTCAAAACCAAGCGCCGGGCGCTGTCAGGGCCGGTATCAAGGCAGTCACTACACACGGTCCAGGACCTCAATGACGACGTCGCCGGGCAATCGATGAGCCCACCCGAGTCAAAATGGGCGGCCTCGGAGGCCGAATACGCCGCAAACTTCCACCGTATCCTCACAATTGGCCAACCGGATCAAGTCATGCAGGCCATGACGGCTCAGCGGTCGGCCCGCCTGGTCGCGGCGCTGCCCCAGCCCGTCTATGTCGAGGTCCTCCACCTCTTATCGCCCTCCTATTTTATCCTGCCATTCCGATACCTGCATCATGGAACGCATGAGTGGGCGGCCGAGCTCAAATCAGTCCCACAAATGCAAAGCATCTGCGACGGCTTCATTAAGAAGATAACCACGATCATGCAGTACAGATCCTACGCAGGGGGTAGGAAAAGTCTGGCCGAATACACGCACCTGCTGGACTGTGCAAGGGCGACGGGTGACGGGGACTTTGCTCAGCGGTTGTGGGCAGCGATGAAATCGAAGGGAATCGTCCCGGATGGCGTGGCCTACAGTTTCTATATGGAGGCAAACGTTTGGAATCATTGCTACACTGGTGCAGAACGGGTCCGTCTGCATCCAACTGAAAGGACCTTTCGGATGCGACAGTATACTAAACCATCGGCGCGGGGCTACCAAGGTTATCGAACCGCGGGGTACTCCATTCAAAGACATATGCTGCATGTGTTCGAGGAGATGAAAAATCGTGGACACCCAGTCGATGAACGCACAGCGATCAATCTTCTCATTGCCTCGGCACGGGTCGGTCGCTTAGACACTGTGAGGAATGTCCTGAATACTTTCTGGAACATCGACCTCAACGCGTTGAACGCCCCTTTTGTCAACGAGAATGCCGAGGACAATCCGCCCATTCCTCCCGTCCTGAACTACAGCTCATCATCCGCTCTACATCCCACGGAGAACCTCTTGTTTGCCGTTGCTCATGCCCTGGGCACGCTGCGGAGGATTGACTTGATGATGATGGTGATCGAGTTCATATCTTCTTCCTACAACATTGCGATTTCCCAGCGAGTCTGGCGCGAGGTGTTCGAGCGGGCATATGTCATGGCTAGCGACGCTGCTAAATGGGGGCGGATCGAGAAAGACTCGATGCGAAGTGCGTTCCAGACCATGACATCGGACCCTTATAATGTCCAGCCGACTCTCTCTATGTACCGGTGCATGGTCAATCTCAACATCAGAGATGCCAAGGTTGAACCATGCTTTCCCCTGCTCCAGGGAGCATATGCCAAATACAAGGACAGTGTGCAGAAGCGTGAGCAAGCGTTGGATGCTCTGCTGCGTCATTTGAATCAGGCCCTGGACCTCATGGCCGCCGGTCAGCCTGGTCCGTCACCCTTGGAGTCCCCTCAACTCTCCGAGGCCCTACACATGTACGACATCGCTCGACTGGAAGAGTGGGCGGATGAAGGTCTCCTACAGCGCTGTGTTTTCAAGGTGACGGGCTGTGGCGCACCAGAGCTGGATATTCCGAAGGATGTCTGGATCCGACAAAAGGTACCGAAGTTGATGGAAGAATGGCGGGATTTTCTGCCGGAGCAGCTTTATATCACTGGAGAAGACTGGCGGATCGACTTTTGCGGCAACAGCACCAACCAATCCGCCTTCAAGACGGCGCACCACTTCGTCCCGCAACGACGGCACACCGACCGGGAAAGAATCTTTGCGCGTGAGACGCCGCCGAAGTTGGATGACCGGTACATCTGGAGACGGTTTTTCAACAAACACCTGCACCTTGATACCTCAATTCCGCTTTTCCGCCGCATCCTCTCATTCGAGCGGATCCATGAATCAAACGAGCAACGCGAGGACCGCCGGGCAAAACAAAAGGTGGCGGAGCGGACTCCAGAGGTCTACTTCCCCCGAGGTCATCCTCTGCATAAGAGAAATTCCTGGAAACGGGGGTCGTATGGTCGACTCGTTGGCATGGGGCGCATCCCAATGCCCACGGACGAGATTGCAACCTGGGATCGGGTCCCAGTAACCCCTGGTGAAGGCTAGGCCTAAAGAAAGTGTAGTTCCACGGATGAAAGATATGTAACACTATTTAGAGCTAGATTGGTGTGAATATGCGTCCTATCAATACATACATCCATCCACCAGGGAATGGGTTGGGTTCCAATTATATATGTCCATTATTTCCCGAACCACTTCCTCAAACAGAAAAAAAAACTAGACTTTCACGCGCTTCAAGTCGTTGACAGTCATATATCGCCCGATCGTAATCCACCCCCATCGGAACCAGACCATCTGGCTAGCATGGCCCTTCACCATGGCCGACTGGGCGGTCACCCACTCACCGATCGAGCTGACGAACAGCAGCCGGACGGGCCCCGCATCCGAGGCGGACTTGGACTTGGGCTTGGTGGATGAAAACCGCGAGGCGAGATTGCTCCACACGCCCAGGACCATGGTGACGGGGGCGTCGAGCACGCCGACGTATTTGCGGAAGATTGAGGTCGAGGTGAGCGTGTAAAGCGTCACGGGACAGGTGTAGCCTGCTTGGTCTTTCATGAGCTCGCGCAGGAAGTGGATTGCGCCGTGGTAGAGGGAGCGGTGGTTGGGGTGGTTGCTTATGCCATGTTGGTCGAAGGTGAGGAGTACGTCGATGGTAGCTGCGGCGGGACCGTCGTGGAGTTGGGCGTGTTTCGGTGGCTGAACAGCCTGTTGTTGTTTCTGCTTCCTCTGTTTGGAGGAGGAGATGGTGGCGGTGGTGGTAGCGGTAGAAGTAGCAGACGAGCCATTATACTTCTGCCCACCGGTCAATTCCGGCGCAAACGCCGACGCCAGCAAAAATGCAATTTCCGTCTCCGACCATTGTGCCTGCATACTATCCGGAAAGCGTTCGGGGTCATCAACAATGAAAACATCCGACTCATCCCGCAGACCAAGCTGCATCGCGCTCTTCTGGAGCTCCCGTTTGCGCGTCTCGCCGAGCCCCGCGGCGTTGCCAGTGCTGAAACACAGGATCTTGAGGTGATTGCCCAGCTCCGGCTTGGTGAGGGCTAGCACTGTGGGCGCGAAGAACATGGCCTCGTCGTCGGGGTGCGCGATCAGGAGGCAGATGCGCTTGTTGTACAGGCGGGGCAAGGCGCGGGTGAAGGGAGAGAAAGAGGTGGTTGCGGATATGGTCCAGAAGAGGAGGACGGCGAGCATTGCCACCCCGAGGGCGGTCCAATTGCTCGAGGTTGCGGCCCACATGGTTTGTATGGAGTTGAAGATGGGGGTTGTCGACACGAAGTGGTGGCCAGGTGGTTGTCCCCTCTTTCTCTCTTCTCGCGGTACGATCGCGAGGAGCGAGGGAATAGCAAGAAAGCAAGACTGGTCGTCAACGTGGAAATGAAACGTTGGGTGGATCAATCAGGGCAAGCTCCAGCTCAAGACCTGGCGCGGTGGGGAATGCGCATCGGACATCCCTCCCGGCGACGTGGTGGATGGAGGAGGCAAGGGGAGGTGGTGGTGGTGGCGGTGATGCTTGGTTGGTTGGTTGGTCACCAGAATGAGTGAAGCAAATTCAGGGTGATTGAGATCTAAGAATTGGGGGGAAAAGAACACGGTGGCAGGAAGCTCCAGAAAAAGGGGGACGACTGATTTCTTTTCCTCTTCCGGTGCTGGCGATCCCCCGGAGTGCGTCACGTGGCTGGAATCCTGTGGATGGGTTCACAGGACCAGTAGACGAGGCCATTGCTTCATTGGTGGACATTCTTGTATACCAGATCTATCTCCGCGAGGGTCTTGACGAGGATAGTGAGGATCCTGTCTGATCATAAATCATGGTCCCCCAATCTGGCCAGATTGGCGCGTGGTGCATGCAGGGCACACTAACGCTGAGCTTATCCCTGCGATCGGCCATCTTATTGGCCTGGTTTGTAGGATTCCACGCCCATGGGATGTATACTTATACCTACGAGGAACGTCCAGCGGCCGCGCTCAATTGAATTGACTTCCATTGTATTCTCATCTAGCTGGTCGGAATGAATGCCCATGACAAAGGTGAGAGACCCCTGACAACAATCACTCCTGAATACCGGCAAACCCCGAAAGCCAATGCCCGGGCCGACTCCATCCACACACATACACACACACACCTTGCAACGAACCACAGACTTTGTCTTGGCCTGGACCCGCCGACGGGAAAGGACCGCGCGCGGGAAAGAACCGTCCACCGGACCGAGTCCTACGATGTATCGACCGAGTGGGCTGAACACTACAGAAAATTTCCCGAGGGTCCGCCGCGCACGATCACGAAATGCATACCCTGCGATCGCCGCGCCCCGGGTCCCCCCACCGCGATTGGCTCAAATTCCCGATCAATAGAAGGTTTGCAGGCTGCACGCCATGCTTTGCTCACGACCCTGATCCCAGTCGCACTGCATGGCGTGATCGGGTAACACGGCCGGGCAATGGGAGGGAGCACATGTAAAACGTGTTTTTCGGAGCTCCAGCTCCGTTCCTGAATGATCGCTGCAGGACATGTGGGCGTGTCAATGGTGGACGACGAAAGCGTTAGGTAATGGGTGGAGAGGAACAAAACTGGTGATTCGACCGATGCAGACCTTATCCCGGGTAGGGCCCGATCGCGGTTGACAGCTACAGGAGTCATCATCACCATTCTTCCAGTCCTCTCGGCCCCAAGCCAGAAGGGCTGGTCATGGCCAGCCCCGCAACCACATGCCGTGAGCTGTTCTTTTGCGGGGTATTGCTAGTCTCTATCGGCACCAGATGCCGTATCCGACGGTCTACACTTCGAGGGAGCGCAGAAAATTCTGCGAGATCATGTGGATCGTGGGTTTCGCGTTTGGTTGACCCGAAGCGGAAAAGCGGCGAGGGCGGGATCTTCCTTTAGCGCCTGTTTGGCCCTGTTTGCTGTATGGTCACGATCGGTACGGCCCTGACGGGAATGATGGCAGCACGCCGAGATGGTTCGAGACTATCCCTAGAAGAGTTATTCGAGTCTCTAGTTCTCATAGGGGAGGATGGAGTGGTTGGCTCTGTCCTCCCTCACGGAGTCCCCCGCTATCGGCCGGATACCTGGCGCTGTCCCGGGATCTTGTTCGGAACGCCGAGTTTACGATGGCCGACCGGAGACCTTGGTAGTGAGTCACGGCGCACGGTCAGCAGGCATGGCGTGCGGATGTGGGGGAAAGCGAGGGTCAGGCGATGACGGGGTCGTGGTTCACTAGTTCCCTCGTAGTTAGTGGGAGTGGAGGCAGCCCGCAGGACCTATCGTGATGAGACCCATTGAGGTGTCGGTCTGCGTTGGCCCTGTACACGGGTAAACACCGATGAGAGTGAGGGGGAGAGTCCCGGCGATGAGCTCATGTCGCTCTTGGTAAGGTCGGCGGTCATGTATGGTCACGTATCGTCGACTCCACCCATGACGGCGGACGCTGCTCCACCCAATGCGACCGTTCTATTTTTTCAACTGGCCAGACCGTGTGGCGGTTCCTGGAAACTTCCTACGATTGCTAAGAATTTTTCTGCCAGTTCCACGGATTCGGCCATTTAGGCTCATCGCACATGACTCCCACCCACCCATTAAAAGCAGCGCGGTGGCCCGCTTGTCGGTCTACTAAATATGTTTGGTTCCTTGACGGTCACCCCTCGATCCCACGTCTGCCACCACCGAACGGCTTCCTAACATTCTGATGCCTGAGATGCCTGGCCGTCTCATCCCCAACTTCGTTCGGGGCTCGGCCCACTCCTCGGTGGCCTCGACCCCCATCCACTCCAATGCCTCCTCGACAGCTTCGGTCAACGAGATCCCGGGCCACCATGGGGCTTCCAAAAAGTCCGTCGACCGCGCAAGGTCCCCGGAGCGTCGCCTGTCCTTCAACATGGATTCGCTGATTCACCCGCACCGCAACCTCAGCAAGGACAAGGAGAAGCGCCGCAGCCTGGGCCGGGCGGCCCGCTCCAAGGAACGTTCCAGCAAGGAAAATCTGGTCATCCCATCGGCCAAGCTGGAAGCGCTCGTGGAGTCCCCCCTCTCACCTGCTACGGGCCGCCGGCCAATTCCACCGGTGCTTTGTTCTCAGGCCGTTTGCGGGTCGTGGTCACCGACGTGGCGAAGGAAATCAAGCTCGACCAGTTCGATATGCGCCTCGTCTGCAAGACCAGTACCAAGAAGCCCGTCTCCAACAACTGCCCCAACTGCCTCACTCGCGTCGACGAGCTCACCCGCTGGAACTTCCTGACCGAGTCTCTGCTGCTCAAGACTGGCACTCATGACTTCCCCTTCAGCTACCTGTTCCCGGGGCACCTCCCGGCCTCCTGCAATGGATCGTTGGGCCAGATCGAGTACTTCCTCGAGGCGTCGGCCAAGAGCAACGTCGGCGAGGAATTCTCGCTCCGGCTCCCACTGAACGTCCGCCGGGCTCTCCTCCCCGGCAGCGATAAGTCGTCCATCCGCATCTTCCCACCCACCAACCTCACCGGCCGCATTGTGCTTCCCTCCGTCGTTCACCCCATCGGCAAATTCCCCGTCGAGATGACCTTGAGCGGGGTTGTGGACAAGAGTGAGGAAACCCAAACCCGCTGGCGTCTGCGCAAGATGATGTGGCGCATCGAAGAGCACCAGAAGATTGTGTCGACCGCCTGCCCGAAGCACGCCCACAAGATCGGCGGCGAGGGCAAGGGGGTGTTGCACCAGGAGACCCGCATCATCGGCCACAACGAAGAGAAGACTGGGTGGAAGACCGACTTTGACACCGCCGGCGGCGAGATCGGCATGCAGTTCGACGCCAGCATCAACCCGACCACCAACCCCGTGTGCGACATGGACGCCCCCGGCGGACTGGAGGTGAAGCACAACCTCGTCATCGAGCTCATTGTCGCCGAGGAGTTCTGCCCGAACCGCAACACCCGTCTCATCACCCCCACCGGCGCGGCTCGCGTGCTGCGCATGCAGTTCAGCTTGCACGTCACCGAGCGCAGCGGCCTCGGCATCAGCTGGGACGAGGAGATGCCCCCGGTCTACGAGGATGTTCCCGCCAGCCCGCCGGGCTACTTCAAGCTTGGCGGTGGAGACGGCGCCAGCACTATCGAGGACTACCACGGCTCCCCATTGCCTCTTCCCGACTACGTGGAGCTGGAGCGTATGGAGTCGGTGCATTTCGACAGCGACTCCACCCACTCCTCCAACTCCGGTAGTGGTAGTGGCCCTGTCCGCCGTTTCCCCGGTTTCACTGTCGAAGATTTCATCACTGGCGACTCTCCCGAGCCGTCTCCTCTACCATCTACCGTGCCCTCTCGCGCACCATCCATCGACGGTGGGAGCACGGCATAATTCTTTTGCCTTTTCATGACGTTACGACTCCATGATCTCTTTCGAAAAAAATTTTCTTCCTACCTTTTCCCATTCAACATTATGACCATTCTTCTTTTATTCCCTTTTTGTGTCATGATACCTACGACAGAAAGAACGTCGGTTCTCACCTGACAGATGGCTTGGCTTGGCTATCACATCTTGCTCCGCTTTCTCACAATGTTCGCAATATACCCATGCCTTTTCACTTCTTTTTGTCTGTGGATATTTTGTTTCTGGTTAGAATGGTTATCTTTCGGGCTGGGGTTCCCTTGATGCTACTTGATATTATTGATATTTAATTAATCGATCATCCCGCCATCATTTCTATCCACGTAAATTTATATCTGCCATGTAGAGATAAGACCATACTCATCCCTCTAGTGCTTCTTCTGCAGTCTTATATCAATGCATATGTCAATGCTTATGTCAATGGGATTCACATATACAGAGTAATGGTATATTAAAGAGACGAGATCTATATATTATACACGCTTGTGAGAGAAGAGAATGCCACAAACCAACCCCCATCTATCACAGCACCACCTCATCAATGTCATAAGCCAAATGCTTCTGCCCCATCCCCCTCCGATCCAGCCCAACAGCCCAAGACACCAACAAAAACATCCAAAGCGTCATCTCCTTACACCACAGCCCCCAAGGACCCGCCTTCTTCCTCACCTCCGCATTGCGCGCAGCCAAAGCATAGATCTGATCCACGCGCGGGCGCCGAATCTGCTCAAAGCGCGCATACGCCTCTTCCACGGGCCTCGCCGGATCCTCCAGCAGTCTCGCCAGCAGGAACACATCCTCCAGCGCCATCGACATCCCCTGTCCGGCGTGCGGCTGCATCGCATGCGCCGAGTCGCCAACCAACTGCACCCGTCCCCTGGCCCACGACTTGCCCAGCGGAAGCCGGTAGATGGGCAGGAACTTCACCACAGACGTCGAGCGCACGATCTCCCGGATGATCTCGCCCCAGTCGCCCCGCGCGTCTTGTAGGACATGCAGCATCGACTCCTTGAACCCTTCCACCTCGGCCTTGCCGTGCACTTCCCACCCATCCCGCTCGTCGCCCACAGCAGTGGACTTCGGCAGCGTGACCTCCTTGACAAAGACCCAGAAGAGCTCCTTCCGATCCGGTGCGCACGGCGTCGCGGCGAACATCCCCTCCTGCGTGAGTGTGGCATTCATCCCCGCGACATTGCTCTTGTTCGGCACGATGGAGAATAGTCCCGCAAAGCCCGAGTACTCGGGCACCTGCGCCGGATCGACGTACAGACTCCGCACCGCGGAATGGATGCCATCACACCCAAACAAGAAATCCGCGGTATCCGTCGTCCCATCGTCAAAGGTCGCCGTCACACTCTCATTCTTCTCGGCGATCGAGGTAAGAGTCTTCCCCCAGTGAATCGTAATCCCAGCATTGCGCACCGCGTCGAGAAGCACCTCCACCAGATCGGTGCGCTTAATCCGCATAAAGCCAAATCCTGTCTGTTCGCGCCCCCAGATGACCGGGTCGGGCGTGCCGAGGATAGAGCCCTGCATGGAGCGAATGATGAATTCGTTGTTGTCGTACCCGCGCGCGGCGAGGTCGTCGTACACGCCGAGCCGATGTAGGAGGCGCAGACCGTTGGGTTGGATGCCGATTGCGCCGCCGAGGGTTGTGGGTTCTGGGCGTAGCTCGTAGATCACGCTGGTTATGTTGGTCTTTTGCTGCAGGCATAATGCCATTGCGAGGCCGGCTGGGCCTCCGCCGATTATGATGGCCTGTTCCTGGCGGGTTAGCGGTGGTTTGGTTGGATGGCTGGGAGGGGGGCTTGCCTTGCGCTTTTCGGACATTGATTTGTGTTTTTTAGTAGTATGGAATTGGAATTGGAATTGAGATTAGGTCGAGGAGTCAGAGTCTTTCGCGCACTTATAGTCCTAGTGGTGCGGCAGGAGTGATATTTTGGCGGAGAGACTCCATGGAACTTATTGCTTGTTTGAGTTAGTGCGCCGCGGAGTATTTTGCTGGATGGCTGATGCAGAGGTTGCTGCCTGGGTGCCTGAATAGAGAGAAGGCAACCCAAGTGTCAGACCCACCCGTTTGAGAATACCCCCAGCTCTAACCCCAAAGCGGACTGGCGCCGTGGTCAGACATGTCATCTACGCCCTAACACGCCGAGTTGAACTGTGGGATCCCCACAATTTGGAATTATAGATCGTCCATTTCTCGTTTGCAGGTTCGCTAAAGGTGGTTTCCCCAGGCAGGACACGGAATGCAGCTGGCAAACCAGTGTCCAGGCTCACTCATTATTCGGTGGAGTTGGTTTCCCCTGCAGCAGACATGATTCCAAATCACCTAGGATCTTATGTAGTGGACCACCTCCCCCCCCCCCCCCCCCCTACCGCGCACTAAACTACTTTGCTCTCTCTCAAATCATCTTGTCAGAGTGTTGCTATAAAAAAAGATTTGAGTTTCTCTTTGGAATTCCTTCGTCTCTCTCGCCCCCTCTAAAAACACCTGTCATACAAGGTATGGTCCGAACGCCGCGCAGACAAAGTCAAGAGTCGAAAATCGGACCAAACGCGGGAGTCCCTCTCGCCTCGAGGCCGTAGACCAGCCGGCGCGTCAGCACAGGGTTACTGATCACGCACACCGCTTCGGCGTCGAACTCGCGGACCAGCCGCTGCACCATGGGGAGCATGTCGACGCGCCCGCTCTTGTCCGTGTCCATGATAATGGGGTCCGAATCCATCCGGCGCACGAGATCCAACACCGCCGGGCCATAGGTGTTGAGCGGTGCCCGGGTTTGCCACACCACGCGCAGCGCGGGCCGGTGCTCGTCGCCCAGGAACGACAGACACGGTCCAATGCCAGACCCCGTGGTTACGACGATGACTCGCCGGAAGACGCGCATGGCGTACGCAACACCGTAGATCAGCACGCCGCGCTTCCACAGGTGCTGCGGCGGCTGCCGGATGCAGTCGTGCGTCCAGTCGCCGGCCTTGGAGACCAGCGCAGAAAAGCTGGGTTGCTCATGGTCAGCGTCCGGGAAGGTCGCGAATCCGTGCCAGTCTCGCAGCGGGTGTTTGGCGAGTTGGATGCCCTTCCCGAAGGACGTGGTGGTGTGGTCCAAGTGCAAGCGCACGGCATGCGTGGAGAGAACCTCTGCGCGAACGGGGACCTTGCGGAGCAGCAGCCACGGGTGGATGATGGCGGCCACGGTGATGACCAGGAACCAGAAGGCCGGAAGCTTGATCAGGAACCGGCCCAGCGGCTGCTCCTGGGCCCGGCTGGTCTCGCGTGCAAAGACCATCAGCAGCGCAACGAACATGGCGACCACAAGCCACCCGCCGAAACGGTGGGTGAGTTCGAAATAGTCGTGCCGTTTCATTCGAAACGTGGGATGCGCCACCACGATGATCACCAACAGCAGGGCCAGGATCGTGTACGCGAGCACCACCGGCGCGGCTGACATGCTGCTGACCGTCTCGGCTCGCCAGTACTCGTGTGACATCACACCGATGAAGCCCATGTACCAGATGAGGGCTGCGATGCCGCAGCCGCTGTGTACGCCGCCATAGTGATAGACCTTGGCTGCCATCCGGCGCAGGACCAGCGGCGATGATCTCGGCATGGAGCAAACGACGCGGAAGATGGTGTTGACGACCAGCGGCTGCCGAGCCAAGCCGCAGGCAAGCAGGTTACCCGCGGTGGCATTGACTAAGGCCAGAAGCTTGCGGTCAGCCGTCATGACCACCACGAAGACGGCGATATTGGCGAGGACGACCAGCGTGAAGAGCCGTCGATAGAGGTTGAGGGCCGTGTACCTGAGCGCAGCGAACCGTTTTGGTTTGACGGTCTGAGCTTCGAGGTCGAGCTGTTTCTCGTCCGAGGGAGACTCGAGATCATCCGATCCCAGCTCTTCGGAGCGATACTTCTCGAGCTTGGTGATATCGCCGCCGTCGGTGAGCGTGATCTCGCTCGGGCTGGGCGAGTTGAGCTTCGCCTCGGGAGGCATGGCGATGTCGATTGTCTTGACTGGGACCGACATGATGGGGGAAGCAGATTATTCAAAAGGCGACGGCGAGCGAAAAAGAGAGGGACGGACTGGTCGGAGAAGGGGGGGGGACATGGATGGATGGATGGATGGGCGTTGATATCTCGACCAGGAAGCAGGTCTGGGGGGGACTTTCTCTCTCCCATCCTTCCTGTCTCCTTCCCACCTCAGCATCAGCATCATCGCCATCACATCTGAACTCACCACTCAAACTCAGTCCTCCCCGATATTGCAACCTCTCCACGCAACCCGATCTTCCAAATCATTATCACCATTGTCACCATTATCACATTTTTTTTTCCTGCTCATGGGATGTATGACACTATCACACCGAGTCCAGGCCCGCGACGACAGCGACTGAGGTTACGACAAAGTCAATAATCCCGCCCGGCCTGTGCCAGCGCCCGCTCTCTAACGGACGGGATCAACGGCCGATGGAGCCCGCTACGAAGTCAGATCACAGTGGACACAATTCAACCGCAGACGGGATCGGCCGGAAAAGAGCTGTGGAGTGGTTCGTGGGCATCGAGACGGGCTGGCATGTAACCTCGCGATCAACAAAACTCAACCTTCACGACCCTGACCCGGGCACGATCCACCACGGGCGCCGTGTCGAGACCGGTGACGAGCACGAGCACGCCGCGTTCCCACCGAGGAATGATGATGAATCCCATCACATCCGCGTGTGAAGAAAGCGAGAGCGGGGGATCGATCGATAGCGCGGTCGATGAAGAACGATTGAGGCTCCAATAATGCGGCGATCCGAACGGTTCGTCACCGCCGCACCCAATCGGCCGCGAGCTGTGGCTGGCCGACGCCACGAGATCTCAGCAATAAACCCTGATTTATTGACTCGAATGACTGGCAGTGTCATCACCGTGGAGCCCGAGACAGGAGCTCACATTCACCGATGGACATTTTTGTGATCTAGAATTCCGGCATGCTCCACGCAACCCGAGCTCCCCGAGATCTGGTTCCATCGCACGAAAGGGGGACCGGGAGGAACGCGGGCCCACTCCCCACTTGTCAAGCTCGATCGGATCTTGTTTGCGCACCAGCCGGACCATGGATGCTGGGACGGCTGGGACGGTTGGCCCGTCTGGTTGTATTTCGGTCGGATCTGAGGAGCGGGTGCGATAGGCGCTAGAGCTAGGCGCTAGGGCCAATGGTGGTGGATTATTCAGTGACGGATGCCCGATCGACGAACCTGTTCGTGCGACACACGATCTGGGCGATCTACGATCACCCGCCCGGCCCTCAACCATTATCACACTGATGGGCCACGCACTATTGAGTCTACGATCTCACCCGTCGGCCTGGGCCAGTGGCGCCCGTTGAGTGCACACGGACCAAGGGATTGTGTGTTGGAGCCAGGTTGCATGTACCTTAGCCCGGAGGACTGTGGTTCTGAGGTTAGATGTGATATCACCAGCTCGGTCTCTCTTGTCCCGTCCTAGTTCTATAGTCGCCCATTAGAGGCCTGTCGTCTAATCCCTGCTCACTCCTGCACGTCGTCGATCTTCTATTTGTAAATGCAAGTGGGTCTGGTCCGGCCTGTCGGGACCTCGAACTTGACTAAGCCGGGTGGGATATTCCAAATCACATCAACACCCCAAGGATGGCTGAAACCTCATCGTTCGGTATCTCAAATCATGGGGACCCTCCCAATATATAAGTATCCGGCAGGGGTCGAGTCCCTCTACCCGATCCCTGCCGTGATACACCAGCCTCGACCAACCTCGATCGACTCCTTTCACTCTACTCTTTTCATTCCTCTCCCTCCCTCCCGCCTCTCTCACCATGGTCCACTGGGACTCAATGGGTGGCAATTCGGACCCCCTGCTCCGTCCGGATGTCTACACCGACCTCTTAACCTTTGCCTTCTCGGGCCCTAAGCCCTACAACCAGAGCCAGCCCTTGTTCATTGATGCCGAGGATCCCTCCCGTTCTTTTACAGCCCTGCAGTTCCGCCAACTGGTCCGGACGCTGATTGCAGGCTTCAAGGCCCACAATGTGCGGCCCGGGGACTGTGTGCTGCTGCATCTGGGGAACAGTGTTAGTATTGCTGACCAACCAAGACCCGCTCGGAATATTAACCGAGATCTATAGATCTTGTACCCTGCGCTATTCTTTGGCATTATCGGCGCCGGTGGTGTCTACATGGGCTCCAACCCGCGGAGCCAGCCCCAAGAGCTGGACCACATCGTCGGCCTTGCCGACCCCAAGCTGATCCTCACCACGCGCGATGCGCTGCCCATGGTGAATGAGGTGGCTGCCGCTCGCGGCATCCATCCCGGCCAGGTGTGCCTGGTGGACGAACGTGCGGTCGACTATTGCGCGCAGCTCTTCCTGTCGTACGAGCTGGGCTACCCAGCCGCGAACCAGTTCGCCATGGCCGGCGGGGACGCCCGTCACTTCAATTTCGCCCACCTGATCTGTTATGGTGAAGGCAACTGGCCCGTCTTCAATGATGCTGACACGGCCCAGTCCACGCCCGCAGCCATGTTCTCGACCAGCGGCACGGGTGGTCTCCCCAAGGCTGCCATCCTCTCACACCATGCGATCGTATCCCACCACCGCTCCATCCAGTACGACGTGCCCTACCCGGTCAGTCGACTCATGTCCCTGCCCATGTTCCATCTCTTCGGCGCCCTGTGGACCCACCTGTTCCCCGTGCGATACGGCCATCCGCTCTTCGTCCTGCCGCGGTTCGAGATGAACCAGTTCCTCGCGACTGTGCACCAGTACCGCATCTCAGAGACCTACCTGGTGCCCGCCATCATCCACGCCGTCAATCAGTCCTCCATGCCCGTGGCCGACTACCTCGGCTCGTTGCGCTATGTGGGCATCGCCGGCGCCCCCATCGACGCCCAGTCCGTCCAGCACTTCCGCAGCCACCTGCATGCCCATGCGTCAGCCTGTCAGCTCTGGGGCATGACGGAGGCGGGCGTCACCTTTCAGCAGCGCTATGGTCAGCGCGGCAGCGCGGGCAGCATTGGGACTCGGCTATCTGGGTACCAGGTCCGTCTAGTCGATCACGAAGGTAATGTCGTGCGCGAGGATGATCGCGCCGGCGAGCTGTGGGTCCGCGGTGCGGGTCTGCTCATGGGCTACAAGGGCCGTCGAGACGCCAAGGACCAGAAGGGATGGTTCCGCACGGGTGACGTGGCGTACGTTAAGGACGGCCAGTATTTCATTGTGGGCCGGACCAAGGAGCTCATCAAAGTGCGAGGGTAAGCCAACAATCCCTCCCAATCCTATACCCTCATTCCTAACCGTGGCATACAGATGGCAAGTTGCCCCCGCCGAAGTGGAAGCCGTGCTACTGCAACACCCCGGGATCGGCGATGCCGCCGTGACAGGGGTCAATCTCAAAGACGGCAGCGGCGAAGTGCCGCGCGCGTTTGTTGTGCGCTCGCGCGATCCCAGTGTATCACGCCCGACAGCCGACGACGTGTACAAGTTCGCACGCAAGCGACTGGCCAGCTACAAGGCCCTGGATGGCGGGGTGCTTTTCGTGGAGGAAATCCCGCGTACGGCCAGCGGCAAGATTCAGCGCTTCAAGCTGTCGCAGATGAACTCGTACCGGGAGATGATGGCCTCCATGCTCTCCCGTTTTGACGGTCACGGCTCCCCTCACCCGTCCGGCGGCCCGGATATGTCCAATGTGGGCGTGCACGCGCAGGAAGGCCGCGTCGCAGTGTGATGAGGACTGCGTCAGTATTTAGGATGACGGTCGTCGGGTCTGGAGTACTCGGTAACGGAAAGGATCGATTGACTCTGGAAACGGGACATGGAAATGGCGTTGACCGGATATATGGGTGGGTGAATGGATAACGGCGTTTTGTCTTTTTTTCCCTGGGTTTTCTAGTATATGGTTTCGGGTGGGACGGACTTGATGGCCTGGGTTGATGCTTTTTATTTTTAATGCGTTTCACGCTTTTATGACTGCTACTACACACAGCTTCTGCACTGTTACTCGGAGGTTTTCTATCTTTATGGTTATGGTTATGATTTTATGTCTTCTCTCATTAATAACGATGGTACTTTGATTTTACTCTTTCGCAGTTCAAGTAAATACTTAACAGTAGAGAATACGATAATACTTTTTCGTCAGTGCAAGGAGAAAATGCAGGGTGTAACGTATTATGCCCAACGATATTCTTATACGCTATGAGGAAGTTTCTAAAAATTGATTAGGTACGAGGGACGTTTAGATCTTACGCCTTGAAGATATTATTATTACTCTACGTAGAAAGTAGCTAAGGGGTCCTCTCTATATATCTCCGAGTATTTGGTGTACTGTATGTAGCCAAGTCGGGTTGAATCAAGTCTCGCTTCAGCCCTCTACATCCGCACCTTCCCGTCGCCTTCCGCCAGTTGCCGTTAAACAAAGGACCGACGGCTCATTACGCGCAACATCATCGGAATCGAAAACATCTACCCTAACTCACTTTACCCTGGGAAGGGGACAAGGTCTTATCAGAACACTTTAGGGGTTTTCGCCAGTTATGGAGCCGTCCAACTCCGATAGCACCACTATCCGCGTCCCGAAACGCGCCTACCAGGCTTGTATCCGCTGCCGCCGCCGCAAAGCCCGATGCATCCTCGATGGCCCGGCCGACGGACCCAACGTTACCTGTCTACGATGCAAAAGAGAGCGCAAGCATTGCATTTTTACCGCCGAGCGGTCGCAGGCCCATCTAACGCCTTCCTCTCAGCCTCCGTCGCAGCCCCAGACGCAGCCCCAGTTGCAATCGCAGTCCACCTATCGCAGTATCGAGGACCCCTTCCGGCCCTCGGCGGCTTCCTCCCCATTGGGTGGATTGCCGGATCGAGTATCCAATGCCGTTGTCTCCAATCAGTCCGATGCTCTCCGATTACTCTTTGAGGCGGCGGAGTCGTATAACGCTCACGACGGGACCGGGCGATCGACGGGACCGGACGAGAATAGGGTTGGTGCGGTTGTGGAAGCGCCGCTAGGCCAGTGGCTATCGCCGACGTATCAACTTGTGCAGTGCTCCTTGGACTCTCTCCGGGCTTTGGGCAGGCTGAAATTTGTCCGCAAGCGATGGTTGACAGCCGAGGAAGTGGCGACGTATATCGAGCTGTGAGCATCTCCCACCAAAGGTTGCGCCAATTGTCTAACCTTCCTTTTGAGGTTCTACAAAAACATGTGCTCGTTCTCGCCCATCCTGGATGGGTTTTATAGGGATCCGGCCCATTTCAACGAGCTCGTAGCCAACGAGCCCGTTCTCTGCACCGTCATTCTAACCCTCTCTACGCGATACCACCATCTTACCGGCAGCGGGTGGCTGTCACGGAACTATTTTCTGCATAATCGGCTCTGGCGGTACTGCCAATCGCTTCTGCAGAGAGTTATCTGGGGACAGGAGAAGGGCACTTCCACGTCCATGCGCGGACTAGGCACGATCGAGGGGCTCCTTCTCATGATAGACTGGCATGCGCGCTCGCTCCATATGCCGCCTGATATTGAAGCATGGGATTCCGACGACGACAATATCCAGGAAACGGAGCTGAACAAATTCTCCCAGAGTGAGTCATTATTCTCGAGAGCTCGAGCAAAACTAATAGGATCAGTCCCAAACCGGTGGCTGGAGGGAGTCGTAGAACCGATGCGACGGTCCGATCGCATGTCCTGGTCAGCCCTCCGGAAAGAGTCGAAAGACCCAGAACTCAGCTGATTGGCCTTAGGTCCCTTGTACAAGCAGCAGTGGGTATCGCACAGGAACTCGAGGTCTTTGACGATACGCAGGACGAAGTGGCCACCGACGACGCGTCAGCGACTTTGAAAGCGTACACGGCGCAGCGCCGGCGTCGACTCCGCATTCTGCTCTACGTCTACATGAATCAACTCGCCTTACGGGTCGGCTACTCCTCTCTGATCCCGCAAGCACTGCTCTCCATCAAACCGAACGACCTCAAACTAACACCTACGCAATGCCATCCTGACTGGCTGCACCTCATGTCCCTCCAGGTCGACCTGACCCGGCTGATGCGCACATCCGCCGATCTCCTTTTTCCCTCCAGAGCCGTTACGCGCGATTTGAGCCAGACTGGCAGCTACCAGCGCATCCTCGAGCACTTTCAGCCCATGCTGGAGGGCTGGTGGGAGAAGTACTCTTCATTCCAAGGTGAGCCTACCCGACACTTACATCGCCTGCACGGCGGCTAATATCTGCACAGTGCAAGGTCCATTCCGAGACCTCCTCGCCATTGACTTCATGTACTTGAAGACATATGTCTACTCCCTCGCCCTACAGGCAGTGGCAGAGCGTACAATGAACTCGAAAGTAATGCAGGGCCTACCGAACGAGCTACTTTTCATGATCTCCAATGTCACCGCCAAGGATTACGAGTACATCCAGAACGTGATCGATAGCTCCAAGGCCGTGCTCCAAGCCATCATCGGCATGGAGTGGACGGAAAAATTAAGATTCTTGCCGGTGCGTGTATACGTGCGCATTATCTCGGCTTGCATCTTTCTTCTCAAGGTATGGCGTATACCCCCAGACCGAGATTCTACCTCATCCGACGGTGACTTACCGAGACGATGAACCAGGCCCTCGCCCTTGGCGTCCCAATGGAAGAGCTCAACGCCTCGCTCGGCCTAATCGACCAGGCCGCCGGCGTCTTGCGCCGCAACATCGTCGACGACTTGCATCTTGCGGGCGTCTTTGCTTCATTGCTGGAGACGTACACGAAGGGATTCCGAGAGCGGTTCATTAGTATCCCTGCTCTTGCGAGGGGAGACGGTCGTGTGGGAATGGGTTCTTTGTCGAGTACGACGGGTGGCGAGGATCCCCTTGCTGGCCAGGTGCCGTTGGATGATGCACTGGGGTTGGATCAGGAGTGGCTGGCTCATCCGTTTGATTCGTCGGTGGCTCCATTTGGGCTGGGGGTGACGCAGCCGATATGTGGGTTTGACGACGAGTTGAATTTGTTATGGAATACCGGTGCGTAAAGCTTGTGCACGTTTGTCTTTTTGGCAGGCTGGCATTTCACCGATCTCATTGTATGAGAATATGACTATGGTAATCATCTTTATCCACTCAATCCCCTCCTGCTGATCCGCAACATACACCTCCTCCCCTTGGCAATCAAGGTGAAATGATCCGTCATCTCCATATCGTCATCCGTGGCCGCACTGCCCAATTCCACCCGGAACCGCTTCATGATCGCTGCGGTGGCTACCTTCAACTCCATATATGCCAGCTGCTTGCCCAGACACGACCGACTGCCTTTGCCCCAGACGAGAATCCGGTCATGCATGGCGGCCACCTGGTCCTCGGAGGCAGTGAGCCATCGATCGGGGTCGTACGTGTCCGGGTTTGGGTACACCTCTGGGTCGCGTTGGACGGAAAACGATTGGCAGGAGACAATTGCCTGTATGGCATAGCTGATTAGTCTCTTTATCTCCCACAAAGAAACCCGTGAAAAGGGAGAGAGAATGAGAACCTACCTTCCCAGGCACACGGATCCCATCAACCACGCCGCCCGTGGCAGGAACCACCCTCTGCAAACTCGCTGGTGCAGACGGATGCAATCTCAGCGTCTCGTGAATCACCGCATCCAGCACATCCAAGGCCCTAATGTCCTTGTACTCCGGAATCTCGGTGAATGCCACCTGATCTAGCTCCGCCTGCAATCGATCCTGCCAGTGGGGCAACTTGGCCAGTTCGTAGAACATGTACGAGAACGTGTTACTGGTGGTATCGGTCCCCGCGAAGATGAGGTTGGTCATTTCGTTGACGATCTCATGGTCCTGCAGAGGGTCGGCGCCTTTGGCCCCCGAGATGAGTTTGGTGAGGAGATCGCGGCGGGTGCCGGACCGGCCGTATTGAGAAACATAGGCCTTGAAGGCTGAGGCGCCGTACTATTCGCACCATTTAGAGACCTTATTGGGGAGGTATCCGGGTTTGGGAAGGGAACATACGTTATAAAAATTTGGTCCCGCCTTGAGAAAGTGTCGTAGGGACTGGATTGGAAGACAGAGTAACAGCCACCGAATCGATGCAAACTGCCATTCGATCCAGAGGGAGGGAAAGACTTCGTCCAGGTCGTGAAGGATGCCGGGAGCGACTTCACTCGCGAGGCCCCCAAAGTCTCTCCCCAGGAAAACTGCGCCTATACATGACAATCAATCAGTACTTCCCTACCGAGTATGCATATTTTTGGGGGAAACGGAGCACAAACCAACAACGTCCAACGCAAAAATCCGAAACCACTCCATAAGATCAATCGTCTCTCCCACCCTCTTGTCAAGCGCACTCAGCAATGCCCGCACCTGCTCGTGAACGAGGGGCTCTACGTCTGCAATAGCCGCAGGGGCAAATACGTGCGCGATCCGCTTCTGGCGCGCCCGATGCGCCTCCTTGTTACGGATCGTGAACGAGCTGGGCCGTCCAAAGGCCTCATAGACGGGTGCTTTGATAAAACCGTTGGCCGCACCGTATATATCACGCATGGCCTGGCGGGAGGAGAAAGATACTTCATTAGGTCCGATACGGACGACCGGGCCATGTTTCTGATGCAGTGCATGGATGGTGCGCGTTCGGTGGCCGGTGTAGTCAACCCAGATGAGCCAAAGGCGGGAGAGACGGGCGAGGACGGGGCCGGGGATATTAGAAAGATCGGTGCGAGAGGAGGAGTTCTGGGGATCTGAGTGAGTATCAAAACAGGAGGTAATTATGAACTGAGGTAGTATGGATGGGGTACTAACGACTACAACGAGGGCGAGAATGAAGAGGCCCAGCACAAGCGCAAGAAGCCCCGGATGCTCGGTTGCGATCATCGCTATCTCAAGCAGATTGATCTTCATAGTATTTTATCTATGTAATTGGGCAATATGGCTTACAGACGTAGCTCTTATGTACATTTGCTACAAGCAAATCACTTATAGATTCGGCGTCTGATCGTCAAGTACTAGTCGAGCTACCAATCTGGTAAGCGACATCCCTCCATGACTGGCGGTTTCGTTCCGCTACTACCCGACAGGACCGGCACAAAGACGGGTCGGATATTTCACGGATGATTGTGTAGTAATGGTGACGGTAAACCTGCCGCCTCAGGTAGCGCTCGGCTCTGAGATCACTGGGTGAGCCGTTCACTGAGCACTCAGAGCTAGCCCTAAGCGGGCTCTGAGCGATCTCTGAGCGGGACCTAAGTTGCTCACCCTCTTCCGTTCTCAGCGTGCCTCTGGTCCTTCCTCTACTTCGATGCTAACCGCTATACTGCCTATTGATATTCTTAAGAATCTAGGCCAAAATGACGTTTCCCCATGCCGCTAGTAACTTCCACCCTCCTCCCCTTCGAACTTCCTAGTGACAAACTCGATTATCTTGAATCCACCTTAGAAATTAAACGACCCCTCATCTTTATATTCTATCCTTTGTACTGCCGAAATTGGCATCTATAGTTAACCCTAATTCCGCCCTCGCTACGTAAAACCGATTGGCCTCGTAGGCAGTATCTAATAATCTATACTATAAGGTTACAGCCGCTAGGCATTCACCGCAGCCGCACCTATATGACATGCGATTAAGAAGCACCTGACCCTACCCCCTGCTGATGGTTGATCCCGACTGAAACAAATCCAGTCCTCCTTCGGTGATTCTACACACCGTCGTCGCCAGCCTCACCACCAGCCTCAACAGTAACAGCGAGGGGAAGGTCATTGCGACCAACCTTTCTCCAGCCCTCGTCCGGCGTACACAGTTACACATTGTTCTTATTCAATCAGCCCACCAACTTTAGCGTACGCGCCCGTTATGCAACCTTCGTGGAGACGACAGAAGAAGCCCCACTCAACCGGCTAACCCTGCTCCTGGAGACCTTTATCAACCAGACTAGCCTGGGAGCACCGATCGCAGCAAATTACTTCCGCATTACTACGGTGGCTGCGAGCAGCACATTTAATGCGACGGCCATCAAGATTGCAGCTGGCGGAATTACTATCTGACGGGAGCACTGGCCCTGGTGGATGCAGCCGTTGCTACTCTTGAAGTCTCCTGCGGCTTATTTATCATCAAAAAATTTTGTAACGTTACCTATACCTAATCTGGAATGCTCTTCGGAGTACCAGGAACAAGTATCATGCAGCCATCTTCACCAGGCCCACGTGGGACGCCTAAACTAACATCCGATAAGGTAGTTTATACTTTGGCCCTATAACTAGTAGAAGTCCTCCATCATTGTCACCTTTTGTCTAAAATCTCTCACAAACCCCGTCTACTGTGTACCTGAAACAAGCAGTAAACTAGACAATGACCTCGTCGAGAATTGAGTTTCTAGCGACCACCATCGCCGAATCGGCCCAGGAGCTGCGCACTCTGCTGGCTCAACATGATCTCAAGGAGCCTTCCTTCGCTGCCGACTGCCCTCCATCGATGGACCTACCTCCAGCGGTAGACGAAGCACGAAACACTTTACTACATGCAGCATGTGAGATCCAGGACCTTCTCCTCGATCCGGCAGATCTCCTGCGATCATATGCCACGGTAGGACAATACGCCCGCTCTTTCCTCTCGTACTGAGCCCAGTTTCAACCGTCTAACCATGAGTCCTGCCTACAGCATGCCCACCTAGTCTCGCTACACTTCATCCAACAGTTCAATATCGCTCAGCTCGTGCCCACTGGCGGCGAGGCCATCACCTTCGCGGCCCTTGCCGAACAATGTGGGCTACCCGAGGCGGACATACGTCGTCTCCTCCGCCATGCAATGTCAATCCGAGTATTCGACGAACCTCGCGACAACGAAGTGGTCCACACTCGGGCCAGCATGCTTCTCCGCCAAGAAGGTATCCATGGTTATATTGGATCAACCTGCGAGAATAGCTGGGTTGCTGCAACTAGAGTCAGCTCCAATTACACCCCAATGCTCACGCCACCATTTTTAACGACCTCTCACAGGCAGTCGAATCGTTGAAACGCTTTCCGGGCTCTTCAGATCCTTCTCAATCAGTGAGTTCTCCCCATCTACATCCATTCAACTACAAAAGGTGGCGTTTCTGGAGTATAACCCTGGACCCCGGTTAATGAATAAACAATGGATAGGGCTTCGCCCTCGCCAACAACAACCTCACCCTCTACGAAGCCCTTGCACAGTCTCCCGAAAGAGCCGCCACTTTCGCTGCCAACAAACGTGGCTACACCTCTGGCCCCGCCTTCCACCCCGCCGCGTTCCTCGAAGCCTACCGCCCTATCTTCACAACCCTTTCCCCGGGTTCTCTATTCGTTGATGTTGGCGGCGCCCACGGTGACATCGCCCTCGCCGCCGCAGCATGCTACCCACATCTCCATTATGTTGTCCAGGACCTCCCCGAGGTCATTGCGACAGCACCGCGCGATTATTCGCCGGACGGAAGGGTTGAATTCTCCGCGCACGACTTCTTCACCCCGCAGCCACTCCGCAATGTCGCCGTGTTTTATCTAAGGCATATATTGCATAACTGTGGCGATGCGCGCGCGATCAACATTCTAAGGGCTTTGGTCCCCGGGATGCGCCGGGGGACGCGATTGCTGCTTAACGAGCACGTGCTTGATCCCCAGAAGCAGCCGATGTGGAAGAGGAGGCAGGATAGTTCGATGGATATGAATATGCTGGTGTTGTTCAATGCGCGGGAGAGGGACGAGGCAGAGTGGCGGGCGTTGCTGCAGAGCGCGGATGCACGCTTTGCGTGGGTTGGGGTGCGAAGGCCGGCCGGGAGTGCTTTAGCTATTGTGGAGTCCTGCTGGGAGGGAGATTCCAATGATGTCAAGCAAGGGTGTGTGGACTGTAGCCGAACTGGACGGACCGTAACACCCTAATCCCCGTACATATGAGTGTTGCGGCAGCGGTAATATATAGTAGACCATAAGAGGCTCCTGGAACCACACCGTGTTCTCATGGGTAGTTCTATCGTATCATGACTTGTGAATGACTACGATATTGAGTAAAAAAGGGCGCCGAAAATCAGGACGACTTTAGCAGACGTCGTCTTTATGAGAGAACTGATTATGCTGAGTATATCGAAAGAAAATAGAGCCAAATTGTAGATCATCAACTCTCCCGGATGCTATTGAAACCTGATACACAAAGACTTCCACATCCACTATAGGTGCATCATGATCTGGAGAAATAGGATTCTACTGTAACTAATAGATCCCTCTGATCCCCTAAGATGATCTCTCGTGAGAGCTCGTTGTTGACTATCTAGCAATACCGCAAATATATATATATGGTTATAATTTGGACATATATTCTTCTATTCTAGTAATTCTATTGCGCGGGGATGTAAAAATGGAGAGTCCAATCAGTGCTGGGTATTAGACAAAGTGCTCAAAAACCCCATGATCAGCTCATTCACCACTACAGGCCTCGTAACATGAAAGAAATGATCCGCATCTGGAATCTCCACCAGCCGGGCATCCCGAATCTGTTGACGAAGATACAACGCCGTCTGAGCGGGGACCTCCTTGCCTAGCGAAGACGACAGCAACAGTGTTGGCGCTGTAATGAGCGGCATCAGCTCGCGATCGTCGTCGTTGGCGATATCCTGGAAGAAGCAGAGGACGGTGTTGACCCCAGCCTTGAAGGACATTTCTCGGAACCAGTTGGCAACCTTGGCTGCGTCTTCAGTACTCAGGTCCTGGAAAACCACGGCGGGGTCAAGGACCTTGTCTGTGAGCCCCTTGATGCCGCCCAAGCGGCCGGCGGCCACAAAATGGTCGTTGATGTGGGCATCGCTAAAGCCAACGGGGTAATCGGTGTCGTTGCGCTTGAACCGTGGGCTGCCGTTGAGAGTCACCAGACCGGTAACCCGAGTTGGATGCTGGGCTGCAAAGCGCAAAGCGACGTGACCTGCCGAGGCGAAGCCGACAATGCTAGCTTTGGGCAGGCTGAGATGATCCATCAGGGCAAGAAGGTCGTCGCAGTAGATCTGCGTGACATTGCAGGCGTCCTTCGGCAATTTTGATGACGCACCGTAGCCGCGGAGGTCAATAAAAACATTGTAAAACTTTCCTACGAAATGCTCATACTGCGCCGACCACGATCGGGAATCCAGCGGCAGTCCATGGATCCAGACAATCGGCTGTGCACCTGGCGAACCGCCGATTCGATACGCAAGTCGTCCATTATGGACGTCAAAGGTCTGAATGGCTGCGGGCAGATCAGTACATAACGGGTAGGGACATGATGCAATGGTAAAGGACGTCGGTCCCCGTGATGGAACGTACGATTGCAGGCCCAGGGAGTAATCCACCCCGTCCAAGCCCGGCACTCTGACTTTCGAGAGGTCATTGTTCGCAAGACGTAGTTGTTCCGCTGCATAGTCGGTAACGCAACCCGAGAGAAGCTGTCGGGAATCTTCTAGCACCAGCCTCATGCGCGTGATCATGGAGAGCCAGTCATCTGGACTGTCGATTTTGGGAAGTTCCGACACAAACTTCGTGGAACTGTCGATTGTTGGCCTAGAATTGGGCTCCGGTTTGTAGGCGGGATAGCCTGAGAACATCGTCTCGCCGAGCTGGGCCATGCCATGCAATGCGTTCCAGGACAGGCGAAACTGGCGTTCGTATTCGCGCAACGACTCGAGAGTGGTTACTTCATTGATAGCCGGCACAGGTCCATGGGGGGCGATGTATAGCCTCTCCAGAGGGACGCCAAGATCGGATGACTGCAGGATCATCTGGGCCACTGAACTAGTGCCAATCGTCACGCCCGAAGTGTCGCGCCCTTGCTTGCCCGTGATCAAAACCATGGCCTTTTTCCAGACTAGGTGATGCTGAGAAAACCACTTGCGCATGCGATACGAAGTGTCGAGACCCACGAGGAAGAAGGTGGCGATCATGAACGCGTTTACAGGCACGGTGGCGCCAAGCTTGTTGCCGCGGGCTTCGAGGTACTGGTCTCGTAGAAACTCCGCGTTCAACAAGGTGGGATCCTCTAGTGCTCGCTCTAGGTACCGCTCCGTCAAACTGCAGGCATATTCCACCATCGATGCGATGGTAGCTTCGCGGTTCTGGAAGGCCTCGCATTGTATGAAGTCACGCCACAGAGTTTCCGAGTTGACTTTTCTCACCTCTCGGGTGTCTTGGAGCAGATTTTCGGCGTACACTTTCCATTCGGCTGATCCTTTGCTTAACTGGTATATCTGGACAAGGGAGCCCATGGCAGGACCCAGATGAGAGATAGCCGCCAGCTCCTTGAAGCCTCTGTTACCGAGCCGGAAATTGATGAACGAGGGATCCTGACCATTTCCCGGGAAGAGCAACATATCAAAGCTGGTAGCAACGAGTAAAGGGTAAGAGGAAGTTGTTTCGGTCACGGTTGCGCTGAGCTTGGCCCCGATGCTTGTCTGCGATGCCGTATACGCAGTAAATAGCTTGAGAAACTCGGGACATTGATAGGGGGCCTTTTCCTTCACTAGTGCCTTGACTGAATCATTCTTGAAGCGGTAGACGTGCGTATCGGTGCGGAAACTCTGTTTGGCCGTGATGCTCTCAGTGACGACGATTCGGGGTTCATCTGCCGTATCTGGAATTACAGTCACATCTGTCGCTCCCAACGTGGGAACGGTGGCAGCCGCCTCGAGACCCACGTCACAGACCTTATAGACGGTGGCATCTAGGACGGGATTGGGATCATGAGGAGTTCCGGTGATGAACTTGACGTGCATCAGGTACGAGTTATCTTTGGTCTTAATGAGCGCAAACTCACGCCCGCCTTCTCCGTCGAGGGTTTGGTGAAGATGAAAGGATTGACCGTTCCAGCGGTAGACAAGGCTGCTGGATGAAATGCGCGAAAACGCCAAATACGCGGTTCCATTCGTAGTCGTGAAGAAGGAAAACGCGCGACCGCCGACACCATCCAAATCCTGAAAATGCAGAAATGTCTCTCCATTCCAGCGCAAAATCACCGAGGGCTGCACGTGGTCTGCGTAGGCCAGAAAGTTATGCCCATCGAGAACAAAATGAAGCCAGTTGTAGCCCCATTTCGAAGGAATGGTCTGAAACGGCGTAAACGTCGACCCGTTCCATTGAAAGATGGTCGAGTCACTGATGACGTGTGGCTCAAGTCCGGGGATGGTCACACCCTGGGCAAGAGCCAAAAAGTGACGCCCGGAGACCGTGAAATATCGCCATTGCTTGGCTGCAAAGGTTGGGATCCGCTGAAAGGGCTCGAAGACACGACCCTTCCACTCGAAGATGGTGGACTCTACGTCCATATTGTAGGGTCCTTTGCCGCTGCGGAGACTGGCGGTTGCTAGGAAATGACGGCCATCGATCGTGAAAAATTCAGCATCTTCTCCTCCGGGGACGGGTAATTCCTGGTGGAGGCAGAAGGATCCATTCCGGGTGACCTGGTAGATGAGGAGCGATATGTCGCTGTCCCCTTGGTTTATTCCTATCGCACCGCCGGGAATATCCATGGCTAGCTGGGGAATAGCCAAATATTGGATTCCATCGATACTGAATACCTCGGCCGCCCGAGCCCCGGAAGTGGGCAGGCTTTGCACGAGTTCAAGTTTCACTTTGCCGGACATGGTCATTGATGGCGCCGGGGGAATATTTAGAATGGAAACTATGAATTCCAGCTAACAAACCGTTCCAAAAAGGTTGAACTGCGCTTGTTCTTATTTATACGCCGACCTTGAGAGTCGGGCAGTCATAGCGGAATAGTACGGTGTGCGGTCATGCGGGAACTCCTTGTCCAAGGGTTCTCACACGAAGTATCGTATCTAATCAGCCAATGATGGTGGCGATAAAAGAATATCGGAAAAGGGCGGTCTACTACGGGCCGACGTAACGGATCCTATTCCCATGGGTCTCGGGTCAGCATCCTGAATCGCGGAGAAAGGAACGGCCCAAGACGGGCCCATTCCTTGAACTGTTAGACTCAACGTTAGCTTCACCATCCCCAGTCAGCAGTGGAATAACCGCTGGGTAATCACACTTGGCGCTTGAGATGATTGCTCGGTTGTGGTGTTGCCGAGGGACTGGGTGCCCCAGATTTACTGCTAATCTCTAGCTAGGGGAAAACTGCCAGCCAATTTGTCTACCTCGTATATATAGCGCGATTCCGCTCCGTGATGAAAAGCATCTCTACTATGCAATAGGAACCTCTGCATTGACTTACACGACATGGGAGATATCGCAATTAAACCCATCACTCATCACGTGGAAGATCAACTTGCCCAGCCAGAGCATCTATCCCAAGAGCACCAGACCTATCTCCTCCAGAGGCACGGCAGGGTGGATTTAGTGCCGCTGCCTTCAAATGATCCATTGGACCCGCTGAACTGGCCGGCATGGAAGGTAATCCCGTCTACCCGGCTCACCTCCAAATCAACTCTGACCATGGCATATCTTGCAAACAGAAAAATATCAACCTCGCCCTCGTCGCCTTTCATGGCCTGGTATCCACCGGCGGAGCGGTTGCCGTGGTCCCGGCTTTTGAAACATGGACAATCCAGTTCCAAGTCTCAATGGACATTGCCAGTTACCTCGGCTCTGCACAGGCAAGCATTCCCCAGATGAGTAGCAACAGGTCAGGTATGGGAACTGACTGCCCTATAACCAGATGATCACCCTGGCTCTGGGCCCCTTGATATGGCTGCCTCTGGCGAATCGATGCGGTCGACGACCCATTTGGTTATTGTCTACCATTGGGGGTGGCTTGTGCAATGTGGGCTGTGCCTTAGCTCAAAGCTACGGTGCACTCATGGCACTACGTATCCTGCAAGCCCTGTTCATCTCCCCGGGGATCGCTATGGGACAGGCGGTGGTGGCGGAGTCTTTCTTTGCTCATGAGAGGGGACAGAAGATGGTAAGTCGACGCTTTTCACGATTGATGGGCTATCTGCTGAAGTAGACAGGGAATATGGGCGTGAGTTTACAATTGCTTCACATTACATTCACTCAAAGAAAAACTAAAATCCGCAACTAGTCTCCTAATCACTCTCGGGTAAACCCTTGTTTGCATTCTACTCTCATCAACGTTGGCTGATTTGCACTGTAGGCCACCGGTCGGCCCTTTCATCATGGGCTTCGTGATCCAACACCTCGACTGGCGTTGGATGTTCTGGATCATGGCAATCGTGAGTGAAAGTTACATTTCGTCCGCTTTGTACGCTTGGACCAACCAATGCGTTAGATTAATTTTAGCCAATTCCTGGCCTATTTGGTTCTGAGCCCCGAAACCCTGTACGATCGTGATCCGACAGTCCAGACCAGACCCAGCCGGTACTTTGGCTTCAGGCGAATCATACCTGGGCCCTTGACAAAACAGGAATTTTTGCTTCCATTCCGTCTACTGGGAGATATGCGGGTGCTTCTGCCCACCATTGCATATGCCATCGTCTTCAACTTTACTCTGGTTCTAATGACGGTGGAAATTCCTGCTTTTTTCACCGAGTTATTCCATCTATCACCACAGCAGATCGGTATCAATTTCCTCGGTCTGTTGGTCGGGTATTTATTCGTCTCTGAAGTTAAAGCTGCATGTATGTCTATCTAACAAACCAACAGATGCTCGCTAGGCGAGGTAGTCGGCGGCCCATTGAGCGACTTCTGGCAACATAAATTGTCCAATTGCGAACTCAACTCCCATCCACCCCCTGAGCGACGCTTATGGCTCTCATACCCCGGGTTTATCCTAACCACGGTGGGCATCGCCATCTTCTGCGTCACCTTGGATGAAGCCACTCCGCTCCACTGGACCATCAAGCCGATCATAGGCATCGCCATTGGGGGCTTTGGAGTCCAGATCGTGACTACCATATGCATTACCTGTGAGTTCATACCACGCTAATAAAAGCCAATAGTACGATCTAACTAGACTAGATTGCTCTGACTGCCACCCCGAAATCCGGTCGTCTGCGCTCGGGGTCGCCATCAACTTCGTGCGCTGCACATGGGGATTTGTAAGTGTGTCCAATATCTTCCAGTTCGGGGAAACTTTATAGACTAATTGTGTAGATTGGTCCCTTCTGGTTTCCGTACATGTTTGACTCATGTGGATTGCGCGGATCGGTGGGTTTGATGGCGGGAATTATAGTGGTATTTTCGATTCTTCCAGTGGCTGTTGTGCAGTTTGTTGGGGGACGGGGTTAAGTGGAGATATCCTTTGTTGTGGTATGATAGCATGCGAGGAAGCACCTCATCTTTTGACAAAATTCTATCGATCTAATTATGGATTTGTATTTGCTTCCGGTTGTTTGTCGATTCAATGTCTAGCTACAAAATCAACGCAATAACGAATTTTCTACGAGTGGTAACAGGATATGATATTCATCCAAACTCTGCCGAAATGGGATATAAAAAAATCAAATTCCTCGTTCTTTCATTAATGCCTAGGTAGAAGGATAGAACTAAATTTCCAAAAGGAAGAAATTAACTACACCAATATCGCACTTCCAAAGCCACCGCATGGCCCAGCTTCCAACTAGACCAGTGCCGATGCTGGATCGATACGCGCCCGACATTCGAAATCTCGTTTCCTAGTCACTTTCAAGTCCGCCGTACCGGAGGTTTAAAACCCGCCAACCCCCACCAAACAGTCGGAACGAGAAAACGAAATGGTGAGCGCGGAAAGTAGGGGGTCTGGAAGCTGGAAGAGTCTGAACCGTCCCGGGCCGGACTTTGCCACGGTTGTCCGCCGTCCACATTCTGGCCCCCCGGGCAGATTATTGGGTCCGCTGCCAATACTGGAGGTACCGTGTAGCTGGCCGCGTAATTAAGCCATTGACCTAGGTTAGGGGTAGATTACACCCTAAATAAACCGGACTTGAGTTAATGCTTTGTAGGAATGACTATGTTGCTTATTTTACCCCGGGCGTATATAATAAACAGCGACCAAGTAGTCCAGCCAAATAACTACCGCTATCATCGTCTCGAAATATATTTCCGTCCACAGGACTAAGTTACAGCTGCCAGCGTCAACATGATTAGCCAAGTCAAAACATGGTCCTACCTCATCCGCTTCATCAGCGCAGAAGATAATAAAACTTACTTCGGCGACGCCATCCTCCTCCCCGGAGCAACAGGCCTCCACGACATCGACGAACTCCTCTCCCTCAAAGCACACATCATAACTGGAAACCCCCTCCAGCGGGGGTACACGATCGCGGAGGCCTCCACCCTCGTCAAGAAACTCCTAGGCCCGCTGACCCGCGACCTGGTCCCGGATATCCGCTGTATTGGAGGGAATTATGCTAGTCATTGTACGTGATCTGCCTCTGCAGAGAACTACACCCACTAATTGATGGTTTCTTGCAATGAAAAGTGCGAGAACTTGGGGTCCCATTCCCCAAAATACCGCCCATGTTTCCAAAACTCACCAATGCGCTGGCCGGACATGGCGACGTGATCGAGATCCCCTCTATCGCGCAGAACGACCAGGCAGATTACGAGGGAGAGCTGGTGATCGTGATGGGGCGAGATGCAAAGAATGTGTCTGCCCGAGACGCCCTGGATTATGTACTGGGGTATTCGATTGCGAATGACGTTTCTTCCCGGTATCAACATGATATTTGTTACCGCGAAAATATGGATGGCAGGCTGACTCTTATCCAGAAAATGGCAGATGGACCCCGAATTGGTGGGCACCCGTCCGCCCCCTCAGATGAGTTTTTCCAAGAGTTTTGATGGGTTTTGTCCTGTCGGCCCGTGTATCGTGTCTACCAAGGTAAGCCCTTTTCGTCACCCTGTCATGAATATAGCCAAGGTAAGAAATAACGCCTGACGCCTGATATAGGTCATCCCCGACCCACACGTTCTGGGAATCTCCACCAAAGTAAACAAAGAGCTACGACAGGCGGGCTCCACCACCGACCTCATCTTCAACGTAGCCCAGATCGTCGAGTTCTGCAGCCAAGGCAGTACTATCTTTGCGAACAGCATCATTCTCACGGGCACACCCGCAGGCGTGGGCATGGCGATGAACCCACCTCGGTGGCTGAAGCCAGGTGATGAGGTGGAGGTTACAGTCGAGAAGATTGGAACGCTACGTCACGGGATTAAATATGCTTGAGAAAGAGTGAATTGGAACCAAGTTTGGGCTAAGAGTGGCTGTGCTAGATTTGAAAATGGGATTCAAGTTTGGTTGTGTTGCACACCCTAGTCTTTTCCCGAGGTGATGAAACGGTGTATTGAGTTAAGGTTATGGTTCTGACTTTGTGTCTTCTCTCTTTAATAACGATATACTTTGATTTTACTCGTTTGCAGTTCAAGCAAGTACTTAACAGTAGTCTGTATATGGCGTTATTAGACATGGGATCAGATTTGAACAAAATACTGTTCTTTTTCCTAGCCCTGTTTCTATCCGTGTTCAAGTAAAAATGTCCCTCGGGGCTGTTGACTAATCTCACTCTATAAGTTTAACTATAAAGTTTAATTATCCTTGACCAAGAACGACACAAGGTGTCAACCGCGGTTGAGCTGAATGACGACATGATGGAAGGGGAGACCCAAGGAGTCTGACCAGAGATTAATATTATTTCATCTCCTGTCATCTTCCACAGACACATTCAATTGACCAACAACACCACCACCATGCCACAAACAGCACCAGTACTCGTCACCGGCGCCGCCGGCGCAGTCGGGGGAGTAGGCCGACACGTCGTCACCCTCCTCCGAGCCTCCAACATTCCCGTCCGAGCAGTGGTGCGCCGAGACGACGACCGCGCCGCCCAGCTCCGCGACCTAGGCGCAGAGGTCGTGATCGCCGACCTCTCCAAATCCGAACAAGTCTTCCCTCTCCTTGCGGGATGCAAGCGTATTTTCTTCAGCACGAGCGTCTCGTCCCAGTACCTCGAGTCGACTATGGTCATGGCGGCGTCGGCGCGGGCTCAGGGCGATATCGAGCTGCTTGTCAACATGTCCCAGATGACGGTCTCCGAGATCGATCTGACGCATGTCACCGAGTCGCCGCAGCATAGACTGCAATTCCTGAGCGAGCAGGCGCTGAACTGGTCCGGTGTGCCGGTGACGCATTTACGGGCGACAGCGTTTCAGGAGAATCCACTGTTTTGGGGGTTTGCAGCCAAGAGCATTGAGACGACCGGGACGGTGAGCATGCCGTTTGGGAAGAGCCGGGTGAACCCCATTGCTGCAAAGGACGTGAGTGAAGTCGCTGCGACGGTTCTAATGAATCCCTCGAAATATGCGGGCCAGGTTCTGGAGTTGACGGGCCCGAAATCGGCCGATATGTACGGCGTTGTCGCGGAGTATTCCACCGCATTGGGCCGGGAGATCTCCTACGTGCCAGTGACATTGGACGAGTGGAAAGAGATGGCTCAGAAGAGCACTGGCTCGGACCACACGGATCATCATATCATGACCATGGCCAAGTTACATGCTGAGGGGCGGTATGACAGGTATACGGATTCCGTCAAGGAGATCCTGGGCCGGCCGGCGACGAGTCTCTCCGAGACCATCAAGAATGACCGGAGCCACTTTCCAGTCAGCTGAAGTGGTGTTTGGAACTTGGAACCTGGATCTAGTCAAGCCTCCCGCCTTATTGATTGTATCTAGTTCTCCGATTTCTGCAATGGCACCACCAGTAGGATTACAAACAAAAGAGAGAGGGGGCAATCCCACTTGACAGATAGTCTCGCCATCCTAGTTGACAATCGATGTCTTTCAAGTAGATCCTCCGGCAGACGGATTGGCGGAGTCGAATGAATCCACTTTGTCGGTCAACCCCACATGTGCAGCATGCTCTTTCGATAAGGGCTCTTGGTAAGGGGCGCTTTTCATCCACAGCGTATTAAAGGACAGGACTTTCCATATATCCTTAAGCCGCTGGAAAGAGGAAGGTTTCCAATAAACAGAAATGGATGATGACGACCGGAAGATATCCTATGCAGCCACCATTTCCAGCTCGACTGCTATGCGGACCAAAATGACAAATTGCTGACGAATAGGATAGAGTTTGGTCCGCAAACCCATTTATAAGCCCATGCTCGGGAGGCCGGATGGTCAGCTTTGATTGCCACAATTTTTTATCGGCGTTTGCCAACTAAACCTCTCTGTGTACTTGATCTCTACAGCACAATGGAAAACAAAGCAGTTTGGCTCAATAACCCGGGTGAAGATCCTGTCATCGATACTGCGCCCTTTCCAGAACCTGGAGAGAATCAGTTGCTTGTCAAGGTGCTCTTGTCATATTTCTAGTCGAGCTCCCAGTGCACTGGCTCATGAACCTGTGACTTAGACAAAAGCTGTGGCTGTTCAACCTGGAGAATGGAAGCTCCAGGCAGGCATAATACCAATACCATTGAAATATCCAGCCATCATTGGACGTGAGTCTGCTCTTCTTGGTTTGCTATCTTTATCTGGTAGGTTGTTGACAATGTGACGTCACCTAGTCTCACTGTCTGGGGTTGTGGTAAAGGTCGGTCCAGGAGTAACTAGGTTTCAACCTGGTGACCGGATTGCAAGCAACAGCGCTGGAGTTATGTTTAACGACTACCGTTTCGGCGCGTATCAAAAATATTCGCTTGTCCCCCAGAAGCTAACATCAAAGGTATGTAGCAGTGAGAACTCACCATAACCTTCATCTTAACATAAATTCATGGGCTAATTTTGTCTGTCCCAGATTGGCAATACTCCATTCGAAGATGCGGCTGCCCTATCTGTTGCGTATGGGCCAATAAGTGCTTTGTTTCTTCACTTAGGCCTCGAAAGAAAGCTTCAAACCCCTAAAACCGCAGGCGATAAAGTACTTGTTTGGGGAATCTCGTCCTCTTTTGGTGCTCTTTCGGCTCAGATAGCCAAGCTAGCCGGCTACAACGTGGTTGGGATCGCCCATGGACGGCACACAGAATTAGCGAGGGCTTTGGGGATCAATTCTTTTATTGATCGATCGTCCCCATCTGCTGTTGAAGAAGCCACCGCTCTGGGTCCGTTTCATGCTGTACTTGCTGCAGCAGACTCAGCGGAAGATCAGGTTAAAATCGGCGCCATATTATCGGCGCAGGGTGGCGGAAGTTTCCTGTCCACGATGGGTGTACGGCCTGGCGTGCAACTGCCTGAAGGTGTCACAGGATTCTTCCGCCAATTCATTGACGATTATCTAAACCCCAAAAATCACGAGTTCACAGAATGGGTATGGTGGAATTTCCTGGAGCATGCATTCGCCAACAATAGCTTAAAGTCGATTCCTTTGGAAATACAGGGGGGCCTGTCCTCTGTACCTGAAGCTTGGGACCTGCTACGACGTGGTGCCGTCAGTGGGAAAAGATTGATCATTCTTCCCCAATTGGAGTAATCCTTGTCGGTAGAACTTCTTCTTCCAAACCAAGAGGGATGAAGCACCATATCAATATTTTATATTCTTCCCATAACGGTACACGAAGTAGGCTTACAGCCACCCGTTAGCTCCTAGCTCCAGGGATATTGCAGGGGCAGAGAAACAAAGACGGAAGTAGGCGCAGGAGGCTAAACAGAAGCGGACGAATGGGCTCGCCAAGACCAAATTAGGGAGCAGGAAAATCAGAGAAGAGTGGCAGAACTTAAGGGTAATTGCAGATGACGGCAAGTTGATTCTCCTCGTTATCACTAATTCGATCAATATCCTGTAGTAACTGAGGATTTCTTTCTTCCTTGTCTGCCTCTACCTCTCCGCTCGTGAGATACTCTTAGAGCAAGGTATTCGTCCTCGATCTCAAATTGGGTTGAACACCTATACATCATAGGCTCCAGGATTGTTTCGGACCTTAGCGAGCCTCGACGATGTGACAAACGTCTCGCGCAGAGTTAAAAAGGCGTTCGACACCAGTACCTGTGGCAGGAATCGAGAAAACATCGCGTGCAAGTTTTCTAAGTGCTGGAAATTCATGTTGATGATCTTTCCAGAATGATCTGATAGTCACTCTTTTGTTTTGTGTTGCAGGCATTGTTCCAACAGCAAATATACCGCTATGAACCCCATCTGTCTTACTATAATATTGGAAAAGCTTAGCATCACCTGTTTCCAAGCCACTTTTTTTTGTCTGAGCCAGCCCACATCTCGCTCCAGGCCATTCAATGTTAATCACAAAATCCCATATCCCATCCACCAAACCCCCCAAACCAAAGGCCCCAATGCACCCAACAACGCCGCACCCACTGACATCTCGAGAATACACCAGATCCACAATGTCCCAACCGCAGGGGCCTTTTTCATAACCGCATAATACGGATCCTCATTCGTAATGGCAATGAGGTGTGCGCCTAACACCGTCGCGAGGGGTAGAAAGGCAAATGTGCGCAGGGAGGGCGGGAAAATGAATCGTCGTATTAGCCCGGCAGAGACATTGGCTGTTGTATCCTGGCGTCGGAAGACTCGTGGAATCGGGATGGTGAAAATGTGCCCGTGGACGAGATGAATTAGGAAGGTGAGGAGTGGGAAGGTGACGGTGAGTGATTCTTGCAAGAGGGCGCGGAAGTCGGTTTTTTCGGCATATTGGTGAGCTGCCAGGAAGCCGAGGGTGAAGTGGAGGGTTGTTAAGGGAGAGAGTTAGGAGGACGGTGTCCAGGAGAGGTGGGAGCGGGTTGTTGTTGCTATTGTTGATTTCGGGTTCGGGCTCATCGTCGTTCTCCGAGGACGAGCTGTCTGCGTCTGCGTCGACAACCTCCCCTGCGGCATTGGTGGTTACTACTCGCATCCCCTGCGGTATATTCACCCCTAGAGAGGAGTTTTGCTTCTGGCCATCCTGGTCGAGGAGCTGATTCTGGCGCTCCGCGATGATGTCGTAGAGTGTTTTGGTGCGCGTGCTCTGCGATGAACTACCGCGTGGAGGATGGGCAAGAGGGATTGAGGGCTCGGTGTCGGCGGAGTTAGATGCAGAAGCAGCAGCACGACGCTGCTTGCGGTTCTGGGGTGCCATGGGGGGGAGAGATTGTGTGTGAAGAAGGGAAGAAGGTGTCAAAAGGTGAAAGTGGATCTGGCGATAAGGCAGATCGTCGTCAATTTAGCTAGTAAACTATCCATCCATCCATCCACCATTCTCACTCCCTGCCACACCCTCTCACTAACTAAATTACACAATATCGACTTTTCTCGTCGTCCACTCTACGAACGGACTTAACCAGCTTGGTACAGCGCCGGCCCTGCAACGATGTGCGGGTTGATCAGACTAAGATTAAACGGCGTCAGGAACGGGTCGTCGTCCGTGATGGCGATGAACATGGTCCCGTTGATGGCCGGATCGCCCTGGTACGTTTGAAGGTCAGGCTGCGATGTGTATCCGCTCGTGCCATTATTGCCCACCACCCGCAGCGGCGTGTAGGTGATGTTGAGCTGCGACACCCACACAACGTACTTGGGGCTGCTGGCCTGAGTCGAAGTGATATAGCTGTTATTCGGACCGGTGGGCTTGCCAGGGTTCTCCCAGCTCAAGGCCACCCGGCGGCCTGGAAATGACAGAGACGAAAATTGGCTGCTACTAGCAACGGCACCGCAGCTGGAGTTGGAGACCCCCTGTGCGTTCGTGGGGATCCGCAGGGAGTTGACGCCCGGTCCGGTGGTCTGATTCCGACCCGATGTGCCATTGATACTAACATTGCTGCTAGTCCCGGCACTGCCAGTGAACGGGTTGGGCTGGTTGAGGATTGACAGCGCCGGGAAGTTCTGCCACACCAGCCGCGTCTGGTTCGCGGGACACGAGCTGATGAAGGGGGCCAGCAACGTCCACGCCCAGGACTGGGGCACGCCAACCTCGAACCACTCCGGCATGGGGAAGAGACCCTCGAACTGGCGGAAGATCATCTGCTGGCGCGCCTCGGTGGTGATGGACTGCGTCAGCAGCGTGGCGGCCTCGCGTGAGTCGAGGTGCGCTATAAAGCCATAGACGCCAGACTCGCCGAACCGGGTGAGTTTCTGACAAAAATCGACAAACTCCCGGACGTTGGTGTACGGGTATACGTACGAGCACTGCTGCGGTGCTTCAGCGCCCAGGATGTTGCTAAGCATCGTTGCATGTCCGACTTCCTGCTGGGCCATGAATGCAATTAGGTCTCGGTCGTCAGAGGTGAGACCAGCAGCTGAGAAGTCCGAGTCGGAGAAACGGCTGAGCCCGTCTTGGAACAGATCGAGCTCGATCCACTCCTGATAAAGTGCGAGGGCCTGCAGGTTTGTTAGTCTCTGATCCTTATTCTGTCCTTTTCATTGCACACTAGAGATTCATAGTCAAAGTCACTCTTTGTATTGTACTCCGGTTCAGACCCATTTGTGCCCACTCCCCCCGCGGGGACATATTCAGCAGGCTGGGCATTATGAAGCTTGCCATCGCTGGGGTAATTGGTGGCTCCTGCAGCCGGTCCCCCGCCAGAAATTCCCGAGCCAACAGAGGACGCAGTCAGCACACCGATGGTCGTCGGGGTCCCTGTGAACGATGTGTGCGCCTGAGAAGTCGGGTGGCTCCGAGTTGGCTCGACCGTAGTGTCAGTCGTCTGACGAGGAACGAGGTCGGCGGGAACGGCAGAGCTGAAGGGCAGCGAGCTCAACACGCTCAGCGCGAGGAGACAATTCCAGATCATATCCACAGACAGACAATGCTCAATTCTTTTCTCTTTTCGTGCACGGTGATGCTGCAAGTCTCGCACGAGAAATTTGCAAGAAGAAGAAAGTTTGAATAGCCGTCGAGGCACGTACATATAGCATCCATGCAGGGCCATACTGACGTAACCTCTCTTTAATCAAGCCGGTCTGACCATCCACTGGGGCAACACCGAGGACAAAATGCAGACCGCAGGGCATGACGCGCAAATGTCATCAACGCAAATACGGCCAAGATGATTTACAGAGCACAATCGACGGCGTACTGTGGTCCAAAGTGGATGCGTCGTACGCGTCCGAAGTGAGAAGCCGGAGATTGGTGAGCCTTGAGGTCAGTATCCGGTCATGAATCGAGAGACGACGAGACGCCGTGGGAAGTAATCCGAACAAGTCAACCATTGCGTCGGCTACCCGTTAGGATCGATATGTTGACTGTTGGGGACCGTAGCACTGAGATCATTGGCTATTGATCCACGGATCTTCTGGTGTCATGCATCTCTCCAGGTTGAAACTCCCGAGATGGAAAAGAATGCCGCTTGGGGACGTGAATCTCCCAAGATCCCATCTTGCATGCGAATTAGGGCACATTTCAGATGAACCGCCCCCTTAAGGGTTGGTCCTCCATATACTCGAACCTCTCTGTAATAAAGATCCCCAAGTAGAATCGAGTTGATTCTCTTGCAAGTACCTCGATGTGCCAGATAAATATGACAAAATGTTGCACAAGATGCTCGATGATAGATAAAACCTACCATGGTACTCCACAAAGCCAAACGACGATGGAAATCAAGTCCGCGCTTCAAAGCCATCCGGAAGTCCCGGAAATGTTTATTTTCGCGGTGTGAAAATGTTACCCTCCAGGCCATGTTATGCATATTGATTGACCAGGGTCTTGACAGGTGCAATGCTTACTTACCGGGATGTGGGGAAAGGATCAACACGCATGACGAAGCTGGCGGGGAAGAAGCCGGGCTCGTCACTGTATCTCTCAACCCCTACCAAGCCATGGCTCACCTGCAAGCATCGCACCTCTTCTCGGTTCAGGACCGCGTGGTGGTCATCACCGGCGGTGGCAGTGGTGAGTGACGTCCTGCATTCCGAACCTTGGATAGAACTGACTCCGACCCAGGACTGGGCCGCACAATGGCCCGCGCCCTCACAACCAACGGCGCATCCAAGGTCTTCGTGCTGGGTCGACGAGAGGACGCCCTCAACGAAACAGTCTCCCAGTCTGAGCGTAGCAGCGTCGTCATCCCCGTGCCCTGCGATGTCACCTCCAAGGAGTCCCTGGAAGCAGCCTATCAGACCATCGCAGCGCAGACGAGCCATGTCGACCTCCTCGTCGCGAATAGCGGGACAATGGGTACGCAGATGCGTCCCCCCGGCCCCAAGGCAGACGGGTCGATGCCCACACTCTCCGAAGTGCGCGAGACACTGTTCTCCATCCCCATGGAGGACTTCTCCTCCGTGCTGAACGTCAACGTTGTGGGCACCTACTACACCGTCCTCGCTTTCCTGCCATTGCTAGAAGCAGCCAACAAGCGCCGCCCGGCACCAGAGACGGACGTTCTGGCACCCCCGAGTGCGCAGGTGATCATCACCAGCTCGATCGCGGGGTTCCTTCGTCTGGTGCCATTTAGCTATGCGTATAATTTGTCCAAGGCGGCGACGACGCATCTCGTCAAGATGCTATCGACGACGCTAGCGCCGTATCTGATTCGGGTGAATGGGATCACGCCGGGTTTGTATCATTCCGAGATGGCGAATCCGCTGTATGCACTCGGGGGGTTCAGGGACTGGGGGTTTCGGACGGATCGTTTGCGAAGGAGATGATTCCTGCGACGAGGGGTGGTGCGGAGCAGGATATTGCAGGACTGATTGTTTGGATGGCGAGTGCCTCTGGGGGGTACCTGAATGGGAGTATTATGGTTACGGATGGGGGCAGGCTGGGAGTTGTGCCGTCTGTCTATTAGAATTTCCAAGAGAGATGTATTCAAATCCAAAATATAGACTCCAGAAATATATGAAGAGGGTATCAAGCGGAAGAACTGGACTAAAGAACGCCGTGCCAATAGCGAATTAGATGGTCGCAGCCAATCTCTGAAACAAATACTCTCCTGCCGTGGTCCCTTCATACTTCTTAGCCCTCTGGGCATTCTCACCAAAGGTGCCAGGCAAGGCTTCAATCCGTGCATTTCGGTTTGCATTGCAAAAATAGGCAATGCTATACTTCGAGGGATATGTATCGGAAGCATTAGTGGAGGGATCTTCCACCACCGGCTTAGGGGGCTCAATAACTCGGTGGCGAGTGCTGCGGATGGTGTCGTTGGACCAGCGAGCTAGCAGGTCTCCCGCATTCACAACAATAGAATCCGCAATAGGGATCACATCGACAAACGTGTCCTTCGGGCTGCGCACCTGCAGTCCACCGTGGCAATCCTGGAAGAGAAGCGTGATCAATCCGTAGTCGCTATGTTCACCGGCGCGCACCTGCTTTGGGTTCTGGTAAAAGAGGTCCTTGCGAACAGGCGGGTAGTGCAGTAGGCGCAAGGTATTGTCACCATTATCGGTGAACGTGTCAAAGAAGTTCAGAGGTAGCTTCATTCCCAGAGCAATGGCGCTCATGATCTGAACCTGTAGGTTTTTGCACATGTCAAAGAAAGAGACCATGAGCTCTTTAAAGTCTTTTCCTTCGTCGTCAAAATGATCAGGCCAGTGATTGGGATGTCCTTCAACACCCTCCCGACCGATATCCATAGTTTCCTTCAGATCCATCTGGGCCGCGAGCAGCTCGCGGCTCACTGCAACGTAACCACGGTTCGCCTGTGGAGTCGCCCAACCCAGCTTATCTTTCTGTGTCTGGGGTCGGGCGAAGAAGTGGGCTGAAGCAGCGAACACTCGTGAGACCACACTAGGTGGAATGCCATGGGATTTGAGGTAGAGGAATCCGGAAGCCTTGAGGGCGTTGGTCATGGATAGGGCTAGGGTATGTTTATCGGATGGAGTGCCCGAGTAGAACGGATCGAAGTCGATTAGCTAGAAAAGCTGGGATGAGCTTGGATCAGACGATAGACTAAGGATGGTCATGTACCGGAATGCAGAGACTATCCTTCTCGACGGCCAGCTGGAGGGGCGAGTAGGGAGGCACCATGTCAGTGGAAGACCGGGGGAGGAGGTGGTGAGTTGTGGGAAGAGAGAAAGTGGCAAGAAAGAGAAAGATAAGAGCAAAGTATATGATGCTTATCGATGCCTGCCCAGGTGTGTGTGATAACTTTCTTGTCATTCCGGCAAACGTCTGCTACAAAGCCGAGCACCATGGACGCTCTAGTCGTTGACGTCCACACCCACCTCTACCCGGTCGAATCCCGCCAGATAAGGGGCAAGACAATACCCTACATATACGAGCTCTCTAGTGACTGCATGACTGCAAGGCACTGATGATTATCCTCAAGTCGGACGAAGATCCCGCCATCCGATCGAGCAGCGCGGATGACCTTACCCTCTAGATGAAGCTCAGGTATGGGCGGTCCAAGTCAACGATGAGCAGCAGGTGACTTCGAGAGGATGAATGGCGTTGGCGAAGAGAACAACCCCTGGATGGATAATAAGTTTAATGCTTTATTTTTGGGGGCGTTGCAGGTCACTACGCCGATCACAAATATTATTGTTGACGAGATCAAGCACCTCAAGACACTTCCAACGTCGCGCGGTGTGATCATGGTCGCCAACGGGCTGGCCGATCCTACATCCGCGCAATGGACTCCCCGCGCCGGCATTCGGAAGCATTGAGGTCGGCCATTTTCTTCCCCTAGCCTTATGGTTCCCGCTCAAGATAGTGACTCGCCTGCTGCTGTGGGTGTGTTTGGCCGGTTCCCTCGTCTCCAGATCCTATTAGTGCATTCGGGCGGCACGCTTCTGTTTCTGGCGAACAGGGTTGAGAGCAATCTATAGCATGAACGGCAGTGTGTTACGAATGGTGACCATCTTCCTGGTCCGCGGAGCAGTCTCTCAGATGTTCTGACGGCGGATATCTATGTGGATGCTGTGATCTATGGCACTACGGCTCTCAAAGTTGCTTGCTACGGGGGCTGGAAGTAATCGTACTTTGTTTGCTAGGATTGGCTATGGAGGAGTTGTTGACTGTTGCTAATAATACTCACAGGTCTGTCCGTTCATTTTTCCCGCCTCTGAAGGGTGGTCCTAGGTCTTAATGGCCGAGTATTCAAACCATAAGGACTCTTTTGTTGACTGTGCTATCATGGGACGAAATGCTGCCTTCATTATCATGCTAGAAGATGATTGAAGAAGATAATCGTTCAATGCTCAAGAAAGGATAATGGGTTGTGTAAGTGCGGGTGATTAAAGCGGAGTTGTGATAGAGATCGGAATGGCAACTAGATCATTCTAGTCTGGTGCCAGGATAGATGCCAGCATATCATAGCCGGCCAGGCGCCACAGCTCTTGCTGAAACCAGTCTGAGAAGGTTTGCTGGTTGAATGATTGGCAATCAACCTTTTGGGGTGGAGGAGTTACTGGACGTATCAATGTGTTCTGGGCTTGAGAACTCTCGCAGCCCCGGGCAGCCTGCCGTAGAATTCTCTGAAGACGATCCTTGGCCTTTGTAATAAGATGTTCTGTGGCAGAGCATGGGGATTGGGGTTTGGTCAAGAGGGCAAGCATCTTTTCTAAAAGCCAGGCCAGATACAGCCCTTCAACCTGCACATTTGGAGCAGATATATCTTCATTCCTCATCCCGTCGCATGCTGCAGGTGGCGGTGTTCCCCGATTGGTATCGACAGACAGAGCCAGTATATCGCCCACACGTTCAAGAAAAACATAAAGAAATCCCTCCATAACCTCCCGGTCCGAAGAACAAGCTAAATCGAGTGACTGGGCCATGGCATAGAGCAATCCCGTGAGATACCGAGGTGTTTCATCTGTAGCAGTTGGAGCAACTAGGGTCTGTTTACTGACTTGAGCTTTCATCCTGGTGCTAGTCCTGAGCCTCTGTTTTCGGCTGCTGAGTTGAATGGGGTTGCAGCGTTGGGTGAGGGCCGTCATGGTCGACTCGAATAGACACACCAGGTAATAAGTGACTTGACCACGGCACCTTTTGCCATCCTCTGTGCTGGGCAATTTAGCCAGAGTGCGCTCCACATGCTGAAATGACAGCTTGACTTCGTTGATCATAGTGGGGAGCTCTGACTGCTTTGTCTCTTGAAGCTTGGGGTTTTTGGGTCGGCTGCCCTCCCCTTGCCCTGCTGTGAGCAGTTCCCGTTCGGCTACCTTGCAAAGCATGACTGCTGCTGTGGCCAGGTTATTGGAGTCTGTCTTTTTGTGCATCGCTTTTTGAAGAGCGTAGAGCTGTCTCAGGATGGACAGAGCTGGGCAATGGTCAGCAATTCCTGCATCCAAAGCAAATGAAAAACTGACTTCCTGTTTCAAGCTTTGGAAGTTCATCATCTTCAAGAACGGGAGGCAATCCTCCTCGAGTGGTTTTCCGCGTTCGAGCTCGTTTCCTGGACGGTTCTCCGTCGGTCGTATCTCTACCACCAATAGTTGACAATCCATTCCCCATGCTATCAGTGACTGTACCCATACGCAGTTTGGCGGCAAGACCCTCATTTCGTTGTTCCAGTTCGAAGATTCGATCGCGCAGCTTGCTCTGCTCTGCCTCAGACTCTTCCAATGCTTGTTGCCAGAAGCCAACACTGTCAAAGAATTTGGTAGGAGCGGTTAATTGCAAGTCTTTGTCTTTTTTGATGGATTGTCGAATCTGGACGAAGTAGCCTTGGATCTTTGTTAGTGTTGGTGTAGAACTTCAGACGCTGATGCTTGCCTTTAAGGTCTTGGTCTGGGGGCTTGTGTTTGACTATTGCCAGGGCCAGAGTCAGAGGAAGCTGGATGGGACAAAAAGGATCCGACATGACTGCTGGAGAGGGAAGACGAGTATGGTGAGTTGTATACTGCAGCTCTATCTGTTGTTATCGGTTATCGATAGGGCCGACCAGATTCCGCCACCGCCCACGCCATCTTTTTTCCTCAGTCAACTTCCCAACTCTTCCCTAACTAACTCGCTTCACTCGTTGAACATGACATAACTTGTGCTGGAGAGAAAACCACTGCCAGATTTTCTTCTCAGCTCCAGTCCCCAGTGGCTCTGCAACTCCATTCCGCAGACGCTGCGAAGAGGGAAGGCAACCAAGCTTCCCCCCGACACTTGAACAACCAACCCAGTACAGCCACTCCTGTCCTTAAATTGTCAAAATGTCAGACGACCTCAAGGCGCACGCCGCCTCTAATGAAGACTTCTACACCCTCCTCGACCTCTCCCCCGGTGCCACCGACACCGAGATTCGACGCGCCTACCGACGCACAGCACTAAAGTACCACCCCGATAAGATCGCAAACCCAACACCAGCAGACATCGACAAGTTTCACCTCCTCCAAATTGCGAACGATGTCCTCTCCGACCCATCCGTCCGGCAGCTCTACGATAATGCGCGGGAGGCGCGACAACGCAAACAGCGCGAGCGCGAGCTGATGGATTCGGCGAAGCGGCAAATGCGCGAGGATCTTGAGGCAAGGGAACGAGCTGGCGCGGCTGCGGCGATGGGTGCTGGTGCTGGGCGGGGCGTAAAGAGGACCTGGATGGGCGCTGGCGATGATGACGCGGAGGAAAAGTTGCAGCGCGAGATTGATCGAATTGCTGAGAACAATCGACGGATGCGTCGCGAGGCGCAAGAGAAACTGGAGAAAGAAGCTAATGAGGAGGAGAAGAAAAAACGGGAGGAAGAGGAGGAGGCTCGCCGGGCTGCGGATCGGAGTAGCCAGCGGGTTGACCGTTCGCAGGATGGTGGGATGAATGTCCCGGAGATGGAGCGTTCGGTCAAGGTGCGCTGGATCAGAGAGGGGCCTGGGGTGGACTTGGACAAGGAGCGATTGGCGGCGCTCTTTGCGGCATTCGGCAAGATCGAACACACCATCCTGCTCAAGGATAAACGACAGCGCGTGGGGGATAAGCGCGAGAAGAAAACTGTTGCGACGGGCATGCTGGTGTTTGCATCTATTGTCAGCGCGCACTCGGCGGTGCTGGACAGCAAGAAGAAGATTGGTCCGCATGCTGCTACTGGGGAATGGGCCGTCATCGACTCCGTTTACTGGGCATCTGGTACGCAGCCCGATCTGAGGGCAGGCACAGAGCACAAGTCTTCTTCGCCATCCAAGCAAGATACCACACCCGTACCGCCCCCCTCGACAACTAGCCCTTCGTTTAACTTTCCAGGAACGAATGTACCGGCAAATCCTAGCAAAGCACCATCCTTTGCTTCATTCAACTCCGTGCCGGCGAATCCCCCCAAGGCGTCCTCATTCAATCCTGCGGCGACAACACCGGGTGCGCCGAGCTTTCAAGAACAGATAATGATGCGCATGAAGGCCGCACAGCGCGAGAAAGAGGAACGCGAGGCTCTTCTCGAAAAACTGGCCAAAGAGGACGCGGCAGCGGATGCTGCGGAGTCTGCTGCTGCGAAAGCCACTTAATGTTTGACATTGCCCTCTGCTCCGGGATATGGATATGCATTATCGCGGGCTCATTGTTTTTTAAAGATTTAAGATACCCCCCAGCTTGTATGAGTGGTGATGATAGAATACATGTGTTATATACAAGGATATTGTTTTGGATGTGCCGTGTTGTACATGGATGCAATGAGACTTACTCTGTCCGTCGCTGCGCCTCCTCTTCTTCCAACTGTTCCACCATACCCTTCGCCCGTTCGCCATCAACTTCGGTATTCCGTGATGTGGGTTTGTGTACGCCGGAGAAAATGAAGTCTCTCGTCCAGGGCGGAACGAAAGCCTGGAGTTTGACCTCAACCGGTTGCTCAGAATCGGTGGTCCAGGAGACCTTGAACTCCTGCCCAGGAGTATACTGGGTGCCTTCACCAGTCAAAGCGATGTCGGTCATCATCTCCAGTCGGCACAGGGCCAGGCCAATGTTTCCCACGCCATTGAGAAATTTCCCCGCGCTCCGGCCCCGACGACCACCACTCTTGGATATATTCGACCCTCCCGGCGGCAAAGGCAGTTGCACCGATGCATCATATGAAATGTCTGCACTCTCCGGCTGCCGCTGATCATGAAGCTGAACAGGCAAAATGCGCTTCCGCACCACACCGGTATGGTGCGTACGGATCGTCAATTCCTGGCCGACGTAGCAACCCTTCCTGAAATCGATCCCGCGCGCCATATCCATATTACATTCCATCGGCAGCGCTGACTCACGAATAATCTCCGTCTGCCCTTCTGCAACACCATTTAACATCCTGCGCACTGTATACGATGCCAGTCCGACCTCAGACCCGGGAATCTGCGTCTCATCGGGGATATATGTGCGCAAATCCTCCGAGCCGGGCGTCACCAATCTCGATCCAAACCCGGGAGCGCGCGAATCAATGCATCCCAGCACAGATGACGTGGAGAAAGGCGATGGTGATGCCTCGGTCTCGAGGTTATACGCTGCCCAGCGGGGCTCAGGGTGATCCTTCCAAGAGGCCCAGACGGAGCGCTCGCCGTCCTCGAGAGCGCGGAGCTTCAGCTTCGCGCGCAGCTTGTGTTTCTTGAGATGCTTCAGCAGAGTCGGTACTTCATTCTTGTCCACCTCGACCAGCCATCCGGACTCTTCTCCTGTCCCGGAAAACGGGTAGATGAATGCGTCGTTCAGGACGCGGCCTTGCGAATTGAGAAATGCCGTGTATGAACCTGTGCGTCGGACGCTGAGGCTTGGGTCGTTCGTTACCAGCATGTTCTGTGTGATCAGGCCTTGGAGGAAGGTCGAGCTGTCGACGCCTGTGATTGAGATGAGTCCCCGGTTTGTGAGTCGGGCGTATCCGGCTGCTGGCGGAGATGGCGGCGGGGCATTTTGGGTGTGTTGCTCGACCGGCGCAGTTGTTGTGAAAAGTCTTCTGCGGGTTAGACAGCGGTGGCATGCCGAGAGGCGAGGGCGCATCATTGTTGAAGTTGATGAGCAGCTTGTCCAGCGTGGAAATGATCAATGCAAATGACGTGGGGCCGGGGCGGTGGCAGAATAGCGAACTAAGTATGCACGGTAGAGTGAGGGACAGGAGACATTTACGAGCTTGAATACAATGAAGGACGACCTGTACGAATGAATATATCTGGTTGCGACTAATTTGTCCATGCACCACCCAAATTGCACCAGATCCGATGATGAAAAGATATAGGGACAAGAGTTTCCAAACTCATTTATTGCCCTTCGCAACACCTTCCAAGAACCCAAGTAGGAACGCCTTGTCAGTAGGCGAGGCAATGCGATGGGCAGTGGGCGTGTTGCTCATCCCTCCATCTGAGGGAGTACCGTATTGAGAAATAGAATCCACACTGCTAGGCTGAGCAAGTGACGAAAGCGGGCTGACGACTCGAGACGTAGCAGCCGGCTGCTGGTTCGCGGTGGACTGTGCTGCCGATGTGGAAGGCGGAGACGTAGGCGGCTTGCTGAACAGAGAAAGCAAAGTTTCTTTCTGCGCGACAGTCTGGCTAGGCCGGCGGTCGAAATTGTTCATCGGCGGTGCCAGTGGCCGCTGCGCGTTGGGCAAACTCGGCTTCTGGTCGGGGGATCCAAGCTTTGACATCAGGTTCTGCTCATAAGCCGGCTTCTCTGCCGTCTTCTCAGACCGACGCAAGATCTGAGGCTGGAAGGGCTTCTGTTGTTCGGCAGCTTCGGGCTTGCTGGCAGGGGATTGAGACGGTGCCTGTGCAGTATGCCTGGGTGACTCCGAGGGCTCTCGCTTTGCCGACCGAGGTCGAGGCAAGATAGTAATGGGAGATGACAGTTGTTGATATGCCGGCCCTTGTATCTGTCGACTCGTGTTATTCTTCCGGCTTGGTCCATTGACTGGTTTCTTGACTGTCGATTTCGAGATGGTCTCAAATTGAGGCATATTCATGGGCCCAGAAATGGTGGCTGCTGGTTGGCTGATGCCTGTATTGGCATCCACAGGTTTCCTGGTGTTGTCTCGAGGGCGCTGAAGAATCTGCTTGTCTGAGTGCCCAGTGGGTGGCACAGATTGATGAGCTGACAATTCGATGGGCTCAGAAGTGGGTACTGTGCGAGGTCCCTTGAAGAGATTCAGCAGGTCGCTGTGGTGCTGAGACTTGGCCGGGGCAGGTCCCGGTGCCGCCTGTGCAGGTGCCACTTGTGCAGGAGATGCCGCAATAGCTGCAGCTGGGCCCTTTGGTGTTTTGGACGATTGGAAGACATTTAAGAGCGCCAAGGAGTGACTTGTGAGCTTGGGTGGAGGCAGCTTGCTCGCTGGAGGAACTCTGGCGCCCTGATCCTGAGACGGCTGAGCCATTTGTGAAAATTGAGGATCGCCTGTCTGCTGGAACGGCGCGGGCACAGGCCTCGGGGCTGCAACATTGTACGATGGAGACTGCTGAAACTGAAACTGATTGCGGTAGTTCGGAGCGTGTGGTTGAGGAAATGCTGGCATCGCAGGTTGTCTAGCAGAAGGTCCCTGCTGTGCCATGGGCGGAAATGCATGGCGCGGAGGCTGATAATGAGGGGTTGACGCTGACTGGTACGGAGGAGCAGAGGTCTGCTGCATTATGGCAGAGGGTCCCATGTGCTGGTGCTGCTGAGGAAAGCCCGGGAAGAAATTTGGGGCCAAGTGAGCCGGTTGCTCGGGTCTGGGAAGAGCGGCATTTGGTGGTGGCACATCATTCCGAGTGATCTGGGGAACAGCTTCTTGTGAGCCACTCCTCAACAAGGCTAGCAGTGCATTCGACTTGGACGGGTCAACAGCAGATGTTTGAACGAGTGCTGGACCTTGCGCCTGCACTTGCGCTTGCGGGGGCGCAATCCCGCTGATATTCAAAAGACGTTTGAGAGAGGATACATCTTGCGGAGAGGTAACTTCGGGAAGGTCGCTGGGGATGGCCGATCCCGCGGACAGTGGGATACCTGTCTTGTCCATGGAAGTGTAGTCCTCGACGTGGAACTGTTTCGGTCCGGCCTTGGCAACTACCTTCTTCTGCTGGGCGATCCACTTCTTCAGCGGATTCAAGAACGGCGCAACCATGTAGAATTTGTTCGCATTGGCGACAGCAAACCCTTCATCGTTTTGCTTGCTCTTCCTCAGCGTCGGGAGCTCCGACAGCTTGTACCATTCGATCTTGCTGATTTCCTTTCGCGTGCGTGGTTCAAAATGCGTCTCGCGGGGCACATCACGGAACACATAGAGCCGCATATGCTGTTCGCGCATGGTGATCTCGATGAATTTGACATTGTCCTCATCTTTGACCAGGTTGGCCTCGCGGACGTCAAACCCAGTCTCTTCGTAGACCTCACGAATAGCACAGTCCAGGTCCTTTTCACCTTTGTTGATCTTGCCTCTGGGAAAGCTCCAGTTGGCGCCTTTCTTCCACCCCTTCACCAGGACGACCTCGTCCATGTCATGGTTCAACAATATCGCACCGCGCACGGGGACGCGTGTCTTGTAGGCAAGAAACTCGGAAAATGCCGTGATGTGGTGGTAATGAGACCATTGCGACATGAGCGGGCAGTGCTGGAAAATGCGCAACGCAAACGCCTTCAGAGTCAGCGAGGGGAGCGCGGGATCGAGCGGTCGAATGAAGTCCTCGTAGAACCATTGTGCCTCCTCCACTTGGAAACAGATCCGCTCCACTGACTCAAGCTCTTCGCGAGGGAGGTTTATAATGAAACGGACACACAAATCATCCAGCCCTGTTGGTTCGTTGGCCCGCCGTTAGCGTCACTCCGTCATTCACCAGACCGAAGCCTTACAGTCTTCTAAATGCATCTTTGATTCGATCATGGCAGCTGGGAATCGCTAGCATTTCAGCCTGTTGGGAATCAAGCACCACAAGTGATGTCGATGCGCAAGCTCTCCAGCAAGCAGCAGGAACGAAGCAGCTCCCCGGAAGGGTAGTTGGGCCGACCCGTGGGTGGACGAACGGGCGAGGCGAGTTGATGGACGAGAAAAGGAAGATTGGTTTGGAAGGTTGTGGTGTGGAACATCCAAAACGCACGCAGAGACGACGATCAGCCACTTGTCGCAAGTCAGAGAGAAGAAGCAACCGCGCTGCTGGCCGAAAGGAGCATGCTGATCCGGTGAGTCAGCAATTGTGGCGGTGCATTTGTGGCACGTGCAGTGGCTGAGGATCGGCAGGATCGCGTTCAAGCAAGATTTATTATAATGACGTCTCCCCTGTCACATTCATACCCAACTCTCTCTGCCTTCTTTGTCTCCTGGGACCGTTGCCGCTAGTCTGTTGAAACGTTTTCTCCTCTCCCTGCTTTGTCTGGGAAGTTGAAAGAACCGTTGCCTACACCCGTCTGTTTACCCGCCCTGTCGCACCTCTGAACACCGCTCCTGACGAAAACAAAGATGTCGGGCGCACTGATGTCGTTGGTTGGGAAGAGGGTGTTGGCTGAGTCTGCTAGGAACCACTTTGGGACAGAAGTGAGTACACTTTTCATTAAATTACACAACAGTGAGATAACCGAACACCGTAGGATCCCTACTTCGAAGAAGTCCCTGCCTCCCGCCTCGGTCGAGCATTCGGGAAGAAGACCCGCAAGCGACGCAAGGCCCATCCGCCGGGCTTGTCGGAGAAGGATGCAAAAATACTGACCCAGGTCAAACGCAGAGCGTACCGGCTGGACTATTCCCTGTTCAATCTGTGCGGAGTTCGGTTCGGCTGGGGCAGCGTGATCGGCCTCGTTCCATTGTAAGTTTGTGCACTACGTTCGCCAATGCCCAAGGCTAACCACATCAACGCTGTAGTATCGGCGATGCAGGTGACGCAGCCCTCGCCATGATGGTTGTGCGGAACTGTCAAGAGATCGACGGCGGACTCCCCTCGCACCTGCGGATGATGATGTTGGTCAACGTGATCATCGACTTCTTCCTTGGGCTAGTCCCTTTCATTGGTGACATTGCAGATGCCGTGTACAAATGCAACACAAGGAACGCCGTCATCCTCGAGAAACACTTGCGTGAAAAAGGTGCCAAGGCGCTGAAAAGACAGGCAAAGGAAACTCGACAGCAGGAGCAAGCCCAGCCACAGGCAATTGATTACAGTCTCCCAGACGAATGGGACAAACAAGAAAGCGGGGTTGTGGGAGACCGTCCACCAGCTTATGAAGAGCAGGGGCCTTCAGGCGATCCACAAACGGACAACACTGCCAGCGCCCAACATCCACAGGGGCCGCAGCTGGCGCAGAAGCCTCGAACGCACCGAGGAATCGGTAAGTGGTTTGGCGGGGCCAGTCAACAAGACGAAGACCTGGAGAGGGGTGGAGCGTGATTCAAGGCCCTTGGATATGGATATCATTTTCGAACGATCACGGCGATTTTTGCCTCATATTTCTTCCCCGGTTTAGCACAACCCATAGCTGTTTAATTAGGAAATAGAATTCGGACGGGATCGCATGCACCCGTAGCAGAACTGAGTATCCTGTTTTTCGCCCGATTGACTGGAGACCGTAAGGCCGGTGTTGCCCTTGACATTCCCGATGATGTTTCCACAGAGAGCGCACGAGGTAGAATCGTCTGATGAAGATGCTTCCAATTTATTGGCGGTTCTGGACACATTGGCCATGACACCAGGGTACTTTTCGCCCTGCGTCAGGACGTACCGCATCATCAACTCGTCAATGGACAGGTTCTTCGTCAATACATTGTCCGATGGCGGTTCATCATGAACGACAATGTCTGCGAGCTCCGGGCAAGCTTGTTCGTATTGCTGCAGCTCGGCCTTGGACCAGTCGCGTAGCGGGTACTCGAATCGCAACCCCCAAGGCGATATCCCATCGGAAGCGCGCCAGGTCAACGCAGCTCCACGTCCTTTCGCAACCTCAGCAAGTGTTTTTGCAGCAAGACGGCTGTCCGAGTCACCCCAAAGGACAGCCTCGCAGCCGGCTTTCTGCGCAAAGCCAACGACAAGCCTGGTCAAAAGCACGGAGTCGACGTCAGCCTGGGAGGTGGCCGTGGAGATAGTCGCACGAAAGGCAGCCAGACGATCTTGGTCTGTCCGTGACGTATCGTCTGCGAACTGTGGTCCAGCATATTCCCGCATCAAGTCTTGCATTTCTGGGACATATTCGAAAACGCTGTGGAAGGGCACCCGGCTGTACGTGTGCATTGGGAAGGCCTTCTGAACCGCCTCATAGTTCTGATCATAGGGAGCGGTCAATGAGTCGACAACCAGGATGTGCAGATCGTAGGTTTTCCGGGGTCTCGGCTTGTTCAATTGGCGTCGAAGATCTGCGTCCAGCTGTCGCAACAATGAGGAAGAAGAGACACCGAAGGACAGGGGGAGGAGCAGCTGGGGGCAGGGATCCTCTAGGTTTTTAGGCCTGGGGTATTTCGTCATGTGCCGATTGACTTTGCTTCCGACGAAGTGAATGAAGCAGTCTCTGCCACGAGCTTGTTAGTTCCTGCCAGTGGGCTGCGGAATGGGGAGATAGATACCTGCAAAGCTGCCGCTTGCGCACCGTGAACAGGGACTCGGCATCCTTGCAGTCCACACATGGATTCACCAGGTCTTTGCCCGGCATGACTCCGAGAAAATCTTTTAAGACAGGATATGTGCTGTGTCGGTGGTGAAGAAGTTGAACAAGGTCAAGTCGAATAGAAAAAAAAGCTTAGCTAAGCAAGATGGGGCTAAGTCGCTCACGCTGGATCCGGACACCTTCACTGTTGTTCACTTCTCTCTCTCCTTCATTCATATTCTCTGGTCTTCAGAGGTCCCTTTTCCTTTCCCGAACCTTGAAGCCGAATTCTTGATTTCTGCTTCACGGTCGCGATGAAGGGTTGGCTCCGCACGCTGGGCCTGACGGCCTTGCTGGCTAGCTCGGTGCTTGCCAATGAAGTCGAGCTAGTACGTTTTCACGCCCTGGCCATCATTTTTTTTCCCGTCTTGGATACTCACGGTCTTGCAGAAATCAGATGAAGCGCACCGCCAACGATGCTCGGGAATGTACAGCCGCAAGGCTTGGGGAGGAAACGTCGACCCCTTTATACTGGTGAAGTTCTCCAGCTCAGAAAGGGAGAATGCCAAGGCTAGCTTGGTCATGTTCGAATGGAACGATGAACAACTGATCGGAGAGTACCGCACCGACGAGCCTGATGTATGTCCTGCTCTCATGGTTGCCAGCACGGATAGCGACTGACTGATAGACTTCAGGTGCGCGAGACCCTCTGCGATGCGTCGAACGTCGATGCAGGACTATGCACCGCAGACCAAATCGGCTCTTTTCTTCTCTCCAAAAATGCGTCCGATGTCTCCCAGAGTAGGATTCTCTCTCAGGCTATCAACCTGAATGATCCCGACGCCGTCAAATACCCCGTGCGGCAGACCGGATTCTACTGCGTGAGCACTTTCGCATTCTCCGGGGATGAGTATACCGCAGTGGTCACTTTCCGGAATTCATATGGAGAGCTTCCGGCGGCGCAGATCGCTAAGCTCCCGTTCTACGGAGCGTTGACAATCGTCTATGCTGTTATTGGACTGTTGGTGTTCCCCTAGAGTTTATTTGGGGCCATACTCACACAGGAATCTAGGTTCTGGGCATTCCTTTACGTCCAAAACCGCCATGACATCTGTAAGCTTGGTTCTCCCCGACGTTGACGTGCAACAATACTAATGGTGGACAGTGCCGGTACAAAACTACATCACTGCCATCCTGGTGTTCTTGATTGTCGAGCAGCTCATGACTTGGGGATTCTACAATTACCAGAACCTTCATGGGATAAATGCCATGGCAAAGGTACTCATGATTGTTGTCGCGGTGCTTAATGCAGGCCGCAATGCTTTCTCGTTCTTCCTCCTTCTCATCGTCTGCATGGGCTATGGCGTGGTCAAGCCCTCCCTGGGTCGAACTATGGTCTACGTCCGCATTTTAGCCATCGCTCACTTTGTCTTCGCCGTCGTCTACTCCATCACCAGTTTGTCTATCACTCCGGATAGCGCCGGTCCCCTTGTGCTCCTTATTGTTCTTCCACTTGCCGGAACCTTGACAGCTTTCTACGTGTGGACATTGAACTCCCTGAAGGCCACCATGAAGGACCTCATCGACCGAAGACAGAAGACCAAGGCATTGATGTACAAGAAGCTGTGGTGGTGCATTCTCGGCAGTATCGCTGTCATCTTCGGGTTCTTTTTCCTGAACTCGTTCGCTTTCGCCGGACGCAACGATGAAAACTTTGTGCCGGATCACTGGAAATCGCGATGGTTCGTGCTCGACGGCTGGCTCAACATCGTTTACTTGTTCGACATCACCTTTGTCGCTTATCTGTGGCGCCCCACGGCCAACAACCGTCGGTTTGCCATGAGTGAAGAGGTTGGTCCCCTTTCTCCCTTCTGTGAATCCGACATACTGACAAAGATTTGCAGCTCGCGCAAGATGACGATGGGTTCGAGATTCGCTCGTTCGGCAGCGGCTTGGATGAGGAAGACCCTCTTGAAGGTGAGGCGCCTCCGGAGTATCCGGGTAGTTCAGAAGCTGCTGGCCGCCGGCGCGGACTATCGCCCGTGCCTCCTAAGCCTGTCTCCTCGGCCACGCGGCCGCTCGACGAGGAAACGATCTTTGCCGTGGGTGACGAAGATGCAGACCGATGGTCTGACGAGGACGAGGAATCCCCTCGCAACTCTGGCGAGCAAGAACGACTCACGGGCAAGGACTAGTTTTAAATCGGTTGTCCCAAACAGCATTGGACTTTATTCCCAGTATCTATCAAATTCGAGGATTATCGGCATGTCATGGCGTTTGTTTCTTTACTCTCGTGTTGGATGGACTTTCGTCTGGTGTCTACTACCTGCTTGGACACTCTTCCTTTGCGAATGACGACGGGTTTCCTGCGCGGCAATGGCATGTTTCGTATGATAACAAATAAATGCAACTTTAATGTCCCACCCAGAAGAAACTAGAACCAATCGAGGCTAGACTTTTGCCCTGAGTTACAGTCATCCAGCCTCCCGCAGAGCCTCCACAAAACAACCACCACCACGTTTTGCTTTTCCTTCCAAGCGGTCGTTCTCCTTCTCTGCCCTGGACTCTCCCACATGGTTTATATATACACGTCGCATCAACCCATTCCTGATCCTCGACAATTCCCTCTTCTTCAAGCCCACCCCGCACCCCCCACGCAAGCATGACAAGCGCGCACTCGCGCTCAAGCTCCAGCACTCGGACAACATCCCAAGACCACACAACCCAACCGGAAACCAGTCCCGTGCTAGCAGCAAACCTCGTCCAACAATGCCGCACCATAATTGCGGAGATCGACTCGCTCCAGACTCTCCTCGCGCGTTCGCTCCGCAATCCCCAGCTCGTGGAGGTGCGGCAGCTTCGCTCGAACGTAAACTCCGAGCTGAAGATGCTCGCGAAGCTCGAGGCGCAGGTGTTGGATTCTCAACGGTCCGGCGACGAGACGCAAGATAGCGTTGATGACGGACAGCGTGATCCCGAAGTAGAGATGAGACTATTCCATGCTCTTCGGTCGTCGAATCTACCCTTTTACCAAGCTGTGTGGAGGATAGCCAAGGGCTCGTGTTCGGGTCTACTTACGCTCGGGAAACGGTTTTACTGGGATGCGCAGGAGCCTAAGGATCCCAAAGGCGAGAAGAAGCCGAACAAGGATAAGCGCAAGAGTGTCTTTGTTGATATTGTTGCAGATGATGGCGAGGAGTGGGTGAAGGTGTCGACTGTCTCGGAGAGCCGATTGCTGTTTGAGATGGCGAAGAAAGGGTGGGAGAGGGATTCGGAAGACGAGGATGTCTGGTCGGAGTCGGAGAATGATGGCTCTACGTCTAGGCCGCCGCGGAGAACGGTGTTACGGAATTTCGACGGCGACGAACAGCCGCATGATAGTGGTGACGATGAGGACGACCTGGAGCTGATCAAGCTGGCGAGGGATCTACGCAAGGCAGCGGATGCTACGCGGGTGAGGTATAGACATCCTCGGATACGGCTGGTACTACCAAAAGTTGAGGAAGGAAATGTTCCTGAAATTGATGATCTGCTCGACGAGATCCGCAAGTATAATATCCGGGTTGAGTGCCAGGGGAGAATATCCGATGCCGCCGCTGCACAGCAGGATCTGGCGCATCTCCTCCCACAACCATTCAAGAAATTCACGGATACGCTGAATGTCGACTGCACGCTGCTGCTTGCCATAGTGTCGGACCTCTCCCACGTCCAAAATATGGCACCACAGCCTGGCATGCACAAAGCCATCATCCGACAACTCGAGGTCGAGAAGGAGCAGCCTCTGCTACCCACTGAACTCTGGCCGGCAATGGGTGCACAGAAATTGATATGCACTGAGGAGGCTGCAGCACGGATGCGGCAGATCGTAGACACCATTGGCACGGACACGGAGAAGATACGCGCTCGGATCGTGCTGGGCGACCCTCCCTATGACCATTCAATCCGCGAGACCCTTATCCACCAGTTCCAGGAGTTGTCCGACTACCGCGTCCCTGTTGTGTGGAAGCTCCCTATCAAGGTTGCCGAAGCGCAATCGGTAATCGACTCCGGGAAAGCGCAATTGCCTCCAGTGGCAGATGAGGTTGCCAAGGGGTTGTCCGATATCAACCATAGTGTGTTTATGTATGGATGGGTCACCGGCTTGACGACTATTTCCAGCAATCGTTCGATCGATAAACAGATCGAGGCCACGATTGAGAAGAACCGAGGGGGTGATGACGATCTTGAAGGCCCATCGGTCTGGATATGCGAGACGGCAAGGAGTTTGGTTGGTAAAGATAAAAATCGGAAAACCTCAAACACTCTGTGAGAGGAAGTAAATAACTCCATCCCATGAATAACAAGACCAGTACCTCCTCGGCTGGCCACGAGAGACATTAAACCGGCAGTTACTTATCCGATGATTTCGGTGTTTCGTCCGGAAGCCAGAACACGATGTCTTTGTCGGCACTGGCGATCATGTTATAGCGTGGGTTGTATTCAACCATGGCCGTCCGACTTCGGTGTGGCAGCCTGGCCATGGGCTGTAGGGTGAGATTCGCCTCCTTGTCCTGCTGCAAGTCCCACACCAGCATGTCAGGCTGGTCGCCAGCACCACCAAAGACATATCGTCCGTCCGGGCTGAAACACACGTCGCCTTGTCCAAGAGGTTTCCCGGTGGTAGAGACTGGAGCCGCTCGTCCAGAGGATCCGTTCTTCCCGACTAGGAATGCCTTGACGGTACCTTCGAAGGCATCTAATACAAAATGTCCATGGTAGTCGGTGCCGACAATCAAGTGCTTCCCATCATTGGAGAACTCCAGGCGCGTCCAAGCGCGTCCACGCGTCGACGGTGTGTATGTCTCCTCGTAAGGCGCAAGATCGAAGGTGGAGAAGGGAGGTTTGTCGTAATTGCGGAGGTCATAAAGGAGAACGGATGAGGTCGACTGCGAGGCGATGGCGAGGACAGTAGCCGAGGGGTCGAAGGCAACCAAGTAAGGCGTGGCGAGCTTCAGCCTGCCCTGGGGGTTCCTAGAGCCTAGGTCCCAGAGCGCGACGGTGTCGTCCTTGGAGCAGGAGATGAACGTGTCGCTACCCGGAGACAGCGCAAGACAGGTTACTTTATCCGTGTGGCCTGAGAAGTAACGCACGTAGCCTTCATTGTGCAAATCGAGCAACCGGAGAGAATCTGTGGGCAGGGAGTCAGCTTGGGGACTCTTGCGCTGGGTCTTCATAGACATACGGTCCACTTTAGTGCTCGCGTGAAGGATTTGGCGAGAGTGGTGTGTGAATCTCGCCAGATGAACCCCGTACTTCTTGCTGGGAACCGACTTGGTAGACTTGCCCTCCTTGACATCGAAGATCTGGATGGTTTCGTCGTCGCCGGCCGCAACCACGTAGTCGCCTTGGTCGTCGAAATCCAAGGAGGTCACGAAGTGGGAGGAGTCTTGCTTGGCGGTTTTAAAGGACTGCAGCCCAGGGATAGTCAGAGACCGGGCCATTGAAGCAGCAGCAGCAAGCTTACCTTGACCGGACGAAATCCACGAACGATGTCGCACACTTTCTGGGGCTGTTGAGGAGCCGAGGCCGGCTGTGGCTGCTGGGGTGGTTGTTGGCCTTCTGCCATGACGGGGAGTTGCACGAGAGAGCGAAAGAGCAACAACAATGGCAGCTTCCTGAATCATGCAGCTGGTCCAGTCGCGCCTTCCTTTTCTGCCTGCCTCGGCATTATGTAAATCCGGGCACCCGCCCAGTCAGCCTCCGGCGCACCTCCGATCAGGTTCCGACGTTTGCGACACCGGCAATCGATTCTTCCTCATCAACTCAACACCCTTGTACAGTATATTAGACTGACCCGCCTTTGTCTATTCCCTCCTCCGCCTCCTCCGACCTCCTTCCTTCCCGACTTCCCTCCAGCCCGCTCATCCGCCCACCGCCCATCTTGCGCACGATGGCGACCACGTTAGGGTATGGTGCAATTCCAAGATCGAACGAAGCAAGCGGCGGAATCTGTGCTGACCGTTGCCTGACAGTGCATTCCTTGCTGGAGGCATCGCAGCTTGCGGTGCAGTCACCGTCACCCACAGTTTCGAGACCGTCAAGATTCGGTATGTTCTGCCGACCCTCGGTTTATGGGTCCTGGGGGTCATTGGTCCTGGCACTAACAATGGATGGGAAGGCTACAATTGCAGGGTGAATTACAAGCCAAGAAGGATGCGCCAAAGCAGTACCGGGGCGTCTTGCACGGCGTCAAGGTGATTTTGCAGAATGAGGGACCGCGCGGCCTCTTCCGGGGAATTGGATCGGCCGTATGTGTCTTTGCTCTTAGGAAGCCGACGTTTGCGCTGACATTTCGGGGGGTTAGTATGTCTACCAGGTCCTACTCAACGGCTGCCGGCTCGGATTCTACGAGCCCATTCGCGCGAACCTCACAAACGCCATCTATAATGACCCCAAGGTGCAATCCCTCGGTGCCAATGTCTTTGCCGGAGCTGCGTCGGGCGTCATCGGTGCGGCTGCCGGATCGCCGTTTTTCCTGGTAAAGACCCGCCTCCAATCCTACTCCCCTTTCCTGCCGGTGGGCACCCAGCACAAGTACAAGAACTCGTACGATGGACTCAGCAAGATTTACCGGTCCGAAGGCGTCAAGGGTGTGTACCGTGGCGTGGGCGCTGCCATGATCCGCACGAGTTTCGGCAGTGCCGTCCAGCTTCCCACATACTTCTTCGCTAAGCGTCGTTTGACGCGGCACCTGGGCATGGAAGAGGGTCCCGCGCTGCATCTGGCCAGTAGCACGGCATCGGGCTTTGTCGTATGCTGCTTCATGCATCCTCCAGACACCATCATGGCGCGCATGTATAACCAAACCGGAAACCTGTACCAGGGCGTCTTCGACTGCCTGTTCAAGACCATCCGAACCGAGGGGGTGCTGGCCATCTACAAGGGCTTCTTCGCCCATTTGGCGCGCATCCTGCCCCACACGATCTTGACCCTCAGCTTGGCGGAGCAAACGAACAAGCTGATGCGTCGCGTGGAGGATCGCGTGCTGCCGGACTCCTTCCGCGAGAAGATTTGATTCATTTTCTAGACGGACTCGATATGGGAGCCAATGGGTGTCGGTCCCTTCCTCTTTTGGGGTTATAGAATCAGGCGTTTGTGTGATAATTAGAGTCTGTAAATACCGAACTGATACATATTTTTGGTTTCTTTAATCCTTCACCTCCATACCTCCATCGCCTGGGAGGAGATCGGAAACACGACAGGAACGCGAAAGCACGTGGACCGGACGCAAGGACATAATCAATTATGTGGGGGCGATCGAGCTACTGGTGGATTCTGGACGCGCTATGGAATGGAAAGCAGTTAGGGCCAGAATCCGATCCAGCTGAACCGATCCACCGACGCGTGTGCCTGCCTACATGGGACCTAGGGACATTCTTACCGGAGCTTACATACTGGTTGGTACTGATTATTGTACCGGCAATGGTGTGCTGGAGCAGGCAGGACACAAGAACGCTCCGAGACAAAAATACAAGGGCAGTCAAACGAGACAGGGAGCTATTTAGTTCGGGCACGCCAGGAGCTGTATCCATAGTCGGGCGGAGCACGGACAGACGCGGTCTGAAAGCCAATCACATCCGTATATCCGGCTTGTTTTGCTCGTCGCGTCGCAGAACAGGCTTATCTGATCGTGTTCACCCGACTGGTGGATCCTCTTACGTCGACCGCTGAATCCGGGCAGTGAGCGCGTTGGCAAGGTGTCGTGATGATGGTGTCTGGTGGCATGGACGAGGAAGAAACAGCCCGACAGAAGATAGTACAACCAGGGACAAATACAGTACAGGCAGTGACAGGCACGATCAGATAAGATGCATTCTCTGGCAGATTCCAGGAGTTCCCCCAAGACCGGTACAGACATGGATCAACACGGATCGGATGTTGCTGGCGGCCAGTGGCATGAATGGATGACTCAGCGGCGCGCGGTCACGTGGAGCGCGACCTGGCTCTGGCGCGACGGGGCCCTATTAAAATCGATTCTTCCTCCTCCCGATTCTCCCTTTCCTCTTCCCATCCCATCCCCATCCTCTTGGTCCCTGGTTTTATGCTCGTGTCTGTGTCCTCATTCTTCATTCCGTGCATCTCCAACACCCCAACACATTCCAAATGGCCACCCAAGTCACTCCCTCGAAGCAGGTTCGTTGATGTCATGGCATTGCCTCTTCACGCCAGACGCGTCGTCATCCGTACTTGTGCTAACTCGCTTCGCCGGACAGGCTGCTTCCTCCCTCGAGAACCTGAAGATGAGTGACTCGCCCGTCAAGAAGCTCGACTTCGCGGGCAAGGAGAACGCGCCCGCGTCCCTCAAGCCGGTCGACGCGTCGCTGGGCAAGCCCGTCGAGAAGGCCGTCGAGGCCCCCAAGGTAGCTCCGGGTATCAAGAGCACCGAGGCCAATGAGCCTCTGCTCCAGGAGAACCCCCACCGCTTCGTCCTCTTCCCCATCAAGTACCACGAGGTATGTGTCGTTGACGCGTCCACGGCGCGTAAAGTGCTGCGGACGTGATGCTGCCCCACCCATATGCAAACACATTGACTGACCGTTACACCAAACAGATCTGGCAGATGTACAAGAAGGCCGAGGCTTCCTTCTGGACCGCCGAGGAGATTGATCTGTCCAAGGATCTGCACGATTGGCACAACCGCCTAAACGATGACGAGCGGTACTTCATCTCGCACGTTCTCGCGTTCTTCGCCGCCTCCGACGGTATTGTCAACGAGAACCTGGTCGAGCGCTTCAGCGGAGAGGTTCAGGTCCCGGAGGCTCGCTGCTTCTACGGTTTCCAGATCATGATGGAGAACATCCACTCCGAGACCTACTCGCTCCTGATTGACACCTATATCAAGGAGCCCAAGCAGCGTACCTACCTGTTTGACGCGATTGATACCAGTGCGTCCATTCTCTTCCGATTACCAGATATGAGCTGACGTGTCCCAGTTCCCTGCATTGCCAAGAAGGCCCAGTGGGCCATGCACTGGATCCAGGACCGAGAGTCGACCTTCGCTCAGCGCCTGGTCGCCTTCGCTGCCGTCGAGGGTATCTTCTTCTCTGGTTCCTTTGCCTCTATCTTCTGGCTGAAGAAGCGTGGCCTGATGCCCGGTCTGACCTTCTCCAACGAGCTAATTTCTCGTGACGAGGGTCTCCACACTGACTTTGCCTGTCTGCTGTTCTCTCACTTGAACAACCGCCCCAGCAAGAAGATGGTCGAGGACATCATCGTTGAGGCCGTGGGCATTGAGCAGGAGTTCCTGACGGATGCCCTGCCCTGCGCCCTGCTCGGCATGAACTCCGTGCTGATGTGCCAGTACATTGAGTTCGTCGCGGATCGCCTCCTGGTGGCCCTGGGCAACAAGAAGTACTACAACTCGGCTAACCCCTTCGACTTCATGGAGTCCATCTCCCTGGCTGGTAAGACCAACTTCTTCGAGAAGCGCGTCGGTGACTACCAGAAGGCCGGTGTCATGGCCAGCACTCAGAAGAAGGAGACTGTCAACGCCGACGGCGAGCAATCCGATAGTGGCAACGACAGTGGCCTCAACTTCAACGAGGACTTTTAAGTGCAGTCTCAGCACCACTCCACTCCCCCTCCCTGTTTTATACCCTTTCGGTGGCCTGTTGTCTCACCGCACCTTTCATATGATATCATGCTTTTGTGTCTTTCTTGTGTCTGCGTTATTGATTGACGGGAAATTTGGTTCGACGGCTTACTTTACTTCACGCATGGGCATGGCGTTTCTTTTTTTTCCATTCTCTCGAGGGTGTATCCTCCCTCGCGGTCTGTCCTAGACAATCTTGATGTTTATGGGACGCACGGCGGATCTGTGTACCTAACTTACAATATTGAAATCATTTGGTTCTTGTATACTGGTTGCCTTCGAAGCGTGTTGATTCGTGACGCAAGTCGTACACTGTACTGGTTTTGAAGATACTCTAGAACGATCACCGCTTCCCTTTCCCTCCCTTCTTCTTCCCCTTCCCTCCAGCCGCCTTTCCAGTAGTCTGAGTTTGCGTCCCCGCCGCTTGCAGCGTAGGGGAAGAAGCAGCAACACCCTCGTCAAGCGCCGGAGCCTCGCCCATCTCAACATCTCCTGCTGCGCCAGTAGGCCCAGCACCCGATACTCCAAGACTAGCAACATCCGCGCCCGCGGCCAGCTTCCCCAATCCCGTCATCAACCGACTCACCTCCGCGCCTTTGTTCGTCCGGTATTTGAGCGTGATCCCCGTGCCCGGGTTGAAGGTTTTGAGAGTGAGGCATGCCAGTGGTATTTTCTCTGTGGTTGTTTGTGTGTTTGAAGAAGGTGTGCTGGTGGTGTCTTGGGGTTTCCTCTGCGATTTGCGCCGCTTATGCAGTTGGCCTGGTGTTTCGGTGGGGAAGCTGTATTTTGTTGTGATGCGGGTCTAGATCAAGCAAGGAAGTGTTAGATATTTATGTTGGTTTCAACGGTGTATTTCCGAATTATTTGTTCAGGGTGTAGAGTAATATTGTGTTTGTGGAAGTGGGAGTGTGGTGATGGTGGATTTGGGGTTTAGCGTACCGTCTCAGGATACGCCTCCAGCAACAGCGCAGATTGCTCCAGGAAAGCCTGGGAGGTGAGGAGGTACGGCATTGTGTCGTTCCCCTCGAGTGTTTTGGGATGTCTGTCCTGCGCTCTTTGGTTGTTGATTTTCCTCGCGCGTCTTGATTTTCTGGTCGGTTCGGCGAACTCGGTGGGTGGATTGTGCGCCGCAAGTGGGGGCGGATAACTGGCAGGTGAAGGTCTGAAACGGTGCGATGGGGTCAAGCAAAGGTATCTGCTTCTTCGTTTTGGTTTCCAGGCTGTGTTTCGAGGAGAAGAATCGGGGAGGACAGAGTGGGTGGAGTGGGAAGGCGAGAGGTTGAAGTCTGGGGTGGAGCGGATTGGTGCTTTTTGGTCTTGGCATTTGTGACTGCAGTTAGTATGTATGAGGATCCAACTATCATGGGTGTCTTCCTTCCAACACGCCATGGGTGAACAAATGCGGCATACGATATTCTTGTGGGCTCAACTAGTTTAATATTCTTTTTTCACCTGCTTGTAAATAACACTATGGCTGGACTCCTACAGTGCCTGGCTGGAATTGAGTTTCCTCTGGTCTTCAGTCATAATGAAGCATGACCCCGCGTAGAGCATGCTGCACCCGGTTGTTGAATGGTTTCTCCATTCTTCACATTGCACGATGACTTGGTTCTTTAAATTGTACGGGCCCCTTCCGGGACTGGACCTGCATTCCGCGCCTACAGCAGATTGCCGTGCCGACGCTTGTGTATAACGGCGAGTTTGACACTTCACACGATATAACCACAATGCCATTTTTTGACCACATACCCCGCGTACGATGGATCACATTTCCAGATGCCGGATATATGTACCATCTGGAGAGACCGGAGCTTGCAGAGAAAGTTTTTAGAACCGTTGGAGAGTTCCTGACGCAGGAAAAATGAAATTTACGTACGATGAGCAAGACTACTTCTAGTCCTAGGAGTGAAATAGCCCCACTCTTTCCATGGTTGTTGCCAGGCTGTTCTCTTTAGCCACTGAATAAGTGCTGTGTAGATTTACCAGCCAAACACAATGGGCCAAAGTCCACAGATATGCTTTGTAAATTAGCTCATAATGATGTTTGGCCGTGGATTGCTACTTTGTTGCTATCTAACTTTGTTGAGAATGATCATTTTCGCCCCAACGCACAGGGTGCTAGTGTATTGGGTTAATTTTGATGACACTATCGCGAGTCCCAGTGCTGCCTATTCTAGACATCGCTTGCCGATGTAGTAGTGTTTACCACTCGTCATGTCTTGAATTATGTTCTACTATGAATAATAAGATAAACACTGTTTAATGAGTCGTACCGTGTTTCGTGATTGACTATATTGGGGCCAAAATTATCGGTTCATCTTACCACTGTAACTATAAACACGGGAAAATGCAATGGGGGCAAGTAAATCATGAAGTAATCTTCGCCACTACTACGTAACCTGTCCAGAAATTGATGGTGCACGTAGATCCTCTCCATGGGGTCCACATGTACGTGGACGCGGTCGGGTTGGATGTTACTAGAAATGTACTAGCGGAACCAGGCATATCGATCCTAGCCCCAGATACATCTCCAAATTGAAGCCCGGAGCTAGCGCAGGGGCCACATGGAGCATCTGACAAATCTGGACCAGTGTTGATCAGCACGTTTCTCCGAATATGCGCATGCGAGGCCCTGCAGGGACTGGGGTTGCAGAGACCCTTAGACGAGTGTCCTGCGTGGATCTTCGCCACCTATTCGGTGACTAGCCCAGTTAGAGGTTAAGGGTTGTAAAGACGTATTGGCTCCGGTTAGTTTCGACAGCGTTTCAGCCTCGTCTATTGTTAGTCCCTTTACATATAATCTACCTTGTTCAACATATCTAGCATATCGCCGTCCAACATGGAGAACGCCGATCAAATCTGCAGCCCTATCACGAGGCTCATAAAAACCCACTATATAACTGGCTGCCATACTGTGAAGACAAAGCAACCATTGCCATGTCTCTGTAGATCTTGTTTTGGGGTTCCTTTGCCATCCGCGAGTCGTGCTTAACGATGTCACGGTCCGAAAAGTAGTTTCATGACCGGTATAAAATGCAAGATAGTTCTATGTAGCTGGGCATCTTTTGTTCAAGACAAGACTCAGAGACTTCTTTTACTCTAAAACTAATCGCAAACGACCTTCTGCAAAATGTTTTTCTCAAAGGCTATTCTGGCCGCCTCATTCATCCTCTTCGGCCTCGCTCAAGCAGACTTCTATCTCGGTAGTGCCTCTGGTACAATGGAAGATGGAGGCCTCAACACTCCCTCGCTAGACTCGTACACAACCTATATTCTCCAAATCGGAGACCAGGATATCTGCGACTCGTCAACTATTGGAGGTGATCCTTCCCAGCCATCTACGGATCCTTCCGCCCCGTGGACCAATTTCTGCGGAGAGACCATGAGCAACAATTCGTGGAACGTGATGCTAGATCCGAGCGATACTGTGAGTTCGACTCTATAAACCAAATCTAGCATCTCTCCAGATCATACTAATCTGATTTATTTATGTATAGTGTGGTTCGAACATGGCAGGCAACGAAGACGTCCCAGATGGGACGTTCTACGCAAACGTGATCGACCTCGACAACAACAACAGCACTGTCGGCCGCTGCGTCAGCTCGTACTCGGACAAAACGGATTGCGCCTCGTGGGGCTCTACAGAAGCCGAGACTTATATCCACTGCTACACAGACGCACTTTCGAGCCCGAAGCCTGCGGTTCCTAGTGCCACTGGGCCCTTCGCTACACACACGTTCGATAATCCGACCCTTACGCCTACGCCTGCCGGGCGTCGCCGTATTAAGCGGGTCTTCTAATCGCCATGTTTGCGACGGTGCATATTGCTATGATATATGATATTATGAGATGTAAGATGACGTTGTCGCGATGGAGATTTAGCGTGTTTGGTGGGTTGGCTCTGTTTGTACATCTGCACCGTAAACAGCGAAGCGCTGTGCAATAGACATTTGTATTATATTTGAAGAATTGACACACATTTTTGTTCAAGTACTTAACTTCATTGGTTTTATTTCTTCGCCTCTCCATAGCATCCAAATACTTGAATATCCAACACTCCCGAAACAAGGCCCCCAAGTATTTATCCAGAGGGGCAAAAATTATCCAATAGATTTCCCCACATGCCAATGTACCCGATGTCCTAACTCTATGTTTCACTATATCTTTGCCTTCCTGTAATAAAGTCTCAACATAACTTATTGTTGAAGAGCTTTCCACATACTCTATACTATATGCCCCACGGAGCCTATAAGGCTTATAGATGACGCGAAACAACATCATAGTCAAATAATACTTGACGACAAGAGGCATAACGTCGGTCATCGTAGGCTCTGGCCACAGTTTTTTGTAAAAGCCGGCGAGTTCGACAAATGGACGAAGACAGGACCGACACTTAATGTACACATATCTGTTGGGTTTAGATGGGATTTAAAAGCCAAAATTAAATAGAAGGTTATGGAGAAACAGAAACACTCTACTGCAAAACAAAACCACTAGGTATCTGGCAAGTGGTTCAAGTGCATGCAGAGTTGGGATTGTGTCTTGCGGCGTAACCCGGTAAGCATGCAGCACATTCTAGGAAGGTTGCGGCCGAACTGCACAATATACAGGGGAATTAAAAGACGTCCCACGGCTGGAAGATGTGCTTCATAATGCGAAGTTATCCATTTTGACTGATATATGTGGGAAAAGGACTGAAAATAATAGCCATGGGAGCTTCAAATATTAAGTGGCAGTTTCCATTCCAATAGACTCCCTCCCACATACTAATATACACGACGTCCTAATATACATAAGAAATTACTCCATCATACACCCAGAAAAAAGATATCAAAAACATGTACAAAGTCAAGTAACCGGCCGATGACACTGTGCACAAATCAATCTCTGCTTCCCATGCCTCCCCTTCACAGACCGGAAATTCGTGCCACGACAATTATCGCATCTGAGCACGTCTCGCCCATCATCTTCTTCTTCACCATTCTTTGAAGATCCATAGTCACTACTCAACACGCTGCCAGCGGTGCTAGTCTTACGCTCCCCCGACGGAAAGCGGTTCGGACTGAGAAAGTCGTTGGACTGCCGTGAGCGCGCGGCGAGAGCATCATGTGTGATTTTGTTCCAGAAGGCATAGCTTTGATCACCCTGTAGCCAGAGCGGATTATCTTTGCCTTCGCCGCTAGCCACCAAATCAGCCGAGGAGGCAGGGAGGTCGCGTGGCTCGCTTGGACCGGGCGACTTATAACTGAATTTGCTGTTCGATGCTTCTGCGTCCTCGCTTGATCGAACGCTGTCGATGAGTGGACGGCGTGGGGATTGCGGTGGGGTGGTTGTGCCGGCGAGGGATTCGTTGGGACCTAGACTTGACGGTCGTGAGGTGGAGAAGCGCAGCGTGGGCACGCGTTGTCGCTGCTGTTGCTGCGGAGATGTGCTGCGCGAGCGGAACCCAGAGCGAGAACCCTCGGTGCTGGGGCGGCCATGGCGGTGGACGGAATTGCGCCAGGATATTATCCTTTCGGAGGGTGTCTTGTGTGCCGACTCTTTGCCGGTGGACGATGCTATGCTGCGTCGCGCAGAGTTCGAGCGTCCTAACAGCCGTCTTGAGGTCGAATGGCTGTCCCAGTTTTCATACCGGCGCTTCTGAAATGCGCAGTCCTGTCGCAGAACCTTGATCTTTCCGGAGTAGTCCGCAATAATGATGATGTTGCCATCTGGGTGTGTTGACCGCATTAGGTACGACGGCGACTCGTGTGCCATCTTGGTGACAACGGATAAGCGTGGTGCTGACGCTGTGCGACTATGACCGTTCCCATTTTCCTTCGCCGGGATTTCTTGTTTAGAATATTCCGCCGGGGTCATCAACGCTACTGGGGGCGGATTGCAGATATCATAGATCGGGTCTTCGGATAGCCCCAGCAACTGTTTCGTCCTGACCGGCGCAGCGATGGCGGCCGTTACAATGGCCGACTGCGTCTCAAACACCTCTACGGCGCGCTTGTCTGCATCCCTTTCCACCGGCCCAACCGGCCAGACATAGGCTCGCCGATCTTCGCTGCCACAGATGATATGTTTGCCGTCGTTCATAAATGATGCGCGAATCTGACTGCAGGCGTTTTCGTTGCCGCGGAACTTGGCCTCAAGAGACCGCTCTCGGAGATCATACATACGGATTCGAGAGTCGTTGCTGGTAATCAATAATTTGATATCCCCGTGGGAATCATCTGCTGGGATCTGCATCGCATCGATCCCGGTGATCTTGCTTCCTTTTGCGTTTCGTCCCCGTGCGGATCGAACGTGTATTTGTGCAATAAATCTCAGGCCCTCAGTCTCGTAGATGTTTAGCAAGCCATTCAAACACCCCGCAATAGCGTGTTTCCCATCTGGGGTAAATGCCACCGCGGTGATCATGTCGGGTAAAGTAGTCACAAACGCCACGCTTTTGTCTGGGATACTCCACAGGCGCAGTTTGGTGTCCAGGGATCCCGCAAGGAAAAAACGGTCGTCTGTGGGGTGAAATTGGATCGAGGTGACGAAGTCACTATGCTGAAAGCAACAGAGACACTCAGGTCGACTTGTATGCCACAGCCGAACTGTTTTGTCCATGGACGAGGAAAGAATGAAACTGTTCTTGCTCCAGCTCACGTCCAGGATACTCCCCGTGTGACCCTCATACACCTGAACCGGCTTGGGCTGAAACACCCATGCTTTCAGGCGAGGCGGTTCTTGTTTGTCATTGCTCGTTTTGTTCCCTTCTCGATCTGCCTCCTCGCGCTCGTCTGGGGTTGCAATGACAGCCCACACCCGGACCTTTCGATCCTGGCCCGCCGCCGCAAGGTACTTGCCATCCTGGGAAAACTCCATCGCCCAGACGGCTCTCTCAGTTTGTTCACCATTACGTGCTGTGGAAGTTTGCCCTTCGGTGACCGGTGCATCTGTGCCCTCCAGTTCTTGTGCCAGGAAGACCCGGTTAAAGATCTTGTCTTTCTTGTATTGCGCACGGACTTTCAGATAGCGAGAGGGTGCCGGATGCCGCGGGATGAAACCAATGGGCTGCGAAGTGTCCACAGACATCCGGCTGGCCTCGACTTCGGAGCTCTCATCTTCCACTTCGGACAAGGCGTCCTTTTTCTTGGCCCCGATGATGCGGCTCAGGAACGAGACACCTTTTCTAGAGAGCGTGGGGTTAGTTATGTTGGATGGGAACACAACATTTCATCAATCTTGATCCTTACTTCTTTTCTCTGGGTAATTTAGATGTCGGCGCATCTCCCCGGGCTGCTCCCTGCTCGGACAGGCTCTGCTCCGAGCCTCCCGCTTCCGCCTCGTAGGACGCCTTTCCCAGCAACTTCAGAGGGATTGACTTTTGTGTGTTGGTGCGTTGGATAATGTGCTACGGTGCGTTGCGTTAGTTTAACAGTAAATTCATTATTTAGTTAGGGTCCGGACACACCTGCGACAGCGGATCAATGGCGCTCGACTCTGTTCGGTTCTCCTGGAGCGTCTGCGCGGTCGAGTTGCGGACCAGTGGCCCTCCAATGGCCGGCATGCGACGGGAATTCCTCTGGCTCTCATGTTGGCTGCCGCTCGAGCCCGATGCCCCGTCGGACGCGATTGCGCCTGCGATGTTCAGTGAGGGATTGGCAACCCGACTGCCCGACAGCCATACATACCGGGGAATGTGGCGGCCCTGGCGGGCTTGGGCTCGGCATTGTCCACGCTCGGGCTCTCCATGGCCTACCTCGCATGGAGGATGCGGAATTGTTTAATTTACAAGAGGAAGGACGAGAATGGAAAAATAAAGGAGTTACTGGGTGGCGCTGACCCGTCTAATCTTACACGGCACTGGCCGGAATCAATCATGACATCAAAGCGATCGATAAGCCTGGACCCTCCCCATGGCTCTTTTTACCGACCCTACATCCTCGCCTGCAGCTTTCCCGCGCGGTCTTTGGCGATATCGCACATTGCCTGGATAGTTTCGGCGATTTCGCGCTCGCCGTCGCCCCGGTCAATGCGCTGGCGCATCTCGACCATGATCATCTCGCGACTGCGGCCGTTGACAAAGGACCTGCCGTCATCAGCATCGCCCCGGGGAAAAACACAAACGGGTCGACCTACACAAATCGCAGCCCCGGGAATTTCTCCTCGTATTCTGCATTCAATGCGCGTAGCTTTTCTGCCTGTTCCTCGGCCCCAGTGTTCAATTGCGCCTGTTCCTTCTTGCTCAGCTCGCTCAGGTGTTCCGGGTTGGCCGGCGCCCGGCCCAGTCGCGGATGTGAGCCGAGAATGCCAACGAGTACTTTGCGATCGGTGGGTGAGTTATCTGCGGACAGCGCAGACATGCGCCCGCCCACGGCGTCGATAAGCGCGGAGTAGGAGTTGAAGGACTGGCCAGCCAGCACGGGCTGCATCAGCTGGTGCAGCTCGGGCGACGGCTCGAAGAGGGTGTCCAGCACCCGTAGTTGTGCATCGTAGGGGAGAGTCGACAGGGTGGAGGGGGGTGGGAGGTCGGCCATGGTTGGGGGGAGAAGAGCATGGTGGGGGATGGTCTTGTTCTTATACCGCGCGCGTCGTCGGGGGGTTCCGAGCGGAGGAGAGCGTGGGAACGGCGTGACCTAGTGGAGAAGTGGGCAACCACAATCAGTGCTAGACTAATTTTTAGACTCGCTATATTCAGCATACCTAAGTAGCTTTTACATGGAGGGCCGGTATCATGGCATCCTAAATGAGGTCGGATCGGTCATTGCCAGTATCTCGGCTTATATACTTTCGCTACCTAAATTGACCAATTATTGACTTAGAGTTAACATCCTTCTTGTACGGGCAATATAGATCTTGGCATCTGCACGTATTGTTCCACGACTGCGCAAAGAACCTACTCTAAATTAGCTTTACTTAGATTAAGGGTAAAATGCTTTAGATCTGCCATACAATGTCCTTAATAGTATTGAGCCGCCGAGACATATCCGGTGGAATTCCCGGTAGCATGTAAGTAGTCCCATGAAGATTATCCATTTCGTAGATGGGGAGTGGATGTGAATCGATTGGACAAGTAGCTTTCGTGTTCAAGAAGAAGTCGTTAACTTAGTACTCGAGGTTAGTATAAACGTAAGTCGACATTGTGATGAAAGGTGGTAACAGTTAAGATATCTATGAGATGATAGATCGAGAAGGGGAGAGGGGATTAAAAAGCCAGTTAAGTACCCTTAAGTCACTCGCGGCTATTTGGAGGTGTATAATTAGCGTACTATGATTCTGAAAATCCTGTTATGGATATCACGGAAAGTCAATAGACCCGGCTGAATATTCGAACAACTTCCAACTCCAAAAGATGAAGAATCTCTCAACAGTAGTCACCTTAACCATAGTCATCATATAAGACGTACTTTGCTCCGCGAAAATCGATTATATCAATGATAGTTCTAGTCAATGAATAGGCCGCCCGAGGCGACAAGATGCGCGCCATTGATCCAGCGCGCCCTTTCCTCGCATAGAAACGCAACCGCGAACGCGATCTCCTCAGGTTCGGCCATTCTTGATCCCACAGGGGTTTGATCAATAATAGGTTGGAGAATCTTCATCTGTTCGTCACCAGCCGCTGGAAAGCCCTCAGTCTTGGTCGGTCCAGGGCTGACCGCATTAACGGTACATCCATATTTCGGAGGCAGCTCTTTCGCCCTGGCTTTCATGTCAGGGTTTCCATTGTCTAAATTACCGATCGAAGAGCTTACCAGCACTTTGTAAATGAGTCTACCATGCCTTTCGTTCCCGCGTAGATGGTCTGGTTTGGCGGAGGACCGCGGCCGGAGATGCTGGCAATATTCACAATGCGCCCGCTATCCTTGGTCAGATGCGACAGACACTTTTGAGTCAGCAGGAACGTGCCCCGACCGTTGATATTCACGAGTTGATCCCAGTCTTCAAGCGTTTGTTCTTCTAATGGTTTGTTGACTGCCAGCGCCACACAATTGACGACGATGTCTATTCGGTTCCATTGTGTTACTGCGGCATCCACGAGACTTTGTGGAGCAGTAGTGGTCGACATATCGGCTTCCACGGCAATGGATGGGCTTGGGAGAGATTTGACCAGTGCATCGGCTTCGGGTTGAAGGCGTGGGAATGGATAGTTAACAACCGTGTTGGCTCCCCGTGAAGATAGCTCTCTTATGATGGCCGCACCTATGCCCGAAGAGGAGCCACTGACGATGGCTACTTTACCAAGGAGCGTTTGAGATTCCATCGGAAATAGTATGATGGGTGATGGCTTTTTTGAGGGGCAAGGGTATTCCCAAGTTACTTGTGGGGCCAGGGACAAGCTTCACCAAGAAGTGGACCATTCAACTAGGAAACAGGCCAATTTGAAGACTGAGTGATCTATTGTTTTCCGCTGCATTTAAACACATCGATGGATTTAAACAAGACCGTGTACCAATTCCTCAGAGTGACGAGTTACCCCACATGTTATTCCAATAGCTGCGGATCACAATCATGGCACATGAATGCCAGATACATAGTAACGACCTCTCTCCACATCCCGAGAATCGGAGCGGAATGGTTCATCACTCGCATATCTAAACAAGCCCAAGTAGTCGTGCGGAGCAACCAAGTATATTATCCAGTAGCATATGAACATATCATTCATTGCCAGATTTTATTTCCTGCACTTAATCTGCATGAAACTTGGCTATAGTGAACTCTGCCCCGGATATATAAACTTGCAAGCAATAAGATTCCGATGAACATTTATGAAACGACTTGACTGTTAGACAGTAAAACAAGTCTAGTTTCTATTTTAGATGAAGCCAATTCATACAAATAAACATAGGGGAAAAGGACGAGTAACCAAAGTTGCATCATATTTCACACTGGTCAGCGTTATCTATTATCTAGTCCCTTGATGCCGGACAGATCTCCCTTGTCCAAATACCCACAAATTCTTCCCTCCGGATCCCACCGTTTCCGAATTTCCATCAGGCGGCGAGCATTTTGGTCAGACCAGTATTTGCTTTTCCGGACTTGAAAATCCGAATCGCCCAAATATGCTCCCACTGAATGTCGTTCGACATTTTTCATAACACCTCGAACCCACTCAAGACACCGGGTATCGTCAACTTCGTCTTCCCAAACCGTGTACAAAGCAAAATAATGGTCAGATTGCATACTGAGGGCCATATCCGGCAATTCTCGCCGACTGCAGGGATTCATCGCGTACCACAGCGAGAACGCTTTCTTGTGAGGAAGAGTCGTGAAAGCCTCCTCTAAAACAGCTGGGACATCAGCATCATTGATTAGATATGCGTTGTCCGCGCAGTAACGATGTTTCTCGGGGTTAGCATTTGCTTGCTTGCTGTACTGATTCTGTAGACTATCTTCCTCGCAAAACCATTCCGTGAGAGCTCCAGTGGGGCGTGTCTGGTGAGCCGGGCGAAGTGCTCTCTCCGCTTCATTAGGGTCATGCTTCATTACGACAAAGAGAATGAAGAGGCAAATTTCCTCACTGTTCTCGGGATAGTGGGCGACAGCTGCTATTTCGGTGTCCTGGTCGAACGTAGGCGTGATGGACAGAATCCACTGGAACGCTTCTCGATACAGGCGAATAGGATAAATATAGCCAGATGAGCGAAATCCTTTCTCAGGATATGGAAGGAGATTGAGGTGAAATTTTGTAACCACTCCGGGAAACCCTGATTCCGGTATTGTAAGCTGGGAGTACATAGCAAATCGTCATCGGGCTCACCTGGTCCAGCACCTCGCGCAGCCCAGTAAAGCTCTTGGTTCTGTTGAGAATTACAATGGAGCAGTTCACCTTCCGCTGTTACTACATCAACAGCTGCCACTCGCTCACAGGCCCATCCCCAGGTCTGTAAAAGGAGTCAGAAAGCAATGTTTGGAGCGAACACCTCCGCACGTACACGGCAGTTCCACCCCATGCCTCCTTGAAGCAAAAATCCTCCTAGACCCACGTCGGGACAATGGCCCCCAGGAAACATCAATCCATATTGTTGAGTCAAAACAGAGTTGAGTTCTCTCCCAGTTGTACTTGGGGAAGCGATTGCCCGCTGATTAGGCCCATCTACTTCTAGGACCTTGTAGTTCCCCAGGTCAATCAAGATTGAATTATCCCGGACACTCCACGCCGCCCATGAGTGTCCACCAGATCGAACAGCGACTCGACAATTTTTCTCAGCTGCCAGTTTGACCGCAGCAACAATGTCATCTTGGCATGTGGCTATAACGACGGCCAATGGAAACCTCTGCGGCCGACGATAGTTAAAGACGCGCCCGATACGAGCGTCTTCATAGGCACCATCGTCGGTAGAGTTTCGCCAGACGATTTGCATGCTGGGTGAGTTTCGAGTCGATCCTCACGGATTAAGGCAGAATGGATTCAGACACAAAGAACAACAGGTGTTGACGACAAGGTCATTATTGCCACCAACACTAGAATGTTGCGCCTCCGCCGATCTAAAAGTGTCTGGATTCGTACAAAATGGGCTCGGAACAGCACGAGTCGGATCACGCTGAAGTTGGAAAATGGAAGCGGATGTGGGCCTCTTTCCCCGTGGGGTAACGAATGGGTCAACCAGTTAGTGGCCCACATCCCGAACTGACCCGTGCAAAACAGTCATTCAGAGATATGCTAGTCTGGGCCGAATGAGTCCATCGAGCTCCCTCTCCTTAAGAGCAGAGGATGATCGCTTGGTGGATCTTTTCGTGATCCACCTTGGAATCCCCTTCGGAAGCTCCAATGCATTCCAAGACCACCATTCTCCGGCCAGATGGCATCCAGACCAACACCCTGGGTAGCCTACGGCTACGACACCAGGAAACAAATGAAATTATCCTGGTGCCAACCCCATCGAAAGATCCCAATGATCCCTTGAACTGGTGAGTTTCGGTGATCTACTAGTCTCAAAGAAAGTGACACGTAACAGTACGGTCAACTCAGGTCGCGGGCCTTCCGATATTATATTGCGGTTGTTGTATGCCTGGCTGTCTTTTTCTGCAACTTCCTTGCAGCAGGGCCCACGGTGGCGATCGTCGAGACGACCATTGACTTCATGGGTCCAATGGGACCGGATTTCAATGCCCACATCTCAAAAGTGGCCTTTTTCTATAGCTCCACCGCTCTCTGTCAGGGAGTCGGAATGCTATTCTGGATGCCATTAATCGTCAAGTACGGCCGTCGACCGATCTACGTGATCTCCTTCATCATCTACTTCGCAACGGGTCTGTGGTCTGGGTTTGCGAAAACATATGGGGTGGAACTTGCCGGACGTATTATTATGGGATTCGCAGCGGGTGCTGGAGAGTGCCTTGGACCTTTGACTATTGCTAATATATTCTTCCTCCACGAACGTGGCGCGGTCATGGCAACGTATACCGCGGCTTTGTCAATGGGGGTCGCGGGGGGAATCATCATCGATGGCCTCATTACGATCACTCACAGTTGGCAGTACATCTATTGGGTTGCCTCTGCACTCATTGGCGCCGTGACCATCTTGGTGATTTTCACATTCCCCGAGACAACATTTGATCGCCAGGTTGAGCAGCAGGAGGAGACGGCACTCAGCGAAGAAATTCAAGTGAAAGCGGGCTCCCGAAAGTCATCTGCTTCGGCACACCATGAGTCCGCAGCGCTCGACGGAATTCCTACCAAAGAAAGCTATATTAGTTCCTTACGCTTGTTCACTGGAACGTACACTTCCGAGTCGCTATTTCGAATTTTCCTGCGCCCGATTGTTCTGATCATCTTGCCCCCTGTCCTGTGGACATCACTGGTCTTTTCAGTGACTATCGGATTCCTTGTAGCCATTACGTCCAACTTTGCGACTGCCTTCTCAGAGGTGTATAATTTCTCTTCATGGCAATCTGGTCTGTGCTTTGTGTCCAGCATGGTGGGCTCACTCATTGGAATCGTATTTGGTGGCCATATCTCCGACTGGACCGCTGACTGGTTCACACAAAGAAATGGGGGCATCCGAGAACCGGAGATGCGTCTACCCTCTCTGGCCATCGGAGGAATATTTGCGCCGGTGTCTTTGATCCTGTATGGGGTTGGCGTGAACAACCATCTTCATTGGATGGTTCCGACCTTAGGCCTTGGATTGCTGAATTTTGCCATTGTCCAGGCTACTAATGTGGCTATGGTCTATGTGATTGACTGCTACAGACCCGCTGTCGGCGAAGTCACCGTGTCTATCTTAGCATTCAAAGGTATGTGTTTAAAGTCTAGCGGTATTAAGCTTGTCTGCCGTTCGCGAACTGACGATATGTACGCGTTCCAGCTGCCTTTGGGTTTCTGTTGTCTTTCTACACCAACCCGTGGATTGACCTCGAGGGATACACGAAAGCATTTGGGGAAATGGCCTGTATCTCGGGTGTGTTTATGGTTCTGGTTGTGATTTTTTATGTCTGGGGCAAGCCAATTCGTCACAACACTTGGAAGTGGCGAGTTATGGAGAAGTATGGCCAATGGGATGCTGATCGTGAAGTCGGTGAATAATGCCAACAGTCTGTCAATTGAGCTAGTGTGCGAGATATATCAAATAATTGGAGTGATCCCTTTTTCTTGTTTTTTCTCTAGCTTCCCTATTGCGATTATGAGCCATCTACATCAACCTCCTCATCGAAGCCCTTTGTGCCCATGTCTATATCTGATAGGTTAGCCCACCTAGGTTCGAGTCCTGGTGCTGACAATATTTGTTTTGTAGTTTCTTTTCCATAACGATAACTTACTAATGTCGAAGTTATAACTATTATATTATGTATAGATCGATCAAGCTCGATGAAATCACTCCCGCACACCAAACCTCCTGTAGTTGGCTCTGCTCGGGAACTTATTCTGCATTCGTACATGTGGATTCGGGCCGAGCTTGATATATTGAGTGGAATCTACCCAGAAGTGCCAGGCGCGAACGGAAACGTGCGGGATCAGTTAGTACAAGACTAGTTCTGCCCGAGTCCGTTCGGCCACTTTAGGACCCCCTTAGCAGGCGGCTCACCCGAAGCGGGAATGTGACGAGATCTATGGCCTAGGGATGAATCCGATCTGGGCTATTAATTCAGTTCGCTTCATGAATAAAAATAAATCAATTCATTAGCCTATAGTTCACAGCATCTCGAGATCATTGACTGTATACCGCGGTTCGCTAGCGTTTCAGAATCTCACTAACACGAACTCACTAAGCCCGGTGGAGTCCATCAAATCCCCTGAACCAACCTTTCTTTCACCAGATCCGATCGATCGGCTGGCTTTCTTTCTCCAACTTCCTCCTGTTTCCTTTTACATCCTCTCTTTTTCTCTCTATTACCATGCGCGTCGCGCCATGTCTCTCAATGGGCTAGACAATCCCGCCGTCTTCGATGCCTACCAAGGGGCCCTCGCAGACGCCGGCGGATGGTTCGTCTCCCGCACTTCCCCTTTTTGCATTGTCCCACCCAATAATCTAACTCGCCCCTAGGTTCCTGCTGCACTATGTCTCCCGCGATGAAGTAGCCCTGCTCGATCGAGGCACTGGCGGTGTCTCCGAGATCCGCAATGCCATCGCCAACTACTCCCAAGTTTCGCCGCTGTATGGCTTCCTGCAATACCGCCGCAGGAAGGTCGTGATCCGATACATGCCCGAGGGCTTGTCGCGCCTCATCCAGGGTATGCTCGTCCGGCTTGTCTGTTCTCCCAATACTAATCCCCGTGGCAGCTCGGAGCAATGTCCAGTTCGGATCCTTCCTCGAAAAGTTCACCCCCAATGACACCGTCCTGCCCCTCGCCCAGGCTGCCGAGCTCACCGAGAGCGCGCTGTCCTCCGCCTGTCTGCTCCATACCGCGTCCACCTCCATTACATCCTCGTCGAGCTCTCTCCGTCGCCGTCGGTTGATGGAGATCACGGAAGATGCCGAGGAGAACGGCGCCAAGGACGAAGCGCAACATCCCAAACCTGAACTCCAAACTCGGCAAAGATCAGGAAGCCAGAGATCAGAAGCCACCGTCGTGCCGCCATCCACTGCGCCATCGCCGTCGACAGAGACAACCTCGCCAGATCTCAGGCCACCGCCGTCGCGCGACAGTGCGAAAACGGCGCCACCTCTCCAGGCGAGCCCCCGTGAACTGCAATCGAGCGCCTTGTCCCCTATGTCGCCGCCCATGTCCCCGAGTACCTTCTCAGAACGCCAAAAACCAAGGAGTATCCTGGACGAGTTCCCGCGCCCATCTGACGATATCCGAATGTCTACCCAGTCTTCACGACCTTCGCTACGAGATCTAGAACGAACGGGATCATACACCCAGAAAGTAAAGCTCGGGCCTCGACCCTCCGTGGACAGCAGCGGCCGCCCACGCACCTCAGGGTCGTCCCGAAATGCAGAACAACGTCCCGTCGCCTCACTCCCAGCGGGTATCCGCTCCTCATCATTACGGAAACCTCCGGCCATGGACATCGACACGCCGCGACCTCGGTCCCAAGGAAGCCAATTCGCGTCTAAACCCAGCAAGTTCAAGATGCCGCCTGTTCCTCCACTTCTGGTGCCTCCGCCATCAATACCTATTTCACGGCCACCGCTGTCTCCCGGTGCTAAATCGCTCGGCGCGCTTTCGACTTCTTCGGGATTAACGCCGGAGAAAGAGCGGCTGATGAAGGCGCTGCAGCAGCGGAAGAAGGCGCAGGCGAAGCGTGCAGAACAGGCGAACCGAAAGCAGAGTATTGCGGAGGAGGAGCCAACTGCGCGCAAGGGTTCTTCGGAAAATAAAGAAAATAAGGCTCCCCTGTCGGAGAAAGCTGTGGAGAAGAAGCCTGAACCAACCAAGGTTGAATCCGTCAAGGTCGCGCCAGAGAAGGTTGAATCACAGCCTGTGCCGGAGAAAGTCGAGCTAGTAATGCTTCGGCCGATGAAGTTCGAACCTGAGAAGCTCGAGCCAGACCAGTCTAAGCCGGAGAAATTTGAACCGCAGCCTGAACTAGAGAACATTCAACCAGAGAATAAGGAGCCGAAGGAGCTTGAGCCAGAGAACCTCGAGACTGAGACGCTTGAACCGGTAAGGTTCGAGCCTAAGAGGGTCGAACCGGAGCAGCCTCAGACGGAGCGCTCTGAGCCGCAGCCGGCACAGCGCGAAGGGTTCGAAGGACCTCTACAACCGCTGCCTCCAACGTCCGAACCAGTTTTCGACCTCCACCCTGCCATTGAACCCGAAAAAGAGGACGTTCCCGCACCTGTCGAAGTCGCGAAACCCGTGCCGACAGCGGAGTTAATGATGTCTGATTCTGAGGGTGCTGCCACTGCCGCTTCTACGGAACCTGTCGATACGGCCTCTGAAACTGGTCAACTTGAGACGCCGCAGACGCTCGCTGACGATGAAACGAGTGCCGAGCACGGGCACTCGGCTATCCTTGGTCTGAGCGACACTAAGGATGACGCCGTCCCGCCTAGCGCCAACGCCCAGGTCCCACTCGAAAAAGGGTCACCCGCAGCCTCTGAGGCTGAAGATATCTCTTCACATCAGCCGCGGATTTCATCTGCCACTGATGAGCCTGTAGAGAACAGCCCAGCCGAGGCCTCTGAATCTGTTGCTGTCCCCGCCTCACCATCGACAATCTCTCCAATCGACCCCCCTGTTGTGGTTTCAATTGATCCCCGTTCATTGGACGAGCCTGCTCTTGGGGTTGCATCCGAGGATACTCATTTGTCAAACCCCAAACGCGTCTCTTTGGACCAGAGGCGCAAGATCAATCTAGAGCCAATTCACGTTCCGCCCGCAGAGTATTCGGATGATGACAACCTCCTTTCAGACGACTCGTTTATGGAGGAATTGAAGTCGGCGACCGTCCAAGAGGCTAGACCTGTGGCAGTGTCATCGCCCAACATTAGCTCGCGCTCCGTCTCGAGCCCCAACACCCCGGGATCACCAGCCAACATGCAGGCGCTGGCAGCGGGCAGGTCGGCTTCCAGCAATTACCCTGACAACGAGCCGCCTACTCCGGTGCTTATGGCCAAGAAGATCAACGTGTCTTCCGGCATTTCGAACCGCATCAAGGCCCTGGAAAAGTTGTCCAGTCGCGAAGGAACGCCTTCCAACTCAGGCCAGACCGTCACTGGACCTTCCGCCTCGTCCTCCTTTGAAAGCCTGCGGAAGCGCGCGTCGGTCTCGCTGCCCAGCGGGACTCAGCTCCCCGATTTCTCTCGAGCCCCAAGCTTGAATCATCATACTCACCCGGCTGCTGGCCATGACACACGCCGCACAAACTCGATATCCGTTACGGCTCGCATCGTCCGAGATTCGGCCATGTCGCCCGAGCTCTTGGAGTCTGATGTGCTTAATCTGCATGCGAGTCCGTTGACTGTCGAGCATGAGACAGCCGAGGGGCCTCTTTCTGAATCCATCACCATTCAGTCTGAGGACCGAAGGCCGTCCATCTCATCTGCCGGTTCTAGGGCCACATCCCGACCTGGCAGCCGCCTCTCCTTTGCCTCACGCAATAAAACCGACGAGACGCTCCAATCGACCTCTCCTACATCCGAAGAAAAGAAGGGATCGCGCGCCTCGCGCCTCATGCGCCGCATGTCATCTATTACGTCCACCTCTCGCCGCAGCATCATCGGCGCCTGGGGCCCGCCCGTAAAGGAAGAAGATACTACCTTTGCAACTATGGATAACCACTCCGTCGCCCACAAGCCAGCCTTCAGCCCCATCGACATCGGCGAGGTCAACGTCCAGTTTCCCGACACGCTTCTCTGGAAACGCCGCTTCATGCGCGTCGACGAGAATGGATTCCTGGTTCTCGCGCCAGGAACCACGGACTCCACTGCCCGTAACATGGTTAAGCGATACCACCTGTCTGCATTCCGCACTCCCTGTCTGCCCGATGAGGATTGTCAGGAACTGCCAAATAGTATCCTCCTGGATTTCTTGGATGGGAGCACCCTCCAGTTTGCTTGTGAATCGCGTCAGGGCCAGGCGTCTACTCTACAGAGTAAGCGTCCCTCTCCCCTTCCTCTAATTAATCTCGCCTGATAACTAACCGGTACCTTTTAGCCCTGGTCGATGCCTACAACGCCCACCAGAAATAAACACTCCTTCCTCTCGGCCTGGCCTGGAGCTAGATCTTTCTTTCTCGATACATGGACATACCCTCTTTCTCCTTCTCCTTCTCTTTCTTCTTCTTCTTCTACCCTGTCATTGCACACTTACATATTCTTTGTTTGGTTTTACATACCTTGCGCACCTTGTAGTTACACCTAGTGATCCGCCTCCTACTCTCTGTCTCTCCATTACCATGTCTCCTATCATCTTCGAAAAACTCTGTACCTCCTTCCATCTCTCTAACGCAAGTTCGATGTCATGTGCTTGCATGTGAGAATATATGTGGCTATACCCCCTTCTTGCTCGCTCTTTTTTTTTCCCCCTTGAATCATAACGAGTCCAGCGTAACTAGAGACGTTTTTCTTCGACTACGTTGGCTCTCATCCTCTTCCTTCATCTCCATTTCAACTGCCGAGAAAAAACGGCGTACAGTCTACTGCGGCCAGATGCATGGATGGCAAGCAAATCAAAAGCACGGCGAGGTTTGCGAAATGGGGTTTTCGACTGTTGCTTGAGTTGAGTGACAAATATCAAGATACCTTGTCCCTACTCCTACATACTTAGAGCGTCTTACAAAACCCACTCGTCTTGGGTTTCTATTCCGGTTGTAATGTTTCTTGACTATGTGCTGGGCTCGCATCAGCGTCCTCTACTCTAGATGGATTGGGGAAATTTCAGCAAAGAAAGAGAGCAAAAAGAGGCAAGCACATAGAAGGTATATAGATCCATGGGAACCACTCGGCCTCCATCTTTCCAGCAGCATATCTACAGATGCAAAGCAATTCCGCGGGTAAGCTCGAAAAATACGCTGTGGTCCGGGCAACACTGCTACCTCCTTCGCGTTTGATAGGAAGCAAAGGTGTCGATAAGGCCGAGGTCAGACAAACTGGCGCCGAGAGGGAGATGATCTTGGTGAGTAGACACAGATCTGGACGTCGTTTTATTTAGTTGTTCTTTCTCCATTGCAGCTCCAACGGAGGAATATTCATCAGGATGTGTGTGGACGGTAGTTAGAGTGAGAATTAGTCCCATGTGAGTGCAAGGATGCGGTGTATCCGTCTACAATATGCAGTTAGACCATGGATTAAAATCAGGCAGACGGACATGGAGACTTACCTGAGAGGATAGCTAAGCAAATGTGGTCTCCATTTACTTCACGTTGCTTCAAAAGTCCATAAGTCATGATCGTCAATTTGTATGCCTGAAGAGACATCTCAGGTATCGCCATTCACATCAGCGGGCGTCAATTTCTGTTTCTTTGCCGAGGGGCGCTGGCTTTTAGGCGTTGTCACCGAGTCACCATTATTGCTAGGGCTCTGTGGATGCTCGGTGGCTCCATTTCCGTTCCTTTGGTTATCACCCTCATACAGCTCAGGAAATGCAATGCGCATCTGCTGGTAATGCTGATTGACGAGGTACTCCATGAGATTGGTAACGGGGAAAGCAGAGTGCAAGCGTCTCTCAGACTCCACAAGCTCGACCCTCATCTGAGTCTTCCAGTCGTGCTCGGTGGCATGTGCTTCGATGAGCTTCTTACGCTCGTCCCCGGACTTCATGGCAATTATCTTGGTGCATTCGGGCATAAGGCAGGTCCAGATATCGTCGGATTCAAGGTCGGTGTCGCCGGTGGTAGGTAGAGCGCTGTAGTCTGATGTGTCGTTATTTGCATCTGAGAGGACCGGGGTTTTGGGTGTCTGGACGGTGTCCTGGAACAGTTGCTTCATAAGGGAAGCGGCAGGTCCCGAGTCGGATAGGATGGAACGGGTCCGCGTCTTCGCAGAAGAGAATGGGTCGCGGATGAGCTCATGGCCACGGGTCTTGCTGGGCGTGTCCATCTCGTCTAAGACGTCTTCATCGTCGTCGTCGTCGGCATCGGACTCTTTCGATTCCTGATTGGCAATGGCATCTTTGTTTCGCTTGCCCTTCAACGTCTTCGAGGTGGCCTTGGGCCGGAGCACGGATTTGCGGACTCGGCCGCTATCCTCGTCACTGGAGGGTTCCACGCGCAGGGGAGTGAGAAGGGCTGGTGGCAGTGGGGTATTTGTCGAGGCAGCTTGCTTGAGCTCCCGGTGGATCACGTAGCGATACCATCGAAAACCTTCCTCGGCATCCATCAACTCCAGCACGGCGGTTGCTCGGGCAGCGATGATCTTCTGTGCGCCATCCTTGTCGGCCAAAGAATATCGACTGGCTAGGCGCTCCTGCAAGAGATCAATGTGAAGTCGGCGTTTGGCCAGCTGGCCCTCGTCTCGTAGTTCTTTGAGGAGCTGGTAGATGGCATCAGTCTGTGATTTCGCAATCGCAGCCGAATCACGTCGAGGAGTCGCAGCTTCGGGCTCATCTTGAGCCTCGTCGGCGGAGCTGGACGAGACCTCCTCCATGATCTGGTCGTAAGCCTCCTGAATAGGAATCATGTAAGCATGGATACGGTTTGGTTGGGGAAGAAAAACAAAACGTACACGACACTGGCGGCGCAGGTGGTTGAAGATGTTGGTTTTCTTCCACTCCACGTCTTCTTCGTCCCTGATCATGCAGCGAAGTAAAAAAGGACCATGTTCTTTGAAGACTTCGGCAGACTGTGCTCTGTCCTCGCACACGCCGTGGGTGTGGTAGATATACTGGGAGGGTGTTAGTGGGGGAGCCAGGCAGCAAACAAACACGCGACTAACCTGTTCGCACAACTCCCGGACAGTGGGTTTCAGCTGCCTGCGACCCTGCTGGTGTCGGTCCACCAGGAAATATAGTAGGTCAATCGACTGGACCATGCGGTTGAAGGTAGGCAGGTATCCCTTGGCCGGCGAGATGTCGTACCAGCCAGCCTTGCCAGCAACCCAGATCTCGATCGTCTTATCCTCTGTTTGCCCATACGCGTAGTGTGTCACGTCGTCGATAACAATGCGTTTGGAAAGGTAGTCGTGGTTGAGCACTGGAAGTATAGGTTTAGTCCATCAAATCATCAGATGGAAAGGGCCATCCGACATACCCAAATGCTCCTCGTCCTCCCGGACCTGCTCCAGGCAACCGATGACTTGTAGGGGGTTGTCGTCGGAGGCATCGAGAAGGTTCGCGTACAGCATCTTACCGGGCCGCAGCACCTTGACGTCGGTCAAGCTGAACTCCCACCAATCGTTCTCATCGGCGACGGAGGGATCGGTGGGAGCCAAGACGGTATCTTCGCGGGCAGTCATGGTGTGCGCTACATGGCTGCTGAGCGAGGAGGGGCATTCGAAGTGAGGGAGGGAGTGGTGGTAATGGTGTTGACGAAAGGAAGTGGTGGACGCGGTCAGTCATGGATGTGTTGGGCAAATCGGACAAATCCCGTGGTCCTGCCGGAATTCGTTCCTTTCCTCTTTTTCGCGTCAGTCAGGCATGCCACTCTATCGACTCTTCCGCACCACCATGTCGGGCGAAAAGATCTTCGAGGGCGTCTTTGGTGAGTTATTCTTCTGTAATCATTGCAATATCCATTGACATCTCCCATCCAGCCACCCACAAGCCGCAAGGCGTCACCTCCGCCGACGTCGTCCGCAAGATGCAGCACCACTTCCAGCCCTCGAAGACCTTCAAGCCATGGCTCGACTCCGAGAAAGCCCGACGAGACCGCGAGTCCAATTTCCAGCAAAAACGGCGCCGCAACAAGCGCCTCGAGATCAAGGTCGGGCATGGCGGCACACTCGACCCGCTCGCGACAGGTGTGCTCGTCATTGGCGTGGGCAAGGGGACCAAGTCGCTGGGTGATTTCCTCGGCTGCACCAAGGCCTACGAGGCGACGATTCTTTTCGGCGCGGAGACCGATACCTACGACCGGCTAGGCAAGATCACCCGCCGTGCGCCGTACGAGCACGTCACACGCGAAGCGGTGGAAAAAGCACTCGATCAATTCCGCGGGAAGATTATGCAGAAGCCGCCGATTTTCTCGGCGCTGAGGATAGATGGCAAGAAGCTCTACGAGTATGCGCGCGAGGGCAAGGTCCCAGATGTGGAGATCAAGTCACGCCCGGTGGAGGCGCTGGATATTAAGATCATGGAGTGGTATGAGCCTGGGACGCATGAGTACAAGTGGCCTGAGGAAGAGATGGTCGGTGAGGAGAGGGCAGCGGCAGAGCAGCTCATTGACAGGGTTGATGCGTTGCCCGCGACTGCAGAGGGTGAGACGGCTTCCGATCCATCGGCGACGAAGCGAAAGTCGTCGCCTCCAAATGAGGAGGCTACCGACGCCAAAAAAGTGAAAGTGTCAGAGACCGAAGCAGCGGACGCACCCAAGGCCCCGGAGCCTGCAACCGGTGAGACCACTTCTGTGCAGACCGAGCAGTCCCGGCCGCAGCCTGCAGCGGTGAAGATCTCCATGACCGTCACCTCGGGCTTCTATGTCCGCTCCTTGGCTCACGACCTGGGCAAAGCGGTGGGCAGCTGTGCCCTGATGAGCGAGCTTGTGCGGACGCGCCAGGGCGACTACGAGCTCACACCCGAGAAGACGCTGGAATACAAGGATCTGGAGGCCGGCGAGGAGGTCTGGGGTCCAAAAGTGCAGGGGTTCCTGGAGAATTGGAACCGGAACCGGTTGGACAAGTTGGAGGCCGAGAAATAAGCTGACCTATCTACGGATGTGTACGATATCGATTACAATATACATATGACCTCGGAATATTCACTCATTCCTATTCTTGCCCAATTTCTAGATGTGGGAATCGTATATCCACGAAGAGGAGAGGAAAGGGCAGGCAGGCAGCAAGGCTGCCACAGGAAGGGTTCATAGGAAGTCTAGCTTATAAGCTCAGTTACGTGGCGGACGAAGGGGCCTATCGTGACTATGTAGTGAAAGGTATAACAAGCCTTCTACATAATATAGTCTGCGTGCCCTGAAACAACGAGAACGAGAACAAGAAACCATTTTGAGTAACCCAGACAGACCCCAGACAATAATTACAGATGCACAGTGAAAATGCAGGTTCCAGCAAAAGACATCAAACAAAGAGATCAAGAACGGCCCTTCGCCGCCGCTCTCCGGGCCTTACCCGGCCGCTTCGATGCACCGGCCTTCATCTTCTTCTGAGAGTACCCGCGCAGATCACCACTGGACTGCGCATCACCGCTCTTAGCATGGCGCTTCTTGCCTCCGAACCCGAACTTCGAGTCCTTCTTGTGGCGCTTGAAATTGGGCGCGCCGTCGCCGCCGGTGCGGCCGCGCTTGCGGCTCTCGGCCTCCTTGGCATCGTCGATGGCGACGTCGAAGAGATCACCAGTGTCATCGGTGGGAGCAGAGGAGTCGGCCTTGCGCTCTATAGAAGAATTGGTTAGCAATATTCGCCAGACAGATGTGTCAAAAAAGACGTACTCTTCTTCAAGGAATTGATCTTCTCCAAGGTATCCCGCTTCTCCTTCGCACGTTGCTGCAACTTGGCAACCTGGACCTGCTTTCCAAACTTCTTCAGGTCGCGCTGGCGCCGGGCCTCGGCGGCCGCCTTCTTCCCAGCCGCCTCATCGTAGAGCTTCTTCTTGATCTTGCCCATGTGCTCGTCGTTCTTGACCATCTCGGCGAAGTAGTCACCCGGCCGGGTGAAGGGAATGCCCTCCTTCTTGAGCAGGCCGCGGGCACTGACCACGGCTGCCTGGCAGACCTTGTAGAATGCCAGTTCACGGCTGAGGTCGTCATTGGGGTCGGGGACTTCAATGGGCTCTTGCGAGACGAGAGAGTTGTGCTCGGAGAACGGGGTCTGGGACGAGATGAAGGAGATGCGCTTGAGGGAGGAGGTGATGGCGGCGGAGTTGTTGATGGTCAGGCGTTGGTGGGGGACGACATCCTCGCGCTCGTCTTCTTCCAGGTCGGACAGTGGAATATCTTCCTCCTCTTCCTCTTCCTCTTCGTCTTCTTCGTCTTCCTCGACCTCATCGTCGTCTGGGATCGCTTCCTCCTCTTCCTCATCCACCTCCTCAACCTCGTCGTCGTCCTCTTCACCAGCTGCAGCCTTCTTCGCCAACTTCTTCTTCTCTGCAGCCTTCACCATCTTCTTCTGCTTCTCAGCTTCATAGTCACGGCCCTTGTGGGCGTCAAGTGCCTGGATAAGCTTGCTTCGCTTGACCATTGTGACAGTCTGGAGCCGAAAAGAAATCGTAATCGGGGAGAAGTGCAAGCAAGCAGAGAACCAGCATTCAGACAGCACGGGATTTTTTTGCCTGGCGCCAGTCCCAATATGGTCTAGCGTGGTCGATAAGAACCCACTAACCGTTTTGGGCTGGCGCGTGCTTAGTCACCTTCTCTTATCAAGGCGTGTCTTTGGCGCCGACCGCTTGACTTGACACTGTGTGAATCAACACAATGGCTGAGGAATCCAAGGAAGCCAACTCTCCCTCCGAGAAATACGAGACCCCCACCGAGGGCGAGTCTCTCCTGTCGAATCCTGTGCGTGCTCTCTTACCAACCCTATGAACCAACCTTTCCACGTCTGACCTGATTGTCTATCCCAGAACTCCGATGCACAGGGCCAACTGGCCGCCGCAGTCGACGACCTCCTTGACCAGCTCCAGTCTAAATTCGACAATGTCTCCAAGGAAATGTTTGGAAAGCGTACGTCTCTCTCCCGGCCTCACTGCAAGACAAAACGCACCCCGCTGACGACGCTCAATCCAGTGGACGATATGACCCGCCGCCTCGACGAGCTGGAGGCCTCCTTGACCGCGAACGCCCATGACTCGGCCTCAGCCACCCCGACGAAATGAATTTCTCTTCTGCAAATCTGTCGTGCCGGTTTACACACTTTCGTCCGGCGTATGTGTCGGGCTCAGCGCTTATTTATCGAATACTGCTATAATAAAGATACCCCAACAGTCCAAATAATTCATACAGTCAGATCTTAACCCACAAGTAACGGTCCCAATTACTGGTTTACTTCATACGGATGAGCATTGTACAGAATAGCCTGCGATTTTTCATTTGGTTCATTTCGTACAGATTCAAGATTGAGCCAGTATTTCCAATCCGCCCAATACATAACACAAGGAGACCGGCATCTCCTTATACACAAACAGAGCTGGAGAAACATAAGATAACCCGGACGAAAAGAGCAACTTTACAGCTCATCACCGTGGGGGCTAGTCTCTTGGTCCTGACCGGCAAAGCGGCGCAGGATATTGCTGCGGGAGACCAGGTCGTCGAGCTTCTCGGGCGCGGAGCCACCCTTGGACAGGATCTTCTGCAGACGCTCCAGCTCCTTGGACGCATAGTCCTCATTCTTGGCCAGTTTATCCGCAACCTTCAGATAGTACGCCGCATACTGGTCCTTCAGGTCCTTGGCAGCGCTCTTCAGCTCGGACGCAAGCTTCTCGAACTGGTGCGTAGGCACGTACTCCTCAATCAGCTTGTCCAGGTTCACGACAGTGCCAGCCTTGTTGTCCAGGCCGCCGCCGACGGCGCGGTGCGTGCCGGCCTTGCTGTTCAGGAACTCGACAAAGGCCTCCTCCTTGCGCGCGCCCGAGTACGCCTCGGGCTCGGTCGAGCCCGCGGGGAAGAACTTGATGGTCGGGTAGCCCGTCACGCCCTGCTCCTTGGTCACGGCCTTGGAGTTCTCGGCTTCGGCGTCGACCTTGGCGATCACGACGGAGGGTTCGAGGGCGAAGTCGGTGGCGAGGGTCTCCCAGATTGGGGCGAGAGTCTTGCAGTCTATTGATGGTGGCAATTCAGTCAGTTACAAGCAGCAGCAACAGCATCGGTAGGGGAGGCGAATGGTACTCACGTCCACACCACGGGGCAGTAAAGGCCACCAGGACATTCTTGTCGGAGCCAACTGTCGTCTTGAAAGAAGCATCATCCAGCATCTCCACGCTGCTGGGCTCCTTCTTCGCACTGCGCGGCTTAAGGCCAGTCTTCTCCGTAATCCACGCGGAAAGACTCTCCAGATCACGTTTACCACTGTAGTCCACGGGTTTGTCACTCTTGCCATCGAACCACTTCAGGGTTGGGAATCCCTGGACGCCAAAGCGCTTGCCCAGATCACGGTGATCATCGGCGTCGACCTTGGCGATGGTGACCTTGTCCTCGGCGAAGGCGAAGGCGGCACCCAGCTCCTCGTACACGGGGGCCAGGGTCTTGCAGTGGCCGCACCAGGGGGCGAAAAATTCAACCAGGGCGGGCTTGCCGGATTGCAGGACGATTTTGTCGAAGTTGTCGGGGAGGAGGTCTTTGACGGCGGAGCCGGCGCTGGCGAAGCCGCCCAGGAGGGTGAGAGTGCTCACGAGCAGGGTGCTCAGACGAGCCATGGTGGATGTATTCTGTGGGGGTTGATCCTTAAATTCCAATAATAAGAATCGATGAAGATTGGAATAGTGTTAAGGTCACGATCAGAGAGAAAGAAAGTCCGGGAGTAGGAGCTGATGATTACAAACTACGGGAAGAGGCCACTTGGTGCCTCGGGTGGATCATGGATCATCCTCCGTGGCTAAATCCTCCCGCTACATGTACTATTGCCACCTTCTACAACGCATTGTTTCCACAAGGATCATCCTGGATTTCTTACTAAATAGTAATACATCGTGTGGGAAAAAAAAAACTCCCCGCATCCAATTCCCTTGCAGTCCGGCACATTTGGTTATAAGCCCGAAATCCCTCCGATGATGTGTCAATGGCTCTCACCGGCGCTCCGACAGCCACTTGTTCGCGTTACTCCAGAGCTTGGCATCCTTGAACTCCTCGCCTGCATTCTGGGTGCCTTGGTAGACCTAGAGTAGATATTAGCCGACGGGCCCTGGATGTTTCTTCGGAGCAGACTTACCGCATCCCACAGCTTAAACGCCCGGTCCAAGTTGCCGGTGAAGCTTTCGCTATGCTGGAACCATTCCTTGCCCTTTGCCTTGACCTCCGCCCGAGCATCAGGCGAGGTAGGGTCCGCTTGGAGAGGGAGGTCATCCAGATAGGTGCGAACAGCGATTCCAAGACCGCAGTCATTATCATCGATAAAAGGAAGTCTGGAAGATGAAGGTCAGAACAGGTCTCCAGGAGAGAGTGCCAGGGCACATACTTCATGCTCATCTCGGTCCAGTCATTCCGATCCCGGTCGGCCTCTCCGCTCAAGAACAGGCCAGCCATAACCACCTCAATCAGGTTCCTCAACGTAGAGCGCACCTCGGCGATCAGCGAGCGGTAGAAGAGGAGCTGGCGGCTCAGAGGGCCGGAGTATCCAATGCTCTTGTGTTGGAGCTTCGCGATACACGCCACTCGCGAAACAAGCATGTTGAACGTCTTATCCTCCTCTATAGCAGCGTCAGTTGATGTTCCCACAACATATCAGCAAGTACCTACCTGATCCTCGCATCGGGCCACCAGACACATGTGAGAACCAGTGCTTGGTGTTCAAGAGTTCCAGCCGAAGCATCTCAATGGCCAGGAACACTGCTTCCTCAAGACTGTCGGTAGAGTCCATTGTCGATAGCGCTTGCCCCAGGCACTTGCCCCACACAGTAAGTTCGTGTTTCTCATTAACATATCCGCGCAGTTGTAGGAATCGCCACATCACATTCGACAAGATATCCTGTTGTGACGACAGAATGGGGGTGTCCTTCGCAGCGAACGATTTGGACACAAAGTCCGACTCCTTCAAGCTCTCAATGGCAAACTTGAAGGACCCGCGAGCTGCTTGCAGCTTCTTGACGCTCTCTGGGAACTGGTCTCCATGGACCTTCCAGGGCTGGATGGTCTCCTTGACCGACGGGATGCCCTTGAGATTGATAGATCTCTCTGAATTTTCTTCAAACCACGGGCGCACATGGATCACTTTAGTCTGGTAGAATCGGTGAAGCGAGTTTGCCAACAAGCAAATAGACTGCGTGCGGACCGGGGTGAGTTTGTCTCCCACAAGTTGACGGTAAATCTCGGTATCTTCTGCGCCAAGGGGTAGCTGGATGCGCACTTCGCCCGATGTCAAAAAGTTCGGAACGTCGGCACCCATAACACCCTTGGAGAGGTAGAAATATAGCTCCTCGGGGAGACGCTGGCCGATGAGCTCATGCATGTCAGACGAGGTGTTCTCTGCGTCCATGGGGCCGACTCGGCCATCCACATCCATGTACACATGGTGCTTCACGACCATGTACGCCCGCTTGTAGCGGTCCGTGTACTGGAGTTCCTGCATGCGACGGTCTTCTTCGAATTGGCCGCAAAGCGTCAGGGCGTTTCGCCCAGCCGCGTTGAACATGGGTAGAGCATCCCGAACATTGGGGCCTTTTCCAGTGAAGGCGGGGTTCTCGAACACTGGGAAAGAGCGCAAGAAAGGAGAACCTAGCAGCAACATGAAGTCGAGGAATTGTTCATTCGACAGTCGTCCGAGTTCTTCCTGGCAGGTCTGCTTCGTAACCCAGAAGAACTGTGCGGGCTCGGTCTCAATTTTGGTGACCAGCTTGTCAAGGTCGAACAGAAGGATCTCTGACGGTCCGTAGACTGCATCCACCACAGGATTGGGGCCGCGAGTGAGGTAGGAGAGCTGTGCAGAGGGCTTAAGTTAGGTATTGCCGTTGTTTCTTCTGGAGCATACACACCTGAGCCGCCGCACTGTAGGGCGCCACGAGGAAGGGAACGCCGTTCTGGTGCAGGATCCGTTGCAGGAATTTGTAGAGGGTTTCCGGGGGCGGGGTGCCTGCGGGTTCATTCCGGTCAGCCAGGGTTGGGGAGCTTGGGGAGCTTGGGGAGCTTTGGGGGACCCAGGAGTACGGGACAAAAACCGGGGGGTCTATGGCCATGATGGGTGTGGAAGGGCTGATGGTGGTAGACGGGCTATAGGTGATCATACCAGCGTTGCTGAAGGCATCCACCACTTGGTCTGCCTGCTGTTGGTCGTAGAGTTCCCAGGCTTGTTCGAATGGGCGCGTCGAAGTGGGTTGGGCGGCCGGGCGCTGATCCTTTTTGCCGAATTCGAGGCCATTGAAGACAAAGACGCTGCCGATACCGAGGTTTTTGAAGGTCTGGAGCTCTTTCTCGATGTTGCTCCTCAGGGCAAAGGGGAATCCACCGAGCGCGCTCAGCAGTGCTTCCCGGGTGGACTGGTTGACGAGGTGCTGGGAGATGTAGTGCGACGCATCGATACCGACAACGGCGCCTTTCAGGGCGGAAAGAGGGAGGGACTGGGTACGACCCACGGCCCACTCATCGAAGGGACGGACTATGGGAAGAAGGACACGGTCAGAGGGGTCAAGTGTCTTGGGTCTGAGGCCAGGGTCTCTCGTACTCGGCATGGTGAAGTGTCACGGGCTGGAAAGCACGGCCAGTGCCGGGCATGGAAGCCCAAAAAGGAGGGAGCTGATGGTAGAGAATTGATAGTCGGGGAGCTGGATATTAGGTGGCTGTGGTTGTGGTTGTGTTGTTGGGGGAAGGAAGAGACGGAGGAAGGGTGTGAAGGAGCTGGAATTGGAGGAGGGTTGTCGCGGTCGAGGTGAGGAAGGAGGGCGGGAGCCTTTGGTGCTTTTGCTTTTGGGCACGACTTCCCCAGCAACATTATTAGTGACAAACTAACGATCCCTGTTCTGCACCAATAATCAATCAACCTCCGCGACTCGATTTGTTCTAGTGCGCTGAAAGCACGGCGGCACTATGACAGGATACGGACGGACTGACTAGGTGGGATGCCAACCAGGCAAAAATATACTGCACTTTTATATATACAGCGTAGTATCTTGCCTATGTTGAATCTGACATATTTCCATCACCGTATCCTACGTTCACAATATCAATTATAATGATGTGGTGTGCTTGGGTATCGCGTACTTTCGGAAGCGCAAGTGGAGGCTGCCGACGGTACGGAAAGTCGGACTTATATATTGTAGTCTCCCCCGGCATATCCCACTCTGCCTATCCACATTCTCTAACCACCCCCCCCTCCCCAAAATGACGGACACCGCATCTCCAATCGAACTGCCGGTCATCGACATCTCCAACCCCCACGATCCGTCCGTGGGGAAGCAGATGTTGGATGCCGCGGCCAAGTACGGCTTCCTGTATGTGAACAGCAAGGGCACCGATTTCACGGCGGAAGATGTGGACCACGCATTTGGACTGGTAGGACATGTCCTAAAATCAAGTTGCATAAGATTTTTTTTCTGACTGGATGGGGTGGATAGTCCAAGAAGTTCTTTGCATCGCCTGCGCTGGAGAAGGAGACCTGCCGGATTACGCCGAATGTTCGTGATGGCTCGATTAACAGATGGATCAGTTGACTAACTTGCCCGCCAGAACCGCGGTTGGTCGGGTATGCATACGGAGACGCTGGATCCGGAGCATCAGCGGGTATGTAGCCAGTTGACCATATCGATCTGGATATATGGCTGACAAGCAATAATGCTACCAGACCGGCGACTTCAAAGAGTAAGTCGTATGCCCACTGATAATCATCGAACCGAACTCACCACTGCGGGACAGAGCCATGAACTTCGGCGAATTCAAAGACGGCAAAGCCCAACAACCTCTGCCCCCGAGCCTGGTGCCGCACGAAGCAGAAATCAATGGCTTCGCCGCGCTCTGCAACAAGACCTGTAACCGGATCCTGAACCTGCTGGCTCTGGGCCTGGAGGTTCGTTGAAACCCTTTCATATCAGCTCACACATTCCACTAACAATCCCCCCAATCCAGATGCAAGAAGACTTCTTCACATCGCGCCACGACCCCAGCGGTGGCTCAACCGGCAGCATCCTGCGCTACCTGTACTACCCATCAATCTTCTCCGCGGCAACGGCAGCGTACAAGCACGACAAAGACGTGCGAGCCGGTGCACACTCCGACTATGGCAGCATCACGCTGCTCTTTCAGCGACCCGGCCAGCCGGGACTGGAGATCCTGACTCCCGAAAGCACCTGGGCGCCTGTCCCTATCGTTCCGGGCGACCAGGCCGATGCGTACCCGTTTCCCCCGATTCTTGTGAATATCGGGGACCTGCTCAGCTATTGGACGGACGGGTTGCTCAAGTCCACTGTTCACCGGGTGGTGTTTCCGCTGGCCGAGCAGCGAAGTCCGAATCCGCAGGATCGATATACGCTTGTGTATTTCTGCCATCCGATTGATACGACAGAGCTCGTTCCTGTTCCGAGTGAGGTGGTCAAGGCTCATCGGGGGCAGACGGGGGGAATTAGTGCGCGGGATGATGGGAAGGTTGGGTTCGGTGGTGGTGCGGGTAACTTGGAGCCAGGGAAGAGACCGTTGACGGCGCAGGAGCATCTCGAGTCGCGGCTGGCCGCAACATATGGTTTCAAGAAGGAGTAGTACCTAGTATATGTGTTTACGGGGACGATACCCAATGGAAAATATGTACAGTTCTACTCGTGCTATGGAGAGAAGCTGGAGGAACGAGTACTTCGATGATAAAGATAAGATTCGTATGAACCCAATGAAAGATATATGTGTGGAACGCCGGTGTCATTTGACCCAGTGCAGTTCCGTAGGAGAGAGCCTCCAGAGATCAACCAGCCGGCATAGATGGATGGCAAAACGAAAGTGTAAAGCGACTGCGAAGCAGCCGATGTGGGTCATGCTCTCCATCTACTGACATAGGAAACTCGTGATAGCACAATTAAAGGAGAAATGGATGGGAAAGATGATTCAGAAAACAACAAAGGAACAACGAAATGAGACAAGATGACAAGATGTACAATCATGACGACTGGTAATTCAAAATATAAGCAGTGAAGAATGGGAGCGGTGCAAGAGACGGGCCCGGCTTTGTAGTAGGAACCCGGTTTGAGGTATTGATAAAAGGGATAAAAACCAGACGACATGTAAAGAGGTATCTTCGGGAGTCGAATTGAAACGCCGCCAGATTTTCAAAATGCCATGCGTGAGTATAGGAGTGAGTCCTTGCAATAGAAGATGGGTAAGACGTGTGACGGGATATGACGCTATGCGAGCCGGTATGCATGATGGAAATCAGAAATGAAACTCCTGTCGAGAGGATAGTCGTCGGGTCGTATCAAGGGGTCGTGTGGCACCAGTGGCGGTGGTAAACCCACGCAGCCTTCTGGCATTCTTTGCTGCAGTATTTGGTGCGCCGGCAGCGGCGACACTTGGCAAATTGGCGCTGAAACTCCTCCCACTTGCCGCACTTCCAGAAAGCGCATTGGCGGATCCCGCCGCGCGACTCGTCCTTGCGACAAAGGTTTCGCATGACCACACACGCCCAGTACTGCATGTCCTTCGAGTGATGCCGGACAGTGAACTTCTCAACCAGTGGGAAGATGTTGACATCGTCCGGTAGCAGGTACTCATTCTCCTCCTCAGGCACCTCGATAGGTGTAGAAGGATCCGCATTTTCATCCAGAAGGTGAAGCTCACGATCAATCTGGAGCCTGGGAACGAGATGAGAGTACTGGAAGTATGACCGAAGGTTGCAGTACTTGGAGACGTATGCCAAGAGTTGCAAAGACATCAAGACGTCCTCATCGCGAGGCATGGTAGTCAAGACGTTCTGAGCCGCGGGGGCGTTGCGATCACGGAGGTACAAAGCATAGGGACTGGGAGCGAGAGTGGGAGAATTAGGGTTGTTGGGGGCTTGCGTGGGAGAGAGACCCAATCCACCATTGGGTTGGGCCGTGCCATTGTTATTAATGATGCTGCCATCGACGGTAGAGCGATGGGTAATGTTGAAAGTTTCCGCCTCCTGACCCTCTTCGGATGGGTCGGTCACCGTGAGGTCGTGATTGGTGGACACTCCATCCAGCATGGTTGTCTGGTGTTCATGAACCTCCTCAATGTCCATGCGATCCGGAAGGTTGACAAGAGGTTCGGTCGTCTGCCCCAGCACACTGTCCTCTCCCATTGCCGAATCCTCGCCATTGGCATCGTCCGACTCGCCCGACGCCGACAGCTGCTGCTGTAGTGCAGGGCGTTGCCTGGCAGCGGTAGCTTGTGGGATGCTCCTTGACTGGGGCTGAAGAGGGCCACTTGGGGTAGTTGGAGAGTCGGGTTGAGAGATGATCCCAGTTTGCAAGCCAGGAAGCATGCTGGGGAGTCGTTCGGTGTCACGCACAGGCCGCAGCCCAAATCCATCGGCAGTATCCATAGAAGGCACCGCGGTAGCCAGAGGCTGCATTGCCCGAAGGCGATGCCCGGGACGCGGATAGCGTCCTTCGTGAGATCGATGGTTGATGGCTTCGTCACCAAAGGTACTTTGTTCAGGCGGAGATGTCATCGGCATCCGGGGAGGAGAAGTGACGTCCATCGCATCGGAGTCGGTAGGTTGAGTATCTTGATAGAGAGGCTGGGGGATTTCGATGCTCGGAGGGGCCTGTCGACGAGAGTGGCGGGATTCGTGGGAACTCGACTCCGAGTTTGCGGGTGGGCCCGAAGCATCTCGGGCGACCGTACTGTGCTTGGCATGTCGGGAGGAAGAAGAGGACGGATGTTTCGAGGGCTCGGCATCGGACTGTGACCGGACCTTTTCCACCACTTTGAGGTAATTGCGGAGGATGGTGGCGATGACGGGGACCATGTCGGCTTCCACGACTCTGGTCCTTACGCCTTCGGAGCCACGCACGCCGATATTGACCACACATTGGAATGCAAGACTCCATTTCCACATTTCCATCAAGTCCTTACTCCGGCCCTCCTTGAGGATGCACACCAGTCGTTCAATGCCGCCATCGACGGTGAGGATTTCCCGAATCCGGGCCGACGAGGTGGTGAGGTATGCAAGATGGTTCAGGGAGTTGATGAGCGGTAGAGTCGATGTGCAATCCAGGGCCCGACGGTCGTATAGCGTGGTAGTGATATGGACCGAGGCCTTGTTCACATTAGGAATACTGAAGTTGACCTCCCTCATGATGAACAACAAAAATGGAGAGAAATTGGCGAGAAAAGTAAAACAAATAAAATCATAAAATCAAACAGCACATCCAGAAGCAAAATGTTCAAGGAAGTAAGATCGGGATCTTGGATGGAATTCTTCAGTCGCCCCTAACCAGACGGGATGACTCCCACGGGGATGTGATCAGAGAGAAGACCCTCGCGACCGCAGAGAAATTATTCCCAAGACATGAGGACACCCCTGCGTGATTGTAGAAAAGACCCTCGGGATTCCTGACGATGGTCTCCGATGGGGAAGGAGGTTTCCAAGCGGAAGGGCTTGGTTTCGTCAGAGCCTGGGTGGCGGACGGGGATCACGAAAGAAGGATCGCTCGAGGGGGGGGGATGAGAGAAATGGGAGGAGGAAAGATTGACGATGAAGGCAACTCTTCTCGAGGGAAAATATTCTTCAAGATCAAGATGGGCTACCTGGGGAGTGAAGTAGGTGGAAGACAGGGAGGGAGGGAAGGGAAGAAGGAAGAGGTTTCAATGGCGAAAGCGGAGAGGAGGCGGCAGAGTCAGGTGCCTCCTTAATATTACTGTAACCCCCGAGCGAGGGACCGCTTTGTTACTCTCGACCTCGCCTGGGATAACCAATACGAACGTTGCCCACTAACCAACTGCTGAAGAGTATTTAATCTACATGATTAAGATCAATCAAACAGCGACCATCAGTCCGCTGCTCTTGCCTGTCGATGCCGACCCGTTAGGACGCCCGGATATGGCTTTGCCACCGCTGAGCCACTGGCAAACCCACATCCCTCCAACATGCCAGATGGCGTAGGAGGCCTCCCAACCCCGACCGTTCTGTCGTGAAATGTGGTGATGTGATGGATGATGATTATCCTGACCAGCCCCCATGATTATTATTTCGGCACGAGGAGACGGGCGGAGATGTAGATCCAAAGCTGTGACCAGAACACTCGAACCCACCAATGACTCCAAGGCTTGGACCGATTATTGAAAAGCTTCGGTTTTTGATTTAAGCACCCCCGGGAGTCTGCGAATAAGGCAGGCTGGGCGCCTAGGGATCGACGGCCACAAGCCTGGCCCAGACAACTCCCGCGGTGGGACAATAATAACCACAATACAGACCCAAAGGCCCCTGACCGAATTGGACGACTCTCCGAGTGGATCCCTATCGACCGTGATTCTTCTTTCGCGAGTATCCATCTATAGCAGTCCTGATTGCTGTTTATTTTCATCCTACACATTTATTGGCGGAGGGTGCAAGAATAGACAAGCCCCGATCCATCACATACAGGGTTCATACAGATCACAGGCGCTTGACGCACAGACGCAAGGCTATGATTAGAACAGAACTCCGTGCGAACTGATGAGGTGCCTCATCCCTTGTGTTTCATCACTATTAATATACCTGGCAAAAGACAGGAAAAGCGTCTTTCTCTTTGTGGACTACTACTACCTACTTAATGCATTGCGCTATAGAAAGCCTTCATCCTTTGTCGGTGGATTCCCGGCTTATCTGTATCCTTAAGCCTAGCTGTCAACAAAGTTCCACTCCGGGTCCTGCTAGACCGTTATTTTCTGCTCTGTACGAAGTATTGTACGTACGGACTCTTCAGTAAAGCACTGCTATGTACACTAACTTCAAGATCCACAAGTGTAAGCATATCATCAAGGCGCAACTCTGTCTTCCTTAAAGTAGTGCTGACTGCTTGATTTACAACCTTAACCATGATGTTCGTATATGAGACAGGTCCGGGCCCTCGAATGCTATGCTTTCAAGATCCCCGACTCGATCTCATACTTAACTTTCGAGTGTAATAGCTGAGGTAAGGCACGATGCAGGTGAGATCTACGTCCCCGATAGAAAAGACGTAGATGAAACCAATATGACCACGAGGCCTCAGGTTGCACATACAGAGAAATCAATAAGGATGATCCAGCTGAACGTGGGTTAGGCGGCCATCTGCATAGTTTGGTAGGGATCTTGAAACAGGCACACCGAGGCAGTTTGCGTGCCCCTTTGAATGATGTGCTGGATTCAGCTATATCATCGTCATCTTTCTGATGATAGCTGAGCGTAAGACGTCGAGATGAAGACCGTAACACCCATGCCAAGCTGACTCCTCGCGTTTCAACATGGTCATCCAAGTCAGCTAGCCATAGTAGATTGAGTTCTCCATCTTGACACCGGCCTCTGATGTAGATCAGGCAAGGCCTTCAGCTTTGCAGGACGGCAATATTGCCGTGCAGAGACACTGGCGTGAAAACCGTTGAAAAACAAACAATAATGATCGGCCGGCGTACTGTAACGAAGTCCAGCAAATCCGTGGGAGTGGAAAAGGGGCGGGGCGGCTTAGCAATAATCGGTCGTAGTGGTGGAGCCAGAGTGTTATTATTTACCGACTGTTCTATCATCAGTTAGTAATTCTCGTCCAATTTATCCCACGCAGCGCCGAGTCGCAGTTCTGACCGCGGCCGTCGTTATTTCAAGCAAGACAAGCGCACGTAGTGAGGTGACCGGCTCGGCTCTGCCCAGCGAATCTCCCTGTAGAATGAATGCAACAGTTTGGGACAATAATTACTCCGTCAGTCGGAGAGACTGTGCCGCCGACCCTCCTTGTTCAAAAGAGCAGGTGGTCAACGGTGCTGTCGAGGCGGGCTTGGACCTACGAATCGGGTCGTACGGCAGGTCTGTACTGTCGTCCAGGCCGAGATACGAAGGGTGGTGATGAATGTCATAATAACGGGAAGCTCTCTTCAAAAATCCACATTTGAATTGGCAGGATCGCGGCCGAGCTCTGAGCTGGCACGGACTCTGGGAAATGGGGACACTAACTAACGAAGAACCGGGACGTGCGACGCGCCCCAGTCCAATCCAATCTCCCGGACCTTGCGGAAAAATACTGATGATGATGATGATGATGTAAAGGAGCAGACTGTCACCGGGGCCAACTGCGAGGCCTGCCGTAGCAGGGATGATTCTTCCGTAAACTAGCCACCTGCGGAGTGCTTGACCTGTCGGCGTGGGCTTGAATCCTCCGTCTTGATAGGGGCGTCCGAGTCCTCAGTGGCGGATGCGTGAGTGGAGAGAAGTAGTATAGACCCAGCGTGCATCAATAATCATATCGATGCCCGGGTGCCCTGAGCGAGGAATACAAGTCCAAAAAAGTAGGCATCGGCGATTAAGGGCCCAGGTATGGCCTGTCAATCTTGCTCAGGTACCCGGGGATGAAAATCCATGAGAAGCCCCTGTCCCAGTGCGTGTCACTGTATTTCTGCCCCCTCTTCACGACGCCCCAGTTGCCCGGGCTCCACTGGCGAGCGTGAATCGGCCCATTGATCCCGGCGGACTAGACGAAGGGCCCTTTTTCTACGCTGGCTTCTCATTCTCTGAAGAGTTCGAGTCTTAGTCGCGACGGGAGTTGTGAGTTAATAGCCACTGGAGTCCCAGATGGGTTGGTGTCCCTTAGGTCAATTAGGGTCTGGCTTCCCCCCGTGATTACCACTAAGCTGTAATACGCTGACCAACTGGTCCATCCACCCCCTGTTCTCCCCCCCCTTCCCTTTCTCTCTCGCTGCTCTCTTCACTTTCTCTTTTGTCCCCCCTTGCTAGCCCCCAATTCCCCCGTATCGTACTGCTATGACCGGAGCGGCTTGATACACCAAACTTACCTTCCTGCACTACGACTCGGTCGCTTCCGTTCTCCCTGGCTCTTCGCTCCACATCCCATATTCAGCCCCCTCTCTCACTCTTCATCCTCTCTCGACCTTTCCATCCTCCTCTCCTGACCTGTCAACACCACAACCCACTTACCCTCCCTCCACCCCCCTCAATTCCTCCCTCTCTCCCTCCACATCAACGTCCCCCTCCCTTCCGGAGTTCGTTGATTTCGTGCTTCCACCTCCACTACCCCCTTCTCGACAGTTGACAACTTCCCCTGGGGCTTTGGCACGATGGCAGCCGATATGAGCGGAGAGCAGATGCAGGCGAAAATCACCGCCGCCAGGCGCGAAGCGGAAGGCCTGAAGGACAAGATCAAGCGCCGGAAGGATGAGCTGGCCGACACCTCGCGTATGACTTCTCCTTTCTCTCCGCCGTCTCGATCGACGTCCCGAGCTGTCTGCTAACAATGAAATCCCAATGCAGTCCGTCAGGTCGCACAGAACCAAACCGATGCTCTACCACGAATTGGCATGAAGCCCCGACGAACACTCAAAGGTCATCTGGCGAAGATCTATGCCATGCACTGGTCCACCGACCGGCGCCATCTTGTGTCGGCCTCGCAGGACGGGAAGCTCATCATTTGGGATGCCTACACCACCAACAAAGTTCACGCGATTCCCCTGCGCTCCTCCTGGGTGATGACCTGCGCCTACGCCCCGAGCGGGAATTACGTTGCGTGCGGTGGTCTGGACAACATCTGCTCGATCTACAACCTGTCGTCACGTGAAGGGCCGACCCGGGTCGCGCGCGAGCTTTCCGGACACTCGGGCTACCTGTCATGCTGCCGTTTCATCAACGACCGCCGGATCATCACCTCGTCGGGCGACATGACCTGTATGCTGTGGGATATCGAGTCTGGATCCAAGGTGACTGAGTTCGCCGACCACCTGGGTGATGTCATGTCCATTAGCATCAACCCGACCAACCAAAACATCTTCGTTTCGGGTGCTTGCGACGCTTTTGCCAAGCTTTGGGATATCCGTACTGGCAAGGCCGTGCAGACATTTGCCGGCCACGAATCCGACATCAACGCCATCCAGTTCTTCCCCGATGGCAATGCTTTCGGTACCGGATCTGACGACACCTCGTGCCGTCTGTTCGATATCCGTGCCGACCGCGAGCTCAACATCTACCAGGTAATTTTGATTATGATCGCAATTGAAGGGAACCAAGAGCTAATTGTGTGTCCTACAGAGCGACCAAGTTCTGTGTGGTATTACTTCGGTCGCCTTCTCCGTGTCGGGCCGGCTGCTCTTTGCGGGCTACGACGATTTCGAGTGCAAGGTTCGTCAGGTCTGGGGTTCTTACCGTGTGGATTTGTGCTAATACAGATGATCAAATAGGTGTGGGATGTGCTGCGCGGCGACAAGGTGGGCTCACTGAGCGGCCACGAGAACCGTGTCAGCTGTCTGGGTGTCAGCAACGATGGCATCAGCTTGTGCACTGGGTCTTGGGACTCCCTTGTAAGTGACCGGAACATCTCACCCTGGCCTCTGTCATCCGCTGACTCTTTCTCTTTTCTGTCATCTAGCTCAAGGTCTGGGCCTGGTAAAAATAAAAAAAACCAAAAAACGCGAGATACCCCCGTGTCGATCATTTGCAATACTCACTCTTCTTCGACCCTTTTTTTTCCTTTCTTCTTTTCCGATGGTTCGAATCCCCGCCACTGTACGATATTAATCAGTTACCGGGGGGACCCGTTGTTCCCGCGATAATTAGCTACTCTCGGCGCAGACCTCGATCCATGCGATACGGCAGGTGTTGGTAGCGGTTGATTGAGCGAGTCGTCCCGGAGAGAGGGCGAACGAACGCGACGATACATCATATGTGAATTGGGCATGACGGGGCGCGCTGCCGGTTCTTGGGGTGATGGTTGTACAGTGGACGTGAACTGGCAGCAGTCCATCTAATGCTTCCGCGGCGACGGCTCTTGGGTGCTTGAGCCCATTTTTTCTTTGTCCCGGATGATTTCTTTTTCTGTCCCTCCCTTTCCTTTCTTCCTATCCCCCCTTCAGTTCCCCCCCCCCTTTTTGATTATTGATCTCGGCATGTATTTCTCTGGTGCAAAGGGAGGACCGGATTCCCGTTGTGCCTTGGCCTGCTGCTTCATTTCTCTTTGCCTCGACCGAAAGAGTGTATCTATGTGCGTGTGTCTTGCGTTTTGAGATTTCTTTCCTTTTCTTTTACTCTACCTGGTGTCGGACTTGGATTTACTTTTCCACAATTTCCATTTGTGCTTGATCTACCAAACTAAAAACATCCATATCCACAATGTTAGCGATTCCCCACGGTGTGCTCTGGGTGGAGTAGATATACTTGGGCTACTCGTCGTGTAGCCTGTTCCCTAAATAGTAACGGGGCCGTTGGACAGACCAGCCAACGCAACCAACCAACTGCCCCCGGAATCACATACTCTTTCCTGCCTGACGACCGTGGACTCGAGACCGTCTGATCTGCGTAATCCTCAGCCGACATGAAACTCGGCGCCCAGACCGATGAAACAAGGCCGGTGCCCAGGCCCGACCGACGTCTTGCGCTTGGATGCACTCACTCAGGTAGTCAAAGAACAACCACAATAATAATAACGGCCCCCGTTAGGGAGCAAGCGAAATGAATCCATGAGGGTGGAAGCTTCTTCGCGGCTTCTTCGGTGGAGCCTCCAGGAAGGCGTGGTGATCGGCGGGCCTGAAACACGAACGAAAAAGGGGGAACGGGTTCAACGCCCAGTTTCAAGGCGATCTTCTTCCCAACACAGCCCTTCACCAAGCCCCCACGACTCGAACGAACCAACTAATCCCAGCTCCGGAGGCCACGCGAGCTCAGCCCCTGCCGCCTGCGCTAACTAACACGAATCCCAGCCTTTCAATCTCTTTTTTCCCCCAGATCTTCCGCCTGCCGGCATATATTACTTCGCTCCGACCCCCGCCCGCTCTCGCGTGCTTCTCCTTTCACCATGTCCGCTGCCCAAGACGAGTTCAATCAGCTAGTCGCCAATAACCGAGCCGCATCCAAATCACACCCCGAGGACGCCCACGCCTCTTCCTCTGAGCCGGATTACTCGGACGACGAGCCCACCACCTCCTCGCGACGCCGGCTGCAGCGCAGCAGAGCTGCAGACTCCGACTCTGACGCCGACGAACACCCCGCCGACAACATGGTCTCCTCACGCACGGCCAACTACCACGTCCCCACCACCGTCTTCGATGCCAACACGGGGCCCAAGGGCGTCATCGCCGACGCCCAGGCCTTCGAGAAGGCCCGCAAGAAGTCTTTCCGCCGCACCCTGCTCTCCGTCGCCGGCCTCGACAGCAACGGGTCCATCCTCGGCAGCAGCTCCCACAAGTCCACCCGTGACGAGTCCTCCGGCCGCCGCACCCCGGCCGACGGCTCGTCCGGCAGTGAGGACGACGAGGAGCGCTTCATGCGGAAGTGGCGCGCCTCCCGCATGCAGGAGCTGCAGAACCGCTCCATCCGCCGCTCGAGCCCACGCGGCCGCGTCTTCGGCAATGTGGAGACCGTCGATGCTGTCGGGTACCTCGATGCCATTGAGAAGGTCACTAGCGATACGGTTGTCGTGGTCATGATATTCGATCCAAGGGCATGTACCTCTCTTCTTTGTTTCTTTCCGATTCAACAACGCTAACCGATCATCCGTATAGAATGATGAGAGTAATATCGTTGAAGAGTGTCTCTCCAACATCGCCCGCCGCCAGCCTCTCGTTCGCTTCGTCAAGCTGCACCACGAGATCGCTGAAATGGACCACATTCAGGCGCCTGCCATCCTGGCCTACCGCGGCGGCGACGTCTTTACTACCATTGTGGATATCCTGCGCAACATCCCCAGAGGTCGCAGCCCGAGTGCTGATAGTCTGGAGGACTTGCTGAAGCTGTACGTCCCTTGTCCCTCTTTGATAAGTGCTTATACTGACTTGACTGTTCCTAGCAACCGGGTGCTCTGAATCCCATCTTGATATCCCACCCTTCCTTCGAGGGTGTCCCACCTTGCATGTTGATCAGTTCATTCGCACTGCAACATCGGCGTTTTTGGCTTTCTTTCCTTTTATCAGGTTTCTCCTTCTTACTCTCCTCTCCCCCCTTCTCTCTCTCTCCATCTCATCGGAGCATCTTTTTCCTGGGTTGTCAACATGAATGAACCAGCGGGACAAAAACAAGTGTCCTTTCTCTCTCCTACTGGAAAACGGCGTTGGAATCTACCTAATCGATAGAATCGCGTGGCCTTTTTCGGAGGCTCGGCTGGTCTGATCTGCTTTCTGTTACCTTGTTTTGCATTGCCCTTGTTCTTTCCCCCGCAATGTTTCTATCCATAATCCTTGCTTGTCTGCTCTGCTCTGCCTTGCTCCTCAAGTTCCTATGGTCTATTCGTTGTCTTGTCTGTGTTTATGCGTTCTCCTCTCCCTGGCTGGGCTGGACTCCGGTACTGGAGAGTTGTTGCATGTCGTCGGTCTTCGTCCTTTCATTTGGCTCCAGCCTTCATGTTGATGCTCGTGTTGATATTTTTTGTGATATCCCAGGTTGTACTTACTTAATACGCGTATTGTTGAGTGACTGTTGTCTTTCCTTCTCCATCTCGTAGATGCCCGCGTAGATTAGTTATAGGTGGGCAATAGTATAATAACTCGTTAGCTGCTTGATTGGCTCCCCCTAAATATATATCTCTACGCGTCCATACACATACTTGGTCTCCTATCTAACCAGTCCCGTTTCATTAAATTCAGTCTCATGCCTACCTTCGCAATCCACATACTAGTAAGAGAGAAGAAAGAAGGGGGTTGATTTTGTAGCAGGGAACGAGATAAGTACAGATTTTCGGAGTTGGTATCAGGGTTCGTAGATGGGGTTGGTTGTAATGTGATAGTCTCGTAGAAAAAGAGAGGACATGCAGAGGCCGAACATGCCATACAAAGACAAGAGGAAAGGAGAGATATAGACTCAACTCTTTCTTTTCCTCTGTCTTCTCACATATCTCCCCCTCCTCTCCTCCTCCTATGTAGCACTAACCTGATCCTTTTGAGGCAAATGCCCAGCAGAGACACAAAAGATTCGGAAAACAGAATGAAAAAGAGCAGGCCATCCAATTCAATCCACTCCTCTCCGATCTTTTCATTTCATTTCCCTCCTATCCACAAACTCCCCAGAAGATAAAAAAAAATGGCAAACGGCATGCAGTCCCGAGAAAAGGCCAGACGAGCGAACAGAAACAGAAGGGGGCAAAATAAACAGCCACGGGATAGAAGAATCTGAGGAAAAACAAAGAAAGCGTCCCTGAAGATCTAGATTGCACCCCGTTCTGCCGTGAAGTCCCACAGCATCTTGATCAGGCTGTCAGGGAGGGTATACAGATCGACATGGAACTCGCCGACTATGTTCCTCAAAGCATTAGTGATGGGTATGATAGGTACCAGACAGAAAGTTGAACTTACGCTCGACATCGTTCTTGGTATACGAGTCCGCAGCCTTGTTGTCGTGCACCATCTGCACAACCTGCAGCAGGTCATCCTCGTTGAGTTTTTGGAGACCATCAGCTAGTTTGTCCATGTCAACCTAGCAGAAACAAATCAGTATATAAGCACCGGTGGAACCAAAAAAGGAAAGAGCCAGGCATACGTTCTTCTCGGTCCGCTTCTTCTTCTTTGTACTCTCATCACCACCCGCAGCCCGCTTCTTCAACCCGTTTTCATCGCCGGGGACGGGGCCAGATTCGCGGAGAGCAGCCAGGAGGGCCGGCTTGGGGTTCTTGAACACCTACAGTCCCGCGCATGTCAGCGATAGCAAGAAATTTGGGAAGAATGTTGCCTCCACTTACGATAACGTGCTTGCTCTCGTACCGTTCGGTGGAGAAGTTCAAGTCATGCGAGATAGGGTGTGTCTTGTCCGCGGTCAGGTCGATGGTCATGTCAAACTCACCCCATCCTTCTTCCTGGATGCGAAACGGGGGGCTCTTGACCACTGGATTCAATGCTGTCAGCCCCGGGCTTTTACAGACGGTAGCCGAAACTAAGACGTACCCTGCGTAGCGCGATCCCCGAAACTCGGGTGCAAGCGGTATGTCACCCTTTCGAAGATAGTGGCGGGCACTTGTTCACCTCGCTCATTGAGGAGCCAGACCTCGATAGACCACGATCGCTGGGGAAAGCCTTCCACCTCCGACGGCTTGTCTCTGTATCAGACCAAACAGAATCAGCCTCAAATTCTCATGTTTTTTGGTCTTGTGTGCTGTTGATTGTTCTCCAAGTGTGGAGAATGGGAAGCCATGTGTGCGCGCGTGGTCACACCGTCATTGCGCGCATTCTGGTCTTCCCCGTGATCTGTCCGACTCAAAAGACAAGAGAGAGGACCCCATCTCCGTGTTGGACTGAATGCATGCCGGATCACCAGCGGTGGAAGGAAGAATTGAAGGAAGGGAGCGAACGAGGGAGGGAAAAAAGGTGTCGAGCACATACATGATATGCTGCTCCGTAACCAAGCGGACTGTTCTCTTGACCTGCATCGGACAAACGACATTATTAGCTTCGGATTTATCTCATCGGAGGACGTTGGTGTAGGGACGGGTAAAGCGACGGTCAGGCCAAAGCTCGTGGCCCTGCGCGGGCGTGACACGCGCGGTTGTATGAAGACTGCTGCTTCTATCGCTTTGCCGCGAGAGTAGAAAATGAAGATGAGGAACAAGGCAACTCACGTCAGGCATCTTGAAAGATTGGTAGGGCTTTGGAGCCGACGGTCCCGCTCAGCTAGGCAAGCTTGCTTCAGCCTCAGGTGGAGTAGCGCGTATGGCAGTGAGGCGGTCCGAGATGGTGGGACAGAACGCGCAGGATGAGCGAATTGCAGAGGAAAAGTAAAGGGAATGTTGGTGGCTGGGGGGTATATAGAGGGGAGGGGAGAGAGGGAAGAGTTAGTCGGGTATAAGAGAAGGGAGCAGAGGCAGGGCGGGGAGGAATTCCCGCAAACGAAGTTGACTTGACCACCACCGAGAGAGTATTGACTTATTTCTTCGTCCGACAGAGTAATTGACCTCGGGGATATCTGTGGTCGTTACTTATTTTTTTACTACTAATAACAAGGAGAAGACCGGAATGCGTGCAGGGTGTATATTCGATGGGAAAATGTCTATCTACTGCCGACTTGCAAGTCCACCGACATTCGGGGAACTGTCCTCCATTTCGTAAATCGCGTGGCTCACGATGGCTGTACGAGCAGCATCTTCGTCACTGCTGCCTCGCGTGCCGCGTCGTCGGGCATGGGGATTGGATGGGGGATAGCGAAGGGGGTTTGGGGATAAAGGGGGAGGCGATTGGAAATCGACATGAGGTGTTAAAAGGGGGTGGGAGCAAGATCCTGGACGATCCACGCAGCAAAGGGCCGGCGACAAGGTCGTAATGATCGTGACTCCATTTGCTCGGGGGAGTGTGGGAAGAGACGTTTACTCCTCGGCGCTGAATAGCTTCTCGTTTTCCTGCTGGGCCTTCTCGAAGGCATCCTTGAAAAGATTGGCGTCTACAATGTATTAGCAAAGTTCCGGTACTCAGTCAAGACAACTTACTCTCGCTGTTGGCGAAGCGGATGGCCAGAGTCTGAGCCTCGGGCTCGCCCTCGCTGACATCGGCGGTCGCGTTCCAGACCCAGCTGCGGTCACTGCCGACGTTGGGGCTCAACTTCATGTCGGGGACGACTGGACAGCGTTAGCAATTGCATCCCATAGATTCTCCAATGCAAACTCACCGTAGTGGTTGGCGCAGACCTTGAGGGTCTTGTCCCGGCGCATCACCAGGCGGGTCTTCTGGTTCTCCTTGTGCTTCAGCAACCGGACGTCACCAGTGCCGCGCTCCTTCCACTCCTTGCTCTCACGGTCGAACTTGAACAGCTTCGCGCGCATCTTGAAGACCTGCTCCTCGAGCTCCTCGTTGGTCTTGGTCTCCACCGTCTCGGTCAGGCGGATCACGGGCTCGAAGTGGACTTCGGGGGATTCGGGAGCATCGTCCTCCTGTACACCAGTGAATTAGCACATGTTTTTGTGAACAGCACAATTCGAAGTGAATAAAAAGATGCCCCGCCACACAGGACGTGGGCGGACTGCAGTGGTCTACACCTCGCAGGTACACGGCACACGACACTCCATTCCATCATGAATTGTCCAAAACTCACCTCCTCAGTGGCCTTCTGGGCCTTGGAAGAGCCAGAGGGCTCATCGGCACCCTCCTCAGTCTCCTCCTTCTTCTCCTTCTTCGGGCCACCGCCGAACATGGAGAAGACGCTGTCAGAGGTCTTCGCAGCAGCGTCCTTGGCAGTATCCGCAGCCTGCTTGGCAGTGTCGACAACAGCCTCAGTCGCAGACTTCTCGCCCTCACCCGTGGCGGCGCTGGTCTCCTCGGGCTTCTGGGCCGCCGCCTCAGGAGCAGCGGTGGTGGGGTCGGGCTTGGTCTCCGCGACGTCAGACATGGTGAGAGAGGATTGGAGGGGATTGGAGAGAGAAAGGGTTATGCAGAGCAGACAAGAGTGATTGAATAGAACAACAGGGGAGCCCAACGGAAAGATTTGTTTGTTGTAGGGAGGTCGATGAGGGGGGAAAATTCACTGGTTGGGTTTGGGTGTGGCCGCGGGCAAAATCCGCCACCGCCTAGCGACATAAGTTACGGGATCTACAGCATAACAACAACAAACAAAAGAGTGATTATTGATCGATTGATTGATTGATTCAGTTGAGTACTATTCATGTCGCCATTTGCAGTGAAGCAGAAGAAAAGAAAGAAATAAGAGACCACCATCAGCCAAAAACTAATATCAATAAGCAAGGAAGAAAACAGAGCGAGCAAAAGGGACCCATTCACTCTCCCCCTCTGCGTCCGACAAAGTAACGAGCCCTCGTTTGAGCTCGATCCAGCGCAGCACACTTCCTGGCATTGCGGACACGATCCATCATGGCATGGAGGTCAACTTTGGCAGCTGATTCCCCCAGACGATTCCACACGTCGCTGGCCAACACCTTGGCCTCGCGGTTCACTCGAGCAGATCGACGTTGCAATTCGGAAGAGACGCTGCGGAACCGCTGGACGGCAGTCTGGGAGAAGACACCAGAGAGCTGCTTGGATCGTGACAGGACAGTGTCTCGGACCTTCATGCTTTCACGGCGGAGCCGTTCTGCATCCTGGCGGAGGAAGTGCGACCTCTTGACCACGTCCCCGACGAGCACCTGTAGATCAGTAGAAACCCGGCCATACACCTCCGTGAGACCGGTCTGTGCCGTATGCCAGTCCTGTACGAGGTGCGAAGAGACGTCCTGCGCCGCCCGCCTCCAGCTTTCAATTTTTAGCCAGGGAGTCCCAAAGTCGACCGCCGTGGTTTGATTCAACGGTGACTTGGACTTGGCCACAATGGTCACGTTGACCACGCCGTAGGCATCCTCGCGACCCAGCTTCAGCGAATACACACCGTCAAATATCTGTGATAGTTCATATGGAAGCATCTGGTTGTGCCGGTGGACGCTCACGTTGAAGCGTGGTTGCTTTTTGGAGGATGTAAAGCTGTGTGGAGGTTTGATGACTACGTGACAGTCTCCGACGACCTGAATTTCAAAGGTATTGGTTCTCGCCGGCGAATTTGAGACTGGGATCGTGAGTCCCGTCGCTTCATTTGATGAATGGATGCGCAAACTCGGAACATCGCCTGGTGGCCGTACAGCGAGTGAGGTCTGCTTCAGCCGGTCCAAAGTCACGACAGCCGTGGGAGTATTGTAGTTTGTCGCAAGGGAAAATGAGTTGGTTGCAGTCGATCCAGCCATCCACTGGGCGAGGAAGAGCACCATCGTCTTTACAGCTGCATATCCGATCGAGAGCGCGATGGCCGAGATCAGGGTGAGAGTAACAAGACGTAACATCGGGGCTAGTTCGCGAGCCCGAGTGGTGTAGGAATGGGGGATCCAATTACCTGGGTACTTTTCGAGATCAAGGATGGAGTAATGATCAAGAGCCTTCCGGGTGTCGGAGGAGGCTTTATGTGTCTTCTTTGGATACAGACTCACAAGCGAAGCGAGATTTCGGTTGAGCTGACTAGGAGTGATGCTCTCAAACGTCTTCAAGTCAATTGGGTATCGCCTAAGAACAGCGGTCTCTCCCGTGAGACGATGCCGGGACTCTAGGCACATGTGAAGGCTGTTGTGATTCAGAGGGATGATTTCGCTAGGGTTTTTCCAGAGTGGCTCCTCTGAGATCACCATCGCGGGGATTCCATGCCGCTCGAGGAAGCTGTAGGCCAAGCGCCGGGTTTTCACGGTGACCGCATCATCACAAGAAGACACGAACAAGATTGCTACATCGGGCACAGTCCATTCCGTCGTGGATGAGACAGAGTATTCCGACCCCGTCCAGGAGGAGGTGCAAGGTGGTCGATTTTTGAACCTCAGGTTCACTGTATTGGGTTGATTCTCCTGAAGGCCAGCACTAGCTTCCAGACATTCATCGACCACGAGCTGGACATGGATCGGGAGGAGCTCTGCAAAGTTGGGTACGGCCCCGGCCCCGAACGATGTCGGCACAACATGGTATCGAGAGGACTCTGCAGAGCTTGTCTCTGAAGTGGGACATGAACTGGATACCAGGACATCACCGATTTTGTCAAGAATGATGTTTCGGAAGCCTGAGTGTCCAATGTAGAGCACCCGGAAAGGTTTATCTAAGTCGAGGCTTTGCTTGATCATGGTCTGCTGGACGGTGGCCATCAGAATTGAATCAGTCGAGCTATACGGAAGTCGGCTCTTCAATTCTGAGGCCGCTGCTCCCTCAAAGACGCGAATGGTATGCTTCAGCTCCACTCGTTCCTGTATCTCGGGCCATTTCTCGGGCTCCACGAACTCAATAGAGTCCAGGGAATGCGGAAGAGCAGGCTTCGTAGTCAAGTTGCTATCGTCGATAGGGCTTCCTTCTTGAGCGTAGAGTATAGGAAGCTCTTGAGTGCCAGAGATGTAGCTCTGGATATCATCCCCCGCGTCATTCAAGTCGGCCCCACCATAGTCCTGAGGATCGGCATCGCTGCCACTGTACCGGCCGTCGAGGCTTGCAACGTCGTCGGGGCTGGTCTGATCGATCAGAGACCCCACATCTGTCTGCTCGGAACGACTGCCGTCCTCCGAGTGTAGATCAGACACGCTCAGAGTGGCCCAGCTCTCGCTCAGAGTCTTGAGCGGATGATCGGGCAGTCGATCTGACGTCATGCTGGTAGGTCGTGAACGAGATAACCACTCCTCGACGGGGGCTGAGAGCGGCGGAAGGGTCGGATACTGGAGGTGGGAGGCAGTGCTGGTCGGACGCCTGCGGGATGACTCTGAAGTGTCAGTCATGGTTTTCTGCCAGAGGCAGTCATGGAGGTAAGTGGAGAAGCGGTTGCGAAAACCAAGGGAGCGAAAGAGCGAAACGAGACGGTCGGAAGGCAGGGGTAGATGAGGCGTAGATGGATGTAGGCAGGGGGAGGAACAGGCAGGAAGTCAAAAGGTAAGAAAGGAGGAAGATACAATCAGAGTCTCATGTGCCCAAATAGAGTGAGTGACCTGGTTAAGGCAGGTGGGCTGGTGGGTCCGCGGGGGGATGGTCCCGTTGGTCAAGCAGTAAACAGTGATACTATGTAGTACTCTGTGTTGGATTTGGCTGATGGTGGAATGTGAGTAGGAAGAGAGACAGAGAGAGAGAGCGAGCGTGAGAGGGGAAGAACAGGTGATGATGATAAGAGTGGATGACCCGGTGCCCAGTCATGGCGGGGAGGTACTGAGTACCGGATGAGACTATGGGAAGAGTATAGTGACACAAGTACCGAGTACCTGTAGGAAGTATATCTATGTTGTAGATAGTCACCCCATTAGTCGATCTACTGTGTTTGTGCAGGAGAACTTACTGGAATGAAGCTCTAGTAGATATTATCATTCTCTAATAGTAAACAGATGAGTTGGGTATACCAAGTCACTGTTGCCTGGTTCAGTGTGCCCGAACTACTTTTGACTGGCAGTTTGGCTCGGGTGTTTCGGATCACCAAGACTAAATAATGGTTACATTATTGGAGCCTACTTCGAATGACTGGTCATCCTCATAGGATCCGAAGCATCTCCCCTGCTCGATGGAAGACATCTTTAGCTAATTTCATTATTTCGTTGCTGGTCGGCCTACTAACTATTCCCTGGTTGCTGCGCGCACTGCCAGTCTGTGTATTATCTACCTTCCTAGCCTACCTCGACGGCCGATTGCTCATTTTCCTTATCGAAGGCACTAAATCCAAGCCACTCAGCGAAAAGGTCACCAGGTGGGGTTATTTATCTCTCTAGACCCTGAATTCCTTGCGTAGTCCCATCGCATCCACTATGTAGAGCTACCAATTTCCTTCGGGCCCCATGGGGCTAGATTGATCAAACACTTAACCTTGTGTCCAAGCGCAAGCTAATTTTATTATTAGATTGCCGCGGACTCTCAATTCTTGGTTTAAAAGGTCACCGGGTGAGTTACTACTCTCTCTAGACCCTGAATTCCTGCGTAGTCCCATCGCATCCACTATGTAGAGCCACCAATTTCCTTCGGGCCCCATGGGGCCAGATTGATCAAACGCTTAACCCTATGCCCAAGCGCAAGCTAGTTTATTAATAGTTTGCCGCGGTCTCTCAGTTCTTGGTATTGGCGAGTGAACAACTATAACCGGTGTATATCTCCCATCAATATTGAATAATATATACCATAATCATGATATCATTTAACCCCTGTTCGGTGAAATAATTAAGCTAAACCGGGCATTTATTTCTCTTTCCTCCATCCTGAACAAATTCGTTCCTGGGGTTAGTGTGGGTCGGGCTTTTTGGTAAAGGGGCCAAGGATCGCATTAAGCTAAATGGGGCGGAATGGCGTGTGTTCCAGGGTCCAGGATTGTTGGTGCTCTCAATGGCTTGAAAACCTCCTACCAAGTAATTGGTTGAAGAATAGAACGCCAAAAGACTCAGGTAAAAAGAGGTCCAAGGAAAATGCTATAAATCCCTGAACCCTTCCAAAGTACTACTCTCCAGTACGGGTACGCTTGGCACATTTCTATACCTCCACTTAACTCGCCTTCTTTTCTGCATATATACTACTGTGTGGTGTATACCTTCACATCATGTATCTTTCCAGTACCCTCGTCATCACCTCTCTGCTTGCCAGCATTGTCAACAGCAGCCCTCTCTTCCCGCTGGCCCGGGAACCCAACGCGCAGCCCAAACAAACGCTCACCTTTACGGAATCCGAGAATAACGGCTATTGTTTTGCTAAACTGGATAATATCCTCGGATGCTCAGGGGAAACCATCTATCCCATTGGCGAATTCGTCAATGACCGCTGCACCAAATGTAATGCCCTTATACTTCAACAATACTCCACCATTCCGACTAACAAACATATTACAGTCACCTCGGCTCTTGCTGATAACGAACCCTCAGCCGCTATCCCTGTCTGTGACAGGAAACTGACGGTGACATGGACCAAAGACGTATGGGGCAACCAGCAGGCTGCATTTAAGTTCCCCAAAGCCGACATCGGGGAAGAACGGATGGAGATCGTCGGTGTCAACTTTTATACCAAGGGAGTCGCCAATGAGGTTGGAGTCACCGAGAATTTTCTGACATGGTGATTTCAGTGCAGCACAGTAAACACTGCTGGCCGGGGGTTTGTTATGGTTTAAAAGGTTTCGCGCGCTGGGGCCGCGGAAGTCAGATTTTACCAGTATATGCTTAGAGAGCGTGATTTTGTAAATAACCAGTTATAAGATATCCCCTTTGTAATCAGAATTAGAATGGAAAAATTTTCCACCTCGGGTCCAAACTGTGCTCTATGTTATGTTGTAGTATTCTTTTTGCGACAGTCGATGTTCGAGCCGACAGCCATCGTATCGCCGAAGCCGATAAGATGAGGCAAAGTACTGGATACTTGCATCTGGGTGTCAAGGCCTAGCCTAGAGCAGGTACCAGATACTTCCCCGGATAACGAGCTAGCCCTTGAGCCTCGGCAGTTTCGGGGGCAAAGCGGAGAACACCAATACTTCTCAAAAGGCCTCGTCTTCTTCCTCTTCCACCTTCACTTCCTGCCTTTTGTTCCTCCCATCCCTCTATACAGTCGGTAAGTGATACAAGCAGCATTCCTTCTAGCCATTATTATTCCCTCGCAAGCCCGCATCGCAACACTCCGAATTCCCCGCAATAACTTCCAACCCAACACTGGCGTTTGGCCGAGGGACAAAATGCATACTAACACTCTTCGAATTAGTCTCTCCATCCCCAAGACATCATGGCCGCAGATCGTCTGAGCTCTCTCCTGAGCCACCTCAAGCCCGGCTCCAGCGGCGTCAACGCCATGTAGGTACCTCAGACCCAATCATATGGCCAAGTCTAAAAAGTCGCACAGCACTCAAAAGAACCCGGATGACGTGGTGATCACCCTCGCCCTGCGGACACCTCTGACCAAGGCCCGCAAAGGTGGCTTCAAGGACACAGAGCTGGACTACATCGTGTACGCCCTGCTGAAGGAAACTTTATCCAAGTCGAAAATCGACCCTGCGCTGATCGAGGACGTGTGCCTGGGCAATGTCAACGACGGCAAGGCCGCCTACATGGTCCGCGCTGCCGCTTTGGCAGCCGGCATCCCGCACACCTCGGGTGCCTCGTCCGTCAACCGCTTCTGCTCGTCCGGCCTGAAGGCCGTGCAGGACATCGCGAACCAGATCTCGTTGGGCGCCATCGACATCGGTGTTGCGCTCGGCGCAGAGCTGATGTCTGCCGCAGGCGATCGATTGGAGCGCCCGTTCAACGAGGAAGTGCTGCGCAACCCGGAGTCGGCCGACTGCATGCAGCCCATGGGCCAAACCTCGGAGAACGTCGGTGCCGACTTTGGCATCTCACGCGAGATGCAGGACCGCTACGCGGCGGAGTCGTTCCGTCGTGCGGAGGCTGCGCAGAAGGCGGGCTGGTTTGATGATGAGATCGTCCCGATCACTACCAAGGTCAAGGACCCCAAGACCGGCGAGGTGACGCAGGTCACTCTCACTCGCGATGACGGCGTTCGCTACGGCACGACCGCCGAGTCTCTGAGCAAGATCCGGCCTGCGTTCCCGCAGTTCGGTGACCGGACGACTGGTGGCAATGCCAGCCAGGTGACTGACGGCGGTATGTTTTCTTCCTCTCTTTTTTTTTTTTACCATAGTAAGCTATACTAACATCCAAAACAGCCGCCTCCGTCCTCCTCATGCGCCGCTCCAAGGCCATCGAGCTCAACCAACCCATCCTGGCCAAGTTCTGCGGCGCCACCGTGGCCGGCGTCCCACCGCGCGTGATGGGCATCGGCCCAACGGCCGCCATCCCCAAGCTGCTGAGCAAGTTCAACCTGAGCAAGGACGATATTGAAATCTACGAGATCAACGAGGCCTTTGCCTCCATGGCCGTCTACTGCGTCAGCAACCTCGGTCTCGACCACGCCAAGGTCAACCCGCGTGGTGGCGCCATTGCTCTCGGCCACCCGCTGGGAGCTACCGGAGCGCGCCAGATTGCTACGATTCTCAGCGAGGCACGCCGCACGAAGAAGAAGGTTCTTGTCACGAGTATGTGTATTGGAACTGGCCAGGGTATGGCTGGTCTGTTCGTTAACGAGCAAGTGTAAATACTGCATTACTGAGAATTTCATGAGAATGTCATTATTGTTCATGGGAATATAACTATCATCAGTCGTAAAAAGATAGCAGTCGTAGTCGTAGTATGTACAAACAGTGGATGTCGTAAATGCGCAATGTATGCTATATCACGGAACTTCATGCTCCTGATCCCCCTGCTCGGTATGCTTCCTCTCCTTCCGCATCCTCTCCTCGGCTGCACGCGCCAGGATCTCCCTGCGACTCTCGCTGCTGCTCTCAGCCATCCCAACCCTCCTCCCAGCATCATCCTCCCTCAACCCACCCAGCACAAACTCACCTCCCGTCCACCCCTGCTCATCCACATGCTCCAGCCCACCCTGCGCACTGTCCCAATCGGCCGGATTATAAAATTCATTCTCCGTAAGCCGATGCCCACTTGCCGCCTGCTCCACCTCGCGTTCAATCTGCGCCGTCAGATCCCAGAAATCACGATCATGTTCCCCAAACACACAGTGCGCCAGCTCGTGACACAGTGTTTTGCGGATCGTGCGGTAATCCCGGTATCCGTCGTAGGCATCTGTGCGTAGGCGCAGCTCGATCACCTCGCCTTTATTCCTGTTTAACCCGAGGGTGCGCGACTCCATGGTTGTGTGTTCGATGGGGTTCATTTCTGTGAGGAGCGGCACGCTGAATTTGTGTTTTGCCATTGCGGCGCGGATACCCCGGTCATCGCGTAGGCGGGTGAGGAAGGCGAGGGAGCGTTCGGGTTGCGGGAGGTACGAGAGTGGAAGGAGGCGATGGAATGTGTAGTTATTGTTTGGGCTTGAGCTGGAGAGTGTGTGCACACCAGTCCGGGATGCTGAGGCGGGCTTGGGATTTCGTCGGGCTGCGGCTAGCGCTGAGGCGCGAGCTTCGTCGCGACGCCGTGTGCTGGCGGATTGCTCGTGCAGGTCGGCGATGGCCTTGGCGGGGGTGCCGAGGAGGGTGATTTTGAGCTTGGGCGAGCTGAGGGGGATGAGCGCATCGAGGCGGGTGGGCGGGAACGGGGCCTTTTGCATCCCCGGCTTGGGCGCGATCAGTAGCTTCTGGTTTGCGACTGGGATGTTGAGGGTTGTCTCGATTAGAGAGGTGAGGTCGTGGAGAGTTGCCGAGGCGGCAAGCTGAAGCGTGTGAGGGTTGCCATGGTGGTGAACGGTCAGCTCGAGAGAGTCCATGATTATTAGGTGGTTGGAGGTAGGAAAAACCCAAAGAGAAAACAAGATAAGCTGATATAGTTGCCCTGCGGAGGCGAAATTCGATGCGCTTCCACTCGGTTTGTAAGCGCCGAAACAGGCAATTTGTATACTTGGGACTTTACACCGTTACTTCCATCAACCATATGACAAGTTCCGTAGCCAGCCGCTCAGGTTGATCAAACATGATCAAATGCCCTGCTTCCTTGACCAAAACGACTTCCTTTGCCCCAATCATCTGGGCTAATCTCTCTGCGCGATCAACGGGAATCCATTTGTCCTCGATTCCCCAGATAATCTTCACTGGAGCCGTGCTACCGATATCTCTATAGCGTCCCTCGATATCCTCCACATGTCTCTGGTCAGCTTGTACTATCTGTCGGATAAACGCCTCTTGGCCCTGACGCCCATCGGCAACCCACGGTTGCACAAGCTGGTCTTCAACAAGACTCGGGAGAGGCTTAAATGCCGCTCCCTGGATATATGCGTGAACCATGCCTCGGAAGACTTCGTCCGAGATCGAGGTGAAGATGGACTGGTTCTGGGAGACAAGACGGAAAAAGGGACTTCCGAAAGGACGGAGAGCGACAACATCAATCAGGCAGAGGCTCGCATATTGACAGCCAAACAGGATATTCGCGCAGAGTGTAATAAGCCCGCCGTTATCATGTGCAATGACGTGTGGAAGTCGGTCCGTGGTGAAATTCCATGACCTGTAGAGGGCGGCGAATGCCTCAGCCTGGCCGGCAAGAGACGCGTCCAATTCTTCGGTGTTACCATCCTTGGGGGCTATAGGCATACCCCCGAGTGATTCACCGAAGCCAGGATTATCAAAGAGATAAACCTTGTAACGACAGGAAAGTGACTCTGCGAAAGGCATCCAGACATAAGAAGACCAAGGCGTTCCGTGGACGAAAACAAGCGGTGGGTTGCTATCATCGCCGAGACATGTCCAGCGGATTGAATATTCATAACCATCACTCCGGTAAGTGAAGTTTTCGCCTAAGGCTACTGGATTGAGGGCCATCTTTTGTTTTGTTCGCTCTCGAGCTGTGGATTCTGCTAGCCGAGAAGATGAGATTGCCTTATTATGGAGGTGGAACAATAGAAATAGATGTAGATACATTGTTCTTTTTTGTCTGTCTTGGAAATGCCGGTCTTGGATTGACTCATTCCTGCTAGATTGAATACGAGATCTACTGAACCGAATCAACCAGATTCTTACGAAATTTAGAGTAATCTTCTCGTATAGTGGTGTAAGACGGCATTATGTAGGTCCGTCAATATAGACGAGATGATCTTCACGCTTGATGATTGTTTACAGCCATATTCGAAAACATTTTACTCCACACTCTTGCGACTTAGTTCTTGAACCCTAACACGAGATACGCTAATCTGATTATAGCTCTTCCCATAGTAATCCCTGTAGGGCTGCATCGTATTCATCCGTAGAAACCGATCGAATAATTGATAGGATCTACCAGACCGGTAGATGGCTTACTTCATGTCAAACAGCCCCTGGTCTAAGCAAATATTCAGTATAGAATGGAATCCCTGCATTCTCATGATAAATAGAGCGCTTTTAGATAGTTACAATTGAACACTTTTCCCTCTCTCTTGGGGACCATTGGCCCATTCGTTCACTTGTCGATACACGCATTCCGATCAGCGTAATTCAAGCCTCATGCAGAGACAGATTCAAGTCCTGGCCGATGACTTTTCCGCCTTCCAGTTTTACCTGTTCGATGGGTTGAAACACGAAGAAGACACGTAAAACACCAGAATTGTCTTTCTTTTCAGTAATATTCCGCCAAGCATGAGCTGTACCTCGTTGAACAAATACATCACCCTTTTTTAGTACTGTTTTCTCACCAGAATCAAGGACTAGTTCTGTAGTGCCATCAATTACGACACCATAATCGAGGGTCGCTGTTCGGTGCATCGGGACAGCTGAACCCGCAGGAACCTCGATGATTGTGCAGGAGGTGCCGTTTGGCGGATTCAAAGGCGATGGATCCGAGAGCTGGGAGTGATAGTGCTTGATGTCGAGATTGGCCTTTGGCTCTGGTGTTGCAGAACTTGGAGGGGAAAGCCCTTTCACGGGAAAAGTACTTGTATTATAGGCCAGAGCATAGTCTGACGTTGTGGGTTTGCCAGGGGGAACTGGGAACCCAGTAAATGATACCTGTTCCTTAACCGCGTTGCTAAAGATAGCTTGGCCACTTGTAGGATCATGAGTTGTGATGACCCGACGGAGAGCTTCGGGCTGTCTTTTTCCGACCGACATATTATTGTCAAGGTTAAGAGAGAACAAAGCGGATACTTAAAATTCAGCACCAGTTAGTTGAAACCGAGAATATGCCAGATTTGAGCCTAGGCACGTTCGGCACTTATATATTTAACTCTAGAAGGAATATGACTTAAATTCTAGATCATCGTAAATTTAACAAGTCAACAAGAGACCAATATTCTCGTCATAGGATGTGGGTAGTTACCAGTGTGACTTTTAATTAACCATCGATCCCTTTACCAGGGTCTGGCGACCCACGGAAACCTTTTCCATATAATAACAACTATTTTTTGTCATCTTAAGGTCATAGTGACCCCATTCAAAATACTAACTCATGAGCACGCCATGGATGAAAGTACAGCATTGGGATTGTATGGGAGTCTCAGACTTTTGGAACACCACTGCACTAGATATGAGGCATATAACGATTTTAGTCCTGTTTTCCATACCCGCAGTTAAGTGCCACTTCACATGTTAAGTCGAGGAAGCGCATCGCATCATATTGTAGGCGCTACGATAGATTGGTTTTTCTCTAAATCTTAACAAAGTCCTGGAGTCGAGTCTATGCGAGTGCAAGAGAACAGAATAGCGAAGGTACGTGGCACGCTCCCTCGATTTTAGGTGAGCATTTTTCAAAAGATCTCCATTTTTTTGAAATTATAATAGGATTTTGATAAATATACTTTTCCCAAGCTCTTGTTAGAATAAAAAAGATTCGAAACCCGCGTGAAGCATTTGAACTTATCAGGAAAACTTTTGTCCAGCACATTGAAGTATTGCATAGTGAAGCTCAGAGGTCTGATAACGCGGGTGCTCCTGGTGCTGGAGGCGCGGAAAATTTTGTCTGGATAAACACCTTCTGTATGCCCATTTCGCGTTTATTGAATAAATCATAGACCGTCTCCATGTCTTCGAGCTTGAACCGATGGGTGACCATATGAAGAGGGTGGATCTTCCCCTCTTGGATATACTTTAAGAGGAGATTCCAGTATTTTTGGACAGGAGCTTGTCCATTGCCAGCGAGATGGATTCCAGTCTCCATTAACGAACCAATGTTGAAATGGTTACACTATCCTCGTTAGTATAACAGTTTTACTATAGGAAGATGCCACTCACATAACCAGCATATACACCTGTGACACCACAACGGCCGAACCCACGGACAGAGGTAATCATCTCATTAAGGAGTTCAGACGTATCCGTTTCCATTCCCAGTAGTCTTTCAAAGTAATGAGCCCATCCTTTCGCATACTCACCAGCGGCACACTCAATCGCAACATCAGGTCCACGGCCGTCGCACATTTTTTTTAGAGTTACGGTAACAGACTCCTCTTTTAGGTTCGTATACTCGATTGTCTCGAGCTTAGGTAGAACCTTTTTGACGAAGTCTAGTCGCCATTTTCCATGGCCGCCATCAATAAGGATAACCCTCTTAGCACCATTGAAGAAGCTGAATTCAGCGGCCATTTGCCCAACTGGGCCTGCTCCCCAGATTGCCACAGTGTCACCCTCTTCAACTCCTGTATCAACAACGGCGTTCCAAGATGTTGCTAGCACATCGGAAAGGTAGAGACCTTTCTCATCAGGGACGTCGTCAGGCAGCTGAAGGAGATTCACGTCACCATAAGGGACACGAACATACTCCGCTTGCCCACCAGCAAAGCCTCCCGTGAAGTGGGAGTATCCAAACATGCCTAATACGGCCTTAGTATAATAGCCTCACATCAGACAGCTATCTAAAGAGGGAACATACCAGCTGTTCGACGTCCATATAGCTTACTAGCCGCCTCGCTCGAATTCGTGCGCTCACACATTGAGGACAACTTCTTTTCGCAATAATAACACTTCCCACAGGCAATTTGAAAGGACGCCACAACGCGGTCGCCCACTTGAACCTTCTTGACTGCCGGTCCCACGCTTGAGATAATGCCGCAGAATTCGTGGCCAAGGATATCACCTTTCTGGAGATCAGGGATGGCCTCTATATATCGATAACGGATGAGCAGCATTTCATTGTTATCAAGTCACTACATACCATGGAAGAGGTGTAAATCACTCCCACAAATAGTGCTGCCCGTCACCTTAAGTATGACATCGCCTTCATCGATGATCTTCGGGCGAGCCGTCTCCACTATAACAAACTGTATGAGCAAGAAAACCGAATTATGCCGAGAGATTGAATTGAAGGTCGTGATGGGCAGAATGACTGACCAACTTTAACCGAATTCTTCCCTTGCCAGGTCAAGGCTTTCATCCTATGGCTTAGGTCGCCATATCCCTGGGCCCCGTAGTTGCTAACGTCTGTAGTGATAGAGGCAGCCATTGTATAAGTCCACTAAGAATTTCTGCTCGAGAATTTTTTGAGTGCAATGATTTATTTTCGTTTTGATTGATTGGCCTTTGGCTCGTTCAAATCGTAAGGAGGAGAGTTATATATTCGTCTACCGGGAAGCGAGGCGCCTTCGATTTTTGACATCATCTTTGGGTCTCCGAGCTCCATATCAAACGAATTGAGGACCATTGAACCAATATTTGGTTATGAAAGGTTCTAAAATAGTGGAGCTATTTAAGGAATGTCAAACTGTGGAACCAGGATACTAACTTTATTGTTTCTGCAACATGAAAGTTTTTTTCATTGCTTGGTAGGTCCAAACGTTAACGGCCGTTCTGAACACCCATGAAGTTACGACTAAGCGGGTGCTGCTTCCTATGACGACGTAGTTAAAAATCTTGAGTCTAGACGATCAGTGGCCTTCTGTTCGTAACAGAGTCGTCATCAATCCAAATTTTGACCGTCATAATTTGTCGCACGCGCATTCTCTAATTATTGTCTTTTGGGACGAGATTAATCAATTTTGGTCGTTTTGGAATTGGGAGCTTGGCTGCTTCGGGATTGTGCCTCCGAGGCAGTGAAGGGGGGCAAGGAGATGACATCACACTGTCCAAAGAAAGGACCTGGTCATTTTATACTATATGTCAAAATCTAGACGTATGACGGTCCTACATGGAAGTGCAAATCACGGAGCAATTAATCTCTGATTCTGATAAATCTAGGGAATGCCCAACAACTTAAAGGCAAACTATCCAACAATAATAGTTAACTAGACTAATACAAATTAGGTAATAATTCTCCCTTGTACTTTCAGCATTTGGACTGGACCGGCTGGATTCAAGCGCCATATAACTTCTGGTGCGTCGCTCAACCGTCCCGTCGATGCATTTCCTCCTACGCCGGCCGCCCACCCACTCTAACGACTCGAAATAATACGGTATTGTCGGATCACACGGTGCATTCCTCCCTGCCTCAACATAACCCTTCATCGACATCGTCGCCCCTTCATCTCCGCCATTCCCGCTCCACGCCGACCGGCCTTGCCAGGCTACAATCGCCCTCGCTCAGGGCGGGCCACCACCACGCTCATCGACAGAGCCAAATTTTGGTATTACGATTTGCTGCTCTTTCAGATCTCGCCATGTACATGAGGTCTGCCTGATGCAGATTGAGCGCAACTATTCGAGGCCCGCTGCTGACTTGCACGAAGTTGGGACGAGTGCACCCTTGTCATCGGCTCACATCGCAAAATGAACTGAGTGCATGGTTGTGTGCTGTTCATATGCCCTACCAGAGACCCCATAGGTCCCTCTGGCCTCACGGATATTCACTTTCAGCGAAGAAAATATTTCCGATGTTTCATATGCCTCTACAAGCCATTGGCCCTTCAACCACACCATGCGGGTCCTTGATGCTGACCAGCTGATGATTCGGATAGTGTGAAGACCTGGCAGGTCAACATCACGTGGCTCTGTTAGCACTGTTTGCAAGCGTTCTGTATTTAGTCTGCTTGCCTTCTTCAGCTGTTGTCTTCTTTCTCTTCCTCTCTAGTTTGAAAATTTTCGTTGAGGTTACTTGATCTTTTCCATCAACCTGGACCCTCACAGGCTTAATATGATTGATCCAAAGCTTATCGTATCTATGCAAGTGCGGCTTAAGAGCGGCACTTAGCGGCTAGACCTAGAACTAACACCGGTTTCCCATTTCCGTGCATGATCTACTTTGCATTTTCCCGTCCCTATTTGAACAAGTTTTCGCATTGCATGCTTGACAAATAGTCATCAAACCAATCGTTGTTTCCACACAGTTTTTTGCGGCCTTGATATCTTTATCACCTTGATCATTGTTTGACAGCCATGGGTTCCCTCAATATTCAAGCACAGCCACAAGTTAATACTCAGTGTCGAATCCCCGAGGTTGAAGAAAGACAGGATTTATCAAGGCATTACTCACCCATGGTCGAGGAGACTGAGCTGAATTTCGATACGGGTTTGCTGGCATGGCTGCAGGTACTGGGTTCATTCCTCCTATTTTTTAATTCATGGTACGTCACTTTAACCTCAAATGAACGGAGTGAAATATAATTTGTCTATATATGGCAACCAGGGGGTTGATCAACACATGGGGAGCATACCAAACCTATTATGAGCGAAACTTGCTATCGGATTTCTCGTCGTCCTCTATAGCCTGGATAGGGTCTCTTCAGTCGTGTCTTCTTATGGTGGTTGGTATTTTTACGGGCCCACTGTTTGACGCAGGCTACTTCTATGGGCTGACCAGCTTTGCAGCTTTCGTGCTGCCGTTTGCCTTAATGATGACGAGCATTTCAACCGAGTACTGGCAATTAATCCTCGCTCAGGGTCTCTGCGTTGGTCTAGCAGCCGGTTGTCTCCTCGTGCCATCTATTGCCGTTCTACCTCAATATTTTCGACGCAGAATAGCTTTTGCTAACGGCGTCGCCGCTAGCGGTAGTAGCATCGGTGGTGTTATATATCCCATCATGTTTGATCAGCTGCGAAGAAAGGTCGGTTTTGCCTGGGCGACACGAGGCCTCGGCTTCGTCTGTTTTGCCACTGTTTGTATATCAATGAGCATTATGCGTGTGCGCATTACGCCGAAAGAGAAACGCAAGCTTTTTAACTCTTCTGCTTTCAAAGAACCGACATACTGCCTTTTCGCTGGAGCGATGTTCCTGGGCTTTCTGGGGTTCTATAATTTTCTCTTCTACGTTCAGACGTATGCGATCGAAACTGGCATCGTCAACAGTGACGTGGGTTTCTATTTGGTTCCCATGCTGAATGCTGCCTCGACCTTCGGTCGCATCCTGCCAAATTTGGTCGCCGACCACACTGGGCCACTCAATATGTTGACTCCTGCCGTGTTAACAACCTCCGCTCTGGCTTTCATATGGATCTCAGTACATGATGCGGCTAGTATGATTGTCTTGACCATTTTCTACGGCTTCCTGTCGGGTGGGTTTGTCTCGTTACCCCCAGTGGTGATGGCCAGCCTGACATCGGATATGCGGTTTTTTGGTACCCGTCTTGGCATGCTTTTTGCCATAATGTCGATCGGCCTGTTGGTTGGCACTCCGATCGGCGGTGCCATTCTGAGTGCCACTCAACAGTATCTAGGTGTTCAGCTGTTCACAGCGAGTTGTCTCGGCGCATCGGCAATTTTGCTGACTTTCTTGCGATTCATGCGTTCCGGCTTTGTTCTAGTTTCTAGAACATAATATCTGTTGTTACGTGGCTTAGTTTAGCTCCTGTTCTTTCGTAGCCAGTCTTGACATATTTTATCTTGAGCCGTCGGGCTCGTTTTCCCTCCGATGAACTTTTCTCATGCGTCTAAAGTCCTCATACAGCTCTAGCAACATAAATTCTGCTCTTGGTCGACTCGACTCGCAGTACGATACATGTGGGATCCCATTCAAGCTAGAAACTAGGCCTGTGATCAGTGAATCCAATCACTCCCCTTCCCACCCTGTGCCGGCCTCAGCACGTATGGCGACTCACTATCGAGTGTTTAAATTGAGGTAAGCTATTTCGCCGAAACACCGAAACTCCGAAAGCGGGGGTCCGAGCCTTTGCCGAAAGGTACTTGTCAAAATGAAGGATTGCTGTGTAGAACCGAAAAGAGGGCTCTTAAGAAACATGGGCACTATTGTCATGAGGTCATTAGAATTTGGTCGTCGCCTACAAGGTGCTCTCGGGAATCATCTGGGCATGCGACACGGATGAATAATTGAGTTCAAGACAAGCTTAGATACCACGGGCGGTCTGGCGTCACATCTCACCAGGATCGTTCCCACCGGCCTGATCGCTAACGTGCTGACATGAAACTTTCTTCTCTCTCTATGCTTTTTTTGCTCTTGCCGCAGATTAACGTGGGTGTATTTACATGATGAACTCAGTGAATGAGAAACACCCGGTTCAGAAAGCCTTCCCTTTCATCGCCTATGCATCATCTTACGGATCTTGCGAAGATGAAAAGGCGAGGAATCGCATTTTCGTACGATCGTACGCTGCACAGAAGCGGATATATCCAGGGACAGATGTTCTCGACGGTCCGAGTCAAAAAAATCCCAAAGACACCCGGGGTATCTTGCAAAACGCACGTCGCTCTGTAACGGCCATGGATCCAGTACTCTTACCGCTTTCGAGTGCGTTGAGGCCAAAGGATTCATCTGGATACGAAATTCAGCCCCCATCGGACCACTGGGATCGCTTCAACGAGCGCTCCAGACGGCCAGTCAAGGCGAGCCCAAAAAAACCCAACAAGGTCACAAAAGAATGTATTTTTCCGCCGGCCGAGATTGAATATCTTGCAATGGGTGCAATGGATCCTTTCCGAACCTACCCGCTTAGGAACTTACCTCAGGGTACTTTCGAAGAATGCTTCGATTACAGTACGTTCCTGCTAGATTCTTTGCCTCAGATAGCTCATGACGTTAGCAGATTTATCTGTGCTGTGGCCCAGTCTGTTTCTGGGAAGCGGAGAAAAGGAGACAAAAGCTACCATAAATGCGTGGTCTCGTTGCTACATAGTGGATGAACCATCCTGTTTCGCATTGTGCTTCTGCGCACTATGCCACAAGCATTCACATGGCTATCCGTCTGAAAGCCCCAGTGACCAAATTACACCCGCTGAAAAAGAAAAGAGACTCATTTTCTTAGAGATGGAATCAGCACGGGTCATTAATGAAGCTCTAAGGACCAGCTGCCAGCCTATCACTGATTCTCTGATTCTGAGCGCTCTGTGTATGGCCAACAATAGTTCCAGTGGGGACATAGTCTCCAAAAACGGGGCATCATCGTTTAGGCCGCCGCTGCGCCAGCTACAATGGCTAGACATATACGCAACCGCCTCATTCAACGCTACGTATCATATGGGTCTATACCACCTGATCCAGCTCAGAGGAGGTCTCGAGAGCATTGAACTCCCCGGTCTTGCTACAATTATCTCCTTGTAAGCTCGCCCTGTTCTCGACGGAGATTCCTCATTTCATATAAGTTGTTTAGTTCTAACCTTTACAGTTCTGATATTATAGCCGCAAGCAGGTTGCTCTCTTGCCCACGATTCTCCTTTGTGCCTTTACAGAGATTTCCAATGTTCACGTTACAAGAGGTTCTTCGAGAGGAAAAATTAGATATGGAAACCGACTTTGGGCAATATCTTGAAGTTGGATTTACTCAGCAGTTGACAGAGGCTTTCAAGGCAATGAAGTCCTACATATTTCTCCTCCAGGGTCTCGAAAAGCGCCAAGTGATACTCGAAGACACACAACTTCGAGAAATTGCAGACAGGCGAAACCTAATACAGCACACTATGCTATGTCTTCCTTTGGGGAAGGCGCTTCATGAGTTTTCCCTGGAAGGCATATTCTTATATGAAGCCTGCCGAATTTCTGGTCTTATTTTCTCTATTGGGGTGATTTTTCCATTGCCATCTGAAACAGCCCCTTTGCCGCGTCTGGCGGTTATGCTGAAGCTCGAGCTTCAACGAGTCCCTTTGTCCCGATGTCAATCAGTTTGTGCCAGAGAGATCTTGCTCTGGATCCTTGTAATTGGTGGCATAGCTGCAATTGACACGCTGGAAATGAGCTGGTTTGTATCTCAACTTGGACCAGTGGCTGAAGCAAATGATGTTCGTGAATGGGGTCACCTCAAAAGATGTTTAAAGAACATTCTTTGGTTCGATAGCGCGTGTGATGTTGCAGGGCAACGGCTGTGGTATGAGGCCGTAAAGTCACATTCTTTACACAACGAATCGTCGGACTAATTATGACCCAAATGGTACCTCTTTGCTACGGTAGTTTGCTGTCTCGATTTTAGCATTTCTTTTCTCGCATTCTTGGCACATTTTTTCCTTTCACTACTGGTTTAGAAGAATCTCGTGCTAGAATCATTAGGTCATATTTTCAGAACTTGTTCACTTTGCAACATCTGCTAAATAAGAAGTGCTTCTGCAGTCAAATCGTTGATAACTGGACTCCTAAAAGATCTACAGGAAAATTACTGGATTTACGCAATTAACCTGGATCAGAAATGGCTTATCCTTTCTTTTATTTTTGCGTGTCTAAATTTCAATTATATATGCTAACAAGTTTAATAGGTTACCTGCGTTAAATTGAACTCATATGACAGCTCGATATCAAATGCCGTTATTACGATCAAAGCAAAGTGTCTGCGACTTGTGAATCATGGTCGCAGGCTTCGGTCGCAAATTGCTATAGTACACAGATATTGTTTGACTATTTGTTTACCATCTACCTACAGATATTATCATGGAAGTTCCGTCATTGAAAGCCCAGCGACAGTAGTAGACCAGGTATCATATAAATGTCTGGAAATAGTAACAGCTGAGGCCGATTATAAGCACAGTACTCAAATTAAGGCCCACGAGAATTTGCCGAGCAAGGGCCTCCACTGCCCATAAATACATTATACACGTTGAAGGAGCAACCATTAGTGCCTTGATCAGCCCAATGGTAATTCCTTCGGTGTGCTTACCCGAAGTAGACAATGCCCCACCTTCAAAGTATGCCGCACCTGTGGAGCTACCTCCCTTCCGTCTGACACTTTTAAGCAGCCACAAACAGCGCAGGAGCTCTGGTCAGCTGTTTGGATCAGTTGTAGATGACATCAATTCCTACCTTTACTTAAATGGTCTTGCTGTCTTTATTTCCTTCGTCAGCCGTTGTTTCTTTTCGTCAACGTACTATCTCCCCTCTTTTCGCTCATCGCCTCATCACTGGACAAACAGCCATGGTGGACCAAGACTACATGACTGTGGAGCCTGCCACCCTGGCTGATATATCTGATTTGATCTCTCTTATCAACGAGGGACTTAACCCGGAAGGAGAGGAAAATGTTTATCCGCACGATGTTCACGGGACTAAGTTTGCTACGGATGTCTTGAACGCCCTCGTGCAAGCCGATAAGAAGCGCGTCGTGGTGTTTGTCGTTCGTGATCCGAAGGGTGAATAAAACTCAGCGCGAGCTGTCTGATCAGAGAACATTCGATGGTTGACAAATAGCCCACCAGGTTCGGTCATTTCGACGGCAACCGTGCACAAGATCGATGCCGGAGAGAGCTTCGCCAGTGCATGGACCGGAACCGACTGGGGCATTCCTCTGCAACAGGGGGTTCAGCCTGAAACCCTGGATGCGGTGTTCGGTGCGTGGGCGAGACGCCATAATAAGCTGATGAATCCCAACCCTCGTGTTTGTAAGTATCTTCAACATGCTCTGTATGCCAGTCCACCGTTGGAGCACATTTCCTGGAAGCAGAGGAAAGCTAAAAATTTCCTCAAACTTAGTCCTTGAGGCTCTTGTCACCCGGAAGACCTGGCAGAAGCGAGGATGCGCATCGGCCATCCTCGAAAAGGCGGGTGAGACGGCAGACGAGTACGACTATCCCTTGTTCCTCGATGCGATGATCCCGGAATTTTACCAGAAGCGGGGTTATATTGTTCTTCCTGATACATCGGGCACAGAAGCTGTGGGGTTGCCTATGGTCAGGAAGAAAAAGAGCGAGCGTGTTTGAGATAACCTTATCTGTTAGCCAGTCCAAGATCCTAAAGCCACAAAAAGCGATCAAAATATATAACATGATATTCTTCTCACTAGGATAAACCTCCGCGCCAATCCAATTCGGCACACGGCCCAGCCACCCCCCCCGGGGAGGTTCGCTGCCGTCAACCACACTCCCGAGTGTCCTATGCGGCGACGATAGAAGAGGTCACTCAAATAACAGCGTGCCCGGGTGCACACTAGGTCCGCATAGTACGAGGGCGGACATATGCTAACAGCTATGGTTAGGAAGACGCTCTGGTCATTTTTGCAGGGGATAAAATGGAATACTGAGATGTGGTTAAAGGGTGATGGTACTACACACTCCTTCGTTTCCGGAAGTGTGGAAAGGGCGGATTGAGATGAGTTTAAAGGGCGATTAGATTAGATTGATATGTTTGAAGACTTGTCTATTTAATCAATCTGATCATTCCTAGGTGGTTAAAAATAAAAAGATTGACCCGAGCTACAAAGAGATGGTCTAGATGAGCATTGAGGACCTACATATGGCCGTCTAGCAACCAAAACCAATGCCAAGGCGCAGGTATCAATCAAATCGACACGTACATAACAAACACCGTTGTTTGCTCATTATTGCATATCTTCGTAGTAGTGGAACCGCGTGTAAAGGATAAACATCACGCACCCCTATTCATCCACTGCATCCTTTCTTCGTTAAACGCGCCGTCTCCACTGGCAAAATTGTTGAACAAGTCATCAAAGGGAATGTTTAGAGCCATGTACGGTCCCAAAGTATCCTGATCAGTGCCCATGTTGGAATCTTGCACCTGATCACCAGCAGAAGAGCCTTGCTGCGCGGTTTGTTCCAGGCCCCCAATGGAAGGCTGGAAGTAGTATCCTTGCCACACGAAGTTCTGGCTTGGAATCGACACCAGATCTGGGCTGCCTAATGCTTCATTGCCACTTAATGAGGTTTGTAGCATTGGGGATTGTGAGGGGTATTCGCTCATGGATTGGGTTGCGCTCGACAAACGGCTTGGCACGGAGGATTTAGCCGCAGCGGATTGAGGAAGGTTGTGGAAGGCCCCGAAGCTAGGAGCGGTGACGCGCATACTTGGTGGGTTGGTTGAGGTCGTGGAAGCCATGCCTGTGTGATCGAAGAGATCCTGCGATGAGGATGTCCCCGACTGGTCGGACCGGAAGTGACCGTCTTCCATGTTCTGGGTGGGATATGCGAATGGATCATCCAACGAAAACATGAGATCCGGCAGATTGGTTGGGTTGTTAAATTGTTGGAAGAAAACAGGGTTTGATGCTTCTTTTATGGACTTCGAAAGGTTCTGCGGGCATGTTGTCTGAATATTGTCGAGCAGGGAGATAGTTTCGATCGGCAGCTCCGATATTCCTGCCATCAATGCCGATTGAGTGTCACTCTCGTGGGAATGATTACTCTGTGTGTCATCCAGACTTGGTTTTTGATGACTGGGGGCTTCCCCCAGTCCAGCTTGGGGTACTCTTTGGAATGGGAAGCTGCTTGAATGATGCGAGAGACTCTGCGGAGATGGTATCTTAGCCGCTGTCGGACTATGGGGTAGCGCTGGGTACGTGAAATTGACACGCGTTTTCGCGCTTTGGCGATTCTTCAAAATCTCTGGTAGAGTTTGGAATAGGCACTGGAGTTTCCGATCAGTATTCCGAGGTTGGCCAGAGAGTAGAACACAGACAGTTAGACTTTGGGAACACCGATCTGCAGCCATACTCTTCTTGGCCAGCCTATCCAAAGTATTCCTTCCTTCCATGGCATCTTTGAGAATGCCATCCTTGGTCGCCGGCGAACCAGGGTTTTCCGCCACGAAAAAGATCAACGAAAGAATAGCAAAGTAAGTCGAGTAAATCGTAAACCAGAAAGAGCCGTTGAGAAGCCCTCTCTTCTGCATGCTGGCTGTAATGTAGACAATATTGCGAGAGACGCTGACGCATGCGGCCGCGCAAGCGTAAGATCGCTTATCCACGCCTCGTATCTGAGATTCTCTTGTCGCATAATGCAAGAAGGGGCGGTACATGACCATTTGCACATGGGCATAGCTAATGCGCAGTTGTTGTCGAACACTGCGGAAAGTTAGATCAGTTGATGGCGAGGAACGAAGCCACACTCACCGTTCCAGTTGCGGCGACACCTCCGTTCCTGGGCGTAGGGCGGCAGGAAGTTCCTCCATCCATGCTTGGAGATCACGCTCTATTTCACGGATCTTGGAGTGGCTCACTAGGTACCGCCGATTGAATTTAGAGTGGTGACGAGCGTTCTTCAACGGATAGATATATTTGACGACTTTCAAGGTAATATTTGAGAGACGCGTATGCGCATTACAACCCGCCATCAATGAAGTATAGCCGGATGGCATTGGGAAGATGCCCTGTGGGGAGATGAATTCATCGTCCACTGCTAACGGATATTCCTGGTCGATGTCATCGTCACTCAACATTTGTGGAAGACCTAGAAAGGTGTTGACATAGATATCCATATTGCGAATAACCCAAAAAATGCGTTTGCGCAGCTCCCGCTCGACTGGGTTGAAATTCGCATCCACGCTCCGATGCAGACCTAGACGTAACGCCGAGCGAAGCGCAATGCCCACGTAAGAATAACAAGTACTCAGCTTCGCAGAAGACTGTAGAAAAACCACCATGAAGCAGATCGTCTGTAGTGAGGTCAGATTGCGGCAATCGGTAACCGCCAGTAGCTGTCGGCCGGCCTCGAAGAATTGAAATCTATAGCCCGTTAGGTTTGAAAACGATATGGGACTTTGACGACATACCCTTTCATGATCGCACTCTCATTACCTGCAAAATCCAGATTACCGGCCTCATCGTCTGAGAACAAACACCCGACAGCCATAACAATATACAGCAGTGGCAAGAATTCAGTCTCCTCGTTGCCAAACTGCTCTTGCGGGGTATCGTAGATGCGATCGAAGTTGGCGAGAAAGGACGGCTCGTGAACGAATCGCATCAGGGAGCAGGCGTCGTCAAGAGCGTTATTACACAAGCGGCGCGCTGTCGCTCTTGACGGTAAATAATGAGTGAGAGGCGGCACCGTATCTTGAAGAGACTCAGATGTGGAGTTGGGGCTTTCCAACATTTTCGTTATCATGATCTTTGCTTGGGACATCGGCCCAGGCACTTCCATAGCACCGAGCTGTTTCCGGAGCCGGCGCACGAACATGGGACAGGATGTGCTTTCATGATAGTCCCAGTGTCCCCGGTCATCCCGATCCAAGAGGCCCGAGCTATCGACCTTAGCATCCAGGAGACCATCTTCCTCCATGTGCGCGGCTATTTTCTGTTCAGTTGTGTGCAGGTCCAGCTGCGGGCCATCAAGGTTCACGTCTGGCAGCGCAGCTCGAAGGAGGATCTCAGCCTTCTGCAATCGTGTCTCGAGAGCTTCGACATACTGGGGGGTTGTGTTATGACGGCGGCTGGAGGGATGATCGTAGGTACATTCTGTCATTCATGGTCAGCTACAAGTCGGATAGAGAGACGGGTCAGGGCATCGTACCATAGCTATGAACGGTGCAATGGGTGCAAGGCTGTTTCCCATCGCACTTGATCTTCTTGCGACGACACTCATCGCAAGCTCGGCAGGTTCGTCGCCGCTTTCGCAATGGTTCTGGCTGAGAGGTCATGGACGATGGGGGCGACATCAACGGGGAGCGGACTGGGAATATCCTCATGGGGGTAAAGGCTCGTTGTTAAGGCTGCGAACGCGGGGAGGACATGTTGAAAATAAAACTTAGGGTGGATCCGTAAGTAAACCAGATAATCTAAGTTGACAATCCTGCCCAGATATGGTGGCGGCGTGTGGAGTCCAATCGAGTGAGTAAGACAGTAGGAATTCAAATGAACACTTGAGGGACTAATTTCCTGTTTCGACAAGTTGGCAATGCACCGAGAAAAGACCCACATACTTAGACCTGTTTATTTTGCCGGCTTGCGAATATTTTTCTAGCGGAGGAATTCTATCGCTCAAGACCTTCTCTGAGCACTATCTGTGCCCTATTTACATCCACATCCTCGAGTAGAAGTGGCGAGTCTGTCCGGTTCTAATGCCTCTAGATAGATCAAATCAGATTACAGTTACAGAGAGACGGACCGTTTAATCCATTACAGACGTGAATCAAGAGAGGAGTGCTTTCCAGCAAGACTAAGTATGCTCAACATGCGTCCAGGACATATGTCGCTTTATCCAAGAAGCTTTCGTAATGGGCGAATGTTGAATATGCTGGCTCGACGACGGATATTTGCTCAGTCACAGTGCTGGAATAGAGAGCGCTCAGGGGAGAGCGGGCGAAGAAGAGTATTGAGTATGAATATTGGGTGCAGTTGCATTGCAAATAATCCATTGACGGCAGCAGACGAGGGCGATCGGCTAGATATTTACGGTACAGTTCCAAAACTAGCATAGCACGGGTCTCCCGAAAGTTAATCGACGCCTTACTAGAAACTGATAATGCCCCACCTAGACTTCCGCATGACCCAAAACTGTGTCTGGGCGATAATGTCTATGTGATAAGTGATGCTTTGGTATTCAAATCATTGATTGTTATCATTAGTGTGTATTAGATACAAGTGGGCTAACAGGCATAGGTACGTATGCATGCACTTGCTCTCAGCACCCGTGTTCATTTCAGTGACTGGGATATCTGGGTCGCGAGTTGGTAGGAGGGACCCACAATCAGGGCCGTGGCGAGTCTAATTTTAAGTAAAGCGTCGAACTACATCTGCATTCTGGTATATGGAAAAGATCTTTTTTGCAAGCAAACATAGACGACGAAGTACACATTTGATAAATATATACCCGATAATTCGTGGGAAGCCGCCTGAAAACACTGCGTTCAACGACAGGCAACAGAACGACCCAGTTTTTGTGAACTGATAAGGGTTTTCTCGGGAACTTCTACCAAGAGGTGTAATCTGGGCAGTTTGATTGGGATGGGAGCAGCCCTCATTGTCCCGAACGGCACGGCTATTTTAGCCCGTACGTTTGCCGTAGTGAAGCTGAAAAAGATTGCATCGGCGTCTTTCGGATTCGTTGCGACAGTGAAAAGCATTGCAATGGCTCTACTCCTTTTCCAGATGCGTCTCTGCATTCGAGTCAAATGTTGGCGCAAACTTGGATTTCTCCCTCAGTGCAGGCCCCCATCTTATAAAAGCCAACGGAATGGGCACCATAGTGGCAGCCAAACAGCCTAAAAGAGATCCTGCCCACTGGATTCCCAGATTTTGAAACATCTGTTTAGAGAAAAGAGGGAACGCTGCACCGAACGCGGATCGAATAATAGTGTTTGCAGCGAGAACAGATGCTGCCCTGGTTGAGAGGTTAGGTTAGAGTTAGGGTTGAACACACATCAGACCATAATGAGTAGGCTTACAAGGTCAAGTAGGAGTCGATAAGATAGTTGAAACACTGTAAGAAAACAACATAGATTCCGAAGCCACTTAGGACACCGCTAGCGGCTGGGGCCATCCAATGAATAGACTTCGTCCACCCAGTCCACCCGAACCAGAATAGGCCAATGACAAAGCAAACACCACCAACAATAGAAGGAGGCAGTCGCCATTCGGGAACCGGAATATTGTTGTTGGCGGTAAGCTTCTTGGTGTATGCTTTCTGGTCGTAAAGGATGTAGGCTCCTGCCAACAGTTCTCCGATAATCAGCCCTATAAAGGAAAGGCTACCGACTCCCTGATTCTGGCCATGAACGCCTTCAAACACGACGGGGTAAGCACCCAAAAGAGCGTACATAAGACCGTAGACAAAGCTCATCCAAAGAGACATCTAGAATAGTATCAGTTTATCCTCACACTAAGAAAAACTGAATTTAAGTATAATTACCAGAAAAACAATAGGCTCAGTGAAGAGCATACGTAATGGTGTGCTGAAGTTTTTTCGGATCAGCTGCCCCCAATCAAGCTCGACTTGCTCCTGTCGGGCACGGATGCTCCAATTGTGTGTTTGTCTTCGTAAAATTACTGCCTTCTGAACGAGAATTGCGGGTGCATATGTTTCTCTTTGGAAAAGCAGACAAAGGACAGTGGCCAGAAAGCCCATGATGCAGGCGATATACATCGTCCATCTCCAGCCCAGATATGACATGGAGATGAAGCCACCAGTGATAGGCGATGCAAATGGGCCCACTAAAACTGCCATAGCGTACATGGCAATCGCAATTCCACGAGTCTTATTATCATAGATGTCGGCAAAAACAGCTGGGACAATAGACATGGGGCTAGCTGAGAAGAAACCAGAGAAGAATCGAGTCAACATCAGAGTCTGAACATCTTTGCTAGTGGCAGCACCAGCCGTGAAGATTGAAAAGCCGAATATGCCGATGAATATTGGCCATCGACGCCCTATCAATTCACTTGCTGGGGCCCAAAGAGTAGGTCCTGAGGCAAAACCCAAGACGTAGAGGGTCACTCCAAGGGTCGCAACTTCAGCACTAATGTGGAAGGCAGGACTGACTTCTTCTACGGCAGAAGAGAAGATTGCGCTAGCAAAGGATGATACAAAAGCCGTATATGTCAGCACAAGTGAAATTAGGATTTTCCGTCCCAACGACCAATTCTGAGGGTGTAGAGGGTCATTAGCATCGTTGAACTCCACTATATATTGCTCGGGATCCGATAGTTTGGGTGGGTAGGGCTTTCCAGCTCCAAGGGACAGACATTTCTCACGTGGTGAAGGAGCTGGGTCCGATTCGGTGGTGGAGTGTTGTTGGAGTGAGTAGGTGTCGATGCGTCCTAGCTCAACGTTGTTGAAGTTGGTCGCTGCACGACTGAGAGTATTGGAACGAGTGTCCTCTTGTTCGGATGTTCGCCGTGCGGGAAGTATCAGTACACTTGGCTCGTCGCTTCTGGTAGTGCTAGTCTCATGAGGACAGGGTTGAGAGCATTGACGTATCATATCGTCTCAGCCGGCTTCTTCCAGTTCCTCAAAGACGCGAGATGCATTTTGAAAACCATTGAATGGAATGCAGAGCCGAGATTATGTTCTTATAGGAAAAGTCAGACCAAGAACGGGGAGGCTAAGCGGCAAAAACTGCGTTGATTTCAGAACAACAGGAAGCAGGCGTTAATGGAAAGGTGGGGCATTATCTACTTCGGGTAAACAAATCGATCGAATTATAGTGGGACCGGAATTTCGACCGCCCGGGTGTATCACGCCAATTATTCTATCGGCAACCAGCACCACTGGTAAGCTGGTATTATTTGGCGGTAAAGGAAGGTACCTCGGGTGGTCGAAACTATAAGAGGAGCCTTGTTCTGCTGCGAGTACCTTTCGCGCACATCATTCAACCCCGCCCATATATTATAGGAGCTTTTAAAGCAGCCAAGCAAGTCCACCAGAACAATTTTAGAGAACCCAAACTGCAAGATGCCCAACCAGATTGCCCTCCTCGTTACAGAAATCGGCAAGCCATTGATCAAGGCTTCGCGTCCTATCCCAGAACCGAATGATGGAGAGGTCCTCATCAGGGTCAAAGTTGCCGGCCTAAATCCACACGACGCGAACTGTCGCGACGAAGGTCTTTTCATCAAGGATATTCTTCCAGCGGTCCTGGCCGCGGATGTTGCCGGCATCGTGACACACCTAGGCCCCAATGTCACCCGATTTAGAATAGGGGATCATATCTTCGGACAGACTTCGCTGCCTAATTTCAACACTGCTGGTCTTCAAGAATTCGCCATTCTTGATACCAGATTTTCAGCTGGGGTTCCTTTGGGCTTCACTGATGCTCAGCTAGCGTCTCTACCAACTAACTTGGTGACAGCCGCAGTTGCATTGTTTGATTCCAGCTGTCTCGGTATCCCCGCGCCGTGGGATTCAAGTGCGGCTAGTTTTGACTACAATTCAACTTCCCTTCTGATTGTTGGCGGTGGTTCGAACACAGGAAAGTTCGGTATTCAGCTCGCTGCTTTGGCGGGCATTGCAAATATTATCGTCGTTGCTGGATTGAACGGTGCAGCGGATTTGAAAGCTCTAGGAGCAACCCATATCATTGACAGAACCAAGTCGTCGGCTGAAATTGTCACGGAGGTGCGAGAGGTCACCGGGGACCAGTTGGTTTACGCTTTTGACACAATCAATCCACCTGAGAGCCAATTTCTTGGCGTTGAGGCGTTGTCGAATTCCAAGACTGGCAAGCTTGCTCGCTCACTAACTATGGGGCCGATCGACGAGAACAAGCTCTCTTTCAAGAAGTCGGCTGGCTTCGAGACGTGTGATGTGCTTGGTGTTTCGAATGTCAAAATGGATACCTCGGTTCCGCTTTGGGAACGAGTCGCCGGCCTAGTTAAAGAAGGGAAAATTAAACCTCTTGGATTTCACATAGTTAAAGGATTGGATGAGGATTTGGTGAATAAGACGCTGGACGGGTACACGAACAAGACTTTGAGTGGCCAATGGCAGGTTCATCTTTGAGATAAGGACTGGAAAGGAATCTAGTCTGTCTATTGCCTATAGAGCAAAATCGATTAATCTGACGCTGAGTATTGATTCTATTATTAAGCATTCGAAAGGTAAAATCCTGGAATGTATTGTGTAGGAATTCCAATTCTTGATACAATACTACGTACCGTACGTAGTTTGCACGCCACCAGGTGTTAAGCCAGGCGAAACCGCCATGCCTTGTATCATCATGGTAAAGTATATACGTATATGTATCCCTTGATCTTTAGCCAGCGCGTCTAAAAATTATAGATTGTTTGTCTAAAAATCTGCTACAACAGCTTCAAGGTGGGGGCACTGGGGCGTCGAGTGGATTGAAGGCAAGTACAGACAATTTACCAGGACTGAGGTACCATATGCGTTATGTAAAAGACAGTATCTATTCTTGGAAATTGACGATCAACGGCATAAGAGCGAATGACGATCCAGGGCCATCATCGAGTTTCAAATGGTACCTTTCTAAGTAGAGTAGAGCGTAGTCTTTTGAGCCTTCCCTATACATTATCTACAGTGATCAGATGATTTAAACAATCCACTGTGTGCTTTGTTCTCTCTTGCATCCTAGCGCATCGACTCTGTGGCTCCTAGGTTGGCGGACTCATCCGAATCATCATATCGGAGTAAAGAGGACTTATGTTGGCCATCCCTACGTATGTCCAGTCAATGACTGCTAAAGTCATTCCCGAAATCGGCTTGACCAATACATTGTATGGTACAATACCTTGCTACGTTATATTATACAATGTTTACAATAATTGAGTAAAATTGTTTGGGAACCTATAGTGGATCTCTGCAGATCATGCGGGGAGGGCCGCTTGTCGCCTTGTAGCTTGTTAATCTGCCGGACTTCAATCCCCCCTCTCATCCTATGCGGCATGTGCCGGTCACCCTAAAGGGGTACCTCTATGGCTCACAGAACCTCATAACGAAGGGTACCATCGGCAAACAACCGTCTCGATCAGTTTTCGCTTGTTTGCAGGCGAACAACAGCCTTCACGGCCTAGTTCGTATAACTAGTGTATATAGGGATCGTTCTTAGCGATGTATGCATAAGTTATGAACTTCGGAAACTACTTATTGGCTGACATGCACTAGGTGCCTTTTGGTGGCCTCGAGGTGATTGAAAGCCGACTATGTGGGCACTTAGTGCTGGCTCTTCCAATTACGCGACGTCAATACCGGGCTAGATCGGGTAGACCCTGCTACTAGTGCTGTGGTTGCGTGTTGTATTTTTCTTTCATTATGACTATTTATAGTCTCCCATATAATACTAGTGTCACGACAAATGCCTGTCTCATTCTCACACATAGGTATCCTTGAGATGGGCTTGCCACAGGTTGAAATAAGGACAAGAAAATAGAGAGATATCCCCATAACCCTACCACATCACAGAGTGTAGCCGACATATCTACTGGCATAGGGTCGCCGTCAGGTTAACTGGCCGGGGGCACCCATAGACCTTCTTATGAGCTGGGGTGCTATAGCAAGCGGCGTCATTGGCCGCACAGTCAAAGTCCATACAGCCGGCCCCGGGACTGAGCGAGTTGGCATCCGCTGCGAAGGGGTTGCCCCATTCCGAGCTAAATTCATCTAGAAGAAGGATGCGGTTAATAAAAAAGATTCCTAGCTGACAGGTAGATTGGGTGCACTCACAGTATGCGTAGTTTGGGCTGGACGTGAGCGAATAGCCAAAGAAGAGAGGCGTAGTCAGCGTCTTCGTCTTAGCGATCTTGACGGTCTGCATATTTCATCTCCAGTCAGTTTCCCTTGCTATATGGAGTATTGCGCAAACTGAATAGGGCGGAGTAACGTACCGAGCCAGATGCTCTAAACTTCTCGGAGAAAGTTTCCCCCTTGGTAAGGGTGGTGAGAGGGCCGGCGGCGCTGCCATCGTATGGGAACGACTGCACATACACGGTGCCAGCACAGTCGTTGTGTACGACAGCATGCTGGGCCGAAACCAGGCCGAGGAGGGCACCAAATGCGATCAGGGAGGTCTTCATGGTTGGTATTTTGCTTTTTGTTTTGTAATAGAAGTTTTGATTTTCTGTTTCTCTCCCGACAAGAGAAGGAATTGGCGGTCTTCATATAGGTCTCTTGCTCGGACCACAGTAGTACCAATGATATACCGATGGAGTACATCCGTGAGGCTTTTGATCTAAGACATGGCACCCATTCCATGTCTTGGATTGTCGGGCCAAGGCCCGGCGGTCCGTCCCACGGCCAATCAATACGAGTGGCAGGTGAGACATGCGCATTACCGCTACTACATATAACTCGCATCAAAGACATCGCACCGGCTAGGCTTACATCCAGCCCGTGGCCCCGCCAATTTCTCCACACTAGCTAGAGCTTTTGTTGATGATTCTCCATACGGGGCAAAGGATGATTTCAGCGGTGTAGCGAACTTGCTAGAATCAAGGAATTGGCCGGTTAGGATCGAAGATTCAACCGGTTTCTCCGCTCCCGACTCGGGTCGCGGTACCGTCCAAGTCATCAATGCGTACCCCGCTTGAATACGATGAAGGAGGATGTATCCCGCCAGCCCCGAAGATCTCTCCATCAGCCACAAGGTGCCCTCGTAGTCGAGCGTACAGAAAATGAATGGGACTAGGGCGCTGATACGGAGAAGATTCATCCTTCTTGGGCCAACATGCCCTTAGTCGAGTGGTCCATACCAAGAATCCCCATGTCAGCCATGCGGTCACCCTGCCTGGTTCAAGTTCGTATAGTACCCACCGTGACGAAACTCGTATCGGGAACCGACTGGAGATTTCTGCAGGTGAGAAGGCGGGTTAAAACAACCGACTGTCTTCTACTATAAAGAAGCAAACAATGCAGCCATAGAACCAGTGCCACGCCATGTGCACCGTTCTAGTCTAGGGTGCGAAGAAAGAGATGCTATTCTGCTGACTATAAATTGGCATCTATGCTACGAGGCGCCATGCGTTAATCAGTCACTCAGGCGAATATTAGATTGTGAGGAACTTTCCCCGGGGGGGGTTGATAGGGGCACCACCTCTTTTGGTAGTTAACTAAGTTAAGGGACACAACAGATTATGTAAGCGCTGAAATTCGTAAGGGAATTGCTAGGGACACAACAGCTTTTCCTAGGGGCACCCCTAATTATGTAAGTTGGGTAATATTTTAAATGTCATGTGATTGCATCTGGATCTCATTCTCTGTTATTTACATGATCTTCGTGCAACTAACATGTGTGTATTGGTCAAGCCGATTTCGAGAATCACTGTGCGCTCGATCTTTTCTATAAGTTTCCTATAAAAGGATTCTAGGTTATCCATCTCTTAGAACATGGCTCGCATTGCATTCATCTATTCATTGGGGGAGGGGGGCATAGCAGAAGAAAACCAACGATCTACATCATAATGGGTGTGCCATTAGAAGAAGAAAAAGATGATAAAACCAATGATCAAACAACAATCGCTGATCGGTCTAAATTCGTTCGTGCAGAAAAAAAAAACATTGCATCTCGAAGTGGGGGGAGGAGAGGAAGGTCGTCATTTTCTCCAAGTCATTTCATTCCTCCTTTTTATTTCACTGCTTCTCTCCAGTCTCGCCCTGGGCGGCGTCAGCATCCGCGGGGGCATCCTTCATCTCGGCGTCCGCCTCAGCGGCAGCAGGCTTGTTCTTCTCCTCCTCAGCCTTCTTGGCGTCTTCCGCGGCCTTCTTCTGGGCGGCAATCTCGGCGCGCTTCTTGGCGGCGGCTTCCTCCTCGGCCTTGCGGACGGCCTCGCGCTCGGCCTCGACCTTCTCGCGGTAGCGCTGGATGATGGGGCCGGAGATGAAGCGGATCTCGTCCATCTTGGAGACGTACACGGACTTAGTGGTGTCCTCGCCCTCCTCGTAGAGCCAGTCCTATGGGAGTAGGTGGTCAGCAAGATTATTATTGTAAGACAGGAGATTATAACTCACCTCAACATCGGTCAGCTTGGCCCGCAGCTTGTCCTTCTCCTCATCGCTGGCGAATTCGGAGTAGACGCCATCGATCTTGTCCCGCAGCTCGTAGATGGAGGACTCGAGCTCGTTCTTCTTCTCGTCGGTCTCGGCGACGAGCTTGTCCTCCATGTACATGGCATTCTCGCGTTCGGTCAGATTCTCCTTGGTAGCCTGATCGATGCCAGCAGTGCCCGAGACAATGGGCAGGTCACCCTTGCGGACCTGCTTCTTGACCTTGCGGGTCTTCTTGGGCTGCTCCTCGCCGTTGGCGTCAGTGTCCATGGCCTATTTTAGATAATCGTCAGCTAAAAATGTATCAGAAATATCATCGAAGGATCAACTTACGTCGCCATCCTTCTTCTCGCCCTCCTCGGGCACAGGCTCCTCGACCTCCATGTCCTCAACGTAGTATCCAGATTCAACGTTCAGAATACCGTGCAGGTTCAGACGGGCCTTGAGCTTGCAGATCATGAAGTCGTCGTTGGCATCAGCCTTGACACCCTTGACCGAGAAGCGGCCAATCCAGGGGTTGAGCTTGCCCGGCAGCTGCTCGGGCTTAGCATAGCGAGCCTCAAGATCGAAGGGCTGCTTGCGGTAGAAGGTGAGGATCTTGGTCGAGGGCATGACGTTGCCGCGGCTGAACACAGTGAGGCTGGTGTCCTCATCCGGGATATCGGGCGACTGCTCCCAGGTGAACTCGATGGGGTAGTTGACAATGTCGTGGACGGAGAAGTCACGCACGCGGAAGACGGGCGAGAGGGTGGCACAGCTGAAAGCGCAGCCACGAGCAATAGCCTCGTCCTGGTTCAGGGTGAACGAGAGGTTCTTGCCGAAGAACTTGGAAATGGCTTCCTTGACAGCGGGCACACGTGTGCAGCCGCCAACCATCTCGATGTAGTCAATGTCCTCTGGCTTCAGCTTGGCCTCAGCGAGGGCCTGCTCCACGGGAACGGTGATCCGGTCCAGAAGCGGGCGAACCATATCCTCGAGCTCGTCACGCTTGACCATGGCGCGAACATCGACATCCTCCATCAAGGACTCGATGCTCAGGGGCGCCTGTGGGTTGGCCGACAGCACCTTCTTGAGCTTCTCAGCAGCAGCAAGGGTACGAGCCCAGGCCTTGGGGTGGGTACGGATGTCGACCTTGAACTTCTCCTTGAACTCATCGGCGAAGTGCTCAGTGAGAGCCTTGTCGAAGTTGCGGCCACCGAAGTGGCGGTCGTAGGCGGTGGCCTTGACGTTCAGCTCACCCTTGCGGAACTCAACAATGGACGCGGTGTAATCACTGTAACCGATGTCGACAAACATCACGCGGCGGGGCTTCTCCTCCGGGCCGGGGAGGTCCAGCTTGGTGATACCGTAGCCAAGGGCAGTGGCGGTGGTGTCGTTGATGAGGCGGAGCACATTGAGACCAGCGATATCACCGGCATCGATCATCGCCCGGCGCTGCACATCGGTGAACCAAGCAGGGACGCTAATGGTAACATCGGAGACGGGCAGCCTCAGCTCCTTGGAGGTGATATCCTTGATCTTCTGAAGGTACATGGCCACCAGCTGGATAGCAGTGAACTTTTCCTTCTTGCCCATGTAGTTAACCTCGACGCCGGCCTGGCCATTGACGTCACAGATGGGTGCGGTGCTGTACTCCTGCTCGATCTGGAGATCCGGGTCGCCGAAGCTGCGGCCGATGAGGCGCTTGAGGCCACCCACGGTGTTCTTCAGGTTGGACGTCTCTTGTGTCTTGGCAGATTCGCCAATGGCTCTGCTGCGGGCGTTGAATCCGACCAGAGACCTGTAGGGCGCCAAAAAATCGAGTCAGCTTTCAAAATCCAAATTTGAGATTAATTCTCCCAATGCCACTTACGGAGTCTGACGGTTGGAAACCTCATTGGTAATCTGTAGCAATCATAAAAACTCCATGGTCAGCATCAATTCCTGGCAAGCCTTGTGACGTTGGGATGAGGTGAAGATCCCAAAAAAAAATCCGCAGGACTGGGGCGGGGCAGATACGCACAATGTCTATACCCTTGTTGCGAGCAACACCGATCTTGGTGCTCTGCGCACCAAAATCTATACCGACAACGCTCATTGTAGGAAGGAAATGGGGGGTGGATGCGGGATTGGGTGAAGTAGTTGGGAGGTGGGAAGGGAGGATAACAGAAGAGGCGGGAGGAGTGGGAGAATTTGCAGCGCCACTCGTTTATTGGATGGGGCGGATAACAGGGCTGATCAGCGGTCAGATATAGGCGGATAAGTGGTGGTCAAATAAATGGGGGAAGGGAGAGTGGAAGATAGAAGAGAATGCGAGAGGCAACTTTTGCAGCGGTACTTGTCTCTGCCCAGCCAGACTCATGGTGTCCATCGAATCTTCTGGTGGCTGCTGGATACATCTGCGGGCCTCACCGCCTGGGATTCTGCGAAGCAGAAAAAACAGTTGACCGCCCGGAGGAGGGGCATTACATAAGCCTCCCGTGATTGGGGCTGGATTTACATCTATCGATAAGGTAGGTTAAGGCACAGGAAGGATGACAGAAGCACACAGTATAATTGAAGCTATGAGATGCAGCAAGAAGCACATCCCCCATCTCTATGGTCAGTCAACGCGAAGCGAAACAAGCCAGCAGGGACCACAAATCGTAAGAATACAGGTGGCAATCCACCGGGTGGGAAACATCGCGCCGAGCGAGAAAAAAAAAAGGAAAAAGAAAAGTGGGACAGATTGACGTCAAAGAACACGCTCGGCCAACCTTCTTTGTTAGACCATGTCGCCTGCGTCGGACTTTCGGGACCCTCTGCGCAACTTCTTCAACAGCGACGCTCGCCGGCCTTCCGGGTCTGGGGAAGGATTATCCTGACTTTCAAGGGGAAAATTGCTGGCCACAGGCTGGGCTTCCTCCGTTTGCTGCTCGCCATCAGGGTCGCTCATGTCACTCCTTGGGTAGATCGTCATTACTTCTGCAATATCAATAGAAGAGCGACGGGGTGGCGGTTCCAGCGCAGCAGCTAACACAGCAGGGTCAGGCCCCGGCGGAATAATACCAGTACTCTCATCCACACTGATGATGCTGGCCGACGATCGAGCATAGCGAGCATAGAGCGACTTCTTCTGGTCCTCCTCGCTCATGAGAGTATCCGCATTCCAGGGCAACGAGATCGAGTTGTCCGAGATGGTGGGCATGGAATCGCTCGATTCATGCGTGGAGAGGTGAATCCGAGGCACATTGGGCAAAGGAGCCAAGCGGTTTGCTATAATAGATGGCCCGCTGTCGTTCATGTTGGCATAGTAGCCATCGTACAGTTGCTCTGCAGGCGCAAATCGACCTTCGATCTTGTCTGGAGGGCGCACAGGAACGGAGCGCCGGCGCACCAGATTGGTGCGGAAGGTATCTACGTTGACGTTGAGCTCATCACCCTGCGCCCTGGCCTGCTTGACTGCTTCCTCAGGTGTAGTATAAGCATCTGCCGCGGCGGCATCAGCCCGGGGTCCTCCCCAGGTGCGCTGGCCTGCCGTGCAAATTCCATACACCATGTAGATCCAGTTGAAGAAGGGGTTAAAGATGAACATCAATGGATACAACCAGGCCTTAAACCGTTTGAGCCGGGCGCCAAAGTAGAACATTAGAAGGTAGTTCAGTCCAAGGGCCACCGCAATGAAGCCGATAGGAACCTCCTTGACCGATTTTGCGGTGGTCATCAGAGCAATGACCATGATAAAGAAAAGGAGTGCGGTAGTTCGAATGGTGTTTTGCAGGAAACGGACCAAGCAGAGCATGGGATAACGTCTCCACAACCGGGCATCTGTGAGCATGCAGACTTCGTTTGTGACGAACCCCAGAAACCATCGGCGCCGTTGTTTCAACAGACTGCCGAATGTCCGGACGGCCTCGGTCTTGCAGAAAGCCGACGTGCACATCTGGATCTGATACCGCTCCTTGGCTCCGATCATAAAGAGGTGAGTGAGCCACCGATCCTCGCCCAAATGACACTTACCGTAATCGAAAAGGTCATCACACTGCTCGGCCTTATCGGCAAAGTAATACTTGGCCATCTTCCGGAACGCAGAGAACCGTAGGATTGTCAGCGCACCAGGGAGACAAGTCACGGCACCGCATCCAGACTCGACAGAACGCTCAAAAAGCTGCCCATGGACATACTCCATATCCTGAAGGATTGTGAGCACGTTCCACTTTTCTGTGGTTGAAGTGATGATGCCAGTCATAGCCAACATGCTGTGCTTGCTTCCCGGCTTCAGCTCCATGTCGTACATGAAATTTTGTAGGCAGAGCTTGTCGATGAGGCAATCCGAATCTATGAACAGCAGGAAGAGATCATCATTGCGTTTCAGGTAATCGGCGTATACCTTGTCGATCAGTTTGAAAGTCTGCTTCTGACAATGTCGTTTTCCGCCGTGTATGAACCGAGAAATTGTGACCCGAGCTCCCTTGTACACGACGTCGATGCTCTGGGGGTAGCTATGGAACAGGAGCGGAACTCCCAGGTGGGTGATCACTTGCAAGTAGGACTCATCCACAGCGTTCCCATCGTAGGAGAGAAACACGTGGATACAGTTGGTGGGATAGTCGGATTCGACGACCGAGTCAACCGCCTTGATCAACACCTCTGGTTTCTCTTTGTACACCGGCATCACAACGACAGTCTTCGGGGCCGTCCGGTCATCCAGCACTTCCTTGATCCGTTTCGTGCGACCCAGCGAGTTGGTGGAGAGTCGATAAACACAAAAGAGCCACGGACCGACAAGGAGAACTGAAAACGACCAGAAGGCAAACCACTGGAAACCCATCACTGTCCAGTGAGGGAAGTGCTCGGTGATTGGGGATGGCAGCGGGAGTGTGACCAGCATGGCGGGAAGAAAAGCCAGTCTATCATTCAGCCTCTCTTGTTAGCCGAACCTGGAAGATATTTATCGAAATGCAACGTACCGTAGGATTAGGAATAGGACGCTCATCAGCGCCGCAAGACACTGAACACTCCAGTGGTCGGCCTTTTGGAAGACCTTGACGAAACAATAGAGGAACGCTGCGAGCCATAGGAGCCACTCAATGACTGCCGCCAGCATGAACGGCCCAATGACGGACAAATAAATGATCTTGTCGAGATTAGCACGTTATCCCGGGGTCCCGCATGGGTGGACTTACATCCTTGACTGGCCAACGATATTCTGTTGGAGTTCCTCCGCTGTCGTCCTCCATCTTGCACGGTTTCGCTCTCCAGCGATCCTGGATATTTTGAAGACTGTAAGTCTTTCGGGCCTGATAGATGTCCTAAATTCTTTGAAGAGAGCCAAGGCAGTTCAAGGTAAATGCAGGTCACGGCCAGCGGTGAAGTCTTGCCGCATACGACTCGAAAAAGCACCGAGATGACGGGAATAACGATCGAGCGGTGATATCGAGTCGGAGGAGAGAGTATATTGGGGTATTAGTGTCAGGATGAGGTGAAGAAGGAACGGACTGAGCAGATTAAGCCCGTTTGGTCTGCGGCCCTCAGAAGGTGCAACCGGTTCGAATTAATTGTCCGATGCAGCGGTTGCAGATATTCATTGCGGATTCAAGTCCACACAGGCCTAGAGAAGGTCCAGTCTCTATATTCTCCATTTCAATAACTCTCTACTCTGCACCATCCCTAGGTCCTGCCTTGCCTACATGTAGTGATGTATAGATCCAGACTGGTGCCCATCTAGGCCTAGTGTTGCTGCCTCAGGCACCCAAATGGAGCTGTACCGCAAAAAATTATTTCGGTGATCCAGGATCCAGTCATTATTCACATCCATGCGATTATTCCGCAGCTTCGTGCAGAATTTCTCCCGCGCACCCCGTGACTCCATTCATCCTTCGTCGAGTCACTCTTCCAGTGTCTCCGAGTCACATTCTTCGCTTGACCCTTCAGCACGACCGCTTCAGCGATCCCCGCCCGATCACACATCCGCAACCATGGCTGAGGTAGAGAAAACCGCTAACGCGGAGGCCGAGAAGGACGTCCAGAACGTGCTCGCAGAGCTGCAGGAGGAGGCGGGCGACAAGGCGCCCAAGGAGGACGCGGACGAGGCCCGCATCGTCGCCGAAGCGGCCAAGCTGGGCGAAAAGTCAGAGCAGACTGAGGAGAAGTCCGAGTCCGCCAGACCACAGCGCCAGCATACCGGTGCGCGCGGTGGCCGCGGCGGCAAGCGCAATAATGCCAAGTTTGACCCTTCGTCGCTGAAGGAGACGGATGATCCGGTGGAGATCCGCAAGCAGGTACGCGCAGACCGATTTTTGTCTTTCCTTTCTCTTTTCTAATTCTTCCTGTGTTAGGTCGAGTTCTATTTCTCCGACTCCAACCTTCCCATGGACAAGTTCCTCCTGTCCAAGGTGGGCGGGACCGCCAACAACGCCGTGCCCTTGGAGCTGCTCCACTCGTTCAAGCGCATGCACCGCTTCCAGCCGTTCAGCGCCATCGTCGAGGCCCTGAAGTCGTCCGAGACTCTGGAGCTGGTCGAAGACAACACCGCCGTGAAGCGCAAGCAGCCCCTGCCCGATTCCGTGACCAACATGCCCGACCCCAGCGTCGTCAAGGTCTTCGAGGACCAGGCCATGGCCCGCAGCGTCTACGCCAAGGGCTTCGGATCGGAAGATGCCGACACCCAGCTCGAGATCGAGGCATTCTTTGCCAAGTATGGACCCGTCAACGCTATCCGTCTGCGCCGGACCGCGGACAAGTCGTTCAAGGGCAGCGTCTTTGTTGAATTTGCCTCGGAGGACAAGCAGAAGGAGTTCCTGGCCCTTGAAACCAAGCCCCAGTGGAAGGGCCAGGACCTGCTCATCAAGAGCAAGAAGGATTACTGTGACGAGAAGGTGGAAGAGATCAAGGCTGGAAAGCTCAGGCCCAACTATAACCGCGGCGGCCGCGGCCGGGGTGGAAACCGTGGTGGTCGCGGTGGTCGTGGTGGCGACCGTGATCGCAACAAGGAGCGCGACTGGCGGGAGCGCCGCGATGAGGACAAGAAGAATGGCTTCCAGGACCGCAAGGCTGAGAAGGATTCTCGGTGAGTTTGCCCAACAACCCCGAATAACTTGTTGAGATGCATTATGCTGACAGACGTTGGCAGTGGCGTTCCCGTGGTGCAGGCCACCGAGTCGGCAGGCCAGAAGCGAGGCCGCGAGGAGGATGCAAATGGCGACCACCCGGCCAAGAAGGTGGATGCCAAGGAGTAACCGAGGGGGTCTTCGATTAGGTCTTTCATGGTAGGGTATTGAAGTGTTACGAACCCATTTCTGGCGTTTATGTCGCTTGTTTAATCATGGATGAGCTGGACCATGCCTGTCGCAATGGTCTGCGGAAATGCTTGGGATATTGTTGATCTGTCTCGGAATTGTATAATCCAAAAGTTTCATTGATCATCTGAAGAGTAGTAATTGTCCACTGGGGAGACCCTTTACACAAATGTAAGCCCGCAGTATCCAATATGGGCAAAATATGTTGATCCAGAAGCAGATTGCACTCAATGCCAACATCTCGTGGGCATTCCAGCAGGCCATCTATATATTAGCGATGTTTACACGATGCCCTATTTCTTTTTCTTCGTCTTATCAACCACGTCAACCCACTGCGATCGCAATCCCCTCCTCACCAGCGCCGTATCAACGGCTTTCCGCTGGTCCCCCTGTACCAGGACCTCCATAACTCCCTTCACGCCACCCGTCGCCTGCGTGACACTCGTGCTACTGGCGCACTTTTTCTGCAGTTCCTCCGCAAGCAGACTAGGCGTGATACCAAAGATCTCCAGGTTCGTAACCTTGGTGACGGTCTTTGTGCCTGTGCGCTTCTCAATTGAGACGAGCGCTTTGGGTGTTGCGCCGGCTTTGGCCTTGACGTCCGCAAGAGTTTGGCCTGGTTTCAAGATGGCGTAGTGCGGTTGCAGGAAGGAGGAATCTTCCACGATGCGTTTCAAGAGACCGTCACGGGTGATTTTGCCGCGCGCGAGTGTGCCCTTGTCTTCGGTGGATGACGAGGTGAATATAGTGGTGGCGAGAAACGGGTTGAGGGTGATGATGCGTCGGTTTTCTTGCGAGATAAGGGGCGGATCTTGCGACTGTAGGTACTGATCCAGGTGGGTTGAGACATCGGAATACTTGTAGTAGTTTTTTGGGTTCCCCGCCCCGAGAGACGGGAAAATGGTCGGGGTCAGTTTGCTTGTTGGTCTGTATAGACTCAGGACGGTAAGTGACTGTCCTACCGACGGGTCGTCACCATTTGCGCCACTTGATTTCTTGTCCTCGGAGGGCTTGGCCTTCCCGGCATTCTCAACTGCATTGCGTGACGGTAGCTTGTATGGCACAAACCGTTCCACCCGGTGGTCGTCAAAGTCAACATCCAGTATGACGGTTTCCTGTCCGCTGCGGTCTTTTGCCTTCACCAACTGCATCTTGTCCAGATGTTTGATGAACTTCTTGACGTTTTTCCAGCTTGTCTTCTTAACGTTATAAAACTGAGCTTGCTGTGCCGAGTAAACAGGGAGATAAGGGGTGATGAAGTTTGATATCAACGCTGAGGGTGTAATCGGGAGTGACAAGCCGTGGTTTGGTGTCGATGGATTGTCGCTCTTGAGCTTGTAGAGGGCGTAGATAAAAGAATTTATAAATGCGTCGTCGATTTCTGGAGGCTATTAACGGCGTGTGCAACTCCCTACGATATTCAACATACCTTTCGTTGAGGGCTCCCTTTCCTCGGCAACGGGCTCTTCCCCTGGGGCCGCCTGTTCATTTGAAGATTCGCCCACGGTGTTTGCAGCGGGAGCCTCCTCTTGGTCTATGAGCGTGAGTTCTTTAACGCCCTCCTCCACTCCATCGGCTTCTTCATCCCAGCCCTGTAAGTACTCTGGGGCGGGACAACCGGGGCGAGGTGAAGAGCTCCAAGCCCACAGCTCGTCCCCTTCCCAATGCAGGCCACGAACCGCATGGCCCTTGGTACCCTGTACCTCTCCCAATGCCGAGACATCGATCTCACAAACACCCACGAATAAGGGCACAGTGTGTCGATCCACGCTTGCCACAGCGACTACCGCGCCCTTGACTGCGCGTTGCGGGAACGGCGGCTCGTTGGCCAGACCGGGCGTCATCAAGTCCGCGCCGCCATGCAGCTTTCGCATCACCATCTCCGGAGTATAGAGCAGCGGGATAATGTTGGGGTTATGCCATAATGTGTAGACCGTAGGATACAGGCGCCTGTCCGCCCCGGGGCCGTGTTCTAGCTTGAACCAGAGCACCCGGTCTTCGCCGTGGTGGGCGCCAACATAGACAATGCCCTGGACCTCCTTGAGGTCCCGGCCCGCGGTTGTTGTGAATCGTGCGGTCTGCGAGTTATCGGGGAGGAGGGCATTGCGGATTGTGGAGAGGTTCGATGAGGGGCCCGATGCAGCTGAATCACTTGCGTCGCCGGACGGGGTTGTGGGCACGGAGATGTGGTAGTCGCTGATGATCTGGTCGGCGATCTTCCTCCTGTCTGACGATCGCAAGGGTGCTAGGTTTTTGATCTGGTTGTTGCTGTTGTCAGTCTTCCTCGTGTCATGGAGGGGCAGGTGCGGGGACGGCAAAGAGCTCTGCGCACCGTCGGCTTCTTCTTGAACATGGTCGCGGACGAGTTAGATTGTTCCTGGGCTCGTCCTATTCGGAGAAGGATAAGAGGAGCTTAGGAGAGAAAGGTGGGAGGAATAATAATCGTGGTGGGAAGTTGTAGGTGGAAAGATAGAAAAGAGCGGTGGTTGCGTCTCCACAATAGAACAAGCTTAGTACATACAAAGTGGGAAGAATGATGATTGCAGCCATAAATCCAGCAGTCACAGAGAACTAGTTATATCCATCATCATCCTAGTCATCCCCATAGTCATCGTAGTGGTAGTTACCGTGCCCGGGCGTGTCAAAATCGGGCCCAGCATCGTTTTCGTAGTAGAAGTCGCTGTCGGAGTTGCACCTGTGCGACAGATGCGAATTCTAGCCGCTCGGATCGTAGTATGACGCCTGGCTACTTTAGCTATCATACTCTTCCCTGGTGTCATCGTCGTGGTCATGCTGGTGCTCATCTTGCTGTGGATCATGCAGTTGTTGATCCCCCACGCTCTCTTGCACCGCAGACGATCGAGACAGCTCTTGTTCAGCATATTCCTGCGCATCCTTTTACGAAGGGCACCCCGGAAGGCCTTGGCTTCCTCGTAGTCGTCAAGGTTCTGAGCTTCAGCCCGTAAGCGATCATGAAGTCCATCGTGTTGGCGAAGCCCATCGCCTCTCAACCCGACCGGTCGTTCGGGTGCTTGTAGGGGTCGTCGTCCGAAGAATCTGGCTGTGGGGGGAACATGGACACAGAGGTGGTTGTCGTGGATGTTGAGAGGCGTACTGGGTTTCTGGCGGAGGGAAGAGCCGTTCTATATCCATGATACTGTACTGTAAGACGGTTCAACCATTTCTGTAAATTTGGTAATTCTCTCAAGAAAAGAGAAAAAGAGGAGAGAATCAGAAAGCAAGTTCGTTAAACATGTCAAGGCAGAGACTGACGCTGTGCGAACCAAGGCGTCGCGCAGCCTTGGGTGCTAGTATATCAACATCCCAACAGAAGAAACATGGAAAAAGAAACGAGGCGTTAAAACAAAGGTCTACAGGTTCATTAGATGCGAGTTCTTTTCAAGAATATGATTGGGGGTGAACAAGAATGAGAATTGCACTTACAGTCACGTTAGCATATTCCCAGGAAATGCCATTCGGAAACTCACGCCATGATCCAGAACTTTCAACAACCACGTCCATAGCAGCCTCGTAGGGGGGAATATGTTGCTAGTATAGAACCCATTGTTGTACACATCCCCTGTTCCCAATTTCAATGATGCTTTGCTCCTTCTGAAACCCCTCTTGGAATCTTGTCCTGGGTTGATGAAAAGTTCTGCGAGCTTGTGGCCCCGGCTAGCTGTGGTGACCCTGAAGAGGACCACTTCATTCTTATTCAAGTATCTCTCTACTATTTTAAAGTTTACATAATGGCGTCTATGCTTCCGTATTATAAGAATGCTGAGCTTACCCAGTGCTCCATGACACAAGAAAGCAAGTCAAGGTCCCTCTTGCATACACGTCGTTTCTCTAGGATCCTCGACATGGAAATCAACTCTCTGCTCATGAAACTGGACATCTTACTTTTTACAACGGTATTTTAATACTTTTCTGTCCAAAAGAAAATTGATGCAAGAGCACATGTGGTCCTGACAGGGTATGATGAAGGAGGACACTTTGCTGCGCTAGAATGCTCGGAAGTTATTTTTGCTAGATAACTTCCGGGCATTCTAGCAAGATTGCCGCACAATTCTTCTAGGAGTTTGGAATTAGCCGAACCTAGCCACCTGGTTTAATCTTATTAAAGGCAATTGAGTTGCTCCCTAAATTCTGGGAGCAGATGCGAGGCTGTAAATGTTAGTGAAGTGTCTGAAGTGCCCATCAGCGAAGTGATGTTGACAATAGGAGCACTCATAATGAGTACTCCTTTCGAGTCTCAATTTTCCCCCTTTTTTTATTATTATTATTGGTGTTGTCTGTTATTTGATGGATTGTAAAATTTGGCCCACAATACTAATCCTTTCAGCTAGCTTCCCCATGTCGCCATTTACTTACCTCTTCCGACGGGGTATCTTCTTATCAACTTCCCCCTTCAAATTTTTCATCAGCCGCCGCCTGAATTATTAGATTCAATTCTGATTATTAGTCTTCCGTATATCTAGCTCGCTCGATAGATAGTCCCTTGTCGATGTAAGGCTGGTTATCGGGCAATTCAATCCTCCTGGTCTCTACGTGGAACACAAATCAACTATTAGTACTAATGTGGAAAAAACGATGATTTTTTTAAAGCGCGTGAAAATAAATGCACGCTACTGTCAGGGGGATCCGAGCTAGCGATTAATTAGGCTTAAGCTTGCTGTCCGGCCTGTAATATTAGGTGGCTATGGAGAATTAAAATTAACTAAGCGCTAAGACACGAAAATAAAAAAATTCTCCACGTGTAACCCGTGCACATCAAACGTCTGGCCAACGGTTCTGTTGGTCAGCTAAGCGAGTCCCAGGGACTCGGGCGCTGTAGAACTGACCAGGCCTGTTACAATTGGTCCGCTATCGAGCTCGCCCATGGATAGGGGCGGCCAACGTCTAGAAGTGGTCTAGAAAGGCTCCGCCTAGGCTCCATGATTAGGGTACCCCAGGAACCAATCAATCGATCATGCGATTCAGTAAATAAAATTTTCTACCAGGGGCGAGAGAGCTCTTTTATCACTGTTCTTCACTCGGGTTTGCTTTTTGTTTCCTGGAGTAACACTGCATACAGATATGTCTTCTTCAACAACTCAGACGGTAGAGCCGGTGGTCTGCCACTTGAAGGCCGAAGTCGAGGTATTTCTTTCTCATGTTCCTTCAATGCAACAAGTTCCGATTATGCTGACACCCCGCGAAGGCGAAAGATGTCACGTATGGGTTCTTGAGATCAAAAATCCCGGCGCATTGCTTTGAGCGTTCCGCCCTCAAAGCATTTGCATACCTGTTCCGCGACATTGTCTATGCATCTGCACTTGTGTGGCTCGCCCTGCATATTGATCATCTGCCCTCGCCAACGCTCCGGGTCGGAGCTTGGATCCTTTATACCTTTCTCCAAGGCTGCGTTGGGACCGGAATGTGGATCATCGGTCACGAATGTGGACACGGCGCCTTCTCTAAATTCCCGTTGCTCAATGATGTTGTTGGATGGGCTATCCATTCGGCTCTCATGGTCCCCTACTTCTCGTGGAAGATCACCCATGCTCGTCACCACCGGTACCATGCCCACATTGACAAAGATGTGGTCTTTGTTCCTCCGACTGAAGCTGAGATTGAGAACCAGCAGCCCACCCTCTACACCAAATTCGTGGAGCTGGTTGAAGAAACGCCTCTCTATCATGCTGTGACGTTACTCGGCCATCAGCTGTTCGGATGGCAATTATACATGTTGTTCAACGTCAGCGCCGGAAATAAGAGTCTGCCGCCCAAAGACTCCGGCGTTCGGATGTTTCGGAACAGTCATGTTGATCCCTTTGGCTCCTTGTTCAAAGATTCGCAAGCGCATCTAGTGGCGATTACTGACCTGGGCCTTCTGCTTGTGGGAGGTGCGCTGTACTACCTGGCGACACAGATCGGCGCATGGAAGGTTGCGCTGCTCTACATTGTGCCCTACCTCTGGGTCCACCAGTGGCTAGGTAAAATCTCTCGTTCAAACTGTACAGTCTTGCAACTCTAACCTTTCTCAAACAGTCGCCATCACCTACCTGCATCATACTCATCCCACCGTCCCACACTACGATGAGAAGGCCTGGACCTTTGTCAAAGGCGCCCTTTGCACGGTCGATCGACGATTTGGCTTTATCGGCCGCCACTTCTTCCACGAAATTATCGACTATCACGTTATCCACCACCTGTTCCCCCGGATTCCTTTCTACCATGCGGAGGAGGCAACGGAAGCAATCGTGCCTTTCCTTGGAGATCAGTATCGTCTTGATCAGGGATTCTATCTGAAGTCTCTGGTCGACACATTCGGTACCTGCAAGGTCAAGCATAATCCTGATTCGGAGGGGGCCTTGCATTGGAAACTGGAGCAAAGTGCAAGCAAAAAGCAAAGCTAGGCAATTGTCAGACTTGCCTGATTTTCTTTTCTTTTTGTTTCTCGGTGGTTTTCTCTTTGTGAATACATAAATAGAGATTTAGAGACTACATAGACAGATAGACTAGGGGTTTTGGTACGTGGCTACGAATAAACAATACCCGATCTCGGACATACTCCCGAACCCCCACGGGGATCCTCCGTTTCACCTCTTCATCTCCTCCTCACACACTCTCTCTCTCTCTCATAACCACCACACTCAGTATGCCCGTCTACCACATCGGTAAAAGCAGCTCTCTTGTCCTATAAATTGCGGTAGATTGACCACTTGACCAGTCCTCTTCCGCCTCAAACCCGGCGTGACCCCGGCCCAGTTATCGACCTGGTCGCAGATTACCCAGGCGATGGTGGGGAAGATTCCTGGTGAGTGTAACTATAGTCACGTCCCAGTAGTCAACAAAAAGTCATTCACTAATAGAAGAAAATAATAGGGCTCACTTCCATCAAGACCGGACAACCGTTGCCCATCTCCGTACCCCGCGCCAAGGGATTTGATATGGGCCTCGTGGCTATTTTGGAGACGCCGGAACACGTTGCTACCTATGCCACGCACCCGGCTCATCTCGAGTCAGTTTTCATCTGCTTGTGGACGTGTACTGTTACTGACTACTTTTCTGTAGAGTCCATAAGATGCGGGAGGAGCTGTGCGAGGATACTTTGGCGTATGATCTGGAGTTCTAATGTATACGTACTCTTACACACTTATCTTTCAGACACGGGAAGAAGCTTGAACAGTCCAACAATTCCATTGATGGAAAGAAAAGAAGTAGACCACGAGAAGGGCCACTGCATACCCCCCATCTTGGGGCAGAAGAAAGGTAAAATGGGGACATGATACCGGATCCAGTCAAAGAAGAAAAATCAATCAATCAGCCATCGCTTCCAAGGCTATAGATACGCGGTCAAATTTTCCCCAGATTATAAGCAGACAAATCGCGCGAATGCTTCTTATCCGTGATGAGCCATTTCACCGTCTCGCGCATCATAGTTAAGAACTGTTCGGCGCTCAGCGAGTTGAGGAACGACATCCACTCTTGGTTGATTTTGGTATTGTCAAATTCATTGCCATTGCCAGCGCCGGACGGAGAGCTAGACCCAGAGTTTGAGCTTGAGTTTGAGCCGGAGCCATTGGACTCAGAGGAGGAACTCGAGCTCGAGTCAGAGGAGCTTGAGCTCGAGCTGGAACTGGAACTGGAACTGGAGCTAGAGCTCGAATCTGAACCAGAGCCAGTTCCTGATTCAGAGCCGGCGCCGTATTCAGAGCCAGAGCCAGAGCCAGGTCCTCCAGAAGTAGGGCCAGCACCTGTAGGCCCATCGCCGCCAGCAGGAGGAGTGGGCTGATGAGTCGAGGCTCCGCTCGCAGAATGTTCAGGGCCGCCGGGGTTAGGGCCAGCCAGGGAAGTGGATGCAACAGGGGTTCCTGGGGTACGGCTGGAAGAGGGACGCGATGACGGAACCAGCGGGGTGCTTCGGATAGGAGTGGGGCGAATCAAAGGAGTGCTGGTTGACGGTGAAGGAGTGACAGATCCCACGGCTGGGGAGGAGGTTCCTGGCGCCGGAATGGTGGCAGAGGCAGCAGGAGTTGAAGTTGCAGTTGCCGTTGCAGAGACAGAGGCTGCCGTCGTAGTAGTAGTCGCACCGCCGGCAGATGCAGTATACAGCGCCGGGCCGGGGATAACGTACGTGCTCAGAGACTGCCAGATGTCGACTAGGATGCCCGGATCGGTGTCCTTGTAGAGCTCAGTGCCCAATGTACCGCTGGGCGAGTCACTGCCGCCGCCGGTGACCTTGAGGTTCAGACATTGAGGATAGTTCTGAGCGCCGTTCTTGCTCTCTGCCGAGTGCAAGGCAATGATCTCATGGCGCAGGACGTAGTTGCCGGCCTCGATGCTGCTGGGGATCGTGACGGTGCGGCTGTTGTTATTGGCAATGAGATTGTCTGTGGCCCATGTACCCGGTACAGGGTCGTCAGTGATCAATCCGCCCTGGTCGATCTTGAAGAACTCGAGCTTCGTCTTATCGACTGATGCGCAGTCGCCGTTGCAATTGGCCATGTAGGTAATGACCGGGCCGTGGTGGTCGGATGGCCAGTCGGTCCACTGCAGCTCAACCGTGCCTCCGGCTGTGACCGGGGCTTCCAAAGCACCAGGCAGTGCATTTTTGTGGCAGATGATGTTTGGGTTAGAGTACTCGGTGCCGTTGATGTAGCCGTCGTCAAGCTCATCCTCGGACCACGCAATGACCTTGGGCGGGTCGTTCTCGTAAGGGTACAGGTCGATGAGATATCCGCCATAGTATGTGCCGTCCACCACAGCACCAGTCACGTAGCCATGGCCGGCAACAAGGGCGGCCGAGCCGAGGAGGATTCCAGCAAGTCTGGAAACAGACATTATCACGAACGCACAGCGTTGTTTCGGAAATGAATGACAAAAGGGAGACTTCAGTCAATGAAGTTCACCCTAAGAAGAGAATGGAAGAAGGTACTGGACCTTGAAGAGAAAAAGAATGGAATGCAAGAGACTGGTGGTGTTGAGATGCTGAGGCCACTCGACTCGGCCTTTATATACCTCCTCTTGATCGGCTATCCTCACTCGCCATGAGGCGACAATCCATGGGGACTGCGATGTATCACCACCATGGGTGTTTGACATCTGCCGCGATAGGTGGGGGAAGTCTGCGGAGGTGTGAGATAGATGAGACCAGCCGTATCCCAAACCGCCCGGTGCCTGACTAGAGTCAATTAGGCTCACTCAAATATAGGGCCTGTCGATCTTGGCGGCTGGCTGTGACATTCACGGTTTCAGCTCCTTTGGGGCCTCCATGCCGAGCTGCTGAAGCTCCTGTTCCTCCGGGTAAATTCGATTATTAGTGTAGGCGTGGATCCAAACAGGTCATATTCTTCCAAATAGTCGAGACGATGTGTCGGACCATCAGGAGCACTTGGTGATGAAATCCTATCCGGAGTACTTAGTGATGCCATACTAACTATTAGTTAGCTAGTCATCGTGAACAGATAACTAACCCCCATTCATCGGATTATTTCCCCAACGGTCTTCCAGTTAGGACTGTCGAAGGAGGTCGTACAACGTGACCGCTCACCCACGATGGCGTCCTCTCGGATCGATTCTCAGCAGGCGGTGATAGGACCTGCGGCGGTACAGGCCAGACCGTCTTTTCCCGTGTGCTGCCTCAGGTGTCGACCAGGGAATTCTTTCACCGAATCAACTCACCGTTGATTGGGTTATGGATGCTGTGATTATTGATTTCTCGAACTAACTTAGTTGGCTATCGGGCCCTAACTAACTACGTAACTACTAACTCCCTCACTACCGGATCGTCGCCCACACAGTGTGAGCGCCCCGGGTCCACTTCTGCCAGGCAGGGCCTTTCCGTTCCGTTTCTGCCGCTCACCTCAACACTTCCTTCCTCTACTGTCAGCATCTCTCACACTCCCTTCGGCCTACCATCACTATCGCATCGTCCCCTCCCAATCACCGGTCATGGTCGCTGGAGGCCGGCTTTACTCCTGACTGCGTGAGACCCGACCATTCTCCTGTGACCTGCCGACCTCCTGAGCCCGTCTCCGTCTTCAACTTCAACCACACGCGACCGGCCCACTGTCTGTCGTCTGTCGTCCCTCGTCCCTCTCCCCCAAACAACAGAACGTTGTGAGGGTGGTGAGTCGCGTCCCACGCCCCCCCCGTGGTTCTTGCAACACAAGGCGGCACGAAGAATGGGATTGACGGAGGCACCCTCTTCGCCCGCATTCCCCTCCCTCGACCCGATTATCGTCGACGACGAGATGGAGTCCACCTTCCGCGACGCCGACATGGAATTCCTCGACCCGGCCACATTGGAAATGTCAGTTGGGAACGCCGGGGGCGACTTTGACGACCTCTTCGCGGGAACCCCTAATTCTCGCACAAGTGGCACCACGGAGTCATCCAAAGCCTACCAAGATCAAAACCCCCTGAGGAAGCCACCGCTCCTCTCTGCCGATTCACCCGCCGAATCCCCAGAGAATTCCAGCCGAAGCTCGTCGTCAGAGTCGCCACGGAACCATCTTCGACATGCCTCGATCGCTTCGACCAACTCCGTTGCTCATAGTGACAACCCGCTCGCCTCGAATGGGTTTCCACCGGAGGACTGGATGCACCCGGAACTATCATCGGTTAAAGAAGAGCCGTTATTCGGTGTGGACTCGTCTTTTCCGGGTGGTTTCTCAACAGATCTGGAATTCAGCAACAAGGCGATGGACGCGGCCTTTGATTTCGAGAGCGCGGCAAGCAGCCCTAGTCCGTTGAAGACAGAGAATGCGCCACAGCCAAAGGGTCAGAAAAGACCCAAATCACAGATCTGGAGTCCGGGTTCTTCAGCAGCGCAGCCGTCAGCGGAAGCTGCGGCGGCATCCTCGGTGAGTCACCTCAACGTTTGGAGTTTCAGCTGGTCTAATTACAATCCTTTCCCTCAGATCCCCACGGCGATGTCTCCATTTTACCCCTTTGGATACAAGGAACAGTCTCCCTTTTCAAACGGAATCCCCAACGATGCCCCGCAATGGGATGGGCAGTCCCCTTCTTCGCTTCTGGAGGAAAGTTTTGGGGGTATCAACGTGAACGGCCAAACCTCCCTCAATGCCTCCGTATCTCCCAACATGAATTTTGGTTCGCCCCCATCGTTTCCATTCCCGGCTACCTTCGCCCCCTCGCCGGCCCAAGTCCCGATGAACGCCTCCAACTCGGTGCAACCCGTCCTCACAGTCCATCCGACATCCCTCAAGTCGCGTGTCGAGACCCAGATTCCGATTCGCCTCACTCTTTCCCCATTGCCAGCGGGTGTGAAGAAACTACGCCTGCCCTCGCACACCATATCCAAACTCAAATTCCTTGCTCCTCCCACCGAAACTAGCCCCGACACTCTTCAGTTAACTACCAGCCTTGTGTGTACCAGCGCCATGCAAGACCACGACAAGTTGAAACGGGCATTTGCACGGACAAGAGGCGAACGCCGGCGACCTTCGGGGGAGGAAGATCGAACAATGGACGGTGGTGATGTGAAGATCTGTCCCGGATGCATACAGCGAGAGCGGAAACGCGCCTCTCGGAAGAAGCAACGGAAACCCGAGGAAGATGAGCTGTTCCAAAAGGACGAAGATAAGAGAGTCATTGTGTTCAACACCAACGAGATCAAGGAGTGGATCGAGCCTTCTAAAAATGCGACTGCTGGCTATGGAGAGATGGCGCCGCCAGGATCGATGCAGGTAGAGCTACCAATGCGGATTGCGTGCTATTGCCGGCATCAAAATGAGAAACTTGGGTTCCAGGTTATTTTCACACTGAAAGATCATATCGGAAACGTGGTCGCTCAGGCAATTACCAACTCCATCATGATCACGGACGACCACAAAACACAGGCTCCCGCTGTCCCCCAACCAACGGGCCCTTCACCCTCTTTGCCGGATGGCACACAGTTACCCGGTGTCGGGGTCTTCCCATCCGAGTCTCAGTCACCGACTGATCTTCAAGGGCTTCAGCAACGATTCAATTCGCAGTATCAGCTCACGCCCAGCTCGTTTGCTCCAGGCCAAGGCTCAGTAAATGGCGGATCCTCGATCTCACAGACTCCACGAAACCTTTCTCGACAGGCATCCCCAATTGAATCCACGGGTCCCCAGAGCAAACGACGCAAGCATAGTAGTTCTGGGAGACTACCATCAGAATTGACCATGACACGGCTTGAGACACCTCAGTCATCGTCATCGGCAATTAACAACGCTGCACAGCTTGCTGCTAGTCGTGGATACGCTTCACCTACCGAGCGGCCGTTCGTAACACCTTCCTCCATGTCCGGTCAATACGGGAACGGCCCCCCGACTCCGAACCAAAGCCATGACAACAACCCATTCTTCAACCCAACGCCTGCTCAACGGCAGAGTTTGGATAGCCTGGCTCAGCAACCAATGGTGTCAGCGCCTAACTCGGCTCATCCCAGCCGCCCTGGAACGCCCGGCGGTTCAGCTCGGAACAGTTTCCAAGACCAGAATCTTGCTCTTGCGCTTGGTGCCAATTCCTCGAACCAAGCCTGGCCGCCCCTCAACAATGCTGCTAACCGGTTGCCTTCGGTGATCCACAAACTGGTGCCCGCCGAGGGCTCAATCACCGGTGGGACGGAGGTCACGTTGCTGGGTAGTGGTTTCTATCCGGGCATGGAGGTTGTCTTCGGTGACACACTCGCAACAACCACCACGTTCTGGGGTGACAAGTGCCTCAACTGCTTAACCCCTCCCGCGCTTCAGCCGGGGTGCGTGTCTGTTGTTTTCAAGCACGAACATCCGACTTTTGGACAGGTCCAGCAACCTCAACCTCTCATGCCAAAGCAGCAGCTGTTCTTCCGATATGTGGACGATCGTGAGCTTCAAATGTATCGTCTAGCACTCAACATCCTCGGGCAAAAATTGGGCAGCCAAGCAGATGCGTTCCAAACGGCTCAACAGATCATGGGAAGCGATCCCAATGCCTTCTTCAATATGCAGAAAGATATGCAAAACGGTGGCTCTGGTGGAGGCAACCAACGGCAAGTCCCGGGACTGGAGTCTCAGGGCAAGCTGAGCGACTTGGACTCCAAGATGCTCACCTATCTCGAGTTTATCGATTTGGATGACAGCCCCCGTCCACCACGTTACAATTCTCGCAGCGCAACTGGCCAGGGTCTCCTTCACTTCGCAGCTTCGCTGGGACTCACCCGGTTCGTTGCCGGGCTCCTGGCCCGAGGTGCCAACCCCGATGTGCAAGACAATACGGGCAACTCGCCAATGCACCTGGCAGCTCTTAATGGCCATGCGCACATTGTTCACCGTTTGCGTCTCGCGGGTGCCAATGCCAATTCCCGCAGTATTCGGGGCTTTACTCCTGCGGACCTGGCGACATCTCTTCCAGCTCACCAGGCGGCCTTGCTTCCATCTCGCCACTACCGATCTCGCAGCGTTGGGTCCCTCACCTCGCGCCGGCGACACAGCAGCTCGGCATCCCTTAACTCACTCTGGGAATCCTCCTCGGCATCCGGCTCTCTTGGCCATGCCGTGGATGATTCGGAGGAGTTAGATGAGGATACTGATGAGATCAGCGACGACTCTGAGCCCAACGGTCTTTATTTCAGCGCATCACGGCGCTCGAGCATGCATCATCAGGAAGCTAGGTCACCTATAGTGGGCGTCAATGAACAGCCTGCAGTTCCGGGAGACGCTCGTGGTTTCTCTCCACCAGCAGCCCTTATCGCATGGCGTAATCAGCTGGCTGCGCAGATCAATCAGTTCCAGCAGAGCGTGTCCAACGCTTTCCCCAACCTTCCTCACCTGCCTGCGCTGCCACCCATGCCAGCCATGCCGGCCATGCCGGATTATCAGGCAAACCAGATGATGCGACGCATCACTAATCTTGTTCCTCACCGGCCTGCCGCCCGGGATGGCTGGTGGGATTATCTGAAGGGCAACACCTCGCCGAGCGGTACCCTGCCACCGTCTTACGATGAGCTGTATCCCCACCAGGAGGACAAGGAGGATGAGGGAGTCGGAATGAAGAAATCTGCTCTTCTACACGCGGCCACTGAGGCCGCATTGTATCAGCACTTTGAAACTCAAAGCAGTGCCGCGGAAGCTTCTGCATCGACATCCATCGCCACACAGGTCCGAGCAGAGATGGATGATCTCAAGGACATCACCATCGGACGGAAAGTCATTTCACGCGAGCAGCAGAAGCATCTCCGCGCACAACAGGCCCGCCGAATGAAGGGCCTGGCCAGCGACCGGAATCTGTACTTCATTTGGGTATGTGACCATTCTCTTTAATCACAGAGTTTCTCCGTTGACTAACCCTTTCAAATTAGATTCCACTACTGCTTCTGGTCGTTTGTGCTTGGGGTCGGAACTATCTACCTGCTATTTGGCAAGGCGTCTCGGACGGCTTCGAGTTCGTAAAGACTCGGTACACACCGCGGTCTATAGGCGTCGGCATTTAGGTTATCTTTCTATCATTTATTTCTTTCTTTCGCTTCTTCCCGGTCATCTGGCTGCGGCGTTCTGGCTGAGCGACTTGAGTTTCACTGACCAAACTTGATTGTTTGTTGTTTCTTTTCCTGTTATGTGGTACGACTGTACATGGAGGACTGTTTTACTGCGATTATCTTGTACGGATTTAGGACGAATGAAGACATTGTCAAAGAGGAGACAGATCCTGCTGAAATAGGGACGATGGTATTGCACGTCTATATAATTCACCTCGTCACAATGGTCAGAGCCAAAGGACGAATCGGAGAGTGGAAGAAGCGGAAGCGGAAGCGGAAAGAGCACACTGCTCTCCGTTATTCTACGCCTTCTGGATCCTGTCACTGGCACCGTTGTTGTTGATGGTGTGGACCTTCTGCGTGTTCCTCACCAAGTACTCTGAGAAGTTCTTTTTGCAATTCCCGAAGATGCCTTTTCGCTTCAGCGTTCGGATCGGTATAAGCTCGATCCATATGGACGGCTTACTGACGATCAGATTATTAACGCCCTTGCACACTTAAAGTTATGGTCGTGTCCTAGAAAAGAATAGTTGCCTCAATGCAATATTTACCACGGATCTCTTGTCCGAGGTCAGACGCAACTTTTCGGTCTAGCTCTGTTCTCAGAAACGAATCGCTCAGTGAAGCTGGGCGAAGCGGGTTACTCTCGCTGATGAAGCAACCAGGAATCTAGACATTGCTGCTCTAAGGCATGTCCAGGGTCACACATCGTCTGGGGACAATTTTGGATAGTGATCGGATCGCTAGGGCTGGTTGGGTTTGATACTTCGACCGCGCTTCTCTCCCGCGATTCAACCTTTTACCGTCTGTACAAGACTCGGGAAGATGTGATTTTGGAAGGTTCACGTTGAAGCTTATTATAGATATACAAAGAATTGATTTTCCTTGCGATGTCTGTTAAAATACACAAGATTTCGTCAATGTCATACTGTTTCCTTCTCGCGCTTTCGCCTTTCGTTCGCTGATAACTCTGAAGGTTTAATCTATCTTAACGAAACAGGTCCCTATGTGTCCGGCCTTCTGCCACAATCAATCTCCCTTCCCTGGCTCTGTCAAAATCAGTCCCGCACACAAACACTCCATACCAAGGAAGTCAAGAACGAGCAGGGGAACACTTACACCGATCCGACTAAAGATTCATTTCTTTCCCATCTTCTCCTTCGTGAACCCCTCGCTACCAACTAGCGTTCCTGCTTTGCTGATAGCTGACTCCGCCGACTCTGTCTTATAACACTTTAAATCTGCTTCATTCTCCGAAACTCGTGGTTGACGAAGTTGCTGGACCTGTCGTTTGATGTATTTCCACGCATCTGCCGCAAGCTGAATATCGCTGCGTGGGAGGGAACCGAGAGGTGCGGTGGGAGGTCGCTGGATGGTGTAGGGCGCCATTATTTTATTGTCGTATATTCCTGATTGCACGAGAGCGCCAGGTAATAGATATTCGGTACTTATTCAAGTAAATATCAAGTCAGAGTAAGATGAGAGCGTAGGATAGTAATCACAATCCCCGGTTGGAAAAATATGGATTGATATAGAATCCCCCGATCACGAAGAAATTGTTCATTGCTTATATATACGCAAGGGCGCGCCCTACTACTCGGGGTCCAAATCCGGATTGAATAGCTTCACTCCGACTCCGACAGACACTTGTTTGTCAGCTAGGCATTGCGGTGGGGGCCCGAACCCTAGTAGCGTGACAGGCCATGCAGGTGTGCACGTTTATGTTCCCTCTTATCTATTGAGCTATCACCCTATGACTGAATCCCGAGTCAACTCCGAGACGATTTCGCAACACCCAACCCGCAACATTAAAAAAGAAAGAGAAATTGCGTTCACTGTTTTGTCTGGAAATAAACGGTGGGCCCAAATTAATTCTTTATTCAAAAGGAATGCAAAGATCGTCGCAAGACTTCGTCACTGAACACGAAATCCAAATCCATAGCACACACGCTACCCCGACCCCGGACTCCGACTCCGAACGCCGAACTCCCCATGTCGACCCATCGACATACCAAATCGAGTCGCTGCCTCAGCTGCCGAGTTTATTGATTATTAGATAAAAGACTGATTGTACTCGAAGCATAATAATCGCGCAATTATGCTCTAGAATTTCCTATCCATTACTTTTATTCTTGGCTGCCTCTTAGAAAGAACAATATGGAAGGTTGCGATAAGGTCTGGATTCGTAGCTATATAGAATATCCCTCTTAGAGTATATGTGCCGAGTTATTACTTATCCGAAGAGAAACGAACAAGGAGCTGGCGGTGAAGAATTAGTGTAATTCCGACTGACACCTGCCAACTTCATGTGTTCAGAGTCGAAGATTATTGTTGTTAATATCGATTACGCTTCCCCGTGGTGTAATCATACGGCCGCTTGAAACAGTTTCAAGAACGGACATATTTAGTAATGGTGTCCTGCAGATCGCTCCGGCGAGCGGTCGGGGTCAATGAAATCATCCATCTTCCGCCCTCAAATGGTAAATGACTACATGGTCCACCCATCCCTCGATGGGTTTTGTGGCTGAGAGTGCGAACAGGCATCCAAATGCATCAGAGTCGACAGGCCAGCGATCCAGATCGTCCAGCCTACACATCCCAATTCAGCTTGTCAATCCACCTGATAAATTCGGTTCCGTCATTCAACCACTCGTCATTCAGCCAGTCCGTGGGGATTACGTCGTTCGGCACCGGAGCAACTGATGCGGTAGCATCCGTACGCGTGGAGAGTACATGATCCAGAATGTACAAAATGGCCTTGCGGCCCCGTTGGCAGACCTCGTAGTTGCCCTTCTGCGGCAAGATGATGTACTGAATATGTGAGGCGAGGATGCTGAGGTTCTGGATCACTTCTGAGCGTGGGAAGGGCCTCTCGTTCGGCCGCGGGTGGGGGTTTTGAGTCCGGCGGAGAAGTTCAATGGCGAGGATCCCGGCCGAGGGGAGGCCGAAGTAGGGGATCTATAACGTCAGCATGCGACGGTAGCGGTGTGCCGAGGGAAAAAGGGGAGGATACCGTCCATCCGATCTCACTGAAAGGTTTGCCGCATCGTTGACTGATAGCAATCTGGGCAAGGATGGCCTTGAGCATCTGGTCCGCAAGACAGACTAGGCTCTCGGACCCCGTCAAGGACCTCTTGACCAAGATGCGCTGCAGGAGAAAGTCGCTGTAAAGCAGATCGAGATGACAGTAGACGGGAATGGTGCTGGTCAGCCGCAGGGCGGTTTCGGTGCTCCCGTCCCACTGCAGGTAGGATGGAATTTCATCACGCACCTGCTGGGCCAGGGACGAGACTTCACTGAAGGGGATTTAGCAAGGGTATCACAATGGAGTGATTAAGAGCAACATACTCGACGCGTTGCTGAATGTCATGATCCCGGGAATCGAGCGAAAGTTCTAGTACGAGCTCACGGACGTGGCCCAGGAGCACGGACATCCGACTAAACGAAGTGCATTTGATGAGCCCATTAGTGTTCCAGCCATTAGCGTCCAGTTTGTCGATGGCGGCCTTGCGCACCGCTGGCTCAGCGATCACTTCAGCTGGTTCCAGGTCCAGAGGCAACTGCATGCGACAGAAGCGATAGGCAATCAGCGGAGGACAGCCTAGAAACGTCGCCAGCTCCTTGTCGCAGGCATAGGCGGACGCCATGAGCCGCTTCCGCCCTTCGGCGAGGAAGAAAGGCAGATGCTCGCCGGAGTCGAGCTGGTGATAGCCAATGGCGAAGAGGAGGGTCGAGAGTTCTCCGAGGCGTTTCCGTGGTCGATAGTCTGGACATTAGCTATCATCTTCTCTCGGTATCTGAAGAGACACACCGTAATCGCCACAGACGAAGGTCAGCAGATGGGCGTGTCGCATCAGGAGCCAGCCAAAGGTGTCGCACATGACACCCACACTGTCGCATAACTGTAGACACTGGTCGCCGCCGGCAGTGGCCAGAATTCCTAAGTTCTTGTGGTCGGTTGCGGTGAGGCGCAGGCCGTGGAAGATCGGGTCGTCAACAGTCGTGTGGGCGGCGCAGATGCCGGACATGGTGAGGATGATGCCGATGGCTTCCCAGCGGCCTGCGAGGGCAACGAGATACTCATCGAGTGTCATGGTCGCGTGCGTGATGAGCTCACGGGTGGTGCCCTCGAATAGCCGCCGCGAGAGTGCCAGCAGCCGCGACTGCGGGTCCAGATGACCCGGCAGGCTGTTGTACATGCCCTCGATGAGGTCGCAGAGGGTGCGGACGGTCGGCAGGCCAATGATGCCCTCGCCCATCTTCTCATCGCAAGCTATGGCCGTCCGGCGGTACAGCACAAAGTCATCGAAGAGCAGCGACAGCAACTCAGCGCCTAGCTGGGCCTGGTGGATGTCGACCGCGCGGGCGACATCAGGCGGACTGAGCTCCGGCAACCGCAGCGGCGTGATAGACGAGTGTTGCTTCAGACTGGCCTCGTTCTCGCTGTAGACTGCCGAAAAGCTTGTTGGCCCCAGGAAGCTTGGAGTGGAGTTCAAAGCCAGCCGGTGACTCCAGTCTTCGATGTAGCGGTCTCGCACAGCGTACGGCGAGCCCGCCAGCAGTCGGCGTCCCGGCGACATCTGCACCGTCCCTAGTGGTGTCGGGGACATGGTCGCGGGGGGTGAGAGCGTCGCCGCAGCGACCTCTGCCATCGACTGCTGAGCCCGTGTTGGGTTCTGCCTGTACACGCAGGCGGCTGCCTTGTCCTTACGGCGGCACCGTCCACAAGTGGGGACGGTGTGGTCGCAGCGGAGCTTGGCTCGGCGGCAGGGCTCGCACGACGACAAAAGGCCATTATGTCGGCGCATCGTGATGCGATGACGCTGAATGGCACTATAGCGAGTTAGAACGGAACGATAAATGGATCAACAATCACTGAAGCGTCCAGAGCCTTGCGGGATGGAAGCCCGAGTCGAATATCGCTGACATCAGAATCGGGGTGGGTCTTGGTCGATGTACTCTACAAGACCTCGAAGGAGTAATATTCCTCTCCCGCCTCGGTTGGTGCGAGCTAGGTGCAGTTCTCCTCCAGTAGCTTGTCGCCCAAGGTCCCTGGCTTCTCCGTATGCTGGTTCGTAGATCCGTAAGTCTCCTCAGTGACTGACGGTAGACGCCATGTAAGTAGCCCGAGTCGGTGCCAAGATGCGGCCTGTGCGGTCATCAACAATCTCCGGCTCCAACACCACCGAACTGAACACACCAAACACTCGTTTCCCTCCCGCCAGTCTGTGGAACGACATGCGCTGAAGACAATCAATTGTCCCTCTCCCGAACTGCCCCCCGGGAGAAATCATGGACCCTTCCAAGGCTGCGTCGAACAATGTGACCGGTACGCTCCCCCTCCGTTGCCGCAAACCCCCCTCCGTGTATGTAGCACACCGGACTGGAGAAGCTGACTGCCATGACACTCTACAGTCGAGTATACGGACCCATCCGGACTGTTCCCACTCGTCCAGCCCGTCATCGAAGCAAAGCTCCCCCTGAAGAACCTCCACTGGAAATCGCCCACCCGCCCCGTCCGCTCGATCGAGTCCCTACGGATTGGGTTCGTGCCCGCGCAGTCCGAAGCCAGCGAGCGCAAATCCTCCAGCGATGCCGCCCGCGCCCGTGCTAGTACCAGTGCCCTTCCCCATCGGCGGCATCAAATCCCCGGCCTAAGACAGACGCCCTACCTGAAAGTGTACTTGCTGCGGTGCGACGACAACGAGTCGTACAAGGCAACAGCGCGGCGGACGCTTCGTGAATGGATCAAGACACACGCTTCTTCCTCGAGCAGCTCGCAGTCGACGACAACTAGCCAGGAAAAACATGACGCTTGCGAATGGTTAATTCTGCACGTCGTGCCGGACAGTGAGCCCGTGGACAAGACGCCCGCCCAGACCAGTAAATGGGGCCGTGGTACCACCACCGTTCTGGAGAAGATCAAGGCCGACTTCAATGGTTCGTCCAAGTCGGCTGTCGACCGGGTCGCGCAGCTAAGGCTTCCCAAGGAGGGGACCGCCAAGCCGCATGAATTGGCGGAGCAGCTGGAGGACTTGATTGACAAGATGAAGAATGGGATTCTTGCTTCCTTTGACTTGCGAGTTGCGCAATATGAGGAGGATATCAAGGAGAAGGACTCCCAGCGCAGTCTGCCCGGTTGGAACTTCTGTACGTTCTTCATACTCAAGGAAGGCCTTGCCAGGGGGTTTGAGAACGTGGGTCTCTTCGAAGATGCTCTAGTTGGATACGACGAGCTAGCGGTCGGGCTCGATTCGGCTGTCCGAGACCAGCTGCAAGGAAGTGGCGATCAGCATGGAGGTGCACTCTTAACGTCGAGCAAGAGCTGGACTGAGAACGCCAAAAAGGCGTTGGAAGCCGGCGTGCCCGCAGAACACGGCGACGCAGACGAGAAGCCTTCGTTCCCTGAGCTCCAGCCTGAAGACTTCCCGCTCGATGCGGACAAAATGCCGTACCGGGAAATGATCCTGGCGAGCGACATCTCCATATTTGACTTCCGCACCTATATCTTCTCTCGGCAGCTCACTCTACTACTCCGAGCGGCACGAGCTCCTTCTCTAGGTAGCAGCGCTGGAGATAAATATCCAACCAAACGTGACAAGCCCGAGGACCTCAGAGTGCTCGCCGAGGTCTGTGGAAGGTCTACGGAGTTTATCAGTCTCGCTGCGCGAACGCTCCGGAGTGACCTCGAGTGCGGGCTTGCAGACAATACGAACGATGCGAAAACGGACATCATCAACAATATGGTGTCTGGCTGGACATATGCCGCAGCCTTCCAGATCCTGAACCAAACGTTCTCCTCGACATTGACGCTTCCCGATTCCTCGACTGCTCTTGCACAGCCTAGTGATGGGCCAAATCCCCCCGTTACCATGGCAGATAGCCGTCCGGGTGTCCCCCGTCGATCTAGTTCATTGGTTTCTCCGACTGGTCCCCAACCCAGCCGTCCGGTGACCCAGGACATGTCTTCCGAAGGTAGTGGCCTGCTGCAACGGCGCCAGACGATGGATCATCTGAAGACAGCGTCGACTGCGCAGAAAACTGGGTCTGAAGATCTGGCCTCTGGAAGGGGAGATCTGCTCTTGCTGGCACGCCGATCCCTGGAGGAAATGGCTCGACGAAGAGGCTGGGCTGAGAAATGGAACGATCTCGGTCTTCTCTTCGATGATCGTCATCGTACGGGAGCGGATGACCTTGCTGATGTCTCCCTGGGTGACAATGATACCCCACAGCAGCAAGAAAAGCCCGGGGCAAAGCAAGCCTCGCTCATCGGTGTTGGACTACCTGCTCTACAGCTCGGTCTGAAGTCGAAGACGGCATACCTGGCACTCTACGAGGATCTGACTGATCGCATGATTCGCCATCATCTGGCGGCGAATCGTGCATATTCCGCTGAGATGACTCTTTCCGAGATTGCGGTTCTGCGGTTCCGACAGCAAGACTATGAAACTGCCGCCTCGTATTTCCAGCAGATGGCACCATTTTACGGTAGCAAGCACTGGGTTGTTCTCGAGGGCAGCATGCTAGAGCTGCTTTCACGCTGTCTCAAGAAGCTCAAGCGGAATGAGGAGTATGTCCGAACGATGCTGCGGCTGCTGGCCAGTTTCGCCGCGTATCTACAGGCACAACTGACAGTTAAGCAAAAGGCTTTGGCTGCGTCGGCATCGTTCGTGGAGCAAGAATTAGTGGCTGGGTATGTTTCCGGTCTGTTTGATGCATCGCAATCTCTCCAGAAGGAAGTCTCGGCGTCCTTGACGGACTTCTTTGCCGACCTTCATGTCAACCCGGCGATCCGGCTCTTCGATGATAAGGATGGGTTCCAGGTTCAGCTCTCATTGCGGTTCCTGCTGGGCCAGCAAATCGATATCGACTCCATCAAGGTCCGCTTGGTCAGTGCCGGCACCGCTCAACATGCGGAACATTGGATTGAGAGTTCGAATAAGTCTGTCGTCAAGTCGACGACGACGAAGATTTTGATTGACTCTCTAGTAAGTAGTCCTTCCTCCCATGCAGGTCAACTTTCTCACGTGTTCCCAGACAACCCTTTATGGAAAATACTTTGTTGATCGAATGGAGATGAGGGCTGGTAACATCGTCTTCACCTTCAACTGTGGGCATCATTCGACACTTCCTATTGGCTTCAGAGAAGTAGATGAAGCGGAAGAGGAAGATCAACGACCGTACATCTATTGCTACTCTCCCCGGATGGTCTGCAGGCCAAGGTTGTGTCTCCACATTTGATTAATCTGGAAACGATGCGGACGCTGGAGCTGGAACTCAACAGTGGCCGGAACGACATCAAGACGGGTACTATCCGTGTACGGCCAGCAACCGCCGGCCTACGTCTGCGGATTGCAGAGGCTGAGGTCGTCGGTGGCAATCTCGACGTGGTGGCCAACCACGAGTCCGGGGTGATTGAGTTTGCGCGATTAGCACAGCGCTCGTTTGTGCGTGTTCGCATCCCCTACACCGTGGAAGAAGCCTTCTCCACCCTATCTGCACGAGCAGAGATCGGGTACGAAACGGATCAGGGCCGCTTTGCATACTCGTCCGTGCACAGTGTGGTGGCCACCTTGCCCATATCGGTCAACGTGCAGGATATCTTCAAGGATGAGCTGCTGTTCTCGCGATTCACCGTCAGCCCCGCAGTGCTGATCCCGCTTCGCATCACGAACTGCAGTCTACCCGGCTCGCATGCCTATGACGTGCAGTCCGGCGTCGCCGGGCCCGTCGCCCTGGATGTCTTCCCCAAGCAGCCCGCCTCGCTGCTCTACAAGATTCAGCCCAAGCAGCCTTCAAGCGCGTCAGCTGGTGTCCCGCGCTCGTTGAAACTGAGCGTGGATTTTACCTGCATCGACGATGAATGCCTCGATGCAGTCGAGAAGCGGTTCGCGGCCGCTATTGGCGATAGTCCCTTCCGCCAATACACGACCTTGCTCACGTCGCACATTGTCAGTCGCTTTCGTGCGCAGCTCTCCACCGCAGACATGGAGGCCATTGCTCTTGTGCGGGAGGTAGAGATGCCCCCGTATCAGGGCGTACGGTGGGATGAGCTGTTGAGTGCACTCAAGGAGCGTGCCGAGGACATGCGACAGTGGCTCCAGGCGTGGCACCAGGTATGTATCTTTTTGATTCTTCTTTGCTTCCAGCTGCTCATCGATGAAATAGAATCCGGACAACACGATCATTCACCTCCCCCCCAACCCCGACATCCCCACCCGCCGCATCATCATCCCAGTCGAAGTACCCGAGATCCAAGTCGTGCACACAGCCGAGCTCCGCCTCCCTGAAACCGACGGCTCAGGCCCAGGCGCTCACGCCGCCGTCGGCCAGATGATCTCCGCCGAACTATGTCTACGATACACGAGGCGGTGGTGCTCTCCCGCCGCACAAGAACACGCCGGCCAGCCGCTGGAGTGTTCGTACGAGCTGCACGCGAACCCCGATCTCTGGCTTCTCGGTGGTCGCCGGCGGGCCAACTTCGTCGCTCGCGACGGCGAAACCACCCGGTTCCCTGTTCTGCTACTGCCCCAGAAGCCGGGCCATTTGCTGCTGCCCGGTCTGGAGATCCGCACTTTTGTCCCGTCGTCGACGACGCAGCCACCCACGACCTCCGATCTGGGGGCGCCACAGCAGCGCCATCCGATTCCCTGTGAGGTCGACTACCGCAACCACGGCGAGACCGTGCTCGTGCTCCCGGACCTGCGGAAGACCACCGTCAGTCTGAGTGCGCATGGTGGCGGGGCGTCGTGGCTAGTGGAATCGGAGCGGCGGACTGAGGTGCATTGATAGCTACCGTGTTGCTCCAGTAATAGTAATGGTCTATCGTGTGTCTAGCGCTACGAATAATAATGATTGGGAGGGTATGGGAGAGTCCTCGCCCTTGCTCAGCCGTATATTTCTTTTTTGATCCTCTAATAGGTCCTACTCTCTGATGAGCGAATGTCCTTTCTTCACAACAGAGAATCGTAGTTAGTCTCAATCCTACTAGTCCAACTAGCCCACGATCCATCAATCCCGCTACTGCTGCCAAGAAAAATACCAGTTTGCAAATTCTTGGGTGGGGCGCGATTGGCGAGGGGCGTCTCAACAAAATCGGCTCGGCCCAACAGTTAAATCGTGTATAGTTACCGGACCAAACAGTGAGGAATTCTGCGGTGGCAAGAATATTTCTCTTACTTCTCTAATAGTCCACCAATACAATTGCCACCTGTTAGTATGATCACTTGTGATAGTAGTGAGCTTTATCCGCCACCGATCGTCTAGGCCCATCACGAACTCACTCCTGTACTCTGCCCGGGCTCCATTTCCCACCACGGCCCAATCCCCGCAAGCAGAAGCGACTGCAGGCACGAAAATGGACCGCCGACGATAAGGCGATCAGACCGGACGGGCACCGACCCACTCCGGCGGCATGTGAAAGGGAGCTAGCTTCCCCATATCACATCTATGGCAGGCCCCATATGAAACCGCGGGCAATTGTTGAGTCGCGAGAGAAGGCGATCAGGAGTACGCCAGGCGGACTTCCTGCGTGCGCTGTTGAGTAGGACCTATGGAGTAGTGTTCAGTCGTACTGTGTTCAGCTGCCCTATCCCCATGGACACCTCGGTTAGTCGAAATAATGGCGCAAGTGCAGCAGTAGTGGCGGCGCTGAGCATGAGGCCGACCAGTTCATGCAGAAAAGCGTGTTGTAATTTGCAGCGCGGTATCACCGAGTGGCGCTATACTGAGCCAGGGACTGTGTATGCAAAATACGTACCCGGTAATCATTTTTGGCTCCCGCCGTCCCTGACTATTTTTTTTGGGTTTGGGGTTCCCTTTCGCCTTCGTCCCTTTTTTTTTTCTCCTTCCTTTTCTCCTGTGATTGTCGTCTCTGCTGTTCGATTCTGTTCGCAATTGTTCCGTCGCCTGGGTCTCGGGGTCGCCAACGGACTGGACTGGGTTCATCAACACCTTTATTATTCCCCCCACCACCCACACTCTTCCTCTCACCCACCGCTTCTTGACTCGTTCGAGGGATCCCTGGCTTTGTGTAACCTCCAAGCAAACTCAAAGACTGCTCAGGGCCTGCTTTCACTGGTGAGTCGAGTCTGCATGGCCGCGTGTCCGTACCGTGAATGGACACTGGACTGACGACCCATAGAACCCTGCCTTCATCAAAAGCAGAGTACAAAAACCACCTGGATCCGCCATCCATACCTCTCCCCCTATATAACATGTCGTCCACCGCTGTTCCCAAGCGCATGGCGCTCCGTCGCAACCAGCCCACGGACACCTCCGTGCCCAGCTCGGTGTCGCCATCGCCCTTTGATAGCCCGCGCCAGTCGCCCTCGTCCACCTCGCTGTCCTCCATGGCCTCCATGGCCTCGGAGCAGCAGGCGAGCAAGATGCTCGACACGTACGGCAATGAGTTCAAGCTGCCCGACTTCACCATCAAGCAGATCCGCGACGCCATTCCCGCCCACTGCTTCCACCGCTCCGCGGTCACCAGTCTGTACTATGTCTTCCGCGACTTGACCATCCTGGCCTCGGTGTTTTACCTCTTCCACAACTATGTCACCCCGGAGACGGTCCCCTTCATGCCCGCTCGCGTGGCCCTGTGGACTCTGTACACCATTGTCCAGGGTCTGGTCGGCACCGGCGTATGGGTGCTGGCCCACGAGTGCGGCCACCAGGCCTTCTCGCCGTCCAAGGTGCTCAACGACACCGTCGGGTGGATCTGCCACTCGCTCCTGCTGGTGCCGTACTTCTCGTGGAAGATCTCGCACGGCAAGCACCACAAGGCCACCGGTAACCTGGCGCGCGACATGGTGTTCGTGCCCAAGACTCGTGCCGAGTATGCCTCTCGCGTCGGCCGCACCCTTCACGAGGTCGGCGAGCTGATGGAGGATACTCCGATCCTGACCGCGACGAACCTGCTGCTCCAGCAGCTGTTCGGCTGGCCCATGTACCTGCTCACCAACGTCACCGGCCACAACAACCACGAGCGCCAGCTCGAGGGCCGTGGCAAGGGCAAGGCCAACGGATGGGGCCGTGGTGTCAACCACTTCAACCCGTCCAGCCCGCTGTACGAGGCCAAGGACGCCAAGCTCATCGCCTTGAGCGACCTAGGTCTCCTGCTCACGGGCTCGGCTCTGTACTATATCGGCTCGACCTATGGCTGGCTCAACCTGGCCGTGTGGTACGGCATCCCGTATCTGTGGGTGAACCACTGGCTGGTGGCCATCACCTTCCTGCAGCACACCGACCCCTCGCTGCCGCACTACCAGCCCGAGGTGTGGAACTTTGCCCGCGGCGCCGCGGCCACGATCGACCGCGACTTTGGCTTCGTCGGCCGCCACATCTTCCACGGCATCATCGAGACCCACGTGCTGCACCACTATGTCAGCAACATCCCCTTCTATAACGCCGATGAGGCCAGCGACGCCATCAAGGGTGTCATGGGCAGCCACTACCGCACCGAGGCCCAGACCGGCTGGACGGGTTTCTTTAAGGCCCTGTGGACCTCCGCCCGCACCTGCCAGTTCGTCGAGCCCACCGAGGGCGCCACCGGCGAGAGCCAGGGCGTGCTCTTCTTCCGCAACCAGAACGGCATCGGTATCCCGCCCACCAAGGTGCCTCAATAGACAACGACATGCCCATTTGTTTCTTGATGATGTTGTTGTTGTGTCTTATGATATGCGAGCTCTGAGAATCTTTGGCACGACGTAGAAAGAAAAGACGGCTGCTGTTTCTTCCCTCTCATGGTGTGCTCTCGCTGGTTCGATATGACCACCCCCCTTTCACTCCACGCCACACATTAGACCGTGCTTGTTTGAATTTTGATGTTTATTGTCTCATGTGGAGATGATGAGTCGGTGCCGATGTTGTTGATGTCGATCTCGAATGAGGTGTATAGGGTCCAGGAGGGAAGAGGATGAAAGGAAGACCCTTCTGTCATGGGGTTTGTTTTGTCGATATATAGAGCTCGTTCCTGTCTCTGGTTACATTATTGTGTTTAATATGATGGAACACTGTCGATTTTTTCCTGTGTCAAATTTCTCGGATTTCTCGTCATGAGTGAAAGTGGTGCCGTGCCTCCGGCTGCTCTGCGCAGTGATATAGTGTATCCGGAGTGGTTGTGCTTTGTCCGTCGAGACCATGAGACTAAAGCATGCTTGTTCTTTCTCTTCACTTTCAGTCTCTGCTGTGGTAGTCGGAGTAGGCATAGGTAGTAGGCAGCAGTGTTCCTCCCGATAGGCAAGGCTCTGTCACGTCACGATAGTGCTGCTCCTGTCTGTTAGTCGATATTATATCTGCCTTTAGAGCCGACAAGACGCGGCATTTTCCAAGGATCAACAGATCATTAATAACAATAATGATAATGATAATGATGATGAAATGAGTGACGAGGATAAGGATGATGGGGCAGAGGAACAGAACCAAGAAAAAGCCGTTGGACTCTGATCCCTGTCGTTGCGGGGTTGATTGGAAAGGAATCAAGGCAGAGTTCCGCCGCCTGCCGATGGCTTGCCTAGTCTGCCTTCAAGCCCGTCTTACTAGAGTCCTTCAGTCCAAGTCATCTCTCAAGAAGTCTTTGAGCGCGTTGTGAGCAATGTCGAGCCTGAATAACTTTGCCGCAACCACCACTACGAGATACAAATCGCCTATACCTCCAAACGTCGAGATCGCTAAAACAAAGCCTGCCTTCGCTCGGATCCAAAATGCCAACTTAGGAACACTCGTCGGCCCTGAAAATGGCGGATACTATCTCAAGTATCCGGAGGGCAAGGTCATAGCTATCGCTTCTGATCGTCTCTGTTCTATTATGGACGATTCGTATATGGTGCTCTATTTTAATCTCGAGAGGCAAGGTCTACACCAAGAGGCTGAGGAAACATTGGAGGACTTACGGACAGCTGGTATTGACGCGGATCGACTTAAGAGAGACGCAAGTGACGCGATTAAGGGTGGTATATGTGTCGTAGACCCTGATGTCGACGTGTGACGCCGGTGATGATCGTCAACAGCTAGAGGCTGGATATTAGCAAATGTCCGCCGCAGCTTTAGACCTATGATGTGGTTCGTCAAAGAGCATGCGCTGCGGCGCAAGCGCAAGAGGCGTCACACGAGTGTTGATTCCCTCCAACAGACCGGAGGTTTTGTTCAACTTCGACGATATATGCTGCTGCATTGCTACAGGTCGTATCACGCAAGCCAAGCCAGTCGCCTCGCGGCGACATACGCGACGGTATTGGGTATGGCGTTTGGGTCATTGGAAAGTCATCCCATATCTTGCTGGATCTATTCTCCCACCCTCGCAGATGCTTTGTATGTAGAGTATAAAGAAGTCCTTGGCATTTTACTTCATCACATAACCGAAAAGGTCTCTGTACAAAATATCCTTGTGGCCAAAGTTCGCTATCAAAATTTCTACAGCTAACTAGCAAAGATCAAATTAGTCATACCGTACTTTCGAGTACTATACTAAACAAATCTATTTGCTTGGTTTGGTTCCGCAGCTATTCCAGATCGCCTTCATTGCCACTAGCTTCTCAACGCCACCAGCGAGCATCGCTGGGTGAGAGTGCGCCTCTAGCTCTCAGGACAACGAAACTTCACCTTCTCCTGGTGTTAGTGATCCACCTCCTACCTTACTAGAAATCTGCAGTGGGTTCTATTCAATCGACCTGAACATGCGACGACGGGCACCGAGTTCTTTGGTACGGGTTCTGTCTTGATTTACGTTATGTTAGGGCAGAATCTGTTGTTTATTGGAGTTCGTTAGGGTTCGTTCATCTATAACGTCCAGTTCATCTACACAGAATATATCTCCAGCTGGTGGGGGCAGCACTAGATACTTCGTAGCCCACCCTTCCAGATCTCAAAATCGACTTCGCCGCTCCTCCTCCCATTCGTCCCCGAATTCCCTGCCGTCCACGGCGCGAAGACGAGTTTCATACTTCGTCTAGTGATCCGCTGTGGCGTATCCGGGCGTTGGAATTCCGGTGCCGGTCTTGAAGTCAAGTCTTGCACTGGCTTTGTAACCTCTTGGCCAGTCCCTTGTTCTTGCTCTCCCACGGACGTTTGATCTGGAGGTTTGAGCCTCTTCTGTTCCTGACTCTGGACGGCTGGATCACCCATCACTACCGGCCGAGCCTCTTCTTCTTTCTTCAGCGCAATACGACAGGCAATCTGCGTGGACCAAGAGAATCCCAGCGCTGGAGTCTTAAGGGACCCCGTCTCTGGCGGCACACCGTCTCCCCAGCCTGTGAAGAAGCGTTCCTGATGCAGCAGACTCAGGAGCGCGTTGCGGGCCGGATTGCCGATGAGATAGGAGCCGTCGAAGTGATCGTCTTCTTGTGCGGGGAATGGCGATGATGGGATTGCGGCGGGTGATGACGAGGGCAGGAAGGCCTGCTGGTCTGTCTCTGTCCGAGACCGTGGGTGAGGAGAATTGGCGCCTGACTCACGTCCTCCTCCCCCTGCTCCTGCGACTGCGGTATTCTGGCTAAGTGCCAACGGAAACCCAGCCTGAGCCATCCCATTATGTCCGTCAACTGGATCAAAGCGATCCGAGACCTGATTCGCCAATACCACAGCGATATCATGTTTAACCGCCACATTGCGCAGCAGCTGTCCGAGCTTCGCGAGCTCGCTTGATCTTGCCGAGAGAGCCAGCAGGCTATTGGAGGAGTGCTCGGCGCGGTAATTCGACGTAATCGAGTCAATCACAATGAGACCGACATTGTACCGCGCAATCGCGACGGGGAGCTGGTAGTTGAGGATATGGTCCTGCGTCTCGAGGTCCATAGCATTGATAGCCAGGATATTTTCTAGTGATGGTTTCTGGTCATCGGGCAGAGATGAGAGGTAGGGGTGGCATTCTAGGAGCTGGGAGAGCCGCGGCGTGGAGAGCGGGTGTTCGGTTGAGATGTACACGGCTCGCCGGTCGAGCCCACCCTTCGATTTTGGCAGCTGCACAGAGAGGAGGATACTGAGCAGGAATTGGGTCTTGCCGCTCCCGCTCTCGCCTGTGATCTCGGTCACGTATCCGGTTGGAATGCCTCCTCCGAGCAGCGCGTCCAGCGCCGCGTCGAGTGTGCTGACGGTGTTCCATCGCGTCACGTCGAGGGTTGTCCCCGGGCCAAGGATGCGGTTCGGGGTTGGGGGCGTTGTGGTGGTGTTGCTGGATATGGGTATAGATTCGGTGTCTGCGGTTGTTGTATTGTTCTCGAAGCCTAGGTCCGCGTGGAGGGCGTCGACGATGCGCGCGGCCAGCCGCCGCACGTCGGCGGGGGGAACATGGGCGCGCTTGGCGATCTCGAGGGTGTCGAGGGTGATGAGGTCGACGGTGGTGATTTTGCCGCGCTCGAGAGGGGGGAGAATGTGCGCGTAGGGTTTCGTTGCGAAGTCGGGTAGCACAGACAGAAGATCCATAGGAAGGGACGGTCGGTGGGCTGGCCGCGATGAAGGTGTAGGTTACTGGGCTGACTGGCCAATCAGAGGGTTTGGGAATGGGATAATCATGTGGTCGTATCTCGGTGTGTATGTGTGTGCATTGTACTTTTGGAGTTAGTGGGGTAGGGTTTCTTTTGCATTTCTGCTCTCCCAAGTGAAATCGTTAGATGTTGGGGCAGTGAAAATGTGTTGTTGATGCGATCTATATATTTGGACCGAGACCCGACATTGCCAACCATGGCGGTAATATTGGCTCCCTGAAAATGGTTCAAAAACTCGAATGATCACCAGGTATAGCACATAGAAAAATAACCATAATAACCGTGATTTCTATCAAGCTCCGATGGATTCGTGGAGAGGTGGGCGTCTGAAGTGCTCAGCCTTTCCCTTTTGGGATATCACTTCGTCCCGACAACACACGTCGCTCGTTTCCTCTCGTACATGATCTCGGTCTCTTCTGGTCTACCGCGCTCTTCAATATCCCCCGAGGCCTCCACGCCGATGCAATCTCTCTAGGCAAGTTTCACCTCTCATGCTCCCCTCGTTCTGGGAGCACCGAGGAAGATCACCGTTGGCCGATCGCCCACAACACATGCATATTCTCGACATCGAAGAGAATGCAGGATCCCGGTCACCCCGCCTCCTCACGGTGCAGCTGAAAATAAGTGAAACTCGCCTAGCTCGAAGAATCAAGAGACGCGACCAACAATGCAACAATAGTACATGTACCTCCTACACACCACCACATTTATCAATGAAGGGTCATCGAGAGGGGCGGTCCCTGATTTTCGCTCCCCGCACCGGCCGTGCGAAAGGATGTACAGCAGATCTCGTTCAAGATGGCGAGACCAACTGGCGTGGTCAAAGCATGAGTTGTCCGGACTGAGACTCGCCGAGACACGGGTCGGATTATTTCCTCCCACATACAGATAGGTCCTGGCAAGCATCTTCCTTCATTTTAGCCTTCATTAATCTCATCTGCCGGAAGTCTTCACCGTCCATGCAGATAGGATGATTTGCCATCGGTCACTACTGTTACCAGATTCTGCAGGAGGGCCGACAATGAGTCGGGCCACCCTTCTCACCAACATTCGTATTTGCTGCTTGTTACTACTGCTGCGGGTTGGGACGATCGGAGCCACAACGGTTTCCCAATTGGGTAATTACACTCATCGTGTGGCGCCCGCAATCTGACCGCCATCCATGGCCCCGGAAGCCTGGCCGCCGCGCCGGCCCTCTTCACCTCTGCCCGGTGGATGCATGTATAATCTGACGATAATTCTACCGTCAGTTGGTCCGTCGATGTCACCATCGGGTCGACCCTTGGTTTCAGCTTCATGGCGAGCCGTCATTAACTCCCACGTGGTGAGGGCACAGTTAGAGGAGTCCCCGGCTCGCTTGCATCATGATGATGGGGGCGGTATGCAGAGTCAGACTAGTTTTTCTCTGGTGGTACATTGCGCGTCTGAGTGCAGGGGAAGCGATATGAGCGGGGAGTTAAGCCGGGGGGAAACAAGCTGGCTATCTCCGGCGCTCGGACTGATCCGGGCAGGGGATGAGCCATGGGTGCGTAGATGGGGCTAGCGGGCCAGATACTCGGTGCGGACCGCCGGCCGTGGGGGAGGCAGAGATGCGTGGTTCCGTGGAATTTGAGTAAGAATCATGCGAGCGTGAATCATGCCAACGTGAATCATGGCCGATCGGTATTTCAGTCCGAATCCACGCTCGTGATGTCGGGCCTGTCCGATTGGATTTTCAATAGTCGAGGCAACTAGTAGCCGCGGCCGGTGATGACGGCATGGCGGTCGGTCTTGTTGGCTGTATGCCCTCGGACTTGTCATGGAGCCCGTTGAGAAAAACGGGAGAAAGAGGACGAATGGAAGGAATGCACGAGAGGGACCGTCGTACAACCCGACAGGTCACTTCATGACGAGCTACTGAGAACTGCTCTTTTTCCTGCACAAATCCTTTGCCAAACCCACAAAAGGACCAACCCGTGGAGCCTGTGGATCAGGGAGATCGACGGGTCCAATGTCCCAAGACCAGAGGACAGGAACTAGGTGAAGAGAAGTTGAGGCCCCTGTTTGAGGGAGACTAAACGAAGGAGCCCTAGCGAACGGGGCTAAACCAAACGCAGCGAGGACCGGGGAGCTTGACGATCGGCGTACCCTCAAGTCTGGCGGTACGGGTGGGTATGATCGGTCTGGAGAGAGAGGGAACGTTCAGAAATCGATGGGAGTCGTTTGGTCAGGGGGTTTGGGGAGATTCATTCGGATATGGGAGTTGAAACGATAGCACGATTGAACAGGAGACATCTCTTTCCGAAGAATAAGACTGCGGTACCTCCCCGGTACTTCGTTCCCGCTGCATCGGTCCATAACAGCCCCCCGTACTCACTCTGTCACGGCTGAGTCTGGCCTAGAGGCCCTTAGTGTCAATCCCCCCTCCCATCGTCGTGTTCCTCTCTCTCTCACATCCTACTTCCTCTTCCTTCTTCATCCTCCTCCCCTTCATCCATCATCTCGGGGCCCTTGTATATCCCCATCTCCATTCTCGGTCATCGTCGGAATTGGCGCCATTGTTCGATCGGGTCGCCTCTCCCTCCTCTCGGGTCCGCTTTTCCATGTTCCAGCCTCCCGGGGGGTTCCTTCCATTGAGACCGCCTGCAGTCCTGCCCAGGGACCAGCCGCGGACGCCGACGGTGCACGACACATTCAATAAAAATAAGGGAGGATACCGAAACCGTCGATTCCACGAAAACCACTCGGTCGGGGCGTGATTTGGATATACGTGGTCGCCAAACAACCAGCACCCAGCGACCACCGAAACTCATACTAACCCCGAATAAACCGCCCAGTCGCTCAAGATGGCGACCAGACCTTCCATGCTGCCGCCGCATAATGAGACAGAACACTCTGTCAGCCGCATTACGCGGGAGGGCAAACAGATCACTTATAAGTTGAGTGTGATGCAACAGCCCGAACGGGCGCGAGCATGTGGTGCTGGTGCGAAGTGTAAGCCTTTTCCATCATCCATCGCTCTCGGCCTTGCTCACTGACAATTTTAAAAAAATAGCATCTGCTGATCGCCGACCCGTCGACCCGCCGCCGGTGGTTGAGTTGCGGATTTTTGAATCGGAGCCGGGCAATGACGCGCACAAGACCGACATTACCTTCGCCTACAATGCCAACTTCTTTTTGTATGCAACGTTGGACTCTGCACGCCCTATCGCCCACGGTCGGCTGGCTGGACCACCCTCGTGCCCGGTGTTGACAGGTGTCCCGGTCGCCGGGGTTGCCTATTTGGACCGTCCGACCCAGGCGGGCTACTTTATCTTCCCAGATCTGTCGGTGCGACACGAGGGTCGCTACCGCCTGAACTTCCATCTCTACGAGGAGATCAAAGATGCCAAGGATGCCGATAAGGACTCGACCATGCCCATCCCGAGCCAGGTTCCCCGTGCGACTACGAACAGACCGGGATCGCCGCAAGCGTTCCTGCATTTCCGCCTGGAGGTCAAGTCGGTGCCATTCACCGTCTACAGCGCCAAGAAGTTCCCTGGCCTGGCGACCAGCACCTCGCTCAGTCGTGTCATCGCCGAGCAGGGCTGCCGGGTCCGTATTCGTCGCGATGTTCGCATGAGACGCCGCGGCGACAAGCGCGAGGACGAATACGACTTCGACGGGGATCGCTCCTCGGTGTATCGCCAATCCGATCGGTACACCACCCCAGACCGCTATATCGCTTCTTCGATAGAGCGCCCGCGGTCGAACAGCAACCATAGCGCGATGCAATCCCCCTACGGATTCCAGCCAGACCCCAACCGACGAACGTCGGTATCAGACTATGGGTTCCCGGTTCCTCAGCCGTACGAACGACCGATGCCCCCTGCCCCTGTGCCTATGGCGCCTTCGCAAACACCGGGCTACCAGTCTCACCTATCATTTGGCTCAACGCCCATGTCCTACCCGGCTCCTCAAATGCCTCCCACGCCGCCACCAATAGCTGCATCCTCAGCCAGCTTGTACTCTCCGCAATCCAGCTTCTCTCACCTGCGACAACCTTCCGCCACTTCAGAATATGAGTCAACGCCGGCTGGATACCCGATTGCGAACCCAATAGCGCAACAACAAATGTCATACCCAAAGAATACGCAGATGGGCATGCAGGCAGCCATGCAACCATACCAGATGGAAGCAACCAAAGCCCAACAACCAAAGCCCAACAACCATACATGGATATGCAATCTATGGAGCCGATGCAATATCAACCCATGGCCCAAAATATGATTCCCCAGGCCCACACACCGCACTTGGCTCACTCTCTGCCACCACTGAAGGCGCTGTCTAGCGAATACGTCAACCAGCCAATGCAATCTGTAGAGTCACCGAGCTCAGGATACGATGCCATGTCTGGCAGACGGATGTACTACCAGACGGGACCGACCTCGGTCAAGCGGACCCACGAGGATTCGTTTGGTCTGGATGAGCGTCCGATGACCAACGGCATGCGTCCAGACACGGACACCTACTCCACCACCTCCCGCAGGATCGAAGCCCAACGAGCGGCTCTGCTCGCGGAACTTGGAGACGAGATGGCCTACAAGCGTGCCAACGGAAGGACGGTGATGAAAGTCCCGCCTTCCGTCATATAAAACACGAGTTGCTTATAAACCTTTGCTGGGGGGTTTGGCCTCAAGAGATCACGATTCTTTTCTTGCCGAGATTGCTCTGACCGTGCGACTCGGAGAGGCAGATTCCACCAACCCCGTTGGACAAAGTGTCTGGATGCCTCTTGTTTGCTGTACATGACCTTTTCTCTTGTCTTTTGGCACTACCCCTTCTCTGGTCTCTCTTTTATCGCCCGTCGCGCTTAGACCTCTCGATGCATTGTGCAGTCACGTCCACCCAGGAGCCATTTCGTTGCCTTTCTCCTTTTTCATTTTCTCTGTATTTGAATACTCGTTGTTCTGTCTGGGTTCCATCTTGGGGTTCTTTGCGTTTTATTGCTCTCTCTCCATCTATATTTCCCCGGGCCTGATGATACTCTCGTTTATGCATATGTTCCGGGGCTCCCTGCACTATTCTTTTCCCTACCTCTGCCTCCTTCGCCGCGAACTCGGCGTGGGTTGGATTTTCCTAAAAAATGGACACGGCAAGAAATCTTCATCTTTTCTCTTTTCCTCGGAGTTTCCCAGCAAACGGTGTGCTGTCTCCCTTTGGCTTGTCCATTCCGCCGAGTGGAGAGCAAAAAGCCAGGAGAGGATGGCCTTGGAAGAGAGACGTTCAAACTGCGATGCTGGAGGATTTCCCTTGCTTGTTCCGCTCAATGGGCACACGCCCCTTGGGCTGCCCCCGTTGCTTAATCTATCCTGTTTTGATCCTGGGCGTTGTGGCATCTCCTTGATACCTGATATCTAGCGTTTTATTTTTTGAATTCATCACTTGGATATCCAATTATTGCTGCCCATGTAGGGCTATCGCCATGAATGTAGGAGCCCGTCAAGGCCGTAGTCATTCCGTTCAGCTGAAACAAGTGCCTACATTCTGGAAATCGAAGGCCTGCAGGATCGTGGTGGTGCAGCCCCGAGGACCCGGACCAACCAAAACACGGGCCGAGTATGTAAACAAACCCTTTGTTGTCGCATCCTCAACTGCTGCCAACATCCACCTGCTCACTCTCTTATTTCCGTGATCTATGAATTCTCTCTGATTATTTCCATCGCTCGTGGTGTCTCAGCCACCACGTACCTCCCAATCGATTATCCGAGACAAGGGCGTGGGGATACCGGGATAAGACAGGCAGGGATAGCAGCCGACATGACGGCGGGTACCAAGGTAAATTCTCTCCTTGACCCCGAACCATCCAGGGAGCTGGATGTGCCTCCCTGGCACGGGCATGAATGAGACAGGAAGAATTAAAAGCAGAGGAGCGCCGCTAACTCTCTTTCGCGATGTGCTGCTTCACAGAGATCCCACGACCCCGTCGCAATGGAGGTCGACCAACAACCCCCCACCGAGCAGCCACAGCAGCAGCGCACATCCCGCAAGCACCTGCGCTCTAGCGACGACGAAGATCACCCGGACTGGAGCTCGGATGTCTCTGGCCAGTTCGACGACGCCGAAGAAGCAGGTCCGGACGACTACCGGTCTCCCTCTGCCAAGTCGGTCAAACGCCGCCGCTCGAATGACTGGCCGCTGCCTGAAGAAAGTGCAGACTACGGATCGTTGGAGCGTCGCGGTGCCCGGGCTGGCTATGCAAGTCTTGTTGGCAGTACTGTCGGCATGATGAAAGCCTCGCCGCGGGCTTCGCCCCGAGGGTCATTGGCGTCTCTCCGCAATAGACAGCATGGTAGTGGTGGTAGTGGTGGAGGTGGAGGAGGAGGAGGGGCATCGTCCAGCCCGCGGCACTGGAGTGGTCGGCGCTCGCGGTTCATCGAAGCCAGCATGAGTGATAGCGTCAGTGAGAAACCGCCTAGTGTCTTTACGCGCGAGGGCAAGTCATCTGGCTCGCAGCGACAGTCTGGAATCTTTCGATTCGGCAAGGCCATTGCAGCGGCGTTCAACCCCTTCGGCAGCTGGGGCAAGGCGACTTCCCCAGAATCGAACAAGCCGCAGCCGCAGACGGATGCGCTGAGCCAGGCTGAGCAGGCATATGCGGAGCTCAAGAAGTCTGGCTACAAGGGTACCAACAAGGGCGCTTACATCCAGAGCCAGAATGTTGATTCAAACATGGCGGACCAGACCTGGGAGTCTATTAAGGAGAATATCGACTATGGAGGGGATGCGGCTGCTGTTGACGGTTCGGGTCGCCATTCGACGGACCATGGAGGAGACCGCAGCACTGCAATAATGCCACGGCGAGACTCCGGGGCCTCTTCGAAACGGTCTTCTTTCCAGGACCTGCGTAAGGCCAAGATTCCATTCATGAAGACTCACGAAGCGCCGTCGACTGTCGTGATGGCATCGGAGTACAATCCGGATCGAATGTCTGAGGAGTCAGAGGGCCCTGGGATTCGGAGGCAGAGATCGAGAAAGGAGCTTACACGCCAGGCGAAGCTGCTCAAGAAAGTTAGCAACCTCGAAGACAAGCTGGATCGTGCGAGACGCGAGCTTCGCGAGCTGACGGGTAATGAGCATCTGACGTCTGCACCTGCGTTGCCGTCGCAGACAGAGACACCGGCACAGACACAGTCGCAGCCGCAGCCACAGACACAGGTACTGTCGCAGCCGCAGTCAAAGACACTGTGCATGGAAATGGATCCCGAGAGCTATCCACGCAAATTCGTCCCTGGCGCTCTCCCAACCCTACCGTCCGAAAGACTCCTGGATCAACAAGCCGCCGAATCCGAGTCTTCTGCCGCCAAACCTTCTGTCAGTTCTGTCGGTGCAAATGTGTCCCAGGAAGAAGAATCACAGCTGGCACGACAAAGCGCCGCTCCAGTGGCGGCGATTAAGTCCCCGAAACGGCGGTCCAAAGAGTCCTCTCGGCCGTCGTCTATGGGTAAGGACAGCTCTTCCTCTTCCTCCCGCAAAAGGAAGTCACCAGTTCCTGAATCACTCGGTAGTGGGAAGTCTGCTCAGTCCCGTGCGACGGAGAGCATCGACAACGATGACGACGCGCTCAAAGAAAAACAACAACTCCTAGCCGACTACGAGTTCATGCTGAGTCCGCCACCTCGTCAAGCGAAGTGGCAGAAATTCGAGGCTGGTGATAGCCCCGGATCGGTGGAGCGCAAACGCACCGCGAACGAAGATGACCCTGATGATGCTGCTGCTGCTGCGGCGCGCAAAATGTCGCCATATCAAACCCGAAGAAGATCAGCTACCCCCCCACTCCGCCTCTCTCACGAGCCGCTCACCAAATTCCAAATCCAAGACTTCCACAAGATCTCCCCCGCCTAGCAGATATCCAGCTCGAACCACTAGCCGTGCGATACCTTCCTCCCCCAGCAAGAGCACCACCAACGCCAGTAACAACGACTCCACAATCCCCGACTCAGACGCCCCTTCAGAAACCTGGTTCTCCCCATTCCCAGCAACACCATCCCAACACCGCGCATTCTACCTCCAGCCACATAACCAACTAAACCCGGATCGCAGTCCGCGGCGCTCATCCCCCTCACCATCCTCCTCGCCTTCAAAGCGGAGCCCGAACCGGAGCAGTCGCACATACATGCATGAAGACATCCCGCCCGTCCCGCCTCTTCCGAAAGAACTTCTTCCCAATGCTGCGAAGGTGAATCAGTCACCGAGCAGGTCGCCGAAACGGGGGTCGAGATCGGGGCTGGCGATGGCGGCGGCTCTCGAGCCGCAGACTGAGTCTGCAAGGAATAGGAAGGCGCCTGCGCCTTGGCTGACGGACGATTATCCATGGCCGGAGGATATCTTTTGATTTTATTGATGTTGTTGGAGGCGCATTGGTATATTTGAGATAGATGGATGGAGAGAAAGGGTGGAGATGCAGGTGGGATTGAATTGAATCGGGAAGAGGGAAGAATGGCCTGTTTTGGGGGTTGCGATCACGACTTGATGACCTTTTCATTATACCCTGTCCTGTGTATTAAATAGTTAATGATGCCTACTACCTGGATAATTCTGACTTGAATACGATGTTGTATTGTTAATGGGAGTTGATAGTTGATCCTAGGTGTTGTGTGAACAGTCTGCAAGAGATGGAAGTTAGGGCTGCCACGCATAACCAGGTCTAGACGCCTTCCTTCTTGCAATGTCTTATCACAACCATAAAGTGACAATAACTCCAAGCTTCTTACTGTTAATAAACGGTTGTCAAATTTGACACGGAACACAGCTTCAAACTGGATCAAACTGGAAGTAAAGAGATGGTCGTGAATTATAGCCCTAACTTCAACCAAAATTGACTACATCTTCCCAAAATCACCAACCTAACCAACTGCCAAACCCACAACACACACCTGCAGCACACCACTAAAGGATAGCAGTAGCATTAGCATGCGACCCCACACCACCTAATAGCGAAAGCCGTTAGTTAGCACACCAATGCACCCAAGAGCCAAGACACACACACAGAGACAGAGGGAGACATACCGGGCATATTAGCAGGCGCACTCGTCAAGAAGAAAGTCCACTTCCCCCTCTTCCTACACATCTCAGCCAGCCTCTCAAGATCCCACATCTCCCCAAGCGGACACCCCCACAGCGCCAGCAGATTCTGATGCAAATAATCCTCCCCCCTCTTTCACAGGCCACATCTCGAAAGTAGGCGAGTCCCCAGCAACAGCCGCAAAGTACGAATCGTGCAGGAAATCCTTCATCTCCTCTCCGCGCGCCACGCCCGCAAAGCACAGATTGTCGTGTGCGCGCGTCGAGGCCGCGTACCTCTCTACCGGACTGAGCTGGCCATACCGCGCCACGAACCCAGACCGCACGAGCAAGATGTCGCCTACGCGGATGGACCCGCCTTCGCTGGAGGGCCGCAGGTCGAGGCCCTGCCAGCTTGCGCAGGCGCGGAGTTCGGGCAGAGATATGGCGTGTGAGCTGTACGGGTCGTAGACCTTGTTGTTTGCGTTTGCGTACCCCCAGTAGTCGAGGAGGATGCCGCGGCCGGCGATCCCGTGGAGAGCCCAGTGGTGGATGCTGCAGCGGTCGTTGCTTGTGGGACCGACTATGTCACTGCTTTTTGTCTGTTTTTTTGCTTGCTTTTAGCCTTGTTTCTGTTTCTGGGAGGTAGGTGGGTTGGCTGGTTAGGACTACTAACCCTGTTGTAGAATGTCTTGGTGGGGATGTGTGAGAACTGATAGTCACCGTTGATATTAGGGTTAGTGTAGTCCTTTATATATGATACCTTAAATGATATCTTAGGTTCCTAGGCCAGACCTACATGTCTGAACCCATCCCACTGCGTGCCGCTTTGCGTGTTCATCGAGTAGATATCGTCGTATGCAACGTCCGGCACAATCGTCTTGATATTATGCTGGAACGTCTCGCGGCCGAACGCGGGCTTCTCGGGGACAGTGAGTGGGAGACTGTCGTGTGTTAGTACCCTACCGCGCATACTTTCTTCCCTCCAGAAAGGGAAGAAGGGCAGCACATACTCAAGTCTCACCATCTCCCCCGTCAAGATCTCCGCCGCAGACTCCTTGACACGCTGCGGCGTGAGGAGATTCAGCCGCCCATTCTATAGAAACACTTCATTAATATCTCACCTCCTTTCATATCAATTTGTCAGGGAAATCCATAAATACCTGATCATCTTCCCCCCACACCCACGCCGCACCCTCTGGCGCATCAGGGAGACGAGGAAGGTCCTTCCTCACTGGGAAGCGCGAGCAGTTGGGGTCCCAGGGGAGCTGGGCCGGATTCTGGGTGTTGGCGGAGGACATTTCCGGTGGGGTTTGGACGTGGTTTATGAGTGCCGAGAGTCTGGTGGATGGGGATGTAGCAGACATTACGGATATCCTGTTCTCTTATAGATTTTGCTTTGAACAGAACGGATCAATCAAGCGGAGCAGGGGAGCGTCATGAACTCTACTGGCGGGACCGTGCTACGCGTAACGTGTCTCCGGTAGTACCACGGTTGTTATAAATGATGTGGAGAGAAGAGGACTTACTGCCGAGGGTTTATATTCGTTGCATTGCCCGAGGTTGGTAAATGCGGAGAGAGTTGCTACTCCGCACTGACGTGCTCCACTTGACGGACTTAAGATGATGATATTCTATTAACCTGGTGCTGTCTAACTAGTAATAATAATGCTAATGCGGGCACTGCATCCGACTGAAGCAATAATATGGTCCATACACCAGTTCACCCACAGAATGAATGAACCTAGTACAAGGGAAATAGGCAGATGTGCTCACACAAGAAAAGCAAAAGGGAAGGTAATCTCAATGGAAACATTGCTTGACGGAGTTACAGAAGGTATAAAGGTGGTGTAAAGAGACCCAATGTGGCCCGCTTTTTTCTTGTTTTTTTTTTGTCTATTAAGGGCAAGTCCCCCCTATGGTACATACAAAACACCAGTCGTGATGGCTCGCCCTTGTCAATCAATCAAGCCTGCTGTGTCTGTCCTTCGCTGACTCGATTGTCCTCAAGAGTAGGAAAAGACATGACCGACAGGCGGGTATGGCAGAAAACATGAAAAAAATATCGCAAAAATCAAATCAACATAATTGCCTACCGCAATGTCACCGTATTGCCCTCCCAGAATGCCCGGTTCCCCCGGTTCCGATTGCGCCAAAAAGACACGAAAAAAGAAAGATGTCAACCATGAGTTATTCGTTTCGGTCATGGGTCTGGCCACCCAGAAAGCAGAGTAACAATCGCTAAACGCGCAACGCGGGAACAAATAAAGAGACAGTTCAGTTCTGCGACGGAACGCCCGTCGACTGCGCCGAGGGAGCACGGCCCCCGCGCATTCCACCCCGGCCTCGTCCATAGCCTTGACTATATCCACGACCGTAGCCGCCGCGGCCGCGGCCATAGCCTCGTCCTCGTCCACGACCACGACCACGGTACCCGTCGACACTGCCTTGGCCGAAGGTATCCATGTTTCGTTTCTCCTCTTCAGCGCGCCACTCGCGGCCGCCGAACCGGTTGGTCACATTATCTTCGCGGTCCCGAGCCTCGCTCGAGATGTTATCGAAGAAAGAAGTGGTCCGGTTGTAAGCACCGTGGGTGCCGTTGGTATCATCAACATGGTCCTCGCCAGGGGGAGGAGCATGAGCCTCCGCCTCGGCCGCCGGAGAGCCAGTGGCAATGGCTTCTTTGACCAAGTCCTGTTTGTTGAATTTGGCATTTGCTGTCTCAAAGTCGTAATCGGACTGCGGGAGTTCGATCTTCTTGTGCTGCTGCTGTTGCGTGCGAGCAGCCCCACGCCCGCCGCGTCCGCCTCGAGGCGCACGGTTGTTATCGTACGGCCGCATCTCGTTCATCTTCCGTGTAACGGTGTCAACATCGGCCTTCTGTGCACCGGGCTGGGGCAACTTGGCCATCGCTGCGGCAACGGCGGCCGTAGCAGCAGCTGTAGCATCCGTAGCAGCAGGAGGGCCAGCAACGGGAGCGACAGGCTTAGCAGGAGCAGCAATCGGGATAGCCGGCACAGCCCGGCCACCTCTCTGAGCGGCAGCGGCAACAGAAGGAGGCACTGAACCGTGCATAGCCTCCGCTACCGTCGGCTTGGATTCAACGGGAGGAGTAGGGGCATTTTGCGCGGCTGGTGTAGCATTTCGGCTTGAGGGCTTATCCCCAACAGGGAGTTCAGAGGTAGAGTGGGGCGGAGGCGCAGCACCAGGAGGCCCAATTGGTACTTGAGGGGGAACTGGCCGGGGCCCTGAGGGAATGGGTGGCCTGGAGGAGGATACCAGCCTGGCGGAGCGCCATAGGGCATGTTGGGGAAGCCAGGCCCAGGGGGAAAGGGAGGAGGTGGCCCAAACCGTTGGCCGTATGGTGGGTAGTAGCCTGGAGGGAATTGCGGCTGTTGAGGGAAGCCCTGAGGGGGCTGGCGAGCACCCTGAGGCTGTTGCGGAGGAGGTTGAGACTGAGGAATAGCCTGGGGAGCAGATCCCGGCTCAGGGCCTGGTCCCGGTCCAGGTCGCGGCATGCTCTGTTCGACACCAGTCAGTAAGGAAGCCGACTAGATGAAACACAGTGGAGGCAATGTGAAAGGACATTGATCAGATCAGAAGGAAGGCAACGGAAAATATCAACACGGATTTTGCGCATTCAGAACAGGTCTGTGAGTTTACATCCGAAAATATTTCATCATTTGATCAATTGGCCGACCGCGACGAAGTGTTCACAGCGGAGAGGGGGGAAGACTGAAAGCAAAAGATGCAGGTTTCACTTACTCCTAGGATGGCAGGGTCATTTGGGACCTGAGGTTGCTCTGGCTTCGCAGGTTCTGGCTTTTCCTCCCCAGCGACGCTGATGTCCTTCACGTCGCTACCCCGAAAGACGATGTACTCATAGACACTGCTGGACGGGGCGACCTCATCGGAGGGATTCCCCCGCCGGCCTTCTGTGCCATAGGACATGACATTTTCAAGGGCTATCGTGGAGGCTTCGGGGTTGATTTCATGGAGAGTGCCGACATATCTGACAGGCAATGAGCGACGGAACCGACCGTAACAATCTGGAGGACTTACCGAATGTCGCTCTTGGAGATCAGGTTGAAACGCTGACTGCCAGGTGTTAACTCCTGCCGAGCCGCACAAACCCTACCGACCAGCAGGTGCAGACGACTGACCCTATTAAATGGTTCATATCCATCCTGACGGAGAGTTGCGCGAGACGCGCGAGGTGTGAGGGAGAGGAATCAAGTGGAGAGAGGGAGAGAAGAGAAGAAATCGAATGGGAGACGAGGGAGAAGTCAGGATGGAGGAGGAGGTTGGGGGCAGAAGTGGGAGAAGAGAAGGGGGAAAGAAAGAGAGAAGTGAAAATCTGCGTGGCTTTTGGTGGATTCGGACTACGGCGGACTGCAGGAGCTTGGAGAGCAGTTCCCTTTTTGTCGCGGCTGGTGTGCGTGTGCGATGGTGACTAACGCCATGACGACCTCAACCAACCGCGATCATTTCTTCCAGACTTCGTGAGAATGCTATTTCTAGCTTCTAGAGACCCAGACTGACCAGACAGTGCTTCCCTGGAGGAGCAGGAGCGGAAACAGGCCAAGTCCCAGAACAGCAATGGAAACCCCATCAAACTCAACAGCAAGATCCTGGCCGTGTGCGCCGATCCGATGAACCAGGGCTCCGTCTATGTGGCGCTGAGCAGCGGCGCGGTAAGAAGAGTCAATATAGAGGTGAGCGCAATTCGTGAGCGGGAAACAGCACACTATCTAAGTGCCTCTACAGACAGGAGAGCCGACTGCTCTATTTGCAGGCCCCGTGGCGCCCCTCACCAGTGTCTGTGTGAGCCCAGACCGCAAGCAATTATTTGCCGGGTGCTGGGACAAGACCGTTTGGAGCTGGGAGATCGCCTCAGGGAAACCTGGGCGCCAATACGAAGGCCACACGGATTTCGTCAAATCCGTTATCGCTGCACGACTGCGCGGAGAAGACATTCTCATCACAGGGGCAGCTGATGCGCAAGTACTCGTGTTTCGCATTGCCAATGGCGAGCGACTGGAGACCTTCAAGGGCCATGCCCGTGGCATTCAGGACTTGATCCTCGACCCGGAAGCCGAGGACTCGAAAGCGACGGTGTTCAGTGCTGGCAGTGATCGAGAGATCCGGCAATTCAGCATCTTTGGCGGCGACCATTCCACCGAACCATTGCTGCCCCACGAGACCAGCGTCTACAAGCTCTTCTTCGATAGCGACGGTGACCTCTGGACGGCGTCGGCGGATAAAACCGCCAAATGCCTGGTTCGGGAGAACGGATGGAAAGCCAACATGACTCTGGAACATCCAGACTTCGTGCGCGACGTTGTTGTCTACGAACAAGGCGGCTGGGTGGTGACCGCATGCCGGGACGAAGAGGTTCGCGTGTGGAACCGAGCTGTATGTTCTACTTGTCCCCTCGTGAAGGGTGTATGCTGACCATTCTAGACGGGCGAGCTTCATCATACGTTCTCCGGGCACTTTGAAGAAGTCACCGGGCTGGTCCTGGTAGGGCCGACGGTCGTCAGTGTCGGCATCGATGCGACCATCCGTCAGTGGTCACTTCGGGCAGATGAGCTGCAACGGGCCGTGGAGCTGGTCAAGAACGGCCCGAGCGAAACAGAGGAGGAGACGCCTGACGGGACGATGCTGACCGAAGAAGAGGAGCGAGAGCTCGCCGAGCTGATGGACGAGTAAATAGACATTGTACCAATATAATTAGTCACCGTCGCATCCCCAGATCGATCCCGATCCCCCACCAACACGTGACCCTGGCGTGTCAATGACGCACAGGGCCGATCGGCCTGACCTTGTCTCTTGAACGAACCATCGCTCCCTGTCCGGCCCCATCTCAGTGGTCCCCTTGATTAGTTCCCCGTGTCCTAGCCTATGATTCTTATTAAACGATCCATCGCGTGACTCCCCGTACCTCTTCGGCGTCGTCAGTTCCGGATCACGAGCACCATCACCCCGCCTGTCAGGATGGCAGCGTCGGACGTGCATGTGCAGTCGCACGACAGTCTGGCTCACCGGGGGCCGAAACTGATTAACCGTCTCCAGCAGTCTAGATCGCCCTATGTGAGATGGCCCTCCCCCACCATAGATGATTTATCGAGTGACATTAACCCGACGCCAGGTCCGGGCGCACATGAACAATCCGGTAGCATGGCAGCTCTGGGATGCAGAGTCCATCTCCCTGGCAAAGAAGAACAACCAGTTGGTGTTCCTGAGCATCGGCTATTCAGCATGTCACTGTGAGTTCCTCACCTCACTTCCCTTTTCTACCCCATCGTAGTGTTTAATGCGATATAGGGTGCCATGTCATGGAGAAGGAGTCTTTCATGTCACCCGAGGTGGCTGCAATTCTCAATGAGTCGTTCATCCCGATCAAGATCGATCGGGAAGAGCGACCAGATATCGACGATGTCTACATGAACTATGTCCAGGCCACTACCGGATCTGGCGGCTGGCCTTTGAACGTCTTCCTCACCCCAGACCTGGAGCCAGTCTTTGGTGGCACCTACTGGCCTGGTCCGAATTCGTCCACCCACACGGGACCGGATACCATTGGGTTCGTCGAGATCTTGGAGAAGCTGCGCGATGTTTGGCAAACACAACAGGAGCGCTGCCTGGAGAGTGCCAAAGACATCACGAAGCAGTTGCGGGAGTTTGCCGAGGAAGGAACACACTCGCAACATGCTGACCGGGATGGCGATGAGGACCTGGACATTGAGCTGTTGGAAGAAGGCTATCAACATTTCGTGTCTCGATACGATTCCATCAACGGTGGATTTGGCAGGGCGCCAAAGTTCCCTACACCCGCCAACTTGAGCTTTCTACTGCGACTCGGTGCCTACCCCAGCCAGGTGACCGATATTGTGGGACAGGACGAGTGCGAAAAGGCCACTGCCATGGCGGTCACGACCCTGGTCAATATGGCTCGAGGCGGAATTCGGGATCATATCGGCCATGGGTTTGCTCGCTATAGTGTGACCGCGGACTGGAGCGTACCTCACTTTGAGAAGATGTTGTACGACCAAGCACAGTTGCTGGATGTCTACGTTGATGCCTTCCGGTTAACCCATGACCCCGAACTATTGGGTGCCGTCTACGACTTGGCCACCTACTTGACGACTGCGCCCATGCAGTCGCCCACGGGAGGATTCCACTCGTCGGAAGATGCAGATAGTTTCCCTACCCCCAACGACACGGAAAAGCGAGAGGGTGCTTTCTACGTCTGGACCCGAAAGGAGCTCGTCCAAGTACTGGGTCAGCGAGACGCCGGGGTTTGCGCTCGGCACTGGGGTGTCTTGGGGGACGGGAATGTGGCGCCAGAGTTCGACCCCCATGACGAGTTTATGAACCAGAACGTGTTGTCCATTCGTGCTACACCCAGCAAGCTCGCCAAAGAGTTTGGACTCAGTGAAGATGAGGTGGTGAAGATTATCAAGACCGGAAAGCAGAAACTCCGCGACTACCGCGAGAAGACACGAGTGCGGCCAGATCTGGACGACAAGATCATTGTGGCCTGGAATGGCCTGGCAATCGGCGCGTTGGCCAAGTGCAGTGTGCTGTTCGAGGAGATCGAGAGCTCCAAGGCGGTGCAGTGCAGAGAAGCCGCCGCGAAAGCGATCAGCTTCATCAAAGACAATCTTTTCGAGAAGGCCACTGGACAACTGTGGCGTATCTACCGGGATGGTAGCCGTGGAGACACCCCTGCTTTCGCGGATGATTACGCGTACCTCACTAGCGGACTGCTAGACATGTACGAAGCCACCTTTGATGACAGCTACCTCCAGTTCGCTGAACGACTACAAAGTAAGGACTTGAGCATTCTCAGCCGTGAACATTTGCTGATAATTCTAATTCTGCAGAGTATCTGAACGAGTACTTCCTTGCCCGGACGGGGACTACGACTGCTGGGTACTACACCACCTCGTCGAAGTTGACCCCCGGCGTGCCTGGTCCGATACTCCGTCTGAAGACTGGCACCGAGTCAGCCACGCCGTCCGTTAATGGCGTTATCGCGCGCAATTTGCTGCGTCTGGCAGCGCTAGTCGAGGACGACGACTACCGCACCCTCGCACGAGAGACCTGCAATTCGTTCTCCGTGGAGATCATGCAGCACCCGTTCCTGTTCGTGGGCATGTTGGATGTCATCGTGGGACTCCAGATTGGCACTCGCACCGTGACGGGCGTGTTCTGCACCGCAGATGTCTCCTCGTTGCCCGGGCGCGAGGAAGGTCTACTCAGTCGCGTCGACGAGCCCACGTCGGCACGCAATCTGATCATTCAGCGTGTGCGTGCCGAAGCCGGGCACTCGTTGTCGCCATCCCGGACGACGACTTCGCTCGTGGATGTGCGCCCATCGCACTTGAAGGACTTTGTGGGGAACCAGAGCTTCTGGTTGAAATCGCGCAACCCGCTGTTCAAGGAGCTCAAGGCGGCCGAGCCGCCTAAGAACTACATGCTGGTGTGTGAGACTGGGACGTGCAAAAATGTTGATCTGTAGAAGATGATTTCTGCTGTGTTCTGCTTGTCTATTACTACAACGCGGTTGCCATAACTAAACATGGGAACAAAAAGTTGGTCATACTGCAAGAGGAAGGGAGGGGCCAGTGGTGTACAACGAACTGGATCACCGTGTACCTAGATGTTCTGATTGGTGTATGCTACCCGGCCCGGCACATCTGGAAGTTGCGCACGTTATGCTGGCCTGAATCATGATCGGCGGCCATTCATGGTTCCTGGGCCGGCCGAACTCTATTTCCGAGTCAGGATTTTCTTCCCCGAGCCCTAAGGTGCACCTTCATAGTCGAAGCGAGAGCAACGTGAGACCATTGTTGTCGCAGTCATATTTATTGGACTAGAACTCCCTTAATCACCAGAAATGACTTGCCCCGTGCTCGAGGGCTGAAACAGCAATGATCGGGTTAATCTATCTCAGATCAACCGGCGCAAGCCACTGTGCCAAATAATATGGGCCCCGTGCGAAGCCAAGTTTCTTAGCGCCGACGCCGTTGCACTGGGCAATTTCCTTTTTTTCCTCAGGGGGGCAAATGAATGGGAGCGCTAGGACCACTCCTGAAACCAGGGGAAGCAACAGGGTGATTTTCTCTTCGGATAGAATGCCTTCGGGTGTCGTGTTTATTTGTTTACCACCTAACTCACGATCTCGATCTGCTCCCGACCATTCAACTCCGAAACAATCTCTACTCTCCCTCATCCCAGAATGGCGGCAAAGCAAGTCTCCCCCGGAGCGGGCCAGGGCACTAGTGGATTGAAGATCCACCCAGGGGGCGGCCCAGGCACATCGTCATCGTGCTCCGTGGGCGGGTGCCGACTCGGAACGGGGCCAGTCCATATTATGGCCATAGTCCGGAGCCAACGAGTCTCCAACATGTACCAGCCTCTTCGGAGGAGTCCAATGGGTGGTGGTGCGAGACGCGTTGGAATGTAGAATGTATCGTACTACCACTCCAGGCCGTGGCGGGCAGTGGCATGCGGGTTGGCGAGGTTGGAGGACAACAGTATAGATAGTACGGCGTCTTCTTTTCTCGACACGTTCAATCCCAATCCCAAATCAATAGTCATCGTGAAGCCACTCATCTCACTCCGGTCCACTCGCAATCAATCCCAATCAACTCTGCCTGGACTCGTAGCCTGGCCTTCGCACGGCCCCACTGGGCCTTTTCCCCTTTCTGCCACTAACACCTCATCTCATCCCATCCTTCCCTCCTCTTCCTCTGCTCTCTTTCTCTCCTCCACACGCTTGACTCTCACTTCCCGCCCACGGCGCCTTCCCTTTCTTCCCTCGTTTGAAAGAAAGAAGGTGTTTTCGGGCCTGTCATTCCTTTGTCCATACAAAAGCGTCCCACCCCCAGCAAAGTACATACACAACACTCGTTCCAACAGCAGTCGATCTGCTTTGTTGATCACCACAACCACACCGTCGAATCTACTCATTTGCTTTGACTTGCACTTCCTGGGGAAGTTAGCACCGCTACCGCCATCCCAATTCCAGTTGATCTGCGATTCCAACCATGCGCTCCGCTATTCTCCTGACCGCCGCCCTGGCTGCGGGCGCTTGTGCGACCGAGCTCGACAAGCGGGTCTACGTGACCGATTGGACCACCGTGGTCATCACCAAGACCGTCACCGAGGCTCTCGCCCCAGCTCCGACTGAGGCTCCGGTCCAGGCCGACCAGGAGTCGACCCTGACCAAGAAGACCACCGTCGTTCCCGACGTGACGACCGACACCCCCAAGGCGAACAACGCCCAGGCCGGCTCCGGCTCGGGTGGCCTGCTGGGTGCTCTGTTCGGTGGAGGTAACTCGGGTAAAAATTCTGGCGCCAACCCGGACATCACCAAGGACGAGAAGCCGGCGCACCACGCGCACCACCACAAGCACAAGCCTGCCCCGGCGCCGACCACCACCGAAGTGGCGCCTGCCCCCGAGCCCACTACTATCACCGAAACCGCCGCCGCTCCGACGACCATGTCGACCACCACCACGACGGCTGACACCCCTGCCCCGACCACGAACTCGTACCAATCCGACGTGCTGTACAACCACAACATCCACCGCAGCAACCACTCCGCTCCCTCTGTTTCTTGGGACAATGAGCTCGAGCAAACCGCCCACACTCTGGCCGCTCGCTGCGTCTACCAGCACGACACGTAAGGATATTTTTGTCCGTGGGGGAAAAAAGTCATTACTAACTTGCCTGTCTTTTTAGTTCCATTGGCGGTTTTGCTTATGGTCAGAACATTGGATACGGTGTCACGGCGGACCAGGTCGGCCAGATGATCACCAACCTGATGTACAATGACGAGATGGAATACTTTGCCGAGCTGTACGGCGAAGCCAACCCCTCCATGGCCAACTTCGACAGCTGGGGCCACTTCAGCCAGATCGTGTGGAAGGACACCACCAAGGTCGGATGCTCTACCGTTATGTGCAAGAGCCTGGGCAACGTCGACTCCAGCGATGCCCTTCCCTTCACCGTCTGCAACTACTCCCCGCCTGGCAACTACGCGGGTCAATACAACAAGAACGTCCTCAGGCCCGTCGGCAACAGGATGTTCGTCGCCGAGTAACGGGGGTCTTCTTCCCCCTTCTGGCTGTTCGTCTTGGAAGAAGGCGAGGCGATGTGTCTGTGGCCATGACTTCCCCGGGCTCTGGGGGGAAAAGTTCACTTCAGCCCCTGATACCTCCTCAGCTCGTTTCTAGAGACGCGCCACCATTCGTTTTTTCTTCTTTTTGACCTTGTTTTACTTCTGCCTTTCATGTCTTCTTCTCAAATCTCCGGCCTGTCTCCCTCGCGGTTGTTTCGGGAGGGAGTCGGATGAGCATTGGTTTTCTTTTGCATCTCACACGCGCCGGGCCTCGCAGCCCTCTGTGTATGTATGCTACCCGTGGTCCTCCAACCAGTCGGGGCATGCGGATGCGATTTGTTTCAATTGTGCATACTTTTGACTTCTTTTCTCACCGGCAGCCGATGTTGACGGTCTTTCTGTGGATACAAGCTGCGGCGTCTTTATATTTCCGAGCGTTATGTACTACGTATGACATGAAGTTGTTCTCCACACTACTTCGATAACTTAATACACATACCACGGTTGTAGCTCTCCCCACAAAACCCTAACCTATCACGTGCGCCCGAGATTCTCCCTTCGCCCGAAAACGTCATTGCAAGCAATCGGAACTGTTAAAGACGAACTTCTGTGGTCTCGACCGTGTCTACTGCATTTACTATCCTATTCCTCTCTTCTCACTAATTTTATTTAGTTACCCCCCTTGGGAGATTTCTGCCACTGCAACCAACCTGAGCAACTCTTGCGCCAACCCCCAGCTAGCCTCTCCGTCCATCCCACCCTACCCACGCCGGACACGGGTTCATGCAGGCTATAAACGCTTAGGCTCGCGTAAGCCCTTTCTGTCTTTGCGTCATATTAGATAGTCGTTCGTCGTGAGCAGAAAAAGATCTCATCGGCTGGAGTAGCCGAAAATACCCTGCTGAGTTCCCGAAATCATACCCGCTAACGATCAACCTTCCAGCCGCGCCAAGCTCATCCATTTCTCCGGTTCTACCAATCACTCCGGACGACAGGTCGCCGCACGACAATCTTACTAGCTGGCCATTCTTATCTCGGCTGTTCCCGCTGTAAGTCCTTTGCTCCGGTGTCTCTTTTTCCCTTCTCCCCGAGGTCTCGATTCACGGTTCCCTTTCCCACGTTGCCCCGCGGGGAGGTGTCATTGCGTCTTTTTTGTCGTTTGGTTATATACATGCAACCTCTCCCGCTCCTATCCCTCTGAGCATGTCAGCTTGATTCTTTCCCCTTGTCTCTGAACAACAAATCTGAATCACACCCTGTGAGGTAGTCTCAATGCCACCATACTACCTACAAGACTGCCATTACTTCTATCGCACCGCCCTGCGCCTCCTGTCTCTTCCAACCTTCCTCTCCAGTCGTTACTCTTGAAGCAGGAAAAAAAAGAAAGAAAGAAAGAAAGCAAACTAACAGCGTATCCTATTTCTCCATGGCAGTGCGTTTCTTCACAACACCAACACCCCTCGGGAATACCATGGATGCCCCAAACTCACAACCGGGAGCGCACGGCCACACGGTCGTGAGGCCCAATGTGTCAACTGATATGCCTTCGTCCCAAGTGGCGGAGGAGCACACGCCTAAGCAGCAGGGCATTACTTTTGCGAATCAGGACTCATTGCCAAAACTGCCTATTCCGGACCTGGAGGATACCTGTCGCAGGCACCTGGAGTCTCTGGAGGCTCTGCAGACGCCTCGTGAACACGAGGAGAGTAAGGCTGCTGTTCGGGAATTTCTGAAGACGGATGGACCCGGTCTGCAAGAGAAGCTGAAGGCCTATGCCTCTTCGAAGACGAGTTACATTGAGCAGTTTTGTGAGTTGGGATGAGCACGAATCCGGGAACAGCTTGCTAATATCCGGCTAGGGTATGATTCTTATTTGAATTTTGATAACCGTAAGTCCCTGTTTTATAGCTGAAAGAAAAGAGAGAGAAGCTGACATGGGAACAGCCGTGGTCTTGAATCTCAACCCTTTCTTCCTGTTGGAAGACGACCCTACTCCCGCCCGGAGCCACCAAGTGACTCGAGCTGCTTCTTTGGTGATTTCGGCGCTGTCATTTGTCCGGGCTGTCCGACGGGAAGAATTGCCCCCGGACACCGTCCGTGGAACGCCTCTATGCATGTACCAATATTCGCGACTCTTCGGCACAGCACGAGTGCCCACTGAGAATGGCTGTGTTATCAGCCAGGACCCTTTCGCCAAGCATGTCGTCGTTCTCTGCCGGGGTCAGTTCTACTGGTTTGACGTCTTAGATGAAAATAGCGATCACATAATGAGCGAAAAGGACATCGCACTTAACCTGCAAGTGATCATCAATGACGCCAACCAGACTTCACTTCAGGAGGCAGCTAAGGGCGCTCTGGGTGTGCTCAGTACGGAAAATCGAAAAGTATGGTCTGGACTGCGGGATATCATGACCAAGGACCCGGCATCGAACAACGCCGAGTGCTTGAACATTGTCGACACGGCCCTCTTTGCCTTGTGTCTGGACGACACGGAACCAACCACCACATCTCAACTTTGCGCTAATATGCTCTGCGGCAGTAGCGAAGTTATCAAGGGGGTGCAGGTCGGTACTTGCACCAACCGCTGGTACGACAAGCTACAGATTATTGTGTGCAAGAACGGCAGCGCCGGAATCAACTTTGAGCATACGGGCGTGGACGGACATACCGTGCTGCGCTTTGCTAGCGATGTTTACACTGACACCATTCTCCGGTTCGCCAAAACCATCAACGGCCAGGCCCCAAGTCTCTGGGCGACGACCAGCCCGGACCCGTCCAAGCGCGATCCACGGAGTTTTGGAAATGTCAGCACCACACCGCGTAAACTCGAGTGGGACATGACACCCGAGCTGAATATTGCCCTGCGTTTCGCCGAGTCACACCTGTCTGATCTGCTGTACCAGCATGAATTCCAGGTGTTGGATTTTGAAGGCTACGGGAAGAACTTCATCACCTCCATGGGCTTCTCGCCGGATGCATTCGTGCAGATGGCCTTCCAGGCCGCCTACTACGGTCTATACGGCCGTGTAGAGAACACGTACGAGCCGGCCATGACCAAGGTCTTCTTACATGGCCGCACGGAGGCCGTCCGCACGGTCACGCCTGAGTGTGTGAATTTCGTCAAGACGTTCTGGGGCGAGAATCCAGCCGAGCAGAAGGTGGAGGCACTCCGCACCGCAACCAAAAAACATACTGCCATGACAAAGGAATGCTCCAAGGCCCAAGGCCAGGACCGCCACTTGTACGCACTGTACTGCCTGTGGCAGCGGACCGTTGAGGAAGGGCTGTTCCCAGAGACCAGCTCGATGGGCGGGTACTCCAGCCCAGACGATGGGCCCGAGTCACCCAAGCTCTCCGAGGGATCAGGTGATGATTTATCCCGTTCTCCAGGAAGCCGCAGTGGCAGCGGCAGCCTCCGTGGTCTCCGGACCGCCACAACGCCAACACCAGCTCTTTTCGCAGATGCGGGATGGGACAAGATCAACAACACGATGCTGTCGACCTCCAACTGCGGAAACCCCTGCCTGCGCCATTTCGGATTTGGTCCCACGTCCGGCGACGGGTTCGGGATTGGATATATTATCAAAGACGAGTCGATCTCGTTCTGCGCTTCGTCAAAGCACCGCCAGACTGCGCGTCTGATGCAGACGCTCGAGTCGTACCTCTTTGAGATACGGAAGTTGTTGCGCGCCACGAACCGCGCGGCCACGAATGCACGCTCGAACCGTGTGAGGGAGACCGAGGCCCAGGCTGAGCGTTTGCAGAATGATATGCGTCGCCGCGGCCGGGTTGTGCTCGGTGATAGGGCTGTGTCAGAGACTCCGACTGCTACTACTGATAGTGGGGAGATGGAGGATGATGATGGTATGGGAGGATGTAAGTGTTTGCCTTGCTCTCCTGGACAATGGGACATAAATTCGGAACTAACTTCATTAGATGGCTTCTTTGATGCCGGCATGCTCCTCCAGGCCTTCAAGGGTCTCAATGCCGAGCGCGAACAGCGCGGTGACAAACCGTCCAAGAGGCGGTTTGTGGGGAAGAAGCTGTTTCTGAATGACTATTGATTGAGTGGCAGGAAGAGGAGAGCGAGACGATATCTTTCCACACATACTTTCCAATTTTGTTTTTTAGCTATCATTTCAGTTCCTATATATCAATCTATGATTACGATGAGGAGTTGTAGTAACGCAATACTTGCACATAGGAAACAGAGTCTAGTAAACTGCTAAACGAAAGTAGACGATAGCTAGGACAACCTAGAGCTATACACAACCTCCCCAGACAACACAGCTTCTGTACATCGCTCTGTACATGTCACCCTGCTGGGCACTTAGTGACCACCGTGAGCATAGGCACACTTGCTCTGGATCCTCATGGGGTGGCACTCAGTGTTGAACACCCACTGGTCCAGGCTGACGACATCCGGCTCGGCGAAGGACAGGTAGAGGTACTTGAGGACCTCGGCGAAGTAGAAGCTAGAAGAGAAAAAAAAAAATCAGTCCTTATCCTCTAACAAACTCAGTCATTGATCACGCTTGATTTCTTACCTCGAAACATAGTTGACCAGCGGCAGACCATACGGCGCAGTCACATTGGTGATCTCCGCATACGGCACGGCCGCAGAGCGAGACGTGTTCAGCGCCTGGAAGATCTCCCAGTTGTAGTCCTGGAAGCGGGTGTCGCCCGTCGTGCGGTAGGCGTAGAAGATACTCTCGAGGGGCTCCGGGTACGAGCGGTACGAGGGGTCTGTGAACCAGAAGCCGTACTTGGAGGCGGCGGCGCGATCTTGCGCGTTGTTGTCGGCGGAGGAGTCGTAAGCCTCATTGCTAGCGTTGTACCAGGAGATTGCTACAAAATCCGTAATTAGCCCAGGAGCATCAAATCGACAAAGAAGCAAACTTACCGCTGCCTCCCAGGCCGGTGATGGTCGAGTTGTACCACCGGTGGCAGCTGTCGGCGACCTTCACGCCCAGCTCCGAGAAGTCAGGCCGGTCCAGGTACTTGCCTCCGAGGAGGAGGTTGCCGCCCGCGAAGCAGGCGTAGTCATCCATCGTCCACATGAGGTTACCGTTTGAGTCCGATTGGGACAGGAAGGTGAGCTCGGGGTGCTCGTATGGGTGCAGCGCGATGTACTTGATGCTGGAATCGGCGGCCGTCACCCAGAAGTCCTTCATCTGCGAAGCGAGGCTGTCCTCCGGTTGGTACACGTAGGTTTTGATCAGGTACTGTATAGTCCACAGTCAGGTCTGACATATGAGGCCTTGGCACTTTGGCACTTACCTCGAGGAAACTGTCAACACCGGCCTCCCAGCCCGCGTCGAAGGTGATGAAGTTGCCCGTGTCCGTGTCGAGCTCTGTGCCCACGAGACCGGGGTACGTAGGTGCCGGGTTAGGCTTGATCAGGAACTCCTCAGCTCTTTGAGCCTATATCGAGTATTAGCGTTACTCTCAGAGGAATAGCCGCAAGAGAGAGAGGGCCATACATTCTTTCGGAACGACTCGTCGCCCGTCAGATCCGAAAGACGGTAGTACTCCAGGATCAGGGTGCCCGCCTGCGCGGTGTTGGTGCTGTTGTACGTCTTTCCATTGATTGTGGTCGTGCTCTGGATGACCTGACCGGACGTGAAGTTGCGTGAAGAAGCAGGCAGACCGGTAATGGTGTTGAACACCGGGCTGATGGCCGTCGCAAGCGACTTGGCTTGGGACAGCAGGGCGTCGACAAGCTTGGGGTCATAGTGGTTGGGGAACATGCCGCTCTTGAGCAGATCATAAGCACTCAGCAGTCTACAATTCGAGAGATTTAGTATATGCAGCCCTTAAGGATCCCAAAAGCTAAAACTTACCCGCCAAGGTACCGGATGTTTACATCGAAGAAGTCGACGATATAAGCCGACTTGGTGAAGTCAACGGATGCAATGTGCTTCAGCTGCTGCTCGACGATATCCGTCAGGCCCATGACAATAGCCGTGTCAATGCCGTCGACAACGGACGCGCCCCAGCCGAACAGGTCGGCGGTGCCATTGTGCGTGATGGGCAGAAGGTCGTCCTTGGGGTATGCGTATTTATAGTATTCATTCCACTCGCGCGCATACGCCTCCTTGACAGCCTCGGCGCGGGGATCGTGCCTGTTCGTGCCCGCAGGGAAGTCATACTGGACTTTGTTGCATGTCTGACGGTGCGAAGTAGCAGCAGCACTGGCCTGGCGTAGAGCAGCCAGGGCCAGCAGAGCGTGGGAAACACCAACCATTGTTGATCGTCAGTCTTGGCCTAACTACCGCGAAGTCAATTGAGGATCGAATGGCAAGAAAATTAAGATCTCTCGGCGATGGAAGTAGGGGGCAATCCATTTTGTTATTTATGGATATTTCCCCTGTAGATCGACAGAGCCCATTGTTACATTGTTGAGGGGTTACATTTCTCCCCTGGACTGATTACAGTCCTGGAGCACAAGCTTTTTCGGTTACACAGCTTTATTTAGGTAGATTAATTTAGTCCCGGTCTTTCGGGCTTTTGTCATTGCGAGTTTGTTTTGCCATTTCTCGCTCACTATGGATCTCGCCTTCCCCTAGGTTGATGGAGAATCTATGCCGAGAAGTTAGAGCAGTGTTATTTACCGGTAATTTTGTGGCTGAAGCGGGGGAATGGGGCTAAAAGCGCCCTACTGTTTTTTTGGCTGGCCGGTGTGCCTTGCACCTGTGCACTGACTTGTTGCTTAGCTGGGTACCCGCTCCTTGGCCACCCAATTTGGCCACTTAAATTCGTTGTGGATACAGCCGCAAGGCTCGGACAAAAACAAGCCGATCTACGCGGGGGACCCTTCCAGATTGGATCTAGACATGGAGTCCCGACTTCCCAGGTAGGAAATCTACATTATGGAGGCGGATTAAGGTCACACTTGGACGCCGCCACAGCAATTGGATGATGTAGGAGGCATATCCAAACAACATGGGCTTTTAGAAGCCCAATGCACTAACCAACTACAATACGGTATAGGTATAGACCAAAATCAATTAACTAGCGGGATCAACACTTTGATAGTGGGACTTGAGCAAGCAGACACAGAATAATGCCTGAAAAATCTGTAGAAAGACCGCAGTAGTAAATGCTCATACATACAAGCAGGCCTAAACAAACCTAAAGAGTATATGATCGCCGTTGCCCGCTAAGCTATGTTCTAGCTGCTTGGCTTCCCCGCTCAGTTCTACCGATCGGACTTTGGCATCGAAAACTCCGTACCGGGGTAGGTTAGGCTGGCCACAATGTTCCAAATTTCCGAGGAGATGATATAACTAACAATCAAGGCCAATTGCAACCCCTTGACGGCCAGAGCCGCCGAGCAACAACAGATAAAAACGAGGAATGTCGGAGAAATAAGTATGTTATTTTCCCGGTGTTGTTGAAGCTCAACCCACTTCTTGGTAAATGAGCCTTGAGAAACAGCCAAAGGATGCAGCGTCTCATTTCTGTATTGTTTGCTGGTGTGGCGCTGTGCCAGCACACCATCGACCTTAGCTCCCAGCAATGGACCCTGAAGGGTCCAAATGTTACAGTGCCTGGATCAGTACCCTCTCAAGCCCATCTAGACCTGTATGCAGCTGGTGTCATCGGTGATCCGCTATACGGAGAAAATGACACTGCGCTACTCTGGGTGCAGCGCTCCAACTGGACATACTCGTCCACTATTTCAAACGTGTAAGAGAGAAACGGAGAGTGTTTAAGTAGAACTTTTATCCTAATCGGGTGACAGGCGTCGAGGAAATGGATACTCCACATGGCTTGTGTTTGATGGCATTGACACCTTTGCCTCCATCGAGCTATGTGGACAATTCGTTGCAAACGTTGATAACCAGTTTCGCCAATGGTATTTTGACGTGACAGACATTGTTAAATCTTGCAAAGACGATCCCGAACTGAGTCTCAACTTTGGCTCTGCGTCTAAGATCGTACAGGAAATTGCGCGTCACGGAGACCGTACGTCTTGTCATTTCTCCAAACTAGTATCATTGTTCTTACTAACTCGCCGGCTGTAGCTTTACTGAACAGTGTCGATGGTGGATATACAGAAGAATTCTGCTGCAAGGAGTTCATGAGAAAAGAGCAATCTGACTTTGGCTGGGACTGGGCTCCCAAGATTGCTCCAGCGGGCATTTGGCAACCAGGGCGCGTTGTGCAGCTAAATACTGCATCACCAGCCTATGTGCGCAATGCATTAATTGATATCTATCGCAAGGATCAAATGAACAACATTCCTCCAGACCAGTCTCAGCCATGGGTGTTCAATGCCAGTCTAGATTATCTAGGCTCATTGCCTTCGGGCGCCTCTTTGGAACTGACGTTGAACGATGCAAACGGCCATGACGTTTTGAAGAAACCATTGGACGATGTTCACCATTCAGAAGATACTATCACCGGCAGCGTGATAATCGATCCGAGCTTGGTGGAGCTTTGGTGGCCCATAAACCTGGGCTCCCAACCACTTTATGACGCGTCCATCAAGATTGTCCATGGCAACAGCTTGATTGCAGAAGTTAAAAGAAGAGTCGGCTTTCGTACTATTGTGCTGAATCTCCTTCCTATCACCGAGGAGCAGCTCGCTGCCGGGATCGCCCCGGGCTCCAATTTTCATTTTGAGGTCAACGGACACGAATTCTATGCCAAGGGCTCCAACCTGGTCCCTCCGGATGTATTTTGGCCCAGAGTTAATGAAACAAAAATGAAGAAGTATGTACGGAGGACAATTATTTTATAAATAACGCGCTAACATTTCATCTAGCTTGTTCGAGGCTGTCGCTGTTGGGGTAAGCTCTCATATTCAGGGATGATGTCTTCAATTGGCTCACACTCACTCACAGAACCAAAACATGCTGCGGGTCTGGTCATCGGGAGCATACCTTCCGGACTGGATTTATGGGATGGCCGATGAGATGGGCATATTCCTGTGGTCTGAGTTCGGTAAGAATTGCTGCTCAGAAAATATGATTGACCCGGTACTAACTCAGTGACAGAATTTTCTGATGCAGAATATCCTGCTAATGCAAGTTATCTGAGCCAATACAAAGCAGAGGCCTCATATCAAGTGGTAGGATATCAACACATCCCCTTGGTTTGGAGCTGATACTGACGAGAAAATTCTGCAGCGTCGCGTCAACCATCACCCCAGTCTTGCACTTTGGGTAGGAGGAAACGAGCTAGAACAGATTATGCTTGCCTACTTCTTTAGTGCCACCGATCCTGGCACTTTATTGCTCGAGTATCAGCAAATCTTCATGGAGCTTCTCATTGGTGAAGTTTACGCAAACACTAGGTCGATCAGTTATATGCCGTCCTCGTGAGTGATTAACCTTTGTACCATGGATAATTGATTTATTTAACCACCAACAGAACATACCACGGGTTTTTGAAACTGAACTTCAGTTCCGTTATGCCTCAGGTTCCACGATATCTGAACACATCGGGCCCCAATTATATCTATACCGACACTGGTGAGTTTCATGGAATTATAACAACAGACATCTGCTGATAAATGCGTAGACGACTACAACTACGATGCAAGCCAAGCGTTCGAGCTCAGCTCATACCCCATAGGCCGTTTTGCCACTGAGTTCGGCTTCCATTCGATGCCATCAGTATACTCGTGGGAGCAAGCAGTGCCGGCAGATCAGCTCTCCTTTTTCTCTGACATGGTCATTCATCATAACCGACACTATCCGTTTGGCGCACCAGCAAATGCTACAGATCGGGAACTTTCCATTATGGGACTTGAGGAGATGACCACGGCTGTGCAGGAGTGGTATCCGATCCCGAATATGCAAGACAGTGTGGCAAATTTCAGGTTTGTTTATACATAGATCAACTTGATGATCATTGCTAATGAGACTACAGTGCATGGTGCTGGACAACCCAGGTCTTCCAGGCAGACTACTATACTTCTGAACTGGCCTTTTACCGTCAAGGATCTGGGATGCCGCAACGCAACTTGGGATCGTTGTACTGGCAACTGGAAGATCTATGGTATATTCCCCCCCCCCCCCCCTATTCTCTACTATAAACTCTAACAACACCTAGGACTGCTCCCACTTGGGCCAGCATCGAGGCCGATGGCAGATGGAAAGTCCTCTTCTATCGTGCAAAGGACATCTTCGAGCCGGTGATCGGATACCCATACTACAACACCTCAACAGGCGACTTGGAGGTTTGGGTAACATCTGATCTCTGGTCCCCCGTCCACGGAACGGTCAAGCTGACGTGGATGGACTGGACGGGAAAATCAATTTCGGGGTCTAACAGTCCCGTTAGCAAGACCGTTCCTTTCACAGTCGGTGGGGTCAATTCAACTCGCGTCATGCAGACCAACATGTTCCAGGACTACAAAGGCCTCGATCTCAACAATACCATTCTTCGAGTTGAAGTCAATGGCAAGGGTGTAGCGCCTAATGACCCTCACGAGAAAGAACAAACATACGAGCACACATCATACTTCCATCCGGAATCACTCCAGAATGCAAAGCTACAAGACCCTGGACTGAAGGTGTCGCACGTTCAGGGTACCACTAACTTCAAGGTTTCTGCCACGAAGGGAGTCGCGGCATGGGTTTGGCTCGATTACCCGCTGGGTGTACAGGGATACTTTTCCGACAATGGATTTTGGTTGACTCCGGGCGAGACCAGGAATATCCATTTTACGGTGAAGCAGGACTGGACAGACGGGAAGTGGGATCTAGCTGTCACTTACAGAAGTATCTGGAACAACACCCTGACAGAGTGAGACTATTTACCTTTTTCATAGGGTCTTATTAGGTTCTATAGTCCGACTTCGGGATGAACAAGTTACAGTTTAGCATATCGGTTGCTATTTGGCTACCTTTTGCATTTCCACATCTCAAGATAATTGAGTAGTTATCTGTATAGTTGCAACTCGCCGCCCGGTTGAGCGATATATGAAGTAATAACCCTCGCTGCTCGCCAAGCTAATATACCAACTGCTTGTATAAAAATTGTTTATAAGCCACTATTCTTTAGCAACCATCTGACAGCAATAATGCACTGCTTCAATTTTACCCCGCGCGCAGGGTTACATCATGCTTGAACTACCTTATCCATGTCCGTGCCCTTTACGGAGTACGGCAGAAAGAGACTAAGATGGACTTTATTTCCAGTCGGATCTTTCCGAAGAGGTAACCCCGTTTGGGTATCTCTCCGCAATTAGTCCGCGTATGTTTTACTCGCTTAGTGATGGTCTATGCTTTCGCTCAAAGGAATTGGTCATTAGTTCGTTGAGATGATCTACCGAAGCTCGTGTTTCTGGGGGAACGATTAATATTACCCCCCCTCGCAATAATGACTACTATAACTAGACCTTTCCCTTGGAAGCAACGAAACTGACCTGTGGAACAGTTGCTATTTTATAATCGTCGCTGGAAGTCAAGTGCACGACAATATCAAAAGCAAGAATGCAACTAATACCTCTGGCAGCAGGCCTATTGATCCCTGTGCTTGCTCACGCTGCGCCAACATCTTCAAACCCGGTCAATCCCAAGGTCAAGGGCACACCAAAAGTACTCGGGCTTGTGACAGATCCGTCGCTGGACCGAGACTCATGCGGCTCAGCCAAATTCAATGACCGTGTCCTCTGGGTGTGCCGAGACACACAGAACTGGGGACCAAACGGTCTACCAACATTCCCACTCATCACCAGCTCCGCCTCATGGACGGAGTACAACTCTCAGGGTGGACCACGTCTCGTCACGCCCGCCGGCGCAGACACCGCTGAATACCTGATGTACGGCGACAATCACAACCAGTCATTTTACCCCCTTATGTACGACGAGTGCAATGAGACGCAATCGGGCCAATGCGGCGATCTCTCACGCTACGCTCTTTGGCCAGACAGCCCTCCCATGGTTACAATGACCAACCCGGACGCATCGGTGCTCGCATATACGTGGGTGAAAAAGAGCCACATCATGCCTGACCTATCTACCCTAATCGCTGATCCGGCTACGTCCCTCTATCGTGTCAATTATGTTCCCTACCGCGATGGTCCCACCGGTCTGCCGCAGGTGGAAATCGTCAACGAGACGTTTTGGGGAGAGAATGAGATCCCCTATGGAGATTATGGTAATGTCGTCCAAGACGGAGTAGCCTATCTATATGGCCAAAACTCCAACGGGACCGTTGCGCTTGCCAAGGTGGATCCGCTGAACATCGAGAAGAAATGGATGTATGAGTATTGGGCCAGTGGCTCCTGGACCTCGCAACAGCCTGCGAGCGATGATCCAAGCATCAATATCCCCAACGTCACGGCCGGTGGTCAAGGCACGTTCTACTGGTCCGATCCATGGCAGTCGTTTGTGTGGATCGGCCAGCATGGTCAATCTGTCTCAGCAGACTTTTACATCACCACTGCCCCTAACCCGCAGGGGCCGTGGACAGAGCCTGTCAATTTCTATTCAGGTGTCAATGGGAACTATACCCTGCCCGCTTATACACTGCAGGCACATCCTTCTCTTACTACCCCATGGGGCAATGATATTTATTTGACATATACCAAGACGGATGTTGTGGATGGAGATGCTATTTATTCTCATCCGTTGATTCATGTGCAATGGGAATAATGGGAGCACGGGAATATAATTGTTGCTTAATTGACCGGCTCTATATATTTGAAGTACGGAGAAATAGGGATTTAATTATTGAAGTATAAGTTCCGTTATCTAGCAGGCCGCCACCTAATGATGATTTCAAAACCGTGACAGCATCTCAATTATTCAGCCAATTTAGGTAAAGTGGAAACTCCATGGCTATTTACTGTCTCATCAGTCAAGGAACGTTCGTAAATCATATGGGTATCATAAAAAACTACGTAACTATTTGTATTGGACTCAACTACGATTAGAATCATGCACAGGGTCGGCTTTTCAAGGACGCTTGGCCTAAAGCACAACCGGGCTTGGCGCCTCGTGCGCCGAACTGTGGAGAGCCGAGTTCGGAGAGTAGCCGACTCGACTCGGGAACTTGCTGTTTGACCGACTGACGTATTTATTCCTGCGTTCAACAACAACCAGCAGGCAATTGACTGACTGCATGTTAAGTCCAGCTTAACATGGCGCTGCTCCACACTCTGCCGAGACGGGCGCCCGCAGGGCTGCTTCCCCCGTTGGCGAGACGCTTCTCAACCTCTCCCCGCCACGCCAACTATGCGGACACGCTGCCCAATCTCAAGATTGGTGCCCACACGAGGGTGCTTTTCCAGGGATTTACAGGGCGACAGGCTACGGCTAATGTGAAAGAGTCTCTCGAATGGGGCACGAAGATCGTCGGTGGTGTCAAGCCGGGGGTGGAGGGCGAGCATTTGGGCCTGCCTGTGTTTCCGTCTGTTAGCGCTGTATGTGCTTGGGGTCGGGACCAAAGGATGCGATCACGGCAGATTAGACTAACATTTAATTCTAGGCCCAGCAGAGAGCTAAGCCCGATGCCTCGGCCATCTATGTGCCCGGCAACCAAACAGCAAAGGCCATTGAGGAAGCCATTGAGGCGGAAATTCCGCTGGTTGTGGCTGTGGCCGAGCACGTTCCAATCCATGATATTCTCCGAGTATGATTATAGTGTCTTCAGTCATACCCTCCTATCTAACTCATGCCAGATCCATTCCATGTTGCAAACGCAATCTAAGACGCGTCTGGTCGGAGCCAACTGCCCGGGCATCATCTCTGCCATTGGCAAGTGCCGAATTGGGTTCCAGCCGCTGCCATGCTTCGCACCCGGGAACATTGGCATTATCGCCAAGTCGGGCACTCTCAGCTACGAAACCGTGGCATCGACGACGCGGGCGGGGCTTGGACAGAGTCTCTGTATTAGTATGGGCGGCGACGTGTTGGCGGGTACCAATTTTGTCGATGCTCTTCGCATTTTCGAACATGATCCTGATACCCAGGGGATTATTCTCGTTGGGGAGATTGGTGGTGTTGCAGAGATGGATGCTGCGGAGTGGATTCGGGATTATCGGAGGAGAACTCCCAACCCTAAGTGAGTATTCTCTATCTTTATTCTGGATACCGAAATGGGTCATACTGATCCTGTTTAGGCCTATCATGGCTCTCATTGGCGGATTGGAAGCTCCTCCTGGGCGCATTATGGGCCATGCTGGTGCCTGGGCTGCGCCTGGAGAACCGGACGCACAGACGAAATACCAGGCCCTCGAACGTGCCGGAGCAGTCATGGTCAATCATCCGGAGAAGTTTGGCGAGGGTATGAAGACCCTGCTGAGTAACGGTGCTCGGCCGGGCACAGGTGTACGTTTTGTTCTCCTTGTTACCATCGTGAATATGCTCACATGACTGGCAGTCTATCTTGGGAACAGGCTCGCAAAGACGAGGTCTGCACACCTTGAGACGAGTTATCCCATCCCCAGGGTCAACCACTCAGCAGAGACGCAGCTTGTACATCAAACAATTCCAGGCTCTGGAAATCCTCAAACAGAAAGCCGTTCCTGTGAAAGATACACCGACAGCACCGTCTGATAAATCCATTTCGATTACGGTCGACCGAACTGCCTTGTCTCCATGCATCATTGCGTCTCCAACTGCAGACTTCGACCCAGCTCAGTCCCGCAAATTCCCATTCAGTTACACCCAAACCAACTTTGTAGATAGCCCCGTCATTGCCGAAGTGATCTCACACTTGGATCTCCCGGATTCGGCACACGGCAAGCTAGCAGGCCTGGTTCAAGCACTGTGGGAGATCTTCACGGAGAAAGAGGCTTTTGTGCTGGAGACTCGGGTGGGCACATCGGCGACTGGTGATTTGGAAATTCACGGCGCACGGTTTGGCTTTGATGATGCTGCCTTCCGCAGCTCCGGGCGCCAGGAAGAGATCCATCGTCTGCGGAACACGGCCGAGGAAGTTCCAGAAGAGGTTGAGGCTGAGAAGGACGGGATCGTATACGTTAAGTACGGATGCTCTACTAGTCAATATTCCCCCGGTACTAACTATAGCAGGTTGGAAGGCGAAGGCAGTGTCGGCACACTGGGTAAGTCTTTCTTCGCCTGATGCTTCACTAATTATAGCGACTAATAGCGATGGATATAGTCAACGGAGCCGGCCTAGCCATGAACACAGTCGATGCCCTAACAATCCACGGCGGCCACTGCGCCAATTTCCTCGACACAGGCGGCAAGGCCACCTCGGAGACAGTCAAGTCGTCGTTCCGGATCATCTGCTCGGACACGCGCGTGAAGGCGATTTTCGTCAACATTTTCGGCGGGTTGACGCGCTGCGACATGATCGCCGAGGGCATCATCCTGGCATTCCGGGATCTGGATATGAAAGTGCCGGTGGTGGTGCGGTTGCGTGGCACGAATGAAGAAAGTGGTCAGAAAATGGTAAGTTTTGTTTCTTTTTTTGGTGTAAGCCATTTCTTGCTCGGCTCATGTGATACTGATGCCGTCTGTTTAGATTGCCGACAGTGGACTGCCACTGCACGCATTTGATGGGTTTGAAGCGGCCGCGAAGAAGGTGATTGCATTGGCCAAGAGTACATAGTTAGTTCGTTAGACATAGAAAGGGTCCAAAGTGACCCATAGATGACAATCGAAGCCCTCATATTGCCCCGGACAGTATTGCCTCAGGTGTCTACCCCCGGCCCGCCTTCTCCACGATCGCCCGAGTCTGACGCCATTACTTTGTTCTTCCCTGCTAGACCCTGTCATCCCTACCCCGGTTCTTCACACTCTTCACACCACTCTTTTAATCCCATCCTCTTCTTCACCTATGCCCTCGCCCGCCCTGCCGCGCCATGTCTGACCCCCGAGCCGAGCTGCAATCCACTCTCCGCAGCCTATCCATTGGCTCCAAGGGACCCGTGCAGGACATTTCACGGCCAACCCCGCCCCGATCCTCCATCGCCGGATCCGCAACCACAGCCCCAAAGCCCAAAAAGTCTCCCAGCGCAATTGCCGATTCCTGGGAAGACGAGGCGGAACTCTCCGCCGACGACAACGACCTCCAGTCACCAGCCGACGGTCACTCATCTCTGCCCTCGCCGATCAGCGGCGAGGGCCCGCTCGATCCCCCGCCGACTCCGATCTCGCCCCAGACATCATATCCCGGAGTCTCGGGAGGGTATACCTCGTCACCGCCGACCTCAGCTGGTGGGTACGCTGCCGCGCCGCAGTCGGGTGGCGCCTCGAGGCGGCCGGAGAAACAGACTGCCGTTGCGGGACGATTGATTGCCGGTGCGTTGGGGATTAGGGCACCGAAGCGCACAGAGGAGCAGAGATCGTATGATCGTGCCGTGAAAGAGCAGGAGATACGGAGGCGGAATCGCGAGCGCGAGGAGCTGACCAAGGCGAAAGAGGAGGACGAGAAGCTCAAGACGTCGGTGTGGAATGATTGATTTTGGTTTTCGTTTTGATTTTGTTTCTACTTTTCCATTTTTCGTGCTATTTGGGAGGCTTGTTTCTCTCATACATATCTCTTTTTGTTCTTGTATAGGCGCTGCCTGCATGGGTGGATTGGCTTCTGGAAGGGATCGCTACTTGGAACGATCCGGTGCGCTGTTGGTTGGTTTACTGCTTTTCTGGACGCCTTCGGGCTCTTGTCAGATGTATTTATAGACCCTGGGTATTTGAGCCCGGTGCTTTCTGTATTGCCGAGTGAATGATTCACGAGTGTCTCTTTCCGGTTACTGGAACAGAAGGGTTTACAGTATTGTACGAGGTAGCCATTCGAGCAGAATGGAAAGCAAGATACAAAGTCCATAATGTCTACGCCGGATATCCAGTGTATGTGACTGACTGTCCGAGAGACCAGAGAGACGTCGTCCTTTAAATTCGTTGACTCGTTAAAAACGCAGCATGAACACCCCGCGAGGGACACCGCCGACGACAGGACCCAGCGACTCCGTTTGCACTTGATGCATATAGGATCATCGGGTGCGCGCACGATGGTCCGCCTCGCGAATGCTACACTCCCCATGTGGTGGCGAGGCGCAGCGCTCTAGCCTCCGATCTGCTCCTGGTGGACTTCCAACGTGTCGCCATCAGCCATGTCGAGCTATACAGATTGCAAAGTTAGTTTCTTCTCGAAATTTTGAAGTCAAGTCACGGAGAGAGGGAGAGAGAGCGAGACATACCGTGTCAGGCGTATCCTCTGGCCGAACACGAGTGCCGTCAAAGAGGAAGCGAACGGTGGCAATTTGCTTGCCCTGGCGCTCGCAGAAGGCATCCATCAGCTTCTTCAGCTGAGTGGACCGCTTGATCTTGAAGAAGACTTCGTTGTGGTTATCGGTCACCTTGATGTTGAGGTGCTGGGTCTCTCCGGGCGCTCCGCTCTTATCTCCTTCTTCGGCCATTTTGGCTGGGTCTATGGCGGGTCAGAGATGATTTAGGATCACGGAGGCGCGTGCGATGAGATGCTTACGCGGACAAGAAGACGATGATTAGAAATGCGCGGGGCAGAGTCAAGTGGCGTTTGCGACTCTTACGAGAATGGTCAGTATGAAGGTCATTGGGGGCATTATTTGGGGGATTGTAGTACTCACTGGGGGTGATGAGAAGAACAGTGATGGGGGACAGACAGACGTCCAAAAGGCGAGTAGGATTGCTGGAGAGAGAGGGAAGGGAAGAGACGAGATTGAGCGCGACAGAGGGAAGATATCAGGCCCGGAGAATCTACTTTTTCCGTGCCTGTTTAGCCGGATGCTGCAACTCCCCTTCTCGGTGATCTCTTTGTTGCCTTTGTCCATTTCTCCATGATGGTAGGATCATTCATTCGGATTACCTATCCCATACGCACACTGACCGGTCGCTACAGGGGAATCTCAAGCAGGATCTGGCCCATGATCCTCCCTGCCACCCGCGCGCCGTAAGTGGCCTCCCTGATCTCTATTCGGTCGGTCTCTGACTGACTACCTCTCTGCCAGTGCGCCATCCAAGGTAATGAATGACACCTCTCGATGGAACTACCAGACCATCTCTGACTGAGACAGACTGCCTGACCAAGAACGGCTACAAGGAGGAAAAGTGCCAGACACAGATCGACGCCCTGTATGAATGCTGCAACGCCTTCTACCAGGCCCAAGGGGGACACGGCGTCGACAGTGAGCTGTCCCAAGGCCAGCCTGCTGCGACTAAAGATGAAGCAACGGGCGAAGAATAATAGTAATGATAGTTGAATGAATGTACCAGTACCTACAAGCTAAGCCCCCATGAAGTGAGAGAACTAGGCTAGTTGTAAGGACTGACGAGACTGCTCTAAGACAATCTTGAGCACGCTGAGAGGCCCCAATGGACCTGAGCAAACATGGAGTAAATTTTCGCTCCGAGACTCTAATGATTGCCTAATGACATTTGTGGAAGAAAGAAAGAGGAAGAGAAGAGGAAATGCGAAAAATATGTGCCCGAATCCCCACTAGACCCGATCGCGTTAGTCCGTTCACCGGCCAACGCGCCCAACAACGCAAAAGAGACAAACACCACAACGGACTTTCTCCATCAACATCCACCACCACCCATGGCGCCGCTGACTCGCTCTGCGGCTTCGGGCCCTAATTTGCACCAGGTCAGTATGCGGCGATTCCTGGCCCTGCGTCCTGCTAATGGCTTCTTCACAGGCTGCCCGTGCTCCGGCCAAGGCACACGAAGTTATCGACATCGACGACGACGAGGAGTCTGTCGAGGAAGACGAGGACGAGATCCTCGACGATGAAGAGGAGCAATACGAGGATGAGGACGAGGACGAGGAAATGGGCGAGACGACGGACGACGTGACCGGCGACTCGGACACGGGATCCGGCGTCCCTTTCCTCGAGCCCCGTGTCAAGTCGGTTTCCGGCCTGCTGAGCAAGGCTCAAGGTAGGTGTGCTGCAAATCCTTGGTCGCGCCGTCAAGTCTGACCACCACCAGATTCCCCCGAGCTGTTTAAAGCCACGAGCGCCCAGGAAGCATTGCAACCCCTTCGCCGGACCGCCGACCGCGTCACTCGCCAGATCGAAGCCTTCGCGGACAAACTCGATCAATTTAAGCGGAAAAACACGACGGACGAGTTCCAAAATGTCCAGGCGGCATACAAGCTCGTGGAGGGCTATCGCGACCTGGCGCAGAACGCCATGCAAGACATCCACAAGCAACAAACCCTGAAACGAGCCAAGATGGGGTATCGGTCGAGCGGGTCACACGACACCAAGACCGAAGAGGAGCTGCAACGGCTGCAGCTGGAGGTCGACACCTGGCGCCTCTTGCTCAATCTCATCAGTATTGACGACCCCGCCAGCCGGGCTGCTTTCAAGGAAGGCCGGCAGGCCGCCTTCCAGAATCTCCACCGGTACTCATCGGATCGCGAGGTCTGGGAGGAATTTTTGGCCGCGGATCAGTATGCTCTCGAGTGCGTGGTCGCCATGCGATGGCTGGAGGAGACGTCGAAGACCGGAAACCAAGATCTCGACTTGCTGATCACCGACATGGAAGCTCAAGCGGAAAGAGGACAGGGTTTATGGGCGCATGGATGGCTCTTTACCAAGGAAGCGATCAAGGGACACAAACGCCTGCGCGCGTGGCCGCAACCTCTGGATCCGAACGAGCCGGGGGTCTCGCGTTCTCTGCTGAGCAACGACAACCAGAAACCCTTGATCACTCAGCTGGATCCCGACGCGCTCACTCGGCAAAAGCAGGGTCTTCAGAAGCAGGATGAGTTCTATGAGCGCGCCACCTGGATGACGTGCTGGAAGATGCTGAGACAGGGCGAGAACTGGACCAAAATCCGCGACTGGGCCCGGGGCCGCATGGAGAATTGGAGAGCAGTCAGCCTGTGTGGTTCCAGCGTGGATGACTCTCATGGTGTCAACACTCGAACGCCCGCCGATGATGGCATGACTCGCATGATGAATAGCCGCTCGAACGAATCGTGGCGTGCCGCCTGCTCGGCCCTGACGCGCAGTTCCAACACGGATGACTTTCAGCGTGCCGTGTATGCGCTGCTCTGCGGTGAGACCGAGGCTGCCGCCAAGGTCTGTCGGAGCTGGGATGACTACCTCTACGTTTACTTCAATCGCGTCGTGCTGTCACGCTACCAGGGATTCTGCAAACAGTTCCAACGGAAGCTGAGCCATTCTCCCAACACACCTGTCGCCTACAAGCCGGAGCCCGCTGGACACGCAGACCTGCAAAAGTTCCTCCAGTACCTGAGGGGCAATGATCAGGTCGGCGGCGAAGCGCTCAACCCCTTCCGCAACCTCCAGGCCGCCATCTTAAGCAAAGGATACGATTCATATTTCTCCGCCCTCGCTCAAGCGGTTTCTCAAGTCAGTACCAACAAATTCGGAGCAGCCTCCATCGTTCCAGAGCTGGCCCGTTCGCCAGTGGACGAGGCCTTCCTCATTGCTGCCGAAGACGAAGAGGCGTTGAAGATCGCTACTCATGTCTACGTGGCCGTCAACTCCATTGGATACGCTTCCGCAGACCCTCACGTCTTGGAAATGGCGTCGGTGATCGTGGCCGGATACATTGCGAATCTGGAAGAGATGGGTCTCTATGAACGCATCCCGCTGTACGCCTCTCTCCTGCCCACGGAGATGGCCCATAGCGTCTTCTCGAAGATTTTGATCGATATCGTTGATCCCACCCAGCGGAAGCAACAGCTCCGGCTCATGCAGAAGCATGGCATTGATGTCGGGGCTGTCCTCGACGTTCAATGGGCGTGGCTGAGTGCCAAGGTGTCTACCATCGAGCGCGCCAGTGCCGTGATTGGGTATTCGCGGGTGAAACGACAGAGAGATGGTCTTGTGCTGAACCCTGTCAAAAAGGATTTGATCGGGACAGACATCACCGACGAGGACGAAAAGATGATCCGCAGTCTCGAGTGGGTTCGCTCGTCGAACAATCAATTCCTCAAGATCGCCGAGCGTTGTGCGTGGCTGTACCGGAAGTTCTTTGGTAAGTTCCCAGACAAAATGTGTTTGGTTGTCTGATCATGCTAACCTGTTTTCTTATGTAGTTGCTGGCAAACTGGCCGCTGCTCGTGAATTGGCTCGGCGTATGCCCATGAGCGAAATCTCGCAGGAGACTTTCGGGTCCGATATTTTCCAGTTCCCGCCCCAGGAAGACGACTCCGAGGAAGGGTCTGTCCCGACCAGTCCGACCAAGTCGCGGAAGAACAGTATTCACCGACGAAGCCTGTCGGGCTCCAACGGCGCTGCACAACCAAAGCCGACTGGCCTGTATACGACATATCTGCGGTCTGCCAAGACTTCCGATTTGGAGACTTTGATTGCTGGATTCGACACGCTGGAACAGTTTGCAGTTCTGCATGAGCAAATCTCCAAGTGAGTATCCTCTTCCTAGTATGGCCCACGCCAACCAAAACTCATCAATTAATCCAGGACAAAACGCCGTCGAGACTCCGGCACCCTTCAGACACTGTTTGGCGAGATGTCTGATGTGATGCGGGATATCGAAGTCAATATCGGATGTGTGGTCGACGACGACTGGCTGGTTCAGAGCCCCGACGGTAAGTTCACTTCTTTCCGCTTCACGATCCCTTCTAACCCTGATCGTGTGTGTAGTCGACGAAGAGAAAGACTTCGAGTACATCCGCCGGACCTACCTCCCAGAATTGCTGCTCGACTACCACAACGCGTTGTACTACGCCAGCAACACCCTGGGAGAAGGAAATCTCCTCACGCAGTGCATGACCGTTTCGATCTGGATCGCTGGCAAGCCACATCTAACCCGCAGCTTCACCGAATCGAAGCGCATGGCCGAGCTGATCGAGGTGCTTGCTTGTTCCAGTAAGGCGATGGTGCTCGACAAGACGATGAAGGACCGCTATTTGGAGTCTGGGCAGTACCCATTTATCTGGAAGGTGAAGGCGGAGGAAGAGGGTAGCAGTGCGGAGCCACAGTAGCCATCTATCCCTCTCGTGTGTTCAGTTATGTTGTACATTAGGATGGGTTTATTAGGAGGAAACATCGGATTCGATACGAATACGAGCGGAAGAGAACCTCCAGGATAGGAGAAAAAGGCAACTGGCATCTTTTCTCAGTCAACTACAAATGCATCATCTCTCTCATAGCTCGCTTTTTTCATCGTTGCGTGTCTGCTAGTTCGTTCCCATCCACTACTCGTACGGCTCCATCAGCGTATTCCCCAACACCTTGGCCGGGAAAGCCTCCTCGCCCAACGCCGTGGTATGCGCCCACGGCTTCAGGCCATTCTCACGCCGGATCGTCGCCGCAAAGCAGTTGCTCCAGTGGTGACGCGGGAAATGGGCGCAGACGTCCTTGATGGTGTCTCCGTGGACCAGATCGGCATAGGCGCCGGCGTTGTCTATTACGTAGTGGTTAATGATCAGCATCAGCCAAAGGTTCGTTTGCGGGATTAGCTTCCCGCTATCGCCACTCCTTCCTCCCCCGTCTACGAATGTACACCCTCCAAGGCTAGAATAATCATAGAAGACAAGAACTGACCAAAGATAGTGGCCAACTGCAGGAGCTGGCCTAGCGCAGTGATCTTCCCGACCTCGCATAAATCCTGGTGACGGATAATCGCCTCGACCACGCTTTCGGCCTGGTCGCGCGACGCCACACCAGCCGGAGCTCCGTCCTGGCCATCTCCGCCGGGAGAATGGGGATTTTTCTGGAGAACATCCATAGCAAGGAATCCCCCAAAGAACTCAAAGCTCATATGCGTGCCGGTGATGTTCTCCTCCGTAGTCCCGATATCATGCAGCACGCATGCAAGGAAGTACGTCTCATCGGAGAATTGCCAGTCCGCGTGGTCCGCGAACCGGTACTGCTTGATCGCGAGCCCATAGTGGTACACACGCAGCGAGTGGTTGTATGTCGGCTCCGGGAGACGCGCTTTGGCGTAGCTGTTGATGCGCTGTGCCAGAGGCGTGTTTGGGATCGGGGTCAAGGTGACGGGGATTGGGCTTGGCTGGCTGGTTGGTGCTGGGTAGGCGGGCGTTGATTTTAGGAGGGTTGTGGCTGAGGCGGGGACGGCCGTGAAGCCATAGGTGGTTATGGAGTTGGGCATTGTGGTGGCGGTTGGGTTGGTTGGGCTATCATTGGGAAGAAGAGGTGAGGTGAAGAAGGGGTATACGCTGCGACTCTACAAATACGAGATGGTGGCACTATGATGCTGAAGATGATGATGTGAAAAGAACGATAGGTTCATAATCGATGAATCCAGACTCGATGACGATATTCTGCTCTCCAAATGGGAACGACTATCCAGTGGTAGATGAGTAGCTAATAAATGACTCTATAGTCACTACCCGTCTTGCGATTGGCTAGTCCAGCCCGTGGAGCCAAGCCGGATGGGTCGGGCAGTGTTGCGGTCTTGGCAATTGAGGCAGTGCAAACTGAGCTTGTCTGGTCGCGGTGCAGAGATGGATGTCATGGAATGATCTTAACGCTGAGGAGAGTCGTGAGGGAGCACCGAGTTAAATAATAGCCGAGCCAGGAGGGATGTAGTGAGTGTCTGTTTTGCCATCCCCCGTTGCTGCTACATACATCCTGTGGTGGCTGAAGCAAAACATCGCCCGATCTGCACAAAGGGGTTGACCTCATCGCTTTCCGGCATCCAATCCTTCTCTTCTCCCTTTTCACCCTTTGTTCCTCCTCACTCTCCCTCTCCTCCCTCCCATGGGGACTTTCTCTGCTTTCCTCGCTCCGTTTCCTTCCAGCCACCTCACTGCCGCGCGACTGCTATCCCCATGAGCACGAGGCCCGCGGTAGATGAGTCGGTGTGATTTACGATCCTTTCTTCACCATGTCCGACTCACGAGCAGAGGACGACGAGACATCCCCGTCTCCCTCCACGCCGCTGCGCCGGGAACGAGCCCCGACCATCACCATTGACACATCCGCCGTGAGCACCCCGGATGCTGCCCACCCCCCGATCCAGATCCTCTCGGGTCCGCCACAGGCCTCGCTCCAGACCTCCACAGACAATGTCGAGGCCATGGACACGAGCGCCCTGCTCAGCAACGGCAATGTCTCCCCCACCGACATGCGGTCCTCCGGATCCATCCGTTCCAGTGCCTCGTTCGAGAACCCACGTCGCGAGTCGAAGGACCGAGATAGTCGGCCAACCTCGCCACACAATATCTCCTCGCCCAAGACCAAGGTCTCCGAGACACACTCCAATTTCCTCGCCGTGCCCGGGACACGCTCTCGCGGCAATTCATTGGAGTCCGAGGACACCAGCCAGACATCAAGCACGTACGGCGGAGACACCTATGTGCAAACAGCATCACGATCTGATAGCACCAATTATACCAATGTCGATGACGAGGACGCCCTCAAGCCCGATCCGGATCGCGAATCCGAGTTCGACGTGGAGGATAACAAGTTCGCTTTCTCGCCCGGCCAACTAAACAAGCTGCTGAATCCGAAGAGTATGGCCGCGCTATACGCTCTCGGTGGACTGCGCGGGTTGGAAAAGGGATTGCGGACGAATGTGCGAAGTGGACTGAGTGTGGATGAAACGGTATTGGATGGTACAGTCAACTTTGAAGATGCGGTTTCGACCGAAGCCATGCCCAAGTCGGCGTCACCAGTCTCGCCCCCTGAGGGCAACAGGCCAGGGACGGCAGAAACAAATAAGGAGAAGGCGCCAGACCAGTTTTCAGATCGGAGGCGCGTATATGGCAATAACCGACTGCCAGAGAGAAAAGTGAAAACAATCTGGGAGCTGGCATGGATTGCGTATAACGATAAGGTGCTTATCTTGCTGACCATCGCTGCTGTCGTTTCCCTTGCTGTGGGAATCCCGCAGTCAATCCATCCGAAGAACCACGAGCCGGGTGTGGAGTGGGTGGAAGGCCTGGCCATTATCATTGCTATTGTGGTTGTGGTTGTTGTCGGTGCTGCCAACGACTGGCAAAAGGAACGACAGTTTGCCAAGCTCAACAAGAAGAAAGAGAATCGACTGGTCAAGGTCATGCGGTCCGGGAAGACGGAGGAAATTTCCGTCTATGATATTCTTGTCGGCGATGTGATGTACCTGGAACCGGGCGATATGTTGCCCGTGGATGGAATCTTGATCGACGGTCACGATGTCAAGTGTGATGAGTCCTCTGCGACGGGCGAGTCAGATCTTCTCCGCAAAACTGGTGGTGATGAGGTCTATAAGGCGATCGAACACCGCGAAGACCTGAGAAAGATGGACCCCTTTATTGTGTCTGGCGGCAAAGTGTCCGAAGGCCTGGGAACGTTTCTGGTCACTGCCACCGGTGTTCACTCGACTCACGGCCGGACGATGATGTCTCTCCAGGAAGAGGGCGAAACCACCCCTTTGCAAACAAAGCTGAACGTGCTGGCCGAATACATTGCGAAGCTTGGTCTCGCCGCGGGTCTGCTGTTGTTCGTGGTGCTGTTCATCAAATTTCTCGTCCGACTCAAGTCCATGGACGGCGGCGCCGACGTCAAAGGCCAGGCCTTCCTCCAGATCTTCATTGTGGCCGTCACCATCGTCGTGGTGGCCGTACCTGAAGGCCTACCACTTGCGGTCACGCTTGCTCTCGCCTTTGCCACAACGAGAATGATCAAGGATAACAACCTAGTGCGCTTCCTCAAGGCGTGCGAGACCATGGGCAATGCTACAACCATATGCTCCGACAAGACCGGAACACTCACAGAAAACAAAATGAGCGTTGTTTCTGCGACTCTCGGCACTACCTCGAGGTTTGGGGACAAGCGACGTGGTTCATCCGATCAGTCGGACGATGTCTCTGCTTCTGAGTTCGTGTCCACGCTCTCGCCGCCTGTCAAGGACCTCCTACTCAAGTCGATCTCGCTCAACTCGACTGCCTTCGAAGGCGAGCAAGAAGGTGTAAAGACGTTCATCGGATCTAAAACAGAGACTGCGCTTCTTTCCTTCGCCAGAGAATACCTAGGTATGGGACCACCGAGCGAGGAGCGTGCAAACGCCAAGCTTGTGCAGATGTTCCCGTTTGACTCCGGCCGCAAATGCATGGCCGTGGTCATACAGATGGAAAATGGAAAATACCGCATGCTGGTGAAGGGTGCCGCAGAAATCTTGACTTCCAACTCCACGCGCATCTTGCGTGATCCTACCAACGACCTGTCCGAGCTATCGGTCGACGATGAAACCCGGGCCACGCTGGAGAACATTACGGAAAACTACGCGTCGCGATCTTTGAGATGCATTGGCCTGGTCTACCGTGACTATGAGCAATGGCCGCCTCGTGGGTTCCCGACTCAGGAAAACGACCGTCATATGGCGGTTTTCGAACCTCTGTTCAAGGACATGACGTTGCTCGGCATCTTCGGCATCCAGGACCCCGTCCGACAGGGAGTTGCCGAGGCAGTCAATGTGTGTCAGCGCGCTGGAGTGTTTGTGCGGATGGTGACAGGTGACAACCTCACGACGGCCAAAGCCATTGCCCAAGAGTGTGGCATCTACACCCCCGGTGGTATTGCCATTGAAGGCCCTCGGTTTCGTCGGTTGAGCCAACGTCAAATGCACCAACTCATTCCACGGCTGCAGGTCATTGCGCGGTCAAGTCCAGAAGACAAAAAGATTCTGGTCAATCAGCTCAAGAAGTTGGGAGAGACTGTTGCTGTGACGGGAGATGGAACCAATGATGCCCAGGCACTCAAAACCGCCGATGTTGGCTTTGCCATGGGTATTACCGGGACTGAGGTCGCCAAGGAAGCGTCCGATATCATTCTGATGGATGACAACTTTGCCTCGATTGTCAAGGCCATGGCATGGGGTCGCACTGTCAGCGACGCTGTCAAGAAGTTCCTCCAATTTCAAATCACCGTCAACATCACTGCTGTCATCCTTACTTTCGTCTCGGCCGTGGCCAGCAGCAGCGAGGATTCGGTTCTCAGCGCGGTTCAGCTGTTGTGGGTCAACCTCATCATGGACACTTTCGCGGCTTTGGCTTTGGCGACGGATCCTCCTTTGCCATATGTTCTCAACCGCAGACCCGAGTCCAAGTCGATGCCACTTATCACTCTGACAATGTGGAAGATGATCATCGGACAGGCCATCTATCAGTTGGTTGTGACGTTTGTCCTCAACTTTGCTGGCCAGTCTATCTTCCCATGGGATGACGGTCATATGCAGACGGTTGTTTTCAACACCTTTGTTTTCATGCAGATTTTCAACCAGTACAACAGCCGCCGCATTGACAACCGCCTCAATATCTTGGAGGGTGTTCTCAAGAACAAGTGGTTCTTGGGTATCCAATTCATCATCATTGGCGGTCAAGTGCTGATCGCGTTTGTTGGTGGCGCGGCATTTTCCGTATCGCGCCTCGACAAAGGCTCCTACTGGGCTGTCAGCTTGGTTCTGGGTGCCATTTCGGTGCCAATTGGGATAGTGATCCGCCTCATCCCCGACGAATTCATCAGGAAACTCATCCCACACCTCTGGCACCGCAAACAGCGCCCCGAAGTTGTTGTTTCGGACGAAGACCGTCGCTACGAGTGGAACCCAGCCCTCGAAGAGATCCGCGACCAATTGACCTTCATCAAGAGGGTTCGCGGCGGACGACTGCGACATCTCAAACACAAGCTCCAGCATCCGCAAGAACTGCTGTCTCGCTCGCGCAGCAATTCCCGCTCTCGCGAATCTTCCATCCCACCCACCCCCAACGACGACAACGGCAGCCCAACTCCTCAGCCAGCCACACCCGAGTCTCGAACCCGCCGCAACACACGCTCCCGATCCAACTCCACATTCGGCCCCGCTGCCGCTATGGCCGGTGTCATCGCCGGCAGTATCGCCGGCTGGTCACCCATCGAACGCCCCCAAGACATGTACTTCCCATCCGGCAGTCCTCACGCGGGCCTAGCCGAGCAAGAAGGCATCGAGATCCACCCAGAAACTGCTGCGGACGACCGCATTGTCAACGAGTACTCTACTCAGTCGAAAACGCCGCCCAGTCAGAACCCGGATCTTGTGCCTTTCTTCGAACATGCTCCTCCGGCCTCGTCAGATCGGGCGCCCTCCAGCCGTGGCCGGAGGTCTCTGTCTCAGCGCTCGAGGTCCAGCCAGAGCCAGTCGCAGGTATAAACTCTCGTTTCTCTATATTTTGTTCTCTGTTTGAATAGCGATTGCATTCATGGGGTTGGATGGGTTTCCAAAAGCATTGTGTCTTTTTGGACGGCGTTCGATATGCTTTTCCTTTTTTTCACCTTTCTCATTTATCATCTTCCTCTCTCTGTGGTGTGTCCCCACGAACGTCGGGCGCCCTCCTCCCCTTCATCCTGATTTGATTGGTGTACTGAACGGAGGAATGGCATTGAACCACAATCCAAGCATAGACCCTTGCTCTGTTCTCTTTCTTTTTCACTTTCGCATTGTTGGAGACGGTCAGGTACTCGGGGTCTTGATTTACATTCGTCTGTTTTTGGGCTTCTCGGCGCACCCAACAAGGCTGGGGCGACAGTCAACCTTCGCTTTTCTTTTCTTTTCTGTTTCCTCCCTGACATTCGTCTGGCTGCATTGTTGATCTCTTTCCTACTACAAATCTCAATTGGGCCACTTCTTCTGCTGCAGCTTATCGTTTCGCTTGAACTAATTGGGGCTTTGATGTTAGTGCTAGCATATTGTCACTGCTACCTACATGCATAAATCCGTCTCAAGATATTGAGGCAGCTTGATTCAAAATATCAAAAAGATAGAAGTGCTAGTCATAAGAAAAGAAAATTGTCGAATTCCCTGGAAAAAGAAAAGTAAGACTGCCCTAATGCATTCCGATATCCGCCGCGCTCTTCATCTCGATGGATCAATCAATCGGTCGACTTAACTAGTTCGCTGGAAACCAGGTCAATATCAGCGCTGAATATATTAAAGCAAACAATAAAAACAAAACCTACCAGCCTGGGCGTTCTGCACAGGGCCCGCAGCAGCAGTCTGAGCAGTGTTCTGCGCAACAGCAGCAGCGGCGGCAGCAGCCCGATTGGCTTTCTCAGCAGCTTTCCGCTCAGCTCTAACCTTAGCCTGTGCCACCCTCCTCACAATCCCGGGGATCTTCTCCGTGATACGGAAAGTCTTCCCCACGCGCGCGCGAACCATGTTCACCCGCTCCGACAGCACAGCGGCGCCCTGCATGCGCGCCAGCGCCATCATCCAGGATTGGTATCCGTCGACGACCATCCACATCTGGGGCGCGTTGGGGGGACTAGCATCGAGCGGGTCGGCAATCGCCATGGGCAGATAGACGCGGACCTCCTCCAGGTCCGGGTCGAAGCTGAACTTGGCCCTGAGGCACTGTCTGAAGGCGTCCCAGCTCATCTGGCCGTGGTCCAGCGTGCCGTCAGCATAGACGTCGCGCTTGTCACGGAGGAACTCGGATAGCTGGACCGTACTCAGGATCCGGGACTCGCGGGCGATGGTGACTCTGTCGTTGTGCAGAGCGTGGGGCGCGAGGACGGCGGCCTGGACGTGCGGATGCAGCTTCTGCTCCAGCTGGTCGACCGTGTACACGTGGTGCCTGATCTGGTCGTGCAGCTTGCTGTTCATGTCTTGCTGGGCCTGGATCTTGTTGTGCAGTTTGTCGATCTCGGCCTGCAGCTGGCTCTGGCGCGCCTGGCCGGTGCGGACCTGGCGCACGAGATGGGCCGTGTCTGGCATGGTGCTGTGGCGATTGTAGGCGTGCATCTGCTCGATGGCAATCTCAACGAGACGGTTCAGGGCTGCCTCGGGGTCGTCGTGGTAGGCGCGGCGGATGGCTTGTCCGAAGCGGTGCATGGCGGCCCTGATGGGCTCGCGCAGCCCAATGCGGGCCTGGGCGGTTGGGATGGGGTTGTCGAGGGCCCCAAACTCGCGGACGATGTCGCGCAGACGGGCAGTGACTATGTTCTGTAGGGGGATGTCTGCGCCGATGCCCAGCGAGTTCCAGTAGCGACGCTTGGTCATTGTGGGAAGTTCATGAAAGGGAACGAGCATGGATGGAGAGATAGAGGGATGTGGGTAGGAGAAGGCAAGCAAGTCAGAGCTAGGTCTGTGTGGAGTTCAAGCCTGGATGGTTGCACGGTTTTATGCGCATAGACTTGCACGCATAGAGCTAGAGGAAGTATACGATCATGGAAGTGCAGACCGACGGTGCGCGAATCTCACAGGGCACATTTGGATGAGAGTTCTGAATCAAGAAAATACCAGTAACCCATGCATTATGGGTCTTGAACCTATAGGATTTGGGCTTTGTAGCTGACAGAGCAGTAGAGAGGGAGCAGAGGTCATGGAGAGTGGGATCGTAACGCAGCTTGGCAGTCAGCTCGTCGGCGAATTGTCGAACCTGAGCTCCCGTGGTAGATCAAGCCGGCCTCCCAAATTCCGTACTCCTGCTCGTTGAGGAAGAGACGGACCATTCAGGCACCACGTCGGTTGCCTTCCGCGCGAGTCACAATAATCAGATCATCCCGAATAATTAAATCCATCGCGGGAGCAAGCTAAGAAGTGAGGGGCTGATCAACGATAGGATCTGACTTAGTGGCGTCGACAAACCGGTTTCAGGAAGAGATCGGTGGAGGTGAGGAAGAGGAGAAGAGAAGGAGCAGTGCACAATATCAACAAGAGAGGTCTCTCTCTTTGTCACGTAGGCAGCATCACCCTCATATTTCTTCCGATATGATATAAGTACATCTCTGATATACGGTGTACATTTGTACATTAACATTTATATGTTTCTCTTTCATGTTCTTTCTTTTCAATGATCAATGTGGTCGTTGTGGATTCTGTGATATATATTTGTGGAAGTGTCAAACATCCCAGAAGAACCAGACAACTAAATCCTATACCAATAACCCCCTTCCTCTTAATTTCTTTTAGTTGTCACAAAGAGTGTTATTTGTCTTTTGTCTAATTAATTCCTTTTTTTGCTCCCTCGCCAATCTCGTCACTTCCATAAAGGCAAAGTAAACAAAAGACAGACAGACGGAGTTGATTCAGATAAGAGTATAGTACCATGCATTTATGGGACAGAAGACTATAATATAGCAACCCAGTCAAACCTGTACACATACAATTGCACAGACTTGAAAGCATCACAGTTCCCCAATAAGGAGAGCCATCGAACAGGCTAACCAAAAACCAGATATCTTTGGATAGCTTTCTGTAAGCACAAGTTCTAAGAGAGGCCACAAAGCACCATGTATGCAGGTAGCCCCATCTGTTCCTCGGAATTACCACCTTCGTACATCGGTAGCTTACAACCCGAGCGCAAGGGCAGGCTGTTACCTGCATACAAACAAAGCAGCTGACATCATATAAGTCTGATGCCTGATGCACCGAGACAGAAGAGAACACCTAGATCTTTCGCGGAAGAGGACAGATCAGTGCGAAGATCCCGAAAGGATTTGCATAACAGATAAGCATACTCCAGTTCAGCTCAAGATCTCGTCAAACCAAGGCAGCGCTAATAGGGATGAACAGTCGATCAAACACCCCATCGTACCCACAGGGTGACGACATTGCCTGTCTCTCCTTCGGAGCCAGCATCCGGAGAGTAATCTGCAGATTCAGGGGTAGACGGCACGGTTCAGTTCATTCTGCAGTGGAGAATAACAGAAGGATATACATAACAGATAAGCATACTCGGGGAACAAGCTAGCGAACAAAGCGAGCTGCCGATCACCGATTATCTTTTCTTTCTCCGGGAGATCAATCGAATCTCGGCAGGCTGGTGAGTGGACCGGGGGTTTCGATGGCGGCTGCACAGCTCGGGACTCGGGTTCGTCGATGGTTCACGGGGATGCAGATAACATTCGCACCATCCGCCGGCTTGTGGGTCATTAGCGCTGAAGCGGAAAAAGCTTGGCCCTTAACCGTTCTGCGAGGGAGGGCTTGGCTGGGTCCTGGGGTACGTAAGTACATAATTCGGGATCTCGCCATACTAACTCACTCTTCATCGAGTAAGTGCCTTTCAACCCACAGAAGATCGAGAAAATACCCGTATAGATACCATACACCACTTTGAGAAATACCTAGAAATGACCAAAAGAAGGGGCAATGGTAGAAGGCACCTGTCTGCAATGTTGACATCAACTGCACCGAGAAAGCTCGGAAGTTAGCCAAAGCCCAAGTATGACGGCGTCTGGATAAATGTCGAGTCAAACGACCATCTACACCCCCTTTCTTCGTATCAGCTGCTGCCACCTGCTGGGAACGAATCACCGGTTGCCGGGAATATCTACGAAACTGGGGAGGCGGCTGAATCAAATCGCGCGAAGATGAGCAAGCATAGTTTAGCGGACCCCGGTTGGCTCGTGTTGAGCTCAACGGAGCAGAACTGTCTGCTATTCCTGCCCTTTCTTCCTTCTCAAATCTGATTGTCGTATAGGAAGCACCTATAGGAAGCACCGTGGGGAGTCCGACGCTCCTTGCAGGGCTCACATTCCAGCCGATGCATTTTCGGAGCTTTAGGGTATGCTGGATCCTGCTCTATCCGGCAGGGCACTGTCGATCAGGAATACGGAGGAGAGGTTACGCTGTACTATCGGTGCTGTGATGGGTGGCATCCCTCGTTCAGATGGCATCATGGGTGCAGAGTCCAGTCGAATAATGCAGACGAAGACTTACGTTTCTCCACCGGGGTACTTGGATCGAGGTTGATACCCGGCGGCCATCTCCACATGATGGGTCCACGGTTCAGTTCCCGGCTGCTGGGGGCGTCCCAATCATTGGCCCACGGCCTTCGACAGCTGGTCGGGTCCTTGATTGCTAAGGAATGCCGGTATCGTGTGCTGCAGGTGTTACACACCAGGGACGGGGACCGCAGGGCATGGTGATGTCAGGTCAGTTCCACTGCGTAACGAAGGCACAAGTGAATATTCCCCCAGCTATAACTATCATGCCGGAGCTCCCCCTGCCCCTCTCTCCATCTTGCACGGCAATTTTTCTTGCACCTCAAGTGGCTGCTTCGACGGGAGGAATACACCGAAGGACGTTCGTCCATTCAACTTGCCTGTGGGCTTGGCTTGTCACGCCTGTCAACTGTTGACAGAACAAACACCCGTTGCGTCGACAACAGGTGGATCTGAAATTGGTCAATAATGAACTCCGAAGACATCGAAAAGATCAGCGGCTCCCTGTCCCTTCACAGCGTGAGCCAGCCCGAGATCGACAATGACTCTACGAACGAAATCCTCGCGAACGCGGCGGATTCCAAACCGCAAAGCAGATATAAGAAATGGGCCACAAGTATCAAGAACATGGAGGGCCGCGGTATCGGGCCGGTGCCTTTGGAAGAGCGCCAGCCACTGACCCCGTCCACCTCGCTGCACATGCTGCTGATGTGGTTCAGCATGACGCTGGCAACGAACAATATCATCGTGGGGTCGATGGGAACGCTCGTCTTAGGCCTTCGATTCAAGGACGCTGCTCTCTGCGCGGTTTTTGGAAATCTGGTGGGCGCTGCCACCGTGGGGTACATGAGTACTTGGGGTCCTATTAGTGGGAACCGCACACTGGTAAGTTGATACCTTCCGACAGAACGCGGCTAGGAGTGTTGATGAAGTGTGGTAGATCGTCGCCCGGTTCTTCATGGGCTACTATCCCAGCATGGTCTGCTGCATCCTGAACCTTTTGACCAATGTGGGATACAGCATGGTCAACAGCGTTGTCGGAGGCCAGATCCTCTCCAAGGTCTCCGGTGGTCAGATCTCCGTCTTGGTGGGTATTGTCATCGTCGCTGGGACTAGCTGGGTTATGGCCATGTTTGGCATGCGCATCTTCCAAGTCTATGAACGGTGAGTCCTCCGCAGGCTTCGTCACACATCATATATCTGATGTATGAGCAGGTTCGCATGGCTGCCCCAATTGATGGTGCTCTGCGTCATGCTGGGATCTGCCGGTCCGCACTTCGACTTTAACATCCAAGCCGAGGCCTCTCCGTCGCGACTGATGGCCAAGCGCCTCACCTTCTTCTCCCTGTGTCTGTCAGTTGCCCTCGCCTGGGCCCCGTTGGCAGCCGACTACTACGTGTATTACCCGCCGCATGTCAAGCGCTGGCGGACATTCACCGTCACTGTGCTGGGAGCGTGGCAGGCGATGGTCGTCACGCTCGTCCTCGGAATCGGACTCGGCACCGTGGTGGCCAGCTCGCCGCAGTATGCCAGCAAGTACGGCACCACACCGGGCGGGCTGCTCATGACGGCATACGACTCGCTCGGCGGATTTGGCAAATTCTGCGCGGTGATCAACGTCCTCGCCGTGGTGGCCAACAACGCGCCTGGGGCGTACTCGATGGGCATGAACTTCCAGATGCTCGGCCGGTGCTGGCAGAAGATCCCGCGCCCGATCTTCACCACGCTCAGCACAGTGATCTATACCGGCTGCGCGATGGGCGGCCGAAATGCGCTGTACGAGGTCTTTAAGGGTTTCCTGCCCCTGATCGGGTACTGGGTGATTATCTGGTTCACCATCGTCATCGAGGAGGACCTGCTCTTCCGCCGCAAGAGAGGATATGACTGGTCGGCCTGGGACCAGCGCGAGAAGCTGCCCATCGGCATTGCAGCGGGGATTTCATTCCTGGTGGGCTGGGTGGGAGCGATTGTCGGCATGGTAAGTTCTTGTGGTGATCGTGATTGTGGTGCTCGACTGAACCGTTGCTGATGTCGACATCCAGAGTCAATCGTACTGCACCGGCCCCATCGCGCAGCTCTCGAATGATGCCGATCTGGGCCTGTGGCTGGGAGCTGGCTTCACCGCAGTGACATTCCCCGCACTGCGAGCACTGGAGTTGTGGTGGATCGGTCGTTGATCGTGGACTATTATTATTGGGTTCGGTGAAGGACCCGATCGGACCGCGGTAACTGATGCTTAGAGTTTGGTTGGTTGTAGGTAGTTCGGAGTACATAAGTCAGTAGTCAACGACATAAGCTGGACTAAATCCCCTCATTGGTTTTCATCCCTTCACATACTTCTATCAACCTATTTCGTAAACAACGCCATGGACTACGCTACTTTCTTACCGCAGCCGCTGCACAGGCTGATGGCGAACGCCACCCCGCTGATGTGCACCGTGAGCTTGCTGGTTGCCTACCCGATCGTGACGACCTCTCTTCGCTACCGGCGGCTACGCAAGCTGCACAAGCGGTACCCTTACCGGACGCGCGAGTCCCTGGCCCAAATGACCGATGAAGAGGCCTTTCAGATCCAAAAGACCGTGGCGCAACTGGAGTTCCCGTTTATGTTCATCAAGTCGCTCCAATTTGCCTTGTTCAGAGTAATCTCCTCTAAAGATGAAAAGGAAAGAAAATTAAGACTAACATCAAACACAGACCTACGGTATCCCAACTATCTCCCACCTCCTCACCAAAACCAGCCAATTTTCTCACCCCGAGACCTCACTGAAGCGCTACACCGACACGAGCGCCCTTGTGCAAGAGATGGTCGGCAACGCGCCGACCTCGCAGCGCGCCTACATCTCTCTAGCACGCACGCGATTCCTGCACAGTGGATACCGCGCCTCGGGCAAGATCCTCGAGTCTGACATGCTATACACGCTGGCCCTGTTCGCACTGCAGCCTATCCGGTTCATAGCCCTCTTTGAGTGGCGCGAGCTGAGCGACCTCGAGCGCTGTGCTATTGGCACGTTTTGGAAATCCATCGGCGATGGCTTGGGTATTAGCTATGATGTCTTGCCGTCGGGGAAGGCGGGGTTCCGGGATGGGATCCATTGGCTTGAGGAGCTGGGCGTGTGGAGTGACGCTTATGAAGCGAAAGCTATGGTTCCTGATCCTAAGAATCGGGAGACGGCTGATCAGACTACCGCTGTGCTGCTTTATATGCTGCCCAAGGTATTGCATCCTGTTGGACTGCAGTTTGTCTCGTTTATGATGGATGATCGGCTGCGCAAGGCTATGCTGTAAGTCTTCGATCCCCGTGGACAGAAAGAGATTCAATCGATGGCCAAAGAAAGGGGGGAAAAAGCTAACTAATGAGAATAGATACGACCCCCCATCCCCCATCTTCGCCTCAATCTTCTCCAGTCTCCTCACAATCCGCAAACTCTTCCTCCGCTATCTCTCTCCACCAAGACCAGATTTCCTGCGCTACTCCTCCTTCACAGAGAAAGCCGACGAAAACAATCGCTTCTTCCTAACGCAATGGGAGGCCGCGCCGTACTACGTCAAGCCGACGTTCTGGAACCGCTGGGGTCCTGTAGCGTGGCTAACCTGGGCGCTGGGTCGTCCGCTTCCTGGGGACCAAGGGGATAAGTATTATCCACACGGTTACGCTATCCAGGATATTGGGCCTAAGTATTTTGAGGGGAAGGGAGGGAAGGCGTTGGAGGAGATGATGGAGGAGTTCAAGGGGTATCGGACGGGGAAGTGTCCATTTCATTGAGTATTTTGGGGATCTTACGGAGTATACTTTTTAAGTTGGGCTTGGTCGGTAGATACAAAGCAAAGAATGATTACCATTCTAAATTTTTTTGGGGCCGCTACAGAGCCCAAAGAATGGGAAGTCATTTTCGTGAATTGCTTTTCCACTAGGTGCTATTTCTTGCCGCGACAGTCGAAGACTACCGAGACCAAGAGGCAGGAAAATAGATACAGAAAAAAAAGGGGTAAATTAGGAGCGCTCAAACAAAATATTGGGGTTTCGGAGCACAGGCCCGCAAAGCCGCCCCGAGCGGAAGAGAATGTAGTAGCAAGGGTATTACGGTGAGCAGAGATCGGTGCCAGAGGGCAGCCCGTTTACAGGGGCTCCTCATCCTCGAGAACACCCTCCTCAGCGATGCTAGACAGTCGTTAGTACAGGTCATCAATGGAGAACAGGGGAATGCTTACTACTCCTCCTCGCCCTCGGAGATGGAGGCCTCCTGGTACTGCTGGTACTCAGAGACCAGATCGTTCATGTTGCTCTCAGCCTCAGTGAACTCCATCTCGTCCATACCCTCACCAGTGTACCAATGCAAGAAAGCCTTGCGACGGAACATGGCCGTGAACTGGTCACCGACACGCTTGAACAGCTCCTGGATGGAGGTCGAGTTACCGACGAAGGTGGACGACATGCGCAGGCCACGCGGGGGAACGGAGCAGAGAGCGGTCTGGACGTTGTTGGGAATCCACTCAACGAAGTAGCTCTGGTTCTTGCTCTGGATGTTGCGCATCTGGTCCTCAACCTCCTTCATGGAGACCTTACCGCGGAAGAGTGCCGAGCAAGTGAGGTAGCGGCCGTTGCGGAAGTCAGTGGCAGCCATCATGTTCTTGGGGTCGAACATCTGCTGGGTCAGCTCAGCAACGCTGATCTGGCGGTACTGGTGGGAGCCACGGCTGGTCAGGGGAGCGAAGCCGACCATGAAGAAGTGCAGACGCGGGAACGGAACCATGTTGACAGCCAGCTTGCGCAGATCCGAGTTGAGCTGACCGGGGAAACGGAGCGAGGTGGTGACACCGGACATGACGGCCGAGACCAGGTGGTTCAGATCACCGTACGAGGGCTGGGGGAGCTTGAGAGTACGCATGCAGATGTCGTACAGAGCCTGAATGCGTTAGTACAGACCTCCGCTCCAGAATTGGCACGACAAACCTCGTTATCGATACAGAAAGTCTCGTCAGAGTGCTCAACCAGCTGGTGAACGGAGAGAGTGGCGTTGTAAGGCTCAACAACGGTGTCCGACACCTTGGGCGAGGGGACGACCGAGAAGGTGGCCATCATGCGGTCGGGGAACTCCTCACGGATCTTGGAGATCAGGAGGGTACCCATACCGGCACCGGTACCACCACCCAGGGAGTGGGTGATCTGGAAACCCTGCAGGCAGTCGCAAGCCTCGGCCTCACGGCGGACGACGTCGACGACCTGGTCCACCAGCTCGGCACCCTCGGTGTAGTGACCCTTGGCCCAGTTGTTACCAGCACCGGACTGGCCGAAGATGAAGTTATCGGGGCGGAAAAGCTTGCCGAAGGGGCCGGCACGGACGGCATCCATGGTGCCAGGCTCCAGATCGACCAGGACGGCACGGGGAACGTAGCGGTCACCGGAGGCCTGGAATGATATTAGATTGTATCAAGTGAGACTGGGGGGAAGGCCACCCACATGGTTGAAGTAGACGTTCATGCGCTCCAGCTGCAGGTCGGAGGCACCATTGTAGCTGTCAAAACATCAGATGTTGTGTCCCATACCCAAACCATCACATTGTACTCACTGGCCATCGCCATCGAGGCCGTGCTCGCCAGAAATGTTCTGCCTGTAGTCCTGTCAGTCCCTTGTCGATCGAACAAGAATGCAATGGCCACGAGGCCAGATCCTGCACGTACCAGAAAGCGGCACCAATTTGGTTACCCTACAACCACACCCGATTTAGTCACCCAGACACATTGTTTATTCCCCCAGACACGTCTCCTCGTCGGAATTGTACTTACACACTGGCCGGTTTGAAGGTGCACCTAAGAAAAGTTGTCAGTTCAAAATGTTGAGGTTGAACAGGTGGGGTCTGCATTCAGGGGCCGGGGGGTGGGAGGAAAAACAAAGGACGCGTTTCTCGCCAGGGAGTCGGTCCGTCAGGGGAGGGGGAGGACGTACGATCTCACGCATTGTGGAGGTAATGTTTCCTGGAGCGGTAGACGGGTTTAAAAAAAAAGGAGGATGATGGAAAGAAGAGAGATGGGAAAGGAAGGAAGTTGAGCGGTGTGTGTGTGCGTGGGGATCAACAACACACGCTCAGGGGGATGCCCAATCCGGTAAGACCGGGTCACGGGACCGGGAGCGAACCACCGGTTGGGATGATGTGGAGCGCGTTGGAGGGCGTAGTGTACATAGTGAGCTATACTACCGACTGATCCAATGACCTCTTACGTCGCCCGATTCTCAACCACCCGCGAGCTCTCCAGCCATGTGCCAAACTCATCCAGCCGCTGGTTCTCATCCTCATCCTCCGCATCAATGCCCCGCTCCGCCATATCCTCTAGAGCCGCGCGCCGTTCATTGGTCTTCTTAAATTTCTCACGCCCTTCGGAGATATAGGCCTCGACCTGAGTTCCTCCAAAGAAGCGGCCACCCATGACCTGGGGGGAGGGATATCAGTAGGGTCTCAGGGCATTCGGTAGGAGAGACGACTCACCTGGACGCACTGGCGGGCAGCGTCGGGGTCCGTGAAGCGCACGCTCACCACCCCCTCCGGTTCCTTGTCGTAGAGAACCACGTTGGTCACTTCGCCAATTTTCGAGCATTCGTCGCGGATATCCTGTTTGATGTCGAGGATGGCGCCCGCATCCTCCTGCGTCTGGGTGTCAGCCTGTGACATGCAGCAAGAAGCAACACACCCTACATACCTCTAGTTCCTTCAAAGTAAACATATGTTTCAGGATCACCACTTTTTCCATTCGTGATGTCGTGTCGGGGAGTACAGACGGGTCATCATCATCCCAATCAGCGAGTTTACTGCAGGCAGCAATTAGTATCAAAAGCTCACAATCCCCAAACGCAATGGACATACTTGTTCAACTTCTGTGTCCGTGCAATAATCTTCCGCTTATCTCTCATATTGGTCTTGGGCGGCGCCTCCTTCTGGCTCTTGAACGAAAAATCGGCCGCCTGAACCCTCATCGGCCCAAGGGGTCCAGTCACTCCAAGCCGGAAATCCGAATCGTCCAGCATCTGAATCGCCAGGTTGACCGACTCCGGCCGAAAGTAGACGACCAGCACCTCGCCCTTGAATTTCCCGTCATCGTCCGTATACATTTTGATCCGTGGTCGCCCGCTGTCGATCTCTTCGGCGATGACGCCGCATTTTGAAAAGGTGTGCAGGATCTCCTCGAGCGTGGCATCCAATGGAACCGAGGTCACGAAGACAGCCGTGTTCACGCGCTGCTTCTTGACTTTTTGTGCCTGTCCTCCGAGTCACAGGGATTAGCATAGGCTATGTCTAGAGGGAGAGCAACAAATGCGTTCACTTACATCCTCACCACCCTCGGGCTGTTTTCGCTTCTTCCTATCCCGCGCAGTAGTCTCTTCTTCCTCATCCACACCTGCAACCCTGTACGCTTCTTGCTGCTGGCGGAGCAGATCTTCATCGACCTGCACTTCGCATTAGCGTTCAAGCTCCCAATCATGGAATGCGCGCGCATGCTTCCCGACGTCCACGCAGTCGAGATTTGCAGATGCCGCCGCGAGAAGTATCCATACCGTCTGAACCCAGCGCTTGATCCCCGAGTCGAATACAAACTCCTGCCCATCGTCGGTCTCCAGAATGAACTTATCGTCCAGTTTCGAGAATGAAATGCGTGGGTCGTTGTCGAATTCCGAGGGGTCCTGGGGGAAGTTGCGCGACGGCGCATCTGCGCCGTTTTCGGGGCTCGGTGAGGCCATCGAGGGCTGTGGAGGTGTGCGGGAGGGAAGGGTGGACGCTGACTGCAGCAATGATCGGAGGGAAGCTCGAGCTCTCTCGATTGCGGGCCAAAAGACCACTGCAAACAGTGCAAACAGCCCCAATACTATGTACAGACAGGCGAACTCCTACTGCGTATGCTTGATAAATAAAATAATGGATTTTGATTGAAGTTTTGACATTGAAATTAGGGTATCTGGAAGAACAAAAGAAGAAATCTAATTAAACAAGGTGTGGTGGCCCATGACTACGTGTTAAGTTTGAAGATGCCGCGATCAAGTAGACGGCTTTTCAAACGATATGGGAACCTCACCGGTAGGCGTGACAGAACGCTTGGAGCTGTCATCGCCACCCTCAACGCCGTTAACGATATCGCGGGTGATCTCAACATAATCATACTGCAAACCAGTTAGATGTGTTATATGCTGATGAAGGAAGCAAAAACTTACAGCGAACTCGCCAATCTCGGCGTCATCAATACCCATGATCTCATCCTCCTCCGGAGCACGCAGACTCATACCAGGAATGAGGTTGAGGATGAACAGGATGAGACATGTCCCGAAGAAAGAGTAAGCAAACCCAGAGACGGAGTCGGCAAGCTGGTAGCCCAGCTGGATGTAGTTGTGGTTGATCCAGCCGCCGGGGATCACGGTTACACCGTCCAGATGCGCAATGTAGTCACTGGGAGTTAATGGTAAGCTTAATGGTCAAGTAACAGACAAGAAAATACTCACGCAGCAAAGAGACCAGTCAGAAGGTTGCCAACCAGACCGCCGATGGTGTGGACCGCAAAGATATCGAGGGCATCATCAATGCGCAGCAGGAACTTGAGCTTGGTGGCATAGTTGCAGGCAATAGCGCCAACGACACCATAGATAAAGGCCGCCCACGGGGTCACGAAGCCTGATCCAGGAGTAATAGCAACCAGGCCGGCGATGACACCCGAACAGAAGCCGACAGTCGACCACTTCTTCTCCAGCCGGTAGTCGAGGAGACACCAGGTGACGCCGCCGACGGAGGCCGCCAGATTGGTCACGACAGCAGCCATAACGGCGCGGAGGTTGGCAGCGAGGGCAGAGCCGGCGTTGAATCCAAACCAACCGACCCACAGGAAGACGGTGCCGATCACAACGTGAGTGACGTTGTGAGGACGGTAGTTGAGCTCGTGGGTGCCATGGCCACGGCGCTTGCCCAGCATCAACGAGTAGGCCAGGGCAGCAGAGCCAGAGGCAATGTGCACCGGGGTGCCGCCGGCAAAGTCGAGTCCTCCCATTTTATACACCCATCCCGAGGCATTCCATGTCCAGCAGGCAATGGGGTCATAGATGATAGTCGTCCAGATGAACATGAAGACAATGCAAGGGAGCATACGACCTCGCTCGGCGACTGCGCCGACTGCCAGGGCAACCCTATAACACACTCCCGTCAGCGACTTGCTTTCCTGGGGAGCGTAAGAGAGATACTCACGTAATTGCAGCAAACATGCCCTGGAAAATGGCGAACAGAAGATCCGGGACCTTGGTACCGCCGACCGAGGGGGCAGCCAGGACATTTCTAAAGCCAAAGTTCTGGAGGTCGCCGATGAACTTGCCCGCAGTGTGAGAGAAGGCCAGTGAGTAGCCCCAGAAAAACCACTGGAACGAAACGACGCCGACCGACATGATGGAAAGCCAGATCAGGGAGAGGGCTGACTTGCGACGGGCCAGACCAGAGTAGAAGAAACTAGCAGAATGGGTGTCAGTGAATCTTTGTATCAGGCAGTCATCACAGGAGTATCCATACCCAACCCCGGGAATCATGAGCAAGACCAGGGCGGACGAGGTCACTACCCAAGCAATATCACCAGCCTAGACTCGGTATTAGCTAACAGGACCGACCCTCATCGCGGATGATGCCTACATTGTAGTAGATGTTCAGGTCCTGAGTGAGCGAGTCACCGCCAGTCCCGACAGCAGACCCATTGTAAGTCACTGGGTAGGCCGACATGGTGAAACCCAGATGAACGGTTCGTGTGAGGTGTCACAGATCTTGAGGAGAGGGTAGATGCAGGTGTGGAGAGGTGTCAGAATGGAGAAGATCCGCGCAAGATCTGGAAGAAGAATGTTTCACAGTCGGTAAGAGAACAGGGACAGGCTGATCAATAAATACGAACGGCCAAGCTCCACCGGAGGGAAACCCCGGACCAGAGATGGCGAGATAGTCCCGGGGATGGTCATTGCAATTGATGATATGAATCAGCTCCACGGGCATTATCAGCGAGCCAAGACCGCCCGGTTGACAAGCGGAGGATTACGGGTCCCACCAAGGGAGCTAGATATAGAACACGATCGATCGATGAAAATGGGACCTGAATCGCCGGCAGGAGTTGAGTTCATGCGGTGTTATTCTCCCAGCCTCCAGCTTCTCTCTTGCATGTATTCTTCGAAGCACCAAACGCACTAACTCAGGAACCTGCTCCCTTCGCGATACTCCCCGGGGGGACCTGGATCTCGTCCGATTGATTCTGGCAGAGATAAGGAGGATCGAGCATCACTGGCTATAGATATGGTCTGACGCGGGCCAATCAGGATCCACTACGCTTATCGTCCCTCCAAAGGGTCGATGTTCGACAATGTGTTCATCCAGATGGTGAGTGCCTTCTTGTCATCTTCAGAATACCGACTAACTAGATCGTCAAGGTGCAATTGCGATGTCCTCCCTCGATTGATCTCGATCCTCCAGCAAGGACAGCGCAATGGCCATGGGGTGATGTCCCTTATCTCGGGTTATCTCGTGCCAGGCTCGCCAATCAGCAACGCGGCAACTCCGGCCTTATCGCGCGAAGGGGCTGGATCACATTGCTTTCTCAGCTTTTTGTTCCAAAGGCATCTATCTCCATTTATTCGTTTGCCGCCGCTGACGGCCTGACTAATGATAGTTTCCGAAAGATCCCTCCCTGCGGACTCCGAAACACGGATGAACGAACGCTGTCAGCGATAATCTGACCCACAGTTTCGATGAGCATATTCTCTGACATTTCCATCCTGCCGGTAGATCCATCCGTATCTATCCACGGGCTAAACCAAATCTACCGCTTCGGCGCATCGATCACCGGAGAGAATATGGGGAACCAGAGAAGTACAGGGTAGGGTTAGCCTGTCACGTGCATGGCAGTTCCCCAGGCATCATCTCGTCAGCTATCCGGCCCCAGTAGTTAGTTATTTCAAGGATCTTCGGAGCAAGATGGCTGCGGGCAAACCTACTCCTTTCATGCGATGAGCTCATTACCGGGGAATGAATACAACAACCCAATGTGGTTACACGCCAGACTGAGATCGGGGCTGTAACCTTCCTTGTGGAGAATATATGTCTCAATATACTCATTGGGGATGGTGCTAAAAGCACGAGCTTCTTCCAGCAGTAGAGAATTGAAGTGATACCTAAAAACAACTCGACTAGCCGTTACGGAGCACAGATGTCACCGACACTACCTGGGTACAGATGGCATTTCCACCGGGTCCACTGATCGACGGGACTTGCTTCTGGATGCTCACTATTCCACGAATGAGAGACGGTAGAGATGAAATCAACTGTGCTGTTACGTACTTGGTCCTTGTTGTGAACCTTCCCTGATGTTGGATGCAATCCCTGTTCGACGCTACCCACTAGGGAATTATTCTAATCCTGTCGGCTGATCCTAACCCGAGCCCGGCCACTTCACAAACGACGAGCTGCCACGTGTGTCGTGTTGAGATCATGGTTAATCAATCTCTTGCAATACAGTATACGCGGCCGCCAATGTGAGGTCCTCATAGGTCCGCCTACCCGCCGCCAAAACAGGATCTGGGGGTTGCGCCACACTCACCGCCACACTTGGACGCACGCCCCTATCGAAACTCGCCAGTCACACTTCATCCTCCTCTCCAGATGATCAACCCCCATCCCCATGAACATGGAGCATCCCGACATGAACCATGACTCCGATGGCTCGGGATCCTCGGACGAGTTCCCTCCTCAGTATCCCTTGAGGGCCAACAACTACGAGGTCTTCGACGTCCCCGTCCAAACCCCGTCCACTCTCACCTCCTCCCCTCCGTCTCATTCCCCCAGCCTGGCCTCATGGTCCTCTACTCCCACGACGCGTCCACGCGGCGCTAGTCTCGGCGCTGCCTCCACTCTCGACAAATCCGATGGTCTTGCGATGGGAGGCGACATTCGACTTCAACGCCCGTCTGGCCCGGCACGGACACCCTCCAACACTTACGCTCCGCAACGGCGGCCACCGGCATACATCAGCCTCCAGAGCGACCGTCAGCGATCCTCATCTGCCAAACGGAGCTCTCGGCGCGACCCGAACGCGCAGTACCGCGCCCAGGAGAAGGCCTACGTCCAGCGCATTCGCGCCAACCCGGGGGCTTGGTACCACCACTTCAGCGAAGCGCAGGCCTCCAATATGACTGTAGCCGATGCAGACCTGGAGGATCCCTCCCCGTCCTCGGAGGCACCTTTCGACGAAGAAGCCTACGACCCTGATACCCAGCTTTTCCTCCCGGACGACAACCAGCCGACGATGGAAGAACTCAAGGAACCAAGGAACCAAGAACGACTGGAGTGGCACTCGATGTTGGCTTCGGTGCTCAAAGGCGACGTCGTGAAACAAGAAAAGCAACGGATGATTGGAGCTACGGAATCCAATCGGTCGGCTGCACAGAGCCAAGCGCTTTGGATTGGTGTCAGAGCGAGGACATGCGGTCGGAGTATTCCATTGCAGTGGAAAGTCATCGAAGACGCAAGGACTCACGTTGCCCCTCTGATCGAGGATATCATCAACTTCCAGATCAAGGGCGAGACAGAGATTGGCAAACCGCCGCGACAGCAAGTCGAAGATATCGTGGAGAAGATTGAGCGATGCGAGACTCTTTATTCGTCACATAAAGAGATGGCAGCCGCTCACCCTCGTGTTGCCTCGGAAGAATTCTATTCGAGTTGGGATTCGATCTTTGCGTGGCACAATATCACGGCGTTGATTAACACCGAGCTTGCCGTGCTGCAAAGCTGGGTGGGAAATGATTCCCTTGATTTCAGCAAGCCAAGGGAGCAATCCGCCCAGAGTGACCTTTCCGACGAGTCATTCCTGGATCGCATCATGAAAGAGGACGGTCTGAAGACGCTACAGGGCGAGAAGAGCATGCTGAATGCCGTCAGTGATGTTATCCAGAAAGCCAAGAGCACCCTGATTGAAAATGCCGAGGCGTTTTCGAAACGACATTTGCCACCGTATATCGAGGAGCTGCTCATCCTGATCAACTTCCCGTCGCGGTTGATCCAGGAGATCATTCGGATGCGTCTCTCTTACGCCAAGAACATGAAGGACCCGGCCCAGCAGTCCCCTATCTTGGTGGACCAAATGATCTCCCAGTTCCAGATCTTGATGAAAGTGGCGGTCGAGATCAAGCAAAATTATCTCACCATCTCGAGTCCAGAGCCTAGCTGGGATCTTCCCCCGTGTGTCGACGAGAACTTCGACTCGGTGGTCCTGGATGCCATGAAACTCTACTTCAAATTGTTGAACTGGAAACTGAATGCCAACAAGAACACTTTTAAAGAGGCAGAGATCCTGGAACAGATGTGGGGTTTCTCCTACGGCATCGGTAGACAGCTCGAAAGCGGAGATATTGAAGTGGCCGAGCAATTTAGGTACGGCGTCCTTGCTCTTTTTGAACGGCTAATACTAATCAGATCACAGTGCCTTGACGGCCAAGTCACTCCAACGTCTTATGATCCACTTTGAGCGCGAGTTGGTCCCCCGACCGAAAGAAACGGTGTTAGACATGGATAAGCGGTACAAGAGCATCTTGGATTCCACACGCATTCGCCAACGGAAGCTGTACCGGTTCTCGAGGTTCCTTTGCCAACTTTTTGAGAATGCCACTGAGTATAACCTCAGTGCTGACATTGCGTATGAATTCTTCGAGGAACTGCTAGTGTCCGATCATTTCCTGGTCACCTCGCCAGACTCGGTTGGTCAGAAGGGCGTTTACTTGATTGCGCATCCTGCGCTGTGGAACCGCCCTGGCGACATTCAGGCCATTCTCGCCACTTCTTTCCGGGAAGATGAAACGTCCGAAGAGGCAGTCCATATTCCCTACTTGCTCGTCATCCGCCCAGAGAAACCGATAGGCTGGGCGGGCAAGGAGATGCAGGTAGGATTCTTGGAGCAGCCGACAGATGTGCGCCTGGGCAAGCTTCGCCTGGTAGTAGAAGGCATGCAAGAGCGATTGCAAAAAGCTCGGATTGAGCTGACCCAGCTTACCGGCATCCAGCTCGACATGGCCGTGGAGCAACGAGCGAACCTTGGCCGCGTGAACGTCGAACTCAACAAGATGAAGAAAATCGCCTTCAAGCTATCCATGGCCATCATGGACAGCGTTGCTGTCATCAAGGACCAGCTGCGCGAGAAGATTTGGGAGAACAATGATTTGATTCAGGCTTGCTACGCATTTGCAACCGAATTCGGTAAGCGTTCATCCAGCTATGTCGATCCCAATCGACGAGCCATGAACAGTGCTCGATTGGTTGAGTTGTCTCTCGACTGGGTCTCGTTCGTCTGTGATGAGTGCGACGCTGCCGACAGGAAGACCTTCAAATGGGCCGTGGCTGCTCTTGAATTCGCAATGGCGATCACCTCCGGCCGGCATCTTTTGTCTATGAATGATGGGCAATTTGGCCGTCTCCGGTCCAAAGTGGCGGGATGCATGTCACTTCTCATCTCCCATTTCGATATCATGGGTGCTCGATCATCTCTCGCAGCCCAGGTAGAGAAGCAGCGGATGGAGGAACGCGCTGGGTCCCGAAAATTGGGTTCCGGCCGGATTGTCAGTGACGAAGAAGCCTCGAAAATGGTTCGCGAGCAGTGGCTGGCGCGTGTGACGGAGCTTGAGGACCGCAGGGTGGAGGAAGATGCGAAACGCCAGGCGCTCGGACGCGTGCTGGAGGGCTCGAATGAGGCCGATCGGTCGCTCACAGTCCTCTCATCCTCGGCCACGAACGTTAATTTGCGGTGGCAGCAAGGCCAATTCATTGGAGGTGGCACTTTCGGCTCTGTCTATGCAGCCATCAATTTAGACAGCAATTACTTGATGGCGGTTAAGGAGATTCGCCTGCAGGATCCCCAGCTTATTCCCAAGATTGCTCAGCAGATTCGCGACGAGATGGGGGTGCTCGAAGTCCTGGATCACCCGAACATCGTCTCGTACCACGGCATTGAGGTGCATCGTGACAAGGTGTACATCTTTATGGAATACTGCTCAGGCGGTTCACTGGCTAGTTTGCTGGAGCATGGCCGCATCGAAGATGAGACAGTCATCATGGTCTATGCGCTCCAGCTCTTGGAGGGCCTGGCCTACCTCCACCAAGCGGGTATCGTGCACCGCGACATCAAGCCCGAGAACATCCTGCTCGACCACAACGGAATCATCAAGTACGTGGACTTTGGCGCTGCCAAGATCATCGCGCGTCAAGGTCGTACTGTGGCACCGATGGACGGCCCTACCGGCGGTGGCCTCAAGGAGCAGCCCATGCTCCCAAAGGACGGCCAGCATGCGAACCAGCGCAAGAACCAGAAGACCACCACGGGTACTCCCATGTACATGTCCCCCGAGGTAATCCGCGGTGACGCCTCCGCGCTGAGCAGCCACCAAGGCGCCATCGACATCTGGTCGCTGGGCTGCGTCGTCCTGGAAATGGCCACCGGCCGACGGCCCTGGTCCTCGCTCGACAACGAGTGGGCCATCATGTACAACATCGCCCAAGGCAACCAGCCCTCGCTGCCCTCGCGGGACCAACTCAGCGACTTGGGCATCGACTTCGTGCGCCGCTGCTTCGACTGTGATCCCCTAAAGCGTCCGACTGCTGCTGAGCTTCTCCAGCACGAGTGGATCGTCTCCATCCGTCACCAGGTTGTCTTGGAGCCGGCAACCCCGAACAGCGATCCAGGCTATAGCAGCTCCAGCTCGGCTAGCCGCCAGAATTCGACGTATATGTGATTCTTATCTTCTCTTTATGCATCTGCATTCTGCTCTCATAGCAGTCCGTTCTGATTTTACTTAAACCACGCTCGTTCGATCTCGGCTTGAACTATCCATTTTCAAATCGATTTCGCATGTGATACCCCAACTTTTTTTGGCCTTCTTCGGCTTGCTCTTCACGGGCCCCTTTCAATGTTTCAATAATGTTGCACCTTTTTCTTTATTTCCTTGATGTCTCTTCGCATATATGACCTTGGCTGAGTCCCGTGTTTCTTTGCATTTTTTGTCGTGGATTGTTGGGATTAATGAATGCTTGTATACGAAACGGGCTTCTACGGTTACTTCTGTTTGGTTTGCATAGCAGTGTCTGTACGTCAATAATGGTATCTGATTTGATTTTACCGTCTCCTATATTTTCAAGTCTTCAACATGGTGTAGGTTCTCGTTTACGCAACAGCCAACGATGCTTGACAGTAATAGCCCGTGTATCTCTCTCTACAACTCCAATGGATCAATGGTAGTTGACAGCAGTGAACCGAAGAAAAATACTGGGTAAGTGGACGAGAAGAGATGAGACGAGAGAGAGCAGTCCGCAGTGCTGCTGAAGACTAACATTTTCCTACAAGAAGCCCTAGCGGCCCCAGAATAGTCAACCTTGAAACCCGAGGCAAATTAAAAACAGACAATCACACAAGAGCAGAAGTTCGTTCAATTAAAAAAAAGGGAGTTAGTAAGAGATAAGAAGATCCAAACTCGAAACAGAGGTGAGTGGCAGACCAGTTCGCCAGAAAAGGGAAGGGCAAAAGAGAACAGTAAACGCCAATTTCCCAAAGATCGTGAGGCATGAGATAAAATTCTGAACGGCAGATCCGAACAAAAGAGGATAATGTATGAACAGCTGTATGGCATGTGGCAGCTTGGTTGGGATGGAGGGAGGAGATATGTTACTGGTTCAAACCCGAGGCATGGGGAGAACAAGATCAAGATCAGGAAGATGGCACGGAGATGAATGGAAACCACGGAGTGAGGTACAGCCAGGTATCAATCCGAGAATCAAAAACCAAGCATCTTGTCAAGTAAGAGCAAACCAGGAAGCACAGCTTAGCCGTGGCAGTCCAAAGACGCACAGAGAGAGAGAGAGAGAGAGAAAGAAGAGAAGAACAGTAGAGGGTATCGAGAGGAAGAGACAGAAACAAAGGATCAGCTTGCAGATCGGCGCCAGCAGTCAAGTTCGGGGACCTTAGCGGAACTCGACTGCTGGCGCGCATCCACGATCCTCTACATGCTTGAGCTCAAGCTGTTGGAATCTGTCAAGGCAACAAATTGCAGTCAGTATACCGTGGTCACTAACAGTTGAGATATCATACGTACCGCTCGCTCTTTGCATGGAAGTACACGCCGCTCACGGTTCCCGCGACCTGGTTGAAACAGATGTAGTAGAATCCCTCAAAGCTGGCGCCGGAAATGGTGCGCACGCGATGGTCGGGCACAAGGAAGTATTCTTTCCATCTCATAAAGACGTGCTCACGTTGGGCGAAGTTGCGATATGTAAAGTCCGTTCGTTTCGCCTGCTTCGCCAGGGGTCGCCACGCCGCGAACCGAGACCAGTGGTGCATGTCAGTTTTCTCCGTGGCGCCCCATGCCTCGTTACGAGTTTGGAAAGTATGCTTGGTGCCAATGATCTCTCCTTCAAAAAATGTAGTCAAGGTAGGGTGATCCTCGGTAAGACCTGAAGAATATCAGAGCGAGTCCGAGACGAAGTGTGAAGCCGGCGGTACAAACCTTGGATGCGAAGGTAGCCGCATAGATAGGACTCGGCCATGTCCACATGTTTGATTTCCACATCAACATTATAGACCTGGCGATCCGACTGCTGCGTGCCGACAAACTTGCTTCCCGAGCGCAGAAAGGAAGAGGTATGATTTGGCAGAAGCTGGGGGGATGGTCAATTGAGAGTGGCGGCGGGGTGGTCGCGTGGGTTGGGCACATACCCTCACATTGGAAAATTCATAACGAAGCAGCGACGAGTTTGCCGGCGTGACCGACGACTGACCGCGCGCACACGATGATGATTCGGTGGGAGAACTGGATCTGCCAGGCCCAGTCTCATCATCGGCAGACATCTTCCTCTCCACCTTCAGCGGATCCGTCGGCAGCGGCGAACCGCCATCGTCGGATCGGCTCAGGACGGACGGGGCAGCGATGCTTTCGGGGGAGAGAACATTGTCGATCGTGTCGCTGGAAAGCGTGGAGTCCGGAGAGTCTCTGCGGGCCGAGATTCTGTCGAGTTCGGGAGGACAGGTTCGGGCGGAGATCACCTGGGCGATGGATGGAGGAGCAGGCGGTTGGTTGTTGCTCGGAGTGGGCATTGAGGGCGGGTCAGGGCAAGAAGCGAAGGGCACATCGGACCGAGACGAGCGAAAGAGAATAAGGAAGAAGTGTTCGCAGATGGGAAGAGCAACGGCCCGGGTTGGTTGGATTTGGGTCATGCGAGCGCGGGGGTGGGAAACGGGTGCCTGAGGCAGAAGCCTTACTCGACAGTCTCGACTACAGAAGGATGAGATTCATTTTTGCTCGTCGCCACTACATAGTCCTGATCCTGATGAAACGCCCGGTGTATAGTTATCGTAAGCAAAAGAGAAAAAAAAAAAAAGGTAACAACAACAGCCAATGTGGTCGCCCGGACAGCGTTTAAATAGGCTTGATCTATAGGGCTGTCAGGATAGGTCGGTCAAAGCAGAAGACGCGGAAGCATACCTTGAAGTGCAGGGAAATCAAAGAGAAAATCAGCGCCTTCAGATCCTGCACGAGGTAGTAAAACACTCGCAAGCCCTCCGGGTCCGCCGATTCGGTCACATCGACCAGAGAGCCGATCTTCGCAGTCTACACAACCCAAAGTCAGATATATTTCTCTCTCTCTCTCTCTTGCATGACACGCGAACATACCTCAAATGAAATGTGCTCATTCCCAATGCGAATCTCTAGCTCCTGGCGTCCGTCCTTGTTCTTCTGCGGCCACTTGGAGTCGTCCTCTCTGGGTGCCTTGGTCAGCGCAAAGGTTCCTCGGCCCTTGCAGGGGGGAATTGGACCACGTACTTCATGATCTCGCTATCCTTGATAATGCGCTTCACCTCCTGGATCATCGCAGCGCTCACGCACACTAATCCCTCGTCAACTCGAGTCTGCACCTGGGTGTGGTTCCATCACTCACTCTCTTTGCGGATCAGGGAGTCATTGCGGTAGTTGGAGTTGTTCGCATATCGCACGGCGGCGCTGCTGCCATCTGCGATGGTCCGGAGGTCGAATTCTGTTCTACAAGTCAGCGACAAGCATCCAGCGAAGCGATTGCGGGGGGACACACCGAGGAACTCATGGCCGAACCGCCCAGAATGACCGGAGCTGCGGGCCTGTCAGCAACTGAGTATACCAGAGCAGCACCATCACCTACTAGTATCGAATGTAGAAGGGGTCGTTTTGCGACATTTTGGCAATTGACAAAGGGCAGCAGTGGTGTCCGCGAGAAGGAAAAGAGGCGGGCTTAGTCATCCACACAGACGGGCCACGCATGGACAAGTCGACCTGTTTCCCCCCCACAAGTCAAGTCAACCAAAGCCAACTCACTCTCCGCCGATGATTCCACGGGCGAGCGCTGTTGGTCTGCTCTAATTGCTCGTTCGTGACATTGGTCTTGCCTCCTGTCCCTGGAGGACTCACCCTGGTGTGTCCGACCCACCTCCCCTTCGAAAACAAACACGTTGAACTAACCACTGGCAGCTCCCCTTCCCTCCCATCGCCTCCTCCCCCCATCCATCATGGCGTCGTTTCTCGAAAATACGTACAGCCTGGTCCATATGGACAACACGGCGGACCAGCCGACTATACAGGAGCTGAAGCTGCAGCTGGAGAAAGGCACCGACGAGACCAAGATGGAGACAATGAGGACAATTGTTACGATCATGCTCAATGGGGATCCCATGGCGCAACTGTTGATGCACATCATTCGCTTTGTCATGCCCTCCAAGAGCAAGGCGCTGAAGAAATTGCTGTACTTCTACTACGAGATCTGCCCCAAACACGATTCGAGTGGCAAGCTGAAGCAGGAGATGATCTTGGTGTGGTAAGGATGCATTGCGCTCCCCCTTCGCTATAAGCGGTAGACTCACAAATCTTGCAGTAACGGAATTCGAAACGATCTGCAACATGCCAATGAATACATCCGAGGCAACACCCTTCGCTTCCTGGCCAAACTCCGCGAGCCCGAACTGATCGAGCCCCTCCTTTCGTCGGCCCGCTCGTGTCTCGACCACCGTCACGCCTACGTCCGCAAGAACGCCGTTTGGGCCGTGGCGTCCATCTTCCAACACTCCGAGTCTCTCATCCCCGACGCCCCGGAACTCATCCAGACCTTCCTCGAGTCGGAGAATGACCCCACGTGCAAGCGCAATGCCTTTGCGGCCCTCATGTCCATCAGCCACCAAAAGGCGCTGGAGTACCTGGCAACCACGTTTGACAGCGTTCCCAACACGGACGAGTTGCTTCAATTGGCCGAGTTGGAGTTCATTCGCAAGGACGCAGTGCAGAATACCCAGAACAAGGTTAGTTTAGCCATGTCAACGCCAATCGCATAGCATCACTAAAAAGCAACAGGCACGGTACTTGAAATTGATCTTCGATCTCCTCGATGCCCCTACCAGCACCGTGATCTACGAGGCCGCGACCTCCCTCACCGCTCTCACCAGCAACCCCGTCGCCGTCAAAGCCGCCGCGGGCAAATTGATCGAACTCGCTATTCGGGAGGCCGATAACAATGTCAAGCTTATCGTGTTGGACCGTGTGGACCAGCTGCGGATCCGCAATGAAGGTGTTCTGGATGATTTGACTATGGAGATTCTGCGTGTTCTCACCAGCCCGGATATCGATGTTCGGAGAAAGGCCCTCGGCATTGCTCTGGAAATGGTCTCGAGCAAGAATGTTGAAGAAATTGTGATGCTGCTTAAAAAAGAGCTTTCCAAGACCGTGGATGAGCAATATGAACAGGTAGGTCGCCCAGCCATTGTGGATATGCCGGTCGTGCTAACGTCGTCTATAGAACAGCGAATACCGCCAACTCTTAATTCAGTCAATACATAACTGCGCCATCAAATTCTCGGAAATTGCCGCTAGCGTCGTCGATCTTCTGATGGACTTCATTGCCGACTTCAACAACAACTCCGCCGTTGACGTGATTTCCTTCGTCAAGGAGGTTGTTGAGAAATTCCCTAAGCTGCGTGCGGGGATTGTCGAACGTCTCGTCTCGACTCTGAGCGAGGTTCGGGCTGGAAAGGTCTACCGTGGTGTCCTTTGGGTTGTCGGAGAATACTCCTTGGAGGAGAACGACATTCGGGAGGCCTGGAAAAAGATCCGAGCCAGTCTTGGGGAAATTCCCATCTTGGCTTCGGAGCAACGGCTGCTTGATGAGGTCCCCGAAGACAATGCTCTTCTTACGCAAGAGCAGCCGAACGGTCATGCTAAGGCTGCAACCCCGTCTGGATCGCGGAAGGTGTTGGCGGATGGAACATACGCGACAGAGAGCGCTCTCACCAGCCAGTCTGCCGCAGCCGCCCGACTGGAAGCCGTCAAGGCAGCCCAAAAGCCGCCTCTGCGTCAGCTCATTCTGGATGGTGACTACTATCTCGCCACTGTTCTCTCTTCGACCTTGACCAAGTTGGTGATGCGGCATTCCGAAGTTTCGCAGGATGCCGCCCGTACCAATGCCCTTCGCGCCGAGGCGATGCTTATCATGATCTCGATCATGCGCGTTGGCCAGTCACACTTCGTCAAGGCTCCCATCGACGAGGACTCTGTGGACCGCATAATGTGCTGCGTGCGCTCTCTGGCCGAATTCTCGGAGAAGAAGGATCTCGAGACCACCTTCCTCGAGGACACCCGCAAGGCCTTCCGTGCCATGGTTCAGGTGGAGGACAAGAAGAGAGCCGCCAAGGAGGCTTCGGAGAAGGCAAAGAGTGCTGTACAGGTTGACGACGCCATTCCAATTCGACAGTTCACCAAGAAGAATGCCACGGAGGGGGCAGAAGAAATTGAGCTGGATCTCGCCAAGGCCACGGGCGGCGAAACCATCGTGGAGAACGTCTCCTCGAAGCTGAGCCGGGTGGTGCAACTAACTGGTTTCTCCGATTCAGTTTACGCTGAAGCCTACGTTACGGTTCACCAATTTGACATTGTCCTAGATGTGCTGCTGGTCAACCAAACCGCCGAGACCCTGCAGAACCTGTCCGTGGAGTTTGCGACTCTCGGAGACCTCAAGGTGGTTGAACGGCCGTCGACACACAACCTGGGTCCGCGCGACTTCCTGAACGTGCAGGCAACGGTCAAGGTGTCGTCGACCGACACCGGTGTCATCTTCGGCAACATCGTGTACGATGGCGCCAGCTCCACCGAGACCCACGTGGTCATCCTCAACGACATCCATGCGGACATCATGGACTACATCCAGCCGGCGCAGTGCACCGAGACCCAGTTCCGGACCATGTGGACCGAGTTCGAGTGGGAGAACAAGGTCAACATCAACTCCAAGGCCAAGACCCTACGGGATTTCCTCAAGCACCTGATGGAGAGCACGAACATGGCGTGCTTGACGCCCGAAGCGTCCCTCAAGGGCGACTGTCGGTTCCTGAGCGCCAACCTGTATGCGCGGAGTGTATTCGGTATGTCTCTCTGTCCCAACTTTCAACCGGTTACTAACTATGTGTGCAGGCGAGGATGCCCTGGCCAACCTGAGCATCGAAAAGGAGGGCGAAGACGGGCCAATCACCGGGTTCGTGCGGATAAGAAGTCGGTCGCAGGGCCTGGCACTGAGCCTGGGCTCACTCAAGGGGCTGAAGGCCGCCGCGGCAGCGTAGTAGAATGCAACCCTAACTATATCTTTACTTACTTAGTCCCCTGCTCAATTCCTCGAGACGAATGTGTTTATTTCCTTTTTTCTGTTCTCCCTGTTCTTCTCTGGAGTCGGTTAGTAACTAGGTCGTGGATAGAAAAACAATTTGATCTAGGTCCTTCCTTAACCCAACTTCTTATCCACCCACTAATTAATTCTTGACACCCCCGATTGGGGGCCACAGTCATCATCAGCCGCGGGTTCCCGGTGGAGACACAGGCAAGCGAGAGACACCTTGCTTTCTTTCCCCTTTCCTCTTCTTCCTCTGGATTATTATTATTCTTAGCTGTATACACTTATATCTTCTTAGTCTGCCATGCTTTGACCTGCTCTCCGCTCCAAAATGTCCGCTACCTCCCCCGCGCCCGACCAGCCCCTGCTGCGCGACGCGGCCGTGATCGTCGACACCTCGGTCTCCCTCACGCTCGGCAGCGACTCGCTCTTGGTCGTCGGTAAGAACTGCGCGCCTGTCTCGGTACCTTATGCATCACTGACCATGCACACAGATGAGCGCTTCGCTCGCAAACCGGACCGTAGCTGCTGTGGATTATGCAAGTCCGGTACGTCAGACCGTTATTTCGGTGGCCTCTCGATGGCCGATCATTCGCGCCTCGACGAAGCTTATTATTGCCGTGCCCGCTGACATTTTCCTATACAGAATCAGAGACCAAACACACCATTGCCCTGCTCAATGTCCTCGATGCCGAATTGAAGTCCTCCAACCTCGTCATCACCTATGCGCGCCCCGCGGGCAAGAACGAAGTCTCCGTCGCTACTCTGGAGTACCCCGTTAGCCAGAAGGAGAGCGCGACGATGGAGACGTGGGTCCGCAAGTTGATCGACCGTGCGTATGGAAATGCGCAGCGTAGGAAGAGGCTGAAGGTCTTGGTGAATCCATTTGGTGGGAAAGGAACTGCTTCCTATCTGTTCGGGACTTATGCGGCGCCGATCTTCGCCGCGGCCAAGTGCGAGATGGACGTGCAGGCCACCACCCATCGCGGACATGCGATTGAGATTGCGGAGCAGCTGGATTTGGATGCGTACGATGCTGTTATTTGTTGCTCGGGCGACGGGCTGCCGTACGAGGTTTTCAATGGATTGGGGAAACGGCCGAATGGCCGAGAGGCTCTGGCCAGAATGCCCGTTGCTCTGCTGCCCTGCGGCTCTGGGAACGGGATGACCTGGAACTGTTTTGGAACAGATAGCGTGTCTATCACGGCGGTGGAAATTGTCAAGGGACTCCGGACGCCGCTGGATTTGGTCTCCATCACGCAGAAAGACTCGCGAACACTGTCCTTCCTCTCGCAGTCGTTCGGCATCGTGGCGGACTCGGATCTGGGCACGGATAATATCCGATGGATGGGCGCGCAGCGCTTCACATTCGGGTTCCTGATCCGTCTAATGCAGCGCACTATATACCCCTGTGACCTGGCGATGAAGGTCGATATGAAAGACAAAACGGCCATCAAGGAACACTACGTGTCATTCAAGAATCGACCAGATGATCCTACCTCTGCCGACAGTGACCGCATAGAGGCTGCAAAGCAATCACCAAGTTTACCAGAGCTCAAGTACGGCACGGTGATGGACAAGCTCCCCGAGGACTGGGAAGTCATCCCTGGTGAAACCATGGGCAACTTCTACGCGGGCAACATGGCAATCATGACCAAGGACACAAACTTCTTCCCGGCCGCGCTGCCGAACGACGGGTTCCTGGACGTGGTCACCATCGACGGCATGGTCAGTCGCGCCTCGTCGATAAAGATGATGAACGAGATCACCACCGGCGGGTTCTTCGACATGCCCGATGTCAAGGTGCGCAAAGTCACCGCGTACCGCTTGATCCCTCACGAAAAGGAAGGCTACATCAGCATCGACGGCGAGCAGCTTCCCTTTGAAGCGTTCCAGGCCGAGATCCACCATGGCCTGGGCACCATGCTGTCCAAGTCGGGTCGGGTCTACGAGGCGGAGGGCCCAAGAGTATAGAATTTTTTTTTGTGTTGTTTCCTTCTGGGTCTTTGCCATCCCTCCATGATACCCTCGCGCAATAGACCCGGTGTCTAGTTTTGGTTTTTTTTTTTTGGTTGGCTCGCCGCTTCATAGCCCGAGATGCCTGGAAAGGCTCTTCGAGTGTCCAGTAGCCAGAAAGTGCCTTGTATAGTTTAAACACTATTTTCATTTGGTTGCAAAATGGGAACCTATGGATTCCCGTTTCCCGGTAGCTTTGCCTTTTTAGGTTTTGGCACGCCAATAGGTGTTAATTTCAAAACAATGCTATTGCTATCAAATAATGCTGGTCTAATAGGAACATATTCTACACTCACCCAATTAATCAGTCATCGCCAAACCCACCCCATTCTTGCTCGCTGTCTTCATCCTCCTCCTCTTCGACCTCCCTCTCCCGCACCCCCCACTCAACCAGTCGATCATCACCCAATGCCTCGGCCGCCCTCGTTCGCACAGGCTTGTAGGGACTCTCCGTGCGCAGTGTCTCCAGTGGCCGCAGAATCAACTCCACGGGGACATCGCCCTTGATCTTGCGGTTGCCTCCCTCAGTTTCTTCCTCCTCAAACTCAAGCACCTTCTCCAGTTCGTCAACCCAGATATCAACAACATGGTAGCGAAGTCCATCCGGGCCATGCGGCATAGGAACAAAATTAGGATCCCCTCCCTCCTCTGTCACAGGCTTGGAAGGCTGGTCTGGATCGAAGTTGCGCGGGCACAGCGGGCCCTCCTCAATGATGGATATGTAAGCCTCCAGATCGGCCCATTTGCCCTCCGATGTCTCGTCATCTTCTGCAATAGAGGCGGCTTTGGTCTCTTCCTGTTTCTTCTGCTTTTTCCCACCCTTTTTCTGCTTGGCGTCCTCTCGCTTACGCTTCTTCCCGTCTACTTGGTTTTGTCCAGTCTTCCGCTTCACAAAGATCTCAAATGCAACACCGACAAAGCACCGAATCAGAAACAGGTACTTGTCCAGCCGTAACCGATCAAGCGAGTGGAAATCGCGGCCGATGGTGATCCAGAAAGCGCGCAGGAAGCGGTGCACGGTTTGGTGGGGGAGGGAGGGGACGAGGGAGTAGGAGAGAGCGCGCGCGAGGGCTTGCTGGGTGAGAGGTCTGTCGGAGTGGTAGAAGCCTATTCATGTTGTTAATTTTGGTTCGGAGGGCTCTGAAACGGGCTTACGTACAGAAGAACAGGCCCTTCCACAGCTTGAGGAGGTCCACGAGGGTGAGATCGGTGCGTGAGCGGAGGAAGAGCGTTAGGGACTCGAGGGCCTTGTCGCGGGTCTTGCGGTCTGGTGTGTTCAATTAGCATTCATCATTCGGAGCAAGAGGACATGGGTGCATACCGCTCGAGGCGAGCTCCCTGACAAAAGGAGTCTTCTCGATCTCGGCCATTGTGTCTGTTGGTTAAGGAATTTGGTTATCGTTGCGATAAATTATTTTTTCAATAGATAGCGGGTTTGCACTGTTTGCCTGATATTTGGCCTCAGGCATCAACTGCAGATATGCTCAGCTTAGGGTTAGATGGAGCTTCAATTATGCCGTCATTGCTGTGTTGGATCTCCTCATTTCTCAATTCTACTACGGCTTATTGCATGGCTTGATTGATTCAGGTACACGATGGCCTCTGTGTTGCTGTTGACAGCTGAGCGCCTGCATCCGGCGATGCCAATACGATCCCGCTGGATATTGACATCACGACTTCCATATCCACCGAATGAGAGTATGCGAGCCCTGGAGACCCCAGTAATGTGGGCTGGATCAGGGTCGCATATCTCATGTTTACCCACCAGTGCTAGTCGTGCCACCTAGCCCGTTCTTGCAGATGTCATTGTCTCACCAGGGACATTTCCTGTCTGCTTCTTTCTGTTTGCTACTTCCCACTTACCTATCGCCTTCTCATCGTCAACATGGCTCAACAGGATGAAGAACAAGACAACGATGTGATATTCCAGCCCAGTTCCTCCCATGACCATCGTGTATCGCAGTCGAGCTCTGTTGCCACTTCCGAGACCGATGAACGGGTGTTCGAGCACTTCCGCCCGGAGGACCGCGCCGAGCTCACTCGCCTAGCGTCTAATTTTCCCGGGCACAATGCTGCTGACTCTGGGGTTGCTAGCATGGGAGGTGTCGAGCGTAAGGATACCCTGGATGGTCTCGAGTTGGGCGACCCTGTGCTCGATCCCACGAGCGACCAGTTCGACCATTACAAATGGGCTCGCATGATGCTCAAGCTTATGGATAGGGAGGGCGTTCCTATGCGCAAATCCACCGGTGTCGTGTTCGAGAATCTCAACATCTCTGGCACCGGCTCGGCACTTCAGTACCAGAACAATGTGGCTTCGCTGTTTATGGCACCCTTCAGGCCTCAGGAGTATCTAGCCTGCGGAAGTCGGGTGCCTCAGAAGCAGATTCTGCGGGACTTTGACGGTGTCCTCAAAAGCGGCGAGTTGCTTATTGTGCTCGGTCGCCCTGGTAGCGGTTGTTCAACTCTCTTGAAGTCTATATCCGGCGAGCTCCATGGCCTGAAAGTGGGCAAGGGCTCAGATATCCAGTACAACGGTATTTCCATGGAGAAGATGCACAAGGAGTTCAAGGGCGAGGTTGTCTACAACCAGGAAGTCGACAAGCATTTCCCTCACCTCACTGTGGGCCAGACGCTGGAGTTTGCAGCTGCCGCCAGGACTCCAGAGAACCGGCTGAACGGAATCAATCGGTTGTCTTACGCGAAGTACATCACTCAGGTCGCCATGGCTGTTTTCGGTTTGAGCCATACATACAACACCAAAGGTGCGTCTATCCTATTTTTGAACCAAGAAGAAGAAGAAGAAGAAGTTAACAGATCATTTAGTGGGAGATGACTACATCAGAGGCGTCTCAGGAGGTGAGCGCAAGCGAGTTAGGTGCGTAAACATTCATTGCATTCCTACTTCGTTTCTGACATTTGACTTAGCATTGCCGAGATGGGCCGTGAGTTAAACGTCCTCATATAAATAATTTAAAGTTAAACTAACCCTGTATCAGTCTCTGGAGCCCCCGTTGGTGCATGGGACAACAGCACTCGAGGCTTGGATTCTGCCAGCGCACTGGAGTTTGCCAAAGCACTGCGAGTTTCGTCGAATCTGACTGGGAGCTGCCATGCGGTTGCAATCTATCAAGCCTCTCAAGCAATTTACGATGTCTTTAACAAGGTCATCGTATTGTACGAAGGACACGAGATCTTCTTCGGTCCATGCAGTCAAGCCAAAGACTACTTTGTCGAGATGGGCTGGAAGTGTCCGCTGCGTCAGACCACCGGGGACTTCTTGACTTCTGTCACAAACCCCCAGGAACGTATTGCTCGCGAGGGTATGGAGGGCAAAGTTCCACGCACGCCCAGTGAGTTTGAGAAGTACTGGAAGAAGAGCCCTCAGTACGCTGCTCTGCAGAAAGAGATCGCCCAGTACCGTGAAGAATACCCTCTAGGTGGGACTGCCGAGAAGGACTTTGACGAGACGAAAAGGTTGCGACAGGCAAAGCATGTTCGGCCTAAGAGTCCTTATGTCATTTCTATTCCTATGCAGGTTCGACTGTGTACCAAAAGAGCTTACCAAAGGTTGGTTTCCGAGTCATTCGAATTTCTGGTACATCAGGCTGATGTTCGTCAGAATTTGGAACGACAAACCCTCTACTCTGACAACGGTTATTGGGCGAGTTGTCATGTCTCTGGTTATTGGATCGATCTACTTTGGGTAAGTCCATGGATCGCACTGTCAATGAACAGCTACTCACATGCTTAGAACGCCAAATGCAACCGTGGGGTTTCAAAGCAAAGGCGCTGCGTTGTTCTTCTCTGTTTTGTAAGTCTCGATAAAAATGCAACAGGATCTTGGCTCTGATACCCTCTAGGTTGAATGCTCTTATTAGCATCACCGAGATTAATTCGCTCTACGACCAGCGGCCTATCATCGAGAAGCAAGCTTCCTATGCTTTTGTTCATCCATTTACCGAGTCACTGGGCGGCATTGTCTCTGATATACCGGTCAAATTTGTGGCTGCTGTGGTGTTTAACATCATTTTCTACTTCTTGGCGAGTCTTGTACGTGATATCCCCCAGTCAAAATATTGAACAAGCTAACAACTTAAATGAAGCGACCCGAGCCTTCTCAATTTTTCATATTTTTCCTTTTTACCTTCCTCAGCACTCTTACAATGTCATGCGTCTTTCGTACACTGGCTGCTTGCACTAAAACTCTCGCACAAGCGATGTCCATGGCCGGCGTGATGGTGTTGGCGATTGTCATTTACACAGGATTCGTGATCCCAGTCCCAGAAATGAGCTCCATCCCCTGGTTCAGCTGGATCCGGTGGATAAACCCTGTTTTCTACACGTTCGAGGCGCTGATTGCCAACGAATTCCACGGCCGTCGCTTTGAGTGCTCTCAGTTCATCCCAGCCTACCCAGGTCTGAGTGGCGATTCCTTTATCTGTTCTGAGCGTGGTTCTGTGGCAGGCGAACGAACCGTTTCCGGGGATGCCTACATCCAAAGCCAGTACACTTACACGTACGCGCATGAATGGAGAAACCTGGGCATCTTGATCGGTTTTTGGATATTCTTTATGGTGCTCTATCTGGTTTCCTCAGAAATCAATTCAGCCACCTCTTCGAAAGCCGAGTTTCTGGTATTTCGGCGAGGCCATGTGCCAGCTCAACTCCGTCACCTTGACAAGGGCCAAAAAGGTACCACCGACGTGGCTGAAGTTAATATGGAACAAAAGAAGGAAAATGCGGAAAGGGATGCATCGGCCATTCCAGCGCAGCACGATATCTTCACATGGCGGAACGTCTGCTATGATATTCCTATCAAAGGTGGCGAGCGACGTCTGCTAGACAATGTCTCCGGCTGGGTCAAACCCGGTACACTAACCGCTTTGATGGGAGTATCTGGTGCTGGCAAGACGACTTTGCTCGATGTTCTCGCCAAGCGTGTCTCTATTGGCGTTGTCACAGGTGACATGTTTGTCAATGGCAAACCGCTGGATAACAGTTTCCAGAGAAAGACCGGTTATGTTCAGCAGCAGGACCTTCATCTCCCCACCACGACGGTGAGAGAGGCTCTCCGGTTCAGTGCGATGCTGCGCCAACCCAAGACAGTCTCCAAGCAAGAAAAGTACAACTATGTTGAGGAGGTGGTCGATATGCTCGGCATGCAAGACTTTGCCGATGCAATTGTCGGAACTCCGGGAGAGGGCCTGAATGTTGAACAGAGAAAGCTGTTGACTATTGGCGTTGAGCTGGCCGCGAAGCCAGCGCTTCTGATCTTCCTCGATGAGCCTACCAGTGGATTGGATTCGCAAAGCTCGTGGGCTATCTGTTCTTTCCTGCGCAAACTGGCCGAGCATGGCCAAGCTGTTCTGTCAACTATCCATCAGCCAAGTGCTCTGTTATTCCAGGTATGAGATCCCGCCACAGAGATGCATGTCCTTGCATGTCTTAGAATGCGAGCTAACGAAGAAACAGCAATTTGATCGTCTCTTGTTTCTTGCGAAAGGAGGAAAGACTGTCTACTTCGGAGAAATCGGAGAGCAATCGCGCGCTCTACTGGATTATTTTGAGAACAACGGGGCCCGGGTCTGCGGCTCTTCGGAAAACGTAAGACTCTGAAACATAGGATGGATGCTCTCATTGCTAATAGACATAGCCTGCCGAATACATGTTGGAGATCATTGGCGCCGGTGCTTCTGGCAAAGCCGACAAAGATTGGTCTCTGGTGTGGAACAACAGCTCACAAGCAAAAGACGTGCAGACGGAAATTGGTCTCATTCACGAGAAACGGGCATCGGTAGCCAGTACTGAAGAACCGGCCCAGCAGGGGGAATACGCAATGCCCTTCCGGTTTCAACTGTGGCATGTTACCCATCGTGTGTTCCAGCAGTACTGGCGAGAGCCGTCCTATGTTTGGGCCAAGATTCTCTTGGGAGCGCTGTCCTCGCTCTTTATTGGATTTACATTTTTCAAGCCCGATAGCTCTCTGCAGGGATTCCAGGATGTTCTGTTCAGTGCCTTTATGCTGACGTCTGTCTTCTCGACACTGGTGCAGCAGTAAGTAATCCGCCACAAAGACTTCTGCCGAGACTGACGTACCATTAGGATCATGCCCAAATTCGTTGTCCAACGTTCCCTATATGAAGTCCGCGAACGACCCTCCAAGGCGTACTCATGGGCCGCGTTTCTGATTGCAAACGTCATCGTCGAGGTCCCATGGCAGATTCTAGTCGCGGTTATTTCTTGGGCCGGTTACTACTTTCCGGTTTACGGTGCCGCTCAAGCGCCTCACCGGCAGGGTTTGATGCTGCTTTTGGTCATCCAGTTCTACCTCTTCACGTCCACCTTCGCATCGCTGGTAATCTCGGCGCTGCCAGACGCCGAGACCGGTGGCACCATCGCGACATTGTTGTTCGTCATGTGTCTTACTTTTAACGGAGTCATGCAGCCGCCGCGTGCCCTGCCAGGATTTTGGATCTTTATGTACCGTGCTTCGCCTCTCACATACCTAATTGCCGGTCTCACAGCTACTGGTTTGCATGGCCGCCGGATCCACTGTGCGGATGCTGAGCTGAGCGTGTTCAATCCGCCTTCCGGATTAACTTGTGGAGCATATCTGGAACCTTACGTCAAGGCTTCTGGCGGACAGCTGTATAATGCGGCCGCCACGAGCGGATGCCAATTTTGCCAATTGACCAACGCCGACCAGTACCTGGCACCCAGCAATATCTGTATGTTACTTCATACCCCTTTTTCTCTTGTACAAAACTAATTCATATCATCATTTAGTCTACAGCGAACGTTGGCGCAATTTCGGACTGGGCTGGGCTTACATCGGTTTCAACGTCTGCGGTACCGTCCTGCTCTACTACATGTTCCGCGTCAAGCACTACAATCCCACGTCTCTGGTACGTGGGATCTGCCGCGGTGCATCATTTCTGTGCCGCGTGCTCAAGCGGCGGTCTGGACAGACGCCCAAAGGGAAAGAGGCGGACAATGGACGGCTGGTTTAGAGTATTGTGAAAGAATCATTCTGAATATCCTTGTTTCTAAAAATCTCATCCAATCTATAGCAGCAGTGAACCATAAGGCTAAGGATTATTGGTCACATCCCTTGAAATCTGCAATATAATCTCCAGCTCCTCCATTGTGGTTCTGTCCATGCCACACGGATGAGCTAGAGACACTCCGGCCGAAGCATAGAGGATTCAATTATCGAAAAGAGAGATCTATGCCTCTATAAATACTATGAGACTTAATACACAAATATAGACATATAATCCAATCATAACCGATGCGAGTAGCTCTATTACCAGAACTGAGGCGGCATCCACCCGGGCTCGCGATCACGCTTAACCTTGGGCTTGCACGGATCATCGGGCTTAGGGCTGGGCGAGTCACCAGGGAAGGGTTTCGGTTTGGGCTCGGGGCCTGACTCAGGGCCCGGCTTAGGTCCGGGAGCAGGACCGGGCTTCGGGCCAGGCTTGGGCCCGGGAGCAGGGCCGGGCTTCGGGCCAGGAGCAGGCCCAGGCTTGGGACCAGGAGCAGGGCCAGGCTTGGGCCCGGGAGCAGGCCCAGGCTTCGGGCCAGGAGCAGGCCCAGGCTTGGGACCAGGAGCAGGTCCAGGCTTGGGACCGGGAGCGGGGCCGGGCTTCGGGCCAGGAGCAGGCCCAGGCTTGGGACCAGGAGCAGGGCCGGGCTTAGGACCAGGCTCAGGACCAGGCTCAGGACCAGGAGCAGGGCCGGGCTTCGGGCCAGGCTTAGGACCAGGCTTAGGACCAGGCTCAGGACCAGGCTCAGGACCAGGCTCAGGACCAGGCTTAGGCCCGGGTTCTGGGTTAGGTCCAGGAGGTTTGGGACCGGGCTTGGGACCTGGGTTAGGAACTGGGATGGGCACTGGTGGTTCTGAGCTTGATGGCTCTGGCACAGGCGGGACTGGCGCTAGAGATGAGGTGGTAGTGACACCAGGGGGTGCAGGAGCCGTGGAAGATCCGGGTGTCCCAGTCGAAGGCTCCCCAGAAGGTCCAGGAATTGAGGCACCAGAGGATCCCGGGGAAGGAATAGAATGCGAGCCCGAAGGTCCCACGCTGGGGACGCTTGTCGGTCCCAAAGAGGGATTTGGTAAACTAAGATTGTGATGTTAGTCACCCGAAGCAAAAATTACATCCTCTGGCAGATTCTCCGACAGACAAAGAAGGGGAGACTAACCCGCTGGAGGGACCTGGAGTCGGAACAGATGCACCCGAAGAGGGAGGAGAAATAGAGGCACCCGAAGATGCCGGTGGAATAGAAGGCCTCGAAGTAGGCGGAGGTGGAGGAACATGAACACTTGACGAGCCCGAGGGCCAAACAGAGCTTGGAGGAGTAATTGGTGGCGGAACAATGCCACTCGATGAGAAAGGAGGGGGGATATGGGGGATCGATGAGCGCCATGGGGGATGAGGACCACTCGAGGGCGGAGGCGGGGGAACATAGGGAGTTGAGATGGGAGGTGGAGGAGCATAGGGAGTTGAGATGGGAGGCGAAACATGGGGATCAGGGATTGGCGGAGGAACGCTCGTGGGCGGAGGTGACGAAGGCCAGCCAGTGGATGGATATATAGAAGGTACAACAGTGCTAGAATCCACCGGGTAAGGCAGAAATGGAATCCATCCAGGGAAATACCGAGCATCCAAAGGCAATCCTGATGCCAGAGGTGCCAGCAGGAAGCTGACAAAAAGAACGGATTTTTTATCAAGCATGATTGGACTGCCTTCTATACAAAGTCAAAAAGAGAGTATAGTCAGCTCAAGTGATCACGCTGAAGAGAAATGAATGGAAAACAAAAAAACTCAGAGACATAGAGTTCTCTCCATATTTATAATAAGGCAGGGGTAATCAATGGGATATCCTCTTCATCTGCAATCAAAATTTGTAGCAGTGGCAAGGCTCATACCGACAAGGTCCGCAAGGCGTCCTAGAAGGAAGGCTCAGCTATAGAGGCTTTACCAAAAAAAATATTATAGTGCCTCTTTCGCCACTAAGCCAAACAGTGGTTCTGATGATCGTCAGAATTAGTCCGCACCCTCTTCAGGATCCTTATGGAAATAACCTAAACTTAGTGCGGACGCTAGCCTGTTTGGGAAACATGTGGTTGTTTCATGAGGCTGTGTGGCTTACCCTAGCGTCTATACGAAGACTCTGAAGCTAACCCCCACTGGGTCTGAACCCTGAATCGAGGGGTCTTGTGGGGAATGTAACCATGGGAGTTAATCCAATTTTAGTATAATCATCAACAATTTGAGATGAATCAGGGTCTGAGACATACGGCTGCTAATGGGAATTGTTTTGCGAAACCCGTTGGGGAAGGTAGAGGTTCTTTCATCTCAGCTCAGGACGAAGATGTCTAGGGGGTGCAGAGAGTTCTCAACCAAGAGTTGAAGCATGTTCTATACAACTGCAGTATTAACTGTGCCATTTTGCCCTGATGCGGCCATGATATCTTGTTCTATATACTTGTCTCTAACAACAAAGGCCTCCAGACTTCCATAAAATCTCTAATGCTTCGATTGGAAATCCATTCTAGCCAATGTTCTTTTCTGTTTTTGGGCGGAGGGGGTGATCTATCGAGAAAGCACTTACATCAAAGGGCTGTAGTATTTCCATACTTCTATTTCTGGGCTACATCTATCGCGTATACATACCTATTACAAAATATATTTGACCACTAGTTAAAGACGCGGGTAATTTCCAGCCCGATTCGGAAAATGCTATCAGGTAAATGGGCTGGAGCCTTTCTCTAGGCGGAAGGTACATGTTTGTTTTTGGAAGAAGCATCGACGAGGAAAAATAATAATCGGCCATGGGGCGTTAATCGATCGACAGGCCCCACGGAGCACAGACAAGTCTTTTTCAGCCATTATACATTCCTCTACCGCAGCTGAATGAAGTGAACCTCGCCATCCGTGTAAAATGTACACGAGTCATGAGTCGTTGGGGGCTAACAATAGTGGTATACTTGGCCTTTCCACCACATGTAGTTGTTGGGTCGGTAATTACCGCCTGGCAGTGAAACATACAAAAATTCAACAGAATAAGCTCTTGCTATGCCCGCCATTCCATAGAATTCAATTGAATATGCGTGTGGTGTATGTCCATAATACTAGGACAATAATATAAGACCAAAATGCCCGGTGTATAGTACTTACTATAGTCAATAAGTCACATTTATTGCAGGTCTTTGGAAGCGCCTTTGTATATATAACTGTGTGCATAGAAGCATAGCAACTCCATACAACCTTCTGGACCCTGGAGGATTCACCTTTTACCTAAGCAGGTTACTAGGAGGATTTAAAGCCTGCAACGCCAGCCCCTGAATCTAGTCCAGGCGATCATTACCCAGATATGCTTAGCTAAAGTTTAATCTACAATCCCACAAATCGTAACTATTCTTCATCGAGGAAGCCTCTGCCGCCTGAACGCCTTGATCAGCCTTGTTGCCACTCAACCTAAGTCTGAACTAAATCTTAAAACATAAAAACGAGATATACGAGATCCCTGGTGGATCCTGTCAGCGCTAGCACTAAATTTATCTTCAGACGAGCGGATAATCCCGGTTGACACAGCCTTGTGCAGACGATCATTGTCTACTCCGTAGAAACTGCCTAGATGAAGCCTTGCCAAGAAGGTTCTGTGTAGGTTCCAATTAAAGCCCCCATGTCTAAGCCTTCCGGTTCTGCAGCCGTTCGAGGGCGGGTCTCCCGCATTCTGGAGGCCTGAGAACCTCTTCATCTATTGTTGATGTTAGCCACCTACTATTATAGGATATTCCCCTGATAATCTCGATCTTTCCTGTCTCAAAACAAGGCTTTTCAGCCCCAAATCGAGTAGGAATAGGGCCCACACCGAGAGTATATAGTTACATGAAGCCGAACAGAGACATTAAAGTAAATAAGACGGGTTGCTCACAGGAACAGACCCCTTTTATTTTCTTACACCTTCTCACGATTCCTTTTTCTTTTTTCCTTTACTTTCAACATCTTGCAACACAATGTTTGGGGCTAAGATCTTAGCATTGGGCGTGACCCTTATAACTTGCGTCTCCGGAGCTCTTTACCCTAATGGTCAGATTCCTCCAGGTCAGGTCATCGGATACCGCACCACAAACCCAGTATGTTGCCTATGAGGACCCCTTATAGTCCTTTATATAGTTCTGACTGTTTCAAAGGAGCAAGCTGCGAAATGGTTGAAAGCTGGAACCATCACTCCCGACCCCAATAAGAACAGCTATCAGATCGGCAAGGGACAATACACATCTCCTAGGGCTGGTGATTGGTTTGGACCACAAGGATACAAGTAAGAACCAATTAAAATAACTCTTCTTGTAGGACTTGTTCTGACTGGGCTGTCTTCGCAGATATTGTATCATCACAGCCGATCCAAGGAAATGGGCCTTTGCCAACAAGGCCTGGATTCCCCATTTCTGGAATGGAAAGGACCTCTGGAACAGTCAGAGCTCGCTCGAAGCTCAAGATGAATATCTCCGAAGCATCGGCATGGATCCGGCAAAGACCTTCCGCCTGTCTCAGATCATTGGTGACGAGGAGAAGCTCCAGATGGTCATTCCCAATGCGAGGACCAATGCCGAAGACGGTGGTATGGACCTGAAAGTTGAGTGCAAGGACTCTGTGGACGATTTCGAGGATAACAAGCCTGAGCTCGATTACTATAGCTGGAAAAATGTCCACGGCACACCGCAGCGGCTTGCATGCGATAACACACAAAATCCACCAACTCAATGATTTGGTGATTTATCCAGATGTGATTGGAAATTTTCCTGTATCTAGACTTGAGCGTGGATTTTCACATGCTGTACTTTTTGTTAGACTAATGCATGGATGGGTGGATTTCCTCTTCCTCCGCCTTAACTGTACAGTGGCGGCCATTATTGCCTTCTATGTCGGAAACAGAGAGACGCTCTTTCAAACCCTAATCACATGATACGCTAAACATAATATGAAATGTTTGCAAGTATAAGTATTTGAGCGTAGATGTCAAGATCATGGTATGATAATAGACAGCGCCGAAAAGAGCCGGTAACGATGGAAGCATTGGCTTCTGGAATCCGAGAACGCCAAAGGTCTTATCTCCGACCGCCAAGAAGGCTCAAAGTAGCTTTACGGCGATGTCTCGACTTCGAAATTTGCCTCCATCGCTTTCAATTCCTCCTTGGTAGGTTTTCTTGCCCACACGCGCTTCCTAAATGTTATTAGCATCAAGCATTTTAGCGGTGCGATTCGAAAGAAAACCTACGCAGGGTTATAGGCGTGAATGTGCGGATCCTTCAGCTCCACCCGCACTTTAGCCAGGAACACCTGCACCTCCTCCTTCATCCACGGCACAGGCTCCCCAAAGTGGGTGAGAAGCCACATCGCCCAACCCTCTAGAGCGGCATTCCAGTGGGCATACTGGAGGTGTCCGACCTCCTTCAGTAACTTATCCTTAGGCCAAGGTCCTAAGGGTATCTTGTACTTTTCCTCATGCACGTCCACAAACCCGGCTTTCTCAATTGCGCTGCGCATCGTTTGATGAGTTTCGAGAGACCGTCCGGCTCGCTCGGCGCATCTAATGAACATGTCACCCCACCCCCATAGCTGGTGTTCTTCCTTCAAAGTACCGTCATCGCTGCGGACTCGCACGTCAAATTCCATCTGCTCGATCCAACCACCGGGTTCGAGGGCGCTATAGCGAACGTAACAAGACATGAGGGCTTGATTACCCAGAAGATCGAGTAGTGAGGACTGAAACTCACCGGTAGGCCTGTTTGTATAGTTGGTCCCAACCCTCAGGGGGAAGGCACCATACATTAGGCGCATATGGATAAAGTCAAACGGCTCTCTCCATGTCCACTCGCGAAGCACATCATCCACTTCGAAGACGCAGTTCGGGGGCGTCCATGACACGGGTGGTGGGAAGATATCCACGCCGCGGACGGCAGCTAACTGGTGTCAGTCTAAGAATATGAGTCGGATCAAGATATCCTATACCTGCCGGATAGAGATCGGCAACATCGCTAATGTTTTGTTAAAAGGATCTCCGGAAACGGTTTACTCACTGACTTACATTGCCCAACTCCCTTGACCAGTTCCGATGTCCAAAATATTCTACATTAGGACGTTAGCGGGATGTTCAAGCGAGGATCGGCTCGGTATAATCTACCTTAGGCGAATCACCTATGGGGGCGCGGAAAAGAGGATTCGGCTGGTTGTGGTCTAGCACGAGAAACACCATGTGGCTGAGTTTGTTAACATCACAGACCTTCTAACTAAATGGTGAGACGTGAAAGATCTTGGATGGGGTGCGGTTTACCCAATTTCAAACGCCTCGAACTGCTGCTCGTCAGAAGGACCCCTGGACATAGTTACTCTATGTAAAACCACATCAATGCATCGTAACCAACCAGTAGTCATCTTCTTTAGTGGCCTGGTATCTACATTCCGGGTTAGTCTCAGGAAGCGATTTTAGGCTGAAGTGGACTGACCTTCGACCGTTTTCTAGCCTTCCCCTCGCGATCGTGGACGCAATAGAGGTGGTCTCCCTGAAGACATACTGGAGTGAGAATGCGATGATAGACATGATTCGCAGTGGCACTCACGACTGAAAGTCCTGCAGATCCGCGTCATAGGCAGTGCCCATAGAGTAGAAATCCGGGTCCTAGGTGAGAGGTGAGAATAACCACATCACAACATGAAAGCACCACTTACCACCGCGATTGGGTCTATATTTTCAGCCATGTTCCCGACACTTTTCCAAAGACTAAGTGGAAGCTGTCGACGTCGAAGGAATCCAAGGAAACGGCTAGGGAAAAGGGGAGAACGGGAAGGTGGGGTGTTGGGACGGGTCCGGGAGTGTCCGCTCGAACCGTTTAACCAGCAACTTCCGGCTCAGACGAGGTCGACCGAGTCAGGTCTAGGTTAGGTACTTACAAATAAAGGAAGAAAGTACGAGGGGCCGGCCGCAGGCTACTAGTGATTGGTCCAGCATTGACCAGTCTACAGTCAAACCACAGCTCGATTACCATCGTAGGTTTTGTTAAGAGGTAATCTCTATGCACGCTAGTCGGCACTAGAAGGTGGATCTACGTGCGACGGTATTCCAGTTTCCAGCGGAGGCGATAGGGGGCGACGGGTGGGCACGTATAGACAACACGTAGCCCTCACAGCAGGACCGTGCCGCAACGGCCGCTATCAACCACGCCAACCCGGCAAGGTCCCGTTCCCGCGCTACTCCGCAATATATCGTGCATTTCCACGTTCAATAGTATCTCGCACGCTCTGCGACCCCTCCAGTCAAGAACCATCTCCTGTTGCGTTTTTCCACCATGGGGGTAACCACCTTATCTGGGCAGGCTGTGACGCTCCTCTGCGGTCTCTTGAGCCTCTATATCTTCAGGGCGATCACGGCGTATGCTAAGTTGAGGCAATTCCGGGGACCTTCATGGACCGGCATCTCGAACTGGCCTCATAGCATGGCGATGCTTCGGGGCAATTGCCACGAGTGGTATGCAGAAGCCAACCAGAAACATGGTGCGAGGCACCTTCCAGACATCTCTTCCTACAGCTAACAGTCTCGATCGACTCAGGGCCGATCGCCCGCGTCGCGCCTCGAGTGCTGATCACATCCTCCCCTGAAGTTTGGATGCACGTGAACAACAAGCCGGGCTACCAGCGCTCCGAGTGGTACTACACAGCCACGCGGATCGAGTACCGGAGGGACAATGTCTTCAGTCAGACGGATAACGCGAAACACGAGCGACGAAGAAAGCAGATGGCTCCAGGGGTATGATGGCTGCCTCTTCTTCCTCTCTGACCCCGTCCCCATCCATTCATACCGCCATAAACTGCTGACCGGTGATTCTTATAAAGTATTCGGGAAGGGAGAATATCCACCTTGAGGGGTCTGTAGATGAGCGACTCCAAGATTTCCTGAACCTCATCCAGTCCAAATATGTCTCATCCGACCGCCAGGTTGTGCCCATGGACCTAGCGAAGAAGGTTCAGTATTTTACACTCGATGTTATTAGCAGCGTCGGCCTCGGCAAGGCGTTCGGTATGTTGCAGAGTGACCATGACGTGGACGACTACCTCTCATCGAGTGAGGAGGGGCTTGCTATCGGCAATACCGCCCTTGCGATGGGCTTTAGCTGGATCACCCAGGCCCCCTTCATCGGCAGGTTCATTGCACCTTCACCCAAGGACAACAACGGCTTCGGTAGGATGATGGCAGCATGTTTCCGCCTGGTCGACGAGCGCGCTGCGAGCTCCGTCGACGAACGGTCCGATATGCTGGCCTCCTTCATGCGCCACGGCTTAAAGGGCGACGAGCTGCGCACCGAGGCGCTAGAGCAGATAATCGCGGGCTCCGACACCACTGCTGGCGCCATTCGTGGTACCCTTCTGCACATCATGACGAATCCCCGCGTCTACTTCAGGCTGCAGCGCGAGGTCGACGATGCCGTGCGCCGCGGTCATGCTCCGAGCGCGGGCGAAGGCCTCATTTCTGCCGCCCAGGCTAGACAGCTTCCGTACCTCCAGGCCGTGATCCGCGAGGCTCTGCGAGTCTGGCCGCCTGTGGCGAACATCTTCTCGCGCGATGTCCCCGCAGGGGGCGACACTGTCATCGTGGACGGCGAGAGCGTATTCCTACCGGGCGGCGTTTGCATCGGGTACTCGGCGAACGCTATGCACCAGAGCGAGAAGATCTATGGGAAGGACGCAAAGGCTTTCCGGCCCGAGCGGTGGCTCGAGTCAGACCCTGCCAAGTTGGCTGTCATGGTTCGGACCAACGACCTCATATTCGGTCACGGCAAATTCCAGTGTCTAGGGAAAACAGTGGCCCAAATAGAGATCGGGAAGACGGTATTCGAGGTAAGTAGAAACAGCTCCGCCTGCCTGCTACCGTCGCCTTTCTTCTCGACGATACGCTAACGGTCCTCCGAATGGACATAGCTCTTGCGTAACTTCGACCTGGCGCTTATCAATCCTACGCGTCCCTGGGATGTCCGGAACTACCTCGGGCTTTTCGCGATTTCAAATATGTGGGTGCAAGTGATGGAGCGAACGCCCTGTTCCCCGTGACCGAGTAGAAAACAGTTCCAGTGTAATATCTGGTGTACCCCGTCATGGTAGTGCTTTGCAAGGGTTTTCAGTGGTAGAATAAGGCTGATTCTTCAACATTTTATACCATCCGTTCTCGTTCAAAACTCCCAGCCCTGCATTCTCCGACATGGAAGGAAAACAACGGTCGCCTCTGTGGCTCTGCGTCATTTTGGGGGTCAGCTTTCACGATCTTATCAGAGATGTTCCAATTTTACATAGGACTCATTGTAGTACTTAGTTGGAGGTATCTCTAATTTTTTCTTTGTTGGCAAGCACTATGGAATTGGTTGGATACCAAGATATATATATTTTCGATTATGTCTTACCACAACCCTTCCAGTACGAGTTCTGAGAGCTTTTTCAGGGACTTAGGTAAAAAAAAAAAGGCTGAGTAATAGATATATTATCGTACATCATTTCATGTTACCAGAAGGGAAGATAGAAGAAGAAAATGTCCATTATCCAGGGACTCTATACCCGTCTTTTGTTACGCAAGATCTATGGTCATAAGATAAGCAAGTTCAATAACTGCCAAGAAAAAGCATTATTGGTCTAGTGGTAGAATTCGTCGTTGCCATCGACGAGGCCCGTGTTCGATTCACGGATGATGCACATTCTTTTTGCATTTTTGTCGTATCGCCGACGAACTAGATTTTTTAATTTTTGACAAAATTAGTTACTTACTCCTGATGCCAGTCGATGGAGATTTTGGGTCACAATTCATTTAACTCTGAGAAAAGAGTACATTCCGCGTCAACCGCTCTAGAGCACTCGTCACGGCAGACACGCTTCAAGATCATGGAGAGATTGCTAGACCAACCCTACAGGGCTAGAATGAGCTCTTTAAAATTTCAGATCGCATATGGTGTGAGTGGCCATAGTGCCTGGGGATCAAGCTTGAATATGCTCATAGAGAGATCAATCTGAATAACAAGACTACAAAAATAGAATCTTCGAGATGAAACACCAACCACCAGAGAGAAAAACGAGACCAGCTAAAGAATGCAGGGGTATTATGCAGGGAACATCAGATCGAAGAGATAAGTGACGCCGGAACGCTGAAGCCGAGAGAGAGGAGAGAAGCCAAGATGAGAGTGTGAGGGGATGTGTAAGGAGAATGACGAGAGGGAACCAGTCTTTGAATCAGAATACTGGAAGCCCTGTGCTCAGGCTAGGAGACCGGAAAGCGAGACGCAATCAGAGCATTGATAATATGACCGCTCTGCCACCCTTGGTCGGGCAGTGACTCGTTCTCTTTCAGAACGTGGCCAAGGTAGGCGATACGCACGCGCTGATGACCAGCAAGCTGTGATAATACCAGTTAGAAACCCAGCAGCAGATCCAAACAGGCGTCCAGAAGACTTACCCCTGCCTCGTGATGAATCTTGCGAGTTAGAAACCCCACGCTCTGATCCTTACCTACCTGCAGCACCAAGTCTGGACCGCCACGGTCACTTAGCCGCGTCTGCACGCGGATAAGGTCCTGCTCACGGGTCTTGCCCTTCTCATCGCGGCGCCGCTCCAGATCCTCGTCGATCAACTCATCGCCCGAGGCATCGTCGTCCGTCGCCAGCCCACCGTCCGACATGGCCTTGGTATCCTCGTCCCGTGCTTCGTCGTCGGATCCAGGGACCGGGGATGTATTCTGGACCATGTTGTCGGGATCGCTGACGATGCACTGCGGAAGACGGTAGAGCATGCCTTGTTCGTCGTAGGCACCTTCGCACAGATCACCGGTTGGGATGGTTATACCGGCTGCATCGACGATGCTCTGCGCCGTGGCCAGGTCGCCGGCGCGTATCAGCGAGATCGTAGACGAGAGCGCCGCCCACACTTCCGGGCGGCCGGTCACGCGAGTCTCAAAGAACTCGCGGCGCTCGCGGTCGAGCTGAACGCGCGTCCAGGTGCGGCGTTTGCTGCTCCAGACGTGGAGGCGCACGGGCTCATTGTAGTGTTCGTCCAGTGGGATGTTGGGGGCGGGCCGTCGCGTGCGTCGGCGGCCGGAAGTTGTGGAGACGGAGGGATCAGCGGCGCTGTTATTGCGAGAAGTCTGCTGGGAGTGTTGGTCTCCGTCGTTTTCGGACGGGGGATGGTCGTCGTCAGGCGATGGCCGTGATGCGCAGCAACCCTAGACGAAAGCAGTGGTCAGCCCTCTTTTGTTCTTGAGAATCCGGCTGGTGGTTAGAGCGAGCGACAGATGGGCTGGGCCGATCATGCTGAGTGGAGGCACAAATGCATACCATGGTGAGCACGACGCTCCATACGGCAGAAGAGGGGAGGTCGAGAAAGAGCGAGAAATGAGGGGGGTGAAGTAGTAGCTGATGGAAGAAGCTCAACCTCATAATCAAGCCTCGACGGATGCTCCACATTAGTTGGGTCCGAGCACCACCACTATTTCTGCCAGGTTGCACTGCAGCGTTTCTAGATGCCCATCGATGCTAATGAACATGAATTTATATATATTTATATCTATATGCTAGCTCGACCCCTCATCCTCCGAGTCGCCAAAAATCGCCTTGAAAACCGCATCGCCCGGTCGCTCCGCCTCCAGGGCTTCGTTGCGTTCCGGCTCCACCGCAGGGCGTTGGATCTCTGGTGCAGATCCGCGTTCGTTAGCCCCAGGCGGAGGCGGATGCCCTGCCGACAGAAGAAGTTGGTTCATGGCTTCCTGTGACACCAATGCCTTGGGCCCAGTGTCTGTCTGGTACCCTCCCGACTGGAATCTCTTGCCCGGTCCTCCGCCCTCATCGCCCCCAGGCTGTTCTCCTGGATCCAGCTGCACATGGGATGGTGGTTTGACATTAAATCGTTTGCAAAGCAGACGAGCCGGATAGAAGGAGACAGTGCTGCGGGTCATCTGGCCAAACATGCCGATCTTGGCTGCTGCAACGGCCGGGTCCTCCGGCTTATCGGCGGGCCGGCTGAGACCCGAGTCGGTGGAGGAGTCGGGTGCATCGGAGCCAACTTTCGGAGTCGAGGACGCCGAGGTGAAACGTGAAGCCATTAGTCCCGACATGGGCTTGAATACCTCGGCGGCCCGGGCAAATTCTTGCATTTCCGTAACCCAGTCGTCTGTGCTGGAACCGGGCAATCGATCCGGCAGAGAATCTCGAAGACCTGCACGGATTTCGAGAAAGGTCCGATAGCGTGTGCGCTTGTCCTCGTCTTCCGAATAAGGCATCCAGCCGCTGACTGCTCGTGTCAAGGCTTGCACTGCGAGTTGCTTATCTAGCTTTGGTACAAGATCCCAGAGATCCTTGCGCTGTTCTGACTCGGACAGCTCATAACCCTTCGGGGCCTTCTCACCTAGCGCTGGGGGAAGATTGGTTTTTCCAGTAAGTTTAGCAATTCTGGCTCGAGCCTCTGGAGTCATCCAGTCGAAGATGGACTTTCCAGGCAGTTGGGCCTCACCCAAAACTGCGGCTCTGGAGGTTGGGTCCAGAGATGAAGCTTTGGCAGCATCGGCAGGAGATACGTAATCTGACGGATTTGGGTTCTGCTCTGTGGACAATGGTGCTTTGGATGATTTCCATCCGTTTGGGATTTGAGGAGACTCATATTTCTTGTCTGAAGAGAGAGACAGACCGGAGAATCCTTCTGCAAGAACAAATCCATCAAGTGGCAACCGGCCATCACGGCATTTCCTGAACCCCCCGGCACTCCGCGCAGCTGCGACCTTCTTCGATATGAAGACGGGCTTCGAACTCAACAGAGGATTGGATGACGCAATAGCCGGCTTTCCATCTTTCTTCCTTTTCTTCTTGTCTCCGCCGATGGTCTTGTTGTATGAGATCTGTGGGCCCAGAGAGTAAGGGTCCTCATCATCTGAGCCGGTGTCGTTGAGGATGCCAACACCAAATCCTCCGCGGCGTGTTTCTTTCGCCGTGGATATCTTTGATTTTCCCAGCAGAGCTTGACGCCCTTCGAAAAACGAATCTGAGCTCTCTTCATCGGGTTTACCGCTAGGTGTCTCCAGACGTTCCCCGAGGCGTGTTTCTCCCTCAAACCCAAGACCTTTCAGGTCTGTCTTGCGGATGAAGGCAACCATGGGAGGATTCTCTGGCGCAAAGAGATAGGTTTGTTCAGCTCCTTCTCCGCCCGTGGCAGCCCTATCGTCGAGATTGGCTTTGCGTCGGACCTTCGGACCAATTCCCTGACCCTCGCGCCACCCCATCTTCTTCAATAGCTTCACTCCCATGGTCTCCCCGCCAGCCTTCAACAAGTCAATAAGACCTGCCCGTCGCGTGGCATCCGTTTCTGTAGAACCAAAGCCTGCGAATCCCTCCGCAGTCTGTAGCTTCTTCGACTCCTCTGCCTCGCGCAAATCCTCCTCGTCCATGAAATCCTCCGCTCGTTGCTGCACCGGTTGTTTCGCATCCCGCGCGCGGTTCTGGCGAGAAGAGATGAAGGTAGCGGGAGACCATCCTTCTTTCGAGCCGACGCTGTTGAAATACCTAAAGGTGCGAGGCTGTTGTTAGCGCTTCCTGAATTTCGCGAGTGAGATCGTGTGTGCAGCTTGAAATGACTTACCCAGCACTAAATCCACCGGTAAATGCACCATGAAGTCGTTTCCTACCCCGTTCATCGGTCACCTCCTGTTTCCAAACGGGCATGTACGACCCATCGTCCCGGACGCCGGCATCGAGGGGCGGGAGCGGGGTTCCATAGACGACGTAGGGAGACTGTTGGGATTGAATATCGGCCTCAAAAGCTGCGCGAGTGCGTTTTGAAGTCATCATGATCAGTCGGGGGAGAGCATGACGACGGTGGTTGCGAGTTGAAGAGGAGGAAGACGAAGAAGAAGTTGGACCTCCAGGTGTTATCGCCGGGAGCCTAATCAGGTTTAGCGCCACCGAGGCTCTGATCTATACAATAATGAGATTTTTTACAACTTTATACAACTGTACACGTAAATCTCTAATACTCCTGCTGATTATTCCAGTATAGCGTGCCATGTTGCACCTCTCCTGTTGGCTCGAGGTTCCACCGTAAGATGAGCTTCGTCCACTGAAGCAAATGGCTCGCCAACTTGATATGGCCCACATCGGTCGGATGGTCCTTGGGATTGATATCGTTGTGCTGCAAGATGCCTTCCGTGGGAAAGTAGTAGACAAATCCCTTGTCCTTAAAATGGTCATGCACGCGTTTGGTCTCTTGCTCGTAGACGGTGCGTGGCACATACTGAGTGCCTTCTTTCCTCCATGGGCCCCATTGCGACTGTTTCCATCAGCCCAAAGGCACTATTACTCTAAAAAAGAGAACTTACCATGATAAGGACAATTGCATGAGGCCAAGTTTTGTGTATATCTTCGATCAGCTCCACGTACGCGTGGTAAAAGTCGGGGCCGGGAATCTCGTTCGGGTGCCGGTGGTCATTCCCTCCCATTTGGATGATGACAAGGTCCGCTGGTTGTTCAGCTTCAACGTCCCATTTCTCAAAATCGTCGCGGTTGTACATAGAGCGGGAACGGGAACCCGGATCGGGCGCTCGATGCCAATACCATGTCTGATTCCGTGAGCTCAAATCCTTGAATGTGTGGGGGCTGACATACCATGCCACGAGAATAACCTCCGTAACATTGCTGATCGACCAGACAGATCCCAGGGTAGGCCTAAATGCAAAATATATCAGTATGCTCGATAGAGCTTCTTGAGTAGGACTAACCGTAATCCCAAATTCAACATTCCCTAGGCCAGCTCCGAACAGGAAGGCCCATGAAGAGATGGTTTCGTAGGTACCATATTGGCCCGACGCCAAGCTATAGAGTGTGAGTATATTCAAAAACTTCAAGAAGTATTCAGATACTTACGACCCTCCTATAATTTCCACTTTTTTCTCGAAGGTTGGAGGTTTTGTAAGTTGAGTGTTTTCGTCAACCGATATGCCAGCAATTTGAACCGTGTGAATCGTAAGCAAAGAACTTAGAGGATGAGTAGGTAAACTTATCCAATCCCCCAATTGGTAACTATACAAAAAAAGTCAGTGGTTGTACATGATTTTCGGACTATGAGTTTTACCTCTCATTTCAAACATCTTCTTCGCTTCCCTCAGATCTTCATCCAATTCTGACCAAGGGCCGACAAATTGATAGGTCGAGTCTCTGGTCACATTGGAGAATTGCCAATCCAAAGATCCAATTCTATGTAGTTTTAGATCGGTGGAACCAATGTCAACCATGGGGAGGGTTACCTATAAGCTACCAAAACACCATCATTTGTTTCTGGGCCGAAGCTTATTGCAAGCTAAGATTGTCATTTAGAGCACTAGCATAACAGCAGAAGGATAATAACATACTTTGTCTCCTGAGAACTGGACCTTGAGTCCCGGTGCTCTGGATGAGTTAGACGCGACATAGTTGAGTTAAGAAGGATGGGAGAAACCAACGACCACCCTATGACATTCGCGATTAGAATCGATAAGACAGACGGAGGAGCATAGCGTCATACATGAGATATATCTGCTGTCCCAGCGGCCTTTCCACGATATTTCAGAGCTGTTAGGCCCGTAACTTCGCCAGGAATCATCTAGGTCAATCCGGTCGGCTTGCCCGGGATAGGCATCTTCCCTGATTTGACCATTTTGCAATATCGTAGCTGACACACACCACAACCACAGCAAGAGGGATAGACTTCGGTATGCGATCTGCATTCTGAGCACTCAAGCATAAAGGATGATCGTTGAACCACGCGGAAACCCTTTATTTTTCCCCCCCAGAGACTTAAAGCTGAAAGAATAGTCGTGTCGGTTACGTTGTTAATTATCGTCCACTTGTAATCTACGCGCGTGGAATTTGATGAGCCCCTTTTCACACGACCCCCGATGGCGTGATCTTGGCACATGTGTTCTAAAAATGCTCCCTCGCGGAGAATCGCATGCACATGATGCCGCTCAAGTTGACCAATTTGACTAGACTCAGATCCAAGAAGGGAAGTACCCTAATAGTTGTCATTTCGTCCTGATTGTGTTGATTCAACCAAGGTCTGTACTGTTTAAGTAGTTCTCGACCGTAGACCAGTTTTAATAAGCAGATACGGAGTAGAATGAACGCCAAGATTTGTGCCTGGAGGAACGGGAAGAGCTTGGCCCAAAATACTGCCATGATCGCGCAATTATTAGGGCTGATGTGATGATCATTGCCTGTTTCGCACCGGACCCTGAGGAAGTGGAGAGAAGAGACTGTAGATTATTGCAACCATAACTTCTTGATCTCCAAACTCAGGAAATCAACTGAATGTACCTTGCATTATTTCTATTTCAGTAAACACAAATTGTATTGCGCGTCTGGTTGAAATTATTGAAGTATTTCAGGGGTTATGTGATATCACCATTTTCGCTAAAGTTCGCGCCATCGGCCGCCAACCCCGGTAGTGCTGCCTTTCTCGCTTCAACATCTCCAATTAGAGTTTCCGCTCACACAAACCTCTTAGCGGAGTTAGCTGCTGGTTTCAATTTTGAAGAGTATTGTTTTCCTGATATTCCTCAAGCCCGGATGAGGTCCAGCATCCTGAGCTTCTCGGCGATCCTTGAATGTTGGAAAATGACACCGTCAACATAACACTTTTATCCCTTGCCAAGAGCTGACGCGATTGAGGCGAAATTTTTGCCATGGGCAATTTTCAATGCGGCCGTGCTATTGGGCCGGAGGTAAATCGGGCGACGCTGTGGGCGGGCCCTCTGACACTGTCTTGCTCACAGATTAGGACGTGTCTCATATGGTCACTCTTGAATGATTCGTCTCTCGTGGCGCAATCGTCCATGTCGTCCAAAAAGGGAAAACATCTGATGATGAAATCGCCAGGGAATGTTGCAAACCCACACAGTGAAAGCACTCGCCGCTCTGTGTTGAGAGAGAGCAGCGAGATCACAAATTTGCTATAGAGAATATAAAAAAGGTTGAGAGCCAGTAGATTCTAGTGTAGTGTGATGTATACAGGACCTAAATGTTTCGATGCTCAGTTCCAAGGGTTCCATCTAGCGCAGTCCCTGGAGATGAGATTGCATGGATATCGGCCCTTCGCCTAGTTCCTCGGCTCAGCAGGACCGATTGGAGATAAATTCTGCGCGGCAAGGGATTTCCCCCATATTGCCCATTCCTCTTGGCCTTGGGGTCCTTTCTGTAGTCTGGCTCGTGTGCGTTCGTCGATCCCCTGGCGTCCTACTTATTTCCGCTATTTGACAAATCCAATGATTCTCTCTTCTTGACTCTCTCGTGCTTCTTGTGCCTCTCGTGCCTCTTGTTTATTTTATTTTATTTTATTTTTGTTTGGTGTCCGCAAGCTGCCTGATGATATTGATGAGCCCTGAGGCTCTGTACTTCTGCCACAGACTGTTGGACCCGAAGTCACTCCCTTAACCTTTCCTTTCTCTTATTCACTTCACCATGGAGTATATGAAGCCTAATCACCTTTATGAACGTCTTCTGGACAATATTCCTTGGAAATCTGGCGATCCGTCAGTAAAAGGGGATCCCAGAAAAAGCGTTAAATGGATTGACGTATGTGATGACTCTTGCCTCCGCAGACAAAGTTCAGTACTGATGAACTCATCTCAGGGTTTGCGAGGAATCGCGTCTTTTCTAGTCATTCTCACCCATCTTGCCCGAGCTTGGGACTACGATCTTTTTTCTCCCCGCGATAACGAACGTGCGACGCCTCGTATCCTCCAATGGCCTGTTTTGCGAATTCCGTGGCAAGGCCGCATTGGCGTCACTATATTCGCATTCTTGACTGGCTATGTGTGCGCACTTAAGCCTATTAAGCAGTCTCGAAATGGAGATCATATGGGCTCCTTTATTTCTATCGCAAAGAGTGCATTCCGCCGACCACCTCGTCTTATCCTTCCCGCCACAATCGCAATGATCATTTCCTGGGCAATGGCGCAGTTCGGTGCATTCGTCGTGGCCAACCGGTCAGATTGCTGGTGGTGTCGCTATGCAGCCCCAGATCTGGCACCTACATTTTTGGAAGAGATAGTCCGGCTATTCAAGAATTTCCTCAGTACCTGGACGACGGGATATATGGCCTATGACGACCATCAATGGGCATTACTGCCACTGCTCCTTACATCAATGTTGGTTTATATTTTGCTGTGTGCGACCATGTTCGTCAAGTTTCGCTGGCGTCTGTTTATCTACTTGGCAATGTTTCTATATTTCCACCAAGATCCAGCTAAGGATATCGGTTCGTTCTCCACCATGGACTACTTGATGAGCCCCTTGACTAACCACATAACAGAGACGTTCCAGATGCAGGGCGTCTATGGCATGTTTCTGAGCGACCTGTCATACGAGAAACCCTTCCAACAGTTCGTTGCAGATCATAAATGGGGCCGTCGAATTGTAGCCGCAATCCTAGCCTGTGCTGGTCTGTTCATCTGCGGCTATCCAGGCGAACATCCGGAGTGGATGGGCTGGTCAGACATCATGTTCAAAGCGGCACAATATATATTCCCACCAGAGGTCAACATCGGCAAACGGTATACCGCAGTGGGCATCGACCTGATCATTTTTGCTATCTACATCTCCCCCTCGACAAAAGAATTCCTTTCGAGCAGTCTTCTTCTCTGGTTTGGAAAACAGAGCTTCGCCGTGTATCTGGTCCACGGAACCCTTCTGCGCACGGTGCTATGCTGGATGTTGTATGGAATCACCGGTCAGCCCTGGGATGGAAATATTGTTGATGAGCATGGGCAGCCAATCTACGGCGAGGATGGCGAGCCTTTACACCCGCACTGGATTCCACTTCGGAAGCCGTGGGTTGTAGCACTTTCTATGCCACTATGGATTGGGCTGGTGTATATATGTGCGTCTCTGTGGACGACATATGTGGACCCATTCTGTGCAAGGTTGACACAAAAATTGGAGAAGTTGATGTTTGAGGAGGTTGACGAGCCACCTCCATCATTGCCTTTGACCAACATCCCGATGACCACTACTTAAGGTTCGTTGTTGAGGATGATACTACCACAATATTGTGTAACATGGTCTGATTCATACTGTCATGGGGGTTGTATAATTTTTGCATTTACTGTTACTGTACTTTTTGCATATCGTCTGTGTTTAGCCTCGCATTACCAATGATACCTTTCTTTCCTCCAAAATTTGCACCGCAAGATTCACTTATTGCGATAAGAATTAGAATTCGCTTTTTCAAAGACGGATGGAAAAAAATTTTGAGAAGAAGCATTACTCTTTTTTTTCCTTTCTAATTCTTTCAAAACATGTTCATGGATTCGTCATCGTGGGGAAATTATGCTCGCTTCTATGAGACTTTAACACAATATGTAAATCATCAAATGCTTTTCAAAGTACTCCATCGCCCATGCTATTCAGGATTTTCTTATATAGTGCAATCAACCAGTTCCGGTAAATGGTGGTGTCTGGCCCTGGTGAAAGAGATGCCTCGACTGCTGTCTTTCGATCTGAGCAAAGAGAAATTTCACTCTTACACTTTCTGAGCCGTGGTTTTCCAGTAATGAGTGAGTCTAGATGTCGAAACATATCATTCTTCTTGAATAATGTGCTGATAGGTCGTAGATGCATCACCACGAGAGGATTCGAAGTAGTATCGCACAGGGTCCGGACTAACTCCGAGAAAGCGATACCGAGATACACGGAGCAAGCAACAACAAGACCTAGCCAGAATGCATTGTGGGATCGTAGGATATGTCTGGACAATTCCACATACATGGCACTCGCGCCAAACCAAGTTGAATCAATCCTGGCCCAGCGGTGCATGGGTGCAGACGAGAGCGATTTCCATCGTTCGGATGTCTGAGGCTGATCTTTAAATCTGTTATCCATCTCATGCGACAGTAACCTCAAAGCAGGACTGTAAGTTGTAGAGTTGATCTTTGACGCTGTGCTGGTAAATTCGTGGATCGCCGCCACGGTTGCAGTATCACAGCAGCAAAGCTCAAGGACACACCATGGCCGCTGGAGAATCATTAAAAGAGATTGCATAGCAGTGCCGTGTCCGATAACACAGTGTTTGGTAGATCTTGTGGCATTGATCAGGAACCATGGGAGGGTGTCCCGAGGATGCGGGCGACCTTGACGATGTGAACATGGTAAAGACTTCAGGCCAACGGGAGAGTTCTGATCTAATGTAATCCACACAGGAAGAACATTAGACACAGCAAGGGCAGATGCTTTAAGATCTGCATAGAGCTTGGCATCCTCTTCGATGCTACTCCAGTCTGGAGGCCATGCGACAACGGAGTATATTGCGAATGAGTCCCCAAGAGCGACGCCGCCTCCTACATCGTACGAAGCGCAGATCTGAGCAGCATTTTTGCTGAATTCAAGGTGGGTTTCGCTCATGAGGTCCTCTGGGTCAAGGAAGTCAACATGACTGTTGGTCATCGCCCGCTCACCGGCGTCGGGGTGAATGAGATCCCGCGCGGTCACGTGGACCAAAGAAAAATAACCCGACAAATCACTCTTGCCTCTTTTTATAAAGAAATGTAGCAGAATAGGCTCCGGGTATATTGTTGGTTATTATGAGCCTGGTTATTCTTTTTCCTCATCGGGACTTGGCGTACGGAACGAATATTGATGTTGAAGTGTCGACGATCTAGAGTGTGTCACACAATACGGAACAATAATATGATTTTTAACCTATTTTCATATATTATAAGTATCAATTAAACAAGTAATCATGCTAATCATCTAAGTCCGAGGGCAATAGCGGCATATCCAAGGCCTCCTTCATCTCCCTGACTATACGTCTTGACAAGCGTCGTGGGAAACCAACCGCGTGGCTTTCGAACTCGGCGAACATTTTCTCCATAGCTGAGTTCCTCCAGTTGTTTACTGGTACTCCCTGTTCGTCATCGATTGGAGAATTGCCTAAAACACTCTCCAAGATCTGGATTTGTGCCTCTTTCGATTCCATTTTCTGCTCTCCTTCAGCCTGCTCAGCTTTCTGTATCTCATTGATTTGAAATAGAAGGGTCTGCATTCGCTGAAATACCGGCATGTCTGGGAGCAGACCCAGTTGGATCCAATTTAGTCCCGTCAGCCGACACCTGGGGTCGACTTCGAGAGTCAATCTGATGATTGCTTGACTTCGAGACTCGTTCCCCACGACTTTGACCATGTTTATCGTGCCGTGGGCAATCTTTTGGAGACTCCGCGCAATTCTGGTGGCCACTACTTCAGCAATTGATGAATAGAGCAAACCCCCTAAGAATGCCAGCTGCATGAAGCTGCGCATGTTCACCATACACGCCACAGACGCGATGCCAGACAATGTCCCGGAAACGACCCAAAGCCAATGGAGGCAGTCTTTGGTCCATTTTTGGTCATACTCCCAGGTTGACCGCGCCCATTCCTCCAGTTTGTCCTGTGGCCCCTTGAAGACGACGGTCCCGCCCTCCTCTCGTTCATAGACGGCGTATCGGATGGTAGAGTCCTCTCTGGTCTTTGGCTTGTGGATCTTGACCATGCTGGTGAGAGAGACAAACACCGATGACATCCAGTGAAATCCATACAGGAAAAACAGCGTAAAAGCCCAAATATCCGCGAGCAGGAGGGCGCATACCATGCCGGTAATGAGCATGGCGCCGTTCACCAGACCGATCAGATCGAGCAACAGATTATAAGTCCACCACCAGACGGTGCCGAGAGATTTTCTTATTTGATCTTTCCTCTTTTTAATATCCTCGTGCATGGCATCTACGTAGACCACGGCGAAATCATTACCGGGGAAACTCGAAGTGGGAAACGAGATTGCTTCACCGAGCCAGACATTACTCAGATTCACAGGCAGTTGGCGAAACACATTGCCCGAGATATCTGACCGAACGGGAATCATAGTCGTGTCTTTGGCACACATTTTGATCGCGGGATGGATCCCGCTGAGCGTCGCGGTGAGACTCTCCATTAGCATCTGCATTGGAGGTAAAGTGCCCCCGATCATCGTCATATGGGGCCAGGTGAACAGACCCCGGTCATACTGAGTGTACAGCCGGGCAGCGCTCTTATCAGCTCGGGGGTTGTAGAGCACTGCCGCAACACCAAGAGGATCAAAGGAGACTTGGTCATCTTTCTTATTCAGGGTAGCACTCGGGGCGGAGGACGACCAGGGAAGAGTCGCTTGGGTCCGAGTGACTCCAGTGAGGAGAAAGAAGCATAATTTCTGAAAGGACAAGCTCAATGACAGCATGGAGGAAGGTTGGAGAGCCATCAACTATGAGCAACCAGGAACAGGAGAAATCATGGCACCATTTTGTGGTCGTGCTGACGGGCCGAGGCGCTAGTTTTAGCGTGGACCCACGGTTTGCTTTTTCCGCCATGGATTTGTTTGACCAGTATTGGGCTTTTTTTGCAAAATGTACATCTTCGGAATTCTTATAGAAAAAGTGCAATAGTAGCAGAGTAATAGCACATTATTCAACAGCAAGTTTGACGACTGCATCGGGATCTTTTTCCCTTCCGTTCCCCACACCACGTACAGCTGCTGGTATATTCGACCCCCTATTTGGCCCTTACTTCCAAGTCTACTCGTAAATACAGGTATAGCTAAAGCGGACCTAAGTGTAACCATTAAAGAGGGGACCATTGGCCTCTCAACTCTCCTTCATTTGGTTCGAAATGGCAACATGATTATTAAAAAGACAACCACATTCCCTCGCATTACTCGACCGCTAAGAAACCACAGCAATATTATGCAAGCGGAATACAAATATACCTTCCCTATAAACTTATACTTGATATATTTGAAAGAGTACATCACTAGAAGCTTGATAGAAATTCCAATGATACCATGCAACGACTCAAGGCTTCTGATGAAAGTCGCCGGGCAACTAAGCCACATGTGTGTTTCCTCTAAAAGGAAACGGTAGCATTCGTAAATCTTGCTGGTATTTAATAGCTAGTTGCCTAGATAGAATAGGTACTTGAACCGCTTCGACGAGTACGCACACTCCGCTAATGCTCTAGTGGTAATTTATCGGGCAGTTCAGGTGGCAGGTGTACAATTCTCTCTAGATCGAAAAGGCGTTGTCGAGGATGGGTAAAATTTGCAGGAATTCAGGCGAAAAAAGGAGTATGTACTTGTAGCTGGGGGTTTATCGAGATCCAAAAAAATGGCTAAAATAATAGCCTAGTCACATTCCAAGCTGTAATGAGCAGAATGGATTATTAGTGGTGTAGCTGGCTGTAATTAGCCACTACGAATGATCTAGCCATGTTGATTCCCGTCCGGAATGATCGATCAACATTGTATAGTTCAGATCGATATTTTTAGCACCTTCCACGTGATTGGGACCATTCCCTATTGGGCCAATACGGGGTGATGACACTTCTGACAGATAAAGAGCCGTGTAGTTCATGGGGGCAGAATGGGAGTACTATCATCAGCATTATGTTGACTAACTGGTGCCTAGTATATATGACATCCAAGTGCCTGTTCGTGGATGACGTCGGTGGTCTTGTCTCGATACCTTGGCGCCGTGTGTAGTAGCTAGAATATTTGAAGTAGGTGGCCTGAATCAGGGGATCATAATGGCTGATATAGTTAATTATTTCATTTACCATGAACTAACTAACACTAATGACCCAGCAGGGTCCGTCTAATGTAGCCAGTCCCAAATCCAATCGTCTTGGGTACCAACTTCCGCCCCCGTTCTCTGGTACCTTTGGCCCTCCACACCCTAACTTACTCCCCTACCTTCCTCCCCTCCTCCCTCTCTCTCTCTCTCTTCACCTTCATCCCAAACACCTTCACACCCGCTTCCTTCCTTTCCCCTTTCACCCTCCCCACATTCCTTTTATCGGACTGCACATTCCGATTCTCTCCTTGAGTGAGGCCCAGCTACTGGCCCGTGCTTGGGGCAGATCCCTGTTTCCTCGTCAGCGCCTGCCTCCCCGCTCCCTTTACCTTTGACCGACTCTTATTATCATCCCACCGATCGTGATGTCGGCCCCGGCGCCTGCTTCGTCGTCGCCCGTCGTTCGCAGCCACTCTACTTCGGCTCGTTCTTCTCATCGTCCACCTGCTTCAGACGCGCCTCAGCGCACTCGCAGCGTGGCGGTCCGACCGACCTCATCCTCCCAGCCCCCTCCACAGCAATCCCATTACTCCCACGCCAAAACCCCCTCCCATGACCGTCGCCCTCCTTCAAATTACGCTGCCGTCGATAGTGTATCGCGACGGGACTTCGAGGCGCCCAATGTCGGCCGAATGCCCTCTCGTCGTGAGGCGTCGGCGGAGCGATCTCAAGAGCGCCCATCCACTGCGTCTCGAACTGAGTCGACTCGAAGACATCACCAAAGGAACCCTTCTGCCCAGGGCCATCAACGAGAGAGTGTCGATATGACATCCGCCACGGCCACCACTGCGCCCGACCGTGTGGCGGACCCCTCACAGTCTGCGACCGGGGCACATCCGCCCACCGCCTCCACACAGCCTAGGCGTCGTACCACAATCACCACGCCTACGGGCCAGTGGGCCTTAGGGAAAACGATAGGCGCAGGAAGTATGGGCAAGGTCAAGTTGGCTAAAAACATGGAAACCGGGGAACAGGTAATCAGAGAATGATCCGAATCTGCCGTCTGAGAAAGAAGTAACTGATTTCAATTGCAGGTTGCGATCAAGATCGTCCCCCGACTTTCGACCGAAGAGCACCGCAGCAGCCGTGACACAGAGCGCGCAGATCGCTCCAAGGAGATCCGAACAGCTCGAGAAGCTGCCATTGTTAGCCTTGTGAATCACCCATACATCTGTGGGATGCGCGACGTAGTGCGGACCACTTACCACTGGTACATGCTGTTTGAATATGTCAACGGCGGGCAGATGCTGGACTACATCATCTCCCATGGCAAACTGAAGGAAAAGCAGGCACGCAAGTTCGCGCGCCAGATTGCCAGTGCATTGGATTACTCCCACCGCAACAGCATTGTTCACCGAGATTTGAAGATTGAGAACATCCTGATCAGCAAAACGGGGGATATCAAAATCATTGATTTCGGACTGAGCAACCTCTTCTCCCCCAAAGGTCTCTTGAAGACATTCTGTGGCAGTCTTTATTTTGCTGCCCCAGAGCTGCTCCAGGCAAGACAGTACACGGGTCCTGAAGTAGACGTTTGGAGCTTTGGAATTGTTCTTTACGTTCTAGTTTGCGGGAAGGTGCCCTTTGATGATCAAAGCATGCCCCAGCTTCATGCCAAAATCAAGAAAGGCGTTGTGGAATATCCTCCAGGGCTCACAACAGGTATATTGTTTACCCTCTACCTTTTTTGGTTGGTGACACAGTTGCTAATACTTCTCGGCAGAGTGTCGCCACATCATTTCTCGTATGCTAGTCACTGATCCCAAGCAGCGTGCCAGCTTGTCAGAGATCCTGAATCATCCGTGGATGAATAAGGGTTTCAACACTCCTCCAGAAAATTATCTCCCCCATCGCGAACCGTTGCAGCTTCCCCTGGATCCAGAGATCATCGAGAAGATGACGGGCTTTGATTTTGGTCCTCCGGAGTACATCACGACCCAACTGACTAAGGTCCTGGAGTCGGAAGAGTATCAACATGCTGTGAGATTGAGCGCGCGCGAAGCACCAGCATACAACCCCACCGAGAAGAAACGTGGAGTGTTCGATTTCTACAAGCGACGGAATTCTGCTGCCAGCCGTGACACGCTTTCTGCACCTTCTGCTGAGGCTGTTCAGCTGGGCAATGACCCACTGAATGCCTACAGCCCTTTGGTTTCCATCTACCACCTTGTGAAGGAGAAGCTTGATCGTGAGCGAGCCGAGGCTCGCCCTGGTGCCCTTGCCCTTAATCAGACCCCGAGCGATCTTCAAATGCCAGACGTCCCAGTGGCCGCCCACACCAATCAGTACCAACTTCCAGGAGAAAAGGATACTGGCCAACGATCCCGCCCTCGAGCCAGAACCCATGGCGAGGAAGAAGTCACGGAGGGTATAAAAAATCTGCACACCTCTTCGTCATCTGGCCAGGCAGTTCCACAAGACACTCCGGTCAAAAGAGCGGGTACTGCTGCTGGTCTCTTGAGACGATTCAGCACACGCAGGACCAAAGATCGCAGTCGCGACGCCGAGCGGGAACGCATCAGCACTCCTAACACTCCCAACACTCCCATCCTCAACGTTCAGCCACCTGCCGACTCTGCCTCTCCATTGCATCGTGGGTTCAGTATGCGGAAGTCTCGGCGTCCTGACCCAGCCTCTATTCCCTCTGGGGGAAGCCAGCCCCAACATCAAGATCTTCTCACAGCTCCAGGATCAGCTGAGCAGTCAGCCAAGTTCCTTGAACGATCTACCAGCGTCAATTCGGCAGATTATCGATCCCGAAGGGCCGCTCGTAGGAGTGACGCTGACGCCTTGGACGTGGCGGCGGATCGTCATCCACCTTCAACTAGTGGCTCCGACCAAAACAACCAGAAAGACCAGTCTGGCACAAGAACTGGTGGACGCACTCACGCGACACGGACGATGTCACTGGGCCATGCTCGTCGAGAGAGCATACAGGCCCGGCGAGCACGACGGGAGGCCGCCCGAGAGGCTAATGTCCCGGAGGAGACCGATGCTGATATTTCTGGCGCGGGCACAGCCCTTCAGAGCGCCAATGATGGGGAAGATCTGTCTAAGCCGGTGTACCTTAAAGGTCTCTTTAGTGTTTCGACCACCAGCAGCAAGCCCTTGCCCGTCATTCGAGCCGACATCATCCGTGTTTTGAATCAGCTATCCGTGGAGTATCATGAGGTCAAGGGAGGGTTCAGCTGTCGCCACGCCCCCAGTATTGATCTTGAAAAAGTGTTGGATACCAGTCCACCCAGTCCCGACAGACAGGGTCAGGTCCCGCATCGCCGTCGGATTAGTTTCGGTGGACTGCTTGGTCACGATGAGCGAGAGGAACCTCGCACTGGACATTCGAAGCTACAACGCCGAAGTCAGGGCCCGCCGGACCAAAGTTTTACGACGAATTCTGATCAATCTGATGAATTCGTGGCCCGAAACCAACCGCAGTCGACTGGCGAGCGAGTCGTTGGCGAGACCACCACTCGAGTGCAGAGCGACACCGGCGAAAACATGATCCTGCGTTTCGACATTCTTATTGTGAAGGTCCCTCTCTTTTCGCTGCACGGCATCCAGTTCAAGAAGGTCGCAGGTGGCATGTGGCAGTACCGAGAGATGGCCAAGAAGATCCTGGATGCTCTGCGATTGTAGTCCGGCTTCCTTGGATTGGTTGGAGAAGAGCATGAGTTTCTCTATTGAATGATTGTTTGGCTATCCTTTTCCCCCTTTTTTTCGCCATTGTCCTGTTTTTACCATCCATCAACGACGCATCCGCATGAGCATCTTCCATCATTGTCCTGATATTATTGCATGCGCATCGGAGTGGCCCTCGAAGATCAAAGAGCCATCGATTCCCATCCATCCATTCCATTCCCATTCCCATTGTCTTTTTGTTTTCGAAATCGCATCCTCCCCTCCCCCTTCCCCGGTCTGGCTTATCCATCCCCAACACGCATCGTCCGTTTAGACATGTGCCTCAATCTTCCATGGTGTATGATAAAACTCAGCGAAGACGCACTCGTGGATGCGCCCAGATTTTGTGTGTGTTCGGTATCTATCTGCCTCCCCTGCGAGTGATTGTTGTACCGGCAGGGGAAAGGCGTTGTATATTTTCTGTGGGACAAATCGATATGATTTTTATGGAACTAAAATACACCTCCTTAGATCAAGTCATGTTTGCGTTTACAATATTTAAGGAAGCGGACCTTATGCAAGTGTGCTTAAGATCGAGAACTGCGAGGAGATGACGTTTAGCATGGCTGAACATAGGTTCTCTGCCATTATGTTAGGCGGGCGGGGTTGGCCAGTTCGTTGGCGAACTTCGTGCAGCCCGCTCTCTTAACACTTTGATAAAGCGCCAGAGTCTATCGGCATTTTCTATTCACCAAAAAGGAAAGGAATGGAATCAGTTACTTACTTCAATAGTGAACACCAAATGACGGGAATTCCAAGGTTAGGGGTAAAACTTATAGGTCAACTTAGACGTAGTAGGCAAATAACTTACGTAAATCAACTAGTCAAGCAAACATATAGTCCTTTATTTGTCCCAAAGGCGAATTTGAAATGTCATAATAATTGTACCTAATCTGTTATAGAGCCTTTAGTACCTCTAATAATGGTGATCGGCCCCTAGACATTTGGTGATGTGGGAACCCGATGGGCACGGGAATCCGCGTTTTAGGGGCGGTAATTGCGACCACTATTAACATCCAATCAGCCCCCTAAAACCAGAATTGACCACAACATGCCACCGGCCGCCCAGTAGTCATCGCATTACCTTGGACGCATCACTTCTTTGTTGTTAGGTCAGAAATAAAACAAATAAGCCTAAAGCTTCTAAAGTAATGCAAAAAGCCAAAAATAAGACCTATGTCTCTCTCGAGACACCTTAAACTTCCTACATAGATGTGGCTATAATAAGTCAGCTAGAATGCGGGTTGAAGCGGCAGATTCTTCAGAGAAGCCCACCACTCTTTTGACCAACCCAACCTACTCTGGGGGGGGTTCTCTCGTTTTCCCCTTACCTCCGCCACCCCCCGTCCACTCCCCAAGCTCTCTCCTCCTCCCACCAAGACAACGAGAGGCTATCCAACTTCGTCTACTCTCCAACCTCACTGTCGTCTCCTATCTCAGCCCTCCTTCTTTCACTTTATTCTCCTCTCTTGGTCAGCCTTTTTCTAGGCCACTAGGCCACTCATTCCTCTGTTCCTATCGCCCGATTCTTTCTTATCGCACGTGTCGTGGCTGTACTCTCACCACTCGGTCCACCGCTATGGCGCCGGCAAGCAGGGGCTGGCGCCCAAGCCGCTCATATCAAGCTATCGTCGACTTGACGGCAGAGGACGATCAGGAGAACAGGATGGTAGGTAAACCAACTAAACCCATTTCTTGCTTTTCCTCCGGCAGTCCGCTCCCGTCCGCAAACTTGCATAGACGCCTTTGATAATTGTCTTCAGATACAACTTTTTTCAGGTTGTCTCTGTAGCCTGATCTGCAGTTAACTTTTTTGAATATCCGTCCCCATACACTGCCTGCTTTGTCGTCAACATTACTAGTCAAGTCTAATAACCAACTACTCTAGTTTCCAGCCAAGATCGCTCATTTTATCACTACGATTCCACAGAAACGCAAGACGACAGAGGGCGACAGATCGCCTATTCCACGCGCCCTATCTTCTCAGGCTGCGCTCAACGCGGGCATCGGCAACAAGAGCCGTGACCAGAGCGCTGACCAGTCCTCGCGACAGTCCTCGCGACGGCCTGACCTGTCTACGGATTCCATTAGCGTCGTGATTCCACGACCTTCTCCTAATCTCCAAAGACAGATCGAGGCGACAGAGCAAGCCTTGTCTTTGCCCCTTGGGGTTGCGACAAACTTCGTCGAGGTCTTTACTCCTAATCACTTCGAGAAGATGGCTGGCTATCGCAAGTACTCGCTTTCTCGGCCTTCCATCTCGCATTCTGAGACACCTCTGGCGATCGGTAGTTCCCCTATGCCAGCTGGCAAACAAACTCTGCTCTGTACTACTGTCAATTCCGCAAACGAAACTCGCAAGACGCTGCAATTCAAACTGAACTGCATCCAGGGACCGCCTGTCTCCTACGACGTCAATGACCCCAAAATCCTTCGACGCCTTGCATCCGACTTTGATTTCATAAACGAGTACAAGTTGCACAAGGAAGTCGAACCGACTCCACAAGAGTTCCTCTATGGCTGCAGCTGTGACCCAATTTGCTCTGACAAGTGCGCCTGTCTTTACAAGGACGAAGATACTAGCGAGACGATCATCCCTTATTCCAATGAGGGCCTTCTGACTTCCGATTTCCTCGAACGCAAGGTCATGATCTCTGAATGCAGCTCGCAGTGTGAATGCAGTTCTTCTTCCTCGGATGAAAAGTGCTGGAACCATGTCGTTCAGGAGGGCCGTACCATCAACCTGGTGATCTTCCATACGGGCCCTCGTGGTTTCGGTAAGCCTACCTACTCATTGCCTATCAATCCATATACTAAATCCTATAGGTCTTCGCTCTCCTAGCCCTATTCGCAAGGGACAATTTATCGATAGATACCTAGGTGAAGTCATCAGCAAGGAGAAAGCAAGCATTCGCGAGGATGGCTCGGAGAAGGACCAGTCCTACTTGTTCAGCCTTGATTGGTCCGGCGAGTGCAAGTACGTGGTGGATGCCCAGAAGTTCGGCACCATCACCCGCTTCATGAACCACTCTTGCAATCCCAATTGCAAACTGATCCCAGTCTCAACCGAGCAAGGCGACAATCACTTCCTGTACGACCTGGCGTTCTTCGCGCTTCGCGATATTCCGGCAGATACTGAGCTTACCTTTGATTACAACCCGGACGCTGAAATGGTCGAAACGATCGATCCCGATGCTGTCAAGTGTCTTTGCGGGGAGGAGAACTGCCGCAAGCAACTTTGGCCTAACAAGCGAAAAGGCACCAAGTAATCGATCGGCTTCATCGACATCCTCATGGAAGATCTCCCGTTGGCTTCATTCATCAACCACCTCCTACATCTCATTCGACGATCCCGACAACTACCCTTTGTTCCCAGTCGACACTTCCACCCCATCCACCTTTGTGTGTTTTGATTAGCGAGCGACTCTTGGGGAGTTTTCTCTCCCTATCGTGTTTTAATAGTGATTCCCCATAATTTCCTCCCATCATTCCCCCATCACGTTCGAATAACGAGGCGGCATTTTACTGGTGTTTTTGAAAAGAAGGAGGGACAGGGTTTCCCTCCCTTGAGCTGGCGTTGTTGATGTCTGATTATCCAAACTGCATCTAGCCAGCAATGGTTGTGTTATTGTTTTGCAGATTTAGGTAAATTGGTAGTAGATCCAAGGAACATAGGCCTAACTTGCTGAGTCTTGGTTCTACTACACAATAATGACCCAACTCAAGGCTTCTGAAGACAATAGACATTATTTGTTCCCTCCACGGAAAAGATATACACCCATCCCAGGCTCCTAAAATACACTACCCAAACTCCACAACTCCATACAAATGCAATATAACCCAAAACCACACCGTCCATCAACCCCAACCCAAATCAAGCCCTTCCCTCCATAACCTCAAAAATCCCCCCATCACAAACCGCGGCTGCTGCACAGCCAGGCCCCTGGACAAAGAAGCGCGCTCATCAGCCGACGACGCCGACGCAGCGCTAGACCAGCTGCGTCCAGACCCAGCAAATCCCAGCTCAAAGGGCGCGCCACCCGCCGAAGCAGGCCGCATCTCCATATCCACAGGCCTTGGCTCCATCATATGCAGTCCCTGACGCTCAATAGCGTCGTCATCACACCGGCATCGTTCTTCGCTGAGTGCCATGTCCACGGCCGACGGCCGGCGGCGGAGCATCATCATTGAGCTGCTTCCGCGAAGGACCGCGCAGGGGAGGATGCTTTTCAGTTTGTGGGTATCATTATTCTTATCCTTGCTCTTCTTTGGGGCTTTGGTGTATGCTGTCGTGGGCGAGGGAGAGACGCCGTGCTCGGGACGATGTGGATATGGTCGGTTGTTTTGTCCGGCTCGACGCGTACCTGAGGCGGGGGAGACGGGCGGGCTGGCGGTTAAGCTGGTGGTGGAGGAGGATGGGGAGAAGGAGCTCTCGCGTGGAGAGCGGGTGGTGAGCGAGAGGAAGGGTGGGCGGTGCATCATCGCTGTGGAATGTGTGTGTGGATATGGTCTATGCACTGGCAGTCCAGGCCGAATGGTCCATATCACAATGGACCGAAAATAATTTTTGAGGGTTCTCTGCTGAGAGGAAGTCAGAGAGGGAGAAATAGAAGGGGAAAAAAGGAGACGGTAATTAGGGGAAGAAAATTGGCTGCAAGGACCTGCAGGCACTTATGAGACATGGCATATTGCCATTGTCCGGATGCGGTGGTGGACGGAAGCGGAAGAATCAATCGCATTGTCGTGTCGCGCCCTGCATTCGGAGGGAGCGAAGACCATAGAACACAGAGACGCGCAATCCCATGAACAACATGTAATTCCAAGAATGAAAAAATAGAAAGAAACAGCGGTGGTTTAGGTGGTTGTCTCATGCCAATCCCCAATCTCCAGATCTATTGCTCTAGTCCCGCCGCGATCCACCAAGTGGAGCGCGATCGGCGGATTAACTATACACGCCTCCAAATGTCAGGCCCGCACCAGCGAGAGCGGTGAGGGCCTTCCACGGTCTATGATCTTTCAGTCTAATGAACATTTTCCCCCTGTCTACTAAGTTTTGAACCTATTTACAGCGCCACCCCCTGGCTGTCTATAGTATAAAGTGGCCAGCCGTCATCTCCAATTACCCAATTAAGTTATGCCACTCTGCTCTGCTTTGCTTGAGACTGGATCACCTCATAGTTTCGTCCGATTATTTCAAGTTTGTGACAGTGCTTACAAGCCTGAAATGGCTTCGAATCGAGCAGATGAAATCGATTGGTAAGCTGTGGGAGAGACATCAAAGGACATTTCGACATTATCCCAAACAATATTCTCCTTTAAATTTTCCATTTCTCACTCGTCCGTATTCTTTCAAGTATGCCGAAGATAGAAGTTGTGTCATCTTCTCATGATTACTCCATTCCTTTGATGTGGCTCACTATCGGGAACGGCCAACTCGCGCTCGTAGGATAAGGACGAGCTTTCCGGAATGGATGTATCTTTGATGAAATCGAACTCTCCCACGAGCTTCTTTGTCTCAGACAGCAATTGAGACGCATCATCTGCTAGGAGGGCCATAGTTATTTCCATCGCAGCAAATGCAGAGTAAGTGGGCTCGCAGACACGCTGCACATTAAACAGACTCACGTCGAGATCGGTGATAAGCTCAGTAAGGGGACATGGTTTTGGCGCTTTAAGATAAAAAGGAACTGGTTTCTCGTCTAGTATAGCACCTGAGAGAGTGTTGAGGAGTGATGCTACTTCACGTGATCTTGAATCCAAGATAGTGATGAGTTGCTTGAAGCATCTTAACCATGTTTCTGAGAACTCGGGGTCGGTGGTAGTGAGAACGTTTCCCAATGAATTAGCGACAGACACCACTATTTCCGAGCAGCACAGCATACTAGCCCTGGTTAGTCATTGCAAAGCCGAGACATGGAGAACTGAGATGTGCTTACTTCAGTGAATGCTGTACCAACTTGACATACGTACCTTTCGGGAACTTCCCTCCAAACGTAGGTTCCCAGGCAAGGAATGTATTATGGTGGTCCATCCCTTGGAGGAGAACAATTTCCTTCGCAAGCATCCTAGCGTGATTTTTCTCAAGGACCTTTTCTGGACTCTTCTGGTCCGGACCAAGCCCCGGCAGATTCCTGATTCGTAAACAGGCTCTTGTGTGTGCGGAGCTATAGCAACATGCTAGGAGATACAGAAATGAACCGAGGTCTCTTCGAAAGCGCCTTTTAACACTGACCCCGCGAGGGAAATTCGTAAACAAAAAAGCAACCCCGACGCCACCAACGACGGTAGCTAGTCGGTAAGGCGAAAGCTCGAACAGCGGATGATATTGCTGGAGGTTGGTTTCAGAGACCGCAATACCGACTTTCTTGATTTGAAGCTCATAGCCCACAATCAATGACACGGTGGCCATTATTATAGTTGGCAACACTGCATCATTTGGCAACTTCAGATATAGGGAGTTGGACAAGACCATAGTGATGCCAAAAAAGACGATCACGCCTGCTGAGCGTCCGTCAACTATATACCAGTCAATGTAAGACAGCACCATTCCAATTGCCGTCCCGAGCAGTCGTTGAAGCTGCCCGTAAATACCAGATCCAGATGTTTCTGTCATGCTAATTGCAACCATGATTGATCCCCAGATGAGACGTTGTTCGATGTAGAATAACTGTGAGTTTCTGAGGAAGGCAACAATGGCAATAGTCATGGTGGCCACGGCCACTCTGAAACCGAAGAAGGATTCAGGAGAGCCAAATAAATGATAAAAGATCCGACATTTATCAGTAACCTTTTCCCAGACGGTTTCAGGGGGAGGTGTTCCGCGTCCGTTCCAGTTTGCAGAACATCGTCAAAGTATACCCTGACAGTTCCGGATCGTTTACCGTATTTCTGGTAATCCAACTCTCCATCTTCCCTAGCTAGCGAAGCCCAGAACCATTTTCTCATTTGCTTCCAGGTAGGTATGATGAGTCTTTTTTCCTCATGGTGCCATCGACGATCCTTGAATCAGCGTATCTGACAAGATTCAGAATGCTTCTCGCTGTTTCAACAAACGAGTATTGCAACTCCAAGAAAGTTAGTGAGTGGTATCTCTGGACTAATAATACTTACATCGAGGAGAAAGTACAGCTGAAGTTGATGCCGCTCACGTATTTGAGAGTCCGCTGGCTTCCGACCACTCTTCAGTGCTTCCACTTGAGAAGGATGATCCATGTCTTTCCAAGAAAGCCAAGTTTTCAGTGAGCCCTGTTGCTGTTTAAGGTAATCCCCAATCATTTGCTCCAGCTGCTTGGCTGCGACATTTCCATTTGCTTCATGGTCTGATCTGGACGCGGCACGGGGCTTCCGAAATCGGAGAGAGCACGCAACGTAGTCGATTCCGTCATCCATAGCTTGCGAAAGTTGCTCTGTAGGACCGAGAGTCTGTTCGAATATCCAATTCCACTGCTGCTTCTCCACCTCACCAGCCACTGGATGGGAAATATCAGAGCCTCTGAAACAGTCCCAACCTCCTCGCTTCTCAATGCGTGTAGCGACCTCAATGAGAGATTTCATCCACAGTATCGACGCTAGTATGCTCTTCAGTAAGCGGGTAAGCTCTACCAGTTCCTTCGGCCCCAAATGGTCCCAACCAGCTTCACGTTTCGCATAGCGCAGCTCTGCTTTTAGCGCTCCAAAACCCTTGGCAATCTCCATGATTGCACCTTTCAACGACTCTGCTTCCGGCCATAATACTGTATCTTGCTGAGAGTTCCACTGGACGTCGCCTAGCCTCTCCACAGAAAACCACTCACGGGAGGACAGGGACTGCATAAAATGACGTTGGGCTTTAAGTGCTCTCTGTATCGAATATAAATTATTCCCTATGTGCACAGTGACCAGCTTTCGAGATGTGAATGGAAGGATTAACAAATTGACCGCAGCGGATAGTCCATAGCCTGCAAAAAACGTCTGGGCCAAACGTTTGACTGGAAATTGCGCAATTAGCCAACAAAGATCAGAATACTAGTTGTGTAATTTACCTAAAGATGAAACTTCATCCATAGTAGCAAACCTAGTTCCATAGGTAGCCGACACTTGGATGAAGATGGAAAATATTATGGACGGGACGAAGTACTGAGGTCGAAATGCGCGGAACCTGGTCCATCTATCAATTAGAGAGCAAGCAGTTGGGGTATCTGCAAACCAACGTGTTGGCCATCCACACCTCAAAGAAAAACCAGATAGCCATATTAGCACTAGAAGCGGCATTAAACGGACTGACGGTAGCACCAGAGACTGGACCACCGCCTTTCGCCTCCTGAATATGGGTCGTATTTGCTCGAGCCCGAACGGAACACCACATTGATAAGTAAGAGATTCCAATAGCGAAGCCAGTTGAGATCTTCTCAAGCGCTCAGATTAGCCCTTATATAGTCATTTCTCTTCCTGGGAGCGGGTCAATACCATTGTAACTAGAAGGGTTTGGAAGAATCGAGCTCGTGGAGCGATCGGAATGGTGAGAATCGACATTATTGGGATGAGATAGCCGATGGTAGAGAAGTGGTTCGCAACACTCTCACTCTGATATCTGCAGGCTTTGAGAATACCTTCGGGCTCTTACTGGGGCAATGGACCTACATCGCGAGTCCAATAGTTGGCGCAATGCCGCCTCTTCAGTTCACAGGTCAGCTTTCGCTTTGAGTTCAGGTCATTGAGAGAGCAGGAAGAGCCTCCGCGCCTGTTTATCATATGCAAACGATACTACAGTAAATCTGCTGCCTTCTTTTGCCACGGAAGACCGCTTCTGGTGAAAAGATTCTGGAAAACATACTTGAACGCCAACAATAACATGGGAATATCCATTTTCAGTTTAGCTTTGATTGTCATCCATGTTGACGAGGTTTTGAGAAACTCCATGGCGAGAAAGACTGTGGGGGCTTTCCCCGTCTGCTCTTTTCTTTCAATATCAACGCCTGTTTTTGTATGGAAATCCTGCGAAGATGGAGGGTAGTAGGATAGCTGATTATTAATAATCCCCATACACTCCTGGTGCAATAAAGGACGTTATAAGAGCTTTTGAAGGCTATTAACAGCTTAGTCACACCCGGTTGTCTAGTCTAGGCATCATTGTGGCGCGAGGGAAAAAGTTTAGAGTGAATACATGGCACCACATGACCTCACGATTAATGGAGAAGGAACCTGGGGAACTCCAGATTCTGGAGTTTATATCAACAGGTGGAGAACCCATGTGCATTAGGTCTAGTGTCTGTCTGGGCCCATATTTGTATCCAGCTAGTCCTTATTTTCCAAACTATACATGCGACTATTTGAGGTTGCGCCTGCTGTGGTTACTGTTCTGTAGGCCATGCCATGTATGGATCACCATATTTTGTTCTTCGGTCGATGCAGCAAACATTTCCTCGACGCCTTGTGTGATGCGCGATTGGATGATCTCTTTTGACTTTGCTTTCCCAAGCGACTTGCGAAGGTGCTTATGCACTCCATCTAAGGGATATCCTACCAATCCCCATACACCTAAAGCCAATTGACGACTCAGTATGTACCTCAAGTGCCGTGTAGTAACCGGCTTACCTGCAGTAGGTTTGAAGAAAGCTCCCAGGAACCCTTTTCCGATCCCTGTTGCCAAACCTTTACTCTTAGACTGCTGATAACCCTGAGCAGGCTGAAGGGCTAATCCAGTTACGCCATGATAAAATCCTTGGTGTAATTCCTATGGCACATTAGGAAGGATCGCTGTTCAGAGCGTTCTGTAGACTCACCGTGCCGGCAGCCCGAAATCCAGTCCTAATCCCTGTGACGCGGGGAATCGGTTCAACAGTAGTGTCATTATACAATTTGGGCGCATTGTGAAAGCCTTTTGATAAGCTGAGTGTCAGATCTGTCGGGAGTATAAGGGCATAGATGGTTGCGTGTTTTGTAAATTTAGTAGTTTGATACCAAGTGTCAGAGAGAGTCTCCTTTGTGGTACCGTGCTTTTCATCAGTGCTTCCTGTCTGAGCCTCTGATGTATTACTCCGCGTGTTAATATTTGTAGCGTTTCTTGAAGGGCGGGTCGCAAGGCGTTCTGTCATACGTTCACCTGCGAAAGCATCGTCGCTCACAGGAGCTGCGCCATCTGATCTCACATGAAGATCCTCTTCATGATGATTCCCAGAATTATTATGAGGATGGTCATTATCAGCAGAACCTTGACTCGCTCTCTCCCTTTCCATGTTATCGAAGAGGTTTGAAAAGTGTTGCATTGCCCACTCTCTTCCCCTGTAATCGCGGTGCGATTTTGATGAATGAGATTCCAGACATATGCCAGCTACTTGTCCTGGAACACGCGCAATGCCTCCTATAAGGTCGGTCATTAAACCGTAGAGGACTTCTGCAGTAGCAGACAAAGGACCTCGGGGGTCGCGAGTTGTGTCATACTCCTTGGCTCGATACCTAAGATCATCAGGACGACTTCAGGAAAAAAAAGTTGAGGTACATACAGTGTCAAGTCCTTTGGTTTGATGTGTCCAGTATTTAACAAGACAGAAGTTGCAAAGGCGCTCAGTTTGATATGTGAGTGTCGATGCCACCATACCGCAGGTCGATTAGGGCAAATTGTGCATCGCAACAAGTCAACATTTAGATGCTGATGGAAACTGTGGACAGCAGCAATTGTGCCCTTTTCCTTGCGCATCTTTTCTCCAATTTCGTTTGCACGGTCTTGTGTATGCACTTCGAGAGCTTCTTTGATCGCAGAAGCTAATTTCTCAGCTGTTAGCTCTTTGTATGGAATGGGCTGCGGACCCGCGCCTGCCCGAGCAACAATCGACCCCCAGAATGGTTGGTCGCCGAAAAAAGGAACAATCACTGTTGGACGGCCTAGAAGTAGTCCTGCAGCTGTGGTTCCGGCGCCACCATGGTGAATGACGCACGAAACCCGCGGGAAAAGCCAATCGTGGGGGCACTTTCCCAAAAGAAAGACTTTATCGGAAATCTCAGATTCCCTAGAGCCGAGGTTGCTCCATCCTTTGGAGATGAGTGTTCGTTTCCCGGTCCGGCGAGCAGCCTCCAATATCACTTTTGTCAATTTGTCGGGATTTTCGACAACGATAGAGCCAAAGCCAATGTAGATTGGTGGTTCACCTGCTTTGAGGAAGGCATCAAGATCTTCGGGTGGGTGATAGTCTGACGTCGCGGAAAGAAACTGGAACCCGCATAGATCGATATTACCGGGCCAGTCATGAGGCTTCGGAAGAAGAGAGGGCGACCTATTAATGTAAGAAGAGTTGACAGAAGCTTAGAACGGGCTTGTGTACCAAAGATAGGTAAAGGGGACTCGCAAATGATGGATCATACTAGGCGCCCGAATGGCATCCAACGGATCTAGGCCCAAATCCTTTTTGCGACAGCCATTGATGAGGTCTCCAAGGCCTTCCCACATCATGACTTCGACAATTCCATAGGAAGCGAAATTGGCGACAGATGGTTTAGTACTCTGTGATCGAACATTTGCCAAGGGGTGTGGAAAAGATTGCGTCGGAGACCATGGCATCCTACAGTGATTTAGATTAAATTCGACCATTTGGGAGCGAATAAGTTGTCGCTCACGTAAACATCATATTCAGAGAAACCGCTAGCTTTTCAGCACAACTCAGGTGCATAAAGCCTGGAGGGTTCGCGATGATAGCATCGGCGACGAAAGGCCGCGTGCAATTATCCACCGCATCGCTGTGTGGATCGTGAGCGATATGATGAAGGCCTGTTCCGTCCCCGGTTTCGACACAGGAGCGCCAGCAGCCTGAGAAAATGTCTTTCATTTCCCGCCGGCGTTTCTGAATTGCGCCGCTACGGATTGTTCGCATACCTGGCAACAATCCAGGATTCTGAACCATGAAAGCCATCAACTCTTCCGGATTACCTCCAATGTTGAAAAACTCAAGCCCTTCACCATTGATATCGTTGCGAAAAGCCAGGTGTGTGGCTAGTCGGACTCGATGTCCATGTTGGCGAAGTTCCTTACCAAGTGCGATGAATGGCTGGATATCCCCACGCGATCCAACGACCTGAATCACAATATTCAAGTGCAGTGGAAATTTCTTCTCCCCTTCTGAAACAGCTGTCAAGGGTCCGTGTTCCTCAGTTACAGGCTCTGGGATTCGTTCGACATGTTTCATCAATGTTGTGAGCCAGGGCCGGTGTTCTTGAAAATTAACATCCAGTCGCCCATCCTCTGTTCATTATTACTGGTTAACCTTTCATGAGATATTATCCTTTTGAAAGAAATACGTACTCCTTATACGAACTGCGGTGCTGAGCCCTTCTTCCCGAACGTTTGAATAATCATTAGTAGAGGAAATACTGCGGCTAGGTTGCACTCCTTGCCAGTCGTCAGCTGCTATTTGAGTTCGCTTTCGTGATTCTGCTGCTTCAGCCATTATGCTGAGCTATAGTTATTGAGAGGTGAGCCTCTGTTTTTAGGAAAGTTTGTCTTCAAAGAAATGGAGAGACCATTTGCCTACGGAATGGCGTTGTTTTAAACTATCACGAGACCTTGGGTGTTGAATTAGCCAGAGCTACAACCCCGGAAAACTGCTATTCTCGGTACACCCATTAGAATGTTATTAGCAAAGCTCCCGCGAGTTGTTGAACCGGGTGAACCACGGGTGTTCTTGGGGACCATCAAATCAGCAACGTGCAACCTTCGGAACCGCCGGAATATTCAAATCTAGGCGCGCCTTGGCTGAACTCCGAATAGCTTAAGCAGTACCCCATAGCAAATTGATGATGTCAATGATTCTCTGAGACTACTTCAACTTCAACCTTCCGAGCAGTTTAGTAGGCCACGATGTTTTAATGCCAATGAAGTCGACAAAACTACCGTGACTGTTCGCGACCATATCGAATTCCGTAGCGAAGGGAAAGATCTGTAGTAATAGCGGCAGCGTACTACAGATATCTAAAGTAACTAATTAGTGCCGGTGGGCAGATGCCCTCTGCCATCATGTGATCTGATTCATTTATAGGAGGCGTGCTCGTTCATAGTAGCACAGATCAGACATCTCTTCCTCTACATACTTCTTTAGAGACTTCCCATCTAATTGATCTCACTACCACCATGCGCGATTGCCAACTCCATTACACTAGTTAGGGACGTGCTGAGCCAACTGCGCGATTTTTGGCTTGCCGAGATCATGGCATGCTTGTAAGGCATTAGTGATCATTAGTGATCATTAGTGACCCGGTCCTCAGCATCGCTAGAATTTCTGACATCGTGGTGGTTGGGAATAGTAGGTAGAAGTTTTTGGGAGGAAAAATGTTCATTAGACTGAAAGATCATTAGACAGTGGAAGGCCCTCACCAGCGAGAGCGGAGCTGGCGAGGGCCTTACATTTGGAGGCGGGTACTAGTGGTAGGTAAATCATAAGGTCTATCCAGAGATGACAAAAAAAGAGAATCCCCACGCCGCTGCTATGCAAGTAGTAATGCGCCACGCTGCCCAGGGCGGATGTCCAGGGTATGTAGTTGTACAGGCCCAACAAAACACAAGAAATCCAAAAAAGAATGTTCAAGAAAACCCTTCTTCCAACGTATTATCTTCGTTCGCGTACTTCCTCATCATCAAAATATCAGAAAAAAAATGTAATAGCCATCAATCACGGCTACGGCTCGC